AGTCTAATGGCAAGCACTACACTGTCAGTGTCAAGCTTGAAGATGACGGAGCTGTCTCTCAATATATTCACAACAAGCTTAACGTTGGCGACGTAGTTGAGCTTCTTCCTCCCTTCGGTGACTTTGTTTTGCGCAAGCCCGACCCCTCTGTTCCCATTGCTTTGCTCTCTGGTGGCATTGGCATTACTCCTTTGCTCTCTATGGGTGAGGCTCTTATGGAGGTCGAAAACAAGCCTGAGATTCACTTCTACCACTGGGCTCGCGGTGCTCCCAACTTCACGAAGGAGATTGAGAACTTTGAGAAAACCGGTTTCAAGGTCAAGGTCTTCGATTCTGAAAAAACCGGCCACCCCACTGCCGAAGAAATCAAGGCATTGGTCCCCAAGAATGCCGACTGCTACTTTGTTGGTCCTAAGCCTTTCATGAAGTTCATGGAGGAGAGCTTGATCAAGGCTGGTTTGCCCGAGAAGAATATTCACTACGAGTTCTACGGTCCTACTTTGCATTTCGATCAAATCTAATAAAGTGCAATCCATTTTTGCAAATATCTAAGTAAACAAATAAAACTCTCATAGAACTTAATTTTCACTTCGACTATAATCCTAACCCAGCAGCAATTGGCACTGCATGTGCTGACGCTCGACTGGCGCCACTTCGTTTCTTGTCATCTTAGCACAATGAGTTCGGCGCTAGTTTTAGGGTCCACGGGACTTTGTGGCTCAGCCATTCTCAAGTACGCCCAAGCAAGTGACTCGTTCAGTAAAGTTACCACTGTGACAAGAAGAAAAGTGGACGGAGTTGATGCTGGGGTCGAACAGATTGTAGAGCCAGACTCGGCCAATTGGAGCAAAACCCTGCCAGAGTCTCAAGTTGTTTTTTCAGGAATCGGTACCACGAGGGCTGCTGCAGGATCATTCGCCGAACAGTACAAGATCGATCATGATCTCAATCTAGAGCTTGCAAAGGCTGCGAAGGCAAACGGTGCAACCACATATGTTCTTGTTTCCTCTACCGGTGCATCGGCAAGCTCTTTTCTTCCTTACCTGCGCATGAAAGGCGAATTGGACGATGCAGTAAAAGACCTGGATTTCGAGAAAACTATCATTCTTCGTCCTGGCCCGCTTTTGGGCGACCGAACCAAAGAGTTCAAGGGCCAGGGCGAGGGCACTCTGAGGGCGATCGGTACTTGGCTTCACCGCAGCGCCTTTCAACGTCTTCTTTCTTATCCCATTTACGGAGATGAGGTTGGAAAGGCAGCTGTGAAATTGGCAACGACCCTGGGTCCTGGATACCACATCATTGACGCTAAGGATCTCCTCGCTGCTTCAGACCCCTGAAATGCTTCCCTTACCCGAAGGTGATCTGTCATGTTGATTATCGTTGGTGGCAGTGCTGGCAGTGGTAAATCTACAGTCGGTCAGGAACTTGCGAACTACTTGAACTGCTCATTCATTGATGCGGACGATTTGCATCCCGCGGCGAATATCGAAAAAATGTCGCACGGCATCCCTCTGACAGATGATGACCGCTGGGGTTGGCTCGAGGTAGTTGGTCGCAAGGGTGGTGATGCAGCAGCTCGATCCGGCACTGCAGTGGTAGCTTGCTCAGCGCTCTCCAAGGCCCACCGCGATAAAATCCGTGCCAGTTGCGCTGTTCCGGTACTTATAGTGATGCTAAACATCAGCCGGCCCGAGTTGGAACGACGGATAAGCTCTCGCAAAAACCATTTCATGAAAGCAGATATGCTCGACAGTCAACTAGCGACTCTGCAATTGCCAGACGAAACGGAAAATGCCATCGTTGTTGACGAACACGTGTCGCTAGAGAACATTGAAGATAAAGTTAAGCAGAAAATATAAAAATATGAAAATATGTACAAGTTTGCAATCATCTCCGACGGGTTTGTGGTCGCTCGAGTGCTTTTGAAGAAGCAAGATTTGCGTTTAGTCGACGTTCGCAGAGTTCTTTCAAGTCGGTGGCGCCTTCACGATCAATAAAGTTACACGGAAATCTGTATGACAGCCATAGGAACAACGTGATAGCTTTGTGAATATTTTCAAGCTTGATGGTGGGGATTGTGCGATTAGCGAGGTCGGCAATGTCACGATTCACGTCCACAACGTTGGCGACTCGACCAGATCCAATTACTTCACAATAGCGAATAAACGCTGCCTGGCATTCAGGAGTGGTTGAAACCGGGGCGTTAGCCAGTGCGAGTTTATCCTCAAACGTGAGGCCAAACACGTGGTCGTACAGTTGAGCAACGTGGACAGCACTGTTGTCTCGAGGGCGGATATAAGGGACTTGCACGAGTGCACTTTGGTATACGCTTTGCAGGGTGTGGCTAAACATGCTGGCTTTGTCTACCGACGATGCCATGATAACCCGGTTTGGTGGTTGGATAACCGCATGTTGGATTTCCGGAGATGGTGCTTTGAGTGCTTCTCTGATTGTTTCTTTGGCCTCGAGGCTCAGCGCATTTACCAAACCGGTTCCAGCGCCCTCTGATTTATCTGCGAGCTTGAATCGGCCAGCGCGTCCGGCGATCTGCTTGATCTGTGGTACTGGAAGTGGGACCATTTCTTCACCATTGAATTTCTTGAGTGAGGTGAAGATAATTCTTCTAATAGCAAGGTTCAGGCCCATTCCAATAGCGTCCGATGCAACAAGAAACTTGACTGGGCTTTCTGGATTATTGAAGAGTTTTGCCTGTTCAGCTCGGGTTTCAGGGGGCAGGGAGCCATAGATAATAGCACATTTTTGTTTCCTCTGCTTGACAATCCGGTCCCGCATTTCTTTGACCTGCTTTTTGGAGAAGCATACGACACAGTCACCTGGCCGCAGCATCCCGATCAGTTTGGCAGGCGACAGCTGTCTTTCATCGATCTTTAGCGGTGATAGACGCTGGTACTTGCGTACCTCCAAGTCGTCACCTGTCTGGGCCATTAAAGTGCGGATAACTTTCTCACTATTAGCATCTCCGCACAGATGAAGCTCGTTGGCCCGAACACCAAGTACTGCTTTTGTCCAGGCCCACCCCCTATCGGGATCATCAATCATCTGGATTTCATCGATAACTGCCACCTCAAAGTCCTGGCTGAGATCAACCATTTCCACGGTTCCTGCACTCAGCCGAGCTCTTTCGCCAGTGACCGGATCATACTTTTCTAAAACCTCGTCCCCCGTCAACAAGTTACAGGGCACATTTTCATTCTCCAGTCGATCATAAATCTCGCGAGCTAACATTCGCAGGGGCCCGGCGTAGAACCCTGATTTGGCTGCACGAAATGCCTTGAGTGCTGCATAACTCTTGCCCGAATTTGTAGGTCCAATATGCAAAATAACTTTACGTCTGAGTTTGCGAGCATTCGGAAAATGTCTCCATGGATGTGAAATGTCTATGGGATGCAGTTTGGCTGCGATGGACGGATCATTTTGGTAAAGATCGGATAGTAATTTTGATGCTGGAACTGGGGTTGGTGAGCTTAGCTCTAGAACGTCTACTGCTGGGGGCGATTTTTTGGGCCCTGGTGGTTTGTAGTGCTTATCGGATCGGATTTTTGGTTTCGACTTGAGGGACCTTAGTCTGAATGGCACCGTAGAAAACTGCTTTCGGATCATGCAGAAACCCAAAAAAAAATTATGAGTAAGTAGACACTCCTAGCACCAAAGGCTAATTAAATTAGTGAATGAAACAAATCGAGAATTCTGAAAATTGGGAGCACAACAGTTTATTTTTTCACGAATAAGAATTGTAGTACAAGAACGATTGGGTGAAGGAAAAAAGCCCTCCCCAACATGATCGACTGTTGAACTGTGTGGCTAATAAAACTGTAAGGACACGTTACGCGCTCTTTGTCAACAAACCATGCCCACCTATTTCGATACCCTCCAGCGCAATTTCAAGGACGTTTCCGTGGATGCTAATCAGGACATTGACACTACAGAGTTCTTAGAAGCCGCAGAGGGCGTAGTCAAAATGTTTGACCTTCTAGAGAGCACTGCTTTTGGTGTTGTGCAGAACGACATGACAGGCAACATCGTCAAGATTCGCACCCGGCAACTTGAGAACCCCGACGCCGGTAAGACTTTGCAGGTGATTGTTTTGGGCGAGGCTACGGGCTCCAAAAAGACCGCTACACAGGCGCTTTTGTGGCTCACCCGAGGGTTGCATTTCACGGCCGTGGCCATGCGACGAAACCTCGACAACAAGGAGGAGGAGCTCAGCTCTTCGTTCAACAAGGCCTACACCGAGACTCTTAGCAAGTACCACAGTATGCTTGTGCGTCCTGTTTTCAAATTGGCTATGAAGGCGTGCCCTTGGCGCAAGGCATTCTACGAAAAATTGGGCGACGATTTGGCAACTGTGGACGAGCAATTGGACGCTTGGCTCACTGCTCTCGAGAAGATCGTAAAGATCATCCAGGACTTTTTGGAGAGTGGTAACTACGCTAAAGGTCTTTAAGCCGCTTTATCTTAGACTCTGATTATTACTAAGTTAGAACATAAACTAGTCATTTGGGTCATTTAGCGTTCTACCAGCATCCAATGTGCCGATTTTTGATCTATAAGGGCAGCGAACCGATTAAACTGGAGCATCTGCTTACCCGACCTGCGCATTCGATCATCAACCAGTCATTTGACAGCCGCTTGCGCATTGACACTCGTAGGCCCATCAATGGAGACGGCTTTGGTGTCGGATACTATCCTATAGACATGGACGAGGACGAAGAGCAGGGACCTTGTGTCTATTGTGCAACCACGCCCGCATGGAACAACATCAATCTCGAGAGGATTGCTTCGAAAACCAAGTCCCGCATGATATTTGCTCACGTTCGAGCGTCGACATCAGGCGCACTAGCTGAGACAAACTGCCATCCGTTTGTTTACCACACGTTAATGTTTATGCACAATGGTGGCATCCCGCTGTTTAGCCATATCAAGCGGCATGTTTGCAATCGTATCAAGAATGAATACTTTATGTCCGTTCAGGGATCAACCGACTCTGAAATGTCCTTTGCGTTGTTTCTGGACTGCCTTGATCGGTTGGGCTGTGACACAAAGTCGCCCAAAGGAAAGTTCCCTCCCGAACTTTTGCAAAAGGCCATGCAACAAACCATTCAGCTAATTGCTCAATGGACTGCGGCTGTCGAGCAAGAACTTGGTACTCGGACTGAGCCAAATCTTTTGAACTTTGCAGTGTCCGACGGTGAAACAGTTGTTGTGTGCCGCTACGTCTCCTCAAAAACTGACGAGGCTGCTTCCCTGTATTATTCTACAGGTACTCGTTTCTATGAGTATGCCCCGGGGCAGTATCGCATGGAGCGGAAAGGACGCTTGAACAAGGTCGCAATGATAGCCTCTGAACCTTTGACGTTTGAACGCAATGATTGGATCGCCATCCCCACTAACTCTATTTTGACCATTCGAGGACAAACTGTTTTGCTGCATCCCATTTTGGACGAATACTACGAAGCAAATCCCGGCAAAGCTCGGTCGACTCTTCTTACCGAAAAGAAAGGTCTTCTCTCTCCAATGGTCAGTGCACCGGTGGAAAACGGTGTTCCTCCTTTAGGCCGCGAGGGCAGAGTGTTTTAGTATTAGCATGCATGTAATTTATTTATACTTGTCCGGGCTTGTTGGAGGCAGAATGGCAAAAGTCAAGTAAGAAGTATGGCTCTTGATATCAGTCTCCATCCACGACACAGGTCTCCAATTATATCCCTCATCCCCTTCTCTCACCCGGGTTCCTTTGCCCCAGGGGTTGTAATTATCCAGCTTGCGTTTCTCGACCCTTCCGTGACGGAAATCCATACCGTCCTGCCTCCTGCGTCGAATGTCTCTCAACAAATCCATACTTTCTTCAACAGTGCGAACCATAGTCTGGTGACCTTCCCATCGACGGGCTTGGTTTTCGACCATTTCGATGTGCTGGAATCCGGCTGCTTGAAGGGCATAAATGTTCTTGATAACCTGCTCGATACAGGGAGAGAAACAGCAGATGTGAACTGCTCTAGACCTATCCACATGCTCAAATAAATGAGGAATAGCAGTCCAAGGTGCTGGTAAATCAAGAAATACAGCACTAGCCTTGATATCGGTATCAATTGCGAATCCATCTTCGCATACGTTTCGATGAGTGATCTGCACAATCTCAGACAGACCATGAGACTCAAACTCTGCTCTTGCCTGCTCACATCGGCTTTCGTGGTACTCAAAAGTGAAGATTTTCCCTGACTTTGATACGGTCCGGGCCAACGCATGTGTCAACGCACCCGAGCCCGTACCTGCTTCTATCACCACCGACGAGGGTCTGATTTTGAGACGATGCACAATGTAGCTAGCATCAGGACCATAAATAATTTGAGTTCTGTGGGGTAGTGAAAGAGACCATAGCTCAGGAGTAGGCGATAATAAATGGATAAAGCCTTGATTCGCAGAGGAAGCTTGCTGGGCGCCAAATGACCTGCCAACCATGTCCTCGTGTTTAAACGGACCATATCGGTTATTGAGGAGCTCACCAGACTGAACTTTGATTGGTCGCACATCCGATCGTGTCATCCATGCTAAGACATGATCACCTTCTTCTATTTTTTGCTTGTCTTCGACGAAAGACATCTTGAAAAAAAATTATCTAATCGGAAACTTTTCACTTTTTTGATTTACAGGTTTTGGAAACGAAAAAAATGGCCAAAACTCAGCGCAAGCGCGCTAGCCAACTAAAGAACAGGGCTTTAAATGCGTTCGATATCGCTGTGGATGATCAGGAATATATCAAAGGCTTACGCCAACAGCAAGATATCGATCTTGACAACTTCACTGATGATCGGATCCGCGAGCTTTTAAACGGTGAAGTTAACAGCGACGATGACGAAGAGATCGACTCCGACGAGGCCATTGGGTCCGCATCAGACATTGAGATCGATCTGAATGAAGATGAGAGCGATTGGGGCAATTCATTTGATGAAGCAGACCTTGTCGATCTTTCTCAAGCTTGGGACATGGATGAATCCGATAAGACTGGTGAAAATAACGATACAAAAGATGGCGTCCAGGCTAATGTTGAGAGCGAAAGCGAAACAGTTCCAAGTGCAAGTGATAGTGAGGCCCAAAGCGGTGACCAGAGTGAAAGTGATAGCGAACTTGGCTTTAGTGATATGGAAAGTTTGGATAGCGAAGAAGAGGACAATGACGCTCTCAGAGATGCTGTGAAGAAGATTTCTGGTGCCAAGGGCAGGGTTGGTCAAAGATTCGATACCCATGCCGGCCCCGAGAATCCCTTCATGATGCCGAGCGGCCAGGACAAGCTTTCGTTGGATGAACTGACTGGAACCGTAAAGGCCGATCTCAAACTTGTCAAGCCTAAGTTGACGCCAAAAACACTCAACGTGCCCCTTCCCCAGCGTATCCAATCACGAGCTGATCGTGGAGCTGCCTACGGGCTCGCCAAAGACGAGGTCACTAAATGGGAAGACACTGTAAAAGCTAATCGACGAGCTGAGCATCTTAGTTTCCCTATCAATGCTCCTCCTCAGCATCAGTTACCCTCTGTTTTTGTTGCAAGCGAAAACAAGACGAGCTTGGAAGAAACCGTGCAAAAGTTACTAGTCCAATCTTCGTTGGCTGATGAGCGGGCGGCTTCTGCATTTGAGGAAACTGCCCCGAGTACCTTGTCTTTTGAGGAGCTGCGCCAAAGACGCCAAGAGCTACGATATAAGCGTGAGCTTATGTTTAGAGAAGAGCAGCGCGCCAAACGGATCAAGAAGATCAAATCCAAGTCTTATCGTCGGGTTCATAAGAAGGAAAGAGAACGAGAGCGTGCTCTTCTTGAAGCTGCAGGCGAGATTTCCGAAGACGACGAAGAGGAGCAGATGCGCAAACGTGCCTTGGAGCGGGCGTCCTTGAAACACAAAACTACTTCCAAATGGGCCAAACGCATGATCGAGCATGGCATGTCAAAGGACGCTGAGACTCGTGCTGAAATGGAAGAAATGTTAAGACAAGGTGAGTCTATGCGCCAAAAGGTGATTGGACATAGTGATGAAAGTGACGCCGAGGAAGAGGATATCTTTGAGTTCACAAAAGATGAAGCTCCACGCAAAGGTGTCATGGGGATGAAGTTTATGGTTGATGCCGAGAACAAGCAGCGCGATGCGAACCGTCGCATGTTGGAAGGCAGTGAAGACGAGGCTGAGTTCCAAAATCCCGGTCGTAAGAGCTATGATCCTGTGGCTGCTGCAGACGAAGAACTTACTGCTCAGGCTATGGCCGATAGTGATCATGGCGTACCCAAAGGAAAGATTGCTCACAAACGCAAACAAATCGGTGACGAGGAGGTTATTATTCGCCGTGAGCCCACTGAGACCCGCACAGCAGCCGAGCCCGAGCCTGAGCCTGAGACGTCAGAAAACCCCTGGCTCGCCGTTTCTTCGCATAGATCAAGCTCCAAATTTGCTAGCGTCACCAAGGATTCGACCCAGAACGAACGGGCTGCACACCGACTGAAAAAGGCCAAAAAGTCTCGCGTTGAAGAAGAAAACGTTGAAATCGATGTTGCTGATACGTTGGGGGGCATGGTTCGAGAGGGCCAAATGACACTTGCCCAGCAAGACTTGGTGCGACGCGCATTTGCTGGAGATGACGTTGCGGCAGAGTTCCAAGCTGAGAAAGAAGAGACCGTAGAAGCCGATGGTACCAAGGAGATTGATGAGACCTTGCCTGGTTGGGGTTCATGGGGTGGTGACGGGCTGGCCCCCAAGGTGCGGCGAATTCGTAAAGTCACTGGAGTTGATGAAAAGCGACGCAAGGATTATCGGAAACGGGACGTGATCATCAACGAAAAGGTGAACAAAAAGAATTCGCGGTACACCGCAAGTGCGGTTCCGTTCCCCTTCGAGAACCGGGCGCAGTACGAACGGTCTTTGCAAATGCCCCTTGGTCAGGAGTGGCAGACAAAAGACACGTTCCAGCGGCAAATCAAGCCACGAGTACTTGTCAAACGCGGTGAAGTTATTGAACCCATCAAGGCCAAGCACCATTCGTAGTTATTTATACACCAAAATAGGGGCTACACTATAGGGAGTCGACACGGTCTTGGATTTCCTGAACGGACAGAGTGCGGAAGCGAGGTCCGGAGGCCTGGACACCTTCGAAGCCAAGCAAGTGGTCCGCCGGTTCACCAACGATTGCGATTTCGACATTTTCACCATTCATTTCGCCCTCAATACTCTCCTTGAGAGTGAGCAAAGTAATGTGAATGGCATCCTCTAATTCAAGATCCTCGCTCCAGCGCTTTTCCAAAAAGGTTTTGGCAGAAGACGAGCCGCGGCCAATTGCAGTGGCCTTCCAAGGGTAATAAGAGCCCGAGGGGTCGATCTGGTAGAGGCCAAAGTTTTGCGAGTTGTCGTGGCCAGCCACGAGCAAAGAAACACCATACGGCCTGACACCACCCATCTGAGTAGCCTCCTGAACAATCTTGGCCACGTCCTGGACAAGAATGCGAGTGGGAGGGTACTCGTTGTAGATCTGCTTGTAGTTGGAATGGACGGCTTTGCGGGCATTGTCCACAAGGACACGGTAGTCGGGGCCCATGCCTGCATAGACCATGCCAATATCGGGTGTGATTTGGGAAATCTTGGATAAGGAGTCGTTGTCAATGAGTTGAGACGACGCCTTTTTCTCGGTGGCGAGAACAACACCGTTTTTGGCCTTGATACCCACAGAGGTCACACCCTGGTTGACAGCTTGAAGAGCATACTCAATCTGAATAAGTTTGCCACTGCGTTAGTATCTCTGCGCTTCGAATCCGTGGGTCGGTACTTACTTTGGCGAAAACGTCGTTAGCGAGAACGAATATCGATCAGCCATGATGACAAAAGCCAAGGGCCGGCGGGGAGGATTTGAGAAATAAATATCTAGTTAGCTCCATGTGACCTGTTGACTGGCCCATAAACTATTTAATAGACTTTTGTTGATGTTCAGGGGGTGCACGTAGTTGCATTGGCCACCGCGATCGCACTTTGAAATTTCAGCCTGGCGACAAACGGCAGTTCGAAGATCATGCACGGGACTTAGCAAGGCATACACAGGTTTGCCGGCATACCATCGCCTATTGAAGTTGGCGAGCACTTTATCTGCATCTTCATCGTTCTGAAACACTAGATACACGTTTCCACGCATGTGCTCACTGTCGTTGCCTGCTATAAGTACCTCGACCACGGGGGCGATCAAGGCTGCTTCGACTACTATATCTTCGACAAAGGCCTCGAGATCAGTCTTGTCGTATATGTGGGAGATCATGATGGTGTCTGACCTTTTGGGCGCAGGGTGAGCCTTTGAGCATTTATCGCCATGCCGGCAGGTGCCTATTTTTCTATAAAACGAGCACACTTGGCTGTCCATTAGGTAAATGGGAAACGATGGAGGATCGGTAGTTAAGCGGAAAGACCTGGTTGTCAAGTCAGTAAGAGAGAAAGTAGACTTGGGGGATCTATGGTCGGTATGCTCTTTATCGGGGCGAGTGCTTGAAGACCCCGTGGTCAGTGACTGGCAGGGCAAGCTTTACAACAAAGAAGCCGTGCTTGAGCTGTTGATCGGGGAGCGGTCTTCAGACACATGCGACATCAAAAGCATCAAAGACGTTGCCGAGCTGAACCGCACCTTCGATTCGACGTTGTGGGTTTGTCCAGTGTCCCGTCTCGATATCGTCAAGGAGGGCGATGGCCGCCATGTAGTCCATATAGTGACCTGTGGGCACTGCGGAGAAAGAGAAGCAGTGGTTGTTGGTGAAAAGTGTGTTGTCTGCGGCTCTGATGCCTCTGATCTAACAGTCGTGCCTTTGAACCCAAAGAGCCTCGACCGGGTGAAATCTCGGCTGGATCATTTAAAGCAGAAAGGGCTCACCCACTCATTAGCAAAATCCCGTAAAAGACGGAGGACGTCGCAAACTAAATCAAAACGGCTTAAAGACTATGTACAATAATTATTTGTCCGCCGGTTCGGCAGGGGCGTCGCCAGCAGCACCAGCAGCAGCGGCGGCCGCACGCTCCTGTTGTCGGAGCATCTTACGATGGTAGTTTTGTTTCAACGCTTGGAAGGTTCCGTATGCGAGATACCCGGAGAACCCAATGATGGACAGCACCACGAGACGATGGCTCGCATCGAGGGTTTTGATATACCAAGGGCGAGCGGACATTACTAAGTGGAGTCACAGGGAGATCGTTATATAGAGGGAACTGTCATACAGATCTAACGCTAAGACTAGAAAAAACTAAATCTAAAACTTGCTACGTACGAAGGCGTAAAACTGCAGGAAGGCCTTGTGGATAGGCGCATAAACGCTGTAGACATAGGGCGATGCCATTGCCCAGTAGGTGTTGAGCTTGGCAACAATCTGCTTGGAGGCATGGGGGCGGGCAACGCGAGGTTTGCGCAGGTTATTGATCTTGGGGCGCAAGTTCTTAGCGACCTGGTCGTAGTTGGCCTTAGCCTGGGCGACAAGATCGTCACGCTTGCTGGCAACTTCGTCGCTGAAGTCAGAGCAGTACTCTTTCAGGTCGTCCAGAGACCACTTGTCGAAAGTGGCCTCCTTCCAGTGCATAAAGGAGCTCTGCACGTCGTTATTGATAGTCTCGGCGTTCTTCTGTGCCTTCTCGCCAACCTCCTGGCCCTTGCTGAACGCATCAGTATAGACATTGTACACCCGGTCGACCAATTCCTTGCGGGAGCCTTCGATAGAGTGGCCGGCCTTCTTGAGGGCGTCGGTCAAGTCGTCGCGAGACCAGCCAGAGAACCAATTGCGGCTGAAATGGCCATTGGGCATCTCGGGCATGTTGTCCTTGGCAGACTGAGCCAACTTGACCAGCTGGTCGTGAGTGTACTCAGCAGGCTCCTTGATACCACGCTCGTGGATATACTCGAGTAGCTTGTTGTCATTCCACAACTCAACAACGTTCTCAGCAAGCGACTCGTAGTATTCCTTGCCCTTGGACAGGATCTTCTGGCCAGCGTCACCAACAGAGTCACCAACAGAGTCCGCCTTGGCAGTAAAGTCCTCAAAAAGAAGGTCCTTGTGCTCTTTGGCGGCCTCCAACGAGTCCTCGAACTCAATGTTGTGGGACTGGAGCCACGCCTCCAGATCCTCCTTGCTCCAGGAATCGAAAACGTTGTCGCTGAGCTGACCCTTGACGTCAATTACCGCGTCACCAAGCTGTTCCAGGTGTGCGGACACCCGCTTACCCGCATCCGTGTCGAAGAACGAGGCCAAAACTGCCGGTGTCAAAAGTCCTAATAGTACGAAAAATCTCATCTTGGTGTTATGATGGTACAAGGAGCAATCTCACATGCCAACATAGTGGGCCGGGGCGATGTATTAGGGTAGGGGCTAAAGTGGCGGGCGGCGGGGCTGCGCAATTACTCTCCTGAAAGTCTTCAATTGAAAGGATATGCCCATGGAACACCACCACGTTTGCCAATTGAATTTACCGGGCCCGCATTATGGTCCTGGAGCTAAGACGCGGTTAGATTCAGGGTTAGGTCAAACCCGATCTGGTGTTGACTAACAGAGGAGACCCTTGCCCGGACAAAGGGTAATTTTTCATCATGTCCTTATATGGCAGGGGAGGTGATAAACCACAGTCGTACTGGGAAATGACGCCGGAGCAGCAGGCCCAGTACGGTGCAGAGCAGCTCATGAAGCTCATGAACAGCTGCCCAGGCAAGACTGCTATTTCCGGCGTCACTGGTTTCGGTTTGGGTGCCGTTTTCGGACTGTTTATGGCGTCCATGTCTTATGACACGGCAATGGGCACTACAGAGGCCGCCAAAATTGCCCATTTGCCGTTCAAACAGCAAATGAAGATCCAGTTCAGTGATATGGGCAAACGGTCGTGGTCTTCGGCAAAGAACTTTGGCTTTATTGGCGGCGTGTTCACGGGTGTGGAGTGCTGCATCGAGTCGCTGCGAGCTAAAAACGATATTTACAACGGTGTGGCCGCCGGCTGTATAACGGGCGGCGGTTTAGCTATCAAGAGTGGTCCTCAGGGCGCCCTGTTTGGTTGTGCAGCCTTCGCTGCGTTCAGTACCGCCATCGAAATGTACATGCGATCTGACGCCAAGCCCCCACCCACCAGCGATGAGGACATGTGAAACGATGGGCATTGAAATGATAATAATAGAGTTTGTATATAATTTAAATACGGGCAAGTGCTGCAGCCCTTGCGGGGTCTACGTCTTTCCACCCGTTGATTAATGTCTTCATCATGTCTTTATCCACTTTGACATGGTACTTGGCCATCTCATCCAATACCTTGGGTGTCTCGCCTGTTCTGCTGTTGGCAATGTAAGATTCTAACAGTGCTCTAAACACATGCCTGTCTGGCAGAACCCGACTGTTCTTTACCAATCCACGGTAAAAGTTCACAGCAGCGGGCAGGTCTTTGAGCAAAACACCCCTGGCGTGCAGCAAGGTGGCAAAATGTTTGGTTGTTATCGGTGTGTTGCGTCGTTTCAGCGCTAGCAGCTGATGGTCCGCACGGTCGAGATCGGCGGGCGGAAGAAGCCATGCCTCCATGGCCAACTGATACGAGAATGGCGACGGCAACGCTCCGGAAGTTTTGAGCTTGTCGAATACCTTCAAAGCAGCCGCTCTATCATAACGTGTGTGAACGTAGTACTGCATCATCATATTGTAAGGTGCAACTCGCGGGGCATAGCCCTGCAAGCTTTCCAGTTCGGAAAACAATGCAGCAGCCCGCTCGCCCTGATCGGCCCTGCAAGCCGCCGACACCATCGTGCCGTAGGTGACATCAGACCGCTCGATACCACAAGCAGCCATTTCCTCAAACAGCTCATTGCATTCTGCAAATCGTTTGGCCTTGGCTAACCGGGCCAACACAACATTATACAAGAATGTGTTGGGCTCAACGCCATGTGTTCGCGCCTCGTTCATTAGCAAAATAGCGGGTGTGGCACCTGGTGGTGCTACTTGAACAAGCTTGGCATACCCTGTAGCCGTCGGGGCGCTTCCTGCTGCCATCAATGCAACATGCGCCCGCTCAGCAAGAGTCGGATCAACATCGGCAGCCTGAACTGCGGCTTGCCGGACTGCTGCGAGATCATCATCACGAAGATATCGTTCCGCAAGGTCATAAACCGTTTCCAGGTGGTCCGCTTCATTATTGCGGGCGAGAGTTTCAAAAACTGGGACAACTGCGCCGGTCGCTTCGCTCGCAGCTACTACAAAAGCACTTGAAAGCAGATCAACTGCCTTGTATGCATTTATGGGCGCGTAGTGGATAGCTGCACGGGCATCAGCTTGGGCAGTGGCAGCCGCAGTGGGTGAGGGTGAGGGAATAGTTCCCTTAGTGGTTTCTCGGGCAGTCAATGGCAATCCCAAGAGTTCGCGGACCCGATCATTTGAAACGCCCGCGTCCGATTCTATTAATGGGTAAATGTCGCGGAGTCTCTCAACGAGGTCATTGGGCAATGCCAGGCCTTTCGGGCTTTCAGCGTTGAGGACCCAACGGTTGTGTAGGTCAAGCACCGATGTAGCCATGTTGGCGTCCACAAATAGACGAGGATTCTCCCGACGAGCTGACCACAAAACGTCTGTGACACGTTCGAGCACACCGAACGATGATGGCAAGAAGGGGACCTTGACGAGAATCAGGGCCAACTCTGGAGTCAACTCAGGAAGAGCACCAACAACCCCATCAAGTAGCTCCTGTCCAATAAAAGACTTGATATTAAAAGTTTCCCAAGCAGCCTCGAGTTTGCCTGCCTGCCAAGCGAAAATGTCCAGTGCCATCATGATGTAACCCTCGCTAACAAGGCGGCCGACAACTGCCTGAAGAGTGACGGGGTCCCACTCAGCATCACGTAGATGTGATTCTCTGATAGATTTGTGCAAAACAGCGAGGCCTGCTTCGCCGGCGGTACCAGCAGCCAAGCGGAGTAGGGCGGCCCGAGCTGGACCAAACTCTGGCAATCTAGCATCTTTCTGGGCCGCGAGATTTTCATAGAGAAGAGAGGCAGTAGGGAGATGCTCAGGTTCTGTGCACATGGCTTCGAGAATCTCAGCCTTTTGACTAAACATGAGACTGCTTTGAATGCCAGCGTCACCCTCTCTAATCCAACGCCATGCGGTGGATACGAGTCCTGCCTTTGCAAAGCCCAAAACAACACGGCATGTTAGTTCTGGACTTTCACTCTGCTTTAGAGTACGAACAGCTAGATCAGCGCGACCCAGTGTGAAATAGACATCAATTAAAGCAGCATCGAGGTCGGCCAAGTCAGCGCCCGCCTCTCTGAAACGTTCATAGGTTTCTTGTGCACCATCGACGGTGGTCTGCATCCTTGAAACCGTTGTAGCGGAGATACTAGCCGATGCCCGCACAAGGACGTCAGTGTCAAGTTCGATGCCATTCTGGTTGCAAGCAACCACGAGGCGGTCTAACTGCTCCTGGTTGTACTTGGCACCGTCCACAGAAATAGAAGCATTAAAAATCTGTAACGCGAGCTCTAGGTGATCGACAACCGCAAATTGTTCAAGCGCATCATCGACGGCCTCCATGTGACCTGAGGGGCCCAACGCCGGCATTAAACGAGCTTTTTCTTCAGCAAGACGCTCAGCCATATCAACAAGAGCGCGAATGACAATGGTGTAAGTATCTTTATTTGGCACGATATCTCTTGCCAATAGGGCTTCGTATGCTTCGAGCAGTAGGGAGATGGTTCCCTGTTCCTGTCCGATTATGGCTACCGACATCAACACCTGGTTGTAGATGCCAATTGGGATATCCACTTGAGTTTTTTCAAAATCACTAAAGACGTTGAGAGCCTGGGTATGCATTCCTGCCGACTGGAGCTTCTCCATCTGGGCGGCAGTCTCATCGGCGCCGAGAGTGCCCGATACCTCAATCGGGGCCGGGGAAGGCTCGGGCAGCGAGTCATCAGCGATCCCGAGTTCTTCGTGACCGACGGGATCGGCTTCAGCATTCTGCACAGGCACTTGTTTGGAACTCACTCGTGATTCTAAAGAGGACAACCGTGGCCGGCTGCGAACTGGCTCATCGTCGGGGTGATCGTCGTCATGGGTCTGCAGAACCGAGCTGGTGGAGAAGTTCAAACTAGACGAGGCCACGACGGCTGGATGCACGTTCAGGGTAGAGCCGTTTTTGTGATGGGCTTCTCCTTTGTATTTGACAACCTGAGACTGCTGGCGCTTGAACTGAGGCGTCGAGATGAAAAAAGGTGGCACTTGCTTCTTTTGGCCAGAGCCACCAGGCCACAGGTTTTTTGCAACCGATCCGGATCTTGAGAATGGTCCGGACGGCTTAAACAACATATTTGGCCATATAACAATTCCGTTTGTTGCGGGGGTTTTCCTGCAGCTGCGAAGGGTACTCAAATGTATCTTATATGGGAAAATCTACGAAAAAGATGTGGCTAATTACTCACCGTTGGTTATTACTCAGCCAAAAAAAGTTTCGGGTCGCCCGGTTAGTTCCGGCATAAGAGGGCGTAAAATCCAGCGCAAAGCTACAAAACTTTTTAAATACCGAAAAAAAATGATCCTTTTTAATTTATGAAAGCCGCAAATTCTACATCAGACGAGTTTTCTCCTGTAAACTTCGCCTGATTTGCGCGAATTAGGGTCGCCACCTTCCTGCAGGTTGCGGCACGGCGCCACTCTTGTTATCAAATGCCGAGCCTTGTAGAGGGGATTGCTACATGCGCCACTACCGGCACGGTAGATTCAGCCACATCCGTCATGCAAGAATGTCCGTATGTACTTTACACGGCCAGCCCAGAAATGCATCCTTTATAAACTAACAGTTCCGAAATACTATAAATAATTAGCTGTCTTTTCGACAAGATAATAGGGTGGGTGTAATCCAAGCTGTTTCATCTGTGCATGCCAGAGGATATCGTAGATAGCCTCTCTAATGCCTGCCTGGCACGCCATACCTACCAAGAAAATAGCCACTATCAGAGAGATGCATACGATTGACCAGTGGGTTTTGCCTGGAGCACCAGTGCCGAATTGGGGTAGTTCGGGACAAGATATTTCTCGCAGGCCCCGCAATTGCCTAAGCGGCGCTCCTCGTGCCCATCGAGACCCTGCACGCGGTTGCAAGTCACTGGGGGGACTGGATCGAGGGGGTGAGTCGATCTGGGGTTTGTAATCGTCTTGGCCAACGGCCAAAAAACGAGGGAGGCCCCTTTTGTAGCCTGCGCTTAGTCTTTGTTGGGCGACCAAAGCCCTTTTTGCATTAGATATTCTGCGCAAGTAGGCTTCGGAAGCCTTTCCTGGCATTTCTGTCACTTGGTCGGCCGGCTCTTCTTTTACCGTTGTCTGCGCTGCGCTGGGTTTCGTGTTACCGCCAAACCTTGTAAGAAAAGAGGCTGGAACTGAGATCACGCCTGGTCCCTCATCAACCCTGGGTTCGTCCGACGAATTCAGCGCGAGCTTCCTTGTATACGCGGGAACGTACTGTCGAGGCATGCTGATGTCAGCTCTCGTGCGACCCATGGCTACAAACTGGTTGTTGTAATATACGGTTAATGCGACGTTTAATCTTCCGTGCACAAGCACACAGAGGCCGATTGGGACTATCGGTCTATCAGGTCTTGTAGTTGGACCTTTTTTATACGGCACAGAATTTTTATTTTTCCAAGTGTTCTTCTTCACATGCGGATATGCAGTGAAAATGCCCGCTTACGAACTGTGCAGCCTCCAGAGTTCGCCGAGGTGTGCTCGAGATTTTGCCGGTCAGATCTCGCACGTGGCAAAACCCAAATCGTGGTATTGGCGTGACTTGGAGACTATCAAACTCCACAGTGGCCAAAATTGAGCTTATACGTGAGCGTGTGCTCTTTTGCATAAACTACAATGCGGTTTTTTCTTCCAGCCAGACACCAGTCCAATACCTCATCTGAGTCATCGACGTTAGAAGTTGGCCGGTCAGGGGCGTGGGAATTATCGATAACTGCTAAATAAAAAGCCAACGCCCCATGCAATTTGGGCACATTCTCTTGAGGTGAATAAGCCTGCATATCTAGCTACTTCCTACATTTTTGAGAACGACAAACTCCCTTCTTCCCGAGCAAATAGCCCTGTCTCTCCCCTCTCTGTTAGCCGGATGCTGACGGTTAGTTGCTCCCTCGCTCATGCAGGTCATGCAATGCTCCTTGCCCTGGTATTAAAAAAAATAAGTATAGAGCGTAGCTGCACATCAATAGTCATCTCCACATTTTCCAATAAAATAGATGATCACGATTTCTATCGAACTAGCACCTCCACAAGGTGAGGAACCGCCGCCCATCAATGGTCTTATGGCGAACAGACTCGCTTTCACCAACGGAGACATTGTGCGTGGTAAGGCGACTGTTGTCACTAAATCGCACATTGAGGTAAGCTCTTTGATAGCACGGTGCGAATGTCGCACTTTTGCAAAGGCCATTCAAACAAGCGCTGCAGCATGGGAAGAGAAGGCAGTGATGTGGTCAAGTTCTAACTATATTCTTCCCAGTCCGGAGCCCTGCGGCTACGACCTGCCTGAGATTTCGCCAAACGTGTATGCGATGGCGCCTGGGACCTATGTGTTTCCCTTCCAGTTTCGACTCCCTAATTCTTCACAACAGTTTCCTGAATCCCTAGAGGAGAGCGGCTGTGTGTCTGGAGTGTTCTGGGAAGTGCAGTTTCTCGTCAAACGTAATGAGCGCTTGACAAAGAATGCCCACAAAACGGTCCCATTCAGATTTATTCCCATGTGCACCCTGCCCTTGTCTGGCGATGTCAGGCAATATAGAAAAGAGCTGGAGTTTCTCGGGCAAGACCCGACCTTTAAACCATCGCTCCTGGGCAGGTTTTTCACCAAGCACCGCATCCCCGTCAGAACCGAGGCTGTGCTAACTATTCCTCGCATGGGCCTTGTCCAGGCCCCGCTGTTTCTGGAACTGGGTCTTCAGCTTGTCACTGATATTCAGAATATGGTGGTGGTTGAGGACATTATTATCCAGCTCCACGAGATCACTCGTGTGTTTGTGCCGACAAGCGATAGTGCGTATGAACGTGGTACTACCCGACACTCTATCGCCAAACTAAGTCCTCATCGGCTGCTTGACGAAAAGGTCGTCGACTTTACTCATTTCATGAGCGACTTACAGATCCGCAAGGGCCTGATCGGCAGCGTCGACGAGGTCAATTTTGAGCACTGCTTCGAGCTCAAACTCCAGCTGATCCTGCGGTCGGCATATTGTCCTTCTAATACACAGAAACTGGCTTTCAAGATCCCAGTTAAAGTCATCCCGCAACAGCTTGAGCATTTGCCCGACTACATCCCTACTCCCCCCATGATGGAGACGGTAACCGCTTAAGCTTCGCTCTGCAGGGGCTCTTTGCATGCGCCTTTGTCTTATCTTGCATGAAAGGCACCAGCTCTAATTCTTTATACACTTATATATATGTGGATGTATGACGACAGTAATATTATGAATCCATAAATGTACTTTACAGCCATAGAGGGGGTGGTTCAGCCTACTGCTTGATCTCGTAGGTACGACGGAACTTGTCGTCAATGGCAGTCAAGTAGTAAGTGCCCTTGCGCAAGTGGTCGGTGGAGCCAGCAGGGGTGAAGGACTTTTGCAGGTGAGCCTTTTCACGGAGCTCAAGAGCAGCCTCGTAATCACTGGGGCTGACCTTGGTACGGTTATCGAGCAAGCCCTTAAGGTCCAAGTTGGCAACCAGCTTGGAGATATCGCCCTTGACTTGCACAGAGAAGAACGCAGATGCAAGGCCAGAGCCGTAAGAGAACATGGAGATACGCTTGCCTGCAAGGTCCTCCTGAGGCACGAAAGTGAGCAAAGAAGCCAAAGACAAGTACAGCGAGCCGGTGTAGATGTTACCGGTGTTGGTGGAGGCGATCAAAGACGGGGCCATGCGCTTGGTGGACAGGTCTTTGGCCAGACCGAGGAAGGTCTTTTCGACATTACGGTCGGTGAAAGACGCCTCGTAGTCCACGGCGGCAATCTCTTCGGGAACGCCCTCGACGGACTTGGGATCATGGCGATAGTCGTTATAGAGAAGGCGCGCATATGACTTGGTCACAAGCTTGCAAGTAGGCACATGGAACGCTGAGTAGTCAAAGTGCTTCAGACCGTCGGTGTTCTTGGCCTTCTTGTTATACACGCTGTAAGCCCCGTCAAGCGCCTTAGTATAGCAGCTGAGAGAAAAGTGGCCGTCAACCACGGGGTACTCGGAGGTGAAATCAGGCTTGTAGAAATCATAAGCATGCTCCATGTAGATACCGTGGTGAGGCTCAAGAACTAGAGGGGCGTCAGGGCCAATAAGCATGGCAACAACGCCAGCACCACCAGTAGGTCGGGCGGCGCCCTTGGAATAGATGGCGATGTCGCCGGCAACAACGATAGCATCACGGCCGTCCCAGCTGGAGGACTCGACCCAGTTGATCGCGTTGAAAAGCGCATTGGTGCCACCGTAACAAGCGTTCACGGTGTCAATGCCCTCAATGTCGTGGTTCTCGCCAAACAGCTGCATGAGGACGCTCTTGACAGATTTCGACTTATCAAGAAGCGTCTCGGTACCAACCTCGAGCCGGCCAATGCTGGCAGGATCAATGTTGTTCTTGGCAAGCAAGCGCGACACAACCGTCAGACCAAGCGAGTAAATATCCTCACGGTCGTTGACGAACGCCATGCGCGTCTGGCCTAAACCAATAGTGTACTTGCCAGCAGGAATGCCATCGGCCTGTTCGAGCTCGGCTTGGTCGACATACTGCGACGGAAGGTAGATTTCGAAACCTTTGATACCGATGTTTTGAGGACGCGCCATAGATGAAAGTGAAAAGTGTGGAAAAGTCACCTGGGAGATTATCTAAGGGCCACGCACGACGCGCCGCCCTGCGCAGTCCTTTTGGGCTGGCGAGGTCAAGGGTTTGTCCACGGCGTCGAGAGCCAGCGGGATTTATTGTTGTTAAATACACACTTTTCGTAGAAATAGTATACTAGAGCTAGCTGAGCTAGTCGACATCTCATGGCATGGTCATGTACTCTTCTACTGCGGGCCCCCATGCATCGGCTCGCTTATACTGCTTGATGTAGGAAGGCAATCCGTGAATGGCCTCGACGAGCCGTTCGCCCAGGCCTTCTTTTTTGAGCTGCGAAAGTGGGGTCAGGTAGGTGCGGATCGTAAACACCAGGAACCGCGATTTGGGCAGCCGAGACAACGTCTGGCGCTCGACGCGGAAATGCACAGTGTGGTCAAAGTCCAGGTCTTTCGCATGCAGTCTTTCGACCTTTTCCGCGGCCCCAGCATGTGAGCCTTTGGGCAGGTAAATCTTGTCGGAGTTCTGGATAGTCCAATTGAACCGTTTCACCAGTTGGCCCGTCTCGATTCGCCGGAAAAAGCGGTTCATCGACAGCTTAAGCTTCTCGTCGTACTTGGGCACAGGTCCGTGGATGTCGGACAGCTTGATACCTACTTTTTCGGCAGGTACAAATCCGCTAGGGGCAATAAAAGTTGCCGCCTTTGCGATGTACTCCTCCTCGTTTTCATCGTACTCCAACACAATAAAGTCTTCTTCGACATTCTCGGCGAGATACTCCAGAAGCCTCTTTGGACTCTGCTTCGATCTCTCGGCATTGGCTGGGAACGTGGTGTTTTTGATCAGATTCTTGATGTTCTTCCCGTCGCGGCTAAAGTACTGCGGCCATTTGGTGAACATGTACCCAACCACCGTGTCGTAGAGCTCGTAAACAGCAGCAGTGGTTCTGGGATCATCCACTACCAGGTTGACGTCCTGGGTGTGATTTTTCGCGATTTCCGACCGGTGTGTGGTCATGCGGTCGTAGGTATTTTCAAGCAGCAGCCACTCCTGGAAATCCGCCTTCTCCAGGGCCATCGTCATTGCGTACTGGGGCTTGAACGGCCGGAACTTGGCCGGCTCAATGTTGTTCCACTCGATGTTCAGCTGGGGCTCGAGCTGCATACGGCCCCGCGGCACCAACTTCACTTTGGCCCCAGGCCTACCCCGCTTTTCGCTCTGGGTGTTCCAGCGGTTGACCAGATAGCGGCACAGCAGGAACGTCAGTACCGAAAACCCCCATCCAATCACTGACCCACGGCTGAAAGCTTCTGCCGGAAGATTTTCAAACATACTCACAGATAAGGTGACCAGTGATCTGCTGCCCTTTTATGGGTGACTTATCTTGCATAATAATGATGCCGCATGTCAGTATCCACTTGCATAATGAGCAAATCGCATGCACGCGAGCGGCCGTGTTGGGATGGAACTGCTTTGGGTGGCGTAGAAGCGGGCTTTTTCCGGGGCTAGTTTCTGATTTTTACTTTTTCCGGCCCCCCTGCTCGAGCGGACCTCAACCGTCGGTGCTTAGTGTCTTCTCCGCCGGATTGACTCACCAAAATAGGAAACTAGGCCCAAATCTGCATACATTGTTGAACTAAGGCCCACAAAGCTCTATTTTGCGAGACGAAGCAAAATATCACCGCTAAACCTTCGGCCACCTATTAATCTCGCCCGCCAGCGCTGCCTCGCTTTGTCATGGCAGATCGGAGCGCTCTACTCATTTTCGTGGTATTGTGCCTGCTCATTGCGTCTAGCTCTGGCCCGCGCTCGCTTACCACGAATGAGAGAGTGCAGTTGCATTCTTTCATTGAATGGAGGGAAAACGAGCTAGACGTTGTGAAGCAGACCAGCCCGAGTTCGGCTCTGGCCGATGTCAATCTCACAAACATTGCCCCTGCAGCGCCACCGCCAGAAATACAAGCCCAGGTTGATGAAATATGGCATTCGGGTGACCACAACATCTCGGCATTCTACGGGAACGTTGATTCAATTTTGTACGGTACGCTCTATCATGCCAGATCGGTGGCACCCCACAAAATGCCCGTAAGCACCCTGTTCAGCGGTCTGGTTGATCCTGCAGATCCGAAAAAGTTGCAAGAACTCAGTGACTTCCGACTCACTATTTCACATATTCCCGGGGACACATGGGTAACTGCTTCGTTAGTTTCGGATTCTCATTTCACAACAGCGCTGCGCGGTGTCTATCTCGAGCACGGCCGCTTATTCCTGACCACAGACTCACTGAAACTCAGTGGATCTAATGGCATACCGTGGCTGCTTCCAAAGACTTCCGAAGATGAGCTTAAAAAGGCATATAACGCAACCCTGTGGCACTCCAAGCAAGCGACAAAGGAGCTGGTGGTCCTGGAACGTATCGAAGACCTCGAAGCCGCTGCTAATCGAGCCGGCCTCTGTGAGTTGATGTTTTTTGGGCATACCAAGGAGTCACTTCTTTCGCAGTCTGACTTGGACGACATTGAAGAAGAACTAAGAAACCCTCAGGGCCGTCCGATTAAGAAGGCCACGCCGCTAAAGATTGAGGGTATGTTGTATTCGCCGGACTGTGGAATTGCTTTCAATCTCTCGTCATCTGGTGAACCTACTGTCACTTTCGCCCAAAGAAGCCGACTTTATGCTGTTGTTTTACTCTTCAGTTTGATAGGCGTAGCTGCGTTGCTGGGGCTTCAGATGAACGCCACTAGAACTCCATCAATGGTGACCCGAGTAAGCCTGTGGAGCATTGCTATTAGCAGTCTTGTTGATGGCCAAGTGTGCATTTGGGCGCTGCTCATTTCTTTGGGCAGCGACGTGGCTTTCACGTTTATCGCCGTCTCATTTGTGGCCTTTGCCTTGACGGGTATATTTGAAATTCGTTACATTGAGATGATCTACAAAGCCCAGTTAACCGAATGGGCCGCCACTGCCCGAGTTGATGGATTACCGGAAACTGAAACCCCCCAAATGCCCGAAGACCGTGAAGTGGCGAGCCGTGTATCGTCACGGTTCTATTTGGTGTCTATGGTATTTTTCGCTGTATCCGTTTTGTCACTTGAATGGTCTAATGGGCTGCGCTGGTTTTACGAACGCGTTGTTTTACTAGTTATTTACTCGAATTGGATCCCGCAGATTATCCTGAATGTGCGTAAGGGCTCACAGACGGTGCTGCTGCCGGCTTTTGTTGTGTGCACAGCATTATTGAGACTTGTCCCGGTCGAGTACTTTTTACTTTACTCCAAAAACCTTGGCCACCATCACTACGCACCCAATTTGGGTTGGTTCCTGATGGGGTGGCAGTGGATCCAGGTTCTGTTGCTGATATCACAACACTTTTTCGGCCCCCGGTTCTTTTTGCCTGCTCATATGGTGCAACCAGTGTATGATTACCATCCCATTTTGACAACGGACATAGAGCATGGACTCAACACCGAGGAGCCCCCGGTGACCGAAGAGGGCCCGGTGCTGGAGCCCGAAGAAAATGGCGTGGTGAAGCATGTATCCTGTGCAATCTGCATGAACCACGTTGATTTGATCATTTGCGAGGAAGGGTCGCCTCCCGGTCCCGCGGCGCTAGTGGCTAGACGAAAGTACATGGTCACGCCCTGCCGACACATCTACCACACAGAGTGTTTGGAGGAATGGATGCAGTCGCAGCTCCAGTGTCCTATTTGCCGAAATCCCCTCCCTCCCATTTAAATATTTATTCACAACTTACTCTTGACAGTAGTCCAGCTAGAAACCCACTCTTCGCGGATGTCGTCGATACTGAGATCAATGATGTACTGGGCGATACTCTGGGTCTCGACAGGCTCCTGCACGTGTGTGGGGTCCAGGTCGACGATGATTCGGGGCATTTGGCCGGATTCACAATCTGCGATCACTCTGGTGGAAATATTTTCAAGCATAATTGATCCGATCGGCTTACGTGACGCATAAAAGTGCATTAAAAGCACAAAGCAGCGAGAGAACTGCAGCGAGGGCTAGATTAGTCTCAAGGGTGGAGTTTTTATGTCAGTAATAACAGCTACATATAGAGTGCTATAGCGCAAAACATGCTATTATATTTATTTGTGCTTGTGGGCAGTGAGCTTCTTGAGGTAGAACTGGAGCTCCTCACCCTCAAGGACGTAGCCATCAACACGGCCGGACTGACCGGGGCGGGAAGAAACGCAAGCGTAGAGACGACCAGCACCGAACTGGGGCTCGAGGCCCTGGGAGAGCTTGGCGCCGGCGGCACGAGAGCGGGTCTTGGTGGTCTGCTTGATCTCCTCGGTGGACTGCTTTCCACGCTTGGAGGCAGAAACACCGTAGTGAGCCTCAAAGTACTGACGGAAAGGGTGAGCATCAATCTGAACAATAGCGGACTTGGTCAAGGTGTTGGTACGGACAAGCTCGTTGTTGGAGGGGTGGTAGACGACGCTGATGACACGGGCCTTGCGAGAGACGCCCTCAGTGCCCCAAGAGAAGTTGCCGGCCTCCAGACGAAGGGCACGGTACTTCTTGTTACCGCCACGGGTGCGAACCTCGTGGATGCGCTTGGCACCAATCTTGGTCATGGCAGGCTGGCGACCCAGCTCGAACTTCCGCTTCTTGCGGTACTGAGCGCGCATGGCACCGGTGTGCGAACGCTTGTGGCGAGAGTCACGGCTGATACCCATTCTCGGTTAGATGGTTTGGTCCGTAGTGTCGAGTACTTTTCAGAGATACCTAGTGAGTGCTCGTTGTCAGCCCTAAGCCCTATGCCAGCCAGCCCCCTCCTCCGTGCCGATCACGCATTTTTTATGTAAGTGACCCTGCCCGCCCCCCCTCTGCCCTCCGAGCGAAAACTGCGAAAAAGCCTGAACCCCCGCCCTACGCTGAACTTTTTCATAACATGCAGGAAGCAGTCTACGACTCGATTGAAATCGAGGATATGACCTGGGACCCAGTGACTCAATGCTTCTACTATCCCTGTCCCTGCGGCGATCAATTTGCTGTGGCGTTCGACGACCTCGAGAGCGGCGATACCAACATTGCCACCTGCCCCAGCTGCAGCTTAATGATCGAAGTGGTCTTTGATTCGGAGGACTTGAAACAGTTTAAAAACTAATGATAAATATATTTATTACGTGCCATGCATTCATACTTTGGATTTTTTTCGAGAAGATACCGTTGTGCTCTGATGCGGCCGCTTGGGCGCTCCGTTCGCTTTGACGTTTGTGTCGCTGGTGATTCTCCGCGCAGGATACGGCGACTTGCCCTCGCCAAACACCCGGGACAGCGCCCGAGGCTCCTCACTGAAAAACGGGTGGGTCATAGCCTCGGCCGCAGAAACCCGGGTTATGGGATTGTAGTCAAAAAGCGCTCGAAGCAGATTCAGGCCGGCAATGCTCGTCTGGCCAATGGCTCTGTACCACTTCTCCAACCGGTTGGAATGAACATTCATAACTTGTAGATTAGGATAATCCGGATATACTGTGATATTGGGCCATTGGGCGGGCGTGGGGGTGCCTAGAACCTCGACGACTTTCTGTACCTGGTCCTTTTGGAACGGGATGACCTTTTTGGAGTCCATCTTTGCCTCTTCGCCTTTGAAGATTGGTCGCAAAGCTAGAATCTCTGCAAATATACACCCCACTGCCCACAAATCAATTGCAGGCGTGTAATGGCGTCCGCCAAGAAGCAGCTCTGGTGCCCGGTACCAAATAGTGACTACGACCTTATCGCCGGAGAACAAGGACTGCAACGGGTCACTAAACAGCCTGGCCAGGCCAAGATCTCCAATTTTAACGACGCCATTGGCTGTGATCATAATATTGGCTGGCTTGAGGTCTCTGTGCAGAACCCAGTTTCGATGTAGATAGTCTAGGCCGTTCAAGATCTGATAAACAATGCTTTTCGCAGTGAAATGCGCCAACGGTGGAGTATCTGGATGACAGTGGTGGTGCAGAATCTGTAGCAGATCATGCTCAGCATAGTCAAACACCATGTACGTCGACTTGTCTTCAAGAATAACTTGTATGAGAGCCACAACGTTTTCGTGCCTCAATTCCCGACAGAGAGAGATCTCCCGGACCGCAGACTGCGAAATACCCGTATAATACGACGCAGCGCCCTCCTTGTCCAGCTTGAACTTCTTAATGGCGCATAGTCGGCCCGTCGGTTTGGATTTGGCCTTGAACACCCTTCCGTACGTTCCGGCGGCAATGTACCCCAAGATTTCGTAGTTCTCGAGCGGATCCCGACGCTCCTGCTGCTTGCGAGCCTTATACCGAGCCATAGGCTGCGTCAGGCTCGATGGATCTTTCATTTATAGGTTGAAATCACACTTGGCCAGCCTTTAGTCATGGAGGCCGAGCTCTTGAATGGCGACTTCGACCGGGCCGGCAAAATAGCGCGGCTAGCAGCCATCAGAAAGCAAATATGGGACGCCCACCAAGAGGTTGATGAGGCGCGGCAAGAAGCCAAGGCGTCGCAGCTGGAATTGGAGGCTCTGTTCCGCCATAAGCTCGAACTCGGAACCCGGCTGGCCCATTTCGAGGAAGAAGCAAACAAGCTTTCTAAAGTAGACGGCGAGTACGAATTTTTGGAGCTAGTATCTCTGGAGGAATTCGCCGCCAGCAACCCTGACGTCGATCCCGAACAAATGGACGGAATCGAGCTGATGCTGGCAAGGGTAGACGATGAAGAAAAACGAAGACTAGATCTGTTTGGCCAGAGAATCGCGCTCAAGGAAAAAGTGGCCGAGCTAGAGTTGATCATCGAGTCCCAGGCCGAGGCACTAAGATTCAAGGGCCAGTTCTGTCACTACGTAAAGCAACTCGAGGAGACGGCTCAGAGACTAGCTGAACACATTATTCAGTGATAAAATGCCAACAAACATAACTTATATACAATTTTTTTATCCCCTTTACTTATTTTCAGGCTCCTCCAGTGTTTTACGGTGCTGATCCAGTGTGAGATACAACATGTTGGAGCTTGCCTGTAGGGTGTTGACCAGGCCAGCACCGCCGAGCACAGTGAGCACACCGGCAAGCTGAGCCCGCAGCTCTTCAAGCGAAGGCATCTTGCGAAGATTTTGGACCTGAGAGACAGAGATCTGGCTACCATCAACCCGGCCACCCAGCACAACCATTCTGGTCTTATCAATCAGGGAAACAACTTTGTCGACCGCCTTGGGGTCGAGATTGGGAATTGTGACGACCGCAGAGGGACCATCAAACAGGTCCATGAGCGGGTTCTTGGCTCGGGCAAACTCCTTGTGGGCTTCAACCGAAGCAGGGTCGGCATGATCAATGCCACGGAGAGTAGCTTTGAAAACACGAGAACGCACTACCGTCAAAGTGCCTCCGGCCTTGCGGATATCATTGCGCAGCTGCTGGTTCTCGGCCTTCAAAAGCGTCGGGTTATGCAGAATAAGCATCACAGCGTTTGACCGCAGCAGGTGGGTGTACTGGTCAACCAAATATGTCTTGCGCGAGTCTAGCGGCTTCAGAGTCTGTCGAACAACCGACTCGGGTGCCGCTGCGGCTACAGAATAGCTGCGGAGGCCGTTAAACACCCTTCGTAACCAGGCCATTTTTTCGCTGGATGATTAAGATGGAAAACTGACATTTTCCACTTTCCAAAATTTGTCATGGCGCGGTGGTCGCGATTTGCGCACACTTATTCAAAGACGCTGAATTTGCCTCAATCAGCGCTGGCAAATAGGTCGGATCGAAAGAGGGTGCCCGAGTTGCTTGAAAAGACCGGCAAAAGCCTGTACGACTGGCAAGCAGAGGTGCGCAAGGACCAGCGAGCATATATACTCCATGACGGTCCGCCATATGCGAATGGCGACTTGCACCTCGGCCACGCCCTGAATAAGGTGGTCAAAGATATCATAAACCGATTCAACGTGCAGGTCGGTCGAAGGGTGCACTATCAGCCGGGCTGGGACTGCCATGGGCTTCCGATCGAACTTGCATCACTGGAAAGGCTCAAGAAGAAGAAACATAAAGTGCCGGACTCGGTAGTCGAAAGACGAGAAAACGCCCAAAGCCTGGCTCTGGAGATGGTTGAAAAGCAAAAAGACAAATTCAGACAGTTCGGCGTGATGGCCGATTGGGACGGCTTGACCTACCGGACATTGACCCCCGACTATGTCGCCCGCCAGCTTCGTGTGTTTGCCAAAATGATGGACCGCGGCCTCATTTTTAGACAACGCAAGCCCGTGTACTGGTCACCTGATTCTCGCACCGCTTTGGCCGAAGGTGAACTCGAGTACGGTAACGTTGTTTCTCCTACATGTACAGTAGCTTTTCCGGTAGTTGATGGTCCATCAGAGCTCAAAGATGCAAGACTAGTTATCTGGACTACCACTCCTTGGACATTGGTGGCCAACAAGGCCATATGTGTCAACGAAGACGTCACCTATGCTGTCGTGCAAACATGTCAGGGTAAATTAGTCGTCGCAAAGACACTGATTGAATCTGTTGATGCCACTGATGCAGACATAATTCACGAACTGAGCGGTAAGGATCTTATAGGTACTACCTACGAATGCGTCTTAACTGGAGAGACTCGTAGCGTCTTCCACGGCTCGCATGTTACAGATGCCTCGGGTACTGGATTAGTGCATACTGCTCCGGGACACGGTAAAGAGGACTACATTATTGGCCAGGCCCATGGTATTGAGACTTTTAGCCCGGTGGATGCATCTGGAAAATATACCGCTGAGCTTCCTGAGCCTGTACGCTATCTAGAGGGCCTTGATGCCCGCAAACAAGGGTCTCCTAAAATCTTAGAGTACCTGAGTAAAACCGGAGCTTTGTTGAAACAGGACACAATCATCCACAGTGTTCCATTCGATTGGCGGTCGAAGACGCCTGTCATGATCCGGTCAACTCCTCAATTCTTTGTTGATCTCAGCCCGATCCGCGAAAAGGCTTTGGCTGCTCTCAGCAATGTTCGTTTCAAGCCTGCAAGTGGTGAGGCTCGGCTCCGCGCTTTTGTTGATTCCCGAACTGAGTGGTGCGTTTCTCGTCAACGGGTATGGGGTGTGCCTATTCCCGTATTGCATCATAAAGAATCGCACGAGGTATTGCTGAATCACGATTGCGTGACCCACATTATTGACCGTATCGATAAAATGGGTGACGAAGGCCTCGCTCAATGGTTTACACCTGAAGAAGATGTCTCTGCTTGGCTGCCTGACTCCATGTCTTCCAAAGCCGCCGAATACCGTAAAGGTACCGACACAATGGATGTTTGGTTTGATTCTGGTACTTCCTGGACATTGTTCCCTTCCAGTGATCGGCCCGTGGACTTTTATCTTGAAGGTAGTGACCAGCACCGGGGCTGGTTCCAGTCTTCACTCCTCAGCCATGTCGCTTTCAATGACACACCCGTCGCACCGTTCAAGACACTGATCACACACGGATTTATTCTTGACGAAAAGTTACAAAAGATGTCCAAGTCTCTCAAGAATGTTGTTTCGCCGGACGAGCTTATCAACGGTTCCAAGAAATTCCCTGCCTTGGGTGTTGATGGTTTGCGTCTATTTATTGGCCAATGTGACTACACCAGCGACATTTCTTTGTCTCCTATTGCAGTCAATCAGGTTGCCTCCACACTGAAAAAACTGCGGTTAACGTTCAAGTACTTTTTGGGCAATTTAGCGGACTATACTCCACCGGCAGATCTCAAGCTGAGCCCAATCGATGAATACGCATTGAGCCAGCTTGCGCAGTTGGTGAATGAGATGGAAAGAGCTTATGAGGAACAGTCATTTGGACAGGTCGTCAAGGCTCTTCAAATCCATATGAACAGCCACTTGTCGTCGTTTTACTTTGACACCTCCAAGGATATCCTCTATGCAGATGGCAAAGACTCCCCGCGCCTTCAAGCTATCCAGTACGTTTTGCATGAACTTCTTAATGCCTATATCCGCATCATCGCCCCCATTACTCCCCTTCTTGCCCAAGAAGTGTGGGAACACTGCCCCCCTTCGGTAACCAAGGGTCTCGATAGCCCTGCCAAGGCGGGATGGCCAAACGTCGACAAATCCTGGATCAACAAAGATCTTGACGCTGAATTCGCTCAACTCAAATCTATCAGAAAGACTATTAATGATGCGGTTGAGCTGGCTCGCTCTGACAAGAAGGTTGGCTCATCTCTTGCCTGCGACGTTTATATTGAACCGAGCGTTGAAGATGCCAAGGTTCTCGAAAATCATCGCGACATTCTTCCTCTTGTCTTTATCGCCTCCCAGGTCGAGCTCGGTCCTCCCCTTGCCAACCCTGAGTGGATTTTCTCTGCCGAAAATGCGGGCACAAAAGTTTCCGTGGTTGAGCCCAGCCATCACAAATGCCCTCGTTGCTGGCAATTCGTTGCTCCGAAAGAGGATACTCTTTGCCAACGCTGTGAACCCCTAGTTTAATTGTATATATGTCACTCCCGACGAGCCCTCTGTAAATATAACCTATTTCATATGCGCCAACTGACGATTACTGTGAAATTTCACACCTCCCAACCTCCATGCAGCGGTTTTTTTCATCAAAGGCGGCAAAGCCGGTGAACAAGTTAGGCGATGTTCCGAAGGTTATAAAGAAAATCAAATCCAAAGACTCTTCGCCACCACCAAATGGGAACCCCTGGTCGCCGCCATGGCTGAAATGGAAAGAGATCAAATCAGAGAGCAGAAAGTCCCAAGAGGCCAAAGAACCGGCCGCCAGTGAAGCTAAAGAAGAGCCCGTCACAAATTTGGCCTTCACTCTAGACTCAGATAAAGTGGAACTGACACCTGTCGAAGCAGATACCCCCCAAGTCCCTCCATTGGCTAATGGAGTCGACCGGGCTCTTTTCAATCCAGGCGTACAGTTTCTCAAGGATCCTCGGACTAATGTTTACAACTTCACCCCCAAGATTGAAGAAATCATGTCGATCCGTGATTTCGATTTCACTTGTGTTCCAAAGTACGTTCCAAGCGGTAGCGATAATGCTCTATCGAGTCTGGCACAGACCCGGGCCAAAACGTTCACTGGGTCAACTAGCAGTTTGACTCCGCTACTAGTTAAAATACACATGGCTTTGTCGAACAATCGGCCCCCGCAAACCATGAATTTATCCAAATTTTTCCCCAACAAGACGACAACTTTCAGCTCGAGCCAGCGCGGTCCAGTATCGTTCTTCCTAAAATACCATCCAGAAACGAAAACGTATTCTGTTGGTGCAGACGATTCTGATTCTGACGATATCATTTTGACCTTGCTGGGCCAGACGATGGAGAAAATGCTTGTCACAGACGCAGACACTTTTGCATTGTTTGACAAACGTAAAAGCCATGCGGTTCCGCCCGAGCTCAAGGAGGACACCAATGCCTACCATTACAGTGAGTGTGGTAATTTTGTCATGAGATCGCAGCTGGACTGCTACGATTCAAGACTGCCGGGTACGGGCATGTTTGACTTAAAAACCCGAGCGGTTTGTGCGGTAAGATACGATATCGATTATGCTCAAATTCATGATGGATCGCACTACCAGCTGCTTAAGCGTGATGGCTTCTACGAGTCTTATGCACGCGAGTTTTATGAGCTCATTCGAACCACCATGTTTAAGTACTCTTTGCAGGCTCGAATTGGACGCATGGACGGGATATTTATTGCTTATCACAATATCAGCACTCTTTTTGGGTTCGAGTATCTACCGCTCTCGGAGATCGATAAGATCTTCCACACTTCTCATCTAGTCACCAAGTACACAAAGAAGAGTGAGGATCTCGACGAGCAGATGCAGAACGTTGCGTCTTATATTGCTGAAAATGAGTTCAAGCTATCAATGGACTTGCTCTCAAAACTGTTCAAATACATTCTGAAGCGAGTTTCCTCTGATCAAGCTCGTGAGGCCCTGAATATGGTTCTCCACTGCCCAGATAATGGCGAGCTGATCGTTTTTGTCAAGCCCATGCTCACTAAAGACATTGGAGCCGCTCCCGAGACTGTGGTTCAGGATGAAAACTATAAAATGGGACAGGATCCAGCTACTGTTCTTCAGCATTGGTCTGGCGGCAGAGACTTTGTGCCCCCCGACATACTGGCCTACAAAATCAGCCTCACCTCCTACGTTTCAGGGAAACCAGTTCCCAAAAGTGCACCGCCAAAGATCTCACCTGGTGATGCTTGGACAGTCAGAGTTGGTATCGACGAACTCGAGGGGGAAGATCTAAAAAAGGCCTACGAGGATGCCATGAGCAAACACTGTAGCCAGATCGTGACATCCACTCCATTGACTGAGCGTTATGAAGACGAAGAAGAGCTTCGCCGAGTTGCCTTGTCCAAGCTTCCATCTCCCTCGGCGTTGCAGCAAACTCTTCGAAAATTGAACGAAAAGGGCCAACGATATAAAATGTGGGACCAGGCTCGGGATAAAATCTGGAACGGTGAAAGCTAGTTATTAATATTTGTACATAAAATCAGTTTTGCAAGACCTGCTCTTTTACCTCTTTTGCGAGCTCTTTGGCACCGTCTCCGGACACTACTGCCTTTTTGAGCTGGTTGAACGACGGAGGGAACTCGAATGCCTTGAGCACTTTGGGGACGAGTTTGCCGCGAATTCTGAGAGCTCCCGTGCTGTTTGCAACATGGTTTCTGGCGTGCCAAACAACAACAGCAAGATGAAGTACCAGCGCGGGATCCGATGCAGCCTGTAGCTTACGTTCCTGGTGTGACAAAACCTGAGCAGCGGTGGCTTGTAATTTTTGGACTGACGAGCTTTCGATGTAACTGCTCTTGGCGTCATCGATTCCTGATACAGGAAGACAATCACAGTCTGATAAATATTGCTCCCACTCTTTGAAGGCGACGGCCCGCAGCGGCTCCTCGAGCGTCAAGAGACCGCCTAAGTAAACCCCCAGCTTAAGATTAACTTGCTTCTGAATCTCGTCAAGCTTTGCCTGCAAAACTTGAGTTGCCTTATCCAAGTAAGATTGGCGAATAGCCTGTGAAATACGCATTGCGATTTGTTTTTGAAGTTTTTCCGGAAGAGAATCGAGTCTTTGTTCAATGTCACGAATCGATAGTGCCTTACCGCTGACTTTGGCAACTAGCTCCTTGATTCGCTCGCCGGGTGCAATACTGACCTTTTCCGCATCTTCCTCGGCCTTTTTAGAGGCCTCGCTGGCTACCTCGTCCTTAAGTTTTGTTTCAAAAGTGGGGCTAACAAAAAAGCGATTGTATCCATTCGAGAAACGTGCCTGTAAACCAATTTTATCAACAATTTTCTGCCCAAGCTCTATGTCTTCGTCAATAGCGACATAGCCTTGGGTGTCGAGAAGCTGTTTGACATGGTCCCTTTGAGATGCAACATACTCTGGCGTAACGACATAACCCTCGATATCGATTATATTATTTTTACGAGCAAATTTTGCCGGATCTCGGATATTCAGCTTGCTCAGCTCTCCATTTGAGATTTTTCCGTCGCTCCGGAGCTTGTCGAGGGCTTGTGTACGCTGAGACTCAACGTACGACCTTGGGGTATATATCAGAGTATTTCTGTCAATAGAGCCCGCAATTTCCGCTGAGTTTGAGTAGATAGTGAGTATAACAGAGATCAAGAGATCGTTTGGGACCAGGTCCTTCAAACTTATTGGACTTGTTTGCTTTGAAAGATCCTGAAGAAACTCCTTCTTGGCGGCAATAAACAAAGACTCTTTGAGCAGCACACCTTCAATAATAACAAAATCGGAATTCTTGCCAAGCCATTCGAGCAATTTCATGCTAATATTGTGTGTCTTGCAATATTCAACCGCCAAAACAGGCTCTTGGACATTTTCTAAGTTTTCCAAATTAGATAAAACTACCGGCTGAGGAAGAATAACTGAACCGAAATAAACGTTATCGAGTTTCAACTCATTTAGAACAGACTGAAGAGAAGTGCGCGCAACATCGAGGTCAAAGCTCATCAAATCCAAACTGGTTTCTTCTCGACCTTTGGTCAGAAGATCTCTAACGTCGTTAGCAAGTTGATCATGAGTGACCACACCGGCGGATGTCAAATAGAGCGGCTGGCCCAGTTTTTTCTCCAGTTCTGGAAGAGCTTCTTGCACAATAGCTTTAGTTTCAGCCACCGAGAACTCCAATGGCTTCTTCCCCCACAGCATAGTATTTGTCAGTACTAGGTAGCGGCCTCGAAGCTTTTCAGAGCTCGAACGTAATCCCGCAGTTGGGGTTTTCCTCCACCTAAAATGCCTTTACGTTGAGACTCATAAATCATTGCGTTGTTGAGGGCGGCCAAAGGGAACCCATTGGACTGACTATTGAAGGAGATGAACAAGTCTGGGAGCTGTTCAGTCCCGAGAAGGTGCTCCCCCACTGCCTCAGGCTCGATGATCCCAAACTTGGCCTGGCAAGAGTGTCCCTGGAGAACGTCTGTTGCAAACACAACAGCCAACTTGTTGGGAAATACGATATGATGCTCCGTAGCAAATGAAATATCAAGCTCCTTGGTAGGGTAGCCGCTTGCTTTAGCTCGGTCTCTGATAGTGGACTCGAGCTTGTCTCGATTAATTTTATGAAGCGCATCAGTTTGCTCGTAAATAGTTAGCCGGTCAACATGTGGAGTGAGGGCCACCCAACTAACCAAATCTGCAGCTTGTTCAAGCAGGCGTTCTACAGGGTCTGCTGGCTCACCCTTTGCAGGTGGGATATCATCTGAAGCCAATTGAAGGCTCACGGCTATATGACGTGGTACCATGGACAACTCCATTTTAGAAAAGTCCTCTAAGGAAACTACTTTCGTGGTACCGTCGGATATAGCCTCAACGGCATCTAGGAGCCTACTGATCACCCGAGAAAACAGTTTACCATGTCCAATGCGGTTATCGTCGGCATATCGTTTCACAAGTGCATGGGCAAAACTGAGGATTGCTCGTCTCAAATGAAAAGATAGGAATTGCCTCGTGGTAGGAAGGCCAGTCTCGCCGATCGCGTTGACGTTCGACCCCTCCGGAAATCCATGCTGCCAGGGCACGTCAGAGAAAATATCAAAGTTTTGAGTGACTTTAGTGATGCGTGAGGTCAAAGACATTTGAGGACACGGTAGATTTCAGCTTCCTTTTATATACGCTATGTGACAGGTCATTTTCTGTAGTTATTTGAGGCTTCACCAACGAAAGGTAATTAACCCACCCAAGAGACTGAGGGGTAACGTTTTCGACAAAAAAAATGAGGGCAGATTGATTTAGTTTCCAGAAACTAGTTGGTTGAAATATGAATTGCAAACGAAAAGAACCCCAAAACTATAGCCGTTCGGGCCCACGCGTTTGATCCACGGGTTAGGGTAAATATCCTCTTCTGGTTACAAATAAAACCACTTTTCCTTGTGAATCTAATTAACTCGCATATCTCCAACCAACATGGATACGGCAGGCACGGGCGTTGACGCACTTTTCAGTGAGCGTTTACGCAAGTTCACAGAGTTCCTGGATATGTTTGACGATAGTACGGATTATAAGGAGGAAATTCGAAGGATGTTGAATAAGGGAAGCACGCGCTTGGTCGTCTCGCTGGACGACCTTCGAGAGTTTGACCGTGAAATGTGGAGGGGCGTGTTGGACTCCCCAAGCGAATTTTTGCCGGCTATGAATCGAGCACTTAAAGAAACGGCGTTGGCTATTAGAGATTTTTCAGTTCACGAGGTCAAGGATGAGGACCCTTTCTTTGTAGGCTTCCGTGGCACGTTTGGGGATCACTTTGTCAACCCTCGTACCATTGATGCAGCCTTTTTGGGTCGGATGGTGTGTGTTGAGGGTATTGTGACCCGCTGTACCATTGTTCGCCCCAAAGTTGCTCGAAGCGTGCATTATGCTGAGGCCACTGGCGAATTCTTTGCTCGAGAGTATCGTGACCAAACAACTAGTTTCGACCCCATGCCCTCGTCAACTGTATACCCTACTGACGATGGAAGAGGTAATGCCTTGACGATGGAGTATGGGTTTTCGACTTATCGTGACCACCAGACAGTTTCGTTGCAAGAAATGCCAGAACGGGCACCAGCTGGCCAGCTTCCTCGTGGTATTGATATAATCATGGATGATGATCTCGTAGACCGGGTCAAACCTGGCGACCGTGTTCAAATTGTAGGCGTATATCGATCGGTTGGAAGCGGTGCGCAGCAAAAGTCCACGTTCAAGAACCTGATTCTGGGTAACAATGTGGTTATGCTTTCCAACAAGGGAGCACAAGCTACTGCTGCAACTCAACTTACGGCCGGTGATATTCGCAACATCAACAAACTTGGCCGCCGTGACGATATTTTCGAGCTGTTGTCCAAGTCTTTGGCCCCTAGTATTTATGGCTTCGATTACATCAAAAAGGCTGTGCTCCTAATGTTGCTGGGTGGTGTCGAAAAGAACTTACCGAACGGAACCCATATTCGTGGTGATATTAATATGCTAATGGTGGGCGACCCTTCAACCGCCAAATCTCAAATGCTTCGTTTTGTTCTAAATACCGCGACGCTGGCCGTCGCTACAACCGGAAGAGGCTCTACTGGTGTAGGTTTGACAGCAGCAGTTACAACCGACAAAGATACGGGAGAGCGACGACTGGAGGCTGGTGCAATGGTTATGGCCGATCGCGGTGTTGTATGCATTGATGAGTTCGACAAAATGTCCGAAGCTGATCGTGTAGCCATTCACGAAGTTATGGAACAGCAGACTGTCACGGTGGCCAAGGCCGGTATTCATACCACCCTTAACGCGCGCTGTTCAGTCATTGCTGCTGCGAATCCCATTTTTGGCCAATATGACCCCCACAAGGACCCTCATCGTAACATTGCTTTGCCCGACTCGCTTCTGTCACGTTTCGATCTCTTGTTTATTGTTACCGACGAAGTGGATCAGGCGCGAGACCGGGCCATTTCGCAGCATGTGTTGAAAATGCATCAGTATATTCCCGATGGCCTTGCTGAAGGTGTTCCGCAGCGGGAGCCGAGACAGTCTGGATTGGCAGTTGGTTCAGAATCCCAAGAAGATGCCGAAAGTGCACCAGTGTATGAGAAATACTCACCATTGTTACACGCCGGCATTCGCGAGGCTTCAGACCAGGAACAAATTCTTAGTATCCCGTTTGTGCGAAGATACATCCACTATGCAAAGCAACGAGCGAAGCCCGTCCTGTCGCCCGAGGCAGCTGCCTATATTACTTCGACGTACAGTGACCTGCGAAATGATCCACTAGCCCATGGACAGCGCCGCACAGCTCCTATCACCGCCCGTACTCTCGAAACACTCATTCGATTGTCGACGGCACATGCCAAGGCACGGCTCTCAGCCCGGGTCGAGGAGGCGGATGCTGAAGTCGCCCACCAGATTCTTCGCTACGCGCTGTATCGTGAAGTCACTGAGCCTGGTCGTCACAAGCGCCGGCGGATTGAGCAGGAATCGCCCGTCATCTTGGACAGCGACGACGACGACGACGATGAAAGCGTTATGTCCCTTTCCGACGAGGAAGAAGAGTTCACTGTCGCCGACGTAAATGCGCAACCTCCAGCAGCCGAACCCGCCAGTGAAGCGCCCGCAGGCGAAATACGACGATCGGCCCGCGTCCTCCAACAAGCCAGCCAGGCAAGCGCCGTGCCAGAAATCACAGGCATCACGCCGCAGCGCCTGCAGCGGTTCACTCAACTCTGCGGCCAGGTCATGTCGGTTGCCGTTTCTGACGACACGTCGGTGGCTATCCCGGAACTGGTGCGGCTCATCAATGAAAAAGTGCCCACCGAGGACCAATTCACCGACGAGGAGGCCAGAGCAGCCCTCAAATACATGCACGACCGCAATATGGTCTTTGTCCACGAAGAAGCAGACAAAGTATACACTATTTAGTTTAATTATTCCTTTTTGTTCTCCTCGCGTCGCCTATTTTTCACTGCTTTGTCATGGCCACCTTGTCAAGCTTCCTACTATATGCTGGTGCCCGTTCCAGGAATCGAGGAAGCGGCGCTGTGCAACCCGAAGCCGGGTCTGATGCGGCCGTATGGGTGGCCGTTTTTGGCGCTGTACCCTGCGTTCTTCTACATATACCTTTTCAGATACGACGAGTACATTGGGGCGTCTGAGTGGACGACAGTGTTCATTGGGGCGATTATCTCACTCCAGGCGCTGTTGTGGCTGATGCCGTTCTGGAACGTCAGTCTTCGCGAGTCGTTCGAGACCGATCCGGCTTCCAGTGTCGAGACGGCGTCTCAGATTAAGGTCGTGCCTGCGTCGAACGCAGGTTCTCCTGACGTCTGTGATCTGGTTCGCGACGATGATAACGTCGTTTCGTTCTTGTTCCAGAAGCGTCGCTACATTTACGACAGTGAGACCCAGACGTTCCGTCCTCCCGTGTTTGCCGTCGACAAGGCCGGCGTTACCATTGGCGAGATGCAGAAACTTCCCGGCTTGACGTCCAAGGATTTGCCGGCTCTTCAGCGCTCGTACGGACCCAACAAGTTTGATATCCCTGTCCCTACTTTTGGCGAGCTTTGGAAAGAACATGCCGTCGCACCTTTCTTTGTGTTCCAGGTCTTTTGCATCGCACTGTGGTTCTTGGACGAAATGTGGAAGTACTCGCTGTTCTCGCTTTTCATGCTGTTCACCTTCGAGTCTACTGTGGTTTGGCAACGCCAGCGTACTATGACAGAGTTCCGCGGCATGGGTGTCAAGCCCTATCAAATCAATGTTTACCGCGACAAGAAATGGAAAGAGATTGAGACCACAGAGCTTTTGCCTGGCGACATTGTCTCGGTTACTCGAACCCCTGAAGAGTCTGGTTTGCCATGCGATCTGCTGCTTTTGCACGGTAGCGCTATCGTGAATGAGGCTATGCTTAGTGGTGAGTCTACTCCTCTGCTCAAGGAGAGCACAGAGACTCGTGAGGCTAACGATGTTTTGGAACTTGAGGGTATTGATAAAAACAGTGTTTTGTTCGGTGGTACCAAAGTTTTGCAGGTAAGCACTGCTGCTCACGGCTCTATCCCTGCCCCTCCTGACCAAGGTGCTTTGGCCGTTGCTATTCGCACTGGCTTCGAAACCTCCCAAGGTTCCCTTGTTCGGGTGATGATCTTCTCCACTGAGCGCGTGGGCGCGGGAAACAAAGAGGCTTACTTCTTTATTCTCTTCTTGCTTGTGTTTGCCATTGCTGCTTCAGCTTATGTATGGACTGAAGGTGTCAAGGCTGACCGCAAACGCTCAAAGCTCTTGCTTGACGCTGTCTTGATTATCACCTCTGTTGTCCCTCCTGAGCTGCCTATGGAGCTGACCCTTGCTGTCAACACCAGTTTGGCTGCTTTGTCAAAGTTCTACATCTACTGTACCGAGCCTTTCCGCATTCCATTCGCTGGCCGAGTCGATGTTTGCTGCTTCGATAAAACCGGCACACTCACCGCCGAAGATCTGTTGGTCGAAGGTGTAGCTGGTCTCAAGCCCAATAATGAGCTCATGGATATCAAGCAAGTTCCTGAAAGTACCGCTTTTGCTCTCGCTGCTGCCCACGCTTTAGTCCATTTGGATGATGGCGAAGTCGCTGGTGATCCTATGGAGAAAAGTACTTTGGCTGGTCTTAACTGGGAGGTTCTGCCCAAAGACCACGTCCGTAGTGTTGACAACCCCAGTTGCAAGTTGCAAATCATCAAGCGTTTCCAGTTTTCCTCTGCTCTCAAGCGTTCGTCCTCAGTTGCTAAGTTGAATGACAAGCTTTTGGTTGCTGTCAAGGGTGCTCCCGAAACCATTCAAAAGATGTTGGTCAAGGTTCCCGCCGACTACGAGGAAACTTATAAACACTTTACTCGTGAAGGCTCCCGAGTGCTTGCTTTTGGTTGTAAACATTTGCCGCTTTCCCGCGCCAAGGAGATTTATCATTATCCCCGTGATGATGCTGAATCTAAGCTCGAGTTTGCCGGTTTCTTGATTTTCCACTGCCCTCTCAAGCCCGACGCTATCGAAACTGTCAAGATGCTTAACGAATCGTCTCATCGTGTAGTGATGATCACTGGTGATAACCCGCTGACTGCAGTCAAGGTGGCTTCTGACGTTGGCATCGTTGAGCGTCCTACCTTGATTCTTGATAAACCCGAGAAGGCTACCTCCTTGCTGTCGTGGCAATCGATCGATGGTGAGACTGAACTGCCCTGCGATGTTGACGAACCTGTTGCTTACGACTTGTTTGAAAAGTATGATCTCTGTGTCTCTGGCTATGCGTTGAATCTGTTGCAAAACAACGAACACATTTCTGATCTCATCCGTCACACCTGGGTTTACGCCCGTGTTTCCCCCGCTCAGAAGGAGTTCATTCTGATTACCCTCAAGCGCGAAGGTTACATGACGCTGATGTGCGGTGATGGCACCAACGATGTTGGTGCTTTGAAGCAGGCTCACCTCGGTGTTGCCTTGCTCAATGGTTCTGAGGAAGGTATGAAGAAAATGGCCGAGAAAAATCTCATTGAAATGTCGAAGAAAATGTACGAGAAGCAGGTGGATATGATGCGTCGTTGGAACGCCAAACCACCAAATGTTCCTTTAAAGATCGCCCACTTGTACCCTCCGGGTCCCAATAATCCTTTCTATATTAAGGCGGTTGAGAAGATGGGAGGTGAGATTGATGAAAAGACTCGTGCCGAGATTGCTAGTTTGCAGGTTACTACGAATCCTAGTGAAACTAAGGCGGCTGACCTGGCAGACAAGTTGACCTCGATGATGGATGACAATGATATGGAAGCGCCTGCTTTGAAGCTTGGTGATGCCAGCGTTGCTGCACCTTTGACTTCCAAACTCGCCAACGTTTCCGCCGTCACCCACATTATTCGTCAGGGCCGCTGCACGCTGGTTGCCACGATCCAAATGTACAAGATTCTTGCCCTGAACTGCCTGATTGCTGCTTACTCTTTGTCTGTTTTGTACTTGGCCGGTATCAAGTTTGGTGACGGCCAGAGCACCGTTTCTGGTTTGTTGTTGAGTGTCTGCTTTATGTCTATTTCTCGGGCCCGGGCCGTTGACAAGCTGTCCAAAGAGCGTCCTCAGCCGGGTATTTTCAACAAGTACATTATGGGTTCGATTCTGGGACAGTTTGCTGTACATATTGTCACTTTGATCTATGTGTCTGGTGAGGTTTACAAGATTAAGCCCCGTGAAGACAACATTGACCTTAAAGGCAAGTTTGAGCCTTCGTTGCTGAACACCGCTATTTACTTGCTGCAGCTAATTCAGCAGATCTCTACTTTTGCTGTGAATTATCAAGGAAGACCCTTCCGTGAAGCTCTCCACGAGAACAAGGGCATGTACTACGGCATCCTCGGTGTTATGGGCTTGGCGTTTGCTGGCGCAACTGAGTTTATCCCTGAGATGAATGAGGCACTTAGTCTAGTCAAGATGTCGTCTGGATTCAAGGTCATGCTTACCGTTGTTATGGTGTTTGACTTTATCGCCTGCTTTGCAATCGAGTACGGTCTCAAGTTCCTGTACTCGGACTACAAGCCCAGCGATATCGCACTGCGTCTTGAAGAGCGCCAGTCAATTGTTCAGAAACGCAACAGAAAGCTTTAAAAAAATCGTGAATAAACCTCTCATAATATATTTGTGTAAAAAAAGTTTAAATCCATCATTCATCGGAAGTTTTCCAGATTTGTCATTATGAAGAGATCCAAGTCTGGAGACAATGGCAAAAAGCGGCATAAAAACTGGTCTGTGTTAGAGCCAGGGTGGCAGGGTATTTTTGTGACTTGCCCGCGCGGCAAGGAATCAAACTGTCGGGCTGAGCTGCTAGATTTGTTACGGGAATATGTCGATAACGACGACGAAGAGGAAGACGAGGGCGAAGAGGAATCGGGCGACATTGAGGCTGTGTTGTCCAAAGAGGTTGCATCCTTGAAACAAAAACGCAAAGAGAGCAACGTAGAAGGCCACTTGGTGGGCTGTGAGTGCGTGGTGTTTGCCCGATTGAAGAAAGCCGACCCAGTGGAGGTTGTAAAGCGGATTTGCCGGGACGCAAAACACAAGGGAATGAAGCAAACGCGGTATGTCCAACGCATGACACCCGTGTCGCTACTTGTGACCGCCAATCTCGACAATATTGAAAAGTTCACCCCTATAGTCGAGTCTGCAATGCCTGGCGAGGGCCTCAAGTTTGCCATCAGACCCACGATTCGAAACAACACCAAGATCCCCAGGGACGAACTTATCTCCAACACTGCCAAGCTGGTTGGACACCGCCACAAAGTGGACCTAAAGGGCTACGACAAGCTGGTTCTTGTCGAGTGCTTTAAATCGGTCATGGGGCTGTCTGTTGTTGACGAGTTCGATGAACTGAATAAATTCAACCTTACACAAATCTATGAAGCTGCGGCAAAGGCCCAAAATGATGCTCAAAATGATGCCGAGTAGACCGTGGGCTCCTGCCAAGCCAGCCAGTCGCTGGTGTGGGTGGGCAAAAGACCCATTTGGCCCACTTTCCAAACGCCAGCCACCATTGTAATCACAGCACAGAGAATAAATACGATTTTGGTCATGAGGATTTCCGAATGAATGTTTTTGCCGTCCAAGTGCCCGAAGGTCTGGCCCATGGACATGATCTGGCGCATAGGCGACAAAAAGAACATGTAGAGTGTCATAGACATGGTAATCATTTGCATTGAATTTCCACTGAACCAGGACATGATTAAATTCATCGGAAGGCTTTTCGCAGGCGCCAGAGCGAGCTCCCATGCCCGTTTAACCTTGAGGGCGTCCTCGTTGGTTTTGCCGTGCTTCTGCCGCTTCTCAGAGCCCTCAAAGATGTCTGGCTTGACAACCTTGCGCGGCTGCGAAGACATGGCAACGCCAACCGCCTGTGTACGGTCCGTTAGCTCGTAAAACCAGTGAGGCAGAGTGTTTGAAACCATTGGCCTCTTACTTAATCGGCCGTGAGCTTTTAAGGGATGGAAGTCGCCAAACACCCACCGCCAAAACTGGCCACGGCGTCTGTAACGACGATATATCTGTCGAGCAACACGCCGTTTGTCTCTGGGATGAAACGGGTTAAGCGCCATCTCGACAAGATGCAGCGTAAACGGCTCGGCCGCTACGTCGTAGTGTTTGGCCTGGGAAAGGCGATTCAAAAGGCGCTGGCAGTAGCAATGGAGCTACAAAGCTTGGGGTACCGGGTCAAAGTCTACACGAAAACTATGCATGCTCTTGACGAGCATATCGACGAAGATGCGGGCACATCTGAGATGGTTAAACGGCCTGTGGGTGCGATCGAGCTCCATGTGTATCCGCTGGCCGATAAATACAAAAAGACATTGTGATTTTTTCTTATGCTTGATATTTATACTATGATCCTCGTATTATGTTCATTAATTAGTGTGCCCGACAAGGTTTTCAGAAACGGGCTCGAGCTGCACGACGAATGATCTCGAGATCGTGCGCCAGTTTGCCTTTGACTTTGGCAGCATTGGCCTCGATTATGCGAACTGCCTGCGCATAATTGCGTAGGTAATACTGCTTCTCAGCAGCGTACTTGATACGGTTCATATCTAACTTGCCTTGTACGTTCATATCGACTGGTCCGTCAAAATAGGTAGCAGACTGATTAATAGGGCCCGATTCGTGGAAATTATCTAGTTCCTTTTGCCACGCCTCCTCAGATTGGCCTTTTCTCTGGCGGACTTTGCCATTAGCGTGGTTCGTTGAAAGTGCGGGGACGGTTTCGGGGTTCTCCGAAAACTCAACCAAAGCAGTGTCCAAGTAGACCTCCTGGCAGTCCTCATTAGCTACTCCGTTTTCGTGAATAAGGACGGCGAAATCAACAACATCTCCTAAAGCGACCATGGGGGCATGCCAGGTGCCTGCTCCGTAAGTGACCGCCTGGTCTCCTTTGACGATGAAAGCCTCTAGCCCCGATAGATCGGGCAGCCCATCTGACGCGGTAGGAGCAACAATAACCAGGTAGGCGACGTCGTTTCTGCTGCGACCCATAGGAACAAACGTCTGGGTCGAAAACGGGTGTCTCTCAAGCACCTTGGAAGTGTACTTCTTGACGCCATTTTCGCCCTCTTCAATAAGATGGTTGGGGGGCGAGCATCTGAACATGTTCCAATTGCACGTGGCTCTCTTTCCACTTGGAGCGTTTTCAAAAGTGCTCCCAATAGGAGACACTTTAAACAGCTTGACGGCCGTACCGTAGTTGGCACTCTCAGACTTGACTGAGGCAAGCTGGTGGGCAGACGAAATCACGCCTCCGTACCGAGCAAAGCGCTCGGGCGTGATTGGTTCAGCAGTCACCTTGATATCTGTCTTCAAAGTGGCTAAAACCATGGTCTAGTCAACAGTTGAAGGAAATCCCCGGCTTACTCACGGGCCTTTATATACTTTGACTTCACCCCGCTCCCATCATGACTTGGTTCCAAAAAGAGGTCCGGCTTTCTCCACGTGGGCAGGGAGTTTACCTTGTGACCGATGAACTGTTGAGTCAAGTGCCTGAGCTCGGCCAGTTCAAGATCGGCATGGCTAATTTCTTTGTCAAGCACACGTCTGCTGGTATTACCCTGAATGAAAATTACGATCCAGATGTGCGGACAGACATGAGCAATGCGTTTGCCAAAATCGCCCCAGAGGGCGACGACTATCTACACAACGACGAAGGCCCTGACGATATGCCTGCTCATATTCGAGCTGCGCTGGTGGGCGTTTCGGTGGATGTCCCGATTCGGAACGGCCGGCTGTGCACCGGGACCTGGCAGGGTATTTACCTGTGCGAATTCCGCAAGTACCGCCACACAAGAACGATTGTGGTCACTTTGAACGGCGAAAAGAACTGAGAAGAAACCTTTGAACGGTTTTTCCGCCCAGCTACGTCATTGTGCATGGGGCACTTTTTCTAGTAATTTGTTTAGCTAAGCAAAGGCAAAAGACCTCTTGTGACAATGAGTCTACTTGGTCTGCCAAATGAGGTTTTGTTGCAAATTTACGAGTACGGAGGCCTCGAGATTCTTGCGTCCGGCCTTCCTTTTACTTGCAAGCGACTCCATGCGCTCAGTTTTGACGACCAGCTGTGGCAGGGCTCCCTTACGGAAATGTTTCATCAATGCTATTTTTCTGCGGAAAGAATAAGTGTTTTAGGGGTGATTCCGGGCTACCGTAAATGGTTCTACCAGCAGCTCAAAATAAACGCTAGAGTTGCTCGCGCCCTGGACACTCTGGTCTACGAGGCCCCCGAGGAGGCTGAGGCGGTTGTCCTGCAAGTCGTCGCCCACCGTTTGCCTGCTCTGGTCCAGCTGGAAGCAGCAATCAAAGAGCCAAAGACACTCGCCCACTACCACTGGGCGTCCTGGTTGCACTCCGTAGTGTGCCGGCTTGAGGGCGTCTACCGCTTGCTCGAGCTGTCTACTGAAAACGATTGCGGTAACGCAGTCGTCAAGGAGCCCATTAAACATGTGGAAACTTTACTATTTTTGAGAGGCGGTGCCAGACCCTATGAGTTTCAAAACGCAATGACCTCGAATTGGTCTCCGGTGATAAAGGGCATTGCCGAGCTGCCTGACCAGATTCTGGCGGTAATGTCAGAGATTCGCAAGATTTCAAGCACACTGGGCATCAGAAACGATTATTTTGCCACACTGCTCAAATGTACTTTGTTTGCTCACATCGCCTACGACATCTGGGATGACGTCGATGCCACTCTATTCACTTTCCCCGGTGTAACTTATGTCTGTGTTCGGCGGGAGCAGGAATGGCTTTTCGTGGATTTCCAGGCGCCTCCCCAATCACCCAAGGTCAGAACCCTGCAAGAAGTTCGCGATCTCATGGCCTATGCCCGAGTTTCTGAGCAAGACGTCCAAGTGGGAGTGTCCTTCCGCGACCTCATGGCCACGACGTATGTGTGGCACACTATGCCAAGCGAAAACAGACAGAGCATTCTTGATCTTATTGAGCACGCTGCTTTGGACGTGCCTGTGCGTAAACTGCAAATGCATCCGGGCCTGTACGAAGCAGTGGCCAAACGAATTATTCTTAAAAACATTGACGACGTCCATCTCACCCCGCAAATGCCAGCGTCTCGGCGGCCGACCGGGCTGGTGTTCCGCCCGGGCATGGTCTGTCAAATTGTCGGAATGGGGTCCTCGGAGTCGGTTGTTGTACTCGAGTCCAACAATGACTCGTGCACGGTTCTTCGCGGCTCGCAGGTCCGCACGGTTTTGTCGTCAATGCTTGTCCCTGGCTACGACGGCAAAATCAAGCGAGACAGAGGCCTTGTTGTGCCCGATATCGATGCAGACTTGACCATTCTCGGCGAGTACTTTTTGAACTATGATCCCCAGCACCAAGCATTCAACCCGGCTTGATTCACTATTTATTACGTTCATTTATATGCAAAATTAAATATCAGTATGCAGTGCATGTTAATCTCACCACCTTCAAGTTGCCAGAGTCGACCAGCGAGCAAAAGTCTGGCTGGCTTTTCGACAAAAGCTCGATGGCCTCCGAGATCTCGCTTGGGCTCAGCCGCGTTTTTACACTTGTGCTCACCCTGTCAATGAGCTCGCTCATGGAAAAACTGCTCCGCATAGTGCTCAGTGAATGCAGTACGGCACTGATTCCCGGAAGCTGTGCAATAAGAAACTTTTCCCTCTGCTGTCTTTTCACTAGCGGGTCGCTCGCCCGTTTCAGCGCCTCCTCCTTCATTCGAATGCGCGTCAATATGTCTCCTGTCTTTGGAATGCTTGCTGTGTACCGTTTCACCGTGCCTTTGATCACTCGACTCGGTGCTTTGCCCACAATCCTCCTCGTCGGCTTCATAGGGGTAGGAGGAGGAGAGGGGAGACTGCGGGCGCCGATCAAAGTAGCGAACTTGTTGGCCCGTTCCTTCAACCTCAGAGGCAATTCGCACGTGGAGAGCAGCCAATTTGTGCGTGCCTGCTCTAGTTTGTAGGCGTCCGGGTAGACTTCCAAAATCTCCTCCACAGTCTGCTGCGCAATTCGCAGTCCAGAAAGCTTGAGCACTCTTGCAATCACCTCCTCCAATGGCAAGGGACGAGCACTGGTGCTGTGGTGGAACTGCATAACCGCTTCGACCGCACTGAATTTCTGGATCAGCGACATTAATGAGAAAAACCTCGCGACGCGTTTGTAAATTGATTCTCCCAAGGCGCGCTGCATACCACCCCCCCCCCCCCCCCGGGGCCCGCGACCGGGGTACTGGGACGGCTTCCGGGGAAAAGCCGGGTAAACATATTAGTCAGCGGGGTCTCAGTTTCTCAAAAATTCGACAATTTTCCACCCATTGGGTTATATAACCAGGTGAAAAAAACTTTCCCCCCTCCAAACTCTACCTAGTAGCAACCCTAAAAGAAAAGCCTCAAAAAATGCTCGCTGCTAGATATGCTCGTGTTGCGGCCAAGCGTGCGCCTCTGCGCATGGCGTCGCCTGTTTTCCAGCAGACCCGTTTCAACTCTAATGGCAAGATTCAGGGCACCGTAATTGGTGTGGATCTGGGTACCACCAACTCGGCCGTGGCCGTCATGGAGGGCAAGACCCCCAAGGTCATTGAGAACTCCGAGGGTGCCCGTACCACTCCGTCCGTCGTTGCCTTCACCAAGGACGGCGAGCGTCTTGTTGGTGTGCCCGCCAAGCGCCAAGCCGTCGTCAACCCCGAGAACACCCTCTTTGCCACCAAGCGTCTCATTGGTCGCCGCTTCGAGGATGCTGAGGTCCAGAAGGACATCAAGGAGGTGCCCTACAAGATCGTCAAGCACACCAACGGCGATGCCTGGGTCGAGGCCCGCGGCCAGAAGTACTCGCCCTCTCAGATTGGTGGCTTTGTGCTCACTAAGATGAAGGAGACCGCCGACGCCTACCTTGGCAAGGCCGTCAAGAACGCCGTCGTTACCGTCCCCGCTTATTTCAACGACTCCCAGCGTCAGGCCACCAAGGACGCCGGTCAGATCGCCGGCCTTAACGTCCTCCGTGTCGTCAACGAGCCCACTGCCGCTGCTTTGGCTTACGGTCTCGAGAAGGACGACGACAAGCTCATTGCCGTCTTCGATCTCGGTGGTGGTACTTTCGATATCTCTATTTTAGAGATCCAGAAGGGTGTCTTCGAGGTCAAGTCTACCAACGGTGACACTCACTTGGGTGGTGAGGACTTTGACATTGTCCTTGTCCGTGAAATCGTCGGCAAGTTCAAGAAGGAGACCGGCATCGATCTCAGCGGTGACCGCATGGCCGTCCAGCGTATCCGTGAGGCCGCCGAGAAGGCCAAGGTCGAGTTGTCCTCCTCCAGCAAAACCGAGGTCAACTTGCCCTTCATTACCGCCGACGCCTCCGGCCCCAAGCACATCAACGAGACTCTCACTCGTGCTCAGTTCGAGAAGCTCGTCGATCCTTTGCTCAAGCGCACTGTTGAGCCCGTCAAGAAGGCCCTCAAGGATGCCGACGTCTCGGCTTCCCAGGTCAATGAGGTCATCCTTGTTGGTGGTATGACCCGTATGCCCAAGGTCAACGACATCGTCAAGGAGGTCTTCAACCGTGAGCCCAGCCGCAGCGTCAACCCCGACGAGGCTGTTGCCATTGGTGCCGCCATCCAGGGTGCCGTTCTTTCCGGTGAGGTCCAGGACGTTCTTTTGCTTGATGTCACTCCTCTCTCCCTCGGTATCGAGACCCTCGGTGGTGTCTTCACCCGTCTCATCAACCGTAACACCACCATCCCTACTCGCAAGGCTCAGGTCTTCTCTACTGCCGCCACCGGCCAGACCTCTGTCGAGATCCGCGTTTACCAGGGTGAGCGTGAGCTTGTTCGCGACAACAAGTTGATCGGCAACTTCACCCTCGGTGGCATCCCCCCCGCCCCCAAGGGCGTTCCTCAGATCGAGGTCACTTTCGACATTGATGCCGATGGAATCATCAACGTTTCTGCCCGCGACAAGGGCACCAACAAGGATGCCTCTATCACTGTTGCTGGCTCTTCTGGTCTTTCCGACTCTGAGATCGAGAACATGATCAAGGACGCCGAGAAGTACGCCGACCAGGACAAGGCTCGTCGCGAGATGATCGACGCTGCCAATCGCTCCGACGGCGCCGCTAACGAGATCGAGAACTCTCTCAACGAGTACCGTGCCCAGCTCGACGCCAACGATGTCAAGGAGCTCGAGGCCAAGGTCGCTGAGGTCCGCGAGCTCGTTGCCCGCTCCCAGGCCGGCGAGGAGGTCGACAAGGAGGATCTCCGCGTCAAGACCGACGAGATGCAGAACAAGTCTCTTGAGGTGTTCAAGAAGGTCTACGAGAACAAGGCCAAGGAGCAGCCTCAAGACGAGAAGAAAGAGTAAATAGTTGTCTTTTCTTGTACATAAATTTTAAACCCCTGCCCCAGTACATGGTTCCTTAACACAAAAAGGCGAGAAGAATTACAATTGACCAAATGCTCCATTTAGATGAAGCGTTTGCTGGTCATATAGACGCAATCCAAGGCCAGCTGCAGAAGCTCGACAGGACGGTTGGCGACCTGTCGCAGGTCCAGAACTCGGCAGTCGTCAACACCGAGCAATTCAGTCGGATCCTTTATGGATTGTACGTAGTGACAGCTGCAGTCAAGTTTCCGCAAGCGCCCGATTCTTTGGCACTCAAACAGGCAACGGAACCCTCCGCAAAGACAGCTCTGGTGCCTACGCAAGCTACTTTACCTCCGCAACCCAGGGTCGAGACTCCAAGATACAAACCAATGTCACCTCAAGAATCTATAATGCGGTTCTCATCTACAACTCGGATCCAAAAGCCTACACCAATTAAAACAATGCGCAGCTTTTATATGCCTGTTACAACAAATTATCGTGGCTGAAGCTCAATGTGCTTGCCAATTGTATACATGTATTCTCGTTCGGGAACACCCAGACTCCTCGACCCGGCGGAAACATGCAAAATACCCGTAATATCGTCGGCACGGCCCGTTGGAACAGGACGAATAGTTAGAATTAGACTGGCCTGATGCATGAGGGAAGTGACAAACTGAGTGAACTCCTGCGATACCGGTAACTGGGACTCAATTGACGGTCTAGACAGCTGGACAGCCACAACCACTCGAGATTTGACCAAAAGGCTCTTGATAAAGTTCAGCAAACCGGCATGATCCGTAAGGTTCGCCATTAATAAAAGTGTGGGGTACTGAAGCACGACAGTGCGCTTATTGAATGCCATGATTTTGGCAAGCACCACTTTGAGATCGGGCTTTATGAAATTAGGACCGCTCATTCTGATAAGGTCTTCTCCTAGATCCAAAAACTCGCCAGCAACTTTTGGTTTGTCTCGGCAAAAAGACACAAACAACGACTCTTTGTCGCAGAGCCACTCAAGTAACCACTGGCTGCTGGTCTGTGGCGTATCTGAAACAACAGCCAAACTTCTTTCTAAACCCAAAAGCTCGCCATTCTCATAAAAGCTGAGATCCGACAACAGCATTGAAAAGTGAGCCCTGCTGACACAAGCAAATTTTTTTTTTTTTCATCCAAAAATGTCGTTGCCTGCTTTGCCTCGCGATTGGAATAAATCCGAATCTTTCAAGGCTGTTGCTTCGTTCACAACCCCCGAAAAGCTTGCTGCCGAGCCTGTTGGCCCCGGCTTCCTTGGTCATGCTCGCCGTATTCTTCGCAACCGTACGTTCTCTGAGGACGAACGTCTGGAGGCCGAGCGCAACGTCAAGGCCATCGAGACCGCCGACAACGACTACGAGAGCGAACCTGAGGATGCCGATATGCTCCGTCACGACCCTAAGGACTGGAAGTCTCTTGACCAGTACGAAGTCCTGGGTCTCACCAAGTACCGCTGGAGAGCCGACGAGGACCTGATTCGCAAGGCACACCGCCGGAAGGTTCTCAAGCACCACCCTGACAAGAAGGCTGCTGAGGGTGCCGGTGATGAGGATGGATTCTTCAAGTGTATTCAGAAGGCATTTGAGACGCTGGTTGACCCGAGCAAGCGCCGTCAATGGGACAGTGTTGATCCCAAGGCCAATGTCCCCGTTCCCAGCAAAAAAACCAAGGGCGATTTCTTCGAGCGGTGGGGCAAGTTTTTCGAGGCCGAGAGCCGTTTCTCCACCAAGCAGCCTGTTCCCCAGCTCGGTGACTTGAACTCTACCAAGGCCGAGGTTGATGCCTTCTACTCTTTCTGGCGTCGGTTCGATTCCTGGCGTTCGTTCGAGTGGCTGGATGAGGACGTGCCCGACGACTCGTCCAACCGCGACAACAAGCGCTACATTGAGAAGAAGAACAAGGCCCTCCGTGCCAAGCACAAGAAGGACGACACTGCTCGTTTGATCAAGGCCATTGATCTCGCTCTTTCCGAGGATCCTCGCCACCGCATGTTCAAGGACGCAGACAAGGCAGCCAAGGCCCAAAAGAAGTGGGAGCGCGAGGCCGGATCTCGTGAGGCTGCCGAGAAGAAGGCTGCCGAGGAGCAGGCGAAAGCCGACGCCGAGGCCAAGGCCAAGGCGGACGCCGAAGCCAACAAGGACGCCAAGGAAGCGGCCAAGAAGGCCAAGGAGGCCGCCAAGTCTGCCAAGAAGAAGCACAAGCGTACCCTGCGCAACGCGATCAAGGACGTCAACTATCTGCTGCCCGAGGGCGAACAACCTAGCCCTGATACAGTGGCTAATGCACTGGCTGATGTCGATAACCTTATCGAGGCCCTGGACGACATGGAGCTCGCCGACTACGCCGGCAAACTGTCTCCTCTGACCGCCGACTCCGTCAAGGCCGCGTTCACCGAGGGCGTCCAGGCAAAGGGCATTAAGCCCAAGTTTTTTCTGTAAATCAGACTAAATAAAATAAATCGCTATAAAATCGCGCTCGCCGCTCTGATTACATATGCCAAAGCTGCTTTCCTGCAGCCCCAAAGATACCGATTTCATCGGAATTAAAGAGTACCTCGCGTCGACGCCGGTGGACTATGCTCTGGAGGACAGTCCCGTTCTATATGTGGTGAGTGACGGGAACATGTCGGGGCTGGCCAGCGGGCCGGCGAGATTGTGGGTTGCGTCGAACGGGCTGCACTTCTGGCCAGCCGCCGGAGGCCGCCAGGGCTTCACTGTGGATCTGGATGAAGTCAATTTGCACGCGATTCAGACCGAGCCGCCTGCTCTGTATCTGCAGGTGCAGGGCGAACAGGACTACGATTTTTCCGACCTCAAGTTCGCTGCGCAGGTGCCGGTGTCCCGGCTGTACGAGGCCGTCTCAGCGTGTATTGAGACATTCACACCGACCAAAGCCGCCGCAGAAGACCACCAGCTCAGCGGTGCGGACGTCAATGTGCCATTGCCGGACCTCAAATCCGGCCAGGCTGACGACGAGGTCTACTACACATACAACTACGAGGGCGCAGCCGCCGCGGACGTCGACGTGGGCGGGGAGGGCCGACTAGGCAAGAGCCGCCGACGCAGCGACTCGATGGAGTCTGAACGAACTCGAAAACAACCTCGTGACTAACTTATTTACCGGGCTAACTTATCGGCTATCCGCTCAAGTTGCTCCTCAAACACTCTGTCTTGAGTCACTCTCTTTACACTGTCTCTTCGAGCAATTTCAATGCGCGTTTCTTGCTCCTCCGCAGTCGGCGGCAGGCCCTCGTTTTCCATATCGGCCTTGCGGGCTTCATCGAACGACGAAATGGCTCCCTGCACCCCAGCAGACCCGAACATGAGCGTGCCCTTGGGCAAACTGTGGCCACTGCTGAGCTTGAACTCGGAAATCGACTCGGCCTCTTCGCGTAGCACGCTGAACATACGCGACAGGCGGCCAATTGCCAAGATCTTGTTGCGGAGTTTGCTGAACTTCTCGTCCTCGGGCGCGTCGGACGCAGCCATCGGTTTGGGTGGCTCTTCTGACTTTTCTTTGTGCAGCGACGAGGATGCAAGCACTTTTTCACTTTTCTTGGGGTCGCTGTCCTTGTCGAGCTCCTCTTCAGAGCACAAGTTCAAAATCGCCATGAGCATCTCCGACACCTTTTCTCCGACAAATGGCAAGGACCATGTAAACACATCAATAAAGTTCGGAAGCCAGTAAGGGTGCGGGGATGCATTGAACTGGCGAATGTTCAGCACGTTGGACTCGTACTTGAGAATGGCTGCTTTGTTGTTGTAAGCGTCCAAGTAGTTGGGGGCACTGAAAATCGTCATCAGCGACGGGAACCCCGTCGATTCGGTCTTTTTGTATGTCCGGTAGCCTGCATCTTGCGCCTCATGTGCTCGAATGACGCTCAGCAGATTGTTCCTTTTCAGAAAATCACACGTAGCCTGATAGGTGTAAAAGTATGAGCACCCCCGCACGCTATTGTGCACATATTTACTAGTAGCCACAACGTCGGGCTCAGACCCAAAGTCTTCGTGAGGGTCACTCCATAATAAATCACACATGAGCCCTCTGGTCGGGGGCTCCTGGAAGCGATTGATTTTCTCAATGTCTTCGATAGTCCGTAAGTCAGGTGACAGACCACCGTGAACACAAAGAAACTGCTTGTTCATGATAGCGGCCAGTGGCAGGGCATCAAACGACTCCATACATGCGTCGTATATCCTTGTTGAGTATTTGTGCTCGCACTCCTTGCGGAATGTGAAGTAGTTGGTGAGGTGCCGGCACTCGTGATTGCCCCGAAGGAAAAACATCGTGTCCGGATACCAGATCTTGAGAGACCACAGATACAGCACGCACTCAATGCTAAAGTATCCGCGGTCCACATAGTCTCCCATAAATAGATATCGGGTTTGCGCAGGATCCCCCCCAACCTCAAACAGCTTCATGAGGTCGTAGTACTGGCCGTGGATATCGCCACAGACAGTGACCGGAGCCGGAACATGCAGCACATTGGGCTCTTTCCTGAACAGTTTTGTGCCTTTGCGGATAATATACATTGCCTGCTTCTCAGTCAAACGGCCCTCGTCAAACAGAAACTGGCGCAGAAACTCCAACCGCGGCCGTTTGCCCGTCTCGTCAAACAATTCCTCGTCCAGTGGCGGCTTCGAAGGCGGACACGGCACATCTTTAACTGCTCGCTCTACCGTCGACATCTCGCGCCCTTCTTCGGTCACATACACTGTTGCGTCGCGAGTCCCCATGGTAGTAAGACGGTTAGTCACCCGGCCCCGCAAGCCAGAATTTTGGCAGGCTGCGACGGTGAGAACAGCCGGCAGCGGCTCTGCGATCTGCTCAAATATGCCATCTGTACATCTGCTACGGGTACTTTGATAAATTAATCGTATCTAGCGCTCATCTTAGTAGCTGACATAACTGAAAAATTTCTCATGTCTCTTCCTACTAAGGTTGAAGCGGAAGGAAATTCGCTTGTTTTCCCTAACGAGAAGCAGCAGGCGCGGTTTGAGGTGGGTCTGTCGTCGGCAATTTTTCTGTGGGACGAGCTGACCACCGCCGTCGACAATAATTGGGGCGGTGCAGACAGTGCGGAGAAGCGCGAGTGGCTGGTCGGCACAGTGATTGATCTGTTCAATGAGAGAGTCGTCGAGGCCGAGGACATCGAGTACCGTCTGCTGGGCGTCATGGAAGACGAGTTCGACGCTGTTCTCGAGACCGACGGCGCTTTCAAGGTCGCCCAGACAATCCTCAGTCTCTACGTCGAGTGCCTGGAGGAAAACTATGCCCAGGTCGACGCTCTTTACAATAAATTCATGGCCAGCCGAAATGCAGAGAAGGTCAAAGTGCAGGTCGAGGATTCAGACGATGAGGACGGATCGGCGTCTGACGAAGATGAGATGGACGTCGACGAAACCCCGAAGCAGGAACCTGTCATTGATGAAGACGGCTTTGAGCTAGTTCAGCCCCGCCGTAGGCGCTAGTTTATTTATTTTTCATAATCCAGTTTTTCGCCCGCTCTGCAACAACGTCCGCAACCGCATCAACCGCTCCGCGAGGCCGCCGAAGTGAAGGCCTCAGGTTCACCTTTTCAACCCTAAACAGCTCAATGTGAGTGCCCGTCCATGCTCCTGGGCCAAATACCTGCTGATCGTACCGGAAATTCGTGCCCCAGATTATCGATGCGTACCATCGCAGCCTTTCGGGACTCCACTCGAAGTTTATAGACCTGTAGTCTTCAGTGAGAACTTTGGGCATCTGCACCGCTTCAAACGTTACAGGATCAGACTCTTTGACTTCTCTGGCATACTCGGCAAACCACGAAGCCAGAATTCCTGGCCAGGCGACTTTACTCAGTTCAAAGACCAGCGGTTTGGCTCCTTCCTGGAGACTGGCGAGCGTCTGCTTGACGAGCTTGGTCGCCCAGACAATTTGTTTAGGCGTTCCATTGATAGTGATTTCCCGTACAAACCGAGTGAGCTCTACCGAGGTTTCCACATCCAAACTCGACCAAAATGGACACACGTTATAAAGAATGCGGAGCACAACGTCCACATGTTGATTCATAGGGATTGTAGCCAACCCGAGCAACTCATTCGCAATTGAGGGAGCAATATCTTGACGAGATGTCAGAAATAGTAGTAAGTAGCTTGCCGTGCGAGGAACTTCCTGCGGACTCGAGTGCAGAACAATATCAACAAGCCGCTTGCACACATCCAGCACAACACCGCCTAGATGATCGAGAACTCCTTGATTGGCCTGAACGCACTCCCACATTAGCGACAAATTCTCAATACTGGCATCGAGCTTCACCACAAGCCTGCTGACAACCAATTCCAAATCATCTTTTTGGCGAATCTTGGACAGAAGCTTCCGAAACACGTTAGGCTTACCCTCAGAATTAACATGAACGACCAGCGTCAAAAATAATTGCTGAGACAAATGTGCCATAGCTGCCTGTGATGTGCGAACAACTTCTTCCTCGAAAGGCTTGTTCCAAATCGACCTCGCGTTGGCTAAACTTGTATTGAACAACGAACAAAATATAGTCATGATCTGTGCCTTTGGAAGCTCACTGACCATATAATTCAATCCATATGGTGTATCTTCAGAATAGAGTGGCTGCGAAAGCGCGACCAAAAGCAGTCGCATCACCTCAATTCGATTCTCAACCATCCTCGCGCTGGGCCGGAAATCGAGCACCGTCCCGACACCTTGAGTCCATATTTGCTGGTCACTTTCAACTGTAAATCCAGGATAATAAAATAATCTAGCCACCGTATCAATCAGATCTTTTCCTAGTGTGGATTTCCAAATATAATCTATACCCCATGTGGAGTCGCCTTCATATGCTAGTGGAAGTACACGCGTCAGAACGCGAATACTCGATAATACGGGTTGGTCCGAGTGCGATCCAATAGCAGATGGTCTGGTTGACTGAACAAGCCGTTTGATGCAAACCTTAAGCAGTGTTTCGAAGTTCTCGGGATGCGTTTCTTTGACTTCCCTAACGTCCTTTGCAGGAACCAGACTGCACAGTTCGCGGCTTTCAATCCCATCTCCTAGAATGAAATTCCATATTTGGTTTTCCTCCGAAATATCACTCGTGGATGTCAACTCATTGAAGTGTGATTTAAACTGAATTTTTGATTCGGCTGCGCCCATCTTAAGGATACGAGGGTATGCTGACGAGGATCAAAAAAAAAGAAATGGCGACACCAGCAGGACTCGAACCTGCGCGGGAAAATCCCAAGAGATTTCTAATCTCTCGCCTTAACCGCTCGGCCATAGTGCCTAATTTTAAAAATTATTAATCAATGGCATACAAGTAGGTAGAAAAGGCTCTTGACACAAGCTGCCCAAAATCTCTGATTAGTGTTAAAAATAGAAAAAAAATGGCGACACCAGCAGGACTCGAACCTGCGCGGGAAAATCCCAAGAGATTTCTAATCTCTCGCCTTAACCGCTCGGCCATAGTGCCCGGATTCTTTGAAAAAATACCACAGTCAGATATAAATATCAAGTACAAGACCTGCAGGTTTTTACCCATTCCGTGACTTACAAGTCTGAACCTCGTGTCGTATGTCCATTATCATGGGAAGGGCGAGGTGACAGTTTGGTATTTCTAACCACTGACGTGTTCAAATCTGAAAAACCCGTGTGTTACTTTTATGGACAAATAGATAGTTCTTCAATCCGTAGTTGACCTGCTACAAATTTTTCAAACACTAAAAACACTTTTTGAGTGCTTTCTGTAGTGATGATTGTGGCGCCTTTTAGATTTGGAGCTTATAGTGTGGAAAACAGCTTTGACCGCTCAAAGCTCAGCCACTATAGTTCTCGTTTGACAGCCAGCGTGCTTCCGGTCGATACAGCCGTCAAAAGGTATTACATTTTGCGCGGTTTGTAAAGTGGTGGGTCTCTTCGAGCTAAAATTCAGATGCTCCTAGCTGGAGCTTTTTGTTTTCAGGTCTCACTACTATGACACTGACACACAACAGGGAAATGATCACCGCTACATAAATAACTGCACAGCCCAAATACATGTGAATCGCCCCCATATTGTGTCTTTTGGAGGTTTTAGAGTTTTAGGTTCAGCTTGGGGCGATACCCCACACCATCGAGAGCGCATCGAGTCTATCTGGTGACAAGGGAAAAAACCCGCACGCCTTCCACAATCTTTTCTCTTCAACAAATAGCTAATTCCCATATTTTTATGCCAATTGAATAAATTTACGACAGCTTGTCTTCGATTTGGAGCCTGTTCGCGATACCAGCAGCGTATGGGCATCAGGACTGCATGCATCATGCGTGCATACCGATCTGTACCTCGCCCATTAACTGAGATCCAGCAGTTAGTTAGACATTTTTCAGTCAGATTGATACTAAATATAACCACAAGACTTTAACCACCGTATCTGGCCGCCAAATTCTCCAAAATGTAGGCTAATCACTGCCCTCGTGTCTTGAGAGCTCAACTGAGAAATCACATACAGCATTTCCAATGGTTGGTTTTGCTTCCAATTGCTTCCGCTGCACTTCCACTCCGCATAAAGTTGCGTTGTACGCTCTGCAAGCTAGTGACGTGCGTCTTTGTATGTGCAGGCTTGTGTATATATAGGCCCAAAATTTTTTGGTACAGAGTCTCAGCCCATCAATATGCCTTCTTTAGCAAAACAAATCTCGCTCCTTGTCGTTACTGCTGCGGTCACGGCTCTAACACAAGACGAGTTTAATCCTTCACTGCAACAAGTCGGAGCTACGTTTCAGTCCGCAGCGAAAGCAATAGGCTCAAACGATGAGAATGTCTTTAACGATCAGTTACAGTCTCTAGTTCATGTGATGGAAAAGCTGCTTGACACTTTGGTTGATGTGACGTCACCCATGTCTCTTGATTCACTGCCTAGCTTTGTATCTGCATATACCGCTCTTGAGAGTGGGATTTTAGATTATACTCAGCAGATCAAAGTTTACCAGACTTCGCATCCCGAAATGGACAAAACTACTGTGGGAAAATCTGGTTTGGGCTCGATAATTTATAGCGTTCAAAAGAAGCAGTTCGCCCTGCTTCCAGAGAATGCACCTTGCAAGTTTATCGATGCTATTTCGACAGCTTCAAACAAAGCAGAAGACTCAATTAATGAGGTCATGGACAGCAACTATGCAACAGCATCTCTTCCGGATTGTGTAGTGAATTCAGATGATGATCTCCTCGAGAGCGGTGGCCCCGACAGCAGTTCAGCGAGTAGCACCGGGAAAAGTCCTGTGCCCAGCTTGACTGAAAGCGAGCCCACAGCTCTGACTGTTACTTCTTTCATGGATTCTGAAACGACCATCACTGACTTGGTTAGTTGTAATGTATGTGTCTCGAAGAAGTCGAAAATGACAAACATCATATCTTCTACTTTATCGCCGACGCTAAGCAAGAGCAGCTTGTATGACACCTCTAAAACTGATTTAAATGCTGAAAGTACAGCAACCTCAGTTTCAAGTGGAATCTTCCGAAACTCTTCTACCATCACGCAAACCACAGACCGGGCAACAACCAGCATTAGCACCCCGTACTCCGTGTTACCTACCGGGCCCTCACCAGCCCCAAATACGACGGAACATCGGTTCACCACGATAGTCACTACTGCGTTCACGACATTCTGTCCAGAGCCAACGACCTTTTGTTACGGTGACGACAAGTGTTCCACCGTAACTGAAAGTACGACACTTACCATTACGGATTGCCCTTGCACAGTTGTGGTTCCACTTGAAACCACTAGCACCAAGTACGGACCTGGTCAAAATATGACTGTGTCCGTTTCAGTTCCTCAAGGCGAGCCTGTTCCGACCACGGAACTAAAGACGCAAAGTGAAAATACTGCTGTGCCTACATCCGGGTCCCGAAACGAGACGATTTCTCAAAATCCATCAATCGGAACACTTCAGCCTACATCCGGGTTCCTAAATGAGACTATTCTTCAATCAGAAGGCAGAACGGCCCAACCTACATCGGAACACCAAACTGCTACGGGTGCTCAACCGACATTGAAGAGCCAAACCGAGGGAGTCGGCTCCAATCCACCGCATACTAAAAGCGAGATAGTTGACCACCCCACATCGGTAGTAAACGGTGAAACTTTTACTGAACTCACGCAGGCACCTCCAAGTGGATTACCCGAATCTGTCTCAACTGAAAACGTTCTTTTACCCGGCGTCGAAAGCGAAACTGGAGCTGGAATTATGCCCACCTCAGAGCCGCAAGCTGCGGTCTCTATGGTACCTACGTCAGAGCCACAGCCCGGACTTGATCTGGTTCCGACTTCGACGCCTCAAGGCGCACCTCAGCTAGCAAACAAAGGCTCAAAGCTGGGCTCTGTCCTTGCCTTTGTGCTTTTACCGTTGCTTTTCTAGACAAGATGAAACTCTTTTCAATCATTACCGAACGCTCGATTGAGTAGCTCATAGCATGCTCTCCTAAAGTCTCGAGAGCCGAGTCTTGATGCCAATTAACAAACGACACAAACGACTCATACACTATAGTGTTTCTCAATAAATATAAAACCTATAAAACTTCGACCATAATCGACATCAAACAGACATAAACCTGCAGGGCGATTACAAATATTTTTTTAGCGCTGAAAAAAATGGCGAGATCAGTGACGGACTATGACGAGATAGCACAGCTGATTGAGCAGTTAGAAACTACCCCTGAGGAGCAGCCGACCACTATTCACAGTATTTCATCGAGTATTATCCAAAAGTTCGGCAGCTTTGCCCGTAACGATGCATTTGCAGCCAGCCAGGATCCTGTTGAAAATAAAAAGATGGAGTGGCTAGTTGCCCAGTTGGACGAGTTCGCTGGCATAATTGTCAATCTAATCTCGAGCGAGAACGAAACCATTGCTCTCACTGCCTTTGCAGTGGCTCTGAAGATCGCTCTCATAAATGGAAAGTACCGGCACATTAATGTTCAACCCCTTATTCAGGAGATTGCCACTGCCTCCCTTCAAGCACCTTGTGATGTCTTTCTGGGGTGGTCAGAGTATCTATCTAGTGACGACACTCGCTACTACTTTTTGCGATGTGTCCCGGAGATCATTGATAGTGAAAACGAGGTCTCCCGGCAGTGTGATCGCCTTCTTTCAGTTCTGGGCAGTCTAGAAAACCTCCCGCAAGACAATGACCAGATTGTTGCATTTTATTTCGGCAAGCCCAAAGTCTCCAAGAGTGCAATCAAGAGCGGTAAAGGTAACGTGCTCTCTTTGAACTCGCACCGCTCTGCGTTCCAACGGGCCTGGCTGGCCACTCTCCAGCTCCCCTTGTCTTTAGGGCAACTGAAACAGGTATTCACAACCATGCATGCTACTGTTATTCCCAACATGTCGAAACCTCAGGTTCTTATGGACTTTTTCACCGACGCTTATAATCACGGCGGACCCATTGCCTTGTTGGCCCTGAACGGGTTGTTTTCACTGATCCAAGACTACAATCTAGATTACCCCAATTTCTATAAGAAGCTCTACTCGCTTTTGGGTGATGGCTCGCTTCTTGTTTCGAGCCAAAGAGCACGGTTTTTCCGTTTGCTAGATCTGTTTTTGTCCAGCACCCATCTGCCCGCGACAATCCCAGCCTCTATTATGAAACGACTTGCAAGACTGAGTTTGTATGCGCCCCCTGGTGCACTTGTGGCTGTTATTCCGTTTATTTATAACCAGATGAAGCGTCATCCAACCTGTGTGCTTATGATCCACCGCACAACCGACGTGCGCGGGCCCGATGCGGATCCCTTTGATGAAAACGAAACCGACCCAATGAGAACAAGGGCGATTGATTCATCGTTGTGGGAAATACAAATGATGACCGAGCACTACCAGCCTAACGTCGCTGCGATGGCCCAAATCCTGTCCCAGCCCATGCGAAAGCCTAGTTATCAGCTCGAACACTTCTTGTCACATTCTTATGAAACGCTGTATGCTTCACAAAAGCACCGCAAGGGCGATGCGCCTGCGCTCGAGTTTGAGGATGTGAAGCTGTTTGACGACGCCGAGGGCGGTATTATGACGGCGTGGTCACTTTAAACTTGCGCAACAGAGTAATGCTCATCTCGTAAAAGTAGATGGTGAAGAAAGACGAGGGAAGAGACTTCACAATAGCAATAGTCAGTCCCTTGTAGAGCCCTCGAACGCCCTCCTGAATCACGATCTCCTTACCACATGTAATAAAATTATGCGAGTAGCGTACACCATAGCCGGCCAACGATTTGTGGGAAACAGCAGACCGGCCATGCACCTGGACACGCTTGCGGATGGTGTCCAAGGGATAAACAACTGCCTTGCTGAACGCACCGGCCAACGAAGCAGCAGATAAGATCTGCGGGGCCCACGAGGGCATTTTAGAGCGGAACACGCTGTATGAAGCGAAAAATAGACCCATGTTGGGGAATATAGGAACAATTGCAGCCGTAGCACCATGGTAGAACCCGCGCAGCCCGCTGGACTTGTACACTGTAGCCACATTCTGCATGAACGTTCCCCGGCCAAGTGGGTCGCGGTTCGCAGCTCCGCGAGTGCGCAGAACGTCGAACGGGTAGGTCACGAGAGTGGAAATCGCACCTGCGAGGCCGCCTGCAATGAACTGCTGAGCACTCTCGTTGAGTCTTCCGTTTGACAGCTGGGTCAACACGATGTTGAATGACCGGATCGACGCAAACTGCACGGATCCAAAAGTGATATATAGGATTTCAGCCGGCAGATTGCCTTTCCAGAACGCCCTGATGCCTTCGTTCTTCGCAATGTTGTAAACGGTGGACCAGATCTTTGGCTGTGTGTACGTATTAGCCAGCTGGATTCGGATTTTGACGAGGTCTAGCGGCGCGATGACCATTCTCGAGAGCATTCCGGCCGTGCCACCCCCCAAAACAGCCTCAGTAGCCGTGATATCTGTGTGGCTGCTAAGATGGTTCATTTTGTGACGACTGGAGCAGCTTTCAGACGCTATAACCCTCTGCCAATCTTGCACGCCGAAATAAAAATTCAAGCCCAGTGATTATGTTAATATTTTTCATGCCTCTTCACAACAGTGACGGCAGTGCAGAATGGATTGCTGGCCATAATGGAGGCGATACCAGGATAATATGCTCGGTTAACGGTCCTATTGAGGTCAAAACCAGAGACGAGCTGCCCACCATGGCCACTCTGGAGCTGGTTGTGCGCCCCGTGGTTGGCCTACCGACTATCCGCGAGACGTTACTGCAGGACTGCACTTATGGTTGTTTGAGATCGATTGTATTGCGAACGCAACTCCCCAGGTCGTTGATTCAGATCGTCGTGCAAGTGCTGGATGCTGGCGAGCCTGTTGAGTACACCGTTTATGAGCTTGTTGGTGCGATCAATAGCAGCGTACTAGCGCTGGCGAATGCGGGCATTCCTCTTAGCGGGCTAGTTGTCGCAGTTTGCCTGGCCATTGTGGAAGGGGAAATCGTTTTGAACCCCGGCGTCGATCAGCTCAAAAAGTCCCAATCCACCCATGCTGTGGCCTACAAGGTCGATAACGGTCCTGAGGAAGTCCGGTTCAGGCTCGTCATGTGCGAGTCTACCGGGCTCTTTACCCAGAACGAACTTCTACAGGTCCTAGAGACAGCTGAGGATGCCGCACGCGAGGAAAACAAGAAAATGCGCAGCATGATTGAGCAACAAGTCGCTGAAAGTCTAGCTTTTGCCTAAATGTGGTCTATACTAGTAAATGCAGGTCGTTTATAGATGTGAGATGATATGTCATACGCACAAGATTGGCAAAAGCTGATCTCGCAACAGCCCGAGACGGCGGCTCTTGTAGGAGCAAGTGTTGCTCAGAAAGTGTCCAAATCAGACCTTGTCGCCATTGTGCAGGCACATGAACGCGTCCAGACACTCAGAGCCGAGCTTGAGCAGGAACGAAAACGACACGCAGATCTCGTCGACCAGGTAGCCAATCTGCCCCCAGACCACATAGCGGCGACGCCCAAGGGCTCCAAGGAGCGCGAGCAACAGTTGGCTGACCTGCTCAGCGGTCTTATAGCCGTGTCGAACCTGGATTTTACCGAGCACGACTTACGTAGTAAACACATGTAGATTATATTTATTTAGTCCAGCTTGAGGCGGTTGAACTCGCTGAGAACAGCCTCGAGGCCCTTGATTTCAGCAGCATAGCCCTCGAGTTTCTTGTCGTTTTGCTCGCGAACAGACGCCTTGACCTTGGTCTCGTAGTCGGGGACCTTGGTCTGCTTCTCGAGCTGCTCCTTGACCTTGTTGATCTTGTCGATCTTGGCCTGGGCCTTACTGATTTCCTCGTCAAAGTTCACGTGGCCTTTAACAACAATGAAGACGCGGCAGACAGGGCTCACGACGCCAACAACCGAACCAGCAGGCGTCTGAGCATCGTCGGTGAGCTCGAGATCGCTGGCCGCCTTGATCAACGACAGAATAGAGTTCTTTTGCTCCGTGACAGTGGTAAGAGACTCGCCAGTTGCAGAAACAATGACTTTGGCGTCCTTGGTAATGTTATATTGGGCAAGGAGAGAGCGCGCAGCCTTGACAACGTCGAGCACCAGATCGTAGCCCCGCACGGCGGCATCGTCAAATGCATTAATCGACGGATATGACGTGAGAACAATCGAGTCGACGTTCTCATCACTGCGACGAGGCAGGCGCTGCCACAGCTCTTCGGTAATAAATGGCATGAAGGGGTGGATCAGTTTGAGACCCTCATCCAAACAGGTGTAAAGTGTGTCCTGAGCAGACTTGCGCTCAGCATCAGTGCCCTCGAGAATCAAGAACTTGGAGTTTTCAATATAAACATCGCACAGCTCGTAAAGCCAGAAGTTGTAGATGACGCTAGTGGCCTCCATGAATTGGCGGTTGTCAAGGTGCTCAGCAGCCTGTTTGGAAGCAGCCGAAAGCTTGGCCAAAATCCACCGCTCAACCAAAGACTCCTTGCCGGTAGCCTTGGCAGGCCCAGAAGAAGGAACATAGTCGTCACCCAGGCGCATAAGTGCGAACTTGGTAGCCTGATAGATCTTGTTGCAGAACTTGCGGTAACCCTCAACACGCATAATGTCGAGGTTAATATCACGACCGCCAGTTGTATAGGCACAAAGGGCGAAACGCAAGGCGTCAGTACCACACTCAGGAATGCCATTAGGGAACGAGATTTTCTGTCCATCCTCAGCCTTTTTGATCTCACGGGAATCCAAGTTACCGACACGCAACTTGTCGTGAAGACCTTGGAGCGAGATACCAGCAATGACGTCCAGAGGATCAATGACATTGCCCAAAGACTTGGACATCTTACGGCCCTGAGCATCACGGACAAGAGAGTGGCAGAAGACCTCGGTGAAAGGAACCTCGCCTGTGAGCTTGAGACCAAGCATAACCATACGAGCGACCCAGAAGAACAAGATATCCCAACCAGTCTCCAACAAAGACATGGGATAGAACTTGGCCATGTCCGGAGTCTTTTCGGGCCAGCCAAGCGTGCTGAATGGCCACAATCCCGAAGAGAACCAGGTGTCCAGAACATCCTCGTCTTGCTCGAGTTCGAACTTGCCGGTAAACTTGGCGGCAGCTTTCTGCTCAGCTTCCTCACGGGTACGACCAGCAACCCAGTTGGTTGAATCAGCGGGGTCGGGACGAGGCTCGCCCTCGCGAACAACCAAGTAAACAGGGCAGCGGTGACCCCACCATAGCTGACGGGAGATACACCAGTCCTGAATAGAGTTCATCCAGTGGAAGAACTCGGCCTCAGATGAGCGGGGGGTGATGGTCAGCTTGCCCTGCTTGACAGCATCAATGGCCATCAAAGCCTGCTCCTTCTGGGAAACCCACCATTGAGGTTTGAGCAAAGGCTCAATAACATCGCCCGATTTAGAGCAGGTGGGGATGGTCATGGGGTTGTCCTTTTGCTCGACAAACAAGCCTTTCTCTTTGAGGTCAGTGATAACTTTGTAACGAGCATCGAAACGCTTCATGCCAGCATAAGGTCCAGCGTTCTCGTTAAGCGTACCATCGTCGTTCAAAATATTGATGAACTCAAGATCATGGCGCTTACCGGTCTCGTAATCGTTAGGATCGTGAGCAGGAGTGATCTTGACGGCACCAGTACCGAATTCCATGTCGACGGCGACATCGTCGAGGACAATGGGGATTTCACGGTCCAGCAGGGGGTGGTGGACCTTGTGACCATGCAAATGAGTGTAGCGAGGATCCTTAGGGTGGACGGCAATGGCAGTATCACCAAAGCATGTTTCAGGACGAGTGGTGGCAACAACAATCTTCTCATCGCTACCAACCACGGGGTAGGCGTAGGAGGTGATGACACCAAACTCGACCTTGGACTCGTAGCCGGGCACACTCAACAAAGTGCGGCCAGGAATGTCCTTATTATCAACCTCAAGGTTGGAGAGGGTTGTATTGAGGGCGGTACACCAGTTGACCAAACGAGTGGCGCGGTAAATGGTACCGTCATCGAACAATCGAACAAACGCTTCGGCCACAGCCTTTGAACGCGTTTCGTCAAGAGTGAACGCCTCGTAACTCCAGGCATACGAAGCACCGAGAGACTCTGTCTGTCTGCGAATACGCTCGTGGTACTCTTCTTTCCACTCCCAGACCAGATCAACGAACTTTTCGCGGCCCAAGTCATGGCGAGTCTTTTGCTCGTTTTTCCAGAGCATCTTCTCAACAACGCTTTGCGTGGAAATACCGGCGTGGTCGAAACCAGGGACAAACAGCGAGGTCTTACCCCGCATGCGGTTGAAACGAATGAGGGAGTCCTGGATGGCGATCGTCAATGCGTGTCCAATGTGCAGAGCACCCGTGACGTTAGGCGGAGGCGCAGGGACGACGAATTGGCCACCGGGAAGGCATTCGCCGTCGGCAGTCAGCTTGGGCTCGAAAAAGCCCTGCTTTTTCCACCACGCGTACCACGAGGACTCAACGGCCTTGGGCGAATATGCCTTCAGCGAGGGGTCGTCGAGGCTAACCAGCAACTTCTTCTCACCCTGAGCGGTTTTGTCGACGAATTCAGGAACCGGCTCGGCCGCGGGCTTTGCCGCTTTCTTGGGCTTGTCCTTTTTGGCTGCGCCGGCAGTCGCATCCTTCTTGGCCTGCTTGGCCTGGAACTTGGCCAGCTTCTCGGCCTTCTTGCGCTCTTTCTCGAGCTCTTTCTCGGTCTTTTCCCGCACTTCGAGTGCTGCGTTTTCAGACATCGTGGCCTTCAATCTCAATAACCTTGGGCCAATGCGTCGAAACGTTTTGGAAAAAATTCGTCACTATGAGATGACTAAATATTCAGTGAACCAAGGTGACTGACTAAATGAATAAATATTGAATTAGAAGAGTAGATTACGGTGTAGGAATGCCGCGGATCTGAGCGTTGAGCTGGGTGATCACGCCGTTGAGTGCAGTGGTGACGACGCTGTCGGGGAACGCCTCGAAGAAGTTCTCGCCGCGGTCGCTGCACTGGCCAATGCGGGGGTCTAGGGGTACAGAACCCAAAAAGGGAACATTTAGTTCTTGGGCGAGCTGCTTGCCGCCGCCTGTGGTAGGAATGAAGATGTCGGACTTGCCCTGACAATTGGGGCAGACGAATCCGGCCATGTTTTCGATCAGTCCCAGCACGCGGATGCCGGCCTTTCGGCAGAAGTCGATTTCCTTGCGGACATCGAGCAGGGCCACCTCTTGAGGAGTGGTGATTATGACTGCCCCGTCTAGTCCACTGGGCGACATGTACTGGTTAATGCTCAGATGCTCATCGCTAGTTCCGGGCGGAGTGTCGACCAGCATGTAGTCGATAGGGTTACCCCAGTCGACATTTTTGAGGAACTGCTTGATCAGGCCGTTTTTTTTCTGGCCTCGCCAAATGACCGCTTCATCGCTGTTCGGAAGCATATATGCAATACTCATTACCGCCAGGTTATCGTCTGCGTACACCGGGGTCCAGCCCGAGGCAGCGGCGTGGATTTGCTCGCCTTCAGTGCCCATAATTCGGGCCAAAGACGGTCCGCAAAAGTCCAAGTCGAGCATGGCGACCTCCTGGTTTTCATTGGCACTCAAGGCCCAGCCCAGCATAGCGGCAAAAGTCGATTTTCCAACCCCGCCCTTGCCACTTAGCACGAGGATCTTGTGCTGGACGTCACGCAGCGCTTCTGTGATGGCTGGAATGTCCGGATCGGGGCCCTTGGGTGCACTAGCACAGATCTCTTGGTTGGGGCAGCCCGCACACGCGTCCGCCAGCCCGGCCTGCTCACTCTCGGTGCCCGGACAGTGCTCGGGGGGTGTCTCCATGACAAATAGGGCAGTGGGATGGAGTGCAGTTACTCATGTGCTCGCACTATCCGGAGGCTCAGGTATCAGTGCGCACAGTGTGTTGTCGAAAGTTCTTTGATTGCCCGGCATGCCACGAGGCGAGCGAAGACCACGCCTTGAAAAAGACCGTGGACATGGCCCTAATCTGCAAAAAGTGTCGCAAGGCCTTCCGGAAAGATCTGCGCGATTTCGACCCGGAAACAGACTCGTATTGCCCGCATTGCGACAATCATTTTGTGTTTACGTCGGCGCAGCCCGCGGCCGTCGCTCCGTCCGCAGCCATGCAGAACCTGGACGCCCGGATGATCAGGGACAACGACGTCGACGACGAGCTCCTGGGATTTGCGCCCGATCTGTCGAAAAAGTTGGGATGAGATAAAATATAAGTATATACGAAGAAAAGATAAATATCTATTACATGGGGGGGCCACCGTATTTACCCTCCTGGTAATCAATGAACGCCGTGGAGATCTCCTCGGGAGTGTTCATGACGAAAGGACCGTAGCCGACCATGGGCTCGTCGATGGGCTCACCGGAGAAGAGCAGCATTTCGCTGCCGTTCGCACCAGCAGTGAGCTGGACGGAGGTTCCGGTGCGGTCAAAGGCGACCAAGCTGGCGGGCTTGATTTCGCGGTCGTTGACCTTGACGGTGTTTTTGCGGACGAGGATACCAGTATTCCATCCATCGGGAAGATCGATGTTGACTGACTCGTTGGGCTTAAGAGAAATGTCGTAGACATTCATGGGGGTGTGGGTGTTGGCGGGGCCCTTGGCACCCTGGTACTCACCAGCGACCACGCGGAGATTACCACCGGTGGGCAGGCTCACGTCGGGAATGCTCTCCCTGGTGATGGACTGGTAAGTGGCAGGCACGTTCTTCTTAGCCTTGGGCAAGTTGACCCAGAGCTGGATCATCTCAAAGTCGCCGCCCTTGGAGGTGAACTCCTTGGAGTGCATCTCCTCGTGCTGGATACCGGCGCCAGCAGTCATCCACTGCACATCGCCAGTCTTGATGGTGCCGGAGCGGCCGGTGGAGTCGCGGTGGGAAACCTCACCCTCGTAGGCAAAGGTGACGGTCTCAAAGCCGCGGTGCGGGTGGAAACCAACACCACGCTGCTTATAGTGGGGGTCAAAGTGCTTGGGCGCAGCATAGTCCATCATGATGAACGGGTTCAGCTGGCGACCCAGGTTGTTGTAGTCGAGCATACCCTGAACGTAGAACCCATCGCCTACCCAGTGGTGGGGACGGTTGGAAACAATCTTGGAGATAGCCTTGGTGGATTGCGCTAGAACTTGTTGGAAGTCACTCATTGATTTCTTAAAGATAGTAATCTTGAAAGTAGATCGATGATCTAGATGGGTTGCTCGTGGCACTTTTATACCTCTTTGCGCTTTCTGCACGACGATGACACACGTGCATATCTTTGACGATGCTCAGCGGCAAGCCGTTGACTATGCGGGAGCAATATGTAATCCTTGCGACTGGCCAGCAGCGAAACCACTGGAAGATGAGCGAGCAGACAGTAAATATAGGTAAATTACCGATAGAAACGGTTCGGGAAAAAGCACCGCAAACAGTGCTTGCTTCCAGCCCGTCCAATGCCTCTTCAACTATTTCAAAAAAATCCCTCCCCTTCTCCCAGATAAGCCTGCTGTTGCTTTTTTTCACCCTTCAAGTCAAACCCAGCCCGCGCTGAGATTTCGTCAGGGATTTGTCATGGACACCGCGTCGCCTAGCTCGTCAAGGGCGCCAACGCCAATGGCCCTGAGTGAGGAGGAAATAAAGCGCCAACGGAAGCAGTATTTTGTAGATGAGCAAAAAGAGCGCCTCAGTCGCCAGAACGTCGAGGACTCGGCCAAGCGGTTCAAGTACCTGATTGGGCTCACCGATCTGTTTCGGCACTTTATCGACGCTCGCGCGCAAAAGGACGAAAAGTTTAGGCAAATTCTCGACGATGCAGCTATTGTCACGAAGCCGGCCGAGCCCAAGGCCGTGACGGGCGACCACCGCCATCGCAAGACCGAAAAGCAGGAGGACGCTGAGCTTTTGGGCGACGAGCAGGACGGGGCCCAGGAAACTACGGTTTTCCAGGAGTCGCCGGCGTACATTCATGGCAAAATGCGTGATTACCAGGTCCAGGGTCTTAACTGGATGATATCCCTGTACGAAAACAACATTTCCGGTATTTTGGCCGACGAAATGGGTCTCGGAAAGACCTTGCAAACGGTAGCATTTTTGGGGTACCTCCGCTACATTCGCGGTATTGCTGGCCCGCATCTCGTGCTTGTTCCCAAGTCCACTCTGGATAACTGGCGTCGCGAATTTGCCAGATGGACGCCTGAGGTGTCGACGGTGGTCGTGCAGGGCGACAAGGAATCGCGCGCCCAACTCATCAAAGACCGCTTGCTAAGTACCGATTTCGATGTCTGCATTACATCCTATGAGACTGTGTTACGCGAAAAGGCCCAGTTTCGCAAGTTTGCTTGGCAGTATATTGTGATCGACGAGGCTCACCGCATCAAAAACGAAGAGTCTCAGCTGTCGCAAATCATTCGCTTGTTTAGCTCACGCAACCGTTTGCTGGTGACAGGTACACCTTTGCAAAACAATTTGCATGAGCTGTGGGCCTTGCTTAACTATTTGTTGCCTGATGTCTTCAGTGATAGTGCCGTGTTCGAAGAGTGGTTCGAGTCCCAAGGCGGTGATCAGGATCAGGTCGTACAGCAATTGCACAAAGTCCTGAGACCGTTTTTGCTCCGCCGCGTCAAATCCGAGGTAGAGCACTCTTTGTTGCCCAAAAAGGAAGTCAACCTGTACGTGGGAATGACTGATATGCAACGCAAGTGGTACCAGAAGATTTTGGAGCGTGATATTGAAGCCGTCAACGGTTCAGTCGGTAGCCGCGAAAAGAGTCGCTTATTGAACATCGTCATGCAATTGCGTAAATGTTGCAATCATCCTTATTTGTTCGAAGGTGCCGAGCCGGGGCCTCCATACACCACTGACGAGCACCTTATCTACAACAGTGGCAAGCTGCTTGTGCTTGACCGCCTACTGAAACGATCAATGGAGCGTGGATCTCGAGTTTTGATCTTTTCTCAAATGAGTCGTGTGCTCGACATCCTTGAAGACTATTGTTTCTTTAGAGGGTACAAATACTGCCGAATTGACGGTTCCACCGATCACGAAACACGGGTCAATACTATCGATGAGTACAACCGCCCGGGAAGCGACAAGTTCATTTTCCTGCTCACCACCCGCGCTGGTGGTCTTGGTATCAACTTGGTTACTGCCGATACGGTTGTTTTATACGATTCGGATTGGAACCCTCAGGCTGACTTGCAGGCCATGGACCGTGCGCACCGTATTGGACAGACCAAACAGGTGCATGTGTTCCGGTTTGTTACCGATTCGAGTATCGAAGAGAAAGTTGTTGAACGTGCGGCCAAAAAGCTTCGTCTTGATCAGCTGGTCATTCAGCAAGGCCGGGCCCAGCAGCAGCAGAAACAACAGGCCAACAAGGACGAGCTTATCGATATGATCCAGCACGGTGCTCAGTCTGTTTTGGACAGCGACGAGAAAGTGTTGACTGAAGATGGGTTGGATATTGACAGCATCTTGGAGCGGGGCGAGGAGCGCACTGCCGAATTACAATCCAAGTACCAGTCGCTGGGTATTGACGACCTTAATCGCTTTGATGGAGCAAACAGTGCCTATGACTGGAATGGAAAAGACTTCAAGGCATCCAAGAAGACCAAGACCCCCGTGTTATTGTCTTTGGGCAAGCGTGACAACCGGGCCAAGGACTACTCTATCAACGGCTACTACAAGGGCGCGTTCCGGAAGAACCTGGTGGGCCAGGGCGTCGATCGCCGAACCATGCCAAGGGGCTTCAAGCAGCTGCACTTGCAAGACCACCAGTTCTGGCCGCAGCGGCTGTATGACCTTCAGGACCAGGAGTTGGCGTACTACCGCAAGCAGAAGCAGCACAAGGTTCAGCTTGCTGCAGATGTCACGAATGCCTCCGAGGAGGAGCTGCTCGACCAACAGCTGGAGCAGTGGGAAATTGATAATGCAGAGCCACTCACCGACGAGGAGCAAGCCGAGAAACGAGAGCTTGGCCATCACGGGTTTGATAATTGGAGTCGCCGGGAGTTTACTGGCTTTATAGCCAACATGGCTCAGTTTGGCAAAGACAACCTCGAGGAGATTGCGCTCAACACTCCAGACAAAACCATGGAAGAACTCGAAACGTACCATGAAGTATACTGGCGGCGGTACGGCGAGATCGAGCTGTTTGAGAGGTACAATTCGAGCATCGAGGCAGGCCAGGAGCGGGCCGAAAAGCAGCGGCTGCTGGCAGACCTGGTGCGCAAAAAGATCGAGTCGTGCCCGGCACCCATGCAACAGCTGCAGTTCGACGTGCCTGCCCCGGCGGGATCCAAGCGCAATATCTACTCCGAAGAGGAGGACCGCTTCCTGGTGCTGCAACTGTACAACTTCGGGCTCGACGCGCCCAACCTCTACGAACAGATCAGAGAAGCCATTCGGGAGTCGCCGCTCTTCCGTTTCGACTGGTTCTTCCTGAGCCGCTCGCCGGCCGAGCTGGCCCGCCGCTGCCAGACCCTCCTGGGAGCCATCCAGAAAGAGTATGAAAAGCCTCAACGCAGATAATTATTTCTTGTGCTACATACAAATAAGAGAGAAAAAAATATTAACAAAAGCTAAGCCTTGACGTCCTTGAGGGCCCTTTCGATATCGCCCTCGAGCTTGCTGGGGTTGGTGATGGAGCCCCAGCGGTTGACGACGTGGCCATTGGCATCGACGAGGAACTTTTCAAAGTTCCACTTGATGCCCGAAAAGCCCAGGAAGCCGGACTTTTGGCTCTTGAGCCACACGTAGACGGGATCAGCGTTGTTTCCGTTGACCTCGATTTTGTCGAGGACCGGGAACGAGACGCCGTAATTGAGCGAGCAGAAGGAGGCAATTTCGTCGGCAGAGCCGGGCTCCTGGCCGCCGAACTGGTTGCAGGGGAAGCCGATGATTTCGAGGCCCTTGGCGTTGTACTTTTTGTACAGAGCCTCCAGATCAGCGTACTGCTTGGTGAAGCCGCACTTGGACGCGACGTTGACGATCAAAACAACCTTGCCCTTGAGCTGGGAAAAATCGTAAGGCTGTTTCTTGGCGTCTAGTGGTTTAAGGTCGTAGAAGGAAGTCATTGGGGTTTGAGCAAATGTGGAGAATCTGTTGTTCCTTATATGCGCCCGGGGGGCGCTGGGCCCTAACCCTATAACAAAGCACGTGGCTGGACCCGTACATGGGCGGTTGCAATTGATACCTGCGGTGGGCGGTCGTGGGATTGAAAGGTGCCTGAGGCCTGCGAGCGGCCGTCCCTGCGTGCGCAAAAGACCTGGGGTGCCGCACACCCTGCCTGGGGCTCGCAAGATGGTGGTGAGCATGGTGACTAAAGAAACATCAAGTTAGAGATCTAGAACATGAGCATGCCTAAGAGCCTCGGCAGTTGAGCGAGCATGCCGAAGGCGAGCATGTAGATGTACATAAGCTAAAACATTAAGAATGCGAATGCGCGCGGACGCCGGGGTACGAAGCCTCTTCGCGTCTGAGTCCCACGGCCTCCTGGTGAAGGGAAAGCCACTTCACTTTGGCGAATCTGGGGTCGATCGACAGGGCTTGTTTGGCGGTGTCGAATTTGTCAGACTCGACGAGCAAAAAGATGGCGTCTGAGCCGCCGGCGCCGGGCACCACGCCGTTGATGACGCCGTCAATTGACTTTGCCGCGTCGAGCAGCTTGGTCTGTGACTCGGGCTCAATGGGCACGCCAGTCAGTTTTGTCATGGCCTGGAGCTGGGCGCGGATATGGTCAAAACATATTCTGATGGCGTGGGGCTCGGATTCGCGGATCAGCGCAGCCACCAGCGCGTTGTTGGCGCCGTCCAGCGACGCCCAGATCGGCTCAGCTTCCTCGGGTTTTGCGTCTCGCCATGCCAGGACCTTTTGGACCATGGCGGGCGTCTCGGATCCGCCGCGGACGTCGCCCATGAGCACCGAGACGGAGGGCGGCAGGGCGCAGCGCTCGAGCCACTCGTCCCACTTCATGTCGACGACGGGTCGCACCGACTCTGGGGTGATTGTTTTAGGAATCATAGTCGGAGTGAACCTAGAGTACTGTACAGATCCGTAAACAGCGACCGCGACGTCGAATCCCGAGCCCACTTTGCCCTGGGCGACGCAGTGGGCGATTTGGGCGATGTTGTGAACGATTCGGGTAAAGTGCGGGTCATTGGCACGTCCCATCATCTCCACAATAGAGGCAGTTGCCACCACACACAGCGCTGCCGACGAACCCAGGCCGGTCTTGGGTACGCTTCCAATGGACTTGCGGTGGGTCCGGAATCTGGGGTAGTCGGGCATGGGGGTCGACTCGTGTTGTGAATGGAAACCAGCATCACTGAAAATGTAGATCGAACCTCCGCAGAGCTCTCCAAAATACGCGCCGCACACTTGCACCACGGCGTTCAAAAACGGGTTCTTTTGCGGCTGCACGTCGTCCAGATCGTACGACCAGGTCGACGTCGAGAACTGCGGGCTGTGGAACGTCAGCACCCGCTCGTCCGACTTGACGGCTACCGAGTGCATTCGGCTCGAAAGCGCCACACAGTAGGCGCGGTACTCGGGGAACAGCACCAAATACCCGCCGGCTATTAGCGCCTTACCGGGCGCACTATATGGCATGTTGCTAAGGATTATTAAGAGGCCTCCCATTAGAGCTGGGCGACTTTGAATAATTTTTTTAGGCCTCCGAAAATGAGCGAGCCAGACAAGTGTCCTGTTAACCATGCGGATATGAAGAGCTTTGGTGCAGGGTGCCCTGTGGACCACTCCAAGTGGAAGGACCATGGCGGCAATGGGGGCGAGGGCCTGCCGCCGCTGCCGGACGTGCCGCAGCAGCTTTCGGCCGAGCGAGAGGTGTCGACGATCCCGCGGGCAGACAACAAGGGCAACTGGGTGTATCCGTCGGAACAGCAGTTCTTCTCGGCCATGAAGCGCAAGAGCCACAACCCCGAGGCCCGGGACATGTCGGTGGTGATCCCGATCCACAACGCAGTCAACGAGCGGACCTGGCTAGGCATTCTGCAGTGGGAAAACGGATGGGGCGGCGACAAGTGCGGCGGGCCCAAGCTGGTCAAGTTCGAGGGCGACGCCAGCAAGTGGACGCCGCGGGCCTACATGAACTACCTGCTGGGCAACAAGCCGCCGTTCGACCGCCACGACTGGGTGGTTGACCGGTGCGGGAAACGGATCGAGTACGTGATTGACTACTACGCGGGCGCCGCGAACCCGGCCAACCCGTACGCCGCGTCGTTCTACCTCGACGTCCGGCCAAAACTCAACTCGCTCGAGGGCGTCAAGATGAGAGTGTGCCGGTTCTTCGGACTCGCGTAGGACACAAAATGTACATAACATATTTAAGATAGCTAGCGGCCAGCACCGCCCATGAAATTCTGACCCATCTTCTGCATCTGCTCGCCGATCTTGGCGTTCACGTCGAAGTACTTGGCCACGCAGCGGTCCAGGCACAGGCCCTCGTTCTTGTTCAGCTCGCCCTCCGAGTAGCTCTTGTTGATGCACTTCTCGTGGCAGCTGTCCACCAGCCGGTTGAACATGTCAGTCACCATGTCGAGCTCTGTCTCGGCTGCCTCCAGCTTCATAGCCGCCGACGGCGCCGCAGCATTGGGCTTGCCTCCAAACCCAAGAAAAGACATTTACAAAGACAAACTTTTCACCTCTGACTAAGGGGGCCTTTTGTGGGGGTGCAAGCGACTGTCAGCATTTCGGTTGACGACAGCGAATCCTCATAGTAATGCATCTGGTCACATTCGCGTTTGTCGCCGGGGCGATGGCCGCGTCGTCGTCGATGGTGCTGAATGCAAAAACGCCGATTGAGGGCAGCGCCTGGCGGTTTGCCGGCGACTACATCACCGGGAAGGACGTGATTCTGCTGGGAACTGCGCCCGAGCACCACGCGCTTGTGGGGGCCACGCAGCCCGTGGACTTTGACGAGTGGACGATCGAGGCCCAGGTATACACCTTTAGCGGCGATCCGAGCGCGGACGCGGCCATGTCGGGCCTGACGCTGTGGTATACTGCCCAGCCCTTGACCGAGGGCCCCGTTCACGGTGCGGCCGACTTCTGGGACGGCCTGGCGGTGATGCTCGACTCCATTGGATGGGACGAGACGGGCAAGGAGAAGCTCGACAAGGGTGCGATTCGCGGCCATTTGAACGACGGGTCCCACCAGCTACTGAGCGATCTTCCTGCCAAAAATGCCTTTTCTCTGTGTCGCGTTCCCTACCGCCAGACCCGAGGAGGCCCACACAGTGTTAAAATCGGCTACGGCCGCGGCCTGTTTATTGTGGAGATCAACGATCAAAAATGTTTCCAGAGCGACCAAGTCGTGCTGCCCCGTGGTTACGTCGGTGTGTCGGCTGATACGTCGACTTCCAAGGATACTTTTGCCATTGGCTCTTTGGAGGTCCGCCAGGGCCTTGACGAGGAACTTACCAAGCATTTTCCCGCTGGAACCATTGCAAAGGCCGCTGCGCCTGCTGATGCCGCCAAGGTGGATGCCAGTGTCCCTGTGGCTCGTGCCGAGCCTGCTCAGCGCGGTGCCGGGGCTGCGCAAGGCGGTGTCACCTCAGAAGAAATAAAGGCTCTGAACGAGGCCATTTCCAAACTCGGCAAACGCTTCGACACCATCGAAACCTCGGTGGTCGCACTGACATCTCTCGGCGCCTCTGCCGGTGTCGATCTTGAAACAACAGAAAAGCTGCTTGGCGCCTCGGTCAACCAGGTTGGCGAACGCTTGACTGAGAAAATCACCACCCTGTTCGAACAAGCCGACCGCTCAGAGAGACTCATCCGCCAGCTTCAGTCGTCGATCGAGGCTCTACGCGACAACCGTTTTGTGGGCGATATCGAGGCCATTCGCTCCGACATTGCTAGCATTTCGGCCAAACAGACCCAGCTCGCCGCCGTCCCTCTCGGTCCTTCTCTTTACCAGATCGTGGGCATTTCCGCGGGCATCCAGCTTTTTATTTACGTCTTTTTCGCAGTGATTCGTCGCCGGAGAAACTTGCACCAAAAATTACTTTAAATAGTCTATCTACATCATTCTGTCTCGATGCATCATGCGCTCTCGCTGGATGCGCCTTTGCAGATCAGCGGTCTGCGACATTGCCATCTGGGTCACCTGGCGGGGCTCGGGGATCACGACGCTCTGAGGCTTTGGAAGATTGAACGAGCCAATATTGTATCGGATGAACGGCAGCGACGCGATTTGCCGCTGGAACTTGGGCAGGTCTTCATCCTCGTCGACCTCGGCCGCCTGGGACAGCGCATCGACGGCCAGCTCGCACTCTGTACGCAATATCCGCTGGTTTAGCTGTTTGCGGTTTCTCCAGTACGCTTTCCACAGCTTGCCTCGCTGCTGCCGCTTTTCCCGCAAGAGCCTCGACATCTGCACGACCGAATGGCGCGCAGTCACCTCGTCTTTTACAAGTACAGGGTCTCTTATTTCCCGGCTAGGATCAATTCGACCCTCAATGCCACCGCCCGGAAGGTAGGGCGTTAAGTTGTGCATGGCGTACGTCTTGACGTGAGGGACTGGAGGGATGGGTGCCGTCTGTACAGACTGGATCGCGGCAATCGCTGCTGAGGTCGGCGTCACTCTCATCAACGGCGGAGCCCGGACTTGTTGCCTGAAATGGCCCTGAGGCTGCCCAGGAGCAGGTCCTCGTTGCATCTGAGGTGGAGGGGGAGGCATTTCCTGAGTAAGCGAGCACGTTGAGTAACTTGGAATTAATTAGCATAAAAGTAGAGCCATTATAAGAGCAATCAAGGTCTGGCGACTACGGTTTAGTGATGGCGCGCTCTGGGTCTGTAAGTGAACCCGAATTTGAGAAACTAACTTGAAATTGACTATCACAACCTGTAACCTGCTCTTGTGTAGAGCTGTGACTGCGGCGGGCTGAGACTTTATAATAAATAACTTAGAGTTGACTAGCATAAAATTGTTCCTGAAGCCGCTCTTGCTCCAGAGCAATCAAGGCTTTTGACTTTATGTAGAACTTCTTGGGGACGGCCGGATCGGCATTGACCACTTTTAGCGGGGCCTTCTCGTTGTACCCATCAAGCGCGAACCGGTGGTCAGAGCTCGTGGACGAGTCCGGTGAATATGATCCTTGCGTTGAAAACGACTTTTGAGGTGCTAAACGACTAGCCAGAGACGGCGACGTCTCAGGCGAAGTGAGCTGACATTTCCGGGTATATACTTCGAATGGTAAAGCGCTTGCTTCGCTTTTCGATCTTGGTCGTTTGGGCTGAATTATCACTGAGCTGGGGCGGCCATTGAATACCGTGTGCGGAGGGACTCGCGGAGGGATGCCTGCATCAAGTGAGTCTTTACGTGTTGGCTCTGACCGCGTGCTGATCTGAGACCGCCCGGACCTCATGGACAGCGACGAGTACACAGACGAAGGTGTTCTAGACACAATTGATACCGGCGATGTGGCTCTTCTGGTGAGGGGCGGTCTAGCATGCTTGGGGGGCTGTGGAGGTACTTCGATAAGCTTTGCTTGAAAGGTGCGAGCAGGCTGAGCGGGCTGAGCAGACCGAGCAGGCGCAATAGGCTGAGCAGGCAAGAAATCAAAGTCCTCCTCGTGGTGGTCATATACAGATCCATAATAAGAAAGTCGTGGCGAGCTGTGCTGAATGTGGACAAAAAGTGCTTGGTTTTCGAAATGCCTTGCGTTACCGACGCTTGCGGGACTCGAGTGCGCATCTGAATCGCTCTCGCAGTCGGGCTGGAGAATAGGAATAGCATCAAAATCAATGACTGGAGATGTTTGTGGACAGGACACAACCCGTTTCATGTAGGGATCAATCGATCTTCTCCAATTGTTTGCAATAGCCTGAGCTGGTGCAGGCTCTTCTGTTTTGGCGTCGCTAACGGGCTGTGTAACTGCCCTTGGTCGGGAGCTAGGAGAGCTTTGTCGTTTCACCACCAGTAGAGGACGGTCTTCATTTCTCGGTGCTGGCTCCGGTGCTGGCTGCTGTGTAGGCTGCGGTTGTGTCGGCTTGACAGCCTGCGGTTGGCGGCTCACAGGCAACGGCGGAACGTCCAGCACAGGCACTGGTTGACGCTCTATTTGAAACATTTCGTCTTTAGTTTTTGAAACTGTGTTACCCATGTAGTAGGAAGTGTAGAAAGCGTGAGAGGTTGGGGGCAAAAAGCTACTATCGATATGTCCAGCCATCTGGATGCATGAGGGCGAGACAAATACTGTGCCAGCGGCCTGAGGAAAATAAAATTCAACAGCTAGCTTTCACATAGACGTATTAGGCTGCTGAAGCCGATACAAAACTATTCAAACAAAGGGGAACACATTTTTTTACTCTATAAACCACCCCGGAACGCGGTCCTGCGTGGCTGGCTGCAGGAACATACATGCCCTTACCCTAAACTATATAGCAGGCTCAAGCGCGTCGGGGGTTTGCCCGGAAATAGAGGTAGGACAAGACGACGAAACGAGTGATCTTGTCTTTAGTCATCATGGTTATGCCCTGGTTAAAGAAGCTTTTCAAAATTTGGCCTGACGCACCATCAAACAGCGCAGAGGCCCCCTCCTGCTTGTAGGTGGCAGCCAGCTGTTTGTATAGCGGCAGATCCTTGCCAGCACCAACCTGAGTACGGGTTTTTAGCACAATAACTGGATAGGTAATAATGGTAGCCATTGTTTTAGCCAGGGCAGCAGAAATAAATACCTCGAAAGTTGTGGGCTTGTTTCGGCGGCTGCGCGGGACGATTTGGGCGCTCAAAATCTGGAAAAAGTAGTACGTCAGAGAGGGATTGAAGCTCAAAATGAGGGTGGCGCGGTACCCAGACCAGAATCCTGTGATTCCATGCTCGTCGTAGATCTGCTTTGCGCACTCGAGGGGAGTCGGCTCATGGACCGGCAGCCCCTTGGCCTGATTCAAGGAGGCGGTTTGCTGGCGAATGACAATATTGTTGATGGGCGACGTGAATAGCTTACAGAAGATGCCCGCCAGCGAACCAATGGACAGTTCTTCTGCAACATTCAAAGTGCGGGGAACCGAGCCGGTATTACGTTTAATTTGTCTCACTCGTCTCGAGCGCATGAAATCGTAGGCAAAAAAATATAGAAACGCTTGCAACATGGTTGCCGCAGAATCCCCTACCACGCCTTCGTAAAATTCGCCCATACCACCCTCCTGGTAGATCTTGACGAAAGCGTCATATACAGAAGCATAATGCTTATCGGTTTTGATTTTATTTTGCACCTGCAAACGGGTGGTAATCAGGTCTAGCGGGAAAACAGTGATATTGGCCAGAGTACCGCCTATAGCACCGCTCAGAGCATGGACCAAAGCCGGCACCTTGCTAGCTTCCACCATGTCAAGAGTAAGCACATGTTATCGAGGTGCTGTGATAAGAAGAGGGGTTGCAAGCGGAGGAAAACGGCCGTCGTTTAATCAGCAGAGCAGCCTAAACTGCCGTCAAGCCATGCGACCAGAAAATAATAGCGCGATATTTGACTTTGGCCTGGTTATTCGCAAATTAGCCCCCTCTTTGCGACATTAGACCACCTCGGCGCGGTTAGGGTCGCTTAAATGCGCGTTTAAGTTTGAGTTTAGCTATTTAAAATATTTTCAATCTGTCGTGAGCCAATCACCGCGCACGCACTAGCGACAATACCAATCGCTCGCGCCCCTGCTCATCCTGGCCCACCGGCCATGGGCTGCTCATCCGTCCCACCTGCAAGAGCCCGAACCGGAAGAGCCAGCCCTTGCCCCAAATTGGTCCGAACGTAAGGACCTCGACGGTTTTGGGCATTTTCAGGAGGCCCATAACATAAGCACGCACTAGGACCTTCTTCTTGACCCATTCTTTTGTGCAGCGGTGCCACTGGGGTTTTGCGGATATATTAGCCAGACCAAGCCCAACTTGCAGCGCGCGCCATTGCCAAAGTAATAATCTACCTGTTTTAATCGGGACATACCCTGCAACAAAGTCTCTGTGTTGTCTAGCGAATCACCATGGACGGCCCAAACTCTAGCTCAGCTGCCATTTTGATGAAGCAGTACCGGGAGCTCACCAACCCGAAAAAGGCCATACCGTCGTTTCACATCTCTCTGGTTGACGACGACATCTACCACTGGAACATCGGTGTTATGATTCTCAGTGAGGACTCGCCGTACCACGGCGGCTACTTCAAGGCGCAAATGGATTTCCCCTACGACTATCCGTACGCGCCACCCAAGTTCCGATTCACGCCTTCCATCTTCCATCCTAATGTCTACCGCGACGGACACATTTGCATTTCCATTCTCCACCGATCGGGCGACCCCGCGAGCGGCGAACCCGACGGCGAAACATGGAGCCCGGCCCAGAGTGTGGAGAGCGTGCTCATCTCTATTGTATCTTTACTGTCTGATCCTAATATCAACTCTCCGGCGAACGTCGACGCTGCCGTCGCCTGGCGCAAAGACCGCGAGCACTACGACCGCCAGGTCGCCCGCGACGTAGAGGCCAGCCGTAAGAACATCCCGCCCGAGTTTGAAATGCCCAAAGAACAGTATGCATATGTCGCACCTCAGCCTGACTCAAAGGAAGAGGTCGTCGACGAAGATTTTTGGTACGAAAGCGAGGCCAGCGACGAAGATAACTACGACTCTGAAGACGACTTCACGAGCTGATTTCATGCCCTCTTCCGCCTTCCCCTCCTCTCTACTTTGCTTCTTTTTCTTCCCATCTCTCCACACTCTTTTTTTTATACCAGCCCATACTTATTTAACTGCAAAGGCATTTTCGACTTTTCTTGCTTATGCGTCCGCCGGGCCTCGAACCGGCGCGCTACTAAAACGACATGCGATTTTTCCGAATTGAGTCATCTGACTTTTCACATGTTGACTCTTTTGCCTGAGCTGGTGGAGCCACCCCATCTTGAACGGGGAATATTAACTGGCGCAGCGCTGATTGATCTGGCGAATGTCGACTTTGACGAGTTCGTCGTGCTGGCAAAGCTGCAGGCCGCAACGCTAGACTTCTATCTGCGTGTGCCCGATGCCATGCCTATGGACAAGGTGATCCAGCTGTTGGACGTTGGAACCCGTTGCGTTGTTGTTTCCCAGAACTACGCCGACCATTTGGTGTCTGAAGGTGTCACTGGCGAGCGTATCGTTGTCTGCACCCAGGATTTCGCTGCCGCAGAGACTCTAGTTGGCCAGGGCTATTGGGCCGGTGTGGTTGTTCCCCCTACAGATGCTGATTCCATCAACAAGCTGGTTGATCTGGCGGCAAAATCAGTTGCCAAGATCAATTACCTTGTTGATGTGTTTGTCGACGGCGCACAGTCGATCTATGAAAAGGTTCCTGGCGCTGTGCCGATCATCTCTCAAGAAGTCTTGACCATCCACCCTGACCAGGACACTAACAAGTTGTCGGCTGCGCAGGTTATCTGCTCAAGACTCAACTCTGACCGCCCTGATGGCTTGTTCACCACAATTGTCACCGATACCAACCACAGGGCGCTTGGCGTGTGCTACTCTTCGCCAGAGAGTGTGAAGGAAGCCATCTCAACTGCCACTGGTGTTTATCAGAGCCGTAAGCGTGGCTTATGGTACAAGGGTGCCAGCTCGGGTGCCACGCAGAAGTTGATCCGCTTGTCTATGGACTGTGATGGTGACGCTCTTGAATTCATGGTCGAGCAGGCCGGCCCCGGGTTCTGCCATAATAACACAACCAGCTGCTTTGGTTCGTTTGCCGGCTTGGCCGCCCTTGAAGAGACCGTTGTTCAGCGTATGAAGAATGCTCCTGAAGGTTCTTACACCAAGCGGCTGTTCACTGAGCAAAAGCTTCTGCCAGCTAAAATCATGGAAGAGGCCGAAGAGCTCTGTGAGGCTCAAAGCCCCGAGGAGGTTGCATGGGAGGCTGCAGACCTGCTCTATTTTGCTACCATCAAGCTTGCCCAGAGCGGTGTCTCGTGGTCTGATGTTGCCGCTAATCTCGATCTGAAGAGCCGTAAAGTCACCCGTCGTAAGGGCGACGCCAAGCCCAAGTGGGCTGAGGCTACCAAGGAAATCAAGACAAAGGAGAACCAAGCACCTCCTACCCCTACTGCACCTGTTCTAGAACCCAAAGTTGATGAGTCCACGCCTATTCATATGGGAGTCATCGATGGTACCAATACCACTGCCGTAGAGGCCTCGCTCCGCCGCCCTGCCCAGTCTTCTGGTGTGTTTGACCTGGCCAAGCCCATTGTGGCTGACGTTTGTGCACGTGGTGATGAGGCGTTGCTTGAGCTGACTGCCAAATTCGATAAGGTTCAGCTCAAGTCTCCAGTTCTGAATGCTCCTTTCCCTCCTGAGCTCATGCAGGTTAGCGACGAGCTCAAGGATGCTATCGACCTCGCTGTTGCTAATGTTGAGAAGTTCCATGCGGCCCAGCTCGGCAAAGATATCAGTGTCGAGACTGCTCCTGGTGTCGTTTGCTCCCGGTTTGCTCGCCCAATCGCCCGGGTTGGCCTCTACGTGCCTGGCGGAACTGCAATCCTTCCTTCCACAGCTATTATGCTGGGCGTACCCGCTAAGGTAGCCGGCTGCAAGGATATTGTGTTTGCCTCTCCGCCTCGTCACGATGGCACTTTGACTCCTGAGGTTGTTTATATCGCTCACAAAGTTGGTGCGTCTCAGATCGTTTTGGCAGGTGGTGCCCAAGCGGTTGCTGCTATGGCGTACGGCACGAAATCCGTCACCAAGTGCGACAAGATTCTCGGTCCTGGTAACCAGTTTGTCACAGCGGCCAAGATGATAGTCCAGACCGACCTCAATGCCCAGGTCAGCATTGACATGCCAGCAGGGCCCTCCGAGGTTCTCGTTGTTGCAGATGCCAAGGCAAACAAGGCTTTTGTTGTCTCTGACCTGCTTTCCCAGGCTGAGCACGGTGCTGATTCCCAGGTAATTCTTATTGCCGTAAACTACTCGTCTCAGGACGTCCTCGAGCTGCAAACTGAACTCGATAAGCAGGCTCGGGCGCTTTCTCGCGTCGACGTTATCCGCAAATCTATTGCCCACTCGACTATTCTGTTGACTTCGTCGCTTGAGGAGGCTATGAAGCTATCTAACCAGTACGCTCCCGAGCACCTGATTCTGCAGGTCGAGAACCCCAGTAAACTCCTGCCCCTCGTGGAAAACGCCGGATCAGTATTTGTGGGTGCGTTGTCTCCTGAGGCGTGCGGTGACTACACTTCTGGCACCAACCACACATTGCCGACATACGGCTATGCCAACCAGTACTCAGGGGTCAACACCTCGACCTATCTCAAACACATCACATCTCAGGAACTCACGCCGGAGGGCATTGCGTCTATCGGACCCGCCACCTATGCTCTTGCCATGCGTGAAGGCTTAGACGGTCACGCCAACGCCATCAAGGTCCGTATGAATGCTTTCAAATAACAGGAGAAAGATTTGTACGAAAATGGTCTATAGCATATAACTACGTCTATTTCAGGCTATCCCAGAACGACTGGGGCTCCTGGGCAAGCTCAGTATAGCCGCCAATGAACCGGCCCTTTGAAAAGACATAAGGGACGGTCCGCTGGCCGGTTCTAGCCGTGAGCTCCTCGCGCAGCTCCATGGTGGCTTCATTTTCCAGGACATCTACAACCTCGGGAGTAACACCGTGCTCCTGAGCAAGCTGCAGGGCACGTTGGCAGTAGGGGCAGGTCCGCTTGATGGCCAAAAACAGCGGCTTCTCGATCAACTTGGCGACAGGTAGCATTAACAAACACTCCGTTGCTGAGTCAACTTATATATCCTCTGACCGAACGGCAGGCTTCGTTGGGTAGGAATGGGATTGTTCAAGAATGACAAGCCGTACACGGCTGTTTCTTCCAAGATCGACCATATGACCACGAATCCGGGTGAGGCTACCGATCCGGCCGCCCTGCTTGAGCTGATTGAGCTGATTCAGATCAACACCAGTTCCGGAACGGCCGAGGCCGGGCGCTCACTGCGAAAGCATATAAAGCACGGCGATTCGACAGAACAGATGCGTGCGATTGTTATAGCAGAGGCCATTGTCGACAACGGCGGGCGCAAAATGGTCCCAATGGTGCGCGATACGGGGTTGGGTGAACAGATGCTTATGACCGCCCGTAGCGGAGGCTCAAAACCGCGCAAGTACGCTACCCGTGTGGTCAATTCGTGGGCAGCCAACTTTCCAGAGTTCTCGCACTACGGTGTGAAGGGCGAGCGCAGCTCCAGGCACGCGGGAGACTCCTCGAAGGGCAGAAGCCGCAGCCAGGACCCAGGCTATGAGGGCCGCAGGTACAGAGAACATGACGACCGTGACCATACTCGTGGCCGTTCAGTTCCCCGTACTCGCAGAGAACCATCTAGGTCGCCTAGTCGCTCTCCAAGCCCGCTCAACTTGAGGGGCCAGAGCCTCGAGTCGACAATTGCTCTTGGTCACTCTACCGCCACCCATTTAGTGAATTCGATGATCACTCACGACGACCAGCCTACTTTGTCTCGCGAAACGACAGGCTACTATGAGCAGGCCAAACAGATTCGCAGGCGGGTGCTAAGAATGATTACGGACGACACCCCAGAAGTCCACCGGTACCTCGAACAACTACTTCAAGTTAACGAAGACCTTCTAGAGGCAATCGTGGGGTACGAAGAGGAGGAAAAAACCCAGGTGCGGCCTGTTAGACGGGCGCCTGTTCCCTCTCTGCCTCGTCGCTCCGTCTCGCCTCCGTCTAAAGCTTATTCTCCGCCGCGGGCCCGGGCCGCATCCCCTAGCGGCAGCGATGGACCATTCAATGGCGAAGAGGAAGGGGACGATGAGGATCCTTTTGCTGATTCTCATGAAGCTACCGGCTCGTTGAAACACACGCCAGTTTGGTGAATATGTAGATTAAAAAAAGATTTCACTAGACAATTTGCTACGAATGTCCTCAAAAGACGGACCCAAAAGTAACCATTGAATTGGCCTTGCTTGATTCAATTTAGCGCCACAACGCTTGGGCTATTTAGGCCTTGTTGGCCTTGGTGGAAGCCTTAGCGTTGGCCTTGGTGAGGGCATCAAGACGGGCGACAGCGCTCTGCAGCTTGCTGGTAGCCTTGACGTGGTTCTTGGTACCAAGAGCAATAGCACGGTTCAAGGTGTGGGTGAACAGCTGAATAGCAGGCTGGGTAACCAAGTCAACAGCACCACCGGCAATGTTGGCAATGAGAACCTCCGCACCGTTGGTGATAGACTGGAAAACAGGGCCCAAAAGAGCATCGCCAACCATGTCAGAGAGACCGAAGGTAAGAGGACCAAGGGCAGTGGAAACCATGTTGACAAGGTTGTCAATCTGAGAGTCCAGACCGGTAATGCCAGCAGACAACATGTCAGCGGTGGGGTGGCCATCGTTGCTCTTGAGCTGGTGGACAAGAGCCTGGATGGTCTGCTCAGCGTTCTGCGCACCGCCCTTGATAGCATCGTAGATGGGGTTGAAAGCAGCACGGGACTCCAAGTGAGAGCTGACACCGTTGAGCTTAGAAATTGCAGACTTGAGCTCGACAGTGGAGACATCGTTAGCAGCAGCAACCGTGGAAACTTTCTCGAGGCTTTGAACGAGCTGGTTCACGGTGTCGTGAGAGACAAGGTGATCAGGGCTCTGGGCCAAGCTCTCGACGAAGAATGCAGAGCCACGGGCGACGCTGGTGACAAAAGGAGCCAGAGATGCCTTGACAAGACCATTGGTGCGACCATCGGTGGACAGGCTGGCAACATTCGAGATAGTTGACTCAATAGAGTGAGTAAGACTGGACACGAAGTTGGCAACGTACTTGCTGGTCAGGTGGGTCAAGTTCATGACGAGCTGGATAACAGCCTGGTCGACCTCAGCACAGTTCTTGGAGATCTGAGGAGAGATTTCAGAGCGGGCCGCTAAGTGTCCGTTCACGTTGTTGAGCTTGGAAATAGCCGAGGTCAACTGGTTCGTGGGAACGTTGTGAGCGGAAGCAACGGAGGAGACCTTCTCGAGGCTGTGGACAAGCTCGTTCACTGTATCGTGAGTAATGAGGTGGCCAGGGCTTTGGGCCAAGCTCTCAACCAAGAAAGCAGAGCCACGGGCGACACTGTTGATAAAGGGAGTCAACGAGGCCTTGACGATGCCCTGGCTGTTGTTGTCAACAACCATGTTCTCAATACTGGCGACAGTGGATTCAACAGAGTGAGTGAGACTGGAGACGAAGTTGGAAACGTACTTGCTGGTCAGTTTGGACATGTTCATGACAAGCTGAATGACGGCCTGGTCAACCTCAGCACAGTTTTTGGAAACCTGGGGAGAGATCTCGGAGCGAGCAACCATAGGGCTGGCATAGGCCATGGCCAGAACAGCAAGGACGAGTGATTTAGAGAACTGCATTGAAAGAGTGGATTAAGAGAAAGATAGACTTGAAGGTGGGTGGAGTTCTACAAACAGTATCGCCTGAATTTATACCCACGCCGCCAGGAACGTGAATTTAACATACTTTAAACTTCAAATTTAACTAGATCAGAGTTAAGTGACACCCAAACGTGCATATGTGCAACTTCCCGGCCCGGCTGGCCCCGGGCGCTGGCCCAGGAGGTCTAGTGTAACAACACCATAAACTAGCAAACCAGTAGCCCACTATCTCATGATCAGGTTCAGCACTACGAAGCATTAAGATTTTGAGCCTATATAGCGCGGAAGTTTAATCCATTACTTACACCAAAAACTTTGCCCTTGATTAAACCCATTGCAAGGGGGCCATAGCTGCGAGAATCCAAGCTATGCGTTAGATTGTCTCCTGTAACCCACACATGCCCATCGGGAACTTTGATCATCGCACAATCAGCAGTGGTTGGATCAACAATGATATAGTCGCCAGGCATGCCAGTGATACGTTTGCAGACACGCTGCTCAGGGTCCGTGGGCTTGGACGCTATGATCACGTCTCCAATTTCGCAATTCCGTCCTCGTCTAGCGAGTTTATTTGCATGCACAAAGTCACCTGTGTAATGTAAAGTGGGAAGCATGCTTTCCCCCGACGTCTCGCAGAGTTCGTACACATTGTTGTGTATGACGTGCACCGTACAACCTATTCGAATCGCCCAGGAGAGCGTTCTGGCAATAGCACTCATGGAATCCCAAGTAATCCCCGCCCAGCTATTAACTCTGCGTTCACTTCCGACGGAGGGTTAGATTGGCTAACTATTATGTAACTGGCGGATTATGGGAAACCCGCTACCTTATGAAAGACACCACGAAGAGGGGGTTTAAAGGTCCAGGCTTTTGTCAGCATAAAAATTTCAATCTCGACATCCCAAAAAAAAAAATGGCCAAGGAAGAGGTTGATAACTACGACGCCAGATTGCCGGTTGTGTTGCCGTTCTCTCATCCGCTTGCGTCTAAAAAGCTGAACAAGAAGGTGTTGAAGACAATCAAGAAGGCGTCCAAGGCCAAGATCGCCAAGCGCGGAGTCAAAGAAGTCGTCAAATCTTTGCGTAAAGGCGACAAGGGCCTTGTAATTATTGCTGGCGACATCTGGCCTGCCGACGTTATTTCTCATATCCCCGTTCTGTGCGAGGACAACAAGGTCCCTTATGTTTTTGTTCCCTCCAAGGAGGATCTGGGCCATGCTGGATCAACCAAGCGTCCCACCTCTTGTGTGATGGTTACCCCCGGTGGAGCTCAAATTAAAGACAAAGAGAAGCTTGAGGATTTCCAGAAGAGCTATGACGAGATCGTTAAGGAGGTCGAAGCTTCTGCTTAAATATTGTGCACGTTTTGTATATTTATATACCGCCCATAAGAACTTTTTTTTTCATGGATTAAACTACTTTTTAAGCTGGTTTGAGACCCATTTCTCGAGACCACCTTCAACAATAATTTCTTGCATGCTCTCGCCGAGCTCGCCTACTTTTTCCTTCAAGATCTCTTGGCCATTATTATCGCGCACAGTGACGGTAGCGGACTTGACATCCCACCGAGCAAACAGGCCAGTGCGGATGGTAGGCTCTCCGGAGGTGTACTGGGAGCGTAGGAGCTCGATCAAAGCAGGGATCTCGAGAGTTAAAAGAGCATTGTTGATGGAGTTGCGGGAGAAAATGTTACCGAAGGATCCAGCGATTACCAGCTGGATACCGCGGGCGAGAATACAGGTAGCTGCCTGTTCGCGAGACGAGCCAGTACCAAAGTTAAATCCAGAGACAATGATGTCACCAGCTTTGGTCTTTTTGCCGAACTCGGGATCGTAGTTCTCCATACAGACTTCAGCCATCTTCTCCTTAGGAACATCGTCCTGGTAGGTGTACTTGCCAGGGTAGATAGCATCCGTATTGATGTTATCAGCATCACAAAGAACCAGTTCGCCCTCAATACTCTCGGGGAAGCCAGGCAAAACTGAGACGGCAGCTTCAGTAGCACTAGCACCGGTAGGCTTGGGGTTGGCCTTGATATTCTTTACAAGATCCTGTGTTTTGGGAACAGCTTTGCCCTCGACTTCTTCAGGGAAACCAATACGACCGAGAATGGCAGAGGCGGCAACAACTTCAGGAGACGCGAGGTATGCTAAAGCATCACGGGAGCCCATACGTCCCTTGAAGTTACGGTTGGTGGCAGAAATGCCGACCTCGCCAGCTTCCAGCAAGCCAGTGCCTAAACCAATGCAAGGGCCGCATCCGGCGGGAAGCGGTTTAGCGCCGGCATTGATGATATCCTGCCAGTACCCAGCAGCCTCTGCGTCTTTCTGGACCTCAGAAGAAGCAGCAGCTACGTAAAACTCAACACCATCGGCGATCTTCTTGCCCTTGACAACATTGGCAGCAGCTTCGATATCACTCAATCTAGAGTTTGTACAAGAAACAAGATAGGCCTTGTTTACCTTGATATCTTGTTCAGCCAGCACACTAAGGGGCTTGGAGACTTTGACAGAGTTGGGGCCTGAGACACAAGGCGACAAGGTGCTCAGATCCAAAACTAGCTCCTTAGCGTAATAAGCATCCCCATCAGCAGATAGGGGGGTTTTCAGAGAGTCCACAGTCTCGCGGTTGACCCGAGGGTGGGGCTGAGGCAGGCGGGTAAGTCTTTCCTCGTACCACTTGACCAGAACATCATCAACAGGGAACAAGCCGGTCAACGCACCCCATTCCGTAGTCATGTTGGCAATAGTGAGACGCTCATCAACAGAGAGGTGTTTAGCACCATCGCCAACGAATTCAATAGCGTGATTAAGAACCTCGTCGTTGTTGAACACACCACAGAGAGCAACAATCACGTCCTTTCCAGTAACACCGGCGGGGAGCTCACCGCGAAGCTCGACCTTGGCGACAGGCGGAATCTGCCACCAGGTCTTGCCTGTAGCCCAAATAGATGCAGCGTCTGTGCGCACAACGGGAGTTCCCAAACAACCCACGCCGCCGTAAGTATTTGAATGGGAATCAGATGCAACAGTGAGGTTGTAGGGAAACGCGTAGCCCTCCTCGACCATGATTTGATGGCCAATTCCCCGACCGGCCGGGTAGAAATCAGTGCCTTGTTCCTTGGCAAAGTTCTCAATGTTGCGGTACTTTTCCAAGTTCTTTTCGGATTTGTTTTGAACATCGTGGTCGAGGGTCATCACAACCTGGCGATTATCGGCAACTTTCGCTGCTCCAAGGCCCTTGAACTTTAGCGCTACTGGCCATGAATTGTCGTGGGACATGCAGTGTGAGGGTCTAATGGAGACATAGTCGCCAGAGTGCACTTCTTTCCCATCAGCGAGCCCCACGGCATACTTTTGGACAATTTTTTCAGTGAGATTCTGTGCGAACAAAGGTCGCACGGACGAAAAATGTCGAACAGATCCTCCGACTCTGGAGATTTGCATGACTCACTTGGAACTGCTTACTCGGTAAATTGCAAAATAGTCATTGGTAGTCTGACTTAGTCAGGTTAGTCTGTCAAAGTTGGTTAAGTAGACACAATTGCACTGAGTCTTTAATTAAATTCGATAAGGAGCTAGGTAGTAGCATAAGCTATTAGAAGCACGTAGCTGTAGTTGCAGTCAGCAATTGGATCTGCCAGACTTTTAAAAACGGCTACGAGGTTGGCCCATCGAAGTAGTCGGTGGTTTAAGTAGATACAATTGCATTGAATCTTTGGTTAAATCGAGGTAGTGGAATGAGTGGTTAGAAGCACGCAGCTGTAGTTGCAGATTGAGCAATTGGGTCAGGCAGACTTACAAAAACGGCGACCAAACGCCGGTATCAAACTGATTCAAATAGAGACTATCACGCCACGAAGTAAGTTGTGAATTTCGACAGCGCACCAAAACATTTGCTGTTTGGCGCTGTGTCGGCTGGCAATTCGCACACAAAGTTGTCAGTCTGAATGACAATTGAAAACAATAACTATATCTATACTGAAAATAGAGCAGGCAGTTACTGAGGAGTATTCTCACCGGCAGCAGCAGCGGCGAATTTCTTACCCTCTTCAGAGTCAAGCGAGACGTTACCTAGAAAAGTGGGAACGGACTCAGGAGCGACCGAAGAAGACGTAGCCGAGGTATCGGCAGCAGAGCCAGGAACTTCCTTCAAAGGAGCAACGCCCTTGCCATTGTGAGAGGGGAATCCACCACGATCACGGTGGGTGCCAATAAGCTTCTGAACCATCTCGATCTGAGGACCAGCCTTCTCGTAGGCAAGCTTCTTACCCTTGGCGAGCTGCTGGTGAACATGGTGGCATCCCTGGCCAAGAGCATTGTCAATGGGCTGCTGGAATTCAAGGTAAAGACGGGGCACAGCGAAAGCACCAATGATGGCGATGAGGAACAGGCTCTTGAGAGAAAAGGCACCCAGGAGCTTGTAGGTGAGCCAGAAAGCAGCAGCAATACCAAAGCCCTTGGTGGGGTTGCGGGCGTCAACAACATGCTCAATACCGCCGTAGGCACGACGAATGCCACTTGCAACATGCTGGGCAAACGCATCGATGTTCTTGTCTTCAATGCGGAGGAAGCGGGACGGGCGGTAATTGGCTACCAAGCCGGATTTGGAGCCGTTCAGCTTGCGGGTGGCATATTCGACAGCAGAAAGCAGACCCACAGCCCAGTACGAGAGGCGAAGGAACAGGCGCAGAGTCAGGGTGGACGAAAAGACGACCCAGACAAGCAAGAGCTGTACGAAAAGCAAGCCGGTCTCCCTGGGGGTTTTCCAGGACAAAATTGCGGGAATCTCAAACGATTTGAAAGTGCAGCCCTTGCTGGAGCACTCGAATTTCGAAGCAGACGCACTGGTTGACATTTGCTAAAAAGTGATTAGAGAGAAGGGAAAAGGCTGAGAGGGTGCTGGGAGGCGATTATTTTCCAGTTATCACGTATCCACCGCAACAACCAATATCACGAGCGCGACCCTTACCCTATATATAGGGCCCATTAGCCCGACAGCTGCGGAGACCGCGGGAGCATGGACACCGGAGCAGGAGGCGAACGGGGTAGGCAAAACCGAAGCGGCCATGCGGGGTAAACGAGGGCAGGTGGGTTTTCTCAAATTGATTCTCAAATTGATTGACTTACGATCTGTTAAACATTAAATTCTGTAATTTCTAATGCCTCTAAACCTAGCAGCCAAACAACGCTTACCTTACCAGTTGATCCATCACGCGACGTCGTCCGACTATATTGATCAGCGGCGGTACCACTTGCGCTTGGGAGTCCCCCAAGAGTGGTATCGGAATCCACTTTAGTTAAGTTAGAAGTAGGCCTCATTGAAATAGTATGGTCAATTTTGGCCCCCAATTCCGCCTCCCGCTGGCAGAATTGGTTGTTCAGGCTGCTGAACTCCGCCTTGTTTCGCTCCAGGGCCTGGCGATGACTGTCGAGGCGTTTCATGACCACCTCCAACTTGGCGTAGTCGTCATTGAGCAAGCTCTGCAGTTTCAGGCGCTCGGCAACCAGCTGGCTGGCGTTGGTGCCAATATCGTCGCCCTGGATCATCGGCTCTATCTCGAGTTCGTTGTCCGAAACCGTGTGCTCTTCAGTAACCGTTTCGGCCGAAGAAGTCTCTGAGGGCTCCTTTTCATACACGGTTGCTAAGAAGTCTTTGAGATCCGAGTACACCAGCTGAAACACCTTCTCGACGCGTCCCTCGTGGGCGGTGAACTCGACCACCAGCGGGTCACTCGAGCTGTCCCACTCATTGGTGCCGTGGCCCGTCACATAGTGGTTGATGCGGTGCTTTTCCTGCTGGAACTCGATCTTGAAGTTCATGAGGCGGTGCAGGCCTCTAACTACAATCTCATGTTCGTGCTGTAACTGATCGCGACGACTTTGCCATTCACTGGCTTGCCGCTTGACATCGTCTGTAGTAACCATATAGAAAGAAAAATAGATGGAGCTTGTCCTATTGTGCGCTTTTTTATATCAAATGCAGGCACCGACACAGATACAGGTCCGAACCACCAAGGAGGTTTGGTGGGGAGCTTGGGCGCTTAAACCTTGGGTGGAATCAAAGCTCAAACAAATTGTTGCAAGTCTGTTTTTGTTTTAAAATGCGCAGGCTCGTGGAGTCTTCATTACCGTCGGATGAATCTCGCCGCCTGTCACCTGTCACGTCAAAACTCAATTCCAACTATGCTTTGCCGTGCCTATAATGTGCACCGCGCTACACATATTATCTGTAGATTTTCTTAAAAAAAAGTGCTCACGATGTAAGTTTCAAATTACGCCTCCGCCTCCCCTGCTTTGTCGAGGTGGTTCGCCATCAACTGGAACGCCAGGGTTGGGGTTTTGACAGAGGATCTCCGTTTGGCGATCAAGTGTGCGTTTCTATATTCTGCCGCCACCGGTGTTTTCGCGGGGGCTCAGCTACGGTGGCTTCACGGAATGACGACAGCTGCCAGCAGCAACTTTGTAATAGTGTGCTGCTTAGGTTCCACGGTGCTCACGCAAAGCTACTGCAAGCCCTTGCTTATTTCGTACAACACATGATTATGCAGAAAGCGTTGTATTATTTAAGATGTGGTTCAATTAGCCCCCGCGTCTTGTGCTTGATGCTCGCTTAGTCAGAATAAAAACTTTCCTTTCCGTATTCTTTTCACTTTTTACAAACCTCCGCAGCTGTCCGCTGACTATGCGCATCGATGACCTGAATCAGCTGGAACTCGATAACAAAGTGCCCCCGGAATCATCCTGGCATAACGACTACAATGACACTCCATACGTATACGTAAGTGGGTTTCCCAAAGAGATGACTGAGGGCGATCTTGTCATTCTATTTTCGCAGTACGGAACCCCAACGCATGTGGTTATAGTCCGCGATAAAGCAACTGGCAGATCGAAAGGGTACGGGTTCCTCAGGTATGAAGATCAACGGTCGACTGTGCTCGCCATCGACAATTTCAACGGCATTAGAATTCTTGGCAACACGCTTAAGGTAGATCATGCGAGGTACAAGCATAAGCCAGATGAATCAATTCCTCCTCTCCATGTGCTCTATGATGACCCGTCCTTGAAGGATGTTCTATAAATGGGACTGCATGTATGCATCAATCATCGGAACCCACCTTAGGAGCTACGAAATTTGCCAGATCGTTCTGTTTTCTTAAAACACAGATCGGAGATATATCTCACAACTCAGGTTTTATCAACTACATAAGTTCCCATAGACCTATTCGAAATAAAAAAAATAGCCTCCAAAACGGGTCCCGGGAAAAAAAAAGGTGCCGTCTTCCGCATGTGGCCAGCAGGTGTTACGATGCCGCCTTCTGCGCCCGCTGCCACAACCACAAACGTAGACAGGGAGCCGAAGCCGATGCTAAGCAGTGCTCCCCTTCTGCACACTCTGCGTCCCTCCAACTGATCGTCAGTATTCCGCCCTATAGTGGATCGCCACCGTCTGCTCGTACGGCTCGATCTGCAGCCCATGCAGTCACAGGCCTCGCGCATGTAAAAGCATGCTGGCATGCTGACGAAGTTAAAAACTGTCCCTCCTGACTTGCCAAAATCTCAAATTTCAGGCGCCCTAGGTCGGTAGTGATTCTAATTTACACACCACAACAACATTCGTGAATTGAGCTGTGTTTATTATCCCAAGGAAGTACTATTTCCTCCCTCCCGCTTATCCGCCTCCTCCTGTTTCCACAGCGCCTCTTTTTTGCCCCAATACTAGGTCAAAATGGGCAGCCTCGACGAAAAAGCGCAGCTACCCTACGCGATGGATTCCAATGGATCCTCGAGTTCGAGCTCCGAAATCACACAAAATAGGAAGTTTTGGCAAAAGTCCAAAACCACAAAGGCCCCGGCCAAGGTGGAAGAAAAACTCCAAAAGCCAGAAGACAAGTTCGTGGATGTTCCCGAAGCAGACAAATCAATTTTGCAAGAGCAGCTGGAAATTAAACCCACAAAGGCTACTATACTAACCCTTTACAAATACGCCACCCCAATCGATTGGCTTTTGTTGGCGATAGGCTGGTTCTTCGCTGCAGTCCATGGTGCAGCTTTGCCTATGTTCACCCTAGTTGTTGGTGATTTGGCAAACAATTTTAGGGCATTCATGGGAACGGCTACAATAGATGTTCACGAATTCAAACACAGTGTATCTGTCAATGCCCTTTATTTTGTTTACATCGGCATCGGAATCATTGGTTCCGGTGTAATCGAGTCTTATCTCCTGGTAGACCGTGGTGAAATCCTCACTTCGCGCTACCGTAAAGCATATCTTAGATCGATTATTCGCCAGAATATCGGTTACTTCGATCACCTAGGATCCGGTGAGGTCAGTACTCGCATCACTAATGATACCACGGCCATCCAAGAGGCCATTTCCGAAAAGATGGGTAATATTATTTCTGGTACCTCCACTTTTATCGCTTCTTTGGCGATTTCCTTTGCTGTGCAATGGAAACTAGCCGCTGTTCTTTTAGGTGGTGTTTTTTTCATCATGGGTTCCATGTCCGGTGCTTCAATTTTCATGATCAAGTACACTGTCATGTCTGAAAAGGTGTACTCTGCCGGCTCTTCGGTTGCCGAAGAGGCTCTTATGGCTGTACGCAACACAGTTGCATTTGGTGTCCAGGATCTTATTGCCAAACGCTACGATGACCAACTGGCCATTACCATGAAGTGGTCGCGTAAGAGCGGCATCGCATTGGCATGCATGCTTGGTCTCATTTGGAGTGGCATTTTCTTCATCTATGCGTTGGCCTACTGGGAAGGTTCTCGTATCGTCGCTTGGGGCCAGGCTAGCATTGGTAAAATCGTTAACGTCGTTATTGCTATGTTGATCGGTTCGTTCCAAATGGGCAATATCGCGCCTAACATTCAGTTCTTGGCCAAAGGATTGGCAGCTTGCAAGACGATTAATGAAACCATCGAACGTGTACCCAAGATTGATGCTATGGAAGGTGGCGGCAAGATCCCCGAGAAGGTTGTTGGCCGCATCGAAATCAAGAACGTTCGCTTCCGTTACCCTTCGCGTCCCGACGTGCTTGTTCTCCCTGATTTTAGTCTCACCGTTGAAGAAGGTAGTACCGTCGCTCTGGTTGGTGCTTCTGGTTCTGGTAAGTCCACTATCGTTGGTATTCTCGAGCGATTCTACGACTACCTTGGTGGTTCTGTCACTCTTGATGGTGTGGAAATCCGCGAACTTGATGTCAAGTGGCTCCGTCAACAAATTGGCTATGTCCAGCAGGAACCCACTTTGTTTGCCGAGAGTATTTATGAGAATATTGCCCACGGTTTGATTGGCACCGAGTTTGAACATGCTCCCGAGGATATCAAGCGTGAGCGTATTATCGACGCTTGCAAACAGGCCAATGCTTGGGACTTTATTCAGACCCTCAGTGATGGCCTTGAGACGAACGTTGGTGATCGTGGTTTCCTGATGAGTGGTGGCCAAAAGCAGCGTATCGCAATTGCTCGCGCAATCGTGTCCGACCCTAAGATCCTACTGCTTGATGAAGCTACTTCTGCTCTAGATACCAAGTCTGAGGGAATTGTTCAGGAAGCATTGGACCGTGCTGCCCAGAGCCGCACCACTATTGTTATTGCCCATCGTTTATCCACTATCAAGGATGCCGACAAGATTGTTGTTATGCAAAAGGGTGTAATTCTTGAGCAAGGTACTCACCATGAGCTTCTTGCCACCGATTCAAACTACGCTCGTCTTGTTTCAGCCCAGCGCGTTAGCCGCAAGTCTGACAACGCCGCAGCGGTTCAAGACGCAGATGATGCATCTTGCGGTGACGAGAATGTCGAAACTATTCATGGTCTGGTCAAGCAGGAGGACGATATGGTTGTTCTTGGTGAGTCCACCACACGTGTGCCCACAAATTATAGCTTTGTCCCCGGTGCAGGTCCTTCTGACTCGAAGATTTCTATTTTCACATCTTTAGCTGCCCTTTGGCGTTTGGCCAAAGACGAACACCCTCACATGTATATCGGTTTCTGCTTTGGTTTAATCTTGGGTTACTCTTATATTGCCATGTGCATGGTTACCTCGAAAATGATTTCTGCTTTCATGGTTCCTCCTTCGATGTATCCTGAGATGCGTGATCATATTAATACCTATTCGGGATTCATGTTTATGCTTGGTGTGATTGCTGGTCTGGCTGGTTTACTCATGACCCTGTTCTTATCCTACTCGTCTGTCAAGTTGGTTCGCCGTATTCGGTACGAGCTTTTCAGACAGTATCTGCGCATGGATATTGCCTTCTTCGATCACGAGCAGAATTCTTCTGGCTCACTTACTTCGGTGCTCGCCAAAGATGCTAAATCTATTGAAGGTCTCGGAGGGTCTACTCTTGGTCAGATGATCCAGTCTCTTACAACTCTATTTGGTGGTATTATTACCGGTATTGCATTCAACTGGCGTATCGGTCTTGTCGCTACTGCCTGCGTTCCTGTTTTGGTCTCCTGTGGTTTCTTGCGTGTGTTCGTCATGAATCAGCTTGCTGAACGTGGTCGTCGTGTGTATGAGAATTCTGGTTCCATGGCATCTTCGTATGCTACCGCGGTTCGTACTGTCCAATCTCTTACTCGTGAAGACGAAGTGTGTGATGTCTACAACCGCGCAGTCGACAACCAGGTATCTCGTTCTCGTCCAGCTATTCTGCGGTCTGCTATCTTGTATGCATTCTCTGAGGGTTTCACACCCTGGGTAACTGCGCTTGTGTTCTGGTTCGGCTCCAAGATGATGATTGATCATCATGCTACAATTTTCAGCTACTTTGTTGTTTTCATGTCAATTGTCCTCGGTGCTCAATCTGCAGGTCAGATGTTTAGTTACGCCCCGGATATCGGCAAAGCCCGATCTGCAGCGGCCAACATTGTTCGGATCTTGCGCGAGACCCCTAACATCGACGTTTGGTCGACTGAGGGTGTGGTTTTGGACCCCCAGGAGGTTCGTGGTGACATTGAGTTCAAGGACGTATATTTCCGTTATCCTACGCGTACTCAGGTGCCAGTTCTTCGTGGACTCAATCTGAGCGTTAAGCAGGGTCAGTACATTGCTCTTGTTGGTCCTTCGGGATGCGGTAAGAGTACCACCATTGGCCTTACTGAGCGTTTCTACGATGTCATGGATGGCCAAGTTCTATTTGACGGACATGACGTTCGCGAGCTCAATCTGGCTGTTTACCGTGGGCACATTGCCATGGTTCAGCAAGAGCCTATGCTGTACTCCGGTACGATCAAGGAGAATATTCTCATGGGATGGCCCGGTAACCCTGAGGATGTCACCGATGAGATGATCGAGGAGGTTGCTCGCAAGGCCAACATCCACGACTTTATCATGTCACTCCCTGACGGATACGAGACTGATGCAGGTTCTCGTGGCGCACTTTTGTCTGGCGGCCAAAAGCAGCGTGTTGCTATTGCTCGCGCGCTTATTCGTAACCCCAAGGTGCTGCTTCTCGACGAGGCCACCTCTGCCCTGGACTCTGAGTCTGAAAAGGTCGTGCAGGCCGCTTTGGATGAAGCTGCCAAGGGCCGTACTACGATTGCCGTTGCTCACCGTCTCTCTACTATCCAGAAGGCGGATATCATCTATGTGTTTGAGAATGGACGCATCACCGAGTCCGGCACGCATTACGAGCTATTGGATTTGAACGGACGTTATGCGGAGCTAGTCCGTCTACAGTCGTTAGAAGAGTAGAACCAACCACAAATATTACTACGGTTTTCTTGAAGGGTATATTAACCCAACATTAAATAGTGAATCAATTTAATCATCTAATGAAAATGTGCACTCCCCCTTTGTCCAGTAAATGCTGAAATGGTGAACGGCTGGCTGCCGGGTGCTAGGGCTTAGGGCTGGACTAATCTGGGGGAGCACTCACGCATACAACCCCAGCTGACGGGTGAGAGTGAACCGTAATGTCGAACAACGTCTCCTACGACCTGATCTGGCAGATCTCTCGCGCTAACTCTAGCTACATTGTCAAGCGCAAGAACTGCGGTGGTGTCCAGTTCTCCCGTGAGCCCCTGAACGTCACTGGTTTCTACACCCAGGCCGCTTCTGGTTTCGCCAACAAGACCGCTGTTGGCGTTGTTTCCTCCCCCAAGGGCATCAAGCTGATCACCAAGTCTGCCAAGAACAGCAAGTCTGCTAAGGTTTCTTCCTCCACTTTCAAGCACAGCAAGGACTCCCGCAAGATCGCTGCTGCAGTCTCCAAGTCCACCGTGAACCACCGCGACGACCTCTTGGAGGCCGCTGTCGCCAAGGCTTCTGCTCTTGCTCGTGGCCGCTCTGCCAAGAAGGTTTACGCTTCCAAGCGTCGCTAAATTAGCCACTAAATAATAACTGGCATTTTTATAATTTCTCTTTTCTCCTAGAATTATGCCCGTCCTCGGATATACCCGGGTGGCCCCGGGCATACTGGGCCTGTCCGCGGCGGATAATTCCCGTGCCCAATGGTGTGCTAGGGTTAGGGCCGGGTGGGTTGGCTTACTGCCAGCAGTATATAAACGAGCGAGGCTTTGCTTAATCCCCACAAAGTCTTAAAACAAAATGGTTAAAGCTGTTGTTGCTGGTGCCGCTGGCGGAATTGGTCAGCCCCTCTCTCTTCTCCTCAAGCTCTCTCCCTACGTCGATGAGCTTGCTCTTTACGATGTCGTCAACTCTCCTGGCGTTGCCGCCGACCTGTCTCACATTTCCACCACTGGTCCCGTCAAGGGCTACTTGGCCAAGGACGAGGCTGGTCTCAAGGGTGCTTTGACGGGCGCTGACATTGTTGTCATTCCTGCTGGTATCCCGCGCAAACCTGGCATGACCCGCGATGACTTGTTCAAGATTAACGCCGGCATTGTCCAGAATATCATCGAGGGCATTGCTCAGTACGCCCCCAAGGCCTTCATCCTCATTATCTCCAACCCGGTCAACTCCACTGTGCCCATTGCCGCCGAGGTCTTGAAGAAGCACAATGTCTTCGACCCCAAGCGCCTGTTTGGTGTCACCACCCTCGACTCTGTTCGTGCCGACACCTTCACCGCCGAGGTTAGCAGTATCAAGGACCCCAAGTCTGTCCACGTCCCCGTTGTCGGTGGTCACTCTGGTGAGACCATTGTTCCCCTGCTCTCCTTGACCACCCCCAACGTCTCTATCCAGGGCGAGACCCGGGACAAGCTCGTCAACCGCATTCAGTTCGGTGGTGACGAGGTCGTCAAGGCAAAGGACGGTGCTGGCTCTGCCACTCTGTCTATGGCTTATGCTGGTTTCTTGTTCGCTGAGGCCGTCCTTAAGGGCGCCAAGGGTGAGGCTGCTACTGCCGCAGCCTACATCCACCTCGATGGTGTTACCGGTGGCTCCGAGATCAAACAGAAGGTTGGCGTTGACTACTTTGCCGTCCCCGTCACTTTCGGTCCCGAGGGTGCGGTCAAGGCAGAGAACATTCTGACCAAAGCCAACGAGTACGAGCAGCAGCTGCTCAAGGTTGCCATTGATGGCCTCAAGGGCAACATTTCCAAGGGTGTCGACTTTGTCGCCAACCCCCCTGCCAAGTAAGTATTGGTCGTAGCTTTTTTCTTCGTTTCTCAAAATTGCACTGTGTACTAACTCCGACTCTAGTTGATCCAACCGTTGGTTGCTGCTGCTGCTCCCCGCTTACTAACCCTAACCCCACATCTACTCCTCTCCTGCCCTACCCTGACGTCTTGATTAGGCAGGGAAAGAAAAAAAAGAGGTCCTGTAGAGCCCACGTGACCTCCTCCTGCTTTTGAACTTTTGTAATCTGCGGACGAAAAACTATGTTTCCGTCCTGATATGGATTTCGAGTCGAGGTTCAGTTCACCCAAGCGGGGGCTGGATGAGGCTTTCGATGACGATCTGCCTGCTCCTATGAGCACTCCCCCTTCCTTGTCGAGCCCGGGCCCGCAGATTTCTCGCCCTGCATCGCCGTCGAAGAGAACGCGGTCGATTGCTCCTCCAGTACACATTGGCCCAATTGCGTTCAATGCACGGGGAGAGCTCGAGCCAAAGTATGCTCCACCTAATTCCTGCTCCCGCCCCGGCGTCCACAGACTTCTGCCCCCCGAGGCCAGTGTGCGTCTTCATCTCGCGGTGCCGGCACCGCGGACGCTAACATGCAATGTGCAGACCGTGCTGGCCGCGGCTGAGCGGAAATATATTCTCATTTTCACAAACGATCTGTCTGATATCGCCGCTATCTGCGAGCGACTGCTCACCCTCCCGGACATTGTCAGTCTCGGTGTACTTGTGTCAAACAGCCCAGCCATGATTCCCCTATCGGTCCCCATGCTCGAGGACTCCAAGGGAATTCTGGCCAGGGAATGCCGCGTCCTGGACCCTCTGGGCGGTGGCCGCGTCGCCGCGGACTGTTTGGTGATGGTGCGCGACGGCGAGGTGCAGGCCACTGTGCTGTTGGGCCGGCCTTTCGACGACATTGTTCGCCAGATCCAAGGATTCGCCTCGATATAATCAATTCTAACTTAACTTACTACAACTTCTTCTAGTGCACCGAGTACTGTGCCCGTTGGATGAGCTTGTAAATAACCACCAGCACGAAAGCACTGAAAGCGAACAGGCCCACTCGCTGCTCGAAGTTTAGCACCTCAAACAGCGGATAGGGGTAGAAATTGTTGTGGGAAAACACATGGTCGATCCAGGCCCAGTACCCGCCGGCCAGGGCGCCGAACACGGCAAAGGGACCGACAAAGCCAGCATGCCACAGGTCGGGAGGAGCCATGACGGCCCGCAGGACCTCGAACAGGGCAGGATAGAGGTGGAGTTTGCGGTCCAGAGAAGGATTGAGCTCAAGAGCAAACTTCGGGTCCAGGACCAAATCGGTGTCGACAAAGCGCAACGCCCAGTACAGGGCCGAGATCAGGCACTCAATTGGAGCACATACTTGCAAAAGCCAGCTGGAAAGACGACGAAAAGACCGCAGCTGGGACAACTGGGCCACCAGGGACACCGCTTCGCCAATGAACGACAAGCAGAGCCCGAGGATGGTCAAAAACTGTAAATGACCGCTGTACGACCGCGCAATGAGCGAATCGTCTCGCACAAGCAACGCATGCAAGCCGGTGTAGTACGTCCACAGCGCCAAGCAGTTCAACCCGTAGCGAAGAAGCATCAGGAAAGTCAGGTAAGCAGATTTCGCCGACCGGCAACTACGTAGGTTTTTCTATAAATCAGTTACACGCTTTTTGCCCCCTCGTTTTGGTGTGTAGTCGTTAGGATGTAGTCGACGAATGTGCTGTTGTTTGTGAGTAGACGCTTTGGGGCCCTTGAACAGCCGCCCGCAGTGCGGGCACTCCTCTTGGCGGTACTGGGCACCAGAGCCACTTGCTGGGGCCGGGGACGCGGACGACGAGCTGACGGGCATTCTCTGTGCACCTTGCGGTCTTGGGCCACTGGCGGCGGAATAAGAACTGGCCGGAGGAGGACCCGAGGACGCGCCGGGCGGAGCCGGGTAGTTGCCGTAATTGTCGGCATTCGACCGCCCCAAAAGCGTGCCTGGCGCTTGATTCGGCCGCTGAGAGAGTAGCGTTGGAGGCATACCGTCGCCTCGCTGGCCCGGGCCCGAGAACTGCGAAAAGGCGTTCCGCTGGCTCTGCGCGTAACTCATGGTGCCTGACGGCGAGGACGTGGCGGCTGGCGGCACATGTGTGAGCAACGGGTGTTGCGGAAACGAGGATTTTGAGTGCGAAACAGGCGGATACGGCCCCGGTAGAGCCACGTTCAGCCTGCCGTTGTTGATCGGCTCGTGGGGCAGCCGCGGCGGCGCCGCGGCCTGGAAGGGAATGCCCTCGACCGAGTCTATGGCGTCACAGAGAGCTAACAGCCCGATAGAGTCGTAGTAGGACATGGTTTCGTGTGTGTTGTGACTCATACGTGGACTTTGCTGGAAGGCGGAGACAGACACAAACAACCCTGGGCTCACAGCGTCTAAGTGTCGTTGGCGTCTCGAATGTCAAAATTGCTACCGCGGCGTGGGCTTCTTCGCGGTTCCACTGATATATTCCAAAAGTGAGGCGGACAAAGACAGGTGGTTTGGTCCCAGCCGGATGTTTTCAGGATTTTCATGCACTGGTTGGGAGTTTCGATGCAGGGAGCTGCAGGTGGCGTAGCACGTTTTAAATCTATGGAAAGAAAGAACTGAATAAATTAAACCAACAAAACGGCGTTGACGGTTCCATCCCGATCGGGCTCGTTCGTGATCTGTGCATATTTACCCCACACAACCTTACCGCCCGCAGTAACCAGCCCGAGCTCGCTGACGTTGACTTCGATGATCGTACCTTTGGTCAACACGCCCAGCTGGGTGTACATGGGGCTTTGCGGGTTCTTTTTCACAGACAGAATCGGCAGCGAAACAGTGACGCCGAGCTCCGGGTGCGTCACGTTGGCCTTCTTCTGCCGCAGTGCTGCGGGCCGGATAATGCGTTCCATCTTGACCGGTCGTCGCGTGAAGCCCTCTCCCACAAATGTGTGTTTGGTGATCATGCGCTTCCAGCTCTTTTTCTGCCGTTTACCGCTCTTGATTGCCTTGAACATTTCCTCTTCGGAAATACCTCGCACTTTGGGCAATGGCACAGAGAACTTGTCGGCCTTTTCCAGCCGCTTCTGCTTGATGGATGTGGAAAGCGCCTTGGCAGTGTTGGGTGTCTGACGGTCCAGCAAATACGCAGGCAGAGCCTCGCCGGTATTGGCAGGCTCGCCGTCGCCCTTGACCTTCGATTGCTCGTGCTGCTTGATCTTCTTCTTCATCTCCACCTTCTCTGCGTACCGCTTCTTCGCAAACATCTTGGCCCGGAATCCTCGCAGGTTCTGGGCGTCCTTGGCAACCCGATGCGCCTCACGTGCCTCCTTCTTGCGCTTCCGCTCCTCATGATCTAGTCTGCGACCATATTTCTTGATATGTTGCTCAATATATTCGTTCTGAGGCATGGCAGGTGTGAAGAAAATTTCAGCCTAAAAATTTCCGTTTATGTAATTTTTTTTTTCTTGTTCCTCCAGAAAAAAATGTCGACATTAAAATCGTTGACAGAAGGAGTTTTAAAGCTCGCTGAAGCCCTGGAAAACAACGAAATTGTCAAAAAGGAAGATATCCAAGAGTGCGATAACGGCATCTCCCTGTTTGCTCTGAAAAACGACGCCCTTTTGTCATACATCAACAACATCGCTTTGATCATTGCCGGCCAAATCAAGCGATCCTTGGGCGAGGAGACTCAATCGGAACTCGAAAGTAGTATTAAACGCACTATCGAGCAACGAGTAACTTTGGAAAAGGGTATTAAGGGCCTGGAGGCAAAGATCTCTTATCAGGTTGATAAAGCCCTCCGCGCATATCGAAAATCACTGGAAACTGCAGAGGTCGAGGCCGAGCAGGACAGCGACAGTGAGGATGACTTGACGAGCTTCAGACCGAACGTAAATCAGCTGCAGTCCAAGAGCGACGACGAGAGCGACGACGAAGAGACGACCAAAAAGTACCGGGTTCCTAAAATCGCAGCCACTACACAGTTCTCCAAGGATCGTAAATCCCGCCGCCGGGACTTTACCATGGAGGAATATATCCAAGATACTCAAGATGCTCCTATTGCCGAACCATCTATCGGTACCACTATTCAGGACCATGGCCGTGGTGGCATGAGCACCGACAAAGACCGCCGCAAGACCCGCGAGGTGCAAACCTACGAAGAAGACAACTTTACCCGCATTCAGAACGTGTCTTCCAAGCAAGCTCGCCGCGATGCTCGCCAACGCCAGCGAGATGCCATGTCCAAGTCGTTCTTTGGTGAAGACTGGGGCTTTTTGCAGGACGGAAGCGGCAACAAGCGGCGGCCCAAAGGATCGGGCCAAAAGTCGAAGCGTAGAAAACACTGATTATTTAAAACTTTAAAGTCACTAAAACACATAGGGAATAAAAATGTACGGGCAACGCTTGCGGTACTCGACCCAATCGTCGCCATACTTGGCAGCACACTTCTTCATGTCACGATCGCAGCGGTGCAGGATCATGAAGAAGAAGAATACCGGGTAGAAGTAAGGCAAAGGCGAATTAAAGCCTGTGATAAGGGCCCAGCAGAGGTTCTGGATAAAGTCTGCAGTGTAGTGAGCCTTGTGGGCATAAACAAACCAGCCATCTGTCAAAAGACGGCTGCCATTCTTGCACTGAATAAACTTGGGGTTCTCGATGTGGGTATAGGGCCAGACCGGGAACGCCTTGCGCTTGATAAGCTTGCCTTGAGCCATAAGGCGGAACCCGTTCTTCTGACCGTTTGCAGTGTCAAAGAAAAAGTGGGCAAGCACAAGCACAACCAAGATTGTCCACTTGGACCAAGTGGGGATATCATAGTCCTTGGGGTCATGGGAGTACATGTAGAGCGTATTGTAGCAATACGTGAACGGCACACCGGAAATGTTCCAGAAAATAAGCATGAAGCCGAACTTTTCGTAAAACATATCCCATGAAGGAACAATCAAATGCTCACCCTTGGCGCAGGCATTGCCGTACAGCCAGGTGCCCAAAAGGGCAACCAAGGCCTGGAAGGTAGGCTGGCCGTACGTCTCATACTGGTGTAAGACCAACGCCAGGGACAAGAAGATCAGAGTGAACCACGGGAGGCGGACCTCGAAAAAGAGCTTGTAGTCGACAATACCCCAGCGAGGGTACAGAGGCCCACCCATGAAGAAATCATGGATGTAGTTGCCCGACATACGCACCGCCGTCTTCTGGTAGAGGGATTGGAAGAAGATGATGAACGAGAACGAGAAACCAATGATGATGGACACGGTCATGATCTCGCCAAAGCGCTCAAGAATCGTCGGCAGCTCGAACAGGCCCGTAAAGTGCAAGACCAGCACAGTCGTCAGCGAGAAGTACAGGGCTTGGAACGCGTTGCAGTAGTACTTGAGGTGCTTGCCCAGGTGAGTAACGTACACACCTTCAGTCCAAAGACCGCCCGGCAAAAACGCAGCGAGAACAAGCTGGAACAAAAAGTATCCGCCCTCAATGGCCCATGCCTCCTTGGTGGGGTAAGCGTGCTTGTATGCCAGACCGGCGACGCGTTTGACAAAGTCAACCACCGATTCGCCAGCCGCGGGACCCATCAACTGACAATCATTGACCTTGTAGCAGACAAACATGTACCACATAAGTATCGGGAACCCAATCATCATTGCCATGTTGCCGGCCCAGCCACCAAACTCGGTCTCGCCGGTGTAAACAGTGGCATCATACTCGAACTTGGACTCGCCTGACGCGCCGGTCGAGGTCTTTCCCGTCTTGCGGGTCGAAGAACGCTTGGTAGTCTTCTTGTCGGGCGTGGAAGACGTCTTGGCTGTTTCCATTTCTTGTGCCCGCGCTTGGCTCCGCGTCGTGGGCATTCTTATATTATTTCAACGGTGGGTGGAATTTGTCTCCGTTCCGGCCGTGAGGTAAGCGGAAAGTCTGCGGGTAAGGGTTCGAATACGAGGAGACAGCGAATTTGCGTATAAATTAGGTTGGTGTTTAGAAAAATACCCGGGAATAGAGCAGTGGCTTTTTGTTCCCGAGAAAGTCTTTGTGGGGGACCCTACACCGCTCCCAAAGTGCAGTCACAGATCTACGCCGACCCCAATGCGTATGCTATCAAAACACATTGCATACGGCAGTTGCATGGGTTACATGGTTTTTTTTATATCGCTAAAACTGTATATTTAGAAATCAACGAATCCACCTTCCTTCAAGGCAGCCTCATAGTAACCGTAAATAGTGGTCGCGGCAAGCAGAATACCGGTTCCAGAGCCTAGGGTGCCAACGAGATCGCTGACAACGGCAATCAGGCCAATAAAAACACCACCGAGAGCGGCGGCAATAGGAATGATTTTCTTGAGCTCGCGATAAGTCGAGCCCTCGCGGACGGTGGCAATCGCAATGCCCTGGTCCTTGAACTGGCGGGCAACGTCCTTGGGAGAGGTACCGGAGATGTCAACCCACGTCTTGGAAAACACCGCACAGGTGGCCACGACGTAGCAGACGTAGACAATCAGCTGCAACGGATCAGTGACGACCTCACGGAAACTCTGCGGGGGCTGCATGTAGTAGGCAATGCCGCCGACAGCGTACAGTTGACCAGTCAGGGGACGGGTGTCCCAGGTACCAATGATGCGCGAAAACAAAGACTCGGGGAAACGAGTGAAAATCATCTGGGAGATCATAAACAAGTTGGAAGTCAACGCGTTCTGCAACATGATGGGGGTGTTGGACGTGTAAAACAGGCGGACCGGGAACGTGCCCAGGGGACCGCGGGTCTTGATGCTTCGCACGGGCAAATCCAGTTTCAGAGTCTGCAGGTAGACAATAACCAGGAATACAATCGCCGTGATAACCACCTGGGACATGTTGGGGTTGCTGGTGCGCGAGAACGAGTCGACCAAGGCAGTCCACTTGCTGCGTCCAGTGCTCATGCGGTAAACAAACTCGACGACGGCGCCCTCAAACTCGTAGCCCCGACCGGAGTTGATGGTGTTGGGAGAAAACGCTTTCCAGACCACCTGCTCGCACACGTTGGTGGCTACAAACAGCGAAATGCCCGATCCCAGGCCATAGCCCTTCTGGAGGAGCTCGTCCAGCAGAATGACAATGATGCTAGCAACAACCAGCTGCAAAATGAGCAGCAGGCACACGCCCCATCCCAAAGAAGCGGACGGACCATACATACCGGTCATGACATACACGGTGGCCTGGCCAAACGACAAAATGATGGCCAGCATTTTCTGCGAGGCCTGCAAAAGCTCTCTATCGGCTTTGTCGTTTGTGTCGATCTGCACCAGTCCCGTTCCCGACAGGAGCTGGAACACCATGGCAGAGGTCATGATTGGCGTGATACCCAGCTCCATGAGAGTACCGCGGTTCGACGCGAGCATCATACGCAACCACAGCAGCGGGTCGCTGGTGTCGGCAGAAACAATACCGTACAAAGGCATCTCGCTCATGACCAGGAAAATCATGAGCACCACGGCAGTCCACATAATCTTTTGGTTGAAAGCGATTTTACGCTTGGGGCCCGTAACCTCAGGGAGATACGGGGCAAATGGCTTGACTATGTCAAGAAAGCGAACACCGGCCATTTTATTAGCTTAAGTTTTCAATGGGCGGTCTCGCAGTGGAAATTAGAAGTCGAGGGGTAATTCGCGCTTGACTAACCTTCAAGTACCGGGCCACGTCACGGTAACGGTGACTAAGAATATCGAATTGGCATTGCACATTGGGCGCTCAAAGTAGAAGGAAAGCATTGCAGGCCCGGAGCGAAGGGCGGCTGAAGCGAGAACTTGGGCTGCGGGTGCGGTCCAGACTTCTCGAGGCACTCGGGGCGCTACAGGGGGATACCCCGGACAAAGGTTTGGGTCCACTTGGATTCGCAAAGGTTTGACTGCAGGAGGTTTGATAAAACGTCTCGACAGAGTTAGATACGATGGCAAAGGGGGCGAACTGACGAAAATGAAATACAAAGTCAGCAATGGTATATAAGCGGGTTAGCGGAGTTTTTACGCGTGAGTGTTGGCTTAGCTCAGTGGTAGAGCGTGAGATTGCAAATCTCAAGGTCTCGGGTTCGACCCCCGAAGTCAACTATCCTAAACCCACGTTGGTTTAGCTCAGTGGTAGAGCGTGAGATTGCAAATCTTAAGGTCTCGGGTTCGATCCCCGAAATCAACTGAGTTGATATATTTTTTTTCATTTCGCCAAGACTGTCTTCGCCTCCTTTTGTGTTTCTCTGGGAAATTCCGGCCTCCCAATCCGCCCGTATCTAACTTTATGCCACCGCTGTCCGTCAACGGGGCTCGCTCTACGCTCGTGCAGCCAATCGAAAATATATGAGGAACAACGCCCTTGCCCTCCTCCTCTCTTTTACTAACCCAAAACTCGTCATGTCGTGGCAAGCCTATGTTGACAATTTGCTGAGCTCTAGTAAGGTTGATCAGGCGGCATTGTACTCTCGTGCCGGAGACTCTGTGTGGGCGTCGAGCGCCAACTTCAATGTCTCTGCAGACGAAATTACCAAGATCTCCAAGAGCTTTGACGACCCGTCGGCTCTTCAAGAACACGGTCTGTACGTTAACGGCCAAAAATACTTTTTATTGCGTTCTGACGACCGCAGTATCTACGGTAAACACGATGACACTGGTGTCATTGCTGTGCGCACCAAGCAGGCCATCCTGCTTGCTCACTACTCTCCCCCCACTGTGCCCGGCGAGGCTACGCAGGTGGTTGAGGCCATGGCCGACTATTTGATTAGCGTCAATTATTAAATTGTATGTAGCATGCAACTTGAACAAAATCAAGAGAGTGGTTGTGCGACCAAAAAGATCCCTAAACGGGCAGCACCTGGATGTTTGCCGTCCGGTCGAGGAAGGGTGCGACGGCCGGCGAGGATAAGAAAGGACCAATTATGGGCAGTTGGCGGAGGAAGCTGAGGATCACGCCGAAAAAGCTGCCAAACAGCGCGAGAATGCCCAGGACCTCGACCGCGAAGCCGACAAACGCCCACTTGAACAGAATGAGAATGATCCCTGTGCCAAAACAGACCGTGCCTTTAATTTTATGTGGCGACGTGAAGAATGCAACTGCCTTTTGTGTTCCAATAAGTAGAAAGATGCCTGCCAAAAACAACAGGTTGCCAAACGCGAGAAGACGCGCGTTGAAGAAGAAAACTATGCCGAGCATGAAAAAGATGACGCCAATGGAGGTCAGCGCAGCACCGCATTCTAGGTTAGTTCATGTCCGGCCAACCTATGGGCGCCGTAAAAGAAAAAAATCAAACTTACTCTGGATATCTGTCAACCACATGGTGATGGAAAGATAAAATTCAGCGCCAAATTTGAGTTGGCTTTATCTTCTTAGTCAGTGCTTTCAAACCGGATCCTCTGCTGGGCTCGGAATACCTGCGCACACCGAGCGGCATTGATCCGTTTTATACACTTACCCAACCGATCGATCGGCCATGCTAGCGTACGACAAAATTGTGCTGTTTGGCGACTCGCTGATCCAGTTTTCAGTTGGCGACGGCGGTCTCACCCCCTGTCTCATGAACCACTACCAGCGGCAGCTGGACATCCTTGTGCGCGGCTTCTCGGGGTACAATACAGAGTGGTGCAAGGACATGCTACAGCCTGTCCTCGAAGGTGTGGGACCGGGGAAAATAGCTGCAGTCGTGATTTTTCTTGGCACCAACGATGCTGCCGCACAGGGCTCCCTACAGCACGTCAGCGTCGAGCAGTACCAGGCCAATCTTCAGCACATGGCCGAGGTTGCTGCCCAGTTCACGTCCAAGGTAGTTCTCGTCGGCACAGCGATCATGGATGAGAAAAACCCGGCCCAGGAGCCCGGTCTGCGCACCAACCACAGCCTGTTCAATTACGGCCGTGCATGCCGCAGGGTGGCCAACGACCTTGGGATTCCGTTCGTTGACCTTGCTAGCGAAATCTACAAAAGCCTAGGGGTGTCTGACTACAATGCTGCCATGCCCGGGGATGCAGACTACACGGGCGAGATCAGTGTCGACGGGCTGGTTCCTGACGGCCTGCACTTTTCCGCGGACGCCTACAAGATCTTTTTTGATGCTCTGCTGCGGGCCCTCGATATCCCGGCGGAGCAAACAGTGATGCCTCCATGGCGGTCAATTTCGGGCGCTCACGATATCAAGTATGCACGGACTGTGCTTGAGCGCCGAACCCCGTGATCACCAATCACCGCCAACTTCCTCCGCTATTCGACCCAAGGAGCCTTCGACAGTTCTTGTGCAGCCTGGCCAGGCTGCCCAGCGCTCTATTACGCAGGAACCGCCGATCCGTTCCTCCACCGCCCTCGCGAGCTGATTTACTGTCAAACCCATGTGCATACGCTTCGCTCTCTCCCAATCAGCCCTCTGCAGACGGGCTCTGTGTCTGTCTGCGACCCCACAGAACAAAGTCGCCCCTATACACTATACTACTCACAGCATGGCATATAAGCTAATTAGCGTTCATGTGACAGCTCAGATTGATCCGAGAGCGCGGTCAAACTGGCAATAAAACCGCTCCGATCTATGCTTTTCGTTCTGCCGTCTTTGCACGCCTATGCATACCCCTCTATCATGCAGCAGAACCCCGCACCCAGAAGCCGCGCCTGCATGCAAAAAAGAGATTAGTCGTAAAAGGGGTATTTTTATAAACTTACTTGTTGTTTAACCACAAATACTAACCGGGTTGCGCAAGAGTAGAATGTCAGCCACTTCCTTATCATCCATGGACAGTGGGTCTACACCGCCCACTCGTGAATCCTCCACACCCCCATCGGAAACCGTATCATTGCCTAAACTCTGTCTCGAGGATGGTGTGATCAAAGACGAGTTTGGCAGAGAGGTTTTCCTGCGAGGCATTAACTTTGCTGGTGATGCAAAATTCCCGTACCATCCGGATTCAGATTCTTTTGTTGACTCGCCGGTTCCTTTGGACGAGGCCGACACCCACTTCCAAAGACTCCGTGACCTGGGATTCAACTGTCTGAGATATATTTATACCTGGGACGCTTTGGAACATGAAGGGCCAGGCAAGTACGATGAAGCGTACATTGACTATACCATAAAAGTGCTGCAAAAAGCCAGAGACTACGGCTTCTATTTGTTTATGGATCCCCACCAAGACGTCTGGTCTCGCCATTCTGGTGGAAGCGGTGCTCCGTTATGGACCCTCCACTTGCTAGGATTTGATCCCAAGCAGTTTGAGGATACTCAAGCAGCCATGCTGTATCACAAGGATGCGTCCCATCGCCAAAAAATGCTGTGGGCATCAAATTACCACAGACTCGTCAGTTTGACCATGTTTACGGTATTTTTTGGCGGCGAGGATTTTGCTCCGAATGCGAAAGTTAATGGAGTAAATGTCGGAACTTACCTTTCTGAGCATTACTTTAATGCCCTTGAGCATTTCGCCAAACGAGTGAATGACGCAACTCTGGGTAATTCGTTACTAGGTTGGGAATCTCTCAATGAACCTGGTCATGGTCTTATTGGATATGAGCATCTGAACAAGTTTCCTTCTCATCCGGGCCATGTCAAGCTTGGTCGCATGCCCACCCCATTCAGGGCCATGCTGCTAGGTCAGGGCACCCCCCAAACTTGTGACTTTTTCCGGTTCACCAGCATTGGAACGCGCTGCGATGGCCCTCGGGAAGTATATCCCAACAAGGGTACTTGGTTTTCTCCTGAAGACCAAGCTGCAATCAATAAACAGCACGGGTGGACAAGAAACTGGGAGGGATGCATCTGGGAGCACCATGGTATCTACGACAGTGCCAGCCAAAAACTACTCAAACCCGACTATTTCTTGACCACATCGGAAGGCATAAAGCTCCCTGAAGAGCACGCATTCATTGAGGTTTACTACGTGAAGCACTGGCAAGAGTTTGTCGCTAGAATGCAGCCAATCAATGAGAATTGGTTCATGTTCATGCAGAGCCCAGTCAATATGGCACCACCCCATCTGGTGCAAATGAACATCCCTGTTGACAAAAAGCGTACCATCTACACCCCCCACTACTACGATGGCATGACTCTGATGCTGAAGCGATGGCGAGCGATGAACGTTGATGCAGTCGGTGTTCTGCGTAACAAGTACTCAAACCCTGCGCTAGCCGTTCGTATTGGATCCAGTGCTATCCGTAACTCTTTCATTCAACAGCTCGCCTATATCAAGGAAGAGGGACGACGCCGGTTGGGTGAGATCCCTTGCCTCATGTCTGAGATTGGCATTCCCTACGATCTCGAGGACAAGCAGGCATTTGCCACTGGCCAGTACGATAACCAGGTTCGTGCAATGGATTGCAATCATTGGGCTCTTGAGAGCAATAAAATGCACCATTGCTTGTGGACATACGCTGCTTGCAACAGCCACGAGCATGGCGATTTCTGGAACGGTGAAGACTTGTCTATCTGGTCCAGTGACGATTACCGACGCGATGTGCAAAACCGGCCTCGTGGCCACTCGGTGGTCTCAATGTCTTCTACCGGGAGCCAGTCTTCGAAGCGACGGCTCTTCAAGGCCCGGGAAAAGCTACCGGCAACTTCGATTATTGATAAGTCTGCCGGTGTGAGGGCCGCGCCTGCGGTGATCCGTGCTACGCCCATCACTGTTGCCGGAAAACTTGAAAGCTACAGCTTTGATCTGTACAAGGCTGCATTCACTATCTCTATTACCGGCGCTGGCAGCGACCCTGAAAACCTAGTCACGTCGATTTTCCTTCCTGAATATCACTACCGCCAGAAGCTTGCCGTGACCACCTCCTCGGGCACTTTTTCATACAACTCGCATTCACAAAGTCTCACATGGAAGCATGCACCGGGCGCTCAGACCTTGACAGCCATTGGCACCCCCCAGTTTTCCGACTCGCTGTCCTCGTACTTTGACCCGCTTCTCCGCGTCATTGGCGACGGCCGCTACGAAATCAAACGCCTGGGACGCCGCTTCCTCACAGTATAAACTATTTATATTTGCATTCATACGATCAGTAAAATTATCAACGTCAACTAAACAGTATAAGATTAAAACCGATATAAACTATATTCAACTCAAAACGCGGGTACAAAAAAAAAACGACTAGGAAATGATGTCGGCAGCAGGCTCACCACCGGCAAAGTAGTCTGCCATTTCTGCATCAAGCTCCTCAGTGGTCTTGGTGCGGCGGCCCTTACTACGGCGACGGTCGTTCTTGGGCTTGGCGTCTGCCTTTTTGTCCGAAGTAGAGTTGGCCACGCCAGTCGCGGCCGCGGCAGCGTTCTTCTGTTTGACACGGAGCCGCTTCTTTTGGGAGCGCTGGCCATCAGTGGCAGGTTTTGCACTATCGGCAGCGGGCTTAAGAGAAAGACGCTGGGCCAGGGGCTTTGCGCTCTGGTCAAACACGATCTCGACCTTCATTTTGGCAGCTCCGTTGTCGATCACAGTGCCATTAAAACGTTCCATAGCCTTTGCAGCCAAACCATCCTTGGTGAAAGTGATGGTGAACTGGCCAGTTCGCACGCCACGTGCGTTGTAGCTGGCAACCACCTTGGACACATGCCCAAGTTCCGACTTGAAGAACTTCTCGACCTGGCTCTCGTTCACGTCCTTGGGCATGTTGGAAATAATGATACGGGTAGCGTACTGCGTCAGATCCTGAGCGGCAGCAGCGGCGGCCGAGGCGGCGACCTTCTTTCCGCTGCCGTTCTTGGCCGCGGCAGCCGCGACCTTGGCCGCTTTCGGGCTCGCACCGCCCTTGACCGTTGCCTTCTTGCGAGACAGCGCACTCTTGCGAATACCAGCCTGCTTCCGGCGCACAGACTTTTTGTTGCTGCCGTTTGTCGAGATAATCTCGTCCAAGCTTTTGTCCACAGTTGCGTTCATGTTGAGGCGAGGTGGTGAGATAAGCCAGCCTCCCAAGGCCTTTAGACTATCGGGTGAAGAGGTGGGCACATGTATGAAGAGGGATTTTTTCAGTTTGGTTATATATTGATTAATTTGATAAAAAAAAGCACCATCGGCAGGGCGACTTAGAAGCCCCCGCTCGCGGTACTCAAACCTCGCTTACTGATTATGAGAATCAAGTATGTGCTTGCGTCGAGTCGTGACAAAAGCCCATGCACCTGTGAAATATACCCAAACGAGAGGGTGGATTTCTTTGAATCGGACGAATTCTTGCAATCGCTGTTCCCTCATACAAACTTGAGCGAGGACTGGACGGTAGGAACGCTGTATCGAAGCGGGCAGGAGTTCTCGTACACCCAGTCGAAATCAGCCACCAAGTACTTTTTGTACAATACGATTCGTAGCATACGTCATGAAAGTGGCAGAAAAGACGTCTACTCCTTAGCGGTGGTTACTCGAGAGCCATTTTATGCCGTGCTCAAACCTCTGCTCGCAGATGCCAGCCGCATCTATGCGCAGGATCCTGCACCTGGTCTACTGGCTGAAGTTTATCACGCTATCCACGGTATCAACACCCGGCAAATGCCGCTGTTCACCCACTGCGAAAAAAGGATTCTGCAAATGAATGCCCAAAAGAGTCTGTTCTGCGATTATTACGCCTCGCAGGGACCAGCAGGGCAACCAGCAGATACCCATTTCTACATTGCAGGAACAACGTTCCGGAACAAGCAGTACCTAGTCAAGATTCCTACTGACCTTGAATATCATAATGCTGGTGAGTTTTCCGTTTTGAACCTAGTCAAACGGTTGTTGAGGTTCAAAGTTCACGGATCTCACCCGGAAATCACGCCCTACGGCAAGACCACACCGGCAATAATCGCTCTGTGGCTTGCAATGCTCACCGGCAAGCGAATCGTTGTGCCCAAGGGTGAATCAATGTCTGCCTGCCAGTTATGCGAGTTAGTTCTGGCCATAAGTTTCCTCGGTGGTGCCGCAGGCCTACTTGATACCCATCGTTGGACCTATCCATACTTGCCGACAGCGGCAGACTTACCAGCTCCATTTTTGATCGGAGTCGAGACATTGCCCGGCTCGTGGGATGTTGTGGTAGATGTTGATCATGCGAGCCTACATTTGAATGCCAAATGTGACATGGGCTCGAGTCCTCTGTTGTGCATAGATTCGGCATTTATCCGAGAGACACAAGAGGCCATCACACTGCCAGAGCATGACATGAGAGAACATGTTGTCCGTTATACAACTAGTCTGCTTCGAGCCCTTGGCCGTGAGATGCTGCTGTACCAAGCCAGCTTGCGAGGAGATATATGGGAAGCATATATCCCCGGCTATGGATACTGCTGGACCGAGGAGCAGGAGCAATTGCTGTTTGAACAAACGTATTTCTCTATAGAGAATGCATGGAAACAGTCCCAAAGTTTTGAACATTTCCTGACCACAACCGCACTCGACACTTGGCCGCAGGCCCACAAGCCTGTTGTTGATCTGCGATATCACTATGGTGTTCTTCGCCACGGAGACCTGAGTGCAGAGACATCAGCCACTATATACCAGTTATTGTGCAAACACATCAACGACGTTGTTGACATCACCCAGTTCTTGGCCGTTACAAATTCGATTTATTATTTGGTGCTGGGTATTTACCACCCGTACGCAGATGTGCGGGATGCAGTGGGCCAGTTACTTTTGAGGATTCAAAAGCATTCGGCAGGCGCCTTGTACTTTATGGAATTGCCGCCATTTCACAGCATCGGCCTTCAGCTGGCTTTACAGGAGCGACAGCTACAGGCAAACGCGTTTTGAATAATGTACATGGAAAATAATACGGGCCGGTGCACCCAGGCTTGTGCTACCCATCATCGGGCTCGTAACAATAAACCGCGAGCAAAGGATCAGAGAACCCATATCCGGTTAATAGAGGTCACGAACTCAACAAGTCCCACCGGATCCAGAGACACTGCACAAATGTAATATATCTAAAAAATTAAAAGAAGCATTATGCACGAACGCAAGAGCACACCTTGCCGCTAAAAGCGCAATTACAACTCTATCTATAGATCTGGGGGTTCTCGATCTCGTTTAGTGTCGCTCAGCCTTGGAATACTCGCTGACTGATCATGTGGAGTCCAGCGACTGTGTTGGTTCTCGCTGTAGTTCTCCGGGCGGGGTTTTTCGCATGGGGGCTATACCAGGACGCTAACATGCTACCCAAATTCACAGATGTTGACTATATGGTGTTCACAGATGCGGCGCAGTTTGTGTACTCAGGGCTAAGCCCCTACTTTAGAGAGACCTACAGATATACGCCGCTCCTTTCTTGGCTTTTGGTGCCCACTGTTTGGCTTTTTTGTTTTGGAAAGATTTTATTTATGCTTGGTGATCTTGTCGCCGGCTACCTGATGCTGCAGATTTTTCGACGGCAGCATATTTCAAGCAGGGACGCGTGCATTTTTTCATCGCTATGGCTGCTCAACCCTATGGTTGCCGTGATCAGCACACGCGGCTCATCGGAAGGGCTCCTGGGGGCGATGATCATATACATGCTCTGGGCTGTATACGAAAAACGCTACTGGCATGCTGGATGTGGCGCTGGTCTCGCCATCCACTTCAAAATTTACCCCATCATATATGTCCCTACGATTATTTGGGCATTGGGTCCGTTACACCCGCTCAAATTCATTAACAGAGCCCGGCTGCAGTTCGCGCTCGGTACGCTCGTCAGTTTTGCTGGCCTCACGGGGCTCATGTATGCCATCTACGGCAGCGACTATTTGCAACATTCATGGCTACACCATCTGACTCGGATCGACCACCGTCACAACTTCAGCCCGTATGCCACAGTACTATACTATGCATCTGCAGATCCAGCGTCTGCTCCTCGTTTCGAGAGCTGGGCATTTGTTCCTCAGCTTTTCCTCTCGGGGGTGCTTTTACCCCTGGTGTTTGCCCGCCGGGACATTGCAAAAACTATGTTTGTACAGACGTTTGCTTTTGTGGCTTTCAACAAGGTTTGTACGTCTCAGTATTTCCTTTGGTACCTTGTTTTGTTACCGTTTTACGTGCCGTCTCTAAAAAAGGCTGGGGTGATCAAATACGTGTTTGCAGCATTATGGGTAGGAGCCCAGGGAATGTGGCTCCATTACGGCTTCCAATTGGAATTCTTGGGAGTATCTACGTTTTACCCACAGCTGTTTGCGGCAACACTACTCTTTTTCATTGTCAATATATGGGGCACGTGTTTGTTGATCAGATGGTTTTAACCGGCCCCCCCAGCACAAAGAGAACATAAACTTAATTCGTGACTTACTTAGTACGACGTAAAATAGCCAAAATAGCAATGGCAATAGCATAAAGCTGCTCCTTGAAGAAGAACAGGAAGGCGGATGTGAGGGCGGACTGTAGGACCTTGGTGGTCAGGCCACCGTACAGGCCGGCCAAACCGTCACGGGCAACAATGTCTTTAATGCCCTGAATCAGACTCGAAGACGCGGTATTGTCCTTGCGGCGCAGCTGCAAACGAGCCTTGAGGGTGATGTAGGGGTAGGTGACGCTTGTGGCGATGATCTTACCCAGGGCACCGATGAAAAAGGCGTCGATGGAAGTCATTTTGCGATTCTTCTCGACAGCATTGCGCAGCTGCTCAAAAATGGTGTACTGCAAAACGGGATTAATGACCAAAACCAATGCAGGGCCCAGGCCAGAGAAGAACGCCTTGAGGCCATCGCGCTCATAAATGTCCTTGACAGTGGCCAAAGTGGAAGGCTGGGCGCTACCGTCACGCACGGTCATGCGGGTGTTCACCACCCAGATGGGGTTGGTGAAGATACACGTAGCTGCGCCAGCAATGGCACCTGCTGACATGGATTGCAGGGTGGTCAGTTGGCCAGCCGGCGCCTCGTACAGGTTCTTGGTGCCCTCGTAGAAGTAGTAATAGATGAAATTGGTAATAGTGATACCAAAGAGAGCCGAGTCCAGGCCTGCGTAGAGCCCAGAGATACCCTCGCGCTGAACGATGGCCTTGGCTGCGTCAACTGCGGACACCTTCTTGCCGGTCTTCTCTTTGCGCGACTCTGTCTGGGCCCGGGTCGACAGCGTAATCAGTGGATACGTGACGACCATTGCCAGGGCACCGCCACCGGCACCAGACAGAGCATGAGCAACGTTATCGTTTTGAGACATCTTTTTTTCGTAAAAAGCGGGGGTTGGAAAATATGAAAGTGGTATTTAAACCCCCGCGCTGCATAATCACACCGACCTGACTAATCAACCACACATGGAGAATCTCGTGCCGAGGCTTTCTATCACTGTGAAATCTGGGGTAAATTATTAATCTTCTCCGGTGTTACCCGAACATGGCAGATAACGAGAAAGTTGAGAGTGCCAGTGTCGACTTGAGCTATGAGCAGGTTGTGGACCTGCTCGTTCACAACAAACAAGTGCCGGGTATTGTTGATATTCCAGATACCGTTCTGGGCCCCAAGAGCGGTTCCGAGTCTCGGGCGCCCCCTCGCCCCAAGCCTTGGGAAACCACGGCTGAAAATGAAGGCTAATTTATTTATGTACTAATATTAATGTGTTCAATCCATTGGGTCGGCTATAACCTCGGCCGCCTGCAGCGGTACCTTGGCTGGCTCGCTTGGTTTCAGCACCCGTAGAGTCGCCTCAAAGACTGCGAGTGCGCTAGCGTTTACTGGGAAAGATCGCAGAATTGACGGTAAAAAGCCTCGGAAGTACGCCCGCGCACCGCCTCGCTTGTATACTGCCTTGCATGCTTCCATCCATGTCTTGTACTTGGGATTGGCAACGTCGTCACACATGATTTGCTGTTTCACAATATCTGAAGGGTACGCAGTGGCCCAGAAGACTGTACCCGAAAGTCCACCGGCCCAGAAATTGATCGAGGCGGACGACATGTTTGTGTTACGCTCGAACCACTTGGTGATCAGATCATACGAGCCCCACCAGAAGCAAAAATTCGTGCGGAAAAGCATTGTAGCAAATAAACCATGGTAAAGACCTCCAAAGACACCTTTCTGCTGTACAAGCTTCGTCACACAGTCTATGGGGCCATTGTACTTTTTGCTTCCTGAGTTGTACTGCACTTGCAAAAGAGCCTTAACGTGTTCAATCGGTGCTGCAACAAAACTTACGGTCCAGCCGGCCAACACACCGGCGACAACTTTGCCTGTAAACGGTAGCTCAGGGGAGTCGGGCCAGATCATGCATTTCAAACACATGCGATAGTTATGGAGTGATCCGAGCATAACGCTATCCATAATCGTCCACCCTACCAAAGGCGGAGTGGCACCTTTGTATAGACCTTTCACACCCTCATTTTTAACCGTTGTCCATAAACAGTCGAGGGGTCCCTTGAACGAGGTGTTGGTTTGCATTCTGACCTTGATTGTATCGAACGGGTGGCCTACCACCAGCTTTGTAGCCCCAGAGAGCATGCCAGCAGCGAATCCCACAAGTCCACTGGCGTCTGTTGCCATTAGCTCAATAGAAATCCAAAATGTGACTCTTTATAGGTGGTGCCGAAATCGGTCTCCTCCAGGTTGACAAACCCTTATGACAAACGGCGGGTTGATGCAGTTTCCAAAACCGTCAATTGTTGAGCAGTTGGCGGCAAAGGGCTTGCTTGAAAACGCTCTAGATCTCATGGCCAGCAGGCTGGCCGAAGACATAAACAAAGGGAACCTCGATTATGCTGAAAAATTCACCCAAGACTATATTCGTCAAGCATCGTCTGATCCGCGGATCTCTGCTTCGGCTCAGCTCAGAAAGGCAGTGTATATTCTGACTTTTGAATACAACGTTCTCGTCAATCCCTCGATGGAAATTGTTTGGGACATTGTCATGGTGTATGGCCTGTTGAATAGCGGCAAAGTTACTGAGTTTTTAAAGCATCTCCCGCCAATTTACAAGCCCAAGTTCCATAAAATTTTGCTGCACCTTGCTCAACAACCCGCAATTCAGGATCTGGACAAAGCTCTTAGTCTAGTATTCACCACCCAATTCAGCGAAATCATCACTCCAGAGTTTGTGCGCACCATCAAAGGCACGAAAACTGAAAATGCCCGTATTATTGTGTGTGTTGCCAAATCTCATATGGCGTCCGCATCTGCACAAACACTGTTGTCATTATTTCCTGATCTTAAAATTATCAGAGCTAACGAACTACTTGAATCTGCATCTCTCGAGGAGGTTACTCAAAAGCTATTGGATGACCCGTCACAAATCACCGGCAGATCCAAATCAAAACCAAAATACATCTTGCTCGACAAGGCTGAAAAGAACGGGCCAAACACCAAGCAAAGAACGTTGCAAATGGCCTTGGAATACCTCGACGAGGATCCTGATGATGATATGGGTGTGGCCCAAGAATCCCTGTCTGCAGCAGACCGTCGTTTGTTGGAGCAAGACAAAATGCTATATGATGCATTTACTAGAGACCCAAAGCTATTTGACAAGGAGTCTCGGAAAACTAAAAATCGCGAACAACTCAAGAAAAAGTTTGACTGGACAGACGAACAACTAGAAGGTTGGGCCGTCATGGTTCAGCGAGATCCCAAACGAAAAGCTAAACTAGCATGGGATGCGGATTTCGGAATCAAAGCGTCGCCCACGCCCGAGCCCCAAGCACAACCAGGGGAATCCAAAACAAAGCCTGAGGCGACCGAAAAACCGAAGCGTAAGCCTCCACCAAAGGCAAAGTATAAACAGCATCACAAAGATAAGCCATTAAAGGAATAATTAATCTTGGAAACCAACAAACACCTCTTCGTCTTCTTCATTATCGGTGTCCTCGTCGTGGATTTTTTGTACTTTAGATGCCATCTCCAACTCGTACCATAGCTCATCTTCATCAGCCCTCCGCTTCTCATCCTCATCTTGAAGGAATACCAGAGCGGATATTTCTTCACCAACATAAATTTTACCAGCAGGAGCTCTATTAGAAGTCTCATATACCCTCAGGTACCTGTCGAGACCGCCAGCGGCTACGAAACGGCCCCGCGTCTGCACCGTCCAGGTAGAACCATTGATACCCTTATAGTATCCAAGGAGCCTTCCATTGGCAGAGATTTGCCAAAGTCCCATTTTCGCCTGTGAGTCTGCCACAATTACCGAGTTAGTGCTTGCGGCAGCAACAGCCTTTAGCGCACACTTGGAGACCTCGACCTGTTGAATGGGACGTCCGCCGTGCCTCGTATCATATACTCGAAGTTTACCATGCTTTGTTACTGTGACGAAAACAAACTGTTCGTCGGTAGGAAGAAAAGCGGCAGCGGTTACCAAGTTCTCTTCTTTGAGATCGAAACGGTTGTTTTTGGGGTTCTTTGCGAGCCAGAGTTCTTCTAGTTCTCCCGAGGCCAAGTCCAAACGGAAAACATTGGGCAATTGCTGTAGACCAGAGCTCAGGAAAATCGTGTTATCTTTAGGGTGCATGGCAAACGTAGTCAAGTCTTGGCGCAACCTGAATTCGCTGATCCGGCTGCCTGAATGCAGATCAACAACCAACCCTTGGCCTTGGGCAGATACAAGCACAACCTTTTCTTTTACAAGTTCGAGACCAATAACATTATCCAAGTTTGCGAGCTCTCTAATCACTTCAAAGTCGTCATTTACCAGCACAACCGCGCCTCGCTTGCGACAAAGAACAATACCGTACTCTGTGTTGATCATTCGTAGAACGGGGTCGCCCTTGATGCCAACAAACGTCTCGATCGACGGCTGTGGCGAATTCGGATCAGAAGTGTCTACATCTTTTGTAAACGTCACTTCTTTCACGCTGCCAGAGTCCAGGCAGGCTACTGCAATTTTCATTGTAAACTCCCAAAAGAGAAAAAATGTCTACATAATCTTTTTTATATCTGAACTGCACCTTCTCTTTGGCGCTGTTCACTAGTTACTACAGCCGCATTTTGAAATTGGCCCGTATACGTACTTTTCCAGAATCGGATTTTTCCGTCGTCGCCCGTAGAAGATAATACAGTGCCTGTGAGGTTCCAGGCTACTCGCCAAACCTCGCCATTATGATCTGCACTTTCGTGGACAAGATCGATATTTAGAGTTTGTTCTTCACCATTTCCAGGGACTCTGGTAACTTTGAACAAGCGAAGGTATCCATCTTTGCATGCAGTCGCAATCATGTTGTAACTACGACCCAGATTGGGGGCCCACTGCATATCTCTGATCAATCCCTTGTGCTGAGACAACTCTGCAACCCGAACGTACTTGCCAGCTTCGTTTCTGCAATAAATAAACGCATCTTCCAACACACTGACCGCCAAATAGTCCTTTAGTGCCAAAGAGCGTGCCCAAGATAGAGAAAATGCTGATTGCAGCTGTCTTGCCGTGGGGTGGTTAAGAAGAGGAATCTCGGCGGTCTGGGTCCAGAAGCCAAGGTTGTTGGGATCCATGGCCTCATGAATCCTCAAATACCCATCTGAAGCAATTGACGCCAGCTTCAGCCCAGTATAGCTAGAGCCAAACTCAATATCGTAGAGGGGTCCGCCGTAATCCGAGATCGTGTACTTGCGTTTCCAGCGTTTTCCCGAGCCTGGCGTCTCGCTTGTGTCTTCTTCCCAAACTTTGACCACACAATCGTGTGATGCAGAGGCTATAACCTGGGCATATTCTGGGCCAGCCCAGGACAACTTGACTACAGCGGCATCGTGGGCTCGCCACGAGTCAGAAAGCTGCCATGTGTCTGCAACCTTGTCAAAAACTTTAATTGTATGGTCTGCCGAGCATGTCGCCATTCTTTTACTGTAGAAATCATATGCTACATCCATCAACTGGTCCTGGTGGCCAGCAACGAATGGTCGAGCCATGTCAGCATTCGATCCGTGGGGTGCAGGGATAAAAAGGTAGGGGAATTGGGTCGAAAAACGAGACAGCGGGGTTTGGTGGATCTGCGTTCGTTAGCAGACTTTGCCTAGCAGAACCTTTAATATCGGCCTTTCTACGGCGCCAAATGGGCTCTTTTTGGGGTTTATAATATGCACCCCACAAGCCCCAGATTTCGTCTTGGATTTTCTCTGCCTATTAGTCATCTGACGCCCGGCTCTTTTTCGATTACCAACGGTTCTATTGGTCCTCCCATCTCCAATGCTCGCTCTCCGTAGACAAGTCGGTACCAACCTGTGCATGCGGTCTATCATGATCCGCCCCGCGCTCCGCACTGTTCCCATGATGTTCACCCAGGTCCGTAACGTCTCCTATGAGCGTCTCAACGCTGAGCAGGTCCAGGATAAGCTTGTCTCTCAACGCAAGAACCGTCCTCTGTCCCCCGAGTTGGCCATCTACAAGCCCCAGATCACTTGGATTCTGTCCGGTCTTCACCGTTTGACCGGTATTGCTCTTGGCGGCACTTTTTACATTTGGATGCTCGCCTACGCTGCTGGCCTGCCCGTTTCTACGACCGCTCTTGCCGGCGCGTTCGGTGCTCTGCCCGTCGTGGTCAAGATCGCCGCTAAGTTCATCTTGGCCACTCCCTTCACATTCCACGCTTTCAACGGTGTCCGTCACCTTATTTGGGATATGGTTAAGCTCGTCAATAACAAGGGGGTCATCACCTCCGGCCAGGTTGTCTTGGGTCTGACTGTCGTCTCCTCCGCAATTCTTGCCTTCTTGTAGATCCTTAAATTGTTTATATCTCCTTTCTAACTCCGTCCGACCGCGCTTCCGGATCTATTTATGATTTCCTCAGGCAGACCTTTGTAATCACTGTTTTAGCTTTGGTTGACCTCCACAATGTCTGAACCGCAACGGTCTCGGTATATCGGGTGGGATCCAGGCAAGCAGCCAGTGAAGTCGGATGAGCGCAAGCTCAGAGATTTATATAATGGGTCGGTTTCACACGTCGAGCACCAATCACGGACGATCAGTGCTCAACGGCCGGCGTTTGTGGCAGCAGCTGCTCGAGTAGCCGCCGCCAATGCAAAAAAAACGGGATCAGAGGCTCCACAACGGCCTCTATCAAGTCCTCAAAAACTTGGGGTCCCTCAGGATGCGAATCGAGCACAGCAAAGCAACCATGCACGGTTTAATTCTATTTCCGCCAGAGCCGCTGCCGCGACGTCGGTACGGGCTGCTAATCGGCTTTCACAAAAGCCATTGGCTAAAACAAGCAGCGTCACAGTGAACAACAAACGAGCCGTAACCAAGGATATGAAAAACAAGAACCAAGAACCCGTGGAAAGCGCTGACTCCCTCGACGCAGATGATCAAAGTGGGTTGGCGAAAACTGCTGCTTCGACTGCGTTGACGGATACGCCAACGAAATCAGCTCGACCTAGAGACGGGTCCGTTTCCACGCTTTCTACAGTCTCTTTGCTTTTCGGATCCGCCGGTGCTCCAACTGTCGCACTCACACCCGCGGAGGCAGCAACTTCTGCGGCAGCTGCCACTGCTCTAAAGAGGTCAAGACAGTCCTCAATATTGACGGATTTAGACTACGATACGTCGTTTACAGAAAGAGAACGTGAAGAGGCGTCACATGCTGCACAGCTTGCAGCCCCATCCAGCCTTGGAGTATTTAGCGAAACAGAGGTTGGAATTCCCACGAACGAAGGGTCACCCCCGTGCAGGACTGGGTCTGTTGATCGCATTGAACAAGAGCTACCAGAAAAGCCCAAAAAGGTTTTAACTGCCCAGGCCTCCGCGGCAGCAAGAGCATCGTTGTTACGGCCCATCGAAGTTGTCCCAAGAGAACCTCTGTCTTCCAAGTTTGTGTCCTCACTCAGTGCATCACTCAAGTCCCAGATAGACAATAAAAACAAGGAGACGGATATGAAGGCGGCTGAAACCCAACGTCAACGAAACTTGGCAATTGAACAAACAGCGGCACGGCTTTCAGCAACCAGGGACTTAGATCTTCATGAAGCGGCCTCTGCTTCATCGGTACAACCTGATGGACCCTCACAATCAGCCCGATCAGCTTTAGCTGCAGCCGTCAAAGCCACTCCATTTGCAGAAACAGAAGTAATAAGAATCCAAGAAGTGGTGGCTGCAAGGTCACGACGGAAAAAGCGGTTCAGACCTTCTGGCCAATGGAGCGGGGGAGGAATTGCTCAACCTCAACGGGCAAATACGCAAAATGACCGGCCTCATCTTGTTCAGCGTTGGTCAACAATGACAGCGTCGCGACACGAAACCCCTGTGTCCGAACCCGTAACGTCTACAAGTACATCTGATGACGCGGCGTCTCCGTCGAAGAAGAACGGATTCTTTAGTCGAATGTTCCGAAAGAGTCCCAGTAAATCAGAGGTGTCGCTGATGACAATTGAGGCTACCCCGTCGCCCGTGATAGCCGCCACGATACCAAAGAAGCACCTCAAGCAAACCATGAGGGATGGCCACATATCCAAGAAGAAGATTTTCAATGAAGAAAAGCCCTGGAAGCACCATCTGGAAGCACACGTGATTTCTGAAAAGGAACGGAAGCGGTACGAAAAAGTATGGGCTGCCAACAAGGGCAGTCACGTTCCTCTTTTAGCGACTATTGTTGAAGCCGTAGGCGAGCAAAATGGCCTTCTACCGGCAGGTTTAGGCGAGCTTGAGGGATACAAGTCTTCGCAAAGTTTGTTATCTACTGCTTCTGCCAGCACACAACCGGTGGCCCAGCCGGGGAATCACACAGTCGCTCAGCCGATCCCAACCCCTGGGCTTGCACCCGCCCATGCAGCTGCAAATCTGGCTACAAACAATGTTGCAATGGCCCTCTCGCCAGTCCCAAGTTCGTTTGGAGTTGTGAACCGGCAGTCTTTTGATGGCCGCAGTATTCAGTCTATAGACACTCTGGAGCAATACGAACGGCAGCAGTTGGAAGATATTCATGGCTACGTCGTGGCTCAACTTTGGCGACGCAGCCACCTGTCGGATGATGTACTGTCACAGGTTTGGGACTTGGTTGATAATAACCAAGACGGCACGCTGGACCGCAGCTCGTTTGTCGTGGGCATGTGGCTGGTAGACCAATGCCTCTACGGACGGAAGTTGCCCACGAAAGTAGACGACGCTATCTGGAAGTCTGTGGGTCACCTCCAAGTGAAGATCCGGGTCAAGAACCCACGCAAAAACCTGCTGCGGGTCAAGTATCTCCGCCATCGCAAGCGAGCGTCGGCAGCTACGGCCGTCGACCCATACTTGAGCCTATCTTATTCTGCTGAGTCTCCACGTAATACAGCCTCTGATTGCTAGATTCATGTATAATTATTTACCATTGATGAATTTCCATTACTTTTTTTTCTCGCTCAATGCACGTCGTCTCCGCAATTCCATGCATGTGATGCACGTATGCATATCCGTTGAACGTTATCCTGATAAACCAGACTATAAATAACTTCCCCTATTGCGGGTGAATCATCAATGACTGTGCCATTTGGACGTGAGTTTCGTGAGAAGTATTTCGCTTTCGAAGACGGCGTTGTAGAGCTCAATCATGGGTCGTACGGCGCTGCGCCAACTCAAGTCATTGAGGCACAAATGGAACATATCAAGCAGAAGCATGCCTTTCCAAACCGTTATCTCCGCTACGAGCTGTTTGATATCTCGAAAAAATGCCGACAGGCCATCAGCACCACAGTAGATGCCGATTACCATGACCTGGTATTCACTCCCAATGCGACGACGGCGGTGAATGCTGTGCTTCGCAGCCACCCTTGGCAGATGGGCGACAAGATCGCGTACTTGACCACGATCTATGGTGCCTGTATGAACACACTCAAATTTCTGGAAGAACAGCAGGATGTCCGGCTAATTCCAGTTGAAATTGACGTCAATGCCTCTCCAGCCGAAAATGAAGCTGCGCTGCGAGCTGTTCTGCATGAGCACCCAGACACCAAACTGGCCTTTTTGGACACCGTGAGCTCAATGCCCGCAATTGTCCTTCCATGGGAGAATATGGTGAAGATCTGCAGAGACCGTGGGGTTTTGTCCTTCGTTGATGGCGCTCACGGAGTAGGATTGCTACCCATTTCTCTGCGTCAGGCTCGCCCAGACTATTTCACCTCCAACATCCACAAATGGATGTACGGAACCACATCGTGTGCTGTGCTTTATGTCGATCCTAGTCGCCAGCGTCAGGTTGCTTCGTTGCCGATTTCAGCTATCTACGTTAGCCCCTCACAGGAATTGAGTCCCGAAGAGTCCAAAAAGGTGCTGGGGAACTCGTTCGCATATGTGGCCACTGCAGACTATTCGGCGATGCAAACCACTATAGAATTGCTCAAATTCCGGGAAGAAGTTTGCGGAGGAGACCAGGCTATTTTGGATTATCAGAACAACCTAGCAAAGAAGGCATCCGAGCTGGTTTGCAAAGAGCTGAACACTACAGATATTGATAATTCCGGTACACCTATGGCTATGTTTACGGTTCGGTTCCCGCTGCAGCTGGACCCAAAGCTTCACCTTGACTTTATTGATTTTGCGCATGACAAGTTCGCGAATAAATACAAGACTTTTATCCCTCTGGCTACGTACAACGACGAGCTTTTTGCTCGATTCTCTGCCAGCATCTATCTCGACCTTGAGGACTTCAAATCGGGTGTTTGGGCCGTTAAACAAGTTCTCAAAGACTGGGAAGTAGCTGCCAAGCACCCCAAAGAGCTACTTGAGCCCAAACTTGACGCCATGCCGCTTGGCCTCCCGTGCTAGGCGACGCTCGACCTCGTCCCCATGGAACCCAGCGCTGTTTTCTTTCCGTGCGTAACCAACCGTACATGGTTTGTTCATTAGATACTGGCCGTCCATACCTTTAATTGCAGCGTCTGCTGCTTCAAAATCTTCAAATATAACGAATCCGTATCCTTTAGGCTGGCCCTCAGACGTGCGGGCTATTCTGGTACTCACCAGCGGACCAAAACTAGAAAATGTCTGGGTTAGAACCTTTTCCGTGACGAGAATGTCCAAATTGCCCACAAACACCTTAGCTCCCACCTCGCTGGTTGGTTTGTCGCTACCGGCGCGACGAACGTTGACCGGTTTATTGTACAATTTGATATTAGCAAGCAGTGTGGCAGCATAATCTGCGTCCTTGGCCGAAGGATACTCAACGAATCCATATCCTTGGTGGAGAAGTGATACTCGATCCTTGGGCATATATACTGAGACTACAGGACCTGCCTGTATCCCCAATTCATAAAGTAAGGATTCATCCACCCGGTCCTCAAGATTTCCAAAGTATAACGTATGGCGCTCCGCCATTGACTCAGATCAAAACCTAAAACCAAAGCTCGTAGATGTCCAGAGGCCTCGATTACATAAGTGAAAATTTATTAAAAAATATGATCTAAGCGATTTTTTTCTCGAGTCTTTCCAAATGCCCAAAAGACAGTTGGACAATGACGTCGAACCCGAAGAGTTCCCGCCATTAACTATGGAGTCAGACTCTGAATCAGAGTCTGAGGTCGAATCCCAGGTTGTTTCTGTGCCCTCCTTGGACTCTGATTCCGAGAGCGGCTTGGATAGCGATGAGCTACGTGAGTTGCAGGAGGAGTCAGATTTCAACGAACAGGACCTGTTTAGTGACGATGACGAAGTCAGGTACATTGAAGGTGCTGATGGCAAGCCTCGTCCCATTAGGCCTCCTATTGATCCCCATTACAGTAGCGACGACAGCGATGTTGACGAAGCAAACACTATTGGCAACATCCCCGTTTCCGCCTACGAGAAATTCCCTCACATTGGTTACGATATAGACGGCAAACGTGTGATGCGCCCAGCAACTGCTTCTGCTATTGATTCGCTGTTAGAGACTATTGATTTACCTAAAGGCTGGACTGGTCTTGTTGACAAGAACACCGGTGGTAACTTGAATTTGTCGAAAGAGGAGCTTGATCTCATTGACAGAGTGCAAAGCGGCAAGCTTCCCACCGACGATATTAATCCTTATCAGGATACGGTGGAGTATTTCACCTCTAAGCAAGAGGTCATGCCCTTGACGGCCACTCCTGAGCCCAAACGTCGCTTTGTGCCCTCCAAACATGAGGCTAAACGGGTTATGAAGCTGGTACGTGCTATTCGGGAAGGACGGCTTGTACTCAAGGATAAGAAAGATCACAATGTCGACGACGACGGGCAGATGAAGTTGAGCTCTAAGTTGTACGACGTCTGGGAGAATGAAGAGTCCAAACCCGAAAACAGCATGCACATTCCTGCCCCCAAAATGACTCCTCCTACCCATGAGGAAAGTTACAATCCTCCTCCCGAGTATCTGCTTGATGATGAGGAAAAGGAGAAATGGCTGGCCATGGACCCATCGGAGCGGGAGACAGACTTTATGCCCCAGAAATTCGGATCCTTGCGCAAGGTTCCTGGTTATGCTAATGCCATCCGTGAGAGATTTGAACGCTGTCTTGATCTGTATCTTGCACCCCGCTCTCGTCGTAGCAAGCTCAATATTGACCCTGATTCTCTAATTCCCGAGCTGCCCTCCCCTCAAGACTTGCGTCCTTTCCCCATTCGCTGCTCAGTGATTTTCAAGGGTCACACTGGCCGTGTACGCACATTGTCGGTTCACCCTTCTGGCCAGTTCTTGGCTACTGGCGGTGAAGATGGAAGCGTTCGCGTATGGGAAGCTCTCACTGGCCGTGAGCTTTGGCGGCTGGATATCATCAAGGCCGATACTTATAACGATGCCGAGGGCGGCCACCCAGACGACAGAATCGATGCTGTTGTTTGGCACCCCAAGGTTGAGACTGGAATTCTGTCTGTGGCTGCAGGCGATAATATTTATCTTCTTGTGCCGGCCGGGGTCTTTGATGGCCATGTTGAAAACACAGGTCTTGAAACCATGGAGCGTGGGTGGGCTTACCAGACTGATGGCCGCACTGCCAAGGCATCCACTAATGTAGATGATGATGGCGAGGATAAGGAGCCTGCGCCCGTCAAGACTTATGCACAATGGACCAAACCTGGTCCTCAATTGGCTGCGAAAGGATGTGGAGTTGTTGTCAGATGCACTAAAAGAGTCAAGAAGCTTGATTGGCATTCCAAGGGTGACTACTTTGTTACCGTGCTTCCAGAGTCTGGTCACTCTGCGGTCTTGGTTCACCAGATGTCTAAACACACCAGTCAAAGTCCGTTCCGCAAGTCCAAGGGTATTGTACAGGACGCCAAATTCCATCCTTTCCGTCCTCATCTCTTTGTGGCTAGCCAAAGATACGTCAGAGTCTATGACCTGTCAGCTCAATCTTTGGTCAAGCGTCTGCAGCCTGGTGCCAAATGGCTGTCTTCGTTCGATGTCCACCCTCGTGGTGAGAATGTGATTGCGGGGTCTTTCGACAAGCGTGTTACATGGGTGGATATGGAGCTGAGCGAGAAGCCTTTCAAGATGCTCCGATACCATAGCCGTGCTGTTCGAGATGTCAAGTATCATCCCCGGCTTCCACTCTTCTGCTCGGCTAGTGATGACGCTACGATCAACATTTTGCATTGCACTGTCTACGACGATCTTCTTAAAAACCCCCTGCTTGTTCCTCTCAAGATCTTAAAGGGTCACAAAATATCGTCGAGTCTGGGTGTGCTCCAGGTCGCTTGGCACCCTCGCGAAGCATGGCTATTCAGTGCTGGTGGCGACGGTACAGCTAGACTTTGGACCACCTAATAAGCCAAAAGATTAAAAAAAATTAAGCAAAAAAGTCAATTGTACAACTCTCTATATATGTAACAACAAAAAGCCCTCATAAGTCGCGGTAGCCTAACACTTCCCAGTCTTCAGGATCACCCTCGCATGCCACCAATGCAATACGGCCATTGGTCCAGCCAATTCCGCGTGTAGCATAGTTTGGTCCAAACACGTCACTCAGCCTTTGGTCGATGCTTCGTCGATTTGCCTCAGTAACGGAATAAATATTGGAATAGACGAGGGAAAGATGTGGGCGATACTCTGTTTTGGCCCAATCCTCAGCGGCAGCGGAAGCTTGGTCATGTATGGCCCTTTGTTCAGCCTCACTCATAGCACTATAGTGCTGCGAACGAGCGATTAAGGACGGCAAAATGACAAAACTTTCGCGGCAAATCATGGAAAGGGAAACCAGCTCCTGCTCCGGCTTGACTTCTAGAACAACTTTGCGATACTTGTGCTTTCCAAAAGAAAGTTGCTGAAGAATAACATCCACGTGGGGGACGGACTTGGCTGCTGCAAATGCTCGGTTTAGAATCCGATCCACCTCAGATTTACGTGAGACATAAATGCCCGATGTCAGCGTCACGTGTGGATCAAACCTGTGTCCATCATCGAACAAGGGCTTGAGACCATCTATGTTCTGTTTCAACGCATCAAACAGTGGCGTTCCTGGCCTAGGCATCAGCCATAACGCCGCCCTTAGCTCTTGCGTCTCCATTGGCTGAGAGTACGTCAGCAGATCGTCCGAAAAATTGAAGAAGCAACTGTGAGAGAAAGTCGCCACTGAAACCAAGATTTTGGCGGCTCTGAGCTTTGGTACGAGGTGTACAAGCGCAATTGAGCTTTGCAACCGAGCGTCATAGGCTTTGAGACGCCGCTTTGCGGTATAGGGGAGGTTGTCGCAGGAGGTACCTGTCTATTTATAGCGCCCCAAACAATGACTCGTCCAGTCTATTTTGCTGTTTTTCGGCCTGCATTATGTCTACAACCACCGTTCGCAAATGTGGTACCGTTTGACGCACTATGACATCATGTATGTCCATTGTGTAATCCATCAGCCGTTAGAGGTTGCCAACTTGACTACAACAATGGTTCAACTTCCATGGGGCAAACCTCTGGAATTTCCTGTGCGTTATGAAAATGAGGGCAAACTCAAAATTGTCGCCGGCCCAATTCTTCGGTATTGGGGTATGGATGGCACGGATTGGAGAGGCTCCGCCATGTACGTGACTGCCGATGAAGGCAGCAACTACGATGACTTTCCGGTGTTTAAAGTTCAGGAACTCGAAGCCCAGCTTGAAAAGATCTATACTGCGTTCAATCACACGTTTTGGCGATTCAGGTTCACGGTTGAAATGGCTGAAACACAGACCCGCTGCACGTATCAGCTGGGCGCAGAGCACCCGCCTTTCGACTTTTATGTGCCAGGAAAAGACCAGGATATGAACATCATGTTTTATTCTTGTAACGGGTTTTCTTTGAGTACCCAGACGCAGTATTTCAAGGCCTCAATGTGGGACGATGTCATGGACAAACACAAGGCACGCCCGTTTCATGTGATGCTGGGTGGAGGAGATCAGCTCTATTGTGATAATATCAACATTGCCCTGCCAGTGTTTACGGAATGGCGTAAACATAATATCTCCAAAGGTGGATTCCATTACAAGCTCTCCCAGGATGACCGCGATAGTCTGGATGCGTTCTTTTTCTGTGTTTACATTCAGTGGTACGGGATGGGGTACTGGAAAGGCACTGTGGCCAAAACCAATCAGCCCACTTGGCCTACGGCGCTGGCGACACTTCCGTCGATCAACATTTATGATGACCACGACATCATTGATGGCTATGGTTCTTACCGAGACGGAACTATGCGGACACCCATTTTCGAGTCATTGGGTGAAAGCGCTCACCGATATTACATGCTATTCCAGCTGGGTGTTGGGCCGACCGGAGACTCAGCTACCACTGATCCCTCCTTCATTACCATCAACAAAAATGGGCCTTACATCCACTATCCCGCCAAGTCCATCTATGCTCGACTGGGCAAACAGATCGGGTTTCTCGGTCTCGACTGTCGCACTGAGCGGACAAAGCATCAGATCTGTTACCCCCAGACTTATACTGCGGTCTTTAATCGGCTGGAAGCGGAGTTCACTGCCAATCCCGAGATTAAGCACTTGCTGGTGATGCTGGGCGTCCCAATTGCGTATCCCCGCATGGTCTGGGCTGAGATGCTAATGGAGTCGTGCTTTATTGAACCCGTCAAGTTCCTCGCCAGGCATGGTGTAATTTTAAAAGGGTTTGTGAATCATTACGATGGTGAAGTTGAGCTTCTTGACGACTTGAATGATCATTGGTGTGCACGACACCACAAGCAGGAACGTAATGAGTTCATTGCGAGACTACAGAGGTTTGCACAAAAAACTAGCACTCGGGTCACGATTCTGGCTGGCGATGTTCACCTAGCTGGAGTGGGACGGTTTAGAACTTACCGTAAAGACGGGGGAGCCGTGGCTCCAGATACTGACCACCGATTGATGATCTGTCCCGTTTCGAGCGCCATCACCAATACCCCACCGCCAGATCTCCTTGCTGATTTCATGAACAAGCGTAACAAGCTTCATTATCTAGGCAAGCAGACCGTCGAGGATATGGTGCACATGTTCTCTGTGGACACAAAGTCCCAGCCTCGCAACAACAACACTTTGCTGCCCAGGCGTAACTACTTGGTGATCAACTCGATCACTAACGGCGACGGAACTGAAGAGGTCCCTGGTCCTGAGTTCAGTGAATTGCGCAAAGAGCAGTTCGCGTATCCCTCGGAGACCGGTGGTCTGAAACTTACGTTCCAGGTCGAAGAAGACCAATCAACTACTGATCACAATACTGTTGCTTATTCTATGAACGTACCTCCTCTCCACCGTCCCGGAACAGAAAAAGTCGCTAATGCACCTGAGGAGGCTATGTAGTGTAATCTCGTAATCGACTTATTTTTTCTCCATTCTAGAATCCATCAATGGCTCGCCCCCCTATAGCACCGGCGCCAGAGAATATTATTGTGCAAACCAGGGCACCTGAGGTCAAGACAGGATTGAACACGTCGAAAAAATGGGAGTTGCCCCCCCGGCCGAAGCCAGGTCGGAAGGCAAAGCCGCGGGCGTCACCTTGCCATGGCCACAAAACGCATAACCATGGCGGTGGGGAAGACGACCACTGTGGGATCTGTACAAAGGAGTCTGGGTGTATTTGTGCAGAGGTTGGGCTACGACCGGCGCCTCCGAGTGATCATTTCAGTCCTGCTAGCACTCTCCCGACTCCAAAAGAGATCGACTTTAGTAACTTTGAGGTAAAACAGGCTGTACCTCTAAACCGGGTGTCCAAGTCGAGGAATAGTGTGTCCAAGTTTGCAAAGCTCCCCGAAATACAACCGCCCACCCTTGATCTCCCAGATTCGAAATGTGGGTTTTGTACAGACCACACCCCTTGCATTTGTACCGGTGAGGGGTTGAAAGAAGAAGCGACAGAGTCGGCACCAGCAGGAGCATGCGAGGAGTGTGCCAAGGATTCTTTCTCAATGCTGTTCTGCCTAGGGTTGTCCTCCAGCCAGCCGTTGCCTGCAAACGTCCCCTCGATCTCTTGCACGTCTGCATATAAGACCCTGAAAAGCCATCGAAACTATGAAAAGTCAGATATGGGCCATTTGGTGACTCTTTTACAGTCGAGCGACCGTAAGGTAGGTCTCCAGAGCATCAACGAGGCACTAAAGTACCTGAACACCCTGTAACTATATTTATATAATGAGAAACGAGTTCCTATTTTGTGTTTAAACCTTGGCGTTGATATCAGGGACGTTCACGCCAGCGACAGCATCGTGGTCGCAGAACCAAACAACCTCGTTTTTGGCGAGCTGGTTGACCTGGAAAGAAGGCAAGGCAGGGTCTCTCTTGACAAAAACGCCTTTGATGGCTTCGTTCTTGGACGAACCAATGGTAACAAACACCAAGTGGTCAGCATTGGCCAGAGCCCGCTTGGTGAGAGTGATGCGGCGGGGAGGGGGCTTGGGAGAGTCGTCGAGAGAAGACACAAACAGCTCACGCTCCTCCAGCAACTTGTGGCCCGGGAACAGGGAGCAATTGTGTCCATCAGGACCCATGCCGAGATAGACGAGGTCAATAACAGGGTCGGGGCCCAGCTCCTTGATGAGGCGGGCCTGGTAGTCCTTTGCGAACTCAGCGCTGGGGGTGGAGGCCACATCGAAGTCGGTGTCGTTCAGCGAGAAGCACACGGGACGCTCGTTTTCAGGAAGCTTGGACAGGAACTCCTTCTCAAAGACACCGAAATTGGAATCCGCATGGTCGTTCTTGACAATGCGCTCGTCCGCAAGCCAGATGTTCCACTTGGACAGCCTGGCGTGCGGGTTGCCGACCAGGCCCTCAGCCATTGTCTTTGCAAGCGATCCACCGGAAATTGCAACGTCAAACCGGTCCTTTTTAGCAAGAACCCGGTCCTGAATATGCAGCACATAGAGTGCGAGCTCGTTTGGCAAGGTATCGAGACTATTTACGGTGATGTGAGCAACCATGTTGAAAGATGACAAGTGCGTGTGCCGAGCGATTTAAGCGTCCCAACTTCCGATTTGCGAGGGTTCCTGGGTGACTCCTCGAGGGCTCAAACACCGCCGATCGCCCTAACCCTGTTGATTTGCAACGGAGATTAAAAAAAGCGTGCCTGGCCTCACGACTGTTTGCTGTTTGATTGCCACCCTAAGATGTCGCGATTGTCAAACTCGTTCGAGGATAGCGATGACGATCAGTCGAATGACCCCTACCAGATCTCTTACCGCCAAGAGAAGCAGTATGCAGAACTCCAAGGCCGGATGAAGGCGCTGGATGTGGTGGATAGGTTCGACAAAACAGGCTTTCCTGAGCCGTGCGCTCCGATTTCCGAGCAGGCTCCGAATGCAAAGTACAGAGATGACAAGGATTTGCCACCCCTCCCGCCAATCGTCGGCGTTAGAGGTGCTCGACGAAGAGGCACTCTTGATCTCCACGAGACCGAGGATGCGGATCAAATTGCCCGCTTGAGGGAAATGTACGGTAAGGTCGCTGCTTGTATTGATGCACGCGAGCGGTTTATGTCTGTCTCGTTGCAAAACGAACAAGAGAACCCCAAGAACCTCGAGGGCTGGAAAATTTATCCGGAGCCCCCCGCCCCGATGTATCACCCTGGAACCAAACAATTCGCCCCCAGACCTCGAAAGGAGCCCACACCAGCCAACATTGGCAGCGACTTTCATTTTTCAGAGTGCGAAATTCCAGAGGCAAACTCGTATACTGTCAAGCGGAACGAAGAGTATGTGTACGAAGTCTTTGACGACAACGAAAAGCCGATTGCCAAAATTCCAACTCTTGCCGAATACTATGAAGCCTACGAGTACATTTCTAGCTGTAGCACCGATGGGCCGTGCAAGACCTTTGCATTCCGTCGCCTGCAATACCTCGACGCCAAGTGGAATTTGTACTATCTGTTAAATCAGGATGAAGAAGTCCTTAAGTCCAAGCAAATCCCCCATCGTGATTTCTACAATGTGCGTAAGGTAGATACGCATGTTCACCACTCTGCTTGTATGACCCAGAAGCACTTGTTGCGGTTTATCAAAAGTAAGCTCAAAAAGTCGCCCAACGAGTTGGTGATTCGTCGTGATGGTAAAGAGCTGACACTCGAACAGGTGTTTGAGTCATTGAATCTCACTGCTTATGACCTTAATATCGATACGCTCGATATGCATGCCCACCAGGAGGCATTCCATCGCTTTGACAAATTCAATCTGAAGTACAACCCAATCGGCGAGTCACGTTTGCGCGAAATATTCCTCAAGACCGACAATTTCGTCGACGGAAGATACCTTGCAGAACTCACCAAAGAGGTTTTCAGCGATTTGGAACAGTCCAAGTATCAAATGGCAGAGTACCGTATTTCCATTTATGGCCGTTCAAAAGACGAATGGACCAAGCTGGCCAAATGGGTGGTTGACAACAAGCTGTTCTCTTCAAACGTCCGCTGGCTCATCCAAGTACCACGGCTGTACAATGTTTATAAACAGTCGGGTCTTGTTGAAAATTTTGGTGATGTTGTTCGGAACGTTTTCGAGCCTTTGTTCGAGGTTACCAAAGACCCGACCTCCGACCCCAAGCTACACATCTTTTTACAGCGAGTTATTGGATTTGACAGTGTGGACGATGAATCAAAAGCCGACCAACCTCTTTACGCTCGTCTTGTGACACCTGATCAATGGAACACCGGTGCTAACCCGCCCTATACTTACTGGCTCTACTACCTCTATGCCAACATGGCATCTCTCAACCAGTACCGCAAGAAGCTAGGCTTCAACACTTTTGTGTTGAGACCACATGCTGGTGAAGCAGGAGACCCGGAGCACCTTATTGGAGCTTTCTTGACCTCGCAGGGTATTGCCCACGGCATTTTGTTACGCAAACTACCCTTTATTCAATTCTTATACTATTTGGAGCAAGTCGGTATTGCAATGTCACCACTTTCTAACAATGCTTTGTTCTTGTCGTATGAAAAGAATCCATTTGTCAACTACTTCCGTCGTGGTCTCAATGTGTCACTCAGCACAGACGATCCACTACAGTTCTCGTTTACCCGTGAGCCGCTGATCGAGGAGTACAGCATTGCTATTCAAATTTACAAACTGAGTGCTGTAGACTCCCGTGAGCTCGCTCTTTACTCCGTCAAACAAAGCGGATTCGAACACGAAGTCAAAGACCACTGGGGTTACAACATGCACAATAGCGAGATCAACATCGAGAAGACCAACATTCCCGAGCCCCGTCTGGCTTATCGCAGAGAAACTTTGCAGCATGAAAGGGCTTTGGTCGATAAATATGGTCGCAATAACCGGGTTCTGGATAATTTAGACTAGCTAATCGCAATCTCCGAATCTCGAATATTCCACCTCTTGGTCTACATAAGCATCTGCATCACGGCTGGCTTCCCACCGACATACAACCAATAATGAGACCACGCACGTTTATGGACATTGAAATCGGCGGCGAGCCTGTTGGCCGCATTGTTTACGAGCTTTACAGCGACGTGGTGCCCAAGACTGCCGAGAACTTCCGGGCGCTTTGCACTGGTGAGAAAGGCGAGGGATCCATGGGTAAACCGCTGTACTTCAAAGGCTCTGACTTCCACCGCGTGATTAAAGAGTTTATGATCCAGGGTGGTGACTTTACTGCCGGCAACGGAACTGGCGGCGAGTCCATTTATGGCGAAAAGTTCGAGGATGAGAATTTCGATCTCAAGCATGACAAGCCCTTTTTGCTTTCAATGGCCAATGCTGGCCCTGGAACCAACGGTTCTCAGTTCTTTGTGACCACTGCTCCTACTCCTCACCTTGATGGCAAGCATGTTGTGTTTGGTGAGGTTATTTCTGGCAAGGGTGTTGTCCGTGAGATTGAAAACACCAAGACTGGCGAGCAGGACAAGCCAGTCAAGCCGGTTGTTATCGTCGATTGTGGTGAGCTTGCTGAAGGTGAACCTGCGACACCCGCTGATCCCACTGGTGATACCTTTGAGGCATTCCCTGAAGACGAGCCCAGTTGTCAAGAGAAAGATGACGAGGCCAACTTGAAGACTGCCTTGACGGTTGTTCAAAAACTCAAGGAGCTGGGAACTCAGCAATTCAAGCTCAAGAACCTCGACCTTGCGTTGGCTAAATACCGCAAGGCCATCAAGTATGCTTATCACTTCGATGTCGATCCCGACCACGCTCTTTACAACGAGTACCAGAAGCTGAAGGTTAGTTTGTGGTTGAATGTTGCACTAATTAATTTACAGCTGAACCGGGCCCAGCCTACTATCGATGCCGCAGATTCTGTTTTGAGTTTGGCTACTGCTACGCCTGCTGAGCAGGCAAAGGCATACTACCGCCGGGCGGTTGCTCGCAAGCAGCTCAAAGATTTAGAGGGTGCTTTGAGTGATTTGTCTGAGGCTGAGTCTCGTATGCCTCAGGATGCTGGCGTTCTGGCTGAGAAAAAGACTGTCGAGCAGCTCGTTGCTAAACGGAAACAGAGTCAACGTGCTGCCTACTCTAAGTTCTTTTCTTAGATATATCTGCTTCTATTTCGCCAATTTTTTTTTGGGCTTTTCTTGACTCAGTTAGCTTTATATGTACTTTAATTACTGCTGATGTGATTTTGCACGACGCGTTCTGCTGACATGAAGGCTAAACCATTAACGGTGCATTGGCACCAAGATGATCAGCCAATATATAGTGCTGATTTTCAGCCGAATACGCCTGTAACCCAAGGATTGAGTCCTCGTTTAGCAACTGCAGGCGGTGATAACAACGTTCGGCTGTGGCAGCTCAACATGGAGTCTCTGGAAAACGCGACCGACACGTCTGTCGCGTCAGTTGTATACATTGCAACATTAGAAAAACACACACAGGCAGTAAACGTTGTCAAATTCGATCCCAGTGGTCGATTTCTTGCGTCGGCCGGCGACGACGGTGTGATCTGTATTTGGACCTTGGCGTCCTCTGAGCCTAGAAAAATGTTTGGAGAGGAGGAACTGGTAGATTTGGAGTCGTGGCGAGTTCTGACTACATGCAGAGGCACAGGGGCCGAAATTTATGACCTCGCGTGGAGCCCTGACTCCAAGTATATTGCTGCTGCTGTTATGGACAACACTACCCGAATTTACGCCGCAGAGACCGGGAAATGCGTCAAGCAGCTAGCCGAACATGGCCATTATGTGCAAGGAGTTGCATGGGACCCTAATAATGAGTATCTTGCTACACAATCAAGTGACCGAACAATGATTGTTTACAAAGTGACTACGAAAAATGGAGCATTGATAGTAGGTTCGCCACAGAGAACGACAAAACGAGAGCTTGATGATGGCAGACTTGCTCTGTATCATAACGAGACGTTCACGTCGTTCTTTAGGCGACTGGCGTTTGCTCCAGATGGAAGCTTGTTGGTGAGCCCTGCAGGTCAGCTTCGCAACCCCCAACAACCTGATTCAGACGTCTTCTATATTTTTACTCGAGCTGGACTTGGGAAAGGCCCCGCTGCATTGGTCGCTGGCGACAAACCTAGCCTGGCGGTGGCCTTTTCACCGGTGCCCCGCAAGCTTGAGGGCTCTTCAGCCATCGGTCTACCATACCGCCTAATTTATGCGGTTGCTTTGTATGACAGTGTTATGATCTATGACACCAGCAGGGCGGCCCCCCTAGCGCAAGTGCGTAACATCCATTATTCTTCATTAACCGACCTGGCCTGGACGCCAGACGGCAACACATTATTTGTGACGTCCACTGACGGGTTTTGTTCTGCATTGCTATTCGAATCAGGAGAATTAGGAGATGTTTATGATAGTCCACTGCTGAATACAAAATCTATGGAGCCAAGAGTCACACCGTCGCCCATTAAGCAGGCCAGTCTTGACGCGTTTGCAAAGCCAGGGACCCCAGAGAAAGTACAGACAAAGATCCCGGCGCCAGTTTTTAGTCCGGTAACCCCAGGTGTCAAGGTTAAAAAGCGAGTGGCGCCTACTCTGATTTCTTCAACGCCGCCTGGCGGGCCTTGAGAATCATGCTTTGGCGCTGAGCCCGCAGCTGAGTCTCTCTTTCTTGGCGGGAATCCTTCCAGCCAGATGCAAATGCCTGTTCCTGCTCGTCTAAACTCACATTGTATCGATCCAGGAGGGTCTCTGCCTTGGCCTTGCTGGCGGCCGGCTTGGCCTGGAAGGGCGGACGCTCGGCAAACTCATTGCGGTTGACACGAACCAGTAGACGATCAATCGTACGCTCTACATTGCGGGTCTGCGCCAAGTCATGGAGAATAACGTCCCGAGGGACCTGGGGAAGCATGACCTCGACGATCTCAACCATTTCGTTACGAACGCGCCCGCGCCTTCGCTCAACACCAGGATCGCGCTGTGCTGGCGGCTTCACATGCATGACGAGTTTGGCCGTGACGAAAATCATCGCCACACCTGCCAACAGCAGCCAAGTCGAAGTGTCGGACATGATGACAAAACAGACGACTCGCTAGGCGAGCTCGCAGGTGGTTTAGTGGACAAGATGAGCGAAGCGAAACTACGTAGAATAAATTAAAAATTGAGCTTGAAGACGTCATCCTTGTGCTTTACCGCGTACACAAAATTGACGATTGTGTCAGTTTCCTTGATGGGCTCGGCCGCAAAGTGATCCTTTATTGCTTTTGTTAATTCATTGCGAGTGCCTCTGTGCGAGTGCTTACTGCTCCACGTACGCTTGCCAACCGAGCCGCCAAGCATGAATCCCTCACAAGTCATGGGGCAAGGCTCGGGCAGGTTGTATCTTCTCCGGTACTTTCGCAGCGAAGCGAGCGGCAGGGCTTCAAAATTAACGGGATCCTCCAAAATTTCTTGCTCCTGGGGCTCGGCCGCGGACATAATAGCCGCACGCTTTGATCGAGGTTTGTTTGCCATGATGCAGTAGTCAATGAATAAAGTAACATTCAACCCATGCAAAAGGGCGGCTTCTTGGGGCCAGGGCTAGGGCGCAGCAAAGTGAAGGCCCGTACAACAAAAAACCAACTTGTCCTGCATAAATCAGCACCTCCACTTGGGCTCCAACACCCCATGGGCTTAACATCCCCGTCCTGTGGACCTGCACCCTAACCCCAGTGGTCCATATCCCCCATGTTTTTAAGCGGGTCTCCTGTTTTACCGTCCCGTGTTTGCTTGTGAATGTCAATGGCTGTCGATAACACGGATTTTATCATCTCCGCCATCTCATGGGTCCTTTGTGTTGTTTCCAATATCAGGTACGAGTTTGGTCGCAGATCCCCCTGGGACCACGGACACCAAGATGATGTCGCCTTCACCCCGTTCACGGCGAATTTGCCACTTATTGCCATCTTCTGGTTGACCACCAGTCTCCTCCAAATCATCTATCTGGGTCGTTACTTCAGTGTGACCCCAAAAAACCTCACCTGGCACTTTATCGGTAGCAATTGCTTGCTGCTGTTCTGGTCCTACTTGTTTGCCCGGGGCCACTACTTTTTGTCGCTGATCACCGTCATCGCCAATTTCGTCAATTTGGCCATTGCGTATATTGTGACGGGCTCCTACCGCATCCGACCCCTCTCTGCCTGGTTTATCGTCCACGGTGCCATTGTCGCCCTGCCCCTGCAGTGGGTCTTCTACTTGGTGTTCTGGAACGGCGCTGTTCTGTTCCACGCCAGGCACATACTTTCCCGCGTCGTAGCAAACATTCTGGTTTGGGACTTTTTGTTGGTGCCGGGCTTGCTGGTGCTCTTGTTTGGCGACTATCTTTCTGGTCTCGCCGCGGCTTGGATCTCGCTTGCATTGGCATTCGGCCAATTGTTCACCAAAGTTTTTGCCCTCCAGTGGATCTTTTCGTTCATCATTACCGGCTGTCTATTTGTGCTTGCTGTCGTGTTCTCTGTTCGCCCTCCTCCCGAGTTCGACTTTATCGATGTTTCGGTTGTCGACGAAACCGCTCCGCTCATTTCTGAGGAAGCTTGATGTGACAGGTTTATGTATTATTAAATATTCAGCTTCTACATAAGCTTGTTTTTAAATTCATATACAGTTCATATCGCTCATGGCGAATAATAGCTCATCATCTGATCCGTCCTTGACGTCGTCGTCTTCGTCCCCTGGGCCCGCCGTATCGCTGTCAATGTAATAGCTCAACCTATTACGTGCTCGTTGTTGAGCTGCAGAGGTTCGGCTGGTGCTCGTTACACTGGTGCTGCTGGGGCGCCGACTGCGGGGCGGATCATTGACGCTGGGGCTTCGTCCAGAATACTGCTCGCTTAACCGAGACGGCACAATCGGGGGGTGTGCATAACGCGCTAGGGCACTCGCTGCACCTCCCGAGAGCTTGCCTTGTGAAATTGAGCCGGCAACGGGATTTAGAACCTCGACAGGGGCCACGGCAGCGGGGGCAGATGATGCATGAGGAAACGCATTCCCCGGGTTTGTCGGACTCAGACTTTCTATCAATGGAATGGGGCGCGAAGGACTAAGGGATCGTGCTGAGCTTGGCGACCCTACAAACCCACTCGGGCGTACTGGCGACACAGGACCTGGCTCCACCGGAGACTCTATCCGCTGTGAAGATAGCATTAGCGACTCGGTAAGTTGCATGTATGATTGCCGCATATTCTGATATTTCGACAGCGAGTTGTCCAACGATGTTGACGTATGCCCCTTGAACCCGCTGGCACGCTTCTGTGTATCGTTGACGAATCTCATGAAATCACCAACGCCACTGTTGGGCACATATATACCAGAACCAGGTTCCAAACTTGACGGCGTGGACGCTGTACTCACTGGGTTGCTGCGGTAGTCTACGCTGTGGCGTGACTCCAAAGACCCAGGGCGACCCATGGCAGACTGGCGAGAAGCAAACGACGACAAAAACCTATGCATACTCGACGAGGTGGACGAGTTGAAAGATCCAGCAGCCGTTCCACTGGCGCCAGCTTTAGGTACGGGCACTGGCGAGCTACCAACAACCCCGCCCGCGTTTGGTCCGGTTGAGTTCGCTCTCGCCACACTGCCATTGCTAGGTGTTCTGGCACGATTTGTATTCATTGCTGCCGGCTCAGGAGTGCGGAATGGCTGGGTAAAAGATACAATTGGCCTTGAGCGGGAGCGGGGAGTCGAGAGCTCTGTCGGCCGGTCAAGTTCTAAGAATTGTTGGGCAAACACCACATCCGCATCGTCGATTCCGAAATTGACCTCTGTGCGATAGGATATGGTCAGATTTAAGGTGCCAGCCGGGGTGGTTATGGGTGAAAAGGCATAACTCGCGAGATGGCTGGTGGCATCTGGGGAAACGGAGAGTGCCGACGATGGAGGGGTGGAGCTGGGACTGGCCCCGATTTTTTCAGAAAGGCCCACGCGGCCACGAGAGGAAATGGGACGGCTACCATCCAAAGCTCTGCAGCCAATGCGAAGTGGGCTGGCCGCAAGCTTTTGTCTTGTTAAGCGTTGGTACAACGACCAAGTAGGCAGTAGTCTGCTAAGAGTATAGAGAGCACGCATTGCGACAATACAACGCTTGTATACAACGGGCAAGTCTTCCGGCTGGCCCTTTTGGTCGGGGCGGAACTCGACGATCCAGCGCTCCAACACGATCTCCTTGCGCTCCCCGGGCCAGGTTTTACCCTGGGCATCTGTGAAAACAAGCGATTGCTTGGGTTTGAGCTCGCTCACATCAAGGTAAACCTCCACCACAAGTGGAGGGAGCGGTGTACCGCTTTCGGCCGCTGTACGCCACTGCCGTAAATCGTCCCGCATCCCGTCCAGCTCCTCAATTTCGAGATTGAACCACTTGTTGGTTTTGCCAGTCCCTGAAGCATTTGGCACTAGCCGCGACCCGGCAGCTATTTGCACCACCTTGTTGAAAAAGTTGTGTATTACCTGCTGTAATTTGCCACGTTCAGACATTCATCGGCTTTTTGTGTACTACAAAGTCAGGAAGCTGTCTTACTCCCTCTTACGTTATTGCTAAGCGGCATCAGTGGGACTGCATAGGTGCGTTCGCCCAGATTAATGACTACATGAACTGTTTACAACGAGCCGCCCAAAGCGTTTACAAGATCCGCCAAAATATCTTTGGTGTTTTCGATACCAATTGAAACCCGCAGAATAGTATCAGGCACCCTTGCGTCGGTCATGATGCGCCATTCGATCATCGACTCCACGCCGCCCAACGAGGTGCAGTGATGGAACAGCTTGAGCTTGCCTGGCAGCTCCATAGCAGACTTGCGATCCACAGTGGTCAGCTGGAACACTGGTCCTCCGCCCAATGGCAAGTGGCGCTTTACGTACTCGTCCGTTTGGAGAGACGCATGACTCACGTCCTGCAGGAGTGGAAGCTCAGACTTGTGCTGGGATAGATACGCCACGATCGTATTCGAAGACTCGGCCTGCTGCTTGATGCGCATGTTGTAGGTACGCAGTGACCGCAGCAATGTCCAGGACTCCAGCGACGGCAGGATTGTGCCCAAAGCAATGCGCTCCAACCTCAGCTTTTCCCGAACCGAATTGTCCTTGACGCAGAGCACGCCAGACAGCGTGTCGGAATGGCCGCCGAAATACTTGCTTCCCGAGTGCATAACGATATCGGCACCCCACTTGAAAGGATCGAACAGAGGAGGAGGAGCGAACGTGGAATCAACAACCAGAGTTGCACCCCGAGATTTCGCGATGGCCGAGTACTTTTCGATGTCCCTGGCCAAGGCGGAGGGATTAATGGGGGTTTCCAGATGAATGACATCTCCCTTGTTCAACAAGGTTGGGTCGTCATCGAGATCAATCAGCTTCACCCCGTAGTTCCGCTGCAACATGCTTAACATCGCTGCAACCCCGGCGTATCCTTGGCCTACCATGACTACCTTCGGATTCAGGTAAAACATGGCGGCATGGAACGCGGCTAGGCCGTTGGAATATGCGACTGCATGGCCACCAATAATCTCACCGAGCACGGCTTCGACTCGATCAACATTGTTCTGGTTTAGTCGGGAATAAATGGGTTTACCGTTCAAATCGTCTAGTCCAGGTGTCACCGTAGACAGGTCTGCGGGGTAATCATAAGTAGTCGTAACATGGATAGGAGGAGCTACATCCGCGCATTCTTCGATACCATCATCAGCATGGAGGCCTGTGGTCGCGTAGTCAAAGGTCATATTCAGCAATCCACCAGTTCATCCAGTCAGCTCCGATTTTATAAATCTATATGCAGGGTTCGGGTGATAATGCAGTCACCCGGGAAGACTCACTTATCTATACACGAAAATACTCCAGGCCGTGACCAACTAAGGATCGAGCTCGGGTTGAGCAGCCGCCAGTTGAAAGTTCGGGTCTGGATGCATCATTTCTACAATGGCCATAGTGAACATGCTAGAGGGCACAGCACACACGAGACGGGAGCCAAGACCCTTGAACACCGCCCTGAAGATCCCCCCCTCTTTAATGAGGTTGTATGCAACTCTCAAAACACCGTGTTTATCATCTGGCCGCAGGCCGCCAATTTCTCGTGAGTAGGCCAGCTGCTGTCTCGTCTTGATGACGTCTAGAAAATTAGTGAAGGTTCCGGCTGTAACCGAGGCAGAGCCCGCCGCCATCATATTGTTGAGTAGAAACATGTTGGGATTCGGCCAGGCGTTTGTGAGAGCGAGTTTGACGTTTTCATAAGAAACCCACCATACGACAGAGTGAGGCAAGAAAACCACGATTCCCATCCAGTAGCCTCGAAAAAATCCGACCAATCCCTCGTTCAAATAAATATCTTTCATCACCGTGCGCATACGCTGCCGAGTAGACGAGATCTGCATACGACCCTTGAGGACCTCCATTGGCGTCCAGATAAATGATGAGGCTACCTCGGCCATTGCTCCGCTAATAACGTAGTTTGTGATGCTCGTGGCACCGAGTGTGGACGATAGCCACGTCTTTGTTTGGCGGTATGCTACCAAATATGCGGTGAAGCCCGGCACTGCAAACATGGTCGACGGTACGAGACCGTTCCAATACATGCGAAGAGGCACCTTCCTTCGCACCACCGACGCTTGTTTCAGTGTTCTTATCGTGTCTATGGGATGAAACACGACTTTGGAAGCCACGCTGGCAACAACGGATGCCCCTACCGTCTCCACATCCATAGGGCGGAAGGATTGAAGCTACGGGAGATGACAAAGCGCGAATTTTTATAGAAACAAAATTACAGTTAGCGAAACGATAGTTGAAATAAAAATTCCTTGATGAGAAGTAGCTGCGCCGGCACAGGCAGACTAGGCATAGAATGACACGCTCTTTGATTTGCGAGCTTGGACCTCCCCAATTGCCTCTACAAAGTCCTCGTGCGTGATTTTGTTTTTTCCTGTGCGCAGAGCAATCATACCTGCTTCAACACAGACTGCCTTGAGTTGTGCACCGTTGAACTCGTCGGTGGATCGAGCCAGCTCATCCCAATTGATGTCGTCCGCGGTTGCCATTTGTCGTGAATGGATCTGGAGGATACCTGCACGCGACTCTTCGTTGGGCAGAGGGAACTCGATCTTTCTGTCGAGACGGCCAGATCGCAACAATGCTGGATCAAGCACGTCCACACGATTGGTCGCCGCCAGCACCTTAACTCTATCATCAGATCCAAATCCGTCTAATTGATTCAGTAGTTCCAACATAGTGCGTTGCACCTCACGGTCACCTGATTTGTCGCTATCGAACCGCTTGGTTCCAATTGCGTCCAGCTCGTCAATGAAAATAACAGTGGGGGCTTTCTCCTTGGCCAGAGCAAACGCATCTCGCACCAACTTGGCACCATCACCAATGAACATCTGCACAAGCTGCGGGGCTGCCAGTTTCAAAAACGTGGCATTTGTCTGAGCAGCACACGCACGGGCAAGCAACGTTTTGCCCGTACCAGGAGGGCCATACATGAGAGCACCCTTGGGCGGCTTGATGCCCATGGACTTGAATTTTTCCGCTTGCCGCATGGGCGAAACCACTGCCTCGTCCAGCTCCTCGATCTGCTTGTCTAGACCACCAATATCCGAATAAGTTTCTGTGGGCTTTTCGTCAACTTCCATTGCCTTGACCCGCGAATCGTACTCTGCGGGTAGCTTGTCCAAAACAAGGTACGAGTCCTTATTTACACCAACGAGGTCGCCGGGCTTAAGGTCTTCGGGGGAAACAAGACCGACCAAAGGCAAAAACACCGTTTGGCGTGTAGACGTCTTGATAACTGCCGACTTGCCGGTTCGGGCCGCGTGGAGGTCTACGTTGGCACCCTCACCAGCATCGTTTGCTTCGACGTCCAAAAGCTCAACAATGTTAGAAACAAGATACGGCAGCTGCTTGTTCTGCTCAATTTTGTCCTGGTTGTCCTTGATTTTATCCTGCATGGTGTTGCGTTCATGACTTAACCGCTGGAACTCCGTTCTCATCACCTGTAAATCATTATTCAACAGCATGCATCTCGTACGGATCTCGTCGACACTGGAGTTGCGGATCTGCTCCTCCATATCGTCATACTGGTCGTCTTGCGCCACCGAACTCGCGGCAACATCCTCAACACTCGCCATCGTTAGATTGTGGGTGACAGCTCTACAAGTTACTAAGGCAGGCCACCGCCCCCTAGTCATATTGGCAAGATTTCTACATGAATGTTTAAGAAAAGAAAAGTGGCAAAAGCTGCCGGGCGGAGTGTTCAAGGAGAAGAAGACGAGCTTTCGGATCAAGCTGAGGCCGTAAAAGCACCTGTTGCCAAAGCGGCTCGGGTCGACACTGTGTTCAGCCAACCGCCAGCTCCATCCGACACCGAGCCCAATTGCGACGAATTGGAGGTGAAAAAGGCGGCCGAAGTTAAGCCAGCCGGCACGTACAAAGGGCTTAAAAAGACAAACCGCTACGGACCTATCGCTGCGTCGAAATCAATCAGATCAACTGTGGTCACGGACTACCAGCCAGACGTGTGTAAGGACTATAAACAAACTGGCTATTGTGGCTATGGAGATTCTTGTAAGTTTTTACACATTCGCGAAGACTACGCGGCAGGCTGGCAGCTGGACGACGCCAAACCAAAGCCCCAGCCAGCGCACAAGGTGCAGACGGCTCAGCCTACGCGACAACCGGACGAGACCAAATGCGGAATCTGTTCACGTCCACTTAATACACCAGTAAAAACCCGTTGTGGGCACTTTTTCTGTGAAGAATGCTTTCTTGCCCGAAATAAAAAGACAGCCAGCTGCGCAGTATGTGGCAAGAACACAGACGGTATAATAAAGCGTGTCAAGTAGATTTTTTTTATTGCTATCATTTCTCAGCATTGCGCTTTTCTATCTCGGCCTTGAGCTGAACACTGAAGTCGTCGTCTGCATGATCATCATCTTCCCATTGCTCTTCCCATAAATTAGTGTCGCCTCCGTCGGCAGCAGCGGCTTCCCAGTCTTCAACAGGAAAGTCCTCGAACTCATCGCCGGTCTCCAGCGATGCAAGCTGCTTGTTCTCCTCCTCGGCCATTATTGAAAGTGAATGGTGGGTTGGGAAAGACTTAGTGGCAATCCCAGGGCTGACTTTACCAACCTCCCAAAATGACGTCGATTGGTACCGGATACGATCTATCCAACAGTGTGTTCAGTCCCGACGGTCGTGTGTTCCAGGTTGAATACGCATCCAAGGCGGTTGAGAATGGTGGCACTTCCATCGGCATAAAGTACAAGGACGGCGTGGTTCTCGCTGTTGAGAAGCTTGTTACGTCTAAACTGCTGGTCAAGGGCGCCAACAAACGTATCCAGACCATCGACAGACACGTGGGTGTAGCCTACTCTGGTCTCAATCCTGATGGTCGCCATCTGGTGTCCCGTGGCCGTCAAGAAGCTGAGTCCTGGCGCAGTAATTTCCACAACCCCATCACCTTGCCTACGCTGGCGCAGCGCATCTCATCTTACGTTCAGGCCCATACTTTGTATTCTTCAGTACGCCCGTTTGGTGTGGCTGCCATTGTTGGCGGTGTCGACGAAAACGGACCCCATCTCTTCATGATCGAGCCCAACGGTACTTCTTGGGGCTATCGCGGCGCCGCCACCGGTCGAGGTCGCCAAGTCGCAAAAAGCGAGTTAGAAAAGCTTGATCTGGATAGCCTAGACGGTGAAACTGCTGTCAAGGAAGCGGCGCGTATCATTTATTTGGCCCACGAAGATAACAAAGATAAGGATTTCGAGCTCGAGCTCACCTGGGCCAGCCAAGCCACCAATGGCCGGCACGTCGAGGTCCCCAAGCAGCTTTTCGACCAAGCGGTTGAATATGCACTTGCAGAGCTTGATGGTGGTGACGAAATGGAAGAATAAAAAGGCAACGTAAAAGGCTCACAATACCCTGAATGGTATCGGTTTTGTTAAATTATACATAGCTACTATTGACTATTGTGCTTGTAACTCCCCGACCCGCTTCGGCTGTATTCTCGTATGCTCCTATGTTTCGTCCTACTTTTTTTTTTATTGTCGACATATGCCGCCACATTCCAGATAATTATTCTATCGGGGTAAGGTCATATCTGAGGTCCGTCGGAAATGCAAGTTTTGACACATTGTAGCTAAGTGATCGTCAAGTGTACCTGCTTGGAGTGGCTATGCGTAGCCAAAAACTGTATGCATCCTTTTAATTTCATTTGCTGAATCCTATTCTGGTAGAATAAACCTCATTACCGCATTTGTCTCATACGTCAAGAGCTGATCCAATATGCATATACGTGGCGCCAGCTGATGCTGTGTTACCATTGGCATTGCATTACTTTAAAATTTCTATAATTTCAGTAGTTTGCTATGCCTCGCTCTACAGAGTCTATACCAAACAGACGGAGCATAGCCACCAACCGTCGCCAGAAATATTCCCCGCACCTACTCCATCGGATCGCGAGTAAACTTTATTCTAAACTATTAACTTCGTCTCTGCAGCCAAGACCTGGCCGCAGTGCATACCCCCCGGGTGTGAGCCTGCATTGGGATACCTTGGCGGTATACCAACTCGAAGTCACTCCTGTACATTGTCGTGGTACATATAAGACCATTAAGCTATATGCATCCAATAGCTGTACATTAGTCTTTTACAATACATCTTCGGTGGCCAGAAGAATGAGTACCTCGTCGCCTCATTTGCGTATGGAAAGGGACATGTCCCTCGTGGAGGTCGAAAAAATGTCCGCTCGCATCATTGAGCTAATATCGTGCCAAAAAAGCCTCGCTCGAGCAACTAACTATGCTTATACACACGTTGGCACGAATAATCCTGAAGATGTGGCTATTCAGTACATGTCGCCCTCCGAGCTATACCAGTACCGTATGTCAAAAAAGCGTGGTGTCCCTTTCACCATTGATATCGACCGCGACCGTGTTGAATCTCCCGATGGTGCAAAGCAATTTCCCCGTATGGCCCTGGCTCTGGATCGGCTTTTCCAGAAAACTGGCCATACCCGTGAAAATGTTGCCTTTATTTATCGAAGATACCCTGGCCATATAGCCTTGGTGAAGGCTTATCTCAAACTGATCAACGCCGAACGGGATGCGATCTCGAACGCAGATGTAACACTGGATTTATTTCAAGAGTATCAGACTTGTCGCAAAATCTTGGGGAACGCACAGTATGTTTTTCAACATTCGTCTGTTGACGATAGAGAGCAGTCTGTGATGATCCGGAAAATGCAAACCATCATGGAGCGACGGATGGCTGATCTGGCCGGGTCAAAGCTTCGAGCGTCAAAAAGAACAACACGTCCTCCTCATCTCCACCAGCAATCTACCGATAATGTGCGCTGTACACACAGTACTGCTCTACCTGAGGACGATTCCTTATTCCCATCACCTCCTTCTTCCCCTAACTTGCAGCACTCGAAATCTTGGAACGTCAAAAAACCTAGGTTTGAACCCCACGCAGAGGCGTTTTCGCCTGTATCCAGCTCTGGTTCTTTTGGTGTGCAAAACTGCTACGAAACAAATTCTAGTACGGCATCTTATCCGGACTACTTTAACCACTCTGGTCAACAAGTGCCGATATCACCTATTTCACCCTACCTAAAGTGTGATTTGCCTGTGAATACTCCAGCAAAAACCTTGGCAAAGTTCAATTGCGGCCGTGCTACTAGCCGTTTCCGCTTCAACAGTAATATTAGCTTACCTTCTGAGAGCACTCAAAGCTGGACGATGGATAGACCAAATTCTGGCCATCATCCATCGTTTCGCAGATCTTGCTCAACCATTCAACCGGTAAGAAGTCGATTTTTCCCAGTTCCCTGAACAAGTGTTTATTTCTCATATACTATAACTTTCAATACAAGTTTCATTATCATAACTTCTCCCCCACGTCCTTGAGGCCTTATGACAAATGCTAAACACTGAGCAGCAGCGGGCCGTCGAGTTTAATGGGCAGTATTTGCAGATTATAGCTGGGCCTGGTACCGGAAAAACACTCACTCTTGCTTCTAGAATAGAGCGCCTTATTGAGAATGGAGAACTTTTGCCAGAACGAGTGCTAGCTTTAACTTTCACTAACAATGCAGTCCAAGAGCTAAAAATACGTCTCAGTAACAAGTTTGGCGACGAAAAAGCTAGTCTGATGAAGGTTATGACGTACCATGCGTTCAGCACGTACTTGATTTCTCTCAACCCTTCAGTAGTGGGTCTCAACCCGCTGCAATGGGGCTCTGCCGATGAATGGGACCAACAAGTGATTCTCCTCAGCTTGAGAGGGCTTGGAAGCAATGCGCGATCACGCCTGAATAAACTGAGATATATTCGTCGTGCAATCAACAGCGGTCAAGCCGTGTATTCTGGTCAAATGAAAGCATTAGAGTCCTACAAAAACGTGCTCCAGTCGTTACAGATGGTTGATTACGACACGATGCTTGAGATGGGTTCCAAAATCATTGCTGAAATAGATGATGAGCAATTGAACATTGACCACATATTTTTGGATGAGTTTCAGGATAGCTCACCACTACAATGGGAGCTGGTCAATGCCCTGGTGAAAAAGAATTCAAGCAGAAAGTTAACAGTCGTCGGTGACCCAAACCAAGAAATATATGGTTTTATGAATGAATGGCACAGCAGTTCGTTTTCCGTGATGGATAAAGACTTTCCCAATAGTCAAAAAGTCCGCCTCGATACAAGCTACCGGTCCAACCAGGAGATATGCGATCTGACAGCTGAAATGATAAGTGGCGAGGCAGAAAAAGAGGAGGAAACATCACTTACCAGTGTCAAGGGCTATACTGGAGATATTCCTACCATACAATTGCATGATTCTACACAAGCTGAGTATGAGAGCTTAGTTGCAAATGTCAAAAGCTATCTGTTAAATAATCGCCCGGACAACATTGGCATATTGGTCCGGACTAATGTTGACTTGGACACGGTTGCTAAATTGTTTATCGAAGCCGGAATCCCTGTCGACACTTTTCTCAATCGCTCTGTTCTGGCTAACCCTTATGTGCGGTTAGTGTACTGTCTTTACAAGCATGTCACACAACCAAGTGATGTTTATTTATTACACTTGCTCACCAGTCAGAAGAGCACAATTTTCAATACGAGCCAGTCCACTATTCTGAAATCGTATCTGGGTCAGACCGACATAATGGCTGCCGCCGGGTTGGTGGCAGCACGATCTAGGACTCATAAACAGGTTGAACAAAAGGTACGAGAAGTGGATATATATCTCAAATCATCTTTAGAGACTCTGCGTGCGACCCGGGATGTACAAACAGTAATAAGTGAATCAAATGATTTATTGAAACAGATCAGCAGCGACGTGGTGCAGTCCCCGCCTGAACTGGAGTCTTTTTACGACTGGATTGAAAGATCTTCGCTGAACAAAAGTAGCTCTGATGAGCCTCTTGTTCCGTGGATTGTGAAAGAAATTCGAAACCCAAGGTCCTCTGCTAGAGGTTCTATTAGCATTCACACTGTGCATTCCGCCAAGGGCTTAGAATGGGATGCTGTATTCATGCCTAGAGTTGAACCAGGTGTTTATCCCTTGTACTTTAACTCGGAGACCCTTCCCGACCGGAAGGTTCTATATGTTGGTATGACTAGGGCCAAGAAAACCTTAGCCCTGTCTGCGACTCGAGTCGAGTCCACTTTTCTTTCTGGATGCAAAACGCTAGTCCGCAAAGGAATTAAGCCTCAATCCGAGGGCGATTTGCGCAGTCGCTATCCGAAGTTGTTTGGACCACTTCCGTATCTTTCAAAATCTCATGTTAGCTCTATGATCAAAAAGTTACATCTATGAGAGTTGAGGCGGCAACAGTTATGTAACATAGCATCTAGTGTAGGCATTGATAGTTTATGTCTGCCAACGGAAAAATATTGCAAAAAAAAACCAAATAAATCTCTTTGTAAAGCGTGTCATCCTTATGCAGGGGCCATGCTAATCTTCTCTGTATCGTTTCAAATTGACCATTGTCCCCGAAGGGACGTAGTAATTGCGTTGGGACAAGTATATACTGCCATACCACCCTAACCCCTAACTGTAGCAAAATAGTGCGGGTGTTTATCCGAAAGATTCCTGGGCAGAATAGATGTTATATACTCAATTAGAATCTCAGTGTTCCAAACTAGAAAAATTATTTTATGCAGATACTAGAAACAGGCAGCAGAACCTCCGGGTTTTCCACTTTGGCTCAGAGCCAACCTATGATAGCGAGCAAAGCATCTCTATACCAAAGCAAACGGGGTACTTCTCACGTATTCAATACTATTAAACAGTTGTACAGACCCATGTAGTGCTTTGCCAACACAACACAAGGACACCACTCCAGGCGCAGCAAGCGATATGAATTATAATGGTGATCCTCGAAAAAGAATAATTAGAACGAGACCATTAGTTCAAAGCTCAGTAGCAGCTCGAAAAAGTTCTCTCAGTCAGGTTCGAGTAGGGCGCAAATCGGAACCCATCAGTGACCGCCCTCTCGAGCCTAGAAGGTCGTACGGAAACGAGAGAATTTCGAAGAACAGAGTGCCGCGAACCTCCAACGGATTCAGAAAAAACTTGAAAGAAACCTCAGCCCCCATTCAAAAGGCTTTAAGCAGCAGCCGAGATATGTCTGGAGTACCGGAACACCAGAAAGTGTTTAGCGTACAAGGAACCCTGTATACTGTACGCAAGTGTATTGGTACCGGAGGCACCTCAGTAGTGTATGAAATTAATGACAAAAACAACTGTTCTTTTGCGCTCAAGAGGGTTGATATCCATGGCAATCCAGCGCCGCTCAACTCTCTACGGGGTGAAATTGAGCTACTCCAACATTTGAGTTCAGAAGCCCGAGTTGTTCAGCTGATTTCCTATGAAATTACAGAGAAATCGCTGATGCTTGTTATGGAGTTAGGAGAAATGGATCTAAGAGTTCTACTCAAGCATAACGATTTTGGTCTGAATACCGCGTTTATAAGGTACTGGGCCACGGAGGTGTTCCTTTGCGTCAAGGCTGTTCATTCGTACGAAATTGTCCACAGCGATCTCAAGCCCGAGAATTTTTTGGTGGTAAAAGGACATCTCAAGATCATTGATTTTGGCATAGCCAACATTGTACCCGACTACACAGTGAATGTTCATCGTGATACCAAAATGGGGACTGTGAGTTACATGGCGCCTGAAGCCGTCTGTGGTCAAACCACCTTCCAGGGTCCTGACTTCAAAGTCGGAAAGCCTACGGACATCTGGAGTTGTGGGTGCATTCTCTATAAAATGGTTTATGGTTGCACGCCGTTAGAACAGTATGGTCGACAGCAATTGGCAGTATTGGAGTCGGAATCACTTCAGATCAACTTCCCCAAGGTTGTAAAGAGTCGACGGATACCGAAAGGTTTATTAGAATTAATGCACGGCTGTCTGATAAGAGATCCCAAAAAGCGCCTGACCGCCGAAGAAGCTCTGCAGGGGATCTTTTTGAACCCGCGGAGCGTAGATTTTGAATTTATCCAGGACCTCATTGTCAAGTCCGTGGCGTGGGGTCAGAAGTTCAAGTCGGAGCCCACCACAGAGCGGCTGCACGACCTGATCCAGGGTGTTTGGACAAAAGTTATTGAACTAAATGATATGGACTTGGAGCCAGAGCCAGAACCTCACCCTGATCCGCCCGCAAATTAACTTATTCCCACTTCTCGACGGGGTTCTCTTTGAATGTAAAATACATGTCACGATTGAAGCACGAAATCTCGCTCTCGTTTCTCATGCCATAATCGTACAATGGTTTTTCTTCGTCAAGAATCCACTCATCGTCCTTGTCCAGGTTAATAGAAAGCTTCACTGTTTTGGTAAGATGAGCGTGTGTGTAAATTTTTAAACAATTCAAATCCACCGTGCGATATGGTCTGAACCCACCTTCGGTTTGCACAACTTGTTTTACTCGTTCCAGCAGTTGTGCGGGGGTGGTGGTGTACAGATTCAAGTCCTTGAAAACATGGTTCTTGATAGTCCTATACTCGAAACTCTTGACCACACGAACAGTAATTGTCGCAGAATGCCCATCTCGAGTCGATGTTAGTGGCGCTGCATCAACGTCTCCCTGGATGGCCGGGGCATCGCTCGAACTCTGCTGCATAGATTCAGTCGAAGTTTTCCAAATCGGTCTGGGTTTGGGGTCGCGTAATCAGCCCTGGGCAAGCGGCTGCCTAATTGAGCAAATTACCCGACACGAGTAAGCCGCGTGAGGTAAGCTAGCTGCAGCTAACAAGTCGGTTCCCAGAAACGAAGTTTGCCAACCAGAGTATTGGCAGGTTAGAGGTTCGTTGAGACTTAGCCGCAGCAGGGTGAAACCATGAGTCTTCCTCAGTGGGTCGAGAGCCAGCACAAGGCGTTCACTCGCTGGTGCAACATGAACCTGGCTGCCGCGGGGCACCAACCGCTGGACGATTTGCGGACCGATTTTACCTCTGGAGTTAATCTGGTAAAGCTAATGGAGGCCGTATCACACGAGTCTATGGGCAAATACTACTCTAAACCGAGCACCATGCAAAAATACGAAAATATCTCTATCGTCCTGGACTACCTGAAACACCAGGGGGTTATCCTGTACGGGATTGGTGCCCCTGACATTGCTGACGGGAACTTGAAGCTGATTTTGGGGCTGATCTGGTCAATGATCCTCAAGTATACTGTACAGGAAATCAATGAAGAAGGCCACAGTGCCAAAGAGGGCCTGCTTTTGTGGTGTCAACGCAAGACGGCGGACTACGACGATGTTGAAATTAGGGACTTTCAATCGAGCTGGAAATCCGGGCTGGCATTTGCTGCGCTATTGGATCACTTTAGGCCCGATCTGCTCGACTACGCTACAATTGACAAGTCGGATCCGGCTAAACTCCTCGAGATGAGTTTAAATGCTGCCCAGCAAGCTGGAATCCCAAACTTGTTGGAGGTTGACGATATCTTAAATGGCCAGGATGAAAAAACTATGGTGACTTATCTTGCGTATTGGTTCCACACTTTCAATTCACTGGAAAACGTTGAACGAGCCGGCGGTCATGTTGAGCGCTTTATAGACGTGTATTCTACGGCAATGCGGATGAGAAAAGAGTACGAGCGCCGCATGAAGACACTGATAAATGAACTACAGCAATCTATAAACAAGTGGGAACTTGTGGAGGCCCAAACTCTGCTCGAGGTGATCAAACATCATGACGATCTACTTGAACACAAATCCAACACCAAGCGTAAATGGATCTCCGAACGAACAGCACTGGCTGAGCTATTGGGCAATATTCGGGTCAAACTCTCAACCTACAGGCTCCGTGAATACAAGACCCCTGACGAGCTGTCGATGCCCTATTTGAACAAAGTATGGGCCCAGATGTTACACGCCGAAACTAACTGGTCGAAAAAAGTCGCCGGTGCTTTCCAAAAATACCGAGAGCAGGCATGCCAGGAGTTTGCAGACCTTGCTAATGATTTGTCTATCATTCTCACTACTATTTCAAACAAAATATCCGACGTCTCGGGTGAGCTTGAAGATCAACTGCTTATGATCTCCCAAACTAGCGAGACTCTGGCGCCCCTTGATGCGACATTGGACAGACTTTTTGAGCTAGACGAGAATTGCCGCTTGCTTGGCGTTGAGGAAAACGATCATACCATGTACTCTTATGACGAGATTGCCTACGAGCTCGATCTCGTCAAACTCATGGTGGAAAACAAACTGGCATTTATTGAAAATCATATGGTTGCGCGGGAAGCTACAAACATTACACCAGCCCAGCTCGAAGAATTCGAGATGGTTTTTCGGCATTTCGACAAACAAAGCAAAAACACCTTGGATCGTCGAGAATTTGAGAGTGCACTGGCCGCATTGGGCATAACCTTTCATACTGATGCTGAGGCCGATGAGGTCTGGCAAGAACAAGCAGTTGATGATAAGGTCTCATTCCGAGATTTCATCATGTATATGGTAACTGCCACTGAGGACTCGCAAAACATTGAGCAGGTGCGGCAGTCGTTTGAGGAAATCAGCTGCGGTAAAAACTATGTCACGAAACGCGATTTAGAAAACGCACTATTGCCTGACGAAACCATTGGCTCGCTGGTCGAGACAATGCCCGAACTGGAAAACGGGAAATATGACTATAAGGCGTATATTGACCGGATTATTACTGAAACAGAGGCAGACGACCGGCCGCCCTCTACATCATCTCTATCATCTGTTCAGACTGAGAACGGTTCCACGGATGCGAGCTCTTTTAACTTTTCGTAATAAACTGTTACTTTTCTCCTAATAGTCCAAAGCGGGTGGTGGTGGTCGCTTGGCCTCCTTTCCTGTCTGTTTGGCCTCAGACCGTCGGTATGGTGGCACAAGGTCCAAACCGCTTAAATTAGGTCGGTGAGGGATCTTGAACCCTAAAGCTCTTGTTCTGCGGCGATGGTCGATCCGTTCAGGACCTCGTCGATCACCCCACTTTGGATCGGGGCGGTGAGGTAAATTGGCATTAGGATCCCCGTTGTTTTGAGAGCTGCGTTCGTTCTCACGCTGAGATTGCTTTTGACGACGGGCATCAAGCTCGTGCGAGGATTTATAAATAGGAAGCTCATGGGGTTGAGCTTCTGGCGGCCCGGTTGTGAAGAACTCGCTTTCTAGAGCACCCAGTGCACTCAATCTAGTCAAAGGGTTGACTTCCAAAAGCCCAGAAAGCAGGCTCAAAGCACTTGCCGGGATGTTTTCAAAAAAGGCATCAAAAGTCCGTGGGTAGGGCTCAGCAGGAAGCTGGTGAATTTCAGGCAAAGCATTCAGTCCAGGCATGCTGTCTTCATTCGGTGAACCCAAAACTTTGAAAATGGTGTGTATTTGGTCCGAATCCGATTTGCCTGGGAAAATAGGCTTGCGACGGAAGATTTCTCCAAACACACATCCAACACCCCACATGTCAATGGCAGTAGTGTAGTACTGGTCCCCGAGCAGCAGCTCAGGCGGGCGGTACCATCGGGTAACTACTGTGGCAGTGTATCTGTGAGTTGCTGCGGAAGCACCATGACTCGTGGGAGGAGGTTCAAAATAGGTTCTTGCCAAGCCGAAGTCAGCGAGCTTGACATTGCCACGGTTGTCTATCAAAATGTTTGCTGCCTTGATGTCTCGGTGCATGTATTTTTGCTGGTGAATATAGTTCATACCTTTCAGGATTTGGCTCATGTAACATTTGATATGAGGTATTGTCAATCTCACCACTGGATTTTGCAGCAGCCCAGCCAGATCGTGGTCCATATAGGGCGTGATAATATAGAACGTCGATCGTTCGCGTAGCGATCGACTGCCATGCTTAACTGCCATATCCAAAAGCTCCAAAACGTTTTGGTGGTCCAGTGATTTGAGGATGCGGATCTCGCGCAGGGCAGTCATGGGCATGCCATCCATCTTGTTGTGCAGTAATATCTCTTTCAGAGCTACTACGGTTTGGGTGTCGTTATGGACACCTCGGTGGACCTCTCCAAAGGTTCCTTCGCCCAGTTTGCTCTGAAACTTGTACGCATCTATCTGCGAACAGCCGTACAGGGCTTTTCCTTCCATTAGTAAGGACAAAGACAAGAAAAAAGCGTGGACCGGACTAGAGAAATAAGAGCTGCTGGTAAAATGGGCAGTCAAGCTCTGATGTCTAATTTGACATGACTAGTCGGTTGCATCAATTGCCCAAAAAAAATTGCCAAGCTTTGTTCCGACAGAACAGAGTGCGGACATCGCTTTACCGTACCTCTTCCCTCCAGTAAATAGCTTTAACATTGCTCCATCTTTTCACCTCATTTCCAACCGTTCCCCGGAGGCAGTTGGCGGGCTATTTATCCAAGAACGCTGCCATTCGCTATGTTACCCTATCGGCCTCTTCTTCCCCCATCACCAGCCGTTGCTTTATCAGCAGCAATGCCATTCCCCAAGTCCATGGGCGTACTCCGGCACGCAGTGCGCTTGCAACTGCGCTTCAAACATACTGCACGATCAGTTGTATTCTCTGATTACGGCCCACCGAAGGACGTTCTGCGGGTGATCAAAAACGAAGTCGCCGATCCCCAAGAGTCCCAGGTGCTTCTGAAACTTGTTGCCGCCCCCATAAACCCCGCAGACATCAACCAAGTGGAGGGCGTTTACCCGTCGAAGCCACAATTCACAAAAGAGCTCGGCACAATTGATCCTTATGCCGTCGGTGGAAATGAGGGCCTCTTTGAAGTTGTTCAAGTTGGTCCCGATCAGGAAACGTTCAAGGTAGGTGACTGGGTTCTCCCAGCGTCGGCGTCGTTTGGTACGTGGACCACCTACAAGCTTTCTGATCCCAAAAATCTTATTCGCATTGGCACTCCGAACGGTTTGGACGCTGTGGCCGCTGCAACCGTCGCCGTAAACCCTTCTACTGCCTACCGCATGCTGTCGGACTTTGCTGCTTTGGAGCCCGGTGACTGGTTCATTCAGAACGGTGGAAACTCGGGGGTGGGTCGCCAGGCCATCCAATTAGGTCGTTTGTGGGGGTACAAGTCTATTTCGGTTGTGCGCGACCGTCGGGATATTGACTCGCTCAAGCAGGAGCTGCTCGACCTGGGCGCAGATCAAGTGGTTACCGAAGAGCAAATTGCCGACAAATCGATCCGGCACATCATCAAAGACTGGACTCATGGTCAAGACATCAAGCTCGCTTTGAACTGTGTGGGAGGCCGATCCGCAGCTAATATCGCCCGCCAACTTGGCCACTCGGGCCAGCTCGTCACATATGGCGGGATGTCCAAGCAGCCAGTGTCTCTGCCAACCTCACTTTACATTTTCAAAAACATTGCCTCAAGGGGCTTCTGGATGACGCACTGGACCAAAGAACACGCTGAGCCGCGCAAACGCATGATCCTTGATCTTCTCGACATGTACAGACAAAACGAACTCAAACTGACTGGTATCAAAACGCACGCCGTCAAGAGCGATGCTGAAGAAAAGGACTTTTTGGAGGGATTCCTCAAGGCTCTCGGTGAGCCGGGAAAGCAGGTTCTCTTGGTCGACCGCTAATCTCCTTTCCTGCTTATCTCTGTAGCTATATCTTCTACAAAAGTTTATTAAAAAATTTAAACTCAGCTCTGTTAAGTTATGTTGCAAAACCATCGTTTCAAGGCCCTGAGATTCCTATGCATGGAGGTTGACTTAGGTCTAGGGCTGGCGATGAAATCTTAGCACGTGTGTGCTGTCTGGGGTGGGCAACTTGGGTAGAAGAATGGGTTTGATCAAATACGGATGAGCACTGACAGCCCAGACCTGCCAGCCGGTTCGTCTCTGCTAACGTCGTAATCTCAGCGTTCAATGGCTCACTCCCCGACCGCTATCTCATGCACATCGTCTCCCAACTCTAGATTTTGGAAAGTTAGAAATATGCTGGTCAAGCCCTGCATCACCAACGCACATGCGTGGTGGGCATAGCGGGCTGCATAGAAACATCACCCAACAAATAATCGAATAAGATGTTCAGCAGTGCTTGCTGGGCCCGCATAGCGGCGACAGATCCTCCGCATGTTTCATGGACCATGCATATTGCTTAGAAAAACAGGAATTGAGGCGATCACCACACCGGCAATCCGATATGTGTATGAGTACAGCATGCCCCAATCTCCAGCATCGGCAAGGGCTACTACCGATGTTGCAGATAGCCTGATGACGCAATGTTGACACAAAAAAAGCTGCTTTTCAGGCTGAGTGCATTGGGTCGAGTTTTTCCTTGTGGTCTGTATTGTGGAGCAGCTATCCCCCAACTGCCAAAATGCCTGCTACTCGCAATGCATAATTTCTAATAGCATAACCCCTGCCCTTGTCTCCGAACCCGCAGATACGCAGAAGGTACGGCAGACCTCACGGCATAGGCGAATGTACTAAAATCGAGGGCTTGGCTCAACCAAATTGCCTGGGGATGTGTTGCACCGTAGTCGGAATGGCTGAAAAAACACGCACTGACCGAAATAGGTTCTACCGCGGACCGGTACCCGCCCAGCGCTGCTCCCTGCACCCTTGCGCCAAGGTTTCTGACTTGCAGACAGAAGGTTGCATCTGTGGATCCGGGTAGGGGTTTGTGCGCCTTCTAGGCGTTCTCCACTTGTTCCTGGCTGGTGACATTTTGATCTGTGCTCTCATTCGATGTCTACACCGCTCCGGCACGTTGTCCCATGTCTTACAGTGCATACCCCGCATTGAAATTTTTTGCGCTATGGCACTACTATCTTCACAACGCATTCCGGTATTAATTTCGACCCTTGCCCCACGTTATTTTTCTCGCAAGGCCCTATCAGCGGCTGTTTCAGTGCCTTGTGTATGTCTATGCATCAGCCAGAGGCGGGTACACACAGCCGGAGCACAAGGTCCGCGCAAAACACCCCATCTTTTCGCTACCATCAGCAACAACGTCTATTATGACTATTTTTTTCTCTTTATTGAACCTGGCCCAAGCAATATTCAGTCAACACACGTACATACATAATGCGAGGTAATCCCTTTTAGATGTTGACGGATAGGGTTTGACGCCCGCAGGTGGGGGGCACCTAAGTGCACCTTTAAAAAGCCATCTCGCTAGGGGGCGTTGAAGACTTCCCGACGCCATTTATTGCTGAGTTGTGAACAACCTGAAAACGTGCTTGTGACCCTCGGTAGGGTGTTTGACTTAATCAAGGGCTTGTTGGCACAGTTACTTTCCCGCCCCTCGCACACACGCATCTCCGACCAGAGCATTTTCTTGCATATTCTCTAATTTTCAGGGCCCCATACTAGACGTTTTCTTTGGTTGATTCATTTCTGAACCATCCAATATTCCCAAGACGTTTATTGCATAAATATTAGACCGCGTCGCCTGATTCTCCTCACCCTTTCTTTGGAAGGAAACGACCTAAAAAATGTCTGTTTCGGTGTCATCTACAACACTCTCGCCAGCGGCAATACAAGAAGCGAGAGCTGCCCGTTTCCTCCAAGGCATTTGGAAACGAGTCAAGCCCATGACGCACCATAACGATCTGCTGCTGGTGGTAGACTCTGCCCGCAACTTGATGTGGTTTTCCCATCATGAACAGCGTATTCTTGCTAGCGACATTCATACAGAGGCAAAGCTCAAGGCAGCACTCGAGTCTTGCATGCCCAACAACGATGAGTTGCGAGCATTGCTGTGGAAGGTAATCTCCCATTTTGAAGACGCTGCGGCCCCGATGAACTCCGGTGTATACTCTTTCGGTGGCCTCGATTATCTTTGTCGTGGTCATTGTTTGCTCAACAATGGACACAGACTCGTTGCTCTTGTTTTTTCTCCGGCAGACCATGAAGCGGAGAATCTACTCATGGATTTCAGCGACGAGAGCTCTAGCTCCGTGAACCGAGCCTCTGATTTCGACGCAAACGGCGAATTCACGGCATCAAAGGCCTCGTCAACTATGCCTGGCTCTTATGGGTCGTTCAATAAGGGAAACGACCGGGGTGGTATGCACGAGTTCTTCCCCCGTATGTCGCACTCTGAAGTCACCTATTACTATTCGCTTCTGCCCCGTAGCGAAGAAGGGCACTATAAACATACAGATCGGGCTAGTGCCGACAAGTTCACCGCCCAGGCTGCCTCGGCAGTGGATGCTGAAATTCAAGACCCCGACGAGGCTGTTCCTGAAGTTCAGTCCTCAGTCAGACGGTTCAGCACAGTGAACGCCGACGGCAACGACGACGGACAGGGCCGTCCGCAGGCCCCAACTATACGCAAACCTACCTCGTCGGTCGCTCCCGGCCACTCTTGTCAGGAGTGCGGTACCACCCAATCGCCCGAATGGCGAAAGGGCCCCAACGGCTCCAAAACGCTCTGTAATGCATGCGGCTTGCGCTACGCTAAGCGGCTCCGCCAGCGATAATTTTCTTGTTTATTTTTCTCTGCCTTGTAGTGTAATGTGCTATTTCAGTCTCAACGACTATTTCAGAACCTCATCGCGTAAGCAACCTCAATTTTGTAAACAAACCATCCCTTCAGCAAGAACCCGACCCACGAAGGAAAATGGAGCCCAGTAGCAATGCAATGCCAGCAACTAGCACGAAAATAGCCGCCACTACCGGGGCCGTGCCTGAAAGCCACAGCGTAACGAAGCGCCTGCAGAACGAGCTGATGCAGCTGATGATGTCTGCGCCGCAGGGAGTCTCTGCGTTTCCTGAATCGGACGCCAACCTGCTGGTATGGGCTGGTACCATTGAGGGCCCCAAGGATACATATTACGAGGGCCTGACGTTCAAAATTTCCCTGGAGTTCCCGCAGAACTACCCCTACTTTGCCCCCAAGATCAAATTCGTCAGTCCAATGTGGCATCCCAATGTCGACATGGCAGGCAACATTTGTTTGGATATTCTTAAAGAGAAGTGGTCCGCTATTTACAATGTTCAGACTATTTTGCTCTCGTTGCAGTCACTGCTAGGTGAGCCCAACAACTCTAGCCCTCTAAACGCCCAGGCTGCCCAGCTCTGGGACCACCCTGAAGAATACAAAAGACTACTGCTTCAGCGCTGCCAAGAAGACTAGCACAGTCACTGCAAATCGCCTGGAGCGGTTGTTCATCTAATAAAAAACTTGCTATAGCATCTGCATCGCTAAATAAATATTGTAACCCTACGCCTCCTGTTCAAACGGGCAGTGCCTCCGGGGGCTCGGAAGCTGGCTCGGACGGCGCTTCGGACACCAATTCTGACCGAAGCTCTGAGCTGGGCACGTTGTTTTCTGGCAGAGCTGGCTCCTGTTTAACCTCCGGGACGTTGGGGTCGGTCTCGCCCTTCCAGGAGACCACGTCGAATGGTACGCCTGTAAAGCTACGAATTTGCAGCGTGGACTTGGTCCATTTGCGGCAGGGAACGCCGCTGCGATCCAATGCTCGGACAACAGAGCCGCCCACGGCGGGCGCCGCTTTGCCAACTACCTTGGGGGTGTCCTCGAGCTCCGTGGTTGCCTGCCGCTTGGTGGGGCGTTTGCGTGGCTTTTTGGGCGTCTCTTTTATTGACTTCAGGGCCTCTGGCTGGGCCTTCAGAATCACCACCTTCGTCGTCGACATTGACTGATGACAAAAGAGGCCCAAAAAAGACCTGGCTAAGCAACGGCAACGGGGCCAAATCTGAGAGAAAAGTAGGTAATAAAAAGATTAATCGTGATTTATACATGCTAATAAATAATAGGGTCTTTACAAGTATTTGGAGAAAAGGCTGTCTTCAAGCCAGCCAACCTTCTCAAAGGCGCCAAACAGCCGCGAGGCTTTGTTAACGTCAATGCGGCACGCCTTTTGTGAATCAGTGCGTCGGAATGGCAGGCCTTGACGCAGACGGTGCACCTTCTCGGCAAACAATCGTCGCTTGGAGTCGAGGTACACCTCTGCAGGCAGACGCAGCACAGAAGCCAAATGAACCTCTGCAGGATGAAGCAGGTGCACATCGGGGTCCTGGCTGAGATCCATGGGAGCACCTTTCCACTCGGCTCGCAACGAACGGCCGGGAGGCAGGGTGCTCACCGAAGGGGAGTAGTCGTCGATCTGCGAGAGATTGAGATCATGGACGCGAACCGGGGAGGCAGTTGATGCCCGCTTCTTGGGAGCTCGTGACTTGGGAGTGGACACGGTGCCGGCACTAATGTCGTCGTCGCTGCTGGGCTCTGCGCCAGAAACCGGCACGCCGGCAGAAGCAGCACGCGACCGAGTCAGCACCGAGTCAGAGCCCGAAAGCTCCATTTCTGAGAGCATGCGGCGAACACGCTGGCGGGGCTTGCGACGAATGCGGGTCTCCGGGGCTGCCTCCACGTAGAGGTAATTGGACCAAGACGGACGGTGCACCGGGTACAGGCTAAGGTAGTCGCGCTCCTTCTTGTAGAACTTGGCAGGAGAAGACAGCATAGCGTCCCAACAGGTGACCATTTTACGTTTTCGGGGCTCAATCTCGCCAATCGAGCACTGCGAGGCGCTGGGTGTCGATTCCTTGCTGAAGGTCTCCGGGGTGCCTAAAGTTCTGGAAGCATCGGTGGGTCCAGGCAAAGAATCACGCAATTTCAACGGTCCATTGAAGCTAGCCAGGTCCGGATACGGGGACAATGGCGGCGAGAGCATACGAAAAGAAACTTCAGAGATAGCCATGCTGGGAAAGTATTAACGCGGGGCAAAGACGGGAGGAGGAAAAAATAACCAAAGGGGGGAGGTCAATTGAGCAATTGCTAGAGTAAAAGGTCTTTTCAAATTGAAATGAATGGGTCAGTTGGAGAGTATTGCTTTGATGTGGCAATTGATCGGTTCAACTAAATTTGGAAAAAAAGGAAGACTAGTGTGATTTTGATTATATATGAGTTTTTCACTTTTTTTTTGTCCTGCACGCTTGCTGACACACCATTGTTATCGAACTTCCTGCATCACGCGCGGATATTGGCAAATTTGACTCCGAAACGAGAGAAATAAGATTGCGAAATTAGGTTTGTGACCTGAGATTGATTTGTAGTCTGGGCAGAGACCTTTTTTAGCGGCTCTACTCTGCTCAATGCCATTCCGGCCGAGTTCTTCCGATCACGAGTTAGGGCTTTAGCATTAGTAACGACGAACTTCGGCAATCGAGTGAATTGCACTCAAACCGCATTTAGTGGCTAAATTCAAGCAATTGAGGCTCTGTTTTTTTGTATGTGGTTTTTATATAATGCGGCTATTGGTATGCAAATTTTTAGCGTGAAATCTTGACAACTAGAGCCTTGGATTCACCAGGAGGTTCTTGCATCATGGGGTGGCTCGGAAACACCAAACAAATTTTTCAGGGCACGGAAATTAGGGCACAACCCGCATGGTGCATCCAAGCATTGCAAAACAAGTGGGCGCAAACTGAGGCCTACGATGAAAGACATATGATAAACCGGTTTTTAACTACCTTAGCGAGTAATAGATATATGTAGCCTTCAGTTCGTGCCCATTCCACACCTCAATTGACTCGGGGCACTTGTCTAAACGCACCTCCCAGAAAGCGCATTGGAAGGCTCGGGAGATGATATGCATCCGCGAAATCTGCTTACTTCAACGTCGGGCCAATTTCCAGGAACCCCATTGGAGAAGCCGACTTGAGATCCAATTAATTCAGCAGATAGTTTTTTTATTGGATATATGCTAGGAGCTTACTTTAATCCACAATTGGTGTCGTCTCATCCGCGTTTAACTCTATACGTACTTATGCACGCCCGAAACGTCGCTACGTCAGGAGGTATCACTTACGCTTGACGCGGTATGTCAGGGCGAAACAAAGTTTGAGGAAACGCTTTCTGCCGTGGTAATTGTTTCAGGAACGTAGCTTGCTATGTTTTAATTCTTTAGTTTGCAGTTCATGTCGGAACTCCGGCCTGCTGTAGACCCTGCATAGGCATACGTCGACTTCTGCGGCCTGGGCCTGTTTGCCCAAAACCACTCGCAAAGGAACAAAAAAACCCGCCCACTGCCCCTTAGCCCGCCGATATAGTACCCGTTCCCAATAATTGTCAGACGTCACCTCTAAATCGCCACTCACAACGCCGACTCATTGTTGGGCCAAATCGTGACTAAGTCGGCTGGCTTTGAACCCCACGTTCGTTTGAAAAAAATACCAAATTGGGCTTCGCAATGCAAGGTGAGGCAGCAGTCGGGACCGGCCTCGCCCAGTTTGAACTCCAACATCCGGCAGCCATTACGATAAATACTGAAGGCGCATTCATTGACCCGGTCGATACCACCCACGACGACCTCAACATTTTACTGCCTAACCATGACAAGCGTGTTTCGCATGTCTCTATAGATATTGGCGGTTCTCTGGCGAAAATTGTATACTTTACAAAGAACCACGCGGGTCGCGGCGGCCGTTTGCACTTCATTTCCTTCGAAACTGAGAAACTAGAGCAGTGGCTGTCTTTTCTCGAACAGCTCGCCGCTCAGCACCCCAAAGACCGCCGCGTTCGCGTCGTTGCTACGGGGGGCGGCGCTTACAAGTACTATGATCGTATTCGCAGTCGTCTCGACGTAGAAGTGGGGCGTGCAGACGAAATGGAGTGCCTTATTGCCGGCACCTCGTTTTTTGTTGAACGCATCCCCAAAGAGGTCTTCAGCTACACTGACGAGACCCCCATGCTGTTTTCCGAGGTTCCTGGGAAATACCCGTACATGCTGGTTAATATTGGATCTGGTGTTTCTATTATCAAAGTAACTGGGCCCCAGCAGTTTGAGCGTATCGGAGGCTCCTCCTTAGGCGGAGGAACCCTGTGGGGCCTTTTGAGTCAACTTACACCAGCAAACTCTTATGAAGAAATGCTAGAAATTGCTTCTACTGGTGACAACCGCAATGTCGACATGCTGGTTGGCGATATTTATGGCTCAGACTACTCTCGCATCGGCCTCAAGTCTTCTACCATCGCCAGCTCGTTCGGCAAAGTGTTTAAACATCGCACGGAAAAGTTTGATCCAGCAGATATCTCACGCAGTCTGTTGTATGCTGTTTCAAACAATATAGGTCAACTTGCCTACTTGCACGCCCGCTACCACGAAATTGGAGATATCTATTTTGGCGGCTCTTACATCCGCGGCCACACGCAAACTATTCACACATTGGCCTACGCTATTCGATTCTGGTCAAAGGGTGAGAAAACAGCCTACTTTTTCCGCCACGAGGGCTACTTGGGCGCGGTTGGTGCATTCATCTCGCAGGACGGATTGATTGAATCACCGCGATCGAGCCCCGAGGCAGAGTAAATAAATAATTAAATTAGATCTGATAATTCTTGCCATTTTGAAGCATCTTTTTCTATCTCTGTGTGGGCGGACGGAGACTTTGTTGTTTGCTCAACCTGCTGGCAGTAAGCTAAAGTGGCCTGGTTTTGCTTGGTCAATTGCTCCAGCTCTTGTTGTGTTTCCTTGATACTGGCCTCTATTCTCTGCAAAACGGCTTGCTGGGTGGCCAGACGCGTCTGTTGTTCTTCCGTCGACTGCACGGGTGAAATAAGCCCGTTCAGCTGGTGCTCGAGCTCGTCCACCCGCTTTGCTAGGTCGTCGTCGGATCCAACAGCCTGCACGTCGTGCAATTCGTCTTCAATCTGTGCCACGCTTTTCTGGACCGCCCACAGCTCACCGCGTAACACGTCCAGGTTCTCGGTTTCGGCTAATGAAGGGCGTCCGAGTTCAACAAGATCGGCCTTCTGCACCAATGCCTCGATCAAAGCAAACCTCACGCGCAGATTCAGGAAATGCCTGGCCATCTGTTTGTAGAGCTCATGCAGCTCACCCTGGCTCATCGGCTCGCTCGTAGCCAAAGCGTCGTTGTTCAACCCGCTCGACGCCATATTTTTCAATGGTTAGGTAAACCGCGGGGGAGGTTTGTTGCCTGGACATGAGCGAAAATATAAAGCACCGCAGCACAGTTATCAAGGATGTTGCGCCAGAGAGCATAAATATGCCAGAAAAGGATCTGTATAAACGAGACCCCCCAAAGCCACGACGGCCGACTGTGGACGTGATTGTGGAGATTCTTCAGAAACGGGATGGTAAAGACAAATCCATCAAGATCATCCAGTACACAGCGAAATTGATCATGATACTAGGCAAGACGCCGGCAGTGAGTTCAGCATACGCCAAGTACGGCCTTGACGCAAGGCTCAGCCCTTTAGCTCGTGAATTAAGCATGTTTCGGAAAGTGATCAAGTTGTTTGACTGGGTCAAAACACTACGGGAAATTCAAGAAGATGATGAGCTCGACTGGATTAGCTTGGTCGATCTGTACACAGAAATTATGGACGACCTATATTTTTATGCCAAAATCGGCGTGCTGGATAAACGACTAACTGATCGGTTTGCTCGCCAGGCAGATATCGGCTGGTTCATTACTATTTTCGGCAACCTCTATCGCAAGTCGCAGGTTTCTGTCAAGGGCAAAGCCTGGCGTCTCGATGTCGCAAAGCTTCTTTGTGATCTGGTGTTTTGTACAATCGACGTGTTCGAAATTCCGGCCGACGGAAGCTGGCAAATAGTCTCCGGGTTGGCCAGTGCGTCAGTCGGCTATTATAAAATTTGGCGTAAAGTCTGCATCTAGAAAAATCTCTAACTAATCACTTTTTTCTCTCGAAGACTGGCAATCTTGTCGCCCAGTCCGAATTCATTGAGAATCTCGTCAGTGTGCTGACCCAGCGTAGGCGGGGCCATGCGGATTTCGGGCTGGGTCTCGGACCACTTGATCGGAGAGTTTACGAGCTTGAGGGCTCCGCACAATGGGTGATCGACCTCAACCACCATGTTACGTGCCTGGGCTTGGGGATGCTCCAGAGACGCCTTGACGTCATTGATCGGGGCATAAGGGAATGGCTTGCCTTGCCATTCGGATTCCCACTCTTTTGTGGTCTTTGACCGAGTGAGTTCGTTCATGGCAGACACCAGTATATGACGGTTCTGCACACGGGCCGAGTTGGTGATGAAACGCTCATCATTCTTCCACTCGGGCTTGCCAAGAGCATCGCAGACATGGCGGAACAGATTATCGTTACCACCGCCAATCATAATGCTGCCGTCTTTAGTTTCAAATGCTTCGTAGGGGCAGATTGAGGGATGAGCAGTACCCTGGCGACCAGAGTCCGGCTTGCCACTGACCAACACACTGCTGGCGATGTTTGCCAAGTTGGCCAGCTGAACGTCCGCTAGCGCACAGTCCAAATGCTGGCCTTTTCCACCGTCCGCAACGTGTTTGAGAGCACCCATCACTGCAATTGTAGTGTACATGCCGGTCATCAAGTCGGTAACGGCAACACCGACTTTCACCGGCTGGCCATCAGGCTCACCGGTGATATGCATGAGCCCGAATTCGGCCTCGACCATAACGTCGTACCCAGGACGTTTGGCCCAGGGACCAGTCTGTCCGTAGCCAGTAATACTGGCGTAGACGAGGTTGGGATTGATTTTCTGCAACTGCTTGTACCCCAAGCCGTATTTTTCAAGACCTCCGGGGAGGAAGTTTTCCAACAACACGTCAGACTCAGCAACGAGTTGCTTGATAATTTCTTGGCCTTCGGGTTGTTTGAAGTCTACAGCCAAGGATCTTTTGTTGCGGTTCGAACTAAGGTAGTATGCGGACTCGCCATTGGAAAATGGAGGACCCCATGCACGGGTATCGTCACCCCGCACCGGATGCTCAATTTTCAGGACATCGGCACCGAGATCACCAAGAATCTGGGAACAGTATGGTCCAGCAAGAACACGCGTGAGGTCAACCACACGGATATTGCTCAAAGGCAGCTTAGATGTGCTAGCGTACCGCCGAAATATCGGAACAGCTCGAAGACGTTGAGAGATCATTGGACAGTGTGGGGGGGGTGTTACTCATCGTTATAAGGCGGGCTCTGAATTTGGTAACTCGTTGCGGCTGGGAGGTTAATGGAAAGCTGGGGTGAAAGCATAAATGAACGGTGAATGAGCAGGCCTCGACGAGCACCCGCGAGCAGCCACGAGCAGCCACGAGCACCGACGATCATCGAGCAGCATCGAGCAGCACAAACGAACATCGAACGGAAATAGGAACAGGAGAGCACCAGTGCTCGACTGAGGCATCTCCGATCAATTCAAAAACCTGGCTGAATCCCGAAACCTCGTCTCTTCCCGTCACCAGCTCGTGTCTGGCCGACTCGCTGCTTTGTTGCCTCTTAGTCAGCAAGGCCAGATAGTCCCACCAATAATTGCCCACCCCTTAACCAGAAACAAGTGACAAAAAAATGGCCGCCGTTCAACAAGCCGCCCGTAGTGACAAGATTCTTAGCGAAAAGTGGGACGCCGCCCTGTCCAACGGTATCGTTAAAACCGGCCTCGGCTTCGGTGCAGGCGTCGTCGCCTCGGTGCTCTTCTTCCGCCGCAGAGCATTCCCCGTGTGGCTAGGCACCGGCGTGGGTGCTGGCCGCTCCTGGGCCGAGGGTGACGCTCTTTTCCGCGACACCGCTATTCTTTCTCAGGAATCGGGCGTTCGTCAGGTCTCTGCCTAATTTATTCCTCTTCCGGAACAGCATGTAATGAACCCTCTCTGGCTTTTTGTAAAAGAATAATAACGTTCTGAACTATAGTACTTGGGCCCCGTATTTGTTGGCCGTTTAACAAGCATTGCATACTAGCTGGAAGAATGCATTTACGCACAGCGTCATGATAACGCTCTGCCAAAACCAGGTGCACCACCAGCACATGTAGTTGCGGGCCCTGTGATCTTCTTTGGACGGCTGCTGCTGTTGCGGCGGCTGTTGGTAGTAGCCCTGCTGTGGCGGTTGGTTATAATTAGGCGCACTGGGCTGGTTGTAATTAGGTGGAGGGGCTTGGTTGTAGTATTTAGACATGGTGATAGTAAGAAGTTAGATGATGGGACCAAAGTCATGTTCGGATGACTTCAGCCATTCGGCCATGACACCCACAGTCTGCTGTTATTCTCGAACGTTTGCTAGACTATTTCTTGACTATTGCTACGTTACGGCTGTAAACTACCTGACATAATGTACGGTGCGATTGAATCACGTTTCGCAGATGCGGTCAAGTCTGGAAACTTAATCTTTACTCAAACAACCCAGATTCCGGCCAAGTACAATGGTGTAGACGTCATCTACACGCTTGCTCCGGCGTTGGCCAAAAAGCCAGGTAAGGCCGAGGTCGAGAAGAACAGCTCCGACCCAGCCCAAAAAAGCCCTTGGCTGCCTCCCCAGGAAGATCTGATCATTGAAAAGCAGGAAAAATACACTGTGGTTCTCAACAAATTCGCCGTGGCAAAGTACCATTTCCTGCTGGTGACCAACGAGTTCGAAAAGCAGACAAAGCCGTTATCGCCAGGTGACCTCAGAGCTGCCTTTGATTTGTTGAAAAAGGCCAACTCCGAGAGCGGCAAACGCCATATTGGATTTTACAATAGTGGCACCAATTCCGGCGCGTCCATCCCTCACCGCCATGTCCAGTTTTTGACCCTCCCCGACTCATTTGTGCCCTTCCCGGATCAAACCCCACGTGCCCGCAAGGCCAACATGCCCGCATCAGACACCCGAGTGCCATTCGCTCACTTCATTGCCCATCTAGACAACACAGACGACGAGGAGCTGTTGGCCGACAAGTACATGCTCGCCTTGAGCCGAGCAATCACAACCTGTGCTCGCCATCAAGTGCCGCTGAGCTACAACCTTGTTTTCACAGAGCAGTGGATGATGGCTACCCCCCGCTTCCAAGACAAAGTCAACGATATTAGCATCAACTCGCTTGGAACCATCGGTCTCATTCTAGCAAAATCAGACGAGCAGCTCAAGTATGTCGAAAAACATGGACTCGGTCTACTCGAAGAATTGGGATTCGCAAACGTTCCGGAGCCTGAGGGAGCCACTGAAATTGATGATGGGTATATCAAATATTAAATATGTACATTTATTTTGGCGCTCCAAACGCAGACAGCAAAAGGGCCGTGGCCACACTGACATTCAGCGAATCGATTTGCTGTCCAACCGCCTCAAGAGCCGTGCGATGCGTACTACGCTGCAGCAAACTCGTTCGAATACCTTCGCCTTCGGATCCTACAACAAGCAAACAGGGCCCGTCTTCCAAGAGCTTGGGCAGCTCTTCGGGCAAAACAGCAGGGAGCTTGTGTCGCGAAGAAGGCGTGGTGGACGAGATAACGTTCCAGTTGTTCTTTGTGAGATTCTCAAAGAATTTCAGGGGCTGAGGAACCTCCAGTATGGGGAGAAACTCAGCAGCGCCCGCGCTGGCTTTGACGACCTGAGGAGAAATTGGCGCACAATTGCGTCGTGAAAAACTCACAAAATCAACTCCAAACCAGTACGCTGATCTCAAAATAGCCCCCATGTTGTGGGTATCAGTGACTTCATCAATGTAGAGCCCTAAAGGATTGGTGCGTTTCGGCTTCAGTTTCAACTCCTCGCCAACGATGATATCGTCCGCAACAAGAGGCAAGTCAACCACTGAAGGAAACTCTCGCTTGTGAACGGTCAACACGTATTTATTGTGCACACCATTGTTGGTCAAAATGTTCAAGTGCTGGGCCGGCACAGAGGTGACAACTGGTACGTCTAGATCTGAGCATTTTTTCATGATCGCAATATCTGTGTCGGCACTGCGATTACCACTGTACAATTTTACTGCTTGACGAGTCTCCAGTGCCGCCAGCACAGCCGAAGTTCCAAACATATGCTCGAGCCGGGAATCCTTGTCCATCTGGGCTTTGATCCGCTCAGCAAATAACTTATCAGGTTTGGGCGCCGGAACTGCAATCTTCTTGGAGCCGCCTTCTCGTTTTTTTTTGGCGTTCTGCTCCTCTTTGCGACGCTGAAGCTGCTTTGCATGAACATGTGCATACTTGTCTCTGAAAAAGCTGTCCTTGTCTTGGCCATCCCAAGCTTTCTTAGGTGCCTTGGGGTTGACAAACAAATCGTCGAACCGCTTGCCGCTGGTTTTGAACGGTGCCTTTGGCGCCCATCTGAAAAGCGAGCTTTTCATTGAAAATTTCACTCAATGATACAGCAAGGCGAGCGAGGGGGGTTTTATCACCGGCGTGGAGGGGGGACTCTCGTTAGTCAGCAACAAAAACCACCCAATCAGCTGGCCGACTAATCAATTCAAACTCATCCTCATGTCGACATATACTCAGTTGGAGGCCATCTCCAAGTTCATTTTGTCCAAGCCCATGCTCAAGAGCGTGTTTGTTCCGGCTTCGCGTGTCTTTGTGAACCTCGGCGGCTACCGCAAGATGGGCCTCAAGACCCAGGACCTGTTCTGGGAGGAGAACGAGGTCATGCAGACCGCCCTCCGTCGTCTGCCCGCCGAGGACTCTTACAAGCGTGTTTACCGCATTGCAACCGCTTTCCAGGCCTCGCTCACCCAGCAGCTTTTGCCCAAGGACCAGTGGATCAAGCCTGAGGAGGACACTGACTACCTCATCCCCTACTTGCTCGAGGCCGAGGCCCAGATTAAGGAGCGCGAGGAGCTCGACAACATTGTCGTCAAGCCTCGTTCTCTGTAACTTTCTGTACAAAAAAAAACTATACAAATCTCATAAATATTTGCCCAACGGCATGCTAAACACGCTCGTCGATGGCTTTTAGGGCGGCTCCAAACTTTTCCAAAAGCGCCCCTAATTGTTCTTTGACAATCATGGGTTGTGTTTGATCCAGCAGAACACCAAAGTCTACTTTTGGCATAGTTGGGAACTCTTGGTGGGCCGCTGCGTACGCGTTTGATCCCTCGGCAAGCGATCGGGGCGGCATAAGAATGTGCATTGATTGTGAAGGCTTCGCAGGCGCTGGCCGACGAGGAGGTGATCCTCGTTTGGGAGATGGCGACCGTCTTCTAGGCGGCGCGGGCATGGCAGGTATCGAGGGCCCTGCTGCTGCGACTGGTTGTGGTGATGTTGCGTTAGACAATGCTCTGAACGCACGGGTGGGTAATTGCTGAGTGTGGGGGAACTTTGGTGTGTCCAGGGGTATTTTGCTGAGGTTACCTGACGATGGCTGGCGAGCTGCAGGCGTTATCACGCTCCCCGGTGTGAGCACGGGGAAATAAGGATTCACGTTAGAGGCGGGCGATGCCAAGCTAGCTCCCGGAGTGGTGCCGAGAGGCGGAACTCCAGAAGTTACTAAACCAAGCCCGCCGGGTGTTTGCTGGCCATTTGTTGGCGAGCCTGGATGCTGCACCCCTGTACTAACAGAAGATGAAGGGCTTCGGAGTTTCTGCGGTTGGGGCATGACCGGTTGAGATCCCATTCTAGGGAACTGCCAGCCTAGAGACATGCCTCCGGTATTCGACACTGAGGTGGCCCTCGACCGAGCATCAACTGAAGCCATCGCGCTTGCCGCCCCACTGACAACTGCGGCAGCAGTGGCAGCAGACAGAGCGGCAAAGTGAGAACCTGGTTTGGCCGTAGCACCAGGCGAGACGGCAGCAGACTGGATTGCTGATTGTGCTGCTGAAACCGCAACAGAAGGCGAATTTGTAGGCAGTTGCGGAGGGAAAAACGAGTGGTCGGGAGGATCAACGGGATTCTCGATGCCGAAGAGCGCCTGAATAGACGCCGGTGCGTCATCGAGGCCCTCAGAAACCTCAGGCCTCGTATTTGTATCCTCATCGACGTTGAAATCCCAAACCGTATCCTCGCCGTCTGATTTGAGCCCATCGTCGTTCTCAGCTTCCAGGTTGGCCTCATGCTCGTTCATCAACACTAACGAGTCTCGAGCATTGGCATTCTGCTCCTTCCATCGAGCGTAACGTATCGTTAGCGCGTGCAAAACGGTTGCTGATGTTTTAGCAAACGCCTTAACATACTTGTGTTTGGAAAGCTCGTCGGCACTAGGTCTCGAGTCGGGGTTTTCGTCAAGACACTGAGCAACGACGTCCTTGATCAAGGCAGAGAACCTCAAACCTTCCAGGCGCGGTGGCTGTGACTTTGCAATCAACATCATCGCCCTCATGGCTTCGTGGTCGCTGTACGGAGGGTTTCCAGTAGCCAATTCGTACATTGTGATCCCTAGGGACCAAATGTCAGCTTTATTGGTATAGCTTTGGCCTTCAACAATCACTTCTGGAGCCATCCAGTACGGCGTGCCAACCATGGTCATTCGTTTTGTGGAGTTTAGCGAGGTATCTGCAGCGACCCCAAAGTCACAGAGTCTCACATACCCCTCGCTCGTAATTAGTACATTTGCCGCCTTGATATCCCGATGTATAATACCCTTGGAGTGAATATAGCTAATTGCAACCAGCAGCTCACGCAAAATGATGGACAAGTGCTTATCCTCGAGCGGCCCCGGCTTGATCAACGTCCGCATCGACCCTCCTGCACATAGATCCATAACAATGCACAGCTTCGTGCCTAATAAATAAGAGCCATAATACCGCGTGATGTTCGTATTTGCCGTCCTCGAGAGCTCAGACAGCATGGCAATCTCTCGCTGAACGTCTTCAACCTCGTCGTGAACCGTGTCGAGGTTCAGCTCTTTGATGGCAACCACATGCCGCGTTTCCAGAGAGTACGCCTTGTACACAACTCCGAAATTACCTCTCCCTATAATGTCTCTTCTCAGAAACCCTTCGGGGTTTGGCGATGGGGTCATTGTCATAAAACAAAAAAATCACCGATGGCGCTTGCAAGGGGGCTAGGTCGGAGATACTGATATGTCAGCAGGTCAATAATTTTTTTTAAAGTTTAACTAGCATATTCAGGGGGGCGTGTTTAGGCGTTTTCGCGGTGGTTTTCGCGGCTTTTGGATCCCGTACCGTAGTTGGTGCTGCTATCTGCCGCTTTAGTGAGAGCGTCCGCGCCGGGAGACTTTGTAAGAAATCTTTTGAGTTATATATATAGAAGCATGTAACGACGTCTAGCGGAGGACACCCTTTGTTGACGGCACATCATTGTTGCCGGAGCTCGAGATTGACTCCCTGATTGCTAGGGCCAGAGCCTTGAACGCACTCTCTGCGCGGTGGTGGTCGTTGAACCCCCGCAGACAGTCGACATGCATAGTAATCCCTGCTCCTTGGGCGAAGCTCTCCAGGACGTGGGGGATCATTTCGCAGCTGAGATCGCCGATTTTTTCCCGCTTGAGCCCAAGCTCAATCACAGCGTAGGGGCGGTTGGACAGATCGACAACAGCCCGAGAAAGAGCCTCGTCCAGGGGGGCGAAGCCAGTGCCGAACCGCTTGACGCCTCTAACCGCACCGAGAGCCTGCTTGAAGGCCTGTCCGAGCGCGATACCGCAGTCTTCCGCAGTGTGGTGGTCGTCGATGTGCAAATCACCTGTGCATTCAAGCAGCAGGCTCCAGCCCGAGTGCTTGGCCAGGGCATGCAACATGTGATCTAAAAAGCCAATGCCGGTGTTCACATTGATGACCTGGCTAGAGGTCGTCTGGGCGGCGACCTCGCTTTTTTCAGCGCCCTCGAGCTCAATATGCCCGCCGTCAAGCGACAGGGCCACCTTGATTTTGGTTTCGTTGGTATCTCTAGAGAACACTGCCGAACGCATGTCAGATGAGTCAGAGAAGCATCACACTGGACACAGGCCAGGTACCAGTACCTCGTCAATCCAGTGCTTGATGACTAGCTTGCCCTCGCGGAACGAAGACTTGTTGGCAAAGCGGACAATTGCTGCCGCGTGGGCGTGCTTGTCCAAAGAAATATGGACGGGGTGCTTCTCCCACTTTACTTTGTTGAACGACTCATAGATCCGCTGCTGGACAGAACTGAACGCCAGTCTCTCATCCATGCTAACAGCACTATACATGCGTTCTACCAGGCTGTCGGCACCGTCTTCCAGCATATCCTCAATTTGGTAGTTGGGCACGTGCTCACCCCTCTGCACCATTGACCGAGTTCGGAAACTCGACAACGTAGTTTGGTAGCCAACATTGAATAAAAAGGCCACAAACCAGATCGGAAGTATAAACCCGACCCGTAGAGCAGTGTATAAAATCACCAGCGCCCGTTTGGGCCAATTGAGCCAGGCTGGAATCCGTTGGGGCGGGGGAGGAGTCTGCTCGCTAAACTCTGCCTTTACCGTAGACAGCACCACTGGTGCGTATCCAGGCACAAACTCGCCAGAAATCTGACTGGCTCGGCCATGAAACGGATCGACATTCTCCACTGCGGCAGTATAGTACTCACAACGCCGGTCGTTGACTACGTTTGCATACAACACCTTGCGTGTGAACAGCGCCAGAGCCTTGGCATACGGTGTACTGGGATCTAGCATATGCTCGAACAATGGGGTTCCTGATTTCTCGTTGGCATCACGCAAAAAGACTTGACGTGACGTTCTGGCCATGGAGTATGATCCAATGAAATTGAATATATTCGCCGACAGTTGACCGCCCAGCACATTGACACCAAGGTGAGGTGTGAACATGGTCGTCATGGTTCCAGGAGCTACCTTATCGAACAGACCCTGTGTATACAGTACGCCTGCAGCATAGCGGACCATTAAACCACCCATTGAGTACCCCATAAGGCTGAGAGAATCGACCGAGACTCCTGCGGCTTCCAAGCTATCAATGGCAGAGACAATTTCGCTGGAGACGCGAGTTCCGCAAACGTCAATGCCATCGTAGGTGAAATAGCCCGTATTCGAGCGGGCTCGATAGAAAATGGCATTGGGGGGCGACCCTGACCAGCTAAGAGGCACGCTGGTGAGCGAATGTAGTTCCTCTATTCCGCGCTTGTCCAATTCCTGCGAAAGGTACGTGAAATGGGAAATATTCCCCCACATTCCGTGGCATAAAATCACCAAATGAACCATTTCAAGTGTATCAAGCTGACGTTCCGCTTAGCTAACGGCGGCCTGTTGATCGCGGGCAATTTATCTTCCACTGGCCGGCCCGGCTTGGCAAACTATATTGAGTCTGATAGGAAACGTTAGTGAATAGTTCAAAAATGCATTTAAATAGATTTTTAGTTGGCTCGGCCAAATATCGCGGCCAGACTCCGACGCCGGCGGTGGTGGTGTCGCGGTTTCTGAGAAAGGCCATTTTCTTTGTCGGTTTGACGTGAGGAGGACGAAGAATAGCCTGAAAAGCTGTCTTCAGAAGTGCGGGCCACTAGAATCGACGGGCTCTCAATGGGGTCCATGATTGCTAGCTTGGGGACGCTGCGTATCGTGTCGAACTGGGGCGTGTGCACGGGCGACAGGCCTGAGCCAAACGTTCCAGCTGTGATAGTAATGTCTCCCTTTCCTTCTTCTTCTTCGTCTTCCACCTCGGCAACGGTGTCAATGTAGCTCAGCCGCTTGGATATTTTTGAAAACGGGCTTTCGTGGCTCATTGGTGCCTCGGCCAAAATGTGGTCCGATGGAAACCGGCAACTCAGTGCTGCATTTAGATCAATTGTGGGTGGCTCGGGCTCTTCAAATGAGTGCCGTGGCGAGCTCAATGCTGGACTGGGCTGGAACCCAAACTGTTCCGGCGGTGTGTGAATTGAGCGAGCAAACGTCGCCGAGTTGCTGCCCAATTGCGGTGTTGTGCTGGGGCTATCACGTTTTTTCTTGCCAAACAAATTGGTGAATGATAGTCGCCGTCTTTGCCGCGTCGGCGACTCGGATAAACTCACGGTCGGGCTCGACGGCTCTGCCTTGTAGATAGGCGCCGGCGACATGAGAATTGGGGGCGCCAACTCAAGCGGCTGTGTTTTCGGTTTACGGATTTCAACAAACGAAACCCGCGGACCCTTTGACCGCGCCGATGGCGAGCCGCTGCACTCGAGCCCGCTGCAGCAGTCAGAGTCTGAGTTCTGGAGGACCGGAGATCGGGAAGGGCTGCGTTCAAACACGCTCGACGACATGCCCTGGCTCTTTACAAGTCCAGAAAAGTCCACGCCAGAGAGGTCCTCGGACACAGCCGCCGACCGGCGGTGGGCATGCCGGGGTCGTGCAGGGCGGGCAGCAGCCGTGCCATGAAAGCTGCTTGCCCTTTGGCGAAAATCGGTTGGTACGGCAGATAGATACTGCCTTTGTCCCGGGAAACTGTACTCGGAACTAAGTTCCATGGTTTGTGTCACCAGGTCAAAAATTTTGAAACAAGGGGAAATGGGGGTACGCCGAATAAAATATTTACCAAAAAAATGGGGGCGTACTGATTATCAAGCGCTACCGGCCTGGTGTGAATGGTCAGGACACGGGTAGCTCAAGTATGGTCTCGATCGGACAGGTAAAAACTGGACAACACCCTGAGCAAATATGCGCGAGTGGGTGTATACGGTGAATGGAAGGGCAAAAAGGTGTTTCTAGTGTCCTATGCAAAGTCCTTCGAGTGTCCAGTCCCAAACCGCTTTACCTCAACGTGTTCTGAGTGGCGGTCCAAGTGTGCCGTTTGAGACAGTGGATGGGAAAAACCTAACAAGACCAAATCGGGAGCGTGGTGTATTTGGTGCCTACCCATCCTATGTAGGTTAGGTAATCGGACGCATGCTGCTTTAGGTTGCCTGCAGCCAAGAAAGGCCCTGCTAGGTGTTCTTCTTTTTGGACGCGTGTTTCGGAAGCGAGTGAGTTTGCAGCGAGCTGTTGAACGCCCCGTCAATTTTCCGCACTGCCAAAGTGGTCTAGCTTGAATAGGTGGTGTATTTTCATGCAGTCTTTAAGGTTTGAGATTGGTTTGTTACAAATTTCAGGCGTTTCGGCGGAGAATACTGCACGCACATGCAGACGTTGGGAGAGCCTCTCCAGGGAATGTGCAACGAAAATCACTCATCTACAAGTACGGCCTGTTTCGTGGATGCGGTCATAACGGGTGTGGGGTCTAAACTACCAAAATTCTCTTATCAGCTCGCAAGTGCCGTACACAGGTGATCTTCCAATTTTAATGAAAATCCTGATCGATGCAGGCTCCCGATCTTTACCAAAAGTAAGAAGCTTTAGGCACTGCAAACATATCACAGCATCTCTGATATCGACTCATAATATGGGTAGGAGTTTGTTTTATTTTTACTATGGGCCTCGCCCCATGCGCCGGCTTGGCATAATTGCAGTTACAGTTTTTGGCAGCCACCCTGGCACGGCACCATGAATGACTTCTCGGATAGAGTGTCGGGTACTGCCCGTTGTAGTGGGTATTAATTGTGAGTCACAAAAGCGGCGTGTTGCTTCCTTTTCGCTTTATTGCCTTGCTGAGTCCCTATGCACTTAGGTAAGCGTTTGCACCTCATTTTGCATCATGTACACATGCGGGCACGCCGGAGAAGCTGTAATAATCATGTGTTTGCTTGTGGGGGCTCAGAATATTGACATGGGAAAATACCGACACTTTGCATGACCATAAGCTCGAACAGGGTGCCTGGATTCGCAGCCATCGTGAGAATCGTTCTGTAATCGGTGTCTTGTTCGTTCTTTGGGGCAACTGTGAGTATATCCAGATCACAAGAGGGTACCGCGCTTAACTTGTTGCCTCACCCGTACCCTGACAGATATGGAGGGAGTGGCCAATTAGGTAACTGGACTCATCATGTCTTCTGCATCATTGCACAGACAACAAGGATCGGGTCCACAACGTCTTGCACAGGGGCAACACGGCGCCGAAGGCAACAATTATCCGACTAGGCGAATAATCTAGTCTTTAAGTTCAGCATTGCAACAGCAGCAGAGCTCTCACCACGAAAGCAGAGTGCCAGTATTACGCTTAAATAATTTCGAGCGTTAACTTACATCAGCAGTCCTGATTCAGCCTTCCGGCCTCGTTTTTTCGCTTCTGTACATTGTGGACACACATTGGTGTACCCCGCATGTGCTTATATAAGTAGGTACACCAGGAACCCTGCAGTAACGCTCTTACTGGTCCCAACCGTTCGTCGCCCGAGCTGATTAGTAAGATAACTCGGCCGCCAAACAAAACCGGTAGCCTCTCTACTCGCTCGCTCGTGGCCACGCGCTTAGCATCCGATCACGTGAGTTGTGAACACTAAGCAAGGCGCTCGTCCTAAACGCTAGAGTTTCATTTACCCATTCGACTTCGCAATTATGTCGTATGCTATCGACTTGTCGTCCCATGGCCGGGAATTGAAACGTATCTATGAATCGATTGTTACCTCGGACCCGGACACCACCTGGGCCGTCTTCAACTACCAGGGCTCAGCCAAGCATACGTTGGTACCCGGAGCAACCGGCGACGGCGACCTCAGGGACTTTGTTGAGGAATTCGATGACAACAAGGTCCAGTACGGTTTGGCACGAGTAGAGTATTCGGGTGTTAACAAAGTTGTACTTGTGGGCTGGGTCGGAGAGTCCGTGCCCGAGCGGGTCAAGGGCTACTTCAATGCCCACTTCTCGACCATTGCCAAGTACTTTGACGGTTACCATGTCCAGGTCACTGCTCGTAGCAGCGATGATTTGACCCCTTCCATCATCATGTCAAAAATTGACTCTGCTGCCGGATCAAAGTACTCGGGTGCCACCCGCACTTTGAGCACCAAGCCCAAGTACCGGGCTGCGCAGGAGGGTGCCGACGAGGACGATTGGGGCGATGCTAAACCTGTTGTCGAGCGCGATTTGCCCAACCTGGACAAAGTAAGCTCCGCCTACAAGCCTACCAAAATAGACATTGGCGAGATCCGCAAGCAGGCGTCCAAGAGCCGATCCGAGGTTAGAGGGGTTGAAGGCTTGGATTCCAGCTCCTCATACAAGCCAGTTGGAAAGATTGATATCAAGGCTATTCGCGAGGCTGGCAAGAACTCTAAATACGCCGACACTCGAGTGGAGAAGATTGAGAGTTCGTACAAACCAGTGGGCAAAGTCGACATCAAAGCTATTCGTGAGCAAGCCAAAAAGCAGGAATCTCACAAAAAGTCGATCAATGACGACGACGACGCCCCGACACCGGCTCCCCGTAAGACCGCTTCGCGAAATGAACCAGAGTGGGTGAAAAAATCCAGCAGCCGCGAGGACAATGACGACGATAACCAGCCTGCTTTTGGATCCCTGGCGGACCGTATGAAAGCCTTCAACTCGGGCGTGCAGTCTGCACGTCCCCAAGATACTCAAAAGACCCGCATTGCTTCCGCCAAAGCCAAATTCGACAAGAAACATGCCAGCGGCACTCTGCCGCTTCGGGTTGACGAGTCTCACCGAGAGTCGCGTGCCAGCTCCGGATTCAAGGATTATGGTAGTACCAATGGCAAAACACCTGCTCAACTCTGGGCTGAAAAGCATGGCAAACGGGATTCTGCACCTAAAGCCGAAGAGCCCGAGTCAGATCACGATGACAATGTCAGCGACGAAGATGTGGATATGGCAGCCGCCCGGGCGAAATTCGCCAATGTTCGTGTGGAGGAGGAGCGGCGCTCTGAGCCGATCAAGATTGAGCGGGAAGAAAAGGCTTCATTCTCGGACTTTACAAGAAAGTTTGCCCAACGCGATGAGGCAGAGTCCGATACTGAGCCGGAACCCAAACTCCCGCCTCGTCAAGATGAACCCAAGCTTCCTCCTCGTCAAGCTGAGCCCAAGCTAACGCCTCGTCAGGTCCAAGCCGAGCAAGAATCTGAACCGGAGCCGGAGCCGGAACGAGAGCTTCCCTCTCGTGCTGAAGATCTAATTGTCGCTATTGTCGAAGAGGCATATGACGAAGATCCTGCCGAAGACAATGAAATCTCTCTAGTTGTTGGCGAGAAGATCACAGACATAGAAAAGATCAGTGCCGACTGGTGGCTCGGAACCAACTCATCCGGTCGAGCAGGTCTGTTCCCCGCTGAATTTGTTCGGGTCGTTTCCGGCGCTTCCGACGATAATGATCAAGCACCTCCCCCTCCTGCCCGTCCTGTCGCCTCTGAGCCCGAGCCAGAAGAGGAGGAAGAGCCCACCGGCGGCTCTGCCATCGCCGAATACGACTACGACGCGGTCGATGAAGACGAGCTTGCGTTCCGCGAGGGTGATAAAATCACCAACATCGAGTTTGCATCCGACGACTGGTGGAGCGGCGAGGCCAATGGCAAGGTCGGACTTTTCCCTGCTAACCATGTAAAATTGCTGTAAACAATATGCCTATTCTGTCTAGATTTTAGCAGGCACCTGGCGCTTGACGTCCTTGTAGGTTTCGGCGACCAGGTGAGCGAAGAACTTTTGCAGAGCTTGTCCCTGGCCGTTTGAGCAGCGGCGGTTCATGATTTCACCGTGGGTGTTGAAATGGGAGAGCGCGACGGTGTATTTCTCCCAGTCCAGCTGGTTGAGGTTATCGATGATTCTTCGGACTTCGGGGCTGATTCCCAGCTCATCCTTGGTGCCGTCCAAGAGGCCTTCGAATCCTCCGTTGAGGGCTGGTTTTGGTACTCCGCTAACTTTCATGTCTTTCTCCTCTTCCTCACCTTCTTGGGGTTCGACGAGCTCGAGCATATTTTCAAGAGCGCCCTCGGCAAGCGATCCAGGTTCAAGATCGGGGTGAGAGTGACGACGACCCTCGACCCGGTTCGAGTGGCTTGTTTTGGTGAGCTGGCGAGAGAGCTCGTTGAACAGTGCCGCATTATCCTGGGGGCGAGGACGCACAGAATAGTAAATAGCTTTAACGCGAGCAACAATAGTGCCTGTAGTCAAGACTGTGAGCATCACAGGTAGGAAGATTGGAAGTAACATCAAGAAAAAAGCCCGTGTGATTTTGTCCCTCCGTGTGAGCTTTGGCGGGTGCAGCTCAGCTTCGTTGTAGACGGACTTGCTCATATTGACAAGAAATGGGCGGATGTTCTTGCAATTGACAAGCAAAGAATGGTTATAGTACTGTAGTTGCACATGCTCGAGATGGCGGAACGGGTTTTTCGTAGACAAGTAGGCCGTCCAAAAGGGGACAGTGCGGTCGTGGACAGCGTTGGCGAACAAAACCCGTTTTTTGAATCGCTTGATCCCAGTAATGTACCGGCTCTCCGGATCCGCGAGCTCCTCGAGGGTCTTGTTAGAGTTGAAGAGGTCGCCACCTGACAGGCCGAGCAGTCTCGACCCGAATGCGTTCAGCACCCGGGCCTTGAATCGCTGAGAGTGGAAGTAGGTTCCAGCATGAGGCGTGGCGAACGTTGCGTACACTACGGGCGTGACCTTGTTGAAAAACCCTACCGACTCCAGCATGCCAATGAGGTACCGAGCAAATAAGCCACCTAACGAGTATCCAACGATACTGATATGCTTGACGACGAAATTTTCCTCAAGCAGCTGCTTAATGCGATCCATTAGTTCGACAAATAGCCGCTCAGCGCCAATGGCGATGCCGTCAAACGTCTTGAGCGTTTCATTGCTTTTGGCAATGTGCACAACCACCGAATTGTCGGTGGCAAATTGACTGCGCAGCTCTTCTGCATTGCTGCTCATATGCGAGCTGTTTCCAAAAAGACCATGAACTAGAAATATCAAATGCTTCTGTTGCGCCATTCGCGGGTTATTTGTCGGGTCGGATAAGGGATTATGCCACCATTACGCACCTCACTTTTGCACCGCATGTGATCGTTAGCGGTTTTTTTATTAGGTCATCGTTGATTAATTTAGTCCTGTGGTCAACGACGCGTCTTGCCAGCGATGTTTGCCGGCAAAGACTTTTTAACTATGCAGCCTCCGCCGGGCTATAAAGCCGGGATTGGTCGAGGTGCAACCGGGTTCACCACTCGGGCAGACGCACCGCTGACGGCGGCAGAAATACAGCTTCCAAATGATCCAGATAGGTATCGAGATCCAGACGAAACAGGGATTTTGGGCGGTACCAAGCTCGCCAAGGATGACCAAGAGGCGGTAAAAGAGTATATGAAGTTGAACGAGAAGCTCAGTCACAAGCGCAAGGTCATTAAAGAGCAGGTGGACGAACCTGATCCGGTTAAGGAGGAGCTCGCAACGGTTTCTTTGGACGAATGGGCTAATTTGCCCGAAGCAACTGACCTGACTCGCAGAAATAAGCGTTTGAGACAGGAGGAAGATATGCAAAAACGCTGGTACACCGCCCCGGATTCGGTTGCGCAGACCAGTTCTGCGTTCGATAACTCAATTGAGGTCGATGAAGAGAAATTGCAGGCCAAGGATCAAGCGCTGAGTGCCAGACTTGATTTGGTATTCAAGCCACGGAAGGCAGAGCAGTCTTTAGCCCCTCAAGGTGCTGAACGCAAGAGAACGTTGTTGGAAACTATGATCAAGACCCAACCAAACAACCCGCAGGGCTATATTGGGCTTGCAAGAATAGAGGCACAGTTGTCGCAACCCAAAAAAGCTCGTATAGCCATTCAAAAGGGAATGAAGCATTGTCCAGGAGTGCCAGAGATTTGGCTTGAGGCACTGAAGTTTCATAGCGGTGCGGACACTTTGGCAATTGCCCAAAAGGCTGTCGATAACGTCCCAAAAAGCCCAGAAGTTTGGAGAGCGGTAATTGACTTGCAGTATACGGACGAAGACAAGTTGAATTATGTCCATCAGGCATTGGAGCATCTGTCTGACAATTCAGCATTATGGGAACTTGCAATTGATCTTGAAAGTCCGCAAGACAGAAAAGACGTTATAGGTATTGCCCTCGAACTTGCCCCCAGTCCAAGCCTTTATTTGAAAGCTGCAGAGTACGATAAAGCCGTTCTAGATGCTGCCGTGAAAAAGTATCCTGACAACAAAACCCTCTGGCTTGCGAAGATAAAAAAGGGTGGTTCAATAAAGGATGCAATTCGCTCAACAGGTCCCGACGGCTGGATTGATGTTGCTCTGACCTGTGATGATAGCCCGACATTGACAAAGATTGTAGATGCGCTTGATTTGACGGAAGAGGACTTCAATCGGCTTTGTGAGGCCGGGAACTACTCTGCCGCCAAATTGGTTGCTCAGAAAATACCCAAAACAGTTCAGCTGTACACAAAATATGCAGCATTCGACGCGGACATTCTGCAGGAGGCAGTTGAGAGATACGCCGACAGCGAGGAAATACAGCTCGAGTACGCAAAACGCTTTCCTGAACAGGCCGCGCAGAAGTTCAGTTCAGAAAACGTCTTGGTTAATATCGGTGAGCATTTCCTCGACAGCTGCCAAATTGATACCGCGTTGACTGTCCTGTCACGCACCGTATCTGATGAGGGCCAAAGCTTGTATGTGGATGCATTAATTAGAGCCGGTAAACCGGTAGACAAGGTTATTGAGCAAGCCTTGGCAAATCACCCCTTTTCTGAAAAACTGTTCCTACAACAAGCCAGAATATTCAAGAACGCGGATATGTTAGCCGCCGCTACTGTCAAGCTGCCCAAAAGCGAGCACTTGTGGGTAGAGTATGCGACACATTTGCCGGATGTTCGAGCTCGTGCAGTTCTTTTATCAGCTCAATCACAGTGCCCGAAAAGCGCAGCTCTTTGGCTGGCTCGAATTCGACTGGAGAAGAAAAGTGGCCGTAATGTGGATTATTTATTAACTAAAGCCCTTCAAGAGTGTCCGCAAGACGGGGGGTTATGGGCGGAAAAGCTAGTTCTGACACCAAGAATTCAAAGAAACAAACAGATTGCTACAGCTGTGAAAGCTTCAAACAATAGCCCGGCCGTGCTAACCGCGGCCGGGCTCCACCTATGGACTACTGGCAAAGACAGTGTCGCCAAATGGTTCGAAGCGGCCATCAAAAACGACCCGCAGTACGGCGATGCTTATATGTGGCTTTATGCATACGGCCAAAAAGAAGCTCTGGATAAGTTTTTGGTTGCCAAGCCGCGGAAGGGAGAGCTATGGGGCCCAACCTTTTCACAAAACCGAGGATTCCCGTTGAAAGACGTTTTCATTACAGCTACAAGCACGCTACACAACCCATTTTAAGACCAGCTTATTTAGATGATGCCTCGCGATACCACCTCAAGGTTCGATCGATACCACCTGTAACAACACCCTGGGATGCTCCGCCAATAATCTGAGCACCATGACCGTTTCGAATGTAGGCACCTGCAAATAGAGGTTGGTCGGAGTCATTCAAGGTAGAGACGCAAGCGCGATCTTCAATAGACCAGATCTTTGCCTTGCCGTCTTGTGAAACCGATAATAACAGACTACCGTCAAGGTTCCAGTCTAATGCAAATACCCAAGAGTCATGGCCGACAAATGTGCCAATGAGATCACCACCATTCAAAGTGAACAGCGAAATAGTTTCTGAGTCGCCTGCAACTGCAACAAGTGTATTCATAGGAGAAAGCTTGACTGCACGAGGAGACATTGTGTGGCAAGGTAGCGTATAGGACAAGCGACCAGTAGCGGTGGAGTAGACATGGACTCTTCCGGAATCCAACCCGCAAGCGACGAATTTGCCGTCACTTGAAATATCTACACAGGTTGCAACCGCCTGCTGGTTTTGGGCTGGCTTGAGCGTTGACACAAGCTCTTTCTTCTGTAAATCAAACACCAAAACCGAGCCCTCCACCGTCGAAACCGCCAAAGTAAGAGCGTCGTTGGCAATAGAACACGCCCAGCCGGCCTCGATATCCTTGACAGCCGGCACCACGATCTCCTCAAGCGACTCTAGAGACCAGGTTCGCACCGAGCCATCGAAGTAGACAGCCGCCATGAAGGTGTCTGTGATGTCCATGGCGATATGATGCACACCACATCCGCGGGGCTCAGTGAGCTGAATGGGGTCCTTGGGAACAAAGTTTTCCCACAGAGAGATGACGCCGTCGCCTGCAGTCGACGCTGTGTACTTGCTTCCTACTGCAATAGCGAATATATCGCTCTTGTGGGCGTCCTCAACTGTGTGAGTAGCGATATATCGAGTGGCCATTAGGTAAGAGAAACGGAAAAAAAGAGCGGGCTATATAAAACTTATGTACATTTAGGATATGAAAACCAAGCGGGCGTGGGCGATCACTTCTTCTGGTCTTCAATTTCCTTGAGGCGTTTCTTGAGATCGTCGGCCTTCTCCTTGCGGCGCTTCGCCTCCTCTTCGATACGCTCCAGCTCCTCGATCCAAAGCTTTTCTCGCTCTTTGGCCTTTTCAATAAGCTGTTCCCGCTGCGACTTCTTCTCGCGGCGCTTCTCATCATAGTAGAATCCTCCTCCGACTAGTGCAACAACCGTGAATGCCTGGAATCCCACGCGCCAAAAGAACATCCGGTTGGCCAGACGGGAGTCTCGGGCCCTCAATGCCCGGCCAGACAGATAGAGGGCGCCGCACGTCAGTACGACACCCAATGGCACAAGGGGCTGCTCTTTGCATTTCTCGGCTAGTATTTGGTACAGCGGCTTCCGCTGCGGGGGCTCTACGCTACTGGGCAGAGCTGGCATTTGGTAAGCAGAAAGCGATTGGGGGGTGCGGTTAAATGCAAAGTTAGGGGGCTAAGTATTTAGAGATTGCTGATGATAAAGTCCTTCAGGTCTTTGTAGGCGCTATCGAGATCATCGTTGACGACGATCTTGTGATAGTTGCCTGGTGTGTGACCGTAGTCGAGCTCTGCGTCGGAGTGGGCCAGTCGCTTGGCCAAAGAGTCGTCAGTCTCGGTGCCGCGGCCGGTCAAACGAGCCCGCAAGGTTTCCCGGTCGGGCGGGGCGACAAAAAGGAACAGGGGGTCGAGATCGGTCTTTTTGACGCTCTTAACACCCTGCATGTCGATGTCCAGAATGCATACTTTATTGTCCTTTTCCGCAACATCTTGCACGGCCTGGACAGTGGTGCCGTAGTAGTTGCCGCCGAACTGGGCCCACTCGATGAATTTGGCATCGTCAATCAGGCCCTTGAAGTTGTCTACGGTGACAAAGTGGTAATCCTTGCCATTCACCTCTCCGGCCCGTGGTTGACGAGTCGTGTGCGAGACACTGAAACCAAACTTGTCTGGGTACTCAGCAAACAGCTTTTTCAGTAGAGTCGACTTTCCTGTGCCCGAAGGACCGCTGATAACGATAGGACGAGCGCTGGCCATGGTTGAGAAAGCACGCTTGATTACAAACATCCAACTATCAGACAAGAAACCCCGACGGCGTAGATCTAAATGGCTACAATCTCGGTACCCAGCTTTGAGAAGGGCTCTCCAACGGTGTACAATGTCATTGTGTCCGTACAGGGTCAAACGCACCAATTGCAGAAGCGCTACAGCGAGTTTGTGTTGCTGGCCCAGGAGGTCGAGCAGGAAACCGGGTCTCCTGTGCCCGTGGAGGCGCCAGCCAAGGCATGGTTTCTGAACGACGCTGATCTTGAAGACAGAAGGCGTGGTCTTGAAGCCATGATCCGCGCACTGGCTCGCTCCGAGGAGTGCTTTGCCACGTTGGCCGTGCAGAGCTTTTTAGAAATGTCCAAGCTACGGCGGAACCAATCGAGCGCGACCGGGGCTGCGGACTGGACGGCGACTATTGAGAAAATCAACGAGAGTATTGCGCAGGCCAAGGTGGCAGACGCAATGCACCAACACAAACTGTGTTTGAATGCCCAAACCATGCTGGCCGGTCTGCAAAAGCTGAACGAGCAGTCGAGCACTTTGGGGGCCCGCGAAAAAGTTCGCCGTCAGCAGAAGATTGACGAATTGCACCAAAAAATCACCGCGATCCGCAGCGATGGTTCCAACCAACCGCGCACTAGTCCTGCTACGAGCGGCCGGGGGTCGAGCCAGCCCGCAGACAAGAGAACGGGCCGCGTTCTGGGCGAAACCCAGGTAACCAAGTCTCTGGATAACCAGGAGCTTTTAATGCATCAAAAACGCACTATCCAGGATCAAGATGCAGAAGTGCAGCTGCTGCGGGATGCTATCAGCCGGCAGAGACAGTTAGGGTTAGCCATCAATGACGAGATAGTGAAGCAGAACAGCATGCTTGACGACTTGGACGCTGACGTTCATCGCGTTAATACCAAATTGAACCAGGCCCAACGCAAGACCTCTAAATTCCTTTAATTTATTAGCCTTTTTTTTTTCCTCCCGTCAAAATTCGATAGACCCCTCCACGCGACAAGTGGGGGGACGAAACGAGCCAAATCAAGTTAGACGAATTCGCGTTCATCGCTGGGAGCCTGGGATTGGTTTACCGGTGCACTGAGTGCAGCGAATTGTTTACGGAACACGGTGACAGCAGACATGTACACCTGAAACGAACGTCCAAGGAGCCTGAGCGCATTGGCAAGCTTTGGGACTCCGAAATCAACCCATTGCTCACTGTGACCGCCCACCTGCGAAATTACGCACCCAGATAGAAGATTTGGCTAAGGCCCTGCATCTCGGGAAAAGTGACCGTGGGGGTGAGAAGTGGGGTTGCATGACGGAACAGAGGGGGGGGGGGAACACATCGCCGACTCGATTGCGCAAAACCCGCGTGGAAATCGAGCAAACGGAAATTGGCGTGGTCTCGTTCGAGGACCCAGCGAGTTTTCCCCGTGGACTCAACCCCCCAGGCTTTTTTCTGTCCTTTTTTAAAAAAGGTTTGTTCGTTTTGTGTCTTCCGCCCCTGCCCCGCAACCTACTGCATGTCAGTGCTTTCTAATTCCCCGCCCCCGGGTTCTTTAAGTCCGTCAGGTGGATGACAAAAATATATAAATAGGTGGCAGTCAGTAGAGGACGCAGTAAACCAAAAGGACACAACATGGCTCCGTTAACCACCGCCCCCACCGGCCATCTCGGCAACCTGTCACCTGAGCAGACATACAAATTGAAGGAAATGTATCTCGCGTTCCTCATCAACCTGGGCTACACCAGCGAGGGAGCCGTCAAGGTTGGCGGCAAGGCACCTCCCGCTGAGAAAAAGGGCGGCCACTTTGGCTTTGGCGGCCACAAGGTCACTGCCCAGGAGTCCCTGAAAGAAGCCACCAGCGCGATCAAGACCTGCCTGGCCAAGGTCAAGCGGGAGAAGATCAAGGAGCGCCTGCCTCTTTTCGCCAAAACCGAGCACTTTGACCAGGTCTTGCTGCGCTTCCTCCGTGCCCGCAAGTGGGACGTGGTCCGTGCTGCTGAGATGTACGGTAAGACTTTGCAATGGCGCCTCAACGAGTACGACGTTGATGAGATTCTTCGCAAGGGCGAGCGCTACTACATCGACGAGGAACCCGATGAGGGTTTCATCAACCAATACAAGCAGGGCAAGGCCATTGTGCGCGGCAAGGACAAGTTCGGTCGCCCAATTGTCAACATCACTGTGCACAAGCACGACCCGCGTGCTCAGAGCGAGCAGGCCATGGAGCGCTACACCTTGCACTGCATTGAGGCCTCTCACCTGTGCTTGAACGAGAACCAGGAGACTGCTGCTGTTATTTTCGATCTTTACCAGTTTGGTCTGCACAACATGGACTACCACGTCGTCAAGTTCATTCTGCACTGCTTCGAGGCCCACTACCCCGAGAGCCTCGGCTTTGTGTACATTCACCGTGCTCCATGGGTCTTCTCCACCGTCTGGCAGGTGATCAAGGGCTGGATTGATCCTGTTGTTGCTGCCAAGATCTCGTTCACCAAGGGCGAGAAGGACCTGCTGCAGACCATCAGCTCCGAGCAGCTGCCCAAGAGTTTGGGTGGCACCCTCGCCCATGACTACGAGTGGATTCCCCCCTCTGAGGGCGACGACGCCCCTATGGCCGATACCGTCACTCGCGACCGCCTTCTTGCCGAGCGTACCAAGAAGATCGAGAAGTTCTTTGATGTTACCCTTAAATGGATCGCCGCCGACGGCCCCGAGGCCGATAAGTTCTACAAGGAGCGCATGGCCCTTTCCGACGAGCTCTACAAGGACTACTTCAAGATCGACCCTTATGTCCGCGCCCGCAGTATTTATGACCGCAACGGTACTTTGGCTCAGTTCCATGAAGAATATGCCCCCGGTGGTGTCGCTCAGCCCATTCTCAAATAAACACACTTAATTGTATATCATAGATTATTATTGAAACATGACATTGAATATATTGAATTGGAGAACTGTTATGTGAAAACTAGAATTTAGTCCGTGTCGTCGTGACAGGGCAGGTGCTTGCGAGCGCGGTGCATCATGCTCCAGAAGAAGCCTTTGCCATCCTTATGCTTGCCCTTGTGGTCCTTCGGGGGGTCATGGGGCTTGTGGGGTTCGTGGGGCTTGTGGGGTTCATGAGGCCTGTGAGGTTCGTGAGGTCTGTGAGGTTCATGAGGCTTGTGGGGTTCATGAGGCTTGTGGGGTTCATGAGGCTTGTGGGGTTCATGAGGCTTATGAGGCTTATGAGGCTTGTGGGATTCATGAGGTCTGTGAGGTTCATGAGTCTTGTGAGGCTTGTGAGGCTTGTGCGGATCGGAACTGTCGTGAGACTCGAAACCAGATCCAGAAACCCAGCTGTTCAACATGGACAAAGCGTGCTCGGGCTGATTATAGGGAACCATGTGTCCGGCATCATAAACACGGAGATACGTCAACAAGTCGGCTGTCTTGACTGTTCCGGCTTTCTTGCCATCAACATACCAGTGATTGGTCTCTGCAGACAAGAACTCCTCTTGGTGAGGCCACTCCATGCGATCAGTCCAGTCACGGTTTCCCAACCAGTTGCAAATCCAGTCCTTATCACCGGCATAGATGAGAACGGGAACACCAGCGTCAATAATCTCAGCAACTACAGGCGAGAAGTTGACAGCCTCGTCGGCCGCGAAATAGAATTCAGACCCAACTTGTGAATCACATCCAACAAACTTGTCAACTTCCGCGCCGACCGCTTCCTTGACAAAGTCTTGGTTCATGTACTCTTCAATGTAGCCAGTTTCAGGATAGCACGAATCATAGCACACCTCCCGAACATCGTAAGGGTTGCGACCGGTCTCGAGGAATTTGGTGGCAGAGCGCTGGCAATAGGTAGTTGCCGCAATACAAACCAAACGCGACTCAGTATTATAGCATTGTTGCATCAGGAACTCACAACGCGGTAAATCTTTGTACATTGCGTCGCAAGTTTCCGGCGTCTGGAAGGCAGGGAAGTCGCCCTGGCCGCACTGCATCCCAACAGCCGCCTCAGCTTGATTCAGAGCATCAACAATACCGTTGCCAATCAACAATGACGTCAAATTGAAACTACGCTCAGGATGGTCGATAATTGCCTTACCAATAGCCGGAATATAATGTCCCGCATACGACTCTCCAGAAATGTGAAACTCCTGAGTGTTGTACTGGGGGAACGATTCGAAAAACAACGACAAGAACGCATAAACGTCCTCACCTGCTGCCATTGACGTCTTGACGCGCTGAGAAGAGTACGAGTACCCCACATTGACAGGCTGGTCAAGGAAAATAACAGTCGCATTGTTGTTCCAGGAGTAGGGATTGTAGTCCAGAGTCAAATTTTCATTAATTGAAGAAGGTCCGAGCTCGAAGAACTGACCAGTGGACGACGAGCATCCAGGGCCGCCGTTCAGCCACAGAACCACGGGGTCATTTTCAGGGTCATTGCGGGACTCGAACAGCCAAAAGAAAAAGTGCTTGTCCTCGTCGAGAACATCAAGATAGCCCGAGTACTGCTTCACACTGTCCACGCCCAGGGACTTGGGGTTCTTGACTCGCAGTTCGTAGTTGGCAAAGTTGGGGTCCTTGACATGGAAATCCCATTCGGTGCGGCGGGTAACCTGAGCAGGCTTACCACCCGAGCCAAAGTACGGATCCATAAGCTTCTTGAAAAGATTGGGGTTCGTGGACCACAATTCGTTCAATGCCTCCTGCACGGCAGCCTCACCTGACTTCTCCCCAAGGACGGCGGAAGCAATCTCGTACCCGTTCTTCCGGTCAAGCAAACCTTTCCCGGCATTGTCAATCTCATCAAAAAATGGGATTTGCTGTCCCAAAACACTTGCCACAAAAATTGGCAACAGCTTCATGGTTTATGTAGGATGGGAACAAGATTACTAGTAGGCGCCGCCAATGGTAATGCAGGGCCGAATACGGATGGGCCCTTGCCCTGGCGACCCGCATCGTGAACGGCCAAAAAGCTATTGTTAAAATATTGTTATCTATTAAGCAACCTACACTGCCAGGACCAAATACATGCTCTCGCCGTGTGAATTGCTTAGTAGAGGCGGTCTCCCACTAACTCACACGGCGAGAGCACGCTTTTGGTCCTGGCCGTGTGAGCCAGTGGGAGACCACATTTGGTAAGCAACTCACAAGGCGAGAGCAGGCATTTAGCCGAAAGCAATTGATCAAGATATAATAGTTTTATTACTTTATAATGAATAAACACGGTTTACTGCAACAAAAAGAAGGTACAATTCATCTAAAAGTTGTTCGAGAGCTCCATTTCAGCATGTTTGCCCAATGCATGCTCTCGCCGTGAGTTAGTGGGAAACCAGCGCTACTAACCAATTCACACGACGAAGACCATTTTTCGATCCTGGCCATGTGAGTTAGTGGGAGACCACCTCTGCTAAGCAAATCTTCCGGCCAAGCACGTCCTTGGTCCTGGCCGTGTGGGTACCATGCACGCGTCAGCTCGTGCATAAGAATGCTCAGATCATTAGTTGTATTAACTATTCGGATATCATCTGTTTTACCCAACTGCAACTGCAATTGTAGTAGCCAGACTTTCTGCCCAAAGCCGCTGGCTGCCCTCCACAGTAAGCATATATGCAACCAGAGCTCAAAATTGAAAATGGTCGAATAGACGATGCGGTTGCCGAACGAGCTCTGGCCTTGGCAAATAAGTCAGAAAGAGACGATCAGCGAGCAGTTTATGAATGGCTTGCCAAAAATACGCGTTTGGTTTCGGAGGACTTCTGGAATAGACACTATGGGTACCTGCTGCATCGACTTCACTGTACCTCACCAGTCAGTAGTCTGGTGGCTCTTATTATTGCCATCACCAGCAAAAAGACCCTCTCACAGGGTAGAGTTAATATGGTGGCCAGTCTGTACGCGCAAATCCTTAATCCGGCGCTGTCCCACCTGCTTTGCGCGATGAGATCATTCGCGGGCGACTGTCCTATTTATATTGCGTCAACTGGCCAAGAGAACGTACTGGCAGCCAAATTGCCGCCGAAAGTGGCCTATAAACTATGTAAAGGCGATACTGTGGAGTTGTCACGAGCCAACACGGACATCAAGCTGCAATTGGGTAATGATGCAGTGGAGACGCTGGTTGGATTGGCCCCAGTCGTTTCGATAAGTGGGAAAATACCTTTGGCTGTTGAAGAATATGTATACGACTATTTCGAGTGTTGGGACGGAGAATTGAGCCCTCTATTAATGGCAATCGTGCCGTTGTTCAAATTCTGGCCAAACCACAGTGTGCCGGTAATTAGGGCTAAAATCGTCAACCATCTACTGAGAGCAAAGCATCAAGCCATGTCAATCATTTTACCGGAGCTTTGGTGGCTTGGTCGCGTAGCAGAACAAGTAATTGTCAAGTTCGAACCAAAACTCGCCCCTTTACAGTATACGCACCTCGTCCAGTTTTACCAGTCGCTTGACTTGGAGCCGCCGCCTCAAATTGTTCAACACATTATTTATTATCTACCTGGTGGATTGGCTCTTTGTAGAGATTGGGCTCGCTTAGTTCCTGATATTTGCTCGGTTCTTCAGGGCCGACTCTACTTTCCAACCCACCTCATTCAAGAAAACCAATACGTCTTGGCAAATTGTCCTTGGATCGGTACATTTTCCACCGAACTATTCAAGAAACGTTTCAACTTCTCACCAGTATCTATCTACCCTGAACTCTACGACAAACTGGCAATGGACTATGAATCTTTTTGCAGTGAGCTTGTCAATGTCATGTCACAGCAAGGTTATAATGTTGAGCCTTATTTGGCCTATGTACAGAACTAATTAATTTGTCAAAATATTCACAAGAGACTTTGCAGGGACAAAAACAACCCGCTTAATTCCTCTCTCCAAAAGCGGCTTTGTTTTGGGTTCTTTGGAAAGTTCCTCAAGAACCTGTTCCTGGACATCACTTTCCGAAGCAAAGCTCATAATTCTTTTACCGTTGATCATCACATTGTAGTTGAATGCCGATCCTGAAGAGATGGGTTCAAGCAGGGGCCATTCCTCGGCGAAAACAGAAGACCACGGCTGCTTTTTGATTTCCAAGAGTTTTTCCCAAGCTTCCTCAGCATTCGCAGGGCATACCGGTGCGATGACCTTGACCAGTGTTTCAGTAGCTGGCCAAGCAAGCTCACTACCTTTGAGGGTACCGACAGCTCTAGTGAGTTTCATGAAATCAGAGATAACAGTGTTCAAAGCTAGAGTGTCCTCTAGCGATTTCGTGATGTTGGAAACCAGTGCACAACATTCGTTCCAAGCCTGAACCTGCGCACTAGTAGGAGCTGAACCACATTCCGAAGCTGAGCTAACCAGCGCTTGAAGTTTGGAAAGCCAGCGTGTGACGCCAACAATATTGTCTTCATGCCACTCCAAGACATCGTTGACTGGTGCTTGGAATAAGACATGGGCTCTAACTGCATCAGCACCATACTTGGAAATGACCTCAGAGGGGTCAACACCGTTGTATTTAGACTTGGACATTTTCTCAAAAGTTATTCCAGCAGGTTTTCCAGTGGCCTTGACAGTGTTGTTAGGACCCAGTTCATCAGGCATTAGGAAGCGACCGTTATCGGTATTGATGAATGTCTTGCCATGAACCATCCCCTGTGTAACAAGGCGTTTGAAGGGCTCAGAATTGGGGATGTTTTCGATAAGTCCTCTGTCAACCAAAAACTTTGTCCAAAATCTAGAATAAAGTAGATGCAGGATAGCATGCTCAACTCCTCCGAGATACATATCCACTGGCATCAATTCCGAAGCCCGGTCTTTGCTGAACGGGAGGTCTTTATTGTCAGGATCGGTGAAACGCAAGAAATACCAACTAGAGTCAACAAACGTGTCCATAGTGTCGGGATCTCGGGTAGCCTCACCACCACAGGACGGACAAGTTGTTTCCATAAATTCTTTGCATTGAGAAAGAGGACCTGAGTGATTCTCAGGAAGAAGCACCGGCAAATCTTTCTCGGGTACAGGTACAGTTCCGCAAGAAGAGCAGTTGATTATAGGGATAGGGGCGCCCCAATAACGTTGACGAGAGATTAACCAATCTCTTAGTCTATATCTCGTTTTCTCCTTTGCCCCAAGCTTGTTCATTATTGCTTTGGCACCGTCAGCGATTGACAGGCCAGCAAACCCAGAGGCTTCATTCAAAGTGCCATACTTTTCGGTATATGGGAGCGATTTAGCCTCCTGGATCACGTTAATGGGAGCGGTGGTGCCATGTAATTCCCAGAAATCAGAATCTCGCTGATCATGGGCAGGAACGCCCATAACTGCCCCGGTTCCGTAGTCTCCCAATACGTACGGCGAGCAAAAAAGAGGCATCTCTGCGCCCGTCAAAGGATTTTTGATAACTTGGGACAATCTGAACCCATCCTTCGAGCCCGTTTCATGGGGTTTGGAGATGAAAGCTTTGAGGCCAGCGTTGGTTTCGGCCTCTGCCAGAACTATGGGATGATTGATGGCCAATGCAACATACATTGCACCAGCCAAAGTATCAGCACGTGTCGTGAAAACCGTGATATTGTCCGCCAAAGTCAGTTCAGCACCAGAAGACTTACCGATCCAATTCTTCTGCATTGTTTTGACTTTGGAAGGCCACTGATCCAACGTACTTAAATCGCGATCCAAAGCATCTCCATACTCGGTGATTTTCAAATACCACTGCTCAAGTTCTCTGGTCTCGACCAAGGCGCCAGACCGCCACGATCTCCCTTGTGCGTCGACCTGCTCGTTTGCCAGCACCGTTTCGTCGACCGGATCCCAATTTACAAGACCGGGAGCCCGATAAGCCAGACCTGCCTTGTAAAACTCCAAAAACAACCGCTGTGTGTGCTTGTAATAATCAGGATGGCAGGTGATTAGCTCCTTGGACCAATCAAAATCACAGAGCATCTGGTCAAACTGGCTGTGCATGGCTTTGATGTTCGCATAGGTCCAATCAGAAGCCTTGACGTTGCGCTGCTGAGCAGCATTCTCAGCAGGCAGTCCGAAAGCGTCCCACCCCATTGGTGAAAGCACATCGTAGCCGTTCATTTTACGGAACCGAGACAATGTGTCCGAGATTGAGTAAACACGAAGGTGGCCGACATGCATCTGGCCCGACGGATACGGAAACATACAGAGCTGATACCATTTACCACGCGTCGGTGTTTTTGCCTGCTTGGACGAACTTTGCCATTTCGCAAACCATTTTGCGTCGAGGTGACTCAAAGTCGATCTCGAAGCCCTCATGGAGATGAATAATCGCAAGTTGTAATTTATCGATACAAACCACTATTTAAACCGTGTAGAATAAATAAATTAAAATTTATGCACTGGCCAGCTGGTCAAGCCCCCAGCTCATCCTCAAATCTGCTGAGCTCTGTGCTGACTCTACTTCACCCAACCCATAGCCACCACATCAAAAGCAATGGGGTTGTTAGGTTTGTTGAGACGCGATTCAACGGATGCTGATGGCAATCTGCCAGAGGACAGCGTGGATGCTGGTACGCAGGAGATTTTTTTATCTTGGGCTCTATTTATTGTCATTCTCTTACTGATTGCGTCTTTGTGGACGTCGTACTACTTGCAGCAGAAACGAATAAAGGGTATCCACGAGTCGATTGTATCAATTTTTGCGGGAATACTCGTCGGATTTATTGTGCGAGTATCTCCGGGGCACTTTATCCAAGAGCAGTTATCGTTCAGCTATTCGTACTTCTTCAACATCTTGCTTCCCCCGATTATCCTCAATTCCGGCTATGAGTTGAATCAGGCGAATTTTTTCCGCAACATATTCAGTATTCTCATGTTTGCGTTTGCAGGAACGTTTATCGCAACCGTTATTCTTGGCGTTCTTGTGTACATTTGGACCGCTCTGGGTCTCGAGGGTGTCGAGCTCTCATTTGTTGATGCCGTAGCAATGGGTGCGACTTTGAGTGCCACTGACCCCGTTACGATCTTGAGCATTTTTAATACATACCAGGTGGATCCAAAGCTTTACACGATTATTTTCGGAGAGAGCTTATTGAACGATGCTGTGTGCATTGTCATTTTTGAGACCTGCACGAAATTCAGAGATCAGAGTATGACATTCACTTCAGTTTTCGCCGGTATTGGGATTTTCTTTATGACGTTTACTATTTCTTTGTTGATCGGTGTCTTAGCAGGTATTCTCACTGCCTTGGTTCTCAAGCACACTCATGTCCGACGCTACCCCCAGATCGAGTCCTGTTTGGTACTTTTGTTTTCATATGGCACGTATTTCTTCTCCAATGGCTGCCATATGTCTGGTATTGTGTCTCTACTATTTTGTGGTATCACCTTGAAACACTACGCATATTACAACATGTCTCGACGAACTCAGTTGGCCGTCAAGTACTCTTTCCAGTTGCTGGCCCAACTATCGGAAAACTTTATCTTTATTTATCTTGGTCTCACCCTCATGACCCAAGACGATCTGGTTTTCCGCCCGTTGCTGATCATCGTTACCGCGGCCGGCATTTGCCTGTCCCGCTACTGCGCAGTATTCCCATTGTCTCGATTGGTGAACCAGGTCACACGTTTCAGAGCTCGCATGTCTGGAAATCCGCAGCAACTCCAGCTCGACGAAGATGAAATCCCCCCTTCTTACCAGTTTATGCTCTTCTGGGCCGGTCTCCGAGGTGCCGTAGGCGTCGCTCTGGCTGCCGGTATCGAAGGACCACACGCAAACGTTGTCAGAGCGACTGTATTGGTAGTGGTCATGTTGACTGTGTTGGTCTTTGGTGGCACGACAGCCCAAATGCTAGAGATCCTCGGTATTAGGACCGGTGTTGCACAAGAACAAGACAGCGACGACGAATTCGACCTCGAGCTACCAAGATCACAGCTGCAGCGGCAGAGACCGGCTGCCTCATCCTCTCAAACATACGTCGATGACGAAAATGAGGATGACGACGCTGAAAACCCCGTAGCGTCGGTAGCTGCTTCCGTGACTGAGGCAGGATCTAGATGGTTCAGCGAGCTAGATGCAAAAGTGTTCAAGCCTGTCCTTTTAGATGATCCTCGCTAAAATAATTGCTTTATAGACTCTCCGTCCCATATTTTATTATTTCCATTTACACATCCCTCGAACGCGTTTTGCATGCTTATTTTACCTCCCAACTCACAAAACGCGAAGTCCAGCGCTGTGCCACTGAGATGTCGGAAGCGACAGGAGGTGAGGGACACGGCTCAGCGTGGCTGGAGAGCATAAAACTCGAAAACTTTATGAGCCACCGCATTTTTGAAATGATGTTCAATCGCTACATCACTGTCGTCACCGGCTTGAATGGCAGCGGGAAAAGCGCGATTCTGGCTGCGCTCATGGTTGTTTTTGGCAGCCGTTCAAAAGATACAGGAAGAGGAGTGAATGTGGCCAATCTGATCAAGGAAGGTGAGTCTGTCGCTTACATTACGGCTACAATTCGTCTCCCGGCAGGACCTGCTAATGGGCTCTACGCTCAGCGCTACGGTGATCGCGTCACAATTATCCGGAGAATAACGAAAAGTGCTCGCACAACGCAGTTCAAAGATTCTGAAGGGCACAGTGTTTCTATAAAGGAGCCCTCCAAGGAGCTTGACGCAATTGCAAGATATTGCGGATTCTTTCCATCGAACCCTCTGGTTGTCCTCACCCAAGAAGCTGCCAAACAGTTCCTCACTACATCTTCCACAAAAGACAAGTACAAAAGGGTTCAGGATGCATTGAGAATTGCAGGAACTCAAAAGGCTATCGAGTCTATTTCTGAGCGAATTCACCATCAACAAGAAAAACAGCTAGAGAATCAGAACATCATCAAGCACCTAGAAGCTGGCGTTGTTAAACTGCAGCAGGATCTATCTTCAGCCGAATCAATTGGCTCGGAAATCAAAGAGCTTCAACAGATAGTGGCGTGGCGAAAAGTTAAAAATGCAGCCGACGCTTTGAATACAGCCAAACGCGAGCTAGTGGATTTAGGAAGTGGACCTGCAAGTACAACTGAAAGCATCAGCGATTCTTATGAGAAGGCGCTGGTTATCAGCAGCAATTCGATCAATGAATGCACCGAGAGAATCGAGTCTCTTCGCAGCCGAATAAGCGAGCATAGTGCGCGAGAACAGCACGAGTCTGCCCAGATGTCGGCAAAGCAGGAGGAACTTGATTCATCGCTACCAGAGCTAAACAGTGCTATGTCGACGCTGAATCAATGGAAAGCAGAGCTCAAAGAGCTCACTGTTGAAGCAAGTGTTGAGCACCGCAACGCCGAGATCGCATCTATATCTTCCAAACTAGAAGAGTTGGAAGCTCGTAAAACTCGCGAAGAGTCACAGATACGTGAACTTGAAGATTCACTGCCTGATATGGAGGCTGCTCAAGATGGACTTTTAGCTGAGTTTCAGCAGGCCAAAGACGCAAAAGACTCTTCTGACAAACTGTTGCAAGAAGCAGAGTCAGAACTCAAACAATTAAGAAGAGAAAATGAAACACGAAGAGCTTCGGAGAACAACTCAATAATCGGAGAGATTATTCGTAACGAACCCGCATGGCGAGCTGCAAATTCCAAGCGGCGTCCGGTAGGTCCCTTGGGTGAGTATGTTCAGGTCACTGATCCAAAATGGGAACCTGTACTAGCGAGTTTGCTGTCCAAAACTAATGGGGCCTATTGGGTTACAACTAGTGAAGACGCGATAAAGCTTCAGCGCCACATCAAACAGAAAAATCTTCGAGCAACGGTTCACACTCGTAAACCAGAAGTTTTCGATATCGAAGCAGGCTCCCTGAAACCTGAAAAGGGACGTTTCACACGTGCCCTTGATCTCCTGAAGTTTGAAAACGAGCAAGTCAAATGCTTATACTCCGACCTGGATGCCATTGAGCAAATAGCCTTATGCGACTCTATCGATGAAGGTATTAGTTTGATGAGGGCAGGTAATCGCCCCAAAAATCTCCGTACGGTTATTTGTACTGAGCTCAGAAATGGAAATCGTGTTTCGCGGAAGATTTCCATTCAAAACCAAAGAGAGCTGTCTGAGCCGTTTTTTTTGCAAAATAGAGCCAGCAGTATGAGGTCCAATCTTTCTGGACAAGTCGCTCAAGCCGAAGAAGATTATAGACACTTGGCAGAGGAAAACAAGCAATATGCGCGGGAATTGAAGGATTTGCATAACCAGGTTCGAAGTTCGCAAGCCGACATTGACGAGATCAAAAGAGATCGGATTCCGCAACTCCATGCTGACCTCAATACAATAAACCAAACTGTGGGAGAACTTCGGGATCGCTTGGAGACTCTTGAGAATACCCAGCCCATGGAGGAGTTCCGAATCGATGACCTCAGAGCTCGCATTGAGCAGCAGGAAAGACAAATCGCAGCAGGCAATAAATGGCAAGAAAGTCTGCAAGTCGAGCTGCGAGCTCTATGGGAAAAGGCAGCTGTCTCAAAGAGAAAACACAAGGACGCAGAAGCATCTTTACATTCCGCGAGAAGTGAGTTATCCAACTTGCATCTGGAACGGGATCGCATTCTCCAGAAGCAAGATTCAGAGCTTCGACGCAACGCAACAGAGGTTCAAATTTACCAAACTAGGCATGAGGAGCTGTCAAATAATGTTCATGAGCTGGACAGCCAGTTGGCAAAGTGTCAAGAGTCTGCATCCCTAAAAGGTGGACAGTTGTCTATGGCAGATGAAAACCTGAACCACTCCATTCCAGAACTAGAAGCGATGGTGCAGGAACTTGTTAAGCGAAAGGAGAGGATGGAAAGGCGTGAAGTGGATGTCAATGAACTTCACGCAAAATATACAAATATGAAAAGGACGCTCGACGATGCCCGCAATGTTCAAGCCGAGATTTCAGAAGAACTCAGCATTTTAAGGACTGCTTTACAAAATCGCACCGAAAACCTTGAAAACGAGTGGCGATATTTGAAAAAGCAAAGTTCAAAAACGTTCTCAAAACTCATGAAGAAAATGAATTTTCAAGGCTCATTAGATTATGATGATGAAAAGGGAACTCTCAGTACTTCAGTGTACCCAGCCTCTAATCGCGTTCAGCGAACTGGAACGCTTTCGGGTGGTGAGAGATCTTTCACCCAACTAGCACTTATTGTTTCTATTTGGAGATCTATGCCTGTCAACTTAGTTGCTATGGACGAGTACGACGTTTATATGGACCGTCAAACTCGTCGTCGAGCTCTTGTTCTGATGCTAGACTGTCTCCGCGAACAGAACCAGCAATGTGTCTTAATCACACCTCTTGAGCTTGACGTCGCAACCTTGGATGAGCTCGGAGACAAAATCAGCATATTCAGACTTGAGAATCCTCGAGCCTAATTTATATATATTAATTCAAGACAGTAGAATTCGCGCGGGCAGCAAACCTCAATGAGCTCAAAGTTTCGTTGACGTGGCTCTTTTCAGGTGCTACATTAACCAGCATCAAAACTTTGGAGCTGTCAGTCAAGCATGGCGCCAAAAGCTCGGTGAGTTTGCTTGCCCGGAAGGGGATATGACTCCCGGGGCTGTGAAGCGCCTGTATAACTGTCCCTAATGTACTCAAGCTCGAGTTGATGGCTTTTGTCTCCTGCAGACGGGATGGGTCATCTGAAAACACTCTTTCTGAACCAGCTAGATCAATGAAACGTAGCACACAGCTAGTGTTGACACCAGTTTTTTTGTTGAGGGTACTGACGCCTATCGAAAAAATAAAGTGCGATCGTGACGAAGATGCATTGGCCTTTGTGGATATTGTCTTACGCCTTGTTTGAGCATAAGAAAGAGCATGAAAAACATCGTTGCTATTTCTAAACTCCAAAGTGGCACCCAGCCGAGAATTTGAACTCGTTCCCAAGCCAGAGAAGAGATCATTCACGTGATCCAAATACACTTCAACACAGTTGCCGGTGATGCTGAATTCTGTATCATCCATAGAATCCAACTCTTCAAAAATGAACTGGACGGCTCGTTTTGTTATTCCGTCATCAGATATCATTGTATGAGACTTTCCAGCACTAGTTTGACCATAAGCGAATATACAAACATTGTGACCCTTGAGGGCACCTTCTATAAGAGGTTCAATTTCATAGAAAATCTCCCCGTTTGTATGCTGGGGACCAAACACTTTATCAAGAGTAAAGTGTTCATCTTTGGTTTCGATGCCTTTATATGTTTTCAATGGCTTGGACACCCTGACTTCAGTGTCAGATCCTTGTACTAGAGTCACAGCGTTGTGCTCGTCGGGTTCAAAAGAGCATCGGATCCTACAAAACACTCTGATGCTTTTTCGCCTCGTCATAATTTCATACCTCAGTTGCCTATTTCGTTCACGTTGCTGCTTTATCAATGTTGCGAAAGTTGCTTCTCGTTCGCGGGCAGAGATTACACGAGGTCGATATTCTAGAGGTGAGCATTCTTGATCGCCTTCACCTATGAGTTTCGCGTTAAGAGCTTTAATCTCTTGACTAGTGGTTTCAAGAAGGTTCGCTTGGGATGACAATAACTGCTCCAGAGAACTAAGTTGGTGCTCATGTTGGGATACGCATGACCTCGAAATATCAATTGCATCTTGTAACGTTTCGATCTGTTTACTTTTTTCGCGGTTCTCCATCTCGCATTGTTCTAAGTACGTTCTTCGATCATTAAAACTTTGCTTCTTTTCAGATGATAATGAAGTGAGATCCAGCAGTTCGTTCTGCAGCTTTTTCTTCTGCTCCAGTTTCTCATTTTCAAAGCAATTCATCTTGAATCTCAGCTGTGAGGCTTCCTCTTTGAGAAAATTGAGTCGAGATTCTGTGGCACCAGCTTCAGAGATCTCTTTCTGTAGAGAATTCACCCTATTCAAAACAATCCGAGCAAACGTCCAGTCATTTCGGAGTTCCAGAAATCGTAGTAACTGGGCGCAAGTAGTTTGATCCTCATCATTAGATCTTTCGTGCTCGTCTAAATATCTGTGCAACTCTTTAATCATTAATTTCGGTTTGGTGCTAAGAATATGGGGCGGTTCATAGACTGTATTTCTCATTTTTCGCGCGGGTCCGGGACAACAACACGATGATCGAAAAATCACACTATAACAAAGACTCGCTCGATTCGACTTCAGGCCTGATTTCAGACTCAGTAGGTGGCACATCTTGACCAAGACTGCCAAGAAGTTTCTCATATTCAGCAATCTTGATTTCGGCGTTTTCGAGAAGCAGCAGTACAGCATCCAGATCTTCTTTAGCTTCGCGACAAACGTGGTCAAAGCGCAATTGCAGTTCGCTGAACTTGGTTTCAAGAGCTATCATCTCGGCAGGAGCATTGTTTTCACTCCTTGGTTCTTGGAGATTAGAGAGCTCCAGCTGAGCAGACTCTGCCTCCAATCGGAATTTTTCTGCTCTAGTTTGAGATTCGAGCAACGCATTCCGAATATCTGAAATATCATTCTCATCTAAAACTTCAACTTGAGAGTTTTCAAGTTCAGCCTGGGCACGATGAAGTTCTTTGCGGACTTCATCAAGCTCACTCTTGGTTTGTTCCAACGTGGCTTGTAACGCAGAGCTGTTAGTCTCTTTCAGATTTGAACTTTCACCTTTCGCACCCATTAGTGATTTAGAAAGCTCTTCATATTTTGCTGTCATGTCTGACAGTTTCAAATTGCTCTCCTCAAGTTGTGAGGTGAGTTTTTCAACCTGAGGTGTAAGATCATCATTACTGCCGGACAGTTTCGTCTTGTCGTTGAGCTCAGCTTTTAGTGCTAAAACTCTAGCCTGCAGTTCTGCCGTTGTCGTGGACATATCGGCAGGCGCTTCACTTTGATGCTGACTTTGGGACTCGTACTGTTTGAGTTTCTCTTGAGCTTGATACAGCTGACTGGCAAAATCGTCTCGAGATTTTGTTGCTTCTTCAAGTTCCTCCTCTAAAGAAGACTCTGTATCGAGTTCTGCTTTAGCAAGGACTAGCTGTGCTTCAAGAGACGTAATCTTCTCTTCCAACAGCGCATGAACGGGGTCTGACTCCGGAGTCTGACCACTTTGAGATCCTTTGGCGCTCTCAAGCTTGGCCCTCATGAGTTTATTTTCCTTTTCTAAGCTGGCAATACGAGTACGCATGGACTCGTCTTGTACCTTCAACGCTGTTTCCAACTCATTCACACGCTCTTGAAGATCCGTCTCACGTTGCTCACCAGCTTGTAGAATTTCGGCAGTCTCTCTCAACTTGTTGATTACCTTCTCGTTCGTACTTTGAAGATTGAAATTGTTCTTTTTTTCGATGGTTAAGGCATTAGTGGTCTCGTTTAACTTCTTTGTAGCTACCTCGAGCTGGGAAGTTTGGTTGGCAAGCTGGTCACGCAGCTTCTTCACATCTCCAGCACCTTCTTTGTTTAACAAAAAAAGCTCACGTGTTACCTTGTTAATTCCATCTTCAGCTTTTTCTTTTGCAGTAGTAAGTTGGGCAATCTGTTGAGAAGTTTTGGCATGCTTTGCTTCAATTTCTGCAAGTTTCTGGCGGGTAGAGCTAAGCGCTTCAAGCTTCTCCTTATGCTCTGCAGAAAGTTTCTCGTGGTCGGACTTCAAAGAGGACAGCTCGGCTTGAAAAGCACCTTGAGTACTTTGAAGACTCTCAAAGTCCCCACTAATAGTAGAGTGTGACTCTTCCAGAGTTTTGAGAGCTTCAGATGTCCGCTCAAGTTCAGCTTTGAGCTGAGTTTCACTAGCGACGAGCGCTTCTTCTTTTTGCGAACGCTCATACTCTTGTTCTTTGAACTCTTTCTCTTTGGCAATTAGTTGAAGTTTGAGCTCTTCATACATTTCAAGTGATATACGTGAAGAAGGCTCCACAGTGGGGTCTCTATCAATGGCTCTTTGAATACGATTGATATTGTCACGAACAAGAGTGATAAATAATGACTCAAAATAAACCTTGGGCAAGCCATTGGGACCTTTGGCGGCGCTAAAAATCAAGCTCGGATCGAAGTCCTTGAACTCAGGGTTCTCCCGGAACCGCTGGAACGAAAGAGTATATTGGTCACGGCCAAGGGTGTTGGTGAGCAGATGGTAGAAATCGACTCGAGTTATCGGCGATGTCGAGGAGCAGAAATCATATGCAATACCCAATAGGATTGTAGCGAGTGATCCCACTAAAACATGGCCGCTACCACCATTGTTAGTTGTAACATAGGTAACAAGTTGTTGAACAACAGAACGCTCGGCAACAAAATCATTAACTGCTTGTATATCGTCGAAAAGCCATGTACAAAGCAGCATGAGATATGCTAGACTAATCGTAGGATCTTCATGGTCGAGACTAGTGAGAAGCTGGCCTGAAACTGCCTGAATGATCGGGAGCTCATCTTGTCCTAGCTCGGCATCTCCAATGGTGATTTGACGAATATAGTCCTTTAGGTCGTTGGAAACAGAAAAGATACGCATTAAAATTACGCTTGCAAACCACACTTTGAAAGGGTTTAGTGCCCAATCCTCATTGTACTCAGCCAAGGTAGTGAAAATGTTCGCCCTTGAAGAGTCTTCTTCAGCTTTCTTCAAGCCGGCAACTTGCTCATCAACAAAACGACGAGCCGCGTCCTCGTTACCCTCAAATGCTGCAGTTAAGCAGAACTGAGAAGCTGCTCTTAGTGTGAAAAGGTAATGTGAAGGCAAGAGCAGTGCCCAATTAAGAAGCGCTTGGGAAACTGGAACTATGTTGGGCGTCATTTGGACATTCAAAGACAAGCTCAAATCATAATATGGTACATCAATGCCAAGGAGCTCTTCTTGACGGGCTTGGTTCTCATATACCAGAGAAGAAGCGGTTAAAAGAGAGGCAGTGCGAATCGGCAGACTTGTTGCGGGTCCAAATGCGAGCTTGAGCACAGTCAAAAGCACCCCAGCCTGCGCGAAAGAGTCTTGGTGCATTCGGGTTGCTTCACCTCCTGGAACAACAAACAAACGGGCCAATTGGAGAGCTAATGTCATATTGCTGGTAGCTTGTTCACCCCAGTTTGCCTCATCTCCGGTATCTATCATAGATGCATACTTGACGATACCCTGCGTAGCACTGAACAGTTTCTGGTTCGAAACATTATATTGCAGGAGGTTTGAAAACAAGGATAAACAGTTCTCAACTGTGACACCGCCGAAACAAATATCACCTTCGTCATCGATGATTGTAAACAGCTTGTCGAACGCACCTTCAAAAGCCACAAGTTTCTGAAACTCAAGATGGTTATCTGTCAAATGCAACAGCAACAGCACAGCTTCATCGCGAACCATTTCATATTTCGACTCCATAGCAGCGACAAGTGTAGAAATTCCCTGAGGTACCGAAAACAGGCTTTGTTTGATCGTGTCTGGACGACTTGCAACCATAGCTGAGAGCAATTGCATCGCATAGAGCGAGGTAAACATATCTTTAGATTGAGCAAAGTCCAGGAGTGCTACAACGTTCCCATTATCGTGGGTGAATTCATCCGTGAGCCAGAGAGAAATATCATCTACGGGTCCCGTGAACACTTCATTTTGGGCCTTCCTCGACGAAATAAGCGGAGACACGTAGCGCTTATTCTTTTGCCTTGCTCGGCGCGACAGCTCCAACAGATCACTGTCGATGCTTGAGGCCTTGATAAACAGAATGATCAGGGTTTCCAAACATGCTCGAATTGTTTCTGGGTCGTTTTTATCCTGCTTCAGAGAATTGATCAACCCTTTGATCCCGTTTGAAGCGACAAGTTCACGTTTGTCGTGCGCAAAGCCCTTCAAACTGAGAATGGCAGCTCTTCGATCCTCTAGCATTGTGGAATGTGCCAAACGATCGCACAGTGTGATGATGGTGGCCTCTGCGGCCTGCATCTTTGGCTGTGGTAGGAGGCCCAGCATAGTCGCGTTAGAGGCTAACTAATCGCGTCCGGAGAACTGGTTGAAATAAGCGGCGGGATTGAGCTTGTCTGAGATGCTGAAGTCACGCAGAGTCGAAAAATAGCGTATATACCTATTCAATCTAAAGAGCAGCAGTATGGCCAGAAAAAAGTCCAAAGGGTGGTTGAAGGGGTGTTACTCCAACTCATACCTCTAAAGCCCATGACAAATAATTTTTCACCGTTGATTTCGACCGCGCTCTTGCGGGTACCGTTGGACGTTTTGTTTAACGACTGCCTTGCGGACCAGAAGGGGCCCGCGTATGCTGTTTCTGGGCTGGCGAATCACAAATAGACGTCCAATTTTAATCACCAGGAAGACTTGATTGTGTCTTTCTGGCTTCAGTGCGGACTACAAGCCGAATGACGGACGCAAAAAGATGAGCTAGTGTAATCTATAGATAACATCCCGAAAATATAATTGAAACCACCAACGCACGTTGGTAATTTCCAATGAAGATCGAACCAAGCCAAGATGATCCGGGCAATGTGACTCTTCTCCACCTTCCTGAGATGTACCCTAACCTCCATACGCAACAGTTGGGCCTTTTGGGCGCACAACAAGCTATCTTTGTTCAATTTTTTCACCCACGTTTGCCTGAAAAGTAATTAGGCAGATTGCCAGCGTATGAGCCCTGAACATCTCAGAAGATTCACCACACGCCCGACCAAACCCAGATAACACCCGCTTCAACCCCGTTTCTACGTGGCCGCAAATTTGCTCCTTTTGTTTCACTGATTTTACAAGTTTTCATTTGATATTGAATGGAAAAGCCCGTCAAGTACATCAATCACGAGGTTGCTGATACCTTAGACTCGACGAATGCCTTCGAAGGCCCCGAAAAGCTCTTGGAGATCTGGTTCGCTCCGAAAGAACCCCATGTCTCCGCCATGGCTCAGCCTCGGCAGGGTTTGCTTGCAGTCCCGCGCCAGGTCTGGGAAACCATGCTCAACCTTGTCCAGTGCAAGGTATTGAGTATGCTTTCCTACGAGGGTCTCGACTCCTACGTCTTGTCTGAATCCAGCTTCTTTGTGTATCCTCATGTTTTGATTCTCAAAACGTGCGGAACAACCACTCTCCTCGATGGGTTGCCCCGTATGTTAGAGATTGTTGCCGACTATACCCGGACAATTGATCCCAGCCCTCTAAGGATCTTTTATAGTCGACGCAGTTTCATGTTTCCTGACCGCCAATTGCACCCGCACCGTTCGTGGGAAGACGAGACAGCGGTGCTCAAGCAGTATTTCCCCGATGGACAAGCCATGGAGTTCGGAGCCGGAAAGGACAAATGGTACATGTTCTCTTGTGTACAGTCCCAGGTTGGCAAAACCTGCGACAATTTCAACGACTTTTCGCTCGAGATCATGATGACCGATCTGGACCCGGCCGCAGCCAACCTTTTTTCGTTCGACGCTGTCCGGTCCTTGAACTCGCCTCCCGGCACTCCAACTTCTGCCAATCCGATGGAAAGCAGTATGTTGTCGATTGACTCCATGGCGTCCTCTGTTGGTTGTGAACCCGACGACGATGATCCGGGACATCACCAAGGAAACATCTTGACCAAGGCGACTGAGATTGATGAAATCTATCCCACGGTTACTAACCAGGCGATAGACTCGTTTGCCTTTGCGCCTTGCGGCTATTCGTGCAACGGTGTCATTGACGCCGAGCGCTACTTTAGTATCCACGTCACGCCCGAGACGGGGTTCTCGTACGCTAGCTTTGAGACGAACGTTCCGCCTCAACGCTTTGGTATGACCCACCTGGACGTAATCCAAAAAGTCTTGAGTATTTTCCGCCCGGCGAACTTTACTCTCGTGTTATTTGAAGAAGGCAAGCCGAAACTTGGCTTACCTGCCGGGCTTTCTGACAAGTATTCCCCTACCTGTGAAGTTAGCCAGTCTGTTGGTAACTACAAAATGTGGTACCAGACTTATCGCCTTACTTAGGCTCTTTTCCGTAGGTATATAAGAATAGTAAACGCCCCTTTGGAACTTGTCCCCCTTATCGCAGGCCAAACCGAAACTGGGTTGTCCTAATCTATTATAATCTTATCTCGTCTACTTCGGTAATCGTTTGGTCCTGAGAACTTATTTTTAGCTTTACATTTTGCCTGGCTGTTGGTCCCACCTCCCCTGCACCCCTGCCCGCTCATCCTTAAAAACCGTTGGTCCTTGCAGCTGACATCATATGGCTTCGTTCCACAACCCGTTTGCTTCGATAGGGGACTACCGAGACAAGTCTGGAGGCCTTGCAGATCCTGACGAGGTATCGTACTCGTATCTGAGTGGGATACCAGACGTAAGAACCCTCTTAGACCCTCGAGTCACCATCATCTTCAAGAACTTGCTCAAGAAGGATGCAGTCACACGTGATAGAGCCCTGAACGAGTTTATCGATTTCACGTATTCGGGCCAGGAAATAGATGATGAAACGCACCTTGCCTTCATTCAAATCTATTCAAAGTTTTCGATCGACGTTCTCCCGAGCGTCCGCCAAAAGGCTCACGTTGCGCTCAAGTCCCTCTACTCGGTCCTCGGCAAGCGATCTACAAAGCATCTACAGTCGTCAGTCGGGCCATGGCTTGCTGGAACACATGATCCCGACCCTACTGTTAGTGCTGCTGCCGAAGAAGCCTGGACCAAAGTGTTTCCAGGTAAACGAGATCTTGTGATCAATAAAATGCGTCAACCGTTGATAGATTTTGTGGACAATGTGTTGACGGGTATAACGCCGACGACCATAAGTGATATGAGGTACATCTCAACCGAAGATGCTGATCAGAAGTACTATCGTGTGGTCAAAACTGCTGTTGACATTATTGCCTCTGAGTTGCATTTTGAATATGATACCGAGGTTCCACACTTTTTGCTAGACGACTCGATTTGGAAATTCTTGACTAGCAAAAACCAGTACCTAGTCAAGTCAGTTCTAACGCTGGCTACACCGATTTCGGCTTCGTTCACTCCTGAACAGCTAGCCGCGTTCTGGAAGAACTTGCTCAAAGCTCTTCGTTCCACGCCTCCGCAGGTAGCAGTGGACGTTTTGAAATCATTTGTTGAAATCACCCGAAAGTATCCTGACGTGTGGTTCAAGGGGGAGGTTGTGCCTTCTCTTGCGCAATTTATTGTCAATTCGAGCACTAGTTCTCGATCGATTTGGCCTCAACTGTTCAACATCTTTTTGAAGGAGATTCCTGAAAGCATTGGTTTCCAACAGGAATCGACGGCGTCGCTGATCCTCAAGTCAATAAGAAAAGTGCTGCCCGATGTTGTGGGAGATGCAGAGGCTTCAGCGTGGGGCTGCTATCTTGCATTATGCTCCAAACCTGGGGTGTTTAAATACATTGAGCAGGCAATTGATGCAACTGCAAAGCGATGCCTGAAACCTGTGCTGCCTACGTTGTCTGCTTCATTAGCAGCTCGGTTGAAAGATCTTGCCAAGGTAGATGGAATTGAGCCCGTGGTTGCGAGAAATTTGGACGGCAACGCCGGGTTTGCAAGAGTGATTGCTGCCAGTGGTGTGTTTGATGCTCAACTTCAAAATGCCATTGAAAGCCTACCTCCAAAGACAGTTGGCCAAATTGTCGCGATGAAGCCTGATCTCAAGATCGATCTCAGTGAGTGGGAGCCTAGTCCTGAACTATTGGAAGTTGCTCTGCATTCATCCACCATCGACACAGACGCTGTAATTGATTGCTTGATCCCAGATTTTGCTTCGCTGGTCATGGAAAAAGCTCGAAAGCTTTCTTGTGTCAACCGTAATCTCTCCAGCTATGTCGATGAGACTTCTCCATCTTCTCTTCGTGCTGCTATTTTGGCCCATGGCAGACTTATTTATGATGAGTGCGCAATTGAATACGTCAATGTGCTTTGTGAGTTGGCGTTAATTCATGATGATGCTCTATTTGAACTCGGCAGAGCGGTGTCTGCAGACGAAGAGTTTTGCGTCCCTATACTACGGGAGAGACACGACTTTTTGGCTTTTATCAGCAAGTCCGAAAATCGTTCTGCTGTGCGAATCCGTGAAAAGCTTGTATCACAGGACACTGTTGAAACTTTATTGGCTGAGCTAGAGGGGCCGGTCTCGCCTGAGGAACTGGATATGCTCATTGAGCGTGCTGTTAAATTGGCAGGCGATACTGATTCTGCTAAAGCAATACTATATTGCAACGAAGAGTGGCTCAGTGATGCGGCTTTATCTATTGAGAGGCAAAGTCAATGGGTTTACGAAATTGATTGCTGGCATTTGACCCGGTTTGAACAGCCCACGGAATGGTGGCCAGTTGTCAGCCGAGCTTTCTTTATGTTCCATGTTTACAAACAAGTGAAAGACAAACTGTTTGGTGTTGATCGTTTGAAGGTCATGACCGAGTGCATTTTGGTCGCATCAGCCTGTGTTGGTCACGTATTCATCGATCGAGAATCTGCGCAGACAGATTTGTGCAAGTCGTATTTGGCTGAATTTGAGACGTTTGCGATAGATGACCCATTGTTCGAATCAGCGTTGTGGGAGATGACTGAAGGATTTGGTCCAAGGACTTTCCATGCTGTACAAACATGCAGCCATTTTATGAGTGAGGAAAGGTTAGTGCAGCTTTCTCAGTCGAGTAGGGATAGTTTCGCCATCAAGTCGCTACGGGCTGCCCTAATTGCTCAGAACAGCGCCATCGAGCCGGTTCCCTGGTACACGCGGTACCAAAACGACCTGGTCGATGATCTCAACCTGTTTACTATTGCAATGGCTGATGTTGCTATTATTGGTGAAAAACTGCAGGACAAGTTGCTGGAAAAGATAATGAGCGCGACTGGATCAGAACTTGTGGAGTTTCTCAAATTGTTGCACCAACTAGAGTATTACCCTTCAAATGAGCTTGTAAAGTACGCTTTGAACGGGGGCCTAGAATCCCAATTTGCGATCCTTCAAATGATTGACCCAGGGGAGTACTCCGCTGAGATTGCTGAGGCTGCTTGCCGGCTTCTGCCAGACTCTTCACAATTTGACAGGCAAGTCCATGGACTCTACCTAAAACATGCCAAAGGTGCTCTTGCCGAACATGTACAGGTAAAAATTGGCTCTCTCTATAGTCTCATTGAGGTGCAGGGTGACACATTGCCATGGGTGGCTTATGGGTATCTGCACCAAAACCTGGTTCATTTCTATCACGACCAGCTTTTGGGATCCGATCTAGAGAACACCAATATTTCTTCGCACCTACAAGCGATGCTGAGAGATCCTAAACAGGAGCATAATCATGTTGTTTGGCTTCTGTTCATGGCGTATGTTACAGAGTACGTGGAGGTTACCAATACAGTCGATCGTAAGGTTCGTCCCGCCATATCGGTGTTTGCTGAATATGAGAAGGTTTATCAGCAAATTTTGAAATTTATCAGTCTTCAACTTGAGAATGTCACTCGTATTGAGCTTGCTGAGATCAAAGCCGAGGAGTTGCCTTCAGAAAGTGGACTATCACTGGCCGTGCACTTGCTGTATACCATGAGCATGTCTCTAGGATCGGTAGTGCGAAGCTGGTATCGGGACGTACGTGATCGCCGCCTACTGAAGAATATTGAGGATACTCTGCAAGTTGCTGTCGTGCCTGCAGTTTTGCGCACCGTCGCCCACACCGCCCGTACCATGCGGGAGCACGGACAGCTCGAAGGAACGTCTGTCTCTGAGCAATTGCGGGAGTTCCGGGCTCTGGTGGAACTTGACGATCATTCGGTTGAGATTGTGGTACATCTGCCGAACCTGTATCCCGCCAAGTCCGCGTCGGTCGAAATCAAAAATTTGGTGGGCGTGCCCGAGGCTAAGCGGCGGGCGTGGGTGCTTGAGGCCGAATTTACTGTTCAAAATGGTGCCATCATTAGTGCTATGAGGGGACTGATCTTAAAACTAAGCAACTTCTTGGAAGGAATCGAGCCATGTGCCATTTGCTACCAGGTTGTACTCAATGGCAAGCAGCTTCCAAACAAGAGTTGCTCCACATGCCACAACACATACCACACAGACTGTCTCTTCAAGTGGTTCAACAGTAACAAATCAAGACTGTGCCCGATGTGTCGGTCGTCATTCTAGTATTCGTTTATAGCTTAAAACGACACTATGCATTAACACCTACTTAGAATGGACATGCACCCCCAACCTCCCGCCGGCAGGAAATGAGAGGCGAGCAGGCTTAATCATCCAGAGATTAGCTTAACCCACACACACCAGCCATGGCACGGAAATCCATGCTTAAAGTGATTATTCTCGGCGACTCTGGAGTTGGCAAGACTTCATTGATGCAGCAGTATGTGAATAAAAAGTTCTCGACACAGTACAAGGCGACGATTGGTGCTGACTTTCTCACCAAGGAGCTGACGCTTGACGACCGGCGAGTAGTTATGCAAATCTGGGACACGGCAGGCCAGGAACGGTTTCAATCGCTCGGTGTTGCGTTCTACCGTGGCGCAGACTGCTGTGTTCTTATGTTTGACGTGAATAATGCAAAGTCCTTCGAAGCACTCGATACCTGGCGTGACGAATTTCTTATCCAGGCCAACCCGACCGACCTAGAAAATTTCCCGTTTGTGGTTATTGGAAACAAAATTGATGTCGACGAAACACGTAGAGCCGTCAGTACGCAGAAGGCCCAGCGGTGGTGTGCGCAGAAGGGCAACCTTCCCTACTTTGAGACCTCTGCCAAGGAGGCAACCGGCGTCAACCAAGCGTTCGACGTCATTGGCCGCAATGCATTACAACAGGATGATGTCGAGGGCTTTGACCAGGAGTACCCGGACGGTGTGGACTTCAGCCAATACGAACAAGAGCGTTCCGATTGCGCCTGTTAGAATGGGGTAGGGCTTCCAATTTCGTAGAATCATCATGGACTCACAATATATATGGTTAAATTTAATGTAAACGTTTTCGTGCTCCAATGGCATCTAGCAGAGCCCGCGACCTCCAAACTCTGCTTGCTGACAACCAAATGGCCGTTCCGGATTTGTTCTTGGACCCAGACCTCCGCACGTGGGTTCTGGCCCCGATTCTGGTGGTCATGATTCTTGTGGGTCTCACAAGACACTATATCACTGTCTCGTCCCGCCCGTCACCTCCGCTGCTCAAAGGAAAAGACAAGCGGCAACAAGCATACTTGAGGTACTCCAGCCTGTTACTCAAGCACTCGTTCAACCTGAGCGAGTACCAGTTCAACTCCACTGTTCAAGCACTTGTGCCAAAATTCCGCGGCGGCGAGTATCTTGCAAACCCAGATTCCAAGCCCGCTAGTGGAATGCCCGATCTTTCAGATCCGTCAAGCCTCGAGGGGGTGACCAAAATGGCCCGCACTCAAATTGTGAATATCGTCCCTCAAGCTATTTTGATGAGTTGGGTGTCCTCCTTCTTTGGAGGGCTTGTTGTCTTGAAGCTTCCTTTCCCCTTGACTTGGCGCTTCAAAGAGATGCTGCAATCTGGCATTCAAACCGCCGACCTCGATGTGAGATGGGTTAGCTCTATTTCATGGTACATTCTACTGCTCATGGGTCTTTCCAGTGTTTATGCTCTTTTGTTGGGCGGCAATAACTCTGCATCCCAGCAGCAACAGCAGCAGCAGCAGCTCTTCGGTGCTCCTGGTGTTGACTTTAAAAAGCTGTTTAGCGCTGAGGCCGACTCGATGGAATTGGCAACCCACAAATCAGTTCTCCGTGGCGTTCAATCCCGTGTTCTGGAACCATGATCCATTATATATCTCATGTATACAGACCCTGCTCTACACCAGTGGGTATATCTTTTCCGTAAACTCTTGTCCAACTTATAGGCTGCTGGAAAGGTTTCGAGGGAAGACCCAATCTCTGGGCCAAGATAGTGGCCAACTCCTTTGCATTGGCAATATTGTCGCCCTCGTAGGTGAATAGAACAATTGCATCCGCATCCAACGCCTTCACTGCCTCAACCGCATATCCAGACTCGGGTAATCTGTCAGGAATTGTGTCCTTGGTGTATTCTGCAACCCGTAGCTGGCCCAAATCCTCTAATTTCATACCGGCATTAGCTGACCCGGCAACTAGGACTTTACCCTTGAGCTGGGACTTGATTCCGTGAATGAATTTGCTCTTCTGACCGGGTAAAGGAGGCGATCTTATTTGAATAAGCTTAATGTCGTTCAATTGAAATAGTTGGCATGCGGTGGTCAACCCTTGTTCCACTGGAAGCGTCAGCCCATCAAGGGGTCCAGCAAATGGGTAGAGGTGCTCATCGTCCAAGGATTGGACGAGCTTGAACCCATAAGTATAAATTAAAAGATCCAGAGCTAACTGTGGAACGTTTCCCGTCGAAACTGTCGGCAGCACTACCCGGGTGGCCATTATGAAATCAGATAAAGAAGTGGAAACTTCTAAATCTTCACATGGCCCCCACGATTTTATGTGTTGGTATGGCCGGCTCAGGCAAGACCACGTTTCTTCAGCGCCTGAACTCGGACTTGCATGCTGCCAAGAAGCCCCCGTATGTTATAAATTTGGACCCCGCCGTCCACGATGTGCCTTACGGTGCCAACATCGACATTCGAGACACCATCAACTATCATAAAGTTATGGATGACTATGGATTAGGGCCGAACGGGGCCATCACTACATCGTTAAACCTGTTTGCTACCAAGATCGATCAGGTTCTCAACATTGTTGAGAAGCGCAGTGACCAGTACAGCAATATTCTAGTGGATACTCCTGGTCAGATCGAGGTGTTCATGTGGAGCGCCTCTGGGCAAATTATTACAGATGCTTTTGCTTCTGCAGGCCCTACTATGATTGCATACATTATTGACACGCCTCGCTGCACATCGCCTGCCACTTTCATGTCCAATATGCTCTATGCCTGCTCTATTCTCTACAAGACCAAACTGCCGATGATCATTGTGTTCAACAAAGGGGACGTTATCGAACCCACTTTTGCAATCGAATGGATGAATGATTTCGAAGCTTTTCAAAAGACATTATATGCCGATCACGAAGATTCCAGCTACATGACGTCTTTGATGAACTCCCTGGCGCTTATGCTCGACGAGTTTTACAATACCCTTGACGTTTGCAGCGTCAGTGCAGTTGCTGGCACCGGCTTTGACGAGTTTTTCAAAGTCGTCGACAAGAAGGTTGAGGAGTTCAATGTGGATTATAAGGCGGAGCGTGAGCGAGTCAAGAAGGTCAAAGAAGAGCGAGAAGCGAAGCGCAAGGCGGACGATCTGGAGCGGTTGCTCAAAGATGTTGGTGTTGAACAGAAGGACCCGATGGACGTTCTTTCGGATCTTGAGGATGACGAGGAAGAGCTCCAAGAGCCCGATGATGAAGACAATTTGCAGAACCGTTACCAGCAGGCACTCAAGGACAGCCAGGGCGAACGGGCAGCAATTGAGAAGATCTTAAAAAACCAGGACCTTGAACAATAATAATTTTTATTATAGCAAAGATAAAACTTTAGATAGAATTCGTCGCTCGTCTAAATCAATAATCGCTTTGGCAAACTCGGCGTTGGCCCACGAAAACCATGGCCTGGTGAAACTGTTTGTGTCGACATTGATGCTTTCGTGAATGAGGCCAAGGCCTCTAGTTGATTCCAGAACTGCCTTCAGGTGTTGGGCAATCTCCTCTTCATCGTTGGACGTTCGAATAGCCAGAATTCGGCTCATTGGCCAAGCATTACGAAGCCCAACATGGGGTCCCCCGATTCCTTCAAAGTAGGGCCCGGTAATAAAGTAGGGATTTGCAGGCGACAAAACCATTCTTCTCGTGTTCTGGTACAGAGGGTCGTCGATCCCTACAAATCCCAGAATTGGCAGCGAAAGAAGAGATGGGACGTTGGCATCGTCCATGAAAAGTGAGCTGCCATAACCGTCAACCTCATACGCAAAAACGTCGCCATAGTCTGGGTGGTTAACAACTCCGTGTCTATAAATTGCTTCCCGGATCTCGCTTGCCATAGTAGCAGCTCGCTCTGCTAATTCTGACGGTGCGTACTTGGACAGCCGTTCCAGCTCAACAACAAATTGGGCGTTCGCTGGCACGAGAAACTGATAAACGCACGTATCGTCAGAGGGCCTGAAAAAGGACCTCACCATTCCTGTTTTCTTTACGGGATTTCCTTGGCCATTGTTTGGCAATGTCTCTGTTCCGATGTCCGTTTTCCTTTTGAACATGTAGGGTGGACGGGCTACCCTTCCAAATTCATCATAAGTACCACCTCTAAGGTCCTGTATTCTGTCTAGAACAAACTGTGCAGTCTCAAGCCATTGGCCTGTCATAAACGACTTATCTTGAGTAGCATCATAGTAGTCGTTCGGCAGTCCAAAGAACGAAGCCAGCGAGTCAAGCTCATACTTGCATTCGAAAACAAAAGACGGATCATAGTTCGGGAACACATTGTCGTTCTGTCCATTGTTTCTAATTGGTAGCCGAGCTTCAACTGGCGGCTGAAATGCATTGCAATGCGGGAACCGTCGTACATACCGCACATGCAGCGCAATAGCTCCCAGCAGCAATTGGCGGAGGGATTTGTCCTGAGATGCCCAGGGCGTGTATGGGCTCAATTGACGATGCGAATCACGAATCCATTCAGCATTAATGTCGCCAGTGACAACAAATGTTATAGGAGAAGATCCGGAATCGTGGAATCGAATGGTAGTGTCGAGGGTATTCGGGAAGGTGTTTTCAAACAACCGAGCAAGATCCGGAATGTTTCGTAACTTGGCTTTCATCTGCTCAACCTCATGATCAATAACTCGGCTGCGGAATGTTCTACACTCGGGTGGAGGTCTTTGCATGGGCAACGACAGCGGACCATGCGACAGGGGTGGGTTGCGCTCTTGGCAAAAGCGCTCGTAGTCAAAATCTCCCACCACAGACATCTTGTATTCAGACACTGGTGCAAAATAGTTGGATATCACAGCAATAATGCAGCTAATGCCAGGTAACCCTATAACCATTCAAAACGGCCCGAATTGGGAAGCTGCTTATGTTTGTGAGCCCAGCTCCTTAAGCGTGTGGCATCCCAACAGAAGTAAGCACACTGCGTTGTGACCTCGCTTAAGTGTTTTGAGCGAGATTTCGCAGTATTATACGAGAAACGAGCAGCTACTCGGCTTCCAACATGAATTCGAAAGACTCATTGATAGTCCAATTGAGTCCGGAAGTCCGAGCGCAATTAAATGACAGTCCGCGGAGTGTACTGGACGCGGTCCTCAAACGTGAAGCGTTGCTCCAGGATCAAATCCAGCACTTTATATCTTTGCGGGTGCAAGAGCTCCGCAATTTTTCACAGCACCTGTTGGAAGAACACGTGAATGAGCTTCGCCGTGCCCAGCAAGACCGCAAAGACGCCCTGGCTGCACGAAGCCGCCCACCACTCAAATCGATCGTCAAGCGTCGAGCTTCGTCTAGCAGCAAACGGGTGTCGTTCTCTACAGTGCCGCCCAAGGTCGAGTATTATCCATCTGGCGATGAGCAAAGCGAGCAGGACTCACAAGCTCTTGAATCCAGCGATGAAGACGTCCTCAGTCCTCCTCAGCTTACCTCAACCCAGCCCGCCCGCAGCGGCCTAGCATCAGCAGTAGTGGTGTACGAGCCTTCGCCCGATAAGCCCAAGATGCGTGCCGGTCAAGATTTTGAGGTTCATGTTCGGCAGATTTCAGATCAGACGCTGCCCTCTAAGCCCAAGAGAAGTGGGGGCTACGACTTTTCTAAAATCTCCAGTTCCCAGACCGAATCGGACACAGAAAGAGATCCTCCTCAGGTTTGGTCTGACGACGCTGAGGATGAGACCTCCGTTCATAATGAGGATACTCATGACTGTACAATTGACAAGCCCGCCTTACCAGTATTCCCGCACCGCCATTCGCACCACCATAAACCTTGGCGTGCCCAGCGGCAGCGACCATCTGCCCTGCTTTCTTTTGATGATGCCATTGATGACCACTCGTTCTCCGAACTAGATTCCGAAAGTGACGAAACCAGCGGAGATATAACTCCGCACCGGCCAACTTCACCGTCACCTCCGCCCCAAGATTCCGCTTCCAATCCTCCAGCAAGCTTAACCGTGGGTAGTGCTCCGATAGACATTCACACGCCACTCACCAAGGCCCTAGACGGCGATGGAGGGCCTAATAACTTTAAAGTTCCCTACCAACATGTTCTTCCACCAGCTGCAGAGGAGTTGGAAGTCTCAACCCCACCTAAAGACCCCCTCTCAGATCCATACCTGCCCCCCATGGAACTCGATCCCGCCAATCTCAGCTTCAGCCAACGAATGGAATGGGAAGACCGTTTCAAGACTTCTATTAGACCCTTGAACAATAGTTTTACCGGTAAAATCTAGTTTCGTTAATGTTTATAATTTATGTATATTGAGATGCCACTATTAATCATGTGCCCAAACCTCAGCTTGCTTAGTCTCGCCAAAAGAGAAATAAACCATGGACGTCTGGGGCGACGAGGAGCCCGGCCAACTGGCTAAAATTAAACGCGATCACACTAACGCGGGATATCTAGACGGAATCACGCGGTCAAAAGAACAGTCTTTGCAAGGCGGGTTCGATGAAGGGTACCCAGAGGGCGCTGCTATGGGCCTTGAGGTTGGTCGAATTATTGGCTACTTCCAAGGCCAGGGACTCCGAGATATCGAGAAAAAGGCATTTGATGAATTGAGTGAGGCCAGTCTGTTTAATTCCCAGTATTACAACGCAGATGCAACCCCCAATTTTCAAGGAACGCATCCATTGATCAAAAAATGGCAAGATAGAGTACAATCGTTTAATGTATAGAATACTACCAAAAAGAGCACCAGCCAATAAAATGCTGGCACAGATTTTCAATATTTGTTGCTTCGTGAATGAGCAAATCAACCTGGTCGGGAACATTGAGATCACGGTGCCGCTTGAAGTCGTTGCCGGTGAACTTGTCGCGAATGCGACGTAAGACAAGCTGGGCACGGGCGTTGCGAATTTCAGCCTCACGCTTCTGGTCCTCGGTAAGGCCGTCGTCAGCGACAACTTGAGACGCTTTTTCTTCGCCCGGGCGCTCATCTTCATCCTTTTTATTGGGAAGGTCGAAACCCCAGTTAATCAAAGGGTCGTTAGAAAAGGCCTCCAGAATAGCCATAAGTGACTCCGAGTTGTCTCTCAGTAGCGCCATCACATGCTCGCAGGTGATGCGGTAAGACCCCTCTACGCCGGAGACCTCCATTGCAAATGTTAGCATGCGTGTTAGACGGAAAGGCACCTTCTCGGGGAACTTTTCCCGCAAAATGGCCGCCTCGAAACAGTCACCGAAATCGATGTGAACAATGCGACCTGAGATGCGATCTAGCATCAGGTTCAATGGGTGACGATCACCCAATCCTAAAATGTAGCCAACCATAGACATAACTGCGAGCGATCTTGTGTAGTTCGTGCGACGGTCGAGCCATGCCTCTGAAGAGCGTGACTTGAGCCACAGGATACGATACAAATCCTGTCCCTTTGTATTGTCCAAAGCATATGTGAAGACCTCGATCTTTTGCAAGTGTGTCAAGTTCTCATAATCTGGTGCCATTTGAATCATAATACGATGCTCAATATTCAGCAAGGATTTGCCATCGCGATACTCACGAATGAGATAGTGCAGAGTGTCCGAATGAGGAACCCATCCCAAAAGACCAGCTTTAGGGGACAGTGGAATTGCGGGGTACTGATGAATTGACAAATGGCGCTTGAAGCATTCAGCATTATCAGCAAGCAATGTGTTGACAAGTCCGAAGAGCTGCATGACAAGCGAATCTTGACGGATGTCTTCGTGACCTTTTAGCACGTATTGATAATCTTTACCATCTGATCCCCGAACGGTGAAACGCCGAGGACGTTGCTTGGACGAAATCACAGCGAACGTCGGATCAAATGAAACAATCGTGATTTCCGGTTTATCGGGCTCATATGTTCTGGGAACAGCCAAATCAAGGTTCTTGGCATTCTGCAAAGCTGGAGAAACATACTGTAAATCAAGAGATGTAAGCTGAGGTAGCTGGCGAGAAATCCTTCTGAAAACAGAGTAATAAATATCCCAAGCTTGATTGAGAAGTGCCATATCATTGGTACGCTTGAAATTCTGTGTCCATTCATACGCATCATGTAAATCGCGGCCAAAAGCAGTCTGGAAAGACATCTCACGCAAAGTTGTAGGTCCCTTCTCCAAGGTGGTATGCAAGGGCTCCAAAGTAGCAAACATTTTCGGGATATTGTGCTCCACGAAAAAGTATCTTGAAGCATCTTCCAGCCCTTCGTGCCATTGTTCATGCCAAAGTACAGCGACTCTAATCAGCTCATGGGCAACCATATCTGCTTGCTCAACAATAATCGAAGAGTGCAACGAATGCGAGCGAACCTGATCCAAAATGTGTTCAGCAGCTTCTCGACTTGCGGGATCATCTGATTTGATGGACACTTGCAACGGATGTACCAAAGCTTGAGGATGTTTTTTACCCAGTTCAGCGAGTAACCCGTGCAAAGCTTTGCGCACAGTATCATCCGTCTGATGGATACGTGAAATCAGTTGAGGTGTAACTTCTAACCACACCTCAAGATTAACCATTCCAAATCCTTCGCTAATAGCGCGTGCCGGCTCGGTAAGACCACCATACTTGAACCACAACGTTAAAAGTCGCAGGGTATCTTGCAGCGCAGATTTGTGTGCAAGCGTGATAGAGTGGAAAAATCCTTTGATTGCCGGAACAACATGAGCTTGGACACAGTGTGATTCACCCTCTGCTCCTACAACCGCAGCTCCAGGTACCAATGCTGTTGGCCCAGCTCCTCCGCCAAGTTCAGTATCCTCCATCTCATCATCCTCATCAGCATCAGTGGAGTTACCATTTTCGTTGTTGGCAGCATCAAGAGCTTTCTGCACGGAATGCTCATACAAAGATACGACCTCGAAATTAGCCAAAGCCCAGTTATGCCATGCCTTATACCAGCCTCGGTCGAAATGTGTTGCTAAAAGATAAGATCCCAGGATGCTAGCCTTATCATCGGCGCTCTCTTTCCAATCTGTGTTCAGCGCAACTTGCCACTCGCCCTGTTTCAAGAAACAACGCGCAAGAAGTTTGGTGTAACTGAGGATTTCTGGTGTGGTACCTGGAAGCTCAGAGGGCAATGGCTGGGAAATAAGGTCGTCATTGCTTAAATTGAGATCATGAGACATGCGGGCTGTAAAGTCGATCAGATACTTGAGTGCTTCTTTTTGATTTCCTGTAGCCCACATAAACTTGAGCTGGGCATAAACAACCTGAGGAGGGGCACGAGAAGATTCGTTATCAACATCGAGAAGGAGATTCAACGACTTCTCTGCCAGCCCAATGCGGTTAGACTTGCGGCAAAGATTTGCAAATTTAACCCACATCTCCATATTCTGCTTAGGCGGCATCAACAAGGTGCGGACATTGAGTACTCGCTGCCAAATATCAACGTTATGCTGGATACCAATAAGACGCTTCTCCCAAGTTCGCTTAATAGTTGCTCGGTCTTCTTCAGCATTCTCCGGAAGCATTTTATACTGCATAATCTCTTCGAGTTCAGCAAGCATCTGTGCGCGTACAACAACACCATAGGCACGGTTGTAACTTTCGGAAACCAGAGCTGTGAGCTCAGTGATGATCTGATCTCGTGCCCTCTGGATTTGTTTGGCAGTCTCTTCGAAATTGTTCCGGTGCAAGCAAAGAATCGAGTTGAAGAAAGAGCGGTCCGGTGATTCAGGTTTCATGACATTGATGTACGTATCCATCTCTTCCCATGATCCCAATCCCCAAGCCGCTGCCGCTGCAAGAGGTGCAATGGCACGTCTGCTTTCTCTCGTAGAATTTGCCCATCGATCTTTAGCAATCTTAGAAAGTTGATCCCATTCTCCAAGTGCGTGCAAACAACGCATCTTACCCATAACGACATCCATAGAGTCTGGCTCCAACTTTTCTCTGGCCCTGTAAGCTGCTAATGCATCTTCCCAGCGACCCAGTTTCTCATACCACGTCTCCTTGAGCTGTAAGCTGTGGTTGTTCTGCGCGTGCTTAAGTATACCAATAGCAGCATCCGATTGCTGCAGCTGATTGTTAATTGAAATCAACGACTCAATCGTGCTAGCTGAAGGATCGTTGATAAAATCGAGTTCCTTGTAATGCAATGCTTTAGCATAGGCATGACATTTTTGAGCATAAGATGCCAACACACGAGGTGTAAGAGGTAACGGCTGATCATCACGCTCCATAAATTCAGCAAGAGTCAACAGCGTCTGCAAGATCTCAGGAGGAATATTGGAAGAAGCCATAGCATTCTGAATGTTCCCAATGAGATCTTCCTTGTAGTTCTCTGACAGATTTGCCCATACAGTATAGAAACTTGGGTTGAACAGATCACGAGCGAGACTAGTAGAGATAGTTGCGATGTTAGAACACGCCTTCAGGGCTGGTGAAGGAGATCCCTTGAGAAACTCGACACTGAGTCTGCGGAACCATTCTGTCCAATCTTCACGCGTCGACCTACCAGTTGCATCCCAAGCAGCTTGGATAAGATTCAGGTTGAAAGCGGCCTTACCTTGTTCAGAAGCAGGTGTGGAGTCCAAATGTGTGTCCAGGGGCTTTCTGTACGGGTTAAAATGGCTAGCGAGAGGCTCATTCCTCAAAATTCTGTGAACAAGCTTGTCGTAAGTAGACACATCTACCTGGCCACGAATGCGCTGAATTGTTGGATAAACAGATTCAGCAAATACAGCATATGACGGTCCTAGTTGATAACACACATTGCACAAAGTCTCCATACACACTTCTCGAATTTTGTTGTCATTCGTGGAGTTCATTACGCGGAGTAAAGGGTGGATGATACGAGATGCCATCTCGGACAAGTCAAGGCATTGCGCCAGGTCACTAACACAAGATAGTGCTGCTACTCGGAGGTCTTGTGGTGAAAAGTAAAACAATGAAACAACATTCGGAATGATAAGATGGATGTACTCTTCGAAGTTTGCTCCAAAGGTTCTGAGGCTATTCAAAACCTGAATTTTAGACTTGGTTCCATCATCGGCCTGTAATATACCGATCAGTAATGGCAATAGTCGAGGCATAAAAGTTTTGAATTCTCCATCCAAAGCGACGGCCAAAGATTCAATAACCACAAGTAAAGGCTGCTGCAGAGAAGGTACAGAAAAATATTCGTTAATAGCAACGAAAATTTCGTCAACATAAGAGCGAATATGCTGCTTGACAACAGCAATAATTTTAGCCAACTGCCAAAAAACAAACTCGATCGTATCTCCAGAGTTTCCGTGCAAAGAAGAAAGAAGGCCCGGAATGACCTTGTCCAAAAACAGCATACTCTTCATGCCTAGTGAACTGAACAAGTTTACAACTGCTTGAATGATATTCTTGTGCTGAGGTGCCGACGCAGGATCTTTCAGAAGCGTCATAAGAGAAAGCATTGCAACTGTAGGGTTATAGTCCTCATTGGATGGTGATGTTCCTTTGAGCACCAGCTTCACGTCAATTGAAACGTTATTCTCTTCACCTTCAGAGTTTGTATCAGCTTCGTGCTCGACCTCGCGATACTTGTAGGGATCCAACGCACCCAAAATACCGATTAAACGAACCGTGTTTCTCTGAATCACATGGTTGCCGTCGGAAATCAAAATTTTGATCAAAGTTCCCAGAAGATTGGGATATTGATAATAGGGCTCAATAACATATTCAGAGTTTGATGCAAGCTTTCCGAGTGTTCGCAGGGCGGTATCACGCTTGACAACTGAAGCCTGGTCTTGGAGCATATCGACAACCACGGGCATAATCTGATCAACGTAATTGAGCATTTGCTTGCCAGCAACAGGACTTAACTCCCCAACAGCATCCATAATACTCGATGTAACGGTAGATACAGTAGCATTTTTGGCTGCTGGAAGCAAAACTTTGAGGATGGGGTCAACATAAGGACTGATGAGAGTCTTTGAAGACGTCATGAGCGTCGAAAGCAGTTTGGCACTTTCTTCTTTATACCGAGTGTTGGAAGAGTACTCCATGTTGGTCAACAACTCGATCATCGTTTTGCGCAAAGTGGGAATAACATATGCTGGGTTTATTTTGGACAGACGGCCCAAGATGCTCACCGCAACCTGACGAATTGCAAAAAGCTCATCGTTCATTGCCATAAATAACAGTTTGATATGTTCCGGCTGAGCGAGGTGAGGATCCAGCTTGGGGCCCATTGCCTGTAAAACTTCAAGACGAATATCACTGCTTGTGTCGGTAACCCCAACAGTCAGGAGCTTCTCCAAAACAACATGCACAGTTTCTAGTGCGTTGACGCTGACCTGCGTGGAAATAGGCTCCTTGATAAAAATACGGCAGCAAGTAATGGCTGCAGCTTTGCGGACTCTGGAATCAGGGTTAGATGTGTGCTTGATAACGCAATCCTTGCAAAAAGTGGCCAACATTCTATCTTTGAAATCAAACTCAGATAAAATCAAAATGAGATTGGTCAATGTCTCCGTATCAGTCATGTCTCCGCCTATACGAGCAAGCATACTTTCACGATATTCACGAGCAAGAGATTCAGAGACCCTCATTGAATAGTTGGGACTTCCTGGAATCTTATAGCTATAACCAGAAAGAGCATGGCTAATAATGTCCAGCAGGAGATCACTGATTTCCTCACGCAGTGCCGGAATGTACGCATACAGGCTCTGCAAACATTCATAAAGAGGGCGAGTCAATCCACAATTGAACATGAGATCCAAAAATGACCGATCCACGAACTTTGTGAATGCCTGACCAAATGCTTGTGCAAACATCCCCAGGCATTTAAACACCGCGCCCTCAAGTTCACGGCGGATGCGAGCCTTAGCACCAAGAGCTTCTCGGAGATACTCTAGAATTCGTCCCAAATAAGGAGCCATACTAGTGCTAACTGCCAAAGAAAGTTTGCCTGTAGATACGAAGGCCAGGCTTTTGTCTGAAGACGATTTTGAAGAGAGTTGACTCATAAACAAAGACATTGTCTCATTTAAATAAGACTTTGTAAACTCTGCCGGGTTGAAACTGGCAAAGTCCGGAAGAATCTCGATGACCGTACGTCGGATAACGAGATCCTTGTTGTCTTTTAACTTTAATGTAGCCTCAAGCGTTTGATTGAACTTGGACTGCATAAACGAGCCTGTATGAAGTAGAAGCTCTCTGTACACCAGCAAAGCGCCATGGATATGCTCGGTAATATTCGATTTTAAGCCGCCAGCGGCTTCATTGAATACAGCCGAGTACAGGTTGTCTTTGATAGCCTGGTCACGTTCCAGAACAATGTCCAGACAAACACCCAAAGCATCGACGCTATCCTGACGAATTGCAATTTTAGGATCGCGAATGCCGCTCCAAAGAGCCTCCACAACACTGCTGATGAAGCCAAACATGAGTGCTGGGGACGCCTTGGCGATAGCTCTGATCTCTAATGCGGCAGCTTGTCGGCGAACCTCCTGCCGGTCAGTAGAGAGCCATTCTATACAACGGTTGACTTCGGCCTCTACAATGTCACCACCAAGCGTTCCTGTCTGGGTCATTTTACCAATTGCCGCGGCGGCAGCCTTCATGACCTCATAGTCTGGGGTTTGAATAGCCGTGCGCAAGTAGGTAGCATACCGCGTGGATTGATAGTTTCCTTCGACGCCTGGTGTATCGACATTCGTCAATCTATCGACTGCAATGACACCACCTAATCTGTTTGAAGGCTCACTTGAGTGAATTAGATCGTAAACTTGCTTGTTGATTTCCTGGTTTAGTCGCACTGAATTCTGCGGGGACTCCCGCGAAAACGCCATCACGGTGTCGTACAGTTCACGTGCTGCTAGTGCCTTCTTAGCCCTTTCCGGTGACCTCAAAGCAGCGAAAATCGCCGCCAAGGCCATCGACTCGGACGACATACTGGTGAGGGTTGATGAATGGACAGCTCGTTTGTCATCGACCTTTTGGTTCTCGGACATACTCAACAACCAAGGGGGGGCGATTGGCAGCACTTTCCACACCATGTAGCTAATTCCAAGTGCGGTTAAGTTATGTTTCGGTAATTCCGGATGATTTGGGTGCCTTGCCCACACATGTGTGCGCAAGCATCATTTGCCGTATTTGCCACAAACAGCGGTGGATTCTAAATATAACACTTGGAGAGGGTTAATGGTTGATATGTACATTTATTTTTTATCCAAACCATACTCTTTGCGGAGTCTGGCGAGCTCTTCCTCAGAAAGAGGAGGAACAGGGACGTCTGAAAAGTCGTCGGGGGTGAAGCTCTGGTAGGCCCACATATCTATTGTTAGTGTCTTTTGTCAAATGACCACAAGACTTGACTTACAGGTGCCAACGGCGAACGAAAGCATGCCGAGTCCCAGAAGGGCGTTGCGGAGAGCATACGGCTGGCGGGCACGGATCGCAGCCATGGTCATAGTTCCGTTGGGGTTACGGTACTTTGTATCGCGGTATCTGGTATTAGTACTCAATTTATTCCATTCGTTTGCCACCACTTACGTCGCATAAAAACGTCTGGTCAACATGACAATTATCGTCGTCAGGTTAACTTTGCTTAGCTCACCAACGCACTCTATATGGGCTTGGTCGACTACAGTGATGATTCAAGCTCAAGTGGTGAGGAGCCAACACCGAAAGTATTAGGTCGAAGCTTGAGACGAGATTTCGATGGGGAAATCAAATCTTTCGGCCGAGCAGTCGAAATCAAGCCCCGCAGCATCGTTCCCGGTGGTAAGCGATTCGAGCAGGAACCCGATCTGGCCGTTTTAGCGGCGTTGGCTGATTCCGAACCGAGTCCCGTCAAATATAATCTAAAACGCAAGTTCCAAGTAGATCTTGCTCCCGAAGTCACCCCCCCAGAGCACAAAGAACCTACAAAACGGATAGCTGAGCCGATCGGTGACGAACCAGATCAGGTTGTCCATGCAGTTGGCGGCGGCCGGCATCAACTCTCGAGTCTGATTCGCAATGCCGTGGATAACAAGTCGGCGTTGGAAAGCCAGTTCACTAGAAACAAGCTTTCGAGACAGGCGCGGTTAAAAAAATACGGGTTCTGACTTCATATAACTTATTTACAACTTGATATCCTTGTAACTCCACTTCTCGGTGACCTTCTTGGCGTATCGTCGTTTCTTCGAAACAGGAACACGAGCCTCAATAAGACCGCGAGCTTGCAAGCTGCGGAACCGATCCTTTGCGATGTTGCCCTCAGGACGCAGCCTTCTGAGAGAGTCTTCCATTTCATCCGACAACTTGACCTCTAGCTCAGACTCCATGACGCTATAACGAGAATGTGCCTTCTTGAGAGTACGGGCTTTCTTTTCTTTGCGAGCCATGGGCTCCTCTGTGACCTTCTCGCTATCCCGAACTGCCTGCTCGATCTTGGTCAATTGTTTGCGGAGTTGTTTAAGACGATCCTGCATCTGCATCTTTTCCTTGTGTCTTCTCAGACGGGCACGTTGTTGTTTAGTCTTTTTCTTATTCTTGACCGCCTCGCCGACCGAAAGACGGACTTCGGGATCGGCAAGTTCCTCCTCGGACTCTTGGTCAATTTCCTCATCATCGCCTGTCTCAGCAGCAGCTAAAATAGCTTCAATGCGCTCCTTCTCTTCCTCAGTCTTGACCCGCTCAACCTCAAGCTTTTCAAGCTTTTTGTGCTCAGCTGAAATCAAACTCTTCCAGTCGTCCAAATCAGGGTTGTATGACTTGCCAGCAGCAGGGATTTCAACCGCCACGGTGTCCGGCACCGGGGCCTCAGGCTTTTTGAAAAGAGTTGTGGGTCGTTTGACTGGAACCATGGAAATTTCCTCTGCCCACGGATCACTCACGCCCACCCGAACAATGCCGTCTTGTTCAATAATGACTTTATTGGGATCCTCGCCAGTGCGTCCAGAAAGCCGAAGCAGATCGTGGATCTTCTTGGCTTTGACCTTGGGCTTATCCTTCCTTTTGTGGGCTGCCTTCAAGCCAGGAATTGCCGATCTCTTGTTGAGAATCTCCAAAGACTTGAGCTGTTTCTCCTTTTTCATCTCTTTGGTGAGAGCCTCAGCATCACCTTGGACATCAACCTCGAACAGGGGAGCAGAACCAAGAACAATCTCGGCCTCACGAATATCCTCAATGTTCTTCTCGACATCCTCCAGATCAATATTTTTACGCCAGGCCTTCTTGCCTTTTCGCGAAGGCTGCTTTTTCTGCGACGGTCTGCCTGTGCTCATTGATGCAGCTTAGAGAAAAAATGTTCGTTCTGAAAAAAGAATTATGTAAGTTTTTCTAGGTTTCGTCTGTGGAAGAGGGTTGAGCCAAAAGCAGCTCTTGAATCAAAAGATCGAGCAAATTCAGTAAGACATAGCGGTTCGATGAGGGACTCTGTAAAAGGTCCATGAGAATAGTGGCACAGTAGCGTGTTCGTGTACGACCCACCACTGGTGCAAACCAATGCCTGATCAGTCGGTAACACAAAGCGTCGGCGTGCTCGCGTGTTTTGAGCTTTTCCTCGGCTGTGCGGTCCTCGGTTCTGACAGGTTCTTCGCTCTCTATTGACTCAGTTACTGACTCAACAGCAGAAGGAATCTTTTGTGTCATGTTCGAAATAGCGTCATTTATTCGTTTATCAATAGTTCCCCCTAGTACTTGTTGTACAATGGTAACGATTGCTTTGCCCTTGATCCAGTCTGATTTCTGGTCCACATTGAATAACGTCAAGAATGCACCGCACACAGAGTCGACTGCATTTGCATATTCATACTGTCTCGGGTTGCCGGTTAAGGTATGATTGGAAGCCTCTACGATCTCGTAGTATGTTTCGGGAAATTGATAGCTAGACAGAAACATTCGGAAAGCCAGATGGTTGCAAATAGCAGGGTTCTGGCTAATTTCTTGAAGAAACTGATTCAGAAGGGCACGTCTGGCCTCAAGAAAGTGTCTTGGTTGAAACCTGAGAACAGATCTTTTAGGCGGGAACTCAACATTGGCGATCTCCGGGAAGTCACGCTTGAGGATTTTCCGAAGCTCGTTGAATTGACTGAATCGACGTGGAATGACCCACCCTTCGTTCGGTTCATTGATGACTTTAGCATCAACCAAATAGGCTGTATAGTCTCCAGCCCCATCATTGAAGCTGGTCCAACGGTCAACACTGAGAGTAACTTTACCGTAAAGCTTTTCATGTCTCAACCGTTCAGTATACCTAGCCTTCAGAGCATGTTTTCTGGCAATCTCCCGCGCAAGTGTTTCTTTGGACTGCCGGAAAACGCGCTGTTCATTCTCGTCATGGTTGATTTCCGCCCTAACCAATAGCGAGTCTAGCAGTGCACACTGGCGCTCCATTTGCTCAATGTCGATTACAGTTTGTCGGATCTTTTCTTCATAGTTTGCATTGATGTTGATTGAAGAGCTCACGGACGAATCATCGTCACTCATACTATCCTCCGAATCAGTGTCTAGATCGTTCTGCAGATCAGATGTAGAATCCAAGACATCTTGCACAGCGCCAACCAATGTTTCACGGCTTCTATTATCCAGACCTTCACCATCAATTGGAGTTTCGGGGGTCAATTTCTGTGTCAATTTCGTCTCAAGGTATTTGGCGTAGTTGGGTGACATTTTGAAACTGATCAACGCGGACTTTAGGTCCTCAGCCAATTCATCTTTTACTGCCCATAGTGTCTTTTCCGTTGACATATATAGGTTTTGTGAGACCGAGTCCGCTTCCACAAACATCTTCAAGGCCCGGCGCGAAGCAGGGTCCATATTGAACTTTTCCAACAACGCATGTCGACACACACCCTTTGCGGTTAGTAGATCCTCACGTTTAAACGCCCTTTTACCATCACCTTTGCCCATAGGGTCGACTAACGCCTTGTGCACGCTAATAATATCCAAAAAGAGCTGGAATCTGCCATCGTGTTTACCTGCCATGTATCGCCTGAAAGCGTCTGTGAACTGGCTGTCCGCCAGTACGTCTTGAAGACTAGCATCAGGAGGAGGGCACGGTTTATCAGGGGATAGCTCGGCAATTCGTTTGTCAATTGCCTTTACACCCTCTTCCAATCTGCGCTTGAGCAGGGCGTTCGTGGGTTTGTACGTTGCTCCTTCAAGCGATTTGAGCTGAAGCTCGACGGACTTTTCAAGTTGCCGGGCAACGTCAATCTGCTTTATTGTACTAACCTCCTGCAGAAACCTCTCGTAGTCGGCGGGATGCGAATCCGCACTCACCTTTGGTATAAGGTGACTGGCAGAGAGCGATTGCTGGATGACTCTACGCATCCGGTTAACCTTCTCCACATCAGACAATTGGTTTTCGGCAAAATCAACCAGACGTCTATTCAGAAAGTCTGGATCACTTAATGTCTTGAAAGCGTTCTCCAAAATCAAATTTTCTAAAGAGTCGATTATCAGTCGTTTGACAGGCTGATAGTTCAAAATGTCTGCGTCAACTGCCAGGAAAGTGATTTCGTATGCCAAGGCTTCAATCCTGCTGTTTGCTAGCACTCCTGGATGTGCATGTGCATACACACTCGCAATACGAGAAGCATTGCTTCTCACTTCCGACAACTTGAGCCCTCCTCCCTTTCGGGGCGCCATTACTTTTTCGGACGCTTTAACGTAGTCACTAAAGTGTCTGACTATGACGGGCAAACATTTGCAAGCGAGAAAGTAATGCCAGTCGACAAGGCGACTCTGAGCAATTATTTTGGCAAAGGCGGCCTCTAAGGCCGACTCAGCCTCGTTCGGAAAAGTTGGATCATCGGAAACCTTGTTGAACCATTTGCGCACATACCTTTTGATGATTTTTCGACAGAGCCCCTTCAATGCATTCGCTACTGGGCGGTCTGTAACTAGGCTGGGCTTGACGGCGGAGTCATGAGGGGTGCCGACTAGCGGCTCGCAGTTCACCCGGGGTAGCTCGCGACTTGGACGCTTCGTGAGCACCAGGCCAATGCCGATGATTATGATCCATATTGCAAATCTGCTGAAAAGTACACACACTAGTGCTACACCAAACAGCGCAATGCGCTGGCCCATATTCACGAGGTGTTGCCTGTCTGGTCTTCTCCTGATTAGATCTGCAAAAGTTAGTTTATTATATAAAGGGTTGGCAGAGACTATGCAGGATGAGGTCGACGTGCAGGGATCGCGCGTTGACCTTGCTCCAAATATTGCTATGCTTTCCGTTTGCGTGGAGAGTCGTCCAATTCGTTAGATTTTCGTTTTTTGTTCTTGCTCTTTTTGGCAGGTGCTTTGGTGTCACCGGACTTGCGCTCTTTCTTGCTCTTTTCTCGGTCCTTTTTAGACTCCGATCTTTGTTTCTTTTCTTTCTTCCGCTTGTCCTTGGTCTTTTCTGTGCCCTTTTTGTCCGAGCCCTTTTTACTTTTAGCGACTTGTCCATCTATTAATGATACCTCGATAGTACCCTCGAGAACTCCCCCGTGACGGAACATCGTGTAGAGCGGTGAGATTGCTTTCCGGAGCTTCTCTTCGTCTTTACTGAATGAGACACCGTTTTTGTCTGAAAAAGCATCAAGACTCTTGAGATGGCCATCAAACACTCTTTCCCACCAGCCTTCATTGGCCATCGGGTTGTGTCCCAAGCCTTTATTGTCTTTTCTGTGTTTCACCAATAGCGGCTTCTTAATTGAATCAGCTCGTAGCCCTTGGCCCGGTTTCCATCCCTGACTCCGAAGATACTTTTCCGGATCCATATTTATTTTTCGCAGACGAAAAAGATTATCTAACTCACATGACTCTTGGGTCCGAAGAGTATTGGCTGAGTGAAGTCAATAAAGCCCCCGAGCTGGTGGAAAATGCTGTAGCGGTAATGCCCACGCCCTCAATATGGAGCAAGTATGTAGAGTTCAAGGTGAACGAGTCAAAGGATGCTCTTCTGGCGTTGTTCAAGCAGGGTCTCGAGGAAACGCAGTGGCATATTGATAAAAGCCAGACATTTTGGCTAAAGTACATGGAGTTTTTAAAGCTCCAGTTCTCAGAGCTGGTTCATGATGCGTATATCCAAAGGCTCTCCGTTCCCCATGTTCAATTGGATCAGACGTTCAGTGCATTCTCGGACTTTGTTCAGGAGCGGAACCTCAATTACGAAGAGAGCCTTGGATCGGCAAGCCATATCGCCGATAAAACTCGTAAAATGGTAGCTTTGCGTGAAAAATGGGAGTATGAAGTCAAGTCTTCTGGTGGAAGCCTGAAAGTTGACAGGCTGCGGCAGTACCTGGAGTGGGAGCTTGGAAACAAAGACGCGTTTAATTTTGCTCGTGGCTTGTTTGAGCGTATATTAGCACTCAATCCTGCTGATGAACGACTTTGGCACAGATACATCTGGCATATTTGGGTTGATAAGGTTCCTTTCTCCAAAATAAAGATACCAGCCGATACAAAGGCTGCGCGTGAGCTCATTGATCGTGCGGTATTTTGCTTGCCAAACTCTCAGTCTTTGTATGCTACGAAACTAAGACTTCAGCCTAGTATGGAGGGGGCAATTCAACTATTTGCAGAATGTGAAGACAGTGGCATAGTTGGCGATGAACTCCTTTTTCAATTCCTGTTCTCGGTCAAGCAATTATACCGAGAAAATGGCATTTCTATTGAGGATCTAAAGGGTGTTTTCGAGAAACACATAGATTCGCTCCCGAAACTTGTTTTTACATCTACCCTGGTGCTCGATATTGATCAAAACTTTGCTCAGGACATGTTGATGAAGCAGCTTAAGCAATTTAGAAATGATTCTCTTTTCTGGCAGCATTTCGCAAGCGTCAATTTTCGAAAGTCTGTTGCAGTGTACAAAAGCGTGAAAAGATCGGATAAGATCTATATTGAATTCATGGAAACAAAAGTCATTCTCGATACCTTTACACATGGAACTCCTCAAGAGATCGAAAAGGCTTACTCGTTAATGATACCTTTACAGCCAACTAAAAAACGCCAACTGGATATTAGCGAAGAGCCTGCAGTCAAGAGATCGTCAAAGTCACAGCGCGACCGCGAACACGCCAGTATCGTCGTTCAGGGCGACATTTCAGTTGATGAGCTACATGATTTACTAAAAAACTTGAAGGTCGTTTCTGTCACTGGAAACAAAACCAGGATCATCGAGCTCGGAACTAAAAGCGAAAAGATGCTGGCACTCTCCAGGCTCAACTTTGCTAAAAAGTTTAGTCTTAATGCATACGACGCCGAGAACACTACGCTTTGGGTCAACAACTACCCTCCATATTGGCATGATAGTAACTTGAAGACCAAATTTTCCGAGTTTGGTACAGTTCTAGATCTGCGGATACCTTCGCACGAAAAACGCGAGCGACGCAGGTTTTGCTACGTTCAATATAGCACTGCGCAAGAAGCTGCGACTGCAGTAGAAGCACTAGATGGTCAAAACGGCCTCGAAGTTCGATTTTCAGACCCATCTCAGCGTAGATCCCGCACAGACGCACTTGAAGAAGGTAGGGAAGTTCTTGTTCGAGGTCTTCCTTTCAGCATGTCTGGCGATAATATCGAAGTCTTTGTTAAGAAATACAGCAATCCGTCATCGATTCGTGTACCTCCAGGCCGGAGAGGTCAGTCAAATGATGGCTTTGCATTTTTGGACTTTGATACGGCTGCGGATGCGGCTAATGCTGCAGAAGCTCTTTCTGATAAGTTCGTGTCGGGGCGTAAGCTATCTGCTGTTGTTGCAAGTCGTCAAAAAGCGAGCAAACCCAAGCAGTCCACTGTGAACACTCTCAGTGTGAGAAACTATGGTACATCAAAGGCCGAGCTACTGGAGCTACTAGGCGAGTTTGGTACCTTTGACGTTCAGGATGATAATGGAGGCTTAAAAGTTACATACACCAAGATACAGGATGCAGGCCGCGCTCTGCTCGGGCTAGACGGAAGAGAACTGAATGGCCAAAAGCTCGCTGTACGAAACTTGGCGGAAAGGGGCATGAAGCCGAGAACTATAGGTTGACTACTTTCTATTTATTCTTACCCAGCATGTAAACCGTATGCCATTTGATGGTAATCTCACTATCCAATGTCAAGTCGGTGCTAGACAAAATCTCCTGTGTCATTTGTGCTATGATATCATTCTCTGGGGTAGCGTCGGAATGATCATCAAACCAGTTTTGGTAGCTTGAGAAAGACCGGAAGTAAGCTAGATAATCTCGTAGGGATGTTGTGCGTCGCAACTCGAGAAGCTCGTCATCGGACAACGTAGTTGCAGGATTTTGATGGTATAAAACATCCCGGAACAAATCGTTAGGAATTTTATAATCTGCATAGAATTTGTCGAACTTCTTGAGACCTTCATCATAGTATCTGCCCAGGTATGCAGGATCGTAGCAGTACTTTGCAACAATCTTAGTCGCCTCAGGTTCACCCTGAATAACATCATTTCGGTACCCCCAGATAACCAACAAGCCATTGGGCTTCAGGATAGTATGTGCAGCCTTGTAAAAATTTTCCAGGTCAAAGTAATGTGCAGCCTCAGCGACGGTTACGAGGTCTACAGAGTCTGGGGCAAACTCTGTAGCAAAGGCGTGATCATCGCCCACTCTAAACGACAGATTTGGTAGCTGGTTCATATCAGTGGCTAACTCGACCATTGCCTTGGAGTGGTCCATGCCAATTGCTTCAACTACCCGCTTAGCAACCTCCACAGTAGCTTGCCCAGTACCGCACCCCACGTCAACGGCTAGCTTCGGCTTCTCAGAGAAATGCTCGAAAATAAAATCATAAAATTTGGGGGGGTACTCCGGTCTCAAGCTTCTGTAGCGGGATGCTCCGTAGTTTGCTTTCAGGTATGTGCTCATTATGATTCTGCTCAATCGGAGGCTCTCACCCCGGCCTTTTTATTCCGGGGCATAATGTTACACCCTTACCCTGATTAACTGTTCTGCATATCCTATGCGAGACGGCTGCAAGTTCTCATAAATCAAATTAACAGACTGGTACTAAAATATAAAGAGCTCATGATTCTAAAACATGATGCTCGAGCGTATCCACTGTAAGAATTTGGTTGCAACTTTGGCTCTTGATCAGAGCTCGTTCACTAAATTTAGTTACAACTTAGCTGCATTCCGAAAAAGATCGCCAGCGTTACTTTCGACCAAACATGTAAACAGTATTCCATTTGACAGTGATAGTACTCTCGAGCTTGAGCCCGGTTCGATCCATGATTTCTCTCTGCATGCGATCGAATATGTCTTCCTCAGAGCCTCCACGAGCAGCCAGCCAGGTATGATATGCCGAATAGGTACGGAAATAGTCCATGAACTCTTTGAAGGTCATCTGTTTACTGATCTCAAGCTTCTCTTGCGGTGAAAGTTCCTTGGAGCTATTGAAGCGGTACTCGACGTCGCGAAATAAAGTGTCGGGGATTTTGTCGTCACTATAAAAGTGATGCAGTCGATCTCGGCCTTGGTCCCAGAACTTACCGAGGTAGTCCGGGTGATAAGAGTACTTTTCAGTGATATCAGAGACAGCAGGGTACTCCTGAATTGTCTGATCACAGTATCCCCAAATTGCCAGAATGCCATCCTTGCGAAGGATTTCATGGGCCGTTTTGTAGAATGGCGCTAAATCGAACCAGTGCGCTGCCTCGGCAACCGTGATCAAATCTACCGAGTCAGGGGAAACGCCATCGGCAAATGTACGGTCATTGCCCACGCGGAAGCTCACATTGTCTGGATGGCTTGATGCGCGCGCCTGATCAATCATTGTCGCAGAGTTATCAACTCCTACAACGCTCTCAGCGAGGTTCGCTAGCTCGAACGTTGCCTGGCCGGTACCACAGCCCAAGTCAATGGCCAAGTTCGGTTTGGACACGAAATGCTTCTTGAGATACTCATAAAATTGAGGCGGGTAGACTGGTCTAAAGTTCTTGTAATTGTGCGCGGCGTAATTACTCTGTGCAAAGGTACTCATAGCTGAGAACCATAGCGATTTGACATTATTATATATACTGAACCCCTTACCCTTTGTGTGGCTCGCAATGCATGTCAGTGGCTCTATTGACTTTAAAATATTCAAGATACTTTATCAGTTTATGAAAACAATCGAAATTGATCGGTAAGTTTTGTGTATTTAAGTATTTGAACTTTGCAACTCATCCAACTTGTCCAGTTTAAACCAGCTAATTAGCCACCGTATAATCTCGCCTCAGGAAGCTAGATGCGCACCCCAAATCAGGTGTGCTTAAAGTGGGTCTTGGAGTTCAGCAACATAATTTTGGGCACATCAGGAAAACAATACCCAAAACGTTTGCCCAGAGAACCTACACTCAGATGTGTATCACATCTTTCACCCCAAACCGTATAATGACCGATATCGGCAGCAATGTCGGCACAAGCACCTCCGTAGCTCGTGCAGCCACTACAAACAAGCGGTATGCACACAAATTACAGGGAGATCAAGGAAAATGAAAATACCAGTAGATATTGAACAAGATGATCTTCGTTCAAGAATCTTGTAGTTATCACACTTCATATAGCTCAGCTCAGGGTGCAATTTCTCACAAGATGATGAAGCTGCCGGCTGAGATTATACAGTTGACGTGCATTGCGTTTCGGGACCGATGCGGACACTCAGACAAAAGATCAACCTATCTATAACTACACAAAATTGTACTTTTTAAGTTCGGTTATAACCACTGACGAAGGCTCGTTGAGCATTCGCCGTCTAACATCATCACTAACGCCGAAATCGACTAGCGCCCCGGCAGCTCTGACCCATTCGATTCTGACAGATTCATGCGTGTAATCGGTGGCACAAGCATCTGCGCACCGGTCCCAGAGATTCTGGCTGAAATAGTCTTTTTTAGACAACTCAACCATGTGCTGGCAGACAGCTACTTTGAACTTCCAGCTGGCCAGCGAACTCAAAAGAAGGCCCTCTAGCCAACCCTCCACTTCGTAGCCACTATTGTAACTCTCCACTGCACTTGCTAAGATATCAATCTTCTCCTCATCGGTCGCTGAAACTGCGTCTTCGTCTTCGTCTTCAGTTACAGTAGCTGGACGTTCTGCCTTTGTTTCAAAAAATGGTAATAATGCGCTTGAAAACCCTGCGTAAACACTGGAGCCAGGATATTTTGCCAGAAATTCACCAACATAGGGAAGAATCTTTAGACGATATTGAATATTTCGCCTCTGGATTTCATTGAGCACACGGTTACTCACAGTGTCAATATCGCCTGAGCCCAAAAGGCTCACTTTAACCAACGCCTTGAATACGTATTCTTTCCCTGGCCAGCTGCGTCCTGACATGGCCTTCAGTAAGCTGTCCAGGATTGCTTCATTTGGCTCTTTCAAAAATTCCGCTGTCTTGCCTATACTTCTGGCTGCACCTTCTCTGATGTGCCAAAGGGTTGATACCAGGTGTGGGGCAGACAACTCCATAATCTCTTTTGAGTAGAGCTGGATCGAACCTTGACCGCCGGTATTTGACGCCCAAACCTCCTCAAAAACTTTAGAAACATTTTTGTCAGGGTCATTAGCTCCGACAAAAGCCAGAGGCAACCCAAGCGCAGCGGAATTTGCAAAAACATCCGATGCATGCTTTGATATGGCGCTCACGGCCACGGCAACAATGAGCCGCTCACGGTCGGTTGCATCTTCTGAAAAGTAGCTAGTCTTGAGAAGATCCAGGTACTTTAAAACTTCTGCTAATGGTGTCAGACGACAAACATAACCTGCAGCAGCGGCAAACGTTTGGGCAACTAAATCGTTGCGATCATGAAATTGCGACGCACAGGCTCGTAGTACCGGAGTAGGGTCGATGTCCCTGAAAAACCGAAGACACACCGAGATAACTAACCTTGCAGAAGCAAGCTTGGAGGGAAGGCCCACTGAACCTTTTATGGTTTTCGGTAGGTCAGCAAGATAATCTCTAAGCTCACTATCATCAAGTCTGTCAACTAAAGACTCAAGAGTCTCCATTATAGGCGACCGACTCAACCCCCGCATACGACTTTCGTCAATTGTGCTAGCGTCGACACCATAGTTAGCAGCGTTGAGGGCAAGATAATTCATTGCTTGAGGCTCGATTGTTGATAACAAAAGTGTAAAGTCATTAACAAACTTAAGCTTGAAGGGCTTAAAATCATCGGAATCACTTTTCGCGATTTTGTTGAGGGTCTCCATTGCGAAAACCCTCACATCTTCACTCTCTGATTGCAATCCCCTAGGACCTGTCAGGAATGGAATCAGAGTTGAAAGCAGGTTACTATTTGTCTCAGAATGAGACTGCAGTCGTCTTGTTAAAACAGACGCCAGGGATTTGGTAAAGTCAAGTCCTGCTTTGCGAACGCTATCTTTGATATCATCTAGCATCCTGAACGCCACTTGCCAAAGCTCTATTGCACGCGGCTCCAAATGTCGCCACTCCAAAGTCTCAACAAGACTAGTCAAACCACGAGTGCTTGCTTCACGGACACGCCATTCGCGCGCACTGCTTCCACTCAGCAACTCCTTGATGATATCGTCAAAGTACTCCAAGATGGTCTTTCGACGATCGGGTACCAAAACATTCCAAATGCTCTGCATAGCTTCTCTTGCTTTGGTATTCGGGTCGAAAATGTAACGATAGAGTTTTGGCACGAGCTTTTTCTTTGTTGGACTGGCGGCATCGAAGTCCGCCTTCGCCATAATAGACTCGAGGCCGAACGCCATACCTCGCCGGCTAGACCAAATTTTGGACGATGCTGCCAACGACATAAACTTGTAAACCAGAGTTGAGTCACCCACCTCCGAAGCAAGATTGAGGACATCTTTGTATGTGGAAATGGAGCCGTCTCCTGTGCTTAGGACACCGGGTTCAAATAGCTGGGTATCTTCGCTAATAGTGCCCGCCATAGCACGTTGCGACGCTCGATCAGAAGTGAATGAGCCAACAAGCTTCTCTACTAGGTTGCGTTTTGTCTCTTCGTCGCTCTGCTCATACACGATTCCAAGTCCCCGAGACGCGGCTTCTTGAGAGACGTCGTCACCATCAGACAAAAACCTCAAAAAGTATTTCTGGACCTCTGAAACGTACTGTTTCGTCTCGTGGGAGCTGAATTGAACTAAACAAAGCAATCTTACGCACGAAGAGCGTCTTACTGCAGGATCTGTCTTTTTACTTCCAGCAAAAATATCTTCCAAGAGTTCAGGAACCAGAGATGTCTGATACAACTTCTCGGGGCTACTGTAATTCTCCAAAGCACTAGAATTCCACCCAGAAGCACAAATGGACAAGGATTCACCGTTAGCCAGCAAAGTGTCGATGTTAGACGACTTGTTCAAAGAGATCAGCGTGTCCATATAGAGCTTGGCTTGGTCTGGATTCGATAAACGATAAGCACCAAGAACCAGCATAGATTTCTCATCGCCTTTCGATTTTAGGAACTCCAAAAGTTCATCAGAATGAGCTAGGAGACCACCACAAGCAAGGTTGAAAAGCGGACCAACGTATTGCTCTTCCTTACAGTAGGAAATTAAACTCGACACAAGATCTTTGGGAACTTCAAGCCCATCTAGAGACACTTTTTCAAGAAGCGAGGCCAAAGCAGAGGCCCTGCCCTTAGATAGAGGCAGGAGTTTGCGGGCAAGTTCGGAGGCAGATGACGCTGGACATATGCGGGAGATACCGTCAGCAATTACATCTTTAAATCGTCCTTCCAGTAAGGGCAACATATTTTCCAATCTTTCAGCCTGCGAAGTGAGTAGTTGCTGTGGAGATACCTTCATCAACATACTCCAAACTTTTGGAGCGTGTTGGTATGCTTCTAAACCGGATGATAACGCCGCAAAACAATAATCGAACAACTTGCTTGCGGATGGCTTGCTATTCAGAAAACTGGCGACTGCTTTCCGTACCTTGAGATCATAGATCGGAGCTGCATCTACAACTTTAGTCCACTCAGCATCGACTCTAATGGGGCTGGCCGAATTGATAAGAATCTGGGAAAGCAAAAGAATGGCCTTGTCAAAAACTTGTGGAGCAAACTCCTGCAAGTTAGCGTTATCAATCGTCAATAGCAGAGCCTCGAAATCAGGAAACTTAACATCAACAGATTCGAGATACATGGATGTAGTTTTCTCATATAGATACGGATGCAGACCGCGGCGAGCTTCCTCTTGGACATCAGAACGATTGGCTGGATCTTGTCCAAGGAGGCATAGAACTCTGGCTTCTGAATCTTCAAAAGGAAAGCCCATAATTGCAAATCTTACAGCGACGTACTTTGTTACATCGCGGCTCGCCGAGCGAAGTGTGCTAAGAAGAATACTCTTGAGCTCAGCTTGAAGCTCACTAGTGAGAGATGATATCTGTGTCATAATTTCCCCGAGAGCTTGTTGAATGCTGGGCACATATATCGTGGCATCTCGCTCTAAGCTCTCTACCAGAAACCTCACAATGGACAACGTTCTGATCTCAGTGAACCGCTGAAGCAGACCGATGGTTTCATAGGCTCTTTGCCGTAAAGAATCAGACTGGGGTGCAGAAACGTGTGACACGGGCCATCCTGTGTTCATGATATAGGTTCGAAGATGTTCGATCCAGGCGTCGGCGTGTGTAGATAAGATAGAAGAGGGACTGGGTGACACCTTGTTCTCAATTGCCAAAGATTTTATGAGTCTGATAGCTGTGTGGAGGAAAAGTGGATCACCCGACTCAAAAGCACGCTGAAAGTTTCCGGAAAGATCTGCAGGGGCGAAAGCAGGTTCTTTTGCGAATATTTCCATCACTTTGATTTGCAAAGCGTTTTTGGCCGAGAGCCCGCCCCCAGAACCCGAAGCCAGAGTTTGAAGTTTGGTTGAAATATCGCGACTCAAAGGCACAGAGAGTCTGCGTAGCTGTGCAGTTGCAGATGATGAAACGTCAGACAGCCGATCGGCAGAGGCTGCGAACAGAGGTAGGTATTTGAGATCAGCGGGCCATTCCGCGCCATCAATAAACTTCAGGACAGCTATTTTTGACTGAGAAAGTGTAGCTTCAGACAACTCCGCGTTAGGGCCCAGTTGGAAGACAAAGTCGTTGTGGTTCAAGCCTGGCGCCACTTGACGGGTTTTGAATGCAAGATCAACCATGAACAAATCAGTGAATCTCTTCGCAATTCCTGGTACCGAGTCCTCGAAATCGATTGGAGCAGGCTTTTCGGCTTTACTCCATTCTACAATGCCCTGTAGAAACAGCTGAAACAGCAGCGAAGCTCGGTGCAGCGACTCTGTAGTCACAGACTCTAAAGATTTACCGAGAGGCGCAATCCAAGGCAGTATTGATTTATTTTCCAAGGCCTTTTTCAAAAAGTTTGCAGCAACATTTTTGGTCAATAAACTCTCAGAGCCTCTGGACGTGGCAAGGCTGAGAAGTTTCGCTACTGGAAGCTGCACATTGGGGTTGAGCCTAGTGTTGATGTGTTCCACAATAGAAAGCACTTTTCTTCGGCTATCTTCGCGCGATGAAGACAACTTTTGCAACAATGGACTCAAGTATAAATCTAAAGTGCTTGAGAACTTGTCGTCTGTTGATGCAAGTACAATTCTTGTCTCAACTCGCGAAATCAATTCCAATTCATCCATGCTCAATGTGGCGCGTAAGCAGAATAGAGGGTGTTTACTAAGTGTCACGATTCTGCCTGGTTCGACAGAACTTTACTAAGAGGGTTCAAGGCAGAATGCGGGTCTGGGTGTTGTTGGGTGGAGAAAGTGTCCATGGAGTAAAATAAGGATTGATGGCCGGGGAATTTTTTCCGTTTCTAATGGAAAGGAATGCATTGAGTTAGAGCAAGTTGAAGGCGAGCAAGTTTAGAAAAATGCTGTATGTTTTTGGTTTCAGATGCTCAGGTTTGAACGCCTGTTGTTGACAAATTATTGCTCAGGTGGCGATCGCCCATTTAGGCGTTGTTTCGAGCCGTATGGGGTAGTTTTATGGGGACGATTTACTCAAATACTCTATTCAGATTTACGATATAATGTATAGTTAGTGTATGCAGCATTTCGTCCACGCTGGGAAAAGCGTGTATGACCTGAAATTTACCCGGCTGAGTTCGGCTGAGTTCACCCGACCACTTTATTTTGACCAAGGGTAAGCCTGCATGATCAAGAGTCTCGGCATCGAGTATTTAGACTAGAAACGAGAGGGTTTTTTGTACGAAATTTGCACGGCATAGTTCAAACACATTCTGAAATCAATAGAAACTGCGAAGTTGTCCGCTTCAAACCAATTGAGCGAATATCTAGCTGGCTTGTGGCGGAACCGGGCATGACTAGCGAAACCCTACTTTCCAAGAACTCCTGCACGAGAGCCCGATGCAGTTGCGCTGACAGAGAAAAAGGCCATAGTTTAGGTCACTAAAATCCTTTTTTCACACACAAACCTTTCAAAACCAGAGTACAGCCTTTTGGCACCCTAATTTTTTTAACACGGCAAGTGCTGATTGTTGCTTGCTGATAAAAGCGTGTCCATTGGAACCACGACTCCTCGCCCTCAAATACTTTTTATTTGCGAGCTTCTGGAGCTTTCCGACAAATTGAGTTAGTGCTCACTTTGTATTTTGTTTATTCTTCCTTCCTTTCTTTTTTTTGATTCCTTGTTGTGCGCGGTGTTACGCAGATTCTAGCACCATGATGTTTTTCTGATAAAATGGAACTCCACGACCCACCCGTGCATGGGAGCAGCTTTGACTTGTCAAAGGGCAACGCTCCCGTGTTAGCCTCTCAGTTCATGAATGACACGGCAGCATTCGAAGATCTCGACACGAAGCCGATCTTAGTTACCTCGAAATCGCGGTCCTTCACTGAATCTTCCGGAGGTGCCTCCTCATCGCTGCCTACGACTTTCAGCTCGGGGTCTCCGCAATCAGTGCTTTCTTCTATTTCAAATGATTCGGACACGCCAAAAAGATTCAAGCATTACCAGAAGCCCACAGCGGCAGACTCTCCGACTCTCATCCAGACCTGCGAGGACGCACTGGAATGTGGCAATATCCCAGTTATAGCATCAATCGCTCGGACCAAAGGACTGCCTCCTCATCTACGTAGGGCGGCCTGGAAGCTTTTGCTCAAAAGCCACCCCTATGTTATAAATCCTCAGCTACGCGCCGAGTTCCCAACCACTTCCGTTCTTATCGCGGAAAAGGTACCTGAAAAACGTATTGATGCTGAGGTACGTCGACTGAAACAGCGTGTCGAACGCCGCCCCCTCATGGATCAGTATGCCACAACCTCAGGATCTTCTGTTTCAAACTCGTCCTCTAACACTCGAGTTGTCTCGTCGGCGTCTTCGGTTCTTTCCGGCGCCTCAGACGAAGAGTTCTACGAAAAAATTGCTGAGGCTGTCAAGACATTTTTGGACGTATATGGAGATTCAGTTCGCTACGACCCAGCCATGATTGCAGTGGCGTACTCGCTGGCTCAGGCTACTGGAGGTGACAGTTTAGATCCTGAAATGTTTGTCCAAGCCATGCTAGTATTCTGCCATTCTCCCTCGCAGGTAATGGGACCTTATGGCCCCGAAGATTCACCCACTAGTGACCTTATGTCGAAGTTCATTGCTGCTCTTCGCGAACTCCTGCCTGCAGTCGCCAACCACTTTGACTCAGAGGATGTTTTGCGGTCGTTTGGCGGTGACCAATGGTTGGTGTGGTGGCTCAAGTGGTTTGGTGCCAAAACGTTTTGGTACCTGGACCTTGCCCGGTTATGGGATATTTATTTTTCGTGGCGTCCCGATGCAGAGGATTCGATCTTCGCAGGCAATCCTACCCCTCAGGAGACCCATATGTTTACTTGTCTTGCTCTCATGAAATCTTTACGGTCTAAGATAATGGAGCTCGATCAAAGTGAGATCAGGCAGTTGCTGAGCAATCTGCCTCCTAGCAAAGACATCGAGTCCGTTGTTGAGGAGGCAGTCACGCTAGCCACGACCTGGTCAGAACAGTAAAGTTCTTTTTTAGTTTTATATAAAATGAAAGATTATTCAACACCCAACAGACGTTCTTTTTGCAGTTTCCACACTGCATTAACGTCCTCGAAGCCCAGCTTGAAGTTTCTATCTCTGTCGTCTTGCATGAGCTTTTCAGTACGTTGACGCTCTTCCTCACGAGCCATCCACTCCATATGTTTAAGGTCGTCTGAGGAGGGCTCATAAATATGCCAAATAGTATAATGTGGTAGTCCTACGACTGAGAATCCCATTCGCCGACACATCTTGCCAAACCCTTCTGTTTCAGCATGCTTTTCGAACGAGAACGCCGGGAAAGAGGCGCCTCTTCGAAACACCGAGGCTCGGGAGAGAATGGAGACACCTCCGATACCATCCAGCGGCATTTCAACGTGGATATCTCCATTAGGGTCGCGGAGATAGGCAAGATGAGGGCGCCAGGTTGCGTACTCGGCATAGCCTTCTACTATGACCGCGTCCTCGCCCAGTGTGTTTGCAAGTTCCAATGCGGTTTCAGATTCTTGCCAACTGTTCAAATCGTAGGGTTGTTCATAGCCGAGCCAGTCGGGCAAAGGTCGCCAGACGTTGGGCACTATCACATCCTTGTTGTGACCCATGAGGTCTTCAAGAATAGTAGGAGGGACAACTTCCACGTCGGCATCACGCCAGTAAACCCATGAATGGTAGGGTTTGAGGGCGGCACTCAAGAGCCAATTACGGGCACGGGCCATGAGTTTTCGGCGAGGACCCTGAGCCTCGAAGCCGTGACGGTCACTGAATCCCTGACCAATTGCTTGGCCAAAATCGCGCTGGAAAATCTCAACCGTTCCGAAATGCATTTTAGTGTCCTTGTCGGCCTGGATGGCAGAGATCTTTTGCTTGAGAACTGCCAGCGTATTATCAGTGGTGTCGGAAACGAGAAAAGCCAGGTCGACCAGATTATGTGGGTATGTGAGGTTGACCATGTGCGAAAAAAACATGTCCATGTGTGCTTGGGCGTCGCGAAGAGGAACCAGAAACAGTACCCGCTCCTCCATCGCAGCGCCATTAGCCGAACCCTTTGCGTAGTTCAGATCGTGGGTTTCAACAGAGTCCACCGAACTTGGCAGGAGTGCATATCTGCCAAACTGACGTGGGAGTAGAAACGTACGAAGGCCTGGAAGGGTGAACAGAACGGCTACAAATAGCAGCAAGCTCAGAACCGGACCCTGCCAGCCGGCGCGCTTCGTACGAGGATGGAACGCGTCGGATTCCACCATATTGAATCTTTCTTGCCTCGTACTACTCAAGTCCAGACTTGACTGAAGCTTTTATGCACCGCAATAAACTTGTGTTATTGCAAATGCCTGCCTAAAAGTAAGTAAGCACACGCAGCATGTGGATGAGAAACATAATTTTCAAATAACGTACCACGGCCGGGTAACTTAGGGCCGGGTCGATTTGGACACAAAGACGTAATCGCACTACTTGGAAGTTTGGGAGCGCACTGTGTGTTAAGGGTCCACCGATTCCAGGGTTCGAGTTTTCCTTGGCTTACCCATCAAAAATAAGTTCTTAAGTTCGTGCCCAGAGTTTTAGAGGAAAAAAAGCAAGTCGATTTTTATTCGGCAACGGGAGATTTTAGATTAATTTTTGACATGAATTGCAGCCTGTCTGGAGATAGTGCAATACATCCTGTATTATCACCGACCTCGGGTCGTGTGTTTGAGCGCTCAGTAATTGAAGAGTACATCAAGGAACATGGCAAGGACCCGGTCTCAGGTGATTCCTTAAGTACATCTGATCTTATCGCTATAGATACGCAACCGTTGCTACCTAAATCAGTCAAGAATGCTTCCATCCCCGGGTTGCTGATGTCCCTCCAAAGTGAATACAACGCTCTTGTGCTCGAAGGTTACGAGCTACGTCATGAGTTGCAGCAGACCAGGGCAGATCTTTCGTCGGCCCTCGTGCGTAACGATGCCTCGCTGAGGGTGATTGCTCGTCTAAAGAGCGAGCGAGACCAGTCTCGCCAGGCTCTGTATGAAATCGGCCAGCCATTGCCAGCCACCAAGCGGCGCCCTGTCGAGCCGGCTACGTCGAAGCTTGGACTAGATATGGAACTCATTGGCGAGACCACGCGTCAGTTAGTGAAACAACGGAAAGTCACAAACAAATCTAGAAAGCGCCCTGACTATAAACTCATGAAGCTCATCCCTGGTATAAAAATCTTTGCTGGACCTTACGCTGGATCGTTTGACTTCCAGAAGCAAGTCGTAGTAGCGGACTCAGATACGCTTTATCAACTTCCATTCAACGAATGGGACGAAAATATTCGCGTTGTTGAGGGGCCTGCACCTAAAGATTTTGAACATCTGTTTTGGTTCGATCACCGAAGCTTTGTTGTGACTTCTAAAGCCATTCTCGAGAACAACGCACCCGTCTGCGACTATATCGCGAATGCTAGATTCCACCCCTCGGGATACATCATTGGACTCGAAAAGGGCAAACTGGTTGCCTACGACAAAACATTTTCTAAACGTGATTTCGGTACCGCCGTAACAATGAATGGGTTTGAGATCCATCCTGATGGTGACATCATCTTCTGTAAAACAGACAAGAGCTTGGAACTGTATTCTTTCAAAAAGAACGAAACTGTCGCGTCGATCGATATTGTCGCAAAAGAAGTCGCATTCAGCAGTAACGGTTACACCGTGGCCCTCGCAAACGATGATGGCCTTTACCTCTACGACCTGCGTGGTGAAGCTCCACCACAATGCGTAGACACTGAGCTGCGCCCCACAAAGATCAGTTTCGATGGCGAGGGCAAGTTACTGGCTTCGCTGGACGAAGATGGTAGTTTAGCCATTTTTGAGTTTAAAAATAAAACCCTGTCTTTACTCGAAATTCCTGTGACCGATGTCTCGGATTTCGCGTGGCTAGACCAGCGCCTTGTTGTTGTAAATCCTTCCGAACAGAAACTTCGCACAATGTACCTGTTTGAGCCTAGCATTTTATAACCTATTTTTAAAACTTTACCATTATGCTGTGCGTTTAGGCGGCTTTTTCTTGGCTAAAGCTGCAAGCCGAGCTTTACGAACATCCTCATCTTCGGAATCATCGCTTTGTTGTTTTCCAGTGGGTAACTTGATGGGGGCCTTTCGCTCATCATCAGGTTTTTCCTCAGCATTCAAAAATGAAGTGTCAAACTTGGCACGACCACCACCAGAACCAATTCTGGAAGGCGTTATATCACGCTCCTTGATAGCTGCGTTTGATGGAGTGTCTACCAGATCCTCATGGCTACTGGAGTGGCTCGCTGGCAACCGCCGCTTGGGTCCTTTGGGCCGTGACTTGGTCATATGATCAAGATGTTGGTCCGCACTGGAGTCGCTGTCAATTGTGGAAGTCCGGCGCAGTGGCCCACCACCGAGGGACTCGCGACTGGGGCCACGCATTAGCACAGATGAAAGGTCATCTGCAAATCCCTGACTACGAGGTGCGGGTGGAGGCGGTGGACTTTCAGAACGCTTTAGTGATGCCTTTTGGGACTGCACCATTTCCTTCATTTCGTCACGGACATCACGCTTCTGCTGCTCAACGTTCTTTAGCTGCTGTTTGCCCGATTTTACAGCCTCTTTGTGTTCGTCAACAACATCGTGCTTAACAACACCAGACGGCTTAAGACTCTCCAACTTTTTCAATGCTTCGGGAACAGACTCTTTGCGAACAGGCGCAGGCTCAACACCCCGCAGCTCCTTAAGCTTAGTAGCAGCTTCAGCAGGTTTAGGAGCTGAGACCTTTCGGGGCGGAGGCTTTTTGAGTTTGAGATTTGCGATGCGTTCCTCGGCTTCATCAATTGCCGTGTCCGTGCGCTTCTCAGGGCTAATGCTGCGTAAACGTGGTGGCTGGAAGCCATCGCCGGCATTAATTGCCTCCGGACTAACCTCTCTCAGCCCGACAGATTTAAGATTAGCCTTGGCTGTGTTCAGACCATGAGAAACTTTACGGTTCGTAGGTGGTGTGGGAAGAGGCTCTTTCCGTGGCAAACGGTCGAACCGGCCGGAAGGTTCCTCGCGGTCGTATTCACGTTCTGGGGAGCGCTGTCTAGTGCTCCTTCTGGCTTCGCGTGGGGACCGGTCTCTAGCTCGTGGCAATTCCTCATAGTCAACATCACGATGCGGAGAGAGATCCCTACCACGTGACGATTCTTCACGGTCGAATTTACGACGAGGAGAACTGTCTCGAGCATTGGGTTTCATCCCGTAATCCGATCCACGGCGTGGGGATCGATCTCTAGCGCGTGGCATCTCATCAACATTACGACGTGGGGATCGATCCCTGGCGCGTGATCTCTCCGCATGATCAACATCACGACGTGGAGAGGGGCGTCTAGCGTGTGGAGATTCTTCCCGTTCAAAATTGCGACGTGGAGAACGGTCTCTAGCCCCTAGTTTCATCTCATAATCGGATTCACGGCGTGGAGAACGATCTCTGGGCTCTGGTCTCCAGAGCTTGGAGCGATCAGGGAGCTCACGACGTTGGGTAGGAGGTACCTTCTCACGCGCACTTTCCACAAATGAACGTTCGGTGCGAGGCACCGGGTTGGGAATACGGATTTCCTCTTCGCTTTCTGATTCACCTCTGTCATCTTCGCGACGACCGACCGCACTTTTGATGAAAGCTGGCGTGCTACGGGTTGGTGCCCCATAATACGATGCAGACGGTTTCTTTGCAGAAGGGTTTTTGGCCTTAGATTCAGAGTCACTAACGTCGGAATCGGAATTTGAGACAGAGGAGGGCTTCTTTGGTGTGCCATTTTCTTCATCTGAGGAAAACTCACGACGAGGCCGTTCGCTGGCCCGATTATCTTTGTGGTCAGAATCGAGATCAGGTTCGTCGGATTGCTTTGACGAGCGCAGTTGGCGTAGGCGTTCCAGTTTATCGTCTCTACTCGACACACGACCTGGTCGACTTGGGAGAGCAGGGGCATCGTCACCACCAGCTTCGTCAGATTTCTCGGCAGATTTGGAACTAGAATATGAAGGTTGCGTTTTGCTAGAACGAACTGAGCTCGTTCGAGAGCCACCACCGTCACTTTGTTGATCTCGCTCTCTGGCCAACTCACGCTCCCTTTCAGCCAATCTCCTAAATCGTTCTTCATCGTTCTCGTCGTCCTCCGTAGTATCAAAATCTTTCAGACGTTCACTTGCAGGAGTGTTGTAGACGCGATTGTATTGACCCGAGCGATGCATTGGATGAGCGGCTTGTCTCATGATATCACCTGAATGCGAAACAGAGTGAGTGACCAACTGAGTAGGTTTACGCAATGGATCAATATGATGCTCACGTTCACGGCTACTGTAGCTACTACGCTCACTTCTACGATCGTCAGTTCGTCTCGAGTCGTAGCTATCGTCGTCACGGCCACGGTCTCGGCTGGGGCTGGGGCTGCGTTCCTGACGGCGGTGCGGCCTGTGAGGGTGGTGATGGTGATGATGGTGGTGGGAGCCTCCTTCAGAATGCCGGCCTGGGTCTTTGAATAAGGCACCCAGCAATGGCTTTTTGGTTTTTACGAGCGGGCCACCCCCAAGGAGCTTCTTGCTGAATCCGCCCGAGCGATAGGGTGCCTCTTCACGGCGACTGGGCTCGCGATGGGCTTTGTGTTCTTCAACCCAGCGATTGTACTTTTCACGATCTCTACCGGGTACTCTGCGAGAGTCATTGGATCGCGATGGCTCCATATCATCGTCTTCGTCAACCCACTGGCGAGACGATGATTGAGAAACACGAGCTGAAGAACGGTTGCTGGCACGCTCATCGTCGTAGTCGTCAGAACGTTCGCGGCGGAGACGGTCATCGTAGCGATCATCGTGGCGATTGTCGTAGCGGTCGTCATAGCGGTCGCTTGACGCTGCGTCCCGGCGTCTCTGTCGGTCTTCCATAATGTCACGTTCGAGCCTGTGGGTACGTAGGGAATCTTGTCGCTCGACCGACTTGTCTAGTTCTTTGACTTCTCGAAGAAACTCTGAGACCTTGCCGTCTCGTGGACTTTCAGGCATTTAGGACTATTCTTAGGCCTTTATTAAGATTCGGCTGCTGTAGGTGCACAGCGAGCCCTAACCCTTCTCACAATGCAAATAGGCACAACGCAATAAGAGTTGCTAAAGAGGCCGAATTGGTGGCATCATGAAAGACAGATGCCTAGACAATGGAATGTGAATGTTATAGTTAAATAGTGAGAAAAAAGCTACAAGCCTGGGGGAGGCGGGGCAGCTGAAGGAAGCAAAGCTATAAGCGAGCCGATGCAAGAGGGTCATCGATGAGCTCAATACTAGCGGTCTCTAAAATAAATTTTCCTTCTTTATAGGTTTCAGAAGCCCTGCTCGCCTTGACGTAGGCCCAGCCTATGTATTGATCACAGACCCAACAGTGGGTGTATTGGACGACGAAGACGCCGGTCATTAACGACACCCGCTCTGGGGGTCGGCCTCTCATATTGAGCGCCTTGCCAAAAAGCTTTGCCCTGCTATACCGTCCCTGAAAGCTGTCTGAAATATGATCGTTGTTAGACGCTAAATGGGCGCCACAATCCTTGCAACACCAGATTTGGGGCCCGACTGCGTACTGCTGTAGTATGATTCCCATTTATGAGCTCGAGGGTCGAATTATAGGCGCAATTGACTACCTCAGTACACGCTGGGGTCTGTAGAAAGATATGGTAATGCTACTCTAGTGGCAATCTGGGTATTTTATATTGGGGGATATAGGCAGATTAGGGCAATCCTGCGTCGAGCCAAGTCGTGGTAACCTCCGCAGTACGCACACATCAATCAGCTTGGCGACAGGCCCAGCATGCATATCTTTGGCAACTACTGTGGTGGCACTCCCTGGCACCCCTTACTTTGTGGGCGACCGCCGCACAATAGTTGCCGTTTAGGCTGCCTCCAGCACCTCGATTTGGATTCTCCTGTTTGCTTACAGAATGCGCATGCAGTAGAACTAACTCAGGCGCTGTGTTCTTGGAGGTGGGCTGTCTGGCCGAGAAACCCGGCTTAGTAACCTGAAGAAAGTTGGTAATTCCACCTCCCGTGTCTGAAAAAAAATGCTGGCTCGCCAATTACGAGCGGTGCTTCCCCGCACCTGGATTCGCCACCAAAGCTCTACGTCGGGCTCTCTGTTCAAAGATCTTGAGGGCTCGTCGAGCGCAGCCGAGAAGGAGTCGGCCGATGCTGCGGTTTACAACACCAACGCGGATCTTCTGAATCATCCCTATATCAAGTCTAAAATGGACCCGCAAGGAAAGACCGCCACCGAAGAGCTGCTTTCCCCCTTGAAACAGATTTTGTACAGCAAGGTGCTTGCTGCAAACAACGGCAAGTTTGTCAACAACCAGACCGTCGAGCATGAGGGCTCTAGCTACGAACTCAGTCTCACCCCCGAGCAGCAAAAGGCACTTATACCTTCCGTGTACATCCAGTCATACCGCATTAAATCCTCGTGGAAAAAAATGTACATGTTCTTGCGCATGTACCGTCAAATGGGACTCACTGAGGCTATCACCCAGAGTCACTTTTCCAGCCGCCGTATGGCCCGGGATGTCGCCAACATGCTTGAGCGCGGACGTGACGATGCTATCAAGCTTGGAATGAACCCGGAAACTATGCACATTGACCAGATCTGGGTTGGCAAAGACGGCAACGATTTCAGACGGATCCAGTTCAAGGGCCGCGGCCGCACTGGTGTCATCACCCATCCTTATGTCCATGTCAAGGCTATTCTCAAAGATAACCAGGTTCGCGAGGACCGCAAGGCGTTGATCAAGAAGCGACTTGATCGCAAGCTTTGGCGACCTCTTCGCAACTGGACTATCAAAGAAGACGACACTCAGACACCGGACTACAAGTGGTAGTCACTCTAAATTCGATATAAAGCTTTTGTACAGTCTAAAATTTGAAACCGCTATCAGATTATATGTGATTTTTAATGTGCCAGCCTGAGCTGGTTACATATGTTAAATGAGTCAAAGTTTGCGCACTAGAAAAAGGAATTTCAGTGTCGCTCCGGCAGGGAAACTTTCAAGGTTGCATTTAATCGTCGTAGCCAGTCAAAGTAGTATCACGTTTGGCAGGCAGAGGATAGCTCAAGGGAATCAAAGGTGCGTCCTTGTAGAGATACTTCTCACGGGTGTTGTACAGCGTGACGGCGGCAAGAGGACCACCTACGCCCAAAATAAATGCAAGCACAACATGTGGGCGGTCATAAGAAGCGTAGCGGAGGTACTTGACCGGTTGACTCCAAAATCGAGGAGAGCTCATTGGTAGGTGACTAAGGTGAGGGAGGGGAGAGCGAGGCCTGAGGAAGAGAATTGATGGGTTTACTCAGAGGAGGTGCAAACGGGTGATGGTACGGGAACAAGATTATTGTTTAGAAGTTGCTACCAGTTTGAGCGATGGTGTAGCTATATCGCCGAAATTTGCGACCCCCCCTCCAGCACGCGCCGTTTTTGACCAGTACGCATCAATGCTAGCAACTAATGGGGTTTCAATCTTTTTCACCCGTTTTCACACTTGCTCCGCCAAATCTTCCTCACAAAGGCTCTGCTCACTGCACGAATACCTCAACTGCGCATCCCCATCCAAGTCTCATTGCTGACCAAAAGTGATCGGATGGACGGGATTAAAGTGACCCAGGTCCCCGCGACTTTGGTGCGCTTGGGCCAGCAGCTTGAAGGAACTGTACATTTGACGCAACACCATATGATATTCAGAACAGACCAGCGTGAAATCTGGATAAGCTACCCCGTTGTCTCCGAAGTTGTACGAAGAGCCGCAACCTCATCGGGTTCCTCGGCCCTTTTGCGCATGGTTGGCAAAGATTTCATGTTTCTTTCTTTTCAATTTGCTTCAGATGACGATGCAATCAATGTGTACGATTCCTTAGTGAGTCTTTGCCATCCAGAGGATACCTCGGACCTGTACGCCTTCGTCTATCGTCCGGCCCCTCCGGAAAGTAATTTTAACTGCTGGGATTTGTATGATCCGGTTAAGGAGTATCGCAGAATGGGAATTGTCCCTGAAGATACATCTTGGCGTATCACGAATGCCAACAATTCTTTTACACTGTGCCCCACGTACCCCCCTTTGCTGGTTGTGCCAGGCTCAATTAGCGACACGGTCTTGAGCTATGCAGCGAAATTCAGGTCCAAAGGGCGTCTCCCTGTGTTGAGTTACTATCACCAGTTCAACCGGTGCACAATCTCCAGGTGTTCCCAGCCTTTGGTTGGCCTTAAACAACATCGCTCACCCCAGGACGAGGGCCTACTGCGGGCAATATATGCCACAACAGAAACTCCGCGAGGCTACCACGGTGCCACGGTCGAGAACCTAATTGTAGACCTTCGTCCGGCTGGCAATGCTTACGCCCAAACTGCCCTCGGTGGTGGCACAGAAAATATGGATCGATACCGGCCCGCACGAAAAGCATATTATGGTATCGACAATCTTCACGTCATGAGAGACAGCTATAACAGGGTCGTAGAAGCTCTTCGTCACGGAGACGTTAGTGACTCTACCCCCTCTGCCGTTAGTCTGGAAAAGAGTCAATGGCTGCGACATATCGAGATTATTCTCGAGGGAGTTGCTCAAGTTGTGCAGCAAGTTCATTTCAAGTGTTCTCATGTTGTTGTACACTGCTCAGATGGCTGGGATAGGACACCCCAGCTCACGTCTTTAGCCATGCTTTTGCTGGATCCTTATTTCAGGACTTTGGAAGGCTTTGCTGTATTGGTCGAAAAAGAGTGGGTGTCATTCGGGCACCAATTCCAAATACGAAACAACGACTTGGGCCGCAAGAATTTTTCTACTGTTGAAGAAGATCCGTCGGTGTTTAGCAATGTGACCAGTTTTATTTCCGAAACTACCAGAGGTCGACAGTCAGGCCCGATCTTTCGGCAATTTCTTGATTGCGTGTACCAACTAGTCTACGAACACCCTAATGATTTTGAGTTCAATGAACGATTCCTTAGGAGACTGCTCTATCACAGTTATGCGTGCCAGTACGGAACCTTCTTGCTCAACAACGAACGGGAAAGAGAAGAGTACAGAGTGCGAGAAAAGACTCGAAGTGTCTGGGACTATTTCATGGCCCGCAAACAACAATTTTTAAATCTAAGTTACGCTGCCACCGAAGAAGTAAAGCTACCCCCTGCAAAATCACGTTGGTGGGCTGCAGCATTTGGAAGATCCGACGCCGACATGAATGATCCCGAAGCATGGAGAAAAGATGCGAGTCCCAAACGGCAAAGCCCCAGCCTCACGCCCAATTCTGCCAATGGATCAAAGCCGGAGGACAAATCGCACACGCTTGCTGCTTCTTTAAACCAAGTCACTCTGGATGATACCAAACGCGAAACAACTATCCAAGCAGAAGAAGTCGTCACGTAAAAATGCAAATAAGCAGTCAAGTGCTTTAGTTGTTTATATATCTTAACGTATTTATTTCACTTTACTATCGACAAGTATCGCCGGGGGTCAGCCCAAGTTACTTGCGCTTATTTGCCTTCGACTTGGAGGATCCAGTCACTTTTACCGGCTCGGCCTCGCTAGGCTCAGTGTCTGCTTCCGAAGTGGCAGCACTTTGAGCTTGAGTCTGTTCGCGTTTAGCTTTAGCAATCTGGGAGGCAGTGTCTTTTGCCGCCCACCACTGTCCAAGTTGCAGAGCAAGAACACCCATAAACACCAAGACGATAAGGACCTGACTAGCAGACATCAGCTGGATTCCTGTTGTCTCGTCGATATCGTACCAATCACCGGTCAAGACAGATTGGGCAGCAACGCGAAGGTTTGAGAGATAAAAGACAATGGCAATTACAAACAAAACAAGAGATCCACCATCGAAGAGTGTATTAGCCTCAGTGGGTTTGTAAATTTTGATGAAAATGCCAGTGAAACCAATGGCCAAGACACCGTGGAGGACATGGTGCAAGAATGCTGGCTGGCCAGCACGCATACGATAGTGTTGGGCGGTGAGTGAGACCATTTCAGGAGAGACGGGGCTCTTCCAGAGCATATAATAGTCATAAGCCCAATTCGCGTAAATAGATCCCAAAACGAACCCTGTGGCCAGAATAATCAGGCCTGTGCCCAAACTTTTCATATAGTCGAGAGAGGATGCCATCTTTGCTGAATCATCGAAAACAGGCACTGATATAATGCGGGGGTTAGATATCTCCACGACCAGAGATCGGAACGTTGGCTATTTCATAGAACTATGTGTTTCAACCAAGTAAAGTCTGAGCAGGACGATAATTGTAACATCCTCAGGAAGGGTTGGTAGCTCATTGCCATCCAGTGCCCACGCCTAATAGTTTAGACAATAAACTCAGGTATGAAACTTTAACGTTCAATAAGCTTAAATAAAGCAGATAGAATTAAGAACCGAGCTCTATCAGATGTGAGGAGCGGATCACCGAGTCAGAGGGCTGGTGTGAGATGGTACTCACATGTGATCATGCACCAGGTACTGTTTGTTGAGGTTAGTGGCCAGAAGGGCGGTGATGAGGGAACTAAAATTATTTCATCTTATGGAACAAAATAAATGGATTTTTTGGAGTCTATTGAGCTTTGTGGGGGTTGTCGCATGTTTGATAGTGTAGGTGCTGTTCTGCAAGGCAACAGATAGTGACACACGAGCTCGAGCAGCTAGAATCCCAACAGGGTAACAATATACTAGAGCAGACAATACTATACTGGAATCGCAGAGTAGAGTATCATGAGTCCCTATTTAGTTGTGCAAGCAAGTGCGTCACATACATCTAACAAATCTTCTGCATGAGCTGTCGAGAGTTTTTCAAGTTTTCTAAAGCTGCTCTTTTCCAACCAGACCTGTAAAATTTATTGTACATATCAGATCGGGCACGATGCTGCTAGACTAGGTTGGCTTAGATGATTGAGCGATATGCTGAGGGCATTTATCCACAGTGAGACACAAAGCTCAGAGTGATCCCGTTCCACCGCTACTCGATCGGAACATTTTACTGCTGTATTTCAACGCCTAGCTTGTTTTATTTGCCTATTTAAACCTTATCTTTGGTCTAAACTGTATCTCTTCAAACCTACTCCCTAACCTTATTAGTAACGTGTAGCAGACTAGTCATCGTTTAGTAACTAATTGGTAGGCGAGCCGTATATATTGTTTCCATGTGTTTCATCCAGATATGAGGGACGTACAAGAAACCAAAGTAGTACGCCTATCATTGAAATTTGACATGAGCACCGCTATTGCCTTGCCCCATCGACGCTCTCCCTATTATCTAATGGTATCGCATTGAAAAACTCTATCCTTTTCGGTCGATAAAACCCTTGCCCTTTTTGACTAATCTGAAAAACTGTGAAAAAGCTGACACAAGCAACGGTTGAGCCCACGTTGCGTCGCGGCTCTGCGAACATGCGCGAAAGCGGCACCATTGAAGGTATCAGTGAATCTCACGATACCTAGTCGGAGGCCTCAAGACGTAAATCTCAGACACTTTACAAAATTTCTAGTGAATCAGCTTGAAATGTATTCGATAGGTGTTTACCTAATCGATGCAACCAATTAACTTGCATACATACGTCCCACATAAACCAGAGCACGGACTCGACCATATCAGGGAAATTTGGTGATCCCTCAAAGATCAGAGCACCACCGTAAACTTTTATTAAGTCAAGATGGAACACGCACGACAAAGTATCCCTTTAAAATCACTTAGTGGAGTAAATCCGTGATCGGGTTTGAGAACGACCTGCACATGCAATGCAGGTCTGAGAAAAAGCCGTCAAGCATAGGTATAAGTACCTAATCAACTTGTGGACTTGCTTCGTCTTCTATTACAAGCCCAGTCACATTCTTTCAAACAACCCTCTTTCCATTAACAATGTACGCTTCCACTCTTTCCTTTGCCGTTCTGGCTGTCGCCGCTGCCTCTGAGGACGTTAGCACTGAGTTCATCACCAAGACTCTTTCTACTATCACTGTTCAGAGCATCCACACCCCCAACGCTGTTTTGGTTGGTGAGCTCGCTAACAACGCTACCGTTAGCAACTCCACTTCTTCTAACAGCACCTCTTCTAACAGCACTTCTTCTAACAGCACTTCTGTTCCCAGCAGTACCACGGTTTCCAACGGCACCTCCAACAGCACTTCTACCGGCACCAAGGCTCCCGTCCCTACTCACAACGCTGCTGTCTCCCAGAGCATCCCTGTTGCCGCTGCCGTTGCTGCCGTTGCTGCTTATCTCTTGTAATATTTATCCCTGTAACATTTCTACCTAGCTTAAAACTCCCCTGTACCACTTCACTGGCTGTGTCCATTTGACCTTAAATTGAAGAAGGCGTTCTTTCAACCACTATAAATGGGTAAGGGATTCATGAAATAACTCAGGTTTTGTTTTTTGAGCTTTTCAATCGATCAGTTTGACCGGGACAGCGACTAAATTGGCAAAGAAACCCGTACCTTGGACCGTAAATGGCAAAGGTCCTTATTGGCAAATTCGTCAACGAGCTAAAGTGTCAAAAACTACTATAGTAACAAAACATTTCGAGCAAAAAATAGATTCCCGTTGTAAACGACTAAATCCGGCCCAAGTTGTCTATCCTCATTTTCATATCATGGTCTTCTTTTCACGGCCCAGTAGTTTGGATCCCTCTATGCGAGTAACAACTGAAATGCATTGTCCTCTTACCTAATGGCTGACCACAAGAGTATTGGGGTGTTAGGGGTACAGGGGAAAGACATGCTAAAACCTCGCTTCCAGATTGACTAATACTAGCTAACTTTCCCCACTTTTAGGGATGTCTACTACGCGACCTAAACCTTGGGAAACTGGGGCAAGCACTTCAGGCGCGGAAACAACAACAAGTAGCTCAGTTCCTATATCTGGGCCGAGCTCTTCAGTCCCACAAACTGGTATCAGCGACGCCACATCCGCTGCAGCAGCTTCAGGTGTTCCCCCGGTGCCAGGAAGACCTACGACCCTCAATTCAGTGGCACCCACGACATCTTATACTCCAGGAGGATACGGTGGTTATTCAGGAATGAATTCAGGCTATGGTTCTTACGGATCAGGATATGGCATGGGCTCTGGAATGGGTGGCTATGGAAGCTATGGCGGCATGGGTGGCTATGGCGGCATGAGTGGCTATGGCGGCTACGGAAGCTATGGCGGCTATGGTGGCTACGGAGGCTATAACCGTATGGGAATGGGTGGAATGGGTAATCCTAACAACCCTCTGGAAACATCTACCGCGGCCACTTTCCAGCTGATTGAATCTATCGTTGGAGCGTTCGGTGGCTTTGCTCAGATGTTGGAGTCTACTTACATGGCTACTCATACGTCCTTTTATGCAATGATGAGCGTTGCGGAACAATTTGGTCATCTCAAGCAGAGCCTAGGATCTATCCTCGGCATTTTCGCACTCCTCCGATGGTCAAAGGCGTTAATCGCCAAAATCACGGGCAAGCAGCCGCCCAATCAACTCACCCCGGCGAATTTTGCAAAGTTCCAAGCTGCTGGTGGTGCTTCGGGAGGCGCATCTAGGCCATCTTTCAAACCCCTGCTCATGTTCTTGGCTGCCGTAGTCGGCCTGCCCTACCTGCTAGGTAAACTTATCCGATCAATGGCATCTCAGCAGCAGGCAGAAATAGGCATGAACGGAGACGGACCTATCGATCCTTCCAAGCTGGACTTCTGCAGGGCCCTCTACGATTTCGTCCCCGAGAACCCCCAGATCGAGCTTGAGCTCAAAAAAGGCGATTTGGTCGCAGTACTGTCGGCAACAGATCCCAGTGGAAACCCCAGCCAGTGGTGGCGAGTCCGCACTCGTGACGGCCGCTCCGGCTACGTCCCTGCAACTTATGTAGAGATCATTCCCCGTCAAGCACCCCTTGAGGCTGGCCCGCCCGGTGCTGCTAATGCTACACCCGAAGCTGGCTCTGTCAAGCAGATTGAGTAATGCCTTTCTCCATATTTATTCGTGTAGTTGTGAAATATGTAAACCCTCTTTCTAACTGTCCTTCTTCACCTCATCTTTTGTGCATATGCAAGTCGGAAAAACTGCTTATTAAACTTACGTTCATAATGTTGACCAGAGATGGAGAACCCACGATGGACATATATATGCGGATGAACGCAGACTCCGAGAAGGACTACTGCTTGGCCATCAAGCGAGATGCCAAGGTCAAGGACCTGCTGAACATTTTCACCCAGTTGCCCATCAACCTGTGCCCGAGTTACTTCTACGACACGGTGCCTGCTGGCTTCGCTGCTTCCATGCATCCCGGTTACTTGACCAGCGTTGGTACAATGCTTTTCTCTGAATATGCCGATGAGGAAAAAAATTTAGTGAATCTGGACCTGGAGGCAGACCTCAAGGATGTCGTACACGAGGGCCAACTGGTGGTTCCAGTCTGGCAATTTCACACTTCTAGATATATCCGCTTTGTTACCATTCTATTGGGCTGGTTGTATCTCGATTTGCCCCAGCATATTACGCCTACTCCGGGAATCGCGCCTTCTATGCTGTTTGTGAACACGGTTCAGCGTATGTTCCCTATTCTTCGGGATAGAGAAGGTACAACTGATCCATTTGATACGAACATTTGGCGCTGGGGCTTTTTCGCCATGCATTGCTTCAAGATAATTGTGATTTATCTGTTTTTCCGGGTCGGTGTCTTCAACCCCAAGAGTCTGAATATCTTCAAAACTCGCCACAAGGTTACAAACCTCACCAAAGATGATCTCCTTAGTTTGGGTTGGACTGCTATCCGCCGTCTACCTGCTGATGACTGGCATAATACGTACCGGGAGTATCTTATTGCAAAACACGGTGATGTGCTCAAAGCGCACAAAGCTGGTGATCTGGAACGGAACATGGGTGTGTACCTTGATGCTGGAGAAGGTTTTGATGGTCTTAGAGAAAGAGATCCCTCTAAGCGCAAGGTGGATAGCAAGTTCCTGAACAAGGATGGAAAATTCATTGTGTCCGATGCTTACACCAGAACCGTTTTTGAGCCTATGGCTGAAGCTTTGCAAAAGCGAGAGCTAAGCGATGAGCAACTACTTGCACGTCTCCATGATTACAGGCGTTTTGGTTTCTTGAATGGGCCGCAAAAGCTGGTCGAGCTCTACGAGCATGTAGCTGCCAAGCACGGCTTTTAGCGCGTGATCTTAAATGAAAAGCCCAAGGAAATGAAGTAAGCTGAGCTATGTCTGCTTTTTTAGTTATGAATAGGTATTTTTTCACACTCCTGTGAATTCGAAACATACATTGACTACTGGGGAATGTTTGTCGTGCCCGGTAATACCACCCCTTTTTCAGAATTGAGTACGATTAATCTTCGATCATACTGCAGAGAATCTAAGTTCATTCCCCAGAAGTTTAGTTTCGATCCATTAAGTTACCTATTTGGGAAATGTTACACGATGAATCTGCAGATTGCGCGGTGCAGCCTGCGTTCCCTAAGGAAGGTTACGAGAACTGGCAAGACGTAATGCTGCCGTCCACAGGCGTGCAGAAACCTTTCTATAGAATAAATCACAAAAGCAGGAATACACGATCAGTTCTGAGATCTTCCACCCACAGTCTCACATTGATCGGCCTAGTGACTACGTCAGAAGATGAACTCGCCCGACGTATCGGATGCCCAGGACTTCGATAGTGTGTGGCTAACTGATTCTGGGTTCTTGAAACAAGACCAGAGTAGCGACATGGCGAGCTCCAGCTTCGTGAATACCTGCGCACTAGCTGAGCTCGAATCCACAGATCTTGGGTTTCCGTCCGCGACCACAGCAGGTCCTATATATTCGGCCAACGAGTTTCCTGATATTCTCGACGATGTCATATTCACTGATCAGAAGGAAGATGCAGGCAGTTCCATCTGGACTGATCCAGATTCAATTTATGTTCATGCCCCCGATAAGATCCATGCGTTGCACGATGAAACTAACTCCAACGCTAGTGTTTCACCCACTGCTCCAGCTGTGTATGCTCGTTCGGGGAGTGAAGACTGGTCCAGCAAAATTAGCCTCTCAAGCCCCCCCCACTCGCGAAAGTCGTCGTCAAGCGATCCAGAAGCAAGTTTTACGTTCCATACACAAACCTTCAGCGGCTTGAGTCACGATGCAATCGAGGGCTCAAGGTTTGAGGAGGAAGATCTTATGCAGGTACCATCTGAGGCCTCAAGCCAAACCCGACGAAGGCCCCATTCCCTGAACCTGTCTCTTGTCATGTCTGGACCTTTACATTCTTTGCCTTCATCCGCTGCCTCTACGGAGCCAAATTCTGCCTTATTGTATCGCTCACAGCCATTTGAGTGTAACTCGAGACAAGTAACGCCTCCACCATCTGCAGATATTCGACGCCATAAGCACTCCTCGTCGAATGGACATCGCTTTTCTGGGCGCTCGTTGTCCGTAGCAAAAATGCCACTGAGTGAAATGTACAGAGAGATGGGCATGCAAAACAATCATAGTGAAGGCGCAGAGCGGGAAATTCGTATAATGCAAGTGGTGAAAGCAAACGGTTTTGACGTAGGTGCCCAGACTTGGATAAGGGACACAAACGAAGATACACGAAATAAAATACTAGACGCCCTTGAGGCGGAGTTCCGAAGCTGGGGGTATGATCGTGCACTCTTGGAGAAAATAGTTCGTCGGGGTACCTATGCTCGTATGCAGAGCAATTTGAGGCGTGACCGGCGTCAAAGAGCTGCTAGGCGTAAGGAGGAAGAACAAGAGGCAATGCGGCAAAGAACGCAAGAAAGACGCTTAAAGTAACCAGTTAAAATCCACTTAAGACTATCTGCAGAGTCACATTCTATAACTTAATTTCTACAAAACAGGACTAGGTATGCCACAAGCTCAATGGCATATCCTCCCCAAGTCCCTCGTGTAATTTCGAGCGACGGATCCATTCCATTTCAAGAACACCAGATACAAGCTGAGGATAGCCCATAGACAGCAAACTATGAATGCATAGGATAAGATGTCGACGAAGCCGGTCCTCTCGAGGCGCCAAAAACCGGAGCTCAGCCGCTTTGGCAGGGGTGTAGTGCTCAGAATAATGCTGAGTTTGGTTGTACATATCCGTCAAAGCTTCCTTAATACGCTGAAGCTCCTTTTTGTATTCAGCGGGTGCGTTACTAGCAAACTGGTCAATTTGAATTGTCAATGACGCAAGCTGAAGGGTATTCAAACTTGAGGACATGACCATACGCCTGAACGAGTTGATTGTATGACTCGAGTTTTCAGGCATCATTAGACGGGGAGGGCGATCGAGTGTCAGAACTGGAGTTTCGCCCCCCGGTAATACAGGGGTAGCCCCTTCTTTTGCATTTTCGTCCTCTAACCACTGATTTACTGAGCCTAGCATCACCTCAACGTCCACTTCGTCGTCATTGACACGTCTGGTGCTACCGAGTGTAGGAGTAGGCTCATCAGAGCCATAGAAGTCTGGCTCCTCGGATAATCCTGGAAGAGACCAGCTAGACCCTTGCTCCTGTTTTTGTTGGGAAATAGCTTCAAGACTTTTATCATTTTTCAAAACATAGCTTCCCAATCTCACTAAAGAGAGCTCGCGCAGATCGGGATAGAGTCTCCCAGCAGAAGAAGAGTTGGACATCACTTCTTCATCCTGAACCAAATCAGCCAAGTACGAAAAGTCGTCTTGCTCAGTGTCAGATGTTCCGTTTGTGCGTGCAGAGATTGCACTCTGTGTGCTTCCGACACTATCCAACGATATATTTCTAAGGTGACTCGCATTATCGTCATCATCGTCAAGCAAAGCTGGAAAGGCAGCACCGGAATAACGATTGTAGAGCACAGAGCTGGAACGGTCAAGGAATGCGCTTAGTCGAATTGATCTTGCAGAATCCTCCCTATCAAGAGTTGGCTTGGTACCTTCATACATGGAACTTGTATCACCAATGTCCGAAGTGCTGAGGCTATCAGCGTCTCGTTGTTCAAGACCTTCAAACCAAGCATCAACATCTCTTTGCTCGGCCTCTTCAGTGCTGCTAACCTCGGTGCTGCCAAGGCCCGTACTGAAATCATCCCACGAGCTTCCATTATCTGTATTAGTCCGCGGGAACTTATAGCCAATACTGTCCTGCGATGGCGCTATGCTGGGCAAGCTTGGTTTTTGGGCGAGGTCCCTTGTTGAACGATCCTTAGGAATAGTCCCTTCGAAGTTAGCTTTCTTTCTCAGAACAGGAGCGCTATTCCCAGCGGGAGCTTCAGTTCCACGGGTGTCGGGCTGTCCATGTGCCTTAGCTGAGCCGAATCCAGGTGAGCCTCCAGCAGTATGGAATGAATTCGGGCTGTTGTCGTTCGTTTGCACCGTTTTCGGTAACGGCAGCTCTGGAATAATTATAGGTTGGGCCTTGCCTGATATGACTGAAGTCAGTTTCTTGGTATTCTGTACGTTTGTCGAGGAAACGCTGGTGGTTGCCGAAATATCCGGAGCTGTGGGCGTTCTAGGAATATTCGCAGGAACAGAGCTTTTGGCGGGCATGAACGATGCACGAGGTTTGTTGCTCCGAGTTTGATCAACCTTGGGCGAATCAACGGCCGTCCAGGTATTGCGCGTATTCTCCTTTAGTGTTGGGAGCGCATTGGTACCATTGGAAACAGGTTGAAGAACATTGTTGAGATTAGGACGACTACCGAACATGCTGCGACGGTGATGCCATTGCACTTTGTCTGGCGGTTGGCTGGCCCATCTAATCATATTAGCGGTGACATCTCTGTTAGTAGAAATGATACCCTGGATTGCAGCTGGGTTCTGCGAAGACAAAACTAGCGTTGCAAGATAGGTGATCTCGCTAACAACATACTCCTTGAACTGCTCTTTACTCACCTCCTTGAACGACGTGTATCCCATTAATGACACAACTTTTATTTCGATTTGAGCCATATCAGACTTGAAATTTATACAAACAGCACCACAAAGGTCGTTCGTTGCTAGGTCCGACGTACCAAACTGCGTATTGAGAAAAACAGCAATTGGTGACCGATTAACTTCAGCATGGTAGCCTTGAAGTTCATGGACTGTGGAATAAATAGATAAATCGGTGGGAACATTTTTACCCACTTCGCCCTGAGTCGGCAAGCTCGAGATCTTGAACAGATGGAAAGGTTGCGTCTTTGTTGTAACCTTGGCCTTTGCTAAGAGCTCAACAAACTTGTCGGCCGTGTGATCAGGGCGAATGAGACGATATATCTTGGTGTAATGTTTTGCACCATCTTCATCAAACTTGCAGGCAAAAGGCTCAGGCTGTGTCGAGATTACTAGTGATTTTGGTCCAAAACTAAGGAAAGAAACGTCCAGAATAGGTGCCCACCCAATGACCTTCAAGGGTGGTAGATTACCATCTAGTGGTGCCTCATTCAACATAGCGTGCATAAGGACATCACCAATAGACGGAAGGTGTAGGCCACTTAAAGACGTCATTGGAATTGGCTCCGCGGGTTCCAAGATCACCAAGGCATCTGTAAACATAATGACAATGTTATGAAGTTGGCGTCGCGCAGAGCTTGGCTCAATGATATCGACAGCATCAAAAATAGTGACGACCCTTCTATTAATCCAGCCATACTCCAGCTCCGCTGGCCATCCGGAAGCAATTTCCACAAGCATTTTACCACTAGGTGTGAACACTCGCTTACCAGGAGCTCCTGTCTGTGTTTCTTTTCCGAACTGGTCAATAGTGCCTGTTGAAACGTGGTAAAATTCATCGGCCAAAGCCTTTTCAGAAGGTGACCATTTCTTGGTCTCCATAAAACGATCAAGAACGAGTTTCAGTCTGACAAGATGAAGACTGTTTTGCATTACAGCTTCAATCTTCTGAGGCGAGTACTTGTCAATCTCATGTTTCAGCTCTGAATCTGTGGTTGCCAAGCTTCGCGCAAAATTTTTGGTTGCAGCTTCATGTCGAATGCAAACGCGGTAGAAGTAGGGGATAGTGGTACCGCAGGCCTTAAGAACCTCGAAACTTCCGAATGGCAGTGCTTGCTGCAAAGCTTCGTAGAAAATGTTGTTAATTCGGAACATCTCATCAATAGTTGGTGGGAATACCGTATTAAGTTTTCCAATAGTCATACCGGGTATTTCGTGATTCAAAACACGAACACGCAAAGGAATCAAAAAGTTTTGCAAGAAATCTATAAGGCTAGCCCGTACCGACGACTGTAGCATGTACAACTCTTCACATATGTCCTGAACTTCTTTGGGATCGTCTTCCAATGTAGCGATAGAGTCTGCTGGTGGGACATAAATCCTTTCCGTGGGTTCAGGAGAGTATTCAGAGAGAGGGTCGAAAAGCTGTTCGAGTTGGTCTCCGAGCATATACACGAGATCATTATTCTGGTCGATTGTAAGATCGGTATCTTCATAAACAATGTCCAGGACGCTAGATCTAATGAATTTTGGCAAAATCATACCCGATTCAATGACACGGCGGCCAATTTCCAATGGAAACTTGCCGTATACCAATCGAAATTTTGATCCCAGTGCCCCAGCCGCCGTTTGATCGTAGTACTTGAGCGGCAGCTCTCCTTTAATTTTGAGCTCACTGGCAGCCCTGCGAAATAGTGCTCTTCTCAGAGGCCTATCCATGGTAGAATAAGTCCTCAAAACAGCAATAGCAAGGGCTTTCCTGACCTGAGACTTCTGGTGAGCAAAAGCCAAGGAGGCACAAGCTCCGTAGTAACGAGAAGTGGAACCTAGTGTGATGTCGACGTATCCAGAAGTTCCATGGTTTCCAATTAGCACCACTGAAAGCGCTTTTGAAGAAACGTCGGCGCGATAAACTACAGCCAGGACCTTACCCAGTACAGTGTCCTCGGCGGTCATGTACGCGGCTTCTCCTGCTGCCTGTAAATTGAATGCCGTAGCATAAGGTGAATTAGAGTCTTGTATAATAGACATCGAACACGTATTGTCGGTTCTTGGTTACCGGAACTCAGACCTTTTTCTTTAATCAAACGTGAGACAGGAGGTCTGACTTAAGCTCATGCAGGTTGTTAATTAACGCGTCGTAAGCGTGTCATAAGACTGCAGCTACGGCAATAGAATGGTTTTTTTCGGCCAGTCAAGTAAATTATGGTTGCTTAAGTACAAAATAATCAATACAAGTCGACCTTCCTGCAGGATGAAATATCACTGCGGGGTTTGGTCGTGCCATCTCGCCTTTTTCTCCCTTCCGTAATGCGCTTGAGCGCCAAAATCAACGAGGGTGTGGTTTATGGACTGCTGGAGTTGACGCCAGAGCTTGAAGAGGCTTTACGATCCGGATGTCTTTATTTGCGGTCAGATAAAAGCCGTGAGTCGGTTGCTGCATGCACTGAAACCCAGACATTTTCGGTGCGACGTTTGAACCAGACAAACACGCTCCTTTTAAGCACGCAGGATGGCGACGATATAACTGCGTTCGGAACTTCCTCCAATCTATTAGAGCCTATTTTGTCGAGTGGAAGTGTTGACTTGCCGTCTATCGCTGTTTACCGTCGACAAAATACTTTTGGCCCATCGGAGACTATGGAGGAGCTACAAAACCGCTCAATGTGCTCGGCAGCGGAGTTCAGATCTATTTGTGAAGAAAACGCTGTCTTTGAATACTGCGGCAAAGTCTGCAAACTGGAAGATGAGACGATCTACTTTATCGTAAACGAGCTTATTTCGACCATCATTGGCGAAGGTCTGGGTCTCACGGCACGTTTCGAAGAAGTTGTAGAAGTCAGCGGTACCCAAGAATGCAAGGAAGCTGTTGAAGCAGTTTACAAACTATTTTACGATGACGAAATGGGCCAGATTGATACAAATAAAGCTGCCGTTTGGATAGGCCGCTATCTTCTTGGAAATCTAGCAGGGGAGGTTACTGCTTACGACTTTATGAAACAATGGCAACATAAAACGCCAGTTCATCTGCAATTGGATATAACAAAGCTCGAGGGTCACTTTTTCGAACCGAGAAAAGGGGTGATCAGATCTTTGAGTGTTGACAAGCTCAGTAAAGACCCCAGAGTACGTTTCCAACAGCTTTTCCAACTCAAAAACGAATGGGATCTTGATGAAATGGGCCCATTCATTCGCGATCTCATGAATATTAATAGCAAACTCGAAAACTGGGTCCTAAAATACGCTCGACGGGTCAAGAAAGACGGACACGTCTTTATTCTTCCACGTAAATTATAGGCTAAGAAATTTGTATATAAAAGAAATTTAATCATCAATTCGTCAGTTGTCTCTGTACAAAAGCGAGCTTGCAACTTCATACATGCCAAGGAACACCGCGCCTCCAGCACTGATCCACAAGGTTCTGGGCACAATACCGCGGAAGAATGTGGCTGAACCATCTTTGTAAATATCCCTCAATGTTTCACCAAAAGTTTCGCCGTGTCTATTAAGTATAAGCCGGGTTTTGAGTACGTCCAATGGAGTCGTAGCGGCTGCCGCGATACCACCAGCGACGGACCCACAGAGAGCACCGCTCAAAGGGTCAACCTTTTTCACCCCACGAGCATTTGCCCACACCGACTTCATTTTCTCGTACAGTGGAAATTGGACCATGGTGAAAGGAATCTCTCGCATAATAGCCGTAAAGTACCCGCGGTAAAGCCCTCTGAACACGCCCTCGCCCGACTGGTTTTTCAGAATATTAGTGAAGGAGATCCACGACGAAACATGCTGCCCCGTCTGAACGCGCTGTTTGACCACCTCAGAGGGCACTCGAACGCTGCAAGCGGCAATCTCACCGATCGAAGCCGACGTCATATGGATCATTGCAGGACTATCCTTAAAGTAAGAGTACTCGGGAAGAGTACGTTTACCATAGTCGTAGCACATAAAAAACAGAGCCGCACCCGGGGCGGAAGCGACAATTGTTGACCCTACGCCGTGGTAGATACCATGCCAGCCTCCGTTGGTGAAAAATCCTCCCTTGGCTTGCAGCCTCGTCTTGACCGTATCGATAGGAAAGAAGACCAGGTCGGTACACGTGCCCGCCACACCGCCTGCAGCCAGCGATCTCAAGACCTCATCGTTAACCATCCTTTCTGCTCTATCGCCCTAATGGTGGGAGTGGTGGATTGGGAAAAAGTTTCAGGGTTGGGTTTGGCCGATTCGGAACCGTCCGCGGGGCACGCTTCTTTTTTTCAAGTCGGGTTTGTAAGCACGCCGCAGTATCCCTTCTGTTTGAACAATCGATCGAAATTCGAGGGTAGCTCCACAGCAATCTTGTATATTTTCGGTTTGCAACAATATGAAATCACAGCTACGAGGATCGTTAACCCGGCTGTATTCGACAGTTGTGCGAGAGCATGCCAAGTCTGCCCAAGTGGCCAAGCAGCTTGCATCGTTGGCCACCAAGCATCGCCAACAAGATCCCATCAGTTTCGACATTCCCCAGGCGGCCACAGGCGGGGCAAATGGTCGCCCCATTTATCTCGACACGCAGGCCACCACGCCCACGGATCCAAGAGTTCTGGACTATATGCTTCAGTTTTATACCGGCCAGTACGGTAACCCTCACTCCAAGACACATCAGTATGGGTGGGAGACCGAGACTGCGGTTGAGGAAGCCCGTGGGCACGTAGCCAAGTTGATCGGTGCCGATCCTAAGGAAATTGTTTTCACCTCTGGAGCTACAGAGACCAACAACATGGCCGTCAAGGGCGTGGCCCGTTTCTACAAGAAGACAAAGAAGCATATCATCACCACCCAGACTGAGCACAAGTGCGTCCTCGACACGTGCCGTAACCTAGAAAACGAAGGCTTTGAAATCACATACTTGCCCGTTCAGTCCAATGGTCTGGTTGACACCGCTCAATTGGAGGCTGCAATCCGCCCCGACACTGCGCTGGTTTCTGTCATGTATGTCAACAACGAGATCGGTGTTATTCAGCCCATCGACGAGATTGGCAAAATCTGCCGGAAGCACAAGGTGTTTTTCCACACCGATGCCGCCCAGGCCTTTGGCAAAATCCCTATTGACGTAAACAAGTCCAACATTGATCTTATGTCGATTTCGGGCCACAAGATTTACGGCCCCATGGGTGTTGGTGCCTGCTTTGTTCGCCGCCGGCCTCGCGTTCGTATGGAGCCAATCATCACCGGTGGTGGCCAGGAGCGTGGTCTTCGTTCCGGCACTTTGGCGGCTCCTCTGGTCTGCGGCATGGGCGAGGCTGCCCGGATCGCTCACGAGGAAATGGACTACGATCATGCGTATGTTTCCCGTCTCTCTAAGAAACTCAAGGACTCTCTCTTGTCAATTCCCGAAACAGTCTTAAATGGCGACACTTCCCGCCATTACCCAGGCTGCGTCAACATCTCATTCGCATACATCGAAGGTGAATCACTACTAATGGCCCTCAAAGACATTGCCTTATCCTCTGGTTCTGCTTGCACCTCCGCCTCGCTGGAGCCCTCCTATGTGCTGCATGCACTCGGCGCCGATGACGCTCTGGCCCACTCCTCGATTCGCTTCGGTATCGGCCGCTTCACCACCGAGGATGAGATTGACTTTGTCATTGATACAGTTAAAGGCAAGGTGGAGAAGCTCCGTGAGCTTTCTCCTCTGTGGGATATGTACCAGGACGGTATTGATCTTAAGAGTATTGAGTGGAGTCAACACTAAACCAGGTTGATTCTAAGTAATGATTATGAGGTATCTAACTACATGGCAATAACCACTTGTACGTAACCAGCCCAAAATAGAAAATTCGTCAAGCTAAAATAAACGGGCAATGCGTTGCTCTATATTCATTGCCATTCCCACTCCATTCTGTTCGCGTATTGCTCTCCCTCGTCAAGCCCGCCCGCCACTTTGCGGGGCCCCAGAGTTCTCGTAAGCCGGCCCAACCCTGCAGAGATGCCCAAGTCAACGAGATGATGCCGCATCGCCCAGAAGAGTCAAGGCGGGTGAATAATAAGAAGCTGAGCTTTATATTTAGCGCAAGGTGCATTAGCAGTTGCTCCGGAATAGCTAACCAGACGCCTGGTAATGCAAGGCCCAGCAGCTTGCGTCCTTTTTTTTGGGAGGCGATGCCGGAAACGCTAATGCGCTGCCTGTGGTTGGTGTCCAGCCTGTATCACCCTTGCCCAGATACATCTATGCTTCTTTGAACTTGCATCTCAAAATGCACTCTCGCGAACTGTATTAGCTAATGTCGACGGGGAAAGACTCGTCGTTCAAACGGGCCTACAAAGCTTGTTTGAGCTGCCGAAAGCGCAAGGTGCGCTGTGTGTTTGCAGAGGGAGAGCCGGTTAGCCATGGGTGTCAAAGATGTCGGCGAGAAGCCCGCGAGTGCGTTGTTCCGACGTCAACTAAACGCGGCGGAATCCAAAATGTGATTTCGGGCCGAGAACGTCGCCGAAGGGAACACGAGGCGCGCGAACAACTTGCGCAGGCGGCTGCCATCAAGTCCGAGGGCTGGCAAACCCGAGAACTTTACAACACAACCGATGCCCTATCCATTCTTAGCCATGTTGCTAGGTCCTTCCCCAAAATCGAGAGTCAGCGATCCGACGCTTTGCCGGACGTGACGCCTTCATATGATAGCACCTCCAGAAGTACCCACAAGGATGCTACAACGATTTCTGGGCTCGGGTTTATTGCAATCGAGCATATTTTAACTCCGGCCGATGCTCGCCTCTTTGGCGACTTCTTTCTGGAAAAGATCAATCCCGTCTATCCCGGCATCCCATTAGAGTATAGAACTGTGGATGCGTTGACGAAACTTCCCTTATTGTTTGGAACAGTTTGCATGATTGCTTCCCGTTATTACGTCGCCTATGGCACCGACGCCTCCTTGCGGGATCGCAGTTTCGAAATTCATCTACGGTTATGGATATGGGTTCGGAGGTCGCTTGCCCAACATATTTGGAGCTCCCAACTCTCGCAGTCTGTTGAAACTGTTTTAACTAACTTGTTGTTGAGTGAATGGGGTCCTGTTGCCTTCGAGCTTCGTTCCGAAGAAGTCAACCGGTACCTTGCTTTCCGCGGAACCCCATCGGAGGAGTGGGTTCGTAAAACAACTTTGCGTAACTCGGATCGAACTCTTCTCCTGATTATTGGAAATGCCGTTCGTCTTGCCCAGGATGCTGGCCTGGACGCATCTCTAACCAGTGTTAACGTTGGCTTGTTACTTTCAGAAGTCGTGATCTCGAGCAGAATGGGCCGGCCGTGTATGCTTGCCAATATAATTCGGGAACCTCTTAACCCGAAATTAAATTATACCGTTGCGCAGCAAGCCCAAGCTGAAATTCTTCAAGTTATGGCCATGGCAAACGATATGCTCTACCACTCTCGCGAGCATACGCGTGACCTACTATCTTCTGGACGCTACCTCAGTCTACTTTTTATGTTTGTTCCTCATTTTGACAACTGGATGACAAAATACGCTGATCTGTTCCGCGGCGACGCCAGTGTCAACGTACTGGCAATTCTGTTTGGTGCGTATCACATCAAACTTTATACTTTTTCGCTGGCACTCAGTCGTCGAGGAACCCGAGCCGAAGATACCCCGATCATGAGTCGTGAGTGTAGCGCTGAACCTTCAGCAGCGTCAGATAAGGCCACAGCCGCTGATCTGAATGCCCTCCCCCGGCTAGCCGCCTCCAACTCAAAGGCTTTGACATGGGACAGACAAGGCACTCAATTCATTAACATCGCGGTTGATTCCGCGAAGCATTTGATTGGTATGGCTACAACATTTTTCCAACGCGGCCAACTGGCGTTTATGCCCACGCGCTGGGCAATGTACATCATCCACGCAATCGTGATTTTGATTAAAACCCTGATCGTCATGCCTCCGTTGAAAACTAGAGATCGAGCCACTGAAACTCTGACATTAGCTCGTCAAGCTGCGCAGCTTCTTGTAAATTCCGGCCCGGATAACTACCATGTTTGCCGCCTCTACGGTACCGTTCTGGTTAACTTGTGTGCGCATCTCACAAAGGAGATTAGCCGGTCGCAGGAAGCTTCGAGGTCAACCACCCCTACTCCACAAGCGCGCTCAGCTGAAGATCAACAAAAAATTGGCTCTGATGGTGTTGGAACTCCAGGCTCTACTGCCGCAGCTGCCCAAGCGGTAGCAGATTCTGATCCAGGATCTAACTCATCTGCTGCCCCATCTGCAATGACACCTTTCTCACCTCATGATTCTAAAATCTCACCAGAAGCTCTACATTCCCCTCAACTTGCCTCTGTGCCTATCAAATCTGGTGTCCCAATGGGTGCTAGCCACAGTCCTCCGGTACCTCCAGACGCCACCCCTACAGGTCTGGTTGGACGAGCACAAATATCTCCACCAATGGTTGGTGCAGGTTACCAGCAGGTCCCCCATCATTTCCAGTCTCCTGTAGGCTCTGGCATAGCTCATCCGGACAACATGCACGTGCCAAATGGCAGATCCGGTGGATCTGCAACCTCTCCTCTGCACGAAAGCCACCCAAGCGCGCCTCCACAGCGAGACATAGAGTACCAGATGGGCCCAGATATGCAACTGGCTCCCAACGTTGATTTCGACTTTATGATGACTGGCGGTGATGGTCTAGGTTTCGTTGAGCCCTTCCTCGAGACATTGTCCAAAGGTGACTTTTTTGACGCGTACTGCGACTGAACTTTTTACCGACCCTTATTTTATTTTTTTATTCTATAAAGTTATCATGCCCATATATCGGCCTTCTAGACAGTTGCAAACGCTGCCCTAACATAAAAAAAATTCAATAATGATCACATGATTGTGCATTTTTCTTCGCGGTAGCTGGCCGCATAATCTTTGTGTGACCGACGTAAAAATCTACGACGGCGCCGAGGAACATCTTCGCGATCAGCATAATCCAGTTCCAAGCTTCGTCGGAGAGGATCCGGCGAGATGGTGGGGTGGAGCGGCACCATTTCTGGGGATGAATCAGAAATATGGGCTGCTTCCAGAATATTTGGAAGACCCCCAATGCTGTCGCCACTTGATTTAGGTGACCTGAGAACCGACACACTCGGCTCTTCTTCAAGTGGATCGAGACTCGAGTCATGGCTAACCGCATGAACCAACGGCTGGTGATGTAGCGTCGGTCGTTCCGGTAATTTCGGGGCAGGCTGCTCTTCAATTTCTTCGGGGTCTAGTGCAACCATTCTGTAAAATAACATGTATGGGCAAAGCTCGGCCATAGTTTGCTGGAAGTCAACCTCGATAACCTTCTCACCTACCGGCGCCAGATCGTCAAAGAAGAGCCATCGCTTCCGTTTTGTCAATTTGGGTGCATCTTCACGGGCCCGATGTCGTCGTGATTTGGATCTAGACCGCCAAGAGAACGATCGCTTTAAGTCCTCGGGAGCTTTACTGTCGCAAATGTCACAAACCAAAGCCAAGTAATGGCCGGAATGGATGCTATTTCCACGATGGAATATTGCCGATTCCAATTCAAGCTTGAAATTGCCAAATGCTCGATCCCGGTCGGAGTCGTCGGCCACAAACGAAGGAAGGAAAATCGTCTCCGGTACGATAATGTGTCTGTCATTACGATGGGGTTCTCCATTAGGACCCCAGAAATACCGCTTCAAACAAAGACCCAGAACAGGTCTCGTTTCAGAAAAGTGCTGGGCTACCTGTTGAGCTTCCAAGTTTTCCAAAGCAGATGAATCCCGGACATCGGTGTAAAACGGCATAAGCTGCAGGAACATCCAAGCAGGGAATGTGATCTCGTTGTTGGACGTCCACATTTTACGCTTGACATCTTCTCTCTGTGGTACATCTCCAAATAATTGGGAATAAGATGGAAGAGGGCTATCAAAGCCCGGGGAATGGGTTCCGAGTTGGGGTGACGAGAACCCATCTGTTGGTGGAGTAAAAGGTGTGGCATCACTGTCATCTAACGGGTTTTCAGAGAATCCCAATCCCCTTCGCGGTGTCCCCATGCTAGGCGTTGGATGGTTGAGTGTAGAGAGTGTGTGTGTTGACACAATGCTATATGATCGCTGACGGGCGCCCATGTCTGCCGAATCACTTCGAGCAGCAACTCTGCGATTGACGTTAATTGAATTTGCAAAGTACATTTCAAGGCATTCTTCCAGCAAAAGGGGCGGGTCGTCTTTTGTTCCGGGCACAGGCAGATAAAGCAACTGCTCGGTGACGACCTTGTGATCGTCTTCGGCATTTTCACGACCAGCGTGAGCGATTTCGACCCGTAGGGTGAGCTTGGGCATTTTCAGCGCATCAGTGAGAAAGGCGAAAAACTCCGCCGCATCCTGCTGGTTGTTAATGGCTTGGCCGCCGGGCCGATCGAACCCCCAACCGGTCGTTACACAAGTCGCCAGCAGCCCATGTACAATGTCCTTGGTTACAAGTTCGCCCAAACGGATAAGATTCACAAACAATCTGAGCCAGGTAGATAGCAATGCACGCTTCATATCGTCGAAATGTTGATACAACAACGGCTCGAAGTTCTCCATCCGGCTAAACATAGAAACCAGTAGGCTATCCACATAACAAGAAATTCCGTTCATATTTGAGGCACCCTGTAGTTTTTTCCTTTGCGCTTGCTTTGATATTGAAACAACCATACCCGCTAATGCGTCGCGATACTGTTCTAGGAGAAACTTGGCTCTTGCAGGGTCATTCTGGCTAAAGTCATTTCTCAGTGCGCTCTTGACAGATTGTCTATCAATCTCAGGGATAACTGTCTTGACTTTTTCAAACGTGTCATTCACTAACGCATCGGCAGGCGGCGGTATTACCGCGCTATTGGCGCGGCGGAGATTCGGGTGGGTGGGGAAATAAAAAAATGCTGAAGGTTCTGTGGACGTCCCCGACGCACGAGACGACCCTGACACCTCACTTCTAGAGGTTGCGGACGAATTGGATCCACTAGAAGCCATTGGTGCGTGCGCTGTTCGGCAAATGTCAGTGATATCAGGTCCTCAAAAAGCATCAAGCTCCCGTCGCCTTAGTAATGGGGCTTGGACTGGGCTGGGGTGAAATGCACTGCCTTTAAACGCCGACTGCTGCTGGTCATTCGTGTAGTGGCGTTCTAATGACTTGCATATGTATGAAGCTATACACTCTACCCATAGTTCTGGCAAAAATATCGGATGTCACTTTTTCTCAACTGCACCTGCCCAACTATCCGAAGACTGCCGTAGAATCCAATGCAGTCACTCCAAAGTTGCCTGTAAGGGTTCTCATGTGGGGAGGGAGGCTTCACCTGTAAGAGACCTAGTGCGTAAGCAAGAGGCGACTTATTAGAGCGAGGCCGCGTTGGGAGCAGTCATCCATAAAAATCCGCAAGTTACTAGAAGCACCCCGGACTAAGACCAAGACAGGAACGCAACGCAGAGGCCCGCTGGCCACAAAAGGATAAAAAAACAATACGCGAAAGAAGCACGCTAAAGCCGTCTACTCGTTCAAAAGGACTCTGGTTTTAATTTCCTCCAAACATCAACGATGGGGAAGCTTCGCAAGATTTTTGCTCCCGAGGTACATTTGCCTTCGGTGGAGCCTTCTCAGTACTATTCAGAGACTGAGTCGTCTCAATTTGACGACACAGCTTCAATTCCGTCTCAGCGCGGTGGTCGGGACTCCCGTGAGCGTACCCCACAACGGACCAGCTCTTTAGTGGGCCGCCATCCACGCTTCGAACTAATAGACCTACAGGTTGGCGAAAAAGTGGTTCACTCGCATCGCCACCACCTGAAAACAACTCGAAGACAAGAAAAACTGGGGCGAATGCTCAAGGATCTTATCTCTAGGCATAAGGAAGCCTCGGACTCTGACGACGAGGGCACGGAAATGGACGCCCAAGCTGCTGCTGGTGTACAGATGGTGGCCTCTTCTACAGACTCGCCAACGCTTCTGTCGACTCTACTGCAAGAGCTTCACCAAGACAAAGACCACCGCGACCCCGGCGTTGTGCTGGAAAGTCTACTTAACGCCCGTGAGCAAGCTCGATCAGCCGACCGCTATGGGCGGGTATCGAACGTCGTTGGTAAGGGCTCGTTTGGGGTTGTGAGAGTTGCCCATCGAGCCAGTCCGGTCGACCGCAACAAGCGCTTACTCTTTGCTGTCAAGGAGTATCGTCGTAACGCAAATGAAAGTGACAATGCTTTTCACAAACGCCTGGCCGCTGAGTTCTGTCTCTCTTCATCGTTACATCATCTTAATATTATCGAAACTCTGGATCTCATTCGCGATGGTAAGAATGGATCCTGTGGTGTCATGGAATACTGTGCCGGCGGAGATCTTTACTCTCTGGTCGTAGTAGCCGGCCAACTCGAACGAAAAGAAGCTGACTGCTTCTTCAAACAAATGGTGAGAGGTATTACTTTCATGCATGAAATGGGCGTCGCCCATCGTGATCTCAAACCTGAAAATATTCTATTAACCTCGTGTGGTTGTGTTAAAATAACCGACTTTGGCAACGCCGAATGCTTCCGCATGGCCTGGGAGTCTGAGGTGCACTTGTCCTCGAACATTGCTGGATCAGGGCCGTATATCGCGCCTGAAGAGTATCAAGATGACGAGTTCGATCCTCGGGCTGTCGACGTCTGGGCTGTAGGCGTCATCTACATGGCTATGCGCACGGGGCGGCACCTTTGGCACGAGGCACGAACCGACGACTCTTTCTACCGTCAATATCTCAAAGACAGAAAAAACAAAGCTGGATATGAGCCAATTGAGGACCTCGAGTCAGAAAAATGTCGAAACGTGATATACTCGGTGCTGGATCCGCGCGCAGGTCGCCGCCTCACCGCTCGGCAAGTACTTCATTCAGAGTGGGGACGTGAAATTGTGGTTTGCGAGGCAGGAGACGCCAACAAATCACCACGAGACCCACATCCTCATCTAGATGCCGCTGCTGTCACGGCTCCTCTTGAAAAATTGCAAATCGCTAGTGATATAGCTCGTACTGAAGTGTAATATGTAGTGAGTAACTGATTCATGGTTCTTTTGTTAGTTTCAGCGTAATATCGGTCTTGAATTCATGTCACATCAAGGTCAGGTTCTTTTTTTCACCAAATAGCTGGATCATATCGTAGGTGTACGAAGGCTAATTTAGTCTCGCAGGTCAAATGATCGCCAACGTGGATGCAGCAAAGTGCACAATGCCCCTGACAAACAGATTAGCACAGCACACCTGATCGGCCGCTCATTCTATGGCAATCGTCTAGCTTTCCTCTCGTTCTACACTACAGCTCTTGGTCCTATTTCCGCCAACCTTCCTCTTAGGCGATCGGCGTAAGCAACCCCCCAAACGCCGATTTGTAGTTCGCCACTTGAGTAAGCAGCTGTACCACCCCTAAGCAACCCAGTTTGATCTACCTTTGAAATGAGTTGGAACGGATTCAAGAAGGCAGTCAGCCGTGCCGGCACCTCTGTGATGATGAAGGCCGGTCAAATTGAGCAGACTGTGGACCGGGAGTACGAAATGCAGGAGCGTCGCTTCCGTACAATGGAGCGGGCGACCAACAACCTCCAGAAGGAAGCGAAAGGATACTTGGACTCTTTACGTGCGATGACTTCGGCTCAGGTAAAGATCGCCGAAGTGATTGATGTGTTCTATGGCGACTCTGGCGCCTCCGATGATGTTTCCACGAGGTACCTCACCGCGGTTAGAGAGCTTGACTCCGAGACAGTAAAGGAGCTTGATGAGCCCTACCGCGAATGTGTTCTTGAGCCAATCACTCGTTTTACGTCCTATTTTGTCGACGTGAATGAAGCAATCAAGAAGCGCTCCCACAAGCTCATGGATTATGATAAGCTCAGAGCAAAGACCAAGAAGCTCATCGATAAGCCAAGTGACGACAGCGGAAAGCTTCCACTGGCTGAGCGTGAAGAGAATCAGGCCAGAGAGATCTATACACATCTGAACGACCAACTCACAGCTGAGCTTCCTCAGCTCATTGACTTTCGCGTGCCTTACCTCGACCCGTCGTTCGAAGCTCTTGTCAAAATCCAGTTGCGCTTCTGTCAAGAAGCTTATACGCGGTTGGCTGAAGTTCAGCAGTATTTGGAGCCACAAGTCCGCGACGACTACGCTTCTGGTCAGCTCGATACCGACGTCGAAGCTGCTCTGGTCAAGATGCGCGAATTGACCATCGCTGGTTTAGCCAAGGCTTAAATTATCTCTACATTTACATATCAACTTTGCTATGCACTTTCCCACGTCCCTTTTTCCCGCCGGCTTTTTCACGTCTTCAAATCGCTCCGCTTGTGGGGGTTACATAACCGCCGGTTTCGGAGCTGACTGAACTCTCCAAACTACACATGACTGACACAAAGAAGATTGTTGTTTTGGGCGGCGACCACGTCGGCCCCGAGGTCACTGCCGAAGCAGTCAAGGTCTTGAAGGCGGTTGAAGCTGCTAGTAAGGGTAAATTTGCCTTTGACTTCCAAGAACACCTCATTGGCGGTGCTGCAATCGATGCTACAGGTGACCCTCTTCCTGACGCTTCGCTTGAAGCAGCAAAGGGAGCAGACGCTGTTCTTCTCGGCGCTGTTGGTGGTCCTAAATGGGGCACCGGAAGCGTTCGTCCCGAGATGGGTCTGCTCAAAATCCGGAAAGAACTCAATCTGTACGCCAACCTGCGTCCCTGCAACTTTGCTGCTGAGGACCTGCTCAAGCTGAGTCCATTGAAAGAGGACATTGTGCGAGGCACTGATATTCTGGTGGTCCGTGAGCTTGTTGGCGGTATTTACTTTGGCGAGCGTGCCGAGGATGATGGCTCTGGCGTCGCTTGGGACACCGAAAAGTACTCGGTTGACGAGGTCGCCCGAATCACCCGCATGGCTGGCTTTTTGGCCCGTCAATCCAACCCCCCTCTGCCCGTGTGGAGTCTGGACAAGGCCAATGTGCTTGCATCAAGCCGTTTATGGCGTAAGACTGTGACCGAAGTCATGGAAAAAGAGTTCCCCGAGCTGACCCTCCAGCACCAGCTCATCGACTCGGCAGCTATGATTCTCATCAAGAACCCCACTCAGCTCAATGGCATCGTTATCACTTCCAATATGTTTGGTGACATCATTTCGGATGAAGCCTCGGTTATTCCTGGATCTTTGGGTCTTCTGCCCTCGGCCTCTCTGTCCAGCTTGCCTGACACCAACACTGCGTTCGGTCTTTATGAGCCCTGCCATGGAACTGCTCCTGACTTGCCGGCGAATAAAGTCAATCCAGTGGCCACGATTCTTTCTGCCGCCATGATGCTTCGTCTGTCCTTGAATTTGACCAAACAGGCCGACGCCGTCGAGCAGGCTGTCCGTAACGTTTTGGGCAAAGGCATCCGCACCGGCGACTTGGGCGGATCCAATTCTACTACTGATGTAGGAAACGCGGTGGCTGAGGAGGTCACCAAACTTTTGAGCTAGTTTGATACTAAATATGACGCAATGCTTCTAATTGATTTATAAACGATTCTATTTGACCTAAAGCAATCGCATTTACAGCTTGTGGCGGCCCTTCTCGATGCTGAACCAGTTGTCCTCAGTCAAAGGAACATAAGCATCGTTGTAGAGCCAATAAATTTGCTCTTCGGGAGAAGGAAGCTTCTGGTTGCGGAACTTTTTCTTCTGGATCTTGTTGTTACCAGTAGTTTCGATCTCACCGACGTATTTGATAAATACAGGGACGGCGTAACGTGGTAATTCCTTCAATAGGCGCTGAGCAAGCTGCTTTCCGTCAGGCTGCTGAGCACCCTTGTTCAACTCAATGACAGCGAAGCCAGCACGGCCCTCGTGCTGAGGAACCTTGACACCAACCACAACGGCCTGCTTGATGGCAGGGTCGTGAGTGATAAACTCCTCGACCTCGTTGGTGGAGACGTTCTCAGACTTCCAGCGGAAGGTGTCGCCCATACGGTCGCAGAAGAAGATCTGATTGTCCTTGTTCATGCGGAGCAAATCACCGGAACGCATCCAACAGTCGCCCTTTTTGAAAAGATCGTACACAATCTTCTCCTCAGTGGCTTTTTGGTTCCCGGTATATCCTTGGAAATCGGCCTTGATATCGTTACGGTTAAGCTTGAACACAAACTCACCAGGCTCATCAGGAAGAGCACGGCGACCCAAGTTGTTATTTTCAGGATCGCGGAACAAGTTCTCGGGGTCCTCAGGGTCGACAGCGGCAATACCGACCTTGGCGTGAGTGAGAAGGAAAGTAGCAATATCACCGTAGGCGCCACAGGCACCAATACCAAAGTTACCTTCTTGATGGTTGGTGACAACGAAGGGGAACTCGGTGGCACCGTAAAACTCGTTAATGATAGGGATATTGAAGCGTTCTTTGAACTTGGCCCAAATGTCGGGACGGATACCGTTACCACAGGCCATACGGACGCGGTGGGTGCGCTCCTCAGGTGTTGACGGAGCATTGAACAAATAGCGGCAGGTCTCGCCGACATACTGAATGACAGTGGCATCACAGAGCTTGACCTGAGTCCAGAAAGTGGTGGTAGAGAACTTGTGACCAATGGCAAATGTAGTACCCATATGCATACAGTTTAAGAAACCAAGCACAGCAGCTGTAGAATGGTAAAGAGGCATGGAGGTATAGAAGACATCCTTGGGATTCAAGAAAGTGATGGCACCATAGAGCTTGGCACCAGTTGACGCCTTCTTCCAGGACATGACGGCAGCCTTGGGCAAACCGGTGGTACCAGAAGTGTAAATATAGCACGCGGGATCCCACAAATTGGGGACAGGGCGGTGGGAATCGGGCAGACGGAAGCCAGCAGCCTGAGAAACCTTGGCACGGAAGGCATCGTCGTGATAGGCAACCTTGACGTTGGCACTGTTCAATTGAGACTCGACCTCATGGCCATTCTCGGCAACCTCGTCGTCGACAAGCAGAATCTTGGCCTTTGCAGTTTCGACGCAGTGAATCAAAGAGCGACCCTGCAAGTTGTAGTTGATGAGGGCCGGGACAGCACCAATGTTCCACAGGGCAAGCCAGAGAAAGACAAAAGAGTCCTTGTTAACAAAATCAACCGCCACAACATCGTTAGGGCGAACGCCGTAGTCGTTGTACAAAACGTCAGAGTACTGGAGAACAATGTCATAGGCCTGCTTCCAGCTGTATTTCTTGACGTTAAAAAGGCCGTCCAAATTCTTTAGGTTCTTGTGAACCTTTCCGTTAACGGGCTCGGGATAAATCAAGTAGGTGGCATCAGGTTGAGACAATGCCCAGCTTTCAAAAGTGTAAAAGCCGTTAAGACGGTCGCGCCACTTGTCGATGGCTCCGTTCAGGCCGGCGCCCACCATTCGGGCACCAAGACGAAGGTCGTAGGACATACGGGTTTTGGCATCAAAATATCCGCCCAAAAGAGCGACTAAGGCTGCGGTCTCAAGAACTGGCATCTTTCAGTTTATTGGAGAACTCAAATTCAAGAGGTCCAATTGCTAATCCGAGTATATATGCGGGGGAGCCGTCTGCACGTGATTAAGCAACCGAGGTCGAGGTGGGGCATGCTAGGCGGTCTTGGGCGTCAATCGAGAGAGGTAGAGCAATAAAATATACACGCTACTATTGAGATGACTACATAAGTGATATAAAAGCGTCAAGTTTTGGCTTTCTCCGAGCGGAAGCGAGTGGCCGAAATCTCGGCAATGAAAATTCGATGCTTAACATGTGATCTACGAAAAGTGGGAAAAGATGCGAGAAACCACTTCAGACAAGTTATGTGGCTATCACGAGACCTAAGTATCCTCTTGTGTTTCTGATAATGCCTCGGAAGACCAGTTTTCGAACTTCCCCGGATTTATGTTCCGAGTCAGCATCATGCACACCCTATCGCCGTTACTGATAGACGGGGGGTGTCATGGGGATGTTAGGACAAATATCAGGTTTTGCGCAACATACGCCGAAATCGATGGCAGAGTACTACAAATTTGCTTCTATCTCGTATTTAACCTCATATATACCTTTATCAGGTCCAATCAACCTCGCATTGAACTGAAAAACGGTCTTCAGTATGTTCCGCTTAGTCACAATGTTTTTGTTTTCCATGCAGCCTAATTAGGAACGGTTTTGAGACCCAAAATAAACATGGCAGTCGAGGCTGCAGGAACTGTTTATCATCACAATCAGCAGCTGTTTGTTTTCATAACACCTGGCAAAACTCAATGACTGACGTTGGAGAGATCCCAATTATTGAGTTCCTCAAGGACAAGATTTATTTAGGTGCCTACGACGCTGCGCCAGCAGACACTCGTCGTCGAGTGCACTTCACTATCGACGACGTCCTGCCCTACAACAATTTCCATCATGATTTTGGCCCGCTGAGTGTAGCACACCTTTATCGCTTTGCGGTTATTCTGCATGAAGTTCTTGGAGAAGAAGAAAACGCTGGAAAGGGGGTCGTTTTCTACTCGAGCACTGATCCCAGAGCCCGGGCCAATGCCGCCTGTGTGCTCTGTAGCTACATGGTTCTCATCCAATCATGGCCACCTCATCTGGCGCTGGCGCCAGTTGCCCAGGCTATGCCCCCTTTGATGCCGTTCCGTGATGCCGGCTACTCCGTCGCAGACTTTGGTATCACCGTGCAAGACGTTGTTTACGGCGTGTGGAGAGCAAAAGAGAACAACCTCATTGATATTCGCAATTTCAATCTTGATGAATACGAGCACTTCGAGATGGTAGAGAACGGTGATCTTAATCTTATTGCCCCACATTTCGTCGCGTTTGCCTCCCCTGTTCAAGACGACTACAACGCTCCCTTGACCCCGGCCTTTGAGCAGGTCCTCGACTATTTCTCTGCTCACGATGTCCGCTTGGTAGTTCGTCTCAATTCGCATTTGTATAACCGTGAAGAGTTCATCAAGCGAGATATCAAGCACATTGATCTGATCTTCGACGACGGCACCTGCCCCTCAATGCTTTTTGTTCAGGCGTTTATTGGTGCAGTCGAAGGAGTTATCAAGGAGGGCGGCAAAGTTGCAGTCCATTGCCGTGCTGGTTTGGGTCGCACAGGCTGCCTTATCGGTGCTCATCTTATTTACACATATGGCTTCACCGCACAGGAAGCAATTGCCTACATGCGCTTCTTACGACCTGGTATGGTCGTGGGTCCTCAGCAGCACTGGTTGTATCTGCACCAAAATGAGTTCCGTGAATGGCGTCGCACCATGACTCTTTCACGTCTCGCCGATGATTCTTTGGCCGGCTACAGCCCGCTTATTCCTGTTGAGGAGAGCATGCTGTCGCCCCGCCGTATCACTTCAGCATCGTCTCCTCCACGCACACCCGAGCGCAGTATTCTGTCAAGCATTGGCAGCTCTCATAATGCACTCCCTGTGCCAACCCCTGGACAGCCGCGAAAATCACCCTCTCCTCTCCGCGTGGTCAGCCACAACCACTCGATTGCTGGCCCACGGGCTTCAAAATACAACTCAATCTCCTCTTCTGCTGCCGATAATACCACCAACTCCGATAACGAAGACAATGGGAGGGATGGAAATATTATCACAATGGCCAAATCTCGCCGCAATATGACCGAGCAGAATATTCAGCACGAAAAAGTCATTGGCCGCCAGCTGCGTGTGGTTTCAAACCCATCCCCGCGCCGCCGCCGTCAATTCTCCGGCGTTGACATGCCGTCGTCACCTATGCGCCGAACCTCACGGGTTTCTAGCATGATGCCCAGTGGCGTTCATAAATAATGAAACTAGACTTGTAATTTTGATGCGTTATTAAAGACCGCAGTATGTTTAAAAACTCTTTATTCTGACCGCCTCTAATCATTTTCACCGTCTTTGATATTCGCAGCCCTGACCATGCAGAATAGTCCATCTGCGTCAGCATGCATAAATTGTTGGTTAAGGTGCATGCATAGCTCGAGGTTGAAGGTAAAATCTTAAGCTTTGAGGAGTCGGGGGAAACACTTTTTCCGGTGAATCAGCAGGAATACGCGAGAAGCACCCTGTCTCTGTTTTGGACCTTCCTGGGCTTTCAAACCATGACGAGAATGGGTCCGGTCTGAATGCAGTGATCTGGGGGTTCCGGGGCTTTGCTGTGCCCCCCTACGGATCGGGTACATTACAGGTACCAGTCACAATGATATAAATAGAGCTATGTAAAGTCAGTAACCAATCTATCTGACTGCAACAGACTCAGTCTACCCACATCGCCTTAAAAAGAGTATTCACAGCCTCTTTCATTCCAAATTCGCTTGCCGTTTGCTTTCGGCCAAGCCATCGGCGATTAACCGATTAGCTAAGCTCTCCTGCAGGAAGGCTTGTAGCCCGATTATAACCGCCCGCCTGCCAACGCTTGTCGATTGCTAACCATTTGTAATTTTGCGTGGGTTTCTTTAGGATCATGAAAGCGACCCTTATTCCGTTGGCATTAACTCTCTTGAGTGGTGCTGCTGCAAAATCCGACGAAGAAAATCCCTATGTTCCATACTCCGTTGATTGCCCCGAGGATTCGACGTTTGTCCGCAAGGCAAATGCCCTGGGTCCTAATGAGACAAATTGGCTCAAGGGCCGTGATGGCGTCACCAAGCCCGCGTTGGTCGACTGGTTGAAGAATTCTAATTTGACCGACTTTGATCCTGAATCATTCTTGTCCAACGATACGATTCGCCTCGGCCTTGCATTCTCCGGAGGTGGTTACCGTGCCATGCTTAATGGTGCCGGCCAGTTTGCTGCCCTGGACAGCCGTACAACCAACTCAACCGAGCCCGGTCACATGGGTGGTCTCGTTCAAGCGGCAACCTACATTGCTGGTCTTTCAGGTGGCAACTGGTTGCTCGGCTCTCTCGTGGTTAACAACTTCACGTCTGTTCAGGAACTTCAGGCCTCCAAGGATGTCTGGAAATTGAGCAAATCCATTTTTGCACCCGGAGGAATCAACGTTTTCAAAACCTTAGGGTACTGGGATGATATCATCGATGATGTTGAAGCTAAGGGCGATGCTGGCTGGAACACCTCCCTGACTGATCTTTGGGGCCGTGGTCTTTCATACCAGTTCTTTAACTTCAGTCACGGTGGCCGCTCTATTCATTATTCTGATGTTCGTAACTACGATGCGTTCAAGAACTACGAAATGCCTTTCCCTATCCATGTCGCAGATGGCCGTGCTCCCGATACTTTGATTGTTAGCGAGAATTCGACTGTCTTCGAATTCAATCCTTTCGAGCTTGGCTCTTGGGACCCCAATTTGTACTCCTTTACCGACCTTCAGTACCTGTGTTCTTATTCTGACGATGGCAAGGCGAGTAACTGCACCAATGGCTATGATAACGCAGGCTTCCTTGTTGGTACATCATCAACTCTGTTCAATCAGTTCTTCTTGCAACTAAACAGCACCGGTATCACTGGGCCTCTTTACAAGCTCGCCAAGAAGTTGCTTTTGAATTTGGGTGAGCGCAATGACGATATCGCCTTGTACCACCCAAATCCTTTCTACAAGATGGACTACGTTGACAATGGTGTGACTCAGTCTGACACTCTTGATCTTGTCGACGGTGGTGAGGATGGCCAGAATGTGCCCCTGCATCCTTTGATCCAGCCCCAGCGTGACCTCGATGTTGTCTTCGCTTTCGACAATTCTGCAGATACCTCAAAAGATTCCGTCATTGGAGGTTCTTGGGCTAACGGCACATCTTTGGTCAAAACTTATGAGCGTCAATTCGTCCCCCAGGGCAACGGAACTATCTTCCCGTACGTCCCTGATGCCGAAACTTTGTTGTATGGTGGTTATCTTGGCCAGCCTACCTTCTTCGGTTGCAATCGCGATAACTTGACCAGTCTGTTCAATAAGAGCATGCCTGACAACGAGAGATTCTATCCCCCTGTCATTGTTTTCATCCCCAATACTTATATGGGTTTCGAGGCTAACACCTCCACTTTCAAGATGTCTTATGACGATGATGAGCGTGATGGCTTGATCAACAACGGCTACAACGTTGTCACTCAGCTTAATGGTACTCTCGACTCCGAGTGGAGAACATGTGTTGCCTGTGCGATCATTCTGAGAGAGCAGCAGCGCCGTGGTGAATCGCCCACTGAGCAGTGCCAGAAGTGTCTCAGCAACTACTGTTGGGACGGTCAGATTGTTTCAAGTAGCAATGCTACTTATAAGGCTCGACGTGATGGCAAGAATGTTGAGGCCATTCTCGCAAGCAAGGATTCTGGCAAGGCCTCCAGCTCCAACTCCAGCGCATCTGCACAGGCTTCCGGCTCCGCCAGTTCCACTAGCTCCAAGAAGAAGAACGCCGCCGTGCAAATCGGTACCCAGGGATCTGTGGTTGCTGCTGGTTTGGTTGCTTTGTTTTCTTGGCTTTAGATTTGATTTATGACAATTTATATTACATGTAGTTTAAAGATGAAAAAAAAAGCTTCTATCCAAAATTTACTGCCAAAAAGCATCGATACCTTGCACATATCCTTGATTGAAAGCCCAATTCATTTCAGATGATTTCTTTTTCGCGATATGCTGCTTGAGCCGTGCAGTTTTCATGGCGTGCACACGCCCAACTCTGGAACCGTTAAACTTGGCAAAGGCTTCAGCATCTGCAAATCCTCTTCTGAATCCGTCTTCGAAACGCCAAAATTCCCAGTCTTTGGAGCTGTCAACACCAGTCCAGTACTTTTTGTGGGCATCTAAGCGTGGCCGCAGTTGGCCGTCAAGATTATGATTTCCAATGTGTTGGGGCCATCTGAATGTGTTTTTGTCGGTCATGTTCTTAAAGTCCCATGAGCCGCCATTTCCTTGCATAAACTTGTATGTCCAGAAGAAAGCGCCAGAGCGAGTGTTAAATAGAAAACAGTTCAATTGGTTAGACCCATACTGCTTTTCAAGTTCTCCTCTATCGCCGTTACTTTTCTTCCAAGACTCTTCGCTCAAGCAACACGAGTACTCGCCTACTATCGTATCGACGTCATCGTCACCAGGGACACTTTGGATCGCATTGTCTACATGTTCATTTGCAGACCTGGAGGTATCACCCTCTGAAAATGTCCGGTATACATGGGTGTCGATAACCAACCCAGCAGTTTCCGGAGCGTGGCTTGAAAGTCCTGAATCAATTCTCTTTACCTCCTCCCGCCAGTATCCTAGATCCCAGGCATCTGAAATAACCACGGGTAGATCGGGGGCAACTTGTCTGATAGCAGCTAAAGCGTCCATGTAATAATTGTACAGTTTGTCCTGGCCCGCCAATGGCTCGTTAATCACTTGCAAGCCGACCAAATTGTCGTAGTGATTGAGATCTTTGGCCATAAATTCCAACGCTTGAACTGCAAGTTTCCGATAAGAGGAATGCTTGAAAAACTCTGCCTCTCCGGAATTTGTGCCTGAATGAGCATCTCTATTCGCACCTCCTGGAACAGCATGGAGATCAACCAGGACACCGATATCGAACTTGCCGGCTGATTCTATGATTCCCTTGATTGCCGCCCAGGATCCAGAATAAACATGAGCAAACTTCTCAAAGGGAGTGCCATTGGTGAATTGACCATCCTGGACGTTCCAATACCCAATTGGAAGTCTGACTGCAGTGACTCCATGGTCCCGCAGCCACCGCCAATCGTCGTCGGTCATGAGGTTTTTGTAGCGGTCTTCCCACTTTTGCTTCATATCCTTTGTGCTCAGACCGCTGGATTTGCTGCCGGCCAACGCAGCAAGCTCACTATCGCCTTTTGCTTTATCTGTGAACAGAGTGTTGTCGATCCACTTTTCCTGCACGAACATAGCTCCCAAGTTAGGTCCGAAATGGAAACGGTTACGGTAGACAACTCTTTCAGAAGGTTCGTTGTCCGTAATAGCTGGCTGCGCAGCCACAGGTGATTTGTGCTTGAGTCCGCCTAGAACAGATTGTAATCCCATAGATGTAAGAAAGTGAAACAAGGCCTTGCTCCTGCGCCCACTTTATTCACAGAGTGGGATGCATAAGCGATCTTCCCGGGCTCACCTTGTCTGATATTCAACTATATAACCCGAAAGATATGTTTAATTTAATGCACTTGCGACAATTTCGGAAGCGTTTTCCAGAGTCTTGACCATTTTGACGCATTCTTTGCGACGCTCGACAACAAAGTCGCTCTCCTTGAGTAAAGACTCGAACGAGTTGTCTTTGTACAGCTTGGCCAGCAGTTCGCTTTGCAAGTTTTGTTTCGAACGCTCAACGAGATTTAGCATCACAGCCTTGGGGACCATATCGATAGTTGTACGCTTGACGATGTTGAAATACGACTGGATCAACAACTTGATGACGTCGGTCTCCATCGTTTCCCGCTCGCTAAGCGTGCCCGAGGCTTTAAGAATAGCAGGGGGAGCTTCCATAGCCGCCATCTTCTTTTTCGTAGACTTTCCTCCAAAGAAAGAACCAAAGAAGCCTTCCTTCGAGTTCCCAGGCACCTCAGGAGTCGGTGTGGAGGTTTGAGGCTTCCCCTTTGGTCGGTGTTTTTCAGAAACAATCTCCATAGCTTCGTGACCATCCACAAAATCGGGATGGCCAGTATTAATATATGAAGCTTCCATGCCGACCATATCAGACACCAGCTTGTTAGTGGGCAGAGTTAGACCCTGCAAGTACAACAAGGCCTCGCTGTGAAGCTGGTCCCGGAGCTGCGGGTAGCGCTTAAACGCAGGCTTTTGAAGAATACTGGATACAATGCGGACCAACTCTTCATAGATGAGTGTAACACAACGGAGAGCTGGTTCTTCAAACCGCTTGATCTGTTGCTTAACAATTACCTCAAAGCCCTGAGTAGCAACAAACAATGAGGGAGTAGACCCTGAAGAATTGTACAGAATGGTGCGGATATCGACATCCTTTATATGCTCAAAGGGGTCAATTGCCTTTACACCCGTGGCAAATAATTCGTGGAACACGAAAGAAATACGGGCTCCACCGCTGAGTTCTGTTGTACTGATATCGATGCTGTTACCATCCAAAATTGTACGGTACTCATTGGCCATCTCAGTGATAATATTCATAAGAATGTTTGAAGCAGAGCCAAGCATACTCTCATCGCCCAACTGATCAAGTTCTTCACGATACTTGGCTAAAGTGGTTCCAATCTTAAGTTTAATCTGAGGCAGAGTAGCCTTGATGTGGCTACTCAAAATAGCATTCAAGCGAGTAGCTAGAAAGGGGGTACCGCAGTACTTGGCATTCATCTGGTAGGAAGGGTGGGTCTCGAAGAACTGACGCTCGTATTCCAGAGCCTGTGAAATGGATTTGTTGTTGTTGATATCTTGTTGGCCACGGTTGATAACAGGAACAAAGCCGTATTTGAGCTTGATAACACGCAATGCAAGAATATCCACCACGTCAGTGCCACGATCCATGAGATCGATCTTTGTCAAAACGCCAATAGTTCGGGCGCCTTGAGGATCGACTTCACGGGCAAGCTTGAGACCATCTGAATTCGCGATATCGGTGTTTGCAGCTGTGACAGACAGAATAATTGTATTGGGCTTGGAAATATATGTCAAAATCATCTCCCGGATCTGATTTTCGATATCCGGGGGTTGGTCGCCAACTGGCACTTTTGTGAGACCAGGAAGATCGACCAGAGTGAGTGTAAGAACCTTGGGGCTGTAGACCTGCAAGTTGATAGGAATAGGAGAGATTCCGACGTTCTTGCCAGTAGTGCGCTCAGTTTCGTCCTCAATTTCCTTACGAATCGCGTCAAAAGAGTAAAACCGCTTATTGGGCGCGTGCAGAAACTCACCCCATTCGTCGGCATTATCACCTGGTTGCAACGTGTATCCCTCAGGAAGCTTCTGGCCCTCAGGAATATTGGTGAGCTGTAAAACTAAAGGGCGCCTTGTGACAATGCCAGACCCTCTGGGCAAAAAGTCTCTTCCAACAATGTTCTCCAGCACGGAGGATTTACCACTGGACTGGGACCCAACCACAGCAATCTGCGGTAAATCAATAGGATTTGTCGTGGTTCCCAATGCTGCAAACGCATTTTGCAGCTTGTTCACCTGCGCAATTAGATGCTCGTCCATAGCCATTGCCACGTTGATTACGTTTCCAGATACGGTCGGGGATTATAAACAGGGCCGAGAGGCCATATGAATACCAAAAAAAACTCTATGTAAACAATTAATCCCATTCCTCGTCGCTTTCTTCGTTATCGGAGCCTGTGACTTTACCTTTTCTAGCACTTAAAGCAGCCGCGAGTGCTGATGCCATTGACGCATTACCCTGAGCACCGACTGGCGGAGCTTTGGGAACGTCACCTTTGGCTTCCTGGAGAATAACCGAGGGTTTGTCCAAATGTTGTTTGTCGATTTTACGCAATTGTCCAATACTAGAATGCTGGATTGAAGCAAGGAGCGCAGATCGGCCAGCATCGGGCACACCAGCCGGTGCACCAGCCGGGGGAGGGCCTGGGGGAGGAGGCACACCAGGAAGTGATGGAGCCGCCATGGGAGGAGGTCCGGGCGGAGGCGGCACACCGCCAGGAAGTGATGGAGCCGCCATGGGAGGAGGTCCGGGCGGAGGTGGCGCAGCCGTAGCAGGTGGTGCCATAGGAGAAGCTGGTGGTGGTGCGGGTGGTGTCTGGGTGTATGGAGAAGCTTGAGCTGGCATCGGCGGAGGGGGAGGAGCTTGGGCCTGTGGAGGAGCTTGACCGGGCATTGGCGGCGGAGGAGGAGCTTGGGCCTGTGGAGGAGCCTGAGCTGGCATTGGGGGCGCGTGCGGGGGTGCCTGAGACTGAGCAGGCACGACCGGCGACGGAGATTGAGCAGGCATTGGCGGCGGCGGTGGGGCCTGAGACTGGAAAGAGGCCTGAGAAGGAGCCTGAGGGGGAGCCTGAGGGGGAGCCTGCGGAGGCGTTGGAGCAGACGGAGGAGGTGACTGAATTTGTGGCGCAGCTTGAGGAGGCCTTGGGGCCATAGGAGGCCCTGCAGGAGGAGCTTGTGATGCAACAGGAGGCCTTGTAGTAGAGGGCGACGGCAATGCAGCTGGTGATCCCGATGGCTGCGGAGGTCTTAAAGCCATAGGCGGTAAAGATGGTGGTGAAGTTGTCTCTGGCCTGGGTGGAGCGGCAGGCACAGGTTGTGGTGCTGGTGCCGGGTCCGATGGCCTTGGAGGCGCGGCTGGAGGGAGAACTGGAGCGCCAGCAGGGCGTGGCGGAGCAGCTGGAGCAGCACTTGCAGTACCTACAGGGTGTGGTGGAGCAGCTGGAGCAGCAGCAGCGGGCGGAGGTGCCATTGTGAGTCCTGGGCCTGGAGCTTGGCGGGGAGGAGGAGGCGGAGGAGCTGCTGCTGAATTACGTGCTGGAAGTTCAGGTTGTGTTCTCGATGGGGGAGGTGGTGGTCCACTACGTGAGGGCGGAGGAGGAGGCCCTGAAGATGCATTAACTGATGACCTGGGAAGAGCGGGAGCCATAAGAATATGAGGAGAATGCATGGGCTTGGATGGAGTTGGCATTGGTTCAGGCGATGAAGAACTCTCTGAAGGGACCGGAACATGAGTGGGTGCAGAGAAAGGTGGTGGTGGGGTGTCGTCAACCGGTCCATCACCCAGCTCCATAGCACCAGCTGGTGGCTGAGAAGGCGGAGGAGGCGGGCGAGGGGGTGCACGTTTTGTATTAGCAGTAGCAGCAGAGTGGAGATCGTCTTTGGGCTCGAATCGTCGAGGAAGCGGCGGCTCTAAGCCCACCAAAGGCCCACCCTTTTGCTTAATGAAATCTTTGATGAATTGAGTGTTTGCGGCAATAACATCTTCCGTAATTCCTTGGCTATTAAGTTCAGCATACAATGAGCGCCATTCAACTGGAGGCTCACCGTCATAGTAAGTTTGTCCGCGGAATTGGTTGCGTCGGCGGTGAGATCCATCAGCATCGCCGCGAGGACCGGGAGCAGCTGGTGGTGGCGGAGGGGCATGCGCCTTCGACTTGGGAATAGCAGCATGGTTGTTCAAGGTCGCCTTGGAAGCGTACTTTGCCCTGTTTTGTACCCGCTTGTAGAAATGAGCCGCTTCAGACTTGTCTTCGAAAAGCAAGCCTGCCAAACACTCTTCTAACTCGAATGAGTGAAAGAACGTCCGGTCTTGGTTGTACTGGAAATCAATGTATAGTTCCTGGTCCCATAAAACACCATGAGAACCGGCAATGTCCACTAGCTTGAGATAAAACGTGTTTCCGACCAAATCGTTGACCAAGCACACAGCACCGCTCAAGCCGGTAAATGTCCACTTCGAAGAATCCGGGTAGGCAATGTATAAACGAGCGACGGTTTGATCAATGATCTTGTTTGAAGCTTTGGGGATGACGCGCTTTATCTTTTTGTCGTCGTCGTCTTTTAATATCGACGAGTGGAACCCGTGGCTGAACATCGTCTCAGTAAGAACCTCGGGCTGAATCAGCGTTATAGCTCGGCGGAGCAGTCTGCGCCTGCGGAGGCGACGATATATAAATTGACGAAGTATAGTGGAAATAAACCCTCTTTTTAACTTGAGTAGAGAGAAATACTAAATATTGTGACGGCAATGCCTATACAACTAGCGGGTTCACAATGAGACTTTTCTTTTGCTTACTTACAACTATGTCTGGACGTCAGGGTGGAAAGCTCAAGCCTTTGAAGGCTCCCAAGAAGAAGAACAACGAGTTCGAGGACGATGAAGACGCTGCTTTCAAGGCTAAGCAGAAGGCCGAGGCTCAGGCCCGTAAGGAGATGGCCGCCAAGGCCTCTAAAGGTGGTCCTCTTGTTGGCGGCGGCATCAAAAAGTCCGGCAAGAAATAAATTTTGTGTTGGGCCTCTGCGACCGTTGGCTCGCTAGTTACGTCGCTTTCTAGTGTATTGTAATTCGTTATATATAATATATAATTGGCCACTCGAGAATTACATTGCCGGAGGCCCTATACTAAATTGCTTGGCATATACAACTGCATGAGCCTTTGGTCCTATGATATAGCCGTTGTGGTTTGGGTCGACTGTGCAATTTTGCTCGCCTGCACCGAGAGCGTGGATAAGATCTTTAAACTTAGGGTCTTCTCGGTTAAGATCTGAAATGTTACCATTCAACAGCCTTGAAATAGACTCCTGGCTTGCAGCATATGACGGTGGGATGGAGACGTCGTACTCTGGGGTAACATGGTATCGGAGTAAATGCTCGAATCGAACATTTGCGATACGCCTCAGCATGACTTCTGCCTGGGCGATTGTGGCAAAAGGTAGCGGGGCCATTTTGTCTTCAACGTAGCAGCAAAGATAAGGTTGTCCCGCTTGGTCTCGCACGATCTTAAGCATACTGATGGCACTGATAAATATTGAATATCCAGAATGCTCTGGATTTCTCGGTACAAAAACAAGCCGCTCCGTTGTGAGATATAGTCTCCCACGATACGTGTTTGAGCGTAGATGTCTTTGATGGCTTTCCGTCTCAACCCCTTCTTCGTCAATGACCCAACTATGCAGCTGGCTTAACAGGATACATTTTGGGCATTTGATTTGAATTTCGTGTCTTTTATGCCGGATCCACTCGCTGGTTTCGAATTTGGACACTTGGCGGCCTAAACATTGCAGCAGAACTTCGTTAGGAAAGAAACCTGGAATACTATGCCCGTGACCGATAACCGGTTGAGGGGGCGGCAAGATCTCGCCTCCCTCACGAAATAACGGGGAAGGGTTTATCCTGGGTGACCTTCGAGGTACCATTCTAGGTGAAAACCGCTGCGACGTTCTTGATCCTAGTCGTGAGGGCGGCCGTGGCGAGAGGTGTGGCGAGAGGCGTGGGGAAACTGTGGGGTCTCTGTTTATATTATCCCATGGTTTGGGTTTCGGCACATGCTCATATTTCTCTTTCATAGTATAATGTTCGAAATTAAGATGACGCCTTCTCCTCCAACGTCAAAGTTTGTCAAAGGCCCGTGACGCTTTCACTCGGTTGAAGCTGTACTGAGGTTCACAAGCAACTGAGACAGCGCCCGCTTTGTTGCAGTATCACCTCGAATTGCCAGCGAAAACGTAGCGTCCCTTAGTGGTTCAGGAAGAATCTGACGGAGGGATTCACGAGCTCGTGGGTCGTCACTTAAGCGAAGGTAACAATGCACCACGTGCTTGAGTAATCTTGAAGAGGTAGGTTGAGCGCTGAGTAACTGCTGAACAACGTTGGCGAGTACAGCACTTACAGCATAGAACCGCTCGTAGGTTTGGCAGACATAATTGAGACCAATATCGTCAACGAGTATTTTTTGGACAATAAAAATAGCAACTGTTTTAGACAGCTCTGTGCCTGTTTCAATTATACGCAGGCAGAGAGGAATGATCTCCGTAGAAAGAAGAAAGTTCACAACATCTGTAGAGTCGTCTTTAACCAATGCCCCTACAACACCAAGAGATGTCAATCTCAAGAACTCGAACGCCCTTGCTTTAGAGGTTGTGTTCAAAAACGGATACAAAAAAAGCGGTAGGTGGGCCTTCAAAAACGCAGTGCGGGTAAGATCATGGCTAGCGATACACTGCAATAAAGCGAGGGCATTGCAAAGCTTGTTTGACGCTGCCATAGTCAGTTGGGGAGGAGATAATAACGGGTATACTGACACAATCTCCTGAAGAAGAACAGTTACCACACCTTGCGAATGCCAAAGAATAAGGGCAAGATTGTCGCACTGCTCTCGTTTTTTGCCAAGTTCAAGAAGCGCATGTTCTCGGTTAGGCCCATACACAAGCTCTGCGACCCACGCATATATTTGATCCTGGGATACGGCCGGACCTGCCGGTGTAGTATCGTCGATTGGCTTGCTGATGGAGGGGACGGTAGACAAATGGCTAGCATTAGCATATGAGGTTTGCATTTTGCTGGCGGGTTGAATTAAGTTACCTGCCCCATGCCAGGCCGCACTCGGGCCGGGGGCAACGCCTTTGACGGAATCAGCTGGCCCAGGTTTCACCATTCCAGGCGGTACAACTGGAGTGGAAACGTTCGACATATCCGTGTGCAGTAGGTTGTGAGCTCAATAAGAAAGTTTTGTAGGTTCCTGTCCTATGCTATAATCTCCAAGCCGTAAAATATCCGAACAAAAGTTGTCGCGGGCTGGTAGCACCGAAACTAGATTATGTGATCAGAGTCGTCTAAAGGGTTGCCCACAAAGCTGGGGCGTGAATACCTGAAATGAGTAAATACTTGAATTTACATTGTTAATTCAGCGAAACAGACAGGGTGTGGCATATTATAAACTCAATATCTGGCTGCTTGCGCGCCATGGCGCGAAAAAGAAATCACGAAAAGTGGACGTGAATTCTCGTCGCCATACGCGTACTGGACTTGTGTTTAGCTCGCTTACGTGCGTACATTATTATGGTTCGCTTTATATGACCGATTCGGAAGAAAAGGCTTAGGGATGTACCGGATCTTCCTGCTTTTGATTCTCTTCCCGCGTTTACCCGTTTTGGCGTGGTTTCCCGGTTGGGAAGCAATTATGTAATGTGAGGCCATGGTTGCGTCAACTGCAGTTATAGTTATTAGAGGATCTGCTGAGACGCGAAAATTAGCTGCATGCCAGTCTCGAGGAAGCCTTTATTCAAACATTTGAAGTTGGGTTTATCATCGCAGCGTTTGGTGCTCATATCTGGCCCTAAACTGTACTGAGACGACGAGGCTTGGATGTCTATTACTAAACGAGCTTGGGATAGTCTTTCTTTGTTCGATCACTGTAGAGATAACAGAACAGTCATGTTTGCAGCAGTATGTACTCGTAGCACCTCCAAGCCCAGCCTGTCCTCATATTAAGAGGTAGATACAGTTTATTTTTATTGTTTTGTGCAAAATTTTTGATGTGTGGCCTTCGTGGTGCTTACTCCACGTACTCCCGCATAAAATGCAAGGTCAAGTAAGAGATGGACGCAGGGTGGGCAGCGACTTTTGTTTATAGAAAATTTCTAACTGGTCAACGGTATGCATCAGTCTGGGCACGTCGAGAGAGAGCATCTTTATTGAGTAAGCCGGAATCGTTGCACAAATATAATAATAGATTCCGATTAGCCTGAAGCGAAAGTAGGAGCACAGTGCCCTTGGCCCAGTCGTGTGAACCTACGTTGCTGTGCATACTGGCAACAAGTCACCCGATTGTCTCTGCTAGCAACCCCGAGTTTGAATGCTGGGCTGTCTCGTCATCAACTCACTCTAGAACGTTCAGTTTATAACACAAAATCCTTGTCGGCTCAATTTCTCTAGTTATACCGAACGTTTCATGTTCTAGGTATCACAATCCAGCATGTGACAGATACTTAATGCGTGATCTTAGTAATAAGGGCTTAAACATAGGCGAGTTTGCGGAGGGAAATGCGGTAAGGGAGCATTTGCTAACTTAAAAAAGAAAATGCAAATCAAATAAGCTAATCTACCAATTTTAAAATGACGATATATGTCAGCGATAACCGTAACCAACATATGCTCCTTCGTGCACGTATGTGCATGTGATGCTGGTTGTCCCCTTTTTATGCACTGTGGCAAACCCCTAAACCACATTCTGGATGTGACGAACACCCGCCCCCTCTAGTATAAAAGGGTGGGTACTTTTTATATGCATGATCTCAACCGTAATTATGGCCACAGAAGTTAACACAAACGCAACCAAGATCGAGCAGATCGCTGATACCGGAAAGACTCATGTTACAACTGCCGGCAAAGACGCAGATACCAAGATTGATGAGACCGCTAAGGGCTTTGACGACAAGGTACCTGAGGGGGCCAAGAGCACTGTAACCAAGGGTGTTGATTCGGCCAAGGAGGGTGTTGATGGCGGTGTCAAAGCTACCAACGAGGAAGTTGACAAGGCTGTCAAGAACGTTTCTGGCGGCGCCGACAGCAAGAAGCCTGCCACTGCTACTGGTGAGAAGTCCGAAGGTGGCTTCGCTAAGTTCAAGGCCAAGTTGAAGAAGATGTTCAACTAAGTCTCTTCAATCGCCTGAATCGCATCACTGTGACCGTAGTATTTCCTGATCTCCCATAAAGTTCTCATTTCTTTTTTAATAGGTTAATAGTATTGCTTCTATATTCAATTGAGTCAAGCCCCACCCATTTTTTGGCCCAAAGTCTCTGAGCTAATTTTGGTAGCGAGAGAGGATCATCTTAGAAGCTTTGCGGGATAAAAGTCGCACCAATTACTCTGTTCAAGGTTGTACTCGCCGCATCGGACTTTACAGGGCTAGAAATAGCTGAATTCGTGCGATTGGGGTGAGTTTGAACATTGCTATTTCCCGCTGCCTATCCCGGTTTTGATGTTTAGCGAGCAGGGTGATTGCCGAAGCCCCGAATCCGAAACATGAGCTCACTTGACATATTAGCAGCCTACGATATTTACTTGTTAACTTTAACCAATAGCCCTCACTCAACGCTACGTTTTGAGCACATTTATGCTCTGTCTCCCTTCAGCCAAACCCCACGGCGTGACTAACTCTGCGGTCAAGCGATGGCTCCCGCCACCCTACAAATCGCATGGGCGGCCCTTTGCAGTGACTCAGCATCTTTCACCACAATGAACAACAAAAACATGCCAGATATGCGCATCGGCAAAAAGTACAGAGTCGGGCGCAAAATTGGTAGCGGCTCCTTCGGAGATATTTATCTGGGAATAAATGTAATTTCTGGTGAAGAAGTTGCGATCAAGCTGGAGTCACGCACGTCTCGCCATCCTCAGCTCCAGTACGAGGCACGAGTATATAAGGCACTTTCTGGAGGTATTGGTATTCCATACGTTCGTTGGTTTGGCACCGAGAGTGATTTCAACGCGCTTGTTATAGATCTCCTTGGTCCCTCGCTGGAGGACCTATTCAATTTTTGCAACCGCAAATTCAGCTTCAAGACGGCGTTGCTCTTGGCCGACCAGCTGCTGTGCCGACTAGAATTCATCCATGCTCGGTCGTTTATTCATCGCGACATTAAACCTGACAACTTTCTCATGGGTATTGGCCGCAGAGGCAACCAAGTGAATGTTATTGATTTTGGTCTTGCTAAGAAGTTCCGTGACCCCCGCACCTATCTGCACATCCCTTACCGGGAGAACAAGAATCTTACCGGAACGGCACGTTATGCATCAGTAAACACACACTTGGGTATTGAACAGTCACGACGAGACGATCTCGAGTCTCTGGCTTATGTTCTCATCTACTTTGTGAGCGGCGGTCTGCCATGGCAAGGTCTCAAGGCACAAACAAAGAAGCAAAAGTACGAACGCATTATGGAGTGCAAGCTAACTACAACCACAGAAACTCTATGCAGGGGACTGCCGCGCGAGTTCCAAGTGTTTCTAAGCTACGCCCGCAATTTACGTTTCGATGATAAGCCAGACTATATTTATTTGCGTCGCATTCTGCGTGACCTATTCATTCGTCAAGGCTATGTTTATGATTATGTTTTCGACTGGACCTATCACAAGCGTGACTTGGATAACCGGTCGGCCGCTCAAGATGATGGCGCCAAGCTCAGCGCGCCCGGCGCTCTACCCCCTCAGCAGAGCGCTATGATGAACGCACCCATGCAAAACCAGCAGCCTCATGGATCACAGTCTCAACTACAGAATGCATCCACCCCGTTACATTATGTGACTTCCTCGCAACCGTCCCAGCAGCCGTCCCAGCAGCCGCTCAAGGCTCCTGATGCCCTTCCTCAACAAATGGCCTCCCAGCAACCCCCATTGACAGCATCTATTTCAACAGCAACACAAGCAACACCGTCTCCTGTAGGAGCAAATACCGGTTTGACTGGTAATAATGGTGTTCCTCTTCGCATGCCCACTACTGCTGATGGAGGGGACATGGACGTAGACTACAGGAGACGGGTGCAGGCACCCCAGCCAGTGGAAGTGTCAAACTATACTCTGAATCAGCCGCAACAACCGCAGCAACAGGATCCTTGGTTGTAGTCGAAATCAAGTCATTCCGAGATCATTAATCTGTTTTCTTTTTTGGAACTGTCCCTCCAATGGGCTTGAAGCGCCAATGCATATCCGCGAGCAAGCGTCCAACCAAAAGCTCCCATAATCAATTTTTTTTACAAGTCGATCAGGCATTGACCACATTCACAAGGGCTACTGCATCGTAAATTATAGCAATGGTTTCTTTGCTCACACTATAGTTTCTATGTAAACTCTTCAAGGCCACATTGGCATAAATAAGCACCTGGTTCTCACCGTTTGGAAACTGAAAACAGTCGGGATACAAACTAGATGCGTTGGCCATGTTTCGAATACATGCAGCACCGCACATGCTTCTTCTCGCCAGTAAGTTCGTCATAAATATTGCAGCCAAACTTCGCCGCATGGGGTGGGGTGTACAAATGTAGTGAGATCGCGGGAACACTACCGGGATTCTCCATACGGTGCAACCCTAGTTTATCGGACATGTACGAGACCTGATCGCGGTGGAGGTCAGTAACCCGAGTGACCTGAAGGTGCTGGGGGTTACTTGAGTCAGGCATATCATAGAGAGTTTCTCTAAGTGTACCCGACAACATCTTGACTACGCAATGGGCATTAGCGTGGTCATGAATATCAGAACCACGACCCGGAGTCCAGACGAGAATCAGTAGATTCGCTTTATGGTTGATGTCGTCAATAAGATTGCGAGTGTAGTCGTAAGAATTGTCAACAAACGCATACTTGGACCATTCACTATCCTTACTCATATAGTCAGAAAGTCGTTCCATCAGTAAACTCTCGTCAACTTCTGAACAATCAAGGCCAGAGGTCGGACCAAGGATAGCCTTGATGTCGTCGACCAAACGGTCAAAGTTCGTGTGCTCGTCGCACTCAAAATCCCTAGAATCATCCGACTCGAGATCACTGGCCATACGATCTGAGATTGAGGAACCCACAGAGCCACACTCTACGAATGCCTTTTTTTCTTCAAGCGAATGCTTTACCGAGTGAGCATTTACTAAGAGCTGCTCGGGCTGGGGGGGTTTGACGTAAACAGAGGAGGGTGCCATTTTTCGCAGTCAGCCGGTTATGTAATGAAAATGTCCGGATTCAAATAACACGTGATATGTTCAAATCCTACGTGGAGATGGCGCAATCCCAGCTGACCCCTCTTATACTTTTCGGACAGGTCTAGGGTAGGGTACCCGTGCAGACCTGCCCGGGTGACTGAAGGGGGCTTGGCGCATCGGTATCAATTTAACCTTCACAGGACTAACTGTCTTGAGACCCTACTGTGTGCGAACGTTGAAATTTTACATACTCCCTGGAAAGTGCACACATCTTTCATTATTTGAGCCCAGTTAAATATACACTTTGTTGCCTGATGATCAGGCATGCAGGAATGTAGATATCATTGCAGCATAATCCGAACCTCGTTCAACGTGTAGGGCGCACCATCTGACGAAGCGAACTCTTTGTATTTGTCCAGGAATTTTTCTGTGGCTCGTGCCGCTATCTCTTTGGCGATTTGTGGAGACAATAGCAGCTGTTGCCTTTTCATAGTCTCAGTTGCAACGGATTGAAGAAACTGCTCGAATCGACTGAACCGCTCAGTTTCCAGTCCAGACTCGTCTAACAAAGTTTGGTATTCCGTTTCAACTAACTGATCGACAATCTTTCTCATTGCTTCGTCGGCCTCTTCTGTTTTCCAGGTAGTGCATACAAAGCCGGCAAGAGATACTTTGAGAATGTCCAGACAATTGAGCGTGAAAATATGACCTTTGGGACTTTCAACGCTCTCTGACAGTTTCACACACTGTTTGTAGAACGGATCGAGCACCTTGCCAATTCTTGTCCGGAACGTTTCATCACCGGCGGGGTTATACGTCATGCTCTGCTCATACGACTTTACAATGGATTTTGCAGTTGCCAAAGATGACACCCAGAATTCAGGTGGCTGTAAGTGCTGGTCTAGCTTTTCTCGATAAGCCGCTTGAAGTTCAAGCAGTAGACAACGGTCGAACTGCGCATTTAACGCCAGGTCTAGTTGGTCGAATCCTTGATTCAAGGTTTTCTGGTCATACTTTGCCATCATTGATCTGTAAAACCCAATAATACTGGCAATTTCATCAACCATGATAACCTTTGATTGGGTCGAAATTAGCTGGCCGATCCGCAGCCGGAGCGGTTGGTTAAGAACGCCTGTGATGGTATCAATGACTTCTAGTAAAATACCATCCGAATCTTTATCGGCAAATAAAGTGTCCGAAAGTTTACTGGTAAGAGTGACTTCGGGGTCAATCAGAGTACTCAAGTACTCATACTCGTTTACGATGGCAGAGTGTACCCAAGCCAGCACTGCTCCAACATACCGTACCGGGTCAAACATGTAATAATCTAGAGGCTTTTCAGCCATGTTTTTGTTAGACAATGCATTCATGAAATCATTGCTGAGCTGTTTGCGACGAACATCAGCCAGGTTCGAAAGAATTTCTCTCAATAAAAGAGGTCTGTCTGCCAAAAGTGCGATCTGCGACCGCACTGATGAGCTTGACTTTGCATTATCTAGGCTTCTCAAGTCACTTTCCACCGCGTACTTTAACTTATCGTATGCGTGGTCCAAGCACTTTTTGGTTTGAGACATGATATGCTCGCCGGCCGATGGAGAGTCTGCCAATATCAAAGCACAGCTTTCGTTCATCTGTTTGACTTTGGCCAAAGCACTATAAAACTCTTCATCAATTGGCAAGCTTGAGTTCTGTAAAACATTCATTTCTCGCTCGCTAACCACAAACGTTTCTGAGAACGCATTCGCAGTCGCAAGCTTCTTCTGGAGAACAGTCTGTTCGTGATGCAGCCGTCGGGCCTCGGACACAATAGACGATGTAGCGTTCGTTGAATTAGTTAAAATTGCATTTACCTTGGTCCATTTGTCCACTAGTGTTTTAACTTTGAGGCCTAGGGCCTTTAGCCCCTCATAGGTATGTTCGAAATCATCCAAGGCCCGTTTAGATGCTTTGATGATGCTTGTTTCAACCGTGCTACGGATCGAGCGCTCATTAATGGAACGCCCCATAGAGTCAAGGATTCCAAACGCATGCTTTAGTTGATTATCATGATATGAAATACTCAGTACTCCACTAATAGTCTGCGCTAAAGGGCCCTCCGGATGGCTTGGCCGGTTGACCTCCACGACGTCCATTACAAAGCAGCGAGCATCTGAGAGATTGAAATAAGTGAGTCGAGGTGAGAAGTTTGAAATATAAACTCAGTTCATTTACCGTAGATACCAAAAGCTATTGTTTTGAATCTGATTGGCTCCCTATTAGCCTTCAAACTTGTTGCTAACACATATAGATGTTATTTGTTGATCCCATAATTGCACAGCAGGTGCTGGTGCTATACTTGTGCATCATGGCATTTTTCTTGGCTCAGATATCACAATTAACTCTTGTATGCTAGAAAAAAGCAAGTTGTAGTTATAAAATACTCTGGTGCTCATGAGGAAGCCATTAAAATGTCAGATCAAAGCTCTACATCAATTCTTGGGTACCGCGGCCCTTCCAGCACTAGATCGACAGATCAAGGACATGTGGCTTTCTGACCATTACCTGCCGCTGATTGAGCTCCTCAATGAAAGCTATCTCTCTTTGTTGTCGTGATACGCGCCTACTTCTACAGGCCCGCAAAGCGACATAGTTTCAGAAACCCCCCACTTGACTTGAATCGTGCGAGCTGCAAGCAATAAACGAGATAGTTATATAGTTACTCTAAGCGATCGAATGTTTAAATTTAAAACTTTGGTGCGACGAGGTTTGTGCTAGCGACAGCAGCCAGCTCCTCAATCTGTTCGCAATACTCATGGAGTTGGGCAGAAATAAGCAGGTTATCAAGACGCGACGGCTCCTCAGGCAGCTTGAAAAGAACTTTCCACTCCTCAACCGACTGTGTGGGCTTACCAGCAGCTTCCAGAGCGGCATTCTCAGCACGGCGGCGCTGCTGCCATGCGTGGACCTTCTGTTTCTCACGAATAAGCTGCCGTTGATAATAGTTGTAGTTGTTCTGGTCATAGTTGAAATCATCAATGCTGTCCAAGATATCCTCAATGTTGTTCTCCACCAAGGTCCGGTTAGGAACTTCGAGCTGCTTGAGCGTGGGAACCTGCTGGCTGTTCTGAGTGCTCAGCAAGTTGGTCAAACAGGAGTTGTGGACACGAATGGGTAATTCCTCGAGCAAATCGTGGAAGTCCAAGTTGTTAGTCTCCAGGCTCTCGGTGGTAAACTTATTCTCTCTGCGAGCCGACAGGTATTGCTGGCTCAGACGGAAGGCCTTAAGAACCAAAGTGCTAGTTTCCCGGGACATGGCAACGTCGTGAACAATCATAACAGCATCGCGGTTTTGTTGCTGGTAAAAGAACATGTTGTCCAAAAAGCTCTGCTCGTAAATGGCCCCCAACGAGCTAGACACGTACCAGCCCTGAATCTGGGTGTCGGAGCCAACCTGCTTGAGCTGTTCAATCATTTGGCTCTGGTACTCCAAAATAGCCTTGCTACGCAAATTGGAACCGTCGCCCTCAGAAGCAGAGGGCGGCAAAGGGAAGGTTTCCGTCACTTCAATCGTTCCCTCCAGCTCCATACCCAAGAGGATTCCGCCAGCCGAGCGAGGGAACTGGTCGTGGAGATGGCGGGTGATCTGGAAGATAGCCGCAGCATCAAGCTCTACTTGATCAGCGGTACCAAATTCCGGATAAGCAGGCATGGTGGTTTTTTGAAAAGTTTAGTCTCGAAAAAATGACCCTTCTGAAAAAAGCTGTGTAAGCAACCTCACATTTTCACCCTTGAGAATTTTTTTGCAGTGGAGTTTTTCAAGGGCCTTACGTCAGGTTGACTCACTAATATCAACCAACCTTAGGATGAGTGATAATGTTGATGCCGTAGCTGAGGGCGTTCAGAAGCTGTATCTGGATGAAGCCACTGGCGAGATGGTTTCCAAGACTGAGTTGAAGAAGCGCAACAAGCAACGTGAAATTGCCAAGAAGAAGGAAGGAAAGGCGGCCAAGGCTCCTGCCGCGGCTGTTTCTGGCAAGAAGCGTGAAGATAACCTCAACCCCAATGAGTATTTCGCTATTCGCTCCAAGCAGATCAATGAGCTCCGTGCCTCCCACAACCCGGATCCCTACCCTCACAAGTTCCAAGTCACTGCTAGCATCCCTGATTTCAATGCCAAGTACAAGGATTTGGCCAAGGGTGAGCACCGTGAAAATGAGAAGGTGAGCGTTGCCGGTCGTATATTCACCAAGCGTGAGAGTGGTTCCAACCTCAAGTTCTATGTTGTTCATGGCGATAACGCTGCTGTCCAGGCCGTTGCCCAGTCTCTCGATGGTAGTGATCTCGATAGCATTCACGATTTGCTCCGCCGCGGTGATATCATCGGTATTACTGGCCATCCTTTCCGTACCTCGCCCAAGCGTGGTGGTGATGGTGAGATTTCCATCTTTATTGAAAACGTCATTCTGCTTTCTCCCTGCTTGCGTATGATGCCTACTGAGCATTTCGGATTCAAGGATGTCGAAGCCCGTTACCGTCAACGGTATCTTGATCTGATGATCAACAATAGCACCCGTGACATCTTCGTCACCCGCTCCAAAATCATTTCTTACATGCGTCGGTATCTTGATAACCGTGATTTCGTCGAGGTCGAGACCCCTATGATGAATCTGATCGCTGGTGGTGCCACTGCCAAACCTTTCATTACCCACCACAATGACCTCAACATGGATTTGTACATGCGTATTGCTCCTGAGCTGTTCTTGAAGGAACTCATCGTCGGTGGTATGCAGCGGGTCTACGAGATTGGCCGCCAGTTCCGTAATGAGGGTATCGATATGACCCACAACCCGGAGTTCACCACCTGTGAATTTTATCAGGCATATGCTGATGTCTACGATCTTATGGACATGACTGAGGATATGATTTCTGAAATGGTCAAGGAGATCACCGGCTCTTACAAGATTCAGTACCACCCCGAGGGCAAGGAGTCTGATAAGGTTTGGGAGCTTGACTTTTCTCGTCCTTGGAAGCGTATTCCTATTATTCCTACTCTTGAGGAGAAGCTTGGCGTCACCTTCCCTCCCGGAGATCAGCTCCACACCGAGGAGACCAATAAGTTCTTGCGTGAGCAGTTGGCCAAGCACAAAATTGACTGCGCTGCTCCTCTTACCAACGCTCGTATGCTTGACAAGCTTATTGGCGAGTACCTCGAGGATAACTGCTTCAATCCTACCTTCCTGTTTGGTCACCCCCAGATGATGTCTCCTCTGGCCAAGTATGACCGTAATGATCCGGGTCTCTGCGAACGTTTCGAGGTCTTTGTTGGCACCAAGGAGATTGTCAATGCCTACACCGAGTTGAACGATCCTTTCGATCAGCGTGCTCGCTTCGAGGAGCAAGCTCGCCAGAAGGATGCCGGTGATGACGAGGCCCAGATGATCGATGAGACTTACTGCCAGGCTCTCGAGTACGGCTTGCCTCCCACTGGTGGTTGGGGCAGCGGTATCGACCGTCTTGTCATGTTCTTGACCGATTCTAACACTATCAAGGAGGTTTTGTTGTTCCCCACTATGAAGCCAGAAGTTAACAACTAGATTAATCACATATGAATTAATTTTTTGTTTGAGCTACTACATATATTTGTCAACATATTTAACGGCGAATCACACCTTGTCGTTTAAGATCTAGAGCAGTCTTGTAAGGAGGAGCCACCGGACTCCGCACTGGATCAAGACTATACTCTGTGGTGTCAACATAGGTAGCATCGGAGTCGTATGCACTCAAATCGCCACATGCAAGAAACGGTGCAATCACTCGCACTTCCTCAACCGCCTGCAGCTGAGAATCGAGTGGTTCTTTGAGTCCAAGCTTCTCAAAGTATTCCTGAGTAGACCCCTTTGCTTTCAAGAGCTCTAGAGGGTCCCAGCCAGCGCGAGGAACATAGTTTTGACAGACAATGAAGGCTTCTAAAGAGGACCCACGGGATGACCGTGGTTTTGCGCATGTAACGGTCTCAAAAAGACGGCCAAGTTGAGCATACATAAGCTCAATATCACGGCCACGGAAAATTTTGGCAATAAAAGTGCCGCCAGTGCGAAGAACGGCTGTGGCAAGCTGTAAAGCAGAGAAAACAAGTTGGGCTTGAACATACTCATCCAAATCGTGTAGACCAGTAACATCTGGCGCACCATCGCTCACAACCAGGTCCGCCTGATGGCCTCCAAACTCACTAAGAATTTTATCGACGGTAGTGGGGTGTGTAATATCAGCTTGAATAGTAGTAACGCCTGGTATAGGTGCCATCGGTTGCAGATCAACTGAAACAATAGTACGATCACGGCCCTGCGTCTGTCTACTCAGAACTTGGCTCCAAGATCCGGGGGCTGCACATAGATCTACAACCCTGCTGAAATCTTCGAGGAAGTGGAACTCTTCGTTAAGCTGCAAAAGTTTGTAGGCAGATCTCGCTCTCCAGCCTTCTTCTTTCGCTTTACGGTAGTATTTATCACGCTTGTCTTTACTGCTTTTACCCATTCCGAAATTTCAGTAATGACTAAAAAAAATCTAATTCAAGATTACTTTACAAGATAGCCGGAGCAGTTTCGGCTAGTCGCTGTCCACGCAGTCTAGCAAGGTAACCAGATACATAGCGTTCTGTGTAGAATGAATGCTGTTGGCCATGCGATCCCACAAGATTGTGGGCAAGTTCGTGCGCCATGACCGTGTACCAGAAGTCCAAAGTGACGGCGGGCTTCCATGACGACCCACGAGTTTGGGCAGCGAAAACCTGCAAATTGAAAAATAGCGAGCCGCGATAATTGAATGCAATAGAGCTCTCCTCACCAATATATAAGCAAAATGTATCGTAAGGACATTCGTAGATGGCGGAGCACCTTTTAAGGATGTCACAAAATTGCACAGCATACTTGAGCATTTCTTCGGTAGGTGGTGCCGCTCCATTTTGAACAAATACCATCATGCCATCACTAAGTTGTACTGCTGATCGCAAATCTTTCACATCGTTTTCCTTACAGCTGTTTGATGGCATAGGAGGCGGATCAACGTTCATAGGTGCGTGGACCCTCGCTTCGTTATAAGGTTGGCAAGCTCGAATCGACTCTTTTAATGCATGGCCTGTATCTACAGGCCTGACTTCTTGGCCGGGAGCTGCTGGTTTGCTTTGGTGAGTTCTGTCACGCGAGAGGAGTGACTTGAATCTGCCGAAAGGGTCCTTGGGCTTTGCAGGCTCGTGCGGTTGATTTCGCAACTCTTGCAGTTGTTCCGGTACGCCATTGGTTTGGTTTGGGGGGACTACTGCTCTAGTGCTCCTACTCGCTGGTGATGGGATAACAGCTTTATCTTCCTGGTGCGATCTATCACGAGGCGCCTGCAGTGGAGGAGCGCTTGGTTTCATCATTTGTTGTTTGGCGGGTTCCGCTAACTTGTCCGGCTCAACTTGCTGAACGGGTTTAGTTTCAGGAGGAGGAACCGACGCATGAATCTCCCTTTTGTTTTTCTGAAGCAATCGATCAACGTTGTAGCCCTTAGCCTGAAGGGTCTTTAGATCGGTGCTAAGCTGCAGCTCCAAAACAATCACAGACTCTGGGTCAGGTTTCTCCAGTGCGAGTTTCGTCAAAGCTTGACTTACATGGAACCAGTCAAACTTCGGAGTCAACAAAACCTTTTTGCTGTGACTGGGGTGAATGAGAGCAGTGAGATCGCTTTCGATTTCACGAGTTTGACGGAGTTGCTGCTTGATTTTGATGAATGATACAAACTCAACAGTAACGCTTTGGACTTCCTTTGTGCGTAAACGACACTGCTTGGAACTACTCTCGAGAAACAGTCGGAGTCGCTCCCTAATGTGTTCCTGAACTTTTTCTTGGCCTGAGTAGCTAACAACACTACCAAGTTGACATGATTCGTTCAAGCTGTCAGTGAGCTTTGCCACACCAAGCTTAGCATATAAAGACTCTAGAACAGACTCTTGTGGTGCAGTCAAAATATCCTTTTTAAACTTGTTGAAAATCAAAATATCATCCACAATTGAGATTTCAGAGGCTTTTGCAAGAACTGCTGTCTCACTGTCATCATCGTCACTAGTGACTTGGTGCTTGAATGCTAATAAGAACGGAGAGGTGTGCATGAGTTTTATAAGAGCATTGTCTCGTGATAGTTCCTTCCATCCATAATAAACTTTTGCCAGCAATTCAAGGTACTTATTTGGATTTTTTACCAGGTTGTATACCTTTGTGGGGTTTGAAACTGTTTGATGAGCAATTTCGGTCAAGCTTGGACTTTGTCTAACACCAACACCAAGTAGAAATGGCAATGATGACGGCAACGGATCAATGAAGTGAAAAAGATCCTTAATCTCGCCAGTCTCATCAGATTTCAAAAACAATTCACCTGGTTTCATGAAAAGTTTTTGCGAGGGCTTCACCGGAACAAATGGCGCGCTTTTACATCTGGCAATATCGTTTCTTGAAAACTGGTCGAAATTCCTCGATAGATAACCGAACAATGGGTCTGCTGCAGCCATTGTTTGTGGTGGATGTGAAAGCATGTAGTCTAACAGGAGATGGGTCGGAGGGCGGGCTTCAACACGAAAACGTTTTGCATAAGGTGCATACTCTTCAGCGATGACAGCAAAGTTGAAAAGAGCAGCTTCCTGGTCAATATAACAATCTGAGGGTCTGCTATACGTATAATTACTTGGAACAATCTCCAAGTTAGCATACCTCAATCGATCGAAATCTTGCTGGCTATGATAATTGCCAATAAAGAACTTCGTAGCTGTAGGAATAAGCTTACGCTCAGTTGCCATCATGAATAGCTCAACAACATCAGGCTTCATTTTGATTTGGAGTTTCTTGAGCAGCTTACCGGCTGCGGAGTCTGGGTCCCATGGCCTAGCCCAGTCCAAAGTCGGGAACCCCAGCTTGACTAGTTCAGGAAGCGGTGCATACAAATTGGATATGCGGTCTAGGCTCTTGGTTTTCCTGTTACGATAAAAGTCGCCATGTGATAAGACAAGCCAGTCGTCTTTCTTTAGTGAATCTTCATGCTCCACTAAGTAGTCTATCAGCTCTTGACTTGACCACTTGAGCCCCGAAGTTTCATTATGAAGCGCTTCCAAGACAAACGCCATATCGACTGACTCACGTACACCAATCTTGACCAAAAACGCCCGTGATGCCGACACAGAATCCGAAACGACAGGTAGGTCCGGAAAAAGAGGGATCTTGAAAATGTACGCATCAGAGGGTATTTTCAGTCCTTGATTAGTAGGAATGATGGTACGGTTCTGTAGCGAATCAATAATAGATTCTCTCTGGCTTTCATGCAAGTAGTGCCAGCGTCTGTCCACAACGCCAAGCAACTCGGCTGCGTGCTTCTGAAGTAGCGACTGGTCGCTCACGATGAAAAGAGCCCATTCTAGCACAGGTAGAGCTACTATTCCCAAAGCCTTTACGTTCTGTTTTCCAAGCAAGTCTACTATTTCAGCGGAAATACAAAGTGGAGGTAGTGGCATTGTAGTGTCTGCTGCATAACCGTCTTGGTAGTAAACAATCGTCGCCAAGGATAATAGGTCACCGCTGGGCTGTTTCAGAACTAATGCATTTTTGAACTGCTTCGACTGAGTGCCATTAAGGGTGTTGTGGTTAGTTTCAAGCCATGTAAGTGCGCTTTTCAGCTCACGCATAGACACTGGCTCATGTTTGAGATCTGCGATTGCATCTTCGAACGTGGCCTCCAAAATATATCCACACTTCTGTAAATGACTTACAAATATCTCGTTCTTGTTGTTCTTTTCAAGCACAGGTAGTCTCCGTAGCAGGGGTCCAAACTTTCCTGGAAGGCGAGCTTTATTGGAAGGCAATATTCCTGCATTTGTTGCCAACAAGATGGTCTTTGAACATTTCCAAAAGCCTGAGGCTATGCAGGCACCAACTCTGGCATCTGGGGCAGATTCACCGAATTGGAATCGATCTACAGTGTGACTGGCCGCATTGAGTTGGTACTGGAGGTCGCTACCCACTAAAGCTTTCAGCTCATTCTCGTAAACACATCTGGCCACCATACCAGCCATATATAGAAGCTCACTGTTCCAATCCTTTACAAATGAGTTTGACATATCCACAGCTGTACGCTCCATCGTAGGCACGACCTGATTCAATGCCAGATGAGACTTGAACGCAGTATTCTGTTTTGTGGGAAATCCAATAAAAATTTTAGCCTCATTGAAGTCACTGGGGAAAATATAATCACTGAGGGGAGGTTTGATGTCTGAATTTTGCAACTCTTCTTGAGAAAAAGACAAAAGTGACATTGTGGACTGGGCTGGGGGTGCCTTCATCACAGTTTCGATCATTTTGCGACGAAACGAGGACGATACATTGACATCGATTGTGGCATCTGCTCGCCGTAGAAAGCAAACAAGTTTTGTCGTGTCTTTGGGATCGTCTGTTTTCGTCAACAAGGACTTAACCAACACTTTTCCAATATTGAAGAAGCCTGAGCTCAAAGACAGTGGTGGCATTTGCGTCACATTCATATATTCAATAGTCATTTGGAGCGGAGTCATAGTGAGATTGACTAGTTTCAATGTGCCATTCGGCGACTTGTTGTTCAGGTTCTGTGGGAGCTGCTGCGTCTGCGGTACAGAACTGTGCTTTGTGAGTTCTAGCAAAGTCAGATCGTCAAGCTTCAAAATAACTTTACCAAGATGCACTAGTGAAAAACTCTGGACCAAAAAGGCGGTGAATTTTACAAGATCGGGGAGCACACCTGGTGAACGATAAGGCAGATCAATTGTGGCTCCTTTGACCGAGTCTGTGGCTTTCCCCCAATGGTACTGAAGTTGGTCGCCCTCGTAGTGGAAAGAGATGATTTTTTGCCCTGAATGCACTAATGGCTCATCGGTCAAATCAAAGACTGAGTAGAACCCGACACCAAACGCGCCAATTTTTGTTTCGTTCGGGTTTCCTCTGGCAATTTCTTTCAGACGACTCCAATCGTCGTTATTAAATTCTGCGCCATCGTTATTGAATACTAGTTTCGTGATTGGCACTGAATGAATCTGGGTCAAATCCGATGCATATGCTTGTTTGTTGGCGCTAAAAAACTGGACAGTGGCCGTCTCAGCCTTTGCATCGGCACTATTCTGTAAAAGCTCTCGATACAGCGCATAGTCGACGGGATACTTGGTTAATGTTCGAGTGATTAGCGCTCGATGGTTAACAGAGACTGCCGCGGAATCTGCCTTCCGTTGACGAATAAGATCATAGTCTGTGCGAGACATTTAATGTAGTAGTACCAATTGATCAGTTCGTCGTTATAAATTACCAACCTTGTGTAAATTGTGGCAAAGAACCCAGAACTAACGCCGCTGATCTACGATTACAATATCCCGGAGTTGCAAGTCTCGGCCAGCGTTTAGTCATGAGCTACGAGCGAGCTCGGCATGACTCGTTGGAGCTAAGAAGTTTGGCATCTGACGATCGCTTGGAAGACGAATTTTCGATCTCAAGTCCTGCCTTGTCGTCTCCAGACGCGCTGATATCTGAGCAAGCGCACGCAGATGCTATCTCGCTAGAAACCTTGGAAAACACCCTATCGGAAGTCGGTCTGGAAGACTATATGCGCGTTAAAAGACCAAAAAAGCTGAAATACATCCACGGGTTAGGATTGATTGTTGGTTTGCAGATTGGCTCTGGTATTTTTGCCAGCCCTAATCAGGTTAGCTCCCGGGCGGGATCTCCGGGTATGGCTCTGTTGGTTTGGGTTGTATCCGGTGTACTTGCATGGACAGGAGCATCGTGTTATGCAGAACTGGGTGCTGCAATTCCTCTCAATGGCGGCACACAAGCCTATCTGGGGGAGATTTTCGGGCCCTTGGCTGCGTTTACTTATACTTGGTCTACTGTGACAATTTTGAAGCCGGGGAGCGCAGCAATTATTGCTTTGGTTTGCGGAGAATACCTGGCCAAAGGCCTTGGCATTAACTCAACAGTTGCCGAAAAGGTGCTTGCTCTTACTGGACTAGTAGCAATTGGTGCTCTAAATAGTTACTCTAGTCGTTCCGGTGCGCAGGCGGGGAAATGGTTTCTTGTTTTGAAATTCGTCCTTCTACTCTTCATTTTTGTTGTTGGACTGATCGGCATTACCCAATATCGAGCCAACAGCTTTCTCGAAGCTGGCTTTTGGGCCGATACTGCTCCAATAGCTAGCACGGCATTAGCTTTGTACGGTGGTTTGTGGGCGTATGATGGATGGGATAATTTGAACTTTGTGACTGGTGAGATGGACAACGCTAAAAGGGACCTTCCCCTTGTCATAAACAGTGCCATGCCAATTGTCATCGTGAGCTATGTTGTTGTGAATATCATGTACTTTGGTGTACTGTCCAAAACCGAAATTGAACAGGCCACTAGTGTTGCATTAACAATGGCATACAAAGTACTTGGTTCCCCTGGTCGAGTGGTTACTTCCTTAGCAATTGCAAGCTCGTGTTTGGGGGCATTGAATGCTACTGTTTTCAGTTCTGGCCATCTGATTCAAACTGCAGCGAAGGAACGGCACATCCCTGCTATCTTCAGCCACTACAACGCTAAACGGCACACACCCGTGAACGCAATTATTCTACAAACAGTCGTCTCTTCCCTATATGTTGTTGTGGGTGAGTTCAGATCATTAATTGCGTTTTATGGCTCAGCCGGCTATATTTTTTACTTGTGGTCAGTAATTGGGTTAATTGTTCTGAGGTTTCAAAGGCCCGATCTGCCCAGACCCTGGAAAGTGCTGCCTACGACTCCGTTATTCTTTTCAGCCGTCGCACTTTGTTTGGTGGCTGCAACCGCTTTTGCAAAGCCCATCATGTTTCTGGGAATGGTCACTTTCATTCTTCTAGCCGTGCCTATTTATTTAGTTAAACGCTATTTCGCATTATTGTAGTCTACATACTAATAAGACTTACAAACCCTATTTAGCCTACTTACTGGGATGTCAGCACATGAGCGAACGGAAGTATTGGGAAATCACTGAAAATGACGTTTACGTTCAGGTATTTCGAGAGATGCTCGAAGAATTAGACCTCACATTCTTCAAAAAAGATATTATTGATAGTTATAAAAGCCTGAGCCTTCAGGGCCAGTATGTTGTGACTCGGCTCTACTATCGATCGGCAAAATGGCTGCGACAATCGGATTTGGAGAAATATTTACCGCCCGACGAGCTTAAAGGCGTCCTGGAAGAACTTGTACAAAAAAACTGGTTGTTAAGTGAGCCGGATCTGGACATTTACTTGGAGGTGGCCACAGTGAAAGAGCTGCAGGCGGTGGCTGTGGAGTTCAATATCAAAAAGGCAATGTCTAGACCACAATTGGTTGCTGCTCTAGAGGAATTGTGTAAACGAAAAACCTTTTTTGGCCCACCGCTTCGGCCAAAGGTCACGTTGAAACTTAAAGGTGCTGTATCATCCTTGTATTTATTGAATGAAGGCATGTCATCGACACTAGCTTTGGTTTCGTTCATGTTCCTGGTTCCTGCTCAAATAACATTGGATGTGGTGGTAAGAACCAACATGAAGATGATAAAATTTCGGCAATATGACTATTTGACACAAAAAGAAGCACCTATCTTTGAATCGAAACACGACTTTATCGATTACTATGAAGCGCGAGTTTTGTGTGATCCGCTTGAAGAATCAGCCTCCTCGTGTACACAAGAACTAATTGAGGTAGTGAGACTGAAGATCAAATCTACATCACCCAGAAATGGTCCTTTTTCCGCAGCATACGTTTACGGACGTGCACTTGCACTGGTTTCAGAATGTTTAGGAAAAGCCGGAAAGTTTCAAGAGGAGTATCAAATGATTCAAGAATATTTTGAGCAGGAAATTCATAAATCACGAAAATCGTCACTTATTATTCGAAAGCTGAATCTGGAGCTTAGATTTTTCAAAGAGCTGCAAGACACCAGCTGGTTACTCAAGGCCATCAACACTTATTACGATGCATCGGGCATTGTGAACAGTATTTATGCTTTTGATTTATCTCGTAAGGCGGTGAGAATGTCAAGAGAAATTGAAAAAGTAGGTCTCTCTGTTCCTCCTCTAGAGCTTTCCAAGTTTGAACAATTGCCCACAAACTTGTTGGAAGCTGAACAGCTCGAACTTTTGCCTGGCCAAGGCGTACGTACGCGGTGGGGCCAGGAAGGAGCATCCAACACTGTTGAAGAAACTGCACTTATTCACTATGCTGATTATGGCTGGGCTGGCGGACATTATGAGGGCGGAATGATTTCCACACTTTTCTGGCTAGCATTTCATGATATAATATTCAGTGACAAAACTCAGTTTCGGTGCCGATTTCATAACCGGCCTCTCAAGTTACAGTCAGTTTTGGATACCAACAAAACTAAAATTGAAAAACGGGTCACTGATAATCTCAAAGAGACAATAATCAACTCGTTCAAAACGTTGTACGAATTACAGCCTAATGTTGGTGGTATTAATTGGAACATTCCTCTTGAAGGTATCGAAGCAGTAATCGATGGTCTAGGCAATGCACTTGGTGCAATCCTTCTCCGCTTAGCAGAATCCTATTACACTTACAACTCTGGATTCCCTGATCTGACGCTATGGAAAACTGAAGAGCCGGAATGCAAATTTGTGGAGGTAAAGTCCACAAATGACACCATAAGTGACAACCAGTACGTCTGGATTCAGTTTCTGTCAGGACTGGGAATTCCCGTTGAAATTTGCAAGATCAGAGGCAAAAGAAAACGGGAGTAAGATCGCTAAACTTTAATTAAAAAACAGATTACGCATGTAAAAGAACTATGGCAGAATAATAAGAAGATTACATCTCGGTCATGTAGTCCTCCTCAAGAATCTCCTCCTCGTCTTCGAAAGAGCCTTCCTGGTGCTGCTGATACTCGTGAATAAGATCAGTGATGTTAGACTCGGCCTCAGTAAACTCGGACTCGTCCATACCCTCATTAGTGTACCAGTGCAAGAAAGCCTTACGCTTGAACATTTTCTGGAACTGGTCGTGAACGCGTCGGAACAACTCTTGGATGGATGTGGAGTTTGCAACAAATGTGGCGGTCATATCAACGCCCTTGGGAGGGACCGAGCAGATGGAAGTTTGCACATTGTCAGTAATCCAGTCGACAAAGTTGGACTGGTTGCGCTGTCTAACCAGAGCGACTTGGTCTTCAACTTCTTTGATAGACACCTTACCACGGTAGAAAGCAGCACAGGTCATGTACTTACCGGTGCGAGGGTCAGCGCCGGCCATGACATTACGGCCATCAAAGATTTGCTGGGTAAGCTCAGGAACAGTAAGAGAGCTGAAGGAGCGAGAGCCAGCAGCCATAAGAGGAGCATAGCCGACTGTGAAGAAGTGGAGGCGATTGAAGGGAACCAAGTTGACAGCCAACTTGCGGAGATCACTGTTGAGCTGACTGGGGTATCTGAGAGAGGTGGTTACGCCAGACATGACACTAGCAACAAGCTGGTTCAAGTCCTCGTATTTGGGGTGCGGGACCTTGAGGGTATTCTGATAAATCTTGTACAAAGCATGGTTATCCAAGCAGAAAGTTTCATCGGCAACCTCGACCAACTGATTCATGGCCAAAATAGAGTTGTAGGGCTCCACGACGGTATCAGAGTCGCTGGAGGGAGCCACGGAGTAAGTAGCGAGCATACGATCGTTGAACTCATCGCGCAAGTTGCTAACAAGCAAAGTTCCCAGACCAGAACCGGTACCGCCGCCCAACGAATGGGTCATTTGGAAGCCTTGCAGCGACTCACATGCTTCGGCTTCACGACGAACCACGTCCATAACCTGGTCAATGAGCTCAGCGCCCTCGGTGTAGTGACCTTTAGCCCAGTTGTTACCAGCAGAGGATTGCGCATAAACAAAGTTGTCGGGGCGGAAAAGATCACCTAGCGGACCCGAGCGCACCGTGTCCATAGTGCCAGGCTCGAGGTCGACGAGGATGGAACGCGGGACATACTTTCGGTTTGTCTCCTGGTAATAAACGTCCAGCTTTTCTTTAGTGATATCGTTGGAGCCCTTGTGGATACCCTGGGCATCAATGCCGTGTTCCTCGCTGATGGTCTGCCAGAAGGCAGTACCAATTTGGTTACCACACTGTCCTGTGGAAATATGAATCTGAATGTTAGCCTTTGCTTTAATTAAAACGCGTGATGGCGCGTTGTGAGCGGTATACTTACAATCTCTCTCATAGCGACAAACGAAAAAAGATGACAGCCTCACTTGATGGTTTGGGATTTGTTTACAAACTCTACTGACGGGACGCATCTTAAACGGTAGGGTAACAGCACTAACCTTACCCAACACCCCGTGTTCTTGGTGGTTTTGCACCCCATCTAAAACATTCCTCTAGAGACGGCAAAAAAACGTTGAAATATCGAGTATAAATAGTTATAGAGTGTTGACCGGTTAAATAGTGGGTTGTGGCGCGCATCTACAGCTCCGACGTGCGTTGAGCCAGCTGAGCGAACGCTTCAATCGTCATGCACAGTGGAGCAGCTATTAAGAACAAACTAATGACGCCAACCAAGTCTCCCTTCCATCCGACTTGGAATCTCTTGCGGAGCATGGGGAATGTTGCGAGCGAAAATGCCAGCGACCAAAAATAGGCTACGAGGGTCAGGCACTTGTCGACAGCACCAATAGCCTCTTTGTGCCTAGATGCCCAATCCAAGGTTTTATTTTGGTTCCATAAATAACAAATTGCAATAATCTCAATGATCGATACGGGTATAGTAAGGAGGAGCCCCAGGCATTCGACCAGAATACGGATGACTCTGAAAAACTTTATAATATAACGAGTTCGTCGGTCGTCTGCTATATTAACCTCGAGGTCGTGTGCTCGATTCTCATCTAGCTCGTGATAGTCCCTTATGGGCGAGCCAGTGGGCTTCAAAAGCGGCATGGCTTGGATTTGGCAGAGGCTGAGTCAATGACTAGTCGCTGCAAGCATTATGAAATAGACAACGAGGGTAGGGCCAGCGGATCGGCAGAAGCACTGATCTGACTGGCAGTGGACATGTGTGCCAGAAACAGCAGCTTAAACGAACAGTTCCGAATTTATGTTTGGCGGGCTACGGGCTACAGACACATGCTAAGAATAGCGAGCGGCCCTCCGCCAGTGGACAGGGTCTTGGATGAGGCTATTACGTAGTTTCAACGAATATGGGCCCAAACTGAATGAACCTGAACGTTTCAAAAGCAATTCTAATATTGTCGTACACTTATTAACAGCTACCAATGCTTCATGCGGATTTGGGTTTTTTCTTCTCCTGGTGGTTTATGCACGGCGAGATGGGGAGGGTTTGCCGGATCGGGGGTGCCACAAGGTGCATGTGCGAATTGGCCGAACCTCCCAACCTTCACAATGTTACCTGGAGGGATTGAGTATCCGCCACAGGTGAAGAACGGCTTTTGGGGGCCTATCACTGCTACTATCGACTGGTGCGAGGAGAATTATGTGGTTTCACAGTATATCGCAGAGTATGTGAATACTCTCACAAATGCAGTCTTCATCATGCTTGCTTTTTATGCCTTGCGCAATGCTCTCAAGAACAAGCTTGAGATGAGATTTGTATTGGCTGCCTTGGGCTTCGCTGTGGTTGGCATAGGCAGTTGGCTTTTCCATATGACTTTGAGGTATGAGTTCCAGCTGATGGACGAGTTGCCGATGATTTACGGCACCTGCATCCCCTGCTGGAACGTCTTCCAGACCAATGCGACAAAGTCCTATAGTCGCAAACTGGCTGTGGGAATTGCCTCTGGTGCATTGCTCCTTACTGCTGTCTATTTACACTTCAAGAACCCCACAATCCACCAAGCAGCCTATGGATCGCTCAATGCCGTCATCATCATCCAGAGTTTCCGTCTCACCCGGAGCTACGTCAAGGATCCAAAGGTATTGAAGCAGTTCAACTACATGCTCATTAGTGGGTTGAGTCAATTCCTGTTTGGATACTTTTTGTGGAACATGGACATTCACTTTTGCGATTTCTGGAGAAGCTTGAGACATACAGTAGGATTACCCTACGGCTTGGTTCTGGAGGGTCATGGTTGGTGGCATCTTCTTACTGGATCGGGTGTGTATTTTTACCTACAATACCTCGAGTATCTCCGCAACTATGTTCTTGGACAAGAACAGGACTACAAGCTGTCCTGGAGACTGAACTTCCTTCCGGTTGTAGAGCTCAAAACTGCAAAAGACTACAAGAAAAATGATTAGACCACTCGGAGAAACTCCCCTGCTCGTTGCCTTTAGATCAATAGAGCAGCGATGCGCGACTTTTCCCTCCCTCCGTAAATCAGTCCTACGTAACACGCAGGAAATTCTGCATACAAGCTCACAGTTACTCAAGCACGAGTGGCAAACTCCTTGGAGGAGAGAAATGGCTCTTTGTGTACTCAGATATCCTAAAAATCTAGATTCTATTCCCCCTAGTCGACGACCAGGATGGCTCAAACCGCTGGAAACCCTTAGTGGCGGCTTCCCCAGATCCTGTCAGGGGTTAGGGCACATTATTTAACAAACCGACCTTGAAGATCTCTTACGACAATGCTATCGCGAGAAGCAGCCAGGGAGAGGCTCACGCTGATGTTCTGGCGGCCCAAAGGTCATGTCGATATCAAAGACGGGACCCCTGAAAGTTTGTCTGCATTTCCTGAAAAGGCAGTAGAACAGCAAGCTAATGCTGATGCGATGGACACCTCGCCAGATGAGCAGTCCGAGGGCCAACAGCATTTCAGGCCTAGCTTCCGCTTTGCATGTGTGATGCTTGTGCTTTGGTTATTAACGCTTCTGGTTGCGATTGACTCCACAGCAATTAGTACTGCTCTCTTATCCATCGCTAGCCATCTCGATGCTACGACCGTTCAAACTGAATGGATTGCAAATGCTTATATGGTGACAGCAGGCGCTTTCCAGTTTCTGTTTTCATCTTTATCTGATATATACGGCCGCAAGCCGCTTATTATAGCTGCCTTTATGTTCCTTCTTGTGGGGACTATCATGTGTGGCGTTTCTCAGAACATTGAAACCCTCTTAGCTGGCCGAACTATTCAAGGAATCGGTGCTGCCGGAACTCTTGTTATTCCAGAGGTTCTTGTTGCCGACTTGATTCCGCTTCGGTTGCGTGGAGTTTATTACGCCATTCTCGCCGGCTCTTGGGCGGTAGGTGGAGGTGTTGGACCAATTATTGGTGGTGCATTCGCCGAAACAGTAACCTGGCGTTGGATTTTCTACTTGAATCTTCCCATTTGTGGAGTAAGTTTGGCTATTACCCCGTTCGCGTTGAAGCTAAAGAAGGTTCATGCGGATCGAAGCTTTATGGAAAAGTTCAAGATGATTGACATTGGCGGGAATATTCTGTTTTTGGGCTCTAGTACTTCCTTGATGCTTGGGTTGTCACTAGGTGGTATCTCGTATCCTTGGGGTGATGCCCGCAGTATTGTTCCAATCGTTGTTGGTGGTGCGGGGCTGGTTTCCACAGTGCTATACGAAATTCACGTCGCATCTCAACCAATGATCAATATGAAGGTTTTCTCTACTTGGGGAGCTATTGCTGCACAGGTTCAGAATGTGCTGCAAGGAATCGTTGTCATGGCTTGGCTTTATTTCTTGCCCATGTACTTTCAGGGCATCAAGCTATATAACCCTCTCATCACAGGTTTGGCGCAGATCCCTGTAGCTGTCGTGTTGAGTATTGCGGCATTGCTGGCTGGTGTCGTGATTCGTTGGTCAGGCCATTATTTATTTGTTCAATGGATCTCATTGGTGTTGGCCTCGGTTGGTATGGGCCTCTACATTTTGCTAAATCTTGATACAACAGTTGCCGAGTGGATTTTTTTGGCCGTTGCGCCTGGTATTGGATTAGGAATGCTATACTCGTCGTCTGCACAGTCTGCTATGGCTCCCATTAACCCCTCACTCTGGACGGATGCCGCGGCTGTGATGTCGTTTGCGAGAAGTTTGGGTGAAGCTTTCGGTGTGGCAGTGGGGGGTGCTATCTTTGCCAGTCAAATGAAACATCACCTGTCAAAAATTGACAATGTTCAGGTCGATCCAACCAAAGTCATTCAAGTGGTCGAATACATTCAACAGCTCCCTGAGGGAGACATCCGGCACCAGCTTCAAAATGCACTGCTGAAGACTATTCGTACGTTGATGCTGGTAATGATGATTTTCTGTATCGTTGGCCTGTCACTTTGTGTGTTTATGAAAGAGTATTCCATCGATATTGCCCACGAAGTCCAACAAGGTATCGATGAAGACAGAACCGATGAATCGGAAGACTAAAACTGGCCCGAGTTGGCGATTTTTCAGGGGTTCTCCCGATTTGGGCTGCTGATGCACGAAACTTCTAATCCACTTAACCTCAAAGCTTTGGCTTTATCGGGTGGGGTTTAGCTTTGATCTCAATTAACTGCGGATTATGAGGGAGCTCATAGCCGCCTAAGCTTGGCTTTTCGTTTCCCTTTTGGCATTCTGCACGCCTATTGACATATCCGAGAGGGGCGAAAGGCTGCAGCAGGTTTTTTTAGGGACCCCTTGGGTGAATTTTGGATCACAATCGCTTGAGCAAGGCTGATAAAAACAAGGTTTGCTCCAAAATAGCTTTAAAACTTATCTAATAAACTAAACTTATCTTCTCCAGGAAATCATTGCACTGCAGAATTCTCAATTTCGCTAACTCTATGACTACGTATTACCTGTAGTGTAGGGCATACATGTTTAAACCTGCAGCTTACCGCTAGTGGCAATGATCGAGGATAGCTGGGGCCGATAGAAACAGTGAAAAATGCAGCAAGTTGTGGCATCAGTCTCGTCGTTCGATAGGACAAAACATTATCCGAAAGTGCTTTCTTCTGTGCCGAAACCGGGGGGGGCACCTGGGCCTGGGTCTAGATTAAGGGCCTGGACTCTGCTCAACTAATGTTTATCAAATTCTGCATAATATTCTTGGTGCCTCCCGGCTCGACCAATGGTAGTTGACCTAATTCCCAGCCCGTGCATATGCATGTAGGGTTCATTTTAGGAGGTTAAAAAGATGGGAAAGCCCCGCTGTAATCACAGAACTAAACAAAGTTTGATTGCAACTGTTTCAAACCTTTCGAAGAGTTATATCTACTGACCTCCACGCCCAATCTCACGTCACAAAAAAGAATGGTTTTAGTCGCTGTTAAGAATCTTATTACCGGAGGTCCCACCAAGCCTTTGCTGCCCACCGACCAGAGTCAAGTCGGCTACCAGGCCACTACGGATGGCTCGTTCGTAAGCCAGTTCTCTATCAAAGAGATCGAGAACCCTCGTGTTGTTTCAGATATCATCATTGGTCTTTCGGATGGTCTCACTGTTCCTTTTGCGCTCACTGCTGGTCTTTCCTCCCTGGGCAGCGCTAAACTCGTCATCACCGGTGGTCTTGCCGAGCTTGTTTCGGGCGCTATTTCCATGGGTCTGGGCGGCTACCTCGCTGCTAAGTCTGAGTCCGAGTACTACGAGACCATGTTGCGCAAAGAAAAGGCTACTTACCACGAGTCACCCAAGGAGTCCGTCAACGGTGTCCAAGAGGCACTGGGCGAGTTCAATATTTCTCCCGCAACCGTCGAGGCTGTCATGTCTGATCTTCAGCGGAATGACGAGTTCTTGGCTGCCTTTATGGTGAAGATGGTCCGCGGCATCGAGGAGCCGCAGGAGGGCCGTGAGCTGACTTCCGCCTTGACCATCGGTGGTGCCTACTTTTTGGGTGGCTTTGTCCCCCTTCTGCCCTACTTCCTTGTTGATACCGTTGAAAAGGGCTTGATTTACTCTGTGGTCATTATGATGATCACTCTCTTTGCATTCGGCTACTTCAAGACTGTGCTTTCTCTTGGTTCCGACTGCCTCCAAAAACAGCGCGTCTGGAACGGTGTCTCGATGTTGCTGGTCGGCGGTGTCGCTGCTGGTGCCGCATGGGCACTCGTCAAGGCCATTGAGGCATGAAAAACGTCAGTGGACAATTATTTTATTATTTATCTATATTCTTAATTAACTCAGATCAAGCAGCTCCGTACTGTTTCTGGTAGTCTTTGAGCGCCTGAAGCTGTTCAGCACTCAAACTGCTACTCAAATGAGCGATGATGTCGCTCAAGTTTACAATGCTTAGAACAGGAACGTTGAATCGCTGAGAGACAGCAGTAAGAGCAGAGACTGTGCTGTCGGCGGTGCGTTCCTGACGATCCAAAGCAGTCACAACACCAACGATGGTGCCCTTAGCTGCCTCAATGATGGTTCGAGCTTCATTGATGGCGGTGCCTGCAGTGATAACATCGTCCACAACCAAAACCCGACGACCTTCGAGGCTACCACCGACGATGTTTCCTCCCTCGCCGTGGTCCTTGGCCTCTTTACGGTTGAAAGCATACTCCAATTTGCCCTTCGAGGGGTCGAGCTCAGCGATTTTGGCAACGGTGAGCGCAGCAATAGGAATACCTTTGTATGCCGGACCGAAAATAACATCAAACTCAATGCCTGACTCGAGGATGGTTGTAGCGTAGGCAGTGGCTAGCTGAACGAGAACCTCGCCGGAGTTGAAAAGACCCAAATTGAAAAAATAAGGGGAAATGCGACCGGATTTCAATGTGAAGCTACCGAAACGCAGAGCGTTGGAAGCAACAGCAGCATCAATAAACTGGCTTTTGAACATGGCTAAACTGGTTTTGCAAAAAAAAAAACCTCCGCCGTTTATTATTAAGAGACTCTATGTGACGTCATGAAGGACTCGATAAGAGGTCGAAGTAGGTGAACGTATGAAGATGAAAGGCCCTTATGAATAAATATACAGACTAACTGAAGTAATGAAAAAACATAAAGCTAAATTGAGCGTGTTGTATCAGCGAGCACACCTTAGTCAACTTTCGCTATGTCGAATATATCCTTTCTTCCGAGACAGCTACTGCCTGTTGAAAATGGGTCCGGGGACTTGAAGATTATGACATATAACACGCTTGCTCAATCGTTGATCCGTAGATCCCGGTATCCTACCAATGGTAATGCGGTAAAATGGGGTCCTCGGAGTAAAGCCCTTGAAGAACAGATCAAGGCGTACTCCCCAGATATTTTAGCTCTCCAAGAAGTCGATTCTGCATCTCTCAGCTTTTGGAACGCCATAATGGAGTCAATGGGACTGGACGGATGCTTTTACTGCTCTCCGGGAAAACGGCACGGACTCTATCTAGCATGGCGTAAGTCTTTATATCAACAGCATGGAAAACGAACAGTTACCTATGATCGATCAAAATTACAGATCCCGCGACAAGTGGATACAGGTAATGTTGGTCTTTTGGTCAGTTTGAAATCAACTTCAAGCAATGCTGCATTACCACCTCTGGTTCTGGCAACCACCCACCTCTATTGGCACCCTATGGCGAGCTTTGAAAGGGCCCGCCAGCTTCATGGGTTATTCGAGGCGACCCAACAATTCGCAAAAGAGGTAGATGGAGCCCCCAAACTAGTGGTGCTCGGTGATTTCAACTTTGAACCGTTCGATCCCCCGTACCTTCTTGCCAGAGGCCTGCATCTCAATGATCGAGCTACCGAAATTCTGCAGAAAAGCACTACGCACTCGGATTTTGGTGCTGCGCCGCCGATCAATTTACCAGAGCAGCCAGAAGTACATGTAAATGCTAGGCCTCCTGTACCTACGCTCCTAGACCTTGAAAATCAATCTGCATTGGAGATCCTGCAGACAGCCTATGCAGCCTTGAACGTTCAGGTCGTCAGCGCCTATGGCAGGTATCATGAGGTACATCCGGAAAACTCAGGAGCCAATGGAGAGCCACGGTACACGAATTGGGCAGATGACTTCCAGGGAACACTGGACTATATTTTCTTTCTGAAATGGAAGCATGAACCGGTGGAAAAAGATCCGGTTATCATTCACGAGCTGTTGAGAATTCCTGAAGAGGCTGAGCTTGGGCCAATGCCCAATTCCTTGCCCCGAAGAGCATTGAACCCCAGCGATCACTTTGCCTTGTTAGCTAGCGTATCGTGGAACTGATGTCATTGTGAATTATAATCTGCACGGCAGGCAGCATGGGAAAATCTTGGCAAAAAAGGCCTCGATATGATTATCTAACGGGGCTTAGCGGAACTTCAACGACATGGTTTTTGCCCCTCGCTTACAAGAATTCAGCCAATCAAGTGTATGTTATATTCGAGGAATAAAACTTGTTAAAGTTACCAACTCAAAAGTTAGTTCAGTCGCTAGCTGTCCAGCGTAACCGCCAACTGTGCTTGTAAGACGCAATATCAAATCTTGCCGATCTGCTGCGGCTTCTCCAGGAAACCTGCATATAGGAACAAGCTTGCATAAGGGGCAGGCTGATTTGATTTCGCGGCAACCTACATTACACTCACCATTCGGCCATAGTTTGAAAGTTGCTTTTTTTTTGCTTTCAAGCTTTCTACTAGCAAATTAAAACCACTGAACAGTTTCTGCAGGATTTCTAGAGCGTCCACTCACTGACGTTTGTTTTTTTTCCCGACCTCGAGTAAATCATTGGCTTAATGAGTGAGGACGAGGGACCCCCTGTTATTTACGTTGATGGCGTTCGCCAGGATGGCAAAAAATCCAGCACCTCCTCTTCGTCGAATGAAGAGCATCAAAAAGAAGCTGATATGTTGTTGAGAGAGATAGGCAACGGAAGCGAAGGTCATGGTGTCTACTCATGGACGCCGGCACAACTGTCCGCTTTGGTTGATCCAAAGAATCCATACATTTTGCGGTCAATGGGTGGCGTTCAAGGGCTCAGTAAAGCTCTGAATACCAACTCCGAGACCGGATTGATCAACCAGCAGCTGGTTCCTGCTGAAGTTGCTCAACGGGAAAAAGTGTACGGACGAAACACATTGCCCGAGCGAAAGGCCCAAAGTTTACTACAAATTATTTGGCAAACTTTGAATGACAAAGTATTGATCATTCTTATCATTGCTGCTGTTATTTCGTTGGCTTTGGGTCTTTATGAGACGTTCGGCGAGCCGGTCGAGCATGACCCCGAGGGCCGGCCTCTGCCCAAAGTCGATTGGGTCGAGGGTGTTGCAATTCTCGTGGCCGTCGTGGTTGTTACAATGGTTGGTTCACTCAATGACTGGCAAAAGGAACGTCAATTCGTTAAGCTCAACCGAAAGAAAGATGATCGAATGATCGAAGTTATCCGCAACAAGTCTGAAGAGAAGATCAAAGTTGAAGATGTGATGGTCGGCGATATTCTTGCGGTGCAACCGGGTGATATATTGCCGGTTGACGGCGTCCTGATGAAGTCTTACGATATTCAATGCGATGAATCTTCGGCCACCGGTGAAAGTGATACTTTGCGCAAATATGAAGCAGCAGCTATCATGAAGCGCTTGGACCACGCAACTGAGCCTCTCGATCCATCAAATCACAAACTAGATTGTTTCATGCTTTCTGGTGCTAAAGTTCTTGAGGGCACGGGCTACTATATGGCCACCTCTATTGGTGAACACTCCATGCATGGCCGCACGATGTTATCACTTCATCACGAGAACGAGGTAACGCCACTCCAAGAAAAACTCAACCGGATTGCCGATGGCATTGCCAAGTTTGGTGTCATTTCTGCTCTAATTCTTTTCATTGTGCTGTTTATTCGCTTCCTTGTTCAAATCTCTGGCGATAACCGGTTCTCTGATTTAACCCCTTCGCAAAAGGGCACCAAGTTTATGGATATTTTCATTGTTGCTGTCACAATTGTCGTGGTTGCAGTCCCAGAGGGACTCCCCCTGGCCGTAACACTAGCATTGGCATTTGCTACAACTCGAATGATCAAAGATAACTGTTTAGTGCGTGTTTTGAGATCGTGTGAAACTATGGGCGGAGCCACCACTATTTGCTCTGATAAAACAGGCACATTGACCGAGAATGTCATGACAGTTGTTGCCGCCACTGTTGGAAACGAGGAATGGGACGAGGGTGAAAATGCTAGTGACGTTGTCTCGAAAGTCGACAAGAAGCTATTGGCGGACTCTATTTGTATCAACTCGACCGCCTACGAAGATAGAGAAAACCCACAGGAGATTCAAGGTTCCAAGACAGAATCGGCTCTTCTGCTGTTCGCTCGCGAGCACCTTGGTGTTAAGCAGGGAACACTCTCGAGCTACCGTGAGTCTGCTGAGCCAATTAAGCTTCTTCCTTTTGACTCTTCTCGAAAGTACATGTTTACTGTCATTCCAATGGAGAATGGAGGTGGTCGTCTTTTGATCAAGGGTGCTGCTGAAATTTTGCTTAGCCAGTGCTCCACGGTTTGGGGCCCATCATCCAACGAACCAATGGAAAAGCACCGCGATTTCCATGCTTCTCAAATTGACAAATATGGTAGCGAGGCTCTTCGTGCCATAGCAATCGCATACAAAGATTTCGATGCGAAGCAAGTCTCTGAGATGGAAAATATCACTGCGGCTGACATCGATGTCACAAATTTGACTTATCTTGGACTATTCGGTATCAAAGACCCTCTTCGTAAGGGTGTTCGTGAAGCAGTAGGCCAGTGCCAACGTGCCGGCGTGGTTGTGCGCATGGTCACCGGTGACAATGTTCGCACAGCGCGTGCTATTGCTATCAACGCTGGCATCATCAGTGAAGACGATAAAGATAGCATTGTGATGGAGGGACCACAGTTCCGTAAGCTTTCCGAGCATGATATGGCTAGCATTGTTCCCCGGCTACGTGTTTTGGCTCGATCCTCACCGCATGATAAGCGAACGCTAGTTGCTTACCTCAAGGAACAAGGCGAAACTGTGGCAGTTACTGGTGATGGTACAAATGATGCTCCCGCGTTGAAACTCGCTGATGTCGGGTTCTCAATGGGTATCACTGGTACTGAGGTGGCCAAGGAAGCTTCTGATATTATCATCATGGACGACAATTTTGCTTCTATTGTCAACGCAATCAAATGGGGCCGCACAGTGAACGATGCTGTTAAGAAGTTTTTGCAATTCCAACTTACAGTCAATGTAACTGCTGTTGCTCTTACATTTATCACTGCCGTTGCATCTTCTGATAACGAAAGCGTTTTGACTGCTGTCCAGCTCCTGTGGGTTAACCTCATCATGGATACACTGGCCGCCTTAGCACTGGCCACTGATGCACCTGTCGACAGTGTTTTGGACAGAGCCCCCGACAACCGCAAGAAATCTTTGATCACACCCACTATGTGGAAGATTATTTTCGGTCAAGCTTTTTTCCAACTCGCTGTCACTTTAACCTTGCATTTCGCTAGCCCCTATATTTGGGGAATCGCTGGCCATCCTCACGACTCTAGAAAGGATACCCAGCTTTCTGCCATGATTTTCAACACATTTGTCTGGATGCAATTTTTCCAATTGTTTATTTCACGTCGACTCGACAACAAACAGAACTTCCTCGAGGGCATTGGGCAAAACTACTACTTTATCGTTGTTGTTTGCATAATTGGCGGATTCCAGGTTCTTATCATGTTCGTTGGTGGCGCTGCATTTTCTATTCGTCGCCAAACCGGTGCCATGTGGGCAGTCGCGCTTATTTGTGGCTTTTGCTCTATCCCGTGGGGTATGGTGTTGCGACAAATCCCAGATGAGCTTGTGATGAAGCTGTATCCACGCAGATTCGTTAGATTCCTGCTCATCACTCTGGATGAGATTGGTCGCGGTATTAGCTGGCTCTTCTCGCCCGTCGTGAAACTGTTTGCCATTGTTGGCAGGTCCATCAAATGGCTGTTCTGCAAGTTATTCCGTGTTTCGAAGAGAGACGAGTCTACTGGAGACAACAGCCAAGCTGACTCTCGCGATTCATGGTCGGGAAGTGAACAGAACTATGAATGGATCCCTGGCATCCAAAAGTCTCTCGACGAGCTTGCCTTCCTCAAGTATGTGCATGGCGGTCGCGTTGCCAGGCTCAACTCGAACGCGAACGAGGCCACTGTCTCGAGGAGACGTCGCATTCGCAGGAGAAACCTTTATATTCCTACGCGGAGTTCTCGATCATCTTCAGATTGCTCTGGCTCGTCCCTGGCAGCACTCATGGCTCCAGTGGTTGTTTCTGGTGCGATAGGTGGATGGCATCCCGAGGCAAGAACATAAAAATACACCTCATATGAAATTCGGATCTAGCTTTTATACTTTTACCGTAGTCCACTCTCTTTACTATGTGTTTCATGCTATTTCCGCTCCACAGCACTGCCCCCAGGTCCCACATGCATATTTCGCTTCTATCGGATACTCACCCTTACCCTGAGCAAGTTCTCCATCGACGTCATTTTGGTCGGGTCTCCCTGGGTTAGGTGTTTGGCGTCATCTATAGCGCTTTCGTTGGTCCAACTCATTCCTCCACCCCAACTTCCATAATACTCAATGTTTCGCTTGGCTACCTGGGTTCCAATCACTCTGGGAGGCGCAATTGGCACCTCAATGTATGCCCAGACCCGTACTAAAATTCTGAATGATGTTGTCTATTCTACCCCAGATATCCAGCCTGTCCACCGTCTCGGCGTAACTAACACCGGGAGGGGGTTGGCCCGGTTCAATGGTAAGCTAGACTACCACCAGTTGAGCTACGGTTCGTTTGGTGGCATGGTTGCAGGTTATCTTTTTGGCAAGATTAGTCGCGTCCTGGTTGCGCTGGTAGTGGGCAGTGTTTTGACAGTTGAGTTCTTGCAATACCAGGGCCATGTCGATTTGACCCCCTGGACTAATCAAATCTATCGATGGTCCGTGAACAAAATTCAAGATGGCATCGCAATTGACGATCCAAGTTTCAAAGTTGGCTTCGGAGCAGCCTTCCTGGTCGCAGCTATGAATGCCTAAACTGGAATCCTCTACGTACACCATTTATTTAATAGATGGTACCTCCAACAAAAGCGGTGTTTTCAGTAGCGCCTGCCCACCCCCGATAACGTCGTAGATAGCAGTCCACTCGTAGCTTCCCCAGGCCAGTGGTAAAAACTCCAAGTCTACACTCTGCTCGGATTCCGGTTCAATTGAGACCGGTTGCTGAAGATTTCCGGCCCACAAGATATTATGTGTGTCGTTTGGAATAAATCGTAGCATTCCGTACTTTTTTTTGGAGGTCTTGTTTACAATTTTGGTGCGAATGACTGCTCGAGACTCTATAGTCAGCGGAGCCGGAGTCGTAACTTCCATCTGAATAACCAGAGGCTCGGTGCGAAGTACAGCAACCATTTTTTTGGATAGTTGCAGTCCACGGAGCTCGACTTGACCGCTTCTTAGTTCTCCATCCGCTGAAAGGCGCCAGGTACCTCCAATGTATTTGAGAAGTTCCTCACGAAGCCAGAAAGATTGAATTTGCTCTTGGGTCGTTTTAGAATCGACCACAAATTGACGAGAGGATAGTGAAGGGATGGGCTGTGCAAGCTTCTCCGCAGAGACGCCGTTCCATTTTAAAGGAAGTAAAAACCGTGAGCTCTTTTGTGAGTCAATGGTTTGGGTCACTGATGCAACTTCATTATCGCTCGAATCTTTCGTCCATAACGTGACTTCGAAACTCTCACGCCAAGCATTACGAAGGTCAAGAACAATGGTCAATTCTGGCTCATCACCGGGCAATCCCACGGCAAGAACATCCACACGTTCTAACTCAACTGAAGGGAAAACAGTAATGTTCAAAGGGATCCGAAGACGTCTCGTATAATCCTCGCCAGCACCGTAGTCTAAAAGCACAGCAGCACTATTGATACCGCGTTTTCCATATAATGTGAACTCAAACTCGGCCACTTCCCCACTCGCAATTTTAGACGTTTGCGAAATCAGTTCGACGGCGCGGCGTTTGTGTAGGAAGTACTCGTACTCATAAATGTCAGCTCGAGTGGCATCTGGCGCAGCTATAGCTTGCTTGAGTGGCTCAACTGTCGAGTCAGTAAATCCAAAGCTAGCAATGTGCGCATCGGTTGTCGATACATTTTGAACTTCAGCTTTGAATGGAATTCTTTCTCCTTCCAACAACATGGCCCAGCCTTTGGGTAATGAGTTTTCACACAGCACGAGACTTGGACGACCCTCGTTGATACGGGCTTTGATAGTGTGTGTGGGCCACTCTGGGGTTTCCAATTCTTGCTTTTGGCGGCTCACAAATAATGTTGCCAAAGGATCACGGAGCCAGAAAAGCCCACCAGAACAACCACCGACATGAGCGTAAATGCCACCTACAGTTAAAACTCCTGCCTCGCGAGGCACAAATGTGACTGGGATCGTAGACACTCTATTGGGAGAGAGAGTCAATGCTTGGTCGACAGAGCAGACCTTATTACCTTCCTCATCAACAACTGCAAGCTCAAAAATATCTAGAGGAAATTGGAAAGGGTTTTGTAGCCTGACATTAATTATACAACGTTCTCCAGCGACAATTGTAACCATTTTTTCCAGCTTATTTTGAGACTCAAATGGGTTGTAAATAATGTCAGGAGGCCCAACAATTGATGATCTGTTACTCGCAGTACCATTGGTAGTAGTTGAGCTTAAAACACCGCTTGAAGGCTTGATCGTGATATCGCGAAGAAGTAGCGGGTCCCAGTACTGACCAGGAGCGGAATCACGCTCACTGCGAATCAAGTGATATAATTGAGCTTGCTCAGAAGCTGACAGCACTTCTACACCGCAAGACAGAAGCTGCCAAGCTGCTTTCACTGCTACCGACCGGTAATTTGGTCTGTTACAAAGCTTGTAAAAGTTTCTAAGGAACTCGATTTTCAAAGTGTTCCAGTCAAAAACAACCACTATTGTGTCCAGCACGTACTTCAAAAAAGACGGGTGAAGACCGTTTAAAACTGTGGTGGCTTCAGAATCATTTTCATGAAATTCGTTTTCAAGTCTTTGAATGAGCTGTCGGATCACAAATGACCACTTTCTTTTGAGCCCTAAACGCCAGTAGAGTTTAGCCAAAGCAGACATGAACCTGCACGTCGTAGCGATGGGTAAAACTTCGAGTGAAGGACTCAAAGTATGTGCACACCAGATCTCAATGGTCATGACCGAAGGACCAACCGGCGAAAAATTTTTTTCTTGTGGGGTGTTTCGTACGATTGCAGACAGAGAAGCAGAGTTCCAACCACCGCCAAGCCTGAGGGCGGTCAATAAACTAGCAAAACGCAGTGAACTCTCAACGTAAACAACCTGAGGAACCATTTCTTCTGATTCCGGAGAGCAGCGATTGAAGAAACGAAGTACTGTGTCCATCAATAGAGGAAGGAAAGTGGCTAGAGCGGAGCGCCCTGTCTGCAAAGCTTCGGCAACCATTTCATTATCAAGATGATCTTGCGATGACGCCCCTCTTCTCGGGCTTTCAAGCCTTGAGGTAGCTAATTTTGCCGCTGCCGCAGCATCAGCAGCCGATTTAGCAGCTAGCTTGGCTGTTTTACCGGCCGAGTCAGCGTCAACCGTGACTTTCGCGATACTGGGGATTGTAACCGGAACCTCGCTGAATTGCTGGAGTAACAAACAAACTCCAATTTGTTCTAAAGTGGATGCGAACCATAAATGATCGTAAGACTGTTTCAAAATTTGAGCCGCCTCAGCGAATTCGGTGAGAGCGTCCGGTAGGCGTCCCGCCATCAAATAAAAAGAGCCCATGAACTTTTTAGTTCGGCCGAGCTGTCGAGATTTTAGACGCTCAGTGAGGCCTGTGGAAAAAGTTCCATCTTTAGTGAGACCCAAACTAGACTTACGAGCATGATGGCCCCGGAAATCCTTGGCTGCAGCGAGCGACACGTTCGTCTGATCCAACGCCTTCAACGCAGGGCTTTTAAACGATCCCAGTTTCCGATTGATAGCATAAACTGACATTTCGTACAAAATCTCAGAGGCAAGATCGGCCATGGCTCTCTCCAATGAAGCAAAACTGGAGCTGGCAATAGTAGTAACACCTTTAATATCATAATCTGCTGCACTGGCGTCATCTGGAACACCAAAAACAAAAATCTTACGATAAATAGCATCAGGATAGCGCTTCTTTAATAGCACCAGGCTCTGCTGTAACTGCTCTTTATCAGCATGCCGATGTTGTGCGATTCCTACGACTAACAACTGTTGCCGCCACGGATCAAGATCGAAAAGGGCAGATATCTCTGGATCGATAGGAACTGTACTAAAATCAAAACATAGGCGTCCATTGGGGTAGCCTTGCGGGTTGAAAAACAGATGGTCGGCTGACGTACCGGGAGACACGTCCAATAGGCGCACTTCCGAAGCAGACCTCAAGCGATCAAGATACTGCTGAAAAGTGAAATCCTTAATTTGACCAACAGGCAATACGAGGCCTCGTATATATGACGCGGCCACGTAACTATACGGATCCATGCTGTCCAACAATCGCACGCCGGAGGATAAAAGCCTTAGTCAACTTGGAGATCTTAGTATGAGACCCGCCACGGATGGTCGCAAGTTTGCCTTCGATCCGTTTCTGAAGGAAGAATATCGATACAAACTGGATCCCAAACGGCCGATATGTCGGTTCTATGCTATTTCTAGCTGTCCAAGAGGCCGGTATTGTCCAGACAGGCATGCGTTGCCAGCATATTCAAACAAAGTCGTTTGCCGGCATTGGCTCAAGGGACTCTGTAAAAAGGGAGACCATTGCGAATTTCTACACGAGTACAATATTAGAAAGCTACCGGAGTGCTCAACTTACGTCAAGACCGGTAGCTGCCCATTAATTCCAGACTGTCCCTATGCGCACGTCGATCCAGAGAGTAAAGTTCCCCTTTGTACAGCTTATGAGCGAGGCTTCTGCAGGCAGGGCCCCACCTGTCAAAAGCGGCACCTACTGCGAGTGATGTGCCCCAATTATTTAACAGGATTCTGTCCTGATGGACCGTTGTGTCAACTTGGCCATCCCCGTTTTGTCCAGATTGACGACACCATGCGAATCGCATTGGATCCGGCTGCAAAACCGCAGTGGCAAATCGAGCGTGAAGCTCAGACCTCAACTGTTGCTACAAGTTTGTAAATTTTTATAATATTATATATGCTTAAACTCTTATGTGCCTAGCATTATGCTCCTCCTCTGATGTCAAAACAGTCTCAATTTCTTCATCACCAATGAGCATTACAATTTGACATACCCGGACAAACTTGTCACGTAGATTGTAATCAGATTCTGAGATCACAGAAAGGACGCGGCTGATGTCGCGGTCCAGTGCAATGGCACCCATTTCGTTGACTTTTTTATCAAGTAGCCAGATGTACTTTTCTAGAAGTCGAGCCGTGAAGCCAGCAGACAGGGATACCATCTTTTTGTATACTGAAGGATTCAACTGCTTTTGCAGAGGTTCAAATGTTTTTCTCCAAAGGCCCTCAAACACAACTGCTTTGTTGGACTCGTTATCAGTAGGGGAAAGCATATAACTGCCTTTGAAAGCGGTGGTGCAAGCAGTACGGATTTGAGTCGAGAGTTGAGCGGCAAAATATGTTTGACACCCACTGTCGAGCATATCCTGCGCTTTGCTCGTCACACCATCTACGAGAGCTTGAGCTTCTGCAACCTGATCAAGATTGAAGATAGACCGCACTATCTTTGCAATGTACTCGCTGGAGATAATAAGATCGTTGAGATAAATCAAGAATGGGCTCTGTGTGTCACTAGACAACCGTGATGGCGCAGAATCACGAATCTTTCGCTGAATAGTTCCCATGTAGTCGCCTTCTAGAACACGTCTAAAGGACGGCAAAGAGCTCTGAATAATTTTTTTGTCTCCAGCATCTTCAATCTGTTCTAGAAGTGTACGCAAAACGTACATCACGTCGTCAATCATTGTTGATACAAGAGGAGCTTCATCATGATACTCTGATCCAGCCGGCGGTAGTTCGTCAAGGTCGACTGCCTTTTCAACTGATCGTCTAAAGACGAAAAGAGCAAGAACGTCGAACGCAGGGCGTAGTTGCCTGTCGATCTTTTCCTCCAGCTCGCTTTGATACATGGATTTAAGTGCCTCAGGCCATCTCTCCTCAATGAAGCTTCTGTACAATGCCCATCTGTTGAGCATTGTGGTGAGTTCAGCTAGTATTTGCGACGCTGTAGCCAAATCAGCCGTCTCGAATGACTCTGGTTGATCTTGATTGGTCTGGATCAAATGGGCAGCGAGGGCGGGGTAGCTGTAAGACTTGACTTCGGATAAAACACGATCCAGCCGACGTTCATCCCACCAAGTATCGATGATGAGACCACTCTGAGTATCAATTTCAATTTGGACTTTTTCTACAATCTGGGTCATGGCGGAGCCTTTGGTATAATGTCTCTCAATGAGAGGGGCATGCTGAGCTAGAATGACGGCAACGTTTTCGAACAATCGAGCGAATACTAAGCCATAAAATTTCGGGTTAGTGTCTGGCGTTGATCCTGGGTCATGAGAGCTCAAGAGCAGAAGAGATCGGCTTTGACCCGAAATGACCTCAGAAATAAACCATGAGTACCTGCTCAGTCCATCTTGATCGTAGCCAATTAAAGGGAACAACTTCAAGTAACGAGTGACTTGGTCCATTTTACGTTCTGCCGCAGCTTTTTTGAACTCCCGGGCAAAAAGTGCGCACATGTCTTGAGCCGCAGAATTCAAGGATACCATTGGCGCTTCTGGCAGTTCGATTGTGGGCGTCATTTTGGCAGCAAATGAACCCGTACGCACACTTTCTGGTAAATCAAATGCCATACGTGCTGCGGACGCCGCTCTTTCCCAATCCCGCTGGTCCATCGCGGCATACATACTTACAATAGCCTGTTTGAGGGCCATCGTCTGGTCGACCATTGTGCGAGCCTGCAGAGCCCGATTGTAGAGTAACAAAACAGAATTTACACGATTTGAAACAGATTCCGACAGATAGGCAGCTGTTTCTGCTGCAGTTCCGAGCTCCGCTGCGGTATCCAAGCTTGACGACAAGCGAGCCCGAGCCCGCTGCACATCAGCCAGCTTATCCTCGGCCTTTGCAGATGTGTTGAGTATTTTCAATGTATCTGTGACTTCATCCTGCTCCATGCGAAGCTTTGCCAGCAGCTCTTCAAGTGCCGCTCTTGAAGCACAGCTAGCCGCGACTGACATTAGCGAGGTTACTAAGTTGGAGACGGTACGATGTTTGATATTTCTTTGTTTTCACAACATAAAACAATATAGATAAATGATAAAGACGGCTACGACTACACCGACAAATCCAGCTAATTAATACAAAATCCAAGCCTGTCGTAACAGCAAATTTGTCAGACCGAACATTTTGGGAAAAAATATATCATGTCTATCCTAGTACTTATCTCTGGTTCTGGCTCGAATTTGCAAGCTTTAATCGACGCCAAACTGCCAATCAAGCACGTGGTTTCAAGCTCACCAACTGCGTACGGTCTTGAGCGTGCTCAAAAGGCAGGAATTCCCACATCTGTCCACAGCCTCCAGACGTACTATGGCGATCTACCCAAAACAGCCAAAGGGGAGCGTAAAGCAGCTCGTTCGCAATTCAATAAAGATCTATCCACGAAGGTTCTTGAGTTAAAGCCGAGTCTGGTTGTTTGTGCAGGGTGGATGCTCATTTTGGCCCCGTCCTTCCTCGACCCGTTGGCTAAGGCTAATGTTTCCATCATCAACCTCCATCCTGCTCTCCCCGGTGCGTTCCCTGGTATCAACGCTATTGATAGAGCCTGGGAAGCAGGTCAAAAGGGCGAACTTTCCAAGGGTGGTGTCATGATCCACTATGTGATCGCCGCAGTGGATGAGGGTAAGCCCCTGGTAGTCAAGGAGATTGATTTGCGAAAAGACGAGACTCTGGACGAGTACACAGCACGTGTGCATCAAATTGAACATATTGCCATTGTGGAAGGGACTCGCAAGGCGCTGGAAGCAGCAACTAATTAATGAAGTTTAGAATTTATCTATTTTCATGTCTAGGCGGCAACCTCGTCAACGACCATAGCATCTTGGGGTTCAGGGTCGAAGAAAGGAGTTGTGCCCCGCACGAACTTGTAGTTTCTTGATTTGACGGACTTTGGATTGGGCATGCGGAAGCCGCGTTGCAAACGGGCGGGCTCGCCGATTTCCATAACACAAACATCGACATTAGAACCAGAGCCAAGATCGTTAAAAATACCAGCCTCAATAGCCTCAGCGCACAGCGCCAATGCCTCCTCCTTGGTGAGGCTGTCGTGCCATTTTGATTCCAAAACGGCCAGCGCAGCTAGCGAACCAGAGCCGAGCGACATGTAGGGACCAACATCGGTGGAACCGTGAGCGTGAATGGAAAACAAATGGGCGCCAGTAGGGTCTGTACCTGCCAAGATAAGATGAGCGCCAATATGGCCCTGGTATTTGTATAGGTGCTGCTTGAGGTGAGTGAGCGCGGTCACTACCCGAGGAGCTCTACCGGTCCAAAGAGAGTGCAATTCCAGATTGGAGCTCTCGAGCTCGGTAACTTTGTCGTTATCTGCGGCGGTTCCGGCACCGGCACACCAAATAGTTGGCGCTAGGCGATGCAGTTTGGCGCAATTTTTATCCGCCACAATCATGCCGGCGGTGGCGCGGGTGTCGGCAGCAATGATTACACCCTTGTCAAACTTACAGCCGACAATTGTTGTTCCCGTGGACGTGAACTTCTGAGTAGCAACGCCTTTAGCAGCCAAGTGCTGGTTGCGTTTATAGTGATCGAAACTGAGGCCAGCCATAATGTTAGCGAGACGGACTGGTTGATTATTAACCGCACTGGGATTAAAGGCAGATTTGGTCGCAGGGGGGTTTTCCTATAAGCTTGTGATTTAGTGATAGAATCAGCAGGTATGTATGTGTATTCAATTTTTTTGTTGCTCGGCCATCTATAAGGAAATATCCTTAAAGTATGCATTGCTCATCCTGCATTAATCGCATACATTTCGGACTCGTCTGACTAGCCTCTGACTATCCTCGACATTACCGAAGCTGGAGCTTTAGATCAGCTACCGAAGCGCGCTGCAGTTTTGAAAGACCGTACAGTGGAATCTCGGAGAAAATACGGCCATTCGACTCGAACGACAGCCAAATAGTTACACTTTTGCTAGTGCCTGTAAATTGGACTGATACCAGTTAAATAAAAACCTGCCCATTCACTAGAATCGGCAACACGTGTGTTCGCTAACCAATACATCAATCGCCTTATTTAATGTCTCACTTTACACCAATTCTGCATTCGTGGTGATTTGAACCCTGCTTTTTCCAAATGCCCCCGCGCAAAACCCGTGTACCTACCCGCCCCGCTCAGTTGGGATCGATGCATGCATAATTGGGGCCCCACGAGAGAGCTTATCTGGGATCCCCCGGATTGTGTCATCCTCAAACCTACCAGATCCATGCCTCTCAGACTAAACGATCTTAACCGCAACGTTGTTGACGCCCAATACGCTGTCCGAGGTGCTCTAGCGCTCCGGGCTGAGCAGCTCCGCGAGCAGCTCCACAAAGACCCAGGTTCTTTACCGTTCAAGTACGTTATTAACGCCAATATCGGAAACCCCCAACAGCTGGATCAGGCTCCTATCACCTTCTACCGTCAAGTCCTATCGCTTGTACAGTATCCAAAGCTTATTGAGTCTCCTCCTTCTTATATCAAGCCCGATGCTGTTCGCCGCGCCAAGTTCTTGTTAGATCACATCGGTTCTGTTGGCGCCTACTCCGCATCAAACGGTGTTGATGTTATTCGCGAAAGCGTGGCCCGCTTCATTGAGGAACGCGATGGCTACCCTGCGGATCCTGACTGCATCTACCTCACTGCTGGCGCCTCCACGGGTGTTGCGAATCTTATCCGTCTTGTTGCCCGCCCCGGTAACGGCGTCTTGATCCCAATCCCCCAGTATCCCTTGTACTCTGCTTCGCTGTCTCTTGAGGGTGCCGTGGCTATCCATTATCATCTAAGTGAAAAAGACAACTGGACTCTTCACCACGATTATTTGGAGAGACGCATAAATGAGGCGGCAGCCGAGGGTATCAAGCCCACCATGCTTTGTGTCATTAATCCCGGTAACCCCACAGGCTCTGTGATGCCAGATGAGGATATTGAGAATATTTTGAAAATTGCTCACGAACATGATCTTGTTGTGTTGGCTGATGAGGTTTACCAGGCTAACATTTTCGAGGGCAAGTTCCACTCATTCAAGAAGATTCGCCAGAGACTTGTTTCACAAGATCCTAAATACAATTCTATTCAGCTGGCTTCTGTTCATTCCACTTCCAAGGGTTATATTGGAGAGTGTGGTCAGCGCGGCGGTTACCTTGAACTTGTTGGCTTCCACCAGGATGTTTTGGATCAGATCTACAAGATGGCCAGTATCTCTCTGTGCCCTGTAGTCAGTGGTCAGGTTCTCACTGAGCTCATGGTGAACCCACCCAAGGAGGGTGACGAATCTTTCGACGAGTTCACCAAGGAGACTTCGCACATACGCGAGACGCTCCGCGAACGTGCCCAGCACTTATACGAAGCATTCAAAGGTGTTGAGGGTGTCAGTTGCTATCCTCCCCAAGGTGCTATGTACCTCTATCCCTTCATCACCCTGCCAGCTCGTGCTGTCGAGGAAGCTGCCAAGCGGGGTATGCAACCCGATGAGATGTACTGCATGGACCTGTTGAACGAGACAGGTATTTGTGTTATTCCCGGATCTGGTTTCGGTCAGGAAAAGGACACCTTCCATTTCCGTACCACGTTCCTTGCTCCAGGTGGTGATATTATCAGCGATCAGTTTGTTGCCTTCCACAAACGTTTTATTGAGAAGTGGCACTAGTTAGGCCTTTACGTTTTTGTAGACAATTTTTTAGCACAAAAAGGATTCGTAAAAGTACGTTACAAATGATCTATATAGCTTGCCTTGTTCCAGGTAAGTAAAGCAGTCATATGTGTGAAGTTTACAAGCGCGAAATGACCTGCTCAGTGAAGTGCTTGGTAGAAGCACTACCGCGGAGATCGCGAGTGATGTTCTCAGGACCAGAGGCAAGAGTGGTCAAAACAGCGTTCTCGATCTTATCAGCATGAGAGCTGAGACCCATGTGCTGCAGCATCATAACAGAAGACAGCAAAAGGGCGGTAGGGTTGGCGACGCCCTTGCCAGCAATATCGGGGGCAGAGCCGTGGACGGCCTCGAAAATGGAGGTCTCGACACCCATGTTACCGGAAGGAGTCAAGCCAAGACCACCAATAAGACCAGAGCAGAGATCGGACATGATGTCACCGTAAAGGTTGGGCATGACCATAACGTACTCCTGGTAAGGGCTGGGGTCGGTAACCATCTTGAGACAAGTGTTGTCAATAAGCTCGGTGTGGACGGAAATGTCAGGGTAGTCCTTGGCGACGGCGAGAGCAGCCTCCAAGAACAAACCGTCACCAAGCTTCATAACGGTAGCCTTGTGGACAACAAGAACCTTGCTCTTGCCGGTGTTGCGAGCATGCTCAAAGGCGTAACGGCAAACGCGCTCCGAGGCACCACGGGTGATGAGCTTGATGGACTGGACAACGCCAGGAACCACGGTGTGCTCAATACCAGAGTACTCACCCTCGGTGTTCTCACGAATCAAAACGGTGTCGACGTTGTCGTAAGGAGTTTTGTAGCCCTTGATAGATTTGCACGGACGGACATTAGCAAACAGGTTGAAAGTGCGGCGCAGCGTCAAATTGAGAGAGACGTGGCCCTTGCCAACAGGAGTAGCCAGGGGACCCTTGAGAGCAATCTTGTGCTTGTTGATAGCCTCAATAGTCTCGGAGGGAATAGAGGTCTTGCCATTAATGAGACGGGGAGTGACATCAACAGGCAGCCAGTCAATAGGTACCTTGGCGGCTCTGTAAATCTCCTTGACAGCCTCCGAGATCTCGGGGCCGATGCCGTCACCCTCGATGATGGGAACCGTGTAATGGCCCTTATCATTTTTCTGGCCAGTGAAGGAAGCAACCTTGGTAGCGTAAGAGCGGCGCGCGACAGCGGCAGCACGAGCAATTTGTCCACGAGCAAGCATTATCGTGAGGATGTTAACTGGGAATAAAAAGACACTTAAGAAAAATATTTGGGAAAATGATCCTGGGTTAGGGGTGTCGTTTTCCCGATCCGCCGGTAGCCAGCCAAAAAAAAAAACGTTGGGTTTCAGGGAAAGGGCAGGCAACTGGTAAGGCATCAGCGCGCCAAACCGACACTAGACTAGGTTTAAGAAGAATTTGATTGGCTGGTAAATAAAATGTGTATGCTAGCGAGTGCTAGTAGCGCTCAAACTGTAGTGAAAAGCATCCAGACACCACGAAGGTACTGAACAATCTCGTCACCTCCCAATTTGCTTTCTCCGTAAACACGGTCAACGAAAGAGATAGGCACTTCGCCAATTGTGAATCCCAGAGAGCGGGCACGAACCATCATTTCCATCTGGAAGACGTAGCCCTTGGACTGAGTAACTGAAATGATCTTTTGCAGAACCTCTTTCTTGTAAAGACGGAAACTGCCTGTAAGATCACTGACGTGGGGACGAAGGAGGGTGGATGCCAAAAAGTTCGCACCACGCGAAACCAGTTTACGTTTCAAATCCCAACCGTACACACCGCCGTTGCCCTTGTAACGGGTACCGGTGACAATATCGAAACTCTCAGTCTTTTGTTTGGCAATAAACTCGGGAATTGCCTCGGGGTGGTGGCTGAAATCCGCATCCATAATAATAACAAAATCACCGGTTACAGACTCAAGACCGTGCACATAAGCAGTACCCAAGCCAAGCTTGCCTGTGCGGGGACGAAGAATAATGTGTTCCTTGCCATAGACACGTACAAGCTTTTTGGCAACGTCCAGGGTTCCATCGGGGCTGGCGTCGTCAACAATAATGACTTCCCACTCAAGCTTGTTCTCCTCGAACATCTTGGCCAGCATCCAAACAAGAATTGGCAGGTTCTGCCGCTCGTTGTACGTTGGTAAAATAACAGAGTATTTGGACATTCGTGGCAGGTTGGTCGGTTTTTTGTCAGCGTTTCGCGTCGTTGTCCTGCCTGTGTCAGCATTTCTAGTCATGTCCTCTACACAGCGTGGGTTGAGGACTTTACTGGGCGAAAATGCAGTAAAGCGTATACGTACCTCGAAGGTGTTGTTGGTAGGTGCTGGTGGAATTGGATGCGAGCTAATCAAGGAACTCGTAGTAGCCGGATTCGGGGAAATCCATCTTGTGGACTTGGACACAATTGATCTCAGCAATCTGAATCGGCAATTTCTGTTCAGCCAGCAACACATTAAAAAACCTAAAGCGCTTGTTGCGAGAGATGTGGCCAAGGAGTTCAATCCCAATGTGAATATCGTGGCTTACCAGGACAATATTATGGATGCCAAGTTCTCTGTCAAATGGTTTGAATCGTTCGATCTGGTATTTAATGCCCTGGATAATGCCCAGGCCCGGCAGCATGTCAATAAAATGTGTGTAGCCACAAACACACCCCTGTTTGATTGCGGAACTGCCGGCTTCCTCGGTCAATGCCAAGTTATTATTCCTGGTAAAACAGAGTGTTACGATTGTCGCGAACATCCTGCTCCAAAGTCCTTTGCTGTTTGTACCATTCGAAGTACACCTTCGTTGCCCATTCATTCTATTGTGTGGGCTAAAAGTTTTTTGTTTAGCTTACTTTTTGGACCCCCAGCCGCCGAGAGTCAATTCGACGAAACAGAAACAGATGATAACCGTGAAGAGCTTGAAAAACTCCGTAAGGAACAGAACGAGCTTGGAGATTTACGTGAAAATTTAACTAGTCCTGATTTTATGAACAAACTTGTGCATAAGATCTTTATGGAGGATATCAAACGTCTTCTATCGATGGATGCCATGTGGGAGAATAGACGAGCCCCCGTGCCACTGGAGGTTCCTGAATACTCCTCCAAAGATGGTCAGACTTTGGCCTCACAAGATCAAAGGGTGTGGACAACCGCTGAGAGTCTCTCGGTGTTAGCTGATAGCGTGGAGCGTCTCGTGTCTCGCCTAGAGGCGGAAAAAGAGATTTCGTTCGATAAAGACGATGAGGATACTTTGGACTTTGTTGCCGCTGCTTCTAATCTTCGCTCGAGTATTTTCGGACTAGGGCTCAAATCCAAGTTTGCTGTTAAAGAGATCGCTGGTAATATCATCCCTGCCATTGCCACGACCAATGCAATTGTTTCCGGACTAGGCGTCATTGAAGCAATGAAATATCTGGCTGGTCTTGACGCTGATTTGAGGTCTGTCAACATTTGGCGGTCTGCCGATCGAGTGTTTACGAGCGAGAAGCCAGCAGCACCAAACCCCGAGTGTTTGGTGAGCGGAGTAGCAAGGACTACAATGACTGCCCCAGCTGATTTCACGATTAACCAGCTCATTGAGGATATTCTTAAGCTCAAGCTTGGTTATTCTGAGGTGAGCATTTTGAGCGATCGACTGCTTGCAGATCCAGACTATGACGACAACCTTGAAAAAACCCTCCAAGAGCTCAGTCTACATGATAAGTTTGTCACTGTGATCGATGACGATGATGAACGAGTAAATTTAGAGATTTACATTACAGAAGGCCCTGTCAATATTGAACAAGTGGAGATCCCCCTGCGTCCAAACCAGTCAGAAGCTGATTCTGAGCTATTAGACCCCGCAGACTCAATACCACCAATTTCCTCAAAGCGAACCGCTCAGGATGCTGGTCTTCCTGGGACTACAAGTAGCGCACCAGGTCAAACATTTGTTGACCTTACAGAGCAAGATGATGCTATCGATCTAACGTAGTATACAGAACTAGTAAATAATGACTCCAACAAACCACATGGGTAGCCAAATCTGCGTGATGACCTGCCAAGTCCACACGCTGAGCACTTTGTGTGCGTAGATTAAAGAGTCGATGAGGTCTAATAGAGGGATATCCATCACCCAAGCAGCAATCCCGAGAACAGTCACGGGGCATGTCAATAAAATAATCAGCGACCTAGCGAACTTGACCCGCCTCAACCATGCAAGAGGGATGGTTATAAAGCCCAGGCCGAACGCCAGACTGAAGTTGAACATGGATAATGTAGTCAGAGAGAATCCATACAACGTGAGAGCCGTACCATAAATCGCCTGCTTGGTATCGTTTCCAAGTAATTTGCGAGCAGATATACAACCACTCGTTGCAGCCGCAAAGAGACCGAGTCTCCAGGTAGTGCTAGAAATAGCGTTAACAAAGAAAGAAGACAACATAAGGGAAGCCAGACCAACGGCACCCAGAGTCATCGACGTCAAGCCAATTGTTTCGCGGGAAAAGGATCGTCTTTTGGACGCAAAAATGTGGATAGCCATGATAAGGAACGAGTTGGAAACAAGCATAGCACAAGGAAGATAAGTGCCAATACTCACAAAAAAGCGGGGCCCCAAAAGCAAATAAAAGAAAAATGACTGATGGAAATGCTCCAACAGGTTGTTGATTGAGCGCACGACAGATTCGACAAGTCGGCCAAAAGTTGTGATATCATGCCCTGTCTCGCCGTCGCTGCCAACTGCCCGTAACGTGATAGCATCGATGCGCCAACCACTGAACATTTCACACCCAGCACCAGGTTTGATACCAGCGACGATTTGGCGGAAAATACCAGCCGCCATAGTCTGCAACCGTTGTCCATACAAGTGATAACTCGGGCCAGATCCGGGGAGGTCGCACCGAACATACTCAGCGTCAGCGACTTTCACCAGGGTATTAATGAGATCTAAATTGGGTAATTGACCATTAAGCCCGTCGTAATATACCTCCACATGATCAAAACGTTCCGATGTACTTGCGAAATCTAGCACAACGGCACCCTCTACCGAACCTGCGGTATACTTCAGGCTAGTGTGATATGCACCAACCCAAGCACGTAAGGCACTGTGGGGGTTCGAAGGAACAACAAAGATCAGATTTTTATGCCAAATGGACCATTTTTTGAGGTATCTTGCCAGCGACACCAAAAGAGCCATCCCACCGTCATTGAATTCGCCATCCATATTGGTCCAAGGAGCCACGAGCACGATTGCTTCATTATGCGAGCCACGGGGAGCATGCAGTATCGAGTAAACATTCTGGCTGCCCTCGGTCGTAGACGTTTGCCAATCGTGGCTGGCGGATTTCAACCCGATCTCGTCAAACAGCCCCATTAATCGAGCATTGCGTTCACGCTCCGGTAAGTCTTTGAAATCACGAATCTCGCTCCTAAATCCTCGGACAATGTGCCACTCACTTTCGCGAAAGTGCGTGCTTGCCTGGTGAGGCAGCAGAGCGTTTTCAGAGACATAAGTACCGCGAAACTGGCCGGCCATAGGCAGCACACATAGCCATATTATTCCCGCCAAGCAAGAGAAAATTGACAGTCCGGGCAGAACCCTGATCACCTTAGGGCCCACATTCGACCTTTTGACTATACGAGCTGCGTTCTCTAAAAGACCCATGTCAGCAGCTGAGAAATCCAATTGTGAGATGGTAGGGGTTATGCCTGATGAATATTTTTTTGGCAAATGGCAAGCCAGCAGCAAGAAGTGAAAAGTCCAGATCAAAATCGGGCTTTTTTCCTAATTTTACCGTAGATTAACGCGTTTTTAGCCTGCGCCGTGTGGTTTAAAAAAATTTTGCTCCGCAGATCAGATCATTATCTTGCACACCTTGCGTGAAATTCGCATATCCGTCATCATCTTTTATGAAAATCCGTGGCTTGGCTCAGGCCAGCTTAGATTTGCTGGAGCCCCAGATAGCTGAAAATGCCAGGGATGAGACGCTAGCAGTGTTCACAACACTTCGGTACGACCGAAGATTGACAGAACTCACTCGAAGAATACCTATTGCAATGGAGGACTCTTACAACGATACGTTCTTCCTTGCTCGGTTGCATTACCAGCGTCTGAAGTACAGCTCGCAGTTATTTCAGTGGCCCGAGCTCAAATATCATCAATTTTGCAATGCCTTGGACGAAGCCGTGGCCGACTTCAAAGAGAGCACCGCCCGTATCCGGGTAGAGTACAATGCTCAGGGAGTGCTTCGGACGGTTGTTTCGCCAGTTCCCCAAAGAGACAACCTGTTTAGCGGGTTGTCTGATACACCTGTTGAGACTGAGTCGCAGGACCCTATATTCGATGCTGTTCTGGACACCGAACAGACCCCTACATCACTGTTCTCTTTCATCAAAACCAACAAACGGGCATTTTATGATGAAGCACGCGCTCGTCATAATATCGCCTTGGGCGCTACCAAAGAAGTGCTTCTCTTTAACGAAAAGGATGAAATCACTGAAGGATCTATTAGCTCTGTTGCTGTTCTTATCGATGGCCAGTGGGTCACGCCCCCTGCTGAGGAAACCATGAACGGTGTCCTTCGTAGCTTCTTGATCAATTTGGGCTTCGTTAAAGAAGGCCCCATTCACAAATCACTCGTCAAGCCAGGCGTCAATGTGCTCCTATTCAACGGTGTTATTGGCGTTGTCAAGGGCATCGTCAAAGCGCCTTGATCTACTTTCATATGTTTCTTTTTATTTCGGCGTCGCGCACTGTACAGTCTAGTCTAACTTTTTTTTCAAGTAAATATAAAACAATAAAGTCATGAATTCTTTATCCCGTTCCGTGGTCGGCAAGAAGTTGTGCAGCCATCTTGGCATCCAGGACCTCATTACGAACAGTCGTCTTTGTGCGAGAGTCCTTAGCCCGAGTCGAGCGGTCACTCCAGCTATCTCCACCACGTGCCTGGGATGGTACAATTGGCGCCGTACGAACACTACCGGGGTCCCGTCCGAGTTTATGGAGACCTCCTTCTGGATCGGCAGCGCGAACGTTGCGTTTGATTGATTCCCACGAACTCAGCAGCCTTCGCTCGACATCAATGATCCGAATTGCATATTCCTGGACAGCATTCAAGATGTCTGACTCTAGGCGGACAAGAACTTGCTTTTTCTCGGCCACAAGATTGTTGGTGATTCGACGGCATGTGCTGGTGATTCGTTTCTCGAGCTGAGTGGCGTCTTCCAACTGCGAAATAGCCTCTTCAACTTTGGCCGCTGAAATGGCAGTTGCTCCTTTAAGTTTGGTTACATTTTGATGCTTTGTTCGTGATTGGGCCTGTGCCTTTAGTAGATCCCTCATCACAAAGTGTCGATTCGTCAGTGTCTCTTTGACAATATACGCATCATGGGATACAATCTCGAGGGCATCTGCGTATAGTGCATCCCCCATCGTGGCTTTGACGGCTTCCATGTCACCAGTCAAAACAGTCGTTTTGCCTAACTTGCCCCAGAGTGGTGTAAGATCTCGCTGAAAGGGCGTATTACCGAAGTTCTCAAGCTGCGCACCATACTCTTGCAGGCTGCTTGCCAACTCCCTTCGAGCCTTAGACACCTTTTTCATTTTGACGACACCCTCCTGAGCATATTGATAAACCAGTTTGGCTACTGGACGGAAATCTCGCAGCTCCTCCACCTCGTCCTCCGGCGGCTGCATTTGTTTGATCAGTTTGCGGGCCAGGCCTGTAGATGGCACACTGACTTTGACCACTGGTGTATAACCGAACGAGGACTCGACAAAATATAGAAACTCCTCATCGCGAGCCAAAAGAGGGCTCATAGTCACTCGATCGAACCACCGTTGGAAGTTCGCTTTCAGCCTGGTGAGATTCTCCTCACTAGACTGCGGGAACGAGGTTCGAGCAGGTGGCAAAGATGGCAAAAAGCATTCGGGATTCGCATTAGCCAGATGATTGGCGAATCGCCTTAGCTCACTATAAGTCCGGCGAACATCCTTGAATGCTCGGGCCCTGAATCTCGGTAACGAGGTCGAAACATCAAACCATACAATTGGGTCATTCTTATTGAGCTCAATGTTCGTTACCTTGATATTAAACCGGTATTGTGTTCGTTTTGAGGCGCCCGCGCCTTCTCTGGTTGCCTTGGTCGCCCCGGTGGCCACAGTTTTTACATCGGTATTCCCCTGAGCATTGGCCCCAGAGCTCGAGCTCTGATCCAACGAATGATTGTTCCAAGCGACTCCAGAACTAGCTGGTGCCGTTTCTGCCGCCCAAATCGCACCATTGGGCGAGTTGTCCTCAAGGTCCCCAAACGCGGCTAGAGGGTCCATTGTCAACAGGCTAAGTCAGCGTCAGGTTTGGCCTACAAAGGTATTTACTAGCGGATAGAAAAGTTATCAACCAAAGTCTGGTAGCGAACGCCTCTGTATGGGCGTTCCTGGAACAACTGATTTTGGATAGATAGCCCGGAAATCGCCAACTTGCTGGGGACCCGGCCAATGGCCCTATAGGAGACCGTAGCATATAGCGGCTGCACGGGCTCGTCTTCGCTGCTAGCTTGGCCTCTGAAGGTAGCGTTCCATCCAACGGGAGTTTTAGCCCCAAAAGACCAGCATGCTTTTTTAGGCGTAGATGTAGCCAAATCGCCTGTCGTCAGGCGCAGCTCTTTAATATTCCGTGTGGACTGAGGGAAATTTACAACCACCTGCAATCCCTGAATATGCTCAACGGTGGTATCCATGCTTGTAGATACCCGGACCTCAAACTCGTTCCTATCAGCGCCCACATTTCTCAATAACTCAGCATTAACTAGTCCAGGGTCCGAAATATCCAGAGAGTACTCGGCAATCATAGAGGGGCCATCTGGAGGGGTGAAACTGATGTTTCCTCTCGACTCCCATTGTGTGCTGTCCACTGAAGAATGAAATGCAATTGATGTGAATAAAGCGTTCGGGCCCGACGCTCTGCCCAGCTGAAGACTGACCCGGGGGTCGCCAGTTAATAAACAGTTTATCTTGACCTGTCCGCGAACGCGGCAGACCAGTGGACGCGACGAAATCGTTGCTGTGGTTGAATAATATGCCGATCCAGTCATTGCTTTTGGTTGCTTGCGTTTATTCTTTGTTTGACTGGAAACAACAACGTGCAGTGACTCAACTAGATCAATAAAGATTTGGTTCTTAGTGTGTGTGATGCCCTGTCTACGCCAGCGTAGATTCCAAGCAGGCGCTGTCTGTCTAGAGGAAGACCAAAGAGAGTCTAATAAGCTTTTTGTTGGAACCAGGCCTTTAAGAATGTCTGGCTCTGTAATGCGTGGTTGGCCCGCATCCACCATCTCATACAAAAGCTGCATGATTGTAGATGCATTAGATTCTATCAACTGCGCAGTGAGTTTGCCATCGAAATAGGCCTCCAGACATCTTATAAGCTGATCGACGAAGGCTTCCACAGCCATTGGTTGTACCAACGTGCTGCAAGGAACGACAAAATCTAGAGTGCCGTAGCGGTGTCGGAACGCAAGTTGCGAAGGTGTGAGCTCTACAAGAGATCCTGTTGGCTTTTTCAAAACCAGCGATACAACCTCGTCAACCGACGGGGCCGGCAGGCTTGAAAAATTCAACAAGGATCTCCCGGTCTGATCAAAGACGTAAATGGACTCCATGACAAAGCCTTGGAAGCTTCCCACACCAAGAAAAATAGACTTTTTATATATAAAAACTCACTAATTTTTATGCATCTAGCAATTCTATGCAGAGACTTCACCGACCTTAGTGAAAAGATCGAATGAGCCTGTACCGCCCTGCATAGGGCGGCCAACAACAATACGAGCTGAGGGGTTTTCCAGGCTGTCAACATTACCATCAAGTACCGTCTTGGTAAGGAACTGACAAGTAGATTCGAAACTCATCTTCTGGAAGGGCGAGACACTAGAGTCCAGGCCTTGACGACTGAAAGGCAGATAAGTACCCTCACGTGTCATAGTGTCTGCAATCAAGCCCAAGTGTCGAGGGTTGACTGCAATGGAGTAGGTTCGGAAAACGTTAGACACTTCCCGAACAATAGTAGCGCGAGCAGCCTCAACACCATACGTGTGGAGCACAGCACTGACGTCGTTGGACATAATTCCATTGACATCGATAAATAGGTCTTCCAGCCACATGGCACCAAAGTTGACACCCTCGGTGACGAGAACACGGCCTGCGTCATGCTTGGAAGGACGCAAGCACCGCTCGATCTTGGGGACCTCGCGAACAACAACCTTGCGGCACACATCCTCTAGCAAGTTAACCATCAGCAGCTTCTTGGTACTGGCAGGGTACTCAACAACATACTCACACCATTCTCCCATCTCATCGTCAAAGTTGAACTTGGTGACAGTGCGGTGCATCTGAATGACTGCATCCTGGCGTTGTTTGGCTGTAAGACTAAGTTCTGTGGGCTTCTTAACAATAGGCTCGCTATCGACCTCCATGGCATCACCTTCGTCCTCTTCAGATTCAGACTCGGTTTCGACTTCATCCAGGTCCTCATCTTCGGACTCTGAATCCTCTACTGGGGATTCATTTTCTTCCTCTTCCTCACGAATGTGAGCCTTTGCACTGTCCTCATCAGCGTCCTCAGCATCAGAGTCGATATCTTCCTCACCACTTTCAAGAGCCTCGTCATCAATAAGATTCTCGCTGGTCTTCTTCTTGGTGGCAGTAGAAGCAGTGTCAGTCTTCTTCACTGATTTTCCAACGACAGTACTGCTGTCGCTCTTCTTTTGTTTACGAAGCTCCTTAACAACCGCGTCCTCGAAACTCATCAAAAATTTGTTGCTCAGGACAGTCTCGACCTCACGCTGAGATACATCATACTCGGTCTCGTACTCTTCACGTGTATAAAGATTTACACGGATGGTGTACTGGCGAACGTACTGGCCATGCACATTAGGACCAGTACGCTCAGTGACCACGATGTTATCGATCAACTGGCTCAGCATCAAACGTGTGACATTCTTGCAGAAGAAGTCCGCATGTTCATCACTAACGTTGGCATTAATGGGCATAGTCATTTGAGGAGTCTTGATATGAGCAGAAGCTGTCATAATAATCTCACGCAAACGAGGAATACCTAGAGTGACATTAGCGGCACCGTGACCAGCGAAATGGAAAGTGTTTAAAGTCATCTGGGTTGAGGGCTCACCGATAGACTGTGAAGCAATGATACCAACACAATCACCAGGGTTGACCAAAGATTGTTGATACTTGAGTTGCATCAGAGAGCGGAACTTGCGATCGAACTTGGGAGCTTTGTGCTTTAACTCATTCTTGTGTGACTCTATGAACTCGTCAAGATCATCTTGGAAACGTTCAGAAACAGATCCTAGATATCTGCCAGGGTTGTACACTGACAGAACAGGGTCGTACTTTGCAGACTCGGGAGACTTCTTCAGATGCTTACGGGCCTTCTTGGAGTACGACATAGCATCTGTATCATTGAGCTCACCCAAGAATTCTGGAGAGTGACGGAGAAGCAAGGTCTCGTAGTTCTTGGAGCAAAACTCAAACTCTTTGAGGTACGACTCTTTGATGGGGTCAACGTTATCACCACCGTACATGAATTGAATGATGGAGCCATCAGAGTCGCGAACAGTGTTGTCGTATTCAGACTTGACACCCTCGAGCTGCTTGATAAGACAACGCTGAAGATAACCAGAACGAGAGGTTTTAACTGCGGTGTCAATAAGACCCTCGCGACCAGCCATACAATGGAAGTAGTACTCCTGGGGTTTGATACCTGAATAGAAACGCCCAGCAATGTAGCCACCAGCTCGCACATTAGTTTCAAATGGTTTGAAAGAGGGCAAAGTTTTACCACTAACCATAACAGGCACACGGCGGCCTTCGAGAGCCTGCTGGCCCAAGCCACACATGATCTGAGAAACATTAACGTTAGAACCCTTGGCACCTGAAAGAGCCATTGCCTGCATACTGTTGCGCGGGAACAACTTCTCAGAACCATTAGGAATACAGGTAGAAACGACCTTCGAGGTAACGGAATTAGCCTTCGATTGTGTTATAGCATCAAGAATACCCAGCTTCTCGTCATCACGCAAAATCTCCTCGAGGCGCTTTTTCAGCTCTGGATCATCCTCCTTGGTACCTTCAGGCATGTTTGTGACCTCAATAGCAGCCTGGAGACCAACTTCACGGGCTTGCTGGAGAAGATCGACACGCCATTTATCACCCTCCTCGGTCAGGCGCAAATCGTCCATACCACAGGTCAAAGCTTTATCCATATTGTACTTGGTGAATAAACGGCCAAGGACAGACAAGAGCAAACCTGCGTTATCCGGTCCATAAACTTCATAACAAGCATGGACCAAACCATAATCCGCAGCACCGTACTGAGACTTGTCTAGGATACCCGAAACCAATTCACCATCATGAACAATAACCAAGTTCTCCTCCGAATGAGGACCCCAGTATTCATTCTTGATCTTGTTCTTGGCTGTAAGATTGAGACCAGGGCGACCTGCGGGCTTGACATTGAGTAAGATTGTGGAAATGACCTGTTTACCGGTCCACATAGGACGGGGTTTTACAATCGCAGGAGGGAGCTGTAAAACACGATCAGAGGTAAACTGGCCATTTTCAGGGCGAATAGCACCATAGACGAGTTGCTGGTACTGTTCACGGGAGAAGAAAGTGTCCTTGTTTGTGAGCCAAACACCAGCAGAAATGTGATCTTGAATGAGACCACGCAAGGGCTTACCACTAGTGGGGGTCAAATACTGTGAGTTTGTATTTGCCAGCAACAGAGCCTCGGCTCGAGCAGCCTCATTTTGGGGGAAATGCATGTTCATCTCATCACCATCAAAGTCAGCGTTGTAGGCACCAGTGTTTGCATAGTGCAAACGCAATGTTTTCTCTTTAGGCAAGACACGAACATTATGACCCATCATAGAAGCCTTGTGGAGAGTAGGCTGACGGTTCATAAGAACAACATCATGGTTGCGAATATGACGATAAACTTTTTTGTTAACACCAAGAGGGTTTTTGAGAGTCGCCGATGGCGTCATGAGCTGGTTGGCCAAGGCAGTACGCTGTTCCACAGTCATAGTAGCCAACGAAACAAGTTTTCCGTCCTCGTTCTGAATCATCGTGGCACCAGGCCACACATCAGGACCGTTAATGACAGCTTGGCGCATTTCCTCATAATTATAGCTAGTGACAGGCTCCGGGTAAGTCAATTTAACGGCAAAAACTGGAGGAATACCAATTTCATTTGTCTCGATATTGGGATCAGGCGAAATAACAGAGCGGGCGGCATAGTTTACACGCTTTCCCATCATGTTTTTACGAAACAAGCCCTCCTTACGTTCGAGGGTCTGTTTAATACCCGGCAGAGCAAGAGCCTTAGCGGTAGAGTTTTGGTTTTTGGTGGAATCAATCACGCCATTGTATTCACCCTGCAACGTAACGAATTGATTCATGAGCTGAGTGAAAACGAGCTTTCTCTGCTCACCGCCCTGTTTGTTTAGGGTCATCAGATCAATCTCTTCACTAAGATCACGGATGCGAAGACATGAAGTGAGAATGTTTGACAAGAGCTCGTTCATGGGGTTGGCATGGACTTCCTCGCCCAATTGACTTGGCAGACGGAACCGAGTAGGAGGAACAACAACTTTATGAACAAAGAACATATCACCGGAAACGTATTCATGAGAATTAGGGTTACTCTGGAAGAGAGCCTTGCATAAATCTTGTTCACGACGGAAAAGTGCTCGCAAAATATTGCAAACTTCGTTACTGAGAATGAAGCGGTTACCGTTTCTTTCTTTTACTTTTGGAACTTCAGTGATCAGTTCCTCTTCTCCAGTGGGGATATCAGTCTCTGTCTTGTCCGAGAACACCATTGTTCGGCGTTCGAGGCCCTTGACACGGTTGTGATTAATTTGGCGATCACTAAGGGCAGTTTCGAAAATTTTCGTCAGGCCATCCTTGCGAAATTTGGGGCTGAACATACCGCAGTTATCACACTTTGCTCGCGAGAGTAGACGAGAATAAAACTGCTTGATGACATTCTTGCGCTCTTGGAAAATGTTAGGAGTCCGAACACCCGACTGAGGTGCCTGTCCGGAAGCAATGGCTGCAGCTATTGCCTGCTCGACGAATTTGTTCCGGGCCTCAATCAGCTTTTCATTGTCTTTTTCGTTGGGTAGCTCACCAGCTTCAGGGTCGACCATAGAAGCGTTCGACAAAGAAAGGTCCTCAATGTCTGAGGCCTCCAGAACGAGTCCGTATTGAAGAAGTTTCAGTTTGCACTCAAACAAATGGGTTTCTAAATATCGCAGACGGAATCTGTGACAATACAAACACGCTGAGCGCAAAAGGACGTACATGTGGCTGAAAAACATTGGGTTGTAGACGGGGATTGGCAGATCAATATGGCCAATGTGACCCATACAATAACGGTCGTCGAGACCACATGTACCGCAAAGGTTTTTTAGGAATGCGCCTAACGCCAAATCGTACAAGCCACCAGCAACCGGGTGTCCCAAATTGTCAAACACCTCTGGGTTTGTGATCTGCTTGACAGATAATTTACTGATTTCCGCAGAACTCAGGAAGCCAAAATCCACGGCAGTGATCTCAGATCCTACCGTTGATGCGATATCCATCTTGATGAACTATTAATTAGCTGATAATTCCCGAGATTGGACCAAAGCTTACAAGATGATTCCTTTTGGCTGTGAAAAAAAAAAAATCTCCCTTAGAAAAAGAAAATCTTTGACCCAGCGATTTCTAATCAGGCCTTTTACCTGACCTCGGGGTGCTTGGGTTAGGGAGAGAATCGGGCATCTCAAGGGGGATTATAGAGAGACTAAGTACCACATGTGAATTACCCCAAAAACAACGCTTTCGCATCGAAGATCACACCACAACTAGAACACATGGGCCGACACGTGCGACCTTATATCAAGAGTTCACACATCTGGCGGCGATATTTATCAACCGATCCGGACGCATTAATGATAAAATGGCCTCGGATTGAGGCCATCGACGAGGCTGTCCTGGAGAAGCCGACTACTGCTACTTTCCGGCCACCTCGCTCTCCAACTGGAGCAACTGTATCCAATTTGTTCAAGAAGCGGTTCACTATGGGATATTACGACTCGTTTGTGCAATGGATGCGACGGCATGACCTAGTTACTGCTGATCGAATGGTGCTCCAGTTCTCAGGTGTGCCTTTTGAGGGCCCGAATGCCGCAAGATATATCAATACCCCGGCGGGCAATGGAAATTACATCAACGAGTTGCAGGTTGAAGGGCCTGCAGTGGATGGTGCCCCTAACAAACATGTTGTTTTGATCCATGGCTATGGTGCGTGCAAAGGATTCTTTTACAAAAACATCAAGGCCCTCGGTACAGTCCCCGGATACACGCTACATGCACTTGATATGTTGGGATATGGACTGTCTTCGCGCCCCAAATTCCCGACAAAGCTCAGCAACAAGAGCGTTGAAGGTATCAAACAGGCAGAACAGTTTTTTGTTGAGTCTCTAGAGAGCTGGAGACAAAACAAAGGAATCGAGAACTTTGACATGATTGCACACTCGCTAGGGGCATATATCGGCTGTTCGTATGCCTATGAACACAGCGATCGAGTCAACAAAATTCTGTTGGCTTCTCCAGCTGGAGTCAATCGAAGTGCCTACTCTTTGCCAGGGGAACTGCTAGGTGATCCCGCCAATTTGACCGATCCAACTGGACCAACCTCACCTGCACCAGATTACTTCAAGTGGTTATGGGACAAGAAAGTTAGTCCCTTTGTGATTGTAAGAAAAACTGGCCCGTTAGGTCCAATGTTTACCTCCGGTTGGTCTTCTCGACGCTTCTTCAGGCTACCCCAGGAAGAACAAGAGGCCCTTCAACTCTATTCCTACGTCATGTTCAATGCTCCTGGGTCTGGAGAGTACGCATTGAGCTATTTATTAGCGGTGGGCGGTCTCGGACGCTGGCCGCTTGCTGAGCGAGTTCATCAGCTAAAGTGCCCCTCTCTTTGGGTCTATGGAGACCGAGACTGGATGGATAAGCGGGGTGGAATAATTGCTGCCCAGCGCATTCGGCAAAAGGGCGGGAGGGCTACCATTGTTGAGCTTGAAAACAGTGGGCATCACCTGTACTTGGACAATTACAAGGAGTTCAACAACCTCGCAGTACAGTTTGTAACAAAGTTCTGATATACAATGAAACTACATAGACTAAAAAATTAAAAAATCTACCACAAAGTGCTATTTAAGCGTCCTCGAATGCCTTTGCGAGACCCTCCTGGTTGTGCTCCTTGATCTTACGGCGCTGGACCTTCTGAGCACTGCTCACAAAGCCGTTCTGGGGGGTCCACTCCTCATCGAATGTGATGCCGGCAATCAGCTCAAAGCCCTTGAGGTCGTTCGCACGACCGGTCTGCTGAAGGGACTTGAGAACCTCTTTATAGATCTTGGGGTTGTTGACAACGTCCTCGTCGTACTTGAGCTTCTTCTTCTCGCAAAGCTCCTTGATGGTGACTGGGTTCGGGACAACAACAGCAACGGGGTGCACGTGTTGATCGTCAGCGAACAGACACAAGTTAAGGACATACTCGTCAGAACGATAGAGAGACTCCAGGCGCTCCAAGGCAAGGTACTCACCATTGGCGGTCTTAACGAGGTTCTTGCGGCGATCAACCAGTCGTAGGCAACCTCTATCAGTCCACTCGGCGATATCACCAGTCTTGAACCACCCATCAGAAGTGAACGCCTCCTTTGTCTCCTCTTCATTGTTGTAGTAGCCGGGAGAAATGCACGGACCTCGCAAATACACCTCACCCTGTAGGTTCTTTGCGTAATACCCCGCATCCTCTACGGTAACCAGCTTGGCGGTGACAACTGGAGTAAGCTCACCCGAAGTGTCAAGATCAATGTGGTTGAGATCCATCAGGCACGCCATAGCGTTAGTCTCAGTCAAACCGTAGCCAATTGCCAGAGGGGCAACGAGTGTGTTGAGGAAAAGACGAGTGTCGGCGGACAAAGCTGCACCACCGGCCATAATGAAACGCAAACGGCCACCTGTAGCTTCCTTGATCTTACGGAACACAACAGCGTTCAGAATAGGCGTGGGCAGACCCCATGAATCCATCTTCACCTTCAAACGGTATGAACGCCAGAAAACACCCTGCATTGTAGGCGATAGCTTACGAACGTTGGCAAGGATACCCTTCTTGATAGCCTCAAAAACAGCCGGGACAGCTGCCATGAGAGTGGGACGCAGCTCGCGGATATCACCTTTACAGTTGCGCATGTTAGCATCACTGACGGTTTTGGGAGTACCGTAGCCCAAACTGCAACCATTGTAAAGAGAGATCAACTCAGCTGTAAGCTCGAAAATGTGTGCGAGAGGAAGAATATTCAAGAAAGTGTCGCTAGAAGTGATAGCGGAAACGTTGCCAACAGCACCACTAACACCAGCAACAACAGTAGAATGCAGAAGAATAACACCCTTGGGCTTTCCGACGGAACCCGAAGTATACATGATACAGCACTTGTCGTGGTCCTTAGGACGAGTAGGCTCAGCCGGGTTTGCTTTACCCAGCTTGATGAGTTCGGAAAGAGACAAGACCTTGATATCCTGGCGGATCTCCTCAAGTTTCTTGCAGTCCTCTAGATCCTTGCCGACCAGAGGCCCCTCAGTGTCGCGCCAAACAACAATGCGGATGGAAGGAGTGGAAGGGAGAACTTTGAGCAGGGTGCAGAAGTGACCCCGATCAGCCAAAATACCAACGGTGCTCGTTTCTTCGATGGAGCTGTGCAAACCAGCATTGCCCAACGTGTCGTAGGCAGTGACCGCAGTGATATTCTGGCGGGACAAAGCCAGGAATGTCAACAGCCAGTCGGCACAAGACGCAAGGTACAGGTGGAATCGCTCACGGCCAGGCTTGACGCCGAGCTTGACAAGACCAGAGGATATATGCGAGGCAGTCTCAAAAGCTTGCTCATAAGTGTTCCATTCATAGGGGCCCATTTCAAAGTATTGCCACGTCTTGGTGACAGTCGTCTCTTCGCCGTTCACAACCTTCTTAACTTCCTTCTCCTCATTGTGGGTCTTGAGGAGCTTTCGGGTACCCATATATCGGCGCGGACCGAACTCCTTCACTGCGTCCTCGAAAAAGTCGTAGATAGTCTTGATATGGGGCTTTCCTGGAGGGTGAGTCCATGGAGCTTTGGCGGCCTTGTAGTTCCGGCGCGGAGCCGTTTCATTCGCGTTTGCAGGAGATCCTACCTCCACACTATAGTTTGGTTTTCCCATACTGATGTTTATACTCGATACGGATGTCCAGCACAAGTAAAAAAAAATATGGGGTGTATGTAGATGGTAACTAAAAAACGCCGCTACGCAGTGCATTACCAACTCTCAATCCCCACTTGCCCTAACCCTGGCATGCGTCAAGAGTTACACCGCAGGCAAACTTGAATCACGGGGCTTATCAGATTTTGCTAGCATTCCGATTTTCTCCGGGCGTCGGAGAAGCCGGCATGGATCCTCTGACACCTGAACTGGTTACATTCTATTGCGGATCACTAATTCTCAACAGCAATTTGCGGCTAATCAATGGGCTTCCTACCTGTCCCCCAGCTGACTTTCCGCATGGGGTGCAGGGTTTGAATCTGGCGTTGGGGGAACTAAGCTAGAGCGATGCTCTCGGGCAATGACCTCGTGTGGCCAAACAAGGTCGGTACATTATGCAACACACCAGTCCAAAGTGACCGTAAAATAGAGTATGCTCCAATTGTTTATTTTTTCTGACCCGTATGCACCGTTGCTGAAATAAATCCCTGTCCTACTCTTCAAAGCAAGTTGAGCAGACGGGTAGCTCTCCCCAGCTGCTAGGTCCTGCTAAGTTAAGGGTTGGGGGCGAATCCAGTTAGTGGGGAACTAACCGCTTGTCTACGAATCCAGTCAGGACTCTCCGCCTGCTATTTGTCTTGGCGTAGACACTCCCCACTGCGGATGATTAGGCGTCAAATGATGCTTCTATGCAGCAGATCATGCTCGATTGCCGAGGTCTTACTTCCATAGCTGCGGGTCGTCAGGGTAGCGATGCATGTCGACAACGCTGAAGGGCTATGCCCTTCGGAATGGATCACAAAGCATGATCCTGGTGCTACGAGCCCTGTTGGTTTGATCCAGCCAGTGCTTATCTACATGCATAGATGGCTCTCATTGTTTCCCCTAGGTGGCGGCAGCATCAGAACGATCGCGTTCTAAGGAAAAGCTTAGAGATAGCCTTACTTTTTGTGTTCGGTTGAGATAAACAATATCTTTGTACCTTTTTTGGTTTTTGGTGGAGCAGTTTTGGCCCTTTCGTTACTTATCGCGAAAGATCACCAATGTTGTTTATTTTCCGAGTCCCAGACGTTTTGTCATCACCCGAATAGATGAACGGTGGAGGGCTTTTCAACCAAACGGCCACTAACTCAGCGAGCACATTTGGCCAGCCACAAACCCAGAACCAAACACCTTCGTTTGGTGGGTTTGGCACGTCGTCAACTACGTCCCAAGGCGGTCTTTTCGGACAGCAAAAGACGGGGGGTCTGTTTGGATCAAACACCACTGCGCAGCCTGGCCAGGCACCAACCGCGACATCTTCCTCATCAGCCCCATCTACCCCCTCATTGTTTGGATCCAATCCCAGCATCACCACCACCACCACTCAGCCTTCTTCTCTGTTCGGTAACAAGCCGGCGCCGACTGGTTCAAGCCTTTTCGCAGCACCTGCCCCTAGTCAGCCTTCTGGTGGTTTGTTTGGTGCTAAACCAGCTGCAACCGGTACTGGTCTTTTTGGAAACGCGTCTGCTTCTGCAGATGCTAAGCCAGCTTCCACTGGAACGAACTTATTCGGAACAGGTACCGCAGCACCAGGAACTACAACCTCGTCGACTGGTACCGGGTTGTTTGGAAACAATACCGCACAGTCCAGCTCAACAGGAGGTCTGTTTGGAAATAGTACTGCTAACACAAGTACAATTGGAACCACAAGTTTGTTTGGAAAACCTGCAGCTGCAGGCACTTCCACTGGAACTGGCTTGTTCGGTTCCACGCCGTCAGCTAGTTCAGGCCTCTTAGGAGGTACGTCTGCACCCACAACGGGTACAGGTATGTTTGGAAGCTCAACAAATCAAACCGGCTCGCTATTCGGAAAAGCGGCAGCTCCTACCACAGGCGGTGCAGCCCCTACAACTGGTGTTAGCATCTTTGGATCCAGTATCCAGTCCACCCCTATGAATGGTTTGGGGAACGCTTCTGCTTCAACATCTACCACACAGCCCGTCGCAGGATTGTTTGGCTCATCTAGCAATGGCGCTGCTGGGCGCCTTTTCGCTACAATTGAGCAGCCCTCGTATACTTTGCCCGGATCCCAGAGCAACGGATCTCCTAAATTGTACAAGTCTTTAACCGCAGGGATGGCTCAAACAGCTAAAGAGAATGGCAGATCTGCTCCAGCTGTTAAATTGGCTGTGGCATCTGCCCCGTCCGTTTCGACCACTGAAAAATCGTCTTTGCCAATCAAGAGATCTTCAGAGCATCAGCAGGACACTCGCAAGCTCTTGAACTCGTATGAGAAATATATCAAGGATCGCCCGACAAATCTGATAATTCGTCGAGCCAAGCGACCCGCCTTAGCCATCTCTGCCCCAGCGTCTAAACTGGCCATTGAGAACGGTTCCGCACAACAAACAATGGAAAACTCTGTTAATGGCACGCTTGAAACCACAGTGGCCCAGTCACTTGCAGACTCGACACTCCCTTCGGCGGATATATCGTTATTCCACAAACAGGCGCAGACCGTGACCCTTGTTCGCGTCAACAAAGCCGCTTTGGAGCAAGGCTACTTCATTCGGCCAGGCCTTGACGAGCTCGCCTCTTACTCCAAGGAGCAGCTCAAGGCAGTTCCTAATCTTGTTATTGGCCGCGACAATTTTGGCCAACTGTTGTATTCTGACCCAATTGATCTGTCCGGGATCGAGAATCTAGGTGATATCTTGGGCAAGCTGGTTGTATTTGACGAAGGCACTGTTTGCGTTTATCCTGACGATCGCAAAAAGGTTGAACGTGGCAAGGAACTCAATGTGCCCTGTACTGTTACCATCGAAAACGCGTTCCCGCGTGATACGCAAGGGAAGCTCATTCTGTCAATGGCCGACCCCCGAATGGCTAAGCATGTTGCCAAGCTCAGAAAAGCTAATGAGTCTCGTGGTGCTGAGTTCATCACATTTTCTCATGGCGTTTGGGTGTTCAAAGTTCCTCACTTTAGCATGTGGGGGTTGCCTGTTGATGAAATGGTCGTAGACGACGACTACGCCGACGAAAATTCAGCCGACGAACACGAACAGTTATCAGTGGAGATCAATGGTGTTTCACGTCCTACTGAATCTGTTGCTGTAAAGTTTGAATCGGTTCAACCTTCGGTTCGTTCCAATCCTGTTATTCCTACAGTTGCCCAAGAACCCCTCACATCTGTTGGTTTTTTTCCCCGAACATCTACTCCGGATTTTGTTGCGGACGAAATGCAGATAGTGACAGATTCCCAACCTTCCAAGCCTCGAACTTGGGTTGATGTCTTGGCAAACTCTTATTTGTTGGAGGCTTCTGAAGGCGCTGTTGCTGAGGCATCCGCCGTGGACGGATCACTTACTGCGAATGATTTAAACAGGATCCTGTATGGTGCCAAGGATGATAGAGTTTCGGCCTACGAGAAACTGAGACGCCCACCAACGTTGTTCACCTCCAACTCTATGCTAAAAAAGGCACCAACCATAAGTGGTGTTGGAAAAGTCATGGTTAAAGATGCAACGTCCTTAGACACCGGTATCCTCAAATCTTTTGTGACCAAGGCTGGAAGATCCGCGGCAGCTGGCGGTCTCATGCGACTTGCTACAAATGTGACATTTGCTGATCTACAAATCATTTTCCCACATCCTCTTTGGCCTGTCTGTTCGGTTATTTTTGACGGCTCCTCTGGAGTTACTCGGCGGGAGCGATTGTCGGCTTGGCTCGTTGAGCAAACATCTAAAGCTGTCAATAGAGACCTTTCTGCGGCTGAAGATGATTTCGACGCAATCTGGATATTAATCTGTGGTTATCGTCTTGAAGATGCGGCGGTTCGTGCAATTTCTTCTGGCAACCCTCATTTGGCTACACTGATCTCTCAACTGGGATCCCCGGCCGCCCGGGCTGCAGCTCAAGCCCAGCTCAAGGAATGGAGAAGCTCAGATGCTATTTTCTTTATTCCCTCAAAGGTAAGGGCGATCTACGAGCTTGCATCAGGAAATGTTGGACTAGTTCCAGCATACTCTGCCAATGGCCAGCGAGTAGCCGAACTGGATCTCACTGAAGGCTTGGACTGGAAAAACGTCCTGGGCCTAAAGCTCTGGTATGGGATGCCAGAGGTTGAAATTGATAATATTATTGCGACTTTGCCCGATAGCGATGACTCTGAATTTGTGTTCTTGCGACTGGTTTGCCAGCCGTCGGTTCTAAATCAAATCGACACTCTTGTAGGCTTGCCCACTGCCTTCTTGGCTCTCCAAGCTTTGAAAAATATTCCTCGTGAATCGCACACCATCGACAATATTTGCGTCCAGCTAAGCTACGAGCTACTTGAATCATCACAGCTGACCAGTGCGGTGTTTGTGGCTCTTCACATCGTGGACGACAGGCTGGCTTTGATTGTTGTCAAGGACATTCTTATGCGCTCACCATGGTCTCTATCAAGCTCTTTTGCTGCCGAATTGGATCTCCCTAAGCAGTTGGTGTTGGAATCGCAGGCACTGTATGCACACTACGCGCAGAATTATATTAAAGAGTCTGAGCTGTTGATTGAAGCCGAACTGTTTGACGATGCCCACAAAGTGCTAATCACCCTGGTTGCTCCACAGGCTGTTATTCGGAACGACTACCACACGGTTGAACAGCTGTTACAGCGTATCCCTCCAACCGTCAATGGATGGAAGCTGGGCGGCAAGGTATATCTTGATTACTCCAAATTCATCAACAAGCCCACCTCAGAGCTTGCTTTGACATTGTGCTCTGCGCTGCAAACAATTGCAACGTTTAACGTCGAGCATAAAGCTGCAGTCGCCATAATGGCAGGCCAAGTCGCGTCGCAAGGCAGAATGAGTTTAATGACCCCCCAGATATTGAAAATGAAGCTGGGCTCGAGCCAATACCGGCTACAAGCTATGCAGCAGGCTGCAGTAGACCTTATTCAAATGTAGATTAGTTTTTGCTTGCATGCATATCTCCCTGTCTCTGCTGCACCTCGAATTTGTCAGTCGGGTCATGCAACATGAACTGTTGATAGTGTTGGCGGGCTACCCGTCGTCTCTTAACGGTGCGTTACTGCTGCACCCTTCAGAGAAGGACCTATTTGAGCAGGCGATTGAGTTTGGGTCTCGAGTGCAGACCATCAAGAGTGCCTGCAGAGAAGCCGCGACACCTCTAGCGCGCGTCGTGGAAAAGAGGGTGCTACGGCCTTATCTAGAGTGCTTAGCCGCTATAGAGAAGCAAATTTTGAGCGGCAAGGGAAAGTATGGTGCATACCCTGGTATTTCTGTTGCGGCCATCTTTGCAGACTCGCTTTACAAGTGGGATCGCCAGATGGAATACGCCCAGGCGTTGGTTCAGTACAATGGTTCAACCGCAGAAATAATCGCTCAGACTCAAGCGGACTGTTTATCTGGGTTTCCTGAAATAAGAGACATCGCGCAAGATCTCTCAATAGAGCTCGACAGATCGTGGCTTCGCAGCGTGTCGTCGTGGATTCTATGGGGTCAGGCAATTGACTGGCCAAGCATAAAGGCGCACCCCTCTCTAGACAGAGAAACTCTGAAATGTATCATAGATACCGGAAACTGCTTACAGCGTATGAACATGATGCAATTCTCTCTGCAGTCCAAAAATCGTGATGTTCTGAAGAGTAATGCTCGCATTTTCGAGTCCATCAAAGTCACCATAGATCTCACCGATATCAAGGACAAATTGACGAGAATTCGAAATGCACTACTTGACACTGTCATGGCTAGCCCCAATAACAACATCCAGTTACAAAATACTCTTGATCTGTTACGCAAAATCGTGCTGGCTGGATCCAGCGCGTTCACTAGGACGTTTTTGGAAACTGCAAAAATAAAAAGAGCACGGCTACCTGCAGACCCGAGTAACCAGCTGTTTCAAAATGCTGTTGCCAGCTACTTTGAAGATTACCACGAACTCGCTCCTGAATGTGAGGACCTCTGTCACAGACTGATCAAATTTGAAGTGCTGCCTGAGGAAGAGCAGGCGGAATATAACGACCAAGTTGACGATATCATGTTTGGTGTTCGCGTTACCTTTCTCTTTGAACTGGATTGGCCTTTCAGTTTGTATTTTACCGAGCAACAGTGTAGAGTCTACGCTGATATCGGTTGTTTTTTATTAACTTTCTCGATGGCAATGACGCAGTTAGATGCCGGAGTACGGTCCCTTGAAGCCTTTAAATATGGCGTTTTTCTTAAAGCCTTGTGGCAGCATTTCCAATGGACCATCGATAAGCTTTTCCTGGAAATAAGAGAGTGCTGTAGCAGCCTGCCCGGCACCACGACAGAGAAACTCAACACATCGCTCAAAAAGGCAGGTTCGCTGCTACTGTTTGATACCCCAGATATCAGGCAAGCCACGAGACAGCTCATTGTTTCGGCGTTAGCGGTTTCAGAGGGGAGAGACGCTGTCGATGGCATTGGACAGCTGCTCGACCTCTTGACTCAACGAGACGACTTGGATGATCTTATGCCATATCTGGAGCCGTTTGAAACATAACTTAATTGCATAATAAATAATTTAAATACGAAACATTTGCCGCTTGGCCCTTGCTGGTGAATCTGAAATGACCCCTGACTGATTCACAGTTGTCTCGTCAGGCAGCACAGCCTTGACTATTCGTCTTCTTGACGATGGACGCGACGACCTCGTCGATACTCTTACCCCTGTACTGGTCGCTTCTACTCGAATAGGTTTCGGTACAGGCGATATATTGGGAATGGTTGGTTTCGAGATTTTGGCAGGTGTAGCATTCCGGTGCTGTAACTTGCTCGTTGGCGTGGTGTTCAACTCAGTATTGCTGTCAAATTTGGACATAATCGTGTCGTCCAGGATATCTGGAACCGTCATGTTTTGACGGTTAGGTGAACTGTAGCCGGAATCAGACGAAGAACTGCTGTCTAATGGCTTCGCAGACCGATACACTGTACGAACTGGCGTTGTAATAACCTCATCATCAAAATCAGACACCTTGTCACGAATTTTTATAACTCTTTTGTTGCTCGGTTGTTTTGGCCACCGAAAAACGCGTGCACTTTGTCGAGGCATATCGTGCGTGTGTAAATGTGTTGCACCGGTCGAATGGTCACCGACCTGCCCTTTTGGTTTCTCGTACCGCGCCAATCTCGACTTCAATTCTTCGATCCTTTCAACCAAGTGCTCATTGACCGACCAAGCCTCCTCTAACTGCTCTCTCAGCAGCCTCATGGCCGCTCGCTCTGCCATGTGGGAATAAAACGTACGATTACGTCAGGACGATTTGGGCTCCCATCTAGACACGCAAAACGGCCAACGAATATGCGTTTTGTTCACAGCTTATTGGCGCTTCTTTTGACGCCTATTTTTGTTGTGGCTACATTCAATATTGAGGACCATGTTTCATCCGATGGTGTTGTCTACGCCAATGACCAAATGCTGGACCAGATCCTGGCCAACAAGCGGGACTACACGGTAGCTCTGCTGTTAAGTACTACCAACGACAGATTCGGCTGTCACTTCTGTAACATACTTGGTCCTGACTACCATATTGTGGCTTCGTCTTGGCGCAAAAAGAATCCAGATGGCAACAAGCTATACTTTGTCTTTGGTGAATTCGAGGAGTGCACACGGTCTTTCCAGAAACTGTCTCTCACTTCGGTGCCTTCTTTCAAAATTTACTTGCCCAATGCTGTTCCTCGTGGAGTAGGAAGTGACCATCTCACCGCTGAGTTCAAATCCACTGGCAATCAGGTCGGTGCTCTCGTTGGTCTCTTGGGCCAACAGGGATTCCACGTTGAAATTGTCAAGCCATTCCCCTGGGAGCGTGTTTTCAGAGCATCTATGACTATCATCGCTGTCCTAATTGCTCTTGTAGCTTTCTGGGATGTGTTCAAAAGGATTATCACTTCCCGCCAGCCCTGGATCGCCTTCTCGGTTGTCACCGTTCTTTTGTTCACTGCCGGTCAAATGTTCAATATTACCCGTGGAACTCCTCTGCTGGGTCAAGACAATGGGAAAATTGTCTACTTCCAGTCTGGTTTTGGAAATCAGCTTGCTATCGAAACGCAGATCATTGCTATCCTATATGCCGTTTTGAGCTTCCTGACCATTTCTTTGATTGCTAAGGTTCCTCGCATCACCAACCCCAAGGTTCAGCTGGGTGTTGCTGTTGCTTTGGCATTGAGTGTTTACGTCGGATACTCGTACTTTATTGCCATTTACCGTGTCAAGTACTACGGTTACCCTTACGGTCTTCTTCCTGTTTCAATTTGAAGCTGTTTAAAATATTAAATTAGACTTTTAACTACAAAACCATTCACCCAGCGCTGCCCATCCTTGACCATCGTCGGAAGAAACCACTGCTCTCCACGTTCCAACTTCAAGGACGCGGACGGTAGCTTTCCACGTGTCACTAGGACCAGTTGCCCGAGGCGTCAAATCCGTAGCACGTCCAGACGGCGACTGCACAGCTAGTTTTACTTGGACCAGACCGCAGCCAGGAGTTAGGCCTTTCGATGGGTGCTGATGGAATTCGAATGTGTAGGGCTGGCCCTTGCCGAGTTGTCGGCATTGGGGTGCGGCAATGTAAACGTCGTGCCTCTGAGCCTGAGGAGCAGGGAACCGACGTAAAAATTTGAAATCCGCGTTTGAACCCTGATGAGATAGAGTCAGGGTATAAATAAGAGACATGGCTTCAACATTTCTTGACGATATCGTCCGATCTGCCAAATATAGCTGAAGGGTTCCTTTTGAGCTACCTTCTGGCAGACAAGCTTTGACTCTGAACATTCGCCTATTTTCTTCCCATATGGGCTGGGCAAGAGCGGCCCCTTCGCGCTCGTCGCCCTTGCTTTTGCAAACGGCCACAACGTCATAGCGATCATTTGGCATCGTGATTTTAAGCTCACACATGTCAAAATTCTCTAGATGGAGTAGGCTGGGTGAAAAGTCAACGAGCTCAACGCCGTGAATAAACGCTGAGGGTCCTGCTAGTGGTAGTGTCACAGCGGCAGAAACAGGAATGGCCGGACTCAAGAATTGGTCGCTCAGTTGGTTCGGGATATGAGTGAAGATCATCTGCTGGGGTGGACATAAAAAGTATGATTTGTTTATATCGTCCGTGCTTGCGTGCGGTGACGATGGAGAGGCAGCAGACGCATCGAGCAATCGCCACTCGCCCTCAACTTTAACAGCATTCCAGGAATGAGGCTTTCCAGAGGCTTCAGTGTCTTGAGTTCGCAGATATCCTCTGATCATCCTTGACTCAATATCTAGCGCACCGCACATTGAATCAATGAGGTGAGCCAGCTCCAGAGGAGTAGCCATTTTGGTATGCATAGCTCGGGAGAGTGTTCCTTGCATGTCGGTAAGATCAGGCCCATTCGCATCTTTTAGTGCAGTGATATGGAACGCACACAATATAAACACAGCTCGTAGTCTCTCAACAGGGTCACTAAATCTTCGTCCAATGTGACTACTTGCAAACACGGCCGGTGTCATCAGTCGTGGCCAGGAAGACAGTGACATTATTTCGTGGTCAACTGCTCCAAAGTCTTCTAAACGATAGTCATGGAACTCGCTGCTTGAGTTTTGAACCAGGGCGAGAGGTGACGAAGAGGAAACACCCCGAAGCTCATTGGTTTGCCGCCGCTTTTGCAACTCATGCTCAGTCAAGGTTCGTGAACGATAAAGGTTCCGTTGATTATCCATCCAAGATGGGTCAAGCAAAGCGTTGGAAACAGTGGTTCGAGCAACAGTTGTCGGGGCTTTAATTTCATGTGTTCCCTGGTGATGATTAGACGGGTAAAACTCGTTGTCGGGATCTCTCAAATTTTTAGCCCAAGATTTAAGAGGTGATAACAGAGAACTTTTGATTCGTGAAGCCGATGATACGGTAGACAAGTGAGAGGAAGCGCTTATAGTTCGCGTGAGAGCAAACCCAAGCTCCTGGCCATTCTCTCGTTTATTGAACAGCTTTCGAACAAATCTGTGCGTCCCTGAAGACTTCTTCGGTGGTGACGGTGTCACATTAGATCCAGGATGAGAAAAATACTCGACACTTCGAGATCTCGTGCTCAGCCCGCTGAAAACACGCTCGTTCGATCTGGCTCGATCAGTAGCTGGTCCAACTGGAGTGGTTTGAGGTGCGAACGCTCTAGGATCGAACGGCACTTCTTCGAAATCTGGCGAATCTGTGATTTTGCGCATGAGTTGTTTGTCAAGGGTGAATTGATCTACAATTGGCGGCTGAGATCTCGCACTGTTGCCGCTGCTGCTTGGCAGAAATTTGTGAGGAGGAGGTGGTGGAGGTGGTCCCTCATCACTATCACTAGCACTCTCAGAATTTTCAAAGCCCAAATCAGCCACTACTGGTCCACTGGTATCGAGGCTATTCATGCTAGAGGTAAGGGCTTTCAACTCGTTGGAAATATCTTGCAGAAACTCTTCAGTTGACTGAACGCTCTTTTTAGAGTTTCTTGAGTCTGCCAAAGATCTCTGAGTAGTCTGTGAAGATGTCAAAGGCTGTGAAATGGCCAATCGGCTAACATCACTATCGAGTCTTCGAACCGATTGATGAGGGTCAACAAACTTCACAAAGTTACGAGGAAACGATCCAGTCACCTTATTCCTTCTTAATCTTCCAACCCACCAGTCACCATCTCCGGTACTGGTCACATCAATAAGATCCCCTTCAACAAATCCCAAATCCGTCTTCTGCTCACCGCTCCAAGAGTATTGGGCTCTGACTTGGCACTTACCAACAGGAATTGCTGGTTCATTCGGGCCGTAAGCTTCTACAAAGTCCTGGTAGTCCATAAAAGTTTCGTTAAGACCTCCAAATTTTTAACTTTCAATCACAAGAACAAGCTGACAGAAGCACGACGAACATATGTAAACAAATCCTTATGCATAGTCGCTGCATGACCCTGCTCCGTGCATGGAGAACAGTACGGTAATTTCTTGGAAACTACAGCATATATGAAGAATAATGTATGAGATATGTCTAACTTAAATAATAGAGAAATATATAAAATGGGTTAATTACGAGGAAGTTGCTCGCCTGTAACGACAGCGTATGCTTCTTCCCAAGCCGCTTGGTTCTTCTCTGCCCACTCAATATGACAGCGAACAAAGGCTCTGACCAACTGAGTTAGATCTTGATCTTTCACCTTCTTGTACCTTTCAATTTCCTCCTTCACCGCTTCTGATGTTACTGCGCTATCTTGCTTTGCAATTTCTAGGGCACCCTCAAGATTGGCGAGCTGTTCCCGTGTACGGGTTATATTGTTTCGCCGGGTGGTTTCTGGGTCAGTATCTATCATACCGTGTAATGCATTGTTGATAGAGGCCAGGCCGGGAAGTCGGAATCCTTTGGTCACCGAAGAGTACCTTCTCTCTGCGGGCTGGACATCACCTTTATCGTTGCTATCAATTGATGCAGTGTCCGACGATCCACCTATGCTATCATCTTTGAGCGAAAACCCGTCAACAGAGGAGCCCGCTGTGGAGTGGTCAGAGCCCGACGCTTCAGCAATAGCCAGGGTCACGTCGTTGGAAGAAACAGGGCCCAATGAAGAGCCAGTTAATGCATTGTTTATACGTTCATCCGCATTCAAGAAATCATTGATTTTCTGTGCTTCAACTTCTGCGTGCTCGAGTTGCTGCAGAGCGGCCCGCTTGCTCGCCATGGCCTTTTCAACCATTTCCACTTGAAGAGCACGGTATCGTCGGTATTTGAGAACTTGACGCGCAGTTGCGGCCAATTGCACACTCTCTGCTAGGGGCTCACTGAACTCTATTGTCAATGAGTCCTTGAGCGCAAGATCGGTCGAGAGGTATCCAGTGTCAAGAGCCTGGCCAACCTTTTCAACGGCAGTGGCCAAGTCTCCCTGGCTTTCCAGGCTGAATGCATTGAACTGGCCACCAAGATCGGCACAATCTTTGGCAAAGTTTGTGTATTGGCTATTGATACGACGAGCAGCCTTGTCCAGCCCGTTGCCAATGACCGCCTCGTACTCCTTGGCACTGTCTTCAATGTCCTTGAACAACGGGTCAGTCTCTGAACGGAGCTTGGCCCCAGATGGAGGAATAGGAAGATACGCATGTGCCGGTGTGGGATTGGTTGCATCTAAAGGAGGCGCTTGAAGCGAACTCTTGGGCAGATTCGCAAGGTACTCACAGGTCAAAACTTCGTTCCAGCTTGTGTTCGGGTCCAAGAAACGTTCCATCAAATAGGAGTCGCGAATAACGGGTATTTCTAAACAACGTTTCAGAAAGACCGTGAGCATGCGCCGTCGATGTTCGATAATCTTTGCATCTTCATGCGCGTGTGACGGGTTTGCGGCATACGCGGTGAGGCTGTGCTTTTCTGGAATGGGCGGTACAACTACCGTCGGAAGCAGACGACGAAGATTCAGAAACAAGCTCTCGAATTCAGAATATCTTCGGCGAACATTGACTCCACCAACGCTGATAGTGTAGGTTATGTGACCGCGTTTAGTGCCCTCGCGACTCTTCCCGGCATCTGTGATGGTGATCTCTTGGTTCTCGAGCGACTTGAGTACCTTTACCTCCTGCTTGGGCTTTGTTACAGACATTTCCGGCTGCTCAGTACCATCAATAGCTGAGAGTGGGTTATTGTCTTCGAAATCCATGGAGAGAGAAGTTACGCAGTCGTTATTGCCCCCACCAAGTTGACTCAGCTAGATTTATGTTTGGAAACGGATAATGACTAATTTTAACCCAATAAAGGGGTAAGCAATGCCTGCAGCCGCTATCTTGGGCCGGTGGCTAACAATTGCTGATTGCTCTTGTGATGTAGGTAAACAAAAGTTTACGGACGTTGCCTCGTGTTCGTCAGGAGCTACTAGAACTAAGCCGTGGCATCATGTGCAAGGGGAATTATCCAATGGGTAATCAAAGCAATTGCACAAGGATACACGGTTTAAAGGTCTTTTATGTCTTGAATAGGACAATGTTTATGTTCTTCTCATTGTAACCTTTTTTCTCAAGAGATAAGTAGATGAAGTTGCCCTTCGAGTGTGTCACAAATGTGCCAAACTTTTCGCCAACAATGCAATGCCAGGAGGGTTGATACCTCTTGTCCATTTCTCTTTTTACCAACTCAGCAAGCTCACTTTGCCTATCGCTATCATAACGATGGAACTCGCATTGCTCAAAGCCGTTCTTTAGCACATCGTTGACATTTTCTATCATCTCCTCAGACATGTCTGAGGATTTGACTTGGACTAATTGTTAGTCTGGACCTTTTTGTTTGGATTAAAAATACTTACATTTGGACAAAAAGATGTCAACTTCGCGGTATTGTCCCTCGTCGTTGTTCTCAGAATCATTCTCTCCATCGCTCATAACGTCTTGTTTGGGTGACAAAGCCTGCCTATGTCGACATGAAGGAGAAACATAAATATATTAAAACTCTACATAGCTTCTAGAATGGCGGTCCAATAGTCAAGTCTGTTGCTAACAGTTTCGCGGTCCTGAGATAAAGTCTGCCCAAATTGGGTATATTCGGAAATTAGGGCTTGAATTCGATCTACGCCTGTGGCCGCGAGAGACTGACCAGAAGTCCTCAAGATTTGAGCCGTTCTTTCCAGCTTGTCAGTAAGCAGGTCGTTTTGCTGCTCTAACTTACGGCAACGTGCTTCAAGTAGTGCAGCACGGTCTTCATAAAACCGGACGGTGGCTGCGACTTTCGCGATGACACTACTCTCATCTGGCTGGTCTCGCTTGGACAGTTTGAGCTGCAAATCATTCAACCGCTTCTGCATTTCCTCAATTTGAGCTCCCTGCTGCTCAGAATCAATACGGTCTTGGTTCACCCGGGCCTCTGTGGTGATGTGCTTGGCCTGTACCGCGTATCTTAATGTCGACAAAGTTTGCTCATAGTTTGTAGGGGATATACAGGCGATCATAGCGGTTTTCGAGTTTCCGCCTAAACTGTCTTGGAGAAGCCTGGTGAGAACTGACTCGCGGTAGGGAATGACCTGAAGGGTTGACCGGCGATCACTTGCTAACGCGGATATCACTCTGCCTAAAGTAACCAACGACTTGTTGATATTGGATCCTTCTCGTAGTCTTTGCCCCGTTGCTCCGGTCGCGTTTGTTCTTTCGGAGCCAGCCAAGTCAACGAGTCGAAGAAGCGATCTTTTTTCCTCAGTCCCGCCATCCTCATAAGTCAATTGTCTGATTTCGAGCGAGAATACAGCATGAGATCGACTGGAGTGGCTGTTCATATTGGTAGAAGCAGTGGCTCTGATAGCATTACCTTGTTTCAGGTACTTCAAGACCTGAGCTACATTTTTCACCGTAAACTCAGAAAGACCTTCCACATAGGGCTCTCTTGAAGAGTTTTCTCGGATTTTGAGATTAGTGCTGGTTTTCGCGTTGCTCAAAAGATCACGGACTTGCTCGTTATAAATTTCACAAAACGACGCTCGCACGGAAACACTTGAGATGCCCTGCAACTGCTCAATTCGCTCAAACAAGTCTGAACAGAGCTGAGGAATAATTCCAGGCTCCGATTCGGTGCCCATCATAGTATATGATTTTCCTGAACCTGTTTGACCGTAGGCAAAAATACATGTATTGTATCCCTCCAAACTGTGATCTAAAAACTCTTTGCCAAATAACTCGTAAACGTCCTCTTGACTCGCGAAATTGCTGTCCTTCGATGCACTCCAAAACGATTTATCGAATGTGAATGAACGCTTTTCTTGCTGTCTAGTGCTTGTTGGGTCAGGAGACAAAAACGTATCTTGTCCGGCCATTGAAAGCAAACAGGAAACTTCCGCATCTTCTGCAATCAAAGGACGGACTCTTACAGCAACTTTGACATTAGCAGAGTCCCTAACTGGGCTTTTACAACGCAGAGGACTGGATGGTCTAGTCAAAACAGGAGGCGGGGGGTTGATGCCAGATGCAGCCTTCAGAGGACTCTCTGAGCGGGGGCTGCCCGTGTTCCCGTTTGGATTGTATAATTTGAGAGGACTGTGAGCTTTGGTTGTACCTCGTTTGATATTCTCTCTTGCAGGGTTGGTTTTGAGCATAGTTCAATGGTTTAGGATGGTTTGTAACATATAGTGCATCTGCGACATATTTCCCAATCGGGTGCCATGCATGATTCAAATAAAAGTTGTTCAGCTTCCGAATCAAATGCGAAAGAATGGTTAAACAGTTTAAATTAATACATGCTGTGATCTTTTTGTAGTTAGTTGCGGAAGCGAGCCACGCCTGACTTCCACAAAGAGAGAAATCGGCTTATTTGAACTAAAATATATACAAAACCCAAGACCAAGATACATTTCAACTAATCGCAAGCCTTTATTGTTAAAAAGCAGCTAGGATTTGCATGCTCATTACCATTATAGCTTTTGGTCCCTCAATCTACCAAAGTGCCCGCCTCACAACCCAGGTAAATTAGTAAAGTGAGATATTCGAAAAAAAGACAGTGTCCACATGGTGCCGTCAATACCAGATCGAAGACTCTCTCTGGACCTCCTAGAACGTCAAACAAATGATTCTGACCTGAAGATTGATTTGGGCCAAGCGGCAGATCTCTATAGTGGCACCAAAGTGTCCATGGAAAATGCTGAACTGTTAGTAGCCCTCTATGACGCTCATGGCCCCATGATATTGACACCCAAGGTTTGGAGGAATCTTGAAAGCATGTTTCGTTCCGAGTTTTCAGCTGCTGCCATCCCCAACCATGATTTCGCAAGGGATCCTCTTTTCTTTATCGCTAGAAAAGTTGAGCCTGTCCGTGATTTTTTAATTGATGAACTCTTCTCCAAACTTGGGTCGGAAGATGAGTTTGTCTTTGAGAGTGCCCTGACATTCTTGTACCAAATGTTTTTGACTGGAGATGTGCCAATCAGAGGCTGCGAATTAGATGTGCTATACGAGCTTCTATCACACCAAAATATAAGATTGGCGGATACCGTAGCGCGAATTTTGGTGTCCAGTACTAAATATGCTTGCTCAAGAGTCTCACTGTCGTCCTGGTGGTCCATAATCAAGAATTGCGTTGTCGATCGGCCTCAGATAGCGTATAAAGCTTGGATTGGCTGGGTGCTCAGTGAGAGCGAATTCACAAAAGGCGAAGAGTTTAAAGCTCTGTTGAAAAAAGATAAGTATTGGAGGCTCTTACGAGAAGGTATCTCTATTGGTATGAAATCCTGTGAACGAACAAAATACTGCCTCCAAATCCTGTCTGCAAGCTTGAAAGAGCTCGACTTTGATCTCGATTTGGAGGAAATGGCTTGGAGATCCGGCGAAAAGACAACTTATCTTAACAGTTGGTCTCGCTATGTCGCTCTGATCGAGATTCTTTGTATCGATTCTTCACTCAATCAGGCAGAGGACTCTGCAGACGATATCGTCGCATTTCTGCACCCCCAGTCAGTTATCCCTTCGATTTGGGCAGTGACTCTCTTTGAAGCTGGCTTGACATCTAATATCCGAGACTTTGTCTACAATCTCGTGCTAGAACTAGGTGAGCCACTGAAAACATTCAACATCTCTCCTCAGTTTTTAGCAAGAAAACTTATCCCTTGTGCATTGCAAGCTTCCAACTTTGTGGTCGAAGAAGGACGGTGTGTTTACAAAGATAAGGTATTTTCTTTTATCGAGAGACTCTGTTGTGCTCTTGAAAGAGAACAGATGAACATCTTTATCAAAGAGTTAATGGAGGAATTTTCAGAGAGCGTTCGACAATACGAAGCACCACGAGTTGTTCTCACGAATGCTCTAGTTTCATCTATCCGGTGTATACTAGAGTTTGATGCTCTTTTGAGCGTAGCTGTATATGGAGGCTGCGCACTACTAGGCTACAAATCTGAAGCTATGGGCAGACTTTTGTTACACAATTGTACAAATATTATTATTAGAGGCGCTGATACGACCCTCATTACTGCTGAACAAGCTCTGAAGTTGGTAGATAAGCTTGTCATTAATGGTGTTCAGACCGTTGACTTGAAATCTGTGGCTCAATGGATGCCCAATGCATGGCTCCCAGTTTTGGTAGAAAAGTCTGGGCTAAAACCAGCCTATTCGATTCTTTATGCCCTAAAGGATAGTGATAGTTTCACTTTGGGTGCCGATGTAGTCGACGTGGACAAGGTAATACTTTACTTGCATTCTGAAATGAATCTTGCGAGCTCACCTGCTGTGAACCATCTCGCACAAAAGCTTTCCGATGGTCTATACTTATCAGAGTCAGAGTTCGATGCTTTGAGTCTTTACCCAAACACTAACATTTCTGTTCCTCCTCCCATTGGCGATACACTGGTTCAAATGCTACCTTACCTCCAAGCCTCGAGTCTTGTGGCACCACTTCCAACCAACGCTCTGATTAGGCTCCTAGTTGAAAAGGCTGACATGACGGGCTATATGAATTGTGAAATGAGGTCGTTACACTGCCGCAGTATCAGACATGTTTTTGATCAGATTGAGGCTGTGCCCGCGGAAGAATGGCCACTTTTAGTTGAGCTGGCTAAACGAGCATTCTCACACGACGAGTTCGAACCAAGAATCGCGGCACTTAGATGCTTGTCGCGCTCCATGGATAGCCTTAGTGCTGAAGAAGTGGATTCAGAGAATCTTGCCTCAGCTTTATCGTCTATCTGGCACGCGTTCAAGGAAGAAAAACTCCGGGCTTCAGAACACTTTGTGCATATTCAATTTATAAAAGTCCTCACGAAGCCAAAAACTGTACGTTCGCGCAATACTGAAGATTTGGAAGCGATTGCCTTGGATATCATGGATGAGAGCTATGCTCGCCGAGATCTTTTGCCCCAGTTGATCCGCGGGCTAGTAGCGACTCCTTGCCTTTGGGTATCTCGAGTCGCAGCAGCAGGGTTCTGTTTCCTACAGACCAATATGCAATCGTTTCATCTGGAGACTCTTCTTGCAAACGAATCTGGTAACTATCATGCCTTCTGGCCGCTATCAGAAAAAGCTGCAAAAGTTTTTGCCTTCGATTACTTTTCCAAAGGATACGATGCCGTGGAAATCACTATTTACCTTTTGCATGATCAGCGGTTCGCTTTATTACAACCTGGAAAGAGGCATGATGGAGACGAAGAAAGAGTTCGGATACTCGGTTTCCAATTGCTAACTTTGATGTCAAAGTTCTGGGGTGATTCCCTTGCCGTGAGCATAGCCAGGACTCTTTTGGAGAAAGCCGTCGATCTCGAGCCTTCGCCTTCAGCTCGTATACACGTCGAGTGGATCATAGCGCTAGTGATCTCAAGGCAACCTACACAATTAATTGATGAGTTTGTGTTGAAACCACTAGAAAACACTCTGGCCCCGCGCCACGTATCTTCTCTTGGTCGGATTGGCCTTTTGGTAGGTAAGGAGGTCACGAAGGAACTGAAGCCCGAGTTTTATCAGAAATATCTGGATGTTATGATTCCGTTGTCGTCCAGTAACCGAGCTCCAGTTCGGCATTTTGCAGTTGCTATGATATACGTTATCTTCCTGGACCAGAATTTGCGAGATTGTATTCACCCGCTGATGCTAAAGCTTGTCGATGGAATCGCGTCTTGCGCAGCATCAGTTGAGAACTTCAAAGAGTTCAGAAACGGCGACGACTCCGTGTGGTCAATTTCCAAATGTTTTACATTCACAAGTATCTGTGGTGGTGTTTCTAGTCGCATCACTGGAAGGGTTCTGAAGGATAGATTGTATAAAGCAGATTTCGAGGAGGAACTCGGAACCCGATCTTACGCGGACGAGGATGTTACTGACTTGCGTCCTATAAAGGCATTCCATGATATCTCTATGATTAGAGACGCAATTCGCGTAACCAATGAAAACATTCAAACTAAGAGTGGCTCTTTTGATGGATTGCAGCCCTTGCAGCGATCAGGACTGATTGTTGTAGCTACTCTCTGCGACAAGCCCACAAACCTTGGTGGCATCTGCCGGCTTTGCGATGCTCTGGGTGCCAAACTCATGACACTGAATGATATCTCTGTGTCCAAACATCCCCAGTTCAAAAATACTGCTGTTACCGCTGACAAGTGGATGCCTATGTTACAAGTGCCCGAGAACCGCTTACTCGAGTACTTGGAAGAAAAGAAGCAGGAGGGCTATACACTTGTGGGCATTGAACAAACCGATAATAGTCGCACGCTCAGACCTGATCTGAAGTTTCCTGTGAAAACCGTTCTGGTTATGGGCAAAGAGCGCGAGGGTATCCCAGGCGAGGTTTTGGCACATCTTGATTTCTGCGTGGAGATAGAGCAGTTTGGTGTGGTGCGATCTATGAATATCCAAACAGCAACCGCCATTTTGGTAAATGCATATAACAACCAGCATTAATTAAATACATTTTCTATGATACTATCATCGATACAACTTGAGCCGCGCAGCTTTGCACTAAGTCATAGGCATCCAGGAGGACTTTGGGGTTGTAACCTCCGACGTTTTTGCCCGATCCAATATCGACATTTTTGATAGGAGCAGCAATAGCATTGTTTTTCCAAGTAATGCACAGCGCTGTTTCCGCGACTTCTAGCTCTGCGTCTGTAGGATCTAATAGCACGTTGTCACCAACAATAGCCAGCAACAACACCAACGGGGGTGACCATTTCGTACAGATAGGCTGTGCAGCATCCCAGTCGTCGTTGAATTGAGGGATCTCGTCAACCAGAGTGTCGTCGCGAGAAGAGATAAGCTGGGGAAGTCTGGTCGATTTGAGGGCCCTGAACACAGCCAATGACAACAGACTCAGCGGGTGCGAAGTGAATGAAAGTACAACACAGTCCACATACAACCTAAAGGCGTATTTTTCGGTAAGAATAAGCTGAGCAGTCAGCTCAGGGCATGCGTTCAAAGTATGCCGCAAAGCCTCGGCCAGCGAGTTCGGTAGCGGGTCATTATCTTTGTATCCAGTAATATCAACAGAGGGCTCTATCAAACTGCCTTCAGACCGTGCTACAACCTTGGTTTTGATGCCAACAATGCATTCACTGCCATCTGCAGCCCGCACTCTGGCTGATCCATTAGTGAATGGCAGCCAATCGACCTCCGACTCGACAGGTCTAAACTGTCCAGGCTTTCTGCAGTCCGGCCGGAGTGGTGGGGAGCTAATCAACGAGCTGCGAAGATACGACAACTCCGACACCGAGAACTTCATCTAGGGCGAAAAAAACTTGGCGGGAACTTGACAAAGCACAAACTTGTATGGCAGGCAAATGGTAGATTTGGACGAGATATCTAGTGCTTTCACGGATTATATGGAGGTTGACGCACAGGATATGCCAGTAGTGAGCTATGAATCCCTGGGGGATGTTCTGGAGACCATTGGGCTGGCCGGGTCGCTTGCAGGGCCCCTGGCCAAGGAAATGGATCCAGAGGGCAGCGGGTACATACACTTTGAGCCATTTGTGAATACGGTGGCAAACTATTTAGCGGATAACGAAGACAATCAAGGAGATGATGATTGTCGACGGACTTTTGATTTACTAAAGGATCCAGCAACAGACAGAATTACCCAGGAAAGCTTGGAGGCAGTTGCTGAAAAACTCAAGTTCGGGATAGAGTCAAAGGACCTAGAAAAGATGCTACAACTCGCAACGTCCAAGGGGAACATAAAAAGCGGCGTGTCTCTCAAAGAGTTTGCCGAGTTTTGGAGAGAACTAAATAATATGTTTGGAACGGAAGTAGGCCCGTAGGTATTGAATCTGCCAAGCGCCCAAGCCAACGAATGCGAGAATAATGAGGACAAAGAAGTTCTTGACGCGACGGTTGGTGGATTCGTTGGTATCACGCAAGCGTTCTTCGCGGAGCAGGAGGTAAGCAAGCTCTTTTTGGATTTCCTCAGCGACCTCGTCGATGCGGCGGAGGTCAAGCTCAACTGGCTTGAGCTTTTCACTGGCCTGCACGGCGGCCCAGTCACGAGCATTTGCTCCGATATCGACATCGAGGTCAATTTGACGACTCAGCTGGCCTCCACGACCAGCCTGCTTGTTGTTGGTGAAGCAAATGTCAAAGGAGGTGTCGAAGCTGGGCGTGAATGCAACGCGGAAAACATCGCCCATGTTCTCACGGAAACCATATGTGTTACCTTTAATATCCTTTACCACAACGGACAGGCGCTGGCCGTCGCCCTGGAACCCGTCGCTCCGAGCATTCACAACCACAAGCGTGTCTTTCGAGACAAAGTCGCGGATGCAACGCGCTTCTCCGTTCGCCTCGACTTTGAGCTTCAAAGCAGTAACCGCCTGCAGCAACGTGAACAGCGTCAACAAAACCTGGATCGCGTACATCTATACCAAGCAGTTAATAAAAGTCGACGTCGTGTCCTGTATTATTTGACAAAGTCTTATTAAGGAGGCTAAGAGAGGGGGTACAACGACTTTTCAGAATTGTGGGGTTTCACCTCCACCCACCCGCTGACAATGTGAGGCAAACCACAGCCTGGCGTAATTACCCTCCAGCCAGGACATAGTTGTGTCAGCCGGTAGTTTTCAACCTTCAACTCCAAAAACTCGAATTCGCAAAGACATTTGCCACCATGTCGAGTCCTGAAGCGGCAAAGTTCGAAGTGGATCTCGATAGCGATGCCACGGAACCTGGAGACCTCGCAGGTCCCTCTGTGGACTCTGCTCCAGACAGCGAAACCCAGGCCCCAAGTGATGATGCCGAGCTCGATGCTGATCATGAACAAGAAGCCGAGACTGTTCACGAGCTCGAACAAGTAAACTCTGAAGAAGAGGAAGAGGGGCAGAACGACGACGACGTGGAGGACGACGATGTGGAGGACGACGACGACGACGATGATGATGACGCTCCCAGAAAGCGCCGAAGAAAGCTGCGCCGCAACCAGTTCTTGGATGTTGAAGCCGAGGTCGACGATGAGGAAGAAGATCTTGAGGACGATGAAGACGAGCTAGGTCGAGACGATGGATTCATCCAGGAGCCTGATGCCGAAGACCTGGAGGGCGCAGAAGAACCCATCCATCGTCAAGTCGATCGCAGAAGAGAAACCGAAATCACTGAAGAAGAGGCTGAGCGATTGGCTGATGAGTATCGTGAAAAGTACGGCCGCAGTGCCGCCAACAAATATCGAGGAGACAGTGGTGTAGTTCCTCAGCGACTCCTACTTCCATCAGTTCATGATCCGAGCATTTTCGGAATCAACTGCCGCATTGGTAAAGAGAAAGAGGCTATTCGTGCTCTGCTGCGCAAAAAAATCAATCTCCAGTACGGCCCCAACCCGCTGGAGATCTTCTCCGCCTTCCAGCGTGACGCCTTCCCCGGCCGTATCTACGTTGAAGCGCGAAACCAAAAGGCTGCCCTCCAAGCATGCAAAGGTGTCGTGCACCTTTTCTCACAATCAAAAATTTTGTTGGTACCCATCAAGGAGTATCCTGATCTTTTCCGCGTTCGTAAGTCACAAGATACCGAGCTGGTTCCCGGAGCTTATGTGCGAGTGAAGCGTGGCAAGTATGCTGGCGATCTGGCTGTTGTAGAGAACTTGAGTGAAAATGGTCTCGAAGTCCAGCTCCGGCTCGTTCCTCGATTGGATTATGGTCGAGCACCTATTATCGACACCGCTAGTGGCCAATCCAAGCGTAAGCGAGCTACTGCCACAGATCGCCCCCCTCAAAGGTTATTCTCCGCCAGTGATGCTGGCCAGTACGATGCTAGAAACTTACAGCGCCGTGGACAGAACTCTTACGTCTATGCAGCTGACACCTATGAGAATGGATATCTTATCAAGGATTTTAAGCTGACTTTGATTTCAACTGAGGGAGTTAACCCAACACTTGAAGAGATCACAAAGTTGACAAATGCTAAAGATGAGGGAATTGATCTGCAGTCTTTGTCGGAATCTTTACGTCGTGACACGAAAACCCAGGCTTTCCAGCCGGGTGAAATGGTCGAAGTTACCCAGGGTGAGCAGGCTGGTCTTCGTGGACGAGTAACTGATTCATCCGGTGACATTGTATCCATTGTCGGTACAGAGGGAAATGAGGGCGTCAAGGTAGCTGTTCCTTCTGGATTATTACGGAAATACTTTGTGGTTGGCGATCACGTCCGTGTCACCGCCGGTAATTATAAAGACGATACTGGTCTGGTTGTGCAGCGATCCAAGGACAAGGTCACCCTTTTGAGTGATTTGTCTCAAACTGAGGTCACTGTTTTTGCCAAGGATCTCAAGACAGCGAGTGATATCGGTGGTTCTAATGTTATTGGGCAGTACGCCCTTCACGATCTGGTCCAACTCAATGCCCAGACTGTTGGTTGTATCGTCGACATTGAACGTGAGCGTGTAAAAGTTCTAGCCCAGGATGGGCAAATTGTGGCAATTACACCAAGTGCGATTGTTGGCAAGATCACCAGCGGCCGTGAAGTAGCTACCGACAAAGTCGGTCGTCAGATCGAAGTGGGCGACAAGGTTCGCGAGGCAGGCGGTGAGCGCCGAGAAGGTACTATTCTTCGTATTTATCACCAATTCGCGTTCTTGCAGAATCGCGAGTTGACTGAAAACTTGGGTATTTTTGTTAACCGTGTCCACCATTTAATGACCGTGCAAACCAAGAACGCACGTGACGAACGCGGTTTGGATTTATCCAAAATGAACCCGAATGCAGCTGCGGGAGCACCCATGTCGATGGCACCCCCTCCTGCACGGTCGAATTTCAACGCAAGGCGAATTCTTGGCCAGAAAGTAGCCATTGGCGCCGGGTCTAGTTACAAGGGTCTGAAAGGCACTGTTCGTGACGTCAACGACACGGCTGCGCAAATCGAGTTGGAAGCTCGTAATAAAATTATTACTGTGGATGTTACCAAGCTGCTTTTCAAAAGCCAGAACGGTGGAGCACTTATCCCTTTCCGCGACTACATATCGCGTCCATCTGGTGGGCTGCGTACGTCTATGCCTCCACCGCGGACTCCCCGCCATGCTGCTGGCGCACAAACGCCAGCCTGGGCAAGCAACAACAACAACAACGGTGGCCGAACACCTGCTTGGGCCGGAAGCGGTGCTGGTGGTGGCCGTACTCCGGCGTGGGCTGGAAGTGGTGCCAGCGGTGGCCGCACCCCCGCTTGGGGTGGTGCTGGAAGTCAAACACCTGCCTGGAACTCTGGTTCGCGCACACCTGCTTGGAATGCTTCAGGTGGACAAACTCCTGCCTGGAACTCCGGATCAAGAACCCCGGCTTGGAATGCTGGATCCCGCACACCAGCTTGGAACGCTGATGGTGGACGAACTCCTACATGGAACGCCGATGGCAGCCGCACACCCGCATGGAACTCCAACGGGGGCACGACCCCTGGCGACAGCGGTCCTGGTTACTACTCTGCTGCTACGCCTGGAGTCGGTGGATCAGGCGTTTACGAAAGTGGACCGACTCCTGGAGCGTCGGGACCTTATGCTACGGGACGAACAATGGGTGTTGTAGCGACACCGGCAGCCTGGGGCGATGATGGCGACGATGATGTGCCCAAATACGAGCCTGAAAGTCCCTGATATGTAAGTGTCTTTAATTGAGCAAAATATAACACATCTCTAATTGTACATGCCCAGACAGTTTGGGAATCCTGAGTAATGAGCGTCAGCTTGGATACATCGTTAGGTCGGCTGAAGATCCAGCTGTTTTATGATGAATGCCCTCATGGGTGCGAGAATTTTCTAGCTCAATGTGCACAAGATAACTATGATGGAATCAAAGCCAAACGAAGCGAGAAGGGCTTCATTATACAGTTCCCTTCGAAAGCACCCAGCATTCATCCGGAAAGCGGAGTAGAAACAAGACCAACAATCAAGCATCAAAGGGTAAGTCTAAAACTTGTTTTTTCTTTGTTATCTGTTATGTACATACTAACGCAGGGCACGATATCGTTAACCAAACCTGGAGGGAGCGGGTTTTACTTTGCCTACGCGCGACAACCGGACCTGGACGGGAATAAAACAGTTTTTGGACGCATAATAGAAGGCTTAGACGTTCTTGACAAAATGGAGGAGGCCCAAACCGAAAATAATAAGCCTGTAACCGACATCACAATCGACGATACTGAGATCCATTTCAATCCGTTTGCCTTACGGAGTGTGGGCCAGCTTAAATAGAAATCTTAAAACAAACGAGTTCCACGCTTATCGTAGGTAGCGTTGCGGAAATTAGGCAACGGCTTGGCCTCGATCTTGCGTTTACGGCCCTCGGTGAAAAGGACATGACGCATGGCAATAGGGTCATAGCGCACTTGGGTCATGAGCGGGCAGTTACGCGGCCGGTAGAGGAATCTATTGAACCCGGTTTTTGCTGTAGAAACAAGCTTGATTAGTGTCAACCGCGACTTATTCTTGGCCATGGTTCAGGGAAAAGTGAAAAGTTGAAAGGTCGAGTTTGCTTATGTCATTAGGGGCTTGATAACTGGCGTTTGGCTCCCTGTTTTTGTTTCTACCAATGTCCTATTTGGACGCGCAATTCCCCAGCTTTGCGAGCGTCGTTGATAATATTCAAGATGAGGACGACCGTTTAAAAGCTCAGCTTGAGAGTGTAAAGGCTAAAGAGTACGCGGCCCACGAAGAAGCTCTCCAAACAGCTCGAGAAACCAATGCGAGGTTAAAAGCTACGGCATCCAGAATACTCACTGACCCAGATGCAGTCAATGAGTTTCTGAATCAAGTTGATGGGGCTCAGAAGGCACAGGTTGCTCCTCTTATTAGCCGAATCCAGGAGTTTCTAGAGTATCGTCAGAGCCTACAAGACGCGAAAGGCCTACTATCGATTGGAGCGGAAGTTTCCTCGAAAATTGAAACACAAGATCTCAGTCAAGCAAGCAGAATCTACGAAAAATCGCGTGATTTGATCAAGAAGCTCAGATCGATTGAGAGTGGTCGGAGCCACGAGATGGCCACCCAGGTCCTCGGTCAATATGAAGCCACCGTGAGCCAACCATTAATGGAAATGCTGCAAAACCGACTGTCAGCTGAGCTGCAAGCGTCTCAGTGGCCGAAAAAAGTACCCGACACCCTGGCCTTTGTTGAAGCCTTCTCCGATGCCTTGAGAGCCGAGGACGAAACTCAAGCTGTTCTAGAATCCTTCGCCGAGATGGCAGCACCATTAGATCTGCGGGTTCGGTACAATTTTGAGACTGATCGTGAAACCAACAGAGCAGACAAACCAGAATGGCTTCTGAACAATTTCTTCAAACAGGTCGACCCGCATATTCACTGGCTAACCACAACAGTCCAGCCGGTGTTGGAAGGGCACTTCCCTGATCGCTTCGCCTTGATAGAGCTTTGTTCTGCTTTGCTGCCTAGTTACTATCGAGTGTTACAATCTTACTTTGAACAAGTCAAGTACTCGCCAGACCTTTTGAACCATTTGATGTCCGAGGCTATCAGCTTTGATGATGATCTGCATACTCGTTACTTTTATAAACCTGCAACAAGTACCGAAGAACGCTGGAGTGGCTTGGCAACTTCTTTGCTGAACTTTCACCCGGAGTGGTTCGACTTGTGGCTGGAAAGCGAGCGTCAAGCAGCTTTTTCTCAATATGACGAGATTTTAGCGGCTCCTACGGCGTGGGAAGTTGATTGGGATGGTGCAGGTGAATTTTTCACCCATCCCACAGTCTCGGCTATTAATGTCACACAGCTTTTTGACACTATCACCGATGTATATCGGGACTTACTCAATCCCACTTCCCAGCTGCGTATGGTTTCTGACATCCAACTTGAACTTATTGAAAACTACCGCAGACTTTTGACAGAACGGGTGGCACTCTACTCAACAGTGCATTCGTCCCTTGGTCGGGCTGTAGGTTCAGTATCGGCTGAAGACAAAAAGAAGCTCCAAGGTTTGTCTGGTTTACACTACCTTGGTAAAGCACTAGGCTCTTGCGATTATGTTTTGAACTTTTTACGAAACAAATCTAATGAGCTCTTGTTTTTTGAGATGGCAGAGAGGGTTGGAGAGCCCTCAGTCTTCGAGTTGAATCTGCAAGAGTTTGAAATGCTCAAAGGACGAATCATTAAAGAAGCTGTAAAATGCATTTTTGAGGAGTTCCAAAAGGCAGCGAAGGCCTATTACCGCTTAGACTGGAAAATCGATTCCGGTCAGGAATCGAGCTCAGATCTTGCTCATATCAAAACACACATGCTGCCGTTTGTAAACTTTGTCGAGAAGTTAACCGGCAAGTCAGATTTTGCATTGATTATGCATAAACTCACTGCCCGAGTCGCAAAAAATATGTTCCAGACCGTGGTACAAGGTAATACTTTCTCTAGCGCTGGCGGGAGGCAGCTCCTTTACGACGTTGAAGATCTTTGGTCAACACTCGGCCTTGTCCATGACTATGAAGCTGTTAGGCTCTTGCAGGCTGCTCAACTGTTGAGTGATAATAATGCTCAGGCAACAGTGTTCGACGAATCTGAGCGAGCCTTCATCTTGAAGAGGTCAAGGCATTACTAGACTATTTAATTTAATTCTTGCTTTTAGGCAAGCATTGCTTGGCCCAGATCATCATTAGTTGTGAGTGAGTCAGGAGACCCTAAAGAGCTGTTGTACAGTGACAAGGCCTCATCTGGCCCGGAATTTGTCTCTTCGTCATCGCTAAGCTCTGCTGAGGCATCGGCGTACTGCCTCAATGCGTCGTCTTCGGGCATCAGCACTATAGGATGCTCTGGTCCTCTTGGTATACTGGGATCAACGTCCTCGTCGTCCGAGACCTCTGCTACCAGGCCTTCATTTTCATTGGCATCAGAGTCCTCATCTTCAATTCCAAAATGATGTTTTACAACGTGGTGAATAACCGGCCAGCCATAAGCATTGCTGAATCGGCGTCGAACAATAATATTATTATGGGCATCTGGTAGCAGCTGAACCAAGATTTTTCTCCACGACGTGCCTTTATGCCATGCACGAGCCAGCTTTTCTTCGGTATGTGCCTGCTCTACCATCTCGTCACGCTCGAGAATCTTGCTGCGGAAACGCCGCGGTGGTAAATCTTCTTCATGATAAACTCTGTCGTGGAAAATTACATCGCTTCGCTTAGAAGGGTCACTTAAGAATTCTTTGTCGGGATGAGGAGGCATAAATGCCGAGAACCCTGACTCTAACAGAGAAGTCTTTTTGGGGAGTCTGATTTTGTGTTTGTGTATTTTTTCTGGATTCAGAGGTTCTCCGTTTTCATCACGAGTTTGCGAATGCACAATCGCTTTTGCGGTACCTGCTTTGAATGGGTTCACAAATGGGTTCCATGTCGCCAACTTATACGAAACTCCAGTTTTTTCAGCTTCCTCACCACTTTTCCTGGGTTCTCCGTTTTCATCTAGATCCCCACTCGAATCATTCTCTCGCATTACCTGATCTTCGCGCTTGTTATCGTCTCTTTTGGTGTTGAAGTCATGAGCATTGCTTCCAGATTTGGCAGCACTTGCCTTTGCAATAGCTCTCCAATCAAGATATAATAATGATGCGGTACGTAACGGAACAATACCATCGTTAACAGCGTTAGCATACAAGGTCCGGTGCTTGAAACGAGCAATGACATCATGAGAGGGCCCGTACGGCAGCCGCTTTAAAATTGGTTTCCGCCCCGTGATTGACCTACTCATCCCCAGATCACGCCCGGATTTACCAACAATACCGAACTCTAGGGCCATTCGTACGTAGCCAGGGTTCTCAGATGTAATGCCCAAGAAAGGAGAGGCAATGGCAACAAAGTTCACCAGCTCGATGTTCATCTGTTCGAAAAATCTCGGTATTTTTTTCTCAATATACCCCAGCGCGTATGTTTGTACGAGTCCACCCAAAGAATGAGCCACGAATGAGATTTTAGCGGGATGATAAGTTGGAATTAGTTCGCTCATGAGCCAATCAGCAACTTTCCGGCCTTGTTTCTTGATTCCTTTTTCAGTTTTGCCTGCATTGCCCGTATATCCTTTGCAGATGATATTCTGACCTGTTTTCTTTGCCATAATATCGATATTTTCCTTAAGATAAAACATATCTGCCGTCACATTGGAGACAAGCCCATGGGTCAGCACCACCAAATGCAAAGGGACATCAGGCTTTGGATAAGGCTGCGACCACAGTGTTATCGTGTCAAGCATGTGTACTTTGAACTCCTCAGCCAATGGATCCGCACTTGGCGAGCCTTGGCTTTTTGCCGTTTTCTTGGAGGTCGCTATGACGATTTGGAAAGAGATCTCTGCTTTTGATGAGAACATGATATCACTGCATACATCCACAGTCCAGGTATGCTTTACATGATCCTTTATGTTAAGATCGCAATTGAATGACTGGCCAGCTCTCACGTTATTGTCGTAAGTAGGTTTCTCGGCATCGTCCGTCACGCGTCTATCCTCTCTGTACGATCCAGGACGACAATCCACATATAATGTGAAAGGCCCGTTGAGATAAGCTGCCCTTAGAGCACCCAGCTCGGTATTTGTGACGCGCAGTAAAAGCGATTTTCTTGGCGGCAGTCGGGGATCGGGTAAATACTCAATTATGAAGCGAGTCATGTCCCCGATATGGTGCTTACCGCTCATTCTAAATAAAACCAATTCCTCAGACATATCCTCTTGACCGGATACATTGTTGTTGCTTGCTTCAGAGCCGCTAAGGTCTCCTGAAGTAGCCTCTGCCATACCGGCTTTAATGGATTTGCAGCTGTAGTCAGCCTGGGATCGATTGTTCGCAGTTAATGCGGAGACGGTGCTAAAAAGTAATTAGTATAACCCTGATGTTTTGCGGATTTTGATCTATACCCTTGCTCTGATCTCCGTCACTGATGAGAAGCAGCTACTCTCCAAGATAGGTAGGTTATGCTGCCTCGCTGCATCGAACCTGCGGCCTGCGGTAAGACTACCACATTGGTTGTGAGACACAATGCCGGAAGCAATTATAAAAGAAGCCGCAGGCAATTTCTAGATCCTGTAGTGCTGTGATGTTGGTCGCCTCAATTTTGATTTCCCAGTTCTATCTGGTCTGTGCTGCACCAGCCCCGGCTGCCCTGGGTGGCCCAGGCCTACAGCTCGTACAGGAGCCCAAAAGCTTTGCCAATTCAACAGAATCTGTTCCTGATGGTGTCGTAATGATGCATTTGGAGTGTGTCGAAAAGGTTTTTGCAGACGAGGTAGTACAATCTTGGAACCTTGATGGAACATCAAGCGATGAGCAGTTGAAAGTAATTGCCGACCGGATGAACAACCGCTTGACTTACTACACTGTGAACGTGAGTATCGGTAGTCCACCTCAGTATTTCCCAGTCCAAGTCGATACTGGGTCCAGTGACTTATGGGTCCCTTCCAACACTTTGATGTTTGATGGCTTTGACACGGGTGCATCATCCACGTTTCGCTACGTCAACAGTCCATTCGAAATCCAGTATGTAAAAGATGCAGCCAAGGGCTTCTGGGGGATTGATACGGTTTCTCTTCAGGACAAGTTTACGGTAACAGATCAACAGTTTGGCATCGCGACAGACGCACCAGGGTGTGAGATTGGTATCTTTGGTATCGGACTGGCTGGCTCCGAATCCACCGACGAGGTATATGCCAATTTCCCTCAGAGTTTGGTTGATCAGGGCCTTATCAATAAGAACGTTTATTCAATGTACTTGAATGATCTTCACTCCAAGCAGGCAACAATCCTGTTTGGCGGCACTGATAAAGCGCACCACGGAGAGCTCGCGACGCTTCCTCTCGTGAGCAAAAAAGCTTTCCAAGTAAACATGTCCAACATCAGCGTCAACGACAAAAAGCTCCTAAGAGAGCCTATGCCTGTATTGCTGGACAGCGGAACGTCCCTAGTGTACCTGCCTGAGAAGCAGGTAAAGGCTATAGCAAAGTCTTATGGTGCCAAGTTCAACCCTTCTTTGTCCATGTACTTGATTGATGAACATGATCTCGCCCGCAAGAAACCCAATGGCCTCGACTTTACATTCGGCGATGTGACCATCAATGTGCCTCATGAAGAGCTATTCTGGCCCCTTTCTTGGTTTACCTTACAATCATCACCCTACTATGTTATGACGGTTATGCCTAGCAACTACAGTATGGACTATGTTATTCTTGGTGATAGCTTTTTGCGATCGGCATACGTGACCTACGACTTGGACAAACACGAGATCCAGATCGGACAAAACATTATCACCACTAATAGTGAAATCGTCCCGCTATATCCAGACAATCCTCAGTAAATTTTTGTTTTTGCCCTTACTTTCAAAGATAATTTCATAAGATGAAACACTATAACTCTATCATCACGAGGTTCCCACCAGCGCATGCCTGACCGAGCCGGGGAATTGAGGTTGGGGTTTTTCCGTGGCGGTTTTGCTGCGTTGTAACGAAATTAGCCGTCCACCCCATACAAGGTATGGCTGGTCTGCATAGGGTTAATCCGGCATTCCGGAAGAACCTCTTTGCGGAGATATGGACATGGCTATCACGCAATGGTCGTGTCCAGCTATGCTTGCACCTTTATAGACTTTGATATGCGGACCTGGTGCGGAGCAATCGGCGGCCCACCTCCCCCGTGGGGATCTGAACCAGCGTTTGAGTGTTGGTACATGACATTACATATGCGTCCGACACGGGAATGCATGAGGCGGCTAAGTTGTTGACTGCACATAAGACGCGAAAAAGAGCTTAAAACGCGTGATGCATGGGTTAAAGCTTGACTATTGTATATCCAATACCTCCTGGTTAGAATTATTGTGAGTTTTAGTTTAGGGTTAAAGAGCTTTAAGCACCATCTGCATAGGTAGCGGCATGCATGCTTAATTCAAAAAGCTCAGCTTTATGCACAGCGCTGAAGCCTGCCGTGAGGGGAGCATCGCGTCGCTATAAAGCATGTGCTGGGGTGCCTTCAACAACTCCGATTCATCTGTCGAAGATGTCACAGTCCGATTTCTCAACTAAGATCGAGTCCTTCGACTCCGAAAAAAAGCCCCAGGTTGGGCATGTTGAGTACCGAGATGAGGCAGAAGCTCGTACTGGCGGTGAGCCGCATTTTAAGACGAGCAAGCTGTCCAACCCATTGGAATCACTTTCTCGTGAAACCCTTCTGCGAGACGTAAACAGCTTTGCTGAAAAGTTCAACTTGCAAGACGTGGTAACAGACCTTGAGCACGGTGCGCTTATTGCCCAGCGTCCAACAGAGTTTGAAGATATTCCCGATCTTACCGAAGACGAAAAAGATGCGCTACGCAATGAGAAGGAGCACAAATGGTCCCACCCCTTCGCTATGTATGCGACCATTGTTTTGTGCTCAATCGGTGCTTGCGTTCAGGGTTGGGATCAAACTGGTTCTGCGGGTGCCAATCTTTCGTTCCCTACAGAGTTTGGTATTCCTATTGACAATAGCAGCAGTCCGGACTATAATAAAAACAACTGGATCGTTGGTCTGGTTAACTCAGCACCATATATCTCGGCCTTTGCATGCTCAGTGTGGCTTGCAGACCCCTTTAATCACGTATTTGGTCGTCGTGGAACTTTGTTTTTTGCAGCGATTTTCTGTATCGCCGCACCTCTCGGCTCGGCATTCACTCACAAATGGTGGGAGCTCTTCATCTGCCGTTTGCTGCTGGGCCTGGGTGTAGGTTTCAAGGAAGTCACGGCTCCTGTTCTTGCAGCTGAGAACGCACCCACGATCATTCGAGGTGCACTGGTCATGTCCTGGCAAATGTGGACGGCTTTTGGTATCTTTTTGGGGTACAGTGCCAACTTGATTGTGCACGACGTCGGCCGTATTGCCTGGCGTCTGCAGCTTGGTTCAGCTTTGATCCCTGCAGTTCCACTTTTAGCTTTGGTTTATCTTGTTCCTGAATCTCCCCGTTGGTATTTGAAACGGGGGAAGATCGAAAAGGCATGGGAGTCTCTTCTCAAGCTTCGCAAACATCGGGTTTTGGCTGCTCGGGATTTGTACTATATTTACGTTCAAATTCTGCAGGAACGGGAAATGGTTGGAAACAACAACGTTTTCAAGCGAGTGTGCGAACTATTTTACAAGAACCGTTTACGTCAAGCTACTCTAGCGTCTTTTGTCGTAATGATTGCCCAGCAAATGTGTGGTATCAACGTTATTTCTTTCTTCTCTTCGTCCATTTTCCAAGAAGTTACCGGTAATGTCACGCAATCAATGTGGGCATCTTGGGGATTCGGCTTGATCAACTTCCTGTTCGCTATCCCAGCATTTTACACGATTGACACTTTCGGTCGACGATCCCTTTTGCTGTTCACGTTCCCGAACATGTTTTGGACATTGCTCGTCGCTGGCCTTTCGTACCTTATCACAGATGGTGACGCTAAGCTTGGCATGATGGCCACGTTTATTTATCTTTTCACCATTTTCTATTCGCCTGGTGAGGGCCCTGTACCTTTCACATACTCTGCCGAAGTTTTCCCCTTGTCGCATCGTGAAATCGGTATGGCATGGGCTGTAACTGTTAACAATTTCTTTGCTGCAGTTTTGTCTTTGACGTTCTTCCGTATGAACGCAGCAATGACGACCACTGGTGCATTCGGTTTCTACGCCGGTCTTAATTTAGTGGCGTTTGTTTGGATCTTCCTCTGGGTACCTGAGACCAAACAGCTGTCGCTTGAAGAGCTGGATGATGTGTTCTCTATTCCAACTCACACTTTCACAAAGTACCAGACGTCTGTGTGGCTGCCCTGGTTCTGCAAACGGTACATTCGCTTTGACAAGAGCGCCGAATTGGTAGACTTACTGGACTACGCACATGGCACGCGCCCCTCAGATCTCAGAGAAGACGGCAGATTTGATAACAACAAGATTTAGGTAGTAATATATATCATCAATAATCCTAACTAATCACTTGCATCAGCAGCTGAAGGTGTCGGACCCCAGCGGAATCCAAACTCCATGGAAAGGAGGCCGATCAAAGAGCTTACGACGGATATAGACACTGGCCAAATGAATTTGTCGACATGGACCCATAGCGCAGGCAGAAACAGTATCGTTATACCCCATATTTGCGTCATCCTGGTTTCGATCAACGAAAACAGCATCAACAGCTGGGGATCACTGATAAGCCCGTTAACGTACGACTGTGCTTTCTTTTCAATGGGGTAAATGGACAGTCTGCTTGCTACACAAGCCAAGCCGAATATCAATGCTTGGGAAGTGTATAAAGCCCATACTGCAATCACACTCGATAGTAAGTTCAACCCAACAGCAACAATGTAAGGCATAGGGATCTTACTTGGCATGACCGCAGCCATTATACCGACATAGACAAGAGCAATGCCGTGCTGATCGAGGTAGAGTAATTGCTGTGTTCGTATGGTGAGCAACGTCGAGTTTGCTAACGTAGCACCAATGGAGATCAGTACTGGGCGAGGGCGCTTCCGAATATAAAAGCATATCCTCTCGATTGACGGTCTCGAAAACGTGATCTTCCCGCTCGCCTCATTCATGAGGTTGGGAACCCGTAGCGCATAACAAGTAGAATAAAGTTTCCGGACCAGGCTGTATTCGACAATCATCGTTAGAAACGCAAGCACTCTAAAAACCTTTAGCATGTAATACACGCCAAGATACTGGGCAATCCAAGTTGCCAAAACGGGGGCACAGACCCAGCTGAATCCCTTGATCTGTCTGAAAAGCTTCGTCAAAGCAGTATACGGCACGGACTCGTTGTTGGCCAACACCTGAGCCCAATCGTGTTCGATAACGTGCACCTGAATAGAATCGCAAGACCGCTGCAAGACAATAAGCAAAATAGAAACAAAGTACTTGAGCCAATAGTGGTTTTGAGTATCAACCAACAGCAGCGTGCAAATAGCCATTGCTGTCACTCGCTCGCCCACCAACCCATAAGCAATGGCGGCTTTTCTGGACTTGTTTTGAAGGAACTTGCCGGCCAAAAACCACAGCGGGCTTGCAGACACAGTGACCATTACTGAATAGATTGTTGCGGGAACAAACGATGTACCAAACACCTTGATTATCCAGACGGCGGTGGAGAGCTCGAACAGCCGTGAGACGAAGAAACTGAGAGTAAACTTGCCCAACAGCAGCTGCTTTTGGAGCGGAGAGGGGAAAATACGCTGCTCATAGTGGTATACGTCGTCGTCGATGGGAGGATCCGCCAATAACGGGGTCACCTCATTGGCGCTCGCCCTCGACTCCATGTATCATGCAGTGGATAAGTCCCAATAGGAGATGCAGAAAGTAAATAGCGGATGCGGGGAAGAAATGCTATAAATATGAAAGAGTGTTAACGCAGTAGAACGATCGAGATTTTTGTGCTGATTGCTGGGAAATGGGGCAAAGATGTTGTGGTATTTTCTTCACCCTGAACATGATAATCAAGTTGCGTAACCCATCCGACAGAAAACGGCACGGTGTGGGACTTGGTCGGGTGGGAGAGATTTAGAGGTGAATAAAATTGGAAAATAGAATAAAATAAATAAAACTAAACGTGCCTAAAAGAAAACTATGCACAGCCAAGCCCGGCCTTTTCGTATATTTAATATCTGGCCTTACCAACTTCCACCCAACTAAAGATGGTCAGCAGACATAGCGAAGAGGCGCCTGTATTGAATCAAGAGATCGTTGACTGGGCGAAAAAGAATCTCAAAGGAATTCCATTGAACAGTCCCAATTACGACGCTATGATCGGAGGCCTAAAGTACCAGTGCTGGGAAGACGACTTAGTGGAGCTGAGGACAACCGCGCACGAAAAGGCCGTAGATTATGAGGGCATCCGCCGGAAGCAGTTTGGAAGCACCAAGGAGTTTTTAGCTGCGAGACGGGAGGCCATTGCCGACATGTTTGGGCAGGTTGGCGAAAACGTGTACGTGGAAGCACCCATACGTTTCGACTACGGTCGCAACATCAGCGTTGGAGATAACTTTTATTCCAATTTCAACTTCACTGTACTGGATTGTGCTCCTGTGAGAATTGGAAACGATGTTATGATTGCACCTAATGTGACCATCATTACCGCGGGGCATCCCCTAGAGCCTGAGTTGCGAGCCAAGGCAGAGGAGTTTTGTCATGCAGTGACCATTGGCAACACGGTTTGGATTGGAGCATCGGCCACGCTTCTGCCTGGTGTTACGATTGGAGATGGCGCCATCGTAGCTGCTGGCGCACTTGTTACTCGCGATGTGCCTCCCCGTTCGGTGGTTGCCGGTGTGCCAGCCAAGGTTCTGCGCATGATTGACGAAGACAGCCCTGCATAGTAAGTTTTCCCCAAGGAAGGCTAACAAGCCCGAACTTGGCGAGACTCAGCGAGGGTCTGAAAAATTAGCCACCTGAGCGAGATGTACTAGCTAGGAACTCAGAAATAGGGCAGAATATATTTAGATCTCCATTATCGGATCGACGCAGTATACCGAGTCGGTGCATTTGTTGACCTGCAAGTTTCATCGGCCATACGTTGACTAGGGTTTGGCGCTCCCTGCGACCGGGATAGACCTACTAAGAGAACTTTTTTTGAGTTGGGAGTTCGTAGGGAGAGGGGAGGCCAGCCTGCCGACGGCCGATCTGTGACTAAGCAACAGTATCGGCAAGGTTTGGGCAGTCCTGCCAGGTTGACCCACCAACACTATTCACGGCAGTTAGCGAAAAAAGCAAACACTTGTAGGCAGCACAAGCAATCGAGAACAAGAAACCAGGATTTCAAAATAGAAACTCGAGTCACATAACCACCAATAGCTAGCGAGTGTTTTTATAAGAAAAGCATGGTTTTTTCACTTTCTTTACTCTCAGATCCAAGAAACGTACCTGGTTGATTACCGGGATATGCATGGCGTCATCAAGCTTGCGTCAAGCGCAGTCTAGTGCTGCAGAGCCCGACGTAGACCGGTGCGTAGAGGGATTCACAAGTCTATGTGAGATTATAGGAAAGTAATATATTTTAGTATTCCAAACAAATTGAAAGATTATCTTCTGTGTAGCTGGTAGTAGGACTAGGTAGCCCCGCCCTGTTGGTTGAGTGCTCTGGTGTTTATGTTTTTAGCTGATGATAAACCAATCAGGCAGCAACCCAAGATGGGATAGGGCCTGCCTGCCGCCGACAGTGAAAAAATTTGTTGATAACAAGTTAGAGCCTCTACAATGCTCGAATAAGATACGAAAAAGGATATAAATAAAATAGCATTATAGAGTACGGGCAAAACAATCGAAACAGATAAAATGCAAATGTTTCCCAGGTCCTCTTGACCCCAATGAAGTCATCGGCAACCACGACTGTTGTTTACCTTGAAACAGTCTCTTTACATCATGCATAGGCTGCCACAGTCGAGGGTCGGACCCTGCCACAAATACCCAAATGAGTAATAAGTCTGCAGATCCGACCAATCAGAAGGCCCCAACGGCGGTGGGTGCATAATGAAAACAAATGTTACATCCCAAACACCGGTCAACATTATATAAACGTTTGCCGGCCACTTTCTTTCCTTTCCTGTGCGTCATGAAGGCCTCTATTGCGCTCTCTGTTTCGGCTCTCGCTGCTGGTGCGCTGGCTGCTCCCCGTAATTTCACCACTATCCAGCCTACCGGATACTTTGATCCCGCTGCTGCTACCGCGGTTCAGACCACTTATCCCAAATATCACCACACCGTGAAGGGCCGTCTTGTTGACCACATGTGGCACATCGTTTTGGACAGCGCCGACTTCGACGACGCTGCTGCCAACGAGGATTTGCAGGCTCTCGCCAAGGAGGGTATCCTTTTGACCAACTACTACGCCCTCACTCACCCTGCCCAGCCCAACTACTTGGGTATGGTTGGTGGTGATACCTTTGGCCTCACGAATGACTCTTTTGTCGCTCTCCCCAAGAACATTTCCACTCTTGCTGAGTGCTTCGAGGACCAGCGTGTCATGTGGGCTCAGTACACTGAGGACCAGCCTTTCACCGCCTACGACGGCTGGGAGTACCGCACTCCCGGCACTCCCGACGACTCTCCTGCTCAGTACTCTCGTGCTAAGAACCCCTTCGTTGCTTTCGACTCCGTCATGTCGTCGGTCAAACGTTTCGTCAACTTGAAGTCTCTCAAGAGCTTCTACAACGAGCAAGAGTCTGGCCATATTGCTCAGTGGCTCATGATCCGACCTAACACCATCAACGATGGTTCCAACAGCAACCTCTCTACTGCTGCCAAGTGGGCCCGTGACTTCCTTGAGCCTTACATCTCTTCGAAGAAGGAGTACCACCGCAAGCTGTTCGTCCTCACCTTTGCTCACGCTGCCACTGAGGATGCCCCTAACCGGGTCTACACCTTGCTGCTCGGTGATATTCCCAAGAAGCACCGTGGTACCACCGACTCCATGTACTACGATCACTACTCGATCGCCTCGACCACTGTTGCTAACTATGATCTTCCTACCCTTGGTCGTCATGACTGCCGTTCCAACGTTTTCGCGCTTGTCAACAAGAAGTGCCACTTCCACAATACGAACCGCACCATCGATCCTAGCGATAATTACAACTCCCAGCGCAACACTGGGTGGCTCTCCTCTACTGAGGTTCCTTTGCCCATCCCCAACCTGAACTGCAAGGGTGCCGGTCGCAAGTACGTCCCCACTAAGGTCAAGAAGACCTGGAGAAAGGCTTCTTACAGCTACTACCAGTGGGTCGTCAACTACTAATACCCTTAATAGGCATAAATTGTGCGAATGTTTGGGGCCTTTTAATTTAGCGGTCCATATGTTTAGCATTAATTACAGTTTACATTTGTTGTTTAGACAGTTTTAGCATCAAGCGAATATTTGCTCTTGCAGTTGGCAAAGCTACTTGAGCCAGGTCGGCTTTGCAACCTGGGAGGCAAAGAGTGGGCAACTGCTGCTGTTACTCTCCTTTGGCTCCTTTGGCTCCTTTGGCAGACCGTCGTCACCTCTTCAACTGCTGCTGTCACTGCTCCTTTGGCAGGCCGTTGACACCTCTTCAACTAAAGCGTTTAAGGACGGGTGCAAAACCCTTTTTAGTTTTATTGCTTAATGCAGTTAGCTATGGATAGCAGTAACCGTACTATATATTAGACTTACTCGGCAACGCGAGTGTAGGTCTTCTGCTTAGAGTGAGTGATAACGGGCTTGATGATTCCCTCCTCCTCAAGAGCCTTGAGGGCACGGCGGGCAAGAGAACCGTTAACCTTCAGACGGTCGACCAAAACGGAAACAGTGAAGAACTTGGAAGCACCGGCCTCCTTGAAAATACGGTCGTACAGGGGCTGGTCGAGGATGACGTGGTGCTGAGCCTTGTCCTTGACACGCTTAACAGTCTTCTTACGAGACTTACCACCAGCCATGGCGGCGGCGGCCTTGGCAGCCTTTGTTGTCTGAACCTTAGGTGCCATTGTAGATCTTGTAGTGCGGTTAGTTCCAGAGTGGGAGCGGTGATGTTGTTTGGCCGGGCCAGCATCATGCCCTAAGCCCTAAACAATAAGCAGTGTTGGTTATGTAAGCTCCGACTAACAACACCCTCTTCGATCTCTCCCGGAGAGGTGCCTGGAAAAACGTAAGCCAAATCAATGTCAAAACGACGCGCTGAAGACGAGCTCACAAAGGATAACCAGCCCCTGGACGACGAGGAGGATGACCCCAGATTTCTGCCCGTGGATCCCGTGAAGCGGGCCTCCAAGGATGTTTTGGCAGGACGCTCTATTGCCAAGCCTCGCTCGCTGCTTCGCGGAGCAGGCTCTGGTGGAATCTCGGCGCCCGCCCTTGCTGCCAATCCGTTTTCTGCAAGTCTTGGGATCAAGCCGGTTGCGGAACCCAGTCAGGAAGCTGCGGCTCCTCAAAATCCATTCTCGTTTCTTGGATCCAAGCCAGCGGCTTCTGCATCCTCATTTGCAGCCAAACCGGCAACTTCTTTGGTTTCTGTGTCCGCTAATCCACCTACTGGTGCCCCAGCGCAGTCGCACAAACTCAAGGTCGCTGCTTTGAATACTAAGTTTGCAGAGACAATTGCAAGCTATGCCAAAGGCAACTCAACGGGTGACTGGACCAAGGCATGCCAATCATATATTAATTACCGCCAGCAGCTTAACGACAGCGCTAGTTCCAGTGTTAATGAGCCTTCAAATGTGACTGCCGATGTGTCTATGGAGAGCGAAGCTCCCGCTGAACAGGAAAAGTCTGCTAGTACTTCATCGTCAATTACATCTAATGGGTTCAAGTTTGCCGGCTCGTCAAACGATGCCGGGTTCAGTTTCGGAGGCAAGACTATTAAGAATGAGGCTGTCGACAGCAAGCCGTCGAGTGTGCAGGGATTTGTTTTCAAATCTGATGCCGAGAAGGCAAGCAGCTTACCGTTCAAAGTAGTGGAGGAAAAACCCACAGAGAAGCCTAAAGATGAGCCCAAGGAGAAACCAGCTTTTAGCTTTGGTACCCCAACTACGGAAAAACCAGCTTTCACGTTTGGTAGTAAGGATGCCTCAGAGTCCAAATTCACATTTGGTGAAGCCAAGGACGACTCCCCTCAATTCAGCTTTGGAAAAGCAGCTGAAGAAAAGCCCAATTTCACATTTGGTCAAGCTGCGGAGGAAAAGCCCAAGTTCAGCTTCGGCGACAGTGGCGACAAGCCCAAGTTTAGCTTTGGCGCGAACAGTGACGGCCAGAAGTTCCAGTTTTCAAGCGGTGCTGCTCCCTCCGGAGACAAACCGGCGTTCAGCTTTGGCAATGCCAGCAACGAAAAACCCAAGTTCACATTCGGCCAGGCTACTGACGGCGAGAAGCCCAAGTTCACATTTGGCGCGTCTACTGCGTGGACTCCCGGCGAGAAGATCAACTTCGATCAGCCGCCTGGCAATGGTGAATCCAAAGCCGAAGAAACCACCAATGGAGATGGAGATGGTGACGAGGGTGCTGGCGAAGAAGCTCAAGCTGGCGAGGGTATTGATCTTTCTGGTAAAGGTCCCGGTGAAGAGAACGAGGATTCCGTCTATGAAAAGAAAGCTAAAGTCTACGAGCTTGTCGACGGTCAATTCAAGCCGGTCGGGCTTGGCAACTTGCGAGTGCTCGTGGATAAAGAGACCAACAAAAGCCGAGTGCTAGTTCGTGCAGACGGCTCAGGCCGCGTGCTGGTGAATATCGGCCTACGAAAGCAATTGAACTATACTCACGAAGGCAACGGCCAAGTGAAGATTTTGGACTTCTCTGCTGCTGATAAACCGCCTGTCACATATCTCGTGCGGGTGAAAACTGCCGCTGATGGCGAGGAACTAAAGGCGAAGCTTGAAGAGGTGAAAAACTAATGAACTTTCTAGTGTTTATAGATGGAAGCGTCGAGCACATTAAATTATACCAACAGGAAGACCCACATGGGAAACCGCGTTCCGCCCCACTGGTTGTCACGGCAGCGTGGCAATCCAATGGAAAGTCTCATGTTGGTCAAATTCGTGTGGGGTCCGAGGCATAAAATACGCGGGGGCGGTATCGGCAGGGTTAGGTAAAATTTCCGAACTGGCATATGACTCTTGGGAGAACCTGACTATTTCTTACCACAAAAATTCGAGGGGCTTGAACCAGGATCAGATTTATCGCTTCTTCTTTGTTTCTTGGTCGGACTAGCGCAACAGGTTTAATATATTTGTTTGCGTCAACGTTAATTGAGAGAGTTTTACGTTCCCATCCAAGCCATAGCCATGCTTTCTCGAGCACCAAAAAGTCGTGCGGGCTCCGCACCGCACTTTGCCCATCAGCTAGCTGCTGCTGTAACAACTGGGCCGGCCGCAGCCGTAAAGCCACTACCGATTCTAGCAAAACGCACGTTCTTCTCCTCAGCTCTGAGAGCAAATGACGACAATCCCACGCCCAAATTCGTCAAACGCCCCGAGCCTGCACCCTCGTTCAACACCGAGGACACCTCTTCAGCAGAGAGCAAACAGCCTGCAACTCTGATGGACGATAGCATGATTGGTATGTCTGGTGGCCAGATTTTTCATGAGATGATGCTCCGCCACAATGTCGATACCATTTTCGGCTACTCGGGCGGCGCCATCCTGCCCGTTTTCGACGGTATCTTCAATTCCCGCCACTTCAAGTTCATCCTGCCTCGCCATGAGCAGGGTGCAGGTCACATGGCCGAGGGATACGCTCGGGCCACCGGAAAACCCGGTGTCGTTGTCGTCACATCGGGCCCCGGCGCTACCAACGTAGTCACCCCTATGCAGGATGCTCTTTCTGATGGTGTGCCTATGGTTGTTTTCACCGGCCAAGTGCCCACTACTGCAATTGGAACTGACGCATTCCAGGAGGCCGATGTTGTTGGTATTACTCGCTCTTGCTCCAAGTGGAACGTCATGGTCAAGACCATCGAGGAGATGCCCCGCCGCATCAACGAAGCTTTTGAAATCGCTACTACGGGCCGCCCTGGTCCTGTGCTGGTCGACCTGCCCAAGAACGTTACCGCGGGCATTCTTCGTAAGGCTATCCCTACTGAGTCCACCATCCCCTCTCGCATTCTCGCTGGTCTTTCTACCACTACCGTCACTGATGACCTAGTTAGCCGCCCTATTGAGCGGGCTGCCGAGCTCCTCGCTGTTGCTGAGAAACCTATTCTCTATGTCGGCCATGGTGCGATGGGCGATCCCCGCTCCGCTGAAGCTGTCCGTGCTTTGGCTAAGAAGGCTCAGATTCCCGTCACCACAACTTTGCATGGTCTCGGTGCCTTTGACGAGGAAGACCCTCTGAGTCTGCGTATGGTAGGCATGCACGGTTCTTTCTATGCTAACCGTGCTATCCAAAATGCCGACCTTATTATTGCCGTCGGTGCCCGTTTCGACGAACGTGTGACGGGTAAGATTTCCGAATTTGCTCCGGCAGCCCGTTTGGCCGCCCTGGAGGGCCGCGGTGGTATTATCCACTTTGAGATCACTGCGAAGAATATCAACAAGGTCGTTGAGACCACTGAGGCGGTTGAGGGTGACATTGCTCAGACACTTCCCTTGTTTGTTGAGAAGGTCCACGCCGTGAAGAGCCGCCCCGAGTGGCTCGGCCAAATCAATGAATGGCGCGACAAGCAGCCTTTCCGTTATGAGGCTGACGACGAGGCTGCTGCTATTCGCCCCCAGACAGTTATCAAGACTCTTTCCGAAGTTGTTGCTCCTATCAAAGACAAGGTTATTCTGACTACCGGTGTCGGCCAACATCAAATGTGGGCTGCTCAGTTTTACAAGTTTACCCACCCTCGAACTATGATCACCTCTGGTGGTCTTGGCACTATGGGCTTTGGTCTCCCTGCCGCTATTGGTGCGAAGGTTGGTCGTCCTGATTGCCAGGTGATTGACATTGATGGTGATGCTTCATTCAACATGACTCTTTCTGAGATGGGCACTGCCACGCAATTCAACATTCCTGTCAAGGTCGTTGTCTTCAACAACGGCGAACAGGGTATGGTCACCCAGTGGCAGTCCATGTTCTTCGACGACCGTTTCGCCCACACTCATCAATACAACCCATGTTTCATGACCCTTGCCAAGTCAATGGGCTGGAAAGGTATCCGTGTCGAGAAGCTGTCCGACCTACGAGCTGGACTTGAAGAGCTTGTCCAGTCTACGGAGCCTACTATTTTGGACGTTGTCGTTGACTCCAAGGTTCCTGTGCTTCCTCTTGTGCCCGGTGGAAAGGGCCTTGATGAGTGCATTGTATATGATGAACAGGTCGAAAAGGAGCGCCGGGAGCTTCGTCGCGAGAGACTGGCACGTCTTGCCGAAATCGAACGCCGCGAGTACGAGGGTTAACGTTTTTTGAGCCGCTGTCAAACAAAATAACATTATGCGACAATATCTTTGCGCCAGTTTGTCTTTTTTTATTTTTAAAAAGAACAAGTAATTATCTAAATCTTAAGTCTTTCATTGAGTGTGTTTTGATATATCCTCATAGTATGGCAATCTATGGCTCGGTTTTAGTTGGGTTTCGCAAGAACCAGATTCAACCGTGCGAAAAGTGATGTTAAAGAAGTCGTGGACCAGTCTGTTTAGTGGGCCTCAGCAACCTCCTCGATGGGGAACCAGTCCTCGGAGGTCTGGGCGACGGGCTCGCCAGAAGCGGTCTCAGTCTCAACCTCAACAGTAGAGTTGGCATAGGCATCAACCTCGGCGGCGTCGCCCTCAATAGAAGGAGACTTGGGCTGAGCGGGGACAGCGAACTTCTTGACGGTGCCAGCAGCGTCGCTTTCGGAGACGGGCTTGGGCTTGAAAGCCTTGATTTCACTCAAGTAGAGATCCTGCAAGAGGTCTTTGCGGGGGACCGAAGTGGAGAAACGGGCCACAGCCATACGCCGGCAAAGCACGCGAGAAATCATTTTGAAGAAAGAGAGCAGAGATTAGCCAATCACTTTGGGACTTGTATGGGTTCGTCCACGCTCGGGGAAGACCGCTGACTCATATGAAAAGTTACCCGGACACTGAAAGGTTCACGGGCGACCTCGAGGGGCTGTAGTGAGCGAAGCTTCACTTCACAATCGAGTGAAAAAATAGGTTGCTTGAAATGGACCCAGACACTTGACAGCAAAAGCATGCACAATAGTAAATAAAATCTGCAAAAGACCGGAAAAATTTCTGCACCGTTAATTCGCAGCTCAATCGTGTCCTGTATCCAATATGTACCTATAAATCATCCATACAAGTGTTTTGTTTAACATCCAAAACTCCAACAACTTCTGGGGTCGTGTTTGGTGCTGTTTTATTCGCCGACAGCTGCCCGGCATTATCTCTGGTCGGTTGTGGACCTGAGTGTGGGGAAGCTGCAAGTGATGTCAGAAGTACGCCCCGAAAGATACGATGTACTATAAAATGCGACAATTCTGTGGGTTCATGTATACCTGCTGAATGAGTTGATATTAAAGGAAACACCATTCAATCATTGCTTTCCTAGTTGCCTCCACTAACTGCCAGGTCAACCTCTGGTGAGCGGAGGTTAGGGTCTGGCTCAACCTCCTGGATCGGGGTAGCGTACGTATAAATACGGACTTGGCACCGCTTGACGACCCCAAACCGTCAGCTACCAAACAACTGCACTCTATGATCACTCGTGCTTCTCGGATTTCTCGCTCCGCGGCCCTGCGTACCTTGACACGCAGCACCCGGTTTGCGTCGACCTACAAGTTTTCCTTCCCCGATTCCCATGCCAAAATCGCCAATCCCGTAGACACACCTGCCTTTTTGAACAATGAGTTTGTTCCTTCAAAGGCTAGCAAATGGATTGAGCTGTACGACCCGGCCACCAACGAATTGGTGACTCGTGTACCCCAAAGCACCCAGGAGGAGCTCACTGCCGCAGTCGACAGTGCTGCTGAGGCCTTCAAGACTTTTGGAAAGACCACTGCTATTAGCCGCCAGCAGATTATCTTCAACCTCACTCGTCTTGTTCGTGAAAATATGGACAAACTTGCTAGTCTGATCGTCATTGAGCAGGGCAAGACCTTTGCTGATGCCAAAGGTGACGTTTTGCGTGGATTGCAGGTTGCCGAGGCTGCTTGCGGTGCTCCTCAAGACCTTACTGGCACTGTTCTCGAGGTTTCAAAGGGCATGGAGACCAGAATGTACCGTGAGCCTCTCGGTGTTGTTGCTGCTATCTGCCCCTTCAATTTCCCGGCCATGATTCCCTTGTGGAGTATTCCCATTGCCCTCGCCACAGGCAACTGCTTGATTCTCAAGCCCTCTGAACGTGATCCCGGTGCTGCTATGTTTATCGCTGAGCTCGCTCGCCAGGCCGGTGCTCCTGCTGGTACTATCAACATTGTACATGGCCAGCACGAGACGGTGGATTTCATTCTCGACGAGCCCCGCATCAAGGCAATCTCGTTTGTTGGTAGCGACAAGGCTGGTAAGTACATCTATGAGCGCGGTACTGCCAATGGCAAGCGTGTCCAGGCCAATTTGGGCGCCAAGAACCACTGCGTCCTTGTTCCCGACGCCAACAGAAACCACGCTGTCTCCAGCGTTGTTGGTGCTGCCTTCGGTGCCGCTGGTCAGCGCTGCATGGCTCTGAGTGTTCTTGTCACCGTTGGCCAAACCAAGGAATGGGTCAACGACATTGTAGATGCTGCCAAGAAGCTCAAGGTCTCTGGCGGTTTCGAGAAGGACGCCGATCTTGGCCCCGTCATTTCCAAGCAGTCCAAGCAGCGTATCATCGATATAATCAACCAGAGTGAGAAGGAGGGCGCCACAATTGCACTCGACGGCCGTCAGTACACTGCTGAGGGCTATCCTAATGGTAACTTTGTTGGCCCCACCGTCCTTACTGGCGTCAAGCCCGGCATGCGTTGCTATGATGAGGAGATTTTCGGTCCGGTTCTTGTTGTCGTTGACGTCGATACCGTCGAGGAGGCTACTGACTTCATTAATGCTAACCCTTACGGTAACGGCACTGCCATCTTCACCCAGTCTGGTGCCATTGCCTACCAGTTCCAGCGTGACATTGAGGCAGGCCAGGTCGGTATCAACGTCCCCATCCCTGTGCCTCTTCCCATGTTCTCTTTCACTGGTAACAAAAAGTCCTTCTTGGGTGACGCCAACTTCTATGGTAAATCCGGCACATACTTCTTGACCCAGTACAAGACCGTCACTTCTTTGTGGCGCAGCGAGGATGCCAAGCAGGTCGAATCTGCTGTCAACATGCCTACCCAGCACTAATTGAACTTTTTTATCTACCCCATTTTTTTTTCTCAATTATCTACATAGCCGAATCAAGCAGAATCCAAAAAGAAAATGATCTCGATGACTAAGGAACTCTCTAGAAAGCTTGGGCCATTTAAACCTCCCACTAATTTTCCTTGTCAAATCAATTAGGATTGCTTGATTATCATGCGACTTAATCTGTTAGGTATGCCCGCATTTGCGCGGGCGTCGGCAAGACAATTTGGAGCCAAAAGACTGTTTCACGCCTCTATGCTTCGCCGCATGGAGGATCCTTACAAGATTTTAGGGGTGGACAAGACCGCATCGGCCAAGGACATTAAGAAAAAATACTACCAGCTAGCCAAAAAGTACCACCCAGACGTGAACAAGGAAGACGGTGCAGACAAGAAGTTCCAGCAAATCCAGGACTCTTATGAGCTTCTTTCGGATGAGACTAAACGTGCGCAGTACGACCAGTTCGGCTCTGCTGCCTTTGGCGGTGCAGGAGGCCCTGGCGGCCCAGGAAATGCTAGCGGGCCGTTCAACCCGTTTGGAAATGCAGGAGGATTTGGATTTGGTGGACAGGGTGGCTCTATTAACCTTGACGATCTTTTCTCCGCGTTCACAGGCGGTGCAGGTGGCGGATTCCGGGGATTTGGCGGTGCTGAGAGTGCCCGGGCTAGACCTGGTCCTCAATTGTACAAAGGTGACGATATCGAGATTGTCCAGTCAATAACCCTCGAGGACGCATCTACAGGAACCACCAAGAACGTCAAGTATTCCGTCGTTGATGAATGTGGAACCTGCCATGGATCTGGTCTCAAGGCAGGAAAGACGTCTGAGACCTGCAGTGCCTGTAATGGTAGCGGCTCGACGGTGCATCTCATGCAGGGCGGGTTCCAAATGGCCTCGACCTGCCACACCTGTGGAGGCAGCGGTGTGGTGATTCCGCGGTCCAGCCAGTGCTCGTCTTGTCACGGTGAAGGTGTTGTCCAAGAAATGAAGACATACAACCTGGATATTCCTGCTGGCGTGGCAGATGGTATGAGGTTGCGTGTTGGCGGAGAAGGTGATAGCCCCGTCGTTCGCAAGAGTGCCGATGTACGTACTCAGCGGGGTGATTTGTATGTTCGTGTCCATGTCAAGGAGAACCCCAACTTCATCCGTAACAAGAGCGAGCTTATCTACAGCGCTGAGATCCCCATGACCACCGCAGTTTTGGGTGGAAAAGTCCCTATTCCTACCCTTGGTGGTGCTAGAATCAACATCAACATTTCTCCGGGCACCCAGCACGGAGATCACATCACTATCCCTGATCAAGGCATGCCTATGCTGAATCGACCAAACGTCAAAGGTGACATGCGTGTGAATCTTAAAGTTCGTATTCCGCGTGCTCAGGATGCTACTCAGACAATGCTATTCGAGGCACTGGCTGACTCTTTAGGCGATAAACAAGCCAAACGTATTTACCCACCCATTTCGGAAGTGCGTGAAGACGAGCATGACCAGTCGCAGCCTGGACTGTTGAAGCGACTGTTCAATAAACTCACAAACCATCATGACAAAAAGTGACAGGCCATTAAAGAGGACTAAAACTAGAACAACCTAGGCCATTTTTGTACATAATTTTATTGACATTTTTCCTCGGAATTACTTGTAGAGCATCATTTCAAGGTGATTTAACCATTTGGGATGGGCACCTGGCCGGATCCAACATGATTTCGCGCCCATCAAGTTAGCCATAAGAATATCTGTAGCCAACCGATCGCCCACAACGCACAAATCGCTAGGCTTGTAGCCCTCCGAGACAAATTGATCTCCCAGGGTCTTGTAGCACATGGGCTTTTTTTGTTCGTGCCTAATAACTGGTACGTTCAACACACTCTCCAACTCCTCGGCAAGCTTCCCGTGCGGATCATGCTCCAAATCGCCGGCAGTGTTGCTTAAAACGTACACTTTGTACTCTTTCACCAGCTCATCCCATCTGGGTTTGAATGCAGGCCAAACTTCCAAGTGGTGGGGTTTGGCAAAGCAGTTATCTTTATCGAGGATTAGAACCTTAGTGCCTTGCGGTGGTTTAAGGTCTGCAAATGTGTTGACGGCCATCGTTGGTCGCAGGCTCTCACGATTTGCAGCTGCCCATAACGTGTATCGAATCTGAGCTAGTATAGACATTGTGATTAGAAGCCCTCCAGCTGCTATGCACGGTGATTAATAAGCATGATGGTTGCAGCAAAATCATCTAGAGATTGGAAGGGACCCAAACCAAAACATTCAACGGCGTTGCTAATATGGAATTCCAAACTTGTGATTGTTTCTTGCAGTTCAGCTAGCACTTTCTTTTCACAGTCGTAGTGGGTACAGAACGTTTTAATAATAGCTGCAGCCACTGGACTGTATTTCAATGCTCGGGCAGCAATTGTCAACTCCGTAAACTCTTCTTGGCTGGGTAGGTTGGGCTGCATGTCCTTCAATGTGTTTTCCATAAGAATCACGTCCGAATCGAGCTGTCGCAAGTCTTTATCATCCAGCACTTCTAGCAGTGAGGCCTCTTCAACAATTGGCGGGCTAGCAAGGTCCATTTCCTCCAAAAGCGTATAATGCATGTAATTGGCGGCCGGGGGCACAAAAGTCGGAAGTGATCTTACATAGGTCATTCTCGTATAGAGCTGGTTCAAGCGGTTCGCCAACATAGCACACCTCTCTACTTCAGCATAGATGTTCTTTTTGCAGATTAGCGAATCATAGCAGGAGCGGCGACGAAGGGCCTCTTCCAATTTAGCATTTACAGTTTCGTGACGCCGCATCAGTTCGGCGCGGCGCGCTTGGGGCTTATCATCATTCTGGAACCGAGAAAATAACTTGGTAACCATACAGCGGAATCAATAGTACAAAAGAATTAATAGTATAACAGAATATGTAACTCAAGATAACAAAGCTTTCTTCCTTCCTTCCTACAACACAGGCCATTGTTGTGCAGTAAATATTTCACTGCTCGTTTTCATTTCTAATCAATTTACTATTTCACGACATGGAGCATTGCAGCCTTTGCACGGAAGAGCTCAAAATACATGCTCGATATCCGTGCGATCACGAAATTTGTGAGAGGTGTTGTCTGAGAATGCGCTGGTTGATGAACGACAACACCTGTCCATTCTGCCGTTCATTAGCAGACGAAGTACACATCACGCGAAACCCTGAAAACATCAAGCACGAGGCCTCACTTGCTCTTAAAAAACTGGGTATGTTTTGCCAGGACGATGCTATGAAGAAACAACTGGAACACCTGATGCGTTATCCTTGTCCTAGATGCGACAAAGAGCTTCTCACATTGAAAGCCCTCAAGGAGCATGTGAGTTCAACGCACAGATCTAATTTTTGCATGGTTTGCGCTCGAAATGCTTCCCAGTTCTCAGATGAGTATGCCCTGTTTAATGCGTCTGAGTTAAATAGACACATGAACTCACGGCATCGACGATGTGAGTTTTGCAAATGGACATTTTATTCACCAGACGATTTGGCAAACCATTGCCGTAAAGAGCACGAATCCTGCTTTATTTGTGACAAGCGGGACCCTACGAGACCACAGTATTTCGCCAACTACGAGAAGCTTGAAGAGCATTTTCAAAAAGAACACTACGCTTGTATGGTGCCAGAATGTATAAACGACAAGTTTGTGGTTTTCGCGGACCGTGTAGAACTTCAGGCTCATATGGCTAGCGAGCATCCAGCGCTTATTGGAAAATATTTCCGTGGTGTCAACTTGGCCGAAATGGCAGCCTCTGCCCCGAAAGGAGGAGCGAAGCCTTCAGAACAAGAGAGCAAGGAGTTGGCGCAGAGACGATATAGCGAACGGTTGAAGATCTATGCGAATCACGATCAAGAGAAGATCCAAAAGATTTTGGACGCCAATTCTACTTTTGAGAACAAAAATGTTCCAACTGCTGCATTTATATCAAGCTATAACAACGTCTTGGATGTACCCGATGACCAGATTACCGTTTTGCTGAAGGAGTTTTCGAAAATCACTGTCGCAAATAACAAAAAAACCCAAGAGCTTTCAAATGCCCTGGCTCACCGCATGGGCGCTGCATCGGCAGCAGCAGCCACCGGCCAAGAACCTGCTCAGCCAGGACCCTCTTCGCGACCAGGATCATCGTCCACGCCCAAACCCCCTGTTCTTGGTGGCTGGACGAATTCTAGAGTGACTGGTGCTATCAACGTCAAAGAATTACCTCGTTTAGGTGAAAGAAAGCGGGCAGACTACCTGTCGAAACCTAGCACGGTGGTCAAACCACAAATACCCGGATCATCTTTGCCCCGTTTAGGAGCAAAACCTAAAAAGTCAGCTACAGGTTTGATCGGTGGTGGAGGTCCTCAGACTAGGCTTCCGGCACTGGGATCCCGATCAGATCGAATCCTACTCAATGAACAGCTGCGCTCAGGCAGTGTGTCCCCAGCCCCTACATCGTCCTCGGCAGCATCATCGCCGTCAATCTCACGTTCGAGCACACCCCGTGGTAGCGGTGTTGATTTGACGTCGCTCCCCCGGCTGCCTGGAGCAAAGAAATCAGAAGGCAAGAAGGGGCCCACCAAGGTATTACGAATTGTCTAATGAATAAATAGGTTGTAAATAGACTCATGCCTGTAAAACGAGTAGATTCTGTTCGTCGCAGCTCTGGCGACATACCGGGCACTCTGAGTGCACTCGACACCAGCCCGAGACGCAGCTCCAGCAGAAGATGTGGCCGCATTTTGTGGCGGTGGGGCTCCTAATAGGATCGAAACACAGCGAGCACATGCGGGAGTTGGAGGGGATTTGAGGCAGCACATCCGGATCCTCAAGATCAATCTCTGTTGATTCAACTAGTGTCTCGGGGTCGGCAGCTCGGTACCGGGCTCTGACAGCATTGACCAGTTTCACAAACGCTTGGGCCACCATCAACAACCCAAGAAATTCGTAGCTTCCTTTAGGGTCCAATGGGTTAACTCGGTGACCAAAGGCGTACCGCAAACCGAAAATGCGTTTAGACAGTTGGTAGTACGAGCCAAAGAAGTAGAAGAGAGCCAAGTTCACCGTCGACACCATAGCCGGCTGAACCGACTCCACTACGGAGTAAAGCAAAGAGTCATCCTTGAGTCGAGCCAGAACCTTGGCCTTCAGCTTGCCAAAGTAGCGGTGGAGCAAAATAGGCATCAGCCCCGCAGTCAGCACATACGCACCCCGGCGTTTCCAGTTGGGGATCTGCGACGATGGCGTCAAATAAAACAAGTCCGTATACTCTTCACCCAGCGTCCGTGCTCCCACCAAGGTTGTGAGAGCAAGGTAACTAAACGTGCTTGCCGCGTCGATTTCCGGACCGAGCGAATTGAGGAACCGGACGCCCTTGAACCACTGAACTAGTTCGCGGATGCCGTCCCGCAACTGCACCTCCACATATGTGTCCTTCTGGTTCGCTCGAATAATATCCGGAGCATTCGCAAACGGGAAATCAAGTGCGTTCTCCCTGCTCATGGCTATTTGGCACTTTTCGCGGGGTAAAAAGGTTTGTTTCAAACTCAGTAAGCTGGGTCATAAACCCTTCTCTACCCCTCCAAGCTGCAAGTCTGACAAACCGTGGTAGTTTTGCGTATCTATTACTAGTTGGACAGACCCCTCTACAGCTGTTTTTGTCATTTCAACCAAACACGGATTTATATGAGCGTGAAAAGACGTCCAGTTGAGAACGAGGCAGTAATGCCGAACGTGCTCGATTGGCAGCAGTTGAATGAGAATATCCCTGATGCGCGACTGTATGATCACTTGCTTCGTCTGGCAATTCTCGTGTACCGGCTCGAGCCACGTAGATCGAGCATTAGTGAAGGTAGTCACGTTAACGGCCATCAGAGGAGCTCGTCTGTTGGCTCGATTAAGGTGCATATACACGCCAAGCTACCGAAGGGCGCTCTAAAAACACTAATGAAGCATTTGAACCATGTTGCCATGAATGCCACGGGAGAGACGGCATACGATCAGGTCCGCAGATCCTGCTACTTGTCGTTCTATGCGATGGTCCTGAATGCTAAAACCGCGGACCGCGATACCTATGAAGATATGAAGACGAAACCGGAGTCTTTGATTGTGCGTTTCCTGTCGTGTGTCAACAAGCAGCTGGTCAATTATCCACAGTTACAATCAACAAAGACCACCAATGAGTTCAGTATTGATTTCGTCAACCTTCTACTTACAATTGTGCGCCAGGAGAAAGGCACGGCTGCGTTGGTCCAACAGCTTGAGGACTACAAAACTCAATGGCAAACAAGGCAGGGCTCGGTCTCGTCTTCAACCAGCTCTAATCAGCTGAGCAAACTGGTTCGATCTGATGAGGCGTCGTTCGATATCAAAGAGATGGACCTGGCTCAGTACGTTGCCCAAATCATGGGTATCTCGCAGTCAATGGCCCAAAATGATATCACCAGACTCAAGTCCTCTGTGACAGAACACTCGGTTGCCCAAGAACTCGAAGCTTACCAGGAAGCGTTGCGCAACAACCAACATCACCTCTACACAGCAAAGGATTTCAATAGCGCTCAAGAGTGGGAATCCTGGAAGTTGACTGAAATTCGAGCGGTCGATCAGCTGAAACCGGCCACAGACGAATCGCTGGCTGTTGGTATGCAAAATTTGTCCATGGGGCAAAGTTCAAATCTCTTACCACCTGAGCCCAAATCATACTACCTGGCTCTTTTACGCGTTTGCCTAACCTACGATTCCAAGCTGCCTAATCTTCTGTCGAACCAGTCGAACCGTTTGCTCAATGTAGCTGCAAATTGGTGGCGTATTTCACCTGAAACCCGCTCATGGATCATTATGTGGGCTGCTAAAGATAACTTCGATCAGGGGGCTCCTGTATCGGTTGTCATGGATGCATTCACCCTATCGCAGCACTTGCCAAAAGTTCTCCAGGATCCAAAGACTTGGTCTGCTGTAGACCACTACTTTCTGGCAAACTGTTTGGCGAGCATTCAAGCCCAAGCATACGCCAAGCTGGATAACATCCTCAGAAGTATTTTCGAGTCAAAAGTACCCAAAATCGGACCATATATCGAGCTTATGGAGGACTATCTTATTAAATGGGGGTCACTGAGTATCTCCGAGAGCAGCATTTCCCGCTTGAAAAAGGCGGTTGAAGCAGCTGCCGTCGCTGAGTACGATAGGCTCCTAAGTCGCGTACCCCGGGATTCCTCTTTAGACATTGGTCATATTCACGATCTTGGCCAATGTATTGTGAACAATGCGAAGAGATTGCAGAAAAAATACAAATATCCGCTTTTCGATAAAATCGCTATTGCGAAGCTGGTATGCGCAAAGCAGCTCAAACTGTTCAGTGTTGATTTTCTACCCATGTTCAAGCACTGCTCCTCTTCCCGCGAAGACTCTGAGCCTCCAAGCTTTGAGGATTTGATGGCTTTGTATAGTCTACTTGTGGAGATGCAAGATCTTTACAGACAGGTTTCTTTGTCGGATGGTTTCCAGTTCAATATTGAGAGATTATTGTTCCCATTCCTTTACGAGTGGGCTAAGGATTCTAGTAAAATTGCTCAGTCCTGGGTCGAACCGGCAATTGAGCAAGATGATTTCCAGCCCCTCGATGTAGAGAATCATGTGGTGCATTCCAGTTCTGTAAATGACTTGTTTGCATCGTTTTACGCCCCATTGAAGTTGATGGATGATTCCCAATGGAGAAATCAGTACCACGTGGCCAAAGTTTTGACTACGTTGGTGGAGGGTATCAGCAATGCGATCGGATCGTGGGGGTTCAAAGTGTATCTCATGTTTTGCCATGAGCTCAAGTATACCAATATCAAAGGTCAGCAATATGCATCTCGTCAAGAGCGCTGGCTAGCTATGGCCAAAGAAGCTGTAAATCAGACGAGTCGTGAGCCACCGGAGCCCTACCAATTCAAGATGGAGACATGCGTTCGGCTGAATGATATCGCTAAGGCCTATGAGCTTTTGGCCAAAATGGAAGAGAATTTAAATTCTGATGCTATTTCTAAGCGTATAAGCATCGAAGAGAAGCGTCAGAAACAGCAGATGGCTCGCAGCTACCTGTTTACAGTTTCAGTGGTTAGTGCATCGGGTCTTGTTCCCAACGAGACAAAGGGGACTCGAGATACGTATGTTACTCTGATTGATCAAGAAAATCGTAAACAAATCGGCAAAACTCATGTGGTTTATGGAACAACAGAGCCCAAATGGGGCCAGCAGTTCGAGCTTGAGATTAGTTCTAAACCCAAGCTTCTCAAGGTCACAATTTGGGATGAACTTATGGGCAGCAATCATGATCTATGCGGGCGTACGATGCTCAAGCTCGACCCCAAAGATTTTGGCAGTCGGGACTATGGCACTGCATCCAGATGGCTGGATCTTGATACCCAGGGCAAAGTTAAAATTGATATCTCGCTGGATGTTCAACAGGATGATATTCGATTTTACTTTGGAAAGGCTTTACGCTTTCTCCGCCGAACGCAAGACGAAATGGTGCAAATGATCGTCGACCAGTTTGCACCATTTGTACAGACAGCAATATCGCTCCCTACTATTAACTCATTGTTGAATCGGGGCCGATTTGGTATGGACACTTTCCAGTCGTGGCTAGGGACCAAACAGGAGTCTAAACAGCCGCTAACTGCTGAACAAATAGAAGACGTGCTGCAGCCGTTGTTCGACTATCTCAATTCCAATTTTGCTATTCTGGCCAGTGTGCTCACTCAGGAACTCAAGATTAGCGTCATGTCCAAAACTTGGGAGGTGGTGCTGGATACAATCGATAATGTGCTGCTCCCCCCATTGGAGTCTCGTAAAACTACGCAGAACCAGCTGTCTCCCCGTGAGGTTGAAATTTTGTTCATTTGGCTGGCAGCACTTAAGGACTTTTTCCATAATGAAGGAGCTGGGCCTGATGTGCAGACCCTACAGGGCCAGAAATACCAGCAGCTTATGAGCATCTCAAACCACTATACGCAGAGCACAGCGGAGCTAAAGGAAGAGGCCGAAAAAGTACATCGTGCCAATATGAGGGCATTTACTCAGACCTATGATCTCATGGAACGATCCCAATCGTGTATGTTCCATCGAAGTCGAACAGTCATGCAACAGAACCGGGAAAAGCTGCGGCAATCCCAGCTGGCAGCGCCCGAGATTGATAATGTCATTTTGCGCATTCTCAGAACACGCGGTGAGCTCGCCTTTATCGAGAAGCATTTGCGCTACCGCGAAAGAACTGCACTCAAGCGTCAGACTGATCTGACTCTGCAAGGGTATGCAGGTTAGTATATATAAATATTTATTTTTAGGGCTCTATTGAAAGCCAATCATTTGAAAAAATCAGAGATTTTGCCTTGCTTGGGATCACCGGCAGCATTTCTTTTCACACCTCGTTTGCTTGGTGACGCCGGGCTGCTTAAACTGAGTGGCCGAGGCGTTTGTTGGGCCTGAAGCTGTTTCGCGAAATGCCAATCTTTGTGTTCTTGTTCGTCGGCAACTTTGCGACGGCACTTATCACACCAATACTTTAGACTTTCGTCTTTGCCATCGTCAACAAATAAAGATTCAAAGAGTTTTCGCTCTTTTGGTAACTCTTCAAAGTTCGAAGCATCCAATGCTAAAAGTGTGGTGCCCACTAGATTCAATGAAACAGCAACCGGAACAACAAGATTATAGATTGCTTCGGAAAGGTTTTCCTGCGGGACTGCCATGAGGGTTTCTCCAGGCACTCGTTTGCTTTTATTGTTCTCGTTTTTTGCCCACTTGAGGGTCAAAGATTTGGGACGGAATTCAAGTCCATTGTTATCGACAGCCAAATCATGGAGTCGTCCGGAAATGTCTGAACTATACACTTTCAGCCAATCTTTGACATGTTGCTCGGTTTTGACACCGGCTCGGAATTGCTTGACACTTGCCATAGACTTGATAGTTGTTCGTTTCGTGATTTCACATGTTAGAGCCCCACGGCATAGCTTGTGCAACGCACTGGCAAGCTTTTCATCTTTAAGTTTTGATTTGAGCTGGTCAAAAGATAAATCGCGAATGTAAGAGAATTGGTGGTCGTCCGGCAACGATAGTAATTGGGTGACCTCGTCTCCAAGTTTCCCGCCCCACCCCCAAGCGTCTCCCAGCTTGAATTTATCCAGGAATTCGGGGATATGTGAATTGGTGACGACCGTTTGATTGAAAGGTTTGTTACACCCCGAGCCGAGCTTTGCAATGACCTTGGACGACGCAATGCCGGCGGAGCAGGTGTACTTGAGTTTCTCATAAACCTTTTGTCGCAAATCATACACTATTTTGTTCCCAAGTAGTATGAGAATGTCATGCCACGTCGAGGGAGTTTTATCGGCAAAACAGAGGCCATATTGCTCGATATCAACTGACTCGGGAACCGGCGGCAGTTTCGACTGGGGATCGTTCGATGATAATTCAGGAAATCTGGCCTTGGCAATCTGATAAACTTGGGGTCCAAGATCAATAAAGCCCTCATCTATACCCGCTTTCTCAACAACCGGGCACTCGTCCTTGAAAATTGCAAAAATTTTCCTGCTCTCGCTCCGAAACAGATCAAGACTCACCTTATGGCTTTCCATTTCTGGCTCATCTCTCATTTTCCAAGTCGTCTCACCCTTTTTGAACGTAGCAACATGAGGCAGATGGACCCCTGGACATAGTTTTTTTACTTCACTGATGTTCATACCCCGCTTGATCCCGCATTTTCGTGCTGGGTAGTTTACGGCAATCACAGATCCCCATTGGCGGCAGCACAACGGCTCTGCAGGGTCAATATTCGCATAAACCCCTTGCACTTGAGCATAGAACGCGTCCAAATCCACATGCGCAACAACAGCCAGCGGAGACAGCCAGCTCGTGGAAGTAGCCAGCTGCTCAAAGTGCCGCTGAAGTTCCATATGGGTTTGTCATTCTTCACATCACTCGCGATTTTTTTTCATGTGAGAAATTTTGAAAAGAGCTATTCTGTGAGCGTGCAAGTGACGGAGCTATAGAAAAGTATGGACACTGATGACAAGATGTCGCCCCAAACGGACTTATTGTGACGACTCGACTTTGCCAAACACTGAAAATTCTGAGTCCAAATACTAACTAGACTTGAACCACCACCTACACTGAGATATGTATTGCTGAGCGTGAGGGTTAATATAGACTATAGAAGTTTTACATCCAAGGTAGTATCAAACCCACTGCTGTGATGAAAAGGCTGTGATCTCATTACGACGACTTATGTCACACCTACCCCTTCAGCTGAGAGTTGGTGCTCTGCTGATAGGAGCCACAGCGGGCTATGGCTTTTGTGTGGACATTCTTAAAGACTACGGGATTAATCTTGCAGGTTATTTTGATGAGGTACTGAGCCCTCGGCGAGCCTCGGTTGAGGTTTGGCGGACAACTCGCAACTTAGCGTTGGTATGGGCAGTTGGGTTCACACTGACTCAATTGGAAGAAAAACTATTTGAAAACGCTGCAAGTATTGTGTGCTGGATCAGTTTATTGACGATTATGGCAATTTTATTCAGACATGCACGGTTTAGGCGCGTTTTCGGGCGCGTTCTTATCGGCGGTCTAAGTGAAGAATACAGACTGGGCGATATCCTTGTGAGCGACTCACTAGTGTCGTTGGCTCCCGTTTTGCTTGATGTTGCTCTGGCGGTCGCTATGCAGGTGAATCATACCAAAGTTACGGAAATAGACCGGGGTCTTGCTGGCCAGCCCGTGCTATTAGTGGCCAGTTTACCCCTTGGTGTCCGCATCAAGCAGTGCTTTTTAGACTACCGCCGAACTAGAAACGCACAGCACCTTGTCAATCTGGGCAAATATTTTGTGAGCAACATCCCCAATGTGCTCAAGATTCATGCTTTGACTTCACCGTCTGCTAAGCAGTATTTGCCCATTGCCTTAGCGGTGAGTTCTGTTTACAGCTTGATCTGGGACTTGAAAATTGACTGGGGTCTTGGAAGAAAAAACCGAGCATATTATTTCGATATGAAGTGGTACTATTTGGCCTCAGTTCTCGATATAATTCTCCGCTTCGCCTGGATAGCTAGCCGGCCTTATGAGCATATTATTCTCCTCCTCCAGGTCCTCGAGCTATTCAGAAGATGGGTATGGATCTTTTTTAGAGTTGAAAGCGAGTGGACGCCAAGAAATGATTTACCAATGCAGGAGTTATAGTATATTTTACCGTAAATAATTTATTCGCATTCAGCGGCTCTTTGTCTTTTTCACCATCTGCTTGCGTTCGGATTTAGGTAAATAACGGAACTTCTTCTTGCGAATCTTAGGCTTGGGCTTGGGCAAAGGTCCGCTCTCAAGCTCTTCAACGTGCCGTGCATATTCGTGGGCCCGTTTGGTGCTTTCCTTCAAAATCGCCTCGGCTCTCGACATGTCCACATATGGATCTAACTGAATCTCCTCGACAGTAACACTGGTTTCGTCTGCACCGTCTGTGTAAATTGTGCGCTTTTTTAGAATGCCAGAGCTGTCTGAGAATCCAGTGAACTCCTCCTCCCGCTCCTGTTCTTGCTCTTCGTCCTCTTCATTGTCTCCGTTGATTGCACCATTGATTGCCTTTTCGGCTTCCTTCAGTCTCTCCAGATCTTTCTCAATACTTTTTTGTTTTTCTTGACGGATTCTCTGGCGCTCGGCAAGCCGCTCTTTCCTGGCAATCTCCTCGGCCCTTTTCTTGGCCTCTTGTTGACGCTTGACCTTGCGTTTGTGAAATCCTGTCAAGTATTCTTCACGAGAATCACGGTCAAAAGATACACTCTCGACTCTAGCCTGGCTTTTCTTCTTTGCATAGACCCGATCACCTTTCGTCAACAAAGCCTGATTCGAAAGAGCCATGGTGGATGACAAAAAAAAAAAAGATGACATTTTTGAAATATTTAGATCACAATATATATATATATATATAAACTACGATGATTTAAGGTGATTTATGGCCGTAAACAAAAAAGTGTGAAAATGCGTCTTCAGTCGCTAATTCTTCTTTAACGAACCCATAAACCTCCATTAATAAATAAGGGAACCTGCTGGTGAAAAAATTGAGGTATCCCGATGGAACTGCTCCAACCAGTTTCTTCATTTCAGGAGTAAAGTCATTATAATGATGGAACTTGTTGCGTAAAGCTCGAAGCAAATCGAAGATACGATCCCCATGGTACTTGCGATACTTGCCAAGATTGTCTAAGAAAGCTTGCGGGAATCGTGCAGGCCAGTCTCCCCCAAGAACTCGGGGGGCTCGCCTTTCCAAGCTTTCCAGCAGTGGGCTGAACTCTTCACGGCTCTCGTTTTCCAGTCGGTCAGAGACCTTGACCAGAAAATCGAGTTTTTCGTTGTCGCTCCAAAACAGCGGATGCTTGAGAATCTCTGCAGTATCGGGCCGACGCCGAGGATTGAACGAAATCATTTGGGAAATAAGGTCGCGAGCTTCAATTGCAAACGGGAAACGATCAAGCTCGTCCAGATTGAAGTTTTGATTTTCAATGTTGATCTGACGAGATACTCCGTCGCCAAATGGGTGCTGGCGAGGCGATAAGGTATAATAAAAAACACAACCGAGCGAGAAAATATCAACTGCTCTTGTGAGGCGACGCGATTGATTCCGCAAAACGTCCGGCAATAATACACCACTAGACGAAGAGTCGGTTTCTTTCGCCAGAGTGTAGCGACTATCCATTGAAATCTCTGGGGCTGTCCAACCAAGCGTTCCAGCATTTGCATTGGTGGTTGCTTGGAAGCTTGATTGTTCACCTTCGAGCTTTTTGCAGAGACCAAAGTCCGAAATCAACAGTCGTGGTGGACCATAAACAACTTTGGATGACTTCTTTTTGTCCTTAACATGCATAGGTTTTGAGTATGCCACAAGAATATTCTGTGGCTTGATATCTCGGTGAACAATTTTCAAGGAATGCAAATGATGTAGTCCTTCTGTGATCTGACGGAGAGTGTCTAAAGGACGGAGGCGAGCCTGAAGATCCAACAAAATACTTGAAGTAACTGTTTCACGACTACTTTCACCTCGAATGACCTCTTCAAGCGACGCTTGACAGAGTTCGAGCGCCAGGAACAAACAGTCTTCGGTTTCATGATTGCAAAAGTACCGAATCACGTTTGGGTGATCATCACTCTCTTGAAGAATCTCAACTTCCTGGGATGCAACATCATAACAGTTACGAACCAGCCGTTTAATGGCCACCTCACGGTTTTGAAAGATGCCCTTGTACACAGTGGTGCCATGACTTCCAGATCCAAGGATTTCCTGTGTGAGGAGAAAAGGGCCCAGCGCGCGGAATGCATCAGAGTTCTGGTTTACAAGTTGCATGGAGTCATCAGATTCAGATTCGATTGCTTTTGCCGCTGTCTGTTCGGCGCGTTCTTTGGCCTCACGAACCTTTTTACCGCCTCTTGACCCCCGCTTACGACGCTGCGGTTTCGTTTCGCTGTCAACAAGAGTATTTAAAGAAGCTGTAGAAAGTGAGCTGTGCAGCTTCGAGTCGTCCGAGGAATCTGGTTCTACCGTGGTCTCCTTCGATGGTTGAACCACAATTTCGGGTACACTTTCGGTTACCACCGGCTCAGCGACCGTAAAAACTTGACGTTGCTGATCCTGAACGGCCCTTTGTTGTTCTTGCTGCAATTTCCACCATTTCCACAGCTCAATCATCTCATGGGGCCCAGGGACCAAGCCCTGTTTAGACGCCAAATAAGCTAAAAGCAACACGGTCAGGAAAGTTGCGACATTCTCAAGAATTCGACCAGTTATGACTTTGATAGATGAAATCACAGGTGGAGGTGGATCTATTAGTTTTGGCTGGTCATTCCCGTCAATCCCGGGTCTGTCTGGCTGAGGCAAAGAGGGCTCCAGGACCATTGATCTGATCTGACACCATTCCGGATGAACACCCACAATTAAACTAGCGAGTTCGTCCAATGATCTGAAAGAGCGGTGGGTTCCAACGCACCATGGCGCGCTTACTGAGCTGCTCAATAATGCGTTATAGTTTGAACCAGAAAGAGCATAGAAAGCACCTTCTGGTGTTTGCCCAACATACATGTCGTTACTACGAGGGGCTTGGTCATGAACTTGGAGCGGCGGTTGAGGCACAATAACTAGCTGAGAGCGTCCTCCACCGACATTTTTTGATGGAGTAAGAACGTCGAATACTTGAACAGCGGTAGAGGGTACCTGAACCACCCAGCGATGCGGGCGGTAGTCATTTGGTGCCATTGCAATCATTGTGTTGTTGAGGATTGGAGTGATATACAGGGAATCCTGAGGTTTTGTGTACTGCCGAACCAGATCAATGTCTCGTGAATTAGAGGCCCAACGAGAAAAGTAGAGCCGCCAAGCTTTAGAGGTAGCTTTGTGATGGATTTCAAGAACGTAGTCGGTGCGCCCAACAAGCAGAGTTCCCGACTGAAGAGGGAAGAAATCAGACTCTGGGGGTGCCTCGCAGGCCGAGAATTCGACGGCTTTCGAAAGTCCGGATCCATAAGAATGGATAACCTCGCCAGTCGTAGCATTCAACGTATAAAGAATTGTGCTCTTGGAACCTGTATAAACCACACCATCGACCATGGCGAACGGTGCCTTTTCAATGAGGTCTTTGATGGAAGCCGGGATCCGCTCCAAACCCGAGGATGGGTTGAAAAAGTAAAGACCGCCGTCACCGTCAGGTTCGGTGATCCACACTGTTTCCAGATCTAGAGCCTCTCGTTCGCCCATTACTTGTTCTACCCTCACTAAGGGCTCACCGTATAGCGACCAATGAAGAGCACCAGTGCGTCTTTCTCGGGCTTGGAGCGTACCATCTATGGTACTGACCAGGACAAAATCAGCAAGTTTCCAATCGTCTATGGATCTTTGCGCGAGCATCAATTGCCCCGGTGGAGAAGCAGTCGAAGGTGGCTTAACAACTAGAGCGTTGTTTTGCTCGACTGTTTTTGAAATCAACGAGCCCCAGCCATAACCTACCTGCGCCTGCTGTAAAAACAGCAGGAGAACGGTTATGAGAGGGCCAAACATTCTTGACAGTCTAGTCTAGCTGCTCTCTACCAAACGAGAAGAGTTTCAGGTCTAAGTTTGAGACTTTGGTGATATTATTAAGCCCCCAATGGAAGGTCACGTGTGGGTCAAGGTTGAGATAGAAGGCACTTAATGTTGAACATTGTGTTTTTGCTGAGAAATCTCATTCGGGTTGTGAGTTTATACTGTACATAATAAGTGAAATAGCGACCATATATAGTCGAAAGGGAGAGCAGGATTAGCGTTCAGGCTGCTGATTCGTCTGTCTATTCTGACATTGATGTAGGGCCCTGGTAAGTTCTTGGCCAAGACCATCGATTCCAAATATACGCTCAATTACTTTAACCTGATCTTCCAAAATCATTTCAGGCCGGCCATCTTGGTAGATATAATCGAGAGCGGGCAGCTGGCAGCCTTTAAGATGGGTGTCGGCCAAAAGATGGTCCAGGTGCTTTGCACCTTCCCACGCTTTCCAGTTAGACCACAAACGATACAAGAGGTAAAATCCGGGGACATTGGGCACAACTGGTACAAGGGCGATAGGCAATGTCAATGGCAACCCGACTGCACAGTAGAGCATGTGGGTTTTGTGCCTGGAAATGCCAGCGGTTGCAAATTTGCCTAGCTCCGAGCGTGCTTGCTCAAATGTCATAGCAGTGGTGGGGTACACCAACTCTAATGGCTCGAGGTCTTTGGCCGAAACCCCGCTCGCCAGAAGCTCTTTGGGCGCGACTAAATCACCGGTTTCCTGCACTTTACGCATATAAGTGTTCTGCGAAGGAACTGTTTTGAGAGACCATTCCTCGTACGGGATTCGCTCAAGTGCCCAATTCACGCCGGCGACGAGCCGTTGTTTCCATTTGGTTGGCGAGGACTCGAAATTCGCCCATGTTTTTGCCGCTTTGGCAGCGACACGGTCATCGAACCGCGGCTTTGATCGGACCTTGGGCAGAAGGGCCTGTTGACAGTATAGAATTGACCTATTGCGCGTTAGCGGTAGCACAATAAGTCTCATGGTCGACCAGAAACCTTAGGGGAATAAGACAGTGGCTAAAATACTGCTTACGCTATAAGCATGTGTGAGCTTACGTAAGCACGCATTCGGCGTGGGAGCAATTTCATCCAACCGTCAAGGAACATCTCTGGCGGCCACCATACTATACACAAAAATTTTCTCTACTCCAGTGCCCTAACCGCAGGAGAGTGTATCGAGGACAAGATGAGTTATTAAAATCATGAAAAATGCAAATCTTTGGCAACAGCACACGAATACCTGGGCTTTGTATCAATTAGTTAAAAATATACACCGTTTGCTATTAGTTTATTCACAGTGCTCGCTTCGGACTCAAAATTTGATCATGCATGCAGACTGCACCCGCGTAGTTGAGACCTTACCCGAAACTATGGCAAAGCTTCGAATTTTGGTGCAGAAGGCGCAGGCGAATAAATGGGGGTAATCGGGAAAGCGGTGTCGACGATTGAATGCCAGTGTTAATCTACCGGAATAACGCTACGGGATTGAGCTAGGTCTCTATGTGTCAGACCGAAGAACTTGTCTCGCCGTCCCGTTCAAAAGTAACACCCACGATACGTTGTTATCTGAACCCCGTTCTGAGATCCGCATGAACAATCCTTTGTGGCAAACATAGTCTGGTAATTGGGACGATAGAATTAGCCTCCCTAGTGTTTGAGAAGCTCCATATATACCCGTCACCTCTTTCCGTACGTGGTATCGCCTTTGCTACTGCGGTTTTGTCACTTGCTATCTTCGTCTAACTCGGCGTGTTGTCTGGTCAGCAGCTGTTGGGGCTTGCATAAGACCGCATATTATGCATGGCACTACCGTCACTTTCTAATTCAACCCTTACTCAACCCCCCACAAGGCCAGAGACAGCGGCCTAGCCAACTGAGTACGCAGAAGTAAATCTTCGATCAAAAATAAGTAATGAGTAGCCTCGCTACGGGAACTTCAGTGGGGATACTTGAAAGCCAACCTGCGAAGCCGCTGGTTGGCCCGCCTGCGATTGACGAAAACGTCAAATCGGAGACGAACACCCATCACGATACAGATGAAGACAAATTACCCACAGGCGCTAGTGCCACTGTGTCGAATGACGGCGACTCGGAGGGCGAAAACACCGATCCCGAACCTTTAGTGCAGCAACTCGACGAGCAGCAAAACGACACAGCGCAGACAGATGCCGGCCAGCGACCAGACAGTGTGGATGGCTTGGCATCTGTGGGGGTGCCTGTTTTGCCCGAAAACACTTCCAGAATCAATGATATCCGGTTAAAGCAAACTGAACTCGCCGGTCATTACTCTACTCTCGCGGGGGCTCTGGCTGCGGCGCTGACAGGCAGGGCCAACCTCTCGGTTGCAAAGATAGATACCGCGTCACTTGCCGACCCGGAATCCACTATTGTGGCCGAAATACATTCAAGCAACAGTGGGTTGCGTATGAAGAAAGAAAAACCTCTTAATTTATTCAAGTACCAACAGCGCCAGATCAAGTCTGCGGGTGCTATCAACGTTGGGGTGATTTGGCGAGAGTTTTACAAACAAAAGGCAGAACTGACGTGGAGAATGCACGAAGAAATTATTGCCAAAATCTCCGGCCTAGAAAAGGGCCGCCTCAGCCGCATGCGAACTGACCCGGGGCCTCTAGAGGTCATCTCAAATAACCTGAACGTGGTTCGCAATTTGGGCTCCGATCCGCGTCTGCTACCAACAAACGACAAAAATATCGAAAAGGATATGAATTTGCTACGACGGAAAATCGCCGCCTCTAAGAAAGACGGCGATCAAAGTGATGACGACGATGACGATATTGACGAAGAGTACCCCTCAGAAAAAGAGCAAAACCTCCATGCATTGCTTTATGAACCTACACAAGAACAGAATTCTTGCCTATATAACCTTGCTGTTGTTGCCCAGCCTGCTTCAGATCAGTTGATTGATCTGTTATCTGTCGGAAACAATGAGCTTTCTCAGTCTCAAAAGCCTCTTCAGCAGGATCCAGTTACTTCTCAACCTATCGCTGTACAGGAGTACTTACCGCCAACTGCCCAGCCTACTAGATACAACAGTGGACAGGGCCAAGAACAGCATATTCCGGTCAAGGCCCCAGAGCTTTCGGAGCACAAAGAAATCAGTTCAGCAATAGAACCACAGATGGCCCCTGGCCCGCGATCAAATCCCATTACAAAGTCTGCGTCCCATGGTCCTACTCACAAGAGAACGTCGTCTCAGACCTCCACGAGACGATCATCATCGCGACAGCGTAAAACTAGCAGCAAGCAGTCTCCACCCCAAAAGCGGCCCCGAGTTGACCACTCGCCGCTAGTACCACCGGTTCAGATGTCTTTGATGAACAGCCAAATGGGCCAACAGGTGCCAATGAACCAAATGCATATGCAACCCCAACAAGTACAGATGCCGATGCCTGCTGGCATGCAAATGTCTATGCATAGCCCGCAACAAGTTGTTACTGCTCCACACCAAATGCCAGCTATATCGCCTATGAACCCACAATCTCAGGTTTCTAACGGCGTCCAGTCCATGTCGTATTTGCAGCCTCAGATGCTTCATCCAATGTATCAAAATGCCCAGCAAATGCCACCACAAATGCAGATGGCTCCAATGCAAATGCAAATGCCAATGGCTGGCTACGGAGTGCCCTCAGGGTACGAGCCACAACAGGCTGGCATGCCTGGAGTTCCGATGAATATGTACCCTGGCGGAATGCCTCCCATGATGCCCGTCTACGGTGACATGTACTTCCAAAACCCTATGATGCAACAAATGGCAGCATACCCACAGTTTGATGATAAAGGAAATGCTGTTTATTATTCTGTTGCCCAGACAGGTACTAATCTGCCTTCCAATTGAGATCAGCTTAATCGCTATCTGTATTATTTAAATAAGTGAGAGTGGTCAATAAACTCTGTTAAAGCCTGTAGCAGCCTCGAGTGCTTGCTTCACATGTCTTGTAGTCTCGAGCGCTTCAAGTTCGACTGAAATTGCGTCATGAGCACCGTAATAAATAGCATCGACAATGCGTTTCCAAAATGCTAAAAGCTTGGGTACATTGAAGATTCCTGAGAACACGTCAGGTATAGAAATGATCGGATTGAGATTTTGGTCGAACGCCATTGGAGAATCAGGCCATTTCTGGAATAGTATAGACTGTAGGTCGTTTCGTGTGGCGATCGTTGGAAGTGCATGGAACAGCAGTTTGCTCTTGGACTCATATATGATATCGAGCATTTGGGGTGCCTGAGCCAAAAAGACGCAGCTCAAAATATTCCACAGCTCAAGCAGGCGCGGCTTGGCATGATCCATCAGGAGCTTCGAGTTTCTCAGGCTAGCCTCTACAATTTGCCAGTGAAGAGGGTGCGATCTGTCAAGCTTGATCTTCGGAACTCTCAAGCCAAGTTCTTTCGCGAAAAATGCAGATTTACCGCCATCGCCGAGTTCAGGTGTTTGGCAAAACCCAGGAATATTGACCAGTTCGAAGCCATGTTCCCAGACCTCATTGGCTCGGACATCATTTGCTCTAACGATAAACGAAAGTTCGCCACTAAGCCACTGCTCAATTGCCACAACAAGTGGATCCATAGCATCTTGGAGCAAGTCAGTGTCATTTTCGTATAAAAACACCAGTGCCTCCGGGTAGCTGGTGGGAAGATACTTTAAGGGCCGAATCGAGCAGAGTGCATTTTCAATTTCAACACAGGTGCCCAAAATTGTCGTTGTTTCAATGCTCAGTAACTTGCTCATACATTTTTCAAGCAGAACTGCCAACGAAGGGCCTAAATGCGGGTCAGCTGTCAACCCTCTGAGGAACGTGAGAACAGATGCCATATCATCAACTTCTTTGAATACCGATTTCAGAGCCAACGAGGAAAGCGTACAACTCTCCAAGTCATCAAATGGACGCGTAGAAAAACCCAAAAGCTTGTAGATCATTTCTCTAATAACATCACGCTCAGTTACTACGTTTGAAAATACCGGGGGATCTTTTTGAACAACTCTGGATGGTTTGATCAAAGCACATTCTGGATCGGACTCGACGGAAGAGTCCGCGGTCTCACTTTGCTCACTAGCAAGTGGTCTTCCGTCCTCTTCTTCCTCTTCCTCTTCACTAGTTTCGTACACAGGGTCCTGCCAATGGTCTCCAACCATAGGGTCCTGTTCCAGAATTTGCTTCCATACGTCAATCGGCGGCTTTGACGGATCCAAATCGGGGGTTTCGGGTTGGGTTCGACCAGGGTGACGCGAAAGCTCCTGAATAACGTCCAACAGCCCGGCGTATTTCGCACAGAGGTTCCTTGTAACCAGCGCCTCGAGTCTAGCTGCCACTTGCGCACGGCCGATCACGTCAAGTGCTTCAATTGTACCCTTATATTTATCATAAATTTCATCCGGCGCAGTGTAGTGCTGGCCATGGCGACGTAGCCAAGCTGATTGCCAGGCTTTTGAGGATACGCTTTCCATCCTGACATAAACCACAAGTATGGCGGATAGCCAGGAAGATCTTATTGCGACGTTTTGCGCTGTGACAAGTGCAGAAGTTGGTACTGCCGAACAATATTTACAAGCTGCCGATTACAATCTTGAAAATGCTGTAGAATTGTTTTTTGCTTCTGGTGGCGCTAGTATCGCGACCCAGAACACCGTCATCAACAATGACGATGTGGCGGCGGCCGAGGCTGCTCAGGCAGCTGAATACGCTGAACCCGAAGTTCGCGAACGTATTGAACGCCGTGTTGACCGCTTAGTCGACCCAGATGTACCGAGGTTTGTTTTTGGTAACGAGCCCCCTATCCCCAGTGCACCCAGGGGTATCTTCAACCAGGGACGTAATATGGATTTTGCGCAGAACATGTCCCCTCATGAGCGCAGGCTCGCAGAATTGTTCAGACCGCCTTTTGACATGATGGAGGACTTGGATCTTGACAGTGCGAAGCAAGAGGCTCAAGAGGAGAAGAAGTGGCTGCTAGTTAATATTCAAGACACCACTGAATTCTCATGCCAACGCCTCAATCGTGATTTATGGAGGCACGAAAGTGTTAAAGTGGTTGTCAAAGAGAATTTTGTTTTTTTACAGTACGACAACGATTCCACTGACGGCCAAATGTACCGCTCTCTATACCCTTTCGAAACCTTTCCCCACATGGCTATTTTGGACCCATGGACCGGTGAACAACAGAAAGTTTGGTCAAAAGTTCCAAGTGTCGAACATTTTTTGGAGGATTTGGTCGAGTTCCTAGGTCAGCCCGGGTCAGTTGAACAAGCACCCCAGGAGCCTTTGTCTGTTAAAGGCACCGCTAGTAATACAACAATTACGCAAGTGCCAGAACCGGAGATTGTTGCTGGACAAGAAAAGCTTGCCGAAGATGGGGAAGAAGAAGAAGAAGAAGAAAAAGAAGAACAAGAAGAAGAGGAAACAACCCCAGAAGATCCCGTTGCCTCCATCGAGCCTCTGGACATCCCAGAACCGGATCCTGGGGCAGATGTAACTCGCATCCAACTACGATTGAGTGATGGCCAGCGTATTGTTCGCAGGTTCAAGGTCTCCACAAAAGTGGCTGAGATATTTGCTATTATCAAGCACTTGAAACCAGAGTTTGCTGGAAAATCACTAGTTTTGACGGCGGGCCGTCAAAATCTTAGCTCTGAACTTGAAAAGACTATCGAAGAAGCTAACCTGAAAAATAGTACGGTACTTGTTGAGAGTTAGCCTACGCTATCTCCCATGTGGGCTGGTGTCGTAGAATTTCCCTTGAACCACCGACATACCTTGAAAAATAGATCAATCGCGGTGTCGTACATCAAAATAACGATAAGACCAGCACTGCATGGTGCTGCCAACGACCAATAATATCCCAACCCGTTGTTTAGTGAATCAAAGTCTGTGAAGTTCATCCCAAAGTATCCACTCAGAAATGTTAGCGGCAGAAATACAACCGTAACCAACGATAGCAGGCGAACCGCGTCACTAGACTGGATGCTGATTGTGTTGAAAATAAGCGTTGATATAGAATCCATGAAACGCATCATTTGTTTCAGGTCCTGATTGTAGCCTTGTGCGTGATCGACGACATCATTCATGTAATGTGCGCCTCCAGTGAACGCAACAAACCCACTATCATTGTCCCGCGGTAACACATCTTTGGGCTTCGGTAGGCGTGCCTTGAAAGAGTTCAAAAATGGTATAATGGGGGAGATTGTGTTTGTCAATACAGTCAAGTCTGTTTTGAGAAGATGCATAGCCCGAGTCAATCTCATGGTGGGATGTAGCACTGCCTCAACTTGGAGACGGTAAATTCGTGCACGATACTCGCTAATAATAGGCTGGATGTGATCAACACATGTGTCGATAATAGACTGAACCAAAATAGTAGGGTCGGCTGATTGTCGGATTATGGTTGAACTCGAAAGCACTCGTTTGACAATTGGATCAATGACCCGCGGAGCTGAGCGTTCAAACATTGTGATGACAGTGTCTTCATTCATGAATATTGAGACCTGCTCAATGGAAACTGTACGCCTCTGGTAATCGAGCGGCATTTTCTTGCGAACTTGTGCCTGATAGTACTCACCGTGGGCATCGCTATGATCCCATAAGTATATTGAACGCCTGGCAGTTTCATCGAGAGCTTTCTGAACCTTGGAGCAAGGAGATACTGGGGAGCCAAAACTCCTCTCATCCATACGATCGGTCTGAGTGTGAGTGTGCGTAGGCTTCATCGAGTTTGTGACTGGAGTGCCACCAGATGATCTTCCTAACAGTGCAGACTTGATTGTATTCATTACCCGGTTAAACCTCGAAACTTCTTGATAGTTTGTTGTGAGTATATGCAACGGGAGACAGAAAAAAACATGCGAAGGGAAGACCTCCATCTTTGGGCGTTGGGGAATATCAAGAGTATCTTCAACAGAGAGAGGATGAAGGTCATAATATTTTGCAATGGGCTCAATAGCCTCCCAGCTCAAACCGTTGACATTGATCCAGCGTAATTTAGCCCATTTTGGCCGTTTCTTAAGATGCTCTTCAAAATCGCAATCTGAGTCCTCACCTCCCTTTGTACCGACACTAAAAGTTTCTATCTCAATGTCTTTATCGGAGTAGTCAATAATAGTGATATCTGATCCAACTGACTCGTCCAATTGGACCGTAGTAGTGTATGGATTTATGCCCGGCTCCAAGCCGATAGGTTCACGATATCTTTCCTCAGTGCTGTCGACCGGTAACAGACTGAATCGACGGCGGCTTTTTGTCGAGTTGTAAGAGCTTCGGAGCGTATTCTTATCGGTATCACTAATTTTGCGCAAGAGCTCAGGTTCGTAACTGTCAGGAGTAACTGTACCGTCACTGCTCAAAGCCGTACAGGAAATAGAATAGTCCGCACCTTTGAACGAAGCTGTTGATGATCCTGAGCTTGAATCATGACTGTAGGTTTCGTACAACACCATTCGTCAACTCTTGGAGATGAAAAGCTATACGCCCACCGAACCGTCTACAAGCACTAATACGATAGAGTTGTTTGTATATACTACGTGGCTGCCCGTATTAGCCCGGGATTCAAGTTATAGTTTAATATTTTAAAGTTGATAAGAGTGGTTGCCGTACCTCGATTGAGTTTCGGACACAGCTCTTGAATCACCTGAAAGCTCTTGTCCCTTTGAAGTAGCTGCAATTGTTTTGGGGTTGGTGGAAGACCCCGCCATAATGCATGCTTGGAAAGGTAAACAAGGGCGTCTCTGCCCCAACTGTTTTCAGCCAGCTGCTCAGTTGCCTGGATAGCGGATTTAAGTTCCTTGGTTTCGAACTTGTCAAGGTATTTCCAAACTTTAAATTGTTTACCTTTGATAGGAATTTTGTATCCCTGTTGACAGGTCCAGACAGGTTCATCAGTTTGTCGGGATTTTTTCTGAACCACTCTGAAGTGATATGGCTGGGATGGGGGCCCAAACAAATACCATCGCTTTTGATGAAAAATCCAGCTCAATGGACTTTCTCGAGGAGATTTTGGTTTGTACTTGGCAGTGAAGATATCATTAATGCTGTAGTCCACGTGATGCTCAAGTTCAATATCCTTTATAGCAGCAGTCTCCCCCGGTGGGAGAGTGTTCTCGCCAATTTCGGCATCGCTACCAACTGTCCTGGGCTCTTTTCCGGCAAGTATTGGGGACAGGTCGGTAGGACCGGAGTAATTCGTGAGCTCAATGAATTGAATCACGTGGCAGTGATCTTTCCCCGGGAACACTCTCAACCCACGACCGATCATCTGCATTGCTAGCCCTATTGATGCAATTGGTCGAGCCAAAATGATTTGATCGATACAAGGGATATCAGTACCTTCAGTAAGAATTCCGCAGTTAACAATGATAGGAAATTTTTGTTGCTTGAAATCGGATATTACCAGATCACGCTCTGCACTGCGCATGTTCCCATGCACACCTCTGCAGTCAACACCATCTTCCCGGAACCGTGCCACTAATCTGTCTGCTTGATCTATGTCCATTGTGAAAATGACGGTGGACTTGTAATTTGAGTGCTCTTTCCACAAGCTCACGACCAGCTCGATACCTTCATCAGACTTCAGCACATGGTTTTCGCCTCTGATTTTCTCTGCTCCGAGTAACCCGCCGCCAAATGCTTTAACATTAGTAACTTGAGCACGACATAAATGACCAGACTCTATCATTGATTGGACTTGACGATGGTAAAAGACGTCATCAAAATAGCCGTCCAATGGTCTCGCGTCATGGCGGAAAAAAGTGGCTGAAAAGCCTACCAAATAAATATTGCAGTCTGGCTTATTGACGCCAAAGTAATCCAGCACCTTTTTGTAGGTGGCTGCAGCGGTGTGGTGGGCTTCATCAATAATGATCATTTTGAAATCGCTCGGGGTGAATTGTTCGAGGCGGTTGTCTCGCGAAATGCTGGCGACCGAAGCGACACAAACCTCTGCACTTCGCTGATCCTCAAAGCGTTTAGTGCCAATTTCAAGAGCAACCTTCATATTTGGATACATTGCCTGGAGAGTGTGTGCAGTCTGGTAGCAGAGCTCACGTCGGTTTGTGAGGATCAATGTCTTTGGCCCCTGCTCAGGAAGTGGATCGACAAGTGATACCAGCTTGCTGAACACAACCGTTTTACCACTGCCAGTCGGTAGACTGATCGCGGCTCGCCGCTGGAAATTCAACCGATCGAGAACAGTATCTATGCATTCTTGTTGGTACGGACGCAGTTCAATGCCTCCTAAGTTGCGCACACCTCTTCGCAAAGCACGCCCAATTGGCCTTGCGAAAAAGCTCTTCAACATGCGTGTATAAAATATTCCTACAATAGGTCAAAGTCCTTTATATTCCATACATGTTGGTTTGGGAAACCAGCTGACATGAACAAGTACGATCGCCAAATAAGGCTTTGGTCTGAGGCCGGACAGGGCTCATTAAAGTCTGCCCGGCACCTTGTGCTTGGTGTTACAGCAGCAACAACGGAGTTTGTAAAAAATATGGTCTTGGCAGGCATTGGGCATGTCACAATCGTTGATGGCAACAGCGTGACTGAGGCAGATCGGTCGGCCAGCTTTTTTATGCATCACGATGTGGATGGCAGTAACCGAGCCCAAGTAATAGCCCAATATATTCAAAGCCTGAACGACGAAGCAGAAGTAGTTGGCGCCGCCGAGAATCCGAACCACTACATTCAGACCCCTGAGCTACTTGCTTCATATGACATTATTATTACAACGCGACTAGCAGACGACATTCTGATGCAACTGTGGAAAAATGTATGCAAAACATCCGTGCTTATACAGATTGACTCTTACGGATGTGTCGGACAAGTCCGATCTTTCTTTCTATGGCATACAATTGTCGATTCTCACCCTGAGAGTCGCGTGGAGTTGTATTTACACAATCTCTGGTCCGAGATCGAGTCCTATTCTGATTCAATTGATCTTGAGGCGCTTGAAAATCATGATCATGAACATATTGCGTTTGTTGTTTTACTTATAAAAGCACTTCAAGAGTGGAAGCGGAGGCATCATAACGGCCCTCCTTCAACATTGCCAGAGAAGAAAGAATTCAAAGCCATTATCAAAGCGTTCGAACGAACATACGATCAAGAGAATGTTTCGGAGGCTGTGCGTAATGCTTGGAGAGTGTCGGTTCCTAAAGTTCCCGAAGGACTCTCCAAATTATTCGAAATCCAGGAAGGCTGTAACCTTCGAGAGTTTGGTTTGCAGCTGACATTTTTCTCGCTTGTGAGGGCACTTAAACAGTTTGTGGCAAAGTATGACCGTTTGCCACTTTCTGGAGATTTACCGGACATGAAGTCGGACACTGCTGGGTACAATAGAATAGTGGAAATCTATCGAACAAAGGCTAAACAGGATGCGGAACAATTTGCTCGGGTATACTTGAATTTGTGTCAATTAGAAGGACTCGAACCTGCCAGCCAGTCAGAAATCGAGCATTTCTGTAAGAATTGCCGTCACATTCGAGCTCTAAGAGGTGTACCACCCAACGAAGATAAGAGGCTTAACTTGCGAGTTCACGAGGATTCTGAATTCAAAAGCATTTTTTCGGCAATCTGTGGAGCTAACGAATACCTTTACCGCAACCATCTAACTACATGGTATGGTGACCAGTCTGCTGCCGAGGCTTTGCGAGACTATTCTGCGCATTACGCTGACCAGGTGGGCTTGGTTTACGATTCAAGTGCAGAGGAACTGCATTCTGTTTCTGCATTCCTGGGGGGCATTGCTGCTCAAGAGGCAACCAAGTTCACCCTGCATCAGTACACACCCTTTATGCATACGCTTGTTTACGATGCTATCAAACAAGCCACTCATGTATTCCTTAACGGTGAAATATTTAATTAAATACTTTACAAGTCAAAAACAGGTAAATTGTTATTAGTTTTCCTTTTTCGAGCTTGCACTTCTTCTTTCCAGTCTCGTTGCACATCGCTGTCGTCAGAGTCAGAGTCGTGCTGCTTACTCTTGGCGGCTATCGCTCGGTTTTGGCGCTTGTCACGGCGTTTGGCGGCATCGTCTTTTCGCTGAACTTTATCAGACCAGGCGACTGTGTTGCGTTCTTTTCGTTTTCGTCGGTTTTCAGCAGCTTCTTTCGACTCGCTGGCTTCTTTAGTTTTCAAACGAGCCTTTTCTTGCGCTTCATTGGCATACTTGTAGTTGTCCATATCAAATGGCTCCACCAACCAGCCATTCTCTGGCACGTTCTCTTTGTTTTTGAGTTCAGGCATTCTTGGCAGACGCAAAATACCAAAAGACCGACCAAGCTCAATCAAGTCTAGGCAGGCAACCCTGAAAATAGAGCTGGCGGTGTGGTTCATGTAGAAACGCACATAGGACAAGAATGAGCGCAGGGCTAGATCATGCCTTGCTCTATCCTCACGAACCCAAGACTGAATGCGATCAAGGTATTGTTCGCAAGTTAGTGAGCCCGTGTCCAAGTCCAGCTCGGACATGGGCACTTTTCGCACATCCATGAAATCCACATATCCTTGTTCTAGATCACCGTTCAGAAACACGGCACTTTCGCCACGCTTGCCTGCCCGGGCGGTCCGGCCTGCACGATGCACAAACATATTGGGATCAGCAGGAGGATCGACCTGGAGAACAAAATCAACATCCGGAATATCCAGCCCTCGAGCAGCAACGTCTGTAGTCAAAAGGATGCAACGGTCATTGCATTCCGTGAACTTGTCCAATGTTTTAATACGAGGGCCCTGGGCAAGCTGGCCATGCATTGAAAACAGTAAGGTGTCGCTCAGGAATAACTTCAAGACTTGATACCAGTAGGTTACTGAGATGCAGGTTGGAAAGTATGCAATAGCCTTGGTGTAGCTTTTCGTTTGTAGAAGATTAAGCATTTTCGGCAGCTTTTCCGTGGGGGAAGCAGTAATATAGTTAATGTTAAGCTGGTCAGGCGTCGCATTAGCACTTTGCACAGAAACCTTCACAGGATTGCGCATGCCAACTCGAATGATGTCCTGAATGAAGCCACTCATTGTAGCCGAGAAAAGACCGACTCGTTTTTGTTTTGGTAGGAGCCCCAAAATTTTGTTGATTGTCTGATCAACTCCTAGATCGAGCAAACGATCGGCCTCATCAAGCACCAACAAGTCGACGGCTGAGGTGCGAACATGCTGAGCAGTCAAGAGCTCCAAAAGCCGGCCTGGAGTAGCAACGACAATATGCGGGGGTTTAGAAAGAAAGTTTTTCACATCAACCACAACGCTATTGGTGCCGCCGGTAACAAGTTGAGTGCGATAGAGCTTTGGATTTGGTGCGAGCTCAATAACGTTGTTTAGAACAGTGAAAGTTTGCTTGGCAAGTTCACGGGTTGGAGAAACAATAATAACGTTAGTGTCGCCCATTTTCAATGGATCCAAGCGACCTAGACGGATCAATGCCGGCAAAAGAAACGCCAACGTTTTTCCTGAGCCCGTAACGGCTTCAACAACGACGTCCTTGTTACCCGCTAACAAAGGAATCGTAGAAGCCTGCACGGGCGTCATTAGTTCAAAGCCCAGCGTTCTCATAGCCTCCACCATCCATGGTAGCAAAGGATTCCCCCATTCTCTCGAGGCCATTAGTTTGAAAAATGTATGAAACTTAGATAATATTTTTTTCTCCTAGACCCTGCATGTACCGAAGAATGTCGACCTACGAGAAATGGACTAAAGAGGCATTAATTGCACGGGTTTTGGAGCTAGAGAACAAGACCAAGCCACATGTACCGAAATCGTCGGCCAAGGAGCTGCCGACGAAGCGGGCAAAGCAAATGGACTTTTCCAAGTATACCACCCGTCCTGTCGCTATTCGATTCGCATATCTGGGGTGGAATTACCATGGACTCGCGGTACAGAAAGACCCCAAGACGCCGACTGTTGAACAGAAAATACTGAATGCATTGTACAAAACACGCTGTATTCCGAGCGAGAATCCCCTGGACTGCAATTTCAGCCGCTGCGGACGAACAGATCGGGATGTCAGTGCAATGGCTCAAGTGATCTCGCTGAATTTACGGTCAAACCTGTCTCTTGAAGAGCAAAGAGATCCAGCAAACGATTCTCGGGAGCTGGACTATCTCAAGATTCTCAATAGCCATCTACCAGCGGATATTTTGGCATACGAGATCTGCCTTCGTCCACCCGAGGGATTTGACGCACGGTTTAGCTGCAAATACAGACATTACAGATACTTTTTCAATGCCAGAGATCTGGATGTTGAGAAGATGAACGAGGCTGCGCAACTGTTAATCGGTGAACATGATTTTCGAAACCTCTGTAAAGTAGACGCCTCGAAGCAGATCACCAATTTCAAGCGGACAATTCTTCAAGCAGAAATTGTCCACTCCACTGGGGACCTTCACTTTCTTAGCCTTCGGGGCACTGCTTTCCTGTGGAACCAAGTGCGATCTGTTATGGCGATTTTATTTATTATTGGCCAGGGCCTTGAACCGGTTGATGTCTTGAGCAGACTTTTGGATGTCGATGCTACACCACGTCGTCCAGCATATGAGATTGCTTGGGGAGTCCCACTTGTGCTATACGACTGTGGGTTTGAAGAGATGGAGTGGAAAAAAAGTGCGTATACCACTCTAGAGCACGTACACAACGTATACCATGAGCACTGGCAAAAAATGGTCATGGCCGAGACAATGTTGCAAGTCGTGTCCCCATTTTCGCAGCCATTACCTACTGGAAGACTTAATGTGGGTGAAGGCATCAATCCCCGATCCAAATACGTTTCGCTGTTCCAACGACAATTTCTAGAGAGCCCAGAGGTTGTGAACGAGCGGTGGCTCAGAAAGCAGGACGAGAAACAAACAGATGAAAAGAGATAGAAGTACATGACTATAAATAATGTGTTGTTGCTAGAATGCGATTCTCAAAAATAGCACATCTGGTAGAGAGAGGGCAGTTTCTGATGGGTCTTTTGCCAGGCGCTGAGGATCTCGATAATCTCGGTATCGGGATCAGGGCTCTGGCAGATCATATTGGCAAGCTCCAAAATGGCATCGGCACCAGCAGCCGCTTCAACATGGTTATCTTCGATCTCCACGTTAATGACATGTACAGGGCGGCTGAGCTTGGCGCCGCGGTGGAGTAAGTCGATGCAGACCGAATCGAAGCAGCGCTCTTGGCATGTAAAAACGACATCAAAGACCTGGTTCTGGTCCTGCCAGCGTTCTGGGTGGTCCTTGATCCGGCGGTTCCGATCCAACATGTTAAGAACTCCATTAGCAGTGTAAAGACGCGTATCCCTGGTGGAGAGTTCACGGTACATCTCATTGTACGGTACGTTGAACTGATAAACCACGGGCTTGTCGATGGCAGGGCCAGGGAGGCGAACGGTGCTACCAGTGCCAAAGGAGGCAACGTTGAAGCCGTTTTCCTTGAGCAGCAGATGAGCAGCCATAGAGCGGTTCTGATTGGAGGCACAGACTGTGCAAAACTGCATGAGTTTCTTGTTTTCCTCGGGCATTCTTTTTGGCTTTGGTAGGGAAAAAAGTTCAGGGGATGTGGGTGGGGTTACTAGGGAACGGGCGCGCAAAATAGGTGATTTAAGAAACTTCAGACGAGATTTATTAGGTCCTAAAGCAGGAGAGCCTGGATTTGAGCTGGACGGCGAGGGCGATTTCTTACTCGACTTTGGCCGAAGATGAGGGGGACAAGCAAAGGTGTGGATGACGGGCTTGACTTCTTGACTCATAGATTTATTGACGTTGAAACTTTGTACTCGAGGTCAGAATAATGGGATGGCAACAACTTTTTATAGTACCTGAGAACAGCCTCCAACTAAGTAGAGAGTATCAATATGAACATCAAATTTTCCCAACCTCCCAAGTATAAACGCCTGCTTTGCGCCATGCAGGGCGCCTAACTCTAACTCAGCTTCGCGCATAATCACGAGGCCCACGTGGGAGGAGCTCGAAATCCCATTGGCTGTCAGCAGTGGACCCCTCGGGGACGGTTTGGGAAAGGAGGCGCGAGGGGTGAACAGCAACTCCGGAATTAAACAGGATTTTTGGACCATTGCAAATATGCAGGATAGCGATCGCCGTAAAATTTAATGCAAGTTACTTAAAGTTTGTCTCTAGACCGCGTTTACCCTGCCACCGATGCCAAGGACTTGAGAGGGAAAAAGAAATGCAGTACTTGCTGCAGGTTGCATGCAGACATGAATCCGACCGTTTACTAGAGTCGTATTCTGAGGGAGGCAGTGCAAGTCAGACAAACTAATCATAAAGATTGGCCAGGCAGCCGAAATACCAGAAAAGCGTTTAACGCACTCTGTAAGATTATCATGTGTGTGCAACGAAGGTTAGTGCCAATTTAAAAGAAAACAGAATCAAAGCTTTCTAGGGCGAAATTGCGGGGAATAGTTAAATTAATGTGCAAAATAAAGGTACAGCAGTAACAGAAATATATATTGGGGGCCTGTGTAAATAATAAAAATAATGAAACTCCAGCTAGAAATATTAGAAGGTCGGCGGAGGGACGCATGGTGACTGGAAAGCCATGACCTTCCCCGTATGCGTGCTCACGCTCCATTTTCTAACCTTAGTCAAAGTTCCGCACCATACAGGCTGGATTCAGTGCACACTCAAATTAATTAGAATTTTGGTGGGTGCGATCTCATTTGAGCTTAGTGCCGACTGCCGTGCTGGCCTCGTATCGTGTAATTGTACAATCAGAAACTAACAAAGACCCAGAGCCGCTAGATCTTCGTTTTTCTCTTCCATGGATGCTTCTGAAACCCGGGGTGCTGCAGGGAATCCAGCAAACTTTTGTATGGCCGCCAAGACAGGGCCGCTCGACACGTGGTCCTGCCCCAGGCCCCTGTAGCCATAGTCGGGTACCATTCTATCGGCTGCTCTTCGCTCGTAATTCACCTGGTACCATTTGCGGGTGGTTTTCGACAGTAGCTCGCTGCGCAGGTCAAATCGCTCCCGAACAAATTGCTGATGCAGATGAGCCCGTGTAGCCTTCGTTTGTTTGTGGATACACTCGAGCTGGTATTCATGTAAAACTCGACCCCGGTCAACTCTATCGTCCAGGCGGCTCTTTATTGACTCTTGGATGGTCGACAGCTCTGGGTGACTTCCCTCAACACACATCTGTATCTCTAGCTCGTAGCGGGCCATTTGATCTTCATGTACTTGATTGCGGAACTCTGCAAACTGGACCTCGATATCTGTCAGAAACCCAATGGCTTCTTGGCGCTGTTTTTGTGCGGCGGCTTGCTCCTCGTCATCCACCTCGTCCTCCTCTCCACTGTCGGCTCCAATATCCTGTTCGGCTCCACTGTCGGCTTCCTCTGGACCGCTGATTTCAGAGCCAGCCTTGCCTGAATTGGATTCCGCACTACCTTGTCCCACGTCCTCCGCCTCTTCTGGCGCTGGCTCGGCGCTAACATGTGCTTTTCTCTTTCGGAGCTCTCGATTGGCACCGCCTAATTTTTTCCCACCTGATTTACTCTCGTCGGTGTCATTAGAGTCATTTGCATCTCCATTTGTCGCCTTCTTCTCCCCGCTCTCCTCTGCGGGTTCAGGTGTGCCTGGCGGTGAAATGCGAGTGCGCTTCGCTGGGCTGGTTGAAGCGCTTGAAATCGGTCGCTTCTTCGTCGGGCTTGTATCGATATGCTCAGTTTCTGCTTCTGAGTCCGGCAGATCACTGTCGTCCTCAACCGGGGCCGTTGCGACTTTGCCGTTTTGCTTGGGCCGGGCCGCTGAAACAGCCCCATTCGCGGCATCTAGTGATGGTTGAGTGCTAGGATATTCTTCCGACTCATGTACTGTCGCAGTCTTCGTAGGCATTGCGTTGACGAGCACGGAGTTCGGGGTTGAGTAGCTGGATGGGCTAATAATCCCTTTCAAGTCGCTTGGGAGAGCAGGGTAAGTACACGGCTGGAGATCTCGAAACAAAAAATTGAGTTCTCTGGGCTCCTCCCTCCTAAGCCCAAGGGTAAGGGTGGCCTCACCGCAGGCGGTAGGCAAACTGCTCGAACACTCTGAGATTTAAACGAATGTCTAAAAACATTAGCTACCATTGTAGCAGTCTCTTTATACATATACATGATTAGCGTCATTGTTCCTTAGGTCCACTCCTGGGATTTGCCGCGGACAAACTCTAGGATCTTCCAGCCATTGGTCTCTGGGTTTTCCATCTCCTCGGGAATGCGAGTAATAACCATCACATAGGCAGACATAAGAATTTGGTCAGGGATACCAGCAACAACCTCGTCGGTCTTGATGCTCTTGTAGCAGTTGGTTTCCTGAACACGGGCACTCACAACATACACGGGGATCTCAGCAGGCTGCAGCATTTTTGTCTGGACAATGTCGGCTCCACGGACGTCCAGAATACGACCAGCAGAGTACAGATGCTTCTCACGGTACTCCTTGGTGGTCTGATTCCAGACGTTGAAAGAGGCTTCACTGAACCACTGCTTCAGCACTTCCTGATCTCCACGAAGATATGCGTCCAGGACCTCAGGTAAGATGAAGTTTCGCAGATCCTGAAGGAAGTTGTCCTGTGAAAAGTTCGGGTCCATTTGCTTGAATGCACGGGCAACTTGGCCGCTTTCTGTCTCGGCAAAGAACCAGCCGATCTTGTCGGTAACTGTGCGAACGGCCGAAACAAGACCGTTCTCACTTTCCTCGTAGGCGAGTTTCATGTCGCCAATTTTACGGCCCAAAGGTGTGGCCTTGAAATCAGTATCAGGCTTGGCAGTGGCGTGCACCACAACGCTCTCTCCTGCATTTTCGTTCGCTTTGACAGGACCGTTACGGCCTGCGGCAAGATCAGCTATGCGACGCTTTTCTAAATCTCTGAGACGACGAGCTCTACGCTGCTCCTTCGTCTCAAAGCCACCATAACGAACGGATGCACCGTCATCAATAACATCCTTTACGCTCTGATACAGTTCAGTTTTGCGCAAAGGTTCGGAAGCCTTCTCCAGTACATCGGCAGTTTTCGAGGCTGCGTCACGAGACAGCCGAACGGGGGGCGAATTCCAGGTGGCCGACGCAACATGGCCGGCAGCCTCGGAAGTCTTCTTAATAGCCCGACCAGTGGCAGAGCCGGCTTCTTTGGATTTTTCTAGTGCCTCTTTCGCCCGCTTGAATGCGTTACTCTCAGACAAACGGCCAGTTTCGTCCTGTAATGCTTTAATATCTTCTTTCAACTCCTTGGACTTTTTCATCTCGGTCCGAAATGTCTCCATAAACACCTGGAAAGGCGTCTTGTCCTGCCGATTCGCAGCCCAAGCAGAGCTGTGAAAGTTGCGGGACGCTGTACAGAACCTCAAGTTTCGAATAGCCCGTAGAGACAGCATTTTCTATTCTCAAGATTCACAAAGTCAAATAAACCTGGGCGATCTTGGGCAGTACGGGGTCAAGAGTTATCACTCTGGATGGCGCTTATTTTTCAAAACCCTGTGACTTTTTTCCCAAGGTTTTTTGGGAGGTCGCAAACTGCCGGGTAAATGACTCAGATCGGCTACTACCCCAGTTGCCGCTCCCCACAGCCAAGAGATTTTGGGTTGGTGGTCACGTGAACTGCAATTGCCCCAACACCCCTTGTGGCAACCAAGTAGTGACCGGTAAAAATCCCAAGATCTTTTTTTTTTGAACTGCCTGGTCGTGACATCCACACCTCAAGTTCTATTTCATTAGGGATCGAAGGGTGCGTTTTCTATCGGGGTCCACGAATTCCAGACCCAGGCTGTAAAAAACCCCAAAAAAATTGATGGAAATAACCAAAGTCTCTCACGCGTCCCTCAATGTCGAATAAGCCAAGTCGTCATGTTAAAGATCGAGGACTTATGCACTCCCTGAATACACGACCAGCGCAGTATAAAAGCTTGTCTCAAATGAACTCTTCCAAACCTCGTAAGGTACTTGCCAACTGCTCTGTGAGCTGTTTGATTCTCGAGGATGGGCCAGCCCCCGGCACGGAAAAAGTATTCAAGGCAATTTTGCACTTGAGCCCAACAGCAATTGATATAACTTGGGATCACAAACGTCTTCTATCCTTTTGGGCTGATTTGTCTTCCGTCGAACAGAACATTCCTCACGAAGATTATCTGCTACGAGGCAACCGGCCGGCGCCCATAAGGATTCGGTTTGAGGATAAAAACGACAAAGTTCTTTTTTTGAACTATGCGCGTAAAAAGGATAAACTGCGATCCTCATTTTCGAGTTTATCCAGCGTTGAAAGCCCGGCAAAGCTCAAGCTCATCGGATCCAAGACCCCTATTTCTACTCTTGATCAACCTGAAATCGAAAAAGAGGATCCTAACAGGAAAAGCTCGAGTAAGAATGATAGTCCACAAACTAATGAAGAGCACTATTCTGGCAACTCGTTTTCAAACTCGCCGGAGAGGGCCAAACCAAAACGACCTCGTCTGGTTGTGGACTATGCTGCTGAGGACTCTTTGGACGAGCTCGGCATGGATCCTGCTGAGGAACCTACTGAGGAATCAATTGCCGACCTTAAAAAAAGAGGCATTAACGGCGCCAGTTATACAAGTGTCTCCGAGCGTCGGGCTATAAAGTTGGCAGCATCCGACGTCGGACGACTTCTCCCCAGGTACTATTTGAACGATAATCTCATCAACTTCTTTTCGAGAGTTTTCATGGATGAATATGGCAATCAAGACAGCAAGTTCAGTACCCATGTGTTCAGCACGTATTTCTACAGCCAAGCTAAGAAGGCCTCTGGGTTGGATCGGATGGCGTCGTGGCTAAGCAAAGTGCCGTTAGACAAAAGCATATATCTCATTCCCATTCACGGTGCTTACCATTGGACTCTGGCTGCAGTGATTGGATTTGATACTATTTTGGAGGGAAACACTCTGTCGTTAATTCTATCAGACTCGCTGGGTGTGGCCAATATCAAAGCAAGAGGCATTAAACCGGTTGTCAAAGATATTTTCAGAAAACTCTTTGAGCTGAAATACCCTAACGAGGTATTTCAGCCGAAAATTTGTACTATCATTGCAAAGACACCCTCCCAATCAAACAGTGTCGATTGCGGGGTGTTTATTCTTGACTATGTCACTGATATTCTTCGTGACCCCAAGCGATTTGTTGAAGAAGTCAATAAGAAAAGAAGCCTACTAGAGCTGGATTGGGACGATATTTCCACCAATTCCGACTATGGCGACCGCGAAAAGTACCTGAGCATCGTGCAAAAGTATGCCACTTCTGAAGAAGAGCTGAAGGTAGCTGCCAGCTCGGAGATTGGCAGCCCGCTAGATATTGAGGAAGTCAAAGTCTCAAAAGTGAAAAGAAACCGCCGTATTTGACCAGATTCACCTTATTTATAAATTGCATTTTTATCTACCTAACGCCCCCCCTATGTGCTCGTTAATGTTCGAACGCGTCTTGCTAACTAATCATAATGCCTTTCACACTGCTGACCGCAAAAGTTATCGGCACCGCCACAGTTGGACTGTGGGCGGGTTACAATTTGGCTTTAGCCGAGGCCATTCACCCTGTTATTCCCACGAGCTTGACTTGCTGCAGTCGTAACAAGTGCAACCGCACTGTTACTCCCTTTGCAGTTGCGACAGCCCGCAAGATGCTTGTTCAAGCCGGTAAAGCTGCTGTCATGGCCGGCTTTTCTTTTGTTTCCCTCTTGTCTAGTTATTTGTTGGCTAGCCAGGCTGGTAAACACCCTTATTTGCTGTATGTCTCTTTGGGTGCTCCACTGATTGGTCTTTTGCAGTTCTATGGCGCGGTTGATCTTAAGCACCAGATCGACGGTGACCTTAACACTGTGCCCAATTCTCCTTCTGCTGAGCCTAGTGAATTGAGCGAGTCTGCTTTCGAGCATATTGACCACCCTGATTCCAAGAATCAGCAGGAAGGCGCCTCGCCCCTTAAGCGCAAGTGTGCAATTTACTCCCAGGTGGTTGCCTACTTGAGCACCACTTTGTTTGTGATCAATCTCATTGGTCTTGCAGGTGAATCCTCTGCTAACTTATTTAGATAAACTTTTAGTTCAAGATTTTTATATTGGGTTCGTTGAGGGTTTATCCGAAAGGGTAGGTCCAGTTTGTTCTGCAGATCGATTTAGGCGACTACTGGGCCCTGAATTAGACTACTTCAATTATCAAGCTTCTCTAGCCAACTATCTTGTGTGGAAATATGAGCCTTTAATGACTCGCCCACTCCTGGCCCGCCCGTGGCGGCTCAGCTACCAGCTGGATCAAATATCTTACTCTAGACTGTCATGGGCACAGTACGCCGATACCCATGGCTGGGTTAAACGCTCAATATTGAAGTCTTGGCAAATCGTCTTGTAGACAGTTGATCTCATGGCGATAAGGATGCACGTGCAGGTTAACTGGGACGATTTTGCCAAGAGCACTATAATGCGACAGTTTAATTCAGATTTGAATGGTGGATATATAGTAGTATATAGTTTGCTGGAGTAATATGATAATTGATTGCTGGAATAAATAGGTTTGTTCTGTGTTTTGAACCAATGATTCTAACCAAAATCTGGATCAAAGCCCCGTGCCAAGAGTAACCTAGCCCTAGTCTTGGCTCTCTGTCTTCCCCGGCAAGGTTATCCGGCAAAATGCTGGATGTAATTATCCTAGCCTAGCGAGAGTTGTATGTTCAGCAGTCGGCTCCGGGATAATGTTTGATAGCAGTAGTTCGGATAATTGCTCATTCTGTATACTACAGAATTTAACTTTGACTTCAATGCCTCATAATTGTTAGCGAGGCCCTCGAACCACCACGTAGACTGCACAAGCGATCCTTATTGATTGTGGGGTGTCTGAGCTACATGTTGGGACTTCTCCCAATCACTTGACTCTAGCAAACTTCAGCCCTTATCGACAACCAAACATGTATTGCACACTTCAATAATCTTGAATTGTAGCAATCAGCCATGAAAAGCCGTTGTAACCGCGGTAGCCTGGGGTTTGCAAATCCAGCACAGCCTCGGCGACTACCTTCAGAATATGCAGCATGCACGGGTGCGCAGCCTGCACTACAGTCTTGGCACACTTCCAATAGATATAAAAGAAAGCCAAGACAGATTCGGAAATCATATGAATCGTACTACGACAGCTACAACATACACTGAGAATGAATCGGTAAATACATCTTACATTGAGGAGAAGCACAATGGCAAGGCTAGCGACTCCTTCCAAAGTGGCACCCTCGAAGATCGTGGGGCTACCCCGTGGTCCCAGCGCATCTCTGATCTGGAGCGTGAACTTGGAACCAGTTCCAAAAGTGGCTTGACAAAACAGGACGCTAAGGCGCGCCTTGCCAAAGACGGTGAGAACTTGCTCGAAGAGCCAAAGGGTGTATCTGCTGTAAAAGTGCTGATTGCCCAAACCTGTAACGCCATGGTGCTTGTCTTGCTGATTGCTATGATTATTTCTCTAGCCATCCGTGATTGGATCTCTGGCGGCTGCATTGGCGGTGTCGTTGGAATTAACGTGGTGGTGGGGTTTTTTCAAGAGTACAGTGCTCAAAAGACGATGGCTTCACTGCAGTCCATGTCTTCCCCCACCGCTCGTGTGATTAGAGAAGGTGATGAGGAAACAATTCCATCAAAGGACCTCGTGGTGGGCGATCTCATTACCCTCAAAATGGGCGAGACTATCCCTGCCGACTGCCGACTTGTCAGTGGCATGAATTTTGAAACAGAGGAGGCGCTCCTCACCGGCGAGTCTTTACCTGTCGTCAAAGAATATAGACCAATTTCCCAGCCTGATTTGCCGGTGGGTGATCGCATCAACATGGCTTTCGCATCCTCCACAGTTTCTAAAGGTCGTGCTACCGCCATTGTCACAGCTACGGGTATGGCAACTGAGATTGGCCAGATTGCCCAGAGTTTGAATGGCGAGAGCTCTCATTTCCGCAAAGTGAAGCGAGATGAAGAGGGTAATGCCCGTAAGCGGGACTACTTTCATGCATTTGGTGGCTCTGTTAAAGATGTGGTTGGCAACTTTTTGGGTATCAACGAGGGTACCCCTTTGCATCGTCTCATGTCGAGACTGGCTATTTATTTATTCTTTGTTGCCGTTATTATTGCAATCGTTTCAATGGCCGCTCAAGAATTCAATGTGACTCGTGAAGTCGCTATTTATGCTATTGTCGCAGCTCTGGCTATGATCCCTGCTTCCATGGTCGTTGTACTTACTATTACCATGGCCGTGGGAACCAAATCTATGGTGGAACGAAATGTGATGATTCGCAAATTGGATTCATTGGAAGCGTTGGGATCTGTAAATGATATTTGCAGTGACAAGACCGGTACCTTGACCCAAGGCAAGATGATCGTTCGAAGGGTATGGATCCCATCCTACGATACAGCATCTATTAGTGAGAGTACTGAATCTTATAACCCAACAGTTGGCCGTATCACTATGGAGGATGGCGAGGAGATTACTGAGGTTCCGAAAGACGAACGATTCCAAGACTTTATGTACACCGCTAGTATGGCGAACATTGCCGAAGTACATGAAACATCAGACGGAGTTTGGAAAGCTACTGGTGATCCAACTGAAATTGCTATCCAGGTATTTGTTACACGTCTTAATTGGCAACGCGACCTATGGGTGGGTGCTGACGACGGTGCGCCCCATCACAAAATCTTCAATCATTTGGCTGAATATCCATTCGATTCTTCTATCAAACGGATGACAGCTATCTATGAGCACCGTGCATCCGGAAAAATTAACGTTTACACAAAGGGTGCCACGGAACGGATCTTGGGTCTTTGCTCGCACTGGTACGGAGATGAGCACACCGACAATCCTGAGCGGATCCCATTCACCAACAAGGATCATGAAGTCATCTTTGAAAAAGTTGAGGAGCTCGCTAAAGAGGGCCTTCGAGTTCTTGCGTTTGCCACAAGGACCCTCGAGAAGGGGAGTGGAACAGATTGGCACAATAAACACCGTGATGAAGTTGAAAATGATCTTTGCTTACTTGGCTTGGTGGGTATCTACGATCCTCCGCGTTTGGAATCTGCCCCAGCTGTGGCACTTGCTCACCATGCGGGTATCAATGTCCACATGCTCACCGGTGATCACCCTGCAACCGCCACTGCCATTGCCAAAGAGGTTGGCATTGTACCGAAGGATTTACACAGGTATAACCCGGAGGTTGTATCAGCCATGATTATGACTGCAACTCAGTTTGATGCTTTATCTGATGAAGAAGTTGATAAGCTTCCTGTTTTGCCTTTGGTGATTGCTCGCTGCGCCCCTAAAACAAAGGTTCGCATGATCGAAGCGCTACATCGTCGTGATGCTTTCACAGCTATGACTGGCGATGGTGTCAACGATTCGCCGTCACTCAAAAAGGCAGATGTTGGTATTGCAATGGGTATTGCCGGGAGCGACGTTGCCAAGAGCGCAGCAGACATCGTCTTGTCTGATGACAATTTTGCCTCTATTTTGAATGCTGTTGAAGAAGGTCGCCGCATGACTGATAACATTCAACGGTTTGTTCTGCACCTTTTGGCAGGTAATGTTTCGCAAGTCCTCTTTTTGCTTATCGGCCTTGCCTTCAAAGACAATGACAACTTCTCCGTTTTCCCTATGTCACCTGTCGAGGTTCTATGGATTATCATGATCACCTCTTCTTTCCCCGCTATGGGACTGGGCCAGGAGCGCGCTGACCCTGATATCATGGACAAGCCTCCCAAAGACCCCAAATCTGCTGTTTTCACTTGGGAGGTCATTGTGGATATGGTTGTGTACGGTTTCTTTTTGGCATGCATTTGTGTTGCAACATTTGTAGGTTTGATTTATGGCTACGGTGATGGAAAAGCACGTCTGGGACATAACTGTAACGAGAACTACAGTGACGCGTGCTACTACGTCTACCGCACCCGATCAGTTACCTTTGTGCAAATGACTTGGGCTTTGCTGGTCTTGGCCTGGGAAATGATCGATATGCGTCGATCACTTTTCAATATGACACCGGGCAAAGGAAACAAGGCAAAGCAATTGTTCGACGACCTGTGGAGAAATCAACTTTTGTTTTGGTCTGTCATCGGGGGTTTTGTCACAGTTTTCCCCGTTATTTATATTCCTGTGATTAACAAGAGTGTTTTCAAGCACAAGCCTATGAAATGGGAATGGGGTCTTGCATTTGCTGGCCTAGCTGTATTTATTTTGTTGGTTGAACTATGGAAGTGGGCCAAGCGGGTCTACTACCGCAAGTTCACCGACTTCTACAAGGTCAAGGACCCTCAGGCTGCTTTAGAGAAACCATTTTCTCGATACAACACGCGAACTACCTCAGCCAGCGTCGATGCCAGTGACAAGGCAGGTCTAGTTTAAGTTAGTAGACAACATGTTTCTCATACTATATATAAAAAAAGTCTTTCAATGAAAAATACATCACAAATAGCAAGAATGGAACTTCAATTAAGGGTTTTCAGCTTCAAATTTGAGTCGCACTGTGCTGAGCCGGTGGATCTCCTGATCAAACCTACGCCAAGCTGGGAAGCCAACGCTCATAGTACTCAGGAACCACTTGAGACGCAGAGCACCATATACTCTGAACTTATCTAGCTTGGCTCGCAAAAACAAAAAGTATTCAAGCAAATGGATAATGATGGTGGCAACAAAAATACGACGGGCATTCTGACGGATGAAGTGAGCGAGATGAGGAGATCGTCGTTGCAGGATACGACCAACAGAGCGGGGACTCAATGCTACAAAAGCACAAGTTCCAAAAAGCGAAGCAATAATCCCGCTAATTGGTTGGGCAGGAGGATGAAAACTCTTGATCTGGTATGGCGAAACCTGGAAGGCATCAGCCGCTTCGAACGCCATTTTTACGAATCTGACACGAGCCTCACCTAGGCTTTTTAAGGGCGGATCGAGGGGAGTGACAATTGTTTTAGAGTGGCCGTTTTTGATGTAATTAAGTGTGATGTGATCCAGTTCGACATCCACCAGTTCCACTGAATGAGATGGGTTGGAGTAGTCCAGCTTGATGCCCTCATAGTAGGCAAGGAAGTCATAAAGACTGACCATATGGTCTTTGTTCATATGCTCAAGGATTCTAGCTTTAGCACTCATTAGAAGTTGTCTTGAAGGCAAAGGTGGTGGTGGGACGTGAGGGTTAGTCAAGGAGCCGGCGTGACTAAGAACGCGGGGGATCTCCATCCGAGGAAGACTGTGAAAGAGCTGTGTCAGGTGGTTGTTTAGTTCGAAAAGCAGAAAATGTGGTTGAGGAAAGACCCAGGAATTTCGGCCTGACCGATTGATCTGGTCGCAAGGCAGGCATGGTGGTTTATTCAAGAGGATCAGGCTGATTAAAATTTCTAGAAATAAATGAAAGAAAATAGCCGAATTGCTTCGACATAATGCTATAATGTTAACCAGGTCGTTAGTCAATTGGTAGACCTTGGCGTTCCCGTTCCTTCATCTCGCGGATATCATCTACACTCGGTTCGTATTTGTGCCAGATCGTGTACTGGGGTAAGCCGGCCACGGAGAACCCCTGTTTACGAGCCATTTTGCCAAATCCCTCCGTCTCTGCATGATTCTCGAATGCAAAGCCAGGGAAGTTGATACCGGCCCTGAAAACCTTCGCCTTGGCAAGAATTGACACACCGCCAATACCATCCAGGTCTACAATGTCATTAATGTTTCCCATTCCATCTTCACGACGGAAATAAGCTAAATGAGGACGCCAGGTAGGATACTCTGCGTATCCTTCAACAATGACCTCGTCTTCATCCAGCGTTTTTGCCAGCTCTAACGCGGCCTCACTTTCCATCCAGGAATTGAGATCGTAGGGCTGCTGGCCGCCTAGCCACTTTGGCAGCGGCCGCCAGACATTGGGCACAATAACGTCTCTATCATGAGCCATCAAGTCTTCTAAAATCGTTTTGGGTGATGTCTCAATATCTGCGTCACGCCAGTAAACCCAAGAATGGTGGGGTTTAAGAGCAGCAGAAAGGAGCCAGTTGCGGGCTCTGCCCATCAGCTTCCGGCGTACGCCTTGTACAGCTACACCATGTCGGTCGTCGAAACCTTGTCCAACTGTAGCACCGAAAGAGCTACGTTTGAAAATGTCCACCGAGCCAAAGCGCTCTTCCTGGGGGAGCTTGAAGGCCAACTTGGCTCGTTTTTCCAGGAGTTCTTCGGTTTTATCGTCACTGTCTGAAACCAAAAATGCCAGGTCGATCAAATGGTGCGGGTAGGTGAGATTTTGCAAGTGGTCAAACATGAGATCTATAACGTCCTCAGCATTGCGAAGAGGCGTGCACAAGAGAATGCGCTCTTCTCTTGCGGAAGCACCGGCACCACTACTCTGTTGTTTTGAATAGTCGTAGAACTCAAATGAGCCAGTTCCGTCAATATCAATGTTTATTGGCGATACTGAGAAAAAGAACACGCGATAGATAGTAGCCATTGCGCATACTGCCAGCAATAAGCGAGCTAACACGGCATTAGACCGCTGGTAGCGAAAAAAGCGGGCCAGCCGTCTTTGTGCTCTCGTCACGAGTCCTACCTTCCTTTGAACGAATCTCTCGTCTGTCGGTAAAATCGTACTGTGCATTACAATCTCACCAAACAGGGCTTAGGTGGTATGAGATCAGCACAGATGGTACCCGACACGGAATAAAAAGGGTCTGGCCCGGAATATCTAAAAACTTGCATATATATCAGTTCCCAGGTTTGCATTGTCCTGGTTTTGTACTAACTTTATCTATCCAGTCTTGGTACGTACCCCTGGCCGGGTTTCACATAGCCGCAGCCTACGCGAAGTGAACCTTAAAATAGTCACGCCGTAAATTTCGTCAGGGTACGGGTTGCAACCTGCCCGCAGGTTGCAAAGAGTATCACAAAGAACTCATCCATCCAACAGTGGTGGGCAGGGCAAGTCAAGAGGGCCGATGCCGGCTGCATCCACCACATCGTTACCCTAACCCATTTAGCACGCAATCGAGGGTGATATGGTATGTATGCATGAAAAAGTCATAAAACTGCAACTAGTGGACAAACTCTGCACAGTATACGATGGCAAACCCTCCCCACGGTGGACAACTGAAAGACCTTTTGGCGCGTGACCTTCCCAGAGCCGAATCATTGCGTGCTGAAGCCGACACCCTCACTGATCTCGTGCTAACCGAGCGGCAGTTGTGCGACCTCGAGCTCATTCTATGCGGTGGGTTTTCTCCTCTCGAAGGGTTCATGACCAAGGCCGACTATGACAATGTTGTGGACAATTTGCGTCTTGCTGATGGTTCGCTGTTCTCAATGCCGATTAACCTCGATGTTTCTGAAGAGGACATTGAAGAGTTGAAGCTGGCTCCCGGCAAGCGGGTCACCCTTCGTGACTTCCGCGACCAAGCTGCTTTGGCTATCATCACAATTGAGGATATTTGGAAGGTCGACAAGAAGCGTGAGGCCGACAAGGTTTTCCGCGGTGATCCCGAGCATCCCGCTGTCAAGTTCCTAAACGAGACGGTCAAGTCGCATTACGTTGGTGGTAAACTCGAGGCTATCAATCGTATCAACCACTACGACTACATTGGCCTGCGTAACACTCCTGCAGAGCTCCGTACTCAGTTTGCTAAGCTTGGCTGGCAGAAGGTTGTCGCTTTCCAGACCCGCAACCCCATGCATCGTGCTCATCGTGAACTGACTGTTCGTGCAGCTCGCCAGCACAAAGCCAATGTGCTCATTCACCCCGTCGTTGGCCTCACCAAGCCTGGTGACATCGACCATTTCACTCGTGTTCGCGTTTACGAGGCGCTCATGCCCCGTTACCCTAACGGTATGGCTCTTTTGTCTTTGCTTCCTCTGGCCATGCGTATGGGTGGTGACCGTGAGGCTGTCTGGCACGCTATTATCCGTAAGAACTACGGTGCTACCCACTTCATTGTTGGCCGTGACCACGCTGGTCCCGGTAAAAACTCCAAGGGCGTCGATTTCTACGGACCTTACGATGCTCAAGTTTTGGTTGAGAAATATCGTGATGAGCTAGGAATTGAGGTTGTTCCTTTCCAAATGATGACCTATTTGCCTGAAAAGGATGAGTACGCTCCTAAAGACGAGGTTCCTGCAGGCACCCAGACTTTGGACATTTCAGGTACAGAGCTCCGTCGCAGACTCAAGCTGGGCTTGTCTATTCCTGAGTGGTTCTCTTATCCTGAGGTCGTCAAGGTTCTCCGTGAGAACCACCCTCCTCGTCACAAACAGGGCTTCACAATCCTTCTTTCTGGTTACCACAACTCTGGTCGTGAGGCAATTGCCCGTGCTCTCGAAGTCACATTTAACCAGCAAGGCGGTCGTCCCGTCAGTTTGCTTCTGGGTGAGACTATCCGTCAGGAGCTTTCAAAAGAGCTTGGATATTCCCATGATGATCGCTACAAGAACTTGCAGCGCATTGCATTTGTGGCTGGTGAGCTCACTAAAGCCGGCTCTGTTGTCATTGCTGCCCCCACCGCCCCTTTCCAGGATGGCCGTGACTTTGCTCGTTCTCTTGTTGAAAAGTTTGGTGCTTTCTTCCTCGTCCATGTTTCGACCCCACTGGAGCACTGCGAGAAGACCGACCGCTCGGGCTTGTTTAAGCTTGCTCGCGAGGGCAAGATCACTGGATTTTCGGGTGTTGATCAAGAATTCGAAACTCCTACCAATGCAGACATCACTGTTGACTTGACAAAAACCGACGTTCGCACCGCCGTTCACCAGATTGTTTTGCTTTTGGAAAGCCAGGGATTTTACGGACAGTAAATCCGTGTACATTGTTAACTAAAATTAAATATAAAGTGCATAGTTTATCAAAAGCTTTAATTGAGAAGATTCGCGATACTAGAGCGTTGGGACCCAGAGACTGGGAGCGGGGCTAGCTTTTCAGCCTCGGAAGCCAGGGCAATGAGCTGAGGACTAGGGAGTTGGGTATTAAGTATTGGTCGGGTGACGTCTGGTGCACGCAAGACCGCGGTTTCACTGGCCACGGAAGACGGCACAGCATAGTGCATCTTCTTGGTATGGGCATCGTCAACCTGGCTCTGTAGCTGTTTGATATATTCCACAGCTTCACAAAGAATGTCAAGTTTGTGAAGTCCTGAATCTCCACCACGCTTTGCGAATCGAAATCCTGCACACGACGGCACGAGCTGGCGCAACTCATCGTACTTGCCATTGATCTTTACGCGGCGACGGCGCTCGATATCAGAGTGATTCCTACGTTTAGGTTGGGTAGTAGATCGACGTGATGGTAACTCTGGCGACGATTTGTTTTCGAGCAACGGGCCAGGAAGTTGGAATCCCTCACTGTCTACGGGGCTCTTGACTTTCATAGAAGTCGAGGGAGGTGTGGGCAACATAGTATCCAATGGAGCGATGTTCCTCGATCCTTTATATGTTCGACTCATTTGTGCTCTGGTTATAAAGCGTAATGTGAACTCTTGACTTTCAACAAGACTAGCACGTGGGCACCCACGTGCTTTTGCCGGCAGCCGTGTTCACGTGAGCACAGAATACCTCTTCAGGGCACAGCTCTATACCCTAACCCAGGTTATATTCGGTAAATCGGCAACATTTGACAAGATTCTTTAAATAACGAAATCAGACCAAATATTCGGTCTTTGTGGTTGAGTGCTTCTCTTCGTTTTCGGTTTTACCGCATAGCTATTCACACTTGACGCTCCTAGCTACAATGTGCCTAATTGGGAAATGTGTAAACAGATCACCAAAGACCCCCTAAGGCGCACCCTAATCCAAAATATAATTCTCTACCTCCATTAACGTCGGTCAAAAAGAACAGAGCAGCAAGCGGGACTTGCGCGCATAAAATTAGCATAATTGTACCAAAACTGAATCTGCTATTTCGCATAAAATGATCGTAACACCTCGCAAAAGTCAACGATACAGCACCCTGTCTACCTCGATCGACCCCTCACTGGACACATTTAAGGACCGACCCCGGTCTAATCGTGAGAGTCCGCGCAAGAAGAAGCTCCTTGCCGCAGATAGATTCATTCCCAACCGGTTGATTTCTCGTTTGGATGGTGATATTGGCGCCCCTGCAAACAGGAGCAATTCTGTTCCCAGCGTCACGCCTTCTTCGCCAGGGCTTTCAACCCAGTCCGCATCGCGCTCAAACTCGGTGGCTTCGGAAACATTTTACAAAGGCGACGGGCAGCCTGACCTAGCTAGAGCTTGTGGCATTCGAAGCTCTCGGATTCTCGAATTCCAGGTACCTGCTCCTGCAGCTCGAAACTGTGATCTTCGGAGCCAGTACTCAGGTTTTGCGCCTACACCATGTCTGCCTGCTCAGCTCCGCAGAAAAGTAGCTACCGTGCCCGATCGCATTCTAGATGCTCCCGGAGTGATTGACGACTACTATTTGAACCTCATTGACTGGGGATGTTCTAACCAGCTCGCAATTGCTTTGGAGAATACTGTTTATATTTGGAATGCCGAAACTGGAGAGGCTGCTGCATTGTTTGAGGCCCCAACAGGAAATTACATCTCCTCTGTTAAATGGTCACAAGATGGGCACCTCGCAATCTCACTAAGTACTGGATCTGTGCAAATCTGGGACGTTGAGCAAAAAAAGAGGCTGCGGTCAATGGGCGGTCGGGCGACTCGTATTGGCGTCATGTCATGGGAAAAACACATTTTGTCTGCTGGCGGGCGCGATGGTTCCATCTGGCATCACGATGTCAGAATTAAAGAGCATAAAGTCGCCGAGCTCAACGGTCATGCCGCTGAAGTATGCGGATTAGCATGGCGTAGCGACGGATTACAGTTAGCCAGTGGAGGCAACGATAACATTGTGCAAATCTGGGATTGTCGGTCATCCACCCCTCAGTTCACAAAAAGTCATCATACCGCAGCTGTAAAAGCCCTAGCATGGTGTCCGTGGCAGTCTAGTTTGTTGGCATCTGGTGGTGGTAGTCAAGACGCGCATATCCATTTCTGGAATACCAGCACCGGGTCCCGAATGAACTCAGTTGATACTGGTTCTCAAGTTACTGCATTACATTGGAATTCAGAATATCGCGAAATCGTCTCTTGTCATGGATTCCCCAGTAACCATATCTCACTATGGTCCTATCCCTCTCTCACCAAGACTCTGGATATTGAAGCACATGACACAAGAGTACTTTACTCTGCGTTATCTCCCGATGGCCAAATATTGGCAACTTGTGCTGCCGACGAAAATTTGAAGTTCTGGAAACTGTTTGAAACACAAACTCGCCGGTCTGCTGTTCCCCAGAATCACAACAAGGGCATGGTGATTCGTTAGAATGCGTATGCAAATCTGGTTGCATATCGCGTCATGCATTAAATTGTCTATTACAACCTAAAGCTCGAAAGCAGGCTATCAGCTAGTATCTTTTCTAAATATCCTCACTATACTATCAACAGCCTTTCATCACATATCTTACTTGCTTGGGCAATTGTTTATTGTGTCGTCAATTCCACGCGCGAGTATCGCGGCTGACAAATGGAGACAACGGGCACTAAGAGGCTATATTCCAAGCTTTCTGGGAGCTCTGTTTGTAGCGACGCGTCTGCCGAGCCTGTAATAGAGATAGATGCGGGTAATGATGTGGAGGCAGATCGTATTTCCAAAATTTTAGCTATCGAACATGCTTCCTCGTGCGATCAAAGCGGCGAAGACGACACAGACAAAATTGAGACAAACTCGGTAAAACTTGACAGAGAATGGTGGCAAGCTTTTCAATCGCCGAGATCACAACCAATGGGCCCTGTTTGCAAAAGCCCGGAGAATGGACACCCTGTTTCTGAAGAATCGTACAATCTTTTGAAATCGTGGTACGGAGAAGAGGCGCTTGTTACCATACCCATCAGTGTTGTGGCAAGCAACGAGACCCTCGAAGATCGTACTCTTCGAGCAACAGATTTGATTGGGAAAGCAGTTGATGGAATTGAAGGTGATTTATGGGTTGCCAAGGCCTGGAAGCCCGTCATTTCTGCAGTGGAGTTTGGACGTCTAAGCGTACGCTCCGTTAACCGTGACTCTGCGGCTGGTGACATCAATCTGTCTAATGGTGATCGTTTGATTGTCGAGCCGTATGATGCTTTCAAGACGGGGACAATGGGTTTGACAAACTTAGGAAATTCCTGCTATATGAACTCCTCTTTGCAATGCTTGGTGCATGTGAAAGAACTAGCTGCTTTCTTTGTATCTGGCAAATACCGGAAAGATATCAATAAAACGAATCCAATCGGATATGGAGGAAACGTTGCTGAAGCTTTTGCACAACTAGTCCGCCACCTTTATTGCGACCGTCTTGGTGCATTTTCGCCAACCGCTTTCAAATCAACAATTGGCCGATATAACAGGGCATTCGCTGGTTATATCCAGCAAGACTCTCAAGAGTTCACTGCATTTTTACTCGATAGCTTACATGAAGACCTGAATCGCGTAGTCGACAAACCGCAAACAGAGAAACCCGAACTTCCTGATGATAAACTAGCCGATCCAGCAGCAGTCAAAGAGCTGGCAGATCAATGCTGGGACCTGCATCGCAAACGAAACGATTCTGTTATTCTGGATTTGTTCACTGGCCTTTACAAATCAACAGTCGTTTGCCCAGAATGTGGTAAAGTATCTGTCACTTTCGATCCCTTTTCCGATCTGACTCTTCCTCTTCCATCATCTAATATCTGGGTCCATAAAGTTACTTTTGTACCTTTGTCAGGCCCCGTGAAACAAACAGAGGTTGCCTTGGATCCCTTTGACAGCATTGCAAAACTCAAAACACAGGTCGCGGGGCTTGTTGGCGTGAAAGCCTCAAAGATTTTGGTTGGAGATATATACGATTCACAATTTTACAACTTTCATGATGACAATGGTATTGTGAGTGACACTATCAATGCATCTGATGATGTTGTTTTGTACGAAGTCGAAGGTGAACTCCCCATCGCTGTATACAGCCGTTCTTTACGGTCTTTTGGGCTCCCATTTTTAATTATGACGACAGGTGATGAGACGGTAGAACAGCTACGATGTTTAGTGGATACGAGGTTCAAGCAGTTTACAGGTAAAGAACCTCTCAACTGCAAATTAAGTAAACGACCGGGTGGTGATCGTGTTCTTGAATCTACTTTTGTTTCCTCTTTTTATAATCTTCAGTCTCTGGATGACCAAAGAGAGCCAGATCTTCCAGAGTCTCTAGAGTCAATGAAAGATGCTCAAGAGAACATTGAAGATGTCGAGATGTCTTCAGCATCTTCGGTCTCGTCATTGTCGGGGCCTGTTTCCTCTCCTGAGGAATCATTCGTCAGTATCAAGAATACGAACAATATAATTGAGACTACGTCACTACAAGGATCAGCTGAGAAGGGGCCAATTTTGAATGCAGGAGATATTTTAATTGCTCAATTCGAGGATGAGTTTGATTTCTTGGACCCAGAACAAATTGAGAACGAGCTTGCTACTGCCGCGCAGTCCCGCAAAGTCAAAGAAACCACTCTTGAAGATTGCCTGGATGCCTTCGAAAAGCCTGAAGTTCTCGGCGAGAATGATTTCTGGTATTGCAGTAATTGCAAAGAGCTTCGTCAAGCAACCAAGCAGATTGAGCTTTGGACAGCACCTGATATTTTAACCATTCATCTCAAACGGTTCAGCAGTTTCCAAAGCTTTAGAGATAAGATCAATGATATTGTCACATTCCCTATTACAGGGCTTGATATGACATCTCGCGTGCAAGGGTCGGAAGAAAGCTTGATATACGATCTGATCGCAGTTGATAACCATTACGGTGGCCTGGGCGGAGGCCATTACACGGCCTATGCGAAGAACGATAGCGATGGAAACTGGTACTATTTCGATGATTCCTCGGTGACACCTGCGGATCCAGAGCAAACGATTAGTGGTGCGGCATATCTACTTTTCTACCGAAAGAGATCATCCAAACCATTGGGACATCTAAAGCCTTCTCTTTTCGAGGAAGCCCATCTAGCGGCCACCAGATCTCGCCAGGAAAGTCGCGACGCCCAGCGCAAACCTCCAGCACTACCCGCACGACCAATGAGTCCTCAAGAACCCAGCCACCCAAAAATCCAGGCACTCACACCAGACTCTAACAGTAACCAGGATCTAGATTCAGACGAGCTCCCAGGATGGACAGATATCGATCAGGATGGTGGGGTCGAGAGTGATAAAGAACATTTTGAAGACGCTAAGCTATCTATTGAAGATAAAAGCTCCGAGAAACTCTAAGAAGACAACACCTCCTCTAATGTAGGCATAGATGCAGCAGCACCTTCTCTACTTACAACGATAGCCGATGCCTTTGTAGCAAACTGCAAACTCTCTTCAAGAGGTTTGCCTTGGTGAACTTGGGAGATGAACCCGGCCAAAAACGTATCACCGGCGCCTGTTGTATCTACAACATGCTTGACTTTCGCAGCAGAAACAAATCCTCGTTCGGATCCCTCCTTGGATGCATACACGGCGCCATGCGATCCTAATGTCACAACAACTGCCGTGCGAACCCCGAGATCCAGCAAAGAGTCCAGTACTTTTTCAGCATCATTCTGAGTTTGAACTGAGTTTCCGTCATTATGAGCGATAATTCCAGCCTCAATAGCGTTCACAATCAAGTAATCGACGTTTTCGTAGGCGCTGTTGGGAACGTCCAAAATCGGAGAGGGGTTGTAGACAGTTTTGACAGTTTTGGCAGCCTGCTTAAGGATTTCAAGGGTCGACTCCAATGGAATCTCGTTTTGAAGTAAAACAAATTCAGATTCAGCCCATAGATCTTCCGACACTTTGTCAATTGAGAAATCTCCGTTGGCTCCGGGGTACACTAAGATCCTGTTCTCGCCTTCAGCATCCACCAAAATCGTGGCAATACCGGTGCGTTTATCTGAATAATTGACCTGGCTCACATCGACACCTTCTTTCTCGAGTCCAGCCCGCAATTCATTGCCAAAAGTGTCGTCTCCAACCAAGCCGACCATCTTGACCTTGACGTCAGATGGACTCAACCGACGAGCGGCTCGAGCTTCATTAGCACCTTTACCACCATGGAACGTAGCAAAGTTAGTTGCGCCAACAGTTTCCCCGCCCTCTGGGATGCGTTTCGCTGTTGTCACCAAATCGAAGTTGAGAGATCCAATGATGGTAATCATGATGTCAAGTTTTAAAGGTGGGGGAATTATATACAGCTACTGACGCAGACGGGAGGCATAAGTCTGGGAGATAATATTCCAGGCAGCCATGAACTTTTTGGAGCACTGCTCGGTGCATTTGGAGTCGGCGCTGGTGAGAATAGGGCCCGGATTCGGGAAGCAGAGGTCGTAGCAGACCTTGGTCATGTTCTTTGTTAGTTGGGTGTCTGGCTCGCAACCGTATGGGGCGAACTTACGTTGATCAGCTCTGTGACATCAGCAACAGCGAGTTCTTGGGCAGCTTCCTGCATAACTCGCTGCTTGACGTCCTGAGTTTGCGTCGAGGACGCTTCTGAATCCTTGCCGAAAAAAGCCATGATGACAAACACAGATCAAGCTCGAGCGCCAATGTCAAACTCGTCAAACTGCTAAGATCTAAGGGAGATTGTGCTATGTAGCGCTAGAGAAAATTATATATTACTATTCTGTCCAGGGCAAAGTATCATATACAGGCTTGTGCTCTTTGAGGTCGAAGCCCAATGGAGGCAGATCAACAAGTCCTCGTTTTTCAAGAAGGGCCATTTGGCGGCCTCGCAACATGATATACACGACCTGAAGCAAAGGTGCGGGAATGTTGTGTTTCTGAGCCAGACGCAACGGGTTGCCCAGAATGGCCTCCAGCTCCATGGGCTGGCCCTTTCTTACATCGACGAGCATGGATGGTTCGTAGTACTCGTTGGCATCGACATTGAGCATGAAAGCTTCGATACCGGGATCCAACTTTTCTCCGAGCTCCTTTTCAGCAATGGCACGGACTTCAGCCATAGCCTCTTTGACCAAATTATTACTGATGCCACTGAAATACAGCCGGCCAGTATCTAGGCCAGTCACTGCAGCGATTGTGTTGTATGTAGCGTTGTAAAACAGCTTAATCCAACGCTTTTTAGCAAGATGCTCAGTAAAAATGCCCTTACTTTTTGACAAACTGTAAAGACGAACATACTCCTTGGCCGATGCAATAGCCTCAGGGCGTTTGTCGTAAGTTCCAATCGTGACCTCGTCAGGAGAGATGTGGTTGATGCGACCATCGTAATTGGTCGAACCAATCATGGATACACCACCAAGAACATAACCATCAGGGAACGCCTTCATGACAGGCTCCTCGTTGCCCAGACCGTTTTGAACGAGAACGACAGTCGCTCCCTTGTGCATGAACGGACGGACCATGTCTTCTGTCTTCTGCACCTCAGGAACAAACTTGGTGCATACAACAATATAGTCATAGGGTCCATGCTCTACAGCCTCGTCAACAGACTTGACAACCCGGCTGGGGCGCCAACCATCCACTTGACCGTAGTCGACAGACTTGAACTCGTACCCACGAGTCATAACCGTCTCGTAGTCAGTTCTAACGATGAGGGTAACATCTGCCTCGCCGCTAGATTGCAAAGCTAGAGCAGTAACTGCTCCAACACCACCACTTCCAAGAACGAGAACACTTTTCATGTTATCAAGTATAGTCCCAACAATATGATGGCCCCCGCATATTTATACTATAGGACCCTGCAGGCAGATGCAGGACGGTGCCAATTAAAAAGTCGCGGGCTCTTGGCTGAAAGAGTGAAATTTCACTACTGTGAACTACGAAAGAACAAACGATGGGGCTAAAACAAAAAAACGAGCCTAAACGTTGAGCCGCTCACAATTGCCCGACTGCTAATGGTAGGTAGAGCCGGCTCGCTACTACATACCGTTACCGGCTGCAGATTCGATCGAGAGTATCGGAGGGGTCTATTCGGCTGAAAGCGTCAAAATGAAGTCTTTGCCGGTTTACTTACTTTATGTGTAGGCAAGGCCTCTAGAGTTCCCAATCTCAGCGTTTGCAGAATGCACTCCTTCTTATCCTCCTAATGCCCCTCAGCATGACGCTGGAAACCAAAACATATAATATGGTACATTTTTAATTTTAAGCCTATCTTTTCTCGATGATATACAGTAGTGGTGGCTATAGCAAGACAATTGCCACGTTACGCCGCTCTCGACGTCGCCAGCAATGGCTCAACTCTGATGGTAACCCTTTCCGGCCAAACGATATTTCGCGACCCCAGGTTATAATGAGTTCAACAGACCTCTTCGACCCAAACAAATATCTGGATTCTCGTGGTATGTTTACCACTGCTAACCCGGCATACGACTGTTCAACTGAGCATATCATACCCAAGCTTCTGTGTTCACCTACATCGGTATTGCCGACTCCGCCATCGCCATGCGCTTCAACTGATTCTCCTCCAGATTTAGAAGTTGACGCTGTGCTGAAATTTCTTACTACTGATTTGGTGGAACGCTCGGCACCAGCTCAGCCCGACGAGAAAGAACCTGCTACAACGGGCAATCCTGGTGGTCAGAAAAAAGATGAACAGGAAAATGCCGAGAGTTGTGATTCACCTTCCCCAATGAATGTGAAAAAGAGATCACGATTCAGCTTTCAAAGTTTGGTTTCAAAGAGAAATATCAACGGGTCTAAAGAGGCGCTTGTTACGTGTATTGAAGAGCCAAGCGAAGTATCCGATCCTGGGGCAAAGACATCGAGCGATACTCTAGATTCTTATAACACGTCTCCAAATGGGTCTGGATCTTTCTCCACGAGCAATAGTCTCGCCGATTCTGCGACATCTCAAGAACTTGATGCTCCCCCTGTCCCGACAATGCCCTCAAAGAATGTCCAGGACCGAGCTCAGGATCTTCGAAAGCAACTGCAGGCACCCACTACAATAGCGGAAAAAGCCCAAGGGCGCCCAGTCCCCAGTCCTACCAAATCAGCACCTCAGGCTGAACCTAAAAGTTCCCCGAGTCTGAAACGTAGAAACAAACGACAAAGCTACAACGACCACCGACTGAGTATTTTCAGCGTAGCATCATCCATGGCAGCATTAGCTCCATTTATTGGCATCAGAGGGAGTGAAGATACTAAGCCTATTGTTGAGACTTCACCCGACAGTGTAGATGCCGAAGTCGAAAGTTTCTACAAACGTTTCAATGACATCGAGGAACCTCAGGTCAAACAGAAAAAAACTAATAAACAACAGCGGCGTAAGTCGTCCGTACTAATGGAAACCGTTCCTGAATACGTTTCTCGTCCCTTGGTAAGACCACCGGATACCTCCGCTGTCTTTGTTAGCAATCTGGTGGAGAATCTAAGCCAGGAATTGGATCAACGATTCAAATGTGTAGATTCTGACCTTAGGGAGTCTCCAGAATTCAACTGGAGGCCGCAAACACCGGAAAAAGTTGAGCACCGTAGCCACTTTCGGCGAATCCTAGGTTGGTGCAAGAATCAGCGATTACACTTTTCTAAAACCTCTCGGGAGCATCGTCCTGGTCATTTCTGGAGCTACTCACTAAAGCGGAGCCAAACGGTTCCTCATTCCCGAACAGTTCCTTTTGATATACACTTGCAGACCCCGCCAGCCTTGGACTCCCCCGCACTTGGAGATATGGGATCACCACCGCTGAGTCTACGCGTTCAAACTGAGCCCGCAAAGATTGCGCAGGGCACTCTTTAGTTTTTTCTTAACAAAATAATCTAAGCAACTCATCTAATTTAAACGCAATCAAGCAGTGACTAGTTCAGCTTGAGCGTCGGCTGGGTTTCGTGCAGCGTCTTTTTCATTCACATTGGAGCCACCGTCGGTGATTTTGCTTTCTGCGTCCGCTGCTTCTCTTGCTCGAATTGCGGCATCTGCAAGATCCTTAACAAATAGCTCAGGCACAACCTTGGGGAGTTCCCAAAGCGAGTCAATCTGTGACCTGCCCGAGTTCGAGGGGACTCCTTCCGTGTAGTGAATGGCATATTTCCATCCAAGTTTGACTGCAGCATCGCAGTTAAGAGCGCTATCATCGACATAGTAGCACTTGGACGGGTCAGAGACACCCGCTTGCTCCATTGCCTTCTTGAACATCACGGTTTTGGGTTTACACACCAGGGGCCGTACGGCATAGTCGCAGTAAGTCAGGCCGTCGAAAATGCCATCCAGACCGAGCAATTTCACAACACGGTTACCATGTGTTTTGTAGGCATTGGTGAAGAGCCAAATCTTGACTTTTGATCTGTCAACCGACTCAAGCAACTGTCGGAGCAACGGGTCGGGCTTGAGAATTGTGTCCAGAGGAAGAGCATCGTCTACTCTATGGTTGTAATCCATAGCGTCGATGTGGTTGAACCTCACGAGACCCTCAATTGCTAAACCAAACTGGCGGTAATAGTTTTTATGCAGGAAATCGGCACTCTCATCATCGAGGCTCAGCGTGTTGGCAATGTAGTCTTTGATGTATTTCCCCATAAGCTCGTTTACACCAGCCTTACATGAGTACAGCGTGTTGTCAATGTCAAAAAACAAAACAACCTTCTCGTTATCCTTGCTATCCGCGGCCATCTTTTCGTTTAAGAAGCAATGTTTCCCAAACTCCCAAAATCAACCCAAAAGCTCAGTCAGAGTCATCCTACCACTTAGTGACCCCACCACCCGTTTAGAGTAAGGAGCTTTTTTATCTCAAAGGGGTACAGGATGAGAAGATGGACGTGCGGACTGTCTACGCAGTGTGCCAAAATCAAGATGCTTGAGAATTCAATGGTGACCGAGCGACCAGTGACCTATCCGGTTTCGGAGGTGGTTACCCCACGCCTGTTTTACCAGACCGCTGCAAGCGAGTGGGCCAAGAAGGCTGCTCGCCCTGTTTCTCTTAGACAGCTGGCTGTGTTTGGGCGGAAACTCACCGAGGAGAAGCTTATACAAGGGGCAAATTATATTGTAGAGGAAATGGCTATTCGCCTTGCTCACCGCATTCTCGACATGCAGCGTATGCCTTATCGCGTGATGTCCAATCCTCATATGACTCAAGTCTTTGAAAAGTACACACTGGCGTTTGATAGGTGTCGCAAGTTCGGCAAGATTAAAGATATGGAGGATAACGCGCGGTTCTGCGTACTCATCGCCGACCTTCTGGACAAGCACGGGAACATTGTGCCGGATCTTATTGTGGGGGTTAAAGAGATTGTTCGCACGTCGTCTCATGAAGATGACGGCCCAATGCTTGATCAATTCATGCGGACAATGCTCATGTCCCGTATTTCGCGGCGAGTGATTGCCGAGCAACACTATTCTTTGACCCAAGCATTCAATCGAGGCCAAACGAACGACGACAAAGACAACAGCTATATTGGCGAGGTATTTCTGCAGTGCAGACCCTCAGAAATTTTGCAGACTTCCATCAAAACCGTTACCGACTCGATTAGGGCCAGCTTCCCTGGCACCGATATGCCTATTTTCGAAATTGAGGGCGATGTCGATACCGCTTTCCCATACTTGAGGTCACATATCGACTATATTTTGGGAGAAATTCTTCGGAATTCTGTCGAAGCATCGATCCTTTTCGCCCAGCGCCAAGGCACTCCAGTCAAACCTATTCTTATTAGTGTTTCGTCAACAAACGAAAACGTCTTCATTCGCGTGAGCGACCAGGGTGGTGGTATCCCCCTTAAAGAACTTCCATCCATCTGGTCGTTTGCAAAGCCCATGTCCGACAATGATCCGCTGCTCTTTACCGGCAAGGTTGCCCTTGCTCTACCTATCGAGGCTTTGCATGAAATTGACCAGCAGATCAAGAGCACGCCACTCTACATGCGCACAGAATCCGACAATGAAGTCCACACACGAGATACAATGACAAAATTAGGCATTGGCATAGCGTTGGCTCGAGTGTATGCGGAGTACTGGGGAGGTGCATTCGAAATCCATTCTCTCGAGAATTACGGCTGCGACTCCCTGCTTCGTATTTCGCGTCTTGGAACAAAGCTCGAACAGCTTCATGTTAACCGTATTTAATCGTTTACTCGTTATATTGTATTTTCAGATCCCACTGCCTAAAGGGCAGAAATAGCTGTTGGTTAGGTAAACCTCATAAATGTCGCGTGGTGAGCCAGGATCTCCGCTCGAATCTAGTGGTGATACCCCGCCAGCCGAGAACGGGGCAGTGCAAGAGAATGAAATGCTTGACGAGGTGGATATCAACTCTGAAGAAGTTGAAGCCCAACAGGTGCCTGAGCCCGCCAATGACAGACCCAGCTCGACTGCCACGCCAGAGCTAACCCAGCCCCTACCGGAGCCAGAAGCTGAAGAACGGCCCCAAGTAGCCAATGAAACCACACTTTCTTCGCTGGTTTTCATTGAAGGCACCATGAAAGCTATTAAAAAGTCCAAGGATGCGAAGCGTATTCCTGTTCTAGATCAATCTGTGTCCAAGGTTCTCAACCAGATTGACGAGAACCGGGGGTCTCTGCCAAACGCTTCGACATTATTGGAACCGTTGAGAATTGTGTGTGCCCAGGGCTCCTCGACAGAACTGCGTGCAGAATCTCTGGACTGTATTGGCAAATTGTTCACATTTTCAGTGTTGCGCGAGGACGTTGATCCACAGGGTCCTCCCACCGTCCCGATTCTTGAGCGAGCCGTTGACATTGTCTGTGATACTTTTGATGGTGAGTCGACTGATTCAAGAATAGAGTTGCAGATCATCAAGGCTCTTACGGCGGCAGCAGTAAATGAAGACACACTCATCCATGGACCGACGCTGCTTAAAGCTATTCGTCAGATTTACAACATTTTTGTTGTTTCTAGATCACAACCGAACCAACATACTGCCCAGGTGAGCCTTACACAAATGGTCCAAGCCGTGTTCGAGCGGGTTAAGGCCCTCGCAAAGGCGAACGACGTTGATCCACCCAAGACAGAAGCAACCGATTCGCAGGGTGCAAGCACCACTGCATTGACACTTGAGAAGATGCAAGGTGGTGCGTCTGCGGAAGAGGAACCCACTGGAGTTGCAGATGCTGATTTTATCACTCAAGATGCTTTTCTTGTGTTCCGAACTCTTTGTAAACTATCTGAGAAGACCGACGTCGATCTCAACGATCTCAAAGGGCATGGTATGCGCTCCAAGCTTTTAAGCTTGCATCTGATCCATATCACTCTCAAAGAACAGATCTCTGCTTTTGCTTCGAAAACGTTGCTGGTCAAATTTCGCTCGAGAAACATTCGATTTGCCAACGCTATCAAAGACTATCTTTGGTCCACTCTTAGCCACAATGCTGCCTCTATATCACCAGCAGTGTTTGAAATTTCCGCAGAGATTTTTTCTTTAGTGCTTTCGAATCTTCGATCTGAATTCAAGCATGAAATCGAGGTGTTCTTCCGAGAGATTTATTTCACAATTATGGAGATGAGAACCGCTACATTGCATCAGAAAATGTACTTTTTGGGCCTCGTTTCAAGAATCTGCAGTGACCCGAGGTCTCTTGTTGAGTTATATTTGAATTATGATTGCGATCCTAGAGCCATCAATATTTTTGAAAAGCTCATCGAGATGGTAGGCAGGATTGCCACTCTTCCCGTTAGTATTACACAGACTCAACTGCAGGCTTACCGGCAAGACCGCAATCGCTCCATTGCTGTATACAACTTGAACCTTCCGCCAAGTTTATCGATTGACCATATTGTAGCCACGCATGGTAGGATGGACGCGGCGACCTACCCACTAGAGTTTGCAATGAAAATTACGGCTTTAGAGTCTTTGGTTAGTGTTTTGCGGTCGTTCATGATATGGTCTCAACGTGAGTCAGACGATGAAAGTACTCACTCGCGCACATCCTCTGCTTCTTCTTTGTCCAAGAATCAGTCAGAGGACACCCTTCTGGATAGCTCTGCGACGTCTACCGTTCCTGCAAGAAGCAACGGCCATTTGCGTCATCTATCTGGAGACGATCCTACTCAGTTTGAAACACTCAAGACAAACAAAAAGGCTCTAGACAGAGCGATCTCAGATTTCAACTATCGTCCTAGCCGTGGAATTGAGTCGCTGATTGCTGCAGGCATCATCAAGGCCAAAGAGCCCGAGTTGGTAGCCAAGGTGCTATTAGAAAATGACGGATTCGACAAACAACAGATGGGTGAGTATATGGGTAAAGATGATCAATTCAACAGGGCTGTTATGCATCATTTCGTTGATCAGATGGATTTCAAGAACCTGACCTTTTTGGACGCCTTGAGATTCCTTCTCCAACAGTTCCGTCTTCCCGGCGAAGGCCAAGTTGTTGATCGATATATGCTTGAGTTTGCTACCAAGTATACTCAAGCGAATCCTACCGTCTTCAGCAATGCAGATACACCCTACACATTGGCGTACTCGGTTATGCTCCTCAACACCGAGCTTCATAGCCCTCAAGTGCGCCGTGCCCGTATGTCAGTTCAAGACTTTATCACCAATAACCGTGGTATTAACGATGGTTTGGACCTTCCTGATGATTACTTGACTGAAATTTACAACGAAATTCATGCCAATGAAATAAAACTTGTTAGTGAGCAGCAACAAGCCGTAATTCGGGGTGGAACTGACTCGAGAGATTCGCGTGAAGCATATTTGGTGGCTAGTGAAGTCATTTCTTCCAAAACGGCCAAACTGTTCAAGAGTATGACTGCACGAGAACGCAGGTCAGCGTCAATGTACTACAACGCTTCACACGCCGAGCATATTCGCCCCATGTTCGAGATGTCTTGGATGTCCGTTCTTGCTGGCCTTTCTGCCTGTTTCCGTGAGGACAAAGTTAACATGGTGAAACTTAGTATGGAGGGTCTCTCGTTAGCTTTGCGAATTGCGTGCCACTTTGACGTTGACTTGGCCAGAACGTCTTTTGTCAATTCTTTAGTACAGTTTTCTGGGCTGAGTTTGAGCGATATTTCTGCCCTCAAAGTGAAGAATATTATGGCTATTCAGACACTTCTTCAGGTGGCCCTTACTGAAGGAAATATGCTCCATGAATCCTGGAAAGACGTCCTGGTTATGGTTTCTCAGTTTGAGCGATTGCAGCTGATTGTTCTGGGAGGCGTATCTGCTCAATCTATTCCTGATGTTAGCAGCTTGCGTCGTGAGTCGTCAGATCGGTTCTCCCGTGCTATTATGGATATGCCGACTGAAGTTGCCGATACCTTGCGTTCTCGAGAACTTGTGCTTAGTATTGACAAGATCTTTACTCAATCATCTAAATTGTCTGCTGAAGCTATCACCGAGTTTGTCAAAGCACTGGCCGAGGTAGCACTTGATGAAATCGAATCCTCAAAGGATGCTGCCGAGCCAAGACTTTTCTCGTTACAAAAAATTGTTGACGTTTGCTATTACAATATGGCACGTATTCGCCGTGAATGGTCGCAAATCTGGGCCCAAATGGGTCTTCATTTTAACAAGCTTTGCTGTCACAGCAATGAAAAGGTGGTTTACTTTGCTCTAGATTCGCTACGCCAGTTATCAACAAGGTTCTTGGACCTTGAAGAACTGCCTCATTTCAAGTTCCAGAAAGACTTTTTGAATCCGTTTGTTTGGACAATGGAAAACTCGAAAAGTGAGCAAGCCAAAGGGTTTGTTATTGACTGCCTGCGTCAAATGGTTCTTGCTAAAGCCGATCGATTGATTTCAGGCTGGTCTGCTATATTCGCCGCACTGAAGGCTGCTGCCGAACAAAACTATGTATCAGTTGTTCGTCAAGCGTTCAAAATGTTGACTATGATAGGCGATGAGCATATTTCGGCCGTCATTACCCAGGACGGTTTGGGCTCATATCTCGTTGCGTCTGCGGCTATGGCAAAACAGTCCGATGCCAAAGTTGCTATCAGTGCAGTGGACCGGTTGCGAGCTGCTGATAAGCTCCTGGCAATTGTCAAGGACGACGAGGGCCCGTGGAAAGTTCTTTCCCGGATTCTTGCTGCGTTACACGATGTGATTATGCAAGGTGCTGATCTCGAAGTTCGTGGCCGGGCCTTGAATCATTTGTTTGATTTATTAATGGAGCATGGTTCTTCATTCTCAAAGGACGAATGGGATCTCGTGGGCAGTGAACAGATCTTTCCGCTATTCACGGTGCTGGAGACGCCGAAATCCCAGATGGACGAAGACACCACTCTCTGGCTTTCCACGACGCTTGTTCAAGCTTTACGGCAAATAATAAATCTGTTTGGACGTTATTTTGATATGCTGGAGCATTCTTTGGATAGCTTTTTCCTGTCACTGCTCAAAACATGCATCTGCCAAGAAAATGATACTGTTTCCCACATCGGCGCTTCGTGCCTTGTTGCGCTTGTACAAAACAACGCTGAACGATTCAGTGATCGTCACTGGCAGCAGGTCTGTGACAAGATTGAGTATCTATTCCGCAAGACAACGGCTAGCGACCTGATCGATGCATCTCATTTGGAAGGCCCTCCCAGCCATGCCAAAGCTCGTATTTTCCACAAATCCATTACTCTGGCTGTGCAGCAGATTCTCATGATTGAATCCGCCGGTGATATTCTGAAAACTCCTATTGTGATTGAAAAGATCCCCATCCCGGACAATTTACGGATTGCCCATCGACTGAAGGAATCGTACGAATTTGCCCGGACATTCAACCATAATCACGACCTTCGAACCAAACTGTTCCAGTTAGGGTACATGAAGCAGACACCTAATTTACTCATGCAGGAGTCAGCGGCTGCTCAGAATTATATCGCGGTGGCCTCTGCTTTATTCAGGAACAAGGCGAAGCTCGAGGATGACACTGAAGGCCGCAGTGAGCTTCGTGGAGAGCTAATGCATGTGTGTCGGCAAATTCTTGCTGATTATAACGACTTGGTTGCTACGGATTATCGCCATGTCAAGACGATGACACCCATAGTCATCTGCGTACTCAAGGAGGTTTGCTTGTTCGATAATGACGATTTCAGGGCCAATGTAGACAAACTCTACAGTCTGGTAATCGATTTGCTAGACAAAGAAATGGGCCGGGATCTCCGGGAGTCTGTGCAAGCCATTCTGCGCAAAGTCGCAGATGTACATTTTGGTAACTAAAAAATATGGGAAAATGGTATTTTATAGCATAAAGTTTCTTTTAAAGCTCGTCATGACCCTCTTCCTCGTCGTCAAGAGTACCCAGCAGCTCAATATCCTCTTTGGTGACCATAAGGCGATATTCCTTGGGGATGGGCGCAGTTGTAACTTTTTTATTAAAGTAGTCGACGATGAGTTTGATGATGTGTGCGTCTGTGTATTCGGCAGTCATGTGAGCCATTTTACCCTTTTCATAGTCGAAAATCGCGACCATAGCCTGAGGAACCTCGGTTTTCTTGTCGGTACGAGAAATGCGGAAATATTGGGGTTTGAAGCCAAGCTTATCGTACATACCCTTCAGCTCCTCACTGTCGTCGTAACGGAAGTAGTTGAAAATAAGCTTCTCATTTGTGATGCCAGAGATCTTGGAGCGGGCAATCAACAGCTTCTGCTTGTCGTCATCGGCAAACTCTTGATTGGTAGCCATGAGAAGGCAAAGTTTGTTAGATCGAATGCAGTTGCGGACAACGTCACTAATGGACTCAAGGTAATCGTGCTTGCGTTGTTTGGCAGATGGAGTCACCTTGGGTTTTGCAGCGCCGGACGCAGACTTGCTCTGAGCGGCTTGCAGCGAGAGCATCTTAGCCTGGTAGGACGAAATAGCCTCGGGGCCTTCTTCAACAACCTCGTTAGGCAAGAGGTCGATATCGATTTCGTCAAGCATAGCATCAACGGATTCCTGAGCATCATCAGAGTCATCGATGTTAGCAGCTTCCTCGTCGACTTCAACATCTTCTACAGGCAGTGCCTCGGCAGTGTCATCCAGAGGGCCGTCATAGACAAATTCTTCTGCAACCTCACCATCAAGAATGATGCGTTGTTCCTCAGTAATCTCTTCGCCTTCTTTGAGACCCAAAGCTTCGGCGGTCGCTTTAGCCTTGGCGACTGAAACTTCAGCCGAGAGTGAAGAGCGCTTCTCTTCGAGCTCAGACCGAATCTTCTCTTCGTTGATTTCACGCGGAACGTACTTTTTACCGGCGGCTTCGGCACGCTCCTTACGGAGTTCTTCTTCAGCTTGGGCCTGGGAGAGCTTGACGTAAATATGATCGGCCTCAATCTCCTCACGGGCAGACTTGACGTGCTCCATTTCTTCCTCTTGGGCATCCTCAATTATCCATTCGAGACCATTGGCAGCTTCCTCACGATCAGGGACCAACGGCAAATCGCGCTGTTGACGACGAGTCATCTCAAGACTGTACTGCTCATCAATGAACTTCTTGACAGCACGCTTGTGGAGATCACCCAGATAGACAACAGGCTCTTTATCGTCGGACATGTACACCAGCTGGGACTGCTCGACTGCCGGCAAGCCCAGCAAACTCCACGCACCATCAACACGTCGGGGGACATAAGCGAAGCGCAGTTTACCAAAGTAATCGTTGGACAAAACCTTGAAAAGAGGGGCAATGGACTTCGACTTGTATTTACTGCCAGGCAACATAATGACACGAGGGATCTTGTTCAGTTTGAACCAGCTGATAGCGTTCTCGTTGGCGAGGGAGGCAGCATAATTGCGGATTTTGGAGGTCGCGAACTTGTTGAAAGCCTTGGCCTCACGCTGTCCATTGTAGCTGAATACGCGCGGTTTCTTAAGCTTGAGAGGTTTGCCTTCAACGACGTCCTTGAAATCAACGTCAGTCAACTTTGCGGGCTGGAAGGCCTTGATGGTCGGCAGTTTCTCGATCTTTTGGCTAACACAGAGTTCTTTGTTCACATCCAACTGGCAATTGACAGCAAAAACATTCACCAATCCTTGGAGAGCCTTGGCGGACTTCTTCAGCTCAGGAGCAGTATCCTTGCAGTGAGGACACCATGGCTCATAGAAGAGCACCATAGAGACGTTCCCGCTCTTAATGACGTCTGCATTGAAATTTCTCGCGGAAATCTCGCGCACCTTACTTTTGGAAAACCATCCGGCCTCAACCGCGCCGGTCAGCCAAAGCAAACTCAAGAATAAACCACTAAAGTACATCTTGATGAAAGTGCAACTGTGAAGTGGTGGGGGCTCGTGTCAGACTTGGGTCCTGCGGGGGATCTGGTCTGTAGGGTAAGGGTAATGCGGGGCCAAGTAAGACCTGGCCTGTAAGTAGGACTTATCAAGGGGTTCGTTGAACAGGAGCTCGATTTGCAGATTCTAGTGGAATTAAATAAATAAGCTTAGCCAAATGCTACGGTTGCACAATAGTAGACGTTAAGGACGCCCTCTACGGCATACGCCTGGGAGAGGTCTTCCAAACGAGCATCGAGCGCCGGGGAAAACGAGGCATTGATGTAACAAAACAGCGAGTTTTGGGGGGCAAAGTTGAGTTTTCGGCGTAGAAAGGTAACGAGCGTGGAGAACTCGTGCTCCGACGAGACTTTAAACATTGTTGTTTGCAACCGCTTGGTGCCACCCATCGGACGGAAGCGCACAGTGATTTTGGGTATTGTCAAATCAGCTGATTGACTCGCGGGCTCATTGGACGAGTTATCTGTCAAAGCCCCGACAGGGCCTTTCACCGCCGTTTCTTCTTCCGGCTTTGGTGTCTCGTCCAGGTTAGACATAGGCCGATTAGTCAAACACAAGGTGGTGGTTGAACCATGATCACAAAATATTTCACCAGTGCTATTGTTCGGATGCCGCCGGCCGGCCACGCTGCCAAGCTGGCTCGCGTTTTTCTAGCACAGATTCCTCCCAGACAACGCACAGATATTGATGTTCAGTTCAAGCTTTTGAATCCTACCGAGACAGCTGTGCCCGAGATCAAAGTCAAGTTCAGTAAGTACATGAAGGGAACGAGCCCGCCCGAAAAAAAAAAAAAAGAACCATACTAACCGCAGAGGATGGGACTTTGTTAGATGTCGACCCATTAACTACGTCTACTCGTGAAATGGTTGAAACCTTTGATCGCCATTCCCGAAAACTCCAGGTCGAAGACGCTCTCAAGGAGTAATTTGTATATATGCTCGAAGGCACTAGTTGTTGTTTAATTTAGCGATGATTGTTTTCATTTTTCATTTCGAGTTGATCGGTGGCCGGGTATTTGACTGCTAACCGATCAAGCAGATTTTCACTTTGTCATGAAGCGGCCCAGTGAGCAGTCTTCGAAAAAACCCGTGTCTCGTTTGCGGGCGATTCCCGGTCTCGAGCCCAAAAACACGAGCCTGTACCAGGATCCACGATTTGATACAGCCTTAGGAAAAGCAGATCTTCAACAGACGAGAAAGAATTATGCCTTCCTAGACGAGTATCGCCAAGCTGAACTCAAGCAAATGAAAGAAGAGCTTGCCAAGAGTAAGGACCTTAAAGAGCAAGAGATTTTGGAAAAGGCAATCAGATCGCAAGCATCGCGGCTAGAAACATTCAAGAGACGAGACCAGGAGGCGGAGATTCTCCGGAAAATCAAAAACCAACCCATTTCGCGAGCCAAGAAGCGCGAGATTGTTCTCAAAGAACGATTCGCCGCCATGTCGAAGAAGGACGCTTCAAGAGTCATTGAGAAGCGTCGCCGCAAGGTTGCTCAAAAGCAGAAGAAGGCATTGCCGGATCGGAGGGTTTAAGAGAAACGACTGGATTCCTATTTATTATTAGCTTGTCCTGTACAGAAATAAAAGGCGAAAGAGAAAAATAAAGCCCCTTAAGCAGAGGCTTTGGCTTTACTAGATTCCTCGCTGGCGGCCTTGGGCACCTCTACCTCGCCTTTATGGTCAACCCAGTCCTGGTAAGAACCAGAGTAGTTGAGACGGTGCTGATAGCCGTAGGTGGCCGCGAGCTGTTCAGCGCCCTCGCAGCGGACACCACCCTGGCAGTAAAACAGCAGGGTTTTGTCCGTCGCAGGCTTCTTGAATCCGAATGCGTCCTCAAACTCCGCTGCGTCGAGACCTAACGCGCCCGGAGAAGACCGGAAAGGAATATTAACCGCGGTTGGGATGTGACCCTGAGCGAACTCGTCAGGCTCCCGAACGTCCACAAGAACAAGATTGTCGTCCTTTTTAGTCAATGCTTTATTGACGTCGTCAAACTCGACAACCTTGGCTGGCTCATCAATAGACCGCCGGGTGTACTGGCGGCGCGCCACTACCGGATGGTCACGGAGCAGCTTACCAGCCACAGTCTGGGCAACCGGCTTGGCTACATATAGCGAATTGAAAACATTGCGTGTGGCGAATGATCTGCTAAGTGCAAGCGGTGCTACTCGAGCTACAGCGTTACCAGTGCGAGAAAGCATTTGCACTAGTCTCTTTTTGTATGATGAAGGTGGGTGGGTATCTGCTCCAGTTAGTCAGGATTCCTGAATCCACCTGGGGGCCCTTGGCGGCTGGATCGAACCGTGGGGCTGGCGTCTTTATGCATTAAAAGTCGTGCATTCATAACCTAGTGCAGAAGAATACTACAGAAATCTGGAATTCTACTTCGTTCGCCCAAGTCGGGCCTGCTTTGCCAAATTGCCCTGGGGTGACTGATTGGGATAGCTTGCTAGATCCAGGCTCCCTTACGCCGATTACTAACTAGCGTGTTCCTTTTCCTATATCGTATCACCGTGCTACTTTTTGTACCCCAGCCTTTTAATTTTTTGTTTTTCCTATTAAAAGTGATCCATGGCTGAGAGTACAACCTCAGATGCTGCCATCGGCACTATAATCGAAGTAATCATCGACGCAGGCGCCTTGGCCGTTGAAACCGGCGACTTTCTGTCGTACGCTACCGTTCTCGACTTGCGAATTGGGGCCGCGTCCAACTATACCGCCGAACAGGCGTGCCAAGTTTTGGGTGCTCTCTACAGTACCATGCAGAAATACCCCAAATTGACCTATGGTGTCGGCTGGGATCTCCCTGCACTACTTCTGCCGTTCATTGATATATGTGAGCCCGGTGTGGGTAGAGAGCAGTTGCTGCCGCTAATCAAGGAAATCTTCACTCTGTTGAGCGTTGAGGGAAATCACAAGGAGTTGTTCCTCAAGAGTAGTGAGTTAATGTTACGATTGTCAGAAGACATGGAAGCAACTGTGATTGAGGAAGCGATAGAATCAGACAATGGTGCAAACTACGGGGGTGAATTTTTTGAGCCTGGAGATTTCTCCGTTCGGGCTGCCAATTATCAAGCTTCTACTGCTGAAGAGCATCACGAAGCCCGTTTGCGAGACTTCAAGTTCAAAATGCTCTATGAATTGATGCGACTCTCGCTGGCCTCGATCGAGACAGAGCACCCTTCCAGATTCTTCAAATCAGCAGCTACGACACTGCTAACTGTTGCTAGTGACCCTGATTGTGATATCCCAAGTTTGACTATTCATTTGCGACATCTTTTCTTGCTGGGCCGAGATTTCGCCATGCAACTCGATGGGGTCAGTGAAGCAGAAATCGGTCTCACGGCCAATCTGCTCAAGAACTATGTCAGCCATGCTGCTGAAGTCACCATGGACCGTGTTTCCATCAAGTGGGCAGATCGCCTGTACTATCAAATTGTGAACAAGATTGCTCTATGCCCGGCCAAGTCTCGTGATGCCGCCTATCATATTAGCCTGTACAACGAGCGTATTAATGAGGCAATGTCCCGTCTTGCTCAGCTCGCGCAATCTTTTGACTTGGAATTGGATGATGCCTGGCCCGATATCGTAATGGAAGCTTCCAAGAGTATAGTCACCAGCCTTGACGATGAGCCGGAGGATATTCTTGAGTCTCCCTCAACTGCTGGTCTACTTCTGCTAGCTACTCAAACACATTTTGATGGCACACGGAGAGCCAAATTGCCGTTCAGCAAGATTGTGGAAGCAATTACCCAACTCTCGGACTGTATTCCTCATTCGTTGGGCGTTCGGGATGCAATGCTGTATTGGATTCTTTGGTCGTCGGTATGCGTTCAACCTGAAGAGGTTAGAGCGCTTGAAAGAGATGTTTTCTGTCGTTATCTTCAGGTGACCCTTTGTATTGCAAACAACGTCACTCGCAAGACCCGCCATATTGCCTACTCGGTCGTAACAAAGCTCCTGCGACTGCAAAGCCCGGGTATTTCCTATGATTTCCTCATTGATACTTTTGAAAACTGTCCCTACGATACCGTTCTGGATTCAGCTGTTCAAATGCTCAAAGTTTTACTCACTGGTAAGCTCAAGTGTCAAATCGGTACCGATCAGGGTGCATCAAAAGAAATAGTCTGCAATTCAAGCAATCCCGAGAACTTGCTGGTTCTTGACGACAAGAAACGTGCGCAGATTTTGGACATTGTAAGCACGAACTTCAACGACTTCATTTATAGCGGCGAGGCAGCACCGTTGCTCATGTCTTGGTTGAATTTCCTGACAGTTATTGACCTGGACGATGACAGGGTCCAGGAGATTGTTGAAAAGCTCAAGAAACATGTCACTGTTAAAGGAAACGAGTTGTCAGCCAACCTTGTTGCCCTTATAAACATGGCTATTGAGTCGTTGGAGAAGGCTAGGTTTAAATAGTTTATTTTATTGTTAAGTTTCTGTTTTTGGTGCAAGTGGCTGTAGATCAGACGGCCCGGTTGGGGCAGCTTGGGCCGGATTTGGTTCTGCTGGCTTGGGTGCCAATTTAACTGGGGTTGGCTCTGCTACTGCAGCCTCAGGTGCTTCCTTGGGGGGGTTCTTGAGAGCATCCTTAGAGGTATCTTTGGATGAATATTTCGCTGCGTCTTTGGCCTCGTCTTTAGCCGTGTCCTTGGCGGCATCCTTGGCTGCGTCCTTGACCTCTGGCTCTTTCTTCACTCGCGGTTTGGTCACGCGCTTCGGTTTGGGCTTGATCGGTGTCTCGTTGGGCGTAGCAGGATTGGGCGCAGAGCCAGGCGTCCCGTTTTCAGCAGAAGGAGCAATTGCGACCGGTGCATCTGGTGCTGCATCTTTCTCTTTCTTCACTCGCGGTTTGCGAGGCTTTGGCGGTGCATTCGGGTCTTTGGGTTTCCGCTGACGCTTGACCTTGGGCTTTTCCGCTTCAGCACCAGCATCCAATGCCGCGGCGGGTATTGGCGTCTCTCCAGGGGCAGGACTCGTAGACGGGGCAGCAGCATCTTTGCCATCTGCAGGCGCAAGAGTCACTAGCTTCTTCTTTTTGACTGGCTTGGCATCATCGACCTTGATCTTGCGCTTGGTTACCTTTTTTTTGTCTTCCTTTTCGATCTCCTGTGGCGCGCTTTTATCCACCAACTGACCAGCAAATACAAAAAACCCATCTTTCGTGGCCGCGGCCTGCTCTTCCCAAGCCATTTCGGAATCGTCAATGAACGGATCATTCAGGTCATAGCGGCCCTCACCACGTTTTCGTTTTCGCTCCTTGCCATCGTTGTTCTCGGTCTCTTCCTCTTTATCATTCTGATTGACAACGTCCTCGTCCTCATTATTATCCTCATCGTCGTCATCGTCGTCCCCTTCGCCGTCTCCCTTATCTGCTCCTTCGGCACCATCTGCCTCAAGAAGGTCTGCAGCAGTGCGTGTCTCGGGATGAACAACAGCAAACCCGTACTTTTCTTCCGCCAGATGGAAGAAATCTACCGCCATGTTGCTCGTGAATGGGATATCGACCTCCAGCGACTGGCGCTCGGTCGATGCTGACATTGGCAGAAGGTAAACTCGCCCAACCAACTGAAAGACATTAAGATAGTAATACTAATAAAATCTAGAACAATATATAATAAGTGCCGCTACGGGAAAGAGCCAGAGGCACCTATACATTCTCCCAGCCCCATTTCGACTGAGCCTGACCAGCAGATACTTGGCCTAAATAGGACGGGGTCGTAGAACCACTTGGGGGAGCCGTCGCCAGCACGTGTCGGGGAGAAATGAAGTTATTAGGAGAGGTGACACTTGCTGGAGAGGTCCCATTAGAAAAGGGAGAGGTGCTGCTTGACGTGCCGGACGTGGGAGCAGGCGAGGGCCCGCTATTTTGGGAAAGCGGCGAGGGTCCGCCCTGGAAAGACGAGGGAGTGTTCTCCTTGAGCGGTTTGGGTGCAATCAAGACTGGCTTTTCAGTTTTAACTTTACTTGTCAGCCTCGTATCGCCCACGTGCGCTGTGCTGCTATTTCTGCGCGAGTTGGTTGAGGCGGCGGGGGACGAGCTCTCGGCTTCGGCAGAAACTCGACTGCTGTTTGTTGAAGCGTTACGGTTACGTTTCTTGATAACGTCAGACTTGAGACTCAGTGGCCGTTCTTGTCCGTGTAATTTCAAAAACAACCCACAAGCATTGCACAATGGCTGGCCCTCGCTATTGCGGCGCCAGAGTGGTGTGTTGCGGGTGCTGCAGTTTGTACATTGCAATTTCTCATTATTGGCTGCTCTTCGAGTCTTTCCTGCGGCATCAACAGTAGATGACGATCTCGAAAGCGGCCGGCTTTTAGAGATGCCGCCCGCCGATGAGACAGATGTGTTACGACGTCCCAGAGAGCCGACGCTACCGGAAAGCGAGACTTGTGAGCCGCTTCGAGGAAGTGGAGAAGAAGGAATGGGAACTTGGCTACTGCCCGGAAGCATGTCAATTCCATTAACACCGCCCAATGACCCCATTGGGGTCGTCTGAAGAGAGGACCGTTGATATGAAGAGGCAGCGGCAGCCAGGTTGCTTCCAAAAGAGCCTGGACCAAATGAGCTGCTGACTTTCATATGTGCAAAAGCACTTTGAGAGCTTGAATCATAGGGACTGCTGAATCCAGAGAACCCGGACCCGGTTCCGAACAAGTCCGGAACGACCTCATGGAACAGATCCAAATTAGGGTCTGAAACAAGAGCCTGTGCGTTAGAAGTAGAGCCAGCTCTATGGAGACCCGGGTGGCGGCTTAACGATGCCTGACTGGGTTGGCTGTAGAAGTTCAAAGCATTGTATGAAGAAGCTGCCGATGCTCCGGCCGATGCTCCGGCCGATGCTGTTGTCCGAGAGTTAGGTATTATAGGTACCTGTTGTACGAAGCCTCCATTCAACTGTGGTACGTGTGGGCTTTGATGTTGCTGCTGTGCCGCTAGTTGTGAGCTCAAATGACTGAACGCTGTCGGCGGGTAGCTTCGGCCTGGGCTAGGTGGCCTGCTGGACGGCTGGCTCGGTGGTAGACTAGGTGGCTGGCTCGGGGGCAATGAACTATATGCACCTCTGTCGAAATGAGACGGTGTGAAACCGTTTATTTGCAACCCGTCATCGCCCATAATATCAAAGCTCACCGGCGTAAAATGGCCAGATCTGCGAGGACTCAAATAGGTATTATCGGTGGGTACCTCCTCATTCCCGGACGCAAAAACTTGTGATTCGAATCCAGGATTCAGTCCGTTAGGCAGCATAACATGTCTCGGGTCAACTGAGCCGCTCAATGTAGGCGTGGCAGACGACGCCTTGCTATTGACAGCAGTGGCATCAAGTGACTGATGGTGATCGGAGTCTAAAAAGTCGTTTGAAGACATAGAAAACCGCTCAAAGTTTAGGTAGTCATCAGCTTGGAACCTGTTTTCTTTGATATCAAGCTCTCCACTGTCCATTGGCTGAGGGAGATCCTCACCGACAATGATAGATTCGGCAAGGAATTCGGTCAGGGGGTTCTGAAGATATGCGCTCATGGTGAACTGGAGCAAATTGAAGTGATAATCTTCGATAGAAGCGGTTTACGTATCGAAAAAGGTGAAACGTACGCTTGCTTCAAACAAGGTAACAAACGGGCAATGGATGTGAAACCACTTGCAAATGGAAGCAAAACTCTTGAGAACGCGCTGTTAGTTTGATTCGCGTTCTTTGAGGTAGTAATTATCCGCACCAGTATATAACGAAGAAATCCAACTGGGCGGTGTTCGATCAAAAAGGCGGTTACTGAATAACTGGGCGTGGCTGTGTGAAATATCCAGACAGGTGTGTCCTAAACTGTGCCGTGAACAAAAGGGGTAGTCCCAGCTAGCGTGTGTTGAATATCGTCGAGTTAGTGGCGATGGCAATCAAAAAAGATCGCTCGGAGTGGCTGCTTCTTCGGTGGGACCAGAAATTGAAACTTGATTAATAATCGGACGCATTTGAAGTACTGGGTGCAAAAAACCTATGATATGCTGCATATAGTTTAGTGCATTGCATGTCAGGGATTAATAGGCGGACCGAGAAAACAACACAGCTGGGCAAACTCTACACGCATTGAGAGTTAGCAGGAGGGGGGCAACTATCTCCAATTCTGCACTAATTCTCACATTGAAAACTAACTAGGCAAACCTAAGGTGGAGGCTTGAATGCAGGACTACGCGTTGCAGTCTTGTGATTGACACAGTGTCAGGGTTTGGTTTCAATCTGAAATACGGACCGGGCCTATTCGCTGGTCCAGTTTGGGCGTTCACGCCGGTAATTCTAGCGGAATCGTTTGATGTTTGACATCGGTTCGCCTTGCCTATGGAATAGAGATGTTCACAATGCAGTACGACTCGCAGGGACGATCGAATTCCGGACCATTACTTAAACAAAGTATGCACGGTAATGGTCAGTGACTGTGTGTAACTGGCAAGTAAGCGAAGAAACTCTGGGCAGGCTGCAGCGGGTCACTAAGGACACAATTGATATGCTGCGGGACGCTATTCAGATATCATCACTGGTCCACATCGCCGCATTGGTTTAGGTCCAAGGCGAATTCGGATTGCTCGGGGTCAGGCGGCCGAGAACGGATGCAGGCAAAAATGACTAACGCCCAATTTGTTAATGCATTGTATCTGCACGCGTCAGAAACTACTCGCAGAAGTGTCGCTATCTGTGGTCCGATAAGCAGCTGGAACCCGGTGCCATGCAGCTGTGCATATACTTTTTCCGAAGACTTCAAAGTTTTGCTGAACAGCGAGTGTGTTTGAATTTAAACTAGCATTGGCAGTAGTTTTTCGGCATTCCCGGAGCCCGTGGGATGCGTGTTCGCCTAACATACTTCCTTGGCGGCTGCCTAGCACTGTAGTTGCCGGGCCAACAGCAATTGTTTCACTAGTAGTGCAGATGATGTCCTCGATGCTTATGCCGGTGTTTGGGGCTCTCCAAAGCTTGAGAATGAGGAAGGTATTCGAAGATCACCCCACCGAGCCTCCCAAGATGCTTTTCGAGCGTCGCATCTAGCTCCTCCCTGATAGCATTGACTATGGTTGGGTTCAAAGCAGTCTTGTTCCATACAGATATCCAGAACTCGTCTGGGAACACTAAAAAAACTACCCCCTGGATTTCTGCTGGCGAATACACTTTATCCTTGCTAAAACTGCCCCCAATCACCGACATCAAGAGATGCTCCCACACCGTCGCTACGTCTAGCAGGAAATCGAGTTGGTTTCTCGTTTGAGTGCCTGCGCGCTTGATCCTGAGGATCCACTGCCCCCCAGAAGCATTGCCGGGGTCGTTCTCTTCGGGCTTAACTCCGTGTTTGAAAAACTGGATCTCGGCGAAATCGTCATCAATCTCGACAATTGGCTTTAAATGTGTCACCGCTTGCCAAAATTCTTCCACAGTACCGATATTACAGAGCATGCGCTGGCCAGCTAATTTGCGGTTTTCATCGCGGCCCCCATTCACCCATAGCGTCCAGCTCTGGTTAAGGCTGTGGGGTCGCATGATGTGAGCACTGAGATTACTAACAGGGGGGCCAGCTTATAAGAGTTTGAACAGCCTCTCAGCGGGCGCGGATCTCCAAACGGTTCTTGGCAGTAGGTAGCGAGTGAAAATTGTCCGTAATGCTGTGCAAGCGGAGCAGCCAATGGCATCGATACATTGATTTGAACAAAATATTTATTTCAAATGCCACAATTAGAAGACACGGCGCGACCTGGTGGTCACGTGATATCCAGATCAACAGATTTCAGATCGGGCACCACCATCGTCAAGTTTCTTCCTCAACATCCACGATGCCTAACTTTGAAGCACTGTTCAAAAAGATCGATGAGCTGAAGCCTGCGTTCATTAAGCGCTTGGCAGATGCTGTTGCTATTCCTTCCGTCTCTGCCGACGAGGCCCACCGACCCCAGGTCGTCAAGATGGGCGAGTGGTTGGCCGAAGAGCTCAAGCAGCTTGGTGCTACCGACGTCGAATTGAAGGAGCTTGGACCCCAGCCCCACACTGGCTGGCCCCTTCCCCCCATTGTTGTGGGCCGCTGGGGTACTGATCCCGCCAAAAAGACCGTTTTGCTGTACGGCCACTACGACGTCCAGCCGGCCCTCAAAGAAGACGGCTGGAGCACTGAGCCGTTCGAGCTCACCCAGAAGGGCGAGATCCTGTATGGCCGTGGTGCAACTGATGATAAGGGCCCCGTTATGGGCTGGCTGAATGTTTTGCAGGCGCACAAGGAGCTCGGTCTGGAGATTCCTGTGAACCTGGTCTTCTGCTTTGAGGGTATGGAGGAGAGCGGCTCCGAGGGCCTTGATGGCCTGATCGAGCAAGAGGCCGACAAGTATTTCAAGGGCATCGATGCCGTTTGTATTTCTGACAACTACTGGCTTGGCACTAAGCACCCTGTCGTCACTTACGGTGTGCGGGGTGTGTCTTACTACGAAATCACCGTCAAGGGACCCGCCGCTGACCTGCACAGCGGCCTGTTTGGCGGTCTTGTCCACGAGCCCATGGTTGATCTGTCTTATCTTTTCAGCAAGCTCGTCACCCCCAAGGGTGAGATCTTGATCCCTGGCATCAAGGAACTGGTTGCCCCTCTGACCAAAGAGGAAGATGCTCTCTACGACGCTATTCACTTTGACATTCCTGGTCTTGAAGACAACATCGGCTCCAAGACTATCATCCAGGACAACATCAAGGATGCATTGCAAGCCCGCTGGCGCTACCCCTCTCTGTCGCTGCACGGCGTGGAGGGTGCTTTCTACGAAAAGGGTGCCAAGACGGTTATTCCTGCCACCGTCAAGGGCAAGTTCTCCATCCGCACTGTCCCGAACATTGAGCCTGCCAAGCTCGATGAGCTTGTGATCAAGTACGTCGAGGACCAATTCAAGACCTTGGGTTCTAAAAACGTCGCAACCTGTGAGCTTGTCCACGCCGGTGATTACTGGGTCTCTGACCCCTCCAACTGGAGTTACCGTGCTGCTGCTAAAGCCACCAAGGCTGTGTGGGGTGTTGATCCTGATTTCACTCGCGAGGGTGGCTCCATTCCTATCACTCTGAGCTTCCAAAACTTACTCAAGACCTCCGTCGTTTTGCTGCCTATGGGCCGCGGCGACGATGGCGCTCACTCTACTAATGAAAAACTCGATGTTCCCAACTATATCGAAGGAACTAAAACTTTAGGTGCCTATTTGCACTACCTTAGCGAGGAAACTCAGGACTAGATAATCTTAGTTGATTTTTTTTTGTATCGTAATCACATGCCCTTTGACCCTGGGGATCAGATTCTCGGTCAAGACACGAAAATAAACGATGATCAGTACTGGAGAAAATCAATTACACCAGAACATGTGCTCCGCAGGCTCATTAAGGCTTCGTTGATACTTGATAGCGATGCAAGCGGGTCGTATTTTTGGCAGCTCTGCGCAAGTTTACTGCCCCTCACAACCGCGCCGATAGGGTTTTTAGGCAATCTGGCCAGTATTATATCGTTAGCCGATCCATGGAGACTTGTGGACGGCACAGACCATAATATTCAAGATACCGCTTGGGTTTTGGCACTGAATAGCGTTGCTCTGGCCGCAGGCGTTCTGGCCAACGTTTTGCTGTTCATGAACTTTTGCAAATTCCTGCCACATATATTTGTCCAAACTGCCTCGATTATTTTGTACATGTTCGCAGTTATTCTTTATATGGCTTTGTTTGGTGCAACAGAGTATCAATACTTCCACAATGGGGTGTACTGGCGATCCCAAGGGTACTGGCAGGGCGCATCTGCCTCGGTGTTGTACGGAGTAGCAGCGATTTTTTTGACTTTAAATTTGGTCGGGCACTTAACAAAGCGATACGATGGTGAGCATTATCTGAACAACAATCAGAGACGTGTTTATCTGGTTTCTTTGGCCCTCATCGGATGGGTGGCCATCGGAGGGGCTGTGTTTCAGCAGTTAATAAATTTGTCGTACGCCAATGCCTGCTACTTCTGTATTGTTTCTTTTTTCACTCTAGGATTCGGCGACATTGTACCAAAAACTGTCGCCGCGCGTATTGTTATCATCCCTTTCATCTACATGGGTGTCATTCTTATTGGTGTAAGCGTCGTTTCGATATACACTGTCATTCGTGAGCATCATATAAGTGCGGCGTTGATGCACCGCGTGCACTTTCAGCGAACAAAAGCCTTTGCATGCATATCAGAAGATACGGATGCCACAGATCGCGATTCGTACGATGTCATGCGGGCCATCTTGAAAAGGGCCCATCTATACAACGAAATTACCAGCACGTTCCTGGTTATGTTATGGCTGCTTATTTTCTGGCTTCTCGGAGCTTTAGTTTATCACGGTACTGAAGGTTGGACATACTTTGAGGCGTTTTATTTTGTGTCCATCGTCCTAGCCACCGTAGGATACGGTGACTTCACTCCCGATTCCCGCGGTGGCCGCAGCTTCTTTATCATGTGGGTCTTTTTCGCAATTCCCACGATGACGTCTGCGATTTCCTCAGTTACGGATATCATGAGCAAGATAGTCGAGTTCATTATCAAAACGGTTCGAACCAAGTCTGTGCAACGCAAAACAATGATGAATATGCTGATGATGTTATTCCAGAGCGATATGTATGAAGAGCGGCGAGAAGAGCTTAGTACAGAACTGCTGGAGGGTACTGCGATTGCTCTGATTCACGGAGCCGACGATAAGGCGTATCCGTTTGAGGTCTGGCACTTTGTCACCACCAAGCTCATAGGCGAGTTGCCGTGCGAGTTCTGGCTCTCTGACCTGTCTCCCTTGACTCGCCCTATCAACGAGCGTAAATGTCTTCTTCTTATGACCCTCCACTGCCTTGGAATGAAAGGAGAACGTGCACAGACACTACTGGAACAGGTTCTCGTGGACCCGTCTGTCGACCTCCCGTCTCGTTTCGAGACTGAAGAGACTCCCAAGGAGCTCAGCCCTGTCTCGTCTCGCAGTACTGGATTTAGCCTCTCGGCATTGAGCAGTAGACATCTTAGATCGCCGTCGCGGGTCACTTAATTTGCATCCTTATTTATATACTACTCCTACTTGGGCTTGCTGACATGGCTAACGCGGCAGCGAAGAAGTTGGCTTCGACCAACACGAAAGAGCTTGCAAAGCTCCACAGAATATCGCTGGCGATTTTTGTTGCCACTTTGGTTGTGACGTTCATCAAGGGCCGACGTCTCAAGTCGCTTTTCTTTTTGTCGATCCCAGAAATGGTCGTAGAGTACATCATTGAGAAAAACTCTCGTCCAAAGTACATTGACGGCCAACTAGTTAACCCTGGAGGTGACATCAATCAAAGCGGCTTGACAGAGTACATGCTGGATACTATTTACATGTCCTGGGTTTGCCAGAGCCTTTCAATTCTCTTTGGTGTGCGGGCGTGGTGGCTCTTCCTCGCAGTGCCGCTGTTCCTAGCCTATAAAGCGGGAAGCTTGTTGTTTGCCGGACGAAAACTGTTGACCGGCATGGGAGGAGGCAGTGCTGAAGCGGAGCCTTCGCCCAGCGAGCCTGGGATGTCGAAGCGGCAAGAGAAGCTTCGCAAGCGAAATAAGCAATAGTGCGAATGCAGTATAACACTTTCAAGTATTTGTCTTTTTTTGGTTTTCACTAGTATGGCTAAATAATGCATGCCCAAGATATTTAGAAAGCCATGCTCTTCTTGATGTTGGCAATAGCCTGGCCAGGGTTAAGACCCTTGGGGCAGGTACGTGAACAGTTCATGATGGTGTGGCAGCGGTACAGGGACATACCGTTCTCGAGGAACGAGCGACGCTTGTCACCGGCTTCATCACGAGAGTCAATCATCCAGCGGAAGGCCTGCATAAGAACGGCGGGACCGAGGTACTCTTGCTGATTCCACCAGTAAGATGGGCAAGAGGTGGAGCAGCAGGCACAGAGAATGCACTCGTAGAGACCATCGAGCTTGTGACGGTCCTCAATAGTCTGCAGGTTCTCGCGGCCGTCGGCAGGGACGTCCTTGCGCTGGAGCCAGGGCTCAATAGACTTGTACTGCTTGTAGAAAAGAGTGAGGTCGGGAACAAGATCGCGAACGATGTACATGTGGGGGAGGGGGTAGATCTTGGTATCCTTGCTCACGTCGCGATCGATACGGCACAAGCAGGCAAGGGTGTTGGTGCCGTTAATGTTCATGGCACAAGAACCGCAAATACCCTCGCGGCAGGAGCGGCGGAAAGTAAGTGTCGCGTCCTGCTCGTTCTTGATCTTGAGAATGGCGTCGAGAATCATCGGACCACACTGGTTAATGTCGACCTTGTACTCTTGGAGGGTGGGCTTGACCTCAGGTGTGTCCGGATTCCAACGATAAATCTGGAAGGTTTTCACCAGTGCTTGCTTCTCGACAGCAGCAGTTGCCATACGGCGAATAGAAATAGGACCAGCCCGCTGGATAACACTTTTAAACATGTGGGTAGGTTTGAAAAGCTGGGGGTGCAACTCGCTTTGATAATCCGAATTCTTATGCAACGTAATTTTGAACGCCGTGATTGGACAGCTCGGACAAACCACAGCCGACTATTTCCGAGCTCACCCACGGAGCTCGCTTCAGTGGTCAAACTTTGACAAAGCCTTTATTTTCTGCATAGACAAATCAAGCAGCTATTTTTTGGAATATTCGCTGTTTTTTTGCGCCCTTCTGCTCCCCACACCGTGAGCCATCCCATGCACCGCGCAATACCCCCACCTAGCTCGACCCTCAACCCTAACTACCCCACGCCCGCCTATCTGCAACTCGGCTTAACAATTTTTTTTTGGGGTTTGTTATTTTTCAAGGGCACACCTGGAAAAAATTACGTCAGATGGCATCGCTGGAACGGATCGTGGATATCCTGAATGGCGAGATTTTGCCCGAAACAGCGCGATATGTGCTCTCGGCAGTTTCATCTGGAGACTTGCTGAAGGATGCGCCAGATGGTGCAAAGCATAAGCTAAAAGTTAAGATCTCCAGCATGCTTAAATCTTCGGGGCTGGAACGTGCATTGGGCGCTCACCTCGCCAGAGCGGCTATTTCGGTCGACTGGTCTGTAATTAGATCTCACGGCGGGTCCTGGGCAGGCATTCTCATTCATGTGCTCGACTTGCCTGACGCCGTTTGCTGGGGTCCGGCCATTCAATTCATGTCTGCCCTGACCACACTAATTCACGGTAAACAAGAGCTGATTCGAGAGGTCACGAACGCAAAAGTTTCGGACTTTATCAAGAGACTTGTGGTTATGCTGGAAAAGTGCCCTGAGCATGCACTTGAGGCGTTTGCTGTGCTCTTACAGCTGTATCCTGGTGCTTGCAGAGCCTATGCAAGCAAGGTCCGCGACAGAGCTATGCATTATTTGACAACACGGCACTGGAGAATCGCGTGCAAGGTGCTGAGTGCGTTGTGTTGGGTCGAGAAATCTCCAGCTGCTGCGTGGCGCGAGGCTGTTCTGGACGTGCTGTCGAATCTATCAATTCTCTTAACCAAAGAAGAAAAGGGTAAGTATTTCGCCGCAACCTCTTTCAAGTCGGCATCCGAGCTTAAGCTTTGGCATCTTCTGTCTCTGTTTATTGGTGGCCCAAAGCCTGCTAATGTAAAGCTACCTGCCAGCAAGCTGGCTGACCTGCTCGACCGGTCTTTCCGCAGCCTTGATCCAGATACGTTGGAGTGTATTTATACCTTTTTTGTTGATTCAAAGGTTTACAACAATCTTGAGTCGCTTTACATACGCCAATTTGACATGCTGTTACACCACTTTGTCGAGGCTGTTCAGCTGAACCGTACCATGGCCTTAAAGTATGGAAGATGCGCTGGTTTGCTGATTGGCTCTATATGGGTTCCCAAGAAATACAATGTCACGATTTCCAGACTGGTCAAGTACGTGCTGGCAGCCGCTGCGGATAGCACACCGATCGGTGTCGAGGGTCTCTCGGACTATGTTTCTCATCCAGATGCTTTTCAGCGGGTTTCTGCGGAAGAGCTAATCGAACACACAAGTGAGCTTTTGCAAGCAATCATTCTTAATGTTAATGGTCTCAACAACTCCACGCGGTCAGAAATTGACTCTTACTTTATTTCTACAGGCCGTAAAGGCCTCAACACCGCAGCTCTTTACCCAGGGAAATACAGTATTTTGCCCATTGCTCTCAACGTTGGCGTCGAAGGTTTAGAATGTCTGATCCACCCTCGCTTCCCTCCCCTAGCTGGTCAGTCCGCGACGATTGAGAAAGACGAGGACAACGACGACGAGCCAGTTCCCACAACCAAAATGATCATTGAACCGATCACAATTGCATCGAAAGAACTGCCTTCACCCATTCTCGACACCAAAATGCCCGAGTTCATCCCCGAGACGCAGCCGACCCTTACTCGCTCTCCCATCAACACCCCGGGGCATCCAGTTCCAACAAGCCAAAGCCCTGGCCACGACCATACGCTTGATGAGATTATTTCGCCTCACTTTGAGCCGGTTGTCGAGCCCGATTTCCCCGTGCCAGAGCCGTCGAAACCTCAGCCTGAACCTATCAAGTCCCCGACCCCTAAACGGGTAGATTCTCTTCCTCAGCCCCGGCCTGAAAAACGACCAAGAGTCGACGACGCTAATACAGCGGTTGAGGCCGACAATGATGATGACGATGATGACTTTGTTATGCCTACTTTACAGATGGATAGTGATTAAATAGTTCTCGGTTTAAATGAGGTAATAGATATTCTCAATTGCGGTCCACTTTCATATACAGTTTTGATGTGCTCTTGCTGTTCAGGTAGAGGTATGCAAGCGGTAGATTCGTCGGTGGTTGTAGATTCGAACTCATCAGCCCGGAACTGCATAAACCCCGGAGGAGGGGTGCCAGTAGGATTGATTAAATGGTGATAGAAAACAGACTCCTCAGGCTTCATCACATCCTCTGGGTGTGGTCGCCATGAATTCACTTTCTGGATGTCCCGTAGGTCTCTTTGTACTCGTTTTAACGTCGCTTCTTCAGCTTTGTCGAGATTCGCCCGGGTCTCCAGATCCCGTTTTTGAGACCATAGTTTCTTGGGATTGAGGCGCGTCAGTTTCTCAATTCGTGCTTTCTGGCGTGAACTTTTGTTCTTTCGTTTCTCCCGCGCCCTCTGTTGCTGCTTTTGGATATTCAAGGGCCCGTCTCTTGCCATGGTCGCTTATCAAGTAAATTGGAAAAAAAAAATTAAGTAATGGACGAACTAAACCGGCTGCTCGATCAGGCGGAGAAAAACCTTGCTGGAGCGAGGAATAAAGAAGAAGACGTGTTTGCAGAGATCGATGCTATTCCAAAGTTGCAAACTGGCCTGAAATTAGACGCCGGCGGGGCCAAGGAGAGGAAGGTGAAGGCAGTACCCGTCAAGGCCATGCCAACAACGTTCAAGCCTGTCAAGCCCGAAACTGCAGGCAAGGACTGGTTTGATCTGGGTAAACCTGAAATGACGCCGGAGCTTAAACGAGATCTACAACTTTTGAAGATGCGTCATGCTCTTGATCCAAAGCGATTCTATAAGAAAGAGAACGCCCCCATGTCGGAGTATTTTGCAGTGGGTACCCTCAAGGAGGATGCCAGCGAATTCTACAGCGCCCGAATTTCACGCAAAAACCGCAAGAAGACGCTTGCGGAGGAGATCCTCGCTTCGAAACCAGAATATTTCAAGTCACGCTACCAGAAGATCCAGGACAGCAAACGCAGCGGCCGCAAGAAGCATCTCAAGAATATCAGAAATATGCGGGCGTGAGGTATATACACAGGTATACTATTTAATAAATCATTCACTAGGTGGGCCTGCCACTCATGAAGCTAATTGACTGCTTGAGTGACCACCCAGTAGGCGGCTGAGGGGCCTTAATTTTCTCGAATGGCTCAAGCTCGACGTTCTCAGGGATGATGCTGAGAACCCAGTCGTTGAAACTCTTGCTTTGGTCGGTATCAATGCGTTGGGCAGCAGCGATGCCAGCGTCTATCCACTCGTCAACCTCGGGGAGGTTTTTTTTGCGCAGTAACGTCGTTAGCAGCCATCCTTGGGTTTTCACAGGAAATGTAGGCATGGGATACGTTACAGCACATCCTAGATTGGTGTGGAAAGTCTCCAACGTAGAGACCAGCGAGGAGAGCTGCAGGATGCTGAGGTTGAACTGTTGGTGAAGAGCCGGCCATGCTGGAAGCTCTGCGCTCTGCACTCTGTGTAAAAGAGCCGTCAAAGAGTGAACCAGCTGCGACAGACGTACTCGTAGTGACTCTAAAACCACGCTTGGAACGCCGCTATAGTCGACCTCCTCTGTCATGTAATTGGCTTGCGTAATCAGGTCACGGGCGGTTTTAGCCTGGAAAAGATGCTAGAGAAACTAGAGTGTCAGTAAAGAGTTATAAAACTTATTAGATTTTTACTTTACCATTGGGTAGAAGTTTTTCGCGTTTTGCTGGATTGGCGCCATTGGTCTGGCCATTTGGTTCAGGAGAGGTGGCTTTGGCTTCGAATGTATTTCGAACTCGCTGGTAGTGAGCCAACTCGTCGGCACTCACCGAGGGGACCAGGTCGTTCTGGGCTTTCTCGAAATCGGCAACTGTCACCTGGACGTGCGTGTCCTCGTCGGTAGCTACATGCTCAAACCACGAGCGAATCGTGATAGGAGGCTGGCCGCTCGCTTCACGGGCTTTATTGTACTCGGCGATCTTGAGATCCACCTCACCAGCAGTTCTGGTCATGGCATTGAGCATAGCATCAGAAGACAGCGCATAGAAATCAGCACCAGTGTATGTGAATGGACACTTTTCTGCCACTTGAGCGAGGTCCACATCCGCGGCGAGATCGAACTTGCGGGTGAGGGCCTCAATGATGGTCCGCTGCTTATCGTGTGTATCAGAGACACCAAGGTAAAGCATTTTGTCAAAACGGCCAGGACGCAGCAGCGCTTCATCCAGAAGATCGGGTCTGTTGGTGGCGCCAATCACAAACACACCGTCTGAGCCTTGACTCATACCGTCGAGCTCGGCAAGTAACTGAGAGACAATGCGATCCATAACACCACCAGAGTCGCCCTTGTTGCCACGTTTCGGAGCAACCGAATCCAATTCATCGAAAAACACAACACAAGGCTTTGCATCTCGGGCCTTTTGGAATACACGGCGTACATTCGCCTCAGACTCACCGATATACATGTTCAGCAGCTCAGGTCCTTTAACACTGAAGAAATTGAGACTGAACGTTGTAGCAATAGCCTTGGCCAGTAGAGTCTTGCCTGTGCCAGGTGGTCCATAGAACAAGATACCAGATCTCTTTTTGACACCGCTTGCAAACAACTGGGGGTACTTGAGCGGCATCTCGATGGTGTCCATAATCTCTCCTTTGACGTTTTCAAGACCACCCACATCTTTCCATTGAACATTGGGGATGCGTGGCGCACCGATAGAGTCGCTGTACTTGGCACGAGCATCGGTGATGGCCTTTTCAAAGTCGTCAGGAGTAATTTTGATTACACCCTTCTGAGAAATGATCCAGTCCCGAGGGTTCGTTTCTTTGACAATGCGTCGATAGGCCTGTTGTTGGGCTACTCGAACAATCGACTCAAGGTCAGGGGGCGTGAGACCTGCTGATTGGAGGGCTAGAGAAGCAAGAGATACATCACACCTCAGCGCAAAACCCTCTAACACATCACGATGTTTCCCCGCTAGCCGGCTAGCAGGCAATACACTAGACGTTAGATGGGCAAACACAGCCTTACGTTCTGTCTCGCTAATAACAGGCACATTCACCTCGAATTTGAACTTGTTACGCACAGAATCAGAAAGCACATCAGGATCCGCACATGTTGCAGTAATGATCATACCAGGCTTGGCAACATATTCATCAAGAAGCTCACCGAGCGAGCTGATCAGACCGCTATCGCGGCCATCAGTGTCATTCTTTTTGGCAAGAGCTTCGATGTGACGGAGAACAACCAGACAAGGCGCAATTGACGAGGATGCACGCTCTAAACGGGCCTTCAGTGCTCCTAAAGTCTTTGCGTCGGCATCGCCCACCAGCTGGTAGCAGTCAATGTCCATTTCGTGAACACCAAGATCAGCAGCCACCACTCTCAAGGTTGTAGACTTTCCTGCTCCCCGTTTGCTGCTGCTGAGCAGTATGGTTGGATGTAAGGTGGTTCCACGAGGTGTCTGGCTGGCTTTGACAAGCTTGCGGACCTGCCATACATGCTTGAACTGCTCTGGATTTGCCAAAAGAGGTGGAAGGGGTTTCAAACTGTAATATGAGTGCCAACCCAGACTCGAAGGAACGCCGGGCTCTGAGACAAAGCCTGATTGAACCATGCGGGTATGCGCGGGGGAAATTGAAAACTGCTCGTCAGAGTCCCCGCCATCCAAGGCAGCGATTTTGAACCAGACAATTTCATTAGCTTTTCCGGAAAGTGCAGGTACTTCTTCTTCGGTGTTTGAGCTAAACGTTGTCTGGGCCAGTAATGTATCAATAGGAACGGCAATAACGTCGTTCTGTTTGACGATTCGTGCCGAGTTTTCGAAATAGGAACGCAACCCGCTCAAAAATGCATGCTGATAAGTTCGATTTGTTGAGATAGGCGAGGCTATACGGGCAAGTGTAACGTCTTTAGCAACAGCAAAACTGTGATCTTCGGTGCAGCGCTGCACAGAGATTTTCATCGGACTTCCCATATTATAGGACAATACAGGAGGAAGAAATATGAATTCTGAAGACGCATTGTTTGGTTCTGGATAGGAATATAGCCTCAGAATGCGAGAGCCCGTGCCGGATGTGACCTGGACGAGGTCGCCTGAAAAAGCCCCTAGCCGGGCTATTTGGTCAATACGCATGAAAACCACACTTTCCAAGTCCTCAGACGGACTTGGTCTAGGAATGATTCCGCTGAGAGGAATCATGTGCTCCAAAGTCTTGACTTTGAGCTCAATAACATCGACTTCAGTTTGCAGAAACTGTGAGATCTCGACGCCATAGTCTGCTTCTTCTTCCTGCGCGGTGCTTTCTTGGTCTTTGACCACCGAAATAACCGTTTCGTCTGTCATGACACCCTGCTCTACTGGGTCGCATGCGCGAACTCTGCATAGTAAGTCCTCGAGAAAGTCTCCCTGACGAATAACCGGTGGTAGCTTGGACTTGAGGCCTTCCTTCTTTGCAGCGAGATTGTCATACAAATGCCCCGGCGCAGAAAGAATGACGTGTGTGAGTTTAATTGGGTAGACTTCCTGGGTAAGACACGGTACAGGGAGCCCCAAACCGGGGGTATTGCCAACCCAGACATCGTCCACTGCTACTTCTAGACTCTTTGTTGTCTTGAACAGAGTCCATGGCAGCTCGGGGAAGTACTCTGGAACTGACCGAACAGCAATATACTCGCTTCTGGGCTCATGCTGTTGAGCCACACCTCTCGGAATCCCAGACTGTACTTTCAGCATAAATGCGGGGGGTTGACAAATCCGACCGAGGAGATTGATGCTATAGAGGATAAATAATTTGGGGTTACAGAATGTATCTGAATGTTTGAGCGAATAAATCGCGGTGCAACAAGATGCGGTGGGACGGCCCGAAGCCGGGCGAGCGAATAATTCACAACTGTTTTTCAATGAGGTCCCGGGCCTCGTTGATCTTTAGAGCCATGTACGTAGACCCGCCACGGTCTGGATGGTTTGCCAACATGATTCTGCGGTGGTGCTTTTGAACTTGGGCCCGTGTAGGATTTGGCGGCAACTGCAAGATCTCTATTGCCTCCGCATAAGTCATTGTTTCGTAAAAGCCGCCCAGCAGAAATGGGGCTTTGGTGTTTTCTTTCTGTAAATCAATGACGCCGAACGCACTCAAAGGCAGCTTGTTCAACCGCACCCTGGCCCTGTAGGCAGCTCGAGCTACAGCCAGTGCCGAAACCACTCCGAGACCAGCTAGAATTGGGATCATGACAAAGTCTCTGGCCGGACAAGGGGCTTTCTAGCATGCATGGCGATTTCCGCTTGGGCTCTGCTTTCAGCTAGATCAAGCAAGTGTTCTTTGACGGGGAACCTGCTGCCGTCGAATCCATCAGGCAGCAAAGGCTGGATGGGCAAAAGCCACTCGCGCCATGTAGATCCCAGCACCTGGTTGCAGTTCTCCTTCCACCCCATATCAAAGATGTTGCCCACATTGTCCAGAGTTGGTGCTGGCCTATAGCGGTACTGGCTAGTGGGCAGTGAAGTGCGTAAGACTGACCCGTCCATTGCTTCCAGGGTTGTAGTATTTGTTACCAACAAGTAGGTAGTGTAACCTGTAAACAGGAAGAGAACTCCACCAAACACCGAAGAAATGATAGCAAGAAGGATTTCGTTGATGCTCACATATTCGTTCTCGTAGTTTTCATTGTCGAACCAATGCATGAGGTCCCAGATAGATACAAACGAGCACGAGAAACAGAACAGCACAATGTACCACAAGAGCTGGACAAAGTACTTGTAATTCTTGAACCCAATACAGGTACTGAACCAGGGACAATGATGGTCCATTTTCAAAATGCATTGACGGCAGGTTCTGCAGTGATGCGTGCGATCGGGTTTCCAGCACAGGCACTTGTTACAGTACCGAGGTTTGCCGTTATTTTTGGCCAAAACGTACTGTCGAATACATTCAGGCACTCCAGACTCCTCATCCTGCAGGAATTCCATACTCTGTCTCGGAGACCCTGCTCCGACCACAATCAATTTGAAGTAACTATATGTGGAGAGCCCGTACAACAGCGTGGTCCACACGGCGCAAATGGAGCCCAACACAGCGTTTAGCTTGCCGACAACAACGAGAGTGGAGATCTCTGCCCAGATCATCAACAGATTGCAGCTAACACGCGGAAACCACGTCGAAAACAGACTGCACAATGCCACCAGGTTTCGTTCCCACATGTAAGCAGATATAAGGCGGAAGCTACGATAAGCAGATTGGGGGTTAATGTGGATAAGATATGGAAACTACTTGTACTTTTCTTTGAGCTCCTCGACGAAGGCAATGTACTGCTGCTCAGCATCCTCCTGGGAGATGCCCTTGTTGGCCTCCCAGGCGTCCCACTTGAGCTTGCCCTTGAAGTCAAGCAGTCCGGGGCGCTCAGTATCGTTGTCGCCAACGGTGGCCTGCTTGTACAGACCGTAGACCTTTAAGAGATCTTTGTCATTGGGCTTGTGGGGGAGCTTTTGAACGGCGTCAGCGGCATCCAAAAACTGTTGAGAAGGCATGGCGGTGGGGTGTTTTCAGTTGGGTGGGTGAGGACACTCGCTGAGTTAATGCGTGTTTTATACGCCATCGATTACACATCGAGTGTTTTCCGTCCTAAACATCCACACCTCCCGCAAGGCGATATACAATTCCTTTGCGTATGAGGAGATGGCAGATGATGAAGACTATTTGGAATTCCGATTAGGCGGTGAGTCTAATGACGACGGCGTCGTGCGGTACTACACTCCGCAGGGTGATCAATCCCACCCGGCCGAACTCATCAATTATGTCGCCAACCAGAGCGGTTCGCTTTCCAAAGTGTCTTTGGGCGGAAGCAAAGAAGACATTAAACAAGACGATCAGGGTGTTCAGGAGAAATTGCGCCACTTCGAGCAAGCAAACACCAGCACCACAAGCTTTGTTAGCGTGCAGTCAGAACTTAGTCCTGAAGCACCGGCAGTGGAAGAGGTGCCACAGACGCCGAAGACCCCAGAGACCCCGCGTATTCGGCAGAATGCTCTTGGTGAACTAGTGCTGGAGGACGGCCAAGCGCTGAAGGATAAACAAGCAGATAATGAGGATGAGGGATGGTTGCCCATGCGCACGGTGGGCTCATCTGAAGAGTACGATGATATGGGTAACTTGGTTGTGCACCAAAACCTTTTCGATTATGCTGGCGAGGAAGACGTTGCGGTCAGTGGATATACCAGGGTTGGTGTTGACGACGATGCAAAGTCCATCACATCTTTGGACGAGAAGACCGACTACTTGTTTGACAAAGAAGATGGCGACTCACACACGCAAATACAGACTACCAAAGAAATGCTCACCGATAGACAAAAAATCGCCTATGTGGGGCTGCTTCGTCTAGAGCTCGCAGTCATGGCCGACAAACTGCGAGCCACCACCGGTGACTCCAGCCATGGAGCAGTGGCAATCGAAAGTTTACAAGTTTGGGGGTCTCAGATTATCCGCAGAATTTACGCCCATATGGAGCTCAATAATGAAGAGCAGCTAATGATCGAACAACTCGCATATCATGGTGTTCTGGCTAGCGATCTTTCTCCGTGTTTACGGACCGCGCAGAAGGTGAACAAGGGCAAAATCGTCCAGGTGGACATCGAATCTCCTGTGGAAGTCTCGGACTTGCATGCTGAAGCACCCTCAGAGCAAATAAAGCTAAAGGAGGCTATTGACGTACGATGGACGGTGCTTTGCGATCTATTTTTGAACTTGGTTGCACAGAGTGTTTATGACTCTCGCTCCCGTACTCTTCTAGAGCTGCTAGGTGCCGAGCTTGGTGTTAGCAGATTAGACATTTGTCAATTTGAGCGTAAAGTTACTGACGCAATGCAACTCGACGAATCTGCTGGACAGACCTGGGATGACCAAGATATTATTGAATCGAGACGCAAGCGGGCTTTGAAGCGAAAATATGCCTATATTGGGCTGGCCACATTAGGTGGTGGCCTTGTTATCGGCCTCAGTGCTGGTTTACTTGCCCCCGTTATCGGTGCTGGTATTGCAGCTGGTCTGACAACTATAGGCATTGGCGGTACGTCGGGATTTCTTGCTGGAGCCGGTGGTGCAGCACTAATTACCACTACCGGCGTAAGTATTGGTGCTCGCGTTGGCCAAAAGAGTATGACTCGTCGAGTTGCTCCCGTGCGCACTTTTGAATTTCGCCCTTTGCACAATAACCAGCGTGTTAATGTGATTGTTACTGTGTCAGGGTGGATGAATGGTAAAGAGGATGATGTTCGATTGCCCTATTCAACCGTGGACCCTGTCATGGGTGATCTTCTATCGGTCTACTGGGAGCCTGAGATGATGCAGAGCACGGGTGAGACCATCAATATTCTTGCAACTGAAGCTTTGACCCAGAGTGTTCAGCAAATTCTCGGCGCCACCATTCTCACTTCACTTATGGCCTCCATTCAATTGCCAATGGCTTTAGCCAAGCTCAGCTACCTTCTAGATAACCCTTGGAACGTTTCTTTGGACCGTGCGTGGGCGGCTGGTCTTATCTTGGCCGACACGCTTCAGCAGCGCCATTTGGGTGCTCGGCCAGTCACTCTGATTGGATTCAGCCTTGGTGCCCGCGCCATCTACTCGTGCTTAGTCGAGCTGGCTCGACAAAGTGCGTTTGGCCTAATCCAGGATGTTTATATTTATGGTGCTCCGGTTGTTTACTCCAAAAAGGCAGTGATGAAGGCACGCTCGGTAGTTAGTGGCCGTTTTGTCAACGGTTATTCACGGAAGGACTGGATTCTGGGTTATTTGTTCCGCGCTACCTCAGGCGGTCTGGGCACTGTTTTTGGTTTGGCCCCCATCAACTCTATGTTTGAAATTGAAAACATCGACGTTACTGAGTTTGTTGACGGTCACATGGCCTACCGTGCTAAAATGCCCAAACTACTCAAAGTAAGTGGCTTTACAGTTTTGAGCGAAGAGTTTGACGATTACGCGGACCCCGATCCTAAGAAATTGCGGGAACGACAGCAGAAACTCATTCATGACCTCAACGAAGAGAAGCCTGTCAAGAAGAAGTGGTGGCCTTGGGCTCGTTCGACAAGCCGCGACAAAGCTTGGCTGGATCAGGCTAAAGAGTCCACCGATGAGACAGAGAGTAAAGATGGCGACGGAGAATATAATGCTTTCGATGTCAGCGCCATTCGCAAAGAAGTGGGCCGCTTGGAAAAGATGGAAGTCGAAATGATATTCGATGCAGACGTTGACGACACAGATCCACCTCCAGAATACGTTCCGGAACCAATGCACCTTGCCGAGGAGGACGAAGATATTCCGCAGCCTCCTCCAGCTAATCGCTCGCAAGTAAAAGAAGGAGCAAAAGCTGTTCGCACAGGATACTCTCCCCACAAGCCCATTGCCGACTCGTTGTCACGCAACAAATTGCCTGAAGCACACTCAGAGGATCTGTCGGCCGCCGCTCCAAAGTCACCGCAAACAAACTATTCGCCTCCAGCCACACCCAAAACTAAATCCGCTGAGGACGGCATTACTTTTACATTCGACTAGCTATAGACAGATCCAGGTAGTGACTAATTGATCTATCTTGCAGACATGCACCTACCTCCGCGAGTTCTGCCGTTAATTCGCCAGGGATACGGGGCGTATGCGAAATTGAGGTGGACAATTCCTCCAAGGAACATTTTTGTGGTCAAGAAGGCCTACAATAGCCATGTAGGAGAAGCCACCAAGAGTTTTATCGCTCACATCATCGACAAGTACAAGGTTAATGTGCTAGTGGAGAATCGAAGCTACGAGGAGCTAGCGCAACCAGGCGTGCGGTCGATCGAGCAAGCTGACCTGAAGCGGTATGTTGATTTGATAGTCACGCTGGGGGGCGACGGAACCATTCTGCATGCGACCTCATTGTTCAATCGACGAGCCGAAGAGCTGCCCCCCGTGCTGAGTTTCTCTATGGGTACGCTTGGATTCTTGTTGCCTTTTGACTTTAGTGAAGCCCAGCAAGCTTTCCATGACGTCTACACCAGTAATGTGTGTGTTATGCAACGGCAGAGACTGGATGTGTCTGTTGAAACTTTCGCAAGATCTACCCCACACCCTGTCGATTCTGAGGCAACCACGCACTCAACACTGCTGCCTGATCCATGGATAGACATTCCCAGTACGCCTTCCAGCAGTATAAGACCGAGTGACCTTACATGTGCTTTGAATGACCTCACTATCCATCGTGGTGCCTCCCCACACCTGGCTCATTTGGATATTAGTGTTAATGATGAGCACATTACAACCGCAATTGCCGACGGGCTGACGATTGCTACGCCTACAGGGTCCACCGCTTACTCTTTATCTGCTGGGGGCTCCATTGTACATCCTGGGGTGCCATGCGTTATGGTCACGCCGATTTGCCCCAGGTCACTGTCGTTTCGACCGCTAATTCTGCCGCAAGCCTCCAAAATCTCTGTATCAATATCGCCGAATTCTCGAGGAGTCTGCGATCTGTCGATTGATGGCTATGCGGATGGCCAGCTCGCTACGGGTGACGTTGTCCACGTCTGTGCCTCGGAGACCCCAGTTTGGTGCGTCTCCAAGGCCAGCGACGACTGGGTACATCATCTGAATGGCCTGCTCGGCTTCAACTCGAAATTTGGCAAAAAGTAAAATATTATTTATACAGCACACACTTACATACATTAACTGAGATCCATTGAATCCTCAAACTCGTTTGCCGGGGCGACATGCTTGTCGCGTTCTTCGAGCGTACCACCCTTGGCTTCTTTTACTTCGTTCGAGTCTTCATCATCCTTGGAATCTTCTTCTGCATCACGGGGGACTGCCTGCATCTGTACTGATGGAGCAAACTTGGTTCGCTCGAGGTTCTGTAAGACCTGGGTCAGGATCTTGTTGAGATACTCGGGAGAGTTTGCATTTTGCATGTTAGATGGTCGGACTTCCAACCGGTAATCTGGTCCATAATACTCATAATAGTCGTTGTAGGGCAACTCTGCTTCCATTTCTTTGCCAACACACACACCGGTTTCGTAGGCCCAGGTGCGGGCTACGTTGCGCATGGTATATCCACCACCGCCTACGACAAGCATGGGGAGGTTGAACGAGCGAACGTACTCCACGCAGGTGGCATGGCCATACATGGACAGATTAAAACAACCAAGACGGTCACCCGAAAGTGAATCGCCACCGCATTGCAATACAACGGCACCCGGCTGATACCAGTCCATAATCGCTTTGATGACCGGCTTGAAAACTGAGTGGTAAGTCTTATCATCGATACCGTCTCTTAGTGGGAAGTTCACCGCATGGTATTTACCCTTCCCAACACCGATATCACGCAGCTCACCGGTTCCGGGGAAGAACTCGCCGTATTTGTGGAACGAGCATGTCATGACTCGGTCGGTTGTGTAAAACGCTTCCTCCACACCATCACCATGATGAACATCGATATCAATGTAGAGCACACGCTGGTGGTAACGCAGGAGCTCGATAATGCCCAGAGCGATGTCGTTGACATAGCAGAATCCGGACGCCTCAGACTTCTTTGCGTGGTGCAACCCGCCGGCCCAGTTGACGGCAATATCACATTTTTGGCGGTTCAGGCGAGCAGCGCCTTCCATGGAACTACCGCCCGAAATACCACAGTACTCAAACAGACCATCAAAGACCGGGCAGTCGTCGCCGACGTTGAACTTGACTTGCTCTTTGGCAAACTGGTCCATGTTGTCTGGGGTCACTCGTGAGAGAAAGTCAACGTACTCATCGGTATGAAATTGACACATTTCCTGCTTGGTGGCCGGCTTTGCCCGGTAAATTTCCATATCTTTGTAGAGCCCGTAGTTCATAATAAGGGAGTGGGCCATGCGGATGCGATGTGCCTTCATGGGGTGGCCTGCACCGTACGCATAGTTGCCCACATCCGAGTCATAAAAGTAGGCTACCCGCTTCTTGTCATTGGGCTTAATTTTGAGCGGTTCTAGCGTCTCAGATACCATCCTCAGTAGGTTATGAAATGAGGGTAAGGAGGAAGAATCCCAAATCAACGATTCCAGGATTTTCCTTTGTCTGCCTGCTTACCAGAAAATGTCGGTGCGTCAGAGGAAGAAGAGCGGTAGTGAAAAAGAGGCCGAGACAGAGGGGCTGCAACCCGAGGACAGCAGTCCGGGGATCCTTACGCTCATGGTGTGTGTTGGTGGAATTTATGCCTCGTTCCTCACATGGGCAGTGCTCCAAGAGCGCATTGCAACTACCTCGTACGGGCTCGATAACCGAGTATTTCGGGCAGCCCATGTTATCAATGGCACGCAAAACTTGCTAGCATGTGTGTCGGGTATTCTGTTCTTGTCCTACAAGCGATGGACCGGAGACAAGCGTGCAGCTGCACCGCTGATCCCCTCACGCGAGGTTGCCTCAAAGTACCTGTTGGTAGCTGCCTGCCAGGCCCTTTCTAGTCCGTTCGCATACGCCAGTCTCAAGTATGTCGATTACCTGACAATGTTGCTAGCCAAGTCCTGCAAGTTGCTTCCTGTCATGGCTGTCTCTTTACTGCTCTACCGAACCCACTATCCTGCCTACAAGTACGCAGTTGTACTGTTGATCACGGCCGGAGTGTGTCTGTTTAGTGTCATGCAGCCCAGCTCGAAGCAAAGCACTTCCTCCGAAATCCGGGGTATTGCTCTGCTTGGGGCCAACCTGTTCCTGGACGGCCTCTACAATACCACCCAGGATCGCATGTTTGCCAAATACAAAATGATCACTGGTGCTCACATGATGGCCGTGCTCAACTTCATCACAACTGTACTTACTTTCGGTGCGTTCCTAATATCACCAGAGCAAAAATCAGAACTGCATTGGTTTGTGAAAAACCACCCAGCTGTCTTGCGCGACATCTTCTTGTTTGGACTCTGTGGAGCCATTGGCCAAATCTTCATTTTTTTGACCCTGGAAAAGTTTGGCTCGTTGGTTCTTGTCACCACCACGGTGACCCGCAAAATGATGAGCATGCTCCTGTCAGTGGTAATGTTCAACCATCGCCTAGTCGGCCTTCAATGGGTCGGAGTTGGACTTGTGTTTACCGGAGTTATCGGCGAAGCACTTTGGAAGCGGCTGGTCCGCTAGCATTATTTTTTAAAAATTTTCTATAAGCAATTTTTTACATCACTTTGCGCACATCCAACTCGAGGCCGCTGCACACGAAGGGAATCTCGAATTTCTGCAACACTTCAGGGTGGAAAACACCCAGAGTACCAACAACCTGGGTCTTGCCATCACGCTTGATCACAATGTTGGCTGCACGGCCAGGGAAGTAAGAGGGATCATTAGTCTCTTCCAGCCAGTAGCCACGGTCAGCGCCGTTGGGCTCATAACGCAGTTGCTGCATCAGTCGGTCAAGCAAGCCATGAGCGATCTCGAAACCTGAGGTCTTGCCAGCATACACTGCAGCAAAGTGACGTTCGTTGCGCGCCTGGCGCTCGCGCGTAGTGTCTTTGAAGGCAACTTCGCCCGACTCGAAGACTTTGATTGGCAGAGGCTGCATGCGATTCTCCTTGATAGTTTTGAGCAAACCAGGGTACAAAGTAGTGCGGACAACCTGGTACTCCAAGGTCTTGGGGTTGGCAAGGTGGACCGCGGTTCCGTCGTCGGGTTTGCGCATCCAGTCAAAGTTCTCCTCAATAGAAGACAGTGTCAGAGGCATAACCTCAGCCCATCCAGCGCCGAAGGACTCGCGGCGAAGAATATCCGAGACCTTGTTGATAACCAGCGGCTTGCCGAAAGAATTAGCAGTGCCAGGGAAACTGCGAGTGAGGTTGTTGAAACCGTAGGCAATACCAACTTCCTCAACAATGTCGCATTGATGCAGAATGTCCGGGCGGCTCACCGGGATCTCCAGCTGCAGAAGGTCTGAGTTTGTTTTATCGGATTCAGCGCCCAGGCCCATTCGCTCGAGCAATTGACAAAGCTCCTTAGGAGTCTTGTCCAGAGCAAGAACAGAGTTCAAATACGACACTTCGGCAACCATCTTGCGTGGGTTCATGTCTGGCGATAGCTTCGAAGAGCCGTCGGCGTAGATAATCTTGACGGCCTCAATGGTGAAAGGCTCAGCTGCGTATTCAGAGAAGATCGACACAAGTTCGTCGACAACGATAGCAAGCTTGGTTTCGTCAGTAGCAGTGAGGTCAAAAAAGATATCCTTTGTGTCCAAGGTGATCTTTGTGGCATTAGAATTGATCAGAGGAGGCAAAGATAGCACGGTGTCATTCTCATCGACAAAAAGGGGATAGTACTCCGAATCCTCAATTAGAGGAACGTACTTGCTGAGATTGCGGTCGGCTTTGTAAAATTCAATAATCTCCGGACCAGTCATCTCCTTGGTTTGATTCAGCGGAGCGAATTTGATGTCCTGGGGTCTCCGGCCCTGGTAACGGACATTACCGCTCATCTTGGCCATGTCGTGGGTACCAATAGCAACCAGGGAACGGTTGCGGCACAGGTTGGCATGCAATTTATCCTGCAGAGCAATGAAAGACTCGTACCGGCGCTGGGTGAAGGTAACCCCCCGCAAAATGGCACCACTGGCATAGGGACGGATGGAAGCGACCTCAGGTTCGATCGTCAACGTAACAGGATTTTCGGGCACAACGACCTTGAATTTAGGCGCCTGCTGCTTCTCAAGGTAGATGGCCAGCGCGCGGGAGATACCCTCCATCGACAGCATGTCGTAGCGGTTGGCCGGCACCTCGATCTTGACGGTAGGGCGGGCAGAATCCTCGTCCCACTCGTCGAGCTCAAGGCCGTACTCAAAGCACAGCTCGTCAAGCTCCTTTTCGGTATAGGGCCGACCAAGAGCTTGGTAAAGATCCTCACGGTCGATTGAGACGGTAGGCATTTGACAAATCAGTCAGCGGCCGCGGCGAAAATTTAGGTAGAAGTGAAAAATTGCAAAAGTACAAAGTAGATAGGTTACGATTGTGCGCCCGCCTGGAGCATCACCGGTGACTGTTGAGATGTCCAAACGTGGTAGTTTCACTCATCTCGGGCCTCCGGGACGCTGAAAAATTACCTATATTTACCAAGCTGGCCCGGCTCTGCTTTGTCACCATGTCCAACAAGAAATCCTATGATATTCTGGTTAAGCTGCTGCTAATCGGCGACAGTGGCGTCGGCAAATCATGCCTGCTACTGCGGTTCTGCCAAGACGAATTTACACCCAGCTTCATTTCCACTATCGGAATCGATTTCAAGATCCGCACTGCTGAGCTGGATGGGCAAACCGCCAAGTTCCAGGTTTGGGACACTGCCGGTCAGGAGCGGTTCAAGACCATTACTATTGCATATTACCGCTCTGCAATGGGCTTCCTACTGACCTACGACGTCACTGATGAGAAGAGCTTCCAGTCCATTCGCACGTGGTACCAGGATGTGAAGAATAATGCGCGGGAGAATGTCGAGATGATCCTGGTTGGAAACAAGAAAGATATGGCGGATAAGCGCGTAGTCACTTACGAGCAGGGCAAAGCGCTAGCCGATGAGCTGGGCATCCCGTTCATCGAGGCCTCTGCCAAGACCGCTGAGGGGGTCGACGACGCCTTCCTCCAGCTGGCCCGTATGGTCAAGGATAACGTCTACAACCAGGACGAGGAGACGATCAAGGTGAACAACCAGAACGCTCCTGCGAGCAAGAGCTGCTGTTCTTAGGTTCTGCTGCCCGCTTCGCTACCTTCCGTGGACGAGTTTTTACTACTACGTGTTTGCCCCCCGCACTTAGGTTTAGTTTGCAAACGTCATACAAATCCGCTTCTGTTTTATGGGCATCTACTCGCCTATCTAGCTATCTAGTTATCCCGATATTTTATACCCCACCGTGCCCGGCCCTGTTTCATATTTGTCTGCTCATCTAAAGATGGGGGGCAGAGGGGGGTGCAGGGCCTTTCGGTCTGAGTTTCAGTTATGCAGGCCATCCTGCATGCAACGCAAGGCGTTTCGCAAACAATGTGCGTAGCATACGGTTAGGTACGTTAATTCCTACTCGATGGTCAACAAGACGGTGTCAAGGTTATGGGAGGAAGTGGAGCTGGAGTACGGGAAACTGCTAGACGAGGTGTCTCGGCGGGACCCCCAGTCTCTAACCGGCATGACGGGGCTGGACGAGTACTTTGCCAGCTGCCCTGACGCCGCTCAGCAGTTTTATATTGAACTGGCTAAAACGCGGCCAGCCGCCCGTGGAGCAAGCTCCATCAGCTCGAAGTCCTCAGACAGCTCAGACGTGCGATCTGTCGGCGTCTGACGTTGGAAAAAAAACCCAAAACTATTTATCTAGTTCACATATGATTTCGTCCTCTGTGTAATTATTGCTTCTGATCCTTATATGAGTGAGGAATCCACTGGTCCTCCAATGCTGGCTCCTCGAGGTCCTCCCACACCTGGTGCTGGGCCAGAGTCTCGGCGAGCAGGAACTCGTCTGCGGCCTGGATAAGAATCTCCTCGAGCAAGCCAGACCCGATCTGGTTTTCAATGGTCTGGACGTCGCTGTTGCTCTGTACAATCTCCTTGCGGGCCTTGATGATGCTCTCAACCGATTGGCGGTACACACTTGTGGGTGGGAACTTTTCCGAAAGGTACGCCATGGTGTGGTCGTATACCTTGACAAGAGCCTCGCGGGGCTCGGGATGCTGGTGGATGTCGGTCAACCCGGTAGGCTGTCCGCTGGTCGGACGCACCAGGATCTGCTCATGGCCAAGACTGGTGTTGACGGTCAGGAAAACGTCGGCCAGCTCAGGGGTCGCTGCCACCCGGGCAGCAGCAGACTGCTTGTCCTTGACGTCGCCAAGCTGCTCAGCCTTCTCCTGCTGGTACGCAATGTTCAACGCCCGGGGAATCGACTTGTCCACTGTGTTCGAAACCGCCTCAGCATACCGCTGCGAGTTCAGCAAAATCCGCGTTCGTCTCATTGGTAGAGTTAGGTCAGCGGGCCCTGGGAGTTTTGTTGGCGGGTTTGGCTGGTTGGCTGTGTCATCAAACGACCAGTTTCGTTTCTCAGCTATGGGTGAAGAAGACCTATTTGGGAGCGGGAGCGAGGACCAGGGGTCGCCGCGCTCTGAACAGAGCCCGTATACGTCTGACAACGACTACGAGAGGGAGCCCAAGCGCCTGAAAATCAAGGAGACCAGCCTGCCTCGATACGGCCCGAGCCACCAAAGCAAGCATGTGTTCTTTACCCGCGTTCCGGCGTTTATTGCTGTTGATCCCCAGCGGTTTGACGCCGAGACCGCGGTGGAGTCGCTTGCCGCTGATCAGGACTTTGACGAAAACACCGTGCGCTGGAAATACGCAAAGACTGCCGACGGCGAGGTTGCCAAAGTCTCCAACGCGCGGATCGTTGAGTGGAGCGACGGCTCACGAACTCTGCAAGTTGGCTCCGAGCAGTTTGACATTCGCACCCAAAAGCCCTATGAGCCCCTGTTTATTACCAAAAACCACCTCGCGGAGCGAATGCTGCAAACCGCCATGGTGGTTGACGAGACCCTCACTCTGTTACCTACATCCACAACCTCTGCTACACACAAACGATTGGCTGCATGGCTGGCCAGTAAACAGCAATCGAACCGCGTCAAAGTTGGTATCATGGCTACTGAAGAAGACCCCGAGCGTATCCAGCGGGACGTTGAAAAGGCCGAGTCCATGAAGGAGCGAGCCCGCCGAAAACTAGAGTCTCAACGCCAGACGCTTGACGGAAGACAATCAAAGTATTCCTATGCTGCTGGAGCACAATTCGACGAAGACGAGGAGGAAGAAGAAGAGCACGAAGAGGAGGAAGAGGAAGCCAGAGAAACCGACGAGGAAGCATTGGATAGCGACGAGCTTGAAGCGCTGGACGACGAGGCCGACGAAGCCAATGCAACTAGATTGCGTGCTGTTAAAGAAACCGGCGACGACGACGCACCCCTACGCAGGACCCGTGTTTTGGAAGACAGTGACGACGAGGCTGAATAAAAAATTTTTTAGAAAAATATGTTTAGTTCTAACTGGCCTTTTTGGGCTTAATTTTGTTCAAAATCTTCGCAACCGCCTCGGGGCTCTTCTCCAGCTCCCCGCTCTCGATTCTGGCCAAAATTGCCTGGTAGTAGGCATGTCCATGTCCCGCAGCTCCTTCGGCATAGAGGGCGGAATATTTTTCAGAGATGGGGAAGGTCGTGACATAGTACCAATCGGCGAGGGCTTCTTGGCCGTCGTGTTTTAGTCGCCGGATCGCCTTCTTTTTGTCGAAAAACCGCACCATGTGGTACTTTTGGGCGTTTTTCTTCTCCACGTTACGGGTCTTGACTTTTTCGAGGTCCTGCTCGAACGACGCCAACGCTCGCTCTGTCTCCACTTTTTTTGTCGCCGACAGCCCCGGTTTGCGAAGCAGCCGCTGCAAATCGCGGATCCGCTTGCGGATCTTGGACGCTCCAGCCCCCGAGGGCAGGCTCTGAATCGCCATTTTGTGATTGCTAAGCTCGAACCTCGTGGGTCGGGTCCTTAGGATTATATCTCTACTATTTGGCCATTCCTGGCATTCCCATACCGCCAAACATGCGTCCAACATCCGTAGTCATAGCTTTATCGATTTCTTTCTGCGCAGACAGAGCCGGGGAGATGCCTGGTAAAATATCGTTCATTTTGATGCCCAGCGGCCTGGCCAGCGGCCGGACAGAGTCAAAGTGGGCAACGCGACGGTAGTCATCCGCATATGCCGATGCTTCAGTTGTAGGGTGCATTTTAAGGTACTGGGCAATCTTTGGGTACAATGTGCGCTTGGGGTCCTTGGTATTGACCCGGATTCGGCCCAGATTCGCCCAGTCTTGGGGGTGTCCCTTGACAAGCTCGACACTCACTTGGTAGCCCAGCGACTCGCATGCCTCTGCCAAAGTAATAGCTAGCGGGTCATTTACTGCCATATCAGCAGGCACACGGCGGCCCTCCTTTAATGAGCGACGCTTGTCGAAATAACACGGGTAGATGACCTTCCAGTCCTTCATTTCCTCGGGCACCTCGTTCTTTGCCACGCCGGATGCAAATCTAGGCGTGTTTTCAGGAGCAGGCATCGATTGTGCCGCCGACATCATCTGTTGCAGGTCGGGGACGCCAGAACCCGCTGGCCGGGCCGCAGGCTGCGGATTGGGCCTCTCCACGGGCCGGAGCCGCACTCCGCCTTCTACTGGCATATCTGTACTGAATGGGTTCGAGGACTCGAAATCAGCAGGATCGTAATCCATATTATCGATGTCCTGCTCATCTACAATTTCCTCGATTTGCGGCATTGTGATGACAAAAAGGCAGATGCGATTTCTCCCTTTTGACTCACCAAACCGCTCGAGAAAAATATGCTTTTAGAGGGAGAGCTTAATCTGCGCTCGATTATATCTGGTGTCAGCGGCTGCGTTTCAATTGCATGCTGGATTATTGTTTTCACGCCCCAGCTGTATGAGAACTGGCGCCGCAAATCCTCAGACGGCCTTTCCATGGCGTTCGTAGTCATTTGGTTACTGGGTGACATCTTCAACGTCATTGGCGCCGTCCTGCAAAAGGTCTTGCCTACAATGATTATTCTGGCTGTGTACTATACCCTGGCCGACATCGTTTTGTTTTTTCAATGCATTGTGTACGGAAAAGGTAAAGCTGTTGGGTCTGATGAGGAAGCTGCGCGAAACGAAGGTACCCCTCTTTTGGGTGGCCAGAAGCCCAAGCAGAATACGATTAAAAACGTTATGATTGTGTCACTGGTCATTCTAGGCGGTGTTATTGGGTACTTGTTCAGCGACAAACAAAAAGGATCGGACCCCGGCGAGCCCCAGCCGATCTCGACGTGGGGTCAAATTAACGGCTGGGTCTGTGCGGTTCTCTATCTCGCGTCCCGTATTCCTCAAATCAAACTAAACTATGACCGCAAGAGTACCGACGGAATCGCTCTTCTTTTCTTTTTATTCGCTGCTATCGGTAATTTGACCTATGTGATCTCTATTCTTGCCGCCGATTCCTCTCCGCACGCTCTGCTGATTAACGCTTCTTGGTTAGTAGGCGCCGCGGGCACACTTATACTCGACGCTACGATCTTTGCCCAGTTCTGGGTTTACGGCTGAGCAATGAGCGACGACGAAACAGAGCCCTGGAACCCTTCGACAGCAGAACTCGCCGAGCTGCGCTACGACGCAAAAAGCATTCTGCTCGATCTCGATAGAGCCCACATGGCTGATGTTGCAAAACACATTTATTCGGCCGCTATTCTCGCTGCGTCCCAACCAAATCTACGCCTTAAACGTTGGACCAGCTGGCCTATGAAAGACCCCCCTATTCCTCGAGATGAAGCCAATGCTGACGTCGCTGTCCAGCATGCCTTATCTGACGCGTTCCACCGCGAAGTCGCAAACAGACTGTATATAAACGACCTGCAGCCGTCGATTGACCCGGCGCCGGCGCCGTCTGATCTGGAAATGGCCCATCTCGTCTCAACCCTTAATTCTCTGCTCAGCCACTCCACCGGGAAAACTCTCACGACATGGAGAGAAATCCCGGTTTCTGACCCGGCCAGAAAACGCCTTGAACGACTATTTGACGAAAAAACTTTAAAACAACATAGTGAGCCATAAATATGATATTAACTAACGGGTGTCAAGAATCAGCGTGCCGAAGATTCTGTCCCAGAACCGCGAGGTGACGCCGAAGCCGAGATCGTACTCTTTGTAGTGGTGGTCGAGATGATAGACCTTGGTGGCCTTCATGATGCTGGGCAACTTTTTGTGATGCAAAAAGTAGTGGGTCATGTCGTACAAGACGTAGCCCATGTGGGCGCCGCAGAACACGGCCTGCGAAACATAGTAGTCCCGGAAAACGAAATGAGCCAATTTGTACAGGGGCGGACACAAGACTGCGAAAAGAGCAGGGGGGAGAACGAGTCGGTAGCGGTCCATGGGGAGGTAGTGGTGGAAGCCGTGGAGCAAAAAGTGCAGAGTAAATGCGACCTGATGGTCCGGGAGCAGGGCGTCCATATGGAAAAGGAAGCGATGCATCACGTACTCGACAAGGGTCCACAGACACAAGCCGAGCCCGTACAGGGAGGCGACTTTTCCAACAGGGAGCTCCGACAGCGGGATGGTCAAAAGCAGCATGTTCACGGGGATCCAAACCAAAGGAACAAACCACCATGGGGTCAGGGAGATGGGTTCCAAAAAGTTGCCAAAGATAGGCGCGGATCCCTGGCCGTAGTGACGCGGCTTGTGGACCTGCTCGAGATAAAACCGCTTGGTCATGTTGCCGCGCAGCATCTGCATCAACAATGGTTTTCCGAGATGCAAGAATTTGTGCTCTTCAAAGTCGCGATCAAAGTTGGTCGTGCGGGTCAGCACTTTGGCGCTGGATTCCGCCTCGGCCTCCTTCATGACCTCGTCGTCGGTCATGTCTGTAAGCGTTCCAATAAAATAATCTTCGAGCATCTCGTACGCGCTATCGCTGTGCGCATGGCTGTCGCGGTCCTTCATAACTTCTGTGATCTCTTTGCCTTGGTACTCGGTAATGAGCTCTTCACCGCCAGGATGGTCCGCAACAAAGTTCGTCACGTCGAAGATACGGTCGGACTTGAGAATTACAATCACCCGACCCTTGGCGATAAGCCGGTCGATCTTTTGTGGCGAAATCAAATGACCGCCCATCTGTGAAATTTAAAAGATTATAGGGGCAAACGATGATCTCCTTCCGTCTTGTCAACCATATATAGTAATCACTTTCTCCCTGCTGTCTAGAATCTGCCCTTGCCCATATGGTGTGACCGGAGTTTTTAGTGCTCGGTGGCGCTTTAACGCCTAGCTTTTTCCTTAATCTCACCAAATTTATACTGTAGTTTTTGAGCGCATGCCGCTGGTGTCTCTGCCCCTCAACTTCAGCCTAAAATCCGCAATTGACCCTAGCCAATCCGGCGCACTTTTTAGTAAGGCCACACCTGGCCCGACCTAAAACTTTTCCGCGGAAAGGGTTATTGTTGGAATGTCAAGCGACCCAAACGAGGCAGACACCGCGTAAAACAGCGTGAAATGGCAAGCATTGATACTTTTGAAAACTGAACGCGAAATCCAAAAACAGAGAGCGAATAGAACTGGTGCTACCAGCGCCAAAAAGTTGCCTCAAACCGGATTCGAACCGGTGATCTTAGCATTACTAGTGCTACGCCTTACCAACTTGGCCATCAAGGCTTTTGGTGACGAAAAGTTTTGAGCTGTGTACATATGCCGGGAATTGTATTGGCGCATCACGGTTCTCATTCAAGGTGAACGTCACTCAGTGCGTTTCTAGAAGAACCGAATGGCTGCCCTAATTTCGTAGCATCCACGCCAATTTACAGAGTTACAAAAAACTGTCAAAATATATTTCGATCTGCTGAATAATTTTTTTCTTTTCACGATGAGCTCGGTGCGTGTACGACTTATCACGAGAGACGACTCTCTCAAAGTGGATGATAGTCCCCTGTATGTACCTGTTGATCTCAAAAGGTACGGTCTGAGTGAGGTGGTCAACCAGCTTCTCAGCACCGAAACCCCAATTCCTTTTGATTTCGTTATCGATGGAAAACTTCTCAGAAGCAGTCTGGACAAGTACTTGACAGAGCAGGGCTTGTCCACTGAATCTGTTTTGACCGTTGAGTATGTCCGTTCAGTCTTGCCGCCGACATTTGTATCTTCTTTTGCCCACGACGACTGGGTTTCTAGTGTCGACATTAACGATGCCAGCCAGAAAATTGTCACTGGTTCGTATGACGGTGTTGTTAGATTATGGGACTTTAGTGGAAACGTCACAGACCAGCTGGCTGGTCATACTGGCGCTGTTAAATCCATCCAGTGGGTGTCCGATAGCCACCTGGTTTCGGCTGGTGCTGACCGGAACCTCTGTCTCTGGAAATTGGGCGACGAAAAGGCCAAGATTGCTTGTATTTTCCAGGGTCACACCGGACCTGTCAATTCGACTTGTACTCTTGCGTCTGGCAAGATTATCAGCGGTAGTTCTGATGGAACGCTCAAGGTCTGGTCGACTCGGGTTAAAGAGCTGCCCGAAGCTCCCGAGGCCCCCACTTCAACCTTCACATCCACCAAGAAGCGCCGGAAGCTTGCAGAGCAAGCGCTCATTTCACAGCGGGTTCGTGGCTCTCTAGCTACTCTTGAGGGCCACACCGCTCCGGTTACTGGCTTAGCAGCGCACTCTTCCGACGCCAATGTGGTTTACTCTGTGTCTGAAGACCACACCCTGCGCACCTGGGATCTCGTTACCGACCGCCTAATCGACACCAAGGCCACTGCCTTCTCTCTTCTCTCGGTTGCCAACATGGGCCCGACTACCTCGCTTATCGCATGCGGGTCATCTGCACGACACATTTCGTTGATTGATCCTCGCACAAAAACTACTACGTCTCAAGCACAACTAATCGGTCACCGCAATTTCGTTGTCGACTTGGCGGTCTCTCCAAACAACCCATATATGCTGGCGTCTGCTTCTCATGACGGTACTACCCGGTTGTGGGATGTGCGGGCCAACAAAAGCATGTACACCGTTGCCCGCAACGCTAAAGAAGACAACGACGTGTACTGCGTCGCATGGAAAAGTGTACTGGCTGCTGGAGGCAAAGACAAGAAACTGGAAATCACGCAGGTGCCGAATTCTGAGCTGGCTGCCTAATTGGGAACTCTTGAATGAGCATCTTGGTGGTGACGCTCAGGAAACCGAACGTCCGCCTCGATCCATTCAAAGTCTGAAAATAATTCTATTTTATCGAGTATATGTTTGATCTATCGCTTTCTGTCGCTCCTTGCCCAGGTTTGTGAAAACGAGGCTGCTGTAGACTCCTGCAGGTTGATGCCGAATACCTTATATAAATGAATGTGCATTGATAACCCCGCGCAAACATGTACTTTCCTGACCTAAAAAGCTTTATTGATCTATACAACCGTTATGTGAACTCCGACGGTCCAGAAACCGAGCACGAATCAGCATCTCGACGACACAAAAACGACCTGTACTGGATCTCTGGATTCGACGCCGCCTTCTAAAAAGAACTCATGAATTCATGAGCGCAAAGTACACAAAAGCTAATAGTCTAAGTATTTAATTAGTATTTCAACAAATGTTACTCAACGGTCACTGACTTGGCGAGATTACGAGGGAAATCGACATCAACGCCCTTGCGAAGAGCCAGCCAGTAGCTCATTAGTTGCAGAGGGATGACGTTCAACACGCCCTGCAGACAGTCGACGGTCGAAGGGATCTCAATGGTCTGGTACTTGGGGTCGAACTTGTTGGCGTCACCCTCGTTGCAAATAATAATCGGGTTACCCGAGCGGGCGACGACCTGCTGCACCGAAGACATGACCTTGGGGAAGAGCGAGTCGCGGGTTGCAAGAACAATAATAGGCAACTTGTCATCGACAAGGGCAAGAACACCATGCTTGAGCTCGCCAGCAAGAACACCCTCAGAGTGCATGTATGAAATCTCCTTGATCTTGAGCGCACCTTCGAGAGCAGTCGCATGCTGAAAGCCGCGGCCTAGCAGAAGCAGTGACTTCTGGTCAGCCAGAATGGTGTCGCACATCTCATGGATCTTGTCGTTGAGCGCGAGAACCTCCTCGATTTGCTTGGACAGTCTAGAAAGACCCATAATGATCTCTTTGCGGCGCTCCTTCTTCGAAATGCGATCGTCAGAAAGAGACAGCGCCATCATAACCAGTGCAACGTATTGCGACGTATATGCCTTGGTCGAAGCCACACCGATCTCAGGACCAGCGTTGATGTGCACACCGCAGTGGGTCATACGGGAGATAGAAGAGCCAACAGAGTTGACAATACCAACAGTCAAAGCACCGCGCTCATTGCAGTACTGCAAAGCCAGCATAGAGTCGGCTGTTTCACCTGACTGAGAAACAAAGACGCAAACGTCGTCACGGAACACAGGGGATTTGCGATCCAAAAAGTCTGAAGCCAGCTCAACACTGATGGGGATCTCAGTGAGCTCCTCAAAGATCTGACGGGTGGCCATGCAAGAGTGATAAGATGTACCACAGGCAATCATGATAATACGACGGCAGCGGCGAATGGTGGTCAGCGACGAGCGCAATCCGCCAAGGTTAATGGTAAAGTTCTCGAAATCAACCCGACCACGCATGGTGTTGAAAATAGAGTCAGGCTGCTCGTAGATCTCCTTCAACATGAAATGCTCGAACTTGCCCTTCATGATCTGAGCAAGCTCCATCTCCAATGTCTGGATCTGACGGATAGTAGATTCGCCGGTGGTGTGGGTAGCCCGGTGGATGTGCAGCTCGCCATCGCAAACATGAGCAATGTCGTCGTCCTCTAAAAACAAGACCTTGCGAGTGTGCTCCACAACAGCGGCGGGATCACTGGCAATAAAGAACTCGGTAGGAATAGGGCCGTCCTCGGACAGGAAAGCGCGAGATTGCGAATGGCGGAGGCTGTCGCCAGTGGGGGGGCCCATCAGGCCATTAACGTCCATACTAGTGTCTTGGAACTCAACATCAACAAAGTCGACCTTGAGCTTCTTATCGGTCTTGACACCAATTAACAGAGGAGATCCTTTGCGAGAGGCAACTACCTCGGCAGGATAGTGAACCGACTTAACCAGCAAGCCGTACGCACCCTCAAGCTCACGCAGAACAAGCTTGGCCAGCTGGCTGAAATCCAGGTGGGCACCAGCCTTGGTATTCTCGTCGTAGAGGTACTTGAAGAGCTGGGCAATACACTCGGTATCGGTGTCGCTGGTGAAGGTGCGGCCCTTGGAGCTCAGGAACTGCTTCAGCTCCTTGTAGTTGGTGATGATACCGTTGTGCACAATCGAGAACTGGTGTTTGGGGTCAGAGACTTGCGGGTGGCAGTTTCTGGTTGCGGGCTCACCGTGGGTTGCCCAACGGGTGTGGGCGATGCCGGCGTGGGCGTTGAAAACCGCGTCCAAATTCAGGTTCTTCTGCTCGTCAATGAGCTTTCGCAGCTCCTTGACCTTGCCGACCTGACGGTAGATGAGCACCTCGTCCTCGTGGTCGCCATCAATAGCCAACCCGGCAGAGTCGTAGCCACGATACTCCTGACGCTGCAGGCCCTCCCGGAGGGTGTTGATGATTTCACCCCGCGTCTTTGGTACTAGAAAATTGACATATCCAAAGATTCCGCACATTTTTTATCGCCACAAAAAACCAGCTGTGATGGGTCTAGCTGAAATTACAATATGTGCTCGAAGCTTTTTGCCTGCTTGTCAAGTTGGGAGGACCTTAATAAAGCCCCAATAAGGTAATACGTAAACACGCGTCTCGCCTGGCCGCTCTGTGGCTACTAAAAATAGTAAGGAGATCTTGGGAGAAATCTCAGGAGCATGTGGAGACCGCATGGCGGGCAACCAGCATGGTTGCGGGGGCTATAATGAACAAATTTTGAGCTAACTAGTGCTGTCTAGGACAGACACGATTACTCTCCATTCAGCACAATGGAGTCAGATAGAGAAATAAATTAATTCGTACACTCACGATCCCGTAGCCGGATCGGAACCGTTGCCGGGTTTCCTGGTATCTGCATCTAGTTGCGTCACACTGTCCCGGATGGTAGGCCACCCAGATCGGTAGGCCACATAGAATAGACTGGTCCGCAGTTTGCTGCTTGCTTCTGCCACGCCGAACATTTCTTTGAATTTGCGTTGGCAGGCAATTGCCGGAATTCTATGGTGCTGTTTGGCGGCGAGCCGGTCCGAGATGTACTTCCACTTGAATCGTTCGGCAAGCTCGACCTGTCGCTTGAGTTCCTGGACATCTGACGGCGTCCAGGTTTGACACAAAACTTCCTCTGGATACTCGTCCCCGGGAATATCCATAATGCGCTCGTTCTCGTACTGCGAGTACTGCTTGGGAGCGGTTGGATCATAATAGTACGGCCCTGGTGGAGCCAGCGATCGGCTCGGTCGTTGAAATGGCATGTAGGAGTAGGATCCCGGATACCATGACGGCTTCGGCGTCTCGTGGACGGGCCAATGCGGCGACGAAACCCGGGTGACCAGAGGACCTGGCTCGCCTTCGGGAAGCGGTCTACGCTGCCCTTCACTGCGCTCATGCAGATCACTGGGGCCTGGCATGTCTGGGCTGGGCTGGTCGCTGGAGTCAGAGTCGTCGCTGTAGCTGGAACGTTGGGCCGGCGGCGCAGCCGGCTGGTGCTCCTCGCCGTCGCGGGACGTCTCCTGCCACATGCTGGCCTGGGGATGCTGCATCCAATGCCGCCGTTTTGGAGCCCGCGGCTCTTGTAGGTACAGGTCGCTCATCGTGGATGTTTCGCGACGGTGTCTGATCTCGTCCATCATCGAAGACGTCCGGAGGTGCGATGTCACATACGGGTTGGTTAGCTCCAGAGCGTACTGAAGGTTCCCCGTCTGGTCGTTCTTGGACTCGTTGGCTTCGGCGTTTGGTATGGTGTGGTCAAAATGCAGCTGCTTCTCCGGTATAAGAGGCAAGTTGGTGGATTCACGGCTCCAGTTACTTCTTCGCGACTTCCTGCGTCCACTATGATACGATCTATCCATAGTCCCGATGTAGTCTCGTAGATACCGGCAAGGATCCCAGAGATGAGCGGAGCACTGAAAAGTCTTAGCTGCCTCCACCAGCTTGCATTTACAGCCTTGTCACGGCAAGTATCCCCTGCATTGTCTGAGACTTTACCCGGCTTGGTCGATGCAAGTGGTACATGGCAGAAAACTTTAAATGTGGAGGGTTAAACTAATCTAGCAGTATCAAAGTATGAACATGTTGGGTCACTAAACGGAGAAAATGTAAAGCAAATGCATTTAATGACTCGGGAAACTGGAAAGTTTCGCTTCTTCTAGACTTCTTTTCCCCTCTGCTGGACTATCTTCAGCAGTCCGCACAGTGAATAGAAGGCATGTATCAGTGAAGAAGAAAAAAAAAAAACACTGGCTGGCTCTGCTTGTAAATGCTGACTCCCCGCCTGCAGGTGCTCACCTTTGCCGGCCCTCTCATGCAGTACAAGCCTCTGAGACTGCACGAATTAAAGCTTCAAGGGACAGATCCACCAACAACACTGCGGCATGATAATAATATCTCGTGGCTTGCATATTCTTGGCGAGTCCGCGGGTTGCCCGAAGTAGCGGCTATTAGTTTTTTTTACCAACGTATGTTTCAGGCTAACGACTAAACGTGCTCGGAGATAGGGCTGACAACCTTACCTGTGGAAAGGTACGCGTCAATATTCTCAATGACCTCTGCCTCCATTTTGGTGCGAGCATCAATGCAGTGAGTTCCCGAGTGGGGCAAAAGCAGCACATTCTCGTTTTTGACCAGTTCCGTGTGCACCTTGGGCTCGTGTTCGTATACATCAAGCCCTGCCGACAAAACCTTACCTGATGCAAGTGCGTCAACCAGCGCCTGCTCATCAATGACAGGGCCTCGGGCGGTGTTAATGATTACCACGCCATCCTTCATTTTGGCGAACGCTTCGGCATTGAGGAGGTGGTGGGTCGAGTTGTTCAACGGAATGCTCAGGAAAATAATGTCCGATGTCCTCAGCAATGTATCAAAGTCAACGTACTCAGACTCCTTTTCCACCGCGGGTTCCGCACGGCGACGGTTGTAGTACTGGACTTTTCCGAGGCTCAGAGCGCTCTGCATTTTGTCCCGGGCAACTGCTCCGATTCCCCCTAACCCGATAATACCCAGGGTCCGTCCCTCTGGCTCAATAGCGAGCGGAACATCTCCAAACCACTCACCTCGGCGGAGAGCAGCGGCAAGGGCATTGAAATTGCGCATGGCGCCAATAGTGAGGTACAGCGCAGTGTTGGCCGTGGCCTCCATGACTGAATTGGGGGCATTCGATGCCACGATGCCCATCTCCTTCAGAACGTGGGGATCCGGCAGGGTGTCGTAGCCTGCACCCATGTGTGCCATCACCTCCAGACCATCAACGGACTTGCGAAAACGGTCCATGTCGTATCCCTTGAGGCGTTTAGCGCCCGGCACAGTGTGGCCAACGGCCACAACGTTCTTTTTGGCGAAAAGCTGGTAGAACTCATCAGAGGACGTGCCCTCAAAGGGGACAAGCTCAACATTGTGTTTTTCGGCAAGTTGGGCCCATTTGTCCTTGCAATTGACATATGCTCCACGCATAATAACCACTAACTTTTTCGTACTGCTCATTGTTGGGGGTAACTGAGTTTGTCGACTCGACAGTTAGTCACCTTGACCAATTTACCGGGGTCCTGTTGACTAATCGTCCCCTACTGTGTTTGATAAGGTCCTGTATGATGACGGCTTGTGCTGCCGGAGGATACCATACAGCTTCATAGTGACGTAAGCAGCGGTCGGGATCAGCCGCTGCGAGCCCCATGCGGGCGACCAAGATCGTGGAAAGGGTAGACGTTTACTCTTGCGGTCGCTAAGGCATGCCGCGGAGCAGATGCAACAGCCGCCAACAAAAACAAAGGAGCAGATGCGTCAGGATGCGCCTCTGGCTAAACGTGCTCGGCAATGGGGCTAGCGAGTTTACCGGTGGTAAGATACGCGTCAATGTTGTCGATAACCTCTGCCTCCATTTTAGTGCGAGCATCAATGCAGTGGGTTCCGACGTGCGGCAAAAGCAGCACGTTCTGGTTTTTAAGCAGTTCGGGGTGAACGTTGGGCTCGTTTTCGAATACGTCGAGGCCGGCAGACATAACTTTGCCGGATGCCAGTGCGTCGACCAGCGCCTGCTCGTCGATGACAGAGCCCCGAGCAGTGTTGACGATAGTCACGCCGTCCTTCATTTTGGAGAACGCTTCGGCATCAATTAGGTGGTAAGTAGAGCGATTAAGAGGGACGCTGAGGAAAACAATGTCCGAGGTCTTGAGTAGTGTGTCGAAATCAACATACTCAGCGTTCTTCTCGATCTCGGGATCCGCGCGACGGCGGTTAAAGTACTGGACTTTCCCGAGATTCAAAGAGCTCTGCATTTTGTCCCGAGCCAGCGCTCCGATTCCGCCCAGCCCAATCACGCCCAGCGTCTTTCCTTCCGGCTCGATAGCCAGCGGTACATCTCCCAACCATTCTCCACGACGAAGAGCAGATGCGAGGGCATTGAAATTACGCATGGCACCGATCGTGAGGTAAAGCGCGGTGTTGGCAGTGGCTTCCATAACGGATTTGGGCGCATTAGACGCGGTAATCCCCATTTCCTTGAGGATGGTGGGGTCTGGCAGCGCATCGTACCCTGCACCCATGTGACACATAATTTCGACCCCCGCGAGACAAGCACGGAATTTGTCCATTTCAAAACCGTCCATGAGCTTTAGACCGGGATAAGTGTGGGCCACGGCGACGATGTTCTTTTTATCGAAAAGATCGAAAAAGTCATCTGCACAAGTACCGTTGAAAGGTACCAGCCGGACGTTGTGTTTTTCGGCTAGCTGGGCCCATTTTTCACGGCAATTATCGTATGCTCCGTCCATAATAACTACCAGCTTCTGCGTATCGCCCATTTTCTCTGTGGAGTCGACCATCTGATCTTCACTTAGTCAGATATTGACGTGGTTTAGTGAATATCAGCTCCGTATACTCCACGGTTTTGTGGTGAAAATGATGACAGTTTATGCCGCCGTGGGGGATACCACGCATCCCATCCCGTCGGTGAGGTAACCGAAGATCGGGGCGCGCAGTCTGGGTCTGGATGCTGACAGGATAGGGTTGTGGAAAGGGCGTATGGTCACGAAGAGGCGCTAGAGGCACTACCGGTGACACGGACGGCAAAAAGAGGTAAACAGCAAGAATTCCAGCAAAGAGGGGTGTGTGCGTCAACATACTGCTAATTTGGGCTAAGGTTTCAAACGTTCTGTATGATCCCAACACGGTTGCTCATTTGCTAACTCCCCAATGGAACTAACGTAGGTCCTCGCGGTATGCATCAGTCATGGCAAGCTAAGTAACGCGAGGGAAGGAACGCCCCCAAGGCCTGTCGGACAATTAGCATGGTCGTTAAAGGAAGGCATTGGTGGTGGTGTCGAAAAATTGAATGTTCAGTGCTCTTTACTTTGCAAGCATGTGTGCATGATATCCCCAGGGCCCCTCCCCCCATGATCCGGGGAGAAAGTTTCTGAGACCTGCCTTGGCTGGGCAAGCCTATGCTGGCTATGCATGCGCCAACAGAGTTGCTAAAAGATCGCATGGTTCCAAACACTATAACTCGTCGGAATTCCGTGGTTTCCGGCGGGGATGTGTTGAACAATTCGTCTAGTATGTTTTGGACAGTGGTGGGGAGTTTTTTTGAATATTTCCTCGCGGACCACTTTGCCACATGCGTCTTGGGTCCGGGTCCTTGCAATCTTAGCTCAGGCCGGGCAAGGGTAGTTGGATCTCGGTCGAAATACATAAACCCACGCTTTATGGGGTTGGGTCCAATCCTTCTTTTGATACAATAGATTCGTACTGGATTGACCCCTACTGCTGTTTGTTTCTACGAATCAATCAATGGTTAGCCCGACGCTTCCCATGGATAACACCCCACACTCCCCCGCGACCCGTCACCACCCACTGCCTGAGGTTGTCATCTGGCGGGCAATTAGGCGATACAAAATACGGCGATTGACTAAACAGATCAGAATCGAAGACAACTGGCTATTCGAGGTCGCTCTGAACGGCCAACTCGCAAAGTACCACTGGCCCAGGCTTATGCATACGCCTGCAACTCTAGAACGGATCAGCCAGTTTTTGGAAGACCTGGGCGCGCTGCGGAAGAACTCCTCTGCACATGCCCGTATTCTAATACTGGGTCTCTTGCTAGCTGGCCTGCGCCCACAAGCTGAAGCACCACAAATCCACAGTCTGGCCTATTGCATGGCCCAGCTTTGTGACCAGCCTGACGCAGTTGCCCACCGAGCAATGTTCATTTCACTTTATCCCCAGGTTTGTCACCACGTCTTGCGAGAGTTCAACAGCATCCTGGTGGAGATCCGCACAGCAGCAAACCACCCCCCGGCACCGGCCCAGCCGAGGGCGCGACCACGCCACACCGCGCCATCGACCGGGGCTGCTGCTGCGACTGCTGCTGCCGCTGCCGGTGTTATCTATGCACCTATCAAATCAAAGCGGACGCTGGCACCACGCACTCAGCTGCCGCTCCTAACTGCATTTTTAACAAGTATACTCCGGTATATTTGGATAATTTATATCGTTACCTCAAACTAGAAATTTTTTGTGTATCACCCCCCCTTCACCTGCCCGAACGTTGACCCTCGCTGATATAATCTGAAAAGTTATTCCCCTTTGTTCCTTATAACCCCGGTGGCCCCTTTCCCTAGCTGCATTTTCGCACCAGCATTCAATATACCGCAATCTGCGTAGTAAGTTTGTTGAAATGTCCGTTGACGAGAAAACGCTACTGGATTCGTACCCGCAAATTGCCCCCGAATCTGCTGGCACCGGCCACCCTGGCCACTTGACCCCTGAGCAGGAGAAGGCACTCAACCACTTGCGGGATCTACTGACTGCCCACGGGCACACTGAGCGCATGGATGACGCCACGCTGTTGCGATTCCTGCGGGCGCGCAAGTTTGACGTTGGCAAGGCCATGGAGATGTACCAGGCGTGCGAAAAGTGGCGCGAGGAATTTGGCACCAACACGATTTTGGAGGATTTCACCTACCCGGAAAAGGGCGAGGTGATGAAGTACTACCCGCAGTTTTACCACAAGACAGACAAGGACGGCCGCCCCGTGTATTATGAGCTCATCGGCAACGTCGATATCCATGCAATGTATAAGATCACGACCCAGGAGCGCATGCTGCGCAACCTGGTGTGGGAGTACGAGGCGTTCACCCACTACCGCCTGCCTGCGTGCAGCCGCAAGGTTGGTGCGCTGCTGGAGACCTCGTGCACGGTCATTGATCTTAAGGACGTTTCGCTGTCCACCGCGTCGCACGTGTACGGCTACATCAAGGAGGCATCGCACATCGGCCAGAACTACTACCCGGAACGCATGGGCCAATTCTACGTGATTAATGCGCCGTTCGGGTTCTCTGCCATCTGGTCGTTTATCCGCCACTTTTTGGACCCAGTCACCGTCGAGAAAATCCACATCTACGGAAGCAAATACCAAAAATCGCTCATGAAGCAAATTCCCGAAGAAAACTTGCCCGTGCAGCTTGGCGGCAAATCACAGTGCAAGGGCAATATCTACCTCGCGGACGACGGCCCCTGGCGCGACCCCAAGTACATTGGACCCGAGGGCCCCGCCCCGCTGTCTGCCGCAGAGTCCAAGGCCTCGTCCGCCCAGCCAGCGGATGCTGCTGCCGCCCCGACCAAGGTCGAGAAGGTCAAATCCGACGACTCTCTCGTGACTGCGCCCGAGCACGCTCCGGCATAAGGCCTTTGCGCATTATTAATTGTTTTTAGCTATAGAAGGACTTTATTAGACTCGCTCAACCTCGCCGCGAAAACCGGCCTCCGCGCCATCATCGCACCCTAACCCGGCATCGTCAGACTAGTAATCTCAGAACCTTCCCAAGAAATCCCCACCTCTCAAACAGTTTTACCGCCACCTAACTATGTCGACCACCGCCCGTAAGAGGCTCATGCGTGATTTCAAGCGTATCCAGCAGGACCCGACCGGGGGAGTCTCCGCTTCGCCCGTGCCTGAGGATATTCTCATGTGGAACGCCGTCATTATTGGGCCCGACGACACGCCGTTCGAGGACGGCACCTTCCGATTGATTCTGAAATTCGACGAGAGCTATCCCACGAAGCCGCCTGTCGTGCGCTTCCTGTCCGAGATGTTCCATCCCAACGTGTATCCGTCGGGCGAGCTTTGCCTGGACATTCTCCAGAACCGCTGGAGTCCGACGTTTGACGTCTCGGCGATCCTGACCTCGATCCAGAGTCTACTGAACGACCCCAATACCGCATCGCCTGCCAATGTTGAGGCAGCTAATATGTTCCGTGACCACCGCAGTCAGTACAGTAAAAGAGTGCGGGAAACCGTCGAAAAGAGCTGGCTCTAATCTTTGTCGTCGTCCGGCTCATAGTTTTTTTATTTAAATGGGAATAGTTTTATATCCTCCACGTCTCTCTGTTATTTTTCACTTTTGACTAATATCCGATTTCATGGCCGCTCTCACGTTCGAGGTGGCTGCGAAGTGTTCTAAATCAAAGGCCAGAGCAGCTACCATGATGCTTCCTCACGGACCCGTGCAGACGCCGGTGTTTATGCCGGTAGGCACGCAGGCCTCCCTCAAGGGCCTGACCCCGGATCAGCTCAAGGACCTGGGCTGTGAAATTTTCTTAAACAACACATACCACCTGGGCCTGAAGCCTGGACAGGACGTCTTGGATACTGTAGGGGGTGCTCATGCTCTGCAGCATTGGGATCGCAATATTTTGACCGATTCGGGCGGTTTCCAGATGGTCTCGCTGCTCAAGCTTGCAACGATCACTGAACAGGGCGTCGGGTTCTTGAGTCCCCACGATAACACCCCCATGCTTTTGACTCCAGAGCATTCTATGAGTCTGCAGAATAGCATTGGAAGTGATATTATGATGCAGCTCGACGACGTTGTCGCTACTCTCACCACCGGGCCAAGAGTAGAGGAGGCTATGTGGAGGTCTATAAGGTGGTTAGATCGCTGCATTGCTGCTCACAAGAAACCAGAGTCGCAGAACCTATTTTGTATTATTCAAGGTGGTCTAGATCCAGAGCTGCGTCGCATCTGCTGTAAAGAGATGGTTGAACGTGACACCCCGGGTATAGCCATTGGTGGTCTCAGTGGAGGCGAAGATAAAGAGAGCTACTGTAACGTAGTTGATGCCTGCACGTCTCTGCTTCCAGAAAACAAACCCCGGTATTGTATGGGCGTTGGTTACGCCGAGGATCTCGTGGTGTCGGTGGCATTGGGTGCCGATATGTTCGACTGTGTTTACCCCACTCGTACTGCACGATTCGGCACTGCTTTGACCCGTCATGGCGTTCTGAACGTCAAGCTACTGGAGTACAAAAACGACCCAAGACCATTAGAAGACGGCTGCAAGTGCCCCGTCTGCAAACCCAAAGAAGAGGGCGGTATGGGCATTTCTCGTGGCACGATCCGCATAATGGCCACTAGAGATACAGTTGGTGCCCACCTGCTCACAATCCACAACACCTGGTACCAACTAGAGCTCATGCGCACAATTCGTCAGGCCATTGTCGAAGATCGGTTCGAAGAGTTTGTCCAAACGTTCTTCAAAGACAAGTTCGGCAACGAGCCGCCTGCTTGGGCCAGACAAGCATTGGCAAATGTGAATATCCGCATCTGAAGATAATATATATGTATGTATAACGTGCAACTAATCGACGAGGTTGAGGGCTTCGACCTTCTGGTAAAGCTTGTCACTGTCGTCATCGACTTTAGTGAAAAATTCACGCGAGTACTGAGCCTCGTATGTGTGTTTTTCAAGATCATCCCGCTCTCTTGCGACCTGCTCGACCTTGGTTTGGAACGCAGACCGAACGTCCTGGCTGGGGTACTTGAGAACCTTGCGGCACTCTCCAGCAATGCGATCGGCATTAGCCCGCACATAGCCCATGTCGTCGATCTCGAACGCGATTTTACGGGCAATCTTGCGAGGGACCGTGCGTGGCATCTCATGCACCATATACGCAGCGAGTCCCACCGTGACAACAGCAACCATAGGTACCCATAGCTTGCGAACAAGCTGCCAATCAATTGCTCTGGCTGCTTGAGAGCTTAGTGCTAACTGACCGCCACCAACGATACTAAACAAAGTAAGTGCATTGCTAACACTGCTCGTGGATGTGGTCAGGGCTTGTTTGGAAGCTTGCAACACAGGAAGGGGGCGCTCCAGCAGGAAACCCAAATCAATAAAGTCAAACACTGACAATTCAGCCCGAATGCTTCGGCCGAGGTTGTCTCTACGACGACTGAACATGGCACTCTTTTGGAACACCTTGGTGAAAGCTGGCTGTTCGCCAACATGTAATATGCCAATGGATTTGATGGCATCCACGGCAGTAGCAGTGACTTCACGGGCGTTGTCCTCGCTATGCACCACTGCATCCTGGATTTTGGCAATCAGTGCTTGGCGTGTGTCGCGGGCGTACTGTACAATATCAAATAACCCGGTATATTCGACAACTGGCTCGGCACCAACTTGGTCTACGACAGTTGTGAGATGCTCCATGCTCTGAGTGTACATTGCCTGAGTGAGCCGCTCAACATCCTTGTCAATTTTGTCTGAAACAGCCGCTGCTTCAGCAATCGTCTCGTCCAGCTGAGGGGTGAGGGCGTCGAGCCTTTCTTTGAGCTCTTGAAACTGTGCGGCCGAACTGTCGAGGTTCGTCCGAGAAAGCATCTTAACGTCTTTCAGTGTATTTACAAGGAAGTTTCGAGCCGGCAGTAGTTTGGAGGTACTGCGTTTTTCAAGAACAAATTGACGCAGCGATGCCTCAAGCTTGTCAAAGTCTGGAGATCCGGGGCCGACGTCAATATCAGGGGGTGGCGGTGAGCCCGATGACGAAGGAGGAGGGGTGGCGATCCGATCCTCGAGCGAGGAGACAAAATGGACGAAATCGCCTTTGCCCTTGTGAGTCTCGGGAATGAGACCAGCAACTTGATCCAGAATTCGCTCTTGGCAGCGCTGTTTGTCGCGGATCTTGTCATAGTTGTTTACCACCATGAATACAAGAGACTTTTCACGAGCAGTATCTTGGATGAACTCTTTGGAGCTCTGCGTGAGATGGTTTTCAGCAGAAACTACAAAGATAACAAGGTCAATTTCCTCCTGCCGTCCGAAAAGCTCCTGGGTTTTATCGACATCTACGTTGAGCCCGGGGGCATCGATCAAGCATATATCCACAACGCCATTGCTGAGCAAACTGTGCTCTTTAGGCCGGTCGTCGTAGACATAGACTTTGAGAATAGAGTAGATTTTTGATTCATGTACAAGTTCGTCGAGGTTTTCGAGAGCAAACACCCGATACGTTTTGGGGTCGTCGATATCGTATGTCGTTCTCAGCAGCACCGCGTGGACCTCTTCTTTGCCACCGTTGTTCGAGACATCAAGGACCTCACAAAAGACGTCTGTACACGGCTGCTGGTCCACGGGGAGAATTTTCCTGCGAAGCAATGCGTTACAGAGACTTGACTTGCCCGAGTTCAAGTCACCGGTGATTAGAACGTGCGACCTGGTGTTTGAAATCCGGTCCAGAAGTCGCACAGCATGAAGTTGAACTTGACCAAGTCTGGAGTCTAATAATGTCGCAGTGGATTTATCGATCAAGGAGGTGCCCACCACCGAAGCGCCCATTTTCAAATCGAGCTGGAGAACTGCCAGCGGTTCCTTGGGCAGAATGATGCTGTTGTCTTTGGAAAACAGCTTGATCTCGCCCAACAAGTCTTGGATCTCCTGAAGCCACTCCTTCAAGCTTCCGGCATGGTGGCTGTAGCGCACTTGGCTCAAATGCGCATCCACCCGGTTCCGAGAGGACATGCTGACATTCCGACGGTGGCCCTCTGAGGTCGACAACATCTCCAAAACGCCGTTGGACGACACGGCGTCTGGTTTTAGCGTTTCTTTACTGTCCATGCGTTAATTTTCCCCAGGTTTCAGTGGAACTGCGCTCGATATCACACCGTTTCCAATTGTGGGGTGGTTTTTTAGGATGGGCAACCAGTTAGTCAGGCCATTCTGGGATCTGATTTTATAATTGATTTCTGTCAGAAGCCACAAAAAAAAAAAGTACCGCAATGAACGGGGTGTTTGCTGTTGCTAAACCGGGGGGACCTGGTGGACCTACCTCTCAAGATGTTGTCGGTAAGCTGAAGAAGCTGTTTTCAAAAAGCCCAGAGTACCTAAACACGCTGAAAAGTGCACCCAAACCCAAGAAGCGTCGCAGAGGCCCGGATTTCATCAAAATCGGTCACGGCGGAACCCTCGATCCGATGGCTGACGGTGTGCTGGTTATTGGTGTAGGCTCAGGCACGAAGCAGCTTCAGTCTTATCTCGGCAATTGTACCAAGAGGTACAGTTCTACGGCGATGCTTGGACCCAGCACAACAACCTACGACTCTGCGGGAGCTATTCTGGGGTACTCCTCGCCGTCCGAGGTGGACGATGGTAAAGTTGAGAGCGTGTTGACCGAGTTTAGAGGCAAAATCCAGCAGCTTCCTCCCGTTTTCAGTGCTCTGAAAATGGACGGAAAGCCGCTTTATCAATATGCCCGTGAAGGCATCCCGCTGCCTCGAGCCATTGAGAAACGCGAGTGCGAAATCACCACTCTCAATGCCGGCAAACTGCGACAAGAACATGAATACAAGTTGCCGGAAAAGACAGCGACCCCAGAAGAGATCGCTTTTGCCAAAAGTGTGACTGGAGACGACCTCGAGACAGGACAAGCCAAGATCGGGCCTGTTTTCGACCTGTCCTTTGATGTGTCCTCAGGCACCTATATCCGCTCGCTGATTTACGATATCGGCTGCGCCCTAGGTACCCAGGCTCATATGGTCAAGCTAACACGAGTCCAACAGGGCGACTGGGAGCTCGGGAAAAACGTGCTGCCTCTTGATCTGTTTGACAAGCCGTATGAGGAATGGTGGCCAGTACTGAAGGAAGTGTTGGAGGAAGGCCCTAAACGAACTTATGATGCAGCAAAGTGTGTATAAATATTTACAAGAATAAAAAGAGCATAAACAGCAGCAGCAGCCATGGTGGGGTCATACGATGAGCGGCGTCCTCGAAAAACACCGCGCCAGGATAGCTGCAAGTCACATACCCGTCGTCACTCATCGAACCATACGACAGATTGATCATATGCTTGTTTGGACAGGAGAACCCCAGACTAGCGGGACAGTCCCGCACGAGGTCGTAGCATAGCTCTTTGCAAGGCAGAACTTCTTTGTAGGGGCCAGGGTCAATGTACTTGTTGATTTCAGGGTTTCGAGATTGACCCTTGGGACGAGGATGGAGATAAGAACCGTTCGAAGACCAGTCGGCGCATCGCGGAACTGTAATGGCACACAGCCAGTTACGATACGAACTATCGCAATCACCGCATGAGCGCAAAACCGAGTACCGATCATCCAACTTGCCCTGGCATAGCTCCTGTTCAAGCGATTTCGAAAAGTTTTCATAGCGTTTTCTGGCCATATTGTCATAAAACATAGTGAGCTCATTCACACTAAACGCCGAAGCATTGCCGGGCACTGCAAACGCCATTTCAGAACAAAACGTCATGTTGTACACCAATTGGCATGAAAACGATCCAGTCGTAGAAAACGAGGCCTGACCAAGGCTAATCCCGCCTAATGGAGGGGGCGAGGCAGATGAGTTCAGCTGGGCATTAGCATAAGTCAAATAGGCCACATACTCTGTACTGTGATTCAATCCGGGCAGCAGGTACTGTGCTCGTGTCTGGTGCTTAGTTCCTCGGTTTGTGTAGGACAAATCCGCATTCTTTTGGTTCAGAAGCGGGCCGTTGTTATGAATTGCACAGTAAGATCGATACAGAACGTTGCTCGTGTTGACCAAACTGGTATACAGGGAGATCTCCAACGAGTCAATCGTAACGACCGGGTTCGAGTCACCCCAATCTTTCAGCAAAACAATATTGGTGAGGTTTTCTTGCAACTCCGTGAGCGGACTCGTGACCAGGAGCGAGTTTGCAAAGTCCGAATCCACGAAAAACAGATCCGTGACGGTCTCATTGAGAGCATACGACGCCGACGGGCCTACTCCGAGTTCGTAGGTCCAGGAACCCTCGCCTTGGGGGGCGATCACTTGGACAACATCAAGGCCTCCGGCGCTATAAGTAACCAGTCCACCTTCACCGCTGTATCGGGTTTTCCCCACAACCAGTTCCAAACTCTTGTAATTCTGATCCGGTTGTGTGCATGTCGATAATGAGAGCAGACTGTCTTTAAGTTCCGGTGGAATCGTATAAATATGAGTGTCATTCGCACTGATTTCGGCCGCAGCACCCAATGGAGAAAGAGTCAGTATGCTCTCTCTTTGAAATATATTCAAATACTCAAAGATTTTCGTGAACGTAGCGTTCCCTTCATCCATTTTCAAAAACTCTTCCGCTGCCTTTGAATTACGTCAAGACGCCCGATTGAGTTAATCATCTTTAATGGACGACAACCTTCCGTGGATCGAAAAGTATCGTCCGGCGAGCCTGAACGACGTTTCTGGACACGAGGGCGTGATCAAGACGATCCGCCGGTTTGTGGAGAACAAGCAGATCCCGCACTTGCTCTTCTACGGCCCTCCCGGCACGGGCAAAACGTCGACCATCGTCGCGGTTGCTCGCGAGATTTACGGGCCAAACTACAAAAATATGGTTCTGGAGCTGAATGCGTCGGACGATCGTGGCATTGATGTCGTGCGCAATGAAATCAAGACGTTTGCGTCCACGCAACAGATCTTTTCCAAGGGGTTCAAACTGGTTATTCTCGACGAAGCGGACGCAATGACCAATGTTGCCCAGAACGCTCTGCGGCGGATTATTGAAAAGTACTCTGCTCACACGCGGTTCTGCATTATTGCAAACTACACGCACAAGCTGAACCCGGCTCTGATCTCGCGCTGTACGCGGTTCCGCTTCTCGCCGCTGACTTCAGACGCGGTTCGTTCGCGTTGTCAGGACGTCATTGCTGCTGAGAGCATCGCAATCACCCCCACAGCATTGGACGCGCTCGTCACACTCGCACATGGAGACATGCGTCGCGCACTCAATGTTTTGCAGGCGTGCCATGCTCGGGTTGAGCGGGGCACCCCGATTGACGAAAAAGATATCTATGATTGCGTGGGCAGCCCTGATCCACGAGACGTGCAACGAATTCTTACCTCGATGCTCAAAGAATCATGGTCTACGGCCTATGATGTTATCACTACGCTGAAACGAGACAAGGGACTGGCCCTGGCAGACATCTTGCAGTGCTTGACAGACGAGGTTATTACATTAGAACTGGACCAAACCGTCCGCGGAAAGATTCTGAGTGGCATGGCCGAGATCGAATGGCGACTGAGCTCTGGAGGAACCGAAAAAATCCAAACGTCGGCGCTCATTGGCGTCATCAACGAAGCAGTGCATTAAGCATGATAATAAAACTTTATGTATAAATATCGCCCTTTTGGTTTCCCTTGTCTTCTTCTTTTTATAGTGCTGCCTGAGCGTCCCAAGTATACGGTATGCCTTCTTGGCTGGCCCATTCGCGGCCCATATGCAAAGCAAGCGCAGCAGCTTCTTGGGGGTTGGTATTAGCGTGTAGGGGTAGCAGTGCGCGATCATTGAGAGGATCACAGCCATTGGGATTCAGTTTTGATGCCGTCCAGCCCAGACTGTACTTCTCCTCGAGCAAGGAGAACGGCAGCAGAGCAAGACCTCTTCGGAACTCTTGAATAGCCCGTTTCGCCGCCAGCGGCGATTCCCGGCCTCCGTGGAGCATGATTCGAATGTTGACAACCGCAAGAACCTGGTAGCACATGCCTGCAATGTCTGAATCGACGCTTTCGAGATATGTGGCCATCTTGGCCAAATAAGGCACTAGAGTTGACCAAGACTTGACATGGAGATCTCGATTGACTACCTTTTGGGCCCGATCCTCGAGATCGAAGGCCCTAATAAAACAAATTGCGGAATCCAGTCCTGCAACGGCTGCCTGGTGGTGCTGTCGGTTGCCCATCGCGGCGTCTGCTTCGTGCTTTTTGCTGCGGGCCCGCTCTACCCAGTGGTGCATCTTCGATCGCAGTGCCTTGTACTTGGGATCATCGTCAACAGGCTTTTGTGGGGGGTACTTTAAGATCACAATCCTGCGTTTGGGCTCAACGGGCTTTTTTAGTTTGGAGTCAAGAGACGATGCGGACAGGCTCTTGCGGGCAACTTCTCCATTAGTTGCCTTCTTTTTGACAGTCGCCCGCACACCTGCCGTCGATGCTGCAGGCGTGCTCTCGGCTGGTTCCCCGTCCGCACCTCGTTTGGGCTCCAGATCGAACTCGGACGGAATTGTCGGGCTGAGCGGTTCTGGTAGCTCCCAGTCACTTGGTAAAGTGGGGCTCAACATCGGTGGCAATATTACCCCGTCGGCTGTCATCTTCTCGTATAGTGAAAGGTTGTCACCAAAGAGGATCACGCTTCGGTGCTGCTGACTTAGAAGAGGGGCCCAAGCGGGAAAGCAAAGAGAGCGGACAAACTGAATGATTAACTACATCAAGGGGGATTTATTTGCGGCCAAGGGCATTTTGGGCCATGCGTGCAACTGCCACGGTGTTTGGGGAGGCGGAATTGCCCTTGTGTTTAAGAAAAAGTACCCGCATGCCTATAAGGTTTACCATGAGTATTGCATGAACAAGTCGCCGAGCCAATTATTGGGAACATGTTTGTTAATTCCTGAGCGGGATTCGAACGTAATTGCGTGCTTGTTCACTAGCGACAACAGCAGCCAGCAGGAAATCGTCCGCTATACCCGTGATGCTGTGCGAGATCTGGTTCGCCAAACGAGCAACCCAATCAATATTCCGCAAATCAACGCGGGCATTTTCGCTGTTCCGTGGGAATTGACCGAGCAGGGGCTCAAAGAGTTCGAATCGTCTACGATCAACGTGTACGTGCTGTGAACATGCGTAGGCAAAGTAGAATACATAAGAGTCACACTGTCTATAAATATTACCTTCTAAAAGTATCAATGGAGCCGACATAGCTGAATCCCTTGAAAGATTGGAATCGTTCCTCGCCCGGCGGACTCACGAGCATCTCGGTGAACTCGGCACTGAAGTTTTCCGCCAGCACGGGGTCGGTGACAATAGGCTTGATGGGCGGATCGAGGTCGGGAGACTTGGTGTCGATTTGTTTCCAGTTCAGTTTCCGGAAAAACCTGTGCTTGCGGATGGTATCGATTTGTTTGGAACAGAGGCGGCGTTCGGGCTCTTTTCGCAACAGTCGGATCAGCAGATCTTTGGCATCTGCAGACAGATAATACGGTAGAGTCAGTTTCTGTTTGGTGATTTTGTCGATGATTTTCTTGTGATTCGTGCCGGTGAATGGTGGGTTGCCGGTGAGAAGATCGTACATTAGGGCCCCTAGCGACCACCAGTCCACTCTGGAGTCGTACTCTTTCCCAAGAAGGATCTCGGGCGCCATGTACTCTGGCGTGCCCAGCAACGAGTTGCAGGTTGATCCGTCCTCGGCGACTTTTGACAGCCCGAAATCGGTCAAGAGCAAGTTTCCCGACGCATCCAGCAGGCAGTTCTCTGGTTTCAGGTCCCGGTAGACAACCCCGATGCTGTGGAGATGGCACAGAGCACACGCGATCTGTGCCACATAAAAAGCGGCAACATCTTCGGAAAGCATGCATTCGGTGGCCAAATGGGTGAAAAGCTCTCCGCCCTGAGCGTACTCTAACAACAAGTAGCATTTTTCAAAATCCTGGATCGCATAGTATAACTTCACAATGTACGGATGGCGGACTGCCTCTAAAATGGATCGTTCCGACATTGTTTGTTCCAGCCGGCGATCCTCGACTACAATGCTGCATTTTTTCAGCTGCTTTTGCGCGTATAACTTGCCCGAACTGCGGTCCCGAGCCAAGTACACTTTGCCGTACGCCCCAGCACCCAGCACTTTCAGCTGCTCAAAATCTTCAGGAACTTTCCTCTTGTGTTTGTGCGAGTAATTGTGCAGCAACTCGACCTCGTAGGATTTTCCAAGCCGCGCGGCCCGTGGTGTGCTGCCAAAAATCGCGCTGGCTTCGATTTCTGGAACGGCGGACTTGCCCGTGGGAATGCTGATTGGCGGAGTGCTCGCGGAGTCCGCATAAAGGACACTGTCCGCGCTCTCCTCGTCTAGATCAAAAATGGCTGCCATGAAACCAACCTGTAGATTCCTCTTTGATGCGGGTTTGTCAATTCTATTCAGCGTTTTCCCATTAGGTAAACTCGAGCGATGCATCGCCAAGCGAACCTGCCGTTTAGGTGCGGGGAAAGCCGTCAGGGACCAGCGCCGGCAAACAAAAGTCCAATTGGTGAAACAGAAAAAGCCCATAGCTAGACAAGCCAGTTAGTCGCTAAGAAACGTGCCAATAAGAGCTGCTTGGTGGGAAACTTTGACAAACGGCTTCCCGCCGAGTTTCGTCCAGCCGAACGCGAACGACTCGGTGCTGTGAGCAGCCTCAAGCTGCCACCCTCCTGAAACCTGCTCGGCCCGCAGAATGCCGTGGTACGGTTGGCGCTGGAGATCATAGAGGTCCAGCTTGCTGGGAAGCTGATCCAAGCCCGCGCTGCAGGCCAGGCTCGCTAAACGGCATGCCATCATGTCTTCGCCAAACCCGGAGCACACAGCGGCAATGCCTTTGTCGACATCACAAGCAGCGCCGGGAACTGCGGCCGAGCCAATTCGCCCCGGAATTTTCAGAATTGATCCTCCCGAGCTCGAGCAAACCGCGATTTCCGTATCCGTAGCAACTATAACCCCAATTGTGTCCTGGTAAGGGGCTACCTGCTCGCTGAGTTTCTGCCAATACTCATGGGAGCGCTGCTGGGACGCAGTCGCAAGTTTTGCTTGTTCTAAACCTTGCGAGATCGCATACTCCGCTGCGCCTTGGCCAGCAATAAATAGAGGTCGGCCCAAATCCGTCTTCGGCAGCTCAAGGTGTTCCAGCATCTTGTGGGGGACCCTGATTGGATTGCGTATACCTTTCACAGATCCGACGCTAGCGGACACTTTGCGGCCGTTTTTAAGCCGCACAATACACGCATCGCACTCAACTTCCCCGTCGCGGTTCAGAGAGCTGCCCCGTCCTGCGTTGGTTATAGGGGAGTTTTCCAGTTGGATTGCGATCTGGACCGCCAGCTCGGTAGGATTCTCACATTCCATCGGAAGTGAACTCAGCACATCCTTCATCAGCGCCAATAACAGCTTTTCTGTGCGCTTTTTCACCGGAGGCCCAGCCCCCAATAAAACCCCTACGATCATTTTACTAAGTAGACTTTCCCAGATGAGCCTTCCCGATAAATTGAAGAAATTTATAGTACGCTGCTACAACGATGTTCCGTCGGAAAAGCACCCAATCATGGAGGTTCAGCTGAAGGAAGTCGTTACGAATGCGATACAGTCGGGTAGGCAGTTTGAAATCGACTGGGATCGGATGGTGCTACCTATCCACACTGCACACCTAGTTGCTGATACTAAGCCTTTAAAGCGGAAGCTAGAGGAGAAAGCGAGCAAAATCCAGTCGAAGAAGGCACCCACGAATGGGACACGCCGGCAGCCGACCAAGCAATCGGAAGCGGAGTTGCGAAGAAAAAGATTTGCGACAAACCAACCGGCGCTGTATATTGACGAAATAAGTTTGGAACCTGTGGTGGGGAGGTCGAAGGCGCTTGAAAAAAGCTACTTACGACTGACAGGAACGCCGAACCCGGATGTTGTACGGCCCAAGGCCTATTTGAAGAAGGCTATCAAGCATGTGATGGATCAGTACACTTCCAAGGCAAGGCCATACCCGTGGGTCGCGGACCAATTGAGAGCCATTCGTCAGGACCTGACGGTGCAAAGGATCCAGGATCCATTTGCAATCAAGGTTTACGAGCAAAACGTTCGGGTCGCACTGGAAAATAATGACATGGGTGAGTATAACCAGTGCCTGACCCGGCTGAAAGAACTATATCAAAACGATCTAACATTCACTTCCCTGGAAACAGGAGAGTTCACGGCGTACCGCATTTTTTATTTATTGTACACCAACAAACTCGAGGACATTGGCAGCATCATTGCTGGGTCTCAAGGGTGTACTGATGAAGCAGTTATACACGCAATCAAAGTCGTTAACGCGCTGGTTGCTGGAAACCGGGCATTGCTGTTCAGTCTGTACAGGAGTGCCCCGAATTTAGGCAAAGCCGCGATGAAGCAGGTCGTCACAAGAGAGAGGGTTATCGCGGCAGCAGCCATGACAAAAACTACAAAGGGAACAATAGATTTGAGCTTTTTCAAAATAACTATGGGATTTGATTCAATTGAGCAAGTTAGAGCGTTCTTGACGGCGTATATTGCCCTAGAGCCGACTCAGGACTCGGTCGATAGTGCTCAGCTGAGTGGAGCATTCGAGGAAGCCAAAAAGAAGGCTTACCAGGTGGATATTAAAGGACAGATTTAACTTAGCGGGGGACTAAGGCGATCATCGAAAAACTGTTACCAGATTCTCTTTGCATAAACTCCTGAATGACCTTCAGGCCGGCCGGACAGAGCACATCCTCACCGTCCAATTTACCCCGGAAAACAGGGCCCTTTCGCCGGCCATCCAATTCAACAAGCTCGCCATCCTTGGCCGCTAAGCAAACATAATGGAACTCGATCTCGTCAGTTGCCTCTGGCGCTTCCGTTTCTCCTTGGCCAGCCACAGCAGCATGAGCATTTTCAAGCATTTCGCTATTTTCGAGATATTCTGCCCGTTCTGCGAGCGACAAGTCTTTAGTTTCCGCCACAATCTTGGCCGCTACAGGGCCCAGACTGTTGGCAGGCACAACGTTCGAAATAGCATGTAATAAAGCCATTGTGCCACAAGAATTCACGATAGTCTGTTTATACCATCTCGCTCTCTCTTCGTCACCGCTGAGCGTGTATTCAGGCACTTTTGAGTCCGCTTCCGAACGGTAGGCTTCGTAGGCTGGGGAAATTGGGAAGACCAGCAGCACCGCGCGGACCGGGCGGGGCAGAAACGCCAGCATTTCCGGATCCAGAGACCAGATGTCTTGAAATTCAACCCCGCTCACGTCCAGTAGCCCCAGCAGGTTGTTGAAAACGTCGGGGTTGCACTCCAGCGGGACAAAGTGCTTCATGATTACAAAAGATGATTTTTTTGCGACTAACGATGAATATATGCAGCCAAACGGCGGTACTCGTGGAGCAGTTCACGGACTTCGCCAATTGTGAGTTGGTCGGCGTCAAGATTTAAAAACTTTGAATGCACGGCGGGTTTCTTGCGGGGGCTCGGGGAGTCACGCTCTTCTCGCGGCGACTCGTTTTCTCGTTGGAATCGCGAAAGCAACGCAGAGTAGCCCGTGGTCAGCGTTGATCCCAGGGTGCTATTCCACAATGCACCTCTCCAGCGGCCCCCGGCGTCCTGCACGGGCATCTCGCCAAACGGCGTAATGTCGATGCCCTCGGGCAGCTCCGTAAACACCCAAGTGTTGAGCAAATGGACTGCCGCCTCCAAATTCGTCAAGCAGTAGTTGTATTCTCCTTCTAGTGCCGAGGCCCTGCGGAACCGCCGCATGTATACGGTGTTGAGCCAGAGGTGGGGCACGTTCGATTCGCACAGGACGTACAGAAACGCAGGCAAAAGAGCATCAGCACTCACATCGGAGGCATCCAGGGCGGCGACAATTTCCCGGTGAGTCTGCACCAGCACGTCCAACTTGGCCAGAGGGGTTCTATCGCGGTCGATGCGGGAGAATATTTCCAGAGCATGAGAGAGTTTTCCTCGAACCTCAAGGGGAATTTCACTATGCAATTCCTCCGATAAGCTAGGATGCGCAGAAACGGTGGCTATGCGGGCCTGCAATCGGCTGTTAATGACCCTATCGCTTCCTATAGCCGGATCAAACAGTTTTGTGTACAGGATACCCGCAAGCTGTTGCTCGGCACCGTCCATGAGCCGTTTTAGATATCGTTTTCGGCGATTGCGAGCTGCCATCTCGTCCGGCGAGAGCAGACGCACGTTGGAGTCGTCTGTAGGATACAGTGTCTGTTCAAGCTCTTTGTAGAAAGACTGAAACAACGTGGAGAGGTCCGGGCCGGCAAGCGGGGTGGAGTAACGAGGCTGTTGAAGAGCATTGTTCACAAACGAAGCAACTGATTGAGTTACAATTGAAATGCCCTCTTCGTCGTGTCGCGAGCCATGGGAGCTCTGGGAAGTGACACTGGCTGACCGACTTTTGCTGCTCCGCACAGAGCTCGCATCAATTGCTGCATTTTCAGCCTCGCCATGCTGCGAAACTGAACCAGACACAACGGGGGGTGCCGGTTTGGACATGGCGTTCCCGATCGGCGAATCAGCAAGCGGCGCCGGGAAAACCCTCTGCGCGGCCTCTGCCTCATCGTCGTTGCCAGTCGAATAGTTCACATTAACGTCTCCTCCTCCCCATAGCCCAGCCAACGCCCTATCGGACCGCGGTCCATCGCTAGGTCTTCTGGCTGGTAGCTGCAGCCGAGAAAGATCCATGCTGACTCAATGAAGCGAGGAGCGAGCTTAGCTTTCGGCGATAGGGAGGTCGCGAAGCGCCTGGCGACCGAAATGGGCCAATTGCAGCTCACGGACAGAAGCGATCACACATTTGACGAGGCCGGTTACATGCAAGGCGTGCAAGCGAAAGGCTTCGAGGTGGTTGATTCGCTCGCATGTGACGATGCGCCGGAAATTGAGATCGTGCCGTCGTTCTTGAAGATCCCCAAGGCAATTATAGACCACCCACCAAAAGCATTCTACCAGCGAGAGAGCCAGGCGTTGATTCCCTATAGGCCCCCGCCTGCACAAGCAATCGAGGGCGATGACGACGACGATGTAATGAAAGAATAGTTTAATTATTTAAAAGGTGCTATCCTCGGCCCGGGCAAACATAACAATCTTCTTTTTGCCCTGCAGGGCCCGCTGGAAATCGGCATCTGTATTTATAGGGTAATCACTGAAATCTTGGCGGGCATGGAGCTGCGGTTTAGCAAACCCAATGCGTTCCTCGATTTTCTGATAAACTTTTTCGAACGGCAAGCCGGCGGGGATCCGAATCGCAACAAGCTCATCGCCATGAAACACTTTGATCTTGACGTGTTCGCCAGATAGACCTGCACTCTGCGGCCGCTGCGGGCTCGTGGCCGTGGCCGTGGGGGACACATCCGTCGAGCTCTGCTGAGCAGACGCGGTAGTGGGTGTGTCATTCTCAAAGGTCGTATCCGGACCAGCGTCTACAACCATTTCGGTACTGTCTCCGCGAGTAGTTGGCGGGTGGGGCATCTGGGAGGTGCGGGTGTCGCTTTCGATATCGCCCTCGCGAAGAGCAAAGAGCTGTTGGATCAGGGGCGAGCGTGAGATATGCGGAGGCATACGAATAAGATTGCGAACGTACTCGTCCAAATTAGCTCTTCGTCGTGACGAAATCGAGTGAGTGACCACGGTCAGAGGACCAGGCATAAACGGTAAAGTGCGGGTCCCGCCAGTGCGGCCAGACTCTTCAGGGAATTCCTCCAGCAGCTTGATTTGGAAGTCATAAAAATCTTGGTAATACCGGCACAGGTTGCGGAACATACCATTCGACATTTCGGCAACAACCAGGTACCAGTACCTGCCCCCCGTCATGGCGAACCGCTCGACACCTGCCCGTACTACGTAAACACCAGGTTGACTAGTGGGCGGAGCATAGCTTGCTGTGATCGACGTGCGGACCATATTGCTCAATCGAGAAGAGTCGTGGCGCATATCGCCTATGTTTGTTGAAGTGGCCCGCGAGCGGGAGCCGTTAGAAATTGACCGCGCAGGGTACTCGGTCATTGCCTGGGCGTAGGGACCGCGGCCCCCACCAGCGCCTTGCTCGAACCGACCAAGAGGAATACTAGAAGCCTTGTATTCGGCGGCTCTTCGCTTCCATTCTTCAACTTGCGGCACGCCAGCGCGCCGAATAGCATCCGCCACATCAGTAACCACCTCGTCGGTTCCGACCTCCCGTAACTGAACATACGAAACAGGAATAAGACCCGGGCCACCCAACCTACCAATTGGCTTGGCCACAAACCACTCTTCGTTACTCTGGGCAATAATCACAATTGACTCGCCTGACTGGGCCTCCAGCTCGTCGGCTCTTTCTGCCGTAAAATCGTAGAGCACAACGCCATAGATTGCTGAGCTGGTCCGGCTATGCGGCTGGTTGAATCCAAAGTCGGCAGCGTGGTTATTCTGGGGCGGGGCACCAATAATTTCAGGACCAGTGCCATGGATACCCGCTGGCGCCTCAGGTATACTGGCACCTGGGCTGAAAGTGTTATGGGTTGTGAAGGACTGTTTGCTGCCTCTGGATGTGCCTCTGGACATTCGAGAATCAGAAAGACCGCTATCGTTCCGGGTGTGGCCAGAGCCCATGATCTGGTCGTGAAGCGCCTCAGTGATGGGACGGGTAGGAATGTGTTCAGGCCGTTGGATGACCTCGAAATATGATATAGGTACCAGCCCACTAGAGTTTGTCAATGGGTTACAGGCAACGTACCATTCTGGGTCGTCCAAATCAACCACATACAGAAAGTCCTCTTTGGAGAAGCCGAGCTCGTCTGCGTTGCGGGCCTTGTAGTCGTAGAGCGCACGAATAATCAGCTTGGGTGTGATCGTAGCTATTTCATTCTTCGAGTCTCGCTGGCGGTGGTGCGACAGCCTCTTTCCTTCGCCCTTGAACAGCCCCTTGAGCATCTTAGGTAACCTGGCTTGGGTGGTTAGCCGTCGGTTTATACTGAGGCGCCTGCAATGAAAAAGCTGCATTAAAGCTGTGATGACCGTGTGTACAGCGTCCAGCCCATGGCATTATTAAATTTATTTTGTTAAGCTCTAAAACAAACCATTCCCCCCCGCCGCCGCTTCGCCTGCCCTTACCCGTCGCTCGCTCCCCCACGCAATAGAAAAGCTGCTTAAGTAACTGGGCTCCCCCAGGAGCTGGTTTTTTTTCTTTTCATGCTAGTCTACGCTGCTGCCGTAACCGTGACTATTTTCGCCTGGCTTACGTATCGAACGCTCCCAGGTAATAATTTCGACATGGAGCTCCAGGTTGCGAAACAGGCAGTACGCACGGCATCTAAACTGGCCCACACGGTTGCTCAGCATCACATTTCGTCAATCTCTAAAAGCGACCAATCTCCCGTGACGGTGGCCGATTTCGGGGCCCAGGCGGTGATCATTTCCGCTCTCAAGCAGGCTTTCCCCGGTGACCCCGTTGTCGGCGAGGAGGACGCGGCTGCTTTGCGAGCAGACGACACGCTTGCCAACAAGGTATGGGCCTTAGTTAAAGAGGCAGCTCCCCATGACAAGAATTTGAGCGAGCGGACCAACTTATTTGCTGCCATTGATGCAGGAAACTATGCCGGTAGTGCCAAGGGCCGCCAGTGGGCTCTTGACCCAATTGACGGCACCAAGGGCTTTTTGCGCGGCGGCCAGTATGCTGTGTGCTTGGCCTTAATTGTAGACTCCCGCGTCGAGCTAGGCGTCATTGGCTGCCCCAATCTGGGCCCGCGCGGCGGTCTTTTTTCTGCCGTCCGAGGCAAAGGTGCATTCTGGGAGCCGTTGTTTGAGGAAAGCACGCCGGAAAAGATCTCTTTCCGTCACATTGAGTCTACCAAAGATGCGACTTTCTGTGAAAGCGTCGAGAGCGGCCATTCAGCCCTCGACACCCAGCTCAAGATTGCCCAGTCTCTGGGCATCTCGAATCCGCCAGTGCAGATGGATTCTCAAGCGAAGTACTGCTCCTTGGCCAAAGGTGATGCCGATATTTATTTACGACTCCCCGTTCGCATGGACTACGAAGAAAAGATCTGGGATCATGCGGCTGGCAACATCCTGATCACTGAGGCCGGGGGCGTTGTCACAGACATGAATGGCAACCTGCTTGACTTTGGCAAAGGCCGAACGCTCAAGGACAATAAGGGCGTTATCGCTGCTGCAAAGAGCATTCACAGCGACGTGCTGAAGGCAGTGCAGAAGGCACTTCTGTAGAGGCCCAGAGCAGGCAGAATAGGCACTAAAGATCACTGGGCACTCTCAGCGCCACATAGACCTGTAGGTTGTCGTCGGCTATTTGATTTCCGCTCTAAACGGCGTGCGTTTATTTTTTTTTCCAGTACGTGCCCCAGACAAGGATAGCGCATATACCCTAGCCCCCACAGCCCAGAGTCAGGGCGAGGGCCAGGCGTTGCTGCTGGCTGCTCAACCAAGTCCGTCAAAATAAACGAGAGCCACATAACAATGATAGACCGGTCAGATCAGAGTCGGCGGGCGCGATCCCAAACGGACAGCTATGCCGGCGACACAGACCACACCTCAATTTCAAGTAGCCAAAAATACGACTTAAACACATAAATACTGTGGTTTATTGCCCATTATTCTGCTGTTGTCAAGCGAACCTAACACCGCATACGCCAATTCTGCAGAGCAATGCCCTGGGCAACTGAAGAATTTCTGGTGGGAGGATTAGCGAGCTCGAAGATACCTGGAGGCTGCCGGGCACGTCAAACGGTCAGAACGGTAATGCGATGTTTGCACAGCATGGTTTGGGGGCCCTCAAATTCAAAAGAAGAGCAAAAAACGCGTGTTTCACGGCCTACAAAATAATTATTTGGCCTAGGCTACCCCACATTCTCACAATCGACAACCTAGGCGCGTGTGATGCATGCACTACCGTCTTCCGTGCCGGCCGATGCTGAAACCTAGTAAACCTGGCTGACTCATGAGGGCCACGGTCCCTGAGAGTCAAATTTGCATGCACCTGGCAGATAAAACAGCGTATCTGGAAATTGGCGACGGAAATAGAAGGGCCGGCGGGGTTTTGGAGCGCACCACACATCGCAGAGGCACACGCCGGGCCCAGTCAACACAAGCAAGCCGCCGTTTCGCCCGCTCCAATGCATCTGGCGGTCCCTGAAAAATCCTGTAAACGGCAGGTCGGGCATTCACGGGTAAGCAAGCAATGCTCACGCCAAACCTCGATCGCGAGCTTAACAAGACATAACCAATTGCAATTGCAATTGCATGCTATTTGAAAACTATTCGTGCGAGCCTGGCGCCCAGCTCAGCTCTGTCCCCCGCAACTCAACCCCCAGGGTAACCGCTCAAGGACACGTACAGCAGGGTTGTTCGAAACGGACCGCGATGACTAACCCCGGGGCGGCTGTAGATTCACGTGGAACGCCGAGAGCGGTTTGAAAAGTAGGTGTTGTAGAACGTTAGAGGGCTTGCTTTCTCCGAGGCAAAACAAAAATCTCACCGCCATTACGCCCAGGCCAATCAAACTGGAGCCCCACGGCCAGGGCATCGCTCCCGGTAACCGGTGCCTCCCGCGCTCAAACCTGCCCCCTGACGGGAATATCGTAGTACATATGCAGATCCTGCAGGCCAAGTAATTTGCATCGTTGCCTGCACTTTCATAAGCTCTACCGTAAATACACCTTTGCCGACGCAACCCGTCAAGTATTTTGGCTTGATTTTGTTACCATATTTCCTTCACGACTTTTGCGTTTGCAAATTGATTAAAGGAACTTGAGCACTGTTTGACTGGTGAATTAAGTTCTTTTTTCTTTTTTTGATTTTATTTTACTTTTCGTCCCCCGAGGAGACGTTGTTTTTTTTTATCGGCTTCGTCTTTGGCCCGTGTCATTGATATTAAGTTAGGACTTTTGTCTGGTGTGCCAACGAGATAAAAGTTATTCCTTTTGGTTGTTTCTTGCCGCCAAAAAAACCCATCTCTCCACATATCTGCCTAAGGCCGACATTGCTGTTTTTGGGCTCCACCACCAACGCGACAAACAGTATCTAGAACTGTTGCGACAAATCTTTTCAGTTAATTAGTTGACACCAGGTCAACTATACATTTTATTCTACTTCCCGAACTCCGGTCTCTTTCGCCTAGGCGTGTTTGGTACCAGAGCCCGTTCACCTTGCTTGATCAGGTTTTTTTCGCAACTTTAAACTTTGGACTATTTCATTTAAATAATGGTGTCGAGTGGTGCTTCGTCGAGTATATCGTCAGAGGCCTCTTCCGATTCCATATCACCGGCGGCGAAGTTTGTGCCCATCCGACCTGCCTTCCGCCCATTGCTGCCCAAGCCCTCCCCGGCCACAGGCTCGGAGCCGACAGTAGTGCTAAAGTCACATTCGCGGTCCACGCCAAAGCTGATGAAAAAACGCAAGTCCGACACTGGACCTCTAGCAAATACAGTTGCTCCGTCCTCGCTTGTGTCTAAGCGCCGCAAGTCTCCGCCGCCGAGCGGCCTGGTCGACCATTCGCGGCCCCGCCGCAGGAACACCAGCGATTCGCGGAGCGACGACGACGATCTCTCGTCAAAAGAGGGCTCAGCTTCGCCGATAGACTCAAAGGGCCTGGTGTCCCCACCTCTCACGGCGTCGGTGTCCTCCTCGACTCTGTCGATGCTGTCGAACAACGACGACTTTGACGGCCTGCTGTACTCGGCCGCAGCGGCCAAAGCCACCCTTAGCGGTCTCTCAAAAACCAAGCCGGTTCTAGTGCCTGCGTCGCCGCCCTGCTCCGAGCAGTCAGACATCAAAAACGCCGACGTCTTGCTGACGAGCACCACCACGCTTGATGCGTTCATGGAGCCATTGCATGATTTGACTCTGGACACTGCCCACCAGTCCTCACTGGCATCGCCCTCGGAACAGTTTGACGCTCTCGAGGGCATCAACTTTGAAGACCTTGACGTCGGAGCGTTCTTGGTCCCGGATCAAACCAACGACGCCGACGCAAACGGCTTTGATCCCATGGAAATCTTTGGTCCCCGTTTGGATATATTTTGAGTCGGGGCCCGCGGCCGTCCCTTCCTTTATTTTATGAATCATGAAAAAGAAAAACAACATCCCTACCAAATCTCCATCCAACAGCACCAGCACCCAGCTTGCTGCGTTTGTTTTTATCTCCTATTACTATCTATTCTGGAGTCAGTCACCGGTCGCTCTCTGTATAATTTATTTTGTGCGACTTGCATAGAAATACATAACGTTATTAAAAGTGACTTGTCCGTCCTCCTACCTTTTTAAACGCTTCAATAAATCAACGCCACTTGTTCGTGGCAGTACGTCCTGGATGTAGTAGATCAAATGGGTGGCTAGCAATGCAATGGCGTTGGCGCCAAAGTAGGTCCGGTCGAACATGGTGAGCGACGAAAACAGCAGGCGGAAAAGCGTCTGGTAGAGCATGACCATGTGCCCGCGGTAATTTTGCCTGAACTCCAAGTAGTTTAGGGCTAAAAGGAACGGCTGCGAGGCAAACGGGTAGCCGGACACCGAGCAGGCCATCATGGACACAATGCCCAGCACGCAGAGCACTAGCAAGTACGATCTGGAGTTCCGATAGTACATTGTCTCGAGCCACGAGCTCGACGACAGCACATCCGGCAACGTCACTATGAAGATAATCAGTCCTCCGCAATAAAACAGCGACCCGAGCCGCCAAGCGTCTCCGCTCAGTATGCGGGACATCTGGAAGACCACATGCCGTTCAGAAAGCAAATTGAGATTCACGCTAGCCGAAACTGCACCAAGTAGAATCACCAATGCACTCGTTACTGGTGGCCGGTGTGCAAAGTCCATTCTCTTTAGATGAGGTCGGTGGGTTCGCTCTGACACATCAGGCCGGAGGTTGGCGGTCGCTTGCCCGGGGATAATGGAAAGTAGGGGCAATTAGTTGGAAAGCCGAAATGATTCGTCGTGTTTGGGCATGTATAATTGAGTGACGAGCGAGTCGTTGAACTGCGTGCACTGTGAATAGCAGGCCATGCCGATATTGACGGATCAGGAAAATTGTTCAAAGATTTCCTGGCAGCATCGATTTACATGCACTTGGTTATTTAAAAAAAACAAGATCATAATAGACTGAGTGATTCAGATCAAATGCATTATGCTGCCAACGACGCCATCGCTACACTGACACATCACCGCGATGCCAGGTCCACCCGATGCAGTTAATGGCATGGAAGATGTAGTGACTGCGCCGTTCAAGTATTTGGAAAAGGCGCCCGGTAAAGATTTACGGAGCTTGCTGATAAACGAGTTCAACAAGGCGCTCGAGGTGCCACCCGAACCTCTAGAGGTGATCACCCGGATCATCAAAACTTTACATACCGCCTCCTTACTTGTTGACGACGTCGAGGACTCTGCGACGCTACGTAGGGGATTGCCTGTCGCGCATGCTATCTATGGGATCCCGCAGACCATCAATGCCTCGAACTACATGCTTTTTGTGGGTCTGCAGGACGCCCTGACGCTTGGCATCGACGCAGTAGCGATTTTTACCGAAGAAATTAAAAACTTGCACATGGGCCAAGGCATGGATCTGTACTGGCGTGATAACTACCACTGCCCATCTCTTGAAGAGTATATCCAAATGGTTCTAAACAAGACTGGGGGCCTGTACAGAATGGCAGTGCGTCTTATGCAAAGCCAGAGCTCGGAGTCGATTGATCTCGTTCCCCTAGCCAATGATCTGGGTGTGTTGTATCAAATTCAAGACGATTTCCTCAATTTGCAGAGCGCCAAGTACACTACCAACAAAGGCTTTTGTGAAGACCTTACTGAGGGCAAGTTCTCGCTGCCAATTATCCATTCGATCAGAAGCGACGAGACCAACAGCGAGCTCCTGAATATACTGCGTCAAAGAACAACAAGTATGTCGTTAAAGCGACACGCTCTGGAGTACATGGAGTCCACGAACAGCTTCGAGTACACGCGCCAACTGATGAAGCAGTACGAATCGCAGGCACGTGACCACATCAACGAACTGAATCTTACTTTTCTACACGATTTAATTGACAAATTAGTTCTCGTTTAGTTGCATTAATTTATTTCACTCCCCCCCTCCTCGACGTGACGTAATGCCTAATCCTGCCGGCGCGCTTCTACGGGCATTTGACAACCCGCAATGGCAGTGGCTGTTGAGATATTTGGTAGTTGGATTTGCGATTTGCATTGCAGCCTCTGTGGGTCTCGGGGGTTACTCCGGTATGGGGGTTCCGCCCATGTACGGTGATTTCGAGGCGCAACGACATTGGCTTGAAATTACGCAGCATTTGCCGCCCAAGCAGTGGTATTTCTACGACCTGCAGTGGTGGGGACTCGATTATCCTCCACTAACTGCCTACCACTCGTGGGTTCTTGGCAAAGTTGGGTCCTGGATCAACCCGGAATGGTTTGCATTGGACTCTTCAAGGGGCTACGAAAGCGCAGCCCTGAAAGCATTTATGCGGCAGACAGTGCTCGCTTCAGAGGCTCTAACCTATCTTCCAGCAGTCTTTTTTTATTCTTTACAAGCCAGGGAGCTTTTTGATCTGCCTGTGCTTGACTGGGCCCTCCAGCTGGGCACAGTGCTACTGCAGCCTACCTTGTTGTTGGTCGACAATGGACATTTCCAGTACAATTCTGTGATGCTTGGACTTTTTGTGTTCAGTCTTTACTTTTTAGGCTCAAAACACCTTGTGCCAGCCTCGATTTGCTTTGTGTCTGCAATGTTTTTCAAGCAAATGGCTCTTTACTATTCACCGGTTATCTTTTTCGCAATCCTTGGCTGCACCACGTCAATTAGGCCGCTGAATATCAAATTCGGCTCACTTGTTGCAGTAGGAACCACAGTCATTGTAACCTGTCTGCTGCTTCTGTGCCCATTCTTGCAGAAAGACCTGCTAGCTCAGCTAGTCATTCGCGTCTTTCCCTTCTCCAGAGGCCTATGGGAGGACAAAGTGGCAAGTTTATGGTGTACCGCCAACACATTCATCAAATTCAAAGTGCTGTTTTCCGATGCTCAATTGCGACAGTTTGCGTTGATAGCTACACTGGTTGGTATGTCACCTTCCTGTATCCAAGCATACCGTCGTCCTACTAAAACGGTTCTACCGTGGTGCTTTGCCTCTTGTTCCTGGGCTTTCTTCTTATTCTCCTTCCATGTCCATGAAAAGAATGTGCTGCTGCCATTGATGCCTACGACATTGCTGTTTTTCACCAGCGATCAAACCACCCGCGCAATGGTCGCCTGGATCAACAACGTTGCCTACTTCTCCATGTGGCCGCTCCTGAAACGCGATGGACTGGCCTGGCAGTACTGTATTGTGGTGATCTTGTGGAACTATCTCTTTGGGCTGTGGAAAGCCCAGCCCACTCGCATATTTCACCAACTCGTCGTGGCCGGCTCGTACGCGGCCATCGGACTTGTGTGCATCACTGAAAAATTTGGCCTCATGCCAATGCTCGACAAGTACCCGGACCTTTGGACTGTGGCTAATATTACTATCAGCTTTGCATGCTTTGTTTACTTCTGGCTCTGGCAAACTGTGGCCATGCTCTTGACTAAATAAATATATCAGTAAATGTGCTCTGCAAGCGAATCGCTTATCGTCTGATCTAGAACGGCGAATTATCACAGGGCTCTGTTCTTCTGCGTCGGGCCATTTTTGCGAATAAAGAACTAGTCACTATTCGCTGGTTTTATCCGACGGGTGGTTTGAATATGAAGAACTTTTTTGCCCTGACAAACAGTTATCCACCACCGTTAGCTTATGTAACCCCACCAGCGGAACGGGCGGGGCAGCCGACGCGCACGCGTAATATCTCTTTTTCCAAACTTTAATACCTATAGCGAAAAGATAAATAGCCCTTCTATCATTCGGGGGGAGGAGACTCGCTGCTGATGCGGTGTTCAAATAGGAAACGACTCGGTCCTGGGTAGCCCTCGCTGACTTTGGCACTCCAGTAAGTTAATCTGCGCTCCAGGCTTTCCTGCTGACGCTCCAACTGCTTGCAAAGTTGATCTAAGCGCTGTAATGACGCCAACTCCTGGTGTGGGCTTTCTGTGTCTGTCGAAAGACTGTTTTCGTCGTGAGCCAGAGGCAGGTTCGGTGTCGAATTATGGGCAATAAAACTGTATCTTTTCGATAATCTCATAGTGGCTGTGACAGGTTGCTACTATCCCAAACCTTGTTTGAGTTATTTTCTGGGTCTGTGAAACAGCTTTATATACCACTATGAAATATAAGGGTCCGGGTGGTACCGACTGGGGGGTCCACCGTAGAACCACTGTGACATGTCATTCTGGTTGCATGCGATCCATGGCAAAGACGAGAGTGAACTAGCAGTTGATCGAGTATTTAAGGTTGTAGGTGGGGTCGAATAAACTAAAATTGGACGCCACAGGGCTACCGTCCAACCCAGATTCATAGAACCATCGCACCCGTGGAGAAAGGTTTGGTTGATCTTTACAAATCCAGCTGGTTAGAAACTCGTTGCTCACCCGCTCATACTCGACATCGTCTTCGACTGTAGGCCATCCAATTCCAGTAACAAGGAGCTCCTTGTCTTTCAGTTCACGGGCTACGTTTGACAGATCATGGGCGATCCAATGGCTAGTTTGTTTGGGCGACGACCCAAAATGCTCTGCTGAATAGTTGATTCCAATTATCTCGAGCAAATTCAAAAGGTCTCTGCTCCAAACTTCGAAGGTTGGATGAACACTAACTTCAACTCCGGGCAGTCTGACTGCGAGGTTGCGCTGTAGATAAATCACATAAAACTCGACTTCACTGCAGGTCATGTCGATACTTGGCCTGAGTAGAATAGTCTGGACAATTTTAGGAAAAGCTCTCGCCAGCTGAATTGTGTCATTAATCGCAGTCACTGCATCGTGTTCCTTGGGTGACAAGGCACACACCAACGTTACACTAAGATCGAGTTTGAGATCAGAAATCAATCCAAGCACTTCTTCTTTGGTGGTCTCACACTTGGAGGTATCAAGAAGTATATACTTGGTGTGGAGCGCCAATGCGGCGAGCTGTCGTGCTAGGTCTTGTTGGCTGCTGCTACACCGCGGCTCGTACCGCAATCCGTAAAACTTGTAATCCGAGCTGGAATCCAAAAGCGATACTAAAACTGGATCATGTTGGTCATAATTCATCACTGGGTGAGGAGTGTTTACAACGCTTGCACCAAGAGGCAAATTACCTTGAACACCCATCTCCGAGAGTACTCTAATCAGATGACTGCGAACCGCGACCAAGTACACCATCATCACAAAGCACGGAACAAGTATTGCAATCAGTGACACAATCGCACCAATTAAAATCCGGCGCTGCTTTTTCAAATGTGCGAGCGCACCAATGTCGTCTTCGGGGCTGCTATCGCCATCACTCTCAATAGCCTCTTTCTTCAGCACATCAATAGGCAGAGGCGACTGGCCGTCTGAAAACGGCGAGTCGGCGCAGTTCTCTAGAACAACAGGTGTCTCTGACAGCTTCAAACTCTCCGGTGGAGAGAAATCGAACGTGTCAAGATTTTCCACTGCCTTGGCCAACTCGGCCTCTTTCGCCTCGTCTACAGGCGGCTCAACCTGAAACTCGAAAGGATTGGAGCATGCGCGCGATTTGTACTTGTCTGCAATGGGTGTTACATCCCCTGAATCCTCCGGATCAGCTTCCTGAACTTTTAACGAAGACTTTGTTGACGAGTTATCCTGAGGTTCATCACCAGCTTCGCCGTTGTCTGCAGGTGTTGGGGGGTCAACCGTTACTACGTCTTCTTCGGGCATTTGGATTGTGCCACTTAAGCTTCTTGATTATATACAAGCCAGCTACCGTCAAGTAAACTCCGTGGTGCCCACAACAATAGGAGCCATCGTTTGTGGTGCTTCGAATTGTATAATTAGCATAGGTTTCTGTCTGCTTGAGCGTCTGCATGAGGACGCATGTTCGACGGCTGTTACATTCCAAACTTTCAGTATGTTGCCAATCTGACCTGCACGTTATGCATATTTTGCCAGAATACGGGTTTAGATTCTCGTCGTTTCTCTAGTTTATTTATTGCCATTATTGGTTTCGCGAGTGCTTAACGCTATGCATTTCCCTACTGTTATGCTCGCTGTGGGCAAGGGTGGGGGTAAGGCCTGCATCAATCAAAACAAGAAAACCGTCGCCGCTATGTACACATTCTGTATCGCGTAAACACCTCTTCTCCAACTTCTGAGCCCACCAGCCAAAAATGAGCGATTCGAAGTGGGTCTGGATCCCAGACAAGGCGTCCACCTTTGCTATGGCCGAGTTGATTAAAGAGGAAGGCAGTGTAGCGACGGTAAAAGGGCCCTCAGGAACGCTAGAGGAATTGCCGCTGGCCCAAATCGACAAAGTGAACCCGGCTCAGTTCGATCGCGCCAACGATATTGCAGAGCTTACTTTCTTGAATGAGGCTTCTGTACTACACAACTTGAGCGCTCGCTATTCCCACGACGAAATCTACACATACTCTGGCCTGTTTTTAGTGGCTGTTAATCCTTACAAGAACATTCCAATTTACGATGAAGAGGCAATCAAAAAATACGAGGCGAAGCGGCGTGAAGAAGCCGCCCCACACATTTATTCCATTTCAGACGTCGCTTATCGCCAGCTGCTTCAAACCAAGCACGATCAAAGTATCCTAATTACTGGCGAAAGCGGTGCAGGTAAAACGGAGAACACGAAACGAGTGATCCAGTATTTGAGTGCCATCACAAGCAAGAATAACCTCGACGGAATCGACAAACGGATCTTGGAAACCAACCCGGTGCTTGAATCTTTTGGTAATGCCCAGACGGTACGCAATAATAACTCTTCGCGGTTCGGCAAGTTTGTGAGAATTGAGTTTTCAGATGCAGGTGCAATCTGTGGTGCTTCCATTGAATGGTACCTACTCGAAAAGAGTCGAGTGATCACCCAGTCCGCCGCTGAGCGCAACTACCACATTTTCTACCAACTATTATCGGGCGCTTCTAGCAACCTGAAAGATAAACTGCTCATATCTCATACCGAGAAACCTGCAGATTTCGCCTACCTCGCGAAAAGCGCCCATTCTATTGATGGGGTCGATGATGCTCATGATTTCAAGCGCCTGTTGGAGGCCTTCAAAACTGTCGGTATGTCTGAAGACGAAACAAATGCAATCTTCGTCATCGTTGCTGCGGTTCTTCATCTCGGCAATATTGAGTTCAAGAATGAGTCTTCCGACCAAGGACGTTTCGGCAATGCCGCCCAAGTGGAAAAAGTTTGCAAGCTTTTGGGCTTGTCCCCTGACCTGTTCACAAAAGCTGTACTTAAACCTAAGATCTTGGCTGGTCGTGAGGAGGTGGTACAAGCTCGATCAAGTACCCAGGCCAAGCTTTCTATTGATGCACTTTCTAAAAGCCTCTACGAACGATTGTTTGGTCATCTCGTGTCATTACTGAATGCTAAGCTCAAAGGTGGTGCTCAAAATGCCACTTCATTTATTGGTGTCTTGGATATTGCCGGTTTCGAGATCTTTGACACAAACTCTTTTGAGCAGCTGTGCATCAATTACACAAATGAGAAACTTCAGCAATTCTTCAACCATCACATGTTTGTTCTCGAACAGGAAGAATACGTTGCTGAAAAGATCGAGTGGGATTATGTTGACTATGGCGCCGACTTACAGCCCACAATTAATCTTATTGAAAAAACTAATCCCATGGGTATCTTTAGCTGCCTGGATGAAGACTCGGTTATGCCCCGAGCGACTGATGCTACGTTCACGGACAAATTGGCTGAGCGCTGGAAGGATAAGAACCCTAAGTTCCAACCAAGTCGCTTGGCCAAGGGCTTCGTCGTGTCGCATTATGCTGGTGATGTCGAATATCAGACTGATGGCTGGTTGGAGAAAAACAAAGACCCTCTTAGCGAGCCAATCACCGAGCTTTTGCAGGTATCTTCCAACAAGTTGGTAAAACTCCTTTTTGCCCAAGCGCCAACTTCAGAAAGTGCCTCTCGTCGCCGTAATAGCATGCTTCGCACAGTTGCCCAACGTCACAAGGAACAACTGAGCCACCTCATGTCAACGTTGAGTAAAACAAACCCCCACTTTGTTCGTTGTATCATTCCCAATAAAGAGAAAAAGCCTGGTAAACTTCTGAACGCTCTTGTTCTAGATCAGCTTCGATGTAACGGTGTTCTGGAAGGTATTCGTATCGCACGCAGCGGTTTCCCTAACCGTCTTGATTTCGCGGATTTCAGAGCTCGCTATCAGCCACTGGCGGAGAACCCCGACCGTTTCGAATATGTTGATGGTCAAAGAGCGTGCTCGATGATTCTAAAGGATCTTAATTTCGATACCAGTCTCTACAAAGTCGGTCTGTCAAAGGTATTTTTCAGGAATGGTGTTCTCGCAGAGCTTGAGAGCCGACGTGATGACCTGATTAAAGAAAAACTTACAGCCATCCAGTCAATTATTAGAGCAAAATCTGCGCGGAAGCTGTATGAGAGGAGCCTGTTCCGCAGAAATGCCGCGGAAATAATTGCCAAGACATTTAAAACATACTCTGCGAATGTGGACGACCCTTGGTGGCAGATGCTCGCGAGTATGAGACCTTTGTTGACCTCAGCCACCTCTCTTGAAGCCAACCGACGTGACATGCGTATACAAAAGCTTGAAGAAACCCTTCAAAAGCTTCGTCAAGAACATCAAGAATTCGAGAAAATGTCCTCCTCAAAAGCAACTGCCCTCGTCGGAGAGAATGACTCGCTGCGTGGAGAGAAGGCTAAGCTGGAAGAAAAGCTTGAAAAGGCTTCTAAGAAGCAGAAGATGTTGGCGGACCAGTTAAAGGAGGGTGCGGTAATGATCCAGACCTTGAGTGCCCGACCCGAACAAGATCAGTTGGATTCGATCCAAAAGAAGTATAATGATCTTGATTCTGTGCACCAAAAGCTGGTTAGCGATCATAAAGAGCTTGAAATCGATATCAAGCGCTTGAATACCCAAATCTCAGAGCTGCACGTAGCCCACTCAGATGCACTAGCCGAGCGCGACAACCGACTCTCATTGTTGGAAAAGGAGCTGGCGGCTCTTCGTGGAGATTCAAAGGCTCTTGCATGTTTAAAGGCGGAGCTTGAAACTGCCAAGGCTGCTATTGACGAACGGACCAAGGCACTCGCTCAGCAGAAGGAGACTCAAAAGTCCGAACTCACTAAAGTAGCTGAGCTTCATCAAGGTGAACTTCAGGGACTGACGGCATCCCATCAGACAGCGATGGGTTTGCTCGCCAAAGAGCATGCTGAAGCCGTTGAAAAGTTGAAGGAGCAACATCTGGCTGAGATGAACAAACTTCAAACCCTTCTCAAGGAGCAAGAAGAGTCGCATTCCAAAGCCACTGCTACGCTCATGGAAAGCCATGAAGCGAAACTAGCTGAAGCTGTAGCATCTGCCAGTGCTAACAAGTCTATTGAGAATGAGCTCGTGCAGGTTAAAAACCAGCTTGACGAAGTGTGTGGAAAACTTGCAACTGCCGAAAAGGAGGCTTCATCCTCGAAATGTAAACTTCTCTCTTTGAATCAAAACCTCGCTGATAAAGAGAACACTCTGGCAAGGGTCAAGACTAATGCAGGCAGAGCGGCTAATGAACTGCTTGCAGCACACAAAGAGATTGAGGATTTGAAGAAAGCCAGCGCTGATATCAGCGAGCTTGAAGCGATCAAGGCTTCTAAGAAGCAGCTCGAAATGGACCTGCATATTGCGACCGTTGAGCTCGAAACCTATCGCAAGAACACCAAGACCGAATCGACCAAGCTCAAGCTGGACAAGCAGCGCCTTGAGAAAGAGGTGGAAAACCTACGCATAGGGTTCAACCAGCAGAGCAATCTGAAACGCGACCTTGATCGCAAAAGCGCACGCATTGGTCTCGTGGATGATCTGGAACAAACCAACGCTGACCTCGAGATTGAAACGAACCAGGTTAGAGCTGATCTTGCAAATGCCAAGCAAGAGATCCAGTCTTTGCGCAAAGAGCTTGCTCAAGCCGCGGTATACAAGCAGCGGCTTGAAAAGGTTCAGCGGGAAAAAGCTGCGGCTATGGAAGCCAACAGTCGACTCATGTTCAGTGCCCAAAACAACAGTAATATTCCTAAAGAGCTGGAGCTCGAGCGGGCTAAAGCGTCCGAGGCTAAGAAGTTGCAGAGCGAGATCAAGGTGCTGAAGCTGCAGCTGTGCAAGAGCGAACGCGAACGTAAGGTTGCCGAAGCACGATATCCCGAGGCCCAACTTCTCGCAGAAAGGAATCATGCGGTGAGGTCTAATCTCGACTTGCAAGAGAAGGTCAAGCAGCTGGAGTTTGATAAAGCCCAGCTCAAAGATCAGTTGACTATGATTCGGCCGTCGAGTACGGAGCGTAAATCAAGTCTCAAACTTCAGCGAGAACTCAAATACGCTCAAAATGAGATTGACAGTCTCAAGTCTGAGCAACGCGGTGGTAACCTGCACGTCCCCAAGCAGCGAGCTTTGAGAACCATGTCTGGAAACGAGCAGCATTCCGGTTCACGCAAGCTTCCGGTTATCCCGTCTTCTGAGGACCATATTCAGGCCGATCTTGAGGTGTATCTGGAGACCCAAATCAGTCGCAACAAGGAGCTCTCTGAGTCTGTTGAGCTGTATAAGAAACGCAGCGAGGAGTTCCGCAACAAGCTGGAGGGAGTTGAGGTGATTGTACGACAGGCTCAGCTCGCCGAGGAGAGTGCCAAAAAGCAGCTTCTCGAACAACGCCGTAAAGCAGCTGCTATGGAAGCCGACTACGAGTCTGAGCTTAAGGTGGTGCAGAGTGGTATCGACCAGCTCCGCAAGGAGCTTGCCGCGCGCCAGATAGAGCCTGCTTCCAAGGACACTATAACCGCCTTGACTCCTGAGCAAGCTCTGGCAATGAAGACTACGGTGGACGAGCTGACTGCCGAGCGCGAAAGATTGTTGGCCGATAAACAGAGGCTGGAGAAGCGGGTCACAGAGCTGGGAGTTCCCCGGGGACCGACGGGCCAAAACATGGTATCTCAGCTGCAAGAAAAGCTTTTGGCGACCCAGAACGACTGGAAAACCCAGCAGCGGTACGCCAATGACTTGCGCTGGCAGGTCGAGCGTAAAGAAAAGCTTGTCGAGAAACTGCGCAGCACTATTGCTGAAGGGGACATGAACTCGGAGCAGTTGCGGGAGAAGATCGACGAGCTCGAAGCAAACGACGCTGCTCGAGAAGTCGCCATGCGTCGGGCAATTCGCGAAGCTAATGAGGCCAGAGAGCAGAAGCTGCGCCTGGAAAAAGAGCTCGAAAACCTCAAGACGAGAATGGAACTCTCGCGGAACGCATCCCGTGTGTCCCGCGCCTCGGTCGCTTCTAAATCCGGCTTCGTCTTTGTCTAGTTGTTTGTATAAATTATTTCATGTCTTAACATTCTGTACTTTTCATCGCCAGCTTGGGAGAGACAAGGTTTGTCATGAGTAGTCGCACTGAACGAGCGTGCATGGTGTGCGGGATCATCCAGCCGTTTCGAGACTTTGTTGGACATGGTTGCCCCAACTGTGAGAGTTTGCTGCCTTTTAAAGGGGATGACAGCGTTGTGATGGACTGCACGAGCCCGTCGTTCGAGGGCTTTGTCGCACTCTGTGACCAGGAATCGTCGTGGGTCGCCAAATGGCTGCGTATTGACGGGTTTCAGACGGGAATGTACGCTGTGAAAGTTAACGGAAGATTGCCCGAAGACGTCGTCAGGGCCTTAACCGACAAGGGCATTGTTTACCGGCCACGAGATGGCTCTGTGCAAGACTGAGCGTATAAGGGGTTTTTTATTGTATCTGTACATTAATTTTATTTAGAACTGACGGTGGGGTCGGCCGTAGGGTAGTCTGGTTGCACTCGGATCGGCAGATACTTGTCCATCAACGCCGTCTGGACAAAGGAAAAGGCGTTGGAAGAGAGCCAGTAAAGACCAATTGCCGAGGGAGCCTGGAAAGCCATTGCCATAAATAAGACACAGCCGAATCGAGAAAAATTAATCAATGCGGCCGCCACGGAGGGGCCCTGGCTATTTGTGGGAAGGGCTCTAGAATGCAGCTCGACATTACCCAGCGAAAAAGCACCGACGGCCAGAGGGAGAATACCGTAATTGTCAGGCCGGTCAAGGCTCTGGATCCAGCCAAAGCCCTGTTCTGTGAACCCCTGTTCCAAAGGAATGCTGTCTAAAACAGACCAGCCGCACATCGATCTTAGTGTCAGGGACATTGCGACGAAAAGAGGTATTTGGATAGCTGGTAACAGCAGCATCCGCCAGTTCTGGCATTTGGCTTCCTTGTACAATGAAATACGCTGTTTTCGCCGCTCTTTAGTCGCTAGTACACCAATTTGTTCTGCAGTCAGCTCGTGACGTTTGGCCGCCGCTCCAGCAGCTAGCTGGGCCTTGAAGACAGGAACCATCGCCTGTAGTAATGGAGCGAGCTTGGCTTGTTTCTGGGCTCGTTTGCGGTTCAGAACTGCCAAAGGAGTCGTCAAAGCCAGCCGGAGTCCGATGGTGGTCAACGGGATCAGAACCGGCCACGAGAGCCCAGTAAACTGGTGAAGGGACGTTAATGCTGTATGAACAGGAACAAGGTACTCTGAAAAGCTTCGTTGCAACTTCACAGAAGCAAATCGGCTGCCGCCAGAGCCTGGCCTGATCCGAAGCATCCTGGTGATTAGGTTATCGACTGCGATATTTAAGAGTGAAATATTAGAGTAGACGGGTTTGTTGGTTATTTTTCCTCCACAGTAGCACCGTCGCAGCAGTCCAAGAGTTTCCATGTGCATTCGACGCCCTCGGCATTGAAAGCGCTTACAATTTCCTCTGCAATAGCGTCAAAGTTCTCGGTGGCCAAGGCCAGCACTGTGGGGCCTGCACCAGACAGGCAGACGCCGACAAAGCCCTTGTGGGTACGAGGAGTCATGAACGTCAGGATTGTGGCTAAACCGGGAACCAAGATGCGACGGTACTTTTGGTGGAGGCGGTCCTGCATGGCCAGATGCACGAGCTCTGCATCAACAGGAGAGCGGCCCAAAGCGGGAATAAGAACAGACAGTCTCTGCAAATTGAAGATGGCATCCTGGCGAGTATATGCAGTAGGCAAGACGTCACGGCTTTTGGCCGTAGACACCTCGAATGCCGGGATGACGGCAATGGCCTTGAGCTCAGGAGCCAGATCGTAGCTCATTTGACGAGAAATCCCAACAGGCGGCTCGGGAGGAGTAAGTCCAGTATCGACGCCGCCGCTTGGCTCAGGGAGAACCTCAGCAACCGGGATCTCGACCCGCTCGAGCTCAGTGCCCGAAAGCTCGCGCAGGAAGGAGCCGACAAACCCTCCAAACATGGCGGCCGAAATATTGTCCGGATGACGCTCAATCATCAGTGCAAAGTCCATGAGACGTTCTTTGGAAAGATCAAGCTGGCCCACGGCATTTCCGAGCATAACACCGGCGATAACCGCAGCACCGCTCGAGCCAAGGCCACGGCCGAGAGGAATATCATTGTTGATATGAACCTTGGTACCAACAGGGAACGTACGCATACCGTGGCAGCGCAAAATGTACAAGGCAGTTCGAGTAATGAGGTTCGCGTCGGCAGCAGTAGGCAGCTGCTCAGCACCCAAGCCGGAGTTCGTGACCTCACAGTTCAGCGGCACGTTGTTAGCATTCTTGTGGTCAATGGTCACCTCAATAGTGAGGTACAGGCTCAAAGCGATACCGAGCACGTCAAATCCAGGCCCAATGTTGGCACTGGATGCAGGCACGCGAATAGTAAACTGTCTCATGATGAGTCAATATGAGAGCGTTGGCGGGGTTTGGTGTTTATGTTCTTGAGCTAAAAAAAAAAAGAGGAAGGCCAGCTCTGTCACAGAAATAAATAGTCGTAAATAAAAACAAAAAAAGGTCGTGCTCCTCTCCAACTATCACCCCTTACTCCGCTGATAGTACGGCCAACGGCATCCTAGACCTGACTCAGCATGATCTCTGGGCTCGAGGCCTATATCCGAGACAGCCAGTTGGCCAGTAAAGTTGACCTCACGGGCTCTGTTGTTGGTGTATCTGGGGAGCTCTTGGCTGAGATCTCTGTAGACGCGCTGGCGGCAGCAGCCGAGGCCCGTAACTTCACCGTTGTTGTTGTTTTCGATGGCCCTTCTCGACCTACTCCAGCCAGAGTAAACTCCACAGCCACATTCGGCCATCTAGCGGAGTTAAAGAACCGTGGAATCAAATTCCTAGTTGCTCCTGGCGTGGCAGCTGCCCAATTATCTTATATGTATCGCGAAGGATTCGTGACCCATATTGCCGCTGCCGATGATTGCGTGCTGTTTGGCGACGCACCGATTGTTGTTGGCTTGCTCAGTGAGCCCAAAGTAGTTTCGTTTACCAGCTTGGTTCAATCAACTCCTTTGTCACCCCAGGACTTTGCAGAAGTCTGTATCGGTGCTGGATGCGCACTCATTCCGGAACGTTGCCCCTTGTACGATCTCTCAATGAACCCGATCAAGGCTGGTCTGAAAGTGGCACAAGTAAGTGGTGGCTCTGTCTTCCGCACCGTCACGCAGCTCGATGTCGATTATGCGGGTCGTTTCCAAACCGCTCTGGCTGCTATCAACTGGCAGCCGGTTCTCAACGGCAACGGCATGACAGAGCTGTTGAACCTTCGCAAGTTGCCCGAGCCTCAAGACCTTCGTACACTCATTGGCTTGAGATTACCCGACGAGTATAACTATTATCTTTCCAAAGGACTGGTTAGCACTGAGCTCCTGCGCGGGCTAGTTTGGGGTTGGGTAGCCGACGATGCGTCAAATGCCCGCGGAGTTCCCCAAGCAGACTATAATGCTTTACAAAAGATTTTAAGCCCTTTGCGGGGTGCGGCTTTGGATTGGCTGAGCTCTGCCATCAACCGCTACTTCCAATTCAGCAAAGTATCCGATCGGACTCCCGGCTGTTCAGTCTTGGACCGTAAACGAATTGCGCCTCTCCGGTCCGAACAACTGTCAACTCCTGAGTTAGTACAGCAGGAGGTAGTCTCACAAGCACAAAAGGTTTCTGGGGCAACCTCTGTCGAGGAGTTGCTAAAGAAGGCCGGAGTGTCTCCTACTCCACAGCTGGAAACCAGTGCTAAACTAGCGTTGAGATGGCTGGCCGAAGCCATCCACGTAGCCCTGATGGCAACAGGAGCTAGTAAAGAGCCTATTTCAGGTTGGCCGTAAACGCCAATTTGTAAAAAAACGGGTGACCGCCTTTAGATAACTAAAAAGATTTATGAGCCAAATGTTAGCTTGCACGCTGCTGCTGATTGATAAAGCGCTGCTGTACAAAAAAAAAGAGGCACAAATATAAGAATCCGAAGGATATTGTCGACACCATAAGATAAAAATAAAGGGGGGTGGAAGCTGTGAAGGTCAAGCACAATCATGAAAGGGCAAATAAAAAGAAATAAAGAATATCATTGATCGTTGCTTGTCAACACATTAGCATTCCGTGATTGATCTAGTGAGTCCCACACAAACGGGCTGCGGTTACGTGTGACATCCTCCATGCGATTATCTTCTGTGGCTAGTCGCTCAATCCGCTGCGGGGGTTGGAGGATTTGTGATGTTACCTGTTCAGCCTCTGGCGTGGTCTGCTGGGACTCGGCATCCATACGAGGCAGTGATGCCTGCGTGTGAGAAGGCAAAATAGAATTTGCTCGAGCTGGTGAAGGTTGACCGGCCGCAGTGGTCTGGCCAGAGCTCTGAGGTCGCAGCTCGTTCACAACTGTAGAGCGGGAACTCGCTGAGGTGCTGCTGTTCACGGGCGCACACCAGTGACGGTGGTACGTCCATGCCTGCAGCTGGCACTGCTTGGAGCAGTACTTGGTGCGCTTGCAGCGACGGCATTTAGCGAATTGTCGAGGATATGACTCCCAACGTGCGCATTCAAAGTTGGCACATTGGCGAATGCCTCGAGCCTCATCTTTGCGGCAGGAGTTTCGCATAATGATTCCAGACCAGTAAGGAACCTCGACAGGTTCTCGTCGAGCAGTGAACTTCTCGACAAGAGGGAAAATATTTAAATGTTCAGTCTTGAACTCATCGTCCATGTCGTCAGTATTTTCGAAATCATAATTATCATAGTCACGGCAAGGTTCAATCTCCATGTCTTGTTCACTAGCAAACTCGGCCCGCAACAGCACGGGGCTCTTGGGGTCACGAGCAGATAGCTTAGGGACCAAGTGAGTAGACTGTAAAAGCGGCCGCAAATAAGTATATTTCGAAACAAAAGCAAGGATTTCCAAGCTCCAAATGACGTCCTCCACGCGAGGAAGCAGAACGCCATCCTTAAATTTGCGAGGGGGGGACAGCGACATCGCCTGCGACGAAGTTGTCGACAATTGAGACTGGATACGAGCGTTGTTTAGCACGCCAGCAAGCTGCTGAGATACAAACTGCTCGGCACGAGACATGACAGCGGAGCTAAGAGTAGGGGGTGGAGCCCCGGAATCTGTGCTGGCCATGGTTGCCACTGAAGATTCTAGCGTGGCAGGGGTAGCGGAGTCACCGAAGCTAAACATATTAATATCTCCGCTGCTGTTTCCTACCACAGAAGATGTGCTTCCTGTCAAGCTGGAAGCATCGACCTCGTTCAGGGGGTCTACATTCTGCGGCGCGGGCATACGCTGGTCATCGTGATTCCAGATGCTGTGCTGCTGTCCACCTACAATAGGAGTGTGAGAACAGCAAGTAGAGCTACAATCACTTGCTTCTTCGATGTCACGGAGGCGCAAATAGTTGTCTAGGATAGTGGCGATGACGGGGATAGCGCCGGCTTCGACCAGACGCTGACGGATGGACTCTGTGCCGCGGGTACCAAGGTACAGCAGGCACTGGAATGCTAGGGACCACTTCCAGGCAACAAGCGCTTCGCAACAGCAGTTGGACGAGCAGCCCTCCGACGTGGAGGAAAGCGACACGTCAGACTGAGTGGAAAGGCGACGTGAAGACGAGAAATGGGAGTTTTGGGAGCCGAATACAGACTCAAACGAAGGTTTATCGGAGCATGAGGTCTCGACGGCATGGCCAACAGGTTCGCAGCATTCTTTCAGAATTGCCACCAACCTCTCTAGGCCGCCATCAAAACAAAGCGTTTCACGGACCCGGGAAGATGATGAAGTTAGATAGGCCAAATGGTTGAGCGAGTTGATTAACGGACGGTCGCTGGTGCAATCGAGTGCCCTACGGTCATACAAGGTAGTAGTGATGTTGACACTCGCGCGATTGGCAACCGCCGACCGAAAATTTGACTCTCTCATAGTTTTTCAGCGCTTCCTTTTGATTGATGTTGAGGGAGAAACAAACTAAACCGACTAGGATCTGCTGTCCTGTCTCTGGATTTTATGGAAACTGCTGAAACTCGACCGAAGGCGCCACCACGGCTATTTTTTGGAGGAGGTTGGGAATCTATGACGGCGTTGCCACTCAGTAATGCAAACCCAAACCCAGCCGCCTCTCAAAGTACTAATGGCAGTCTTAGCATTTGTTATTTCGGGAGTTTGTAAGCGTGTGCATAAGCAGTTTTCGCCCTCTTTCGCTCTTTGAGATGCGTTAATGCCATGTGTCATGCACGAGTCAAGCCGGTACGCCACTAAAGTTCATAAATTTATAATGGCAACGGAGCAATGGCTACAGCCGCTTCAGTGCAATTGGGTATGTACGCCTGAAAAAAGGTTCCTGGCTGTTTTTGGTGCCTTCCAGTCCAAGCCGTTATTCCCGCAGGCCCGAAAACCTGGGCGGGCGGCTTTTTTTCAGAATAATCTACAGGCGCCTTGCGCATGACTACGCTGGAGATCTGCTGCAAGCGTCTATCTACCATTGCACGATTCACCGGTTTGTTGATCGTTGGCCAGCAGGAGTGTTTCTGAAAAATCCTTTAAAATAGGCTATTTTGTTTGTAAGTCCGTACGCTCTGTCGCCTAAGTCTGTTTTTGTCTTTTGCCGCATCCAGTGGTATCGCTTCGCAGGCGGTGGCAGTAGAGAACTCTGGGTGGGCAGAAATGCAAAGAATCCGATTAATTAAAGCAAATTTCATAATAATCGCTCCGGAATAGCCGGGTTCAACGCTCCCTCAAGGTCGCGTGAGTCCTGCTGGTTCCCTAGCCCGCTGCAGTAGACGACCCCCGCAAATGCAGAAAACTACTGGGCCATCCTCGAAAGTTACTCAAGTCGGGCCCCAGTCATGTATAAATTAGATCGAATATCTTATCGATTGCTGAACATACGGAAATAGTGCCCTCTACCTGGCATCTAACAAGCTTGTTTGGCCATCGATTTCGGAGCTCCGACAGTTGACGCAGTACCGCATCGTCTCGCTTAAAACCAAACATCTCTTAGTGATGATTGATAGAGATATAGTACAGAACTTACACGAGTTTTCCACCAAGACTATCTGGTATCTTGCCACCCCAAATGAGGTATTCAATCTCTTGTTTGGAGAGCTTTTGGCCACCTTCGACAAAGTTGCTGGCTAACTTTCTTTTCCGATCCTGGATCAGGAACATGCGGTCCTCCAACGTACCTGTAGCACACAATTCGTATACATCGACGGGCTTTGTTTGACCCAAGCGATGAACACGGTTAACCGCTTGGTCAACAATCATGGGGTTCCACCATGGCTCCATTAGCACAACTCGGCTGGCGCACACAATATTCAAGCCGACAGCTGCACACTGTAGTGAACATAGAAGCACCTTTTTACTTGGGTCCTCCCGGAAACTTTTCAATGTTTGTTCTCGCTGAACAATATTTTGCGAACCGTGGTAGGGCAGGTAGTCCATCCCGATAGCATCTAACATGTCCGTGACCTGATTGAAGAACTTGACAAACGAAGTGAAAACAACCGTTTTTGGACCTGGATTTGTTTTGAGGATTTTTCTAAGCGCTCCGACTTTACAATTTTCTGCTTCCGCAGACTTGTCGTCTGTGCCGAGCGACGTCTTCGACATAAACTCCGTAAGATCGTCTATATCATCTTGCGAATCACCACTCTTTGTCTCAAGAGTGATACTTTCCACTGCTTGTCCAAGGTCTTCAACAAGATCCTCTTCAGTCTTAGAAGCAATAGTTAATCCATCACACGCTAGTCGCATAGCTGTAATTCTTGTCACTCCTTTGCAATACGATGGCTTCAGGACCTTCTGATAAAGCGTCTGTTCCTTCATATTCAGAGGGACCTTCAAAATTTCTCTCTTCACTGGAGGCAAAACCTTGTCTAGAATATCTTGTTTTCTGCGAATCATCGAAGCCGACAAGTAAGTTTTCAAAATTTTTGTGGCCTGGCTATTAGGACCCTTGGTGCTGGATTTTCTACCGATATCTCTGTCCCATATTCCACGATCACTGTGAGGTTTCAGGTCCACGTATCGGAACAGTGAATAAAGATCTTCGACTGAGTTGTGTACAGGCGTGCCTGTCAAAGCCCAACGTCTTCCTGAGGACTTGAGTGCAGCCATAGCCTTTGAAGTACGTGACTCAGGGTTCCGGAAAGTATGTGCCTCGTCGGCTATAACCCGGTACCAGGGGGTCGTGATTAGCGGACCACTTTTGCCGTTCTCGTTGAACTCATTGGAAATGAGCGAGTACGTGGTTAAAATGACATCGTATTCGCCAAAATTTGCTACACGTTTTGTGCCATGGTATTTCATAACCTTTATTCCGGTTGCCTTCTGTTCAATTTCTTCTTTCCATTGATCCAGCAAGCTAAGAGGTAGCGCAATTAAGGTTGTTTTCGGTCCTTCTGCCTCTTTATCCGGCCGATTGGCAAGAATCAATGCTATGCTTTGCACTGTTTTACCGAGACCCATCTCGTCGAATAAGAACCCACCGCTCTTTGATCCAGTTTGCTCGCGTTTGAGCATGAACTTAACACCAGCAACCTGATGAGGTAGCAACAAAGGTTTTAGGCCCTTTACCTCCAGGGTTTCATTTACGTCGATATCCGTATCACCAGCCTCATCCAGCATTTTCGTGAGAAGCTTTACTTGTTGATCTGCACTCACTTTCAGTCTGTCGGACTGGGTTGTGTCTTTCCGAGCAGCATAGATTCCAAACGAAGGTTTCTGGTGAGTTGCTGAAACCGGCTCATTCAATTGTTCCTTCATTTTACGCTGGATATCTGCAATGTTGATTGTCTTTCCCCAATCAGCACTTTTGGGATCAAGAAGATTAAGGTCACCACCATTGAAATCACCTTGAGGCTCAAGCTTCAATTTGTTCTTGTTGGGTGATGGTGGATGGCGTCGAAGTCCTGAGCTGAACATTTTTGAGGAGCTGGTTTCCACCTGGAGCGGTATGGCATCTTTTTTTGGCCGAATCAGCGGGGCTGTTTTGTGGCTGGGTCGCGGTCCTGCAACGTCCACCAAGCTACCATTGACTACCTTCTGTCCTTGAACCACGACCTGTGCTTCCTTTGACTTTGCCTTTATGTTCTCTTTCTCCGCACTGAACTTGGAGCTGCCATTTGCAGTTTTGTTTTGGCTCGACATGGATCAAAACAGTTAGTAAGATGCGCGTGTGCATGCGATATGCGGGTTTCAACAACGCTAGAAAAGTCTTTCCAATCCTTTGAACAGCTTTTATGTTGATATTATACCTGATATTGTGATTTAAGTTCAGTTTTCAGACAGTCCAGTGTGTGTCGTTTTCGTGATGTTGCGCATGCCAATTGGCAAGCGTAGGTGTAGGGGATGTGATTAGCGTTGTAAAACTTTAAAGTGATTGAAATAATAAATACTTAGGAAAACAAAATATCAGTATCCATAACACCGTAGAGAGTGCGTAAAGTGTCGTTGACGGCAGCCAACTGCTCAATAACCGTGACGGTCACCATCAAGTAAGAGTAGAATAGAACAAAATCCTCGTCACTTCCAGAGTCTAGAGCCTCATCACTGAGTGAACGGCGATGTTCTTGTAGCTTGCGGAACATCTCATCAATGGTCTGACGAGGAACAGGAAGCTTTTCGGGAACAGGGAATCCAAGTCTGATTGAGCTTGCTGCTGCATAAAATTGCAGAAATAAAGTATTGCACAGATCGCTCCGTTCAGCTTGAGTGTATGCTACCAGCTCGACCTCTTTGGAAGTGGCTGCAACCTCTTGACTGGAAATAATTGCCAAATGATGATAAGCACCTAAAATTTCTTGGGTGGCTTTGTAAAGATCGCGATAAGGATGGCAATCAAAAGTTCCTCTAAGCCGAAACTCATTCGGGGCAAGTTCAAGAAGGGTTTCTAGCTCCAACATCATGCTTTGCAATTCTAGCTCGCCCGATACACCTCGAACGAAGTAGGTGTCCTGGCCATTTTCACGACGGGGTAACGTGGCCAGAGGGTCTGATTTCCAGATCATCCCCATCCGCATCCATTGGACACTGAATCCCCGCCTCAACGCGAGACGGGCACTGTTTGGAAGAATAGCCACCGAAACAAAAACTGCCCAAATGATGGCCGCCAAGACAGCAGTTGCGCGCTGGAAAGCCACTCCAGTGATTGTATCCATAGCATCTTCATCGTCGTTTGTGGAGTTATCTTTGTGCAAAGAATAACTGAATAATGCCACCAGGTTGAATGTGAGTAGAATGAACCGCCCAAAAGCCGGTCTATTCTGGCCAAGGATAATGTGAAAACAAAACACCGATATAACAGAACCAGCAGATATCAGCCATAGACTGTCATGGGATATTTGCCAGCAAGTGACGGCTAGTAGAGCACCCGTAAAAGTTCCAATCACTCGATACGGAATATTTGTTGTCATGGCACCAAGATTTCGCGCCATAATAAGCATATAAGTAATAACAGCCCATTCACCTCTTACGCTTTTGAAGTAAGGTCTTATGGCTGGAACGTATCCAGGAATAGCGATAAGCATTCCACCAATCCCCACTTTGATACCGTGCCGAACATCCGGTCGGTTGCAGTTTCGCAAAACCCTCCAAAAGCGATAGCGCCACGTTGTATCAGCAGACTTAGGAGGAAATAGTGTGTTAGCCACAGTGTTGAAAGTCTGAACAGTTGGCGGGCTAGTCAGGACTGTTGGTGGCTTAAGAGGTGTCTCATCATACAGACTTTCATAGTAAGAAACAAGTTCCAGCATTTGTTCAAGCTCCTCGGCGAATTCAACAAGCAGATAACTGAACGAACCGCAGGTTGCCACTATGGCCTCGTCATCTCCAGATGTTACAGCTTCTGAAGCAAATGCTTGGTGCTTGTAAACAGTCCGCAGCGCTCGTGATCGGGCACTAGCATACAGGTCTTGAGCAGCTAGTAGATTCATGCGGTATTTTGGATTGATCCGTGTTTCATCAATGTGTGTCTGGCGAAGAATTCCACTCGTTGTTGCCACATAAGAGCTCATGGGGGGCCCTAGATGCTGAATGAAGATTTTAAACAGAATACTCGGAGAGACTTTTTGCCCATCAATGAAACTCGAATTATCACCAGGTGAAGGTTTGGCAACGAGAAGGTCAGCTTGTACGTGTGTGCAGTGACTGAGACCGCTCAAATGTAACATCAGTCTCTCGTGTGCGCTGACGATTTCACTCAAAACGGTGAACTCTTGTCGGCGCCTAAACAAGTAGAGCTCATACTTGGCATGCACAAGGTTGTTCCGTAGCTTTTTGAGTTTCACGTTGATCTCTTTGAGCAACTTGTCGTAGTCGACGCCCGCTGTTGACCGTCCCATCAGAAACCGATTCAGGTTCATTTCAAGAGCGATCGAGTATAGTTCGACAAGCCGGGCCAAATCTTGTTTGACTAGGGTCTCTGCTCTTACTTGACCGATCAAAACACATACCAAGGCAGCAATGGCTACCCCAATCAGTGCCATGATCAAGTAAGTGAAGAGCTGGTCCACAGACATTATGCCATGCTGGACGTCGTCCTCTTTCAACAGCACAGAGACCAGAAAAATAACAGCAACAGAGCAAGCTGTATCAAATGTTGGTATACTTACTTTGACCTTAAAGTATCCGATCATTCCAAAAGCCCAGCCGGAAAACAGAATCAGCAAAAACGTCGCTCCCTCGTGGGCCCAGTTGAGGTCGTAAAAGCCATGGCAGGCTGCCATTGCAACGAATACAACAATCAAAGACCAGCACAGCATCCCAAATACAAAAGCAATTGCCTGGAGCATACCGCCGACTGTTCTGGACGGGTGGAAATACACACACACCGAAGCTATGGTGTGTTTAGACGCGGTAGTGCCCAAAAACGCAGATAGCCGCGTATAGACAAACAACGAGGCAATTGTATAGGCAAGCGCACACTTTAAAATATTGAGTGACGAGATCTCTGAAAAAGATGTCCAAAACGACTCTGTAGAACCGGCGTTACTTCGGCTCGCCGAGGGTGATGCGGGCGGCGAGGACGTCCTCACAGCGTCAGCATGGACCCGTTCTCCGGTCTCTGCATTGATCATGGAGGCCTTTCGAATCAGTCTGAACATTTCGGGCTTGTTCGCCGGCTCAGACGTGTCCGCAGTCCATCCTTTAGGTGGTCGTCTCAAAGACATGCCTGGAGGAGGACAAAATGCAGTGGGGCGAGGGAACGAAACTCTATGGTGAATAACGGTGGGGAGGTCGGCAACTTGCTAGCTATTTGTGATGTGTCGACCACGACGTGAAAGCCAGTGGTCCAGTGCACATAACTACTCACAGAAGCCAAAACAACTGGCCCATCTCGATCTGTTTCTCGCTTCTGATTTCCCGAAGGGTTAGGAGAGGGTTGGTTACTATCAGTGGACGAACTCGTCCAACCCCAACCACCCACCTTAACTTCCGATAGAGCACAGTGGCGAGAGCACTGTGACGACGAAGTTTGGCCTGTAGGAATTAATTTAAGAAGGCTGAGGAGCGCAAGTTTTACCAGGCCCATTTCTTTCAGCATCCTGGACCAACACACCACTTTAAAGCAACTTATCCTCAACTGTCTGCTCTTCAACTTAGAATTGGTGATTCAATGAGTTCGGATGAGATAAATCGCGAGTCCAACTACGAGTCCGACCACTCCGATGGCAACATTCTGGACATGGATTTCGCAGGTGCCCTGGACGAGGCCCTCGACCAGATCCCGTCTAGCAGAGCTTCTGAGCGAGGATCGTTGCCTGATTCCTCCGGCGAGGCGGATACCAGTGCAGATACCAACAAAATTGATGCGGGTACATCAATTGATCACAGAGACGAGGAGAATAGCACGCGTCATATGCATTCTACAGACGGACCAGAAGAGAGCGATTTGGGCCTCGATCACATGGCGGGTGCTAGCTCTTTATCCCAAGACAATCCGTTGAATGATACTCAACCTGAATCAAATGATCATGCATCTAGGCGCGTTTACAACAAGGGCCTTTCGATCACCATCAACACGCCTCACAAGGTAAACGAAGGTAGTGCCGCCTTTGTGACTTACTTGGTGACTAGCACGCGGCCAGGGATGGAACCCGAACGAGTTCGCCGTCGGTTCAGTGAATTCTCACGTCTTTACACGCAACTGTTGACTGAGTTCCCTGCTTCTGCTATACCGCCGTTGCCAGATCATTCACGCTTTGAGTACCTGGCTGGCGACCGGTTTAGTGATGCGTTCACCCACCGAAGGGCAGCAGCTTTGGAGCGATTTTTGTTTAGAGTCACTTGCCACCCTGACTTGTCTTCGAGCCGCACTCTGGCTGCTTTCTTGACTCCAAGTAATCGCCAGAACCAGCCCAACGGAGGCGCTGGAACCACTTCTCCTGATGGTGTCCTCGATCAACTTTCAGATACACTGTTAAACGCATTCAGCAAAGCCAAGAATCAGAGCAAAGAAATGATCGAGGCCCGAGAGCGAGCGGACCGGTTTGAGCATGCTATTTCTATGATTGACAAGGCAGCCACTCATTTAGTGAAGCACGAAGGTTTGCTGAATGCTGATCTCAACGATATGAGCAAACAGGCCACTCGCTTGGCAGCCCTTGACAAAGGAGTCTCCAAGGAGTTTGATATCCTATCTCGAACTTCTCAAGCATTGAGTGAAGCGTTTGGAGAGCTGCACAATAGCAACGATGCCCAATTCGCCGGGGCATTGAAAGACATGACGCGGTACGTCAAGGCGCTCAAGCAAATGCTCAAGCAACGAGAGCAGAAGCAGATCGACTACGAAGCACTTGTGGATTACTTACGGCGTACAGAGCAAGATTTTGCCACACTTCAGAGTGGCAATACATCAACATCGCCATCATCCTTTTTACGAACCAAGGTAAACGACTTGCGAGGTGTTGACAAGGAACAGAGCCGCCAAGCACGCCAGCAGCGTTTAGAAATGCGCATGTCCGAGCTGCGGATCGAAGCTAACCGAGCAAAGCAGGTCAGTGATCAGTTTGAAGAGATAGCCAAACAAGAAGTCCAAATCTTCGAGGCCACGGAGGCCCTAGAAATGAGATCTTGTCTGGCTGGTTTTACCAAGGCCCATATTGCATTTTACCGCCGCGTTTTAAACGATTGTCGTGCCATTGAAGCCGAGCTCGAGTGACACCTCAAGTATTTATTCTAATAAACTCGATATTGCAGTACTAGCACTAACTTGGCCGCCACGGTTGTCGAATGTTCAAGAAACATGCATCGTGACGCGGCGGGGGTGGAGCCTAGGGGCGAACAAGCGTTGCGGGCCTGCGGAAATTTTCACACGTGTACTATATTGAGTAATACGGAGCATCTACGAAAAAAAAACCACAGGTCAGTGGGGCTGTCCAGGAGGGAAAGTTCGAGATTCGCGTGCCACCGTGTCCCAAAGCGTTGCCAGGGCAACACCCCCAGGTTGGAAGCTGAATTTAAAGCGCGGTAATCCCAGGCGCCTATAACACGTCAGCAGACAGGTTTTCCCCTTAACTTCTCTTCGCAACCATGTCACGCAAAGGAGGCTTTTCGGCCGTGAATATGTTGCTTTACGCGCTGGCAATTTTCATGTTGCCTTTGCTTGCGCCGACTCAGGCATCTGAGGAGGTTGAAAACTACGGCCCTGTCATTGGTATTGATTTGGGTACCACGTACTCGTGCGTCGGTGTGATGCAGAGTGGTCGGGTTGAAATTTTGGCTAACGACCAGGGTAACCGTATCACCCCCTCATATGTCGCCTTCAAGGATGGTGAGCGTCTTGTTGGCGATGCCGCCAAGAACCAGGCCGCTTCCAACCCTCCTGGTACCGTTTTCGACATCAAGCGTATCATTGGACTCAAGTTCAAGGATAGCTCGGTGCAAAGCGATATCAAGCGCTTCCCCTTCAGTGTGATCAACAAGGATGGCAAGCCCGTTGTCGAGGTTGACTTCAATGGGCCCCGGCAGTTTACTCCCGAGGAGATCTCTGCCATGGTTCTCGGTAAAATGAAGGAGATTGCCGAGGACTACCTTGGTCAGAAGGTCACCCACGCCGTTGTTACTGTCCCTGCTTACTTCAATGATGCTCAGCGTCAGGCTACTAAGGATGCCGGTACTATTGCTGGTTTGACTGTCCTGCGTATTGTTAACGAGCCCACTGCCGCTGCTATCGCTTATGGTCTAGACCGCAAGGACGGCGAGCGTCAGATTATTGTCTACGATCTCGGTGGTGGTACTTTCGATGTTTCTTTGTTGTCTATTGATAACGGTGTCTTTGAGGTCTTGGCCACTGCTGGTGATACCCACTTGGGTGGTGAGGACTTTGACTACCGAGTTGTCAACTACTTCATCAAGAAGTACAACAAGGAGAACAACGTGGATGTCCGCAAGAACGCCAAGTCTGTTGGTAAATTGAAGCGCGAGGTTGAGAAGGCCAAGCGTATTCTTTCCAGCCAAATGTCTACTCGTATTGAGATCGAATCCTTCTTTGATGGTGAGGATTTTAGCGAGACCCTCACTCGTGCCAAGTTCGAGGAGATTAACGGCGAGCTTTTCAAGAAGACTCTGAAACCCGTTGAGCAGGTTCTTAAGGATGCTGGTGTTCGCAAGAACGAGATTGACGATATTGTTTTGGTCGGTGGTTCTACTCGTATCCCCAAGGTTCAGGAGCTGTTGGAGGACTTTTTCAACAAGAAGGCTTCCAAGGGCATCAACCCTGATGAGGCTGTTGCTTACGGCGCTGCAGTTCAGGCAGGTGTTTTGTCTGGCCAGGATGGTGTTGAGGATATCATTTTGCTTGACGTCAACCCCTTGACTTTGGGTATTGAGACCACCGGTGGAGTCATGACCAAGCTCATTAACCGCAACACTCCTATCCCCACCAAGAAGAGTCAGATCTTCTCTACTGCTGCTGACAACCAGCAGACTGTTCTTATTCAGGTTTATGAGGGTGAGCGTACTCTGTCCAAAGACAACAACTTGTTGGGCAAGTTCGAGCTTACTGGCATTCCCCCTGCTCCTCGGGGTGTTCCTCAGATCGAGGTCACTTTTGAGCTCGACGCTAACGGAATCTTGAAGGTTTCTGCTGTCGATAAGGCCACTGGTAAGTCCAACTCCATTGTCATTACCAACGACAAGGGTCGTCTTTCCAAGGAGGAGATCGAGCGCATGGTTGAGGAGGCTGAGAAGTATGCTGAGCAGGATAGTGAGCTCCGCAACCGCATTGAGGCCCGTAACGGCTTGGAGAACTACGCCCACTCGTTGCGTACCCAGCTCGGTGATAGCCTCAAGGGCCTCAGCGCCGACGATAAGGAGGTTCTTCAGGACGCCATCAAGGAGGCTATCAGCTGGCTCGATGAGTACGGTGCTGACGCCACTTCCGAAGAGCTTGAGGAGCAGAAGCAGAAGCTGTCTTCCGTTGCATACCCCATCACTTCTAAGCTTTACGAGGATGCCGAGGACGGTGGCTCTTATGGCGCTGATGAGGATGATGAGTACGGCGACTGGGACGACCACGATGAGCTCTAAAAAAATTAAAAACCAACCAAGGTAAGCCTTTTTTTTAAGCTTTGAATAATTAGAAAGAGCATTTAAAGAAAAGTCAACTATATCATTATATTTCACCATCCTACCGTCACATCTGCAGTAGGCTTAGGGCGCATGACACTCGCTTGGGCGTGAAGAACTCCTATAGCAGAAAATACGCAATGCAAACAGACTATATATATTCGAACATTTACTCACGTATTTTCAGTACAAAACATGTGTCTGTCTTCTGATGCCTCCAACAAGAACCAAAACACCGACGGTAGCGGTAATGGCTCCGGTAATACAACCACTGATCCCCCTGCCACCACCAAGCCCAGCAGCAACTTAGACGAGATTCTCTCTAAGCTGTTTGCTTCTTTGGAGGAGATCCAGGCCCGCATCAAGGCGTCCCTTGAGAAGCTTGCTAACCAGCTCGGTGAGGGACAGTCAAAAAACGACACGACTCCCGCTGCTCCAGCCGAGCCAGTCGCTCCAGTCGCTCCAGCTCCCGCCACACCGGCTCCCGCGCCCGCTCCGGCTCCCGCAGCCCCAGCAGCCCCAGCAGCCCCCGCCGCTCCCGCCGCTCAATAATTTGGAAGGAAAGTCGACGTGACGGAAGCGTTACGTATTATTTTCCGGGTGCTCGTTCTTATTATTCTCATCCATATTAGCGGTTGCGAAGAGAATACATATTTATTGGTCCTTGCAGAGCTTTCCTGCAATTGCTTTTCATAGATACTCGTAGATAGTTAGCATAGTGATTTTTAATCTCACAAACCCATTTTTCCGCTGCAAAGACTGAGCCCAAACGGTATTCAGCTGCACAATTAACCGGGCGATTTCTACCCCGCATAGCCATGCGCTGCATTGCTTCCGTACCCTTTCACATGGGCCTTATATGTGGCCACTCGCACATTACCTACAACATGACATCTAGTAACAATTTTGAACAAGAAATCGCGGCAAAGCATACGAGACTAGTGACTGCGTTTGATAGTGGCATTACGAAGCCAATTGAGGCTCGTAGGCAGCAGCTGCGACAGTTGTATTTCGCGATTGCCGATAACGAGGAAGCATTGAAAGAATCTTTGGTTAAAGACCTTTACCGGTCACCTATTGAGACTGAAATTTTGGAGCTCCATCTTATTTACGCCGAAATTGAAGCAGCTATCAAAAATCTGGGCAAATGGGCCGCAGATGAGAGCATTTGGGGAGATATTCGGGTCGCTGCAGCTCGGCCTAAACTGAAAAAGTCACCTTACGGGGCAGTTTTGATTCTCGGTCCTTGGAATTACCCGCTTGTTTCGACTTTAATCCCGGTGGCCAGCGCTATTGCCGCCGGTAACACAGTTTTGTTAAAGCCCACCGAGATGGCACCGAACTCGACCGAGCTCCTCTGCTCAATTCTTGGCAAATATCTGAACCCAAACGTTTTCCAGTCTGTGCTAGGATCAGTGCCCGAGTCGACCTATCTCTTGAGTCTCAAATGGGGCAAAATCATGGTCACCGGCTCCTGTGGCGTAGGCAAGATTGTCGCGACTGCCGCGGCCAAGAATCTAACCCCAGTTGTTTTAGAGCTCGGCGGAAAATCTCCGGTTGTTATAACTGCAAATGCCGATTTACAAGTGGCTGCTAAACGCATTGCTTGGGGTAAGTTCATTAATGCTGGACAGACCTGCATAGCCCCGGATTATGTCTTGGTCGACAGTAAAGCTGCAAAGAAGTTTATCCGGGAGTTTATCGATGCAACGGTTGCAATGTATCAAAATCTTGACAAGGATAGCCGTGACTTTGCTCATATCGTGAACAGCAGGCTCTGGCACAGGATGGTTACGCTTGTACAGAACACCAAAGGTCAAGTTGTTTTCCAGCATGGGCAACCCGACGAAGGCACCCGGTTCTTCCCTCCCACAGTCGTTACCGACGTGGGGATTGATGATGTGCTAATGGAGGAGGAGATTTTTGGACCTATACTGCCTGTCATTGCTGTTGACAACGTTGTTCAAAACGCCAGTCGACTTATTGCGCGAAATGATCACCCTCTGGCGCTCTATATTTTCACAAATGACGAAACTGAAGCCGATCGACTTATCGAAACAACTAGATCTGGTGCTGTGTTGATCAACGATACGGTGTTGCAGGGTGGATCTGTCGGTGTGCCGTTCGGCGGCGTTGGCTCATCCGGAACAGGTAGGTATCATGGGAAATACGGGTTCGATGAATTCACTTATGAACGGCCTGTTTTGACGCAATCGTTGGCTCTTGAGAAATTTATGAAGGCCCGCTACCCTCCATACAATTTCGCTAAACTGAAAGCTCTACGACGACTTGGCCGAAGAAACCCCCGGTTTGCTCGTGAGGGAAGTCTCGAGGATTCGTTCTTGAAACGAGTGCTTGACAGTAAGCTCTTCTGGATAGCCCTGATTTTTGGCGGAAAGGCCTACGCCATGTCGGCCCATTTATAAATTGAGCCTCTTATACTGAACAGCGACACCGACAGAATACGTCTGCGTTTGAATTGACTTGAATGTCACCTCGTAAGGATTTTCAATTACGCGCGCGTCTGATTCGGCCCACTCCTCCGGGGTGTCTGTGTCACAGTTCCGAACCGATAGACGAATACTATACTCATTGTCTGTAAGCACAGGTAAAAAGGTTACAGACATACCGATTTGTCTTAAGACGGCTCTGATGAGCTCGTCAGGGTCCTGATCTGGATCGGCTTCCTGAATGTGCACACTGAACTGCCAAGATTCAATGGCCGATTCATTGCTATCCAGAATTGTGAGAGTGAACTCAGTGATGGATTTGGTCTCAAGCCACCGTCTAAGCTGCTGCACTACCTTCTGAAAATACGATTTGAGGTTAGAGTTGATTGCCATCATTTGCGGGAGCCCCCATTTCATAACACACTGGAAAAACTCCGCCGGGTACAATTGCCTCTGAAATAAAATGCTATTCAAACAAACTTCAAAAAACTCAGTAACAGTATCAACAGATCCATTTAAATTGAGCACTTGCATAGTTGTGGTAAATAACTACGATTCGCCTGGCGGACCTTGTGGTGTAATCATGCACAGTGTTCGTAAAGTGCGAACGACTGCAGAGCAGCAAGAGGCCAAGCGGAAGAAAGATGCGGTTGAGAACCGCAAATACTTGGATTTGCAGTCTCGGGTGTTTGCTGCACGTGCCAATTCTGCGCCTGCAGCAGCCAGTTTGGAGCTGACCACTGACCTTTTGGAGCTCAACCCGGAACACTATACCGTGTGGAACTACCGCAGGGAGCTACTGACCGAATTGAACGACAACGCATTGTTGCAAAAAGATTTGCGGTTGATTGAGCAGCTTATGGTTCGTTATCCCAAAGTCTATTGGCTGTGGAACCACAGAAGATGGGTTCTCAAGCAGCTTGGATCAGAGGCGCCATGGGACCGCGAGCTGGGACTAGTGACGAAAATGCTCGAGTATGATGGCCGCAACTTTCACGGATGGCGGTATCGGCGTGAGGTAGTCAAGACAATTGAGGAAATCAAGGGCCAAAGCATGGCGGAGGAAGAGCTCAAGTACACGACGTCGAAAATCAATGCGAACTTTAGCAATTTCAGCGCATGGTTCAATCGATCACAGCTTTTAGACAAAGTGGCTGCTGAATCGAAAGAAAAACAGCTTCAGGCCGAGCTAGAGTACTCCAGGTCGGCCGTATTTATGGACCCCGAGGACCAGTCGGCGTGGACGTACTACCGATGGCTGTTGACGAACGACCAGTTCAAAGCCGAGCAGGCCAAAGTTATCCACAACGAAATCGAGCAAATCAAGGAACTTGCAGAGGAAGAGCCGGACTCGGTATTATGCATATATACATTATGGATTCTGACCAAGAAGATCGGGCAGCACCAGCCAGAACTCATTGATCGGTTGATCGAGTTGGACCCCATGCGTGGCGAGCGATATAAATATATGAAGCGAGAAATTAGCTGATGAGCTCGTCACCAACGTTTTTGATCCCCCAGTTGAGAATATAGCGGGCTGTTCCAGTTTCCGAAACTGACCAGTCTCGGATTGCCAGGCCAAAGTAGCTCTGTTGCGGGAACGAGGTGGTTTGCGATTCCTGTTCACGTCGAATGGGCTCGTAGATTTTATCAAATAGCCTGGCGTCTATCTCCAGTGCGCTCAAGAGTGTTTCGTGGTAGTTTGCTTTGTAGAATTTCAACAGATCACTCAGGCACTCGTTGACGGCGGTTCGGCTGGATTTGTAGGTCGCACTGTTCAGCGGGAAGATCTTTTCGTCCAGCAGCTTTGCAGCAAGCACGATACAGGCGAACGCAGTCGTGTGCGCTGGACGTTTGAGGGCGACTTCGCAGGCGTACATATCAGTAGCGATGGTCCATGCCATTGAGGCAGTTTTTTTGGCCAGCTTGAGAGTGTGGGCGATTTTGATAACATATTGATGGGCCTGAGAAAACCGAAAGTCGAAAACGTCGGTCTGCAGCACTCTCTGCTCGAAATTGAGCACGGTTAGTCGCAGGTCATCGATTTCCTTGGTCGAGGCAGCGTGGTTTCGATATTTGAAGGCTGAGGCTACAATATCTCGGCACTTTTTCGGCGTGTCTTCGATTTTCGTCGCTAACAAGATACACGAGCAAACCAGCACTACCAAACTCAGGTCTTTAGTGGGGTTGAAAAGCGTAGTGCGATGGAATAGAACCATGGCGGTAGCGAACGTGTTTATAGGGAAATGCAGCTGGCGGCAGATCCCTCGAGCAAGACGGAACCCTTGCATCTTCTTTTGGTTGCCCTCTGGACCAGCCATGCCCGTCTGATGCTGCAGCAATTCTATTTGTCCGCTAGCCAAGTACGGCCGGGACACTTTGATGATCGAGGGCTGCATGACAAAGAAGAAAGCGCGACCCTGACAGAGCAGCAAAATGAGGTTGTGCCCGGTGCGAAAAGTAAATGCAGCATTGCTATTCATGGAATCTATGGACATAAAATAACCGTGTTCTAAAGTGCACCAGGTGCTCTTGGGGTAGGGGGAAAATAATAGGGTCACCACTTATTTAAGCGGCAGTGGCAGCAGCACCGGCACCTTTAGCAGCATCGGGGCCCAACGTAGGGTTCTTGGATCTGTAGTCCTTGATGGCAGACTTGATGGCGTCTTCAGCAAGCATAGAGCAGTGGAGCTTGACGGGAGGCAGAGAAAGCTCCTTGGCAATAGTTGTGTTCTTGATTTTGCCGGCCTCCTCCAGGCTCATTCCACGAACCAGCTCGGTCATATATGACGACGAGGCGATAGCGGAGCCGCAGCCAAAAGTCTTGAACTTGACGTCGCTAATGACGCCCTTGTCGTCGACCTCGATCTGCAAACGCATAACGTCGCCACAGGCGGGAGCACCCACAAGACCGGTTCCGACTTTCTGGGACTTGGCGTCTAGTTTTCCGACGTTCCGCGGGTTGTTGTAGTGGTCCAGCACTTTATCATGGTAGAATCTCTGAGTGGCTCTCAGTGGCATCAAAGCCTGGGGTGACGACCTAAGAGTTCGGAATCCGAGGTTTCGCAGCATGGTGTTCCTATGATGTTAAGAGGAAGTTAACTTGGGACGTTTTTTATTACTGGGATGCAGAATAGATTCTGGACCTGGGTTGGGTGCGTCAGTTACCCGGCCCGCCCCGCATTATCGAAAATATCTGCTCAACCTGCTAAAGACGAATTTCGCTGGTTTCTACGAATAATGTGCACCTTTAACTATAGATCAAGTTTACAGTCTATTTTATACCCCATAGTTATGTCTAGGCTACCGTCTCACCAAACCTTGGCGACCATCGCCGGTGGCAAAACTTCGTTCCCCAGGACCGGACCAGCATCCACGTGACCGACAATTTGAGGGTTTCCATCTTGCAGGATAGGATTGATAATTCTGATAAAATCGGTTAGTCAGGCCCCTAATGATTGGTGCAAAACGTGTAGAAATTGTAGGTACAACATTAAACAGAACGCGATTGCTTGGGCATTGCGGGAGCACGGGCCGCGGCAACACGCGGCTAGTGCGTCACTTTGACAGCCTCCCAGCTTGCCTGGCTGATTCGCCGCATCTCGGGAACTCTCCGTAGATGTCCCAGAATGCTGTTGCAGAGACTGCCGTGGGTCACAACAATGACAACACTGTTGTGCTCAGACGCAATTGCAGTGTCAATGCCCCTGATGGCCCTAGCATGCATCTCCTCCCATGTCTCGCCATAGGACCCCGGTAGCCCTAGAGCACGAGTGTCGTAGGCAAAATCCAGGTACTGCACAGCTGAACGAGCCTCCCTGACCACCCAATTGTACGAGCTAGCTGTAATGCTTGTGTGATTGTCGGCCGGGGGAACGCTCAGGTCAAAGTAGTCGGGGTTCATCCACTCGCCAAACACCACGGCGACTCGGAGCTTGCAACCGAGTTTCTGGGCAATACACACTGCCGTCTGTACACACCGCAAAAACGGGCTTGTGTAGATGGTTATCGTGGCATTAGCGAAAACTCCCGCTGAGATCGCTGGCCAGTGCTTCGGCCTGTTCAAAGCCGTGCGCACTCAGTGGCGTGTCGTAAGACAATGCATTAGAAGCTGCCCATTCCTTGTTCACAGTGTCTTCGCGCTCAGCGTGTCGCACCACAACAACCTGTTCGATCATATATGAGAGAATAAAAAGACGACTGCGCCTGCTACTGCGGTTTATCGGTTACTAATATGCACGTGGGGGAAGTTACTGATACCAGGAAATTGGCGCAACCCGAAGCCGTGAATGCTACAAAGATGGTCGTGTCAGAGCCACTGGATTTTCGAAAACCGCCGTCCATAATTGCGTCCCCATCATCAAAGACCGCTCATGGACCCGGCTAAGTCCCTGCAGCACCCCCTCGGTGAGTAGATGCCGATGATGGGGGGTAATAACAAGAACTAACAGATGAATATTCGCTGGAATTGACAATGCTTGGGAGGCAATGGTTTCCACATCGTACCCGTACCATTCAGCAACACTCATCGACTTGGCTACCGCCCGCAACAAGTCCGCCCCACTTTGAATCCCCGGCATAGCGTAGGTGTCAACAACATACACATTGCCTCGGGCACTTGTGTCTAGAACTGCCTGAACCCCTTGCCGGTGGCCATTACCGTCGTAAAACTGAACCCCGCGAAACATCGGGGGTGGTGCAATCTACAGTAATCATCCGGGCTTGATTTGGGAGCTCTGGGATTCTTTGACGTTCTTCCCATTGCCACTATGTCACACGTTCAACTAGCAGTCGGCGAGGTCGTGGATGCCACAAACTGGAAGGTGGATTTGCCGGAGTCCATTCTGGAGTCTTTATCTTCCGAATCCGAGTTGGAATATCCGTTGATTTTCGCCTTGACGAGCCAGACCACGAAAACCCATGTGGGTGTCCGGCAGTTTTCTGCGCCTGAATCGACAATCACAATTACAACGCCCATTGCTCAGGCGCTAGGGCTGTCAATTGGAGACATTGTAAAACTGAAACACACCTCTTTACCCAAGGGATCAGCCGTTAAGCTAAAAACAGAAACAGCTCTGGACTGGAAGCCTTTGCTTGAAAGATGGCTGCCGACTAACTGTACAGCATTAACTGTCGGCGACACTCTTATGGTGAGTTACCTAGGCCAACTGCATAAAGCGGTTGTTGAAGAACTCGAGCCAGAGAACGCCGTATGTATTATTGATACCGATCTGGACCTCGAAATCGTTGGAGGAAACCAGCAGTTTGATACATTGACGGGATTCGAGTACGATATGCCTATTGCTCTTTCAGAGGTTCCCTTAACCAAAGAAACGCCAGACTACCTCTTTGTCGAGGCCACTAATGGCGTTTTGTACGTGGGACCCGAACTGGCAACGTCTCGAGAGTCTTTCACGTACAGAATAACCGGAACTCGAGAGCTCACTGCATCAGATCTCAAGAAGCTAGGACCTTCTTTCAGCGTATGCGGCTACGGCATGGCTACGCTTACCTTGGCTGCTCCGGCTGTTGAGTCGCAAGAAGGCTCAAAATTGTGTCCCGTGTGTTCCAAATGGGTACCTGAACAGTCGTTTATTCTGCACACATCTTTCTGCCAGCGGAACAGTATCAAATGTGAATGCGGGCAAGTTTTTAGCCGCCAAATTCCCTCCGACCACTGGCATTGTCCAGTTTGTTCCGCCAACGGTGTTGGGTTTGAGGAAGCCCACTTGAAAGAACATGAACCGAGCACCTGTAGCTGTGGGTTTGAAGACACTTTTCTCAATGTCGCTTATCACCGGGCTTCAGACTGCCCCGAACGCATCATTCTTTGCCGATTTTGCCATCTTAGTGTTGCACAGGAAATTGCAAGCGCTGCAGACAAAGTTCTAGGTATTACTGGGCACGAGTCTCACTGTGGAAACCGCACTGCCGATTGTCATATTTGTGGCAGGCCAGTGCGGCTGCGCAACATGGAGGCCCATATGCAGCAACATGATGTTCAGCGCAGATCCAGAGGAACTCCGGTTACCTGCAAAAACCAGAACTGCGTGGCCATTGTCAAAGACGAGAGCAATGCTTTGGGGCTGTGCTCCAAGTGTTTTGGCCCGCTGTTCTCCCTTGACAACGATCCGGACGGATCCAGGCTCAGGGCTCGCATGGAACGAAAATACGTTCTGCAATTATCCACTGGCTGTGGCAAGTCCTGGTGCACCAACCAGTACTGCCGCACCGGCACGGGCATTCAGCGCAGCTTCAAGGATGTCTTACCTATCGTCAAAGAACTGCTCCTCATGAACGCGTTTTACTTTTGTGTAGACCAGATCATGGCGAAAAAGGCTATGTTTGTATACGAAGACGGCGTTTACGACAGGGCCTGGAGAAGTATGGCCATCACCCAATGTTCGAATGAAACAGAGGCCGAAGAGTGGTTACAAACCCACGCTCCGAAACTTGGCGAAGCTGTGTAATTATTTATTGTTGTAAGATAGCACCATCACAACACCAACATGGTCCATGCTATAAAATCACTATTTACATTTCAAGAAGAAGTTTTGGCACAAAAGCAATATGAACGGGATGAGATGCAATTAGCTCACGACCGCGCTTTGGTTTCATTGTCGAAGCTACTGCATCAGTGCCAGATATCACGTCTGGACATGGAGGAGAAACTTTCTTCAATCTGGGGCCCCAGTGACGATAGTTTTACCGATTGTTTTGCCGATTGTTACCTTGACACTGATGCAGTGCTCATCGATACTGAGCTGGCATGCGCTTGCGACACCCTCAACAGTCTGACCGAGAAAGAACATGCATTACAATCTGAAATCTACTTTACCGTCCGATCTCAAAAGCCAACTACGATGCAGAGGGTTGTAGATTTTAAGGCTACAGAGTCGAGTTTTGACCACTTTAAAACAAATGTAACCTATGCGTGGAGATGCACGGCACAGTTTGTACGCGGCTTGGCTATCAAAGCTGCTTGTTTATGTTTAGTGAAAAAATAAATCCTATAGACTAAAATGTAAATGAGGTTTCCAGCTCACGAACTTGTGCCTGCTCAGCAGGCGTCAAGTCCATAGGTTCTCCTTCTTCGGGGATGGGGTCGAAAACAAAATCGGGGATTGTGTCAGTGGAGACTGCACTTGTTGCCAGAGTTGTAGAAGGTTTTGAAACAGGCTCTGGTGCGGACTCATCATCGACCAAATCAATAACTTCATCCTTGGGGTCGGCGAATTGAACCTGAGTCGATTTGGATTCAGCCACGTGCTCGCGAGGCTGAGGTGTGAAAGCAGGTTTAGCAGCACCAAAATTAAAGTGAGGCTTTGGTTCGGGGTCGGTGATGGGCTTAGGCGTGGTCTCAGGCCCGGATACAGGCTCGAGCGGTCGCATTTGAAAAGGTGAAGCTTTAGGTTCGGGGTCCAGGGGCTTGAATAAATCAGGAACTGCTTTGGGAGCGACTTTCGGAACACCTAAATCCGCAGTAGGAATTACCGGCTCTGCATTAGAAGCCAGGATAGTATTACGAAGTCCGCTGGACCTGCTGGGTCGATATTTGGTGTACGAGTCTTCGACGGGGTCCTTCCGTTTCCTGGGACTAAGGGGCCCTGAACTAGATGCATTTGGCTCATCCAGAATTTCCAGCAAGGCAGAGGCTGTATTTGACATCGATGACGGTGAAAGAACCTGGGGAGACGGAGCCGGCTTCGAGTAAGGAGTCGCAGGCTTCGAACGACTGATTCTGGGGCCCGAAGAAAGGCCCCGGCGTGACCGGTTCCATGTGCGAGATGTGGAAGGAGAGGATCTAAACGAGTACTGGTCAGGTACTGACACGTTAGGGGTTGATGTGCGTGCTCCGGACAAGATATTACTGGGCATATCGTAGGAGGCATTCGGATCATCGGGTTGATGGATGGTACTGAAATCAATCATACTCTCATTTCGCGACACTGCTTGGCCAATAAGACTCAAAACACCAACAACTTCCATGTTGGAGAGCTCCTGGTCACCCTTTTGCTTGAAGAACTGTCGCAGGGCATCGTTGGGTGAGGCAGTGTTGAAGGGCGTGCCCTGCCTAGAAATAATACTGGGCTCTGCAGAGGGGACAGCTTTTGCTACCATCTGAGGATCCCTTAACGGCGTAGACATGATCCGAGACTGTAAGCTCTGACCTTGACGTCGAGGGGTCAGGGCCAGGCTATTGTTTGCGGATTGGAACCGACCGATACTTTGATCAGGACGACCGAATTGACTGGGTTCCTCATCTATGATTGCCGGCACTCTGCCCATAGATTGACTGTATCCGTCGTCCATATCCTCATCAGAATCGTCATTCTCGGGCTGCGGATTGTTCCCGAGAAAAAAATCACGAATGCGTCCAAAAATAGACCATCCCTGTTGCTTCTCGGTACCATCCTGCCGTCCACGCTCATAGGGTTTAGAACGCGTACCACGATTCCGAACAGGTCCCGCTTTTGCCATTCTAATCGAACCTTATTTTGACCGGTTTGGTGGGACAGAGAGAAAAACTTGGTAAGCACCCGGGTTTTTGGTATAGAAGAGCACTACATAAGTACGTTTTTGAAGAGTAGAAAGACCACGAATACCGAAGAAGCGGTGACAACTGTGAGTAAAACGTGGTCCGGGATGTCGACACTAGGCGGTTCGGGCACCGGAACGTCGGATTGAGGCCGCGTGTACAGAGGAGCGACAACGGGATGCATTTTATTTTTTCGATAACCTTGCCACTTTAATCTCTTCGGATTAAGCTCGACATGGGGCAGAATAGGGCTATCCATGGCGTAGGTGCTGGTGTAGACAACTGTGACGTAGGGTGACGGGATGGCCTGGACGGCTGATCTGATGATCTTTTCTTTGTCGACATCGTCATTGTGATCAAATTCCAAATAAATAACCCGCGGATTCGAGTCCTGAACGGCAGGCACCGGGACCAACGCCTCATAGTCTGCATGGAGCCATTGGGCGGAGCAGTGCCGCTGGATGTCTTCGGCCAGCTCTTTAAGGTTCAGCATATAGTCCGACAGAAACGACCCGCGAGTCAGGCTCTGCTTCGAAATGTGGTTGATTGTTTCGAACTTGTTGGAATCGAAGGGAGCAGAATCCCGAATTAGAATGAACCCATCTGAATGGCAGCCGTCGAGCCAGCTAGTTATCTGCTCGTCGACCTGATCAACAGACAAGGGCTTTGGTTCTATGCGTGAATCACCGACCTTTTCAAACGACGCAAAATACAGGGGAATGCCCCGGTTTGCCAACGCAAAACTGAAAATAGACAGCCAGTATACAAGTTGCATTATGATTAAGCTGGCCCTACGGGACGCGATTTATATTAGAAATGAGCATCAATAACGTCGTCATCTTCGAGCTCTGTGTCGGCAATAACCGTATCTGGATCTAATGGGTCGCCGTCGAATGTGAGGACCACTTCATGGTCGGGGGCCAGCCCTTTTTCTGTCCGAACAAAGTCAATGAGCTTTTGAACGGGCTTTGCAGGATCCGACATGACGCCGATCCGGGATCCATCTTGGCAGTTGATAGCAATAAATAGTTGTGTAATGTCCTGAGCAGGCTCACTGTGAGCCAAACTTGACAGATACTCTCCGTTTTCGTACTGTCGTGGGGTCATTACCATGATGCTAAGCGTCGGCGCGTCCGTTATCATGGAAGGGGCCGAAAACGAAAGAATTGAGACTCTGTTTGACAGAAATATGCTTGATGAAGGGAACATCTGAAACAGTCGCCGGAAAGGCTCTGACGAGCTCATTGATTCTGTCGTGATCCCTTTACGGTCAGGTATAATACAATCGAAAGTAACGGTCACTGTTCGACTTGGTGCTTCCGGTGCTTCGTTTTCTTCATCCGAAACAAGATCAACGACTTCATCGATCTTAATCTTTTTCTCGCCAACCACACATAGATCCGAGTCACTGTGTTGTCGCTTCAAATCAATGGGGTCCGATGAACTTTCCGCATCAGCGACCTCTGAGACCTCACTCTCGATTTCCTCGCTGCTCAAGTCTACAATCTCCGGAGAAATACTTTTGGATTCAGAGGAAACTGGGCGAGCCTCAATATTCTCTTCGTCGCTGCTTGATGCGTCACTTTCTGAACTGTCTGCGTCGAATATATCCTTGGGCCTCCTCATTTGTGAATAAATCGTGGTTGCGTTTCAATCAACTGTTTGCGTGGAGGTCGTGCGCCAGCTTATATTATTGCTCCAGGCAGCGTGCAAAACAATCGCTAAACAAAGATTCGGTTACAATAGTGCGTCAACAATCACGAGAAGTGTGTGTCATCATGCGTATTTCGCTCGAGCCAATGGACGATCCTGAGGTGACCCAGAAAGTGCCTTTGGGGGAGCAGATTCGCCGAATCACACAGGAGAAGGGCTCTTTTGCCAACCTGACGGAAGAAGGGCTGGCTGAAGATATACAGAGTCCAGTGGAGACAGAGGAGAAACCAGCAGAAGAAGGACTCGAGGAAGGGCCGCGGCAGAAGCTTATTGCGGCTGTGCGATCGGCACTCAATGAAAGTGCGTTATCTCTGGATTTTGTTTCGTTGCTAATTTCAGGCTTACGGCCCCAGTCAGGTGCGTCTTCGATGTCACCTGCCTTAAAACGACAAGTGCCTATTGGGACCCTAGGATGTGATACTATCAAGAAAGAACAAACTTCGATCAACAAGACCCGGCCAGGAGCTGGTTGGAAGCTAATTGCTTTGGAAAATGCTTCCAAGCATCTTCGGGGCTCGTCCGTCCGTCTCCAGGGCGAAGCAGAGAAAGAAGCACGATTCTGGAACGAGCTTTTACAAACAGTAATGGGCGGAGAGGTTGTTGTCAAAACAAACCGCGGTAAGATGAAAGGTCTTAATGTAAAATACGGCTTTGAGGAATCCGGATCCACATATTTTGGCACAGGCACTGGCAAGCTCATCCGAGGAGCTGATGGATCGGTGGTGTTCAAAACGAAATCCACCCAAGAAAAAAAGATTGTGCGCGTCAGAAGTTTTTCGGGAGACGGAGAGGAGGTTGGATGCGGGTTTATTGGCGCTGAAGCTCAAACGGAACTTCAAACCGCACGTAACTACTTGTTTGAAGAAGAGCTATTTTTCCTGCTCCAGCAAGAAGCCAGGACTTTGGGGGCTTACAGAGTGTTACTTGAAAGCGACACTATCGTATGTGAGTCATTCGAGGGTCGGTTGGAGATCGACTTTGTCGAGGAGTCAATGGCTCTTGGCCCTAAAGACCAACTAGCGCAACTTTTATGTGCACTACTGCATCTGATTCTCTGCTATTACTATTCTGAGAATTTGAAAAAACAACAAAGTACTCCTGAGCCTTTAGAATCCACCAAAAAATCGGACCAACCAAGAATATACTCTATTCTCCGCCCACTGCTTTCGCACATGCACCAAGCAAAACTTGCAGCTCGAGCGGTAAGACTGGCCGAAATGATTTTACCCAACAGCAAAATTGATAGCACCCGATCAATTGCAGACGAGACAGTTTCAGATATTCTTTTCACCCCTCCGGAATCGCATGTGCGCATTACAGCAGAAACCGAGATCAATGTCCTCGTGAGATCGCCACTCTCTCCTGGAGCAGTATTTATCGCTAGGTGTGATGGATTCAAGGCTGAACTTTACGATTTAACCGAGCTCGAGATGTGGCTCAAAGGTAAAGCCTTAGCGTCTTAATAGATCTACTAGCATTCAGTATTAAGTCATCTTTCATGCAACCCACTAAAGAACAAAAGGCTACGATTCTGCAAAGGATTCTAAAGCTTAGCGATTTCTCGCCGTTTGTTTTAATTCTAGACTCGCTGTCTCAGTCTGCTTCGACTCTGATACCGGAGTTTCACCATCACATGCCTGCTAATGTGAAAATAGTTCAGGTTTTCTTGGATCACCATCCAGAACAGCCCTCCATTTCCCCTGATCAGCTTGTGAATTTCGTCAAGAGCCAGGTATCAGGCCGTTCGCTTGTATTTATTGATAACTTAGGACTCTTGAAGGATGTAGGGTCCATTCTGCACCAGATCATGAGCCCTGACACGACCGTCGTTGGCGTATTCCACAGTGATACAATGTCTCCTCCGAGTTATTCCCCGCAAGGCATCCAACTTCTTAATTATATGGCCACTAGCATTATTGAATTGGTCCCACAGGAAAGCGTGGAGCAGGACTTGGCCGAGGATCCCTGCTTTGGGCCGTACACCTTCAGGGGGTTCAACAGCCCAGAATTCACAGCAAACGTCACCCACAGGCGCAAATCAGGCAGAGCGATCACGGCGAAATTCAGGGTAAACACAAAAAGCCACACCTACGAGTATGTTGCCAAGCAGGTCCTAGAAAACGACGACGAAAAGCTGCTGGCAAATTTGACCACGTTCAACCTCAGAACCACCGACAAACAAAAACAAGAGCGCGCAAAGGTCGATCTTCCGTTCTTGCATGCCCAAGAAGTAGGCGACGGAGGTGCTCAGGGCGGAGCAATCGTGTATCATTTTGAGAAAGAAGACGATTACGACGAAGAAGATCCTTATGAAGATCCATTTTAATCTATGCTAAAATCCTATGCACATAGTAGCTCATCTCACTTGACATTTAGTGTTCGCAAGATCTCTTACAGATCTGGAGGTTTACGTTACCATGTCTATGGCGGCGATGTTTGACACTGCGCGTGAGTTTACGCTCAGCGCAGCGGACTCAGCTAGTCGTTTAGTAGATATGCGCCCACTCCAGATCAGCGAGATCCGAGCAATGCTAAACTCTGGTACGGAACGTGAAGTTCGAGTGGGGTTACAGTCCTTGTTCAGCTTGATCGCGAACGGTACCGACACCCGTGAGCTTTTTGCGGAGGTTGTCAAAAATGTGACGTCAAGCGACTTTACAGTTCGCCGTATGGTATATGCCTATTTGGAGAAATACTCCGACTATGAGCCGGAGCTGGCGCTAATGACCATCAATGGTATTCAGAAAACTTTGGCTAGTAACCAGAGCCCTGTGGCCCGGGCGATGGCATTGCGGGCAATTGCCTCAATAAAAGTTATAAGCATTTCATCAATTGTCGGCATGGCAATTTCAGAGGCCGCCAATGACCTCTCTCCCATTGTTCGAATTGCCTGTTGTCAGGCGATCGCCCGCTGTTATTCTTTAGACTCCTCAATGGGCCCAGAATTGCTTGGTGTGCTTGAGGGCCTTCTTAACGACAGTAACGACCCTGCTGTTTCTGGCTGGGCTCTTGCTGTTCTTGCTACGAGCTTTCCAAACCGTCTGGACTATCTGCATAAACCTTGGCGACGGCTCTGCAGCTCACTGGTATCATTTGACGAGTGGTGCCAAACTGTTAGCCTACCTTTTATGGTGAAATATGCTCGTCATTTCATGTCTGAGCAAGACCCTGACGTCAAACGTCTTCTTGAGGGTGCAAAGCCTCTCCTTCACAGCATGAATTCAGCTGTTGTGGTTGAAACAGCAGCAGTGTACTTTTATTTGGCTAGCACTGAAGATTTTGACCAATACAATGTCGCTCCGGCTTTAGTTTGTTTGAAGCAAACTGAACTCACCCTCCAAAACCTTGAAGTGTTGGTCACAGCTCGGCCACACAGTTTCGAGCGCTATTTGTCTTACTTTTACTTGAGCCCCTTGGATAACTCCGATACTCGTGTGCTCAAACTGAGGATGATTTCTAATATTACAAACAGTTCGAACTTCAGTGCTATTTTCCAGGAACTGCAGTACTATTCGCACTTACTGGAAGACGGTCGCTCGTTAACAGCAGTTATGCAGTGCCTTGCCTCTTGTGCTACAAAGACTCCCGCAAAGGTATCTTCCGTCATCAAGTGGCTGTTAACAGCGATTGCCTCAGATAAAAGACCAGTATTGGTTTCCCAGGCCCTCATGGCTTTGAGGTTCGTTTTACAACAAGAGAGCCAGGATCAAGAAACGAGACATCGTGCTTCAGCATTACATCAACTTGGTAAAGCACTGGATAATAGCGACTTACCACCAGATGCTTTAGCAACTACGCTGTGGTTGGTTGGTGAGTACTGTAGAGAACAGCCGGCTTTGGCCACCGAGGTCTTACGCAAACAGCTCAAACAACTGGCCCAGCAACCTGCTGAAGTTCGTTTACAGATTATCCAACTTGGGGCCAAACTATATTCACAGTATTTATCGGAGCCCTCCAGATTCGATGCTCGAGTGCCCAAGTTTTTCGAACATGCTATCTACTTGGGTCGCTATGATTCCAACTACGATATCAAAGACAAAGTACGCATGTTTCAAGTTTTGTTGAATGATAATGAGCACGAGCTTGCCACCTTAATGATTCAGGCCCGAAAGCCTCCACCTATGTTTGTAAGACCCGAGGAAGAATTCAAGTTCACTCTTGATTCGGGTAGCTTGAGTGTTGGTCACAACCTCACGGGATATATGAGCTTGGAGCCTTGGGGAAACAACGGAGATCCCGCTGATAGAGAAGATGATGTGGTAGTAGAGCCAACCGCACAGACTACCTCCATCTCCAAAAATACTGTACACCGAGAGGTTCCTATGTCCAAACTAAAAGAAAAAGTCAAAGCGGTATCTCTTGCTGAATTTCTCGAGTCGAGCTCTGCTGAAGAGTCTGACGACGAGGAAAGCAGCGAGGCCGATGACAGCAGCGATGCAGCGGACGATGATTTTGATGAAGATAGCGACGTTTAAACTGCATTATAATAAATATTCTTTTTTCTAAATCCACACGTCCATTTCAGGAACATCTACCGGGTAGTAAGGGACCATGGCGTCGGCGCTTTGAATATATGTCGAGTTGTACAGGATCCAATATGTCTCTCGTACTTTGCGAGCGGGGTGGAAGAGTCCTGCCCAGATATACGACAAAAATATGCCAGGACCCAGAGCATTCCTCAGACCCTCCATTCCTTCCATCACTCTATCAATAAGATGAGGAGACGTCTCGAAAATGTTGGGAATAAGCTCATTCAGAAAGTGCACCATGACATCTTCGTGATCCATACCTTGGCAGTCGAGCGCAATGTGCTTCACTGCAGAAGCCGCAATCTGTCGATGTACCTGATCTTTATCAGTAAGTGCGTGGTCAATTAGAGAGACAACTGAATGGAGGTAATCATTTGCCTGGGGACCAATGTATTCAAACATGAAAGCCAACGCTTTCAAGACGCCGTGCTGGACATTTTGATCTGGAGCCCGATATTCATTCAATAGCACTGGCAATACAGTGAAAGGCTCACACACATTGGCAACAATGCCAAGAGCAACGGCTGTATTTACTCGACTTTGACGTTCTTGCACCCGCAAATTGCTAAGCAAAGTAGCCAAAACGTCCTGAGGGCCAATACCTTTGGCAATGTAACCAAACGTATCGTTGGCCACTCGACGAATACTCATTCGTGAAGCTTTCATAAGTTCAAGAAGTTCATAACAAATACGAATCCATTCACGAGGGTTGGCATATTCAGCACCTAGGTCGGCAATCCGGCCAACCAAAATAATACAATTTTCTTGAACTTGTTCATGTGGGTTCCGTAAAATCGGTGTGAGGCGCGGTAAGAGGTCACTGACCGGTGGTTGAAGATGCTCGAGCCCAACAACAGAAACAATACCTTTGATTCCAGATAGAACAGCTGCAAGGGTTGCGGGATACTCTTCACCAAGCTGCTCATATAAGACTGCACTTAACTGAAGCAAAAAAGTTTCTTCTCCGGCAATTTGAATTGTGTTTGCGATATTGCCAATAATCAATGAAGCTTGCTGTCGCAGCTCTGGAACGGGCTTATTCAATTGATTCAGCAGTTCAGTTACCGATGATCCTAGATAAGGCCTTGCTCTAGGCCCAAGAGCTTTGAAAACTTCAGAAAATGCCTTAATAAAAGCTCTGTTTATCGTAGATCGATGCGCTAAAGCGGTCACTAAAGCATCGACAAGGCGTTGCTCTAGGCGCTCGGAAATATCAACCAACGAGTCAAGTTGAGCGATAGACTTGATCGCGTCAAAGGCCATTGTTTGCAATTTTTCTGCAGAGTCTGTCAAAGCCTGACGTTCAACAATTTGCTCAACTACTCGTGCGGTCCCTACACGACTCGCGATATCATTAGTTGTTTCAACAACGAGCCACGCTAATCGCTTTTCTAATGCAATCCGACGTATCCAAAAGTTTTGGAAGAAATCAGGGAGAGCATCGCGAATTTGGCTAAGCTCAAGTCCATCAGACGCGCAACATTTGCGAACGACCTGCAGAACGACTTTACGCATTTCATCTTCCGATGCGGGAAATTGCTTGATGGCCACTTCTAAAACTCTTTTTGTGTAAAACTTTGAGCTTTCTGGATCCATTAGTGGCACCAAGGCACCGAGTGCTCTGAGGCATCCTGCGAGAGCTTTACCTCTATAATGCCTCACACCAACCCAAAGAGGTTCCATTGCGATTTCAAAGGCTTCAATACCATAAGGACTTGAAGCTTCTGCCAAAGTAGATAAAGCAATACAAGCGGCAGAACGAATTTTGGGGTGGCCGTCGTTCAATCCTACAACGGAGACAGCAACAAGTCCTGTTAAATAGGGCAAAACAGCACAGCCAACCAACCGTCCAAGATAATGTATCGTCCTTAGACCAGTGAATTTAGCATGCCAAGAATCCTGGGTACGCACAGCAGCGGCCAGAAACGGAAGTAATCTTTGGATGCCCAGTGCTTGGCCAACAATGGCTAACGACTCGGCCGTGGTGTTTCGCACAAACTCGTCAGGGTGATCGATATCTGATCTCAAAGTGGAAAGCATTGTTTTCAGCCCCACAGCCTCAGAAAGACTTAGAATCACTTCACGGCCTTCTTTCCGCGCAATAACATCAGCATCAACCAGGAGCGGCTGAACCACGACCAAAATTTTGTGGGTAAACGGAGCAGCCAATGATTGGAGCTGAAACAGTACACGACTCAAGACTTTGATCAAAAGATGTCGCTCTTTTTCATCCAACGATGCAGTCTTCAAGAGAGGTATAATTTGTCCAAACAATGTGGGGGCACCAATCGCCCGCGCCTCCTCGGTGATTTGACGCATTGCCTGCTTTCTTACAGTGGGTACGCCGTTTTTTATGCGCAGTAATAGTTTTAAAACTTTCAAATCTTGTGAATCAATGTCCTTTGCACCAACAAGGGCTTTAAAATGTTCCGCATCAGCTTCCTTGAAAAACTGCAAAGCACCAATATCTGGAACATCCTCAGGAACAATTGGGATTGACTCTACAACTGGGTCGGCAACTACCATCGTAAACCCATTACTTTTGGGGGTTTCCTTCATCTTATTGGCGCCAATTGTTATCGGCTCATAATTTTCCGGTACCGGCACGATCTTGTAGCCCTCAGGGAGTAGAATGTCCAAAAGAGCATCGTTCAGCTCCAAAGGCGGCTTCTTGGACAACTGCTCCTCTTCCACATCTTCTTTCGTGTCCTCTAATTTGGCCTCCTCAAATGCCCTTTTCATAAGAGTTCACGTTACATAAGAGCTCTCCGTCCTGATCTTAACCGTATGCTAGCATGGTTATTGGTCTTAGCTAGCGGGATTCTCGCATCTACAAACGGCGAGAGCTACCATGAGGACCTTGTCTTACGCCCTTTACCCAAGAATAAGTTGCTTTCCAGCTTCAGATTCGTTGCTGAACAACGTGATCCTCAGTTAGCGTCCGGAGAGTTGACAGAGTATACCACTTTCCCGCGTTCCCTTGGACAGATCATGTCCCGCGCAAGCACCCATGAGCTACATTTGCGATTTTCACAGGGATGGTGGGATGCAGAGTCCTGGGGTGTCCCCCCTGCCAATGGCACGTACGCTGGAGGAGTTGGTGTGGAGATGTGGGCCTGGGTAGCTGGCGAAGATCTCGCCGATGCTCAGGCCAATTGGCATAGACTCGCCCATTCATTGAGCGGGTTTTTCTGTGCTTCATTAAACTTTCTTGACCAGACGGTGACTACGCATTTGGAGTCCGATGCTTTGCCGCGTTCAGGTGACTCCAGTGATGAGAATCTTTACTTGCTTCGTGGCGCTCTGCCCGCTGAGCCGGTTTGTACAGAAAACCTCACACCTTTCATTAAATTGCTGCCATGTAAATCCAGGGCTGGCATTGCGTCACTGTTGGACGGTCATCAGCTTTTCGATTCGCAGTGGCAGACCATGAGTGTTGATGTTGATCATATTGGCGACCGTTTGCGACTCACTCAGGTTGTGTCCAATGTTATTGATGTTCCCCATATGCAGAGACGCCGTCGTGACCCTCTCCCTCGGCCGGAACCCTACGCAGATTTGATCTGCAAAGAGAGGGAATGGTCGGCGGATTACATTTGTCTTCCAGACGATCCTCGTAGTGCAAACTGGGTAATTTCTGAAATTTTCGATAAAGAATTAGCTCCGGCATGCCCGCTGGCGGGTGATGGACCTCATGTGTTTGTTGAAGCCAGTGACAATTGGACTGTTAAAGTAGGTGGAAACGTCACCTCGGGTAGCGTTTCATTCAGTTTGGGCTCTGAACCTGTGGACCTAGTTTTGAGCTCTGAGGACGGGCTTGTTGTTTTGGAGAATAAGGTGCCGGATGTATTTGTAGACCGATCCTTTACGGGTTACGGCCAGCAGTCAGGTGGCTTACGGACTGTATTTACAAACCCCCATGATGTCGAGGTTTCTTTGGTCTATATTGAAAACCTTCCTTGGTATATGAGGTTATATCTCCACACGATGAGTGGAGATCTCGACATTGTTGAAGATATCAGCTATACATCTGCCGAGGACCGTACAAGGCCGTCCAAGGTTCAACTTCACATCCGCCTCCCACCGTTGAGCCAAAGTTCGATCGAATACAAGTTCGACAAGTCTCTATTGTATATTGAAGAGTATCCTCCTGATGCCAACCATGGGTTTGAAGTTCCACCGGCTCTGGCTCTTACTTCTACAGGATACTCTACTCGCACCACTTCGCTTTTGCTCAGTCTGGCTGTTCCTGACTTCAGCATGCCCTACAATGTGATTATTCTCACCTGCACCACAATGGCAATGTTCCTTGGGTCGTTCGTGAACCTTATTGTCAAGAAGGTTGTTCCTGAACCACTGGGGGAGAAGATTCTGGTCGAGTCCTCGCTTAAACGAAGAATCCAAGCGTTTAAAACAAAATTAATTGGAAACTAAGTATTTCGGCATTAGAATATATAACATTACAGTTTATTAATTAGCAATCATTTGATGGAAGAGAGCCGACCGAGCAGAACTGTCAATGGAGTCTTGCCGTTATTAGAGTTTTCGACCAGCCAGTTTTCGAGATCCGTTTTGACATCCTGCAAACAACGGTTAGGGAGAGAAGGTGGGTTAAGCATTGCATCAAAGAAACTCATCCACATGTCGACATTCATGGCATCGCGGCACTCAGGAAGCCCGTGCTGAGGGACTTTGCGACCTTTATGGTCTAAAGTCACAACAAGGGGCCTCAAAGCGAGAATTCTGTACACGATATTTGCGATGCCATGGTAGTCTGTTTCAAAAGTGTATGGCTGACCCCGGCAAATTTCCCAGCAATCCTGCTGCTTATCCGGGTTCCAGCCAGCACCAAACTTTTGGCCCGGAGGAAACAGCCGTAAATCAATTGCACGTCCAAAGTCGAGCAAAACAATTCCATGTTGGTCCCACACTTTAGAAGAGCGCATGTAGTTACCAACAGCCTTGACGCCTCCGGTGGGTGTGCGGAGCATTACATTTTCCGGTTTGAGATCGCCGTGAATGATGTCAACATCATGGAGAGCATTGATAAGACGAAGCAGCTCAATGGCAAAGTATGCAGCAAGCCGCTCAAGCTCTTTAGGCGCGGGCTCACTATTATGAACCACTTCAGTAACTTTGAGCAGCGTTCCTCGGGTATAGTGGGGCATGATTGTGTATTGCTCATCTGTATATCCTTGGTAGTGAACAACCTCAACCAACGACGACAAGACACGGGGATCCTCAATTCGAGTTCTAGCAGCTAGCACATTGTATAACTCCCACGGAATCCCACCCTTTTCGATTTTAACTGCGTAGCCAGCCAACTGCCCTACTTGAGCTCTGTACACGCAGCCAAACCCACCCACGCCAAGCAATCTTTGAAGATGGAGTCTCATTCCGGAGATATCCACGTCAACGTTAACACTGTTTTTAGCGGCCTTTTTGGGCAAAGCCGGTAGTAAATTTTTGACAGAGTTCTCGTGGTGATAAAAGGGAACGCTCTCCAATACCTGGGTCAACTGGCCTCTCATCATTAATCTGAGCTTTTCGTTTGTTGCATCAATGACTTCTGGCAAGTTAGGAATATTGATAGGTACAGTCTGCAGCACGAATCCAGGGGGAAGAGGCTTAAACTCAACCTTCGTCGTCATAGCATTAGGAATATTGGGGCTGGCAGTAAGGCTGTTATCAGAAGCCGGGGAGCTGATTTGGCCCATATATGGATCGGGCTTCTGACCCCAGCGCTGATTCGACATTTGCTGGCGGTATCGAGCATCTTGAGCTACTTGGGTCGCTTTCATTTGCTGAGCATACTGCTGCTGCATCCGTTGTTGACGAGCAATAATAGCCTGGCGCTCACGTTCTTTCGCCAACTCTATGTGGTTAGGTTGAACAGGGCTTGACATCCACTTGGTATTCCCCCCAACTGTTGGGTTATAACTTGTACCAAACTGAGCACCTAAGGTTCCATTAAAGGTATTGATTTGGGTGTTTTGCCTTCTTGGGTCCCATTCTGTATTGGATTGGTTGCCATTGAAGCCCATAAACTGCTGAGTATTCTCACCAACAGCCTCAGCAATCGGTTTAGCAGCCCGTTCTTCGATCTTTGCGGCCATTTCTTGCCGTTTTTGTTCCTCATACCAAGTATCACGAGGCTCTTTTACAGTAATTCCACGATTGAGAATCATGATTTCCGAGAAACTCCGTGGACCATCCGGCCTGGTCAAAGCCGGAATATCGACCATCCAGCGTTCATTGCGAGAAGATGGTAATACTTCGTAGGGTGACACCTGCTGCCTGCCATCACACCAGACTTTCATAATTTTGCGCGGTCGGGGCGATATATCCTGGGGGATTGTTTGATTAACCCAAGGCTGAGCAGACATGTTATTTTCCTTTGCCGGCTCGAGAAGAGTTGCCAGGGCGGCTTCATTGATAGGGCCGTTTCGGTCAATATTCTCCACATTTTCATCCTCACTATCATCCTCAACATAGATTTGCAGCTTTTTATGAGGTACCAAAATTGCTGATGGCGCGTAAGGTGCAGGGCGTCGGTGAGCGAGGACCTGACGCGTCGGTGACGGTAAAGGCGCCTCGTCTGGCTCTGAAGGTGAGGCTTGAATATCACCATACTTTTGCAAAAAGACGTCAAAACTGGATTGCAACCTTTGTGATGGCTGGGCGTTCTCCTGGAGCCCGAATAAGAACACGTCTCGGGCATGTCTAATCCAATTTTTGGAGCACAATAATTTGGCGTATTCTTCATAAAACAGGGCAAGTTTGGAAGCAATTCGCTTTTGTGCAATGTACTTGAATACAAGGACCGGGTCGGAAGCCAGCTTTGCGAATTCTAACCAAAGCCGAAGGTACTTTACGTTGTTTTCGTAGACTGGGTTTTGACGAAACCGAAGAGTGCCATCAACAAGAGTCTTTTTGAGAAGCGTTTTCGCGACCTCGGTTGAAAATATGTGCAGAGCGTCAATGCGCTCGATGTATAACTGGATAGGGTCGTCTAGTGTACCCAAAGCCTTGTCAATTCGAGCCACAAAATCGCTGTGGCTTTCCACGCCTGGGTTTGAGGCGCTTGTCGGGTCCCTTGCGCGCTCATTCAGCGTATGAGCCAGTATTTCGGCATCATGACCTACCGCACGAGGTTGCACATTCTCCTTTTGCTGCTCGAGGCCAGTTGCCAGCGCATCCATTCCGCCGAAATATAATATAAAGTTTGTTCGACTTTCCGACGGCAGGTGATCTTCTCTTCTGCTTAGTCAAGTGGTGCGCACCCAACTCTGGGGCAGATTGAAATTGAAGATCGCCAACTGCCTAAAAAAAAATCCTTCGATTACTCATAAAATCTTTCCACATCTAAACCTCAAAAGAAGAAATGGACAATAAAGTGCTGGGTATTTTAGGTGGCGGGCAATTAGGACGCATGACCGTTGAGGCAGCGAACCGTCTTAATGTCCGAACAATTATTCTTGATGCCGAGGGAGCACCTGCCAAGCAGATTAATGCCGGCGAGCACGTCACTGGTAAATTTTCCGACCCCAAGGGCATTGCCGAGCTGGCTGAAAAGGCTGATGTCGTCACAATTGAAATTGAACATGTCGATACCGATGCCCTCAAGAAGGTCACCAAGCCTGTTGCCCCAGCGGCTGAAACTATCGCCATTATCCAGGACAAGTATCTGCAGAAGCTTCACTTGGCAAAGCACGGCGTAGACACTGCTTATTCTGAAGCCCTGGACTCCAATGCCGAGTCTTTAGCCGCCTTTGGTGCCAAGCAGGGCTTCCCCTTCATGCTCAAGTCTCGTCGTGACGCCTACGACGGAAGAGGTAATTTTGTCGTCAAGGACCAGGCCAGTATTCTGGAGGCTCTGGCTACTCTGTCTAACCGTGCGCTTTACGGAGAGAAATGGGCTCCTTTCACTAAAGAACTTGCCGTTATGGTCGTTCGCAGCAACAGCGGTGAGGTTTTCGCCTATCCTACTGTTGAGACAATCCACAAAAACAATATTTGTCACTTAGTATTTGCTCCAGCCCAGGTCGCAGGCCCTATTTTGAAGGCTGCACAGCTATTGGCAAAAAATGCAGTTGCTTCTTTTAAAGGTGCAGGTATTTTTGGTGTCGAAATGTTCCTGTTGCCCTCAGGTGAGCTGCTAATCAACGAAATTGCTCCTCGCCCGCACAACTCAGGACATTACACTCAGGATGCTTGTGTCACCAGTCAATTCGAAGCACACGTTCGTGCTTGTCTTGATCTCCCTATGCCTGAGGGTTTCACGGAGCTCACTACCACAACCACCCACGCTATCATGTTGAACGTTTTGGGCGGCGAAGTCTTCAATTCCGAACTTGAAGATTGCCGCAGAGCACTGGAAACACCCGGCTGTGCTGTTCACCTCTACGGCAAGGAGTCTCGCCCCAACCGCAAGGTCGGACACATCAATATTGTTGGCAACTCGATGGCGGAGTGCTTGACTAAACTGGCAATTGTCCAAGGTAAGGAACCCTCCACCGCATTGGCTCCTCGTGTGGGCGTCATTATGGGATCGGACAGTGATTTGCCGGTCATGAAGGCTGCCTGCAAGGTCCTTGAGGACTTTGGTGTTCCTTTCGAAGTCAGCATCGTGTCCGCGCATCGCACCCCCGCTAAAATGGTTGAATACGCGGAAACCGCTGAAAGCCGCGGTTTGCAAGCTATCATTGCTGGTGCTGGTGGTGCCGCACATTTGCCTGGTATGGTCGCCGCCTCTACTATCTTGCCCGTTATTGGTGTGCCGGTCAAAGGCTCGACTCTGGACGGTGTTGACTCTTTGCACTCTATCGTTCAAATGCCTCGTGGTGTTCCTGTTGCCACCGTTGCTATTAACAATGCTATGAATGCTGGCCTTCTTGCTGTCCGTATCCTTGGCTCCTCAGATGCAAGTCTCCGCGGCAAGCTGCAAGAGTTCGCCGACCAGCAACGCGAAGAGGTTTACGCCAAAGATGAGCATCTCCGCAAAGTCGGCCATGCCGAATACAAGTGGCCTCTCGCATAAATTAATTACTCAGTACACAAAACAAAACGAAAGCTATTTTTCTAATGTAATGCAATCGAGTCTACTGGCTAATAAGCGTGGGCCGCGGGCCGCCTCCATTACCACCTCCAGTGCCGCCCGCCCAAAACTGGAACACGAAATTAACACCGAGAGCTGCAGCCAGGGCGACGCAAATGATCAATGGACCAATTTGGTCGTCGTAACGAATGGCCAGTTTGTTGCGAATAGCATGCATGCGGTAGAGATAGATGAAGATAGCATAGATGATGGTGCCAAAGGCAACAAGGAAGAACCCAATAGAGGCCTGAACGGCAATATCATTACCGTAGTTCAGAAGTCCGCCAGCGACGGCGCTCAAGAGAATGCCAATTTCCACCCAAGCCAAGAAAGTACGCTCGTTGGCAAAGTAAACTTTGGGCTCGATACGTACGGGGACACAAAGTGTCTTTCCAGGCGGCAGTTTGATATTTTCAAGGTAGACTGTTCCGTCGGGCTCAGTGGCAACCTGGACGTCCAATGCAAATGCTTTTCGAAACCAAGCAATTGCTTTGCCAACCAAACCAAGGTGCGCATCGGTAGTGGAGGCATTGGGGGAATATTCTCCCGATCCAGTAAGAAGACGGGTGGCTTCGGTAGCATGCGGGTGTGCTGAAGCTTGAAAGTGCACAGACCCTGTGTTGCCGGCTTCCAAGTCGACACCGGTGCCTTGAGAAACGGGCCGTTCGATGCCATAAGATTGCTGTGAGGGCTTGCGAATATCAACATCCATTTGAGGGAGCCAGAATGGAATCAATTTGACCATATCAGGAAGTAAGACTGCAGTGCCGTGAATGAACTTGGAGAACTTGGGTACGGCTTCTACCAGGTGAGAAGACACCAAATCGCGGACCCACTGTGGAGGCTCTTGTCCAAGCTGGGTTTGCAGTTTAACCTCAAGAACCGCATAAGGGAAGCGCTCTATGTCTTTAGGAGGCAACTGGTTGAACGGCCAATCAACGCCGATGTCCATACGACGCCAATTTTTATGCGAGCGATCGAGGCCATCAAAATTATCTTCACGGATCATAGACAACTCTGTATCCAGAGAAATACGCACACGGGCATCGCCAGGCAATTGGAAAGCAGTACGATTATAGAATGAGCGGACAACCGGACGAAGCTTTTTAGAAATCACCCGATATTGAATCTCACTTGCCAGTGCCTCGAGATTTTCAATCTCTTTGATGCTCTTCTTTTTTTCTTTGCGCATTTTGGCAAACGCCTGCTCCACAGAGTATTTTCCAGACAGGAAATCGTTGACATATTTCTCTTTGAGCGGGAAGCGGGCCTTGACGGACTTTTCGCCAGTCCAGTCCTCACGATGGGTCTTGCGTTCGACAAAAATAGTGTCGGAAGACATACCACCGTACCAACGGAGGCGGATCGCTTCAGCACCTTCTGATTTTTCCAATCGACCTAGGTAAAGGTCCAAGTGCGAATTGTCATAGTAAATAGATGTGATGGCACTATCTTCGCGCTCAAACTCTTTCTTGGCATTAAAAACCAGAACAGGCAGGTGTTTGAGAATGATGAGCTTGAGCTCCGTGATGTTATTGGGGTGGACCCAGTACTTTGTAGTTTGACGAACAAAGTTCTGCTGGCTACCACCGGCGGAAGAATCACCAACGACAGGGTGGCCACGTGTGCGCACTAGGTCGTAAAGCTTTGACAGCTTGACGACTAGCACGTCATAGTTTTCGTTGAAAAAGGGCTTGGAATTGAGACGGGCTGCGAAAATGGGCTTGAGGGTCCAGCCAGTGAGCTTGTCGTGCTTTTTGATGATTTTTTGGAATCCAGTGTAGTTCAATTGAGCAAACTTGGCCATATCGTGAACATCTGCTATCACAGACGACAGGTCCTCTTCGAGGTCCTCAAACTGCTGTTCGTCCACACTATTGGGGTTTGTCTCCGATTGCTCAATGACTCGCTCGACATCCTTTTCGGCCTGAGTAATTCGCCTGTTGATTTCTGTGGACTTGACCCGCTGGAAAGTGTACACCTTGTCTAGCTCGCTCTCCAGGAGAGTCACAAATCTTTCCTCGGCCACATCAGACCACGAGTTGGAGCTCAGGCCCTTGGACAGCTCATACTTGAGGTCATCGTAGGCAATATAGTAGTAAAAGTAGTCCTTGATCAAGGACGTTTTCAATTGTTCGCCGAACTTCATGCTTTCGGTTCGGGGCGCCTACCCTATTGGAGTGAACTGCTTGTGGTTTGATCCTGCAGTTGAAAGTGCTTGGGGGGCACGTGCTGCATGGTTATAGCCGCCCTTATAACGTCCCCAGCACCCCCCCTCGCCCCAGACCCAGGGTAGGGTAACACACTGATCTCTGGCTTTGGCTGGGAGAGATATTCATAGGGCAAGTTTTTCCTCCACGCTGAGAACCAGTGCATTTCCCTGCATAATTGCTTGAGCACAAAGATGGGCATCTTTCTTCGCGAAAAGGCCTTGCCTGGCCTCAAGAAGTACAAATACTCTTCAGTGGACAAATCCCTGATATCAAAGTACGTTCTGAAACCGTTTTATACGCGGTTTGTCGATGTGTTCCCGCTGTGGCTAGCTCCTAATCTCATCACGTTGCTGGGGCTGGCGTTCACGGGGATTTCCGTGATCCTGACGTTCATTTACAACCCGCAATTTAACTCAACCTACCCAAGCTGGGTTTATTTCGTGTTTGCCATCAACCAGTTCTTGTACCAGACCTTTGATGCCTGTGACGGTCTCCAGGCCCGTCGCACCGAGTCGTCGAGTCCCCTGGGAGAGCTGTTCGACCACTGTGTTGATGCAATCAACACTACTCTTGGGGTAATTGTGTTTTCCTCCGTCATGAACTACTCGCCATTGATTATTATTTTGGCACTGTTCAGTACCTCGCTGAACTTTTATTTGTCGACCTGGGAAGAATATCACACCGGGACGCTCTACCTTTCTATCTTCTCTGGACCAGTTGAGGGCGTGTTAATTGTGGTCGGCATGGAGATCATCACCGGCATCACCGGCCCAGAACTATGGAACGACCCCCGCAGCTTTTTGTTTGGGTTTTCCATGAACGAAGTCTCCCAGCCCTCGCTGCTCCTGGGTCTGTTTTACAACGCCTATGAAGCGCTCAAAAACGTCAACAAGGTGTACAAAGGGAAAGACAACCAGGCAGCTAAGGGCATGCTACCGTTTGTTGTTCTGTGGATTGGCATGGCTGCCTGGGTCAGCGTAGCACCTTATTTGATCCACGAGTACATGATTGTCTTCCTGCTCACTTTTGGCCTTATATTTGCCCTTCTTGTCGGTCGCATAATCACTGCTCATGTCACCCACCAGAATTTCCCGATGTACAATCCTTTGGTTTGCATTCCCTACGCTGCGGCAGCCTCGCACTACGCGTCGTCGCTGTTTGGCGGCTGGCCCATTGTCCACGACCTGTACTTTTTGTACGTCAGCCTCGGCTTCTCCCTGGCCGTCTATGGCCTGTTTGTCGCTGAAGTCATCCAAGAGATCACGGAATACCTGGATATTGGCTGCCTCTACATCAAACACAAAAAGAACTGATCTATTTTCCAGGGTAAGGGCGCCGAACCACCGTATTCCCGTAGCTACACAACAACCGTCTTTATTATACAACAGTGCTGTCATTGATTGTGATAAATGGACATGCTCCGGTCCTTGGTATCGTTTCGGCGCAACACTTTTAAGGATGCGCAAGGCTCAATTGATCTCACGTATGTAACGCCGCAGCTGATTGTGGCATCGATGCCCACAACTGCCTATTGGGAAACTTACTATCGCACGGGTGTCGAAGAGCTCCGTAAGTTTCTCCAAAACCATCACGATGAAAATTGGCACATTTGGAACCTTCAAATGCCCGACGAGCGCGGGTACAATGAGGAGGACTTTGCCTTCAAAGTAACCCTTCGACCGGTTCCAGATCATTGTGCTATCCCATTTGGACTGCTCATAGCAATAGTCCGTGAAATCAACGACTACCTGGTGCAAAACTCCAATAATGTTGCTCTTATCCATTGCAAGGCGGGCCAGGGCAGATCTGGCTCCGTGGCATGCGCGTATCTTCAAGTCTATCACCACCACACTTTTGAAACTGCAAACTCAATGTTTACCTTAAAGCGCATTAGACCCTTTATGGGCCCCGGGGTGTCGATCGCTAGCCAAGTCAGGTACCTGCGCTACATTGACGATTGGAATGCCTCTGGCCAGTTCCCTCTCGATGCATTGCAGCATATGCGGGTGCAGCTAAGATGTATTGTACTACGCAATCCTTTATCAATGGATTTCAAGGTACGTGTTGCCGACTTTGGAAGTGAGTATGTCGTCCATAATGAGGCTGAATGGACCACCGACCAGCGCACATCGAACTCGGGCTCGTCCATAATTGTACTAAGACCCAGCCGCAGTGCACCACTATGGCTGGCTCCTGATATTCAGCTCACATTCACACGATCCGTATCGGTAGCTGGCGTCAACTTGACCCACACGGCAGCCTCCGCCTGGTTCAATGCCTTCATGGAAACCGCGCGATTGGCCGCCGCAGAAACTGTCCGCATCCCCACATCAGCTGCCCCCACTCCTTCAATGTCGCCTGAGTCTCCACTTAAAGGGCGGTTTTCCTGCAACTGGGCGAACTTTGAAGGTTTCTGGGGCACATCATTGCGAGGACCGCCTGCTTTTGAATCTATGGAGGTCTATTGGCAATAAATATATACTGTCGCAAATCATTAGTTGTATGAGCTATCTGCTCCTAAATTTATTAAAAGTTTACTATTCTTGTTTCTCGATCGAACGCGTCGGGGGTGTAAGACTCGCGTCGAGCTCTGTCGCCCTGCCCAATTATTGACCCTTACCCTCACACACAAAAAGTCGAGGGTGGGGACATTCACTTGAAATTAACCACAATAGCAGTGAATACTATGCCTGGGACGACTGCGGGTGTGGTTTGCGATCTGTATAATTCGGATGGGGCGGCGTCTGCAAACCAATCTCTGGACGATATTGCGTTAGGGAACGAGTCCAGTGAGTTCGAGGAGATGATTCCTGAACGAGGCTCTAGCGAATCGACAGCGGTTTCCGAGTCGGAGACGCATGAGGTTTTTGGCGTAAAAAAGAGACCTCAAAGTTTGTTGAGCAGCAATACACGAAACTACAAGCTCAGGTCTAGTTTTGCTGGCTTGGACCTTAGCGAAGAAGAGCTCACAGACAACCTTCTCACCCCAACGATGAACCAGGGGCTACTTCAATTTGGCGACAAGCAAAGCCGTTCAAGGATTTCAAGCTCCCAGAGTGTTACCAGCGCCGGAACTTATTCTGCCCTGGGAGTGCGTGGAGAACAGAGCAAAATTGAGTCGCTACAAAGCGAAAACTTTCAGCTGAAACTGAAGATTTCAATTATGGAACGAGAAAGAAAAGATCTTGGCAAGACCTCTGAAAACCTCGGTGACTTACGTGCCGAGTATGAGAAGTACAAAGCCAAGGCTATTGAAATGGAGAGTCGAGTCGACACACTGATGCACCAGCGAAGACGCGAACTTGACGAAGACTTTAAAGAACTAGAGTCGGAACTCAGTTCTGTGCGCAAAGAACTCAAGGCACTGCAAACAAGTTACAAGGAAGAGGTGAATCTGCATTCCGAAACAAAGCAACAAGTCGAAACCCTCAGAGCACAGCTAGACCAGCTCGAACAGTCCGGCAAAGAGGCTGGGCTTGCCTTGGAAAAGAAAGGGAGCGAACTTGATGAGAGCGATAAACTCCGACTCACACTGCAAGAAGAAATCGAAGCACTCAAGGATGAAATTACAAACCTGAAAGATAATACCAAGTCTCTGGAGGAAAAAATCCAAGAGAGCAACGAAACCGAATCCTCAACCGTCCAGAGAGTCAGCGAGCTATTTGAGTCAATAGCGCATTTGGACTACGAATTTATCCACGATGTCAAAGTTTCCAGCCCTACAGAGGGGATTTTGGAACTCGGGAAACTTGTTGTCGAGGTTTTCAACTATTTAAGCGAAGAAGAAGCTACGCTGCAACAAGCAATGGATCAACTTGAACTCTTGAGCAATCGAGTTGGTGACCAGGACCATTTGTTGAATGCAGTTTCCGCAGCGTTTGGGTCGTCGTCGTCGCACGATCAGCTTCCTATGCAGATTTCGTCTGTTGTTACCGAAAACCAGGCTCTCCAGGACCAATTGAAACAAAATGAACTCAATAAGATTGAATTGATCGACAACATGGAAAGGTCTCATCAGAAGGCTCTGCAGACTCAACAGAATCGAGCGGATATTGCTGAAGAGGAGTTGAACACACTCCGGAAAAAGTACTCGCAGCTGATCGAGAAAGTGGAGGAGATGAACAACCGTAGTTACAATATCCTCAAGATCTTTTTCCGACGCATTAGCGCCCAGCTGGGCTCGGAATATATGGATCGTATCAACTCTGAGCTGAATGCGATTGTCGCAAAATCTGAGTCTTCAGGTAGATCCAAGCTCCCTCTTTTAACGGACCTCATGGCTGCATATGTTGACGAGTTTTGTCGCATGATTAAGTCCCCTGAACGCAAGCCCCGCGAGCTGGCAGATCTAAAAGAAAAAGTGAGATCTCTTGAAGCTATCCTGACAGAAGAATTGAAGCACCGTGGTGCAGATAAAGTTTTGTTGGCGCGGTATAAAGAACTGGAAACAAAATTGAAGGATGAACAAGAAAAGCGACGCCTTGAATATGACTCCTATCAAAGAAAGCTCGCCAATCTATCCCTCTGACGCCCTTGCCCTGCAAATACACTGGCGGGCCGGTTTTGTCAGCTTCAAGTTTTTTAGGCTCCACACTAGGTCCTGAAAATGTCAACTTTGCAGGATCCGCTTGCAAAGCCGGTATGGCCCCAGATATCAACCGAGCTAGAAGAGCAGTTGGTTGCTGTTCTTTGCAACCTACTGGCGCCGCTGGGCTCTGTAAAAGAACCCGCATCTATCCCTGATCTTTTCTCTCGCGTCACAGTTGGCTTCAATTCTACAATGGCTGCGGTCGAAGAACATTTCGGAGATGGACCCAAGCTCGAAGCGATCATTGTTTGTCGTGGCGACCTCGAGCCCATGATTTACTCGCCGTTTGGTCTTGCCAGCTCCGCCGGTCAAATTCGCCTCGTCCCCTTATCGAAAGGTTCTGCTCTGAAACTGTCAACATCGAGCGGTCGTGAGGCTACGGCTATTGGTATTAGGAGTGGCGTCGACGCTGTTACGAAACTGATTGGTGACGTTGGCTATGCACAGACTAATTGGGCTTTCGCTTCGCCCCAACTTTTATCCCGAAGACCTGCTAAAGCAAAGGCAAACAACAAGAAAACAAAACCTGTAGCTTAATTTATTTATTATTGTTATTTTTTTCCCACTAATCTCCAGCTCAGCTCGTCATATCCACACACATCTGCTTACAGTGTTTGATTAGATCACGCATCTTACACCTTAGGCGAGAAAACCGTGATTTGCAACATACCGCATGGATGCGCCGAGTACACCGCGTCGGGCAATGGGCTCACGCATGGTCTGCGCCACTCCAAGACGCGGAAAGGCCCCAAACAACTATTCTCTGGGCGAGCGTATAGGACGCGGTGCATTCGCGACTGTTTACAAGGCCATTGATCTGAAGACAGGCGAGTTTGTTGCGATCAAGGAAATCCCGCTGGCAAAGCTTGGGTCTGTAGACTCGATTATGAGCGAGATTGAGCTTTTGCAAGAGCTGGAGCACCCCAACATTGTCAAGTATTTGGGATTCATGAAGGATCAGGAGCGGCTGAGTATCGTTCTCGAATACTGTGAGAACGGGTCTTTGGCAGCGATTGGGAAACGATTTGGTTCTTTCCCCGAAAATCTGGTTGCCATGTACATGCGACAGGTGCTGGAGGGTCTAGTTTATTTGCATGCTCAGGGAACCATTCACCGAGACATTAAGGGTGGTAATATCTTGACCACAAAGGATGGTGTTGCAAAATTGGCAGACTTTGGGGTTGCTACTAAAACTATAACGCATGGTGGAGGGGGTGCGCTTGTAGGAACACCTCACTGGATGGCTCCAGAGATCATTCAACTCGAAGAGCCCACGTCAGCTTGCGATATTTGGAGTGTGGGCTGCACGGTAGTTGAATTGAGACGTGGACAGCCCCCCTATGGTGACCTTCCTGATTTTTCAGCCATGTATGCCGTCGTTCAGAACGATGAAATGCCAATACCAAACGACGCAAGTAGCAGCCTGGCAGATTTCTTATCGCTCTGTTTCGAGAAAGACCCTGCGCTGCGAATATCGGCCGCAGATTTACTTGACCACAGATGGATCCGCAAACACAACGGACACATGGCACCGAATGATGCCGTCAAGACCGTCCAAAACTGGAATGACCAAACTCGCAGACGAAAACTGCATGTTCCCTCTCGACTAAATTTAAAGGCTGCATATGCTGATGTTTCGACTGAGCTTGTCAAATATATTGACAACGACTCTTTTGAAGACGGATTTGGTAGTATTTATGTTGATGATCGATTCAAACAAGATATACCACCAGAAGACCCTCCCAAGGAAGCTCATGCCAGTTTGATTCCTTCGTGCCAAAGAAAGGGGATTGAGTTTTATGCGGAGGACGAAGGCTCTTTTGAGGAAAACTTTGAAAATGGCAGTGTGGGTATGCTCAAGTTTGCTCATACTGATCACAACAACTCTATCGACCCTTTCAAGGGCCTTGAGAGTCTGAACGACGCTCAGAATGAGCGCCTCGCTGCGGCACAAGAAGAGGCTGAACAGCTTTCTCGAGCTATTTCTGAAGGAAAATTACAAGAGCTAGACATGAAATATGGGCGACTTTGCGAATTACTCGTAGCAGAACCAGCAGTCAAACAGATTATCATTGGCCATGACCATTTTTCGACCTCACTCAAAATTCTCAGGGATGCTCCTGAGCAAGCAAAACCTGTACTTGACTTACTGCATATTTTACTCAAAGGTGATAGCTCTGCAATTGAGTCTTTCAGTCTGGCTGGAGGGCTCTCGGTTCTCCACAGCTTGGTTGGAACCTACGACTTGCAAGTCGCCACGTTACTCTGGGATATATGCGAAGCCTATGAGTTTGGCGCGCGTTTGTTAGCTAGCCGTGATGATACTCTGCTTGCGCTCTGTGACTACGTTTCTTCCAAATCGGATATGCATGTATTGGGTTTAGCGACCCAGTGTTTACTGGCTATTTTTCAACAGTTTGGAGCTCGCAAACGCAACGAGCTCTGGCAGCAACTTGGTCGTTTTTCGCTGGTCGAAAAGGTTATCGAGGTCTTAGAGTATGCATACATCTCGTCAGGTACTGATGGTGCTGCGACGAATAATCTTTATGAGATTCTCACTTCATTTTCTAAAACACCCCCTGTGATAGCTGAGCAACATATTGACCGGCGTCATTTACGACTTCTAATGCGATGCTATCGACATCTTCCAGCAGATGCTCCTCAAAGGCTTGTTATTCTACAAGTTTTTAAAGAGTTTTCAAGAATGCCTAAAATCATTTCTGCTATGCAAATGGGTCAGTTGGAACGATACTTTGTCGATATTCTTCGACGGGCGTTCGCAGAACGTTCTAAGACTCAACATTCTATTGCAGGTTTGGTTTTGCCAGTCCTGTACAACTTTTGCCGTTTGTCTGTAGATCGCCAATACGAGGCAGCGAGGTCCGGTGTGATTCCACTGTTGATGGAAACGCCGTCACGCGAAAAGTCCTTGAAAGACTTTGCGCTACCCACAATATGTGTGATGGCTCATAACGCCAAATGTCGCCCTTACTTATGGGGTGCCGATACTATGAGGTTCTTCATTAGGCTCGTTACGGAGCGGGGCTACGAGGCCACTGCTATGGCTGCTCTTGCATCTTGGCTCGACGGAGAACCTATCAAAGCTGCAAAGTATTTTTTGGCCTTAAGCGGTACACAGGCACTAATCGTTGCAGTTCAAAACACGCAGGCAGATGCTTTCGCAGGTGTCATCGGTACACTATGCACAATGCTCGATCATATTGAAGCAATTAGACAGGCTATTTCTGCCAGTGCGTTGTTCAAGGCATTGAAACACCACATGGTAGAGAAAGCACTTGAAGGACCACCCCTAGTTCGTACACTGCAGGCCATTGTACGAGTTCTGGAGGCCCAGCCCGCGTCGAAAAATGCACTAAAAGCAACTGGTCTAGATTCAGCTATTGAGCAATACGAACCAGATATGCCAATGATCGCTCGGAACTTGACAGAGCAGATTTTGTCCTATAGCTAATGTTTTTTATTGATTTGGAGTTTCTATCCACAAACGCTAAATATTCTAGGGTTGGCCGTGCGCAGGCCGCATTAGTGGACCCCACGCAATAGCATTCTAACACCATTGGAAAGATAGCACGGGAAAAAAGTTTCTTTTGAAGCAACAACACAAATCTATAGTGAATAATGCAGTCGAACAAAAAATTGCATGATTTCTGTAGACATATGTAAAAATTGGTGATGATGTCCATTTAACCCTTCCGAAAAAGGAAGGCAGAGTCCTGCACGACCATGCACAATCCAGTGCGCGGAAAATAACAGACATTTATAAAAAGAGAGACGGTGTTCCTAATCTATATGGTAAACTACGCAACTGAAATTGTTCCTGTGGCGTTCGATGTTTTCAGCATCGTCGGCATGGTTCTGCAGATCCCAGTTATACTCACCTACCTATGTGGCCCGCATCCCAATATCCCCGTGAGTGCGATAGCCGGATGGTTTTTCTATTTTAATTTAAGAAATGTGATCGCTATGATTGCTTGGTCGGGCAGCAATTACGAAGAGTGGTGGCAGGGGAAAGTCTGGTGCGACTTTGACGTCCGAATGAATGCTGGCAGCCAGCTGGGTATTTTTTCAGCCCTTATTTTGTCTTTGACCCACCTAATTCGTATATTCTCTTTGAAGACACAGGTGATTAGCAACAGAATCACTTGGCAGAGGATAGTTTTGGAAGTTGCCGTTTGCTACAGTGGCCCCTTGATCCTGTTTGCAATTTATACCCCTATTAGCACTTCCCGCTACCTTGTTAACCAGTACATTGGCTGCAGTGCCGCTACTGACTCTTCAGTTCTCAACGTGATCTTCTTTGTTCTCTGGCCAGCTTTGTTTGGTACAATTGTCCCCATTATGCTGGGATACCTCCTTTGGAAGGTGTGCCGCCGGGGTCGAAGTGGAACCTGCGAAGCAATTTCGTTTGTGCCAACGATGTCTGCGACACAGTTTGTTCGATTGACCGTTATGACTTCTATTATCTGCTTTGTTTTGACCCCATTGAGTTGGTGTGTCGCTGGAGTCAACCTCAATGTTATCGCCGATGTAGGCGTGTCTGCGGTGGCCTGGGCTCATGGCAAGCCAAAGGACTGGGATGAGCCAACATTGCTTCCGTTTGCTCTTTCAATGACACCTAGGTTTTCATATTTGAATTCCGCTGCGTCGATTTCATGGGCCGTTGAAGTAAGCCAGCTCGTGTTGTCTTACTTTGTGTTTGCGTTCTACGGAACGGGAACAGTAGCCCAGCAGTTCTATTGCAAGGTACTTGAAGCTTTGCACCTCACAGGCTTTGCCATCAAGATCCGTTTGCTTCCCCCGCCATACGAGCGCAAAGACGACTATGCCGAAAGCGACTGCTGGAGTTCCAGTTCACCTAGCGGTAGCACTTTCGCTGCTTCGATGTATGATAAAGATACCAAACGACCCAAAGGAATGTACACCAGGAGCAAACCCCTTGAGTATAGTCCTTAAGACAAATTTATTGAATAATAAAATATTTAGTTCAAAGACAGATCCTCGAGATCATCTAATAACTCCGACACATCGATCTGCGGACCATCGTACTCAGCGTCTTGCGGCACTTGGCTTGCCTGTGGGTCTTTGTAAAGATTGATAGTGTTGCGGAGTTCCACATCTTCCTCAAGCTCACGCAAGAACATTTCATAGTCATTCTCCACTTTGTTAGCTGTCTCCGCATCCATTTCATTGTGTTCCTTGGCCATGCGACGAAGCTTCCAGTTACGGTTCTTGCGGCGATTGGGATAAATCTTCTTGACAAGAACGATGTCTGGGCATTCTCCAGCAGCCAAACTATCCCACTCGTCGGAGTTGAAATTGCAGTTAATTAAATAATAGCCGAGGACAGAGTCGCCTGGGTGGAGAATGGCGCCCATTTGGGACCTTACCACGAACGATTGGCCCATATCTGAAGCACGGGCAACGGTAATATCACTCAAAACATTGCGTCCGTGAATGGGTCCAAGAGGCTCATTATCGAGAACAATAAATTCAACAAGATCCTGGTACGACGCCAAAGAACTGAAGGGCTCGCGCCAGAAAACATTGGCAGGCAGGTCTGCTGTCTGTAGAGTGTTGAAATCGAGGAATTTGATCGAGCTACTCACACGACTGCACAGAACAACCCTTGAGATTTGACTCATTTTCCCTGCCAAAGATTTGGGCAGAATAACAAGATCGTCACGACAAATAGGAGCAATCTCAACCGAGTGAGTGAACTTGAACTGACTCGATCCTGAGTGTGTATCATGCGAAATAAGCTGTTCAGAACGTTTCGACTTGATAGGGGCCACTGTATTGAGGAAATCAATGAATTTTATCGCGTGGTTGGGGTGAGCGAAGAAAAAGTCGATACCATCACGGCTCTCTTTAATGGAAACACAATCGTTGTGAGCCTGGTGCTTGAGGATCAACTGCTCAAGATAGAAGAATGTACGCTTATGCTGAACTTTTTGACGCAGCTGCACAGCAGCTCTCCAGGTGTGAACGGTGAATGATTTAGCGCAATCAGGACATTGTGTGGCAATAACAACATACTCAACCTCAAAGGCCTCTTGCAAAATAACTCCAGCAGCAGCCTCGCCTTGCACAGCCACCTTGATGCGAATACGACGTGAATGGGGTTCTGTCCAAACGAATCCAGCATCCACCAGGCGGACTTTGTTCAGTCCAGGTAACCGACGAAGCAGCAGGGCAAGCAGTTCTCTAGATTCAGGCTGGCAGGCGAGCCAGGTCTGAGGTGGCATCAAGAAGCGCTCACAATTACGGCAAAACTGCACATTGGCTTCTCGGGGCACATCTTTGGCGATATTGGCAGTTAGTTTCAGGCAGTCTACGCAAGTAACCAAACCAGTGGTTCCATCCATTGGGCAGCCACAATGGCAGCAGGCAACCGTAGCTGGACGATACTGTCCCAAATCCATTGGAGTTCCATTCATTGCACAATAGTTAACGGAACGACCATGTTTAATAATTTTTTTTTTCAAAAATACAGTGTGGGTAAGGGTCGCGTTATGGTCCCAAAAGCATCTTGGACAGCTAGCCGGTTTGTCATCATATCAAAAATGGACCTCACCCTGGCAGAGAAGCTGAGCTCTCTTGCCGGCAAGACGTTTTCATTTGGGAAATTGGAACCTGAACAGGTACCTGTTAGAGAAGTTACTGCGGGACAGATGGCAGGAGTGCTAGGTTTAGTCACTACTCGCCCTGATGTTCAAGTTGCCCAGCTGGCCCGGGCGCTTGCCTCAAAGAGCACTCGTATCAACTGGCCTCAAGTGTTCGAGTACTGCGACGCTGCGACGTCCCATCCGTTTAATTTCACGCTCGCATCTCCTGACAGTGTGGCTGCAGCCATCGCCCTGATTTCTGGAACCGGCCATCTCGAAGGTGTCAATGCGTTCTTGGCTCGCAAGTGGAAGACGCTATCGCTTCAGATTCAGCTGCTGAGCAGCATTGCATCTCTGCCACCTGCGCGTCTCAATCTTTCGGGAATGGGTGTTGAGAAGGTTGTTTCCGAGGGTCCCTTGGTCACTCACCCTCTGAACTTCGTCTTTCTAATTCATCTTGCATTGGACGCGGTATGTCGCGAACCTCCAAACGAAATCACGGCCAAGACTTTTCTGGATACTCATGTGAAACTTGCTCCTGATCTCTTTTTGTCTGGTGGTGTGCAAATGCCCAAACCGTGGCCCTCTATCTTGGAGCGTATTCTTATCAACCTCTTTGCTCTTACGTTTTCTGAATCACCGGACCTGGCGTCTCCAGTGCTCATTCAGCTACGCGAGAAGTATCCCTCTTTCTTGTATTTAGCATGCTGGGACCTCTACGTTCGAGATCCTTCTCAGCTGGACAGGATCGCGCTGTACTCCGCAGGCAACGGCCAAACTATGTTGGATGAGTGGCTCGAACAGGAGCCCAAGACCGGATTTGCATTTGTGTTAGAAATTGTTGCCGCAGCTGACCGTTTGGAGATCTCTTCAGCTCGTGATTTACTAGTAGCAAAGTTTGTCACCGGTGGACCCGATGCGGTGATTGCTTTGCTTGACTTTATGGAACTCAAAATGTCTGCTGCTGCTGCTGCTGCCATGGCCGCTGCTCAAGGTGCACCTGCTGAGCCTTTAACCAATCCTCTGACATTGCGCACGGTCGCTGCTTTTGAGACTCTCACTGTGAGCATGGATATTCCGCCCGATCGCATGGAACAGCTTAAAGCAATTCAAGTTCAATGTTTGCAAGTTTATCCACGACTTATCAACTTCGGTCAAGGTCATGATGATGCAATTCTGGCCAATAATGACTTGCCAACATTCCCACTTGATGTTGAGCAAGAAATGAAGACCTGTTTCCAGCAAATGTACGAGAATCAGCTTCAGATCCGTGAAGTTATTACTATGCTCGAGCAGCTCAAAGAAAGTGATGAACCGCGTGACCAGGATTTGTTTGCTTGTATGGTACACTCACTATTTGACGAGTACCGATTTTTCCCGGATTATCCAGTGAATGCATTAGCGACTACGGCTGTGCTGTTTGGTTCACTGATTCATTTCCGGTTGATAGACAACGTTCCCTTGAGTATTGCCTTGCGATTCATCCTGGAGAGTCTTAAGCAGCATGTCGAGTCGAATATGTTCCGATTTGGTCTACAGGCATTGTTCGAACTTCGCCAACGTCTTCCCGAGTTCCCAAAGTACTGCTCAGTACTTTTGACCATCCCAGGCCTTGCAAGCCAGCAGCAGCTGTACCAGCAAATTAAGGATATTGTTTATCCACCTACCTCTTTGGAGGTTGCGTTTGAGGATAACAATTTCAAGAGTTTGAACTCTGATGTGGGCTTGCCTCCTGTTACCATTGAGGTTCCCCCCGAAGCTCTCAAGGATAAGGTGCTTTTTATTGTCAACAATTTGGCTCCTTCCAACGTCAAAGAGAGATCCCGTGAATTGGCAGCAACAATGAACAAACGCTATTATGCTTGGTTTGCCGAGTATATTATCACCGAACGTGCAATGAACGAACCAAACTACCACGAACTGTATATTTCCATGTTGGCAACAATCAACTCCAAGGCTGTGTTGTTGCATTGTCTACGGGTTATCTACATGCATGTAGTCCGGTTGGTGAACGATGAAGATGCCCTTGCCGCTTCGAAGCGTACACAGCTCAAGAATCTGGGTATATTTTTGGGAAGTTTGCTATTGGCTCGTGACAAGCCCATTATGCATGATAATATCAATTTCAAGTTGCTACTGGCTGAAGCTTCGAACACTGAAAAACTTCCGGCTGTTCTCCCGTTTATTGGCAAAACGCTCGACAAGTGCGCAAACTCAAAGGTGTTTGCTCCACCCAGTCCATGGTTGATGGGAATTATGGCAGTACTTGCTGAACTATATCAGTTTGGCAATCTCAAACTCAACCTCAAGTTTGAGATTGAGGTATTGTGCAATGCACTGGGGCTTTCGATTTCAGAGATCACGCCCGCTACTTTTATCCGTAGCGAAGAAGCAATTCATCTTGAACAGGAGATGAAAAGACTGGCACTGGACCCTACGGCTACAATTCCTACTGTCCCGGTCGGTCCAAGCGTGCCCGGTGTTGCCGGACTGCCCAATATTCCTGGTGCAGTTCCTGGTGCTTTCGAACCTCCTTTCAACCAATCGAATATGGAAGTTTCACCACTCCAGATCTCGACTGCTTCGTTGCAGTTGATGGGACAAACTGATTTCGTCACCCATCCAACTTTGCGCCGGTTCTTTGAGATTGCGATTGGTAAAACAATTCAAGAAGTGCTTTTGCCAGTCGTTGAACGTGCTGCATCTATTGCTAGCTTCACAACAAAAGAGTTGGTCCTAAAAGATTTTGCTTTAGATTCAAATGAAAAGAATCTTGAGAGGGCTGCTCATAATATGGCTTCGATGTTAGCCATGTCAATGTCTCTGGTAACAGCCAAAGATCCATTTGCTGAGTCTTTGGTGGCAAATCTCCGTCAATTTATGATCCAGAATAATTACCGCGAGCACACTGCTATCATGGATCAGATCCCCATTGCCGTACGTGACAACATTGACACCATCATCTCCCTAGCTGAGGTTGCCGCCCGCGACCGTGCAATCGCCGAGATTGATGAGGCTTTATTACCGGCATATGCTGTCCGTCAACAATATAAACAAGCGGTTGCTGCCGGTCAGAACCCTGAGCCGTTTGTTGATCAGATGCCTAATGAATTTGCTCTTCAGCTGCCGGAGCCACTTGGGTTACGCTACGGAGGCCTGCTTCCTCAACAGTTAGCTGTTTATGACGAGTTCTACAGCCCAGCTGGTGAACATGTCAGTGGTGCCTTTGATCCCGTTTCTGCCCCTGCCGCAGTACCTGCCGCAGCTGTCGAACAGGCAGTGGCACAGATTGAGAGCGCTCTCGAAAGATTACAAGTTTTGATTGGTGAAAGCACTGCTGAATGTATTAGTGACCTGGGACCAGATAACGCTATTTTTGTTCTCATGTCCCAAATGCTTACCCTTGGTGTGCGGTCTCCTGCTCGTGATGAACTGATGCTCAAGACATCTCAGCTGGTTGTTTCACAAGTATTTAAACCCGGCATTGGTCGGTTGCAGCGCGAATGTTTATGTTTCTTCCTTGGAAAACTCTGCGAGCTCAATGCCTTGACGGCGAAAGAAGTGGTGCTGTGGCTGATTTACAGTGACGATGACCGCAAATACAACGTTGAGGTCATCAGTATTTTACTGAGAGCCAGACTCGTGACCGCGTCCGAAGTTGACGTCAACCTTGTGAAGGAGATTTTGGCACGCAACAAGCTTGCTATCTCTTTCGCTGCCGGCCTCATCTTGGATGCTGTTCTCGGAGAGCATCCTTATTGCCTGCGTACTGATTTTACTGGTCTACTTGAAGCGATGGAGGTTCTCGTGCGTGAAGATGGAGATGACGTGTCGGCACAGACCGCACGAAGCGTTTTGAACGCACTTCAGAAGAGTCGAGGTGAGGGATGGTCACCCTTGCCCAAAGACCCCAAGCTTTTGAAGGGTAAGGCTGCAGTCAAGGATTCTGTTTCTGGTCCTTCTCTCAAGGACAAGATGGGCTACGTGTTTGCAGAATGGACCAGGCTGGTTCAGCACCCATGCTGCACGCTCCGATCTTTACATTTGTTTGTGTATACGTTGCACCAGCATAATATTTTGAGCCACACTGAACCTCTTTACACGTTCGTGCGAACTGCATTAGAGGGCTCTGTCGAGAGCTACGGTCGAAGCTTCAGCAGTGGAGCACCGGTCACCGAAGCATTTGTCGGTGTTGACTCTTTGGCAAAGCTTCTTGTCACTGTTTTCCAAACCAGTGAGAGCATGCCAACTGCTGCGCGTAATCAATACGCACACGGTTTGTTAATGGTCTGCGCACTTGTGTTGGCTGATCAACACGAGAAGGATCAAGAACAGTTTAACGGATGCCCCTACTTCCGTCTATTCTCCACTCTTCTCTACGAGATCTCCGTGGCAGACGATGGTAGCACTTTTTGGCAAGGGCTTCTTTTGTCTGTGGCACAGGTTCTTCAAACTTTGCAGCCTCTCGCATTGCCTGGGTTCACGTCTTCCTGGATAACTCTTATTTCCCACCGTCATCTTATGCCCAGACTCATGACTATGCCTGGAAGAAAGGGCTGGAACAGCATGAATGCTTTGCTGGAAGCTTTGTTACGATTTATGGGGGTGTATAACAATGCCAAGTCTCTCAGTGGAGCTGCTCAGATCACGTACAAAGGCTTGCTGAGAGTCATGCTGGTCATCCTTCACGATTTCCCTGAGTTTTTGGTGGAAAATTGGTACGGCCTGTGCAACTTGATTCCTTCGAGCTTTGTCCAGCTGCGCAACCTGGTTTTATCTGCCTTCCCACCCAAACTAGAGCTTCCAGATCCCATGGCATTGCCTTCAGCTACTCCGATCAACTATTCCCTAGTTCCACCGACTGGAGATATTGACTTTGGAGTCGTCCTTGCAAAGTATGGTATCCGCCGCACTGTGGACCAGGCCCTGCGGCCCAACGGTGTTACCGCGCCAATTGTGTCCTCCATAATATCGTCGCTGAGCCTAGCGGCTCCAAAGCGTGACGTCGGTGCAGACTTTGATACCGTAGCGGTCTCGCTTCCAGGATACAATGCACTCGTGATGTATATTGCTCAGCTTCGAGGAAGTGGAGAGTTTGATCCTGATTCGCCCGCTGCTGTTTTGTGCACAAGACTATTGAACCAGCTGAACAGCCAAGGTCGGTTTGTGCTGCTGTCAACAATGGCTAACCAGCTGCGATATCCGAATCTGCATACTTACTTCTACTCTCAGTACATCCTCTGGCTGTTCTTGCCCACAGCAGCCACCGTGCTCAAGGATAATACTCTGGAGATCCGGCACATAGCAACCAGAGTGTTGCTCGAACGCATCATCTGCAACCGTCCGCACCCATGGGGCCTGATGGCAACGTTTGTCCAGCTGCTCAAGAACCCCAAACACAAATTCTGGAGTCTGCCTTTCGTCAAAATCGCTCCCGAGATTGAGGAAATGTTCACTTCTCTGTATACTCATATAACTGCTGTAGCCGCGTAATGGCTGGTCCATTCCACGCTAAGATTTAACGATAAACACAGGCATTTTCATCTGCTGATTGCCGCTTTGCAGATAAACACGCCTTATCTCACCCTCGCTAATCCTGGGCGTCCCCCTGCTTACTAGGTTTCCTGCAAGTCGATTCCCGTGACCTTATCTTATCACCCGTTTCAGCTCGCGGATCATAGCTTCACGTTGCAAATGCCACAGGCTGGACCTAGCAGATCCGGGGATTTCAATGTAGGGAGCCTCCACGAAAGATCTAGCGGCTCCTTTGTCGGGTCTTATCGACGGCGGCTCTATGACTTTGGCGCGTCCCCCAGCGAGACCAACCTAGCGCACGAGGTGCAGGAGATGCGGGCCCAAACGGCGGACTTGAGTACTCGGGCTTTAGCTGAGGGTCTCGAGGACGAAATTGAGTCTGATCAGTTCTACGATTCCCCAGACCCGAAGTCAGACAGGCCGGATTGGCCCGAGCCCATGCCTCGAAGATACAGCGAAACCACTCCTTTGATGGCGGCAACTCCTGATGACCAGCTCTCAGAGCAGATCGGCAACCACAAGTCGGACACGGGTAAATTCCAAATCACCTCTATGCTGTCATATCTACCCTCCGTTGCTTTGGGCACACTTTTGAATGTGCTCGATGGCCTGTCTTATGGAATGATCTTGTTCCCGCTGGGCACTGCGGCTTTTGCCGGGCTGGAATCAGCAGGATTGTCGATTTTTTATGTGTCGACGATTGTTTCCCAGTTGGTGTTTAGTCTGGGCGGATCGAAATTCGAATCGTGTGTTGGTTCAGAAATGATCGAGGTGGTGCCATTCTTCCATTCCATGGCAAACACTATTGCTGCCTCTTTGCAGGGTGCTCCGCAAAACGATATTTTGGCTACTACTATTACTGCATATGCCTTGAGTTCTATTGTTACAGGCTTGGTTTTCTTTTTACTCGGATACTTGAATCTTGGTACCCTCGTCGGTTTCTTTCCCCAGCACATTTTGCTTGGTTGTATTGGAGGTGTCGGTTGGTTCTTAATTGCTACAGGAATCGAAGTGGCTGCTCGACTTCCCAGCACACTACAGTATGATTTACCCACTCTTGAAAAGCTTCTGGAACCCGATTCGGCTTTAAAGTGGGGCACTTGCTTGGCGGTAGGTGCGTTTCTCATGTTTATGGAGCGCAAGTGCCACCATGGTCTAATTGTTCCTGGGATTTTGATTGGGCTTTTTTTTGCTGTGCACATTATCATTTTCTTTTTGCCAATTTCCCTCGACGACGCGCGTAATGCGGGCTGGCTTTTCGAAGCTCAACGAAGCGATGAGCCTTGGTATTTCTTTTACAGTCTCTACAGGATGGGTACAGTTCATTGGAGCGAAGTCATCCGGGGCATTCCTGCCATGTTGGCCCTCACCTTCTTTGGTATCATTCACGTCCCAATTAACATCCCTGCATTAGCCTCGGCGACCAAAAATGACACCATCGATGTGAACCGCGAACTAATCGCACACGGAGTCTCTAATACTCTGTCTGGTATGCTGGGAAGTATCCAAAATTATTTGGTTTACACAAACTCGGTCTTATTCGTCAAAAGCGGTGCGGATACGCGTATCGCTGGTGTTATGCTAGCAGGTGCAACCGCACTCGTGATGCTGGCTGGCCCCGTAATTATTGGCTATATTCCTGTTGTCGTGGTTGCATCTTTAATTTTCATGATGGGAATGGACCTTATGGCTGAGGGACTTGTAGATACTTTCGGCAAAGTCGGAAAAAAGGAGTATCTAACAATTTGCATAATTGTGATCATTATGGGTGGTTACGACTTTGTTGTTGGTATTTTGGCAGGAATTGTCCTTGCGTGTATGTTCTTTGTTATTACAAGTGCCCGCAACTCTCCAGTTAGCTCGACCTTCTCCGGGAGCAACGTGAGAGCAGCTATTCGCCGTCATCCTGTTTTATCTCGTTTTTTGAGACGAATGAGCACTCAAATTTATATTATCAAACTTCAGGGTGCACTTTTCTTTGGCACTAACGTGGCAGTTGAGCAATCGATTCGCCGGGCCCTCGAAAATGCACGCAATATCAAGTTTTTGATTATCGACTTGGATAAAATCACATCAATCGACTACAGCTCGGCCGATACTTTCGCTCGCATCAAGCGTATATGTGATGCGAAGCAAGTTCGCATGGTTTTGTCCGGTGCCTCTACTGGCAACGAGAAAGTTCGGGGTTTACGTGCTGTTGATCTTATACAAGACTCCCATGACAAGTCCGAAACCAAAGTCCATGTGTTCCCCTCGATTAATTTGGCCCTGGAATGCTGCGAAAACCAATTTTTGGCTCGGTACTATCAACACCGCGATAGCATCGTGGCAAATAGGCACTCATCTTTGCGAAACATCCCCCATTCAATGCTTGATACTCCAAAGTTGTCCTACCCATTCAGCGATACGTACGGGGCCTACGGAACCACCCCGCGAACCAAGCACTTACGATTCGAAGCAGAGCAGTCTGCTACTGAAGACCTGCATATAGTTTCGAGGTGGCATAAATTCCAGCAGCCAATGCCTATGCTGATGCAAATTGTTGAAGGACAATCGGACAAAGGTGCTGATTTCTGGTACAGGCTATTACCGTATCTCGAAAAAGAGGTGATACCTGCTGGAACAGTAGTCGTTGACCATAACCAGCAACTAAAGAGCTTTTATATGGTTGAAAGCGGATACCTGAGGCTCGAGACTGACGATAACGTCCTGCAAGAGACAATCCTCGCAGGAACAACTTTTGGAGAGATCCCATTCTTTTCAGAGGCCAGCTCTTTCGCAAAGATCATCACGGAAAGCGACTGCGTCCTCTGGAAGTTAACGAAAGAGTCCTTTCATAAGATGTCTACAACCCGTGAAACTATGGATCTGGCCATTGAATTGATGCGTGTCGGCTACTGTTTCGCTTTGGATAGGGTCCGATCAATGAATTCTTACCTGCGGGTAATTGCTATGTAAACCAATGGGTTAGAAGACTCGGGAACGCTTCATAATGGTAATTTAAATAAACAGCCAACATAATGGTCAGGAAACAGGAAATAACCGTCCATGCCATAGTTCTGAGCCGATGCTCACTCTCACAATTTGCTGCTTCAAAGACTTCTGTTTCTTGAGTGAGGCGAGCCAACCTTTCTTTGTAGACGCCCAAATCATGCTTTGATTTTTTCATCCTGACCTCCAATTCGTTCATTCCTTGCTCATCTAGCTGCCATTGACGTACTTTCTCCAACTGCGCTCCAATCTCTATCTTGGTGCTATCGACTTTACCAAAAAACAACGTTGCCAGCTCATGCTTTTCTTTCCGGAGCTCATTTAATTGTGCAATTCGTTCTGAAACGTCGTCCATAGAATCACTGAGCTTGGTTTCCACAGTGTCGTATTCGGGGACCAAGCCTGTACGGAGAGAGCTTTGGAAGTCCTCTATTTTGTTCAGGATGTTGGACTCGCTTTTTATTTTGCGCGATCCCAGACTAGAACTTAATGGACTCTTCGATTTTAATGCTGCTAGCATCGGATTGCGAGGCAATGACGATAAAGACGACGACGCCTCAGCCCCGATCCATGGTGCTGCCTGCTTCGACATGACAAAGCCAAGAGGCAGATCGAGGTATTTAGTTGCCTATAATTTTAAAGCTTCATTACTATATCGCTATCTATATACGATAACTATATAAACTAATTCGTTATGATTTCTGGCAACGTTTTGGCTTTCACCAGCTGAACGATTCCTCAAAGTACTCAATGTAGTGGGGCGAAGTGGTAAGATTGGAAACAACCGCTTGGCGTGACAAGTCATTGACGGGACCTGGACCACAGGTCAGTATTGCTAGAGGTCCGCTGGCATTATTTGCGGCAGCAGTCACAATATTCATAATGTCCATGCGTCCTTGTTTGAGCTCTACACGGCCCAAAACGGACATTGTGGCCTTTTCTTTGCCTTGTGAAACAAAGGAAGCGTTCGAAGAAGGAATAGGAGTTTCATCTCCAACATGAACATATAGTTGGACTCCATGATCAAGCATATAGCTGATCTCGTCCGCGAACCATTCGAGTGGCGCAGTGTCTCTGATACCCCAATGAACTGTGATGTCTTTGAAGCCTTTTGAGATATGCCCTTGTACATAGGAAAAAGGTGCTGTGATTCCAATTCCACCCGCGATGAAGAAAGCCTCGCTGAAAGCACTAGTGTTGATATACTGATGGTAGGGGCCATCAAGCCATACATAGGTCTCAAAAGAGCCATTGTTTTGCAGGCATTTTTTAATCATCCTTTTTGTCATTCCATCTAAACCACGACAAAAAAGCTTGATAGAGCCCTTGTGGTCTTCTTCAACGCCTTGCATCATGGAGAATGGATGTGACTCCCAGAAAAATGTCGGTTGAACAATATGGACAAACACATAAGAGCCAGGAGGAACCTTCCATAATTTTGAGTAATTGATTGTTAGCTCAAGAGTATTACCGTTGCTATGGTATGTCACTGTGGCTCGGGAAAACGGACTGGCAACGAGAACCCTGCCTAGACGAGCTGCCCTGTCAAACGCCCAAATGGCCCAAACAGCGTAGTACACTCTGATATCCTCTTTAAGAACATCTAAGTGATAGTATCCCGCAACAACAAATCCAATTGCACAAAGAATGTGAATAACAAGGAAAATTTCATAGCTGAGCTTTCTGAACCAATGTGTTGCCAAAAATACCATAGGACCAGCGAAGAATATTGCCGCAATACCCCATTGCCAGTATGGTGTACTCCACATAGAGTTGTACCTACCACCGTGGATACGAACGTAGGAATATGTTCCAGCATGTACCACCAAATTCAAAAAGCAGCAGCGACCTAGCCACTTGTGGAATACGTTGAACTCATCAAGGGGCCAGCCAGTCATGTGAATCATGAAATTGTTTCGACCAGCAAACAAGAACATAACTGGCAAGGTATAAACAACTAGCCAGCCGGAGCGCACGGAGAGAAATTTGCTATACTGGGCACTCCACGAATCATAATTGTAGTTGTACTCCACAATATCAAGCCCTGCAAATAGTAGTGCAAGATTAATAGCAACATAGCACAATACAATAAATGCAGACTGACGGGTGGGCAAATTAAAAGTGAAGAACGTACCCACTGAACTTTTTCCCAAAGTGGCTGGAGTGCTATGGTGAAAAGTGAGTAAAGGTGGACAGCAAATGGATTTTCTGATCAAGCGTGTTGCTTTATTATCTAGTTTGTGCGGCAAAGTTGGGAAAAAGTTGCGAGTCCAATGGAAAACTGAACGTATCAGTACTATACCATACCAAAAGCACATCATCCCAATACCATATGTCGTAGCTTTATCAGTGGTATTTTGAGTGACCGAATACGCATTGAGGCCCCATCTATACTGACTCACAGGTAATTTGAATGCTGTAGTAACTTTTCTAGGCTTGTAAGAGTTGATGGAGGTATTCAACATTGCCAAGTTACCCACATGGTTTTGGGCGGAACTGATTTGGTCGGTCGTCACATTACCCTTTTTACAATATGCTTTCAAAGCTTTGAGATGAAAATTGAGATTAGTTGGGTCATCATCGAGGCCATCTATGCAGGCCACTACAGAATCCAGCCATTCGCTTTGTGGGCAGAAGCACGCTACTCGCTGCTTCTTGTTAATCTTTTTGCAGAAATTCCATGAGAATCCTAAGGTCATATAGCTTGCACAGCCTTTGACAATGATGTCATCAGTGCCTTTGCTACCAGCAGCCAGTACACGGATGATCAAGTTCAACAGTGACAGCAGAAAAAGCGATCTCATCTTTGACTGATTGATCTTAGATCTTGTGGCAGCAGTATTTATAGTGTAGATCGGTGCATGTTGATCATTCTGTATAGCCAGATTTCTAATACGCCTTGCATAGTTTCATTATTTTGCCAAGGAACTACGTTGAAACGTTTGACGCTGCATCAACATTGGGTGCACCTAATAATTCGAAGGTTATGTCTGGCATTTTGAGAACCATTCAACTAACTTAAGACTCTATACTGTGTTTTTTTTTCGCTCAGGTCAACTCTAGTGCTCGTTTTGTAAGCTTGCCGATCTGGATCTTAGCAATACATGCAACGATCGCCGCACTTAAACGACGGCGGACAAAGTATTGCCTTGTTATTCAACCGAGAGAATTAATTGTAGAAATAGCTAAAAATATTTCATGGCTATTAGCGACCCAAGTGAGCAGTTTACAAGTGAGTAAACCTTATCTCATTCGGCGGACTTCTGCAAGATGATCACGAATAACTCCTTGCATATGCAGGTCAAGTAAGCATAAATTTTGTCAGAGCCGTAATATCCGACAGCCAATAAGAGTCGTGAATTTTCTATGTGCTGTTTAGTCTATCTGATTAAAGGAGCTGACCCTTAATAACAATGTAGATGGTGCTTGGCCTACAAGAGCACATCGTGGTTGTGCAAATGGTTTACGATGCCTCTACACGAAGGTGTAGACTAACCCTGACTGGCCAAGTAGAGCATCATCAAATGCTCGATACTGCTTAGCCGAGAAAATTACATACCAGTCCGATGCCTGAGTGTAATATTTGAATGTGCTTCAAAACGCTGTTAAAAATCCCGAGCCTATGTCCGATCATGAGCGATGTCATGCAGAGCAGTATGCGGCTCTTCGATCTAGCTGATCGACATGAAAAGTTGAAAGTCAACAGAAACAGGCAGTTGTCATATACCTATGCTCTTAAAATGTGTCGATCAATTAAACAACTGCAGTATTAATCATTTCATTCATACATTTTAGATACATTTTACCAACTGAAAGATTCCTCGAAGTATTCCATGTAATGAGGAGAGGTAGTAATGTTGGCTACGACTGCTTGACGAGTCGAGTCATTAACGGGACCAGGTCCGCAGCATAGAACGGCCAGAGGTCCGGAAGCATTTTGCGCAGCTTCGCTTACGATTTTTGCGATGTTCATGCGACCCTGCTTCAAATTCATAGAGCTTGTAGTCGAGACAATTGACTTTTCCTTATCCATTGAATCAAAGGAGGCATTGGAAGAAGATACTGCAGATTCATCACCCACATGAATGTAAAGTTTCACGCCATGCTGTAGCATATAGTCGATCTCAGCAGCAAACCACTCCAGGGGTGCCGTGTCACGAATGCCCCAGTGGATAGTGATATCCTTTTGACCTTTAGCGATGCGACCCTGAGCAAATGAGAAAGGTGCGGTAATACCAATGCCACCACCAATGAAGAGAGCCTCTTTGAAACGATCCATGTTGATGTACTGATGATAAGGACCATCAAGCCAAACAGTGGTCTCGATTGATCCATTGTTTGCCTGGCATTTGTCAACAAGACGTTTGGTCATACCGGACATACCACGAGCAAAGAGCTTAATGCATCCCTCCTCCTCGTTTTTAACACTTCGCATAACAGTAAAGGGATGGGACTCCCAGAAGAACATGGGCTGAACAATGTGAACAAAAATATAGGATCCAGCGGGAACTTTCCAAAGCTTAGAGTACGTGATCGTGAGTTCGATAGTGTGTCCATTGTGGTACGTAACCTTAGCACGAGCAAAGGGACTAGCAAGCAAAACACGAGCCAGCCGCGCGGCCCTATCAAAGCCCCAAATTGCAATAACTGCATAATAAGGGCGAATCTCGTCGCCAAGTAGATAGACATGGTAGTATCCACCAACCAAGAACCCAACAGCCAACAGGATATGCGTGACCAAGAAGAACTCGTAGCTAAGTTTGCGGAAGCAGTGGGCAGCAGTAAATACCATAATACAGCCAAAAACCGTGGATGCAACGCCATGATTCCAGTATGCTTTTCTCCAACTTGAAGTAAATCGATTCTGATGGATATACAGCCAGGTATAAGCAGCCGCATGTACCACGAGATCGATGAAACAGAACCTGCCGAGCCATTTGTGGTACACACTGAACTCATCTAAAGGCCAACCCGTCATCTGAATCATAAAATTATTTCGGCCTGCAAAAAGAAACATAGGAGGCATCAAGAACACAATGAACCATCCCGAACGGATACCGAGTGCCTTGCTATATTGGGAACCCCATCCATCCAGCTTGATACTGTAATTATCGGGCACAATATCCAAGCCGCCGAATAATAAACCAAAGTGAACAGCGGTAAATGCAAGAAGAACAAAAGTAGACTGGCGCGTAGGCAAGTTGAATGTAAAGAAACTGCCCAGCCGGGACTTGCCTAAAGTTGCAGGAGTGCTGTGATTAAAAGTGAGCATGGGAGGCATTGTGACAGTCTTTCGGATCCAACGAACGGGCTTGGAGTCAAGTTTGTGGGGGAGTGAAGGGAAAATGTTACGGGTCCAGTGGAAAAAGGTTCTCAGAACAACTAAACCGAACCAGAAACACATCATTCCGATACTGAGCACGATTCCTCTGTCATCACGACCCATATTTACACGGTAGGCGCGAAAGGCATTCTTATACTGAGCAACTGGAACTTTGAATGCCTCCTTGACCTTGCGAGCTGCGTAAGAGCTAGGAGCTGTCAATAGCGGAAGATCGGGTACTTCAACGTCAAGATCGTCTAGATGACTGACTGTAAGATTTGCACCCTTACAGAAACTAACCAAAGCTTTGAAGTGTGAGTGACGGGCCTTCACAGAAGGGTCCAACGCGTCGAGACAACTAAGAGTCGACTTCAAAAATTCATCCTGGCCACAGTAACAGGCATTATTGTTGCGGGGCCTATTTCCACCACGTTTGCCTTTTTCGTTACAAAAGGGCCATGTGAATCCTTGTGTCATGTAGGCGGTACACGCAAGGACGATCTCATCTTGCGTGGTCGGGGGCGGACCACCGTGAGCGAAGACAGTTGAGCCAAACGAAAGGGCGGTAACAAGCCCTGACAACTTCATTCTCGGTGCAATCTTTCGAGATGATCTTGCATGGTAATTTATAGCTATCCCAAACCAAAAAGCAAGAGCTGCAGCATGCAATGTCCAAAAATCGGCTGCCCAATAATCAATTGCATATTGCATGCATCATGACTCGATCGAAAGTCGAACCCATGGGGAAATTTTAGTAGTGTCGTTCTGTTCTCTTGAACGTATGGTCAAAAACGTTTAAATGAACTATGATAAGTTTATAAACATTTCAGACGGAATAACCCCTGGCGAGTTGTGATTTTCTGCCCGAGAGCAGCTTCAAGCATTATGTGTCATCTGCATTAAGCTATTCTCGCGTTATAATTTGAGAGTTTGGGGTGTTAACGGCAAACGAGAGCGACCGAGAGCTCCTACTGGGGAGAAAGTCTATACATCTAGGTCTATATATTTAGACCGTTTGACAAAATTTCGGCCAGTATGGGTGGGAAGGTGGCTCGATGAGACCACATTTTTTCGTTTAGTCCTCAAGAAAATGCAAGTTACTGATCATGCACGAAAGATCTAGACCATCTCATGCAGATCATAAGATAAATTCTGTGGACGAAAATATTGAGGGATTTACGCGAAATCGACATACTGTTGCACCACACTATATTTATTTTTATTAGTCCGACATATTTATGTTATTTCAGCTAATGTTTTCGGCCTAAGTTATGCCTCTGCGAGCCTATCTAAATCCATTCAGCATGCAAGCTGGGATTATCGTGTTGGAAAGCTAGTTGCCGCGGGCCGAATCACTTGTGGGGTTCGATACGCGGAGAAACCCGCTGCATCTTTAGTTTGGTGTAAACATGTGTTATCAATAGTAAAGTTTAATAGAGCTTAGGATAATAACTTAGAATTACGGCCATGACCCGTGCGTTTTCAGAACTTTGAATTGGATGTTTCCCGAAAAATGTCATTCTAAGACGCATGCCAAGAAAATCCAATTTTTTTCCTGCAAGTTGGTGATTTTACAGGTAGAGATCGGGAAACTAACACGACGGCATCCAGGCACAATTCGATCCCACACAAATTTGACATGGAATATCGATACGCAGAAAAATTGTGGTGGAATTTTAAGCTCCGTTACCCTCGCTATTAAGGTTATTAACCATAACATTCAGCAGACCGTCGACGGAATGCCAAGATTTTACCCTGCGGGTTAGATGCTCCTGCAGACTTGGCTCTGATGCGCAGTTGCAGTTGGCAAAGCTGATTGGATAAAAGGTCTAGTCTTGTGAATACAATAGGAAAAGTATCAGCATCATGGCAATCCTATGCATCTTCTGTATGATTGGTTCTTGAATGAGCAGCAATTTTTAACAGTTCATCAAAATTAGATCTCCGCCAGGTACATTTTGTGGGAACGGCTTAGTACCCCTGACACCCGTACTCTCTAGTGACCCCTCGTGGGAACTTGTATTTTTCATAGCTGGTCGGCTTAGGTCATCTTTTTTTTTTCTCACAGAGGATAAGTTTTAATGATCTCTCCACCATTTGAGCTGCTAAGCTTGCCAAATGTATCGGTTGACAAATTGATCCGTAAACCTATCTGTGTGGACCGGTCGAATTTTCATATTGGAGTCTCCCAAAGCTCTGTCACAACTGTGTCTCTTCGTCCTTCAAGAGTTGTAGGCGCTTTTTCGGTTCCTCCTAGTGTAGATATTACTGCTGTGGCCACTGATGGGAAGAAAGATGCCCCCATTGTTGTTTATGCCACAAACGAGCGTAAGAAGCATTTTCTGAAGATCATTGACACCCAGATCTCGCAACAGCTCAAAAAGGAAGTAGCCCGACTACATTTTTTTAACGGCTGTTTTGTCGCGATTCAAAGCGACAATACCATGGAAGCCTTTGATGCCGAGAAATTAGAGAGTAAATGGAAACGCGCAGCCAAAAAGGGTCTTTCGTACAAGTTTTCAGCCATGATCGATGATGGAGTCTGTGTGGTCATTTCTAGCGCAAAGAAGCACTTTGTACTCGAAACACTTGCCTTTGATGAATCTGGTGTTCGTGAACTCAAGGTTGTTGAGATTCCTCTCGAATGTGAGGTTGGGAAATTCAGCTACTCTGAAGGTGTAGTGTATCGGTGTGAGAATCGCACGATTCAGCTATACAACGTTCCAGATGCCACTTTAATATCGCAGTTCGACATTCAAGGAGATGATGCCATTGAAGATATGATTGCCATGCCCAACAATAATATTTGTGTTATCCAGAACTCAGTGCTGAGCATCATTGATTGTTCTTACCGATCTACTATCTCCAAATGCGAGTTGCCGTCTGGAACTTCCATCAGCTTGCTGTCATACTCTCCTGAGGCTGAAACTATCATTGCTGCATCCGCCAAGACCGTGCTTGGTTTCACTGTGACCCCAAGCTCGGGTACATTACTTGAGTCCATTGGTCATGGTGTAGCCGCTGCTAATCCACAGTTTACTTGCGGCCATTGTGACCTTTTCCCTTCTTTGATTGCCAAGAATAGCTTTGTCCCTACTCTCTTGCAAAATATCAAGGAAGCTCAGGAGGCTAGCTCGAAAATTCTGCATGCTCTGGAAGCCGCCGCCAAGAAGAAAGATGAAAAGGTCTTCCTCAAGGTTATTTCTTATCTTAAAGGTGATTCATGGGAACAGGCACAACCACCCTCGGAGACAGTCGTTTACGAAGATACTGACCGTCAGGTCGATAGAGATTTGATCAAGCAGATCACTTATTTGGTTTTCAGTGTGACTCTGGGGAGTACAACCTTGTCTTATTTGCCGTTTTTACCAAACTCGTTCGCTATTTATCTACTCACTCACCCACTGTTCCCTGCAGGTGAACCCGAAATGAAGGATCTATTTACATGGCTCAAAGCATACCCGCAGCTGTATCGACAAGCCATTGTTACGCTGTCAAGCGCTTCACCCGAAGATATTCTTGGTGGACTGCTCTCGCAGGACGAGGACATTTTCCACGATGCAGTTCTTCGCCTTGAGGAAGAGTTTGGACAACAGCAAATTACTTTGGCAATCCAATCGTTATTTAACCGAAGTACCGACCCCGAGGAGCTTATCCAGGTTGTTGATAGACTCAGCAAATCTCCAGATGGCTGGGCTTTGGTAGCACCTTTCGTTGATAGCCTCGGTCTCTTGGCCTGGGACAAGGCTAACCTGGATAAACTGCAGAATAGACTACAGGCTCAGTTGGAGAGTATTCAGAGTGCAGTCACAACCAACCGCCTGATATCAGAACTGTTCATGTCTGTTGAAATTGATGCCGAAGACGGCAAAACTATTTCCAATGGTGAAATCAAGCGTCGCAGCAAAAAGAGTCAAGAAACAGACAGAACACGAGACGAGCCCAAGTTTGTTCCCAAGTACAGTGTCGAAACATTGGTTATCAATTAAATAATACATATATGTGTGTATGTATATATCAATCGTCCAGACCGTCCTCTTGCATTTCTTGCCAGCTCTCGTGCATCATTAGCACAAAGGCCGCGCTAATAATGAGACCACCAACGATATTTCCGAGTCCAATGCCGCGCCCAAACAGAATAAAGTCGACGAGCGGGACCATAAAGGTGGTGAGCAGGGAAGCGACCGATCCAAAAACTGGCGACGTCAGTGACATCAAGATAAGGAAGCTTCCAGAAAACAGCATATTTGCAAGAATAGACCATAAAAGTGCACGCAAGACCGGTCCAGCCGGAGCTTCAAAGGTTTCAATACCCGCTATGTGCAAAAGTATCAAGGTGGGGATCATGAGGGCCCAGGTGGCCGCACCAATACAGGCCGCAATAACGTTTGCAAAAGCAGCCTGTTTCTTGGCAGAAACATGTTGTTCTGGACAAGCAATCACCTTATACAGAACCTCATAGAGCCCGTAAAGCACTGCGCCAGCGCCGATGATAAGGTTCCCAAGAACCCGGTAAGGTCTTTCTTCGTTTGATTCAGTTGACCCACTATAAGCGACAACAAGTACACCAAGAACGCTCAATACGATGGCAATGACTTTGCCGGATCGCCATCTTTCTTTCAGAAGTGGGATACTAAACGCGTAGGCAAAGAAGGCTGAGCAGTTGTAGATTGCGGTAATATCCGCCGCTGTTGTGAGATTTATGGCCAAATACCACGACACTGCAGCGACATTCAGCGATATAGCTAGAATAAGCGATATCCTGGTCATGTATTTTGACAAAGAGTCCGTGTAGTTATTCTTACGGCTCACGCTCTGTGCAGTCTGGATCAAATGAGAGCGGTGCTTGGCTACAAAGACCTCAAAAGGTTGGTCCCTTTTCCACAGCCAAATCACAATGACCTGTAGTGGGACCAACATAACCCAAGACCCATGGGTGACCGTCATTATGAACACGGGTTTTTCGTAGTGCTGGTGGGAAATAAACGTCATTAATTCCGTCTGCGCTACGAATGAGAACAAAGAGATAACCAAGGCCAGTCCTGCCATGATATGTCGTCTCCTAGTCGCCAATTCAGACGACCGCCTCGTGTCGGGTTCACCATTCAGCAGACTCATGAGTAAGTGAACAGGTTGAAAACGCTGTTTAAGGGCGTTTGTTAGCAATCTTTCTGAGGATTTTAAGGCTGTTTTCTTGCCAGTGCGCGCAATCGAGGCAATTTATTAAATCAGATCAAGTGTAATTAAGAACTAGAGGTCGGCTTGGATCAATGTGTCTCAAACATTGATCGAATTTAAATAGACAATACAGGATATTCTTTTGATTTTAGAAATCGCCAATGAGAATGTGGCCGATTTTCGACCAGACGTTCTTCGGTTCCTTGACTTCGATGCTCTGTTCATGAGCCTCGACTTCCTCGAGACCGCTGTGAAGATCGATTTCGTCAAGTCGCTTGAACTTGGTCTTTTTCCAGAACTTCCAGAAGAGGAAGATTCCGAGATCGATAGGAATCATAATATAACTGAAAATGAATTGCGACCATTGCCAGTTACCCTTAAGAAAAACTGCGAAACCTGCCAAGAACACGAACGAGCCACATGCAATTGCACAAAAGTATGCACAGTACGGCTGTAGCCAACCTTTGTATGGGAAGGTGTTACGGTCAACGCCCTGCTTTTTGCACGCGTAGAAAAACCGCAAAAATGTGACGTTCATCAAACAATAATTGATCAACTGAGCCGCAGTGCCGAACGAGACTAGCCATGTCAGAATTTGATTTGCTGAATTCGACAATTGCAGGAACGAGAGCATGGCAACGGCAGCAACAACAATGTTAGCAACGACTGGAACACCATTTTTTGTACAATAAGAAAAAAGCTTAGGAGCATGGCCAGCAAGAGACATGCCGTAGAGGGTTCGACTCGAGCAGTAAAAGTACGAGTTACCGGCACTGAAGATAGCGAGGAGAATTGCGGCGTTCACAACTGAAGGGAGTCCTTTGATGCCCATTCTGTTCATGCCTACGACATAGGGAGAAGCGGCTGCACCGCCAGCACCATTAGCCAAAGCCTCAAGCATTTCGGGGTCGTTGTAAGGGCAGATGATTCCGACGCAAAGAGATCCCAACACAAAAAAGAAGGTGAGGCGGTAAATGACGCCCTTGAATGCAATGGGAAGATTGCGTCTAGGATTTATTGCCTCACCAGCAGTCATGGCGACGTAGTCTGGACCGGAAACTGTGTAAGATGCCTGAGCGATGCAAGCGGCAAAGCCTAAAAATCGGCCCAAATCACCTGTATAATACCATTCGGCGAACGACCCGGGATTTTTCCAAAAGGTAAAGCCGTAAGCATGGCCCTGCGGGTTTCCACCGACCATCGTAATGAAGGTAAACAGGATCAAGCCGACAATTAGCAGCACTTTGAAAATGGCCAAAAAGTATTCGATCTCTCCAAACCACGAGACAGGACACAGGAAGTTAATGATCATATAGGCCGCTACTTGCGGCACAATACTGGCTGCCGGACTGAAATTGTCGGCCCAAAAGTGCAAAACAAGCGTAAATGCAGTGATTTCGAAAGGGACAAGGAAAACTTGAAGGAGCAGAAAATTCCAACCCGACATAACTTCCAGAGCATCGTCAAGACAGCGGCCGGCGAGACGAACGAATGGAGAGGGAAGCGGGAAGTAAGTGACCATTTCAGCTGTGGAGTTGGTGAGGCATACAATCGGCACACACCAAGCAGCGAACGCAATAAAAAGAGATGCGGGGCCACCCTTACTCAACGGGGTGGCAATTTGAACAAAGAGGACTGTGCCAATTGTTCCGCCAATACCAATAAGCTGGATATGGCGAGGTTTGAGACGACGGTGAACCTGGTAAGTTGCACCTGGGGCAAATAGCTCTGTGTGGGAGCTTTTTTCGCTTTGCACAGAAACGACCTCCTCGAATATCTCCGATTCGACATCAATAGAGGTCTTTCTTGGGCCATCAGACTGGCCTGAATGACCTTTGGAACCTGCCATAGTGTGAGAATGCACAAGCGCAGATTAGTGTGGTTGAGGCTGTGGAGAACAGAAACTTTTTTGAGGAAAATAAGAATAGGCCTAGTGGAGCCTACTATTGGTACACGAATGTCCAACGAAATGTCAATCAAGTGTTTCGATTTGCGTGCTAGTTGCAGATGCAAAGCGCCAAATTGGGCTCGGCTTATAAGCTCAGGCCTACAATGCTTAGTCCTGATGGGGCGCTCGAGAGAAAACCCGTGCATGGAGCACAGCTATGCAAGAGAAAACAGTTCAACATTATCGGCAGGCAGGGGATTTTGCAAACGTGACATTAAAATAGCACCTAATAAAGAAACAAGCGTTTGAAACTTTGGTTGAGTTTCTCTGGAACGGCTGTTATTTTAACAACGACCTACGGGCGGGCAAACTTTTCGACGTGAATGCCGAATTACATATTATAGAGATGCCCATGGCCAGATCAAAGTTTGCATTGGCACACGATTCTAACTCCAGATAAACTGTATGCGCGCAAGTCTTATTACGATATCCGGGCAACCTTGTTTCCGGGATTTTTGGGGACAAAATCTGAAAGTTTTTGATGATTTTAAGAGTCGTCGCTCCCCTCGAAAAGCACAAAGCCAAGTGCTATGACGTAGTACCTGTGGGGCGGCCCCGTACTATCGTTAGTAAGCGGAATGTGTATGCATGACGATGACAAAGAACAACGCCTCGGTAAGCCATACCGCGGCATACAGGGACGCTGAACGCCGATACACGCCTCAGTGTCATGTGGAGCACATGCTAGATACATTTTCGGATCAGCATGTAGGGAGAGAAGGGCTGCGTCATGTATTCCAGGGCCCCTCAAGGCCAGCAATGCAATTCCGTGGCTTGCAGTTCCAGGGACCCAAAAGACCCAGAGGACCCACAAAGAGGTTTTTTTTATTCTTTCGCTTCAACACAGCTTAGGCATGGACTCATCAATATAATTCCTATTATTTTGCTCGCTAGTCGATACTCCATCTTGTCGCACGTGTGGAAATAATTATCGACCAATTGCTCTCCATCAGTCAAACGATACCAGGCACTCACCCTTCTCCCCGGCTGCATGCAACATGAGACCTAGATTTCTGACGGCTGGTTTAGTCAGCGGAGAATCAAGATCATGCGGTTTTGTGCTCCCCCGGACTGTCCCGGGTCAGTATGGCTTACGGGCAAAAGTTCCCGCGTCAGCAAGCCCTCAACGAAACCTGCCCGGGTCTCCCAGTTATCTCCCAAGACAGTACTTAAAAGCACCAACCCCACACTGCGATCTTGTTTCCCCAGTTTTCATGATCTCTCGCCAGAACGTTGTCCGCGCGGCGCGATTTTCCCGCCGTGCCTCCACAAAGTCCATTCCAACCATCCCTGAGGTCTTCAATGAGCCCGTTCGCACCTTCGAGCCCGGCTCGGCTGACCGTGAGCACTTGATGGCTGCGGTCGCTCGGGCCTCTAGCACCGTTCGCGACATTCCCTTGATTATTGGTGGCAGAAAAATTTTCACCGACAAGCGTGAGGCACAGATTGGCCCTTACGACGGTAAGCCTGTTGCATCTGTATCGGTTGCTTCCCCGAAGCACGTCGAGGATGCGATCGAGGCCTCGCTTGTTGCTAAGTCCAAATGGGCCGGCCTGAGCTGGGATGCCCGTGCTGCCGTGTTTATGAGAGCCGCAGACCTCATCACCGGTCCCCATCGTTATGATGTTTTAGCCGCAACCATGGTCTCTCAAGGTAAAAATGCCTACCAGGCCGAGATCGACTCGACCTGCGAGCTGGCCGACTTTTTGCGTTTCAACAACAAGTACGCTGAAATGCTGTACAGCCAGCAGCCCATGCGTAGCTCTCCCGGTGTCTGGAATCGTGCAGACTACCGACCCCTCGAAGGATTTGTCTATGCCGTCACTCCTTTCAATTTCACGGCTATTGCCGGTAACCTCGTCAGTGCTCCTGCTTTGGTTGGTAACACTGTCGTTTGGAAACCTAGTGCCAATGCTGCCCTTTCTAACTACCTGATCCAGGAGATTTTGGAGGAGGCTGGTGTGCCCAATGGTGTTATCAACTTTGTTCCTGGTCCTGCCGCAGAGGTCACTGAGAAGGTTTTGGCCCACAGGGAATTTGCCGGTCTGCACTTTACTGGTTCAACTGCTGTTTTCCAGGATCTGTACCAGAAGATTGCTCAGAACTTGCCCAGATACCGCTCCTATCCCCGCATTGTTGGTGAAACTGGCGGTAAGAATTTCCACTTGGTTCACCAGAGCGCCAATGTGCCCCATGCCGCTTTGTCGACGATCCGTGGTGCCTTTGAGTACCAGGGCCAGAAGTGCTCTGCCACCTCTCGTGTCTATGTTGCCAAGTCTGTTTGGCCCGAGTTCAAGGAAGTGCTTGTCAAGCACACAAACACCATTACCCAGGGCAACTCCCTCAAGCCTGCTCAATTTGCTAGCTTCATGGGACCAGTCATTCACGATCGTTCTTTCGAGAAGGTTTCTGGCTTCATTGAGAAGTTCAAGAACGACCCTCAGCTTGAGCTGCTGGCCGGTGGCTCCTTTGACAAGTCTGCTGGTTTCTACATCAAGCCCACCATCTTCGTCACGTCCAATCCTGAGCATGAGATCATGAAGTCCGAGTTCTTCGGTCCTCTTCTCGGCATTACTGTATATGATGACGCTGACCTCGATGCTACTCTCAAGCTCATTGACGAGACCAGTGACTACGGTTTGACGGGTGCTGTTTTCGCGGAGGACCGCGAGATTGTCGAGAAGGTTACTGAGCGTCTCGAGCACACTGCTGGCAACTTCTACATCAACGACAAATCTACTGGTGCTGTTGTTGGCCAGCAATGGTTCGGCGGCGCTCGCAAATCTGGTACTGACGACAAGGCGGGCTCTCAGCATCTGCTTGCTCGCTTTGTTACAGTGCGTAACATTAAGGAGAACACTGTCAACCTCAAGGATTCCGTGCTGTACCCCTCTAACTTTTAATTTATTGTATTTGAATTAGCACCCTTAAAATATGTCAATTGAATTTTTTTCTATACCTCATTTGGCCCAATTAGGCGCTTAGCATATCTTCAGACTTCACTCCACTGACCAATGAGCGTGTACCTAAATGTGTCTGGTTTGACCAATCAGAGCGCTGGTAAATCAGCTGGGACCGTACTTGCAGAATGCACTGAAATGTATATAAACGCACGTCCAGCACGGATATCTATCCAACACAACTACTACACTCTCAATTAAAAATGGCTTGCTGCAAAGGTGATAATAATGCTGTCTGCGACTGCGCTTCCGTCGCCCGCTGCTCTTGCGGCGCCCGCCCTGCTCAGAAGTGCACCTGCGAAAAGGCCTCTACCGAGAACGGTCCTGTCGCTGATCCCTGTGCCTGTGGCAAACGTCCTGCCAACAGTTGCACATGCAAGGACTCCGAGGGCAAGATCCTCGATGGTGAGACCGATTTCACCAACATGAAATAAATGAGGTTTCACACGTCGTGCATCGCGCGGCCCACTTATGCATTCAATAATTGTGTATTTATTAGCAGAAGCTGTACATACGAACTTCTAGTTTATGTGTTTAGCCTCGCCCTTATATATTTGGGCTGGTTTCGGCAAGGTGAACGGGAGGACCAGTACGCCAGATCAGACGCGTTCCAGACCTGATCAGGCACCTGATCAGACGCCAGATCAGATGCGTTCCAGACCGTACTCGGCACATGGTCTTTATTTAATAAGTTATGGAGGGATGAGGCCAGAGTGTCTTTGCAATGTCGTAGTGCAGTGGATCGAACGTCACAGCTGTCGACATATCGGTCCAAAGCACAATGAGGGTCTGTTTCATCAACTTTTTATGACTTAATGCTACATGCTAGTTTGTGATCTCTTCTGCGACTAGATCACGTCTGATTTTGAAAGGCCGATTCCGCCACTCGATCCGGGAGCCGCACATGGACTTTATCCAGATCGGCAAAGCCAACAACTCACGGCCGACCCATGTTGGCAGCCAGTCAGTCAATTTGCGAGGTTTGCCGCACATGGAGTGATCAGGACTAAAGTACTGTCGGGTAAAGAAGGGGCGGTTCTGGCCTGAGATGTTTGCGAAACAAGTAAAGTTGTGGAAGTTGAGATAGTCTATCGAACACCACAGAATGACATGAATGACTAGCCAGAGCCATGAGAATCCGCCGAACCAAAGGTTGCCTGCCGTCCAGGCCCCAATAAGTCCCGATAGCAGTACTTCGGTAGTGGGCTCAACTAGAGTGGCCGCCACAACCATGTGTTTACGCACGCGAATCCATCGGACTCTTCGGTCGATATATGCCTGAGCAGTCGCGTCTGCTATCGGTTGAATTGCTTGTTCGTTCGCTAAACGGGTTCTGAGGCCGGTGGACCAGAGTGCTTCAGCAATAAGATGGTCCTCAGAAATATACAGCGCGAACTTTTGCATGCCCTCGCCAAACAGCGAGCTCGTAGCTCTATCCAAGTCAGATCGACGATAGAGGTTAGATTTTCCAGTGACGCAGGGGGCAATGCCTAGCTCGTTGATGCCAGTGTAAAACTTGGAGTGCGATGTGAGAAGGTACATTTCCTCGAGTCTAGACCCCGAGCCGTGGCCCAATGCAACAGCAATAGGAACATGGTGGACCAATCCAACTTTTGGGTCAGCGAAATGACGGACAGCCCGGCCAAGCGTGTTCGGAGAAACCCAAACATTGGAGTCCAGCACCCAAAGTAAGTCGTGTTTTGCTGCCTTGAACCCCTTTGTTAGATTGTTGACTTTAGGATTAGGACCATAGCTTTCGTCGCCCACAAGAACCTTCGCGTCAGTATTCGGGAACTCGGCTAGCAGTTGTTGAACAACCTGGTACGCCGGATCATCTGCAGAAGCAAGACAAAAAATGAGCTCGAACGGGTATGACTGAACGAAAGATGATCTCAGACAGTCATATAAGAGGGGGTCAATTCCCTTCAGGGGTCTAAGAATGGTCACAGGTATCGGATCACCCTCGATCTCGGACGCTTTTCCCAAACTTTCGACACGTTTTGTTCGCTGGTAAATACCCCAAACGCCGAGAAGACTAATGAATACCACAAACGTATACCATGTAAAAAACACAGCACAAGTGGCTGTCCACGTATTCAGCGCCATACAGTATCAGCGTGACGAAATTTTTCAACCTAGTGCGCACGTTAGGCGAAGCTTGACTAAACGTGCGACCATCCCAGCACAAGGCCACATGGTGGGGGATCCGACGAGGCCTGGAGGCGGCCTGCGGGCAGCTATTTCCTGAAACCATCTTTTTAGGCGCTAAAATATCCCGAAGAGCTCGCATGAGATTTTGCTCCGATCTTGGGTCCCCTCGAGGCCCAAACGATGTCCATGCGGGGAAGGGGGGTTTCGAGCTTCTCAAATTTACGGTTTTTTTTTTGAGCAGCATGAGGTTAGGGTACGGTGGAGGATGCAAGATTAAGTGGAAAAAGGGCCTCTGAGATTCTCATAATCATTAGAGTTAGTCCCACTTCGTCCAGTTGAGGATTCGAAGACAAGAGCTGAGCAGGATTGAAACGCGTGAGCCGTGCGTAGCAATTCGATTCAAGTCACACGAAATGAAGGATACAGGAGCATCTCCGTTGGTAGCATGCCAACGCTGCCGACAGAAGAAAACCCGTTGCGATCGCGGGTTCCCTCGCTGCCGCCCATGCGAGAAATTTGACGAACCGTGCCTCACCATTGAGCCGTGGTCGGGGCGAGTGATTCCACGCTCGTATTTGAGCCGTCTGGAAGAAAGAGTGGCAGAATTGGAAATGAAACTGACCGAGCACAAGGAGGTCAAGACCACAACTAAGCCAGTCCCCCGCCCGGCAAACTCCACAAGCTTCCTAGGTGCGTCCTCCGGGCTCACGTTCGCTCGGATTTTGGGGTCCATTTTTCGCGAACAGGTAGGCTCCGAAGAGCCCCATACCAGAGTGTCCACTAACAACCTCTCAACCACGCCATCGGCTAAAAGTCGAACCACGGTCGCGCAGCAAGCGTCGCACATTCACCTGCCTGAGAAGGCAGTCGCAGAGGAGTATTTGGAGCGGTATTTTAATCTTTCAAACACCCAAATGCCTATTTTGCATAGAGAAGACTTCATCCAAAAGTATTTTGAGCCCGTGTACGGTCCGATTAGCCCGGGACTTAACCTGGGATGCACCTTCACGCAGCCCGCCCTGCAGACCTCTACGGCGCCACCTGGTCCCAACACACTCTACCAAAGACTATCTAAGGTTTCCTCATATCGGGACTTGTCTACGGAAGACCAGACGGCACTGTACTTTTTGCTACAGGTGTTTTCCATCGCCGTAGCCGGCCACATGCAGCTGTACCCCGCATACCTCCCCGAGCGACTGCAATTCCATGCAATGACAGTCTACGAGACTGCTGCCAAGTCTGAAGATGGCTATGAAGCTCTTCAGGCTGTTTTGCTGCTAGCGCTATATTCCGTTATGCGTCCTGCAGATCCAGGCATTTGGTATGTGATTGGTACAGCAATGCGCATGTGCGTCGAAATGGGCATCCACAACGAAGACCGCCGCAAGCGCCAGGTGTACGTTTCAAGTGGAGAGCCTGCGAACGATGCACTCCGTTTGGATATGGCACGTCGTTTATTTTGGTGTACTTATTCTCTCGATCGCCAGATATGCGTTTATCTGGGTCGCCCCAATGGCCTGGGAGATGAGTACATCAAAGTACCTTACCCTTCTTTAATTGACGATGCATATGTTTTGAAAGCAGCTGAACAGCACGGTACACTCCCCCACGCTACCACGGGACCCAGTTATAAGCACATTTCACTTGCATTCTTTCAGTTGCGGTATATTCAAGCCCGCGTCCAGCATGTGTTGTACGATTTGGCTGAGGTGCCGCGAGCATACGGTTCGCTGGAGCACTGGCGAAGTGAAATGATGCGTGAGCTCGACGAGTGGTACCGCAGTATTCCCACGGATGAACGCATCACAAACTGCCAGTTCAATGTTGGTATTCTGTCCCTCAACTATCACCAAACTCGCCTGCTTCTGTACGGCATGTCGCCGGCGGCCCCGCGGCCCTCGCCTGCAGACATGAACATGTGTGCGGATTCCGGGCGGCAAATTATTGAACTGTACCACCGACTATACACCGAAGAGCGCCTGAACTATACATGGGCAGCAGTGCATAACTTATTTTTTGCCGGCACCTCCTACCTGTATGTGCTGCATCATTCTGAGGACGAACGGCGAGTCACAAACTCCAAGTCCGTGCAGACGTTGATTGACGAGGCGTTGGCAGTCATGACATTTTTACAAAAGTACACCGACTCGGCCACGCCATGTCTCAATTCGCTGCGTCGACTGGCTGAGGCCACAGTGCGTCTCATGGTTTCGGAGAGTGAGAAAGTCGAACTCACAGAGTTCTACCACACATCCGACTCGGACGACCCCTTATCCAGTGGCAATGACAACAAGGTGTACGACTTTATTAGCCAGATGCAGCAATCGTTTATTTGGGAACCGTTCTTGGCCAACTCCGAACCGGCACCTCCCCATCCACACGACATTGACGAAAAGGGCCAGTTTTTGTCCATGTGAACCCGACACTTTATTCACTCTTAAGATAGTTTAAGACAATTTAAATAGATATAGACATTTCGATAGACTCACTGACTTTGGGCGCGTATTCTGGCCATTTTGAGCATCAGCTTGATGCATTTTGCGATTCGCCGCTGGCTCGTTGGATCCAGCAAGGTCTTCGGGTCCGAGGGCTCGATTTTGAGCATAACAAGGCTCCGATGCGCGTTCCATTCGCCAATTATTTTGACGAAATCGCCCTCCACGCCGTCGTAGGTGGCCAGGGGGCCAAAGTCCGCCCACACCTGGGATTGCTGGTCCAGGCTGCCTAGCAGTGCCTCAGAACCGCTGGAGTTTGTTGATAGCAATTGGGCATATAGATATACTACGTTTGTGCACATATAAAGGCCATCACGCGGGTTGACAGTCAGTAGAGTCTCCACATCTATCTGATACATGTCAGCAAGAGAAAAATAGACATTTGCATAAATGCACATAAATAAACTAAACACGAATCTTACGCTTAGGTTTACGCTTGACCAAGATGGGAATCTTCTCTTCCTCAGACACCGACTCGTCGATCTCCATGTCCTCCTCGTCGAGTTCAATGTCCTGTTCTTCCTGTTCGGCCTTTTGGGCAGCCCGGAGCAGCTCGACCTCGCGGCGACGCAGAATCTCGGGGTTTGCCTCGACAAGTTTGCGATCAAGCTCGAGCTGTCTGGCAGCATTGTCCTTCATGCGGTTCTTGTAGAATGCCCGCTCGCGCCGCTGGCGAATGGCTTCGATGCGGGTCATGGCGTCCATAGTCTCCTGAACAAGCTCGCGGTTGTAGCGAACAGGGATGTGGCGGCGCTGGTTGAACGCCAGAGTCGAATCAACCACCATTTCCTTGCCGGCAGCCTTGCGGAATGCCTTAGTCCACTTAAGTTTACGCGGGTTCCGCTTCAATTTGAAGTTCTTGTGGCACTTGGACCGGCAGAATTTAAACTCCTTGGCGTCGTTACGCACAAAAGTAATGCCATGGCCCGGATACACAGGCGATGAGCAAAAGTAGCAGGTCTCGATCCGCATTGAAAAATGTCAAGATGGAAGGGAAAAAAAAAAATTTCGAAATTTTTATTACAAATTCGCCCCGAAAAAAAACCTGACAAATTCACCTTGCAAACACTGAAAATGGCGTCCATCGTTGACTACGTCAAAGAGCACCCTGTGTTCTGTGGTGTCACTACCGTTGGCACCCTATGGGCTCTGAAACTTGCATTCTCGAAGAGCGGGCCCAAGGGCTTCTACAAGGGCGGCTTCGAGTCAAAGATGACCAAGAAGGAGGCGCTGCAAATCCTGAACCTGCGGGAGTCTACTCTGTCACAAAACCGCCTGAAGGAAAGCCACCGTAAAATCATGATCCTGAACCACCCGGACCGCGGCGGGTCTGCCTACCTTGCTACCAAGGTCAACGAGGCCAAGGCTCTGTTGGAGAAGAGCGGCATCAGACGTTGAGTTTTCATAAGTTATTTGTATATAAACCAATAAAAACTAGCCTCTAGTAAATAGACTCACTACGTCCTCGTCTTCGATAGCATGCCCCAGGCCGCATTTCTGCGGCGAGTGCTTCACAGATGTACCCCACACCATGGCGAACTTGAACTTGTCTTTGAAGTCCCGGTGTATCGTGTTGCAAAAATCTTCGACGGTGGATCGCTTCAAGCGTAAGATAACCGGCTCCTCGAGGTCCGGTTTGGAGCCCTTGGGCTTGGTATATACGCGAACCAGCTTCAGGTCTTCCCAAATGCGTTCAATCAAGTCCTGCAACCCAAGCGACTCGGACACCGAAACTACCGTAGAATGAGGCTGCCGCGCCAGGCGGTCTGTTTCCTCGAGTGACACAGCATCGATCTTGTTGTAGCAGTAAAGGCAGGGAATATATGAGCGGTGCTGCTCGTTGATGACATCGATAAAGTCTTCGACCGTAACCTCCGGGTCCCGCACCAGGACATCCGCGTTCATAATCCGGTAGTCTCTGAGAATACTGGCAATCATTTTCTCGTCAAGCTTCTGTGGTGGCTGGGCAAACGTGACTTTGATACCTCCAGTTTGTTTCAGCTTGAAGGTAACGTTGGGTCGCTCCTTGTTGAGCCGAATACCCACGGCTTCCAATTCGCGCTCTAAAATGGCTCTTTGGCTATCCGGTTTGGTGGCATCCAGCACCATCAAGATCAGATCAGCAGTCCGGGCAGTGCTGACGACCTGTCTACCACGACCTTTGCCTTCAGACGCTCCCTGAATAATGCCGGGCAGGTCAAGAACTTGAATCTCGGCGCCTTCGTATTCTAAAACACCAGGAACAGATGTGAGAGTGGTGAATGCATATTGAGCCACTTCACTCTTAGTTTTAGTGACTTTCGACAACAGCGAAGATTTACCTACCGACGGAAACCCAATCAAAGCTACTCGTGCATGACCACTTTTGGCGACTTCGAATCCCTGGCCAGCCGACGAAGAGCCGCCGGGGCCAGGCTCCAATAACTGCTGGCGATAACGCGCTAACTTGCCTTTCAGTAAACCAATGTGGTACTCTGTGGCTTTGTTTTTCTGCGTGCGCGCAAGCTCCTGTTGGATTTGCTCGATCTTTTCTGTGATGTTGACCATGACAAATTCTGTTTCTCACTCTTCGTTAGCGATATCTTCGAGCAGAAAGTTGACATTACGCCTTACGCGGGCTCGCCAGGCCTCTAGCTTGCGTACTTTTTCAACCACTTTTTCGTGTTCTTCAATTGGCACTTGGCCGGGGAGCGATAGCCGGTCCTGGTGGTAGAATCGCGACGGGATCGGAGTTCCCGGGGGTGAAATCGTTGAAGAAAGATGGCTTGTTTGCGACATGAGCGATTGAACTGCCTTTTGGTGAGGTGCTGGTGGGGTGATGAAAATGCCCATCTGTGCCCCATTCCGCGTCACGGTTGGCGGTGGTGGCATGGCATCGATCTCGCATGTGCCTCCCAAAAGGTATCCCAGCTGGTGCTTTTCATTGCTGTAGGGCGGATTTGGTTTCTTGGCCGTGGACGGCTCTGATACTGAATTGCGTCGTTTTGCGGCACCGGCTTTGGGGGTATTGGTTTGTGGGGGCTTACCGAAATTGGGCGACTGAGGACAGGTAGTTCCCTGCTGGTGTCTTTTGAAATTGAACGAACGGTGCGTAAAGTAACCACATTCGCATTTGAACTCGGGTTCTGGCATGTTGGTCGAACGTCAAGTTGCGAATGTGACGTACCACATTTTGGTGGTCCATGCAGGTTGAGGAAATTATGCATAATTATGTGTCTACAGTGGTATATTTAGTAGAGTTCGAAAACCTCAGACTCGGAGTCGGACTCGGAGCTTGAGCTCGAGCTCGAGCTGGAGCTGGAGCTGGAGCTGGATGAAGAAGAAGAGGTGGAGCTGGAAGTGCACTCACACTCGGAGCCACAATCAGCAGCAGGCTCAAGGTCACTCAAGTAAACAATCTCCTCCTCGTCATCAGAGCCGACTTCGTAAATAGAAACATCAGAGAACTCGTCCTCAGAATCGTCCTCGTCGTCAGACTCGGACTCGGAATCAGCAGCAGAAATGTCCTCGTCGCTGTCAGCATAAATCAAAACATCGCTGTCGAGCTCGCTCTCGGACATGTCGACATCAGAGTCCTCGATATCAGAGTGGACCTCGACGAATTCGATCTCGGAGTCGGTGTTGTCGCTGACATCGTCCGCTTCGGCCTGAGCCAAAACGGCCTCAACTTCCTCGGAGTCCAGCTCGCTGTCGTTGGGATCAATCTCACGGTCGGAGTCGTCGTCTGAGTCCTCCTCAGAGGCAGAAGCGATTTCCTCTTCGAATTCCTGTTCAAGCAGCTCTGCGACCTCGCCCAGCAAGTCACTGACGGCAGCAATGTAGAAGGCAACGCGGCGGCGGAAACGCTGGTTTGCCTTGCCATAGGCACGGGACAAAATGCTCTCCAAACGGGCCTGGAGCTCCTGGAGCAGGTCAGCGAAGGTGGAAAGGAACTCAGCATCACCCACTACAGAATCGAGATCCAGCTCAGCGCAGCGGTCGAAAATCTCAAAGCACTCGGCGGCTTCGTACTCCAGAGCAAGCTTCTTGTTGGAGGGCTTGGGTGGCAAGCTCTCGGTGGCCTTGCTCACCTTTGAGCGTTTGGAAGCGGGCTTGGAGGCCTTGTGCGACTTTGAGCGGCGGGCGTTAATTTTCTTGGAGTAGCGATCGAAGTCGTTGTCCGAGTCTTCCGAATCAGTAGAAACGTAGTAGTACGGCATGATCAGATGGTAAGTTGACAAATGGATCACGCCTGTTTATATAGCTAATATGCTTGCATAAAGATTTTTCACCTGGGACGCAGTGGCTGCAGTAATCCTGCAGTAACCCGAACCTTCTTGAACAAAAACAGGCAAACAGCAACACGATCTGCAGTATGTAAATTAGACAGATGGGTTAGCGAGTTCCTCGGGAGATGCGGGCGGTTCAGCGAGGGAAAGAAAAATGGAAATTGTATTTTGAATCCCCTGCTATTCCTCTGCATTTCCCAGTCCACTCGCCTCACGGTAGCCATCCTGACGTAACCTGGCTGTAGTGAAGGCAACGGTGCAAATTTTCAACATTTCCACCACCATTCTCGACTGACTAATCGGCGAAATCTGAAAGATCAAGCACTGAACTGGCCAGTCTATAGCTCACCCCCCATGGCGAAGCTGACAGGACTACAACGGGACGTGGTGCATTTCTACCGGCAATGTATAAGGACGTGCTACCAGAAGCAGCCAGAGTACCGCCGGGACTTTCTTGAGTTCACGCGGCAGGAATTTGAAAAGCACCGGGACCTCGAGCGCAAAGACATCACAACCATTGAGTATCTGTTACGCACTGGCCACCGAAAATTAGAAATGTTTTCCAATCCCAACCTGCGAAAGATCCACTAGAACGTCACTTCTCCTCAGACCTACAACCCGCTATCTAGATAATCAATCACATGTATTTTTCTACATCCTCGGTTCGCATTCCAGCAATTCGGTACTCGCGGTGATCTTCATGTGAAATAGTTCGGGCCCTTCTGGTCCCCCCCGCCAGGTTACCTAACCGAAAGCCGCCAGCTGACAGGTGGACCTCGGAAGTTACCCCAGCTTTCACGAGTTATTATAAATACCCAGCCGAGCGGAGTTCGACAGACTCCTCCACTCCGTCAAGTTGAAGATGTCAGACGCACCCGATTCCGCTATGGAGATTGAAAGCTCTCAGTCCAACTCTGCTCTCGTCGGCCAGGTTAAATCGTTTGTTGCTGGTGGTGTAGGCGGCATTTGCGCTGTTCTGACCGGCCACCCCTTCGACCTGGTCAAGGTCCGCCAGCAGACCGCCAGCTCTCCCCTGAGTGCCATTGGAGCCGCCAAGGCGATTCTTACCAAGGACGGCCCGCGTGGTTTCTACCGGGGTGTTGCCGCGCCTCTTGTTGGCGTGACCCCCATGTTTGCAGTGTCCTTCTGGGGTTACGACGTTGGCCAGCGCCTTGTCCGGTCGGTCACCGGCACCGAGGCGAGCAAGAAGCTGTCGATTGCTGAAATTTCGGCTGCCGGCTTCTTCTCGGCCATCCCCATGACGGCCATTACTGCTCCCTTTGAGCGGGTCAAGGTCATTCTGCAACTCCAGGGACAGGGCAACCTCAAGGAGGGCCAAAAGCAGTTCACCGGCGCTATGGACGTCGTCAAGCACCTCTACCGCGAGGGCGGCATGAAGTCCGTTTTTAAGGGCAGCGTGGCTACTTTGTCTCGTGATGGCCCGGGATCTGCCCTGTACTTTGCTGCTTATGAGTACATCAAGCGCAAGGGCGCTGATGCCGACGGCAACGTGCCGCTGTCGACGATTGTTTTCGCCGGTGGTATGGCTGGTATTGCAATGTGGGTACCTGTGTTCCCTATTGACACTATCAAGTCTAACCTGCAGTCGAGCGATAAGCCACAATCGATCGCCCAAGTCACCCGGTCTATTTATCAGCGCGGGGGCATGAAGGCCTTCTTCCCTGGCGTGGGTGCCGCCTTGGCCCGCTCGTTCCCTGCAAACGCCGCGACCTTCCTTGGCGTCGAGATGACCTACAAATTCTTCAACGGCGTTGGTCTTTAAAACTATGGGGAAACGTATACATACATTATACACTTTATAGAGCGGTATTTGTTGAGCAAGGTGCGCTATCACTGCAGTCGCATGCAGTGGGCGGAGGGGAGATTGTCAACGATGGGCTCAGGTGTGGAACTTGTCATTGCAGGATTCTGGGCTGGAGCACCGCCCTTATCGCAGCGATTCAAACGCCCCTCATGCAATCTGCACGTCCTACCCCGCCCTGCAGATAACGTCCCCCAACCCCAACATAGTTTGTCTCGTTTGGCCCTCCCTTGCACACCAGACCTAGTCGAGCCCTGCACCGCTTGCCCATCACCGATGGTATTTCTTGCGGTGGCAACGGCCGATCGGCAATCTCGTTAAACCACGCACAACGGCCGACGCCATATATCTTACCTAATGGCAAAGCGATCACCTGCACGGCCTCACCCAGACTTGTTATTTGGGCATTCTCTCATCCTACTCCATGAGCAACACATTATGACAGCCTGCAAGATCCAGATACAGCTATTCTCGTCACAGCATGTGACCTCCAATGATGTTATTCAAGGGTGCGTGCTGCTCGACATATCCAGGGACATTTTCGTCAGGGCAATTGCGATCAAGCTCGAAGGTGTCGCCTCGACATTTGTAACGTTAGGGCCCTACTCTTCTCACACGCAAAAGTACAAGGAGCTGTATCAAAAGTTCGAGCTTCTGGAGATTCAGCAAGAGCCAATGACCTTCAAAAAGGGTCAGTACATGTACCCATTTGAGTTCACGGTTCCTGAGCAATTGCCGCCTTCGTTCACCCACTCGTTTTCTAATCGTATTGACTACTTCTTAAAGGCCACAGTCAGTCGTCCGGGAATTTCGTGCAACTACAGAACTATTCTTGCTCTGTACCACACTCCAAGCGTGCCATACCGCAACGAAGACTGGTCGTTTGAAACGAAGGTCGTACATGTTCTGATTGATCCAAAACAGGTATCAGCGCCGTACAAGTCTCTTGATATTAAGGCAATCAATAGCCACTTGCTCCAATCGGCCCCGGGCCCGCCCCAGCAAGCGGTCGTACAGATAACCAACAACAAGCTGCTGTGCGACGCCTTGGATACCTCGCCACCTGTCACAGAAATTTCAAACGGCGACAAAATTGAACGCCCGCGGTGGGGCTTTTTACATAAATGGCGCGGCCGCAAAGCTTTCAACCTGCAAGTGGACGCCTGGTTCATGCCAGAAGGCCTGGTTGTGGGTGAGCAGTTGCCTTTGAAGTTGTTTATCCATGTTAGAGAGGCCATGGTCCTACTGCAGCTCTCGATGCTCCGGGTGGCCTTTGAAGTCAAGACCGAATTCCGGGCCGAGGGCCAATCCCACAAAGATACGAGGGAGCTGGAGATTCTGAAACTCGACGAAACAGTAAAATTGGCCTCCTCCCCCATAATTGACATCTCGCATCTGCTACGGGACCTTAGAGTGCCGGCAGACTTCACCCCGAGCTTCAGGGGCCACACCATGCGCAGAAGCTACCGACTCAAGCTGTCCATGCGGGTCAACTCTAGCATCTCCCGTACCACGGCAATGTTCCGTAATGAAGTCAAGATTTACTCGAACGTTGAAACTGAAGCATTGCCTCTGTACGAGCCGCGATGCCAGATGAGCTTGCCTATGTACGATTCGGTAGCAGTTTAATCGTTTGTTCCATATTTATATACATGCTCATTCTTTTAATTTATTTCCGCTTTCTTGATTTCCACTTCTTCATGAACTTCTGTGTCTCGGCTGCCTCTCCGTCAACCTTGAGATCCTCGATAAATGCCATGTTGACCATTTTGAGCCCGTGGCCGTCGCGAATAGCTAGCACCCGTTGCTTGTAATAACAGCCTAGAACCTCTCCCTGGAATTCAAAGCCTTTACCTCGAATTGAAGCATTCATGCTCTCTTTACACATGACGTGATATGATTCTTAAACTTAGTTCTGCTTGACTCAGCGATGGCCAGCTTGTTTGAGGTAGATGGCTCTGAGCTGTCCACCGAGTCATTTAGCTCCTTGGCGATTGACGAAGTACAGGACGAGTTGTCTGAGGAGCGTGCAGACTCGCCACCTTTGCGAACGGCTTCTGACCTCGATAAGGCGGATGGGATAGACGGTCCTCGCAGAACTTCCACAGAGACTGGGCGCGGTAGGACTCAGGAAATCACCTCTTCTTTCAAAGTAATACCCCAAATTAACTACACGTTACGGTATTGGCATGGGTTGGACTGCGAACTCGACGAGTGGTTCAGCTCGTTGCCAGATGCTGCCTCGTTCTTGGGCAAACTCGTGTACTGTGATCCACTCGAAAAAGCCGAGGTGGAAAGAGAGCTAATTGCAGCTGAGATTTCTGGAGACTTTTCAAAACTACTGTATTTTGCATTGGGTACCTTTGAGCCCTGGAATTCGTACGATCAGCACCGGGCTGCGGTGGTTCGCCATTGCGAGTTTCTAAACAAACACAATGCATTGGACAGGCTGGATCCGAATTCCGATGATCTTCATGAACTCTCCTTAATTTTTGTTCTGGTTTCCGTGTGTCTGGATACAGTCGGAGCTACTCTGCGTCGCTTGGCGTTTGCTCAAAAACTCATGCACAGACTTGCGTCTTTCCGGTGGGCTGAGACGTTAGAAATTGGACCACACGCAATGCTACTACGAGTTTTGCTATTGGCTGTCTTTGGACTGGAAAACGAAATGCACGAAAGCCAAGAATACTTGTACAAATCATGCGGCGCCGAATTGGGCCTAAACTCTGATGAAGTCATGGCCACTCCTCTAGATTATGAAGGGTTTCGCGAACAGATAATGGCTCGGTATCCGTCATATATCCCCCCAGAGGCCGACCCGGAAACAAAACTATCTGCGTACGAACGCCCTCCCCCAAAAGCTGTAATGCCTAACTTGGTCACAGTTGACGTGCCAACCAGCATTGAAGAAGCTTGCGAACTCTTCCACAAAAAGACAGTTAGGACTCCCGAAGTTGTGCAATTCTGGGAAGAACAACGAAGGTTCCTCAACGGGGTTCCTTCGGCCACAGCGCTGCCCGCCGATACTCCAGAAAGCTTAAAACGGGTGGATGAGGTCTACAATGATACACTGATCATTCTAAAATCATTCTGCACTGTTTTACTCAACTTTATTCTTCAGGAATCTTCAGCAGAGGACCGCTCAGGTGGAGGTTTACATTCGGCCTGCATGATTTTTTGTATTCTGCTGAGATGGTATCGGTTGTCGAACATTTTCAAATTTGAATTTCTAGCTGCAATCATGTTCGATTTGCAGTTCCACTTGATCGCCTTCAAATATTGTGCAAACCATGCCATTTTGGAGACAGTGTTAGCCGACACTAAGCCACCAACAGGGTTCTGGGCGATCACAAAACAACTAAACGATGGAGCTAGTCTGCCCAATGAAATTTATGGGCTTGATGAAAAGCGTGTGGGAAGTATTAACAACTCAAAGTCAGACTGCGTGTCCGACGGCATCAAAATCGAGAGCTTTTCACCAAGAGCCCTTGAGATATTTATTGCATTGGTTGGCAACACCCGAGCGATTATCAGTGATAAGACGCAGAGAATCATCATCGTTGCCGAACTGCCTGCAGAGTCACTAAAGCAATTGCTGCTTGTGTACAATCGGCAATTATGGATCGAGGCGTTGCAGATCTTCAAAATGCAAGCCCCGCTGAATGGGAAAAAATGGAGATCGATGAATATGGAGCTGATCTCGGCCATCTACCTGCACTGTCCGTCCAAACTTAACGACAATTGGCTTTCTGGCCAGGACCTCAGTGGGGAAATCAAGGTGGCGGCATCGCAAGAAGAAACGTTGCGCAACATGATTGAGTTTTATAATTCGAGCCGTTTGAATCTAGAAAAACGCGAAACTTCTTTCTTTGCATAGCCTTTCCAAACTCTCCCGCTTACTACTCAGATGGGCGCTCAAGATGCCAATGTGCCCGCCAAACTATATAGCACAGGTGAGCACACAATAATTGATGATCTTCCATACACGCTACAGGGCATAGAAACTGAGCATCACAAGTGGATAGAGGCGGAATGCGCTCTGTTGCTACCTGTTCTCGGGCTGCCATTACTCAAGACCGCACACAGCTTGGCAGAGCCAGCAATCCTGTCCAAATGGCTTCGAAGTGTGGTTTCGCAGCCCCCTAATGGGTTGGTGACCCAAGCACTGTTTAATTCTATTGATGAAGAACTTCAGCAGTATCTTATATTTATTGGAGCAGTTGAAAAACGCGTCAGAGCGCGAACTGACATTACTCTTAGCGACTGCGTGGTTATGTTGCAGCAGCCGGTTTTGGCGCTCAGACTTTTGTATACGATCGTGCTGGAGTGCCAAACCTTGGTTGGTGGGCAGATTATGTCCCTTTTGCACCGGTACACAAGGCACGGGAACCAGTTTGTTTCTAGCTTTTGCCAAAGACTACTTGACAAGGCTACGGTACCCTTTGACGACTTTTTGAGTAACTGGGTGGGATCTGGAACATTGAACGATCCATACGGTGAGTTTTTTGTTCAAGTCGCGGATGTCCATTCGAGGTGGTCTGGTCGATTCGATTTCCTGGCGCAACTTGTTCCCGAGTCGATGAAGCAAACAGATGCCAAACGGGCATTCGATGTTGGCAAAGCACTTTACTTTTTACGGAGCCTGTGTAATGATGATAGGTTCATTGTGCAACGCGAGTCCAAAGATGCGAAAGGCGAAACGCTGATCAACCAGAACTTCAACAGCGTCATTGAGCATGTCAACAATCAGTTAGCGACCAAGTTCCAATTGAGCATCCATTTACAAGCCTTGAAGGACTACATGTTACTGAACAAAGGAGATTTTGTGGAGAATCTATTGCGAGAATGTGGAGAGCTCCTGGCCCAACCGGCCGAGAATCTTGTTCGGCATCAGCTAACCACGGCTTTGGAAACTGCCATCTATACGTCTAATGCTCAGTTCGATCCTCCACAAGTTTTAAAACAGCTGGATGCTCGAATGCTGGGGTTGGGCGAAATGGCCTGGCAAGTTTTCACCATCCACTACCAAGTTCCGTCACCTCTGGATGTGATTGTTGACGAAAGAGCTATGCGAACGTATCTGCAAATATTCAATTTTTTGTGGCGAGTCCGCTATGCATCGTTTGCGCTGTCTAATATTTGGCGCAGCAGAATCATGTCTGCTCGCGGCAGCCTGAAGGCGCTCATTGTCGAACAAGGAATCCAAGAAGAATGGCAATCGGTGGTCGATGGATGGCAAATAATGACGCAGTTCGTCAATGAGCTCCAGCTGTATATCTATACCGAAGTCATACAAGGAGCATGGAAAACCATGAACGCCAAACTAGCAAAGCTGGCTACGCTGGACGAAATCATCAAAGCCCATCGAGACTATCTCGAGATCATCAAAAGCCGGATCATGTTTGGGGCCGGAGAGACCGTAATTGAGCTTCAAGAGCTTTTGAACGGCGTCTTGGAGTTCTGCAGGTCGGCCGCCAACATGCATATTTATATTTCTCACCGCCAGGTCGACCGCCAACGCGAGGCATTCACTGCTATCTACGACCAAGTTCTACAAAGCCAGGCGCAGTTTGTTAGCCAGGCAGAAAAGCTCTTGATGAAACTGGATCAAGATAATCAGTCGTTTTCAACCAGGTTGAATTTTAATAGTTATTATCAGTTATAAGTTAGGCTGGTTTTTACTCAGCTTTGGCTTTAGTTTTCAGGTTCTCGAGGCGCTTGCGCTTGTTGGCCTCGATGTACTCTTCAGTTTTCGCGTACTTTGAGCCAAGTAGCGTGTCCCAATGCACAAAGAACGGCTGGCTGAAGTTGGTCTTGATGCCAAAGTGCTGGTGGTGAATGTCGTGATAGGTGGCCCGGTTGGGGAAAATGATTTGCAAAGGGTCCCAGGGGAGCTCGTAGCCGCAGTGGTCGTCAACAGTTTTAAGGGTCGAGAACGTGTACATGAACACCAGCTCGCGAGGAGACATGCCTGTGACGAAGCCAGCGACGGCGGCACTCAGAGTGTCTAGCAAGAAACCTTCGATCAGCGAGTTGTAGAGAGCCCCAAACGCGTAGGGCACGTACAAACGGTGATGTACAGAGTGGAACTTGCGATAGCACCACATGTTTGTGTGCATGTAGCGGTGCAAGGCGTACTGCCAAGTATCCAATACAAAAAAGGCGGCAATTAGGCGGAAGAAAGGGAAGACGGCCCAGTACAGATAGTAGGCCACGTTGTGCGGGATGTTGTAGTTCGTGGCCAGCTTCCAGACCTCGTATTCCTCGTGTCCTGTCGTGTACGGCGATTCGAAATAGTTGACCACCAACCCAGCAAAGAATTGCACGGTTTGCTCGGAGATAACAGCACGAATGACCTGGCCCATGGTGGCCTTATTTTTCTTCTCCAGCTCTTCCGGCGTGTGGATGCGGTACTGTTCAAACAGGTTGTGGGTGTCAAAGTAGTGGAACATGCTGCAGAAGACCCAGTAGCCCACAACGGGCGCGATGAGCGCGAGCAGCTCGTCACTCATTCCCGGAACGAGGCCCTTCGGGCGCACCGCGTAAATCGGGGGTGGCGGAATCGTCGAATTCATGATGGCGTGGTCTGGATGATCCAAGCTGAATAAATATTAGACCTCCCAGACAGGTGACGAGATGAGCCTCGAAGCAAAACCCCTTAACCTGTAAGGGGGAGAAAAAAAAAAAAGAGGGGACAGGGTTTCTTTCCACGGTTCGGGGAGAGGTTATACTAAATGAGTTAAATATTTTACTATACAAATCTAATCGAGCTTTTCGTCTTTGACTTCGCCACGAACGTCGATTCGGGTCGCAATTTCCGGATCCGGAGCAGTGCCCTGGGGGCCGCGGTACTTTTTCTTACCGCCCAGCTGCCAAAACACCAGCGAGAAGCCGAGGATTCCAAAGAAGAAGGCGACTGCATAATTCATATTTTCGGCAGTGACGGGGATGTTGGTGGGCAGGAAGAAAATCACAGACACAAACAGCGTCCACAGACACGCCCAGCCATTGACGACGTACGAGAACTTGCCGAGGTTCCAGGGTCCGGTCTGGAAGAGGTCTGGGAAGAGCATCTTACCAAGAATAGGCACGGCATACGACCAGTCTAGAGCAATTGCGCAGACATTAAAAATAGCGTTGATTGTGGTGGTGGATCCAAGGGCGATAAGATTGATGGCAATACACATGGCCGTGTTCAGCCAAACGGCGTAGATAGGGGTCTTGGTCTTGGAGTTGACCCGGTACCAGATATGGCTGAACGGCAGCATCTTGTCGCGAGCCTGGGCCCAGGTCGTACGCGAAGCTGCGTGCAGTGCAGACACACCGACAAAGTTCATAACAAGGAACATCGCAACCGTGTAGAAGATACCACCGCCCTTTCCAAGGCTGTTGTAATAGATCTGGGCAACTGGCTGGGAAGAGTTGAGGATCTGGATAGGGTCACCCATGCAGAAAGCAAGGACAATGTTGTACAGAATGCCCAGAACATAGGTGAAGATCATAGCCGTCGAAATAGCCCAGGGTGCTTTGCGTTCGGGCTCTTTCATCTCTTCGCAAATGTGCGCAGTGGCATCGTAGTCGGTCATAGTCCAAGAAACAGACAAGAAGCCAAACAGGAACGAAAACCCAAGAGGCGTCCAGCCAGAGTTGCTCTCGATATGAGTGAAAACATAGGTCGCGTCGTGCTTGTCGTGGGTCTTTGCAAGTAGGGCAATGGCACCGGTGAACAAGCAGCCAAAGTGGAAAACAACATAAAAGTTGGCCAGTCGTTCCAGGTATCTGGTAGGGAAAGAGTTGACGCACCCGTGAAAAACGAGAATTGCCGCCATAACTCCCACAGTATGGTTAGCGGTAGGTGTGTAGCTGGGATTGCCCATTTGCACTGCAGAAAGAAGCATCTGGGCCGCACCAAAGTCACTCGAAGCCACGCCGGCAATTTGGCCAAGCAAGTTCATGTATCCTACACACCAGCACATGACCGGAGCCCAATCCTTGGGGAATACCTTGGAGCAGGCGTAATAAAGACCGCCAGAAGTAGGGTAGGCCGAGACGATTTCAGCGACGGAAAATGCAATGCACAAACAGCCGAAGCCCGAAATGACCCAACACCAAACCGCCGCGGCAGCACCACCGGCCTCCAGAGGGTAAATAAACGTGGTGCCAATAGTAGCCATCAGCCCGGAAATCGACACCGCAAAGGAGAACGCAGAAAACATTGTGAACTCCCGCTTCAGCTCTGACTCGTACCCCAGCTCGACAAGAATGCGGTCAGCACTGTTTGCAGTGGAAAACGAGCTCTCAACATCGCTAGTAGCCGACTGTTCTCTAACAGTCCAGTCTTCGGGTGATCCAGGCGCTTTTGCTTCCTCGACCTTCATCTTCGCTGCTTGACAAGTCTTAATAACCCAATTACAGCTTATAGTGCGGTGACGTTTATCGATCCTCTCTGGTTATATAATGAAATTTTTTTACATTTCGCTCCGAAGCCGTCCGCCTGGATATATCCGAGGTCACGGCCTCAATGAGTACATTATGGCAATCGGTGTGCAAGGGATGGTACAAGTGCGTCGGGGATGGATTTGCCAAGCAGTATTTTCAAGATTCTTCGCAAAGATGCCCTGCCAATTTCCTCGGATTCTTCCCAGTCTATTGCGGGTAAGGGTAATTTAATCTAATGCACGATGCTAAGAGTTTGCAGGCGGGGCCAGGCGTAGCAGGAGAGCCAATTCTTAGCGGAGCTATTTGGCCCCTAGATAATAAAACTATAGAAATTAATGGCCCTCGGCCTTGGGTGCGTTGGGCAGCTCGCGGACGCACTTGGAAATGATGTCAAGACCGCGGTCGATGTCGGCCTCGGAAATAACCAGGGGCGGAGCCAGACGAATAATTGTGTCGTGAGTAGGCTTTGCAAGTAGTCCATGCTCCTTCAAAAGCAAGCAGAGGTCCCATGCGGATCGGCCGTTGGCTTTAGAGCTGTCGACAACCACGGCATTGAGCAGACCCTTGCCGCGGATCTCAGAAATGATTCCGGTCTCCAACAGGGGTTCAAGGCCCTTGCGGAACCGCTCACCAAGAGTAGCAGCTCGCTCAACCAGGTTTTCGTCCTTGACGACCTGCAGGGCAGCAATGGCTACTGCGGAAGACAGCGGGTTCCCGCCGTACGTGGAGCCATGTGTACCGGCCCCAAAGCACAGCATGATCTCTTTGGAGGACAAAACAGCAGAAGCAGGAGTAATACCGCCAGACAGCGCCTTACCCAAAAGGACGACGTCGGGCTTGATGCCATAGTGCTCAACACAGAGCAGTTTACCCGTGCGGGCAATACCCGTCTGGATTTCATCAGCGATCAGCAAGACATTGTGCTTTTTGCAGAGCTCGGCAACGCGAGGGAAGTAATCGTCGTCAGGAACAACAATGCCCGCCTCGCCCTGGATGGGCTCGAGAATAATCGCAGCGATCTTGTCGCCAGCAGCTGCCATAGCCTCCGCGATGTCCTCGATACGGTTGTAGCGCAGAGGCTTGCCAGAGCCAGGAATAACGGGGCCAACGTTCTTCACATACGGTCCGTATTCAGCACGAGCCTCGGGATCAGTCGACATGGACACAATGGCAATGGTGCGGCCATGGAAGTTGTCGGTAGCGGCCAGAACAATCGCCTCGTTCTCGGGGATGCCCTTCTTCTGGTAACCCCACTTGCGAGCCAGCTTCAAAGCAGTCTCCACAGCCTCAGCACCAGTATTCATAGGCAGAAGCATCTCGTAACCAAAGTACTCGCAAGCATACTTGGCGAAAGAACCAAAGATGTCGTTGTGGAAGGCGCGCGAGCTCAGAGTAAGACGCTGGGCCTGATCACACAGAGCTTTGACAATCTTGGGGTGGCAGTGGCCCTGGTTGACGGCGGAGTACGCCGACAAAAAGTCAAGGTACTCTTTTCCCTCAGGATCCCAAACGTGAGCACCCTCGCCTTTGGCGAACACCACCGGCAGAGGATGGTAGTTGTGAGCCGAGTACTCGGTCTCGAGTTTGATGGCTTCGGCGCTGGACACGTTGAATTCAGACATGGTAAGATGGTTGGGTAAATAGCCAATGACTACTTTTTATATTCGTTCTTTTCGTACCCCTATGTGCAGGAGATGGCGATACTGCAACCCTATGTGCAGGAGCTGGCGAGTCACGTGAGCACAGCGACCCCGCCTAACGGCTTTTTACAACGGTATTATTGATCTACAAGTGACCTTTCGAGAATTTCTCTCAATTCTTCGTCCGATTCGTCGGCTTGTGGAGGCTCTTCGGGATGCAACGATAACTCGAGCGCCTGTATTAGCTCTGCGTCTTCGTTTTGTTCGCTTAACAGCACAGCATAGGCAATTTGTTCTTCTTCTGTCATGTCTGTCATGTTGTAGGCTTCGCGGAGGTGTGTTTGGTGGTTATGTTCTTCGTCCTCCAATGTGATCATTTCCATATTAAAGTCAATTTCTTCATGGATGTCTGCAGCTGTCTGGCGCTCGGCAGCTAGCCGGGTGACTGCCGGTTTACGATTCTTGCGCAACGGCTTGATCCGCTCGTTGTCCGCGCCTGAATCAATGTATTGGATAGCCTCTTTAACTGACAGAATGGCATGAGGCTGGAGTGGATCAGGATCAACCTGAAGATGTGAAATGGGGAACGACTCACGACCCGCTGTATCACCGCGGCGGAAATCGAGCACTTGTCTTGATAGTTTTGAAGATACCTGGCGAAGCGTCTCACCACTCATAAGGTCCATGGCCACACAATGGCCGTTGTATCCACCAATGAGCAAAACCACTGAATTCAAGGCAACTTGAGTAATGTGGGGCTGTCTTTCCGAAGTGAGAGGCGAAGGTCGTGCCCAAAAAAGAGGGACTGGGTCATCGAGAACTGGATGATCAACACGCCAGCAGTAAATTGTCCCGCTTGAAACCGCAGCTACCATGTATTTGGGTCCGGTGGTCGCAGCACGGTCAAAGTTCCAGGCCAGGATTCTTTCTTGTTCGCCTGACATGGCATAGCTTTCATAACCGTGAGGGCTAGCTCGATAAATTGTGTCTCGGTATTTGGCAATAACAAATCCACAGCAAATAAATAGTTGTGTGTCATCTTGGCTAAGCGGTGATGGCAGTTTTGAAGACGCTACGGTTTCGCCCTGTTTGTTGAGCCAGAACAAGCGGCCACTGGAGTCGGCAGCAACCACTTGTCCGCTATGCGTATCAGCCCAAACAAAGTCAATTGGGTGCTGGGAAAGGTCGACCTGCTTGTAGTTGTCAGTACGAGCCCCAAACACCAAAAATACTTTACCGTCGGCACCTCCGGTAACAAACGACAAAGTATCTGATGAAACATTAGGTCTATGGGTCTTGGAAACCCATACTGCTGTAACCGCGTCATCATGGCGGTACTGCAAAAAGTTGTAGCTGAGAATAAGATGCGAGGAACGGGCAAAAACCATAGTAATAATCCGTCCGTCATGGAACCCGCATACAATTGCGAACCGAGAGCCGTCCAAACAAGCAATTCTGTGCTGAATAGAGAAATCGGCTGCAAACATACGTTCGCGAGCCACTTTTCCCACCCGGGGATCGGAGATATTACCCACTCCACGGCCGCGGTTGAAGGTAATAACTCGAGACCCGCTCAGATCGGAAAACATATCGGTGATGGTGCCCAACGTAGCATTGTACGAGACCGTTTTCAAGTTTTGACGGGTCCATCGGCCCAATATCTCCTCTCTGATCAAATACTCCTCCCGCCAGGAAAAATCCGGGCCGCTCAACGCCGTCACGTCCAGAGTTCCGAATCGGGCGGCAAAATGGCGCCTCCAAAGCTTTTCTCCGGAATTTTCCTGCCAGGATTTACACACGAGCGGGACTGTGTCCAAATCACTGGGCTCCAGGTAGAAAAAGATCCTAGCAAGCACCTCTGGCGGTGGCGAAACCATATAGGGAGCTTGGTAAGTTGTCCCAGGGTGACTTAAGGGATCGATATACTGCGGGAAGCGCCCGAATAAATTACAATTACTGAATAAAATCAAGATTAAATAGTTTTGGAGGGCGAGTCCCGGTTGAGGTACTGCCGGTATTCCATTTTGGCGACTCGAGCAACCGCCCCGTAGTTGTTTGCCCATACCTTGGAGTTTTTGGTAGATTTAAAATCAAAGGATGGGTTGCACTCGGACGCTGCTTCCAACAGCGATTTATGAGACGGAGACGGTTTGTTTTCCGTCTTGGCAGCCTTCCGAGGCTCGTTTTCAGGGCTCCGGGCCCGACGCATGGTTCTTGTCTGCTTAATCACTGGATGGACTTGGAGGTAATAAGGCAGGTTGTGGCTGCTAATCCTAATTTCACTTCCACCCGAAAGTTTTCATTGTATTCTAATTTTGGTAGACTGCAGGAGACCAACCAGGTCGGCTACCAGGCGAATGTCGTGACTTGGAAGGAGGTGCTAGAAGAGGCGGTAAGAAGGCGGGCCTTCCCAAACGCTCTGAGTTTTGAGGCGGGTCCTCAATTGATTGAAGCATTGTCGGATCCCCAGAACGGCCAACCCATGGCACTAAATACGGTCATTGACGAGATGGTTGCTCAAAAAAAGCTGGTCCCCATGCAGACGTTTTTGCACGCCAAGTACCCGCTGCTCAATTCGACATGGTCGGCGGGCCAGCTAGCATCAAAAGTTGCCTTCTGGGCGTGGAGCAAAGTGGTTGATACCGACTGGCATTCAGGAGATGTTGGCAAGCTGAAAACCGTGACGTATGTTGCAATTGATCAGACCAAGGTGGTTGCACAGAATGTGCTGCGGCAAATCAAGGCCGATTTCAGACAAAACGGAAGCACTTATTCTGCCGGAATATTCTCTTTTGGTCAAATAAAAGAACTCTGTGGCATGTCCAAGGAGGATTTGGAAGTCTGTCTAGTTTACTTGAGTCGCGAAACCAACGATCTGAGTTACAAGGGTATTGTCAAAATCAATGGCGATATAGAGGACTCCGACTCGTCTATCCCTGGCATCAAAGATGTCCTAGCCCAACAATCAGTCAGATTGAGCGTGCTGGATGCCAAGATCGCCCAGTACGATGGCAAGGCTCGAGACTTTTTGCGAAAAGGCGAGCGCGAACGAGCCAAGACGGCACTGAAAGTAAAACGAGCGCACGAAAAAACCCAGACAGAGATTATGGACCAACAAAACCAACTCGAGCTTGTGCTGAACAAGATCGACCAAGCTAGTGATCAGGTCAATATGATTGAGGCGCTGAAAGCTGGCAAGGAGATTCTCGCCAAACGAAACAAGGCGATTGGAGGGGCCGATGCAGTTAGTGAGCTCATGGACTCGTTACAGGACGAGATGGCAGAGACCGACGATATTGCAGACCGGCTCGGCAGGCTGTCATTTATCGATGTCGAAGACGAACTCGAGGAATTACAGGCTCAAGCAGACAGCCAAGCACTCCATGATTTGCCCAAGGCCCAGGCAGAGGTTCGCGCCAACGAGACTCCAGTAGATGTAGAGGCTCAGCCTGAAACACAACGTGAGCCCGAATTGATATTAAATAGTTAGCATACTTGTAAAATTATCACCTAAATCCACTACGGAGCACAAAGTAAACATCTGAAATTTTCTGCTTATCCAATGGCATTGCAAGTTGGACCAAATGCTCCAGCAATAGCTGGTAAAAGTATTGTTCAGGCGGCCGCTGTGCTGAATCCCAGACTACCGAGACTGACCGAATTCAATGTTGTTGGTCAAGGCTCGATTGTGCAGGCGTCGGTGCCGGCCAGCGTTCCTGTCTGGGTCCGTCGAGGCGCTCTGGCCGGCGTGCTGGGCAAAGACGCAGTATCGGGCGTTTTGTCGCGATTCACCGTGGGGAACTCGTTTCTGGGCCGCCTGTTTGGCCGCCAGCCCATGATTGTCCAGCGGGTGGTCTCCACTAGCCCTTCCACTCTGCTGCTGGCAGCTCCCACAAATCAGACCCTGACGGTGCTTGAAATGGACGGCTCGGTGGACTGGGCCGTGGTATACCCTGCAACCCTTCATGCACATGCTGGAGAGAGTTTGAATATTATTCCCCGTACCGCTGTCGGCGGACTGGTCCACGCTGTACCATTTTCACACATCAGTGCCCGGGGCCGAGGAGTCCTCGCCCTGGCGTCACCATCCCAGCTTCTGCGAGTTACCCTGGAGGCTGGCGAAAGCATGCTTGTTCAACGAAGCCACCTGGCTGCATTCTCAATTGATGGCAATGCCGCAGGCGGCAAACCGCGCTTTGTGGATGTGAGCTTCGCTCTGGCCCCGGACCCGGACGCCCACGCTGTGACTCCTCGACGCTCGTTTGGCAACCCCACGGTCGACAAGGCTGTCTACACAACCCTGGAGCTCACGAGACAAGCGTTTTCCTGGCTCAAGCGAGCAGTGCGTCGCGGAGCGGCCGGACGGTTCGTGGAAATGCACGGACCTTGCACGATTCTGGTTACTGCGCAGGCGCCGGTGATTAAAAAGTAGATCAGCTAGTTGTTGTTTAATGGTTTTCTTAACTAGAAGGAACGCAGAACTATTTAAGCGCTAGCACTCTCGCGGTGGAGCTCGGCCATGCGGTTCAAAGCAGAGCCGGCCTTGAACCAAGCGATCTGCTCAGAGTTGTAAGTGTGGGACAGCTCGGTCTCCCAAGCGGCACCATCCTTAGGGTGGACGACCATCTTGACATTCTTGCCGGGGGCAAGCTCGTTAAGGCCAACGAGGTCGATGCGGTCCTCGGGGTTGATCTTGTCGTAGTCGGCGGGGTTGACGAAGTTAAGGGGCAGCAGACCCTGCTTCTTCAAGTTGGTCTCGTGGATACGGGCGAACGACTTGGTGATGATGGCGAAGCCACCGAGGTAGCGGGGCTCGAGAGCGGCGTGCTCACGAGAAGAACCCTCACCAAAGTTCTCACCACCAACAACAACCCAGCGGACACCCTGGTCGCGGTAGGCGATAGCGGTCTCAGGAACACCGTCCCACTTGCCGGTGAAGACGTTCTGCACGTTGTTGGCCTCGCCGTTAACAGCGTTGATGGCGCCAATCATGTAGTTGTTGGAGATGTTCTGCAAGTGACCACGGTACTTGAGCCAAGGACCGGCCTGAGAAATGTGGTCAGTGGTGGTCTTGCCAAGAGACTTGATAAGGATGGGCATGTCCTTACCGTCAGTACCGTCCCAAGGCTTGAAGGGAGTCAGCTTCTGCAGACGGTCGGAGGTAGGAGAGATCTTGACCTCAACGGTGCTGCGGTCAGCGGGGGGAGCGCGGTAAGTATCCTGGCCGCGGTCGAAGCCCTTGGAGGGCAGACCGTCACCCTTGGGCTCAGCAAGCATGAACTCCTTGCCGTCGGCACTCTTGAGAGAGTCGGTCATGGGGTTGAAGCGCAAGTCACCGGCAATGGCAAAGGCAGTGACAACGTCGGGGGAGGCAACAAAGGCGTGGGTCTCGGGGTTCGAGTCGTTACGACCAGTGAAGTTACGGTTGTAAGAAGAGACAATAGTGTTCTTGTCACCCTTCTTGATGTCACGACGATCCCACTGACCAATGCAGGGGCCGCAAGCGTTAGCAAGGACAATACCGCCAAAGTCAAGGAAGGTCTGGAGCTGGCCATCACGCTCGATGGTAGCACGGACCTGCTCGGAACCGGGGGTAACGGTGAAGATAGACTTGGCCTTAAGACCGTGGGCCATGGCGTCACGGGCGATGTTGGCGGCACGAGACATGTCCTCGTAAGAGGAGTTGGTGCAAGAGCCGATCAAACCGACTTTGATCTCCAGGGGCCAGCCCTCCTGAACGGCAACCTCCTTCATCTTGGAGATGGGGGTGGCCAAATCGGGAGTGAAGGGACCGTTGACGTAGGGCTCGAGAGTGTTGAGGTCGATCTCGATCAACTGGTCGTACTCGGCACCCTCGTCAGCAGACAAGAGCTCCTTGTGGTAGAGCTGGGCAAAGTCAGCAATAGCAGAGCGCTCAGTGGCCTTAAGGTAGTCGACCATGCTCTTGTTGAAGGGGAAAACGGAGGTGGTGGCACCAATCTCAGCACCCATGTTGCAAATGGTACCCATACCAGTGCAAGAAAGAGCATCGACACCGTCGCCAAAGTACTCGACAATGGCACCGGTACCACCCTTGACGGTGGTGATGCCGGCAACCTTAAGGATGACATCCTTAGCGGAGGTCCAGCCGCTCATGCGGCCAGTGAGCTTGACACCAATGTACTTGGGCGCCTTGAGCTCCCAGGGCAAGTCAGCCATGACGTCGACGGCATCAGCACCACCGACACCAATAGCAAGCTGGCCAAGACCACCAGCGTTGGGGGTGTGGGAGTCGGTACCGATGAGAAGAGCACCGGGGAAGGCGTAGTTCTCAAGGATGATCTGGTGGATGATACCAGAGCCGGGGCCCCAGAAACCCATGTTGTACTTGGAGGTGGCAGAGCCGAGGAAGTCGTAGACCTCCTTGTTGATGTCGATGGCACGAGCCAAGTCCTCAGGACCACCGGTCTGGGCCTGAATCAAGTGGTCGCAGTGCACAGTGGAGGGGGTTGCGACCTTGTCCATGCCAGCAGACATGAACTGCAGGATAGCCATTTGGGCGGTCGCATCCTGGCAAGCAACACGATCGGGGCGCAACTTGAGGTAAGAAACACCGCGCTCGATCTCCTGCTCGTGCGGGTTGTCCAAGTGGCCGTATAGAATCTTCTCACCGTAGGTCAAAGGACGGCCAAGACGCTCCTTGACAATCTTGACGTTCTCAAGGTTCTTCTTGTAGTTGACAAAAGTATCCTTTTCCCACACGTTCATGTTGACCTTCGAATCGAGGGTAACGGCAGAGTACGACCGTGCCATACGGGCACCAGCCCGAGCAACGCTAGTTCTCGAAAGCATTTGAATAGGGATGGTTAAAGAAAAAAATCCTTGTAAGCAAGGCCCCCACGTATTTGTATGCTTGGGCATACTGGACGCATATGCAGTATCCGCGACGACATGATTGGTCCGCTGAGCTACACCTAACCCTTGTGTCCGTCTCGGCTCCGAGGCCCGTTCCTGGGTCTCGTGACTGTAAGAGGGTGTAGCCGACGGCGCGCGGCAGTGATCAAGATGTGGTGCGACTAAAACGGCTGCTGCGTGCGCATCGGTTTGAATTTACTCGGCAGTGTTGCCTGGCAATGGCACTACGGACATTTTCCACCCGTCTCCCATGCGGGTCCATCTGAAGCCGGGGGCTAGGGTACAGTGCCAATTTCCCCTGGGCTGACACTGGCAAAATGTTCATTGGCCGATAACCGCGGGTAAGGGTAAAACCTGGGGTACAGGGCGGACCCGAATGCCGGTGGTGGTGTTTTGAGGTCAAACTGTTGTGAATTCTAGTTAGTGGTTAAAATATTTCTAAATCGTCGAGTACTTCGATATAAGTTTGTGAAGTGACTTACCCAGAAGGTCCCATTTTATTACTTTAGTGTCCTTGACTATCTTTCTCGGCCGAGGCTCATTGTAAGACATGATCAGTTTGAACAGCTGGGAGAATTCCCCGGACTTGGACACCGTCTGAGGTCGGGCATATTCAAGGTTTCGGCGCAGCCGGTTTTTTTCGGTCATATAGAAGGGCGCTCCGACTAGACACTCCATAATTGATAAAACATCCGCGGACGTTATGTAGCAGATCTTGCTATGGCGGTCCCAGATGCAGGACACCACCGTGTCGTCCTCTCCATACTCTTCTTCGTACACCTGTTGAGAAACTACTTTGTGGCTCAACCTCAGGACTCTACCAACTTGTTGACGCTCGAAGGCAACCAGCCGCCGAGACTGCTCTACCTCTTCATCGGACCACTGCTCACTAACCACGAGGCCCAGATCGCCAATTATCTCGAGAATCGCTGGCTCGGGGTCTCGATCTTTGTTTGTGTATGCCCCTCCGTATAGGTAGTCCGGCGGGGATTTGCGTCCAATCTCAGACGTTCGTATTAGTCGCGGGGTCGTGTCCGCTTTTTCGGAAGATATTAAATGAGACGCCATAGGCATAGGTAGCATGTTCATAAACCGGCGAGCTCCAGGCTCATTAGCAGTAGTAGTTTCATTATCGTGTTCCCTATCTCCAGTGTCGCTAAGTTCTTGGTCAGAGTCCCGCTGCGAACGCTTAGACCCGCCGTCTGGTGAACGAAAAAAGTTCAGCAGAGACCGTGAGTCCAGGAGCGGCATTTGAAGGCCATGCTCGGCTTCAGGCTGTGGGTTGTTTTCCAAGCTCGCTTTGTTGATTTGGCCACGCAACCGATTAACCGCACCCAGGTGACTTTTGGATTTTTTACTCCTTAAGGGTGTTCGTGGAGCAATCGCAGCGTGTGATCTCTTGTTCTTCGTTTTAATTATTCTGCCGTCGCTTTTGGGTATCACTGTTTTCTCGCCCTTTTCTCCGTCAGACGATCCGTTCTCTCTGTACAATCCGTAGCATGTTTCATACGACGACGTTTCTTGTAACGTATAGACCGGTACAGAGGGTCCTTCTTCTGTTGCACCCATACCGTACTCGTACATTGGAGCCCTAATATGCTCCTTTTCTAATTTAGCCGGTGGCGAATTAGCCGGTGGGCCGCCGCCTTCATAGTACTCATGGTGATATCCCATGGGCTCTCTGCTCCACGCCTTTGGGCGGGCTTGAAGAACATGACCGCGGTAAAGAGATGAATTGGGTTTGTTCACCTGGTCGTGTCGCCTAATTTCATCTAATGAAGGTTGATGGGTCAAATATGGAACATAGTTTGAAGGCACCTCGTAGCTGACGCCTTCCCTGGAAGGGAGACACGAGTGCATCGAGGTATCAGGAAGATCTGACGACGAGTTACTGCCGGTGGGTGACTCAATCAACTGTTCATTAGGAACCGAAGCATTTGATTCTACCATCTCAAGTGGCGCCGAATTCTCGCTATACCCTGGGTCAAGGCAATCTTGAGAATCGCAATGGTTCTCGTGTACAAAAGAGCAGAAAGTGTTCTCTTTTTCGGTACCGGGGCTGATCGCAAGTTTATAAGGTCAACTGGCTGAATTTATCAAGCTGGAGTCTCACTGCGCAAATGCAAGAATGGAACTTTTTTGTCGATGTTCGCCTTTTGCCTTGGAATGTAGGGTATATGCCAGAGAACTTGTTTCAGGGAATGCTTGATACACGAGGTCCAAGCCCACAAGTCTCTAATAATATAGACAGGTGCCACGCCTCTGTGCTGTCTTCTCGGTCTAATATGCCATTGCGAACGCACTGCATTGAGTTCCAAACCCAGGGGTCTCAACGTGCTGCTGACGCCCGAAGGAAATATCTATGCGGGGGTCTAATGTTGTTGAGATTTGGGAGCTTTTGGGCAGATATTGGAAAAATTCTCGAGGTCTATGGGGATCCGGCTGGCCAAACGCCTGGCAGCTACGTCGAAACGATCCCACGCTCCGTAGGGTTAGTGTAAATAGAGGCTTGAGAACTGGACAAATTGCCTGGAGGTGTAGCGAGACCAGCTCGAGGGCGGGCCGGTTGTTGTGGCGGTGTGTAAACTATCTTGTGTAAATATGCTGATCCTAAAGATCTGGCCACGATTCGGTGGTCGTGTTGGCGAGCTAACACCTTCGCGGAGCTTGGCTGCAAATCCTTTAAATTCATTCCGGGTGCGAGACACGAACCGCCCAAACCCACAGCGACATGCATGCGATTAGGTCAATGCAAAGAAAACGAGTGACCCTTGCCCCTCGTTAACCTGTGGGCTGTGGCCGGATGACGTTAACCGAAAGCACTCCGAAGCTAAACATGCGGACAACTTTGGGAATTTATTTGAGAATGCAGGAAGCCGAATAGCTTTTTTGGGGCAGCGATTGCCCGATCCATATTGCGATTCTGGCCACTAGGGCCGTGCATGAAAAACTCAAACGTTCTGTTTGAGACGTGGGCTGGTTAGTGCACTCCATATTAATGCAACACAGTCAGCGATCGTGTACTGGTGTCTCATCCCATCTACAGTCATGCACTGGTCTGAGAAGGACCACGATTTCAGCATGCATAGTGTCTCTTGATGATGCGTGAGTTGCTTTGTATCAGCTCCTCTGTGCCTATCCCAATAGTAGTATGCGGAATTATGGGCACAGGGTATGTACATACATACCGAAATCGTGCAGGATCTGCATAGTATTGTACGTCAGGCCACTTGCAACCTCCAGGCTGTTTGAGTTTTGTCCCAAGGGTCTGAAACACTGTTTGTAGTATGGGACCTGCGCCATCCCAGAGAGTCAAGTAATTTTCGCATTGTAGCACCACATAGCCGACGGGGGCATGCACTACAACAGGCCCTGCCAAACAGGAAGCAAAAGAAAACGCGCAAAAGCGCATGCGGGCTGCAATACAGAGCCAACTAAAACACTCCGGGATGCCGATCAGATCTAATCACTGGCATTTTAATAACGGGCGATTACTATTTGCTCTTACGGTCGAAATAAGCCTTTACTCCCCAGTACTCTGCAAACGCAATCGCAGCAGTGCTAAGAACTACAACAGACACTTGGAGAGCAGTGAGGTTTCCCTGTTTGTGCTGCTGGGAAAGATAAGTTGAGGCCGCAGAAGCGGTCAAGACAGTGAACAGCACGGTGGTGGAGACGGCAGGGTCCTTGAACTCCTCGTTGAGGTTGTCTGCGGTCTTCTTGGCCAGGTCCCTGGCCGAGTCGGCAGCGCGCTCTGCCTCACTGGCAACCTTCTTGGCCGCAGAGGTGGCACACGCCTTGACTTTGTCGGCCTCTTCCGACAGAGTGTCCATGAATGCACGGCATGTCTTCTTGGGCTCCTCGCCGTCTTTGGCATCCTTAGCGGCGTCCTGGACCGCGGAGGCGCTAGCGTCGACCGCCTCTTTAGTGGCTTCAGCTACATCCTTAGCCTCGGGATCAAAATAGGGTTGGTGAACTTGACTCATGGTAGGGTGTGGGTGTTTTGGACTTTCAAATTGAGCTGGGCCTACTAAAACTACCGGTAAATCAGAGGGTACAAGTGGGATATTTGCTGATAGCAGGTCAGACGACTTACGCTAAGGGTAAGGGCATGCACAAGAATCACATGAGGTTTTGGCCCCCTTAGCTCACCTCGCTGCGTAGTCGTGAGATCATTTTGTAGGCTTTTTATGTAGGTTTGGATATATAACATGTCGCCTTGACTAGCCTGCTCTTTGTTCGCGCCCGTTTGAGCTGCGCGGACGCCCGTGCCCTCCCAATCACCATCTGAACATCTGCAATGCCGAAATATGATTTGCTCAGGCCGCCGCTGACTGTGTGCTTAGACATGTTCAGTCCCAGTCCGGATTTCGAAGGGTCGCCAGGCCCGTTGCCGCCGCTGTGCAACGTGCCGCCAATGGCCATGCCCGTTATAACCCCTTCGAGCAACGGACAGGCATTTCAGAGCACTGTTTTCCAAAAGCCCGCCGAGCGGATCGGGGTGCTGGGCACGGGCACTCGCGGCGTGGACTGGCTCCAGCGTATTTTAATGGCCCTGCAGTGCCCTGTCCAAGAAGAAATCGATTGGGCGGTCTCTGCGTTGCTCGAGCTTTCTTTCCGCAACGCTGACGCGTTCAAACAACCCGGCAGTGAACAGGCTTTACAACTGGTGCTGGCCACCATTACAGAGCACTGGGATACGGCTACTGCCGCCCAAACCGACCTCGAGGAACGCGAAAGTGGGTTGGTCAAACGGCAGTTCCTGAGTGAGGCGCTTCTCACGCTGAGAAACGCCTGCCTCGATGCTAAAACGGCCCAGCTGCTGGCAGCAGAGCCGGCGACTCGCGAAGTGATCACCCGCGGCATGCTTCTTCCTAGAGAGCCGCTGTACAGCGAAATCAGGGGCTACGCGGTGGAAATCGCTGAACACGTCTGCTTCCATTACATGCCTGAAGGGCCAGAGTCTCCTTTGATGGTTGCCCTGGTCAACCTGCTGGATTCTCAAGACAGATCGCTGGTTATCTCATCTCACCGTGCCCTTGGCCGCTTGTGTGTCTACGACGAGTCCAACTGTATTGCCAGCTTGGCTATTGACCACGTCCATCGGCTCTTGCGCTATCTTATGGTCGAAGACGAAGAACTGGTATCGGCCTGTCTCGACTTGCTGTACCAGTACACGGCCCGTATCCAGCACGTTGATGATCTGGTCGGTGAAAATATCAAAGACGACGCAATGTGGGTTCGCGATATTTTGAGTGCCCATCTTGTTCGATTGTTAACCTACAAGATGGACCGCGAGCGGGTCGAATACGTTCGCCTACCTCGCCGCACCAAGCGACCGGCTCCAGCTGAGCCGCCGTCTTTACCGCAAACAATTCTCGATGAACTGCTTGTTTTGAACGAACCTGAGCGTGCCACGAACTGGATCAGGGCTAGCTACGAACCCGACCCGGATGGAGAAGTGACACAAATCTCGCTTTGGAAGGCATACGAGGGCCAGTTTGAGGCCCATGCGCGCCAAAGTGGCCGCAGGCTGCTCCCGGCGGTTGACTTTATCAAAAACGTCACAAGTGCTTTCCGCAACGCCGCCGCTATGGTGGTGAACGTTGGTCCCAATCAGAAAAAATTCATCATCAAGGGAATCAGACCCCGAGAACAAGCCGTCTCCCCCTCCGTGTACCGTAATAATCCGGCTGCTCTCCCGGACCCTCGCCGCCGCATCCCGCCGCCATTTGGACCGACTGTCGCATTGGTTCTGCAGAATATTGCCCGTCTTCACGGCGGTCGACAGCTGTTACAGCCATATATTGCTGCTATCGCCGACGCGGCCGTCGTAAACCCTTCGCTGTGGGGGTACGTCGACGCCCTGTTGAGTGTAATTGATAAACAAAAGTAGATACTTAAGAGGGAAAAAAAGTTTACTGTTAGTTTATTTGTCGGTGTGCTCGATCCAGCCCTTGGGACGCTCAAGACCCTGGACCTTGTGGAAGCGAGGAGTGCACGAGTAGCCGCGCCATGTGAAAATATTGCGTTGATCAGGGGGCAAGCTGTCGTCGCTGGGGCATGTACAATGGAGACGACGGCGGGTCTCCTCGTCAACGGGGCAGTTTTGGAAAGGAACGTGCCAATAACCAACGTCGTTGAAGTAATGCAGCTCGCTGCGGTCCATAAGAAGTGCAGCAGCAATCGAGTGGACAGGAGCATCGCCCCAGCGCTCGTAGAAGAATCCACCGGCCTTGTCAAGGTAGTCGAAGAAGGCGCGGTAGGCGTCACTGCGCCAAAAGTCGAGGTCGCCGACCTCGAAGTTGGACCAGAAGTGACACAAATTGTAGGTCTCACCACCGTCGTCGGAAATAAAGTTCAGAGCATTGTTGGGGTGAATGTGCTGAGGGTACTCAGCCATGAATCCCTTGACAGTCTTCCAAAGCGTCTCGATGGTGGCCTCGTACTCGTAAAGAGAAATGGTGAAGCCATAACTCTTCTTGTTGTTCTTCATGAAGGCGAAAAGGTCGTAGTCAATGTCGCAGAACAGCTTGATGTGCGGCTCGACACGCCAGTAGTACTTGTACGCGTCGAGGGCAGGGTTACGCCAGAAGAAACCAGACTCGAACCGACACATGTGGCGGTAAGGCTCAGAGAACCCGTAGATGATCTTCTTTTCATTCATTTCCTCGCGGACCAAAGCAGCCTTCTCCTGGTCGATCCAGTCGGGGTACGACCAGTGCTCGGGGGGAATATGGCCAAACACGGCCTTGCCAGAGACAAAAGAAGACACGATGGTCTTGAACTCCTCGGTGAACTCGGCGTCGTTCAAGAAGACCCAATCATAGTGGTACTTGTGGTTGTAGCGGTCTTCGACCTCACGGATCGAACCCACGACGGCCCAGAGGTCCTGGTTACGAGCAAGCGTAACAAACGTGGCGTTCTGGCGCTCATAAGTACTTGCCAATCCGTCAGCAGCATTGGGCTGCGCGGGAGCGGGCGACGAGTTACCTGCAGTGGTGGCCGGCGCAGACACGTCCTCCTCGGCCTTACCTCCGTGAAGACCTCCTGTGGTTCCGCGTAGTGAGTTCACGTTGCCGAACTTCTTGGTGTATTCAGAGAGATCCACATCTTTGTTGGACACCTTATAAATAATGAGCAAAAGGGTAACCGCTACAACAACGTAGCGCAACACCCGCAATCCTCGAACCATAGTGTAACGAAGAAGAGATGGTGAAATTAATAAAACCTTAACGTGTCAGGAGGCGAGGGATAAGGGTTACTGGGGTGATCCATGCGAGGGCTTTGCGACAATTTTTTGCAAAGAGATTTTTTTTGTCTTTCTCATGGCCCTCTTTCCTGTCTGCCTTCTATTTCTACAATGTTAATTACGCCCTCAGTCCGCACCTGTGCTGCCCCATACAACGCTCCTGCCCTGGCCGCCCCCGTCTTCCCAAGCTGACAATGACTTCAGGGCCGGATCCCGTTGTCGAGGGCCACAAAGATTATTTTCAAACGATCTTTCGACGCTGCGTGGCGGCTATTCTAGGCTCGTATGGCGCACACATCGAGCCAGAGGCGTTCGACTATATTGTCCTGCTGGCCGAGCTACACATGCACGAGCTCTACACCTCACTGGCAAGCATTGCCCATATCCAACGGCGGACCCAACCTGCCGTCGAGGACCTGGCTCTGCTGTTTAGCCAGCACAACATAAACTCTGACGACCTGTTGCGAGAAAAATCGCTCCATACCGTCTTCACTGAGCAGCTGGCTGCTCTGCAGTTTGACCCCGAGCTAGAGCCTATTCCCGACTCTGCGGCGGCGTTTTTCGACACAAAGTTCCATAATATCACATCCATCGTGCCGTCAAAACGCAAAATGCCCAACTACGTCCCCAAGTGGATGCCTCCACTGCCGCCTGACCACACCTACATGGAGTCTTCTGTGTTCACAAACCACGTGCGCAGCCTGCAAGTGCTTCGTGAGCAACTGGTAGAAGAAGGTCGTCTGGCTGAGCAGGCTCTGCAGCGATTACTTGGTCAGGGTGGGTCTGAGGCGCTACTTGAGGTCGAAAAGCCCGCTGTGCGCCAGCGCCAGCCCGAGCCGGTGTCTACGAACGGCTCTGCGCAAAAAGGAACACCAAACGGAGACGCCCCATCTTCTTATATTACAGTAGTCGACCAGGAGCCCGAGGAACCCAAGGAACCCAAGGAGCCCAAGGCGGCTGCCGAGCCCCAGCCGGCCGAAGAACCCGTCAAGACAGAGCCCTCGAATGTCGAACCCGTTAAAGTGAAACTGCCTACGCTGCGGATCTCTATGGGCAAAGAAACGGCGCGCCCATTGAGTTTGAGTCTGTCGTTGGGCAAACCCAGCGATGCCACGCAGTCTTCGGCAACGCCAGCCGCCCCAGAAAGCACGCCCGTCAAGCGGCCCAAAACCAGCGACATCTTCGGCAAACGGCCCAAAATCGATATTGCCAAATTGGCAAAAGAACACGAAACCGGCCAGCCAGTGGGTCCTTTCAAGCCCTGGGATCGCCCTCTGTCCATCCACGAGTCGCCCAACACACTGCCCTCCGTCATCGACGCTCTGGCCGCCGCAATGGCCACTATTGAAAAACAATAAATATTTAATTTGTATTTTTTTCCCCGCAGACCCCGATCTTCCCTGCTCAGACCGATCTACACCAACAAGTTTCTCGCGGATTAGCAAACCACCCAGAATCTTATTAACTAACCCCACCAAATGACGACGAGGATCACCTTGCCGGCGTCGCTGATTTATCCGGTGGAAATCACCGAGATGTTTGCCGAGGACGGCGAAAGTGTTTCTAAACACCAAGAATTACTGCGCTACAAGTACTGGAAAGAGGAACAGGACGGCGTTCCGGAAGATGGGGAAGAGCCCAAGATGGTGACCAGGGAGTTCTATGCCACATTCGAAAGCCCGCTGGCCGGCACACTGGAGCTACTTGGGCTTAAACTGGGCGACCGCATCAATGACCACACTACTCAAGTTGTGGGCATTCGGGAGGCGTGTGATCACTCGGTCCAGTACTCGGGGCTATGCGCCCTTTGTGGAGCTACTTTGGACAGCAAAGACTATCTCGACTATAATGACGCGGAAAGAGCACCGATTGCCATGTCTCATGACACCAATGGTCTCACAGTGTCGAGGGTTGAAGCCGAGCGCATCGAAAAGTCGGCCACGGACCAACTACTGGCAGAGAAGAAGCTCATTCTTGTTGTCGACCTGGACCAGACTATTATTCACGCTGCCATGGATCCCGAAATCGGCCAATGGATCCAAGACCCGGACTCGCCAAATCACGAGGCAGTCGCCGACGTGCGCAAGTTTTGTCTACGCGAACAACGTAGAGATCAGTTTGTGGACATATGGTACTATGTCAAGATCCGGCCCGGCCTCAAAGAGTTTCTGGAGAAAATGTATACTCGCTTTGAAATGCATATTTATACCATGGCTACCAAGGCCTATGCTTTGGAAATCGCCAAGCTAGTGGACCCCGAAGGAAAGTACTTTGGCAATCGCATTCTGTCTCGCGAAGAGTCTGGGAATCTTTTACAAAAGAATCTTAAACGTCTTTTTCCCGTTACTACACACCTAGTGACTATTATTGACGACAGAGGTGATGTTTGGCAGTGGAGCCCTCACCTTGTTCGAGTGTTTCCGTATTCTTTCTTCCATGGCACAGGCGACATCAATTCGCAATTTTTACCTAAACGCACTGGTTTGGTGACGCCAGAAACCGAGGCCGAAGAGCAATCTGACGCTGCAGAGCAAAGGGTCCTGAAAGTCGACGAGGACGATGAACTCGAGACGCTGGGTGGTCACATGGTGCAAATCCACGAGAACTTCTACCATGAATATGATCGCCTCAAGCCAAAGATCCCCGACGTCGGTAATCTCTTGCCCCGTCTCAAGTCTAATGTCTTTGAAGGCTGCGTGATCCTGTTTACCGGAGTGTTTCCTATAGGCACGTCTCTAGACTCTGCAGACATTGTACAGTGGGTCCGCAGTTTTGGCGCCGTGGTAGTTGCTGAGCTGGTTCCAGTCGTCACACACGTCATCACTCATTCAGGAGGCACTCTCAAGGCCCGCCAGGCTGCGGGCATGGACATTCCTGTGTTGACCACGGCGTGGCTGTTTGCCTGCCTTCGGGAATGGAAAAGAGTCGATCTTGCCGAGTACAAAGTTGAAGTCAAAGACAAGATTATGCCCTCTGAGCAGCCAGCAGAAACTGGAGGAACAGAGCCCGAAAGCGACATTGCTGAGGGCTTTGTGCGCTCCCTGTCGCGCGGCGATCTTGACTGGGACGCGATCAACGCCGAACTCAAGGAGTTCATGGACAGCGACGATCTCAGCGACGATGTGTTTGACGAAGAAGAAAATAACACCACCAGCAACCGAACCAATGGTAAACGATCCCACGAAGAGGCGGAAGAGCCCAATAAAAAGCGTTCGAAAAATGCAAACGACTCTGCTCAAGACGATGACTCTGCCGAAGACGATTTCGCCGCAGAATTGGAAAGCGATCTCACGTAACCTTGCTCTTTTTTTTCTTTTTTGGGACTTGTAACTGTTTGTAGCGCCGGCGCTATATTTGTTGTAAATAGCCAACTAATGATTCTTAACTCCCTATGAATGCTAAAGACTATTATTCTCTAACCCACCAGGATCTCCAACGTCGTTTGGAAGCCGCTCAGGCAGAAGCGCGAGAGTGGAAATCTAAATACTATCAACTAAACTCTAAGGTGCATCTGCTCGAGACCCAATTGCAGATGGTCCAGCTTCGCGTCTCCCTGGCCAAAAGCTTATAAAAGCATGAGATCGGGGCTCTCCAGAATTTGTCATGCTCCGCCGTTTGACGCCGTTGTGGGGTCCGATGCGGCCCTTGATTATGGTGCGGCAGTTCAGTCGAACAGCAAACCGGGCAAATGATACGGTGGTTCCCAAAATAACCCGCAGAAGCTTTTGGAGCAGGAAGAGAGTGTACTGGGGAGCCGGTATTATTGCGGCCACAGTTGGGGCTTATAATGTGAACGAGACTTTCAAAACAGCGGTCGATGTGACGGCTTTGGGAACTAAACGGGCCGCTACGGTTTCCTATGTTCTTTTCCGGTGCTCGTGGGCTTACCATTCCGTTTTAACCGCAAAATACGACAGTCCGGAGGAACAAGAAGCCGCTTTGAGGGAGTGCCATACTCGGTGCGCCAAGATCACCCGCTGGGCTTTGGAAACAAATGCCGGCTTGTTTATCAAAATTGGGCAGCATATTGCCGCATTGACTTATTTGTTTCCCGAAGAGTGGACGTCGACTATGATCCCGTTGCAAGATAAATGTCCAACAACGCCCTATGAGGACGTTGAACGGCTAATTCTCGAAGATGAAGGCAAACCCATTGAAGAGTTGTTTGTTTCGTTCGATCGTGAGCCGCTTGGAACAGCTTCTCTAGCTCAGGTTCATCGGGCAGAGCTCCTAGACGGTACAAAGGTTGCAGTTAAAGTTCAACACCCCTCATTGAAGAGGTTCATTCCTCTGGATATCATGCTGATTCGATCAGCCATTGATGCAATTGAGTATTTTTTCCCTCAGTATCCCCTCCGATGGCTTTCGAGTGAGATTGAAAACTCGATTTACACTGAGCTTGATTTCAGAGAGGAGGCACGCAATGCTGGCTTTACAAGCATTTATTTCGAGCCGTTCTACGACCTTACTGCTCTAAGAGTGCCCAAAGTCTTCTGGGCTCGCCGTCGCCTGTTGTGCATGGAGTTTTGTGCCGGTGGTCGGCCCGACGATCTAGAGTTTCTGGAAAAGCACAACATCTCACGAAGCGAGCTCTCAGAATGCTTCTCCCATATTTTCAACAATATGATTTTTACCCCAGGCGTTGGCCTTCACTGTGACCCGCATGCTGGAAATATCGCTATCCGGCCTTTAGAAGAACATGAACGTCACGGCCCGCATAATTTCGAAGTTATTCTCTATGACCACGGCCTTTATCGATATGTTCCATCTAAAACCCGTCTTGCATATGCGCATTTGTGGCTGGCCCTGCTGGACAGCAATGAGAAAGACATGAGAAAGTACGTTGAGGAATTCGCAGGTATTGGTCCCGACAAGTTCGATATTTTCATTGCGGCAATCACTGGCCGCGACACGGAGAATGCCAAAACCAATGTCATGTCTCGTCGAACAAGCACCGAAACCACCCGCATGTCTGAGCAGATTCAGCAGCAAGGGTTACTTGTTCAAGTCATGCAAATGCTGCGTGAAGTGCCCAACATTGTGTTGCTCATTCTCAAAACTAATGACCTGACCCGTTATCTCGATGAAAAGCTCGATTCCCCGCTGGGGATTGTTCGCACTTTTCTCATTATGGCCCAGTATTGCACCACGACAATCTATAAAGAGAGAATTCGGTCCATTGCCAGCCAGTATCCTTCAAAATGGTCACTCAAGCGTCGAGTCCTTGAGTTGACAAGTTGGCTCGCCTACATTACGAGGTACAGTCAACTCAAATTGTACAGCTGGGTCGCTCTTTTTCGACCGCTCACCTAGTATCTAGTCACGTGATGTCCGCTATAATTACCTAATTTAACCTCCCTCGCCCTTTCTCTTTCTAATCGCGTATAGTTGTTGTTCAACGATATGGATAAAGAGGAGTTTTTATTAGAGGATTATGAAAATGGAGAGCTTGAGGCTGAAAAATCGTTGAAGGACGAAGCAAAAAATGATGAGAGCGGTACACATGTGGCAGCCAGCGAGATAATTGCGGAGTGGAGCGACCCTGAGTTGCGAAAGCAAGTTGAGGATCGAACAGAGCAAGAGCAGGAGGTAGCACTCGAGGACCTTGAGGCCCTCGCTAACAGTCCACCCGACAGTGTGCTTAATACGTTCGAGCAGCTTCCGGAGGTTCAGGACGAGATGGACGAGATGAAGGCTTCAGTTGGCGATCAGGACGTACATGCGGCTGCAGAACAAAGCCCAATTATAGAGGAGCCTCCTTCTAGAGTCCAAAGCGAAGAGCGTGTGGGCGAAAGCGAAGAGATCACAATCACCGAGATTGGCGGAAACAAAGACCTCGACGTAGAAGTTGAGAACGACGAGCTTCTTACCTGCCCTGTGATATTTCATTTGCAAGGCCAAGACCCTATTGCACTTGTTGGCGAAAATGCAATTCTTGCCGAAGCGCCAGATTATCTCTTGACCCTGGATAGAGTGTTTGGGCTGCTGCGAGAACGAATCGACACCCAAGAGGGGCTGGAGATTGTGCTCCAGATCACCGATTTGGATCTCGTCATCAATGAAGACAATATCTACGCGGGGGAAACCCGGATCAGTGACCTAATAGAGGTCTTGGATGTTGTTCCCAAAACCCCGGATCACCTGGATATCACAGTCACGTTCCAACCCCGATTCGTGTTCGGCCTCAACAGCCTGTTCGAAAAACTGCATGCACCACCACCTACAAAGAAGGCTAAAAGGTAAGTATTCAATCCATGTCCTTTGATGTATTTATTCCTCTACTTCTATTTCTGACTAAACACCCTTCTACCCCTATAGCCCCAACCTCTTGTAGAAGACAAAAAATGCGACCATGGTACATTCCAATAAATGTACGGTTGGTGCTGATAGCGTGGCTACTCACGCTGAGCTGTGTGGGCATTTTGGGTGGCGCCGTCTGGGTTTTGAGTAGAGACGCTCTGCTGGGGCTCGAAGCCTCGAACCTGGACGTGCAGTCCAGCATGAAGGAGACCCAGGTATACACGCTACTGAATTCTATGCTAAGTCAATTGCTCAGAGTAACGACATCCTCGCAGGTTCAGCAGATCATGAAGGCTCCTGACGACGAGCAGGTGTTTGCCGCCTATAACGACACTCTTACCAGCAGTCTGGATAATTCTTCCTTGGTGGCCTTGACAATCTACTTTCAAAACACGACAGAGTTCACTTCTTTTGTTCTCAACACCATGGCTAATGTCTCGATCCCATCAAGTCTTATGCCTTTGGACTCCGACATTATTTACCAGAAGGACATCGCCGCGTCCACGTTAAACCAAACAGGAATTTATGTCGCCGGTCCAGACCGAGCTGAAAACACCCCAAGTTACTTTTTCAGCTTGACTGTGCCGGTAATTGTATCCAAAATTTGGAGTCAACCAACCAAGCCTTCACAGCTCGTTAATGGAAACTTACTCGGCTATGCAACGGCCATCTTCACCTCCGTAAAAGTCGAACAAGCATTGAACGAAACAAACGCAAGTATGCTGTCCAGTGGAATTTGTGCTGCAGCAATGGCAGAGCTGTCTGAGTCTGGCACCTCCGTCACCTATGTGCTACCGGTTGCCGCATGTGATGGCGCAAATCGACAGAGTTCGCTTTTACCCAACTCCATCAGTCAACAGCTGGCCAACCAAGAGGAAACACACGCAGTTGTAAATGGTGGTCTTAATAAATCTATGGTTTCGGTGGTCGCAATGACGTTTTTCAATAAAAACTACGTGGTGCTTCTCCAGCAGTCTCACGCGGGCACATTCAGAATGGTTCACAATCTCCGAAACATCATCGTAATTACAATGTGCAGCGTGTTTGCAGGAATGGCTATTGTTGCTCTTGTCTTGGGCCAATTTGGAACTCGGCAAATCGTCAAATTAAAAGAAGCCACTACCCACCAAAAGCAACCATCTACTTGGCACCAGCTGGGCAGAACTTTCAAATCCCCGTTTAAACATTATAAAGGACCCAGAGGCCCCCCGGGGCCAGGTGGTGGAGAAAAGAGTACAATTGGCCACATTGACAGCTACAATCAAGACGAAGAAGCTTTAATTACTGATGCTAGTGCACCTTGCACTTCTGAAAGCCAGGTCCCAGAAAAGGTTCCACTGCGAAAGCATATACGTGATGAGTTGGATCTCATCACCGAACGATTTAATGAAATGGGTGATGAGTTAAGGGAGCAGTATAGGGTTCTCGAGGAGCGTGTCGAGGCACGTAAGTCTGAAATTCAGTTCGCCCAGCAGGTCGCTAATGATGCAAACAATGCAAAGTCTCATTTTCTGGCTAGAGTTACGCATGAACTGCGTACCCCCCTGAACGGCATTCTCGGAACAGCTAGTCTGTGTTTAGAAGAAGACCTCACCGAGGATAATCTGAGCAATGTCCATGGAAGCTTGAAAACTATTTTCAAATGTGGTGAATTATTGCTGCATCTACTCACTGAGCTCTTGTCTTTTTCGCAGAACGAAGTTGAGAATCTGGATTTGGATGAACATGAATTCATGATCGCCGAGGCGACTGCTCAATTGACCGCTGTTTTCCGGGAACAGAGTGAAGCCAGCGGCATTCAACTTGAGATCCATGCTGATCCATCTTGTCAAAATCTTATTCTATACGGCGATATCAATCGTATTTTGCAAATTGTTTTCAATTTGATGTCCAACAGTCTCAAGTTCACCCCCTCGGGTGGTAAGGTCTCTTTCTTCGTTCGTGCGGACAAAATTGCGGACACACCTAATCAGCGTCTGGTCACCATTGTTGTTCGCGACACAGGGCCTGGTATTGCGCCCCATTTGCAGAAGCGTGTTTTCGAAGCGTTTGTGCAGGGTGACATCAACAACACGGCTCGCAAGGCCGGTGTTGGACTTGGTCTATCTATTTGTCGTCAACTTGCTGAGCGGATGGGTGGTTCTATCAGCCTGAAATCCGAACTGAACCACGGTGCTGAGTTTACCTTCCGAGTGCCTCTAAGATATGTTCCGTCTCGTGAAGGAGTCACCACCCCCGGGTCAAGTCGCAGCAGCGATGTTTGGCCGGAATACGAACTTTACTCTTCAGAGACTATTGTTCGCAAAGCTGAAATGGCTTTGGATCACACCTCTGCGAAGAAAGGGTCTCCGGGCGGCTCTCAGCCAACAACTCCTCTTACTTTTAGTCCCGCCGAACGGCCCACCATGAAACGCGGCACGTCTTTCGAAAGTACAGTATCAAAGTCTTTGCGCGTGCTGGTTGTAGATGATAATAAGGTGAACCAAGAAGTTATGGTGCGGATGCTTAATCTCGAAGGATTGAAGAATATTGACATTGCAAACGACGGTAACGAGGCAATTGAGCAGACTAAAGAGGCACTTGAGTCACAAGAACCCTATGACGTTATTTTCATGGACATCCAAATGCCCAACCTGGACGGACGGCAAGCTACTAAAATCCTGCGGGGTGAAATGGATGTGAAAATTCCCATCGTCGCTGTATCTGCCTTTACTGGCGATGAGAACGTCCAACAATGTCTCGCCGTAGGAATGTCGCTGTTCCTAGCCAAACCCCTCAGGCGACCCCACCTTCACAAACTGCTTTTGACGTTGAACGACCTCGCGGTTATGCCCCCCTTGCCCGAAGAGTCTGTTGGAGGAGACATTCTTGGTCATCCGAGCAGTGCCTCGCTGTCGAAAACGACATCGTCAGCAGATCATAACCGAAAGGCTTTACTGAGACGCTCTAAAAGCTTTTTGGGCTAACCGCAGTGTTCTTTTTTCCCCCCAGCTATATTCTATTTATTTATTTCACGTACAATAAAGCCCAATTATTCATGCTTCTCCCACCCGAAAAAAGTTACTTAATGCAAGCTTGCTGATTAACCAACTCATCTTTCCAACTATGAGCTTTGGAGGCCAAACTCCGACTATTGTCGTTCTGAAAGAAGGAACTGACACCTCGCAAGGTAGGGGCCAGACAATCTCGAACATAAATGCTTGTATCGCTGTTCAGGACACCCTTCGCCCGACGCTAGGCCCTATGGGATCTGACGTTTTGGTTGTGGACCCGAATGGCAAGGCAACGATTTCCAACGACGGTGCGACGATTCTGGGTCTTTTGGATGTCGTTCACCCTGCTGCGCGTATTCTTGTGGACATTTCAAAGTCTCAGGATGCTGAGGTTGGCGATGGTACTTCATCTGTCACCATTCTTGCTGGCGAGCTGATGCGAGAGGCAAAGCAATTTGTCGAGGAAAACGTGCCTGTGGAGACCATTATTAAAGGCTACCGTAAGGCTTTGCGACTTGCTATCAGCTATATCAAGGAGATTGCTGTGACGATCGACAAATCTGATCCGGAAAAATTCCGTGGCCTTCTTCAGCGATGCGCTGCCACCGCCATGTCCTCCAAGATTGTCAACGCCAACAGTGAATTTTTCACAAAGATGGTTGTTGACGCGGTCATGACTTTGGACCAGGACGATTTAAACATCAAATTGATTGGTATCAAGAAGGTTCTTGGTGGCTCCATCGAGGATACGTTGTTCGTCGACGGCACTGCCTTCAAAAAGACCTTCTCGTATGCCGGTTTCGAGCAGCAGCCCAAGAAATTTGAGGATCCTAAAATCGTGTGTCTCGATGTCGAACTAGAGCTCAAGGCTGAGAAGGACAACGCTGAGGTCCGTGTTGACACCGTTTCTGACTACCAGGCAGTTGTTGACGCCGAATGGAAAATTATTTTGGATAAGCTTGAGGCTATTGAAGCCACTGGCGCGCAGGTCGTTTTGTCCAAGTTGCCCATTGGTGATCTTGCCACCCAGTTTTTTGCCGATCGGGATATTTTCTGTGCCGGCCGCGTTTCCAACGAAGACATGAACCGGGTTCTCGCTGCTGTTGGAGGCCAGCTGCAAAGCACCACTTCGGATATCCATGAGGAGCACTTGGGTACTTGCAAACACTTCGAGGAGCGTCAAGTCGGTGGTGAGCGTTTCAACCTCTTCACAGGCTGCCCTAAGGCCAGCACCTGCACTCTTATTCTTCGTGGTGGCTCTGAACAGTTCATTGCTGAGGTTGAACGCTCGCTGCACGATGCCATTATGGTCGTCAAGCGGGCGGTTAAGAACAATGTCGTCGTTGCTGGCGGTGGTGCCTGTGAAATGGCAGTGTCCAAATACCTTCGCGAAACTTCAAAGACAATAAGAGGTAAGGAACAGCTCATCATTGCTGCATTTGCTCGTGCCCTTGAGGTTATCCCTCGTCAACTCTGTGAGAACGCCGGCTTTGATAGCATAGACGTTCTCAACCTGCTGCGGATGAAACAATACCAGGGCGACGTTTGGGCAGGTGTGGATTTCTCGACAGGCTCTGTGGGCAACAACTACGAAAGATTCGTTTGGGAGCCTTCTCTTGTCAAAACCAATGCTCTTCAAGCCGCAACTGAGGCAGCATGTATTGTCCTGTCGGTGGACGAAACCATAAAGAACGAAGAGTCGGCACCGCCCCCTCAAGGTATGCCAATGCCTCGATAAAGTTTATATGACTGGATGTATGTAGTAAGCTTGAGGAATTCGAAGTTTTTGAATCAATTTTACGACATGTTGACTATGTATGGCTAGCTGCTTCTGGGTATTAAAGGAGGGAAGCGGCGAAGGCAGCGATGATGGCCATAAGACTACCAACAGAAGTAGCAGCTCCGTTAGAGGGTGCAACGGCGACAGTGTTGGCAGGGTTTGAAACAGTAGCAACAGTGACTGCTCCGTTAGGCGCAGCAACGGTATGAGTAGCACGAGGAGGCGCAGCACCACCAGTGCGTGTAACCACAGTAGCGATAGTGCAAGGGCAGTCAGTGATGGTCAAAGTGCCAGGAGCCGTGAGAGTGTGGCAGACATCGTTAGTGCAGAGCACAGTGGGCTCAGGGCAGTAAGTGGTGAGAGCGGTTACTACCACGGTGCTCACCTCGCACGACTCACAGAGAGGTACGCAAGGGCTTGCAGTGCAAACGGGCTCACTTGTGGAGCAGACAGCAGTGTCAGTGCAGATAGTAGTATTCACAGTTGCAGTTGTTGTAACCTCAGCGGAGGAAGTATTCACAGCTGCAGTTGTTGTAACCTTCGAGGAGGAAGTATTGGCCGGGTCACTTGAAGAGGTAACATTCTGAGCAGAGGCGAGACCAGAAACGAGAGTGATTAAAGTAAGGAAAGTGTTCATTGCGATGTAGTTTTCCCGTCTACTCAACCCGATATGTCTTATATAGTCTTTATTTACATGTTTGCCCCTTGAATGCATGTTTGGCTGCCCTGCTTATGATTATTACTTGATGCATGTACCGAAGCTGTCAATAGACGGGGATCTGGAAGAGTGGCGGAGGGTGAAGCATCGCAACTGCTTCTATCTGACTTGAAAATTAGATACATTTGATTCAAATGGTCTTTGGTGTGATAAATTCTCGCTACTGGTGTCATATTCTATCTTGCTGAGCTCAGGTTCGCACATTCTTTGGGTAGCGTATATGCATGTCTAGAATGCTTGGCTCGATAGAACATACCTCCTTGATCTGAGACAAACCCGAAATGGAGCGGATATTTGAATTATTTGTTTTACCAAATGATCAGTGCATTCCAGAGTATTTTTGCCGCGTGGCTTCAGTTAGATCGAAGGTGAATCAAAATGATAGCCAGAAGTTTATATCGAGAATTCTGCAATTAATGCATTGGGATAACGTAAAATTTGGCACGCTAAACTCGCCAAAAACCATAGTGCTTTCGAACAAACTAGATTTCAGTTTTGTGTTTCTTATTTGCTTTTTAAACTACATCTATTAGTACGCTATTCGGAGTGTTTGAGTGACTAAAAACCCGAGTTTAGCAACAGACCCACATTCCAAGCGATCCGATCCATTTGGAAAGATTTCTGCTAAAATTAAACCATCAAACTCCTTAATCGTAGCTATTTGTTTATTTTACAGCAATGGTAAAGTTGTGAAATCCAATGATGATTAGAACAAAGCAGCAAGCACACCAATAACAGTCAAAAACATGCTGGTGCTGAAACTAATGGCACCGTTAGCGGGGACAACATTATCAGAAACGACGAGAGTGGAAACAACATCAGGTGACTCAGAAACGGGGGCCACGGGCTTTGTGGAGGTAGTCTTGGAACCAGGCTTGGCAGTCGGAACGACAAGAGGTATGGAGGTTATTGTGCAGGGACAGTCAGTGATGGTCAGAGTAGTGGCTTTTGTGACAGTATGACAAAAACCATTGTGGCATATTGTGGTAGGCTCAGGGCAATAAGTCGTGTATGCAGTAACGACTGTAGTAACGGCGCTCTCGGTCTTGCTGCAGACTGTTGGTGCGTTCGCAGAGGCGCTGGTAGGAATCAATTGAGAAGTGCAGAGTGTTGGTGCAGTCATCTCGTAGATATATAGAGAGAAGACCAAACCAGCAATATTGAAAGCAGAGCTCATAACGTCAACATCCGAGCTGAAGCTAATACGATCTGAGCAGGTAGTGTCAAACTCAACAGCTGCGGACATCACCATCTCAAAGCTAAGAGCACCAGAGATATAGTTCTGAACATAGTTCTGGAGGGTAACAAGAGCACGAGCTTGCAGACGAGCTGGATCAGTGCCCTCATGAAGTGTATCAACCTTTGTAGACAGCTCAGCCAAAGCAATTGCAACACGGGCATTGACGGCACTATATGCAGCTAAATTATCATGAGCATTGAACTTAGTTGCATTACCAGGGACATTTCTGAACTCACAGACCAGGGAACCCACGGCGGCAGCGGCGCTGGGTAGGACGCCTTCTCTTACATGTGTATTCACCGAGTCAGCTGCTTTACCAATTGCACTGATCCAATCGCTGAAAACGGTCTGAACTGGGGCAGAACAGCTGATCTCGGGAAGAGTCCGAGTCTCCCAGAGGGCACGGACATTACCAGAAGCGATAGATTTAGCAGATGCCTGTGAAGGGGTGACGATAGCACTGGGGGTAGACATCTCAGCCAAAGAAGAGATATTTACTGAAAGAGATGTTGTGGTAGAAGTTGCGAAAGTGGCGGATAAAGAACTTTCAGTGGATGATACTTCGGCTGAAGAGGCTAACGTGACAGGGGAAACCCGTTGGACAGAAGAGACTGCCACGAAAGTGGAATAGTCGTTAGCAGAAGATGTAAAGGTGGTAGGGAATGCATTTGAAACGGAGGAATTGCCTTTAGTAGAAGGTGCGCCTGTAACGGAAGAGAAGCTTTCAGCAGATAATCCGACTGAGGCAGAAATAGAAATTCCAGTAGAGGTGACAGCGGCAGCGGAAGAGACATTGGCAGAAATTATAACGTTGTTAGAAGAGGAAGCAGTGCCAGGAGATGTGAAAGACACAAAGTTCGAGCCTTTCGTGGAGGGAACGACGGTGAGAGGGAGAGAACCCTCAGCAGATGAAGTTTCGGCAGATGAAGAATCTTCAGCTGAAAGAACATCATTAGAAGATACGGCAGTAACATAGGGAGTTGCGGTGACAGACGCGACTTCCACAGATGTCGCAGCCACAGAGGAATAATTTCCAGCAGAAGATACGCCAGAGAGCAAGCCTTCAGTAGAAGATGCATTAACGGTAGAGGACAAGCCTTCGGTAAGAAACGAGACAACGGCAGAGGGGGACGAGCCATTTGATGATGCGGCGACAGAAGAAGAGTATCCAGCAAACCAGGAGGACGAAGAATTAGTGACCGTAATAAAAGATGTGGCGGTGGTGGCAGAAAAAGAAGTGTTAACTGAGAGGGTGACACCACCTGAAGGAGGTATGGGTGTCACTGGGGAAGTATCTGCGAAGCAGCTGGTGGTAAGTGTGGCGGCGAAAACGATCGAGGTATGCCTCATTGATTTTTGTGGCCCGAAGTGCGATGGTCGCGCTTCTATATACTCAGTACTCCTGTTGCGTGCCATATCAAAGACCACATCTGCAGCATGCAGGACGGTGCATTTGGGCAAACGTTCTTCAGACAAACGGTTAGGCTAACAAAGACACTATAGTCCAAAAAATTATTTAACCATTAACTGAAAATCTTGAAGAACCTTCTCTCACTACCGATTGTTGAAGCACTTTGATTTCTTTCCAATATGTGATTTGAGGACACTTCGCTCACACATTATTATGAGTTTATGCACCTACTTTAAGCATACATGCGGTGACATGGGTCTTGTTTTTAGGAACCTCGCATATCGATTGCTTGAGATTTTACCGCTGCAATCATTTATTTTCTAACCTACCCACTCTTGGCGATCCTTTGTATTCAGTTGCAATGGCATTCTTTTTGAAGCCTGTGCATGGACATCTCAAATGTATATTTAACCGCACTTGACGCGCGCATGCCTGTAATATGTTACTCGGTAATGAGGGCACAAATTTTTAAGCAAATGAGACTTGTTTGAAAGCGCTCGTGAAAATGGTACCCTACTTGTCTCCGTACACATTCCCGATTGAACTTCACAGAATCGGATAAACTTCAAACGGCCCAGGTTGGTTTGTTCCTGCGCATTTATAAAGACACTGAATCCCGATGTAACACAGCATTCCCCTCCTGTCTACTTGGTATAGGAAATATTTCTTAGTAACACGCAAGGTAGATTTGAGGTTAATCAAAAGTTATCACATGCGTAGCGAGATTGGTTTGGATATTATACTACATATTGTTACTTCCAATTAGTTAGTAGATGATCGAACCAAATGGGTATAAAATATAACCTGGAAGAATTCGGAAGTAATCTCCAATGTACAAAGGTGTGGGGAATCTTAGAAGAAAGTGAACAAAGCAGCGAACACAACCATCAAACTGGCGGTCAAAGAGCTGGCGCCGTTGGCAGCAACAATACCGGAATTGCCGGCACCAGGTCCAACAGGAATGCCAGAAACACCAGGAGCAGCAGCACCAGACTGGACAGGAGCGACTGTGGCTTCACCAGCAGTCAAGGTGGGGACCCCGGCAAGGGTGCGTGTGGAAATAACAGGGCTACCGTTGATAGTGACAGTTTCCACAACAGTTGGAACAGCACCAATAGTGTGAGTAGCAACAACGGTGTTGCCGCCAAGAGTCAGGGTTTCGATAATGGTGCGGTGGACAGAGGGCAAAGGAGATGGTGTCACAGCAGTGTAGATAGTGCAGGGGCAGTCAGTGATCGTAAGAGTAGTCTCAGCTGTAGCGGTGTGGCAGACATCGTTGAAGCAGATAGTGGTAGGGCCGGAGCAGTAAGTGGTCAGTGTCTCCACAACAGTGGGAACAACTTTGCAAACCTCACAGACAGGCAGGCAAGGGCTTGCAGTGCAAACAGGGATACATGTGGGGCATGGGATAGGGGGGCATGTAGGGCATGGTGTTTCAGAGGGAGTTCCGCTAGAGGGACCACTGGCGGGACCACTGGGAACTCCACTAGAAGGACCGCTAGAGGGACCACTGGTAGGAGCTCCGCTAGAGGTACCATTGGAAGAAGGAGTGGCGGTCATAGGGCAGTCTGGGGCGAGTGTAGGAGGAATCGGGGAAGAAACACTGTATGCAGCCTCAAGAGAGCTCATAGCAGATCCCAAGAGGACAACGTTGCTGCTCAAAGTAGAGTAATCAGCGCAGTCACCACTAGCAGTCACGGCAGCTTCAAACTGAAAAATCATGTCTACAACTCCATTGAGCAAGTCCTCGATATATTTGGGCAAAGTAGTGTCCGCACGAGCAAAGAGACTGCGGGCTGTGATATCGGTACTAATACTATCAGCACGACCAGCCAAGTCAATCAAGCCACTGCTGATTTTTCCAGCGACGGAGGTCAGTTCAACCAGATCGGGTTTGATATCTACAATGGAAGGAGATTTGGATTTGGCATCTCCGAGGGCGCAGATAACGTCCTCGACGCCCTTCGCCAAATCAAGAATCTTGCTAGGGCTTCCGATCAAAACATCAATGGCGCTCTTGATGCCGGCAAACCATCCGGCGATTGTGTCCTTCGAGGGTGGGGGGCAAGAAACTGGAGGGAGGGGATAAGTAGCCCAGCCGCTTGGGACAGAAGAAGCAGAAGCCCCAGGAGCACTTCTAGAGGGTGAGCCAGAGCCAGAAGCGCTGCCAGGTGCACTTCCAGACGGTGCGGCAGAGCCAGGTGCACTGGCCGAAGCACTTCCAGACGGTGCGGCAGAACCAGGTGCACTGGCCGAAGCACTTCCAGACGGTGCGGCAGAGTCAGGTGCGCTGGCCGGAGCACTTCCAGAGGGTACGTCAGAGCCAGGTGCGCTGGCCGGAACACTTCCAGACGGTGCGGCAGAACCAGGTGCACTGGCCGAAGCACTTCCAGACGGTACGGCAGAGCCAGGTGCACTGGCCGAAGCACTTCCAGACGGTGCGGCAGAGTCAGGTGCGCTGGCCGGAGCACTTCCAGAGGGTACGTCAGAGCCAGGTGCACTGGCCGAAGCACTTCCAGACGGTGCGGCAGAACCAGGTGCACTGGCCGAAGCACTTCCAGATGGTGCGGCAGAGTCAGGTGCGCTGGCCGGAGCACTTCCAGAGGGTACGTCAGAGCCAGGTGCGCTGGCCGGAACACTTCCAGAGGGTACGTCAGAGCCAGGTGCGCTGGCCGGAGCACTTCCAGAGGGTACGGCAGAGTCAGATGCGCTGGCCGGAGCACTTCCAGAGGGTACGGCAGAGCCAGATGCGCTAGGGACGGCAGAGGTTTGGCCCATGACTAGGCCGGGTTGTCCACAGAGAAAGATTGATGTAACTAAGACAGTTCTCAAGTTCATCTTGAAGAGGTGAGTTACTTCTGAGATTTCTCCTGGCTTAAATAGTACTCCAAGTAGCCATGAAGAATTTCTTTTACCAAGATGTACATACCTGCGCGTCCCCTTGCATCGCGCCAAGGAGCTGACGACATCTGCCCTTTTTTTCTGGTTCTATAGGTATATGGTGAAATTCTATTGGCTTACCAAGGTTTGATCTCACCTTATGCCTTGTTATTCTTGTTATTGGTGTCAATTTGGACCACCGAAGCCCAATTGGCGCATCTTTCGCAGCTCTTCATCTGAGACCTCTCGCAGTGGCAAGGGTATTATAGTTGCATATAGCCCCCACCACATGTTGCTGTTACCTGTGAGAAAATACATAGCATTCGAGGTTAGCAATGAATGGATTTGACCGAGCAAGTTCTGTCAGAGTAGCCATGGTAGTCTAGCTCTGCTTGGATATCTTGCTTTCGAGGCAATCGGTCTGATTTCGATATATGACTGAAAAGGTTTATTATTACATCCCTGCATGCTTATAGTCGCCTCAAACTCTTAGCGAGTGAGCGCACTCTTCTCGATCTAGAAACCACTCGGTTGGAAATGACCACCTGCGAGCATGCTACCACACCTCGATGGCTTCGTTTCCTCCGCGAATTGGTGATGACCTTGGTGTCGTATTGTATGTGTATATAATTCCGGGCGGAATCAAGTTGCTTTTCGGTCACCTTTTTCGGAAATGCGTATATGCATGCTGTGTATGTCAGGAGATCGCGTAATGAGACGGTTTAAAAAAAAACGATACTCTTGGTAGATTTCTATGATACTTTGTGTTCTGAAGCTGAACACACTGGTCTCCAATTGCTCTTACGTCTGCGTGCACGATTCAGTTCCCAACATGTGTCGTTTTATGGTGATATCTACCCCGGAATGTTGACGCCTGCCCTGCAGGGAACATAGAGCGTTGAACCTCCATAATATTAGTTCTCTTGGCACCATATTGCCCAACTAATTTGCCAAGAGTGTGCATATTAGTTGATTAAATGTATTTCTTCTTTCTCGTGACTTTAGAAGAGGATCCGAACTGTTGAAGACAGCACTAGGCGTTAGGTAGCGATAGCTTGTTTACATAGCTACTCATACCTACCTGGGCTTTTTTGAGCGTAACCTGGCCTGAAGTTGCTGCAAAGGCTGATATAGCGTACAGTGACTTTTTTTTTATCTTATGCAACGGCTTGCTTTTGTACTACAAAATGGAGTTTTTCTGTAGTTACTTTGAACATATGTGTTCTACTAAATAACAACGAAAGTATTGTTCCCAGAGTGTGAAACATATCTGAATTTACTAGTATAAATGCTAAATTGACCCTCGTTTGCTGTAAACATCGCTAGATAAATATTTTTTTCAAACTATCAGTTGCCAAACTATCAGTTGCCGTTTGCTCCGTCCTGTCGGTTAACCACGTTCAGCAAATAAGCGCTGGTCCCTCGTATAGAATGTTTATAATGTATATGTTTGTTTGCAATAAGGAACTCCGCGTCCGCTTGTTCAATTCAACGACTCCAACACAGCCAATTTTTGAAATATGTTCCTATCCACTCTATACCCCTGTCTATTGTACTAACACCTCTCCTTATCGACCCCTATTACTAAGGCCCAACCTCACGGAGAAAATAGAGTTTGCTCGGCTCTAGGGTTGGGGTAATATCTACCACTAAGATCGCATCGATTGAATCATGTAACCAAGTTTGTTCATCAATACTCCTCGTCTACGCTAGACTTGTTTGAACGCCAACCACAAGCAAATTGAACGAACCCAGATAAAAAGAATGTATATGCGTGGGTCTGTTCGTCGTGGTTTGACTACCACCATGTTCTATACAACCATGGCCATTGCAGTGTTGACAGTGGCAGCTCCTCAGGTTCTTCCTTGCCCGGTTCCTCGCGGTGTTGGGGCCGATAGCGAAGATAGAGGAAATAAAAACTGGGATAAGAGCGTTGTTGTTGAGGAAAGCTGAAAACGCTGCTTTCTTGTAAATTGTTATTTATATTTTATGTATAGTGTACAGTCCGATTTTTTTTTTCACCACGGTTTTTTAGCAACTACTGCAATGTCTTGTAGGGAATCGATTCAAAGTAGAATTTTCTTTGTACTAATGGTTATTTGGTTACGATTTTCGCCGTCTTGCTAGGGACCGCTCTTCCACTTGTCCGATAGTTGAAGCATACACATACTAAATAAGGTTCATAATGTTTAATGCAATATATGTTAACAAGCCCAAACACCAACATCACCAGATGTTTGGCCACCGACAAGATATCCCTTTTGCTGTCGAACAGCAACAACAGGTGCTGCATCGGCTTCAGTGTCGCCAGGACCACAGGTCCACTGGGCTTTCGTGTGGCGATCGTAGACTTGGATGATGGGCTGGCCGGTTGCACAAACGATCCTTGTGGCATCAAAGTGCAATGAAGTAATACCAGAGGAGTAATTGAGTACATCGATGACAGAACCAGCTCTCAAATCCCAAACACGTACGGAGTTGTCAAGAGAACCCGAGACAAGGTTCACACCGTCGAACTGCAAGCACGTTACAGGACCCATATGTCCAGCCAGCGTCCGCTGGACTCGTCCTGAGCGCAAATCCCACAGTCGTACAATACCATCAGCCGTACCGGTTGCTAAAGCGGCGTCAAAGTTTTGTAGCGCACCCACGGTTCCAGCCGACGCCCAACCCTCGCTTGGACGGGTCCACAGAACGTCCAGCGTCTGTATACAGCGGCCAGAGTCAATGTCCCACTGTCGTATAGTCTTATCATTGGATCCTGTAACCAAAGTGTTGTCATCGAAATGTAGAGTAGTGACAGCATCTAAATGACCGTGTAACGTTTGAAGCTCCGCTCCTTCAGATATATCCCAAAGTTTCACCATAGCATCATTAGCGCCTGAAACCACCAGAGGTCCTTCCACTTGCAAGCACTGTACAGCTGCATCATGTCCTTCGAGAGTTAAAAGCCGGTCGGAGCTACCCAAATCCCAAACCTGCAGCCGGGGCCCAGTAGCAGCAACGAGGGTACCAAAAGGTGTATCAAAATCCAACATTACCACGGAATCACTTCCGGTGTCGAATTTAGTGATCGTGTCTCCAGCAGCGTAGAATTTTTGTAGTGTGGGGACAGCGCGTTTGGGCATAGACTTTCTCCGCGTTTTGGGTATTTGCCGAGGCAAGTCTTTCAGGTCCTCGGGATCAGGAGAGCCATTTTCTATCATTTTGGAGTCACCGAGTCTTCTTTCAATGCGGCGCTCTTCCTTTTCCAGGTCTGCAACCTTGTCGAACACGACTCTACGCAATTTGTTCAGCTCCGCAATACGCGCATCAAGTTCTTGGATCTCGTAGGTAGCAAGCTCTTTGCGAATGGCGCAAGACTCCAAGTCCTGATTAGGATCACCGGAGTCTGCCGACTGGGTTGCAACGAATCCCTGATAAAGCGAGTAGGCGGTTTGGGGAGCAGGAAGTGATACTAGCAAATTGTCAGGAAGCGAGGTGGTCAATCTAAACCGAGTAGCATCGGTAGTTAAAGACGACTTCACAATTTCCGAAGGCGAGGTACGTGCCTGGAAACTAAACAAACGCTTTCGAAATAGTGGGCCCGACAAATCCTGCATCGCCTGCTGGTACGAAGGCGCAGAGAGTTCTCCGTAGGTGGACGACAAGGCAGAAGCAGTCGTCGCAACTGTCCTCGACAATCTTGTGAGATTATTGTTTGTGGCTGTCACCACAGAAGAAAATGAGTCTTCCATTCTCAGCCAAATCACCCAGGCAAGATGTAAAGAGTAAGCAAAAGTTGGGTCGGTTGAGGGTCCATGTCTTCCAATCTTCGAACCATTGATACGTGTTGAAGGTTTCATATAATTCTTATTTCGTCCATACAACCTCATATATGGGCCCATTGGGCCCACCTAGTCGACACAATGCGTCGCTCCAACAACGGATGATTCAGCGTCATGACTCGAAGGGTGATTGTCGTCAGTAACCGGCTGCCAGTGACTACCAGCATTGATAAGAATGGACAGTATAACTATGAAATGTCTTCGGGCGGGCTGGTATCTGCGCTGAGCTCACTCCATGGCGATAATTTCATCTGGCTTGGTTGGCCAGGGATTGGTGTTCCACAGGAGGATCGGGAATCGGTCTCCAGAGATTTGAAGTCATTATTTAAGAGTGTGCCTGTATTTTTGAGTGACGAATTGAGTGATCTGTACTACAATGGGTTCTCTAACTCCATTATCTGGCCTTTGTTTCACTACCATCCCGGCGAGATGAACTTTGACGATGAGTCTTGGGAGGCGTATACTTTGGCAAACAGACTATTTGCTCAGGCAATTGCCAACATTTACCGGCCTGGTGATGTTGTGTGGGTACATGATTATCATTTGATGATTTTACCGGCGATGATCCGTGAAGAGATCGCAGTCAAAACACGTGAGCCACTTTCATCCGTGGAAATTGCTTTCTTTTTGCATATTCCCTTCCCCACTTCAGAAATCTACCGAGTACTGCCTGTGCGTCGCGAAATTCTACTTGGTGTGCTACAATCGGATTTAATCGGCTTCCATACCTATGACTACGTGAGGCACTTTTTATCGTCTGTGTCGTCTATTTTGAAGCTCGAAACCACACCAGTAGGCATCAATTATGATAGATTTGTCTCTGTTGGTGTATTCCCAATTGGCATCACGCCATCAAGATTCTTGGAGCCCTTAAAAGAGCCCTCTGTTCTTAACAGAATCAATGAACTCAGAGCGAAGTTTGGGCCTGTTAAGATTTTACTGGGCGTGGATCGTCTAGACTATATCAAAGGGTTGCCCCACAAGTTCCATGCTTTTGATATTTTCTTGTCTGAACATCCGGAGTGGGAAGAAAAGGTTGTGCTTGTACAAGTCGCAGTTCCCTCGAGACAAGACGTCGAGGAGTACCAAAATTTAAGAGGTGTCGTCAATGAACTCGTGGGTCGAATCAACGGAAAGTATGGAAGTATCGAGTTCACGCCCATCCACTTTCTTCACCGAAGCCTTGACTTTAAGGAGCTTATAGCTCTCTATGCCATGAGTGACGTTTGTATTGTATCCAGTACACGGGACGGCATGAATCTTGTGGCATATGAGTATATTGCTTGCCAAGAGGAACGAAATGGACAACTTATCTTATCTGAATTTGCCGGTGCAGCTCAAAGTTTAAACGGTGCTATTATTGTGAACCCATGGAATATGGAAGAGATGGCAGAAGCTATACATACAGCGCTAACAATGAGCGACGAAAAGCGTCAAGAGACACATGGTATGATGTTCCATCATGTATCAAAGTTCACTACGCAATTTTGGCTGGAGAATATCACCAAAGAGATCAATCGCATTGAAAAAGAGAAAAAACTGCAGTTCGAAAAGGATTAAGTGCGTTTGCTCCACAATTGCTCTGCCTGTTCCAAACAGGTTCTATTAGCCCGCATTTTGTTCATAGTCTCCATGTATTCGTCACAGGGATCAGAGTCATAAACAATGCCACCGCCAGCTTGCAGGTAAACTTCACCATCCTTGTATAGCATAGTACGAAGAGCAATGCAAGTGTCCATAGTATTGTCATATCCCCAATGGCCAACTGCACCAGCGTAGACACCACGGGTTTCACCTTCCAGCTCACTGATTAATTCCATTGCACGTACTTTGGGAGCACCCGAGACAGTTCCAGCGGGGAAAATTGAACGGAAAGCATCGAACCGGGTTTTATCGGGTCGTAGAACACCAGAGCATTGGGAGACAAGGTGGGATACGTGCGAGAAACGTTCGAGTTTCATGAACTGGTCAACGCTGGACGACAGAGGGTCACAAACACGATTGATATCATTGCGAGCCAAATCAACCAGCATTACATGCTCGGCCCGATCTTTGATCGAGTGCAAAAGCTGATTAGCAAGTTTGTCGTCCTCTTCAGCGGTCTTTCCGCGAACCACAGTGCCAGCAATAGGGAAAGTGACAACCCGACCCTTTTCCAACTTCACAAGACACTCGGGGGACGCGCCAATGATTTCAAAGTCCAAAAGATCCAAGTAAAACATGTAAGGTGACGGATTAACTGTGCGAAGATGACGATAAATATTGAACGGATGCAGATCAGTGGGGTGTCTGACTCTCTGTGAGGGGACAGCCTGGATGATGTCGCCCTTCATGATATGGCTCTTAAGGTCCTTGACGTGCGATTCATAGCCACCCTGACCAATGTTTGATTCGTAGTTATCGTTTGGAGTAACGGGTTTTTGCGGAATGTGGTATTCTGGACCCTGGAGCAGATCAATAGTGTTGGCAATAATCTTACCAGCCTCAGCATAAGCAGAATCAAAATCAAACTCTGCAAGGGGCTTGTCGGTATGGATATTGTGTACGATGTGAACTCTCTGGAAAACGTTGTCAAAGGCAACAACCGTGTCGAAGAGCATAAGTACAGACTCGGGAATTTGGAGATTATCTTTGAGTTCACGAGCGGTTCTTGGCTCAAAGTACTTGATGCAATCATAGGAAATATAACCAACAGCTCCACCACGGAAAGGGGGCATTGAGTCGATCTGGGTAGCTGGTTTATATTTTGCCAACTCCTTTTCGAGCTCATTGAGGGGATCAGTAGCTCCATTCTCGTATCCTTTGCCTGTGCGAATCAACTTACGAGGATTGGTACCCAAAAAGCAGTACCGCTGCAGTTGTTCACCGTTGAGAGCGCTCTCCAAGAAGAACGACGGCTTTGCATCAGGACTACTAGGGCGGGCAATGTTCAAGTATGCACTCTGCGGAGTCAAAGAGTCTGCTAGAATTGTTTTGTGTACACAGAATGTGTTCTCGAGCCCACCTGTCTCGGCGATCTGAGCAGCCAGAGCTTTCAAAGTCTCCAGACTCGGCTGGAGTTCAGTCATTATGAGTCAGATTAATTATCTGGGGCAGCCGGTTTATATTGAAGGCCGGTTGATATTTTGGATATAACAAAGAATTGAAGAGCCCGAAAATCAGCATTCAGTATGAAGTAGGCTTGAAGTTAGCTCTAGTGAATCAATACGCTAAATAAACAAGGCAAGTGGACCTGGTTTCGCTGGGCGGACGGTCTATACCAGAAACAGTAAAATACAAATCAAAACAAAATATGATCGAATTTATCAATCGAATTTATTAACATTATACTCGTTAAAACTTTACTGGAGCGAGAAACTAGGTCAGGATGGCATCTTAGGGCTCAGCCCTATTACGTCACATTTTCCAATACATGCTAGCGACTCAGACGGTAGAGTGTCAACTTACCAATGGCTCCAGTGGTACGTTAGCTCGCTTTGCTGTGTCTCGTTACACCAATCGGCTGGTCCGGTTACAAGTTTCGGGTCCGCAAGCGCAGTAGGCAGATGCTAACAACAGAAATCTAAGAAGGCTTCCAAGCAGGCCAAGAAGATCGTCCTTGACGCTACCAACGCTAACGCTGAGACTCAGATTTTCGATGTCGAGGCTTTCGTCAAGTACCTCAAGGAGCACATCAAGGTCGAGGGCCGCACCGGTCAGCTCGAGGACAAGGTCACTGTTGCCTCCTCCGGCAACAAGGTCACCGTCACCTCTACCGTCAAGTTCTCTGGTAAGTACGCCAAGTACTTGACCAAGCGTTTCCTCAAGAAGAACGAGCTCCGTGACTGGCTCCGTGTTGTCGCCACCACCCGTGGTGTCTACGAGATCCGCTTCTTCAACCTCTCCGCCGATGAGGAGGAAGAGGAAGAGGAGGAAGAGGACGAGGAGGACGAGGAGTAAATGTAGCCTAGTTTCATTGTTTAATTCACCTACTTTTAAAGATGCCGGTAAACCCGTATCATGTATCGCATATTTTCCAGTTTGTACGGGTAATTCTGCTCGACTTCTTGAGGGGTTCGATACCATTCAGCGTCTGAGCGGTAAACATGCTCCCACGAGTCTCTTTTGAAAGTATAGTCGAGGAAAAATTGCATGGGGAAAGTCTTGCCGTTGACATCGACAGTGGAGTACGAGCCCGCACTCTCAATAATGACAAAAAGCGTTCCTGGCCGGCACTTGGCTGTGAGGGCAGCTAAGAACTTTAGAGTGCCGGCTTTGGACTGAGTAAACAACTCGTTTGTAGTGAACAGCGACGTGATCACGTCGAACTCGGCAGGATTAAACGGAATTCTCAATGCGTCGTCGTTGATTATTTTAACCTGGGTGCCTAATGCTTGAGTCAAAGGTTCGACAACTGGTTCCCAAACTGCGAGATCAATCACCGTCACTCTCACGTTCGGGAAGTTACTCAGAGCAGCAATCTCAGCACCTGCACCCCCCCCAATACACAGCACATTAGATTCCGGAGCGAGTGCCTGGCCAATGGCCTCGTACTGCTTGAATATGTGCGTGTAAGCCAGAGCTCTAGCCGGCGACCAGCGCACAATGTAGGCTCTGAGTCTCTCTGGAGAATTGAAGGCCTCCTCGTAGTTTCTGTGATACAGGGCTTCTTTGACCAGCTGGATATTGGTGTTTAGCTGCGGATCAGCCAGCGTCGCAGCATAGGCGTTTGCAAAAGCTTTGAGCATTTCACTTGGCCAGATCTAACAAAGACTCTTCGGGTTAGGAAGAGCTTTGTAATATTGCGAAAGACTTGATTGAATGACGCTCAGAAGGGTCTGTAGCTAAGTAGAGTTGTGACTAACAATGAGCCAAATTGTCGCTCTCAATCTAAGCCATCACCAGCTATGGCACGACGTTCGAGAACTTGATTTATTCGAACTGGAAGCCTGCATAGGCACGCCACCGAAGAAGCTGCATCCGGACGATGAGAAAATCCAACCCGAAATAGTCCTCGTCAGCTATTTGAAAGAGGACTGGTCGGTGGCTCGTTGGGCAGTAGCGTTCGAGGAACTTAAAAAACAGCTTGGGCTGGACTCAGAACCCAAAAGAGTAGTAATGGCGATGATAACCGATGATTCAACTGTGGTATACTACTTGGTGCATAACGGGCTTGTGGAACCGCGAAAAAATTAGCCCAGGGTCCAGGGAGTCCAGGGAGTCCAGCTGGCAAGCCAATTGGACAGGTTGTACTCTGACGGGCCCGGTTCTACGATGTTTGTGAACTCAAGGCTGGGGATCTCTGTTTTGAGGGCATCGTACTTTGAAATGACCGTCTCTAGAGGTCGTTGAGGCAGTCCGGGCAGCGTCTGTAAATATATATTGGCCATTAAGAGGAACCTGGCTGGATCAGGTTCCTGGCCCAACATCCTTGAGCATAGTTGATACACCTTTTCGCCAAGAGTCAAGATCTGCATGGTTTCTTGGCTCATGGACACCATGGCTTTGCGATTACGGTCAGCGGCGAGGGCGTCAGTGTGCGTCTTGTTCAGCCCTTTCTCTTTAGGCGGTTTCTTGCTATGCTTGATCCCTTCGGATGCACATCTTTCTGCTGCATCCTTTTGCAATTTCATAGCAACATTGTACTGCATCGGGAATGCAATCGCCTGAGAAATTTGAGGGCGCGTAATCGTTTCGTAGTTTTCCTTATTGCAAAATAGCGTCCAGTAAGTCAGCGTGGTTGCTCTATCTAGATTTGCAATCAAGGCAATAGTTTCTGCTCCTAGCTCGCCAACATTGTACCCCTGCTGGCTCAGATAGTGCACAATCTCCGCGTATCCGCTAATCGCACTCGTAGAGTCATCGTTCATTAGACACGGCAGCCGCTGCTCCGGGGATATGTGAATGTTGTTACTATAGACAATTTTCACAGGAACATCCGCAAACCTCGTGATCCACATTGCCGCTAAGCATTCAGGGTCAAAACTTGGACTTTGTTCGATCCCTGACCACACATGCAATTTCATCTTCCACACAGTCAGCAGACAGAAACTCGGTCTCAACCTCAAGATGGCTAAAGAGAGTGCGCCTCCTAAGCGACGGAAACTAGCACAAGATGTTGTAGCCAAGCAGGAAGAGATTTTGCGGGAGCAGCGATTTAGTGTGGATGCGTTCAACAAGCTGCTGGACGAGTACAGGGTCAGTGAACAACTGTCTGAGTTATGGGAGACCTACGATCGAATGCTGGTTGTATTTCCGCGAAGCGGCGAAGTTTGGACAAGCTATGCTAAAGATCTTATGGATAAAGGTGAATTAAAGCGCCTAGAGAAGCTTTTTTCCAAGGCTCTGCCGATTGTGCCCTATGTGCCCCTGTGGAGCACGTACATTGCTCATGTTCAGCAGGCAACTGCCGGCAACCCCGATGGTGCTGCCACTGTTTCTCAAGCATATGAATACACACTGGATAAAGTCCAATACGACTCCCAAAGCGGCCAGATTTGGGCCCAGTACATTGACTTCCTGGACGGGCTTCCTGCAGCGAGTTCGTGGGAAAAGCAACATAAAATGGACGAAATGCGTAAAGCCTACCGCAGAGTGGTGTTTTTACCGGTAAGCAATATTGAGCAGCTTTGGAGAGCTTATAATGGATTCGAAAACTCGGTCGCTCGTACCGCTGCGCGTAAGTTTATCGACGAACGATCGGCAGGATATATGCATGCTCGAAGTGTGGTTAGAGAATTGGCCAATTTGACTAAAGACCTGAATACGACAACTCTGCCGGCGCCCAGAGAGTTCAATGATGCTGAAAAAAAACAGCTGACACTTTGGCGGAAACTGATAAATTTTGAAAAATCAAACCCTCTCACCACCGACAATGAAACCGTGCAGGCACGCGTTTTATACACTTTTCGGCAAGCGCTAATGTCAATGCAGTTTTTCAGTGAACTGTGGTTCGAGTATGCTGCGTATTGTGAGCAGATCGGCCAAACAACTGATGCAGTTGAGGGTTTACAGCTCGGCCGCGAAGTCAACCCCGATTCTTTCTTTTTGACCAATCGCTTGGCGGAGCTTTATGAGGAAAAAGATGACTATGATAGTCTGGAGAAAGTCTATCGTGGTCTGATTGCTAGCCTGCAGAACAGGTCTGAGATCGATGGTCTGGCTGTCACGGTTGCCTTTTCAGAGCTAGTTAGGGCTACAAAGAGAATGCAAGGTATCGAGCGGGCCCGTGAAGTGAGCAAAGAAGGACGTTTGTTACCGTACGCTACTTTTCATATTTTTGCAACACTAGCAGAACTCGAAAAGCAGGCCGGTAGCACCGAGATTGCCGCCAGGATTTACCAAGTGGCCTACACCAAGTTCCGGGATGCACCACAATTTGTTAGGACCTATCTCACATTTTTATTTGAGGCAAATGATACACGGAATGCAGAGGTTGTGTTTGAGAAAGCTGCATCCGATTTTTCACCTGCCCAGTTACGATCATTATTTGAACTCTATCTGCAAAAGCAAGCGTCTTATGGCGACACAAGTCTTTTGTCCAGACTTGAACAGCGCTACTGCGAATTGTATCCTGATGGTCACCCTGTAGAGCTCTACAGTCGTCGATTCCGCTTGTTTGGCGTCGACCCTATTGGTGAGGAGCTACATCTTGAGGGCCCCGCGCCCACATCACATGAACTTATCCCAGTGCCCCAGTCTATTGTGGACCTAGCTCAGCAATTACCGCCTGAAGAGAGCTATGATGGACCCGAAATCGATATGAACAGGCTTATTGAGATCATTGTAGAATATGCTTAATTACCGCCCGGAGCGGTGCTATAAATAAAAACTAGACTATGCCCGACTCGTCAAACGCCGGAGGCAAGCGATGGCTGGTGGCATAGTCGAATATTTTGTCAACATCAACACTAGTTCTGCCTTTTACTTTGGATATGGCGCCCATATGCTGGAAAGCGGCAACCACATCACTGGGCTCAATTCCCGTTAACATGGCGAGTTCTCGAAGCGAATGCATATTTCCGGCCTCCTCGGAAAGAAACACTCGATATATCTCGCCACACCAGTATGCAAGGTATGTTTTCTCACCATGGGCACTGAGAGGCAATTCAGGAGAGCCCACCTCACCTTGTTCCCTTGTAAGACGATACGAGAACCCAATCATTAGTTGACCCAAACCACGCCGTTGGAAGGGCGGGAACGTTACGATACATGCCAGGTTGTAATTGAACCAAGGGTGTCTTTCTTTTGAGAAAAAGCCTGCAACCAGCCCGCTGGTTTTATCAACTACTTCATAGATCAAAAACCCATCCATAGCAAAACAAATGGACTTGGTCTCCAAGAAAAACTTGCCAAATAGCGATAAACATTGCATATACAACTTCTCGCTCTCGCTGCGGCTCGGGTCAAGCTCGTAAATGCTGCAAGACTCTGTGTCGTAGACCTTTCTTCCTGGACGCTCACTGTCCTTATAGCGACAAAAAGCTGAATGAGAATCAATATCAGTACCAACAGACGTGTACAAAAAGCATTTCGGGCATATCCAGATATCGATTTCTCGCGTCGGGTCAACTTTCTGTTCACTATCCAAAACACCTTGCCACAGGGATTTAGGCTCTTTGCACCGGTAGGACTTGGAAGATTTGCTCTCCAAATCAATATAACCGCGACTTTCGTACCAGGGTTTTATTTTGTGAGGCCCATAATGGACAAATTGTATCATCGACGACCCCGTTGAAAGCGATTATCTCAGCTGAAAAGTTTCCCTTTAAAATAATTTTTACATGGCCAAGTACAGGGTCAGATTCAATGATAAAGCTCGAGCGGGAGCTGTGGCTCGACGCAATGAGTTGAAAAGAAAGCGTCAGAAGCAGTTTCACAGAGATGAAGAGGAAGGAGAGCCTGGGGATATGCCAGAGACCACGGCTGATCCCAACGCTCAGGTTTTACTGCCATTGACAGACGAGCAAAAAGACCAGCGTAAACGCCAATTACACGAAGATTTGGTAACTGACAAGAAGATGAGCTCGCTCAAGAAAAAACGACTAGACAAGTACATTGACCGCCAAGTCCGCCGTCAAGAGCGGGACGAGATTTTTGCCAAGTTGGCTGCATCTACTGTGAATACCAGTAATTTCCAGAGCTTGAAGCGACTTGGTCAGAAAGGCGATTTAGAGAAAGAGTTTGCCTCGGAATCCGAGCGTGAGGACCAGGATCAAAGTGAGAGTGACAGCGAGTCTGATACGCAGCCAAAGTCGACGTTTGTTGATTTTCGACCATCTGCCGGAGGGTTTGGATTCCAAAACTTGCCACAGATTAAGAAAGCTGCGCCTCAAAAGCAGAAGAAAGTATCTTGGCGCGAAAAGTTGGGTATGTCTGCCGATACCGACGACGAACATTCTGAAAATGAGACCGATAGTGAGTCTGAGAGTGATTCTGGGAGCGATTCAAGTGATTGTGAAGAAGCCAAACTAAGCGACGACGAGAGCGAGTCTGAAAAGAGTGGAAATGACGAGGCCAATCAAGAGGAAGAGAGTGAAAGTGAAGAAGCCGAAGCCAATGAAGAGAACGAGCAGAATTCGAAATCAATAGGTGCTCAGTTCAGTAATTGGGCTCATAGCCTAGAAAAACACGAGAGTTTGCCAACCCCAATTGTTGAAGGCTACAAACATACCCCCAGAGTTGAACCTCAAGAGCCCGTACAAGATTTCTCAAAGGGCGGTCAAACGCGGGGCAAGACGTTTTTCGTAAATGTCGAGCGACCTGAAGAAATTGACCAATTACGTCTGAATCTGCCGGCATTAGCTTGCGAACAGCAGATAATGGATGCAATCCACCACCATGATTGCGTCGTTTTGACCGGTGAAACCGGTTCCGGTAAAACAACCCAGGTCCCACAATTTTTGTACGAAGCAGGCTATGGATCTAACGACAGTGAAACCCCAGGGATGATTGCCATCACCCAACCTCGGCGAGTGGCTGCTGTATCTATGGCTGAGCGTGTCTCTGTAGAGCTCGGAAACCATGGGCACCGCGTTGGCTATCAAATCCGATTTGATTCTCAAACCGGCCCAGATACAAAGGTTAAGTTCATGACGGATGGTGTACTGCTTCGTGAAATGTCTTCAGATCTTATGTTGACAAAGTATTCTGCAGTCATAGTTGATGAGGCCCACGAGAGAAGTGTCAATACAGATATCCTGATTGGGTTACTGAGCCGTATTGTCAAGCTTCGACGTGAAGAGGGCAAGCCCCTCAAACTCATTATCATGTCCGCTACACTCCGTGTTAGCGACTTTACTGAAAACACCACGCTTTTCCCAACCCCTCCACCAATTGTCTCTGTTGAAGCCCGCCAGTTCCCAGTCGCCATGCATTTCAGTCGTCGCACCACGCATGACTACGTCAATGAAGCCATCTCTAAAGCTATCAAGATACATGAAAAGCTACCCAAAGGTGGTATTCTGATCTTCCTGACTGGTCAAAACGAAATTTCGTTCGCTGTGAATCAATTGAGAAAGTATAGTAAAGAGCCAACACTCAAGCCGGCTCAGGTCCGTCTTTCTGCGAAAGAAACAGTGATGGAAGAAGAAACGGTTGATTTCGATCTACCCGAAGACGAAACAGACTACGACGATGATAACAGTGATGAAGAGAGTGAAGAGGAGGGCTTTGAAGAAGAGTACGATGGGGAGGAAACAAAACTTCATGTATTGCCCTTGTACTCTCTTCTTCCTACCCAGGAGCAAATGAAGGTGTTTGAAAAAGTACCCAAGGGCACACGTCTCTGTGTTGTTGCTACCAATGTTGCAGAGACCTCACTGACGATTCCCAATGTGCGTTATGTTGTTGACAGTGGTCGTGCTAAGCAGCGTGTCTGCGACCAGGAGACTGGAGTACAAAAGTTCAAGGTTGGCTGGGTGTCTAAGGCTAGCGCAGACCAACGTGCTGGTCGTGCTGGTCGTACTGGCCCAGGACACTGCTACCGCCTTTACTCCTCGGCGGTTTATGAACGCGACTTTTCGCAATTCAGCGCGCCAGAAATTAGCCGTATGCCCATCGAGGGATTGGTACTCCAAATGAAAGCCATGGGTATCCATCACATTGTTAACTTCCCATTCCCAAGCCCTCCACCCAGAGAGAGCCTTGCAAAAGGTATTGAGCTCCTTCAATATCTTGGTGCATTGGACAAAGAGATGCAGCTGACCGACTTGGGTAAACAGATGAGTTTATTCCCCTTGAATCCTCGACATGCCAAAATGCTTTTAATTGGAAACCAACATGGCTGTATGGGATACGTTATTGCAGTTGTCGCTGCCCTATCCGTCGGTGACCCATTCATCCCATTGTACGAGCTATTACCGCCTCCTGTTAAACCAGTCGTCAAGAGCGATGACTCGGAAGATGAAGAAGAGGAGGAGGAATTCACTGTTGAGGAAAAAGAGCGTCAAGATAAATTACGCCAACGCTTCAACCAGGTTAATGGTATGTTCTCTGGACTGGATAAAAAGAGCGATGTTATCAAGGCGCTTGCTGCAGTTGCAGGCTATGATTTTGCTAATTCCACATCTGAATACTGCAAAGAAAATTTCCTGCGTAGCAAAATCATGACAGAAATCACCAAACTTCGTCAACAATTGGCGTATCTTGTCGCAAGCACTACGCGGCCCGATGCGATAGAGTCCACAACACAAGCGTTGTCAAAGCAGCTTCAACCTCCTACTAAAGTTCAACTTGCAGCATTGAAGCAGATTGTTACAGCAGGGTATATTGATCTGATTGCTGTGCGAGCCGATAGCATTGACGATTCAGCATCAGTTGGCAAAAAGACGTCCATTATCAACCATCCCTACATCACTTTGATGCCGGGCCCTGAAAAGTATGCCTATATCCACCCTGGAAGTGTGTTATCTCATCTGGGCAGTCAGCCTCCTGAGTTTTTAGTGTATCATGCCTTGACAATGGGTGATGCTGAAAACGCTAAAGTTCGTCTGCGGACCTTAGCGGATACTACAGCTTCAGCAATTTCCCATATTGCTGCTCAAACCCCACTTGTTACCTATTCCAAGCCTTTGGGAGGAGCACATGCACCCAAAGTTTTATCGCCCACCAAACGCATTGCGTGGGTCGTACCCCGAATGGGCGCCGCTATTGGTTCTGGCGGTGTGGGATGGGACCTGCCTGCTCGTAAAGTGACACAAGTCAAAAGAGGTGGCGAGTGGTGTACTGTAGATTAATTATTTAAGAGTGTCCTTATACTAACATTTCCAAGTTGTAAGTGTCCTTAAACGCATTTCCGAGTTGAGAGTGTTCTTAAACGTATTTCTGAGTTGAGAGTGTCCTTAAACGCACTTCCAAGTTGAAACTGTAGTGTCCCAAGAGCTTGTGGCAACCTCTGACCCACAGATGGCCATGCCACTGATTCTTTGACGATGAGGAGTGAACTGAGAGATCCAATTCTCTTTGAGGAGATCAAGAATGTTCACAGTGCCATCTCCGTACCCCACAATTACTAGACGGCCAGACTCGGAGAGTGACATAGCAGTTGGCATACCAAAATTCCCAACTTCAGAGACGATTGAGTTCGTACGCATATCAAACAACAGGATAGACTCTCTATTTCCAGCCACGATACATTGTCCTTCGGGGTGGAACTTCAAGCCATTCAAGGGCGAAGCACCTGCCGAAGGGAATGTCATTATTGATTTGGGCTGTCTGCTATCCCAGACTTTAAGCTGTCCATCGTCAGCTGCGCTAGCCATGATAAAATGAGAGTTCGGGTTTGTCGAGAGCTCAGACACAGTGGCAAAATGCTCATAAGACCGCATAATGGACTCCCCCGTCAAAACATCCCACATCCCGCAAGATCCATCTGCAGCTCCAGAACCAAAAGTATACTCATCTACAAAAGCCTGACAAGTGATTGCAGTACTGTGGCCATACAGAGTACCCAAGTGCCGCCTATCTCTACCAATGGCTTTCAAGCCTGAAGATTTGGGGGTTTCTGGAGAGAGCTCTAGCGGGAGCACGGGGTTTGCGCCGACTACACCGCCAAACAATTTGACACCTTCGTTTTCGATATAGACGGCATGGTTCTGTTTGAAAGGGTACGGATCACGGTGTTGGCCGAGTAGAGAGTAGAGGCGGTCGTTCACAGAGTACAGATCAATTGTGCAGCTCAGACCACCAACGGCGACGATTTGACCATTTGGTGGCGTAGCAATACTAAGTGTATGTCCTTGAGATACCTTGAACGCATCAGTTTTGAGTCCTGTCAAAGCATCCCATACTACGACTGTGTTGTCCTGGCCAACTGTAGCCAGCATATGGTCACCTGTGGAGATTTTCGTAGAGCACATTGACAATACTTTGCTTTTGTGGGCCCGAAGCCGTAGTTTTTTACGCAGTTTCACAGGAGGAACATTGGTTTGCAGGGCAGCGGCTGTCTTCAATGCCTTGACATTTTCATCCTCTCTTACCTCCATAAGTAGGTCTTGCAGCTCTTTAATATCTCTCATTTCCTTCTCGACATACTGGGCTCTATCAGGCAGATCTAATCGAACATACGAACTGGGCAATTTGGGACGATTGTGTTTCATGTATGATGGTGAATTCATAACAAAGGTGGCATAGGAACTTGGTGAGAGGAACGATGCACAAAATAATGACTGAGATGATGAAGAGTGAAATAAGTAATCATACTACTTTGGTGATAATTTGTTTAAATCCGGAGTATGAGGCCACTTCAGCCTGCATATGTGGGGTACCGCTATTACCGCTATTACCGCCCAAAACGTTTCCAAAACAAGCCATTTCACAGCAAGCACCAGAATTAATCCACAGCCAAAGAATTGATATACCGGCTCTATTTCCCGTTCTTTTCTATCCACTTCGGTGATCGCTCACCACAATATAAACCAGCCCGCAGAGATTCTGACTCATCACCACATGGACGAGTTCTACGCAGACTATTTCCAGGCTCTTCAGCACCATCCAGTTGCGTCGAAAGTCTTAGAAGACAAGGTTCTTCCGGAGACGACTGAGAAGGTGGGTGTTGCCGACCTGAGCAACTTTGAGGCGGTGACGTCGGTGATTGAAAAGCAAGCAAACGGGGCCTATTCCGAATCACCGTATGCCCTGTACCATGACTTGAAGTTAGCGACTGGCGCGCAACTAATCAAACTTACAATTGGCAGCGAGCCTTATGGTCATATCCATGGCTTTTTTCGGTACGCCGTGGATTTGTTATTGCGAGAAGCCGCTCGCTTCTCTCTGCAGCCTCCGTTGGGACCTCAGGACGCTGGTGACGCGTTTTTGCGATCTATAGTAACCAACTTTGAACAGATTTCGACAGATGTCGACGAATACTATGGCGAGGCTTACTATGTTGTTTCTCAAAGTGGACCCCTGTTCACCTCAATCACCGGTAAAGCCTCTATCGATCCTCGTGAGACAGAAGTTCACGGTACTGTACATACCTCCAAGCTTCTTGCTCACGTGAACAGTACTCCAGAGACTATTTTGGGCCTTGTTTCCAGTACTCCAAATAATTTCCCTCACCCAGCGGTTGCACCCACAGAACTTTTGTCTACCTTCACTGCTCCTTGTGATACACCACTTGCTGCTACGCGGTTTATTGAAAACGATGCCTACAAGTCGTTTGCTCCTACACACGATGATGAGGGTGCGTTGGTGGATGCGACTGAGTCGGTTGTTCAGTGGCTTGAGCGGGCAGGACCCGCCAAGCAGCCGACCCAAGCTGCAGTGCCGGTGTCCGCGCCGGTATCCGCGCCAGTATCGTTGCCTACATCAGCTCCAGAGTCCTCTTCTCAAACCCCTGCAACGGTTCCTGTTGGATTCCCCAGCCCTGCACCCAGTGTGATTTCTGAAGAGAGCGTGTTTACTGGACGCGAGCTTGATCAGACCTCAGTGCAAGCTGGTATTGATCCTCTAAGTTTACTAGCGTGGACTCCTGCTAATTTTATTGACGACGACGAGCTGCAGGCAGCTGCCGACGGAACAGAACTCAAACTGGCTGCTAGATTGTTGGCTGAACTGCAGTTCCGTCAGCGAGAACGGCTGGCGGCCCCCACGACTGATATTGATATTAGCGACGATGAATGGCGAACTGCTTTCAAAGCTCAAAATGTGCTGGCCCGGCTTGTCGCAGAAGCTGGTGTTTCTGCTGATCTGGGCGCGCGGCCCTCGACCAAGTTGCCGGTTTTGATGCGCAATTACGCCGGAACGTTGCCTACCGCTGAGCCAAAGCCGCAACGCCTAGCTCAAATGCCTCGTCGACGATAGCTGTTTTACGGCAAGATTTATAAATAAAAGAAATAGGGCTATGGACCAAGAGCTATGAGAGTCCCGAGAAAATCATAAACAGATTCAAAGCACTGACAAGAATAAAGATAACCAACGCGAAGAAATGCAAAAGCGGTGAATTGCTCATATCCTTGTAGTGTTCTCCATCCTCAACCATAGTGTATTGGGAGCTTGCGTCGGAGTTATTTTCGACCCGGACCTTCATGATAAGGTTAGAGCCAGTAAAGTAGATGAGCGGAGCAGTGACAAATGGTAGCAACAGTGAAAGGACGACCTGCGAACCGTTAAGAACCTGGGCGAGACCATTCCGGCCAATGAACAAGGCAGCGAACAGACATGGTGCGACTGCAATGCTGCGTGTAATGATGCGTCGCAACCACGGTCTTGTTTTCCACTCGATAAACCCCTCGGCGATCATTTGACCCGACAGGGTGCACACTATGCCTGCGCTTTGGCCGCTGAACAAAAGAGCCAGGGCAAAAACTGTGCCTGCAGCCTGACCCAAGAAGCGGACAAGCATATCATGAATTGTATACAAATCAGCGTCATATGCATCAGGGGTTTTGTACAGGGTGGCACCCGAGACAATCAGAATAGCCGCGTTGACAAACACCGCGAAGGTACATAGCGAAATAACCAGCTCAGCAATTGTGTATTTCATCGAATAGCGTATTGACGCCAGAGAAGGCCTGTACTCTTTGTGCGCAGCCTCATCGCAGGGATTGAAGCGGCCAGTTTTGATGTCAAAGTCTTTGAGTCGGGGCTGCACAATTCCAGAGCCAAGATAGAGGCTATGCGGCATTACAGTAGCACCGAGAATACCGCAAGATAGGTAAAGTCCCTTGGGTTCTAGCAAAGCCTTTGACGGCAAGAACCCCATGAAAATATCCGACACGTTGGAAGGCTTGATTTTGACGAGCTCGACGCCAAAGCAGATAACGACACCAGCAACCAATACCGAGACAAACCACTCGAAGTAGCGCACCATTCGCATGTTTCCATTTGGATCATAGGCCATGAGTACAATAAGGACATCCAATACCGTAATGACCACGCCCAGTGAGAGGGGCAAATTGAAAATAATGTTAAGCGCAATGGCGGTACCCACAACCTCTGCCAAATCCGTGGCGATGATAGCAATTTCTGTCAAAACATAAAGAAGAATGTTCAGCCATGAGGGGAAATGCTTCCGGCAGTTCTCGGCAAGGTTCAGGCCGGTGACCGCGCCTAGCTTAGCGCAGAGCACCTGTAGAACGACCGCAAATAGGTTGGACACAAGCACAATAAATAAAAGCCGGTACTCGTAGAACGCGCCGGCAGAAACAGCAGTCGAGTAGTTACCAGGGTCCATATATGCCACAGATACCATGATTCCGGGGCCAACGAACTTGGCGTATTTTACTAGTGTGTGGGTCATTCGCTCCCATGTCGAGAGGTATCGCGTACTTCGCTCGCCTTCTGACAACGACGAAAGCTCTAGCTCCTCCTCCGGAATATCTTCAGAGCTCCTCATTGTAGCTTTCTGTGTGGGAAATGTGCACAGATGGGGGTCCCTGAGGTGGAGAGGTAGTTAGGTAGGTATATATGACCCAATTGGGTAATCGTTAATAAGCGTGAGGGCGGCCGGTTTATTTTCGTGCAAGGGGAAACCGCTCGATGAATGTGATGCTATTTCTTGAGTTGAAATGCGGAGGGTTGACAGAAATAAGAAAACAGCTAATTACACGCCGAAAACTTCGCCAAGCGTGACACCGTTTTCGCGAAAAGTGATCAAGGTTAGGGTATACCATTTTCCGGGGTTTTTAGGGAGGATGGGCAGTTTCGAAGAATTCTCAAAACCAGTTCAGAATCGGCAATCTCGGTTCTTAAAGTGCCCGTACGTGGTAAACGCTTTCACAGCACCTTCAATAGCTTAAAATTGTACTTTCGCCTATTTATTTACGTTCCTCCTCGTCGTTGTTTTGATTACTCACTGGATGGTAAAGCCCTGGCACACATTGAATCCAGAGCGGCCAAAGGAGGCAGTCCTACAAAAGCCAGTGTCTCGCACACTGGTGCCAGAGTCATGGATACCTGTGCCGACTCAAAGGCTTGTAGCAGCGGGGTTTTTTGTAGCGATCCAGGCGATCAAGCTCAGATCCGCTCTCGAGCCATCCGTTTCAGGTTGTTTTATTTTCACGGCATTCGATGCGTTATTTCTTTGGATTCTTCCGCTTTTTGCTATTCCCCGCTTGACGTTCAGAACCGCTGCAACTGTTGCATTAATTGCGTTTATGGCAGCGACCAATTCCCTTTTGTTTATCGACCCGATCTGGCTTACCGTCGTTTCCTCTACAATTATCAAGTATATCACCGGAACAGAGCTTTCAATATCAGGCACTCGCGTCAGAAAAGACTCTATTGGTGCAAACTCACTAGGAAGCTACGTGGTAAAGTATCTCCCGGAGCTATCAGCTACTCTGAGTGCCGATGAACAACTATGCACCAATGGCGACCAGGTTTATCTTCACCTCTCTCTTAATTCTACCTGGCCTGAGTTAGTTTCTTTGAAGCTTACTCCCCTTGTGGAAGATACTGCTCCGTCTACTCTCAACTTTACCAAAAAAGACCTCGGTCGCTACCCTAAACGTGGGTCTACAGATGTCTGGCTGCCGATAGATCAACCTGGTGCTTACCAGCTTTTGGAAATCACTGATTCCAAAACAGGGTCCCCTGTTCTCGTGTCAACTGCGCTCAATGCTGTTGTTGTTCCATCTTGTCCCAAAGCTTGGCTCGATGTCGATACGAGTCCTAAATGTAGAGGTGACAGGATGTCTGCCCGCATTTTTGGTCAAGGCATCGCACCATTCAAAATTCGATTGGCAAACGGAGAGACTGTTACCACTCCCAAAGGGGAGGCAAAGTATGCTCTGAGTCAACAAGAAGTTTCAGTGCCACTTCTGGCTATTCCAGGCCTTAATATTGGCCTCAAGGGTGTGCAGGACGCACTAGGGAATACAGTGGAAATTAACGAGATGGTCAACATCCCCGTTTTTAATCCTGCAACAGCATCACTTCGAGAGCAGCGTTTGGCGCTTACAGACAAGTCTGTTTCGGCTCAAATAACCATCAACGGTGATGATGGTCCTTTCAACGTTGCCATTCAAAAAGACGAAGACCAGCCTTTTACAATCGAGCTGGCCAAAGGTACTCATAATCTGGCTCTGGAGCACGAGGGCGATTATAAGCTTGTTGGTATTGAGGGCCAGCACTGCGCGGGCAGCGTCTCGGGACTTGTACAGGTTTTCAGCCCACCGCCTGTTTCTCTCAAAGTCGAGTTTCAGCAAATTAAAGATCCATGTGCTGGTCCATCTGGGATTGATGCAGATGTCACTCTGTCTGGCACCCCACCTTTCCAAGTCTGGTATCGGGCGCGGTCTGGTGACCGTGTTTTATTTGAAAAAGACATCAAAGTTTCTGGGTTTAGCGATCAGGTCAAATTCAAGCCGCATAATGTTGGTACTTTCGATTACGAGTTCGTTGCAGTTGCTGACGCTTACCGTCGGATTTCTCTTAGTGGAGAAATATATCATCAGCAACAAACCATTAATGAGCTTGCAGGTGCCTCTTTCTTACCTATGAGGTCCAAGTACTGTCCTGGTGAAACGGTTGAAGTAAGCGCGAAACTACAGGGTAAAGCCCCGCTTACTTTGGAGTACACTATTGATGAAGACGCCTATACTTTGGAAAATTTATCGGGCACATTTGCATTAAAGCTTGGCAAGCTTGGAGGAGGTGTTCATAACGTGCGTTTGACGTCGATCACTGATGCAAGAGGATGCAAGACCCAATTAGACGTTCGGAGCCCCGATATTCATGTGCGTTCCGATCGAGCTACAGTGAAGTTCAAAGAACCTGGTATTCGTCGCGTGACAAACCTTAAGCAAAAGCTGGGGCTCGAGTTTGAAAACGGTATCCCGCCATATCGTGTCGCATATTCCATCAATGGAGCTGTTCGTTCAGTTGATCTGAATACCCCATATATCGATGTCAACGAACCAGGCGTCTTTCAACTCATTTCACTTCGTGACGCCGAATGTGATGGTGATGTTGATGGCCAAACCATTTCTATTGAACTAATCTCTCGTCCCTCCTTGGCCTTGGGTGGGGGCCAGCAAACATATGCCACCCTATGTTTAGGATCGGCTACTGCAGTGACATTGCAAGCAACTGGTGAGGCCCCCTTCACTTTGAATGATCACAGCAACGTGCAACAGACCTTCTCCGAATCGGAGTTCGTTGTTGAAGTTGCCCCAGCAGCCACAGCAGGCCCTACCACTTTGTACTATTGGATGAATGATGCAAACTACAAAGAGGGCACAGAACCTATTCAGGTTGTTTTTGAGGTCCCTGATACACCCACTGCTGCTTTCAAACACGTGGAGCACGAGTACAAAATCTGTCAAGGAGCAAAACAAACTCCAGGCATCCCTGTGATGTTGAATGGTAAAGGGCCATTCGAGCTGACATTTGAAATTGAAAACACTGCTACGGGCAAAAAGTTCCGAACGTCGGCTGAAGTCGAGGGCTCGACCTCTGGTACCAAAACCTATATGCTTACCAGTGTGTTTGGTGATGTCACACCAGGCCACTGGAAAGTTTTACTTCATTCAGTCACCGACGCTACACAGTGTGGTACACATGCGTGCACAGGGAAACCAGTGTATATTAGTATGAGCGCAGCCCCATCATTAGGCGTTCCTGAGGGTCAGGTGCACGTATGCGTTGGAGACTATGTTGATTTTAGCCTACACGGTCATGCACCATTTGAGCTCGACTACGCGTTTGAGGGTCGGAAGCTCACAGCGATGGCGGAGTCAAAGTTCCGTAGACTGTCATCTTTCCCTGGGACCATCGAGTTTGACAAGATTCGTGACGCAGCAGGCTGCGATGCGACTCTTAACCACTCTGTGATCGTACACGATATTCCAGCCAGCAGGATCACACACGAGTCTCAATTTAGCATTCATCACGGCGAGACTGTCGATCTGGCTTTCGAGTTCTCAGGCACACCTCCCTTCACGTTCACATACACCCGCAGCGTGCGAGGCAAAGTTGTCGATCGCAAAACTGTATCGAACGTTGAAGACCACTTCTACAGCATTTATACCCAAGAAGAGGGTCTATATGAGGTCGTGGAGCTTCGTGACCAATATTGTCGAGTAGGTATCTAGAATATACAGTCTATGTGCATGCGATAGATCTAACTTAATGGGAGACTGAGTTCTCGGGCTGTACAAAGAGAACAATACTTGCAGGGGTCTTTTTTCGAAGGCATTCGGAGAATAGTGTACATTTATCAACGCCACTTATTTAGGGTCGAAGCCGAAGCCGCGCATGCAGTCCTTGTACTGGTCGATGATGGCTTTGCATTTGGGAGAGTCCTGGCCATTGAACAAAAGACATTCGTCACGTTTGGCTTTTTCGTCTTTGCAAACACAGCAGGGGCGGGGCTTATTTTCAGCTTCGGGCATTGGTAGAACGGACAGTCTCGGAGGTTCGTAGGGATTTAGTAATATCGTTCGATTAGATAATGGCAGGTGACTAGCTGGAATTTTTTTTTTTTATTTCCTTACTGATCTGCGAATATTTGAGTAAAATAGACAGGGTTCAGTGGTATGGGAAAAACACGAGGAAAAAGCGACTCCAAGCGGTCGAAGAATGGCATGCGGTCGGTTGAGCCCGAAATTTACAAAGACAATCGGGCGGAGAATTTTTTAAGTTTCAAGAAAAAGACCTATGATAGCGTGGGGAAGAGCAACAAGACCCGAAATCGAGCAATTGATAAGGGAAAGATCCAGATCAAGCCCAAGAAGCGCACTTATACCGAGAAAGAGCTCAAGATCCCTAAGCTGAACACAGCACTTAACCCGGTTGGCGTCAAAGTCAAGGGCAAAAAGGGCAAGAAATTTGCCGACGAAAGCAAGATTCTACAAATTATTGCCGAAGTCAACGAAGAGACGTCTGCTGTTAATGCTTCTAAACTAGAGAAGGCTCGACAGCTAGAGGAGATCCGTGAAGCCAAACGAAAGGAGATCGAAGAGCGGGAACGCCAACAGCAGGAGAAGCTGGAGAAAAAGAAAAAAGAGCTTAAAACCAAGCCCAAGAAGGGCTCTCAAGTCGTCGAGTCGGAGTCGGAGTCGCCTAAACGTAAACGTAAAGTTGCATTTGCTTAATTATTTAAAGGGAGTAAGATTGTGATAAATACAAGACCTATAGGTATTTCGGAAAGTCCATGAAATGATCTTAACCTCCTTGAGATTCAAAACTTACCAGAGCCAGGAAATTATTTGGTCTCTGCCGCCGTGGTGATAATAGCCTCCTCCAATGGAGTGAAGTTGTTGGCCTCACCCACGACGGAGGCAATGGGCTTGATATCTAGGCCAGCGGCCATCTCCTCCTCACCCATGCGGTCGCCGTAAACATGCTCGTCGTTCTGGGGGAAGTTGAGAGTGTTGTGCAGCTGCTCATGCTTGGCCAAGTCCTCAATCTCCTGGAATCGCTTCTCAAGCTTGTTGTAATGAGAATAGACGCACCAGAAAACGCAAGCGGCAATTATAGTCGCAATGCACAGACCAATGTACATCCACATGAACTTGGGGTTCTTAGCAGTGGGAGAAATGGCAATACCCAGAGCGGCACCAATGGCGTTAGTGACCAAGAAAATAGACATGATAACTGACTTCATAGTGATAGGAGCCTTTGTGTAGGCATACTCGAGGCCAGTGACGGAGGCGAAAATCTCCGACAGAGCAATGAATACATATGCAGGGGTTTGAACGGCAACATGGACCTTGTTAAACGTGGGGCAGTAGTGCTCACTGGTCTCGTCGGTCTCCATAGGCCACTGGAAGCAAGGAGGCGAGCTGTAAATGATATGCTGGACAATGGCAGCATAAGCCATGGCGAGCGAAACACTGATGAAGCCCCAGAAAATACGAGTGACGGGATGCATGGGGAAACCAAGCTTGCGCAGGAAGGGCAGGAAGAACTTGTTGATCAAAGGAACGAAAATAATAACAGCAATAGGATCGATGTTCTGCATAATATCATTAGGAATAGCATGAACATCCATAGTGCCGGCCTGGGAAACAAAGTTATTCAACATCTGACCGTAGACAACCCAGTAGATGGGATAGAAAGCAAACACCTTGCATCCGTAGAGAGCACGGCGGACCTCCTCAACAAAAGTTTCACTCCAGGGAACAGGAGCAAGGTTGAGTTCCTCACGGAGGCTAGGTTTGGCGACTTCCAAGTTGAAACGGCCAAAGAATGGCTTGACGGGGCGCAGGGGGTAAGTGATAAACTCAAACAGCTTGCCCCGATTGTGCTTTTCAGAAATACGCGTACGGTAGCCATCGCTCTTGAAACCATTCTTGATACCCTCCCAGCAGATTTTGAGCGTATGGGGCACCGGCGAACCGGTGGGAGTATTCTGGACGTACTTGCCGCGTCCGAGGAACAGGGCGACAATAGCGACGAAGAAGAAGGCAAAAGGAAGCAAAAACGCAGCCCAGAAGTCGACATTATGCTCTAACTCAGTAGTGGCAATGGCAGAAAGAGAACCAACGTTGATACACATGTAGAAGATCTGGAAAATGGTCTGCATTGTGACAGCAGGATCAACGATGACGCGTTCACCGCTCTTCAGGGTCTTGACATACTGACGGGTATTAGTGTACTGGTCAGCGATCAAAGTGGACACATTTGCCTTGATACCACCGGTACCAATACCGATGATAACAATAGCGGCGATGTAACCACCCTCGGCGTGGTTGCCGCGAATGGAAGAAGGCAACGATGTAACAAAGAGAACCAAGTTACCAATAATATAGATACACGCAGACCAGAAAATAGTCCAGTATTTTCCGAGCCACATATCAGCGATTAGTCCACCAGGGATAGGAGTGATGTAGCACCAAAACTGGAAAAAGTATGAAAGAGCTGTGGCCGAAGAAGTACCAAGACCAAGTCCACCGGGCTGAACGGGGCCGTCACGGTCTAGGGACATGTAGTTTTGGAACACACCAGAGCACCCATAGTAGGTGAAACGCTCAGCAAGCTCGACAATTGCGACGTACCATGCAGAAAGAGGCAGAGTGTCGGAAACGATGCGAAGGGTTTCCAGCTCCTCTGCGGTAGGTTCAGGTCCCAGCAGGATGGTGCCATCCTCGGCGACCAGGCCGTCATCTGAGGTGGCTTCAAATTTTTCGTGCTCCTTCTCGGCACTGGCAGCAGATTCAGAAGGTGCACTGACAAGGTCATCCTCAGGCTTCGCAGCCCGGCTGAAGGGGTTTAGTCTCATGATATTTTACGATAAGGCAAGAAAATGCTTTTTTACCGTTATCGGAGGATAAGGACAAGTGATTATGTATGCGGTAATATGTCTTTTTAAAGCTCGAGCCCGATAACCAGACCCCCCGTCACGCATGCAGGAGAGGAAGGGGGATCTGGGCCAGATGACGCAGCGAGTCGCAGCAGCGCGCAGTAAAATTTTCCTTGGTCTTGGCTTTTGCCGCGCGAATTGATTGATCCCGGGATGGAAAATTAGATCTCTCTACAATTTAAGGTTTGACAAAGTGATAAATAAGCCAAAGTATAAAGTGTTTCTAGCTCGACGTCCAAACGGGGCCTGCTGCGTGGTATTGAACATACCTTTGCACGATTTAGTCCGATGCGTAGATCCTTCCTGCATGGTATGTCCGAGCTTAATAATCCGGACTCAGACGAGCTCTAGATCAAGGGAAAATGAAACCATCTGGGGTTGATCCCAGGGCAATAAAACATAGAAACCCCGGAGCTGCGCACCATACCGATTGGTTTGCACAAAGCACAGTTTGGGTCAGCCGATATTTTGTGAGTCATGCGACATTACCTTTCATTTTTCAAGCCTGACCCACGCAGCCACTCTATGCGTAACCTTACCCAGAACTTAGATGAGACGCAGCAGGGTAGGGTTGAAACATCGAGGTCATATTGAATGTGAACCACCGAATTGAAGCTATCAGTGCATACTTTGTAACAGCCCTGGTAAATTCTTGCATAAAGGTTCTTGGCCACGCAGTATCGGGCAGCAGTGCGATACTACAGCTATCGCATCAATGTGGGGTTAGAACTACAAACGCGGAGAAGGCAGATAAAGTTCAATAGCCTTGAGGGCCATTCCAAGACCACTCTGGAAACCAGTACCACCAGCTCCGTAGTTGTGAATAACTGTTTTACCGTTGATAGTTTCTTTCTCGATCCGGGCTCCGCCCTCCCGTCCAGGCCGCAGGCCAGCTTTCTCAACAATTACGTCTAGCGGGCCCTTGGCCAGAAGCTGGGGGAAGTAGCGAGTGGTTTTGTCAATAATCGCAGCCGACTGGTAGCCGAAGGTGTCCGGGGTGGAGTCGCCCTTCTGGTAGTACCCACCCAAAACAACCTGGCCGCCAGAGAATGGCCGGGGAATAACATAGATAGGTTCACGGTCCTCACTCAGTAAACCAAAGTTTTCATTAATGTGGGGAGCCCGAATAAGAACAATCTGACCCCTGATGGGCATGCACTTGCTGTCACTTACCCCACCAATTGTTGCAGCACCATTCCCGGTGCAGTTGAAAATCACCTCAGTCTTGGCGCTGGCTGCATCAGTAATATGCGAAAGCTCGCGGCGTAAGAAAGTTACCCCATGGTCCCGCAGCTTGTTATACAGAAACTTTAAAAAGTGCGGGCAGTAGAAATTGTAGGTAGTGTATCTCACACCAAACGACGCATCCTTGGACTTGAGAACTTCTTTGTCCTCGATGATTTCAAAATCGGGCACATACGACTTGAGTGACTCGATTTTAGCCGCCGGGGGCTTCTGTCTCCAAAACTCGGTGGTTTTCAGTCGAGCCAAACCTGCCTCTCTTCCGTAGTTTTTGAAAATTTCATCCAAGTACAAAAACGACAGGCGGTCGTACTCCAGGGCTGCGGGGTCCGCCGCGGAGATTGAGCTGAAGTTACCCCCCGCTATCGGCGAGGTGTACTCGATGCTATTGTCACCGGGCAGCCATTTCGCAACGACCGTAATTTTCGTAGCAAGCTCGCAACGACACAAAATAAGGGCCGTGTAAAGGCCAATGATACCTGAGCCAACAATGACTATTTCCGACATTAGTGATAAGGGTGAGTTTGGTAAGTATTGGGGAAACAGATAAGTGGGCACGAGGAGAGAGAATGGACAAAAAAGCAATAAATGGAACTAGAATTTAATATCTGAGAGGCTTTCCCAGCCAAATTCCGCCAATTGACCTGTCAACTAGGTTTCAAACAGATCTGTGTAGTTGGCCTATCACAGGCCGTGGGGCATATCACATGATTCAAGACCTGGTGTAGTCAGCACAGTTTTGTTCCCGTGACACCACGTGAGAATGCAGGTGAACTCTTCAACTAGACGCCAGGAACCACCGAACTCGGTTGGGACTATGCCCGCAATCAATGGCAATAACAAGATAAACTCTGAGGCAGCTAACTCGTCTCTTCTCCCCCAACACCAGGGCCATCGCTTCGAGGGCGCCGAACGCCAGAACGTCAACCTCGAGGACATTTTCCAGGGAGGCCAGGACGCTGAGTACCAGGGAATTCATGCCATGCAGCGCGGCTATCAAGTCCCCCATATGCCCACGAGCCAAAGGCAGGCTTCTCGACGCGTCGAGCAAGCCCCTAACGACCCGCGATACCCGGCAGCAAAGCCCGCCGTGGGCAGCGAGGAGTGGTATAAAGTGCGCAAAGATAACCACAAGGAGGTCGAGAGACGCCGCCGAGAGACAATTAATAAAGGAATAGAGGATTTGGCTCAAGTTGTGCCCGATTGCGACAAACACAAAGGTCAGATTCTGTCCAAGGCAGTCGAGTACATCAAGAAGCTCAAAGAAAATGAGCACCAGTACATGGAGAAGCTTACTCTTGAAAAGCTTCTTGCAGAGCAGGCCATTGCCGAGCTTTCCAACACCAACAAGGCTTTGAAAAATGAGCTTGCACAGGCCTGGAAGGAAGTTGAGCACTGGAAACGCCAGGCTGTGAAAGGCGACCAATCTTGACCCGCTCATCACTTTGCCCTATACAGATATTTAATTTTCGATTTATTATATTTTTTAAATCTCTACTGTGTGTTCGACCACCCCTTCACCGGCGACAGAGTACGAATTATCGCTATATAATATCGTCGATGAACCCCCATAAACAGTGCTGCCGTCGTTACCTGTTCGGTTTGCAATAACAATTGGTACATCAAGGGGTATTCTGGCTCTCCAATAGTCTACAAGATCATGGTCCAGCTCATCGCTCTTGTAGTCTCCGGCTAGCCAAGCGGTCGGAACGAGAACCAACTGACTCTTGTTCGAAGCTATGCTTCTTGCAAATTCATATGCATCCCAAGGAGCCGTAAATTCATGAGGATTCAAGTCCATGCATATTCCGATCTGGGTTTTGATCGGAAAATCTGGCCAGGGACCTCCGGCTATGAACCCTTCCGGAGAAGGGCAGCAACCCCACTGTCTATCTGTTTCGTACAAATGCGTTTTGCGATAGTTCATTAGCACATTGCCCTTCGAAGAACACAAAGAAGCAGCGTTGTAGATGGTTCCCGTGGACGTGGTTTCGGGATACCCAATACAAATATTAATGTCATAGTTTTTCGCCATTTCACATGCCCATTGAGTCGATGGTCCATTTCGACTCTCTAAATATGGCGCTATGGCCTTTGGCGACTCAAAAGCATAGCCCGTGAGTGCCAATTCTGGTAAAACTGCGACGGCTGGTCGCTGGGTGATCTTTTGTAACAGCGACTCGGCAACAGCCATATTTCCAGCAACCTTGCCCAGTTTAGAGCCCATCTGGACCGCTGCCAGCGTGAGTTTCATTCCGAACTTCGCCAATTACTTTCGCTTGTCAGCAGCCAGTTTTCCCTCCACTGGTTTGATTCGCGGTAAAAAAAAATCCATCCTGTAATATAAGAGCAGCACTAAAGAGACTATGAAAAATTTAGCGGCTCTGGCCCAGCTCAAGCGGGTTTTTCCTAATAAACACGCTCTGTACGAGCGTATTGACACTCTTTTGGCCCATGGAAGCGTCCTGCGAGTTGGAATTGTTCCTCTTGCCAGCTCTAGATCAGACATCAAACGAGTCTTGGAGTCCCTGATTGAAGACCCGTTGAACGATGGCGATTGGTTTCCCACTTTCCGGGCTCGTGCATTGACCAAGGATGTTATCGTCAGTCAAAGCAGCTCTTTCGACTACATCGAAACAAGAAACTCGGCCTTGGAGTACCCAGTTCCGTTTACCGGCCCTCCTATTGAATATGTGGAAGTTTCTAATCCTCAGGATAGCCGTGAGCACTTGGCCAAATGTGCCCTTATATTGTACGCTTCTACCAACCCAGCCGAAGCTCTTCGTGCGCCTATTGCGACTGCACACCCTCACCTTCTCGTGCTTGATAGTTTAAGACTTTTGCAGGCAAGTTCTGATGCCCCTTCAAACTCAAATGAGGTGGTTATCTCCACTGAGCTGGCCGCACGGGGAAATGAGCTTTTGCGAGAGTCCCCTAAAAACATCACGCCCTATTTGGATTTGTACAGAAAGTCAAATGTTGCTACCCTGAAGCAGCGATTTGATCCAACCAAAGTTAGAGTGCAGCTCTTGGACAGTGTTTTCAAGACATGCGATGGTCTAGTCGCGGCCGATGGCCCAGACCAGGCAATTAATCGTGAAGTGTCGGAGCTACGCACAGCCTGGGCCGTCTCTGCCCATCGTGAGCTGCAAGGAAGACTCATTCCTGCCCTCGAAAAGCTCTTGTACAAAAAACTGGCCTGGTATAAACTTTATGCCCGCACTGACGACGTCGAAGCCACGACCGTGGCTGTTCTTAATCAGGCCCAGCTTCCTCAGTCCAACCGCGAGCTTGAATACATTATTGGACGAGTAGACAAGGCTGTGACTACTATTCCGTCCAACGAAAAGCCATCCCAATCACCGATAAGCACTGCGAATGTGCTCAGCGCTGCGGCTGCTGTCAAGCTGCAAAACAACGCTTTAAAAGCCGTGCTAACAGCCCTCAGCGTACAAATCCCCATCTCCTTGTGTGCTGTCGGTGGCTGGTACTTTGCAGAGTGCACAGCGTACTCAATGGGAGCGTTAGCTGGACTAGGCCTAGTTGTAGGGTTACAGAGGCTACAAAAGATGTGGCTTAAGGCCGCGAAAAATTACGAAAAGACCGTTATTGATTTAACGCGTACTTCAATCACCGAAACAGAAACTCAAATCTGGGATATGTATGAGGAACGAGTTGCCCGCCGCCGACAGGAATTGGCTACTCAGGAGCATGCGTTGGCAGAGGTTAAAAAAGAGGTTTATGATCAGAATTAAATATAAATTAATGACTTACCGTGGTAGCCACTTCGCTATTTGCATTTTTATCGGAAACTTCTTGAGGTTTTTCCCATCTTTTTCGTATCTCGTACTGCCCGCTCTTGGTTATATAGCGGACCCACGGATAACTATGATACTTGAGAGTTTCTTCTTCGACTTTGAGGTAGCGAATCTCAAGTCCAGATGCTGTTGTACCAGGAATCTCGAAGCGGACTTGTATGGGGGCTGTCGGCCGGGTAGGAGCGTCACCGGTAGCAGGCAGCAAAAGCTCAGCCTGCATGGAGGTTTCACGGCCTCCACCAAAGTGTTTAAGTCGCCAAATAATTGCCTGCTGCTCGGGCGCATATACCACTGTACCGTGAGATGACTTGAATCGGGGAGAATCGCAGTCGGCAGGAACAGGGACAATGAACTCGGTGAAACTGCAGCTTTGCCGTTTTTTATACTGCGAACGAGCCTTGCAAGAAATCACAACTCTTGATCGGCCCTTTATAGTCATATCGCAGTCAACAACCCACAGCGGCTTTTTGTTGGCCGGCTGAGAAATGCGATAGCTGAACAGTTCAAAGTCGCCATCCGGGGGGATGAATTCAATGGTACGCTCCTGTTCGAATTTGATCAAATCAACACACTGATGAAGCTTGATATCTCGGAAATCAACGTACCGAGAGGCTCGATACTGCGACAAGTTTTCCTTTTTGGCGGTTTCAGATTTGGACCTATCGTTAATACCAATCTTCAGCTGAGGCATACCGGACAAGAACGATTTGAAAGCGATTTTTCCATCGATTTCATAGGTTGTTGGCTTTCCTTCGTTGTCCAACGTACAAGAAATGCTCTCAATAACATCGACAAATAACTCGTTTTTACGATAATAAATACCCGGCGGGCGCCAACTGATTTTATCGGTTAGCGTGTTGATAGCTTGCGAGACCTCGAGCTTGTAAGACGTTTGTGTGACATAGTTCTGCAAAATGTTAATGTCCGTAGTCTGTACATGGCCAAAGTCCATCATGTCGTCTAAAAGCTCGTAGATTACAATGTAGTTGTCTCGAACCGATTCCTCTTCAACTTTGTCCACAAAGGCCTCCAAAGCCTGGACAAGCTGCCTTAAGAAAAACAGAATCGATAATGCATTGCTGTTGGTTTTCGTAACAGCTAGAACGTATATGTTTGAATGCTGGATATAGATGTAATGTATGCCATGGTAGTTGAAGATGGGAAGTCCCGTTTCCTCTTTGCGCAGAGCAAACTCTTGAACTGAAGACATAGGCACGTCTCCGCGAAAGTCCCTGCTCAGTAGGGGCGACCCTGTCTGGTCCAAGAAAAATATGGCCGAAGCCATGATGATGAAATTGGGAGGTCACGTAAACAGAGGGGGCCAGTGGGTGTCGATTACCGCGGATCTTCAACGGAAATCATACTACGAAGCCTTTTTGCGACTCAACCCCGGGTCGGCCTTGGCCAATTCATCTATTGCATCAGCGAGTTTTGCGTCCGCGTCAGTGATGGCACCATCTGCATCGTTGGTCTTCAACGCAAACGTGATCCACCGGTATTTTATGTAAATCTCTGGGTGATGCTGTAGGGCATCTGCGGATTTCGCCGCCTTTGCAGCAAACTCTGCGGCAAGAGTGTGGCTTTTAAAGGCAAACCGCTTGGTCAATGCGCCGGAATCAGTCGCCCATCGCCGGCCTGCCAGCTTTGCCAGTGTTTCGGCTCCTAACTTAGTGTACATACTCGACACACCAACAAAAAAATAAACAAACCTAACTTTTCCCCCAGATGCGATTTTTTAGCCGTTGCTTTGTCGTAATTCAGGGTAACACCCCTTTCCCTGATTTAACCCCCCATGCGACGTGGGGTGTCCAACAGCTAACTGGGGTTAGGATCTATTTCCCCCTCCTAGACCACACGGGTGCAAAAGGTATAAACCAAAATTGATGTCGGTATCGACAGACTCCATTGCTAGCCCGGACCGCGCGGGAAACAAGAACACGCTGTGTGTGTGCGACCTGGATGCATTGGTCTCGGAAGCGCATTTGCAGGCGGCTTTCACGGGTGGGAGCCACTCTCCCCCGGTTTCCGCGATGGTTATTCGAGACCAATTAACCCACCGCTCACTGGGATATGGCATTGTGCTTTTCCGCTCGGAATCAGACGCAGTTGCGGCAAAAGATGCTGCTCAACCGCTTTTTGTTGGCCCCAATCTGTGCAGAGTTATCGGTCCATACAAAGATGGCACTCTCACCCGGCCGCCACCCCGTCCGACTGGCGAGGGCATCTTCATCAAAAATCTAGCGCCTGATGTTGTCGCGCCTGAACTCTACCAGGAGTTTGCCCCCTATGGCGAAATTCTCGCTTGTCGCATTGTACTAAGTGATTACGGTCAATCCAGGGGAATGGCCTATGTCACGTACTCGTCAAAAGAAGCCGCCCTTAAAGCTATCGACGCAGTAAACGGCGAAACCCTCCACAACAGGAAACTCTATGTTGGGCCCAATCTTCCTCGACACGAGCGCTTGCATCGTTACGATGACTCCAAGGAGGAGTTCACGAACATTTTCGTCACCGGCGTTGCTTCTTCTGTTCCCGAGCATGACTTTTATGAATCATTTGCAAAAATTGGCGCGGTAGATGCATATTCAATGCCCCTCGACCAATTCGGCCAACCCCGTGGCTTTGGTTTCGTCAATTATAAACATCATAAAGACGCAGTTCGCGCAATTGAAGAGCTCGACGGAAAGCTTGTTATTGGCGGCAGAACTTTAGGCGTTACCCGTGCGCAGCAAAAACCATCCGCAGACCAAAATTCCTCGAACAACGCTCACGCTAATCAGCATCCTGGCTCGGACTCCCATCCTCAACCCTCATCGGCAGGAAGCTCTAAAGATGATGCTGCTGCTAGTTGCAACCTCTACATTCGTCATATCGACCGAATTGTCACCGACTCAGTACTTGAATCAGCTTTTGCAGACTATGGGCCTGTAGTCTCCGCCAAAATTATGCGCGACGAGCGAGGCGGCTCCCGCGGTTATGGGTTTGTATGTTTTGAAAACCCTGAAAGTGCACAGGCGGCTATCAAAGGTATGAACGGTACTGTTGTGTGGGGGCAGGCCCTCTATGTTGCTCTCGCCCAACGTCGAGATCGTGGTCCACGTCGTATGCGTGGCCCTTACAATAATGTGCCCTTTACCATGGGCGTACCATCTGTAATGCCAATGGTGCCTTCGCCCTATTATTACTGGGGTGTTGGCGTTCATGGAGCTCCGGTTGCTATTCCTGCTCCTGCCATGGTCCCCGGCCAAGATGGCAATACAATGGCGTCACTTCAGACATCAATGGCTCAGATGCAGCTCGCTCAACCCAAAACCGGGTCTCCAAGCACAATGACTTCTAAAGAAACTAGTGATGATGGCAATTTGTCCCGCAGCTCCAATAACTGGAACCGGTCTTCTCAGCAGTCACAGTCGCAGCATCGGGCATGGTCTCCCAACATGTCCAGAAAAACTCGCCGTCAGCGAGATTTCCAGCCCTCGCTCGCTGCTGCTGTTGCATCAGCCGAGAATGAAGCCGCCGAAAAACAAGTGGTTGGTGAGGCTCTTTACCCCAAGGTTCTGAAGCACCCGGCAGTTGATAGCCCTGAACTTGCAAGCCGCTTAACAGGAATTCTCCTTAAACAGAAAACGAGCGAGGTACTCGAATGGGTCGATAATGATTTTTTGCTTGCTAAGATAGTTTATCAAGCCCTCGATGCCCTTCGTGAATTCGAGGCCACAGCACCAGATTCCTAAGTCTCTGTGCTTCCTCGGTTTCATTATTTATACCTTGCTTACATGGTCGATATGCTCTCACTCTTCATGCTTTTTGTCAGGGCACACTTCATTGACGTATAGAGTCTTGTCTCGAGAAGAAACCTCTTCCGCTGAGTTCAATCGTCATTTACCATATATATGTGTAACTGTATATATTTAGAGGATTCTCAGCACCAGAACCTATAAAACCGATACCAAAATGGTTTGCTTGCGAGCGCTGGCTTTGCTTCGGCTATCCTGGTCTCAAGTTCTGCTTCATCGGCAATTCGCACACCCGTCCTGATATCAACTTCGTCAAGTCGGGGTGGAGAGGACCTGTCCCAGGCTTTGTGAATCACAAACATTACTAGAACAATTATCGCTGAGAGGTAGGATTCGAAAAAGCTTGCTGCCTTAGGGACACCCTTGCTCCCGACTGGGAAATCCGACCCAAAATTGGAGACAGAGAATACCGACAGAAAACAATACACCTGTTGCAGCGCCTTATATACCCAATGGGGCCTTGTACTCCAGAAGATCTGTCGAAACATCTTGCTGCCTCATTGCAAGACGGTTGCGAATGTAGCATAGGTTGATGGACCCCCAAATCAAAATGCTTGCTAGACCTCCAATTGAAGAGAGCCAGTTAAATGCTGTCCCAGCTTGGTCAGACGCAGCAATGAAGCCCAATAATCCGAATGCAAATACAACCAGAAGTGCGTACAGAGGCCGGCCTCGACGGTCAATGGTGAGCAAGAAACGAGGACCAAAGCCTTGGGCAGACATAGATCCAATCGTGCGTGAGGCCGCAAAAATAGCAGCGTTTCCGACTGAAAGTACTGCGATTATGATCACAAGATTAATCACTGACGGTAGCCCAGAAATTCCTGCGTTTTTTATTGCAATAACAAAGGGTGATGCGGATGCGTTGGCTGCCGCACCCAGACGATGATCTGTGTAGGGCACCAAACATCCAACCAATGTTAAAGATACAACGTAGAAAAGAAGAATACGCCAAAACACTTGTTTACAGGCTCATGGGATTGTAACATGGGGGCTCGGCGTTTCAGCTGCGGTAAGACCTGCCAATTCTGTCCCTGAAAAAGCATATGTTGCCGACATCAATACAGAAATAACTCGTTTGGTACCATTCGCAAATGTACCAGGATTATCCCAGTGTTTTAAGCCCAAGTAGTGGCCATGGGGACCTCCACCGCGTGTGAGTACGATGCCAAGGATAATGAAACCGACGATAGTTAGAACTTTGATTGAAGAGAATACGCATTCTGCCTCACCATAGCCTTGAACCCCGAACAGATTGATGAATGTGATTACAGCGATGAACAAGGAAACCCAAGCAGCAGGATTCACCTCTGTTGCACCGTTGTGGTCACCTTTCCAATAACTGATTGTCACAGCTGCCACATTTAGTTCAGTAGGAAGAGAAATCAAATGGGCAACAGCATAGAGTCATCCAATTGCGAGCCCCCAACTGCGGTCAATAAACCGGGTGTTGTACGCGGAAAACACGCCGCTGACTGGGAAACGAACGCCCAGCTCACCGAGCGCTGTCATGGTTAAGAACATGAGCAGGCCAATGAGGCAATAACCAATACTTACCCCACCTGGGCCTCCGGTTTTGAGAACTCGTCCAGATGCAATGAACAGACCAGCGCCAATCGATCCGCCAATTGCGATCATCTGAATATGACGGCCCTTGAGTTTTCTCTGCAGCGGAACTGTGACTGTGTTAGCAATTGCTTGTTGTTCTTTGGTCAAACTTGGATCTGGCTCTATAATGTCCACGGGTTTGAAATCGCTGATTATCTTTCTGAACAGGGTCTGCTTCAGATTGATCACCTCCGTCTGTTCAAGGACAGACTCGGTTTCCTCAAGAGTGAGGCCCTTCTGATTCTTCTCAATATCTTTGCTAGAGAGGCTCATGGTAGATTCAAATTGTTTCTCAAATCTAGGCTAAGTGGCTATCAGCCACAGTTTTGATCACGTGCATCCTGCTGCAGTTCTCTAGGATGCGATAAGACCTGCATATGCAAAAAAAAATGTCCTGAGCGACTTTCGTTGCAATTTGGGCTTCACGAATAGACCCAGAACCTTGAGAGTGCTAATTTTCCGCTTAGGTCAAGCGAACGAAGGTCTGGAGCATACTCGTTCTGAGAAACATGTGTTATCGTCCTATATGTATAGATTATGCATTAAGTGACTGTCAAATTTAGAGCGTTTGACGGGGCATGCTGGTGGAGATATTCCCCGTCGGATGGCATCGCCTGCACATTTTCAAGGAACAATAGTGTCAGTTACTTACTCCGTGCATAGTGTTCTTGGAGCCTATATAAAATGCAAAAAAATATCCGTGGTCTACAATTGAGGGGCTAAATCGTCGCCCTCTTTCGTCTTAAGACGCTCTTCAAGCTTATTAAACTGATCAAGTCCGATCTTTTCCTCTTCACTCAAGACCTGCTCGACACCAGTAACCTCCTCGACATAGTGCATAAGCATACTTTCAATACCGTTCTTCAAAGTGACAGAGCTCGAGTCACAGGATCTGCAAGCACCCCGGAGCATTAGTTGGACAATGCCTTCGTCTGTGAACCCAACATACTCCACATCTCCACCGTCTTCTTGAATCGCGGGGCGAATGCGAGTGTCGATCAATTCCTTGATCATCGACACAGCCTCGCTATCATCTTCATGAGGTTGGGTGTCTAAGCAGGCGTTTGTACCGTCCACCAACACGGGTTCTCCCGAGGCCAAGTGCTCAGTGAGGATACTGAAGATCTCGGGTTTCAGCACAGGCCAGCGATCCTCGGAACCTTTCTCAACAGTGATAAAGTCGGGGCCAAACATGACACTGCGCACACCGTCGACTGCAAACAGTTTGCGGGCAAGTGGCGAGCCATGGGACTCCCGTCCGCTCAAAAACTCCACGGTGCGGGCACCCTCTCCGAGGACATCTTGGGACGGAAGGAACTTGAGAGCATCCTCGTTGGGTGTGCTTGCAGTCTGGATAAATAAATTACGCACAAAAAGCTGCGGGCGGGCAAAAACAGCGCGTGAAATCGGTCGAAATTGGCGGGCAAACATCTGGGCAGTTTGTAAGAAAAAATGACTAACCGCTTGGCCTATGTTGGTCCCGGTAATTGTTGGGCTAGGTATGGGTGAAATAAAATACATAGCTCTATGGGTAGTGATGATGGTAGAAGCCAAATATATATATAATGGTTGGGAAAGGACCATGGGATGTAGAGATGGAAGTAGCCAGCGCGTGAAGCGGGTGCCGGGATTTCAGCACCCATCCATTAGACTGTTGGGTGGGAAGCGGTAACCTGCCTGCGCCCAGGAAGTCAAGTTGGGGTTCGAGTACGCATTGATGTGGTCATTGATGTACTGCAAAGTCGGGTAATCCTCAGGGTCGCAGGTCAGCTGAGTTTGGCCCGGGGGCTGGTAGATGCGCACATAGTCGATTTCCATGATGGCGGGGAACACAAGGTCCAACCAGTTGATATACACCCAAGAGTTGGAGAGACCGACGTTCATAACGATTGACATGGCTTCTTTCGAGATGTGGCGTGCTCCGATGTTACCGTTGGGTCCAATTGCCGGAGCGTACAGTGTATATACTGCATGAGGACCAACAAACCACGAAATATAGCCGTCGACGTCATCGTTTTGATACTCGATACCGAAAGTTTGGAAACTACTGGCACCGTCCTGTTGGTACCAGTCTGGATTCAATTGAGTGGTGCCAGAAACAGCCTGCTGGAATGGACCACCCGTCCAAGTGTTCATCGCAGTAATTGAGTTATTGTAAATTTCGACATAGGAGTAATCGACGACGTACCAAATGTCCATGGGAGCCAACTGAACCGATTGCGAGGCGACACCATTGGGAAGCTCTGCAGTTGTTGCGCCAACAGTGCCTTCAAGAATATCGATTTCCGGAGCACCACGACCCACACCGACGTTCGGGTGGTCGCCGCCGGGACAAACACACTTGTTCAAGCGCTGGCCAGGCAGGTATGAGATGCCATCCGGGGATGATTGGTTCGGGGTGATACCTGCGTCACACTCATTGTACGAGTACGGCCAAACACCATCTGAAGTAGACAAGTAACCAGCCCGCGCAAGGTTGCCCAGGGTCCACAAACCTGGCCACAAGCCCTGGACCTTACCGGAGCCAGGCAACCGCACAGCCATTTCGATATGAGCTTCGGTCAAACAAAGCTTGTTCCAGCTCTGAACCATTCCAGACCGGAAGTTAAGATTGTGGTTCTGGAACGCATCAAACTGAATACGCAAGCAACCATTTGCTGTGGTGACTGCGTCGGGACTATACCATTCGAGATCTTGGGTTGCACCATACCATAAATCAACTGCTGTCCAAATGGGATCGTCACCCTCATAAAATGTTCTTCCGTCGACATTGAACTCATCGCTGAAAACAAGGTCCCAGGTAGTGCCATTGTGACTCTTGATGGTCTTGGCAGAACTTGGTGTATCGGGATCAATCAAAGATTTATAACGAAGGGCTGATAAAATACCATACTGGTAGTCTGAAAGCTGGTGGTTGATGCTGGATGTGGTGTGGTTGGCAGGTTTTGTAGGAGCACGACCAGTGTCGGTGAAGTCCAGAATGGGCAAGACCACAAACACAGTGATGATGCCGCCAATAAGCGCAATAAATGCAACCAGAGCACCCCATCCACGTCTGTCGAGACGATGACACTTGCGGTCTTCGAGTGCATCGGCGATCGGGTCTGGGTTGTGTAAATAATCGTCGGCTTCCTTTTCATCCATGTGCAGCGGAAAGTCTGAAGCAGGGTAGCCACCGAAAGGACTAAAGTCTGCGTTCATCAAAAACGGATTGATATCGGGGTTCTGGTCATATGACGAAAACGAGTTCGTGCGGGAGCGCTCGGAAAACTCGCTTTGTGAGTACTGACCAGGGAGGGCTAGATTCCCATCAGGCGTCACGCTTTTGCGATTCGGGTATCTGTCGAAGTCGGAGCCGGACATGACGCTAGGTGCATAGGGTACGCTAACATGACGGTGAGTCGAGGTATTGGCAGATGGTGCACGGGAGCCCAGCAAGGTGTCGCTAACATTAGAACGCGACGAAGAAGAGTCGGCCACACTTTCGCCGGCTTCGCTGTTGAAAGGGTTTTGTGCGGAATCATCGCCCTCACCAGGAAGGCTTTGGTATTCGCGGTTTTGCCGGTGTGGCGGGACTGGCGGCCCAGTGAGATTTCTCATTTGTTTGGGGTTGTGATGGTCTTTTGTTCTTTTGAGCACTGGGTTTCTGACGTGGTCTCCGTTTGATTTCTTCCTAAAATATTACTCCAGCGAGCGAATGTTCTACTCCTGTCTATTCGTGGTCCTTGCGGTAGAAATCAATCGGGGTTTTTTTTTTGTAGTAGTGTTGAACCACAGACACAGGAGACCAGCGTGCAGCAAAAAAACCTGACCTCCTAAATATAGCTCAATGCCTAACCCTGGTATGTTTCCAAGGGCAAGCGAATCGCGCGAAAACGCGCTGTATTCACGCGAGTTTCTCGGTAAACATTTATATTAGTTGAATCTATGTTAGCTGATTCCATCACACTATTCAGGCTCTTTTCTCAGGTCCAATCAAGGCGCTATAAGCTCTCCACGTGCCTGATAAAAATTTCCACTCACTAATTGATTTATAGCCGCCAAGTGCCCTGGTTAATTACTAATCAGAGAGAATAAAACAAATCAAAACCGAACACTGCTAAACGGGGGGGTGTTAAGTCTCTACGGTGTTTCAGTGCATTGCTAAGCCCAGTTTTGGCCTCGCTTTAAAAAAAGACATCACGTAGATTAGCTAAAGATCAGCATGGAAAGGGGGCTCACCAGGGTAGGTGAAATGAAAATGGGCAACTGGCTGAAAATGCATTTATCCTTCGGGTCGTGAGCCATATGCATTTAGGGAATGCCGGCTATAATGTGCTAGGGCTTATTTGGGTAATTAGAGCAAATAATATAGGTCTATGCGGATTGCGATTTGCTCTCGAGCCAATCCTGGCTCTGCACCCTCCAATAACCGCTGATGTAGTAGGATCTGCAAAGGGCACAAAATATGATTTTCACGTACAATTTTCACTCTTACTATTCCTTTATCAGGCTATCCATGCAGATCTAGTGGGGGGTGCCCTCAATACTAATCCTCCTGCAGCTGCGGACTATGGAAAGTAGCACTCACTGGTTGAGGCTGAGTGAAATGACCTGTGTATCATCGAAACCATACCATAATCGTGAAGACTTTATAATTTTTCATATACAACTCGAGGCTAGCCTCGATATTTCAGCGCAAGACTCTTTTGACATGTCAGATACCTTGTCGGTTAGGCACCCTTGTCATGCAGATAGGAATCAAAATCTGACCATTTCTGTCAACATGCACGAAAAACAAGTGTGAATGTGCTCTTTTTCCCAGGATTCACTATATTTGAGTCCTTGACTTTCGATTAACTTTTTATCTATGGCTCAAAAAGTTCTGTTTGAGCACGGCACGCGTCACATGACAACTTTTTCGGCTATTAGTGGGGATAATAACCGTCCATGCACGGTGACCCAGAGCGAATTTTTTTGTCGCTAGGGTAAATGCCTCGGAACAGGCCAATTGAAATAAATTCAAGTGTGAACACACACAGCTATCCAAAATTATAGCCTATCTACTCTCAGAAATACTTTATCATAACAAGGTAGGAACACTTCGGGACCGTCCTGTCATGGCTGAAGCCCTGACCTCCCCAACACTATACGCCTAGATTACTTCCAAAGGATCGGCAGAGCGCTAAGCCTGTTTTAATTTTAGCTCCGGAACGGGATGGGACCCACTCTCAGGCATTCTCTGTTATTCCAAAGAATTACTGCAGGTGCACTCCTCACTCCTTTTGTTCTCTCTTGTTTCCGTTCTCACCGTCCATGCAATGGCGCCAATGCATGTGGTGAATCGAACCCTTGATGAATAATTGCATCAAGCGGAGCGGCGCCAGCTGCACCAGCTGCGCCAGCATAGACCCACACATATTCTGCATAAGCACTGTAGTTTTCCGCATGATGGCCTAAAGACCAAGTTGAGGATCCAGAAATCGTCTAACGCTGGGGGAAGAATCGGATGTTTGGAACAGGAACTATGCTCTAGCCAGCACCGCACCGTGGGCTTATCCTGCACCACTATGTGGTTCTGGATCGGGCGATGTTTACCCACCGTACGATGCATATTCCTAATATATGCATATCTCTTTGCCAAGACGTAACGGTTCCTTTGTCCATTCCAAGAGAAGAAGCTGTATAGTTGAACGGTGCATCAACTGGGCCACTGGATCCAAATTCATGAAGAAAGGTTCTCTATTTAAAAAAATAATTATGTTGCGTGAATTGTTGACTCAAGCGAGCTCAACACTCCCCAACAGAAGAAATACAATGTGATATATAGTTACGAATCGTCAGTGACCAATATTTGATCCGCTGTGGGCTCGAGCTTGCCTACTTCGATTCGTATGCAAGTGCAAGCTCGATAATAGTGAGCGAAAGCGCATCAGCCTTTGAGCGAGACTCGAGAAGAGCATTGCACACCCGAGGACGGTTCAAAGGAGATGCCGCCGACAACACACCCACGAGGAGCATAGACTCTGCAATACCGGCCTCTGGCTGCTGCGATAATTCACAAATATAATCAATTTGGGTGGCAGAAAGACTAAGTCCTTGCGCCATTTCCACCAGCAACGGCCAAAGGTCGGCAGCTTGCACAGGGCTCTTAGCGCGCTCCACATGATCGATTTGCATTGGAGATCGCAGCTGTGCTGCCGGAAGAGCATAAATTAAACGGTTTAAAACCTGCAAACGAGGAACAAGTTGCTCATCTAAGGGTGACACCGCCAGCGTCTTAGATCCAGCCAGAGTGAAAGTGTCATACACTGCTCGAAGAAGACGATAGTTTTCGGCGACGCGAAGCTTATCCAGAGACCCGCTGACAATATCGAGTACATCCAGAGACTCGAAATCGTAGTAAGGAAGAACAATAGCCATAAATAGTCTCATTACTTCAAGTTCTCCTGCCAATCTTGTCTCACGAGGGTGCATGCTTTCACCACGTTCAAACTGTGCGAGTACTTCGTTTGTAATGTTTGTGAAGCGCTGTACGCCAAAAAGTTTATCGAGCTGGGGGGCAGCATGTTCGGCGAAAATTTTTGCTACCTCGCTCCACTCTGTGACCTTGGTAATCTCTTTGTCGGCGCCATCAGCGGCGCCCTTGATGCTGTGTCTCTGACAGAAATCCCGTCGTTGAGCTCTTATATTAATGGTTCTGGATCCCTTACCGACGCCAAACACTGGATCATACCCCAAGCAAATACGGTCTGACTTGGAACAGTTTTTGCACACAGGGTACTTTTCGTCACACTTGATGCGGCGTTTTCTGCAGGTCAGACAGCCGGTTTTTGTCCTTCTTTTGATTTCCTGTGTGAACGGCTGTGATTGCGACACATTGGTCGGTGCCCACATATACGCGCGTTGACCATTTGCTACAGCTGCGGCTGCGCTCAGGTAAGGATGGTTTTGAGCCATCGCCTGATCAGCTGGGAAGCGGTTGACCGAGGCACCTCGCATGATGGGTGGAACATTCATTTGCATTCCCATGACCGGCATGGTCATACTACCGGGGTGAATACCTGCAGTAGGAGGCCCCGTGGGAGCCATCATGCCTGGAACATGGATCATCGCGGGTACTGTAGGGCCCATAGGCTGGGTTGGGTTGATGCTTTGAGGAATAGGCATCTGTGGTATCATTCCCGGTGCTTTATGCAACTGCTGAGGCGTAGAAGAGCTGATTTGTGCTGCGGAAGGGGGCATTCTGGGCACGGCCCCACCCGAGGCCACGAAGTAAGGCTGAGGCTGAGGCTGGGTGGGTGGCTTTGCCGAATAGTTAAGGTTCTGAGGTTCTGATGGATGTCCATTGAGCTGTGTTCCCGAAATAGCTTGAAGTTGTCTGTCGGCAGAAGGCGGGGGCGGAGTTACAACCACCTGCGCCATTGGGGGCTGTTGGTGCAACGGCTTAGCGGGACCAGTGGGACCAGCGGAACCAGCGGAACCAGCGGAACCGTTTTGGGGGGTTGCCGTCGATTGGCGGGATTGGTGATGCAACGAAGGCACCACATTGTGAGCACTATGTGCAGGGACCGTTCCAGGGTAACCCGGATACATCACGGGCACCATCATTGGGGTCCCGGTTGAGTGCGGGTTCGAAAACATTGAGGAATGTGGGTAGCTCATACTCCGCATCGTCACAGGATTCTCAACTACTTGTACTGGTTTGGATCCCGTGGGAGCACTCTGCCGCCGAAAATCAAGCACGATTTGATCCTGGGGTAGCAGAGAGGTGATGGAGGGGAGAGTGAACGCCGCGGTCGCTGGCGGGTGGGCGAGCGGGGTTTCGCTGGACGATTGCAAGGGTGCGGTAGGGAAGGGACGGTTTTGCGGTACAGCCATCTTTGCCGCGTCAGTTGTCGGGTTGGTGAGCAAGAAACGTTAAAGGTCGGAGATTAGGAAGTTTCCACTTAAAGCAGAGCACCTGGAATGGCAAAGTGAAAAATCGCTGTCTAGAGATGACAACCGAAAGTTATGCTCTTTAATCACGCTTAAAATATTCTCAGGATTCGTGGTTGCGTGGTAGAAAATTTTTCTTAAACGAAATCCGATGATGGTAGTGTCGACAAAACTAAGTGTAAGCAGCCTGAAGCATGACCACTATCGCCCTCATGCATTCTTCTGTGACATATGCAAGCTCACAGCATGATCAGGCCTCGCGCAGATGCCGCTGATGACGTACCCGATGGCCCACATATGTATTATGCATCGTCTTAAACGCTTCTTGAAGAAGATTATGCTAAGATTTGTTTGCCCTGGCACGAAGCTGGGTTGTATGTGGGGCAAAATGAACGCAAGGAAGCAATTTTAAAGAGATATGAAATACGTAAAGTTATCCATGTAGGCCGCTGATAAATTGGCACCGGCAGGCGTAGCATCACCTGCTACGGAATTCTCCGTTGACGATCGCTGGTATAGAACCGTAGCTTTAATCGAGACCCGAACAGACTACGTTTTTCGGTATCTGGGTGAAAAGGAGTAACACATGTTGCGTATTGGAACAAGACTCGCATGCCTCTGCAGAGTGTATTCCTGATACCCCGCTCCGTATCAGCGCATAGTAAGCATATCCCAAGACACTTTTTTAAGCGACGACCCTGCCCTAACAAGCATATTGTTTCAAATACGCTTTACGGAGTTCCGACAACTGCCATCCAAGCATTAAAACACCGGCTCTGTTTGGGTGCAATATAAATCAATGTGAAATTCCCTCGTTCCAAAGCACCACGTCGATCATATGCGAAAAGGCAACCGCCTACCATGCTGGATGCTTTTCGGCTGCAGATGAAGGAAGCGCGTCGCCTTCTACGAGAGCATCATCGCTTTTTGGCAGCAGACGCAGGCTCCCCTGACCCTTAACTCTGCATGGTTCCGTTTTACTTCCACCAGTCGGGGAGGCTGTAGATCCAAAGATAAAACTCTGCTCGCTATTTAATACGCGTCCTGTTCTGGCTAAATATCATCGCGCACTGCGAATCGCATGTCAACTTTTTCAAAGGGTGGAGAGATCCTTTTTCCTGCCCTCGCCTCGAATGTACATGGCCTTGGAAGGCCGAGCCCTGCAGGGGCGTGAGAAGCTTCCCTTGGCCCCGATATGGAGAAAAGCACGGACACCACAGTGACCTTTTGACTCGAGATTTTTTTGGTGACTCTTCAGATTAGTGAGCCGACTTCGGGCAAGTTTCGCCCACTAATGCTCGACCCCACGGCTATGGATCTTTGATCGTCGTTGATGCATTAAGAATCATTAGGGTACGGTTTCAATTTTTCTAACTAAGCACTGCTTTTCCGGTGGGTTTGGGGTCTGTGCGCCTGCCAGTAATACTGCTATCCTGCGTTCTCAGAAGTTTCAGGTTTATCTGCGGCTCGCTGCCCGTTCAGATCACACGAAACGCTTGTGAACAACCGGGCCCTTGTCTCGATTCATGGGCAAAGAAACTTGCCGTTGAACGCGCGGCTTAATCTCGCGGAGATGGGATTGATGACTGCAATTCGGCCGAAAGTGGGCGAATAATTAACCTTGGTTATGATGCCATGTTGCTCTGCTAAATCATACGATTCGTTGTAGCTCGATCTTCTTCTAGGGCGGGTTGACTCGGCATTCTACAAATCGGAGCATCCTTCTCTCCGAAAAAGCCAAGATGGCTTTAGGACCAAGAGGAGACGTAGCCTGGACTGTTCGGATTCGTTTTAGGAAAAATCAACTCAATTATGTACAACTTTTAAAACCCCCTTTTATAGCGAAGTTAGAGAGGCTAAGCGGCTTGGTTTGGCGTGCCTTCTCGCCTAGATCGGTTGGAAGCCTGAGCAAACCCCTATTTGGGTCAGGCGGATTACCCAGACGCACGAACGTCAGAAAAATAATAACTGAAGAGCAGCAATCTATTCGAACGAAAAACGAGGGACTCATTCGATCGCAAAAGAGCAACCGCCTCAAAGTATAGCCAGGATTGCCATGTGTAGTCTCTTGTCAATTCATAAAAGCTCGCTGCAGCTGCCGATGCAGCAAATGCATGCAACTGAGCATTCCATGTGTAGTCCGCGTGGTGGTCTGATCATTTGGTGGCACCAGCAGATGCGATAGGCAAAGTCTCGCACTTGATAGGGCGTCTCTTGTTCAGCTACGGCGTCTTCTGTTTGCAACCTTGGTATCATACTCTTCGGCCGAAACTCGCTCTGCGGCACTGACAAGGTCGGGTGTAGCACCAGCTCTAACGCCCAGACTCAGGACCTTTTGGGCGAGTGGATAATCTAGGGCTGCTTGGTTCTCCGAAAGCAGCTCTAGAGTCCGTTGAACAAGGGCTGCGACCTCTGGATCTTCCAAATCACTTTCTTGCCAATTGCGAAGAAGGAACATGTAAGTATACTTATTAGGCTGAGTGCGTGGCCGCTTGAGCATAGCGGTCAAAAGCTTGTCCGCAGTCGCACTATCCTTGATCGCCAGTGCACCAGCAATCATCTGGGCGTAGTTAGCTGTGGAGTAGGGGACACCATGTTTAGGCATTAAATCGAAATACAGCTTCGCACGCGAGAAGTCGCCATGCTTGATTTCAGCATCAATCAACGCTCCAAATGTCTCAACACTCAATGGCAATTGTGCATCTTGCATGATGCTGAACATGCGACGAGAAAGCGAGACTGACTCCGTAGATCGAGCAATTCCATGAGCAAGAATAGTATAAAACTGTGCATTTGGTGCGACCTTCCGGGCCTTCATCTCCTGAAGCAACGAATTCACTGCATCAGCAATGGCGACTCCTTTAGTTCGCTGGGCCTCAAATAATGCATGTAGAACCTGTGAATAAGTGACAATGTCGGGCAAGATCTTTGCTGCTGCCATATCATCTAGATAGCGGTGGGCTCGTGCCGAGTCGCGAGCACGCACAGCAGCTGAGATCAATGCGTTGAAAGTTACATTGTTGGGCTTGTAGGCTCCTGATTCCACTGCCTTGGCGATAAGCTCGTCGGCCTCATCAAACCGCTTTGCATTAACCAGGCCAGTGGCAACAATATTCATACCAAAAACCCCCAGCTTCTTAGAGCCTTCAACCTCGTTGTACACCTTTACCGCTTCATCCACGTTGTGCGACCTAATCAATGATTCGAGTCGGACACACCAGCAGTCCTCATCGGGCTCGATACCTGCCTTTTCCATCTCTTTCCACAGCTGATCTACCATTTCCTTACCGTTAGGTTTAGACATGGACCCAGCCCGAAGCAGAGCACGCCAACTAACGACAGTAGGCTTTTTGTTCGCGGCAGTGAAGCGCTCAACGAGAGTGTTCCAAGCCTTGAAAGCAGCATCTTGTTGACGAGTCTCTGCAAAGCGTCTAATGAATGCAGCATGTACTTCCTCGGGAAGATCCTGTTGAACAAGAGCTTCCTTGTACAGTGTCTGAGCCTCTTGGAAGTTGGCCTTGGCAATGACTGCGAGGTATTCGGGATTAGAATAATCTGTGGTCGCCCTGCGGAGCTCACTGAGACCCTCGCGAATAATAGCAAGCGTCTGTTTGTCAATGGAAGAAGCTTGGCCCCTAAGGTTGTTCAAGGGAGCTAGAGAGATCGGGACTTGCTTCAGGGGCACGAGTTTGAGAGCTGTGGAAGCGTCGACCGGGATTCCTCGTCGAGAGCAGCTCACAAAGTAGGCAGAAAGAGCGGCAAGAGCACAGGCGCTGATTTGAGGGCTGGAGACAAGCTCCTTGAGGGGAAGATGAGAAACTCTGGCCATAGCCTCCAAAAGCTGGACCCAGACTTCGATGGCTCGTTCGGGCTGGCCAACGCGCAACGCCAAAAGCATAGTCTGAGCAGATGCTGCGAGGTTACGTCTTCCAAGTTCGATAAACTTATTCTGCAGGTCACAGAGCACGGGAACAGCAGACTCAAGTTCTTGAGCTTCTAGGCCAGCATAATGGTTGATAACTTTGGTTTGATAAGAGCTGAGCTTCCTGAGAGCATCAGGGGCAAGATCTTTGTACGATAGAGACAGAATAACCTGAGTAGCTCCCGAGTAGTCATTTTTATTGAGCAGATCCTGAACCCGGTTAACGTTGATGGAAGCAGCACTAGACCTTTCGCTTTCCTTTGCGATATCCGGCGTAGCGAGCTTGGCGGTATTTGCCGTGGTTCGCGCGGCTGATCCGACCGAACTAGAGGCAAAACGCACCGGGAACAGTCGACGGCTGAACATTTCGTAGAATGGAAAGTTTCTGGCGTGAGGTAAGCAGAAATATTTCAGTGCCCCGGGTGTATAGATGATCTATAAAAATACATTTAATTTACTCTTCTGAGCTGCGGTAAATACCAATTTCACGTTGCTTGAAATAGCGACGACCCGCGTCGTCAACAAGTACGAACGACAAGTAGGTTCGGACGCTGAATTTTTTGTTAACATCGCGCATGGTGGGAACGAGATCGAAGCCGCTCAAAAACAAACGAATTGGAATTGTTTCACCCTTGACAGGGGCGCCGTCCATTATTTCAAATCGCACAACCGTTTCGGTCTGCGATGTGTTGTTTGGAGGCACTCCTACGCTCTCTTTGCGAATTAGCGACAGCTCCATGTGCTTGAGTTTGAGGCGGACCAGTGTGAAATATATGCGGCCAATAATCACGTCCTTAAGGTGAAAGTTCGACTTTGAGTACTCACACTCGATATGCATGCAATCTTCAATACCAACATCCATCCGAACCATAGCGGTGCCCTCAGGCTCCGGTTTGTACTGGTATACCCATAAGTCCTTTTCGCGAACGATATCGTTCATCCGACGGAACATTGTGACCCGCACAAAGTAGCGCAGCTTCACACTGAGGCCATTGTAGCTCTCAAACTGCTTTTCCACATTTTTGAACTCGAACGTGTATGTTTCCGCGTGGCGAACTTCGCCAGGCGCCGCAAGCTCCCGTGCCCATGAAATGAACTCATTAGGCTGTGATTTGTCTTCCTTGAACTCAATGGCTCCGATAAACTGCACTTTGATGCCTGTGTGCTCCACCTTGCGGCCGTCTCGAGGGCGGATGATCACTGAGCCTTTGACTGTCTCATCTGCGCCGTACAATGGTGCCAGGTGATGCGTATTTTTGTCCTTGTCCTTGGTGTCGATGATCTGGCGCGCTTCCTCGCCATCAAACTTGATTTCTATTTCAACCGGCGCCTGCGAGAAGAAACTCATGATGTCAGCTTTAAGCCGGCGGTGCAAATTAGATGGCCCGTGAGCTGTGCAAAGTGGGAAGCTGGATGTTCAAGCGAAACAAGAGCAGAGCCACAGTAGTAGAGGCAGAAATTCGCAAACCGACTCTCTTGAACAATCAAGCGGTTGGGCTTTATCTGCAGCCACCGATAAGGGTTTGGAAGACAGTTGGGTGCTGGGCAAAAATGTGAATTAACAAATGTATCAAACCAGGAATTTCGCGCCGCAAATGCTTTGGATGTTGTTGAATTTTGTCTTGTCCGTACTGGTGGTGGCCTTTCTTCCGGTTGAGTGCGCACGGGGTACTGCCAAAACCCGAGATGGTGGGAATATTAAACTATCGAATTGTAGGCTATGTATGGGTGAGATTTTTTTTTAGAAGATGCTAGGATAAACAACTCGTGGTTTCGTGAATTTTCTTTGCTCATTTTTATATATTTTGTCTCTAGAGTGGCTTCCTCAATCTTCCCCGCAACTCCTGCATCATGCCCTGTTGCGCATGATCTGATTGATCCAGGGTTATAATAACCAGAACACATTACAACACACGACACACTTTTCACACGCACCAAACATGTTTCGCATTGCACGTGTCGTTCGGGCCAGGGCGTTCTCTAGCTCACGGTATGTCCAGGCATTGAAGCCGTTTCTTTTGGCAGACGTCGGTGAGGGCATCAAAGAGTGCGAGGTCATCCAGTGGATGATCCAGCCCGGTGCCCGTCTTGAGGAGTTTGATCCAGTCTGTGAGCTTCAGAGCGATAAGGCGACTGTTGAAATCACGTCGCGGTTCAGCGGTGTGGTCAAAAAACTCCACTATGATGTTGGAGATATGGCGCAAGTTGGCCAACCTTTGTTGGACATGGAAGTAGCTGACAATACTGTTACTGACGAGCCTGAGCCTGTACAAAATACGCAAGAGCAGGATTCCCTCGCTCCGGCAACTGAGTCCGAGCCCGTAGAGCCCCCACAGCACCCGACATCCGACTTTATTAAAGCCTTGGCAACTCCAGCCGTACGTCGGTTGTGCCGCGAGAACGATATTGACATTACATCTATCAACGGTTCAGGTAAAAGTGGCCGAGTCATGAAGGAGGACGTTCTTGCTTTCCTGGCGGGCGGCTCTTCCGCGGCCACCGGCACGGCAGCCGCGCCTGCTTCAACTTCGATCCCAGAAGTGGCTTCTTTGACGCCCATTAAGGGTGTTGCCAAGCAAATGTTCGGCTCAATGAGTGCATCGACGTCTATTCCTCACTTTTTATTCACAGAAGAAATCGTTATGAACAAACTAATGGCACTACGCAAGCGGGTCAACTCCTCTCTTACAGGCGGCCAAAAGCTTTCTTACATGCCCTTCATGATCAAAGCACTTTCACTGTCCATCAAAACGGCTCCGATCGTCAACAGTCGGTACGTTGAAGATCCTGTCAAGGGACCATGCATCGAGACACGACCGGCGCACAACATTTCAATTGCCATGGACACTCCTCAGGGTCTGGTGGTACCGGTCATCAAAAACGTCGAGCGCAAGAGTGTGATGGAAATCGCCAACGATCTGGTCCGCCTGCAAGAACTTGGTGCCGCAGGAAAGCTCACCAGCGACGATCTCCAGGGCGGAACGATCACCCTGTCCAACATCGGTACTGTCGGTGGAACCTACGTTGCTCCTGTGCTTGTATCCTCCCAGGTTGCCATTGGTGCAGTTGGTGCTATTAAAAAACGTCCAGTCTTTGATGAAAATGATAATATAGTGGCAGCGCATGTCATGATGACCTCCTGGTCGGGTGATCATCGCATCTTAGACGGTGTCACGCTAGCTAAAGCAGTTATGCGATGGAAGCATTACTTAGAACAACCCGAAGATATGCTGCTAGAGCTTGTTTGAGTATTATATAGACGAATATTGTTCGGCTTTGTTTCCCAGGTTTTTTTTCATGCATGATCCTGCAGCCCGATCACTTTGAGCCGTTTAACGCCACAGGCTTACGAGCATTTGCCACAACGCCATTGAACCCAACATGACCACCGACCACTTTAAAGATATTGCCAAAAAATACGATAGCATGCAGGGTGTGGAGATTTCCAACGCTGTATGCAATGCTATTCTCGAGTTCGGCGATTTGGACCCCTCCAAAACCAACGCGCTCGAGCTCGGGTGCGGCACTGGTCTGATGAGCGTTAAGATTGCCCCTCACGTCAAAACTTTGCTCGCAGTTGATGTTTCGGCGTCAATGCTCGAGCTGCTGAACGAAAAAATCCGGGTTGGCGAAGTCCCGAGCAACGTGACCACAAAGGAGATCAACCTGCTGGATAACGCCACGCTGGCGGAATACGCAGGTAAGTTCGACGTGGTCGTGTCGGCGCTGGCTTACCACCACATTTCTGACTTCAAGGGCATGACCGAGGCACTGTTCAAGGTGTTAAAGCCCGGCGGGAAAGTATTCATTGCCGATCTCCTGCAAGGTGGCCGCAGTATTCATGGAAACATGAGTGATGCAGATTGCGAGAAAGCTGGCGTTTCTTCCAAGGGCGGCTTTGCTGCGAAGTTCATGAAAGATCTGTTCACCGACGCAGGCTTTGTTGACTTCCAGTCGCGCGAGACCGTCGCCGAGTCTTGGGGTAGCACTATGCACACCAGGGACCATACTGGTCGCACTGGTGAGGAAAAACAGGTCGATGGCGAGACGCACTATCATACTTTTACTGATATCCTTCTTGCGGTCGGCCAAAAGCCTTTGAATTAAGGTAAGAAAATAGTTAAGTTAACGTACTAGTAGCTATCTAAGATGAATCTGAATCGTCGACGTCTTCAAGCGTCACTGTATACCGGTGTGAGCCACTTGAAACGGAGCTGTCGCTTTCTGCTTCGGCTTCGTTGAGGGTCGCAATGGTATTCTTGAGTTTTTCGAGCAGAGCATCGAGCCGATCGGCCATTCCAACTGCGCGAGCCGTGATGTTGTGCTTCTGCTTGCGATACTCTTTGGGCACCCGGAGATCGTCGAGCTTCAAGTACACTTTGTCGATCTTGGGGTAGTATGACTCGACCAGGGAGATAAACGACTGGGTCTTCTTACGGCCATTGAGGTCGATATTCGATATTCTGTTGACCCGTTCCTCGACTGCATCAAGAAGCGTGGAATATTTGGCAAACGTTTGTTCCAACTCTGCAGATTCGGCCTGATCAGCTTCTTCAACAACCTCAAACGGCTCGGCGGATACTTCGGTTTTGGCATGCTTGGATTTGAGCTCTGCCTGTTCCTCCTTGTGATGGCGTTTCTCCAATTTGCGGGCTTCACGACGGGCCCGCTTCTCCTCCGCCCGAGCCTTTTCTTCGGCCTCTTCCTGCAGGGCGGCCTGGACGGCCTGGGCCTCCTCCAATGCTGCCTGGATAGCTGCATTGCGAATCTCCTCTTCGCGGGCAGCTTCTTCAAGACGGCGGCGTTCAGCTTCTTTTCTCTCGCGTGCCTTTTCTCTCGCAACACGGGCCTTTTCTCTGGCCTGCCCAGCTGCACGCTCTGCAGCCTCCTGCGCCTCTACGAGGGCCTTCAGTTCGCGGAAGGCCTCGAGCACCTCGTCGTCGGAAACGTCAGAAGCAGACAGTCCTAGTTCGGGTGATTTAGGTACTTCGACTGCAGGCTCGTGTACGTCTGGCGAATCGGGGACTTCAACGACCTCCAAGTCGACATCGTCGTCGTCTGGCTGCTCGTTAGCTTGGGTCGCCTCTGCAACATCGTCCTGTTCCGCTTCTGTGTCGGCATCGGACGCATCATCGTTCACATAGTAAACATATGTTCCCCAGGGAGTTACAACGTGTGCACGTTTAGGTTCCTCTGGTTCAGGGGTAGGCTTGCGGTGGCGATAATGGTGGTGATGGTGGTGGCGGCGGCGGTGAGGGCCAGCAGCAGCAAAAGGAGGGCCACGGTGTCTAGCATGGCAGCGGCCTTGGCAATTGCTGCTACCGTCAGTACTGGATGCACTCGCGTGGCAATTGGCTTCAGCAAAACCAGGGCCGTGACCACGGTGAGACCGGCGGTGAGGAGGCTCCTGGAATACGAATGCATCGCCAAAGTCGAATGGATTCATTGTGTATACTGCGTGGCGTCCGCGCATGGGACCACGACTGTGGAATGGATAGGTTGGTTCACTGAATACACCAAACATTGATTGCGTTGGTTTATCTACATTCGCCTCCCTGGGAGGTTATATATGGCTAGCTGCATGGACCTGCAGCATGTACTGGAACCTCCTCGAATTCGCCCGAGCTTCTATTTACAGTCCGATCACAAAACGGCTGTCCAGGCGTGTTTTGGTTCCAGTTTGCGCGAGTTTAAGTGTGCATTGTATAGATTCGATCTGATTTGGTCCTTTTGGGTCAATCTTGGTTTTGAATCAAGAATGTTCCGTACGCAAGTTGATCTAGTGTCTTACCCCAGTCCCAAATTGGTAATAATAAATAAGTTAGCTGAGAAGAGCTACGATTCTATCTAGTACAGGATTGGGGTGCTGGCAAATATCTTCGTATAAATTAACCAACGGGACGGTCCGCTGAGCAGACGGCGCTGCAGCGTCCACGAATCCGGCCTCATCTTCGTTGTTGTCGCTATCGAGATCGTTCACATCAACAAGCATGGCTGGCTCAGGTAACGAACGCAAATGGCCCTTGTCGACCACAATACTGCCTGTTTTGATATCAATGATATCACACGGTTCTGTGAGCGCCGATTCGTAGCGTGACAGAAGGCTGTCCAGTTGACGCCCTTGTCGCTTGGCATAGAATTTAATCAACCCAATATTCCCGTCTATAACATCGTCCGCATCAACCGACTCTGCATCCGAGCTGCCACTTTCGCCACCAGCCCTTGAATTCTGCTTCTCTGCCAGCGCATCTAGCTCGTCCAAATCGACCATTTTGGCGATACTCCGTGGGCAGAAAGTAAGCTTACATGTTCCGGATCCTGAGACCTGGGACCCTGGGCCAGGCGGGGCCTTGGCTGGCGTGGAATCGCCAATTTAGCACAAGCTGTATAAGACTAGCACCAAAGTTAGTACCGGGACAGGTTCGAGACAAGGTATGGACGCTGCCAAACGCCTTAACTGTGTCGCGACTGGTTGCTGCGCCTGCAGTCGGATATTTGATTTTGCACAACCAAACAACTGCCGCTCTCGGGGTTTTTACCTACTGCTGTGCTACCGATTTTCTCGATGGCTGGATCGCCCGTAAGTGGAACCAAAAGTCCGTCGTGGGCTCCATCATCGACCCTGCAGCCGATAAGCTTCTCATGGTAACTCTGGCGTCCTGTATGGTAGCTGCCGGTCAAATACCGGTGTGGTGTGGGGCTATGATACTTGGTCGGGATATTTACCTGGGAATTGCTGCGTTTTACCTCCGGTATATCTCACTGCCGCCTCCAAAAACGTTCGCCCGTTACTGGGACATGTCCCTCCCGTCTGTTCAGGTGTACCCATCCCAATTGTCCAAGTGGAACACATTTTTCCAGATGGTTTACCTCGGATTAGCGGTCGCCGCACCTGTTTTTACTCTTCCGGCTACAGCAATGAATACGTTTGCTGGCCTTGTTACTGTTACGACCGGGTTGTCGTGGATCGACTACATTATAAACAGACCGTTTAAATTCATCAAGGGAACTAAAAAGAACAATATATATAAGTAGCATTAATGCATCATTTAACAGAACGACCGTTGCATCCCGCTTACACAACACAATGTCAGATATCAACCTGGACGAAATTCGAGACACCTTGGTTGAGATTGCCCGTACAGCAGGCAAAATCATTCTTGAGCGAAGCGGCCGAGTGACATTCGACGACAAGAAGAATGCAGTCGATCTGGTGACAGAGGTAGACAAGGCCGTTGAAGTTCTTGTTTCCGACACTCTGCGGTCCAAGTATCCCCAGTTCGAGTTCATGGGAGAAGAGTCGTACGTTCCTGGTGAAACTCAATTGACGGACGCCCCTACTTTCATCGTCGACCCAATTGATGGTACAACTAACTTCATTCACTTTTTCCCGCAGGCCTGTATTTCCCTGGGCTTTGCTGTCGAACGTAAACCTGTGGTGGGGGTCGTTTTCAACCCTTTCTTGAACCAAATGTTCACCGGAGTGGCCGGAAAAGGATCGTTCTTGAACGACGAGAAACTGCCCTTGCGTAAAGCTAGTAAACTATCACTGCAGGGTTCTTTGTGCGCTATCGAATGGGGAACGGATCGCGATAACGACAATTACGAGATCAAGGTCCGTGCATTCGAGTCACTAGCTCGAGGACTTTCCCAGGGTGGTGGATTTGTTCACGGCTTCCGCAGTCTCGGATCGGCGGCCCTCAATATGAGCAACGTCGCTGCCGGCACCTTGGACTCCTACTGGGAAGGTGGCTGCTATGCGTGGGATGTCTGCGCAGGCTGGGTCATTTTGTCCGAGGCTGGTGGAAAAGTTGTTGGCGGAAACCCTGGACAGTGGGAAACTCCAATCGATGGCCGAGTTTATCTGGCCGTTAGAGGAGCCGATGCACGGGAGCAGAAAAAGTACATTGAAGACTACTGGAGTCATATTAAGGGCAAATTGGTCTATAAACACTAGTAAAGTTAAATACTCATGCGAATGCAACTTCTTTTGGCAGCTGAAAAGAAATACAGTACATTTCTTTGGTCGGAGCGACCTTGCGAACGTCGTGAAACTTCATATTTTCTCGATGGACTGTGAATCCCAGAGCACGAGAACAGCGTTCAGCCAGATCAGATTCAACAACTTCAATAGGCGGCTCCTTCTCCAAAGGGGAATGCTTGTGGAAACAGTGCACATGTATCGTAGGTAGCGGGAAGTCCTTGGCCTCCTCGATACCGGTATAGAGTCCCCTGAAAGCATCCAAAAACTCAATTGCACTATCAGGAAGATTCATAACAAAGTGGCTGAAATATTTTGGGACCTCGATGTCCGGCTGAGGCGGGGATGCCGACTTTGATCTGGACACCTTCTTTCGCGGAGGAGTCAGGGTGGGATATTTTGCTTGGAACTCGAGCAACCGCTTGGTGGACCCACGAATAAATTCACGAGCATCAATGTTGAAAGGATGTACAAATTGACCGACCTTGTTAATGTTGACGTTGTTCACCATTGCCTCATAGCTGAATGGGTTCAAATCGCTTGCAAAAACCAAAACGTTCTTTTTGCCTGCAGGCACTGCGAACGGACCGACGCCAGCAAACGGATCGCATACTGACTGTCCGGGCTCGAATAGCGAAACAAGTCGGTCATGCTCTGTGTGAAGACGCGAGTTCCAATACACTTTACGAAAGTCGAACCTGAATCTACAATTGGACTCCAGTTGCTCCACTTCAAAATTGCCATCTTCTCCAGCAATGACTTCCATATCGAACGTCCGATAGACACTGTGGATTGAGTCCAGCTTGTTCACCACGGTTTTGATCGACGGGTTCTTGTCCAAGATCACCTGCCCGATAACATGCTTGTAAGGTAGATATTGATCCCTGAGATTCATATGGGCAATATGACCCACCACAGTGAACCCAGTAGGAACATCTGCTAGCTCAGACGGTAAAATAGACCGCAAAATCTCCTCGGTGGACCAGTAATTGTAGTCGAGCTCCAAGGTGTAGGGCGAGACTTCTGAATCGCCGAGCATTTCCCGCGCTGTTTCGCTAAGCATCGCCTTGGATTTGATGTCAGGATTGAGAAGAATACCGCGATCTTGCTCTGTGATCTTGATAACCCGCGAAATACCCCGCGTATCTAACAAATCACTCGGGCACTCTTTACCCAGTCTTCCAATTAAACTAGGGTGCTGGAGCTTGGCCATCATCAGAGGCACACTTGCACCAAATTTAGTCCTGTCGAGGACAACCATTCCTCGGTTCGAAGGAGGTTTAGCTAGCATAATCTTTCTCCACACGTTGATTTTTGAAAAATTGGCAGTGTATTTTTTCAGCCCAGAAATCACTTTGTCATCCACCTTAATGAGCAGCTCGGACAGTGAAAATGAAAGCGATGTCGAGATGATCCTGGAAAAGGCCGGGCTTGTAACGCCGGGAGAGATGATCACAGACGACACTATTTGGATGCGGGGCCATGGGACCTATGCCGCCGATAATGTGACCTACTCTGCCGTGGCCGGAACTATAGAGCGAGTTAACAAGCTTTTGAGCGTGAGACCGTTAAGAGGACGATATATCCCTGTAATTGGAGACCACGTTGTTGGAAGAATCACAGAGGTTGGAAACAGAAGATGGAAAGTAGATATTGGCGCATCCCAGGACGCAGTACTGATGCTGGGATCTGTCAACTTGCCTGGAGGTATTTTACGACGAAAAAGCGACGACGATGAGCTGCAAATGCGAGAGTTTCTGAAAGAGGGCGATTTACTGAATGCAGAAATCCAAACTCTTTATGCTGATGGCGCGGCTGCCCTGCACACACGCTCTTTACGTTACGGAAAGCTGCGAAATGGTCTGTTTGTCCAAGTTCCGGCCTCGCTAGTCTTGCGTCTGAGAACACAAGTATACAGGCTAGAGGGTGGAATCGAAATGATCCTCGGAATCAACGGATACATTTGGATTCGAAAAGCCACCTCCACCAACGCCAATGCCGCGCCTATGGATGTTTCAATCAACCGCCTGGAGCAGGAAAGTAACTCCATGGAGATCTACAAAGACGAAAACGACCCGATCCCTCCATCCACTCGTCAAACGATCTCGCGATATGCCAACTGTATCCAGGCGCTAGTTTACAACGAGGTCGGTATCAACGAGGCTCGGCTGCGGGCGGTCTACGAGGCATCGGTGGTTTATACAGACGCCGGAGAACTTTTGGACAATACTGTGAAAACGGATATTGTCAAACAGGCGATGGCAACGTTGTGATATGTACATGTAGTCTACTTAAGATCTTTGGGCACCTTGAGGACGTAGAAAAAGATCGTTCCAAAATGGAACCTGGTTTCCTTCTCGACCTCGAGTCCGGAATCTGCTACGATTTTGCCAATATCCAGATTCCAGCGGCATCCCCATTCTTCAGCACGGGAGGCGGCTTGGCGGTCCATTCGTTCGTTCATACTCTCAAAGTAGCCTCGTCCATGTTCCAGCAGAACAATCCGCCCTCCAGGCCTGACAAGCTTTTTCATGTTGTCGAGGGCCTTATTGGGGTCCTCGTGGGAACATAGGCCGAAGGACTCGTAGACCGTGTCAAATTTTTGATGAGATTTGGCCGTCAGGTCGACAAGATTCTCTGCTCTGCCCTGCACAAACTGAACATTTTCGAAATTGGCAAACTTCTGGGCGAACTTCTCCTGCGTGACCTCAAGCATTGGCAAGGAGCTGTCCAAAAAGGTAATACTGCTGACCTTCTTTGGGTTCAGGTACTTGAGATTTCGTCCAGTCCCACAAGACACCTCGAGTGCATCACCCTTGACATACTTCATGAGCTTGCGGCGCATATACCAGATGTACGAGGTGATTTCTTCGAGCCAAATCTTATCGTCATACTCTCGGGCTAACCGGTTATATACAGGAGTGGTATCGTGGCCCTCAATAACCTTGATTTCGGCTGCGTCGATGATGTTACCCTCGGAATCAACTTTCTTGTAGGGGTTTTCGTCGCCAGTAGCCTTGTATTTTGTATCGCTGAGATAACGGAACCCAGCTATGCCGCTTAAAAAGTATAAAGTAAACAGCGAGATTGCTAATATCTTGCGCTTTTTCGGATCACTGTTGATGTCTTTCAGGAGCTGCGACACTGAGAACGACGACTTTGGCTTTTGTCTGAGCATCTGACTTGTTGCAAACCCCCTGGGTTGCACAAAATTTCGCGGCCGAGCATTTAAGGCCCAAAACTGGCCGAACCTGACTGCGAAACTTGCTCCACTACGTCCAAATATCCTGAACATGACCAAACAGGACAGGTGATGATTAAGCAGACAGGTTTATTTTTTCGTGTCCCAAGAAATATTGTTCCTCATTAACATGTCTGAACAACAGGAACAACAAGAGCAGCAAGACAGCCGCCTTTTTGTGCGCCCACTGGCCATGAGTGTTAGAACAGCCGACGTCGAGGATCTCTTTGGAGCTTACGGTGAGCTTGCTGACGTCAAGCTGATGCGTGGATACGGTTTTGTCGAATTTAAGAAAGCTGAGGATGCAAACAAAGCTATGAGCGAGCTGCATGGTCGCGAGTTCGAGGGCGACCAGCTGGTTGTCGAAATTTCTAAAAAGCGTCGTCCCCGGGAAGACCGCCCTCCCCGGGAGCCCCGGGAGCCCCGGGAGCCCCGCCTCAAGGCAACCCACCGTTTGCGAGTTCAGAACCTTGCACAGGGCGTCTCTTGGCAAGATCTTAAGGACTTTGTGCGCCAGGCTGATGTGCAGGTTGCTTTCACCGATGTTTCGCGATCGGGCGATGGCACCGGTATCGTTGATTTCGCTTCCCAGGAAGAGATGGATAAAGTCGTTTCGGAATTGAACGACCGGGACTTTAAGGGGTCCAATGTTAAATTCGAGGTTGACCCCGAAGGACCCCCTGAGTATGCACCCCGTCGTGAGCGTCCCCGCTTCGAGAACCGCGGCGGCCGCTTTGGCCGTGACCGTTACGAGGACCGTGGATATAACCGTGACCGTGGATATGACCGCGACCGTGGATATGAGCGTCGTGATCGTTACGAGGACCGGGGTTATGGCCGTGACCGCCGTGATGACCGTGGCGGCCGCTACGATCGCTACCCTCGTGACCGCGATGGTGTCCGCGATGGTGCCCGCGATGGTGCCCGCGATGGTGCCCGCGATGGTGGACGGGACCGCTACTACGATCGCTACAACCGCCGTGACCGCTACGACCGTGATCGTTCGCGTTCTCCGAACCGTTACGAGGGCTCTCCTCGCTACGAGCGCAACCGCTCAGCTTCCCCCAAGCGTCAGAGCCGTGACGGTGACGACAACGTCCGAGTGCCCGATTCGCCGCCTAATGGCGCTGGCGAGGAACCTTCCTGGTAAACGAGACGCACGCACACGCACGTGCACCCCCCCCCGTAACAAAGTATTGATTAAGGAAAACCGAGAATTGTGTACCGAGTGTCCTGTTCCGTCTCCCCCACCCGTCGACTAATTAGGTGCGACCAAGCGTAAGGGAGTTTAATTGTATGAATAATTATTTGCGTTGTTTCTTTTTATCTTTACGGCGTAGGCCAGCCATGCCGGATTTCAAAGCATCGGTGTAGTTCTGCCAGAACTGATCGAGATCTTTGGGCGAAACGATGGTCGAGATCTTGACTCGTTTAGCTTTTGTCTTGGCTCCGTCAGTTGCCCGGAACAACAAGGGGTACGGCGCGTCCGTGGCATCTATAACGGTGTCCGGGCCTGTCTTTATGAGACGCTTCTGTTCTAGGTACACAGATCCTTGCTCGCTGCTTGTTTTCAGCAGCACTGCCAGTGTTGACAGAAACCGTTCATTGTCGAGTCGTTTTTGCATGGTGACTAAGAAACCAAGCTGGGGATGGCGGATCATTCTTGTACCTCTCGCGAAGGCACTGCGTTGCAGCAAAGACCAAGCAAAATTCTAATCTTATTTATTGACCTATTTTATTCCACGCGTTTTTTCGTTACGTCCCTTTCGTCCTGCTCGTTCGTCGCGCCCCAAACGAGACGAATCGCCACTTTGACGCTTCCTCCTGCCCGTCAAAGGCTCCATATGCCCTATTTTCCAGCGCCAGAGAACCCCCCGGAGTGAACATGTGTTTCTTAGCTAATCCCCGTCCGCATGGATTAAACCGTGCGAGGTGCAAACCATGGTGTAGGGAGCTTACTGGCAAGACCTAAGACGTAGACACTATCAAATATAGTACCACTCTACGCATCTACGACTTGCAACTCACTGTACATCCATAATCTCTCAATTCCAACTTCTATCACCAGCATATAGCGGAGCTGGTTGTTCCGAGCAGCTCTTAGCTAACCCCACCGTATGCAGCCCCGCCTGCTGGGCGAGGGCTAGAAATATCATATCTAAGTCCCGTCGTATTCGTTTCCTTGGATTATCAAATTATGGTCAGTACGTTGGATCTTTTTGTAGCGGTCGCCGCAGTGGCGTTTGTCGGCTACTTTGTGATCATGAACATCTTTGGCTTTGGTGGTGACGGCGGGCAAGATGCCTTTACTGCCTCTCTGGCCAGTGTGAATAACCCGTCTGGTGATTCCGGCTCCGGCTCGGGAGTTGTTGCCAAGATGCAGAAGGCCAAGAAAAACGTGGTTGTTTTCTATGGTTCTCAGACTGGCACTGCTGAGGATCTCGCGTCTAAATTAGCGAAGGAATTGCATTCTCGTTTCGGCCTTTCGACAATGACAGCTGACCTGGAGGACTACGAGTACGAGGACTTTGACACGTTCCCCGAAGACACTCTTGTCCTCTTCATGATGGCCTCCTATGGTGAGGGTGAACCTACTGATAATGCTGCCAACCTTTGGACTTTTATCATGGAGGACGCTCCCGAGTTTTCCAACGGCGGCGACATGAAACCTCTGGAGTCAATGCACTTTGCTGTTTTTGGCCTCGGAAACTCTACCTACGAGCACTACAACGCTATTGGTCGCCAGCTAGACGCCCGTTTGGAAGCGCTTGGTGCCACGCGTGTTGGCAAGTACGGCGAGGGCGACGACGGTGCTGGCACTATGGAAGAAGATTATCTATCTTGGAAAGAGGAGTTCATGACCACTCTGCGCGAGGAGCGTGGTCTCCAAGAGCGTGATTACGTTTATGAGCCCACAATTGAGCTTGAGGATGTGTATGATCTGAGTGTGGACAGCCCTGATGTCTACCTTGGTGAGCCCAACAAGAACCACTTGGCTGGTATTTCAAAGGCCCCTTTCACTGCTCACAATCCTCTATTGTGCCCGATCAAGGATACTCATGAGCTTTTCAAGGATAACAAGCGTAACTGTGTCCACGTGGAGTTCGATACTTCTGATGAGAACATTCGCTACACCACTGGTGACCACCTGGCTTTCTGGTGTCAGAATGAGTCAATCGAGGTCGACCGTTTCCTCAAAGCATTCGGCTATGAGAACCGTCGTGACGATGTCTTTGTCGTCAAGAAACTCGATTCCACTACTAATGTCCGCTTCCCTTCCCCTACCACTTTTGACACCGTCACCCGGTTCTTCCTGGGCATCAACGGGCCTGTTTCTCGTCAGCTGTTAACCCAGTTGGTTGGCTTTGCTCCTTCCAAAGAAGCTGAGGACGCTGTTCGTAAGTATGGTGCCTCTAAGGATATGTTCCATGAGTCAATTGCTTCCAAAAACTACAACCTGGCCCGCCTCTTGTTAGAGTTGTCTAATGGCAAACCCTGGGACCGAGTGCCCTTCTCGTTCCTAATTGAGAATATCCCTCATCTTCAGCCTCGTTACTACTCGATTTCTTCCTCCAGTGCCGAACAGCCAAACACTGTGTCCATTACCGCTGTTGTTGAGCGCAACCGTGGTCCTGATGCCGATTTTGATTGCCATGGTGTTGCTACTAACAACATCTTTGATATCAAAGAGGCTATGGCTGGTAAGACGACCGGAAACTTCAAACTCGATGGTGCCCGTGGCTCTTACACAAAGGGTGATGCCATCCGTGCTCCTATCCACATCCGCCACTCCAACTTCAAGCTTCCAAGCAAGGCGGGTGCACCTATCATCATGGTTGGTCCTGGTACTGGTGTTGCGCCATTCCGCGGTTTCATTCGCGAGCGTGCGCACCTAGCCAAGTCTGGCAAGGAGATCGGAAAGGCGGTGCTATTCTTCGGCTGCCGTCACTCCAAGGGCGATTTCTTGTACGAGGAAGAGTGGCCGAATTACACCAGCGAGGAGACTGTTGGAAAGATCGACGGGCCATTCACAGAGTCCAACTTCCTTGAGCTTCACACCGCCTTCTCCCGTGATTCCGACAAGAAATATTATGTCCAAGATCGCATGCGTGAAAATTCCAAGCTGGTGAATGAGCTTCTGTTGAAAGGTGCCTACTTCTACGTTTGCGGTGATGCTAGCCGCATGGCCCGCGAGGTACAAACCACTCTGGCTGAGATCATTTCCAAAGAACGTGGCATCGATTTCGACGAGGCTGAGCGCATTGTTAAAAAGATGAAATCTCGCAACCTCCTGCAGGAGGATGTGTGGTAAATCGTATAGATTCGATATGTGTAAGGTTTAATGACTTAGATCAGCCTGTTTGTGACGGTTTGACATGCAGGGATTCCGCGAGGATCTCATTCACAGAACTGAGCTATTGAAATTCAAGGAGACTCTTCTGAAAGATCAACTTAACACTTTTAGATTGCTAGATTCTAGTGTTGCTGATCTCACGGAAAAATATCGTGTAATTTGTAGCGAGACCGTCGAGCCATCAACAGCGCTGCAAGTTGACGAGCTGAGGAAGCAGATAGCAGATCTGGACGTCGAAAAATGTCACTTGAACGATCTGATCCAGCAAAGCGAATCAGGTCTCAATGAGAAAAAGCAAGTTGCGCTCGTCCTAGATCAGCAAAACACAGCCTTGCAAGATCGAATCTCGCAACTAGTTCAAACAAATGAGGCCAAACGAACCTTGCTCGCCACGGCTCGAAATGATTTAGCAAAAAAGCAAAAAGAACTTGCCGAAACCAAGGAAAAACTAGCAGAGCATGAACTGCTAGTACAATCTCTAGCACAGGAAAGAGAAAGAACTGAGCAGGCCTACATTGACCAAATCGAGACGAAAACAAAGGAGCTTTCAGAATTTTACGAGCAGTTATGTAGAGATGGTCAACGACTTGACCAGGCGTTAGCCACATTTAAGAATAATTAGATCTAAGGGGCGCCACCAAACATGCTAATGACAGCAGCGGAATCGTAGGCATCTTGGGGCTCGTGTCGACGACTGACACGATGTTCCACACGCTTTTGTGTTCGTGATCGTGTCTCTTCATCGTTGCGTAACACCTGCCAAGTGGTCAAAAAGTCCAGCATGATGCCGCGCTGCTGCTTATGGGTACGGGCGGTAAGTAAGGTCTCCTCTAGCTCCTCGAAAGCAACAACAGGAGTTTCAGGAAGAAGGCTCTGTAGCTTGGCCAACGGCATGTTACTGTTGGCCCTTAGTAGCATGTAAATTGTAGTCAAAATGGCGCCAGACTCGTAATGACTCTCATGGAGATAAGGGTCAGAGAGAATTCCCAAACAAGCAGGAATGATTTCATCGCAAAAGTATGCAGCAACGTCCTCTCTCTCCAACAGACTGGGTATCAGCAGGTTGCGAACAATGAGACATGTGTTGAAGCAGCATCTTCCGTCTTTGAACAACATGATATGCCGGCAGAGAGATAAAATAGAAAAAAGCATATTGTTGTTAGTAGTACAAAGCTCCCGCAAAGCCTGCTTGCGTTCAGTCTGTTCCGACTTGACACCAACTTGACCGACAAGATCGATCAAAAGCCGGTCCACGATAGCTGTGAGCTGTCGGAGTAGGTGCTCATCCATCATCTCGTCACTAAGATCAGCATCTGACTCGTCTATGCTTTCTCCTTCCATCAGTTGGAACCCATCTTGACTCTGTTTCTCCCACTTTGCTACTAAAACCTGATCAATTGTGCGTAAGAGGGGCGGCATAAAATCAACAAGAAAAGTTGGCATGAACTTGATCGGACAGTTCTTGACAACATTTCGGACCACTAATGAGATCATATGCCGCCAACAGTGGCTGGTGATTCCTGCTGTTTCGCCGGCCAGCGCCCGGAACAACAGTTCTCCCATTCCTTCAATCTCAAACATAGTCTCTTCCAGCTGTGTGATGGACCCCAACGTGAGAAAGGCATACTCTCTAGTATAGCGGACAATATGACCAACACTGTCAGCAAAGTCGCGCAGCGTCTTTGATGCTTCGAGCGTCTGGTTCTCAAATTCGTCCTTGGTTTGCATGGATACACCAACTTGCCAAAACCTTTCTGTGCATGAGACCTTGACAAACTCCTGAACTTCAAGCGGTAAATTTGTCCAATTTGCTGGGTTGTGGTAGGCAAAAATCTGGTAAATAAGTTGCAAAATGTGAGGCAAAATCGGCTGAACTCGTGGCTTCCACATGCTGAGCAAGTGTAAATATTCAGGAGATGTGCGTTCCAGACGTTCGATGGAATACTGAATAAAAATACGCGTGGGGCGGATGGGGAAAATAGCTTGCCACTTGCTCTTCAGTTCGAGTTTCAAAGCTCGGCCGGCATCGTCCATGGGCGCTTCCAGCAACTTGGGACCAAACAAGCCGCGCGATTTGAAGTACTCAGCAATCCTGACAACACCAACACGTTCCATAAACCATTCAAGATCCATCAGGCCCTGCATGGTAGACTCGTCAGTCCAGGATTGGAGAACTGGATCAACAATGAGTTGGAACTTCTCGCTCTTGTTGGGTAAGGATGATCTCTGTGAAACGACAAGTAAAAAGGATTTGAAGCTGACACTCTCGTGTTCTCTGACTTTTCCACTGCCCAGCAAGTTTGAGATAACATTTTCCAAGTCATCGTAGACTTGCATCAGGGACTCAGGGACCATATAAGCCAAACGGTTCAGCTCGGTTCCTGAAGAGTTACGGAGCTCCTTGACCCGTTCACGCTCTTCATCATGCTCTCCATCTTCAGGGGGATATTCATAAGTGCAAGCTTTCAGAACTCGTTCAAGAATGGAAAACATGACTTTGTTTTCACTCTTGAGCAGAGGAGCGAACTGGACCAAACATTCGATAATGCGGGCATGCATAGTGGTATCACGGACTTCTAGATGAAGCATTTGCTCGTTCCACTCGAGAAGCATTGCCATGACTTGCTTTTCATCTTTCTCACGCTCTTCGGCAGGTCTCCAAATTTCCCAGCGAGACACACCACGCAATGCGGATTCCACAATGGCAAGCTGACCACAGCCGAGGATAAATGCAGGCTCATTTGGTCCTAGAGGCGTTTTGTTCATAACCTGCCAGCCTTCTTGAGTCTGGAAGAACCCAGTCATACCTTCGTGTAACCAGGTAAGAGCCTCGAGAGGTTTATGGCAGACAATAAGTCTAATAACATCCTCCATGTAACGTCTGTAAGAGCCGAAAAATTGTTGGGCCTCGGGGCTGGAATCAAAGTCTATTGCCATGTACAGATGTGAGAGATGTGTTTCAGGCATATTTTCATATCTGATACAGCGTTCAGATGCAACTTTTAAGAGATCGGGCAAGAATTTCTCGACTTTGTACTTCCCTAGTATCTCATCATGGCGAAGGATCGAACACCAAAATTGAAGTGAGATACCACTAGCCATCAAGCTTGGGTGCTGGCTGATTTTCAGCAAAAGTCCGAAGTAGCCGTCGGAATCAATGTCGGTTTCAAGGGGGAATTTTGGTGAATCGAGGTAATCCCCGAGCCCGACAATCATTTCAATGAGCTTTTTGGAGAAGACGTATTCGTCTTCCTCGGATGGGTCCATGGAGAGCTTGTAATAAACGCCAGCCAGCCACTGGATACCTTCTGGTTTCATGACCTCACCGATAATTGAATTAAAATCTTGACGTTGATTATAATTGCGAGTAAATAGCACGTGCAAGTTGTCGCAGGCAAGAATACGAACGCGGAGGTTAGGGTGTTTCATCGCGGCAGTGAGGGTCGGCAAGAGGTCGGTTGTTCGGATACTGCGAGCACACACCCAGTAGAGACAAGATTTTAGAGTTTCGAGGGCCTTTACTAAGTAGCGTGAAGATTCAGAATCTTGGACTTCAAAACAGTCTTTGACCATCTTCACCCATTTGGGGAGCCAGCCTTCGTCGTCAACCCGAATCCGTTGCAGAGAGGGCGAACGGGCATCGTATATAGCTCGCAGATCAGCCACCGGGGTTACAATTTCAATACATTGTGCACTGAGAATGCCACTGCGCTTCGCTGCCACCGGGTCATCCAGCAAATAGAGGTCCTCAAACAAAGTGCGAAGGATGCTAAGGGAAAGCTCGCGGCCGGCCGACGAGAGGTTCCAGAGATTCAAGAGTGAGGCATCCATGTCTATCCATCCATCAGCGGGTGCCACATCGTCTGATCGGGTATCAGTCCGAGTATCGAGTCCCCAAACACGTTTGGCAATGGAGACCCACAAATATGCTAGCTTCTCGCGGACGTAGTATGGGTCGGAATCCTGGACCTGCATTGCCAGCTGGACAACCCACGTGCGCAAGGTCAAACGCTTTTCTTCGGTAAAGCTTGTGAGTTGATATTGGATAGCGTTCTGTAGCAGCCCTAGGCCAAAGTGCCTGAGAATTCCTGTTTTGTCCGGAGCAGCTAATGACCACCCAATCCATGCACTATCCTCCCGCTGCTTGAGAGATTCCAGCATTTCTTGTGCTTTACGACGCTCATCAGATGACGTGCTCGCACTGTGAACTGACTCCAGGGCGTTCGCAATTTGTGCTAAGCTCTGATTGTCCATCGGAGGCCAAAGGTCGTGAAGGTGAGGATGACGGGTGCTGCGTCCAAACGGCAGATTACTACTCCAGCGGGTTTGGGACGAGCCGGTTTGTTTTTTTTTCGTGGCCAACGCCTTACGCCTTACTACCCTCCGATTAGCACCCCACCGTTGGGAGGATATTAACTAGTGCTTATATTTTTCATAATTCTGGACTCGTGAACCATGGATCGATTCGTGGTAAGAGATGTCATTGAGATTCCCAAATTGGGTCTCAAGGCCTCTCGACTTCAAGACAAACTGACAAAGTTAGTGCACTTGCACGTCGAGCGCCCGGATCGCAATTCCGTGTTTGCCCTTGGCTTCAAGACGGACGCCCCAGACCATACAGGTGTGCCACATATCCTCGAGCACACGGCACTTTGCGGATCACAGAAGTTCCCGGTGCGTGACCCTTTTTTCAAAATGCAGACCCGGTCGCTTGCCAATTACATGAACGCTTTGACCGGTACCGACTACACGTACTATCCTTTTGCAACCACCAACAAGGCCGATTTCCAGAACCTCCAGCAGGTTTATATGGACAGTGTTTTCTCACCGTTGCTTCGTGAGCAGGATTTCCTCCAAGAAGGGTGGCGATTGGAGCCTGCAGACCTCTCGGACCCGGATTCCCCGCTGACCTTCAAGGGTGTGGTGTACAATGAAATGAAGGGCCAAATGTCGATGCCCGCGTACTACTTCTACATGACCTACTTCCTTGCGATTTATCCTTCCTTGCAGTACTCTGGTGGTGATCCTGCGTTTATTCCAGACCTCAAATACGAAAATCTGGTCAAGTTCCATCACGAAAAATACCACCCCGATAACTGCTTCACATTCAGTTATGGTGACTTTGGGCCTGAGGAAGCTGTTGAACAGCTTTCCAAGTACCTGGAACAAGTCAAGCCTGGTCAAGGTATCAAACCGGCGTTGTCTCAACAGCAACCGGAACCTGTGCTTTTGGATAAACCCATCAAAGTCGTTGCAAAGGGACCTGTGGATCCTATGTTCGATGCCAACAAACAGCACAAAGCTTCCTTGACTTGGTATGTCGGTGAAACAGATGACTTCGTCCATTCGCTTTCCTGGAGAATTCTTGGTACCCTTTTGACAGATGGCCATGCTTCTCCATTCTACCAGAGCCTGATTGACGCAGGAATTGGCCCAGAATTTTCTGTAAATACCGGTATTGAGGAGACTCCTGCCAAGATTATGTTCACCATCGGTTTACAGGGACTGTCTGAGGACAAGATCGAAGTGTTCAAAAAGGTTGTGTACGAGACTTTGAATGATATCATTTCTAAAGGATTTGCTCAACATCGCCTCGATGCTATTTTGCACCAGGTCGAGCTGTCTAACCGAGAGATCGATGCGAACTATGGTATGTCTCTTCTTCACCGTGTTGTCGCTCGGGCATTCCACCCTAACGATGACATGATGGAGACTATGGACACTGAAAAGCTGATTGCAGAGTTCAAGTCTCGTCTAGCTAGTAGGCCAGACTTTTTCCAATCTGAGCTTGCCAAGATGAAGGCAGCCCCGCATTTCGAGTTCATTATGGAGCCAGACACTGAGTTCGAGGCCAACCGCCAAGCTAATGAGGAAACTCGTTTGAAGGAAAAGGTGGCTAGTTTGACCGAGGAGGACAAAGCCACTATTCGGAATCAGGCCTTGGACCTTGCGCAGGCTCAGGGTGAACCTCAAAATGTCGAAGTCTTGCCTACCGTTGGCATCACAGACATTTCCCCAAAGGCTACAAAGTATCCTGTTGCTAAGTCTACCATTGGTACCACCCCATTGTACACTCGTGAGACACCGACTCAAGGTCTGAGCTATGTCCGCTTGTTTAAGGACCTTGGGTTAATCAACAAAGATCTGATGCCCTATATGCCCATTTATTCCGCTGCCCTCACTGGTGTTGGCACTGAAAAGCATACCATGGCTGAGCTAGAGGATTTGATCAAGCTGCACACTGGCGGAATCGGTGCCTCTGCCACTTCTGTTCATAGACTTGGTGAGAATATCGGCGTTGGCTTGTCTATGGGTGCTAGTGGCTTGGACTCGAAGCTCGAACAGATTTACGAGCTTTTGACAGAGGTTATCACCACACCTCTATTGGGCAATGTTTCCAAACTCAAATCGATCCTCGATGCAAGTGCTGGTAGCATTATGGATTCTATGTCTCAATCTGGTCATCGTTATGCCGTTAATGCGGCCACTGCCGGAGTTTCAGCTCGTAAAGCACTTGACGAGCGACTGGGCGGCATCTCATATGTCAAACTGCTGAAGGGCCTCGCCTCAATGAGTGAGGAGCAGCTTCGTGACAATCTTGTGCCCAAACTTGAGACTATTCATTCTGCTTCCTGGTCCGGCCGTTTGGGTCTCACGTGCACATCGGGTGAAACTGCGAACCATTTACCCTATTTGAAGAATCTTGTTTCCAAACTCAACTATGACGGAAATGCACCACGTCAAGTTGATGTAACGTTATCACCACGTCGTACTTCTATTCTTTTGCCCTTCCAAGTCAGCTATGTCGGTGCGGCTATTAAGGGTGCAGACTACTTCAGTAAGGACGCAGCGGCTCTCCAAATTCTCAGCAGCTTGCTCACTCATCGTCACTTGCACACTGAGATTCGCGAAAAAGGTGGCGCATACGGCGGAGGTGCTTCTTACAACGCGGGAGATTCTGTTTTCACCATGTTCTCTTACCGCGATCCCAGTCCCGAGAACACACTCAAAACAATGCAAAATGTCGGAAACTGGGCCATCGAGCAGAAGTGGACTCAGCAGGATGTTGAAGAAGGTGCTGTTAGCGTTTTCCAAGGAATTGACTCTCCTATCAGCCCTCGTTCTGAAATCGCCTACGAGTACGGTTCAAACCTTACCGATGAGCAAAGGCAGCTTCGTCGTGAACTCCTACTGGGAGTTTCACCCCAGGACTTGCAGAGGGTCGCTGAGGAATATCTGAGCAATTTTGAGAGCGAAGGTAAGTCTAGCTATGCTGTGCTAGGACCTAACGAACTCGGATCTCAGTGGACCAAAGTTGAGCTGTAAAGTATTCAGCCACTGCAATCTGTATTGTACATAACTATCTCATAAATAAAACTTACGCTTATCGCGGTCCATGTCGGGGCGATGCTCCCAAGAAATCTCATCTCTAATGCCTTTTTGAAGACGGCGTAAGCGGAGGGTAAACTGGGGTCCTAATTCTTGGAGTCCTACCTTCTCGTCACTTCTAAAGATATAACGATGACGACGGAAAAAGATGAAATCACGCTGATTGTGTAAAGTGACGACCTGCCTTCCCTGGAACTCTGGGCGGTGGGGGAATAACGACTGAAAGAGGCGGCCGACGGTTTTACCCAACCGCGTCGAAAAATTGTTCAAGATCAGCTCCGGGATGTGATCTGTGGCTGAACCATGATTTGAAATACGCTCAGGGAGAGTCAGGCTCGATACACTGAAGTAGAATGTAGGCCCCCCGGGCAGATGGATAAAGGTCAGACCGTTTACAACCTTCTTGTCCTCATTGATAACGATCACATCGGTATAGTCACGATTGGAACAAAGCTTTGCAATATCTTTCATTTCGAACTGCGATTTGCGCTTGACGAAGTGGGATCCAGGGATGATCTCCAACAAAAGTTCTGCAAAAACATACGCTTCTTTGTGGGCATTTTTGTTGGTAGTGATCAGTACTTTGGGCTGTTTTCCTTCCTCAAAATACTGGTCGAACTCGTCGCCTTCAACCTCGGTGCCGATAGTCTCATCGTAGACTCTCTTAGACTCGATAGTTGCAGGCACATTATTTTTCAAACGCTCTTCCTTCAGCTGCGGATCAGCTTCCTCCTCAGTAGCACGGCGAGCACGCATTTGATGTCTTTGCTTATTCCGCTCATGCTTAATGGTGGCTAAGAGCTTTTCGCGACGCATTTTGTTGCGAATGCTCTTCACCTGTTCTTTTTGCAGAGGCATGCCAGAAGATAAAAATTTCTTAGATCAGCTGGAAAATTACCTTTGATTTTGAGGTCAGGTTTAGACGGTCAAAAATCTTTCGCTACCGAATTACTGGTGATAGAAGCTTGGCTCATACTTGAAGTAATAGGTAAGAGACTTGAAAACGTTACCGCTAGCACAATAGAGCCCGTATATCCAGGCAGTCGATATAGAATTCCACAGTCGGACCCTTCTTCAGCCTCTGCGTTAGTGGTTTAGTGGTAAAATGCGTCGTTGCCATCGATGCGCCCCCGGTTCGATTCCGGGCTAACGCATTTTTTGGACGGAAAATATATCCAAAATTTTTTGTTTTTAGGACAGCTAGAGGTTGAAAAAGTACTTGATAAAAATATTTAAGTAGATAAGTAGCTAACTTATAGAATGAGCCAAGCAGAGCCGCAAATCATGAAAATAACGACCACAGCGGTGAGAATGCCAGCTCCAGCTTTGTCGGCAGTATCGATGTTCAATACTTGGGCAGTGACGGTACTAGAGTTGAGACCAGCATTGCCATAACCGTAAACACTATTAGTGCCATTGTTGTTATCATTGGTACTTGAGTCAGTGGTTGGGGGACCATACAGTTCACGGGCAGTATATGCAGCAGGTTTGGAGGAAATCAGCAAAGTATTGAAAGTGTCCAGTGCACAAATCTGCTCACCAAGACCATAGTAGCCGTCCCATTTGTGCACGGTCCAGTCCAAACCGCATGTGTGACCATCAGTACCTCCGGAGCAAGACTGAGCAGCCGCTTCGGCGGAGGTTTTGATGAACGGCATAATCTCGTCGTACATTTGTGGAACCATAAGCATAGTGAGGCCTAGGAATCGCGAGAAGATACCCTTGAAACAGCGCTGATCGTTGTTACAGCGAACTGTACCTCCATTTAGTGGCATACAGGCTGCTTCGTACATGATTCCATTTGAGAAAAAGACCTGTGCACGGCCCCAAAGATCCTCCAGGCGATTGAGCCATTTAGCGTCACCGGTGTAGTTGTAAAGATAAGCACAACCTGCCATCATCAAGCCTTGGTTATATGTCCACTCATAAGGGTGGAGCGTAGTACAATTACCCGCTATAGGGGCACCATCAATCACCCGTAGGTCGTGTGAGCCATTAATTGGTGGTCCAATGAATTTCACGCTGACGGCCCAGTCCCAGATTTTCTCTGACCAGTCGACAAAAGTCGAATTCTCGGTGAATCGAGCCAAGCGAGCGGCCAGATGGAACAGACAGCCATTGGAAACCATATTCTTATAGTCATAACCGGCATTCCACGTATAGATTTGCCAGCGCAAGCCACCACCGCAGTTCTTGTCATCCCAACGTGCAGCCATTGTATTCCAAGTAGCCTGGGCAAAGTACAGCCAAGTCTTTGGCCAGCCCTTTCCGGGAGCGGTGAAATTCTTCTCGGCAGCTTGCATAGCAGAAATGCCCCAGAAGGCCTGATCATCGTTACCCTCCGTGGAGGTTTGGTTAAAGGTCATGTAGTTCCAATAGTCACCACTTTGGTACAGCAGCGAAGAGTGAACCAAGCTGTTATAGGTGTCGTTATTGTTGTAAAAGCCATAGTCGAGCATGGTACCCCATGCTACACCCGCTTCCCACCAGTAGTAGGGTGGGGAGAACATTCCCGGTGAGTTACCACTGTTATTACCGGTATAGTAGTCCATCAGACCCTGGGCAACCAATGCAGATGCTTTGCCAATACTAGTAGCGCTAGTAATATCAAGTTCAACGCCCAAGACGCTTGCAAACATCGCAAATACGGCCAGGGCCGTTGGAACGAACCCGACTAACTTCATGTCGGACTTTGGATGAAGCTGAGTAAGATGGTACGCGAAAAAAGGATCTACCGGAAGCTGGGGGGGGGGGGGGTGGTGAAATGCTAAATTTAGCAGAATATCGGGCTCTTCGCAGAGAGATTTGCACACGAATTTGAGACTGGATCGATTTTTGTATTGCTCGAAGCAGTAAATATTAGGGGCACAAAACTTGCAGGTGTTTTCACTTTCCAACTTATGCTGCAAAAAAGCCTCAACCGCTTCGCCTAGTACCCTGGTCTCCCGGATCATGTGACGGCTGACCGTTCTCCCCGCACCCACATGTCGGATAGAAGCGACCAGTTGTGGTCGGTGATTCCTCGGAAGCGCCTTGCGGCTACGCTTATGATTCTTTTTGACGGCCCGGAAGAGAAGGAAGTTGTTTTGACCGTCAGAAGCTTGAGCCTCCGGTCGTACCCTGGTGAGGTGTCTCTGCCGGGAGGCAAAGTGGATGGATCTGAGGACTGGTGGGAGACGGCGTTGAGAGAAGCCAATGAGGAAATTGGGTTTTCCACACACAATTTCAACGTCGAAAGGGTGGTGGCAATGCCCGCTCATTTGAGCAGACATCTTCTATTTGTTCGTCCCTGCGTGATAAACGTCACCCGCAAAGACGGCAAGCCTGTGAGATTGAGCGACATTGCAGCCAAGTTGAATGCCAGTGAAGTTCTTTGTGCATTCAGTGTGCCGCTATCGACGTTTTTGACGGATTCGTTCTTCGACTCAGAGCCTGCAGAGACCGTCTGGAGTGGCTCATCATGGTACTTTTACGTGTTTGGCTTCGAAAAGAACAATTGGATTTTTGCAAACGTCCAAGACGAAAACAAAATCTCTCGCACCGCAGTCACTGGATTGACCGCTCATATGCTAGTCGACTGTGCTAGATACATATATAAACGCGATCCGGATTTCCCGCACCTGCCCGAACTAGGATATTTGGTGGGAGTAGAACATGCACTAAATACCGGCCAGTTCATGTCTCGTATATAGCTAGAACATTAGATTGAAAAAAATAGCCTCTTGCCCAGAATTGCACACGCCGAAGCGCTTACCAAAGAAGGCTAAGCGACGCGTGTGCCCGCACTGTCCTTCGCCTCTACTTGAGTTACTAAACAACCTGACAAGAAGATGCGGGGCCTCATCAGATTATTTTTGGCTCTGTTACTTCCAGTAGCTCAGGCGGTCTCCTTAGATATCAAAAGCAAAGATAGCGTGAATGCCGCCACTGCATTAATCGCCAAGGGCCTCATGGACTACTACGACGGCAACAAGTATGGAGGAACAGTCGGTATGATGACCGCTCCGTACTACTGGTGGGAAGCCGGCGCGGCTTGGAACAGTATGCTAGAGTACTGGTTCATTACAGGTGATGAGACCTACAATCCTACTGTCAAAGAGTCTCTGCTGTACCAGGTGGGTGCCAACAAGGACTATTTGCCCAGCAATCAGTCCACAACGGAAGGAAATGATGATCAAGGGTTTTGGGGGATTGCAGCCATGGCTGCTGCAGAGCGGAACTTCAGCAATCCCAGCGAAAACCAGCCTGGCTGGCTATACCTTGCTCAAGCAGTGTTTAACCAGATGGTGACTCGCTGGGATACCGAGAACTGCAATGGTGGATTGCGTTGGCAGATTTACACATGGAACGCGGGATGGGACTATAAAAATACTGTATCAAATGGATGCATGTTCAACCTGGCTGCACGCCTGGCTCGTTATACCGGCAACCAGAGCTATGCTGATTGGGCAGACAAGATCTGGGACTGGTTACAGGAAGTAGAGTTCCTGAACTATGATAGTGGTCTGTTCAAACTATACGACGGTGCACATCTTGAAAATGAATGCAAAAACCACACCAACATCGAGTGGACATACAACTATGGCCTGCTACTGTCCGGGTCCGCTTTTCTCTACGATTTCACAAACCAGTCCTCCGTTTGGGAAGAACGCGCTACCGAGCTTTGGAACCGTGCCAAGGTTTTCTTCGACAATGGCGTCATGTACGAAGCGGCTTGCAATCCTATTGGTGGCACTATGCGCTGTAACAATGACCAGCGCTGCTTCAAAGCAATCTTTTCCAGATTCTTGGGGCACACCGCCACTTTCATCCCTTCTTTGCAAGACGACATTATGTCGTCCCTCGATTCCTCCGCTGCTGGAGCTGCTCAGTCCTGTAGTGGTGGTACTGATGGACATACCTGCGGATTAAGCTGGACGTATAGCGGATGGGACAACTATTATGGCCTAGGTGAACAGATGTCTGCTCTTGAGTGTATACTCAACACCCAAATTCTAACGGTTGCCAAACCATTGTCTAAGAGAACAGGTGCAACATCCAATGGGTCAGAAACTGCCGGCTCCACGCAAAAGACCCTCAATAACCCGCTCAGTGATCAAACAGTGATCACGGGGACAGACCGTGCAGGTGCCGGTGTGCTCACGGCGGTTATTCTTGTTGCGCTTTTGTCAATTGGGTTCTGGATGATCTGGAAATAATTATAACAAAGATCCTGGACTTGAAGAAGTCTCAGACACCGTATTATGTATGAAGAGAATGTAAATTGTTGACTTTTATGCATCAAATGGTCCCTGCGGGGTTGTACTCGCAACAGGCGATCTGGAGTGCAGAAGAGGGTCTCCAGCAAACACCTTGGCGAAGTTGATATGCTTTGGAGGTATATCATCATCAAAGTACCCGTGATCAATCAAAGCAGTCAAAAGATCCTGATCTCCGATACTACCAACGGGACGATGAGGCATAGAGGGCTCCCTGTTGAAAACTAGCCGTGCTACATCAATCAAAATGTTGGCAGTCAACCCCCACACGACAATTTTATCCGGCTCGCCGACTTTCTTCTCCATAGGCGGGATTTTGATATAGTGCTGATGAAAACATAACCCTCCCCAGTTCTCCCTCTTGTACTCGTAGAATTGCGGGGTAAGAAAAGAAGACAACGGCGCAGTAAAGATACTATGAACTTCGCTGGACCATGGACCTTTGCCGAGGAACTTGGGAATATTGGCTCGACTCAATTCATCTCGAGGAACCTTCAAATAGCTCACACAAGGAACAACCGCCAAAAACCTCGAGCTCATGTACGCTGGAAGCATGCATATGTCCTCAATTGAAGATCCGCCAGGGAGATCGGAACCTAGAGGAAACCTGATTTCTTCATATGCCTCTCTCCGCGCCACTTCCACCGGTGATTCGTTAGCATCGTCAGCCTTGCCGCCGGGGAATGCTGCATCACCTCCATAGCTGATTTGCTTGGATCGCACTGTCACCAGGCAGCTTAGTACACCTTGGCGGTTGTCGAATAGCGTTACATACACCGCCGCCCTGCGCTTAAATGGAATCCTGTTCCATACCGTCAGTGGATCAGCCAGCCGGGAATTCACCAGTCGCTTAAGCATGACAAAGAGCTTCGGGAGTTTCCGCCAGTAATCTGGGGTAGAGCCATACGGGGATAAATAAATAAAATCAAAAGTATAAAGATGAGTAGAGAGTGGGAATAAATATAGTTGGGGTCACCATTTGCTTGGCCCAAAATATTGTCCTGGTTGTAATTGCACCAAAGGCTCAGACCGAGCATCCACCGTGTTGTATGCTCCAACCGTCCCCCACCAGTCGGGGGCATTGATCCCTCTGCCTTGCATTACGGCGAGAATAAGCGCTTGACCTACGGCAACGCTCAAATCAAGGGCAGCAGAAAGAGTGTAGTTATACTTTGCCCACCAGCTGAACCAATTTTTGCGGACCCAGAAGCCAAAAAACAGTCCAACTGCAAGCCAGAGGTTGTAGTTGTAGGGCGTTGCTGGGGGGAGCATTCCCGAAGCACTGAAAAATACTGGCCAGTGAATGAAACGCATAACTGAGCGGGGCCACTTTTTGAGCCACAACCAAGAAAGCAAAGGTAGCACAGCGCCTACTATGAAAAAGCTCAGGATACCCGTATAGATCTTGAAGTGTCTTTCAGGACCAATCAAACCCCAAATGATGCTGCTCACGAAAAATGTTCGCGTGGATGCACAGGTATAGCCTAGTGCCTGGTTGGTTTCACAAATCTGGTCTATTCCTGTAGTCACCCAATAGTTGACGGCCACCTGTGAGATGCCGCTCAGAACTGCACCCATAAATTGCACCCAAAACAGTGTTTTAGGACAGAGCTTAATATAATGCCCCAGTTTCATGCTCTGGGCAAAATTGATTGCCATGAAGTTAGTATAGTAGACAATGGCCTTGAACAGCATCATTGCAAGTGGCCTTCCCGGAAGCATGTAACCAATCATGAACTCTGCGATTACATTGAGACCAATGAGCATAGTTGTGGTCGCATAGATGATGGCAATCGGCACCAGCATAACAGCCGATATGGTAAGTCCCAGAAAGAGATAACCAGCCGGTAGACCGGTAGGGAAGTGTAGCACCATTGCTAGCAGAACGGCAACGCAGATCACGACCAGACCACCATACCACCAGAGAGAAGGTTCTTTATAAGATCGCATAAGTCGCATATGGACATCATCGTCATCATTCAGGGACGTTTTCCAGTAACGGAAAACGTCAGCAGAGTCAAAAAGCAGAGAATGAACAACTGTAGCCACCAATACAGAGAATGCCATACCATATGAGATGGCAAATGAGGTCGGCAAAAACAATGGGGAGTAGCTCTGGTACTTGTCGAGATCAAAATTGCCGTCTCGAAGCACTTTGGTCACATCATACGACTGCTGGTATCTGTCCATAGCGGCATTGCCGACCATGGGTAGATAATGGCCCCACCACACATTGGAATAATGGACGATTGGAACAACTAACCAAAAGAAGGTAACCATTGCCGCGCCTATATTGATCAAAGTTCCCAGGGGAGGAATTAAAGGAGACCCTAGGAAGCCCGCCACCTGGTTCCAGTCAAATCCGATAGGGAAGAGGCCTAATCCACTGATGGTGCCAAAAATTTGGTTGATAATAATATTGCTCGGGGCGATCCACGCTGCAAAGTCAAAGTCTGATAGGAAAGGAGCCAACAGAGATGGAAACCATTGGTAGCACGAGCCCACTGCAGCTACGATTAAAAAGAACTTGAGACGGCTGATTTTCCAACCGTTCGCAATATGGTTGTACTTCATGTGGATATTTGTCAAAAACGTGACTGTAACCAGGTTTGGTGGCCAAATCATAGCAGCAGGATACACTAGGATTCGTCGAACGAAGCCACTGAGACCCAACCCCACGAGCTGGGTCGAAAGAACCAACATGATCTCGAACCCCCAATTGCTTCCCAGAGAATTGTGGTAAAACTCCCGCAATGTCACAATAATATCTGGACCATATCCTACTCCCACGCCCAAGTTCAAAGCCATCACAACAATCAGACAGTGCTCCTTGATGTTGAACGGACCCGGGTTAAGCTCCATCCCAAAAATTTTGTAATTGGGCACTAAAACGTCCCATAGACGGCCAAGTGGCCAAGCAATAATGGCCCCAATGTAGGGAGTCAGTGTAGCAGTCGGCGAGTGTAAGAAAAAAATCATGTTGGCCCCACTCAAACAGGTCACCACAAGAGTGCCTAAAACCCACATTCTAATTGTCGATTGTGGCAGATCTGGATCATCAGTGTTAGGAACAGCGGCCCTTACTTCGGCATAAGGCGAATTCTCCTCAGGTGTCGCCTCAATCAATGTCTCCCGCTCCTTATCTGAGGAGTTTCGACTAGGGCGGCGAAACCGTAGCCGTGCCATGTTGGATGACAAAACTGTATCTGTCCCGAGCGCGGAAGATCCCACCCACCACTTGAGGATTTAGTAGAAGGAATAGCGAGATTCCCTTGAAAGCATGTTTGTTGTTTCAGCGCCGGGAAAGGTTATATTGTACGGTGAACACGCAGTTGTGTATGGTGTTCCAGCCATTGCCGCTTCAGTCTCTCTCCATATGTACATGTTCGTTGTGGACTCGAGCGATCCCGACGTGATTGAACTGGATTTTCCGGAGGTTGGTCTCGTGCGCAAGTGGAGGCGCTCCGAGCTCCCATGGTCAAGTGTTTCTGAAGCTGGCAAGCTGCATCAAAAACTCGATCCCGAGGTGCATTTAGCGCTAAAAACCCTGCTGGCTCCTGTCACAGATCCGTTCGAGAACGCGGCCTCACATGCTTTCTTGTATCTTTATTTGCATCTCTGTTCCGAATCGTCTGCTGGTCAGCGGTTTGTCACTAGATCAACGCTTCCTGTGGGCGCTGGTCTTGGTAGTTCTGCATCATACTCTGTTGGCTTGGCTGCTGCTCTGCTCAAGCTGAGTGGAAAGATCCAAGATCCCTCGACGTCTTTGAGCGCCGAAAATCTTGAGCTGATCAATGGCTGGTCCTTCCTCGGTGAGAGCTGTATTCACGGAAACCCATCTGGAATTGACAACATTGTGGCTACTCGTGGTGGTGCAGTATTGTACGAGCGGGGCGCTGCACATGGGTCCTCCAAGATAGAGCCTTACGACTCGTTCCCACCTCTGGGGCTGATATTGACCAATACTAAGGTTCCTCGTCAGACCTCACAGCTAGTTTCCGATGTTGGCACATTGAAATCGCAGCTTCCCGAAATTGTCGAGCCAATTCTGAACGCCATTGCCGCAGTGGTTTCTCGTGCGGATGGGCTTATCAGGAGTAATTGCTCTGCCGAGGAGTTGAACGAATCACTTCGGGAGCTGGCCCAAATCAATCACGGCTTGCTTGTGTCTTTGGGCGTCAGTCACCCGTCTCTTGAACGCGTGAGACAGATTGCTCACGAGCTGGAAATTGGCCAAACTAAGCTTACAGGAGCCGGCGGCGGCGGATGTGCTATCACAATTGTCGACGGAGAGGTTTCTGGGAAGAGATTCAACATGCTCAAAATGGCACTTGGAGATGAGTTTGATCTGTTCGAAACCGAGCTTGGCGGACGTGGAGTGGGAATGGCAAATCTTTCGAGCTCTTTCGAAACAGACCAAATCAGCCAGCTCAAAGATGCAAGAGATTTCCATGAGCTCGGTAACTGGGTCTACTGGTAAGTAAATCGAAGTTGATCTATCAATGTCTATAAGCTAGAGTCCAAAAAATTACAAACCTCGATTGTACCAAATACGTTTATTGGCAAACTCTTTTTCGAGGTGAGAGCCATTGATATGTGTTTTTGCGGGAAAAATGCCCAGAGTGAATGGCAGGATCGCAAACGAAACGGTTGCAATCAGTCCTAAGTTTACGGCGGTAACTGCCCGCATGGATTTATTCTTGAGTACACCTTGCTGCAATCGGTACAGCACCAAAGGAGGGACAACCATTACCGGCATTGCTGTGACAGCCCTGCAGATTGCAGTTTCGAAAACAGCCTTCTTAGCGGCCGTGCGTGATTTCCCGAGAGGTTTATTAGTCTTTTCTTCAAACACGGTGATGCCATTCTCAATTTCCTGGCGACGCATAAGATAGACGTTGAGCATTCCTGCAGACACGACCGCAGCGAAAGGAACTAGTCGCGAGAGTAGTGCTCTTGTGCCTACCGAGAGGCTTTTGATTCTAGGAAGCAGGGAATTCAGACCAACTGCGACCGAGCAGGATCCCGAAACTGCTAGCACGTAGTTGGTGATTAGCTGTGAGGTAGAGAGAGGGCTAGATTTATTGGCGTTTGCATAGTTAACAGCCACATTCAAGCTCTGGTTAGCCACCTGCCAGAAAAGAGTCCCAGCAGTGCCCAGATTCGGCGTTAGCATGCCCACCGTAACAACCAAGTTGGAAAGCACATACGAAGACATGCGAAAAGGAAGGGTCACGATTTCTCCGGTATCCGGATGTACCGAGGAGTCCACAAGTCTTTTAGCGCTCCAAACTTCCTCGTTTAGTGGGCGCTGACCAGCTGAGCACTCCGCCAAAATGCGCTGGGCGCGGCGAATAGTCTCGTTCGAGTTGAACAATGTCAGCGGGTTCGAAACTTCTGCTGCCTGCCGCACACGGCCCCAGTATGTGTCTAGATCATACCGGCTGGCTGGGATCTGGATGCTTTTCTGATCAGTCATCTGGCAACGGATCCATGCCAGGCATTGGTGTAGATATAGTGCGAACGGCCCGCTTCCAGGAAATAATAAAGCGGCATCCTCAAAGGTTGAAACGGCTGTGTGAAAGGATTTTACATCCAAAAGAAATGGAGGGGCTCACGAGTGAAAACGCCGGACAAAAACTAGCTTCAGCTTGGGCAGCTAAGGAGGCGCTTTATAAAAGCTTCCCCTTGACCGAGCAGAAGGAATGTCGCTTTAACGAATGGCGTAAAGAGGTTGTTGATGGACAATATCAAATGGTACACAACGAAGCTCGTGGCGACCGGTCAATGCTATGTATCAGTCACGACGGTGAGTACACCATAGCTTTTGTAACTCGACTGGAGGGCCCGAGGAGCGACAGCTGATTTCTTTATGAATCGTTTTTACCAAAAGGTACTAATATATTAGATGTTTTTTTTAAAGGATTTTAGAGCCAATTACTCCCATTCAACAGTGGCAGGGGGTTTCGAGGTCACATCGTAGACCACACGGGCAACACCACGAACCTCGTTAACAATACGACGAGAAACAGTCTTGAGGAACTGGTAGTCGAACTCAAACCAGTCGGCGGTCATAAAGTCCTTGGTCTCAATGGCCCGCAATGCAATAACCTGCTCGTAAGTGCGCTGGTCACCCATAACACCGACAGATTTGACGGGAAGCAGACAAGCGAAGGCCTGGGAAATCTTATCGTAAAGACCAGCCTTGCGAATCTCCTCGATGAAGATGTAATCAGCCTTGCGAGCAATCTCGATCTGAGGGGGCGAAACAGGACCCAAAATACGAATGGCAATACCGGGGCCGGGGAAGGGGTGACGCCAGACAAGATCGTGAGGGATGCCCATAAGCTCACCGAGCTCACGAACCTCATCCTTGAACAACTCGCGCAAGGGCTCAATTAGCTTGAGCTTCATGTCGTCAAGGAGACCACCGACGTTGTGATGGGTCTTGATGGTTTGCGAAGGACCTTTGAACGAGATAGACTCGATAACGTCAGGATAAAGGGTACCCTGGAGCAAGAATTCAATCTCGTCACCAGCCTTGGGGGTGATCTTTGCAGCCTCGCGCTCAAACACACGAATAAAGGTGTTACCGATGATCTTGCGCTTTTTCTCGGGGTCAGAAACGTCCTTAAGATTGTTCAAAAACTCTTCGCTGGCATCGACCACCGTCAAATTGATGCCAAGGCCTGCAGTCAGGGTCTTGTGCACTGTCTCGACCTCATTAAGACGCATAACACCATTGTCGACCAAAATGGCATGGAAGCGGTCACCAATAGCCTCATTAAGGAGCTTGGCTGCAACGGTGGAGTCTACACCACCAGAAACGGCACCAATAACCTCAGCATGGGGTCCAACGAGCTGGCGAATACGCTCGATCTCAGTGCCAATGAAGTTCTTCATATTCCAGTTAGTGGAAGCTCCGCAGATCTTCACCGCAAAGTTCTCCAACAACTGGGTACCTTTGGTGGTATGAGACACCTCGGGGTGGAATTGAATACCCCAGATTTGCTGCTCAACATTGGAGATAGCAGCATATGGGGAGTTGTCAGTAGAGGCGGCAATAGAGAATCCATTAGGCAGAGCGCTCAGCTTGTCACCGTGGGACATCCAAACCTGGAAATTATCAATACCGGCAAAAAGAGGATTCTCCTGCTCGTGGACATGAATGGTTGCATGACCATACTCACGCTCAGAGCTAGCAGTGACACCAGCCCTATTATTGTGGGTCCAAGCGATCTCCTGCAAACCATAGCAGATACCCAAAATAGGGACGCCAAGGTCAAACACAGCAGGGTCAACATGGGGCGCGTCATCAGCATACACAGAATAGGGGCTGCCAGACAAGATTACTCCCTTGGGCTTCCAGGAAAGCTCGCTGATCTTTTGGGTGCAGGGAAGCATTTCGGCGTAGACATGACACTCACGAAGACGGCGAGTGATCAAATGGCTGTACTGCGATCCGAAATCCAGAATGAGAATAGTGTCAAAGACATTGGACACTTCAACGGGTTCACTGCTCATCTTTTATGTGGTGAAAAAAAATTCGGATGGTGTATGCAATCAGAAAAAGAAAAAAAATTTGGGGTTATAAGCCTGCTTAGTAACAGGCATCTCTGATCCCCTGGCCAGATCCATCTACATTTCTCTACCCATAACCTCACGACTAGGCATGTCTCTGTTTTGGGAGGACTACAACTGGGACGACGTCCAGCCAGTCTTTGAAGACAATAGTTCGGGAAAATTAGCGGCTATTGCGTATAGCGACGAATATAAAAAGGCAATGGGGTACCTAAGGGCCGTAATGGGTGCGGGGGAACACAGCGAGCGAGCTCTGGCTCTGACGAAACAAATCATAGCAGACAACGCCGCACATTATTCTGTTTGGGACTACCGGCTGGATATTGTGAAAAATATTGGCAACGATGTTTTTGATTATCGCAAAGTCGGACTTGTAAAAAGCCATGCACCAACGATAGGGGAGGACGGGGAATGGCTGAACGAGCTCACGCTTGACACCCCCAAGAACTATCAGATCTGGAATTATCGCCAGCATCTCGAGATAAAAGACTGTCCGGAATACTACAATGGCGAAGTTGTTGCGGTAAAGTTCATTCTCGAAGACGACCCTAAGAACTTCCATGCATGGTCACACCTCAAATGGACTGTCTCTTCGTCATTGAAAAACTGTTCAGCCCCTCTATTACTGGAACCATTACTGGAGTACACAAATCAGCTGATTCAAGAGGATGTGTTCAATAACTCGGCATGGAGTTTCCGATACTTTTTGTACCAGACCTGGCCAGTGCTTAAATCCGCGGAAACTCTGGACAAAGAAATACTTTTTGTGGAAGAAAAGATCGCAATGGACCCTATGAACGAATCTCCCTGGCCATATTTGAAAGCTGTGTGCAACGAGTTCTCGCCAAACGCCTTGTCGACACTGAGAAGCGTTGCCATCAAGTTTCCAGATAATGCAAGAGCCTTGGAAGCTGTGGCCGAAACCAGCCCGGCCGAAGAGCAAGCGGCATACTGTCAAAAGCTCTGTGAGCTTGAAAACTTTAGGGCCAATTACTGGAGATACAAGTTCAAATGCTAGCCGTACTTCAGCTTTTGAGAACTATAACCACAATCTCATTAAATTATAAACATCACAGACGTCCTAACCAAGTCTACAAATCAATCAAGTTGCTACTTGAACGTGAGGCTTCAGCATTTCCAAATCCATAGCCCGTATAGGCCGGTTGCATTTGAGTGGTTGCGATGCCAGTATACTGCTGAGGAACAAAGGGGTTGTTGGAGGTCATTTGATTGACACCATGACCTGCTGAATTGATAAATTTAGAGGCAGTGTGCTGAGCAGGAATACGCTGGGAACCAGTATTGCCAAAGGAGTCGGCTGCTGTTTCGCGGCCTGTTAAAACACCCTCCAGTTTCTCTGCATGCTGGGCAATCATAGCGCTCTGCCTTCTCATTGAACGGCCGGTGGACTGCTGTTCCAATGGCTGCTGCTGTTGGACAGGTTGTGAAGGAGCTGAAGCTTGGTTCATGTTGAAAGAGGCAAACGGATTGTTGGACCCAGTCTTGACAGGTTCCAAGGGCTGCTGGTACTGGGGCTGCTGGTATTGAGGCTGCTGGGACTGGTACTGGGGCTGCTCAAACTGCTGCAAACCAGTCTGGGTAGCCTGCAGTTGCTGTTCAAGGGCCGCGATGTGGGTCTGCTGCTCATTCCACTGCCTCTGGAGCTCTGCTTGCTGCTGCTGGTAAAGCTGCTGAGCTTGATGGTAAGCCTGAAGTTGCGTTTGGTCTTGATAAGGGGCCTCGCTCGTTGTACCGTAAGCCAAGTAACCGGTACTGACAGTCTGCACTGGGTAAGGATCCAGAGTCGTATCAATAAGGTTCCCATTGAATAGATCACGGCCATTCTCCTGAGAAATCTCTATAGCACGTTGAATATCTTCCTGGGATGCTGAACGCATCTGGGCCCGGCGCTTGTCATCTTCTGCTGCGGATTGCTTGGAAAGCTCAATAGCACGCCGCATTTCATCGTCCATTTCCTCGTTTTGATTTGGTCTATTTCGAGGGGTGCTCTGCCGAGATCTGCTGCCGCTGTCAACATCAGAGTAACGCCGCCGACGGCGACTGTGAGGTTCTCTGCGCTCATTGCGAATCGCGCGCAACCGTTCAGTGTTTTGCAAAAGAGATGTTAGTTCTTTGGCACGAGATCGAATTGTATGACCACTGTCCCGCCCATTTTCATCAGTGTGCTGAAACTCACGCAAAGTCTTGATAATGTACAGGTTTTCACGGCACCAAATGATAACATTGTCGGAGCCGTAGTGCACTAGGTAGTCCAAGAGAATCAAGGACTTGTGAACATGGCGCCAATATTTCCCCTTATCGTTCAGTCGTTTATCGATCATATCCATAATAAGAAACAGCTCATGGTTCTGGTACGTTAGTTCTGCAACGTCCTGCATTTCCGCCGTAGACGGGGTCTCGTCGTTGTTTGCAGTGATTTTGCGCACCTTCACTTGCGACGAACTGTAGCCATTCGTCACGTTTTTGATTGACCGCACGAGTTTCGACATCCTATCACAAGATACTGAGTGGGCAGGCGTTTAAGTTGAGGAGGGGTCTAACGATTCCGTCAGCACGCCGGCATGACGTTTGCTCGGTGGCGGGTCCTTCTCCGAAACGGCGTTAATTGTAGTGTATGTTTGTATAGCCAAGTATTACTGAAGCGCATAAAATACATATAACTCACAGCAGAGAACGCAGGGACTCATTTATAACAGTGCACTCAATTGCCGATTTCGGTCCATCCGGGCCCTCGCCAAGCCACAACCAGTCTGGGACCTAATCCGCTTTGTCAGTCGCCGGCTAGCACATGGACTCTCAACGCAGCCATGTGCATCAACACTCGGGGAAACTGAGTGTGCTGTTTAGCAAGTGGAAATCCGAGGTGGTAGATTTGGACGAAATTCATATAGAGGATGCGCTACGTGTAGAGAAAGACGAAATTAGCTCAGATCAGCATGTCGCGCGCTCTTTGCACACACACAGACCAGTGGCCTGGCAGGATCTTGGACTCGATGATCTGCTAAAAACCAATTAGTCGCACCTCAGAACTATATATATTGATGCTGCCTACTTTTTATTGCTGCCTTTGACTCTCTTCCTAGTAGCCGGCGCATAGTCCGTACCACTTCTAGCTTTTCGTTTACGGCCCAAGCCAATTTTATCTCCTGTTTTAGCACGAGAGCCCTCGAGAACCTCGTTGGGATTGATATGCACTTTCTTGGCTGCTCTCTTTTTTCGAGGAGGAGCTTTGGTTGCAGGAGTGGGCTTGCTGGTATGCTGCTTGGAGTGGGTTACCCGCAGCTTACGGCCCCCTAACTCTCGCTCGTTCATCATGAGGGCAGCAGGAATTGCAGCAGAGTCTTTAAATTGAACGTACGCAAAGCCCTTGCCGACGTTCGTTTTATTATCACGGACGATTCGCACATACTCGATAGACCCACAGTCCATGAAATGGCGGTACAGAGACTCTTCTGTGGCTTCGAAGTCAAGGTTTCCGACAAACACCGAGCGCTTACGATTATGTTCAGCTGGATTCGCTAGGTGATCAACCCGGATGTGGTGGTCGTCAAAGACCTCGCCATTGAGCTTGCAAGCTTCGACAGCAGACTCTTGCTTCTTGAAAACAACATACGCATTGACACTATCGCGTTTCTCATGGACTTTCTGTTTGATATAAGCAGCTCGACGGGGCAATTGTTCGGAGAGCGCGATGGATCTGAATCGAACCGAGGCCACAGGCCCAACTTTAGTGAACAGTTGTTTGAATTGCTTCGCAACTTGTTTATCAGACACCACCCGTGATGAAACATTACCCACAAACACAGTGTTTTCTTGCTTTTCTTTCTCATCTTGCTGGTCGGCCCGACGTGGTTTATCACTTTTCGACTTGGACGTGCTGGGTTCGGCAGTTTTGGACGGTGCGTCTTCTTCGCCGATCAATTTCCGGAAATACTTCTCTTCCAGATTATCGTCTTCAGCCGCCTTGGCCTTGCCAGCTTTGTGTGGCTCCGGATCAGGCGACGACTCGTTAGCTTCATTGTTAACGATTTCATCGGCACCTGCATCATCTGAATCTGAGACTCCTTCGTTTTCCGAAGGCTCTGTTTGTTCTGCACTGCCAATAGCATTATTTAAAGTGTCCAGAACCTCTTTTCTCGTGGCATTCTGGAAAATTGATGGCAAATTTTCGCCCTTGTGGTCAGCTGAAAATAATCCCATGATTACGAGAAGGACAAAAAAAAATCCAGTGCTCATATGCAAATAGATTGTAGGGAACCCCCAATTTTCGACAAACCTGAAAACAGATTAAATCAAATGTTAGAGGTACTAGGTTCAAGAAACAAATTACTACTTAAAAAAAAACTAGTAAGGGAAGGCTGACGCACTTCTTAGACCTTGGCCATGGCGGCAACGTCAACGGACTGGACGTGGTCCTCGTCCTCCTCGATGAGCTCAGTGAGCTCGTCCATAGAGACCTTATCATCCTCAACAACGCAGTTGATCTGCAGCTTGTTCATGCCGAAACCGACGGGGACGAGCTGGTGGCCACCCCACAGGAGACCGTCCATCTCAATCTTGAGGACGTTCTGGGTAAGCTCCTCCATATCAGTCTCATCATCCCAAGCCTTGACATCAAGGGTAACCATGGACTTGGCGGCGGCCTTAGGACCCTTGGCGGCTTTGCGGGCCTCGTACTCCTTCAAGCGCTCCTGCTTGATACGCTCAGCCTCCTCGTCGACCTCCTCATCATCGGAGCCGAACAAGTCGACATCATCGTCGTCCTCGTCCTCGGCGTTGACAGAAGTGTACCAAGCGGCAACCTTGGGGTACTCGTTGGCATCAGGAGCAGCCTTGAGCTGCTTAGCGTGCTCAGCATCAGCGGCAGATTTCTCAGAACCACCAACGAATTTGTTATCAGCCAAGTGCTCGTTAAGCTTTTTGAGGCCGTCAGCAGAAGAAAGATCGAAGCTCATAGTTGCAAGTGTCGACGTGTAATGTGTGACAAAAAAGATTTTCACCATCCGCGTGGGATTTTAACCCTTACCCCCGACCGCATGCTGGTTGCCCTGGGGGAACCCGCACGCTCCACTCGGGTGAGTAAGGAAACTATACAGGGGTGTGTGTGTGAAAGAAGGCTTGCGATGTCAATTCAGATAGATTGGCAGCGGCTAATTGAGGATGCCGAGGTTGTAGAGAATAGACTCAAAGAATTTCTAGATGAGCAGTTTCAGCGCATTGATCTCCCGCCGTTCATTCAGTCGCTCTCGGTGTCGTCTTTCAAGCTTGGAGGTATTCCACCAGAGATAACTATCCGGCACATCTCAGACCCATTCCCTGAGTTTTATGAAGAAGAAGACTCTGACACCGATGGAGAGGCTAGCTCGAAGAATACTACCCCGACCCCCAAAGGTCACGGTTCTCTGAAGGACCCGTCGAAACGACTAAGAGCCTCTAGGCTAATGAGCCCGGTAAGCGAAATACCAACAAAACCTTTTGGAAGAACATCGACTCCTTCTGGATCACTCAATTACTTTCCACATAACCATGGAAGCCAACCAAACGAGCTCTCAACTGCCGCTAATGATATCTCACAGATTATAGACGAGCAGGATGGGTTTGAGTCCGCAGAAAACTCTGAAAGTATTGAAAAAGAGTCTTTTGAGGATCTTGGGCTCGATGAAACATACTCACCGCTGGATGCGCAGATGTTTGTTGAACTTCGATATGCAGGCGATACGCAGCTCGGAGTGGCAGCTACCTTACTCGTAAACTATCCCGCTCCTGGGTTCATTTCTCTACCGCTTGAGTTTAAGATTACAGGACTCGAGATACATTCTTTGGCGGTCATTGCATATATAAAAAAACGGGTGCATTTGAGCATTTTGTGTGATATTGACGGAAATGATCAGATGTCCAGCGACGATGTCAAGGTAATAACACAGCTCAATATGGAGTCGAAAATTGGTGATCATGGCGAAAATGGTGCGGTACTACGCAATGTGAGCAAGGTGGAACAGTTTATTCTCGAGCAGTTGAGGAGAGTTTTAAGAGATGAGTTAGTCTGGCCTGGATGGATCACTCTCGAGCTCTAACCGCGTACGGGGATTCATAGATCGGAATTATCCGAGTGTTTTATAACGGAAGTTGCTATTTTATTTCCCATAATGAGAACAATGCTCCAAATACATAAATTAACGTCGACGCTTGCGTTTTTCCCGTTCGTAGCGGTTTCGCTCCGCTCCTTCTTCGGAATTGATCTTGTTTGTGAGCGATGCGAGCATTTTGTGGTATTCGTTCATAGAATCGCGAGACTCCTTGAGCTTCTCGCGGCCCAAGAATTCTGCATCTCGTCGGATCTCCTTTAGTGTTTGCTTGCGTTCCTTCTTGAGTATAGCCTTGAGCTTTTGTGCTTCGCGAAGTTCTGGATTCATGTTGTAAGATTTGACCTCAGGGTTGAAATTATCCTCGAACAAAGGTGCCTGTGTAACAATTGCCATGGGTCGCAGCTCTTGAAGCTGCAGGGGCCTCTTATCCTGAATAGCGAACTTGATTGTCTTGTCCAATCGTCCTGATACCTCTTTGATATATGCGTTTTCAGCCAGATGATGAAGCATCTTACTCAAGGGCTCGAACAGCTCAGCGTACGCTTCTAAGCTTCGCCAAAGAGTCGATGCTCGGTCAATCACACCCACTAAGGAAACGACCAACTGATCGCCTGTAAGATGCCTTAGTTGTGTTAGCTTCAGGCCCTCCGGCTTGACCTTCGCGAAACTACTGCCTAACTTGATAGTGGAGGTTCTAGGCCCGCGAACATGTTTTGCAGCCGGTTCAACGCCATCGACTGCCGACAAAGTTTTCAAAAGAAAGGCTGGAATTTCAGGAATGAACCGTTTGGAAATTCTCTGATATGCTAAAAGGAGATCGCAGAAATATAGGCCCACAGCGATGCTCTGGGTATCCATTGCCATTGTCTTTGACAGATGCTGGGCCAAAACTAGAGTAGCACCATTGGAGACAATGTGCCACTGATCCGAAGTGGAAAAGAAGACGGGTACCAAAGAAAACATAAGCATATCCGCACCGTTTAAAGGCTTGTTTGACTGGACTTTTTGGTGTACCTCGTCGACTGCCTTTCTGAAGTGATCTCCTACCACGGTGCTATACTTGGGCACTAGCTCCTTCAAGATCAGTACCAAATCTTTAAATGCTGCTGTTTCCTTCGACTGGCAAGTATACTGACATAGAACAACAGTGAATTTTTCGATTAGCTTCTTATTACCAGCAGCTCTGGCAGGATCAACCTGTTTCAAGATTTCTTTGATAGTAGCAACATCGTTACCACCCCCAGCAGAGATAGCACGCTTCAACTCAGCTGTTGTTTGCGGGCATTTAGTGGTCGCCTGCAGATCTCTCTGTTTTGTTTCAGCGTCGCTCTCGTCACTGAACTCAACGTCTTCCTCACTACCATCGCTTTCGAGTTCCAAACCGAACAGTTCTGCATCGTTACCAACCCCGCCAATGTCCAGATCGTCACCTTCACCTTCCATACGCTGCTGTCGCATTTTCTCCAGGTTTGCACGTTTCTCTGCAGCTTCTTTACGGAGTTCCTCCTCTGTCTTAGTACGGTTGCCAGGCTGAGCTCTTCTATCAAAGGCCATTTCTCTTACTGCCTGATCATAGGCTGCGTTAATCTCGCTAACATCTTGCTGGGTGGGGTTGTTGGACTTTTCAAACTGCCTCAGATCAGCCATCAGACTGTCGAAAGCATCTTGGCTGTTCAGCTCATCAACAACATCTTCTTGGTGTTCTTTTTCTTGCTGTCTTGCTGCTCTGTGTAGCTTTGACTTCTGGATAATCTCCTGCATGACTTCGTGTTTGGACTTCTTATGGGGTTCGGCAGAGGCATCAGGCATTGGAACACCCAATCCCTCGTCAAGCTTGCGCTTTTTACTCGAGCTTGGGAGTTCATCATCTTCCAGCCCAAGATCGCCCTCAGCAAAATCGTCATCCATGGATAGAGCCTGTCCATAGTGGGTTAAAATTTCGTTATCTCCATCGTCGTCGTCGTCCAAGTTGAATCTGGAGGCTTTAGAAACGCGTGCCATCCGTTCACGTGCATAACGTTCCACCATTACATCTTCTGAGCTCATATTTTTGTCGTTTTCACCAAAACGACGATCGACAACTGCACCAACCCGGTTCTTGACCCTCTTGAGTGCCTCGTAAGTCTGCTTTCGTTGATCCTCGCCAATTTGCTTTGAGATTCCAGGCTTGCCTTGTTGCCCAGTTACATTTTGTCCAAGTGCTTGGAACTTCTCTCGGTTTTTCTTTGTGTCGAATGGATTGAAGGCCTCTCGAATCGAGTCTAAAACTTTCCGGTCCCGATCCTTTCGATCTCTTCCGTTTCCGCTTTTACTCTTCTTTCCGCCTTGATGCCTCAGAAGATCATGCCGTTGCAAGTCGTTCTTTAGCTTTTTCAGAATGGAGCCTGCCATAGTCTCTAGCCTGCTCCTAAAAAGTTATTATGCGAAAAAAAAAAAAGATTTGTAACTACTATAGGCCCATAGTCAGCTCTGACTGTACGCGTTACTAGAGTTCACCAGACTACTACCAATAGCACCTAACATGATATTATGCCCTATTCGGGAGGTTATATCACAGATTCGGAGGATGAATTACCGGTAATACCTCTCCTCGGAGCGAAAATTGCTGTTGTGCCCACTCCGAGGGTATCACAAGTCCTTTTCGGGCCCTCTACAACAGCATATGAAAGCTCCAAGCGTTCACTACGCCCGCGAAAAGCGTTTCAATTACGCCCATACGCCTACGACAGGGCACTTTATGGAGATTATTTCAAGAATATACGCGCATCAAGCCTTGACGACGTTCAAGATGCAGATTTTGATTTTAGCGATTCAGAGGACACTAGCATACCCAGACCACCTCATAATGATCAAGCTCATAATGATCAAGGGCAAAAAACCCCTGAGGGAAACCACCAATTGGCACGTCGTCGAGTTATTGACAGTGACAGTGAAGAGATCACGAGCTCAAGCGAGATTTCCGAGTCGGATCGCGAAGATTCGCACGACCACAAATTCAAATTTTACAAGCGTCTCTTCAACGATGTAGTTCCTGCATCCAAGCCCAAGCAAGAAACTGAGAGTGCACTAATAAGTATGGAACTTGATGAAGATTCTCAGTCGCAATCGCAATCTCAACCACGCTATAGAGACGACAGTAGTCAATTCTCGAGCAGTCTTGATATTCCAGAAGACAGAAGAATAGACTACATGCTTTCTCATGCCAGTGGCTCGATCAAAAGAGTAAAGCGTAAAAAGATGGTTTCGTTGGTCTCAATTGTTCGTCATATGGGCGACTCGGCGCCTGACTATATGAGAGTTGCGGCAAGAACCTGCAACTCTAATGGTTCGCGAAAAGATGGTCCTAATGGGAAGTTTTTCGCTCTGCACGATGGCGGAGAAGAAAAGAAGACTTTAGCTCGCTGGAAACGTGGGTTCAGGGGAACCCCCAAATTCAGAATTCCCAAACAGTTGCAAACGGCTCTCTTTATAAGTGAAAAGAGCTTCCCAAAAAAGGGTTCGAGTGCACATGTTGACAAAATGTCATCAAATAAACGTTCCAATCCAGTGCGAACTCTGCCAACTGTGGCTGTGGCAGGGGCTCCCAGATCGAAAGTGTCCACGCTTTCAATGGATCACAAAAAGGCATCTCCCGGACCGAAATCTCGCATCAAAGAGAACAGGAATAAAAAAAAATACAATGGATTCAATGCTATTTCTCAGACTATGTTTCGTACACCTATCATTGAGATTCCGGCTGGGTTTGCAGCTGGTGGTCGGAAACATCCACCGCTTCACAGTGGAGCTGCACCTGAGGTTCGCTCACTTGGAAACAAGGCAGCTACGCTTCATGGCACCCAAATCAGTCGAGACTATCATGAATTCGCACCAATGTTCAAGCTGAACTTTATGAGGGATACGTTTGTTGGTTCCAACACTCTTGAATTGATTCACAACGTAGGTGTTTGGAATGGAGAGGCAAATTGTGCACCGTTTGGAACACATATTCTCTCAGCGACTGGGACTTCTTTAAGGACAGATTTCAAAGACCTTGAGAGGATTGTGTCAGGTGCTGTTGGCGAGATTGACGATGTTCTGTTCACCAAAGTTTACGCATTTCTACTAGAAACAACAGCTGGCCTATTTCGACAGGACTTTATTATTGACACGGAAATACGAAGATTAGTCCTAGTGGAATCTACTCGTTGTTTTTGTTCTTCGTTGCAAACGCACATGGAGGGAATTACGAACGTTATCAAGGTACAATTCGCAATCGCCATGTTCACCCTTGTTGTTTCTGAGCAGATGTCATTGCAGGACCCCCTGTATCTTGAACTCTTTGAACGAACCAAGAATGATTATGTTGCATTCCTATTAGATCGTCTGGCAGTTATGTCTCATCAGGCACTCGTCACTCGAAGGGATTTGCATCCGCAAGATCAAGTTGGGCCTGAGCTTGTCATTCTTGAAAGTGGTGTACTTTTCGACTTAATGTTTAAAAAGAAAACCGTTTACTTTTCTAGGTGGTGTAAGATGCCGGAACGTCTTTGGAGCTTCTTATCTGCTATTGCAGCTTTTCAGCACATACGTGGAATTTCTGAATCACATTGGGGCCTCCTTCTAACGTTTCTAACACCTGACTATTTACAAAAACAATCTGATCACAAAACGTTGTTGAGGAGGATATTGAAGCTCATCACAACATGGAAGTGGCCTGTTTCAGCAGAAGTTGTCTTTGTTTTTTTTGAGTACTTTGCTAAAGAGCAGAGATATACAGACTCAAGAGGTGAGTCAGTTGATTTGCCAGCTTTTCTTTGGGCTGGAAATTTTGATGGTACTGCTGGCCATAAAAGTGAACACCATTATTTTTTGGAACTACTTGGTTTAACGCTATCCCGCGTGGATCGTGGGCAAAGCGCGCGAATTGCCGGCAGAGTAACCCCGCTTACTTCACTATCTTTCCCAGAAACACAGAGTATTTCAGCTTCTGACTTGAGTGCTGTCTCGCTTCAGTACGGGATCTTGCTGGTTTTATCAAGATTCGCTCACCCCTCTGTAAGACCCCAGCTCATTCAAATTTCGGATCTTGTGAATCTTTCACATGCACATGTTGCAATCAGGATCAAAGCTTGGAGTGCCTGGAATATCTTGGTGCGTATGTATATTCTTCTGGGGCAAGATTTAGGCGAGTGCGTAACATGGGCGGAAAACATGATCAAAGATGCCCACTCACAGTACAAAGAACTTCGCAAAAGTGGGCATAACCAACCCATTGAGCGTATTGAAGAACTTTTTTTGGAGATTTACACGTATTTTGCGCACTTGGTAAAGTGGAGGCCACAAGCACGTGTGCTGATCACTGGATCCATCTTATATCCGCTTCCGGACATGCCTGCTGAAGTCCGAAGCATAATTTGGGAAATACTCGAAAGTTTGACCGTCAAGCAGCTTGTTCCAGTTGTCAATGGAGTTGTTCAGGCTTTCACTCCTTTGAGCGAGCAATGGGAAATCTCCAATTGGGTCAGTATTGCAGCACTTCTGTGGCCACTACCTGTATGCAAAGAATGGCGTGTTAATTCTTCAGAGTTTGAAGTGTGGAGCCAGCTTATTCTCAGAGTGGGACCGGACGTGTTCTGGATTCAAAAGCTGATTGAGGGGCTTTCACTTCCCTTCACCTCCCAGCCGTTTCAATATATCAACGCGTTCAAGCAGATATATTCTTGGTACAGCGACACTACATCGTTAGTGACTTTTCTGTATTCTACGAATGCTCAATATTTTGCTGACCTCTGGTTGAATAACCTGCGTATATTGTACAAGGACTTCTCAGAGACTGACTCGAAAGTTTATCGTGGATATGTCGCCGAGGTAAGGAGAGCAATATTCGAAAAATTTCCTGTACTCGAAGACAAACACCGTTGGTTCGAAGACAGCGAAGAATATAATTCTATTGAGATCTCTCAGCGGCTTCTGCTGAATGTTTTAAACAAGCACGACAAATCTTCTTTTGAGTTTTTCATTGCATACAAATTGCGATCGTCTTTAGAGCAAAGCGATCGGGGAAGCACTTTTTCGAATGAGATTTTAATGTCTTTGAGCCTGGTAGACGACGAAACGGCAGAGAAAGCTTTCAACTTCCTTGTTAATGATATCTTTGCTTTCTACATTTTTTGTGCTGGTAAAACACACACTATTGAGGGAGTGATACCCCTTCTTCTATCGATTGTTTATACATTGGTTGGGCGCTGCGACCGAGCGTTGTTCAAACCCTACAGATTTTTGTCTATGATTGACAGGTATTTTGAACTTCAGTTAGCCCGGATAACATTCAATTCTTATCTGTCTGCTTCAGTTGCTGGAACGTACCGACTAGCTGTTCTCTGTTTACGGCAAGCTTTTGTTGATCGGTCAATACCCACTGTATTGATACTGCTCAGGCATCGGGCTTTGAATTTCCTCGAACGGAGTAAGGATCACAGCAAAACCTTCCCTGTTCAAAACCTCACCATTCCTGAGTTCAGTCAAGATTTAGCCACGGTTAATATTCTTTCGGACCTCGACATCACTTTACCGCCGGTGCTTGAACAAAGCGGTTCACAAGAGGCCGAACTGTATCTTAAGGTTTATGAACTTGCTCAATCGAAAGCAAGTGATTATTGAACCCTCTTCATATTTATATACATACAAGTTTCTACTTATTTAACTGAATCAACGATACTGGTTTTGGCTGAGTTGATCAACGCCGCGGTGAACATGGGACAGAAGACCAGCTGCTCTACAACGACGAATAGCTTTTGATAAGCGCTTTTGGTTCTTGCCTTTGGTGCCGTGCATATAGCCTGGGATGATTTTGCCATTTGTGGTGATGAACTGGCTGAGAGCTGAAGGATGTTTCCAGAGGGCCAGCGGGTTGATTCCAGTTACTTTGAACTTGTCGACTTTTGTCACAGCACGAGCGTTCTTGTGAGCTAGCCGTGTTGATGCTATACCAAGATCAAATGGGCGATAGGTACCAGAGTCAATGCGCGGTAAAAATTCTGACCCAACAGCACTGCGACTAGACGAGTCGGTAAGATCTACAACTCCTTTCAAAGTCTGCATAGGGTCACCCCCGAACTGCTTGGACCAGTCCTCACTGGCTCTTGCAACCTTTTTGTTGCTACTACCGCTAGAGTAAGTACGCAGTCCTAGTTTCGACGTTTGCCAAATTCGTTTGAACATTGGTGAAAATTACTAATAATCCAGGGTCTTGACTGATCACGCACCTCACTTCATTAACCAGGGCACAGTTGGCTATCAATAAAAGCAGCTAGTAGCCGAGTGCTCTGCCATTGTTGCTAATTGTGCAATGGGTATCAAAGATGAGGAGAATGACAAGAAGCGAGATGATGAGATCTCTAAGTCTGCCGAGTGTTGCATAGTTTGCGAAACGGCGGAACCTGATGAGTGGATACAGTGTGATGTTTGTGATAAATGGTCTCATATGGGATGTTTGAGTGTATCTAGATTGGAGTTGAGAGATTTCGTCGAGTTCTACTGTCAACAGTGCGAGCCCACCCACGGCCCCTCTGTTCGGCGCGATTCCAAAAGGCGTAACAAACTTCGTCTAAATTATGCAGCGTTAAACAACGGAATCGTACAAATTGAAAACACGCACAGTCATGTACAAGTATTCAAGTCGGGCATGTTTGAGGCTGCCCATTTCCCAGAGGTTTCAGAGCTGAGCGGGGTTTATGAGACGCCAGTCATTGCACGATCAGAAAACTCATCGAATTTGAATATGAAAATGCCTAGCGGCTTGACCCCGAGGAAAGTGGCACAAATCATCGGTGAAGATTATCCTGTACCCGTTATGGATGTTGTCACCCAGAACAATTTGCCAGGTTGGACAGCAGGAAAATGGGCTGATTATTTCGAGACTCCGGAAAAAAATCGTGATAGAGTGCTAAATGTAATCAGTCTGGAGTTCTCGGGAACAAAATTAGAAGGATTGGTCCAGCGCCCAGCGTATGTCGACAAGCTAGATCTTGTGGACAAAATCTGGCCGGTATCTGAGACCAAAAAGCGCCCTAAAGTCAAGTACTATTGTCTGATGGGAACCGCAGGGTGTTTTACTGATTTCCATGTCGACTTTGGTGGAACGTCGGTGTTTTACCATGTGGTTTCAGGCCAGAAGTCTTTCGCATTCATTGAGCCGACGAGTGATAACCTGTTGATTTACGAAAAATGGTGCAAAAGCGAAGCCCAGGCAACCACACTGCTTTCAGATCTAGTCGACAAATGCGTCGTGGTGAATCTATTCCCTGGCGATACAATGATTATACCTTCGGGCTGGATTCACGCTGTTTATACCCCCAAGGACGCGGTTATTCTAGGCGGGAATTTTCTAACACTGGAAAATTTGGCTTCCCAACTAAGAATTGAAGCTCTTGAGTATCGTACTAACGTTCCGCAGCGGTACACGTTCCCCAACTTCAGAAAAACAGTGTGGTATGCCGCGAAATACATTGCTCAGAACTCTGATATTTATCCGGGCCAGCCCACTATCGAATTGAGCAAGCTTTTGAAAGGTTATTTGTTTGAAAGAGAGGGCTGCTCCTTACCGAAAGATATCGATACTCAAGAAATTCTCAGTTTCCTTAAGGTTTGAGTCTGCATTGAGTTCATATTTATTACATACCCCATCCATATTCCCCCCAACTGTATGTGAACAATGGGCTTCATTATCGGATACCCAGGTTTTCGGAATTTTTGCGAGACCAAACCGGAGAAACCGGGGAAGTCTCGTCATAGCTTTACCCTAAATTTAGCACGCGTTGCGCATGAGCGGAGAAATATCTTTCAGTAGTGGTCCAATGGAAACCGTTCCTTTTTATTAGTGTGGCATTCTATCAAATACGGCAGCTCTCTTGCCGCTGGAATCACATTCAAGAGCTGTGGTTTTTTTGGTGCTTCGTGGAAGAGCTCAAATCAGGACCAGCCCTTGCCCAGGCGCGCGTTGACTTGCTGCCTAATCCCAACGAAGGTAGGGGAATAAGCAGGAACCTAAGATAGGGCAAATTGGGGCCGTGAAACTGGTTTCGCGTAAGCGGGAACCCGGCGTTGCGCACCTTCCCTCAACACACCTGGCTATCTTGAAGCCTGCCCCACTGAATTTAGCAAACCCCTCTTTTTTTTTTTATTTTCAATTGCAAACTGTCAGTTGTTTGTCCAACGACTCAGTTTTGATATATTTTCCTCATGGCATCCACTTGGAAACTGACGAAAAAGCTTAAAGAAACTCACATCTCCGCTGCTTTCCTTCGGGGTTCATCATCTCATAACCAAAGTCCGGGGAATTCCTCTCGGTCAAATACACTAGTTTCCGGTAAGGACGCGCGTGATGAATTGACTACCCCGCGTCCTTCGGTATCCAAGGCCCCTTCGTCGGATGGTAGTCGCACAGTTTCAAAAGAGTCGGCGAACTCCGCATCGGAGTCAACGATGGCCGCTGCAACAGCTACTTCCAAAAAGCCATCTTTGTTGAGGGTCAAAATATATGGAAGTACGGATTTGGTAGTCCCCGCAGAAGTTCGCGCGGCTTTGCCGGAGTGGGCATTCGATTCTAGTACGACTCGTCCTCCCCCCATTTATTTGGTCCTCGATTATGATAAAAACCAGATAGTGCTGGATGCAATTGGTGGAACTGCTGAAAGTCCTGTTTGGGACAAAACGACGGCGTTCGACGCAGCGTCTTCATCGCCGCCCCTAAAGGCGGAAATTTTTGCTCGCACAGTACAGCATATCCAAGAAGATGAACGGGATCCTAAACTTGCAAGCAACAGGAATTCGTCTTCAAGCCTCATGTCTGCATTTTCTACTAAATCAAATGCGAAAACCAACACAATGCCCCCTTCGTCTGGCACGACTTCTATCAAATCTATCCATCTCGGAAGCTTACTTCTTCCGACAGACAGCTCGTCCCCTAGCGAGCCTGTCCAACTAAAAACGCAACAGGGCCGAAATGCAGGCTCTCTGCTGATAAGGTTTGAAAAACAAGCTACCCGCAATCAGCCTTTGACAATCGACGATTTTACTTTACTTAAAGTTGTTGGTAAAGGCTCTTTTGGAAAAGTGATGCAGGTTCGCAAGAAGGATACTCAGCAGATTTACGCTCTCAAAACAATTCGTAAAGCTCACATCGTTTCGCGTTCGGAAGTTGGGCATACCCTTGCGGAGCGTATGGTTTTGGCTAAGATCAACAATCCCTTCATTGTTCCCCTCAAGTTCAGCTTCCAGAGCCCTGAGAAACTCTACCTCGTTCTAGCGTTCGTCAACGGAGGTGAACTTTTCCATCACCTTCAGCGCGAAGGTAGATTCGATCTTAACCGCGCACGATTCTATACTGCCGAGCTGCTGTGTGCGCTTGAATGTTTGCATGAATACAATGTTATTTATCGAGATTTGAAACCAGAGAACATTCTCATCGATTACTCTGGACATATTGCGTTGTGTGACTTTGGTCTTTGCAAACTGAACATGGGGAGCGAAGAGAAAACAAACACATTTTGTGGAACGCCAGAGTACCTTGCGCCAGAAGTGCTGATGGGTCAGGGATATACGAAGGTGGTTGACTGGTGGACACTGGGTGTTTTGTTCTATGAAATGCTAACAGGACTTCCTCCCTTCTACGACCAGAACACACCGAACATGTATCAGAAAATTCTTCATGACCAGCTAACTTTCCCTTCAAACATGGACAAAGACGCTCGATCACTACTCCAAGGGCTCCTGGATCGCAACCCGAAGACTCGACTGGGTGCCAATGGAGCTGTCGAGATTAGAGCGCATCCCTTTTTCAGGCAAATCGACTGGAAATGCCTCTTAAACAAAAAGTACGCTGCTCCTTTCCAACCTTCCGTTGTTTCTGCAACTGATACTTCCAACTTTGATCAAGAATTCACCAATGAGGTGCCAACTGATTCAGTGGTTGATGCTGCGTCTGTATTGACTGCCAGTGTACAGCAACAATTTGGAGGTTGGTCATATGCAAATGAGGGTCAACTCGCAGCCAGTGGAAAGTGGTAACGTTCCATTTCAATTCTTCATTGTCTATTCAATTTAAGATGAATTTCATCATTTTATTGTATAGTAAATTTTATTAAATAAAACCCAATTCGTAACACCTTTTGCAACACTCAAACTCCGCTAGACGCGGCTCTTTCCTGAGTAGCAACAATTCCAACTTTGCTCAGTTTAACTTTAGCGCTTATGGGTGCTGTAATACCAGCTTTATTCGTTCCAAGGCCGGTCCCTTCTTCCCAGCCCATCAACTTCATGAGCTTGTGACCAATACTACCGCTGGAGATAGACTCTGCTTGATGACCCACAATCTCACCATCTCTGACACGTGCACTTGGTCGTGCATCTTTTTTTCTTGAGCGATCTTTCCTAATATTTAGGTCAACCCTCGAAAATGACTGGCGACGCGATATCAACGAACGCAGGCGAGCAAAATCTCGAACAGGACCAGTGCGAGAAGTTCTAGCGGCAACAACACATTTCAAAGTGGCTCTTCCTTGCATGAAAGTTGCCAAGCCATGTAGCTTTGCAATTTCTTTCACATAATAGTTTGCATTGTGATCTAGCGGGGGGAACCGAATCTCCTGCGAATATTCCGAGAGTACAAAGTCGTTTATCTCTTGTAAAACGTCCTGAACGCTGATACTTTCAGGATACTTCTGCCAGAGTTCAGGATCTTTACCAAAATTGGTTAGTCTCTCTAGTTCACGGGCTTTCTTCCGTTCTTTTCTTTTCGAAGAAGTCTTCATACCTTTCCGCTTCGATGTGGTTGGAACTTCATACGAGCTGAAATCTGCCATACCCCCAATCAGTTGTTGTATGAGATCATCTGCTTCTTCGCTATCCATATCGTCGTAGTCGTCAAATATGTCGCTAGCATGGCCGTCGAAATCGCGCATTGCAAACCTTCGCAACAATTCTACATCTGCGTCCTCGAAATTGCCCACGTCACAATCTGAAGACTTATCCCCACTTCTACCGGAAGAATCCGTAAGCTCCATAAAATCAGCATCAGACATTTCCAGGTTAGCATCTTTTGTGTCGATATCACTGTAATCATTTTCGTCAATGTCGTTTACTTCTCCGTTGCTAGAGAGATCAGCTACACCATTCTGGTCGTCTTCAGTGTATTCTTCTGTTGTATCAGAGCCTAAGCTCATAGAATCTAAATGGATTTCATCCAATGAATTCTCAAAGTCCACCTGGGCTGCTTCGCTCAAATCCCACAGGTGATCCGTATCCTCACAACCAGAGGAATCAGGACTATAGCCTGTTTCAAGCTCTGATACAGCTGGTATTTCATGGGCTGAAAGAATGCCAGTGCTCTCTGTGTCCTCCATCTGCTGCATGCGCACCTCATTCTCCCGTTCGTCGTTCTCCAGCATGAGCACCTCAGGGTCAACCTCTCCTTCAACAGAATCATGCATCATTTTCTGTACCACAACAGAGGGGTCATAGGTTTCATCAGCAAGGACGAATTCCACAGGTTGGAATCGCAAGGCACTTCGTTCTTCCCGTAAAACACGCTTGCCCGACATGCGCTTTGGTTTTTCTTTTGAACGGCGGGATACACTTGAGCCTCCGCTTAAGAATTCTGACCTTAAAGGGATGAAATCTAAGTCAACCCAGTTTTTTCCACCACTGGCCTTGCGGTTGCTATCTCCGCCACGACGGCCACCCTTTTTCCCACCTTTTCGTCTAGTCTGGGGGTTATTTGGTGGCAGAGTTCCGCGCTTGCTCTGCTTTTTCCTTTTAGCAGCCATAAAATCTCTTTATCAAGTTAATGTTTTTATCACAACCGTGCGCCTGTTTGCTAAGGTATATGCAGATGTATTCGCCAGATCACGGTTGCCTATGATTTAAAATCTCCCACTGCATCATCCTCATTACTTCTGAGGTCGCTGACAGTTGGTTTGGTAATAGTGAGTTGTAGAAATCACAGGAGTTAAAGACATGGCCACATCTAGCTCGTCTTTGCAGCGTATTGTCCAGATGTTATGGACTAATGAGCCTACCCCCACAATTGGCTCAGTGGTCTGTTTGGGTACTAGTTATCCTTGTAATGGCGATGAATGGCCAGTTGACTTTATACACGATGTGGAATCACGGGTATGGTTAAGATATCGGAATGGCTTTGCGGTTATTCCAAAACACCCCGATGGGCCGTCACCGCTAAAGATAGGTGCTTTGTTAAGAGGCACTAGCATTGATCTCAATGGATTTGTTTCTGATATTGGATGGGGTTGTATGATAAGAACTGGACAGAGTTTGCTTGCCAATGCTTTAATGATCAGCCGTTTGAGCCGTGAGTGGCGCTATAATGGCTCTGTTGAAGCAATTGAGCAAGATGTTCTTGTTTTGTTTTACGACGAGAAGGACGCGCCACTCTCTATACATCGATTCGTTGAACATGGCTCAATTGCAGGTGGCAAGCTTCCAGGTGAATGGTTTGGACCCAGTACAGTCGCCACCTGCATCAAAGCACTCGTTAGTGAGTCTGGGCTAGACTTGGCTGTATATATTAGTGACGGGATGAACGTGTACGAGAAGGCACTACTAAAGGTTGCTACAGGATCTTCAGATGAAACTGATGAATGGCAGTCGGTTTTGGTTTTGTGTGGGTTGAGACTAGGTATTGATACAGTGAATCCAGTTTATTTTGACGGTCTTCGTTCACTTTTGGATTCACCACAGACGGTGGGTATAGCCGGAGGACGCACAGCAACATCACATTACTTTTATGGATATCAAAATGATCGGCTATTCTTCCATGATCCTCACGATCCTAGTCCTGCTTTGAAGTATGGGGTCGACAGAAGTTTACTGGAGTCTGTGCACTCTCGCCGATTGCGAGAGCTCCCATTCACTGAGACTGACCCTTCTATGCTTGCGGGTTTTATCTTAAAATCTAGAGAAGATTTTGAATCATGGAAAACTCAAATGATGTCGCTACCCGCTAGTAATCGAGCTATCAATATAACCGACGAACCCGCTCCAGTTGTCTCTTGCGAAATTGAAGAAGACTTCGTTCTATGCCACATACATCCAGCAAGTGATACCAGTCTCAGCGAATCCAATGCTGATGCTCTTTGTTCAATAGACGATGGATCAACTAGCTAAGTATTTTCTAATTTTGGATTTCTGCATCTACATCTCTCGTAGTGGGAACTGTCGTTGACTAATGGACGTCTTCACCAGCCTGGTCAATGCGCATAAGAATGCCCCGCCCCGTATGAAGTTGATTGACATCTTCATGGTATTTCTGGTGCTCTCGGGTGTGGTACAGTTTATTTTTTGTCTATTAGTTGGCAATTTCGTAAGTAGCCCATTCGGGCAAAGACCGTACCTTCAACAAACGGTAACTAACATAGCCTTTTAACGCATTCTTGGGTGGATTCAGCGCAACAGTTGGCCAGTTTGTTTTGCTTGCCGCGCTCAGAACTCAAGTGAACCCAGAAAATAAAGAGGAGTTCCGAAAAGTATCCCCTGAGCGCGCATTTTGTGATTTTGTCTTTGGATCGCTCGTTCTTCACTTTATTGTATACCACTTTATTAATTAGTTTCAAGCCGTCTAAACTATGTTCCAATAGTTTTCGCGGGTATAGTCTGCAGTTTGAGTGCGAAATGCTCAAGGCTGAACCAATCTCCGCCATAAAGTGATATCAAAGACCTTGAGCCATGTAGACCCAATTATGTTTTAACAGGTATTTGACACTCAGCGACATGTGGTCTTAGCGTGTCCCATCATTCGAGCGGTTAAGGTAAACTGAATGAGGGCCCTGACAAGCCTAATTCAACTATCGGCCAAGGAAGCTCCTCCGACCTAAAAAGACCTTATCCCTGAAATACATATTATTTTAGAAATCAGCATACAATACAGCACCCGTTCCGCTTCTCCTCTTTCTTAACTGGCCTAGGGACGGGATTACCTCGAGGAGCAGGAGCAGTAGCAGCCGAGACAGGACGTGCTTGCGACTGTGCTCTTTGGAACTTAAGTGTTTGCTTCGTAAGTGTTAAGAACGCCTCCTCAACGTTGACTCGGTTTTTGGCTGATGTTTCGAAGAAAGAAATCCCAATGAGGTTGGCCGCGCGCTGACCCTCTTCGAATGTCACCTCACGCTCGCTTTCGAGATCGCTTTTATTTCCCACAAGTACAACAGGGAACTTCTCGGTATCTTTGATGCGGAGAATTTGTTTGTGGAAGGCTTGGGTTTCCTCGAAAGAAGAACGCGATGTCACAGAATAGACAAGAAGAAAAGCCATGCCAGTTCGCATATACTGTTCCCTCATAGCAGAATACTCTTCCTGTCCAGCTGTGTCAAGAATGTCTAGTGAAACCGGCTCGCTGTCAACAATGCACTCCTTCCTATACGAGTCTTCAATAGTGGGGTCGTATTCATCGATGAAGTGGCCCTGAATGAACTGCACAGTTAAAGCACTCTTTCCTACTCCTCCTCCGCCAATAACGACTACTTGTATCTCCTTCTGCGGAGTTGAAGTCTGCACAACACTGCTTTTTCTAGCTGTTGACATGATTTCAAGAGCTGGCGATGTGTGCGGCTGACAAAGCTAATGGGAATATCACCTCCTCTCAGGGCGCAGCCACAATCTCAACTCCGCAGCGAGCATGTGAGTATAACTGCGGAGGAGACGCGATTCCCATGAAGACCAGTGTGGGAAGACTTGAGCCATGCTTAATTGTCCGATCGGCGCAGATAGGTCTCAAATAAACATTATGTCCTACTTTCTCAATTTGCTAACTACTGCAGAACTTACCTGATGTGCTGTGTGCATTGCAGTAAACCCTTGCCTTGCTGTAATCTCGTTTAGCCTTAGTTAGATGCTGTTGAGATGGGAGTGCCCCAAGATGATGATAAACACCTGAAGTGTGCATGAAATATATATGTCTGTTTCCCTCTGTTTGAGGCACTCTTTGTTGCGTGAAGTTAGACCTCAGTTTGTTTCACCGGGTCTGCATCGTGCATTCTTTTGAGAATCTACGGAGGTGATGAAGATCGAGTGATTCAGTACCCTTTGCTTTCGTTTATTGTCTGTGGATGTGTAGATGGGCTTCTTCGGTAAAAATCTGGGATTATAGCGCTATAAATTAGATAGAAGAAGTTTTTCTGCTTCCTCTGGGTTTAGCGAGCTCTCCGAGAGACTGTTGCAACGGTGCCAAGTTGCGCCTGTTGGCGACGACAGTCATTACAAAACCACTGACCACGAGGTGGCGAAGAAAGTCCGATACATCCCAAATGAAACCACTCTCTTTTGCAATCTGGTCCGTCACAACCAACCATATCCCCATAGGAGCCTTGCTCGCAGTAACAGTACACAGGCTCATCTTTCTCTTGCAGAGCTCTACGGCGGCGACTGGGCACAGGACCTGATCCGGCAACAATATGGTTTGGCGGGAGGAATTCTGTTTCCGATTCATCCTCTTGTCTTCGTTGCCGCTTGGTTGACCTGTCATAGCTGCGGTCTCCACCTGGAGGGTTGACGTTATTTGAAACATTGTTGACGGTAGGTGCACCGTTATTGCTCACGTTACCATATGGCTGAGGAGTTGATGTACGGGCACGATTTCTTACTCCGCCTGATCTTGAAGCCGAATTGTTGGCGCCAGAAGCCACTGTTTTGGCGTCGGCAAAAGTAGCAGCAGCTGCCGCTGCTCGACGGGCTGCGACAGCTTCTCGTCGAGCCTCAGATCTCGTTGATCCCTGCTTGTCTACCACTTTGATTTCTGTGAGCGCTGGGTCATCATAGTCAACTTGGATATGTTCAGGGATCTCATTTTCAACTATCAATGCGTAGTCCGCGTTGATGCGCTCTATATGCTTCGTCATTGTTTCGGCTGCCATACTTGCGACGTGCATCTTCTCTTCTAAACTTGGCATAAATTCGCGGAGTGTTTGGCGCAGTCTTTCAGCTTTGTCCTCACGTTCGGGGGCATCAAGAGGGGTTTTCATAAACACATCAATCAAAGAGCTGATCTGGGGGCCTGTATCAGCGCACTTAGCATCAATTTCTTTGAGCAAAGTAAAATGCCTTACCATTTCAAGCGGTATTGCTTCTAGCGCATCACCAAAGTCGTTCAAACCTGGGTAAACCCGTAAAAAGTCCTTCTGGCGAGACATTATGTGTCAGGGTTGGATTAAGATGAGCTAATACGCCCTTAATGAAACCCCCGCGGGTTTGCCGAAATAAGGGAATTATTCGCTATATATATATATATATTAATTACAGCAAGAAAAACTATTGTACAGTCACGATACATCATTGACAGAAAAAAGCAAAGCTATCGCGGCATGGCGTCGGAAAGAAGGCAAGCAGTCTCAGCATTGCAGAGCTAATGAACTCGCCCTTCGATTACACCCATATCTTGTAGGACACGGTCTAACTCCGAAAGGAACCTAAGGAAAGACCTGCGTGAGCCTCTCTCGCGGGCGATCTCTGCTATTGAACGACCGTGAGGTGCTTCTTTCATCTGAATCGTGAATCTTACTTGTCGAATACGCAATACATTGCGCCTGGTGATGGCTGCGGAAATCATGTGCTTTTGAGCATCGACATGTTGAATCCTGAGACCAAATTTGCGCCATTCTTCCATAACCTCCAATATAACTGACTGAAACTCAGTCAGTTCTAAAGTGGACATTAATACCCTACCTGGTGGTGCCGGTTCCGAGGAACTAAGGTTGAGCATCTTCAGGAGCCAGTTTTGGCTCGGCTCCTCACGCTTTTTTTCGCTGGAATCAGCTGGCTGAGTCCGAAGCCTTCTTGGTGTTATACGACGAAGAAAAGACTCTTTGGGTTTACTGGCGTCATTCATCTGATTCGATCTATCCGCAAGAGCGGGCCTTGGTGAGAATGAGCCACCTCCGACCTTTGGACTGGTTGTGGTGCCTGCTGGGTTAATTGGCGGACTTGGTGTGTTCAAGCTTACAACAGATTTGAGGGATGAAATTTCCAATGCGCTTGGTACCGGTTTACGGTTCACAATGTCACTATGGGTTGCTTCCTTCACAGCAGGGAGTGCATGCAGGTCAGACCGCTTCGGAGGTTGAGGAGCCTGACGAACAGGGGGTGGCACTGAGGCTGCTGCCGCACTTGGCTGATAGCTGCAGAAACTCTCTCCTGATATAAGGTTCGAGATTTGAAGTCGAGAGTTGTCGTCGTTGAACGATATAGGTTTGGGACGCCGCCTCTTATGAACCTTGAGCTCAACCTCTTCCTCTATGGCGTCGGCGAAACGATCTTCTTCAAAAATCATTGGTAATAAATACTGGTGCGGAAGCGTTTCCATTGTAGCTGGCTGTGTAGAGTGATCCTCAAAATCAAAGGCAAGGCTTTGTCTGGGGTCTAGAGTATGCGGTGACGTCGCTGTGGTCGGCTCCGACGCAGTTCTCCTCTCCGGTATTTCGTTAGTAGACACCACCGGATCCAAAGTGGCTGATACAGCCCGTGGCTCGTCGAAATTAAAAGCCTGGTCAAGCATATCTGCAAAATGAGACGATGTGCGAGATGTACGTTCTGTGGCTCTAGCAGAAGATTCTGGTGGAGCCACAAAGCCTGAATCGACATCATCCAGATTTTTCTGATCTATGAATGGCTCGTCAAGTTTGTAGTAGGCTTGGGTGGGCCTTTCAAAATGTGTTGCGTCCGTGTTTCGAGTTGTGGGCACCGCTGCCATCCTTGTGCTGAATTGTGCTCTACGACTCGCCATACTCGAAATGGAGTATTTCGAACCAGTACGGGAGTGGCTCAAAGCCGCATTGGCCCTTCCACGAGTTACACCATTGCTCCTAATGGAGCGGGTCGACCTCAAAGATCTGGATGATAATGCCGAGCGATGTGATGCAGTCGAGGTCGTGCGACGGTGTCGCACTTTTTTGTGAGGTGTGGACACTCCTGAGGCCTCAACACTCTTGGGAGGTGTCTTTGTGCGAGCGGATAATTTTGAATGGTTCTGACGATATTTCAAAAGTAAACAGTAGAATGTCTTTTCAGGATTTGGATCTGGCGACATGAGTCTTTCAATAATCTTCTGCGAGTCATCACGATGCCATAAAGTCTGTAAGTTGCGGAGAATCTCACGATCAATTTCAGTCACAGAGCTGACAGGGTGATGGGCATCAAAAAGGCCACGAATCTCTTTGTTTTCTGTTGGGACCCGACGGTATGGGTATTTAGCCAAAAGAGGGTGTGCCAATATCTCCCTCATAGTTATACGCCTATTAGGATCAACCAACAGCATACGTGAGATCAAATCTTTTGCCTCAGTAGACAGGTTTCGCGGCATTGAGTAAACACCACTCTGGACTTTCAGAAGAAGTTTGCGGATCGAGTCATCATCAAACGGCAAATGACCTGTAAGTAGTGCAAAAAGGATGATGCCACAAGACCAGATATCTGAAGGGGCACCATGATAATTTTTGCCTGCGACAATTTCTGGTGAAGCATAATGAGGAGATCCGCAGCTTGTTTCCAGCATTCGGCCCTGGGTTTCAAGAGCTGCCATGCCAAAATCTGCAATCTTTATGTTGCGATGTTTGTCAAGGAGTAAGTTTTCAGGTTTGAGATCGCGGTGACAGATATTAAACTGATGACAGTAGTCAACCCCGTAGCATATTTGGCGGAAATAGTGTACCGCCTCACGTTCAGGCAGTCTTCCGCGGGAAATAAGATAGTCAAAGAGCTCTCCTCCTTCGATATACTCCAAAATAAGGTAAAGCTCACCTTTGTTCTCCCAAACATCGTAAAGGCCCATTATATTAGGATGCTCGATTAGCTTCATTATAATTACCTCTCTCTCGATACCGTACGGAACACTGCTGCTTTGTGTCAATGAACCAACTGCTGATTTGGGGACAATTTTGACCGCAGCCAGTTGACCAGTCTCACCATGCTTGGCTAATCGTACTCGACCAGAGGAGCCGCGCCCTAGAGTTCTACCCAGCTGCCAGGGGCCTATGTGCTGCCTTGAACGCTTCGACGCGTTAGAAGACGTGGTTGAAACTTGGGACAGCCTGTTTTTGTGCGTCCCTTGTCGTGTCTGTTGTTCACGAACCCATCCAGCTGTAGCGGCTTGGGCGGCCGCGATAGCATCCATAATCAATTAATTGTTCCTAGATTTTTCTTTCTCGATCTGCTGAGAATCAGAATGTTAGAGTCTCGAAATGTGCGAGGGTCCAAGATGTTATTACAACGTACGGATATAAATTCAAACGGTCGTCACGAAAGCCTTGCGGAGAAGAATAAAAAAAATTATCTCCTCTAACGATTGAATTTTAACACTCAACGCGGTTATTGTAGCTCGTTGTACGAAAATTGAAAGAATCCAAACTTCTGGGTGTGGGAAGGAGGGAATGCTACGCTAGTTTACGAGACTCGATTGACATAGCCTACTCCCAAAAATGAAGGAATGCTGACACATTTAGAATCCAAGGAGCTTCGCGGCGACTCTTCGACGCGTCTTACCAAGCACCTTAGATGCAGACACCGTTTCGGTATTATTCAAGCAAATATCAACTTAAGTAGTGTCAGATTTTCAAATGGAAGCTAGTACGTAACTCTCAAAGTTAGATTGGTGTTTATTAATTGTTTGCAACCGTTTACCTCGCCACTTAGTAGACTAATCCGTGGACCCTCGAAATCAGATCTCCATTGATTTGCGCACGAATCTCTCAAGACCCAGTCGACCAGGCAACGTTTCGATATTTTGTTTAGGGGTGTTACAGATATTTTTTGTTGTGAACGATTTTGTTTACTAGGTCTATTTTCTACGCACAATTAAATAAAGAGAAGTCTAAAGTGCCTCCGTTTGAGAAGCGAAAAACATCCAAACAAGAGTCTATTCATGAAAGGCTAATTCGTGTGGACAGCACACATCCAGATCCGTGTCTTGTACATACGAAATAATTCTCTCACGAGATCACGAAAATCCACTCGCTTGTGAGCTTTATAAAAAAAGGTGAGTTTTCGATGATCCCACTGGTACTCTGCATCAACAATAACCATATCCAGCTCTCTATCACGAACCTTTTGGTTGCACTGGCGAACGGCCCTCTGTTCTTCGGCACGTTTTGCAGAGAGCTGCCGTGCCTCATTAGGCTGAGCAGCACGTAAAATTTGCTTCGGGCTACACGCTGAAAGCGCAGCACCAGCATCCTTCGTAGCACACTGTGATAAAACCTGTTGCCGTTCGTAGAATTGCTTCCATTTGATATAGGCGGCTTGTTCTATTGGGATATTTGCAGCAAAAACCTTGCCTATATCCCTGCCACGGTCAGCGTCAACCAAAACGAGGCTACCGACAGTTATGGGAAACACTGTTTTTTCCGAAACTGTGTAAACATCTGTGCGGCCATTCTTGAACTTCACAAGGTACAATGCAGTGGATATTGGCGCAATCACACCTTCGAGATCATGTATAGCTGGGACTGGATCGTACAGGGATCCATGTTGATCGGGATCGTCAAGATAGCCTTCAAGACCCGGCTCTTTGAGAGCTTCATGTGCATTGGCAGTTTGGACTTGATTTATCGATGTTGGACCATTGGGACTCAACGATTCGCCTTGATCCCAGCTTGTTTGTGGAGACAGTGGGGGAGAGACCATCACAGGGCGGGGATCGCTTGCGGTCACGGTACCAGATTGAGCAGACGAACCTCCCAAGTGAGCAACTTTGCAATTACCTGACTCAAACCAAAAACAAGAAGGCGATAACAGAGAAGAGCTCGGTGTGCTTAAGGCAGCTGCATGTATAGATGCGTTCAAAGGTGGCGAGGGAGCTCTAGCATCCCTGCGGTTGGTCGACATTTCAACAGATGCGGGGCTAAGGGAGGCCACGTGACTGCTCGCTTTAGAAGTGGTGGGGTCTGGCAGTCGTGGGGGAGATCCCCATATATTCCAGCAAGGCTGAAGGTCGCCAACTTCGCTACCCCAAGCAGCCCGCTTTTTAAGTGGGCTCTGTGGAGTGTTATTTGAAGGCTGCGTGTGCCCAGCAGCATACAACGCATTTGAATGCTGACCAGAAGGGTTGGCGTACTCTTGTTCAGTCACCTCATTAGATGGAGATTGAGCACATCCATTAAATCTGTAGTTCCAGTCAAATGGTGCGATTTCTTGTTGTACAAATGCACTCCCGCGGTAAGCCATTTTAACCAGTTTAGCTTGGAAAAGTTGTTGGTCTAGCTCGTCGGTTACAGCAATCAACGATGTAAAGCCAATTTAAGTAGATCTGAGGCTCAATATATTACCTGGATGAGCTAGAGAAAAAAAAAATTTCACTGTCAGTTGAAAGATGTTTTAGCTGTCGACTGGCCTAACGAGGCATTTGAACAGAAAGCAGAGTTGATATATACTCACGTCATGTATGCATGCACCCCACATGATAATTTAAATTTAGGGTTGGAACAAAGCAAAGTGCCGCAATACCCCTCTCCACAAATTCTTGTATTGAGAACTGATCCCCTTCCAGGCACTCTTCAGGGTACAATTGCGAGATTTTTAAGTACTGAAGATAGTTACAGTTTAATTACTCATTTTACTCTTGTTTATAATGACTGAAGAGGTTTCAGTTAGCTTCTATTCGGGGTGTTAACTCACGCAAGATTTCTGCCTGCTGGTGGTAAGGGTGCGGAAAAGCCCAAAGGCAGACGAAACCTACGGGTTGCTCAAGCGGTATCGAATATCCCTCGAGCCAAACAACTATTGACGGAGTTGTGGATTGGTTCATCAATAAGTTCTTAGTTTCTTACTTTTTCCTTTTTTCCGGGCGCTACTCACAACAGAATGACAATTTAGCCTGCACGTGCAAGACTCTCTTCCACTACGAGACTGTCACCTGACGCGCTCACCTGACAGTCAGGATGGTCCCATGATGTGACGATGATGTTGTGTAATCTGGTGCTTTCACGCAGCCCGCACAGGTAGAATGTTTCCCACCGTTTAAAAAGCGGGTGTTGCTTTCGGACATGTTGTTGACTGTAGGAAACGTAGACGGGAAAGGCTATTCTAGACCTACCACCGCATGTATTAGCAAATATTATTACAGTGTGCCAATTCAGTTATGATACGTGCAGATTCTTTTATAAACATGCCGTTGAATACTGGAAGTCCAGTTGAAAGCCATCTTGTGATCAAAAGTTGTCGAGTGTGGTTTTTCAAAAATCTTCTTCGTAACTATCCTGTGCAACTAACCTGATTGAATTTTGTTGTTTTTCTTGCCTCCAGTGCGTCATACATAGGTGTCTAAAAATTTATGTTAAGCGATTAAGAACTACTTGTTCTTATTGAAGTAGTGACTAGACCCTTAGCATAGAACTCTGGAGACTTGGATGCTTGATTAGCTAACGTAACCAACGACAGAAACCAACGTAACATCAACCTTTACTTGCCACCATGTCCGAGGATCAGAAGGTGCCTGTTGATGAAATGAACGCACAAACTGTCGGTAACTCTACACCAGAGACTGCTAACAAAGACCTTCTACAAGTGCGCGTTAGTGATAGCAACACCGAAGTTTACTTCCGTGTAAAACGAGACACACCGTTACGCAGAGTTTTTGAGGGTTTCTGTAAGAGAACCGGCAAAGACATGAAATCTCTACGTTTCCTTTATGAAGGAGAACGCATCAACGAAGATGATACACCGCAGTCTTTGGATATGGAAAACGAGGATCTTATCGAAGCACTTAACCAGCAAGTAGGAGGCTTATTTTACAGACAGGGGTGAATAGCTAGTTACAAAAGATCGCAGAACGAGTTTTGTGACTTCTAGAATCAGGACTCTGCCGGAAGCACAGGTTTTGGAGTAGAACGAGACTTCAGAAAAAACTGACAGTAGTTGCCATTTATTACACCGATTGTTATATTCAATATAAGTAGTATGACGGATCACGCTGGAACTAGGCTGTTAAATTTATACGTTCAGTATTGCGAAAGATATCGTACTATGGGAGGAAAGCCCTGCAGTTACATAATTTTTTTTTTCTTGATCCATGAGTGAAAAGGTTAGATACTACCTGGAGCAGTCCGTGGCAGAGCTCCAGGATCTTAAAAAGAGGGGTATATTCGAAGAAAATGAGCTTAAAATTATAATGAGGAGGCGTACTGATTATGAACACCGCATAACGTCTAGGACAGCCAAATCTACAGACTTCCTGTCCTATGCCAACCACGAAATCAATGTCGAAAAATTAAGAGCACTCAGATTGAAAAGATTGAGGAAAGGGGGCTCAATCACTGGGTCTGGTGTTTCGGACTGGGCTGGTTCTCGGCGAATTAGTTTCATTCTTGATAGAGCCACCAAGAAATTTCCTCGTAACTTGAGTCTGTGGATTCGTCTCATTGAATATGCCAAAGAGCAAAATTCCCCTAACGTTGTCAACAAATCGATGTCATCTATGCTCAAGTTTCACCCCACAAACCCTGAAGTTTGGGTTTTTGTTGCTAAGTATCAAGCTGAGAACAATGCGTCGATTCAGGAGGCTCGCGCGGTTTTACAACGCGGCCTAAGATTCAATGCAGATAGCTCTTATCTTTGGCTAGAATACATGCGACTAGAGCTGATATACGCTGCAAAAATCTTGGCTCGGCGGAAACTCTTAGGGATCAAAAGCGCTCACAGTATTGAAAACGGCGAACTGAAGAAACCGTCACAGCTCGACTTTTCGGCTTTTGATGTCGCTGCAGCGGAAAAAGAGCTCAATAATTTACCTGACATTAACATTGACATCTTGGGCGACATGAGTTCAAATCCTGTTCTACGTGGAGAGGTCGCGCTAGCAGTGTTCGATGCTGCAATAAATCAAGTTGAAGCCGATGATCAGATCGAGTTCTGCAAGCAGTCTTTAGAAATCCTCGAAAATTTTACAGTTTTCGACCGAATTCATTTGAGCAATCATATTATCCAATGGGCCGAGGCCAATCGACCTGGGGATAGTCGGGTCCATCTCTGGAGGCTGTCTTTACCGGTCCGGTACTGCAGCAATGTCTCTGTGGAGCTACCACAACAGCTGAGATTGCTTTTTAATCTGTATTCGAAGATGTCGAGTCACCCACGCGAAGTAAAGGAACTGTTGCGCGAGTATCTAACTGATCGTTTCTTGCTAGGCTCTGCATCTGCTGAATTGGACCAAAGTCTCAAGCAAGCAGTCGAGCTTTTTATACGTCAAATGTGAAATTTTCGTAGAGTTCTTTTTAAATAAACTTAATATATCATAACTAGCTACTCAAGGTGGCTAAGCAATCCAATTTTGCGACTGGAAATAATCAAAAATTCGGTTAACTTTGTTATCATCCACATTTTGAAGTACCTCCTTCAATGTTTTCTTCTTCATGACTCCCGCAGATTTGACGAGCTCTTGAAAAATCACCTCTTTAATTGCAAGGAACGACCTTGGCAAAATACGTAGTTGAGCACAAAGACCCTTTTCCTGTGGCGTTAACAACTCGATTTCAGGAGCATTTGATACGTCTAGCGGGTTGCTTCCACTCTTTCGGATCTTGATTGTTGGAGGGATTTCATCGGATGTGTTCCGGGAAGGAGGGTTCAGAGATTGGCGGTTTAATATTTGTAGTCGGTGCACCTTATCTCGTTCGTATTTTGCGGCCACAGTTAAACTTTTTATTCCATTTTGCCGATACTCCTGCAACTCAGCAATCCGCCGGCGGTATTGCTGCTCAGCAAGAAGACTTTCGGTGAATTCCTCGAACTCTTTTGGTGGCAAAAGACGCACAAAGGCCCTGAGTCTCATCATCAGATCGCGGTCTTCTTTCGATCTTTTCTTATCTAGATTCGTCAGTCGTTTGTATTCCATCAAGGCATGGGCCAGCATAATTCGTTTGCGTTCCGCACGCCGCGTCAACCTGGTATTATATATCTCCAGAACGGCTAATTTCAACTCGACATCCAAATCGGTGTCTTCAGGGTCGAACACCATATCTTTGACGCTCATTTCAGCCTCATTTTCCGTCTCTACATCAAACTCAAGACGTCCGGGCATGTATCCTTGAACTTCATGACAAGTAGGGACGGATGCGAGCGCCTTTGGTTTGATGGGTGACATCAACGATTGCTGTTGGCGGTACTTCTCTATCCTTGTTTTCCTGGCTTCGATGAATTCTTCAGGAGGTATATTGAATTTCTTGGTGAGATCCGGAATCGGATACGATGCTGAATTCAAAAAGACACGCTGGTAGTGCGCAGCTGTTTCCTCTGGTGTCCGGCTACCAATGTGCTCAGCAATATCCTGCCAGGCACCAATACCATATTGCTCCAACCCTTCGATAAGCATAGTCTCTTCGTCCGCACCCCAATCCTGCTCGAATATGGGATAGGCGTTTTGCTCTATGACATAGTAGTCATGCCAAGGTTTATGAGCCCCAGAGCAAGTCCCCTTCGAAAAGCATGGTACGCAGAGCTCATATTCGTTACACTCCGCACATCTTATCTGCACTAGGTTCGAGATATCGGAGCCACAGCCGTCACAGGTGACCTGCATTCCGTCCTTACGGCCTGCGGTCGTCGACATGACAAATCAGCGCGCCAAATTCCTAAGGTATAACGGTAGCGTATGCAAATAAATTCGATATTGTTCTGTTTGGGGGGACGAGTATGTACAATTTTCACTGAATACTCTCTACGCTCAAATATCAGAGCAACAACAACGGGTCTGAGTTTGAGATCAGTTGACTAAGCTGGTAAGCACCAGCTGTTTAGGGCGCAGGGCTTTTCACACTCACGCTCAGCCCCAATTACGACTCGATGTCGGACTCACGGGCCTCCTCCAACATCGCACAATGGGTCGTGTCCGTACTAAGACTGTCAAGCGTGCTTCGAAGCAGCTGATTGAGAAATACTACCCCCGTCTCACACAGGATTTTGAGACTAACAAGCGTTTGATTGACTCTGTCGCTTATGTTCCCTCCAAGCGTCTTCGCAACAAGGTTGCTGGTTACACTTCGCACCTCATGCGCCGTATCGCAAAGGGTCCCGTGAATGGCGTCTCTTTCGCTCTCCAGGAGGAAGAGCGTGAGCGTCGTGACCAGTACGTTCCCGAAGTTTCTGCTTTGGACGTTATTGTTGAGGACGGCTTGCAGATCGATCCTGATACTCAGGACCTTCTCAAGGGTCTCGGTCTCAACGTCAAGGCTAAGGTTGCAGAGGTCTCTGTCCACTCTGTTGACCGTAAATTCCGCAAGAAGAACTAAAATATTGATGTAATCTTCAAACAGCTTTTAGCATAGCTAGCACTATCGTCCACAAATTGTAAAGTCTATGGTGTACTAGCAATTTTTACACAATGCGTTGAATGGATTCGTAGCGTCAGCCTTGAATCATCTATTGTGCACTAAAGACACGAAACACGTATCGCACACTAGTCAAAATGTACAACGAGAACCACCAAGTACCCATGCTTACATGTCGCCTATCTCCGACAAGACGGTTGGCTCCATGTTATAATTCACTAAGATCTATACTCCTAGGATTCTCGAGGCCTATTTCAAATGGTGCATCTATAAGCACACTAGAGGCAATGTATCGTAAATCTAGGCCTTCGTCTTCATCGACGTCGTCAGCAGCTATGCCTTTCATGACTTTCAATGATTGTCAAAAAGCCACATTCAAAATCGAATCGGTGGATACGGGAGATGTAATAGAATTTGATTCTGAAGGTCAGCCAAATTTTGGACTCGTCACTTGGTCTTCAATAGATAATGTCTTCGATGTTGTGGATATTGAAGGAAAAGTGGTGACCGTGCAAACATCTTCGGTTACTTTTATTCTGAAAAGAAATTCAATATTACCCGCCAAAATTCCACAAGATCCTGCAATCATTGCCAAAAGCTTGGCCCAGCTTGTAACTAGCTCGTTCGATCAATGCAAACGGTTCCAACCTTATTTGGATGCAGCGTACGCAGGCATGAGTCTCGACACACAAGTAAGAGCTATTGATTTTGAGCATTTGTGTGCTAAGATTCTGGGCTCAATGGATTTGGTCGACTCCCATACAAAACTTTCTCATCGATTGGCGATATATTTCTTGGTAACATTCTACAATGTGAACTTTTTCAGACTCAAGCGGGGCCCACTTTTGATTGTTGGCACGAGGATGTCTGACTGCCTTAGCAAGGCCATGAAATCAATCAGATCAGGAGAGTTGGACACCTTGGCTAGCGTGCTGAAAGAAAAAAGCAAACACAGAGAACTTAAATTGACGGGCTCAGCTAGAGCGGTGGTTTCTCTTTTGAAGCATTACGTTGTATCACAGGATTGGAGGCTCTTCGATACAGTGAAGGAGCTATTTTCTGGACTTTCCACAGTAAACTCTGGAACGGTAATTTCGCCTATAGCTGTTAAGGACTATCTTGTGGATACGGGTTTACTTTGTTCAAACCCTTTTCTAGATCCTGAACTACTGGGAGTGGTGGAACAAGAGCGCTACACTTTCATTGACGATTCCGAGGTTGCGTCTGTTGCAGTCCCGTTTCCCCAAACTATATATCTCATATCTGATGATTTTGGGATTTCAGTGGATGAGTATCGTTTCGGGAACAAACGAATTTTATCGTTCCACTTTCCTTTTGTACCTTTGAAATCTGTGATGTCATTCAATAGCACTATTGCCGTCCGTGGCAAGTCTTTATCTTCTGCCTCAATTCATCGTCCACTCCTGGAGAACAATATTCGCGAGAGGTTTAAATTCGTTCAGGGAAAGGAGAGTGTTTGCATCAGTATATCTGCTGATGTTTCCGATTGGGCCAACATTTATAGCCCAAATAACCTCAAGCTTTCGATTTCAAGCTGCAAAACAGCGTCTCCTGACAGTCATTCATTTTTCGAAGCAACAAAAAGCCGCGCCAATCCAGGTACACCACTTTCAGACAACGATATCAGAAGGATTAAAGGCATCATAGACACACTGGTAGAAAATTGCAGGTCACACGAGCTTCCAGACTTCGATGTAGACTACGCAGGTCGGAACGACAGATGCAACGGCCTCCGTGTCCTTGCAGGACACTGGGTGGCTCTGTTTGCACAGAAGTGGAGCCTGGATTTTCCGTTCCTGTACAAAGGAATTTTGAAGAGTTATCCTGCCATGAATGACCCCGGCACTGTGGACAGAGAACAGGTTCGCAGCAAACCTGGTGAGTATGCTCCGCTAAATATCCCATCCTATGTCCCCATTGCATTTCCTTTTGATAGCAGTCTTGCGCTCACAACCCAACAGGTCATATGGGAGTATATGAAAGGCGGATCAATCAACCGAAATGACAAAGTTGCAGATGTCTATAACAGAAACATTCTTCCCGGCGTGGACCTTGCGCATTTGATATTTAAACGCGTTGAGTCTTACAACAAATTGGAGCAGCTCCGGAAATCTCCACCAGTTTACTCTCGCTGCTTTTTCCGGTGCATAATGGTACAGGATGGGCTACCGGGAAATATTGCTGCGGCTTACTGCATAGATGAAAGTTGCCTCGTTGAAGTCATGGTCGATACTAAACTTTTTCAAGGTGATAGAATTATTTGCAGCAGAATTGTAGCAATAGATTCTTTGCAAGGTGATATTCTTTTGCGAATTTAGGCTTGAAACCCTATCTGGGGTCAATATAGCTTAAGGTGCCCTGTTATTTCGTTGACAAGTGTTACTGGGGCTGGGCCTACTCCTAACACGGTGGTGGTACCTGGGTCGATTTGAGTTCGACCAGCATCAACAATAGCACAAGCAGTGACGCCCAAACGAGCTGCGCGAACTTCTAACCTCCTCAACTCCGCCTCAGAGTCACACTGTAAGGTTATTTTGGCCTGCCCCGCCTTTTTCCAAGTACTTAAGAAATCTGGGTTACTTTTTTGAGCTTCCTCATAACACGCAAGAGCTGCATGTGCACATTGGGCTGCTACTTTACCCTTGGTCATAGGAAGATCACGTCGAACCACCAACACCATCTTGAATTCACCACGGTTATCGCCGCTGATCACAACCGCGGCCCTCTTACCTCCGGTACCTTCCTCCGAGTGGGTTCTTCCAAAAACATAACCACCGATAAGGCCCATGAGGAACATCACCATCCATACTCTAGGTTCGTTTGCTGTCATTAGGGATGATGACTATTCCTGCTTCGAATAACCTTACTACAAACTGGCATCTTTTCAATCAGTTTGGATTAAGTATTATCACTATAGGCTAAAAAATTTTGCTGACAACAATTGAATAATTGCAAGAAACCATTGGTGTTATCAGTTTGGGTGGAATTTTATCTTGATATGGGCAATTGAACTTGTTTTGACAATCACGAGTCCGCAAGTTACTAACCATGGACACCCTCTACATTCGAAACTTGAATGAAAAACTGGGTGTACAGAAGCTTAGAGCTGAGCTGATAGCTATTTTTGCAAGATTTGGTACGGTTTCCGGTATACAAGCACGTAAAACTTTGCGGCTGAAAGGACAAGCGTTTATTTCATTCGAACTTGCCGCCCATGCTGAAGCTGCCCGGGAAGCATTAAACGGCCAAACGTTTCTAGGCAAACCCCTAGACGTTCAATTTGCCAAGAATAGCTTAAGGGTAACAATTGAAGGTGAAAAAGCTGCACACCCATCTTCCCAAGGGCATACAAATGAGAAACACCGTTCGAAGCGTAGGTCGGAAAGCCTTCATACGTCTCAATCGAAGCGGCTCAAAGCAACGGAAAAGCCTAATAAAATTCTGTTTGTTGAGAATCTAGCCGAATCTATATCTCAGGAGGTATTCTCGAGTGCATTTAATGAGCTTCCGGGATTTGTAGAAGCCCGTTTGGTGGCTGCTCGCGCGGTTGGTTTTGTTGAGTTTCTAACAGTTGAAGACGCGATTGCTGCCATCAAAAAACCTCTCATTTTCGGTGAGAAATCAGCTCATGTGTCTTTTGCTAAGCACTAGGCTAAAATACTTATTTATATGCTCTGTTTTGCCAGCTCACTTCCACCAGCCATACATGGATTCCTTGATAGACTTAACAAGCCCTATCTTGCGGCTTCCCCTAGCAGCCTCCCGGACAATAGTAGCATAATATGTTCCATTCCCATCTGGATGCAGCATATCGTCGCTCACATTGAATTTTTTGTAATATCTGTCTTCCTGTAAGTGATTAACGGATGCCACACGTAACTTTAATGCTTCTAGAGGAAGGTCTGTGTTGCTTCGTTCGTAGAGTTTTATTTGGGCCTGCTTGAAAGAGGGATAGATTTTGTTCGCGTCACTTGGCCACTTTGAAAAAGCCTGCACTAGAGCTCGCATAGTGGAAATTTTGTTCCCCAAAGACATATGTAACCTAATAGGAGATGAATAAGCTACTCGAAGTTAAAACCAGGTCCGCAAGATAAGGAGAGAGACACCGTGTTAATACATCTCAACCGGTTCACTGTTATCCTTTATCTCTTCGCTAAACGCTTATTATGGCATCGGTTATTTCTAGTCAAGGTACAGAGTTTGAAATTTTCAATTGAGAATCTCTGCGTGTTTTCTTGGAACGGTGGCTTTAGCTTGGGCGTGATCCACCGATACTTCATTTGAATCTCTGGCGATGCTCTACGGCCATCTAGGAATCCAAGCGACAACCATTTTACATAATTTCCCGCGTTAGACCCATACTTATCACACTAGCGGCTCAAGTAACAGCTGCTGCTTGCTGCACGGCCCGCATGATATCACAGCCACCCACAAGTTGGGAAAGAGAGGCTGGCTGTTGAGCCATTAATGGCAAGTTTTATGCACTATCACTAAAAAATCATGACATATGCTGTTAATGCTGGGTCACAGAATATAAACCAGACTTCCCCCTCTCGCCTCTTTCTCTTTCGAAATCACCCCACGGTTTCTTCCAAAACCAACCAAGCCTATTCAGCCCCATAGCCGTTAACAGGCATAAAACCATGAATTCTTTGACAAGCCTATACTCCCCTACGCTTCTGAATATCGATTTTGACTTACTTGTCGACAATGCGACTAAAAATCGTATTGGTCCGAGGCAAAAGCCACCGTCCTCATATTGGCGTGTTCCAGACAAGCAACAATACCTTACATCAATAGCCGTGCACGAGTCACAGTCACTATGTGCTGTTTCAAGTGGATCGCGCTCCAATAATTTGTTCATTTATGAATTGGCACCAAACTCAGGAGTGCCCACACTAACACATCACCAAACTATCTCCCTTCCAGAGATACACTCTTTGTGTTGGGTCTCACCAGCCAGTGATCTTGGCTCACATGGCAATGTGCTTGTTTCAGGTCACAAGGGAGGGCTAGTACATATGACACTACTTCCGGACACTCATTCGTCGGATGTGCCGGCGGAAATCCTGAAACGCTTCAACCACTCTAGGCATTTACCGGCTAGTGCTCCTTCTTTGAGGATTAAAAACCTGGCTTTGACAAGTGCGAGCTGGTCTACATTTCCTTCATCGGGTATTATAACACAATGTGGAGATCATTTGTTTCTTTGGGACCCCTCCCGAAGCGACCTTCCCTTGATCAAACAAAAGCTTCGCGGTGATATCACTTCCATGGACCTATGTACAACAAGAAACGGAATCATGGCCTTCGGTGGACGTAAGGGTGTCTCTATCCGTGATTTGCGTGTCAAAGGTGGAAGTGGTTTATCTCCCCCCGACCCTGCAAATGAGCAGGCGACCGTGGTAAAGTGGTCACCCCACAACGACAACCTAGTTGCCTCGGTTCACAACCGCAAAGAAATCAAAGTGTGGGATATCCGCGCCAGTGGACCTGCGTCCTCCTATTCAGGACACTCGGACTGGGTCACAGCAATTGAGTGGGCCAGAAACGAGCCGACTGAGATCATTTCAGCTTCAAACGACGGTACAATTCGTGTTTGGGATATAGTTAAGCCTGACCGCCTATGTGGTACCAACCATTCTGTGCGGCAAGAACTGGACTGGGCACCGTCCAAAAACTGGAAAATGTACCAAATGCGTCAATTTAACGATTTGGAGCTTGACACCCTTGCTCGAAACTTGCTGTCACCATCACAGCCAATGATTTCACAAAACAGACACTTCACTGCGATGAAGCTTGCATCAAGAGGTGCAGTTTCCATCGACAGCGAGGGGTATTTTGGATATCACTGCCTACACAACGAACTTTACAGCCCGGTGCTGGCGCCGTCAGAATCTGATACCAGTGATGGTGACTTTTTACCCCCCTTATCACCAACATAAATGTAGTTTTCCCAATTATTAACTCCATGATAACACTAGCTATAAAGAGCTTCAACCAGCACAAGGCACCTTCTAAACCCCACGAGAGCGAGCCTCATAAGTTCCGGTTGTGTCTTCATACTCTGTAACAAAGAATTCCTCGTGTTTCATAAGCCAACGCATAAACCCTTCCAAAAGAGCACGTAAAACATCAACTGCTTGGGTATCCATACTTGTATAGGCTAACAATCCAGGGAAAGAAACAAAGAGACGGAGTAGGTGCTCAGCTCCATAGATTGCAGCGGGCTCAACTGTTGTATGATTTCGGCGAAAGTCGAAATACTGCTGGCGTTCAAATCGGTAAAGTAGTAAGCTCCCCAGTGATCTGTTGAAGTATAGCTTCAGACCCGAAAGGAACTCTTTAAGAACTTGCTTTTCACCAGAAACTTCGGAATATTCTGCTTGAGGCTCAAAGGTTGATTCCCCTAAATGCTCTTCGGCATAGCTAACCAAGATGTCGTTCACGCATGGTGTTCTAGGCAAAGGCACCAGTTTGTGATCTTTAGTGATGAACTCCCAGTCGTCGACCAATTTTGACTTCAGGCTTGTTGGTATCGCAATTTCTATCGCTGGGCGTTTCTGATAGTCTACTTCACGTTCAATATCCGGTTCATGTGTTGGACCGCGACTACGTTTCAAAGCCCTGTCATCTTTCTTCGGCGTTACTTCTCTTTCTGCCTCACTCCTTCGTTTGTTACTCTTACTGGTGTGTGGCTGTACCGAGTTAGATGGATTGATCTTTTTCTGCGATGCCAGCGCGGCTTGCTTAAGCTCTTTCTGCACTTTCAGGTTGTCCTCATTCCAGCTAAGAACGCGGTCTTGGCCTATCCACTCATCCCATGTGGACTTCCATCCTTTGTAGTGAACAAAATATCCAGTCGTATCACCTTCTAAAATATGCTTAGGAACATGATGCCCGTTGGCTTTACTCACCTCTACCCCGCCGCTTTCTGAACTCGCACTTCGAGCAATAACCTTTCTATTGGTTGCATCAAACACTTTTAAAACTTTTGCTTCGTACAATAGAGGTCCATGAAAGGCTAAGCACCTAGAACCGACCTCCAAAACATCGACGTCCATGGGGTGCGATAGGTAGTTATTATGAACGTGTGTGTCAGCACGTTGATTAGCTCACTTGAACCCCTCTGCTTTTTATCCGACTGCAACCATTTTACCCACGTTACGTTGAAACTTTCAAAGGATATTGGAACTCACTATACAGTCGAGTTTTGGTAACTATATCTCCTTGGTGGTTTTTGTAAAACTCGGTACCCAGGACCAAGTCTCTTGCAACTTTTTCTCGCGGGTTGTATTAAGTCGCGATGTCGAGGCTCACGCACGAGCTAAAAGAGAGTCAATATACGTCCTCAACAACCAATATTGCAACACAGGTGGATGATTCGAATGAGTCTGTGAGGTCTGGTGAAGCTACGGTAGCCACTGAAGCCACTGCGGTCAGCGAGCAGAATAATCCTCACCGATTGGATCGCCAAAGCTATATTCAAGGTCTTACCTCCAAAAAAGCACATGGTTTCCGTAAAACCACAACTAGGATTGCGAACAATAATACCACCCAGCGGATTTATCGGTTTATCAGAAGACCTCTGAAACGTGGTGTTCGTGCTAAGGCCAGAAAATGGTTCAGGCGGCTTTGTGCGATGTCCGTGAGTGAGCTTCTATACAAACTATCATTTCACTTTTTGTCCGTTATTTTTATCGGACTAATCGTATGCACAATGGTAGATATTATTCCACAGTCTCTGGTAAGCGGTCAGTTTTGGAATACTATCATCATCATCTTGACCTGCGCTATCATCTTTGTTTTGGCCTTAATTCTATACATTGTTCGTGTGCTAGATACCCGAAGATCGGTCAACAGGATACCCCGAGCTTACCTAGTGCAGGACTTAGGTCTCCCGAAGAAATCATTTAGCATACTGGCAGATGAGCGGAAGCGTTGTATTGATATCTACAAATCACAAGTAGATATTAAGACCATTCATCATCCTGGACTTTCTAATCCTGGTTCTGAACTAGGATCTTTGGGTCATTTCATGGAGACCATTGAGTCTATACCTCATTTTATCGAGTGGAAGGTGCAGAGTATCGACTCTAGATTTACCAGACCAGTGGGTTGTGATTTCCGTTCTTACTTGGAACTAATTGTTGCTCATCATATTGTGGATCAAGAAGATTCTGGCTATGTTGAGGGTTTCATAGATCGTTTTGAGCATGCGAGGTTCAGTGGAAACCAGATCACTGAAACTGAATTCAAGAACTTGATGCTGGCGATGTGTAGCGTTTTAATCGCTATTTCGCGAAACAGCCAAAACTTTGGTAAAGGCGAACTACTACCATATGGTATTGAACTAGAAAGTCTTCTTGATGCGGAAGCACCAATACCGGACGCAGCGAGCTCGCATACACGCTATTCAGCCGTTAGCGAAGCTGTTCAAGCTGTCGAAAGAAAAATGAGAACCTCAACATAGCGACAGTTCACATTCCTCTCGAAGCTTTTACTCGGTTTGCGATCATGTACTAATCTTTTGCCTCCGCAGAAGAATAATAACAATGTGGCGATGTCTGGAGACGCGTATTCTCGGTCTAATTTATTTTACGCTCTAAGCTGGTTGAATGAAGCACTGATGTCAAAAGCTAAAACGACACGTCTTCAAGTATAGAGCACAGCTTAATTGATGAGATCTTTTATATATAAATAATGTGTGCATGGACAACTTAGTACTCATGGCATGTGATCCGGGACCATAAGTGTGCTTTCTCTGAACTCAGGCGTGGCCTAATGCCAAAGCATTCCTCAGATTTCAATGACTTTCTCTTGGGCTCAAGAACTATCGGGGCAGTAATCGCTGTTAGCTTACCGTTAAGACACATCAAGTTTTGAAGTGCAAACATACGAAGGTATTCACTATTAGCTCGAGCGAGTTGAGGTTTCTGGTAAACCAGTGGAATCTCATGTAGATTGTACATGATCAACGGCTGATCTACTGTTTTGCCTTCTTGGGAGACGGTCCTGCAGTTTTTCCCTGAGTTTTGACAATTCTTCTTGAACCCCTCTCTTTTGAACTTGCCAGAATACTGATAAGAATTGAAAACATGACACTCAGGTGCCGCACAAATTTGAGAGAGAAGAGCTCTTTTTTTTAAATATTCTTCGTATCTTTCGTCGTACTTTAAGGGATGGTAGAAGCAAACTTCACGCCGTGTAGCCAATACCCTACGCTTAATCCGATCTATTGTTCTACCAGAGCTGGTTAAAGTATCCTTAATATCATATTCGAGTGGGGGCGGATCGTCAATCTCTGGCGGCGTGTTGCCAAGGTCTTTGAAGGAAATGTCGCCCATAATCTCGTCAGTTACTCTTCCTTTACGCAAGGATTGAAAAGAAGGGACCATCATTTTCTTTACAAGTGCGTTAATCTCTGGTGAAAGCTCATTTCTGTTCCTGGTACTCGAGTAGGTAGGCATGGCCTGTTTACAAGAGCTCAGCGCGGCACATCACTGGTGAACTTTTGAGGGTTAGGTGCCCTCTAGAGAGTAATATGGCAGAAAAAAGCTACGCGAGCTCTGAAATTGAGCAAACCCTTCCTCTGACAACAGGAACAAGACATTGATCTGAAATACATTTTTTATCGATTCGGTTAAGTTACTTGAATCAAGTTTTTAAACTCATGGCTGCGCTTGCTATAATGGTCATGCCTTGTCTCATGCTTTCCTTTATTACAAGAAATCCCAGTCCATTCTCGAGATTAGTTTTGTTCGATTGTGAAATAAGTTAAACTATTCGATCCGTCAACTTTTGTTAACCCTATACTCCCCAGCCAATGTTCAGATATTGTTACTAAGGAAGCCCATCCTGAGTCTTCCAGTGAGCCCTGTAATGCTGTCCGCGAGTCAAGAACGGTTATTGGCCGAGGTTTTAGAGATCACAAATATGCATGAGGACGTTTCTTCAGCAATATCATTACTTCAAAGTGCCAATTGGGATGTCGAGAGTGCATTAAACGCATATTTTGGTGAGACCTTGGGAAGCTCAGCAAACGCCCACAACGCGAGGGCCCATGTTACTCTCGTCGAAGACTTGAATCAAGATCTAACTACCAACCAAGCGCCTCAAAATGTTGCTGGCCCCTCAGTGCAATCTGTGGGCGAGGGCTCTACACTTTTATTGTTGTTGAGGCCTTTCCGGTTTGGATTCAAAATGATAGGAGGGCTTCTGCGTTTGGCCACCTGGATATTTCCTTTTTTCCCGAAATTTTTTGGATACTCATTGGCTACCTCTACTGAAATTAGCATTGGGCCTAAAGAGAGAGCCCGCGAGCACCTTGCCTGGTTCAATCACTTATTTGATAGTGCACTTCAGTTTTTCGAAGGTAGCTACCTGGACGCGTTATCCCAATGTAAGGCTGAGCTTCGTTATCTGCTTGTTATCATCACAAGTCCTGATCATGAAGACATGGCGTCCTTCGGATCTGCTGTTGCTGATCCAAAATTGTCGGACTATGTCGTCCAAAACGATATTGTAGTTTGGGCAGGGTCTGTTCGTGAAAGTGAGGGATACCAACTTGCAAATGCGTTGGACGCTACGTCGTTTCCGTTCATAACCCTGATCGCCCCATGTCCCAAAACCCCACAAAGCAATACCGTTGTTATGACTAGCCTCTACAAAAAAGCGGGATTTGACAATTTCACGCCTGAAAATATCGCTCGAAAACTAGATGAGGTAACAGATGAGCATGGCCCTAAACTCTTGGCACTAAGATTAGAGCGCCGCCAACAAGAGCTTTCCCGCGAGATCAGATCCGAACAGGATGCTGCGTACGAAAGAAGCCTTGAACAGGATAGTGCTCGCGAAGCAGAAAATGCACAAAGAAGACGAGACATCGAAGCAGCTGCAGTCGAAAAACAGCTCTATTCCACCAAATTAGTTCGTTGGAAGTCCAAAAAGGCTTCAGAGTTTCTCAAAGAGCCAACTGGTGAAACCACACGGGTCTCATTACGGTTGGCTTCAGGCGAGCGGGTTGTACGAAAATTTAGTTCTACCGACACTATTAGAACAATCTATGAGTTTGTACTCAGCTTTGGAGCGACACCCGAAGACACCGATGCTGATGCGTTCATACCGAGATTTGAGTTCGAGTTAGTATGCCCAATGCCAAGGAAACTGATCCCACTAAGTGACAATCTTGTGAGCGAAGAACCCTCCATCTGGCCCACTGGCTCCCTAATAGTGGAGGAAATGGATGATATGTCAGAATAAATATTACACATTATAACAAAGTCAAGTATTTAAATTTTGTAGTCGAATTTTTCAGCTTCTCCAATATGCGTGAGTATTTATCAGTGGATAGTGTCTTAGTACCCCTAGGCTGTCAGTGTGTTTCTGTATAATGACGTATGTTCTTGCGCGTGTATTACTCTTACTGTGGCGCGTCGCATTAACATAGAGCCAGTAAAGGATATATCTAAAATGCCCACTCATTATGAGTTTGAAATACCATTGCTACTTTTCTATTACATGCCACTTTTACCTGAAATACTAAGAAAACAAATTTATGACACTTAGACATGACTTCTCTTAGTTTTGGTCAAGGAAACCAGTTGATATAAATAACAATAAAAATATTTTTGATACTACTTTATAAACGTTCTTTTATAATATATGGTGTTCGTATTATGTGTAGTAATACCTTCAAGTATCTTAATTGGTCAATTGTTTTTTGGCATGCTTTTTACCGTTAATGTTAATAATACTATTAAATTTTATATTCATGTAATTATGTAATTATGCCTGTTATTTGGTTATCTTATTTAGTTAGTAATGTATTCAACAAATTCTATTGGATGGTCGCTTATGGCCAGGGGTAGCTGGAACGGCTATTATGAGGCACTTAGAAAGTAACAACAACCGGTCGCCACTGTTCTACAAATGCACAGAAATTTTTAACTGATTCGTATACGTAGGCGTGAAGTACTTGACTTTAGCGGCCTAAGTAAATCACGCATTTGAAATCGCGTCATAGCCAACATACATCGAGCCCGGTCAATTGGGGCGAGGTTTGCACTGGTAAACCCAGCCGGAAAAACTACCGTTCAACCTAACCCTGTATGTTGATGTTGAGTTTGTTGAAGAACTAAAATAGCTACGGGAGCGACAGATAATATGCGCAAATGGCTATGAAATTACATTCTAGTTATAGTAGTACTGTTCTAGTTGAGACAAGACCTTATACTCTTTAATTATTCCGTGCTTAGCCCGTAGCCCCGCTCTTACACGTGACTGACGATTACGTTGATCAAATATTGCTGGGCCACGTCGGAGATTTCCTTCCCAACATCAACATGATTCGAGCTGCCAAACGCACCTTGTCTCAGGCCTACCAGCTGAAAAGCAGCTTTAAGCGTAGCCTTAGTACTGCTATCGAAAACGGTGACAAGGAAATCACTCTTGCGCTGCCCGAAGAGGCTTTTGAGCTGTACCATCTGGACAACGGTCCTGATCTGGATTTTAAATTGACCAAACAACAGCTCTTGGATATGTACAGGGAGATGGTTGTTATCCGTCGTATGGAGATGGCTGCCGATGCACTTTATAAGGCGAAGGAGATCCGTGGATTCTGCCACTTGTCTACTGGCCAGGAAGCCATTGCTGTCGGAATCGAATCCGCTATTAATAAAGAGGATACTGTTATCACCTCCTATCGCTGCCATGGGTTTGCATATATGCGAGGTGCATCAGTTGCTAGTATTATTGGAGAACTTCTGGGTAAGGCCAATGGCTGCTCCAAAGGAAAAGGTGGATCTATGCACATTTATACTCCCAATTTTTTCGGTGGTAATGGCATCGTCGGTGCTCAGGTTCCTCTAGGTCTTGGACTTGGTTTTGCCCACAAGTACCGTAATGAAAAATCTGCTTGCTTTACACTGTATGGCGACGGCGCAGCCAATCAGGGTCAAGTTTTTGAAGCCTATAATATGGCTAAGCTCTGGGATGTGCCGGTCGTGTTTGCTTGTGAGAATAATAAATACGGTATGGGCACAGCTGCTTCGCGTGCTTCTGCGTTAACTGACTATTACAAGCGAGGGCAGTACATTCCTGGTCTCAAAATTAACGGTATGGACGTTTTGAGCTGTTATATGGGCTCTGTGTTCGCCAAAAACTGGTGCATCTCAGGAAAAGGGCCACTTGTTTTAGAGTACGAAACTTATCGTTATGGTGGTCACTCAATGTCCGACCCCGGTACCACATACCGCACCCGTGACGAGATCAAACAGATGCGCTCTCATCACGATCCTATCAATGGTTTGAAGGCGCGACTTCTCGATCTTGAAGTCGCTACCGAACAAGAAATCAAGTCCGTTGACAAAGAAGCTCGTGCTTTTGTTGAGTCGGAAATTGATGTTGCCCACAAAGCCGAATTCCCTAAAGCGACTCCAGAAGTTCTCTTTGAGGATGTCTACCTGAAAGGAAATGAAATTCCAATGCTTCGTGGACGTATCCCCTCCGAGAATTTTTACTTTAAATGAGCTCTGACTAGCTAGAAACAAAAAAGAACTCTATGTTTGGAAGTGTCACCGTAGTTTTGTTGGTAGTATTTTTCTGATCATGGTTGTTTGTAACTTTTAGTTCAGTTTTTACGCTTTCTCCTAGGACGCATTTTTTTGCACCGATCAACCATCAGTCCCGCTCTTTTCAACATGTACAGACATCCCCTCGAATGGGGGGAAAAAAGAAAAAAAAAAACAATTTGGACGACACCGGAATCGAACCGGGGACCTCGCGCATGCTAAGCGCACGTGATAACCAACTACACCAGACGCCCGATTGTTTGGAACTGTCCTGTTCGTATAATATATAGAGGTACCATCATATGTGAGAGAAAGAGAGAGAGAGAGAGAGAGAGAGAGAGAGAGAGAGAGAGAGAGAGAGAGAGAGAGAGAGAGCGCTTCCTATCTAGTTAGTTGGAGCTTCCCTTTGCCACGTTGCTGATTATGTGTGGGTTCCTCTGACTAACTATTTGCACCTTCCAACTCTGCGAAAGTACTAGCCAGTATACTTCCTGTCGTCTATTCGAAAGCCGCGACAGAACAGTTTTCGTTGGAGTAAGATTTGACAAGAAGCTTAGAAAATCTTGGGACACTGGACTTATGCCTACAGCTAAACTTTCTAGTATTCATTCAGTGCTGTACCAGCTTTGCATGCAGCTTCTAATAATCTGTGACCTGCTCATGATGCAATCATATCTTAGTTGCGTGCTTAAATCGTTCTTCTGTATTTATTTGCTTTGGTCTATTGCTTTGGTATATTGGGCCACGGTAGTTATTATCTCCACTGTTCAATGCACATTCAGCCAGCCACCTATGCAACTTAATTACATGCCTTATATATTTTCCACGCAAATCCGTAGACTCATTCGAACAGTCAAGACAAACTCGCATATACATGGCATTCACACTGCTAAACAGAAAGCCTGAAAACTATGGCACAGAGAGCACGGATGAGAACCATAACTTGTGCTTGCGTCGCGCATGAGTGCGACCAATACCGCTTATGAATGAATAATAGCTCGATTAAGGATCACCTCATCACGATAGCCAACCGTTAAACATGAGTGCACCCCGAAGCAATAAAACCAAAGTAGTAATTGTTGGTGCCGGACCAGTTGGGTGCGTTTGCGCGTTAGCTATGAAAAAGAGAGGCCACAATGTCGTCATTTACGAGGCCAGAAGTGACCCTCGTCTAAATCGCAACGGCAAAGACACATTGCGGTCCATCAATCTTGCCATCAGTGCGAGGGGAATCAGGACGCTGAAAACATTAGACTATGGCCTTTTTGAAAGGATTGCGAGTAATTTTGTTCCCATGCAGGGCCGCATGATCCACTCTTTGAAAGGAGAGCAGACCAGTGTTAAGTACGGCCTAAATGGTGAAAGTATCAACTCGATCAGCCGCTTAGAACTGAATCGACTGCTTTTGGAGGAAGTTGATCGCGCAGGAGTGGAGATAAAGTTCGAATACAAGTTGAAGTCGGCTACTTTTACAAGTCAACCTGAGTCTGTTTATGAAACAAGCCGACCGGATCGCGCCAGTAGGGAGGTGAAAGTTCGCTCAGATGTTATTATTGGATGTGATGGAAGTCATTCAAAACTAAGGTATGAAATGCAGAAAGCTTGTGATATGAATTACTCGCAAGTTTTTATCGACCATCACTATATCGAAATGGTCGTGCCATCTGCTAATGATGGTGGCTACGTTTTCAACCCGAATCATCTGCACATATGGCCTCGTAAAGACTTCATGTTCATTTGTTTGGCCAATAGCGATGGCTCGTTCACAGGAACATTGTTTGCTCCCCGCCAGCTTCTGGATTCGTTGAGCACCTTCGAACTGTTCCTCGAGTTCTTTAGAACCAACTTTAACGACGCTTTACTATCTATGGGCGAGGAACTGCTTTCACAGTATTACAAAAATCCTCGTGGTAAGCTCATGAGTGTGAAGTGTACACCGTACCACTATCGAAACATTGCCATAATTTTAGGCGATGCAGCTCATAGCACCGTTCCGTTTTACGGCCAAGGACTCAACTGTGGTCTGGAGGATGTGCGTGTTTTAATGGAGTTGATGGATAAGTATCCATCTCAAAAGGCGTTCTCCGAGTACTCCATTATCCGTCATGACGATTTGGTAGCTATCAATGATCTGTCCATGCGCAATTATATCGAAATGCGGCACTCAGTGAGTACTCTAGGTTTTGCGTTCCGGAAGAAACTGGATGCCATCCTGTGCAAAGTCTTGGGAGACCGCTGGTTGCCACTTTACACTATGGTATCATTTAGGCCGGACATAAGATATTCAGAGGCAGTCCGGAGGGATGCGCAGCAGGCCCGTATTTTGAGAATTCTACAAAACGCTATTGTTTTTGGCGCTGCAAATGTAGTGCTTGCCGCTGGTGTCCTTGGACACCGACACTTGCTGAGCACGTCTGGCTATATTCATGGCTATTGCAGCAACGGAACTCAGTACGTATCCAACTCATTGGCATGGGTATGGAACGAATCGAGCCGCAAGATATCTGATCAGATCGAACTTTTTCAAGAGGTACTACCCAGCCTGACATCTTTCCCATCCGCCGCTGGCTCAATTATTTCTAACACCGGGAGGATGATTCGACAAGTCCTCGAATACCAGTTGACTCAACTCAATCGTATTCGCCAAACCGTTGAGGAGAGAGCTCGGGCTATCTCAAACTAGTTGTAGATCCAGCTGAACTGTTGTAGTGTACTTTCATAATAAATTGACTCGAATCAACGTGGCTTGGCTGTGCATTGCTATTTAACGAGATATGTAATTAAATTCTACAGAGGCCAGCAGCCGTCAAGAGCACTCAGTACAGTTTACTGCAGTAGAGGTGTCTCAGCGCCACTCCACCAAGTCAGGACGAGTGACAGACCAACAGTGTCCAGGAGAGACACAGCAGCATGAGCTGCGATAGCGTCCAGGTTCTGCTTGTTGACGAAGAGACCATTGACCAATGCGGGACCGCTGTTGACAGCAAAGAGCAAGGTGCCCACGATTGTGGCAGCTTTATAAGTGGTCACATTGGCAAGCTTCAAAAGGGCACTGACAGCATAAGACTGGCTCAATGAGACAAGACTGGATGATGTGAGAGCAATTGCAGCCGAGGCAGTTTCATCAGACCGAACGGCTTGGCCGAGCGAGGAAGAAGCACGTGCCTTTTGGAAAGCTGCACCAAGAACTGGACGGTTGAGGATGAATGAAGTAGCATGCGAGTACAAAGCACCTACGGCAACAGCAGCAGGGCTAATGGCGGGGAAAGATTCATTGATGGCAAGAGACATTTTTGGGATAATCGGAGGTTGGTAAGACAAATGTGCTGAACGCACTATTTAAATGCTATATCCCCATACATGTTTTAGGTAATTGTGGCCAAAGCAACGAATACTTGCATGAATGCCCCCAACCTGGGCAGAGCGCCTGCATGAGCAGCGGTGGGGTGGTGGGTCAAAGAACTGCAGTTGCTTATAACTCCGGTATATTTAACATACACAGCCGCAATTATTATTGATATATACCACAGTTTCACTTTTTGTAGCTTAGTACTATGAAGACCGTAGTGATGTTCTGACTTGGAGCAAGCTCCCCATAATTAGATGCCTGCGCTCCTTATGCGCGTGCGACGGCAACAGAAGCAAACAAGCTGTGGCAACTCTTGTGGGGCCGAATCGTCAGCGGTAAACCAACCGTCAGTTGTATTTTTAAGACGGTTCAAATACTGTTTGTTTCCGCACTAACTGGTTGAGCGTTAAACAAACGCCCGTTCAATGCTCTGCTTCGAGTGCTCGACCCGGAACCTTCGGATATATCCGCGAAAGGCAAATTGCTCAAGCAGTGGTCATAGTATCGATTTGAAAAGAAGCGTATAAAGTTACCGTCATTCACAGTGATTCGTGAAACAGCATGCCCACCAAAATTTGAGGACTGCACGTGTTTTATGAAGCACGTAATCTGGTACGGGTATGCATATTCATACAGTTCGAAGCCGGAACTGGATCGGGGACTCTAAGAAGATATGTTGACAAACTTGGAACCGAAAAGCATAAGTTAAAGTAATAAATAAAGGCACTTAAGATCCCGAATTTGCTTTCACCTCTTTCGAGACCCTAAGCTCAGCCTCGATTTTGTCAAGCGCTCGCTTAGCATCTAGAAGAAGGGAAATAGACTGTAAAAGCGTGTCAAATTTCGCGGCAACTTTAGCGGTGGGCATTATTGGGCGCATAGGTATACTGAGCTCATTGAATACGCTTTGAGCTCGGGATGCCTGGTTCTGTTTCAACGTAGTCAACTTAGCGGACCGGAGATAAACGCCAGGAGCGAATTTCTCATGGTATGTGATACCGTATGCTGCTTCTTCCTTTGTACTGAGACGCTTTTGAATGATCTGTGCCGCTAGACCAGATTTAGCCTCATCCACATGCCCTTTCTTGAATGCTGGGCCGCTCTGCGCATTCACAATGTTCACATGTTCTTTCGGTTTACGGCTTTTTTCGGCCAATAACTGCTGATGGAGAGAAGTAACACCTTGGCTTGACTGGTATTGGGCGATGCTGCCAGTTGCAGCAGGGGTATCCAGAAGGGAGATTATTTCCGCTCTCTCATGGGCCATCTGATCAGCGAGAGCTTCCAGACGTCGACATTCAAGAACGAGCGCCTCTTCCTCAGCAACTTGGTTTGGTGACCGCGACATCAGTCTCTCTAGATGAGCTTTTCTCTTGACCTCATTCTCTTTAGAAAAGTTCATCTGTTCGAGTAACTCCTCATCGTTAGGCGACAGATAAGAACTCTTCCTAAGCAAAGCGCTGCAAACCTCATAATAACGAGACTTTAAATCCTCAATGGTTCGCAGCTGAGAAACATTTTGTATTTGATCGTCAGGCGCGTCACTTTTTTCAGCTCCAGCCTCAACTGATGAATCAACACTGCTTCTACGATCCAGGACTGATTGATAGTCGTATCGATCGTGAATTACAAGCCACCTCAAGTCGAATTCACGGCAAAGGTCGAAGAGGTAGCGTGTCTCTTCGATAGTCCATTCATCTCGTTTGAAAAGTTGGTAATCCTCATCGGACCACTCTGGAACATTGATTTTGACATTGAACTTTGCAAAACGGTAGATTTCGTCTGTGTCTGGCTGGCCACGGACCCAGTGCTTGAGCACAAGCGAGTCATCGCGGGCCCTGTTTGTGAATGGACACCAATTCCAAGGTGTCGCTTTCTGCCTCCAGTTCGGTTTACCCTTGTAATGATCTGGCACAACCATAACAGGGGGAGTGTTTTCACCCAACAAAGAGTAGAGTTCTCGCTGCATACCGTCAGGCCGACGAACTTCCGTCTTCAACTTTTTCACCGCTGGTAATGACATGATTAGTCAAGGCAACACACTGGGCCTACTTCATCCGAATATAGGACCGTTGCCTTCCTATTCTCTCAAACCATAATTAATCATTTTGCGCTTTTACATAGATATATATTTCGCTCAAGGCTCAATAACTGCTACCAAGTCGCCTGCCTCTACCATATCGCCATTTTTATGAAGAATTTTGACCACAGTTCCCGCCACGCTTGCACATACAAGTAGTTCTGTTTTCATAGCTTCCAAGATGAGAATACAGTCGTGCTGACTGACATTGACTCCTTCTTCAACCATGTTTTTCCAGAACCTGCCTGTCACTTCAGCATAGATCATAGTTGCAGTGTCGCTGAAAATTTCAACGGGGGCCTTCACAGTTTCAGAAGTGGCTTTTGATTCTGATGCTGCTATAACACGAGCAAACTCGTCCTGCCGAGCAGCGATTCTCAAATTATGTGCAGAAATAGTTTGCTCATTGTCTTTCAAGAATTTGTGATAATCGCCAGCATCGAAAACTGTTTCGGTGATCTCCAACTTATAGTCGCCTTGCTCAACTTGGGTAACAAAGCCCTCAAGCTTGTGTTCAGTGACTGGGTAATACTCAATCTGATCAAAGCAAGAGAGTAACCATGGTTTACCATTGGCCGCGGACTCGTTAAGACAGAGTTTATCCCAAATAGGGATTGTGCGTCCGATCAGCTGGTAGCCACCTGGAGATTCCATTGTGTATATACACATGTACATTCCTCCCAAGCCGACAGTACCGTTAGGCGTCCAAGACCGAGATGGGTTGTATTTCGTTCCAAGAAGACGATGACGAGGATCCAAAGGAACAGCACACGGGGCACCAAGATACACATCGCCTAAACCCATCACCATAAAGCGCGCAGAGTACATCATATTGCGCACTTCGTTTCTATCAGAAAGGCCATTCACATCTCTTATGAAATCAACGTTGTTTGGTAGCCAAGGTGCTTCAGAACGGATGGTCTCCTGGTATCGCTCAACTGCGGAGAGTGTCTTCTGGTCTTCGAAAGCCATGGGCAGTCGAATAACGCGAGATTTGACTTTCCAATCGGAGGAACTCTTGATATTGAACTCAATCCCCAATAGGTTGTCCAAGAGCGAACTTTGACTGATAATCGCGGGATCGTACTCGATATGGACACTTCGCACACCCGGTGACATTTCTATAACACCACCAACTTTACCTAGCGTGTGCTCGATTAAACAGTGCACACGATAGCGAAGATTTAAGTCCATAACATTTTCACCATACTCAATCAGTAAGTACCTATCGCCCGCCTGTCGGTACACAACTTTAGGTGAAGTTACGGTCGCTTCTTGGAAAAACAAGATAGGATCCTCGTGAACTTCCTCCAGTGCTGGTATAGGTGTTTCAACACCTATGACTTGCTGATCCACAACCTTCTTTAATATAAGAGCGTGTTCAACTGTAACAGGAGAGAATTTTACCAAATCACCTGGCTTAACTTGACCCATTTTCCAAAGATCTGCTTCAGTGATCACTCCAGCACACACAAACCCACCCAAAGATGGACCATCACAGGTAAGAACAACAGGCTCATCACCTGTAAAATTGATGGCACCTAGTGAGTATACGTAGTCATGAGCATTAGAGGGATGAAGTCCCGCTTCTCCACCATCTGTTCTCGCCCAGTGCGGTTTGGGACCAGTAAGACGAACACCAAATCTGTTTGAATTGTAATGAATTTTCCACTCAGTCTCAAAAAAGGTATCCAAGAACTCTGATTTGAAGAAGTCTGGTGCGCCATGGGGTCCACAAGTAACCGTAACATTCCATTTATTACTGTATTTTGGGATCAGACTCTCAGGGAACTCTATCGGAGCATGCACAGGTGCAGGGATAGTGCAACATGGCAGTTCAGGCTGACCGATGGGAACCACATCACCAAATTTCAATGCACGGCCATTGTAGCCACCAATGGAACCTTGAGCAAACGTCGAGCGGGAGCCCAGATATTCTGGCACATCTAATCCACCACGTACCGCAAGGTAGGCACGACAACCAGAAGAAAGCTTTCCCACAACGAGTTGCTGTCCTGATTTTACGCTTACAGGTGCCCATAGCGGAATGATTGTACCATCTAAAGTGGCTGTACTTGTGCCACCAGTGAGTGCAATCAAGCTGTCGTGATGGAAAACAAGTGAAGGGCCCACTAAAGTACACTCAATTGCCGGTGCAGATTCGTGATTTCCAACGATATGATTCGCGACGCGGAATGCATAGGAATCCATTGGTCCCGATGGAGGTACGCCGATGTGCCACAGCCCCGTGCGGCCAGGGTAATCCTGAATAGTGGTAGCAGAACCAGGCGCAGTGATCTCGATAGCGTGGGGCTTGTACTCGTAAGTATCAAGGGCTTTCGTGAACATCTTGACCTCTTTGAACATTTGAGATCCTGCCACAGAGCGAAGGTAGTCCAAATTTGTGACCACACCAGAAATGATAGTCTCATTAAGGGCTTTTTGAAGAAGTTCCAAAGCGTCCTTACGATTTTTACCATGAACAATTATTTTTGCAATCATAGGATCGTATTCGCTGGAGATAGTGGAGCCTTTAAAGATCCATGTGTCAACACGAGCCCATTTAGGGAACGAAACTTCAGTTATGGTGCCTGGTGAAGGAGCGAAGTCACGTACAGGGTTCTCCGCATAAACACGCGCTTCCATACTGGCACCCGTTGGTATGATCTCATTATCAAAACTAGGGGCACGGTTTGCGGCGATATTTACCATCCACTCGACGAGATCAAGCTTCGTGACTTCCTCCGTTACTGGGTGTTCAACTTGAAGACGAGTGTTAACTTCTAAGAAGTAATACTTGTCTCTTGCGGGATCGAAAATGTATTCAATTGTTCCAGCACACTTGTATTTCATCGCAGCAGCAAGGTCCCGAGCACTTTTACGTAGTGCAGCTCGTGTCTTCTCAGGTAGGTTTGGCGCGGGTGTTTCTTCAATGACTTTTTGATTACGACGTTGGAGTGAGCAGTCGCGTTCTCCTAAATCAATGGCTTTACCGAAGCCATCTCCAAATACCTGTACCTCGATGTGTCTAGCATTTTCAACGAATGCTTCAATAAACACGCCGGAGTCGTTGAAATACTGCAGGCCCTGGTGGCGCACAGTATTAAAGACTTGCGGTAGGTCTGCAGCATTATCAACTCTTTGAAGACCGATACCACCACCGCCTGCTGTGCTCTTTATCATGACTGGGTAGCCGATGCTGTCCGCAGCCTCGAGCGCCTCCTGGATGGACTCCAGTAAACCTGTACCAGGGGTCAACGGAACCCCCGCCTTTTTGGCAATTTCACGTGCTGTATGTTTCATTCCTAGCTCGCGAATAATCTTAGCGGAGGGACCAATGAAGATGATACCCTCCTTTTCACAGAGCTCAGCAAACTCTGCGTTTTCAGCTAAAAAGCCGTAGCCAGGAAGAACGGCCTGGGCACGTGTTTGTTTGCAGGCATCGATAATCTTTCTCATAGAGAGGTAGGTCTCGGCGGCACTCACACCGTGAAGATCCACGGCAACATCAGCATCCAATACATGCTGTACGTGCCGGTCTGGCTCAGAGTACACCGCCACGGATCTGATGGACATCTTTTTCAGAGCCTTGATCATTCGTACAGCAATTTCTCCTCTGTTCGCGATCAAGACAGTATCGAAAGGTTTCCCAATTTTACGATCAGCGATATAGCTGCGCCAACCACCAAATGATGTGATATCTTCGGCGCCTTCGAGTAAACCCGCATTCTCACAAATGAAGCCTTTCACCAATGCACCAGTTTCTAGCTCCAACGTACCTATTCCAAGTGGCTGAGGTACCATTGAAATAAATTCACCAAACCGCTCAACTGGGACATCCCAAACCTCCACCTCGATGGGGGATCCACCAGAGCTCACTCTCTCCAGCCCAGGTTTAGGAGGTGTAGTTTTGAGAGCCCACAGCTTGTACTTGGGGGCTGTTTTAGCCCTAAATGCCAGAGTAGAGTTTACTTTGCGCAACTGCCAGTTCAGGACCATTCCAGACAAGTGCGCACCGACGACAGCTAGTTGCATCGTGCGCCTGGAACAACCGTCCGGCAGAGTGTATCCAACCGTATCGCCTGATTGAGAAACTTTTGCCGGGGTATTTCCGAGTTGTCTGTTTTCGAAGGTCTGTAAAAAGCGTTGAGCAAGTTCCAAAAGTGCGAAATCGTTGAATGCTTCAGACATAAATGTTATACCGAACGGTAACCCATCAGAACGGAACGAAGCAGGGATTGCCAAAGCCGATAGATCCGCCAAATTCACAAAATTGGTATAGGTACCTTGCTGTGAATTGATGAGAAAAGGCTCAGCCAAAACGTCTGCAATCTTGGGATTCAAAGGGCATGTTGGCATAACGAATCCATCAAGATAGCCGAGCTCTGCCCGGAACTTTTTTTTGATTGTTTGTCTAATGTATTCCTTGTCAAAAGCATCAATAGCACTCACACCATGCGCACCACTGATGATATTGTACACAGTGGGATCCATATGTTGTTCGTTTATAAAATCTTTGATCGCATGGTAACGCTCTGCAACCCACGGACCTTCGTATAGTAGTTTTGCAAGCCTGAATAAGTCTGAGCAGTCAACTTCAACAACTTCAATGCCACAATCACGTACTTTATTAACAACTTGATAGAATAGAGTCTCATTCTCAGTTTCACCGTAGAATTCCGGATTCTTGGGTACACCCAAGATGGGTCGCCGGCCAAAAGTTGTCACAGGACGCTCAGGGAACTGGCGGGTGTAAGGGTTTAAGTTGTCATACTTGATTCCAATACTCAGAATCTTCTCAGCATCTTTCAAATTAAGTGTGAAAACCGTGGGTGCATCTAATGATTTGCATGCTGGAACGACGCCGGTGGTGCTCCAAATTCCTACCGTAGGTTTCACACCAATCAGATTGTTCAAAGCAGCCGGAACACGTCCAGAACCTGCAGTATCGGTACCAAGTGCAAACGGAACAATACCTTTACCCACAACAACAGCTGAACCCGAGGAAGAACCTCCTGAAACGTGCTCTTCACTGAAGACACTCGAGGGAGTACCATAGGGGGAGCGAACACCTACCAACCCTGTTGCAAACTGGTCCAAGTTTGTTTTGCCAACCACGATAGCACCAGCAGTGCGGAGCTGGGCAACTACAGTCGCGTCGGATGAGGCCAAGTATTCGAATTTGGGGCAAGCTGCTGTAGTTGGAAAACCATTCACGTCGATGTTATCTTTCACAGCATAAGGAACACCATAAAGAGGCAGATCGTCCTTCAAGCTGTGATCGATTGTGTTCCATTGGTCTTTGATGTCTTTCTCTGTTGCGACATAAATCCACTCCGGCGAATCCTTGGACAGAGATTGTGCAAGCTGCAGAATTCTGTCCAAGGCGACACCAGCGGCGGCCTGAAGCTGAGTCGAGCGCCACTGGTCAATAGTTAGACCGATCGTTTCACTCATCATGGTTGTGTGCTACTTCAGTCAAGGGTGATGAAGTTTATGATTAGGGCGGCATAAGTATACAAAAGGCGAGGTAAGGATATATGCAAGGTTTGCATGATAGTGCATTATCGGTAATTTTGACCAATAAAATCGAGCCACTGGTGATAGGCAAGCTCCGTGGTCATCAAGTCTAACGAGGTCCCGGGGCAGTCTTCTGACTACTCGGAGCAAACATCTTTTTCAAGGGGTTGAAATCAGCCATTCTGGTATACACAGAAACCGATTTTTATTTTGTGTCAGTGGAGTGAAAATTCGGTGATGAGAGTACTGTATTTTGGACCGCTCCGCGATGCGATCGGCACCGAGAGCGAAATTATCGTGATGGACGCACCTTTCCGGATGCACGACTTGATACTTCGATTAGTGAAGCTGCATCCAGATGCAGCTCCCGTCATCAAGACTTCCGCTGTCTCTGTCAACCTAGATTACGTCGATAACTTTGAACTCGAGCTGAGCGAGAGCGATGAGGTAGCTTTTATTCCACCGGTTTCTGCCGGTTAGTATTTCAGTTTTTAGTTTTGTTAACTTAGCTACATCCGATGAATCCTACACCAGAGTTGTTTTCAATTCGCGCAAACTTAGAAATCGATCCCTTGAATGAGAGTGCACATCTCGGTGCCGAAAGTTGGCTCGCGACTGACCGCGAGGCTTTGTCATGGACTCTAATTATGTTCACCGGACCCCGTACTTGGGTGATCTAGTAGATCCTCAATTTTCTGCCAAATGGCGCCCAGAGCTACTGAATAGAACTCATACCTCAGCGCCTTATACTCACGACCTTATGGGCAAGTCCCCACAAAGTGCCAGAGCCAGTGGTGCTACGGTATCAGGTCGTGTTTTGAGCGTGACATCGGGGTTTTCACATGTTTTGAATCGTGATCACAACTCGAAGAGGCTGTTTGCACGCCAAAGAAAGGGTCTGTCTTCCCTGTTCTCGGCAGTAGAGAACATAGGTAAATCTCGATGGGAGAGCATTTGGGTTGCTTGGCCCGGGGAAATAGAGGAGGAGGGCGTCAATATAAAGCTGACTGAAGACGAAAAAGCTAGTGTAACCCAGTTGTTATCAAAGAATAGCTCCTCTACAATTGTTCCAGTGTGGCTTGATCCACCCACACAGTGGCGCTATTATCCGGAGTACGTCCTTTGGCCTACCTTCCATTATGTGCAAAACGTTGGCGACACAATCGTCGATCAAGAAAGCCATAAGTGGGATACGTATAGAAAGTTCAATGAGGCTTATGCTTCGGCTATTTTGGCAATTTATAGACCCGGGGATATTATTTGGATCCATGACTATTACCTGCTGTTGCTGCCTGAAATCCTGAGACGAAAGCTTAACGATGCCCATATACTTCTCTTTGTTCATACACCCTTTTCTTCGTCGGAATATCTTAGATGCATTCCACAAAGAAACGATCTTTTGATTGGAATGCTGGGTGCAACAATTGTAGGGTTCCAGAGCAAAACTTATGTCCGTCACTTTGAGTCTGCGTGCACTCGACTGTTGGGCGTAGAAAAAATAGATGGGCACCTCCAAATACATGGTAGGGTTGTTGGTTGCGAATGTTTGCCGACAGGAATTGACACCGAGTTTGTTATTAAAGAGACTGCGAGTGCTGAAACTCAGTCCATCATCAACGGCTTCAAAAAGATTTATGAGGGCAAGAAGATCATTATCGGCCGTGATAAAATTGACAGTGCTCAAAGCACAATTCAAAAGTTACAAGCTTTTGAACTGTTCTTGCAGAACTATCCTTACTGGCGCAATAAGGTTGTATTGATCCAGATTACCACTCATGGTTTCGAGTCCTCAACCAGAATGGAGAAGAAAGTCAGTAAGCTGATTTCTAAAATCAATGGTACTTACGGAAACCTCCAGTTTGCCCCAGTGTTACATTTTACTGACCACCTTCCTCAAAGGAAGTATTTCGCTTTACTGGCCTGTGCAGACCTTGGTGTGTTTACTGGAATTCGCGATGCTGCTAGTCACGCAGCCTTCGAGTATGTGGTATGTCAAAAAGACACACAGAATCCTATCATGCTTTCAGAGTTTACAGGAGTTGCCGAGGTATTTGAAGACGCTATCATTGTCAATCCATATGATGGGCTGGTAATGGCAGATGCTATAAATTATGCACTAACGAAAGCAGAAAAGTGCGAGCTGTATAGCTTGGCTTCTGAGCTCAAGACTCAAAACTGGCTCGAAAGTGGAATGGGCCGCTTACTTCGTCATGAATTCAAACACGAAGTGACAACATCCACACCTGAGCTTGATAAAGAAAAGCTACGCAAGGCCTACCATGCAGCAGAGAAAAGACTATTCCTTTTCGACTATGATGGTACCCTAACGCCAATTGTAAAAGACCCCGCAGCAGCCGTACCATCTAAGAGGCTGAAATCCATTCTTTCAAAATTAGGGAGTGATCCGAAAAACGAGATATGGGTTATATCAGGGAGGGACCAGCATTTCTTGGATCGTTGGCTTGGGGAGTTCAATATGTCAATGAGTGCTGAGCATGGTTGCTTCGTTAAACATGCGGGCGAAACTAAGTGGACCGACTTGGTAGCTCAAATGGATAACAGCTGGCAACCCATTGTTTTTGATATACTGCAAAATTATACAGATCGCACCCAAGGCTCGAGCATTGAGAAAAAAAAAGCAGCATTAACATGGCATTACCGACGGTCAGACCCTGTCTTTGGTGCGTTCCAGGCAAGTAACCTGAGGGGGTATCTTCAAACTGCCGTCGCCACTTGCTATCCTGTCGACATCATGGCAGGGAAGGCGAATGTTGAGATAAGACCCCGTATGTTTAACAAAGGTGAGATTGTCCGGTCAATCTTTCGCGATGAATCTAGTTCGCCTAGCTTTGTCTTTTGTACAGGGGACGATACAACTGATGAAGATATGTTCCGTGCAGTGAATGATGAAAACAAACCTGAGTCGTTTTTCACGGTGGTCGTCGGACCGTCATCCAAACTCACATTGGCTCGCTGGCATATTCAAAACCCAGATTTGGTGCATGATTGCCTAGCAGCGTTGATCAACTGAAAAAGTGTTGTGTTATGTATTTTGATATTTACAGTTAGAACACTGGATGGATCGGACCACCCAGATTATTTCTTCTTTTTACTGGGCTTCTTAGCTTGGTAGAGCTTACCAGTAGTGATTTGCTCGGCACCTGTGCTAATAAGATCATCAAGATCCAGGCTGGATGTAGACTCGCTCTTGTTTGAAGGGTCTTCAAAGCCTGAATATTTCTGCTTGAACTTGGCAAGGCGACCGGCAGCATCGAGTTCCAAAGCCCTCAGATTAGGTTTGGATGGATTCCATAGGGGATTATTGCGTTGATCTGCTAAATATTTCCACTCTGATCGTGGGAACGGAGTCCTTCTGGTCACTGTTGATCCATCCGATAATTCGACCTTCTGCTCAAATTTGTAGTAGATCGCAGGACGAACATCACCAGTTCTGAGTTTTCTAGGTATCCTTTTTGGCATGACGGTTTTACCTCCAGGCGGAACATAGCCCGCCTTGCCGCGAGTTAACACCTTCGGTGCGAACAGAGCTGGCTTCCGAGTGCTTCTGAGCATTACTAAAATTTTGAGCTGACCAACCTGAGTCATTATGCCAAGGGTCGTCCTAATCGATAACTACGACTCGTTTACTTGGAATATTTACGAGTATCTATGCCGAGAAGGTGCAGAGGTCGAAGTACACCGTAATGATAAGATTACTATACCCGAAATTGACAGTCTCAAGCCCGACTTGGTCATGATCAGCCCAGGTCCCGGCCACCCCGACACAGATTCTGGCATCTCCAAAGAAGTCATCCAACACTATATGGGAAAAATCCCTGTTTATGGCGTGTGCATGGGAATGCAGTGTATGGTTTCATTATTTGGAGGCAGTATTGAATACGCAGGGGAGATCGTGCATGGAAAAACGTCACCAATCACCCACGATGGTAAAGGATCTTTCAAAGGGGTGACACAGGGGGTTGCCATCACCCGCTATCACTCCTTGGCTCCATCTTATAGCACTCTTCCTAGCTGTCTCGAGGTTACATGTACTTCGGACTCTGGTGTAATACAGGGTGTCCGGCACAAGGAGTTCTTACTAGAAGGTGTTCAGTTTCACCCTGAAAGCATCATGTCGGAAGAAGGTACTAAAATGTTGCGTAATTTCTTGAAATTTAAAGGTGGCAAGTGGTCAGAATATGAAGCTAATCTGAACTTGACACCTGCTGCCATCGTCACCGGATCTGGCTCCATCCTAGATCAGATATATCACCAGCGTGAGAAAGATGTTGCTTTAGAGAGCAAAATACCTGGTCGTACGTTTGCAGACATGGAAAAGTCTCTAGCGCTCGGAATCGCTCCCAAACTGATAAATGTTATCGAGCGCCTGCGCTTGTCCAAGCTCAGCCTTTTGGCGGAGATTAAACGTGCATCCCCGTCGAAAGGCCCTCTGGGTATGGATGTGCATGCAGCGACGCAGGCATTAGCTTACGCTAAAGCAGGCGCTGCTGCAATCTCCGTTCTTACAGAACCCCATTGGTTCAAAGGGACCATTGAAGACCTGCGTCAAGTTCGACTGGCTGTTGATCGACTTCTGAACCGACCTGCAATTCTACGCAAAGAGTTTGTATTTTCCAAATACCAAATTCTAGAAGCACGGTTGTTCGGTGCTGATACTGTTCTGCTGATTGTAAAAATGCTGAACGATGCACAACTTCAGGAGCTTTATGACTACTCAGTGAGCCTTGGAATGGAACCTTTAGTTGAAGTTGCGAATGCTCCAGAGATGAAACGTGCCGTCAACCTCAAAGCTAAGTTTATTGGCGTCAACAATCGCGATCTGCATACTTTCAGCGTGGATATGAACCGGACCTCATCTTTAGTTTCTGAGGTAGCCCCCGGTACGTACTTGGCAGCTCTGAGCGGAATCACAGGGCGTGATCAGGTCGATGCGTACGTTAAAGAAGGAGTTGAAGGAGTTCTCGTGGGCGAATCCTTGATGCGAGCTACTGATCCGGGCAAATTTGTACAAGAACTAATTGCATAACTATAGTTTATGACTTAAAGTTTCGACTTGATGCGTTTTTCAAAGCGGTGCCGGGTGTCGAAGTGTGTAGGTTTTAATTTCCAGAGATCTTGGAACTGAGCTGAGCTAGCATCTTTGCCGGCAGAGTTAAAAAGATCAAGTGCTTTTTGAATCACGGCAGAGGGGATAACGAATGACATGTCCTGCATAATCTTCCCAGTAGACTCGTCGCGCGCATTTGAGGCCATGATACCTACAAGCTGATGTTCTTCGTTGAACAAGGCACCCCCACTAGAACCGTTCCAACAAGCAGCCGTGGACACTAGCATTGAGGAACCGTGTTCATCTTTGCCAGCAAGAAGTTGAGCTTTACCCTCATTTGCTATGACTCCTTGTGAGTATAGGGGTTGCAGAGCAGGACCAAGCTTCTGAGGGTAAAAAAGACCGTAGCCAACAGAATAAACTTGAGATCCAGGTTTAGCAGTCAAAGATAAGGGGACGGGCTTGTACTTTCCAGGTAGATTTTTCGTAAGACGTAAGAAGACCAAATCAACACCTTCAAGTGGTTCTGAAACTGCCATGACGTGACGACGTGTGTACTTTTCAAGCCAGATTTCTATCCCCAGATAGTCTTTTACAACATGCTTGTTTGTTACAACAAGATCAGGTCCTACAATTACGCCGGACCCCCAAACTTTACGACCGCCTTTAATTCTAGATTGGACAACAACGACACCGCTATAACGGTTTCTAGACACTTCACCAAAGGGACGTGGTCCATCACCAGCAGCAGCAGCATCCTGTAGACTCTTGAATACATCTGAGACGACATTGCCCGCCTGGTGAACGGCAGGAATAATTTCTGACCATGGGATCACTAGAGTGAGGGAGCCTTCACCATTGCGTTTCTGCAAACGTCCCGCAACCAATCCCAAGGAAGGCCCAAGACGACGACCTGCAACCTCTGTGCAGACAATCCCGCCTTCCATGCCATCAAGATACCGCGAATCCACCAAAACAGTATGGGCCACCTGTTTACCATTTATTTCTTCTGAACCGACGTAGCTAACAACACCCTCAGTAACATAACCCATGAAAAGGGCAGCATTGACATCAGAGAATGGGCTACTCTGAATTCGCACACGACGGTGATTGAACACGCTACAATCTGTGATGCAAGCGAACTCCCGTGCATTGGCCTTACGACGCTCAATGGCAGACGCAGGAAATGTGAATACCGTCAGAACTTGCGTGGCGTCTGGAACGACATCGAAGTCACTTCGTAGTGGTTTTAAAAATGCGGCAACACCTGGCAGATTAACTTGAGAGGAAACCTCAACATTTTCCCAGATAATTGAAGCATTGCTTACGCTTGAAGAAACAGCCACGCTCAAAAGGCTCTCCGGTGTACGAGATTTCAAAAAGTCTCCACAGAGCGAAATGACATACTCCTTGGTTTGCCCGTCCGTTATGTAGACGCCTGAAATGAGCTTGGTATACTTGTGCGCTTCAAGACGAAGTGTAGCTGGTGTATAGATCCACATTGCTTTCATTCACAGAAGTGAGACCCTGCTTATATGTAGGGCACTTTGGAAGTTCGGCAGCCGGCAGGGGCTGTTGAAGCAGGGTGGGGTTCGGCAGATACTGTGGGGATTGGAAAGCACCCCAACCCATGCCGATTCTCTCACGCAGCGCCAAAGAAAGGATACGCTATCAGAATAAAGAGAAACGGAGATCATCTAGAACGATTGAAAAAGAACAGTTGAAAAATGACAAATTCCTCTTTTTTCTATTCTCTTCAAATTTGGGTCCGATCTCGAGGTGTAATAGAGGAGAATCGCTCCAAGGCATCTATATACTTGATCCAAAAAAAGAACAGAAAGTCACAAGAGTTAACAATATACACGGTTTTTGTATCGGCAAGTAATTTATTTACCTACTTCTTTCTGGTCGTCAGTGCCGAAATGCGTAGTCAGATGGACTAATACAAGAACCCTAGATGCTTACGACATCCGCACACTATGGACCTCAGGAACATAGTCAATAATGACGACAATAGTGGATCCATATTTTCGCTGCAGTCGTCTCCTTCGAGAAGTAAGCAGGGCTCTCTTGCATCACTGCTGAATACCGAGAGCACTGCGGCTGGAACTGCAGGGGCAAAGAAACCCAAACGGTATGACACCATACCAATTTGGGCCCAAACCTGGAACGCCAGCCAAACCACGCCTAACAGCATAAGCAATCATAATGAACATTCATCAAGAATATCAGAGTTCAAACTAATGTCAAAAGAGGACATCCAACCAAGCAGTTTGGGACATATTGGTCCTGGTGGATACCCTTCACTTTTGGGTCTACCATCTAGTCTGACAGGTGTGATCCCGGCGGACGATGTCACGACAAAAGTTTGCAGTTGGCTCTACAGCCACCTTTTTCAGCTTGAAGATCAACGAAAATTCATTGAGCTAGAGTTCAAAATGGGCCAGATCATAGATCGCAACAGTAATCAGCGTGCAAGCCTCCCCTGCATCACCGAAACGGTTGTATCCCCAGAATATGCTAGAGAGCGTCTTACCTTCGAGGCCTCTATTGAATCATCTCAATTTTCGCGAGTAGAATACCTCATTTCAGGCTTATCAAAAAGACAGGGTGCAGCCCCGTTGACAAAACTTCCAGATATCCGCCAGAAAGACGTCATTTACGCTCAGCAGGGCTCTGGTGCCAACATACGCTTATCATATGATGAAAATAACAACTTGGTTGACCGACTTATCAAGAAAAGAATTGCAAATCTTTTGATTTTCTGCCCTGGTGACCTCACTGACTGGCGCGTATCTTTGTCGACGGAAGTGCAGTTTTCGGGGTCGACGGAAGAGCTGACTCGACCAAACAAAATTCGCAATAAAAACAGACAATCTTGGCAAACAAGTGGCCTACAGATGGATCTGACTGGAGTTATCAGCGAGGGTGGGGACCAATCCAAATCAAAAGAGGTTGAACTTGAGATGGACAAGGATCTTATTATACAGTGTTTCGACAACTTTCAATCCAAAAAAGATGGTGAAGCTATGGATAAGTTTCAAGAGCTTATCAGGTTTGGTGTCGATAGTTGTCGGACTATTTCGCGCTTTATTTCACGATGAGATTATACCAAGCTATTTATCATTGTTCCGAGATATACCACCAGGCTATTTATCATTCCTCCGAGTCGCACCATGCTTGTAAAAACGTAAAGAGACCATATGCACCAGGGTCCGGAATGTTCTCTTTGACCAGATTGTCTTGCTGAACGTAGGCAGCTCTTCCTGCTTTCGCTGTTAGTTTTGCTGTAGATTCCATTCCTTCTTGACAGGCTCTCAAGGCCTCTGATATACTAGATGTCTCACATAGAGTATCAATGAAGGGCTGTAAAGCATCAATAAGCGTTCTATCACCCTTCCGTGCTTTGGTGTACTCAAACAAAGTTATAAGCGCACCTTTCGCAGATTCACCTGCTACAAGCGGATCGATGGCTTCGACACCGCACTCTCGCAGGTTCTTTGCTAGAGCAGTCAAAAATATGAAGTAGATGCCACCCGAAGTGCCTCCCATTGCTTCGCCCAAAACATCTGCCATTTCCAGGATGGCCAGTACGGCATCACTGGGGAGGCTGTCAAATTTGTTCATAAGAGCCTCAGCACCAGCTTTTAATGTCTCACCACAGTCACCATCACCTGCCATGGTATCATATTCCGTGATTTGAGGCTCAGCAGCAATCAGAGCTCGCAGACCTCGGTTGAGGTTAGCTTCGAAACCTTTGGGCAGTAATATACCACTCTCTGGTAGCTCTTCACGCTCAAATTTACCTTCAGATATGGGCTTTTGATCCCAATCTTTGGACGCTGTCGCATTTGTCCAGCCTGGTACCGGTGTCTGCAAATCGATCAGGTCGAGAATTTTTGGACCGGCACTGGTCAGATTGAGAAGAGTCAGTGAAAATCCCAAACCATTAAAGGACGTTGTGAAAGTGCCTGCCAAGACGCGCCTTACACGGAACTCCAGTTTTTCAACTTTCCGCAGTGCAATCGATGTAATATAGCTAATCTCGAAAGGTGAAACCCCGCCTAAGTTGTTCACCAGTAAAAGGACATCATCACCGTTTTGGAACTTCACAAATGCGCGATCCTTGTCGTTTTGGTCGGTCATGAGTCGAAGCATTCGATCAATGACCTTGGGGAGTTCGGGCAGATGTGATTCTCGTATGACACCTGGCTCATTGTGGATACCAAGGCCAATTTCATATTCGTCGTCCTTCAGGTCGCTATGGAACTTACGGCCGGGGATTGTACAATGCTCGAGTGAGGTACCGATCGTCGCGATGTTTCTGGCAACAAGTTCCGCACAATGAGCAACAGTGGCGAGATCGTGGCCTTGCTGAGCCGAAGCACCCGCAGTTTTGTGGACGAGTATGACTCCAGCGAGACCCCTGCGGCCAACGAGCGCACCTTGTTCCCGCCCCACAGCTACATCGTCACCTACTATAACAACACGGACAGACTTTCCGGCCGCTTTTGCCTTTTCAGCTGCGGCGCCAAAGTGGAAGACATCACCGGTATAGTTTTTGACGATTATAAGAGTCCCTTTGGGCGACGAAACGGCATCAAGCGCATGCTCTATTTGAACCGCAGTAGGCGATGCAAAAATCTGCCCTACGGCGACAGCATCTAGCATTCCTTCGCCGATAAATCCTGTGTGTGTTGGCTCATGGCCAGAACCTCCTCCTGAGATCAAAGTCACCTTCTCAGGGTTCGACTTGTACGAGGGACGATAAACCACCACATTGTGGTTTAAATGCGCTAGACTAGGATTTGCCGACACAAGCCCATCTAAGGATGTACTCACCAAATCTTGATCTCTTGAATGTTTGAATTGCTTCATTTGTAGATGTGCAACAGACAACCGAAGCCCGTGTTGGCCATATTGGGGGTGAGGTCGTGCCCAAACCCGAAACCCGCATACCATCTGGGCGGGGGTGTGGGGTACGACAGGTATCCAGACTCCAGATTCAGCTCATAGTACGTATGCGAAACAAAGTGAGCACGCAAAATCTTTGGCTCATCTAAAAATTTGGGAATTTCCACTGTTCGTTCGTGTGGCATTGGTTCTCTGGATTGAGCATCTAGGAGAGCTTCAGTACGTATTGAAGCAATGGTTTACTCAAAGGTATGAGTTGTTTAGCTAGAGTTCAACATTTCGACCATACTGAACATCGTTGCACCTTCAGGTAGACTTTGATGTATATATAAGTATCTCATTCCCTAAACATGGTCGGTTCGATGGTCTAGTTGGTTATGGCATCTGCTTAACACGCAGAACGTCCCCAGTTCGATCCTGGGTCGAATCATTTTTTTGTAATCCTCATTCTCGTGTCCTACAAGAGCAGGTCCGACAAAGGCAGTAGTCTCCAAGTATTTGGTTCGATGGTCTAGTTGGTTATGGCATCTGCTTAACACGCAGAACGTCCCCAGTTCGATCCTGGGTCGAATCATTTTTTGTAGTCAATTTCCTGTCAAGTGGGGCACGGTGCTTTCCAAACTCAAAAACTGCAAAAAATTCCAGCATTGTGTTATAACCTTGCTTATTTCTCAATCAAATCCAGAATTTACTATTTAAAGGTTTAGTACGACGTTCACCTTGAAAGCGGTCACTTGAAAGTCCCCAAATGTGCTCTTCTAGCTACTTGTACGTATCGCCAGATTATTTTCCACACATTGGTTCGATGGTCTAGTTGGTTATGGCATCTGCTTAACACGCAGAACGTCCCCAGTTCGATCCTGGGTCGAATCATTACTTTTTTGTAGCTGCTGCCTTGGATTCCCGCGGAAAAGTACATTTATTTTTTTAACATCATATGTCACCTAAGCATGGAGACTTGAACTGATTTATTTCGAATTATTTTTGATATAAGCTATTGTCTAAATACCCACCTGGTGGATCAGCCTATGTTTTCAACCTGATCTCCAGTCTACCATAACATATTCTTAATTAGAACTATTCCAAGATAGCTATAGACAAAATATTGACAACTTTTTGGAACAAATTGATGGCCTTTTCCAGCACTTCTCGCGTGGTGTATATATTGATACCCAAAATAATCAAGCTTAGGTCACTGCTCAAAATCTAACCAAGCAGGGGGGTACGGACTGAGCAATAGCTATGTGCTCAGAAAAGAAAACTGAACTCGATCTGACCAGAGACAAATGGAAAAATGATACCAGGAGTGGTGAAGCTTTTCAAAATTACGGAGATGCTGCTGCATGTTATCTAGTATCTCCTTTATTCAGAAATACCACAGCTCATTGGTTCTGTGATCCAAAAAACTTCGAGTACGCAACGGTCTCACTTCTCATTTTTACATACATTGAAAATGGTGACCGCAGGATTGGAGAGCTGAAGAGCACTTACAAAAGCCTTCTAACGAGCCAATTGAGCTCGTGTTGGAAATGTGTTTTGAAGTACCATGAAAGCCGCCACAAATTTGTCAATACTCTGAGGGGATTCCATCTCGAAGAGAACCGTATGAAAAGTTTTCTTGGTATCCTAGACACTTTTGATCTCGAAAGGATTCAGAAGCTCACGTCCAATCCTGGAACGACAGCATGTATCGCCGATGAATCAGACGATCTTATATCTATTTCGGAGGCACTGTTGATACTTGACAAGATTGGAATTGAATCGAACGAAAGATTGGAGAATGAACTCGTACAAAAAATCTCAAAAAATCTAGATGAGATAATTGCATTGACAGGCAGGTACCTGCTTCCCGGGCTTATCTACCTTTTGTTTTCAGATAATGCGTCAGTTCAAAGCAAATTCGAAGCAGCTTTATTTTCCGAAGAGTACCGACCTGCGCTGGGTCGTTGTTGGGGAGAAGATCAAAGCAGGGCCTTGATAAACATCTTTGAAAAGAAGGCAAGTTTAGTCAATGACAACGATTTTAGCTGGTTTTTACTCTCTCAACTTGTAAAATCTGTTCAATTCGATCAATTTGATGAAGTCACTCTTGGAAAGCTCTATGAATTGACCTCGCGGGAGACATCGCATTCTATTGGTCCTGGGTTTTTTCTCTGGCTATCCAAGTTATCGCTTAGACGGCGGCGGCTTCCAGAAATTGCGATGGTCACCCAAATTCTGAAGAAAATAGGCCTTGCGATCGAGAACGGCCTGAAGCCTGCAAGCACACCAGAGTCTGCACATCTGCATACCGTGTATTCCACTCTAGGAGATAAAGCTTGGCAAAGCTGGATTGACAATTTTGAGGAGATCGTTACCACCTTTCCAGAGTCACAACACAACCAAGAGAGTGTCAAAAGCTTTGTTGACTGGGGCCTGAACTTTTCAGCTAACAAAAAAATTAATTTGGCAATCCTGAACGTTGTAACAGCCTCACTAACTGTCCCTTTCAAACAGCAGTCCTTCGTTACATATGCTAGAGATATCTCGCTTCGTATGGGCCTATTCAACTTATTGACAGAGCGGACTGATAGTTTCGTTGAAGCGATACGAAGGGTGACCCTAGGTACCGATCAGAACGCATTATCCGTTTTAGCCTCCACTATGAAATCTCTTGTTCAGTACACTGTTCTGGCCATCCTCTCAAAATCACCTGATTTCACAATGGATTCTAATATCAATAGATCCAAAAAGCTCCCATGGGAGCTGATATTCGCTGATAAGAATCTGATTGAAATGCGCGAAAGTTTTGCCCAAGCAGTCATAGCAGGAGCGAGTTTTTCACCTTACTTGGATCAGCGTTGTGCAACTTACAAGGCGATCTCTGAGGTATATAGAACAACGGGCGTTCTGTGCACCAGAGATGTGCTGCTTAGGATTTTTGAAGATGCAGATGCCGAGACAGCACTTTTGCTAGCTTGCCTGGGGCTAGATAACGATCTGGCCGAGACGGCAAGAAATATCTTTGCTCGTCTTTACGCAGATGAGGAGAATAGTTTTGACCTCGCAATTACGAGATATTTCGAAATAAACCCCAAGCGTGCTGTTGCAGTCATTGTGAAAATTTCAGATTCGACGCTTTCGCTTGGAGAGTTCCAGATTCTTCCGGGCCTAGTCAAACTCTTCAAACTAGTATTTGATGTGCTATATGATAGCGAAGAGGGGGTCATAGATGATGTGAATCAAAAGTTGAATGCTGTTTCCAGCCCTATCCTAGAGTTGTGGAATGTAACTTGGAAAACCATGACAGTTTCCTTTGGTAGTCTTCGATCATGGAGTAAATCGGCGGCATTCTCTATCTCCGTTTTACGTGAGTATATTTCGGATAGCTTGGAGCTTTGCTTGGCTTTACTCAACTATTTTACTCGTGTGGAAGCTACTATGCCTGCGGCAACAAATGGACTCAACCATGGCAATGAGTTGGTGGAGGAACCTGTGAAAACACTCGAAAGCATGGTACCACTCTTGAAATTGAGAGATGAAAGCCAGCTGGATAGTAGTTTCAGGATATATAAGGGCCTGATCGAGCTTATAAACAAGTATGCTGTGAAGGTGCCGCTGTCTCTTCTGGACTACTTCAAAGCTCTTTCTCAAAGCCAAACACTTCTGACGACAGACAAATATGCCGAGTTGCTTGCTATAACAGGTGCCTTCTCCAATGAAGAAATGAGTAACCTCGTGAGGAACCTTGAAAGCACATCGACGAAGGCATCCTCGACACCTGCCAACGTGACGCATCAAACCGGTTCAGCTCTCTCGGACAATACGGCAGTAATTCAGCCGCGGATTTCAGAATCTAGTCGACATTCCACTACTCGACAAAGAACGATGGATAGTTTTTTCACGAAAACGCCTAGATTACCTCAAACGAATCCATCCAGACTTACTGCGCAGGGAGTTACACCATCCGCACCTAAGGAATTATCGGCAATGGAACAGATAAGGTTACAGCTAGCTTCACAACAAGCACATCTTTCGGGGCCAGTTGCACGAAAGCCGTCGCAAGTTCCAAAAGAGATACACCCTGCGAGACCTGCAGGGTTCAACCGCAAGAAGCAAGACGAACCAAGCGAAATACGAGCTAATCAACGTCTTGCGCCTGAAATTATCAAGCAGCACGAGCTAAAGGGTCGGGACAGTAGTGGTGAAGGTGAAGATGAAGACCACGACGAGGACGAGGATGAAGATGACGACGAGGCAGGTGTTTTGGTAGCTCTAGGAAGGAAAACCAGAAATATCAATAATTTGTCGCGTGTGGCTCCTGGGCTTGCGAATCGCTCACAACGAGCACCTGCTTTAAGTGAAAGCGAGCAGGGGGTGAGGAGAATGATGGCAAGGTTATCAATATCGCCCACAGATCTCCACAAAGCTATACTCTCTTGGGATTATTTTTTAAACTCACCATTGCCTACGGGATTTATAAAACAAACAGTATCTGTTCCCAACGTTTTTAAAGATGTCGAGGAGTATACTAAGGTGATGGAGCCATTGTTACACTTGGAGGCCTGGCAATCCATACAACGTGCTCGAGAGGAGAATGAAGACGCTGTGTTAAAGCTTGAAATAGGGAAAAGGGTCAATACAGACGATTTTATTGATGTATATGCGTCAATGGAAGCTAAGGATACTAATGGATCCACCGTTGGTGATTCAGACCTTGTCCTAATAGCGTATGACCAAAATGCAAATGGTGCTGTTAAACCTAGAATAGCAAAGGAGATGATGCATTGTCTGGCGATTGTAAAAGAGGGAAGCTTGAAAACACGAAGGGGCCAGCGCTACACTGATCTTCAACTTCGAACTTACCATCCAGGAGAGCTTTCGGCATTCATGGCTCAGGGACGCAAACTACTTATGCAAAGAGTTTGCAGTGTGATCACGGTAGAGCGTGAGTACAATGCTTTGAAGGCACTCCCTTACTACGAACTAAAGGATTCGGTCTTACAGGGGAAAGCAAACCGGCCTGTGAGCCAGGTAGCAACTCAATCTGGTGATATTGACGCGAAGGTTCAGGGCCTGAACACATCACAGGTACAAGCGATTGAAACAGCACTTGCGAATCAAGGCTTCAGTTTGATCCAAGGCCCACCTGGTACCGGCAAGACTAAAACGATCTTGGGTATTGTTGGAAAATACTTTTCCGGCATATCGGGCAGTCAAAAGAAGCGTTTACTCATTTGTGCACCTTCAAATGCCGCTGTAGATGAGATTGTTCTTCGTTTGAAACTCGGAATTACGCTGGGAACAGGCCAGAAATTCTTGCCAAAGATCGTGCGGCTAGGGAGAAAAGAAGTAATAAATCCCGAAGTGAGAGAGTTTTCGCTCGAGATGCTTGTTGAAAAGTCGATGTATTCGATCGCTTCAGCCCCAGATGAAGAACTAAAGTCAAAATTGACCAGTCTGACAACGGAGCGCACAGAGCTTGAAGAAAAGCTAAAGTGCCGTGATAATGACGGCCTGGATCAAGACGCTGTTGTTAAACTGCACGACAAACTGGAGCAATGTGGCAGAACGATTCAAGAATACTCCAGACTTCTAAGCCAGCAACGAAGACAGCTAAAAGAAGAGCGTATTAGAAAAGAGGCAGAGTACAAGCGGCTCCAGAGCGAATACTTGACAAATGCGCAAGTGATATGTTGTACGCTCTCTGGTGCGGCTCATTCAATGCTATATTCTCTTCAGATGACATTCCCAACTGTTATCATTGATGAGGCTGCTCAAAGTGTCGAGCTATCAGCTTTAATCCCCTTAAAGTACGGCTGCAAACAGTGTATTATGGTCGGAGACCCTCATCAGCTTCCCCCCACAGTACTTTCACAAGAAGCAGCTCGATTGAAGTATGAACAGAGTATGTTCGTGCGTTTCTACGAACGTTCTCCTGAATCCATGACCCTTCTCGATACACAATTTCGCATGCACCCTATGATTTCAAGGTTCCCTTCGCACGAATTTTACAAGGGTCAACTCAAAGATGGAGACGATATGGCTCTTAAGACATCTCGACCTTGGCATGAGAACGATATTTTATCGCCTTTCCGATTTATAGAAGTATCACATGGTACTGAGGAGAGGCCGGGTACGATGTCATTGCGGAATCGAGCTGAGGCCGAGGTTGTTGTGCAAATGATCTCGTACTTGATGAGATGTTGCCCCAAAATCGACTTCACTAGTAAAATCGGCGTTATTGCACCCTACAAGGCACAGCAAACCTACATAAGCCGACTGATTCGTGATAGGTTTGGGGCGAAGATAGCAGGAAGGATAGACATTGCCACTGTCGACGGATATCAGGGCCAGGAAAAGGAGATTATTATCATGTCATGTGTCCGTGCTCAAAAAGACAAAGATGGCATTGGGTTTTTGGCAGATGTCCGCCGCATGAATGTCGCTTTTACGCGTGCGCAAGCCTCCCTATGGATTGTTGGCAATAAAGAGTCGCTAGTCAAAAACAAAGTTTGGGCACGGCTAATAGATTATGCACAGTACATTGGTATGTTCTCAAAATTCAACCATAGGGAAAAAGATTTTGGACGAGCTATCAAGCTGATGCCGCCACGTTTAGAACTTGCAGCCAAAAATACCTGGCTAAGGTCTGTCCAGTTTAACTCACAGAAGTCTCGCTCTGAAGAGGAGCCTCCTAAAAAACGGATTAAGATGTCCAACAAGCAACACTCGGTTAGTGAAACACGACGGAACAAGACTTCTGAGGGATACAAAAGATTGCACAGTCCTACTGAAAGCCCATCGCAAACATTCAACGATACTGAACCAGGCGAACAAAAACCTGCTTCAACTAAAGAACATGATTCAGCGAAAGCTCAGGAAAAGTCTCATTACGACAGTGGCCCATGGCCTGAGCAAGATGCTGTCAGAGCCACCAACAACAACCGAGGCAATGTGGGAGCTCAATACCTCACAGCAAATTCAAACTCTCTCCCCGAACAAATGCATGTAAATGGGCGTGAAAATCAAAAGTATGCCAATGAAGGGTCAACTGGACGGCATGACCCAGAGTATGCCCATCAGAAAACCAACCAGCTTGGATGTCCAGATAGAGACAGATCTCCAAGAGCTAGCCAGCGTGGAAGCTCGACTCCTTGTGGCGGGCAGGGCCGTGACGACCTCTATCAACCGTTGCGAAGACCGAATAAATCCTCAAAAGAAGATTCTTCAAAGGATATTGTACAGGACTATGTTGTTAAAGACTCATCTCATACGGACCATGAATCACACCAACTGGCTAAAGAAGGCCATGCAGTTAGGGCGAGCAAACAGCGCAGTTTCGATGCAACGGCTCGTGCTGGCCACGAGAGACGACGAAAGCCCCAGCTTTTCGTTCCTAGTAAGCGCAAGTTTGAAAATAACAAAAGATAGTGATCTATTTAAGTTATAACAAAAAATTTCCCTCATAGTCAATGTCAACAAGAACGATTTTTTTCGTGCGACAAATGATGCAGAAATCGCGGCTATAGTACGAGCGTTAGGCGTTAGGCGTTAGGCTTTTCCACTGCTCACTTGGAAGTGTAATTACGTGCAATGCCCGACCTGCCGATTTTCAGCTCGGCAAACTTCCCCTCCTGACCTTCAAGATCAGAACCTAGACCAGTCCATGATCTCGTTTGTAAGAATTCTGCGGCCGTTGAAACGGTATTTCTAACGGTCAAAGACTGAGAAGTGCCCACCAATTGAGAGTTTTGGCCATCTTTGGTGTTATCAGCCTGCTTTAACGGTTTGTTCGTTGTAACGTACCGACCAGTCACCGTGTCGAAAAGCGGCTCATCATCTTCATCGGGATTTTTGACGTTGAGTTGTAGAATTTCAGCAAAATCTAGTAGCCATTTCCCGGTCCACTCATTATTGAGTGCCAACTGTAGTTCATAAGGAGTGATGATAGGCTTGTAAAACTCTCCTGAGTCCAGAATGACTCCACCCATAGAACAGCCAAGAATCACCCACAAATCTATTGCCTCAAAGTTTGCTAGTTTGGGGACATTAGGTTTACCCACCACGAACACGTAGTATTTTTTGTTTGCCGCTGTTAGCCAACGTTTCAAGGACTGCAAAACATCTGTGGTGTGACGAAGCGAAAGGGTGTTGACCAGGATGCCAATAGTCCCTGCCGCTTTAGCCATATTTACTAGGCGGTACCGCTTCCTCAACGATTGGTGTGGAGTGATCTCAGGACAACCTGCAGATTTAGCATCGAACACATGAAGATCAGATGATAGAGTTGAAAGATGCAATAGAAGAGAGTCTGACGGAGAGTCAGAAGAGAGATAAATAATGGTTCGATCATCAAGATCTGAGTGGTTGGGAGGCAGAAGCCGGTTGGGTAGGAAACATGGAATAAAGGTTTCATCAATATCCAAAGCCGGAATAAAAGTTGCCCGTGAAGGCAAAGCCATAGTACAACCAAGGCGCTGAGCAAGATCAAACGCTATATGTGTAAGGTCTGTATCGGCGTACAGAATTGTGTTAGCGTTTAGATTCTGCTTTAACTGTTCTTCGAGTGAGACAAGATCCACCTTCTGACCATGCAAAATATACACAGGTGCAATAGAATTGACTGGGTTGAGGCAGGCGTTACCAAAATGATACACTACATCCCCCTTGACATGCTGAGCTGCGACCTCGTCGACGCAGCACGGGGAGTAAGCACTATCCGCTAGAATATACACTTTGCCTTTGAAATCTTGCCCAAGTTTACGTTCTATTGCACTGGCAATCTGTGAAGCATCTTCAAGAAGATGATCTGGAAACTGAAGGCAGGGAACAGAGTAATTATTTGCCACAATGTGGGCTGCAATCTCGTCAGTATGGTAGATTTCATTCAGCTTTGAATCCTCGTATAATTCGTGAGATGAAACAACCACCGGAACCCGGTCATACGCCCCCTCTGTTGACAGCGCCGGTGCAACTGACATGGGCTACTTCGGGGAAAAAAAAAGTATGTTACCTAAGGGGTTGAAACTTTTTATGCAGGGTCACAGCAACCAGAGAGTGGCCAATAGGAAAATTAAACTACGGAACTCTCCAAATATCAAAGCAGAAAGTGAATCTCACCAGTCAATATGGGGAGTACACCGAGAAGCTGATGTAAATTCGCTACCTGCGCAGGCCTCGTGATGGTATGCAATGCGTGCATATTGCAGAGATTATCTCATCTCGCCGCTTGAGTGCTTTATAGACCTGGCGAGTGCTTGTGAAAGTACCAACATAGTTTCATTCGGCATGCTTGTACCAATAGGGGCGTGTTTTTCCGTGTTATATCTACTCTGCTCTGTGCTTGGTGCGGATGTTCCCTCTGGACTCGTGCTAATGGCCATGGAGCGCGAAGGCTCTACTGACTATTTCATCCATTTGGATCTCGGAAGCCCACCTCAACGGCAATATTGTAAAGTTGATATGGGCAGTAGTGACAGTTTCTTTATTTCCGGCGACGGAGCTTCTACTGCAGCTGGAGGGGACACTATTGTTGACCCTTCGGAAGTCCCGTTCAACCCAAACAAATCGAGCACACTTTTTTATTACCCTGCAACTTTTTCGTTCGAGAGCTTTTATTTCAATGTGAGCGGGGTATTTGTAGCGGATGATATTAGTGTGCAGACACAAACGTCCTATAGCCCTGCTCAGGGTGAGGTCACGAACAGTAGCACCCAGCTCACAAACATGACCTTCGGTTTAATCGAAGACGAGGGTTATTTATTGAGATCTTGTCTAGTCGGATTGGGGTTACAGGGTGGCGAACTATCTATCAACAGCATGGAAAATGGCAATGCGAGCCCGGTATATGACAACCTCCCCATCTTGATGAAGAAAAGCGGACTGGTAAATAGGGTGTCATACTCGGTTTATTTGAGCCAAGACGTTGACAATCCCAGCTTTATTCTTTTTGGTGGGGTGGATCATTCAAGGTACCAGGGCAATTTATCTACAGTTCCTCTTGTAGACTATGCAACTGACGCAAGCCTGGGGCAGCAGTTTATTTCACAGCCTACTGACTTTCAGGTTGTTCTGAGTGGGCTCACAGTTTCGAACGGTGCCAAGAGCATTGATGTCGTGCAAGACGCTCGAATTCCCATCAATGTTGCTTTCGGGACTAATACGTCGATGCTACCTACCAGCATTGGCTCACAGATAGCACGAATTTTTGGGATGGTGTATCAAAATGCCACTAAGTCCTATTGGATGCCATGCGATCGCCTCGGGGATTTAACATTCAACTTCAACGGAGCTCTCATTACTATTCCGCTTGAAAATTTTGTTGAAACTCAAAGCAGTGTTAAACTGGAAGACGGCTCGCAGGGTTGTAGAGTTCTCATGGACACTCAGGAGGACCCTATCTGGGAAATTGGAAATGGATTTTTCGGTGGTGCTTACGTCTACGTTGATTTGGAGAGTTTTGAGGTCTCATTTGCGCCAGCAATTTATGGCGATCTTGAGCCCATCTACGAGATTGCATCTGCCGGCGGTAACATCACGAATGCGACGAGGGCACCCCTGTACGATGACGCAGGTTTGAACAATAACTTTAACATCTCAACAAACAACCAGACATTTTATTCAGTTGTTGCTTTTTCAAGCGCAACTAAGGTGGGTGCCTACACTCCGGCCGCTCTGCTTGCATTCATTTGGATTCTGCTATGCTGATTAGAACTCAGATTAGAATTTCGGCACACCCTGATTAAAATTGCCCCTGCCCTTACATTGGGACATCCTCTAAAAGATTACCTAACGGTGAGAGATCTCTCTTTTACGAAGCGACGAGATGCGTTCTCGCTTTCTAGGTATCCTGTTAAAGCTTCAGGCGTTGTGGGATGCAGCGGAAGGTGGCCAAGCGGGTCCAACAGAGCCCCCAACGGGTCTAGCTAATCTAACCCTGATGAACAATCAAGGGATTTACACGGTATGGGTTGCTGTTGGGACCCCACCCCAACTTCAAGAATGTCTCGTGGACATGACAAGCAGCGACTCGTACTTTATCTCCAACAAGCTGCAGGACTGCTCTAGGGCCCCCAAAACGTGTGCTTTTGTGTTCGAAGAAAATATGTCCTCCACACTGTATTACTATCCTTCCACCTTCCCAAGCTTTGTTTCTACAGCCGCGAATTTTACAGGCTCATTTGCCTCGGACAATGTACTGTTAGGCATAGACGTTTTACCTAATGGAGTCGAATGGGATGGTGGCTACTCTCTTACCAATACCACATTTGGTTTGGCTCAAAATGGAACCGGGTACGGAACAGACGCGTGTGTTGTGGGGTTGGGCTTAAAAAACGGAGAGTCCTGTGTTACCACAATGGAAAACGGCGAGGTGAGTCCTGTCTACGACAATTTGCCGATTGCAATGAAAAACCAAGGGTTTGTTAATCGAGCCTCCTACTCAGTCTACCTGAATACCTGGACCTCGAAAACAGGATTTGTTTTATTTGGAGGTATCGACCATGCGAAATACCATGGAAACTTGTCGATTGTGCCCCTAGTCGATTATGCTGTCGATGCGAGTTTAGGGACGAAACTGGTGGGAAACCCTACCGATTTCCAAGTAGTGCTGAATGGTATCTCCGTGTCCGACGGAAACAGAACCGTTCCGATTGCATCTATGAACTTCGCTGTTAGTCTTTCGCTAGGAAACACGCTTACCACGCTGCCTGCAAGCGTTGTCAAGCCGTTGGCAAAAGTACTGGGGTTAGCATCCGTCTACGAGGAACTCGAGTACGTTTTCCCCTGTGATCGTGAAGCATCAATTGTATTCGATCTTAGTGGGGTAGAAATTGCTGTCCCTTTGAGTGAGTACGCATACAGCCTGGATGCAAACATGACAGATGGATCACCAGCTTGCGCAATGCTCATGACAGTACAGGATGATCCGTTATGGTGTTTGGGCGATCCTTTTGTTCGCGCAGCATATATTTATGTCGATCTGGAGCTATTTTTGGCTGCAATTGCGCCTGTCAAGTATACAATCGAAAGTGATGTCGAAATGGCAGCCGCGAACGGGTCAATATCAGGGGCCCACCCAGCACCACATTACAATGCCAGCAAGCTTACCTCGGCAATTAATGTGACCGCAGGAAACACTACTTTTTTCCCTATAGTAGAAATTTCTGCGGCACCAAAACTCCGGATCACGTTCTGGGCAATTTTTAGCTCTATCCTATTTTTGACACTTTGAGTCAAAAAACCTTATGACTTTACGACTAGAAATATGTTTTATATATTGGTCAATTTGATGTTTATGAGCAATGTCGCTGGCTTTACAGATCTGAGAAAAGTTTACGATCCCAACTCTATCATTGTAGAGCTGTACTTTGGTCAAAGTCTTCAACCCATACGCTGCATAGCTGTGACGTATGATAGTGATACATACGTCACGAGTGATCCGAGTTCTTGTCAAAACTATGACACATGTGAGCTGCTCGATCTCGAACGTGCTAATGTAGATACAACAACAGATTTCTCGGACTTTAGTAGAATGATTTCCACAGGTGACACAATTACAGGGTCATATGTGAACTCAATACTAGGAATCCGGTTGAATGACACTATTCGTACCTTCAATGCTACTTTTGCAGTTGCATCCTCAAGCGACGTTCCTATATGTGTGTTGGGGTTGGGTCCCAAAAATGGAGAGTCTACTGGGGTGCAGATTGAAAATGGGATTGTGTCGCCAACTTATAAAAGTCTACCTATCCTTTTGAAGAGTGCTGGGCTAATTAAATCAACATCTTACTCTTTGTTTGTAGCAGACAACAGCGGCTCTCTAGCTTTCGGTACGGTTGATCACACCAAATTCGAAGGGTCCCTTCAACTGGTGCCTATAGTCGATGTTAGCGTGGACGGCGAGCTACTAGAGCATATTAAGGCACCATTGGAGATCCAAGTTGTTCTACTGGGTATCTCGCTTGAATCGAATGGTACACTTTATCCCGTTCTGCAAATGGAGAGTCCTGCTCTTCTTGCAATTGGCATGCAGGCGACATACTTGCCTCAGAAGTTCTTGGACGAGCTTGTGGGGTTTTATGGTCTACTTTATCATGATGATTTAGGCGGTTACCTTGCTCCATGTGATTTACCTGGTAGTCTTGTATTTAATATCAGCGGTGTCCCGCTCACTACTGCACTCAAAGACTATCTCACAGAGACACCGCTCACATTTTCCGATCAACAAAAGGCTTGCTTTCTTCAGCTGCCACCCACAGGAAACATTGATTATTGTGCCTTGGGTAACTCGCTGGCTATGTCCAACTACATTGCAGTTGACTTGGATGCTCTCATGATTGGGGTGGCCCCGCTAAAGACGCAGCCAGACGACGGGCCAAGTCAGATCCAATCCATCCCAGAAGCTTTCAGGAAAGCTGTTCCAGCTCCTGTGCTACCAGCCAACACTTACAATAAGTCAGATCTAGTCGCGATACCTTTGCCTAGAGCCAAGAAGACCTACACGTTGAATAACGGTGGGAAGCTGCAAATAAGTAGTTTTTACACTATAGTGTGTTTAATAACATATATGTTTATAATTATATAAAATAAAGTCCACGCGAAGACGCCTTCAACGTTGATTATAGGAGGAAGCCATCAACACATGAAGTTAATGATCTTCTTGAAGAAATTTGCGTTTCTGCGAGCCTCGTTTTCAATTTCATTCTCGCGGATGGTTTCTTCGGTGATTTCACGTACACCAGAGGTAATATCCATATCTTCAAGCTTGATATACAGCGGAGATTTGGTATAAAGCTTGTGTCCCACGTACATGACGATAACACAAGGAACCGACAAATCGGCCTGGAAGAAAATACGAGCATCTGGCTTCCCGTTAAGTGGGAAAAGGGAAGTCCACCACTGAAGACCAAAGATTGCGATACAAATACCAAGGCCGATAAAGGACCCAATGATACCTGTCGAGGCCTTGTACTGCAGCTCACTGGTGGAGATACCTTGACGACGCATTGCCATGCGCACACGGATATGAACCAAGCACACTGTACCCCAAGCATACAGGAATGAAAGCGCCGAAAAAGCGTAGAGCCAATTGAACACCTCAACATGGGCATCAGAAGCAGCAACGAAGCACAAGAGACCAAATACAAAACAAATCGTAAGCGCACCAAGAGGGCGACCACGTCGGTCAATGTATGTGAGCCAACGAGTGAGCCATCTCGGGCCGTATCCAGCCAAACCAATTGCAACAAACGTGCGCGATGACGCGAAGATGGCAGCATTAGCGACAGAGAACACTGAAATGATAATAACAGAGTTGAAAATACTAGGCACCGCGTTAACCATTGAGTGCTCTAAAGCAAGAACGAAAGGAGAAACTGACTGACCAGAGCCATCATCGGTACCAAGGCGAGGATCACCGTTGTAAGGCAACATGAAGCCAAGCATAAGAGTTCCTACAATGAAGAAAGTGATTGTACGCCACAAGATTTGCTTGACAGCGGAGGGGATTGCATGTGCAGGACTTTTGGTTTCAGTAGCTGCGATACCAGAGATTTCAGTTCCACCAAAAGCGAAAGCACAGCTTACCAGCACAGTTACGACACCTTTAAAGCCATTAGCAAAAGCACCCGGATCATCAAAATACTTTGCTCCTCGGTAAGGAACGGGACCACCGCCTGCAGTGATCACAATAGAGAAAATAATGAAACCGATCATTGCGCAGACCTTGATTGTGCTGAAAACAAACTCGGCCTCACCATAGCCTTTTGCGCCAAATAAATTCAGAGCTAGCAATGCAACGTAAAATAGAGGGACCCAAGCGACCACATTTACATGGGCCGCTGAGTTGTTATCCGTATGCCAGTAATAAATCGTCATAGAGGCCGCAACAATTTCTAGAGGAATGACAACCATCCAGTTAAACGCATACAACCAAGAGAGTGTGAAACCCCAAGAGGGATCCAGGAAACGACTCGCATAAGTTGTAAACGAGCCTGGTACAGGATAACGGACACCTAACTCACCCATGGCACACATGGTGCAAACGATACAAATACCGACGATACCAAAACCGATCGTCAAAGCAGCGGGACCGCCATTTTTGAGCGAAGAACCAGTACCAATAAATAAACCAGTGCCAATACCACCGGCAGCAGCGACCGCACGCAAATGACGCTTTTTGAGTTGGGGCTTAGATCTCTGAATGAGAGTGAACGCAATCTGCTCATGGGTCATGCCCGTTGAATCAAAGTCATGTTCGTTCGGGCGCTTAAAATCGGAGAAAAACTGCTTCCATTTGCTTTGAGGGGCTTTCTCCGACTGGAAATCATCAGATGACAAGTTTTCTGAAATAGCATTGTCGAGCGAAATCTTTTTCTCTAGATCACTCATAGTTGGAAATGTTGATTGAATATCCACGAGGTAGACAAAAGATTATTTACAACGCTCAAAACGTAGGTTTAGGATTCCTTCTGCTTGTGGGCTATCAAGATAAGCTTCACAAGGAAAGACAGGCCCCATTTTATAAACTCTCATGCATGCAGCATTTTTTAAAATTACGCGAGCCCCCCTCCGCACAACTGCAGGAAAAGTGAATCAGGGTACGGGTGCTGACAGAGCCAGGAAGAGACGGCCAAGCAAATTTTTACCGGTTGCAGAAATCGCAAGGTACTCATGCGCGGAGAGACGGACTCGGCGGCAACTTGAATAATGTTGTTGTTACATAGCCTAGTCTTTCAATAACACTCAAAATCCAACGCTCTTATCTCTACCGGTGTTTTCCCGCAAAGCCAAGACACGTACGCTACATTGCATAGACGCTCAAGACACACATACAACGCTTGACAAAGCAGATCGAAGGCTGCGGGTATGGATCTGGATAAACTCCTTCGCCGAAATTTTGAGGCGCACTAAATTCAGTATTGAGAATACGCGGATAAGGCTGGGGAAAATATTTCGACAAAATATCTTCAATGTGCGAAACCGGTGCACTTCTGTCGGCCCCACTAACTTTTGCGCTATTAATGACCGGGCTCTTGGGTCGTCGACATGGCAGGTCACAGCGGGAACCCACTTAGAACGCTGCAGGTTGACTGATAGTTCGCATATGGATTACCCCAGATTGCAGCCTCAGATGATATCGGTCTCGGTGGGGTACATTACGGGTTTGGCAGCATTTTTCAGCCTTCGATACGAGATCCGGGAGAATTGGGTAGAGGCCAAAGTCACCGGAATCAAAGGGGCAAGCCTGAGCAGTCTTAAAAATTGCATTTTGTTGAAACGGCGTTGAAGTGTGGGGCAATTTTTAGGTTCTTGTCCTTCCCGCACGTTGTCCGAGCCAAATACGTTATCTTTCCTCAACAAAATCAGTGCATGTGTTTCCTGCGTTCTCACGCAACAGCACACTAATCTTCTGTATGACGTAGTTGTCGGGACCGGAGAACCGGGTAGCCTCCCGGGTTGGTCATCAGGCCTCTCGAATTCCCGGGTATGAAACATTGCGGCACATGACTAAGAAACAGGAAGCGCGGCCCCCTAGGTGACTGCGTCTACTCGAAACCTAAAATGTGCTTCCCTGGATTAACTCTTCTTGGCATGCATAAGAGAAACCTCATAAATGCTGTGAATCAATATTATTAACCTTAAAATAAACTAACATATCTCGTGGGTAGGTACAAATTAAAGCACGGGAGTACTGTGCTTGGATTTCTTGATCTCCTCTTTGTCGATATACTCGACGGTGATCTTCTCTGGATCGACGTTCTCCTCGTCGTGAATTTCGCGAATGTCACCGTCGGCATTGCGGCGTTCAGGACCCAAGAAGCAGACCACGAACGTGTAGGCGAATACTGCACCCATTAAGATTGCCATAACTTTTCCATAGTCGTACATCCCCGGAATTTTATTTCCGTCCTTATCATAGAGAGGGAACTGCGTGCCGATAGTCGCCTCAATAGTTGAAGCTGCAGAAGAAGCGAGATTTCCCAACTGATAACTAGTACCGGAGGCGAAAGCTCGCAGTGCGGGGGGAGAAAGCTCCATAAGATGAATTGGCACCACACCCCAGGCACCCTGGACCATCATTTGCATAAAAAAAGCCGTAGCGTTAATGCTTGCATTTTGATGTGAAAAGCCCCAGGGATAAATTAAAGCAGCCCCAATAACACAGCATATCATAATAGTGAGACGACGACCAACGAACTGAGACAAGTGGCCGAACAAGATGCCCCCAGTTAGAGCACCGAGGTTTGCGACACAGTTGGTTACAGTAGCTGCGTTTTCGCTAAAGTCAAGTTGCTTCTTCAGGCGAGTAGGATACAAGTCCTGAGATCCATGGGACATAAAATTCATGCCAACCATGAACAAAACCTGGAAAATGAACAGGAGCCAGTGGGTCTTCATGCTCTCTTTAGCGGCTCGAACGAAAGTAACCGCTGCATCACCTTCAACCTCGCGGCGACGCTTGTGCTCAAGGAATGCATCGTTCTCAGGTAGACATAAACGCCAAATAATGATTAGAACAGGCGGCCCAGCACCGAACCAGAACAGTGCTCTCCAGCCGTGCGGAGAATTATCGGCAATAGCTCTGTTGAAAATAACGACTAACAAGTAACCAAAAGCATAGCCTTGTTGCAGTAAACCTGAGATCAGACCTTTTGCTTGTGGAGGACAATCATCGAGAGCGGTTGAAGCGCAGTTACCAAACATACCACCCATAGCAATGCCAAACAGTGCACGCACGGCTAAGAATTGCGGATAGGTTTGAACAAACCCAGTGCCCAGCTCAAGAGCGATGAACACAAGACAGTTGATGATAAAGGGCCATTTACGACCCCACTTATCAGCGGCGAGACCAAATATAACGGCACCGACTGAACGGAGCATCAAGACAACTGTGATACCCCAGGATATTTGGGCAACAGTGCGATCAAGGGATTTTGCAATGTTTGGAACAACGATTGATACGGAAAAGAAGTCGAAAGCATCCCATGTCCAGCCAAAGAAAGCCACACCAATAAAAGACCATTGACGCAAGGTGATTTCGCGGAGTCCAGGCAAAGGATTGAGCAGGTGCTTTTTCTCGTGGAATGGAGGTGGAACTAGTGTCGACGGTCGCGTCGCTAAGTAGTGCGCGACCGCAGGGGGACTCAAATCTGGTCCCTTGAGCTCTTCAGACATGGCAGACACTTTGAAACCACGTACGATCCCTGCATTTTATATGTGGCGGCGTACAGCCTCCAGTTTTAAAAAAAATGCACGATCGCTGCACAATCGACGATAGTTTTCGAGACCTGCTGATGGTCCTGCAGTGAACCAACATAATAAAGTCAACTTAGCGACATCTATAAACGGTCAGCCTGGTAGCAATATGAAGCTCAGAAGTTTAAAAAGTGAGTTATATTCTTTAAGCTGCTAAATTTCGCTTCAACCGTGCGGTGTGTACTCTTTTCTGTCAACCCTTCCCCGCACCAGCTCTCGATGCACAGTGTGCTCCGACTGCGTGTCAAGAGGTTTTTTGGGGGAGCTAGTACGATGTGTTACAGTATTGTATAAGATCGATTAACTCGGATTAGCCTGCCATAACCAGGGAGCAAGCCAGTTATAGCATACTAGCTCACCTAGTAATGAAAGCTTAACCCAGAAAGTTTTTCAGCGCCTCGAACGGGCAAATTTTTTTCTATGTCAATCCTGCTCCGCATCTCCTGACACATCATTGGGCTGGCGATAGGTCCGCCTGCAGCCGAAGTTGAGCTGTCAAAGCTCAAAATTGCCGAATTGCGACAAAATAACGCGATGTGATGCTTTTTGACCGCTCAAGTCTTAAATTATAAGTAACCGCTTCAGTGTGACTGAACAATAACCATATTATGCAGTGTGCGGCATTACTGCTACTTTTATCTGGGTTTGGGCTAAAACCTACGGCACGAATCCGGGGTAGCTGTAGGGCGCTGACGAGGTTATAACAACTGCATACTACGTCGTGAAGCAGGAAAATGCCATAAAATAAAACTTCAATACACGGGCGTGCTGCTGGGGTAGTGTTTCGCACGGGTTTTGGTCCGATCGTATCCGATTTATCCGATATCGGATGCCCTTGAATGCTTTACGGGCGCCATTTAGCTGCAGGTCAGGAATGGCGCATAAGCAGCCTGCATGTGGGGTAAAACTCGCCTTTTCGACCAGAAGAACCAGGTGAGACTTATTCAAACAAAACAAATCCTAGGATGACGTTGTGGAAAGCGTTGTATTTTGGATAACTTTTTCATTCAAGGAAATTTCTTCGCTCTGTTGAATTTCCGTGATTGAACCATCAACTGCATAGTGAGGATCAACACCATCAATTTCCCCAACAGTTTGTTTAGGTCCCTCGAACCACTTTTAGGCGTGTAAAGTAGTAAATGAGACATCCTATCCATACTGCGGGGTTAATAACGCAAGTATAGTTCATAGTTGATGCTGTAACATGTCGCGACGTAGGCATTTGGGTCAGAACAAACACAAGAAACACCAAATAAGTCGCAGCTAGAATACCATTGATGCGAGAGAGGGTATGACCCAAGTAGAACGGACCAGGAACGAAATCGCCTTTTCTGAATGTGATGACTCTCATCAAAATCGGCATGAGCCAAGCCAGGCCGTTTGAACTAACATAAAGAGAGAATAGAGACAACGCTGCTGTGTTGTTGATGAGAGTCAAACAACCCAAAGCTAACGAAATGATGCCATCGAAAATGATCGCATTGTGGGGAACACCATCTTTCAGATTGATCTTGCGAACCCAGTTGGAAAATGGTAGCGCGCCGTCACGCGAAAATGCCCAGGTCTGACGGGATGCACAAACTAGGATAGACAAACCCATCAAAAATTGTACAATAAGCATCAATACCATCATGGCAATAGCCCATTCCTTGTTTAGTGAATCCATAATGAGCTGAGCCATGGGCTGACCCACGGGCGTCTCTACCGTGCTAATGAGATCAGGCTTAACACATGCAGCCAAAACAGCCTGAACCACAAAACCAAGCACTGCACACTTTCCGATGGACATACAAATCCCCAATGGTACTGCCGTTGCAGCATTCGATGCTTCTTCGCTCATGTGAATCCACGAGTCGAAGGCACCTATAGTCCAGATTGCAGACATCCAAGAGAGTAAAAATGACCAGCCATATTGCCAGTCATAGAGGTTGGTTGTGTCACCAAACACGAACGACCCGGAGTTCAGACCTCGATCTTGTTTCGAATCCCCAACGGGAAGGGCAATACAAATAAGCACGACAAGGATCATGTTTAATACGATACAAGAGGTCTGCAACTGCGAAAGGAATCTATTGGATGTCATCGCAGTCAATGCCTGTAAAACAACTGCACCAACATAAATCCCGTACCACATGTATTTTGTAGGCACAAACTTAGCATCTGTTGCAATTGCGGGCACCGACATGACCATTTGAGCAAAGCCGTAGTTGATACTACAGAAACCGCCAACCAGACCAAGAGTGTTGGCATAGCCGGTGAAAAAACAGGCGGGCTTCCGAATTTTTTCGGTGCAAACTTGAAGGTCCACCAATACAGCCCGCCAGAGGTCGGCATAGCAGAACCAAACTCGGCAAGTGCTAATCCGACAGACATGATAAAAAAGCAAGGCACTAGCCAACCCCAGGTCATACCAACTCCTCCGGCTTGCAGAGTATCCGCTAAGACCGACGCGATGGACGGCACAAGCGACATGATGGAGAACGCAATGCCGAATACTTGAATTGGGGAGAAATTTCGGCGCAGTTCCGGGTTATAACCCAGATTCATCAACAGCTCGTCATCTTTATTGACTAGTTCCGTCATGTCAGACGAATGTAAATAGGAAAGGTCTTATCTTCTGTATATGCAAAGCAAGTCCCCTGCAGGCTTGTAAAGGCGATTGTCGCGCGAGGGATAATACCACGCAAGATTGCGGTTCCCTGTGTGATGAAATTTGTAAAACCATATGCACTTGGCAGAAGAGTATTTGAGGACATTGAGTAGCCGTACGGTGAGCGCTCTTTCGTTTCATGTGGTTACTGGTGCAGCTGATAAGCACTGTGGATGCAGCCTGCCCTCGTCGTAATCAACTAAAACACAAACGGTATCGGAATCAAGAGTGAGTTACTGCTATCCTCGAGTGCAATACGCAAATTCTGGTGATTAAAAAGACGTAAATATGCCACGTTAAATAGCCTATTACGAAGGCCTATGCAATTGGTTGTGATCGCTTAAAACCATATCCATACCTAGCTTTCAATTGAATAACTGGAAATATATGTACAATTCTAGGTACTACAAAAGAGCATTCCCGTGGAAACGGCCCCGTGAATGTGTGTAGCAGTTTTCGCATGCACAGTTTGCGTCGCACTGACATTGACCTGGCATCACGCACATTGCAGCAAAATCAAGCTCTCTTTGGGCACCCCACAATTCATCTGTCTCGTCTTGGGTCAAACCTAAATCATCGACGCCGTGCCCGTTATAAGACATTGGCGCAATTAAAAATGGTGCAGATTGGGATTCGTGCGGAGCATACTCCTGGAAAGCTTCAGGGCCCTGTTGAGTCTCGACTTGTGAATGGGGTTCTTGTGGAGCTCTTTTAGAACAGCAAGAGCTTGAAGCCTCAGGTTGAGGCTTGCAACATGACTTGACTGCGCACGATGATGATGGGTCCATGGCTGCATTCGTGCCTCTCTCTACTGCGTCGAATTCCGAAGCAAGCTGCTTTCGGTATAACCCACCGCCGACAGAAACAAACACATACTTTCCTGCACGAATTGGCTCTTCATCTGTTTGTGCTTCGTCTGATATTATAGGCTTACCCGAGGTTCGAAGCCTTAGGGTCATTTTTGACACCTTGCCAGAGGAAACAGAGCTCGAGTCAATAGTGCTGACCACACAGGTTTGATGGGCGTCATCACACAGACATCTACGGCCATTTGCGATGCACTCACATGGACTTTTCGACAAAATAGCTAATCTAGTCATCCCATCTCCTATAGGTCTCCCACGGCGGCGCACCTGCAGTAGTGGTCGGTCACGGTGTTCACACGTCGACGCCCTATGACCTCTGATACAATGTATACAGGCGTATTTCAGCCCTTGGTAGGTTATCATTAAGCGTAGAAAGTAAGGCTTCGCTAAACCTCGAAATTACATAATCGCATTGATTTTGCGATGACATATATCCGGGCCTACTTTCCTAACTAGACCACTGCCAACTATGGGTCCAAAGAAACAATCAACCGCCGTGAAGCGGCTGATGACCGAGTACAAGCAGCTTCTGAACGATCCGCCTGAGGGTGTGTCTGCCGGCCCGATTTCAGAGGACAATTTTCTTGAGTGGGAGTGCCTCCTGGCTGGGCCACCCGACACCTGCTACGAGGGCGGCATTTATCCTGCCACTTTGACTTTTCCCGAGGACTATCCTTTGAACCCACCCAAGATGGTCTTCAACGGCCCGATTTTCCACCCCAATGTCTATAAAAACGGTGAGGTTTGCATTTCTATTCTCCATGCCCCCGGTGACGACCCTAATATGTACGAAACAGCTGCTGAGCGGTGGTCTCCTATCCAGTCGGTGGAGAAGATCTTGGTCAGTGTTATTAGCATGCTTGCAGAGCCCAATAGCGAGAGCCCAGCCAACATCGATGCCAGTAAGATGTGGAGAGACGATCGGCCTGCCTTTGAGCAGCTCGTCCGTTCTCAGATCCTTGCATCGCTTGGCATTTCTAACGAGTGAAACCCCATGATATAATTAGGCTTCTAGTCTATGAGTTATATATTAAACGTCCTTCTCTTTGGTCTCCTCCTCAGGGATACCGGCACTGATAGTCTCTTCTTCTTCATCCTCGAAATCAACTGTCTTGAGAAAGTACTCCACAAGTGCTTCATTTTCGGCAACTTCTGCTTGATAAATAGAATCAAAACCTGCTTGGTTCTTGATTTTCGCATCGGCCCCGGCTCCTACCAGCAGCTGGGCGGACTCCAAGCTACCAGTGAGAGCTGCCCAGTGCAATGCAGTGTTCCCGGAGTCATTTTTTTGATTGACAATGTTTGCCCGCTCATTTTCGTCCAAATGATGCAAGATGTACTTCAACACATCAACGTGCGCGTTGGCTGCTGCCATGTGAAGGGGGGTTGCCAGCGAGTATTCGTTTTTGATACTCTTGAAAAGTTCCGTAGCATTTTCCTGCTTGAAAAACTCCTCAATAGGTGCAAGTTCGCCCTCACGAGCTGCAGAAAGAATCTCTAGATGGTCGGCCATAAGAAGTTTGGAAAAAAAAAAAGATTTCGTAATGGATCAGCTGCTGGCGGCGACCAAGCAGTGGCTCGATGAAGGAGTTTCTAGCAAAGGAGCAGACATTGCAAAATTATCTACATCAATTGAGCAAAGAGGCTCGCCTTCGGAAAGTGTCATCTGGCGATGCGTTGATGTGCTGCTAGAGTTACAGTCGTTCACCGACGGGAAACAAGAGATCATCAAAATTGCGTTGGAAGATATGAAAACGGTGTCTACACTTATGCGAGTTATAGCTTGTTACGGCATATATCCTTGTGTAGATGCTGGTGTTGGGCCGCCAATGGAATCCAGAACTGAATGGGCAGTTTTGAAAAACCCCGAAGAATTCTCAAGTGACTTTTTAGAACGGCTGCTCACCAAACTACTGAATATCTTACGGAAAAAGGACGATCTTGCGGATATAATACTAATCGGACCTTATACTGTTGACATTATCACTGGATCATTGCGTTACGATGCCATTTTCGAAGGGTTGAGCGATCTTTTGCCAACTTACACACTTTATCAACTTTACACCGGTATTCTCCCCTACGGGCCATCATGGGTACAACAGAAGCTGTCACATTCACTCGCAGTACTACCGTTGAAACGTAGTGATGCAGTGAGAGCATTGATTGAGTTTCTCACCGGCTTTCGTGAGTCTGAGCATGTCAACACGAGCCGGCTAACTCACGTTACCCAAGTTCTTTGCTCAATTCCAAAAAACACCAAGCCCAAAGATTATATTGGTGCTATTGGGGTACAGATATTCAATCTTTTGGCATCAGTCGATATGCCTCCTGAAATCACTGCGGCGGTGGTGAGAGTTACGGCTGATCTCTCTGAAACACGACCTCAGATGCTAGGAGCATTAAGAGACAGAATAGTCGAACCTTTTATCAAGCCATCCGCGGAATTAGAGCCTTCGTTAGTGGTCCTCATGAATTTGGTATCGAGGAAGAGCGATTTTGTTGGTTATTTAGCCGAGAAATTAGCGTTGCATGTGTGGGCTTTGCTAGCGTATCTTTCAGAGTCCAAACGCCCCAATGGATCCACGCTGCAATTAGTCGTTGGTCTTATCAACTTGAAAGATGACGGTACGATTGCCGATTCAATTGCCAGATCACTGGGTCAAACAGTTGTCGATGGTATCACATTTGGACCTTCCTCGAGTGGCAGTGTTGAAACGCGACAAAGCGATGGAAACAGCCCTGAGTTAACCATGGAAGCATTAAGCTTTCGTATCAATCTTTTCTTGACCGTCTTGAACAAAGTCCAGGGGAAGATTGTGAGTTCTTTGTTCTCGCACATCATAAAAAGGTATACTGCATCGTCAAGAAGGGATGCATTGAGCATCTGGTCAGACCTGAAACTTTTGGAAGGTATTTCATCGGAACTTCGAGCGAAACTCTTTGAGAAACCGAATGAGATTGTGGACCTGACTTTCGGTATTATCGACGGTGCTGTTGAGAAGCAACTTGCCCCACAAGTTCTCGATGTCCAGAGTCTAGGCGTTGCCCTAGATGGCGACAGCGACGATGAAGAGGACGACGAAGAAGAACAGGACAATGGTGATCTTGTCGCATTAGGGCTATCTCTGCTCAGTAGCATTATTCTCGAGGCGTTCTCCAAAAAGAAGCTCATGCGAAAGATCGGCGGTCACAGGGAACAAATCGAAGTGTTGACGAAATCTACAAACCGGAATATCCGAGAAAAGTCTTCTCAATGCATAGAGCTACTTGACACAATCGCGTCAGAGGCCGAGATCTCTTTAGGAGACGAGGACACTGACTTTGAAAACTCCGCAGCGTTGCTTAAAACTGCGAGGGAATCTCTAGCAAACCCGTTGATTCCTGTTCGTGCACATGGGCTTACATTAATTTCAGAGCTGATCAAGCGGCAGGACAATACTATATCACTCGATGAGGCCATGTCGATCATGCTGAGGGAAATTCAAGATGACGATTCATTTATTTATTTGAACGCTATCAGAGGCCTAGAAGCCTGCAGTGCATTTGTGGGCCCAGGACCCGTTCTTCGAAGACTCGCTACCCACAAATCTACACAATTGGATGTGGTTCTGAGAAAACGTGAAGCGATGACCCGTATAGTGCAACTATTTGGGCCCACCTGTCAACAAGAGGACCTGAGGTTTTTGGCTGATTACTTTTTGGCACAGTCTCGACCAGACCCCCAAGTTGACGATCGCTTGAGGATGTCCGCTATCTCAATCCTTGGACTGCTTATACAAGGAGCTCCATTAAGCCTGACAACCGATCAAGAGGGCCAGGTCGCAGACTTGGTTCTCGGTGTGTTGACACATGAACGAAGTGACGAGCAGGCTATCGTGCGAAGAAGTGCCATTGTGCTACTTCTTGAACTAGTAAATGCAAAACACCAAGGTGGATTCAAGAATCTCTCTGTATCAACCCTCCAAAGTCTAAAAACACAGCTCGGCGTCGCAGCAAATGACTCGGACGAGCTTATTCGCAAAGACGCTCGCGAATTGATGGAATCATTTTGATACCTGTATGTATTTGAGTCTTATTGATAATTACATTATTCCTTATATTTCAATACCGGCCATGGAAACGGACTTAACTTGCCTGTTTCTGCCCATGATCCACTCGAGAATCTCCAGAGGTTCCATAAATTTCATTTACATAAGCCATGGAACTCACTAGAATTTCAGCTGACACAGCTATATAAATGACCCGAGAGGTTGCTGCACGATCACAACCCAATCTATATTCAAAAATGTCTTCTGAATCGTTTGAGTTTCAGGCTGAGATCTCTCAGTTGATGAGTTTGATCATTAACACGGTCTACTCCAACAAGGAAATTTTCCTTCGTGAGCTCATTTCCAACGCTTCCGATGCTTTGGACAAGATCCGCTACGTTTCACTTAGCGACTCGAAGCAGTTGGACTCTGAGCCCAACCTCTTCATTCGCATCAACCCCCGCAAGGAGGAGCACATTTTGGAGATCCGTGACAGCGGTATTGGTATGACCAAGGCTGATCTCGTCAACAACCTGGGTACCATTGCCAAGTCCGGCACCAAGCAGTTCTTGATGGACGCTTTGGCCGGTGGTGCCGACATGTCTATGATTGGTCAGTTCGGTGTTGGTTTCTACTCTCTTTTCTTGGTTTCTGACCGTGTTGAGGTTATCACCAAGCACAACGACGATGAGCAGTACATTTGGGAGTCTGCCGCCGGCGGCAAGTACACCATCACCAAGGACACCGTCAACGAGCCTCTTTCTCGTGGTACTTTGATTCGCATGCATCTCAAGGATGACCAGCTTGAGTACCTGGAGGAGAAGCGCATCAAGGATGTCGTTAAGAAGCACTCTGAGTTCGTTGCCTACCCCATCCAGCTCGTTGTCACCAAGGAGATCGAGAAGGAGGTCCCTGCTGACGAGGAGGAGGAGAAGGTCGACGACGACAAGAAGCCCAAGATTGAGGAGGTCGATGAGGATGCCGAGGAGAAGAAGAAGAAGGAGCCCAAGAAGATCAAGGAGACTGTCACCGAGAACGAGGAACTTAACAAGACCAAGCCCTTGTGGACTCGCCCTCCCAGTGAGATCACCAAGGAGGAGTACAATACCTTCTACAAGACTATCTCTAACGACTGGGAAGACCCACTCGCTGTTAAGCACTTCTCTGTTGAGGGTCAGCTCGAGTTCAAGGCCATCCTTTTCGTTCCCGGCCGTGCTCCCTTCGACCTCTTTGACGGTAAGAAGAAGGCACACAACATCAAGCTGTACGTCCGCCGCGTTTTCATCACTGATGACTCTGAGGAGCTCATCCCTGACTGGCTGTCGTTCGTCAAGGGTGTTGTGGACAGCGAGGAGTTGCCTTTGAACTTGTCTCGTGAGGTTCTGCAGCAGAACAAGATCATGAAGGTCATCCGCAAGAACATCGTTAAGAAGCTTATCGAGACCTTCAACGAGATCGCTGAGGACCAGGAGCAGTTCACTAAGTTCTACACTGCTTTTAGCAAAAACATCAAGCTCGGTATCCACGAGGATGCTACCAACCGTGCTGCTCTTGCTAAGTTGCTCCGTTACCAGTCTACCAAGTCTGCTGGCGAGCCTACTTCGCTCACTGACTACGTCACTCGTATGCCCGAGCACCAGAAGAACATCTACTACATCACTGGTGAGTCTACCAAGGTTCTTGAGAAGTCTCCCTTCTTGGATGTCTTCAAGCGCAAGGGCTTTGAGGTTCTCTTCATGACCGACCCCATTGATGAGTACGCTGTCCAGCAGCTCAAGGAGTTCGAGGATAAGAAGCTTGTTGACATCACCAAGGACTTCGAGCTTGAGGAGACCGAGGAAGAGAAGAAGCAGCGCGAGGAGGACATCAAGAACTTTGAGGACCTTACCAAGGCCATCAAGGAGATTCTTGGTGAGCAAGTCGAGAAGGTTGTTGTTTCTGAGGCTCTTGGCGAGATTGCCCCTGCTGCTATCCGTACCGGTCAGTTCGGTTGGTCCGCCAACATGGAGCGTATCATGAAGGCCCAGGCCCTCCGTGACAGCTCCATGTCTTCTTACATGTCCTCTAAGAAGATCTTTGAGATTTCTCCTCGTCACCCCATTATCAAGGAGCTCAAGAACAAGGTTGAGGCCGATGGCGCTTCCGACCGCACTGTCAAGGACTTGACCACTTTGCTGTTCGAGACTGCTATGCTCACCTCCGGTTTTGCTTTGGAGGACCCTACTTCCTTCGCCTCTCGCATCAACCGTCTTGTCGAGCTGGGTCTCAACATTGACGAGACTGAGTCTTCTGCTGATAACGCTGCTGAGACCACTGATGCCCCAGACGCTGCCCCTGTTGAAAGCGCTATGGAGGAGGTTGACTAAATTGAATAAAAAACCAATCACACATAATATTTAGAATCATGTTAGCCTAAACTTAATTTTCATCAGATCCTTTCGTACCGCCAGTTGGTGGTGTTAGCCATGCAAGGTCTGGTTGGAGAGTACTGAAAATGTTGCGTAGACGCAAGTAGTTCTAGCAGACCCGTAACTCCACATCCTTCCGGTTATCTTAGGACTGGGTTTATACTGCTTATGAAAATGTTGCTATTGAATAGAGTTACTTGAGCAATGTAGGATATTTCATGACGCGGGCTGGTTGCAGGCTGGATTCAAACAAGAGCAGGTTACCCTAAGAATCCTCCCATTAAACAGTCCCATTATGACGGCAACATTGTTATTGGTATGTATGGTACATGAAAATCTGTTCTGACTTGTATACATTCCTTGTTGAAATGCTCGTGGTTTGATGAAGCTTAACCCTACATCACGCTGACGCGTATGCAGTGCTTGACAGTGGAGCTTTTGCTTTGTATTAGGGAAGCGTGCTCAGGTCTAATGACTTGTACACGTAAAATAAGCTACAGGTGCGTTTACCAGCATGCTGGAAGCGGTCCTAGGGGGTTTTCCCGATTAACGACATTGCCGCCCGCTACCCCGTTAAATAGAATTACTAACGTGCATCTGTGCCTGCTTTAGCTGCAAGATATCAGTTGCCAAACATTCTGCTCAAACCATAGAATATTGACTGCCCGAAAATCAAGATAGCTCGGACTCAAAACAGACTCAAAACAGCGTTCAGTTCCACAAAGTTTGCTCAAGAGACGTATGTCAGTCATTTACATTCCACCGAACCCGATCTGTTGCGAAACAGCCCCAGGCCTTCATGCAGGGCTGCAATGCACGAAGATATCAATTTCACCGTGCGGTTGCGTATCGACACCTTTTTGTTCTTATCACATCAAAAGACTTGAAGCTTTGGGACCGTCTATAATGAGAAACCGATCGAACAATGGATTTATTTTAATTGATTATTATCAGGAGCCTGCAAAATGCGAAGAATTTCTGCCGCCGTTGCCGCCGTTGCCGCCGTTGCCGCCGCTTCCGCTGCCACCGACACACCAACCGGCTGGTTCGAGAATAATGCACCAAGCTAGAGATCAGAGGCTGCCGTCCCACGGCCCAAACTTCAGCCACCAGCAAATTACCCATCGGTTTCACTCGGCTAACACAGTGAATTCGTTTTGCTCAACTTCCCCCACAAGCTCTACGTTCAAAAAAGTACCAGAAACCATGAGTTGCTCCAGTCCTGGTCGTCCCAAGGCGGACATGAGTTTGTCGGAGTCATTCTGCTCATTGGGTTTAGGCGGCCCTTCCATTGCCATACCACCTGATCAGAGAAGCAGAGCATTGTGGTTTCTGGAGACTCTTGGTAGAGCCGCGTTGCAAATAACAGGCGTACAAATTTCGCCGAATGTTTTTCTCCCTCGCAGGTTCTGGAAGATGGCAATTGTTTCTCCTGAACACATTCAAATCACTGAACATCGAATAAAGGCCATAAAGCGAGTGCTGAAGTATCAAAGTTCTTTTGAAAAATCTTTTAAGTTTCATCTCAAAGGCGGTTCGCTCTTTGAACATTTCTCCTCTCGCCTCATACTGGCGAAACCTGAAGCCATGTTATCCCCACATGATCCAACACGTGTGAATTCTGGCACTGGTGCTTCAACAGTATTCAAGCGCCTCCCGTCTGGATCAATCAAAGCAAACTTGACTGTAAGATATGCGACCATGGCTACTCAATTGCTGGAAGCTGTCAAGCGCGAGTATAGCTTTGGGCTTGAAACCCCATTTGTCGACTTTGTTCTAGAGACAATTACACCATGTTTCGTGGATGATGTGTTCGATCTACATGCACTATATATGGATCACTTGCTAAAGAAAATTGCCCCTGAGATAGGAAATTTAACTTGATGAAATACGCACTTAAATTATTACCACTCCGTAAAGTCAAACTTGCGGAGCTCACTCTCCGACGTTTCGACTTCTTTTTGTGCCTTTCTCCTCATAAAGAAAATAGGACAGTCCTTTGACGAGCAAATGACATCTTGGTGTAGACTACCTTGGCAGCGTTGACACTGTGTCCATAGACGGGCAAACTTCTCTTGTACGCCATTCAGATCTGCAAGCGAATGTAAATATAGTTCGGGCACTCGGTCAATGCAATTTTCACAAACAGCTCCTTTAGCATATGCGCCCCTCAGAGGACGCTTACAGCCTTTACACAGCTCTGTTTTGACAGCGAACTTCATAAGTCCGCCGGTTGTTGGCGTAACTTTAGAAATGGTACGAGTGTGTGCACCCGTCAACAGCTGGTTTGCTTTGTCGCCAAGAATAGGCTCAAAAATACGTAGCAGGGGCTTGCTGAGTTGGTTGCTCAGGTAGTATTCTGTATCGATGGGGATGTTATGTTCGAGAACATAGATTGGATCTTCACTTTTCTGGTAATTCTTCATGCCTGCAGCGCCTCGAATAATGACGTATGCTACACGGTCACCTAATGTCGGGGCAGATCCGGGATCTCGAGCCCTCATTCGCTTCGCCAGCGCAACGTGAGCTTGTTTATCGCCGTCATCGTAGTTGTCCTTGGTGAGCGCTTTGGTGATAACAAGCTGGCTCAAGTCAATACGATTTTGCAAGAGGTCTGAGATAACCTGTTTCACATACTTTTCCGCACCCTTGACGTCTCGGTCGATCAGAATACGATTTAGTGCTGTTTCAATCACATTCTGTACGAGCTGGCAATTATCTCGCCTGACTGTCTCGATACCCTTTGTATCCATTTTATCGAACTTGTCTGGTCGTGTCCAATACAATCCAGCATAGCGCTTCTTGTTGATTAGCAGATAAGGGAAGTAGACTTTCTCGAATTCGAGTTTGATTGGGCTGACGAAGGTCTCTGATACTAGATCGGCAGCTTCTTTACCTAGCTCCATACATTTTTCGAGTTCTTGTGGACCAAATTTGACCATAACGGAGTCTGTGTCGCCATAGATGACCTGGGCGTCAAAATCGTATCCGTTCTTGGTCGTATAATGCTTCTCTACCATACTCTTTGTATGCTCGATCATTTGCCGTCCAAACGCAGTTACGGAAGAAGAGATGGCAAGGCATGGTAATTTTCCCACAGTGGCACCGGTGAAACCGTAGACGGAGTTTGCAGAGATCTTTAACGCCAACTGTCGGCCATCCAACACGGCACGTCTGAAAGGGTCCGTCTCGTTTTTGAGATCTGCTTTTGCTCGCTTTCTAGCTGAGATCAGTTCGTGAAGAATTATCGGTAAAAGTCCTCTTCTGATCTTGGTTGTGACAAAGAGATCACCATTGGGTGTGCGAATGTAGTCCTCTCCTTCTTTGAGATTCAACCGATCAATGGTTGAACGATCTTCAATAAGTGTTGTATAACAGAGATTGTGAGCCATCATAACACTCGGATACAGACTGCTGAAATCCAACGTGGCAATGGGCATGCTATAGTAGCCCCTAACAGGTTCAATGACCGTGGCACCCTCGTATTGTTCGTCACTAGAGCCCTCTTGCTTCATGTTAGGAACAACCATCCCAACTTCGAGTGCCTTGCGGAAAAGTTGTGAAATAACCTTGATTTGCTGACCGCGACTCAAGAGATATGAGATAGGCACACCGGTTACACGAGCCATTTCTGTCATATTGACCAAGGCCATAAGCTTGTCCATCAAACGCAACGGTAGGTAGGCATCTTTCAAGCAGTAAACAGCTAAGCGGTGACGGGACTCTGCATTTCCATTTTGTAATTCAGTAATGATGGAGTGGTGGACGTCTTCTTTCTGCTCCTCGAGGAAATGTGCCGAAACAGAATTCAGTGAGTAGCTTCGCAACTTGTATTCGCGTCTGATATACTGAAGCATATCGATTTGAATACGACCATCTACGTTGGTAGCCTTATTCTCAAGAGTACCATAAGCCTTGGATGAGAACTTTTCGAGCGACACGACATTTTGAACATGCTTAAGACGGGCAAAATATGGGAACTGCCGCAGCTTGAGAGCCTCCGCACGGTTAATAAGATAGGGGAAATCAAAGTTTGACGTGTTATAGCCAATAATCACGTCCGGGTCGACTTCATTCATGAACTTGGACCAGTCCGTAAGTAGATCTTGTTCACGCTCGTACTCTAGTACTTGAGTGCCAGCAATTTTCGAGCAGGTACCAACTGTGAACACGTTTCGAATAAACGGTGTTTTCTCACCTTGGACTTGAACCATATTAGCGATTTGGATGACCGGATCGATAGCAGGGTCGGGAAAAATACCCTTGCGGCCAGCGCACTCGATATCGAAACTCAGTACCCGCAGGGGAGCAGACTTTAAGAACTCACCATCAGGAGAATGTGCAATTAAATCTTTGAAAGAAACAGAAACTTCCAATTGAGTTCTAGCTTGCCGTTTATTGTCTGGCACAACAACGTACTTGTCTTTCGGTAGCGTCAACCAGGACATCCCGGTGATATGACAGTCCACGGTGCATCGCAAGGTATAGGAGATGTTGTCATAAGTTTGTTGGCTGAATTCGTACCGCTTGAACTGGATATTGTTGTGCTCAAAAGATGAACGCATTCTGGTCACCGCCATGGGGTCCCGACCGAAGATCTTGAAAAATGGGCTCTTGTGTTCTGATCGGTAGCCCCAGAGGCTCTGTTTCATGACAATTTCAATTTTTGCGAGACCAGGAAACTGCTCCCGCAAGTATGCTGCAAATTCACGAACATCCTCGTCGGTAAATGGCTCGCTGGCGCCATCTCTCAAAATCGGTACGGGAACATAAAAGTAGTGTAGGAACCCTGTGACATCGCACATGATAGAGTTGCCTGTATCCGTGACGCCAAAGAGACGAACAGTGCTCTCTCCATTGAGCGTAGTTTCCTCTGCATCGATCTGTTGGAACACTATATCCTTTGAACGAAAGTCGCTGGGCACCTCTGGACGGGCCCAAATCTGATCGACGGACTGGCCTTTTTGCGAATGAAGCCTGGTAAGGTCTTCCTCGAATTGGGTTGGCTGAGTGCGCGACCGCTTGGCCGGATCAATCTCTGTTTCTGGAGATCGTTTCACTGCCACTGACATTTTTCGCGACGCGTAAATTATCTAGTTGTAAGCAGGCCAAGTGAAGAACCAATCTCTGGAGGTGTGATTACGGCTGGCCGGTAATTTGTTGAGGCGAAGAAATACATACTCGTTTTAGTGCTACTAGCGTATACGAGTTTAGTTATTTTTTTTAAAGCATCTATTTGACACCTGTAATTTGTGCCCTTTCACTTTCTGCCACGACGTACATCAAAGAGAATCTGTCAAACTCCCACTAGTGACTTTTCCCAACCGCCACTTGTAAAATGTCCTCAACGGGAGCAGACACCTCTGGAGGAACTGCGTCTAGAAGAGACCACAAACAAGGCAACCAGGACCGGTCGTACACAGCAGAGCAGCATGAGGCGGTGAAACGAGTGATGAGGTGCCAGGCGACGGACTACTACGAGATTCTTAAGATCAAAAAAGACTGCACTGAGACAGAGGTGCGCAAATCCTACCGGCGACTGGCCCTTACTATGCATCCAGACAAGAATGCAGCGCCCCAGGCCGACGAAGCGTTCAAGCGGGTGTCCAAGGCGTTCCAGGTTCTCAGTGATGCAGACAAAAAGCGGATATACGACCAGACTGGCGCTGACCCGGAACAGCGCGGTGGAATGCCTTCCGGAGCTTCCGCATTTGGGCGGGCTGCGGGCGGCTCACCTTTCGCTGGTGGTGGTATGCACGGAGGATTCGACCCCGAGGACATTTTTTCTGCTTTTTTTGGCGGTAATCAGGCATTCGGCAGCCCATTTGGCGGAGCATTCGGCGGCCCGTTCGGCGGCGGCGGTACACAGTTCGCATTCGGAGGTGCTGGGGGCCCGCGGGTATACACGTTCAATGCGGGCAATCCATTTGCACAGTTTGGTGAGCAAGCCAGACGTCGCGCAGCGCACCAGGGTGGTGAAGCTGCCGGTGAACAGCCCACGCGGATGCAAAGGTTCATGCAGTTTTTACCCCTTCTTTTTATTATTGTGCCATATATCTTTTCCCTGATTTTCGGCGGCGATTCGTCTGCTGCGGCTGCTGCTCCCCGCTTCAAATTCGACCGTGAGCCGCCCTACATCCAGCTACGTCATACCCCCAGATTTGGCGTAAACTTTTATGTGAACCCTCTTGACGTACAAGGTTTGTCTGACGTCAAGCTGAGGCGCCTGGACCGTGAAGCAGAAGCAAAGTACGTTTCTGTGCTACGGGTCAATTGCGAGCACGAACATCATATACGTGAGGAAATGCTTCGTGAGTCTATGGGCTGGTTTGTTAGGGATCAAGAAAAGTATCAGCAAGCGTTGAACCATCCCATGCCACATTGCGAGCGGCTAGATGAGCTGGGCTTGAGGCTGAATTCTTGAGACCCCAATCTAATGGACACAGCTCGAATCGTCGCTCTCGTTCTGAATTTTGATATATGAAATAACAATAAAAGAACGTGAAAATGGCCACTCGTTTAGGCTTGGCAATTACGTACTTCCTGAACTTTTTATCTGCGGAAATCTTTTAGCTTATGCATGATAGCGAACGTCAGCGGAAGAACATTGATATCAAACGACGGAGATTGAACTATGTGCCCGGGAATTTCTTTGAAATAGCATTAAACGATCGAATTTACCCGTTTGCCCGCATTTGTATGCACAAAGGTTCTCTGGAAGTATAATGCAAAATAGCCCCAGCACCTCATTTTCCGGGCTATCTAGATCAGTGATGCAAGTGTGCGATTGACCGGACCCACGCACCCAAGCAAAACACCCTGGGTTCGAGTTGAATAGGCACCGCTTTTGGCATGGGCCGGAAAGATGTAAAAACCCTGTTTCAATATAAATAATTCCAAACAAACTTCAATTGGCCCTTCCAAGCCCGCCTAACGTAGACCTCACGGATCCGATGGGTAAGGGGTTCCAACGACGTAATGATTTTCGACCTCCTTTTCACCTAATTGTATATTTTTAGACCTCACACCGCCCACGTTCAAGCAATTTCAAACCCTCTTACTATTTTTGTCTTGAGTTGTTTGGACAATGAGCAATCCTCCGGAAGATTCTTTTAAACGAAAAAATCCAAAATCCGTGAGGTTTCCAGAAGGCCAAGGAATCTCCTCAGCTCGGGATGACCCGTCCCGGAGATCTCTGGATAGCAACGATGATCTCTCCGACACTGCGTCGGTCGAGCTTGGACCAGGATATTCTGGCTCAAATGCAGCTAGTGGGTCCCATATGTTCCCCGTTCTTGAAGCCTCTGATGCGAGTTCTGACGACGAGAGCAGCGACGACGATGAGCAGACCCGCTTCAACACATTGGCCAACCGAAACTTGCCCACAGAGCCTCAATCTGGGTCAACGCCACAGCTCCAGATCACGCCGCCGCCACTAGTAGACAATAGCGCGCAAATGTACACCGGTCTGCTAGACGTTGGGTCGCGGGTCAGCGGAGGCTTAGCACCAGGAGCGGCTGAGGTAGAGGAAGAGAACTCTACGAAGCTTGAAGAGGAATACCGGCAGCGCCGCAACACTTTGTTACGGTCATTGGAAAAAAATCAAATGGCTCACTCTATGCCTTCGAGCCTGAACGGTTCTCCCCGCCTGGAACCACATGAGCCTGAGCAATTCGTTCCAGAGATGCCACGGCCATCTTATAATTCCCGAGCTCACGAGCTCAATGATTTTGAGCTTGAAAAGCGCTTGAAAGAACTTGAAACCGAAACTCTAGACCAGCGCCGCCTTGAGGACTATGAAAGCGCTGTTATACCATACGACGAGAAAAAATTGAGCAGAACGCCCTCTGAGGATGGGAAGCGGGACTCAATGGAATCAAAGCGCACTCGCGGCAGTACTCGAAGCCGCACGTCTGCTGAAGTAGCTGCTCAGTTGTCGGAAGACGCCCGAGCGGAGGCACGTGATTTAGCCGCCCAACTGGTCAACCAGCACGTTAAGAAAGGAGGAAACTCAGCCGAGCCTAATGATGCTCTCTATGTGCCGAATCATAACTATCTCATGAATGCTGGTCTCATGGATCTTGATGTGTGCGACGATGATGACTCGGACGGTATGCGTGACGAAGATGGTCCAGAACCTCAGATTGAAGGCGGCGATGCCCCTTACGTCGCTCCTCCAAAGCGGGTCAAGGAAGGTGTTCTCGGTGCCTTGCTGAGACTGTACGCCGACGAGGACGACAACAAGTCCCAGACGACCCTTGTCAGTTCAGCGAACTCGCCCTCCACTTCTGGGTTTCAATCTCCAGTTGGATCTCCAGACCTTTCGCCTGAGTTTTCCAGAACACCCACATCGCCGATGTCGTTGTCCGATGATCAGCAACGTCCTGGTTATTTCAGATCGCACTCGACCGATGATGTTGGAACGGGCGGCTCTAAAAAGCGGCCAAAGTGGTATAAGCACCGCAGCACACAATCTGTGATGTCTTTGAGCAAGTTGGCTGCAAGCTCTATGAGCACACTTGCTCCTGCTAGTGCAGACATGCTGCACTCGATTGGCAAGGACAAGGAGAAATCAAAGGCTGACAAGCAGCGAAGAGCAGCCGAAGCCCAGGCAGCTAAAGCGAAAGCTCAGGCGAAAGCTCAGGCAAAGGCGGAGGCCAAACGGCGTAAAAAGGCTCGCATGGCCGAGCGGTACCGCATCACTGTACATATCGCAGACGTCCTTCAGCGACAGCGGTTCATTCTCCGTATTGGCCGGGCTCTTATGCTTTTCGGTGCGCCATCTCATCGACTAGAAGAATATTTGGTGATGATTGCGCGTGTTTTGGAAATCGATGCGCAATTCCTCTATATGCCTGGCTGTATGCTTGTTTCGTTTGGAGACGTCACTACCCATACCTCTGAAACGAAACTTTTACGGGTTACTCAAGGTCTAAACCTCGTCAAGCTTGATCGCACACACGCAATCTATAAAAAGGTCATTCACGACGAGATGGATCTTGAAACGGCAGGGGAAAGTATTGACGAGCTGCTTGCATCCAAGCCGATGTACAACAAGTATCTGTCGGTGCTCTTTTTTGCCCTGGCTACAGCAAACTTTTGCGTTTTCAGTTTTGGTGGATGGTGGTGGGATATTCCCATTACTTTCTGGTTAGGCGGACTGGTTGGGTTCCTTCAGGTGTGGGTTGCGCCCCGGTCCGATTTGTACAACAACGTGTTTGAAGTCACGTCGTCTATTCTTGTCAGTTTTATTGGTCGGGCTATGGGCTCTATATGGCACAATGGCGAAAGGCTGTTTTGTTTTTCGGCCATTGTGCAAGGGTCGCTGGCGCTGATTTTACCTGGATATATCATTCTTTGTGGCTCTTTAGAGCTCCAGAGTAAAAACCTGGTGGCCGGTAGCGTGCGGATGTTCTATGCCATTATCTATTCAGAGTTTCTCTCGTTTGGAATAACTCTGGGGTCTCTTATCTACGGCTGGATTGATACAGGTGCGACGTCGGAAACAGTGTGCACTCGGAAGCTTGACGACAAATGGAAAATCCTTTTCGCACCTCTAGCACCGCTATTTCTGGGCATGGTGAACCAAGCAAGCTGGCGACAGCTTCCCACCATGATTCTCATTTCGTCTGCCGGATACACGGTAATTTACTTTGTGCAGAGAGCTGTACCGTCAGCGTCCTCGTTTACATCGGCAATCGGAGCCTTTGTTGTCGGGATTCTTGGAAATTTGTACTCTCGTATTGGCCATGGTCTTGCGTTTGCTGCAATGTTGCCGGGTATTTTTGTGCTGGTGCCTAGCGGTGTCGCCTCGCAGGGGTCGCTCGTGCAGGGCATTGTGTTGGCTAATGAAATTGTATCCAACACCACGAAACACGACGGCAGCAACCAGCAGGCTCAGACCACAAACACCACTGCGCTCGGTGCTACAATGACTTCTGTTGCTGTGGGAATCACAGTCGGCCTGTTTGTTGCAACATTGGTCGTCTACCCATTGGGTTCTCGACGCAAGCGGTCGGGTCTTTTCACATTTTAACCCGCCAAAGGAGGTCATGCTGAAAATTACTAAACTCCCGAAATTACGACTGTCAAAGCCACTCTTTTACTATACTATTTATTGTTTAGCATTCCTCTTGTACCATATTAAATTGGTTTAAATTTACCTCATGTGGGGTTTCTGCAACGACGCGATGGGTGCATAATGCACTAGCTAATTAGTGGTTAGGGCATTGACGCGCAAAGGGGATTAACCCTTTTTTGAACAGCACAAAAAGCATCCATCTCGTCATCGGCCACTTGACTGCGAATCCTATTGTAAGGCGAAAGAAAAGTATTTAGAAGTCGTCACCAGACTCACGAAAAGCATACTTTTAGCCAGTGGCACCACTCATCACTCTTTATTCAATTTTTGTTTCAAATTCATCCACCGTTTAGCTGCCCAAAACTAAAAGCTTGCACACCCATAATCGATGTTACAACCATTCCATACCCCTCCCCGTTCGATACAAACCCGCTCGATGTCTGTATATTCCCCTTTGACCGCATATATGGACACTGCCGTTCTTCCGGCCAACCTGCCGCCTTCGCTCACGGATGCTGGCAGCTCATCGCCTTTTTCTTCGCCCAGGACGATGATTCATAGTGGCTTGCAGAACTTTCCCGAAACTACGCCGAGAAAGCCTGGCAACTGGCACTTTTCATTGCAAAATTTGTCGTCGTCCCCGCCTGATGTGCCCTCACCCAAACCTCAGCTGAGCCGGATTTTGCAGCCCCCCTACGAGCCCAATCGCTTGGAAAGTGCGCATTTTGCTGCGGCAATCACTTCACGACGGAAGAGCGCTCCCGCGGCCACTCTGTTGACGCAAAACAACCCCGCTACGAAGCGGTCCAGCGACGACGCTGGCCTAGTTCTTTCGCAGCCGCGGAAGCAGCATCGCAACTTTAATGCTAAGTCGCCGGAAAGCGCAGAGTTTGGCCTGCAGGTCTCCAAGTTCCGCTTCGTTGTCGATGACAAGGGACACGTTTCTCTGCGCAGCCCAAAGACTCCGGAACGACCCGTGAAAAAGCGCAGTGCGCTATCCAGTAAGGAAATAAACGAGATCTTGAGCGCAGACTCCGATTCCGAGTCCGAGTCCGAGTTTGGTGGTGACCCAATTGCCTCCAACGATGCCATTTCGGCCTTTGCTCGAACACTGGCCCGTTCAAGAGTCGGTCAATTGGAGACAAAGGGTCATCGCTCTCGCTCGTCCAACCACGAGGCAGATTTCTACTCCTTTGCTAGTTCGTGCTCTGAACGAGAACCCCGTACCCCTACGTCCTCGGGCTCCTTGGGCGACGGCTGCGCTCGAATCTCCCGGCTTCTGCAAGGCTCTACTGCAACACCGCCTGGTGCGGTCTATGGATTTGACTCCTTTAATTCTTATGCAACTGGAATGACCCCTTACCTGCCGCGTTCCTAATGCTTGTTTATTTAATGCTTTGTACTAATAACTTTAATTTCGATCTGTTAAAATGTCTTTTGCTGACTGATGCTGTCCGGCTCGATCAGTGCAGAGATCGAAAGCGAGGTTTACCAATGCTTGATCTGCACGAGCGAGATAGGTCCTAGCACAAAAATATGGTCATGCTCCGGGTGCTGGCGCGTATATGATCTGAAGTGCATCCAAGACTGGAGTTCTCGCAGGAAGGACGAGCCTTGGCGCTGCCCCCACTGTTCAAAATTATTCACCGTGCGCAGGCTGAAATATCGGTGTTGGTGTGGGAAGCAGACAAACCCAGAGTCATTGCCGCATATGCCGCACAGCTGTGGTCAATCCTGTGGTGCCCGGTTGAAATGCCCGCATCCGTGTTCGCAAATATGCCACCCGGGCCCACATCGCGACTGCTCAGCAATGGGTCCGAAGGTATCCTGCTTTTGCGGCAGGCACAAGGTGCAGACGACGTGCCAGAACACCAAATATAATGGCTTTTCCTGCGGCGAAGTCTGTAACAAAAAGTATAAATGCAACCTGCACAATTGTCGACGAAAATGTCACCGCGGGGGCTGTGGGCCGTGCCCTGTGAAAATTCGCTCTCAATGCTATTGTGGCAAAGAGAAAAAAAGCATTGCATGCTCAAAGATCCCCAAAGGCTCGAAAGGATCTGGCGGTTATGCATGTAACAATATCTGTGGGCATATTTTGGACTGTGGGAATCATTACTGCGTGCAAAAGTGTCATCCGGAAACCCCCCACGTTTGCAAGCTTGTGCCTACGAAAGACGAAAAATGTAATTGCGGTAAGACTCCAGTCTCGGTTCTTTTGGGTCGTCCCCGAGAGACCTGTTTGGAGCCCATTCCGTGCTGTGATCAGATATGTGGCCAGAGACTATCGTGTGGACACCAGTGTCAAGAAAAATGCCATGAGCACGAATGTTCGCCATGTAGTGCTACTGTCAGTGTGGGCTGCCCATGTGGTTCTACTGTATTCAAGATCAAATGTGGGGATCCGGTTCCGCAATGCCAAAAGAAATGCAACGCTATGTTGCTATGCACGAGACACAAGTGCGAAAAGCTATGCTGTCCCTTTTCGAACTCGCAGTCCTCGAAAAAGGGCCGCAAGCGTGTTACACTAGAAGATATTATGTCCGATATGAGTCTGTCCGAAGAGGAAATGGCTGCGCATATGTGCACCAAGACCTGCGACAGATTACTTGGCTGCGGCAAGCACCGCTGCCGCCAGTTGTGCCATCCGGGGAGCTGTCCACCATGCCTGAGATCCTCGAGTGAAGATTATATTTGTTCCTGTGGAAAGACGCATGTTTTAGCGCCCATTCGTTGCGGCACAAAAATCCCAGACTGCACAGCACAGTGCCATCGTCCACGAGCATGTGGACACAAGTCCTTGCACCGGTGCCACGACGACTCGAAGCAATGCCCTCCATGCACCCAAACTGTTTTCAGACCGTGTGTCTGCGGCAAGAACAAAGTGCCAGTGCCATGTACCAGCACGACGGCCAGACACTGCGTCCATGAGTGCGGCAAGGTGTTGGACTGCGGGCACCAGTGTCGCATAGTTTGCCATGAAGGCGACTGTCCACCGTGCTCTTCATTGTGTCTGAAAACATTTCCCTGCGGCCACCAGCATACAGAAAAGTGTCACCTGGACTCGCCGTGCGGAGAATGCACCGAGGCCCTGACGGCGTTTTGCAGGTGCGGGCACCTGGCCTGTAGATACAAGTGTGGAGAAGATGTTGAAGTTTTCTGTAACGAAACCTGCTTCAACACCGAGCCGCCGTATGCAGATATATTGTTGCATATGTACGAGGCCCATCCAGCATGGTGTCGGATAATCGAGGACGAGGTGCGCCAGTTTGTGATCAGCGAGGATAGACGGCACTGGTTCAAGCCAATGAAGAAACCCAAGCGAAGATTTGTCCATTATTTGATCGAGCACTACGGCTTGCAGGGCACTTCGATGGACTATGGGCCCAACCGCGCCGTCATGGCGACCAAGACCGCGGCCTGCTGGTTGCCCCAGACCAGGCTGGCCCGGGCGATCCGGCTTGCCAGACTGCACGGTGTGCCTATATCAGCCGATGTGGGGGATAGCGACGAGTTTGATAGCAACTAAATTATTGTGCCTGCCGGAATGAATGGCCGCTCGCCCAGCAACCTGTCGCCAAAGCGGCCAATGACCCCCCGCGAAGCCATGGGTCGCTGTACCCTCCCCGGGTTGCCATAGCAGCACATGTTCCCGTTTAGGCGAAGTTGGGCCCGCCTGAGTAACCGGTGAAAAAAATGCAGGATTCCTTGAGCGATCTAAAAATACATTGCGGCGGTTCTGTCCACGAAAAAGCGGCAATTCTGTGGGGCATTTCGTGCATCCACGCGATACAAGGAGGCCTGCTGTAGTGAAGCGCACGCAGGTGTGAAATACGGCCCAGCGGCGCCCCAGGGTTGCTCTAACTGTAACCGCGCATGCCAGATGGGTGTTTCGTGACTTCGCCTAACCCTGCATGAGGCTGCGTCAAATTCCTTCCTGTTGAAAAGAAGGTCATTTCAAGCTGCAGTCTTCAGAGCATAAGGCACACTTAGTCGAAAGATCTGAGATTTTGTGGGTTGCCGTCCTGTCGTTAGTTCTCTTTCTGTAATATTGCCTCAGAAAGATGTATGTTAACGGTGCCCTCTGCTTGAGTATACTGGCATGTCTGGGACCTGTCGTGGCCACTTCCAAGGGCTACATCCAGATGGATCTGGAGTCGTCGACTGGTGCGCAGCCGGCCTTGGACCGCTACCAGCGCCAGCTTGCTCGCCGCGACGGCTCTATTCAAATGGACCTGACCAACTTGGCATCTTACTACCAAGTTAAGCTGTCCATGGGCACACCCTCCCAGGACGTGCTATTGACGGTCGACACTGGCTCGAGCGACCTGTGGGTGCTCGCATCCGACTCGGACGAGTGTCAATCTGGCCAATGCAGCTCGGGCTCCTCTTTCGACGAGAACAAGTCGTCGACTTTCAAGGGCAATACCTCAGATCCGTTTGGCATCTCGTACGGTGACGGAACCTCGGCCAAGGGCTACTGGGCCCAGGACGTCCTGGGGCTGAACGGACAGGTTGTTGAGGGCGGCAATTTCGCACTGGCCACTACAACGAGCTCTAATCTGCCTGTGTTTGGTATTGGTCTGGTGGCTGGCGAGACAGCAAAGACTCCCTACGATAATGTGCCTGTCCAGCTCAAGAACCAGGGCCTCATCAAAACTGTGGCCTACTCCCTTTGGCTCAACGATATTGACGCCAAGCAGGGCTCACTTTTGTTCGGCGGTGTCGACCACTCCAAGTATAATGGCCAGCTGTTGAAGGTCCCAATGGTCAACGACGGCCAAATCACCTCGTCTGGCCCGGCTACCTCGTTGAGCGTTATGCTTCACGGACTCTCGGTGTTTACCCCAGACAACTTTGAGGCCGAAATACTTACCACTGCTCTGGCCACTTTGCTAGACTCTGGAACCACCCTGTCATACCTGCCTACCAGCATGGTCCAGGCCATTGGTGCCGCGTCCAATGCTACGTGGTCAAACTCACTCAGTATGAATTTGCTCCCTTGTAATGTAGAAGGCGGTCTGACGTTCGACTTTAGTGGCATCAAAATTCGTGTTCCCTACCACCAGATGCTCATGGACATCAAATCCAGCGATGGCAACAAGGTCACGCTCCCCGACGGTGAACAGGCTTGTGCGTTGGGTATCCAAGGCTGGGGTAAAAGCCAGTATATTCTGGGAGATACATTGCTACGAGGCTGCTATGCTGTGTTTGATCTTGAAAATAAGGAAGTGGCTCTGGCGCCGATTAATTACTCCCCATCGTCGCCTACCATCGATGCGATCAGCGGTAGCATTCCCTCTGCCAGTGAAGCGCCCTCCTACTCGTCTACTGCCACTCAGGCAGGATTTTCTACTGTCCAGCTCAAGTATTCATCCATGTCCGACCCTGCACCAGGCCCCACCAGTTCTGCAGAATCGTCGGGTGCATCATCCGCAGTCTCGAGTGCCCAGTCGAGTAGCGAATCATCGAGTGCTTCTTCCGCTAGTCCTTCGCCCACTAGTTCGAACGCCACTTCTGGATCTACTTCTTCTATGTCAAGCACTATGAACAGCACCAGTATCCAAATGTCTACTTTTGCCTCGAACTCCTCCGACCTCTCGTCCCTAGCCTCCTCCACGGTTAGTAATAGCACTGTGAGCTCAGCCAGCTCAGCCAGCTCCGCCGTGAACTCAACAGTCGTCACCTCAGCACCGACGAGCACGCAACGAAGCTCGTCTACATCTCCAACTTCATCCAGTGTGGTAGCCACCACATCCACTGTAAGCGAGACCCACAAAAAGAAGAACGGGGCCTCTGTTCCGCTTCTATCCCGCTCAGTCGCTGGAGTGGCCAACCTACTTCTATTCTTATTCGCATTTTAATTAGATTATAGTGTTATTACTCAATTACTGCAAGTGTTGCTGCTAGCGGTCAAGTCTTCTTGCGAAACTTGTCCTGGAGCTTGGCCATGAAGCCCTTGGGTTTGGCCTCTTCTTTGTCGTGATGATGCTTGTGCTCCGAGTGGCGGGACCAGCGAGGCGACATGGCAGGAGACAGCATGTCTTCCTGCTTCTTACGCTTGCTTTCTTCGGCAGGAGGATCTAAAAGATACGAATCGCCCATTGTTGTTGAGAGGAATGCTGTCAGTTGGGCGTTGATCCGAGCCTATGTAGCGCCACGTACCCTAGCCCCTATCGTGCGACATTACATGGGCGTGCATCTAGGGCGTGGGCCGGCGCCAAAAGGGCTACAGAGCACGATCATCTGCTGAGATGTAATAGAATACGTTTCTCTCTCCCTAGCCAACCAGAAATCGGGCTATGTTTCAAATCACGTCAGGGTAGGGGTAGCACTCACAGACCAGCCTCCACAGACGCTATTGATTAGGTAAAAACTAAGTGATCTGGGTTTTTTTCTCTAATGGAACCGAGGAGTTTCCCGCCAGATGTGTTTGCGCGGCTGGCACCGGAGATCTATTTCGAGCGATTCCTGGAGCAAGGCTCCCGGCCCACGGGCCGCAAGTTCACAGAGTTCCGCCCGCTCCTAGTCCAGCAGGGCCGCCAAAGCGAACTGGCCCCTTCTGCATTGGGATCTGCCGTGGTGAGAGCAGGGCAGGCCACAGTCATTTGTGGAATATCCGGCGGGCTGACCGACTTTGAAAACGAGGGCGGTGTCTATGCTAATGTAGAGATCCACAGAGGTGGCCGCAGTGGTGCCCCAACTGCCGAGGAGATGGTGTTGACCCGAAGAACGCACGAGCTGATTTTGGCCGCCCAAATTGACCCATCTAATTTCAAGATCGATATTCCAGACTCGATTGAGCCCTGCAGGAAGGAGCTCGTGCTCAATGCTAGTATCAGAGTGCTCAGCCGGACTGGGCCCTGTTTAGATCTCGTTTGGGCTGCGCTGGTCGCCGCTCTCAACGACACTCGTATCCCGCTGTTCGCTGAAGATGAACGCACCCACAACATCATCCCAACTTGTGAGCGCAAGCCGCTTGTCTTGCCTGAGACGTTGGTGTCCTCTGTATCGACGTTTGGCCTCTTGAAATCTGGCGAGGTCTTGGCTGATCCCGACGGACCTACTGAAGAAGCTTGCATCTCCAACTACGTCAACGTTGCCAAAACCGACAATGGGCTGCTCACAAAATTTAGCCTGCTGTGTACAGACACGACGGACGGGGTTGATGCTGAAAAAATTGGAGAGATTTTATCGTTGGCAGGCCGGCCAGTGTCTACAGTCTAAAAAATGGCCTCTAGCTGTTCTAATTCCAAAGAGTCGTCGAGATACTTTTGCACCTCGTTGTTGCGGCGGACTGCTTCGTCGCTGAGCAGTCCCTCAAAAGCAATGACCTCGGCAGGAGGAATGGTCTTGCGGCGCACCTTGAAAACGTACTTGGCAAGTCCGAACGCATGCACTTTACCGTTGCGTTCGAATTGACCAATGACAAAAATCCATTTATCGTTCCATCCAAGAACACGCGTTTTGACATTGTACCAGGTGTAGATACTAATTTCACGGCGGAACACCATATTCACCGAACCAAGAGCTGTATAAACCCACTCGCCTCGGCCCAGCTCGATCTCGGGGTCCTTGAACTCCAAATAGAACTTGCGGAACAGCGTGGTCAGTAACTCGGCACGCGCAAGGTCAAAGTCACTGAAATAGGTCGAATTGGACTTGTGGAAGTTGAAATCCATCTCCATCAGCGGGGTATACTGCCAGTAATCGCTTGTCATAAACACGTCCCGCACCTTTCGGGGCCGCAAATAGAAATTCAAGGCGAGCCGTCGCAAGAACCGAATGTGGAACGCTAATGGCCAATTCTTGACGCATAGTAACGTCAAAATCGCCACCACCGTCTTGACAACCGCTCGCGATGACATGATGACAAACCTTAGTCGTCGCTGAATCGCCGATGTTGCATGTGATCTTGCTAGGGGGTGCTTTTCAGCATGCCGCTTTTGTAGTTGGTGCTAAGCGTAGACGGGTCCAGTAGTAACATCGTAACCTGGCTAGCTATGGGCTACTTTATGCGACTTGCCAAGGAACTTGACTTTGGATTTTTCAGTAGTTGGTGCTAAACTCGTAGACCGTTTGTACTTGTGAGGGTCCTTGCGGCTGAGTGTTTTGCGATCCCGCGCGCCCTTTCCACCTTCCCAGAACCTTGTGCGGCGAATTGTATAGTTGGCGCCGCAGAATTTACACTCGTCCGTAAAGTTTTGTTCTCTTGAGCAGGCACCGCATACCATACGGCTTGCAGCGTCGGCGATGTGATTCATTTCCTCGTCATGGCATCGGTCACAAGGAAACACTCTTTTGCAGCAGCTGAACCGGAACCATCGCATGGATTTGCGGTAATGGCGACAAGCTCCGTACTTTGGCAATGGCGTGCCCTTTGTCAAGTGCACCTTGTCAGTGCTGCCTGGCCGTCCCACGAGTTTGGCTTCTCCAAGAGTGTCAGTGGACAGCACATCGAATCGGAATAAATCAATAAACAGCGTGAGCTTTGCATGGCAATTGCGACAATTTTGGGTAATTTTCCTGCCAAAGTCCGGATGCTTGAATAGAGGGCCAGGCTCACTGCACTGCCCACATGTTGGAAGATAGGTGGATGGCTGTAGATCGCCAACTGTGCCGCCAGAAATATCAAGAAATCCCAGGGTCGAGCACATAGAATGTACATACTCTTTTCTGAATGCAGCCATCAGTCCCAGGCCGCATGTTTCGCAGGGTTCGGTGCGTGGCTTTGACTCGCCGCCGTACGGACCAGGTATCAGATTTGAAAATGGATGCATGTGTTTGCAACGCCCGCATTTCACGAGAATATTTAGACTGACTGCCTCAAGCAGAGCAATGTTTTCCATCTCTATGTTTGGCAGCACAATTTCTGTGCCCTTTTGCTCGGGCTTGGCCAGCGTAGTGCTCTCTTCTTCCTCGTCATCGCTAGCAAAGCGAATATCCGGCTCACTATCTGACTCACTCGTAGCATCCGAGTCTGATTGATCGTCCATACTCTCGGAGCTCGAATCAGGAGAAGACTCTGCTTGCCCAGGAGATCCCGGGACAGTGGGCGCTGCGTCGGGAGTGCTCTGCGTCTTTGGAACAGTCTTGACCACCCGTTTAACAATAGTGATTGTTTTTTGAGGGGGTTTGGAAAGTAGCCCTTCTAGTTCTTTGTCCAATCTGTCAAAGCGTTCTCGCAGCGTGCCCTGATAAGTGTCGAAAGCCTGTTCGACATTCAGTGCATGGCCGCGGGGCACCTCGTCAGATGCCAGGGTGATTCCGATTGGCTCGGGGCCGTGAGGATAGTGCCTTGGAAGCTTGAGATCAATTGGAAGCACCGAGATAGGGAAGGCAAAGTCCGGATCAGACGGCTTCAGCAGCAGTTGGAACGTCTCCTCATCGATTTTGGTCGTGGTATATCGGCGCTTGATCGAATCAAGCTCTTCTCGCCGTTGCGTTGGTGGCCTGCGATAACGGCGGATTTTTCTCGCCTGAGATTTAGCCGCATTGTCTTCTTTGACTTGAACCGCCTCCGCAGACATTGAAACTACAAGACCAATGCTGACCAAGAGTCTTCTAGATAAGGGCGAAGCTTCTAGGAGGACCTGAAAATTCCAAATGCATCTTTGGAACAGAAATGGAATATTCCACTAATTGAACTCCCAACCGACCGCTAGAGTTGAGATAGCACAAAGGACTGACAGCCAGGAATAAAGCTCGCTGATAAATCGTGCGCATCTAAATGTAAGCGTCGTATGCGGGGAGAGCGGCAAACCTACTGCCAATTGGGCCCGAACGAAACCAGCGTTTTCGGCGAAACTCAAGAGAAACAGTCCGCTTTTGACGGTGCACCACGCAGCAAGACCACTCACTCATACCCGCGGATAAATGCAATGCGATACCCCAATGGTCACATGGAATCAAAACTGGGGTAGCCTCTGACAAATTCCAGTTCAGGGTTGTGCCTGCTGCCGGCCCGAAGGTGGGGTAAAGGAGCTTCAGGACGCTGGAGGCAGTGCTTAGAGGCTAATAAAATTTATTAGCGGACACAGACAACACTATACTGCATGGCATTCGTTCAAGAGCTCATGTACCGTTATCGGCTCGAAATGTGTCGGTTGGTGCGCTCCAGACACCGGCCGAAATCCCAATCTCATGCGTAGACACACCTCGGTAGCACCCCACATATCGGGTTAGGGTGGGTGAAGGTATATAACTAAACGGTAGACCCGGATGAGGCTCCTTACACACACAAACCAAAAAAATGAATCGTCTGTCCAACGTCAACCAGCATTTAACTGCTAACGAGGCCTCTTCCAAGTCCAAGATCCTCGAGAAGAACGCCGATGACGTCGTCATTGTCGCTGCCTACCGTTCTGCCATCACTCGTGGTGGCAAGGGCGGCTTCAAGGAGACCACCTCCGGCGAGTTGCTGGCCAACTTGTTTAAGGCTACCATCCAGAAGGTCGGCATTGATCCCAAGGTCATTGGTGACGTTGTGGTCGGCAATGTCTGCAACCCCGGCGCTGGTGTCAACGAGCACCGCGCTGCCCAGTTGGTTGCTGGCATCCCCTACACTACTCCTTTCCAGGCTATCAACCGTCAGTGCTCTTCCGGTCTCATGGCCGTCAATGCCATTGCCCAGGAGATCATCACTGGTCAGATCGATGTCGGTTTGGCTGCCGGTGTCGAGTCTATGTCCAACAACTACGGCCCTAACATGATGAGCGCTTTCCCCGCTCGCTTCACCGAGAACGAGGCTGGTATGTCCTGCCTCATCCCAATGGGTATCACTTCCGAGAACGTCACTGAGAAGTACGGCCTTACCCGCAAGGAGCAGGACGAGTTCGCCGCTGCCTCTTTCCAGAAGGCCGAGAAGGCCCAGAAGGAAGGTCTCTTTAAGGAGGAGATTCTGCCTTTGCCTGCCATCAAGATCGACGAGAACGACAACGAGTCCGAGGTCACTATTTCTGAGGACGACGGAATCCGTAAGGGCGTCACTGCCGAGTCGCTTGGCAAGCTCCGCCCTGCCTTCAAGTCTGACGGTGCCACCACTGCCGGCAACTCTTCTCAGGTCTCTGACGGTGCTGGTGCCGTTATCCTGGCCCGCCGCTCTGCCGCCGAGAAGCTTGGTCTGCCCATCATTGGTAAGTGGGTTCACGCCAAGGTCGTTGGTGTCCCCCCTGAGATTATGGGTGTTGGTCCCGCCGTTGCCATTCCCGCCGTTCTTAAGGACATTGGTTTGACCGTCGACGATGTCGACATTTTCGAGATCAACGAGGCCTTTGCTTCCCAGGCCCTCTACTCTGTTCGCTCTGCCAATATCGACATCAACAAGGTCAACCCCAAGGGTGGTGCTATTGCGTTCGGCCACCCTCTCGGTGCCACTGGTGCTCGCCAGGTCTCTACTCTTATGACTGAGCTCAAGCGCACCGGCAAGAAGATTGGTCTCACCTCCATGTGCATTGGTACGGGTATGGGTGCTGCTACCGTTTTTGTTTCTGAGGCTTAATTATAGATATATAAAATATGATCAAACAATCACGAATAACATTTTATTTCTCCGCATTGACTACCTGATTAGGGGCACTGAGAAAGGCAACGGTGAAGCTTTCAAAAAAAAAAGAAAGCCGTAAACCATCAGATAACAACAATGAACATAGCACGTGCCATCCGGGCGCCGTCTCAGACATAGAAGCTGGCTGCGTTATTGCTAACCTGACCGGTACTCCTATTCCAAGGCCACGTAATTACCTGCGCTTCCGTAGAAATTAGCGGCCACCCTGAGACTCGAACCGGACACGCACCTAATTCCATTGAAATTCAACAGACTCCGGAAAACCCATTACAGGCAAATATTTTTGGGAAATATTGGTTTATATAGTGGAAAATCAATGTTTTCTTGGTGGGTCTTTTAGGGTTTTTTTGGGGGTTTTATGTGAATTCTCCGGCCCTTCTTGAAATAGAATAATTTACCATGTATTTTACGTTCTTCTCTGTCGCTAATATCACACTTGCGGCCGTTGCCATGAAAATATAATCCCGTCAGAGGTGGTCGCCGAAATGGCGCCCTTGTCAAATAGAATATCACAGAATGAAGCAGGCTCGAGGCCCTCGATTTCCGGTGCAGACTGAGCGACAGGGAATATGACAGGAACATCCGAATGAGGTACAAACGGGTGTACCTGGCTGTCTCCCAGCATTGTTGGTCGCTTCATCTCCCCGCTCAGCCGGTGAGGCAGGGTATCCGGAGAAAAGTCCCAGAGAATGATTCTTCCGTCTTCACCCACCGAACCAATTCTATATGTAGCTGCTTCTGTTTGAAAAATGTCAAAGGCAACTGCTAATACAAACGCTCTGTGGCCCTCTAGCCGAGCTACGATGTCCATCGTCTCCAGATTGTAAATTCCCAAACAATCATCTTCACCACCAATAACTAAATACTTGGAGTCAGGCGAGATTTCCATGCAGGTGACTGCGCCGAAATACGACGGCAAGATATCAGACACTCTTTGTTCCGCCATATCAATAATCCGCACATAGCCATCCCGCGAAGACACAGCAAGAATACCACCGCCATTGAACTTCAGAGCAGTGATCTGATCGTTTGAAACATTGTAAAAGGCAATGGGGTTGCTTTTGTGCGGAGTTGTGCCAGATTGAATAACCTTTAGAGACGGCGTAGAGAGGTTCACGTGATGCGCAGTGTTCGGAGTGGACAGCGGTGCGCCATCTTCCCTTTCAACATCATATATACCGACTGACCCATTTCCATAGCCAACTGCCACAATTGTCGAGGATTGCGGTACCCAGGCGATGGCGGTAGCTGGCGCGTTTGACGCCAAAGTGCCGTCTTTGTTCATGCGAGAGAACCGGTTGGAAATACTTTCGATCCACAAAACCTCGCCGTTAGACAAACCAACTGCAAGATCTAGCTGTGTGGGTGACGCCGAGAACCGGTTCACGTCGGCTACAATGGGCCAAGCCTGAGTGAACATGATCTTGGCAAGCTGTTGGTTTCGGTTCGGTGCATTGATGTCCAGATCCATTAGAGCCAAAATACGGCCAATATTCACCCATGCCAGCGATGAGCTTTGGCCCTCTAGTAGTCGTTTGGCGTACCCTTCGTACACGACAGCCATTGAAATCACCGATGCCTTGTTTCTCAACAACGAGAGCTTGGGCTTGTGCCGGCCATTGCCGCTGCTCTGGGGCGACTGTAACGACGACGACGGAATTTCAGCGAATCGGCAACCCCGTGTAGCCGCCATGGGTTGAGCCAAATCAGCGGCGAGCGGATTGACGGCCCCCGAGGCGAGGTCAGTCTGTATTGACGAGGGCATGGGCACCAGCAATGCCTCTAGCGGTACGTAAATACCTTCTGGAGTCTCTAATGCATACTGCATCGAGACCGGTTTACTCGGGCTGGCTGTTTCAAAGCCTAGGCCTGGAGGTCGGGCTGGAGGTTGGGGCATTACACAAGTTAAGAGATCGGCAGGGGGGGAAATGCACAGATCGTTCGCGAGGTTAGCGGTCTGGAGGGGTCCCGGAACCGACGTTGTTGAGATTTTCCTGGTATATGCTGCAAAGACACCAGACTACCGTGGCTATATAGTATTGTCTACACGACTCTACCTACCATCTAATACCTATAGTTCGAAGGATGGGCATTTTGACCTTTAGTCATGGAGGACGTCCAGCGGATTAGCGCACAGCTTTCCGAAGCGCTGAACCAGGCGGCGGACCAGGATGTGGAGCTGCGGCGGCTTCGACGAGCACTTGAACAGGCCCAGCTTGAAGCGGCCGAGGTGGTCAAAGCGAAAGAGGAGCTTACCAAAGAGCGAGAGAAGCTGGCGGCCGATCTGGCGGCGGCTCAGGAGGCGAAACTGCGCGCAGACAACGAATTGGCGGATCTGAGTTCGGGGCTACTAGCCGATGCGGGCGAAAAAGTCCGCGAAGCAAACGTGAGGGCCGCAGAAGCCGAGCAACGCGCCAAGGACATCGACGCTCGGCGGGCCCGGCAAATAGCAGAAATGGAAGAGAACCATGCACAACAGGTGGCTGTGTTGCAGGCAATGATAGCTGCGGAGGCCGAATCTGACGCTGCGGCGGCTCCGGAGACCAAAGTAGACAATTACATCACGCACATCCCCAGCTTTGGCACCCGCGAGGTCGATCTGACGGACAACGATGATTTTGCTGAGGCATTGGAGGCTGCGCAGTGGACGTCGCCTTTGCGGCCCACTGCTCGAACAGATCTGCCCGATTTCAAGGACTTTATGGCGTTGGCAGGCACAGCGGCCAGCCTCCAGCAGCAGAAAGACAGTTTTTTGGCGCCGTTCCAACGGTCGTCGACGCCAAGAATGCCGCATTTGTCGACCATCAGGTTTGCTGCCCGCACTATTGCCGAGGACGTGGAACCCACCTTGCGGCTTGACAGCGCCGTGCACCTGAGCTGGCTGGTCCGACGAGCCTGGTATGGGGCAGTTGTTGACGGCACGTTGCTCATTGAGCCTGTTTCGACTGCATTGAGGGCATGGGCGACTCGGCCTTCCAACCCCTGTTGCCTTTGTGGAGAAGCTCGCACTACCCCACAGTATGCCAGACTGTACTCTGTGAAGCTGCCCAAGGACCCTACAGACTATATTCTTGGTTTAGAATGCGTTGTGCGGGTTCGCGCTGCGTGCGAGTATATTGCATTTCTACGTTCGCTGCGGGACGGCGTGCGTAAAGTGGACACACTGGAAGCTGCTCTGGCGGCCTGGCAAGAGTGTCTCAAACTGCGAGAAGAGATGTTCTGGTCCCGGTCATCTGGATTCTTTGCAATGAAGCGTGAAGCAGTCGATAGAGCGTACGTTCCACCTACTCCGCGGGTGAACGAGTCACCCAGTTCATTACCCGAGAATCTGGAGACCCCGATCCTCCCCCAGCTTGGCGACAAGTCCGGCAACTTGGACGAGGGCGAGCCCGAGGAAGAGCACACGCAAGGGGAGCCAGCAGACCCTCGCGGTGGTCGACTGGCGGCCGATGCTCTGGGCATTTCCAATGGAACCAAACACAAGGACCAGGACGCTCAATCGGCCCGCGAGGGTTCTCCTGTCGGTAGCCACGGCACCAGCAGGTCGCCTGCAGACGTCGATGGAGATGCAGTTTCAGAGTCCTCGGCGAGCATGCGCAGTGCTCACTCCAGCTATGACGCCGAATGAGGTATGCACATGACGACTTTGTAAACTAGTTTGTTAATTTAAAAAATGGGTTTGAACTTTTCGTCATTGGATGCGAAACAGTGCCCCATCCGGTCCAGTGACGTCGCATGCAGATGTCGACAGTGGGGTCAGCTGCGGACAAACTCCCGGGACATGGTCGATGACCCAGTGAAAAAAAAATTAACGCGCAGTGAGGGTTGACGCCCCAGCACCCGATTGGGAGATATGCGCCCCGACATGTGCAAAATTCTCCGGAATCACACTAAGTCAGACGAGGCGATTGAGCGATCCATGGCTATATAGCAGGTATATTCATTGTATAGACGGCGAAATTTTCTCAAACCCTCGCCAGGCCATCACCCAGGGCTAGATGATATCCCAGAATTACCGGTAGGCAATGCCGTTTGCGGGTTATAGCGGACTGGGGGGTGTGCTGCCTGCGTGTGGGATGTCACATCACAGAAGCCTGGCGTGTGGGAGTTGCGCTTACCTAAGCATAATAGCCCGCTCGCCAGCTTGAAGAGTTGTTTTTTTCGCCGCGAATCAAAAGCGGAGCTCTGTCAGCAAAGCTCCGGCGGGGTTGAGTGAACAGGATTAGGAACTGTAGCCAACCCGAAGAAGCTTTGTTTGTGCAGATATTTTTTTGTTGAAGCCAACAGATGATCACAAAGCGAAAAAATGCGGCGAGGGGCGGCGAATTAAAAATAAATAGCTACGGTCCCCCACGTTCTGCGTCCCCACGGCTGAGGTTGAGGGGGTAACGGGGGCTACCGGCCTTCGAAGCCACGAGCCGTCGGATAAAGCCGGGTCATTATGTGATCCGGGGCGCAGATGTATGCATGAAATGCGCATATTGAAAATCTTAGACTTATGTACCCTAAGCTCAAGAACCCACGCCTCCCCTTTCCCATTTGGAGAAATCGTTCTAAATACATCAATAAGCGTTAGCTGCTTAGAATCTTTTTCTTCACTTGCTTATCATACTCAATCTCGCTTGCGGGGCTTCTCTTGGTGAATTTAATTCCCCCCACAAGCATATTTCCACACAATACTGGCTTTTCGTATGAACCCTGAAGGAGTTCCAGCTCCAAGCAACATGGACACCCTCTTAACAGCTGCCGCTATCGCTCTGCCCCTGCCAGCTCAACCGGCTCTGGATAGGCCAGTAGCTCGCGAAAGAGGCGCCAGCGTATCCAGCTCCAATTCGCAACACGATTCAACAACCCCCCCACACCAGGCCATCAGCGGCTCCAAGCGGACAAAGGTGTCTCGCGCCTGTGACGAATGTCGCAGAAAAAAGGTAAGTTTTAACTCTACAAATGTCCCCGAAACAAGCTACTTGCTAAAAATCTATTTGGATCGCCGAATCAACTGCCCGCCTGGGGAGGGTTTTGCTACCGTGCCTTGACCGAGGTATGGTGACGCAACCTTCCCCCGGACGGACTACGCCCTACTGAGGTCTTGCTGTTTGGCTATTTGCACTTTTTTTTTAGCAAAACTGACTTTTCGATTCCCCTCTGTGGACGTTTATTTCTAATGTCCGTGGACGGAGATGTTGGGTTTTGTTTTTTTTTTCTTTGCCAAGACTGTTTCACTAACCACAGATCCGCTGCGATATCGAAGCTAGAGGGACCTCATGTTCCTCATGTCAGAGAGCCAACGCAAGCTGCACGTTTTCTCGGGTCCAATTAAAGCGTGGACCTTCAAAACGAAGCCGCAGCCACAGTGAGGTTCTGCAGGGCCAGCGACTCTTCACACAGGAACAACTACCAGGCATAAATTCTCTGCTGTCCTGGAGACCGGAAGCGGTTGCCCTCGCGCAAGCCCAAATGCCCCATGTAATTGCTGGGCAGTCCCCGCATCCCATACCTAGCCCAGTTTTCAGTTGTCCAGCAGGTGGGTCGACGGGAGCGACGAGCCAGGCGCAGCTCTCGCCGCCTACCACATCCAGAGCGCTGCAAAATACTGCGTTTAATGGCCAGCCGGTCAAAGTAGAGTCCCAGCCCGGCTGGCAAGCCGGAACGAGCCCGCAAATCGGACCCCGCGATATCCCGTCGCCCCAGGGGGTGAGCAACGCCGCAGCTCCGCCCCCAGCAAGCACCAGCCCGGCAATAATAATGTCTCAACATGGCCGGCGAGGCTCATTGCCTGTGCTCACTCCTACTCGGGGCTTCGACGTGGACCCGTTCGCGCTGTCCCATTATTACCAGTACTGGCACCCCATTTTCCCTATTTTGCCCAATTGTCCGAACTCTTTGCATCAACTACTCGCATTGGCGCCTGCTATTGCGCCTTGGCTCATTGCTGCTATCAATGGACAGTTGTGCGCTATGCCTATCGATCCCCAGCAGTGTGTCAATGACACCCAGAGGGCAATCCAGTTGATGGCTCTTATGCTTATCTATTTGCGCACTCTCGACTACACGTGGCTAGGAGCGGTCGTCGCCAACGCAATAGCAATCAAGCAGAACGGCGGCGGCCACGGTGCTCGTCTATATTATATTGCTCTTGTGTTCGACCGTCTGCACTCGCTCACCCACCACTACCCTCAGCTTATCCGTGACGACGGCGCCAGCACCAGCCCGAAAACGGTAACGGAACCTATGCAGCGAGAGCTCAAACTGCTCGAGCTCGCCAATAAGGAGTGCTATACGCCGCCGCCCGAGCCCTACGAGCCGGCTATGGCAGCCTTTTGGTGGCTCGGAAACCTCGACGGCTCGCCGTCCGCCAAAACAGAGCTCTCTCGCTTGTTGCCAGCTCTACTGGAGACCCCAGTGGCTGGCTTTGTACGCAAAGCTCTTTCATAGACTTTGTATAGCTATTTATTTTACAGAATATGTCTCGCCCTTCTTCTCCGCCTCGGCCTGCTTGTTCATTCTCGTGATGCAGGCTCATGCGTCAGACAAAAAACACTATGCATCAGGCGAGTGGGGTTAGGCGTCCCAGTGGCTGCATGAGAAAACCTCAAATCTATGGGATGGTCGCGCTTCTGGAGTGCAAATAATTTCTGGCTTTAGAGTGTGTAGAGCATATAACTCTGCTTGTTACTTTGGTTTTCCTTTTTAATCGGCCGTTCATTCTGTCACGATTTTCTGCATCTGGTGTAACTTTGCAGCGGGTGAAGCTTTGTCAAAACACAAAGGAGACGAGCTGAATCAAATGATTCCGGGTCCGTGCTGGTCTGTAGCGGGCAATTCGTGGCAAACGTGTGTGCCGGAACCCACTATCAGGCCACGGTGGCCTGCAGAATAAGCGTTACAGTGCTCTGATCCACCGACCAATCGTTGGGTCCCCGTTGGCTGTTAATTCGATGCCGGCCCCGGACATGGCCATAGCCCCTAGGGGCCGGTGATATGAGAAGAAATGGTATGAGACGAGGCTGTGCATTCGCACAAGGCATGCGGCTCGCAAAACCTATGTTCAACTATCGCTACGGAGAAAGACGTGATACGATAACTTCTTGCTCCAAAGACACATTGTTGATTTCAGCCGACCGGAGATGCTAAAGCGACCAATGGCTAGGCTCTCCAGGCATGGGTGCATAATTTGTTACGGTGCAGCAAAATGAGCCATTTTGCATTCTTGCCGGCTGTGGCCCACGCATTTTACAGCTCAAGAGAGTTGCATGTGTTACACCGTTATTCTGCGTGTTTCCAGCAACAGGTTTTGGGAATAGGCTTGGCCAGAATGCGGACTTAGCCGAGGCCGCAGGCGCAGTGTCTTCCGACTCTGCCCGGCCTCTGGAAAGTTCGATTTAGGTCGACGATGCAATGCTGCTTACAGCGGGATAGATAAGTCCAGAATACAACGGACTGTTGCGGCCTAGACTGCCACGAGCTGTTCCGGTTGCGATCCAAAGTAGTTGTTCCAGCTAGAATGCCAGGGTGCTGGGATGGCAGGTGCTGAATCCAACTCTGCTGGGCTCTGGATTGAACTTGGGAGGGTGTGATGCTGTTTAAATTGGAATAGATGTAAATTGAATGCCAAGGCTGTTCGGGTGGAATGCCACGAGCTGCTTTGGTTAGAATGCTACAGGTCGTTCCAGCTAATGCCAGGGGTGCAGGTGTTGAATCAAACTCTCTTCAGCTCTGGATTGAACTTGGGTGGAGGTGAATGCTGTTTAAATTGGAGTATATGTAACCTGATTCCCAAGGCTGCTCTGGTGGAATGCCACGAGCTGTCCTCATTAGAATGTCAGGGTAGCTGAGGTGGTAGGGCTGAATCCAACGCTCCTCGGCTTTGAATTAAACTTGGGTATTGGTTGCTATTTGAATTGGAATAGGTTCAGAGTGCCAGTGTGCTAAAATCGTAGGTGTTGACTCACGAGGCGGCGACTCCCGCGGCGTTGACCCCCGAAGCGTTGGCCTCCAGCATTGGCCTGCGGTGTTGGCCCTGCGGTGCTATCTCGCGACGTTAGCCCTACGGGTTGGCCCGCGGCATCGCCCCGTGGCATCGCCTGAACTGTGCAGTTGTGCAGTTGTGACTGAAATGAATGCGGTCCAAATAGCCGGCGACAAATGCACTGAGGTCGCAGGCAGAATTATGGCGAACTTTACGTCAATCTCGAGTATTCAAGCGCTGACAATAATTTTATTTAAATATTAAATGCAGTCTATTCGATGGTATAATACAGGCAAAAGCTGTGTCGGTACTCGTCTGATGTACATGCTAAACTCCTCTCTTACCTTACACACCTAGGTTACACTGTATACTCCGCGACGCGGGAACACTCACCACCCTTTTCCATATTTATGGCATAGTGGCAAAACGAACCACTGCTAGTGGCAACATAAATCAAGTTCGGAAGCTGGGGAAAGGCAACAATTGAGAGGCCGCTACTACCGCCCGGTATTTTGAACCAGGCGAAATCTCGGGTGTTGGATTCCCACATGTCCGAAACAGCACTGGGGAGCATTTTTTGGGCACGATCAACCTTCCTCCTCAAACTAGCCGCATATCCTTTTTTCTTTTCTGGTTCTTGTGTTTGCGAAGTCTCGACATGGGGTGGCGGGGAGGTCGACGACGAGTCCGGGCTCAGTTCTAGTGAGTCTTCGGTATTTGTGGTCGAACTAGACTCCTTGAGCCGATAAATATGCACAGTGGATGTGGCCGAACTGAGAGCTAGCAGGGTGGACGGTGAGTTGAAAGCGATGCTGAAAATGCGGGAAGGGTAGGTGCCCCGGCGGAATTGGTGGAGAAGAGTGCCCGAGGGAACGGCAAAAACCCGGACTATAGTGCCCTTTTCGGAGGCAGAGGCAAGCATGGTGCCGTCATGCGATAATTTAAGCACCGCTAGCGGGGATTTGTGGGCCTTCACAACGTTCAAGGGAGCCATGTTCGTGCAGTCGTAAAGGGTAACTTCGGTCGATGGCACCGGCTTGGTGGTCGCAGCTAAAGTGTGCGTGGCAGGCGACCCGGACGGGTATGCTAATATAGAAGCGTCACCAGTGCTCGAAAGATCAGCAATCCCATACCGATTCAGCGGAGTCTTGAGCGCCTGCAGCAGCTTCATGTTCGAGATGTTGTAGATGTATATCTGATCCTCCAGCACCACGATCAGACGCTCTCGATTCATTCGAACCTTCAACACAGACGTCGGGTACGTGAGCTCACAGATGGTAGCGTTCCGCTTGGTATTAACGATCTTGATCTTGCGTGGGGAAGCCGCCGCATGTTCGCCCTGGCACACCAGGACGACCAGGGACGTCGAAAACAGCATTTCAACCTGGCCAATTGCACTCTCTTTGGTCTTGTAGCTCTGCCCAAACGGACTACAGTTGAACACCCCGTAGCCCTGGTTCGACGCGACCGCCAAACATGTTGCGTCCTGGTTGAATGTTGCGTAGGTCATGACAAAGCTCCAACGGCAAGTTCCCGCACCGGATATATGCTCGAGCGCTGCACCCGGCTGTGCTAGAGTTAGATGTGGATATATACACTAATGTTTTTTTAAGCTAGTCGCGTTTGATGCCCCGCTGGAGAGAGGCCTGGTACATCATGCGCCATTCCTCAGGACTGCGGCCCTCGGAGCGGATCATGCTGCCGATGGACATGAACAGGCCAAACATAGCAGCAGAGCCGCCAATAAACTGGCCCATTGTGCGCATGTAGCCGTTGGGACCGGGACCGTTTTGATAAATAGAGATGCCGCCAAACATGACGCCAATGATGGTACCGGCTGTGGCACCCATGATGGCACCCATCTTCATCTTTTCAAGGATGCTGGGCTCGTGCTGGCCTTGGGGGATGCGCTGAACAGGTGGCATGGCGGGAAACGAATCAGACGGTGGTGAGAAGGAAAAAACTCGCCTGCTGAGGTCAGCGGGGTGGCCCTTTGTCGTTTCGATTGAATACGCAAGTAAACAATAAAAGATTAAATGTCTAACTGTAAATGCCCTGGGTGAGCATTTGGAATTGGTCATATCCACGTGTGTAAACGCTTCCATAACTTTTGTACACCAGGCTGTTTTCCACAAAGTTGTCCAGGTCGGCGTCGCTGAGGTCAGTGTGGAACCGCTGCTTGAGCTGGGACGCGGTGGCCGGCCCGTTTTGGAAACAGGCCAGCGTCGAGTCCTTGGACATGATCTCCACCATAGCGGAGAACTCATCCGCGTACTGTCTCAGCGTGTGGAACGCCTGCTTGAACAGAGCGATAAACTCTTTGAACGCAGGCGAGTTGGGTCCGCCCATGAGATCAACGTACTCGTGGGTCAGCTTGAACGGAGCAACCTCCAGTGCGAACCTGCCACCAGGAGAGTTGGACAACATAAAACCAAAATCAATGTGGATGATGTGGCCCTCGTTGTCAAGGAGAATATTACCATTGTGTCGGTCTTTGATCTGCAGAATGTAGCACAGCAGCGAATACGGCGCCAGCGACCGCACGAAATTGCGAAGTGCTTGCTGGTACCGCACTGACGAAACGTCACCGAACTTGACTGCAAAATGCTGCGAGAGCGTCGCAACCTTCGCCGGCGCCCCGCCAGCCGCTGTAGGCTCCTGCAGGCCCGTCAACGCCTTTTTGATAGAGTGAATGGAAAGCCCGTTGGTTATTGTCTCTACGAGACCTGAATTGGAAGATGTGATGAGAATCCGCATCTCCTTGACCCAGACATCAACGTGTGCGTCGCGCCAAATCTGTCGAGCCCGCGATATCATCTGACACGCCAACGCTTCCTGTCTCAAATCATCGCCCGTCTTTACAATCACGCTAAACAAGTCCCACGTAGGATAGTGGCCATACGGTGACGACTGCCGCAGCCGGTTTTTTCGTGCTGTCCAGTCTTCCGCCAGGTTCGCCGCACTGGGGTCGTCCGATGACGACAAGCCAGCTGTTTTGAGATCATTTTCAAGTTTACGAGCACCGGCTTCGCCTTTCGATGCAGCAAGCAAATCATGGTTCTGCATTGACTGCATATTGTCCACAATACGAGCTTTGATGGCTTCCACTTCGGCCTTGGGCAGTTTCCCACTCTGCGCTACCTCTAGCTGCGACAGAATGATCGAAGCCATGTCCATTTGCGAAGCGAGATCATTGATCGAGACTGTATTAGACACAGGCTCGGTATTGCCTGCCGCGGCAACCGCTTCTGCTCTCGTTAACGGGGCTCCTAAACCACCCGACTCACTGTTAGGGTCGGGCACCAGAGAAACTGTGGATGCATTGGCACTTGGCACAAGTCTTTCCCGGTCTGCCACGGGAACCAGGCCTAGATCCTGTTCCTCCTCGTCAAATGTGGTCTCAATTAACGGGGTCCCCGGGGCCGGAGGAGATTGCGAAAAGTTGCGATCAAACAAGTACCTTCGCTGGCCATTTTTAGCGAGCAGATGCCGGTTTCTCTCCGAGTCAGGATTGAACGTAAGATCACCTTTTAGATACTCGACTAATAGCAAATAGGGGACCTTTTCTGCGGAATTCAAAACTGTGGCTTCTGTAGGGGAGATACGCACGATGCGATTGTGTCGATTACCAGCTCCGTCCGGTATGAGCAGTGGTATATCGACTTCGGCCGGTAAATCACGATTTATCAAAGCAAGTTCAAGCTGCAGAGCAGATAACCGAGCGGCTGGAGGTACGCGTAATAGCCTGTTAGAGATGGATTGCAAGGAATACACGAATTGCATCTCGCTGCGGAAGTAATTTGTCTTGAGCTGATTGCGCAGCGGCGAACGCACAATATCTCCCGAGAGACGACGAGCCGCGGAATCGTAACCGCCAGCAACTACGCGTGATAAGTCTGGCATGCTTTGCGCTGCGATATCATACTGGTGGCCTGCTCTAAACACAGCGCTTGCTCGGGAGGCCACTTGATCCGCTGAATGCTCAATAGCTTCCTGTGTATTTGTGGAACTGGTTCCAGAGACCGAGCCCAAGCGTTTCAAGCGATTGGCAACCCGAAGCAGCTTGCTTCGCTGCTTTCGGCCCTGGGACATTACTAGGGGACGAATATAACGCGAAGCCTCAGGGACAGCGGTGGACGCTGCAATCATCGATGCCAGGACCAAGGCAGGCTGAGTGTTATCGCGGATTTGTTCATCAGGAGCAATGGGAGATGCAAATATCATGTTTTGGATTTTGTTGTACAGCCGCTTGGCTGCTGCGAACCCGTAGCTCTGAGGCTGGTCTTCCAAATCACTCAGGCTGGCTTGGAGATGCCAGAAAACAATCAGCGTACAATGCGTGGACTCGTGGCAAAGCTCGTTCAAAAAATCTTCTAATGCTGCCGACTCTGTCTCGTAGGCAACAAACACGTGGACAAGTTGCGGTAAAAAGAACTCGATTTGCAGTTGCGGGAAGTTGCGCAGTTGCTGGCATAGCCTAAAGTGGATGCCAATGTTGTCGGCGTATTTCACCAGCAGGTCAATGCACTCGAATAAAGAGAACTTTGGCGATTCAAGAGCCGCAAGCAGTGGTGCCAAATCACGCGTGGGTTCGACCCTGGCCGGGTCCATGGTGTCTTCGAAACTTTCTGGCGCTATTCTGTCGCCTTTTATCCCGCTGTTATCGTCGTCTACACCAGCAGGCCCGCTACCGCTTGCCTGAGACGACATCAAGACAGGGTTTCCGAGTCTACTTAGTCAGGGCACGCATTACAGTGTTTTCTAACTTTTCAGTTTTGGACAGTGGCGGTATAGTTGGCACAGGAAGAAACAGCAGCACAGCAGAACATGTCTGACGATCTTGAACAGATACGCAGAGCACGTATGGAGGAGCTGCGTGCTCAGGGCAACAAGCCCACCGCTGGCCCTGGCGCTGGCGGGGGATCAAACAACGACGATGCTCAGCAAGATATGCGAACATCACTGATGTCGCAGATTTTAGAGGGCGCTGCTCGCGAGAGGCTGTCTAGAGTCGAAATGGTGAGGCCGGAGCGAGCACGGCAGGTCGAGGAGCTGCTGATCCGCATGGCTCAGTCGAACCAGCTTCGTGGCAAAGTGTCCGAGCCGCAGCTGGTTCAATTGCTTGACCAAATATCCGCCCAGGAAGATAGATCGCGAGCCAAAATTGTGTACAATCGCCGCGACAGTGATGACGAGTTTGACCTTGATGCGTCCACTCAGAAAGAGCAACCCAATGCACACGATGAAGAGGAGGACGACGACGATTTTTTCGATTAATTGTTTATTAAAATACTAATGTACATGTGATTTGACTTGGTGGCTTGAATCGGGCCCTACGGAAATACGCCAGGAAATAGTGGACGGCACTAAACGCCTGTATAGCGATCGTAGAAACGGGTTTGGTTAGCCTTAGTGCAATCTGGAGTAGTTTTGAGCAGCAATACGAACAAGCGTATGTTTGAAGCGTTGAGGAGCTTTCAATTAAACTGGCATTCACTGAGTCTTGTACGAAATCACCACTAATTCCTGCGATCAGGAGCAGTGGCGCAATGGCAGCGTACCAGATTTCGGTTCTGGTGGTTGCAGGTTCGAGTCCTGTCTGCTTCGCTTTTTCCTTTTTTTTTTTTTTTTACTTTAATTTTTATTGTTAATCTTACTGTGGTATTTTTTAGCGTCACTATTTTAACGAAATTTAAAGAACTCGCCGAAAGCTCTCTTGCAACAACCTATGGCTAAACCTAAAATTATGCACATCCACAATCGTCTGTAAACACACCCGCAGCCACCTCCATACTAAAGACGTCCGTGCTCTTGCTTAAGTCAGCATTGTTTGGATGCCTGAGCAGGACAAAAGCGCGTCAGAGACGCGCGACATTCCAGCGTTTTTAAGGCATGATTCCGTTCAACCACTGAGTGTACCGTCTAAAGAGTTACGGAACTCTGCAGGCTCACATGATAGTAACCGCTCGGCCTTGGCTCGCCAGGGTTCCATGTCCAGACTGCACGGCCCTCGCGAGGCTGGTTCTCCATCAAGAACCAGGAAATCCGTCACTTTTGACTACCAGGACGAGGTAATTCAATACGATGTACAGACTCCTGAGCCGCGGTATACTCCCGACCCCGACTACTCTCAATTTGACGTACATTCCCACCCTCTGCCTTCTCTCCCCACAGAGTTTGGCGATTTTGGAGTCGATAACACGATTAATATGGGCCACTTTACGGAAGAGATAGAAGAAGAGTTTGAGGCCGAGAGTTCTGAAAGCCCCCCTAATGTTACTTTGGGCTGGGACGACGAAATTCCCCCTCCAGCGTCCCCCAATCCTTTGATGGCTGAGCTTGACCAAAGCCGCCCTAAACTCTCTAAAAGAGTCGAGGCTGTTATGGAGGAGGCTCCTGAGCTCTCTAAAAAGCCATTCGTTCGAACACACCGTGCCAATGCTTCCTGGGGCTCGCAGACTCTACGCGAAGGCCTTCACGCTGTTCCTCTATCTCCTCTGGTTGATACGAGCGCAGAGGAGGAAAGCGATGATGAAAGCCATCATTTAGAACGGCTACCTTCACTTATTCGCCAGGAGTCACTTTTGGAGAGCCAAAGAAGGCCTCATACTGTGCGGATGTCTGAAAAACGCATCCCTCCCCCCACAGATGTCCAGCGAACTTACTCTCAACGTCGTAAGACTCTTGTTAAGATGCTTGATGCCAATAAACCTCAGGTCCCAGATGCTATTGAAGAGGAGGAAGACGAAGTTAACCCCGTGCCGCTTTCTACGTCGACCCGGGATCTATTTCATCACGAGTCAGTGGTTGTGGGTGTTGATCCTGGAAGTCCTCAGCGAGAGAGTCCCCAAGAGCTTCTTGCTTCAATGTCCCCTATCCGTGATTCGATTCAGATTCCGGATTTGAGCCACACGGACGCGGACTACTTCGGTATGCCACAAGATAGCCCCAAGATTGCTGAAAACGAGGCACAAGATAGCCACAAAGATGTTCCTCGTAAACATGTTCTTGACAATATTCACCAAGAGGTGTATGGAACCGCTGAGAAGGCTGTTTTGGAAAAAACTTTACCTCAGATTGTTGAGAAGGAGTCCCAAGAAACCGATGGGGTCATTCCTCAAGGTTCCCGAGTGGTATCACAAGGAAAACCACACCAAAAACTGTCTTTGGAGACCATTCAAGAAATGCAGGAGATCAACCAAGACGTTCAAATTGAGAATTTGGCAGACGAGAATAGTACCGAGACCAAGGAAGAAGTAAACTTGGCTCACGCGAAAGACGCCATGACAAAGACAGTTCAAGAAGCTCACGTTTCAGCTGAATCTGTTCCAAAGTCTGCTGAGGAAGTAGAAAATCCATCTGCAGCCACCAAAACCAAAAAGCCTCGAAATCGCAAGCGGTCTAAAGCCAAGGGTCGAAAAGGTGACACTGTTGAAGACAAAGAGATTGCAAAGTCGACCGAAGCTGTCGAACCTAATTTGGAAGAGATCAGCAATGAAACTACAGCATTGCCCGTCGCAGAGCCCAACAAAGTGTTGAGTACGAATAAAGCGGCCGTGAACGAGCTTGTAAGTTCATCACACCCAGTGCCTGAATCTGATGTACCCCAGATCGATTCAATGTCAAAGACAATCGTTGAACACCACAATGACCCCACAATTTTGAGACGGCCGTTACCCGTCATTGACGCTATTATAGCCGATGAGCCTACAGTGGAGCACCCTGAATCACCCGCTATTCCAATGCAAGAAATGACGTCACCTGAGGTAAAACTCGAAAGCTATAATGGTACACCAATCATTCCGGAGACTACTGAGGCTTTCCGTGCAAATTCTGTGGCTCGAAGACTCGCTGCAATCGAGGAAGTGGAGACTCCAGAGATTGCTGGCGATGAAGCCTTAAGCACCTTGGTGCAGGATGTCGAGCCAGCAACCGTGCAGCACAAACCCATTGATGCTGAGACTACAGAACCTCAAGCTCTGGAATCTGAGATTGTGCAGCCTGGAATCTTGGTGGCTGAGCCTGTGTTCGGCAATACGCCAGTCTACCCAGAGGAAGAAGAGCTGAATATGCCTCAACTAGAAGCAGCAAAGGAGAGTGTGCTTGAAAACGGGGAACCTGTCGACAAGGGCTCGACCTCTTTCAAAGAGTCGGATCTGCCTGTAGTTGAGAAAGCCACAGAAGCTCCAAATGAAGCTGCACGCTTACAGTTTGCGCCAGTTGATTTAGGTGATACACCTGATCTTGGTGCTATAAGTTCTTCTCCCTTTGAGCTCACAATGCCCGGGACCCCTACATTCAATACGGTGTCACCGTCACAGGCTGAAATTGAGCGAAGGGAGTATCTGGTGCGACAAGCAGAGATTGTGCGTCTCGCCAATGAAAGAGCACAGCCACAAGTTGTGGCTGTTGACGAGTCTGTTGATGAAGTTGAACAGGGATCACCCTCTAGTGTTGTCGAGAAACAACAGACAGACAGTCCTGTGATCTCCCTTCCGCACCTTGATAGTGATCTGTCCGAGAGTGAGATGAGTTCTCCTGAGATTAGCCAGCTGCGGCCAGCTGCTGACATCCCTGAGCCTGTTACCGTGATAAGCCCTGTGATGGCCAATTCCGAGTTTTCGCGGGCCCCTCCTATTTCGACGTCCACACTTAGCGTTGAAACGGGAGACAGCTTGCAGAACATGAGTAGCGAGCTCGAACAGCTTCTTACTCCTCGTCGTGGATACACTGTACGTGAAAGCCCCACGTATGTGATGGCCAGCTCTCCGGCTAGACAACGGTCCACGCCCGTTCGTCGCAACGGAGCTCTCGAAATTGGCGCCGGTCCCCATATTCCTCAAGCGGCTAGCTGTGGCCAGATCAGTCACGCTAGCCCTCGACGGATGCCTCAATCTGCATCTGCATCACCAGTGCGGGTTCCTGAGCACAGCCGCCGATCTCGCCCCGTGTGGATGGCAACCGCGCCCCCTCTACAAGAGGAGCCTGAGGTTACTGTGCCGGAACCTGTGGCCATAAAGTCTCCTGCACTTCCAGCAGAGGCATTAGCAGCGTTCTCATCAAATTCATCGATGGGGCCGATCGACGGTGATACGCCACCTTTGCGTGAGCTGACACCACCTCTGGCTAATGCTAGCTCTGATCCCCAACTTAAAGAGCGCCCGACGTCAGAGATTCACGTACCACGGGTACGTCCCAGCCGCGAGCTTCTTAATGAACAGTACAAGCAGCTGCCAGCTCAAGAGAGTGGTTTAGAAACACCGCGACGAGGATCCGGCTTGTTATTCAGTTCTCCTGTTGTTCGCAAAACCAAGTCGCCTACCAAGTTTGCTGGTCGTCTTACAACATCTCTTCACGAGACCGGGCGACTGTTCGTTCGTGTTGATAGCGTTGTCACCTGGCTTCCAGACATTGTTTCTCGGACCTGTCAGGTTTGGCTCGAGCTTGATAATGGCGAGCACTGCATTACCACGCCGTGTGCCGACGTTGTTGGAGACGCGGCCCGCTTTGGAAAAGAGTATGAACTTGTAGTTGGCCCCGAGGAATCGGTTACCGTCACCACACACATCAAGTGGCAGCAGAGCGGGCCTACGGGCACTACACTTTTGAGCAAGCTGCGTCGCAAGCAACCCGAAGTAGACTGGCAGCGTTTGGTAGCTGCTGATGGAGCCTTCGGCCGTTGCACGCTTAATTTTGCCGATATGTCGACTGCAGCCCTCGGCGCACCCACTCCTGTGTCGCTTGAGCTCGCAAACGAATGGACCGGCGGCAAGGGCGGCAAGATCGGGCTCACCACTCTGTTTGTCCCCCGCATGTCTGCCAAAGAATCGCTGCCGGCCACCATGGATGATGCCGTGACACAGATTGAAGCAGCGCAACGGGCAGCCAAAGCCCGCAAGACAGGCCTGCTAATTGTAAACGGTAAACAACGCTGGTGCCTTGTTGATGACGCCAGTCTTGTCATTTACTCTGAGGCACGTCGACCGCGTGCCTCTTTCAACTTAAATAAGGCCACTGCGTGTGACTCGAACGACTCGTTTGTGACCCTGGCGTTCCGGACCGGCGACGTCCTGACGCTTGAAGCAGACTCGACGACTTCTGCACACGAGTGGTCCACCGAGCTGGCGAAAACCATCGCCTCTCCTTCCCCTCGCAGCCCTTGGCTCAACTTAGTTTTGTATCGCTAGACCTAATTATTATATATCAACGCCTGCGTCGATTCTGTTGTAATTGTGCCAACTGTGGCTGCGGCGAGGCCATCTGGTTGGGCATGCCGGCGTTAGCACCAGGCATCGGTGGCATCATTCCAGGCATTGGAGGCATTCCAGGCATCTGAGGCATGCCCGGCATCTGAGGCATTCCAGGGCCACCAGGCATTGGCGGCATCAGACCGGGCATAAACATTGGCGGCATGCCCATCATACCCATTACTTTTTGTGGAGTGTAGTTTGCACGAATGTGGTCCTGCTTCGAGCAGTATGCCTGCCATGTGAACTCGTCGAATCCGTAGTTAAAATAGTCCGTCACGTCGACACCGGGCCGCCGCCATGGCTTGTCCTCAAACTCCGCCATCGACAGCTGAGTGATCGGCTTTCCCTCGTATTCCCCGATCGCGTCAATATCGATAGCCTGGATCTCTCGTTTCGGTGCTGAGGGTTGTGTTTCCTCCGCGGCAGGAACTGCTGCCGGCGGGGCGGCTGGTGCCACGGTTCCTGGTGCCGCTGCCGCGGCCACTGCAGGTTTCGGAGCCACTACGTCTTTTCGGCTATTAGGAGCCCCCAGAATGAACTCCACATCCGACTCATACTCCGAATCTGAGCCCTCAATATCCGCCATCGAAGTTGCTGACTGTTTCTCTCGTGCAAGATGCCTCCTTATGTTAGGGGAGGAGTCTGGACGAATGTCGAGGATGAGATATTGAGGGCGGCGGTGGCCAAGTACGGGATGCAGCAGTGGTCGCGAGTTGCTTCATTGCTGGTTCGGAAAACTGCTCGGCAGTGCAAAGCCCGATGGACGGAATGGCTGAGTCCGGCGGTCCGAAAAACCGATTGGACGGCGGCAGAAGACGAAAAGCTTCTACACTTGGCCCGAATCATGCCAAACATGTGGCGATCAATAGCGCCCATGCTGTCTCGTACGGCCACCCAATGCCTAGAACGCTACAACTATTTATTGACCGGTGCCGGCGAGGAAGAAGATCACGACGACGATGCCATTGAGGGCCGTCCTGCTAGGCCTGATTTCGTGGATATGGACGATGAGGAGCAGGAAATGTTGATGGAGGCGCGTGCTCGACTGGCGAATACTAAAGGCAAGAAGGCCAAGCGCAAAGAGCGAGAAAGGTATCTGGATCAGCAGAAGCGTGAAAATGTTCTGGAGCAGCGTCAGCTAGACAAGGAGCAGGGGAAAACACCCCAGGCTTTGAAAATCAAGAAATCCAAGTACTCTGTCGACTACAATGCCGAGATTCCGTTCGAACACCGTGCACCGTCGGGTGTTCACGACACCGAAGCGGAGAAGCTGGAGAATGCCATGGTTCTAGACGAGTTTCAAGGTAAGATTGAAGGTGGAGAAAAGGTGGAGTTTGGAAGGACCCGCAAAGTAGCTAAACAACGCAAAGAAAAGTTGCCGAGACCTACGGTGCTTCCTCTCGATCTGCCTGCCCCGCAGCCTGAACCAAAACCCCGGCCAGGTTCTAAACTGAAGCTTTTGGGATCGTTTTCAACGCTTCCGGAACCCAAGAACGATTTTGAAATTGCTCCACCTGAAGCAGTGGAAGTACCCGTGGTGAAAATGATGGCTCAGAAGGACGCAGAGACACTGTTACGGGAGAAACAACAAGAGCTCGAGAAACGCCAGGCGACCTCCGTGCAATGCGGACTCCCAATGCCGCTGCTAGTCCGTGGATTTGGCTCTGTTTTCGCGGAAAGCGAGTATGTTGTTGACCATGCGTACGAGGCTGTATTACCGAGCCACGAAGCTCTCGCTGCAGCGAACGCGTTGATTGATGCTGAAACCAAAAGTGACAACGTCCGAAACCCAGACAGGAGCAGCATCAGACCGTTCAAGGCTTCTGGTGACCCAGAGTCGGCAGCAGAGGCTGCTGTGTCGTCGGAACTGGCCATCTACCATAAGCTGTTGGATCGGCTGAACAAAACGACCGACGCGTACACCACAGAGACCCTGCGGCTAGCTGCGTTCAAGTCACTGGCCGCTCTCGAGAACGAGGGCATTAAAGAGCGACTCGCCGACCTCCAAGACGCAATCGCTCTGGCAAATATTTATTAAATCTAACTAACTCTGCGATCGCTAGCTCGCTGACTAACGAACATATGGCTGGGGCAGTGCCGGATATTCCGGGCGTCAAAGCGCCTCCCGAAGGAGCCAGAGAGATTTCGTTAGAGATAATGCGGCTATTAGGAAGACACTCGCCGAAATTTCCAGGGGCTCAGCCCGTTTCGTTTGCGAGACAGCACCTCGAACACGCGCTACTGGACGAGGACTACTTTGTGTGCGAAAAGAGTGATGGACTGCGTTGTTTGATGTTTTTGTCGAGCCTCAACGGAGAAGAGCGCACATACCTTATAACGCGCAAAAACGAGGTGTTTTGGATCCCTGATCTGCATGTTCCCCTCACCGAGACCGACCCATCGAGCTTCCACGTTAATGGCACGCTGATTGATGGTGAATTAGTTCGCACCCAGGACGGCCGTCTCAAGTATCTTATGTTCGACCTCCTGGCCCACAACGGCAAGTCTCTTGTCGAGCGGGTGCTTGATTCTCGGCTGGGATATCTGAAATCCGGGGTGTTCAAACCTTTCCAGGCCCTGGTGGCCAAGTACCCGGAAGATACTCAAAACTTTCCGTTCAAAATCTACATGAAGGCAATGGAGCTCTCCTACGGACTCGAAAAAGTACTCAAGGCGCGACTCACGCACCTTTCAGACGGCCTGATTTTCACCTCGCGCAGGCAGCCCTACATTTTTGGAACGGACCCACATATTTTGAAATGGAAACCCCCCAACGAGAACAGTGTAGATTTTGTTTTGGAGATGGAGTTCAACGAGTACGAGGACCCATCGAGCGGCGAAAAGTGGCTGGACTACGATTCGGTTCCGCAGTGTAACTTATTGGCCTGGCATGGCGGATCACAAGACCTGCCGTTTGGTCACATGTATCTTGAAAACGACGAATGGGAAAAGCTAAAGGCTCTAGGCGAGCCGCTGAACCGCAGAGTTGTCGAGTGTATTATGGATGATACGGGTCGTTGGCGATTTTTGAGATTCCGCGATGATAAAGACCACGGCAATCACATCGATACGGTTGAGAGTGTCATGGAAAGTATTCAGGATCACATCACTGAAAAGGACCTGCTCAACTCGGTAGAAACAATTAGAGACGCTTGGCACGACCGCCAAGAACAACCCAGTGCTAAACGGTTAAAGACGTAGTGATTTCAGTTGAGTTTTTTTTGACATATATACAATAAGCCTACAAGGCGAAGGACACGCAGCTTCTCAAGAGCGCCCGTGGGTTGCCGTTGCCGGAAACGGCGTACTTGGCGGCGACAAGTTCTGGCGAGTACTCTGTGAGACCGGCTGCTGCAACATAGCGCAAGTAAACGTCGGTCTCGGCCGGCGAGAAGGAGCTGACGGCAATCTCGCGAATGCCCTGCAGTTTAGCGGCGAGTTCGCTATCAAATTCCTCGGGGGTTGCGTATGCAGGCGCTGAGCCGTGGCCGAGCCCGATGGCGATGGTGTCGTTGCTGACGATTCGGCCGCTTGTCGCAGCAAGGACGGCACCATGCTTGAACTTGCGTTTTGCGCTGAGGAAGTCCAGCAAGATTCGCGGGATCTGGAGATCGGCGTGGTAAATAGGCTCGTTCTCCTTACTGCGGTTGGCGGCAAACGGCGTCTTGACAAAGGCGTTCAGACTGTCGGCGCTGATGAGCACGGGGCGGTCGCCGTTTTCCAGCTGAGAAATAAAAGCAGTCAGAGATCCAACCGGGTCCTCCTTGGCACTGGAAGATCTAAGCAGCTTGATATCGTCGCTGGTGAGCACGTCACGGTTAGCCTTGGCAATCCGCTGCGCCCAGCGGCGACTGAGCATGGGCTGGTCAAAGACGGCGCCAGATTTCGACGCAACAGCATCAGTAGAGCCGTCAATAAGCTCTTCAGCCCGCGGGATATGCAGCACGATCCAGTTCTGCAGCTTGGCCATCGCATGAGCCTGGGCCAGCAAAGTGGACTTGCCCGAGCCGGCAGGGCCAGTTAGAAGCGCTCGCTGCTCGCTCGAAGAGGCCTGCTTTAAAATATTTTGGATCTGGCTCGACTCGTCGCGCAACAGAGACGCTCTCTGGAGAAACAGCTCGTTGTTCTGCTGGGGCTGGAAATCGGCCATATGCACGAGACTCGCCTGAACGGCGTCTGGGAAAACAACCATTGACGGCTCGCTAATAGGCGTCTCGAGATCAGGCGCTGCGAAAATACGCAGATTCTCCGTGCCTACTGCAACCTCGCTAGCAGACTTGGAAAACTTCGAGTACGCAGCCGCCCGCCGAAAATTGCGATACTCGCCCGAACCTTTCTTGGGCGTGCGCATCTTCACCGTCTGCTCCTTGGCCTTCTGCTTGAACGCCGCAACGCTGCCAGCATGGAACCCTCGAAGACCCAGCCGGTACATGGTTTTTTGATAGTCGGGTTACTAATGGGGGAAGGTCGGTTGGAGGTGAAAAATAATTTTTCAACTGACAAAGCTGAACAAAAGTTTTTTTTGAACCATGCGACAGCTCACTGAACAGGAGACGAAGATAGTGTTTGAGAAGCTGAGCGGGTACATTGGTCCGAACATTGCGCAGCTGGTGCAAAGGCCCGACGAGAAGTTCTGCCTCCGCATCCAGAAAGACAGAGTGTACTACATGTCCGAGAAGCTGGCCCGGCTGGCCACATCGATTGCCCGCCCTAATCTTATGTCCTTGGGGATCTGCCTGGGCAAGTTCACCAAGACGGGCAAATTCCGCCTGCACGTCACCAGTCTCCCCATTTTGGCGCCCTACGCCGTCAACAAGGTGTGGATCAAGCCCAACGGCGAGATGCCATTCCTGTACGGCAACCACATTCTGAAGGCCCACATTGGTCGGTTTTCCGAGGACGTACCTGAACACGCTGGAATGGTTGTTTTCAGTATGACCGATCTGCCGCTGGGTTTCGGAATCAGCGCCAAATCCACCGCAGAGGTGCGGAGGGCCCAGCCCAACGCCATTTCCGTATTCCGCCAAAGCGACATTGGCGAGTACTTGCGCGAGGAGGATACGCTTTTTACTTAGAGAGGCAAATAGTTATTTATTTACATCATTTCTTCTTGTTCTTTTTCTTTTTCTTCGACGCTCCGCTCGCACTGCTCGTAGCTACCTGGCCACTAGGCGGTGCTTGCGTGGTTTGCGTAGACCCCTGGGTAGCGCCTTGGGTCGCTCCTTGCGCGGCATGACCCCGCTTCTTTTTGGGTTTGTACGTGGAGCGGTCCTGCTTGGCCAGCCATCGCTCTGGGTCGGGCTGTCTGTTTTCGTCAAAGCTGGCAGGAAGCTTCCGTTTGCCGCTCCGGTGACGTGCACTCTTTTGTAGGGTGACCTTGGTGTGGGGAGCCAAAGCAACAAGACCCTTCGAGTCCAGGCTCTCGGCGTCAATTCCGGAGATAAGAGTTTCAATCAGGGGCAAGTCAGAGGTAGACGCGGAGGCGGGGTCCACGGCACATTTTCCGGCCTGAGCCTCTAAGCTGTTGTCTTCCAGGGAGTCAAAGTACAGTTTGGCCAACTCCACGGCTTCGGGATCATTGGACTCGGCCATAACAGCCGCGGCACCAGAGTAGTCACCAGCGAGATCACCACTCTTGAACACTTTCTTCACAACATCGGTAGGGTTCAAACGTAAGTGCTTGTATGCAGAAGTAATAGCGCCCAAAACGCCAGGAGCAAACGTAGAGTTCGAGGTAATCATTGAGCGGCCGAGGTTAACCAGCACATGAGCAGCATCGTCGATGCGAGACTCTGCAATATGAGATTGGGCCAGCACAAACGCGGCAGCGACGTTTGCTGGTTCTCGGGCAAGAGTCTGGCGGACCTCGCGTAAAATAAGGGCGTCCAGAGCCAAAATACTCGGGGTCAAATCCGTTTGAAATTTCGCAAGATGCTTGGTCGCCTTACCTGCCAAGGGAAGCCCAGCACGAGCTTGCAGACGAAGTTTATTACCAGCCACGACCCGTTCCTGGGACGCAACCAAGTTCTTGGGCAGCACGTCGAAGAGCTTGAGCACTTTCAAAACATCATCAATCTCCTGGGGCGGAGTGCAGACCAAACTGTTGATAGCAGCCAGCGGGTCGTCCAACTCTTTCAAAAGCTCGAGGGCCTTATCGTTTTCTCCAGACAAAATATAGGCGTACGCGGCCTGCAGAGCAACACTTGCTTGATCTTCGTCACTACCCTCAGCCTTGGCCTTTCGCAGCTCGTCAAGTGCCCGCACTGGCTCGCTACGCACAAGATAGGCGTAGGCCGCATTAAAATGGCGTTCAAAAGCGGGGATGTCCTCGGTGTGCCCATCAAGCAACCCAGACTGCGCCCGAATAGCGCTCTTGTTCACTTCCAAGTCGTACACCTCGTCCTCAGACACTTGAACGTTCTGCAAGGCCGCAGCTGCTGCATTGTAGTGACCGGCCTTGTACTCCGCCTGACTCAAGGCAAGCTGGACAGCCACATCGTCATGCCGAGAAGCAAGCTCTCGCAGGCTTTTCAAGTCTCCCAGATGGTAGTAAATGTAGGCAGCCTCTGCCGGAAACGATGCGTCAAGGGTGGCCAAGTACTTGGCAGCCGCCGCGAACCTGTCGAGCTGAATTAGTGTCGACAGCTTCTCCTGCTGCACATTCTCTCCCGCCTTCAACTTCGCCTCGATATCTCGCAGCCGCTCAACCGCAGGATTATCTACTTTCAGTTTAGACACCCCGTGCACAATCGACGACATCTGGACAGAAAGATGGGATTTCAGATTTGTCAACGTCCTTTTTCCATTTTTTCCAAGTGCGGACGTTGAGGATGCGGCTGTCTAATTTAACGCCTCTGAACGTCTTTGTTCGAGGGTATAAAAGTCGGACGCTCTCGAAAAGAGTGGCGCAGCCTGGGAAGGGCAAGACGGTGGTTGCAGGGCGGAAACCAGCTCGACCGTCTCGGTTCCCCCCCAAGTCTGCGCCGGCGCCTACTCAGCCTACCACTCTAGACATGGGCAAGTTTGCCAGTTTGAAAGGTGTGCCTGCTGTTGAGCGGAAGACCCATCGAAATTTGCTGGAGAAGGTCACTGATTTCGGCCAGCTGCGAATTTCGTCAGAGATCAGAGACAGCATGCTCGGCAACCTTTTGAAGGAAGCGTCGGTGCCCACGCCGGTACAGAAAGTTGCCATCAAAAGTCTGAGGGCACAGCGTAAGAACGAGTTTGGGTTCAAGTCATGGCTGCTGGCAGCCGAGACGGGATCAGGTAAAACTCTGGCGTACCTGTTGCCCATTCTATCCCAACTGTCGGAAAGCCCCCAAGATGTCAAAGAAGCCCCGCAGGTGAGATCCATTGTGCTTGTGCCTACTCTTGAGCTGGTATCTCAGGTAGCCAGCCAAGCGAGCGCCATTGCACCAAACCTTCGCATCCTGCCTGTTGACGTGAACTCACGGGCCAGCAGGCTTGCCAAACGCATCACAAAGGGTGCAGACCTTATTATAGCCACACCCGATAAAATCAACGCGCTGGCGGAACATGAGCCGGTGCTGGCTGAGAGAGCTTTAGCCGACTGTCGTTATGTTGTTGTCGACGAGGCGGATTCGCTGATGAATGAGTCGTTCAGCAGTACGACGTTACATGTTTTGAAACGATGTCCTCAGCTTATTGATGCTATTTTCGTCACTGCAACTATTCCTAGCCATTTCGATAAGGTGCTGCGGGAGGCGTTCCCGGAAACTATCCGACTCGTGACTCCCAGTATTCACCGGCTACCCCGTCACATTGAATTTAGAGTTATTGAGGTTTTTAGACCTCCCTACCGTGACAACAAGGAGCTCGCACTCCAGCAGGCTCTTTACTCTATTTATCATGACAATGCCGAGCCAAACTTGCAAAAGCGGGTCATGGTATTTGTGAACAAAAAAGCGTCTGTGAAACCACTTGTAAATATGCTCAACTCTGCAGGCTATCCTACTGTGGGGCTGGACGGCACGCTGCCTCCGAACGAACGGGCTGAATTGCTGGAGGCATTCGTAAACCCCCCCAAGGAGCGAACAAGCGACAAAGATAAGCTCCACGTTATGGTAGCTACGGATCTTGTTGCGCGTGGAATCGACATGAAAAAGATCAGAAACGTTATTCTATACGATCTTCCGTGGTCCGCTGCTGACCTTCTTCATCGAGCTGGCCGCACAGGGCGTCTAAACGCCGGCGGCCGCGTCCTCCTGTTTGTATCGCGAACAGAAGCCAAAGGATGGGTCAAGGGCCTTGAAAAGATTGTAAAGCGAGGGCAGGCCCTGGCATAAGCTTCTTAAAACCCACTCACTTACCACCGACATTGACAATCGATGATCGGGAAATAAACGTTTGGGAGAGTAACCGACTTTTCGTTTCAGCCCGCAGTACAGATGCTGTTTTGGGCTTCTCAAAAATTTCGGACACACATCTTTTGTACATACCTTTTAATTTTGTTTTTCTACTTTTCTGCCCTGTGCGAACGCGAACGATAATTATCAGGGTTAGGTTAAGACGTTAAAGACGCAGATGCCTGCTGCATATAAACAAACCATCTTACATGTCTGCAAGCTGGCTAGAGGATGAGCTGCCAGAGTCTTGGCCGACCCAGGCAGCCTCAAAATCCCCGGTAAAGGCCACTGAGGAGCAAATTCTAGATTTGCCCAGTACAGTGACTGACCATATGGATGCAACAGTTGCAATCCAGCATGTGAATCGGGGGGTGCCACAATGGAAACAAAGGTTGAGCCCGCGCAGGTCGCAAGAGGGCAACATTGAAAATTTGAGAAGCATGTTTCCTGATGAAAACGGTGGCGACAGTGTGACGACTAGCAGCATGAGCAATGCTAGCAGCTCCGTGCCTGACTATGCCATGAGCCGTAAACTGAAATTATTTGGTGATCGCGATACTTATACGGAGCAACGTTACGACAATCTCTTGACGTCTTTGCAGGGTCACGCTGATGGCACCGTTAGCACAAATGTTGGATCGCAACGTTCAGAAACTGTGACCAACACGTTTGCCAACCGATCACGCGGGGATGTCGCGGCCAGGTTCTTAAAGAACGGAGAGGACGTGCTTTCACGGATTCGTAAAGCAAGCATGTTGAATTTGAAACAAAAGAAGGATGAATCGCTGGACGATTTGGAGCGCAAACTTGCAAACGGCACTATTGACACAACGGACGATGGAGCCCAAAACAGTAATGGGTCTACATTGAGTTCACTCAGCAGCACAGACTGGGTTGCTGATGAGGCCACTCCTGTAGAGTCTGCTCCAAATACAGCCAGGCACCTCACCGATAAATTTGTCGAAGAGTATTCCCGTCGGTCGGGTCAGATTGAGCCCCAACTAACAGATCAGTTTGGGTCGATGAAGATGTCTGGCCAAGGGTCACAGCGGGTTCCTACTCTGTCGAGTTTGTCCACAGTTGATGGTGGTAAATCTCGAAGTGCAACATCATCAACTGTACTTCATCACCAGTTCCCCTCAGCAACCAGTACCTTTGTCCCTACCGTGCAGTTTGCCCCATCTCCCAAACAGGGAGTTGACGTTTCAATGCTGGCTATTCCTGACGAAAGCTCGGGTGAAATCGAGGAACACAACTTGGAAACAAAGCCAAGCATGAACCACGTAAATGACGGCAGCGAGGATATCATAATTTCAACAAGTGAGCCATCAACTGAGATTTCTGGGCGATCAATTTCAGAACACCCAATCGAAGGTCTCGAAGAACCTGTGATTCAGCCGTTCAGGACCAGACCACGCGGTGATTTAGCGCCCCAGGCGTTCGATGCCACATTCCGCGACGGAACAATGTTTGAGAGATCTCTGCCCTCAGCGTCTTTCAACAATTCGACAATTGGAAACCTGACGATAGCTCAACGCGATACCACCTTCTCAAGCAGCATGTACCATATTGCTGAGCTGCTGAGTGGGAAAGACACTGAGGCTTTGGAGCAAGTTGATCTTTCAAATGCCCAAATTGAAGCCATCAAGGGTTTGGGAGAGATGATACCTCGAATCAGAGATATAAATTTGTCTCATAATTCTATTCGAGTTCTTGAAGGGCTCCCGACTCTTGCGGTTAATGTCAATCTCAGCTACAACCTGCTGAACCGCTTGAGCTGCTTCCCAATTGCCAACATAACCACTTTGGATATCTCACACAACGGCTTGACTGATCTGCGGGGACTCAAAGAGCTGCGTTCGCTTGTTGACTTGAACGTATCACACAACTCGCTTTCGAGTGTCACAGGACTCGATAGCTTGCAGGGGCTTTTGCGTCTCAATATTTCTCACAATAAACTTAGTGGTGCAGTGATCCCATTGCCTCGCCTGAGAGTACTGTATGCAGGAGCCAACCCGCTCAAAAATATCCGTTTGGAAACTCCCCTACTGGAGGAGCTGAATGTTGACGGTGCGTCCTTGACAACAATCGATGCCGTTCCTAGTGTAAAGACGCTGAGCATCCGAAACAACCGGGCTGCTGTCGATTTCAAAGATTGGGAATCACTTGAAACCCTGTACTATGATGGGAATGATGTTGCCCGTAATTGTGGCGAAATAGCGCCCCGCACTGTTTGGTGGCAGGGAAACAGCTTGACTGGGTTTGATGCCAATATGCTGAGAACAGCTTACGAAGTAGTCCTAGCTGGCCTAGGAATCGAGTTTTCTACATTTGTGGGCACGTATCCCGCCCAAGAACTGACTCTATGCAATATGGGGCTGAGGAAACTGCCTGCATGGCTTCCGCGACGGTTCCCGTTTGTTCGCACCCTTAATCTTGCTTTCAATGAACTTGATGACGCCAGCTTGGCGGTGTTGTCACAGTTCGACAACCTCGAGGAGTTGTCGCTGTTCCATAATGGCTTTTGCGATGCCAGCCATATAGGGGAGACGTTGAAGGGGCTATCTCGACTAGCAGTGTTGGATCTCAGAGCGAACCCAGTGACCGATTTTTACCCCGAGATTATTTTCGATGACCACAAGCCCCCCATGGCAGCATATGACGAGGTTTTAGACCTCGACTGGAACACAATGGCCCGAGAAGCTGTAAAGACAGCAAGATATGCCAAATACAAGCGTGCACTGGGCTTGCACCTGCAGTGGCTTGACGGCACCGAGCTGGAAGTCTACGAGCAACGGAAAACGAGTCCCCCAACACGTACAGAGCCGTCAACAAGTCTTGAATCGACTGCCCCCAGCACACCCAGCCGAGCTGACAGTTCGGTCGAGTCGCGGTTTATGAGCGCCAAGTCTAGAGGTGGAGGGACTTTCAATGCGGCTCCTAATATGACCGCGCTGGGCCACTCAACCCCGCCGCGCACTGGTGACACCCAGGAGGTTATCAGACGACTGGCCAGTGACCTGATCGCTCTGTACGATGCGGCACGACGAACGCAACCCCACCTGTGGGCACGAAACGCTGCGGGTAGACAAAAGTAAACGCTAGCTATCAAAAAAGGGAACAAACACTAATTTATACTAAGTCGATAGCTCCTTGGCGACCCAGGTAGGCAGCACGAAGGCAGCCTTGTGGATCTCTGAGTTGTAGTACTTTGTGAGCTGGGCCTCCTCCTCGGGGGACCACTTGCGAAGCGGGACCCTAGGGTTGGCATTGGGGTCCTTGGAGCAGATCATGAAGCCGATCTGACCAGAGGGATAAGTGGGGATGGTGGTGTAGGCGTACTCAACCGTGGGGAAGACCTTGCGGCAGGCGGCCATGACTTCCTTGATGATGGGCAGATGCAGCCACATGCACTCACCCTGGGTGGAGATGACGCCCTTCTCAGTCAGAGCACCGGAGAGCAGGGCAAAGTAAGGCTCCTCGAAAAGTGACTTGGCAGGGCCCTCGGGATCAGAGGAGTCGGTGATGATGACATCGAACGAGTTCTTGTATTTCTTGAGGAACTCGAAGCCGTCACCAATGTGCACCTTGACCTTGGGGTGCTGGAAGCCGACCGCCATGCTAGGCATGAACTTTTTGGAAGCATTGATGACGCCCTCGTCGATGTCGCATAGAACAACCTCCTCGACGCCCTGGTGCTTGACGACCTCACGCAAAACGCCGCCGTCACCACCACCAATGACCAGAACCTTCTTGGGGTCCGGGTGCGAGTTGATGGCCAGGTGAGCAATCATCTCCTGGTAAGCAAACTCGTCCCGCTCGGTGGCCTGAATGGCTCCGTCGAGGACAAGCACGTTGCCGTAGTCGGTGCTCTCAAACACAAGAATGTCCTGGTACTTGGACTGCTCTACGTGCAGTATTTGCTTGACGCGCAGAGACATAGCCTGACCAGGCCACATGGTGTCGGAAACCTCACGGAACCATCCGTCCTTGATTGTCTTATGGGTGAGTTCTTGCATGGGTGAAAAACTGGGGGACGATTGTTGGTATTTATTTCCTAGCCCTTGTCGTACCCCAACCCACATAGATAGGCAAAAAAAAAAAAGCCTCGATGCGTGTAATCAGGTTTTAGAGGGGGACCACCGCTCGATTTTCCGGCGCTTGCACAAGTACATCTCGGTGCTCTGAACTTTATGCTGAGCGGTGTGTGCTCTTGACTGTCGTGTCCTGTCTGCTCTGGCTTTATCTACCAGTGCTCCCAGTCGCTTAGCTTAGCATGTTTAGGGACCGCACGAACCTCTACTTGTCGTTTAGGCAGTCCTACACGCACCACCCGTATCTGTCGAGCCAGGCAGCTCCGCTGATTGAGGGAGATGCGATCGAGCTCGATATGCTGCAGCCCGGCTGGATGGACGTCACGTCGCAGGTCGAGTCACAGCTGCAGGCCATCACCAGCCTGATCGGACAGCTGGCGCCCCTCCACAAGAAGCATGCGTTACCCGGTTTCGATGACCGCAGTGCAGAGGAGCGTGAGATCGAGCAATTGACGCTACAGATCACCAAGGGACTGCATAGATGCCAGGCACTGGTCAAGAAATTCGAGAGCCTGAGTCGACAGCTCGACCAAAATGACCAGGCCCTCGTCAAGATGTACGATAATATGAAGGTGGCAATGGCGGCGAAAGTGCAGGACACTTCATCCATGTTCCGCAGCATGCAATCTTCCTATCTTAAGGTTCTTCGCAAGGACCCTAAATTCGCCAGCACCGGCTCTGTAGAGCAAGATGTACAATTATCGCGTCAGGCGCTTGAGCAGACACAGGACCTGCTTCAGGATGAGCAGGATGTGGAAATCCGCCAGCGTGAGCAGGAAATCAACAAAATTGCTCAGGGTATTCTCGAGGTGGCCGACATCTTCAAGGACCTGCAGACAATGGTCATTGACCAAGGCTCGCTGGTTGATCGTATCGACTTTAATGTCGAGACTATGTATCAAAGTGTCAAAGACGCAGACAGAGAGCTTGTCAAGGGAGAGCGGTATCAGAAACGCACGACAAAGTGCAAGATTATCCTGCTGCTATCCCTCATCATTATTGGACTTTTTATTATCTTAATTTTCCGCCCGCGTCGCCACTCCGTGCAGGCCGAGCCTTCCCAGCCCGTTCAGCCAGCACCAGCACAGCCAGCACAGCCAGCACAGCCAGCACAGCCAGCACAGCCAGCACAGCCAGCACAGCCAGCACAGCCAGCACAGCCAGCACAGCCAGCACAGCCAGCACCAGCACAGCCCGCACAGCCCGCACAGCCCGCACAGCCCGCCGAGCCTTAGCTATCCATCAAGGAGTTTATTTGCATATACATAATCTATAATGCCTGTTGGCGTGGCCATAGGGTCTCAATATCCATCAATCCGTCTGCGACTTGTTTTGCTCCTGGAATATTGCCAAAAACAATGTCAATGTCAGAAGGTGTCCATCCGTTGGTGCGAATATATTGCATCACCACAGGGTACAGGTCGACGTCCGCAATCAAGCTGTGGCTGGCAACCGCCTGAACGACCCCTACTTGCTGAGGAGTTCCAAGTACCTTTTTGATGACGCCAAGAGCCAGCTGCGACTGGTCGCAAGACATGAACCCGGCCACAAAGCTTAGCGCAAGATCAGGGGTGAGCTCAGGATCCTTTTCCCATTCTGCTCGTATTTGATCCAGGTAGCCACAGCGCTGCAGGGCCCCTAAATACTTGGGCAGAAGTGCACTTGTAACGAGAGGGCGCAGCCTGTGGACCAGAAGCTCGGGCGCAGCCGCCTTGGAGCCAGGGAAATTGGGAAGAGGGAAGCTCTCAAGGATATCACCAAGTACCTGCACAGGCACAGGAGTCCCATTGCTCATTTCAGAGTGCATATCTAGAGCTCGTGAAATACCAGCAGCATTACCGTGCTTTGCTGCTAACACGACAGCGTACTCGACTGTTTCGAGACTGAGTCTAGACTGCGCAGCCACGCGATTCAGCAACGAAAAAAGGTAGCTCATAAGTGGTAACGAATCGCCAGTCGGCTCACAAGCTCTCTCTAAAGCTTGGATAAAATCCAGTTGGCATTCTTCCCAAATATCAGGCCGGTTTTCAGCAATACCAACCACTTCCCAAAACTCATCCAAGTTCTCTGCCCAAAGCAACAAAAACCGCACTGTGGCAGGTGAGGGCCGAATGGCTGTGAAAATTTCAGCAAACTCCTTGAGCTCTTCACGGACTTGCTCATTGAACTGATGAGGGGGCCCTGGAAAGGCTTCTCGCTGGGCCGTGATATGCCTGCCGAGTGCGGCTAAAAACTCGTCAACCGACGACGATGACAGTGAGCGTCCAGCGCCATACACTTCTAATAGTTGCGACTCGGTTTTTTCAATAGCACCGCATCTGGCGGACAATGCAAACAATCGGTCCTCGACCGGATCAAGCTCTTCTTCGGTGGGCTTGGCGATCTCCATGTACTCGAACAAAGTGCCGACAAAGCGCTCGAATTTGGGCAGATCCGGGATAGAGATTTGTGGAACGACCTGTCGGGGCCCACCTATCACATAGTGTGTTTCAGGATGAACTTCCAGGGCGCGATTTAGCACCGCGAGTGCTTGGGCCCGAGCGACGCGAATCATTGGGCGAGTTCCAACGTAGCCCTGCTGCCAGTATTTGGCCAGAAGCTGCATAAGAGCGCGGAGCGACGTTGGGCGAGCAGTGGAAATCATGTCCATGAGAGCAGACTCCAAGCGGGCTTGGGCCTTGAACGGATCTGCCCCATCTAGAACGTTAATCTGCAGCCAGGCATCGATATCTCGCGAGGTCAGCTCGGGCCTCTCCATGAATCGGCATAAATTATCGGGTATATTGCGCACCGAGTTGTCTTTGGCCGTCTTGACTGCCATATTGACCCCCTCGCTGGTGGTTTCGCTGATTGAGGGCCGGGCCTTGAGCTGGCGTAGGCGTCGCACTTGCTCGATGTACGGAAGCGTGTTTGCACGTTTGGCCGTGGGAGCCAGCAACGCCTCGAGCAAATGATACTCATCTATAGCCTTTGGGCGGTTCTGCAACAACCGCCGAGCGCCTTGGTGCAGTCCCCTGAGTTGTCGCATAAGTCAGAATTTTTCTAATCGGCGAACTTGTTCTTTTCGACGCTGGACGGAAAGGGAAAGTCCAGTCGAGATTTCGGCTCAGCAGTATGTTGACGCACCAACAAAACGTTCTTTGCAGTTTATTTCATATGCTATATATTTTTAACTGACGTTGCCGAGCCTCTTGCCCGGTTACGCTCGCGGCTTTCGTCGTTTGCAGACTGTATTAGTTCGGGGGCAACTAAAAATTTATAATCATTCCTAACTGGCGCTTTTTGAGAGGGCCCACGTTTTAACATTTATCTGCGCCACCGGAGCTTTGGGAGCGCCAAGATTTCGACAGACGCTTTCTGGAACTGCTACCAGCACGCAGCAGTTTTTTATTTATTGGTGCAGCCCATCCCGCGGCCGCAAAGCCCCCTGAAACCTGAATGGTGTCGAGTCGACGCACTTCAAGAATCGATAAACAGCAAGCTGCAGAAGTTAATAATGAATCCGCGCACTTGGACCCTGCTTTGACTTCCAAGTTCGAAGAATTGGCACAGATTGTCGACCGCCACGACGATAGAACCCGTCTGCTGTTCCACTTGGACAAGTTCGTATCTCTCGTTTACTATAACCCGCAAGAGGCAAAACGAGATCATTCGGATGTCTTTCAGCGATGGCGACAGCCCCACGATCTCTGGGAAGCTGTGATCTCCAGCCAGGAGTCGCGTCTGGGCCGTCGGAAAGTCGCCCAGGTGCACACGGCCTTCAACGCGTTTTGCGAGGAAAAATATGGCCCTGCCGAGCCCGTGGAAGAAGAGCCTGTTCGAGAACCTGCGACAAACAAAAAGAGAGCAAAGTCTCAAGCAAAAACGCCAAGCAAACGTGTCAAGCGTGAAAGTGCTAATGGCCACGACAGTAATTTGGCAAATATCGAACTACCCCCGCTGAAACCCGTTCGGGGATCCAAACCCGCACCAAAGGTAACCCACCCCATTCATGTTGTCGCCCCAAAGTTTGGGGGTAATTTGGATTCGTTGTTAGCTACTTACAAGTCTACTTTCGAGGACCAGGAGATCGATCCCGCGGCCTTTGACGAGTACGTCCAAAGTCAAGCAGTGGCACGGCAAAAAGTCGTGGCAGCTCAGCAGTCAGGTTTACTGGAAGAGTTGCAACGTTTGAGTGCTGGCCAAGAGCTTCAACAAAAAAAGTTCACCGACCCCAATCGAGCGCCTGCGTATTGGGACAACCTTACTGCCCAAGCGGCGTATCTAGGGAAGGTCCGGTTAAATCTTCGCAAGTACAAGCAAGGCGGTGTCAAAAAGATTGCTCAAGCTGTTGAGCAGTATTTCAGACGGCTTGCTGGTGCAGAGGAAAAAGAAAAGAAAGATTTGGAGCGATCCTTGCGACAGCAAGCTCGTAAAATTGCTTCTGATGTTTTAAAAAAATGGAAACTCGCCGAGAAAGTTGTACTGCAGCGCAGGCAACAAGTTCTCGAAGAAGAAAACCGTGTTCGTGGTAAAGAGTATCTCAACCAGATTCTTGAAAAGTCCGCTCAGCTACTGGAGTCTCGGATTGAAAGCTACGATCCAGAGGACGATACAGAGTCTGAGGTAGAGAAAAGCGATGCCGACCGGTTTTCTGAGAGTAACGACGAGAGCGACGGAGAGGACGTTGACGATGACGCCAAGCTCACGGTCGAAGAGCTGCGAGAAAAGTACAAAGACTTGCCAGAGTTCGAAGACCAAAGTGACGTCAACATGTCTGATGCAGCACCGCCATCGTCTCCACTGGTTCTTGAAGCACCAAGTAAGGAGCTTCTCGAGCTTTACAACCAAGTCGAAAGCTCCCACGACGAAGAGAGCTTATCTGTATCGGACGAAGAGTCTTTGACAGACTCCGAATCCGAGTCTGAATCCGAGACTGAACCTGCTGCCAAGGGGCCTGGACTTGCTGCTTTGTTCGGAGGCAAGGTCGACGAATCCGAGTCCGAAGACTACGAGTCTGAAGACGATAAGGACAATGTCATGGAGGTCGACAGCGAACCGGAATCCAAAGCTGAGGAGCTAGAGGAAGCGAAGCCCGAAGATGCTCAGTTGGAATTGCGTAAGGGATTGCACAAAATCGACCCACCATTCCTCCTCCGTGGGACTTTGCGAGAATATCAGCGTGACGGCCTCGACTGGTTAGTTGGCTTGTACAATACCGAAACCAATGGCATTCTTGCAGATGAGATGGGTCTTGGTAAAACCATTCAAACCATTTCTCTCCTGGCTTATCTTGCTTGTGAGAAGCATATTTGGGGACCCCATCTCATTGTTGTTCCAACTAGTGTTATGCTAAATTGGGAGATGGAGTTCAAACGCTTCGCCCCGGGGTTCAAAGTTTTGACGTATTATGGCAATCCTCAGCAACGTAAAGAGAAACGGCGAGGCTGGAATAAAGAAGATACCTGGCATGTGTGCATCACCTCATATCAGCTGGTGATCCAAGACCAGGTCGCTTTCCGGCGCAAGCGTTGGTGCTACATGATTTTGGACGAGGCCCATAATATCAAAAACTTTAGATCACAACGATGGCAGGGTCTGTTGAATTTCAACTCGGAGAGACGTCTACTTTTGACCGGCACGCCTCTACAGAACAACTTGGTGGAGCTGTGGTCGCTGCTTTACTTTTTGATGCCATCTTCCAAGGGATCTCAAATGATGCCTGCTGGATTTGCAAATCTTCAGGACTTTCAGGAATGGTTTGCTCGACCAGTGGATAAAATGGTCGAGGAAGGCCAAGAGGCAGACGATGAAGCAAAGGCGACCATTGCGAAGCTTCACCAAGTTCTCCGACCGTACTTGCTTCGTCGTCTTAAAGCTGATGTGGAAAAGCAAATGCCCGGAAAGTACGAGCACATTGTCTACTGCCGTTTATCAAAGCGGCAGCGCTATTTGTACGACGATTTCATGTCTCGAGCAGCTACAAAAGCGACATTGGCCAGCGGTAACTTTTTATCGATTCTCAACTGCTTGATGCAGCTGAGAAAAGTTTGTAACCATCCAGATCTGTTTGAAGTTCGGCCAATTGTAACGTCGTTGGCTATCGATCGCTGCGTTCCTGGCGCTTTCGAGTATACCGCCCGAAAGTTTGCCATTGATACGGCGCCGAAAGTTAATTTGGATACTCTAAATTTACTGTTTCCTGCAATGGAAAACAAACCCAAGTGGGAGGCTCTAACTGTATTTCAATCTCGAGCGACGCGCGAGATGGCGTTGAACCTTACCGAAATGATCCCTGGAACGGTCATGGCCGAGCCCGATCTTCAGAGCCTGGACAAGTGGGCCATTTATGATATTTACCGTCGCCGAATCGAGAGAGCTGAAACCAAAAGACATTCCATCTACCTCAACATGTTTCGCACCAATCGTATTCCCTTGTACGGCTCGGACTTGGTGAAGGCAGTGACGCTACAAAAGGTGGCTCCGCGTGGCTACAACTGGGGTCATTTGTCTGCCATGGACGAGCTTGTGCTCGATCTGCCCTCACGCGAAGCATCGGTTGGCCCACTACTGAGCCGATTTGCGTTTGTAACGCCCACAGTAGTCACGCTTGATGCGGCTGAACAGGCTGCAGGTGTTCTCGCCACCGCCAGCGATTTTGAGACGGTTCGCCACCAACCCATCGGTCACGAAAGCCAAGTGCGGCTCTCTATTGCTTTCCCAGACAAGCGGCTGCTTCAGTATGACTGTGGCAAGCTGCAGAAGATGGCCACCCTGCTGCACGATCTGATCTTTGAGGGGCACCGGGTGCTAATTTTTACGCAAATGACCAAAGTGCTGGACATTTTGGAGCAGTTTCTGAATATTCACGGCTGGAGATATTTGCGACTCGATGGCGCAACCAGGGTTGAACAGCGGCAGGTACTGACTGAGCGGTTCAACAAAGACGCGTCGATTCCGGTGTTCATTCTGTCCACGCGGTCTGGTGGTTTAGGCATTAATCTTACCGGAGCTGATACAGTTATTTTTTATGATTCAGATTGGAACCCGGCCATGGACAAGCAATGCCAGGATCGTTGTCACCGTATTGGCCAAACTCGAGATGTGCACATCTACCGGCTCGTTTCAGAGTTTACGATTGAGTCGAACATTCTGCGAAAGGCGACCCAGAAAACGATTCTGGACAACGTTGTTATTCAAGAAGGCGACTTTACCACGGACTATTTCAACCGCATCACGGTACAGGATCTTTTGGGCGATAACGCCGGACGGGCGACGTCCGCAGAAACCCTGCAGGAGCTAGGAGGTAGTCTCGACGCGCTCGGTCAAGCCGAAGACGATGATGATCGGGCTGCGGCGAGCATTGCAATGGGTGAAGCCCGTATGGACCAAGAGGAGTTCGAGGGCAAGACCCCCACGCCGGCCCTGGCGGAAGGATCGACAATTAGCGCAGCCGAGGAAGCTGTTGAACAGACCCAGGAGGAGCAACAGGAGGAACAGGAGGAAGACGAGATCGGCCATGTGGACGACTACATGATTAGATTTATTGAGCGAGGCGACTTCTTCCAGGAATGACACTCAATGTACTGTATATAAGTTTAATTTTTTCGGTGGTATACTTTTAGCCTTTTCCCACGCCCGGAGGTGCGCCACTTTACGTTTTTAAACATAACCGCTACTTCGCTTATGCATACTTTAAGGCCCAACACCCCACATAAAGTTCCAATTTACGTAAGGTTATGCCTCGAAACCCACAGAATAAACTTCGTTGACGGTTGTGTAAGCGTGCATTTGTTGACCTCATCTCGCATAGACTTGGCGTGTACTGCCTGGGGCGAGGCATCCCCGTTCACCCGTGCATGATAATCCCAACAGCCAAAATGATGGCAAGAGCTCGGCGGCCGAGAAATTTGTGGAGGAAAATAGACCAAACTCAAGCTGAATGGATTAAAGCCCCGCTTCCAGTACTTTGAGTCTGGCATCACCGACCAATCGGCATTAATCAACTAGCTTAAGTTGCTTTTCCGGGCAAATCCATGCTAGTCGCCACGTGACCCTTTGTCATCCTCCGATCCAGGCAAGGGTTTGCCCGATTGGTCAGGGGGGCGCGGAATAGGGTATGCGGGTCGAGAGCCGAACAGAAAGTCCCTTCCACCCCAATCTTATAAGTTTGATAATCGGAACCACTCGTGTCGTAACTCCCCCTCCTTGCTCCCGCCGCCGACTTGTCTTATTGCCTAGCAGCAAAACCAAAACCGTTGTAACAAGTCTAATAAACCGTTTCAGGGCCCACACAAACCTAATGTATTTCAAAGAGACAGGCTCTCATGAGACCCTATGCATTTATGCTGGAGGTCGACGCTCAGCCGAACGAATAATTTCCACGGATGCCAGTGGAAAGCCAGTTGTTATTGATGAAGATCCGCAGGGCCCGGACCCTCAGCAGCAGGAAGAAATCACCCAGGAGCTGCTCAAAGTATGGGGCGCCCACGCCAAAGTGTACTTTACAGTGTCTGACTTTTGCAAGGCTTTGCTCCAGTATACGGATGGCCCGACCGTTGCAGTGCTTGCCGGTGGCAACGACCCAAATTGTGAGCTACTTGACTTCACTCTCTTTGCTATGAGCGCGGGGTATGACTTTGTGGTGGTTGTCCGGTCGCCGCCTCGTGGCAGCGTCACCATCAAAAGTAATCCCCGCGTACCTGAACCAGGCTCCAAGTGCAGTGATTTGTGTGGCTCGTTGGCGTGCGAAGTGGACATCTGTCCGGAAAAGCCTCCGCTCGCCTGCCAGGTCGGCTCATCCCGACGCTACGACAACTTACTCTTTGCGGAACCCGGCGTGCGACCGCAGGAACTGGACCAGCAGCTGAGTCTCAACAGATGGACTTTTCGCCACAGGGCTGAGCAATGGGCCAGTAAGCTGTCGAATAATCGCATCTCATTGTTACCAAACTCTAAGTTGCCCAAGCTCTACATGGGCCAGGTGACCATTTCTGAGCTTGTCACAGAGGAGGTCCTAGCCGTAATCGAGCAAGATCTTCAAAGTCTCGATTTTGATACCTTCAAGTACAAGTCGGATGAGCTTCTTGCCGCAGGGTTCCTTCTGTTGAAGGCGGTGTTCCGTTTGCCTGGGCTAGAGCAACACGCTCTTCGCGACGACAAGCTTGTTTGGTTCCTGCTCGTGCTCAGGAGATGCTACACTGTCACCACCCCCTACCACAATTTCGCACATGTTATTGATGTTTTACAAGCGACTATTTATTGTTTAGTGCACTCTGGTGTACTACCATCATTCGCCGACATGTTCAATTCCCGTGTCACTCCCACCCTTCCTGCATCCACCTCGCTGCCGATTATGAAGATTGCAGCGCTAGTTGTCGCAGCGCCTGGTCACGACCTTTTCCATCCTGGTTTCAACGCCAAGGTCATGTGCAAAGGCAAGTGCTGTTTCAAGTCACTGGAGGCCTTCCACTCGGCCCTGTACCTTGAAATGCTCCAGCAGCTGTGGCCAGTAATGGCAGAAGGCGCCACCGGTGAGCTCGTTCGCCACATCATTCTCGCCACTGACATGGCTCGGCATAATGACTTTTTGACCGATGACGGCACCCCCGTCGGGCCTCCAGGATCCAGTGCCAGCAACGAGCAACAAGCTCTGTATCTCAGCCGTGTGATCAAGGTTGCCGATCTTTTTAATGCCGCCAGACCGTTCCCAGTATCGTTCAAACACGCTCTGTCTATCAACAAAGAGTTCGATTGGCAGTCCCAGACCGAACAGATTCTGGGTTGGATCCCCACACAAGAGTGCGGCAAGCTCGAGCATGAAAAGGACGGGGTTAAAGAGCCCTCGTTTTGCACCGAAAGAATCAAGAAGCGTCAATCGTTTTTCACCAATGTCTTTGTCCGGCCCCTGTTTGATCTTATGAGCAAGGACCACCGACAAGCATTTCTTGGCCGACTCCTCGCTGCAAATGAAGCAGAGTGGGAAAAACACTGGTCAAAGCCGCAGTGCCAGCCCGATATCGCCATGCAGCGGTGCTGTGCCATCTGATTTCGTTCGAGTCTCCCCCGCATCTAAGCAACCCAACGTGAGGCTCTTCTTATTTTTATCACCATTATGTATTTTTGCATGGGGCACGTCCCCCCTTCTTCACTTTTAACGTTTTATATTAACAATTTGATACTAACAAAAAACACGTAAGAGAGAAAAAAAACCAACAGAGAAGCACAGCTTCGGCAAAGCCTTTTAAGTGACGGCCCGGCGTCACGTTGTCAACGAGAGAAGTTCTTTATTTCGGTAGTTTGCCGTTGTCCTGCGCGGCACGAATCTCCTCAAACATTTTAAGCATCTTACGGCGAGCCCCCAGGGCGTTTACACCGCGAGCCTCCAGATCTTGGTCATTCAAAAGCACCACCTCTTGCCATGGCATGTCACTGAGATTTTCTGTGTACTTGTGCAGCCGTAATGAGCGCAACCAGGCACCCATATCTGCTAACAACTCAATGTCCATATAGTTCACACTGCGTTTGGCGTAAGGCGACTGATTGGCCGCACGGGGAGAGGCGGGCGCAGCAGGTGGTGCAGCTACAGAGGGCGGAGATACTGCGGTCGTGGCGGGCGCTGGGGAGGAGCCAATAGCTGCAGCGTAAGTGGGTTGGAAGGGCTTGCCATTCCAGACCTTCGTATCTTCACGCCGATTTCCTGCGGGTGTTTCCGGACCGGGGGCAGGATTAATTGGCCCAATAGTTCCGGCAGCGGCGTTTTTTACTTCAGCAACACCCTGGCCAACTGCTCCTGGCGCTGGCGAGCCTAGAGGATTAGCAGTCGAAGCAGACACAGAGCCTGCCGAGCCCGGTGCCGGACCGGCTAGTCCAGTTTTAGGTCGCAGCGGAGAAGCGGTCCATCGCTTAGAGACCGGCTGCAATTTGGACTCACCACTGCTCTGGCCCCCGCGCATGATGTCGAGTCCTGAAGATCCATACCCAGCGCTTGCGGAGCCAGCCGGCTGGGCCCAAGGATGCGACTGATACGGAGAATAATTGGGTGAGCTGGAAGGGTTAATCTCGGTAGCTGACTTGGGACGGTTGATTTCTTGACTCAAGCTCCAGGGAGTGAAAGAGGATTGCTGCCTCTGGCCCAATGGGGCAAACGCTTGGGAATAGAGCCCTGATTTCGGAACCGGCGAAATGAAAGAGTTCACAAAGGGAGAAGCGCCGGCGCTAGGGGGTTGGGACGTACCCAGTGATCTGAAAGTGCGGAAGCGGTTTTGAGAGGATCCGGCCGAGCCATTGTCCGACGGACCGGCGGCCGAGTCCACGCTGTGTTGGCGTGGCGCGACCGCCTGGCGCCCCGAGGCACGGGCGATATCAACAAAGTTTTCGAAATGCTCGGTGCGATGCGAATTGGAGCCAGTTGTGCAGGCGGGCGCAGCAATATCCCCAGCGTCCTGAGCAGAGGGACCTGCCATAGCCGGGAACCCAGCGTCGTAGGGAGACTCTGTGCCAGCACAAGCCTTGATTACAGGAACAAAGTCTGGGTGTACTTTTCTCGAGAGCGCAGCCGCAATAGCCGCCTGATCAACGACGTCCAGCGCCTGAAACCACCCTTCGAGGGCCTGCCACTCGCGCTGCAAGGGAGACCGCTCGAGCGCAGCTAGAAGCACCCGCTCAGCACCATGCGAAGCACCGCTCGCATGACTATGAACATGGCTCCCGGGCTCATTGACTCTTGCCCGCGTGGCCAATGGGCTTTCTATTGGATCCGGGGTCATGGAGAATGCGAACCCCTTAGTCACCAATAGAAATCTTGGTTGGGGGTGTTCACTATGCCGTCGTCAGAAAAAGGATATTGGGACAAGTGCGTTGCTGTTGGCACCGGGGCGCGGCGGGCTGATCGGGGGCAGCAAACTACGAAACTACTATTCCAATTGCAGAAACCGGGCTACATTTTGTTTTTGGGCGCTGAGTGAAGGGGGCTGTGTGCAGAATCTGCAACAACCACGCGTCGCCAGGAGAGGGTTACAGCAAGGGTATTGGGCTATTAGGCGCCCGAGATGCTCCCATGAAGCCAGGGAAAAAAGCTGTCCATGGGAGTTACCCTCCAGTTTATGATAAGCGGGGGGCCCTTTTCCCCAGAGGTTGCTGCTTGTAAAACGCGTATAAATAGACAACACTTTGTAAATATGCCGCAGATCGCAGGGTATAGACGTGCTCTACGGCCTTTGTCCTAAAATAATAAAAATTTCTCCAAATATCCAAAATCCCCGCACTGGCTGCCTCCGTAGAATGACGTTGATTGCTCCCAAAACGTGAAATTCCATAGCTCTGGGTGTTGGCACTACTAAGCCGACCGACGAGTGATTAGGCCAACTCCTCATCCCAACTCCCACTTGACGGAGAGAAACCCCCACAAAAATCGTTGTACTAAGAAAGAACAGCGTTCAAGGAGACCATGGGAGACGTTCAGGAAGCAGACCTGGACTCTATTGTCGACAGGTTGCTGGAGGTCCGGGGCTCGCGACCTGGCAAGGCGGTACACCTGGCAGAGCACGAGATCCGATACCTGTGCACCAAGGCCCGCGAGATTTTTATTCAACAGCCGATTCTACTGGAGCTAGAGGCGCCCATCAAGATTTGCGGCGATATCCACGGACAGTACTACGACCTCTTGCGCCTTTTCGAGTATGGCGGCTTCCCCCCGGAGGCGAACTACCTTTTTTTGGGTGACTACGTTGACCGTGGTAAGCAGTCGCTGGAAACCATCTGTTTGCTTTTGGCATATAAAATCAAGTACCCGGAGAACTTTTTCATTCTGCGAGGAAATCACGAGTCGGCCAGCGTGAACCGTATTTACGGGTTTTACGACGAGTGCAAACGCCGCTACAACATCAAGCTGTGGCGCACCTTCACCGACTGCTTCAACTGCCTGCCGATTGCAGCTATCATCGATGAAAAAATTCTAACCATGCACGGTGGTCTCAGCCCCGACCTCAAGTCCATGGAGCAAATCCGCCGCATCATGCGCCCTACCGATATCCCAGACGTGGGCCTGCTCTGTGACCTGTTATGGTCTGACCCGGACAAGGACATTGTGGGCTGGGGAGAAAATGACCGAGGTATTTCCTTCACTTTTGGACCAGATGTAGTCTCCAGATTCTTAGATCGCCATGACTTGGATCTCATTTGCCGCGCCCACCAAGTCGTCGAAGACGGCTATGAGTTCTTTTCCAAACGTCAACTTGTCACCTTATTCTCTGCACCCAACTACTGTGGTGAATTCGACAATGCTGGTGCTATGATGAGCGTCGACGAGAGCTTGCTTTGCTCGTTCCAGATTCTCAAGCCCACCGAGAAGAAAAAGAAACCCCAAGCGTTTGCCCAAAACTCTTCACGGCCAGTGACTCCACCTCGTAAGAAGAAGTAAGTGTTTGTGTATTTCCCCTAGCGGGGCTCGCGCCCTCCTCCTCTGAAACTGGTTTTATTTTTGAAATTAACGCCACATGGCACTTCCCCTAAAAGAGAGAAAAAACAAAAAATAAAAGCAACCCCCTACTGAAAATACACGCTCCCAGATCAGATACTCCGGGGAAGACTCTTCCGTTATACTTTATGACTTCTATTTCACAGAGGGCTTTGATAGCTTTGAGTCGTCGTCGAGGTGGTTTTTCAAGCCATTGTTCTCTTTTTATATATGTTTTGGTAAAGCCAAATTTCATAATGCCAGCATACTTTATATTGTGCGTACTGAACCTTTAACCAGACTTATATTGCTCATAAACATGATATTTCCCCATCACTGCTTCAAACACGTCTGGAGCCGCGACGACCGGGCCAAGCTCGGCAACAAGTTTATCGGCGAGGACCGACGACGGGAAGTCGTTTATAAGGGTGAGTCTCAGCAGTTGTGCTCGGACCGGATCCGTACCTGCCAGATACTCTGCTAACTCTTTTTGCTTGATTTCAAAGTAGTAGTACAGATCCTGTCCGTTAAACAATTGGGCAAAGGCATCGCTGATGGAAGTGGGGAAATTAGCAGTCTCGAACCGGGTATCCAGAGATGTAGAGGGAACAATTGGCTCGTCTTGGGCTCTGCAGAGGCTCAGTTCCGATTTAAGTTTGGAGATCTGAGCTTGTAACTCTGCAACCGTATGTTCATGTTCGGACAAAGAGATAACGTTACCACCTGATGCGGTTTCTGGCGTAGATTCTGAAGTGTGGACAGCAAACCCACATATGTTGCCTTTGAATGGAGAGTCATCTGCTGTTTCAGAGGTTATCTTTTCGCTGAAATCCCCGTATTCTACCTGCGAGACACCATTGTCATGACAGAGATATAACTCATCGTCGTAAAATGTGAGAGCGCGGGCCACATTGCGTATATGGATTTCTTCGTACTTTTCTTTGTTCAGCACTACGATCCGTTTCTCAAACCCAAGAGCCACAAGGTCGCCTGAGGCTGCAAACGAGAGAATAGGCTCGTGGCCATTGTAGCAAACAGAACCGTACGCAACCGACTGCTCGCTGAGAGTAAACCCGCACACTTTTGTAGTACTGTAGAAAAGGCCGTCTCTAAACTCCATATAGTCGCCTTGGTGATCCGTATTTCCAATGAGTTCAGTCCCATCCGTAAGTTTGTATGTTTCGAGAGTTTCTGCCTTTGATGCGAGATGCCAATGTGATTCCCAAGTAATATCAACAAACGACTTGTCATTGTCGAAAGTCTGTAGAGACTTGGAGTCGTTGTGCATCAATTGAATAGCCTTTGTTCCTAAGAAGGCAACACTGGACGGCCCAACAACGACTTTGATCAGTCTACCAACATCCACAATAATACTCGCACTGTCACCATTGATGGTTTCCAAGCGAAATTCTGTGCTGTTCTCCGAAGGGAAAACAATTGAGTCTTCGTTCGAAGCCAAGACTACAACCGCAGGTTTGAAAATATCAACTGGAGAGTCCATAGGTTACTAAGATGACTGCGACGGTCAAAGAGGAATAACTTAGACTAGTTTAGACGTACATATACAGGGAACTCTGGTCTGATTTTTTGTGAAAGGCCTGGCCAAACACCAGGTTAAACAAATATTTGGTATATGCCCGGTTATTCTCCTCCTGTCAGCATGCTTCCGTCAGCTCTCCAGACGCGGGTTGATGCAGTCGAGGATCCGGTTGTGAAGCAGCTAATCAAAGATATAGTCGCGTTTTACGACACCGAGACGCCTGAAGCCAATGCACAGGACATTATAAAGGACGCCGAGGTCTACCGAGGACTGGGTATGATCCTTCCCGAACGGCGTCGAGCAGATATAGCGATCAAACAGGACCGACTGGTCGTGATTGTGAAAGACAAAGTAATTGCTCAGGGCGACTGGGAAATGTATGACCTAGTTGCCTGCCTGCCCGTTCCAGATCGACCGAAACCTACGTGGAATGTCGTTATCGCCAACAGCACGGGGAAAGACCCCGCCAGCAGTATAGTGCTTACGCTCACGGACGTTGCTGCAGACAAGTTTATTGAGAATGCCAAGCCTGTTTCCATTCGTCAAGCATTGCTGGACAGCTTGAGACCGTACGTGAAGGAGGTCTACGACGAGCCGGTGCTTCACGTTACCGTACATCAGGGATCGCGGGAAGGCGTTTTATCGTTTTTGCATCGCTACATTATATTTGGCTACCGCAAGCCTCTAACTATTTTGCCATTGTCTCAAATCTCCAACCTGTCCTACACTGTTGTGACTCGATTAACCTTCAACATTGTAGTCGTCTTGACCTCTGGCGAGAAGCACGAGTTTTCAATGATTTCCCATGATTCCTATGAAGCAATCAACCAGTGGGTAACCGACAGGTACCTTGAGGACTTGTCGCTGGCTGAGGAACGTCGCGCCAAGAAGCAAAGAGCCGGCCCAAGCGAACTTGAAGCAGCCGCGGAGGAAGCCAGTCAATTGCCAGAAGCCGAGGACGACAGTGACGAAGAAGAGGCGGAGTTCAGTGAGGAGAGCGACAGCGAGAGCGGCGGGGAAGAAGAAGAAGAAAGCGACAACGCCGGTAGCGAGGCAGAAGAAAGTGATAGTTAGACCCGAGACAGCTCCAATAAATACTGTTTGGCGCAGGCCAGCACATCACCAAACGATCCTCCCTCGACGTGGAAAACCCGATCTTTACAATTCTGCCACGCTAGACTCTGGTAAAACTCGTCATTGTTGTCGCTAAGCGACGCGTGCACTAGCGCGACCGCATTCACTTCGGCTTCCTCGGGCGAATCGGTGGCTCCGCGGGCTTTGAGCACCGTTTTCAACTGCTCAACTATTTGTGCAAGCTCAGTAGCCGCCTGGCCTTCCTGTCTAACCGTGTCTGAAGACTTGGCTATGTGCTCGGGAACGTGAAACTCTTCAAAGTCAGAGTCCCACATGACAAAGGAGAAAGAGGAAAGTCATAAATATATAAATGTATGGGCTACATAGAGGCGCTCGATATATTAGGCAGGCTTTTGATCTGAGCGTACTAAGACAGGTGCTAAAGGGGTGAAACGCGGTGTTTCGTTTGAGGGCGGGGGAGCGACCATCAGCATTGGTGGAGGCAGGAAGAGCTCTAGGTCGACCACCTGCTGGGAGAACACATCGAGTAGGTCCTGCTGGGTTTCCAAAATGCGTTTACTCAATAAATCGCGGACACGCACAACTGCGTCGGGTGCTATTGTAAATGTTTTGCGAGAGTGCTCGATGAGTTCCGAGATGGTTGGCGGGGTGTTTTTGAGAGGGGAATAGATTAGGCTAAGGTGTCGCCCGTTGTAGTAAATAGTAACTCTCCGCTCAAACATGGTTGGCATTGCCCCCCACTGTCCGCGGATGGGCAAGCTGGACAGGCTCGGCAGCATCGGAGGGGGTGCTGAAGGGGTGTTCATAATAGGCATGAGCGGCTGTGGCGGTGGTGCATGGGGAGCCGCGGACGGCTGCTGCTGTGGCATGGTCATGGAGAATCCACTGGCCAGAGTGGCCGCGGCATTGAGCTGCTCCTGCTCGGGTTTGATGACTGGTGTACCTGGCTGAGAGGGCGTGGTCGCGAACGGCCCCAGGTTCGACGACCGGGCGATCCCTGCTGAGGAAGAGTCCAGAAGCGCCGATATCTTGGGGGGTGAAGAAAGCGGTTGTTGGGATTCCGACGCCAGCATCGGTGTTGCAGTAGCATTCAAAGGTTGCACCTGGGGTGCGGTATCAGAGTTGCCTGCCACGCCGTTGGTCGATGTGGGGCGGACGACCGGTGACACTTGCAGCGAGTTCGGTGTGGCGGGTTGTGGCGACAAAGATGTGTCTCCGCTGTTTTCAGGCGAGTAGGCGGGATTGTTTTCTCTGCGAAAATTTGTCCGGATTGGCGGTAAGACGGAAGGTAGCTCCAGCCGGTTTAACACCTCGATCATTTCATTGACATCGGCGCCGGCGGCCAGGACCAGCTCCGATAACACGCTTTGGAAGGCAAACGCGACCTCGGTTCCATGGAGAACAACGGCGTTTGCTAAGAGTGGCGCCAAAACTTTACGTTGGCTAACGTTAAAAAACCTTACCATGGCATCGCCAAGTTCGCCCAAAATGGCATCGTAAAGAATTGGGGCAAAATTGTCAAGGCCATTCGCGGCACAGGTTGCACCGACAGTAAGTTGAAAGAAGCCCTCGCGGATCATCGGCGTCGCGGGCGTGATCGAGCTATTTGAAACCATGAGCGGCATAATGTACGCCCGAAGCTCTTGGAGGGCGGCAACAATGCCCGTGGGCTTGCCGGCGGACGCCATATCACTAGACCCGGGCGACCCAGGAGATCCCTCAACGGACTCTTCGCCAGCGCCAGCACCTTTTACGAGCAATGGCTTGCCGTCCTTGTTGGTGCCGCGAGTGAATCTGCGTTGGTTGCGTCTGACCGATTGAATTCCGGCACGAACCAATTTTTCGAAATCCGGTAATACACTCTCCGGGTTATATCCATACTCACTGCAAAGCTTTCTTGCCACAAAGTGGACTGGTTCCTCCTGCTCGGACGCCTTTCGTGAACTGAGGCTGAGCGAGTGGATCAGCTCGAGCCGACGTGCGCAGAACCTCTTCCATAGCATATCATCTCTGAATCCCAGTTTTGCTCTTAGCAACTGGGTCGTTTCTGGTCTTCCCCGTCCTTGGGTCATATATCCAAGCTTTGGGACGATGGTTCTGTGTTGAAAGGGGTGGTTGATTCAAGAGGGTTTCCCAAATATAATGGGGTGTGTATAGAGTCATCTCCCAATCATTCAGACTTTTAAGTGTATCTGCAATGTTCGGTGGTAAGCATGCATGGCCCCGCCGACGAGAATGATTCGCGGAGCCACTGGGGAGGGTCTGCTGTGCAGGAGTCGGGAAAAATATTTAAAAGCAAAAAGCGATCTATTCATCGCGATGCGCTGTAAACTAGCAGTAGATTGTTCGGAGGACTGGACAGACCCCTTTCAAGGTTTAAGCCAAAACACGAAGGGGCACACTTCGGCTCGGCTCAACAGCTTCCACCTCTGAACGCCAAGAAGTCGGGACCTGCCCTATCTGCAAGAACGCATCCCCCAAATTATAATTCCTGAGATTCTGGGAGACCGGAGATGACTTTTTATGGAATGCATAACGTCTGCTGTTCTAATTTATCGTGAAAGCTATGTTGTTTAACTCGCTCGGATGCGCGGCTTGATGTTCTTGTAGTTGCGGTTCCTGCAGCCGACAGTGACCCACATGTAAGGAGTGTAAATTTGGGACAAAAAGGTCTTTTCGGGGGTGTTAGCACGTTTTTATTCAGGTTCTCATACGGCGAACCGACTTACCCTTGCCCCGAGATTGACCTGTGCGTCCATCTGGTGATCGATGCACCGAGCGGACACGATTTAGAGTGGGTAATTTGGGCTAGACGCTCACAGCTTGAAGCATTGTTAAAATATGCCCTATTTGTCATTCTAGGTGCCAGTTTAAGGAGCTACATTACAGCAGGTCGCCCAAATCTGCGGGATTTTTGTAAATACCTCTCCATACGACCAAGCTGCATGTGCGCTAGCCAAGAAAGCTTCCGCCCGTTCGCGGAGTTCGCCCAACTCTATCGTCAGCGGGTCCACATGGCATGTGAGTGGTGTGAGCAACCTGGGCCAGCTCGGACCCACTGTTCGGCAACCGCTCCTTTGCTCTGGCACAGGGCTGGCACGTCAAGCAAAATGTAGCAGCTGGCTGAAGGCGCAACTGGCCTGCAGTGTTATGCATAGACACAAGCGGGAGCGAATTGGCGCACAAAACATTCGTTTTCTACAGTTTGCAGAAAAAAAAAAGTACTCACCTGTTGCAGCGGCCAAATCAAACAATCGATACACGTCTTAGTCGGCTCCAACCTAACCCACGCGCCCACGGGACTATGACATCATACGTACCCCAGGATGACTGCTTACCAGAGGACTAAAACTTGCATCGGATCTGAGACACGCGCCTAAGCTCATTCTCAAGAACTTTTCAAAGAGATCATTGCGTCTCCCAAACACGTACCACTAGGCCGCCATCCATGCGCAATTGATTTGTTAGTATGGATTTGGATAGTGTTTCCCCCCTTGATAGGCTGGCCCGGTCAAGAATGTCGACGGTCTCCGTGATGGGTGACTCGTCTATTCTTGCGGAAATGCCGCCTCCGTTCGAGTTGGTTCGCCGGAAAACGCCTGACCAGGTGCGCAACCCAGCTCCGGCCTCTGAGCAAGCTGGTCAGAGACATCCCTTCGCCAATTCGCTCCTGTCACCTTCCCCGTCCCGTTCTACGACGCTCACAAGCGAGCACTTTGATGTGCCTAATCACATCAACGACAGCACCCACACATTAGAGGCAGAAGACTTTGATTGGTCTGAAAAATCGACATCCAAGGTCAGCCTCTTGAGCTGGCTACAAACCCAGCCCCCGGACCTCCCGGTAACGCCGCAGACTAGGCATGCTGCCTCACAATCGTGGGACGTCTCTAACAGACAGTCTCTCAATAGCCCAGTTCCATCGAGGCATCACAAATCATCGTCAATGTGGGGGTGTACAGACACGATGCCTACGCCGCCCGTCGACGACGCGCTGAGTGTAGCGATATCGAGAGGCGCGTATTTTATCGAGTCCGGCGACTACGATGCCGGTGTGAACTGCTGGCGGATCGCAAAAGATGGTGGCAATATTTATGGCCAGCTACTGTACTTTCTAGCAGTCGACGCAGGATGGACGTTTGACGCAGCTCACCAGAATCTAGGCTGGTTAATGACCAAGGTTGATCCTAATATATTGCGAAACATCCTCGCAACAGACTGTCCACACATTGCAGATGCCTTGTACCGGTACAGCACCCGACATCCCTCTGATACCACGCTGGCGCTGAATCTGGCTGCGGCCATTAATCGAGCGGGGCGCCCTTACCTACGATGAACTTTATTTATCGATTTGTGCTTTTAATATTTATAAAATTAGGGCTCGCTGGTTTACTGCTTTCCAGACCCTCCGCAGCATCCACCGCTGCCGCCCTGAGACAGCGGAGTTTTCTGGAACCGGTCGTCATTGTCTCCGAGCTCAGTCTCGTTGTGGATATTAAGCTTGTACTTTTCATCTTCCTCGCTGGCTTTAACGCCCTGTACAACATTGGAACGAAGAATATGAGCCACATCCTTGGCAAGCTGGATCCGTCGCTTCAAATCAGCCTCATTTTCTGACGGAACCTTGTACTCGCTTTTGATGCGGTCACAAGCCGCTTTCAAGGCAACAGCATCGTTGCGGAACGCCAGGTTCGCCGCCCGAATCAGCCCGCGATATGCTTGGATCGACTTGGACATATGAGTAATCGCCCTATTGGCTCGCGAAATAATTAAAAATACCGAATATAAACTATAGCACGGCCGTCTAGACCCATTCCAAGTTGCCTTCGGAGGTGAGTCTCAGGGCTTTGAGCAGATCCTTTTTGTCGAGATTGTGTTCTTTCCGCAGCGACTTTAGCACTTTGTCCAGAGTTTGGGCCTTTTTGATCATGACCGCTCCCTTGGGCTTGGATTTGTTTACCTTTGCCGTTTTCGTTTCAACCTTCGGCTCGACCTTCACTGCTTTCTCCTTGGGCTCGACTGTTGCCGCTTTCTCCTTGGGCTTGTACAGTTTGCCCTGGTACTTTTGGTCCTCGGTGATGCACTGAGTGTGCTTCTGAAACTCCGTGCCCTCAAATGTGGTGTTGCAATCAATGCAGGTAAAATACGCCTGCGGGCACCTGTTGAAATGGCCCATCAGCTTCTTTTTGATCACCGTGTCATTGCACACCTCGCACGAAAAACTGACCATTTCCCGCGGTTTATGGTATTTTGCACAAAAAATTTAACCTACGATCCGCTGAGGTAATTTTTCACGCTGACATCATGGCGCCCGTGGAGCGCAATCGAAACATCAAGTCTGCTGGCAATAAAGGTCACAGACTCGGGCGCACGCCATATGAGAGGACGGAACCACGCTTGCATGGTGTGTCGAACGATGTAGGAGCGGCGAATGGTGTCGCCAAAGCCGCTGCCCAGGCAGGAGACGCAGCCCAGCCTGCTTCGAGACTGTCGACACTAAGCCGGTCTGTAGTACGTGCGTTCGGTTCTTTGTGGGGTGCAGACAAATCCGAGAAAACAGAACCGACCACCAACCTCGAACTACCCGCCAATCCGCTGCTGCTTCGGCAGGTCGGCACAAGACCCGTTGATACACTGTCAACTGCAGCTACCGTTGGTTCTTCGCGACTTGATTCCGAAAATGAGGCGGTTTCCGGTGATTCATCGCAGGACGAAGCGACCAGTCGCTCGCTTGTGTTTGGAAACAACACAACGGTGCCCCAATTCGATCTAAGTTTGTTACAAAACCAACAAAGTCTCAACGTGCCTGCAAACATGATTATCGCTGCATATAGAGATGCTTTGCTTGCAAATGACAATAGCACGCTCAAACGCAGAAGGTCGACTCCTTTAGAAACCCCGGAACCACCCAAAACTCCCACCGTTCCCAGCGTTGCTGCTGCTCAGAAATCTACAGATACTTCGTCTGGGCGAATTCCTGTTGTTGAGCGGGCTCCTGCTGTTCTGGCAAACATTGAGCCGCCTAAGAAGACACCCAAGGTTGATATTACTGCAGACGTGACCACTAAATTCCCCGCAACACAAAGTCGAATTGAGCTGGTCACGCGACCCATGGTGGATCTAACAAAACTTCCCGAGGACCGAATGAAACGCCCCGGTTTCATTTCCGTCAATTTTGATTTCAGTGATAGTGACGAGGATGATCCTGAAGATGAACAAGTTCCTCGCCGCCCACTTATTGAGAGTGCCGAAGTTGTCGAAGCTCGTAATCAGGCCAAGAAGACAGAATCTATCCCTGCTGAGAAACCTGTTTTCTCTTTTGAATCTACCAAGCAGTCAAAATCCTCTGAGCAACCTAAACCCGCGACAGAGTCAACAAAGCCCTTCGCGTTTGGCTCAAATCCCAGTACTACTACAGCTTTAGACCTCTCTTCTGAGTCTCAGAAGCAGAGTGGCTCCACTCCAGCATTCAGTTTTGGGGCTAAATCTGATGCAAAGCCCGAAAAGCCCACATTCAGTTTCGAAAAGTCCGATGAGACTGAAGCCAAGAAAGACAAGCCTGCATTTTCTTTCGCTAAACCATCCGAAGCTGGATCAGGTGAGGCCAAGCCTGTGTTCAGCTTCGGTGATTCAAAGCCTGAAAAGCCTGAGCAGAGTAATGTGAGTGAACCAGCTGAGAAGAAGGACGCGCCAGGAGCCTCCTCGTCAGGGCCGCCAGCTTTCAGCTTTGCCTCAACAACTGAAAAGCCTTCTGACAAGTCTAAAAGCAAGCATGCATTCAGCTTTGGCTCGTCAAAAGACCATGCTCCTGCCTTTAGTTTTGGTGGTGATAAGCCTGCTGATAGCACTACTTCCAGTGGGAAAGAGGATCAGAACAAGCCAGCATTTACCTTTGGCGGTGAGAAATCCCAAAATAAACCTGCTTTCGGTTTTGGTGAACCAGCCAAAGCTCAAGAAAAGCCCGCAACTTTTGGCGTTGAAAACAAGAAAGCAGACAAGCATGCTCTCAGTTTCGGTGGTGACTCTTCGAAGCAAGAAAAGCCCACGTTTAATTTCAATGACGGTGCATCACAAAAGGATACGCCTGCCTTCAGCTTCGGTGGTGACGCTTCGGCAACTCAAGCCAAGCCCGCGTTTACGTTCGGTGGTGAAGCCGCAAAGTCTGAAGACAAGCCTGCCTTTAGCTTTGGTGGTGACGCTTCGAAGCCTGCAGACAAGCCTGTTTTCGCCTTCGGTGGTGATGCACCAAAGTCGCAAGATAAACCGGCATTCAGCTTTGGTGCTACCAATGGAGACAAACCTGCCTTCAGTTTTGGTGAGACAAAGAAACCTGAGCCGACAGCAGCCAACCGCACTGAGGCTCCTGCTTTCAGTTTTGGGGCTGCCAAGCCTTCAGAGGCTTCAACAGAAAAACCTGTGTTGAGTTTCGGTGCGCCATCAACTGAGCCCAAGAAGGACGCTCCGTTCAGCTTCGGCTCTAGTGCCGCCAAACCGGCGTTTTCGTTGGGATCCAACTCGGAAGAGCCTAAACCCGCTCTAGACAAGCCGGCATTTAGCTTTGGCGCTCAGTCTGCCAGCCCGGCAGCCACACCAGCTCCCGGACAACCAGCTCCCACAAACACTTTTTCATTCGGTGCATCATCGGCTCCTGCAGCGACGGGCTCCACACCTGCTCCTTTCTCGTTTGGACAGAATAATAATAAACCGAGCAGTGGCTTCTCGTTTGGGTCGAACAGTAGTACTCCTGCTCCAGCCAGTAACAGTGGGAGCGGGTTCAGCTTTTCTGGCAGTGCCACCCAGCCAGCAGCATCTGCTGGAGGATTCTCATTTGGAGCCAATAATGATGCCAAGCCTGCCGGATCAGGCTTCTCGTTTGGAACTAACTCAAGCGGTCCCGCAAACCCTTCGTTCGGGTTTGGTGCGAACAATGCAAACAGTGCAGCAGCTCCCGCAGCCGCCAGTGGTGGGTTCAGTTTCGGAGCCAATGCTGCGCCTCCACAACAACAGGGATTCAATTTCGGTTCAGGCAGCGCGCCTGCTCCGCAGCTCGGCGCTAACAACAGCTTCGCTAATAACCCTCTCGCAGCAGGCCTCGCTCAAGCTCCTGTAAACAGGGCCAACGGCAGGCCCATTGCACCTATTCGCCGGCGCATCCTCCCTAGACGTTAGTGGTGGTCGTTTTGTACCAATATATATTTCAAACATACTATTCTACTTTGCAAGGTGCCTCTGCAAGCTTCATGTGCGAACTTCGCGTGGGTAAGGGTAGGAGAGGATGGATCGCTTTCCGCACTGGGGAAATGATCTCACCGCCGATTAGTAAAGTGTCTTAATTCCCTGACCATGGACGTCGACCTGAGTGTGCCTGATGGGGCTCCTCCGGATATCACAGCGCGATTGCTAGAGTTGCGTCAAGAGCTTGAAGAAGGAGACATCACGGCAAAAGGTTACAGGAAGCACCGCGAACAAGTAATAGCAAAGTGGCTCGCTTCCCAAGAGCACACCGACTATGCTGCCAGTGTATACAGCGGGGCCCCAAGCTCTCGCTCACGGCGTCGACAGAGTGCAGGCGAGAGCATTGGATCACACCCCATTCCAGAAATGCTGCAGAGTCTGCAGTCTCAAGGTGTCGGACCAAGTTCCTCTCGACTTCCTCTTCCTGAGATAGCAGCCATTTCCGGCCCTTTGCAGCGTCCTTTGCCTCCGCGAGGGATTCCTGAGTCGGCCAATACTGATCCACTGAATACAGGGGTCCGGCTCACCAAGTTCGATAACCTGCCGTCTATTTTGCGGCATCGTGGCCGCACCAACGCCGATGTGGCTGCATTCATGGTCCTCGATAAAAAAGGAAAAGAGCACCAGTCGATCACCTGGTCAAAGCTTGCCTCCAAGTCTGAAAAAGTTGGTCAGATGTTGAGAGATCAATCGGGGCTTTTCCGAGGCGACCGTGTCATTCTGCTGTATGCAGAGTACGAGCCTATCGAGTTCATCATCGCAATGATGGGATGCTTCCTTGCCGGCTTGGTAGCTGTTCCAGTCAGCCCTCACCAACCTGCGGAGCTGTCCAAAATTCTCAGCATGACCCAGTGCCATTTAGTCTTGACAACCGAGACTCAGCTCAAGCTGTTCCAGAAGAACCATTCTGAAAAGTTCGCTCAACTCAAGGACGTGCAGTTCTGGAAAACAACCGACTGGGGTAGCTACGCCCCGCCTAAGCGTGGAGCGGATCTGCCAGCTCTTCAGGTTCCTGACTTGGCATATATCGACTACGCTTATTCCCCTACTGGTGATCTCAGGGGTGTGGTTATGTCCCACCGCACTCTACTGCACCAAATGCAAGGACTTATGGCCATTCTGCGATCGCGTGATGTGTACACTGGTAAGGTTCGTCGGGGTACGGATAGGCTTTTGTGTAGTCTTGATATCCGACGATCAACTGGTTTGATAATGGGTGTTCTGCTGACCGTTTACTCGGGAAACTGCGCGTACATTCTGACCAAAACAGCTATGGCTGTTCCGGGTCTATATGCTCATGTAGCAACCAGAAACAGAGTCTCGATGTTGCTCTCGGACTATCCAGCTCTCAAGCAGGTATGTTATAACTACCAGAGCGCTCCGCAAGCTACTCGGAATTTCAGCAAGAAGCAAAAAATTGACCTTAGCACTTTACGTTGGTGTTTGATTGATGCGGCCACAGTTGATGCTGAGTTCCAAATGGTCTTGGCTGATAGATGGCTCAAACCACTGGGAAATGCTGCCGCTCGCGATATCGTTGCACCCATGCTCACCTTAACTGAGCACGGTGGTATGGTTATTGCCATGCGCGACTTTTTAGCTGTCCCGGATGGCGGTGATGCGCTGGATGCGGGTGAACTTTATCTGGATCGTGAGGCATTAAAGCGCAATAAAGTTCAGATAAAGTTGGGTGGAGGCGGTCCCACAAACACATCAGATACCCTTGCGATCGTTCCTTTTGGATTCCCTCTTCCCGATGCTACTGTGGCTGTAGTCGATCCAGAAACTGGCATTTTGGCCGGCGAAATGACTGTCGGTGAGCTTTGGATCGATTCACCTAGCTTGTCAGGTGGTTTCTGGGGTCTAGCTGAAGATACAGAGAGTACGTTCCATGCTCGCTGTTTCGATGAAAAAGGTGCTCTTCCTTTGGAATTTTTGCGCACTGGCTTGTTGGGATTTATTGAGGACGGCTTGGTGTATGTGATAGGTCTAACTGAAGACCGCTTGGTCTACATTCCATCACCGACATCCCCGGTGTCATCCTCTGGTGCAAACAACTCTACACCATCCCCCATCGAATCTTCTCCTAGCTATTCCAAAAGTGACTATGTTTATGAGTACTCTCCGCACCTCTCCAGCACGATCATGCACAGTGTTCAGGGCCGTATCTACGATTGCTGTGTTTTCCAAATGCCGCTGGCCGGTAGATTATTGTCTATTCTTGTGCTCGAAACTCCTGACGCTGTGCCACCACCTGCTGTCACAGCCATGACTGCACCGCTTGCGCATGCCGCCGCCACCAAACAGGAGACAACTCGTGAGCAAACTCTAGACCTCATGTGCCAACGTGGCATTGCAGTCCTTGAGCAAGTTCATCAGTTCCCTATATACTGTGCTATTGCTACCTGGCCTAATGCTACACCCCGTGTTCTTAGAGCTGGTCGTCCCGATATTGCCAAAATTCTTGCCTCCCATCAGGTTTTGCATGGTAGATTTTCGGCTGCATATGTCCGCTTCAATGCTAAAAGTATCGCTGATTCCCTACCTCGCGGCCAGGATCCAGTGGGTGGTATTTGGTCTCCAGCAATCTCCCATATCCGCAATGAGACGCTAGGTGAAGCCGACAAACAATACTCTGGAGTAGACATGCGCACAAAAGTCTTGGATGACCGTACGCAGCATGATTTGACAAGTTTCGAGTCTCTTGTGCACTTGTTTCAATGGCGGGTCGCTCGTCAGCCCGATGAGTTAGCTTATCAGACCCTATCGTCATCGACAAAGTCAGGTGCTGAAACCTCTTGGAGAAAGCTTGACCAACGTGTTGCTGCTACTGTTCAATACCTTCGCGATCATCTCCGTGCGCAGGCGGGTGACATTGCGGTGCTGATGTACACTCACAGCGAAGACTTTGTAGTGGCCGTATTGGCATGCTTCTTTATGGGTATTAGCGTGCTTCCTTTGTCACCGCTGAATACGGACCGTCTTGATGAGGATTTACAATCGCTCTACCGACTGATTAAACGGTTTAGAGTGACCTTGTTGCTGGGCAATCACGAAACTTGGCAACTCATGGATGATAAGCAAGTCACCCATTATCTCAAGCATAGGCGACTTGTGGTTCCCAAGATTCACAATACAGCAAAGGTCAAGGTGCTGGCCACCCATACCTGTAAGAGCTATAAAATGCCCCCTCGAGCATTGAAGACGGATTTTGCTGCGTTAGTGTGGTTATACTGGTCACCTGACCATGAACTGACTGCATCTCACATCAGTCACCAAGCTCTCCTTGGGATGTGTAAAATACAAAAGGAGACGTGTCAAATGACGTCTCGTAAACCGGTTATTGGTTGTGTTCGCTCGGTCTCGGGCCTTGGATTTTTGTACACGGTCTGTTTGGGTATCTACGTGGGCATGTCAACTCTATTGGTGTCCCCGGTTGACTATGCAAACAACCCATCATCCTACTTTTTGACAGCCAGCCGGTACAAGGTAAAGGATGGGTACGCTACGGTGCAGATGCTTGAGCATGCATGCCGTGCCTCGAAACCTCGGAATTACACTCTCTCGGAGTTGACCAACCTTATAGTGCCGATGAATGGTCGTACGAATACTAGCATTGTTAATGACATGCGACTAGCATTTGCTGCGGTTGAACTCGAGACAATCTCCGTTAATCTTGCCTATGGCACTGATACCAACCCTATGATCACCACTCGAAGCTATATGCTGGTTGATGGCATAGAAATCTGGCTTGATCCAGTTGCTCTGCGTCAGGGATATGTTTCTGTGGTGAATCCCATGAACTGCAGCGATGCATTATACCTTTTAGACAGCGGAATGGTTCCCATTAATACCCAAATTGCTATTGTGAATCCAGAGACCCGCTGCCTGTGCCGCACGGGCGAGTTTGGTGAGATCTGGGTGGTTAGTGACGCTAACCAAACGGCTTATTACAAACGCGATGGCACCACTAATGACCAAATTATGAGTGCCGTGATCGCTGATGGCGACCCAGAGGTAAAATATATGCGCACCGGTGATTTCGGGTTCTTGCACACTGTTGTCAGGGGCCTTGACGTGGAGATGCAGGTTTTGTTTGTCCTCGGGGCCATTGCAGACACTATCGAGGTCAATGGGCTGCAGCACTTTGTGTACGACGTCGAGGCCGATATTGAAAAGCACGACCAGGTGGACTCTGCTGTCTTGTTCACTGCGAACAACATGAACGTCGTGGTGGCAGAGACTTCGAGCGACAAGCGGTACCTGCCTAGTCTTGGAACTTGGATCGCAAACTCGATTCTGGAAGAGCACGAATTCTTGCCTGATGTTGTCGCATTCATTGGCAAGGGCCAGATGCCCAAATCACGCTTGAAGGAAAAACAGCGCAAAACTCTTATCACAAAGTACGTGGAGAACAAGCTCACAATTGCCGGCCAATATGGTGTTAATATGAGATAAATATATGTACATGTCTTAAAATTTGTTGTCACTTTCGCCGGGTAATCTTTTAACCCGCTTCTGCTCCCAGTTGTCGATGTCGAGCTGCTGCAGCCGATAGAACTCATCCTTGATATCGATTTTGCGTCTTCGGTTGCTCATAGCAAGCATTTTCTCTTCCTCTAGTTCTGAAGACCGACGATCATGCTGCTCGTATCGAACAGAATTGAACTGGGTGAGCAGGTGGGTGCCCATCAGCATGATGGCAAAAAATGGCAAGCCCACCCACACAAACGAATTCTTCTGTACACGCTGGAGGTATTTTCCCCAAACAGAATTGTTTATACGGGCCTGCTCCTTCGAGCCAACAAACTTCTTGCGGGCGAACGTCATGTTCGATCAAGCTGACAAACTCGTAAATTGAAGCCGCCAAACAGTTTCTTTTAACCATGGCGACGATTAGTTCGAATGACGCGATTGAGATCGTGATAGGATCTCACAGCTTCCATCCAACCTTCACCTATCCCATTTATGGCGAAAATGAGCTTATTTATGGTTACGATGACCTGAACATCCGTATAGAATACGATCCAGTATCTCTGCTTCCGTTGGTGGAAATGACATACTCTGGCAAGCCTGCTGCTGATTGCGACGACCCCTTGAAGACATTGCTTGGATTCATGCCTAAAAACACGTACACTGATCGTGAAAAGTGGGAGGCGGCGCGAAAGCACGAGTTCAGCGAACCCCCTGGGACAACTGTGTTTGAAATCAACAGCAAGTTTCTGGTGCGGAAAGGCAAGGTGGACGAGATGGTCGGGTTTCTGGAGCGGTTCCGGACGTTTGTCTTATTCTTTATCGAGGCAGGATCATTCATTGATCAGGATGACTACCGATGGGATATCTACGTGTTGATTGAGGCCAAATCAAAGGCGTTTGCGGGGTTTGTTACTGTGTATCCTTACTTTTACTACTCGACTGCGGAGGAATTCGAAAAGTCCCGGGAAATGCTGGTCAAGAAACGAATCTCACAGTTTGTAGTGCTCCCGCCCTACCAGCACCGGGGTGTCGGCGTCCAACTGTACACTGGACTGATTAAAGAGTTTCAGACTGACGATCGGGTCAAGCAAATCACTGTGGAAGATCCCAATGAAGCCTTTGATGTGCTAAGAGACCGAGCGGACTTGAGCATTTTTGCTCAGGACCCCGACTGGGCCACGCTATCGCTTCCGCTGGACAGTGATCTTGTTGCCAAAATCACCAAGAAAAGTAAACTGATCGCTCGCCAAGTTCGACGCTGCTTGGAAATTGCCATGCTCGAAAAGTACGATAACGAGCCCATGCAGTACCGTAAGCTTGTCAAAGAGCGGTTATTCGAACACAACTACGAGGGGCTCAAAGATCTTGACGAAGGCACTCAAGCAATCATGCTTCGAGACGTCTACAGCAAGGTGGTGGAAGACTATCGGAAGTACCTCAACGACACAGTCGAACCGGCCCCCAAACGCCAAAAAGCTGCATAAAAAACAACAAAGCTACAAAGGCAGGGGAGAATAAAGTGTTTTAATCAAAGAGTGCACTTTGCAGTATTAAATAATAACTACACTACATGATTCCGTCATAGGGAAACAAACAAAAACAAGTCAATGGCACAATTAAGCGCCAGCAAATCGCGAAAGGCTAAGAAAAGAGAATGAGGTTTTATTTTTCCATTGTATAAAAATTTCGTTTCTCTGCGCTTAAGCGTGCTGGGGCTCGTCCTCCTTGGCATGAGTATCGTGTTCCTTGGTAGCATCCCAGTCCTCACCGTTCTCGTCAACGTAGCCGGCATCAGTGCGGCGGATAGACAAAGTGGGCTTGACGGTGGCCTGGTCAATGGTCCAGTCACGAAGGGCGCTCTCGCAGTCCATGATGATCTGCTTGGAGGCATCGTAGCCGTCGTAGGCGGGGCGGATCTCACCAGGAGTAACGGGGGTGTCGTCGAGGAGCTCGAGAAGGGCCTTGCTGTAACCAGCAATCAAAGCCTGCTTCTCGCAGTGCTCACGAATAGAGTCAAACAAGTAGTTGTAGGCAGCCTTGAACTTCTCGCGGGTGATGTTGGAGAGCTGAGCCTCAGCAACGAGAGACTCGGCCTCAGCACGGACAAGCTCCTGCTCCAAAACAACAATCTTGGGGGAATTGGGCTCCTTATACTTGAGGTGAGCAATCTGATCGGTGATCTTCTGCTTGCGGTCACGAGAGGGCTGAACGGAGGCCTCAATGTTACGGATAGACTTGAGGGTGACACGGTACTGGTCGTACTTGTCAATGGACTGATCCTCGAGCTCGCCCATCTCGTACAGAAGAACACCAAGCTTATCAGTGACGTCCGAGACATCATCGTCATCGGACTCCTCACCCCAGTAGGAGAGTTGCTTAGCAACCTCCTTGCGCTCGTTGGCAACGAGCTCCATGGAGCGCATAACGTTCTTCTCCATCTTGACAAGGACGGCAAGACGGCGAGCAAGCTCGGGGCCAAAAGAGCCGGCGGTGGAGCGACGAATGGAGTGGGTCAAAGAGCCACGGCCAAAGAAACGACCAGCCTTGGTGGAGGAGACGGGAGGGGGAGGGTTCTGCAAATCCTGAGCAGAAGGAGCACGGGTAGCGCGGAGTGAATACGTACGGTGCATTGTGTATACTTTTTAGAGTTGCAGTTTGTGAACACGGCGACCTGTGTTAGGGGTTAGCTAGGAGTATTTATACATCGCCTTACCATATGCATACTGTATTGCTATGCATGGTCGTCCTCCCATTTGGGTAGTAAGTTGCAAGCTTAGGTAAGGAATACTGCGGTTGCCGGCGCAGTATTTCAGCCAACACCCGCGTACATTGAGCAGTAGTTGATCCCTTGGCGGAAGTATGCGTGTATTGTAGGTAGTGCACTTTGCAATGACTTTGCATGTGTGTAAAAGAACCCCCAACATATCGGGGCGACGATAGGTCTCTCCAATATAGGTCTCGCGCAATCTTCTGCACCCACCCTGCAGGGGGCCGCCCAGGCCGGGTAACTGAATGCTAATAACCTGCCACCTGTGCTGCTCCACTAAAATACGCGTGCACGGCAGGAAGGTGGGGTCATTCGAGTGCTCGACTGCAAGGCGTTCCATCTCAGGAACTCGAACTTTAGTTCCTATAAGCAAAATAGACGTAGAACTGAATTCAAATGCCCATCGCCTGAACCCGCAGTCGACCCTTCCGCCGTATCCGGTCAGCCTGCATCTGACAAGGACATTAATTGTCCATCGATCTGGACGCGCAACCTCACCTAATCTGTGACACTGTTAGACAACACCAAAACACAGGGCGAGCTTGTTCTTAGCCAACCTCCGTCGGTTAAATCGTCGCTGGGCCCGAGATTTTTTTTCTTGAATTTTAGTTGTTTAGTTTAGACTTTATAATATTTTGTTCATTCCCTGACCAACCCGACGCCACCTCGTCCTCGTAGCGTCTAAGAATGGCCAACTTCGGGGTGATTGCTAAGAGTCTCGTCCCAATAAGGTTGGGCACTGGGCGAACGTATATGCAGCACCACCGTTGGCAAGCACACTGGTTTTGGGTCACACGGTTCATTATTTAGCGAAAAGATCTAGCCATTCTGTAGAGATCGGTGCTTGCCTATGATATTCTGCTGCTCAAATTTCCGCTGAGTCCAACAACGGACACCAGCTGGCCGTTTATCAGGCTTGCCTGCTGACTACCGGTGGCAGCAATTGATTCGCGACCGAGCAAGCGAGAATTACTTTTCTTGGTCAATGGCGTTAATATTCTACAGAAATTCGTCGGTCATGACGAACTGCCCCGCGCTGCAGGCCAAGTGCTCGACCAGTTTTCTGCCAATAACTGTGTGGGTCCCTGACGGGAGAACTCTGTGGCCACTACGTCATACTGCAGAGTCTAGCGTGTCAACTGCAGCACACAAGTTCGAGTCCAGTCATGTGAAAGTACTCTGCATATAAAGTCTGTGTGAGATTATGGTTTGGCCTTCAGGCAATTGACGCGTAAACAACGCGACTGAAATCCGGATCTACGGTGACTTTATTTGCCGGTTCGGGGGATTGCCCAGTATTTCAGATCTGCGCAGGGTCTCATCTTTGGAGCAACGCAGCAACCTCCCTCCTACAACTTTTTTTCTTCAATCTGCAACATGAATTTTCGGGCTCACCTTAGAAAGCATGCTGTATTTACAAATTGTTTGGCCTCGGCAGGTCTATTTGCAACAGGTGACGCTATTGCTCAGTATTTAACAGACGCACAATCGTACGATCTCTCCAGAACAGTGCGGGCGGGTGTCTACGGCGGATGTGTGTTTGGACCGGTTGCTGCAGGTATTGGGTTTCCGTTGGTGAATAGCCTGGGCATGGGCAGACCATTGTTCCAGCAAGGCGTTATACGCACTGCCGTTGATCAGGGATTTTTCGCACCGCTGGTGTACATCCCATTGTATTTCACGGCGATGCCACTGCTCGAAGGGCGATCCTTCACCCATGCCCGCCAGCACTTGAAAGACCACTGGCTTCAAGTCGTCAAAACGAGCGCGGCTGTATGGGTGCCGGTTCAACTTTTGAATTTCGCACTAGTTCCACCGGCTTTCCGTTTGGTTGTCGTCAATTTGGTTGGCGTTTGCTGGAACGCTTTCCTCGCCCTACAGAACGCAAAGTGATCAAGCTGTGGGGGTGTAAGGCCGATAGCGTAGCCCACCCGGTATCGGCCCTGAGCATCCAATCAGTCCTTAGGTAAAGGGTGACCCTCCGCAGATGCAATGTAGCGATAATGGAAAATTGGGGTTTGTATAGTGTAATCAGTCATATTTCGACAATGAACAGTAGAATTGCTGCTCTGAAAGCCGGCCATGCGGTTCCCCGGAGATTCAACAGTTCTCATGAATTGAACAAGTACTCTCGGGTTCTCACGCAGCCGAAAGCTCAGGGAGCCTCTCAGGCTATGCTCCACGCTACGGGCTTCAAGGACGAGGATTTCTCCAAGGCCCAAGTGGGTGTTGCCAGTGTGTGGTGGTCGGGAAACCCTTGCAACCAGCATCTGCTCGAGCTCAACTTCAAGGTCGCTGAGGGCATTCGCAAGTCCGGCATGATGCCTATGCAGTTCAACACCATTGGTGTTTCGGATGGTATTTCCATGGGTACCAAGGGCATGCGTTACTCTCTGCAGTCTCGTGAGATCATTGCTGATTCCATCGAGACCCAGACCATGGCCGAGTGGTACGATGGCAACATTTCGATTCCTGGCTGCGACAAGAACATGCCCGGTGTGCTGATGGCTATGGGTCGTATCAACCGTCCGTCGATCATGGTCTACGGTGGTACCATCCAGGCTGGTAAAGGCACCTGTGGTTCTGTCAAAGGCAAGGTAATTGACGTTGTCAGTGCTTTCCAGTGCTACGGCGAGTTTATTTCCGGAGCTATTGACGAGGAGACTCGCCAGGATATTGTCCACCATGCTTGCCCCGGGTCTGGTGCCTGCGGTGGTATGTACACGGCCAATACCATGGCTTCTGCTGCCGAAGTCTTGGGAATGACCATGCCCGGATCGTCTTCGTTCCCGGCGATCTCCAAGGAGAAGCTCGAGGAGTGCGCTACTGTTGGCGATGTTATGAAGAACCTGCTCCGTATTGACCTCAAGCCTCGCGATATCATGACTCGGAAAGCGTTCGAGAATGCAATTGCTTATATTATTGCTACTGGTGGCTCTACCAACGCTGTTTTGCACCTTCTTGCCATTGCTCACTCGGTTGATGTCGAGCTCACCATCGACGACTTCCAGCGAATCAGCGACAAAACTCCTTTACTTGCTGATTTCAAGCCTTCTGGCAAGTATGTCATGGCAGACTTGCAAGAGTACGGTGGTACTCCCGCTGTTATCAAGTTCCTCATGTCTGAGGGTATCATTGATGGTTCCACCATGACTGTTATGGGTAAGACTCTCAAAGATACCGTCGCTGATCTGCCCGGTCTTCCCGAGAACCAGCCTATTTTCAGCCCTGTCTCTAATCCACTCAAAGCTAGTGGCCATCTCCAGATTTTGCGGGGTAACCTTGCTCCAGGTGGATCGGTCGGTAAGATCACTGGTAAGGAAGGCCTTCGTTTCGAGGGCAGTGCCAAGGTTTACGATGACGAGGACTCTTTCATCAAAGCTCTCGAGGACGGTGACATCAAGAAGGGTGAGAAGACTGTTGTTATTATTCGCTACGAGGGCCCTAAAGGTGGCCCTGGTATGCCTGAGATGCTCAAACCCTCTTCCGCCATTATGGGAGCTGGTCTTGGTAAGGACGTCGCATTGTTGACCGATGGTCGTTTCTCTGGTGGTTCTCATGGTTTCTTGATTGGCCATATTGTGCCCGAGGCCGCAGTGGGCGGGCCCATTGCCCTGGTCAAGGACGGTGATATCATCACGATCGACGCCGAAAACAACTCGATCGATGTCAAGCTGTCTGATGCCGAGCTCGAGGAACGTCGCAAATCATGGGTCGCTCCCTCTCCCCGTTACACCCGAGGCACCCTGGCTCGCTACTCAGCTTTGGTATCTGACGCAAGCACTGGTTGCGTCACCGATAACTTTTAAATTTCAAAATTGAACGCACAGTGGCTCTGAAGAGTCCAAAACTGGTTCGTGCGGTTTTATAGTTTAAATCCAAAAATCGAAAAAAGTAAAGAAAAAAAAGTTAAAATCAAAGAGCCCCTACAAATGGCTGGATCACCCTGCGAATCCCCTTCAAGCTTTGTCATGGCTCATTTAGCCTACGCGGTTATTGGTGCCGCCTATCTTTGGCCATGGAACGTGATGTTGGCGGCTGGTCCGCTTGTTTTTAAACAATTGGAAGGGTATCCTGGACTCCAAGCAAATTACAGCTCCAGTGTGATGACGGCAAACACGGTTGTCAACATAGTCGTAACTATCTATTTGGCGTCCCGACCAACCAATTTTGCTAATCGCGTTACTTATGGTCTGCTTGTAACTGGCGCAGTGTTTTTAGTGCTGGCGTTAAGTTGTATAATTGAGCTACCGCCCCCCGTACGCTTTACCTTGATTCTTGGTTTTGTAGCTGCAAACACAATCGGTGTGTCGGTGGTGCAGAATGGAATTTTGGCGATCGCTCAGCGCATTACGGGAGGTGCGCACATGCGATCACTGCTAATCGGTCAGTCTGTTGCTGGTGTGGTTCCTCCAATACTTTCTTTGGCGGTTGGATCAACGACTATTTCACCCGCCTTCATCGGTCTCTTGTTTTTATCGGCTACTGCACTGGCGCTGCTTGCGATCCGCCTACTCAGGCATGACAATATGATTGAGCACATTGAACTATCTCAGGGCGAAGGTCAAAAGCTGCCGCCATGGGATGTATTGAAACGCATGAACAACGATATGTACTATCCTGCTCTGGCAATTATCTTGGGCTTTGGGATCACTCTATCGTATCCGGTGTTCGCAAATAATGTGAGCTCCTCAAACACACCACTGAGGATCTTTGCACCCTTAACCCATCTCGTCTGGAACGTCGGTGATCTGCTGGGTAGGGTTATGTGTCAGTACAGACCCAATCTGACAATCAAATCCGAGAAACTGCTATTGCCATACGCCTGGTCGCGCGGCATCTTCGTGATACTGCTAATTTTTTTGGCAAGAGCCGGGAACCCTGTAGATTTAGTCTACGAGCTCCTGCAGTTCCTTTTCGGCATCACTAACGGTCACTTGATCACCTCCGCAGTTTCGGTCGCCCGGGACTGTGTGGAGGAGACCTTGCATAGCGCTGCAGGAGGTTTGATAGGGTTTTACATTGCAGTTGGTCTACTGTTGGGCTCACTGGGTAGTTTCGTAACCATAAGCCTGCTATAGCCGTCTGCCCGCTCGATTCGTCCGAGCACGGCAAAGTTGAGCAAGTTGTATACACTAAATATTGATTAATATTTAGCTGTTTTTTTTTTTTTCACTTAGATTGCATCTCGGTACCTGATTTGAAACCGGCCGAGTCTTGGGTCGGGTTCCTTATCGCTGAACCGACGGCGGCTTTGATAAGGGTAGGGGGAACCCTGCAACCTTCGCAGAAACAGGCAGCTGGTTGCAACAATGGGATGGGCTACTTAAACCGTAGATCGACAGAGAACGACCCCAGCCATACACCTTTGTCTAGTATGTATGAGTATAACTCCAGTAAGGATGATGAGCTGTTGATGAATCTGGGCTACAACCCCGAGCTCAAGCGGAACTTCTCACCGCTGCAGGTGTTCGGTATCGCCTTCTCTATCATGTCATTAGTGCCTTCCATTGCCTCAGTGTTTGTCGACAGTATCTCTGCGGGTGGTGCTGGCATGACTTGGGGGTGGCTAGTTCCGTCCCTCTTTATCATGTCAGTCGGAGTGTCACTTTCTGAGTTCGGATCCTCCATGCCTACATCGGGCGGTCTCTACTGGTGGTCATTCAAATTCGCACCCAAGAAACTTGCAAAGCCTGCATGTTGGTTGAGTGGTTACGCCAACACTCTTGGTTTAGTTGGTGGCATTGTTAGTATTGACAGTGGCTTTGCTGGCATGATTTTGTCTGTGCCTGCCATGGCATCGGATGGTAACTTTGTACCTACAAAGTACATGAACTATGGCGTATTCGCAGCATGTGTCATTGCTCAGCTTGCAATTGCTTCAACATCAAATCGTTTCTTGTCCCGGTTACAAACAGTGTGTATCGTGCTGAACATGATTCTCATCTTCCTTATTTGCATCGCCTTGCCTGTTGGTATCAAGAGCCACGGCAAAGACCTTAACTCGGCTAGCTTTGTTTTTGGAGATACCACGAATCAGTACGGCTGGAGCTATGGGTGGGCGTTCCTGCTTTCATGGATGGCTCCTATCTGGACCATCGGTGCGTTCGACTCTTGTATCCACATGAGTGAAGAGGCTTCCAACGCTGCAACTGCTGTTCCACTCGGAATCTGCATGTCTATCGGTATGTGCGCCGTTTTGGGATGGGTCATTCAGGCCATTCTCGCTGCTTGTCTGCTTGACGTTGAGGGTGTTGTGAACACCTCGACTGGTCAGCCTATGGCCCAGCTCATCATGGATAGTCTGGACAAACGTTGGGCTATCGCCATTATGTGTGTTATGTTTGTCGTTCAGTTCTTGATGGGCCTTTCTATTTTGGTTGCTGCTTCGCGTCAAACTTGGGCTTTCTCCCGCGATGGTGCCCTTCCTTTCTCTGGCTGGGTCCGCAAGATCAATCTCAAGCATGGTGTCCCCATCAATGCCTTGATTTTTGACACCATTTTGTCGCTTGCAATTGGTTGCTTGACCCTTATCGATCCGACTGCTGCGTTGGCTGTGTTCTCACTTGCCGTATCTTCTAACGGATTGGCTTGGATGATGCCTATTCTAATGCGGGTGATCAATTTCGATGCGGCCTCTTTCGTACCAGGACCTTTCTATCTTGGCCATCGCATTTCAAGAATCAACAATGTGATCTCTTGTGTCTATCTAACCTTCGTTGTTTTCGTTCTTTCCCAAATGCCCACTACCAAAAACCCCACAGCCCAGGAAATGAACTATACCTGCATCATTAATCCGACCATCTGGATTGGTGCCATGCTCTACTACTTCATCAGTGCACATAAATGGTTCACGGGACCTAAGCTGACTATTGGTACTGTCGAGGGTGTCGATCCAGTTGTCTCAGAGAAGCTGGCTGGTTCAAAAGTCACCATGGATAAATCCGGCGTACGGAATGAAAAAGAGCCAATTGTCGAGGAAGAATCTGGATCTTCGCTGGAGTCTGAGATCTAAATAATTTAATAATATATGTCCCTAAAACAGTGATGCTTAACTACTTACCCCAATAGTCACAACTGTGATACTTGATTATCTGACCTAATGTCAACTCCTCCTGGGGCATCTGCAAACCCGGAGAGATTGGCGTCTGTTGACAACGAATTAAACCCATTGGATCCTCCTGTACTCTTACAAAAGTTCACACTCTACGAAACACGCAATTTGTTTTACATTGTCGGCTCCAATACTCGCGAGACGTTGTTCAGAGTGTTGAGGATTTCGTTGGCCGACAATCCGCTTGATATAACAGTTGATGAGACACATCCGGTGCTAACGCGAAATGAAATGATGTCAATTCTTGAAGATCTTGAGAAAGAGGCGTTGGCAGCAGGGGATGTACTCAGTAAACGGATCACCGCTTGGGGAATCGTGGGTATGGTGCGCTTCACTTCGTGTTACTATCTATGTTTAGTGACAAAATGCTCGCCTGTTGCGTTACTTGGTGGCCATTTCATATCTCACGTTGATGAATCAAAGCTAGTTCCTGTCGTGCACTCCTCGCTTTATCGCCCGCCGGGGCGACGAACAACGGAGGCTCGTCTGGCAGGGATTTTCCACTCCATGGACTTGTCCAAGAACTTTTATTTCAGTGGAAGCTATGATTTAACAAACACGCTGCAAAGTAACCTGATTAGAGAAAAGCAGCAGCGTCCAATTGGCCGACAAGAGATTTTTGTTTGGAATCATTTTCTACTAAAGCCCCTGCTGGAACGATTCGAGGGAACAATGGAATGGTGTTTATCCTTAATTTATGGGTTCATTGATCAATCAAAGATTGCAGTGTTTGGAAACCCTGTTTATGTTACTTTAATTGCTCGCCGCTCACACTATTTTGCTGGTGCAAGATTCTACAAAAGAGGTACAACTAAGGAAGGCCATGTTGCCAACGAGGTCGAAACAGAGCAGATTGTGAGCAATCAATTGATCTCGTCATTTCATGACCCACGTGCGGGAAGATTTAGCTCCCCCAGATATACCTCTTATGTTCAGCACCGCGGTTCTATTCCTTTGAGCTGGTCTCAGGGAACAAGCAATATTAGTATGAAACCGCCCATCAAAATTGATGCTGTCGATCCATTCTACAGTGCAGCAGCGCGACACTTTGATAGTTTGTTCGGCCGATACGGGGCTCCTGTCCGGGTCCTGAATTTGGTCAAGAAAAAAGAGAAGCATCCACGAGAGTCTGTTCTAGGTACAGCATTTGCTGATTGTATCACTTACTTGAATCAATTCCTTCCGGGAGAAAGTAAGATCAAGTACACAGCTTGGGATATGAGCCGGGTTGCTAAGGGACGCGCTAGTGAGGTTATTGACTTTCTCGAAAAATATGCTATGGCTACCTTGGAAGATACTGACATTTTTCACAACGGAACGACGCTTCAGACTACGAGAATACAACATGGAGTGTGCCGTACAAATTGTATTGACTGCCTCGATCGAACCAATGCTGCTCAATCTGTACTTGGAAAGTGCGCTTTTGGGAAGCAACTGGAAGCGATAGGTATTATCGATAACCCAAATATTGACTATGATACTGATGCTGTTGATATCCTTACAGAAATGTACCATGATCAGGGTGACACACTTGCTCTTCAATATGGAGGCTCGAATCTTGTAAACACTGTTGAAACTTACCGTAAAATCAACCAGTGGAAATCACATTCTCGAGATCTCATTGAGTCAGTGCGTCGATTCTATAGCAACTCTTTTATGGATGCGAATCGTCAGGACGCAATCAATGTCTTTTTGGGTAACTACGAATACGCTCGTGAAGGCGTAGAGCTATGGGGCTTGAGTACTGATTACTACCTTCACCACAACATGCAACCTCACGAAATCAAAATTAGCTATATATCTTGGTACACGCCTTTGTTTTTGGTACCAATGAGAGAACGACTAGCGTCCGGAGCACCTTCCCTAGCAGCTCCCCAAGAAAACGTTCAATTACCAGGGTTCTTACTTCAATTGGAAAACTATTGGAACAGATTGTATCAACCCAAAGTATTAACGTCCTTGACGATGCTGTTTGCTCGAAGAATGAACTCAACCGAGCGATATCTGTCGGACCAGTCTACACCGTCCAGTCCGTTTGTCGTTCACGAACCGACCCGAAAGAAAAAGCCGGTTGGGGCACCCGAGCAGGTTGTCAAAAGTGCAAAGCTATTGGAGGAAAAACAAGTGGATGAGGACGACGAACTCTACACAGTTTACGCGGCCTTTTGTGATCCTACTGAGCCGGCCTCAGATACAGACTATTCTATTTATTTTTCGGATGATTATGTTGTCCATGAAAAACAATACGAACCTTTGGATTTCGAATGGGAGGAGCCCGGAATCGAGTGGCCAGTCCAAGAATACACCCACACCCTCCCGCCCATCTTTTGCCCTTAATAATCTCACACAATGTTGGCCTGGCTGTTGGTAGGGGTTATTGCAACCTATATTGTATTGTCGCTGTTCCTGCTTTTTGTTTCTGCTTCAGAAAAAAAGGGATATGAGCTTGATCGTCAAAAGCACGCGGCTGTGGTTGTCGTGGGCGATCTAGGCCACTCGCCTCGCATGAACTTCCACGCTTTGAGCATTGCTAAAGAGGGCTGGAAAGTGACCCTTATCGGAACAATCGAGTCAAATCTTATGCCTGAGATTGTTGAAAATGAGGGTATCGAGGTTGTTGAGCTGCCCAAAATAAAACGAAGCGGGCCATTTGTCCTTTACGCCTTGAAACGGATTGTTTTCCAACATTACCACTTATGGAAGGCACTTCGTGACTGTGGCAAACTTGACGTTGTTTTAGTCCAGAACCCGCCGTCAATTCCTACACTTGGATCCAGCCGCTTCTTTGTTTTGTTCACTTGTCCCAGTGCGCGTTTGGTTATTGATTGGCACAACTTTGGCCATAGCATTCTTGCCTTGACTGTGAAACAAAAGTGGGCAGTCAAGGCCTATCAATTCTATGAGTTTATTTTTGGAAGAGTTGCTTCAGCCCATCTGACCGTTTCAGTTCGCATGGGCTTGGTTTTACGCGGGATGGGTATCAAGGCACGTCGAATTATCCCCTTGCATGATCGACCTTTCAAGTCGTACGTTATCAATTCCAAAGAGCAAAAGGAGCTCAAGAGCAAGCTATTCTCTGATCTGGTAACGCCCAACTCCAAGTTAGTGGTGACCTCAACTTCTTATACCCCGGATGAGGATCTCGGTATGCTTCTAGATGGATTAGCTATTTACGACAAGGTTCCCAAGGCTGCAGAGCTTAATGTTGTTGTTACCGGGAAGGGCCCCGGAAAAGACGCATTTTTGCAACAAGTCGACGCCCTTGAGCTTTCAAAGATTCGGGTGTTTACCCGCTGGTTGACGTACGAACAATACCACCAATTATTAAGTGTGTGTGATTTGGGTATTTCGTTGCATAAATCAAGCTCAGGTTACGATCTCCCGATGAAAGTCGTTGACATGTTCGGTGCTGGCCTGCCTGTAGCTGCTCTCAAGTTCCCTGCCCTAGACGAGCTTGTGAGGGAGGGCGAAAACGGGTTGATGTTCAGCTCCGCAGAAAGCCTGTCTGCTACCCTACAAACCGCGTTTACAAAGAAGGTTTACGATAAAATAAAAACCGGCGCAGTCAAAGAAGCCGCAAATACGTGGTCAACCACCTGGGACGAAAAGCTTGGCCCTGTCTTCATGACGAACCCCCCGCCTTTGACTTATGTCCCTTCTAGTAGTAGTAGCGATAGCGAGTAAACTGTATATGAAAGACAGCCTACGTTATTACTGCCGGTTAATTAAGAAAAACCAGCTATTATACAGTAAATCAATTAAAGTTTACCAGGCGAGTGATTTTATGCATTCGACCTATTTCGGGCATGACGTCTCAGCTCGGACCACTTTACCCCCAGACACGCCCTAACCCTATTCCATTTGGGTTATGCCAAGTCATCATCAACCGCGAAAGTTAGCATCCGCTTTAATTCACATCCCACCCCCCCTCGAATCTAATGTCGTCGACCGCATTTGAGAAGGAGAAGGGAGAACTGCGGCGCAGAAATGTGGCTAGCAAAGCCACTAAATCTGCTGCCACCGCTTCCCGCGAGGCGATTCCCCCCTCGGCTGACGGGTCGTTGTTCAAGGACTGGTCCCAGGTAGAGGCCATCGTGATGCCTATTTTCTTCACCGCTCTTGCCGCATTTACGCGTCTCTGGAGAATTGGTGACGGTACCCGTGTTATTTGGGACGAGGCACACTTTGGAAAGTTCGGCTCCTTCTATCTGAAGCACGAGTACTACTTTGACGTTCACCCTCCCCTCGGTAAGATGCTTTGCGGTTTGTCTGGCTGGCTTGCACACTACAACGGATCATTTGGCTTCGAAAGTGGTGCCAATTACCCCGAAGGAATGGACTATGTGACCATGCGTGAGTTTAATGCCCTGTTTGCTATCCTTGTCGTGCCTACAGCTTACTTCACCGCCAAGGCCCTCAAGTTTTCCTTGCCTACCGTATGGCTTGTCACTACCATGGTCGCCCTGGAGCTCTCGTTCTCTTTGTTGGGTCGCTTGATTCTACTGGATTCCATGCTCATGTGCTTCACGGTCTTGACCTTTTTGTCTTTGGTCAAGTTTCACAATTGTCAGTCCCAGCCTTTTACCCCCAAGTGGCTGTTTTGGCTCGCAATGACTGGTTTGAATATTGGCCTTACCACCTCTGTTAAGATGGTTGGTTTGTTCATCATGGCCGTTGTTGGTGTGTATACCATTGCAGACCTCTGGTTGCGTTTCAGCAAGCGCTCTGATTCAGACAACAAGCACTATGCTCTGCACTGGCTGAGCCGTGGCTTCTTCTTGATCGTCATACCTTTGCTCGTGTTCACTCTTTGCTTCAAGATCCACTTCTCTCTTTTGTACAAGACTGGAGATGGTCTTGCGTCGATGTCATCGCTGTTTAAGGCTAATCTCGAGGGCTCCGACTTCGAATCAGGCCCTATGGATGTCGCTTTTGGTTCGAAGGTCACCCTCAAGAATCAGGGTCTCGCCGGCGGTTTGCTGCACTCCCACATTCAGTCCTACCCTGAGGGTTCCAAGCAACAGCAGGTTACCACTTACTCGCACGTCGATTCAAACAACGAGTGGCTTTTCGAGTACCCCCGTTTTGAGGAGGCTTACAACCACAACCAAGATATCAAGTTTGTTACTGATGGTCAGCCTATTCGTCTTGTGCACTTTATGACTGGTCGTAACTTGCACTCCCACGACGTGGCAGCTCCTGTTACTAAAGGCGTTCTCGAGGTTTCTGGTTACGGTAATGACACTGTTGGCGACGAGAAAGATAATTGGGTTGTTGAGATCGTCGAGACTCTTGGCTCCGAGGATCCCACCATGATTCATCCCTTGACCACATCGTTCCGTCTTCGTCATGCAGACCTTGGATGCTATTTGGGTGTGACTGGTGCTACCTTGCCGCCGTGGGGTTTCTCTCAGGGCGAGGTTGTGTGCATCCGTAACCCTGCTCGTCGAAACAAGAACACCTGGTGGAACCTTGATACCCACGTGAATGCTCGTTTGCCTGATGCGTTCAACCGCGACTTGCCCAAATCCCGATTCCTTCGCGATTTCTTGCAGCTTAACTTTGCTCAGATGGCTAGCAACAATGCTTTGGTTCCCGACCCTGATAAAGACGACAGCCTGGCATCGTCCTGGTGGGAGTGGCCCATTCTGCGCCGCGGTTTGCGTCTCTGTGGCTGGGGCAACGATAACTTCCGTTATTACCTCATGATGCTGCCCTCGAACGCTTGGCTTTCGACCGTCGCCATTGGTGTGTTTGTGATCCTCACAATTTACTTTGTGTTGGCTTGGCAGAGACAGGCTATCGAAGTAACTCCTCAGGAACTGACCGACTACCTTGTGCAGGGTGGCCTTCCTTTCCTGGGCTGGCTGATGCACTATCTACCTTTCATGGTTATGTCGCGTGTCACATACTTCCACCATTACATGCCGGCGCTATATTTTGCTTTGTTTGAACTTGCTTTCTTGCTGGATAGAGGCACTGCTCGTCTCTCTGGCACAGTCAAAGCTCTTATTTATGGCGTTCTTTTTGCCTCTACTATTGGCTTGTTCTTGTACTTCTCCCCTGTCGTTTTCGGCATGGGCGGTGAGCCATCAGACTACGACTATCTGCAGTGGCTTCCCAACTGGAAACAAGGTTCTTAAAAAATTACATTTCAAGATAAAGGCGGAAAAAAGATATGAGCTTGCTATCTACATTGTAAACACTCGTAATGTTTCGCTTGCACATGCAACATAGTTTCGACGGATTGCAAGCTGCTCAATTCGTCCATCCGCTTTGAACGATTTGACAATACATAGGTTTTCATCCAGTTTATAAACTTGACCGTTTTCGAGCCCAATCACGAGATGACCGTCGAAATCGCAGGCAGTGACAGGTGCCTCGAATGAAGCGGTTGTTAAGACTTCACCGCTAGTGTTCCATATCTTTACGGTTTTATCCCGAGATACTGTGGCATATTCAGTCGGAGATAACCAACAGCAGTCCCAAATGATACGTGAATGAGCTTTGGGGTTTGTGAGAACCACTTTCTGCGACTCAATGTCAAACACAAAAAGTTGACGGTCTCTTGATACACTCAGTAGAAGCTTGCTATCTGGGGAGAACCGAACGCGTGTGACAGTAAGATTGTGACCAGAAAGCGGCTCTAGCTGACGCCAACCATCTATTGTGTATAATCTGATGACGGCATGACGAACGGAGTTCGCTTTACAGCAAGTTGCTAACAATGATACGTCGGGAGAGACATCCAAACAGCTGATCTCGTAGCCATGTCCGTACAACTTTTCAATCTCAGGCCAAAGCGTTTGCCGTTGCAAGTGATCTTCGCGAGGGGTTTCACCCTGAGGTAGTGCAAAAGTTTCATCAGAGGCTTCAGCTTTGTTGGATAAACCCAGCGCGGGAACCGTGGCACCAGCCAAATTACTGTGACCACCCAGGGGTTGGCCTAGGCTTTCAAGTAAGTCTTGTACTGGAGCTGGAAGTCCAAACACACGGACTAGCTTCTCGTCACCTCCTGAAACAAAAGCGTCATCCCGCACAGGCTCACAACAGAGCATATCATATCCATGAATCTGAGGACGGGATACCTCTTGCAGATGTCCATCATGGATGCGCCAGAGTCTTGTTGTTTGATCCAGAGATGTAGACAAGATATACTCTTTCATCCATGCGACCCAAGTAACTGTTCGTGTATGTCCAGTGATACCAACTATGGGCTCCCACGTGTCATGAGCCCAAATTCTCCAGGCACCAGACCTGCTGATGGTTGCAACACCAGATTCCAACCAGTAAGCACCCCATAAACCACCAGAAGCACCTGTAGCAGTGGACGCACCAAGAATTGACATGTCTCCCAAACGAACTTGAGGTGTCCAGAGGTCATATCCTTCGTCTTCATGCGTCAAGTTGTCTGCAGCCCACACAATTAAGGACGAGTCACTCGAAGATGAGAGCAGTCTGAAGGTATGAGAGTCCCATTTGACACTGAGAACCCAGTCGTCGTGGCCCATGAGAAGGGCCTCGAAAAATACTGTGAACGAGCCAAGATGCTGAACTCGGGTAGAAAGGCCGCTTTTTAGGGGGTCTTCCTCCACCGATTGGCTAGAAAAGCGCCACAGTCTGATAAATCTATCTTGTGAAGCAGAAGCCAAAACAACATCGCCGTTTTCTAGAGGGCAAAAATCAAGGCTGCGAACCCAGTTCTCGTGTCCTTCAAGTTTGATTGTTTCTGCGCCATTTAAAGCATAAACAATTCCTGAGGTACCACCAACAACTACAATATCCTTGTAGAGTGCAATTGACAGCGGGTAAAAACCGGAATCAAAAGTATAGGAGTTTAAACGAGTGCCGCTTTCCCACACATCAACCCCGGCCACCGTCCCTGCTGCTAATAATGATCCTGCCATGGCAAGACAAGTTACAGGTTTTTCATAGGTATGCAGGGTTTTCAGGACATCATCCTGGATAATAAACAGGCCGCCATCATGACTGCTCGCGGCAACAGTGTCAGTACCATTGCTGGCTACTGCGCCAACTCTCGACCCCAAATCATAGGTCTTTGAAGGTCCCCTCATAAGATCCCAAACTACAACATAATTATTGCACGCATAGTGAATCGTTCCAGGCAAGATGCCTGCCGATTGAGTCAGGGAAGACGCACCAGCTGCAAGCATTCAAAGTATCTGAGAGCTTTGCAGAATTTCAGAGATTATTCATCCTGATGCCCTCGGTTTTAGTGTATTCTACAGCACCAATAACGACCATTTCGGAGGTCAAGGATAAACTAGACAATGCATTGGCCGACAAAAGAGACAAATGGCAGATTGAACTGAAGCTGTACCGGGCAAACAGCGCTTCCTTCCAGGACACCGAGCGGGCAGGCACCACGCTCATTACGGTGACTACAAGTCTAGAGAAGGGCAAAGTGTTTGTATATAGCCGCTCTTCAGCAATTGTTGCCGGCGAGGAAATGGCGCCAGACATGCTGTCGAAGATGCAGAGTCTTTGGGTGCTTCGGCAGACCTTCAAGTGTGAGGGCCAAGTGTATAATTTAGACGGCGTGCTGGTTCGCGTTGCAAACACGTTTGTCCAAGGTAATTACAAGGGTTTGTTAGTGGAGATCGAATCTGACTCGGAGGATCTGCTGGACAAGGCCAAGGCGATTGTCAGTCAGTGCGAGATTCCAGGACAAGTTCCCGACGAAATGGCTAATTCGCTCATTGAAAAAATTCAAAAATACCAGGTCTTAATTAGATAGTCGTTCTTATTTTAATATTTCATTACCAGGCCAGGGCCAAGGACAGATGTCAGCATGAGAACATCCACTAGAGCCATCATAACGCTCGCAGTGGCTGCGCTTGCTATATACTTTTACCCTTTGATTTATGCCGGTAACAAAGAGAAAGCGCTTCCAACAGCTGAGGAAATGCAAAGGGCTGTCCAGGAAGCCTTTGTCCGGTCGTGGAACGGCTATAAGGAACACGCTTGGGGGTCCGATATTTACCACCCAATATCCCAAAAAGGTGAGAACATGGTAGGATCAAAACCAATGGGATGGATGATTGTTGATTCAATTGATACTATGATGCTCATGGGGCTTGACGATGAGGTCAAAGAAGCTCGCGACTGGATCGAGAAAAACCTCGATTATGATATCGATATGCCCGTATCTGTGTTTGAAACAACTATTCGTATGCTTGGAGGGCTGCTTTCAGCTTATTATTTGTCTGGAGACGAGATGTATTTGGAAAAGGCTCGTGATCTGGCCGACAGAATTCTTCCAGCATTTGGGTCCCCTACAGGCATTCCCACTGAAGAAGTGAACTTGAAGCGTGGTGTGCCCGATCAAGCCTTTTTGTATACGATCAGCTCCACTGCTGAAGTCGCCACGCTACAACTCGAGTTCAAGTACTTGGCGCATCTTACCAAAGACGAAAAGTACTGGCGTGCGGTCGAGAACGTCATGAAAGCGTTGGAAGCTACGCACATGCCCAATCTTCTGCTCCCTATTTTTATTTCGCCCAGAAACGGAATGTTTTCAACCCGTGAAATCAGAATGGGATCTCGCGGCGATTCCTATTACGAGTATCTTTTGAAACAATGGCTTCAGACAAGCCAGAAAGAAGAAGTCTATCGTGATATGTATGACGAGACAGTGGCTGGAATCAAGCAGTATATGGTTCAGTATTCTACTCCCAATCACCTGCTATTCATTGGCGAGTTGCCTCAGGGAGTCGGTGGTGGTCAGTTTTCTCCCAAAATGGACCATCTCGTGTGTTTTGCCGGTGGTATGTTTGCAATTGGTGCAACTAACGGCAAAACTCTTGCTGAAGCACAAGCAGAAGGTTGGACCACCGAGCAAGCTGAAGACTTTGCCCTTGGAGAGCAGCTGACCCGATCATGCGTGGAGACCTATCTTCAAACTGCGACAGGACTTGGTCCAGAAATTGTTGTTTTCAATACTGATCCTGATTCTACAAAAGACTTTTTCATCAAACCCCTCGACAGACACAACCTTCAACGTCCGGAGACTGTTGAGTCTCTGTTTTACCTCTATCGTCTCACCAATGATCCCAAATACAGAAAATGGGGGTGGCAGATTTTCCAATCGTTTGAGAAATATGGCCGACTGGAAGACAGCTCTGGCTATACCTGTCTGCGTGATGTTGAAACCCCGAATGGCGAGCGGATCGACAACATGGAGTCATTTTGGCTAGCCGAGACATTGAAGTACCTTTGGCTACTGTTTGACGATAACAACACCTGGCCGCTCGACAAGGTCGTATTCAACACTGAAGCACACCCGCTCCCCGTTATCCCCAAGTCATTCTCAACCGGTTGGGAACGTCTTTATCCATATGCATAGGGTTGCCGTATCTCTGCAGGAAGACTGAAAACCCCGAGATGAGTCAGGGGATGCTATCTAGACGATCTATAAAATCTTAGACTATGGGGTTCGGATTTTCACCCCCTACTGAAGTTGGAGAGACAATTCCAGCAAATACTGAGCATGCGGTTAGTGTGACGTTACCGACATGGGCAGCAAATGTTGCGTACGAAGAAGGCGAGGCCTGGGTTGCCGACAAAATGACCTCGGGGTACCCCCGATTTTGCATTCACTTCAAAATTCGGGAGCTAGAGAGGTGGTTAGAGGAAAATTACGGGCGCGAAAACGAGAGCGCCATGGTATTTCCTTCAAATGGAGCTGCTCAGCGTTGTCGTGAATTTATAAAGCGTCGTCAAGACACCATGGCCCACCCGCAGATTCGAGTTCTACAGTTGGCTACTCCTAAATCCGCAGAAAATGGCAGTGCGCAGGCGCATGTTGCGGTGGTATTTTTCCCCAAAGAGCTGTTCCCCGTCGCGAAGCAGTACTGGCAGCATACCGGCGAAGGTGTTTCCAGCCGGTTGGCAGAGTACTTTTTAGAGCAATACACCACGGCGAACGATGCCAAAGACCAAAGCACATATGTCGAGGAGCGATTTGGTCGCAATCTTGATGTTTCACGGACGGAGGAAGCTAAAGGCGCCCTGCGGTCTCGCATTGCCGGCCACTTGTGCCAGCATGTTGACAATGTTTGTGCCGATCAAATCTATCTCTACCCCACGGGCATGACTGCAATCAATTCTGCCCACCGACTCTCTATGGCATTCAATGAGAGTGACAAAAACGGGCTGAGAAGTGTTTGCTTTGGATTCCCTTACACTGACACGCTTAAAACGTTGGAAAAATGGGGGCCCGGTGCTATATTTTATCCGCGAGGTACTGAACAAGAGCTCAATGAACTAGAAAGCCTGCTGAAATCAGGAACTCGTATTGCAGCTTTATTCTGTGAATTCCCATCGAATCCTCTTCTAAAATCACCTAATATTGTGCGGATCAGCAAGATGGCCAAGGACCACGACTTTTTGGTCATTGTTGACGACACTGTCGGGAATATGAGTAACATTAGCGTTCTGCCATGGGTGGACATGACGGTTTCATCTCTCACCAAGATTTTCAGCGGTGACTGTAACGTTATGGCTGGCGCATTGGTGTTAAACCACAACGGCCGTCATTACACGGAGCTGAAAAGGATCATCAGCGCCCAATTCGAGGATCTGTTTTTCGCCCTGGACGCCTTATACTTGGAGCGGAATTCTCGTGATTTCGCCCAGCGCAGCCACCGGACTAATGCAAACGCTGAAGCAGTCGTTGACCTGTTGCGATCTCGCACAGATCTTGTCAAAGAAGTTTACTATCCCAAAGGTTCTGACACACAAGCAAACTACGACCAGGTAAAAGTTTCTGATGGAGGCTATGGTGGACTTCTTTCTGTGGTATTCAAGAACCCTGAGCATGCCTCCACGTTCTTTGATGCCATCAATATTGCCAAGGGCCCTAGCTTGGGCACAAATTTCACTTTGGCATGCCCCTATACAATAATTGCCCACTTCCTTGAGCTGGACTTTGTCGAATCCTGTGGCGTGGACCGAAACCTGGTTCGCATCAGCATTGGGCTTGAAGAGACCAAGGACCTGCTTGAGCGTTTCGAACGGGGCTTAAAAGCATGTGAAAATAGCTAAACCTATACGACTTATTTGATGTTACACTCGCTCTATATCGACAAGTTTATATTGCAGTAAACAAGCGACTCAAACGGAGGCATTTAATCTAGCTGTCCTCTATTTCCCGTTTAAAACATGGCATTTCACGCGATACTGAAGACTGCGAATTTTTGAATGATGGGAAATCGAGCCGGCTGATTACGCGGGTTTTCACCGCCCCGGCTGGCGGGGGTGTTGGGGGACTATTGTGAACTCGTCGTAGCCAATCATTCCGATTTGTCAGAACGACTTTTGACCAGTTCAAATGTTCAAGGCCTACCCGACTCCCATCAACAAGCCCTTGTGGCCTCTTTTCGCAGGTAGTTTGATCACCTTCTACCTCTTCAGCAAGGGCGCTGCCGCCATGGCCAACTCTGACGAGTTCCGCAACGATCCCCGCAACCCGAACGCCGGCAAGAAGCACTAAGCGCGGTCTCGATAACTGAGCAAGGTTATATTCCGTCGCAGGCCGTTTCCGACCCAAAATATTTTAGAGTAGTACTATTCTACATATTGTAATGTGGGCTTAGACCCCGTTATTGCCTCGACAATTTTCTGGGCCCGGACAGCTGTCGCCTCCTTTGGCGGCGCCGGTGTGTCGGGCTCTGGCTTTGCAGGTTTGTTTTTAAGAATGCCCTTGGGCGGCTCGGCGTCTTTGGCGGTCTCATCGGTCTCCGTGGTCTCGTTTTCCTTTTTATTGTTTTCCGCGTCGGCTTGGTCGTTTTCAACAGCAGCTTTATCGGTATTTTCGTCCTTAGTTTTCTCTAGTTTATCAGTCTTGTCGTCTTTTTCCTGCTCCTCTCTGCTCATATACTCGTTCCACTCTTCGATCGATTTTTCACAGTCCTCCAAGATCCGTTGTTTGGACGCACCTTCGATAGAAGCGACGTACTCAATCAACGCAGATTCGTATTTTTTGTCAATCGTAAACACGTTTTTGATGATCCAGTTTTGCTTTTGTTTGGAGAATTTCCAATTGGATCGATCCTCGTGATACTGTCGAAGGTAGGCCAGCTGATCTGCTTCAGGAGGGGACTTTCTCTCTGCCTTGGGCACTTTAACTCGCTTGGGCGGTTTCTTGGGTCCAGTATCTTCGCCGTTCTCCGACCGTTTCAGCCCCGCCTTGACGGGATCATAGGATTCTTTGGATTTCTGCTGGCTGAGCCCGGCTCTTTTCCAAGCAGGAATATGTTCAGACATGTTGAGTAAGCGGCGAACTTGCAGATTCGGTCATACTTGCAACTTGAATGAGGGGAAGGTGCAGAATAGGGACCGGGCGGCGTCGAAAGAGTGAATTCTTTCACAGAAACATGTCGTGGACCGTTCAAGGTATGCTCGGAAAATTCTGGAGCAACCACGCTCCGTCAAATATCGACAATTGCGCGAAACAAGATTTTGCTCACGTGACACGGCAGATCCCGGCATAATCACTATATAACTCGCATCGAATGGGCATTGTGTACTGCACCATCAAACCATGCCTTCACGCCAAGTATCTCAAGAAGAGTTCGAAAAGCTTACCTCCGCCTATGTCAATGTCACCAATGACCGTCTTGGCGGCCGCGTCTGTGGCCTAAGTGACCAGTGGTTCGCAGAGGCCTCCAACCTTATCAAGGACACCCCGCCTGTTGTCGAAGTCCGCTTTGTCGCCACGGGCCGCTGGTATGACGGCTGGGAGACTCGTCGCCACAACCCCGAGCCTAGCGACTGGGTTGTGCTGCAATTAGGTGTCAGCTCTGCTAAGCTCTATGGCTGCGAGATCGACACTACGTTCTTCACTGGTAACTACGCTCCTGCTATCTCGGTCGAGGGTGCCGTCATCAACAACGCAAACGAGCTGGACGGCGCCGAGTGGGAGACTGTTATTGACAAGTTCGAGTGCGGCCCTAGCCAGCGCCAGTTCTTTGTTCGTGATGCTATCACCAACACTGCGTACACCCACGTGAGACTGCATATGTATCCCGATGGTGGTATTGCCCGTTTCCGCATGTTTGGCGAGCCCATTCCCGTGTTCCCCAAAGACAAGAACCAGGTCATTGACATGGCTGCGGTTGCTAATGGTGGTGTGGCCATTGCCTGCTCGGATCAGCACTTCAGCTCCGCAGACAACCTCCTGCTGCCTGGCCGTGGCCTTGACATGTCTGATGGCTGGGAGACTGCTCGTTCTCGTACTCCTGGCCATGTCGACTGGGCCGTCATCAAGCTTGGTGCCCCCACCCTTGTCGACCACGTTCTTATCGACACTGCCTTCTTCCTTGGCAACTTCCCCCAGCATATCGAGATTCATGCTCTCAACGCTGCCAACTCTAAAGACCTTTCTGTCAACAGTGCCGACTGGAAGCCTCTGGTTGGCAAGACGAAGACCGGTCCTAATCAGGAGCACAAACTGACCGGCCCCCAACTTCTTTCTGCTGAGCCCATCACTCACGTTAAACTTGTTATCATCCCTGACGGTGGTGTTAAGCGTTTGCGTGTCTTTGGTCGCAGAGCTTAATTTATAGACGGTAGATAAGTGAATTTCGTATTCAATTTTTTGTTCTTTCTTTTCGATCGCCAAAAAAAAGTAGCTTTCTATCCTTTTAAGTAGTCTATATATCCTTCAATCAGTCTCCATCCCAATGTCTCCCGCTTACATGATGGATAATGTGGACACTATGTCCGAGGTCACTCAGGCCATTTCCAAGCTGGAATCTTTTGATGCCGACTTGCGGTACATGGGGTTGAGTGACCTAAAGAGCATATTCGAGGGTCCTCAGCGACTGACTCTTGTATCCGAGCACTATCGTGTTTTGCAACAAATCAAGTCAGAGGTTTTAAAGCACCTGGCCGATCCAATTACAGAGGTTCAGACGCAGGCAGTAAAAACTCTAGGCCCTCTGATCAAATTGTTGCCGGAACATGAGATTGTCTCTGTTATAAGCTCAATTGCCACCCAAAAGTCTTCTACTGTCCTCACATTGGCGCTGCGAACAGTCATCCAGAGTTCGCTGATCTCGGCTTCTATTGGAGATGTTATTGTCCAGCTAGTACTCCAAAGGAGTAACGAAACTGAATACAAACCCAGAATTGAAGACTGTGATGTTGTAAATGATTTGATTCGGCGCTTTGGGCCGTATTTAGAGCAGCCAAACATCAACCCTCTGTTAGAGCTCATTATGACTAGGGTCGAGAAAAAACAAGGCACAACTGGTAATATTGTGCGTAGGCGCTCGTTTGAGGCGTTGGGACTGCTTGCTCCTTTTGAATCAGATGAACAATGGGAAGCCCAGAGGCACTTTATCGCCTCAACTCTTGTGCCGCCGGCCGCTGCGAGTATAAATGGTGTCAAATTGGTGATGGATTTATGTACCACGGCTCCAAATCGGGTTAGCACCATTCCCAATGTCGTCAAATCCATTCTTGATATTGCTCAAACTGTTGAAATCGACGAAACTAATGTCGAGCTTATTGAGCGCTCACTAGCCGCTACAGAGACCTTGTACCTCTCTGGCCATATTTCCGCTGCTCAGGTTGTTGAATTGGTAAAAAAGTTTACCCAGTATAACCCCAACTACGTCGGTGGCGATGATACCGCAGAAGATGAAGATATGGGCAGCGAGTTTGAATTGTCTGATGACGAGGATTTTGGATATGACGATGATCTGTCTTGGAAGCTTCGTAGATATGCGGTGAGACTGGCTATCGATGTTGCAGAAAACGACCAAGTCCAAGCTGTACAGCTTGTTCATCCGCTAATTGAGCTGTTGCGTATTGAAAGTGAGCAAGCGGTTCAAGAACAAGCTGTCGCTGCACTTGTAAACTTCACCACTACCCCCGAGCTTCTCGATGAGATCAGGCCTCACGTTGGTTTGTTTATTGATCTGGCAAGCAAAGAGCAATCGACCGGTGTTTACCTTCCTTTACTATCTGCTCTTGCCGATACAGATGCTCTTGGTCAGGCTCAAATCCAGAGTATAGTGTCCATTGCGGCATCGAGATCCAAGCGGGCCGTTCTTCCAGCTACCTTATCTCTTGTGCAGTCGCTGGCATCTGAAATTGGCCCTGAGCCCAAACTTTTACCATTAGTTGCCCAAGGACTCGCTGATGTCGAATATCAAACCGTCACTTTGGCACTTGATGCTGCGCTAGCCTTGGGCAGTCCTGAACTTGTTGAAACTGTTTACAACGTACTTCGGAAAACACAAAACCTGTCCATTCAGGGCCAAGCCCTCAAGGTTACTGCTGCTATTACCGATGAAGCACACTCAGAACAGGTACTTTTATATGAGCTGAACGCGCTAGATAAGCCTGATCTACAAGTACCCGCTTTAGCCGCTATTCAAGAGCTTGTTGAGAGGTTCCATCTGAGCGATGCAGCCATAACTCAAGCAGCCATCAGAGTACTGGAGCTCCTAAAGTCTTCCAAACTTCGAGCAGTTGCATACGCTGCTTTCCGAATTCTCAGACGTTTGGCGAACCGCAACCGTATGTTATCAAGCGATATATTCGAAGCCGCGCAGTCTCATGATACCTGGGATCCCACCACCACGGTTTATAAATGCGAGCTATTATCTGAAATTTCCAGTACAGCGGGTGTTGCAGACTTTGCTCTGGCAGCAGGCAGACGTTTCTGTGATATCCCCGGTGCAGACGATACGCAGCTAGCGATCATCAAGCTTTGGGGAGCTATTGCCTCTACAAGCTTTGCACCAGAACTACTCGCCAAGGCACAAGAAGCCGCATCTTTAGGGAAAGGCGCACAGTTCTGGGCACAAGTTGTAGCAGAAGTTGCTGTTATCGCAAATGTACCAGTTGACGTTAGTTTTGATGAGTTTGGAGTGTATCTCATCACTGCCCTAGCAGAACGAAATCGCAGTGCAACAAGCCTTGGTGATCTTGCACAGGCTATCAAATCCAATGAGGTGTCGCCGTTAGTACTTGGCCCAGCCATGGCAGAGCTAGCCCTCTCATCGGGGAAGAAGACGGAGCTTTACCAAGCTGCCAGTGCTGCGTCAGACGTTGCATCCGCCGAGATGTACCTATCTGCATTAGAAGTTTTGCTGCAGCGAGAACCAGATGCTGAAATCATTTTAGTTGCTCGGAAGCTTGTGGATGTTCCACCTGGCCCAGACCTCCAGTTGGTGGGCAAACTTCTTGGTCAAGCTGTCTCATCTTTGGCTGAGGGATTCGACGTCTTGAATGGTTGGCCTGTTTTATATCAGCTTGTCGGTGCAAAGCATGCCTTTAAAACCGTTCCTGCCAGTTCCCAGATTGAATTAGAGAACATTTTTGTGGGGCATTTGACCGATACTGATATCCATGTACGCGAGACGGCTCTAGAGGCTTTGAGCTGGGCATTGCAGCAAGCCAAGGGGGCGTCCTCACCACTTTCAAAGCTTATCCCAGGTATTATTCAATCTACCTATGTCGACAAGAGTCTCTTAGAAGTCATTCAAATGGGTCCGTTCAAGCATACAGTTGATCACGGTCTTGCTGCGCGGAAAACTGCATATGAGGCTCTATACGCCTTGGCAAGCACTCGGGGCAACGAAATAGCTCGGGCTTCAGGTGCTCAGCTGGTTGATGCTTTGGTTCGAGGACTCAGAGATGAGCATGATGTGCGCATGTTGGCACTGTACATACTTGAGGCGCTAGCATCTAGCGGTCCTTCGTCTTCGCGACTGTTGGCAGAAGCAAAGCCTCTCCTCTCTGAGGCTTTCACAGAAATCGAGGCAATCAAGGTGCGGGAAACCTCAGTTAAACAAGAGCACGACCGCCAAGCGGAGGCCCTTCAAGCCCTCGACGTCACTAAGCGTGCGATTGGAATGATCTGATTCATATCTACAAAATAATAATTTTTATATACCTCCGAACGATCCAAAGTATGATCACAACCTATAGAGACAGCAAATTGTTGATACGAGTGTCCAAAGCTTCTTGTATAACGTCGACGTACGGCCATACTTTACCTCGTCCAAGGACTTTGGAGATACCGCGTAGTGCGGAAATATGTAGAGGTTCTGAAGGGTCATCAACAAGTCGGCTGAATACTTTAGTAGCCCGTGTAACGATACGCTGCTCCTGGTCAGGCAATGGATGAGAGTGGTGCGAGATTTCGTATAGTGTCTCAGAAAGCACGAATGCACAATCCACCATGCACATGATAGTGTGTACAAACAGTTGGGTGCCTCCTAAGGTATATTTTTCTGCGAGAGAAACAGTATCAACCGCATAGTTTGCGGATGCCAGCAAACCCGGGAACGAAGTTGCACGCAAGTTGTTGAGTTCGTTATTCATTCCAACAAAATCTCGCACCCAGAATCGCTCTTTGACGGTAATAAGATCGACGTGGATACGAATATAGGCCAGAGATGCCAAGGGAACACACTCGCTCATGATAGGGCCATGTTTGGAGTTGGGATCAAGCGACGCTAATGGCGAGCGAGACCACGTGGACTCCCATGCTCTAACAACGCCATCGCTAAAATATGGTTGTTGCGAGGGGTCCTGTTGGTGTTGCGAATGCAAGTGGGGAGTGGCATCTGCCCAAGAAAAGCCATCACCTTGCAACATGCTCTCGCTGTGACGCATGAGGGAGTGTTTTGCTCTTCGTTGGGCAATTTCAAGATGAATAGAGTACATGAGAGTCAGCAGCAAAGTTTGCGAAACTCGCTCCATTACCGGCTGCTCAGAAAGCAAAACAGCAAAGCAGTGACCAAAATTTGAGCCACCGAGGAACTTTGTTTGGAGTTCCCGTTGCACAACCAACTGCCACCAATCCTCAGCGTTCTGGGCATTCCACAAGGCCTCATCACAGGGGGATCCACATTGCAAGTCTTGATTCGAAGCGAACGGGGGTAGGCCATACATGGTCGTCATCATAGTAGTAACTGCATGAACCGCGTACATCGTTCGAATCCGTTTTTGGGCACGCAAGAAATGCGCCCATTTCTCTTGGACAGGAGTCTGTGGATCATAAATATTGGGTGGAGTTGCCAAAGGCATATGCAAACCGGCTCTGCGGGTCAATTTCCCCAGACGCTGGCCCTGGTGAATCGCCATTTCGTTATCCTCGCTATTCTTGTGAAACAGACCATATACCACTGAAAGGACAGACGCTTGGACCAGCCAAAGCGGGACCATGCCCCCATTAGGATCACCACTGCTCGTACCGCACACAGTGATGTCGCTGTTGATATCCGAGTACATCCGGGTGCAGTCACGACCCATGTCGTGGATACGGAGTGATGCTTCAATATCACCCAGATATAGCGCACCAATTGCGGCCATGACCATGACAAGAGCCATATTTTGCGAACTCAGCTTGGTACTGGAATGTATAAAATGAAGATGTGGGTTGAAGAACTTGTGATAAGCTCTGACATATCGTCTAACTTGATCACTGGAAGGTAGAATAGGACCAGTTGGTGTTGCAGATTCAGTAGACGCCAGTGCGGTTGGCGAAGTTTGGGGAGAGAAGGACTGGGCAGTTGGCATAGCATGGGGGTGACCAAGCGAAATAGATGCACGATGCTGAGGGAGCTTATTCTGGGAATCGGTGGAAGAAAATGAAGAGCGATGCGTAGCCTGTTGCTGTGAATTGGATTGACGTCTATTCCAGAAAGCATCACCATTGAGATCTTTCAGGTACTGCGTGGGGTTCGAATCATACTGCTTTTCAAGAGCACGTTTAACTTCTGCGCCATCAACACTGCCAAAATCAGTGGATGTGAACTCACTGAAATCTAGCGGCACTGAGGCGTCATTCATGGGTTCTTGCTTGATTTCCTCACTGCCCTTTGTAGCATCATCACCACCAATAGAAATAAACTTGTCAAAAATCTCTTGACTATCAACAACAGGCTCGTGTGGTCTATCCATCATGCCTGGAACCAGAGGGTCTCTCGCAAAACGTCCGCCATGACTGCTAGCCGAGTGATAGGACGGGAAAGCCATGGGCGAGTCATAAGATCCAACTCCCGGAACTGCCATCATCGGAGTGGTATAACTCATAGACTCAGCAACCTGCGGCGAGTTGAGATCAGTCCCCCAATAGTTTGAATCATTAGGCAATACAGATCGAGCACTCGCGTAGGAGCCTGGGGTTGGCACTGATCCCGCCACTGAACCCGGGGTGTGACCTGAGCCTGGTGTGTTAACAGTAACTGAACCAGGATGAGCGCCCGGTTGAGCACCTGCTTGGGACAGGAGTTGAGGGTTTATACCAACAGACATGTCATTTCCAGAGTATGGAGTTTCGAGATCTAGGGGTTCGGGAACAAGTAGCCCCTCCGGCTCAAAGGTATAGGCTTGTGGCGTTGAGAAAGAAACTTCTGGCGGAGCACCCATGGATATGCTATTGGCCAGAAACTGGTCTACATCTTTTCGGCGAACGTACGAAGTAGCGCTGGACGCGTTGAACGAGTTCGACCGTGATTCTCTATTGGTAAGATGTCGATAAGATGGAGCCATGTTGCAGTACGAGTCCAGCTCGTGTTCTAAAGGATTTAGCGGGAGCCAATTGGATTGGAAAGGCTGTGCCCCAGGCTGAGCGGCCACACTTGCCGTGTGCCTAGGAATTGGTTGCTGCTGTGGTTTCTTCTGCGCGTCAGAAGGGGGAATCATTCCCGTATTCACAAAAGAAGGTCCACCTTCTGCGTTGCCATTGTACTGCATGGGCGCCACCGACCTTGATTCAACAGGTCTGGGACCACGGGTACTGGGAGAGCTCACGGACCCACTCCGCTGGGCGACAGTGGCTGAAGACGCTCTGCGTTTGGCACTAGGTTGTTCGGCTAGATGTTCGTTGCGAGGAGGAGAAAAGGAGGCATGAAGCTTCTGCTTGTGCCGGAGAAGAAGATCCCGCCTTGCAAATGATCGCTCGCACACAGGGCACTGGAACGGCTTCTCTTTGGTATGGGAGCGTTCATGGCGTTTCAGATGCTCTAACCTCGCAAATGAGCGTGTACAAGTGGTGCAAACATAAGGACGTGGCTTATCAGTCTTGATTTGCAGGGATTTAGCCGGGATCGGTTCGGTTTGAACGGCTGATTGTACGTCGCCGTCAGCCATAAAAGATGCCAAAATTGGGAAAGATGTGATGTTCTAGGTCCTGAAAGACAAACAAATAATCGCGTGTATTGTAGAGGGTTTAATAGCCTCACAAGAGAATAATAGAATAAGACCCCGGCTTCTTGTTACAAGGCTCGGGAATACGAAATGTAGAGGCTAGCCGTATCGAGGCCAAAGTACGACAAAGACGGTCTTTAGTACCGCAGACAAAGCTCTAGTTGAGTTTAGTGTAGACCAAGTTCGAATGCCACAAAAGCACAGTGCCTCAGTGGAGTTCTTTTGTCCAAAGCGAAGTAAGGTTTGTAAGGTAAAGGCCTTAAGGTCGAGGTTTTACAGGCCGGTGTTGCCGGGTTTCGTCACCTCTGACTAAGAGTGGGTACCCCAGGCGGATGTGGCGAAGAGCTGTACAGCAGCGCTGTATGCTCGAAAGGTAATATTAACCACGTTGGAGGTATTAGGAATACCCAGATTGCTCTTTTGTCAAGTTTCGTGGGAGTTAACCGGGTTTTTTTGGCTGATCTACATGCATGTACGTATCTGATATTCTCTGTTGTAAGTTGTCTTACATGCTAGTCATCGATACGTGCATATTTGTAAAAGCGCTCTGCACGTCACTTTACCGGCTGGCTTAAAAACCGGGTTAAATAGTGAGAGCTTTTGTCCAGCGCCCTATACTGTTTATAGGACGGCTCCACTGCGGCAATTGAGCTCTGCCTCGAGTGGTACGGCCAACCCTGTTGCTGCATCTTGGCTGCCACATGCAGGATGCATGGGACTAAAGGAACGATGCACCCCGCCTTATTCTGGACTCGATAAAACTATGTCGCTGTTCCGTACGATCTTCCCACACCAAAACTAATCCCGGATTCTTTACAAAAGCCTGTAGTCTTCGGCGGCTTATCTTCGACCTACTTTTCAAGGGCACGCTGGTTACCGCGGACAGCCGTTGCATGGGCGTTACTTACCCCTGCCTGCTGCCAAGTAGTTGCCACAGCGGACAGAAAACTGCACGTACAGATATAATCATAATGCAGTGAGATAGAGCCAAGGGTTATTGTACGAACAGGTTGGACGCATGGAACAGTCAAATTGCCGTCACTTATTTGCTATTTAAATGTACCTATGTATAGCCGTCTGTAGGTGGGCAGGTGTAGTGGCCCTACTTTTCTGCGCACATCAAGGCGTTTTCATTCGCCTCGAAAAAAGTCTTGTAGAATGGTGCATACCGCACATAAAGCCGTGGCAGTTGTTTTACCACTGCTGCCGTCGAGAATCGTGAATTCACGCCAAGTTGTATGTGGGTACTCGGTTAGGGTTTATAGAGCCAATCAGCTCGATGACAACCTGATCCTGCCGAAATCGGGGAATCAGTCTCAAGATCTTTGGAGGATGCATTGATCTCAGGGCCAATTATAGAGCTTTCAAGACAGGCTGACACAGGCTTGTCTGAGCAGCGCTGGTCCCGACGGCACCATCGGATTCTGACCATGTTTTCACATGAAACGGCCCAACACCCCCCAACACCGATCCGACGATTTATCAGCCCTGACAGGCATATTTTTTTCTTCTTTACAGGCCTTCTTAGACAAACTGCGGTTCGCGTGTTTTGAGCAGCCCATCGTTCCTGCCGATCCAATAACACCGTTCTGGTGAAGTTGGGTCACTTTTGGGACGTGGTAGCGTCTTAGCCGTATAATGCGAGTTTTTGTAGTGATTCAGAAGTCCGAGAAGAACGCTCCTGGCTTCATAAGAACCCGTCGATTGGTCTCTCAGCGCCGTGGTGTCAGAGAAGTCACACATAACTTAAATAATAAATTAGACTAACCGACGGTTTATGATACATTGGATCAACCAGTCACGGTTGTATACTGCTGTTTCGGGCAGAATTAGTTGCCGGTGTAGGCGGCCGACCATCAGGGTGGACGAGATCGAAGGCAGATCCGACGGCAGATCAGAAGGTGATTTCGCTAGAACGACAACAACCCCGGTGGCTGTGATCTCATCTAGACTGTCCACGATTTTAGGGGGTTTTGCTGTCGCGAGTCGAAGCAGTAACTGCACGTTCTTGTCCTTTTGATCCCGAACAAGGTACAGATCGGGAACAAGGCCTCCCATAGCTAGAGGTCGCTGCTCGAATTGAGTTTTTAATGTGTATCCTGTCGCCCAGTTTCTGTAAAAATCTGTCATATCAAGACTGATGGAGGCCTTGAATGCGAGAGAGTCGCCGGCAGCCAGAAGATAGTCTTTCCAGTTTTCTAGCAGCCGTCCAGCAGCAACGCAGTCGGCAATGAATTGAAACGAGAGACAGGGCCAGCCCATAGCCAGACCTCCTAAATACTTGGGAGATCGGAGAGGACGGGCAGCGATTACAGCACCAAAAGTGTACGCCGGGTCGGCGTTCCACGAGACGCGGCCACTGGCATCAACGTCAAGAATATCACTAAAATCCTCAACCACCTCGCCAGAGTTGTCTCTTATGCTATTTGTGACAGATGTCGCGTCTTGGTGGCTTGCCATAGTGATCGAAAACATGCAATGGCTGAAAATTTGTGAAGTGGGCGTGGGGGCTTCGCCGCTTGAAGAAGGGCCGAAACTAGAAAGCTTTGGTCGATGCACTGAATGCATCGAGGGGTAGACTATCCTTTGAGATGACTCTCGACTGAGTCGACGGGAGTTCCATTCATCAAACTCGGCGTTTCTCAGAAAAACGTCCTTTACCAGAACGGTAATGGGAACAAGTTGCATGCGTCTTGAGATCCGCAAAGGTTCGAGCTTGAGAGTATCGTAGCCCATTGATGTAACGAATTTTGTGGTGTCACCAGACTCAATGAGTTGGATGATTTTATACTGGATCTTTTCATAGTTGACAATATCGCCAACTTGAAAGTCAACTGGCACAGCAGAAGATGCCTTTACAAGACCCTCTTCTTCCGTACCGAACTCAACAACAATTTTGGCCTTGGCGTCGTTTTTCTTTTGCAAGTACTCTGCTTGATCCGGGATCGCAGGGTACCAGCCGTCACCGGGCCAGTAAAACAGCATGCATTGATTCAGGGGCGGGGTTGCTGGAATCGTATTCTGAGGCTTTGCAGCCCGCAATGGCGTACCTGTAGCCGTCGGCTCAAGGGCAACTTTGCGAAGCTTCAAAGGAGGCGACTTGAATGGTGTTTCTTCAATGAACCCGGTGTCTTCCCCATCACTATCGATGGGTACAAGACGCCTAGCAACACTTGCTGGGTGCCCTGTATTAGCATACGTGCGCTCAATTGGAGTCCCCAGGACTTGTACGTCGTCATAAGCATGATCGGACCACGAAGATGTATCAGCTATCAGCACCTGTTTATGTCGCTCGAGAAGAGTCTTGGCTTGAGTACTTAGGTCCTGAGCGGACTGGGTTTGGGTGAACCTTGCGGGCGTCTCAGGAGGCAGGACGTTTAAAAGTAACGAGTTGTCACCCGATAAGTCCAATTGGTGGCCATTCAAAAGCGGGTGCGTCTGGTCCTCGTCATCGGAGTTTATCTCAATGTCGCTGAAAAACGTATCACTACTATTGCCCACCCGTGGATCGGCTTGTGTAGCGTCTCCATCCACCGCATCCGGCACAGTTGCCACTGTGTACGACTTTTCGCTACCGTCATCATCCATGGCGACCTTGGCGACTTGGACAAGAGTTACTAATGATGCAATTTTGAGATCTACTTTGCCATAGTTAAATATACTGCAGGGTCTGAGTCTGCTTTTATAGCATTAAACATTGATGTCATTTCATTTACAACATCGATGAGCAAAGATCTGTTGTATCCAGCCTTTGTGTACCATTTTTCGCCGTCGACCAGAGGAGCCGAAGCCGCGCCGCGTTTTATAGCCCAATAGTAGGCAGCCGCAGCGATTTTATCGGACGAGTAAACAACACTCAGCATGGTGCGACACGAGTCATTAACAAAATTATTAGCCAGCGTGTTTATACCCTCGCCAGGAGTCGGATATTTTGTTGTGAAAGCAGCCAGTGATCTATAGGGCGACTCGATTGTGAGGTCGAAAAAGAGGCCTTCGAGCAGCAGCTCTTCAGTATACATTATAGTTTCGACCCACTTCTTGAACTCGCGAGAGTTGGTATCAACTTTAAGACGGGGGTTTTTCAAAGCAACTCTCATGCACATGAATGCCACTTCTTGAATAGTACGGGGCGATTCTTCGGTTTTGGAAGCTAAAAACACACACGCAGAGGCACAGTCGTAGTAGTGAACCCTCTTGAGCGAGTACCGCGTGTAAAACCTGTGCAGGTACGTAGCGGCAGTGTAGATTGCCGCCGGTCGCAGCTTGAGCTGAGAGCTGGTTTGAATCACAAACGACACGCCCTTGGACTGTTTTATGAGCTGTTCTTCGTATGATACCCCATCTCGTGCACTTGGGCTGTTTTTCTTGACGTCCTCAAGCGGCAGCGTCCACCGCGGCTTTCTCTTGAGCTTATCCATTTGTCAGAGACCAGCGAGGTATGCCATGGTGAGCTCGAGGTTTTAAGCCTGGGACCATGCAAGTGCAAAACGTGCCTTTTGGCTGGGCACTAAATTGCAGTTCAAGGTGATATAGCCTAAGTTTCAAGAATTTAGTTTTTTGGTGACAATTTTTCACACCTCGGATCTCGGCAATGGTTGAAAAATGTTGAACTGTGTGCGTTCCCCATCCTGCCGGGTCGATTTCTCCAAAATTTGGAAATTGACACCAAGCCCCCATATCCTGGCCAGTCGACACCAAGACCAGCCTTTTAGCCCGTCATTATCGCCAGCTAGCGCTCTCGATTCCGGGGCCCTCCCCACTTTCGGCAATTAGGTAAGGACTATAAATTCACTGTCCTTACCCCACAAACCATCAACTTGTTCCCTAATGTCTTCTGAATTGTTCAAGGTCAATAACAAAATCGCACTTATCACGGGCGGCTCCCGTGGCCTCGGTCTCGATATGGCTGAAGGGCTCTTGCTTGCCGGTGCCAGCAAGATTTACATCTCTTCCCGTAAAGCCTCTGCATGTGACGAGTCCGTCAAGTACCTGAGCGACCTCGCCAAGAAGCACAATCTGCGCTGCGAGGCTATTGCTATTCCTGCTGACCTCGGGTCCCGCGCCGGGTGCGAGGCATTGGCCAAGGAGTTTGTCAAACGCGAGCAGAAGCTCGATATTTTGATCGCCAACGCTGGTGCCACCTGGGGTGCAGACTTCGATTCTCACCCCGACGAGGCCATTGGCAAGGTTCTGGACCTCAACGTCCGTGGTGTATTCAGCACTATCCAGTTGTTTGCCCCCTTCCTTCGCAAGGCCGGTACCAGTGAGGATCCCTCTCGTGTCTTGATCACTGGTTCCATTGCTGGTATTCGGGCTGTCTCGTCCGGTGGTACCTACGGTTACCTTGCCTCCAAGGCTGCTGTTCACCATCTAGGTCGCTCGCTTGCTTCCGAGCTTGGCCCCGAGAACATCACAGTCAATATCCTGGCCCCTGGGTTCTTCCCCAGTAAAATGTCCAACGGTGTGCTGTCGGTAATTGGCAAGGAACTCACCGAGACCAATCCTCGTCGCCGTCTCGGTGTCAAACAGGACATCATTGGAACCACTGTTTTCTTGTGCTCGCCTGCCGGTAACTACATTAACGGCGTTGTGTTGCCCATTGACGGTGGTGCCTCGGTGTCCAAGCTCTGAGCCAAGTTTTAGGAATATTAGATATTAAATTAGCAAGCAAATCACACTTTGGATGTATTATATGAACCACAAGTATGGCATTTGAGTCCAGCAACATGGAAGGGCACTCGAGATTTCGCCCGACAATCGTTGCACATAATGTCCACTCGAAGGTCTCTGAGTTCCGAGGGAAGAATTTCCCTGGCAACCTCATTGTCAATCGCTCTAAATATTGCCGATGTGTCGATGATGGATTTGAAGCAGATTGGGCATTTGTAGTTGGCTGAAACATACGACTGATAGCACAGCTGATGGATCGGATGGCCGCAGGCCATAAACATGAGCACTTTTGTAGAATTAAACAAATACTCCAGACAGATCGGACAATTAGAGTTGGCGCTTCTTTCAATGCATGGGTGGTTGTCTGCAAGTTCAATGTTCATGCAGATACCACATTTTTGACAGTGGATAGTGTCGATTCCGATGCCTGCTCCAACACGGCAAATACCACAGTCGTCGCAATGGAAAATCGACTTTTCAGGTTCGTCACTCCATAGCTTGCATATATCGCAAAAGTATGATGCCATTTCCTTGTGGCAATTATTGCAAAACTGGCCTGCCCTGGATACTTTGTCGCAAAGCATACAGAGCATGTACTTTGTTTCACGACGAGGTAAATTATGTGCCTCCAGCTCATCATGGCAAAGTCGACAGGGATAAAATTTGTGGCAGTCAATGCATTGCACTTTACAGTTTCGCCGGTAATGTGCGCATCCTAGACCGTCGCGGTCTGGAGTATACGAAGCCGCGAGGTCTTCAGGTGAGAGCTCAGCCTGGAGCTCGGGCTCGAGTTCTGCATCAGATTGTATAACAGAGCGAGGAGATCTGCTTCGTTCAATTGCTTCGGTGAAGCTTTTGAGTAGCAATTGAGATGCATTGCGAAGGGTAGCGTTTAAAGTTGCAATATCGGGAACATGGCCGAGTCGCTCGAGATCAGAGTCTTCGCTTGTAAGACTGAAAACACTCGCATTATCGCTAATTTCGTCGTTTTCCTCCTCATCGTCACTTTTATGTTCCTCTTCGGAGCCCTCGAGTAGGTCGTCAACGTTATCCACAATACCGAATTCTTCCAGGTCTTGGATCAACTCAAACCAATGCGGTGCCCAGGATTGCGGCCAGCGACGGGGCCAGCCCTGCGGCAATGCCAGCTCAGGCAGCTGCGGGACTGTCAAGTTCGGAAACTGCAGTTGGGGCACATTGAGTTGGGGGACGTTGAGCTGAGGCATTGTCAAGTTGGGCATGGTCAACTGTGGCATTTGTGGTAGATTCGGTAGTCGGGGTGTCCAGTTCTCAGGAAGCTGTAGTTTGAATTGGGGCCGCGGGATGTCGTTGGCCAAAGAGGCAAACGGATCAGCCCAGGCAAGAATTCGGGCCTGATAGGCATGTATTGACTGCAGAGACGGTACCTCTTTAGTCTCATCGAGCACCGGTTTAGTCATTAACCGTATTGGTTCTTCATTGCCAGCTTTATCGCTCTCGTTAATCCTCACGCGATCTTCTGGTTTCTCCGAGGCTGCTGACATGGAACGGGAACGTCAACTTCGGGAGGCCTACCGGCTGCTTTTACGCTACGGGTACCGAGCGTGCGAACGAACGCATCCTCATCGGACGATACTGAGAAACTATTTAAAGCAGAAATTCCGCAATGAGTCCCTGGAACCTCCGTCGGCGACCGCTTTGGCCAACACAGTCAACTTTGTCAAAGCTGCAGCTGAGTGGACTGGTTTGGAAAGGCGCTGTATTGCCACCATGATTCATGTTGAGCACAGTAAATACGAGCAGTCAAAGACAAAGCGCAGCCAAGCAGCCAGGAAACGGGATCAGTCACTACTCGACTTTAATTCTGCATTTTATGAATCTATCATTACAGGACTCAACAAGAGCATGGATCTATGTCTATAGCCCAACGAAAGACACAGAAAAGAAAAATCGCAAAGCATTTATTTATTAGTCGCCTCGTTCGCTCATAACTGTCTTGACAGGCTCTGGTTCGAGGTAGAGCCCGTGTTCGTAAATGTAGCGGGTCACACTACTTGGAGCAAGATACTGTACGCTCATGTTTCTTCGAATAAATAACCGCACTTTTGTTGACGAAATATCGTTGTAAATCAACTGCTTGATAACAAGCACATTGTGTCGGTGCTCATACATGATATCATGAGACAGCAAGAAACTGCGAACGTCTGATCCGGTACGTTCAACAATCATACATCCATAGCGGCCCAAAATATGTCGCAAGTCGCTGTCTAGCCACACGTTAGGTTCACCCATTGACTCGATGAGGTCACCACCGGCCAGCAACATGATTTTGACACCCTTACGCTTGCCGGATGCTGTGCGTATACCTTTACGCTTCACGTTGACCTCGGTGTTGAAGTGATCGAGCACTACTGCTGTTCGAGTATACGTACGTTGTAGAGACTCCCAGGCATCGACCATCAGCCAGGACGACGTACGCTCGCAAGCCAGCTCACACATCCGGACCCGGTGGTGAGCGGGGGCCAATCCAGCCTTTTTGTAGTTATCACTTACTGGTGAATAGTATCCGCCAATGACTTCGAATCTGGTCTGGTCTCGGACAGCGTCCAATGCCATTTCGAACATGCGCAAGTGCAAGTAAGTAATTGGCGAGAATGAACCACAGGCAACCAAAATCAGAGGCGACTTGGACTCATCCTTCATCACAGTAGCTAGACGGTGAACAGGAAACTCGTAGTCGGCGAGTTGGGTTGCTTGCCGACGAACGTTTTTGGGCACCTCCTCCAAATTGGCGGATATCTGGTAGGCAGGCTCATGAATCTCGGGCACAACGAACTTCTGCGTTATATCAGTGTTTGTTGGGATTCCCTGTGGAATATCTAGCGACGAACCACTGTCGTCGGACTCATCTCCACTGGTACCTTGGGCCGACAGCATCGGGGTAGTGGTTGTGCCAGTGGTATCAAAAAACGGCTGAATGGGGGCATTGTCTGGAATTTGACTCACAGACATGTTACGGCAAGACGTCTCAGATATCTCACTTGGAGGCACAAAGTCCAGGTTTTTTCTGGGATCCATGTTGCGAAAGCGCAGCCTCCGTTGAGCAGGATAGATGATGTGACTAAGTGGTGAGAGGGGTAGATAAGGTGCTAGAGGCGTCAAAGAGGGTGAAAAAGTGGTTGTTTTTTTCACAAAGGTGTTGGTAGTGGAGGGCTCAGATGTCGTACAAATTTTAGGTCGCTAGAACCTGTTTTTCATTCGTCACTTTCGAGCAAGCTAGTTGCCATTTAAGCACGCTTGCTGGGCCGCAATGTGCCCTAAACCTGAAACTTTGACGCACATTATTTTCAGAGATTTTCACGAGCGCTGATATGGTTAGATTCTCGAGATACGGACTAGAGTTATAGTTAAGCAGCAGGTATTTAGAGCGACTGCGATTCAAGCAGAGCTGCCCGAGCAGACTTCGCGGGCTCGACCTAATACCTCCTGACGGTGTCTGGCATCAGCGGGTGCAGCGCTGCAGGATAGGCTTTTCATTCACGAACTGTGTGTGTATTAGCATCAAATACAGGCTCCCCTGCTCGAAACAACCGAATAAGCTCGACTATATGCATAGCTCACATGGCCGCAGCGCCGACGGCTGCGCATGACTCTAGACGCAAATCCTCAGCTACAAAGCCCAGGGTTAAAAGCTATTGAATAATACTATACCGCAATCAGAGACTGCTCTATTTTGAAGATCTGTCCGCCACGTCTCATTGATAAAACAACCACGCTGACCCCGATTAGTGGTGAGCACCGTGAGACTTGTAGCCGTAAATGTGACGACGGCCAATAATCTCACCAAGAGAGAACAAACCGAGAAGCTGGACAAGGACAGCAGAGCCCTTGATGACCTTCTGCTTGTCCAGACCAGACACGCGGTCAATCAACATCTGCGGTTTGGCGAAAGTGGTACGGGCGCACTGAACGTAGGAAAGCAGGTCCTGGGAGAAAACCTTCTGAATCTGCTGCGTGGTGGGAGGAGACAGAGCCTCCTTGGTCCAGATGTACTTGCCAAGCTCGAGGGTGACCTTGGACCAGTAGACGGCGCAGTTGACGAGGTCAGTGCTCTTGTTGACAACCTTGGAAACCATGTTCTGGGCCTTTGCGCCAGAAGAAGTGGAGTTGAAGCGAACCTGTTTGGGAATTAGTTGACGGTTGACCAAACGCAACATTTTGAAAAATTTAAAAGTGTAGTTATAGGTGGACTAATTTCGATGTTTGTAATGGGACGAAAACGTCAGCAGCCAATGAGCGGCCGGGTTACCCGGCGTTGGCTATTCCGCCGGCTTAGACGCGGGCATTTTTGAGCCGCACCAATTTTTCGGCGCCTATGGGTCCGGTCGGTGTATTCCGTTCGTTTTCATTTCTTAATACTCATAGTAATAGCAAGATACGCCGGCCCTCCTCATGTCTCCTCTAAGCCGGCGCTTACGCAATCTAAAAAGCCACCAACCGGCCAAAACTACTATTATGGCTCAACCAATTGTTCTTGATCAGGGTACTGGATTCGTCAAAATCGGTCGTGCGGGCACGAACTTCCCGGATTACACGTTCCAATCCATGGTCGGTCGGCCCATTCTGCGTGCCGAGGAGCGCACCGACGGCCTGGAAATCAAAGACATTATGTGCGGCGACGAAGCAAGCGCGGTGCGTTCGGCACTGCAGGTTTCTTATCCCATGGAGAACGGTGTTATCCGCAATTGGGAAGATATGGAGCATTTATGGGACTACTCGTTTTACAACAAGATGCGCATTGACCCGTCGCAGCACAAGATTCTGCTCACTGAGGCGCCGCTCAATCCTCTGGCTAATCGCGAGCGAATGGTGCAAACCATGTTTGAAAAGTACAACTTTAATGGTGTTTATGTCGCTATTCAGGCCGTGCTCGCTCTGTACGCTCAGGGTCTCAGCTCCGGCGTGGTTGTCGATAGCGGTGACGGTGTTACCCACATTGTTCCTGTGTACGACTCTGTGGTGCTCAACCATCTCACCCGGCGTATCAACATTGCGGGCCGCGATATCACCCGTCAGATGATCAACCTTTTGCTGCGTCGCGGTTATGCCTTCAACCGTACCGCCGACTTTGAGACCGTGCGGTTGATCAAAGAGAAGTTCTGCTACGTTTCTTACGATCTTGACTTCGACAAGAAACTCACTGAGGAAACAACTACTTTGATGGAAGCATACGAGCTTCCCGACGGCCGGGTCATCAAACTGGGCCCCGAGCGGTACCTTGCTCCCGAGTGCCTCTTCCAGCCGTACTTGGTGGACTCTGAGGCTCCCGGTTTGGACGAGGCGGTGTTTGGTGTAATCCAGAGTGCAGAGGTGGACCTCAGGTCAACCCTCTACAAGGCGATTGTTTTATCGGGTGGCACTTCAATGTACCCCGGTCTGCCATCTCGACTGGAAAAGGGTCTCAAGCAGCTGTGGCTCACAAAGGTTGCAAACAACGATGCATCACGCCTCGACAAGTTCAAAGTCCGCATTGAGGACCCCCCACGCCGTCGTCACATGGTCTTCTTGGGCGGTGCAGTTTTGGCAAACATTATGGCTGATAAAGACCAGATGTGGATCTCTAAACAGGAATGGGAGGAAGTCGGTCCCCGGGCTCTTGAAAAACTTGGTCCACGCTAGTTGACTAGCTGGCTGGTCTCTATAAATTATGTACAATTTTTTTGCTCTTTTCTAGACTTTTTCTCGAGGCCGCATCTTGCCCATCTGAAGACGCTGCATCCGGTGCAGACGACGCAGCAGTGTCCATACAATTGCGATTGAAACAAACCCCATCAAGCCGGTAACGGCAGCGAACCCCCAATTAGTGTCTTCGATAAAGTTTTTCAAGTTCATCCCGTAGAGGGCTGCTATCACCGATCCCGCGCTGAGGCCCAGCATTCCGATCTGGAACTTGAGCTCCAGACTCATCAGAGAATTTCTGTTCGCGTCCAGCACGATATTGATGATCTCCTCTGTGCTCTTGATGTTTGATCCCAGAGTCTCTGTAGCTTGCACGATTTCGTCGCAGTAGTTATAGTAAGATTCAAGCATGATTTCAGCATCAGACGTATCAGCGGCTTCTTCGCCCTGGCGTCGGGCAGTCAAGTAAAGATCCTGCATGTCTTCGTCATTGTCCAAAAGATCCTGCAAAGCGTCTCTAATCAAAGTTGCCTTTTGCAAAAACGACGACATTTGCTTGGACTGAAGCAAAAGCCTCCTCAGCTGGTCGCGCTCAATGTTTTGTTCGAGCTCGGCCAAAAGGCTATTCACCAAATGGGTTTGCACCTGCAGGTCTGAATCAAGAGCCGACGTAACAGACACTAAAACTGCTTCAAGTGCTCGCAATTCATAGGGTAACGACGACCCGGCCTGGTTTCGCAGCCGGTGCTCCAGATCATAGAGAAACATGCTGTGGGCGCGTGTATCGGTATGGCCAAAAACATCGAATAATATCACCGAGTCGGATTTGATGAGCGCTCTAATATGAAGCAAGTGGATCAAAATCGAGTTTTCACGAACTAGGATCGCCGGCACAATGTTGTGGGTACTCACATCGACTTTTCGAAGATCCCGCGGAAGCAAGCCGTGCTTCGACAGCAGTTCAGATCGTTTAAACTCACCATTGGCAACCTTCGTGTGCCCCTCGCTGTCCAGTACTGTGCATCGCATAAGACTGCCTGTTGAAGACCTCAGCGCCCGGCCTAGAATCATGTTTGTTTCCTCGTCGGTGGGCACTCGTCGCTTCGCTGGTGGCACAGGCGGTTTCGGGTCCGTGGAGATAGCATTGCGTCTACCAAGCGTCCAGCGACTATACGGTTTGAAAATGGCTCTTGCCAGAAGCCTTGCGACCATAGATCTCACACAAAACTCTGCTTTTCTCGAACCAAAAAAAAATTATTTGGGATGTCCACTTCAAGCTGACTACAATTTCTCAGAAACATAGGCTTACTATTTGGGATGTTTACCTCACGAGGGCTCTTGCTCATCATCTAACTTTCTTGTTTATAAAGAGAACCTGGAGTCGCGAGAATGCGAGACTTGTCTTTGGCGAACTCGTCGTCGGCAAGTGATGCGTCATTGAGAACCGCAGCCTCTGGCCACCGGGTTTTGTCGGTAGACCAGTTCGTTCTTGAAGAAGAGCTGGGCACCGGCTCGTTTGGAACAGTGTATCGTGCTCGAGACCTCGTTCTGGACCGGACATGTGCGGTCAAGAAAATCGATATGGACGAGACGTCCGACGACATTGAAGAAATCCAGCGTGAGATTTCAATTTTGGCTGAGTGCCACGATCCCCGCATCACCCGCTATTTTGGCTCTTTTGTCAACGGTTACAAGCTCTGGATTATTATGGAGTATTTAGGTGGCGGTTCGTGTCTGGACCTCATTAAGGTGTCTCGTGGATTGCCAGAGTCCGTAATTGCCTGGATTATAGCTGAATTGCTACGAGGCTTGGACTATCTCCACACAAACGGTAAAATCCACCGAGACATCAAAGCAGCAAACATTTTGGTGTCTGAGGATGGTGCAGTCAAGATTGCAGACTTTGGCGTAGCGACTCAACTGTCAAACAACTTATCCAGACGCAACACGTTTGTAGGCACTCCCTTTTGGATGGCACCCGAGGTGATCAACCAGGAGGACTATACTTACTCGGCAGATATTTGGTCACTGGGTATCACAGCGATGGAACTCGCTAATGGAGAACCGCCGTTATCTCATTTGCACCCCATGAAAGTCATATTTTACATCCCTCGGAACCCTCCTCCAATGCCTAGCAGCGCGTTTTCTCGTGAATTCCGCGACTTTGTGGGTCAATGCCTTCGCAAGTCTCCTGCTGAGCGCTCATCTATCTCATCTTTACTGAAACACAGATTCTTGGCCAAGGCTTCGCGTAGAGACTTGACGAAACTCGTTGACAAACGGCTGGCCATGAAACTAACCAAAAGCTCTACGCCTATACCTGCAACAATGAGCAGCAGCTCAAACTTCTATTCGAGTGCTGATGACGACGACGACTGGGATTTTGATACCGTTAAACCCGAAAGTGCTCCAACTTCAAGCGGGTCAAGTGGATCAAGCCTTAATGCCAGTGCTACTCAGAACAAAGCGAGCGTGCTCTCGCCCATTCCATCCCCACAACCAGGACAAAAGGAGCGCAGAAAAACGGATACTATCAAAACTATTCAAGAAACTATGCGGGACCGTCGTGGACCTTTACTACGAATATTTTCTCATGCCGCCCAGAAGTTCGACGACCAGACCTTAGCCGAGATCGCGGATGTGCTCAGTATAGAGCCATTGACAATGGAATCGGAAACCTATCTTGTCAAGAAAATAGGCAGGGTGGCAGTAGACAAGCTCGATATCAAACCCAAAGACAATCATAAGCGACTTGATCCAGTTGAAGACATTCTATTGACAAAATGGCTGGCAGAAGCTCAAAAGCGACACAAATAGTTTTATTTTCGAGCGTTATTTATAGTTATTCTGATGAACACACAAAAGGACAGTACTCAAGCTCCACAATCTCCACTCTGGCCCCGGTTCTTTGAACGGCTAGTTTTAACTCCTCGTACTCTTTGTTGCAGCTAACATAGTGATGAAACCATGTCCCCCATCCTTGAGAGGCTCGGTGGTTGAGATCAATCCACCTGTAACATATTCCACAAAGACCCATCCAGCGGTCCCCTCTGGGTGACTTCATACTTTTGATCACCAAAGGGTCCTCCATAACATAAGTTGTAGCAAGAATTCCATGCTCAAAGTTTTTATGGTATAGGTAGCCACTATTTTTCATTCGATAGAACCCGCCCTCGGGACAGTTGTCGCACCATCCATACTTTGACGCGCCGCAACCTTTCACAAACGCCGGTCGATATAGGTCGAAAGTCTTGACTTTTTCCACAAACCCATTCTTGCCGCCTATTTCCTCGATATCTTTAGGGTCACGCGCAATACACCGCCTATAATATTCTGTTGGTAAGTAGGGGCAGTAGGTGGCAGGAATATACTTTCCTGAATCGTCTAAAGACAAAGCAGCATAGTGATTGTATCTTCTCGGAGGCCTGGAAGATAGAATTGATATTGCGACTGACAACTCCTCCAAGTTGACACCCGAGCCTAGTTCGTCAGTTAATCGGAAAAAGGGCCGCTGTTTACTTTCGGGAACCCAGCTCTCACATATAGTGAACAAGCCAGGATGAACAATGGAAGAAGCCGGTTGAGGCTGTTGTTGTGGAATACCGTTCTTCCGCCAGGGTTTGCATAGTACGAGTTTGTCAACTCCCGAAATATGCGAGCTGGGGTCTGGGGTGATAGCTTTAGAAATAGTTTTGATGAATTGATCACAGAGATCTGTTTCAATAGGAATTTCAGACGCATTTTCTGGCATACGCGTTAGAGAGTTAGAAAGTACTGATCGTGTTCGGGTAGTGGAGCGCCCGCTATAACGGTTTCGAGGCAAAACATCCGCGAGGTTCTTATTTGAGACCAGCGTGAATCTGGTTGAATTTTCAGGAATAACCAAATAGTCTCTTATTTGTTCCAATCCGGACCCAGCTGTGACGAATGTTTGAAAATGACAACTAGGACAAGAGCTGACAGTGGGTGTTTCCAAGGGCACAGGGGTTTCCGGTGCTTTGGCAAATGTAACCGGAATCATTCGTGGGGTCAATGCTTGTTCAATAGACTGTGACCAAAAGTCTGGTGGTTCACTACCGGGCATAGACTGTAAACATAACATAGGGTCAATGTTACACTCGGATGAAGGCAGGTTGTTAGGAGAGGTAGGTAAGCCCACAAACTCCTTGTCGACCACCATTTCACCTTCACTATTACAGTATACTGCTTCTTCGGTACGTGTATCGATAAACAGTTTCCCTAAAGCGTTATTGGTGGACGCGACAGAGCTGGGCGGGGTCGGGGTTGGTGCTAGCACTGGGCTCATGGGAGAGAGCGGAGAGAAGGAGATATACGACATGGGTTCACCAAGAAACTCTTTAGGATGTGGCTGGAGGGGCTCCGAACCAAATATCGCATCATAGCCCATCTGAAGAGTTAACGCAGGATCCAGGGGTAAATCTGTGCAAACAAACTGGTCGTCTAAGTTAAAGTCCAGGTCGTTGGTTTCGTTGTTAGGAAGTAAAGTGTTTTGATTCCATTCTACGGGCTCCAGGATTGTGCTCAAGGTTTGTGAAATCAAATCGTTACATTGAGGAGCAAGCTCCGCAAGGATCCACAGAGGCGCGCAATCTGTGGATTCGCTCTGGCTTTCAGTACTTCTTGGTTTAGTAGACATAGCAATGGCGCAAAGCAAGCGAAACAAGGAAGAAAGCGGAACGTTGTACTGTTGTGTTATCTTTTTTGTCACCACAACAATGCCAATACTCCAGCCTATTGTACTAGGGATTTACGATACCGTAGAATGGGTTTATATTAAGCTACAAAACCGACTTGCGCTGCCTAGTCCTGCTCGGCAATCGCGACCAAGCGCTCCTCAATCTCGTCAACGGTGAGGGTGCGGAAAGAGCCATCGGGCAGAGCCACGCCAACCTCGATGTCATTTTTACGGAAATCCAATGCCAACACGTTTGACAGGGCGATGATCGCCTCTTCGACAACTTGCTGCCAGTCTCCAGATACATGCTCTTTGTTTTTGAGTTTCTTTTCCAAATAAATCATGCCCTCTTGCTGCTTCGGGCCTGTGGCGGTAGCCTTATAGCCTGTGTAGTAACCAGCTGGATCGCACTTGTAAACCAGCGGCCCGCGCTCGTCATCGACGCCAATGAGCGTCATGGCTACACCGAGGGGCCGCATATAAGCACGCTGGGTGTAGACCTGGTTGATATTGGCCATGCGCTTAGCCAAAGCATCTACGGGCATCTCGTAGCCGTGTTTGTGGCGGAACTCAGCAGCCTCTGAACGGGCCCGCGACACTGCGGCACGGGAGTCGCCAATGGGGCCAGTCATGGTTGCGCCAATGGTACGCGAAATGGGGAAAATGTAGGAGACGGTTGCGGGATCCAGCAGCTTGTCGCCTACCTTTTTCTGAGACACCATGACGGCAGAATCTTTACCCTTGACGGCTACTGAGGTAAGATTGGTCGATTTGATGGCCTTGAACGCATACTCGACCTGATACAGTCGGCCCTCAGGCGAGAAAATCGTAATGTGGCGATCAAACCCGGAATTCGACATGACAAATGGCCAGGTTTGTCGGGTGGGTGGAGTTGTGCTTATGGCATCGACGTTTTCCCGCGATAGCAAAAGCGAGGAAGAGCGGCCGCTATATGAAGACTTTACAAACGGATGGAAGCCAAAGGTATCGTATCACTTTAATGAGGAGGCAGCACAGTTTCATTTTGGCATGAAACATCCGATGAAGCCGTTTCGGTTGATGCTCACGGATCACTTGGTATTGAGCTACGGGATGCACAATAAAATGGACTGGTATAAGCCGCGGGCGGCTACCGAGGACGAGATTGAGCAGTTCCATGCCGATGAGTATGTCAAGTTTCTGCAGAGCGTGACGCCGTCTACCTTGGACCAGTTTCCCGACGCGCCGTCCAAGTTCAATATTGGAGACGACTGTCCTATATTTGATGGACTGTATGAGTATGCTAGCATTTGTGCAGGCGCAAGTGTTGATGCCAGCCGCAAATTAATTAATGATCAAAGTGATATTGCCATCAACTGGTCCGGTGGTCTTCATCACGCCAAAAAGTTTGAAGCCTCAGGGTTTTGCTATGTCAACGACATTGTTTTGGGTATTTTGAACCTGCTGCGGGTATATTCCCGTGTATTGTATATTGATATCGATGTTCATCACGGTGATGGTGTTCAAGAAGCCTTCTATTTAACAGACAGGGTCATGACTCTATCTTTCCACAAATATAATGGCGAGTATTTCCCGGGAACCGGCAGCCTGGACGAGATAGGTGCTGAAAATGGCAAGCATTACAGTCTTAATGTGCCGCTACGAGACGGTATAGATGATGAGTCCTACACCAGGCTGTTCAAATCGATTCTCGAACAGGTTTTGGTCAAATTCCGGCCCGAGGCAATTGTTCTGCAGTGCGGCGCTGATTCTTTAGGCGGCGACCGTCTTGGCCGTTTCAATTTGAATATCCAAGCCCATGCGGAATGCGTGCGATTCACAAAATCTTTCAACATCCCCCTGATGGTGTTGGGCGGCGGGGGGTACACACCTCGAAATGTTTCGCGCCTGTGGGCATACGAAACAGCTGTTTGCTTAGGAATAGAACCGGACACGGAACTGCCCGCTAATTTGCCGTTCTATCAGCATTTCGCTCCAGATTATAGTCTGTTCCCCCAGCTTTCTGGGCTGGTGGAAAATCACAACTCCCGCGGTTACTTGGAATCAGTGCATTCACAGGTTCTAGAACAGCTGAGATATTTAAACGGCGCCCCGTCGGTCCAAATGCAAGCGATTCCGCCAGATCTTTTTGGCCAAACGACCGAACACGACCAGCAGATAGCCGAAGCCCGGATCGATCCTGACGCACGTGATCTAACCCTGGATGCGAAAGATAACGCGCGGCAAGGTGAGCTGGTTGAAGGGTGATGACTGAGTGCTTACTGCATCGAGCGAAAAAAAAATATAGGGAATCCGCATAGGGTCAACCTGTTGTAATTTTCCGAGATGTGGGGTAAGCACCAGTAAGGTGATAAGGTGTGCCGATAAGCATACCCGGCGCTGCGAAACCACACTATATATAACTGAGCTAAATTAGGGGTTTCTCGCTGTAAAAAAAATCGGTGATTATGCGCCTCTTGACCCCTCATCGTCGGCCAAACCTTCCTTTTTCTGGAGTGGGGTAGCGACCACCCTGGAAAGGAGGAATATTAGTCAGGCCACCGGAGCCGAAAAAGCATGCGGTAATGTGGGAGAGATTTATTTAGTCAACGCACGACATATTCCTCGAACTTCTACCCGACTCGAGAGTATTTGATTAAAATAATCTGCTACCGCGGACCCACTGAAACCTACTAATCCACAGAATGAATCTGTCTGAACCTAAAAGGCACGATGCCTCCAAGCAGCGTTTCCTGAAACATGCCACCCATCGCGACGAACAGGGTAATCTGTATTTGAGCGAGCAGGACTTTGTTGAGGCCGTCGCACCGCCCAATGAGAATTACGAGAAGGTGCATCGCAACTCGTACGCCGTTCTGTTTGGTGTCGCCGACCACTCCAAGCAGGGCCGTGTGTCTCTGAACGATTGGCTCGCTTTCGACAACCTGCTCGAGCAGCCCGACGCTGAGTTCCAGATCGCTTTCCGTGTCTTCGACACCGAGGGTGCTGGCTACGTCAACTTCAAGGAGTTTGTCAACATCTACAATGCTAACCGGTCGTCCAATTCGCTGCCATTCGACTGGAACTCTAAATGGGCTGCTCTGTACCTTGGTGAGTCTGGCCAACGCCATAATATGTCCTACCAGCAGTTTTCCCAGATGGTCAGCGGCTTGGTTGGCGAGCGTATCCGTCAAGCATTCCAGCATTTCGACAAAAAGAAGACTGGGTTCATTACTCCTGACGAGTTTGAGGAGATCATGAAACGCACCGCTCAGCACAAGCTCAGCAACAGCCTGCTCGAGAACCTGCACACCGTTACCCAGCGGCCAAATTCCATTTCGAGCAAGGTCTCCTATGCTACGGTCCGTGCCTTTGTCAACCTTGTCAACCACACCGAGTACGTCGAAAAGATTGCCCGGGAGTCCAGTCGTGATAATCACTTTACCCGTAAAGATTTTATGGAGAATGCCGCACGCTCTGCCCGCTTCTTGAACTTTACTCCTCTTGAGATTGACTTGCTATTCCACTTTGCTAATGATGGCGACAGCAATGACTCGGCCTCGCTCGAGAAATTCGAGCAGATGTTCAACCCCCAATGGCAGGATGTTTACAGCCGCTATCACGCTGCGCAACAACATAAGGTTGCGGCCGCCAAGAACGCTGCATCAGATCCCCGCTCCTTCTTGTCTGAAGTTTTCGAATCTGTATACAACTTTACCTTGGGCTCTGTTGCCGGCGCATTCGGTGCTACCGTCGTTTACCCCATCGATCTGGTGAAGACGCGTATGCAGAATCAGCGCAAGGCAAAACCTGGCCAAGCTTTGCTGTATAAGAATTCTTGGGACTGCTTCAAAAAGACCGTCCATAACGAGGGCTTCCGTGGCCTCTACTCCGGTCTGGGCCCTCAATTGATCGGTGTTGCCCCAGAAAAGGCGATCAAGCTTACCGTGAACGATCTTGTTCGTGGTATTATGACGAAACCCGATGGCAGTCTGGACTTGTGGGCTGAGATTATGGCTGGTGGATCTGCAGGTGCTTGCCAGGTCGTATTCACCAACCCTCTTGAAATCGTCAAGATTCGTCTTCAGGTCCAGGGTGAAATGGCCCGCCATGAAGGCGTTCCCAAGCGCTCTGCTGTGCATATTGTCCGCCAATTAGGTCTAGTTGGCCTCTACAAGGGTGCGACTGCCTGCTTGCTTCGTGACGTGCCCTTCTCAGCCATTTACTTCCCTACCTACGCTCACCTGAAGAAGGACTACTTCAATGAGGGACCTGGTCATCCTCTCAAGACCTGGCAGCTCCTGGTGGCCGGTGCAGTTGCTGGTATCCCTGCTGCATACTTGACCACACCGTTTGACGTGATCAAGACTCGATTGCAGGTGGAAAGCCGTAAAGGCATGACCCAGTACAACGGTTTGCGCCACGCGGCGTCTATTATTTGGCATGAGGAGGGCTTCACAGCCTTCTTCAAGGGCGGTCCCGCCCGTATCCTGCGCTCTTCTCCTCAGTTCGGCTGCACCCTAGCCGCCTACGAAGTCCTGAAGAGACTGCTGCCTTTCCCCGGCAGCGGCAAGAACTCCGAAGCTGGCCATTCAGTGCGTACTGCCGACTTTGCTCCGGAGCCCCCCGTCAAATATTTGCGATCGCGTAACAGTCTCAAGGTGTTGCTGGACATCGATGAGAACTTCGGCAAGCCTTGGGCAAAGAAATTTTAAAACAGCGTTTTATGACTTGTGATGCTACACTATCAATATTTTTGGGCGTAGAGATTTAGAGCCACAAAAGTTTCTGTAAAAGACATTTAAATCTATACACGTTTAATACTCTCATTAGCCAGGGCAAGGGATGATGTTTAAACAAGCATCCGTTTGGTTGGTTACTAAGTGGTCATTCTCTAAAATCTCGACTTTTTAAATGAGTGAAGAGGTAGGTGAGATGCCTCTAGCCAATGATGTGGCAAGCATGGTACGCCGTTATTTACCTCAATTTCCCGATCTAGAAACGGACGAGGAAATGGTATTCACCTGGGAGATCACGGATTGGCACAGCCTTCCCGAGCGCGCCCTCTCGCCAGTGTTTGAGGCCGGCGGGTTCCGTTGGCGTTTGCTGCTTTTCCCTGAGGGCAATGGCTCGTCTTGTCGCGGGAGAATCTCACTGTATTTACAAATCCAGGATCAAAACGAGTCCCCGGAAACGCCACTTCCCAAAAGCGATGAGCCCGGCTCCGACGACAAGCAATTGCCGGCAGCTTCGCGTTGGCACGTTTGCTGTCAATTCGCCTTAGCAGTTTGGAATCCACAACATCCTGATGCATATATTTGCCAAATGGCTCACCATCGTTATAACCCACGCACTATGGACTGGGGATACTCGCACATGTGCGAGGTGCGGAGTGCCCTGACCAGAGGTACTCGTCCGGCTGCGCTCATTGAGAAGAACAAGGTCAATATCACGGCCTTTCTTCGTACAATCAAAGATCCCACGGGTATTCTCTGGCATGATTTCGTCGACTATGACTCTCGACTCGAAACAGGCTACACTGGTCTCACCAACCAGGGCGCCACTTGCTATCTCAATTCGTTGCTGCAGTCGTTGTACTTCACCCGCGTATTCCGTCGGGCAGTTTATGAGATCCCAGCCGGTGATTCAGAGTCTGTGACTAGTGGACTTCAGCGGCTTTTTTATCTTTTGGCAACATCGCCCACCCCCGTAAATACCAACTCGCTAACTCGGTCATTTGGCTGGGACACGGCTGATGCTTTCACGCAGCACGATGTCCAAGAACTGAACCGTGTGTTGATGGATAGACTTGAGTCAAAAATGAATGGAACAAGCGTTGAAGGTGTTTTGACGAAAATTTTTGTTGGCCAAATGAAAAGCTTCATTAAATGCATCAATGTCGACTTTGAGTCTGCTCGTGTAGAAGATTTCTGGGATATTCAGCTCAATGTCAAAAACATGAAGGACATTTACGCATCCTTCCGTGACTACGTGCAAACCGAAGTTCTTGAAGGCGAGAACCAATACCATGCTACGGGCTATGGATTGCAAGACGCAAACAAGGGTGTTATCTTTGAAAGTTTCCCCCCTGTACTTCACTTGCAGCTCAAGCGATACGAGTATGACTTTTTGCGTGACGTCGAAGTCAAGATCAACGACCGTTTCGAGTTCCCGCTGGATCTAGATCTGCAGCAGTTCCTTGACCCTGAGAGTGATGCGGTCAAAGAAGCGGCTGCAAAAGGTGAACCCTGGGAGTATGCTTTACACGGTGTTCTCGTTCACTCTGGTGATCTAAATGCTGGTCATTACTATACTTTGTTGAAGCCGGAAGCCAATGGCGATTGGTTCAGATTTGATGACGACCGTGTTACACGGGCTTCACTAAAGGAGGTTCTTGACGATAACTTTGGTGGTGAACTTCCGAATTCCCGCGGTATTAAACGTATCACATCTGCATACATGCTTGTGTACATTCGCAAGTCTCGTCTGGAGTTTGTTTTGCCAAGCAGTGAAGACAAGTGGCCCTCAGCTCTTCCAGAATCGATCGCCGCAGAAAAGCGTGAAGAAGAGCAGCGTCGACGAGAAATTCAGGAGCAACGTCAGTACATGGCCATCAGATTGCTCAGTCGCCGTCAATTTGCAAAGCATTCTGGTGTTGGTCTTGCCACATGGACAGCTCGCCACAGTTCTGAAGTCGATGCTTCAATGCCGGAATTACTCAAGGTTCGGCGTAACCTCAAGATTGGCCAGCTTTATGCTGCTGTAGCTGAGCATTGTGGGTTTGATTTCATCCCGTCATTATGGTTGGTCTCGCCGCGTGAATACAGTGTCAAAAGAATTCACATGTTAGAGCCTCAGCATAATGAACACACTGTTGAAGAGCTAAGTAGTTGGAGCGATGGGCCCTACCCAGTGTTGTGGGTTCAGGAGAGTCCGGGATATTTGGAAGATGAAGTCTTGGTGTTTGTTAAAGAGTTTAATGTCTCGGCACTCAAACTCACTGGCGTTTCCACGGTTTGGATCAACAAAAAACAACCACTCTCAGCTGCGCTTGCTCAGTTCTCTAACCCCGGTACTCGATTTTATCATGAAAGAGAGAGCATGGTGGAAGAGATGAGCCCCTCGGCATTAGTCGGGGAACAGCTGGTGACGGGTGATATCATTGTGCTCGAAACAAATCTAGATAAAGACGCACTATACCCCTCTGCTTGTGAGTTTTATGACTTTTTGAATCACCGGGTTACACTCCTGTTACTGCCTCGGCCAGATGTTGAAGAGAGTGATGGCGATGAAGAACCAGAGCGTGTTCCTTCACCAGAAAAGGTTACTCCTGTGGTCCTCATAACATCTTCAAAAGAGCCCTACTCACAACTAGCTGAACGAGCTGCTGACGCGCTTGGTGGTGATATTGACCCGACGCATTTGCAGCTTTGGCCGGCTCCATACGAGTGGGAGCCCTTGCGTGAGCCTCTTCGTAACGATGGCTCAAATATGGACGACCTCATGCTTGTTGATTCGCCCTTATATGTTTATTATCGCGTGCTTGATCGTCCATTAGCTGAGTTTGAACAGATGATCGAGGTTCCAACCACATGGGTGCAAGACTATAGGTCTGAGCCTCAGACACTTCAAGTATTGGTATCGACCAATGCTACGGTATCTGAGTTGATCAGAGAGCTGGCCTCTCAACTTTCGCTACCAGCTGAAGATGTCCCCCGAGTGAAGATGTGGACTGCTCGTCACAATCGCACAGTTCGCACATGGACGCCTGCCATGCAAGTCAAAGAAGTGCTGATGCACGAAGGTAATTACGCTAGTCTCATGAGTCAAGAAGAACTGAATCTACGGAGCGCTGCAGCTGGAATTGCTCCCCTTGAGCAACGGCTTGTGACAGTGTTCCACTTCCAAAAGGATGATTTCCGGACCCATTCGATTCCGTTCACCTTTGTACTTCACGAGAATGAGCCATTCTCAGTCACACGAAAAAGAATCCAGCAGGAATTGGGTTTAGGCGACAAATCGTTCGAGAAAATCCGTATAGCAGTCTGTGGCTCACCGTCAAGAGTGCGCTATCTTGAGGACGATAACGAACAACTGTTCGAGTCAATGGGAGATGATGATGCAATTGGTCTAGATCATGCCGATAAGCGCCGCGTTGTGCACCAACAACAAGCAATTGTTATTAAATAGGGTTCTAGATGTAGACCAAATGTATTTAATCTGAAAATCTGAAAAAAAATTTGTCATCATGCCCCGAGGACCTCAGCTTCCTCGAGATCTTCTTGATAAACTTCAGGGAGATAAATATAATGATTGGAACCAAACACACAATTTTAAAGGTTCTAAATCTAGAAAGCAGCAGCGGAAGGAGCAGCGGCATCAAAAGAAGGCCGGAAGAGCTCCTGCTCGTGGTGAGATCAAGGGAAAGGAAATGACCGCCGAGGAGACAATGGCTGCCCTGGCTGCTGCCAAGAAACGAAAAGCCCCTGCTGAAACGAGTTTTCCGGCCAAAAAGTCCAAAGTGAAGCCGTTTGTTAGCCTACATGAAGAGGAATTGCGCCGAAAAGACGAAGAGGATGCAAAGTACTATGCCAAAAAGCTTGGCTTAAAAGGGTTGAAGCTGCCCAAAGGTGATGATGAACTTGGCGGACTCTTAGGAGACCTCGATTTTGATCGTTTCAGCGATTTGGACAAGCAAGTGGGAAGTAGCAGCGAGAGTGATCCAGATATCCTAGGGGAGTCTGACGTCGACGTCCCATTGAATAAGGACTCAGAAGAATCCATCGAAATTCCTTGGACTGATGATTCTCTGTCAGAGGGAGACTTTGATTCTGAGGCAGAAGCCGAGGCAGGCTCTGGCGACAACGGTTCTGATCACGATCATGAAGAAGCGTCAGAGGGTGAGTTTATTGAGAACCCATGGACTGACGACTCGTTATCCGAAGGTGATTTTGATGAGGAAGAAAGTGGTAGCGAAGAAGAACCTCAAAATAAAAACGGATCCGTTGAACAGCCATGGAGTGACGATTCGCTTTCAGAGGGTGACCTCGACAGTGATGGTGAAGCCTCTGAAAATGGAATCGAAATGACTGCTGAACAGACAATGGCCGCTCTGAAAGCTGCTAAGGCTGGTAAAAGTAAAAAGTCGGCAGGTGAAATGACTGATGAGGAGACAGTGGCTGCACTACGAGCTGCCAAGGAGGCCAAATCCAAACCAGAGAACCCATATGCGCCTGCAGGAGGGAAATACGTTCCACCCTCTAGAAGAAAGCTCGAGACCACCAAATCTGAAGAGGAAACCAAGCTACAGCGACAAATTAAAGGTGCACTGAACAAATTGGCTGAAGCGAATCTCAATGCAATTGTCAACGAGATCGAAGGCTATTTTGTTCAGCATACGCGTGCGATGGTTTCAAATACTTTGTCGACTATTATTATTGAGAGCGTTTCTTCGCAGGGGACCCTGCAGGCTAATTTTTTGCTTGTACATGCCGGGTTAGTTGGCGCTCTATATCGCACAGTGGGTGTAGACTTTGGTGCTGAATTCATTCAGCTGCTTGTTGAAGCATTTGAGAAAGCATGCAAAAGCGGTGATGATATTAAGCAAGCCAATAACCTCGTGCAATTGCTGGCCGAGTGCTACGCCATGCAAGTGGTCGCGCCTGCGCTCGTCTATGACGTTATTCGCGAGCTTTTAGGCGACCTTAATGAAAATAACACTGAACTTTTGTTGAGTATTGTTCGCAGCTGCGGTACTCAGTTACGTTCAGATGACCCAGAGTCGTTAAAGGAGATCATCGTTCTTCTTCAGAGCAGTGTAGGTAAAGTTGGCCAGTCGTCACTGTCGTCCCGAACAAAGTTTTTGATCGAGAGTATTGTTGCTCTCAAGAACCAGCGGCAAAAGTCCTCGAACGAGGGCGTGCTTGAGCTGAGACATCGCTTGCGAAAGGTGCTTGGTGGAATCAAGGGCCAAGTCTCTGACCCGTTGCGGGTTACGTTGGATGATATTCGAAACATAGATACAAGAGGAAAGTGGTGGATTGTCGGTGCTGCATGGGCAGGACAGTCAAGGTCCACTGCAAAAGACCACGATCAGAAAGAAGTCGACGACATGATTGGTTCCGCAGAGCCGAATTGGCTCGAGCTGGCCCGGAAGCAACGGCTCAATACCGACATTCGTAGAGCCATCTTTGTCGCCTTGATGGGTGCAGAGGACTACATTGATGCGTGCCAGCGTATTGACAAGCTGCATCTCAAAAACAAACAGGCTCGCGAGGTCCCGCACGTCATTCTACACTGCTGTGCGAACGAAAAAGTTTACAATCCTTACTACTCTTTAGTCGCTGCCAAGCAATGTACCCAGCACCAGATGCGGAAGACTATGCAGTTCACTCTGTGGGACTTTTTGGGCGTTTTAGAGAATGGGTCGTCAAATGTGCAAAAGACCATGCACTACGCCAGGTTTTACGCATCGCTAGTAACCCAAGGGGCACTTGGCCTAGACATTCTGAAAAATGTTGATTTCCTGACTGCCAACGACGATCTGCGAGTTTTTCTCGAGGTGTTCTTTGTGTACCTGTTTCGAGCCCTTGGCAAGCAGGCCGAAAAGCAGTCATCTCACAATATGGTCGAAGGAGCCCAGCGTGATGCCAAGGGTCTTGCTCAGCTGCTTTCACAGACCAAAGACAAGACCATTTTGCGAGGTATCCAGCATGTCTTGCCCCAGGTCGCGACGTCTACAGCGGTGGGATCCGGCAAAAACGCAGAGCGTGTGAAATGGTGCACAACTCTAGCCAATGAACTAATCCAAGAGTTGGCAGCACGTGAGCATTCTGCTGATTTACGCAATTAATATTTATAGATACTATGCTTTTGCTTGGAGATCTCGTTTGCGGAAATCCGTGCTGCTGACTTTGGCGTCACCGCCAATAAGCCCAACCTCTACGATTGTCAATTTCTTCCAGCCTTTGCTTTCGCGGTAATCGTTCACCATTCCACCCCCGGATCTTGTTTCGTGACTGACCACTAATGCATCAATGTCTTCGACAGTACCTGTGGGGCCGTAGATATCGTTAATTTCCTCGGTGTAAACCTCCAGACCCGGAAACACATAGCCCACAAAGTTGCGAACTGCTGCTTCGCGCACATTGTACGCATCCATTGCTTCGGCATGCTTTTTGTTCTTGAGAAGTTCTGGTCCAGTTACCCCAACAATCAGCCGGGTCCTAGCCAAGAATCCAGCAAGTGTCAAGAGCAATTTGTGGCCAATGTGTAAATGATCAAACGTGCCTCCAACTGCAACTGCTGCAAAGCCGTTCTGGGAGGATGCTGAGGTGCCGTCCCCAACTTCCAAATTGGTTACCGGCCCAGCGGGGAACTGCTGGCTAGAGGGCAAAACTGACCTGTACTTTTCATCAACACCCTCCTGTGCATATATTTTGTCATATTTGATGTCTTTCAGATACCTCGGAAGCACAGTCGTGTCTGCGGGGTTATCGACGCTGCGAGTGTACTCATACAGCGTGCGCACAACATTTTCGAACGCCTCTAGTTTTTCTGGCACATGGGTTAGTACAATGTCCAGTTTCCCACCAGTGCGGGCAAGCTTAACTGCCTCAATTACCGACTTTTGGCTGACTTTCGTGGGGTCGACTACCAACGCCAGATGCATGACAAATTGGAAGCTTGAATGGAGCTCAGGGCGAAATGGGTGGAGACCCAGGCCGAGATAAAGGGCGTTTTAGCGGATCTGCGAGCCGAAACCATTAAACAGACTTGCTGGGATTTGTTTCAGAGTAACATGTTTATTGGCAAAATCACATTTACTCGACTTGTGCTGTCACTTTGTCAAGAGAAAGACAACCGGGAGCTGGCCGTGGTTGTGGCTGTTGTAAATTCCGAATTGCCGGGTATTGGCGAGTTCGTTTTGACCCACTTGGTTCAGCTATTCAAGGAAAATGTTAAAAGCTCGCTCAATGTCGCATTGTTTGTCGCTGACCTGTATAATCACGGCATGGCCCGCTTGGAGCTGGTTGCGCAAATGATTTTACTATTGCGGTACTTTGAGGTGCCTGACACGATCAAAGTGCTTGCCAGAGTTCACCAAAAGACCGATGTTAGGGATTATTTGGAGGAAAAAGTGGGTGTGCCTGTTTATGATGCGTTTGATCTGGATTTAGTTATGGACAAGTACAAGCATCGGCACCATCTGGACATTGATGCGAGTGCCGAGCCTCTATCCAAGCACGAACATGAATGGCTCGATGCAGAAAAATGGGCGGATATCCAACAACTAATTCTTGGCCTTCCAAAGCCCGAAGACGAGCCTGTTCAGCAGGAGGTGCTGCGAGAGGCACCCGCTCAAGCGGCTGAGACTCAACACATTGTTGACATGACACAAAATGAGGACGTTGATTTCAAAAAACAAGTCTACTTGGTGGTAATGTCTGCTCTAAGCGCCGAGGAGGCCACACACAAGGTGCTGCGGATGCGGAAGAACGCACGCGCGGTCGTGAGCGTACTGATTGAGATGGCCCGGCGTGAGAAAATCAGCAATCCGATGTATGGCAATATTGGCTATCGGCTGTGCCGGTTAGTTGATCAAGACTGGCGCTTGAGTTTCGAAGAGGAGTTTGCCGAACAGTACAACCAGATGCAGGAGTACGAGACGAACCAGATCCGAAATATCGGGACTCTGTACGGCTACCTACTCGCCTCGGACTCACTGGACTGGCAATGTCTCGCGGCCGTTAATTTGACCATTGACGGAAGCACCCCGTCGACGCGAATTTTCCTGCAATCGGTTTTCGAGGAGATGCGCAGTGAAATGGGCATGGAAGCGGTAGTTCGCCGACTCAAGGAGCCCGATCTGGCGGCCATTGGGATCTTCCCCGAGGCCCTGGACGATAAAAAGTTTGCCAGGGACTTTTTCAGAGCGATTAATATGGCTCCAATTGCTGATTTACTTCGTGCCCGGATAAACGCGGCTTCTGCATGAACTTACAAATCCCCCAACAAAAATAGGTACGGGGTGCATGAGCGGTCGGTGAATAGGCAGGAAAAGATCAAAGTATTTATTTTAGTTTAAGAAGCTGTTCTAGACCTCCACTTTGGGATCGAGACGCCGTAAACGAAGAATATACCCGGGCAAACGGCAATCGCCGGCCGGCGACTAGCGGCTTTCATGGCCCTTACCCTATAAAGAGCAGCACGGGGCCCTGCACCAATCGACGATTTCTACTCAGTACCCCGGCTGCTCACATAATTTTCTGATCCACAGGCATCTTCTCCTTCTCCCCCTCATTTACCAACCTACAAACAATGTATCGTTTGGCTACGAAAACTCAGTTGAAACGCACGGTCGGTGTTGTTCGCCCGGCCATGTTTGCTATGCGCAGCATGGCCACCGCTAACCAGGATCTGGACGTTGTGGTTATTGGTGCTGGCCCCGGCGGCTACGTGGCGGCTATCAAAGCTGCTCAGCTGGGCCTCAAAACCGCCTGTATCGACAAGCGTGGCCCTCCCGGTGGCACCTGTCTGAATGTGGGCTGCATTCCCTCCAAGGCACTGCTCAATAACTCTCATATTTATCACACCATCAAGGAGGACACGAAAAACCGTGGTATCGAGGTTTCCGACGCCAAGATCAACTTTGGCCAGTTCATGAAGTCAAAGGAAGACGCCGTTAACGGTTTGACTGGCGGCGTCCGCATGCTTTTCAAAAAGAACAAGGTCGACTACTATGAGGGCTCTGGCTCGTTCGTCAACGAGAACACCATCGAGGTCGACATGAACGATGGATCGGACAAGGTCACTTTGAATGCCAAGAATGTTATTATTGCCACCGGTTCCGAGCCCACCACCTTCCCCGGTATCGAGATTGATGAGGAGCGCATCGTCACCTCCACCGGCATCTTGAGCCTCAAAGAGATCCCCAAGTCTCTTACCATCATCGGTGGTGGTATCATTGGTTTGGAGATGGGTTCCGTTTGGGCTCGTCTCGGAACCAAGGTCACTGTCGTCGAGTTCATGCCCTCCATCGGTGGTGCTGGTATGGACGCTGAGCTTTCCAAGACTGCTCTCAAAATTCTCAAAAAGCAGGGTATGAACTTCCAGTTGCAGACCAAAGTTATGGGTGCCAAGCGTGACGGTGACATTGTCAAGATCGACGTCGAGGATGCCAAGGGCAACAAGTCCGAGCTCGAGTCTGAGGTCCTTCTGGTTGCTGTTGGCCGTCGTCCTTACACTGAGGGTCTTGGCCTTGACAAGGTCGGCATCGAGACCGACAAGAAGGGCCGTGTTGTTATGGACTCCGAGTACCGCACCAAGTACCCCCATGTCCGCGTCATTGGTGACGTCACTTTCGGTCCCATGCTGGCCCACAAGGCCGAGGACGAAGGCATCGCTGCCGCAGAGTACATCAAGAACGGCTACGGTCATGTCAACTACAACGTTATCCCTAGCGTCATGTACACCCACCCTGAGTTTGCCTGGGTCGGTCAGAATGAGCAAGAACTCAAAGACGCCGGCATCAAGTACAACGTCGGTAAGTTCTCTTTCGCTGCTAACTCTCGTGCCAAGACCAATCTCGACACTGAGGGCTTTGTCAAGGTTCTGGCCGACAAGGAAACCGACCGCATTCTCGGTGTCCACATCGCCGGCCCTAACGCTGGCGAGATGATCGGTGAGGCTGGTTTGGCTCTGGAGTACGGTGCTGCTGCTGAGGACGTCGCTCGTACCTGCCACGCCCACCCCACTCTTTCCGAGGCCCTCAAGGAGGCCTGCTTGGCTGCTTTCGATAAGCCCATCAACTCTTAGATTGGTTGTTAATATGCTATGAAATTAAACTGCCTGCAGTTCTAGACTATCTGATTCTTTTTTTGCCTTTTTTGTTGTTCGTCCCGCAATAGTTAAACTCGCCCAATTACGGGTTCAAGTGCCTTGGGGAGCCATTCAGCAGAGTCTCCTTGGAAAAACCACCCATCAGGCCATTTCGTAGACTCGTCGATATTAAATACAGCAACTTTGCCGCCGCGTTGCGCAACTTCTTCAATGTATCCAGCTGCTGGCCACACGGTGGCCGAAGTGCCCACTACTAAGACGAGATCGACGTCGCCGGCAGAAATGTATTCGTCTGCACGAAAGATGGCATCGTAAGGTAACGACTCACCAAACCACACAACTCCAGGGCGTAGCAGGGTGTTGCATTGTGGGCAATGTGGCAGTTGTGACTCGGGAATACGCTCGACACCCACATTATCGTCCATGGAAGCGTTCGCCAATGCGGGAGTCAGCGGTTCTCTGAAATTGCCAGACTCCTTGTATCTACAGTTGAAATTAGTGCACTTGAGCGTAAACAGGTCACCGTGGAGATGGACAATACCGTCTCGAGGGTGGCAAGCTCGTTCCGACAGGCCATCGACGTTTTGGGTCAGCGTCAAGAACCGATTGCCCCATCGCTCCGAGAACTTGGCCAGAGCTTTGTGGCCCCTGTGAGGAACCGCAGCCAGAGCGGCTTTTCTCCGAGCAGAGTAAAACTGCCACACAAGGCTTGGGTCTAGTTCGAATGCCTCAGGCGTTGCGAGGTCGACTGCGTCATATTTCTTCCACAGCCCACCGGCGCCCCTAAACGTTGAAAGACCGCTACTGGCACTAAGCCCTGCTCCCAAAATTGCCAAAACTTTCCGGCTACTTATCAAATGTTGGTGAAAAGACCGAAGATCATTCGACATGATAACGCAAAACTGTCAATTCTCAAGTGGACCCTTAGGGTGCTGCTAAGTCAGCAACCTATCCCCAACTATGGCCGAGCAGATTAGCGAGATTTGCAAGCCCATTTTGGATGGTGTGTACAAATTACGCAATGAGGCAGGTAACGACGCGTCGTATGTGTTCCAGGAGCCCGTTGACAGGCGCTTGGTTGACTACTACCGTATCATCAAACGCCCCATGGCCTTGAGTAATATCCGCGACAATCTCAAGGCCAACCGCTACACAAACATATCGCAGTTCATCACAGATATGGCACAGGTTACTCACAACGCCCGGATCTATAACGCTCCTGAGTCCTTCATTTATACCGACGCTCTGGTGCTGGATGGGTATCTGCGAGAGCAGATTGCCAAGCTAGCGGCTAAGCAGATATTCGACCCTGCGGATCTGGCTTATCCTGATTTGGGACCACTTCCAGATCACTCGGCTGCTGCAAATTATGACTATGATAGTGATTCGATGTCTGACAGCGACAGCGACGACGATGGCTCAAGAAGATTACGGCGGCGTCCCATGCGCAGGTCCGTGCTTTTGGGCCGCAGAAAGCGTCAAGAGGAAGAGGAAGAGGAAGAGAGATCAGTTGCTGAGGGCCGTAAACGCCGTGGCCGGCCACCGACTGTCGACAAGCCTCACGAGCATCGTATCAAGGCTATTTTGCGGGCGATTCGTCGGGAACGTGATGTGGAAACTGGAAGGGCCCTCTACCTTGAGTTTGAAAAACTGCCCGACCCCAAGCTGTTCAGCGACTATTACACTATAATCAGTGATCCTATGACTTTGGATGCAGTTCGAAAGAATATCAAACGCCGAAAGTACTTTAGCGTGGAAGCGTTTTTGAACGATATGAATCTCATTTTTAATAATGCCAAACAATACAATGCAGAATCATCATTGATCTACCAAGACGCTGTGCACTTGCAACAGGTTCTAGCTGCTGTTGCTGATGAGGAGCTTCGCAAACCTGATTCGGCCTATCAAGATCCAGACTCGAACTCAAAGACTTCGAGATTGCCTTTAGACTCGGTTGAACATCGTGGAGAAACCTACAAGGTTGGAGATTGGGTGCACTTGAGCAATGCTAACGACCCAGCCAAGCCGATTATTGGCCAGGTGTTTCGTCTGTGGCAAGAAGGCGGCGACAAATGGGTCAACGTCTGTTGGTATTATCGGCCTGAGCAGACGGTCCATCGTTTTGACAAACTGTTTTATGAAAACGAGGTTATGAAGAGTGGCCAGTATCGAGATCACAAAGTCGATGAGATTCTCGAAAAGTGCTTTGTTATGTATATCACAAAATACCAGCGGGGACGACCAACAGGAATTGGTCAACGCTCGGTATACTGCTGCGAGAGTCGTTACAACGAAGCAGAGAAGACTTTCAACAAAATCAGGACATGGAAAGCTTGCATTCCTGACGAGGTACGGTCCACAGATTACCCCATGGATCTGTTTGATCGTCCCCGCCAGCTGCGCAGGGTCGTCAGTCCCATCAAGCAAATGCTGCCTGCTGATGCCAAAGACACAGACCCCATGCCCGAGCCCAGGATGGGTGCTCCTAATGCTCCTCCGATTGTTGGCGGTGTTTACAAACGACCAATCGACCCCAATGATCCTCCAGAGCAACCTACTCCGTTGTCGCCGGCGTCTGCGCCACGTTCAGCTTCTCCTGCAGCCCCTACGGTCAATGGCAACGGCGGCCCTCGTTATCCTCCTGCCTCCACGGTTGCCTCAACAGTACCTAGCGGTGCTAATACTCCAACTCCTGGACCACTGCCCAGCATGCCCGGAGGTCCTGTGCAAATGGACATGATGGCCGCACCGCTGAACGGTGGTAATGCTGGCGCGGGCGCTGGCACTGGCTTTAACGGACCGCCCGTAACTATGCCTAGTGCGTATGCTTTGCCGGAGCCGGTTGTGGGCCAGCTCCCTGAGCGGCAGTTGGCTAATGTTGCCAAACTCAAGGACGGCCAAATCATCTGGTTCCCGTCCTGTCCAGTTTGGATTTCGCACCGCATTCTCTCGAACCCGCTCCCGCCGGCTGCTGAATTCGGGCTGCCCAAAACCGGGCTCACGTTGGCGTCAGGATTCGGATTCTCAGCTAAATATTTGGCGTGGAAGGCCCGGCAGAAGAACGGCAACTGAAAAAGACGAGGTATAAAAGGTTTAAAAGGGTATAGCTACTTAGTTTAAAGAGAAAAGGTGAAAAGTACCTAGGATTTAGTAAATGCCCCAGTACTGCTCAACTCCAAGGTAACCAGGGTTCTTCCACATGTCGTTGAAGGCAGAGTAGAGGATGACATCGTTACTGATGGAGTTCTTGAGGGAGCTGATAGCAGCATCGTGAGCTTCAGGAGAAGCGATAGCAGCACCGTTGTTGGAACCCTGCTTGGGCCAGCCAGACTCGGAGATGAGGACAGACTTGGCACCGCCGCAAGCAGTCCAGACACGCTGGGTCTGGTCGACAGCCCAGGGACCGGCGTTGGAAGCAACAGTGTTACCATCAAAGAAAGCATGGGCGTTGACAGCCATGTAGTCAGAGAACTCGCAGAGACCAGGGTTGTTGATGACGGCAATGAAGGTATCAACGGCAACAATGGGGCCAGTGTAGCCAAGACCCTTGAGAGCACTGCGGCCCTGGGCAACGTAGCCACCAACCTGGCTGACGGAGGCCTGGCCAGAGTTGACGAGCTCGTTACCGATAGAAACGGTATGGACGCAGCCCCAGTCGCCGTTAATGCCATCGTGCATAGCCTGGCAGTCGTTGGCGATGTTGCCCATGTCGTAGACACCAAGGAAGAGCTTCTGGTTAGCACTCTTGGCAGCATAGACGTTGGCGACCTGGTTGCAGTCGGTACCGTACAAACGAATGACAGAGAAGCCGGTGAGCTGAGCAAGGTCGGAGGCGACCTCGGAGGCAGATTTGCAAGAGCCGTTGTCGTTGTAAGGAGAGTAGCTGATGCCGAGAGCACCACCGCTGCCGACAGAGACGGAGCCAGAGCTGGAGCCAGAGCTGCTAGAAGAGGAGGTTTCGGCAGCGGCAGCGGCAGCAGCAGTGGAGGCGGGGGCAACAACAACAGAAGCATCGGAGACGGCCTTGAGCTCAGGGGCAGAGATAGTGGGGACGGCGCTCTGGGTGTCGACGTTAGCCTGAACAGCGACCGGGTTCTCGACGGGGGAGGCGGCGGGGACACCGGCGGTGACGTAGTGAGTCTCCATAACAGTGACAAAAACGTTATCACGCTTGTGGACGTGCTGGACGGGCTGAGCCAGGACACCGGCCATCATCAAGGCGGCAACAAACATATTGGACATCATTGTGGGCAAAAAAGGAAGTGGGGAATTCGGAAGGAAGGAATATGGGTGGGTAAAGATGTTTGCTCAACCGTACAAGTTTGGTGATGATGAAGGGAAACCCTTTATGATTATCAGAGGGGAAAAGGAACGCACCACCATGCCAGACCCTGGCTTATGTAAGGGCCAATAAGGCGGAAATATGCATGGGTTCGGGTCGATTGCTGCCCCCACCTGCTCACTCATTGGTCAGATAGCGTTTTTTTCATCCCTTTGCAGAAACCAGGGGGCGGAAAGGGGGTAATTAATACGGACTTGGCACGCGGTTAGAGACTATTTGAAGAAACTAGGTCAAGAGCCTTGGCGAATAACGCGTGCTCGAGTATATTTTCTTATGGCTTGCCCGATCTTGTATATTGGAAAAGAGTTTTCTCTTTATTGGCGTTCTTGCTGCATGCAGGCGCATGGTATGTAAATAAGCAATGTTCGGCGGGTTACTCATACAAGCCGCAACGCCCTGCTTGGGTCAATTTAGTTTAATTAGAGTTAGTGGGTCGCGTTTACACTAAATAGCCGCAAATTTCTGCAGAATTCAGTCTTCGTACGTAACCGGGTCAAAGTTCGACCAAACCCATGCGGGCCCGGTCGTTAGGGTAACATACCTCGTGTCAGAGTGGGAGTTTAGGATCTCGAGACGGTGCATAGACACGACGATGCGAAACACGCCTATTAATTATATGTGAGCTGTTCATGGTTTATCGCAACCAGCGGACAATCAAGTAGAAGAGTGCAAACATCGTAGCCGCCCCGCCATAGAAAATCCACTTGTCCTCTCTGGCTCGTCGCTCAACGATGCGAATAGTTTCTTGGGAGAGCCCCAGCGTCGCTGCAGCTTTTCGAAACGTCTGCTGTGTCCCGCGGAGCATCTCGTTTTGATCGGACAGGTCCCCTAAAGCATGCCGGCCCCGCTCAATGAACTCGTCTAGCTGCTGACCCGCTCGGGACAAGACATCGCCCTCTCTGGCCAAACCCTGCTCTCTGGAAATATCGCTTGCCGGTCCTGCAGCGTAAGGATTCATTCCAGCGTCAGTCTGGGGCCGTCTGGCAAACAGTTCCTGGCGGTTGTGCGAGGCAATGGCATCGTCCTGAGCAGCCTTCAAATTTTTTAACCGGTCCCTGCTGGTTTGCAGCTCAGAACGGAAGTTGGTGAGTCGTTCGGTGGCTGTCTGCTTCTTTTCGCCATCGACTTCTTTGGCGGCCGCCGCCGCATAGCTATCAAGGGTACGCTGAAATGAAGTTAAGCTAGCAGATATTTGTCCGATTAAGGCTAGTGGAGCGTCTCTGGGTGCCACTTCGAGCCGGTCAAGCTCATTTTTCACTTGTTTAAGCTGCTTCACCGCGTGGTTATACAGCGAATTCATTAGGTAACCAGGAGTTCGTTCCCGCGACTGATATATAGAGTTATGTACATTTAGTGAAGCAAGCACTGACGGAATTGCCAGCAACAAACGTATCTCCCACGGAATTGGCAGTGATGTTTTCCAGTTGGCCAACCAGCGTGGGCTTGATCAGCTTGGCGGTCTTACCCGTGCCAAGTTCTCCCTTCAAATTGTTACCCCACACGAACCAGCTGCCCGATCCGCCACTCAGCTTCACAAAAGTATGGGTTGGGCTTACGCTCCATAGCGTTGGCGATGCAGTCTCCACTTTGCCAAGCTTCTCGTTGTATTCCTCCAGACCCGTCAGCAGCGGCATTTGCAGAGGCTCCGCCTGACAATGTGCAAGCGAACCGGTGCCAAACTGACCTGTGATGCCGTTTCCAACAACGAGACATTTGTCCGCGGTCTGCAAATAAGTAACCTCGCCTCCAGCAGCTATATTGGTCACGGGACCCAGACCGCCATTCAGACGAGTGGTGGATTTGGTGGGAACAGACACTTTTGTGTTCTTAAAAGTGTACGGCAACATCAATTGACCATATGCATTGCTGCCGCACCCATACACATCCCCTGATACGGTTCTGAATAGCGTCGTTGATGCGCCGCATGCAGTCTGCACGACCTGTTCAGGTATGAGCTTAACTAAACGCAGCTCGAATGGTCGGGGTGGCGGGTCAAATGCGGAAAAAGACGCTTGCCCCAGCTGGCCATTATGCTCGTCAGGTTGACGCAGCATGCCCGTAAGAACCCGGCCTTTGGACGTAAGGCACGCGACATGATCTTCTCCAGCGTCAACGTCTACGATCTTCTCGAACCATCCTAGCCCATCATTCACCTTGAACTTGAGCGGCTTCTTCTCGTCCTTTGTCCACGACCAAACATCGCCGCCCGAGGATAACGCCAAGATCGTATCGTTGGTGACCTTCACCTTCTTGACGCTCTTTCCCTTGAGCACCACGTCATGCTTCTCGGGGTGAGTCCACTGCACAACCGAGCCATTCTTCAAAACTGCAGCAGCAACCATCGAGGACAGACTCAAGTCTCTGAGCCTCTGCCCATCCAAAAAGGGGACTCTGGTGGGCGTTCTGATCGACAGGTTTCCATCATTGGTGTCAATCAGCCCATGCTGGTTGTCGCCCCAGATATAAACACCCAGCGTGGGGCCCTCGGCAAAAGCAGTGCCTGCCAGAGCACTTGCAGATCCAACGAACGCCCCTGCTTTCCACAGATTTATGCGTTTGAACATTTCAAAAAAAGGCCTTAGGATCCAGACGGATTACAAATTGCCGCTCCCCCAACTAGCAAGTTATACAAATTGATGATTCGTCGTGTTTTGCAGGCAGCCCCTAAAAGAACGGTGGGTTTGCGGCTTCAATTCAGCAGCAGAGCGGCAGTCCGTGATCAGTATCATTTTGACACTCGGAAATTTGCCATCAAGCTTGAGCGGGAGGGGTTCACGCCATCGCAGGCCGATGCCATTCTCAAGTCGCTGGCCAACGTGCTGAGTGACACGATTTCCAACGTGAACAACAATATGGTCTCCAAAGAAGAGTTTTCTCGGCGAGTGTACCAACAAAAAGTGGACTTCACCAAGCTCAAGTCCGAGCTCCAGAATCTCGATAAAGGCGACTTTGCCCGCATCAGCGACGAGCACGAGCGGCTGGTGACCGACGTGGAGAAAACGAAGCAGCAATTCAAGGAGACGGTGGCAAAGGCCCGGGCAAATGTCCGTTTAGATCTCAATTTGGAGAAAGGCCGCGTGCGTGAAGAGAGCGCTGGCCAGGAGCTGAAGATCCAGGAAATCAGCGCGCGAATCGACGAAGAACTGTCGAATTTCAAGACCCAAATCGAAGGAACAAAGCTCCAGGTGCTCCAGTGGCTTATTGGTGTCTGCACAGGTACGCTGGCGCTGGTACTGGCATATATCCGGTTGTTAACCTAACATATTTATCCTATAGTTTAAAAGAAAAGCTTCTCGAGCTCAGCAGCAGTCTCATGCGGGTTGTTGATGGCATGGCCAGTAACCCGAGGATCGTGGTAGATCTCGTAGTCGTTGCCGCCCTTGGCGGTCTTGTCGCCAAAGAAGTGAATGGTCTTGAAACCCTCCTTCTCGACGTGGCGGAGACAATAAGTCTTGTCCCAACCAGTAGGGAACACGTCGAACGAAATCTGACCACCGATGGAGTAGGTCAAAGGCAGGTCCGGGAAGGCCATCTTGATGGCCTCGACCATGGCAGGACGGATGTTGTGTTGCTTGTCGTAGGCCTCGAACTCGTTGCGCTCCTCAATGCTAGCGTTACGTCCGATAGGCGAGATGTTGACCAGCCCTTTGCGGAACTCGATAAAAGTGCCACGTCGCTTGGGCAAGTCGATATCGGCCAAGTAGCGGAGAACGAACTTGACTAGCTCGTTGTAAGGTTTCTCACCAACAAAAGTGATGAAACTCTCAGTATCGATAGCAACACCAGCCTTGTACGCCTCCAGGCCGTTTTCGGAGAAGCAGAAATCAAAATCCTTTTTAACGTTAGGGCCAAGCTGTTCAACTTGCTTGGCGAGATCGGAGCCGCCAACAAAGCCAATTACAACCTTCTTGCGAAGCTTCTCAAGCAGCTCGCGCATGTAAGGCTCAATAGTCTGGCGAGCTGGCGTCAAAGTGCCATCGACGTCAAATAGGACGAGCGTGGTAGGGTCTTCGCGATCGGCGAATGATGTCGTCATGCTTAGTGTTGACGGACCGGTCAGCAACCTTTCTATAAACTGGTAGGGGAGGAGTGACAATGCTTTTTGCAAGGAGGAGATCCATTAAAATACTGCATGTTTATTTAATTTTATGCACGAGCAAGAGAGATATTTAGGCGGTGAAAGCCTCAGGGAACTCAGCAACGTTCTCGGCAAGAGGACCCTTCTTGGTAAGGAACTTGACGTAGGCGCCATCGTCCTTGATCTCACCGGCCTGGCGGCGGGCGATGTACTGGTCACGGTCAAGAGGAGTGAAGCCCCACTTCTTGGAGATGATGATCTTCTGCTGACCGGGGAACTTGTAACGGGAGCGGCGGAGAGCCTCAATGACAACAGCCTTGTTGGAGTCCTTGGTGCGGACAGAGATCAGAATCTGACCAATGTCGACACGGGCGGCCAACCCAGCGGGCTTACCCCAGGCACCACGCATACCCTGCTGCAGACGATCGGCACCGGCGCACGACAACATTTTGTTGATACGGAGGACGTGGAAGGGGTGGACACGGATGCGCATGTGGAAGGACTCACGACCAGACATCTTGGTGATGTACTTGTTGGCGCAAATACGAGCGGCCTCAAGAGCCTCGGAAGAAAGCTGCTCCAACTCGTTGGAAACCAAGTGGACGCAGAGAGGGAACTCGTCGTTGGAAGCACGCTTGCGGCCCAAATCGTAGGCACGAATCTTGGCGTCGGGGACACCACGATTGTACCGCGACTTGGGGAAGGGCTTGTTCTTGCAATAACGGTAGCAGCGAGCGGGACGGCGAGCCATTGTGAACGGGTTGACTTGTGAGTGGCGATCAAAACTATATGGTCTGAGTTCGCTTGCCAATTATAGCCCTAAGCCCTACTACTTACTAAACGTGACTAATTATGCATCCGAGCGCCCCGGACCCACCTGCCGTCATTAAAAGCGTTGTTGGTGATCACGTGGACGCGCTGAGTAACTGCCCACCTACACCCATCCTTCCCGATCCTTCTTGGGAAATCCACTAAAAAAAAACCAGCATGCAGAACCCCAACGAGGACACAGAGTGGAACGATGTGCTTCGCCAGCACGGAATTCTTCCCCCCCGCGCCCCTTCTCCTACTGCTCAATTGGAGGCTGCTATGGAAGAAGCCGTAGATAAGGCCTATGCCAATAGGCTGGAGGGCAAGTCGCTGAACGAGCTGGATGAGCTGGAAGACGACGGACTCGAGGACGAAGAGTTTATTCAAATGTACCGGGAAAAGCGAATGGCCGAGATCCAGGAACAGGCCTCCCGGGAACGGTTTAGTGAAGTTGTCCATATTTCCAAACCGGAGTATACTGAGGAAATCACCAATGCATCTAAATCCTGGCCGGTTTTTGTGCACATTGTTGGCTCGGGTGTCGTTCAGAGCAAGCTACTTTCTGCTCTGCTTCTTCGTGTGGCCCCTCGATTCAAGGATATCAAGTTTGTCGAAATTGACAGCCGGCAGATCAATGAAAAGTACCCATCCTCGCAGTGCCCCACTATTCTTATCTACAAAAACACAAACGTGCTTGACCAAATTGTCACACTGGATACAATTGGTGGAAACTCAACCAATTTGCATGATATTGATCGTTTGCTTGTCAAGGAAGGTCTTGTCGAGCGCACCGACGAGCGTTTGCTGGAGAACCAAGACTCGGACTAGTTCGCTATATAACTTAATTTAACTTACCTTGACGCGTTACTCGTCGAACCGTGCCCCCACCACAGCCGAACGTCGATTTGTGATGTCGCTTAGATAATTTTTTTTCAGCTTTTTTCATTATGGGTCGCTACCTCGCATCAAAGCGATATAAAACCAAAAGGTACACTCGTGATTTGGATCAAGTTCTTCATGACGATCTATCAAGCCACAAGGCTATTGACGCTCTAGAAAACCAGCCCGTGGATGAGTACAAACCGGGTTTGGGCCAGTTTTATTGTGTCCCTTGTGCCCGCTACTGCGAAACCGAGCATGCTCTCGAAACACACCAGAGAAGCAAAGTACACAAACGTCAATTGAAGGCATTAAAATTTGGACCTTACACCCATCAGGAAGCTGACGCTGGTGCCGGCAAAGACGTACAAGTGTACCTCAACAAGCAACAGCAGCAACGGAACATTCATGCCGAGCCCCGGGTCCAGAATCTGTTGACAGTTCCAGAGAAGATTGAGAAGAAAAACGAAATGGCGACAGAATTGGATCAGGCTGACGAGCTTTCTTCTACCGAGAGTGAGAACCAAAATGAACCTGCTGAAGCCCAAGAGAGTGTCGAAATATCGTAATTCGATCTCTATTAAAAACTCGTATGTATATCTATACAAAGGCTTATTTATTTGAGATTGAACAACAGATAATCAAACAGTGCATATGTTGGTTGCTGGCTGAGGTCACCTGTCCCGTCCCGGCCCTGTGCCGTGTATTGCCGTTCGATAAATAAAGGCCATCAGGTCTCTGTGCGGCCGCCTTTAAACCTGTGCTAAGACACGCACTGAAATGGCGTCAAAGTTGCAGGCCGTTGCAGCTGGCACGTGCATCGATGAGCGCACAATGATGATCGTGAAGCTGGCTCAAAGTTGTTCCAAAGAATTTATAGTTTAATTACCGCAATGTTATACCCAGTCGGTATTGCATGATTAGAGTCCGGAATCCACATTCTTGTATTCATTTATTATAAACTGCTTGTTTACTTTTCTTTCCAAAACAAAGCATCCTAAACCTGTGCTTCGTCGGCGATATTCCACTTTGGGGTGGTAAACTTGAGAAGGGTTAGGTCCTGTTCGTATCCTGCTCAGCGTGGCAAAATAGGCTCAAAGGTGGCCACGAAATCGAAATATACAATAAAAGCAGAGTTACAAGCATATCTCCTCGTATAAGTTTCGGCCAATTTCGCTCTCACACACTCGTCCCTTAATGACCTGGGAAATCGTCGACGAAGTCTTTCATCTGCATGTGACCTTTGTTTTCTTGTGGACCTGCAGGAGAGCGACTTAAACTGGAGGAGGTTTTGAGCGCAAGGGCTCTGTACAATGACTGGCTCCATCCCGAATCATTTGACATAATGCAATAATTACGTCGAAATTCTTTGAAATTCTTTTTAAAAAACCCCCCAGTTATTCTATATTTCCGTGACAAAGCACTTTCCACTTTGTCCGCCCCATCGGGGAACCCTGTAGAAATGCCCGAAAAAACAAACTACATATGCAGGTTACCGCATACTCCTACAGTCAGTTGCATTGAACTTTGCTGTCAACAACAGCCTTCATTCCTGAACTTCAGGTAGTTAAGTAGACAAGAGCTGCTTATAATAACATTTTCTTGCACTAGAAATGCTTTGTTGTTTTTTCTCGCCCGCTTTAATGGTACTCTTGCGGCCAAGAAAACTCTTGTTGCGGATGTGCACAAGGCGACTGCATAAAAAAAAACTATGCCTCAAGCCCCAAGTATTTATTAAGCGCACAGTGCCATTAGAAAATCCCCAATTTGAAAACTAATACCATGTCCTCTGAACACGATAAAGAGGATAACTATAGTGAGCCCAGCTCAGTGTCCCCGTGCACTACTAGATCTTCGGACCCTGCTGTGCCACAAGCCTTGACGGGCAGTCCAGGAGATGATACGAATGCTCTAGCCCGCTCAATGTCCCGGGTTTCCTACCGTTCGAGTATCGACAGCAAAAAAGATGTAGACCTTATCTACGACTCTCCTGAACAATTTCAGCGCCTGGAAAAGATTGAAACAAATGTCCGCCCCAATTACCAGGACGTCCTCGAAGCCGATCCTTGGAAATACCCGCTCGACCTCAACTCTAATCTGCGTATTGTGACCTTTGTTGACGAAGACGAGGACGATCCTCGCAGAATGTCCTTTGTGAGAAAATGGGTCATCACAGTTATTCTTGGTTTAGTCTGTTTTGGTGTTGCCTTTTGTTCTGCCGTCGTCACGGGTGACATCAAAGGGCCTAGAGATTATTTCCATGTGTCCACCGAGGTCATTATTCTCACAGTGACATTATTTGTTGTGGGTTTCGGTGTCGGGCCTTTAGTTTTCGCTCCTGCGTCTGAGGAATTTGGTCGCCAAATTGTATATATCGTTACCTTTGGTTTCGCCGTCTTGTTTGTTATTCCTTGTGCGCTTGCTCGCAACATTGGTACACTACTTGTCTGTCGTCTTATCGATGGAATTGCCTTTTCTGCTCCTATGACTGTCATTGGTGGTAGTTTGGCTGATATCTGGGCCGTCGAAGAGCGCGGTATTGCCATGACGGTTTTCTCGGCTGCGCCATTCATTGGCCCCGCCCTTGGACCCTTGGTCGGTGGCTTCATCGGTGACTTTATGTATTGGCGCTGGATCTACTGGATCTCTTTCTTCTTTGTCTTGGGCCTCTACATTCTCCTGGTCTTGTTTGTTCCCGAAACTCACCACACCACAATCCTTCGTCGACGCGTCAAGAAACTGATCAAACTCACAGGCGACCGTCGTTATGTCACAGCCAAAGACGCTGATCCCATGCCTGCCAGTGAGCTCCTCAAGGTTACTCTACTGCGCCCAGTGCAGCTGTTGGCAGAGCCGATTGTCTTCTTCATCACACTTTACATGACCGTACTCTATGGTCTTCTTTACATGTTCTTCTTTGCATACCCGGTTGTCTACGGAGAGGGTAAAGGCTGGTCTGACCACATGACTGGTCTGATGTTCATCCCACTCGCAATCGGTATTATCTTATCTGCATGTTGTGCCAAATTTGTCAACGACGATTACAACCGCCGAGCTAAGGTGTTCAAAGACAGGGGTGAGCCTGTTCCTCCCGAGGTCCGTCTTATTCCGATGATGTTTGGCGCCCCATTTATCCCAATTGGTTTGTTTATTTTCGCATGGACATCCTACCCCCATGTCCACTGGATTGGTCCTGCCATCGGTGGCGCTCCTGTTGGTTTCGGCTTCATTTTCTTATACAATGCCGCCAATAATTATCTTATTGACACATATGTCCATGTGGCTGCGTCGGCTCTTGCCGCTAAAACTTTTGTGCGCTCTTTATGGGGTGCAGGCTGTGTCCTGTTCACAATTCAAATGTACCACACTCTTGGTTACGAGTGGGCTAGCTCGCTTCTAGCCTTTATTGCTTTGGCGTGCTGTCTAATTCCGTTCTGTTTCTATTTCTTGGGTGCTAAGATCAGAGCACGTTCCAAGTATGCATTCAACCACAACGCTGCCTCAGGCTAGTGGCCTCGTGGGCATATTTCGCAAAAGACGTTTATATATTAATGAAATAACTAATCTTCAGTTCGTCATCGGCAATTTTCAATTCCAAAACAGCACGCTAGAGGGTAACCTACGGAAATTTTAGCGTATTCTGAACAACCCCCTATATTTAAATGTTCCAAGCGAAGACGAAATGTGGGGTTATTCGATAAAACTAGATTACTATGACATTGGTTAAATGTAATGAGGGGAGTTGGGGTTTACTGTGACAGTGATCGAGGTATTGTGTAGTGGGCTGAAATTCAGTTAATTCTGCTGGCCCTGATAAGGAACAGGCTGGGTATCAGTGTTGAGGGTGGTAGCAGAGCTGTAGTCGTTGAAAATAGACAAAGCAGTAGGGTCGGCACCGCAGACCTTCTTGAATGCAGCTCCCTGAACCTTGTCGCTTGCGATGTCAAGGAAGTTGTCGAGAGCGCAAGTGAAGCCGGGGCCGTCATAGCACTCATGCCAAGGAATAACAGCGTCATTAAGAATGAAACGAACAAAGGTGCCGTCGCCACTCTGGGTGCTGTTGCTGCTACCGCTCTGGGTGTTGGTGTTATTGGGGTAGGTTGCGTTGTTCAGAGTGCCGTTGAGATACATGGGGCTGGTGCAGTTCAAGCTGGTGATCAAGTCGGTGTTCTCGCTGAGTCCAGGAGCCTGGCAGTTCAGACGCTCAATAACGAAACGAGCACCCATAGGAGCGACATCGCTGACACGGAAGTTGCTGAAAGAAATCTTCTTCGGGTCCAAGCGCTCAGAAGGAGTAGCCAAACCAAGAGCAGCAAGCAAGCCGGTGAGCTCAGAGCCCTGGCCGAAAACAAGAGCCAAGGGCAGCTGCTCGGGACCATTCTTCAAAAGCTCTGCAGTGGCATTGGCAAACACAGCACCGAGAGCAAGAGCACGAGGAGACTGGGAGCCGTAGTAGCAGTCAGTGAAAGCGTCCATCGCATACTCGAAAGCGATCCACTCATCGGTGGTGAAAACATCGACCCAGGGAGAAGAGCCCTTGGCCGCAACTTCAGAAGAGGCAAGCGAGAGCAAGTCGAACACATCATCAGCAGTGAGGTTCAAGCGATTCTCCTTGCTCAAACGCAGAGCAGCGACCTCAAAAGCAGGGTAGCGCAGGTTGTTCTCAGGAAGACCGTTAGTGGTATTAGTCTTGATGGAGCACTTGGTCAACTTGCCACTGGAACAGGCATCAAGAGTGTATGTGTTAACAGCAGCAGAGGTGGAGTAGTTAAAAGCCAACAGACCTTGGCCGAAAGCGCGAGCACTCTCAAGGCCGCTGACGGCATTGTCGCTGAAAATGGGCAGAGTCTCAGAATCCCACAGGTTGCCGTATTTGCCGGCAAACTCAGCACCGAATTGGTAAGATCCAGCAAGACCAGAGTAAGGGCCCGAAGGGATCTCAAGATTAGCGTAACCGGGCTCAGACAAAAAGTACTCGTAATTGTTCAAGAAAGAAAGAGAGCCAGAGAACCCGGACTTGGGTGCATCCTTTGTGATCTTCTTCAGAACGTCCTTCTGTTGGTCAATAGCGTCGCTAGTGGGATAGTGCGCACCGTGGCGGGCAAACAGAACGACCTGCTCGACCTTGCATCCGGCAGGAGCGTCCGTGGAGATGCCCACACCAGAACGCTGAGTATAGGGACCCAAAGTACCAGTGTACTTGAGCGGGTTGAACTCGTCCTGAGTTTGAGGGTAGGCAGCAGAACCGCTGAATGTGCGGCCATAAGCTGCCTCTGCACCTGTCATGATGGCAGCGGCTAAGAGAAGTTGTTGATACATTGGACAGAGATAGGGTTTTTTCCAATAACGTGTTGTATGCAAGGGTACTATAGGTCTAATATACTTCGGTGTATAGCACTTCTGTGGGTCCGAATATGGCTCACCTAACCATGCATGTACATGCAGCTGCGTGCTGAAAGCAATGTTTTTTTTTTTACGGGAAAATTCCAATTGTTTTCTGGCTACGGGGGGTCTACGTGTCGCAGGCGAGTAACATCGTTCAGGTAATTTATGCCCGCGGAGCAACTCCTGCTGCTCTTCTTTTCGCGCGCCGCTCTTCCAACCGCGTTCTCTACCTCGAATCACACGACCCATCAACATCGGTCGGTTGGGGCTAGGGTGCGATAGTTGATTTGGTTCGCTCAATGTTTTCCCCGGTGTTTCTGGGACGCCAGCAAAGAGCGCGTGTTTTGTTCTTGTAATTTTGCATAAAAGTATCTATTAAAAAGTATTAGCACTGTGCAACATGCGTGTTTTCTTGAGTCCGGCTCGTTAACACGATCGGCGAGTGCCTGCAGGACAGCTATTGCGGCCAATACGGTGAGATCTGCATTCGGCAAGCAATGTTTAGAAACATGGGTAACCGTTAAAGGAAAGCCCCAGTTTGCACTTCTGCAATCGTTGCGCTCGAAAGAGGCTGATTTTTGTTTTGCGCTCACCACGGCATACATTCCATTCCACACAGAGGAGTGCAGGAAACGTTGGCATGCATAGCACAAATATTTGAGAGGCTTGAGGAATTGAGGAATTGAATTAATCGTGGGGAAAAATACTATAAGCTATATGCTCAATACTGACCAGCCTGGAAAGGAATGGGATGGGTATCATAGTCCATGCCGGTAGTGGTGTTGTATTTGGTGAAGAACGTCAAAGGTTCGGGCTTGGTACCGCAAACGGTCTCGTAGTCGGCGGCTTCAACCTGCTTGTCCACAACCTCGAGGAACTTCTCGAGTGAAACAGAGAATCCAGGTCCGTCGTAGCCATGGTCCCAAGGAACAACGGCATCGTTAAGGACGAAACGGATGAAAGTGGTCTCAGTAACGTTAGCGGACCACGAGGCGCCACCGCTACTGGTACTGTTGGAGCTCGAGGAGGAGTTTGTGCCAGAAGTGCCGTTCGACCAGGTGCTGTTGGACATAGTGCCGTTCGACATAGTGCTATTCCACATAGTGCCATTCCACATGCTGCCGTTCGAGGCGCTGGTCGAGTTGGTCATAGTGATGTTGGGGTACCAGTCGGTGAAGTTGGAGTCGGGGCTGGTCCAGTTGGAGTTCCACAGTGGGGTGGTGGAGTTCGTCATACCAACAAGGTTGGTGTCGTTGGTGAGACCCGGAGCCTTGCAGGACAGACGCTCGATAACGAAACGAGCGCCCATTGGAGCCACATCGGTAAGACGGAAGTTGTTATTGAAGCTAATGGTCTTGGGATCAATCTTGCGCGAAGGGGTGGCCAGATCCATGGCAGCCAGGATGGCGGTGAGGTCAACATCGTGGCCGAAAACGAGTGCAAGAGCCAAAGAGTCCTTAGGGCCCTTCTTCAAGAGCTCAGCAGTGGCATTAACAAACAAAGAGCCTACAGCTTTGGCACGAGGGGACTGGGAGCCAAAGTAGCAGTCAAAGTAGGCATCGTAAGAGTACTGGAAGGCCAACCACTCTTCGGTAGTAAAAACATCGACCCAGGGAGAAGAGCCGGTGGCCGAGATCTCATATGATCCAAGCGCAAGCAAAGTGTACACATCGTCGACAGTGAGCTTCAAGTGGTTCTCCTCGTTCAAGCGCAGAGCAGCAACCTCAAAAGCGGGGTATCGCAAATTGTTGGCAGGGAATCCAGAGGAGTTGGATTTAATGTCGCAAGTAGTCCACTTCTTGGCGTCACATGTCTCGAAGCTGGGGTAGGTATTGATGGCAGCAGAAGTGCTGTAGTTGAATCCTAAGAAACCCTGGCCAAAGGCGCGAGCAGTCTCCAGATCACGCTCAAAGTCATCGCTGAAAAGAGGCAAGACCTCGTCATTCCACAGATCACCATACTTGCCGGCAAACTCAGCGCCAAACTGGAATGAGCCAGCGAGACCAGAGTAGGGCCCGGAGGGAATCTCCAAGTTAGCATAGCCCTCGTTGGGCAGGAAGTACTTGTACTTGTTGAGGAAAGTGAGCGATCCCACAAAGCCTTTCTTGGGGGCCCACTTGTTGAGCTTGCTCAGCAACTTCTCCTGGGCGGTCACCTCATTCGGTGTGGGATAGCGCTCACCATGGCGGGCGAATAGAACAACCTGTTCGACCTTGCAGCCAGCAGGGACATCGGGAGAGATACCAACACCAGGGCGCTGGCTGTAGGGGCCTAAATTGCCTGTGTATTTGAGGGGATTGAATTCATCAACAAAAGTCTGGGGATAAGCAGCGGTACCAGCAAACGTGCGCCCGAAGGCGGCATCAGCACCGGCCATGATAATGGCAGCACACAGTAATTCCTGGATCATGGTTGGTTGTAGATATGTGCTCGATTCCCGAGCATCATCACTATTTATTTATCTGAAATTCTGCTTGAGTGCCTGCAGGTGGATTGGGCGCCGAGCTGCAAAGCTTCTGCAAGCTTATGCACGGATATTCGCCTGGAAGAGCAACGTTGTCCTATCAAGTGGAACATCTCCACAATGCTAATGTGCTCTTGCATGAGAATTATATCGAACAGCAACTAATGTCCGCGGATCCTGGCGCCCGCCAATATGTAGAGCTGGTCCTGCTGTTTTGTTTACGTCCATGTTCGCAATCGGTGCGATTGGTGGCACAAAGCCTCGAATCTGCAGGCGAAACTCTAGGCAGCGCACAACATCACTGCCCGCCGGCCAAGCTGCAGCTGTCGCTGATACGGCCCAAGTAGTCAGATTTGAGGTGCTAGTGCGTAAAAGAGTTGAACAGGCCTTGTGGTATCTAGCCCGAACAACCGATGGAACCTGGTGCAAGCTTTTCGCACCAATTTGCGCACGTCTCATCGGAGCCCACCATTTGATCCGTCTCTCCCATGCTACGGTCCAAGCTCGAAATGTGTTTACTCAGCAAACATTTCCTAAAATGGCACAAAAGCTTGTAGTCTGGGCAAGGGTAAGTAGGGGAGCCGGTAGAAGAGCAATCAAACATGGCTTCCGCTATAAACTGTTATTTAAATCATAACTAAATTCATCTAAACTAGCTCATTGTATAACCCGGTGCCAATTTCTGGTCTCTTTGGTTTACGGCTGGATAGCAACGCTAAATGTAGCTTTGTGGTCAACTACGCAACGACGGTGTTATGCTGCCGAGCTTCCTTTGTGCAGCTTGCTGGAAAAGTATTCCTTGGCTGCTTAGTAAGAGGTCGGCTCTGCACCGATGGCACAGAAACCCGACGTCACTAGGCCGTCGATCCCAAATTTCAAGGTGAGCGCATAAAAACTATATAGGGGCAATGGGAGGGTTCTATTTTTACGTCTGGCAACCTCTTTCTGGGACCCGTGCGTTTGGAGCGGGTGTTAAGGCGATAATACAAACTTGGTCCGCTCTTTGCTCAATTGCGTCTTCCACGCTACACTTCGACAACTAAAAGTGTCTTGAAATGCGAGCGAGACTGATCATATCGTCATCTGGTCCAGCTTGAATATTGTGAGATATTGTCGAAGGGCCGTAACTGAGGTATCGAGTGCGCTTAGCTAACCAACCGAGGACTCAACCCGTTGAACGGAACCTCAACGCGACAGAGGTATGTGACTGCAAGCTGCACGTAAAGGCTAGGTCTAAATTAAATTTGCGTCAATCCGGGCTAATTCACTGTCTGTGTGTTTGACAAATTCCTGATTCGCTTTTCGGGCTTCATTTCAGGTTCGTTTGGAGTTCCTTGATGTAGAAAACGTCATTCGCGCTAACTCATTTACTAATCAGCGGGGTTAACTGATACTAGTCTGGATACAACGATGGATCCTGTCACCAGTAAAGGTTTTAGAATAAACCTTTAGCAAGTGTCGTAATATCCACGTTCTGATGTTTGTTCCGCAGCTCAGTACTTTGAGCCAAGTGCTCTCTTCATACCTCCAGCCTCTGTTATAAACCCGAACCCCTGCAGTATCTAATCTAGCGGTGCATGCACAATGTTCTGGTATAAAAAGATCACCTCACACGATCATCTTCCCATCAGTCATGTTGTTTGGCCTGTTCAAAACACCCCATGAAAAGAACATTGAATTCAAACGTGCTGAGAGAGCGTCTCGCATCGCTGCCTTGCCTGAAATTTACAAGCAGCCAGTGACCCATGAGGAACAGATTCTACTGGACAAACCTGCCCGAGAGGTTGTCGACCTGATCCAGAAAGGAGAGTTGGAGCCGATTGACGTTCTCCACGCATACGGGAAACGTGCAATTGAGTCTCAGGAGAAGATTAATCCCCTGACGGAGATTATGATTTCTGATGCGGAGGAGTGGGCCAAGAACTGCAACCGTAAGGGGCCCCTGGCCGGCTTCCCTGTGTCCATCAAAGACTCACTCAACGTTATTGGCTACGACTCTTCAATTGGCTTTTCCAAGTACGTTAAACAGCCTGCTCAAACAGAGTCCGCTGCTGTCAAAATGCTTAGAGACGCTGGTGCCGTGCTATACGTCAAAACTAACATCCCGCTCACTCTTCACACCATTGAATGCTATAACGATATATTCGGTGTGACAGAGAATCCTCACAAAGGCGGCTACACACCTGGTGGCTCATCGGGGGGTGAAGGAGCCCTCATTGGTTGGGGCGGCTCTCGCTTGGGCGTGGGCACAGATGTTGCCGGATCTATTCGTGTCCCTGCTCACTTTTGCGGTATTTACGGGTTGAGGCCTAGTACGGAGCGCTTCCCATCGAGCGGACAGCGGCCACCAGCACCTGGCCAAGACGGTATTATGTCGTCCACCGGCCCCATGTGTCGCACAATGGATGATCTTACGTTTTTCATGAAGACTATGGTTGACATGAAACCGTGGGAGTACGACTTTTCATGCATTCCTTTGCCTTGGCGTGAAGTTGAATTGCCCAAAAAGATCAAGTTCGGCGTCATGTGGTCTGATGGCATTGTTGATCCTTCGCCCGCCTGCCATAGAGCACTGCAAATGACCGTTGATGCTGTTAAAAAGCAGGGCCACGAAGTAGTGGACTTTGTTATTCCTGACGCCCTATATGGACACGCTCTTGGTGGAAAGGTCATCTGCTCCGATGGTCTTGAACAGACTTCTTCGGGACGATACTTTGGAGAGCGGAACGATAAAGGTGTCGATCGTGCAAAGTGGTTCGGTCGTCTGCCCCGCTTTGTGAAACGTATCTATGCTTGGTTTGTTGAGAACGTTTGGGGTGATAAAGTTTGGGCCACTGTAATTCGCAGGTTCGATCAACATAGCATTCTTGAGCACCGCGAAAACACCTACAAGAAGTTCCAGTGGCGTCAAAAGGTATTCGATGCCTGGAAAGAGTCCGGAATCGACTTTTTATTGACAGTCCCCCACTCTACTCCCGCTTTCCCTCATTACACTTTCTATGACTCGTTTACCGGACTTGACTACACCTTCTTGTTCAACATTCTTGACTATACTGCTGGTGTGTTGCCTGTAACCCACGTTGATCGCATGAAGGATCAGCTGCCCCCCGACTTCAAGTTGTCGAAACTCAATGGCGTTGCTAGGGGAACTTTCAAGTGCTACGACGCAGAGAAGATGCATGGACTTCCCGTGGGTGTGCAGATCGTTGGTCGTCGCAGCGAAGAGGAAAAGGTACTGAAGGGTATGGAATTGCTTGAGGAGGCGCTACATGCTAATGGCGTAGTTTATCAGCAGCTCAATGCTTCGGTTTAATTAGGTGTATTTAGCTGCATTTCAATCTGCTCGATTTCTGATTTGATGCTGACCTCCTCAACAGTCTTAACAAGTTCTTTTGTTGATTTAGCCATATCGAATGAGACACCGGCAAGACGCTGTTTCAGCTGGCGCTTGGCGTGCTCTTGCCCATCTAACCTGTCGAGTTCGTCGTACAAGGCTTCCATTCGGGAGGAGCAGTCCGCCAGATTCTGTAAAATGAAAGAACCCTTGTCTCTCAAAAGCCAGTTACGTGTCTGTGCCATACTGCTTCCTGTGGCCTCGAGCATTCTGCGAACCAGCACGGAGATCTGCTGAACCTTGGGTTTGAGCTCCAAAACCTTCTCATTGTCACGAATGCCACTGAGCAGACTTTGAATAGAATCTACAGTCTCTGATGTCTGTTCCTCGAGATATGTCTGTAGTTCTGCAATAGAACTATCAGGGGGTAGGGTCGGGACAACAAACGTGTTCTGCTCTGGTTTAGCGGCCTTTGAAGGCGATTCGGGCGTAGAATCGGGAACAGGCGACGCTTCGGGTGATGGGGGTCCAAAGTGCGCTGGCACCAAAGTCTCTACGGTTGTTGAAGATTCAGATGTAGCCGTAAACGGGAGAGATACTCTGAGACCTCCACCACCAGCCTCTTCTGGTCTGAGACGAGCGGCTTTAAAAAGCTCCACAACAGCAAACCCAAGATCAGAGCAGGCAGCATCCAGTAAAAGGAATGGTAAAAGCCCTCCTGCAACTGTCATATTCCTCACGACAGAGATGAGCTGGTTTGCAGTCCGCGAAATGAGACTTGTGTAGGTATTATAACGGACATCCTGTTCGCCGGCTTCCTTGCTAATACGACGAGTAGCAAGAATAACATCATGCAGTAGATCGAGCAAGTTTTCGGGTCGAGTGCGTGCATCCACGACCAGCGTGTCGATTGCACTTCGGAACTCCCTGGCGGCCGCAAAGGAAATTTTGCCGCTCTTGTCAACGTACTGTGATTGCGAATCCAAAGGCGGCATTGCAACTATACCCCCATTTTCTCGCATAGTGTCAGCCAGCTGGCTGTACCTAACTTTCCATTGCTCGATTTCGGTTCGAAGGTCCCGGATCAAAGCTCGTTGTTTGTCGTCCTCCTCGGATCTTGTCTCTGTGAGAGCCCTCATTTCTTCAAGGAAACTTGATGCTTCTTGGCGGACTTGCTCTGTCACTTGCTGCTGCTCCGTGAGCTGTTCCAAGAGCTCATCATATGATGGCTTGTTCTCATCGACCGGATCGGCCAGCTCTTTGGAAGACGTGAATGCGACAACATGGAGCTCCTCGATTTCCTTGGTTTTCTGCTCATTCAGTTCATGAGCGTCCTTGAGCATATCATGCAAATGGTTATTTTCCTCCACTGCGTTCTTTTTGACCATTTCAAGCTCTGCCATGCTCTGTTCAAGCTCATTGACGCGGGTCTCAAGGCGGGTGCATTCTTTGACAAGATCAGAGATCTGCTCATCTTGGTCGACATGGCGACTAACGTCATCTATAGTCGGGCTTGTGATTGGAGATTGGATGGTCACTTTGGCAACGGTCATACTCCGGGGGGGCCAGCGTCAAGGGAAAAATTCATAGCTTGCTCCTCAGCTGCCGAACGGGTCGGCTGTGATTCGTGAGTGGTCTCGTCAGCTGTGGGTTTGCTGAGGGTTTCCGGTTCTTTGAAGTCCTCGCTATTAGTAGCAAGCGCTCTGTTGCTCCCGATCTGAGGGGTGGGTGTTTCATAGTCACTATATTCGACACCTGAATCGTCTGAATCGTCTGAATCATCTTCTTCAATCATGACGGTCTTTGTGGGCTCGATGGTTGCTGTGTATACTGTTTGTGGAATGGCATTCTGCTCGGCGCCCGCTGCCTCTGTCTCCTTCTGGATCTCGTATTCAATAAACTCAGGAAACCTACGCTCCTGCTCAGCCATTAAATCTTTGCACATGTCACCAAACCTCTCATCTGATAGGTCTCCCAACTGGTAGCGGGCATGATTGCGCTTTGGATGGATGTCTTGACGCGGCGGCAGGTGTTCACCGGGACCATAACTAGGGTCAACCCGCCTTAAAAGCTCATCGTAGATATCTGTAGACAGCTCCATGAAGTGTACGAGGGTAAACTGCGATAGTTTGCGCAGCGACATGCTGATTCGGTGGTTGTGCGGCGGCTGGTCCGCAATATAGGATGCAAACGCGTCATGGTGAGTGACAAGTTGTGGTGGAACAAAACTCAGTATGGTGTCCATGGTGGGCCAATCTAAAGTACAAAGCAAAGCTACTCAAGCTGTAAGATCAAATATGGGGGGCCGACGTGTGCTCTCGTCCCTAGTGACTCGTCGTAAACAATCGCAGTAAATTGTCAAGAAACTAACCCGTCAACGCCTATTAGAGGTAAATGAGGTAAGCGACCCGCAGCGGACGGATAGGCGTAGAAAGCTAGCAGAAAGAGCAAAAGATACAACGATAGAGGTTTTTTATTTACATTAGATGCGTAGAAGTTGCATTTATCTCTTTTTTGGTTAGGCAGTATCTACAAAAAGCTGGTTTGAAATGTCAAACACAGAGTAAGGTCCGGCCATGAGGCGAGAACGAATAAACTCAATAGCCCTCTCGGCGCCGTGCTGCAGTAAAACAGCACCAACCACAGCACTCATGCTCGTTGAGTAGATCGTAGTCTCGCCGCCTTTTCCTGCGTCCGCAGGTCGCCAGAATATCGACTTTTCCAGCTTGGCCAGCCGGCAGACTTGTGAAAGGGTAGGTGAGCTGGACAGAAGCTCGATTGCTCGCTCGTTGACATCAAAGTTGTGGCCGTTGATCGATTCCTGTGTGCCCTGTGCCGCGCTCTGTGCAGTGGCCCGGCCGGTTTCCATTCTCAACAGCTGTTTGCCAAGGATAGCCAACCGCTCATTATAAGGTTTCTTGCCATGAGCAAAAGACTTGTGTGTGAGAGCCTGCAGCATCAGCTCTTCTGGCAGGGCGTACTCTGAGCCCAAAAGCTCTTGCAGTGGTGCAAAGGTCTCGGCGTTTCCGGGGTACTCGATTCCGTGAGGGTTTTTCATGTACAGCGCTTCGTCCTTTTTGAGACCGCGAACAACCGTCTGGCCGTTGCGCACAACCACAAGTGTACGCCTGGAACCAGTCATGGCAAGCTGTTGTCTCGCGAGAGTCGCGCGACCAGCTCGTACTGCCTGTCTAACAAACTGTAGCGTCATGTTTCACCGGTCTATGTTAGATCGTTTTTTTCCGATTTCGGCTGACAAACCGGTATGGATCTTGGTCTGCGCGGTTAGCTTAACACCCCTCAGTAGCTCGAGCTCTCACGGTGTGCTTTCCTGAGATTTCGCTCAACCTAAAGGTATGAGGGACAAATTCTTCCCCTTACTTGAATAAATTAACTGTTTATTTTGCCCTTGGACCAACCGAAGAGGCACAGAATTATTTCTGTCAAATCTGCTTATTTAATCTTTGCCAAAAAATATATATCCTTGGTTTTTTTTCATTTAGCAATGGATATGTTCAAGGTGCTAGCTCGGGGCGCCAAAATCAGGGGAAAGCACCAAAACGACTTAGAACTCTTTCGCCAGACCCCCAAAACCTCGTTTCGCAAAGAGCATGACCTGGAGCGCAAGCTGCATTTCTTTTCCAAGCCAGCTAAACGGACCGTCCAAGTCTCGAAAGCACCGGAAGACGACCTGGATAACGTTGAGTTGGTGATCAATTCCGAGGAAGATGCTGCCTCGCATCGCGCTTCTCACCGCATCAAAGTGACTGGAACAGATCTGCCCCTTCCTATCGCATCTTTCACTGATCTCGTTCGTTTGGCTAACCCCCAACCGCCTGTGCTACGTAATTTGGAGCGTTTAGGATTCAGTGACCCGACTCCTATTCAAAGTGAAGCCATTCCTGCTCTTTCGAACCACCGTGATCTTATCGCCTGTGCGCCAACGGGTTCGGGTAAGACGCTGGCGTTTGTGATCCCCATCATCAATTCGATTGCCGCTATGAAGAACAAGGGTGTCAAAGCTGTGATTGTTTCGCCCACTCGAGAGCTTGCTACGCAAATCTACGAGGTGGCTGTGCAAACATCTAGGGGCCTGGACCTTTCCATTGGAGTCGTAAACAAGTCACTGCTGGCCAAGTTGAGAAATAACAACGCCGGTGCCAAACAACATATGGACCTCGTTATTAGCACTCCTCTTCGCCTGATCGAAGCCTTGAAAACCCAGTTACTCGATCTGTCCACCACGCAATTCCTGGTGCTCGACGAAGCTGATCGTCTTCTTGGAGACGGTTTTGTGGAGCAGACTGATGAAATTGTCGCTTCATGCACCAACAATTCACTGGTCAAAGCTATTTTCAGTGCTACCATGCCGGCGAACGTCGAGGATTTGGCCAATAGTATTATGCATTCCGCTGTTCGAGTAATTGTTGGTTATAAAGAAGCTGCATCAGACACGATCGAGCAGTCCTTGCAGTTTTGTGGCAATGAGCATGGTAAGCTCCATGCAATTCGCCAAATGCTCACTGGAGGTGAAGTGGTACCGCCGATACTCGTATTTGTCCAATCGATTGCGCGTGCCAAAGCATTATTCCACGAACTGCTTTACGACAAGGTGAATGTAGATGTTATTCACTCGGAACTCACCCAAAACCAGCGCGATCGGGTCGTGAACAATTTTAAACAAGGCGATATCTGGGTGCTTATCTGCACTGACGTTCTCGCGCGAGGTATCGATTTCCACGGTGTGAACCTTGTTATCAACTACGATGTACCACAAAATGGCCAAGCCTACGTGCACCGTATTGGCCGCACGGGTCGCGCAGGTCGGAAAGGAAAAGCTGTGACTTTGTATACAAAGCAAGATGTGGCCACTCTTCGCCCTATCTTGAACATTATGAAACAAAGCGGTTGCGAAATCAGTGACTGGCTACTTGAATCCACTCGACAACGTAAAAACAAACGCAACATCATTGAGCGCGATCAGATCTCCACAGTTCCACGCGTGTTCAAAAAGCAGCGCAAACGGAAGCAAGAAATCATCGAGGGCTCTAAAAGAAGAGCCCAAAAGTCCTCTGCAAAAGAATAGTATGTTTAATTTAATTTCTGTCTAATTTGTTCTGCCCCGCAGCCCGTCCAACGGGCTTTTCCACCAAACGGCTACACCTTACGATTTAGTCACCCTGCATAATCTGTGGGGCAGCCGAGTTTTGTCATATATATATATATATATATTTCAAAGCGATCAGATCATATCGTAATGGCAGTAAATGAGTACGGACAGCCTGTAGGCGAGCCCCTGGATTTCAAAGTGCCACCTGTGCCCAAGCCGGTGACCCTCAAGGGACGCTATTGTCAGGTTGTGCCCATGGATAAAAAATATGGGCCTGAGCTTTACAACATCAACTTTGAAGGGTTCCCTGTCGATGAAGTCAACAAACGTTGGACATATTTGCTGAGCGAGCCTCCTAAAACAGAGCAGGAGTACCTGGATTGGTACGATGAAGCTACTGACGCGAAGGACATGTTGTTCTTCACCGTTCTTGACTCCAAGACCAACAAGCCAGTTGGTACTTTCAGCTATCTGCGGATTGATCCAGGGAAGGGTAGTATTGAGGTTGGCAATGTCAACTTTTCCCTTGCTATGAGCGGTAGTCCCATCTCCACAGAGGCCCAATACTTGTTGATGAAGCACGCATTCGACCTAGGCTATCGTCGCTACGAGTGGAAGTGTGATGCATACAATATGCCCTCTCGCAAAGCTGCACTTCGTCTTGGTTTCACTTTCGAGGGAATTTTCCGCAACTGGTTCCATTATAAAGGAAGAAATAGGGACACTGCTTGGTTTTCTGTAACCGACAGAGAGTACCCTGCACTGGAAAAAGCCTTTCTCCAATGGCTTGAGCCGACCAACTTTGATTCGAATGGTCATCAGCTCAAGAAACTAGAATATTTCCGCTAATGTCGTAGATTCAGCAACTGTCAACGCCTGGACAAAACTCGATATGCCTCTGAGGCAGAACCGGTTTTAGTAGTTCAAACTAGCTGCGAAATCAATTCTGGATTTCATGATGAAGTTCATAAAAAACTCCAGATCCTGGTGCTGTTCTCTTTGTAGTTGAAATATAACGCAGTTTGTAGTTCTAGTTCATACGTGATCAACCCCATGACTTGGAATTTTCGCACAAGCACTGATACTCTAGCGATAAAAATTCAAGGTGCTGGTTCTCGAAGTAATTACCGAGGCTAACAACTACTGTTTAACTCACTCAAGAGCTTTTGTGTTTTTAGATCAAGACCGCCAGTCAATGTACTTGTAGACCTGTGTAATACCGTAATTGCTGTGCCCAGTTCTAAACTCAGATTTCGGATGATACCATACTGAGTAAAACTCAATTTTTCCATGCAATTCTCTACAGGCGCAGAACTAGTGTGTATGAGTTTCTGAAGTGTATACTGAGGTTGCTCTCGGAATTCAACAAGTAGGTCCCTTGGCCCAGTTGGTTAAGGCGTGGTGCTAATACGAATCCTACTAAGGAGTGTTACGCCAAGATCGGCGGTTCGATCCCGCCAGGGACCATTCTTTTTTAACAAGCTTTCCTTTTTTTATTTCTCTTTTGAACATCGAATAATTGAGCCATTGTGTAGCTTTGTCTTTTTTGATGTGGTCGTTGCACCTTTATTCCAACATTTTCTGCGATAGATGCACTTGTTCAATATATGATTTGTATAGAAACAGAAATCTCAAGAAACAGGTCCCTTGGCCCAGTTGGTTAAGGCGTGGTGCTAATACGAATCCTACAAGGAGTGTTACGCCAAGATCGGCGGTTCGATCCCGCCAGGGACCATTCTTTTTTTGGATCTACTTTAAGTCTTTTGGTTATTATGTATTGGTGGTTTGATTTAATTGTATTATTTTGGTTTTGTTTTTGTTTTTATTTATTTCATCGGAACCCTATCTATGATGTAAAGTGCTGAAACTGTTGTGGTCCTTGTTTAAGGTTCGTAAGGATACATGATTCTGAATACCTGGGGGCACTCGCATTACTAGTTGGAAGGTGTGAATTATTGGCTACTTTAAAGTGTACCATAGTACGTCTTTCAAAGATCATACAAAATAAACCAGATTAAACGTGGTACGCGGGGGGTGAAGAAGGCTCATTCCCCAAGACCAGAGGAACGGCCAATTTCGCTAAACCCCAACGAAACTTGATACGAATTTCAAAAAAATACGATAGTGCTGTTATCTCACTGACAAAATTCGGTTCAGCATCGGCTATTGTGTAGGGAACGGTGAGAACTCTCAGTTTCTCTGTCCAGGTAAAGTCAGGAACGTCTTTACTGAAAATCTTTATCCTTCGCATTTGAATGTTTTTAGTTTCGTCAAGAATTTGGCCCATTTTCGATAACGTTGAGTAGTGGACCTGATAAAGAGCATAAGAAATAGAGAACGATGGATGATTGGGGTGTGCAAAAGATAGATTGAAATTTGCTTCCCCTTCTGCTCCAAACAACACTCCGCCGGAAAGAAGTAGTTCATTTTTATTTGAACTGCAAAGTAAACTTCCCCGCAGCTGTTTTTTCAACGAGTATTGCCGATATAAGGGAGCACCCGAGATATCAACAAATCTCTTGATGTCAAAGCCAGTCTCTTTGGGAAGGGCAACTAACTCCTTCTGTGTAGCTGCAGAAGATCCAGGTGCACTAACTTTCAAAAAGTATTGAACGCAGATACCTTTTACGGGCCTGCAAACTTGCTGGTATGACCCCACTGTGGGCGGTATAACACAGTGAATGTGCCCATTTGGCGCCTGAATAGCACATGGAAATTGTAGCGCAAGTGGGATAATTTCTTCTTTTCCGGAATTCAGACAGTTAAGGGGAATTTCGGTGCTAAGAAGTGTAAATATACGCGAAGAAGGATTTGAATCGCCCCAGTTGCCGGCTATAGTATGCTCAGTACCTATGATCTCGACCCGTACAAAGCCCAAAACACTGCCAGAGCAAGAGTGACGCAGATGCAAGGAAAAGGAAAAAGTGTCACCGGGTGCTACTGCCTGCGGTATATTTGAGAGAGCCATAAGTGGCTCAGAACAATGTATCGGACGACGGCATGTTTCGAGGTAGAAATCTGCAAGCATGTTACGATCTGTTAGGTTTGTCGAATCTAATTGAGGCTATCCTTTTATTAAGAGATATTGACGACGCATAGCGCTATGCACCTGCATGTACGCTAATTGCATCAGGGGTAGGGGGAGAGTTAGACCCCGCGAACTTGAAGACGCGTAAACGTAACATGTTAGAGAGGTGAGAAACATCAGGTCACCAAGTTCGGAATCAAGAAATATTAAAAACAGATCATCTCAGATGGTAGGAGTGTTACAGGATTCCAAGTTATGCTAACCATCGCCACTGAATCGCTGGAATGCTTACTTGTATGCAGAGTTTGCAATACATGTAACTGGCTGTTTGCTCAAGCCAAAGAAAAAGATCAAACATTTCTCGGCAATAAAAAGCTCTTTACATAGCCGGCAAGACTTAGTACTGTTATGTCGGACATATTGAATACTTTTGATGCTAATCCTGCACGTGCCTGAGACTTACGGGTTTAACACTGCTATACACTTGACTGTTATGGCGGATAAATGGGATTTGAAAAAAAAGCTGGAACATATCTCATTGCTGCGAGCTCAAATGTTAAACTCATTGGATCACGGAACGGTGGCGCTAAGAAGGTCCAGCACTGCAATCACAGTCAACCTGCATGCAAGCACACACTATGAGTCAACATTCTGAGATACCCGTATCAATTGAAGTTGAATTCACTATACTTTTCGAGCTAAATAGCATACAAAGAATGTCCAAAGTAGCCAGTCACTAGCCTATCAACCAAAAAGAGCGACTGTTTGCAATAAGGTGGAATTAAAAAATCAACTAATGATAAGCGGGAGGAGCAGAAGAAACCTCACCTAGAACGAGAGGGACAGATAATTTAACGGAACCACAACTGAACTTCAAACAGACCTCAAACAAATAGGACACTGCTGTCGTCACACCCACAAAATTCGGAACACAATCGTTATCAAGCGTATAGGGAAAACTGAGAACACCTGTTTTAGCCTCCCAAATAAACCCCAAAACATCTTCTGTTTGAGCTTTTATTCTTCTCATCTGTGTGACTTTAGTTGCATCAAGAATTTGACCCATTCCCTGGTGAGATGAGTAGTGAGTCTGATAAATTTTGAACGAGACAGAAAAAGGCAAAGGTGGAGCATATAAGAAATTAAGATTGAAGCTGGCCTCACCTTGCGCTCCTGAAATTATTTCACCTGATAGAGACACGGTGCCTTTGTTTATATTGCCAAACAGTCCGTCGTGTAAGCGCGTCGTTGTTGAGTATTGACGATTCAAAGAATTACCAGAAATGTCCACAAATCTATCGATGTTGAAACCTGTCTCATTCGGAAGAATGGTTATTTCTTGTTGAGCTAGCCCTGTGCCTATTGGGGCACGAACTTGAAGAAAGTACTGGACACAAACACCCTTCGTAGGATTGCCAATCTGCAGGCTTGATCCAACAGTAGGTGGCAAAGTACAGTAAACAAGTTTCGACGAGTCGTAAATCATAGTAGGAATTTGGATTGAGAGTGGTATTTCTTCTTCCTCTGTGGATATCGTCTTGTCGACTGAACACACTGTGTTCAGGCACGAGAACATGCGCGAAGACGGAGTTGATGTACTCCAGTTGTCCGCCATAGTATGTTCTATGCCGATAACTTCAATTAGGACTGTTGTCAACAATTGAGAGGTAGGATGGTGGCGCACGTGAAGGGAGAACGTGAAGGTCTCACCTGGTGTTATTGTTTTAGGTATACTCGAAAGAAACATCATATCGTTATAAGATCATTAGAGCACTATATATAAGGACCAGCAGAAGTGGTCATGCAATGCACACGACGGAGGTTACTTCCGTTTTCCTGGCGGTTACGATTGCATTGTAGATCTTTCCACACCATCGAGGTTTAGGGAGTAAGCAGCTGGGGCGCTGCCTCGAAGAAAAAGGTTCTGCTTGTATTAATGGCAATATTATTTAAGGACCAACGAACTCTGACACGATAGGGATCCAGAGTCCTCGTATATCTCTCAATAAAGGCATCGCAGCAAGTTTCAGGAATGCCTGCTTCAGCGACATGCGCGACTTCAAATCGATTCCAAAGCACACAGCTATGACAGACAAGCACACAGCTAAGGCAGACGATGTGATAAACACTAGGTTATGTTTAAATGAAAGCGGAGGCTGTTAAGAAACCTGCCCCTTAGTACTTTTGGTCAACGTTCAACTGTTGACAAGCTAGATAAGCCTCAATTTATTGTTTATAGCACATCTATATAGAAACCATTACTTGAATTCTAGACTCATGATTGTTTCATTGCCACAGATCTAGTTAGTACGTCGTACTCCAGCAGAAGTCGCCTTAAAGCCTGCAGTCATCGCGCATGCTGCATAAAAGGATTTACGTGCATATTCCAGTCAGCGAGACGAAAAATGCAACCCGGCCTGCGAGTGAACGTTGGTTAAATTGCAATTATTCGATTTCTTCCGCTTTTCGTTTGACTGTGCGGAATGTGGTTTGCTTCAATGACTTTGCGAGCACTTTTGCCTCGTTTAATTTTCTTTCTGCGGCACCTTTTTTTTGTAGATCGTCAGATTTAGCCAAAACCTCGGGGTCATCTGCCTGACGTCCTATAAGCCACTTCAGAAGAGCAATCTCTTCGATGCGGCTCTCTGGCTGAGAGTCAGGTACCGGTGTTTCAAGAATTTTGGGCACTTTGTCTAGTTCTGGCTTGTTCATGATCAACCTGAATGTTTCTAGACCAACGAACCCAAGCCCTAAGTTTTGGTGCACGTCGCGGCCGCTGTTAAGAGGGAACTTGGAGTCGTTCAAATGGATTCCAGCAAGATATTTGTAACCAATGACTTTATCGAATTTTGACCAGAATGCGTTGAATGTTTCTTCTGTACGCATGTCGTAGCCCGCAGCCACCGAGTGGCAAGTATCGATACAAACCCCCACCCGATCTTTGTCCTGAACAAGATCGATAATTCCTGCAAGATCCTCGAGACGAGTGCCGACGACACGGTCGACATTTCCCGTCATGTTCTCGAGTACGACTTTGACAAAAGAAGTCTTTGTATGGGCGCGATTAATTGACTCTGCGATCCGGGCCATTGCCGTCGATTTATCGGTTCCAAGTGTAGATCCAGGATGCAGATTGTAGAGGCCAATGTTCAGTAGTTCGCATCGTTGAAGGTCATCCAAAAGAGCGTTTTCAGCCTTTTCACGTTTCTCTTCATCTGGATTGGCCAAATTGATGAGGTATGAGCCGTGGGGCAGTACATCTGTTCGCGGATTATACTTGTGAGCAGCGCAGCTTGCTTTGAATTCGGAAATCACCTCAGGGGTGTAGGGTTTAGCCACCCATCTGCGTTCGTTTTTCAGAAATAATGCGAATGCGGTTCCACCAATCTCAGCAATGCGTGGAACGGCCTCGTAAACACCGCCAGTCGCGGAAACGTGAGCGCCAACGAGATTCATGGCGGGTTAGTCAGGGGTGACTAGAGGCAGGAGGTGTAAATAGTCTATTTTTTGGCTTTCTTTTTGTTCGCTGGTTTGTCTGGGGTCGCCGGACGTTTAGAGACCTTGAAGAAATCGGTCAATCGGCCTTGGGGCGCTACCGAAGACCCCTTTGTGAGCTTGGCAGCACCGGATCGAACGCGGTCTTCACTAAAGCCCTTTTCTTTGACGAGGAACTCTACGAGCCCTTCAACATCTGGATCTGTCCATTTGAGCTCTACCTGGTCGGCCGGAGTGGTGTCTGGCTCGTGGAAGAGCTTGCGGACAGCCTCGTATGGCCAGTCGTCGGGGATCTGAACTTTGCCACCTTTTTCATCTAGATGGGCCTTGATTTTATCGATGGAATGGAATTCCTTCATTAGTTTGACAGCAGTAGTGGGGCCCATTCCGCGAATTGGGTCGCAATAATCACAGCCCAACAAAATACATAGGTCGACGAACTCTTCACGCGAAAGCCGCATCTCCTCTAGAACCTTGCCGGTGTTCAACTCGGTGATGGGCGACTTCTTTTGATCCCCTGCAGTTAGATGGCGCAGCAGGATGGGACTGCCGAATGTCAAAGTGTCCATGTCCTCGGTGGCAGCTGCGTATACTTTGTTAGCTTTGGCCAAGATCGCGCATTGAGCTTCTGCTTCGCCAGGAGCCTCAATCACCGGGATGCCCATGAGACGAAGTAGCTTCTTAGCTTCCTCGTTCTGTTCTCGAGTGACTTTAACTGTGCGGCGTTCAAATCTGTTCACGTCTTCGCTGGTGGCCGCGTCTTCCTTTGACTTGGTAGCCTTTTCGCGTAAAGCGTCACGTTTTTTCAGCTCCTCGCTCTTGAGATCAGGGGGCTTCCCGTCAAAGACGTAGGCAGGCTTCAGCCCGTTCTCGATGATTCGAATTGTCCGGTAGAACATGCCAATCAAATGACTGGTAGTTTCACCGTCTGATCCAGCTAACTGGAACCCGTCATTCTGGCGCACCGCGATGAGAAACTGATAAAGCGACATCGACGCATCGATGGCAACTTTGCGGCCGCCCAAGGCTTTCCAGTCTGTGATCCGAATCGCCCCCGGCGCGTGGTCGGAAACCACTTTGTACAACCCTTTGATTCCCATTGCTGACGCGTTGACAAGGCAAAAAGATTGTTACATGGCGAATCGCGACAGAATATAAAAGAAATTTCAGGCGGAGCGCGAAAGCCCGCGTTTCTACTTAGCTACTTATTTTCTTGCGGCTTTGCCGCGTCTTTTTAAATCTCCCTACTCGCGCCATTTAGCCCTCCCCAGGTGGCTGGCTGACAAAAAAGTTTCCCAACTACCAAAGCTCTGGTTATGTTTGGCCAGTCATTTGGGGGCTCCGGATTTGGCCAGAACAATGCGTTCCAGTCGAACAACAACAACATGTCGAACAATTTGTTTGGCAGTAATACTGGGATGAATCAAGTGCAGGCCCAGCCCGCGGCGTTCGGCAGCACAGCCCCAACTCAATCTACGGGATTGTTTGGTCAGGCCAGCCAGCCAGCAACCTCGGGATTCGGGGGATTCGGCCAGCCTCAGCAGCAAACAAACAATGCATTTGGTCAGTCTCAGCAGGGATCGTCGCTATTCGGTGCAAAGCCTTCTCCTTTCGGCACGTCAACAAACACAGGAGGAGTCTCTTCAACTCCGGCATTCGGGGCTACGTCTGGCACGAATATGACAGGATCTGGCCAGGGAACTGCAGCCGTGCCATTCCAGGCGCGCCAGGAACCAGAGCCGTCCAAGCCCACTAGTACAAATATCTATCAATCGATCACCGCGATGCCGCAGTACTCGAACTTTTCTTTTGAGGAGTTGAGATGGCAGGACTATCAGCAAAATCGCCGGTATGGAGATGGCAACACTGGTGGTACTGCCACTGCTTTCGGTGGAGCTCCATCCACACCGTTCAATGCTGGGAACACCAGCACTGGGTTCGGATTTGGAGCCCAAAACCAAAATCAGACCAGCACCTTTGGCCAGCCGGCAGCTTCTAATTCTAGTCCCTTTGGCCAGTCAACTACAAATACTGGTACCGGAATGTTTGGCCAATCTAGCTCTAGCCCCTTTGGCCAGCCCAAAGCAGCTTTTGGATTCGGTGCAAACACTCAAACCAACACCACTGGTAGTGGGTTGTTCGGCAGTAATACTATGAACAACAACTCGCCGTTTGGTCAGAATAACACAAACACCGGAACCACTGGCAGTACCTTTGGAGGATTTGGCCAGACGAACCAAAATACTAACACTACGGGCAGCACATTTGGAGGATTTGGCCAAAGTACCAACACAAATACTGGCGGTAGTTTGTTTGGTCAAAGTAATCCTAGCACCGGTGGAATGTTTGGTCAAAGTAACAACACTGCCAGCACCAGCGGTGGACTGTTTGGCCAAAAGCCTGCCGGGACCAGCATGTTTGGTCAAGCAAACAACACTGGAACCACCACTGCTTTTGGACAGCCTGCTTCTGGTGGCGGCTTGTTCGGAGCGAACAGCAGTACTAACAATACCAATTCCAGCGGTGGGTTGTTTGGACAAAAGCCTGCAGGATCTAGCTTGTTTGGCCAGACTAATAACACAACCACGTTCGGTCAAACCAACAATACCACCGGTGGATTTGGATTTGGGCAGGCTAACACGAACACTACCAATACTTCTGGTGGCTTGTTCGGCAACAATACCAACAGCGCTCAACCTTCTGGTGGTCTTTTTGGTGCGAATAATGCAAACAGCACTACAAACACGTTCGGCCAACCCAACTCTAGCGGCGGGCTCTTTGGAAATACTGCAAATAACACTTCCAACACTTCTGGGGGCCTGTTTGGAGCCAAACCGGCAACAAATACCTTTGGACAAACTAACACTGGTAGTGGTGGTCTGTTTGGATCAAACACAAACACTACAGCTGCTAATTCTGGAAGTACAATTTTCGGGGGTAACTCAACCAACACGGCCTCCACTGGCACTGGTCTGTTTGGCCAATCCAAGCCAGCTACTGGGGGGTTGTTTGGATCGCAGCCCGCAACAAACACGACTACCTCCACAGGTACAGGATTATTTGGCCAGTCCAACACTTCTTCAACAGGTACTGGGCTGTTTGGTAGTACTGCAAACACGTCGACGACCACACCTGCATCAACTTTTGGAAACACAAGCACTACAGGAGGCGGACTGTTTGGCAACAAACCTGCAGGAACAACTTCGTTGTTTGGTTCTACTCAGCCGTCTACTACGGCCACTACAGGTGCTGCCCCGTCCATGTTTGGTAAACCAGCAGGCACCACATCCCTATTTGGACAGCCGGCTAATGGCCAAGCAACTACTCAACAGCCATCGGCCCTTGGCGGCTCGCTATTTGGTGGATCTGCTGCTAATACTGCTCCAGCATTCGGAGCTCTGGGTGCACAGCAACCCGGGCAGCCCAGTCAGTCCCTTGTTGCGACAATTCAGCAGAATCCGTACGGCAACAACCCGCTTTTCAACAATGTTCCAGTTCCTGAGTCTAAAACTGGCTCGTTTGCAACTGCGTTAACCACCACTCCCACTCCCCGTAAGCGCCTTGATCCGTTATTGGCCTTCAAGACCCGTCCTCGACGGGTCAAGCCGGTGTCAGGAACCTCCTCACCAACTGCTAGCTCCAACACGACAGCATCTGTTGAAGCGCCGACTGAGAAAGAACTATTACTGTACAACGAAAAGACTGACAAACTTATCTTACGCTCTGAACAGTTTGCTCCTCGCTTATCTGCTCTCAGGCGGTTGGTGCTCGACTCTCGTGCTGATGATAGTGAACTTCCATCCGTCTCGGCTATCCCCGAGAGCGCATCTGTGGATTTGCAAGCCGCAGCATCATCCACACCGCCCCGCAAATCTGGATTGGAGTCTGCTAATGTCAGTGCAACAGCTAACTCGACGATACCTGCTGCCGCAGCTGTTGTAGCCGCCGACATGTCCTCTTTGCCTGACAATGAACAGATTGACGAAAATGGCTACTGGATCTCACCGTCTCAAAGCAAGCTTGATCACATGTCTGTCAAGGAGCTCGAGTCTGTGGAGCATTTCCGCATTGGCCGCAAAGACATTGGTTTCGTTACTTTCGACGCCCCCGTCGACCTCTCAGGCTTCTCTAATGTCCGCAAGCAGGCCGGTGGTCATCTTATTGTCTTTGCTGATCGTATGTTTGCCTTGTACCCTCAGGATAAGGACTGTCCTCCCCCCGGTAAAGGCTTCAATGTGCCCGCTACTGTCACACTGTACAATCTGTGGGTCAAAGCTAAAGACACTAACCAGCCCATCAAAGACCGCAACAACGGGCTCTGCAAGCGCCAACTGAAGCGCCTCAAGCAGTTCCCGGGCACAAAGTTTGTCTCGTGGGACCCGGAAACTGGCACCTGGGTTTTCAACCTTGAGCCACGTGAACCGGTTAAGAGTTAAAATAAGGGAAAAAAATTAGTTTAGAAATAACAAAAGGATAAAAACACGAAGGCATGCTAAGCCAAAAACTAGCGGCCGAGCTTGAATTTGGCGGTTGCGAACGCGTGGAGAGCTTTCATGAAGACGAGGTATGAGACATTTCCGTTGTTTGCCGGGGAACAATAGATTTCGGTGACTCGGATATGCCAGGGGGGGTATCCCTGCAGGTCAATTTCAGAAGAAAACATGATCAGCAGGTCGGGTTCAGACCCAATGCGCTCTTTTAGTTGGCGGTCGATCACGTCCAGCGTGATGTCTTTGGGGGACGTTACGTTTTGGGCGACCATATCGCTCAGGACACGCGTGACGTCAACAATGAGCTTGCGCCCGTTGCTTTCGGAAATGAGGTTGATTAACAGCTTGGGATCAGCGCTGCCTGCAGCTGAGGGGCCCAAGCTTTTGGTTCCGTCGTTTTGGCGGTTGAAGATCTTGAATGTCGCAGAGGATGAGTTGCCAAAGTACATTCGAAGTCTGTCTTCAATTGCATTATACACGTCTTGCAACGGTAAAGACTTGAGAACGCCTGTGCGCTCGTAGACGGTCAACTCAGATGCGCCTGCGCCAATGCACCAGGCTGCGACCTCGCCAACGTCAGACAGCAGGCCCTCAACACCACCGCCTTCTACGTGCTTCTGCTTTCGGTCAAGGATCACTGCAATATGCCTAGGAACCTTCGACAACTTGGTGACATCGTTGCGGATGATTTGCGGAGTCTTGTGAGGTGAAAGGGTCAGTGCCTCAACTCGATAAGTCGACTGAAAGTAGAACGACCTCACGAATTTCACAACGGCGAGCAGCGCAAATACAAATTTGAGGATGATGCCAAAGAAAAAGCCACTCACGGTTCCACTCTGGGTTGCTGAATCTACCATTTCTGTTGTTTTACGCAGAATGCGAGGTTGAGGGATCTTGAGAAAATCACTAAGCGTTTCACCTCTTATATGCTGCTGCACAGCCACCACAAAAACACCGCTAGTTAAAGGAAAAATCTCAGATTAAACAAATCTAATTATATATTTGAAGAGCTTCCCAAAAAAAAACAAAAAAAAACAATAAAAGTCAGATCCCTTAGCTACTCCCACCCAATGCCAGCGGCACCGTCGATGTACGTGAAACTGCACGGGCTGGGGGTGCGTAGGGCTCGCCAATGCCAAAATTTATATGCAGAGGAGAAGCCGGGCGAATATTATCACCACGAACTCGAGGCACTTCAAAGTCGCCGCTGTCATTAGCGAATTTAGTGCTGATGCTCAGCTGGCGACGCTGCATGGGCAGTGATATCGAGGACGAGTCGGCAGATGCGTGGTATTCTTCCAACGAGAACGACCGGGTCGAAGCAGGCGCCAAGCGGCCGAGACGCTCCTCCAGTTTCCCAATTCGCGTGTTGAGGACATTGATTTCCTGGTCTTTGCGTTCCCGGAGTGAGCGTAAAGCCTCTTGAAGCGCCTCACGTTGTTGATCAGCCAACCGGAGCCGTTCTTCAGACCCAGAGCTAGCATGCTTGTTGAGCAGTTCTCTCAGCCGGTCATTCTCGGCGGTCATCTCGTCCATTTCATTGGAGATTGCCCTCGACCGCTCCACTTGTTCTTTAGAGACCTGCAGTTCTCGTACCTGGCCGGTGAGCTGGTTGTTCTTCTCGTCTGCGATCTCGAGGTCTGAGAGCAGCTGCTTACTACGTTCGCGGAGCTGTTCAAGCTCTTGTGAGCGTACCTGCAAGAGCTGAGTTGCCTCTTCGTGCTTGTGTTCGAGCTGCGAGAAAGCCTCTGAGGTGGAATAGCGGTTACGCGAGGAGGAATTGTTGCGAGACCGTTCTATGAGCAACAAATCCTGCAATTTCGCTAGCTCCTGTGCAGTGACAGCCTGTTCTGATTGGGGCTCGAGGCCAAGTTCGCGCCGAGCCGACTCAGCGAGCTCAACAGTCAACACTTTGATTTCGTCTTCCAGTTGACTGTTGATTTCTTCAAGCTGTTGAACACGACCTGATGAGGACCCAGCAGGCTGCTCGTGTCCTGCAAGCTCAGCGTTGAGGGCTCTGACTTTCTCTTCAAGCTCACGATTTGCTTTTTCCAGCTGCAAAACACTCTCTTGAGACTGCTGACCGTAACCAGCAAGTTGTGCTGTGAGCATCTGGACTTGACCTTCAAGATCACGGTTTGCACTTTCGAGATTCTCTACATGCTGCGGTGCAGCTCGAGGTTGTTGACTGTAGGTAGCCAACTGGGAGGACATCGCTTGGAGCTCTTCTTCGAGTTCTTGGTTGGTGGCTTCGAGCTGCTGCAAACGTTCTGATGATGGCTGCTGCTGTTGGCTATAGCTCGAGAGCTGTGCGGTTAGCAGCTTCACCTCGTCCTCGAGCTGTTTGTTGGCAGCTTCTAGCGTTTCAACTTGGCGTTGGAAAGGGCCAGAGTCAGGTATCACTTCGCGCGATAACGGGCTATGCATATCATTCTGTGAGCTCATCCTTGACATTGATCGCGGAGGAAAGCCTTGGGGAGGACCGTAACCTTGTGGCGGCCCGTATTGAGATTGGGGGCCATGTGATATCTGCGAGCCTCGACGTTGTCCCATGGGACCTCCCATCGGCGGGCCCATCGGAGGGGCCATTGGATGCCCATTAGGATGGCCCATGGGGTGGCCCATGGGGTGGCCCATTGGAGGACCATTAGGTACACCACCTAACGACATTGTTCTTGGATAACCTGACTCGCCGTTTGAGCGCGTGGAGGTCATGGTTTGTGTCCGAGAACCTCCTTTATTCGCTACGGGTGGCGGCATGCCACCGTAGAGTTCATTTGATAATAATTGTCGACGGCTTTCGATGAGTTTTTGCCGGTATTGCATATTTTGATGCTTTGACTTTGATCCGGAAGGGGTCGAGCCGAAAGTAGGAATGATTGGCGTAGAGTCCTGGGGGGCATGGTGCACGCTTCCCATATCGCTTTGTGAGTCCAAAGAAACGCGTGAAGCGTTATCTTCAAAGGTAGGGTATCGATGGCGGTCGCGGATGGAGCTGAGATCCTTTATAGAGATGTCAGGGAAATTACCAGGATCAGTATATCTCCCATCATGGCCATAGTCCCCGGTGCCGTCGTCGAAATCAGGAGGTATGCTGCTGTTTGTGTTTTTACCTCGCAGGCGACTAAAGAGCCCTGTTGAAGACGAAGCTTCCGATCCGCGTTTGCCCAGGGCACTAGAGCTTCGTGTCGACGCCGGCATTCCGTACATATCGAATTCTGAATTTGATACGTCTAGAGCAGCCGCCTCGAAAGCCTGTTGTCTTCTGGAACGAAGCTCAACTGGATGCATTATTTTTAGACCAGGGTAGAGCAAGTACCGTGAGAGGGGGGAAAGACCAAAAAAAAAGGTTTAAATGCTTGCGGCCGAGCTGGTTGAGATAGAAGGCGTACCAAAGAGCTACAGCTGGGGTTCCGACAGGAAAATAAAAATAAGCTGGGCTTGGAAAACGCGCACAAAGGGTCGGATGGGAAACGAAATTTGATCACATCAGCCGAAACGCATTTTAAGGGGGACCACTTACGCAAGACGCGGGTGATAAACGTGCTGCATGACCGCACTGAGCCGGGAATAAGGTTTAGAGTGTGACTTTTACTGCTACACACGGGTACTAAATCAGGCTATGTTTGCCACCTGGGAGGAGGGCTGGGTCAATTTGACGGGGGCGGCCATGCTGGTAGCGGCGGCGGGAACACAGCGTTGTCCTGCAGGGGGTGGGGGAGGCTTCATGCAGATTAATTAACGAGTTTGCCGACGATGTTGTAACGCAGGCTGAAGAACTTATACCAGTCGTTGAGCGTGTTTAATTCGGACTCTGGAAGGTCCTCGTATTCGGGCTTTGCGTCTTTTTCTTCTAGCGACGACTTGGCCAGCGCCCGAGAGGCGTCGCGGCCTACGAAAATGTGATACGTCTCACCTGGACCGTACGCAGCCTTGTTGCGAGTAACGTCGAAGATCGTGCCTTTGATTGCCACGTAAATGTGCGGGGACTTGATACCTATTGTTAGACACTCTGTAATGGCTTGGGCAACCTTGGTTTTGAGTTTAGGTTGCGGTCTGGGGGGACCCAGGGCAGCTTTGGGGGGGTTTCTTTACTTACCGTCATATTTTGCGAGCTCTTGTGCTGTGTATGGGTCGTCTTTCGGGGGCTCGAGTTTGACTGCCACCTTCGGAACAAATCTATCAGCGTCAGACATTGTAGTTAGATGGATGGGTGACTAACGTGAGGGGGGAGAAAGGGGCGCGGATACCGGGGAGTGATTTTCGGGTAATGTTGATCTGTCGATTTCAAGAGATGTAGCAGGACTTGAGAAGTGCTGGCGGCAGATCCGGATCACCCGAAGTTGCGGTAAAAGATTGGGTTCCATGGTCCTTGATTTGATCAAGGTCGTTTTCGTCGGGTAACTCACGGACAAACTGCGCGTCTGCTCATAAATTTATAAATATAGGTGGCACATCGGTTTCTGCTAGATCGACAGATTCAGTTTCTTCATCTTGGGCCTGTTTCAGTTACTGCTGAGCAGGCAATCAACAAGTACTGCCATCCCCCGTCCTATCCACCGTTTGATGTATGCTTAGGAATAGTGCATGCATTGTGCGTGCTTGAGCAACCCTCTCGCGCACATATATAAGACGGGCTTGCGTTTGTTTTGATTTCCACAATGGGACAATTAGTTAACGGTAAATGGGACCCTGAAGCCAACCAGGGAGGTGCTGGTATCCGTCACTGGCTCACACAAGACGGGAGCCCCGGCCCCGATGGCCAGAAAGGCTTTCCGGCTGAAAAGGGCCGTTATGCCTTGTATGTCGCACATGGCTGTCCTTTTGCTCACCGAACCGTGCTCATTCGCAAGCTGAAGAAACTTGAAGATGCAATTCCCCTTTATGTCACAAGCCCCACCGTTCCTCAACGCACTGGGTGGAACTTTGATACAAAGGTCGCTGGAACCACTGGCGATCCTGTCAACCACTTCAAGACGCTCAGCGAGCTGTACATCCAGACTGATCCCAATTACACCGGGCGGGTCACAGTGCCGGTTCTCTACGACACCAAAGACAAGGTTATTGTTAACAACGAGTCGTCCGACATTGTTGAAATGCTCAACACGGCGTTCAACCACCTTGGTGCTGACCCCTACGACTATGTTCCTGAGAGCGATCACGAGCACATCAACCAATTGACCGGCGAAATGGTGGGAAACATTAGTGGGTCGCTCTACAGGGCCTTGTTCACCAAGGATCAAGCCACATTCGACGAGTACCAAGCACGGATTTTTGACAGCCTGCAAAGCCTCGACAAAGAGCTAGCCCAGCAGAGGTACATTGCCGGACCAAAGATTACCGCGGCAGACATCTACCTATTTGTTATCCTCGTTCGTGCTCCGATCCAGCTGCCGTTTGCTCGACTGATCTACCGCCGTCCCCAGGATTACCCCAATCTGTGGAACTACGCCAAGGACCTTTATCAATCCGGATTTGGCGAAACAGTGAACTGGGAGCACATTGTGGCCCTCATCTTTGCTGGTCACGATTACGACGCCGCCGGCATCATCCCCCGGGCCCCCGAAATCGATCTTCTGTCCGCTCACAACAGAGCTGAGCTCGAGTACGAAGTGAAGGATAGCGCACAGATCCACCGTAACAAATATATTTAGTATCTAAGTTAAACGCGAGATTTAAGGAACAAAGCCAAGAAAATGAGAACTAGCACCTGCACCTTGCGAGAGTTGACAAGGCGAGAGAGGAGGCTGCGGCGAACGGGGCCGCTGCGAGGGAACCACTCGGAGGGCACACCCAGGAAGCGCAAGTTCTTGAGATTGCTGGCTCTGTAAGGAGCATAACGGCCGTGTAGCAGAGCCTCGATGAAGTTGGGCTGGCGAAGCAGAGGGCGAGCGTGAGAGAACTCGTCGAAACCGAACTTGCCGTGGTAACGGCCAGTACCGGAGTTCTTGATACCGCCAAATGGAATAGCAGCAGAGCCACCTTGAACAATGCAGTCGTTTACAACGGCAGCACCAGAGCGGATACGAGACAGAAGCTCATCGGCACGTTTGCTGTTTGTGGTAAAGAAGTAGGCGGCCAGGGGGTAGTCGTGTTGGCGAGCAATGGGCAGAGCCTGGGTGTTGACGTCGCTGACGGACAAAATGGGCAGCAAAGGAGCGAAAATCTCCTCGCCCATCAAGCAGTCATCCAATTCGACACCGCTGACGACGGTAGGCGGGTAGAATTTAGAGGCCTTGTCGGCTTTACCCCACTGGAATTCGACTTTACCCTTTGTGGTCTCAATGAGCTTGTTGGCACGATCCCACAACCGGTCAGTGGCAATGTGTGTCCAGTCCTCAGTATCTTTGTCGAGGTTGGGATAGCTAGTCTTTAAAGCCTTGACGAGTTCAGCAATGAACTTTTCCTTGACCTCGTCGTCGATAATGACATAGTCGGGAGCGATACAGGTTTGACCAGAGTTGGAGAATTTGCCCCAAGCAATGCGACGAGCGGCAAGCTTAATGTTTGCGTCGCGAGACACAATTGCAGGAGACTTGCCACCCAGCTCAAGAACAACCGGGGTGAGGTCCTTTGCCGCGGCGGTGGCGACGATCTTGCCGACATTGGAAGAGCCGGTCACCATGATCTTGTCCCATTTGAGCTCGAGCAGCGCAGTGGACTCTTCGACAGCACCTGTGACACACTGGAAAATCGAAGGGTGCAGCGCCCGCTCGAGAATAGTGGCAACGACCTCGGTCGAGTAGGGAGCCATCTCGGTGGGCTTGAGAAGAACAGTGTTACCGGCGGCAATGGCAGACACAACGGGCACGATTGCGCACAAATAAGGATAGTTCCAAGGACCGAAGATGAGCACAGAGCCATAGGGCTGGCGGCGCAGGACTGGGCGAGCCATCATCATGCGAATATCAAAGCCCAACGACTCGTCGGCCGCCCACTTGTCGAGGTTCGTGATGGCCAAATTGATCTCGGAATAAACCCCGTGCAGCTCGAGGAACTCAGTTTCAAACGGAGACCGGTGGAAGTCCTTGATCAGAGCATCCTTCAGCAGCTGCTCGTTGTCCTTGATGGCGTAGTAGAGATTCCGCAGCTGCTCCTTGCGGAATTCAAGATCAAGGGTCTTGCCGGAATCAAACCCCTTCACCAGCGTCTCGTGCTTGGCATTGATCTTGTCTTTTTTAGTGTACTCTCGCGGCTTCATCTCGGTAATGTTCATCGACATGGCGTTGTTGAAACTTGCAGTTCCCCCTGCTTAAGTGATATTTGGAAGCTTGGGGATGCAGCCGACCAGAGCATGGTGGAAGCGGGGTAGAATTATGCCGAAGCCTCGTGGGCAGGTAATTGGTTACATTTTTACTTGGAATACTTGAATATATAAAGCAGCTACTGTTCCGTACTTTTCGAATGCGGGCTCTTGCGGAAACGCCAAATTTTCATAACCTAACCAAACCCCCACTCAACCCCACAGCAATCACATGCCTCAGCCCCACAGCCGACCAGCGAGACCTCGCACTGGGCCAGTGCGCGAGAACCACTCGCGGGGCAGAGACACGAACCGTAGTTTTTTCATTTTAGATTCAGTAAGCGGCGGGTAGCGCAGAGACATGGCCATTTCGGCCAACTCGCTTTGATAAAGAATAGGCCGCTCGTGCGTGAACTCGTCGAAGCCGAACTTTCCGTGGTAGCGGCCCGTTCCCGACGTGCCCACGCCGCCAAACGGCACGGCTGAGGATCCGCCTTGAATCAACGTGTCGTTCACAATGGCCGCGCCCGAGCGAGTATTGCGCAACAGGTTCTCCTGCTCGGTGGAGTCGGTCGAGAACAAGTAGAGGGCCAGCGGATAGTCGTGTTTCTGGATCAGCTTGGGCGCCTCTTTCATGTTGTCGATAGTCATTACAGGAAGAATAGGACCAAACAGCTCGTCGCCCATCAAGACATCATCGGAACTAACCCCGGTCACGATGGTTGGTGGGAAAAATAGGGACTCGGCATCTGGCGTTCCGTGCTGCAAACTAATTGTGCCCTTGGTTTCCGAAACTAGACGCTGTTGGCGCTCCCACAATCTAGCACTTACAATGTGGGCATAATCGGGGCTGTCTTTAGTCAAATCAGCGCCGTACAGCGCCTTGATGGCATTGGAAAACTCGACCAAGAACTTTTCAGCAATGGGTTTTTCCAACACAAGGTAGTCAGGAGCAATACAAGTTTGACCAGCATTGGTGAACTTTCCCCAGGCAATCCGTTTAGCGGCCAGGGGTAGATTGGCGGTTTTCGTAACAATGACGGGGGACTTACCACCAAGCTCAAGAGTCACGGGAGTAAGGTGTTTCGCGGCCGCTTGTGCAACAATTCTACCCACCGGCGTAGACCCCGTGAAAAAGATCTTGTCCCACTTGAGTTCAAGCAGGGCAGTGGCCTGTTCAGGTCCTCCCTGCACGACCTGAAAAGTGTCTGGGTCGAGGGTCGCCTCGAGCACTTCACAAAGTGCCTTGGTGGAATGCTCGGCAATCTCGGTGGGCTTGAACACTACGGTGTTGCCGGCAGCAATTGCACTACAGATGGGCGCCAAACTTAACAAGTAAGGGTAGTTCCAGGGCGAGACGATCAGAACGGCTCCGTAGGGAGATTTACGGAGCACAGGACCAGACAAAAGCAAGCGCTTGTCACCCGACAGCTTCGTGTCAGAGGACCACTTTGACAAGTGAGATAGAGCAGCGTTTATCTCGCTGTACACCAGGAAAAGTTCGAGGACGTCTGTCTCGTGCGGGGGCCTATGCAGGTCCTTGAAAAGCGCCTCTTTCAATTTGCCCTGGTTATCTTTAATGGCGAAATACAAATTACGCAGCTGGTCTTTGCGGTAGTCCAGGGATTGAGCTTTCCCCTTGTGGAAACTGTCAACAACACGTTGATGCTTGTGCTGGATCTCTTCGAGTGGCGTATACATAATCAATAATAACGGTCAAAGACACACCATAATCATGGCGATTCACGCCAACGCCCCCCTTCTTACACCCCAACGTAATCAATGGATTTTGTGTCGAATCTGTGGGCATCAATTTTCACCCCGGGCACAACGCCCACGCTGGTGAAGGCCACCCATGGGAGCTTTATCGCCTTGGAGATCACGCTTGTGTTTATGCTGGTTGCCACCAAGAGTCTGCATTTTGTAGCTCTGCTTGTCTTGGCCACCGGACTATGGATCGCCATTACTTGGTTTATCAGCGAGTCTAGCAGGCTTACCGAGCAGGCTTCAAAGAATAGCTTAAAGAATGATGCGAGTGAGATCGCGGTAAAGTCTAGTCGGGAGATCGAGTCGACAAGCGCTAGTGCCAGCACGAGTGCCAGCCCGAGTGCAAGTACCAGTGCCAGCACGAGCAAGAGCGGCAGCCCCAGCTTCAGCCCGAGCATTAGCCCGCCTGTAAGCACTTCTACTGCTGGTGCAAGCACTAGCACAAGACCTCGTAGAAAAAAGCGTACTGTATAAAACTGTGGACTTGGTCACTAATTATCAAAACCACCACCAAAATCACCACCACCTCCCATATCTCCACCATCGTAGTAGTTGTTGTTGTTATCGATTATGGTTTCTCCACCACCGCCATAGTAGCCACCTCCGTGATCTAGGGCCTCTCCTAGCAGCATACCGCCGAGGAAACCACCGCCGGCTCCCAATGCCATGCTACCCCATCCGAAACGGTTGGATCCTTGTGAGTACTGCTGAGGATACGGCTGTGGAGCATAGTAGGGCTGCGGGGGAGGCGGTTGGTAGTAGCCAGGACCGGGCCCCGGTCCGGGCCCCGGACCGGGACTTCCATTCGAAGCAGGCGGTGCGCTAGAAGCCTGGCCGCTTGAGCCAGCACTCGCATTGATATAGTAGTTGTTGTGTATGCTAGGAGAAGGCGCCGGGGAATTGCCATTACGCTCGTCTTTAGACGCCGGGGGAGGTCCCGGAGGGGGTCCGTGTTCGGGTTCAGGAGCCTCCCATTGGGACTTGCCCGTAGTTAAATTCACATAGTACCATGTTTTGTAATTCTCATCAAACTTGGCTAGCCAGCCTTCAGGAACTTTCGGCGGATTGCCGGGATTTTGCCCCATTTGCAGACGATGTTCGAAAGATAAGCCTCGTTACGTAATGGAGCGAACCTTCTACTCGCGATGGAGTTTCTGAATGTCCCGCGAAACGAGCTTTCCGAGGCCGGGCTGGCCCGATTGGAGGAGTACGAGATAGCCAACGGCCCGCTATCGATTCTGCAGCGAGCCGTGGAGGACGGATCGCAGGTGCTGATCTCCTGCCGCAACAACAAGAAGCTGCTGGCCCGAGTTAAAGCGTTTGATCGACACTCGAACATGGTGCTGGAAAACGTTAAAGAAATGTGGACAGAGACGCCGCGGAATTCCAAGGGCAAGCGGGGCAAGCCCGTCAACCGGGACCGGTTTATTTCTAAAATGTTTCTCAGAGGAGACGGGGTAATTCTTGTTCTGAAGGCCTAAACCGTATATATTATATTTTCTGCATGTTTTTTTATTTGCATGTTTTTTTTATTTGGTGTGTTCCTTGATGTTTTATGCCCGCCTCATTCTAAATCCAAACCTAGCTCTTGGTTGACCGCCTGCAGGGTCTCCGACTTCAAAATAGCTCCCAGAGTGCTTTTGTCTCGAGCATAAACCCACTTTTCGTCAACGTAATCGAACCGCTTGGGCCCTGAAACAGGACTGGCCAGCCAAATCTGCTTGTTGGGCGGCTGCTTGTTGATCACATAGGCTCCAAGATGAGGCAGCTCCAGGCTCAGCACTCCCTGCGACAGCTCTACTTCGACCTCGGGCACTTTTTCTGACAGCGCCTCGTATGCAGCTAAAATACTCTCTAAACACTCGTCGGCAACTTCGTGGTACTGCTGGGTCGACAGGCCGCGCGAGCTTATTATTCTTGCCACAGCCCGCCCTTGCAGCAGCCGCGATCTAATCATAATTGTATAAAGTAGCCCGGGCCAAAATCCTAACTCAGCCAAAATAAGCCACTTACCTAATCAGTGGTCCCGCAATTTGTGGGTCAGGGAACGTTTAGGAAAGTGCATTTTGGGTCGGGTTCATCTTAATCCCAACCCACAACATTCTTGACCGCAAATTGAGGCAAAGGGACCCCGAGTAGACCGACTTGTTGACCTGCCGTACTGCCCTCTATTTGTTATATCTGTGATTCGGGTTTTCCTTTATTGCTTGTTTGCCTGCTACCCACCGCCGTACCTACTGCTCTGAGCTGGCTCCTGGTGTTTGGGAATAATTTTCGACCTACAGCAACTATAAACAACATCTTGCTTGCGCCAGTTTTGTTCGTGACTCTAATTCTTCTGCGCGTACCACTTTTTCACTCCTCATTTCATGTCTTCTCCTACTGAGGACGGCCCGGCAAACCCGCCTCCATCTTGCAACGATGCAGTGCCTGACTTTCACCCGGTGGTCGGCCAAAAAAGGCCCATGTTTCCGCTGGCTCTTTGCCAGACGCCTCGCTTTTTGCAAAAGTACCACTACAAACACAACGGAGGCGTTTATGCCTTCGACGAGTCCCAGTTGCCCAAGGACTATGTTATGGGCCAGCACAGACTGACCCGGCTCGCCAATATGCAATCCGCCGCTAGGCTCGAGCACTCCGAAATTCAACAGAGCCTCATGGAACAGATCCAAAAGCGTAAAAACGAGGCATTGGGGCAATCCATTCCGCAGTCCAGGCGAAAAACCCGACGGGCTGCTGACGGAGATCCAGACCGGCTCGACTCGCCAACCTCCCTAGCTCCGGCGGCTGCTGATTCTTCCGACGAGGACGATCCATTCGTCGACCCGGCCATCACTCCGTCCGAGATGTCGGCCCAGACTGACGTCGCCATGCCACCACCCCCACCACCCCCGCTACCGTCCTTGTCCCCAACCACAGCTGCCGTTGGTGCCACAAGCTTACTTTCACCGACCGCATCCCCTAAACTGTCTCCGTACGAAACCGAAGACTCTGTACCATGTCCACTGGTTGATGAGCAGGTTGCTGAGCTCATTCCGTCGATTGTCGGTCAATTCGACCAGCTACCGATGGAAACCCACCGGTATGTTCTATACAGTCTGATGCGCAGCTGTAACCGTAATACCTTGTCTTCAATGGTATCAATTTTGCATTCGGCACTTCGATGTAACATTTTGTCCGAGTTACCTCCAGAACTGTCCTCTATTGTTTTGGGCTATTTGGACGCCAAAAGTTTATGCTCAGCTACCCAGGTGTGTCGCTCTTGGTACAGACTTATTGATTCCGATGAAACAATTTGGAAGAACCTTCTGGAACAAGACCAGCTGTTCTTGACTGATACCGACATGAAGCGGGCCCTCACCGAAGGATGGGGCTACTCCGGATGGACCCGTGATCTCAGCGATCCGCTTCATCGCGCCCCAGTCGCTCGTAAACAGACTACAACAGACCTTCCATCGACTCCTGCTCAACGTAGAGTCGGTAGTCTACCGTCTTTGGCTTCTCCATTTGCCCCTAATTTACCCCAGGGCACTAGCAGCGGCCCCGCCAGCCCAGCAACTTGGGGCCCGCCACGCCCTCGCCCTTTGAATGCTCTTGGAGATCCTGTCAATATTTACCGAGCTATCTACCGACGCAAGCTGTTGATTGCCCGGAATTGGATGGATCCCAACAGTAGACCTCGTCATTTTAGCATCCCTTGTGCTGCTAGAGATACAATCACTTGCTTGGAGTTCGATGAAGACCGCATTATTGCTGGGTCAGACTCAAAATCTATCAATGTATACGATACTAGAACGGGCGAGCTTTTGCACAACTTTGATGAACACGATGGCGGCGTCTGGGCGCTCAAGTATATCAACAAGGATATTCTGGTGTCTGGATCAGTCGACCGCACCGTGCGAGTATGGAGTATTTCTAAAGCAAAATGCACCCATGTTTTCCGCGGCCATACCTCCACCGTCCGCTGCTTGGACGTTGTCATGCCCGTTCCGCATGTTGATCCTGAAACCGGAAACACGGTTTATGTTCCTCCCCGTCCGGTAATTGTCACGGGCTCTCGAGACGCTACTTTGCGCATGTGGTGGCTTCCTGGGCCCGACGATCCTGAATACCACTCACCTGACGGAAATGTCGACGACACAGAAAACCCGTTCTTTATCCAAACGCTAAGTGGCCACCAGAACCCTGTACGAGCAATCAATGGCTATGAAGATACTGTAGTTTCGGGATCTTATGACAACACTGTGCGTGTTTGGCGTATCTCCGACGGCCAGTGCCGCCACGAGCTGGTTGGCCACCAACAAAAGGTTTACAGTGCTCTTTTGGACCACAAACGGAACCGGTGCATTTCTGCTTCCATGGACTGGAGTGTCAAAGTGTGGTGTATTGAAACGGGCTCTTTGTTGTACACACTCGAGGGCCATACCTCGTTAGTTGGACTACTCGACTTGAGCCGCACCATGCTTGTTTCTGCCGCTGCAGACTCAACTCTCCGTGTGTGGGATCCGGAAACCGGTATGCTTTTGCACAAGCTCGAGGGCCACCAGCGAGCAATCACCTGCTTCCAGCATGACGAAACAAAGGTCATATCTGGATCGGAACGGACCCTCAAGCTGTGGAATATCAAAACTGGTGAGCTCATTGGCGACCTGTTCAGTGGAATTGACCTGGCGGCAATTTGGCAGGTCGGCTTTGATTCCCGCCGGTGCGTGTCTGCTGTCTCGCGGGATAGCGCCTCTTTCCTCGAAGTGCTCGATTTCGATTACGATCCAAACGAAGAGGAGCCCCGGCTGCACGAGATAGATGAGCCCAAGGTAATATTCAGCCAGGAATAGGCGTCCTAATTCCTTTTTATTATTTTTATTTAAATACCAAAAACGATTCATGAGACAAGAAAATTTAAATAGTCGTAAAATTACAATATGCTATGCGAGAAAAATGCCGAAGAGAGAGAGAAATAAATTAGACCATGAACGATTCACCACATCCGCATTCGCCTTTAGCGTTTGGATTGTTGAAAACGAAGCGGGAAGCCAGTTTGTCGTCCTTCCAGTCCATCTCGGAGCCGATCACGGAGAACAATGCCTTCGAGTCAATCAGCACCTTAACTCCATCTTGGACAACTTCCTCGTCGAATTTTCCGGGCTTTTCAACGTATTCGAGATGATAAATAAGACCTGAACAGCCACGGTTGCGCACTCCGATGCGAATGAGCTTGGGAGTGGGCGAGTCTAGCAGGCTGCGAAGATGGTCGAGCGCCGAGGGCGTAAGCGTAATTGCAGCCTTGCGAGGCTTCAGCGGACGGCGCTTGGGCTTGCTTTCGACTTCCGGCTTGGGCGCGGCCGCCTTCTCGGGGACTTCCGCTTGCTTTGGTGCCGGGCTCGTTACCGCAGGGGCGCTTGTGAGTCTGTGCGTGCTCCAAGGACGCACAGTTTTTGTCTGAATGGATCGCGCAAACACGACCCGAGAATTCAATCTTGCCTGTGTCTGTAAAACTGCTCTGAGCATTGTGCGGTGACAAGTTTTTAGGAAGATGACGGGATTTGCCCAGCGTCTTATATAACAAAACCTCACAGAGCTTGGACATGAGTAATTAGGTTAACGGTTATTGGCTGAAATCTTATTACATAACAGACCCACCAACCCAAATTGCCTGCATTTCAAATGGCTCAACGGGCCTACCCCGGGCATTGGGTTGGGGTAGCGGATCAGATGGCAGCAGTGTGCTTTTTGACATACTCGGCAGTTAGGCTGTCGAGGTGAGGCAAAAGCGCCTTTTCAACCTTGCTATGATAGCAATTGATCCACTCACGCTCGTTCTCATCGAGAAGTGACACATCGATGAGGTTGCGAGCCAGGGGGACCAACGTCACCGTCTCGAATTCCAGATACTTTTTATTGTTGAATTGGTTGGGTGTGGATGCCTGACGAACAACAACAAGACTTTCAATACGAATGCCAAACTTGTTGTCCTCGTAGTATCCAGGTTCATTGGAGATCAAGTGTCCGATCTCCAAGGGCACCTGGGTATACAAGGGGCTGGATCCGATACCCATTGGTCCCTCATGAACATTCAAAAAGGCTCCGACGCCGTGCCCAGTACCATGACGGTAGTCAAGGCCTTGTCTCCATAGGTGCTGGCGAGCCAGCGTGTCGAGTTGGTATCCATTGGTACCCTCGGGGAATACAGCCCGGGCCAGAGCAATATGCCCTTTAAGAACTAAGGTGTAGGCATTGATTTCTTCAGGCGTGGGGTTGCCAAAGTGAACTGTACGGGTTGTATCGGTAGTTCCATGTGTGAACTGGCACCCTGAGTCGAGTAAGTGGACCTCGTTTACAGACAAACAGTGCTTGGAATCGGGCTGCGGGGCGTAGTGAATAACAGCAGCGTTAGGGCCTACGCTTGAAATGGTTTCAAAAGAAGGACCCACGAAATCATCAAGCTTTTTGCGAATTTCCAAAAGCTTCTGGCTACCCTCATACTCCGAGATCGATGTGTTGCCATTCTTAAGCTCGTTGTCAGCCCAAGCAAGGTACCGGACAACAGAAAGGCCACATTTCAACTGTGCTGAACGCTGGCCATCAATTTCAGTACAATTCTTCTTGGCTTTGGCGATGGTGATCGGTGAAGTATCACTGATCGTACGCGCTTTACCGCCAGCAGCCTCCACCAGTGCCCAGGAGGAACCAGCAGGTAGCCAAAGCTTCAACTCAGCCTCCGCGCTTCTAGCCTCCTTTGCCTTCTGGTTAATAGTCGCAACCGAAGCAGCAAGTGCCTCGGCGTCATCGAGCACGTTATTGTAAGGCTTGATCTCGACATTTTTGATCGCGTCTTTGACGTCAACAACTTTGGCCTCGTCAACGTACAAAGTGACTGAGTGATCGCTAACCAGAGCAAACGACTTGAAAACTGGATTATAGTCAATGTCACTACCGCGTAGGTTGAACAGCCAAGCGATGTCGTCAAGAGCAGTGAGCAGAATAGCCTTGGCATGTTTCTTTTCAAGTTCATCCCGCAATTCACTAAGTTTCTTTTCAAAGCTTTTGCCAGTAACTTTTTCGGCCAGGCTGATCACTTTAGCCTTTGGCAAAGCTGGTTTATCGGTCCAAACGGCATCCACAAGGTTTTCCGGAATAGCCTTGAGCTCGATTCCAGATCCAACGAGTTTCTCTTGGATCGACTCAACAATAGAGTAACGGATGAGCTTCGGGTCGACACCAATATTCTGTCTCGTGGCTTTCGCCTTGTCAACAACCGCCTTGAACCACGGATCAACATTGGGTGAGCCTTCTTTACGCAGCGACCACCCACTAGGCAGCTGCTTCTCGGCTTGCAGGTAGTAGCGGCCATCCGTAGCAAGCTCAGCCGAGTCTAGCCCGATCACAGCAGTTCCTGCAGAGCCGGTGAAACCAGAGATGAACGCACGGCGCTCGTCTGCTTCGGCCACATACTCGGAATTGTGTTCATCCTGGGTGAGAACTAAGTAATAGCCAATATTATGCTTGGACATACGCGCCCTAAGGCCTTCGATGGGAGAAACGGTACTCATATTAACAGTGTAAGGGGGCCAATGTTTTAATCGTCGTCCACTAGATCCTTTAAATAGGCGACTTACCATGCAATGGTTGTGTTTAGGTGAAGCCGTGCTGCATAAGATGTCATTAACCCGCTGGCCCTAGCCCAATAACCCACCTGGGTGTTGAGCGGTCCACTTCGATGGCACAACTGAAAAAAGTGACGGGGCAATAGTACAAAAAAGTAGGGGAATAAGACACTTGATTGATTTACAATCACAAAACTTGTTGTTCATATAGATCGGGAATGGTGAGATGAATGAGTTGGATAGATATTGAGGTTAACATAACATGTAGGCCAACTCTTTTTACGTTAACACAGATCATTGTGTGATCAAAGTTATGGGGGTTGGTGCCTCGAATTTTTTTAACGACCAAAGCTACCTGCGTGCTCCATCCTGCAGTGCATCGAAGACTTAGATCAATCATACTTTGTCTTACACAATCGAATGGACCCGGCAGAACTGAGCCAAGTGGAGGTTCTGATCAATACAATCTACAGCACTGGACAGCATCCAGATGCCGTCAAGATTGCTCAGAGAGAACTTTTGAAATACCAGCGTGGACCTAATGGCTGGGATCTTGGCCAGGCACTGCTCGAGACAAGCGACGCAAACGCACAGTTTTTGGGCGCAAGCACATTTTTGATAAAAATTCACGATCAAACCGCTGCTCTTCCTGATCAAATAAAACATCTTTTGCTGCAATGGCTTCAATCTGCAGTGCAGACGCCCTTTAAACCTTTTGTCACTCGCAAGATCATGGGAGCCATCATCACTTTATTCTTTCGCCAACATGCAGAATGGCCCGATTTCCTAGGCGATATGGCTAAAGTTCTTTCTTCAAATTTCTCGCAGGTTCTTGTGCTAAGCCAGATGCTGATGGAGGATTATACACGTCTGCAGCAATCCATCCATAGCTTGCGAAGTGCTTTGCACAAAATGGTACCCCAGGTCGGGACCTGGATTGAGCACTCACTGGCTCAGAATGATACAACGCTGAAACTCCAGGCACTTGATACCTTCTTGCCCTGGGCTTCCGCGTTTAATCATGATTTAGCACCGTTGTTAACGGTGGTTATTGATGGCCTCAACACGGATGATTTTGACTTGTTCGATAAAACTGCTGCTATTCTTACAGACCTTTATCCCGTTCATTATAAAGCTTGGACTCGCGATGTAAAAGCGAGGTTGTTAGCAGCTCTTGAAAAATACACTTCCCATTCTGACGAGGACTACCTTATTCCTCTCGGCCGGTTAGTTCTCGTAGTCTCAAGTGAAGACGCAACGACACGACCCAAGCTTATGGACTATATTTTGAGTCGGCTTACTGAAAATCCCGAAAATATTCTGGATGATGAGCTCGCTAACGATGTCCTGGAGTTTTGGAACGTGTTTGTTGAAGATATCATTTCTGGTGGCATGTCTGGAGAGTATAATGCCACCATATACAAAGTTATTGGAATTTACTGGCAGAGACTTCAGTTATTTGAAATGTCTGATTCGTCTTGGGAGCTGTTTTCCAGTTTTAGAAGAGACTTCTGCGACTTTTTAGAGTTGACATACTCACTGCTGGGGCTCGGTCTTTTCGATCAGCTCGTGTCCTCAATTGTCCAAGAATTACAGACTAGAGATCACGCAAAACTCAATTGGAAAGAAATTGAGATCTCATTGTGTTGCCTCAATGGTCTCGCGGACATCATTGGTGTTGACGGCAAAGAATTTGAGACTGTTCAGGCAGTTTTTAGCAGTACTTTGTGGGTCGACTTGCAGTATTGCAAAAATCTAAGGGTTCGTCAAACAGCTGTGAATGTGATTGGGTGCTACGATGCATTTTTTGAGTCCGAAGCTGGCAGAACTTATCTCTCCCCCACTCTGACTTATTTATTCTCAAGCTTGACCGAAGTTTCTTTGCAAAATATTGCATCTCGATCTATTCAAAAACTCTGTTCGTCCTGCAGGGAGGTTCTTGTGCCAGAATATGGCCAGTTTTTGTCCGCTTATATTGCCATTCACTCTCGGCTTCAACCCACTGCTCACCAAAGAATAGTAATGTCGGTTGGCTACATTATCCAAGCTATCGAAGATCTTCCAACTCAAGCGGATGCTATCAATGAAATCCTGGTGCTTCTCGAAGCTCGCCTTTCTCAAATTGAAAAAGTAGAGGATGACCTGGCCCATCTCCGATGTCTCTCAGGGCTGGGTAAAGCTTTACGGGAACCTACAGATGCTCTTATCTTGCATGCACAAGTCGAAGCCGCTCGAAATTACTGGCCAAACGAGCCAAAAGAGTTGCGGAAGCGGTTACTATGCATTGTTAGACAATTCATCAACAGGCCTGAACCAGACCTTTGTGAGGCACTTTGTGAAATCATCAAGTCTGGATTGAGTGAGCAGGTTGAAACGCCGTTTAGTTTTGGTGCTGATGCAACTATTTCCTTTGCTATTGATAAAAACCAGTTAGGGCCTGCGGTGTGCCGTCCATCAGTTGTCGATTTGGCCACATTTCTTATCACGAGCCAAGCATCTGCAAAAACGCTCAACACAACCACGGCGTTTGCATCTTTGTCTCTGGTGAGTGGCGATGCTCACGACTCCAGTCTTCGACTCATGACTGAGGTGGTCAATAAAATCCCGCTAGCTTTTGTTGAGTACTCTCGAGCTGCAGAGCTGGTGGACTTTGCCGTGAAAAGCCTCGGTTTTAGTGACAGATTTGTATTGAGCGCTGCTTCCAAGTTTTGGATGCGGTTTGCCAGTACAAGTGAAACAGCGCCAGCTCTTGAGCAATTTGGTCAACAACTTGTTGATGCCATTGCGCGACAGATCTCTGGCGACGCCAATCGTAGCGATGTTGATTACCATGCTGATATCGTAAAGAAATTGATGGCAAGAGCGCCTATGCCAACTGCGATTTGGCTCCAACACAGCCTGGTGGATGCACCTGTCAGCGAGCGGCTAGCATCGCAAACGGAAAAGTCTCGCAAAGATTTTGTCAAACAGCTCATTCTTCTTCGCGGTGGACGACAAACTACTCAAGTTATTGTAAAGTTTTGGCTGCATTGCAGGGGTTTACCAGAGTATTAGAAAAAGTTCATTAACTTATATCATAGACCAACCTCTTCTAGTAAGTATTTTGTAGGGCCGGCACATTCGGTTTCAATGGGCGTAATACCCATTGCTTGGTACTTGATGGTTTCGTTATCTCCGTACTGCTCGAGGGACGCGGAAAGTCTGAATGTAAAGGTCTTTCCCTCGATGGGACTGAGAGCCTTTGATAGATTAACTTCATCATTTTGTTCCGAATATTCGTGAATTTCTTTGGCGGGCATGCCGAGCAGCTTCTGACCGAGTGCATCAAAAATAGAGACCCGAATACCGTCAGAGGCAATGCCATCAGCTAATCGGACGGAGATGATATAGCGATACTGTGGCTCGGGGTATGATTTGTCGCATTTTTCGCATCTCCATTCGTGGTTCGTTTCCATGATCACCTTCTTGTTGCAGTTTTCCGACGGACAAGCAGGGTATGTTAAGCCGCGACGATAGACAAACTGGATGGACGCCATGGTAGAGACGAATTCTCGCTGTGAAGATCCAAGGTTCTCTTCAATAATCTTGTAGATAGGCACGTAACGGTGGCTTGTTTCGCCATTGCTGGATGTGACTTCTTGTTTGACAAACTCCTTGTTACGGCCCTCGGCATCGTACCAGCCCTTGAGCTTATATGCCTCTCGAAGATCAGGAGATGGGCTAATGCCACTCGTGCGTAAAGCAGAGAGCGATCGGCCTCCAAAATCGGAAACCTTCAACCCCTTGAAGGCGACTACCGTTCCTGGCTCAACGTCGAACGACTTTGCTTCGTCACCCCACAAAGTACATCTCGTTTCAACACCACTATCGTCAACAAGCAGAATGTCGCGTTTGGAATAAGGACGAGAGGTCTTCTTCGACACCAGATCAGTGGTCTCGAAAATGTCCTTAACCACCGTCAGTACGTCACAAAGCTTGTTGTTTTCAACCTGGGGCAAGTCCTTGAGCTTGACAAAGTTGTAGTGCATAGCAGGCACCTCAATCTCGTCATCACTGCATGGCTCAATTACTGTGTTGCTGTCAGCCATAATTTCAAAATCGTTGTTAACGTTGGAAAACTGACGTTTGGCGGTGCTGACTCGAGCTTTCGAAACATAGTACACTGAACCATCGCGAATAAGGTCATAGAACTTATCTGCATCTTCGTTGAAAAAAGTGGCGCGAATCTCGCCGGTCTCGTCGATGAAGGTGACGTTGAACAGCTTGCCCTGGCCACGCTTCGATTGGAAAGTTCGCATGTCTGATTTTTGCCCGGCACGCGCCCGCATTTTCCAGACCTGCAGGTATGGTGTGATTCCTTCAATCGCGACAACATCCGACGGCAAAGCACGTTTTGGCTTTGGCTTTTCAGACACAGCGGCAGCAGGCGCGGCGGGTGCAGCAGGAGGAGCGCTCCCATCGCCGTTAGGCTGGTCATAACCAGGCGGTGCCTCGGAAGCAAGCACCTGCTCCAACGTCAGGCCCACAACGCGAGCTAAAGTTTCCTTTGAAAGACCGGTAGGGCGGCCGATCACCTCTGAATCACCAACCTTGCGCAAGCCATTTACCCAAACAACGGGCCGCAAACCACCTGACTTTGCCGACAAATAGTTGATTGAGTCGATCTGGGCAGACCAGATTGCACCGGGCTGATAATCCTGGATGTTGCCCTCGCTCGTCAACAACGCCAAATGATACTCGCCGTCAGAAGCGCGAATGTTAATCAGTTGTTCATTAGACACCGGGGAGGTTTTCATGACCTGGAACTCGAAGCGTTCGCCCTGGTACTGTGTTTTGGTTCCCTTCAGGAATCGGGCAAAAACAGGCTCAAGCTTCATCTTTTTCTGCCGTCTGTTTGGTGTTTGGGAAGACGCTGAGTGGCGAGACGCGCGTGGGAGTCGTGCTGTAATTTGATCACGGGTTAGGGTTCAATTTAGAGACGTCAACACCGGCGTTGTTCGAAGCGGGCTTGTCTGGGAGTTTGAAGAGGGGAGGCTTAGATTGCAAGAGCAATCATTGAGAAACGACAAGTATGAGATCAGCAGTACATAAGAACATAGGCAGCTTTAGTTACGGGGATAGAGAGATTTTATCAATTGTTCAGTAGCAAAAGATATATAGGTATCTAAGAAATGCGGGGCGACCCATCCCAGCCTACAAATCTCACCTGTTGAAAAATCCTGACAAATCGTCTCGACATGTACCCATCAGATCGGTATGGTATGCCCAAAACCGACCACACAAAGTGGCGGTTGATAACAGATATTTACGGCAAACAAAACTGGGTGTATGACCGCACGGGTGACGGTCCCGAGCCTACCAGTTATGTCCGCCATCAGATGCAAAATGGGTTTAATCCGAAGGAATTGCCCAAGCCAGAGTCTGCACATGACGCCGCATCGAATTGCTTTAGCTTTTTGAGCCAATTGCAGGACGACAGTGGTATTTTTCCATGCCAGTATGGCGGTCCGATGTTTATGTTGATAGGCTATGTTGCTGCAAAGTACTTTTGCAACGTGCCGTTCTCCGAAGAGGAAAAACTCGAAATCCGCCGTTATTTAGTGAACCGTGCGCACCCAGTTGATGGTGGATGGGGATTGCACACATATGGTGACTCTACGGCGTTTGGAACCTCTATTAACTATGTTATTTTGCGCCTTCTAGGCATGAGCGCCGACCATCCCGCAATGGTCAAAGCCCGAGGAACGCTGCTGCGTTTGGGCGGTGCCATTGGTGCTCCCATGTGGGGAAAGGTATATCTTTCTCTTCTGAATTTGTATAAATGGGAAGGTGTCAACCCGTCGCCCCCGGAGCTCTGGATGCTACCGTATTGGGTCCCTATTCATCCTGGCCGCTGGTGGGTTCATACTCGTGCGGTGTACCTTCCTATGAGCTACCTTTCCATGAACAAAGCTAGCAAGGAATTAAATCCGTTGCTTGAGGCTATAAGATCGGAGATTTATACGAAGCCGTTTGACCAAATTGATTTTAGCCGCCATCGCAACACCGTTTGCGGTGTGGATCTATATTACCCTCACTCAAAGATGCTTAATTTTGCCAATGCTACGTTGGCAATGTATGAGAAGTGGTTACGTCCCGAGTGGCTACGAAAGAAGGCATCTAAAGAGGTTGTCGATCTCGTTCTCAAAGACTTGAAAAATACTGACTGGTTGGCCATTGCCCCTGTTTCCCAAGCCTTGAATGCTATGGTGATTTTCAGTGAATTTGGTGGTGATGCACCTGAGTTCAAGCGTTTCCTAGATCGCTGGCCGGATGCGTTATATATGTCACCTGAAGGCATGTTTGTGTGTGGAACCAACGGCGTTCAGACATGGGATGCTGCTTTTGCACTGCAATACTGTGTGATGGCGGGACTGTCCGACAAAAAGGAGTTCCATGATGCTCTTATTAAGGGCTATCGATTTCTTGTCAATGCGCAGTTTACAGATAATGCCGTTGAGGGTAGTTATCGAGACATTAGAAAGGGAGGCTGGGGGTTCTCCACAAAAATTCAGGGATTCACTGTAAGTGACTGTACTGCTGAAGCAATCAAAGCCATTATTATGGTTCAAAATGTCCCAGGACTAGAGTTTTTAAAGGAGGATATGCCTGTCGAAAGATTACAAGAGGGCGTTGATGTTTTGTTGGCAATCCAAAACTGGGGCAACTTCCATTATGGATCCTACGCTTCATATGAGCAGATCAAGGGCCCGGAAATTCTTGAGTTGCTCAATCCTGCAGAGGTATTCGGCAACATTATGATTGAGTATCCGTACGTTGAGTGTACAGACTCCTCTATTCTTGGTCTTCACCACTTTACCACTCATTTTGACTATCGTAAGGATGACATTGAGAAATCAATCAAGGCAGCAACCGACTACATTATCAAACACCAGCGGCCTGATGGTTCTTGGTATGGCTCTTGGGGTGTGTGCTTTACTTATGCAGGAATGTTCGCTATTGAAGCGTTGTCGACGCAGGGTTACACATATGAAAACAGTGAGGTCATCCGTAAAGGATGCGAATTTTTGGTACAACGACAAGAAGAAGATGGTGGCTGGGCTGAGGATTTCCGCTCGTGCGAACTCTTCAGTTATGTCCGTCATGAGAAGTCAGAGGTTGTCCAGACATCTTGGGCTACCATTGCTCTTTTACTAGCAGGGTACCCCGAAAAATCGGTTTTGGACAAGGCAGTCAAGTTCCTAATGTCCAAACAGAATGACGACGGATCCTACAACCACAATCATGTGGAAGGCGTATTCAATCATTCTTGCGCCATTGAGTATCCGAACTACAAGTATTATTTCCCCATGAAGGCCATGGGCATGTACGCGAAAATATATGACTAGATAACGAATTTAGTGTTTGAGCGTAGAGGAAATCGTCTAAATTGAGAATAGGCAAGGTGAAAACAGGCGGCCCAAAAAAAAGTAACTTCCCAACCAGGGGTCGAACCTGGAATCTTTCGCTAGGACCAAATCGTAGGCGAACGCCTTGCCATTGGGCCATTGGGAATGAAGTTAATCGTTTTGGAATGGTAGAGGTTATAGCCCCGTACCCTAAAATACATAATGCAGATTTCTCGATCAGACTCAGTGCAAGCCAGGGGCTCTAATTTGTGGCAACAATAAAATGGCTCTGCGCAGTCAAAGCTCGAAACACACCGCAAGGAATGCGTCGACCTGTGCTGATGCCCCTACGAAGATCACTACACCCCTCATTCTGTCATCTATGACTAAGGAAATTCCTTAATGATTTTTTTGCAGAGCGCGGCTGCAAAATAGCCCCTTAACCGTTTCTTTTCTGCTGTGTAACGGCGGACATGGTGTAAAACTTCATATTAAGACAATTGCTTCTGCAGCATAAACCCAAGGCTCATATATTGACAGCAATGCGAATCGCCCAGACTGACAATCATTAAAACCCTGTGCCCATTCCGATGACAAAGCGTTCAGCAAGGCAACAACAAGCACTTTTTTTCGAGTAGGAACCGCTGCTGTCGTCACAGGGTAGGTCCGGGTGGTCTCGTGGTACAAGTGTGACCCAATGTATCGGGCAGTTCTATGGGCGAGCCATCACTTAACCAGCCCTCTCTGTGGGTACTCAAAGTCCATCGCTGAATTAGGCACAGGAATTTAGCCACGGTGCTCGCTTTCGTAATCAGCGCTTTTGATGGGTCGCGTCGCTTTAAAACTTAACAACCACTATTAGCATCCTTAAAACATGTCGGGTGGCAAAGGAAAAGGAGGCAAGGGAAAGAGTGGTGGAACTCGTACGGCCATGTCGCACAGTGCGCGTGCGGGTCTGAACTTCCCTGTCGGACGTATTAAGCGTTTCTTGAAGCGATCGGTCCAGAATAAGATTCGTGTCGGAGCGAAGGCTGCTATTTATTTGGCCGCGGTTATGGAATACTTGACCGCTGAGGTCCTGGAATTGGCTGGTAACGCCGCCAAAGATTTGAACGTCAAGCGTATTACTCCTCGTCATCTTCAGCTTGCCATTCGTGGCGACGAGGAGCTGGACACTCTGATTCGGGCAACTATTGCCTACGGTGGTGTTATGCCGCACATTAACCAGAACCGTTTGCTCAAGGTCGAGTTGTCAAAGAGCTCTAAACACTCTGCTCAGTAGTTGTAATTATAATTTTTTTTGGGTAAATGCTGGCATCGGCGCCGTGTAGGGGGCACTGGCGTATCTTTGGAGGGGTTTTTGAAATGCTCAGTTAGCATTTAAATGTTTCGGAGTCAACTTGGACGCCTGCATAGGAAATATCCGAGGTCTGTATACAGGGTAACGGGAATATTTCCGGGTAGGCCCGGGCCTGGGGATTTCCCCAGCTCAAAGGTGCCCGGGCAGTCCCGTGCAATCCCGGGTAAGCTACTTTATCTTACGAACATCTCGCACTTTCAACAAAAGTTCTTATTGTCACAAATGCTAGGTAAACGCTTTTACAGCGACATTGCCGCTCTTCGCAAGACCCCTCTGTTTGACTTCCACCTCGCTCATGAGGGCAAGATGGTCGACTACGCTGGCTTTGCCATGCCAGTCCTTTACAAGGCTCAGTCTCACATTGCCTCTCACAATTGGGTCCGTGAGAAGGCTGGTTTGTTCGACGTCAGTCATATGGTCCAGCACAAGTTCTTGGGCCCCGATGCCACCAAATTCTTGGAGACTATCACGCCCAGTGATTTGAAAGGTCTCAAACCTTTCACCTCCACACTGTCCGTCTTGCTCAATTCCAACGGCGGAATTGTTGACGATACTATTATCTGCAAGCACGCTGAGAATGAGTACTATGTTGTAACCAATGCTGGCTGCCGTGACAAGGATCTTGCCTTCTTCAGGGAGCAAGCAAGCCGCCTTGGCGTCAATGTCCGCCATGATCTTATTGGCGGTGGGTTGCTGGCCCTTCAGGGTCCTGAAGCAGCCAACGTTTTGCAAAAGCTCACAAACTTCGACCTCAAGGAGATTGGTTTCGGTGAGTCGGCATTTGTCGACCTTCTCGGCGGCAAATATCACGTCGCTCGCGGTGGTTACACTGGCGAAGACGGTTTCGAAGTTTCGGTGACTGATGATGCTAAATCATTAGAGTTCGCAAATGCTCTTGTTGAGAACGAGGCCGTTCAGCCGATCGGTCTCGCCGCCCGAGACTCACTGCGTCTTGAAGCTGGCATGTGTCTTTACGGAAATGAGCTCACCGAGGAAATTACTCCTATTGCTGCTCGTCTTGCCTGGGTAATTGGCAAGCCTCGTCGTGCAGATAAGGAATTTAACGGTGCTGAGGAAATTTTGAAACAATTGGCCGAAAAGAGCACTCCTCTGCGCACTGGCCTGGTGTCCACTGGCCCTGCCCCCCGCACTGGTGCCAAAATTCTTGATAAGGACGGCAGCCAGGTCGGCACTGTTACCTCTGGCTCCCTGTCGCCTACTCTAGGCAAGAACGTCGCCATGGGCTATCTTCCCCGCAAGCTGGCCAAAAACGGTACTGAACTGTCTATCGAGATCCGTGGCAAGCCTCGTCCTGCAGTGGTCTCTGCTATGCCATTCGTCACACCCAATTACTATCGCAAGTAAACTTTATATTATACCTACTTGAAAAAACATTCTTATCTACATTTATTTTTTGTCCACAATTCCAGTCGTAGCCGTCGCTAGTTTAGGAGGTTCAGGTGGCGAAACAGCCTGATCCTTTTCCCCTTTATGCTTTAGTTTGAGAACTGTTGGCTCAATATTATCCGGAACCACATAGTTATCAGCATCAATGATCTTTTTCGCCGATAATTGGGCCTTGAGCCACTCGATCTCATCTTGCAGAACCTGAATGTCGTCGACTATAGACGCCTGACGAGCTTGTTCTTTCCGTCTAGAGCGCCATGATTCGAAAAAAACAAGGCTACCGGCCACCGAGAACACAAACGCCTCGGAAATGAAGGTGGCACCAGATTGGATAGCTTTAGCGTCGTTTAAGGGGCGAACCTTGATGTTTTTTTCATTCAGCAGTTTTAGTCGCAATTTCACGTCTGTTTGGTGCAATTTTTGAGCAAATGAAATGCAGAACTTCCTGAAACTTGGATGTTCTTTTGCATTCGCTTTTATAGTGTTGGCAATGGGTTTTGCCAGAGTCTTCACCAAAAGAGACGTGAACTTTAGCGCGAGACTCATGACAAATCAGCCCCCTCTCGAAGATCGCTTGTGTTTTCAAAAAACGGTCTGTTCGAGGTATCGTCAGGAGACATTTACTGTAATGTTACAATAACGTCGAAGACTACGTTTCCAGAGTCGCGTCGAGCTCTCTTCTATTTTGATCAGTTATCATACATGACGGAGTACCGCTAGGGCTGTTTACAGGCGTTTTACCCCGGCAACAAACGGTCGCAATCTTATGCAGTACCTGCATCAGTTAACTCAACGGGAGGTTTCAGATCGTTTCAGGGATGAGGCGAGGTGTACATGCAAGTGTGTTCTTGAGACGCCCCAAAGGTTTCCATATAGTTTTATTTTAGACTTTTTCCTACGATCGAAGAACGGCGCCAAGGTACAAACGGCACCACTTAAAACAACACTGACCATGCATACACCCCGGCCCTAATCTTCGGATGATCACACGACCAACTCTAGCATATCTGCCCAAATGTAATGAAATCTTCGGGGAAAAAAATACAAATAAAATAGGCTGTAGTTATTCTACAGTTGATGGAGATTTCACTGCGAAATATTGTCAAATTGAGCCATGGACTGGGTTATAACATCGTGACTGAATATGGTATGCGTCAGCTACTTGCAGGACAGTCCGAAAACGATACAGCTGCATTGTCGAGTGGTAACTATAAAAACCCCGGCTATACAGTAGCGATTTAGTCCAATGAAGTTCGATCTTTTAGCAACTATTGCCCTGGCTTCTGTCATGGGCGTGGATGCAGCCCAAGAACCCTTTTACTCTAATCCAAAGCCCTACAGTCAGGACTTTACTGATAACTACAACTTCTTGAAGTACACCACTTGGATGGGACCCTGGTCTCAGCGCCGTGGAGTAGGCATCAACAGAGACCCACCCAAAGGCTGTAAAGTCGATCAGGTTGCCATGATGCACCGCCATGCCGAGCGATACCCTGCAAGTTACGCCGCGAAGAACATGGACAAAGCCCTGCAAAAGTTTGACGACGTGAAGGGCAAACTCAAAGATGACCTTGAGTTCCTGAACTACTGGGTTCCTTTCGTTCACGCTGACGATGGTATCATCGGCCAAGAGTCCATGTATGGCGCGTACTCGGGTTGGCTTGATGCATACCACCGGGGTGCACTATACCGCACACGGTACGGTCACCTATGGGACGGTCAGTCCACTGTTCCCATGTTCACCAGCGGTTTTGAGCGTGTCGCTCAAACGGCGCGTAAGTTTGGCCAAGGCTTCTTTGGTTTCAATTACACGGACGTGGTGGCTTTGAATATCTATCCCGAGACTGCTGAGCAAGGAGCCAATACTTTGACTGCAGTGTGCAATATTCCTAACAACGCAACAGCGTGCGAAGTTCCGACCGAGGACGCAAAAACAGAGTGGCCTGAAGATCCTCCTTGGGTTTACCCTGAGTTCGAACAGGCAGCCAAGCGTCTTAACAAGGCTAATAAGGGACTGAACCTCACAGCCGAGGATATTCCCCAGCTTATGTCTATCGCTCCGTTTGAGCTCAACGTCCGTGGCTCCAGTCCATGGGTTGGTGCTTTCACTGCCGAAGAGTGGGCCGCTTTCGAGTATCTTCACTCTGCATTTTACTACTGTTACGCAGGACCTGAGGCACCCAGTAGTCTTGCCTTGGGCTCCAACTACCTCAATGCTACTCGTGTGCTATTCAATCAGGGTCCCCAGGATTCTATGCCTATGATTTGGTCTTTCGCTCACGATACTGATATCACTCCAGTTGTGACGTTACTGGGATTTGCCAATGACGAAAAATTCGATCCCACCAAAGTATCCTATGGATCTAGATGGGATGTTACGGATATTGTCCCTGAAGGTGCCCACCTTGTTTTCGAGAGATTGGTGTGTGAGGACGATGAAGATGACGAGTTGGCCAGTCTCGCCAGCGAATACCCTTCGTCTTTCAACGCTTCCTCGGTAAATGCAACTTATGCCACGAATGCGACCTACCCTGGAGCGTCGAACCCTAACAAGGGTAAAAATGAAAATATTTATGTGCGCATTGTTCTTAATGAAGCTGTTGTACCCCTCCCAGCCTGTAACTCTGGCCCTGGTAAGTCATGCAAGCTTAGTGATTTCTCCGAGTTCGTTGATGGTGCTATCAAAGACGTTGATTTCGTCAAAACATGCAACGTTTCGGATAGTGCTCCTCACACCATGACAATGTTCTGGGACTATAATACCACCAACAGTCTTGACTATAACTCCTACCCGATTCCCTACCAAGCCGGACTTCTCGATTCCGATGGCCAGCCTAGTGATGACAAGTCGGACTACTAATTCTCACATGTGGTCCACTTGCAGATCCGAAAGTTGTTTGAGGATGGGCTCAGCTTAACTTGTATAGATAAAATAACTGTCAATTACGCCTCAGGCATGTCGAGTGATTTCTGAAGCTGGACAAAATCTGTGAAATGCTCGTTGTGTTTAGCAACTCATGCAGGCAGCCGGGACGGCAAGGTGCATTATTCAAGATCTAGACACTTGGTGAGACCGCACTTGGGATCTTCGAAACGCTCATACGTCATGCATCATTGTCAATTGAGGAAGCAGCATATCACCTCTGCTTTCAGAATGGTGGCACCCAGTCATGTGCAGAATATGATTTTCCGGGGCCGCCTGAGCAAATCCGTTTCAAGCCCCGATTTGTAACACGGACACAGGGCGCATGACTCCAACCGCAGTGCATGACTATGTTGACATAACTCGAGTCGAATGCCAAGATTAGGTCCCTGCTCTAAAGTATGGGGTGTGTGGAGACATTGAAGTGCATTGAAAACCTCAAATTCATAGTTTTTTTTTCGCATGAATCGCTTGGAGTGTCCTAAATGAACTATCTAGGCAAGTCTAACTATAGCAAGGGCAAGGGTACCGTTAGCGGGCTGCTTTTACGCAGTGAAAACTGCGCACGTGGTGCAGGGAGAAGGAAACCTATTTAATGCGCAAAGAACTTGTTAATTGACAACAACAAACTTCAAGATAGAGAATGAAGGTTGAAATCGGTGTTTCTTTGGCCCTTGCTTCCCTGATGGGTGTAGAGGCTTTCAGCGAGCCCTTCTACACTAACCCAAAGCCATACAGCCAGGATATGCTTGATAACTACAATCTTCTGAAATATACCACCTGGATGGGGCCCTGGTCCCAACGTCGTGGTGTTGGTCTCAATCGTGACACTCCTTTGGGTTGCAAAGTTGATCAGGTCGCAATGTTGCACCGTCATGGTGAGCGCTACCCCGACAAGTACGCTGTTGTTGACATGAACGAAGCCCTTGACAAGCTGACTCCTCACAAGGGTAAACTGAAGGGTGATCTGGAATTTCTCAACTACTGGGTTCCTTTTATCACTCCAGACGGCGGTTTGGTCGCCCAAGAGTCTACCGTAGGTGCCTATTCGGGTCTTTTGGACGCATACAACCGCGGTACTATGTACCGTGCTCGTTACGGGCACTTGTGGGATCAGGAGTCAATTGTCCCTATTTTCACTTCTGGTTATGAGCGTATTGTTCAGACAGGCCGCCATTTTGGTGAGGGCTTCTTCGGATTCAACTACACCGACTCTGCTGCAATCAACATTATTCCCGAGGTAGCTTCTCAGGGTGCCGACTCACTTGTCCCTGTCTGTCACATCCCCAACAATGCCACCGTCTGCGATGTTCCTGAATCCGCACGTGCCAAGTCCCCTGACAACCCTCCGTGGAAATACGAAGAGTTTGGGCGCGCTGCTGCTAGGTTCAATAGAGCCAACAAAGGATTGAGCTTGAATGTGACTGCTGACGATATTCCTCAGCTCATGTCGTTTGCTGCTTTTGAACTCAACGTCCGTGGCTCTTCCCCCTGGGCTAAGGCCTTCACTTCTGAGGAGTGGATCGCTTTTGAGTACTTGCAATCTTCCTACTACAACTGCTACTACGGAAACTTTGCTACCAATACTCCCGCTCGTGGTTCTTTGTACTTGAATGCTACCCGTGTTCTTTTAAACCAAGGACCTGAGAATTCGCTGCCCATGGCCTGGTCTTTTGCCCATGACATCAATATTACTCCCGTTGTTGCTTTGCTAGGTTTTGCTACTGATAAGCACTACGACCCCACGAAGGTAACTTTCGGCAACAAATGGGATGTCACGGATATTACCCCCCAAGGTGCTCACATTGTTTTCGAGCGTCTTGTCTGCTCTGGTGATGAAGATGATGAATATGCTCTATTGGCTGAGGAATTCCCCGCCTCATTCAATGTTTCTGACACTAATGCCACCTATGCCAGCAATGCTACTTACCCCGGTGTCAATTCCTCTATTCACACCGGTGTTAAGGAAAACATCTACGTGCGTGTCGTTCTTAACGAGGCGGTTGCTCCTCTTCCTGGTTGTGATTCTGGCCCTGGAAAGTCTTGCAAGTTGAGCGACTTCTCCAAGCTCGTAGACAAAGCTATTGCGGGTGTCGACTTTGTAAAGACATGCAACGTGTCTGCCGATGCTCCTCAGTACCTCAGCTTCTTCTGGGACTACAATACCACCAACTCTTTGAACTACGACACTAACCCGATTCCTTACCAGGCTGGTTTGCTTAACGCTGAAGGAAACCCCATCCAAGAAAGCTAGTCCTATAGGTTCTGTATTAACAATCCCCACTAAACTAATAAAAAGTTCGGTTCACTTTCGAGAATAAGTAAAGCTATATTGGCTACCCAGAGAAGTTTGAGTGGTCCCTTCTCTCAGTTAAAAGTATTTTCAGTAGACAAAGCACGATCTAACTGTCACATTGAATTAATTTTTTGGTTCTACTGACGGCACTAAACAAGGCAACGGCCTATTACTCAATTCGCACCGCATCCTATTTTAGGGCTCGCCTAGTCCTCCAATTTCACGAGTGACCAGGATTAAACCGCGTCGAACAAGCAGCGGCATGATCGGGGAATGTGTCTCGAGGGTAAGGGTGGCGGTAACTGCTTTACCCGTTTTACCAGGAGTCTTTGTCAGCAGAAAAACTTGGAACCTTACTCATCAGTAGGGTAACTTTGCCAACCCGTTCATTGGGATATTTCGCATACTCATCGCTTATTGGACCCAGTCATACACCATGTTCTCGCTCCGCATGGCCTCCGGCGCTGCCCAACGGGCATCTGCTACACGGTACGTAGTGCAAAAAGCACAGGAACTGAACCGACGAACTAACAATAGCACCTACGCAACTCTGCGTGAGATTGAGATCCGTCTCAAGAGTATCAAGAACATCGAGAAAATCACAAAAACCATGATGGTTGTCGCCTCTACTCGCGTTAACAAGGCTGCTCGTGCCATGCAGAGCTCTCGTGTTTACGGTGAGGCTGCTAAAGATGTGTACGACGAGGCCGAAGTTCAGGCCCCCGAGGCCACCGAGACCCCCGAGAAGAACCTGTACGTTGTCATGTCCTCCGACAAGGGTCTGTGCGGTTCTATCCACTCCCAGCTTGCTCGCGCTGCCCGCCGCTACTTGGCCGAGGATACTAACGCTGATATCGTTGTTGTTGGTGACAAGCAGAAGGCTCAGCTCTCCCGTAGCAATGCCAAGCAGATCAAGCTCTCGTTTGCTGGTATCGGAAAGGAGGCTCCTACTTTCAATGAGGCCGCTTTGGTTGCCGATGAGATCTCCAAGCTCGGTGTTAAGTACGACAACATCAAGATTCTTTACAACAAGTACGTCTCCACTGTCGCTTTCGAGCCCACCATCATCGAGGCCCCTCCGGCTTCCACCATCGAGCAGGCCCCCAAGTTCGGCACTTACGAGCTCGAGGCCGACGATGTCACCGAGAACCTCGCTGAGTTCAACCTTGCCAACTTCATTCTTTGGGGTTTGTCTGAGGGCCATGCTGCCGAGATTACCGCTCGTCGCAACGCCATGGACAATGCTTCCAAGAACGCCAACGACATGATTGGCAAGTACTCGATTCTCTACAACCGTACCCGCCAGGCCGTCATTACCAACGAGTTGGTCGACATTATTACTGGTGCTTCTTCGTTGGAGTAATATAAAAGGAAACGCATAAAAAGTAGTAGATCTATGAACCCTCAACCTAGAGTAACTTAGTTGAGCCATTTGCGAAGTAATTTCGTACCAAGGTAGGCCATCAGCGGCACATTGAAGGGCTCAAGCACTTCCAGTACAGAGTCTAGTCGCACGGTGGTTTCTAAGGGTTCCTCGGCGATTGTGTTTGACTTGAGCTGTTCGAAAATCTTGTCTTTCTCGGACCACACTTTATTGAGCCATTCAGCAAGCGCTGCGTCGTTGTCGTAGGGTATATCCTTGGTCTCGAACCGTCTAATGTGAATTTTGATCTCGGGTGGGCTCTGACCACCAGCATATGTGCGCGCCAGGGTATAAAACTCTTCTCCATAAGTTCCCTCTGGAATGCCCGCATAATAGAATGTGAGGTCGTAGAGGTAGGGCAGGCAGCCACCCTTCAGGATGGCTTGAAGACCTCGGGCGCGGGGGAGCAGGAGATGATTGAATTCTTTGATGCCGTTTTTCTCGGCATAGGCATGGTTTCTCGAATAACCACCGGTGCTCATGGTTGTACCCTCAGGGAAAAGAACAACCATTGCAGGGAGGCTGGGCTCGTGGGACAGGTCGCTCATGTGTTTGGCAATTGTGGCTTCGTCTTCGGCCCATTTGCGCTTGAGAAAGATAAACTCAAAGTGCTGCATGCCCCAACCGAATATAGGGATGCGCTTGAGTGAATCCTTCAAAAGAATTTTGATGGCATCGCTAAGATTGCTGGTGTAGGCGAGCCACCAAATATACACCCAGTCGCTGTACAGCTGGTGGTTGGAGATGATGATTGATCGGGGACTCAAATTGGTCCTGAGGTGACCGGTCTTTTCTTCAATGGAAAATTGGTCACGAATTTGCGGGTCAACGTACAATTTGATCTGGGAATTCGTGAATACTTGCAGCACTGCCACCTGAATGCTGGCGAACAGGCGCTTGCCACTGGCCATCCATGCACGCGCTAAATTGGATGAAAATAGCCACAGAGGATAGCCAGCGACGGTTGACAAGTAGGTAGCCACGCAAGAAGTGAGGTAGTACAGGAACAGCACTGTTCCCCGAAGCTTGGCTATGGCGGTCATAGTTAGTAATGGGGCGATCGACCGGGGTTGTGCTTTTTACCTGCAGCAACAACCGCAGAGGTGTGAGGGTATAGAAGAGGAGACGGACTAGCCAATTGCACAGGGAATTGACCGCGCAAGCAATTCAGGGGCGAGCTGACCTAGATGCAGTCACATGATGCAGTCATATTTATGCCCTAACCCTATATGCTTCCAGTTAGGGAATGCTTGGTTTAGCGGTTGACATTACAGTAAGCTAAAAGGTCCCAACCCCAGGACGAGGCGAGCTTTCTCACCTACCCCCACCCACCTCCAAACAGTAAGTATATGGTGGCAAACGCCGAATATATGGCCGCAAGGCAGGTCTGGACTCAATTCGTAGTGCTCAGTTGCGCAAAAGTTGAGATCAATCCTGCAATGGCCATTTTGAGACGCCGCCACCATTCACCCCAACCAGCCTCTTTGCGTGGGCACCTAGTGTTTACGCGCCGGGCGGCAAACAATGACCAGAACTAACATACAGTGCGATCTCAATTCAAGGACGACTACCCTTTCGAGTCTCGTGCTGCCGAGGCTGAGCGTATTCGCCAAAAGTACACTGGTCGTATTCCCGTTATCTGCGAGAAGGTCGATAAGAGCGACATCGCTAGTATCGACAAGCGCAAGTACCTCGTACCTGCCGATCTTAGCGTTGGACAGTTTGTTTATGTGATTCGCAAGCGTATTAAGTTAGAGCCCGAGAAGGCTATCTTCATTTTTGTTAACGACGTGCTTCCTCCTGCCTCGGCTCTAATGAGCACTATCTATGATGAGCACAAGGATAAGGATGGTTTCCTGTACATCACATACTCGGGTGAGAATACGTTTGGCTCCCTATGATGTCGTATTTAAATAAGTATAATCACGTTTGCTTTCTACGCGCTTTACCCTCCGCTTAACCAAGATCCTCCTGCGTGCCAAGTATACGTGGGTTAGAAGCGCCGCAGTCAATTATTGTAGCTAACATTGAGTCTAACGTTTAGAATCTGGTGTGCTTGTGCTCAGTGGTCTCTCTACTCGGCGCATTGATTGCATTATGCAGATTGCCATCACTTGGAGCCCAGCAAGTATCGGCGGAGCGAGATGTTCAAACAAAAGGCGAATTTTGGGAAATGAGACCAGGCTTGCTCACACATGTTCAAGATGGTTATTTAACTTTAGTGTCATTAAAGCCTCGTATCCCATTAACGTTAATTAAACGGTTAAAATATCCTCCGTTCAGTGCCCTGCCCATCCTCGCAGCAATGGTTAGGCTTGAGACGGCTCTCATTAATTTTTTGGGCATAGTTTCTTTCATTTATCCCCATGCAAACCAAGACATGAAGCGTGGTCTTATGACCGATTTTATGGACGTTGTGTCCCGCGACCACCCACATGTAGCTTCGATACTTCCAAACTTTCTTCGTCCTCTTAGTCCACACCTCCATCCACCCAAAAATTTGCCATTGTTCCCTGTTGTGATACCCCAGCCAAAGCAGGGAACCTGGATTATCGATGAAAGTGTCGCTCCCGTCGACCCATCTCAGGATCCTTTCTATACACCAGATCCTTCCCTTTACGAGCATCTCGAGAACGGTGATATCATAGCAATTCGACGGGTTGGCCTTAGTGCTGTTCTGTCCAATGCTTCTACTTCCTACCAGATCAGTTTCCGAAGCGAGTCCACTAGTGGCTCACCAACTGCTGATCTCACTGTCCTTATCATCCCTGACCATTACGATAACAAAACGCTGTTGTCTTATCAAGAAGCTGAGGATTCAGCATTTTTGAAGTGTGCCCCATCTTACTCCGTCGCATCCGGTGATAACGATCCCCTCATGAACTTGGCCTTGAACGAAGGCTGGGCTCTCAATATACCCGATCATCAAGGCATTTCTTCAGCCTTTGCTGCAGGAATATATTCTGGGAAAACAACGCTTGATTCTATACGAGCAGTAAAAAATGCTGAATCCATGCTTGGCTTCAGTTTTGAAAATCTCGGACTACATGGATATTCTGGGGGCTCGATTGCAACAGGGCACGCGCTTGAGTTACAGCCAAGCTACGCGCCAGACGTCACATTAACATGTGCTGCAGTTGGTGGATACATTGTAAATCTCACCTCTACATTTGAAACTATCAATGGCGGACTCTTTGCAGGCTTTTGCCCCCCTGCTCTAATTGGTCTCAGCACAGAATACCCTGAACTGGATAAAATGTTACAAACAGCCTTTCGACCAGGATATCGAGATAGATTCTACAGTTCAATCCACAACTGTGCCAGCGGTGATCTCGCCAACTTTCTCGGCCAGGACATTTTCACGTACGTTACAGCCGGCAACTCCTTCCTGTACAACAGTACTGTTCAAGACGTGCTGAACGAAAATTCACTAGGAAAAGTAGCCCCGAGTATTCCACTTTTTGTATACCATGGCGTTCGGGATGAAATCGCGCCCATTGCTGAAGTGGACAAAGCGGTTGACTTTTACTGTCAGAGTGGTGCTCGCGTCGAGTATTCACGCCAAAATAGCTTGGCTCATCTCACAACTGCCGTTATGAGTACCCAAGATGTTCTTAATTACTTTAAACGCACTTTTGATGGACAATTGCCCGCCAACTGTGCCTCTCACCAAGATGCGATTGACCCGCACCAGCATTCACCGTCACTAAAGGACATATCCACTATGATCTCGCGGTACCTTTAAAAAATTGCTAGAATTTCAAGTACGCTTCGTATGCATAAGAAAAAAGAAATCATATCGTTAAATCATGATCTATGGAATTTACAGCTTGACACCGAACTTCTCGGCGAACTTGGCGGTAGAGAAGGATTTGGGACGCTCAATAGGAGCACCCATGGCACGGTCAATGATGAGCTGGGGCAGGACACCGAGAGCACGAGCGACAGCGAAGAGAACAGTGTAGTAAGACTGCTCCTTCAGGCCGTAGTACTGGAGGAGGACACCAGAGTGGGCATCCACATTAGGCCAGGGGTTCTTGATCTTCTGGTTGGCACCGAGGACCTTGGGGGCGACCTGGTAGATCTGAGAAACAAGCTTGAACAGCTCGTAGTCGGGCATGTGCTTCAGGCCGAACTCACGCTGAGCAGTGTAGCGGGGGTCGGTCTTGCGCAGAACGGCGTGGCCGTAACCGGGGACGACGCGGCCGGAGTTGAGGGTATCCCAAAGGTACTTCTCAATCTGCTCGTTGGTGACCTCAGAGCCGATCTCAGAGCGCATCTTAAGAATCCACTCAAGAACCTCCTGGTTAGCACGGCCGTGCAAAGGACCAGCAAGACCGTTGAAACCAGCAGCGACCGAGAGGTAAGGAGAAGACAAAGCAGAGCCGACCAGGTGGGTGGTGTGGGCAGAGACATTGCCACCCTCGTGGTCGGAGTGGATAGTCAGGTAAAGACGCATGAGCTCAGTGAACTCCTCGTTCTTGAAACCAAGCTGCTTGGTGAAGTTAGCAGAGTAATCAAGGCTGGAGTCGGTGGAGGCAACAACACCGTCGTGGAAGACGTTGCGGTAGATGCGGGCAGCAATGGAGGGCAACTTGGCAATCAGGTCAAGAGAGTCCTCAAAAGTGTACTGCCAGTACTCCTTCTTGTTAACACCCTGCTCGTAAGCCTTGGCGAACTCAGACTCAGACTCCAAAGCGTTGACAGCAATAGAGAGCTGGGCCATGGGGTGGAGGTGCTTGGGGGAGTGGTTAAGCAAGTCCTCGACATGCTCAGGGAGCTTGGAGCGGGCGTAGAGCTCGCTGGACAAGGCACGAACCTGACCCTCAGTGGGGATCTCGCCGGTCAGCAACAACCAGAAAAGACCCTCAGGAAGGGGCTCAGATCCACCGGGAGCCTTGGGCAGCTTCTCGCAGATCTCGGGGATGGTGAGGCCGCGGAAACGGATACCCTCATCAGCGTCGAGCACGGAACCCTCCCAAACAAGAGCAGGGATACCACGCATACCACCGTAGACCTGGTCAAGAACGACTTCACCAAGAGAGGAGTTGCCGTGCTCCTTGCGGAGACGCTTAATCTGCTCCTGCTTCTCAGGAATCTGAGCAGCAAAGACGTCTTTGAGGGAAGCCTCCTTGCTAGAGTAGGCCCGGACAAACTTGGCCATCTGGCGAGCAGCCATAGGGCGGAAATGAGACATACGGTTCATAGACATGTTTTGTGTGTAAAAAAAAAAAGGTGGGGGGTTAGACCTAGTCTTTTATATAATTAAAGGCGTCTGGGGGACCGGTGAATTATGCAATGCACTCGGCCGCATGTGGCCAATGAGAGCTGGCGTTGGAGTGCATAACAGCAAAAAGCAACGAGCAAACGGCTCTGGAATCCCAGATTCTGGAAAACCATTTCACGGCAATTTCACTTACCTGCTTTACATCCTACTATGTGCACGAGGAGATGGGAGATTTCACGCTTCAGGAGAGGGCAAGCCGACATGTGACGGCTATCGAAGGATTATGCTGATGTTAGGGCAATTTTCGGAATTCCAGATGGCTGATCATCCGAGGCGTAAACATGGTTTTAAGTGCTCGGCAGTGGCTTTATCAGTGCGGTCCTTCTAGGTGCTCCTTCAGATTCCTACCGATCTGCCTGGCTGTCACTCTTTTCGCCCTTTACGGCTCTTTGACATACCCCGCATCTTAGTAAAACTGAAATATCCTTTACTAAGCCGATATCAACGGTTAGGCCGACGCACAGTATTTCCGTTTATTTCCTGCGGTAAGCCGGTTTGGTGTTAATTGTGGGTATTAACGGTGCGTCGGAGATAGCATATAAGTCATGACTGCTCGAGAATCAATTAGTCCGGTCCATTCTAATATGGGCGAATACGCGCCCTAATTGCGTCACAAGCGCTAACGTTTTACTCCTCGGTTTTTTTGCTGCCCTAAACCTCGGGAACCGTTGATACGCGAAACCTTAAAGATGTTGGACTCAGAAATCGCACTGGCGTCATTAATTTTAACCGGTATCGACTTGAATAGTGTAAACATAAATTTTGAAAGTTTTTAATGGCCGTTACGGGCACTTTACATGCCGCTAGCCAAACCACCACCAAATGCCTTCATACTCGGTGAGCATGCTTTTCAAATAATTCCTACTCGAAATACGCCCTTTTTAAACCGTATACACCGAAAGGTCACCTAGATTTCGTGCCTGACATTTTTGTGTACTTTTGTCCATTTTCCCATCTCCCAGCAAGCTTACCTCATGGCAAAATACGCCAAAGAGCCAGAGCTTGGGCTCGTGAAATTGGCTGATTTACAGCGGCCAGCTTTAGAATTGGCATCGCGGTTTATCGATGAAAGCCGTCGGCGTGATGAGAACTATCCTGATTTGGATCTTGTGGTCTCCTCCAAAGCCGAAGGAAAACCTCTGGTAGCTGATCTAAGAGCTTGTCAACAGAACGCGGCTACTTTGCCTTTTAGCTATACTTCCCAGACTTTGCCAGGCGAACTGTATAGTCTCATTTCATCACCTAATGCACAGTACAATATGGGCGTTTTTGCTCCCATCAATCGCGTGTGGGTCGCCCAGGGAAAACGTCTTTTCTTCTGGGCTTATGGCACAGGTAATGCAGAGACAGTGCAAAATTTTGACGAAATGCCTGCAAACATTGTTTCAGTAGACCTGGTTCCGCCGCGGAAAGATGTTTTCATTGAAACAGTAAACTGGTTGTTACTGATTTCCACCGCTGAGCATATGTACTTCTACGCGCTGTCCACAACTGACAATGATCTACAAGTTTTCGATACTGGATTGTCAGTTCCTCTCGGCACAGGTGCTCCACTCGTCAAGGCGGATCCTTCCACCGGCCGCATCTTTTTTGCTGGTGCCAATACCGGTACTTCGCTGTGGGAGGCCTATTACTCAAATACTGAGTCGTGGTTGAGAAACAAGACAGGAAAGGTTTGCCATTCCGGGCAAGGACTGCCAATGCTGTCCTCCGTTTTCGGAACTCCCGCCCCAAAGCCTGGTGCTGAAAAAACTATAGACATGCAAATTGATGAGTCGCGAAGTCTCATTTACACTTTGTCTTCTAAATCAACTGTACGGATCTACAGCTTCCGTGGTGCTAGTGGTGGTGTCTCTTACGAACAAAAATACACCATCGCTCAGGTTCAGCACCACTTGAATGTGTCTGCTCAGCTTAATTCTGATAAGCCTCCTGGACAGCCCGTTGAGCCCATTAAGGATCTGCAATTGGTGTCGATCTCTGTAATTCCTCGTCAACAGTCCAGTTTTGCTCGTCTGGTAGCTGTAACGGCAACAGGTCACCGTGTTTACTTCCGTTGCGACAATTTCGCCCGGGATCCTACAAGAACTTTCCAAGCTGTCTACTATAAACGCGGCCCTGATCTGCCCGTCAAGCCCCAACCGGCTCCCCCTGCAGCAAATGGTCAGGCTTCCACCCCTGCTGTAGCCTCCGCTCCTCCTCTCACCCCGGCTCCTGCTCCTACTCCAGTAACTATCCCTGTGGACGCACCATCTCGTGTGATTGATGGAACGACACTAGTTGTCGGTGCAAACGAAACGCTTTATCTTCACACAATCGATGCTACTCGCGTATTCCACCACGTTGATATCGAGTCGAGGCCGGTATTTGCTGAGCTTGCGGCCAAGCTTAAAATTGACGGGCCCCTTTATCATGTCAGTATGACTTCACCCTCTGCGGCCCAAAGAACTCGTGACCACCGCGGATTCGACAATCCGTGTGCCCAGCAATACACAGAACGCCCTCAGCAGCTTGTGATCCTCACCACCAAAGCTATTTATACAATCCGGCAGCGATCATTTTATGAAAGAATGGAGGAAAGTGTTCTTCCTGCTTATGGTCCCGTTGAAGTGTGTTGTGCGGCTTTGGCGACTGCCACGCGCCCTTCCAGTTTTGTTACGAAACAACAACGTGAACAGGCAGTTGCAGTCTTTTTCAGGTTTGGAGGGCTTCCTGTATTCCAAAAGAATTTTGAAGCAGCTCGCAACCCGCTGATCGCAGACCCCAAAGCTGCCATTGGCCGCGAAGCTCGTGAACGTCCTTCAGAGCCGTCAGGGCCCCAGCAACTCTCTATTCTGCTATCTGCTTTGGTTGATGGTCTTGCTGTGTATACTGAACGTCTTCTACTACCCTTATGGGCCAAGAAGATTGTCGGCGTTGGTGTGGATCAATCTATATCGATTTCTGTTTCTCGTGAGATTCTTGAAACAGCTCATAGCGACCTGACTGGGCTCACATCGTTACTCCAAAATAACCGTGCGTTCTCTGACGGTATGGGTTCTCGTCCTGCTTATGCTCAGCAACTTTACGTTGGTGATGTTTCAGTCTTATCTCAAGCAGAGCACACTAGTCTCAATGCGTTGTCTCAGCTTGTCAAAAGCTGCCAGCAGGGAATTGCTTTCTTGTTGCTGATTCTCAGCGAAAGCAGTAACACTCCTAAAGGTTTGGCTACATTGCTCGGGTATTTTTCTGCCACAAACCTTGAGAAGTTCAAGGTAATGACATTCCGTGATTTCTTCGGCGAAGCCAAGAATTCGGATGTTACTCGCGAACTGGTTTCTTGTTTGGTTAACTTTGTTATTAATCGGGGCGACAGCGTCGAGTCTGTTGCCCAGACCCTTCAAGAACGCTGTGAATCTTATTGTTCTGCTAATGACGTGCTTGTTTATCGTGCTTTAGAATACTTGCATGCTGCTAAGAATATCCCTCCTACAACAAAGGGTGCTGATTCGGATGCTCGTATGCGAAACCTTTACCAGAGTGTGGCTTTATTCAAGCGTGCCGCTGCTACTGTGCAATTGGACACTCTCAAGGATGTTGTTAGTGAGTACATTCAGTTCGGCTTCTATTCTGGTGCTGTGGAAGTTATCCTGGCTGTTGCTGCGGGCGTCGATCCGTCGAATGCGGCTCTTTCTTATGTTCGCGAGGGCAAGCCTGCTAACGATGTGCGTGAGGCAGTCTACCGTCAAAAGCACGAATTTTACCAGCTCGTATTTGACGTGCTATCTAAAGCTGATGCTGCGAGTGAGCAGGTGACCCAACGGATCATTGTCGAGAATAAAGACGAGGTATTCCACTTTGCCTTTTATGACTGGTTACTTGCGAGCAATCAGGCGGACAGAATCGCCGGTCTCACCAGTCCATTTGTGCTTCCATGGCTTCAAAGCAGTGCATCTCGCAATCTTGAGGTAGCGGAACTCCTATGGAAGTATCATCAGAAAAATGGCGATTTACTGGCAGCTGCCGATGTACTTCTCGAGCTGGCTCGTGGAGAACTGCCCGTCGCTATGTCTCAACGCGTAGAGTTCCTTTCGCGTGCCATGGGCTATTGTTCGTGTACGTTTCCTCCGGGAATGCGCCAACAAGTTGCTAAGCTTAGTACTATGGTACAATCGTATTTGCAGATTGCTATGATCCAATCGGACATTTTGATTGAGGTCGAGAAAGACTCCCATTTGGGACCAGCAGTCAAAGAGCAGGCCATCACTGCGTTGAATCAAAAGCTGCTCTCTATAACCGAGTTGTTCAATGACTATGCGGACCCACTGGGGTACTATGCGATTTGCTTGGCTATTTTCGACGTGGCTGATTTCCGTGATCCAGTTGAGGTTCGTCGTGCATGGCAAAACCTTCTTGACCGTACTCGTATGAACGATGAGATTGAGCAAAACATGCATTACTCACATGTCGGTACATTGGTGACGAACTTGGGTCGAAGATACCTCCATTCTGAGTTTGTTTTCCCTGTCGACGAGCTGGTGCCTATGCTTGAGCAGTATGCATTCGAGCACACACCAGGATCACCTCGTGGTTGGGCTGCTCTTGCATTTGTCAATGCTGGTGTTTCATGTGCAGTAGTTTATGGATTTCTCATGGCTCTTTTGAAACAAGGCAACTATCCTTTCAACTACGAAGACGCTGCCAGAGTCCTCGCTAACGATATCGACTACCTCATCGAAGAATGGACCGCCCGTGATCAATGGGAAGTTTCGAGAGTTGTCACCGAAGATGATCGGGCCCTGATTCGCAAACATCTAGTTTAATCCTTCCTGTATTCTTAAAATATTTTAAGGTTTACACCCTTACCCTGTTGCATCATAAGCGCCGAGCCGCTCTTCGTGATGCCTCCTACCCCAGTGACACTACAAGAATGTACTCGCAACGAATTGGGGAGTTGGTTCCGAAGAAGATTGAGAGTCTGTATCAGGGGCGAATTCGCCAGTTTACTGATGCCAATGGCCAATATCGTGAGCTGAATCTCCCGGCTTTCTATGATCGCAAACGAGTGCACGCGGGCCAAGTAAAGCTCGAGGTTTACTCGGTTCCTGATCTTGAGCGCCCACTCTTCAAGGAAGTTATGAAAAAGGCAGAATGGATGGAGGCTTCAATTGGTGAAAGCTTTGGTCCAAGCTGGGCTACACACTGGTTTAAAGTACAAGTTGCGGTTCCCGATGGATGGAAAGACTACAAGGAACCAGCCGTCTTTGACTTTGATTCTAGCGATGAAGGTTTTTTATACCTGGAGGATGGTACTCCCCAAGTTGGTCTGAGTGGAGAACATAAGCGCAGAGAGTGGGAAATTCCTTCAAAGTGGTATGACGGCAATTGGCACACTTTCTACATTGAGACAGCTTGTAACAACATTCAAGGCCTCGGAGCCCCACCACCTACCAATTTACAGTTTCGACTCAATACTGCTGATCTGGTAGTACCCAATGCTGCTGCTAGAGCACTGAATATTGACTTCTGGATCATTGGAGACGCTGCGCGCGAGTTCCCTGGTGATTCTTGGCAAAAGCACCGTGCCCTGGATGTTTTGAACCGTATTATGAATACATTCGACTATGATAACCCTGACGAGTCAATTGCTAAGGCACGAGAAATTGCTCAAGAGTATATCGGTCCGAATGTTGACTCCAGTAGGGTGTATGCTCAGCCCAACAACGCAGTTGGTCCGGTTAACGCAGAGTCTTCGATTGTCTATGCGATGGGAAACTGTCATATTGACACTGCTTGGCTGTGGCCGTTTGCTGAAACAAGACGTAAAATTGCTCGTTCGTGGGCTTCGCAGTTGAACCTGATTGAGCGGTATCCTGAATACAAGTTTTCTGCTTCCCAAGCCGTACAATTTTCCTGGCTTTTGGAAGATCATCCAGATCTATTCGACCGGGTCAAGCAAGCTGTAAAGGATGGTAGTTTTATCCCTGTCGGCGGTGCATGGGTGGAATGTGATACCAACATGCCATCAGGTGAAAGCTTAGCAAGGCAGGTTCTGCTCGGCCAGGCATTCTTCAAAGAGCACTTCAATATGCAAAGTCGGATTTTCTGGTTACCTGACACATTCGGGTACTCACCCCAGCTCCCCCAGATCTGCCGCCTTGCAGGTATGGATCGGTTCTTGACTCAGAAACTAAGTTGGAATAATGTCAATGTTTTTCCAAACTCGACGTTCAATTGGGTAGGCCTGGATGGATCCCAAGTCCTTTGCCATATGCCTCCAGCAAATACATACACTGCAGAGGCTCACTTTGGTGAAGTGAAGCGATCCATATCACAACACAAAAACTTGGATACTGAACAGCATGGTCTTCTTTTGTTTGGCCATGGTGATGGTGGCGGTGGTCCTACCGCAGAAATGCTCGAGAAATTACGACGTTGTCGTGGTCTAGCTGATCAAGTTGGAGAGCTTCCCCGAGTCGATGTTGGCCGCACTGTGGATGACTTTTACGATGTCATTCTCCAGAATACCAACCAAGGCTCATCTTTGGTATCATGGGTTGGGGAGTTATATCTGGAGTACCATCGTGGTACGTATACCACACAGGCGTTCATTAAAGAATCCAACCGACGCGCCGAAGTCTTGATGCATGACGCAGAGCTACTTGCCACCTGCGCAAGCCTCCACGATGATAAGTTCAATTACCCTTATGAGCAGCTAAGGGGTACCTGGAGACTTGTTTGTCAAAACCAGTTCCATGATGTTTTACCAGGTTCATCGATTGGCGAAGTATACAAGGAAGCACGCGGTCTGTACACAAAGATTTTCCAATCTGGGTACAAAATCATAGATGATGCGTTGGAGGCTTTGGGATACGAACCTGATAGCAGTGCTGAGGTCAACACTTTACCGTGGGCTCGATCGGAGTTGAAGAAACTAACGGTAGGAATCGAGTCTGATGATACTGTGTTGAGTAACGAATGGCTCGCCGTGACGCTTGTGAACGGCGTTGTTTCGAGAATTTTTGACAAGCGGGTCAAAAGAGATGTGCTTTTACCTGGCACAGCTGGTCATTTAGTTCTATTCGAAGATCAACCTACGAACTTCCCAGCATGGGATACCGAGGTTTATGCAACCGAAAAGGGAGTGACTCTTGTACCCGATTCTGAGGAGCTCAAAGATGATGTTCATATTGCCCATTACAAGTTCAAAAAGTCCAAGGCTGTTGTGTACACGTCACTGCATGACGATCAGTTGAGAGTTCGCATAGATGTTGACTGGCATGAGACTTACCAGTTCTTGAAAGCCGAGTGGCATCCCGACATTGTATCTGACTTTGCGACTTATGAGACTTCGTTTGGCATGCACCGCCGTCCCACCCATTTCAACACGACTTGGGAGGCTGCCAAATTCGAGGCCTGTGGTCACAAATTTGCTGATCTTAGTGACTGGAACTACGGGGTTTCTTTGTTGACCAACTCGAAATACGGCTACTCAATTCATGGTAAACGGATGAGACTCAGTTTGCTGAGATCTCCGAAATCTCCGGATGCCGATGCCGACATGGGCAAGCACTCGATCGAATATCGCTTGTTGATGCACCGGGGCCCCATGAGCCCGCAAGTGGTGAGGGCTGCATATGAGTTCAACTACCCGCCATTGTCGTATCGGGCAGTAAAGGGAGCGAAGGACCTCGATCTGTTTACTGTTGACTGTGAGAACGTTGTTATTACTGCAGTCAAACTAGGCGAGTCAGAGCGCAAAAACGAGGTAATTGTGCGCATGTACGAGGCTATGGGTGGTCGCAACCGCATGACGCTTACGAGCAAGATGAAGCTCAAGCAAGCGACAAGGGTAAACCTACTGGAACAAGAGGTTGGTGATGATCTCGAACTAGATGAGAGCAGTCTTGAGTTGGAAATCAATCCATTTGAAATTGTCACTCTCCGCCTGCGAGTAGCCTAGCCCCAACCCTCGGTGTCTACGTGCTGGGATCCCCCACAGCAGCGCTGAAGTCAGCGACAAATTTGAACCATGAGCGAACAAGACCAGCATTTCTTGAACCTTGCAATTGAGGAGGCCAAAAAGGGCGTATCAGAGGGTGGAATCCCGATTGGAGCCGTCCTTGTCAGCAAAGACGGCAAAGTGCTGGGCTCCGGACACAACAAGCGAGTCCAGCAGGGGTCGACCGTTCTCCACGGCGAGATGGATGCCCTTGAGAATGCCGGCAGACTGCCTGGGTCTGCGTACAAGGGTGCTACGATGTACACGACATTGAGCCCTTGCGACATGTGCAGCGGCGCTTGCTTGCTTTACGGTGTTTCCCGGGTCGTGTTGGGCGAAAACGAGACCTTCCAGGGCAACGAGCAGTACCTGCAATCCCGCGGAGTCGAGGTGGTCAATCTCAACAGTGCCGACTGCAAGAAGCTCATGGCTGATTTCATTGCCGAGAAGCCCCAGCTCTGGAATGAAGATATCGGTATTTAAATACTTAACCACATACTTAAAACCTCATCCTACCCAATCTCCCGGCCGACCGCGCCTGCCCTGCAGCAGATTGTTCCAAATGTCCCAAAGGCCCGGGGGAGGATATTACTACAATCAGCGGCGTTTCCAACCTTCCTTCTAAACTAGAAAAAGAAAAAGCCATGGACCGTCCACCTGATGACCCGCAGAGAGGCTCTGAACGAATACCCAGAGAGCCGCAGATACGGCCTGCCCAGGACAGCACGCCTACGGAAAGCGACGAGAATCCGAGGCGGCAGACGGCAGAGGCAGTTCCCGAGGAGCCAGATATGAACAGCGATTTCCTGGCATTCACGCCTAGAACATTCGAGCTGCATATTGGAGACGGCAGCGAGGTGATTGATCTGCTACGCCTGCTGGTAGGCTTGCCTCCGCAAGCATCTCAGAAGCCATCGGCGCGGGCGCTGGGGCTTTTGAAACCAGTGGACCTTGCCAGTATTCCTGAAGAGGAGATGCACTGTAATGTATGCTACGACCCGTTTGAACCTGTAAACACTAAAGCTGTTGGTGGGTACACTGCTGCTATTGAGCTTGATCAAGCGACTCCCGAGGCAGAGCGCAGCTCTTTGACATTCGACAAGTGGTACGAGTCAGACGATAAAGATAATGACCACTATGCACTTCAAATGCCCTGTGGCCACATATTTGGTCGCGGGTGCCTGTTGACTTGGTTGGATACCTCGCCGACCTGTCCGTTGTGCCGGAGCAAGCTAGAGACGGAGTTCGAGTTCCAGCATGGCTCTTCGGGGGGCCCAGAGTTTCTGCGCACAGAAAACGGTTTCAATTCAGACCGCCCACCCCACTTTTGGGTGCGGGCAACCGATCTTTCCGAGCAAAACTCCCCGGCACCCGAAGGCGAAGGCGAGCGCAGCGATTCGCCCCGCCCGATGGTCGTGCACTTTATATCGAATATCCCCACGGCAGCATCTGAACAGCAGTCACCTCAGTCGATACGTCGCTTCCAGAGAATGGTCATGCAAAGAGCGGTAAGAGAGGCATTCGGAAACGCCGTGCCTGGGACAGCTATGCGACCACCAGAGGAGACCACGCAGGCGCCGGAGCCTGTGTTTGGGCCCAGTCCTCCGCCCACGAACCCTGTATCCGGACCCGAGCCAGCACAACGACCTGCTCCGTCCGAACAAAGGCCCCAGCCCAACCGCGCGGGCGCCGATCCAGAAAGGCCTACCTGGCGACTATCACCGTGGCTGGACCGCGGGCTAGTTGGATTCTACGCATTCTATCAGCATATACTGCCACATGTTACGGGCGTAATACCCACCTCAGGCGACGACGAGCCCACGCCGACCAGCGCGTCGTCCGCCGGCGAGGACTCAGAACCTGCCACACCACAGTCCGAGAGTTCTCAGCGACGTGGTCCGCAAAGACACAACTTACGTCGTAATCATCCTTATAGATAATCAGTTATATTTTTTTCTCTACTCTAAAAAAGCCTAAAATCGCAGCCCGCGGAGAAATATGCAAGGATTGCTCACCTCGCAAGACCATCCAGGGTAGGGGTTTGTTTCGACGTGATTGCGGGCTGAAAAGCCCAGATGGGCGCTTGTTCGGGGCTGGAAATTACTCTGTTTGTGCTGACGGCTTCTGCTTGCGCACCCTTGGTTTTAAAAGGGTGCTTCCCATTGTCCAACAGCTTCCGTGGACCTGGCCCCTCCCCCCGCCCCCATTCCCAGCTCCCGCGCACAGGGCACACACCCCCCAAGCTGAAATGAAAGTATGGTAAGCAGAAAAAACCCAGATACATCATACCTAGCGAACCACCAACCACTTAAACAACCATGGGCCAGAATCTTTCACAGCCCGTCACAGAAAAGATAACGGAAAAGGGCGAAAATGCCAACCTTTATTACGGTGTGTCGTCAATGCAAGGCTGGCGTGTGTCTATGGAAGACGCGCACGCGACGGTGCTGAACCTCAAAGCAGGTGGCAAGACTGCCGCTCCTGAGACTGACGAGGTGAGGGCTAGCCAGCAGAGCGTTTCAACTGGATCTGCAGAGGATATTCGAGATGCTATTGCTTTTTTCGCTGTTTATGATGGTCATGGAGGTGATCGAACTGCCTTATTTGCCGGTGAGCATACCCACGAGCTTGTAGCGCAGTCCGAGCCGTTTGCGTCTCGCAAATGGGGTGCCGCTATTCAGGATGGCTTCCTCGCTACCGACAGAGCGATTCTGGATCGCCCGGGTGGGGGGGTTGACCCCAGCGGCTGCGCGGCTACCGCGGCCATTATCACTAAGGACGAGATTGTTTGCGGTAATGCAGGCGACTCGCGCACAGTCCTCGGAGTTTGTGGAACAGCAAAGCCCCTGTCGTTCGACCACAAGCCCGACAACGAAGGCGAAAAGAGCCGGATATCTAATGCTGGTGGCTTTGTCGAGATGAGTCGTGTTAATGGTAATCTGGCCCTCAGCCGTGCCCTGGGTGACTTTTCGTTCAAGACGCAGTCGCGCCTGCCACCGGAGGAGCAGGTCGTCACTGCCTATCCTGACGTCATTGCCCACCCTCTCAGTGAATTGGACGAATTTGTCGTGCTTGCCTGCGATGGCATCTGGGACTGCATGACCTCTCAGGAAGTCGTGGAGTTTGTTCGTCGCGGAATCGCCGAAAAACTCCCTCTTGAAGATATTTGTGAGTTGCTGATGGAAGAATGTCTTGCTCCCGAGTCTGACATGACCGGTATTGGTTGCGATAACATGACCGTGTGCTTAGTTGCTCTGCTTCAAGGCAAAACCAAGGAGCAATGGTATCAGATGGTTGCCGACAGGGTCGACGCCGGCGAGGGCCCCGTCGCAACCCGCACTACCGAGGAAATCCGCGCACAGATTTTGGCCCGCAACGCCCGTTCTGACGACGAGCCCCCGCACGATGTAGACAGCTCCTCTTCACAAATGATGCTTCAGCAGCTTTTGGGTGCGTCGGCAATGGGAGGCGGCCGCTTGAATCCTGAGGCTACCACTTTGCTTTCTAGACTGGGTATCCGCCTTGTATCCTCTGACGATGATGAGGCCACCGGTTTGGACTCCTCTGACGATGACGACGACGACGATAACCATAACGTGCACGAAGATGGCCAGCACGACGAAGGAAAGACTCCCCGTGATGACTGGCAGTGATTTGAGCCTTCTTAATTCTTCTCGTTTAAAGGCTATATTATTCGCTAATGCTACCCATAGTTTGTATATTATCTGGTAGCCTCTAGTTGAGATTAAACATGTCCTGTGTTGCCTTCCACGCGTTTTCAATCACTTGTTCGACGTCTGTTTCGTGCACCGCGGCAATGATCTCGGCGACTCCACTAATCGTGCACGGTTCGCAGCGCCCACGCACCATGGCACCTTCGACAAACTTTTCGGGCTTCGCCGCATTGTACGGCAGCGGGTTTGTGAATTTGTGGCCGGCATGGGAGGGCCTGATCTCGCACCAGGGGCCGTCGGTTTCAAGCATAATTCTATCAAGAGGCAGGCTCTTTACGACATCGAGGTTTTCTTGCGTCTTCAAGGAGCACCCATTAATGCCTATGTAGAGGCCCATATCCAAAAGCTCACGAGCCTCTTCGACTGTTCCGGTGAAGGAATGGACGACACCACGTTTCGGCAATCTCGGGAGAAACTCTTTCATTATTTGGGCGAAGTCTGCCGCACATGCACGTGAATGTAGAAACAGCGGCAGATCTAATCTTGTAGCAATCTCGAGCTGATCTCTAAATACTTCAATCTGCCGAGATTTGGGCGCATAGTGCAGCCGATCGTAGTCGAGGCCAAGCTCGCCAAACGCCTTGACAACACCCTCCGCAGCACCCTTGCGAGCAAGATCTTCGAGATCCTTGTAGTACTGCGTTGAACTTTCTTTGGGCACCTGCTTTGCACTGCAGGGATGCACTCCTACCGTCGAATAAAGCACTCCGGGGTACTGCCGAGCGAGCTCTAGGGCACGGCGGCTCTCTTCCAAACAGGAGCCGGTCACCATCATCTTTTCAACCCCTTGCTCCTCTGCTCGGTTCATCATGGCCCGGAAGTCGTCCTCATGCTTCCGTTTCCCCCGATACACCCCTGAAAATTGCGAATCTGTCAAGTTGGCTCCAATATCGATAAACCGTCTGCGCATCATCTAAGCAACTCACCTGATGGATCCTGTGCTGGTGGTGCTCGAAGAGCGGCAGCTCAGTCGGCAACACATAGACCAGGTATGCGAATTATTTGCAGAAGTAGAAGCCGGGGATATTTTTGTTGCATTTGAGATTCTCTGCAAGCTCCAAACATACTACGAGGAGACGCAATCGTGGTCGTTCAAGCTGCTCGCCCAGTACGAGTTCGACGCTCCGCCAAACGAGTTTGAATTCGACCTTGCAAAAATGATCAACCAGCGCTCTCGCTCTCTGCTAAACAAAATGGGGGTCTGGGACATTACGGGGCTCAGGGACAAGGTCCAGCGGCTTCCGCAGCTCTCCGACTGGGGCATGGTCTTGACGTCTTTAGTCCTCCGCATCATGAGTGTGTATGCTAAAGTCGAGTTTAATTTACGGCTTGCACTATCCCGGTCGACCCTTGTTCGCATTCACTGCGAACTGGCTGAACTCATTGTCGATCAGGTCGATGAGACGGGATCGACCCTTGTAAACAAATACCGCAGCTTTGTGTCACAGCTGCTGAGGGAAATGGAAGAGGCTCCTACTATCATCGAGCAAGAGAAAATGTTCAAGACTGTCAACGACCTTCACCACATGTTCAGTTCATTCAAGGACAGCCAGCGTCCTGCCTCGGCTCCAGTCAACTCCAGTCCTTCGTGCTCGGCTCCTAGCCCGCCTTCCTCTGCACCTTCTTCCGCATACTCTTCTTCCTCTTCATCATCTTCGGCCACTGCATCGAGCTCTACATTAGTCGCCGATGGGTTACTGTCGAATAAGGTTTTGGGTGCATTCGACTCTGCCCGCACCGAGCAGAAACTCGCAAGACTGCGCACTCCTGTACAACCGTCGCCTTCCCCACCATTGCCTGCTCAAACTCCACAAAACCTTAATGTCAAAATGGTTGATGGGCGTATGCAGGTCTATCAGAACGGAGGCTTTGTCGACATGCAGGACTGGCTTGATTCGGCCAACAATGTCAAAGTAGATGCCCATCGCCCAGCACAGCAGCCACATCCCTTTGGATCTGTCCCTTCTATACAGAAAGCTCCACTGCTGGAGCCCCAAGCCCCCTCAAAGCCCAACATTGCATCCAGTGCATTTTTACAAGCTATGCGGACAGGCAGATGGTAACCGTATTTATGTCTATTTAAGTATACCGTTGAACAACAACCGAGTTTTTAAGGCCAGCCTTTTCCAAGGTCTCGCTGCGATCATCGAGAGCACGCATGGGAAACATGGTGCTCATCACAAACGCTCTGTCGCCGTTGAGAGCATCAGCATAATCATACAGCTGCTGAATAGTGCCCTGACCATCAAAATGGGCGCGGTGCTGTTGGCCGTTTGCGAGGCGCACTTGAATCAGCGTATCTCCGCCTGGTCCGTCCTCAACCGCCGCTGAAGAACCGGATTCTGCCTGGGGAGGCATCGACGCCTGCGTCGACGAGGGTCCCATGGTTCCCAGCCGTTGGCCCTCGGAACTCTCGAATGTGGGCTTGCGTTTAGGCTGCACATAGGGCTCATTCATTCTCTGTTCGACGCGAACATCCACATACTGGTTGGAGACCACCCCCAGGACTTCGAGAGGTGCCTGGCCAGAGTTGATCGACTCCAAATAGCGCACGTTTGTTGGATCATCGTAACGGTACAAATCTCCATCGTCAACGCTGAATCCGTCCTGCCAAAAATAGATGGTCCGCTTGACCCGCTGCGGCGTTGCTTCGGGCTCCTGCACTGCACTGGTCACCGGCCCGCCGGTAGTATCGGGTGTGCCCAAACGAAACCCGGCTGTGCTAGTAAACGGATGGCGACTGTTGTGTGATCCGAGCTCGTCGTCGCTGAGATCTTCCAGGCTCGGACCCATATTGCGGGCCTGATCAATAATGCGGCCGACAATGTCGGGGCCACCATCGGCTCTGTTTCTGCCGCGGCTTCCTGGGCCTTCCACTTCGAGTCCCGAACGCTCGCCCCCCGTAAACAGGTGGTTCGGATCATCGCTGTTTTCGCGGTTCTGGAGATCGCGCAACGACGTCACTCCGCCCGCAGGTCGACTGCGCCTCTGTGACGCATACTCTGCCAATGCTCCTTGGAGATCCCCTCCATTTTTAGACATGTATCGTTCCGCAGTCGCAATGGGCGCGCCCGTAGCCGCCACGAAGTCTTGAACGGACATGTTTGTAAGCGGGCAAGAAAGTTGGAGGTGAGAATGTGAAATATCAGTCGGGGTGGCTAATACGCGTGCAGCGGAAAAGCAGCAGGCGGACACTTGGTCCCGGTCATTTTGTGTCGGCCTACTAGCTTTGGGGTTTATTTTGCAGAATTGACATTTTGCCCACAACGGCCCCGCAGGCCCAATAGCATTATCAGCGATAATGCTGACAGTGACTCATACATATGTCGCGGATTTTCAGCAGAAGAATCAGCGAATTTGCAGCCAGGGCACATGTGCCTGCTGAATTAACCAGCCGGACTCCTCCCTACGAGACGCTCTTGACCAAGCTCGAGTCTGCCCGCAAGATCTTGGATCGCCCGCTCACCTACGCGGAAAAGATACTCTATGCGCATTTGACCAACCCCGAAGAGTCGCTATCTGCATTGCCTTCTAACCGCGTTCGCGGGGAGGCTTATCTCAAACTAAATCCTGACCGGGTTGCCATGCAAGACGCCTCTGCACAGATGGCCCTTTTGCAGTTCATGACCTGCGGCATGGCTGAGACCGCAGTGCCCGCTAGCATCCACTGTGATCACCTTATCGTAGGCAAAGAAGGTGCTGAGACAGACCTGAAGGCAGCTGTGGCCACCAACAGCGAGGTTTTCGACTTTTTGGAGTCTTGTGGTCGCAAGTACGGTATTCAGTTCTGGGGACCCGGATCAGGTATCATTCACCAGATCGTCTTGGAAAACTTTTCGGCTCCCGGCCTGATGATGCTCGGTACAGACTCACACACCCCTAATGCTGGTGGTCTGGGTGCTATTGCCATTGGTGTAGGCGGTGCGGACGCCGTCGATGCACTCACTGGCACCCCGTGGGAGCTCAGAGCGCCCAATATCCTTGGTGTCAAACTCACCGGTCAGCTGTCGGGCTGGGCTTCTCCTAAGGATGTAATCACCACTCTTTCAGGTATTTTGACCGTTCGCGGTGGCACTGGCTCTATCATCGAATACTTTGGCGAAGGTGTTCAGACTCTTAGCTGCACCGGTATGGCTACCATCTGTAACATGGGTGCTGAAGTAGGTGCTACCACATCTACCTTCCCCTTCACCGAAAGCATGCGTCGTTATCTTGCTGCCACTCACCGTGGCCCCGTCGGTGAGCTTGCTGCTGAAGTTAATGGAAAGACTGGGTTGCTGCAGGCCGACGAGGGTGCCGAGTACGACCAGATCGTCGAAATCAACCTTTCCGAGCTCGAGCCGCATATCAACGGACCTTTCACCCCTGATTTGAGCACACCAGTCTCGCGGTTTGCCAACTTCATCAAGGAGAACAACTATCCTGAAACCACCAGTGCTGGTCTCATTGGTTCCTGCACTAACAGCTCTTATCAAGATATGACTCGTGTTGCATCTTTGGTTGAGCAGGCCGAGAACGCAGGTCTTAAGCCGAAGACTCCTTTCTTTGTTACTCCTGGTAGCGAGCAGATTCGTGCTACCATGGAGCGGGACGGTCTTATCGACATTTTTGAACGTAATGGTGCCAAGGTGTTGGCTAACGCTTGTGGACCCTGCATTGGTCAGTGGGATCGTAGTGGTGAGGCCGTGGTCGAGAATAAACAGGCCAATGCTATTTTCACTTCCTTCAACCGTAACTTCAAGGCTCGTAATGACGGCAATCCAAACACATTGAATTTCCTGACTTCTCCAGAAATTGTCACTGCCATGGCCTATGCCGGCAGCACCACTTTCAACCCTCTTACTGACAGCATTGGCGACTTTAAGTTCTCTCCTCCATCTGCAGGCTTTGAATTACCTCGTGCTGAGGACGGCGGCTTCACTGAGGGCCCTCGCCGTCAGTTCTACCCCAAATGGGACCCCACCCCTGAGCCATCCACTGATGTCGCTGTTTCTCCCGACAGTGATCGGCTGCAGCTTCTTGAGCCCTTCGACAAGTTCAACGGCCAGGAGCTCAAAACAACTGTGCTTCTGAAGGTTCAGGGCAAGTGCACTACCGATCATATTTCTGCTGCTGGTGTTTGGCTCAAGTACAAGGGTCATCTTGAAAATATCTCCAACAACACCCTCATTGGTGCTGTTAATGCTGAAACCGGCGAGACCAACGTCGTTTCTGATTTCGATGGCACCAAGCTGTCCATTCCCGACCTCATGATTCACTGGAAGGTCGAGGGTATCCCTTGGGCTGTGGTTGCCGAACACAACTACGGCGAGGGATCCGCTCGTGAACACGCTGCACTTTCGCCTCGTTTCTTGGGCGGACGCTTAGTTCTTGTCAAATCATTTGCTCGTATTCACGAGACCAACCTCAAGAAGCAGGGTATGCTTCCTCTGACCTTTGCTGATGCCGCTGATTACGATCGAATTGGATCTCACGACGTTATTGAGACTGTTGATCTTCTCGACATGCTTAACAAGAACGGCGATAACGGCGGCACGCTCACCCTCCGTGTCACTAAGCCCTCAGGTGAGCAGTTTGAGATCACCGCCAAGCACACCATGTCTAAGGACCAAGTCGACTTCTTCAGAGCCGGCTCTGCCATCAACTTCATCGGCAATCAAAAGTAGGGTCCCATCCGCCCTTTTTGTTTTAAATTATCTTTGCTTTTAAGTTAGATAAAGAATGTCTATACACTAGCGCTACGTTGCCGGCGCATTGTTCCTATAAATATTTCACTGGCGAGGCTCAATAAACAGAGATCGTCGCCAGTTGCTGTCGCTGTCGTTACTGCACGACGACCATGATCTGGCCATCTCTTGGCGAAGCCAGCCCTGCAACGGCACATTGGCCGAAACGTCCAGTGGCAGTTGTCGCTGGAACTGCTGTAGCTCAGAGATAGCTCGGGCAGCTTTAAGATAGCGATCGAGATTGATACCCTCAAGGCCTGGGCGAATAGTGATTTTCTTTGGGTTACCTTCATCGATAAATGTCAAGTCGCTCAAATAGAGACCAAAATAAGGAATGGTCGGCTTGCACTGGCGCGCTTTAGTTTCCTGGCGGTATCCTTGGAAATTACGTTCTGGCGCGGCGAGCCGACTGAGCTTTTCCAAAACAGCCATGTTTTTGGTGGACAAAAGGCTCCAAATCTTCCGCAGGCGTATAATGTTAGCAGACTGCAGAGTTGAAACAATAGTAACCACGCCGTTCAAGTGGCCGCATTCGTAGCATGCCTGCGCAACCTTGATCCAAAGGCGAATAATACTCTTGCGAGTTTTTGCACTCAAATTTTCTGCTCCAAGAATGGTCTCAGCGATAAAGGCTGATAGGTGGTTGGACATGAGCACTAGCTGTACCACGTGAGGTGCTTGGCATAGCGAACGTTTGGAAGCAGCAAAGCGTTGGTCCAACAGCTCATCGACTTTGAGCTGTTCAAAAATTTCAGCATCCATTAGCGCAAGCTGGGCGGCAATAGTGGTGGGATCGTACTCAAGCAGCCGAGTTCCAAGAGTGCTATTAGCACCAGCGCCTAACCGGAAAGCAGAGCCGAGAGAGTGCAACCCAGTAAGGTGCCGCATGTCGTCTTGAGAACCAAAACGGCCCCTAGAAACCGATGTGCGTCGTGACGAGGAAATTGATGAAAGTGTGACCGTGGACGAGGCCATACTCGCACCACTGCCCTCTTCACCAGCTAAACTACGCTCAACCAGCTGTTTAGCAGTTGGCCATGCCTTTCTCAGTTCAATTTTGTCCTCAATGTCATCAAGTTTTGCCAAAATATCTAGGGCAGGAATATCCTGTTCATCGAAATAGGACTCCAACCACCGCACAGCTAAACCCACAGCATTGGCCTCAACTAGTGCAGAAGCAAGATCGACTGAAGCAGTATGCAATCTGAAAGTAAACAAAAATGCATGCCATAAAAAGCTGTTGCCAGGTTGGGTCATTAAATACGCAATGATGGCTGGAAGTGTACCACCGCGCACGCGTTGGCCTCGAACAACAATGTCGCTGTGGATATGCGACAGAGGACCCTCGACTTCTTTTGCTTGTTCAGATTTCGGGCTAGATGGTGGAGATGTGCTGATAGTTGTGGCAATGCTACTAGCAGTTGACATGCGTTTGCTACTAATAGGTGTAACCGTGTTCCTTGCGACCGAAGTCGCACTAGACATGTAGCCAGATAGAAGCTGAGTGGAGGCGGCACTAAGAGGCCGTTCTTTGAAAAGAGGATAATCACGCTCCGGTAAGGACAAAGGTTCAGGTAGCTTATCAAGAACAGTTTCGCACCAGACTGAGCCTTCACGCGCAAGATCTACGCACTCGGTAGCAACTCGAGCTAGCTTTTGAGATGCAGCACTGACTCGAGATTGAGTGTCCCCCAAGGCAGTAACAAGATAGCGAGCGGATGAAACCAACAGTCTGATACGGGAAAAGAGCTTTTCCTTGATATGTTCGAGCTCAGTGCACTGGTGTTCACTTGCATTAGCAACGGCCTCGATAACAATTAACAGTTCGCGGCATGCCAGCATGCCGTGTCTGGTGATGGCAAGGATTTCAACCGACGCATTCTTCTCTGAACGAGTTTGTGTGGTGAAAGGCATCAAGTATTCACACAGACATTCCACGACTTCTTTAATTCTTTCTCGAGGCTCCGGGATGGTAGCGTGAACCCCCAGGGTACTAATTGAGTTCCTCTTGGCATGAGTTGCCTTTGCAGGTGTTGTCGGTGTTGTCGGTGTAGGAGGGAAGCTAGAGGGGTCAACGTGCGGCGTATGCGGGGCTGCAATTGGCGAGTCAGGGGGAGAAGGACCCTCCTCGTCACTTGGAGTCATGACGGAGTGCAGTTTTTCGTCAACGGCCCATACATCAAGCAGGGCTGCTGCCTTCATAACCACTCTGTAAACACCGCGCACGAGCTTATCGATAACAGCATCATCTAGCGTGCGTTTGTTCTCACGGGCCAATGAAACGACATAAGCAAGCTCGGTTAGCAAAGCCTTGCGGTAACGTCTAATGGTCAAAGACCGCTGAGCAACGGGAGAATCACGGTTCAATGTTCCTGATAGCTCCAACAGTGAGCGAACACCGCTCACGATCTCATTGATAGCGGCTTGGGAAAACGTGTGTTGAACAATGTCCGATGAAGATTCTGCAAACTGAGCGACAATTCTGTAAGATTTTGGCGTGTGAATGAACCCTGCTGCAGCGGAAAGGAGCGGGATGGCTTTTACGTCGGCAAACGGAGAGAAATAGTTCACCGGGATCCAGCCCCGTTTACCTGTATGCAACAAAGTCACATCACCCCATCCAGACTCATGAAAGCCATGAGCGAAAACAATGTCGCCCTCTGCAAAGCTCAAACATATAGAGGAGGGATCTTGTTCGGCATCTTGATTCGAAAGGGACAGGGCGTCAAAAGAATGCTCAGCTCGCATGAAGGGGAAGTCGAGGTCAGGCATAGCATCGGGGGCGTCAAGGGCGCTGCTTGCATAACGATCGCCGGATAGAGTGCGACGTTTACTGTCCGGAACACTAGTAGAAGTTGTGTTCGCGAGTTGGTCTGGGTTAGTGAGGAAGTCGAAAGATTCATCATTGGTAGGCTGCCGCGTGATACCAGACGAAGCAGCAGAAGGCGGGGTACCTAGACTTATGTTGTCAAATGACTGCATTTGCCGCACAACGACATTTGCGGCCATTAGGTCTGATGTTGTAGTTCAGGAAAGTTATAGTAGAGAATGAGGCAGGTCGCGCCGGGTGTGGTCTGGACTTGTTCCGACTATTGGCTGTGGTGCTACGCGATGTGGTGTGGAATCAGTGTCGCTGGGTCCAGAGCTTAATTCCCCTGTCAAGTCTGAATTGATCGTGAAGTTTGTCTCAAACTCCAACGTACCTCCCAGGTCTTACTTACTTTTGGGGAAAGGGTTGCCGCAGTGATTAATGAGCCATTTCTGCACGGGCTGGCCAAAAGAGGCAATAGAGAGATGCTGCAAACCAAACAAACGTAGTGCCAGGGTAATATATGTGCCGTGCAATAATAAAAAGAAGCGAAAGTGGGAAAATTTTGCGCGGCGGCCGCAATAACACGCGAGCCTCAGCCTCCGCGATCGCGTTTTCCCAACCCCGGCCAAGGGTTATTATTTTTCCATGTTGACGAGACGCGTATATTATTACCCCCTTTGATAATCATCTGCAGGGCCAATGTAGGTGCACGGTTGTTTTTCTTCAAGGTATTGCCTATTCAAGGAACAACGGTCTGGAGGAGGCGCTCTAGTAATTTGCGCTTTTTCTTCAGCTCAACACGATGTCTAAGATCTAATCTACGATTTAACTTCCTCGACATCGCCGCTTGCATTTGTCAGTTATAGTGGTTGCTGGCTTCCTGCAAGATCTCCTGCACGAGGCGTTTTGTTTCACCGCGGCCGCGAAAACCTGGTTTGCGGGCTAGAGAGATCAGAGTTAAAGTTCCACCTAACCTTCCGAATTCGTCCGGTATGGGTGCTTCATGTGGGTTGGCGTCGCCTGGATATCGGAGGCCCATAGTTTTGCCGCGGGCCAGCTCAAGCAGCAACTGTGACGATAGCTGAGCAGCAAATCCTGATGTCAACTGCAGGATGCAGGCACCTCAAAAATAGCCTGCTTTTGCGAGCGTTTGCCAGAAAGCAACATAATCGAGACACCAGTGAGTTTGTGAATTCGTTAAAAACATAGCATATAAAACCATCTATAACTTGGACTATATATGATGAAATGATGGGGGGGGAAGAAAAACATGAGTGAGGGCATCGCTTTCATATATGCAAAAAAAATGGGCGGTGCCGATGAAGAAGGTATGAGAAATGAGCAAAGTGAAGCATGTAAGGCCAAGCGAGATATGGGGGTTTGTTGAAAACGGGAGATTTTCTGCGTTTCTGCGACAGAATCTCTTTTTTTTTTTGCAATAAATAGTTGAAATTTGGGTAGGCTGCGGAACTGAGGGTGAGGGGCTTCACGTAATTTTTCTGATCCAAAAATAAATTCATCTTTGAGTATCTGATTTCGCTTTCTCGTATGCTCGGGGAGACATTTTCTCTGCTTCCAAACTGTGTTTTTTTTCACGGCTTTCTCGGTTGCACGTGTATACTGATCGACATTGGCCGGGCAAGGGTTCAGCGGGAGGCCTAATTTTCATTCTGAAGCCACCGGCGATAGCTCGAGGAGCTTTGGCTCAAACGACCAACCGAAGCGCCCAAATTGACATCCCCGTTGCCCTGTGCAATCAACAAAGGTGACAGGGGAGGAGATACCGAGAGCGAAGTTTGCTGCGGTTTGAGCAGTGGCGAATCGTACAGAAACTTGTCTTCTTGGCGAATCAGTAAAGTTTGCGCATTCGAACTGGGCGCAGCGTTGATTGTCGCTTTTGCTTCGGCATCCAGGAGTTTGAGACCGGAACTCCCACTTGATCGGCGGCGCGACGAGTCCGAGGACTTGGAGCCCTGCGGAGAAGCTTCGGCTTCAAGACATTCGCGAGAGCAGTACATGTTGCCCGAAGGGCACTGCTTGTCGCAAACTGTGCAATAATCTTGAGTCCAACTCATCTCAGAATCATAGTTCAATGTATCTAATTCGTGGGATCGAATTTGCTGTTGGGTCGTTTGTGAGGCCAGCAACCCGGTGTGGTGTGAGCGTGCAAAATGCTGGGCAGGGGGGAAGGCAGATGTAGAAATCAGTTTGAAAAAAGGGTGTTGTGAGTTAGAAAATAAAAGAGAAGAATGACACGCTAGGGGTTGAATAAATCGCAAACCCTCGACCTATAATAAAATTTCGCAGTGAGGCTTGTTTGTGAACCTTGAACAAGATGCGGCAGAAAGTGGTTTTTCGAGGAAAAGGAGTGGAATAGGTTGGTACCAATCGTTCTCCTGGCTGTTGTACAAGTTGCGTAATGCAGAACTAGCAACTTTTTTTTTCTCTTTGTGAGGTTGGAATTCCCACGAGGTGCTTGTAAAAAATATAAATTTCAAACATCTTCGATGGGGGTCCTGGCTTATGTATGCATGCACAACAAAGTCTCTTAGACTGAGCAGCAGCACCATATGCACGATCTGCATCTTCAGCAAGTGGAAAAGTGGGTTACCGATGGAGAAGATTTGCCCACGGTGACGCGATATACATAGCCCGATTGCCAGCATATCTAATACTGAGCCCTTGCGTAGGACCAGCTTATTTTGTACGTTGCACACGTTTTTTTCAAGGCCAGATGGGTGCTGAGCTATTGTCTCCCAGATGCCCCAACCAAACCGCCTTAGCTGATTCACTGTAGGGTCTTGATGGGAGCGCGTTCCCCTGCACCCCCCACCAGCCAAACCGCATTTCCCACCAAAAAAATCCCATATCACGCTTACTCGGAAAAAAAGTGCAGATTAAGCAGGTTGTGCTAGTTTCGCCGATTAGTGGTTGAGATCTGCTGTGCCGTACGATTATACATCCAACATTATCCACACGACTTTTTCAAATAAAACGTTGGAAACAAATAAAATCATATGCATATATCACCTTTTTTGAGATCTACCCGTTTTGTATTCGCTGCTCACCAAGCTTTGGCTCGCATCGTCCGCCCAGCTAGCCCCACCCAAACCCTGGAGATCTGGAGGGAAGGTGTGAACGTGCTGCAATGCATGGCACAACCCACGTGGTACAAGTATGAGCTGACTTACTTCCTTGAAGCAGGAGTATTGCATAGCTCGCCGATCTACTCATATCTAATTATTACTACTTGGTTCGATAGCGAGCTTCAGCACGTGTATAGTCTGCGATAGCAAATTTAGCGCTATACCCTTGTAATAAACTTTTCCAAACAGGGCTTATTTGGCGTGCATACTGTGCCTGAATAATTTGGTGCCCGCATTTTTACCCAATATGTTAGCAGCTCAGTTCTTTTGTGATGCACGCTTAAATTCACTGCTTTTGGGGCCCATCACCAGACGCGCTTCCAGTCCCCAATCGTGGGGTAACAAGGAAACTTATCACTGCATGACCTAACCCTGAAAGATTTCTCTGCCACATTGCCAAGAAGGGGGTGCCTGGCCAAGCCAGTTAAGGGACAACGGCGCTTTTTTTTGTGACCTTTGATACTGGCCCATTTTTCCAGCAGCCCAGGGCTATCAGGAACTTCTTCTGCTTGTTTACATGTATCTAGCCTCGTTGCTCATGGCAGGACCGTTATCGCTGACACCCGCATTCGCCGATCTGCAAGCAGCTGACAGCCTGCAGCACTGACTCACCTGATAAGCTCAGTTGAGCTCGAGCGCCCGCCAGCCAACGTGGAGTATGACAGGCTCTCGGGCTTGCAGATACAGTCTGGGGTGATCAGAGATATGTAGTTGATTTTTTAAGGGCTCTAGAAATAACAAAAGTGAACTATATGTTTTTGGCTTAATCGTCAGAAGCCAGACGATTCAGAACTGATACCGCTGCCCGCATAGAGGCCTGGGAAACATCCTCGTGAATACCGACGCCCCACTCAATGATATCCTTGCCGTTCTTTTTGGATGCAATCTCGAGGTAACAGACGGCCTTGACTTTGGAACCTTTACCAAGAGAGTGCTCCTTGTACGACTGGACCTCCATGGGATAATTAAACTGCGTCTCAGCTGCATTCAGGAACGAAGAGATGGGACCGTTGCCCGTACCCTGGAGTTCGACAGTTTTGCCGCCGACCGTCATGGTACCCTTAAATAGACGGGTCGCCTTGCCATCAGCAGTGACATTGTAGTCCTCGAGGTCGTAGGCGTGCTTGCTATCCTCGCCGAGGAAGTAGTGCTTCTCAAACAGAGCGATAAGCTCTTCACTCTTGAGCTCGCGACCCTTGAACTCGGCTTCGGTCTGTACGATCTTGGAAAAGGCAACCTGCAAGCCACGAGGAAGATCCAGCTCCAGGTGACGAAGAATAATCCAGGCAGCGCCGCCCTTGCCACTTTGAGAGTTGACACGAATGACTGCCTCATAGGTACGGCCAATGTCGCTGGGATCAAGAGGCAGGTAAGGAATCTGCCAATGCAGGTTGTTGCCGTTTCCACCATCGCGCTCGATGCCGGCACTCCGGCGAGCGAATCCCTTTTTGATGGCATCCTGATGTGATCCAGAGAATGCGCAGACAACCAGCGAACCGCCATAAGGAGCACGGGGATGAACGGGGATCTTGTTGTACTTTTCCGTAAGATCAACGAGGGAATCCATATCGCTAAAGTCAACGCCAGGGTCGATACCCTGTGTGTACAAATTGAGACCGAGTGTGACTAGATCAACATTACCGGTACGTTCGCCGTTACCAAAAAGACAGCCTTCGACTCGGTCCGCACCAGCAAGCAGACCCAGCTCTGTGGCAGCAACACCGCAGCCACGGTCGTTGTGAGTGTGTAGAGACAGGCAGATCTTCTCACGCTCAGTCACATTCTTCAGGAACCACTCAATCTGGTCGGCGTAAATATTAGGAGTACCCATCTCGACGGTAGCAGGAAGGTTGAAGATAATCGGGTTTTCGGTGGAGGGTTCCCAGACCTTCTTGACGGCTTCGCAGATTTTCAAAGCAAACTCGATCGGAGTATCGCTGAATGTCTCGGGAGAGAACTCGAACTGCCAATAGGTGTCTTTGGCATCCTTATTGTCCTTTGTGAGCTCACGAACAAGCTTGGTAGAACGCACAGCCAGCTGCATGCAAGCCTCTTCGTCCATGTTGAAAACAACGTCACGGAACAGCGGTGACGTTGCCAGGTAAAGGTGTACAATCGCACGTTTTGCACCTTTCAGCGAATCAACGGTGCGGCGGATCAGCTCCTCGCGGCAGGGAGTGAGGCACTGAATTGCAACATCGGCAGGGGCGTTTTCCACAGCATAGCGAGTAAAGTCAAAGTCAATTTGAGAGGCAGACGGAAAAGCAACTTCAATTTCCTTATAGCCGATATCCACAAGTTTGTGGAAGTAGGCCTTCTTCTCGTCGGTGTTCATGGGATCAGGCAGACTCTGGTTGCCATCTCGCAAGTCGGTGGACAGCCAGCGGGGCGCCTTTGTAATTGTGTTGTTTGGCCACTGGCGGTTTTCCAGTTTGACACCGCGGCAGGGCTTGTACTTGTTTCTAGGATCAGGCAGAGGCATGATTCTTTTGAGAAGTTAATAGAACGCAGGGTATAGGCTTGACTCATATTTATAAAGACCCTTTGCGTCACGTGATGCCGATACCGGAGAGAGGTTTTCCATTTGGATTTTCAGCCCCGAATAAGTGTATAGAACTCGATGGGTAGAGCGTATTTTACTCGGAAATACTAAAAATAACCGGCCTCTGGATTTTGGTTTTGGTTCGCTGCTCAATTGGCTGCGTTCGACTCACAATGTAGTGACTCTTCGGCCGCATGCTGCCCCACACATACCATGTACGTCATTTACCCATGCTTGCATTCGTGAATTTCCTCAGAAGAGTCATCATATATCTTTCCTCGGGTATCGCTGCATTGTGATCTGCTATTTATATGTTAGTTAGTTCCATAGCTGACTTGGTATGGCCAGATTTATGGAAGCTCCTGGCAAGTCGTCGATGATCTTGTCTGCTGACATGTTACGTCGGATCGATAGAAGCAATTACACGTTTGAAGACTGTCTTGAGTTAGCTATTACATTCTATAGGGGATTCGAAAATGATCGACCCCTCAATCAGGGAATCCCCCAGGATTATTTGTTTACAAGCCTAGAAAGTCGTATTATGTCTATCTTTTCCCCTCGGGACAGGCTTGACAAAATTGTCCAGTTGGCCCAAAACTATCGGAGGAAGATGCATGGGGCAGCTTGGGCCTTTTACTCGCGTATTTGTGACCCGAACATGCGTGCTTATCTTTTCTACGATGATAACAAGGTTGTTGGTTGCTCAATATGGCGCTTATCCCGTTTTGATGCAGCTAAGCTCACCTGGTGGCAGTGGCTGCAGACATGGACTCTGAAACTGTATGGTATGTTCCGTTTGTGGTTGACTTTCCCATTGGGGACTTATGCGTTCCTTAGTCCGGGGAAGTTCCGTTATTACGACCACATTCGAGATGTTCACGGGTTTCATGACAAGCCCGAGCAGTACACGGCCTTGGCACATAAATCTTATGACGAGTTGAGATCAGCTTTGTACCCTAATAATGGTGTCACCTACTGTGAAGTGTTCTGCACTCTTGTTCAGAGAAAGGGGTACGGCCAGAAGTTCTTCCCGCAGGTGCTTGCTGATCTGCAATGTGTCCAACCGGTTTTCAAGGACGGTGACTGCGAGTCTACGGGTCCGGCTAAGCTTGGTTTGACCGCCACAGCGGCTGGTGTTGGGCTCTATAAGCGTTGTGGTTTCGTGGCTGAGAAGCCTGTTCATCAAGAAGTTGAAGGTGAGATGGAAACTGGCACGCTCATGTTCAAGGTGTTGGACTAGGTGTACGTTCGATTGACTGGGTATACACTCTATCGGCTCGGTGTACACTCAGCTGGCTGGGTATACATCCTATCGGCTAGGCTAGTTGTGTATCGGTTGTTGTTCGACCTACAGACGCCTGCGACTTTTATGTTAGCCTAGGAAAATGGATGGTTGATGTCTGTACGTGCACATTAGTCGCAAGCCTCTTGATATTTTGTAACTGCTAGTGACCGTATGGTCGATGTTAGGCAATACAATAAGTTACGTCGTCTCGCTTAATGTGCTTGGTATGTATAAAGCTCTATGGCTCGACTAGGCGAGTGATGAACACTTCGCAATTCCTGGACTGTATCGCGATCCTTTATATTAAAATATATGTAAAATATCTGATCGGTGCAGTTATTGCAGTTTTGCGTTTGCATCTCTTTCATATCCCATCGCCAGTTACATGGCTCCCATAAGTGATTCTAACTATGCTTTAAGATTACAATGTATAGAGCATAATCTTGACTGATCAAAAAGACACCTCAATTTCTCGCAAATCACATACATGGCCATAAAAAATACAAACACACTCCTATCTACTCAACAAATGCCTACTTTCAACCCTTTATACGATGCGGCTATACCAAGGCTCGAGGCGGTCGCTGACTTAGCAATGGACAAAGTGCAACAAGGCATCTCTCAAGTTCGTGAATTCGGTACCGGCTACCAGTTCTATCTGGACAAAATAGTTCCTCACGTCCGAGCACGATGGTTCGTACTTGTGGCTCTTATTGAGCTGTTTATGCTGCGCATTTTACTGTCACGGGGCTGGTATATTGTCTGCTACGGACTGGGCATTTACCTGTTGAACCTGTTTTTGGCGTTTTTGACTCCTAAATTCGACCCTTCTCTCGAAGATGATCTGAGAAGTACCGAGGAAGAAGAAGGCACCCTCCCTAACAACGAAAGCGACGAGTTCCGCCCGTTTATTCGTCGTCTACCCGAGTTCAATTTCTGGTATAATGCAATCCGAGCCACCGTCATTAGTTTGGTACTGACTTGCTTCTCTTTCACAGACTTGCCCGTATTTTGGCCCATCCTGCTTGTTTATTTCATTATTCTCTTCATTTTGACTATGCGTCGGCAAATTCAGCACATGGTTCGTTACCGGTATCTTCCGTTTAACATTGGCAAGAAAAAGTTCACTAACTCGACTTGAATGATTAAAAAAATTAGCGTAAAACAATACACGAACTAAACGAGTGAATAGATGATAGGGGTATAGCATTAAAAAAAAGAATTAGGGACGGTTGAGAATAGCGTCAATACACGGCGGACCTGCGGATCCAATCAGCAACGAATAGGGCCGCTTTTTTGAATTTGCGGTCGCTGTACTTTTCGTAAATAGCACGGTGGTGTTCGAGGGGGTTCATGCAACACTCTTGGAGCACCCCCACTGCGGGGAGGAGCTGTTCTGAGGTGTAACCAGAGAAATAAACATGAGCGGGCGTCCATGGACCCTTTTGAAGCATATGGCGCGCCAAATAATGTGCGGCAGCAGCTGTCCATGAAGGCGGAGAGCCTACAAATCGCTGGTCCATAATCGTTACCTCGAGAAGGTACTTTGCGAGGGTGCGGGTTTCCAGATCATAGTCGTCTGCTTTAGAAGTTCTGCGTAAAAAGGACATTGGCCCAGGAAAAGCAAGGTTGAATTCTAGAATGTCAATCATATATCGCTCAGCTTTGAGGATTTCGTCGGAGGTGTAGCCGTGGTCTACCATGTAGGCGATTTCACCCACGCTGGGGCAGGAGATTTCTTCGAATTTAGCAGCCAAAAACAAGGCGACAGCGCCGACAAGTTGGAGTTTGCTTAGGGAGACCACTTTTGCAGTAAGGAATCGGTCAATGTAGTTGATGCACAGAAATAGCGTTTCGGGCAGCATATTGAAGCGGTGGTGCACCTGGACAAGCCAGTCAATAAGGATAGAGCGCATAGACCACTGGATCTCACGCTGCTGGGCCATGTACGACGGGTCGGGGCGCATGCTTGACTCCAATTCCCGCATATACTGGAAAATTTCGTCGGCGTATTCGGCTACCATACTCACGTCGTACATGTCCTCATCGTCTTTGTCGAGCAGGCCCGGTGTAAGCTGCACTCTACGAGCGGCTTCTTCGAACTGTGCATAGGTTTCTGCTGAAAAGTGGGGCATGAGAGCATGGGGGTTACTCTGGTGGGCATTCTCCGCGGCCGCGGCCGCAGCAGCGTCGGCAGCAGCGTCGGCGGCAACATCGTCGGAATCAATATCTAGCTCGTCTTCACCGGAGCTCAGATTCTCCTGGATGGCCGACATATGGGGCTCATCGACGGACATCGCGGGAGAAGAAGACATTTCGATTGTATCGTCGCTGTCCTCGAGGGACTCGGCCACAGCAGCAGCAGCGGCAGCAGCGGCGGCAGCAGAGGAGGAATTAACCACAGGACGAGATCCTTGGCTTGTGCTAGAAAGGGACTGAGAGCGCTGTGCGGCCACAGCGCCCGAGGACGACATAGAAATACCTAGGCCGACGCCCGAGCCGGTGGAGGATGCAGTGGGTTGTGAATAATAGCTATGCAAGGGCGCTAGTTTGCGCTTTAGTCGTTGACCGCCAGCGGTGGACTGCGCGCTAGTTTGAGACCTCAGTTGGGTACTGGCCGACGACTTGGCCTGGCCAGCTGCAGCGGCGGTATTCGTTACCGTCTGCAAAGCTGCGCGCTTAGATTCTTTGCCAGATACCAAGTCATTCGTTTTGGCTACGTATATGCCAGCACGATTTTCGTCCCCTACCTGACGAACTCGACTCTCCATTCGATAGCTAGCAATTGCGGGTTGCAGAGGGCGAGAGAATAAGAGCCTGCGTCTTACAAGTATATTCCCAACTGTTTTGTTTAGTTATGTCCCAAACCGGACAACGGTTGTCGGGACGATGTCACATAATAATCTAGGAATGTGGCTGTCGATAGGGCCCCAGATCGCTAGAGAGCACCCAGCGTATCCATATTAATATACACACTATGTACCAAGCGGCTAGGTCAGGGCCTACCGCTTGTTTCGAGTTTCCCATGTCCTGTTGTCTGGGTTCAGGCAGTGTTTTCCTGTTGCATTCCTGGCCGAGAAACCCCACAAGCCCACTTAGGTAAGGATCAGCATAGCCAGGCATTCAGTTAGCAAGAAGGCGAAAAAAGACGTTGTCCGTGCACGTATTTAAGCTGCGAACGCGTGGAATGAATGTGGGTCTGGCCGTGTAGAAATAATCTATTAAATGTTAGGCAAGCTAAAAGGTCGACGATCTGGTGCCTCGATTATGCAATCGGCCAGATGCGTAAGAAACGCTGCCTCAGGGCCCAAAGCATTTTCCTATTTGGCAAATTTTTTTTTTTTTCAGTGCTACTTTCGTAATCCATAGTCTTGTCATCGCAGAGGGGCCTTGCCTAGCTAGGCTTGTAGTAATCACCCACGCCCGCACCCACAATTGGCTGATAAAGCAGAGAAAAAATTATTTGTCAACCTGTAATGTTCAGATCTACTTTGCGTATTGCCACCCGAGCCGCAGTTATTGCGACCCGTGGTCCAGTCCGCCCCGCGATTGTGGCGCCCCGTATGTTTGCTATGTGCAGATACGCTTCTTCATCTGCTGCCGACGCCCAATTGGTTGCGTCGTTGCGTGCTGAGCAGCAAGTCGAGCAGGAGGCTCTCGAGCAGGAGGCCAACGAGGCCGAGGAGTTCAGCTCGTTCTTGTCTAACCAGGGCTTCACTCTGGTCGAGAAGCCTGGCCAGGACGAGGTCCAGCTTGTGCGCACCAGCGGAGACGAGACCCTCCGCATCTTCTTCTCTCCCTCCGATGTGATCAACTCTGATTCTGTCCTTGACGACGCCGAGGGCGAGCACGAAGAAACCGAGGCTGCTGCGAACAATGACGGAGAGGAGCTCGAGTTCAGCGACGACTTTGATGTGCCTATTCGTCTGAACATTGTTGTCGAGCGGTCCAAGGGCGCTCTTGGCATCGAGGCAATTGTCCAGGACGACTTGGTGGTTGTTGAGTCGCTGATCCCTTATCCCTCCGCTGAGCTTGCCATTGACGAGACTGCCGAGGCCGACTACAAGCGTCGTGCCATCTACGGTGGCCCTCCCTTCTCCGTCTTGGACCCTAGCGTCCAGAGCTCTGTCCAGGAGTTCCTGGAGAGCCGCAATGTCAACGGCGACCTTGCTCTCTTCATTGCCGAGTACTCCTCGTACCGCGAGAACAAGGAGTATGTTTCGTGGCTCGGAAAGATTGCCGATATTCTTGAGTAAATGTACATAATAAATCTACCTTGAACTTATTCCTGGGCCGCCCGGGTGCGGGAACGCAGGTGGCGCTGGGGGATCCAATCCTCAGTGGACGTGGGGGTTGGCTCACGCTTTGGAGTAGTAGAACGCTCCTTTTTGACCGGTTTGGTGACCAGGGGATGCTCCAAAATGGCCAGGGAAAAGTAAACAATGATGCCGACGAAAGTTACCAGGAAAAAGAGCGCGGAAATGAACCGCGGATCCACGATGCTGATCGAAGGGTCCTCAATCTTGAAGGTCTGGGCCTCGGAAGCACTGCTGAGGTGCTCGTCCTGAACAGAGTACTGCACATCGTAGATTAAGTCGAGAGCGCGGGCGGGCAGTGATTGCTGGCGAGAAAGAACAAGCTCGGTCTGGTCGTGCGGGTTGACGGTAAGACCAGTGGTAACAGTGCGGTTTGCCTGGGTTTTACGGTAGGTCTTGCCCACCTCGCGCCAGGACTCGACCACCTTGTCGACAGTGACCGGCTCGCCATGGTGGTTCTTGAGAACAAGCTTGACCTCGTAAGGGTTGTTGTTGACAATAACGCCGTTCTCGATTCTAACCTCGGGCTCAACAACCAGAGTCTGTGCGGCAGCCACCGCAGCCATCAACAACGCAGCCAGCTTCATTTTGTCAAGCGCCTTAATAAGGGTGCCGTTTGATAAGCTAGCTGCTATGAAGGTTGAATTTTCCGGCGGCCTCGAGACATTGTTTGAAGACCGCAAGACGATTGAGGTTGAGGCCCCGCCGAATAAAACACTAGTGTGGCTGCTCGACTATTTGGCCGACCAGATCAGCGGCGACAGGAGCCTGTTTCTGCAAGACGGACTGGTGCGTCCCGGGGTGCTTGTGCTCATCAACGACACGGACTGGGAGCTTCTTGATGAAGAAAACTATGTACTGCAACCTAAAGACGTTATTCATTTCGCTTCCACGTTGCATGGGGGCTAGAGAGGCAGGATCTGGCACCCAAGCCGCTCACCATGCACGACCAGCTCGATTCGCTCGCCGTTGCGGGCAACGACAAGGTTTGTTTCTCCATTCAATTCGTTTGCAAGCGCCATAAGGCCATTGTGGTTGCCGTGGTGTACTTTTCCAAATCGCAAAAGCTCGTCTCCTGCTTTTAATCCTGCCGCCTCCGCGGCTGACCCTGGGGACACTGTATTTATATAGGCAAAAGGCAATTCCTCAATAGACGGCTTAGAGATCGAACCGGCCGACTCATCTACCTTGAGCACCTGTTCGATGCCTTTTTTGATTTGCTCCGACAGTTGTTTGTGGTCGTTCTCGAGACGGATAATGCTGACTCTGGTTTCTCGAATTTGCGGGACGTCAATGTCATTGCGCGGGAACCCTTCGCTGTCCACCAATGGTTCTTGCATCCCCACCTTTTGTGAGCGCAAGACGTCTCGGAGGGCATCGATTTCGCTGTCGATGGCGTCCCGTTTGGCAATTAATTCTAACACAGCTTGTCGATCCATGACAAAGCGAACGAGGTTGGTTAGTTAAAAGTTCAAAATTTAGGCTAGGTAGGAGTCTGTAATACAGATTTGGACTCAATGGGTTAGTCTGGCTAGATTGCAGCGGGTTCGGACCCGGTGCTCTCGGCCTCGGCTTCAGTGGTGGACCCGGAATCAGATACAGAGTCTGGCTTGGCCTCGGGTTTAGCCTCGGATTCAGGTTCAGCGTCAGGTTCAGCGTTGGATTCAGGCTTGGGCTCACCGTTGGACTCAGGCTTAGGCTCGGCGTCGGACTCAGGCTTGGGCTCGACGTCGGACTCAGGCATGGACTCGGACCCAGGCTTGGACTCGCTCTCGGACACCGGCTTGGACTCAGACTCGGCCTCAGACTCAGTCCGAGACTTGACGGCCTCCAGAGTGTCCACTGGACTGGCATCCGGCTTGACGCCATGCTCAGCAAACACCAACTTGCCATCAACAAAAACCCAATGGCTCCGAATGACACCCTTGGGAGACTTTTTGCCTCCCAGCGGCCCCAGAAGCTCGTACTTTGTGTCGCTCAGTAAACCAAAGGGCAGCCCCAGCTTCGTCTTGAAGGTGGTCTGGGCCTTCTCGGAATCCGCGCTCAAACCGTACACTGTCGCATTCAATTTGGCAAATTCCGCATAATGCTCGCCGAACCCCCGAGTCTGCCGGGTGCAACCCGGAGTACTCGCCTTGGGATACGAGAAGAGCACCAGCACACCCTTGATGTCGCGCAGAGCCACCTCCTTGCCGTCCTGGTCCGGAATCGTCACATCGGGAATCTGGTCGCCAATTGCAATCGCATTGCTTCTGTTCGACTCGGCCTTGGCCTTCTTCGCCGACGGCGAAGCCTGTTCACTCGATCGCTTGCGGGTAGTTGCCATTACTAAATTGGGGGTTTAGGAAAAACCCTTTAAAATTTCAGCCCATGACAGAGAACAAGGAGCTGGCCCCAGAATGGCAGGAGCAGAAGGAAAAACGAGAAAAACTGGTTGTGCCGGAGGGGATGTCTAAACGGGCGTACAAAAAGCTACTGAAGCAAGAGAAGCTGGCTGCGGAGCGGGACGAGTTTGTCGCGAAGCGGAAAGAGAAACGAAAGCAGCTGCGGGAAAACAAGAAACGGGAACGAGACAGCACGCCGCAGCCCAGCCCGCCGGCCAAGCGGATCAAGCAAGAGCCGACGAGGTCGGGCGTGAAAATCGTGCTCGACTGCGGGTTCGACGATCTGATGACAGAGGGCGAGCGGACGTCGCTGGCCAGGCAGCTGGTGAGATGCTACAGCGAGAACCGCAGAGCTCCATTCTCGGTTGATCTGCACATTTCCGGGTTCAATGGCCTCCTCCGCGACCGCTTCGAGAACCGCATGCACAGCCATCACCTGCAATGGGAGGACATCACCTTCGACGAAACCGACAGCGTCGACACCGCCCAGCCCACCGTGTACCTGTCGAGCGACTCCTCTGACACCCTGACCGAATTAACCCCAGGCACCACCTACGTCGTGGGCGGCATTGTCGACAAGGGCCGCTACAAGGACCTCTGCAAAAACAAAGCCGAGAAACTCGGCATCAGAACCGCCCGATTACCCATCGACCAGAACATTAGGCTCAGCGGGCGTAGGGTTCTGGCCACAAATCATGTGTTTGAGTTGCTGCTCAAGTGGCTCGAACTCAAAGACTGGAAACTCGCTTTCGAGGCCGTCCTGCCCTCCAGAAAGGTCATTCCGCCAAAACAGCCTAAATCACAAGCAACAGACTAATTTAACCGCTTATAGCATACTCAAGCCCCTCCCGGGCCACCCACACCCTATATCGCCCTGCATTGGGGTATAGCACACCCTTTGCAAAAACACCGCCTTGGTAAGCAGGCTGCCGTCCCCTGATTATTAGGGACGGCTTAGGCAAGGTTAAACGACACCAGCTGGGATTTTTTTCCACCCTTCTCGCGTAAATCGGCCGCCATACCCGAACGACCACAGCCCCGACCCGGACAGTTGCCTTTTGGATTTTCGGATAAAACCTAGTTCCAGCTCGCCAGCGACCTGCTAATTCCAAAATGTTGCCTTCAGACAGGGGCCCGCCGGATCCCCCTCCGCCTGCCAACCATGCCAACGCGTTAGGCGGCACGGGCGTGCGAATCCACAGCGGCAAGCAGCAAAAGGACCGTGTAATGAGATTGTCTTCTTCCGACGAGGCGGTTGCGCTCGTCCAGCAGGAAATGTCTAATCTGAAGGCTCTCAAACGGCTGAGCATTGGCGCCATGATGTCTCCCTTGGACCCTGACCTGCCTGGGTTCAACGCTCTGCCTGATTCTTACTCGCCCGACAAGCGCCAGCAGCCGCCGCCCGTCGATTCTGGGCCTGAATTGCCCTCTTCGGACCCGGACACCGCCGACTCCGCCGCAAGCCCTGGATTGAGCCGTTCAGCTTCGGGCCGCCGCGAAGGTACATACACTCCTAGTCGCCGTATCAACATCGATTCACAGGAGGCTCACGACCTGATTTGGGTTCCTGCCCGCTTACACCCGGAAATCGCACCCAACGAATGGCGGTCTTTTGTTGAGAACCGCGTCCAGGAGATCAAAAACAATGTTGAGCATCAAAGCAAGTCCTCTCCAGAGCCCGCATCGTCCAGCTCCACTTCTCGCCTTAGCCATGAAATCGCCGACTCTGCAGATTTAATGGATGCCTCGGACGTTTTGGAGCGCAGGCGCCGCTCTTCAACCCCCAGCGATACACGCCGCCTGTCGATTTTGGAGCTCTCCACTCAACTCAAGAGCCTTGGTGAACTCGAGTCTTTGGCGGCTCTTTCCGGAAGCTTTTCTTCGAGCGACGACCAGCCGTGGTCGCCGCCGCCAGAGGACAACCTCGATCAGCCGTTAAGTCCTGGTGCTTCGTTGCGTCGATCTGGTGGCTCTTCGCGACGGAGAACTCGTCCAGCCATTCGCCGCAAACCCGCCCAAGACGGAGAAAACGATTCACCACCAGTCACCCCTACTTCTGCAAGCCCTCCCGATGTGCCTGTACAATCTCCCGAGCGGCAAGAGCTGCGTAACCGTGTAACAAAGGCAGTGCCAGTGGTAACCGATACTTCACCTCGCCAATTCACCCGTCATCCCGAAGAAAATATTTATCAAGACCCAGAGGCCTTAACCAGCGAACCCGCTCATCAGCAGCCGGCAGTCCAGGGCACCCTAGCGTCATCGCCACAAGCCGAACCAGAGCGGGTGTTCTACGGATCCCCTTCGCCTAGCAAGCCAGGAAGACCCACAGGACTGACTATTGACGTGGGTAAAAACCCGCATCAACCACCGGTCGAATCCGAGGAAAAGAAGAACAAGCCTCTTTGGCGCTGGCTCAAACAGGACAAAGAAAAAGAAAAAGACAAAGACCATGAAAAGGACGATACCCCGGCCCCTCATTCGCCGACCACGCAAATGTTTAGTAAAATGTTCAAAAAGAAGAAGAAGGAAGCTCCGGGGTCCCCGCAATCTTCACCTCCGCAGGCGCCCCATCCGTCTTCGGCTGCTGAACCTCCTACGCAGGTCGAACAGAAGCAGGATTGGCCTTCGGCTCCCGCCCGTCCTGGTCATTCTCGGCAAAGATCACGAACGGCTAATTACGCCAATATTGAAGGTGTTAATGATTCGGCTGAGCAGAGAATGCCGGATACCACGAAATCGCGCAGCGCTACCCAGAACACTCAGAAGCACCCGCAGAAACAACGTGGTTCCAGCTGGAAGAAACAGCGCCAGCGGGAAAACCCTGAACAAGATCGCGAGGACGCAAGCCGCCCTCAGCGATCAGGAAACAGTGAGCCTAAAGCAGTTGTTCAAGCCATGCAGCTACCCTACGAAATCCCGGCTCATCAGCTGTCTGACCGGTCTAATATCATGATGTACCACCGTTTTCCTTTGCACATCGAACGCGCCATCTACCGTCTTTCTCACATGAAGCTGGCCAACCCTCGACGGCCGTTGGGTCAACAGGTTTTGCTTTCCAATTTCATGTATTCATACCTCAACTTGATCAATCAAGGCTACCAGCGCCAAATGGAAGCAGCAGGCGCGCTCCCCGAAGGCGAAAACCCCGAGAACTACGTACCCGGCGAGGAAGCCAACGACGAGGGTCAGTCCGAGTACGAATACGATGGGTATGCTTCATACGACGTTAGTTACATGGAAAGCTCGGAAATTGCGCCGGACGGACAATATTATGAACAGCACGCAGAGTATGAGGCGCCGACGGATTTCGAGTTTTTCCAGGGCCAGTCGTCATCGTCCTCTGAATCTGACGCCAGCGAAGAAATGAACGAAATGTGGGACGAACAAGACCACGAGTACCAGCAGCCTTTGATGGCCTAATCTGCATTTATATATCCATACTGCATTATATGTTTTCTTAACAACTTAATTCGACCCCACCACTTCTGTCCTTAGTTTCATGTCAGCATGGATCGCGTCCATAGACGATCTTGATTTGGAAGAAGTGAAAACCATTGATCTGGGGAGACATTTCCGCCACCGACTATATACAGGCAACGATTTTGCGTCGTCCCAGCAGGCGTTTCTTGACTTTGCCATCTGCGATGACCAGATCATGGTAGTAGATACCGCACACCTGGAAACTATTAGGCCAATTTGCCGGTTCACAGCCGAGCCTAACAAAGAGTTTCATGGGCCGGAGGCAATAAACTACTTGCGACTTGGTATTTTGGACGGATCGGAGGTGTTGGGCGCCTGCTATCGTGGATTGCGGGCGTGTGTATGGGCAATATCTGACATTATCCGAGCTGTTGAAGAACTTGAGGCCAACAAAAACGAAAACGAGAATGAGAAGACTCCATTCATCCAAATAAAGCCTATACGCACAGTTGATACGCTGGACTCGGCGTGGGGGATTGCATTTCATCCCAAAATGCCCCTGATTGCAGCATCAGACAATAGCGAAACCATAACATGGAGCTTTGGACACAAGAGACAATCGCAAATGCGCATCAAAAACTTGGGAGGCAATATTCCAAGCATAGATTTTGTCGAGGCCAGCACTGTGCTTGTAGACGCACTACCCTACGACAGAAATATTTATTTGGCTTTCGTGACTTTACAACCGACCTACGGCAATGGGTCTGCAGGAGTATGGCAATTGGACCCCGGTAGGCTCGATGAACCTAATTACGGTGGCCGGCTTTTATATTGCCAGCAACTCCCTCAAGAAGGTTGGACTGTCACCCACATCTCAGCACATAGGGCACAAACCCCACCAAAGTTCCCGTGGGACGGCCCAGAAACATCCAAAATCGACTCTAATGGGTACGCACAGTATCACTCACTGCTGGATGTGCCCTCGTGGCGAGGAGGCAGGGAACTTACTTTGGACGCCAGTGCACTTCCGCCTTGGCTAGCAGCCCAGGACGCAGACATGAGGAGAAGAGTTTCAAAGGTGAAAGGGACTCGGATGCCTAAAATGAGGCTAAAACTTCAAGACACTCTTCTGTTCACCACCACATCTACCCATGCACTGCTATGCAGAGCCAGTGATTTCCATTGTTACTCTATCGCCCGCTACTCTGCAGAGCCCAACGTCCACGGGGTTCGGCTGGGCACTGCAATGACGATTGTGCAAAAAATCGAGCCTCTGGGGCTATTTATCGCTCTCACAAGAACCGGGAAAGTTGTGTTTTTCCGGCTCCTCAAAAGCATGGGTCTCATTGGCCTCAAGCATGTCTACACACTCGAAACAGGATACGAATACACCGGCATCTCTGCTCGACCTGAAGTACTCGGTCAAGAGAATGGTGTTTGGTATGTCAGGCTATGGGACTTGAGTGAACAGAAAGTGACGGTTCTTCGTATTGATGGTAGTATTAGAGTGGTGAATTGAGTTGAGCAGAAAAAAATTAGCAAAATACCATTATTTCTGCTCCCATAACCACGCACTCCAACCCTCACGGTTTCATGTGCAGGGACTGCCGTAGCGATCAAAACCCGGTGCGTAGGCGAGTTTTTTTGCGTCTAACGAAAATCACAGCGATAACGCGTCCCGATCTAGGGCAAACCGGGCGCGCCAAGGCTCTGTTCAAAGCATTCATTAACTTTCAAGACACCTTTGTTTATAGCTATACTAACCCATTGGCTGCACCTACCTCCACCAGCCGGATAACGGGCCCTTGCCCAAACGCCGAAAAGGGGTAATCGACTGGCCGGTGGGGGTTTACCCTTTACGGATGAAACAGCGCGGATTCGATTTGTCAGCATAAGTGTCCACTAACACGCTGCAGGCACGAATTTTTTGTTGGTTATCCTTTTGAGTTATCGTTGAGATTCCCCCTCTAGTCCTCGTCTAGTCGATTAGCCACCAATTATATTCTCGGTTTTATCGAACGTATGAGATATCAGCAGCAAAACAAGGGACAGATGCAGACACAACACCCTCAGGACGCTCAAATGACCCAGCCTCTTCAAGGTCCTAACCAACAGATGATGGCCCAGCAGGCCGCGGTTCAGGTCATGTCTAATGGACAGCCTGTAGTTAGCCACCGTTTGAACGAGCTCCTGGAGCTAGTGAAGCAAGAGTTTGTCAATGTCTCCAATGAGGCATCCACATATCTCATGCATAAGGACGAGTTTGATCAGAAAATGTACGCTCAGCATATGAGTGCTCTTCAACACATGCGCCAGACTATTTATGATTTGGAGCAAGCTCACAAGAAGGTCAAGGAGCAGTACGAGGAGGAGATCTCGCGTTTGAAGCAAAAGCTTGAGGCCGCCAGCTCAGGACAGGCCACTCCTGCAAACGTCCCACAGCCTCCTCAACTTGAACATACAAGCAACTTATTCAACAACGGCATGCAAGGTCGCGGGCAGGAAAGTAACGGTCCTACCCAACCGGGGGCGCAGGGCCAACCTGGTAGTCATAGTGCCGAACAACGCAGCTTCACTGGGCAAAATGCGCCGCAATTACCTCTTCCACAAGTTTCCCAGCAGCAGAATGCTCAGGTACCTCAGCCAGGCCAAGCACAAATGGCCTACGCGATGCAACCACAGCAAGCCTCCGCAGCTGTACAGCCCGTTCCTCAGCAAATTCAACCCGACCAGAAACCACCAGTTGAAAGACCACAAAGCACTGCCACAGCTGACGGCTCTGCTTCGGCCACGTCGGCTCCCAGTGCTCCAGCGGCTACGGCAGCCCCGCCAACCCAACCCGGTAGTGGACCAACCCCTCAGGAGGTGGCTGCCCAGCTGGGGAATAACCTTACTTCCTTGGACATTGACACGCTACCGTCTTCTCAAGTCAAACGAGGTGATGGCTATGTGGTTGTTTACAATGAAAAGGCCGGTCACCATCTCGATGTGGATCTCTTGCACAGTCTTGAGCACGACTCAGTCGTATGCTGCGTGCGATTTTCACAGGATGGCAAATTTTTAGCTACCGGATGCAATAGAGTTGCACACATCTACGATGTTCAGACAGGTAAACTGAGCTGTCGGCTGGAAGACGAAACCGCGTCGAGGGAAAACGATTTGTACATTCGTGCCGTCTGCTTTTCACCGGATGGCAAGTATTTGGCCACAGGTGCCGAAGACAAACAGATTCGCGTTTGGGACATTGCCACTGGCAAGATTCGCTACCTTTTCACGGGCCACGAGCAGGACATATACTCTCTGGACTTTTCCCAGAACGGGCGTCATATTGCATCTGGCTCAGGAGACCGAACAGTTAGAATCTGGGATATGGAAACTGGTCAATGCATTCAAACTTTGTCCATTGAGGATGGCGTCACCGCGCTGTCCATCAGCCCCAATGGCAAGTACGTTGCTGCAGGCTCTCTTGACCACATCGTAAGAGTGTGGGATGCACAAACGGGAACGCTCGTGGAGAGATTGGAGGGCCCTGACGGCCATAAAGATAGCGTGTACTCGGTCGCATTCACACCCAACGGGCTGGACCTTATTTCCGGCTCCTTGGACAAGACAATCAAGCTTTGGGAGCTCCAGGCCCCTCGAGGTAATAAAGTTGTTAGTGGTGGTGTATGTGCTCGCACGATTATTGGACACCGCGATTTCATCTTATCAGTGTCAACCACGCCAGACGCCCGCTGGCTACTATCTGGATCAAAAGACCGGAGTGTGCAGTTCTGGGACCCTACCAACGGCCAGGCTCTGTTGATGCTGCAGGCTCACAAAAACTCCGTCATTTCGGTCGAGCCTTCACCTATGGGCAGCCTTTTTGCAACTGGCTCTGGCGACTGTTGGGCAAAACTTTGGAGGTATTACCCCCGCTCTGAATCTACGTCTTCGTAAGACTAGTATCTTCTTTATTGGTCCGTAATGATATAAATGTATTCTCTGCCCCCTCTTTCTAATTAACTTTTAGAATACCTGCCCGCTTTGCTCTTTTTATCAAGTGTCTGCATACTGCGCATAATCTGCTGACGTACAGCAGGGTTGGGGCATCATGAGAGCATCTTTCGGGTTTGGGCGAGGTTGATTTTCATCCAACCTCCTCACAAAGCACATTGAGGATAGCCCCCAGGTTACTTGCGGGGATTCTTTCTCACTACTCGAAGAGAACTGTATTTCAAGCAGGATTGCTGAGTATCGTGGTTGCAGATCACAAGCACATTGATTATCTTGGTTAAGGTTCGAGCGCACACTAGTATAAAATGTCGTACTGGCCGCTACGAGATCGCCAGGAAAACTTTGGTGCGCCAGTTGAGGACCAGTACAGCACACAGTGGCCAATAACACAGGTGACACTAGCGGGAATGCCTGGATTCAACGGCGGCGACATGCTTCGACCGCACGGCGGGCAACTATTTGGATCGTTCAGAAATGGGTCAGACTTGGCAAGTATGGCAGATTCCTCGGTTACGCCAGTGGACGCTTCTGCTGCTGCCTCGGCTGCCAGCACCCCCTCACCCACGGCCAAAATTGGGACTGTGGATCATATGATGCTGTATGTTCAGGCCATGCAGCGCAGTGCCACAGGAGTACAGCCAGCCGAGCTTACACAAGATTCAGATGAGGCTGGTGATGGCCATAAGGTCCCGCAAGGCAGCGATTCAAAGCACCGCTACCAATGCAATTTTGTTGGCTGCAACAAGTCGTTTCGTCAAAGAATGCACCTCGAGACCCACAAAAGGTCACACACTGGTGAACGGCCGTTCGTTTGCCCGTATCCTGGCTGTAGCAAAGCATTCAGTCAACGCAGCAATCTGCGCACCCACACGCGATCCCATTCTGGCGAACGACCCTTCTCCTGTGAGGTTTGCGGGCGACGATTCACCCAACGTGGTAATTTGAAAAATCACCAAAAGCTCCATGGAGAAACAAGACAATTCGCCTGCAAGCTTGACGGTTGCACCAAGACTTTTAACCAGCTTGGAAATTTGAAGGCCCATCACAATTCAGCGCATGCCAAAACAGTTGCTGAGTTTACAATGCATCTACAAGAGGCTTCGTCAATGCCAAAACTCTCTAATGAGGAGCAGGAAATGTTTACCTATTTTTGCAACCTGTATCGCAACGCCAACAGGGGCATCAAGGGCAGGGGTAAAGGAACCCGCACCATTGTACAACGGGACAGCAGCATGCCACCGAATCCTCGTAAAGCGCTGGCTAGTTTGCCCTCGGGATCTCCGCCCCGTTCACAAGCCACTCCGCCCCAGTCTTTACCCCCGCCATTCATAATACCTCCCCCACAGGGTCTTACATTTATCCCTCCTCCCCCTACCAAGGAAAAGCTGCCATTGCCACCTCTGAACAGTTCAACCTCGAGCAAACAAACGTTGCCCACTCTTCTTCCTGCATCCAAAAACCCCCCCATACTGCCGGCGTTTGGTCGATCCGGAGAACTGACGCCGTCAAGGCCCCCTGTCGCCGGAGTGCTCAATACGACCCCGGCCGAACAGGTCGCAGCAGAATGTCTTATGGATGCTGTTCAGAACTGGAAATATTTTTCAGTGAACCAAAGCGATGCTAAGCCTAAAGAGGATGAGAACTGGCAATGGAATGCCCGTGCATTTTAACTGTACGCTCTATTTATTTCCACCTAATAAATCTAATGTGGTCTCATATGTTGCCATCGTCAAACAAACAGCAGGAACAACTCTTAATAAATTAGCCGACAACCCACGATAGAATGCCTTGAATCCGTTCTCCTGGTACACTAGGCGAAATGCCTCGACGAGGCCAATGCGCTTGAACTGCATTTCTGCCCGGAGAACCTGGTGCGGATACATCAGAACAGCAGCAATTGACTTTGAAAAAAAGGAACTTGTAATGTATCTGACTGGATCAGGCAGATCGGTGGATATATGGGGTTTGATCAGGTCATAAAGCACAAAGTGAATAGCGGATTGAGCCGTCCCACCAAACCCGGGGATCAAGCCGCGAAAGAAGCCTCGAGGGCCATCACACTTATATATTTGCCTTGCCGCGGACCAGCTTGTTTGTGCAGCATTGGCGTCACTGCGCTTGGACGCTAGCATGACAGTTTTTACGACCCATATCGGGTTCGTGAGGGTCTGGGTCAGCACGCCAGTAGAAAACGACGCAGATAGTAATGTCAGAGGGGTCTTTTGGATGCCGTATGCGTCCAGCGCATTTTTGGCCTGGCGATAAAGGTAAAAGTAGACCCCCCACCCGGCGGCGTTTCCGATAAGATTTGGAGCAATTCCGCGGTAGGCGTCCCGCGGGTGGCCCAGCAGTTCACCGACCGCCTGGCCTAGTGTGCGACTGCGTCCCACTTGCATTCGCACTTTCGCGAGATCCAATGGATGCATCACGAGCGTAGTGACCGTCCCGGCGGAAATCCCTGCCAGTAGGTCCATATGGAGAAAAAGTAGTCAGCAAGATAATCTATGTACTAAATGGACGCATTTAAGCGGTGGGAAGGGGCGAAAGAAGTCTTTGTTAGTATCAGGTTGTAACAGCGCGTGTTTTGTGCACACCAGGCGGTCTTTTTTTGGGGCAAAAAGCCGCGGCACCGGGCAGGGCGAAAGTACTTACTTCATAAGACTGGGGCGGGGGACAGAGTTGTTCCAGCCAACATAAACGATCAAAGGGATCCACCCGTAGTGGAGGGCAGCACGACCAACATCGATCAGCTTGGAGATACGCTCCTACAGTTAGTTTTGCCTGAAATCTAACAAAGTGAAAAACTTACCTTGGTCTCGTCGTTCAGAGTGAAAGGCATGATGTAATCATCTCCGGGACGCTCTCAGTCTTAAAGTACATAGGCTATTCGAGGTAGTATTAGTTTTCCGCACCGTTTTCTTCAGACGGCTGTGCGTTCAGTTCGTTGACTTCCGTGGTTGCTTCCTGCTCAGAGGGCGGGGCCGCAACTAGCTTCTGCTCCGGCTGAGCCGGCGCCGAGCTTTCAGCGGCTTCTGCAGCCACCAGCTGGGCGACCTGGGCCTTGGCTGCTTTGCGACGCAGCAGGGCCTTCTTCAGACGCTCGTCCCACCACGGGTCAACCGAAATATCCTGAACAGCTTCCTCAAGGCCTTCTTCATAACGACCAAGCATTTCCCAGCCTAAATTTGAAATAAGAAGGTCTTTGTGACTGGTGACGTACTTGACAATAGACTCGGACGACACGAGGCCCTCGATAACGAACCTGTTAAGCACCAAGGCACCTGTCCAAGGCTGCTCTTTCCAGAAACTCATAATAGCATCAATAGTGAGCTGCTGGTCAGAAATGTTATCCCGAACCAGAGAGGACAGTTGCTTGACCCAAGTAGATGCATGGGAAACCGATCGGGACCCCAGTTGGCAAATAGAGCTCACAAGAACACTAGAAATAGCCTTGTCTAATTCGGACGCTTCCTGACCGATCTTTTCTGCCGTGATGGCTTCTCTCAGCTTGTCAAACGCTTCCAGACCTCTTTCCACAGACTCCTGAGCTGCCTTGATAAATGCACTGACTTTCTCATCATTGGCATATGAAAATTCAGGAACTTCAGAGATTTCAGGTACTAATCCCACAAACTCGCTCGGTAGAACGTCTCGAACCCGCTGAGGATAACTCAAACGAACCTGCTTGCAAATAAGCTCCCGCATAAACACTTGCTTAGGGTGTAACTTGGGTAAACTGAGAGCATCGGTCCATTCGGTCCATTTCCATGTGAACCCAAAGTTGCTCATGTGGTGGCCAAACCACTCAATGACTCGGAAATACACCTCAGCGTCCAAACTCTCGCAGTTGTCGAAAAGGAACCGCAGAGCCCGCCCTAAAACGGGGGCAATGGCCTGTGGTGCCATAACACAGGCCTCAATCAGGATCGTATCAAAATATACCGTGGGGAAACCAGGCGAGGGCAGTCTGAACATTTGGTCCAGAACAGCTTCTAAAGCAACGTCCTCAACCTTGATGGTGCTGCGGCCATCCGTGAAATTCACAAGCTCGTCGAATGCAACACCAGGAGGGGCAAATTTGGTCGATTCAAAGAAAATATCGAGCGTGATCAATTGTCTTGTAACCTCCTTTCGGTTGAAGTCCATTTGGTTGATATTCGCACTCGCAACATCACGCAAAAGCTGAGCAAAAATAGTGTTAGGCTCAGGAACGGTTTTGATGCCATCTCTGGGCAAATAAATTCGAGTCCAGATAGGAGGCCGAAGAGGCTCATGACGAGAGATTCTGCTAGGAACCAGCTCGTCGGCTTTAGCGACTTGAACAGCTGGAAAACGGTGAGTTTCCTTAGAGTCCTCGTCTGTAATTTCCGGCAGCAGTCTGCTGGCTTTGAGCAAAAAGTCGGTGGGCCAGCCCTCCGCCTGAGCGTTCCTAACCGCCTCAGCTAACAGCACAATTGAGAACTGACCAGTATAAGGCGCATTCTCACCATAGAAAGGAGCAATCTCGGACGCATCACATTCTACAACAGGACTAAACGCCAAAAGTGCCTTTTCAATTCTCTCGTTCATGGGAGCACCGGTGTTAAGACGATAAAGTGTAGCAAACACAGCTGCGCTGTACAGAGAGTGCCCTAAAGCCAGGTGAGGAATATCATTAGCCCGCTCGGCAAGATCAGCGATGAGTTCCTCAACATTGTTGCCATCGATCACGGAAATGCTAGCAGCAAAGCGGAGAAACACATCCAGTTTACGATACAGCCCAAACTTGAGAGCATCCGCGATAACAGTATGTGTCATTTCCACCACGGTACGGGAGAAAGAGGGTAGCTTGCGATTGACTAAATCCACCAGAAAAGATAAGAGCGGGATTTTGTGGGGCTGTTCAAACACGACTGCTGAAATTGTCTCGAGAACAGGTGGTCGAACTTCTTCGTGGGCCGAAACGATCGCATCGGTGATCTCACGAAGCACTTCATCGACTTGGCTTCTAGAAGGCTCACCAATCTCTGCAATCGATCTCCTCAATCGTGCCTTCTCCTGGTCGACAGGGCTAGCTCGTGGCCGCGGCTCGTGATCATGAACTCTCTTGCGCTTATTCATGTTAACAAAGATGGAAAGTTTCGAGTAGCTGGGTTTAGAGGTAAATCAGTCTCTGAAAAAGCGTGGCAACTTATTTTAGATGTACTCAGAATAATTTAGTGGTTAATTGTGATTGTGCGTATTGGCAGAATAGGCAACATAGGGGCGGCAGTCACTATTACCAAGTTTAAATCGGCCTCAGCAGTCCTCCTCCGCGGAGGTAGGGTGAGAAGTCTTATGTAGACATCTAGTCTCAGCGATAATCCGTTTAGTACTCAGTGATCACTGATGGCTGCGTTGATGGCTGCGTAGACATTGGTGTAGGGCACACTCGAGCCTGGCCAATTGGCCTTGATCCAAGTATTTGTGAATAGAACGGCGGAGCGAAATGTGCCAATACTATTATAGAGATTGTTGATCGGGTTAGAAATGCAAAGATATTTACGAATGATTCAAGCTAGTGCACAATGGGCGGCGCTGGAATTGGGCCCTCGGAAAAATAGTGGATAATGAGTACGGCACAGAAATCACATTAACAACTGCTTGAACAAACAAAGAATACGGGAGCATGCTTTCGGTCCTCATAGTGGGATCCTTCCAGGTGCTGCTCGTATTCTAGCTCTACTTTCGGGTGGAATCTCTAGCTTGTCTACCTAGTACCTGACAGAACTGTTTTAGGATTCGACCACGACATATCTGCGCTAGCCTAATACATTCAGAGACCTTAGACTGTGACGGGCCGGGGCCACGTCACTTTTAAAGCGCCCACGCATAAAGCCAAGAACCTCTTTAGTCACCTAAATTAACAAATTAAGGCGTTAGCATAGTCGTTTGACACGTTAAATATGGAATCTAGACAATGGCATAAGATGCTTGAATAAAAAAGGTCAAATTGCCCAATATTAACCGGCATACAAAGACACTTAGGAGAGGGGCATAAGACACTTACAGGCCACCTCAAAGAATGTGTATTCAAATATAAACAGGCTTGGGTGGTTTTTGGCGCCGGCTTTGCGTTATCACTGATATTTCGGTTCAACAAAAACCTCGCCCAACCCTATAAAATAGCACTAAATCCCAGTGCTAGCTGCTTAAGGCACGATCTTCGATCGGGGTTCTCGGGTTTGCAATAAATCAACTATGCGTATCTGTAATCCCGCAGAATACCCATTCTTTTGGGAATTTCACGTGTCAGTAATCTAACGGTTCGGATATGGATTCTGCAGTGCGTCTGCCGACGATTTCAAATCATGCATGAACGACTTTTAGTATAAAATACCAAAGGCCCATGTGAAATGATGAACGCACGAAAAATGAGCCAGCCTGTCAATATTTTCAAGCCAATTACAGTTGGCAAAATGCAACTGAAGAACCGTTTGGCTCTTCCCCCTTTAACCCGCTCGCGCGCAACTGAGGACCATGTGCCCACGCCAGTGATGGCTGAATACTACTCTCAGCGCTCGTCTGAGCCCGGAACCCTCATTGTTGCCGAAGCTACCATTATCAAAGGTCAAGCTGGTGGCTATCGTACTGTTCCTGGTATTTGGACCAAGGAGCAGGTCGACGGCTGGAAGCCCGTCGTTGATGCTATTCACAAGAACAAATCTTATGTTTTTGTTCAGCTGTGGGCTTTGGGTCGTGCCGCAGTGCCCGAGTTCCTGGCTGTTGACGGATTCGACTATGTTGCTCCGTCGGCTGTCGCAATCAAAGACAAGTTTTATGCCGATACTCACTTGACTCCTAACAAAGAACGCCCTGCTCCCCGCGCATTGACCACCGCCGAGGTCAAAGAGTACGTGCAGTGGTACGCTCAAGCTGCTAAAAACGCTGTTGAAGCAGGTGCCGACGGCGTGGAGATTCATGGCGCGAACGGTTACCTTGTTGATCAGTTCCTGCATCCTAACACCAACACCCGCACTGATGAGTACGGTGGATCTATCGAAAATAGAGCCCGCTTCGCACTGGAGATCATCGACGCTATCACCGAGGCTATTGGTGCTGAGCGCCTCGCTATCCGTCTGTCGCCCTGGGGTGGCTTTGGTGATCTAGAGATTGATGTTAGCCCGATCCCTCAATGGAGTTACCTGGTTGCTGAACTCGAACGCCGGGCTCAGCAAGGTAAGCGTATCGCGTATATTTCCACCATGGAAGCTCGCTTCATGCAGGATGAGGCGTTGTTACCTGCCATCGTTCCCGAAGATGTCTATACTTTGAATGACTTCATCGGCCAGATCTGGAGCGGGCCTTGGATGCGCAGCGGTAACGCCATCCATAGCCTTAAGCTGGCTGACAACGACGACCGCACACTTTTAGGTGTTGGACGACACTTCCTTGCCAATCCGGACTTGCTGCAGCGAGTTGAGAAGAATGCCGAGCTCAACCCTTACAACCGTGACACCTTCTACTGGAACTCCAAGGTAGAGGGCTTTGAGAAGCCTACTGGTTACACCGATTACCCTTTCCTTAATGGATCTAAACTTTGAACTAAATAGGCCTGTATAGTATAATAGAAAGCAAAAACTGCTCATTCCGCCAGAACGTTTGTGCTCAAGCTCGGCAGTTCAGTGATTTGAAATATGCATACCAATGCGCGGGATCATGGTAGTGCGTTCACTGGATCTCTCTCTGCAGATTTTGCGGGGAGACGGGGCTCACCAAGGGCAAATAGACAGTCCTGAGATGTTTGTTAGTCTCTATGTGAAACAGAATTTATCAAAGTTCCAAAAAACGTCATGTTGATAGCACACCCTACACTCTATTTTTGGCTGTTCCAAAGCGCACAATTCTTGATGTTCACCAAGTCAGTATATAAAGCCAACGTATTCCAAAATGTTGCGATACAACACGTACAAAGTTCAAATATTTCCAACTCAGTTCGCTCGAGAATAAATCGGATCAACCGCATGGATTTATCATTCTCACCCACTCGCGCGTGGTGCCCTGGAGTCAACAAAATTGCGGGCTTGACGTGCGTTCAACCAGCAACGATCTATATTCCGACCAGCCATTGCCACATTGACCAGACTTTCAGCGAATTGGTACTATATACAGGCTATTTTTTTAGTTCTTCAATAAAGTGCTACCTTTTAGATTTTTTAAGCAGATTATGCTTATTTCGAGTTGCCATTAGGTAGCATACGCGTGATTTGAAATCATGCATCATCAGTAGCCGCTTGTGCAATGAAATATACAACAAGTAAAAGGACTTTTGAAAATTGCAGCTGGGAAATCTGAATTCTTCATTTCAAGTTCAGGAATAAGAATAGTGTAAACGCTGGTTTTGCGAGATTGCAATCGGGTTTTTGACAAGTCCAAACTGTGTAGATCACATAATTTTGTTGCACATGGCGATTGAGCACAAACTCCTTCAACTTTACTGTTTTGTTGATACTCGTCATTTTGTTTCAGGTACCACGTCGAGCTTGTTCGGTAGTTAAACTATAGCCACCCATAGATGCTGTTCTACTAGGATCTATCGGCCATTTTTGTGCCGTTGAGATCTTTGCTGCACTCAGCAGCTGCATGAGAACCCTGCATCAGCGTTCGGAGCTTAGTATTCCAGTTGACATATATATGCCAGTCAGTAGGACATCTCTGCAATGAACGCGGATAAGAATGCATTCAAGTCCTTGAAGGTGGGTAATGTCACTTTGCAAACTCGAATTGCTATGGCCCCTTTGACAAGGACTCGCGCCGATGATAACCGGGTGCCGACTTCTACTATGGCGGAGTATTATGAGCAAAGATCGCGCGTACCTGGGACTCTGCTCATCACAGAAGGAACTTTTATTCATTGCGCAGCTGGTGGTTTGCCCCATGTGCCCGGCATTTGGAGTGAGAGTCAGATCGAGGGGTGGAAAGCCGTGTTTGACAAAATCCATGCCAACGGTTCGTTCGTTTTCGTTCAGCTGTGGGCACTTGGGAGACAAGATAGCCCCGACGACTTAGCCAAGTACGGATACGACTATGTTGCGCCATCTGCGGTTAAAATTGGTCGTGTGGTCGGCTCTGACGGGACCTCGAAAAAAGAGCGTCCCCCTCCTCGTGCGCTCACCAAAGACGAAATCAAGCAATATGTTCAATGGTATGTCCAGGCGGCAAAGAACGCTATTGCAGCCGGTGCAGATGGTGTTGAGATCCACGGTGCCAACGGCTACCTGGTCGACCAATTCTTGCATTATAACACAAACCAACGTACCGACGAGTACGGTGGGTCGATCGTCAACCGAGCCAGATTTGCACTCGAGGTTTTGGATGCAGTGAGTGAGGCTGTAGGACCTGAACGGGTCGGGATTCGGCTTTCTCCCTGGGGTGGCTTCGGCGACTTGGCCGTAGACATCAGCCCAATTCCTCAATGGAGCTACCTAGTTGCTGAAATTGAGCGCAGGGCTACCGAGGGCAAGCGCATCGCATATATTTCCACTATGGAATGTCGTTGGAGACAGGATGAGGCGTTGATGCCTGCACGGGTACCCAAAGATATTTACTCCCTCAACAATTTCGTTGGTTTTATCTGGAATGGTCCTTGGATTCGGTCAGGTCAAATGACAGATAGCATTGATCTCGCAGATCAAGATGATAGAACCGTTTTGGCCATTGGCCGCTACTTCATCTCTACACCTGATGTGATTCGAAGACTGCGCGATGGCTTGGAGCTCAACCCGTACAATCGCGAAACATTCTACCACAGTGGTAGTAAAGCTATCGATGCATCTGTGGGATATACTGATTACCCGTTTTACGACAAATAATAGAACGCGGAAGGGCAGTTACTGTCTAGCGGTTAACTATAGACACCACATGTAGCAATCGGAAGAACGCGTCGCAAAAGTCTACCTAACTAACCTAATTAGCTAGAATACACCCACCTGTACACTCTTTTAGCTCCATTGAGGTTTTTTCGACCGTTTCATTGCTCGAACGCTATATCACAATACCCTAACCCAACATCATTCCAAACGCACCCGCTGCGCGCCTGCGATTTTGTCGAGATAATCTACACCTCTTTGTGCTCTTGGGACGCCATCGATTGCTTTGAGGACGATTGAACACATTCAGCGCTAGACACACGACAGTACATGAATATTGGGGCTCTGGTTCGTGAAATATCACAACAAATACCCTTGGACTCTTGGAAATCCCCTGCATCCCCAACACTCGCTGCCCCCGAATCGACTTTTTTCTGTCACTGCGACGAATTCAAAACCAAAAACATCTGTGACTGTACCCAGCGCCACAAGGTAGTGGTGGAAAGCCTTAAAAGAGACTTGAATCTCGCGGCTAAAGTAGGCCAAAGTCTGCTGTCACAATTATCCACCATGGAAAGCCGCCTAGCCAGCCAAGAGGAGGAATTTAAAGCTCGCCAGCAAGAGCTAGTCACACAAAACCACGAGCTTTTACAAAGAAATGCAGAGCTTTTAGACTCGACCCGCGAGAGTGCTCATTCCATAGCAGACTCTGAGGCCCGCATCGCCCAGCTCACGGCTCGACTGTCCGACGCCAATGCACGCTGCCTGCGATTGAACTCGTGGATGTCGCTTGCACAATCACTAGAGCACCAGGTTGCTATGCTCGAATCAATGCAAGAGAGTCTGCAGTCTGAGCTTTCATCAGTCAAGCAGGATAAATCTGTCGCTGAATCCCGATGGCGTGCTTCCGAACAGCTGGTTCATATTGTTTCCAGGCAATACAAGCAATTGAGTCTGGACATTAACAAGAGCACACATCCTTCCTTCTCTACTGAGCAGATTTCGAATCTAGACGATGAACCGGCAAACTGGATAGCCGACAACACACCAGAAGTGCCGTCCCTTGACGATATCGACGATACTATTGATTCGAGCTTCGATGCAGACATTTTCCTACCCACAGAAAGCACGCCGCTACGATCCCAAAAAAGCATGCCGGCAAATTTGGCCCCGCGACCTCATTATCACATCTCGTCCTTCAAATCGTTGGATGAACTCAAAGCTGCTGCCGCTGCCGCGGCTGCTGCCACTGCTCGCCCTGCGCGTCCCCTTCAACCACAGCACTCTATGCAACACCTCCAACCTGTTCCGGCGCGGGTGTCGACCGCCATGTCTCGAGAAACTCTCAATAGCACGCGGCCGATTCTACGCCGTAACTTTTCACACGAAAGTGTGCTCTCGGTAATGGTAGAGCCCCAGCCCCTCGAAAAGCCGGCCATGGCGACGGCTGAGCTCGCAAAAGCGGCCCTCACAGACTCCCAGGCTCACGCAACCAAAAGCGGCGTCAAAACGAATGCCCGTGAACAATTATTGGGAATTAAAGGACTCCAGGCTTCTCTGGACCAGCGCTCAGCTGTTCGTACCGAGGCGGCTCGCTGGAGATTTGTTCCATTCAGACGATAGTTCCTGCACACTTTTAACTTAATAAATTTAATAAATTATATGCTAACTCCAATTACGTTGGAAAAGACGGTTAGCGGCCTTCGAGGCAGTGATGACCGGCTTCCTTGCTGGCTCCTGTGGTGCAACGAGCTTGGGCACTCGCCGCGGTTTCGGTTGAGCCGCCGCATGCAAACTTTTTACGATTTCAACCGATCTGACACCCGTTTCGACAGCAGAGATCCGAGCTGCTCGCGTGGTATCCGATTGAGCTGCTGAGCTGTGTCGACGAGCAGAAAGCACAGTAATGGTAGCACGGGGGAGCGCCTTGACGCCGACTTCAGGCAGATCATCCGGCGTCTCGTCATCCGCCCGTAGGAACTGCAACGTTTCTTGTACGCTCGCCAAATTTGGTTTGACTGCTGCCTGCCGTTGCGGCCGCATGCTGATGTCTTCTGCAATCGTCTCGATAAATGCGCGAGTACGTTGGTTCGCAGCTAGCTTGGCTACTGCCGAGGAGTCCTCCAGTAGTTTGGCACGCTTCCGTTTCTCGCGGGCGTCCCGTCGCGCAGCACTCGTTTCCTCGTCGCTTTCATCATCACTAAATCCTTCGAGCAGGCCACGACCAGCGCGTTTTCGTCTCCAACCGCCATGGACGTCATCCACAAGGCGATTCACAAGCTCAAGGTCCCGCTCCTTTTCTTTTTCTAAATGGAGCTGTTGCACTTGGTCATCCTTTACTTCGACAGTTGTATCATCGACAAGACCCTCGACATCTCCAACGTCCGGCTCCTCATCGCTTCGTCCACCAAGACCAGCCCACTCATCGTCACTTTCCTGAGCTTCATCTTCCACGAATGGTGTGATCAGGTCATTGACATGGGCTCTTTCGTACCTGCGTCGAAGTTCCCTCATTTCCTGGGAGGCTGAAAGATTGGTGTTTTTAAGGTCACTGAAATCAGGCTCTTTCGGCTGAACAGTGTTCCCGAACTCACGGTGCGGCTCCTCTTGTTCAAACTCGTCTAACTCACTGAGTTCTCCCATTTCGCTCGACTGAGTAGAGACTTCCTGCGAACTTTGTGCAGCTGCAATGGCTTCAGCTTGCTCTTTGATCCGTTGCAAAACGTCTAGATTGGGCTCCTCAATCACCTGCGTAGACTCTGTTACAGCTTTCCTGCCAATTGCAGCAAGATGGGCAGTGGGAGCTTTGCTAGTGGCCTCGGACTCTTCTGTTTCGTCCTCGCTGTCACTTAAAACTGCAACCCTTCGTACTGAGCCGCCACTTTCGTCTTCATTGTCTTCAAGCTCGTCTTCAGATCCAGAAAATACCAGATCGTCGCCCTCGATGTCGCTTTCAGCGATATCACTCTCGGCCACATCAGAGTCGTCAAACACTCTGTCCGCTTCACCTTTTTCCAATTGACGCAACTCATCTGCCGCACGCTGCTCTCTTTCCAAAAGCGTCTCAACTTCTTCATTGTCCTTAGCGGTCTCCTGTTCAGTACGAATTTCTATGCCACGATCCTGCAGCTCTTTAATTTTTTGAGCCCGCTTTGAAATCGTCTGCTTCCGAAGTTGGTCCTGCAGCCTAGCCATTAGGTTTTGTGCTGGCTTTTGAAGTAACGAATCGGTCGTACCATGTCGCGAAAAAGATAACATTTGGCGAAGAGGTTTCGAGGTTTTCTGCTTTGTAGATTCCGGGATCACTTCAAGATCACTAGCATCTTGGTACATGACACGATCAATCGACTTTCTTACAAAACTGGCGAGCCGTTGCGCAGTCGGAGGACTTGAGAGCAAAACTTTGTGTCCCTTTTCGTTTGGTTTTGGTGTGATTGGTGATGTAGGTGGCGAAGAAGCGGTGTTATGGGTTTCGTCGCTTGCATCATCAAGCATGGCCAGGAAACTGTCAACCGTTGCCGAGCCCTTCGTCTTTGTACCAATTTCCAGATCCATTTGACGCTCATAGCGTTGGTTTGCCTGAGCAATTTCTTGTAATGCTTTCTTGGTGGGCTTTCTAGCGCTCTGCGAAGATATAGTCCTTTCAGGAGAGGGAGGAGCCAAGCCTTCCGCGTACATTTCACGACGCAGAGCATCATCTGTGGGGCCATCAAGTACCGGTGAAGGCTTCAATTGAGCCATTGGACTGACTGCATCACTGTCAGGCTCAACAGGGTCGTTGGGCTCGCTGGGCTCGCTGGTTGTTTCGGGAGTGGTGGCTACTTCAGGCACAACATTTTCCATGCCGGAGCCCCCAATCACTTCAACGGCTTCCTCAACAGCTTCAGAGACGTTATCAGCAAGGGTTTCAGTCTTTTCAAGAGTATTTGGATCGAGAACCTCTACTCTCGCTTCGGACTCCTCAAGAGCGTCGTCAGAATGCATTCGACGTTGCCGAATAAACGAGGAATAATCAAAGACATCCTCTGGTTCATCCTCAGCATCGTCAATTTTTCTTAACAGGTCGTCCAGCCGTGAACCTAACGGAAGATCCTCAAATTGGTCCATGACGCGTTTAAAGGGTGGAAACGCGTTCCTGGGAAATTAGATCAAACTGGGGCGATTGGGAGGGGGTGCTAAAATTTCTGCAGCGCCCAAACACCCCACTCAACAGTTACCCTCCAGTCGTATTTTTTTCAAGAGGTGTGGGTGGCTTGACTAAGCACCGTCGCACCGAACAAACAGGGCCATCAGGGAATATTCACAGTTGCCACCGTCTAGGACTAGTGGCCGGTACTATATTTTTCTGCAGTTCTATCAAGTCGGGAATCACAGCTTAGTGGGCACATATAAGAATGAGCAACTCGGCTTTCCCGTACTCGAGCGCGCCTCTGCGCACGATTAAAGAGGTCCAGTTTGGCTTGCTGAGCCCTGAGGAAATCAAGGCTATTTCGGTGGCCAAAATCGAGTACCCCGAGACCATGGATGAAACCAAGATGCGTCCTCGCATCGGAGGTCTCAACGACCCGCGTCTCGGTTCGATTGACCGTAACTTCAAGTGTCAGACATGCGGTGAAGGCATGGCGGATTGCCCGGGCCACTTTGGCCACATCGAGCTCTCCAAACCAGTGTTCCACATCGGATATATCACAAAAATCAAAAAAATCCTAGAAGCAGTCTGTGTGCACTGTGGTAAACTCAAGCTCGACGAGTCCAATCCACTGTTCGCCCAGGCCATCAAAATCCGCGATTCAAAACGCCGTTTCAATGCTGTTTGGTCTCTTTGTAAAACCAAAATGGTTTGTGAGGCAGACACTGTTGACGACGGTGCATTTGGTAGCGACAAAAAGACTCAAAAATACCATGGCGGATGCGGCAACGCCCAACCGACCATTCGACGCGATGGTTTACGTTTGGTAGGCCAGTGGAAACGCGATAAGCAAAGTGAGCTTGACCAGCCTGAGCGCCGTTATCTCTCGCCTTCTGAAGTCCTAAACGTCTTCAAACACATTCCTGACACCGATGTTCGCAATCTTGGTCTAAGTGTCGACCAGGCAAGACCAGAGTGGCTCCTAATCACAATTTTGCCTGTGCCTCCGCCCCCCGTGCGCCCAAGTATTGCTATTAATGATTCTGCTCGTGGTGAGGATGATTTGACATACAAGTTGGCTGATATTCTCAAGGCCAATGCTAACGTTCAACGTTGTGACCAAGACGGTGCTCCGGCCCATGTGATTAACGAGTTCGAGATGCTTTTGCAGTACCATGTGGCGACATACATGGATAATAACATTGCTGGACAGCCACAAGCACTTCAAAAGAGTGGCCGCCCGGTCAAGTCTATTCGTGCCCGTTTGAAAGGTAAGGAAGGCCGCATCCGTGGCAATTTGATGGGCAAACGTGTAAACTTTTCTGCTCGTACGGTTATCACGGGTGACCCTAATTTGGAACTTGATCAGGTCGGTGTCCCCCGCTCTATTGCCCGTACACTCACTTATCCCGAAGCGGTTACTCCCTACAATATCCAACGCTTGACAAAATACGTTCGAAATGGACCAAATGAGCACCCCGGTGCCAAGTATATTATCCGTGACACCGGAGAACGCATTGATTTGAGATACCATAAGCGTGTTGGTGATATTGCTCTGCAGTACGGATGGCGCGTCGAGCGTCACCTGATGGACGACGATCCTGTGCTATTCAATCGTCAACCTTCTCTGCACAAAATGTCTATGATGGCGCATCGAGTTAAGGTTATGCCTTACTCGACATTCCGCCTCAACCTTTCCGTCACATCACCCTATAATGCTGATTTCGATGGTGACGAAATGAATTTGCACGTCCCCCAGTCTGAAGAGACGAGGGCAGAACTTAGCCAGCTTTGTGCTGTTCCTTTACAGATTGTTTCTCCCCAAAGTAACAAACCTGTCATGGGTATTGTACAGGACACTTTGCTGGGTATTCGTAAAATGACAGTTCGTGACACATTCCTCGATTATCAGCAGGTTATGAATATTCTGTTTTGGGTTCCCAACTGGGATGGTGTTGTTCCACAGCCGGCAGTTCTAAAACCCAAGCCGCTTTGGACCGGAAAACAGTTAGTCTCTATGTCAATTCCCGCAGGTATTTTCTTGCAGCGCTTTGATGAGAATAATCCCGTTACTTCTCCCAAAGATAATGGTATGCTCGTTTACAAGGGTGAAATCATGTATGGTGTGGTTGACAAAAAGACAGTTGGTGCGACTGCAGGTGGTTTGATCCATACAATTTTCCGTGAAAAGGGTCCCTATGTCTGTTCACAGTTTGTTGGTTCCGTGCAAAAGATTGTCAATTACTGGTTGCTGCACAACGGTTTCTCCATTGGTATTGGTGATACAATTGCCGATGGCGACACCATGCGTAACATTACACAGACCATCGCTGATGCTAAGAAGAAGGTTCAGGAGATCATTTTGGACGCTCAAGCAAACAAATTGAACCCTGAACCTGGTATGACGTTGCGTGAGTCCTTTGAGCACAATGTTTCCCGAGTTCTGAATCAGGCTCGTGATACTGCCGGTCGTGAGGCAGAGTTGTCACTCAAAGATATCAACAACGTCAAGCAAATGGTTGTTGCCGGATCGAAAGGTTCGTTTATTAACATTTCGCAGATGTCCGCGTGTGTCGGTCAGCAGATTGTTGAGGGTAAGCGTATTCCCTTTGGCTTTGTTGATCGCTCTTTGCCCCATTTTACGCGTGATGATTACTCTCCAGAGTCCAAAGGTTTCATTGAAAACTCATATCTTCGAGGTCTTACCCCACAGGAATTCTTTTTCCATGCCATGGCTGGTCGTGAAGGTTTGATCGATACTGCAGTGAAAACTGCTGAGACAGGGTATATTCAGCGCCGTTTGGTCAAGGCCTTGGAGGACATCATGGTGCAGTATGATGGTACTGCTCGTAACTCACTGGGTGATGTGATCCAGTTTATTTATGGTGAAGATGGCTTGGATGGTACTCAAGTTGAGAAGCAGACTGTCGATACAATTCCTGGCAGTGATGAAGCATTTGCTAAGCGCTATCGTATTGATTTGATGAAGCAGTCGACCCCTCTTGCTATTGAAAGTGCAAACGATATTGTTGGTGACCTTGACACGCAAAAGCTTTTGGACCGCGAATGGGAACAATTGTTGTCTGATCGTGACTTTTTGCGTACAACTGTGTTCGATAATGGCGAGTTCAACTGGCCTTTGCCTGTGAATATTCGTCGTGTTATCCAGAATGCTCAGCAAATTTTCAATATTGATCATCAAAGAGTCTCTGATCTCACAGTCCCAGAAATCGTTGAGGGTGTGGAAGAGCTCTGTCGTCAGCTGATTGTTATCCGCGGTAATTCCGAGATCTTGATTGAGGCACAACAGAACGCATCATACCTTATTCAGTGTCTTGTGCGGTCGCGTTTGGCTACTTTACGTATTGTCAATGAGTACCATCTCAATAAGGTTGCCTTTGAATGGGTTCTGGCAGAGATTTCTGCCCAGTTCGCTCGCTCTCTTGCCCACCCTGGTGAGATGGTTGGTGTTATTGCTGCTCAGTCTATCGGTGAGCCTGCCACTCAGATGACACTCAACACATTCCACTATGCTGGTGTGTCTTCTAAGAACGTTACGCTTGGTGTTCCTCGTCTGAAGGAAATTTTGAACGTTGCCAAGAACATCAAGACACCCGCATTGACTGTTTACTTGAAGAATGATGTTAGAAATGACATCGAACGGGCCAAGGTTGTTCAGTCTGCCATTGAGCACACGTCTCTCAAGAATGTCACTGCCGCGACGGAGATTTATTACGATCCCGATCCTCGTACTACTGTCATTGCCGAGGATCTCGACACAGTTGAGGCTTACTTTAGTATTCCGGATGAACAAGTCGAGTCCACTCTACACATGCAGAGTCCTTGGTTGCTTCGTTTGGAGTTAGACCGTGCCAAGATGCTTGACAAGCAGTTGACTATGAGCCAAGTCGCCGAGAAGATTACTGCCGCGTTTGGTGGTGACCTGTTCGTGATGTGGAGTGAAGACAATGCTGACAAGCTTGTTATTCGTTGTAGGGTTATTCGTGACCCCAAGGCTCTTGAAGAGGAGCCAGACTTGGAGGAAGACCAAATGGTCAAGTCTATTGAACAGCACATGCTCGAGTCGATCACTTTGCGGGGTGTTCCTGGAATTTCGCGTGTGTTCATGATGGAACATCGTTTGTCGCAGGTCGACGAGGTTAGCGGTGATTGGGCTCAGAAAATGGAGTGGGTACTGGAAACTGATGGCGTTGATCTTGCCGAGGTTATGACCATTGACGGTGTGGATCCCTACAGAACGTACTCGAATTCGTTTGTCGAGATTCTCGGCGTTTTGGGTATTGAGGCCACCAGATCTGCTCTTTATCGCGAAATCTACAAGGTTATTGCTTTCGATGGTTCGTACGTTAACTACCGCCACATGGCATTGTTGGTTGATGTGATGACATCGCGAGGTCATCTGATGGCCATCACTCGTCACGGTATCAACCGTGCCGATACTGGTGCCCTTATGCGATGCTCTTTCGAGGAGACGGTTGAAATTCTTCTCGAAGCAGCAGCAGCCGCAGAGCTCGACGACTGTCGCGGCGTTTCGGAGAATATCATGCTTGGTCAGATCGCTCCTCTTGGCACTGGTGCCTTTGATGTGTTTGTTGACGATGTGGCTCTTTCTACATTGCCAATGTCCATGTCTGCCATGGCTGTTGGCGAGTCTGCTGCCGCCACGGCTGCAGTGTATGCTTCTGATGGCTCTGCTACGCCTTATGATGGTATGTCGCCTATGATGGACGGTAAGGGTGTCGATGCTGGTGCTATGTTCTCGCCGTTGGCTCAGGCAGGCTTCTCAGAGGCGGCTCGTGGAGGTTTCACGGAATACGGAGGTGGCTTCCAGAGTCCATTTGGCGCTTCTTCTCCGGATTATGCTCCCACCTCGCCGTTCTCGTCGTATGGCGCCTCTTCGCCCTCGTATGCTGCATCTCCGTCGTACAGCCCGTCGTCCCCTGGTTATGCGCCTACGTCGCCGTCGTACTCTCCTACGTCGCCGTCGTACAGCCCTACTTCGCCGTCGTACTCTCCTACTTCGCCGTCGTACAGCCCCACGTCGCCGTCGTACAGCCCTACATCGCCGTCGTACTCTCCCACTTCGCCGTCGTACAGCCCTACGTCGCCTTCGTACAGTCCTACTTCGCCGTCGTACAGTCCTACTTCGCCGTCGTACAGCCCTACTTCGCCGTCGTACAGTCCTACATCGCCGTCGTACTCTCCTACGTCGCCGTCGTACAGCCCGACGTCGCCGTCATACTCGCCAACGTCGCCTTCGTACAGTCCCACGTCGCCGCAGTATTCCCCGACGTCTCCATCGTACTCCCCGACTTCGCCGCAATACAGGCCGTCGTCTCCTCAGTACTCTCCCGACTCGCCTTCATACAACCCATAAAAATAGCTACTTAATTGTCAACTTGACGTTACATTATACGTTATTTTTGTACATATTGCCATGTGCATGTTGGCTATGCTAGATGGAAAGGTGCTGAGGTCATGACTTTTTGAAAGATCCGTCTTTCTCCCTTGGTACGTTGACGACAATATAGATAAACACGGCTGCGATTGCAGAGAAGACAGCAACCAGGAAGAATTTCAGCAGACCAGTCAGCGACGCATCGCGCTCTTTGATACGCTGCATCCGCTGAAACTGTCGCTCTCGAGCTGAAGGGGGTTTCATTCTATTAGCTAAGAGCCGATGGGTCTCGCAGAATACTTGGCGGCCAATTATGGCGACGAGAACACCAAGAAACTGAAGGGCGAGAGACCGAAAAAGCGGCGAAAGAGCAATAAACCAGCAGGAAAGCCGCTTGGGGATGCTGTAGAGGAGGCTCCCCCCGCCGAAACCGTTTATCGCGATGATCAGGGCCGAAAGATCGTGAACGCTGGGCTCGCCAAGGAACCAGCAAACGCCCGAGAACCAACATATCCAACTGCTCTCAACAAGTACGCCACAGACATTAGCAAAGACAGGGCTCGTTTGGAGGATCCAATGGCCGCGAAAGCCGAAGTTGCCGAGACAGTAAGAGTCGCTGGAGTCCCTCAGTACAATGGGCCTTTTCCGCCAAACCGATTCGGAATTGCACCAAGCTACAAGTGGGACGGAATTGATAGGTCGAACGGGTTCGAGGAGAAATGGCTCAGGTGCCATTCTACGTAAATTATTTATCACTGCATTTTTAACGACGCAAGCAAGTCAGAAACGCCTTGACGCTTCCGCCCAGCATTTTCAGTTGCATGCTGAACGTATGATCCAAGAACGTCTGGAGCTGCGGGAGTAGGAGCAGGAGTAGGAGGTGTAGATTTTGTGGCCTCGGGTTCTTTAGGCGCTTGGCGTGCCTTGGGTGCCTTTGGCTCGGTGGGTTCGGGCTCGGACTCTTTAGCGGCCTTAGGGGCCTTGGGAGCCTTGTGAGCCTTGGGGACTTTAGGACTGGTCTGCTTCTTTTGTTTGGCCTCACCTTGGGCTTTATGAGACGCATCCTTTTTCGGCCCCTTGGGTGCGCTCGGCACGCCCGATCCCGGAGACTCGGCCTTGGTCTTCGTAGTGCCCTTCAGTGCAGCCATGAGCTCAGCACTTTCAGCGCTGGCAGATGCAGAAACAGGGGGCAAAAACATATCAGCAGCGGCAGGACGCACAGGGGGTCCTGCAGGTGCTTTAGGCGCGGAACCGGCAGGCGCTTTAGATGCGGGACCAGCAGGTGCAGGCTTTGCTTTAGTCCAGACAGACTGGCTCACAGGTGCAGGTTTGAGGTTGCGTTGGCGAGTATCAACTCTCTTAGTAGAGCGGGCCTGAGGAACAGCAGGAACAAGAACATCGTTATCCTGGTTGCGATCATAAGCCAACTGCTTGAAAGTCAAATTAATAACCGTTCCGGCTTGTACAACTAACCCACGCTTGGTCTTGACTCTTTGATCAAGGGTCGAGCCTGCACCGAACTCTGCATCAAACACAACGTTCAAAGTTCGGTGCGACGCACCTTCATTGATCCCCACCACAGTTCCACGAGCGTAAAGAGGAACCTTGCCAAAGTCAACAGCCGAAACAACCCGATTGCCAAGGAAGAACTTTTGTCGGCGCAGCTGATGATGAGCAGAAGCAGGAGTAAGTAAAGCCGCCCGAGGGAGTTTGGAGATCTGTATTTTATGAGCCTGGATCGGTTTCTTGCTGTATTCAACCGCCCATTTTTCAATTTGAGCAATACCCTCGTCGCTCAATGTCTCATCATTCATAGGAACAAACTGAATTTTAGAAGCGTTCTCATTGAGCCAGGTCTTCATGCTTCGCACCTGATGTGCAATCTCTTCACTTGAAATCGACTCAGGAAGAACCTTGCGCAAATCAGGAATGCCAGTGTTGGACTGCGGAGCAGATGCGAGAGCTTGCAAAATTACCGGGAAAGACTTGAGATATGCCAAAATCAAAAGTAGACCCTTCTGACTATACTCCCATCCCTTGAATCCCATGCGAGTGTAGCCACTGGCCTTGAGGTTCTGGGCGGGACGCTTGAGCACAAGGCCCAAGTTGATTTTCTCATTCTTCAAAACAAACATAAAGCGGCTTGTAAGTCGACTGAGGAACGCAAAACTGATACCAAGAGAATCAGCAACCTCGCGGGCAGAAAAGTACTGATATGTACTCTTCTCACGGCTAGCGACCTGGTTGCCAAACTGGGGTTCGGGGTCTGTCAAAGCCAAGGCCTCGACGTTAATTGCAGTGTCGGTATGGCCGGTTACAGTAACTGGCGCTCCATAATGGCGGTTCATTAAAAGAACAGCACGGGAATCAACAGGGTACTCGTCCGCAACCGGTATGGGTTCACGTTCCTTGAAACGTTCGTCCTCTTCTTCAATATCCTCGACCAAAAGCTGTACTGGCAAAACTTTCTCAGTTTTGATATCATTGTTGAACTCTTTGACATATGAGCCATCCGTCTTACGGAGTAGACCAACCAAAGGCTGGTAATGAACAAGGACATCAACGCTTCCCAAATCAACACCACGGCTCTCATAATTACGCTTGATGGTTGGTAGCTGTTTGCTCCAAAGTTGAGAAACACGTGCATCATGGGGGGTTCCTGAGCCCTTACGAGAAGAGAAATAGACATCGCGATTCGACACACCAGTGATTTTAGCCTCACGAAGAAACGGCCAATCGACATAAGCGGACTCACCAATGAGAGCAACCAGCTCCTTGATTGTTTGTGAGCTGTAGTCGTTTTTGATGTGCAAAATGATAGACTCATTACGAGCATCATACTCAAAGACACGAACATGGGCCTTTTCAATCTCGAACTGCCAGTCCAAAGTCTTCAATGTAGGGAAACCAGCCATGTAAGCAAATTTAGGGTCGTCACTACGATCACGAGCATAATACGTTTCAGCGTAACTCTTGTCGTGAGGGTTGATGGACAGCACTGCAACGGCGCAAGCAGGCAGATCCGGAACAACCCCTGGCATTGACGAAGGATAAAAGTAAGACGACTGGGGTGTGTAAGTAAATTCAAGGTCGGAGCCGTAAATGTTACGAGCGCGCTCAGCTTCTGTCAAACGGTTTTCACGCGGAGTTAGAGCATCGATCAAGCGTTTTTCATCGATGAACGGAATCAATACAACAGCTTCCCAGTCGGCCTTTTTGCCATTGAGATCCAATTGGAATTCATTGGGATAGAAGTCGATGATAGGGGATTGCGGACTTGACATGAGATCGCGATAGGCCGCAGGCACAAGCTTTGACGAACGATCAGGCAAAACACCCATAAGCTGTTCGAAAGGCAGGAAAGGCCTAGAGGGCCCGAACTCAACCTTGAAATCGAGGGTGATGCCATTAAAGAGCTCAACAATCATGGGAGCATAGTGACCATGGAAATACCAAGACCAAGAGGGGCAGCCTTGATAGTAGTATCCAAGCACCCATTGGAGACCTTCCAGATAATTGCGAACCACTTCTTTAACCTTAGGATCGTCGTGGCGGACGCCAAATTTGGACCGATAGTAACGGTCGGACCATTGGTTGAACTTGGAGTCATACAGAGCTTGACGATTCAAGTCATCTTCAGCGCTAGAAATCTGCGCCTTTTCATAGACACGCAAAATTTTGCGAGTATCGGAAACCCATTGACGCTTGTCACCGGGAATACTCTCGAGGGTGATAATGCCGTCCTGAACTATAAACCCAGTTTGTTGAGCCAAAAGTTCCACAAACTTTCGATCGAAAATGTTACTAGATTCATCAAGGACCTCGCTAACTTCAAACTCTTCACTGGTAGGGTCGTCAGCTAGGACAGAATTCAAAATGAACGGCTTCATCACACGAACAATATCACGCTGAGAAGGAGTAAGAATAAGAGTTTCAGGCTCATCAGTATTAACATTAGAAACGAGTTCCAATTGGTTGTTGAGCCACTCTGCGTCAACAGCTTCTTCCTCGAATCGCTGGTACTGATATTGAGCCATTTCCTTCAGCCACAGTTTGAGATTCGCAAAATTAAGCTTTCCGTTTTCTGTGATATAATCTTTGACCTTAGAAAGATACCGCATATACGTATCCATAATTTCGGGAATGGCGCCGTCCTTAATTAAAAGTAAAGGAAGCTCGGGCAGGAAATCGTTGCCAATGAAAAAGTTAATGAGAATGAAATCGTCCAAAATGCGTTCAAAGTCGAACTGGCTGGGCTGCGTCTCGTCGTCACCACTTTCCAAAACGTTGCGGAATTCGAGTTGGAGATACTCGCGAACCAGCGACAAGTGCAGCAAGAAGAACCGCTTTTCAGAAAGCTCGGCGCTCTGGAAACGCTCGGAGCGGCCGAAAAAGACCTCCTCACGCAGCAACGAGAAGTGAGGCTGGTGGGTCGATAGGCCAAGCATAATCAAATCAGCGTCCAAACCATACAAACAATGACGGGTGTTGGAGTTGTAATTTTCATCAGACGCAAGCGAGCGAATAAAGTTCATGATTTTGTGCTCGCCTTCTCCAGGGACTTCATGCCCAGACAGGACGACCCGAATATCCTGCCAGTCAGCGTCTTCAGTAACTTTTCGGTGAATAAAGTACTTTAACTGCACGGTAAGTTTAGCCATAAACTCGGTACCGGGAGTGATTGCATTTGTATCAAAGGGGTCCTCCTTGGGAAGCTCTACACCGCTTTCAATAGCCTTTCGACGAGCGGTTTCTTGGTCCAGCGCCGAGCGGAAACGACGCGACCGCTGCTGGTTCATTTTGGCGCGGGGAGCGACACCATCGATGGCCATGTACAGAACGCTCTTGGGCTTGATGGTGGCCACTAAATGTTCGATGTAATTGAAGATAGCAACGTACATCTCGGCCTCACTGAGAACATGGGTAGGGTCGTTGTCCTTGTGAGTGCACGTGTGCAAAATCGAGTTCATGTCAAGATAAAAATTGTCAAACTCAGGAATGACAGAGTCATTCACAAGCTGCGAGATAGTAGGCCATCGCTCTGAAATATAGCGAAAGTATTTGGGAATACCCATAACTAGTGCAGTGTCTAGATGGCCGCTGACTCACGCACTGGTTTAGGTGCCGAGATCGAAATGCAGGATTAGAAGTGAACGGTTTAGAGTTGACAATATGAGTTCGTTTAAGTATTGTTTGGGGTGTTTCAAAACGGCTTCAGATCAGATCAGTGCGTGAGCGGTATATTTGTATAGTTACTGCCTTCAAGTATGTAAAAACTCGATCTATACGAGCGATATTTCGTTGGGATTAATAATTTTCGACCACCTGCCTAGAATGGAACTATTCCCCCAAAAAGCGGCTGAGCGGCGAGTTAATATGTGACTCGGGGATTGAAGGAATGGTTAAAGTGCATTCTGGTATCTAAATAGTTTAGTGTCGATACCATTTTTGTGCTGCCACATCCTGCGTTCTAAGTCGTATATATTAGCCTGAAAAAAACCTGCTTGATAGCACCGCGAAGAAGCATCAACAGACGGGTGTATCACTTTTGGGATGAGATTGGATAAACTTGTTGACTTGCACAATTCAGTGACCTAAATTGGTGAGTTGTATGCGAACCACGCTACTTTTTTAGAGCATGAACATAGGCAACATTGGCCCTCGTTTCAACGAAGAAAGCCTTGGTGGCTCAGTTGGTTAGAGCGTGAGTCTCATACTTCGTGTGTTATCTCAAGGTCGCGAGTTCGAGTCTCGCCTAGGGCACATTTCTTCTCCGCCTTGGTGGCTCAGTTGGTTAGAGCGTGAGTCTCATACTGTGTGTGTTATCTCAAGGTCGCGAGTTCGAGTCTCGCCTAGGGCACATGCCATTTTTTCAATTTATTTTTCTATGCTGAATTAATAGTCGGTAAAGCTGAACTTGGAGTTTAATTGTTAATTAAGCTAGAAATACTGGCTATTTGTCTTCAGTTTCGTCGAATCGAAGGTGTCCCGAGATCCAGTGATTCAACATGGCAACAGCATTGCGTGGTTGATTGAAAGGAACCATATGACCAGCACCATAAATGCGCAAAAATGTCAGTAAATCTGCATTCTTGGTAGTGCCAGACTCTTTGCCGTCAACGAACCAGGGCTGGACTTTGGCATCAGCAAACTCCTCATGGTGAGGCCACTCTAGACGGTTGGTCCAGTCACGATTTCCAAGCCAGTTGCAGATCCAATCCTTGTCACCAGCATAGATAAGGATAGGAATATCGGCAGCCAAGATTTCGGCAACTACAGGCGCAAAGTTGACAGAGTGATCAGCTTGGAAGAAGAACTCAGATCCGACCTGTGGGTCACACCCAACAAATTTAATAGGCTCTGCACCCACAGCATCCTTCACAGCCTCCTGATTGAGATACTGTTCAATCCAGCCGGTTTGTGGATAGCAAGAGTCGTAGCAAACATCACGGACATCGTAAGGGTTACGTCCAGTTTCAGAAAATTTTGTAGAAGGACGCCCACAATATGAAGTGGCAGCGAGACAAACCAAGCGAGATCTGGTATCATAACAATTCTGCATAAGCACTTGACAACGAGGCAATTCGCGATACATTTGCTCACAAGTCTCCTCACTTTGGAAAGCAGGGAAGCCACCCTCTCCGCACTGCATGGCAATAGAGGCTTCTACCTGGTTCAAAGTATCGGTGATACCGTTACCGATAAGAAGAGAAGTCAAATTGAAGTTACGCTCAGGATGCTCGACGATAGCTTTGCCGATGGCAGGAATATAATGGCCAGCATACGACTCACCGGAAATATGGAAGTCACGGTTGTTATACTCGGGGAAGGACTCGAAGAATATGGACAAAAAAGCATAGATATCCTCACCGGCGGCCATAGAGGTCGAGACACGCTGCGAAGAGTAAGAATAACCGACATTGACGGGCTGGTCCAAGAAAATAACCGTAGCGTTGTTGTTCCAGGAGTGGGGGTTGTATTTCAGGCTCAGGTCCTCTTGAATGGCCGAAGGTCCGAGCTCGAAGAACTGGCCAGTCGAAGAAGAGCAGCCAGGGCCGCCGTTCAACCACAAAACAACGGGGTCGTTTGCCGGATCATTGCGGGACTCAAACAGCCAGAAGAAAAAGTGCTTGTCCTCGTCCAGGACATCCAAATAACCTGCCAATTGCTTGACAATATCAATCCCGAGCGATTTGGGGTTCTTTACCCGCACTTGGTGATTCGGGAAGTTCTCGTTCTGGATGTGGAGGTCCCAATTGGTTCTCCGGTTGGCTTTAGCAGGCTTTCCGCCTGGACCAGCGTAGGGGTCCAGAAGCAATTTGAAGCGATCCGGATTGTTTGTCCACAACTCGTCCAGGGCATCACGCACATCCTGATTGCCAGACTCCTCATTGAGCATGGTAGAAGCCAGTTCGTAGCCAGAATGGTGCGGGAGAGCATTATGCAGAATCCACTGGGCCGCGGACTCGGCCTGTTCTAAAGAGGGAAGGTTCAATTGTGCGAACGCACCTGCGGCAAGCAACGAATACCAAAGCATAGAGGTAGAAACATCAAAAGTGGAGCCGTGTGCCAGATAAAGCCCATATGCATTGCACCATCATGGCACTCCTATCGCCCTAACCCATACCTTTCAACAGTTTTTACATCACCAAACACAGGGTTGTAGATAGGAGGCACTACATCGCGGTGTAAACCCACAGTCGATTGAATTTGCTCCAGATTTTGCAGCAGATGCAATTTCCAAACACGCCCTCAGCGGCAGCGGCGGCTCTGCTCTGGCAAAAGACCTCATTGGTATCGTGCCAATCCAGTTGGAAGATCGGTAGTTAGTTTATAGGGCAAGGGCTTTCCTGCATGCGCGTTCGGGTTAAAAAAATTTGAAAGCTCGTAGTTTTAGTGATCTGAACTACGACATCACCCATAGTTGGCTTGTGACTACGACAACCAACTAAACAGTAAGCCCAACGGAGATTGCCATCTGCAGCATTGTCCGATCACTAGAGTCTTGGCTGAGCCCATAAACAAACCCTCTTCTTAGTCCCCAACAAGGCTTGTGACCGATGTTTCGTCGACCAGCTTTGCGTATTCCACAGTTTGCGCGCTCAATTGCAGTGCGCAGCAAGGGCCCGTGGGTGTTCCACGATGATATGTCTGCGACCCACGCAGAGACACTGGATGTGGCCCTCCAGGGCTACTTGGAAGCGCCCCACCGGCCAACCAAGGTCGGTGCGCCGCTGTTGCCCGGCGATCATTTGGTCTTTTTCAACCACAGAGTTCCCGAGTCCTCGTTAGGCCGCGATGGCTACGACGATGAGCAGTCGCCAATTGGAGACTTCCCCAACCGGCGGTGGTATGGTGGCCGCATCGAGTTCAACATAGAGTCTGATCTGATTCTTGGCCGCCCCGCAGTCTGCACCGAGACTCTGTCGTCGATAAAGCAGAGCGGTAACAACAAGCGTGTCACTGTGTCTATTGACCGAACGATGCGTTCTGTCGACGAGCCTGAGTCCTGGGCAGTGCGCGAGCAGCGGACTTTCTTCTACTTTAACAACGATCCTGTCCTTATCGAGCGCCAATCAAAGCGCCACTTTGCCCCCAAATACAAAGCAAAGATCCAGCGTCATATTGACCCGTCGCGGTTCCTTCTTTTCCGCTATTCTGCACTTAATTTCAACGCTCACCTCATCCACCTTGACAAGGCCTACACCACCGAGCAAGAAAAGCTTCCGGACGTTGTAGTGCAGGGCCCGCTTATGGTTACTATGGTTCTAAGGTGGGTGGCAAACGATATACTGGGCAACGGCCGCGTCGTAAAGCAGTTCAGCTACCGCAATCTCGCTCCGCTCTTCGTCAACGATCACGCCGTGCTCTGTGCCGCCCCAATCTCCCCGGATGTCATCGAAGTCTGGATCGAAAACTCTCAGGGCGGTATGGTCCTCACCGGATCCATCGTCATCGCCTAATTCGCATCTCCTCCCCCTAATATTTTAAATTAATCTACGTTTTTTCCTGTAAAATGTAAACAAATCCTTCGATTCGGCTTTGTCATCACACAGAAATGTTTGGCAACACGAACCAGACCGGTTTCGGGTTTGGCGCGAAGCCCAGCGGTGGATTTGGCCAGACCAGTGGGTTTGGATCAGGCACCAGTACTGCTGGCCAGCCGGGTTTTGGTTTTGGCTCCCAGCCGGCTGGACAGTCGACCTTCGGCCAGAGCACCACGGCGCCCCAGGGCGGATTGTTTGGCAATTCCGCGCAAAAGCCGACGTTTGGTACAGGGGGGTTTGGCTCAAATACTGCGAGCACGGGTGCTAATACGGGCGCTGCCGCAGGCACCAGCAGTGGTTTTGGAACGGGGTCTACGAACTTTGGAAACACCACTGACGGGTTTGGATTTGGACAAAAGCCTCAGAGCGGGACTCAGACTGGTCTTTTTGGATCCTCAACCACGGGCGGTGGCTTGTTTGGCAAAAGCCAGGCCGCGGGAGCCCAGAACACACAAGGAACCGGAACTGGGTTGTTTGGTCAACAGGGAACCAACCAAGGAAGTACCGGCGGTTTATTCGGGCAGTCTAATCAGGCTGGGCAAGCTGGAGCACAAGCTGGAACACAAACTGGAGGTTTGTTTGGCGGAGGTCAATCTGGACAGACCGGGAGCCTGTTTGGACGACCCCAAACTCAACCAGGTCAAACCGGGCAAACCGGTGGCTTGTTTGGACAAACACAAACCCAGCAGACCGGTAGTCTTTTTGGCCAATCTAATGCTCAGCCTGCACAGACAGGCGGGTTGTTTGGCCAGCCTGCAACTCAACCGACACAAAACGGTGGTCTTTTTGGTCAATCCTCGACTCAACCTACTCAGACTGGTGGTCTTTTTGGCCAAAGCCAGCCCGCTTCTCAAAATACCGGCTTGTTTGGCCAGGCCACTAAACCAGCTACCGGTGGGTTTTTTGGTTCGGCTCAGCCGGCCCAAACGGCACAAACTGGTCAATCTGGTGGACTTTTCGGATCAAGCAACACAGCAACAACCGGTGGTTTGTTTGGGGCCAAGCCAGCAACCGGCGGCTTGCTCGGAAACACCACTGGTGGCACGGGACTATTCGGTGCTCAACAGCAGACCCAACAGGCTGCTCCTAGTTTATTTGGCAATGCTGCTCAGCCGGTTGCAGCTCCAGCTCAACCTCTTAATGTCACACCTTTCACTCGTATCAGCGATCTTCCTGAGCAGTACCAAAAGGAAATTGAAGCTGTCGATAGCTATATCACCACACAAATTCGAATTAGCGACGAAATCGCTTCAAGACAAGAAGAACACAAGACAATGGTCACAAGCGTACCGCGAGACGCTAGTTTGCTTTTGCACAAATTGAAAACAGCAGTCGAGGCTCTTGTTTTCGACGATTCGCGGTTGCGTGAGCTCAAGGAGAAAGTCCGAGCCACAGCTGGTGAAGCAGAACATGCGTTTGACGCGTTTAATAACCTTAGTGCTTCTACCCCTGCTGGGCTGTTACAGCAGCGCGTTGATCGCCGTAATGAAAGCTTCCTGCCTTACTTTGCTGACCGCTACAACATTTTTGCTGATACTATTGACCAGCTAGCCGCGGCTATTCGCGATGTCAATAACGCTGTGGCTGACCTCGAACGCCAGGGTCCTGATGGACCTAGAACCACTACAGACCCGCAGCAGATTGCCCCAACTCTACGTGACGAATATGCTTATTTTATGAGCCTAAGTGATCGTGTGGCTGAGCTACACCAGAGCGTGGAAAGACTCAGGCGCTAAACTGCCAAAGCTATAGATGCATTTGTCCAGCCAAACCCATTCTCTTGGCTTCCTTGGTTGCCGTATTCTGCCGAGACGTCTTCGGCATGGTCAATATCACACACGTTGTATTTCTCAAGCACTTTTCCTGTGCGCTGCCACGTAGTTGCAACCATTGCTGCCCACTTCGTCTCCAGGCGCTCGGCATCGTTCACAAACCCATACTGGCGGAGACCTTGCCATGCCAGAATTTGATGTGGTGCCCAACCACAAGGAAAGTCCCACTGTTTAGCAGACTTGGGTGCCTTGGCAGCCACGCACAGCCCTCCTGGCTGCTCAAACAGCGGCAAACTGCTAGCCACCATCTGTCTGGCTTGTTCAGGAGATGCCAACCCACTCCACATTGCCCAAAATGTTGTTACACTGGCAAACCTGTGAGGTTCGTTGGTTTTTGTATTGTAATCGTAGTATATTTGCTCTGTTTCGCTCCACAAATACTTGTCCACGGCTGCTTTACGAGCTTCACTTCGGCTATGCCATTTCTTTGGATCTTCGCCTATCAAAGAGGCAAATTCCAAAATATCTCGTTCGTATTTGTATAGAAGGGCATTCAGGTCGATTGTGGCGAGATCGGCTACAACATTTTCGAACCGCGAACTCGTATCGTGGCCCGACTCTCGCATCGCTCGGTCATGTAGCAAAAACTCGTCCAGTTGCGGCTCTGAGATGGCCTTGGTGTTGTACAACTCAATAAACTCCTCAATTGACTTGTTGTACTTTTTGGCAAAGCCCTCAAGTGCCCAATTAAAGTGTCCAGGTTCGGTTTCTGGCGGAATCCCGTGGCCGTCCGGACGGTACCTCGACAGCCCAGTTTTGTCAAGTCTTGGTGGTGAATTCCACACAGACTCATACTCTTCCACGGCTGCCTTCAATACGATTATCAAAAAACCCTTGTCTTGCGTTTTATCGTACACTTTTCTCGCCAAGTCAGTCAAAAATGGAGGCTGAGATCGATTGAGGTAGTAGCTGCGGTTGGCGTTCAAGATTTTGCCATAGTGCTCAATCTCGTACACGAAATGGGTTACAATGGCCCTTGCTTCGTCCACAAATCCATCAGCAAGCAGACCAAGGCCAATAAAATAGCTGTCCCATCCATAAAACTCATTAAACCGACCCCCCGGCACAATATACGGCAACGGCTTGCCATTTTCGGTGGCCAGCGCGAGTAAGCCTGGTTTTTTGTTTAGACTGAAGACGAAATCGGGTGTTAGTTGATCTAATTTAGGCAAAACTTCGACGTTTACAACATTGTCAAGCTCTTGCGCCTGGCTATCACCGGTTGGAACATAAAGGCGAGACGCTCCCGGCATTTTGGGGTCTTCGATCACGTCCCTGATAGTATCCGGCTCAATTGAACGTACCAGCCCACGCCAAAAGCCCTTTACTTTTCGCCTAAGCTCTTTGACATCCCCGCAAGTCTCACCGGACATCACGTGACTCGCTTATTTATACAATAAAGTGTTTCAACGTGACAAGTGGGAACTTGGCGTCTTTTCCATCCGATGGCTTCTCAGACACACAAAATAGAGTCTGAGAGCCCCACGGGGGCTGATCCCGAAGTTATCAGAGAGGAGGATGCTACTGTTGAGGCAGGCAATTCGCAGGAAGAGCCCCACGCTGCTCCTCCCGAGTCTCCTGCGCTATCCCTTTCTGAGTCCTCAGCAGTGCCAACCCCTACTGCGTCTGCTACTGCATCGCCGCAGCTTCCTAGTAGTCCGACATGCAGCGAAGAGCCTGTCGTGAGGCGAAAATCGCGTAGTGGGCGCCCCATTTCCGCCAATCCTGGTGTCATGTCTCCTGTGCTGCGTCAAACCAGTAACCCGTCTTCGTCAGGTCTCGAGCGCCGCCAGTCTAGACGTTACTCACGTATTTTGCCCATTGATACGAGCGAGGCTCCGGCCACGCCAGCATTGCCATCACCAACCAAAGAATCACCACCTGAGGACAACTCTGTCAGGTCGGAGTCTCGGTCCAATTCGATTTTTGGCAGTTTGTTACGACCAGAAAAAGCACCGAATTCCTCACCAATTAAACGATTCCAGTGGTTTAAACACAACAATTTGTCTGGGAGTGTAGTCTCGCCCATGCAAAGTACGGATTCGTTGGTTCCTGGACCCCGCAGTGACTTTGTTCTTCGACGCATCAATGCCACTAATGAACAACGTCAAGGTGAGGAAGCCAAAGAAGACTTTAGATCAGGAATTCGGGAGTTGCAACAGAATTTCGCCGAGATGACCCGCGAGTCTGACCGCTACGCTGGTATCGACTGGGAGTTCTGGTCTCAAGTCGTTCAGGATTTCGAGTTGGTAGCCCGTACACAAAGTCTGCATCTTCGCAAAGCTATCCAAGGTGGTTTCCCGCCAGAGCTTCGAGGGATCTTGTGGCAATTAATTGCGTCGTCGAAATCAGCTGCCCTCGAGCATTTGTATTCGTCTTTGGCGGCAGAGACGTCGCCTCACGAAGGTGCGATCGAAAAAGATCTGGACCGTACGTCAATGGCCAAGCAAGTAGACCGAGCGTCGCTCATGCGATTGCTTAAGGCGTATTCCCTATTTGATCCCGAGGTTGGTTACACCCAGGGTATGGCGTTTCTCGCAGTACCGCTACTATTCGACCTGAGTGAATACGACGCGTTCTGCTTGTTTGTTCAATTGATGAAAGGCTACGATTTCCGCAGCTTGTTTTTGCCTGAAATGCCAGGATTGCATCTCAAATTATATCAGTTTGAGCGTCTCATTGAGGACCGTTTGGAGACTGTCCACACGCATCTGAAACGCCAGGGTGTTTTGCCATCAATGTATGCATCTCAATGGTTCTTGACGCTATTTGCCTACAAGTTTCCATTGAGCTTGGTCGAGCGCATTTTTGATATCGTGGTTGCCGAGGGCTATGAGGCAGTGTTACGGTTTGGTTTTGCACTGATTGTTAAAAGTGCTGATCGGATTCTCCAGTTGGATTTCGACGATTTGTTGCCGTTTTTGAAGGACATTATTTTTGATTGTTATGTTGAGACTCCCAACGATCTAGTCAAGGACGCGTCGCTGGTGGAGCTCACGCCCTCAGTGCTTGCGAAATACGAGCTGGAGCATCAAGAGCTCAACCGGTTTGAGCGTGAACGCAATGAACAAATTGATTCTTTAAGATCGTCAAACTCGAGACTGACGCTACAGGTCCGACAATTAGAGACATCGTTGGCCGAACTCAACCTGGAGCATGTCGAGATCGCAAACAAAATGGTCGAATCTGGACTTGAAAATGCTCGATTGACTTTTGAAAACGAGGAGCTGCAACGCGAAGTTGACTTTTTACGGCAGGCCGTAGTAGATGAATCCGACAAAGTAGATCTCCTCAAGAAAGTGGAAGAGTTGTCAGAGATTCGCCGTCGTTTAGAAAGTCAAATCGGGGGCCTACAGGATGCATTGTCTGAATTGGCCACGGCTTCGCCTCGTCTTAAATAGGACAACGCCTTTTCTTTGTTATCCTATCTAATTTAAAATATCCATGGAGTAATATAGTATCATCGTGGGATGAAAAATTGTTTGTCATCATGATCAAACGGTTTTTCTCGGTGAGCAGCTCCCCTGCTCGCGAGTTCGCCCACATCATGCGTCGGCGAGTGAAGGCTCCTCGCGAGGTTAATGTTGGAGACCCGCACAGCAAGATTTACCGTAACTCGCCTGAAGTGCCTCCTTACCCGTACGGAAAGGCCACTTTTTATAAACAATCGAACCGGGGTCTGTATGGCGGCAAAGTTCTACAGTTTGGCCACCAAATCAGTGACTACGGTAACAAACACGTTCGTGTTTTCCGTTTGAACGTGCAAAAAGTCAGCCTTTGGAGCGAGATACTGCAGAGAAATGTTCCTATCCGAGTAGTCACATCAGTGCTCAAAACCATTACCCGCGAGGGCGGTCTTGACAATTATTTACTCAAAGACAAAGCCGCTCGTATCAAGGAACTGGGGCCTGCTGGCTGGGCTTTGCGATATGAAGTTCTTAAAAAGCTAGAGCAAGTTGAGCGTACTGCACCCAAGCCTATTGGTGAGATTGACGGCAAGCCGCTCTACGCCAAGGTCCAGCGCAACGGTGTCGAATACGGTGTTGTTGTCGGCAAGACCCGTCTTTTGAAGGAGCTCCATACGGCCGAAAACTATCCCTCCACTCTCAAAGCGTTCATGAACGATCACCAGAATGCGTCCATTGATGACATTTTGACAAAGTTGGCAAACCATACGGATATTAATCCTTATATTGTTGCACTTTAATGTATATACAGAAGTTTATTTCCCCCCCGAAAATTCAGGCCCTTTTTTTTTGGCGTTTCAACAAGTGCTGAATCGCGAAAGCGAGCGAGCCGTGCTCGTTCAGGGTAAGGGCCAATGCTCCGGCTCTCTACTGTGTGGTATTAGGGCTTAGGGCCTCAGTCCCAACTCACCTCCCTATTACACTCAGCATCGCCAAGTCCTGATTCATATCACACATGGCTGCCAAATCCGGAATTGCTGTTGGCCAGAACAAGGGCCACAAGGTTACTCCCCGTGAGACTGCCGTTAAGATCTCTTACCGCAAGGGCGCCCAGTCCCAGCGTGCCAAGTTCGTCCGCGCTTTGGTCCAAGAGGTTACTGGTCAGGCTCCCTATGAGCGTCGTATCTGCGAGTTGATCCGTAACTCCCAGGAGAAGCGTGCCAAGAAGCTCGCCAAGAAGAAGCTCGGTACCCACAAGCGTGCCATGGCCAAGTTCGAGGCCATGAGCAACTACATTGCTGAGTCTCGCCGTGCCCACTAATGTTTAAGTCTCATCATAATTTAAGGCCATAAGCATTGCTTTTGTAGCGTAAAAAAATATAAAACCTTCATCTTATTGCCCCGACTAGTTGGTCTCGCTCAACAATACCTGTTTACCCTGCTGTTTATTTCGTTTTTTTTCCCCACAGCTCGGTATTTTTTGTCATCCCATCTATGTCCGACGATCTGGTAGCTCTGGCTATCCATTCGCCGTTCCGCAAAGATCCGTTCAATGTAAATATCCCTCCAACTGAGTTGGTTTCAACGATCAAGCAGCACCTGGTTTCTTTGAGCCAGCTCCATCAGCCGCTTAGTGCTTTCGTTTTGCAGTTCAACAACGAGCCGGTCAGCCCGCTGGTTTCCGTCCAGGATGCTGGTCTTAAATCAGGCGATGCATTGTACATGGTGCCTAGCAAATACACTTTTGCCGAGGCCGTGCAGCATATCCGCCAAACCCGTGAGATCCTGGGTCTCAAATCCACCGTGCCGGTTCTCCCCGCGGTGAATCAGGGTGCCGTGGCTATCACTTCGTTCAAGGCTGACGCCAAGAAAAAGAATGGTAAAAAGGCTAAGAAAAGTGCTGGCTCGGACACTGATCCCACTATTCCCGAGTCTCATGCCATCTTCTCCGGTGCGAACCCCGAGAACCCCCGTTTGAGCTCTGCGGTCGCTGAACCCAACCAGGTAGCTCCTGGCCCGGTCGCTCGCAGCCTCCAGCTGTCAAACTGGAATCCTGTCACTCCCATGCGCAAACTTCAGGGCCATTTGATGTACCTCAAGTTCGTTGCTAGCGATTTCAAAACTTTCCATATCACCTCGACAGTTGACGGTTTCTACGTTAGCAATTCCACGGATCAGAAGTTCGGTCCTTCACCTAAAAAGAATGATGGCGTCGAGCACGTCTCATTGTTGCGTTTGATTGGTCTTGTTTCTCCTTCGACTCTGAACGCTGTCGAGCGGACTGCCAACCAGCTCGCCAAGCAGCCTCCTTTGGCTTGGATTCCAGCAAAGAACACTATGTTGAGTGTTCCTTGGGTATGTGGTAAGGTTGAAGAGCCTACGGGTGATTTAGCCCTCACTCAGATTGTTCTGAATGTGGACTTGTCTGCCGAAACCAAGGACTGGAATGATGAGCTGCAAATGTCATTGGAAATGCCCATTATTGACGAGGAGGGTAATTACTCGGTTCGTGACCGTATTCTTCGCGAACAGCTTGTTATCTCTACTGTTCATGGTTTCAACAAGGCTGCCGTACAGGGTGTCATGGACATCGTCGAGGGTAACATGCTGGCTATGAATCCTGACGAGCAGGAGGGCTCTAGAATTTACTTGCGTAACGGTATCTTTTACTACTTGGCAACCGACGCTTCTGGTGCTTTTGCTGAGCTGGGAGGTAATGCCGCTGCCCGAGTCACTGCTGGTAAGGATTTGAAAAACATCGAATCCATCTTGGCCCTGGGCATCGAGGGTATCTGCCCCGTTCTCACCTCTGTTGTTGATTACTGCGGCCGTCGCGTTGTTGCCCAGGCACCTGTTCCTGGTGTGTTCCGTGAAATCGACGAGGAACAGATCCAGTATGGAATCAATGAAGGTCGCGAGAAGGTCTTTGCTAAAGAGGACTTAGAGGCGTGCCTTTCTAAAGTCGCAGACTTTTTCCACCTAAAGAAACACACTGTGTACGCCAAAACCAACAAGGCTGACCTCGTCACATCCATGGATACCAAGGTTATGAGGGGCACTGATGGACGCGAGTATCTTCTTGACCTTTATCGTCTCACCCCCCCTGACCTCTCTTTCCTTGACGCTAATCCTGATTATATTCATAAGATGGCTCTTTTGCGTCCCGAGGCGGTCAAAGAGTGGTTCAGTGAAAAGGCTCGTCCTGCAGTTACCGAAGCTGGTGAAGAAGGTCTTACCCAGGACCAAATTTCTGACATTATTGCCAAGTACAGATTGAATCCGGACGTTTTCATTGATGAAGCTGATATCCCCAAAGAAGACCTCGAGCAGTTCCGCGCCGACAAGGAGGCTGTTCTTGAGGCATCTGCTTTGATCACCACAAAACACATTCCTAACTATATTGAAGCTCTTGTTGAAGGTAAGGCTACATATCCTATGGACGGTGCTCAATTGACCGCTGGCATGCACGCTCGCGGTATCAATATGCGTTATTTGGGCGCGCTTCATGCAGCAACTGGAGAGAACCCCCTCTTTGATAATTTGCGTTCTCTTATCCAGCAGGAGACTGTTGTTCGTGCCACCAAGCACTATGTGAACCGTGTTGTTTCCGCTCTTTCTCCTTTGGACGCTCATGCTAAGATCGCAGACATTGTCAACCAAATGCGCAGTGGTCAGCCGCCCGCCGAGCTTGTGGAAGAAGTGCAGCGCCGCTTCCGCTTCAAGTTGCCAAACGACTGGGCGACTCAGCTTAGCCGCCGTTCGTTCCTGCGCGAACTCTCACTTCAGCTTGGCCTACAGTGGTCTTCTAGCGTTTTGGAATCTAAAACTGTTCAAGCATCCCAGCTACTTGCTGTTGTCCCCAAACTCCGCTCCGTCCAGCACGGTTCTTCTGTTGCTGATGAAGCTCTAGACACTGGACGTCAGTCTGTGGCTCAGGGTGATATCGAACCTGGTCTCGAAGTAATTTCTGAGGCAGTTTCCTTGTTTGATCAGATTTATGGTGCGGTTCACCCCGCAGTTGCTCGCGCTTACAGTGCCGCATCTTTGGCCTTCAATGAACAAAAAGACTTTGATCGTGCTGCCGAGTATGCCCGTTCTGCAATTGCTGTTAATGAACGTACACAGGGCCTCGATGCTTGCGATACTTTGGTCATGTACAATAACCTCGCGTTCTTTGAGCGGGGGCGTGGAAATCTCTCCCTTGCTCTCGACTGCACCAAACATTTCCTCGATCTTTGGGAACAGGTTGGATTTGAGGGCCACCCTGACACTGCTACTTCGCTTGTAAATGTTGGTGCAATGCTTCAGGAGGCCAAGCTTTATGAGCAGAGCTTAGAGTGGTTCAACAAGGCAATCGCTCTTTTGGAGCATGCCTACGGTGACAACAGTATCCACCTTGCTACACCGAAGTTCCAGATCGCTCAGTCTCTCCTTGTCACTGGCAAATACAAGGACTCGGCTCGTGCCATGGAACAAGCTCATGACCTGTTCAAAGCCAAGTTTGGTGCGGAGAATACTAACACTATCGAGTGCAAGAAGTGGCTTGACTATTTGCTCTCCACTGCCGTGAAGGACCAGAAGGCCGCCAAGATGCGGGTCGCAGCTGCAGCTCAAGCCAAACTCTCTTCACAGTCCTTAAGGACTAATGGTACTCCTGTCATCGGCAAACAATCTGCCAGCGAAGTCCTCGCTCACATCAACAGCAGTGAAAAGAGGAAGTCAAAGAAAAAGAAGTCAAAGAAGCATTAGGGCTTGTTCAACTTATTGTACATAAATAAAAAGCTCTTTTCTACAAAAACGCTGCCCAGCCGCAGTACATCAATGATAGGTTTTCCGGTGATACTGCTTGTTGTATAAGGCTATCAACATGACCAGCAACAGACAGACCAGGTGAATCATTCGATCGAATACCCCGTAGTTTATCGCGAACGGTAGCAAGAGTATTCTTGGGACCACCCTCCTCATCTCGCATAACAACAGGGTCGTATAAGAATGTTTGAAGCACCGTCATTACCAACTCTTCATGGGAACGAAGAATTCCAAGCGTGACTTCTGACGTCCTACGGAAAGGACCCTCATAGCCATACACACCAAAAGCGTCAACCATGTTGCGTGTCAAACGAAAAGGCACACGCTCAGGTACCGTGAGAGACAGGGCCTTGTCGAACAAGCACTCAAAATCGACGTGCATCTGTCCACCTGTACTTTGCAAAATAAGCAAGTTCTCGTTGTGTCTATCACCAAGTCCAAGAATATAGCCTACCATACTCATGACAGCCGAACTCCGTGAATACAATGTACGAGCTTTGATCCACGATTCGGGGTCCGAGAATGTATACAGAAACCATTCATATAAAACAGGAGGGTATTTTTGTTGTAGACTCAAAAAGTTGTTAAGCCTCGCCTCTGGACTGAGATTATGCGACAACAGCGACCCAACTTGTTTCATGTCGAGCTTGATGCCTCTTGCCCTCAGATTACCTTCGATGATAGTTCTCTGAGGGACAGCACCCGTAACCCATTCAATGATGCCAGAATCCGCGGATAAGGGGATGACACGATAGGGCTCAATACGCAAATGGCGTTCCGCAGCCTCGCGGTCACTATCAAGCAAGCGATTAACAGTAACAGACAGTTCAATCAAACGAGCGTCTTTACGAACATCATCCCGACCTTTACAAAGAAGATGATATCGCTGTCCGTCGCTTCCCCAAACCGTGATACGCTTGGGCTGCTGAAGAGATGGTTGAACTGCAACTTCGTTCTCGACCTTGTACATAACTACCGTGCCAGAAAATCGCAGAAGTTTTAGATGTGCATTACCGCGGATTTTCGCAATACGTTGTGTGTACAAAGCATCACACGACAATATTCTGTGGACAGGCACGACAAGAGGGCTAGGAAGCCAACTCGTATCAAACTCGATTTGTGAGAGCTGAAGGACTGGAGGCAACCTTTGCTTTCCGTTGCCTTTTTGATATAGTGCCAAGTCTTTCAGTTTAGAAATCGTCATTAGAGCTTGTGGGATAATTTGACGCGTTCGGCCTGTTTCACTGATTAGAGTCTTGACAATATCATCGCCGCGTTGTTTTCGATTCGTAGATGTGGATTGCGTAGCTTCTGCAATCATCCAAAGTGCATGTTCTGGGAATGCTTGGATCACCTGGACGATAAGAAGTTTCATTATTTTGAATGTGGCGCTCTCGGCTGTAGTGATTCGACTCATTAACTGGGGTACACCATGATAAAGTATGTGGGGATCAATTTCTAGCGCGCGCTTTGAGATGTAACTGCTGATAGATTTGAAGTTTCGTTGACGTTCCAGATTGTACTCTTTCAGCACTCGGCTATCAAATGCAGTAGTTGAAAGCGGAATATTATCAGCAAAATCGAGCCATAACGTCAAGAGTTTGGGCAAAATCTCACTAAAGTACTTTGAACCCGCGATGAGTGTCTTTGAACAAAGTTGCACCATTTGTCTGGTCCAGTTTCCTGTCCAAAAATCTTTCGACCGTACTGACTCCGGAAGTTCGAATTGAGATTGATAGATTCGATCGTAGTACTTATAAAAGCGGTAAATAGCCTTTTCCCAGCCAGGGTTTTCTTTCAAGATAGCCACATATTTGGTGTATAGCGATTTTGCCACGACCTGACCACTTTGGTCTAACCAAGTTGTATAAAGCAAAGCCAATTTAAGGTCTTCAGTTTTACGCATTGGTGAGAAAGAAGGCTGTTTCCGCAAAAAGCTCACGTCGATCCGCGTCTCTAGAAGTGAAATGGCACGCTGTCGTTCGCCTTGTTGCCACAACAGTTTAGCCATCTCTTTTGTCCAAGCTTTAGGCACCTCGGCGATATTGTGTTGGGCCTGCCAAATGCTCGTCAATGCCATATTAACTTGGTCACGCTTTCGGTAGTCCTTGGCAATCTCTAAATCAATACGATTGATCTGAGATCTTGGGAACCCCGCAAATAAATATGCCGCCCTCCGAATCGATAGAACGTACTTGCGTGCATCCATATCGTCGCCCAAAGGTAGCAGTCGCTGATCGTTAAACTCATTGACTTCACGAATTGAGGGCATGGTATCATTTCGCATCCAAGCTGCAACTTGTGAGATATCAGCAGCAGCATGAAGATACAAAGAAGTCGAGCGAATTTTAGCCAACGATGTGATTTCTGTTCCATTCAAACGGGCACCCGCTGCCTTGATTCCAGCCTCGAGGTATCTCATACAAAGATCAAATTCTTTGTTGGACAACGCGATCAAACATTTTCCAAAGTATGCCTCAAGAATGTCGGAGTCGCCAGCGCATTCATTCACATACTTTGATAAACTGCGAACCTCCATAATTCGGAGTGAGGCAGCAACACCTAAAGCCGCAAGATCTGGTGTGTACCTATCCTGATCATCAAGCAATGCTATAATTTCTCTGTCTTTTCCAACATTATGCAAACATCTCAATCGAGGGAGTTCATTGCTCGGCTGAGGCATTGCATCATAACAAGCAAGGGCTGCGGACCAGTCCCCTTTACTTTCGTAAAGCTCGATTTGCTCATCGAAAGAAATTTCTGATTTGAGAGCTGCCATTCCCTCCAAAGCATCCGAATCGCCCAGGTTTTTGTATATGGTTCGCATCTTTTCGTAATAGTCAGATTGCTTGTCTTCTCCATTCTGTCTGGTTAGCTGGTCGAGATAACGGAGCTCTCTTGGATATGATTTGCACTCATTAGCACGACTAGCGAGCTGTTCTAATGAAATCTGATTTTCAAGCTGGCTGAGTGTGCTAATCGCTCGTTGGTCAGAGGCCGAAAGATTACTCTGTTGGCGTTTTGCTTGTTTCCATCTGGCAAAATAATCCAACACAGCGAAAATACGTTCGTGGAACTGTGAGACGTTATCAAGCTCAGTGCTAGGTTTCCACATCACTTGCTTTATTTCCAGCATGAACAGCTCGAGATTCTCCTGGCTGTACATGATGGCATGTAACGCCACATATGGGAGCAAAAACTCGAATACTGTTGGATTTGTATTCACCTGCTCAACAAAAATACGGCGATAAAGCCCGAAAAGCTCGTCAACATTCACACCATGGGTGCGGCACATCAAATCGTAGCACAGTTTGCCGACCCAGTTTTGATACTCGATCCTTTCGTTGAACACTGGATATGTAACTCGAGATAACTTCACTGGAGGTGATGAGTAGCGCGTATACAGGAACGGGGTTAGCTGTTCGTAGAGGCCCGGTCCAAAAAGTTTGTCCCATGTGGCTTTAAATGCTGGCGTATCGATGTCTTCGGCTACCAGTTCGCAAAACTTCAAAGTATCTTGAATACCATAAAGCAAAAAATTTTGCTCTATTGGGTTCATAGAAGCTTCTGCCATCTTGAACAAGTAGTTTGCTGCAAAGTAAGCTGCAAACTCTCGACACTCTTGAGATTCATCGAAGTTTGAGACGACAACAGGGACTCTGTCAATTCGTTGGATATCAACCATATTCGGGTCGAGCGCCCCTAAAAAGCACAACGCTTGGATGCAAGGTGTCGATATATTCATTTGGGGATCTGGAAAACGACGCGAAAGATCGAATAAAGCTCTAATCGCAGTTTGAATCCGCTCAATACCCTGGGGATAGTGTAGGCTCATATGCAACTGATTTTGATTTTGGTGAACAAATTCAGCAATCTCTTGAACAGCCTGGCGAACAACGTAAACATTTTCCTTCTCAGTTCGAGCAACTAGCTCTTTTAGTATTGTAGTTTCGTGCTTATTGTCATCAAACAGCCGTCTGGGGCTCAAGCTGGGCACAAGTGGTACTCCATGCTCTCTGCCATACTCTTGTGTGTGCGGATTATTTTGTATCATGACCAAAATGTCCTGTGCTTCTTTACGGGCATCTTGATCGAAAGACCCCCACATTTGAGAGATCACAGAGTAGACCAGATCGATCACTCTTGTGCAATCCTCCATACAACCGATCATGGTGTGCCATACTGAGAGCGCAAGCTGTTGGGACTGGCTTGTGACTTCAAGTGCAGAGAGTACCAGTGTGTTGATGGGAATGATCATGGAAAGAAACTTGCCACCAGAGTGCCTAATGAGAAAATCCAAACCCCGCAAACACTCTTGTCGGTTTTTTAAAGATGTCGGTCCATACATATTATGCATCGTGCCGCTGAATCGGTGTATCACTTTGTTTATGATAGCTGATGTCAACGGGTCATTACTTTCTCTTCCTGTTAACATGCTGAGAACGCGAAGAAGTCGCTCCTCCTTCACATTAGCTTTAGGATCATTTTTTTCTGGTGCCTTCATCAGCAAAAGCAAGAACATCTCTGCATGAGACTGCTGTAGCATATTGCGGACGACCTCAGAGGTGAACCCTTGGCCAAGCTCATGCCATCGTCGCTCGGTGAACTGGTCAGGGTCCTCAGTGGTATCCGTCGTAAGAAATGTTGCTGTGATTGGTATCTGGTGTTCCCAAAGCAATGTGGACAGCGATTGAGATTTTGCTGAAGCAATCAGTTTTAGTGTGCTGATCCGCTTTCGAAAAGTTAGGTATGGAACCGTGTACTGTGATGTGCGCCCAAGAAAGTCATCCAAGGTGACGCCCAATAGTTCACAAAATTTCCAAACCATCGAGTCTTCATGGGTACCTAGTTTTCTCACGATCCAAACTGCGATTGTATCCCAAAATGGCATACAGAGTTTCCACGGCGTCTCACGACGTCGGCGTGCTACCTGTTTGAAGGTGTGGAAGGCAAGACCACCAACAAGGGGTTTTTGCGAGCCCAGCATACTGAGCATACGTACCAGAAGTACATTTAGATGCTCCGAGTCGGTTCCATAAACTGCAGCCTCTGCCCAAACGAGCAAACAAGTTTCTGGTTGTTCATCAGGGGCCCAGCCACTGAGGAATCTGAACTGGGAAAATCTTGCTTCCTGAGGCAGCTTGGCGGTAACAAAAGACCCTACACACTTGGTAGCTTGAAGACGTAATTGGCGATTTGAGCTTCGGAGACATCCAATGAGCCAGGATCCGATCACATTGTCATGTTGCAGAGTGAAGGTTGGTTGCCAGAATGAAAGAGCCCTTGTCAACGCCGAACAAGCCGTCATTCTCAAATCCGAGTCAACAAGAAGACCTTGAGTCGTAAGGACTACTTCGAAGATCTTGGTCCAATCATCTGGGAATTCAGGATGCGACGATGAGGGAGTGCTTGATGTTTTGAAAAGAGCATTGATGCGTTTGAGAATCGAATACATTTCCTCATGGCTAAATTTCTCGAACTTTTCGACAATATTCTCCTTCATCATTTGTGTCTCCAGGAACTCGGGAAACAATTTGCTGCTCTGGATACTACCCTCGAAGGGTGCAGATGCAATCGCGATGGAGATCTCGGTCTGCAGATCGTCCAGCAGGGGAGGAAGTTGACATCGAGGAAAGTTCCCTGTTTCAAGAAACTCCGATAATGAATCATATACTGCGGCAGAAAAGATACATCGTCCAAAATCGGGAGCACGCTTATTTAGTAAACCACCGGACTCTAGACGTATTTTTCGATCCACCAAAACCTGGAGTAGTTCTAGTAATAATCTTGCGACCTCCATATCGTCCATATTTTCATACGACCATTTGTGCAACGATTCGAAGCATACTTGAGACCATTCAGGGCCCACTGTCAGACCAGCCCTTGCTGTGGCGGGGGAAAATATTGGGTGTTCGCGGGCGATTCCACAAACTTTGCAAATCTCGAATTTGTTTAAAGGTAAAAGCAACAGAGTTCGTAAACAGACTTCGCTTTTTTTGGAGGCGGCCGCGAAAAGACGCGCTTTAAAGCCACCGAGTAGCGGATACAGTGCCGTGTTCTGAAGGTAGCCATTGGCTAAAACCTTGAATGCCTCAATAGACGATGATTGAGGGAGAATAAATAAGGTAGCCTCGATTTGTTCAAGCAAAGGAACGTTTTCAGTGCTATGAAGAAAGCCAGACGGATTGCGAGTTAATATTTGGCTCAAAATCGCCGTAGAGGCAGTAGCGTCGATTCCGTACTGAGCAATTAGTGCTTTAAGAATCAGAACTGCGTCGGTGTCGTCCAAAACAGCCACATTGGCGATTTCTGATTCGAGTTCAGCCAGCCGGCTGGCACTTGAGAAATAATCACTAGGATTCGCCAGCATGTTCAAACTAGAGCGAGAATCTGGCCCAGGTCTTAAGTCCCCTTGTTTTATGTTTTTTGTGGCAAAAACAACCCCTAGTGTGTCGATTCTCACAGCTAAATTGAAGTCAGCTCGAGATAGTAAGCTTTGTCAACTTTCGATGTCGGTTGCACAATTAAATGGAGCTAAAGCGGTGGTTCGAGAAAACCCGGCATTGTATCCCGAGATTGTGAAAGGGATTCTTAATATTGCCGATCGGCCAGAGACCGACTTGAGGAGGTGGTGTGCTGCTTTTCTTGTCGATGCGTTTGCCAGTCCAGACCTAAGTGAGGAAGTCAAGCAGACACTAGCAACCGAATCGTTGGCTGCTTTGTTGACCTTGATTGGGGACAGAGACTTTGTGGTTTTACGCCACGCGATCACCTGCACCGGCATAGTGTATCCTTTGCTATTTTCTTATGTTTGCACGAGGCCTATGGAGGGCAAGCTTTGGGACGATTTGCGACGACTAAAGGGTAGTGCTCTCGCTCATTGGAGCGCAGAACAACGTCACTTGGGTATTTCTGCGGCCTGCATCAAACTGGCGCAAGTTATTGTTCAAGTTCAGTCAAAACAGCCCTCTCATCGCGGTGACGTTTCGTTGGCTAATGTCCCATCTGGTCATCCTTTGATCGAGCCTGTAGAACTTCTTGCTGAGGCTTCGGGGCTGCTTGATCGCCTGTTATCGTATTTTACTGAACCGGATCTTGATGTTGTCTACTTTCAAGCTTCTTTCAATGCTGTTTTGTCCCTGGTCCAGTCGCGCCCGAGTTTGGGCCCAAAGATTGTTTCTGCCGTTTTGGCGTTTGATCCTAATCGCAAACGACACTCTTGCTCGATTGAAGCTGTAGATATCGCGTTGAAATATGTCGACAAGTCTCTACAGCTCGAGTTAGGCGCTCTGGCCCATCACAATATGGTTCCTCAGTATACCTCCGGTATTCAGCGTTTTCTTGCAAAAATCAGCGAGGGAAGAGCGAATGCCAGTCTTCGGAAGCGTGCTGCTGAAGTCGAAGATAGTCCTATGGCCAAACGTGTCCGGCTAGCCGACGCAGATATGCCGCTCATAACAACTACCAGGCTGCCTGGTGGCGAGGTGCCGCTGAGCGACTTGTACAGTCTTGTTGATGCAGACAATGCGTTGGCAAAGTTCAATGCTCGCGACTTACAGCTAAATGTTGCAATTGAGATAGCAATGTCGTCTCTTAGTCAAGCAAATCAAACATTACTAGATAACTGTTTGTCTATCGTTTCAAAACGTTATGATTCAGTTCCGGAGTCTGGTAGAGTTGTAAAACGTCCAAGCGATGACACGCCCCCACCTGCTCAAGAAGCTCTAGCGCCGGCTGCTCCTGAGGAGTTTGATATTTCGAATCCTCCAAAATTCAATCCTGAGCAAATCGCAACCCGAACAGTTGAATTGGTGAGCCGCTTAGAGGCTGCTGCAAAAGACGCGCCAGCTGAAGAAAAGCTCGAAGGTGTGGATGCCCTCCGGCGATCTGTGTTGGAAAAATGGACTGCAAACGCTTGGATCTTTGTGGCATCGCGGGCGGTGTCGCGAGGTGTCCCCGCGGACAGCGTGGTGGCCACAGCTATACGTGACCATCTGTACAATTATGTTATTACGGATTTCCGAGCTCGGCTCGAAGTTATGGTTTGGTGGTTGAGTGAAGAGTGGTATGCTGAATATGTTCTTGCTGAAAACGCACCTGAAGATTCGGCCAAAAGTATTTATTACCAACAAGTGGGTCGGATTGTTGACCAGGTACTTCCTCGACTGGAAATGTCCGACTCAAGAACACTAATTCGTTTCTTCAGCGAACTGCCCGATCTCAATCGTGACATCATTTTCAAGTTACGTGGTATCTGCCAAGATCCCGAGCGATCTGGTCTTGGTTTCCGCACGCTTAAATTCTTGATCCTGTTCAAGCCCCCCACCAAAGAGGCTTGCTTGGATCTTCTCACGGAGTTGTATAAAGAGGGTGCCGATGGAGCCGAGGCTATTCTGAAGAAGCATCGCCCGGAAGCTGTTTCGGAACCTCAGGCCTAAGATGGGGCATATAAGTATTGATCCATTTCTGAGAATCGCTGTTCAATGGACCGAACAGCGATTTTGTATCTAGAGGACTCCACCGGTTGCAAAACACTGCTTCTGTAGATTTATCTAATCGCAACCAGTATGTCCACCAGTTGTGAGCTGTGCGCGCGATCTGTTCGGTTGCAAATGGTCGTGAGGCCACTTCACGTAACAGTGACGCGACCATTTCTTGCAATGCGTGATCGTGGGTTGCAAGAGTTGAATGAACCGCCTTTCGTGAGTGATCGACCACAAGATAGTCAAACGACGCTGGAGGAGCAGCTGCAAAATTGAAGGCTTCCAATTGCTCAGCAAGAACTTCCAGCGATCTCTGAACAATTGGTGCTGGCTTTGCTTCTTTATCAAATATCAACGTGTAGGTATACATTTTCCGACGGAAAATCATGAGACTTGCTAGCTTGCCGGATACGTACACCTTACTGGCGGGCACAAACCCTGTTTCGGGATAGTCATCTACCGCCTCCGGAGTAGGCGATGAAAACCTTGGTAACGAGAATGCAGGAAGCGACGTCAATGAGGTTAGTGAAGGTAACGAAATTGAAGGCATGGACAGCGTTGGTACTGACAAAGTAAACCAAGATGATGACTCTTGGGGCTCTTCAGCAGGCACTTGCGGGGCTTCTTTTACGCAGAAATCCTTTCGTAAATGATAAACATAGCCTGAAGACTCGCTATATGCACTGTCAACCGCAATAGCACACTCGGCTAGCCACAGCTGCAAAGCCAGTTTGAAGTCATACGGCAAACTGTCGCTACCTGGCCAGATATATGCGGCATCGCTGAATGTGGTAACCAGTAGATCACTTGCACCAGTTTCCTCAAGTACCTCATTTATGCCTACAACTGCGCTGGGGCTCAGCAGGCCAGGTTTGATCCGTAAATATTCGTACATTCCGGCTGCTCCTGACTCGTTTACTCCGTTCCAATTTTCGCAAAATGCAAACCACCATTTCGAGAGTTTTTCGCGATCAGCGCTAGCCAATGGCCCGTTATGGAGAGACCATCTGCGGTAGGCCTCATTCACTATTTGGGCAAAAGAGTCCGGTTGGGTGACTATTTCAGTATCAATCTTCAGTATACATGTGAACCAGTATCCATGGCGCCAGTTTTCCGGGTTTGTTGGCTCCAGTTGTCGTACAATCACCAGGTGTGTGGCGGTCTTGAGCCAGGACACGGGGTTCCCGTCAAACGTGTTTGCCAACTCAACAACGCCCTGAGCCACACCTAATTGTGTTAGCTCGCTACCATTTGACTGGCCGTAGGAAAAGATTACCTGCTCCTCTATGTCTTCTTCCGTACCAAAAGCAGGATTATAGATGAGGGCACTGTCCATGATGACCTAACGACCATGGACGGTTTCCGGATATTTTATATTACATTGGTTAAAGTTTTATAAAATTTAGTATTTTGTACTTTTCACTAGGAATTGTGGTTTTGGTTGAGACAAGTCCAGGTGTTTAATGCCGGAGGGTCATATATGATTCTTATTTACCTGCCATATGCCTTTGCCCTTTTAGTGGCATTGGCGCCAAAATTTAAAATCACTGCGGGTTTGATCTGCTTTGTTCGACACCTTTTCCAGCCGTCTCTGGGCACTGGGGATTCTAAATAACTCAAGGCTTCCGGTAGATGTAGTTTTGCCAATAGAGGTTTCTCGGAAGGTCGACCAGCAAGCGGAAGAGATAATGCGTGCAGATCTTGTAATTTTCCGTATTGCAGTGCTTGATCCAAGGCCCGTAATCCGTCAACTGACAGGGTACAGGAACTCAAATCCAGCATGGCCAGATTGGGTAGCTTGACTATTGCATGTATAGCTGATCGAGTAAGATGGGAAAGCATCACTACCAAAGGAAAGGCGCCCGGGACTTCAATTTTGCCCAAATCACCGAACTCAATTTCACAACTATACACCGGATACTCTTCTAGCATGTCGGGGAAAGCCGTGGCAAAGGTTATCCAGACCGATAGCGAATCTGTCTCCTGCTGCAGGATGCGCAGCCAGACCTGCTTGGTCAGACGTCGTCCCAGAGAGCGAAGCATATCGACGGTCAGAGTGCGCGCACGACTCGCCAAGCAGTCTAAAGCGAGGTCCTTGAGTCTGGAGTACCCATTCCTTGCTCCGGCCACTTTTAGACCCTGCAGCCTGTACCGCTCGGTGTCAGCCGTCCAAATTGCAAAAACTACCGCTTTCACTAGTCAGCGTGGAAAATTACGAATCTGGATTTGATCACCTTATCGTCTCATGACCATTTCGGGGATAGCTGGTTGGCACCACCACACGTGGGCCAAGACGTATAGTAGTCGGCCGGCGTTGTATTTTCAACCCGAAACCATTGAGCAAGTTCAGGAGCTGGTTCGCAGCGCAAAGGAGCAGCATCAGACCGTCACGGTGGTTGGCGCTTGCCACTCGCCCTCGATGATCACAATGACCACTGGCTGGTTGGTTAATCTAGATAAACTGAACCGGATTTTAGATATCAAACCAAACCAAGGGTTTACTGATGTCACAGTAGAGGCCGGGATCAGATTGTACGAGCTGAATGAGATTCTTGCCGACAGGGAGCTCGCGTTACAAAGTCTGGGCTCGATCTCTGAACAAAGCATTGCTGGTGTTATCAGCACAGGAACCCATGGCTCTTCGGCGTACCATGGGCTGATAAGCGAACAGATTGTGAGACTCACCTTGGTCAATTCTGACGGCAATTTGATTTCTTGCTCCGATATGGAAAACCACAGACTGTTTAGAGCTGCCTTGTTATCCCTAGGTAAAATTGGTATTATTGTGAAAGCGGTTGTGCGGGTCGTCCCAGCGTTTAATATCGAAAGCTACCAAGAGGTAGTTTCGTTCGACAAGTTTTTGACCGACGTTTGGCCAACCTTCTTCACTTCGGCAGAGTTCCATCGCGTTTGGTGGTATCCTTACACGGGCAAGTGTATTCTATGGCGAGCAAATCGGACGCAGTTGGAGAAAACGAAACCTCCATACTCTTTTTACGGGACCAAGTTTGGTAGATGGGTCTATCAGGCCCTGCTATGGGTGACCGTGGCGGTGGCTCCTTCCTTGACCCCATGGGTCGAGAGGTGGTTGTTTGCCCACCAGTTTGGACTGGTAAATACGTATGGCAAGAAACCGCTAAAAGCTGTTTACCGCAGTGACCAGGGTATCAACATGGACTGCTTGTTTTCGCAGTTTGTCAACGAATGGGCGTTGCCACTAAATAACGGTGTCCAGGTGCTGCGTGAACTAGAACAAGTGATTGCCAAGCGTAACTTCTATGTCCATGCTCCGTTTGAAATCAGAGTATCTAATACCACTTTGCCCAAGTCGGTCCCAGCTACCAGAAAAGGTGCTACGGTTGCCGGGGTGCCTAATGTCGGTCCGATCCATGGCAATATTTCGCGGCCGTACCTTGACAGTTCCGCGAGACTACCATACTCTCCACCTTCTGAGGTGACTTATGACAATTTGACTTTAAACCTGAACGCTACCCTCTATCGACCTTTCGATTTGGACGTTGAAACCTCAAGGTGGTTTACAGAGTTTGAGCGTATCTGTGCTGCGGCGGGAGGTAAACCACATTGGGCAAAGAACTTTTTGGGGATGCGGGAGACTGAAAACTTCGCAAAAGACCACGATATGCGCGGCATTGCGCCCCAAATCGCCGAGTGGTACGGCCGCGATCTCGAGACCTGGAAAGAGATTCGCCATGAAGTTGATCCCACCAATCTATTCGTAAACAATCCCGAATGGCTGCACATCAACGGCTTGGATTAAATATAATGAAAAAAATTAAGAACCCAGCTACTCTACAGCATATGACCATATTCGAACAGTCCCATCGTCGCTAGCGCTGGCCAGCATATTTGCCGATGGGTCCCATTTAACAGTGTTTACAATCCGTGTGTGTCCCGACAGTTTGGCGATCCGCTTGCAGAGTACTCTGCTGAAGACGTACACGTTCTTGTCTTCAGACCCCGAGCCAATGAGTTTGTCAAACTTGCCACCAAAGGAGGACATGATCTTGAATTGCCGTTGAGTAGGTCCATCTAGCGAGAGGGTTGGGCGCTTGCCATTGAGGTCAAACAATACTAACCTATCGTTTAAATGGTCGTTCGACAAAACATAGGGGCATTGGGACGATGTGGACATTGATGTAAGTTCGATACCTCGTCTCACTCTGATTTCATCAACGTATTCCCACGTGGTACAATTGAACTTGAATATGACTTGATGCTCATGCGGGTTGATTACCCCAAGAGCCAAAATGTAATCGTCGCCGAACCAAGCTAGTGAGAACACGCGTTCTCGAACGAACCGCCAAATGCACACTCCCTTGAGATTCCACATTGCCAATTCACCAACGAGACCGCCACTTAAAACATGCTTGTTATCTTTCAGCCAACAGATGGACCCAATACCGTCTTCATGATGCTGGACATAAAATAGACGCTGCTCTTTCTGCACATCCCATACTGACAGGGTGCTATCAGCCGATCCTGAGGCAATGTAACTGGAGCATCCAGAGAACCCTATACTTTGAACACCCTTTTCATGTGCGGCCACGCGATGGAAATGCTCGAAAGTATCACCGGTCTTTTTATAAATAGAGATTTCACCGGACTCGAGACCTAAGGCAATATAATTGCCACAAGCACTGTACGCCAGATCCCACACTTCCTTGCTCTCTTCCAAAACTTGGGTACATGTTGCACTGAATTCTGGAACTTTTGTACCAGACGATAAGTCTGCAAAGTAATTTTTGCTCATATCGAGAACGACTTTTGGTACCCACGGCAGCATGCCAAAAACTGGTTTTACCCCTAGTGCAATTGATTCCCAGCAATCTTCAGGAGTTTTAGCGGGCCCATGCTGGCAAAGGGCGAAGCCAATTTCCGATCTGAATGAAGAGCCCGCGCTGTGCTGAGCCAGCTTTACCGCAGACTTTGTTTTGCCCTTATCTATTAGATCGCAGACACCTGCCAAAATACATTCTCTGATTGCAGCATGATAAAGTTCTGGAGACGAGAATAACTCCTCATTATGATCGAGGATGTCTAAAGCAGACCGCCAGGATCCGGCTAGCAGTTGAGTGTACAGCTTGACCAAATCAGGCGGAGGAGGGTCCACGTCTGTTTTGATTCTGACTGTCTCAGCAATATCAGGAAATCCTAGGCACCAAATGCACTGAACGAGGAATTGTGGATAAGTATAGCGCCAAAATTGGTAAGGTGGAAGCTTGGTCTCCATTTCGAATTGGATAGCCGCCTGCTGGGCCTCAGCCAACGATAATCTATTAGGATAGAGCTCATCGAGCTTGAGCTGCTGCGGTGTTTTGTACATGCTGCAAATAGCATACACCACTTTTTGGCGATCAGTAGCCGTACGCGGCCTCTTCCCGGAACTGCCACCGCCAACCACTAACGCCGTAGCCATCTGTCGTAGCCAGTCTACGTTTGGAGACAATTGAGTTATTTCTCGTAGCAGGGAGACAGCCTCGACTTCATAAGAGCCATCAGCAACCAACTGATAGAATTGCTCGCTGGCGACATGAGTTTCAGCAAGGTCCTTGTCTGCGACCAAATCCCGAGCTAGCATGCGTGCCTTGGGCCATTCCCCAACCTCCATCAGCTTGGAGAGCTGATTCAGTTTCTCCGTAGCCTCTTGTTGGCCACTTGCTTGCAGCAGCTTTAATTTTATCTCACCGTCGCTGGGCTGAGAAAGCGCATCCAACACAAGTTCCAGGACCTCAGGACAGCCGTATTTTTCGCAGTAATTTATCGGCTGTTGAGGGGAGCGGGGCTTTTTGCTTGGATTGGATGGCCACTCGCTCCCCGAATTGCTCATCTTTCGTTTCGTCTTCAAAACTGAAATTAATGTAGTTTAAAACTCAATTGCACAATCTCGTTTTATACCGGTAGTTAGATCTGGCTTAAGCACTCCAAAAAATCCTCAATGACCCCACTGTTAAGGTGCTGGTCGATCCTCAAAAAGCTGCAACGCCGCCGCCGTTTTTGTAAGCGATCTCTTGCCCCTTACCCAACCTTCTTGCTGGCATTCGCTGAATGGAGAATTATAAACACCGACACGAGCAGTTCGTGGCGGACTTATCTGGCGGACAGGTATCTGAAATATATGTGATCAGCCTGGTTGTTCCAGCTGCCTTTGTAGCCGGTCACCTGGTGTCACGAGGGCTGGATGCTCGGCGTCAAGCTATTGTGGATTTTATCTGTGTATGGGCCGTTCCGTTGGCAGCTTTGACTGTCTATACAAACCGAGTGTGGCTGTTAATGGCATTGATTCTATTACCGGCGCTCTTGTACCGAAATCCACACCCAATCCCCGCGACGGATCGGCGTAGTCGGGCAAAACATGTCGGTAGCGATTTGGTAGCGAGTTATTTGGGTCACAGGCCCTATCTCACGGCATACCGCGCAGCATTGCTTGTGAATACAGCAATTGCAATTTTAGCCGTCGACTTCCCTATTTTTCCCCGGCGGTTCGCCAAGGTTGAAACCTGGGGAACCTCGATCATGGACTTGGGAGTCGGCTCGTTTGTGTTCAGTATGGGTATTGTTTCTGCGCGACCGACTTTGTGTTATGCAGTTGAGGGTAGGTATCCGCCATTTTGGAAGTCATTTTGGGAAGCCTTGAAGAACTCGGCCAAGGTCCTAGCTCTGGGCATTGCTCGGTTAATTTCGGTAAAGGTACTGGGTTATCAAGAGCATGTCAGTGAATACGGCGTGCACTGGAATTTTTTCATCACTCTGGGTCTTCTCCCAGCGTTTATGGCGCTTTTGCAGCCCTTTGCCCGCGTTTCCAAGATACCCATGCTAGTGCTTGGGTTAGCGGTGGCATTCGGCTATGAAATTGTGTTGAAAAACACCGGTTTACTAGAGTGGGTGCTCGGAGCCCCAAGAGCGAACATATTGTCTACAAACAAGGAAGGAATCACGTCGTTTTGGGGGTTTCTGGCTATTTTCATGATCGGGCAATCGGTTGGCTACTACGTTCTTCCCTCGATTCTGGGTAAAACTAGCTCACCATTCTATCCGCAAACCCGAGAGCAAATCAAACAACCCACCGAGAACCCTACAAAGAGAATATTCTATTACTTAACTGCGACTGCGCTGCTCTGCCATGGGCTTTTCGTGGTACTGCGCATTGCCACTGAGCCGTCTCGCCGATTGGCCAATTTACCCTATATTATCTGGGTAACGAGCTTCAGTACCGGGTTCCTTGCCATCTTTGTCATTCTAGCCGATCTTTTGCACTACGAAGCATTGCCTAGTCAGGTGGCAGTGAACCGGCGCGGCCAGTCGACATTCTTATTGGCCAACGTTCTCACTGGGTTGATTAATATGAGCGTGAACACAATCGACCAGCCACGAGAGATTGCATTATTGATTCTGGTGGCTTACACGGCCACAATATTTGTTATCACGAGATATTTATTTTGACGCTATGCACCCTTCGGCCTATCATTCAAAAAGCCCCGTCCGTTGTCGATGTTACTGTTTTTCTCTAAAATGCCCCAAATTCTATCCATTTGAATCCCGCCGATATTGTCTTCGACATACAATTTTGTTAGCGCTCCAGTGCGTTCGTCTAAATGGACCCAATTGATCCACCCAAGCCGGCGGTTGGCAATGAAGGTGTTTTGAACTTGAATGGGCACGCCGTAGGTTGATCTGCCAAACAAAGAAAGCTTTTCCACCATTAATGTTTCGTTTTCAGTCAAGGCTTCGTAAGTTTGTGGTTGGTTCCGTCTGTACACTCTGAATATCCGAGTCACATATCCCCCAGCGAAATACTGGATCAGTGGCAGAGGCAGCAAGAGCGGCACCAACCCAGCTGCCACGAGCGTTGAGCTGGCGCCCACGCCCATAGTTAAATAGCCGATGTATGCACCGACGCCGAAAAATCCAAGGGACCATCGTTTTGTGAAAGAAACCTGCGATGCCATTGGCGCAGTGTAGAGGGGTTCGTGGGACAGCTGGATTTGCGGGTCCAGGGGCTCCTTGAAGAAGGTTCCGGGACGCTTAATTTTATAGAGCAGTGCCTGGTCAGGGTCTGAAGGATCGACTTGCGACAACCGTCTCAAAGTTGTCGAAAACGACCGAACCGGAGCTCGGTTCCATCGTTGAAGCATTTTGCAGAGAGCGATTACAAATAAATAGGCATTATAGACTAGGCAAACAGCGAGTCGTAGACTCCCTGCTCGCGATTCAGGTACTTTTTGCGGGACAGCACGTTGCGGACGGTCGAGTTCTCGACAATAATGTGGCCGCCAATGAACGCTGTGTTCGGGGGGGCTCTGTCGGCCGCCAGCAAGTCCACATTAATAATCTGCATAGACTTTCTTATGTCATAGGTCAATTGCCTGATAGACTTTTCGGACAGCGTCTCGATGGGCATTTCGTCGTCGTCGACGTCGGCCTCGTTGATGCTAGCCATGCCAATATGCGGAGTCAATTCCCGGTATTCGTAAACAGGCACAAAACAGGCTTGTCCATGCAGCTCCAGTCCAACCAGCCCGTGTTTTTTCCCCGCCCCGACCACCGTGCACACCGACAGCGGCAGAAACGCCAGCGACAAGACGCGTATATCTTCTAGCAAGATCTGAGCGAGCCATTGCTTGATTAGGTAGGGCAAAAGGGGCGGTTCTATGATCACTATCTGGGTTTTCGTCGCTGTAACGAGCAGCTGATCCAGAGTGTCTATGCACAGAAAATGCAGGGTTGACACGAACATGGATACTTTTTTGTCATCCCAAAGACCGCAATTTTCGTCCCACAAATCAGTATCGTGTTTTGTTTCGACCTGCACCCTGTAGTTGCCCACCAGACCTGCCTTGAGCCCGCGCTCGCAAAGCTCTATCAAACCCACGGTTGGCATGACAAACCCAGATTTCTTTTTTTCAGACTGCCGTTGACTAAGAAGAATTTCACCAACAGATGATGAACTGGAAACAAGGTCTGAGGGCGTTCCAGGCCGTGGTGCGTCCTCACATTTCGGCTGCCCAGCCCACATTAGTGCGTGCCAAACGCACAACCAAGCTGGCTCCGGGTGCCTCGCGTGTCATCAACATGGTGAGTGTGATCAGTGCTCGCAAGAAGCAGCCCCGGCGACTAAAGATGTGCAAAGAGGATCAGGTCCGCCACCAGATGATCATGGCTGCTTGGAAGCTACATTTAAGAGACGAGAAGGCCGAGCGTACCAACAAGCTCAAGGCCCAATATGAGAAAATCACCGAGGCGTGCGATGAGCTACAGAAACTCGACCCTGCTCTCTATGAGGCAGCCACTGCTCGTGAAAAGGGCAAGCGGTTCAGTCCGGAAATGCGTATTCCCACAGATACACCGCCTCGCCAACCCTGGCAGTTTGACTGGTCTCCTCCCGACAAATAGTCATTGTATATAAACGCTAATCTAGCAAATCTATCACACTTGCAGCAGTGCACATTTGGAGCTGCGTTCAAGCAGGCTAATTTCGTACGATGAAGACGGGCAGCTATATTTTTCGCACTCCTCAGTAATATTTCATCTATCCATCATTTCAGATCAACTTAATAATCTCATGAAGGAAAATCTGAAATTCAAGTTGGATCTCCTTCAGGCCCAACTAGCCAAGATAAACGGTCAGGAAGACAAAACGAGCGGCAAGTTATTCCAGACCAAGTTTGCCGTTCTGAAAAAGTCAGAAGACGCTGACCCGGAGCAGATTTCGGCCGAAATCGAACAGATCAAACAGGAGCTAGCCAATCGACGAATGCACCATGCTCAAGTCAGTTTACAGCGCCAGCTGAAGGCTGCAAAACAAGTTGAAGACCTCAAAATCACCAAAAGACTGAAAGCTGCTCAAAATCAGGAGCAAAAAGTCGCGGCCCTGCAAGAGGAAGCAAACAGTTTGAAAGAATTCACTCCTGCTGATTTGGCTAACGAGATCGCCAACCGGGCCGTCCTGAAGCATTACGGACCGGTGGCTGGGTTTGAAAAACAAAAATACTCCACCTCACAGGCCAATGTATATGCAAGGCTTTGCAAACTACCTGCGATCCAGCAAATTGTCGACACCTTGGTGAGGGGTCTCGCAGAGTGGTATAATCCTCTCGAGGGGTTTGGTCCGCAAGCCACCAAGGCGAAAGATATTCAGCCGGCTGCAAAGCTACCTCAATTAGAAATTGCTCCTGCACCCGCGCAGCAGGACGACTTCCATCAGTTTGAATCGGACCATGAGGAGCCCGAAGAAAGCGAGAGCGAGAGCGATGGGTTTTTCGAGCAAGACATTGAAATTGCAAACACAGACAGTGAGGATGAAGGCAATCTCCCCGCTCTCACCCAGGGCTATATTTCTGGATCGGAAGACGATGAGCCCGAGAACCCCATGCCCGAACGTAAGAACCGCCGTGGTCAACGGGCACGACGCAAGATCTGGGAATTAAAGTACGGGAGCCGAGCCAAACATGTTTTGAAGGAAAAAGAAGAGTACGAAAAGAAGAAGCAGATGAAAGAAGCCCGACAGAAGCAGCGCGCCGCCAAGCAGCAGCAGCACAAAGAAGAAACAAAAAACAAGCCATTGCACCCGTCATGGGAGGCCCACAAAAAGCAAAAAGAAGCACAAAAGGCTGTGCAATTCGCAGGTAAGAAAATCACGTTCTGAGCGAAGACGCAGCCGGGTAACCTTATCTTGGAGGTCAAGGCGGCAATTTTGTGGGACTGCCAATGAACTCTTGATCTGGTCTTTTCCTTATCAGCTGCTCAGATCTATTCGTGTCCCCTTATAATCAGTATATTTAATGCACCGTTTGGTCCACTTTTAGCAGTATTCGCTTGCATAACCGTTTGTGCCTTATGCGCAATCATTGGGGCCCGCCATGTAATCAGGCTGGTGCCATTCTAACGCAACCTCTGCAAAATGTTGATGCACTTCCCTCCTCAACTGCCAGACCGGATGGAAAGGTTCTATGTGCAATATATTGAGGATTGGGCGCTGTGCAATGGATTGTGTATGCGTGATATTGACAACTCGCACGCGGTGCACGCCCCGGTGACGATGTTCCCCACGCCATTCTCGAAATCCGGGTTTGAAGAGGCACTGAGGATTCAGTGTGCGTTTAACGAATTGTACTTCCATGCTGCCACCCACGAGGAATGGCTTTTGGGGCACCTTGAAGAGGCAGCAAAGCACGACGACTTCACTGCCAAGCTAATCCAGATCCACAAAGCGGCCAAAGCTGGTCAGACTCAACGGCTGACTGGTGGCCTTTGGCGCTCTGACTACATTGTGAACGGCTCTAGAACGTCGCTCGAAGGACGCCAGGTGAAGCAGGTCGAGTTCAATACGGTTTCTGTTTCTTTTGGTGCGCTTGCGTCCAAGGTTGCCGACATGCACGAGTTTTTGAGCCATGCTTCGCGGTCCTGGACTGGTCACGGCGAGGTGCCTCGAAACACTGCTCTCAAGGACCTCGCCCGTGGTCTTGCAAACATGCATGCCGGCTATAAAGTTGCCGAGATTCAGCACCGCCAGGCAACCCACCAGACTAGCACATCGGCAATTGAAGATGAAGACGACGCCAGCATCATGGACGACCCTGTGGTGCTGTTTATTGTACAGCCTGATGAGACAAATGTGATGGATCAGCGACTCATTGAGTTTGAGCTAGTCAAAGAGCATGACATTGTGTCGTATAGAATTTCCTTGGCTGAAGTCCCCGACTTTGTCGTTCGCACGAATGATAACCGTCTGCTTCACAATCCCAGCGGTCGTGAGATTGCTGTTGTTTATTATCGCGCTGGCTACGCACCTTCCGACTACCCAACTGACGTTGAGTGGAACGCCCGTGAGATGCTGGAGTCCTCCCATGCAGTCAATTGTCCCTCCACCTTGACCCAGCTTGCTGGGGCTAAGAAGATCCAGCAAGTCCTCACGGACAGATCTGTATTGACTAAAATTGCGCCATCTCTTAGTTCTGACACCGTCGATCGTCTGATGAAGACTTTCGTCAAAATTTACCCCATGGATGATAGCCCCGAAGGAGAGCAGGGTCGTTACTACGCTTTGCGAGAGCCTGACCATTTTGTACTCAAGCCCCAACGCGAAGGCGGAGGCAACAATATTTATGGTGAAGATATTCCCGAGTTTTTGCAGTCGATTCCAACCGAATCGTGGGCTGCGTATATATTGATGGAGCTGATCGAGCCGCCCAAGATCACAAACCGGATTCTGAGGGCGGGAAAACTTCAAAGCGGAAGAGTAGTTAATGAGCTCGGTGTCTTTGGTACCGTTATGTGGGACCGCGACCATAACGAGCTGCTGATGAATGAGCAGGCGGGGTGGCTATTGCGTACTAAACTACAAGATTCTCATGAGGGCGGTGTGGCTGCTGGCTTTGGCTGTCTTGACAGCATTCAATTGATGGGTCCGTTGAAAGATGATAACTAATCCTCGAGAAGAGTACTTCTTATACGATTTTTACGCGGCACGGGCACCACCGGGTTGAGGGCAGATTCTGTGTCGACCGCCCAAAGCGCGCCACCGACAGTGTTTGTGAACACAAAGAACACGCCCAGGAAAGGGATTTGTTCTAAAGTGGCAGCGACCAATCCAAAAGCGAAAAGCTGGCCGCGGCGAGTTTGAATATACCGCTTGAGTTCTGGAGCCGCGTAGCCCTTGAGTTCAAAGTATCTCTCCTGGCAGCGTGCGCCCACACCAGTAGCGTTCACCAAAACGCTGATTATAGGGCCTACGATGGGTATAAAGGTCAAGAGCACATTAAACAGTAGGCGGGCCATCCAAAACGGGAAGATGATGCGCTGGGGCAATCGTTTAACGAAACGGACAATGCGCTCGTGGTATGATTCCTCAGCGTCTCTACGGATGTTTCCAGTAGTCACGAGGCGGTCGTGGCCCTCTTTAGTTAGAATAGCATCAAAGAGCATCCTCAAAGGAGCAGGCATAAGCATGATCTCAGAAAGCGCCATAGTCAAAGCCATTGCTTGTTGAATGGTGGCGATCCACGAGGTTATCAAGCCGGTGGGGCCGTTAAAAAATATGGCAAGAGCCGCCTGAGGTGGGAACAGGAACATATGGCAGAATACGAGGACGGCGATGCTCAGGACGATTTGAGGAAGCACCATACCAAGCAGGTTGCCCCAAAGACTTGGATTTCTCAAAAAATAGAAAGCGCCTTGCAAGGGGTAAATATAAGTTCCCTGAGAAACTGCCATCAAAGGCAGAGCTGCCGGATTCGAGGCCTTGGACAGCACTTTTTGCACTAAGGACATCTTGTGGTGGCAGAGTTGTGGTAACGCTAAAGCTATATAGGGGACTAATTGGGGCGGGGCATACGTGCTATGTGACGACTGGAGGTACTAAAAACACAAGACAAAGAGCAGTGCGGAGAATATGAATCTAGCCAAGGACGGTGATCGGCCCCCCATTTTGGAGGTATCAATCACGTGACGGACGTACTCACCCTCGTATTCACGTGATCACAACTAGGGCTTGGCCCTAGAGGAGGTAAGTAAGCGAAACGCTCCCACTCAGTACTCATCAAGGAATAGTCCGCTATCCAAAGCTTAAACTGATTATTTCGACATGAAGTACCTCGCCGCTTATTTGCTTCTTAACGCTGGTGGTAACGCCGCCCCCACTGCTGAGGACATCAAGACTGTCCTCGCCTCTGTTGGTATTGAGGCCGACGACGAGCGCATCAACGCCGTCATTTCTGAGCTCTCCGGCAAGTCTGTCGAGGACCTCATTGCTGAGGGCTCTGAGAAGCTTGCTTCTGTTCCTACCGGTGGTGCCGTTGCTGCTGGTGGTGCTGCCGCTGCTGGTGGCTCCGCTGCCGCTGCCGCTGAGGAGGAGGCCCCCGCTGAGGAGGAGGAGTCCGATGGCGACATGGGCATGGGTCTGTTCGACTAAACCTGTTAATGGAACTCGCATCTATATAATTAGTTAGTTGATCGCTCAACCTTAGATCTTTTTTTTAGTCCCCTGTGGTATATACTCACCTCCTCTCGATCTGAAAAATTTGGCGTTCCCTCTTTGTGCTTTATAATGAAGTGTTTGGTAACCGGCGCTTCGCGAGGGATTGGCTGGGCCATTGCCCAAAAGCTTGCCCACGAGGGCCATAGTGTTATTTTGAGTGCAAGTAATGCTGATCTGTTGAACCAGCGACTCATTGAGCTGCCCAAGGTTCTGGATGGACAGGACCATAGCGTTTTGCCGCTCGATCTTGCTGACCCGGGGCTGAAATTCGAACTGAAAGAACCCGTGGAGGCATTTGTACATAGTGCAGGAGTCGCCGGAATGGGATTACTTACGGCCTTGAGTCCTCAGAGTGTCGCAAAGACGCTGCAGGTGAATTTGCATGCCCCTATTATGTTGACCAAGGCGTTGGTTCGCCCCATGATGCGGCAAAAGTTCGGCAGCATTATCTACCTGTCTTCGTGCCTGGCCAGCAAAGGATTGACTGGCTCAAGCGTCTACTCAGCTACCAAGGCCGGTCTCGAGGGATTCACCAGAGCATTGGCTCGAGAAGTCGGCAACAGGGGTATCACCGTCAACTGCATTGCCCCTGGGCTTACCGACACCGACATGGGCAGGTGCGCTGATCGGGGTTTGGCGACGGCATCTAACGTATTCCCTGGGTTAATTGATCCGGCCAGCATTGCTGATACGGTGATGTTTCTGCTACATAACCGTAACATCACCGGCCAAACACTGCAAGTAGACAACGGGTTTACCGTATAAGCTTCAAGCATTATCACCTTATTAAACGTGGGGGCGGGGGTTGCATCCGGGGTTTATTAGGCTTTGCAAGCTAAGCCCATTATTATGTATAAGCGGCCCCGCTTGATCACATCACTTGTTCGGAGAATGCACGTCGAGTCTATCCCCATGCGCTGGGGACGAGGCGACAACTATGCGTATGTTATTGTGGATGATGCGACCAAAGAGGCGACGATAGTTGACCCTGCTCAGCCCAAAGAGGTGCTTCCCCGACTGCAAGATCTAGAGAAGCAAGGAGTCAAGCTGGTGTCCATCACAAACACTCACCACCACTACGATCACAGCGACGGCAATGAAGAGCTCGAGAATATCTACAGAGTGCCAATTGTTGCTGGAAAGGACTCGCCGCTGGTTTCGGTGACTCCCGCTGACAGGCACACTTACAAGATTGGAGAGAATCTGGAGGTAACTGCGATTCACACTCCTTGCCACACTCAAGACTCGATCTGCTACTATGTGCGGGACTTGAAAACGCAGCAGAAGGCGGTTTTCACTGGTGACACCCTCTTCAATGCCGGTTGCGGCAGGTTCTTCGAAGGCACCGCGGAGGAAATGTACAAGTCTCTTGGATCGCTTGCGAAACTGCCCAAAGAGACCAAAGTCTATTCCGGTCACGAATATACCAAGTCGAACGCCAAATTCGCTCAGACTATCTTGAAGACCAAAGCGGTTCGTGATCTGGTGGAGTTTTGTGAGAAAAATGTCCACACAACCGGTGTATTCACTATCGGTGACGAGCTAAATCATAATCCGTTCATGCTGGTCAACGACACCCAGCTCCAGAAGAGTTTGGGGGCGTCGGACGCCGTCGCGGCCATGGCAAAACTTCGTGAACTGAAAAACAACTTTTAGTTATATCTAGTATGTATGGCTAAACAACTCTACAACTCATGGGTCTTGGTTATTTATCCAGTTTGTCTGTCTCCGTTGTCCACACGGACCGTCCACGAGGTGACGGCCAGCTCTAGCTTTTATTACAGAGAGTTAAGAAGATGAGTTAGTAAGAGCACATGGAGGTATTTAAATGGCTTGGTGCTGAGTTGGGGGCCGCTTGGCCGGGAGAGTTAACTAGGTGTTTTGGCGGGCTCTGTCCTGACTAGGACTTGCCCTATTTGACCAGGCATCGTCACGTAGATTAGATCAAGTAATTCGGCATAAGCCATACGGCCACCACCCAACTAGTTACGTTATGGTCAGCAACAAAGAGCAGCTGAAGAAAGAGGCAGAGGCGTCGGTTTCACTGTCTGAAGCGGCTCCTGAGCCGCATATCGAGACGCACCCTGAGCCTGTCCCTAGACCAAAGTCCCCGTTCTCCCAGGCAATGGAGGAGCTGCGGGATGCCTTCCCGGACGCTGACGAGCCTGTCAGACGTGCTGTGCTTGTGGCAGCCAGTTGCCGGCTAGAGCGTGCGTTCAATGGAATGCTTGCTCTATCGGATGACACAATTCGCCCCAGCCCGCCTACTCCTGTGGCCAAAGACAACCAAATCGCTCGCGATGAAGAGCTGGCCCGTCAGCTGGCCCGCGATTATAGAGCGCCTTCATCGCGCCAGTCCGGTGACGAGCGTCGCAGGAGCTCTGATCGGAGTGGATCGCGACAGTATTCTGACCTGGAGCACGACGATGACAGCTGGGATAACTTTTCCGAGAACATTCGCCAGGGCTGGACCGAGACAACAAAGAAGGTGTCGTCGCTGTTTGGCCAATTGCGTGAGCGGATCCAAAACGAGATGGCGGATCCTTATGAGGATAATGAGCGTGATTTGTATGGTGTTCCGGAGCGCCGCTCTTCACATCCCCGTCGAGGCTCTCCTCGTTATGAGGATGCCCCGCCCCCGCCCCCTCGTCCCCAGCGTACGGTCAAGCCTGTGAATGCGTTTGGCGAAGAGCAAGCGTCTAGATGGCAGCCTCTTCAAGCCAGTGAGACTAGCGACGCATTCTTTATTGGCGAGAGCGACTCTGATTTGGAGAGTTTAACTGGAGACGGCGAGCCCGGGGAAGGCAAGAGTGCCAGGGCGTCCAAGACTGATTTGAGGGAGACCGGTTCGAAGTCTGATTCGAAGGGACCCAAGGCCGATTCCAAGGCCGACTCAAAGGAGCCTAAGACTAGTTCAAAGACTGACTCTGCCGACTCAAAGGGGCCCAAGACTGCTTCCAAGGACGGTTCAAGCGACCCAAAGAAGTCTAAGACTGGTGCCAAGACCGATTCGAAGGAATCCGACTCAAACGCCGACTCAGATGATACGAACAAGGTTGAAGAATCAGAGTCCAAGGATCCCAAAGACAAGAACTCCAAAGAATCCAAAGACAAGAACTAGGCAAAGACCTTTTGTTAAAGATAAAGCAGATTTCTGGGCATGTATTTTGGGTATCGTTAAATAAGAGTTTAGCTATCAAAAGACCAGGTGATGTCAACGCGACCCTCGGCTTCGCTGGCAATAGCGTCGAAAGCAGCAGGGGAAAGATCGAGATCTCCGTACTTGCATCCGGGGCACTTGTCAGTGATGGTAACGGTAACAGACTTGCCGTTGCGAGTGATGGTGGCCTTCTTGCCGCACACGGGGTTGCCGTTGGACATGGCACCGAAGCTGTTGAACTGGTCAACGTTCAGAGCAGCGATAAAGTCGCTGGCTGTGTTGGTCACACCGCAGGCACCCAGGCCAGGAGTGTAGTAAGTAGCCTGGCCAGTGTAGGTCTCGCCAGAACCGCCGGAGCCGGAGCCGGAGCCCTCAGTCTGAGTAGCGGCGGGAGCAGGGGACGAAGTGGTGACAGGGGCAGGAGCAGGCTCAGAGGTAGTGGTCTCAACCGGGGCAGCAGTGGGAGTGGTCTCAGCCGGGGCAGCAGCGGGAGTAGTCTCAGCCGGGGGAGAGGGGGCGGGAGCGGGGGACGAAGTGGTAACTGCAACAGGGGCAACGGTGGTAGTGGGGGCAGCAGCGGGGGAGTCAGTCTCAGTGGTGGGAGCCTGGTACTGGTAGTTATTGTCAATAGAAGCATAGCTCGTAGGGTGATCAGCGTGAGAGTGCTGAAGAGTGTCTGGGTTAGCAGGAGTGCTAGGAGTAGGGGCACCAGCGATCTCGCTAGTGCTCACCAGGCTCGAGACGGTGGTGACAGGAACACCGTTCTGGTCAACGAAAACGTTGACATCCTGGTAAACGTACTGGGTGACATGGACAACCTCAGTTACAATGGCTGCGGAGACGGGGCTGGCAGCTAAAAGGGCGACAACGGCAGAGAGAGCAAATTGCATTTTACTATTTTGCGGTATCCGAATGAATGCGGGATAATGTGTGAAGGAGTGAGGGACCGAATGAACGTGGGGCTGTCGTGCGCCGATAAAGTCAAATTGGTATGGTCAAAAGAAAGATTGCACCTGGCTAGGTTTTGGGGATCGGGGTTTTTTAAAAGGTCCTTGTGTTGATTACGCAAGGGTGAAAGGGCGGTTCTGCAGGTTAATTAACGCATCACGCAGCTCCTTTTGTTTCAAAGAGAAAGGAGCGAAGGAGGTTCTCTAGGACGGAGATTCCAAGTCCACCGATAATAAAGTTAAACTCTGCATCGAAATATAGCATTTGAGATTGCACGAGACTAGCATAGGCTGTAAATGATCACTCTATCTTCTCATTTACGGCGCATTAGGACCAGCCCTTTTTGCATGTATTTGCTTTACTAAACAGTACCGCTCAGGGTTCGGGAACCTCTTTCGTGCAGATCTCGCTGGGCCAAGTGCCGCTGTACTCCTTGAACTTTATCTGCTTTTCAATGCTTCTCCTTGCGTCTGGTGGTGCATATATTTTGAGTTTCTGCTTTGTTTCAGCCTTAACGCACCACGAATCGTCCTATCGTGGATAGGTCCGTTGGGATTAGGTCATACCAGGTTATGGGCTGCTTCATCACAGCTACCGGTGGTTCCTCAATTTTGTGGCCTCGAAAGCGGGCCAAGCTGGTGTTTTTTGTGTTACGGCAGGTATCTGCGAAGAGACACAGCTGTTGCTAACGGAAATAAACTGCCGTAGTTGCTGCTGCTATCGACTCACCTTATTTGTTGCCATGGCAACTAACAAGGACTGAAAAATTTCCACGCATCAAAGATTACCAACCTATTTGTAAATTCCGATTGCATTTCTAGGCTAAAAATAAAAATTTAAAAACATTATATTTATTCTCCTTCTCATTCTCCTGGTTCTGTGGGGTGCCACGCAGAGTGCCGCGAGGAGGTTGGCAGCTGGCTCAAAACAGAATAGAGATCTGCTGGTAGCGTGTCCTCCTGCATATTGATGCATGAACCCTCTATCGTGACATTATAGCGGCCACTAACCTGTCTAATATACATAATCACCACGGCGAACCAACGGCGGGAGATTCTCTGCGCCGGCGTTTCCGTCCGAAGAGGCCGCCGAGCTCGAATTCGGAAGTGCCAATGCGGGCAGACTCCCGCTTCATACGGCGAATCATGCGTTCGCGCTCAACTTCTCTGCGTTCAATTTCCTCCTGGGTCAGCACTTCAATTGTGGGCACCCAGTCTTCTCCAAGACCTTCTTGGTCCATACGCCAGCCGGCACTTTGGTTGAAGGCTGCCTGGTTATCTGAGTCAACGGGGGCATGACCTTCGATGAACTCCCGCTTCATTCGTAGAATAGCTTCGTGTAAGGCATGAGCAATTGCCGGGTAAAACTCGCCGCTTATTGCCAAATCAGCAACAACTGTACGCGCAAACTCCTCGGGAGTCACTGCCGAGTCCAGATCCCACTCAAACTTATCTTCATAAAGCTGCTTGTCGAGATTAACGCTCAAATGAATCACCACACGAATGCCTGCATCGCTTGGCAATCTTATCTGTGCCAACTCTGTGTATTCGGCGATCTGTGACTTCATAGAGTTCGCAATGTTCGCAGTGTAGCCTACCGGCAGTTCCAGGTCATTGCAGGTAATTGTAGCAAATAGTTCAGGCGTCAGTGAAGGTTCGTTGATATTCCACATCAAAAAATCGGTAATCCGGTAATCCTCGTACTCTAAAGACAGCCGCAGAGGCACGAGCACCTCCTCAGTTGATGCCAGGTTAGCCAGCTGTTGCTCGCTATAATTAGGGTGTTTTGTTTTCATCGCAAGCTTCTTGGACTCCGTTCTGCGCGGCTCCTGCTTGCGTTCCATTCGGGGACCGGATCCAAACGTAGGGTCTTCGTCATCGTCGTCGTCAAAATCCTCCTCGATCTCTGCGTAGTTGAACACTGCCGCCGCTGCACGTTTGTGCGCCCGAATAGTAGGTTGTGTGTGAATAAACAACGAAGTCTGTCCTAGCCGCAACCGCGATGCAAACCCTGTTTGGAGCGCCTGAGGCAACGCGCTCGACGAGACATACGACATGGGTCAAGTGACTAAGCGAACGGTCCGCTGGGCGACTTAGTAGTTTTCAACTTTATTTTACTTTGGCATACAAAGACGCGTTTCTCCGTGCATTTTTTGGGTATTTGTAGCAGCTAAGGAGTTGATCTGGTATATTTCGACGCGGCCCTCCTGATGCAAGATAATTATTTGATCACCCGATTAGAAAATGCCGGTTTCAAATATGTTGGTCGTCTAGGAGTGATCCTCGGCGACCACTTTCCTGCAGTTGTTGCCGAAATCGAGGTTTCTTCAGGAATCCTGGATTATATCGTGGCGTTGAAGGAGATGCCGGATGCTATACCGGCCAATTCATCGGAATACGGCGAGTTTATTTTTGCCTGTGAGTCGAGATCTTCTAATCAACTCAATGACTTTTACCATCCAGCTTGGGCGACTCTTTATCGCAGCATGGGTACAAACTGGTTTTCTAGTCTTTTACGAGGAGTTGTTTTAAAGCCACAAGGCCGATCATGGATTCAATTGACAGGACCTGCTGTTTACGATCCACCACAAATCCGTGAAAAGTCCAAAAAAGCTCCCTCCTTCAAGTCTCGAAAACACAGGATGTGTACAAGCCGTCTGGCCACGAGATTATTATACAAAGGCGACTCAATAAAATTTGGGTCCAAAGAGCATGCGATCGAGGCTAATGCTACAGCGATCTTCCCTTCGATGCGGAGCAAATATCGATTCAAGGTCTCAAAACTGTTGGAGAAATTCGAAAAGCGTAGTACCTGGCTGAATGTTGACTTGGACAAATTCTGTGCTGGCGACTCAGTTGTTCCTCGCCGGGTTGTGTTGAATGTAACAATGATAGCTCTGAAGCAGTGCATCCCCAAAGAATTGATTGGTCCAAATATTATCCCATTCCGAGATGGGGTGCGTGAGTGGATATCGATGGGTAGGTATGAATCTACCAGTTTGAATTTTTTTGTTAAAGGGTGGAAGTCTCGCGGGTTGGTATGGCTGGGGCAATCAAATAATGCTGCACATCATCAAATGACTCAAAGAATGCTTTTACATTTGATCGAATGGCTCTTTTCGGTTGTAGTTCCAAGGATCGTCAAAAGATTTTTTCATATCGCCCAGCAGTCCAACCATGCCGGTGGTTGTTACTATTATCGCAAAGATCTTTGGCATAAAAGGTACAATCAGCAGATCAAGGAGCTTTCAAAACAACTAGAGCCCGTCACAGAGCATCCAATGGCACCGTTCAATACACCTGCACGTATCCATCTTGTTCTCAAACCTAATGGCGAAACGCGGCCGGTAATAAATCTGTCGCATCTCAAGAACGCGCTTGGACCTTCGCGACTTGTTTTGGACTTTTTGACTCTGGCTTCGCCCTGTAGATTGCGAAGCTTGTCGGACTTTCTGCCCAGGTTGGTGCGTTTCCAACGCCAGCATTTTGGTAAAAGGTTCTACTGTGTCAAAGTAGATATTGCCAAGTGCTTTGATTCTATTGATACTGACAAACTGATATATGTTTTGAAAAGTCGGCTGGCAAACAAGGCGTTCCAAGCCTATAATTTCTGGGACGAAAGACGCGGCCGCAAAGTGACTATTCTGGCATCCAACGGCAAGTATGAATTACCGGAAACCGCTACCAATAGTGTTCTGAGGCATTATAGTACAGAAACGATTTCAGGCAGTACCGTTTTGCAAACAATTTCAGTGCTTTTAAAGCAGTTGTTAATTCAAGGGGGTAGCGTAGCACTGCAAAAAAGCTCTGGAATACCTCAGGGGTCCTCTGCCTCTAACGCACTTTGTAACTTCGCTCTGGACCACATTTTAAGATCAGCATTTGGAGAATATATCACTGACCAAAACTCGTTACTATTACATTATGTGGACGATATCTTGTTTGTGTCCACCCAAGAGCAAACCGCTTGCCGATTTATTCGTCGCATGAAAGAAGGCTTCCCAGAATTTAACGTTTTCATCCAACCAAAAAAAACCGAGTGCAATTTTTCAGGTGAAAATCGCGAGATGAACTTAATCTACCTTGGCACCTGCTTTAATGCCGCTACTTTGGATGTGTTACCGCTCAAACTGCCGCCGTTCAAAGTTCGTACTGAGCATCCTGAATGGTGGATTAGAAGGCGACTTGAAGGAACTATTAATTTGAGGTTTGCCTCGCAGTTTCACTCGTTCGACCGTCACAACGTCATCTTATCGGACAAGAACATCAAGTTTTTCGCTACAGCTATTGGCCGTGCGATGGCTGTTCGCATGCATTACCTTGGGGCCAACATGTCTCTTCGCAAAAAGCTGTTCGATCAACTACTCGCCAAATCCCTTAAATTATACTCTAGATGTGGAGGGCGAAACAAACCTTTATTTATTTCGGTATGTATCTCCGAGTACCGCAAGCGGTCCAAGCGATATATATAGTTTAATCAGAATGTCCAGATTCATAATTCGAGTGCTCTGATTCCGAGTCAGACTCCGAGTCAGACTCATCTTCAGACTCACCACTCTCGTCAGCTTCGGCTTCACCGTTGGCTTCAGCTTGAGACTCACTCTCACCAGATGGCTCTACGTCCTTAGTTGAAGCTTCCTTTGCTTTCGCACGAGCTTTGGCCCTCTCCTCCTTGATCTTCTTCATTTGTTCTTGGGCTTCCTGCTCCGACTTGACCGCCTCTGCACGCGTCTTCTCATCCCTTTCCTGTCTACGGCGCTCGGTTTCTTCAATTCCGCCAATCTTATTCAGTTTGTTGTCGTGGACATAGTCGCCGAGCTCTTGCTCAAATTCTCCGTTTCGCAGGGCAAGCTCACGTTTCCGCAACCGCTCAGCCCGTTCAATAGCTTGAACCCTGCTATCATGGTCGGGTTTCAAAGCAGCAACCTCACCGTGAACACGGCGCATTGCTTCCACAGGACCCTCAGGCGCCGGAGGGGGGAGGATGGGGTTTCGCTTGATGTCGCTACGAGCCATTTCATGACTGCATTGCTCGACCAGCTCGAATGTTTCACGAGTTTTGGCTAGATCCGACAGCATGTCATTAACAAGATTCTCTTGAAGCTGGAAAAATTCCTGCTCTTCCACAACAGTGTTGAGCTCTTGTTCCCAGGTTCGCCGCCACCGAGGCTTTTCACGGTTCATGTAAGAAGACATCGTGGAAAGCTCACTTTGAGCCCTCAGCAGCTCCTTGGAGACCTGCTCCAATTGCTTGGGTGAAAGACGTACACCACGGGAAGCAACGTCTTTGCGCTGCCCTTCGACAATGTCTTGCAAATCATCAATCCAAGTAAGTAGTTGATTACCATCCTCGCTAAGCTTCTTGCGAGATTGAACCATAAAGTCTCGCTGCGTGCCTGGTTGGGCATTTTGCAGTTGGTGTGCCTGCTCTTTTAGAGTTTTCAACTCTTCTTTGAGGTTAGTGATGGTTTCGCTGGAAATTTGGCGGACGACAGCAACATCTTGGCGAAGCAATTCAACGTTGTTCAAGGGTGCCTTGGTCTTCCATGTAGTCTGGGTCACAAATGGTGAGCCTGCCATCGCTGGACTAGCTCTTGATGGACCAGGTTTGGGAATTGAGGCTGATCTACCGGATGGACCATCCATACGGACCATCAATTCGCGCATCATGTCACCAAGGTTAGCAACTTGCTTCTCCAAGGAAGACTCTTGCTGCGTTTTAGCCAACAATGTGATAAGGGAGCCCTCGGTAACGTCTCCGACCGTGCCCTCATTAAGTTCATATTCAACACCAGTTTTATGATCCTGGATTAGCATTTCAGGGAACATTTCGCCGCCGCTCGGGTTGAATGAGAATGTTTCAACAAACTTGAGGCGAATTGCTGCCAATGAAGGTGGTGGTTCGAGCTCAGCCTTCCGGACGCGCTGACCCATTCTGAGAAAAACAGTAACAAGTTTAGATACTACTGGCTCTTGCGCCTTTTCAGGCGCTTCAGGCTCTTTGTGATCTAGTTCTTTATCACCAGTTTCGGGCTGCGGGGTGGGTTCAATTGAAGCAGATGACATCGAGCCCTTTGCCGGGCTCTGCGGTGCAGATATGTCTTTAACACTTTGACGACGAGCCTCCGAAGGCTCCTGTGGCATCTCTGGAACAGAATCCAGATGCTTATTTTTGCGTACTTCGTCAACAACAGTTGTGGCATCGGTGAACTCAGCAGGCACAGATCTGTGCGGGGTTGAGGTGGGCAACAAAGCTTGCTCGCCAGCAACTGGGGTAGTTGGAACTGGGCCCCCAGGTATTTTCGACATATGATACTGTGAATAACGCTTGGAAGCTCTTCGTTCAAGCGCCTCACTTCGTTGTAAAGCTGCCAGTGGATCGCGAGCAAACGTAGCAACATTAGGAGCCGGTGCGGACGTCAGAGAGGGTGCAGCCTTAGCTGTGGGTGCAGAAGTAACCTTGGGAGGCTGGTGGCCGATGTAAGGGCCACTGGGCGCAGGAGATCCGCGACTGGGGCTGTCAGAAATCCGACTCGAACTATGAGAGTCACGACCAGCAGAAGCTCTCCTTGGACTCGAATTGGTAGAGGATATCGAAGCTTGTGAATTGCGATGACCACGATATTCGCGATGGCGTAGCAGGTTTTGTTTGTGCTTTAGCTGGCGCAGAAGATTGACAATGATTTCACGGATCTGAGGCAGAAAGTGATCGAGATTGTCTTCGCTGGCTTCACCTGCCAATGCGCGCTCTAGAACAACACGGAGCATCTGCGGCACATCACCTAAATCCATGACTTCGATACCGGCATCCATAAACGACCGGCAAGCGACGTTGAATTCGTTACCGAGCGCGACATAGACATCGCTGACATCCTCCTCAGACGCTTGGCTGCGAGACCATAGAGTGAGCGACTCAAGTAGCTGCTTGGTATAAATCAACAGCCGCGTGACCGTGCTCTCAATCGTACTGATCGATTCCGGCCGCTCGTCAGGCATTGCCTATAAATCCAAACAGTTGGTAAGCGGATTGGGAAAACCTGATGGAGTCGTGGTGGGGATGGGCCACTGCTGCTGTGGCTATTCTGGCGGCTCTATATGTCGAACAAAGGTGGGCAGCTCCAAGTCAGGCTCGCGAAATCGAAGATTTGCCTGTTGAGCAAGTGGAAGAGGCACCGGCCGGTGAAGAGCAAGCACAGCCGCCCGTGCACCACGTCGTTTTAGAAGACGTAGAGGACGACGATTTGGGTGTTCCGGAAAACCGAGCGGCTCAGGCACTAGCTGAGGCACAGGCGGCCGAGGAGCCTCAAAGAATGAATAAGTGGAAGACTCGAGAGGTGGGGAAGAAGAAGGCCAAGTCACTTGCCCGCAAAGAGCAGCGAAGACAATGGTTTGAGTATGTGCGCGAGCGGGCTGGCGAAGAGCGGGAGCGAGAACAGCTGGAAAGAGAGATGTTTGGGGACCTGATTGCTGCCGAACAGGAGGAGAGACAGCAGCGCATCGAAGAGGCCCAAGCGGCGATTGAGCACCGCAGGAAACAACAGCGGGCCCGTGAAGAGGAGCTTAAAGAACAGCGTGAACAGAGAAGGGCACAACTGCAGGCAGAACTGGCCAGATCAGGCCGAGCTGCTCTGACATCTGACGAAGACCTGCTGCTGGCAACAGATCTGGGGCACATTGTTTCTGGTGGTGACTACGTCGTCACTATCAATGACGATCTTATCAGTAAAATTGCAGCTTCGATTGAGGGCCGCACAGACTTCTCGGACATCGCCAATAGCATCTCTACATAAGCCTACTTGTTGGCTGCCTAATCATGCCCTCCACGCCTCCTCGGATCGAGCTACCTCCTGAAGAGCCACCTCCTAGTGAGCCACCGCCTTCATATGAGGAGTCAATTTCCCAGGAGAGTCTGGTTGATCCGCCGGTTCTTCCACCGCGGATAGCACCGTCGGGTGGGTCCCAGCCTGCGCGACCTCATCTGCCTCCGCCTGGGCCTCCTCCCAGGCCATCTCCCAAGCCCTCTTCACGGCCACCAAGCATATCGTCGAGTGGGTCGAGTCGACCGTCGAACAATTCACTAGTCAAGCCATCGAGCAAGCCACCTAGCAAACCGCCAACCAAGCCACCAGCCAAGCCACAAAATAGGCCACCCAGCCGGCCGCCTAATTCAAACCCGTACTTGAGGTATCCGTCTGGGTATCACTGTCCGAAGTGTAACAATACTGGCGTTAAATTGTCCTCAGGCCGGTCTTGCAAAGACTGTTACGAGCGCTTCGGAAGGCCCAACCGCATCCAGCCTGCTCAGTCTGGAGTATATGCCTACGGGCCGGGTCCTGCCTACGGGCCGGGTCCTGGCTACGGTCCTGGTCCTGGCTACGGCCCTGGTCCTGGTTACGGCCCTGGTCCTGGTTACGGCCCTGGCCCTGGCTATGGTCCCGGTCCCGGGTATGGCCCTAGACCTATTTATCAGCCTCCAAGAGTGGTCCAGCCCGGCGACCCAGCAATTGGTGGCGTTCTCTGCGGCAGATGTCGTGGGTCGGGCCTGGTGTGGTCGTTTATTTTCGAAGAACAATGCCCATTGTGTCGCGGAATCGGCCGGTTGATCAATTAGCCTGTACTAATCTCCCCGCATATTACCTAAAAACATAGCGTTTTGAAAAATTCAGTCACCCAATGTCATTAGGATCCAAACCGCCCTTAGACTATCCTAATTACAAGAAGCATCTGCGGAAGCTGAGTGGAAACCCGAAGGATATCCAGGCATCGACCAGCGAGCTGAATGCGTTGTCGTGGCCCTCCGAGGGGGCTGCGGAACGGGCTTCGGAGGACGCTGCCGCGGCGAAGGCGCGAGAGAGCCGCATCGCCGACGCTGTACACACAATCTTAACCGAGCTTGGCGAAGACTCCAGTAGAGCTGGACTCCAAGATACTCCTGGCCGCTACGCCCGTGCCTTACTAGAATTAACTCGGGGCTATCAGCAGAATCTCGTTGAGGTCATGAACGGAGCCGTTTTCGACGAAGACCACGATGAAATGGTCATTGTTCGGGACATTACAGTGCACAGTCTCTGCGAGCACCACCTCGTCCCCTTCTATGGTAAGATACACATTGGGTATATTCCCCGATCCAAGGTTGTGGGTCTCTCCAAGCTGGCCCGCATCGCCGAAATGTTCAGCCGTCGCCTGCAGGTCCAGGAACGGCTCACCAAGCAGGTCGCAATGGCTCTGTGGGAAGTCCTGGAGCCCCGCGGGGTTGCCGTGGTCATGGAGGCTAATCATATGTGCATGGAAATGCGGGGCGTGCAAAAGCCCGGCGCCTCCACAACCACCTCTTGTATGTTGGGCTGTTTCCGTGATCAGCAGAAAACCCGCGAGGAGTTTTTGAGCCTGCTGCATCGTCCTTAACTGACACACAGTTCGCCGCTTTCCCCAGCTAAACGTTTTGGTGCATCTCAACATAGCACTTATTTAAAGATAAATATTATACGGCAATCGCAGTAGCCTTTTCGGTCTGGATGTCGACCTCCAGAGACATGAACGCCAGCTTGAGAGCTTCCTGTTGCGCCAGCGCCGCAGTGAATCCTCCTGCCCGCACCGCAGGTTCGTTGGCTCGCTCCATTGTGGGGTCGAGGTACTCTTCGGCTTGCCTAAACAAGTACTCCATCTGCCGGTCTCCCACAAACGGTGTGAAGGGAGTGCGGGCGGCCGAGGCATGTGCAGCCGCTGCTCCTTTCCTGGTAATTGCCCGGCGGGGCCGTGACAGTTCCAGCTCAAACTGCTGGCGTAGCTGCTCGGCTCGCAGTTGGGCCCGTTCTCTGGCTTCCCGCACGGCTTGCTCGCTTGTTTTGCCGGCCTCCAGCGCCTCAATCGTCTCTTTTTCTTGCTGAGCCGCCAGTTCAGCTTCTTGCTGCTGCAGTTCTATCGCTAGTAGTCGTAATCGCCGTTGGTGCTCGGCATCGCTGGCGGCTTGTTCTTCAGCATACACGTCGTCCTGCTTCTGCTGTAACGCGTTTTGGATAATCTCCTGTTTGTGCAGCTTTTCGTATTCTGAGACTCGTTGTTCGGCCTCTTCCCGTTCGGCCGCACTACCTTGGGCAATGGCGAAAATCAGCCCTTCAATTTCCTCCAAGTAATCATTGTACTCAGCCTCGGTATCAAAAGCATCTTCACGTCGATTGAAAATCTTGACAATACGCTGACGCACATCGACCTCTCGCTCGACTTTGAGATCATCAAAAACCTGGGTTTTAAACCGTCCTTTTCGTAGTGTCTTACCGCATCCCACATATGGGCACGGTGCAGGCCCTACACTGAATATGCGGTCGACGCAAGACTCACACATCTTGTGGTAGCACTCTGGATTCACCAAAAACTTCATATCCGGATTCAAGTACCGACTTGACCGGCAAATGGGACACATATCATCTGCGTCCCCCATTTTTTTTAAAAATGTGGTTTTGAGGTTCCCTAAGGTTTTGTCAGCCTGACAACTGAGATATGGAAGACGGGCCTGGCGAGCCTGCAGAGCCCGCTGGTTTAGAGCCTTTGCAATCGCCTAGATGCTCAAAAGCCAAGCGGCAAAAAATAGTTGATCGAATAATTCCTTTCGTGGTCCTTGGAATCAACGGGTACATTCTCTATGGTTTTTCATACGAGGTTGTTTGGAAATGGGTACATCCGAAAGGTGTACGAATTGCCGTGTATACGATTCTTGGTGTACTTAATTTAATGATGTTGGTTTCCTGGGCCGCAGTACAACTTTGGGGACCCTCTGTGGTCGATGAAAAGTATAAGCGCATCGATTCCCCCCATGAGCCTTTTGTCTGTGATGAGGATGGCTATACACTGTGGTGTTCTCAATGCCAGCACTTCAAACCAGCAAGAGCTCGGCACTCCTCGGCAGAAGGTGTGTGTGTGCCTGTTATGGACCATTATTGCATTTGGCTAGGCAGAGTTATTGGCCAAGGCAACCTCAAGTTTTTTCTCCAGTTTGTTGTTTACTCTTGGTTCACGATGATCTTGATCCTGGTGGTACAATTCCGGTATCAGCACAGGCTTCTGCCACATATTGCTGCTCAAGCGATCCCTATTTATGTGCTTTGTGGCTTTTGGTTTCTGTTCCTTACTATGCTCCTCATTCAGCATACATACTTTCTGTTAACTTGTCAGTCAACATTGGAACATATGGATAGAAACAAATCGCGATATCCTTATTTTAATATACCTTTTAGAGACGGTCGCCAAGTTATCAAAGCTACAAAGTCCGATATGGTCCCTGGTCCTTACTCTCTTGGCATTGGACGTAACATCACCCGAGTAATGGGCCCCTGGTATACGTGGTTGTTGCCTATTAGGGAACCAATCGAGGAGCCGGAATTCAACAGACGCCTTTTAGGAAAATTACAAGCTCGCCACGAAGCTTTCATGGAGAAGGAACTAGCCTCTTCCACCCCCCCGGCTCCTGCATCCCCGAGCTCCACCCATGCGGTCACCCAATTCACGCCTGATTCAAAAAATACACCCTTGCATTTACCTGTGCTTGATGATGAGCCCAGTACCACCTCGTTTGCTACTGCTGAAAACTCGCTGACTCGAGAAAGTGAATTCGAGTCGGCACTCTCTGCATTCGAGTCTGTGTTCGAGTCGGCGCCCTCTACATTCGAACGCGATCCAGCATCTCATGATATCACACCAGTTGCTTCGAATGCGAGCCTGTCTACTATTGTTCCAAATAATTAATTATATATCTAATGCTTTCGTGGCCGCTTGGTCGGCTTTTTCCTATCTTTACCGCTTGCACCGATTGTAATATTGACTTTGGGAGGTACAGCAAATCCGAACGACTTTGCAACTTTGACCAAATCAAGCTTGTCAATCTGGTAGACTGTCTTGAGGTGGTGGCTGGCATAGGCCTGAAGGTACGCCCGGTAGCCGTCGCGAGCACTCTGGTTGAGCCAGTAGTTTGATGACACGAGCTTTTCAAGCTGAGACTGAACATTTGCAATCTTACTAGAGGGGAATTCATACTCATTAAGGGGGACCTTGGCCGCTTTGAGATAACGCAAAAAGCCAAGCTCACTGGGGGTCAAAAACATGAGACTGCGGCCCTTGCCGTTGGATCCACGAGCAGTACGACCTACGCGGTGGATGTAGTCGCGAGGATCATCAGGAGGATCGAACTGGATGATCCAGTCGACGGCAGGGATGTCAAGACCACGGGCAGCGACATCTGTGCAAATAAGAGTACCCTGTTTAGCATTGCAGAATTCAAAGAAGGTATTTGTGCGCTTCTGCTGTTTCTGCTTACCATGGAGGTCAAGCACAGGCATATCAATATAGTTCAAAAGCTCGCCATAGTACTTGACGCTGTTACAAGAACTCAAAAAGACAATGACTTTCTTATTACGGTTGCGCTTTAGGAACGAGAAAAGCAACAAGAAGCGCTTGTCGCTGTCGCAAACAACGTATCCCTGCTCCAGACCATCGGCAGTTGAGGTATCTTTTTCCTGATCAACGTTGATATAGAGCGGTCCCTTGCGCAGCGAGATTCTTGCCAAGTCCTCGACCTTGGTGGTTTGAGTTGCACTGAAAAGCATGGACTGGCGGCCCTCGCTAGGCAAGATCCTAATAATTTGTTTCATTTCCTCCTCAAATCCGATTTCCAGAATCCGATCTGCCTCGTCAATAACCAAGGCCTTCAAGTTCTTGAAGACAAAGCCCTGGGTGTTTTGCAAATGATCCAGCAAACGGCCGGGGGTCGCAATAAGCAGGTTGACACCTTTGACCAGCTTCTCGGCCTCCTGGCGACGATTTGCACCTCCAATAACAATGCCGACTGTTTGGGTGTGGAACTGCAACAGCTCCTTGGCCACACCAAAGATTTGCAAGGCCAACTCACGGGTCGGGGACACAACAATAACACCGGTACCATTGCGGGGCTTGAATTTGAGGGAATACAAAAGCTCAATAGCCGGGATCAGAAACGCCAGCGTTTTGCCGGACCCGGTCTTGGCCGCTCCCAGAACGTCTCTTCCTGCCAACAAAGGAGGAACAGTGTGGGCCTGGACTGCAGTCATTTCCTTGAAACCCATAGCTTCAATAGCCTTCGTTGTATTCTCGCTCAATTTGAGCGTCGAGAACGGCTTGGTTGCCTTGTCGGTGACGGTGATTTCTTCACCAACCGCCAGAGCAGGTTTTGGGGCCTCTACTTCCGATTCGGACGACTCCCATGTGGATTCTGCTTCGGCAGCAAGACGTCTCTCGAGTTCTTCAACACTTAAATCCTCCGACTCGCTCTCTGAAAGCTGTCTTTTATCGACCTTGGATCGCTTCTCTTTGGACATTTGATGAATTACAAATTTTTTTTTCAGACCCTGCATATCTTATGCATAGGAGAGCCTAGCTACTGACGGGATTAAGACTGTACAATCTGCCAAACCATAAGTGTTGAATGACCGGGAATTTCCCAAAAACCTCGTCTTGGTACATTTTGATCATTCCTCGGTGAATTTTCGTCCAGGTGGCCACGTTCGAGATGTCAAACAGCATTGGCGAGTGCTCGAAGAAATTGCCGCGCTTCATGGTGTGCACAAAGTCAATTGCCCAGAAATACAGGTTTTGCGATGCTTCCTTGTGGGCGATCACTTTGTTCAAAACATCCTTCGGAGTCAATCGGCCGTCGTCGGACCCGTAGGAAAGCTGGGCTGACCCTAGAATATAAACAAGGTGGAAATGGTCGTCTAGCCCCCACACCCCGTGGGATCCGGCAGGCTCCAAGTTGTAGCGAAGAATAAGCTTGCCACACAGTTTGTAGTAAGTTGCAAATACCCCCAAAATATCTGGTCCCTTGATTGGCCCAACAACGTCTCTCAAAAGAAGGCCACCGAAAAAGGCCAAGAAATTGAGCTCGTGTCCTGTTCCAAAATCTAATCTTTGCCTTGATCCGAATGACTGCGATAAATAGTGATAAAACTCGTCATATAAAGGTACGTCGTCTTCTTTGGGCAGCGACAATCTATCTAGCCGCTCCTTCATGACCTTGGCGATCTGATCGTGCCAGGACCGGAAGGCCAAGTTGCCAAACCGCTGCGTTTCCTCAAACGGCTTAACAGAATCTGCAACCTCTGATAGTTTTTCCAGCAATTCCACAAGCTCGCGAGCAATCGCGTTGTTTACTCTGCCGTCAGCAGGAATAACCTCTCCTGCTACGGTTTTGGAGAGTGACATGATCAAGGCCAGCAATTGTGACCTGGCCTGAGAAATTGCAAACTTCTCCATATCCGCTGCAACATTCACCAGCTTCTGAGGTGGGTATTTACCCTCCCCCTCGCCATCGACTGCCATCGCGCACAGCTCCATGGTCCTATGACAAAGCAAGCCCCGAAAAAAGTATCAACAATACTCAAACACGCTAAAGGATGCAGTGGAATACCGAGCCTTTTGTGGCTGTGTACGAAGCAATCCAGGAGCCCGGTTTGTCAGTGGACGAAGCTGTACGTCTGACTGCTGATATGACTGAGGATCTGTCCAAGCTTTTCGCTGCACCGGCGAAATCGGAAACCAGCCGCCAAACACTGGGTAAACAGGTGGTTGAATTCGACGGAATCGAGTATCGTTTGAGCGAGGACTTTGTCAATTCTGCAGCGCAGGTGTCTGATGAACTTAATATCGATGAATTGGTCGCAGCAAAACTCGTCCATTATACATACGAGGAGTCCCAGCGTCGGGGTATTTCACCAGTCGATGCAGCTCTTGCGGGCTTTTACACCCGTCGACAGTATATTATCGCTATTCTCACACTTCTTGTGGAAAATTTCGGCAAAGATCAGGCCCTGAAACCAGTGTTAGGTAGCTCCCCGTTCACAGCAGCCTCCGATGCTTTGCAAGCCGTTGAAGCGCGTCTTGTCGATCTTGACGAGAAAACTAAGCGCGGCGAGTTCATGGGACTTGATATGAATCTTAAATTCGTCCAAACACTCCGGGTCCAGCGTGATTTTCTTGTCCAGGAACACCAGGAGCTCGGCGTTTTGGGTAACCGGCTAATCAAAGCAAACCACGCTACCCCTGACGAAATTATTCGACTCTTGAGTCACATGGCTACATTTACAACCTACTCGACCAGAATGCTAGCATATGTTTCTATTATTACCACGTTTTTTGCTGGCTTGGACCCTTATATTGAGCCAAGTGGTTTGGCGAGCCCAGTTTCAGACTCAGACGCCGGTCGTATTTTTGTTTCTTTGACTGGAGACGCCGCTAAACATACTTGGAAACTCAAATGGTGGCACGGTGCTGTTCAACTGGTCTTTACTGCCTTTTATGCCGGTTTCATCACAACTAGCGACCGCAGTAAACACACGTATGCCGAGATCCTAGTAGCTGTTCGCTCAGCAGTTAACCTTGGCGGTTTCGAAACCTTGATGGCTCTTGCTAGTGATATCAATTCAGTGCCAAACCTCAGCAGTGCCACAGGAAATGATTTTACCCCCGTGGTTAGAACCCGTGTGCCTTCAATGGTCCTATGGTCACCTACAGTGCTTCCCGAGCTCATTGATATTCTTTTCCCGGCGCTACAACTACTTATTGAGGCTTTAACTGCTAATTTGGCCGATATCTTGAAAGAAATGCGTCTCAATGAAGAAGACATGTATTTGGCTTTAGCCACTGCGGGTACAGCCCCTCCCGACCAGGCATTCGCGCCCTCACAACAGCTACTGCATGTTTTGCCCGAAGGTCGTCTTCAAATGCGCCATAAGGAGTCGGGTGAGGCTAGCAAGACGCCACACCCTTCAAAAGATTCAGCTCCTCATTCAGGCCCTGGCCGTGATCTGGAGAGATTCTTCTTGTTTGTTGCGTACACATACCGGAATAGGCCTGATGCAGGCTTGAAGTTTTGGAATGACAAACAAAATTCTCTCTATGGGTTTTTGGTTTGGGCTTCTCAGTGCCAAGTTGCGTTTATGGCGGCAACTTTTGCTGAACTGTTGACGGCTGTTTCTGCTGGGCCTCAGGCAGCTGCCCACTGCCATGCATTCTTGCAACAGCCAATAAAGTCAGGCAAAAATGTCTTTGTATTACGATGGCAAAGTCTCCATGACTTACTGGGCCATTATGCCCTTGAGATAGACCCAAATGCTAAGCGGGACGAGCCGGAACCTGCACCAGAGACGAAGTCGTTCGATATGGCTACGCAGGGCATCGGCTCTGCCGACGCTGTAGAGTCTAAACGCGTAAAGGAGCCGTCGAATGAGACGCTCCGTCCTCTCGATGAGGATACAATGATGGTTGCTTTAGCCTATTTGGGACTTGTCCGCCAGGTGGTTTCTGATAACTCAGAAGCATCAGTTGCTCTCTCTACCCCACCACATGATTTAATTGACCAGATCTTCAAGCTACTTTGTTTCCAGACCCCAATGGTTGCATCACTGCTAGCTGCACTGGCTGCGTTCGCTCAACACACTGACCCACACCGACTGTGGATGGGTCTCGATGACTGGGCGTTTGCAGCGACTATCCATGTTCCGGGCAGTTTGTTGAGACCACTACCTACCCTGCCGCCGCGGCTCGATAGTCTGCTTCGATCCGTACCAGAAGTCCAAGCCTTTACTGCTTTGCTGCGCGAGCTTGTTTCCAAGAAGGACACCAAATTTAGCCCTCGCCTTGATGATTATATTCAGTTTGTGCTTGGTGAGGTTTTAGCCACTACCGGAAGCGATAAAATTGACAAGAACGACAGGGTTATTCTCCTCGAAGCATCTTTGTCTCTCGCTCACGAGTTGGGTGCTCCTGCGCATCGTCTTCTCAGCACCCCTCCGGTATATGCATCTATATTCAAACTGCTGTTTACGGGTCTTGAGGATATAGCTGATTTGAGCAGCAGCCACTTGCTCGTACGTGCTATCGTTACAGCGATGCGTGTGGTTATTGATATGCTAAGTGCAAACATTGTTGATCCCATGCTATTCAACCTGCAGGTAACACCAAACCTAGCGTTGTATATGGGTAGCTTGCATACCGAAATCGCTAGAGTTAGTGTCCAACTGTTTTCGCTGCTGAAAAACACTCCTGAGTTTATGGCTGGGGGAGGCAGATCTGACAGGGTTCTCAGCATTTTACAGTCGGCCTCAGATTCGGATCGTATCAGATACGGACTTATGGAACAACTGCAGCGTGAGGATACAGAATTCGATGTGAAACTAAGTATTTTGGATCTATTGGCCAGCTATTTGGTTACAGAGTCAGACTCCAAGGGCACAGTTGCCCACCAGCTACTGGGTTTCCGTGTTCATGCACTGGGGCACTTAGCGTTAGATACCGCACCGGGAGGTATCGCTTCTGGTGCTTCGCTTCTAGACACTATTGGAGCACTTCTTGGCAGTGCAGTATCAGATATGTCTGGATGGGTTGAGGAATCTTGCGCTGCAATCGCTGCGCGAACATCTGGGATTGTAGCTCATTTGTGCCGTGACCCTCTATCATCCAAGATTGTTCTTGAACATTTACGTGAATCAGAGTTCCTGTTGACCTTACTTGACTTGGAACCCACTCTGAGTCTTGACTGGAGTCTCTCGCAGCAGGCCCGCAGAGATTTCTTTGTTCACCGGGCAAATCTACTTGACATGCTCGCGCATGAAGTTCATCATGTTGGCCAAGACAAAATGCTTTCGCTGCTTTCTCGATATCAGCAAACTCTCATGGATTTAGAAAACCCAGGTAAATCGGCCCTACGGCTGCTTGACTTTATGAAGTTTGCCAACGACGACGCAGCAAGTGCCCAGCTCCAGTGCTTGCGTTCTTGGTGCCAGCTTGTTCCTGTTCTCGTGAACACACCAGGGGACCATTTGACTTTTGTGCTTGAAACTATTCAAACCCTGGTCCCCAAGCTCGCAGAGTACGGCCGAACAGATCCAGAATTCTGTCGACCGTTGGCGTCTCTGTTGGTTCTTTTGCTTGAACAATACCAATCCGCTACTGGGAAGGAGCAGGTCTCATTTGACAGAATGCATCCTTTGTTCCAAGCGGCCTTGCTGGCGATTCAGACATCTGTCTCCACCCCAGATCTTCGAGCTGATCTCTACGTTATCTGCTATCAGATAATCAAAATGATTTTAATCAACGGAGACCAAGCTGCATTTGAGCACAAGCTCCGTCTGGTGATTACAGCGGGTGCACGACTTGTTCAAGTGGTGGCTAACGACGCCCTCGGGTTTGATGAGCGGCTTCGTCTTGTGGCTTTAATCTTCTTGTACGATCTCGCAGCGTTGGCTCGGCGAGCTAACTCACCATTTATTGAGCAAGCGCTTGTGCGATACAACATTGTAAACCTCCTGATTCAAGCTATCCCTTCGCTTGATACTGGGATTGCTCGCACATCACCTACCGCAGCCTCAGATCGAAGTGCCCTGAAAGTTACCCTGGCTCTTCTATTACAATTAGCACAAACCCGCTACAGTGCCGACTTTATTTTGGGAGGTGGTCTTTTAGACGTTCTCGACCAAAGCTTGCTATTAAAGCCCTCTGCATCAGGCCAACAACAGCCTCACAGCGATATTCTCTTGGTTCTATTTCAGTTGGTTGCTGCTGTGATTGTGGCAATGGGGGCAGACAATAAGGATGTTATCCAGCAGGCAAGACAGATGCTGGAGCGTCATCAGCACCTACTCCTTGTAGTTTTACGCACTGACGCAGAAGCCCACGGCCTAGGCAACCTCGCGGGACTGGCTGATGTTGTTGTTTTATTGATCTCCCTTACAGGGTTTGTTCCAAATAGAATGCCGTTGGCGACTGTTTAAGTACCTTTAATTTAAATGACCTTAGATTTGGCTCTACTAAAACTGCAGTCGTGAGGACTGCGAGTAAGCTTTCCCTAGCTTTTCCTGCAGCTTTGAAGCGTTCTCATCTATCCAGTCAAGGCTGGCAACATGTGAATTAAGGATCTGCACAATCTGTGCGAGAGGGTCCTCTTCCTTGAGCTGATTAGCGTCCTTTGTAACTTTATTGATTTCGTCGATGACAGTGACCAGTTGGGTCTCGAGAGAATCAAGTTTAGTGTTCACCTGCTGCGCTAAAGCGTAGGCCTCGCTGCGTTCGCGATCAACTGGTTGCAGACGGTCGGCACTGCCCTCTGGGAGAATCTCGTTGGCCTGTCGTTCATATTTATCGAGCATAGCCTCCATGTCGTCTTGCTGTCGACCAAGGTAGTTCAAAAGATCATCAATTCGTGTTTGTGTCTGCTCGGCAGCAACAACTTCATTGTAGACCTCACTGATTTTGGCGCCATTATCAGCGAGAATGCGGTCCCATTCGGCAATAATCTCTGCTTGAGACTTGAATCTAGTTGTGGACTTTGAGAGAGCAGAGGTCCATTTGGCAACAACGTCTTCAAAAGACTTGTTTTTAAGATAAACAGATGGACTGATTTCAGCCTTTGCAGGATCAACAACACCTGCGCTGCCAGCAGCACTGGTTGTAGCATTATTTTTGTCTGTCAATGCACTCTTCTGCTCCTCGGGTTTGGATCCGAAAGAAAAGGCCGGCTTGTCATCTTCCTTCTGGGTTGATCCTAAAGAGAACGCCGGCTTATCATCTTTCTTATCCTCAGGTTTAGCACCCAATGAGAAACCAGGCTGGTCCTTCTTTTCTTCAGGCTTAGCACCGAATGAGAATCCAGGTTGATCTTTCTTCTCTTCAGGTTTTGCACCAAACGAGAAACCGGGCTGATCCTTTTTCTCTTCAGGTTTCGCACCAAAAGAGAAACCAGGCGTATCTTTCTTTTCTTCAGGCTTAGCGCCGAAAGAGAAGCCGGGCGTATCCTTCTTTTCTTCAGGTTTAGTACCGAAAGAGAATGCTGGCTTGTCTTTGTTTTCCTCAGGTTTGGCACCGAACAGAGGCTTAGACTGCTCTTGAGTAGAAGAGGCACCGGAGGAAGCACCAAAAGAGAAAGCGGGTTTGTTATCGCTCTGTGCCGAGGAGGCACCAAACAGTGATGGCGCGGCTTGGTCTTTCTTATCGTCTGGTTTGGCACCGAAGGAGAATGCCGCAGGGGCCTGGTCCTTTTTCTCTGTAGATGCCGGACCTAAAGAAAACGGCTTTGCAGCTGAATCGGTTTTTCCAAAGGTAAAGCCACTCTCTCCAGCGGCAGGAGTGGTTGCGGGAGCAGTGCTCGCAGCGGAGCTGCCAAAAAGCCCACCGGAAGCAGGCTTGTTTGCCGAGCCAAACAATCCGCCACTTGAAGGAGCGGCAGTGTTTCCAAACAACCCAGTGGTAGTTCCAGGAGCCTGGCTTCCGCTAGTACCAGACGCAGCCGGTTTAGATCCAAAGAGGCCAGAAGATGCGGTTCCTGAGGACGCACCAAAGGCCGGGGCCGATCCCGAGGATCCGCCACCGAACAAAGAGACTGGTTTGCCATCACCCGATTGAGATTGAGTACCACCGGGTGCAGAGAACGAAAAGCCGCCTGTTGAGCTGCCGGAATTCGAGTTCGGAAACGACATTCTCGACAGGTTTTTGTTGTGATGGTGATGTAAGCGGTTCGTGTTCAGGATTTTTTTCTGACTAAATGAAATTACTGGTAGATGAACTATAAGCACTAGGCTTCAATTGAGTCTTCTTTTGACGGTTTTATAGAAAGGGCGGCTTCTTCGGCAGACTCAATGTATTCACGTAAAGCACGGTAGCATAGATCATGATCCTCGTGCTGTTTCAAGCCACTGACTACAATAACCGCTTGAACACCCTCGGTGCCTCTGACTCTGATAGGGAAGCCGCCTCCAGCTAGAGAGTACTGATCCTCAGGGAGCTTGAACGTGTTGTAAAGCTCTCTGCCCTCGATTCTGAGTTTTGTACCAAGGTAGAAAGTCGAGCGGTAAAAGTGCAGCACCGTGCGACGTTTCCGTTCTGCCCAAAACTGGTTGTCTATAATTGTGCCCGGGCGAGAGCTGGCCTGGAAGTAGACCAAGCCAGTTGCTGAAACAATTTGGAGCAGGGCAGGCCTGTCAAACTCTTTCAGCGCCAGCGTTCGCAACCTGCAGCCAATTTCAAAAGCAATGTCTGAGTTGAATGCCTGTAGGATTGTGTTTGCTTCTTGCTGGTCGATTTCTGCGAGGGTGAGCTCCATTACTGTGCGTAGGGCTTATCTAACGGCCTGTATTCCCAAGTCATACGGTTAAGGGTTTGAAACGGGCTGGGAGAAAAAACGGCCCAGTATAGGTAACACCCAAGTTGTACCTCTATGCAGGTTCCGGTGATGCGATGTTTGTGGCGTGGCTGCAGGGGAGGTTGGCCATCGTCGAGATCTGCGAGCGCTCAGATCTAGAATACCATTGTGGCAAGGCAAAAGCACTCAATTCATAAGCAGTGTATATACATTTAGTATCTGAGGGAGTCTGATTTTTCGAAACGTTGTCGGTCCTCCGTGCGATACCAGCCATGAGTCAAACAATCGTGATCGCAGCAAAAAACATGCCGCTGAAGCAAGGAAGTAGTGGCAGGCCAGTTTTTAAGCTAAACTCGTCAAAAAAAAAACTTTGAACATTAGCTGTAATAAAGAGGAAGAGTTAGAGATAATTAATAAGTGTATGGCACTGGGCAATGACCGCTTAACCTGGATCGGGCCGAAATCGAGCTGGGAGGGTCAAGTTTGATGATAGTTTATGCTGCATGGCTTCCACAGTTTGACATGACTAGGGCTCACACGGGCTAGAGGAGAGGTGGGAAGTCCCCGAAAAGCGCAGAAACATACATACAAAGCTCACAGTGGATCTATCAAATATACAGCTTAAAGGTATATGTTGTACAAGTAACGACCCCCACGTTCCCCCAGAATTTTTGAAAAAAAAATGGGCGAGCGGAACCCTTGGGAGTTGGGCTGCAGAAAGCGGGCTTAACACAAAGGACAATATTATGGGAAGCAGAATGAGACGGTACTTATTGTCCTGATATTATAAGGTGCCCACCGGGTCGCTGTCAGCCGATCCAACTTTTACGACCTCATCGCATCTTTCGGCACAAGCTGAAGCATTTGCGCTAAATCTGCCGCTCGCCTCGTGCGCAGCATGCATGCGAGATGGCCTCAGCTGACCAATTTTGGTTGTTGGAAGACCAAGCAAAGGCGCACTTTAGTTTAAGGTTCGCAAGTTATGGGAATCCTCCACCTTGACAAGCATAACGAAAATTTATCTGAATTTCCGTTTTTGATTTTATTGTACAAGCTATAAGAATTGAATCTTATTCCTCTTGCTGTTCTGTATTGGACACGACTAGAAGACCCCCCCCTCCGCACGTCCACCTTTCATCCCCCCTTCAAGTAGGACCTCCAGTTTTTTACCTTAAAACTCGTGAACGAGTCTTGCGATATATTCGTTGCCGCTCTCCAGAACACAATATATTGATGAATCCAGAGAACGAAAACGCCAATAAGGGTGTGGATATGCAAATAAACCAAGCTTCAGCAGACGCAGTGGCATCCGAAAGTTTGTCCCCAAACTCCAAGGACTTTAGCGCAGCATTAGATGAACAGCCGCCGCCACTCAAACGGGCGAAACTGGAAGAAAATTTTCGGCCGCATTCAAATCAGCCAGCGAGAACCACTTCTGATGGATATATCACACCTGGAAACACTAGCGAAGCCACCGGCTCCATCAGCTCAGGCACGAACTCAATAAGTTCCGGCAGTAGTGGGGTCTCTGGAGACCGAAAGGAGTCAAATAGTGAGGAAAGTGAAGAAGTTCCTTCCCAAGAACCTGTCGTTGACCGACCTAATCGGGAATTCTTACGCCAGGACCCACCTCGGGCGAATCGCCCTCACACTCATACGCACCCTCACACACACGCTCACCCCCAATATCCGGTCACTGCTATTCCGTTTCCTGTAGCTCAGCCTATAACACCATCTGAAGGTCAACAACCTATGGCAGCTGGTGCGATGCCTGCGAGGTTTATGTCAATCGAGCCGACCCAGTTGCCAATAGCGACCGTTGCAGTGCCCATACCTGCAGCCAACATGCCGGTTATGCCACCTCTGCACCCGATGGTGTATCCTCCACTGCCAGGTCCCCAGTTGCCCGCGATCGAGAACTGTACGTCATCTGCGACCAGCGGTGCTTCTGGGGTCCCCATGAGCCCAGCAGTAACCCAAACTCAATTACCGTCTCCCCAGCAAATCATGACAGGATTCGACCCCTCATACACCCTTGCTTTTCATTATCATTTTTACCCGCCAGGCGTTTCATTCTACCCTGTCGGTATCCCTACGGGTGTGCCTGGAATTGTGTTTCCAGGTACGCTGAACCATGGTCTTTACCAGACCCCCAACACCGCTTCTTCTTCCTCTTCGAATCAGTCGCCTCGCGCGCTGAGGTCCAGCACAGACGCTAGATCATCTTCGGACTCGAAGCTCGCATCCTCTGCATCCTCTGCATCCTCTGCATCATCAACATCCTCGGGATCGTCGATCGGTTCGATGTTAGCAATGACTAATTCCATCCCGACGATGGTGCCCTATGGAATGTATCCATTGTATGACAGCAACAAGTCAAAGGTGCCAGTTGTTGGCAGCTCGAAACGACAGTATAGATGCCCCTACGACGGTTGCGAGTGGTCGTTCACCCGAGCCAGTGACCAGCGGCGCCACATCAAGTCTCACGAGAAGCCAAAATTGCAGTGTCCGTTTTGGACCCCGCTCAAGTCGTGCCACCGGAACAGTGGCGCCTTCAATAGACTTGATGTCTTGAAAAGACACCTTCGACTTGTCCATTTTGAGCCTCTTAAAGACGGACTTCACAGTGGTACGACCTCTGGCCGTTGCCGCCATTGCCGAGTCGATTTTGCTACCATAAAAGATTTTGTCAACCACTGCAATGCCTGTGCGGCTCATTTTTACAGCAGCAGCGGCAGCAGCGGCAGCAGCAGTGGATCGGGGGCGGATTCGAGCAGTTCCGACGGGGCAAACTTCAACGATTAAAAATTTTTTTATTTATTCTGAAAAAAAACTGGAATTCGGCTTGGTTGATTCCAAGTTTCATATGGGCGGTACATGCACCTACCTAGTTCACCTTCCAGAGGGGCGCATTACCTGAACCAAACACCATCTATTTCTTTTTATTTTTTTTTTCCTTAAATGAGGGACTCTTTTCTAGTGCGAAAACGTTCTTGAATGCTAGACGGCGAATCCCTCACAGTTTGCCTTTGCCGTCACCCTTCCCCTTATAATATTTGCAACCCCTAGAAACAACATATACAAGATAGCATTTCCTATTTATTTTGTGACTATCTACTTTAGGTTTTAATTCCCTTGCACGCCAGTACTTGGCAGTTATTCAGACTTCTTGTTTCGACCTGCTGCCTGAGCCCTGTTGAAAAGCAAAACCCTAGCCCTAGCCCTTCTGTCGAGAATCCCAGAGCGTTCGAAGCAGCAGAGTGCATAGAAGCGACTCAGTGCTCGGAGGGACGCGAGAATGGGGTATTCAAGGCAACCCAAAGGGACCAACGACTGGTTCACCGCCAGGATGTGGTCGGATCTATTTTTGGCTATTCGATGTCATAACAAGAGTAGGATTTTTTCCTCAGATCCACTGTAACAACATGGGCTACAAGGCGGTTGCCGTCACAATGGCACGTTGCCCAGGCAATTTGGGGGTTCTGCAAGCAGAGTCGCCGAACGCACGGACGGCGTAAAGACCCTTAGCAGCGGCTATTTCCTACAGGGTTTCGAATCCATACCAGTTTCATAGTTTTTCTTGTTAATGCACCATCGTGCTCTGCATATTCAAAACTTGTGGACCTGGTCGATTTCGGGTCACATGATTACCCTCGGACGCGTAATTGTTTATTCTGGAGCTTACGGAGGCACGCAAGCTACGCGTAACTTGGACAACCACTGTCAGCATTAAAAGTCTCTTTTATCATTCCCATCTTCCCTATTGCAATAAACGTTTTCTGATATCAATCTCCATGCGGGAATATAAAGTCGCCGTATTGGGTGCTGGAGGTGTTGGCAAGTCCGCGCTCACCTCGCAGTACGTGCAAGGGGTTTTCCTTGAAGAGTACGACCCCACCATCGAAGACTCTTACCGCAAGCAGACTGTTATTGATGATCGCAGCTACGGCCTGGAGATTCTAGATACCGCTGGAATCGAGCAGTTTACTGCCATGCGAGAGCTCTACATACGGAATTCTGAAGGATTTGTTCTGGCGTACTCGGTCACGGATAGAAACTCTTTCGAGGAGCTCAAGTCGCTGCGCGATCAAGTCGTGCGCCTCAAGGACAATTTCAACGTCCCGATGGTGCTTGTGGGTAACAAATGTGACCTTGCCGAAACACGGGCTGTTTCGTTGGCCGAGGCTCAGCTTCTGGCCAAGCAGTGGGGCAACGCATCGTTTTTCGAAACCTCTGCAAAGGAATACCTTAATATTAATGAAGCTTTTGAGTCTCTGGTTCGACAGCTTGCTCGACGAGACTCCGCAGTTGGGTCCTCGTTACGCAACCCCAGTATCTCCGGTTCGTCGTTCGACAGCGTGCAAACAAGAATACACCACCGGCCCTCGAAGCAAGTTTTAGCAGTCAAGAGATCACTTGCTCGCCTGAAGGAGAAGAAAAGCATTCGAAGATTCACGTCAGTCATGTCGTTCGCCCATCTGAACGAAGCCTACCCCTCCCCTCCCCAGTCAACCTCCTCATCTCCAAATCTACAAGAAGTAGATCACCTCGCTCAAGCCCCCGAAATCCCATATGCTGCCGCACACATCCCTGAAGAGCGCAGAGAACAGAAGCACAAATCTCGACACAAGGCTTGTGTTGTAATGTGAGAGAATGCTTTCTGTTTTATTATTATTATTATTATTATTATTTTATCTGCATCTTCACCATTCATTTTATTTCTAATGCCAGTCTTTCCTGGAGCCCAAGACATGCCCCAACCATCCTTATATTTCTTATCTTGGTTCGCACTTGTAGCCGCGAATAGCCCATGTAACTTAATCGAGTAAATACTTTGCAAGAATGTCGTCCGTAGGCATCCGCTCAATCACCTTTTCGCTATCTCGAGCTTTCAGCATGACATTGCAAGCATAGCAGACGCCTTGGCCATCCCCACACACGCTGCACTCTTCAGTATCCTGAGCAAGTTTGGAGGCCGTTTTGGCTACTGTCGACACTACCGCGGGGAACTCCTTCTGGACATCAACAAAGTAACGGTGCACTAGCTCATCAATGCTTTGCATCTTAGTGACCATAGGAACTGGGCGGTCAGGACGGACGTATTTTTGGAGGTTGCGAAGCTGCGCGTATTTCTGCAGCTCATCATCAAGAATCTCTCGCAGAGGGTATATGCGGTCGCGCCCACCAGGGGCAACGAGGTCCGGGATGCCAGCTCCCCGACCTTTGACTGTTTCTGAAATCACCAATTCGGATAACCTCGTCATTGAATAGCCCATGACAACCGCCTCGTAGTTCTTGGCTATGTCGGAGATCAGTCTGCCTCGGAGCTGAAACTCCAAGTCTTGTATTGAGGATCGAGAAAGTCCTCGCAATTGTGAATCGGTCAATGGTTGCCCGTCAATTTTGAACGCTTCGCTGAAAATCTTCTCTTTTGGAATGTGTATTAGCGGGAGATCATCGCCAAACGGCCATTCCATAATATCATCACCGACATACACGCATTGGACTGTGAACCCAATTCTACCACCGTGGTTTGTTCTTTGCCGTAGCAGTAACTCTCCAAGCATATCCACCAGCACCAACGATCCGAGTCCAAACGATACGGGGACAAGTAGTTTGGGCACCGAGCTGGCCATAAAGTTCACCCTGAAGATATCGAGGTTCTTTCTGAATTTAATATTTAGAAACCCAATGTAACAATCCTCGCAGAAATGCTCGCCCCGAGTTTTGACCCTCGATTCCTGGCCACATCTCGAGCACGCAGTCATGGTTAAACTTTTTTTTGAGCCTGCTGAAAGATTGTGTGTCTGACTAAAGATAATGGCCGGGGACGACGGCGTAGAGCGGGATCCTTCAAAGGTCGACTTTGTAAAGAATGGAGACATAAAACTGTTTCCGGATGACCCTACCAGTGAGAAGAAGCTGATGAGGTTCCGCAATAAGGGCCATTCTGAGTTCTACGATCCCTGTTCCGAGGCAGCAAAGATGAGCATGAAATGCCTGGAACGTAACAATTACGACCGCAAAAAATGTAAAGATTACTTCCAGGCTTACCGCGATTGTACGGCGGAATGGCGTAAAAAGGTTTAGACCGATGAGTCGAACTCCGAGGAAGGCTCTTCAAACACCGTAGCTAGCCCGGCGCATAATACTTGTGTCTGCTCTGGCTGCTGTTTCGGCAGGGTCCTAACAACATTCAGATTCCTTGCGTTTGTAAATAGATTCTCAAGCATAACACTGTTCTCTCTCAGCTTCCTAGTCTCTTGACTGTATTGAACAACCGCCGGTATAATTCGCTCGGTGAGTGTTTGGTTGGCTTCAGACAAACTGCGGTCTATTTCCTGTAGAACAAGCGTTATAGACGTGTCCAGCACACCCAGTTGTTTGTGGTCCATGGCAAATAGTGTGCACAACCCAATTTTCAGTTATCGCGTGCCTGGGGTCGTCCCCTTGCCCACGCCCTCTAAACTCAGGTAATCGAGAACCTAACCAGTTAACCTACCTCATTCCCAGGATGGACGGCTACAACATGACGACGTTGATGAAACGTCTCGAAGCTGCGACTTCGCGTCTAGAAGATCTAGTGGTTGTTGCTCAGGGACAGAGCTCCAACCAATGGTCTTCCAATATTGTCGGGGACTCGGTAAAGACAAGCGCGGCCGATACTCCTGCGATGGCTACGCCAGGTGCAGTGGCTACCAAGGCGCCCGTGTCTGACATTGAGCCTTCGGGTAGCATTCCTGCATCTTTGACCGCGCTCAATGGCAAACTGGATACTTTGGTAGAACTTTCCAAGGCCGCAGATCTATTGGTGGGCGAGCAGGCAGTTCTTTTCAAGAATGCTGCTGAGGAAGCGAACAAGATAGTCCTGCTTGCGTCCAGAGCCCAAAAGGCTGAGATAGGAAGCCAGGATTTCATGGATCTTCTCAAGCCGCTCGCAGACAAGATTGCTGCGGTTGTGGATGTTCGCGAGTCCAACCGCACTTCACCGGCGACAAACCAGCTTTCAACTATTGCAGAGGGTGTTCCAGCTCTTGGCTGGGTGTCGACTCCTGCTCCTGCAGATTATGTCCAGGATTTCAAGGACAGTGCCCAGTTTTACGCCAACCGGGTGTTGAAGGATAATAAGGACCACGGCGAGTGGGTAAAGGCCTTTCTGAGTTACTTGAATGAGCTTAAAGCTGCTGTCACAAACGACTTTTCTGACGGAATGAAATGGAATGCTAATGGCAAGCCTCTGAGAGAAGTGCTGTCTGCGGACACCAGCTCGGGCTCCTCTTCCAAAGCCAGCACTTCAGCAGGTGGTCCTCCACCACCTCCCCCTCCGCCCCCTCCGTCTGTTGAGACTCTCACCGCTGCTGCTTCAAAGAGCTCTACACCAGCAAGTGGTCCGACTGGTATGGCAGCTGTCCTTGCTGATTTGAACAAGGGAACTGCTATTACTTCGGGATTACGCCATGTTGACCGCAGTGCTAAGAAGGAGGCTCCAAAGGCCCCGCCAAAGCCTGGAGGTTTGAGAAAGACCAAACCTTCCGCAACGGCCGCCCCTCCTGCGGCTGTTGCTCGCAAGCCCCGTATAGAGCTGGAGAACAACCGGTGGATCATCGAGAACTACGTCGACGAGCATGAGATCGTGATTGATGCTGATCTTTCTCAAGCAATTCTCATTGACAACTGCCAGCAGTGCACGATCCAGGTCAAAGGTAAAGCCACTTCGATCACTATCACCAAGTGCGCCAAGACTGGTGTGCTGGTGTACACTCTGGTCAGCGGTGTTGAAATCATCAATTCCAGCAACTTTGGCCTTCAAATCACTGGCACCGTGCCTAGTCTGACCATTGACAACAGTCACGACGGTGCAGTCTACCTTAGCAAAGAGGCCCTGGACATCGACATCTACACATCTCAGACCGCAGCCATCAATGTGAACATCCCCACAGGCGAACCTGGTGACTACGACGAACGGCCGCTCCCCGAACAGATCATGCACAAGGTTGTTGGTGCTAAGATCTCAAGTAGTGCAGTGAATGCTGCCGACAAGTAAATAGGTCGCTAGTCAATGTGCTCTCGTAAAATGAGGATTTCCGGCCCACCAAAAAAGACTTTTTACGATCCATAGGGACGCAACCTGTTAATTTATGAAAACTTCCAAGATCTTTATACCGAAATGCCGAAATGCATCGAGCCAACGCGGGGTACCCCCTCTGGATTGGGGTACAACCCTCGCCCAAAAGCGATGATCGAGATTTCTTCCCAACTCGATATAAAAGCAGCAAGAATGTCTACAGTTTTCCGTCGGATGATGAGTACTGCTGGCTCCTATGAGCACCTGCTTGTTTCGAAGCCTGCTCCTGGTGTACGTCTTTTGACGCTCAACCGCCCCAAGGCGCTGAATGCTTTGAACAATGCGCTGGTCTCTGAAATCAACCACGCTATCACTACGGCCAACCAGGACAAGGAAATCGGTGCTATTGTTATCACAGGAAGCGAGCGTGCCTTTGCTGCTGGCGCTGACATTAAAGCAATGAAGGATTTGAACTTTGCCAAGGCCTATGGTGGCAACTTCATTTCTCATTGGTCCGATCAGATCAACAGCCGCAAACCCATCATTGCTGCCGTGAATGGCTATGCCTTGGGCGGTGGATGCGAAATTGCCATGATGGCTGACATTCTGTACGCTGGTGACAAGGCTGTCTTTGGCCAGCCCGAAATCAAGCTCGGCACCATGCCCGGAGCTGGCGGAACCCAGCGTCTCACCCGTGCCATTGGCAAGGTCCGTGCTATGGAGCTTATTTTGACTGGTCGCAACTTCACTGCCCAGGAGGCTTTCGATTGGGGACTGGCTGCCCGTGTTTTCCCCGCAGAGAAGCTCCTTGACGAGGCTGTCAAGGCTGCTGCCGAAATCGCTGGCAATGCCCCTCTCGCTGTCATGGCCTGCAAGGATGCTGTCAACCAGGCTTTCGAGTCCAGTTTGTCCACCGGTGTCCGCTACGAGCGTAACATCTTCTACGGCCTCTTCGGTTCCGAGGATCGCCGTGAGGGTATGACTGCTTTTGTTGAGAAGCGCAAGGCCGAATGGAAGGGCGAGTAAATAGGATTGACCTTTTTTGATTCACATATATAGCTCCATATATAGCTAAAATCTCGTCTTTTCGTCACCTGCTGACATGGACCTCCACTTCGTCCCGCTTGTTTTGGTAGGAGGCCTTGGCGGCAAACCAGATGAGAAGCAAACGCCTCTGTCTATACAATCAGTTGATTTAGCAGACGATGTACGGTCGAATCCTGCTCTAGATGTAGTGAAAGCCGCACTGCTAGCTCGGAGCTACGACACGCAGCCCTGGATTGAGCCGGTCAAACTAGGCAGCCCAATTCTTCATTTGAAGCTGTGCAATGAGGCGTTTGTCTACGTCAGAGGCGAGAGACCCTCGATTTTGTCTCCCAAAAACAAGGAATCCTCTTTATTTCCTGACGGATTGTTTACTTACGAGTGGGTTCGAAAATATAGCGAGTACTGGCCGTCCACGGCGGTGGTTTTTTATGAATACACGAATCAAACCGATTTGCAAGAGCTCGGATCTCAAATCACCCAACTCAAAACAAAACTAACTGCTTTGGATATACGGCTGGTTGCAATTGTCACCAGCACAGAAGCAGTGGCTTCGGCTGATTTGGAGTCTGCCGTAGCCGAGCTGCGCTGGTCAACTGGTCTGGCTCCACGCACAGGCATGCTGATGCTTCCACCAGATGCGAACGATGTTGAAACTAGCGTTTTTGTTGAAACATTGTGGCTGCTGCTCGGAACCAACTCTGCTGATTTCTTCGCAAATAGAGCAAGAGAAGTGAGGTATAAACGCGACCGTCTCACCTCTGAAACTGCTTCGTTGCGATGGGATGCACGGTATACACTGAAACTTGCGATATTCTCTGAATTCAAGTACGACGTAAGGGGCGCCCTGAGATTGTATGAATCTGCATATGATTGTGTTCGTCAATTGTTTGACAACGGTCTCGAGCCTAACGATGCTTCTGCATGGTGTGCTGCACGTGAATTGCTGGACACAATTGCCCTCAAAGTTGCCAAGCATGCTCTTTATCTCAAAGATGCTAGCATGGCCTCGAAAAAGTATCGATACCATCTGCATAGTGTTACGCATTTGCTGCAAGTACAACAATTGCCCTCGACACCAGCCTGGCGGGCTTTCAACTACTTTAAGCTAGCGAATCTGGTCAAAAATGCAACCCTAAATCGACCGGTTGGAGCATTCTACCCGGCAGCTCCAGGGTTGTCTAGTGCGCTCCCCCGAGCAGGATTGCTTTATCTTGATGCTGCAAAAGCTGCCACCGAGCCCCCAGTTGATATGGACCCTTACAAAGTTGTTAATATTGACGTTATTGAGGCTCTCAATTCTGCATACACCGACCTGCGGCCATTCCCACATACTGCTGGTCATGCGTTACAAATGCAGGCAGAGTATTTATTGTCATTGGGTGAGAAAGCAGCAGCTTTAGACGCGTACGAGCGTGCCCTTCCATTACTGCATCCTGGCTGGCCCCAGAAAGCTACGGTGGCCCGCCAGATTCTTCAACTGAGTAGCGATGATGTCCAGAAGGCAACTGCTCAGTTAGCCCTGCTGGCCACTGGCGAATCTGTTGAATTAGAGGAAACCACAAGAGAGCTGGGTCGATTCGATACCAGTTTGTTTGATGTTGAAGGAACGTTTCATGCTCAGTCGGGCTATCTTGGCCGTAAAGTTGTCAGCCAAATAACCCTGCATCCAAAGTTCAATGGCACCCTTCGCCTAGCTACAATTAAAGCGATATTCACCGGTAAATCGGTTAGTATCGAGCATGCGGAAAGTGCAGATCCAGAACTGGATGTATACGCGAGTGGTGATGCGAATCTTGTGTTTTCTGGAGGCAAGCCAAAAACATTCGAGCTAAGCATGTCTGTGTCTGAACCGGGCGAAGTAACAATGGAAAGCGTCCATATTTTCGGTGCAAACCCTGTCTTTCTGCAAGAATGTAAAGTCAAGTCTGCGCATGTGTGGCTACAGCATCCTGTTTCGTCCAAAACAACCCGTCACCTGCAGCTGCCGAATCCCCGTGAAATTGAGATACTGTCACGCAAAGCCCAGGTTGCGTTTGAGTTTGACACTTTCGAAAAAGTTGCGCCTCAAGAAAAGGCCGCTTGCTATCTTACTATCATCAACAACGAGACCGAAGTATCTCATGTTAAGCTACAAGTCTACCTTGACGAAGAAGGGCTCAATGAACAGATGGTACACGAAGCTACTTTGGATGTGGATGCTCAAAGCAAGTCAATTGAAACATTTGACTACACTGCACCACCCCAGGGCACATTTTCTTTAAGGGTCGCTGCCACTTACCATACCGATTCAGATCCTATGCCCGTCAAGGCAAGCGAGTCAATCAGCATTGATACGTCCAATATGTTGCGCACAACATTTGATTTGACCCCGCAATACCATCCAGATCCCTGGAAAAACCTGTTTGTACCCGATGGAGACGATATGACCCCCAAGATTGCTCGTGGGTGGGTGCTTCAGGTCACTGTACTTCCGTTGATAAAAGATGCACAGTTGCATGATGTCCGGGTAGAGTTTGAAAGTGAGGACGCAGAGATTGAATCTTTACCACGCCCGAAATATCAAGGATCACTTGTGCATAACAAGCCGGTTCGGGCGAGCTTTGGGTTTGTGTCCCGGCGAAAGAGCCGCGATCTGCGGAGTTTTGACGGCAAGGCTAGCGTTATTATTACATGGAGTCGCAACAGAACGCAGGAAATTTCGAATGAATATGTTTTGCCCCCCCTGCGGCTCTCTTTAACCCACCAGGAGCCGCGGGCGCTCTGCCTTGCCCGCGTGGATGGAGGCACGGTGCACCTCGATTACTATGTTGAAAACAGCACCTCGCACATTCTTACCTTTGCAGTGACTATGGGAACGTCATCCGACTTTGCTGTTCAAGGACCCAAAGGAGGATCATTACGACTGCTGCCGTTCAGCCGACGGAAACTGAGCTACGACATGGTGGTGATGAACGACAAGCGTGCGGTGCTGCCCTTGCTGCGAATCTTCGATACTACCTACAAAAGAGCTCTTACTGTTCTTCCTGGCAACAACACGGTAACCAAAGGACCAAATGGTCTGCATTTAAATCTTTAGTCCTAATAACGCCTCAGTACCCCCCTCAGCTATCGGTTGTCATATAACCCAACCCACTTGGTTGCCACGACCGTAAACCATGGCATTCGAAGTACTGCAGATCACACCCGGTGACGGCAAGACATACCCCCAGCCAGGCCAGACCGTGTCAATGCACTATGTGGGCAAGCTAGAGTCGGGAAAGAAGTTCGATTCGTCCATCGACCGCGGGCGGCCGTTTGAATTCGTTCTTGGTCGCGGTAGCGTGATCCGGGGGCTTGACGAAGGTGCCCGCAAGATTTCCCTGGGCGAGAAGGCGGTCATCAACATTACTAGTGACTATGCCTACGGCGAGCGAGGTTTCCCTGGCTTTGTTCCGCCGAACTCGAACCTGATCTTCGAGGTCGAGATGCTTGAGTTCAAATAGTGTAAGAATAACAATTAGATCTGACATTAAATAACTACTTGCGTTTGCGGCGTTTGGCAGCTGGCGCTTCTTCCTTCTTAGCCGCCGGCTGCTTTCGTTTGGGCGTCGATGCTGCGCTGGTTGCACGGCGTTTTTTCTGCTCGTTTTTGGACTCGCTCTTCTGTTCTGATTTCGGTGCACTTCGAGCCCGAGCCAAGCGGCCGGATTGGCGTCGCCCTTTCGGTTCGTCGTCTGGCGTTGTACCTCTTCGCTGGCGGCGGGACCGTTTGTCCTCATCCGGATCGACAGAGCTCGCCCGCGAGTCCATCAAAGCCCTTTGACTTTCTTCATCTTCATCTTCATCCTCTTCGCCTGCGCCGTCCTCGCCTTCTCCGTCGTCCTCTTCCTCTTCTTCACTGGGTGTGACAGGCTCCTTGACCTCGTCCTCATCCTCGCTCGGCTCCGGGTTGAGAGCGTGCTCGAGCATCAAATCCCCAAATTCATCCCATGATAGCCTGAACTCGCGCTCTGCTTCTTCTCGAGACTCGTCTTCAATTGCTTCAACCCCGGCAAGATCGTAAAGTTCACCGAGCTTAGCCCAGCACTGGTCGATCGTGACTGGGCTTGGATTCAGAACTTCATTCATAAATAAATTGACATTAATCATTTGCCAATGCTTGTGAATCCCGGATGGCTTGAATTTGCACACTCCGCGAAACAAAGCAGACTCGATATCTGGAGTCCACATGATTAATAATCTACGAGGGTTTCCGAGTGAATAAAGCACAGTTTCCGAAGGAAGGTTTCTCTTGAGCGGATGTAAATAGGCCATCAGTCTAAGTTACTTGGTGCAGCTCTCTACTAGAGCTTAAAACTATTTTATCTTTTCGCACAAAACACCGTCGAATCACCATACTGAAATCTTTTTCGCTGACATAAAATTTTCAGCCAAATGCCTCGACGACAGAAAGTGCCGCCCTTTTCGCTGGTGCGAAAGCGGATCAGGCAGTCGTTTAACAAGCTCAACATCTATAATGCTATGACCTGGCGCAAGAACCGGCCATTCAATAGCCAGTACCGCCAGCTGTTCTTTGCCAAACAGGAGTCTCGTGCGTACCACGGTGAAGGGTTGACCGAGACGCAGTTCCGCAACGTTTTCCGATCGGAGCTGACCTCGGTGTCCCCTTTGCAGTCCAAGGCCAAGCGTGATGGTGTCGAGCAAGAGATCCCGCATGCTTTACAGACTTTTGTTGCTCTAGAGCGTCGTCTGGACACTGCAGTGTTCCGGGCCTTGTTTGCTTCTAGTTTGCGTCAGGCTTCGCAGTATGTGGTTACAGGAGCCGTCAAAGTCAATGGTGTCAAGATCAGCCAGCCGGGCTATGTTCTTCGTGCCGGTGATATGTTCAGCGTGGACCCCAACCGTGTTCTCGAGGGCTTGGGCCGTCCGAAGCCTTCGGCTGCTGAAGCCATCACTCAGACCAACCGCATTATTCGCAAATACAACAAGTACCTCGAGCGGTGCCGCAAGAGTCCCAGGCAGATGTGGAAGTCGCGTGAGGCTCGCCGAAAGCGCCATGTTGTTTATAACTCTAAGCAGGCCGCCAAGGAGAATCGCGCAATTGAGCAGCACAACAAATCGATCGACACGGCTATGAAGCGTGAAATCGATGCTGTAAAGCCCCGCCTGATTCTTGAGACTGCTCTGAAGGGCGAGAAGGTCGGTGGTGAAAAGCTCGCTGCAAAGTCAGGCGCCCTGCTTGGCCTGGTCCGAGGCCACCTTCCTCCCAAGGACGAAGCCGGATACTCTGCTGATGAGGTTCGTGACATTTCCGGTCGCTACTATGACAAGCACGAGCCTGGTGTTGCGGGTGTCGCCAATAAGTCAGATGTGAAGAAGCTTTGTGCAGAGCTCGTTCAGCTCAAACAAGACGAGATCCGTACAAGCTACTCTTCTCGTCTCCGTCATCTCGGAAAGGCCGCTCCTTACGATCCTACCTGGGTCGATCGACTGCCCCAGCCAATTCCAGAGATAGACCCCGAAACCGATCCCGAGGAGTTTGCAAAGATGAAACTGGCTCTGCCCTTCTCAACAACCGGTAAACTTTACGGTTTGGCAGAGCCTGAAAAGCGGTGGTTCACCCCCTGGGTGCCTCGTCAGTTCGTGGCTGCCATGGCAGTTCTGCCGCACCATTTGGAGGTCTCCCACGAGACCTGCCACGCCATTTACCTCCGCGACCCGGTTGCTCGACCGAATCACTCTGAGGTCATTTCGCCTTTCAGTCTCGACATGCATGAGCGGGTTCATATGTGGTATAATTATCGCCGGCGGAAGAACCTGGCACGAACCGGCAGTGCTTAGAACTTTTAATTGTATATACAACATTCTGTTTTACTTTTTTTGAGGCGTTTACTGGCGGTAACGCGACGCAATCTCCAAACGTTCACGCAAAATAGGGCGCTCGCGGGAGATCCGGTTCTGAGTTTTGGATGCCTCGGCAAACGTGATGGCCTGGATTTGCTCAGCACGAGTGCGGGCGAGATCAGCATTGCGCTCAAAGAGCTCAATGGCTTCACTATTCTGGCCGATCTGGAGGCAGAACTGGGCCAGAGTGCCGATGGCAACGTCGGAAGCAGGGTCAATGGCAGCGGCCTTGCGGCAGAGCTCAATGGCACTGTTGATACCTGCAGGGCCGGTTGAAGAGCTAGCAATAGCGAGGGCCTTGTTAATCAAAGGAACAACATTAATTGCAGCAACGTCCTTCGCAAGCTCCAAACGAATGGCCTCATCAAATTGGGCGCTGGCACCGTCAATGTCCTTCATGTCAAGCAAGATCTCACCGTAGTAGTTGTGCACGTTAGAGTTGTCAGCATTCTTCTTGACCATCTGCTCAAACTTATGCTTGGCAACTTCAACATCGCCCTTGCGGTATTTGGTAACGGCGCTCTGGATGTGAGCGAGCAAGAAATCACCGTCAATCTTGATGCTGCGGTTGTAATGCTCAATAGCAGTGTCCCAATCTTGTTGGAGGAAAGCAAACTGCGCGAGCTGATACTGTGTGTCGGCAGAGTTGGGGTCGAGTTGATCAGCGCGGGCAAAGTCGGCGTTAGCAAGTTCAAGCTGTCCGAGCTCAATGTGCAAAGAGGAACGTTTGATGAGAGCCTGAACAGTGGGGTTCAATTCAATAGAGTTGTTAATATCGAGCATAGCACCCTCCATATCGTTCAGCAGGAACTTGAAAGTAGCCTGGAACTCAAGAGCCAATGCCTGGACCTCGGGGTTCTTGAGACCCTTCTCGAGAGCCTGACCCAAGTAAGCAAAGGCCTGCTTGTAAGAGTCCAGATTTTCCTTGTCGATAGCGTCAAATGCAAGCTTGACGTCGTACTCGGGGGTTCCTTCCTCAGCATCAACAACGTCGGCAGGCAAGTCACGCTTGTGGAAAGAGCTCAAGTAGGCAGAAACAAAGCTGGGGGAGGGCCACTCAATCTTAGCGGTCTTGTAGCGTTCCTCGACAATCTTCTCAGCCTGCTTGCGCAAGACGCGATCGACGGCACGGCCCATATTTTCATCCTCAAAGTTGGACAAAATGCAGGCAGCCGTGTAATCCATAACAGACTCGCTGTAGTCTTCGAGTCTCTCATAGGCCAAACCGCGACGGTTGAAGCACTTGGTATAGTCCGGACGCAAATCCAGAGCCCTGGTGGTGTCCTTGACAACGCTGGGGAAGTCTTCGAGAGCACCGTAAACAGCGGAACGGTTCGAGTAGTAAATAGCGTCAGAATCATAGACTTCAATAGCCTTAGTATACATCTCCAAAGCAAGATCGTTCAGCTTGTTGTTGAATGCTGCATTACCTGCCAACTTGAACTCGTCAGCAATCTCTTTGCGAGTCTTTTCGTCGAGCTGCTTGACCGCAGACATATCCTCAATTACGGGGTAACGAGGTCCGTCAGTGACAGGGACCTGCTCGGTGGGGAAGCCGTGAGAAAGCACTGAGGACTTGGATCCAGTCTTCTTCTTGCCCTTGGACTTGGACTTGGACTTGGACTTGGATTTAGCCTTCTTGGCCCCCGGAGATCCTGGAGTGGAGTCTCCGCCGGCTTGAGAGGACGAGCTGTACAGATAATACAAGGCACCACCAGTGATACCAAGCGCCAATGCGCCAGCAATCAGATTGTTCCGGTGGCGTTGAACGAATGTCTCCAGATTTGACATTTTTTAAGAAATGTATCGAAAAACACACACCTAAGATCTGATGACAAACCAGCTAACAGACCACCCTAGCGTGGAAAATCGTTGCACCCGGGGTAGTAGGCATGTGAAATTTCAAGAGGCGGGCTTGGCGAGGGGGTGGATCAATGGCATCGCACATGAAAGAACCACGCAGATCAGCGAGGCCACCGAACGGAAATATGAATCGGTCCCTCGGCCGGTGCAGATCGTCACAAGCCCGTGCAAGTACCGCGGCGGTCAGCACAACACATGCTCGGCTATGGACTGGAGCGGACCAGTGAGACGGTTGTCGGAACACATCTGAAACAACAGCGTTTTCGGTATGGGATCTATAGCTCAGTAAATTGTGAAATTGATGAAAGTTTGGCGCTCGTTGTGTCGCTGCGTTGGGTAACTTGACAGTCAAGCACCAATCAGCGCCCGGAATCGCAGCTTACCCCACAAAATATGCACCTCGGTAGGCATTCAGCGGAGGCTTAGGTAAGGGTGGTATATAAATGACTCGGTCAAACCCCACTGCCCAACGTTTAAGGTTCGGCTTACGACTTTTTTCGCTACCTCCACACCCCATTCGTGTCCAAAACTCTGATGCTGTGCAAGAAACAAGCGCTAAGTATGCCAGTCAAAGCCGCTGTTCGTATGAATTCCACCGCTGCCCCCGCCGGTTACAAGGAGGACCTGGTTCTCGGTAAGACATACCGCTTCCAAAACTCGCTACCGAAGTTACCCGTGCCTACCTTGCAGGAGACCGCAAAGCGCTACCTCCGCACTGTCAAACCTTTTGTCATTGATGAGACGTACGCTCGCACCGAGAAGCTTGTCCAGGAGTTCATTGCGCCCGGAGGCCAGGGTGAAGTTCTCCAGAAGCGTTTGGAGGCCCGTGCCGCCGACCCCAATGTAAAGAATTGGCTATATGAATTTTGGAATGAGGCAGCCTACATGGCTTACCGTGACCCCGTCGTGCCTTACGTCTCTTACTTTTACTCCTACAAGGACGATCCCCGGTTCACTCAGCCAGCCAAACGCGCTGCTGCCATCATCACCGCAGCCCTGAAATTCAAGGGTCTGCTCGATACCAAGACTTTGGAGCCTGACTACATGCGCAAGGCCCCAATTGATATGGAGCTTTTCCGCTACCTGTTCCACAACTGCCGTGTTCCTGAGCCCAAGGTTGACGGTAACCTCGAGTACCCCGTTTCCGGCAATGAGTACTTTGTTGTTGCTCGCCGCAACCGCTTCTACAAGGTTCCTTATCTGACCCCCGAGGGCCGTCAGCTCTCTACTGCCGAGTTTGAGAGCCAGCTGCTCAAGATCTACAACGATGCCGATCTCAAGGGCACTGGCCCCAACGTCGGTGCCTTGACCAGCGAGAATCGTGATGTTTGGTACGACATGCGTCGCGATCTGCTCGCAGACGCTACTAATGCTGCTTCACTCGAGACAATCCAGGCCTCTGCTTTCGTGGTCTGCCTCGATTTCGCTTACCCCCTCGAGAACGTTGAGCGTACTTATCAGTACTGGCACGGCAATTGCCAGAACCGCTTCTACGACAAGCCTGTTCAGTTCGTCATTAATGACAACGGCACTGCCGGTTTCATGGGCGAGCACTCTATGATGGATGGCACCCAGACGCACCGCCTGAACGACTATGTCTGCGACGAGATCTTCAACAACAAGGTCGAGTTGACAACCGAGCTTTCCTTCAATGCCCCCGCTGAGGAGATTGTTTTCAACGTCTCCGACAAGATCGCTGGCCACGTTGCTCGCGCCGAGAGGGACTTCTGGAACGAGATCGACCAGCACGAGGTCGCGGTCTGGGTGTTCAACAACTACGGCAAGAACCTTATCAAGCAGTTCAAGTGCTCTCCTGATGCTTACCTCCAAATGCTGCTTCAGCTTGCTTACTTCCGCATGAACGGCGTTGTCCGCCCTGTTTATGAGTCTGCTGCTACCCGCAAGTTCGCTCAGGGCCGCACCGAAACCTGCCGCTCTGTCTCCATTGAGAGTGCCGACTTTGCCCGCTCTTTCTGGGACGCTAACGTCTCTGACGCTGAAAAGGTCAAGAAGTTCCGTCTCGCCGTCGACCAGCAGGTCAAGTACATTGCCGATGCCTCTGAGGGCCGAGGTGTCGACCGTCATATGTTCGGTCTGAAAAAGATGCTCCAGGAGGGCGAGCAGATGCCCGGCATTTTCCAGGACCCCGTCTTCGCTTACTCCGGTACCTGGTACATCTCCTCCTCCCAGTTGTCTTCTGAGTACTTCAATGGCTACGGCTGGTCTGAGGTTATTCCTGAGGGTTTCGGATGTGCCTACATGATTAACGCAAACAATTTGCAGGTCAACATCTGCTCTAAGAAGATGGGCTCTCACAAGTTCCAGTCCTACCTCGAAGAGGCTGCCAACGAACTCGCTAAACTCCTCAGCGCCGAGACTGGCACCAAGGCCAAGCTCTAAGTTATAGAATTAGATTTTCAGCAATTCCAGATCTCCGTATTAAATCAGCCGTCCTGCTGACTACGTCGGCTTGTCTGTCAAAATGGTGTACACACTCAACGATACACCTGTTCCGCAAGAGCCGGCGAAACCGTCGAATGTTTGGAAGGAGAAGGTGCCAATCGTTATTGATATGGGATCTCACGAAACGCGAATTGGCATGGCCGATCAGTCAAAACCAGCCCATGTGTTTACCAGCCGCACTGCAAAGTATCGAGACAGAAAGAACAATAAGAACATCACTGCCGCAGGAAATGACGTTCTTCTTGATCCGATTGCCAAGCAAAACTCAAAGTCTCCGTACGACGGTCTGTTTCTCGTAAATTGGGATTCTGTCGAGCAGCTCCTCGACTACTCGTTTCACCTTCTAGGCGTCAAATCGAAAGGTCGAGTCAAGAACCCTATCATTATCAACGAGCAGTTTGCTGTACCTAAAATGCCTCGGCGCACGCTCTGTGAATTGCTCTTTGAGGCTTACGGCGTGCCCGCCGTGGGGTTCGGCGTCGATGCTCTATTCGCCTACCATAAAAACAGTAAACCGTCACAAGCCGGGGTGATCGTTCACGGTGGTGCCGAGGCCACGTTTATTGTACCAATTCTACCAGGCGGAGAGCCGGATTTAACAAATGCTAAGCGGATTAACTGGGGTGGTCGTCACGCAGCCGAGTTTATGCAAAGCTTGTTGGCATTGAAATACCCTCTTTTCCCCACCCGTGTTAAAGTTTCAGAGGCTGAAATGTTGATCAAGGAGCACTGCTATGTTTCTCAAGACTACCAGAATGAGCTGGAGCACTATCTTGACCTTGATGGTTTGGAGGGCAGAGAACGCATTGTTCAGGCCCCCATTGTGACCTTGGGTAACGAAAAAACCGAGCAAGAGCTCGAAGCTATTGCTGAACGGAGAAAAGAAAGCGGACGGCGCTTGCAGGAGCGTACAGCCAAGATTCGAGCAGAGAAATTGGCCCAGCAACAACGTGACTTGGAGATTCTTGAAAACCTGAGAGAGACAGAAGACGAAAATGAAATCAGAAAAAACGGTTTCGAGTCTTTGAAGAGTTTGGATTGCGTGATAAAGAAACTGCAAATTGCGGTAGCCCGTGCCCAGGGAGAAGAGGTAGATGAGGAAGAGGAGGAACCGCCGGTGCTTCCGCTCGTTGATGTCCCCGATGAGCAGCTTGATCCTGAAACTCTGAAGGAGAAGAGACGTCAGAAACTCATCAAAGCTAGTTATGATGCCCGCCAGAAAGCGAAGCAAGAGAAGAGAGAGGCGGCGGCCGCGGCCGCTGAGGCCATCGCGAAAGACGATGAATGGAGAACCAATAACTTCGACGAATGGGTTGCTGCCAAGCGCCATGAGCTCAAGATCTTGCAGCAAGCTGCCCGTGATCGCGAAAAGTTACGCCAAGAACTCAGTGATCGAAAATCACTGGCATCCCAAATGCGTATGAAATCAATTGCCGAACTTGCTGGCGAGGGCGGCGCAAGAAAACGTCGGAAAAAAAATGATGATGGCGAAGATGATGGATTTGGCGCTAACGATGATGACTGGCAAGTCTACATTCGGAAAGAGGACGGTGAAGACAGTGACGCGGAACAAGAACAAGAGCGAATTAGCGAGCTCCAAAGGGTACTGCTCGAACATGACCCTGATTTCACAACTGCAGACCTGTTTGGCGAAAAGATTGACTGGCGCCACAGCATTGTGCACAAGTTTTTGTACGGTGCCCATGAACTCGATCCAGAAAATCACGAACAGGCCTACCAGCTCAATCTCAATATTGAACGAATCCGTGTTCCCGAGGTACTGTTCCAGCCGGACATCGCAGGCGTGGATCAGGCTGGTGTGACTGAAATTGTCACTGCAATGCTAGTTAGCCGCTATCCCAAAGATGTTGGCGAAAACATGGCCAAGAATGTGATAGTCTCAGGTGGGCTGGCTAACTATCGGGGATTCGCTGAGCGTCTTCATTCTGAGCTGCAAAGAAACTTGCCCTCTGGCACAGAACTAAACGTTCGCAAGGCGGAGAACCCCGACGTTGATGCGTGGTGTGGCATGGCTTCCTGGGCTAAGGAGCCAGTTCTTATCAGCAAATCTGAATATCAAAAGCATGGTGCGGAGTATTTCAAGAAGCACAATTGTAGTAATGTATAAAAATTAATAGTCTACTGCTTTTTACCAGGCCGCAGAGCCCTGGGGTTATGACCCTTTTTACGTTGAGCGCGTTTGAGTGACTGCTCGACAAACTGCTCATCAGCCTCCTCATCGAACTCGGCAAATGGCTGGGTGAGCTCCTCGGTGAGATCCTTCTCCTTGGCTCCATTGGCAGAAACAGGGGAAGGCCCAATCTTCTTGAACTTGGCAACGTAGAAGCCATCAACGTTATAAGTGTGGGGGTAGTAACGACGAGTCAACTTAAGCTTGGGGTTAAAAGTCTTGCCACGGAAAGAGGTAAAGCCCTCTTTACCGATTTCGAGTCCGGTGTCTACAATCTGCACATTAGGTCGCTTGCGTAGGACATAATCAACGACTGCTTCGTTCTCTTCGACCATAACCGAGCATGTAGAATAAACAATAGTGGCGCCCGCGCTCTTCTCGTCAACAGAATCGATTGCACAAAGCAGTAACTGCTTCTGCAGATGCGGAAGCTGAATGAAATCCTTTTCTGTACGGTTGGTCTTTACAGCAGGATCCTTGGACACGACACCAGTACCAGAGCAAGGGGCATCCAAAAGCACACGATCGAAACCGCCAATGACCTTAGGGAACTGGCGAGCGTCATAGTTGCAGACAATGGTGTTGGTGCAACCAAGACGGTGGATATTGGCGATGAGAGACTTGGTACGAGCTTTGTTGGCATCGTTGGCAAAAACAACACCAGTATCTTTCATGAGAGCGGAGATGTACGTGGTTTTGCCACCAGGTGCAGCGGCCATATCGAGGATACGCTCATTCTCCTGAGGCTCAAGGGCCATGACAGGCAAGAATGAAGAAGCAGCCTGTAGAATATAATGACCAGACAAGTACTCAGGAGTGGCACCAATAGGCACTTGCGAATCAAAAACTTGCAAACCAACCTTGGTCCAAGTACCGATGGGCTGAAGATTGACACCACGGTTGATTAGGGTCTGAACAAGATCCCGGCGGCGGGTCTTGAGAGTGTTTGTGCGAATCGTCATTGGACGAGGAACCTCGTTAGCCTCGAAGAACTCAATAGCCTCGGCGGGATTGAATAACTGGAAGAATTTCTCGGCCAAGAAAGGAGAGTAGCCGTAGTAGTCACAGATATCACTTAGCAGGCGATCAGTGTAAAACGAGCGGCTCTTTCCTTTGTTCATATCGGCAAAGTTCTCGAGAATCTTGACGGTTTCCATGATACGAATACGGATAGACGGCAAAGTGAGGTCTCCCTCGCCTTCTTGAGCCTGTTCTTCGTCATCTTCAACATAGCGATCTTCGACTTCTTCTTCTTCCTCTTCATCGCCGTCCTGATCCTCATCCTCATCAGAATCGGGGTCCTCTTCCTCGGACTCTGAGCCAAAGTCGAACTCATCCTGTTCCTCCTGATCTTCTTCGTCCTCGTCGCTATCCATAAAGTGAAGAGCAGTTGACTGATTCATCTGTTCGAGCTGGTCATTGTCGCCCTCATCGTCGCTGAACATAGGACGTACCTGATCATCGTCATTATCGCTGTCTTCGAAAAGATCGGCGCTAGCCTCCTCGAGTTCGTCGCTGTCGTACTCGTCGTCGTTTTTAGGGGTGGTGGGCTCGGTTTTGGCCTTTTTCTCGGCTTCAAGCTTTTTGGCACGCTTCAAAGCACGGCGGCTGGGCTTCTCAGGCTCCTTGCGCTTTTCACCGCGGAATTCCTCAAGACTAGGAGGGGCCGCTTGCTTCTGTTTAGCCCGACGTCCCATTTTTCAAAAAAGTTTTAGATGGGAAAAAAATTATCTAAGCCAAGAGAATTTCACTCCAGCATATTTAGGGGAAAAGGCCAACTAGAATACCCGAGATGGAGCCGCTAAATATTCAAGCGAATCAGCTGATTCTTTTAAGACTGCCCTCACAAAACATCAAGGTTGTGAAAGTCGAGCCGGGCAGTATCATTTCACTAGGCAAGTTTGGCTCGTTTAGGGCCGACGACATTATCGGCGATCCATTCGGATTTACCTACGAAATTGATTCCGGTATGAAGCTAAGTCTAGTTGATAACACTATTGAGTTTGATGAAGACGACCAGATGGGAGCAGAGCAGGCCATGACGGGTCACAAGATCACTGCGACGGGCATGCAGCAGCTGACGTCTGAAGAGATCGAAGCCCTCAAGAGCCAAGGTGTTTCCGGCGCGGAGATTATTGCCAAAGTCATGGAGGGACATGCTGCCTTCGAGCACAAAACCGAGTACTCCAAAGAAAAGTATCTGAAGCGCAAAAAGCAGAAGTTTCTCCAGCAGTTCACGCCTTATGCGATCGGCAGCACCGAGCTGATTGATATTTATTTGGACAAGGATCCCACACGGATTTACAATCTTAGCCCTGAAACTCTAGCCCTAGCTCTGAATATGGGCAACATCCGTCCTGGCGGCAACTACCTTGTTGTTGACGAAACTCCCGGCGTGCTTGTTGCAGCCATCCTCGAACGCATAGGAGGAGAGGGCACGATTACCCTAGTTCACGAGAACGAGCATCCTAATCTCGACTGTCTCAAGTACCTTGTTCTTAGCGAGGAAGAGCGCGAGCGAATGATCAAGACCATCAATTGGCTCGAGCTGTTTCACCCCGAGGAGTCGGAGCCTGTGCGAACAAAGACGGCAGAAGAACTGGAGGACCTCAAGCCGTCCCATCGCCGACAGTATTACAGAGCGAAACAACGCGAAGAAAATCACAAAGAAATTCTGAAACGAGCCGACACTTGTGGTTTTGATGCTTTGATGGTAATGACCCTCCTGGATCTGCCGACGCTAATCCCGCAGCTGCTGCGGTTTGTGGGCGGATCGCGTCCGATTGTACTGTACTCCGAGTTCAAAGAAGTGCTTGTGGAAACGACGCTGGCTTTGCAGAAAGAGAACCGAGTTTTGGCCCCCACTATCATGGAGACTCGTGTTCGTAAATACCAGACGTTACCTGGCCGTATTCACCCCCTCATGACTTCGCGGGGATACGGCGGCTATTTGCTCAGTGCGTTGAGAGTGCACCCGAACCGAGCAGTCAACGCTGTAGGCAAGATAAGCAACCGGCGAAAAAAGGCGAAAACCACCGCCTCTGCCACACCAACCCCTGAGCCCGCTCAAATTGCACCTGTAGATGGCCAGGAAATCAGTCCAGACACACCGGCAATCGATGCATAATCATCGCACCGCCGCATAGCACCCCGGTTTTTCTCCGCTTCTCCGCATTCTGCGTAGTAATGTAAGCCCTGCATACTGACACTGGTTATATAAATTCTTACCCGCAGAGAATACCCCGCACTTTTATCTTGTACTCTGTCAATATGATCGTATATCGCTCTCCGTTGCCTGATATATATGTCCCCAAGGCCAATTGTGTGGCCCATTACTTTGAGTCCCCACACCTCGCCCAGTTCCCGAACACCGTAGTCATGCTTGACTCTTACACGGGTGAGCAGCTCACTGCTTCTGAGCTTCACACCGCAGCACGTCGCTATATGGCTCTTTTGGCGCGTCGTTACCGTGTTGTTAAAGGCGACGTTGTCAGTATTTTCACTAGCAATTCGATATACTTGCAGCCCGTCCATTTCGGAATCGTGGGTTTAGGGGGTATCATCTGCCCGGCCAACGCCAATTACACGGTCAGTGAGCTCGCCTACCAACTCAAAATGACCTCAACCAAGCTGATTGTATGCACTGTCAAAAACATCTCAATCACCCGCCGGGCGATCGCTGAAGCGGGCACCAAAACCCGCGTTCTGACTTTGGAGCAGGCCATCTCCGATATCAAACGGCTGCTAGCAGACGAAAGCGCGCTTGAGTTCGACCCTGTTCAGCTCAATGATCGCATTCATCCTGCTTATCTGTGCTTTTCTTCAGGAACCACTGGTCTTCCCAAGGCCGTGCAAATCACGCATCGCAATCTAAATGCCCAGATTCGACAGCTGGCTGGAACAGGTGGTAGACTGTTTCAATGTCGCACGCGTACCGTGGCCTTGCTGCCTTTCAGCCACAGTTATGGTCTTGTTTCCTATTTATGGGCCATGCCTTATTTGGCTCAGACTATGGTGGTGTTTGATGGCTTTGATTTCGAGCACCTGCTCAAAAGCATCTGTGAATATGACGTTGGCTATTTCGCTGCGGTGCCCCCTATGGTACTCATGTTGGCAAAATCACCTTTGGTCGACAAGTATCCGGTTGGCAAACACCTCAAAGTCGTTGTTAGCGGAGCAGCACCCCTTGCAGCTTCGACCCTGAAGTTGTGTCGGGAGAGACTGCCTGAGGTTGTGTTTAACCAGACCTATGGTTTGACCGAAGTCTCTCCTTACTCCCATATGGTCGGATACATGTCTCGTCACATGTATAACAATTCAATTGGTTGGCTTATCCCTAATATGAGAGCCCGGCTTGTTGATCCAGAGACGCTGACGGATGTTCCGCCCGGGCAGCCTGGTGAGCTATGGCTGCGCGGTCCAAATGTTATGCTGGGCTATTATAAAAACCCAGAGGCCAACAATGCAGCCTTCCATGAAGGCTGGCTACGCACTGGCGACGTTGCCAGAATCGACGAGACAGGCCAGTATTTCATCGTTGACCGCCTCAAGGAGCTGATCAAGTCAAAGGGCCACCAGGTGGCACCTGCAGAGCTCGAAGGGATTCTACTTACCCACGAGCACGTTATAGAGGCTGCAGTCATTGGGGTTCTTGACGAAACCGAAACAACCGAGAACCCTCGAGCCTTTTTGGTCCTACGTCCAGAAGCCGACGTCGAGCAAATCCTATCTTGGTTCAACTCACTCGTTTCTAAACACAAACGACTCTGGGGCGGTATTGTCATTGTTGACCAGATCCCGAAGTCTGTGAGCGGCAAAATCATTCGTCGAACTTTGCGGGCGCGCAAAAACGATACAGTTTACACCCCAGTCGATGCCAAGCTCTAAACCGAACTTTATAAATTATACAACCTTAGAAGTCTTTATTCGTACAGCGGCAGTTTCACTGTCGTCCAGTCTAATACAGAGTCTGGATGCTTTGCCCACACGGTGCGGGGATTACCTGCACCATCGAGTCTGCCCTGAGCTTCCCAGCCCAGTTTGCGGAATTTGTTGCAGCAGAACTCGATCTGGTGTCCAGACCCGACCTCAAACACAGCATTCTTGGCCTGGGCTTCAATTACCCGGTCAATCAATGCCTCGTACACCGGAAGATCACCAACCAGGGCCAGCCTCGGTTCATACATGCTGACTGAAAAATCAGCGTCGGTAAGGTTGGGGATATATGGCGGATTTGCGACCACCAAGTCTGCTTTCACAGAAAGAGGATTGTACAAGTCGTGCCGGAAAAATGTCGACTGCAAGCCCAGGTGGGTTTTATTGAGCTGGAACACTCGCTCGGAATGAGGGGAAATGTCGCATGCGGTGCCGCGAATTGTCGTGAGCTTTTCCAGTAAAAACGCAATGCACCCCGTACCTGTACATACGTCCACGAACGAAGTATGTGCAGCAAGGGTGGGAGCCAGCTCCATCACCCATTCTTCGGTCTCCCAGCGAGGAATTAGCACTTTACGCCGGCACAGGATTTCCAGAGGCCCGAACGGCTGGGTGCCCAGCAAATACTGTAAGGGTACACCCTGGCCCCTCAGTTTGCAGATTTGCGTAATTTTTCCGGGTGGACCCTGGATCTCAGCTGATATCCATCGCAGCTCCCGGGCGGCTGCATCCGTCGACCGAAGCGCCGGTAGCAGCGAGCGAATGCGCCTATCGCGAACTTTCCAGAGATCCGACGGCTTGATACGCATAGCTCGGCTTATGTGTGCTGATGTGGCCGCCGATCTTTCCAGACTGGGTGGTTTTTTCAGCACGTATAGAAAATTGTCGAACGCTTATGCAGCGCTTATGCAGAAATGCAGCACACAGAACACCCTGGGGGAGCTTACTTTGCGGGACGTCACAAACCCCGCTGCCCTGATTTCTCCAAAGGCTGGTGGAGGGACGGCCACTCCCAACTTGTTCTCAGACCACCACTGAACTTGAGAAAGAGGACGACGTGCAAAACAGCACTGGGTGACAGGCTTGAATAAATCAAGTGCTAGTAGAGGCCGTCCGGGGAGAAAAGAATTATATATATCAGTTTGTATGACCTTACTTTGCCCCTTGGAGCCCACAGTGTCCGAGCCCGTATTGACGCCGCCCGGGCTGCAGAGACCCCCCGTTCACGACCGAGCAGCGTCTGAGATGGCTGTTCCGCGAATTATTGTTGACTATTCAGACTCCACGCTACTGGATACGGCGGCGGACGCAACTGCAAACCTTTCTCTCACCGTTCCACCCCCGCCCGCTCCGCGCCCGGCTCTCAATGCGGACGCCCAGGAGCCAGCGGCGGCGGCAGCAACGCCGGGACAACTGAAGCTGCCAGGGCCTGCTAATTTACGGCCGACGCGGCCCGTTCTCCAGCGGTTTTACTCACTGCCTTCTGCCCCCACGCTGAGTCCTGCGCGGCATCACTTCCGTTTACAAAGCGCTGAACCCCGCATGGTAAAAGAGACGCCAAGCCTGGCGTTCTCAGAGGACTCGCGGGGTCGATTTGTGAACCAGTATCTTGTTCGAAGAGTTGTTGGTCACGGCTCCTATGGCTTGGTTTACGAGGCGGTCGACGTTGAAACCAACACGGCCTTTGCAATCAAGGAGTACTCCAAGACGCGCTTGCTCAAGCTCAATCGCAAAGTGATGATGCAGATGCGGCGCCAGGGCCATTCTGCCGCAGCAATGTGGACTCCTGCAACCGCTGGAGGATTGATTCGTGGAGAAGTCGCCATCATGAAGCGAATTGACCACCCAAATTTAGTAGCGCTCCACGAAGTTATTGACGACCAAAGAAGCGACAAACTGTTCATGGTGATTGAGTGGTGTGATAAAGGCACCATTATGCCCCCAGAGTGCAACTATGACGGAAAGGCAACGCCTCTTGATGAGGAACGCTGTCGGCTGTATTTCAGAGACATGATTTTGGGCGTAGAATACTTGCATGCCCAGGGAATCGCTCACCGCGATATCAAGGCAGACAATGTTTTACTTAGCGACGACGATGTCTTGAAGATTGCCGACTTCGGAGTGTCGGAAATGTTCGACAGAGCCTCGGAAAATGATACTGTCCAGGGCTGTGTAGGATCACCAGCATACATGAGCCCAGAGCTTGCTTTGATCTCTGGGGGTGGTGCTAAGCAACCTGTAGTGCTCCCTAAAAAAATCAGTGGTCGCAAAGCGGACATTTGGGCCATGGGTGTGACGCTATTCTACATGAGCCACGGCAGACTGCCCTTCGAGGCCAATTGCCTCGACGAACTGTACTGCAAGATTCTTAATGAAGAGCCCGAGATTGGCACAGGTTGCAGCCCAGAGCTCAAGGATCTTTTCAAGCGGATTTTGTGCAAAGACGCTAATACCAGAATCAGTTTGAATGAGCTCAGAGAGCATCCATGGGTCACCAGCGGCGGTCACGACGAGCTGCTGCCATATGAAGAAAATGTCGAGGGCAGTACGGACGTTATTACCGAGGAAGACTTGAGTTCTGCTGTAGAGTCACTCCAGCAGCGGTTTTCCCAGCAAAGCTTAGATTGGTACAATTTGGCCAAACGCCTGCAAGCTGGTCATGGCTTCCGCGCCCCGTCGCTGGGCAACCGAACACCAAACATGGAGGCCTCTAGAACGCCCTCATTTTCATCGGGCGGTGGCACTCCTCCGGATTCTGATTTCAAGCCCAGCTTCAAACCAGGACATCGGTCTGGGGAGAGTTTGGGCAAAATGGAGAAACTGACAATGGCATTAGATGAAATCATTCGATCGAACCAATTGGATTGGGAACAAACTTCTGATTTAGGTAACAACGATCTCTAATTTATGTATGTTTAAACACGTTACGTTACGACTTTTTCAAAGCTTGGCGCGATACTCATTGACGATTTTCTCGTAAAACTCCTCCTCACGGGCCGTGCTAGCAGAAAGCTTTTCGGTATCTTCGTTATAGTTCAGAGTGTCGTTGAGAACCTCGCGGAAAAGCTCTTTACGGATAGCACCGTACGAGACCTTGCCAGCGAACTTGGAGACCTTGTTGACGATTTCCTCGACTTCTGGCAACGCACCCAAGGCGGTAATCAGCCCGTCGCTCAGAGCCTCTTTACCAGTGAAGCGGTGAGCAGTCAGAGCGATCTTGTGGGCGAGTTGGGTGCCATAACGAACACGGAAGATAGACATCATCGGAGGCAGCAAAGGTGCGCCAAACTCGAGCTCGTTCATGCACAGGTAGCCCTTCTCGCCATTCATGACAATATAGTCGTGACAAGCAGAAATCATAAAGCCGGCAGCAAAGGCGTGGCCATTGACCCAAGCAACGGTTGGCCAAGGGAACTCGAGCATAACCCTCATCATAGGGTAATAAGCGTCATTGAAGAAGCCAGGGGTGGCGACAGCACGCTCAAAGTCAAGGCCATTGGAGTAGAACTTCGGTGTGGACGAGGTGGTGACCAGGGGCTTGGGCTCGCACTCGGTCTGAATCCATGTGATGGCCTGGATGAACGCTGGAGCGAACTCCGGAGAGAAACGGTTGTCGGGAGGCGAGGTGAACATTAAAAGATGGTACGCATCCTTCTCTTCGTACCTGAGCAAGTTCTCGTCAGAACCAATGGGGAAGTTCTGCGTGGCGGGCATTGTGTGGATATGCAGTTACGAGGTGAAAAGTTAAATGTGGGGATATATTCGCTTACCGAGATGCCGCGGCAGGCATGCGGGCCGGCGAAGGTCCGGGGTTGAGGCAGGGTGATGGATCTATCTTACTAAGAGGAGGAAGCCATAAGGGAATACGAGAAATGATTACTTTTTTGCATTGCAAATATATATATCAATGCCTACCAACATTTAATTCTGAGCCTTGATGAGAGCATTGATGTTCTCCTCGCGATTGCCAAGAGCACCACCCTCGATGAAGTGCTTGAACTTGCGGCGAACACCCCAGCCGCCGGTAGGGTTGGAGAGCTTGAAGGGCCACAAGAAGTTGTTAACCTGCTTGAAGTTAGGGCCGACGGTGTAGATCTCGTGGATAAGATCCTCGACGCAGATGATGCCGTACTTGCCGAGAGACTCCTCGATGATGGCGTTGTCGGAAAGGGCAATGCGCTGCTTGTTGACCTTACCGTAACCACGCTTGTAGACGAGCTGGCGGACCGAGGCGAGGTTGGGGTAACCGTAGGTCACGTAGGGCTCGACAATACGGAGGAGCTCAGAGGTGGCCTTGTTGAGGCGAACAAAGACACCAGAGTTGATCTGAGTGAGACGCAAGAGCTGGAGGACCTTGCGGGGCTTGGGAGCGATCTTGTTGATACCCTTGATGCGGATAACGAAGACGAGCTTCTCCTGAGCAGGGACGTAGACCTTGCCCTCAGCACGAGCAGCACGCTTGAGGCGGATCTGCTCACGCTCGGTGTCGCGGTACTCCTTAATGTACTTCTCGGCACGAGCGAAAATGGTGGCCCGTTTCTCCTTGGAAGCGGCCTTGCGGTTCTCGGCCTTAACCTTATTCTTCTCCTGGAGAGCAGCGGCGTTCTTGCGCTTCTTCAGCAGCGTCTCAGGGGGGAAGACGTCCTGGTGCGAAGGAACCTTGGCGGGCATGTTTAGGGATGTGAAATGTTTAACGACCTGATCTTGGGATTATACCACAGTGCGTGCGCAGAGTGGGTTTGCGTGACTGGCCCAGACCTGAGCCCTAACGCAGGGTGGGTGGCTTTGTCCAACTACCCACCCCCGTACCCTGAAACGCCGCCCTTTCCCAGAATCTGGCGGGCCCATCCTATTATTCTCTCATTATGTAACAGGGCGGGCGAGCGGCCGCCGCTCGCCAACTGCACGCGCGTCGCTAATCCCCCTAGTTACGGCTGGCTCGCCAAAACAACGTTTTTGTCTACATCAATCGACCTGGGAAATAAGGTTCTTCCAATCGCTTGCTAGGCCGCACAGGTGGTTGAGTCGCGATAAATTACACTATCTTCTATAGCAATCGCAATCGCCCGCAGAACGTCTGGAGCGAGGTATTTTGCGGGCAATGCTAATTTTGATACAGCCCAAGATGACCACTTCAATGACTGCCAATCATCGAGCTGATGTTCTGCCGATCCCCCCCAATGGGGCCACCTCTCGAGTCAACCCCTCCGTAGCTCACCCAATCCCATCTTAAACATCAAGAATATTATTATCCAATTCAATACCGTTCTCAATACTAATCAGCATAATTTCCTGGCGGCAGCAAGGGCCCTAGCTGCAGCTGGGGCCTGCAGATCTAGGGAAGCTACCCCAAGACGCCTGCCTCCCCAACAACCAGCGTGCCGTCCCCTCGATTGTTTCCGTCTATAAACAATCATTACTTTTCAAATCTTTTCTGTGCGGCTGTTTTATTAATAGAGCTCGTCTCCTCGTCGAATCCCCCGGATCTCACACCACGCAGCATTTTCCCCGTACCCCTTCACACGTAATTTTTTCCTCCACCCTTCGACCTTCATTCAGTGTTACGGAAAAGGACAAGCTAAAAAGAGCTGAACTAACCGCCTTCTTGCCCTCTACAAGCATCTGGTCTGCCACGTGAGCATCAAGGAATCGTGCTGGAGATATTTAGCACACCCCAAGTTTTTTTATTTTCGACTTTGAAGGTGTTCACGATCATCTCTTGACATTTCTTTCGTTTTTTTTCTCGAGGGAAGAACTTGTTATTTTTTTTCGCTAAAACACCGTTAATACCGTGGGAAATAATTGTTCCCACTCCGAATCGAGTCTCTGTACGCTCCCGATTTGCTTTTTCCCTCCCTTTGAGTACCTATAGTGGTCGCTAATTGCTGGCTTGTCGACGCATCCTCGATACCCGATTCCCTTCGAGTCCTCTGGAGATTTCTACATAAATACTCTGTTCCTGCCTTTTTGAATAAACTTTGAATCATGGATACAGGGTCACCGAAGCAACCACATCCGTTGCAGTACAAAATTTCTGATCAACAGCAGTTGGGCGCAGCGTCGGGTTCTTATGTCGACTACCCACCTCCTCAATTCGATGTTTACGACAACCAGGCGTCCGGCGCTGCTCCTCCCGCATCGTCCGCCCAGCAAATGCAGCATATCCCTGGTGGCCCGGGTCCTAACCAGGTACCTGGCGCCCCGCCAGGGCGCCCTCCCATGCCCCATCACGCAGCTGGCCCTCATCCAATGTCTGCCCAAGCTGTTCCTCACAAGCCTTCGTCAGGTGATAATGGTCTTATAATCCGTGAAGACGGCGTGGCTATTAGTTCTAATGGTATGCCTTTAGATACCTCTACATTGTATGGAACCCTTCCGTCTGGTGCGGCTCATGGTCACCACCCCAGCATGGACCCTCCACCAGTAATGATGATGTCCGGATCGCCAGCACCACCGAATTCTGCAACAATGGGCGTATCGAATTCCTCTGCTGCCGCCGCCGCCGCCGCCGCTGTGGCCATCCAACGCCGTAACACCAAACGCAAAATTTTACACGTTGCATCGGTCCCTCCCCCGGGATCTAGAGTCTCGCCTACGCCTAATGATACAAATGATGACGAGCCTGACACAGAACTGCGCCGTGCAGCTGTTCATTCGCTACGATACCCACTAGAACGTTGTGCTCAGCACGTTCGCGAAGACGAAGAGGGTCCAGTAGCTGAAAAATCCCGGCAGGTCTTCGGTATGACCTGGCTTTTACGAGCCTGCGAAAAAAAAAAGGACGGCAACGTTCCAAGAAACCGAGTTTATGCTCGCTATGTCACGTTATGTGCGGAGCTCAATCTCAAGCCCTTGAATCCGGCTGGTTTCGGCAAGCTGGTCCGTATTGTGTTCCCCGAAATCAAAACTCGAAGGCTGGGTGTTCGTGGTCATTCCAAATATCACTATTGTGGTGTCTGTTTGGTGGGCAACGATGCAAATGCCACCGGATCCACCCCAAACACTTCGATGGTCACCCGCACTCCTTCGCCAGAAACCACTCCGGGAACTCAACGGGCCCCATCAACCACGCCCATGTCTGCTCAGTATGGAGACTATTCTAGACAGCTCTTCGACTATCCAGCATCCACCAGCAGTCCTGGCGCTGGTCCGCCTGGTGCGGTACCACCGTCGACTGCTCCGGCAGATGTAAACGGAGGTCATCCGCCCGGCTCGGACCCTAACAGTATGAACGCTTATGTTCATGCTGCTGCAGCTGCGGCAGTTAGCGGCGGAACTGGAAATGCCAACAGCGGTGTTGGCCCCAATCAGGAGCATAACCTGTTTGCTCCTACAAAATTCAAACCCAATGGAAGCTCTCTCGAAGAGTTTACTGTCCCCCGAATCGGAGACTATTTATCGTCAGAAGTTGACCCCGATGCAGCCACTACTCTGCAAGCCCTTTACACTTCCCACTGTCGATCGCTACTTGATCAACTCCGCTATATGCATATCAAAAAGTTTTTTTCCGTTATTAATGGGTTCATTCGTGGTCTTACTGCTCCTGTGCAGCGTTTACTTAAACAAACAGACGTAATTCGATGGATGGCCGACACAGATCGGCGATTGTACAGCGAGATGATCCTGCTGCTGGCTCCTTTGGTCATGCAGTCACTTCCTCAGGAAGTGAGCCAAGGACTACATGCTCTTGCTGCATCTTTGCCTACCCAGCTTGAAAACCAAGGCAGTCAAGTCTGTGAAGAGTTTGTTGCTGCCAAGAAAGATGCAGCAGCAATATTTGTAGACCTGGTCGATCGTCTTCTTCGTGCTAACGATGCTGCTCAAAATGCTTCTCGTATTCTCCTCAACCCTGTTGAAGTCATGAAAATGAAACAGGACTGGTCTGCCTATGTCACTCCCGTGGCAGCTCGTGAGGCACCGTGTGCTCAAGCGGCGGTCGTCCAGATTCTTGTTCAGGAAATCCCCACCCTTCTGATCGAATACAAGACTGAGGACGCATCCCGAATGACCATCAATGAAACTCTCGACCCTTGGGCCCAATACCTCGGTGGTCTGCCCAAGCGGGTGATGCATCGTCTGCCTCTTGCCCTGTTCAAAACCGTCTGCTCCGCCGTAGCTACCGCCGCCCTTCGTGATCTTAACCGTGGTGGCTGTTCGTCCTTCGGCGCGTGGTGGGTTATTCGGTGCTGGGTAGACGAGTATATGGCATGGCAGTTGGAGCTCGATAGCTTTTTGCAGCCTGAAAAGGTCCAGAATGGTGAGCCGGGTACAGAAGTCAACTAAAAAAAAAGTTTAAAAATTCACGTCCACCACTACTACCCCCCTTCAAACACTATAGCACATAGCGGTGAACGTACCGCAGTTAAGTAAAATTTGCATTTCAAATGATTTTGAAGAAAAGGAATAATTAAATTACGACTAGGGATTTTTACAAAAGTGCAAAGGCAACGGCACCGATGATACCGGCGACGCCAACGGAGGCGCCAGCAGCGGCGTTGGCACTGGAAGCTTTGCTAGAAGAGGCCGAGGCAGACCCAGAAGGCGATGAAGACTCGGAGGCGGTGGGGAGAACAGTCTTGGTCTGCTTCTGAGTGGCGGTGCTTGCCTCCTCCTTGGAAGATGCGGCCTTGGAGCTGGAAACCTTGGCGGAACCGGAGCTAGCCACGGAGGTGCTGTTAACGACAGGAGTAGAAGCAGCAGCCGAAGAGGAAATGTTCATGGATGTAGAGATATTAGCGGTGGGGATGGCCGAGGACAAGACAACGGAAGAAGAGTTGGCGCTGGCGACAGCCGAGGAGGAAAGGTTGGCAGTCGGGAGAACCGAAGAGGCCAAAGTGCTGTTGGCAGCAGCCGAGGTGGTGGAGGCGGCGGCGGAAGAGGAGTTGCTAGCACCACCCTCGATCATGATCCAACCAGAGTAGTTGACCTCGTCGGTGTTGTCGTTGTTTATGATCTCGAAAGCGTACTTGCCATCGGTCAACGAGGTGGGAATGACCCAGTTGACATTGACAATACCGTTAGAGTTGGCAGTGTTTTTGTAGTCCTTGGTGATCACAGCAGCAACATGAACGTTGGTAGACTCGCCCTGGACAAGCTCCAAAGTGACGGTAGAGCCGCTAGCGTTGGCCCAAGCAATGTGGACGGTCTGGCCTGCGGTCCATGTTTCACCACCCAGAGGGGTTGTGAAAGCGTTGGCATTTGCGTAGGCAGCAGCAAAAAGAGCAGAAAGAGTAGCGAAAGAAACTGCGAACTTCATGTCGGATGTATAAAGAGAATGGTAGTTCTTGTTAAGAAACTTGTCTCCCAGCCCCCTTACCCATGAGTATTTATATACCCGCCGCCCCTGCACCTCTTAGCAAAATCTGCACAGGTACCCTGTGTAATTTACCAATTTGGGAACAAAGTATACACGCGACGCGGATCGGTGAAAATCACGATCGTTAAGCAGCACAGGGCTGTAAGGTACCGTGCACGAGTATGAAAAAATATCTCGGAACAATTCTGTTGTTTTCCCCAAGGGTCGGTTAAATTTTCGTGGTACTTTGTATCGACTCGGCCCAAGCCGCCGCGCCACGCTTCCTGCATGTTATATGCAGGCAAGGGCTCATCGAAACCTTGGTAGCTACTAAAAATAGTTCGCTTGTTACAGAACTATCGAGAACGTTTGCCAACCGGGTTGCTGTTAGAACAGGGGGTTTGCATGCAATAGTTCGGGCAAATGCCTACCTGGAACCTGTTTTATTCTACCCCCAAGCTACCCCTCCAGCCCCCCAATTGGGGAAAGCCGCTGACTCTCGCTTAACGGAATGTCTGGTTAGATTCCAATTGAGAACGGGTTAGGGCCACATGAAACAGAGGAAATTTAAATGTCATTAAGAGCTACTGAAATAACACCCTTGTGGTGGCCGCGGTATTGCCTAGCAATCTGACCGCTTGAAAGCTCCCATAGTCGTACATAGTGATCACTGCATGCAGTCACAAGGTATGCACTATCCGCCGTGAAAGCGCAGTCCCAAACCCACCGTTGATGACCGCGAAGCACGGTTTCCATTTTGAAATCGTTCTCAGTGGACCATATCCTTGACGTGTGGTCTGCTGAACAGGTTGCCAGGTGCTTCACATCCGGACTCAACAACACCTTGGTGATATACTTTGAGTGCGACCTGAACCTCGTGATTGGATGCAGAGATGTAATATCTCGGGAATTGAGCATTTTCCAGACATAGCAATTGCCGTTATTGTTGCCTGCAACTAGCATTGTGCCATTGGATGCCACACTCACGCTGCGGACCGGAACGTCTTCTTCAGGGATAAGGTGGTGGGTACAGATGTTCTCTCCCAGGTCCCAGATGCGCACATTGCCCTCCTGGTCGCACGAAATAACCTCTCCCTGGTTTGGGTGAATCACCACGTCGTTTACCGGCGTTTTGTGTCGATAGTTGCGCTGAACAGTGGCCGCTCTCATATCCCAGACCTTGACAGTGCCGTCCTCGCTCGCCGTGACCATCCATTTGCTCTCTGCCTGCACAGCAAGTGCGGTAACATTGTTTGTGTGTCCCTCAAACGTAACCGTAGGATTAGGATTATTGCTTTTGATGTCGTAGAGTCGTACTGTTCGTGCGCCTGCGCACGCCAGGTACTTTTTGTCGGGCGTGATGACCATCCGGTTAACTTGGCCATCTTGGTGCTGTATAGTTCTTGAGCACACTCCGCTCAGAGCCTCCCAGAACTTGACCGTCTGGTCGTAGCCTGAAGAGGCCAAAATCACCGACATATCATTGTCGGCCATGATGATTACGTTAGGTGGCTAGCCGCTCAGCGTATATATATGGTGCGAAGATAGAGAACGACAGTGTGTAGGAGGTTCAATCGCAGGCTAGATACGTTTGTTTATGGCTGCTATCGACACTAGGTAGCCATTGAAACCCCAATAGCTTGGCAGGTACGTGGATCCATAAACCCCCGTCAAACCGGCCAATATTTTCACTGCACCGTCAAACTCGTCTAGTCGAATTCAAATAGGTATTCCAAAAAACGCTTTTAGCCAAAGTCTCTTCTAGTCCTGTTTTCTCGACTGATCTAGACACCTTTCGAACATTCGGCCGTGGACCTAACCCTATCTCACACCATCTCCCCCACTATATATCATTAGAAATTTTATAGGGAGCAACCCCCCCAGTTTAAGTAACACCTCACAATAATGGTGAAAGACAAAAAGCTTTACAATTTACTTGGAGTCGAGCCCACAGCCGATGAATCGGCACTCAAGAAGGCTTACCGGAAGATGGCACTGAAATACCACCCCGACAAGCCTACTGGTGACGAGGAAAAGTTCAAGGAGCTGTCCGAGGCATTCGACATTCTTAGTGACAAAGATAAGCGCGCGATCTACGACGAATACGGCTTAGAGGCTGCCCGTTCGGGCCAACCACCCATGCCCGAATTCAATGCCGGCGCCGGCGCCGGATCAGGTGGAATGCCAGGCGGAGGCTTTGGAGGCTTCAACGGTGGGACATTCAATGGGTTCGGTAACGGCGGTACGTACACGTTCCGCACTAATGCTGGCGGTGGTGGTGGCCACGCGTTCAATATGGAAGACGCTTTCAATATTTTCAACCAATTCGGCATGGGCGGAATGGGCGGCATGGGCGGCAGCAGCCGGGCAGGGCCTGGCGGTGTCTACGATGACAGCGACGAAGATGACTACTACCGCTATGCCGGCGGTATGCCTGGCGGCATGCCTGGTGGAATGCCTGGTGGAATGCCTGGTATGAGTTGCATGGGTGGTGGCGCCAAGCGAAGGGCAGGTACCCGCGCGCTCGAACCTCACGAAGTGAAGCTTCCGGTGTCACTGCGTGATCTCTATACGGGAACGACCAAGAAACTGAAGATTACCCGTCGTACAGCAAGCGGCACCCGTGAACCGACAGTTTTGGAAATTAATATCAAGCCTGGCTGGAAATCAGGAACCAAGATCACGTTTGCTGGCAAAGGTGACGTCCAACCTGACGGCTCGGTTCAAGATGTTGTGTTTATCGTTGAGGAAAAGCCCGATCCACACTTTAAACGCGAAGGGAACAATCTGCATATGAAAGTGAACATTTCATTCAAGGAGTCTTTGCTTGGATTCGAGAAAATCATCGAGACCATTGACGGCAAGAAACTCAAGCTGTCAAGATCCACACCCCTTCGATCAGGAACTACCGTCTCCTATCCAGATCGGGGTATGCCGCTGAGCAAGGATCCCAAAAAGCATGGTGACCTCGTCATTGAATATGTCGTTGACGCTCCCACATCGCTGACCTCCGCACAAAAGGCAGCAATTGCAGATAACTTTTAAAGAAAAAAGCCAATATAGTTTTACATAAATTACTTACTCTTTGCGAGCCTTCTTTTTAGAACCCTCATCGTCATCGGCCTTGCGTTTCTTGTCCTTCTTTTCTTTCTTTTCCTTCTTGTCCTTCTTGTCCTTCTTGTCCTTCTTGTCCTTCTTCTCCTTCTTGTCCTCGTCTTCGTCCTTCATGTCGACATCAGGCTCGGAAGCAACAACCGGTGCAGAAGCGGAGGCAGGAGCAACAGGATTAGGCTGAGCGTTCTCGCCAGTGTGCTCAACGTAGTCCTTCTTCCAGGAGTCAGGGGTATTGTCATTGACGTTGCCGTACTTGTCAAGCTTGCCAGCGGCCTTGAGCTCCTTCTTCTTCTGAGCAATAGGACCAAGACCCCAGCGACGAGGATAAGTGTCACGCTCCATAATGCAGCGCTTGACCTTGGCAGCGACGCCATGGTCACAAGATGCCAAATCGGTAGACGACATTTGGGCAACACCGAGAGCAATAGCCTCACCCTTGGTGGTCATAAGAACGACCTCGTCGCCGGTCTCGACATTCTGCTCGTAGCGCAGCAAACCGGGAAGCATGAGCTTGGCGCCATAGCACACAGCATTGACGGCAGAGTCCTTCACCACCATACGCTTGTAACCAAGCAGCAAAGACTCAAGCGGGCGGATGCAGCGACGGAGATAGCTCTCATCACGGTTGTTATCGTAGACCCACTGGGCGTCCAAAATATCGTGGAGAGTGACCATGTTGTCGCTCTCGCTGAGGGCACCAGAGCGGACACGACGAAGCTCCTGCATGTGGCCGCCAACGCCGAGCAGCATGCCCAGGTGGACACACAGAGTACGCATATAAGTACCGGCCTCACAAGAAGCCCAGAAAACAGCAAGCTGGCGCTCGTTATCGAACTCAAACAGCTTGGACTCGTAAATGGTACGGATACGCAACTGACGCTTAACGGCAGAAATCAAAGGAGGGCGCTGGAACAGAGCACCAGTAAGAGTCTCGATAGCGCGACCAAGCTCCTTTTCGTCCTTGAGAGCCTCGTGCAGGCGCAAAACGCACACGTACTCCTTACCGGCGCCTTGCTGGCTCTTGACCAGGCGAGTAGCCCGGTCGATGCAAACAATAAGACAGCCAGTGACCTTGGGGTCCAGAGTTCCAGAGTGACCGGTCTTCTCGGCACGCAGAATACGCTTAATCCAAGCGACAACCTCGTGTGAAGAAGGATTCGCAGGCTTGTCAAGGTTGATCACACCGGACGAAATGTAGCTCTTAAGATCTCTCGTCAAAGGAGTGCTGCCGGCGGGGATCGGGGTGTAGTGGCCGGTCCGCGTAACCAGCTTGTCGTAGTTCTTGACAAGAAGAGGCCATTCAGAGGTGTCGGCCTTCTCGCCCGCTGCTTGTGGCTTGATAATGTGCTCGGACATGTTGAAACTTTTTCTCGAGCTGACAAAATTTTTTTCGTAGGTTTCCGACCCTATAGAGTGTGCTGATTATGTAATGGGTCAAGATCTCGGGAAATGGAAAAGGGTAAGGTGCAAGTTAAATACAATTGAGAGCTTCAGCTCTGGCCAGGAACTGCTGGCGGGCCAGGAACCTGACATTTTTTATAAACACATCAATTGGGATGGCTTCGTTGTCCAGAACCTTCCCAAGTGCATGTATGGTGTCGCCAATGGCCCGGTCTTCGGTAGCGGCATTAAACACTTTCATGTCGTTGGGTGTTTCTGGGTAGATCAACTCCTCGAGCGGTAAGTTTTTATCTGCGTGGGCCCTTGCTGCCTTGGTGACTTTTTCGGCCTGTTCGATCCGCTCGTTCAATAGTCTAATGTTTGTTTCGTACTGCTGCTTGGCCGCTTCCAATTGGCCCTGTTCTTCATCTAGTGCTTGGTCCATCCAATCCAGAACTTCGTTTGCGTGCTGCAATGCCTGGCTGTCTTTGGCGGTTTCCTCGTCACGGATCTGAGTGGACACAGCTTGCAGGGCCTCCTCTAGATGTTTTAATGCGTCAACTTTTTGAGGGGCCGGATTAGCAGGAAGCGGAACAGGGTCATTGATACTGTTCATGATATCTTTGATGGGTTTGTATGGTACAGGGTCTGGCTTTGGATGCACCACTTGCTTGGTGTACTGCGGAGGCGCTGTGGCGGCTTGGGGAACCTCTTGGACAGCGTATACCGGTGGAGCAAAGCTGAAGACCTCTTGAAGCATCCGCAGAACTGCGATCAACTCTGTCTGCAGGGTCCATTGGAAGAGACACTTGCCGTTGGTATCAACGTAGTCGCTGGGCGCTATACGCATACTAGCGGTGGGGCGAACGTAGATTAAGGGTGGAGAGGAAGGATAAAGTTTAGGAATCCATACCTCGATAGGAATACCGTAGGTTTGGCCAGCAATCACGGTGGGAAGAGGGCCTGTGAGGTTCAAGAGAAGCGCCGGCAGACCCGTTTCCGAGGTATACACGTCTGTTTTGGGGACCAGCGACGGAATTGCTAGCAGGACCTGAGTAAAGTCCGTAAAACAGCGTGGTGGATCCACGTATTCATGCGCCAGCTGTTGCGACAGCCATTCTAAAACGGGACCCGGCACCGTCATTATGACTAACCTGTTTCCCTCCTTTCCCCCCAAGAACGATCTTATGAGTGGATGGACACTTATCATTGTGCTGGCAATAGTTCTTGCAGCCGGCTACGGTGGCTGGAAATACGCACCCAAAGAGGACCGAACCGTCTGGCGGTCGAGCATCTGTTTAACGCTTGGCATGTGTTACGCCTTTTGGGCCATCACCTATCTTGCGCAGCTCCATCCGCTGGTTGCGCCCACGCGCTCTGACTTACGGCCTGAGGTTTAACTTATTTTTTTACAATCATTATATTTAATGACCTTATATTCTTTTTTTTTTGCTCTTTAGCGACCCAGGCGATGGCCGCCGCGGCGCCTAAGCTCAATACGGGCCCGTGTCTTTGACTCTGCGTTGGCTATCCATTGTGGTGTACTCAGTTTGGGGCCTCCGGCTAGGGGCAACAGTTCGGTTAGGAACAAGAACATGTGCCCTGCAGCAATACCTACAACCTGGTCTCCAATTCCCAGCAGTCCGGCGGCGACAAAAGCCACAACGATTCCAATCCAGGGTGTGTACTTTCGCTTGGTCTGGAACACAAAGTACTGCACCATCCCCTCGGGGTCGTCTTGTGTGATGGTATAGGAGAGCGCTGCACCAACGCCGTTGAGGTAGGCGTACGAGCCAATTGACGGTCCGACGGCCAGAAAAATAACCACAACAAATAGTAAATAGAACACCAAATCGGCAGTTCTGTGGAACTTTTTTGTCTCGGCCGCCGAAATGTTTGTGTAAAAGTTCACAAGCGACAGCAGATACGGGATGCCGTGGCCCTGGAATGCGAACGGAGCGGTCAACGGCGCCCAGTAGCGACCGCGGGCCAAAAAGTCATGTGTGTACCAAAACTTCGTGCTCACAAACGGGTTCAGCGTGCTGATTATACCAATGAGAACTGCTAGAAGCATGGATGTCCTCGTCACCGGTGGAAGACTATTCCACAGGTCTTTGAAAGTCACGTCGGGTTTTTTGGGCATGCGTGATATGTGTCGAGACTAGTTTCAATCGGGGAATCTAATTGGACCAATTGCCACTCTGCAAATCAAGCAACGCAATTAGCCTGTCCTTGACACAAAGATAGTTTCAGGTTGGATCGTCTTACGTTACCTCCTGTCTTTTGTAGCACACGATGTCGGCAATGACCCAATGGGACGATGCTACTACGCGACAATGGTTGAATCGCTTAGGTCTTGGCCAGTATGGACAGCAATTCAGTAGCCATAATGTGCGCGGAGACGTTTTGCCATTGCTGGATCACGAAGCGCTTTCCGAAATTGGTGTTCAAAGTATTGGCCATCGAATCCGAATCCTCAAGGCCATTGGAAGTAACTGGAAAGAAATGGACAGCCGAGACATGCTACAAAAGATATCTATGATGGAAGGCCAGCTCCAAAAAGTGACTGAAAAATGTGAAAAGCTCCGGACAGATATGATGCCTGTGTTTCGGATGGTTAAAGAAAACGAGCCGCTACCTTCGCTACAGAAAAATGGGTCTTCTACATCAATCACGACTATTGGCGATCAGCCTCTGCCAGACATGCTGAGTGCGTCACAACCGAACTTATCGCTGCAAAAAGCCCATAGCATAAGTTTGGCATCCCCAGGAATTGGCAAGTCGAAACGATATTCTGCTATCCCTGCATTCTCCACTGCAAAGTCGCCTAACCAGGGTCTTCCTCCACTGCCGTTTGGGCGAGCCCCCTCGACCGAAGACCACAGACAGCTGCGGAAAACTGGCGGTGTCACTTTACTCACCGAGGAGCTTTCACAGAGACCTCCAAACAGTAAAGTTTCGATGAGCACAGCATATGAACCTTACAAAAGCTTTCGAGTCGGTATGGATGACCCTTGCCATAAGGTTTTACCTGTCGTAATGAGACATAACGGCATCGTCGCTGACTCCCATGAGTACAGGTTGGTCGTTCAGTACGGTGACCATGAGCGTACAGTTGCCGATCATGAAAAGCCTCTGCATGTCTATAAAGAGCTACAGGACGCTGGCAAGCGCCCCGTATTTATGCTACGCCATGCAGTAAATGGAGTTGGCCAAAGTGCATCTTCAACGCCGGGAGGGGTTTTATAGTTATGCGTATATATTAAGGATTTTTGTTAAGATTAAACTCTATTTAAGCAATAATTAATATTCTTTCACATTCTCAATGTGAGTAGTGGTGTACTCAGTGTCTTTGATCTCATGGCCCATCATAGAGGTATCGATACCTTGCGACTCCAGATACTCGCGGAACTTTCTGTCTTCATCGGCAACCGCAGTTTGGCCGAGAGGAGGTAACAATAGAACAAGAAGACCCGAGAAAATACACAGAGCAGAGGAGACGTAGAACAAGGTAGTTTGGCCTTGGAAGCTGTCTAGACCACCATAGTGGTCGGCGATAGCAGGGAAAGCATAGCCACCAACAAATGCACCGATTTTACCCACCGCAGCACAGATACCGTAATAGCGACCACGGATAGCGGATGCTGAAGATTTGGACGCAATCAAGCCGATATTGTTACCGGGACCAAATTCACCTAGAGCGGTGAAGACACCAAATACAACAATAAACGGAGCAGCATGCTCGATCAGCGTGGCGTACTGAGATGTCATAATAAATCCAACAATGCCCTGCAAGACTGCCCCCGTGAATAAGGTTAAACGGGGACCAAAATAATCAGAAGCAAAAGCGCCAAGTAGAGTACCAGGGAGATAAAACACATAGAACAGGGTATTCCAGCCAAAAGTAGTGTGGATATTGTTATCTTTCACCACAATGCCAATGATTTGCGGTGAAAAGATACCAAAGGAGTAAGTACAAAAGTCGTAGATGAACCAAATAAGAGACACAAGAATCATACGAGGTCCATAATATTTAAAAATAGTCCAGTAAGGAGTTCGAATGTGTTTGAGACTGTTTTTTGTGAATTGTTCATCGTCTTGGAATTTCAAACGGAGATACAACAGCGACAACGGAGGGATTGCACCCAAACCGTACAAAACACGCCAGGCAACACTCAGGCCGTGATCGCTATCGGGCGAGCTGGGCACGCTGCAAATGTAAAGCAACAGCCAGGCAATGAATGCAGACATAACAAAGCCAAAGTCAATCATGCTGTTGGTGAACCACACAAAATAGCGATTTCTGCTGCCTTTGCTAAGTTTCTGGGATACCTCAGCACACGCGACAGATCCTGCAGGATATTCACCGCCAATACCAATACCCAAAAAGGCTCGGTAGACAGTCATTGCAGCCAGCATGCCTTGCGGGTTTGTAGGCATACCAATACCGTAAGATCCCGCCAGCAGAATAGAGAACACAATCAGGATACCTGTGGATATAATCATACCAATTTTACGAGAATGGTGGTCGGCTAGGAATCCAAACCCAAGTTGACCGACCACAGTGCCGGCAAATGCGATTGCCGAGATGTTGGACATGGCAGAAGACTTACTCAAGGCCTTTGCACCGTAAATACGTTTAAGCATGGTCGTGACAAAACCAACTGTACTATTGACGTAGCCATCGCTGAACAAGCCAGCACCAGTGGCAACAATAGCCCAATACTGTGCTTTTGGCTTCTCTTCAGCGATCTGAACGTCTGCAGCCGGAGCTTCCTTGGTTTCCGATCCATCCGTGCTATCAGCATAGTTATTATCCAAAGTCCCGTCGTCGCTGGACCCGCCCAACCACTTGGGAAGGGAGGTCTCGTTCCTGACCATTGTACAGTAGCGTTTAACTGCGCTCATATGGTGGTTTTGGACTGCGATCCGGGGGCACCATGGGCTAATAAGTACCTACGTGGTGTGGTACTACAGCTTACGCACGTGGGGGACGTGCATTAGCAGTGCTTAGATCGTACGGCTCCATACATGGGTGATACATCAAGTGCCCATAGCGGCCTCAACATCTCCAACGATGGTCACTGATCGGTTTGTCGCAGCAGTGTGGGCCTCGGCTTTCCGAGAACAGGCCCTTGAGTCTACTTCCAGGAGCGCGCTGCTCCTCGAGGGCTATCTATCGAGGTTAGGGCTGCATTGAAGAGCGTTCGGTCACGTGTATCACGAGGCGGAAGAAAAAAAAAAAGAAAAAAACCAAAACTTTGTTCTATCGCCTAATAAATACCATTAAACTATAGAAGAATAAATACACGACCGTCTTCCTACTCGTCCTCCTCAACAATTGTCTGCTCGGACGGTTGGAAACTCGCCCGTCGAGGTGTCTCGTAGCCATCGTCGCTGTCTTCGTAGAAGATCAAATAATCAGAGTCGAATGGATCCTGAGATTTCCCCAAGGGAATAAGCGTACTTGCTGAGGTAAGTGCACAACCGCCAGCAGGTGCAGCCACGCAATGTGCTCTTCGCTGTAGGGGATAGGCCATCTGGTCGGGCAGGGTTTGGGTGAAGTCGGGGAGGTCGGTGGGCTCCTCGAAGTCCATATCGTCCGAGTCGGCCTGCGGGGCCGCATGGTAAAACAAAGCAGGCGTGTCTGTGGGGGTACAGAACCCGCTGGAATAGCTGCTTCCGTAAAAGTCGTTGCTGGCCCGGCGGCTTCGCAGTTGCCTGGGAGCCGGCCCCAGGCCTAACTTGACGGCCATTGTGCCCAGTGCAACACCGCAGAACACTCCTAGCATGGTAGCCAGACCACTAAGATAGAAAAGCGGGATCATTATGGCGGATAACACCCACATGTATATGCTGTATGCGACGGAAAATGGCCATTTTGCTATCAGACCGGCTCGAAGCGCTATCGACCATGCCAGCCGCCATACCCGGACCAGAACGCTCATGGCAAAGTATACTAAAGCCACTGATAGATCCTTGATGATGCTTTGAGAGTTGTGTGTCATTCTTGTATATGCTAGGTCCCGAATCGACCAGTGATGAAGAAATAAATCAAACGCCTTCTGGCGGATCTTATCTTGTTCCTAGTTGTCGAAAGGCTGGCTTTGTTGAGGCCTTGTAGGCTGGGTTTGAAACCTAATCCTGGAGGAGAAACGCGGTAAGCCAGCCGATACGATATCTCGCTAATACAGGTGCTACCTAGCAGGTATGATTCTGATTCACCTATGAGACCTAAACAACTAGATTAAAGTACACGAGTCTTCTCGGTCGGAGTGTTGAACTTATCTGCCCGGTCAACGCTCTCAGCCGTGAAATCAGTATTATACTTGCGACTTGAGGTCTGGGTGCCTTCGCGAGGGTGTGTATCGGCATCGAAAATCTTCTTGACTCCTTCCTTGACTGAACGAATAGAAGAAGTGGACTTGGCGGGCGCAAGGTCGTCTCCAGCACTCAAGTGGTTACCATCAGACTTGTCGTGGTGCTTAAATGGGTTGAGTTTCTCCAGTCCCATTGTGGATGAGGCAAAAAATTGGAGAATCAATCCACATATCCCCACTATTTATATAAGAAGCTTAAATGGCGTGCAAAAAAAGATACGGCACCAACTACACCGCTGCCTGCATATGCATGCATAGATAACGACGTCTGTCAATTACACAGTAAATACTAACTATTAGGTTCGAGAGGGCAGTGCCCACGTCAAATACTTAAAGTACCATGGCTCCACCATCAGCACCCTTCCGCTCATCAGCTCGGGGCCTAATTTGGTGCCGTGCAACGCGTGGAGAGAGCCGGACGCAGACGACTTGCGGCCACTGTGATCTCCAGGTACAGCCACCAGAACCAGGTAGTCGTCTGAGGGCAGAGATCGCCTCATGTGCACATCCAGTGTTGCAGTGACTCCGTACTTTGTAGGTAGATAAGGGAAAGCGCACTGGGCCAAGCCCTCATCTAGCAGGGTTGTGCCAATTCCAAAATGAGACGCTTCCGATGCTCCAAATAAATACCGCCACACTTTATGCGTCCACGTAGCAGGGTGCTCGTGTCGCAATTCTTTGCCAAGATAGAAAATCGTCTGATGCCGTCCATCGGGATGCACAAGCAAGGTTGCTGGCGCCAATCCCAATCCTCCGGCGTGGAATGCGCCCGTAGTGATCATGTTTGGCAAATGGTGCTTTGGCACACTCATTAAGCTTGACTCTACTTTGAATCCCTCTGCCTCTAGCTTTTGAACATACGGGTGGCCCTGGGTCAGAGATCTATCCAGTTCCTTGTGCTCTGCGGTCAAATACGCTGCCCCAAATCCGGCTCCAAATGCAGTTCCAGTATAAATTGACGTTTTGAACAAGCCCGTGGCTTGCCTAGCTGCTCGCGTACCCGACATTTACTGCACTCTAATATGTGGCAAGTCAACTCGCTTTGTAACCCTCTTCAGCCTTCTCATGTCGAGCACCGTTTTGACGGTGAGCTACAACCATCACCGGCTAAAGGTGCCATATGGTCCATCGACAGTATTAAAAGACGTACGAGATCAAGTGTGCCTGTCACTGGGACTTGATTCTAGTCATTACTGGTTGAAGCACTCGAAAAAACCGTTGGATCTTACGCTGCCGTTCAGGTATTCGAATTTAGTCGATAACGCGCACATTGATCTGGTAAAACTGGCTGTTGCTACTGGATCTATTCGGGTAAAAGTACGTGTTCCTGGCAAACCCGACTTTGTAGGAACGTTCGATGCTAGTGAAAATTTAGAGGCAGTGGCCAAAGCTGCTGGCGTCAATGAATTGGCATTAGCAGGCCAGCCAGTCTCTGGTATCTTGGGTAGTGTGGCAAATGGGTCGGTTCTATTCACTGGCCGTGCTTCCACAATGGCAAACATTTCTCAAAAGCCTCAACCGTCCGCCAAAATTGACAAGGCTGTCCCCAAAGCCGCTACAGGTGGCCAATCGATCCCTGAACGCAAACCAACGGTCCAATCCCCTGAAAACATAGTCCAGGGGTCTCCTCAAGGAAACAGTGCTCGCCAATTTCAAGTCATCATGCCAACCACTCTAGCGGTCACAGCAGACGATGAGCCAGAACTTACAGAGTCCCAATTTAGGATGTACCACAAATACCTCCGTGATCAAGCAGGCTCGAGGCCGATGATCAGTAAGTCGACAAAGGAGCGGCTAGCCCAAGAACGACTCAATTCAACCCCTATTACTGTACGAGTACGTCTGCCAGACCGGACGAACTTACAAGCTGTTTTCACCAGTGATGAGTCGACCGATGTGATTTACGATTTTGTTCGTAGCCACCTTCGCGATCCATTGCAGGAATTTTATTTAACTGCTGTCGAAACACCCGGGAAAATTGAACTCGCTAAATCATTAGTTCATGACTACAAGCTCGGTAGCCGGGTGCTTTTGATTTTTAAATGGGCCCATCCACCCACTTCTGAATCTCCTGTTTTGAGCGACGCTGTCTTGAAGCTCCATAGCCAACCGGCTGTTAGCAGAGAAGATCCAAAGAAAACAAACGAGTCTCAAGGAACTCAATCTCCAAAGCAAGACCCAAAACAAGAGCTGAAGCAAGGCTCAAAGCACAAGAGTGTACCAAAATGGCTAAAATTGCATAAATAAATTAAATATTTTGGCTATGTTTCAAAACCCACTTCACGTCCGTGTGGGTTTTGTTACACAGTTCCTTACATACATCAAGCCACTTTTCGACCCCACCCGAGTCGTCACGGGGGCTGGAAAACTTGATTTCTTTTGCATTTCCTTCAACGTACTTGAACATCCATTCAACAAATGTTTTATCAAGCTCGGTGTTGTTCTCAACCATGAAACTGTGTAAAGCCTTTGCAACCCCCACAATATTGTTGCTATCGAAGCAGTGTATCAGTATGTTCTTCAACAGCTTGAAAGAAGGCTGCTGTTCCTTATTTAGCTCCCACAGCCAGTCTGGAGCAGGCTGTTCAAGCTTTCGCCATACACAGATTTGCATATGTTCAGACAACTCGATGCGGTCGCGAGCTTCCTCGGCCAATCGCACGAGGTTGGGCACTTTTGAATTGCACACGGCATTGAATCCCTGATATGTAAACAGATAGCCATGGAGTCTCATTTTCTCGCATACGAACGCAGCCTCTTCGGCATATTTTGCATGCTGGGCGGCCTGTGCCCATTCCCAGAGACCCGGTGAGGGATAGCTCTCATCTGCGTCCATTTTCAAAACCATCTTCGTGATATCCCGTTTATGGATGTTTTTCAGGACAGGCCCAATAGCTACTAAGGAGTCTTCATGTACAATGGCATCAAGTACCGGAAGTAGTCTTTGATGAATATCTGGTTCGATCACAAATTCGGCCCACGATTTGTACAGCAGATCGTCTTCCAATATATGTGGATGCAAGCAGACTAGCTTAGAAACTTCCTGGATCAAGTTGTACTCTCTTTGTCCGAGCTTTCTCTTGGTTGGAGCCGGAACTTGCCAGGTAGGTTTCGGTAATGATTTCGATGCCGCATTGTGCATGTTGTACAGTATTAACACATGCCAAATCCATTTTAGGTCTTTTTCGCTTGGATCGCTCTTCTTTCGCACCCATTCGTCTACCTTGGTTGCATTGTTCTGTTTGCAATAAGCCAGGATAAATTCCCGCCAAACCGAACTGGAAAGCTCAGATCCAATCAAAGACTCTGCTTTTTTGGGCAAACCAGCTCGGCAGTAGTATTTTGCACCAAGATCGTTGCTGAATTTGGCCCGGTTTTTAGTCCAGAGTTCAATAGCCCGATAAGGGTTCTTATAAGACAGTGCGTTCATGTACTTTTCAAGCCATTCGTCTTCAATCAGTCCCACTGAATATGCAAGATCTCCAACTGTTCTGAGGTTTTCTTGCAGGCTCGATTTATCTGAGTTTGCAGCCAGCACCCAGAGCCGCGAAAGCAGAGGTGCGACCTGGGGAGCCGATGGAGACGCCGACTCAAAAAGCTTGACTGATCTCCAGAATTGAGGATCACCATTGGCTCCATCCAGTAACGACATATAAACTTTGATAGCGTCGGCAGATTTATCAACAAAGCTCCTCGATCTATCATGCTCGATATCATAAAGATGTTTCATTTGGCTGAACGCATCTTGCTTTAATTTTGCCGGCTTCACCCGTCGAATGTACCGAATCCCTCTTTTGAAGATCACCATTCGGCACTTTTTCCACGCTTCTTAATTTGCCTTCCAAAAAAAACAGTGTCCAAACAGATTAAGGCCCGCTGACCAACTGCCAAGTTTACTAACCATGACATCGCTGGTAGTACTGTCTTTGCCGCCCAATGCAGCAGTTGACAGCCATGGAAAGCCACAGGAGTGGTTAAATGATTGGCTGGAGACCAACATTGGAGTAAAGCATGGCATTGATTCAGTTTCGTTGCCGGACTTCAAGATTGGCACTCTAGACAACCTGGTTCACCAGTCAGAAGAGGTCGCAAAGTTGGACCAGCAGTTGCAGGGTATTGTTAATAAAGTCCACGAAATCATTATGGGGATCCACGGTAATAAGACCGACGCAGTTGCTCGCGCAGAGCTTGTGGATGGTAGCACCGCCTGGGAGTACCTTCAACGGTTTTCTTGGAACTCGGGCAAATACCGCACAGAAAAGCCCGTTTCTCAGTTGTTAGAGCTCATTTCAACTGAGGCGTTCAGCGCCGATACAGATTTGCGCCAGCGGTACGCGGCATACACGGCTGCTAAGTCGAACCTGGCCTCGCTCGAGCGGAAACAGAGTGGAGACCTTACTGTGCGTTCCTTGGACCGATTGGTCACCAAAAGAGACATTGTACTCGATTCAGAGTATCTGCAGAGTGTCTTGGTGGTTGTGAGTGCGTCTCAGCATAATAACTTCTTGAATACGTATGAGACGGTTAGTCCCATGGTTGTGCCCAAGTCTGCCCGCCAGATTGTTGCCGACAAAGACTACGTTCTCTACAGTGTTACTGTTTTCCGCAAATATGCTGATGAGTTCATTGCCAAGGCACGTGAAAGCAAGTGGGTGATTCGCGAGCTTGATTTCTCGGAGAATATGGCAGCAGACGCGGACGCTGAAGTCAAGAATGCTTCTGAGCAGGAAAGACGTCTGTTTGGCGAGATGACCCGCCTGGCGTCTGCCGCGTACAACGACGTGATCAAGGCTTGGGGACACGTTCGCACTTTACGTGTCTTTGTCGAGAGCGTGCTGCGTTATGGGCTTCCTTCTGTCTTTATTACGGCAAGTTTCGTGCCTATGAAGAGTGTGGACAAGACCGAATCTATTTTGATCGCCAAATTTGGCTACCTGGCGGGCAGCGCCGTGGCTCGAGACAAGCAAGGACGGATCAAAGACGAGGATCTTGGAGAATACGGGGCGTTGGTCGAGCATGATTATAAGCCTTTTGTTATTTATGTTTCTGAGATTCCCTAGCTAGCTCAACAAAAGTATCAACTAGGTAAGATAGCTGATTAGTGACCGTAATGTATCCTAACCAATTCCCATTCATCAGCCCAATAAAAACAGTAGTAACCATTAAAAACTGACGAAAAAATCATACAGGCAGAGTGTATATGTCCAAAACCAACAAAATGAATACGGGGGAGCGGTGAATTGAAGCAACCTTCGAGCTTGATCATCAACACGAACAGTAGGTCGATTATTCATGGTGACTAGAAGACGTCGATTGTCGGAACCTCCACTGGACGAGCAGGAGCAAGAGAATATCATTGGGCACTTTGAAGCACAGGCTGCTGCTCAAAGGAAATTTTATACAAATGTATTGACTGTGGTCATCTTGACGAGCACCCCGGCTTTTCTTGCTCTGCCATATTGCCGCCGTCATGCTGTGCTCAGCCTCGAGTCATTGATTGCAATCGCAGCCGCTGCATATGGCCTATACCGTGGTGTGATCAGGGTTTCAAATGCCAGCCTTGGCCTAGCGGTTGCAATTCTTCTTCAAGCTTACGTCCGTATCACCACCCGAAGCTCTGCAGACTACGTATGGCTGATGCCACTTACTGGGGCTTTAACGTCCATTATTATCCAGAAATGGTTTGGCCAAGTTGATACCCAAATTTCCCTTCTGAAAAATAGTCGCTACGAGCTTAAAGGTGCATAGTGCCCCAGCCTTCTGCAGGGAGGCATACACACCTTGCCGGGTGCATGAGCGTGAGAGCTCGTCATAGGACACAGGGACGGGCTTTAGACTACAGCATTAAACGATAAGCAAAAGCACACATAAAATAAAATAAAACTACCGCTACACCCAAAAAATTATCATCTTCCTTCTAATGATGAACATGCATTTGGCTTAGCATTTTTCTCTGGAATGCATAACTCGTAATCCTCCCGCTCAAAACCCCAGCAGGGTGCATTCTCTTCAAAAACAACAGATTAGATTGTCGTCAATGGAGCGCGCTCCATCACGCCAAGCATCTCGTATAGAGCGCGCACCTAGTAGGGCCGCCAGCAGAACATCAACGACCAGTGATGCGGCTTCAAACGTGCGAGTTGTAGTGAGATTCCGTCCGCTCACTTCGTACGAGGATGATTCAGGTGAAACAGCAGTTCAGATTCAATCAGAATCGCAGTGCCAAGTACACCATGATGGACAAAACTTTGATTTTGCATTTGACAGGGTATTTGGACCGCAATCTACACAGGAAATGGTGTTTGATTACTCTCTTCGTCAGACGGTCGACGATGTGCTGAGAGGATACAACGGCACAGTTTTAGCATACGGCCAGACAGGTGCTGGCAAATCTTATACCATGATGGGGCCCGCGCTCAGCGGGGAACTGTGTGGTGCTATCCCTCGCATCGTCAATCGCTTGTACGATGAATTGACTCGCAATGACGATATCGAGTTTGAGGTCAAGGTCTCGTATCTGGAAGTTTATAATGAGCGAGTCAAGGATTTACTTGAGCCGGCGAACGATAACTTGCCTGTTCATGAGGATACTCGCTCATCTAGTTTCTATGTCAAGGGCCTCACTACAATTTCCGCTCCCACCGCAGCGATTGTCTACGATACGTTGGAGAAAGGTTCACGGAATCGAGCTACTGCGTCCACCAATATTAATCAGGAGTCCAGTCGCAGTCACTCGATTGTGTCTCTGATCGTCAACCAAAAAAACAGGCTGACTGCAGAGCACAGACGAGGACAGTTGTTTTTGGTCGATCTTGCAGGGTCAGAGAAAGTCCGAAAAACCGGCGCAGTTGGCCAAGTCTTACAGGAGGCCAAAAGTATCAACAAGTCGCTGTCTACTTTGGGTATGGTTATCAACGCGCTAACCGATAGCAAAAGTCTACACGTGCCATACCGTGATTCAAAGCTCACCCGCATTCTCCAGGAATCTCTAGGCGGCAATTCGCGGACTTCGCTTATTGTAAACTGTTCTTTGTCGAGTATCCACTCGAGTGAAACATTATCAACGCTGCGCTTCGGTGTTCGAGCAAAGGCTATCCAGAACAAAGCCACAATTAATGCTGAATTCGACTCTCGGGCCATCACACCTCGGCAGGTATTTCTATTGCAGCAATATTCAGATGCTCTTCAGAAAGAAATAATCAGATGGCGAGCTGGCGAGCGTGTTCCACCATCTGAATGGGCTGAAATGGCACCGCAACCGCCTGTGGCTGCTGCATCTTCGGCAAGTGTTCTTCGGCGGCCCAGCTCGGCCTGCTCTCGAGCTGTCACAGGTAACAACAATACAAATGACGCCAAAATTGTTTCTTTGGAAACACAATTAGAAGATCAACTGCTTCAGGCCAAAGCTAGCAAGGATCAGCTGGCGGATCTGTTTAACCAGCTGCAACTCAAGTGCGCACAAATCGAGGATCTAGAAGTAAAGCGTGGGGAAATGGATTCTGAACTCAAACAACGAGACGAAGTTATTGAACAACTCCAACTACAACTCGAACAGCTCCAGGTGCATTTGGAGAAGCTTCAAGATCAAGTCGACCGCGCCCAGGAGTACACGGAAGAGGAACGTCGCAACGTGCATATCGCCACCATGAAACATAATATACGGGCACTGAGCGATATGCGGAATAGCCTTCTTGAACAGAACAGCAAGTTGACCCGGCAGCATGTGGTTGATTCACGTAAACTTGAATGGCGTCAAACTCGTATCCTGGAGCTCGAAGCGGAGCTTGCTGCGTGCGAGAAACAAGGTAATGAGGAAGAAGAGCTACTGCGTAAAAAGTTGCGGACTCTGGAGCCCAAACTTTTGCCCAAATCACCCACCCAACCAGCCCTTTCTGTGCTGGCTCCAACTACCATGCTCATTTAGCCTTCATCGTGCTGGCAACGATATATGTAAAGTGGTCATTTATAAATTAAATGTTTTCGTATGCTAATGTTACATGTTACGCTTTCAAGTCGACTTCTCGCGACAATGGCTCAGATTTGTCTGAGCTGGTTTGGAAGTCCTCGCCGTTCGTCAAGCATAATATCGACCGGACATCTGTGGTATAGCGAAGAGCATTGAGGAGGGGTAAGATATGCAAAAGAGCGTCATCTGTGGGGTCTGAGATCCAGCCCTCAATGGCCACTGCGTTGTTCTTGTGCCACAGGTACGAGACTGGGGAGTTGTCGACAATTATGACCCGACTGAGGTCCTCATCAACAGTACGGAGATCCTTGATGTATCCCAGAGGCGATTGGACACAATGAGAACGATACATTCGCCGTTTCACGACCCCAAGGCTCTCGTCCACCCAGTCGATCATCGGATCAGCGTACGACCTTACAGAGGCGGTGAAAATAATGACGTTAAACCACTGGCTAACCTGAGATAAAAACGTGTCGCAATGCGGCCTTTTTGCAACAAAGTAGATCCTGGAAATACCATCGACGTGGTCCACCTCGACCAAGTGAGTGGCCATCCCAGGAACCTCTCGCCCCATGGAATGGATGAGGGTCTCGTCTAGATCCAACACTAGTGTTTTGCGCTCGGTATCTTTCCAGTCTAGTGCTCTGCTTAGCAATGATACAGATCTGGACGAAACGCCGTATTTTGCTGCGTTTGAAGATAGCCGCCGCCGAGCCCGCATGGGGCCCAATGTGTCTTCGCTGGCTGCCCTGGAGGAGGACTTCCCGGCGTGCTGGGGACCAAAAACAAGCTCTCCCAGAAACCCCCAGCGGAGTAGAAAAAATGCGACGATAATTGTCCATATTGAAACGTTGTTGTGGGGCTCTATGTGGCCGAATTGTCCATCTTCTGTGTTGGCTGACGACCGAGGCAGCCGATGGCTCGAATGACCTACTATCGAGTCAATTTGCTTGCCAATGTACTTGATGGAGTTCATCCTACAATTGAAGTCAAAATAAACTCCTTGATATTACGGTCTGGCCTCAAATAACTAAACGGTAGGCGATTATCTGCGGGTGAGTCTTAAGAAGGACACCCAGAGCCTGGACCCAATAAATTAGTAAACACTGAAAAAAACCCGAATCTGGAATGGATTTTGAAACGGCCAGACTCGGGCTGGAAGAATTGGAGAGAATAGAGTTGGCGCTGGCCGAGCGAATCGTTCATGATCCAGACTGGTTAGACGAGACCAAGATCAGCCGCGAATTGGCCATGCAGCGGCTCGAGGCCAGTGTTTTGGTGAAGAGATACCGGGAAATCACCAAACAGATCGAGCTGGAGAAGCTGAGCGAGATCCAAGTGCCGAGTTTAGACGAGTTTTTGGACACGGTAAATTCAATTGAGGAAAGTGGGCCAGCAGCTGATCTTGAAAAGCTATACTCTCGCCACGCAAAGGCTCGTGGATTGGATCGGTTTAAATGCGACTTCACGGCAGACATGAACGTCGACAGCATTTTCAGTCTGCCCGAAAGTTATGGCAAGCTTCTCGACTTGACAATGCTGCACCAAGCGTTTTTGAATATCCCTGGTGCCCCGCATGTGACATTCAAAGAGTATGTCGGCAAGCTTGGAAGTTTTGACGATATTCTGTATATCCCTGTGAAAGAAAAGCGAGAATTCTCTACTTATCTTGCTGATTTGGAGAAGTATCTGATCGAGGTTTATCACAAAACACACCCGTTCGATGAGCCGCTGAACCTGGCCCCACAAGAAAACACGTCCGCCCTCTGGTGTGCGGTTTGTCAAAAACTCTACGCATCCGAGGGTGTTTTCAAGGCTCATTTCGATGGCAAGAAACACAAGAGAGCGGCACAAAATGGCCCAGCTTCTGTGGGTGACGCGGGCCGAGTTGCGACACTCTGTGAACTTTTGCAGCCCCAGCTTCTTGCCACCAAAACCAATATTTCTCGTCAAGAGGGAATGACGCACCAGGAACGAGAAATTGAGAACCAGGTCTTGCTAGAGAAGCTGGATCAGCAGGACAACTACGTGTCAGAAGACGAGTTGGAGCCAGAGCATGATTCGGCCCCATCTCAACAAGTTCCAGCCTGGCTCGCAAAAATTAATGGCTTGCATCTCCAGTTTCCATGCGAAATTTGCGGAGGTACGGTATATCATGGCCCGAAAGCATTCGAGAAGCATTTCAGCGAATCTAAACATATCCACGGTCTTCGTTGTTTGGGTATTTCCGATGCGTCTGTCTATGCTGGAATCACGTCAATTTCAGAAGCCACTGATCTTTATAAAAAACTGGCAAAGTCTAGGAAAATTGACGCCGAGGTCGAAGACGAACAAGGTAATGTCATGACGGCTAGAGCTTTCCAAGACCTAAAACGACAGGGATTGATCTAGACGGTTTGTACCAGAGCATACTTAGCCCCTATTTATTTATAAACCAGAAAATACTTTTTAGGCGTACAGGTCGTCGTCTGCACCATCATCGCCAACGGCTGCGCTGGGGGCGGCACCAGAGGAGCCTCCGAAGCTGAAAGAGCTAACACCGCGAGACTGTTGAAGCTGCTGAGCATAAGACTCGTACCGGCGGAGCTCGGAATCGGACACCGATCTCGCAGCAGTCTTCATAGCCTCCTCGAAATGGGCGCGTGTGATGAACGGAACGGCATCTTCCTCTAGCTCCATGGCAGCATCGCCATTCTCGCCGGCAGCACGTTCTGCAGCAATCGAGGCCTCAATGCTATCCTTGATGGCGAACTTGGCGGCACGCTGGACGATGTAACTCAAGTCAGCACCAGAGAAGCCCTTTGTGGAGGCAGCAATCTGGGTAAGATCGAGACCGGGCTCCAAAGGAGTTTTGCGAAGCTGTGCCTGCAGAATGGACAGACGAGCAGCTTCGTCGGGCAGAGGAACGTAGATGAGCTGGTCGAGACGGCCGGGGCGCAGAAGGGCAGGGTCGATCTGATCAGGACGGTTGGTAGCTCCGATAACAAAAACATTCTTCTTGGCATTCATGCCGTCCATCTCGGTGAGAAGCTGGTTAACGACACGATCTGCTCCACCAGAGTCACCCAGGGAGTTACCACGGGCCTTGGCAATAGAGTCGAGCTCATCGAAGAACACAACACACGGCGCTGCCGCGCGGGCTTTATCGAAGATATCACGAATGTTACTCTCACTTTCACCAACCCACATACTGAACAACTCAGGGCCCTTGACGGAGATGAAATTAGCCGATACCTCGGTGGCCACCGCCTTGGCGAGCAGAGTCTTACCAGTACCGGGGGGGCCAAAGAACAAGACACCCTTGGATGGAGACATGCCGAACTTGGTGTACATTTCGGGATGCAAAACAGGGTACTCGACGGTTTCCTTGAGCTCCTGCTTGATCTCATCGAGACCACCAACATCCTCCCAGCTAACGTTGACAGACTCAACCACAGTCTCACGAAGAGCAGAGGGGTTGGAAACGCCAAGAGCATAGCGGAAGTTCTCCATGGTAACACCCAGGCTATCTAGAACCTCAGCATCGATGTTCTCAGCCTCCAAGTCAATGAGCTCCATCTTCTCGCGGATCTGCTGCATAGCAGCCTCGGAGCACAGCGAAGCAAGATCGCTACCAACGAAACCGTGGGTCTCGGCGGCCAGCTGCTCGAGGTCCACGTCGCCATGAAGCTTCATATTCTTGGTGTGGATGCGCAAAATCTCCAAACGTCCAGTGGGATCAGGGATACCAATATCGACTTCACGGTCGAAACGACCGAAGCGACGCAAAGCCGGGTCGATAGAGTTAGGACGGTTGGTCGCAGCAATAACAACGATGTTTGCCCGAGATCGCATACCATCCATAAGAGTCAAAAGCTGTGAAACAACACGACGCTCGACCTCACCGTTGGTCTTGTCACGCTTGGGAGCAATGGAGTCGATCTCATCGATGAAAATAATGGCCGGTGCATTCTTCTCGGCCTCCTCGAAGGCCTTGCGCAAATTAGATTCAGACTCACCAGCCATCTTGGACATGATTTCAGGGCCATTGATCAAGAAGAAGAATGCTCCCGTCTCGTTAGCTACCGCGCGAGCAATCAGGGTCTTACCGGTACCGGGCGGGCCATACATGAGCACACCACGGGGAGGCTTGATACCAATTGACTTGAACAGCTGTGGGTGACGGAGAGGAAGCTCCACAAGCTCACGGATCTGAGCCATTTGCTTGCGGCAGCCACCAATATCTTCGTATCCGACATCGTTCAGATTGTTCTCCTCGTCCTCACGCTCAATGGGCTCACCATCGCAGTGGATAATGGTATCCTGAGCAACAATGGCATACTCTTGAGGTTCGACATCAACAACCTTAAACTCAACCTGCCGCATACCACCGCGGACGGTGAACAGATCACCCTTACGGACTGGGCGGTAGGCTTCAACAAAGTAAGGCTTGAGGAAGACATCAAATAGAGAACCTGTCAAGCCTTCAACGGTATCAGCAATGGGAAGACACAGGATCCGGGTGGCGTACTTGATATCCGGGCAGGGGAAGACGGTAACCACATCGCCCAAGCGAACGCGGAGGTTGTTACGAACTACCCGATTGATGCGAACCATTCCATCCGCAAGCTCCTCGTCAATGAGGACAATTAGAACAGTATCATGGCGTTTCTTGCCCTTGACAAGCACGGTGTCACCGCGGAATAGTTGTAGGGTCTCCAAGGTGTTTGGGGACATGGTGATCACACTGTTATCATCAGTCGTGGCGTCTTCGACAATCAACGCATTATCCCGTTTCTTGCTGCGCAAAATGGCTGTTGCGAGCTCGTTCTCCTTTCCGACTTCTTTGCCACTAGCGTCGTTTAAATTCACCTTGTGATGAGGTTCCTCCGACATTTTTGGTGGCAAGTTAACTGTGGTAAATGGGGATGGAAGATCTAACACCTTCTTATTAACTTCGGCCGGGTAACACCCTGGGGGTGCTTAGTCCGACGAAGGCTAGATCTTTTGAGGTTTACTTCTTTTGGATTTAAGCTGAAATGGATGTGGCAATCTTGACTCTGAATTGCGCCAAGTCTAAACAGTCGCTCAAAAAGTTTGCTAAGCTCGTAACAGAGTCTTTGCCGGCAGAGTCTCCTGGCCTATTTGTCGTTGGGTTGCAGGAAGTCGCACCGATCATTGCAGCTTCGTTCAAGGATTTGAATGCATACATGGAGCCGATTCGACGGGCAATTGTTTCTGCGTTGGCCAAAAAGTATAGCGGAGTCCAATTTTCTCTCGTTGCAGACTCATGGTCTGGCGCTATTGGAGTGATGGTGTATGCCCAGCGATCCAGAACGATTCGGGATGTGAAGACCGCATCAACAACATTCGGACGTTTCTGGAGCAGCGTTAAATCTGCTGCAGCGGTGAGATTGGAGGTGGATAGTACAACCTTCACATTTGTAACTACACATTTGGCCGCGAACGAGGGCTATGCACAGGATAGAAACCGCGATTATGCCATTTTAGCCAATGGATTGAGGTTCAAAGGCGAGCCAATGTACGTATATGGACCAAACCACCATTTGTTTGTGTTTGGTGACTTGAATTATAGATCGCTGAGACAACAAGGCGATGGTGGAAGTGAAGCAATCGGAATGCTTGTATCGAACTATGATCCCGCTATTGACGAGCTGCACATCGAGAAAGCAGCCGGGAATACTCTTTGGGGGTTGACTGAGGCACCTATCAACTTTGAGCCTACATTCAAATTTGTGCTAGGCACTTCAGATTATGATCTCAAACGAACGCCCTCTTGGTGCGACAGGATTTTGTATTCAGACGTAAACTCCCACGTTTCTGAATATTCCAGCGTTCCAGATTACCTTGAATCCGATCACAAGCCTGTTTATTTGCACGTCACTGTATCAGAAAGTGCCCCGTTACAAGTGCGTGTGCCCTCTGCTCCATATGTTACCAAAAACTTCTCTGATGCGTCAGATAAGGTTGTTGGAAGTGCACTGTACCTGGGAACCACTAAAGTAGGCTGGTTCATCCTGGTCTTACTGGTTCTTCTCGGGTTGTACATGGTCACGTGATAGGGCGTTACGCCCCCGTCTATTTCTCGCAGAGATCCTCTTTGGGCCAAGATTTGTCAGTTTGTCGTGTATATGCCCCTATCATGAACGAGCTCAACATCGGCACCATTGAGCGGCGGAAAAAAGATTTGCAGGACTGGTTCCCAAAAACATACACGCACCTTGAAATTCCTCCCGTACAGCGAATTCGTTGTCTAGCACTTGGCTGTCCTTCAGATGGAATCAATGCTCAGTACCAGCTAGCATTTTTGCTTCTCCTCAAAGAGAAATTGGGCGTCTCCGACGTCACAGTGTATGACCCGATCTTTCAGAAAGACGATCTGGACCTCCTGAGACACTACGATCTTGTTGTGCAGAAAGACCACCCTGACGACAACGGCACGCTATGGTACATACCCCATGGTCCGTTTTCTCTCGTAAAAGAGCTGGCTTCCGGAATGAGCGTCTATTTGGGCAACGACATGGTCAGATTCGAACCGCGAGTGCCGGTCACCGCGGAAGATGACGCTAAACTCGAGGCATTGCGCAAATCAAACATTAAGGCTCTTAACGTCGACAAAAAGGACCGCTGGTTCACGGCAATGAACGATATGGCATTACATGTAACAAAGAGTTAGTTTTATATTAAACTTATGGAGGTAAACTATTCGTCGCGAGTCAGATCGTCCCAGCGGTCAAGAATATCCTTGATCTGCTCGCTGTTTGTCAACTTGTAGACCTCCTCGAAGTACTCCTTGGACACCTCGAAGGGCTTAGCGGTCAGATTGGGAATATACTTGCCAACCAGGCTGGCAGGCTTGACGGCATTCTTGGCAATACGCTTGGACAAGAACGTCTTGAACGGGTTGACACCGGAAAGCAAATAAGAAGAGTGGAAAGGCACAGAGATGCCAGGCAGGGGAATAGTAGCAAAGCCACGCTCAAGCTCAATGGGCTGAGGCTTGTTGACAGACTTTACTGAAACCTCCCGCACGATCTCGGCCAAGTGCTCCTTGAGCTCCTCGACACTCATCATCTCCTGCAGCTTATCAACGTTGATCTTCTTGATCTTCATCACATTGAGAACGTTAGTCAAGGTGTCAAGAGCACGAAGATCACCGGCAGCAACATACTGCTGGTTAGCAACATTGTAATTGACGATTTCCAACAACCACTTGGTGGTCTTGGACGTCTCCTCCACAACAAGTCGCAGAGCAGGCTCGCTGAAGGTAGGAGAAATGCGACTGGGGTTGATGGCAATCATACCGTAGTTGGAGCGACCAAGCTCGTCACGAGGCACAGCGACCTGCATGGTCATACCGCGGTAGAAAACAACGTCGACCAAACTCTCAACGGGCATGACATCGGCCAAAGAAGCAAGAGCAGAGTACTCACCGAGAGAGTGACCGGCGAAGATCGAGTTCGAGTCAACAAGACCCTTCGACCGCATGTCCTCGAAAGAGGCCTTCTCCATCAAAGTGAGCGCGGGCTGAGTGAACTGGGTCATAGCAAGCAGACCATTAGGAGACAAGAAGGTGTAGTGGCTACTCTCTTGGTTGATAGACTTGAAGATGGGCTCTCGCTTGAGATCACCAGTTTCGCTGTCGATTGTCTCGAAAGTCATGGCAATGTAATTCTCACGAATACGCTTGCCCTGCTCACCACCAAAATGCACAGTGAGCTCACGAGGGTTTTCACGAACGATCTTGAGAATCGAGATACCATATGTCTCCACAAAGTGACGATCAGCACGATCCCAAACCTCGCGGGCCACAGGACTAGAGTTGTACAAGTCCATACCCATATTCTGCTCTTGCGAACCCTGACCGGTAAAGACGTAGGCAGTAGTTGGCTGATCAACCTCCGCCTCACCAATAAGAACTGGTTCACCAGTCTCACGCTTGGTAGTCTGAACCTTGATGATCTTACGACCATTGATCATGCCTACATGCTCAAGACGAGTCTCAAGAATGTCATTAGGTAAGACCATACCAACGAATTGGCAGCTGAAAGCACGGCAGCGTTGAATCACATTATCAGCAGCCCAGACCTCAACCAGGGCGCGAACTGATGCAGAAGAAAACATGCCATGGGTGATGGTTCCTGGGAGGCCAGCGTAGCTAGCAAACACGCGAGAAACATGGATGGGGTTATAATCACCAGACACCGCACCATAGAGCTCATTTGAAACAGGAGCGCGCAATTCCAAAGGCTCAGCTGTCAAAGGAATGGGCTTATCGAAGGGAACAGGCTGCTCGATGGGCTGGCCCATACGCTGCATATAGTCGACAACGGGGTTACCATAAGACTCACCGGCTTCGTAAACAATATCTGCGACGTACACAATCTCCTTGGTGGGGAGCTCGTGCAGCAGTTGACCAGTGGTCAAAACACTTGAGAACGACTTGGCATCCTTGTAGTGCACAGTAGAGTTGCAGCGAGCAATAAGGGTCTTGCCCAGCAAGTTAAAGTCGGCAGTCTCCTCACGGGGATGGAACCACTCCTTGGAGCGTAAGATAGCAACATCACGAGCAGTGGCTAAAGTAAGCTCCATGGGGATCTCATCCTGGACACGGAACGTCGCAGGATAATCCTTGAAGTCGCCACGATACAGGAACTGGGAAGTGACCTCCATAACGGGGCGGCCACCGCGAACCAAAGTACCCATAACCTCGATAGTTTTGCCAGACGCGCTGTTAGTGACCGAAGTGATACGAGCACTGGTGCTAACAATATCACGCTCAGCAAGTGGAGCCTCACCCTGAATCATCTTGAAACCGTTGGAGAGATGAACAAGACGAAGCAGGTCACCATCAATAACCGCAGGGAAAATAGCCTTGATAATAGCTTTCCAGCCCAGCACAATCGCAAAGTCCATAGGAGCGAATACCTTGCGGTTTGGCAGTGAGACATAGGCCTCGCCCTTGTTTCCGACGGCATTAACAAAGTCCTGAACAGCAGCGGGATCAATGATCACAGGTTCCTCATTCCAAGGAGATTTGAGGTCATCAATAGTCTCGTATTTCGAATCAGCACCGAACCAAACTGTCCAGTAGAACTTCTTAATACGATCATTACGACCTTCGGTAATCTCAGAAATAGGAGCGTAGCCAACCGCTGGATCATACCGGTACTCAAGAGGTAGATCAGCAGGTTTGCCATCAGCCGTGCGCCACTCACGGAGAGAGACATCGATGATTCCATCACCAGCCCATTTGGCAAAAGCGACTAGATGTTCCTGGCCACGGGCGCGCTCGAAAACGCTGATCTTCAGCTTCTCCATGTTATCAAAGTTCTCGAACTTGACGGTGAGACCAGGAGCAGGACCAAACACGTCACGCAAACGATTGGCAACATGTTTGTTTCCTTGAACAATACGATGCGAAGAAAGCAAAGCGTAGCGCCAACCGTAGTGGGATCCAGCCAATGCAGCAAGCCACTCTTCGAGGGGAGGGAGATCAGTGCAGTCATGGTCGATTGAGTAAATCTGGGTGTTACCATGCTTGGAGATAGTAGCGTGGGGATAGTCGAACTCAAAGCCAGCGTCCTCGGAAGGAGCTGGGCCACCGAAGCATTCGATGGTAGGGATAGACGATTTATCACCCTCATAGTGGTCTTTGATCAAGTGATTGATGTGACCCTCATGGATGTCGTCAAGAATCTTACCAATTGGTTCGTCAACCACCTTAGAGTAACGTGCAGCAACAGGGCCCTGAAGAATACACGTCCGTCCAACATCTTGATCGACAACAGCAGCGAGATCCTCACTCTGCCACAAAGAATCCTTTTTGAAGTAGAACTCGAAGTTATCGTCAAGTATAGGAATGAATGGGACAGGCTTCTTGAACTTGTCGAGACAAAGCATCAAGAAATAGTCCTTATCCTGTGCCTGAATGATCTGCTGGCGAGCCTCGGGATACTCAGCGAAGAACAGACCCAAGAAAGAATCTGGATCATCGAGTTGAGAAAATGACTGCAAAACCGAAAGACGCTGCTGTTGTTGGGTAAGACGCTCCTCAACACGGCGGACAAACTGAGCAGTCATGTTGCGCAAAGAGACATCGATCCAGCGGCGCTCGGTGCGCACAAATTGCAACTCAACCAAACGCTCCACAACCTCGCCATAGGTCATCTCATCGAGATCGGCAACAGAGCCATCGGTCTTGCGACCAAACCAGGGCTTTTGGAAGTCATCATTCAAGCGCTTAATCAAGGTGTCTTTCATGGCTAGCAGAGCAGCCACCCGCTTGGGACCACGGGGCACGGCGAAAATTTTGGTATCGAGATCCTTCCAAAGCATAACACCACGAGTGGCAAGCTTGTGGATCGGCTCACCCATCTCAGACATGACGGTGATGATACCGCCTGTGGGCTTGGTATAAGTTCCCTCCCAGTGACAATCTTCAACACCTGGGGCATCGACGATAGCACGCTTAGCAGCAGGGGAGGTGTGGAACTCTTTCGCAACCATACAACGCGAACCCATCAAGAGACCGTCGAACGGCATAGGAGGATACTGGAACTTGGTAGACCACTCACCTGTGAGGTAAGGATAGCTGCTCTCAGCATCACCAAAACCGGAACCAGCAATCAGAATCAAGTTGGGCTGTTTACGAAGCTGACCATAAGTGGCCAGAATAGGCTGATGGAAGTCCTCGAAAGAGTGATGACCACCACCACGGCCACCAGTCCACTGAACAATGACAGGGAAATCTGGGTTCGCAGCAGCGATCTGAGCACACTGCAAAATACTTTCGACAGTACCAGGCTTGAAGGAAATATGCTTCAGACCCAAGTTGCGGATGTAGTCGTTAGCGACTTCAACACTAGGGACACCGGCACCAATTGTCAAACCTTCAAGAGGGAAGCCCTGTTTACGGAGCTTTTCCACCATAGGGATACACCATTGCAACATGAAAGGATTGACATAAAGGACGTTCAACGAAATACCCATAGCAGGAGATGTGAGTTTCTGAACTTGTTCCAGAGCCTTGACCAAAGTGTCCTCCAAGAAGTAGCCACCACCAGCCAACTCAATGTGGTAACCGGCGTTCATAGTGGCGGCGACGACCTCAGGGGAAACAGTGCTGGGGGTCATACCAGGGACCATAATAGGAGCACGACCCAATAAGCGAGAGAACTTGGTATCGACAAATACCTTGCCTTTAGAAGTACGCACCAACTTGGGGGAGAAACTTTCTTTCCAATCAGGGGCGTACTTTAAGGAAAGTGTAGAGCGATTGAAAAGCTCTTGCTTGAAACCCAGCTCATCGGACAAGCCACGCCCGCCAAGCACACCGGCAACAATAACGCGGACACCAGTGCCCTCCTTGTTACGGTGGGTAAGTTGACCAAGACCAGCAGCTCCGCCGGGGCCAAAGTCAATAAGATGCGTGATACCCTTGAATGCAGTTGCCTTTTCCCAGTTTACGGGCAACTCGGTAATGAGCTTGATCAAACGAGCGGTGAGATTTGAGCATTCGCGCAAGTCCGAGCCGTCGAAGGTATCATAAACCGGAATGGCGAGATCGGCAGCATTGAAACCGGCTCCACACTTTGTGATATCGTCGATGATCTTGTCTGTTGCATGTTGAAGCAAGAATGAATGGAAAGGAGCGGTGATAGGCAAGAAACGAGTAGTGATGCGCAGTTTACGCTGCGAGAAAGGAGTGCGGCCTACACTCTCGTCGCCGGCCTTGTCAGCACGGATGGAGCGATTCAAACCATAAAGAGACATAGGAGGACCCGAGAGAACAAAAGAGCGAGGGCCATTGATAAGGGAAACCTGGATGTGCTTGTCCGAAGGCAGGTACTTGTTAGTTTGGTCAATGTAGCGCTGAAGTTTCTCGATGGTCAAGTCTTTGATGGCGAGCATAGGTGATGGAGAGCCCTCGTTATTGTCGAGGCTATCCTGGAGAACGGTTGGCAGAAGCGAGGTGTAAGGGAAGGCGACCTGGGAGCGAAGACCGATGAAGAATAGGCAGGTCAGCGCCCGCGCCGCCAAGCCGCTGAAATCTTCCCAAGTATTTGAAGTGGCCACTGCTACAGCTGTGACGATACCCTGAGAGTGACCAGTAGTTGATGTGAGGTGTTCACGGAACTGGCCTGGAGTAAGGCCAAGAACACGGCATGTGACGATGTAATGACAGAACTGAATGACACCGATTACAGGCACAGAGACCGATGCAGAAAGGAGGTAGTCATTCTTGGGGCAGGTAGCTTCATCTTTGACCCAGGCCAAGACATCCAAACCTTCAGTGTAGACCTTACTGGCATCTTGGTGTTCCAAGGCAAGCGTGCGCAGTAATTTGGATGCCGAAGTGAGGAAAGGGGTGAGAAGACCCTGGTAAGTTTTGTACAATTGCTGAAGCTCCTTGAAGTATTCGTCTGAATTACCCTGGCCACCGAAAATTGCACTGAGATGAGCGTTATCGTCCTCAACTTCCCGCAAGAGAGCTGACGCATGAGCGCGAATCGGGCGGTGAGCGATGCGGCGAGCGTCCAAATAGGCGCTAACAATCGCCTCTGGATCCTCGACCTCCAAGCTTGCCGCCAGGGTATGCACGTCATTGCCCATAAGGAAGCGCGCCTCGAACTCGTTGAGAACGATTGGCAGGACGTCGTCAAAGGGACCAGGTTCGCTTTCAACCACGTGCGCAGTGTATCCCAAAAAGGAGCCGACCAGTTCAGCGGGATCACTGGGAAGAAGCTCGTCCGGATTGAGTTTCTTGCGAACAAACTGGTCACGAAGCTGCATCGTGTTTGTGTAAAGACCAGTTGGCACCATGAAGGTGTGCTGGATCTCGCCAGCTTCGAGCGTTAAGGGCCGCAACATGGCCGCAGACACGGGAGAAACCACACCAGTTGACATTCTGCTAGTGCTCTTTTTTTCCTGTGGTGTGGGTGATTACAAGGTGTGGACAAAAATAGTTGACCTTATAAAACCTCCGTGGAAGCGTTCGATCGAGATTGCCCAACGCAGGTTAGGGGCGACGCTCAACGTTGAGAGGAAAGTTCAACTTACGGCCGCGGCAAAGGAGCTTACGACACAGGCTTTCGAACAATGAAAGATAAAGATATGATCTACAGGCTGGATGTATATATACCCGCTTGCCGCTGTCCCAATTCCTGTGTTTTTTCCGCTCAACACAATCACATGCGTTGAGTATGCATAACTTTTCGGTTTGGGCAAGGGCAGACATCACCAACTGGCGCGGGTTGGGGTCAACGCTGATATAAAAAAAAAATCTGGTCTGACTAAGGGAAAAAAATAGCGAGGCTGCGGCTGGATTGGTGGTGCGGTATTCGGGAAAGACACTCGTTTAGAGCCGCCGGTAATTAGCGGATTTTATTTACTGTTTAATTTGAGCATTAAAAGTCCTCCTAGCCCGAACTTAGTCAAGCTTTGTCATGGAGACTCGAGTGTCCAGAAAAGATCTGTTTGAGGATATCTCAGAACCCGTGGGCGAGCCAGTGGTCGACCTGGAGTTTGATGAAGTCAATGTGGATGTTGTCAGCGACGATGGCCAAGATACTAGCGCGTTCCAGCTGTTTGGTGGTCAAACCATGACCATTGATCTGAACGCTGAAGATGACGACGGTCCTGTGGTGACAAGGCCAGATAGCTACTACTTTGCCGTGTCAGGCGCCGACCGCGAACGGTGCATTCTTGTTGCAGTTACAGGAGAGGATATTTTAGAGCAAGCGGCTAGGGAACTGGCCATCGCAGCAAGCAGTCCGCCGGCCCCCGATATCAACGAAGGGTGGATCAAGCCACGGCGGAAGTGTCGGCCGGGCAAATCGGCACGAAAGAACCGCAAAGAGCTTAATATTAAACGGGAGCAACAACGCAAGGAGGAACAGCAACGCTGGAGAAGGCGTCCCAAGTTCAACCGCCGGTAATGTATTTCTCAAACACGGCCTGGAGCGGCGGGACCGAATCCAGGGTTTTAAGAAACCGGTTCTTTTGTACATTCATAGACCTTATGGCAGCCTGATTCGCCACAGACATAGTTTTCAGCTTCACGTCCATATTTTTTGCAACCTGAGTCCAAAAGTAATCGACTAGCGGAGTGGTCGGGTGGTTCAAATCGGCTAGAATGCCCTCAATTAGACCTAACGTCTTGGCTCGTCTCTTTGTTTCGGCAACTGCATCGTTGAATGCTTCCGAGCTGGTGCTTGACGATCGCGAAAGTTGTAAGACCGATGTTCCAATGTGAGCCTTCAGCATGGTGTCAACTGTCGTAGAAATGTCCACGTCCAAAGCCTCCAAAGCAGTGAGGCCACTGTACAAACGACGTTTATCGATACCCTCGCGCACAGCAGCCGTAGCCACTGTCTCCAGTCGCTGTTTTGCCGGCGCCAGCGTCGGCTCGAGTTGTCGCACCACAGCCAGTCCGGCCAGGCTCGGGGTTTGTTCGATCAACTGCTTGATCTGGGGGTAGCATTTGGCAGCTTGAACAACAGTGTCGAGCGAGGCACGCTCTTCTTGACCAGCCTCAATCTGCTTTGCTAGATGAAGGTACCATGCTAGCGCGCGGGCCAGTCCGGCCATCTGCTCGAGCTTGATAGCGGCTTTGTGGGCATCCCGGGCCTGTTCAAAGGGAACGACAAAGTCCTTTTCTAGCTTCGAGTAGGCATTCGAAACATTGTGTAGTTCAGGAGTCATTTTATTCGTCATTTCCGCCACGTCTTCAATGGCTTCGGCATGAGCGACCAGCTCGTCCGGATGAGCAGCTACCAGTGCTGAGATTTCTTTTTCCACGGCCTCTATATCATAAGTGAGCCGTCTCGAAGCAGGCCCAATGTCGATTGACACGTCGTTCGAGGTCGTTGTGTCTCTAATCAGAGCGTTCGCCTGTTTCACCGCCGAAAACGTCGACGCCAAATAGGCCTCCATCACACGGTTAGGTAACCAAGAGGGCCCTGATTTGAAAAATTTAGGCTGGCGAGAAAATGTTCAAGTTTGGGTTTGATGAGGAGAACCAACAGGAGGAAACAAGCCAATCGACTCAAACGGATCCTGCTCAGCTACATGACTTTTCTTTGCTTCGCCAAGCAGCTCCCCGTATCTCTTACACCGGGTATGCTGTGCCCAAGACCGAGATCACACTGCCGCGACGGGACTTTTTCGATGCTAGATACCAACTAATGGGCGAGGATAATCTAAGTGAGTCCGACCAGCTGCTCCTAGGATCTGAAGATGTCCGGAAGACCGTCTACGAAGGTGGCCTGAAGGTCTGGGAGGGTACTGGAGATCTGTTGGAGGTGCTTGCCGAGCATTCAGAGACAAGCGTTATTGAGCTTGGATGTGGAGCGGGCATTCCAGGCTGCCTACAACTCTACAAAGCTTTGAAGGCAAATCTAAGCGGCAGATTCGTGCTGGCCGATTACAATACCAGTGTGCTGAGACTGATCACTATGCCCAACGTGGTGCTGGCCTGGCTGGCTGCCACTAAAGGACTTGAAGACAAGGGCGAGATCAATCTCACCGCAGAGCTCATTGAAGAGTGTGCTGCTGATCTTGCAAAGCGCGGGGTCGCAGTCCACTTCGTCTCAGGCGGTTGGTCCCCGCAGTTCGTGCAGCTAGTAGGCCAACCGTTTGATCTGGTGCTCGCATCTGAAACTATTTATTCTCTGGACAGTATTGTGGCATTCACCGATGTACTTGCCGCAGTCAAGGGCAAATTGGCTCTAGTAGCAGCCAAAAAGGTCTACTTTGGAGTCGGCGGAGGAGTTATCGAGTTTCAAAGACAACTGGATAAACGCCAGCTCTCGTACCATCTTGTCTTGGAGACAGGTAGCGTCGGGCGCGTCGTCCTGGCCGTAGAATAAATAATTTAATTTGGCTGGCCGTCTCGGCTAATCTCACGCATTCGCCGGTTGCTCGGTCTGGCAGATTGTCGTGGATAAGGGTTGTGGGGTGAGCAGCGGCCATCACCATATATTAAACCAAACGGTGAATTAGACATCTTACCACACCAAAAAACCCCGACTGTAAAAAATGGCGCGTAAATTCTTTGTTGGAGGCAACTTCAAGATGAACGGCTCGACTGAGCAGATCAAGAAGATTGTTTCTGGTCTCAACAACGCTAAACTCAACCCTGAGGTTGAGGTAGTGATTGCTCCCCCATTCCCCTACCTGGCACTTGCTGCTTCTGAGAACAAGCAGTCGACTGTTGCTATCTCCGGCCAGGACACTTACTACAAGGACAACGGTGCCTTCACTGGTGCCACCTCTGTCTCTATGCTCCAGGACGTTGGTGCCACGTGGGTTATCCTTGGTCACTCCGAGCGTCGCTCCCTGTTTGGTGAGACTTCGGAGGAGGTCGCCAAGAAGACCAAGTACGCGCTCGACAAGGGCATGAAGGTCATCCTCTGCATTGGTGAGTCCAAGGAGGAGCGTGACAGCAAGCGCACTTTCTCGGTCTGCTCTGGCCAGACCCATGCCGTCATCAAGGCTCTCTCGCCCTCCGACTGGGCCAATGTCGTCATTGCCTACGAGCCGGTCTGGGCTATCGGCACCGGCTTGACTGCCACTCCCGTAGATGCCCAGGAGGTCCACAAGCAGCTCCGTGAGTTCCTCACCACCAACATCTCTGCTGAGGTCGCTAACGCTACTCGTATTATCTACGGTGGCTCTGTCAACGCCAAGACTGCCCCTGACTTGTCCAAGGAGGCCGACATTGACGGCTTCTTGGTTGGCGGTGCTTCCCTCAAGCCCGAGTTCATCGAGATCATCAACGTTTGACTAGCACGCCCCAATAGCCGGTTATAAGTGGTTGAGTCGTGTTTTTTTTTACTGTTTTTCACCTCGTGTGCTTCAACTAGTAACCGTAAATAAGCTTTCTTTAAGTACTTGTCTAAAACGTTTGGCTTTCGTACTTGACGTACTTTTTCTGTGCACTAATCCTCCAGTCATCGTCGTGCTCCGAGTAGCGATTGAACAGCGGTTTGATTGTTTCAGTTCGCCGTCGCTTGGTGTTTGTATCCATTTTTTCAAAAAAGGCCGGCGCGGCATTGAGCAGCCAAGACGGTTGGATCGCTGAGACATTGTGCATGTACTCGCGTGACGTGAAAACAAGCGTATGGTACAAAACGTACTCGGTCCGTTTGCCAAATAGTGCGCTGGCAGGGTGAATCGCTACTTCAGTGTTGTCGATAAGTGTGTGGTAGACCGTGCCGGAGATTTTAGCAGCATTGCGGAAATAGCCGCTGGCCAGCACCTGTAAGATCAGCTGCGCGTCTCCACCACATGCGTCCAAGCGATGTTGGTAACGCTGGAGAATACCAGCCAGCTGGTGCCTAACGTCTTTTGCTCGCCTGAGCGTTCGCTCGTGTATAAAGTTGTCTGCGCACCATTGCTTTGAATATCCGCTTTTGGCCCATGTGTTGTAGATATTCAAAAGAGTCATGTGGTCGCCCGTCCCGTCACTGAGTCGGCGACGCGCCCGATCCGCAGCATCGCGTTGCTTGGAATCTGAAGGTCGATAAAATAAGGACGGCATGGAAAGCACAGCAATGATTGTGAGCATCTCTTGGGCGCAGCCCGCGTCGGCAGATCTAATGAGTACTTTGGCCATTGCTGGGTCCATTGGGAAATCAGCCATTTTCCGCCCCACGCGGGTTAGCAGACCTTCGCTATCGATAGCACCGAGCTGGTACAGTTCCACTAGAGCACCCAGTAACGCGGGCCGCGAAGGGGGATCTAAGAAGTCGAAGCTCAAAAGATCTGTAATTCCCATTGCCTTCAACATCAGCGCTGCATGGGCCAAATTTTGACGTTGGATTTCAGGAACAGTGCTGCTGCTCATTTCGTTTTCAAAGATTTGCTCAGTGTACAATCGGTAACACTTTCCTGGGGCCGTACGACCAGCACGGCCGGCGCGCTGGTTCGCTTGAGCACGAGAAATAGGCACAATTTTGAGACTATTCATGCCCAACTGAGGGTCCCATACGCTGAGCTTCACAAAACCTGGATCCACAACATAACGAATACCGTCAATTGTTAAACTTGTTTCGGCAATATTCGTGGCCAGAATGCACTTGCGGACCCCCGCCGGTAACACCTCGAAAATACGTGACTGCATCTCGCTAGGCAAGGCAGAATAAACGGGCATAATTTCCAGGGTATGAGCCATGGCCGGACCCAGGGCTTTGACTCTTTCGTAAAGTCTTTCACATGCAGTTTCGATTTCTTCTTGACCCGTCAAAAACACTAGAATGTCACCTTCATCTTCAGACATGTGAATTTGCATAATCTGCATTAAAGAGGCAGCCAGATAGTCAGACTCAAGTTTAGATGGCCATACAATCTCAACCGGGAAGGTTCTTCCCGGGATCTCAAGGACCGGGGCGTTTCCAAAATACTCTGAGAACTTGGCAGCGTCCAGCGTTGCAGAAGTAACAATGACCCGTAAATCAGGTCTTCTTTTGGAGGCCGCTTTGACAAGAGGTAGCAAAACGTCTGTAGAAAGCGTCCGTTCGTGCGCTTCGTCAAGCATCAAAACACTATAAGCGCTGATGTTTTGATCCGCAAGTGCTTCATGTTGCAGCATACCGTCGGTCATGTACTTGATCTTTGTATCTGGACTCGTGATGTTTTCAAAACGAATACTGTAGCCGACTAGTTTACCTAGTTCAGTGCCGACCTCATCAGCGACTCTTTGAGCGATTGACTTAGCAGCTACCCGGCGAGGCTGGGTGCAGCCAATCATGCCTGTTTCTGCAAATCCTTCTTCATATAAATACTGGGTGATCTGGGTTGTTTTACCGGAACCCGTCTCACCAACAATCACCACCACTGGGTTGTTTTTAATCGCCTCGACCAAGGCTTCTCGTTGATGGTACACAGGTAAGCGGCGCCTTTGTTGAGCCATTGGAGACTTGTCTATTTTACCCAAGGGTCTGTTCAAAACTTTTCTCCATTCTGACTGCTCCTTTGGCCGGTTTTCCTGCCGTTCTTTGGCCATTTTGCCCGCTTGAGCGGCTGCTTTAGCCATTTCACCTTCGGGAACGCGCTCTAGAGCGATCGCCTTTGTAGGAATTTTCTCGCCTGTCAAAAATGACGGAACCATTTCATGAACCTGTACTTCTACGTGTTCGTCCTCGTCGTTTTCTTCAAGGTCAGGGTAGTCTGATGCCGACAGAGCACCTGCAGCGATTAATTGGCGGATTTCAAACCGTTCTGGAGACGAAACTCTTTTTTTAGCTTGCACATGTTCAGTTGGGGGAATTGAGTTGGTTTTCATAGACAGGGATAGCCTTTTTCCATCTAGTTTGATCAGCTTGGCCTCTACCGTATCGCCAACTGATACAACATCTCTAACATTTTGAACCTGTTGATCTGAGAGTTCTGAGATATGTATGAGGCCATCTGTTTTAGGATACACGTTTTGCAAGGTCACAAATGCACCGAACGTGGTGATACCTGACACTGTGCCTTTATATGACGAGCCGACCTTCAGGTCTTTTGGCGACAGTTTCGCAGACGGTATTGCCTTGACCGGGCGAGAATTGGCTGGAGACTCTTCTTTGTTTGAGGGCGAAACCGCAGCCGGCAACAGCTGTGGCGGAAACAGGAAATCCATCACCACCTTCGCCCCCTCCCCCAGCTCATCCAGCTCTGAAGCAAGCGCCTTGGGATCTTTTTCAGATAAATTCAGTACATACTCTGCCAGATCCCTATCACAAACGTTAGTGAATGGTGCTAAAATCCTAGCAATTCTTGAGATTCGGCCCAGCCGTACCAGCTGGTCCATTAGCTAAGGCTACAGAAGAAGAGGCAGCGATAATTTAAGCACTGGCGAGAGTGGCCTCGGAAGGTTTATTGGCCACACCCGGGGCAACAACGATAGGAGGCAGGTCCGCGGACTGGATGCCTGATTTGCCGACAATGTGCACGTCGCATCCCTTGAAATCGATGGGCATACGGGTTTGTAATTCGGAAACGCATTGGGCAGCGAGCTTCAGGCCCTGCTCGAGCGTCAAGCCCTTTTTCCAGTAACGGTCAAGCGTAGCAGTGATATAGTAGGCGGCGTAACCGTGGGCAGCATACGGCAAGTCTACTTTAGAGCCCAGGTAGTCGACCCAGGCAAGCATGGGCTTGGCCTCTCTGGGGTGGAAGCCGCCAATGAGCAGGTTGACCTGATAAGGTTTGCGGGTGCGCAACGATCGAGCAAGTTCTGAACGAGTAAACGCTGCGACGCTATTGGGAGTCATTTCAATACCGTGGCGGAGGCCGTAGAGAGCGACGTTCGCCTGGATGTATTCGGCAAAGTTGCTAACATCACCGGGCTCTCCTGAGTAGGCCATGGCGGTATATGAATTGAGTTTGACCACTTTGTTATCGTCGTGCTTCAACACCGAAACGCCTCGCGAAATCGCCCGCGACGTCACGAGAATCACTTCGTTAGCTGTTTGCAGCCCAATGAGAATATCCATTGCCACTGTGTTTGTCAGAAGGTTGAAGATCGAGTGCCGACTTGACGAAAAGTAAGGTTGAGGGGGGAATATGTCGAGAAACGAAATAAAACCAAAGGCAGAGGCAGTTTTAAAAAAAATTGCCACTAAAATACCACAAACTGTCTCGTCCTGCCGTCTTAATTAAACCAGTTCGATCACCGCCGATTACTCATGGACTTTGACACTCTTCGAGTATATTACCAGCGGTTTTTCCCCTATCAGGACGTATTTCTGTGGTTGAACCATGATCGGACGCCGCAGGCAGATTTCTTAGATCGCGAGATTGCTTTTACAATTGAAAATGCATATGTGCGGTACCAATCATACATGAATGCGGACGCGTTCAAGGCCGACGTTCTGAGGCTGATGCCGACGCGTTTTGAGTACGGTCCTGTCTACAGCGCCAATCCAAGACAGCGCAAAATGCTTCCAAAAGGTGCATGTGTGCCGGTGAAAAAAGAGTTCTGTCTGGATATCGATTTAAGTGATTATAACAGCGTACGCACTTGCTGCACCGATACTGCAGTTTGTAACAAATGCTGGAAATTTGCGACTATTGCTATTGAAATCCTGAACGTGGCTCTTCGTGAGGATTTCGGGTTTCAGAATCTTCTCTGGGTCTTTTCGGGACGCCGTGGTGTGCACTGCTGGGTCAGTGATGCGGCGGCGTTGACTTTAGACGAGGCTCAACGATCCTCGATTGCAGCTTATCTTCAGGTCCTGGGGACCAGCACTCAGGGCAAACTGGTCAATTTGCCTCGCCCTTTCCATCCACACATCGCTCGGAGCTTTGGCATACTAAAATCTCATTTCAAACAGGTGGTTCTTGAAGAACAGGACCCATGGAGATCAGCTGACCAGGCAGAAGAATTGCTCAAACGACTACAGCCGGCGGACCTTGTGGCACGCCTCAGATCCAAATGGGGATCAAAAGAGATACCTAGCTCTCAAAGGTGGGCAGATATCGACACAGAAACCAGGCAGCTGCCTGTGTCCTCGGGCTCTCGCAATAGCGTTGGCGATGCGGTATTGGCGGCCAAGCAAGACATAATATTCGAATACTTATACCCCCGTCTTGATGCCGCTGTTTCACGAGGTCTCAATCACTTGCTGAAATCGCCTTTTGTTGTTCATCCCTCCACGGGAAAGATCTGCGTCGCTCTTGATCTCAAAAAGCTAGACGAATTCGATATTGATGCGGTGCCTCGCTACGATGCTATTGTCAAGGAATTGGATGCTACAAACGATATTACAAAAACCTCCCTACGAGACTATACGGAGTATTTCAGACATCACGTCCAGGAAACCCTTCCGAAAAAGCGGGCAGCGGACACCCTTGATTTTTAACAGATGACGCACTTGGAAGGCGCCTCAGATATCTTAAGTTTTTGCTTGCCTGCAGGGTGCCACCATTTCAAAATCTCGCTGTTGATCTCGTATCGACCTCCCGAAATACAGATTTTACATTGTTCACTGAAATGCACGTCTGGAACATATACGGTTGTGTAATGGCCTTCGTCGCATTCCTTGCCATCAATAACAAAACTGTACTGATTGCGGTATAAATCAAAACGAGACTTTCTTATAGTGCCCTCAACTGTGATTGGGCCCGGACGAACGAACGCCTGCATAGCTCTAGTACCACCACTGAGAGAGCGGAAGCTGAAATCCTCATAATTCCACAAATCGCCTCTCTCATGACAGTTGGTGCTTGAATAGCACCAATAAGTGAAATGCATCTGGTGATGTTCCAATCCTGCCGCCATTGCGTCCAGCGCTTTGATCTGCGGTGTGTAGTTGTGATTTAAAAAGGGTTCTTTATCGTTCATATCCATTGGCACACCAGTTTCGGACATGAGAATTGGCACTTTTTCACCAAAATTTTCTCGGCCTTCGCGGTCGATGATGCCAATTTGCTTGGTTAGACAATGCCGGATGGAGCTCTCACCAATCTTCAAGGCAAACACCGGCAACCGATAATAACCACGCAGGTATCCCAGAGCATCGACGTTCCAGAGCGAGCTCCAGCGTTTCAGCATCAATGTAAGCCCATCGTAGAAATGCGGGGCATACACCACGCGGTCGTCAATATAGGGCGTCTCTTTGAGCTTTGGAGGAATTGCCAGGGTCGGGGGCTGGCACAGCAAAAATAGGTCGTCAGGAAGCTCTTTTCGGAATCTGTTGTATAGCTTGCCCCAGTACGGAACAAAGAATTTTTCGACAAAAAACTGCTCGTGGTCGAGGTGAGCTTCGGTGGGTTTAAAATAGTGGGGTTTGAGCAGTTCCAGCGTCTTGTCGTCCCAAACGCCGTGTTGGGCCCAGATGCAGCGGCCTATTTCCCACTCAGGTCCTCTTTGCCAACCGTAGTGTTCGTCTTTCTGTGTGTCTGTGATGAACGCGGTGGTCTTTTCTGGATCGACCAGCCGCTTCTTGCGGAACTTGGGTCCAAGGGAACCAAAATCGTAATATGAAACCTTGACGGAGTTTCCGCTGGCCAGGAGCATGCTCTGGAAAGCTGTGGGAGTTGAACCGAGCCGGAGATTCTGATACGACGGAAGCTCGCCAATGTTGGGCGTGCCCACGAGGCCAATGTTGGGCTCATTCATGCTTTCGATGCCAAACACGCCTCTATCAAATAACCCGGCCTTTTCGACTCTTTTGTAGAGATGCATGCAAGCATCGAGCATATGCGACTGCAGGTAATCTTGGATATTGACACCATCAAGAATACATTTGGGGGCATAGTCCTTGCCGGCGAAAAATAAGGTGAACATGACCTGGCAGGCATACCGGTAGTAGTTTGTGGGCCAGATCATTTTAGGGAGCTGTTGGGGGTCGTCCAGAAGATTCTGGACAATGGCTGCACGGGTCTGATTGAAGTTATGGGGGTCGAGGCCGGCCGCATAATACGTCCACATCGGAGCACCCGATCCGCCAGAAAAGCGGCCCCATACGTCTTGGTGAGGGTCGAGGAACACATAAAAGCCTGCGGAAACTGCAAGCTCCAGCATTTTGATGGTGTACTCGACAAAGTCGTCGTCGTACTTGCCGGGCCCCTCGTGCTCAATTCCCTCCCATGTAAAAATATAACGGATAGTATTAAACCCCCAGTCTTTGATGTGCTGGAAATGTCCCGGAGCCTCGTCTAGGGGAAACGGACGCCCTACAAACGATACCGAGTCGCCCTGGAAAAAGGCAGGACCGCTGTGGAAGGTTGTCAACAACGGAGTGGCTGGCATTTTCGTAGATCCGTCCACATTGATTCCGCGAAGGAAAACCGTTTGATTGTCTTCATTCTGGATCTGCCCGTCTACCACCTTCAGTTTCATCAAGCAAGCTATCGGAGGCTGTCGTACGATTAGCAATCCGGTTATGCATCTGCAAGACATATGTAGCCATACATGGGCCCAAAAGGCCGGCCTGTTGGGTAATTCACGATATGAGCAATTTAATAAGTTACTTAGACTAGCATGCCGATATATTTCGCTCTGGGGTATTTCTGCACGAGCTGAGGCCACTGCACCACAAAGGCGTCGGCGACCGGATAGAGCAGTCTTCCGGAAAGCGACAGAGACGAGACGCGGGCAAGCGATTCCACATAGACGATAGTCGTTTGAACACCAAACGGTTTCAGTAGTACGACACATGCAGCTAAAATTACGCATGTCCCAGGTCCGTTGACCAGCAGCAGACGAGGATTGGCTTTGGCAACTACGCCGAAACTGAACCACAGGCTGTAGAGGCTCGAAAGTGCAGAGCTGGCCCACCCTTGGCCAACCTTGCGGGCCCGCGGCACTGCAAACATCTTAGCGTCTAGCGACAGCGCCCGTTTCCGAGACATGTCGTCGCCCTGGCTGTACACTGCCAGTAGGTGGGCCGGACGGGTGACGGAAAGGTTGTCCAAGAGGCGCATCATCTCGCCCGTGTGGCCGCCCGAGCCGAGAAACACCATCCATGCGTCAGATCTGTGGCCCACGAGCGATTTCACGCCCACAAAGAGCCCCAAAGCCACGACAATGGCGGCCACCAATGCAAGGCCCAACATCGTGTCGCATAAAGGTTATGTCAGGATCCAGCCCGTTTTGTCATCATGAGCGAGTCTGTGAACGACCCAGCGGCTGAGCCAAAGCCAGAGGGTTCTTCTCAGCAACCGGCCCCTCCTGTGCCGGCACCCGCCAACAGCTTGGCTCAGCCCAATCCAAGAGAGGAGACTGGCGGCGGCACAACCTCCGCGCCGCCCACGCTAGGCACCCACGAAGCGACCCCTGCGGAGTCAGCAGACACCGCTGAGCAGCGGATTTCCAGCCTGCCCGCCCGTGCCGAAGACGCGGCAGCCCGTCTCAAAGAGCCTAGCAACAAGCGGGTCAAGCTTAATGGAGAGAAGAGCGGGTCCCCCCCGGCGACCGTGGCCCCCAGCGTCGAGGTTGACAACTCGGGTGTGCTGGAGTCGGTATCCCATTTGACAGAACGGATGCTCGGCACCCAAGTCTACGAGCCCGGCAAACTGCTTCTGCGTGAATACGATGACTATTGGAACTCCATAGTGCAGGTGCGGCTGGCCAGGAGGTTCGTTTCAAAAAACCACGACCTTGTTCGACGACGAGCCGTATGGGGCACCTCTATTTATACCGACGACAGCGATCTAGTTGCCGCCTTGTACCATGAAGGATATTTCGAGCCCGACAGCAAGCTGGACATTGCCTCTGATCTGCTAGTGTCTGTTCGCGTCCTGCCTCCGCTAAGAAAGTACATTGGCAGCACGCGACACGGTCTTAACTCACGGACCTGGCTGTCTCCACACGATGGCACCTCCTACATAATCACCACCGTGCAAGAGATTGCCCAGGGCAGTGCGGAGGCGCCATTGAGCGGGCGACGACAGCGGGCCAAAGCGTGGGGCGAAGCATATGCGATGGCCAGGCCGGCCAGCCAACGGCCGTCCCCCCATCCTGCGGAGGTGTGATACTATACAAAATGATTAATTAAATTGCCCCTCCCTCAAAGTAATCTCGTAACCTTCTCTCGGTCCATTTTCCACCAACGAGAAGGTTGTTATTCGTGCTGAGCTAACCCAAGCGCCATAGGCCTGCAGTCACGAAAAAGCGCCAAGACCCGCGCTTGGAGGCGATAAGCTGCACAGAATAAAGACGAGCCTGCTTCGACAGGGCGGGTGGCCGGCAAGAGTTCTACTGCAACAAACAAACAGTCGTGGATTCGAACGCGCTGGCCGCTGTCAATCATCAGTTCATCGCTAAATTAACGTGATTACTGCATACACAGGCAATTATGGAGGCATGATTACTGCGTACGATGTGGGGTATCAGTGGCGTTAGATGGCGGGGGTGTAGCCGAATATAGATTATTAGCGGCCCTAGGGCCTGGGTAAACAAAATTGCACAGAACTGGCGCGTTTCAGGGCCTCCCTCGGCCCCGTCGCCATCTCCGTGGACGGCTTTTATTTCCCGCGTCCATATGCAGCATGTTACTACAGGGCTAGGGGGCGAGAAAGAAATGGCGTCTGGTACGAAAAAGTGCGTTTATATAAGCTCGCTACCTGCAAACACCTTGAGGAGGCTTAGAAAAGGGCCATTGTTGTTATTTCCCTGACGACACGAGAAACCGACCAGCATCAATTGTGCAAACGACTAGTTCCAGCTAGTTTAATTGAAAGGCGTCTTCCTAAACTTTAACTTCAAACAAAGCAACAGCGTACTTGCCCCAAAAAGCCCTAATTGTTTGCCTTCAGTCTTTATGCCAGCTCTTAGCACTGTTAACACCCGCAGCTCCGTGGTGAGCTCCGGAACGTTGCACGAGAAAAACAGCCGTTCGCTGTTTGGTGCGATCAAAAGTGCCTTCAAGCCCAAGAAAAAGTCTGGATCGGGAGACGGCAGCCGGTCCCGACGCCTGTCGACATTTAGCATAGGCTCGGCCGGCAGCTCCGACAGCCGCAAAAAGCACACCCAAGAGGAGGAACTCGAACGCCGCCGTGCCAATTGTCTCGCTATTCGCAGCGCAAAACGTGATCCCATCGAGGTGCAAAAATTGCTCGTCGACTGCGAGTTCTGCAACCCTCCCCCAAAATACGGCATCGATATTCCCATCGTCACACCGCAATTTACAGCAGCCAGTGTACGGCCGCCCACCAAGGAGGAGTTCGAACGCATGGAGCAACAGCCAGAAGAAGTTTGGAACCCCGGCCTCCGAGAATGGCTGCGCATGAGAGAACTGTGGAACACTCCTACGAGCAACAAACAACCAGTGCATCATCTAGACAAAGACGTGAACCCGGACCGCTATTTTGTCATGTATAACCGCTTTGTGCGATTCACCAGGCCTCTCAAGAAGCCCCTCAACCTCGACGACGTGCTCAAGATCGTAAAGGCCGGATGGGTCTGCGAGGGCGAGTGGCACGAAGACCCCGCGGACAGGTGGAGTGACGAGGAGGATAATGATCCGGCATCAGCTCTGAATTCTGCATCAAACCCACTGTCTCTTGAATCATCGGTTTCCCCCAAACCATACACCGGCGAGTCATCAGCAAAGCAAGACACCGAAGAAGATAAGTTGGCCGGGAGAGTCCAATTCGACTTTGTTCCTCATCCCCGCTACAAGGAGGGAACGCCGCAGGATTCTACTACCCATTCCACCGCCGATGAATGGCCTCCCCAACAACGGACTCAAATGCGACCTTCGTTGGTCACCGCCGGTAGTCTTAGCCTTATGCCTACCCGCTCGAATCACTCTTCCGTCATTTCTCTAACTGACGAGGAATAATTGTGTCTCCTAGCAGGGGCTCGTATTTATATAACTCACTTATAGCGTTTTTTCTACTCCCTCGACTATCCGCAGTTGCTGGTCCAGCTGCTCGGCTCGGGACTGCAATCCAGTGTCCCTGACGCTCCCGCACGATGTATCGAGCAGTTTGCGGGTCTTTTTGGCCGCTGCTATTCGCACTGCCAGTGCCTCCAGCTGCTTTTTCGTCGCCGCTCTCGTCTCGGCAATATGCTCGATCTTGGCCGCTAGCGGCTCCTCTAGTTCCTTGAACGCCTCCTTCTTGCGTGTCTCAAACCGTTCACGTACCGCTCGCGCCTGCTCCTTTCTTGATGCGTCTCCAATGCCCGCCTCTTTAACTATCGAACTGGCAGGCGTTGCCTTTATCGTCATATGACAAATGGGCCTAGTGGACGAGAGGTTGGTAGGAAAGGGGCAGTACTCTGCGGCTGTTTACACCAGTAAACACATTGCAGTAGCAACGCCACACTCGATTGCTGGCTATTCGATCCGTGACGGGGTTCTGGAGTACGAGATTGCTACTCCCGGGGCCGTGTCTTCGCTGGTGTGGTCTCGGGATCGAGGCATGCTCGCCGTAATTGCCAATGGCCGTTGTTATCTACAGAGCGTAAAGGATCGGCGGAAAACATTCGATTTCGGTACGACCAGTGCTAATTCGGTAGCAGCCGCTGGCCAATATATTGTCGTGGCTTCTAAACGGCGTCTTCGCTACCTTGTACCGGGCCCGGTTTTTGAGAACTCGCTGCGAGAACTCTCGCTGGCAGTGAGCATGCTTGATTTATCGGCTACCGGCAAAGCATTGTGTGTGGTCAAGAACAATCAGGTGGCAATTGTAGACTTGACTGCTCAACGAGTACTGCAGGTTCCTTTGACCCTTCCTGAACCGCCTATTAAAGTTGCTTGTTTCGAGTCCTCGGGCCTCGTAATTTCAGGGAAAAGAGGATACTTTTTAACAATGTCCGGCAAAGTTGTCGCAGTCATCGACTGGAAAGATACTCCACTGGATATAGCGCCAATTGATGATGGTGTGTTTGGCGTTCTAGTGAACGGGAAACTAGAGGCACGAAACCCGCTTACTGGGTACCTACTTGCTCAGATAGATTGCAACGGTTCTTCACTTGCCAAAAACCTTGTAGTTGGCTCAGAAATCATTGGCGTTCGCTTTCACATCACTGCTGAGGATGTTTTATCTTTGGACATCACTGAAGCTGTTCCTTTGGTAGATCAATTGCCTGAAATTGCTGCTGATCCACGTATAAGGATACTCAGAACAGAATATGCAGACACTTTGGTGGATGAGGGAGAAATAAGTCGAGCATTGAAACTCTACACAGTCGCCGAGACACCGGTTCAACAAGTTGTGGCCAAACTTCGCCCCATTATCGAGTCAATACCTACTGAAGAATCGAATGACATGTCTTCAGTCTTTTCCAATCGCACATCTCGCACAACTAACTCAAACCCCACAGTCGAGTCCACTGTTCGCTATCTTGTCCAAGCTCGCCGCAAGTTGTTTATTCTTGCGGCAGCTGAGGAGCGGCCCGTTAACGCTGAGGATGCTACAGCAGTAGATACGATGCTGTTTTTGTGTTACATCAAAATTCACTCGCCGTTAGTAGGACCTCTCGTAAGGGTAGACAATTTTTGCGATGTTGAGACTGTTCGTTCTACCTTGTTGAGCATTGGAAAATGGAAAGAGCTGGCAACGTTTCTCAGTGGCAAAGGACTACACGTTGAAGCCCTGGAGCTTCTTCGTGATAAGGCTAATGACCCACAAATAATCGATTATCTCGTCCGGTTTGCTGCAGACGATTATGACTTGACTACAAAATTCTCACGGGGACCGATCTCCAGGTCCCCACAACTCGCGATTACTTTGTTTGCCAACTCAAAACTCAACAAGGTCAAATTAAACGACTTCTTAGCCGACATCAACGAGTCATTGGCTTGGGAGCTACTGGAACGATGGATAAGAGACGGCGACCAAACAAGCGAGCTTCATACGCGATGGGCTATAAAGCTTGTTAAAGACGAAAGCCCTGAAACAGAAATGTTTTTGCGACAGAGTAAGATCTACGACGCTAAAAAAGTTCTAAAAAATGTCACAGACCCTCTTCTCCAAGCTATACTTTACGGCCGGTTGAAAAAACACGACAAGGCGATCGAATTGTACATCACGGCTCGAGAGTACGATTTATGTGAAGTATATTGTGATGAAATTTATAAAGACTCAAAAGAAGAAGGAATAAAAGCAGTGCAGACGCTGTACAATGTTTTGTTGGAGACGAATACTACTGATCGACTTATCTCACTACTTAATACTCAGGGCACCCGACTGGATTTTTCTGAAACACTCGAAAAATTACCAAAAGATCTACCTTGTGACAGCATTGTTCCGTTTCTCATGCTGGCGACCCGTAGGCTCAGTCACAACGTGAAAACCAGCCAAATGGAAGTTGCCGCAAGCAAGGTTTATCTGGGTGAGCAAGCCTTTGCAGCAGTCAAAGCTGCACAGGTTTCTGCTACTGTAACTAGCACCACCACTTGTAGTGTGTGTCACAAGCGGGTCGGAAAGTCTGTGATCGGACTCACAGATCATGGAGTTGTACATTACGGATGCCTTTAGATATTTATTATAGATTCCTTAGGTATGCCATCACACCTGAACAGAAACGAGTATTGTCTTGTATACGGGCAACTTCACTGCTCTGTACTACTCGCCATTTCTCGAAACTAGCTTCAAGCTCAGGAGACGGCGCAGCAAAGATGTCACCGTGGATGCGGAGCAACATATTGACCCAAGCTTGCACAAGTTCGAAGTTGCGACGATGCTCCAGTTCTCCAGTCATTGCATCCATGAAAGCGACGAACTCATCATAAGGTGCGCGAGTGTCCAACGAACGAAGCTCTAAATCTGTAGCCGCGGGGCCCAGCTTGGCGAGATGCTCAACGAGAGCTTCTAGCTCACCCGTGCGTAGCATTCTTGTAAAATCAGACTCGTGTACACCATTGGTGGGGCCACTAAGCTCGACTTCCTGCATCTGTTCTTCTTCAACTTCCTTGGGAACGCCTAGGAAAAATGATGTTTTTTCAGGTGCTTTGGGAGCCTCAACAGGCTTGTTGCGCTGCCGAATAGCATCCAAATGAACCAAAGTTGTGAATTTGACTTGCGGCTGGTGGCTATAGGTTTCAAGCTTGGAACTGATCTGGGCAGGGGGGTCGTAGTGCTCGAGATCTATGTCAATCTCGTCCTCCTCCCCGTCTAATGCACCGTCAATAATGGAAACTCCTCCTTCACCAGCTGAGTTGGGCATAACAATGTCCTTTACATCTGATTCAGAGATATGTCTTGTTGAAATGGTGTGGAACTGAGAGCGCATTGCCCAAAGCTGAATGCCCACGCCATTCACGTGTGCCGTAGCGAGCCATTCCATTGTGGGACTGACTCGCAAAGCAACGGCAGGTGAACTTACCCGCACTGCATCGATGCAGCCACCAGTGGGAATATCCCACGTGCGAATAGTTTTATCGAGGGCAGCACTGATGATCCACCGACCGTCGGGAGTGAAGTCAAGAGTAGTGATGCGATTGCCGTGCCCCCACAACTGGCGAACAACCTTTTGTGTACGAATATCAATGACAATAATAGCCATAGAATCAACTACAGCGGCAACAAGCCCTGAATTTGCATGGTATCGAAGCGCCGTAACACCGGCGTCCAAGTCAAGGCAAGCCAGCTGCCTTTCAGCGTGGAAGTCGTGGAATTTGACGGTACCGTCGAGCGAAGAGGTGATAATGACAGAGTTTGTAGCATCGCAAAATACACCTGTGACCTCTTGGCTATGTGCTTTGAGTAGGCGTTTGCGAATCAAGCCGCTTTGAATATTGTAGACGGCAACAGAGCCTTTAGCCGAGCCAACAAAAGCGAAATTCCCACAAGGCGAAATACCTACCGACTTGGCAAAGCTCTTGTCTAGAGTGGCCAAATGGTGAGCCCCAACAATACCGCGTTTGCCGTTCCATGATCTAGCAAACGACTCACCTTTGTGAGCAGTCAAAATGTTGTCCCATTCTCGCTGTTTGGCAGCCTGAAATGCCAAGTCGATAATTTGGGGGAACTTGTCCAGCTCCTGGCCCATTTTAGACATAGTTTTGAGTTTCTTAGATGTGGCACGTTGACTGAACAGGTGACTCTGACTGTCTTTGCGTAACGAGAATGACCAGAGGTCCTGATCAAGGCCAGCAGACAAAATAAAATGGGATTCTTCATCGGTAAAGCTGAGCACTGTAGGATTCTTGGAGTGACCACCCCGTCGACGAAGGATTCTAGGCGGAGTCGAAATGGCAGAGTTGGAATTAGCCAGTGATGGGTCAAACACCATTTCAACTAGAGAGTTGTCACCTGCCGTACTAATAACAATAGGCTGACCTGCAAGGAATTGGAGTTTTGATACGGGCTCGGAGTGGAGGCCTCGCACGGAGTGCACACGGCGACGCAGGGTGAGATCGTAGAAAAAGAGATCACCATTAGTAGATCCAATTCCCATCATACTAGGATTGTCAGTTCTGAACGACAGGGATGTAACCGGCTCTCCAATACGCAGCGTCAGAACCGTCTTTGTTGTGCGCAAGTTGAACATGGAAATCGTGCCGGCTCTAGTGACCACGGCCAAGACATCTAGTGCAACGGGGGCTGGTTCAACAAAGGCTATGCCTTCAGGAACATCTTCAAAAGTATAAAGGAGCTTTCCTGTTTTCACGTTGAACAAACTGACGGCGCTTTCCGTGGCAACGACAATCTTGTTCAGGTAAGTGGGCATGTGCACCAGATCAACGACTTTTCCCAACGCAGCGGGCATTTTCAACGTGGTGTACAGCTGCATATCCTCCTTGAGATCCCATTTGTAAATATAAATTTCAGAAGCGGTAGCCAGGCAGACGAAATCACCAAAAACATGGATCTTCAAAATGACCTCCGAGTTGGGCACGTCGAGCTTGGTGACCAGTCGGGCCCGTTTGTATAGGCCCAGCGTTGATCCCCACGCAGCAAACGTGTGGTGGGAATGCGAATGCACGCATTGAATGGGAGACTCTGTCTGAGGCTGCGAAACAAACAGCAAATGTAAACTGGACGCATCGTAAACCTGGAAGGACCGGCCGACCACGGTTGTAACGACAAAAGACTGGCCCAACGAGGTGACCGAAAAGGGAACGCTATTCGTCACAATACCTAGTGTTCGAAAAGGACTGAAAACCTTCGACACCTGACGCACCCGGCCCGTGGGCTCCGGCGAATCGAGCTTCTGCCGTTTGATCATATTTTCCAACTTAAAAAAAAAATTATCTAAGCCAACCTGCCTTAAAGCCTCTCTCCGCACCCCACTGCTCTATCGTTTTGTAATATGTCCCATCTGAGCGCCAACTGCATCTTTTGCAAGATCATTCGCGGAGAGATTCCGTCGCTGAAGCTGGCGGAGAGTGCCAAGTCGTATGCTTTTCTAGACATTGGGCCTACTGCGAAGGGCCATGCGCTTGTGATTCCCAAGTACTGCGGGGAAAAGCTGCATGACATTCCCGACGAGTATCTGGCGGATTTGCTTCCCATGGCCAAGAAGATTGCCCTTGCGTCGCAGCTGGACGTCAAGGGTCTTGACAGCACGCCCGGCTACAACATCCTGCAGAACAACGGCCGCATTGCCCACCAGGTCGTGCCCCATGTCCATGTGCACCTGATCCCCAAGCGGGACGAGGAGACCGGCTTGCAAGTTGGTTGGCCTCAGCCCGCCGATGCTGCCGACAAGGATCAGCTTGCCTCTCTTCACAAGGACTTGGTCGAACGTATCTCTAAGCTTTAGTGTAGTCTGTTTCTATTTTAAAAAGCTTGCTCTCGGCCACTTGGCCTTGACTGCTTTGTTGAATTCCGTAGAGTCCAGCCGCCATTTAGCCAGCTGAAGGGCCGCCTGTGTGCACTGATCGATGTCACCAGCAATCTCAGTGGCAAGAACGCTGACGATCGTGTCCGTTTTGCCCAAAAAGTGGCGGGCGTCTGCCCATAGAAGACGCTCACGAGCGACGTATTTATCAACAAACTCAACAAGGCCCATAGTGACGACAGCTTCGGGAGCAATGGCAGGCAACATTTTCAATTGCAGGTTACGAATGACCTCAAGGGCAGTCTCATCCAATTCCAATTGGTGTCGGGCTTTGGCGCCCGCATATGCAAGATACGATGAGGGTGCACCTAGATCTTTGGCTTTCTTGAGCGACTGGATGGCCAACACATACTTGTTCTGTGCAAGGTAGATTTCAAATGCAAGCTGCCATGTTTTAATATCGGTGGGACGTGCCTGCTCAAGGGGTTGCCACAGCCGCAGGGCTTCGTCCAGGGGCGCCTTTTTGTCGAGGAACTCGCGGCCAAAAGGATCGCTATCACGTTCCTCAGGTTTATCGAATCCCTTGGGAGTAAATGGAGGCTCAGATTCCATTTTCTTGATGTAATTAGCCCGCTTGGTTTTAAGCTTAGCCTTGGTCTCAGCGTCTACGCCGTCGTCCTCGCCAGTCGCCAGGGCAATGTACTCTTTAACCGCTACCTCGACAGCCTGTAAATAACGGGGGTGGCAATAGAGCGAGTCTTCCCACTGCAGCAAGTCCAAATATGCCCGGACGCTTCCGCGACGGGGTCCGTAGTAATGGAAATCATACTGGTCTTTCCAGTAGGTATCGAATACAGATACCACTCCTTCGGCACGCTTGAGCGCCATTCCATGGTCAGCGACACGCGAATAGGCAGCTGCCAAGGGAGCAAGGTAGTCAACAGATTCAAGCTCCGTCAGATGCTTGATACCATCAAGAGTGTGCATACCGGCGATGGGGAAAATTGAAGCAATTTCAACACTCTTGGCCACATCATTGGCCTTGAGAGCATACTTGGCAGCTTTGGCATTCAAGAAACGATCACCCGGTTCACGGTTAGCGGCTTTCTCGAGAATTAGAGCGGCGGTTGCAAAATCTCCTTGACGAGACAGCACCTTGGCTTGGGCAAGAACAAGCTCGGCCATCTCAGGAAGTTTGGCATTCTCAATAACCTTCAATGCCTCGGAATGACGGTTAGTATATGAGAGGTGACGGGCAATGAAGATGGCCCGGACGGTCTGAAGCTCGGCGTCTTCCGGATCCGACTCAGCTGCGATTTCATCACCAACTTTCAAGGAGATATCGTAGTTGGTACGGTAAACATCTTTGACAAATGCAAAGCATGAAGGCACGCCCCGCTTCAGTTTGGCGGCAACATAGTCTTTGAGATGAGCATGCAGCTCATCGCCCTGTAAAAACGACAAGGGAACAAGTTTGGGGACTTCAGCAGTCGGATACTTTTTAGCCAAAGAGCGATAAAATGTCGCGCGCTGACTTTTAGAGCCAGTAATTTCAAGGATCGCTTCCAAGTTCGCATAGTAGGAGGCGTTGTTAGGGTTGCGCTTGATGAGATCACGGTAGGCTTGAACCGCGTCGGATTTACGACCAAGCTTGGCCAAATACCATGCACGCTTCTCCTGGTAAGCAAGTTTATCGCGGATCTGGGCCTTATTCTTTTCAAGATCGTCAAGAGCGGCCTTGTAGTCGCCTTTTTTTTCAAAACACAGATTTTGGAACAGGAGCATTTCACTGCGCTCAATTTGGATAGCAAGAGGGGCCTTTTGGCCACTGGGTTCCTGCTGGGCCTCAATGTCCATCAGTTTACCAAACAGGTCCAGGGTCGCGATGGCAAGAGAGTATTCACGTAACAAGTACTGTGCCACAGCCAGATTGATCCAAACTAAATGAATGGTTAACCCACCTGAGAGCATAGTGCGGCGAACTTCGTCCAGAGGCCCGAGTTGACGCTGTTGTATAGCCAGCATAGACAGATCGTGGTGCACACTGATGTTGTCGCCTTTCAAACGGAAGCTCTTCAAATAAGCCTTAAAGGCATCAGGATAGTTCTTGACCAGCTTATAGTAGATACCAGCCATATGCCAAGCAACAGCGCTATTTGGGGCCTCTTTAGTGCCCTTCAGAACCAACTGCAGGCATTCGTCTCGTCGATCTAGATGGTAAACAACCAACGCCTTCAGACACAGAGCATCGCCATACGTAGGGCTGCGTTTCAAGATCTTGTCGACTTCCACAAGAGCATTCTTGTAGTTTTTGGCCTCGTACATGTTCATGGCCGCCTTAAATGCGGTGGCATCTTTGTCCGATGGTGCTCGTGACATTTCGGATGACAAATGAGAATCTGAGACAAGCGTTTAAAGCTACTTAGGAATTAGCATCAGAATGGCCGCGCTTAGCAATGCGGATAGCTTCGTCCTCGAAACCGGGGATATGTAGATAGATAACACCGGCATTTTCGAGTTTTTTCTGGCCGTCGTTTTCCTTGACGAAATCGCCGGGCTCGACCACGCCCACAAAGACTGTCTTGATTGGAGTTTTCAGAATGCGATCTACGCACGGCTCGTTGCCGCTAAGACGTAGTGAGCATGGCTCCATGCTGGTGTATAGAACAGTACCATCTGGCACTGGGCTGTCGTGCTTTGCGGCGTACTTTGCAAGGGCGCACTGTTCAGCGTGCGTGTTACCTTCCAGCTCACGAGTGTATCCTGTCTCTAGCACTTGGCCGTCCTTGACAAGAACTGCACCCACACAAAAAGCTGAGTCCACGAGGGGCGCTTTTTCGGCTTCCCGAAGAGCCATTTCCATGAATTTGTTATGCGTCTCGGCAGCCCAGTCAGGTACAGCGGTTTCAAATGACCAGCTGCCGTCGTCTGCTGCATACTTCATTGCGTGCAGCCACAAATCCAAATCATTGGGGCCTGGATCGGTGTATAGCGGAGAAGAGCAAACTTCGCACTTCCCTCCACTGAGCCTCTCACCAGGTGATTGATCCCACCACGATCTGGCGGGTTCTGTTTTGCCTATAGAGTCCAAGCGGACTGAAACTTCTTTGACATCGACAGCAACACCATCTTTGGGCACCTTCTCATTGGGAACCTCCATTTTCTTGTATGCCAGCTTGCCCAGAGTCTCTCCCCAAACCTGGGGGTTTGAATAAACAGGATCGTTCGCAATTGGGTGACCGAGGAACTGCAAATGAACACGAATTTGATGCGTTCGACCCGTGTGAGGCAGGCATTTCACAATACTGGTTGTGCCATCATAGCTCACCCGCTGAAACGTTGTCTTGCTTTCTTTTCCGGTTTCACTATAATCCACCATATTAAGAGCAACTTTAGGATTGACAGTGGACACAGGCTCTTCGCAGACAACTGTTCCCAGTGGGAACTCGCCAACGACCCGGGCCAAGTACTGCTTTGAGACTTCTCTATCACGGATCTGCTGTCCAATTCGTTCAGCGAATTTGGGATTTTTTGCCAAAAACATCAAGCCACTAGTTAACCGGTCCAGCCGGTTGCAAGGATGGCATTCCAGGTTGTGTTCGTACTTTAAGGCCTGGACAACACTATTAAAGTTGAAGCGACCAGTGGGGTGAGCTGGGATGCCACCGGGCTTGTCGATCACAACCATATCGTCGTCTTCATAGACGATTTTGATGGGTCGACTTGAAACCGGTTGTTCGTGTTTATGGGTGCGGTGACTGATGAGATCACCGTTTTTCAAAACCTGATCAACGCCTGCTGCTAACTTGTTCACAGTGACCTGCCCAGTCTCAATAGCTTTTTTGTAGTAGCTCTCTTCTTTATCTCTGAATTCAGTTGTGAACACGTCCAAAAGCGTGCGTTTAAGCCATCGCTCTTTCGCAAAAGTCAGGTACGTATAGTAGTACGGAGGTACCCGACGCAGAGGGCCGTCGATCACGTACTTGGCTCCAGCTGCATTCTCATTAGCAATCTCCATTTGCTTCTTGGGATCAGCAAGCACCTTTTGCAGCAGCGAGTTCTTCTTGACCCGGAATCCCTGTGGAGACGGACTACGGCTGCGCTTCATGTAATCGGCAAGACTCGGAAGGAAGGTGTGCAGAACTTTCGTACTCGCGTTTAAAGTTGGCTCGAGTTTTTTTCGAAATGCAAACCAATGAAAAAGCTGTAGAGTCGATCTGAAAAAGTTGGCTAAACTCGACTGTTTTTCGTCTTTTTCGTCCCCCGGGTTCTCGTTGCAGGCCTATAACTGGGTTAGGCGATCCAACAAAAAATTACCAATCACCGTCTATGCGTAAAAGTCAAGTTTTTGTTGGATCTAGCCATCCAGAGCTTGGAAAGGTGATCTGTGAGCGACTTGGCGTCGAGCCTGCACCCTGCAAAGTATCGAAGTTCGCTAATGGCGAGACCTGCTGCGATATTGGTGTCTCTGTGCGCGATACCCATGCCATCATCATTATGGGAAGCTCTGATCTCATTAACGATAAAATCATGGAGATGCTCGTTCTTATTTCCGGTTGCCGCGGTGGATCAGCCTCCAAAATCACCGTGGTTATCCCCATGTTCCCTTATTCCAAGCAATCAAAGATGAAGAAGCATCGTGGGGCTATCACTGCCCGTATGCTTGCCAACCTCATTGTTAACGCGGGTGCCGACCACGTTATTACCATGGATCTGCACGCTTCTCAGATGCAGGGCTTTTTCTCAAAGCCGGTTGACAACTTGACTGCAAGCCCTACTCTTGCTTGGTGGATTCGTCAGAACGTTCCTGACTACCGCAACGCAGTCATTGTGTCCAAGAACCCGGGAGGAACCAAGCGGGTTACCGCTTTGGCCGATGCACTCAAGGTGAACTTTGCGATGATCCACACAGATCGCCGTCGTACCAAGAATCGCACCATTCGCGAGGCTTTCCCCACCACCAACAAGCTTTTGCAGCACGGTGATGACGAGGACGATGATGATAGCATTAGCGAGCCAAGCAATCCCATGGCTGCCTCCATCAACACTTTCGGTGAGGTCGAAGTTAGCTCCCCCGTTTCGTCCTCGGTCGAGATTGACTACACTGGCAATTTCGCTATTTCGTCTCCCACCGTCTCCCAGACCTTTTCTGAGCCGGCTGCCAGCTCTAACATCCACATTGCTCGTGTACTTAAGGGCCATGTTGTTAGTGAAGATGACAAGGCCATTGCCGAGGAGTCTGCTGAGGTATCTAGCGCGGCACTTGCTGCTCCCGAGGGCTATGCTTTGGGCGGATCTGGTGGCCATATTGAGACCGACGACGAAGAAATCGACTATTCCACCGAGCAAGTTATCGCGCTTGTTGGTGATGTCAACGGCCGCACTGCCATTCTTCTTGACGACATGATTGATCGCCCTGAGTCGTTCATTGCCGCTGCAGAACACTGCCGCCTCAACTGCGGTGCCAAGGACGTTTATGTTGTTGCGACTCACGGAGTTTTCAGCAACAACTCGCTCGAAATGCTGTCGGAGTCACCTTACATTGACCACATTGTCGTCACGAACACCTACCCCATTGCCAAGGTTGTGCCCAAGCTGCACATCATCGATATTTCTGCGATTCTTGCCGAGTGTATTCGTCGTAACCACAATGGCGAGTCTATTTCAGCACTGTTCGAGCAAACGGCTGCGATTTAGGTATATTTAATAGCAAAAAAATAGTTATAGTTTTTAGGCCTGCGGGTCCTGAATGCTGATCTTGACGGGGAGGAACTTGTTGGGTAAACAAACACGACTCGATACTTCTCTAAAGTGTTCAATGAGTTCATCCAAATCCATGTAATGCGTTAAGCCGCGCTTGGGAACGCACTGGATGCAGTGCTTGCTATCAAGCTGCACATCGAGAGGAGAAAGCGAGTTGCAGCCGGGCGAAATTGTGACACGGACCTGATGCCGCTTCTCACCTTGGATCACACACTCGTAAAGTTCGAAACAAATCTGGGCCAAGTAATCGAGTTCAGGGAGCTGGGTTCTTGACAGCTTTGTAGGAAGTCGCGAGCCAAACAAGATGCCGAGTAGAGTATACATGTGGCTTTCTTTGGTAACATAGAAGAACGACCGACCCTGTTCAGCACAACAGTTGTACTCCAAGTCCTCAATAACTTTGTTGAGGAGAGGTAGGCTCGTCAAGAGGCCAATATCGAGTTTCTCATCGTTTGTGATACCGTACTCTTGCGGGCAAATATAGTCGAACAAGATCTTGGACAACAAATAGAGCTCGCGAAGTTTCGCATACTCGGGTCTATCGAACAGAGTCATTGGTGCCTGAACAAACTTGAATTTACCGCTGTACTCTGCCTCATTTGGAATAACGCTAGGCATAGCAGCCTCGGCTTCAGGCAGCGAAATATCAACCTTTGCATCACTGGGGTACTCGAAGACGTGCTCCAAGAATGATCGGTTGTGCAGGGCGTCGAACTTGATTGTGTCATAAAGTTCACTGATCTTGGATGGATCAACTTTTTCGACGGAGGTGAACTCGGCAAAGAGCTTCTCCCACCGTTCACGGAAAAGCATTGGATCTTCATTGCAGCACCAGCGTTCTTGGAACGATTCTACATCATCATTCTCAAAGTGCCAGTTCAAAATCATGCGGTGGTACTTCATCAACTCGACGACTCGAGAAAGAACCACAAAAGGTTGGGGCACTTTTTCGGGCCATGCGAATTGAGGGGGAGGGCTAAGGCCCTTCCGAAGCATGAGTTTAAGTCGCTTCTTTACAGCATCCATCAGAGTTTTCGCAGCATTAGAGTCATCCAGAAGGTTTTCAACCACATGCAGCTCACTCGGGTCGACCTCACGCTGTAGCAAAGCATTTGCGAAAATCTGAGCGGTTGCAGTAGCTCGTCGCTCAGAGGAGGAGTAAAATACAGTATCTTCTAACGTCTTTGAGTTCAAAAGTCGCATGTCTTTTCGCCATTGTTCACCGAGCTCTTGTGACTGGTACTGAGAAGAGTGGGTAGGTTCGCCGCCCCATTTTACAATGAACTGCACCTTCTCCAAAGGAGCATCTGGCTGCTTATCTTTGAACCCCGGTTTAATCTGGACCTTGGTGCCAGGAAGGTCCATCTTCTTTTCTAACGCAAGCTTGAGCTGCGCCAATTTTTTGGGATCTTCGGCCTTTGTTGCAATTGCTTCGTTTGTGATATCTAAAAGTCGACGCAAATGCTTCTTGTCCCGAATGATAACTTCGACCCGGTGGCCCTGGAGCAAGTCCATAAAGATCTTAGACTTGAAAGAGTACTTGAATTTTTGTTTTGGGGTCCGGTCGGCATGACGAATAACAGTGATCTGAGCTTTCAAGACCCAGTTCTGTTCGTTAGTACTACTGTCGCTTGAATTGAGCAGAATCTGAGTCGCCAGGGGCAGATTCTTTTTAGCGTGAGAAGCTTTAATGAACATTTCTCGCAAGATATTCGCACAGCTCTCATAGTACTCTTCGTTGTCTTTTACAAACGAGAAGCCGTTGACATCGATAACATAGGACTTGTCACGAACACGCAGCAGATCAAAGCCGCAAACGGTTTGTTCAAATGCAATTGCAATATTTGCAGCCATGCGTCGTTCTTCGTCGCTGAGCTTTGTTACAAAGCGGAGCTCTTTACCGTAAGGGTTACGGCGCACGATGCCATCAACAACGGGAGACTTTCGGGTTTCAGCATGGCAATACCCAGATCCAACCGTGTAGGCCTTGACATCCTCAAAATTATCAGTGTCCATGAACTTTTCATAGATATAGGACCCTTCAGTACGTGGGGACACAAGATCAGGGTCGTACTCTGAAGACTTGTTGCCCACTTTGCGGAACAACCGTCTTCCACCTCCACCGGATTTTTCCGGGTAGTACACATAGACATTGTGGTCCTCGCCATCTACGGGTTTTTCGACAAACGGTTTGGTGATGGCGCGGCCGTCCTCCAAACGAAGGGTGTCGTAATCGACCATTTCGAACTTTGGCTCTTTTTCCGGAGTGAGATTGACACCATGTTGAGCCAATTTAGCTTTCACGGCGTCGTCCACAATTGGGCCACCGTCTCGAGAAATCACCAGTCGTTGTGGAGTGGGAACATCAGCGGCTTCCAAGAGGCGGAGCACCAAACGACGGTCCCACAACACTTTTTGCATGATCAGATCATTGACCAGGAACGGCTTGTGCAGATTGGCGTAGTCAATAGCCTTTTGGAGAGGGAATCCCTTTGAAAAGAAGGAAATCAAAAAGTCGCATTTGGGCCACGCCTCAACTGGTTCATCTAGGATGATTTTGTCATTGAACATGACAATGTCGAAATCACTATCTCTGAGCAGGTTGCTGAGGATTGCCTTGCAGGGTTTTGAGCGAGCTTTGTGCTCTAGAGCACAGACTCCAATCCGTCCGATTTTTTCGCTCGGACTTTGAAGCTCAGACATGTTAGGCTGACAGAGAGCGTGAGGCTTCTTGAGCACGAGCAGAGTATGTTTGATGACTAATCACGGATAGTGTGTGGGGATAGTTTGTGCTATTGGAAAAGGAAGACGTATATAGAGAATAAAATTGTGTATGGAGCTCTGGAGTACCTTTTTGTTTCATGATGTTTCATATTATTTGATATTTAACTGATTTGTCTGCAAGTCTATGTAACCATCGAATCGCTCAATAGAAGCTTTGCCTCCTGTTTGCATTGTGATTTGATCTGGTTTATGAGGCCTCTGTTTGAGGTGGAGTGTCCATTGATCCATAAATCTAAACTCAATCATGCCTCGCCAAATTGCCGCTCGATGCGTTGCATCCAAGTCAGCTTGGAGACTGTGGTTTGAAACTGCTATCGTTCCGGCTTGACTATCAGGAACCAGATGCAAGATATCACACTATTCTAAGGTGTATATTAGTAGTCCAGCTTTGACTCACGCATGGAGCTTGTATATAAATTAGGGTAATGTCATTTTATGAGTTGATCCACGACGTGACCTGGCGAGCACCAACACGGGAAGCGAATTTAAGCGATTGAGTACCCATGGGGAAGTAAGAGACCGTATACCAGATTGCCGCAATCATTTGAACGATGATGGCCAGTAAAGTCAGTATGGTGGAGCGAAGACCCATGCTGAAAACCAGGGTGAGAACAATGGATCCGAAATATGCAATTGTGAATAGAATACGGCCAGGTGAGACCAGATGAATGAGATAATTTACAGGGCCCTGGAGAACGCCGAACGAAATGATAAACAGCAGACTGGCCAGGGACCAAATAGTAGCGAACTTGCGCGGTTTGACGGCCAGGACCGGCAGCAAGGCAAAGCACAGAGCAAACAGCGCGACTGCACCTAGCAAACAAGCACCAAAGACCAGCAAGCGGTCCCAACGAGACAACGTAAACCAGCTCGGTTCCTCTAGCGGCTCATCTTCAGCGCGCTCAGTGAGAGGCAGACGTAGTCCGGTCCTGGCAAAAGGATTGAATCCCTTGACTTTTGAAAAAAACGATTCTGTCTCGGCCGCGGCACTATGGGAGATCACGCTCGCACTGTTTCGCCACGAGGATAGCTGGGCACGAAACACATTTTCAGACATGACGTAAGGCGACCGGTGGGTGGGAGGTCTGCAGTGAGGATAGACGACGGTGAGTCCCCCGGGCGACGGGTGTTAAGGGCAATTGAGGCTAAAGATTCGTAGTGAGCTCGAGGGCATGCAAGCAGGCCCCGGACGGCACAAACAAACGCAGACCGCGCAGATTGCTAAAAGACCGGCGAATCTTAAAGATTGACCTAATTCTCCCCCCTCATACCCCCACCAACCGGCTTGTTTTCTAATCGACTACAGAGATTGTTCGAAGAGGCCGGGGGTAACTTTACTGAAAAAAATAAGATTTGCTCACAGTTTATAGCATGCTCAATATGTAGTAGAACCCAATGACAAAATTGTCCTCGTATCCCGTCGTCAAGGCCCCCCAATATCCAACCCCGACTACAGCGAGCAGGGTTAGGGCCTATGGTTTGGGATGAGGGGAAGCCTACCCAGGAAGGTGTAGAAAAGAGTGTGGGGTTGCAGGCCCTGCCACGGCGCTTTGCGAGCACATATTCAATTACCGATCCTTTTACCAAGCGGTATCTTTGTAGATCGGACATAAACAACACACAACCCCAAGTGTTTTAGCAAGCAACAGCCCACGATATGCTCAACCCTCTTCAGGCTGATCTGTACAAACTAAGGACGGAGCACTATCCACAGGGGCCGTCTGGGGTGCGTGTTCCGGCGTCTCCACCGCGGCAGAACAGCGATATTCCTCCTGAGGCAATGCCGTGGATGAATGTCGGGCGGGTGATCCCTCCGCCCGTAGCCCAGGCAGGCGCCCCCGACGCCATAGCCATGGCCAAGCCTAAAACCAGAGCAAGGAGCGCCCGCTCAGAGCCCAACACGCGGCGCCGTAGATCGAATCACAACTTAGTAGAGCAGCGTCGTCGCGAGGCCATTGCCGAGAATATCCGCATGCTCGACGAGCTGCTGCCCGAGAGCGTCGAGCTGCCAGAGTCTAGATCTGGCAAGCTGGACCAGCACTGTAAATCCAATGTCCTTCGCCGGGGGGTTGCCTATGTGACAATGCTCAAGTCGGAGCAGACGGCTGCCGCGAAACGGATAAAGGAGCTAGAACAGCGCGTAGCCCAGCTCGAAGACCTTCTGGAAGGCGCCTACTGCCGGGATCCCAAGTACCCCATGTGAAGCTGGGGAAGGCGCAGGGCCCTTTATCCTGTTTATTTTTATTCCAAATCAGGCATCCGCATAATCTCGCGCGCCTCGTTCTTAGCGATCTGGCGTACCATCGCCATGATCGGACTCTTTTCCCACCGCTCGGGGCACGGATTCGTTCCCTCAGCGTTCGTGGCCCAGTAATAGATATCCCAGTCTTGTTCGTTCAGTAAATCGTCGTATTCCTCCAGCTGCTCGTGCGAGAGCTTAGGCAAATAGATCTTAGCAAACTTAGATAGCAGCAAATCAGACTCGAGAATGCCGCGCTTGCGGCTCTGGTAGAGCAGGCGGGCCCGCTTCGTCTCTGTCGTCTCATTGTGTCGCGGAAGCGGCTGAATGCGCACTACGTCGGCAATTTTGTCCGCCATGTCCTGCTCCGCATTCCGTGCTATCGCCGCCGTCGAGAAGAGCCGCGGCTGTCGAGCCACTCGAGCTCCCAGCGCCAGATATTTGTACATGGGTTATTTTTTACTTGTTCTCGTAAGCCCCCGAGCTCCCATGAGCGCTCACTCGCTCGCCTCTGGACGTCGCTGGGTATTGGGGTTAGGTCATGCAGCCCACCTGACAGCCCGCTGTCTAGACGACTTATTCCCTGCACGCAGGATTGAGGTTCGCGTACCACCGGTTGGCGGGCAAGTGGGGTGCACGTGGATACTTGGCTAAACGATTGCCCAGTATCTGGCCTGTGCTCACCGCTACAAATCATGAATCAAGACATCTGCACATCGGCGCTCTCCTCCCGCTCCTAGTATACCAGCCACTCTGAGAATAATTATTAGATGCACACCTCCTGCAAAAGAAAATCGATCTCCCAAAAGCCTTGCCAAGCTCACTCTCCAACTGTGGCCCCGCAAATGTCTTTGAGCGAAGCCAGATCGTCTGGTGAAAGCTTGCAGAGGCGTAGACGCAGCCCGTCCGGGACAGAGGCAATCGACCGGTCCCGCAACTCGATTCACGGGCTGAACAGCATCCTCAACGAGTTTGAGGAGCTCTGGCAGAAAAGTAACTTACACGCGAGGTCTCAGTCGGACGTTCTGCCCGCAACCGACGCGCACCCGCACGAGGCAGACCGCAGAACGTTTTCCGCACCCCTAAATTACAGCTACAAAAACTACTCGAGCAGCGACTGCTTCGAAACAGCAAACGAAGGCGAGGTACCGTACGTGGCGTCCCCCATGCAGTCGAGTGACGAAAATCTAGTGCTGGCTTCGAGCGAGCCCCAGCGAGACCTCCGCAAGCTGTCCTGGTCAGACCACACTGAAGAGGGCGAGGTCCGGCGGCACATGCCCCGGCTCCGAGACAACCGTGTCTCACTGCACAGCCATAGAGCATCTGTCCACGGTGGTTCAATTGATCTCAACGAACACACGCCACTCAGAACTCCATCTAAAGTGCCCAAAGAGCCACCGCCAGCAGTTCCTTCAGTGACCCCTCTATCGAGCCGGATCAAGAAAGTAGCACTCCCGGACGACGATAAAATGACCATGCCCACGACGACGACGACGACGACGACTCCCACTCCCACTCCGCAGCGCCGAAAACCAAGCGGCCCAAGGCCAGCCCCCACTCAGGAACGGCCTCCCTTAATTGATCTGGATCAGGGGCAGGTACCCGAGCCACCTCGCAGATCGTCCAAACGCAAAATCAAACGCCGAAACTTCCGCCAAAGCAGTATTGAGAACCTGCTGGAAACCAAGCCAGACTACACGCTCGACGAATTCAAACTTCCAGCTGCAGAGCGTCAGCTTTTAAATCGCTTTGTGGATACCCTGAGCAAAATCACGGTGGAAATTGATCTAGACGAGGGGAAACGACCCGAGGCCCGCCGTAGGCTCAATAATGCTTTGAGAGCTTTAGAGGGCTGGATTTAAATGCGAAAGCGTTGTGGCGGCTGAAGGAGCAGATGAATGTTCTAATGCCTCTATTGCGGCCTCTGCAGCCTCTTCGGCCGCGTCATGAATGGACTTTTCTTGATTGACCTCCTCCTTCACCTCTTGTTCATCAGGAATGAACTTATAAACCCCGTCCTCTCCAGCTATAGTTCCTCCCGGGTACTTGTTCTGATCCATTCCAGGCGGCCTTGTCGCCATCTCATGGTCGATAGGCCATTGCAGCAAATCACACAGTAATTCAATAGCCTGATCACAAGAGCCCAACATACTGACGTCAAAGTTCAGGTGTCTCGCCGGCGTTCTTGAAATATAAATCTGCGGAACGTCGTAGCCCACGATCTTGACAATTTCAGAAACAGGAGCTACTTTCAGCGAAGTGCCCAGGCAAATGAGTAAATCGCAGTTGCGAGCATCGCCTTGTTTCACTAGCATATCCTCGAACCGGTCAGGCAGGGCCTCGCCAAAGAAGGTGATGTCTGGTTTAAACACTCCAAAGCTTTCGTCGCCGTAGGCGTTTTCATCATCCTCCATTCGTTTTCGCTTCTTTGCACAATCAGGACATTTCGGCACGATGCCCTCGCGGATCTCTTTGTATATTGACTCGCCGGGGATCTGCTTACTGCAAGACATGCAACGGGCAGTACCAAACGATCCGTGGCATTGCACGAGCTTTTCTGGAGCCAGGCCTGCATAATGCTCCAGATTATCGATATTTTGCGTGTAGTTGCGCAGCAATTTGCCTCGCTCGTCAAGCATTTTGATAAACCGATGGGTGGGCGAATATTTAGTCGATTCGGGCAACACCTTGCGAGCAATTGAATAGAAAATTCGCGGATCTTCTCTAAACAAGTTGATATCAAAAACCTCTTGCGGATCAGTTAGTCCTAGATGCTCGAGCTGAGCATAGAGGCCGTTATCTGATCGAAAATCGGGGATACCTAAAGACGTAGAAATGCCTGCTCCGGTAAGAACAATGATGTTTTTGGCGTTCTTGATGAGCTCCACGACTTGGTCAATAGTCCGTGGAGAGTCCAGGCGCTGCCTTTTTGATAGCACGTGCCGCATGGCTATCTGCAGCATCAAGGCGAGCTGAGAGCTTGAGTACTTTTCAACCACTGGAAGAGGCAGCCTGAACCCAAGAGAAGAGAGCAGCTCAGCAGGGCTATATTCGCGGCTTTGAATCAGGTATTTCGCCGTGAACACTAAAGGACCACTGGTGAATAGATCAGTTCGAATCTGCTTGACGATGTCTGCAGGCATCACCAACAGCGGAACCCCATCTGGCGTTTGCGACTCGCCCTTATAATCAAGAGCCTTTTCCATTTCTTCAATGAGCTCGTCTTGCCAATCGTCTTCGTCGTCGTCCACTTCTTCTTCCTCTGAATGGCTTCCGCGCTCGTCTTGGTCTAGATCATCGTCCGAACTTGCATTCAGGATAGACAGTAGATGCTCGTCCTGGTTGTTGGGGTTAGAAACAATGCTTTCAGCAACTTGAGCGGGCATCAACTCGTCGATTGGCTCGGCGAATTCATCGACTTCTTCCGGCTCCGTCTTCAGTCGCTTCGAGTCCATGTCAGCAGGTGAATATTCAAAGTGCGTTAAAATAAATAAAATTATAAAATTATTTTGTCTGATTTGCTGTGGTCAGTTTTCTTGCGTCGTTTCGTCAACGGAACAATCAACCCGCTGGCCACCGTGCCTGGTTTGGCACCTACCCCTAAATGTGTAGACATTCTAGCCTGGGAGCTCGTGTTTTCCTTGGCCGTTTCTATTGACCCTGGGTCCTTTCCTAGTCCTCGTAGCAGAGCAGCACCAAAATCGTCTACGGATAACTCGTCGTACTCCTTGGCAGTGGGTGGATCAGGATGCTCCTGAAGGCCTTGCTCGTACAGCATATCTTCAACTGCTTCTTTTGAGAGGTACTTGTTTTGTTCAACTGCCGTTTCAAGATCAATTGAATGCTTTTCTTGTTTATCGGCCGCAGCAAGGATCCAGCCTGAGTTGGAAGGCAGGCATATCTCTGGGTCGTGGGACTTGACAGCCTCGACTTGACGGACTTTCTGGGGCTGCTCTGTTTGTTCCTCTTCCTCTCCAAGTTTCTTTCGGCTCGGCGGCGCCTTGGTAGGCTTTTTCAGAGAAAAGTTCATGTATCCAGTGGAACTTGGACAATTGGATAATCAGTGCTCGCTTTATGTTTCGGCTATTGCGAGTTCCAGGAGGCTTTTTGAGGCCCGCTCGTTGTCGCTACATAACGAATGCAGCACCAAAACACCAGCTTCCGTCTGAGAAAGAGGCGAGAAGATCGCCGTTGGGCAAGAAAACCACCGCGTTTCTAGATCGGACCCAGCTCAAGATAATGGCGGTTTTACAACGAGTGAACGACGTTTCTGGGTACAGCGAAATCGAGAAACTGAAAAGACGAATTGCCGAGGCGGAAGAGAATGCTAAGAAAAGTCGAGAGCTCCGGGAATCTGCCAATGCAGCCTATCAGCGAGCGGTGACGGAGCGGTCAGCGAGCCAGCGGGAAGTGAACGAGCTGTTACAACGAAAACACGACTGGAGCTCGCAAGACTTAGAACGGTTCACGCAATTGTTTCGCGAGGATCATCTAGTGGAGCAGCGGGTTCAGCAAACGAAAGCCGCCAGTCTGGAGAGCGAGGCTCACTATGATGCCTGCCAAGCCCAACTCCACCAGCTGATCAGTTTAAGATACCGTGAGGAACAAATATGGAGTGATAAAATTCGACAGGTATCCACATGGGGCACCGTGCTACTTATGGCTTTTAACGTCTTACTATTTCTTGTTGTGCAGTTGGGTCTGGAGCCTTGGAAGCGACGCAGGTTGGTAGGGTCCTTTGAAGAGAAGGTACTGTCTGCGCTTGATGCTCGGCTCCCCGCCGAGGCAGCCGACCCCGTTCAGCCTGAGGAAGTGGAAGAGCCTGTCATTCAGCCTGCCATTGAGCCTCCTCAGCCCCCGCAAACACTATGGCAGAGACTGCAAGCTCCTGTTGTCGTGTTGCAACCCTTCGAACTAACTGCTTTGTTATCCTCCGCACTGGCTCTGGGAGTAAGCGTCGGGATGTACATAACGATTAAGTAAGGGGAATTTTTCACTTCCTTTAATGACGAGAAAGCAACTGCCTCAGGTGCCTTCGCTCAAAACAAAGCCGTCGCGATTTGGCAGAGGCGGTGGAGCGACCAGCCAGAGCAACGGCTCGTGCGTAGGCGTGCTGAGCAACCTGCTCAACTGCTGGGCGTCCTATGCAGAGGGTGCTTCTCAGTGCGTGGCCTTGGAGCAGGCCGTCAAGGATTGCATGCTGAACCGCAAGCACGGCCGCAAAACCACCGACAGCATGGGCCGCGATTCTGCCCGACTGCTGCCCAAGATCAACCCCAAAGCCCACGATTAGATGGTCACGACTCTACGACCTGTTGTATATACGCCCGGCAGGCATTCCTGTAACCGAGTTATAGGCTAAATTATATGCTAGTTTTTTATGCTTGTAGCATGCCGCAGTAGCCAGCTTCCCCTCCTTCCCAGGGCACGCCTGCTCACCTGCTCGCTGGCCATCGAGAGGTTTCAAGATGAGTACGTCACGTGACGCAAGAGCGCTTAGACTCGCGACCACCTATCGTAGGATTTGTCATCTGTCCCGTGCTGTTTGTTGTCGCTGAATGCCTTCGCAGAGGAGTTCGAATGGCGAGGACCACGGCGTCCTTAGCGATGTTCAACAAAGAATCATGCGCGAAGAAGTGTACATTGAGCGCTACAAGGCAATGAGGCGGTCCACCACGAACCCGCAAGTCTTGGAGCAGCTCGAGCTAGGTATTCAGCAGGCGGAGAAGGCAATCCGCTACCTTCAAAGCAAGATGGTGGAGCTCCAGGTGAGCCCGGGTAAGTCTGCCGCCTCCACTACTGCGGGTTCTGGAGGCTCCGGGGAGACTGGTGGCGCCGAGGCAGCAACGGGCTTGACCCTCACGACATTGCCCAAGAACTTCACGCGCCTCACCCTGCTCAAAGATGACAACAAGTTCATGGGTCCTCTCATCCAGCAGATGCTCCCCCAGCTAGAGTTCAAGCTCAGTCTCGAACAGCAGTACAAGGCTGGAACAGTCAAGCTCCAGCACCTCTATCAGGAAGAAGGTGACCGGCGCTCTCGCGCGGACGCTGATGCCAATTTGCGGGAAAGTGCGGCGAAAATTGCCCTGCTGACCCGTGCTCTTAAACGCTATGCCGATATGAATATTGAGGAGGTCGACGAAAAGGTCTACGAGGAGATGAATACTCCTAATGCCCGGCGGCCCTTCACGGGAACCCTACATGTCACCGTCCATAAAGTCGAGAACGTTGACCATACTCTTGCTTCCCCAACCTCCGAGACTATGGTAAGTATGCGTATCGAAAATCAGGTCGTCGCCCACACCCGTCCTTCCCGGCAGTCTGTGTTCAACGAGGAGTTCCATATCGCCATTGACAAGGCTAATGAAATTGAGTTCGTCGTCCATGATGCAGATGGTGAGGAGTGGCTTCCGGTTGCTCTTATTTGGATGCGAATCAGCGACATTGTCGAGGCTATTCGTCGCAAACGTATTGGCATGGAATCCGAAACAGGCTGGGCTAATGCGGACACTATTCAGGCCCAGCACTCAGATTCAGCCAGCAGCTCGACTTTGGTCAGCTCTAATGGAGCTCCTTCTTCGAATGCCACGGGAACAACTCTTAGCATTAAACCCACCGGCTCGACTGTAACAGACTCTTTGAAGGATCCCACTGTGGAGGGCTGGTTTATTCTTGAGCCCGTTGGCCGCATCTATTTGCGTTTGGGCTTTGACAAGTCGACAAGCGGAGTGCGTCCTGTCTACGCACGTGACGGCCTAGGTCGTCAAAACGCCGTTCGCAAATACGATGAGACTCAGGAGGTCAAAGGCCACGAGTTTGCCCATATTCAACTGTACAATATCATGCGCTGCCCTATTTGTACTGATTTCATGACATATCCGTACCAATGCCAGGAGTGCAACTTTGCCTGTCATCGCAAATGCGTTTCTAAGGTCGTCACCCGCTGTATGGCAACTTCGTCTGCAGAAGACGACGCGGATGAACAACTCAACCACCGTATCCCGCATCGTTTCGAAGCGGCAAGCAACATGCGGGCAAACTGGTGCTGCCATTGTGGTTCTATTCTGCCGCTGGGCAAGAAAAATGTTCGCAAGTGTGGAGAGTGTGGTATCATGTGCCACGTTGGATGTATGAAGTATGTCCCTAACTTCTGTGGCATGCCTATGGAAATGGCGTCTCAAATCATATCTGAAATCAAGTCCACTCGTATTCGCCAAGCTACGAAAGCTGCTGCCGGTACAAAACCATGGCAGACGTCCTCACCGAAATCTCAGACCACCCAAGTGGCCCCATCTACCCAGCACAAGCATTCTCAGAAATCAGGCTTACCATACGCACATCAGCAGCAACTCCCTCAAGTTCCTTATAAGCCTTATGCATCTGGCCGCATCACAAAGAATCTGTCTCCCGCTGCGTCGCCCGCTCCCTCCAGCCGTACCGAGCCAATTCGTCGTAAGCAGGTGGGATCTGCTCCCTTGCCTCCTATTCCTGGTTCGAAACAGGAAGGCAAATGGTGGGATGAGCAGCAATCGGCGGAAGCATCGCTGCCCAAGGTGTCCTCAACAGCGTCATTTGATCAGTCAATTGCTTCGCAAACACCGCCGATTTTAGCACCTGTTCCTCAAGGCCAACAAATTCCACAGTCTCTATCTGTTGCGTCTGATCTTTCTCTGGCTTCTCAACTTCCTCATGTCTCTCAGACGCCTCAGGCCCCCCAGGTCCAGGCTCCTGAGACTACTGAGGTTTCTGAGGCTCCCTCGAAAGCATCCGAACCACCTCAAGCGTCCAAGGCTTCCCAGCAACCTCCGTCAATTCCTCCTCCGCAGGTAAGACCACCTGTTCCTGAGCCCCGCTCACCCCCCAAGATGAAAGCTCCTGAAGCGCCTACGCTTCCGAAACAACCAAAGGCACAGGACTCGAAGACGACGACTACTATGCCCGATGCTGCGGCTGCTGCCGCCGCTGCTGTAGCTACGGCCCAGAGAGGATCCTCCAACAACGCAATGGCCGATCTTCAGGCTGCAGCATCGGCTGCCCTTACACAACAACGCCGTCAGTCCGATGGCCCCATTGATAGACCATACTCCATGGTTGAGCCAGCAGGGTCCAAACGCCGGCGCCGGAAGGTTGGTTTGGACGACTTCTCATTCCTGGCCGTTCTTGGTAAAGGTAACTTTGGTAAAGTCATGCTGGCCGAGTCCAAGCAAACCAAGAAGCTGTACGCAATCAAGGTGCTGAAAAAGAACTTCATTATTGAGAACCGGGAGGTTGAATCGACGCGATCCGAAAAGCGAGTGTTTTTGATTGCCAACCGGGAACGCCATCCCTTCCTCATCAACTTGTTTGCATGCTTCCAAACTGAGAACCGCATCTATTTTGTGATGGACTTCATATCCGGAGGTGATTTGATGCACCATATTCAAAAAGAGCGCTTCTCTGCCAAGCGGGCCAAGTACTACGCCGCAGAGGTTCTGCTAGCTTTGAAGCATTTCCACGACAATGATGTTATTTATCGCGATCTCAAACTTGACAATATCTTGCTGACGCTGGACGGCCATATCAAGGTTGCCGATTACGGTCTATGTAAAGAAGATATGGGCTTTGGCAAGACGACGGGAACGTTCTGTGGTACGCCCGACTTCATTGCCCCCGAGATTCTCCTTGATCAAAAGTACGGCCGCAGCGTCGACTGGTGGGCGCTGGGTGTTCTCATGTACCAGATGCTGCTGGGCAAGTCGCCGTTCCGAGGCAAGGACGAGGACGAAATCTACGACGCAATTCTCAGCGATGAGCCCTTATACCCTATTCACATGCAGCGAGACTCTGTGTCCATTCTGCAGCAACTGCTCACGCGAGACCCGCAGCGTCGTTTGGGTTCGGGACCGCGCGATGCACTGGAGATTATGGAGCACCCGTACTTTGCCGACATCGACTTCGATGCACTGCTGAGCCTGAAAATCGAACCCCCCTATCGCCCCGAAATCGACAGCCCCACTGATGTCCGCTTCTTCGACACCGAGTTCACGTCGGAGTGTCCAGCGCTCACGCCCATGAATAGTACTCTCACGCCCAATATGCAGGAGCAATTCCGTGGGTTCTCGTATATGAACGGAGACGTAATCTAGTTATTCTATTCCTCATTTTATCCTATAAACTTTGTGCAAAGCCAAAACATTCTAAACCGCTCCTTCTCTCTGCGGTCATGCGAGGCGGATGGGTAAGGGCCGTCATATGGGCCAGCTCCGGATTCAGGCTGGCATGTTACCGAAACAGTCATTACGAACAGTGAGTCAGCCGGAGCCCGCACGCCATGGATGGCTGCCAGATCGACATGCCGGAGGCTGTGTGATCGGCTGGCGGGGACCAATCCGGGCTCAGAGGCGGCTCAATTGGCTCTATTTTGCCGGTAAATACGCTGGCTAATTGTCCCATTTTTCTTATCGGCCCGTTATCGGGCTGCGGTAATTTCTCCCAAACGCAGTCATACAGTTCCGACATCCTCAGCTGGGATATTCTTAATAAATCGTTCAGTACCCAGACCCTCCACTCCCCCCACATAGCGATTGCCGCCACAATAGGCCGAATACATTGAAAGATGTCAAGACAACTTGATCTTGGCGCGTTCACTCAGGGTGAACGCATAGGAAAGGGAAGTTTTGCAACCGTGTATAAGGGACTGCAGAAATCAACAAATACGGCCGTCGCCATCAAGGTCGTCCACAGAGCCCACCTCAACAAGGACAAGCGGCTGCTGGACAATTTTGAGGCTGAGATGAGAATTCTTAAAAAGCTCAAGCATCCACACGTCGTTAGTCTGATTGAGGTTGTCCAGACGCAAACAGACTTCCATCTCGTTATGGAATACTGCTCGTTGGGCGACCTGTCTTATTTTATTCGCAAACGCAGCCAGCTCATACGCACATTACCACTGGTTGCTGCAATGTTTGAAAGATACCCCTCGCCAGACTGGGGCGGTCTCAATGAGACGGTCGTTCGCCACTTTCTCTGCCAGCTCTCCAGCGCCCTAGAGTTCTTGCGCGCGAACCACCTCGTACACCGCGACATCAAACCACAAAACCTCTTACTACGGCCCCCGGCAAAATCAGAGTCCGCTGCTCAAGAGGCTGGATATGCGGGACTCTGGGAGCTCCCGGTCCTGAAGATTGCGGACTTTGGTTTTGCCCGGTTCCTCCCGGCGACCTCAATGGCCGAAACTTTGTGCGGCAGCCCCCTCTACATGGCGCCAGAGATTCTCCACTACGAAAAATATAATGCTAAGGCTGATCTCTGGTCGGTGGGTGCTGTGGTCTACGAAATGGCCGTCGGTAAGCCCCCGTTCCCTGCCGTCAATCACATGGACCTTATCAAGAAGATCGATTCGGCAAAAGATAATATCAAGTATCCTGCTGATACAGCTGTTGGTGAACAGGTGAAGCAATTGGTATCGGGGCTGCTCAAACGGTCTCCAGCAGAGCGTATGGGATTCGACGAGTTCTTCGCCCATCCGGCTCTGGACGTAATCGGTAACGGCCCTTTACGCAGCCAAGAGATTGACGAGAATATGTACGTGTCGGAGTATATTGCCCAGGCAAGCAAGGACCAGCTACCGCAGCCGGACGACGTTGCCGCCCCCTCGTTGCCAACCACTCCGCTTATTCGGTCGCAAGTGCTCACCGATTCGCCCACTAGCCGCCTTGGATCGTCTCCTGGCTTGCCCGTGTCGCCAACGGCAATGGTGTCTCCACCGCTCTCTGCCGCCACCAGTCCTGCAGCACCTCGCAGTGCTGCGTCCATGGGGTCCAGCTACGCAGCTAGCGGTGCTCGATCGGAACGATCAGACGACGGCTCTTACGTCCTCATCGAGAAACGCACAGTCGAGGTCAATGCATTGGCCGACGATCTGGCAAAGCCTGCCAAGGCTCCGACACCCAAGCGCCGGCTTTCTATCACATATGGTACCTCACCAACCAACGCACTGGCCCAAGCTCTCATTAAGTCATCTGCGAGACTGTTTGGCGCCAAAATTGACTCGGTCAGTGGAATTAATGCCCCATCACTCCGTCGTACAACCCAAGCATCTACTGGTGCAGTTGCGGCTGTGGCTGCCCAGTTGCCGAGCCTTACTGAAGATAGCGAAAAGACCCTCGCTCAGGAACTCAGCGATCTCGCGGCCATGGGAAAAGTTGTTGGTCTGTATGCCGATATCAAATTCAGTGGAGTTGAGTCGCGTGTCGAATCCTCAGCTGCATCCCGGTTCCAGGTTTCGTCTCCAGTGTCAGACCCAACCCTGCAGGATGTCCTTGCTCAGGAGGCGCTAGCTTTGTACCTCAAAGCTGCCAGCTTGTACTCGCGAGCTATGGAAAAGGCACAGAAGTGGTGGGCTGGTAGTGACACGCCAGTAGCAACTCCGACGATCAACAACATTGTCCAGTACATTCGGGACCGATTCAACGAGACAGTTGAGCGGGCTGAATCTGCACGTCAATTGATCCTGAATGGCGCGGAAGACAACTTCTCCCCGGCGCAGCATGTTTCAGCGGAGAAGTTGCTGTTCGATCGTGCCCTGGAGATGGCTCGAGCGGCGGCAGTTCAAGAAATGAGCTCCAGTGACCTGGCGGCCTGTGAAGTGAACTACGGAACAGCTGTGTGGATGCTACGTGCGCTGCTTGATGGAAGCAAGCCAGACGAGGCCCTGAGCGTGGACGACAAGACAATGGTTGATGCGTTGATGGAGAAGATCGCCTTGCGTGTTCAGGCTCTCAAGAAGAGAATCGCGTCGCTACCCCAGGCCAACAGCACTAGCCGCCGCGCGCCCACACCGTGAGATACTTCTTCTCATTCTCATTCGCAAACATATAAATGTATTTATTTTTTGATATTTAATAATGATATTCCCTATGCAAACAAGACAATTGCCTTCCTGCGTCGATGTGGGGAACAAGCGTCCCTTATCGTCACGTGATACAAACTAGGGTTGGTAGTCACGTGATGAACACATCTGGTTTGGGACGGTTTATAAAAAAAATTATCTAAGCGAAATTTTTCATCTCTACAGCATGGGTTCTAAAGAAAAGTCTGTGTCAAAATCTGCTTCTAAAACTAGCAAAAGCAAGAGCGAGCCTAAGGTCAAGTCCAAGGTAAGCAAGAAGGCCGAGTTGAAGAAGAAGGAGGAGGAGTCTGACTCTGATTCCGACTCTGATTCCGATGCTGATTCTGATTCCAGCTCCAGCTCCAGCTCTAGCTCCAGCTCTAGCTCCAGCTCTAGCTCCAGCTCTGACTCTGACTCTAGCTCTAGCTCCAGCTCTAGCTCCAGCTCTAGCTCCAGCTCTAGCTCCAGCTCCAGCTCTGATTCCGATTCCTCCAGCGACTCCGAGTCTGAAGCTGAAGAGCCCAAGAAGGAATCCAGCTCCAGCTCCAGCTCTAGCTCCGAATCCGAAGATGAGGAGAAGCCTAAGAAGGAGTCCAAGGACTCCAGCTCCGACTCTGACTCCAGCTCTAGCTCTGATGACGACTCTGATGACGATGAAGAGAAAGAGAAGAAGTCCTCGTCCAGCTCGTCCAGCTCTTCCGAGGATGAGAAGCCCTCTAAGAAGCGCCCCGCTGACGACGCCGAGGAGTCTACTCCTTCTAAAAAGCAAAAGACTGACGGCCCCGGTGCAACCGTTTTCGTTGGATGCTTGTCCTGGAACGTCGACGACGCTTGGCTCTACGAGGACTTCCAGTCTACCACTCCCGGTGTTTTGAGTGCTCGTGTTATCACTGAGCGTGAGTCCGGTCGCTCCAAGGGTTACGGCTACGTTGACTTCGACACCGAAGAAAATGCCACCAAGGCCCTCGAGACCATGAACGAGCGGGAGATTGATGGCCGTGCTATCCGCGTTGATTTGTCCAATTCCGAGCGTAAGGCCCCTGTCGAGCGTGTTAACACCCGTGCTCGCCAGTTCAATGATCAGCTCTCCGAGCCCTCGGACACTCTCTTCGTTGGCAACCTTTCCTTCCAGGTCAACCGTGACGAGCTTTTCGAGATCTTCGGCAACCACGGTAACGTTCTCACTATCCGCGTCCCCACCCACCCCGAGACCCAGCAGCCCAAAGGCTTCGGCTATGTTCAGTTCGGTAGCGTCGATGACGCCAAGGCCGCTTTGGAGGCTTTGAACGGTGAGTACATCAGCGGCCGTGCTGTTCGTCTTGACTACTCCGTCCCTCGCGAGGGCGGCTCGTTCGGCGGCAACAACAACCGTGGTGGCTCCTTCGGTGGCAACCGTGGCGGCAACCGTGGCGGCTCGTTTGGCGGCCGTGGTGGCAGCCGTGGTGGCAGCCGCCAGAGCACTCCTTCTCGCGGCTCGCCTGGCCCCAGCAATTACTCTCCTCGTTCTGGTGGATTCCAGGGCAAGAAGACCACTTTCTAAAATAATTTATTTATAGCGAGTGTTAGTAGGATATTATTGAAGTTTTGTTGCCTTTCATACTTGGGGTTTACGACGATTATTCGTCCTGTCCTGAATGCAGGGGCACGCATACTAGTCTTTGAGCAGTTCATCGCACACAACTGCCCTTGAATGTGTTTCCGAGCTCAACAAACTGGTGCGGATGTCAGGCTGCGACCACATCGCTTTGTAGCAGTCGTCTTTTCACAAACGTCCGACCTGCCTAAACAGGTTAAATCTGATAATGCATTCGCAGCTCCCTAATAATCATATGCAGGTCCGACCACGATGTGCATGATCCGATGAAAGGAATCTGTGAGGCACGACACGAACGATCTGCATTTTCAAATAATCTTCCCGGATAATATGGCCCTGAGAGTGATATGGACCTATGTGTAACTTCTGGGGTGCTCCAGTCGGTCCAACCCTTGAATTGTAAACCGATTGACTTAAACTCGCGTCCGAACAAGGTCCCATGTGGAGCAACCCGGGTTTGGGTATGAAACGTCTGTTTCCGTCGAATCCGAAACAAAGCTATTATAAATAGGTGATACATGTCTTCAATTGTTGCAGACCAAGTCAATGAATCTGTTGGCTCTTGCTGTTTTAGTCTTCACGGTCGTTGCTACTCCAGTAGACCGCGACACCAACTCCACTGGTGGCTTAATCGCACAACTGAAGCTTGAGCAGAACACATTCACATGCGGTGCTTGTAAAGATGTGCTCACAATTCTGCGGACTGCCTCCAGAAATCTTCCTCGGAATATGGCACTCAGGGTCGTCGAGAAGGCTTGCACATCTGGTTTGCTTGCAGGCTTTTGCCAAAACTTTTTGAATAAAGTTCCTGGCCTTAGCGGCACCCTTGGTTTGGGTACTGATTTTCTTGATGCTATTGAGATCATGGATACCCAAGGTCAAGATGGTGACTATTTCTGTCATTTCTTGCTTGGCTCCCTCTGTCCTATTCCTGAATTTCGCGCCCCTGATGTCTCAACCCTTATTCCTGCTAAACGTGAAAACCTTCCTCCCCTCCCTGAATCCTCAGGTGGTACTTTCAAAGCACTGCATATCTCTGATATTCATTTGCAGAATAGCTACGTTCCTGGTGCCCCAGGTAACTGTGTTGGTATGGATCTTGGCGGTATGTGCTGTTACAATGGCGCAGTTCAGATGCCTGGCAAGCCCATTGTGCAGGCTCCCGAGATCGGGTATTACTACTGTGATACGCCTCCTCTACTGCTCGAGAACGCTTTGGCCAATGCTGCTGTCAACCAAAGTGACTATGATTTCTCTATCTTTACAGGTGATGCGGTCGACCATGGTCTCGTCTTCTTAACTAAAGAGGAAATGATACAAGAAGAAATTGACACCTTCACATCGCTCAAGAGAAACTTGAACAATATCCCAACCTATCCAGTTCTTGGCAATCATGATTCTTGGCCGTACGCCCAAGATCCTCCTTCGAATTTGAAAGCCGGCGACCGATACCAATACAACCGTAATCTTATGGAATATTTGTGGTCCGATGGGTGGCTGGACAGTGATGCTATAGACGATGTTCGTCACCACGACACCGCATACTCTGTCATGGCTAAAGACAACCTCAAGATCATTGCTCTGAACACTAATTTCTGGTATCGTTTCAATCTCTACAATTACAACAACCTCTATGAGGCTGATACGTCCGGTATGTTTCAATTCCTCGTCGACGAACTCGATGACTGCGAGCAGAATGGTAAGTTTGCCTGGATCATCGGACATGTTCCTCCTGGTGGGCTTCCCGACGATGCGGTACCTGTTCAAACTTGGGTTTTCACCCAGATTGTTGAGCGATATAACGATAATATTGCTGCTTTGTTTTTCGGACACACCCATCAGGATGAGTTCACTGTAATGTACGCCGGCGATGGAACTGCCAAGACGATCGAGAATGCAATTAATACAGTTTGGGTTGCACCTTCTATTACTCCACTGAGTGAGTACAATCCTAGCTGGAGATATTATGTTGTGGATGATAAAACCTATCAGGTTATGGACTCTGTCACCTACTATGGTGATATTTCTAGCGGGTCCCAGGTTAACTGGCAGTTCGAGTATAGTGCTCGTGAAACTTATACCAAGTATTTCGATTGGGATGAGAACACACCCCTCAATGGTCAGTTCTGGCATCAAGTGTCGACTGGTATTCGGGATGACCCCCGGATGGCTCAAGAGTACTCTTCGTTACAGTATCGTCGCACTAATTACGCTCCTCTTTGTCACGATGAAAATTGTCGTATGGAGAACTACTGTTACACATCTTCTTTCAATACTATCAACGGTATCAAATGCCGCTCTGGCAACAGTAAGCTATCCAAACGTACGATGCTTCAACCAAATGTACCTATGCCTCGTCCTGAGCGCAAAGACAAGCACGTTGCTTAAGCACGCTCTATTTTGTACAAAATTCTAATAACTATATTCTAATTGTTCCCGTGTTTGTACGGAGGTCTCCTAGGTTATGACCCCTACTTGCCCCGCATACCCCTCCATCAGGTAGGGGTATGAACGAGAACTATCTGTACGATTTATGTAAAGACGAGAAATGCAGCTTAAACTGCTTAATATATTAGATATTTACACTAATGGAACAAATCTCCACCCATGCGTTTGATCTCGCTCAAAAGAGCCGACTTATCAAGAATAACTTTGCCGTCACTGGTGGGTGTCACAGGATAAGGAAGTCCAACACGGAATTTATGAGGTTCTGTGGCTGTGCGATTCCAGATTCCGGCAATGACTTGGTTTTTATTAAGCTTATCATCAAGGGAACCACTGTAAAATAAGACGATGCTGCTACCATATGTCTCTTTGATGTCATTGAAAAATTCCAGCCCAACATTATTACCAGATTTGGCGAGCTTGGAAGCATCACTGACTTGCAAGTTTTTGTAGCCGGCCGATGACGATGCCGAAGGATTGCGGAGATTCAAAACCACATCATATTCACTTGTCGACGTCTTGAAGGCGCTGCCGAGACTTGCAGAAGTGAGTTTGCGAGCAGCGCGAGCAAGGCCAGTCAAGCGAGCAGCAAGCAAAATTCCCGTAGTGTTACGAGGAAGCGATTGGGTCCACAAAATACCTGTTTGATCTACCTTTGTTGCAATGAAAAGTGGACTCAAGGTAAACGCTGGGTCCTGCTGGCGTTGCTTTGTAAAATTCGCCGTCAGTTTATGGTGGAAAGCCGGATCCATGCGAACGCCTTCGACCTGCAAAGACTCACTACGTTCAACGTCGTAAATCAAAGGATCCTCCTTCCAGTTCCAGTGCTGCAAAAAGTCCAAAGTGCGCACAAAGGCGGTTTGAGCGCTTGATGGTGGGGAGTATGGGGCAGAATCCAAGAATGGTTTAAGAGCCAAAAGCTCGATCATTTGTTCAGTGAAATGGCTGGCGAGCATATGCTTTTTACACCAGAGCTTCATCAAACGAGCAGCCGTGGAATACAGAGGATATCGTAAAGCCATAGTCACAATCAGGCGATGATGATCTGCTCCAGCTTGACCGTGACGTTTCATTGCCAACAACGCGTTTTCAGGGAGGTTGCTAGCAGCGGCGATGTCAAGATCACGGGCCGTGATGATTCCAAATTTGAAGAAATAGCCCTGAGGTGTTTGAACAATCAAAAATCCACGTTCTTCGGATTCGTACCCAGGAATAGGCTCCACACCAACCACAGGATGATACTTTGGCTTTAATTCTCGGATAGTCTCTGCAACATTGATCAGGAAGGCAGTTTTAGTTTTCTCTAAAGCACCAAGCTTTGACGGCCATTTCCTTGAGGTCTCACAAACCATTACTGCCGTGGCAATACTGTCATCACCACGCAAATCGTACGGAACAGGCTCTTGCAGAGAGGTGTAACGCAAAGAAGCAGACGTGCCAAACACGGAAGAGATACGCAGTGGCAAGTCGGATAGATCTTGAAGCATCAACGAACACTCATTAAATGCCTGAATTTTCGCCTGATAAAGCGCTAAAGACGGTAGAGCATTGCGAGCCTCGTTAATAGTAGGGAGCAAGCGCGTGATAGAGGGCACAGAGATAAGACTGACACCGAATTTGTAGTCAAGAATGTAGCGCGCCACGATGAGGACAACAGGAATGTTAACCTCCTCGACTTTCCAAGCAACAGCCTCCTTGATAGTGCCATCTTGGAAGCGTCGCAAGTTGGAGATTGGACCCCAGAACTCACGGAATGCCTTGCATTCGGACTTCTCACTGGCATCAGGACCCATTGTAACACGTTTATCACTATGCTCAACATCCAACAGAGCACGTACACTGAGTATAACTGTGTCGGGAACGTCAGGTGCGGGGGTAGACAGTGACCATTCTGATTGTGGTGAGCTAAACACTGCGAAATGCTTGATTCGATCGCCCCACGCCTGATTTAGTGTACTGTAAATCTGTTGAGTGGCAAAGCCGATCACAGACGGCGAAACCGCGCGTTCAGCAGTATCAAACTCAGTTAGGGGGAACGTCACATCGAAGCTAATATCGAAACGGAGCTGGGACTCATCAGAGCGACGCAGGAACAAGTCAGTGAATCTATCACAGGTAACGTCGGACAAAAGCTCGGCTGTGACTTTTGCATCGTGCTGCAAAAGACCATAGAGCCACTCAGGAGCGTCGGCTAAAACGTTCAAATCATTCACCCACAAACCAGGCAGTGATGATGAGGTAGTGTGCGAAGACACGTTAAGAGCCAGCTCTTTGTCGGCTAAAAATAAAACGGTCCCTTTGAACAGCTGATAAGAAGAATAGCCCTGAAGAAGGACACGCTTGCCAGCTGGGCCTCCGGAAAGTAGCCCAGCCATCAACAGGGCAAATTGAAGGTGGCCGAACCCCCCAAATGCAGGATCAGCGCTATAGCCTCGTTGGCGCAGCCAAAGACGGCCTAGTTTGCAAGCATCTGTGAAGGCAGCAGAATAGGTTGATGCAGTGTGCAGCAAACGCAGGATTTGCGAATGATAAACATCAGCCAAAATTGCCGAGTTATAAATTGGAGTAGGTCCCTCAGTATCGCGAACACAGTTGCGGTCAGCAGCAAGTTTTCGGGTGGGGAAAAGCTCTTCCTCAACACCGAGATGGATCATGATGTGAAGATGTTTTGACAGTTTGCGGTCGGTAAAATCAGCACGAACAACTGGTTTGAGCACATTTCCATTCAAGTAGCGATAAGATACACGCAAGTCTAGTTTTGACGAAGCAATGGCTTTGGCGACTGCTGCCAAATAGAACGCCCGTTTGTGAAAATATCGATAATTGAGGTAATCCTTCTGTTCAAACAAATCAGAAGGCATTGTCAATAGTAAATCAATGCCGGAACTTTCAGGCTGTTTAACAACGGTCTTGAGCGAGTAGCTGCCAATCACATTGACTTCGACAGGCGGTGCAAACGCTAACTGATACTTGACATGCTTTGAGCCATGGAAAGGGATGCGAGTTGGGAACTTTTTCGAAGCAGCCTCTGCAGACAAAGGACCAATAGATTTCGCCTGTGAAATAACTTCTTTCAGGGCGAAAAGCTGCTTGTTTGCAAGCGAGCACATTCTGTCGTCCAACTTGATCTCGGCCAGAGTTTCATCAATCTGCAGCTTGAAAACATTTGTTTTGAAAAGCTCACTTGTCTCACGAGCAATACGGACTTCGGCACCGCTCAAAGTATGTTTGGCGGGGTGTGTACCGTTCGAAGGCCTTTCGGGTACTTCTTCCTCAAGCTCCTCTGGCTGACTTTCGGGATCAGGGGATGATTCAACATCAGAACCCGAATTTTGGAAGTCCGAATCAACAGAAGAAAAGTCTTCTTCAGACAGTTCCTGTAACGAATGGACTTTTTTGGCCGGTCGCTCTTCAGCGCCAGACTTTCTCTTAACCATGGTGGTTGACGTAAGCGGGATCTCACAGGAAAAATTCTTTTTGGGAGTGAGTGAGTGTGCGTATTCAGCTCAGGCTGCCTCGAGCGCTCGATCGATCTGAACCCTAACCACACAACGAAGAAAGCCGCGCTCGGCAATCACGTGACTCGAATCTGCTGCGGGAGCCACAAAAGGATTGGTGTTGTAAGCATGTTCTCTCCAGTTCAATCAGAGCAATAATGACCATAATGCGGTCAATTCTGGTTGGCGAGTTGCCTTTAGTCGCAACATCTAGTCGGTTGGGTGCAACAAGAGTTGTGCTCAGAAAACCGGCGGGGTTCAGTGCCCGCACCATCGCCACGGGTCGCTTTTGCTCCCCCAGGCGTCCTTTGGTGATGTTTTTGGGCACTCCGAGCGCTCTGCGGTTGTGCTCGGTGGGGATTCGAAATTTTGCCACCGAGGATGTCAAAAAGTCTCCCGCTCCTGATGCTGATGATGCTGTTGTTGGCAAGCCCGACCCAAACAGGATCCCGGCCGCCACTGCAGCCAGCAGTTCGGGCAAGTCAGCGGAGACAACCGCCGCCGCCGTTGTCGAGACGAAACCCAAGCTCACGATATGGGAGAAGGTCAAGAAGGAGGCCAAGCATTACTGGGATGGTACGAAGCTGCTTGGATACGAGCTCAGGGTGTCTTTCAAGCTGGTGCTCAAAATGGCGTCTGGTCGCGAATTGACGCGTAGAGAGGACCGTCAGCTCAAACGAACTGTTCAGGACATGGCTCGCCTTGTTCCTTTCTCGGTCTTTGTGCTTGTTCCTTTTGCTGAGCTGCTCCTCCCCATTGCACTTAAGATTTTCCCCAACCTGTTGCCCTCTACCTACGAATCCAAATCGGGCCGGGAAAAGAAACTCAAGCAGCTGGGTAAGACTCGCGGCAAGGTTGGAACATACTTGCGTGATATGGTGAATGGAGCCAAGATCGTTCCCAACCCCAAGACTGAAGAGCAAAAGCAGGCCTTTGATACTTTTATGGCTCAAGTCAAGGTTGGAGAGCGTCCGGATAGTGAGACTACTCTCAAGGTTGCTCAACTGTTTAAGGATGATATGCTTTTGGACAATTTCAGCCGTCCAGAGCTCGCTGCCTTGTCTCGTTACATGAACATGACTCCTATTGGTACATCCACTGTTTTGCGTTACGCCTTGCGTCACCGTATGCGCCAAGTGAAGCAGGACGACTACATCATTGACCGCGAAGGTGTTGACTCATTGAACGCTCAAGAGCTACAAAGTGCATGTCTCAGCCGTGGATTTAAGGTCATTGGTGTCTCTATTGGGCGCCAGCGATCGGATCTGAGCATGTGGCTCCAGTTGCGCCTCAAGGACCGTGTGCCATCGACTATTCTTGTCCTGAGTTCCGCCTACACTTATGGATCTCACGACTTGGAGTCTTTCTATGACGGTGTTACTGCTGTGTTGAGTGCGCTTCCCAGCGAAGTTTACCATGAAGCTGAGCTTGATGTTGTTGAGGACAACGCAACCAATCAACAGCGTCTTGAGGTTCTTAAGGAACAGCAAGATAAGATTATGGAGGAGAACAAGGAAAACGAGGAGTCTGGCCAGAATATTCAGGTCCGTGATCATTTGAATGTTGATGAGCCGGCAGACACCAAAGCTGCCGATGTACCCGATGATACCCCAGAAGCGATGGCTCGTGCTGATTATCTCAGGGAACATCCGATTCCTACTGAGTCCGAGGAAGATGTCGCTGCTGACAGGAGCTCTATTGATCCCATAGAGCTTTCCCGGAAGCAAAAGTCTGATGTGGCTCAACCCACTGAATCTGAGCAGGGTGTACGGGCCGATGCAAACCCCGTTGATCCCATCAAGATGGCAGAGGCCAATTACTTGCGTAGGAATCCCGAACCTACCACCTCCGAAGAGGATGTCAAAGCAGACATGCAATCCGAAGATCCATTGAAGAGCTCTCGTGCGCAGCAGGCACGCCGCAACCCTCCCCGCACTACTGCAGAGGAGGACGTGGACGCTGACCAGAGCTCAGTTGATCCGTTGAAGAGCTCTCGTGCGCAGCAGGCACGCCGCAACCCTCCCCGCACTACTGCAGAGGAGGACGTGGACGCTGACCAAAGCTCAGTTGATCCGTTGAAGAGCTCTCGTGCAGAGGAGGCACGTCGCAATCCCCCCCGCACTACTGCCGAGGAGGACGTGGACGCTGACCAAAGCTCAGTTGATCCGTTGAAGAGCTCTCGTGCAGAGGAAGCACGGCGCAATTCCTCCTAATCGAATCTTTTTAAACGACTCTAGAGGAGGATGTGGACACCGGCAAGACCTATGTTGATTCAATTGCCTTCGAAGGTATGGAAAGCTTCGGCGTGATCCACCCAGAATCCAACCTAGGAAGGACATTAAAGCAGATCAGCCCACGGCCGATCCGCTCAAGAAGCTGTAGATAAAAATTTAGGCAATTTAGTTTTTGTTTAGTGGGTTCCGCTAGAACCGAAACCACCTGCACCGCGATCGGTGTCTTCTAAGGATTCAGCTACTTGAATGTCGCCAATAAAGATCTGTTCAATAATGAGCTGGGCGACGCGCTCACCTTCTGTGATATTATAGTCCTCATTGGAGTGGTTGAAAAGCGCGACCTTGAGCTCGCCGCGGTAATCTGCATCAATGACACCAGCAGCAGTGTCTATGCCGTGCTTGACTGCTAGGCCGCTGCGAGGAGCGACGCGACCGTAGTAGCCTGGCGGAACAGCAACAGCGATCCCGGTGCTGACGACCACACGGCCGCGTGCCTTCAAAACGACGTTCTCAATTGAGTATAAATCATGACCGGCGGCTAAAGAGGAGCCGCGCGTGGGCACTTTGGCCTTCGGGCTGAGCAGCGAGACGCGAAGAGACATTGCAAGTGACGTAAACTGAGCGGCTAATTAAATATAGAAGCAGTGCAACTACGAAATATCGACGGACCGGCGACGAAGTGCGACCAGACTAACGAAATCTGATGCTACAACTTGCAATTGGCGTCTTGTGACGGGCCACAGCCAGGGCCTTGACGGGTCGCAATTTTTCACTGCCTGGAGGCCTGGACGGCTGGGTGCTGCGCGGGTGTTGGGGCATGTACATGCGGTACGAGAACTACGCTGAAAAATTTTCACCTGGGGATTTGGGACATAAAGTGAAAATATTAGGTGAACAAAATTTTTTCAACCTTTAACACAAATGGCTTCTGAGGGAACTTACGCCGGCGCCATCGGTATCGATCTTGGTACGACGTACTCGTGCGTTGCCACCTACGAAAACTCCGTTGAGATTATTGCCAACGAGCAGGGTAACCGTGTTACTCCTTCTTTCGTTGCTTTCACCGACAAGGAGCGTCTCATTGGTGACGCTGCCAAGAACCAGGCTGCTCTTAACCCCAGGAACACTGTCTTCGATGCCAAGCGTCTGATTGGTCGCCGCTTCGACGAGTCGTCGGTGCAGAAGGACATCAAGACCTGGCCCTTTGCCGTTGTCGACAAGAACGGCAACCCCTTCATTGAGGTTGAGTACCTCGGTGAGAAGAAGACTTTCTCTCCCCAGGAGATCTCTTCCATGGTTTTGACCAAGATGAAGGAGATTGCCGAGGCCAAGCTCGGCCAGAAGGTCGACAAGGCCGTTGTCACCGTCCCCGCCTACTTCAACGACTCTCAGCGTCAGGCTACCAAGGACGCCGGTTCCATTGCTGGCCTTAACGTTTTGCGTATCATCAACGAGCCCACCGCTGCCGCCATTGCCTACGGTCTTTCTGCCAAGTCCGAGGACGAGAAGCACGTTCTCATTTTCGATCTTGGTGGTGGTACTTTTGATGTTTCCCTGCTCCAGATCCAGGGCGGTGTTTTCACCGTCAAGGCTACTGCCGGTGACACCCATTTGGGTGGTCAGGACTTTGACACCAACTTGCTCAACTTCTTCCAGGAGGACTTCAAGAAGAAGACCGGCATTGACATCTCTGACGATGCCCGTGCTCTCCGTCGTCTGCGCACTGCCGCTGAGCGTGCTAAGCGCACTCTGTCCTCGGGTACTCAGACCCCCGTCGAGGTCGACTCTCTGTCTGGCGGTGAGGACTTCAGCTTGAACATCACCCGTGCCAAGTTCGAGGCTCTTAACGATGCCCTCTTCAAGTCCACTCTTGACCCCGTTGCCCAGGTCCTCAAGGACTCTGGCATTGAGAAGTCCAAGGTTGACGAGATCGTCCTTGTTGGTGGTTCCACCCGTATCCCCAAGGTCCAGAAGCTCCTTTCTGACTTCTTCGATGGCAAGAAGCTCGAGAAGAGTATCAACCCCGATGAGGCCGTTGCCTACGGTGCCGCCGTCCAGGGTGCCATTTTGACTGGCCAGGCCACTGACGATGCTCAGGACATTCTTTTGCTTGATGTCGTTCCTTTGTCTCTTGGTGTCGCCATGGAGGGCAACATCTTCGCTCCCGTTGTTCCCCGTAACACCACTGTCCCCACCCTCAAGCGTCGTACCTTCACAACCGTCGCTGACCACCAGACCACCGTTCAGTTCCCCGTCTACCAGGGTGAGCGTACCAACTGTGCTGAGAACACTCTTTTGGGCGAGTTCGACCTCAACGGCATTCCTCCTTTGCGTGCCGGTGAGCCTGTTCTCGAGGCTATCTTTGAGGTCGACGCCAACGGTATCCTCAAGGTCACCGCCGTTGAGAAGTCCACTGGCCGCTCTGCCAACATCACCATTTCCAACGCTGTTGGCAAGCTCACTTCTGAGGACATCGACAAGATGATCAACGACGCTGAGCAGTTCAAGGCTCAGGACGAGGCGTTCGCCAAGCGCCACGAGGCCAAGCAGCACCTCGAGTCCTACATCCAGAGCATCGAGTCCTCTGTCACTGACCCCGCCGTTGCTTCCAAGCTCAAGAACAATGCTCGTGAGAAGCTCGAGGGTGCTCTTGCCGATGCCATGGCCGCCCTTGAGGTCAAGGATGCCTCTACCGATGATCTTCGCAAGGCTGAGGTCAATCTTAAGCGCGTCGTCACCAAGGCCTTTGCCACTCGTCGCCAGTAAATCATGAAATAGGTTTATATCTTTGATTAAATTTAATTCATCATAGTCGTGCTAGTTTCTAGGTTAAATATGGGCTGCCTCGGATGTTTTGGGCGTCCCGGGGGTCTCTGAAGCCTCTCTAGGGGTTTCTAGATCGGAATCCTGTGTGGGCGGGGCTGAGGGGGCCAGTGGTTGTGCTTGACTTGATGCGGAAGATGCAGGAGGCGCGGAGATCGCGAGCGGTGTCGATGCAGATGGAGCAGAGGGGGCAGCCGAAGGGGCCGCAGAAGGGGCAGCAGAAGGGGCCGCAGAAGGAGCCGCAGAAGGAGCCGATGGGAATATACCCAGCGCCGCGGACGGTGCGGGCGCGGACGGTTCGTAGCGCGGCACAAAATCCTCAGGTGCGCTGGTAAGTTCAGCAAGTCTGGCCCTCTCCAATTCTTGTTTGTCAAGAGCCTGACTAGGCCGCGGAACAAACGTTGTATTAACAGGCCCTGGGGCAGACACCTCTTGCAAACCCGGCATCGCAGGCCGGGGAGCCACTGACGGCAAAAGTGCGGCTGCTCTTGCTGCAAGCTCGGCCTTTTCTTCGTTAGTAGTTTGCAAAGCTGAGGGCGGTGTATTAGTAGGGGACGGTCCTGCACCTGACGATAGCGACGACAAGTCCACATGCATAGAGCGCTCACTCAATGAAGGATGAGACTGGCTGACATGTGAGGACGTGCTGCCTCCAAGCGTAGTGCGAGACGTGCCTATGATAACCTCAGTCCAAGCAGACACTATGCCAGATTTCTGCTTCAGTTCCACAGTATCTATTAGAGTGAAAGCGGGATCACGTGCGACGTATTTCTGCAAATCTCGCTTCCCAGTAACATCCATTGTCATTTCTAAAACGTACTGGAAAGTGATCAGATCCTTATGGCGCATAGTGGGGAACGAATCAGGGGGCACCCGGAGAGTACCTACAACGTTGGCCACCAACGTCTTCGGGTCAGTATATAGCGGAAGCACCACCTGATCAAGATCTTTTCGGAATGTCTGAGCGTCGAAATCGGCACCATGCAGACGAGCGATGCGGACTAGAGTAAGGATAATTCCGGCCGAATTCTGCACAAGCCATTGGTGCTTAATCGTTAGCTGAACAGGGATCTCTTCGCCTCGAACATAGCCCTTTGTTGGGAGCTCTAATTGCACAATTACTTTGGAGCTTGGGCCCGCCGATCGCCGACGCTGGGTGACGTCAATGGCAATACGCGTAACTTTTGCGGGGGGTAGTTGCGATACATCCAAGGGCACGGTGACGCTGAGAGGTTGGGATGGTGAAGTTTGAGCACTTCTACCTGGTCTTTTCAAAATGCCAGTGACCAAATAAGAAATATCACCCCGTTCAAACGTCAAAGACGACATCAGTCCGGATGCTGGTAAGCTGAACTCAAAGGGGAAGCGGTGCTCGCCAGGAGGCAAAAATAAATAGGGTGTATCAGAGCTTGACGATGTTGTTGTCGCGGTGGCTGACGCTACTGAGGAATGTGCGGTATCCTCAGCAGACCACAGATCTATAGTAAGACGGCAAAGGTCTTTTGTGAGGCCGCTTCGACTCGATAGTATGAAGTTTTTGATGTGAACGAAACCATGAATATCGACTTTGACGCTGGAAACTTTTTGCTTTTTGCCTAGAAGCAGCACTATGCGACCTGCAACCGTTGCACCTGGTGAATACATGCGGTGGGGGTCTTCGATTTCGACATAGAAACGGGGACCACCAGGCTCGCTAGAGGTGATGATCTCGCGCACCGTAGATGCAGTGGGGGTGACTATCAATGGACTATCAGCTCGAGAAGCGGGCTCTTTAGGTGAGAGCGAGGGCGATTGCGTCGAAGGCGCCCATGGTAATTTGAAGCTGAGCCTTCCCATTAAAGCGCTGCCTCGGGGCAGGAAGTGCTACAGCTAAAGAGACTGATAAGGCTCCAAGCTCGCGTTTCAGAGGACCGCACGTGGGGCCACTTTCTGGGATAAAAAAACTCGGGACTCACTGGCGGGTGGTGGCAGGGGGGGATAATTGGAGCGGTTCCAACACGGCCAAACTCTTAAATCTTCGTTATTCGAAGGTACCAGAGTCTCACAGCAAGCGACAAATTGAGTTTCCCGTCGAGATGAGTTCACGTATGAACGAGAGGTTGTTAACTAGAATAAATTACATCAAGGAAGACTAAGACACTCTTCTAGCGGGACCCTAACCCAAGCGAAAGGAAGCGCTCGTTCGACGGCAGGAGGGCAACCTTAGGGTGCGCAGAGGGCGCCTGCCTGCACAATTGCCCCACCGCGGGAGGAGCCCCGCCCGGACCGGCGCCAGCCAATGGCTCAGGTTGTGGCTGCTGTGAAATAGTATTAGTACCTCTATTATCGTCTACACACAAGAACTGTTACTGCACTTAATCTGTCTCCGGAGCTTGGCATGCAGGTGATTTGCATTAGTCGGCAAGCGGTGTGGCTATGTAAGGTTTTGGCGATACCATCAGGGCTGGGGTATCGTTGGCGGCAGCTGCTTGCCCTTAATTGTCCTGGGGCAGAAAATTAACCAGCCGAGACGCGTAGATTTCATTCAAGCAGATCGGTAAAGTTCATAGCAGAGTCGAGCTCGTCCAGGTCCATTGGCCCGGTGTCGAGATCGAATCCGTAGCTGAAGTCGCCCTCCATCGGATCCAGCACAATGCCGGTTGGCTCGTTCACGAGATCAATCTCGGTATGGGGAGCCACATGCTCTGGAACGGCCGATCCGGGCGATCCTCCGGCCGTCTGGCTGATCATGGACTCCTCTTCTCTCGATGACGAGTCAATCACCTCCTTGAATCTGGAGGCGTATTCGCGGGCGATTTTGGTCACTGACTCCCGCCCGGGGGCATCGAGCACGTCTCTGTTTTGCGACTGGCCGAACTCGATCGACCCGTACACAACCAAAAGCGCAACCTCGACCTCCGTAGACGCCGCGCCACCTTTACTTTCTTTTTCAATTAGTTTCCGCGTTTCTTCTGGCCCCAGCACGGGGATCGCTCGCTTGAACACTCCGCGGTTGATGGTTGGCAGGCCAACAGACCGCTCCTGCCATCTCTGGAGCGCCGAAACAGTTTGTGATACATTGGTCGCTAATGATCCGGATAATGGCTTGGGTTCAGCGGGAGACGGATAAAGATGTGAAACCAGTGACTTTGCGTTTCTTGCTACGGCAGCCACGGCGGGATCAGGATGCGAAGACACGGCCGGCCACGCCAACGCGGCTGAAATTTTGGGTAGTACTACAGCCCCCACCACCTTGATGGCCGGCCGGCTGTTTTCTCGCTGCAGTACCTGAAGTAAGGCAGAAACAATATGCAGCGTGCCCAAGGGACTGTGCTGCAACCAGAGATCATGGCACAATTGGTCAACAATAATAGCCAGCAGTGGGGTAAGGCCCGGCTGGATAAAGTATTCCAAGCTCAGAGCAAGAGTTTCCTGGTTAATGACATTAAGCTGGAGTGCACTTGCTACCTGTCCCACCAAGGCGGGCAAGATAGATAGTACTTCACCGTACGGTTGGAGAGCAGCATCACCAATACCCTGACCACCGAATAGTCCACCGATCCATAATCCCAGCAGTTTCAATTGTGTATCATTCAGGTTTGAAACTGTAGGGTACTCACCTGGAGTTTTTAGCAGAAACGTTTGAGACCATGATGACCTGTAGTGCATGTTATTACGAGGATCGGCGAGCAATTGCTTGTCAAGCTGATAGCGAGCAAAGGTAAATTGCAAAAATTCCAGTATGGTGCCAGCATCGCCATAGCCTGCTGCCTGGGTAATAGCTGCATTGGCCGCATTGTCCAGATGAGCAAGCAAAACGTCAAGGACAACCCGCAATGGCACATGCAGGAATAAATGGTCGCAAGCTGTAGGGTAGACAATGAGAGCACCGCAAAGCAGAGCAACGTGATGCCGCATAGAAATTGAGGAGGATTTCAGAAATAGTTTCAGGAACTGTGAACCAATCGCCTTTTGACGCAACGGTCCATGGCTCGCATATTCATGGACAAGCTTTACGGCAATGCTAGTTTCCCAGCTGACTTTTTCAAAGTCTTGGGCTATAATATTGCGTGCGATATCATCCACTTTGATGGTACCCTCTAGAGCAACCGTAGGATCTTCGTGGCGAGCAGGGTGGTTTTTGTGAAGAACATGCAGTACCGTGGAATCGCATACCCCCAGATCAATGCACGTCCGAATAAAACTTGCTCGGAGATCAGAAGCATCCACAATTTCAATGATCTTTTTATCCATTGTAGTCAAAACTCTTGATAGGGCGCTATCGGCGGTAGGATTTGCTGAATCGCGAGCAAGCAAATCTTGAATGACGAGGGGCAGTCTTTTCAACAATAAACCCGTCCAAAGCCCGAAGCTAACGGCACTTTCTGGAGAATTAGCAGCAACAGCACATCCATCAAAAGCAGTGAGCGTCAGCTCATAAATAAGCGTGGGTGTTCGTTCGTTTGGCCAGAGAATATCCAACTGCTGCAAAAACGCCGAACTTTCGAGATGCTCGAGCCTAGACACCGCAGTATCGAGCCACAACAATCTGAAAGTCTTTGATGGAGTGTAGGATACCGTGTCGACCTGAACGGCTTCACCGGTTGCAGCTTCCAAAGTATCAAAAGTGAACAGTCCAGCGATTTCTGGGCCGGCCAGATTGCGGACTTTGGCTTCACATTTCAGCCGCCATTCATAATTAAGATCTGCAATACGCCGCAAAACACCATTATTCCCCATTTTATGCAGCAGAAACAGGCTTTCAGGGCTACCCGAAATGGCTTGATCCAGAATGACATCAAGGGCTTCTCCTAGCCGGGCTACTCGGTCTGGTGTGACGCGCAACTGCGAAATTCCCCGGGAAATATAAATCATGAGCAGTTTGTCTGACTGCGAACGGTTTTCAGGCGATTTGGACGCCCATTGAGCCAGCAATGTCTCCAGAGGCAGAACAGACTTTTGGTCGAGAGCGACGGTGAGGATGTATTCCAGTAACGGCACGTTGGGAACGTTATCGGCGACAACCGCTTCTAGCATCCAGTCTAGCTCCGCCTGTGATACTTCGCACGTGTCCTGTAATTGACTACATAGCCTCGAAAACAATGAGGGAGCCCATCGTCTAGCTAAGGCCGTTTCGGTCAGGGTTTGAAGCATGTAAGCAAATGCCTGTGGGGTGGGTAATATAGCACGCGAGTGGAGAGCTCGGGGCAGAGCTGCTTACGGCTGAAGCTAGCGAGAATAAAACGTGGGTTGCCAGAAATTAGAAACACCACCAAAATTATGGAGGCTCACCAAGCGGTGTCTGGCCAGCGTTGTCGTGCCCTAACCCAAATAAGAAATGCCACGGGGTTTAGATGACAAATGGGTGACGAAGGGAATTTTTTTTTTCACTTCCACTTTTCACGATGTTGATTTTCACTGATATTGTTTCCAATGACGAGCTTGTCTCTGATGCCTTCGACATGAAGGAGGTTGATGACGCCGTCTACGAGGTTGACGCCGAGATGATCAATGTCAAGCCCGGTGCCGACGTCGACATTGGTGCCAATCCCTCTGCCGAGGAGGCTGAGGAGTCCCTGGAGGAGGGTGTTCTCCAGGTCAACAACGTTGTTTACAACTCCCGTCTCCAGGAGACCTCTTTCGACAAGAAGTCTTACATGGTCTACATCAAGGGTTACATGAAGCGGGTCAAGGCCTACCTTGAGGAGCACAACCCCGAGGAGGTTGCCAACTTCGAGAAGGGTGCCACTGCCTACGTCAAGAAGGTTCTTGGCTCTTTCAAGGACTGGGAGTTCTACACCGGCGAATCCATGGACCCTGATGGAATGGTTGTTCTGCTCAACTGGCGCGAGGACGGTACCACTCCTTATCTTGTTTTCTGGAAGCATGGTCTCAAGTCCCAGAAGATCTAAATTAATAAATATTTAGTTAATTTTCTTGGCTTAAGTCGGCATATTTGCAGCGGTTGCGGGTCGAGCGTAAAGCAATGGCGTTTGCAACATCATCAAGATGCCTTGCAAGGCCCCGCGCACGTGTCGCACGCTGCTTTTGTCTAGGATGTATGTGTAATCGGTAACTTTGCCAGTGACTCGAGAGATTAAGCTTGAATAGGGGCGAGTGTCGAGAGTAAGCTAGATAGGGACGAGTGAGTCGCACAGAACCGTCTATTCCAGCTGCCGGCATGACCCCACAACCAAGTGCCAGTGCAAGTGGCTGGGTTCCTTCCAGCCCGGGGCTGGCTCCCTCCATCCCGTGGCTACAGCTTTCTGTATACTAAAGATATTTGGCGGTACCTTGCCCAAGCACTGTATTACTTTTGCATACCTCTTGAGGCACTTACCTGTGGGTTGCCTGTGGGCTGCATGCCGAACAATGCATAAAGGCAGCTCAACCTGCTTTAATTAGATGGACCAACTGTCGCGCAAGCAATTGCAATACAGGTTTCGAAAAATAGGCCATGTGGTGATTTTGTCGTGCGTATCGACAGCTGCTGTCAGTTTGGATGGTGCGGGCATTGTGTCCAAGAGCCTCCTTTTGAGCATGGACAGCTTAAGCTGCTTGTGAGTAAGCTCACACATACATTGGACTCGAATTCAACGCACGAAATGGGCGTCTGGTGTAGTTGGTTATCACGTGCGCTTAGCATGCGCGAGGTCCCCGGTTCGATTCCGGTGTCGTCCAAATTTTTTGCAAGTTTATTGTTAGGTCGTCAAATTTCCAAGACGACATGTGTTTCAACGCAAACTTTGAACAACGCTTGACTCTATTCTGTTTTATTTTTTTCATCAAATCAGACAAAGCTGACTATCTGTTGGCGAATCGCAGTTTACGGCGCAACCTGTATAGTGGTCACGTGGTCGCTGTGGGTTACCGTTTCGCAGAACGTGTACTTTGCATGAGGAAGCAGGCTGAGAGAATCCTGGAGACGTAAATGACATCATTCGACAGCGGCAGGATTTTTGCGTTGGGTACAATTGGATTGCACTAGAATACCATACATTGCCACTGTGTCATGTGATGAGGCATATCATGAACCCTATCTGCGATTGTTCCGGCAGTAGATCTGAGATTATCTTTGTTCAGGTACATGACAAGACCAACCTCAATCATCGGAGGCCGGGAGTTTTTCATGGGATAGAGGGTTTGGGTATAACGTCTATTGCCCGTTTATGAAATGCCTGGGGAGAGTAGGCTGAGTCGCTGCTGATACGTATATATAAAAAGAGTGATAACAAAAATAAAAACGTTTGTAAACCCTCTGGCAAAGCCTCTACTATGTTCAAAAATGGCCAGTTGTCTCGTCGGAATTTTCCGGTCGCCATTTAGGTTCATGACATGACCCCGCGACATCGCGGCTACGGTGACCATCCGTGAGGCTTGCGGGGAGAAACTCTACTGCAGTGCTAGGGTTACAGTTATGTCGGTGCTGGCCTCTTAAAGCGGTACAGATGGAAAGTGGTGAGATGAGCTTGCACAACTAATGGCCACATTATCGGTTGATCTGCTGCCGATGCTGAAAGTGCATACCCGATAAGTTCTATTCTAAGCCAGATTAAGGCCTCTGCATGTCAAAATTTTTGTTATCACGGCAGCCCTATCCCTGTGCAGTTCCCCAGCGTAGAGCGTGGTGCCGTGGACAACCAAGGTTTGCCGCATTTGGATGATCATTTCTAGCAAAAGCATATAATGCTGGCACAATAGCCCAAACAAATGTAAGTGTTGCCCAAGATTTACACAAGCCACTATGACAACTTCTTCGGCGTTTCTGCGTGACCGCTCGCGTGAACACCTGTTCCTTAACCTCATGCGACTCGGCCAAGAATTTTCCTTTTAGTAATCTGGATAAGAAAACTTGGCAAGCTATATTACGCAGCTACTAAACCAATAGTTGCTTGTTTGATTGAAAAAACGTTAATATTTACAGATTAGCCCTGCGATTTAGTCCAACCTAAATCCAGTCACCTTGCTACATCTCTGCGAATTCGATCGCTTTTTCCTTTCCTTATCACTGTTATCAACTTATCACAGCCTATCGGCGTCTTCAAGCTCACAATTTTGATCTTATCGAAAAAATGGAGTGTCCTACCGTGCCTGCGTTGGTACCTGTAGCAATGGCTGGTGGTATAGAACACGAAGCTTCTATTCAGGAACGCGCTATTCCTGTGCATTCTCTGGCTGCTCCAAGCCACCCAGCCCCTGCCCCTATCAAGCTAGAGGGGCAAATGCATCCACAAGGGCCTGGTGCGTACAGTGAGCAGGAGTTGCTAGCTACGCCGGCTCAGCCAGGTCAAGCACCTATTCAGCAGGCTCAGGCTCAGCACGTTCAGCACGTTCAGCAGAATCAGCCGACTCAGCCAACTCAGTCCGCTCAACCAACTCAGTCCGCTCAGTCCGCTCAGCCAGCTCAGCCAGCAGTACAGCCGGTTCAACCACCAGCCGTCCAGCCATCAGCAGTTCGACCTATTCAAGCTGAACCCCAGCCAAACCAGATCGATCAGCCCGCCGAGCCTGTTCAGCCAGTGCATCCTGTTCAGCCAGAAGCAAATTCAGCGTCTCCAAAATCAACTGAAGATGAGTCGAAATCAGCTTCTCCAAACAGCTCAGACAAAGAGGATCTGCGCCACGAACTGCTTCGCCCGACTCAAACCATGTGCTTGAACTGTATGACCACAAACACTCCCCTTTGGCGGCGCGACGAGAATGGCAAAATCTTGTGCAATGCCTGTGGTCTATTTTTGAAACTCCATGGCCGGCGTCGTCCTATTTCGTTAAAGACAGATGTTATTAAATCCCGGAATCGCAGTCGAAACACTGGCCCCTCTCGCCGGTTCAGTCGGAAACAGGCAAGATCTCAACAGCCAGACTCTCTTAGACAGTTCCCGGGTAACCAGATGCCTACGCCGCTTGTTCCCGCTCCCACAGGTGGTCAGCAGGCTTCAGTACAGACTCAGACACCCCGAAGCCAACCCCAAGCTCCCCAACAGCACGCGCAGGCAGCCCTGGTGGCTCCCCAGGCGGTTGGCCAAACACAGCTTCCCCCTGTCACACAAGTGAGTGCGCAGGCGCAGTCCCAAGTGCAGGCAAACCAGGTAGCTGCTCAAAATGCGCAGCTTTTAAGGCAAATGCGTCAACAAATGCACCCACTCCATATGGGGCCTCCAGTTGCCGCCGGTCTCAGCCCTGCCTTGACGGCATACAATTTTTATCCGACCGGAACTCCAATTTTGGGTGCCCAGCAAGGTCTTCAGCCGATTGGCACCATGCAGCAGTCAATGAGCCCGCATTTTGGACCTCTTCAAGGCCGTCCCAGCTCTCCTCCTGATTTTCGCCTGGTGCGTGGTCATATGAGCGAGCAGCTGCTGCCCCGCTCACCGCCCGATCGTATCGCACCTTTAAATCAGGTTCATGCGACTGAGATCCAGCACACGGCCAAGCCGGCTAACAATACCCAAGAGCTGCAGACCAAGGTGTCAGAGCTCGAGGTTATCAACGACCTTTTGCGACGCAGGATCGCTGATCTGGAGTTTGCAGAGTCCAAGGCACGCAAAGAAGCTGCCGAGGCTAGAGCTCGCTTCGAGGAGCTGCAGAGCCTCATCCGCCAAGCTCCTACTCCTGCCGAGCCGGTAGTTTCGACCCCAGATCTCCCTGCGGTTCCCTCTGCCGCCAAACTAACCAACGGCGCGGTGGCCGTCGCCCACTCTGCTCCCGAGCTGGAGACCAAAGAAGTGAAGCGAATCCGTGTTGGCGAGCTTGTGTGATTTTAAAGATATAATGACTTAATGACATATACGCTGCAATGTGTTTTTACAATACTTTTTTTTGTTGACTGAAATTTTTATTCTTCAAAATGCCAATTTGCTTTTATAACACCTATTTAGCCGGAGCCTTACGATTATGAGCCATGTGCGACTTTACAAGATGACCTGCCGCCAGGGCAGAGCATAGAGACAGTTCGCCGGCCAAAACACCAGATGCAACCACACGAGCGAGTTGACGGGCATTCTCGCCAGGGTTTTCGGCATGAGGGCCCTTGACGCCAAGCATATCCAACATTGCCGCTTGAGGCTCGAGGATGGTTCCACCCCCAATGGTGCCTACTTCGAGAGAGGGCATGGTGACTGAAATTTGCAGGTTACCATCAACGTTGGCCATGAGAGTCATGCAGTTTGAACCTTCGACAACTTGAGCAGGGTCCTGACCGGTAGCCAGGAAAATCGCTGCTACCAGGTTAGCGGCATGTGCATTGTAGCCACCAACGACACCGGCCATAGCAGAGCCAATAAGGTTCTTGGAGGTGTTGAGCTCGACGAGATCGTCGACAGTCGTCTTGAGGACTTTTTGAACGAGTGCAGCAGGCACAGTGGCCTCGGCCACCACGGACTTGCCCCGGCCGTCAATCCAGTTCAGGGCAGAAGCCTTTTTGTCTGTACAATAATTACCAGAAACTGACACAACAGACATATCCTCGTATCCATGCTCCTCAGCCATAGCCTGCAATGCACGCTCAACGCCCTTAGAAATCATATTCATCCCCATAGCATCACCAGTGCGGGCGCGGAATCGAATGAAAAGAAGGGTTCCTGCCAGCGCAGTTTTGATAGACGCGAGTTTGGCAAACCGGGATGTGGACTCGAACGCCTTGCGCATAGCACGCAGGCCCTCTTCCGAATCAAGCCACCTTTTAGCTGAAGCAGCCTGGCGCAGGGAGTCGAATGTGACACAGGGGCCGCGGGTCATACCGTCTTGCAAGATTTCAGTAGTGACACCACCACCGCCGTTGATAGCTTTGCATCCACGCATTGTAGATGCAACCAGTACACCCTCGGTAGTAGCCAGAGGAAGGAAGAACTCTTTGCCGTCAATGAGAATCGGTCCTGCAACTCCCACAGGCAACGGCATATAACCAATAACATTTTCGCAGCATGCTCCAAGAACACGGTCATAATCATAGCTTTGCCAAGGCAATTTTGACGCCTCGAGGGTTTTCGTATTAGACAGACGTGATACGACTGAGCGGCGAACCACGACAGCCCGGGTAGCATCGCCAAGCTGCTTCTCAAGAGCATAAAGTGGTAACTTGCCAGACAAGCCAAGATCGACAAGCTCTTCGTTGGTTAAATCATTAGCCATGCCAGCCTTTAGAAGAGCAATGCTGTCATCCATAGAGCGCATAGGCAGCGACTCTGCACTTGGGGTTTCCAACGGGGTGACGATCGACAACTTTTCGCTACTTTGCTGGCGCTCAACAATAACAGGCACACGCTTTTCAACCACCTTGACGACGGCAGCTTGCTTGCGAATCAACCTAAGCAAATAGCCATTAAGAACCAAAGACAAAGCCAACCCGGCAACCAGGCTGCGCAGAATGGAGCTATCTTCGCGACACAAAGCCCACAGGCGGTGGATGAAGCCCTCGTCTTGAGCGCGCACAAATTTGAGGGCCGGAATCAGGGTTAAAAGCGCCGGCTCATCCTTGCGCAGAATATGGGAAGCAAAAACATTAACATCAGGTTCTCTCAGGTCAGCCGAGTCGATCCACAAAGAGATGGGGAAAGAGTAGATTTCCAACCAATTTGCAAGAACAGCTGCGATCAAGAATGCTGTTTTGAAAAGGCTAGACTTCCAAGACGGGAGAATAGGCGACTCGGCGGCTGCACTGAAGTGAGTGCCCAATGCTGCATCCGCGTACTGCTCGGCGGCCTTTTCAGAAACGCCGTCTTCCTCGAGAGCTCTCCTGATAGCATCGTTGCGCTCAACACGCATCATTGAAAGCTTGATTGAAAGGAGAGCGGCGTAAAATGTCGACAGCATGAAAACATCGACGACCAAAAGCAGGGCGCACATGGCGCAGAATTCCCACAGATCCGGGAGTCTGAAGACGACAGCGACTGAGAGAAAAGCAATTTCAATCAAGTTATCGCGCAAAAGCTTTACACCACGAGTATTGAGAACTGAGGTCACGATAACCGCCGGAGACATCTCGGGCTGCTTGCGGAGAACACGCACACACTCACGGTAAAACGAAACTTTAGTGTCGAAACCAACAACGACCACAAAGAAAGGGACACCTTGTAAAAGTACGCGCATAGGCACCGAGATACCGGCTTGGGAAACGGTCACATACGCGATCATGAACGAGAAGGTGGACGAGATGAGGGCCGAGACAAACATGAAGCCACGCGAGCCCAAGGCGCGGGCCTGACGCCAAGTCGAGAAAAAAACGTAGTACATGGCGATGTAGGCGATTCCTACTATGCCCAAATCGAAGATTGGGGTAGCGCCGACGAGGTCTTGCAAATGGTGGAAGCACCACTTCACCCACACCACCCAGGAGTAGGTATCTCTGAGGCGCCATTTCTCAACCGAGTCGCCATTATCAACTGCGAAGCTGCGCACCTTGGCCGCCCACGCAAGATACTCACTTGGGCGCACCAAAATGGAGCCTTCATCCACGACAGCCTGCTCAGGCAGAAGCGAGAGCACGTAGTCGACAGCCGTTTCGCTGGCACCCACTGAGGCAAACTGCAATGGCGCGCCTACGAAACGCGGTGCTTTTGCGTCAAAGTTTGTGGTTGGCGCCCAAGCATCCGGACCTGAAATGAGGTACGTGCGGGAGAGCGGCGACAGGAAGCTGTTCACCGACAGGTCCAGCATGGCAACATACACACCCGTCACCAACAGTGAAACCAAAACAACCGTCTGGATAGGCCATCTGGCAGCTTTGTCTGCTAGACGGGCAAAAGCCGTGACTTGCATGATGGTAAGCATTTTCTACCCAGGAGAAACCCCAAATCACGAACTGAATGCAGCCACAAAATGCAGTGCGAACTGAAGTTGAGGTGCGGGGATTTTTTTCAATTTGGCGTTGCTGTCTTTAGTTATATAAAATAGATATCCTTGGAATACAGACAAACTTTTTTCCTTTTCAGCTCAGGTTTTTGAGCCGGTGCGCCAGGCTTTTTTTCAGATGAAATCTTGCAAGGGAAAGGGCAACATTAGACAGTGGTCACGTGACTATGGTGGGTGGCCGAATCGAGGCCTGCCTGCTACTGCTGCTGGCCTCAGTTTAGTGTTCGGGGCGCTTTCGCAGCTGGCCCTGAATGAATAGCGGGACCTCTTCTGATTGCGGTAGTTCGATTTCTGTGAATTGCGGAGGTAGTGAGCTGGTGACGCGCAGCTTGTTGGCGAACGCTACGTAGACGTCATTGCCGTCAACTGCTACAGCCGTGATCTTATCGTTGGTCTCGTACTCGGCAACAAGCTCGAGATTCGGTGCCGACACCCGGAGGATCTTGGTCGTGCCCTCGACAACAAGGAGGATGTCGCCCTGGTACTCGACCAGAACAGACACATCGATCTCCTCGAGGCCCAGATAGTACTGTCTGAGAGCGAATTGGGCAACTTGCTCGCCAGACTCTAGATCCCACGAGCAAACGTAGTCGTCACCGCCGCCAGACACAAGAGTCTTTCCTACCAGGAGCAGCTGCCGGATGTACTGCTTGTGGCCGAACAAGAACTGCTCGATCACGTAGGGGTGAGCCAGCGAGGACACACGGATGTGCTCGTCACGGTCGCCGGTGATGATCCACTTGTTGTCGTATACCTCGACATTGAGCAGCATTGAGACATGACCGAGGATGGGCTCGATTTTCGCCTGTCCTTTCTCGTCACAAACAGGCTCGGTCGAGTAGAGCGGCACCTGGTACACATCCCCGAACTTATCGCCCACCAGCGCGGAACTGCCCGCAGTAGTGACAGCAGACGGACGCTTGGGGAATACTCGGGCAGAAACGACGTCCAGATCTTGTGTGTACACGACCAATTGCTTGCCGTAGTGGTCGATACCAAGCCAGTGCTTGTTGTCTGGGGTAACTGCCAAAGCATCGACAAAGTTGGCATTGCCCTTGGGTGCGGCCGACTGGTCGACCGTGACCTGCTTGGTGACAGCGCCGTTTTCGACCGTCAGCAGCCTGCTGCCTAGACCAACAACAGCCTTGCCGTTTTTTGCGACGATTGAATGGGGCATGGTGAAAAAAAATCTTAACTAAGCGATTTTTTCAGATCCAAAAACCCGTGGGGTTGGGAAATACCAATACGGCAGTTGCAGAATAATGATACGGGGCCAGATGAGGCCAACCTAGGAACAACCAGGCGCCGGAAAAATTTAGGGAAACTCTATCCCCTGTGCGTCTGACCTAACCCTTGTCCAGTGGTCGGTTAAGACACTGCGCAGAGGCTACTAAGCGGGGGAAACCACCATGCTCGAGAACGGCTGGTTTCGAGAAGAAAACGAGTCGTGGAATGGGCAGAGCCTGTCTCTGCAGGTCGACAAGGTGCTCTATGTGGGCAAGACGATGTTCCAGGATGTTTTGGTATTCAGGAGCACAAACTACGGCAACGTTCTCGTGCTGGACGGGGTAATTCAGGCTACCGAGCGTGACGAGTTCGCCTATCAGGAGATGATTTGCCATTTGCCGTTGATGTCGCACCCCAATCCGAAAAGAGTGCTTGTTGTTGGTGGTGGTGACGGGGGCTGTTTGCGGGAAGTGGTCAAGCATGCTGGCGTTGAGACGATAGAGATGGTGGAAATCGACCAGACGGTCGTCGACCTCGCCAAAAGGTTTCTGCCAAACATGGCCTGTGCATTCGACAACCCGCGCGTGACGCTACACATTGCCGACGGCTTTGAGTTTTTGGCAAACAACCAGTCCAAGTACGACGTTATTATATCCGACACCTCAGACCCCGAGGGGCCCGCTGAGAAGCTGTTTGAAGAGAGCTACTTTCAGCTGCTTTCCGACGCTCTTGCTCCGGGCGGGATTGTGGCAATGCAGGCCTCGGAAAATGTGTGGCTCAAGCTTGATATTCTCAAAAGCCTGCAGGAGCGATGCAAAAACGTGTTCCCGACCGTGAACTACGCTACGGTCTGTGTGCCGACCTACACGTCTGGCCAGCTGGGGATGATGATCTGTGCAAAAGACCCACAGACTAATTTACAAGCCCCGGCCGCCAAAAAGCATATCCCAGAAGATGTTCGCTACTACAACGAGGGCATTCATAGGGCGAGCTTTGTGCTCCCCACATTTGCTAAAAAGTACATAAATAATTAGCCAAAGATATCGTCGATGGCGTCTCGTTTTTTCTTGCTTTTTTTCTTTTTCGGTTTGGCCGGCTCGGGCTTTTTCGCGGCAACCACAGGCGTAAAGTCTTCAACAACCTCTCCAATGTCCTCCAAGGTCGGCAGCTGGGTTTTGCGACGCACGTCCACCATGGGAACCTTGGGAACCAATGGCTCTAAAATCGACCATATTTTAGCCAGTGACGCCAACAGAGCAAATCCCAAGGTAATGAACGCACCTTGAGCCAAAATGCCGTGAAAGCACCGGTATGCCTGGGGAATCAGCCGCTTGACAAGATAGCTGCATACTGTGGGATCAAACTTGACTGCAAGCTGGCGGACCCGGCGGTGCAGAATCCGGAGGTACTTCCACCATCTTTGCGAGCGATGCTGGCGAAGGTTTTTGTAGTATATCAGGTGCAGAATCTCATACTCACTTTTTAGGCCCGCTCGATCCATAAGGTAAGCTTTGGCTATCATTATTTATTTCATAAATGGCAGAGGAGGCTATCCGGCTATTTCAGCTTGCGGGCGAGCTGGAAGGCCAGGGAGAAATGAAAGAGGCGGTAAAGACGTATAAACAAGCATTCCGGCTGCGAGACGACGTGGACGTGCTGTATCGAAAGATGAGAATGCTGGAGATCGGTCAACCGGAAGACAAAGAAGCCGCGGAGAAACCAGAAATCCAGCCCAAGGGCGAGTGCTATTTGAGCCGGCTGCCTACCGAATTGATTGCCAAGATCCTTTTCTACCTTGCACAGGACTCTCTCAAGGCCTACAAGCGGGCCCAGAAATCAGGGCGAGTGTTTTGGATCCCCCACGACAGCGCCCTGTTTTGGGAGCCCATGTGCCTTGGTACCTATCAGGATGCAGCCCTACATGTGCACAAGTATATCAGCTGGTACGAAATGTTCCGGAAAAGACCAACAATGCGCTATGACGGGGTGTATGTGGCCACCTGCAGGTACTATCGCGAGGGCGAGCAGGAGGGGTCCTCGTGGTTCCCGCCGACAATTGAGGTTATTTATTATCGATATTTGCGTTTTCTGCCCAACGGGTCGCTCCAGTCGTTACTTTCAAACGACTCGCCAACTACAATGCTGCCGTTTCTCGACTCGCCAAAGGCCTTTGAGGGCAAGTGGGAGTTGGATGCAGAAACCGGTGAATTAAAAATCGAGACCCGAGGGCCCGTCAAGCACTACATTCTGCATATGGACCTGCGAGTCATGTCTTCGGGCGGCAAGCTGCACAACAAGCTGAAGTGGCAAAATTACCGGTTTCTGAACACTCTACAAAACTCCTACGGCGAGTTTGACCTCAAAAACGATAAAAGCTTCTTCTTCCACCGCGCCTGAGGTTGGGACAACGCCGTGCGTAATCTTCCCAATGGACTTTTGCCGGTTCATGGATGAGCACCCCACGGTGTATCACTTTGTGGAGGGGCTGAGACATAAACTGGATGCCGCGGGATTCAATGAGATCACCGAACGTGATCTCGCTCGCATCAGACGCGGCGGCAGGTACTATCTGACCCGCAACGGCACTAGTCTCGTAGCGTTCGTCGTGGGGTTGGACTTTATTCCTGGCCCGGACGGGGCTAATGTGGTTGCCACTCATGTCGATGCAAACCGGTTGACATTGAAGCCCTCCTCAATCGCCAGCTCAGTTATGGGGTACCTTCAATTCGCCACCGCGCCGTACGCAGACGGCGCCAATGCCAGTTGGATGGATCGCGATTTAGGGCTCGGCGGACGAGTGGTGGTAAAGCAGAACGGCGCAATTGCCTCTAAATTAGTCCGTCTGCCTGGTGTGATTGGTTCGCTGCCGACTCTCGCTCCGCACTTTGGTGCCATGCCGGCCAACCTCGAGCAAAAGCCAGTGGTTGCAAGCAGCGGGACAGAGCCTGAGGCTACCGATGAAGAAAAGCATGCTCCACTATACGGCAAGCACTCTTTGCGACTGCTGAGGGCTGTTGCAAAGGAGGCTGGCTGCAAGGTCAACCAGATTCTCGAGTGGGATATGGAGTTTTTCTCTGCCGAACACGCTAAAATCGGCGGACTGGACAAAGACTTGATTTATTGCTCTCGTATGGACGACAAGTTGTGCTCATATGCGGCTATTGATGCTCTATTAGCAGCACCCGAAGCAGCACACGTGTTGCAGATTGCCGCCCTCTACGACAATGAGGAAATCGGGTCAGAGACCCGCCAGGGTGCCAAGGGTAATCTGCTCGACGTTGCGTTGACTGCGGTTTTTGACTCGCTCAATGCAACCATTGACGAGCGGCGCCAAACAATTGCAAACTCGTATCTGGTTAGTGCAGATGTTACGCATGCCGGGAACCCCAACTACGCCGACGCCTATCTTGAACACCACGTTCCTCTCCTAAACACCGGCGTTGCCGTCAAGCGGCTTGGTCGGTTTGCAGGATCAGGCGTAGATGCCGGCGTTGCCCAGCTCATTGCTGCACGCTGCCACCAGAAACTTCAATATTTCGCCCCGCGCAATGATACGCGCACGGGCGGGACCATTGGTCCCATGCTGGCCGCCTATACAGGGATCCCAACCGTAGACGTGGGCATCCCCATAATGAGCATGCATTCGATCCGGGAGATCACCGGTGTAAAAGATGTCACATTAGGTACAAAATGGTTTGCTGCCTTTTTTGCCCAGCCAATTTACATAGCTAATTAAGCATCGTCTTCTTCGAACGGAGCCAGCTTGCCGGCTGGTTTGCCAGCGGGCACAGGCACGGTTCCTGTTGAGTGTTTACGATCCAGGCCGGGACGCTCGTCTAGAACCGGTTTAAGCGGGGGCGAATGCGGGGGCGACTGTGGGGCCGGAGGTTTAGCAGCAGCCTCGACGTCAGAATCTTCGTCTTCGTCTTCTTCGTCGCTACTTGCAGCACCAAGACTGAATCCTTTGCTGGGCGGCTTGTCGCCGGTAGCAGCAGTCAATGGCGAGAGACCGGTGAGTTGGGCGATCTTGGCCCGACGGGCGGCCTCTTTAGCTTCGGGGTCATGGTACTTGTTGCCCTTGACGAGCTTCTTGACGTCAACAATGATTTCCTTGAAGCGATTATAAGGGATGTAAGGAATCATGTTTTCAATACAGTACTCCTCCAGGGCCAAGCCCCGGCGAGCGAACAGGATGTCTGCCTGAGAAGCCGCCGCCAGGTCGGACACACCGTCGCCCAAGAACACGACTTTGGGCTGCACGCCCTCGACGCTGTCGCGGAACTCCTGCACACTGCGGGCCTTGTCATGTCCCAGCTCGGAGTCGTGGCGCCAAATAGGCTTCCAGACTGTGCCATCTTCGGAAATCTCGCCGTCGTTGGACACGATCTTGATCTTGGCGCTCTTCTCCTTGCCGAGGAATTCGTCCAGCGCGGCGCGGAGCAGCGGCTTCATGCCAGCAGAGATGACGGTGAACGGGATGTCGTGGGTCTGCAAGTACTCGAAGAACGTGTAAAAGTCCGGATCAATCGTGAGCTTCTTCTTGAGCTCGGCAATCGCCTCGGGGAGCGTAACGTTCAACGAGCCCCACAGCTCCTCAGAAGCGGCCCTAAACGACATTGTCTTGCCAATTGATTTGTCGAGACGCTCGCGCTGCTCAGGACCACAGCCGAATTTGTCAAACAGCACATGGCCTGTGTCCTGGAAAAAGATCGTGCCGTCGAAATCGGAAAACACGGCGATAGGCCGGTCTTTTTCTGCCAACGCCGCCAGATTGCCACTGCTGGGGCGCGGAATTGACAGGTTTTGCAGAATCACTGGCTGGGGAGGTTGGGTCATGGGTGGGTAGCAACTACAAACGTTTCTGAGGTATCTAATTAGGTGGGCAAGTCTGGGGTGTAGGGTACCTTATAACCCACAAAAGGCTTGGCAGGCGGCAAACCAGCTCAACCGCGCAAACACAGCACGTTTCCCCCTAGCCATTTTTTCCGGCTGTCGTTGTTTTTTGGCCCGCCTAAACGGGCGTCCGCGGCGCAGCGGTATTGTTTTCTCGTGATTACGTTTTTGCAGCAATGAGCGTTAGTTTGGACGGTCCGACCAAAAAGTCGTTTGGGCAAAATGTGATTATTCTGACGAGATCAAACATTGTCAATGTGCTGCTGCCGTTTGTGCCAATTGGGATTTTCGCTGGCTATATGGGCTACGGGGCCATTACCGTTTTCGTGACCAACTTTTTGGGGATCGTGCCTCTGGCCGGGCTGCTGGCGGACGCCACGGAGATTCTCGCGGACTCTATGGGACAGACTATTGGCGGATTGCTGAATGCTACATTCGGCAACGTCGTCGAGCTGATCGTCGCAGTTGTCGCTCTCAAAAGCGGTGAAATCCGTCTGGTGCAGACGTCGATGCTGGGGTCGATTCTCAGTAACTTGCTACTGGTGCTGGGATGTGCGTTCGTGGCCGGCGGTTACAACCGTCTGCAGCAGTCGTTCAACATGACTGCAGCGCAGACCATGTCATCGCTGATGATGGTGTCGATCGTTTCGTTGCTGATCCCGGCTGCATTTGTGTTTGCAGTCCCCGGGGCGTTGACGAGCGACATTGTGCGAATTTCCCGCCAGTCGTCCATTATTCTGCTGCTCATCTACGTGCTTTACCTGATTTTCCAACTGCACACCCACCGGCAATTTTTCGAGGGTGACACCCAGGCCGTTGAAGAAGAACGCAGGCCCGACGCATCCTTCTCGCGTGCGGAGTGCATTACTTTGCTGGCTATTATCACGCTTGCAGTTGCAGTGTCTGCAGATTACCTTGTTGCGTCAATTGACAGTTTGGTGGAGGTTACAGGCATTTCAAAGACGTTTGTGGGTATGATTTTGTTGCCGATCGTCGGTAATGCCGCAGAACACGTAACAGCAATTCTCATGGCGATTCGCAACAAGCTCGACCTGACCATGAACGTTGCAGTGGGCTCGTCAATGCAGATCGCCCTGTTCCTGCTGCCCTTCCTTGTCGTGCTCGGCTGGTGCTTAGATCAGCCCATGAGCCTGTACTTCCATGGCTTTGAAACCACAATCATGTTTGTGTCGGTGCTGCTGGCCAACTCGCTCATCCAGGACGGCGAGTCCAACTGGCTCGAGGGCGTGATGCTCATTGGTACCTATACAATTATTGCCATGGCGTTCTTGTCCTACCCCAACATCGAGACCGACTTCTGGTCGGCAATTAGAAAGTAGGTATTTAATTATCTTTTCGAGGCTTGTCGATTTCCGCGGGACGGTCGTTTTCTTTGAGGGATTTCAGCTCTTGGTCGAGCATGGCGAACTTTTCTTCAACCGACAGCTTGGTGATATCAATTAGGGATGCGTGCGGGATAGTGATCGGATCGTCCTGGTTATTGGCCACTCTTTCGGCCCAGTCAAGCTGTTTAGGCGTAGCGTCGTGGCGCACATACGGCGACCCGATCCGCTGCTGCTTGCTTTTTTCCATCCGGGCTCGCCAAATCTGCCACGCCGGATCCTGGTCTGGCTCGACCCACTCAAAGCCGTCGCCTCCTCTAGCCCAATATTCTTTGATCAAAAGCTCGTCTTCGCTTTCCACTGTTTCAAGGTCTCGGGCTTGGAGCTCCTGGAGCATTTTCACAGCACACTCGCCGTGGTTCTCCGGAAGCGACCGGTTCATTTCGGCCATCAGCGAGGCCATTTTCAGCTCGCGAGCCCGCTGGGATCTTTGGGTAAGAAGTACGCCCTTGGACCATCGAAGCACCTCACCAACGCCCGATTTGGAGTTTTGACGGGCCAGTGTGCCATACACAGACACCGCCAACAAATATGTAGCGGCCATAGACAGAACCATTCCACGATTCTCGGTCCAGTCACCAACCAGCCCGCTGGCTAAAAGCTTGTCCAGCCCAAATAGTGCTGCACCCATACCGGCTGCCCAAAGAGCCACGATTTTGTATATTCTCCGGCCGGCTACGGCCTGGTGCGGGCTCTTGCGCCCACTTGTGAGATCGAGAATGCGAAATGCCACGTCAAAGTCGCAAAAGTATGTCGCTCTTCGAAACGGAATCATGGATACAGTCTCGGATAATGCAGTTTGGGGGTTCTGTTTATTGTATGCCTGGAGAGCCAGGATGCTGGCGGTCGCACTGGGCGGTGGCTGTGCAACGAAAAATGCTTTGAGAGTAGGTTCGTCGATTTTGAATTTATCAAGAGCCTCTTGGAGTACATTGCGGGCTTCTTCCACTGACTTTTCAGATTGGCCCAGGGCCTCGGCGGTGCTGCTAGCAATGTGATCGTTTTCCAGCTTCGCGCACGCCCGCAGGGCCTCACTGGGCTTTATCGTGGCCGCCGCTATTTTTGTTCTTAGCGACGCCACATCAAGAGAGCCCAACGTCGAGTTGAATCTCAGGAACCTCTTCATGGAAATTTTCGGTTAGCTAATCGCGATCGCAGAGAAGGCGATTAAAAAGGCGGTTAGATCTATGTTTATAAAGTAGGACTGCACGGGAAAGCTATGTTAATTTTGAAAGAGTCTCCAGCAAAAAGCTGCCAAACTCGGGGTACGGTGAGCCAGTCACCATTTTGACTTTGTTTCCACTGCCCGACATATGCCACCGGTGATAGTCATGGGGGTTGTTGTCAATTGAGCCGCGAGAACGATCGTCAGTAAGGGTTTTACCCAGGCACCAGCTGCCTGCAGACTCTACGCGGATGTCCAGTTCCTCCAGAGTCCAGCCGTTTGCCGGATCAATGCTGTAGGCTGCAGTAAGCGGGTCGTGCATCTGCAGCGGGGCATCGGGCCAGCCGTAGACCACTTCCATTTTCTCCAGCGACAGCTTTGTCCAGATTTTGACCCATTTCAAGAGCCACGACCCCGGGTGGCGGGCAATGCGGCTGTCGAGCACCTGCTCGATCTCCTTGCTGGTCATGACATGCTTGGTAGTAATGTCCAGCGGGAAAATCGTGAGATCAAGAGGTTTAGGCAGCTGTAAGTAGGACTCAGAGGTGCCTGTCGGCAGCATTTCCTGAGGACGCAACGACGTCAGAGCATAGACAATAGACGCAGCCAACGGATCAGCAAACACATTGAACTCCGCAGCCGGCGTGATGTTACCGGTAATCCTGACTGCTCCGCCCATGCTGAGGATTTCTTTGACTCGCGAAAACGTCTGGGGATCTGCAGCCGCTGCCTTGGCCACGTTCGTCAACGGTCCTACTGCCAAAATGGTCACCGTGTTCTCTGGCTCGGATCGGAGGATGTCCAGAATCTCTAGGTGAGACTCCTGCCTGCCAATGCGGAACGGAAAGGTCTCTTCTGGCTCTTTTGCACCGGGACTGAACATCTCAACCCACTCTTTGGGACAGGTGTACTCTGGGTGAGTCTGGTGGCTTCCGCCGAGACCGTCGTTGCCGTGCACGTCGGTTGCGTTCACGGCTTCGACCCCGTTCAGAGGATGCCGACTGCCCAATGCAATAATAGGGCGCTGATCAGTATATTCCGGGAGCCCAATTGTTGCGCGGTACTCATTTTCTTTGCCGACAACATAGAACAGACTGAGTGCGTTGACCAAAGTGGCCTCGAGGGCGCAGTTTCCGTAGGTCAGAGAAATTAGTTTGAGCTCTGCCGTTGCCTTGGGGGTCGCCAGCAGCAGCAGCAGCGCGAGCATATCATCGATTCCGGGATCAGTGTCAATAATGAGCGGCATCTTTGAGTAAGCATTTCCCCGGTGCGCGGCTCTAATAAGAGGGTCGCTGCATATTGTTGAGGACCGGGTCGAAATCACAAAAAATCGCAAAAAATCAAATGGCCGTCGTCCTACGCGGCTGCCTCTGCCGTCCCTCGATACTGCAATCCTAACCTTCTGCTGCGCAGGCTTTCCCCGCGTAGAATACCCCAGGCTGAGTCAATGAAAAGTTTCCGTTATGGCTGAACCGATTAATTCGAACCCGACTGTATTGGAAGAGTGGCAGCTGCCGACGCGCGCAGAAACCAAAAACGACTGCGTGGAGCTCGAGCTAGGGGAGCTCGCAAGGTTCTCGCTGTTCTCGCCGCCACCTATTGCTGAGCCAGAGGCGGACGCCCCGGAGCTGACGGACGACGAGATCGAGCCTATTGACGCCCAGGAGATCTTCGACCTGATCGCGAGCATTTCGGATCCCGAGCACCCGCTTACCCTCGGCCAGCTGGCGGTGGTACAGCTTGATCGCATCTATGTGACCGATACCGGCAGTCCGGACGAGATCGCAAAAGTGCATGTGGAAATCACCCCTACTATCACGCATTGCTCGCTGGCCACCCTCATTGGTTTGGGCATTCGCGTCCGTCTCGAACGCAGTCTTCCCCCCCGCTACCGCATCAAAATCACCGTCACGCCCGGGTCGCACCAGAGCGAAGAGCAGGTCAACAAACAGCTGAACGACAAAGAACGGGTTGCTGCCGCTTGTGAAAATGAGCAGCTAGTCAAAGTCATTTCCCAAATGCTCGCCACCTGCAAATAACCGACTCCTCCATAGTCTGTATTTATTACTTAGCACCTGCCATGAAAGTCGTCGCAGTGAGCGGACCGTCGTGTAGTGGCAAGACGACGCTGGTCAAATACTTGCACCAAATATTGCCAGACGCCCACACCATATTCGAGGACGATTTTTATCTGCCCGACAGCGAGATCCCAAAAACCAATGGCTTGGAAAACTGGGACTGTCCAGAGGCATTTGACCTGGCCAAAATGGCACAAACGCTCAGCCATGCCCGCGAAAACGGCACGTTGCCGCCCGAACACAAAAGTATAGAAGCAGCCAATGCTATGGGGCCCGTCCGGCCCTCGCCCGAGGTCGTGGCTCGGCTCAAAGACCGCGTCCAGCACATCAAAGAGCCTGTGGTTCTTGTGGACGGGATTATGCTTTTCCACAAATCAAGTCCGGTTCTGGACGAGTTCGATCACAAAATCGTGTTGTTCACCGACTACGCGACCTTGAAACAACGGCGAGAAAGCCGGTCCGGGTACGTCACCATCGAAGGGTTTTGGCAGGACCCGCCGGGCTACTTTGACGACATTGTCTGGCCAGAGTACCTTAAAAACTACGGCTTCCTCTACGAAGGAGAGCCTGGCACAGAACTGAGCAAAGCAGCCCGACAACAGGCGATTGTCGCCCCGCCGTCGCGTGAGCTCGACGCCCTGCTCACGTGGGCAGTAGATTTGATACTAGAATAGTTTAATAGAATCGATAGATAGAAGCTTGCATTTAGGAAGTGGCCTGCGCGTAGCCGAGCTCCGTCGAGGCCTTCAGCATGTTCTCACGAACTTTGGCAATAAGACTGTCCACATCAGCAGCGGTCAATCCCTTGGTAGGCACTGGATCAAGCACACGAATGGGCACTGTGCCTGTGGAAATGTGGTTGTGCGGCTGGCTCCAAATTCTAGAGTAGTTGGAGACTACAATGGGCACGACGGGCAACTGGCTCTGGATAGCAAGGTGGAAAGCACCTTTCTTGAAGGGCATCATTTCAGGAGAAAATGCGTGAGAACGGGTGCCCTCAGGGAACATGAAAACGCTCTGCTTGTACTTTTTGATTTCGACCTTGGCGTCTTCGAAGGCTTTCAGAGCATTGGCGCGATTCGTGCGGTTGAGAAAGACAGAACCAGACGCCCACATGAACCATCCCAAGAACGGATAGTACTTGAGGCTCTTTTTGGCCGTCACAGAAGTGTATGGAGGGAAAATGGCACCCAAAACAAGCACATCAAGCATGCTCTGGTGGTTGGAAATAAACACAGCCGGGCGCGTGTTGGTGAGGGTCTCGGCATTCTCAACCTTCATGTGAATCCCCATAACAACACTAGTGAGACACAAAAAGAAGCGGGCCACGAGGTGCTGGACCAGCCGCCGCTTGCCCACAAACACCAGAACCGCACTCAACAAAACGCCATACGTCGCGGAGATCAGCACACACATCACATAGGCTGCCATACGGCCATAGTACTTGAGGGGCTTGATGAACCCCAAATAAGAAACAAACAGAACGCCGCCAACCGACGCGGCCGCCGTCTTCAGCAACGATCCGATCCCCATCTTTGGGCAATCTAATTAGTTACAAGGGATTGGGATTTCGGTTGGGTTTCGGGCACAATGGCTCCATGTGTTTCAGGGTTAGGTTACTATCGTGGGGGTAGCGGGCTTTCGCGCGGCTTATTTACTTATTGTGCTTCTTTTTAGACTTTTTGGCCTTGGCCATCTCCTCATCGTAGATGTCGGCTGCCTTCTCCTTGCGTTTCACGTCTTTCTTGACCGCCACGCGGCCGCTCTTGGCGCCCTTGGCCAGATCGCTGGCGCCAATGTCGCCAGAGATGGTGTATTTAGACAGATCGAGCGAGTTGATCAGCTCCCGCTTTTTGTAGCTCTCGTCGTCGCCGCTCTCGTCGTTCTGTGGCTGGTCCTGTGCCTCCGGTGCCGCCTCAAACACGTCGTCGTCGTCAACCGCGTCGTTGATCTCTGGCATCTCGGCTTCGAACGCATCCGCCAGCACTTGCCGGAAGAAATTCGACGTCTTGCGAACAAGCTTGGCAAACATGGCCAGTGCCTGGCTAACGGGCAGGTTCAGTTCCGCCGCAACGTCCTCAATGTGCTTCTTCTGCAACCCCATGCCCAACAGAATAGCTTGCTGGACACTGCTAAGAACAAATTGCTTGGGGAAGTAGCCGACAAAGTAGTTGAAGGCCACAATTGGAATCAAGTCGGTGATAACATGGTGATCGATACGACTTTTTGCGTAAGAGTCTAGTCGCTTGAGATCAAACGGCGACAAGTTGTCGTCTAGCCACTGCTTGGAGCTGATCCGAGCATCAACCTCCGCGCCTTTGGTGGCGGCTTCAATAACCGACAACGCCTGTGATGCAGCAAATTCCTTGAACTGGTAGGATAAAAGCTGCAGGAAGCGGCGGCCAAAGTCCTGTGAAAACTCTCCCAGCCACTTTTGGTGGTTATCTCCGAGGGTCTTCAGCATAATACAGGTGTGCTCTCCTGTCAAATCATTGGCAGTTTGACGAAGGTATACAGGAGCATAACCACCACGCTTCCAGAACCTGAACAGTTGGTTGGTGAGGCCAAAAGAAACACCCAAGTATTGCAGGCGCTCTGGCTGGACTTCGTTCAGTCGCATCAGCAGCGGCGGCATCGTTTTGGGGTCCCGAGATTTGACAACATCCGTAAGAAGCGAGACATTGGTGAGCTCTTTATCGTTTACACGGGGCGACACCTCGTAGTCGTGGTGATACAGCTGTGTTTTCGTATCATCGAGATTGGTGAATTTGCCCTCGAAAAAGTCCTGGAGCAGCTCTAGAGCACGTGCACCATATCCCATACTCATATAGTCAGGGTTAGTAGCGATACGAACAACGCGTCCACCGCTCAAGGAAGCAAACTCGTCGTCCTGGAACTGCTGTGAAACGACCCATGGAATCAAATCACCTCCACCCCGCTTTCCGGCTGCCAACGAGTTCAAAATTGACTGCTTTGAAATCTGGCCCTCCAAAGCTACTTGAATGACACACAGAGGCTCAGGAAGCTTGCCGTTGGACTGGTCGACAGGTGGGAGAAGACAGTAGAGCTGGTGAGCAGGAGCGTCGCTCAGCAGCTGCAAGTCGTTTGGTGTGTTTTTGTAATGAGATGCAACATAAAGCGCCATAAGCTTGTGCAAAAATGCCTCACTCACTGGGTGGAACGAAAACAAAGTGTTGCGGTTAATTGCGTACAGATCACACTCACTAGGATGAGGGAATCCCTTTGTGGTCGGATTTTGCGGGAGCGTCGCATCAAGACACAAAAGTTTGTTCAGCCAGGCTTCAGTAGGATCGTTGCGAGCATATCGGATCGGCTCGTCTAACTGAATCTCCCGCAATGTACGGTTAGCAGTGCCGGCTGCAGCCTGTTGACGAAGCTGAGAGATAAGCTTCAACGAGAGTGATCGGCCAGTACCCTCGTAACCGTTGATTGTGGAGGCCATGAATACAAGATAAGGACCAAGAAGCTTTTTGACGACAGGCAAAGGGATTGCCGCAGCCTCATCAATGACAACAAGCTCGGCCTGACCGAGAACTTGGGAATCCTGCGGCTGGATGTACTGGATTGTTTGACGGTGCGTTTTGAACACATTAACTCGAACAATCGCTTTGTTGAATGCCGGGTTGGTTGATTGAATAATGTCATAGTCCTGATGCTCCTCGAAACCAAGCGCATCAAAGCCTTTAAAGATAAACTCAAACAGAGTTTTGAGGTTCTCGGGCGACGGAGATGTAATAAAGATATTAGAGTAGCCATGAGCGATTGCCGAAGCGACAGCAAGGCCAATTGCCGCAGACTTGCCCCGACCACGCCCAGCTGTCAATGCAACTGTTGATTTGAGAGACTTTTCTCCAACCGCATCAATGAATGTCAAAACCGCTTTGGCCTGGTCAACCGTTTTGCACAGTTTGGCCAAGGGATAAACACTGGGCACTTCCTCCAAATTGGATACAAGTTGACGGAGCTCTCTGACGGACGCGGGGGTATCTTCTTCCTCATCGAACGGAGGTAACGGCTTGACCCCGCGAGCACCTGAGATGGGCAGAACGTTTAGCTCGTCATCGACGACCAAACAATTCGGGTTCGAGCCCAGGGAGAGAATGAACCGCTCATTAAAGCGAGCAACAACGTCATCGTGTGCCTCGGTTCTGTAACGAGAATGCACATCCATGGTCATAGAGTACAGCTGCTTGAGGCTGGTCATGCTCTTCAGTAATAATACAACCAAACCACCACCCTGGACGGTTTCAATTGTTCTGGCCAAAATATTCGGCGTGATGGCCTCGAAATCTTGCAACACACACATACCATAGGTGTTACCGAGGATATTCTCCGTCTCTTTGTAGTAGACGTAGCGGATGTTCTGAAGAGACACAAAAAGCTCGAACGGGTCCTCGCTGTTGGCCTCACGAATGCCGCGCTTGACCTCCTTCTTGATCTTTGTCTCGCGCTTCTTGCGGTGCGACGTGAACCCGAGCAATTTGTTCTTGTACGCCCACAGCACAGACTTGTTCATGGACAGATCTGCCGACGACATGAGATAGTGCAGGTTCGGCAGCTGGTTGCGGGACTTGTCGCCCACAATTACAATGAAACTGCGCTCCTTCGTTTGCACACCATTGCGAATCAACGCAGGAATGCGGCTGTCAATTTTTTTCTGCGGCATACCAGGCAAGATTGGTTAGCTAATTTTTTTTGGAAAACTTATCACTTAATCAAAAATCGACGATGCCGCTGATTTCCGCCTCTATAGTTTACTTCTTTATACTTTTTTTTTCCTAGCATACTGGTGTACCGCTTCTACCGTCATTTCGACTGCCACACAGCACAAAAGCACAGGACAAGTGCGCCTAATGCACCTCGACCTCGAATTTTTCACCTTATATAAGGGAGCTCGGTTTTTTTTTCTTTCTTTACAAACCCAGGCTCTTTGACTGGTTGATCTCAACCCCATCTTCCGGACTCTCTAACCTGGCAGATTAACTCCAAAAGAATTTCAATTCCGTGCGTCTTCGATCAGAGGCACTCGACTTTTGGTTCTTTTTGTACATGCATAGGTTGTCTAAATATTTGAATTTCATGTCTAAACGGATTCTCTCACCCCCCGCTACGCCCGCGCCCGCTCAAGCTGGCAAGAAGCGCCGCTTCAAGAAGTTTAAACCAAAGCCCATCGATCCCACTTCTGTCGAGGGTGTTCTGCGCAACGATGTGGGTGACATGCTTGACAAGTTGGGCATCGACAAGGACGGCGCCAAAAACGATATGGATGCGTTCTTCAATCGCGACAGGTCTCTGCCCTGGCCGCTCCACAAAACAGTAGATCTGGAAATCGAAGCCCTGTCCTCTACGGGCGTTGGCCTAGGTGTTCACGACGGCAAAGCGGTCGTTGTTCCCTACGCAATTCCGGGCGACAAGGTTCGCACAAAGATCTACCGCACCGAGGAAAGCTATTTAGAGAGCGAGATTTTGGAGATTCTCACTCCTTCCAAAGATCGCAACGATGATCTGAGCAGTTGCCGCTACTTTGGTCGCTGTTCTGGCTGCCAGTATCAAATGACAAAGTACGAGTATCAACTCGATGCAAAGCGTCAGGTTGTGGTTGATGCCTTCCGCCACTACGCTCCGGAGCTGTTCAAGTCTGGAAAGCTACCTGAGATCAGCAAAACTGTAGGCTCGCCTTTGCAGTACGGATATCGCACAAAACTCACTCCGCACTTTGACGAGCCTCGTAAAACCAAACAAGGGCTGGTTCCTATTGGGTTTGGCATGAAGGGCCGCAAAGACATTCTGGATATCGAAGAGTGTGCCATCGGTACTCCGGTGGTCAACGATGGTATGAAGAGAGAGCGAGCGCTTGTTCTGGAAAACATTGCATCTTATAAACGCGGAGCCACGATCCTGCTGCGGCAAGATCAAAAGGAAGATGGTACGCTCGTGTGTACTACCGATAACAAGGCTATTATCACTGAGAATGTTGACGGCTTTGTCTTCAAGTACCCTGCCGGAACATTCTTCCAAAACAACAACTCTATTTTGCCCTTGGTGACAAGCTTTGTGCGGGAAAACATCAAAGTCCGCGGCGAGGCTCCCAAGTTCCTGGTCGACACTTATTGTGGAAGCGGCCTTTTTGCCGTCACATGCTCATCTGCGGTTGAGCGGGTGATCGGGGTCGAGATCTCCAAGGAATCTGTCGAGTACGCTACAACAAATGCAAAACTCAATAATATCGCCAACGCCGAGTTCATAACTGGGCAGGCGGAGCGCATCTTTGAGCACGTCTCGCAGGAGCCCGAAAATACCGCAGTCATCCTCGATCCCCCTCGCAAGGGCTGTGACAAGCTGTTTTTGGACCAGCTCATCGCCTTCAAGCCAGCCAAGGTCGTGTATGTTAGCTGCAACGTCCACAGCCAGGCCCGTGATCTTGAATATTTAATGCAAAACAGCTCCTACAAAATCGAGTCTTTGGGTGGCTTTGATTTCTTCCCTCAAACATACCATGTGGAAGGTGTAGCAGTTTTAAGCTTATAATCAACAAATAAATATTAAAAATGAACATTTCGTTTCTCATCCCAGTAGTCCGCGCGATGGAATCGCGGATGGGGGACAAAGTCCGGCAGGTCCTCTTCGATCTCTGCCTCGTCTATACCAGGCAGCCCAGCATTGCCCGAGCTTCCGGGTATATTTGACGGACCCGGGCCTATTATGGGTGGCGGTGACCCATGCTGGGCAGGGGGTGAAGCAGGTGCCGAAAGGGGCTCTGAGGTAGTTGGGGCCGACGATCGAGTTACCGCTGAACAAAGAGGATAAGTATGAACAGGCAGGTCTTGAGTCGTTTCGTCTTCAAACGATTTTCGCTCTCTTGTCTCGACGGTGACACTGCGGATGTGGTAGCCATCACCGAACGGTTTTTGGAGTAGATGACCAAATCGAGCAATCTCCGAGGAATCACCAGCTGCCGTGCCGTCGCCACTGAGATCATAGCATGACGCTGATCGTTTGCTGATTTGGGCTCCAAGACTACCTGTCGTTCGCTGTTTGAGAATGCCGTGCTTGACCGCGCTGCTCCATTGGAATACCATCATGCAGGCCCAGCACCGAGCACACAAAGTTGCTAATAAATAAACATAGTAAATGTGACTGTCAAAGTTGAGTGAAGTGGTCACGATGGGTGCTATACAGCCGAGGAGTGACAATATGGCGATACCCAAGCTCTGAGGCTCGAACGCAAACCTGTAACATCCTATTGCCCAAATTGTGACGACACAAAACATCATCACCTGCATCGAGACTTCGAACCCACTCCAAACTTCGAGGTAGTATGGGAGCTTCACGGTCTCCCAGGAGTTGGTGTACGATAGCGCCCACAGAACTGTGTCCACCACCACAAACAGTGATCCGAGCCCCCACAGCGCTCTCTTGAGCCACTTTTGTTTGAGCACGAGAGTCAGCAGTTGTACTTCGACCGACAAGACCAGGGTGAAGCAGCTGAGAAGAAGCCCAGTAAGAGCAGGACTTCCTGCGAGCTTTGTCTCGAACCACTCCCTGCCGCTGAGATAGCCCAGAGAGTTTTGGTAGTACCAGAAATTGAGCCCGATACCAAAATGCAATGTGATAACGACCGCAACGTAAAGAAATGTGAAAAGCTGCAGAAGTGGTCGGTCCTTTCGGGAAATGAACGAGGCGACACATACAGACCATCCAATGACGAAGCACATGCTGAGGGCTATGATCATGGACATTGACGTTTGGTCGAATGGGTACGAGCTGAGATTTTCCATTAACGTAGAATAGCTGGGGTGTTGATCGGGGCCGCCGCCTCCAACATAAAAGGCAGTACCGTTCATGCGCATGTGCACCACATATGATGGTCCGCTGCCCTGTTGCATGTACGCAATTTTGGACCCCTTGCTAACAACGAACGTTCCATTTAAGTCATAATCCAGGTAGTGGCTCGTATCTTCTGTTTCTACCTCTGGAAGAAGAGGAGGCTTGGGGTCCATCCTCTGAGTAAGCAGGCGAACGCTCGTGAGCAGATATATGCGACTCACGATCGAGTCAGTGCTCGTAGTTTAATTGTCTAGTGGATTGGCCATACCAAGTTGTTACACAAGCGTTTAGATGCTTTGAAGTGCAGCGTGGGCGAGCATAGACAACTTCATGAGCTGAGAGACGACTTTGATAGCTGAGAAAGACTTTGATAGGTGAAAACATCTTCAAGCTAATGATAGAGCACGAGCTAACGATAGAACATGAGCTGATTCACAATGACCTCTTCTGCTCGGCACCTCTCACCTTAGTGCCTATGTGGATGTACCTTTGTCGCTTTTCCCCCCCATAATCAAGGCACTATGGCCGAGCGGTTAAGGCGAGAGATTAGAAATCTCTTGGGATTTTCCCGCGCAGGTTCGAGTCCTGCTGGTGTCGCCATTTTTTTGCTGTTACAGCCGATTATTTTTCATTTTTTTTTTTAAATTAAATATTTACATTTACACACGCGGTAAACGAGAAAGATCAGCCTTGCCAGTCGAAATCCACTCCGGATCAACCAGCTTCTCTTTGACCTCCCAGAGCAGCCGATAGCTCGTCCTAATGGTACCGTCGCTGACGCCTGTATGCTCAGCAATGGTCGTGCCTGACATGTTCTCGTTGAACAGCGCAGTAGCCATATAGATTGCTGCAGCCGCAATCGTCATAGGCGTACGGCCATCCAAAATACCCTCCTCTGCAATGCGTTGGGCAATGTACTCGCCAGCATTCGTTACCTGCATGGACAGCCCAAGATTCGAACAGAAACGTCTCATCAGATCCTCAGCATTTGTTCCGCTCTCGCTGCCCTTCATATTAATACCCGAAGAGGTGTTTTGAAGAACCTCTCTCATAAGCTTGAAAGTTTTACCAATGTCCTGGGGCGGAACAGACGATAGCGCAGCAATCTCCTTGAAAGTACGACCGACATTTGCTTGACGGCTGGCAAGAACAATTGCTGCTGCCATGATGCTTTGCTGGGATCGCGAACGCAGCCGGGGGTGGTCATATGCCAGCTTGTAGGCCTGTTTGGCCGCATCCTGCACAGTCCGCGGCAACGAGAAAGCCTCACACATCTGCGAAATCTTACCAAAAGCTACCAAAAGCGCAGAGTCCTTGCGGTCGGTAGACGATTTGTTTTGCACTCGAGAAAGGTCCCGCCCCAAAGTAGTGCCTGGAGCACCAACAGCCACAATAGTATCTAGCTGGCTTCCGTCCAAAAAGGGATTCGTTGCATCGCCAACACGACTGGGATCATCGCCACCATGGTCGTCGTTGGAGAATGTTCGCCACTCCGAGCGCATGTCTACTATGCGGTCGCTAAGGACCAGGCCGCAATTTCCGCACACCATGTCGCCCTCTGCGAACCGCTCCACGATGTCTGGAGGATCAATGCGGCACTCGGGGCATATCATTTTAACGTTCAAGTCCGGCCGGAACCCAGGCCCATCCTGAACCGCCGCCATTTTTTCTTTGGTTGTAATCGAAACGACAAAGCTCACAGGATTCTCCGCTGACAAATAGGGCCCCCAAGTGCGGATGGTGCAAAGCGCGCGAGGACGTAGAAGGCTAATTGGGGTAGAGGGAAATTAGAGGACTACTTGGGGGGACTGCCGCTCAATCGGAACATAGGTTTGTGAACTCCTCAAAAGAAATTGCATTGTCTTCGTCCAAATCAAAGACCTCGATCATGGCTCGTAGCTCCTCATCGTCGATTTTTTCGCCAATTTCTTGGGCAACTCGCTTCAAGTCTTGAAATGTGATTTTGCCAGTGTGTCCAACGTCAAACAGCGCGAATGCCCGGCGCATTTCGTCTTTCGGGTCGCGCTGGAGAATCTTTGCCGTCATCACTTTGTTGAAATCGTCAAAGTCAATGCGCCGCTTGCCTGTGCTGTCGTGGTCTTTGATTATTTGCTGCACTTCCGACCTCGTGGCATCGAATCCCAGCGCTTTCATGGCCGTCTTGAGCTCGTGGTGATCAAGACGCTGGTCGCCGCCAATGTCGAAAACGTCAAACGCCTGCTTGATCTCGAGCTTTTGCTCTTCACTGAGTTCTCCTTTTGTGAATAGCGTCTTGTTCATTGGAATAAATAAAAAGAAACAGCCGGAACAGCAGCCAAGATGTCGAACGTCGCGTCAAGAAAACGCGTTTACATAACCCCCTGGGCCTTTTTGTAGTTCGGCCATGGCGGACGCAAAGCTTCGGCAGATCATTGCCAAGCTGGAGGGCAAGCTGAAGCCTATGCATGATGAGATTGACTCTTTGAGGGAGCGGCTCGAACTGGCCTCCTTGGACAAAGAACTCGCCGAGGAGCAGGTGGCCGTATTGCTGGCAGAGCTCTCAAGCGTAAGGCAGGAATTGCAACAGGCACTGCAGCAGCTGGAAGACTCCAAAGCAAGCGAAGAGATAATTGAGCAATTAACTGCCAAAAATCTCGATCTCTCCGCTAAAGTATCTATGCTGAGCCAACAGGTCGCCGACTTGGAGGTGCTGAAGGAACTCAGTGACGAGCTTGAAGAATCCCATTTGCTGAAAGAAAGAGAGCTCAATGCCGTCATTACCCATCTTGAATCTCAAATAAAAACCGCAACGAGCAAGCTGAAAGCTGCCGAGCTGCAAGCTGCTGATCTCAAACTGGCATTGGCAAAACCCGCCCCAGAGAATCAGCATGTCGACATTGAGGGGCTGCAGCGACAGCTGGACGTCGCCAGGTTGGACTTGAAACACACAAAACTAGATCTGTACGCTTGCAAGCTAGATTTGCAGGCTGCTCAGTCGGATATTTATACGGCATTGGCATCGAGGACCCAGGCTCGAGTATTTTTCAAGCTCAAATTTCTCGCCTCTGCCGACCCGTCACTGGAGAACAATGTGCTGGAATGGTTTGATCAGCTCAAGTATCAAAACATGACTGCAGAACGTATTAAGACACAAGCAATCAACCTGGCGGCACGGCCCTGGCCTGATCTTGAAGTTTACTGGCCACAGGCTCTGATTTATTTAAGGGATATGGGAGGTTCTAATTTTGAAGGAATACCAGAACTACCGTCGCTTGCAGGGGCTTTAGAGGATCCTGTGAACGCGCGACTAATCGCGGCCCAGATCGAAGAACCTCAGGAACCCAAAGAACCCGAAGAGCGTATGCAGGACGAAATGCGTATTAAAATACACCTACTGGAAGCTAAAGTGTCCAAAGCCCGAGAACTTGCCGGCCATGTTTCTCGTTTGGAGCAGCAAGTTTCTAAACAGAGTGTAGAGACCGCACGCCTAAAAGAGACCATCGACGACCAGTCCAGAGAGTTGGCGATCAAAATCGCTGAGATAAATAAACTGAATGACCGGCCAGTGTCGTTGGACGCAGTGACGTTCAGAGGGAAATTGAGAGTGCTGAATGAAACAATCAATCACCTCATGACCACACCGTCGACACTTGACCTGCCTTCCTTGGACTATAAGCCCAACATTAGAAGCAAGCTGTGCGGGCATCCGGCAATTCGAAAACTGGTGGGCGCTGATTTTGAAGTGAAAAAGATCGAGCCGTTAAAATGGCGTCCCCACTCAGAAAAGCCGGGCTGGGCTGCAGCAGAGCAGGCCCGAACGCTCGCGGAGATCAACTCCCTATTAAAATCACCCTGCCGGTAAATTATTTTATAATCGGCCATTTCTTGGCCAAATCAATGCTTCGTCGCGGGTACAACCACTCCAGCAGGTGTAACAGCATCACGTCGACAACCACACACAGGACAAACAGTTTGCCGGCAAATGGACCACATTGGTAATGTTTTTGCATGCGTTCCACCAGCGTTTCGCTCCGGTCGCTGGCAAGAATGTCCTCGTAAATTTTCTCAGTGCGAGCAGCCACATCTGACCAGCAGTAAATGGTTCTGACCTCGTCATGAAAAGTTGTTGTGTCCACAGTATTGTTTTCCACAGCTTTAATGGCTTCGGAAGTAGAGTTAACCAGACTCTGGACACTGGGCTCCGCATAAACCGTCATGTGGCTGGGGAGAACTTCAGGGATCCCCCCCACCTTTGTAGTGACAACCAGCAATCCACAGGACGCTGCTTCAACTATCACGGTTCCAAACGCTTCGGTAAGAGTCGGGTGTAAATAAATTTGCCCGGTGACCATGAGATCACGGACTTGCTCGTGACGAATACCGCCTATCAGTTCAACGCGCTCTTGCAACCGGTGCTGCTCGATCATTTGCTGTAAATCAACCTCCTTGGGGCCACTACCGGCAATCTTGAACCGAACGTTGGAGTGCATGCTGCAGATACGGGGGATAATTGCCAGCAAGAGGTCGGCGCCTTTGTTGGCAAACAGCCGGCTGCAAATAATTATAGTGATAAAGCTCGGGTCCGCGGCCGCTGGGTCAGGAACAAAGTCCTCACTGATAACTGCGTTGGGAATCACCGAGACGTCCTGCGGATTCAGCGTGGCCCGCAGCACCGTGTTCTCGCGACAGGTGTGGCTGACGGCAATAACATGATCCACGTCGGACAAGGTGAACTTTAACAGCTTGTTGACGAGAATGGAGCCTGCGTCGGCAAACCCGAATAAAGAATGGTCTGTGAATACCGTCGCTAGGCCCATGGTGTGGCCGTGGATAATCGCCTCGTGACAGAGACTCGACATGGATCCATGGCCGTGCACAACGTCGATCTGCTCGCGTATCATAATGTTGCGGAAAATAGGAAAGAATGAAAACACAGTTGGGAACGTAGACTCCCTATAAATAACATAAAACGGCACGTAGTACACCTTGAGCCCGTTTGACAGCGTTCGAACGCCTGACCGCTGGTCGTAGGCGTGCGTTATGATCACCACCGAGTGCCCGCGGTTGATGAGCTGCTGCGACACCTGGTAGATGTGCAATTCCACTCCACCCGGCTGCGGGTAGAAGAAATCACAAACCATCGCGATATTCAACCCCATGCTGGGGCGGTTTGTCATCTTGCTCAATGGACTCACCGCCGGATTATGAGGCCGCAACGGGTCGCCTCCTGGCGTCTGAGGAGCGGGAATTCAGCCCGGTCGACTCTGAACAGTTTGACATTGAGGAGCCCGAGTTCGAGCTGCACAGCGCGCCTTCCGGTCGTGTTCGCGGGGGCGCCAGTGGGGCGGCGCGCTCGGCTGTGCTGATATTTAAAAACAGAATGGTTATTCCAGTACGTCACTTTGTCGTAGATCCAGTTTATCAACTGTGGATAAAACTCGGTGCTATCACGAGTCAGCTGGTTGGTCGGTTCATGAATCCACTTTTAGCAAAGCGTTTTCTCGTGTTGTTCTCCGTAGTGGGCGCTTTGGTCTTTGTGTACTGGAAGTTCGGCAACAACACGCCCGCCACCAGTTGGTTGCAGCCCGAAGTGCTGCAAGCATCCTTTGCTACCTACGTTTCGCGAGAGTACATGCGCCATACATCAAACTACCTGCAAAACATGACCCATGTCCCAGGCACGTCAGGGTCAACTGCCACGGCTGAGTTCTTGAAGGCCACGTGGGAATCCTATGGTATTGATGAAGTTGAATTGAATATGAACATTGTATTTTTAACCTTCGCCAACCAGTCATCTCTCGAACTGTTGAACGACAAAGATGAGATCGTCTTGACAACTGTCTTGGACGAAGATTCGGCATTGGAATCTCCCTTGGTGTCGCAAAAACAACCTAAACCGCATATGGGACTTGGCGTGAGTGGTGACGTGAAAGGACATCTAGTTTATGCGAATTACGGCACTAACGACGATTTTACTGCACTCGAATCAAGTGGCGTTTCCCTGAAAGGTGCCATTGTAATTTTCAAGCACGGAAAGACTGATGCATCCACTAAAATCATGGTGGCAGAAAAGCTTGGTGCAGTTGGTGCGCTGATGTTTAGCGAAAAGCACCCCACTCTTGCCGCGTGGCCAGAAGGCCCTGACTACAGTGAAGGCGCTGTTCAAAGAGCTGGTATGGGTATCGCGGCCATGCTTCCCGGCGATGTACTATCTCCAGGCTGGAATTCGCGTATTGGGATGCGAGTCGAAGACTATCACGAGTGCCGCAATCTAATCCAAATTCCAGTGATTGGTCTCTCATGGAGGCAAGTAGCCCCTTACCTTAATGCGCTGGTTGGACACGGCTCTCAAATACCAGAATGGCACAACAATGGATATCCACGTGATGTGAATGAATGGTGGACGGGAGATAGCTCTTCTCCCCAGGCTCATTTAGCTGTTGACCCTATTGTGCTCGACAAGAAGCAGGTGTCCAACGTCATTGGTATGATGCGAGGCACCGAGCAGGAAGAACTATCAGTAGTCATCGGAGCTCGCTACGACGATGTCTGCTTTGGTGGTGTGGCTTTATCTGGCATCACCGTGCTCAACCAAGTCGCCAAGGCATTGGCCAGTATGCGTTACAATACAAACTGGCGCCCTCGGCGCTCAATTTACTTTGCAGCATGGACAGGAACCGCAGATAATTTCATTGGATCTACCGAATGGACTGAGGCGGTCCGAGACCAGCTAATCAACACCAACACTCTTTACATTGATCTCGATCCGGGTGCATGGGGTCCCAATCTTGACATCAAGGGCCATCCTTCAATTGATGTTGAAAGCATTTTAAAAGTTATCGATGACCCCAAAGATGGCAGTAATGAAAATCTGCTTGATACCTGGCGGTCCACCCATGGAACTGACAATGTGCCTGAACTGCCTGTCCACGTGGGCAATTATATGGCTCTCAGCTCTCATGCAGCAAGCCCGTTTATTTCTCTTGGGTTCCGTGGTGATGTCTATCCTGCTGATAGTTGTTTTGACACTCATGAGTGGCAGAACCGATTTGGTGACAGGGATCTGCGATACGCGGAGGCACTGGCCAAGATTTGCGGGTACCTGGCAATCCAGTACTCTGACGAGCCAATCCTTCCCTACAACTTTGAACGCTTTGGTAATGCCATGAATAGCTATCTGGACGATGTCAAAGATTATGCTCACGAGCGATTCGGAAAACTGGTTGACGACATAGACTGGCAGGAAGCGCACAGCTACGCCAATTCCATCTCGCAGAACGGCATTGAGGTCAACAAAATTGTCAGTGACTGGCTCTCATTGATGCAGCACTACGACAACAATGCGAACCAGGAGCCGCCGACCGTGGCCATTTACCGGCATATGCTCAACAACCGCCTGGTGAAAGTGCACATGCAAGGCTTCGACCGCGTGGGGCTCCCCAAACGTGAGTGGTTCAAAAACCATATGTTTGGGCCCCAGTTCGTGCCTCCGCAAAACCGTGCCCTCGGCGGAACGTTCCCAGGTCTCCGTGACGCAATCGCTAGCGGTAACTTTGAATCTGTTATTGAACAAGCAAAGCACGTTTGGCAAGCCATTGGCCGAACCGCAGCTACGTTCTTAGAATAGCCCTCGCTGCTATCTTTGTCTCTAATTTATTTATGGTTATGAAAATTTCATCTTTAGATCGTGCTCACCCGGGTGTGCTCAGGCTCGAGGCTCTGTGCAGTTCAGATGCTGACACGGCGGACGATTCTGCCGTCTGCCCTTAACCCGCACCAATGTTGACATATTTGTTGATTGCCGTGGCTATTTTTGTCGTTTACAAGCTGTTTTCAAAGAAAACCGACGATGCCGAAGAGACATTTGAGCCCATAGAATTCCAAAAGTTCACCCCCCGCACTTTGTCCAAGTACAACGGCAAAGACGATAAACGGGTGCTCATGGCGGTAAACAGCAGAGTGTACGATGTCTCAGCAAGTAAAAACCACTACGGACCTGGCGGAATGTACGAGAACTTTGCCGGGCGCGATGCTAGTCGTGGTTTGGCCAAGCACAGCTTTGAGATTGAGCACCTGACCCCTCTTGATCGGCCGATTGACGATCTGAAGGATCTCACGGAGGAGGAACGTTCCGCCATGCTGCAATGGGCTGAGTTCTTTGGCAACAAGTACCCGCATTGTGGAGATCTAGTTGAGAGTCTGTAGAAGAAGATTTTCCTTGCATTTTATTATCCTATGAGCTCGTTGCCATGTAGAAATTCTATTTTAGATGATTCGTTTGAACAAGACACTGGTGGTGAGTCCTCACCCTTACCCTTGGATAACCTATCGTCTGGGCACAACGGTTTGGCGGTTAGGTGAGTCAGGGGGGATAAGCTATTTTGAGTTTGGTGCCGTGGCAACGCCCCTTACCCTGTTATAAAATTCTGACAAAGATTTAAGCCGCACGGATGTTAGGGCTTTGGCGTTTTGCTCAAGAGAGCATGCTCATCTGCTCTAAGACAAAGCTTGTCGGCCCCCCCAATGTGTACATGGGCTAGGGTTCTATCGTCAGATCCAGCGCGGCCCTTGGCCCTGTGGTCACAATTGACGCTCACAATTAAATGCCGCCCCCGGGTGCCTGTCAGGCGTACATGCCCTTGTCGTATCAATGTGGTAGCGCTAATTGCGAATAAAAAATGGCGACTTTTTCTTTCACGTGCCTAGGGTTTGGAGAGTCACCGTTCGAGCTTGCCACCGACTACCCCACGACGAAAATCTCCCACCCGATGCAGGGGATCAGCTGATAATTGGCCGTGCTACTATTAGGAGAAATAACATAAACTTTCCTCCAAAAAAAGTGTTTAAACTTATCACCAGCAACGCCAGATTGTTGTTAGCATTGCTTTAAATATACGTTTCTCTATCTGCATTTTGATCGACGTCCGCTCTGGTATAACTATGGGGAATCCTCTTTCTGATGCGTAAGCTCACATCGTGGTTGTGCATGCGGCTGAAGCGGCTCACGTAAGAGACGTTTGATAGGGTTTCTAAGACAAAATCAGAGAATTCCCATTGTATATATATCAGTTTTGGACCCACATATCTGTTAACTATCTGATCCGATTTCAAAGCAATTATTTATTGTTTGGAGGTATTATCTACTGGAAATTACTAGGTACTACCAATTAACATACCAACCGATACCTGATCAACCTCACTGATCTCATTAAACTTTGACCGAGCAGGTAGGGATTCAATCGTCCAAGAATCAATTCCTTAATATGAAGGAATCCGCCAAAAAGTTCTATTGTGAATTTCCTGGCTGCGAAAAGGCATTCAATCGTCGAGACTATCTGGAGCGACATGCTGTGAACCATCTAGCAATTAAGCCTTTTTTTTGTCGGCAATGCAAACGGCATTTTAGCCGTAAAGATCTCTATGACAACCATCTAAACACACGGTTCCATGCCAAGCGTCTTGAAGAATTGGTATTGGCTAGTTCGACGCGCATGAAAAGGCACAGACCTAAAGACATGGCCAATGTATTGGAGGACCAACCTGAGTACCAAAACCAGCAAGAACGTGCTCCTAGTCCGAGATTTGTCCCCAGTCCGGTCCAGGCGCCCGCTGCCTCTGAGCTAGCGCAGCCACTGTTACCACTGAATGACGGTAGATCATATGCAGACTGCCCCATATCTCCCCCCGAGCAAGACACTTACTGGGGCACTTCAATGTCGCCCTCGACATTTGCTGCTCGAAGCCCCACTGAGTTGCAGGCCAACGTGGCCAGGTCGACTAGTCAAAGCCCCAAGTACCTTTACGAGAACAATACCGCGGAGATTCCAAACGGCTCTTTTGCACGAGACTTTAACGTGAATGTCTTTGCATCCCTGAATGGTGGCCCGCAGCCAGAACAGTATTTTGATAATCCAGTCTTTGACACCCAGGAAGTTGCCAATGAGATGGAGTGCCCTCGTACGTGGAGTAATGTATCTGAACCTTCCTTGGTCGCTGATGACTGGAATTGCGAGGGATTAGACCAACCTGAAACGCCTTCTGAGTATTTATCCACTACTAATGTCTACTTGGGTTCCAAGAAAGAAAACCTTCTCTTTGACGAGTTGGCATTTTGATATACCCTGTCCCACACCGCATTGAATTTTTAGTATTTATTCAAGCCGCACATTCAAATCCAAGAAGCAGGCCTTGGAATAGCAGCTGATTTGTTTCTTGTCGGAACTTAAAATAGAAATCGCTCCGATCCCACCCATTTTCCATAAATTAAACCACTTTTTCTCCAGACCCCTCAAGCTGAAGCAAGCTCATGCACAATCAAAAACCCCTTCAGGCTCGCTGCATACACTGATATCACGTTGCTGCGAGATCTCCGGTAAGACTGGTGTGCATAGCTCTGTGCAGCTGCCACTCAGCCTCCACTTCCAGGTAGATGTGTCGATGTGCTGTGTTTGCAAGTACGTTGAGCTAATTGAGCAAGCTTCACAAGAGATTCTCCGGTTAATCTGCCGCCACCCAGCCCTCATAATTTCATTTGTTTCAGGGGCCGGTGGTTACCCCGTGCGGGTTCGTGCAGCTTGATGCCGGTCTTCTGCTAGGCTGCCCACCTTTCACGTGCGGCTCAATAAATGATGTAATATGCTGCAGCAAAATAAACGACAGAATCGGGAAAATTTTTAAAAAATGCCGGTTTTGACTCGTGTATTTTTCAGTTTTTCTGTTAATTGAGATTGCGACAAAACTTTTTGCTCTATCTCTATCCGGTGACCCGCTCGTGTCTTGAGGAACAGAATCGGGTACTATGATATCGCAGGGTAGGGATACTTCTCGATCTACAGAGAAACATCTTGATATCAATTTGGTTTTAGATCGAGCCCGGGGGTGTAGAGCTAATTTGGATGGCTGCTCTTGTAGCATGTCCACACCAAGGTAAAATAAGACTGCTCAATCTAGGGCCAAGATAATCTGTTAAAGCTTTGAGCGCGTTGGTTGTAGGATGTGGTTTCTGGGCAATAGCTTGCGGTTAATCCCAAACGGTTTCAATGACCGCGCAGCTAAAATATCACGGAAGGCCGTTCACTTTGCTCTGGTTTGCTATTCCGTTTTCGATTTCGTCTTCTTTCAAGTCTGGTCTTTCGGTTTAAACTTATTGTTTTCCCGCGTTCATAAGATTGAACTACCCTCTGGCGCTCGCTTGGAATGTCCAGCCGCACCACCCAGTTGAAAACTGAGATAACAGCAGCAGAAGTGATATTATTGTCACATTGTATCTTTGTCTGTTTTGAAGCGCCTGGATAGATTGTATTCGTTGAATGTATTCCAGTCAAAAGTATTCAAGCGCTGGTGAGGGGAACTCAGATATCAAGGGGCAGAGATTCAGGGATTCAGGTGTCGTATAGTTCTCTCTACATTTCCAGTGCTGTTGGCTTAAATATGTCATATATATCAGCACGCGACCATTCGATATAATTGCCTAACGCTAACCCTATAGTACGTGCCCCATCGCTGAATCCTTGAATCACAAACGACATCATGCTTGTGCTTCAAGCACGCGAAAACAAATCTCGGCGATGGCATAACGAAACTTCTGAGGAGCATCTCTTTCAACGCGAAGCCTAAGCTGATCTATAACGTACGTTACCCTGGCATTATGTGCCAAGACCATACCCGCCTTCTCAGAGAAGCGATCCACAAGCAATTTCAGCCCAGGATGAGCAATGAGCTTGGGTCGAGCAATCTAAATTTTTGAAAGTTTACATTACATCTTGCGATATTCTATCAATTTAGTTCAAATTGGGGCTTTCGATAACTTTCTGCACGGGGCTGTGAGGCGTCTTGGCTGAGGCTTATATGATGATTATGGTCCTCGGCGAACACGACCCAAAGCTGTCTCATTGATTTTTTACCTTTTATCAACGTGCCTCACTTGTATCCGCTTCAGCTCAGTGACTATAATTTTGGAAAACGCCTGATTCCAATAACCAGAAAATATGGGAAATAGGGCTGATGGAAGAGGAAGCAACGACTTTTCCGCGTTTTGACACCTCTTCTTCAGTTACTTCGTTGTAAAGAGGCCTCTCAAAGATTGAAGCTACAGAACTATAGTTCCTGCTTCAAAATATAAAGTGTTTACTTTACATGTGTAACACTAGGCTAACGGAGAGCAAGAGAGGTGTATAATTGTAGCGACCCACAATATACACTAACTCTCAACAATGCTCTTGTTACCCATCTCAACACTCTTCAGCTGATGAATGCGTTCAAAGTTTTCCTTTTCTCTTGGTGCACTCTCTCTGTGCATCGGGCCAGGCATGGTACTTGAGTGGAGTCCATTGCCTCGCTCTCCTTGAATGGCAGCAAGACAATCCAATGATATCATACCGCCAACTCAAGTTCTTTTGGCATACTGTTTGTATATCTGTCGTTATTTTTTTGGGTCTATATATTGGTGTGTATGGGCCAGAGAATAACACCAGCCGCGGGCGTTGGGACTGCAAAAGAGCTCTGTTCTGGTTAGATAGTTTTTCAGCTAGCACTAGTGTATTCTCATGATTATTTGCTTGAAATGGTCAATGTTTAGCCACACACCGATGCATCAGATCGTGTAACGCCGCCCATAATATGCGTCCTATGTCTGCCTGGTTGAGCCCTGTACAACCCTATCAACACTAATATTTACGATGCATGCTGTCGAGTGAGATAGCTCCGGTCTGCTGAATGGAGCCCTGATATCTTCTCCAAGCTAGTTGATAGCACCTGTTCAAAGGTAGTACAGTATTACTTCACGCCGCCTCATTTGGTGAAACATCGTTTTAATCCTGACAGTGAAAGGCTCTTTAGCAACCGTGCCGGCTTGGCTTGCACCAATAATATATCCTTACCCGTAATTGGCGTTAGTTTTAACACCACTAGTTGCGTGGAGCTCGTTTATCACGAAAACATCATACTCTATTAAAACCTCTATTCACCCTACAGGAAAATAATTTACATGATCTCAACGCCAAGCCACAGCAGTATCCAGCACACAACATCTCCAGCAAACAATTCCATTTTTGAAATTGCATCGAACCCCCATGGATCGACACTTTTCCGCTTTTAGAAACGGCTGGAGCTACCCCTACAAGGAGTCCTGAGTCAGGCCGCTTTCTAAATGATCTTTTTAGACCACAAGCTACCGTCCTCCGGATTTATTCATGGGTTTGTCTGGTTCTAAATAATCAAGTGTTTCTACGGCATGAATTGAAAGTCCTTAATTCGTGATCAAGACGTTTTGGCCTGCTGGCTTGTTCTGTGCGGCTCTCACCGGCTCGAGCTTACTACACACATGAGTGACAAACCTGGCCGGTACCCTGCATAAAGGTCTAACTCATCATTGATGACTTCAAGCGCGCTAGGGTTTCAAAATCTTCTGCATGTTGCTGCAAGTTGCCAAGCTAAAGGTGAAAGGCCGGAAAATGTCAGTGCCGATCACGAGAGATACGAAGGTTCTACACGTGAATTTGTTACGGCAATACAGAGAATACAAATTCCGACAAGAATTTTCATTTCGGGACGGCCCAAGTCGCACCGCAATATTTATTAGAATAGACGCAATATCCAAACGCGAGTGGACGGGGAAGTCGGCTAGGTGTGGGGCTTTGACTCGAGCCCGCGTAAAATATTTCTATAAAACCGTTGGTTCTATATGTTTGGTTAGATCTCTAGAAGAAGCGAAGTGATCTGCATTTAACCTTCTGTATCTTTGAGTTGAGCCGCCATTCGTGACAGCGCCATTTCATGAGTTTTAACATGCATGTTCCTGCATGTAGATAGAACTTCTAAGAGCCGACCCTTCTGCGATCCAGTGCGTGATCAGTCTCTTTGCTTGAATTTTTTTAGGCATTGTAAGACATCGTTTTGGTTCCTTGAACCCATTCTAATGCCTGGTTTTGACTTTTATTTGGGGCCCTTCAACGGCCGATGTCAATGGTGGGCGGAAAACCTGGGCATGACATGAAATCATTAGCAGCGGCGCGGGGACTTGCATGCGGCTGCTGTTTTCTCACGTAATAATTGTAGAAGCCTTTTTGCTAAAATCCTCGCATTAAGCTCTCCATCATTCCAAAACCAAACACTACTAAAAAGAAATTTTTTATAAGGACCCACCAAACCTCAAGTCTTTTGTTCTTGTTTATTGCAAAGTGCCAACAACTGTCGTTTCCGTGTATTAAACGTACTTCCAGCCCGCTCCACAAAGTTTCATTGAAAGCCGCAATAGAAGCCACACAGAGCCCCGTTCGCCCCATTTTGTGATTCACATTTCTATTTTCTGTTTTTAAACATTTACTATTCCTGAAAGAAGGCTGCAGGTGGTCATTTATCAAGGCAGAACTCACCGTTAACTGCTTCTTCTTACCCCTCCCCACTCCCTTTTTCTTTCGTGGCCCTCCCACCCTCGGAAGGCAACATTTATTGGTTTTAACCTCCCCTTTTGAGCCTTAATCGGTTTATTCAACAGACCATGAAGGACAAGCGTTTTGCCTGCGATTATCCAGGCTGCAAGAAGGTCTTCAACCGACGTGATTATCTGGACCGACATGCCGCAAATCATTTGGCTGTAAAGCCTTTTTATTGTATGCATTGTAAACGCCATTTCAGTCGGAAAGACCTCTATGATAATCATATGAATACACGCTTCCATGCCAAGCGAGTCGAAGAGCTTGCTCAAGGAAAAGCGGCGCGCGCTGAATCGTTGGCCGCACAGTCTAGGATTGCTCGAATTAACCGTGCTTACCCCGAAGCGACCAATACCAACACAGAAGAGGGTTCGAGTTCTCCGGTCCTAACTCACCCCCTAACTCACCCCTCCAACCCAACTAGCCCAACCGCCGTTTCCGCCCCAGCTGCCACCGAGCTTGAACAGCCACTGTTGCCCCTCAGTAGAACAGGGGGCTACGGTAGCATGCCACAATATTTATCGTCAGAATTTGAACCCGACTTTACAGAGGATTACAATATGGACTATCATAATACCTTCCCAGTGTCTAGCGAGTTGACTCCCTCGGTCCTGGCCCACTTTGCCAAGCCAACAGCTGAACTTTCTACGCTTGTTGATTATCAGGACTCCGATATAAGTGATCCCAGTCGACGGAAATCGCATTTGTACGGTTTGCAGCGCGAGCATCAACAACCGCTGTATCTTTCCAGATGGTCACAATACCAAGACCCCCTCGCCAATCGTTTGCCAGACGAGGATGATATGAACTCTGTCTCCACATCGAGCTCAGCGACTGGCACATCATCACCACATGCGGGTAACGCAGCTAATGGCATGGCACTACCCATGAGAGTCTTTCTTCTAAACAGATCGACAATCCATGGCAACAGCAATGGCCGGTCAACCATTGCAGACTCGACTTCTTCGGTGGCTCCGTCCGTGAGTTCGTTATCAACTGCACCCACTTCACATTCATCACAGCCGGAAATGGGCCCATTACGGAAAGGAGGGCACAAGCGGGTGGCCAGTGGGACGACGGCCCTTAGTAGTTTGGCAAATGATCAATATGCGCGGAACTTGTTTGAGCCCTACGTTGCGGCAGCACAGCATTTACAGTCCATCAAAACAGATATGCTTGCTTTCCAGGATAGCGAAAAGCTGCAACGACTTCTCCGCGAGCCTCCCCAAGCAGCGTTGTTCGCCGAGAACTTTAACAAACAGTTTCTGTGGTTTTTCGACAACCGCTATGGAACTCCCAGTGCTAAAATTGGCTATGATCATTGCTATGCCCAAACTAACAGTGAATATCAAGCCAGGGCGAGAGAATTCGAAGGCGATAGCCCTAACCAGAGGCCTGCAAACAGAGAGTATCGCCCATTAGATGACACGGCTTCATACATGGTTCTACGCATTCTCAAAGAAGCTCCAAGAGAACTGTTTGAGGACCCCACTATGATTGACTACTACATGCACATTGCTTGGAGCCACACTTCTGCGATCCATTATATTATCCACCTGCCTACTTTCGACCCCTCTCATTGTCACCCAGCGCTTCTGGCAACATTAGTGGTGTTGGGTATGGCTATATGTCGCGATCCCCAAGCAGAGCTAGCCGCTAAGATATTATACCCGTCAGTTCTTTCTGCAACGTACGAGAGTGTGTTGGATTCTGCCTCCTCTTCAGGAGGAAATCGGCACGAAACTCCACATATTGGTCAACTTCAGGCCTTTACACTTCTTATGAGGTATGAGCAGCTCATTCTTGGTAAAGAAACTGCAAGGCTGTCGTTGCTGCATGGCCCAACTTCCACCCCGATGATTGATAGGTTTTTCTGGGTGTTGCTCTCAACAGTGCACCATTGGAACGGACCTCAAACACCGTTGTGGTCACTCGGACCCAATCAGAAACCTTTGTGGGCAACTGTGGGACCTGAGTCGTATGCATTCCATCCATACTGTATGACGAACTTACAATGGCGTGAATGGGCGCGGTATGAAATGGCCAAGCGAACTTTACACCTGGCTTTATTCTGCGACAACATCCATTGCTTGAGTGCAGGTTCCGATAATGTCCGGCCTGTGTCGATTTTCAACATGGACACTCATATGATTTGCAGCGAGTGGCTGTGGGACGCGCGGTCTCCGGCTGAATTTTTCTACATTGTTGGTCCCACAGAAACAATCCAATGTGTGCCTTACTTGGGTCTCATCAAATCGCTTGTTCGGTTCCCGCGGATTCCTTCGGGTTCCACAAATCGCCGCATGGACCAAGAGCGGCCAAGGGGGTCACCACCTCTTTGGTCTCTTTTCAGCCTTCGTGTTTTGGCGTATGGCTTGACCAACATTGTTGGTAGACTGTCTGGTGTCTCTGAGCACGGTGAGCAGCTGGTCCAGCGAATTTTCAACGCAGATTATATTTCTGGATCCAACCCCCCATCTGCGATGGGCGGCGACTGGATTTCCCCGCTTTTTGATCGCTCTATACAATCACGGCTTTACCGGGGTCTTGATTTGTGGTTACAGTATTTCGAGGATGCTTATGGTAAAGTTACTGAGCGGATTTTCAGTATTGCTGGAGGAACCAACGATGATGAACCGCACATAAACTCTGTCCTCAATGAGGACCTTGCTATGATCGATCTCGACGACGCACAGGAAGGAATTCCCGGGTATGTTTTCGTTGTTGTCTTTTATCATTATTCAAGTTTCTTGTTTGTCCATGAAGATTTGCAGATTGTTTTGCAAGTTGCTTCTAGTATGAAGGGCTGGCTTGACGTACCAGTGCAAGTGCCCTATGCTAATCTTTTGGATAGGCTCTGTGTTCCGCTCTATACCCAGTGGCTGCAGAGCAACGAAGCGACGGCCATGCTGTCGACGTCGTGTCTGACGATTGCTTGGCTTGATGCCTCCATGGGCCGGCTCCCTACGAAACTGTTTAACAACCAATTCCTTGCCAGCGTCACGTTTATCGCTGTTCTCGTCGTCTGGATGCATGATCTCACTCGTGGAGGCGTACCAGTCGGGGTTACGCAGTCCGCGCTGCCGCCGTTGGCCCTGGAGAACTACAAGTTCTCACAGGACGCGGTCTTGCATCTCCAAGTGTTGTCGGGCACGTCAAACGCCCCCTCATCGAAAGCACCAGGCGACTCCAATTTGATATTGGGTTTCTCGAACGATGTGCCTCCCCACAGAGCCAGCGAACTTGGTGGTCCTGGTGACAAGGTTCGCTCTGTGCTTCTTTTGGCAGAGTGCATTCTTTACGGCCGCCCTAATTCAGAACGTCTCGTGTCATTCTTGATGCGGCTCCTTGAAGCCATTGATTCCAGACTCACTCTACCCATTCAACAGGCTGTTCTGAGCGGATCGAGACAGTTCTACGCCCAAAGGCGCACTATTTAACACGGCTAGTTTATTTAAGTAGGAATTCTGCACTAAAAATTATTAGATTTCCGTACAGCTAACCTGTCGCCCACTTGATGAAGTATGCCCATAGATTCACCCCATCGCTCTCGCTCAATGATCGCCAAAACCGAAAAATAAAGGCCTAGAACGCCTATCGAAGCGCTGTGTCCCGATATCCCCCAGCTGGGGGAGATAACCTTACCCTATACCGAATATCGTCGTGCGAGATGGTTTGCTAGTGATGATTCAGCAACCCGGACTTCCTTTTAGTTTTCACCCACCTGAGCCACCTTTTTAGTTAGCCCGCTGCAATTTCATTCCCAATGGCGCCTAACCTGAAAGTGACCATTATTGCGGCAGACGCACTCTACAAAAGAGACCTGCTCCGCCTTCCCGACCCGTTTGTGGTGATCACGGTAGATGGCGCACAAACTCAATCCACGAGTGTCATCAAGAAGACTTTAAATCCGTATTGGAATGAATCCTTCATGGTTGAAGTCAAGCCGTCCAGTATCATTGCAATTCAGATTTTTGACCACAAGAAGTTCAAGCGCAAGGACCAAGGGTTCTTGGGGGTTGTTAACATTGTCGTCAAGGACGAAATAGATCTCCAATCTGGCGGCATTCAGCTGCTCACCCGCGACCTCAAAAAGAGCAATGGCAACCTGCCTGTCTCGGGCAAGCTGGTTGTCAATTTGACCACCAATCTCAATGGAGACCAGCGCAGAGACAATGCGGCAACGGCTTCAGGTAATTCGTTGCCGGGAGCAACCAACTCCTCGTCCATCACTGCTCCTGCGGGCAATGCACCGTCTGGTCTCACCGACCATCCTCTCACTTCAGAAACTGCACAGAATACTCTTGGAACCCATGCTAATGGCAGCCGCACTAATGCCGCCGCCTCTGACAACCGTGACCTGTCCTCATTTGAGGATGAGTACGGGCCGTTGCCTAGTGGCTGGGAACGTCGTACCGACAATCTCGGTCGCACTTATTACGTAGATCACTCTACTCGCTCAACCACTTGGACCCGGCCTGCTGCAAGTGCCGCCGAACGAGAGGCGCGGGCTCGGAACAACACCAGCGACATCGAACGCCGTCAGCACCAGGCCCGTACATTGCCAGAGTCCGTTTCAAGCTCAGTGGCACCCACTCCGCCTGTTTCCACGCCAGTTAGTAGCGAGGTACCAAGTGCCCCCGCCACGGCTGCCAACAACAGCCCAGTCACGCCATCCGGTACTATTGTAAATACGGGTGTTACCACTGCAGGACTTGGTGAGCTGCCCTCAGGATGGGAACAGCGTATGACTCCTGAGGGTCGCTTCTACTACGTCGACCACAACACCCGCACGACCACCTGGGTCGACCCCCGTCGCCAGCAATATATTAGAATGTATGGGCCCAACCAGAGCAATTCCACGATTCAGCAACAACCTGTTTCGCAGCTCGGACCCCTCCCCTCTGGATGGGAAATGCGTCTCACCAATACAGCTCGGGTTTACTTTGTTGATCACAACACAAAGACAACCACCTGGGATGACCCGCGACTGCCATCTTCACTTGACCAGAATGTTCCGCAGTACAAGAGAGACTTCCGGCGAAAACTCATCTACTTCAGATCACAGCCCGCTTTGCGCATTCTGCCTGGCCAGTGCCATATCAAGGTGCGACGTGATCATATCTTTGAAGACTCGTACCAGGAGATCATGCGCCAGTCGCCGCAGGATCTCAAAAAGCGATTGATGATTAAATTCGACGGCGAGGAGGGCCTGGACTATGGTGGAGTGAGCCGTGAATACTTCTTCTTGCTTTCCCACGAAATGTTTAATCCCTTTTACTGCTTGTTTGAATACTCGGCTCACGACAATTATACACTGCAGATCAACCCGCACTCTGAGATTAACCCAGAACATTTGAACTACTTCAAGTTCATTGGCCGTGTGGTTGGTCTTGCTGTATTCCATCGCCGATTCCTGGACGCATTTTTCATTGGTGCGTTTTACAAGATGATGCTGCAAAAGAAGGTCGTGGTTGAGGACATGGAAGGTGTAGATGCCGAGTTCTACCGCAACTTGGAGTGGACACTTGATAATGATATTACTGATATTCTGGATCTCACTTTCAGTGTTGACGACGACCACTTTGGTGAGGTAGTCACTGTCGACCTCAAGGAGGGCGGCCGCGATATCCCTGTAACAAACGACAACAAGCTCGAGTATGTCGAATTGGTTACCCAGTGGAAGATCGAGCGTCGTGTTCAGAAGCAATTCCAAGCGTTCATCACCGGGTTCAATGAGTTGATCCCTGAGGACCTTGTCAATGTGTTTGACGAGCGCGAGCTCGAGCTACTTATTGGCGGTATCTCCGAGATTGATGTCGACGACTGGAAGAAACACACTGATTATCGTGGCTATTCGGAGAACGATGAAGTCATTCAGTGGTTCTGGAAGTGTATCCGTAACTGGGATTCTGAGCAAAAGTCGCGCCTGCTGCAATTCACCACAGGTACTTCTCGTATCCCCGTGAATGGTTTCAAGGATCTTCAGGGCTCAGATGGCCCTCGCCGGTTCACCATCGAGAAGGCAAACGATTCGCAGTACCTGCCCAAGTCGCATACATGCTTCAATCGAGTTGACCTTCCCCCTTACAAGGACTACGAAACGTTAGTACAAAAATTGAGCATCGCTGTTGAGGAGACAGTTGGATTCGGCCAAGAGTAAAAGATTTTCGTCGCATATTGCATGGTTTACCTCGTTTCGCTCTCCGCACCGGCCCTATTTTATTTTTATTTTCATTTATTGTCCATAGTAAACTGGCATTTACATTTGAATGTTATATCTATCTAAGAGTAACAATCTCCTCGGCAGCAGTAGGATGGATGGCAACGCAGCTGTCGAAATCAGCCTTGGTAGCGCCCATCTTGACGGCGACACCGAAGCCCTGAAGGATTTCGGAGGACGCGTCACCGAACAGGTGCAGGCCAACCACACGCTCGTTGTCACCCTCGACAATAAGCTTGTAGACGGTGTAGTCCTTGTCCTCCTGCTCGCAAGGAGCATAGAACATGTTGATGAACTTGGACTGGTAAACCTTGACTTTGTCGAACTTCTCGCGAGCCTGCTTCTCGGTCAAACCAATCGTACCAGCCTCGGGGTGGCTGAATACAACAGATGGGATATTTTCATAGCTAAGCTTGGATTTCGGCTTGTTGTTGAACAAGCGGTCACTCAGTTTGCGGCCCGCAGCAACAGCAACAGGGGTGAGTTCCACCTTCTCAGACATGTCGCCAACGGAGAAAATGTTGGGCACACTAGTGTTCTGGTACTCGTCAGTGACGACCTTACCGCGCGAATCCAGCTCAATTCCGACCTCTGTAAGGTTCATGTCCTTGGAAAGAGGATGACGGCCCAGAGCCCAGATCAAGTGATCAACCTCAATGGCAGTGGACTCCTTGTCGTTACCGTAATGAACGGTGAGACGTCCGTTAGCAGCCTTCTCGATCTTCTGGACATTGGAACCTTTGTGGACCTTGACACCGTGCTTGACGTAGGCATTGGTAACCTCCTGCTGGATCATATCGTCGAACTTACGCAGAACGGTGTCACCACGGATGATGAGGTGGGACTCGACACCCAGGGCGTTCAAAAGACCGGAGATCTCGACGCCAATGTAACCAGCACCCACAACAGCAATAGCCTTGGGGTAAGTGGCGATCTCGAAGAAGCCATCGGAGGTAACGCCAAGCTCTGCGCCAGGAATGTTGGTCGGCATGATAGGAGCACCACCGGTAGCAATCAGGATTCTGTCTGCGGTGTAGACAGCCTCGCCGCCAGCATTCAGTTTGACTCGGACAGTGTGCTTGTCAACAAGCTCGGCCCAGCCCTCGACGTAGTCGACCTTCTCCTTCTCCAAGTTGTTGGCGTAAATCTGGCGCAAGCGGGCTACATAGGCATCACGCTTGACCTTGAAAGACGCCCAGTCGAATTTAATAGGCATTGAGCTGGAGAGGTCAAAGTTGTAACCCTTGGCAGCGATCTGGAGCTTGCTAGCCATGTCACCAGCGTTCCACATAACCTTTTTAGGGACGCATCCCACATTGACACAGGTACCGCCGAGGTACTTGCCTTCGATGAGCAGGGTCTTTGCACCGTACGAAGCAGCACGGCGCGCAGAAGAGACTCCTCCAGAGCCACCACCAATGACGAGATACTGGTAGTGAGTAGCAGGGGCCATGGTGTTTAAATGACGAACAATAGTGCTAAGACGTTGAATCTTGATTAAATTTTGGTTAGGGTGACTACAATTGCTTGGTTGCTTTGCAGTCTTGCTCCTCTCCTAAACGTGTATTTAGCGGTTTGCTCAGCACAAACTCGCTCGAACGCATTAATTTCCACTCTTTGTGGGTTAGGGTCATCGGTAAGCCGCGGTTTTTCGTCGAATCTAGATTCGCAGTGTGGCGTCGGGCGATTGTCTTTGGTCGTTTTCTGTGAGCAGCTGTCCGTACTGAGTTTTCCCGCTCGTTATTCCTGCTCAGTCTTTTATTTCGAACCACTTAACTCGAGCCCCCTGAGCATCGCTCCCTGCTGACTATGACTGAAGTTGAAATGAGCGATATCGACCTGAAAGAAGAGGCTGCCCAGTCTCCGGAGCAGGACGTCGAGACCAAATCTGGCGACGAAGAGGTGAGTGACGCCGAGCTGGACGTTGAAACCGAGGAGCCTGCTGCTGAGGAGAACGAGGCTGGAGCTACCGAAAAGGACCCCGCAAATGTTGATGATTTGAACGCTTACGACCCGCTGCTGGACAGCGAGGCGTTCCAGCCTCTATTGGAGAGACGTGACCATAGCGTGAAAGAGCTGCTCAATGCAATGGATGAGTATGCTCCGATAATTCCCGACGCTGTGACGGATTATTATTTGGCTAAGGCCGGCTTCAAAACCAATGACGAGCGAGTGAAACGTCTGCTGGCACTCGCAACACAAAAATTTGTTTCAGATATTGCCACAGACGCCTACCAGTTTGCACGGATTCGTTCGCAATCCAGTTCTACCAGCATGGCCAACGCGGCAAGAGCCCGCAACACTCCTGCTGGCAAAGTCGTTTTGACTATGGAAGATTTGAGCAATGTTCTCACAGAGTTTGGTATTAATGCTCGTAGGCCTGAGTTTTATCGCTGATATTCAATGTATACTATTAATTTTGATATAAACATGATAATGTACGTGCATGCGAGCGCATTGCGAGCGGCCTGCGAGCGGCTTGCGAACAGATCGTGAGCACTCGTGAGAAGATCGATAACCGTAGTTTCCACGCTAAAATGCAATGGTCTGCCACCAGAAACTCATAAGTTACTGCAGCAGAAATTTTGGAAAAAAAAAATGGTGACGACCGGGGGATTCGAACCCCCGCCTCCGAAGAGACAAGAGCCTTAATCTTGCGCCTTAGACCACTCGGCCAGATCGTCCTTCGTGTTGAAATTTTTCATGATGCTAATATAGCCGACAGCCAGTCCTGGAGATGCTAAATTTTGAAACGCCTTGTGATGTAGTGATTTTAATACATTTTAATATACATAGCCGGTTTAGAAAAAGCTCTAAATCAAACGGTCTTCGTCCTGGTATTTGTTGTGACAGTAGCTTTGGTTGTATAAGTAAACACTCTAGCTTGATCGAGTTTGAAGCATATTCAGTTCCAGCTGTTGAGCATCGTGCTCCTCGTTGAGCTTGTCAATTTGGGTCTGCACATTCTCGAAACTGTCTTTGTTGCTTGCTCTCGGCCGCATGTGGTTTTTCTCGAGCATGTCAAGCATCGACCGAACTACGGTTTTCAAGTCGTCGATGGAAGGATATTTGACCTGGGCAACTATCGTCGATATTTCGGGAACTTGCTTCCAGATGAAATCATATAGTCTGCATATCTCATTGTTTAGTTCGATTTCTCGTGTCTCGTAAGACTCGCTAATATCAGACTCTAGGGGTGTTGCAGTAGCTGGTCTAATAGATTGATGGACCAAACTTAACGGCCCGGGGACGCTGAAAAACCCCCCTCGAGAAGAAACTTGCATAATAGGAGCTTCCATGTTTTCCGCTTGTTCCAGTTCGAATGAGCAACGAGCCTTGAGGGCATTCAACTCAATCGCTGTTTCCTGACACTCGAGTTTGACTTGCTTTCTTTCGTTCAGCAGCGCATCCTTGCGGTACTCCAACACTTCCAGATCGAATCCAAACCTTGTATACAGACTCTCATTTTGCCGTTGTTGGAACTCCATGTGTTTGATCTCCCGGAGCTTGATTGCATTATCAGCTTCTGCGCGCTGAATATCCCGGCGCACTTGCTCGATTGTATCATGAACACTATCTATTTCTTCAAGACGGGTTCTAATACAAGTTAAAATATCATCACTGTTATCAACATTTTCTAAACTTAAGCTTTCTGCAATGATCCCCCGGGATTTTAGCTGATTGTTGATAAAGCTCACTTGCATTTGGAAGTAGAAACTCCCAACGCATATCAAATAAAATAGACTAAATAACCTCACGGCAAATATACTTTGGAATAGGAGTGAACGCGTTGTTGGCAACATACACAGTTTTTGAATCGCCTTGCAGAGAGCGTTAAGCGACACTCGTCACAGAGGGCCAAGCACCTGCAAGGCCACAGGACAACTTGTCGAGGATTCTCAAGACAAATTGTACATTTGGTCATATCAGCACCCCGCCGTAGCTCAGAAATCACCTTCACTAGCTCTCGATCGGGGTCTAGAGACCCTAGGTAAGATTGCCGAGTAATCACGCGCTCGCTGTTCATATGCGCGAAGACAAGCTCTACACCGTGATCAGAGTGGGTGCTTCCTAGAATATTTTCCGCACACATAGAAATATCATCATCATAATCATCACCAGAGTCATCAATTCCGGAGTCACTGGCATCTGTAAACTCGTCACTTGGTACAAAATCTGCACTATCGTCGACTTCAGGTAAAGTAGCTCCGGACAAAAGGCCGTAGTATGCACTGGATGGGTCTGAATCAAGTGATTTGTATATGCGGTCGCAGAGCACCAGCGTAGGCGGAGGAGCAGCGTCTACTGGGCGACTTGGCACAGAGCGAATCAAATCACGAACTCGTAAATAAATAACAGTTGCCAATGCTTTTGCGAATTGGTGGGCTGATTTTATCCATTTGACAGTCGGATAACCTATCTGAGCAAACCGAGCTTGCTCGAGTTTTATATTTTCCCGATCAGTTCGAGGGGCGTCCCGTACTTCATGTGCATATGGATTGGAGGGGTTACCATGAAGAACCATAACCGATCCATCTGGTGCGGTAGCTCTGATTTTGTTTTTATCGTTCGCATAAATTTTGTCAAGCCAGGTTGCTAGGGGCCAGTTCATACTGGCAGCTTCGTGAAGGTATGTTTTGTCGACAGAAGCTGCCAGTGCACCATAGCCTATCGTTAGCACAAGTTCATAAAAAGTGCTCGACAGCCTCACAATAAAGCTTCGTTTTGCAACCATTTTTGATCTATCGCCAACAAATGCCACCGCAACCCAATAAATCGACCAGCAGATAGCACTGACAGCTAGCATGATGATTTGGGTTCCAAAACGGACATAGGATACCGCGGTATAAATGAATCCACTTTTGAGCGGGCCAGTGTTGAGCTGCGAATTCAGAAAATACGCTATGAAGCACACCCCCATAATGGTCGATGGAATGAGCTGGTATCGCTGGAGTCTGAAAAGCCCAATCACATGCGACAAAGCTTGCGAAACTAGAACAAGAGCAGTAAAGCATGCCATCTGGCCAGAGAAAGGGCTCAGCCCCGGCGCAGACTCCGAAATAATCTCCTGAAAAATGCCCGACAGCTCAGGCTGGGAGTAGCCCCAGTCAGAAATAGGCATTTTACCTTCGAGCAACCCCGAGAATAACTCAATTGCGGAGCTCATTATAACCGCATAGTTCATTTTTTCATAAAACCACTTTGTATCGACAGGCTGGCCCTGGAATATCTCCCACAAATAGCTCGCCGGGTACCCCAGAATAGCAATTGCGGTGCCTCGAAGAATTAGCAGCTTTTTCCACGAGAGAACGATGGGCTCCCTTGGGTTAGCAAACGCAAGCATTCGGTTGAATACAATAAACAGCAGGATGGATGTTGCAAACATTGGGGACGAGACATATGGAACCATGCGGCTAAAGGCATTCCTGACGAGCATTGCCAGGAATGCAAAGCCCTGGGCCATCCAGAATAGCGGCTTGAACACAAATCTTAACAAACTGGAGATCCGGTCCCCAGTTGCGGCGCGGAAATCGGCCAGCCGCGGCGTTATATCCAGGTGCTCCATCAGCAGCGTCGGCGATTAGCTAACTTGGTTGATTGGAGAAAGGCACAGAAATAGTAGAGTTTTAGGGGTTATGGACTCGGACTAAGTTTATTTGAGTTAGGCGGTACAATTGCCCACTGCTGCACTAGTGTGGACAGCCAGCACTGCCAACATGTGGCTCGTCAAAGTATATAGTTTCCAGTAGGTTCGTGTAAGCAAGTATGCCTATTGACTATTCCAAGTGGGATAAACTCGAGCTTTCCGACGACAGTGACGTCGAGGTGCACCCCAATGTTGACAAGAAGTCGTTTATTCGCTGGAAGCAGCGGGATATTCACGAGAAGCGGGAGCGTAACCGGCTCCGCACCCAGCAGCTGGAGCTGAATGTTGAGACTAATGAGGACCTCATCAAGCGAGTGCGCAAACTAATTGCGGCAGCCGAGAGCGGAGTGAATGTAGGTGCTGACGTTGAGGCTTCAGTGAAGCTTGCGTCTGAGGGCGAAACCAAAGAGCGACCTGATCGAGCCACTAGCGCTCAGCAGCCCAAGTACAACGACATGGTCGAGAGTTTGCTGATCCAGATCACGCAGGAGGCCAAAGATCGTGAGGGTCTTATTGCTCAACTCAAGCATCATGAGAAAATGATTTCGGACTCGATTGAGGCCGAAAACAAGGAGCTTGAGGAGCTGCAGGAAGAGCGGGCAAAGCACATTGTTTCAGAGGATTTGCATGACGGCTGGAACTCGACCATTGTCTACAAATCCGACAAGAAAGACGAAGAGCCAGCAAAACCCTCGCCTTCCAAGGAGACGACTACTGAGATTGAAGTTCTGAATCCTAGCTCTTCTTCAAAGCCTGCTCCTCGCACGCCCAAGAAGAATGAGGATGGTCTTGAGGAATTGCTCCCCAACACCAAGGAGTTTGGTAAGGTCACTCGTGGCGATCTGTCCGCGGCTTATCGATTCATGGGCATGCATCCCGAGATTCTTAGCGAGGGCCAAAAGGATGCGCTCATGATGAGTGCGTTTGATGCTCAGCTTGCGGGCGATTCTGATAGAGCAGAAACCATTGTGTTCAATGCACTGTTGATCCAGTACGTTGTTCTGTTAGGTGGTAATGCGCAAGCGTTCTTTTCGAAGGTTGTTCAGCCCAACCACCCCGCTCGCACTGCATTCGACGAAGACGTCAACCGCACGTTCGAGCACATCAAGCACCGTTGCGAGATTTTGAGTCAGGAAAATGCCGCGGACGAGGGAGAGGAGCAAGAACAGATCCAGCTGCACGCCGTCGACCCTAATACAGAGATTGTTGTTGCGGTTCCTGAAGAAGGAAGCGAGGGCCGGGCCATTTACGATGCATTGAGTGAGCCCGTTCGCAAGGCAATCGAGAGCCGCAAGCTCGACGAGATCAACAAGGTGCTTGCCGAGCTGGAGGTTGCCGAGGCAGAAGACCTTGTGGGCAAGCTTGGCGAGGCCGGCGTTTTGCTGGTGGAAGAAAAGATCTACGACGCGGCAGAGTGGCAGGAGAAACAACACGAATTAGAAGAGGAACTAGATTGAATGTATATATCTAAAGTCTGGCGTTACTACTTTGGCGAACAACGGTGTCGATCGACTTGGCGACGTACTTGACATTGTTTTTGTTGAGACCAGCCATGGAAATGCGGCCGTTGGCAGCGAGATAGATATGGAACTCGGTCACGAGACGGTCGACCTGCTTGGGGTCGAGACCCGTGAAGGAGAACATACCGATTTGCGATGTCAAGTGGTCCCAGTTGCCAGGGGTACCGAGACGCACGAGCTCGCCCTTTAACTCGGCACGCATGTCGAGAATACGCTCAGCCATGGTCTTGATATCGCGGCGCCACTCGTCGAAAAGCGATGGGGTGGTCAGGATCTTAGTGGCGATGCGAGCGCCAAAAGCGGGCGGGTTGGAGATCTCGGCACGGCTCTGAGTAGCGAGCTGAGACTCGATGGCGGCCTTTGTTTCGGGAGTGGCATCGGAGAGGACAATATGCAAAGCACCAGCGCGCTCGCCATAAAGGCCCATGTTCTTAGCAAAGGACTGGCAAACCAGCATGTCAATCTTGCGGTCGATGAACATGCGGACAGCCCAAGCGTCGTTGTCGAGGTCTCCGGAAGCAAAGCCCTGGTATGCGCAATCGAAGAAGGGGAACAGCTCCTTCTCCTTGATCAGGCTGGCGAGCTTTTCCCACTGCTCACGGGTGGGATCAACACCAGTGGGGTTGTGGGCACAAGCATGCAACAGAACGATGTCGCCAGCAGAGGCCTTTTTCAGGGTGCTGTACATACCTTCAAAGTCCAGGGCTTTAGTTTTTGCGTCCCAGTAGGGATACTTCTTAATGTCCAGTTCAACGTAGCTGAAAATGGTGTGATGGTTGGCCCAAGTGGGATCAGAAACGTAGATAGTGTTGGACTTTTTACCCCAGGGCGTGTAGCGACGCAAGAACACCGCGGCCATGTGATTAGCACCAGTGCCGCTCAGGGTCTGTACAGTGGCAACCGTGTTGAGGTCAACCTTGTCGCCGAGAATCAGCTTGGCGGCAACCTTGCGGAACTCTGGGTTGCCAAGGATAGGCAGGTACTCGTGCGTCACGCTGGGATCGTTGACGAGCAGCTCCTCGGTTTTGTGAACGACAGGCAGAATCCAGGGCTTGGCTTCGTTCGTGCGGTACGCGCCAATAGACATGTCTACCTTGTGCGCGGAGTCGTCGTCTTTGTAGCGTCCGGCCAGTGCGAAAAGCGCGTCTGGAGGATTGAGAGGACAGTTGAAAACGTTGGAGTTCGACATGGTGGCTTGAATTGGGATTGTGCAGATAATTACAGCTCGGATTTCACTACCCAATGGACAAAAAAAGAGTTCAAGGCAGATGACGACACCCAAGTTTCCGGCCTGTGAGTAATCGTTGTGCCATTTTTGCATTAGCAAGTGGGGTAGTGGTTAGGGTCGGAGCAAGAGCGATCGTCGAATGGGGATGTACATTGCCGGAAGCGTCAGGGGATGCGACCGTGGAGAAGGCAGGGGCTGTGGATATCAACATTTGCGGACTAAAAACTAAGCTATGCGGGGCACGGTGCAGCTGCAATCCTTATTAACCGCCACGCTGCAGCCGAGGAGGTGGGATGACGCGAATCGGGACAATGCCGAACTATAAGTTATACACCGTATGCTAGCTCACTCGTAAAGGCTGCGGCATTCCAGAGTACTCGTACTGTCCTGGGCTCGCAGTGTGGACGATCTCGTTATAAATAATCCGCCGTAGTTCTTGGACCGGAATGTCTATGTTGCCGTTGGGTCCGGTGTGTTTTTCAAAGCTGAAAAACCCTGCAGGCAGAGGCGCGGCAGTTGGCTCATCGCTTGGGTCATGGTACTGGGCCAAGTAGGGGTGCTCGAGCGCCTGCTCGACAGTGATGCGACGCTCCGGGGAAAAAGTCAGCATTTTTGACAGTAGATCAATAGCCAGATAGTTTGCCTGCGGGTACAGGGAGCGCAGAGACTTGGGAGTGCGGAAGGGCAGGGATTGGATGTACTGCCGGGCCCTTTGCGACTTGATGCTATAATAGTCCTCGTGGGTAGGAGAGCCCAGGACTTCGAGAATCAGCATTAATTGGTCACAGTAGTCTTTTCCGGGGAACAGAGGCGCTCCACCCAGCATTTCGGCCAAAATACAGCCAACGCTCCACACGTCGATTGCTTTGGTATAGTGCTGCATTGTGAGCATGATTTCAGGGGCGCGGTACCACCGGGTGGCCACGTACTCGGTCATGAAGCCAGCACTATTATCCGAGCCGCTGTTGGCCAAGCGGGCCAGTCCGAAATCACACAGCTTTAGGTCGCAATTAGCGTTCAGCAGTAGATTACCCGGTTTCAGGTCTCGGTGCAAGACGTTGGCCGAGTGCATCGCCTTGAGGGCCCGCAGAATCTGATAGGTAAAGTACTGGCAGTGGTCGTCGGTGAGAGTCTGCGACCGGATCACCCGGCTGAGGTCGGTCTCCATCAGCTCCTGGATGAGGTATACGTCGTTGAACTGATCGTAGGAGGGTGGCTTTTGGATGTCGAGGATGGAGATGATATTTTCGTTGTTAAAGTGACGCAGCAATTTAATCTCCCGCAAAGTGCGCAAACAGAACATGGGCCACTCAAACGGGTGGATCTTCTTGATGGCTACCCGTTGACCGCTAGGCTTGTGAAGAGCACTGCACACAATGCCGTATGCGCCCTCTCCAATAACCTCTTCCAGCTCGTAGGCAGGGTCGACTTCGAAGTCCACTTTGCGGGTGTCATTGGTGCTTGATCGATAGGTCAACGTGCGAAGGACGGTTACTGCCATTTCAGAACGAGAAAGAAAAAACAACGGTGGCTGGTATCAATAATTAGCGTCGTGTAGGCACAAACGCACGGTAACAAAGATATCAAGGTTCGCGGTAAACTCCCCTGTGGCAACTTGGGCAAAAACGAAGATAATTAACCTATTCCGTGCAGCCGTAAAGCTAGCCAAACTTGATTATTTTATTCCTTTGTCATGGGTAAGGGTACCACTCCTGGCCAGGAGACGGGTCTCCAGTTTGTGGTTAGTGTCAGATCGTAAGCGAGGGCTCAGCGGTTTGATGCACATCTCCAAGGCACGAAACAGGGTCTCTGCGGCGGTGGGCCCTCTCGCGGTTCCGTCTCACGAAATTATGCTTTTCAGTTTGTTTGGGATTTTTAAATGTGTTGCAAGGACAGGGTTTGGCTCCAAAAAGCTTTTTTCGATCATGCCGCGCACCTGCAGCGAGGTCCGGCCCCCGCGGATCGTTACATAACCGGACGACAGAGGACATAAGACTTCTCGATTGGGAACTGCTTAATTGTAGAGGATATCGATTGTTCAGTGTTGATTGCATCATGCGCCGCACCGTTTTTGTTTTGGAGGTTAAGCGAGTGGCTACTTTCGGTTGCGATGGTTGACACCCAAAAACATGTATTGTAGGTATGCTCCGGCGCTCAATCCTTGGATTACAGCGAATACCGGGTGATATTTTGACGCCCCCCAGTTTGTACAGAGTAAACGGTGAGTTTGTCGAGGTTTTGGCGACTCTGTGACATGTAGCCCCAGGACCCAAGAATGTATCGCGCTGCAAAGCAGGAACGCTCGGACACAACTTCAATCTTAAATTGTAGTATAGCAGTTTGATTTGACGGGAAAAAAAGGTCGTGATGTTTTCTATAGAGGCTCTGGAATATTAATTGATTTGATTTCAGAAATTTTGACTACTCCACGGGTTTTCCCAAAAACCCATGTTTCCATGTCGCTCCCTGCAACATGTCGTCTCTGCATTCTCATGATCGCGGTATAAAAGATCTCAAGTTCCGAGTTTAACACCAGCAAACCATGATTCCAATTCTTTTTCTGACTCTGATCAGCGCTGCGGCTGCTGGTAAGACTGTCACAGTAACCTTCCATGGCTCAACCTACTACCTTACTGGCCCGACCACTCTTCACTGGGCTTCAACAGATACCAAAATCAAGACATTCTACTCTACCGAGGTCAACACTCTCCCGGATGGTACTGATAGCGTTACCAGCCAGCCTGATACCACTTTGATCCCAACTCCTACCAGTACGCCTGCAGATCCTCCTGATACTTCGGCAGATCCTCCTGTTACCTCTGCCAAACCTCCTGCTACCTCTGCCAAACCTCCTGCTACCTCTGCCGATCCTCCTGCTACTTCGGCTAAACCTCCTGCTACTTCAGCGGATCCTCCTGCTACTTCAGCAGACCCTCCTGCTACCTCTGCCGACCCTCCTGCTACCTCTGCCGACCCTCCTGCTACCTCTGCCGACCCTCCTGCTACCTCTGCCGACCCCCCTGCTTCCACTGATAAACCTCCTGCTACCTCTGCTAGCCCCCCTGCTACTTCTGCCGACCCTCCTGCTGATTCGGGAGCCGTGCCTGCTACTACTGTATCTTTCCACGGCTCTGAGTACACATTGACTCACGATACTACTCTCACTTGGCAATCTGTCGAGTCTCGTACTCTCACCTTCGTTTCAACTATTTGGCCCTCCGTTCCTGCTAAACCGACTTCAACTGGTGGAGAGGACGAGGTAACTACTACAATCACCGAGCCTTGTACTCGTTGCACTGAAACTGAACCTGGTACCGTTGAAACCACTGTAACAGAAACCGAAACCTGCACCGAGTGTGAGAAGACCAAATCAAAGGAGACTTCCCAGACCCCTACTCCTGGTCCTTCTTCTAAGAAGCCCGCTCCTGGTCCTTCGTCGAAGAATCCTGCACCTGGTCCTTCATCCAAGAATCCTGCCCCTGGCACCTCATCTGGGAAGCCCGCTCCTGGCCCTTCTTCTCACACCCCTGCTCCTGGCCCCTCCTCTGAGAAGCCCGCTCCCGGTCCTTCCTCCAAGAACCCTGCTCCTGGCCCCTCTTCTGAGAAGCCTGCTCCCGGTCCTTCTTCTGAGAAGCCCGCTCCTGGTCCTTCCTCCAAGAACCCTGCTCCTGGTTCTCCCTCTGAGAAGCCTGCTCCCGGTCCTTCATCTAAGAACCCTGGTCCTAGCCCCTCTTCTGAAAAGCCCGCTCCTGGTCTTTCTTCTGAGAAGCCTGGCCCTTCGTCCAAGTCCCCTGCTCCTACGCAGCCTGCCCCTGGAAACCCGACTCCCACGCAGCCTAAACCTGGAAATCCGACTCCTAATGAGCCTAATACTCCAGAGAATCCTGCCCCCAAGCAACCCTCTCCTGAGTCGCCTGCTCCCCCACAGCCAACCCCTGAGGGACCCAACTCAGACCATACCCCTCCCGATTCTCAGAACCCTCCCACTAATAACAATCCTGGTAAACCAGGCACCAAAAACACTCCTGATGTGCCTGATACCAATAACAACAACCCTCCCGGCCAGTCAGGCTCCAATGATACCCCTGACCAGTCTTCGCCTAACGAAGATACACCTGAAAACCCCAATTCCCCTCAGGCATCATCTCCAAACACACAGCCCGCTGTCTCCCCTGCTGGAACCGGCAACGGCTTAACCCCCTCCAATGGATCGCCCAAGACCTACATTTCAATCCTCGGTTGTCTTGCAGCTCTTGTTGTCGCTCTGTAGACAATTTTATATTAATACATTTAGTTTATTAACTATCCTGTCATTCGCTACAATCGCTACTTCTAGTATCTCCAATGAACCACTTCAGCTCTACAGGTCAAGTCACAGGTCAAGTCACAGGTTGCGGGTAATGTCGTAGCGCACCACGCTCGAAGAGTACAGCTCTGAAAGACCAACTTCAAACCAGCCCAACGATTGAGACTCTGATCGATGCGAATTGATATCTGGCAGCGTTTGACGACATAGGGAATGCCTTGTATTGAGCTGCGGCAGATGTCGGAGCGTTACACAATGTAACAGGGCAGAACTTGCCAACAGATTTTCGACAAACGTCAAGTATTAACTACACAACTATAATGCCAATTAAGAGTAATCAAATTTACTCAATGGTGGACAGGATGTCAGAGTCACCAACCTCCTGGATGGTAACAACACCAACGCGGAAGAGCTTACCGCAAGCGGTACCGAGCTCGTTGTTGGTGCCCTGGAAATGGTGCAAGTGAGTCTTGGAAAGCATGCAGTAGTACTCAATCTCAGACTTGCGGAGGGGAGGGGTGTTGGCGGCGACGATAACGATCTTAGCCTGACCACGGCGGAGAGCCTTAAGGGTGGACTTAAGGCCTAGGGTGTACTTACCCGACTTCATAGCCAGGGCAAGCTTGGAGTTAAAGTTCTCGGCGTTCTTCTTAGTCTTAGGGGCCATCTCGACAGTATCTGCTCCGGCGGAATATACAGACCAAACAAGAGTGGGGGCAGGGATATTTCAGGTTGGGACATGTATAGGGCTCAGCCCTAGGTGGGACAGGTGGGAGTCAGGCCGCTGGGTATTTAGGGCTAACGCAGTCACAAATCGTGATGTGAATGACTCGCACTAGCGGGGGGAGCTCCACCATACTATCCAGAGATGAAGGTTGAGGTCGACACATTTTCTGGCGCCAAGATCTACCCCGGTCGCGGTAAGCTCTTTGTTCGCGGTGACTCCAAGGTCTTCCGTTTCTTCTCGTCCAAGTCCGCTTCCCTGTTCGGCCAGCGCAAGAATCCCCGGCGGATCGCTTGGACCGTTCTGTACCGCCGCCACCACAAGAAGGGCACTATTGAGGAGGTCTCTCGTCGCCGTACTCGCAAGACCGTTAAGAACCAGCGTGCCATTGTTGGTGCTACCCTTGAGTCTATCAAGGAGCGCCGCAGCTTGAAGCCCGATGTCCGCAAGGCCGAGCGTGAGAAGGCCGTTGCCAAAGCCAAGGAGCAGAAGAAGGCCCGTGAGGAGAAGCGTAAGCTCGCCCGCGCCAACGCCCCCAAGGTTTCCAAGCAGCAGGCTAAGGGTGCTCCTGCCCGTGTTGCTCCCACCTCTCGTTAGACTTTTTAATAGCGCTTAGGTTTGCAAAAAAATTCATGTTTTATCGCGTTGACTAGTTAGATCAGTTTTTAGATCGCGCTGGCGGCCTAGCGCCAGCTCCCCCCAGGCAGGTGCAGGGCATGTGCAGGCGTGCTGCAGTCGGCTGGCCACCAAGCGTTGCTCACTTTACGCTGCTCGGCTACTATAGCGTTCTTGCCATTTGCTTTGGCTCGTTTATACTCACTTACACCGCTTCTCCTAGCCTAAACCGCTGCCGGCAACTCCCAACTAATAAGCCAATCGCCGCTTTGGTAATCCTTACTGTCCAATGACCAGCCAAGGCAACGTTGTGCTCCACAACGCTGAATACGAGATCATCGACCAGGACCCTCACTTTTCGCGAGTCGTCAAGTACTTCCGCGGGTCGGACTACCTCAAGATTGCCGCGTTTGCCGCTTCGGGCCCCCTCTTCCTTGCTGCACTCAGTGGTTTTTCATCGGGCGGTAAAAAGTTCCATGTTTCGCCCCGCATGTTCCGTTGGTCCACAGGACTCGGTCTGACGGCTGGATTTTTGAACCAGTACGGCGTTTCGTCGCTGCGGTTCCAGGGCATCAACGAGAACGCCCGTGAAGTCGCTTTGGACCGCTACGAGATCAAGTCTCGGCTGGCCCGCGGTGAGGCTCCCTACGGCGAAAGCCGCATGCCCGAATGGATCCAGAACACTGCTGCTCGCAATTCTACTTATTCCTTCCTCAACATCTCCGTCATTCCTTGGTTCAACCTCGTCAACCACAACCACCATGGCGTGTCGCTGGACCGCTACTACGAGACCCGTCCTGGTGAAGAGAAGTGGGGTTTTGATTTGAAAAAATAGTAGTAAGGCATTAAATTAACTGGCTGGAGCCGTATCGTTTCATTTATGGAGCTCTATAACCCTCCGTGTGTTCTCGAGTAGCTCAAAGCCCCTGTAAACGCACCTTCTGTATGTATTTTCGATTCTACGCGAAACCCCCTAGCAATCATGCTTGTTCGTACTTAATTAATCAAGCACAGCTGCCTTTTTACAGAATATTTTTGGCGGTTTCTTGTTTCAATCACTGCCCGATTACTAACTTTGTTTACAAACATGGACGACGAGGAAGACTATTCGAAGCTTTCTCTCACGGAACGGTGGACGCATTCCAAGTGGAACGTTCGTCAGGGCGCATACAAAGAGGCTGCTGAAGCATTTGCAAAGTCTGACGCGTCGCTCGCGCCGTTCGCCTCAGACCCGTCCCTTCTTAAATCAGCAGCCACTGATGCGAACGTGAATGCTCTGGATTCTGGCGTTCGCGCGGTTGCAGCGTTTTTGGCGTATGCAGATCTCGTCGTTTGCTCAAAGGTGACTGCAGAGGTTTTGCGTCCTATGGCTGAAAAGGGCCTGGGGGCGGTTAAACCTGCCGTCAAAGCGGCAACCGTTGAGACCATTTTAGCATTTGTCGAAAGCTCTTCGGATCCCAGTGCTACTGTAACTGAACTTACTGAGCTCACTGCACATAAATTGCCCAAGGTTATTGCTGCCTCAATTGCTTCTTTGACGGCTATTTACACTCAGTTCGGCACACAGGCGGTAGACCCCAAGCCGGCGTTGGCTGTGCTTCCCAAGCTGTTTGCTCACACTGACCGCACGGTGCGTGCCGAAGCAGTCAAACTGAGTTTGGCACTGTCCTGTTACATCGGGGCGCCAGCTATCTCTGCTGTGCTGTGCGATATCAAACCCGTCCAATTGAAAGAATTACAGGAACAATTCGCGAGTGCGCCCGCCCTTAGCCCTACACGCACATTACGGATCAAAGCATCTTCGGGTGCAGCAGACTCGTCCATGCACGACGAAGTCGTCGAGGAAAGTGAGCCGGTGGAGATTGACCCGTACGACCTTGCTCCCACGGTTAATGTTATGGCGAAAATACCTGTCACCTACGAGCGGATGATGACGTCTTCTAAATGGAAAGAACGGAAAGAAATGCTTGACGAGATTGTTAATATTTTGAACGTGCCAAAGATGAACACCGAAAGTGACTACATGAACCTCGTTCGGACTCTGTTGCCGATTATTGCAAAAGACGCGAATATAATGTGTGCTACACAAGCAATGATTGCGATTATGCATTTGTCTAATGGATTGAGGTCAAGCTTTGGCCGATACGCTTCACGCGACCTTCTGCAGGCCATCGTCGACCGATTCAAGGAGAAGAAAGTGACTGTGCTGGAAGCTGCCTCAGGAGCTCTACATGCACTAGTCCAGTCGCTTTCACTCACCGATGTGTTTGATACGGTTGTTGGTAATTTTTCGTCTAAGGTCCCCCAAATCAAGATTGAATGCACAAAGTTTGTGGCAAGTGAGCTTGCGCAGGCAAAAGAAATCCCCCCACACGCTGTTATACAAGAAGTTGTCGCTGCTGGCATCAAACTAATGAATGATACCCAAGAGTCAGTTCGAAGACAGAGTGCTATCCTGCTGGGAACTATTATGAAGATGGTCGGGGAGCGTGCGCTTGCGTCGGCCCTGCAGTCCCTTGACGACATTCGTATGGCAAAGGTTCGTGAGGCCTATGAGTCTGCAGTTGTATCTGTCAAGCCCACTGTGCCAACAACCAAGGCTGCTCCAGCTGCCAGCTCTGCAAGGAGTGCGGCGCGCCCCATGGCAGCCCCTCCCCGCAGGCGTGAGGCTCCTTCCGCCCCCCCAGCTGCCTCCCCTCCTAAACCACCGGCAGCTACACCGGTAAAGAAATCTGGAGCACGAACTGTGCATGGCGCAGAGTTTACGCCTGCTCGCCAGCCGCCGGCTGCTCGACGCCGGATGGTGTCGCCTATCAAACCACCTGCGGAACGGCCCATTGCCCGCCCATCCCGGCTCACCGCCCCACAAGAGGCACATCCAGACATGGATTTTGATAGCGATATTGAGGAGCTCCAGCGTACGATTCGGCGGTTGGAAGATCAATGTGAAAGCTACAAGGTGCGGCTGGAAGCAGAACAGAGTCGTCGCGAAGCAGTGGATGCAGAGAACCAGGCACTCAGAGAGCAGCTAAATGCCGCTCGTCAATCTCAGAATGATATGGAGAGTGTCAGCGTGCGTATGAATAGTATGTCGCTCGACTCGCGACGGATCTCAGCCCTGCGGCCGCTTTCGCGCAGCAGCAGCGGAGGAGCGGGCGGCAATGGCGAGGAGCCGCACCACCGAAGCCACAGCCGGCTTGTCCCTATTGCGCCACCCTCCGATCCGCCCAAGACCCCGGCACGATCGCCTCGAATGAGCATGCCTGCCCAGATGGAGAGCTCGCCAGTAAGCCAGGAGAACTGGAGGCGTGCTGCAGAAGTGACGAGCGAGCTGAAAAGGCGCATTGAGGCCATGAAACGCCAACGGGGCACCGCTTAATATTTAAATATCTTCTTAGTTTATAGAAATCGTACACCCAACCTTCCGGCCAATGCGACCTCGGGTCAAATTTCAACTGGGCAAGGGTTTTCAGGGGGAAACGCTGGGAATTAAGGGCAGGGTGTGGGGACCCAACCTCTTCTCCCCACAGACCAATGAGCACCAAACTCCGAATTATGGTACCCGTGAAGCGGGTTGTTGACGCTGCAATTCGCCCCCGGGTGAACAAGGCCCAGACCGGCATTGAGACGCAGGGTGTCAAGTACAGCATCAATCCGTTCTGCGACATTGCCGTTGAGGAAGCACTGCGCTTGCGGGAGGGCAACAAGGACCTGGTTGAGTCTATCCACGCCGTTTCGGTTGGCGGAAAGAAGTCGCAGGAGGTGCTGCGGACTGCTCTCGCCAAGGGTGTGGACACTTCTACTCTTGTTGATGTTGGCGAGAAGGAGGTCGAGACGCTGAGCGTCGCCAAGGTCCTGGCCAAGCTCGTGGAGCAGCAGAAGTCCAACTTTGTGCTTTTGGGCAAGCAGGCTATTGATTCGGACGCCAACCACACCGGCCAGATGCTTGCCGGGCTGCTGGGCTGGCCGCAGGCTACCAACGCAGCCAAGATCGAGATTTCCGGCGACGAGGTCACCGTTACCCGCGAGATCGACGGTGGTGAGGAAGTCGTCAAGGCCAAGCTGCCCATGATTGTCACCACCGACCTGCGTCTCAACGAGCCCCGCTACGCCAGTCTGCCGAATATCATGAAGGCCAAAAAGAAGCCTCTGGACACCGTCACTGCAGACTCGCTCGGGGTCGACATCACCCCCCGCGTCGAGATTCTCAAGGTCGCAGAGCCCCCCGCCCGCGGTGCCGGCGTGACTGTTGAAACGACTGATGACTTTATTGCCAAAATTAAGGAGAAGGGTGCCTTGTAACTCCGTAAATAGAACTGAAATCTGCGCTTTTTCGTAATGTTCCTCTTATCGTTTTACCTAATGGATAAGATTGTTGAGCAGCTGGTCAAATCCCGGGTGGGCCTGAAACCGCTGCTGGTTGGGGTCTCTGGGTGCCAGGGCTCTGGCAAAACGACACTAACTAACCGCGCAGCACAGGATTTGAATGACCAAGGCATTGCGACGATTGCCATTTCCATTGACGACTTCTATCTTCCCCATGCTGACCAGGTAAAGCTGGCTGCCCGGGGAAATCCGCTGTGGCAGAAACGCGGCCTTTTTGCCAGCCACGACGTAGAGTCGATGATCAAAGTGCTTCAGGACCTCAAAAGCGGCTGTGATACAGTGGTGCCTATTTACGACAAGTCGCAGTTCAACGGCCAGGGCGACCGGGTAGGCCTCCGCCGAGTCACCGGCAAGTACCAGGCCATTCTGATCGAGGGCTGGTGTCTTGGGTTCCACTCAATTGGCAAGCCTGCTATTGAAAAGGCCCTCGAGGGCCCCGGCTTCCCGGCAACAAAGCTGTACAAGCTCGCGGACCTCGCCGAGATCGACGACGCCATGCACGCATACGAACCGGTGTGGTCTGCGCTTGATCTCACGGTTTATTTGCGGCCCGAGCAGCTCGACTTTGTGTATTCCTGGCGTCTGCAGCAGGAGCACGACCTGCGGTCCAAGCTCGGAACTGGCATGTCCGACGACGAGGTCAAGCAGTTCGTCGACCAGTACATGCCGGCCTACGAGCTGTACAAAGACACTGTCAAGTTCGATCTGTCGTTCCTACTTCACTTCGATAGAAGCTTCGAGCGGCTCAATTAATGTTCCAAAACTATAGTTTATATTTTTTTTTCCTTAGTCAAAGCTAACGCGTCAAGATGTCCACTGCGCGGATTGATTCTGACGAGGAGAGCCTGGGCTCAATAGAGTCGCTGGATCACGAGCTGGATCCGAGCTTGGCTGGCGAAGACGGTCCGTCTGTTGGTCTGCTGGGCCAGCCCAACAGCTTCATTATCGGTATAGCCGAGCAGCACGGGAAATCAAATCTCCGCATGGCGTTCATGAATATGGCGAATTCGATTATCGGTGCAGGCATCATTGGCCAGCCGTACGCATTGCGACAAGCAGGACTGCTTGCTGGTGTGATTCTCCTTTGCGTATTGACCGTGGTCATTGACTGGACAATCAGGCTGATGGTGACGAACGCCAAGCTGAGCGGAACAAAGACTTATCAGGGCACTGTAGAGCATTGCTTCGGCAAGCCGGGTCTTATTGCTGTGTCGCTATCTCAGGGACTTTTCGCCTTTGGCGGTTCAATGGCATTTTGTGTGATTATTGGCGATACGATCCCGCACGTCCTGGCCGCGGTGTTTCCAGGGCTCAAAAACATTCCGGTTCTTAGTTTGTTGACCCACCGCAACCCGGTCATTCTTCTATTTGTTATGGGCATCTCGTACCCGCTGTCACTCAATCGGAACATCACTGCATTGGCCAAAGCCAGCATGCTGGCCCTGGTCTCTATGTTCGTCATTACCCTCACTGTTATCATAAGAGGCCCCGCTCTGACCCCTGAGGACGCACACATGACAACGCCTCTTCTCACGATCAATTCTGGATTTTTCCAGGCCGTGTCGGTTATTTCGTTCGCCTTTGTCTGTCACCATAACAGCCTGCTTATTTTCGATTCCCTGAAAACGCCCAGCATGGACAGATTCAAGATCGTCACGCACTGGAGCACGTTCGTATCAATGGTTGCGTGTCTGTTTATGGGCATCTCTGGGTTCTTGAGTTTCCAAAACAAAACAAAGGGGAATGTGCTAAACAACTTCCCCGCGGACGATACTATGGCGAACGTGGCCAGGTTTTGCTTTGGCCTGAACATGGTGACTACCTTCCCTCTCGAGATTTTCGTTTGCCGCGAAGTGCTCATCGAGTACCTGTACCCCGGCGAACCGTTTGTGAAAAAGAGGCATGTCACTGCAACGACCGTGCTCACCCTGGTTGCAATGGGCGTTGCACTGACAACCTGCAACCTTGGCATTATTCTAGAACTTGTTGGTGCATCATCTGCATGCTCAATGGCCTACATTCTACCGCCGTTGTGCTTTGTTAAATTATCCAAAAAACACCCCCGATCTCGCACCAAAATCGCGTGCTATGCATGTGCCGCGTTCGGCGCGCTGGTTATGGTCATTTCAACAACCCAATCACTCGCAGCTATGTTTACTGAAACGGAGCATTCGCCCTGTGTATAGTGCTCTTTGATATTTAATACTTTACATATAAAACCTTGTCTTTGCCTACTTTCTGTCCGCCTGACTTTGTCATCCCCCATATTATGCGATGTCTCCGTTGAAAGAATATTTGAAGAGTAAGTTGGGAAGCGCAATGCAGCAGCAGCAAGGGTATAAGTACTAACAAAAGAAAAGGTAGCGGTTATAACGACAGACGGCTCATATTTTGTGGGCGTGCTAGAAGGGTTCGATGGCCCAACAAATATTGTTCTGCGGCAGGCCGAAGAGCGTATATTGTCGGATCAGCCCGCCAAAATACAATATCTTGGTTTATATATAATACGAGGCGAACTGGTGGCGACGATTGGCCTAGTAGACCACGAGCTAGACTCGAAAATCGACTGGAGTACGGTCAGGGCCGAGCGCATTGGCACCACGCGACACAAGTACTGATGTATATAATCTATTTAATCACTATCATCATCGTCTACAAACAATTGCCTGCGTAAAGTCGAGGGTTCGGGGATATCGTCGTCCTCAGGCTCAGCACGTTCTTTTATTGACGCGACTCTTTCAGAAATTGTAGCGTCGTCTCCGCCCATATCGTCATCAGAGCTGTCGACAAAGACCGAAGTCTTGATTTCACGCCGTCTTTGCTCATCGCGGGCTTCAGCCGACCGTCGTTTTTTGCCGGCAGGCTCGTCCTCCTCAGCCGCTCTTGCCCGTTTGCGTGTTTTACTTATGGCAAGCTTGGCTTTCTTGCGGGCTTTTTGCTCCTCGGCACTGAGAGGTTGCAGTCGGGGATCTGCAAACCCGTCAACCTCATCTTCCTCCTCACTAGCGGAGCTTTCTGGAGCCTCTTCAGTGGGTTTAGCAGACTCGAGGAAGTCGTTTGCAACTTGATTATCACCAAAGTCAACGGCTTCATGCAAATATTTGGATATCAAATCGACTGCAGTCACAAGTTCAACCGCGGTAAGCGTTGAAGGCACAATGTACTTGTTCTGCACCCAAGTACAGCCTATAAGTCGCATCAGCAACCTAAGAAGAGGATCTCCGTACAAAACCTTGATCTTTTGACGATCGGTGGTGAGCGGACGTGAAATCGGTGTTTCCGAAGCCAAATCTATGAACGGCTGAAGCGTGTTGAGAACCCACGTAACATGGCTCTTTTTGTCTTGGTCAAGCAACGCGGCAACCGTTACTGCGAAACTCTGTTCTTGCGACATATCATCTTTCAGTTCAAGCTCGTACTCGGGTGCCTTCAGAGTTCCAGAATCGGCCTTGTCATGGCCATGTTCCAAGTAGAAAATCTCACTCTGCATTTTATCAAAGAGAATCTCCACAAATAGGGAGGGCGTACGGTCCAGAGCCGCAATTAACTTGTTTGTAAAGTAGTTCATAAACAGTGTGACCTGATTTTTCAAAGGGCTTGCCGATGCCAAGCCATTCTGGGAGCTCGTCAGAGTGGTGAGATGCTTGATCATGCTGAGCCGATAGAAAAGAACCCGGTTTCCGGCCTTGACAAAATGCCGGTGAAAAAATGCTAAAACATGCTGGATAATACGGTCTTCCACGTCGCGGAAATTAGACAAGATCACTTCATACAGATCAAGAGTGTGTTCATTGTAATACTTGCGTTCGAACTTTGCAAACTCAAACTTCCGCTCAGTGGTGACACGATCAGCCTCTTGGATTTCAGACTCATCGTCGGAGCCTTCATATTCTGGTTCAAATCTTGGGGCATTTGACTTGGACTTCTTTGCTCTCTGGCGTTTGGCCTTGACAAAGACATATGTGTGCTGCTGCGAGTATTCTTGGAGCATTTTGAGCAAGACATGGGTCAGCTCTACGCACTCTACGGCAAAAGACAAGGATTTTTTGCTCGCATACTTGGGAAGTTGTGCGAGCAAGTCCAGCCAAAGTTCCTGGTAAAATAGACGAGCTTTGATACTGTCTGCTGCGTCCACCCATTCTGGGTCGGAATTGAATCCCATCTCACGAACCAGCATGAGAATATTTCGGAAGCAGAACATGCTTGAATGCACTAAATCCGTACTTCTAGACTCGCCCATTTCGTATCCCTTGTTGAGCAAATTCATCACGACAATAAATGTGTTGTGATTCAAGCAGCTTCCCACAAGTTGAAAATCACTCCTTTGTGGGTGTCTCTGCTGCTCTGCACTCAGAAACCACCCAACAAGATAAAGAAAATGCACATAGTTGTTGGCAACGATTCTGTCGTTGTCTTGTTCAATGAGTCCACGAATTTTGATAAATAAAGGGTTGAACGCAGTGTCAATAAATTTGTTGGTGAACTTGACAACCGCATCGGCTGCTTCTTCAGTTAGGCTTTCTGTAACGTTCCATTTTTCTTTCTCGTCGTTAGTCCTCCGTTTTGGTTTGTGCCATTTCTTTTTATCGTCGATATCCTCCAGGGTTTGTTTCACACCAGAAATTGCCCGCTGTCCACTAACACTCAGTCGTCCCTCGCCAGGAACACTCATGGAAACCAGCGTTCCGAAACGACTATGCCGGGTGGGCTGGAAAGCGCTTCGTTGCAGCTGTTTCTCGGCCTCTAGAAGGGACACAAGGTCTCGCTTCACGACATCTTTGCTACTTTCTCCACTGAAGATCCGCTCCACGTCAATGCCTCTCAGCAAATAGTACAATGACTCGAGCACAGACACATCTTGGACATCGAAATTAGACCCCATTCCTGCAGCCATGGTGATAAGAAACTCGAGCACTTTTTGCCGGTCAAATTCTTGTATGGTCGCAGATCGGCCAATATCATCGTTTTTCTGGTCTGTTGGCGAGATTTCGAGCAAATTGCGGAAGAGCAACACGACCAATTTGAGAATTCCTTCATCGCGCGCGGTTCGATCTAATGGCTTTAGTTTGAGCGAAGGGACCGCCAGTCGCAATACAGCGCGGAAAACCACATGCTGAGGGTGGGTTAGCAAGGCCCGTTTATACTTTTCGCGAGCATCCCTCAAAAATGGATAGTTTCGCGAGTGGTTTACTGTCGACACGGCCGGATCCAACGTAATGGGCCAAGTCAATGGCACCAGTAATTCCAAGCAAGCCAGTGCGATGCGGTCGTAGTGCGGCGGACACATGCTTGCTCGCTTTTTCAGTTCCCAGCTCGAGAGAATCTCTATTAGATCGACGGTAACCAAAGACGTTTCCGAGATCGCGCGCGCGACATCCCACCGATTGAGTTTGTCGTCGTACAGATGGAGCCACTTTTTGAGATCCCGAAGACATGCCAGCGCCTCGTCACCAAGCTTATAGGCATGCTGGGGATCAGCAATGTCCGGAGCACCCAGAGCAGATACGAGGTTGACCACGTACTGCTTCAACTCGGGCTCCACACCTTCCATGACGCGTCGCGATTTGTAATTAAGCTGAAAATCTCAAAGCTGGGGATTTTTCACTGTGGGGAATAGCAGCTATCACCGGTACTATGTGTAAACAGAAAACAAGGACTATATTTTACGGGTGAGCTGTTCGCTGCCAATATCTCCGGCAGGATCAATTCCAGCGTGACGCATCTTGACGGCCAATTCAAGCAGATAGTCGATAGCCTCGTTGATGATCTTGGCTTTCCAGACGTTGGCGCCCCACACATAGAGGCCGTGACGACGTACCAAAACTGCCGGAGCCATTGGGTACTCAAGCAGGGCCTTTTCGAGATCCGGCGCCAGATCCTCTTCGTGCGCGGTGTTTTCAATGATGGGAATGACCAGAGTATCGAAAAAGCTGAGGTTTCCAGGCTCGACTACTTTGGGAATTGCCTTGACCTGCTCGATGTTGGCTATGCGGAATTCTCTACCCCATAACAACGACGCCATGACGGCGTTCTGGGAATGGGTGTGGATGCATGCACCAGCCCTGCGTTGCTCGTAGCACGCCATGAACAACGGAGTGCAAGCAGATGGCTTGTAAAGTTCCGGTTTGGAGACGTATGTTTTGGATTTGGTGTCGTACACAAATAGATCCACCGGGTTCATACGTTCCTTCTGCACTCCGCTGGGAGCAACGTAGACAAGGTCGCCGTCTTTGATGCTCATACCTCCCGCGGTGCCTGTAACCCAGCCCTGCGCATAGAACAATTTGCATAGCTCAACGATGATCTTAGCGGGATCAGTTTCTTCGGGCACATACTGAGCATTGGTGTCGGACCCCATGGGCAACTTGCAAACAATTATGTAAGGGATAGCGAGTATGGATATTTACCGAAAAGAGGGCCCTCGATTGACCCCAAGAGATAGTTCAATTGGTAATTGTGGCGATCTGAGCCCCCTCCAAATACCTGGAGATGCTGCCCATATATTTGCAGCTGCCTGCATTATTCCCAACCCCAAACCTGCGCCGCATGGATGTATATAAATCTGAAATCGCCACGGGGAATTGCAGTATCACTATGCCTCTCTTCGGAAACCGCTGGACCACTCTCAAAGTAATTGCTTTCTTCGCCTTCGCGCTCATCGTCTACCAGACCCCGCAGCCTAGCTGGTGGGCCCACGAGGTACACCACTGGTTCCCCAAGTGGATCAACTATATTCTCGACGCAATCGTGTACCTTGTTGTTGTTGGCCTCGTTTTCGTCAGTCTCGAGAATGCGGAGGACAGTCGAGTGAGTTTAGCCTGACCCCGCCAGTCGCCCCGTTGTTAGTGTAGCATCAATTAGTCAAGTTAAATACGGCATTTAGCCCCAGTAGCTCGGTGACCGCTCTGTGGGACTTCTAGAATACGCTCCGTTCATGCTATCACCCTCGAGCATCGACGGAATGTCGGCTGCACTGTCCCGCCGCGTGTTGAGACTTGCCATCAACGACGGCAGGAGGTCGGCTTCAATCGTCCGCGACGAGCGGTACTTTTTGGTCAGGAATCGATGGGACAAGCATTCTTGCGCACTCATCCGCTCCAGCGGATCCAGTTTAAGACATCCTTGAATAAAGTCAATGCAGTCTCGGGTGGCATGGATCCAGTGCTCGGCAGGTTCAAACTGGTATTCACCTTTGATGATAGCCTCGCGCTCTTCAACAGGGTTGTCGCGGTCAAAAGGAACGTAGCCACACATCAAAAAGTAGGTGATGACGCCAATTGCCCAGATATCCACCGGCTTCCCGTGACCGGTTTTTGTAAATACTTCGGGAGCCATATAACTAGGTGTGCCACACGTAGTGGTCAGGATGCGGAATTTTTCTTCGTCAATAATGCGGCTGAGTCCGAAGTCACAAATCAACAGCGGCGAAGTCTCGCTGGTGGTCTTGAACAGCAAGTTCTCGGGCTTGAGGTCACGATGAACAATACCGTGCTCATGGAGATGGGCAACCCCACTAACCACCTGCTTCATAATGTGTGCGGCATCCGATTCATAGAATGTGCCGTTGCTGTAGAGCCTATCAAAGAGCTCACCGCCCCGAGCAAGCTCGGTGATAAGGTACAGGCTGTGCTCTGTTTCGAAATAGTCGACCAAACTCAGAATATGAGGCTGGTTTTTACTAACGCGCCGCAAAACAACAATTTCGTTGCGTACGAGAAACTCACGGCCCCGCATGAGTCTCTTGTTTATGATCTTGGCTGCGTAGTATTTGCCGGTAGGTTTGTGAATAGCCTCTCTGACGACAGAATATGTTCCTTTCCCGAGCTCTTTACCGAGATCATAAATGCAGTCCTGCGGCGGTGGCCGTAGCTTGATTTTTTCCTTCTTCAAGGCCTCTATCTCCTGCTCTTTAGTGCGCGGAGGATTGTCCTGGCTGGGCCGTCGGCTGGAGGGCTCGGTCACCGGTACCGCCTGCACAGTAGGCGCTGGAGGCGGCGAGCGCTTGGGCTCCAAAAAGGAGTCGGACATGGCGCGCTCGGTAGATGCCCCGGTTGAAGTTTGCAGCCGGACCCGCGACCCTGATCGCGAGGGTGTGACAGGCGTGGGAGGCGTTTCGCCGCAAGACGGCGACTTTTCGGGCTTGCTGTCCATCTGCAACGACGTCTGCGACGTTCTAGGAGAACTTTGTTGGGACAATTTAACAGTGGTCGGTGTTGAAACAAATTGTGAAAACACTAGCTGGAGACTAGCGCGCAATAGCTAAGAATCGACTGGAATATGTGCGAGTAAAAACGCGATCCTACCTAGACCTTAGTACACAAAAGGCGTTGCCCTTTTGTTGGCCGAATTCGTGGTCAAGAGGACGTATTTGGCAGTACGATCCTATGGGTGTATCTTAAAACGACTGGTCTTTACGTCACCCATGGGCCTCTTGGTGCTGAGGGGTAAGGGAGAGGGGTGTTGGATGCGGCCTTTTGCTACACGGCAGGGGGAGCCGGCTGAGAAGCTGGAGCGGGTTGTAGGGCGTTCGGCAGTGGTTTTTATCAGTGCTCAGGCTGAATGCAGCGGTGTTGTGGGGGTCACGTTTAGAGACTGCAGTAAGCCCCTGTCCGGAAAAACTTGGTACATGCACCCCGCAGCCGATGTGCATATAGTTGCGAAAGCCTCGTGGGGAGCGGCAATGGCGAGTTCCACGCGCACGTTCGGTGCCTGGGCCTACAAATCTGCCGTGTCCATTGCCATTGCTCGTCCCTGCCTCCATCGCAGTTTGCACCCCTCTACACCCCTTCGGTAATATAGCCACTAATCTATTCCCAACTAAGAAATCATTGCGACAGTTTACAAGGTGGTACGATATCTCGACCTCGAGCAGAGAAAGTGCCTTAATAATTGATCCACCAATTAATTGCGTTGATTTCTTCGCAATCGAACCAAAATGGGCCAAGCAACCTCTGTTCAGGCGTCGCCGTCTGAGCCTGCTGCGGCCGGTGAACCGACGTCGGCTGAGCCTGGCACCCAGGTAGGGTGCTCGCAGCCAGACTCTCCTTCCCGCAACATATGGAGACGGTTTTCCGACCGATGTTCGCGGCCATTCCGCCGCGGCCGCTACAGCGACAGCTATTGCCGTATTGGGAGCCGGCCTCACCGGTTTGCCTCTGTGCCGACAGAAAAAGGATCGCCCACACAACAGCGACAAGGCCCTCCACCGCTGGTTGAAGAGACGCCACATGATATAAGTGCTAGATTTGGTTCTCCTATGCCGCCCTCCAGTTCCACAGAGTTGCCTCAGCCACCACGAACGCCATCGAGACCTCCACCGTCACACGACCCATTGGCTTTGCCGCCGCGACATGGGCTGGATTTCACGACGCCTTTGGAGTCAAATATGGCCTGGACAGACATTGGAGATGACTCGGAACGCACGCCGCGCAACCTGGGTGGAAGCGAAGGCCCAGCAATGCTCATTAGCCAGGTGCTGGCGCTCGCTGCATCAATCACTGCTCGCCAGCTATTTGGATACCGTCCAGAGTCTCAAAACGATGACCAGTTTTCGGCATTTTTGGACTCGTTGTATAATGGTTTCCAAAGCAGTGAAATCAGCTCCATGCTGAGCGGGCAGCAGAGCGAGAACGACAACGCGCAGGATAGTGACGACACCAACCAAAGTACAAACAATAATAATGATGATGACGACGGCGATGCGGCGAGCCACTCGGAGTCTCGGCGCCCGCCAGGATACTTTAGAATGTTCCGTTTCCGAGAAACCGATGCAGGGATGATTCCTGTTATTATCGTTAGTATGCGTCCGGCGAATCCCAGCCTACTGGATTTCGTGCGAGAAACCCCTTCCCATGAAGCAGACGAGGTTCCTTGGGACCTGGGCCCCCTATCGCCGCGCCCCCCGCCTCTGCCTTCATTCGAAGACCATTTCCCGCCGCCCTTGCATGCACCACCGCCGCCCCCGCCTTTGCACCACCCTCAGGCCCCAGCTCATGTCCCGCTTGCTGTTCCGTTCGAAACCGAACAGCCGGAAAGACCGGAGGAGGAACCTCTGCTCAGTCGCAGAGAAAGGGGAACCCAAGCGTCGTGGATCATCTACGTCTGGGGTGGGACATACCCCCCAAACCACCCGATTTTCATGGCCCCCAGCTTGCTAACCGATGATCCGACGTACGAGGACCTACTGTACATTCAGGAGCTCATGGGACAACACAAGCCGCCTATCGCTTCGCAAAACGCCTTGGACCGCCTGGGTGGAGAGCTCACCGTCACCACGGGCTCGGCTCTTCTCGGCGACCGCTGCGCAGTTTGTCTCACCGACTTTGCTGAAAACGATACCTGCCGCAAGTTGGCTTGCAGCCACACATACCACCAACTCTGTATCGATAAGTGGCTCTCGGAAAGTCAAAACACTTGCCCGCTCTGTCGAGAGGTCGGCGCCCCAGAGGCAGACGCCGACGCATAACTTCTATTGCATTCTTTATTTAACATATATAGCTCGTGTTTCACGGTTCTACCAGCGGTTTTCTTCCGGTCGTTGCGGGGACAACCCGGCACAATCTAAACATCTAATTAGCATGTTTGGGAACGCGTCGCGTAAGCATGGACCCGAAGGCAGCGATCGTGAACTGGGAATCGTCGTCGCCCCCGCGGCCCAAGCCCATGGCTTTGGACGTTTCCTGCGATCAGACTCCTCTAAGAGGGTCCGGGCCGAAGTATGCACCGTCGTCAGAAAACTCCAATGCGAACGATCCGGTGGACGACCTGCTGGGAAAGTACCAAATCAACCCTTTGCGGTCCTCTCCGCCGCCTACATGGCCAATTCCTCTGGCCAAGCCAGCACAGAAGTTCTTTTCTGAGTCTTCGTCTTCGAACCCCCTCACCGCGGCGGCCATGAGACTGTACAGTCCAGGCTATCTCAAGCGCCCTAGATCAATAGGCCCGCTCACGCCGCTCAAGCCCAGAAAGACCGTGAGCGCCAAGTTCGTTTTGGATGACGACGACGACGACAGCAACTTTAGCTTTCTAGGTAAAGAGAATATCCCTCCTCTTTCCGATGACGACGACCTGGACTTTGGGGCTCTGTTGGCCCAAAAGGCGCCAACGCCCCCTGAAGATAGTGTCAAATACCCCAACCTACCCGAGCCGGTTCTCGCATACAAGGAATCTCCATTAGAGATTCACCCCACACCATCACAATGTCACCGCTTTGTAGTAGAGGTGGTAGGAATCGAGGCTGATCACACTGTGCTTGTTTGTAAAGGTTTGAAGGGAACTGTCACGATAGAAGTCCGGGACACTTGGAGACAGATTCAATTCGAAACCAATGATGTGGTGCATATTCTCGGCGATATCAATGGGTCTGAAAACATCGTCGTTAGCCATGCCACCCAGCTTATATTGGTTTTGAACCCTGACACTCTTCTGGCCTGCACGGCCGTTGCAGAATCGTTTAATTGCGAGCGCCAGATTGTGCTCAGAAATCGCCTGCGCACCCCTAGCGATAGCAATGTTGCAATGATCTACGGAGTTATTATCCACGAGTTAATCCAAGTCTGTCTGTTGGAGAACTCCTTCAGTATACCTTTCATGGAGGAGAAGCTTGAGAATGACATCATTGACCGTTTTGTCGAGGATCTCATGGTCCTGGAGCTTGAACCGAAGTTTGCTCTTGAGGAAATAAAAGAGCGTCTTCCGCAGATTGTCAAATGGGCTGCCACCGCTCTATGTCCAGGCCGCCCATTGTTCAAGGCGCCGATTCATCGATCTTCAAAGGAGCTGACGGTCAAAATCAGTCGCACTCTTGTAATTGAGGAAGAAATCTGGTCGCCGCGGTATGGTCTAAAAGGGAAAATCGATGCTGTGGTAGCAGCCTCGACTGGCGGCCCAGAGTTTACAAGTGCTTTAGAGATCAAAACTGGCTCCATGTCAGGATTTTCTTCTTCTGCCCATCGTGCACAGGTTATGCTATATTCTCTTTTACTCAAAGAACGCTACGAAAAGATTTTGCCGTGGATGCTTCTCTACTACGCCCAAGAAGCTGCTATGATAGCTGTGCGACCAATGATCGATGAGATCAGAGGGCTCATTTTGAGACGCAATATGCTCGTTCGTCATATAAATCGCCCCGCTCGGCTTCCGTGGCATACATCGTCATCATTTGATTGCAAGTATTGCGTTCGTAAGGACGACTGCACGGTTTTCACGGCCGCTAATGCTGAGCATAAGGCCGAGGATAACCCGGGCATCAAAATTGCCGAAAATCTCATGGAACAGGCTACAAAATGGTCATCGAACCAGTTGGCCTTTTTCCGTCACTGGGACCGTCTTCTCGTTTATGAGGACATCGAGACAAACCGGCTTACCCGAGACATCTGGTGCATGGACGCTGAAACGCGCGAGGCCACTGGTAAGTGCCTCGCAAATATTCAGATTTCTCTGAGATCATACAAAAAAGAGTCAATCAAATCGACTTATGTCTACATTGGTACGAGGTCCGTCCCACTGCCCGATATTGACCAAACAGGCTTTAACTATTTCAGTCCAATTGTTGTCAGCTCGTCAAAAAACGTTGCCGAAGCCACTGGTTCTATATACAAGTTGAATTCTGAGGAAGTGGAGTTTGTTGCCAACCATGAACTGGATCAATCAGAGACATATCGGCTCGATCTTGAAGACCATCAGCACTTCCTTTCCGTCAGTAAATACAATCTACTGAGGATGTTTGTTGAACGCCCACGTCTTCTTGAGCTTGTTGTAGACCTCAAAGCGCCGATATTCGACACTAGTGTCAAGGTGCCCATCTCGCCAGGTCTGAACGACGACCAAACAGGTGCTCTAAGAAAGGTTATGCAAACCAAGGATTATACCTTGATCCTAGGCATGCCAGGTACTGGCAAAACCACAACTATTGTATCTATTGTTCAGGCATTGCTGGCACAGGGTAAAAGCGTATTCATATCGGCAAACACGCACTCAGCAGTCGATAACATTGTGTTGAAACTCATGAACTTGAACATAGATCTTTTGCGCGTGGGATACGCGACCAGGGTGAACCCACAAGTTCAAAGGTTCATGGCAGCTCGTGAAGCTAAACTAGACCCGAATTTGGAGCCCTCAGCAAGGCTCGAGCAATTGTATCTCAACGTACCCGTTGTAGCTGCAACGTGCCTAACCATCAACAGCTGGCTATTTTCACGACGCCACTTTGACTATTGCATTATCGATGAAGCTTCTCAAATCACACTTCCCACGTGCTTAGGCCCATTGCGGCATGCTGACCGTTTCGTCCTCGTCGGTGACCATTTTCAGCTTCAGCCGATTGTTCACAGTGCAGTTGCTCGTCAAAATGGACTGGGTGAGTCTTTATTCAAAAGGCTTTGTGATGCTCATCCAAGTGCAGTAGTAAACCTTTCTCACCAGTATCGTATGAATGGCGACATCATGAATCTTTCGAGCACTTTGATTTATAACGGTATGCTCAAGTGCGGGAGTGAAGCTGTGAAAAATGCGCGGCTCTCACTTCCCAAGCAGATTCATTTCAGCCCTAATTGGATCAAACCTGTACTTGACTCTAATAACAGTGTTGTTTTCCTAAACACTGATGAAGTGGGTGCTCCTGAGGAGGAACGCACTGATGGCGTCGCCAACCCCAAGGAATCCAAAATCATATTGGATATTATAACCTATTTTGTTGATCATGGCGGTATTCAGCAGTCTGACATTGGTGTCATTTCTGTCTACCGAGCTCAGTTGAGACTTATCAAAGAGCGCTTGAGCAAATACAAGGAGCTTGATGTGCTAACTGCCGATCAGGCTCAAGGTCGTGACAAAAACTGCATCGTCATTTCTCTTGTGCGCTCTAACAATGACAAGAGAGTGGGCGATCTTCTCCGCGATTGGAGGAGAATTAATGTTTGCTTCACCAGGGCGAAATCGAAGCTTGTGATCGTTGGATCACGAAGAACACTAACTTATGCACCTACTCTTGAGAAGTTTTTGAAAATCATAGAGACAAACGGGTGGATGTGGAACGCTTGACGCATTGCTCCTGTCTCAACTAAAAGAGCTATCCCTTTATATGTTCCGAACTCTGTTCATATTCATCATTTTAAAAACGTTGCTCCTACTTTTCAAGCTATGCGAACCGCTTTCGTCATGTTCGTCAGTTCGCCCTGTCTGGTTGGTAATAGCATTTCCAGCTTTCCCATTTCGAAGGCTAGCTTCTGTCGATTCCCAGAGGTATTATTCGGTCCCTTCGTGTGCTTGGTAAATCATAATCACGCTGTTTAAGCTATTATTTTTAAAATCGTCTTGAGTACTCTGTTCTACCAACTGATCAATGAGGCACCTCCATCTTCTGTGAGCACAAGTAGCGAAGATTTCAGAGAAATGGTCAAGCATTTTGGCCAATTGAGACAAAATCTACAGGTAATGGACTCTTATAACACGGCCCTCAATACGCAGGAGCAAAATATAAATTCTCACCAACCATAACCATCGATGTAGCTTAGTTGCAGAGCCCGAATTGAAGATCTGATAAGCTTGCTGTATCTTCCTCGTACAATATTTCGTGATCAGCACCAAGACTACTAAGCATATTGTACGTGAACAAGCCGTGATATCAACTGTTACGCTCAAACTGAGTTGGTGAACTACCGGCTTGCGGTAGAAAACATGAAAAACTTTGTCGATACAATTGAGTAATTCAGCTTCAAGTCTACTACAATCTGCTTCTGAACAACATCACTAGTGGCTTCTCGATCACTTGGGCAATTCAACTTGACATACTTTCGATGCGCTATATCACAGCATGCATGCTTCGAAGCATGCGCTCTCACGTGATCTTGTGTTTGCTCCACCATGAGCCAACGTCAGAAGCTGAAATTAATACATGTCAAAATAGCAGCCTGTTTTTAACACAAAAGATGCAGTTAGACCTACATGCCTTAGTTGTTTGCTTATTCCTAGCTCCTATCAGTTGGTTAAAGTGTCTTGCTAATATCTGCACGATTATGCAACCCCAGTTGGTGGAGATGACGAAAACCAGGCTCTAGGAATCTATTTAAAACAGCTGTGTATGATTTCAACTAGTTATGGCTTATTCAAATCATAGCCAAAGTGGTAGTACCAGTTCCTCTGGCTCTGTGGCCAGTGATAAGGTATTCTATGATATCAATCAAAATGAGATTATTGAGGGGTCAAATGCAAGCTTTGAAACGGAGGATCTCGCTCCTCTTGCGGTAGACCATATTTTCCAGAATGCTGAAAAGTGCAAGACTTGGAATGCTGTTTATAAAAAGGCCCAGTACGAAGGTTTGCATCATTTCGACCCGACCTTTGTTTGGACAAAGAAGGAGGAGCGCTCTGTGCTTCTCCGAACTGAACTACGCGTCACCTTTGTCGCATTTCTCTTGTTTGTTGCCCTTGATATAGATCGGTACAACATGGCCAACGCAACAGCAGGAACTATTTTGAAAGATCTCAAGTTGACAACAAATGATTACAACCTTGGTTCTACCGTGAACCTTGTCTGCTTTCTGGCTTCGGAGCTTCCCTCGCAGCTTTTGTCCAAAAAGATCGGCCCCGACCGTTGGATTCCGATTCAGCTCACTGCATGGTCGCTAGTCGCTACATTCCAGTGCTTCATGCAAAATAAGGCTGGATTCCTAGTTTGTCGCGGACTCTTGGGAGCTCTTCAGGGCGGGTTTATTCCAGACGTTTCTCTCTGGATATCTTATTTCTATACAAATTCCGAGATGTCAACCCGTCTCGGTTACTTTTACATTGCCAATCCACTAACACAAGCTTTGGCTTCCTTACTATCTTACGGTATCTTCTCCCTTCATGGTCACAGCGGTTGGGCAGGCTGGCGATGGGTTTTCATGATTGAAGGCCTGATAACGCTTGTGCTAGGTATTTCTGCGTTCTTCCTGATGCCGCCTTCTGTTACTCAGACCAAGGTCTGGTTTCGGCCAAATGGATGGTATACAGAGCGCCAAGAAAAGATCCTCGTAAACCGTGTCCTTCGAGATGATCCGTCTAAAGGTGACATGCACAATAGAGAAGCGCTCACTTTTGGTATGATTTGGAAAAGTATTACCGACTATGACCTATGGCCAGTTTATGTGTGTCGGTTACTCACCGATATCATTGGAACGCCAATTTCCAAGTACCAAGCAATTTTGTATCGCTCGCAGGGGTTTTCGACTATGAAAACTAATCTGTTGATGATTCCACCGAACATTCTCACTATATTTACGCTATTGGCCTCTGTTCACCTGTCCAAATGGTCGCGTCAGTTTGCGTATGTCTACTGCTTTTCTGCCTTGTGGTGGATACCCTGCCTAGCCGCAATGCGTTGGTGGCCCGGGTTCCTCCACAATGTTTGGGGTTCTTATGCACTTATTTTCATTGGCCTTGGTGCACCTCCCGACTGGCCCCTTTCTATCTCCTGGGTTTCGGCAAATTCATATTCGGTGCGAACTAGAACTGTCTCAGGTGCTCTCGTCAACATCGCCTCGCAGCTTGCAGCAATTATTGGCGCCAACATCTTCCGCAAGGACGATGCCCCACGCTACCAGCGTGGTGTTAAGCAGCTCTTCGGAATTGCCGTCACCAGTTTTTTCGTGCCCTTCTTGGTTAAATGTTATTATATGGCAAGAAATAATTGGAAATCCCGAAAGTGGGCCAACCTGTCACTGGAGGACCAGGCGGAGTACGACCATAAAAACGTCGCAGAGGGTAACAAGCGATTAGATTTTTTGTTTGTTCATTGATTGTCTATATTTTCATAATGTTGATTTGTATGATCGAGTGATAACTCAGTTCGGATCTACTAGGCACCTTAATCAAGCAGCATAGGAAACCTCATCAACATGCTGCGACATAACTCGAGGACGAAGCATACATGCATACCCAGTATTTCGAATAGAAACGATATACGGCAACCGATAGCGTAATTGACTACATATCGATCGCGAGCTGTGGGTTATCGATTGGCATATGGTAGAGGCTGCATAAAGTAGGCCCAACCGGGGAATCGAGAGTTGGGAAAATAACATATTTCAATTCAACGAATGCAAAACTAATTGACGTTCGAGTTATTCAAATACCTAGTCACAGATATAGTTAAACATATCGTGGGAAACGAACAGACGTCGGTCAAAACCCAAACCCAGACAGATATAATCCTCCGGGCAATTCTTAGCCGAGAGTGAGGAATTCAAAATTGACAGCTCGGAATCCGATTAAATTAAAGCCATCAGGACCCAAACGAATCAATTCATTTTCCGGAAGATAGACGGGTAGGAAAATAATCTATCAGAGAATGTTGCTGCCACGGCTCCGAAGCGCCGTTAATCTGAGGTACGTGTGCCGTGCCTGGAAGATGCAGCCAAGCCAAATTAGCGAAGGAAGCGCCGATAGCGGTCAGTATTTGACACTTATCAATAAACTGGGCTATGTTTATTTACCATGTCGAGTCAAGTACGAAATAATCGAAAAATTCGTGGTGCAGCTGGAAACACGGCACATCATAGCCTAAACACACGATATATGAGACAAGCTGTCGATCCCTGCAGGTGTGAATATAAATACCGATAAAGCCACCTACTCACACATACCTCCAACAATATGAAGTACTCTGCCTTTGCTATCACACTTGCCACTCTATCTACTGTTTTTGCTTCGCCTATCGCTCGAGATGCCGATAGCAAATCCGGGTTCCTGACTATCCCTGTTGTTCGCGTACATGCACCCAATAACAGCTCTGTTAGCCATATTGCGAAGCGGAGCACTATCCCTGTTTCACTTTCAAACCAGGTTTATTTGTACCTTGCCACGTTTGACCTTGGAACACCCGAGCAGTCTGTCACAGCTCAGATCGACACGGGCTCTTCAGATCTCTGGGTTTATGGCCCCAACTCTAATGCACCTGGTGCTTCTTACGACCCTTCTGATTCGTCTACCTATGAGTACCTGAGCAATGATTTCTCGATTGAATACGTTGATGGTACAGAGATCAACGGTGATTGGGTCACCGACACTGTCACTATTGGTTCGGCAGCTGTCACGAATCAGCAATTTGCTTACACAAATGCCGAAGCTTCCAATGGCCTCAATTATGGTGTGTTCGGTATCGGTTTCGAGAATGATGAGTCCACTAGCTCTGAATACACCAACGTCCCTCAAAACTTGAAGAACCAAGGGTTCATCTCCCAGAACGCTTATTCTCTTTACTTGGACGACATCGATGCCAACACTGGTACGCTACTTTTCGGTGGTATTGATGAGGCCAAATATAGTGGTTCTATGGCCGTGCTTCCCATTGAGTCTAATTCTGCGTTCCAGGTTTCGGTTTCCGTTGTTGGCAGCTCGACTCAGGGTATCCTCGACTCAGGAACATCTCTTACGTACTTGGACTCTGACACTGTTGAACAGATTGCCAATATCTATGGCGCTACTTGGGATCAGAGCCAGGGTGCTTACATTTTGAATTCGCAGCCTTCTGGCAACCCCCTGGTTTACACATTCGGCAACGTCGAAATCCAGGTCGGACTTGATGAACTTTTCATTGAAAATGAGGATGGTTCTTATACCCTCACAATCTTGCCCAACTCTGAGACCCAAGGTATTAACTTGCTTGGAGACAGCACTCTTCGTTCTGCGTACGTTGTCTACCAACTTGATTCCAACCAGATTGGAATTGCTCAGGCCAAGTATACCAGCTCATCTAACATTGTTCCCATCACTGGCTCTTTGTAAGAGGATACCTATAGTTTTAGTAGTTTATCGCAATTTATTTTTTGAACGTTGTCATGACGGGTCCGCAGGCTCATGCATCCAGCGCACTTTGGATCCGAGAAGTAGTTGAGGCAAAGGGATGAGATCTTTTATAGAGGTATTCGGAGACTCATGAACATTATTTTAACGTGTGTCCCTCTTTTGTTACAAAGTGCAAATTTAGCCCAGGTACATATAGGTGTGGCCGTGCAAGTGCTTTCATAAGAGACGATCTGGCCGAGTGGTCTAAGGCGCAAGATTAAGGCTCTTGTCTCTTCGGAGGCGGGGGTTCGAATCCCCCGGTCGTCACCATTTTTTGCACTGCTTTATTTCCCCGGTATCGGTTCAGCTGATTTAAAAGATCAGTCGGAACTGCAAATTTGCTAAGGGCTTCTAAATAATGCTCTTTTAATCAACTCCGCGAGAACGTATTACTCAACCAAATATGTTTTGAACAGTAATCCTCTCGGTGGCCCAGTTGGCTAAGGCGCGAGACTGTAATGTTTCTTCATTGATATCTTGAGATCGGGTGTTCGACTCACCCCCGAGAGATTTTTTTGTCACCCGCCGCTGCGATGTGAAATTAGACCAATTACTTCAGTTTGACACCCTGCATTTAATTCTTTTAACCAAGCACTAAACACTAATCCTGAAAATGAAAACAATATAGGAACTACGTCTATAAACTGACTTGGCCCTGGACGAGCCATTTACTTATTGTTAGTCACCAACTTTCGGCCAGTAATCTCTCGGTGGCCCAGTTGGCTAAGGCGCGAGACTGTAATGTTTCTTCATTGATATCTTGAGATCGGGTGTTCGACTCACCCCCGAGAGAATTTTTTTTGGGATTTTGAAGTTCAATTGGTTAAAAGGAGCTCTACGAACGAAAAATATTTACAGATTTTAATGGCACATCATTTGTCTTTCAGCGACATTCCCCCAGTAGTAAAAGCCAAGCATCGCGCCAAGGCTGACCGCAATCATGATCCAGCCATTATAAGTCATAAACACCAGCATGAGCATATAAGAGTAAAATACCTGAGCGCCGTAGCCAATGGCAAGTTCGAGGCGCGAGGGCGGGTTTGCTGTCGCGGTTATGTTACGCTTGTCGAGATTTCTGATGCGGCACCGAAGCAATTCGTATCCTGCTCCTAAAGCGGCCACAATTGCCATGCTAATGGCAAGCTGGAATGCGGTGGAGATATGCCACCAGCGGAACACAATGCATAAGTTGTTGTAGTCCCATGTGAACAGCATATTCATGGAGCACGTTGGTCCAGTATCGTGGCCGCCATGGCCTGGCATGCCGGGCATATCGTGGTCCATCATCTGGTGCGAGGCCATTTGAACTGGTTAGGTCAGCCGCCCCTGGTCAGCCGGTTAGGTAAGATGGCGGCTGGGAGACGATTGAAAAACAGGCCAGAAATAAGGTGACTACACAGGACGGCAGGCTGTCACGCGCTTATTAGTAACTGGCAGATTTGAAAAGTGCCAAATCGCAGTATAAATCAGGCCACTTTCAAGAGCTGATTTTGCGTTGATAACCATGTACGAGGAATATGATTTCATTGTGGTTGGAGCCGGTGTTATCGGCCCGGCTTTGGCGAAGGGCATGAGCGATAGAGGGCGTAAGGTTCTCGTTTTGGAGCGAGACCTCAATGAGCCAGACAGAATCGTTGGCGAGCTGCTGCAGCCTGGTGGCCTCGAGTCGCTGAAGAAGTTGGGCATGGAGGAGGCCGTGGAGGGCATTGATGCTGCGGTTGTTGAGGGTTACGAGGTGATCTACGAGGGCGAACGGGTGCACATTCCCTATCCTGAGTATTCGCCCGATTTTGACCTGGCGAAAACGACGCAGCTCGGGGTTCCTGCCACGGGCCGCGGGTTCCACCACGGCAGGTTCATTATGAATCTGCGTAAAATAGCCAGAGAGCAGCCCAATGTGACCATGCTCCAGGCCACCGCAGTGGACGTGATCAAGAACGAGGAGACTGGCCGGGTTCTTGGCGTGGAGGCGATGGTCAATGGCGAAAAAAAGCCGTTCTTTGGCACGATGACGCTGATGTGTGACGGCACCGCGTCTGCCTTCCGCAAGCAGTTCACCTACATCAAGCCTGTGATCCAGGGCTACTTTGTTGGCATGGTTCTTGACGACGTGGACCTTTTGCGCCCCAACCACGGACATGTTGTCATTGGAGCCGGCCACAAGCCCATCCTTGTGTACCAGACGACACCCACCGAGGCGCGGATTCTGTGCGATGTTCCGCCGCCAATGCCCTCGGCATCGAACGGCGACCTCAAGCGGTACATTGAGGAAAACTGCCTGCCGCGTCTTCCCAAGCAGATGCAACCGGCGTTCCGCAAGGGCCTAGACAATAAAAAGCTGCGCAGCATGCCGAACCAGTACCTGCCGGCCACAGTAAATAAAACGCCCGGCCTGGTTCTGGTTGGTGACGCGATGAACATGCGCCATCCATTGACGGGCGGCGGAATGACGGTGTGCTACAACGATGCCGTGCTGCTGTGCGAGATGCTGGGCCCGCAGTCTGTGAATCTCGTCGACGAGGAGCAGGTGGCTGCGATCATGAAAAAGTTCTACCAGGAACGCAAAGCCAAGTCGGCTGTCGTGAACGTTCTCTCTGTCGCGTTGTACAAACTGTTCTCTGCAGAGACCCGCGAGCTCAAAATCCTCCAAAACGGCTGCTTTGGCTACTTTGAGAAGGGCGGCGAGTGTGTCCGCGGCCCCGTCTCGCTGCTCAGCGGCCTCCTGCCCCGCCCCGCCGTGCTCTTTTACCACTTTTTCGCCGTGGCGTTCTACTCAATCTACCTCAACTTTATCAACAAGGGCATTGTCGGGTTCCCCCTGGCTCTGCTGCAGGTGTTTACCGTTTTGTACACTGCGATTGTAGTTTTCGTTCCGTTCTTGGTCCGTGAATTGTTCTGAACTAATTAATTTAAATAAGTTAAAGCTTTTTCTCCTTCTCGGCCAGCTCGCGCAGCCGCTCCCGCTCGCTGGCCAGCTCTCCGGCCACCGTTCTCTGCTCGACCTCTTTGCGGGCCTCCTCGAGAATCTGGCGCTCAAGCTTTTGCGAGCTCTTGAGGCCCTGCAGCCACGCAGGCTTGTCCTGGGTGTCCTTCATCTTCTGCTGCATGAGCTGGTTGGCCCGGGCACGGATCTCTTTCTCTGCGTGGTACTTGGCCTTGAGTTCCGGGGACAGCTCGCTCAGGAACTTCTCATCGCTGGGCACAAAGTAATTCACAAAAATAATGCCCGATCCAATGCACAATCCCGAGTAGAGGAAGAACTTCGCCCACTGTCTTGTGGGGGGCATTTTTCCTAAAAAAGTGACAAATTACTAAGAGGCGATTCGTCGAGATATTTCAGATAAAATTTCGCTATTTATGCAGTTAAATACTTAGAGCTTGGGAGCGGTGGCGTTGTCGTCGCCCTTGATGGCGGGGTAGAGAAGGGTGGTGAGGAAGTCGCTGAAGCGCTCGTTGGAGATCTCGGGCGCAAGGTAGCGGGCGGCCTCGTCGTACTTGCCGGCGCCCTGGGTCTTCTTGATCTTGTCGACCTCCTCGTTGAGAATGTTCAGAACGTACTCCTTGGTGACACGCTTGCCCTCGGCAGTGACAACGCCGTGGCGGACCCAGGTGTTGAGCTGAGCACGCGAGACCTCGGCAGTGGCAGCGTCCTCCATCAAAAAGTTGATAGGGACACAGCCAATGCCTCGGAGCCATGCCTCCATGTAGCCAAGAGCAATAAACAGGTTCTTGCGGATACCGGCCTCAGTGACGCGGCCACCGGTGATGGTGGGGTTCAGAAGGTCCTTGGCGGTGACAATGGTCTCCTCATGGCGCTTGTAGATCTGGTTAGGGGTGGGCATCTCCTTGTTGAACACCTCGAGGGCGATGGTAGCAAGCTGGGGGTGGGCAACCCAGGTACCGTCGTGGCCAGCAGAGACCTCGCGGTACTTGTCGGCGTAGACACCGCCCATGGCGACCTTGTTGGCGGCATCGTCGCCCTTGATGGGGATCTGAGCAGCCATACCACCCATGGCGTGAACACCACGCTTGTGGCAGGTCTGGATGAGCAGACGGACGTAGGAAGCCATGAAAGGAACCTTCATGGTGACGTCGTCACGCTCAGGAAGCAAGTACTGGGGGTGGGCCCGGAGCTTCTTGGCGTAGGAGAAGATGTAATCCCAGCGGCCGCAATTGAGACCAGCAGAGTGCTGGCGGAGCTCGTAGATGATCTCGTCCATCTCGAAAACAGCAAGGATGGTTTCAATCAAGACGGTAGCGCGGATGGTGCCGCGGGGGATTCCAACCCAGTCCTGGGCGACGTTGAAAATGTCGTTCCAGAGACGAGCCTCGAGGTGGGACTCCATCTTGGGCAGGTAGAAGTAGGGGCCAAAGCCGCGCTTGACGGACTCCTTGGCATTGTGGAAGAAGTAGAGACCAAAGTCAAAGATACCACCCGAGATGGGCTCACCGTCAACGAGGAAGTGGTCCTCGTCGAGGTGCCAGCCACGGGGGCGGACAAGCAAAGTAGGAAGCTCCTTCTTGTCCATCTTTGAGCGGTCGTGGTTCAAGGCGTACTGCTTGTTACCCTGCTGCATCGTGATGTTGCGGCGGACAGCATCGTAGAGGTTGACCTGTCCCTCAACCATGTTGGTCCAGGTAGGGGCCGAGGAGTCCTCGAAATCGGACATGTAGGTGTAGACGTTAGCGTTCAAAGCGTTGATGACCATCTTGCGGTCGGTGGGGCCGGTGATTTCGACACGACGGTCTTCGAGGCCGGGACCCAGAGTAGGACCTTGCCATGTTGGGTCTTCGCGGATGTGCTTAGTCTCAGGAAGGAAATCGGGCAGCTCACCACCGTCAATGCGGGCCTGGCGGGCGACGCGAGCAGCAAGCAATTCCTTGCGGCGGGCGTTGAAAGAGCGGTGAAGCGTAGCCAAAAAGGCAATAGCCTCCTTTGTGAGAATCTTGGATGAGACTTCTGAAGAAACAGGCGCGACCTTGACGCCGGGGATCATACTGTCAATGGGGGCAACCATGGTATATTTTTTTTTGTGAGACAATTGGGAAACTGGGGTAGGTCCTTTATATTACTTGGAGGGGATGGGTCGCAGAAACCCCAACCCACCCCACATTGGAGTTATCGTGCGGAACAAAAGAGAGCCATTTTAAGACGAGCCGGGGCACTGAGAAGACGGTTGAACATGAGTGGTAGGGTGAATTTGAGCGGGTTGAGGTGTGGGCAAAAAGTTGGACGACATAGCGCCTTATGACCTCCGCAAACTCAAATGCCGTTATTTCGGCCGAGGTAAAAGCACATGCTGCATGCCCGGGTGACACATCGGGTACCCGGGGTGGCCCGGGTTCCAAGTTAGACTCATCCCGGGCTCGGGCGGGGTTAGGTTCGCAAACTCGGGATTGCTGGCTCGTTTCTCCGCTTTTCTCTAGTTTTCTATTTGGAAATTAGGGCAATGCAGTCGGGCGTGGTCTAAACGACATTTCGTGAGCGGAAACTCCCTCTTTCGACCGGAATTGGATGCATGCGACTCGCCTGCAGCCGCCTCGGCATTCGAGATCGTGCTGATTGACCGAGCCATACCTGGGTTTGTCGGGCCAGACACTCGCAACCGTCGAACTAGTACTTAATTGATTGTTTTTGATTGTTAATTCATATCATTGGCGCACTGAATATAAGCTTTCCCCTCTGTCGAACTCTCCTTTGTAATCATATGATCCATGGAGTTCTTATTGGTAGGTAGAGGCTGTTTTGCGGAATCCAGGAGGCTAACTCAGTAAACAACAGCGGGCAGCCGCGTCTAATCAAGTTCTACACGCCAATTGAGGTTTCGGTTCAGCAGCGCCTTCTGAAGCAAGTGTACAACATGCTGTTGGAGAGAAGCGCAAACCAGTGCAACTTCATGGCGCTGCCGCCGATTCTTCTCGAGGCATTCGACGACGGAGAAGAGAAAATCCGGGTTATTTATCGCCAGTACGCCACGCTCAATTTTGTGTTCATGGTGGACCAGCAGGAAAGCGAGCTGGGCATTTTGGACCTCATTCAGATCTTTGTCGAGAGTTTGGACCGCTGCTTCGAGTCGGTGTGCGAGCTGGATCTTATTTTCGGATGGGAAGTTCTTGAAACAGTTCTGGAGGAACTCATACAGGGTGGAATGGTTCTGGAAACCAGTGTGGCAAAAATAGTCGACGCGGTTGACATGGCCAACAAGGCGGGCACAGTCGACCAAGGAGACACGATAACGGCCGCCACGCGGGCCATTTCGTCTGCCACATCGCTGTTCAAGTATTATATTTCCCCAGACGTTCGGAGATGAACTTATTTTGTTCTAGCCTTAAAGATTAATTTAGAGTTTCATCTCACTCTCAAACGCACCTGGGGTGTTTCAAGTTTTTCTTTGCGACTCATGGCCATCGAAATAGATCTGGGGGTGCTACTAGCCATTGTTATTCCTATTGGAACGGTTTGTGTCCTGTGCTTGCTCGTGTTGGCATGCGTGCTTTGCATGGTGCTTCGTCCCAGCCGTAGGTCGTGGCTTTGCGGGTCCCGGCACAGAGACTCCGCCAAGGTACCCATAGACCCGCCCAAACTGTCGGTGGAAATTGACAACGAGCCGCGGCTTTCGCAATTGAACCAGTTGTATGGGCCAGACCCCAAGCAGGGGAACGGTCGTTCAAACAACATCAAGCGGGTTAGTGGCCAGCGGACAAGTCGACCAGATATGAAACTAGGGTCTATTTCAGAGTCCCCCAAAGTAATGACACCCACTTGGCCCCATGACCAGCACGCGTCCCCCTGGGAGGCTCCTTCACCACCCGAACCGGCAGTGAACCGCCCGTCAGCCAAGCCTTACGGCCAGCCTCAGATCCAGTCAGTGCAAAACTGTGCCAGAATAGACTACACAAGTGGCATTGAGTCTGTGTCGGCGAGCATTGTGACTGACCCGTCAGAAAAACATGCCAGCCTGCTGTCCATCCAACAAACGCCGAAAAGCGTGTACAGTCCAACACCTACGCAGTACTTTACGCCCACCCGGCCCGAGCGACCAGGGCGACCAGAACGGCCCGAGCGGCCAGAACAAACGTCTGAGCCGGCCGTGGCACGAAACGTCGTGCGCGAGCGCTCAAGCGAGTACTCAAGCCCACTGCCCCCCACCGCGCAGTGGTCCCGTCGCAGCTCATCGCACTCCGGGTCTGAGCGCGGCAAGAGCATTTCGACTATTTGCGACAAGCCACTGCCTCAGCTGCCTACCCCGTCAAACGGTGGAGTAGTCGCCGACCTCAATGGCGCCATGTTCAAGGCTATATTTGCATACACCCCCGTGCTCTACGACGAACTGGCCCTTAAACAGGGCGATATGGTGCGGTGCCATCAGGTGTTTGACGACGGCTGGTGCATGGCATCTCAGGTAGGAACTAGTGAGCGGGGGATATGTCCTCGGGCCTGTTTAGCAGAAATTTAATTTATTTGCAAAAACCTAAAATTTAAAGAGCGTGTGCGGCGTGGAAATCCTTGCCGGCATAGGTGGCCTTGTCACCAAGCTCCTCCTCGATACGCAAAAGCTGGTTGTACTTGGCGAGACGCTCAGCGCGGGCGGGGGCACCGGACTTGAGCTGGCCGCAGCGCAGACCAACGGCGAGGTCGGCAATGAAGCTGTCGTCGGTCTCACCGGAGCGGTGGGAGACCATGACACCCCAGCCGGCGGCGTAGGAGGCCTTGGCGGAGTCAATGGACTCGGTGAGGGTACCGATCTGGTTGACCTTGAGCAGCAGAGCGTCGGCGACGTCCTCCTTGATGGCCTTGGCGACGATCTTGGGGTTGGTGACGGTGATGTCGTCACCGACGATCTGGCACTTGCCCTTGACCTGGGGGAGGAATTGCTTCCAAGACTCCCAGTCATCCTCGGAGAAGGGGTCCTCGAAAGAGATGATGGGGTACTTTGCCAGCAAAGTATTGTAGTAGTCGCCAGTCTCACGGCCGGTCTTCCACGCCTTAGGGTCGGACTTGGGGTTCTTGAAGTCAAAATCGTACTTGTTGTCGTGGTAGAACTCGGAGGAGGCAGCATCAATAGCGATCTTGACGCGGCCGTTGTAGCCGGTCTCGTCGATGGCGGTGACAATGAGGTCGAGAGCCTCCTCGGCGTTCTCGAGGTTAGGGGCAATACCACCCTCGTCACCGACGTTGCCAGCAGAAGAGCCGTACTTCTTCTGAGCAAGAGACTTGAGCTTGTGGTAGACCTCAGTGCCGGCGCGCAAAGCGTCGGAGAACTTGTCAAAGCCAATGGGGGCAACCATGAACTCCTGGATGGCCAAAGAACCACCGGCGTGCTCACCACCGTTCAAAACGTTCTGGAAAGGAACGGGCATGATGTAGGGGGCCTTGGAACCGGACAGGTTCTTGATGTGCTCGTACAGAGGAATTCCCTGCTCAGCAGCACCGGCACGAGCAACAGCAAGAGAGACACCAAGAATGGCGTTGGCACCGAGCTTGGCCTTGTTGTCAGTTCCGTCAAGCTTGATAAGGAACTCGTCAACGGCGCGCTGGTCAACGACAGAGATACCCTCCTTGATCAGAGCAGGGCCAATGACGTCGTTGACGTTGGCAACAGCCGTCAAGACACCCTTGCCTCCCCACTTGGAAGCGTCCTTGTCGCGCAGCTCAAGGGCCTCCAGAGAACCAGTGGATGCGCCAGAGGGCACAATGGCGCGGAAGGTACCCTTCTCAGTGGTGAGCTCAACCTCAACGGTAGGGTTTCCACGAGAATCGTAGACGTAGCGGGAGTAGATCTTCTGAATGGCCATTATGAAATTTAGAGAGTATGGTGAAATTCTGAGATTGCTGTCAAGATATACGTTGAGTAACCAGGGTTAGGGAGATGCAGGGCTGCCAGATGGACGTGGCATGTTTCCCTGCCCGACAGGTTGCTTGCTCCGGATGATTTTCGCGGTGTTTCTCCGAAAAATTTCCGGAAACTTCCGACGATCTGCCAAAAATTTTAGTTTATGTCTGTTTTATATTTAAAACCCAAGAAATTGCGATTCCTCTTCAGGAACCGAGTCAATGGCCGGTCGAGAAACCCTTCGTGTAAGCACGCCTGACAGGCCTGGTGACATGCCTGGTGACGCTTCCTCCTCGAGGCTAAATAGACTGGCAACCGAGTCCCGCCGGCTTGATGGTGCAGTTGCCGGAGCATTGGGCGGCATATTCGGCCATCCCAGGTGCGATCCTAGCGATGGAGTGCGCGGCGCGTAAGTCGGCCAGGGCTCACCATGGTTTGATGAGGCCGATATGGCAGCAGCAGCTGCAGCAGCCGCCGCCGCGGGGGTACTAGTGGTAATTCCCCCCGGCCCGGCCGAATTGCTATCTTTTTTTGCGGGCACCCATACTAGGCGTGCCTGGTCGCTGTTAAGATCCAATGATAACCGCATTGGTGCGTTGTCGTCCTCTGCGGCTGGCTGCAACGACGGTTGCGTATAGCTGCGCTGTCTCCTGTGCTGCTGCTGCTGATGGAGGAAATTTGCAGCGACCCGAGCATCCAAGGGCGCCGCGGTAACACGGGGCGCGTAGGCTCGCGGTGAACCCATTGGAGATACCCGTGACTGCGGTGTGGTTTGCCCGCTTCGAAGCCCCAGAAGGCTTGCATTGGAATCCTTTCGCCGCTTGGGCTCACCCTTTGTGTATCCAGGCAAAACAGACGTCGATTTAGATCGATTCAGCGGTGGCGGGCGTCCCAGCGCAGCCGCCGCAGCAGCGCTTGCCGCATTACTGCCTGAACCATCTCTCGCGTAGATGTATGGTGACTGGAGCAAATGGCTTTGTCTCGACCATTGCTCGTTCAACGGACTCTGAGCCGACATGTCTGCCATTGGACTCGCAAGCTCGCTCCATGGCGTATTCGATCCATCTGAAAGATAGCCTGGAGACGCAGATACTGCTCCCACTGCCGCCGCAGCACCCGCCGTGCTCAAAGATAGAGCTGGAACCGCTGGCACAGACCTCGTACGTAGTAGAGGCACAATGGGCTGTTGGACAGGAGTTTTCTGCTCGAGATGCTTGACCATATCGTAGTGTTGTGATGGCTGTTTTCGAGCCTTTGCCTTTGCACGGCGATTTTGAAACCAGATTTGCACCGTACGTAGTTGAAGACCAGCAACAATTGTCAAACGCTCTTTTTCGGCCGCATCGGGTCGTGGGTTTTGCTGAAAACTCGACTCCAAAAGCACTGTTTGCTGCTCGGTCATTCGCCTTCGTTGAATTGCACCAGACTTGGGTTTCGGCTTTTCGTCTTCTTTTGGAGGCGATCCCCGTTGCTGCGATATCATGGACTGTGGGTTTGCTACATTTCGAGGAGTTGCTAATGGCACGGGCAGCGGTGGTAGTGGTTGCCGAGACATTGGCGACTTGAGAGTCATATCTGGGGTAATGGGCGCTTGTGAGAGGTCCTGCGTAGATGGAACTTTGTGCATCAGTGTGGCAAAATGGTCCTCGGCCCGAAAAGCATCCTCGTCTAGCGTGGTCAAAGAGTGGGTATGCTGAGAGGTCGAAGAACTGCTCGGGCCGTCAAAATGGGCCATGGGCACCAGTGGCTGAGTAGTCAAAGCAGCGGAATGCATTCTTTGGTGTCGCCCAACCGGGTTTGTGGGTAGTGAAGACTCTGTGAAAGCCTCTGAACCAGCAGAGGCGGTGTCCTCAGCATCATTTTCCCCTATTGGCATATAATGCATACTACCAGTATAATTAGAAGAGTCCAAATCATCTGATTTAACAAGAAACTCGTCCCAGGCGTCAGCGTTGGCGAACAGAGTCTTGTCGTCCTCAAAAATATCGGGGGCCCCTAGAATGCTGGAGCAAACGGTTGTGTCCCATATGCTGTTGTCCATTTGTGTTGAATAGAATGAAAAAAATAGGCCAGGTGCTCCAATCTGTTGCGCAAAATTCGAGGAAACAAAGCTGAGCACACGAGTTTGGGGGACAACGGCTCAAAAAAACTAAACCGCCTAAACCGCCAGGTCAACAGGCGAGTCCGAGGTTTTTTTTTAATAAACTGTCTCAATTTAACGGGGTGAGCAGCAATATATCCAGTACACCGCCCAGTTTCGTAGTTCTACCCTTTTGCGATGAGACAAAAGTTTGCGCGGCTCCCTTCTCAAGAGACAAGGTCCGATAACCCGAACTGAAAAAAGATAAATAAAAAACGGCCTTGACGTTCGCGATCTAGATTCAACTAGATGGCGATATTTAAAGTTAGCTCCTGATAAATATACCAACTCCTAAAGGTCAGTCTCCAGACTTTTCCCAAGAACAACACTCCTATTTTTTTTGAGGGGTGTCGATGAGCTTTTGTTGGCTGCCTAGCTCAGATGCTTTGAGAGCCAAATAATCACCTGCAAGGCCGCCCTAGCCCAGAGGGCGCTAGGTTTACAGCGTTTGGCAACAGATGATTGCCGCGACCAGGCAATCGGCGGAGAATTAGCATGCGTGCGGTGGAATTTGTGCAGTGAGAACCCATCTGCCTGCTCCGTTTGCGTTTCTTGTCTAGTGTTATGGTTTGTCTACTTTGGATCAGCTGTGTCGCCAGGCCTACCCGCAGCGGGTGACCAAGGTAATTCACGCCGAGACGATTTAGAAGTCGTCTTGAAATGCCCTCACTGGTCAGAGGCAGTCTAGCGTAGCGCCGGAACGCTTTTCGAAAAATTTCATGCTGTTATTGTCGAGAAATGCACCCCACCGCTTTCCCTCGATGACCTCTAACCCCACCTCAGTAAACCAAGTGCCTCGATAGCTCTCCTGACGCGAGCACGATCGTGCAGAAACCCAATGCAGGTCGCAGGGTTTACAGACTTATCCCACCATGAACGGGGCCCCATAGCATTACAGGTAATTTTCCAGCGACAGGTCCTTTGAAAAGAATCAGCAACCATACAATTGTGATCCTCCGGTTTCAAATCCCTACCAGCAACCATCGATCATTCAGCACGACGGTGGCACCTTAGCTAACACAAGCTTGACCTGCGGCCTTTTCGGATGTCCACCACCGCCTTGACTTTCGCCCTGCAGTAGGGTAAGCTGTTTCTGCATCTTTATACTGGTCAATCTTGGCCGATATAAAGAAAATGAAGCGACATTTGTGTTCCCATCTTAAACCACATATTATTTAACCCGTAGCCCGCCCCACGCTGCCCGTACGCACCCGATCTGCTCAGCCAAGGCAGCCCCCCATCGACCCGCTGCCCCGTCCAAAAATACTCTAGCATAATTTACCTCCCGCTGTCCGAGTCCGTACTTTGCTAACGACACTACACTAACAGCATGAAGACGCATCCCTACGTACCAGCTATTTTTCCCTCGCTCATTCCACACCTATACTAGATACTTTGGCAAAGCAATCGCCCGTACAGCCACTTCTGATTTTTCAGACACGTGACTCCCCACCGCGGCCCCTCTCTGCCTGTGCTCCATGTGACTTAACCTCTGGGAGTTTCCGTTTTGCCTGTGTACGACTGAAAAATATTTCTTAGTCATCTCTGAAAAACTCGATCAAAGTCGTTTTTATAGTTAAAACTTCCCTGGATGGCGGAAAAGTCCAAAAACAGCTCGGGCAAGAGCTCCAATGATGAGCGTTTTGCCAAGATCCACAGAGATCCGCGATTTAATCTCCCGAAAAAGAAGGCAATCAAGGGCGATATCGATTCCCGATTCAAATCAGCCCTGGACTCCGATGACCGGTTCAAGTCGACGGCCTCTATTGACAAGTACGGCCGCAGAGTCGAGAAAAAAGACGTCAAAGAGCAGCTCAAACGCTATTACAACTTAGAACAGGAAGATGGCTCGGAGAGCAGCAGTGAAAGCGAGGGCGAGGCAGCCACTGCAAAGCTCGATCGTATGCGGGGTGAAGGCATGTCCGATATGTCTTCGTCTGAGGACGATTCCAGCGATGAAGAGGAGAGCGAGCCCGAACTTGACTACGACCAAGATGAATACGAACTCAATAACCAGAACGTCAAACAGGGCGATGCCTCGCGCCGCCTAGCTGTTGTGAATCTGGACTGGGACAATGTTAAATCGGTTGATCTCATGGCCACGTTTGCTGGTTTTGTCCCTCCAAACCGCCGTATCAACTCTGTGAAAATCCTCCCTAGTGAATACGGCAAAAAACGCATGGCAGAGGAGGAAATCGAAGGACCTCCCCGCGATCTATTTGATGAAAAGGAGGACGACGCGCAAGAGGCTAATGATGATGGTGCCGATTATAGCAGTTCTCGTTTGAGAAAATACCAGCTCCAGCGGCTTCAGTACTATTATGCAATCGTCGAGTGTGATTCGGTTGAAGCTGCCAAAGCCATCTATGACAATTGCGATGGAACAGAATACGAGAGCACTGCAAACTTCTTCGACATAAGGTATGTTCCGGATGAGATGGAATTCACAGATAAACCTCGAGATGAGTGCTCCAAGGTCCCCGCCAATTACCAGCCGAATGTTTTTACTACTGATGCCTTGCAGCACTCCAAAGTGAAGTTGACTTGGGATGAGACGCCCAAAGAGCGACAAAAGTTTGTTGCGAAAGCATTCAGCCAGCACGAGGTTGAGGATATGGATGTTAAAGCGTATCTTGCAAGTGATAGTGAAGAGGGGGAACCTGAAGATGTTATGTCAAAATACAAAGCTTTGCTTGGAACTGAAGACGCTACCGGCAAAAGTGATAGTGATGTCGATATGGAAATCACTTTCAACCCGGTTCTTGAAGGCAAAAGCGCTAAAATCGAAGTGCTTGATAAACAACAGCCGTCCATTGATGACGACGAAAACCTCACAACTATCGAAAAGTATCGTCTCAAGGAAAAAGAACGTCGTAAGAAGCGTATGGAGCGTGCCAAAGCTCGTCGTGAAGCTGAGCAAGATGATTCAGAAGAGGACTCGGCCAAGAAGCGCGCGGAGCTCGAGCTGCTGATGATGGATGACGACCTCAGCAAAGTTCAAAATTCTACTGATGCTGAAAAGTCCAAGTCTAAAAAGCTCACTAAACGTCAGGTCAAGAAGAAGGCGTTGGAAGAAGCTGAAGAGAACTTTGATATCCAGGATCCTCGTTTCCAGGGACTGTTTGAGGATCCTGACTTTGCTATTGATTCAACCGTTCCTCAGTTCAAAAAGACGAAGGCCATGGAGAAGGTTCTTTCCGAACGTCGCCGTCGCCAAGCCACTCTTGGTGACGAACCTCCTAGCAAGAAAAAGAAGACAAATGGCAAGAAGGATGATCTGTCTTCTTTGGTGAACAAACTTAAAAATAAACGACCATAGGTGTAATGCATTGATTTAGAGGCCAGATAGCCTGTTATGAAGTATATGCTTGTGAGGCGTACAGCTATTCAGACCATGTATGCATGTAGGTAGCCTACTTGACCTTGCAAGTTTTTGTCAAGTGTGTAGCCAATATTTCTACTTGTATAATGTTTACCTCAGAGTTTTCTGCATGTTAAACAATTTTTTTAACAGCCCAGGAGGCATGCAAAGTACAATGAGGTACCCAGGCATACCAGTTCTGGTTGGTCTACCCGTACGCAGCGGCGAGTTCATGTTCTATATAAATGTGGAAAACCTCCTGCATTGAAAGCTGATTTATAAAGGCGGATATTTAGGTTGGAAATTATATAAAGATGATTTAGTTCCCCTAAAGTGTGCTTAGCTCCGTGTATGCTTGATGGATCCCCGATTAAAAGCCAAACTTGCAGTTCCAATGGCGACACTGCCAGCCCAGCTACAAAGGAAGCAATAAAAATCTGTCGAGTTGCTAAATAATTCACTTGTGGTCACAGTAACGACGACTATTTTCAAGCACTGCTACGTTTTGGCTATGAATACGTCAGTTGGATTGAAATATTAACGAATGCCTTGATGGCCAAGTTGGTAAGGCGTAGCACTAGTAATGCTAAGATCACCGGTTCGAATCCGGTTTGAGGCAATTTTTTGTCATTTTCTACCGATTGCTTATGTAAAAGGTCTAATCGCACGTCAGATTTTCTCACTGTCAAAACACGTGCTCGTAACTGGCAGACAAATTGACTGCGAGGCGACGCGACTAATTCACAAATATGAACCGACTACTTCAGAAGCCCACACACTTTTAAAACATCTTCAAACTAAGAAAGCACACGGGTTGCTAGGTAAGTGCTCTCTTGCATGAAGTATGCGGACAGTTGCATACAGCTGTGCCAAGTGATTAGTGCCGTGCGGTGTCAATGAGTCAACCCCACATACCCACACTAGCGATCCCCATAGCACATCTAACACAAATAGAGCTATGTGTTCAATCAATGGCGTTCTCCTGACAAGCGAAACTTCATCTATAGCACTGGTGATCTTGGTTAAACGTACGCTCTTGAAGCGGTTCCGTCGATCGTTTGGTTTTTCCCCCTGAGTCATGCAGGAACATCATCCAGGCAAACAAAAGGTGGAAAATGTATTAGGAGCTTAAAAATTCGTACAATTAATCATAAATTCTATATTTCCTCGTACTAATCGGGAAACTATGCTTCAATTCAAGTGAGAACGTCCAAGAGTCCCGTTACAGGTCCGATATCGGTAGCGGCAGAGGCTACAGGTTACGCAATAGCTGCCAGTTAGGAGATATGCAAGGTCGTGTGATCTTCAGAGGCCATGGAAAATGGCTCTACAGATCTTTTCGGGAATTTAGAGAGAATATATCAAATAGGCTCTTAATATATCCAAGGTTTAAGTTTGGAAATGAGAATCCAGCACTGTATTGTAGCTTTCAGTCCCAGCTTCCGACAGTGCCGTGCCATGCAACCTTGCCCTGTGGCATATCTAGCTGCATATTCTAATGCCGCGCGTTTGAATGGCTAGTATATAGTGAGTAATAAACGGAGGCCAGTGGTATTGCTGTAGTAAGAAGATATGGAGAAAGAGATTCGTGATCTCCATCTCACAAGTTACGTGACCCCCAGTGGGTTCCAGGATGCTACCGAACAAGACTACAAGCATGGAGAAAGCCAGCAAGAAAAAGAAGCTGAGCTTTTAGAAGCCATGGCCAACACAAGTATTAAAGGTGACACCAAATTCAGCGAACACATTGAGACCAAGTCGCTGGATAGCGATGAGCTCAGTGCGGTCGCTAACAAGATGGCTGAGTTTGGCTTGCCAGAGACGGACGTGCAGTTTATGTACAACAAAATTTCCGAAATGACTGTTGACCAAGCACGTGAGATTCTTCTAGATACGCTCGAAAAGCACCGTGACGATCGTAATCTTCCCGATTCGACTCGCCAGCTTGCAGAGTCTCTTCTCAACGACGAGGATGTCGCTCCTCGGGTGACTGAGTATGATCGCGAATTTGCTATGAAGGCTCATGCTGCGCTCATCTACTACCATTCGCCTTATCCTGAGGTTCGTGCTGTCACAGACCCTTACGATAACGAGGACGAGCTTTGTGAGACTCCCCGGGCCTACGTCCTGGGTTTCATCTGGGTTATTATTGGTTCTGGCGTGAATCAGTTCTTTGAGCCTCGTAACCCGCAGTTCTCTATTCCTGCTTCTCTATTCCAGTTGCTCATTCTGCCCTGTGGTTGGGTTTGGGCGTACATCATGCCCGACTGGGGCTTCAAGGTCTGGAACCATGAGTTCCGTTGGAATCCGGGCCCTTGGACGCCGAAGGAACAGGTCCTTGTCACTCTCATGTTCAACGTCACAGCACAGCTGGCATACATCAACTCGCAGATTTTTGTTCAGAAAATGCCCTTCTACTACGGTAACAAGTGGGTTGATGCCGGCTACCAGATTACTCTGTTGCTCTCTACCCAGTTCATGGGTTTTGCATTAGCTGGTCTTATGCGCTCAATTTTGGTTTACCCTGCTCACAACTTGTGGATGGCAAACTTCCCGACTTTGGCGTTGAACCGTTCGCTGATGACTCCTGATACTGGTGGATCGGTTCACGGCTGGAAAATCCCCCGTTACAGTTTCTTTGGCATTGTATTCGGATGCACATTCCTATACCAATGGCTACCCTCTTACTTGATGCAGTTTTTGTCCACATTCAACTGGATGACGTGGATTGCCCCTAGTAACTTCAACTTGGCTGCCATCACTGGTTCCGCCTCCGGCCTGGGTGTTAACCCAATCTCCACTTTTGACTGGACTATTATGCAAATTAGTACCCCATTGATCACACCTTTCTTTTCGCAAACTACCCAGCTTGTCGGTGCTCTTTTGGCGGGTTGCGTTCTCATTCCTGCTGTGTACTATTCCAACATGTACTACACTGGTTATCTGCCCATTAACGACAATCACATCTACGACAACACCGGTAAACGTTACAATGTCTCTCTGATTCTTTCTGGAAACAGTTTGTTTGACGCCAAAAAGTACGAAAAGTACTCTCCTCCCTACTGGAGTGCTGCCAACCTCATTGTTTACGGTTCCTTCTTTGCTGCCTACACCTGTATCTTTGTCCGCTCGTTGCTTTACGATTGGCGTCCCATGGTTGAAGGTTTCAAGGAGGTGTACGACATGTTTATGTTCCGTGGTAAAGGTATTAAAGGCTTCAACGATGCTCAGAGCCGGATGATGCACAAGTACCCCGAGACACCATTCTACTGGTATGTTGCTGTCTTGTTGACTTCTATAGCTCTTGGTATCGTCTCTATCAAGTGCTGGCCCACCGAGACCCCAGTCTGGGGTATCTTCTTCGCTTTGGGCCTCGGCGTTCTCTTCCTTGTGCCCATTGGCTTCCTGTACGCGCAGACCAATGCCATGTTCAGTCTGAACGTATTGACTGAGCTGATTGCCGGTTATGCCCTTCCAGGTCGGGGTATTGCTTTGATGATTATCAAGGCATTCGGTCTTAATATCAACTTGCAGGCTATCTATTTCTTGCAGGATCTGAAACTCGGACACTACGCCAAGATTCCTCCTCGGGCAACCTTCCGTGCTCAAATCACTTCGTCCTTCCTCGCCTCTTTTGTTGTACTTGGCGTCGTGAACTGGCAGATCTCCAACATTGAGGGCATTTGTACCCAGGCTGTCGCCCACAGCTCTCGTTTCACTTGCCCCAACGAGACTACATACTTTGCTGCCTCTGTTCTTTGGGGTGTGATTGGACCCAAGCGTGTATTCGACTCTCTGTACCCTGTGCTCAAGTGGTGCTTCCTCATCGGTGCAGGTGTTCCTATTCCCTTCTGGCTCTTGGACCGCTACGTCCCCGCCGCCAGACGTTACGTGCGCTATATGGATCCTAATCTGATCATCTTCGGTATGCTCCAATATTTTGCACCTTACAACTTGGCCATGATTGTGCCAAGTTGGTATATGTCTTTGATTTTCATGCGCATTATTCGCACTCGTTACTTGGCTTGGTTCGAGAAGTACAACTACATTCTTTCCGCTGCTTTGACCGCAGGATCGGCTTTGAGTTTGATTATCATTTTCTTCTCTGTACAGTACCATCCGAAGGAGCTTTCTTGGTGGGGTAACGATGTCCCCTACGCTGGCGTCGATGGCGATGGCTCGTCTGGCTGGCTGCCTATCCCGGAGAGGGGCTACTTTGGTCCTGGTCCTGGCGAATACAAGGTTTAACCAACACACATTGTACATGTTTAATATTATTCTATCTTATTTCAACTACATAATCCAGGAAGCAACAACTCTATTTGCTACAACACCGACTGCTTTTTGAGTTCTCCTTCACCCGCACGTGCTCGCGCTGCTCGTACAGCACTCTGCAATCAGTAGCAGGAGCGCAGGTTTGGGTTCCGAGTCTACTGACTAAGAGGTGTAGGGTGACAGTCCTTCCGTTCGAACCTCAATTCCGCCACTACCTTTAGGTTAACAAGTTTGTATCTGCGAGGGTAAAAACTTTTTGGTCACATTAAATTCTGTTCAAATCGTCTACAATGACTTTTGCTGACTATTTCTCGCTGCAGGTCTTCTTCCTGGTGTTCAGAGAGACTCTGGAGACAGCGGTTATTGTGACTGTCCTGCTTTCTTTTCTCAAAACCGGGTTCGGCGACATCAGCAAGCTCGACGACAACGCAAGGCGGACGTACAGGACAATGCGGCGTCAAGTCTGGGCGGGAGCTGCGTTTGGCATTCTTGTGTGTATCTTGCTAGGTGCGGTTTTCATGTTTGTGTTTTACACGGTTGGTGAAAACTTGTGGGATCGCACAGAGAAACTATGGGAGGCCTTTTTCTGTATCTTTGCCTCAGTGTTGATTACCATTATGGGCCTTAAGTTTTTGCGTATCAATCGCCTAAAGGCCAAATGGCGCCGCAAGCTGGCCCAGGTCATCCTGGAGCGTGATGCTGATGTGCTCCCACAGAAATATACGGGCGTTAAAGGCAAGTTCAAGCATTTCGGCCGCAAATATTCCATGGCTATCCTGCCGTTTGTCACCACCCTCCGCGAAGGTCTAGAGGCGGTCATGTTTTTGGGAGGTCTGGGCGCTTCTGAACCCAGCAGTGCATTCCCACTTGCAGTCATTACTGCTATCGCCACTGGATCTCTGGTTGGTCTTTTCATGTACAAATCCGGGAGTCACCTGTCAATACAGTATTTTTTGATCTTTTCCACCTGCTTCCTTTATCTGATATCTGCTGGTCTGCTTTCGCGCGGCGTCTGGTTCTATGAGATGCACCAATTCATTTCCAAAGTCGGTTCCGATGTTTCCGAGAGCGGATCGGGCCCAGGCTCGTACGATATCACCAAGTCCGTCTGGCACGTCAACTGTTGCAACCCCGAAACCGATGGCTTCTGGATGATCTTCAACGGCTTGTTGGGCTGGCAGAATTCAGCCACGTACGGCTCTGTGGCCTCGTACAACCTGTACTGGATCTTCATTATCTGCCTTATCATCTACATGCAGCACAAAGAGAAAACCCATGCCAAACTGGCTGAGGACCTCGACCTCGATCGCGACCTTTTGCAAAGAGCGTCAATTGCCGCTACTGGCCGCGGCGACTCTATTGACAGTAACACACCACTTATGAGCTAACGTAACAACCATTCTCCTTTTTCTTTGTCTATGAATTAAAGTTAAAATCAATTTATGACTTGTCTAGCCTACCATTACATATCGAAAGTGACTTCTCCTTGCAAACAAGTGAGCAGTTCGTCTTCGTCTGTGAACGCCTGCGCAGATACTGAGTACAGGCCAGGGGGGATTGCCTCTGGGATGGCCACTTCACGAGTGAGTTCGAGATAGCCCTTGTCCAGAGGACACTCGAGCTCCACCTTGCCCAGGACCTCACAGAGGTCATAGCGCTGGCGGATAAGTTGGATGAAACCGTAGTTAACGACAATATCGACATAGGAGCCCTCGACCACGGGTGAATTGAGCGTGCCCTTGGCCGAAATGGTCAAATTGACGCCGGGCTCGGGCGGGTTGGGGTCCAAAACAATGCTTTCGATGTCCAGCAATTGCTCGTCCGAAGCCATGCACAACTCAATCGGCGAGTCGCCAGGAATCTCACGATTGTCCTGCTCAATGACGATATTAAACACCTGCTCGTCTTGAGCGAGCACTCGCGCCGCTAGCAGAGCTGTGGTGGCAAGCACGCGAGTAATCATAACGGTGGGACGATTAGCTGCAGCAGGCCATTTATGGCGGGCGGCTGCAGATTTGATGGGGAGGGGGACGTTTTGGGGGTCGAAGTTAAAAGAGCGTAATAGTAAGGAGGGAAAACTATAGCTTTATTAGAGATATGAAATAATGTTGCAGCAAATTTTCAGGCCGTTGGCGCACTTGCATTGAGCAAGCTCGTGCAAGCATGTTAGCTTGCCAAAGATTCCCAGTCTCAGCAGGCAGCTGTTGAAATCAACAAAACAGCCTTTCACACAGAAGCCCCAAACGGGTTGAGGAACCTTATTGTTCGGGCCGTAAGGCTTGCAAGGACCAGTGGGACTCACTTGAGCTGTCATGGTCGGTGTCTGGGTAATGACACTGATAATATCACTACGAGTCAGCACTGAAAGCGACGAGGTCGGGATGGAGTTCGTAGCAATAGGTGGCACTGTAGTAATGGTCTCAGACTGCTTGGGAGGAATGAGCGATTGAATAGGCGGCATATTGGGGAAAGTTGCGGGGGGTGTGGTTGCCGGCTGTTCAGTTGATACAACCTCAGGAATCGTTGTACCCTCTACGGTCGCACCAGGAACATTCTCACCAGTAATTGTGAATCCAGGGATCGTAAACGTACGTGTAATTCCAGGAATAGTGTTTCCATTGTACGTGATTCCTGGTAGTGTGATGGGCGGAATGACGTGACCAGTAATTGTCAGTCCAGGGAACCCAGGTTGTCCGGGGAGAGTAATTGGTGGCAGAATCGTTGTTTGAGGAACCAAGCCACCGGGTGGACCAGTAAATATCTCGGTAATAACCTGTGTGATGGTTTGTGGAGGGAGGGTTACTCCTGGAAGCACTGTTTGAGGAACAGTGACACCACCCAAAGTGCGGGGAGGGATGGTCGTACCCGGAATAGTAAAACCAGGGAATACGGTCACAGAGGTATAGACAGACACAGTCTGAGAGGGAGCTGGAGTCTCAGAGGTCTCAGGAGGTTGAGTAGTCCCAGGAGTCTCAGCGGGTGAAGTCCCAGTTGGCTGAGGTGCAGGCGTGCCTGTAGGATTGGGAGCTCCTGGACTCTCTGTACTCAGTGCTGGGGGAACCATGCCACCTGGCGGAATTACTGATGTCACAATGATGGTTTGGCCAGGAACCGTGGTGCCAGGAATAGTGGTGCCAGGAATCGTATTGCCAGGCGATGTCACACCAGGAATGGTAGTACCAGGAATGGTGGTTCCAGGAATGATGCGAGTTACGGTAACTGTCTGACCTTCACCAGGGCTGCCAGGAGACGTGTTCTCAGGGCTGCTGGGAGACGTGTTCTCAGGGCTGCTGGGAGATGTGTTCTCAGGAGCAGTTGGAGATGTGTTCTCAGGGCTATTGGGAGATGTGTTCTCAGGGCCAGTTGGAGGTGTGTTCTCACCAGTGCCGCTAGGAGGTGACTCTGTAGTGACTGCTGGAGGGGGTGTTTCACCCGGTGGAATAACCGATGTAACAATAACAGTGGTACCAGGAACAGTGGTACCAGGAATCGTGGTGCCAGGAATAGTTGTACCTGGAACAGTAGTGCCAGGAATGGTAGTACCAGGAATGGTGGTTCCGGGAGTAATACGAGTAACGGTGACAGTCTGACTTTCACTAGGAGATGTGTTCTCAGGGCCAGTTGGAGGTGTGTTCTCACCAGGGCCGCTAGGAGGTGCCTCTGTAGTGACCGCCGGAGGAGGTGTTTCACCTGGTGGAATGGCAGATGTAACAATAACCGTGGTACCAGGAATAGTGGTACCAGGGATCGTGGTGCCAGGAATAGTTGTACCTGGAACAGTAGTGCCAGGAATGGTAGTACCAGGAATGGTGGTTCCGGGAGTAATACGAGTAATGGTGACAGTCTGACTTTCACTAGGAGATGTGTTCTCAGGGCTGCTAGGAGGTGACTCTGTGGTGACCGCTGGAGGAGGTGTTTCACCTGGTGGAATAACCGACGTAACAATGACAGTGGTGCCAGGAATAGTAGTACCAGGAATGGTGGTGCCAGGAATCGTAGTGCCAGGGACAGTAGTGCCAGGAATCGTAGTACCAGGAATCGTAGTACCAGGAGTAATACGAGTAATGGTGACAGTCTGACTTTCACCAGGGCTGCCAGGAGATGTGTTTTCAGGGCTGTTTGGCGTTGTGTTCTCACCAGGTGTACCACTTGTAGGCATACCAGTGGGCACAAGAACGGTGATTGTTCGTGGTGGAACCGTCTGCGGCGGGATCGTAGTGCCAGGAACTGTCGTTCCAGGAATTGTGGTACCAGGGATTGTTGTTCCAGGAATTGTGGTACCTGGTACTGTTCTGTACAAAGTTGACAAAAGATATGTGGGGAAACCTGGGGGAGAGATAGGTGGGAAAGCCGGCGGGCTGATCACCTGTCCAGGTAGGCCAGTCACAGTTGTTGTAATGTACTGGGTTGTTCCCCAGGTAGTTCCAGGGATTATTACTGTACCAAGAGTAACTCCAGGAACAGTGATTGGCGGAACCTCATTTGTGTACGTCCTGGTAATAGTTAGTGGTGAGTTTTCACCTCCAGTAAGAGTGTAACCAGGAATGGTCTGACCAGGTAGCACCTGTCCTGGCTGCGTATAACCGGGCACATCAACACCAGGGAAAACGGTAATAATAGTTGTCATAGCTGAAACAGTTGTCCCAGGGATAACAGTTCCACTCCTTGTGTACCCTGGGATAGTAGTACCTGGGATAATGGTCGTAACCGTTGCCGTCGCTGGTGGGGTAGAAGCCGGGAAGCAGACTGAAGCAGATTGTGTAGCGTAATTGCATTGCTGAATGAACCATTTGTAATAAGTGTCAACACTGCTGAGGACTGGAGGCAAAACATTTTGATCGGGCGTAACCTCAGAATTCAAGTAGTAAGTTCGGCAGATCTCGCACTGATATAGGGCAACTTCGAAAGAAGTCAAGCCACAAATACAGCTCTGATCACCATTACAGGCATTAATTCGCGAGACGACAGTGTTGCAATAGGCTGCACACTGCTGTGCGGTGCCGTAGTAACTAAGTCCTTGAGGGATGTTGGAGACGCAAGGGTAGGTCGGGCCAGTAAACTGGGGTGAGCTGGGACCACTGGTGAGACCGGGGGCGGTGCCACTAGGCGTAGAAGCCAGCTCAGTTGACGATAAAAACGGACTATTAGACGTAACGGTCACGGTGGTGGGGCAGGGAGCACATGTGGGATTAGAGGCTGGGGGACAAGAAGCTGTAACAGTCACGGTGACTTGCTTGAGTTTCCAGAAAAAGCCACATTCTGCTAGAGGCAGAAAACATATTGATAGTAGAAAGAGCAAGTAATTGAACTGTTGCATGTTGAAAAGACTTTTCAGTCCATATTCATGGCAATATATATACGAATCTGGCGCATGAATATGGGCTGAAGAATATTATTGTCACACAGTGACATGTATTGCAGTTGATGCCTGTCAGTTGAAACAGTTGTGCTCTGGAGCTATATCTAAGCGAATTGACATGTTTGGCCCTGGTAGGTAAAAACCATGTGAGTATCACACATTTCTTTGGAATTATAGGAAAAGATAAAGATATCTAGTACGTATTTGTTCATTAATAGCTGGTGTAGAAGATATTTACGAAATATGCAAGCAGTCCCACAAGTATCATCATTACGGATGCGCAGCAGACGGCAAACGTGCAAAGCGATGTTTGCTGGTGCCAAAGGAAACTTAAAATTCTGGAAGGATGCAAACCATGATGGTGAGTGTGATTAATCTAGAAATAGCTTATAGTTAACAATTCTAATTGCGTAATTGGAGTGGTAGTGAGAGAGGGTGTGTTTCCAAGTCCGTAAACACATGTCGATATTTCAAGCAATTGATGAAACCCCCCACAGAATATTCAAGGCAAGATCAAACTTGGGTTTAATTACGAGTTAAGTTTAAAGTTACTCACCCAATGCCATCATACTTGGAGGATGATGTACTAGTGAACGCTGCAGATTAAACCCTGTGAGGGAGAAATACGAACTGAGGTATAACCAGACAGGCCAAGAAATAAATTAAAGCCCACTATTTTTTATTCGCCGATCTCGGATATCGACCCGGTGTTTTAGGACCCTTGGCGCTGATGCATCATATAGATATAGTCGGTTCACGACCCCCGACCAAGTGATTTTACCGAACTTTGTTAAATGATCACCAAAGGTTATCTTGACATTACTATATATTGAGAGATGGTGGTTTTCAGCTCGGATAATTAACATACGTCGATAATGCTAATGCTTTTTTCTCTTGCGTTATCTACGCTGGCCGCAACAGGTCTCTGCGTTGATGGTGTGATCCGCGTCGACGTATCTAAGGTTGCAGTTGACAAGACCGAGCTCCACGAATTGAGGGCTCGTGGTGGAGCCACTGATTTGACAGATGTTTTAGCCAACCAGAGATACTTTTATACGGCGAATGTTGAGATTGGTAGCCCTGCCCAGCAAATTTCATTGCTTTTAGACACAGGCTCATCTGACACATGGGTTTTCGGACCCCAGACCTCGGGATCAAGGGCCAAGACGACTCGCTTTGATTCTTCTGCCTCTAAGACGTATAAGAGTAATAATACTCAATGGAGCATCCAGTATGGTATTGGCAAAGCATCAGGTACTTGGGGCACAGATTCACTCAAGATTGGTGGCGCACAAGTCCAAAGCCTTTCCATTGGTGTAGCAACCAAAGTGAGCCAAATCAACCAGGGTATTGTTGGTATTGGCCGTCCTGACGCTGAGGCAACCGTCAAGAATGGTTTCATGTACCAGAACCTGCCTTTGCGCCTCCAAGCTGAGGGCCTGATCAAGAAGGCCGCATACTCTCTTTACATGAATGATCTCAACTCCAAAGACGGCACGATTCTATTTGGCGGTGTTGACCACTCTCGATACGTTGGGGGCCTTGCTGTGCTCCCCATCACGCACCCTCATCACTTGGGTGTTACTCTTCAAGGCATGAAATGTGTTGGTAGCCGTAGCAAGGATCAGTTGCTTTCCAAGCCCCAGACTGCAGTTCTGGACTCTGGTACGTCGCTGAGTTACTTTGACTCGGGCACTGTTGGCGCTATGCAAGTGGCCTTCAACGCTAACCCTTCATTTGCTATTGGCATGAAGTATTACTGCGACTGCAATGTTACCAAGAGTCTTGCGTTAGAGTTTGGACCCGTCACCATTAATGTTCCCGCATATCAGTTCTTGTGGCCGATAAGTCAGTTCGTGAACCCCATGTTGGCTACGGTTGTGTTCCCCCAGAACAGCTGCTACTTTGGCATTGAGTCGAGCAACGACGGCTTTGTTTTAATGGGCGACAATCTTTTGCGCTCCATGTACCTGGTGTATGATATCACCGACAAGCAGATCGCCATTGCCCAGGCCGCCCTCGGCAACAACGGAGCCGCCCCTCAGGTCGAAGCGATTGTCAGTAACATTATTCCCGGCACTCACCAAGGCTACTAGTTTTTGTACTTTTGATCGGTTTTTTCCTATTCGTTCCGTGACTTTGTTGGGCAGCCAGCGTTACCTCTAGCCATATTTGACAGAATATTTGTAGCTATTTACATGCGCCTATAAAGTTGTGTTTACCAGTATGTTTTCATTTAGACAACGCCAGCCTCCGCCTCTGGAGCGAGAACCGAGTTGGGGTCGCCAAGCTGCATGCCCTTCTCCATTTCCATGAGCTGCTGCTCAGACAAGATACACAGAGAAAGAGGCACACCTAGTAGAAGGGTGGAAGAAGTGATAACCCAGAGAGACTTGCCGCCAAAGTTGACAGAGCTCTGCACGAGATCAGAAAGGCTGGTAAAAGTGGACAAGAGCTTGGCCCGGAGCTGGGGCGGAATAACGTCCTTGAGGGCAGCCACTCGCTCGGCCAGGGTCTCGTTGATATCGAACTCGTCCTCGTCGTCATAGACGTCATCACTCACATTCGAGGCGTTGTCGTCAAACACCTGGGGCTCCTGCACGGGCACGTTAACGTCTTCTTCAACCAACTCGACTTTAACCATGGTTTCTGAAAAACTTGAAGTCCGGTTACATAATCGATGTCCTGAAATGTGCGAATCGGGCGCGGGGTGGGCATGGTGGAATATGTATTTAAATTATAATTTAATATCATGACGGGGTCCATCGGAAGGTCTTTCGGTTCTCTCTTGTTGGTTGGGGGGCACAAAGTTGGCCATGGGGAACATAGTTCGTCTTTGGGCCATGTTGAGATAATGCATTTGATGGCGGAGGCTGCTGAGGCCGTTGCGAAGGAAGGCAATGTCTTCGGTGATGCGGACGTTCTCTCTGGCCACCATCATGAGCTGCTTCACATGGTTTTCGGTGGTCGAGAGCACATGATCCAGCTCGTGGCGGACTCGCTCGTACTCCATCATTAAATGCATATCCTGTTGAGGAGAGTCTCTGACTTGCCGTCGTAGTAGCTCGAAATGTGTTTTGAGAATGCTGTTTTCATTTTCCAGCGTTTCGATGCGCCGGCTTTGTCGGTTTATGATCGGGGCAACCATGGCTAGCGGACATAGGCTAATGTGGGACTCTCCGCTGCCAACATCTTTGCGACGGCCCTGCCACTTGCAGCCAGCGGACTCGCCGGTACAGTGTACGGTTGCCATTTCGCATTGCAGAGAGTGTTCTTTGGACTGTTTTCTCGTTTGCTCAATCAGGCAGTCGGGACACTGAACCAGCTGGTTGTCGCAGACTGTGTTGAGATGGGTTTTGAGCTCTGACTCGGCCAGCGTGATTCCACACATATTAGGGCACTCAATAATGATATGACTGCACTGGCCCTCGACATAGTGTCTCCGCTCGACTAACTTGTCACATGGCGGTTTGCAAAAAACCCTGGCACACTGGCAGTGTGATTCGATATGGCTTTGGAGCAGCCACCTCTTGCCCTTGAATGTGCATCCTCTGGAAGCATTCGGGCAGGTCACAATCAGATCATTCACTAACCCAGAAACTAGGTAAGGGCTGCGATCAATTGAGCCGGAAATAGGTTTGCGATCAACGGGGCATGTGAACGTCAGCGCTGAGTTGCGCGTGCTTTCTATACACTGTTGGCAGAACGTGTGGCCGCACTTGGTAGTGACTGGCTGAACAAACGCCGTCTGGCAGATCGGGCAGGTGAGCTCACTGCTGAGGTTCTCGTAGTCAAGCGACCACCAGTCAATCTCCTCAGCAATCGTTCCGGCTGCTGGAGGGCTTTCAAGCTTGTCACTTTCACTAGCGCCCTCTACAGCAGGTATATCAGGTGGCGGACTCTCCATGTCCATCTATATGATTATGCTTAGTTATGCGGGGTCACAAGTTGGGCCATTTAAGCGGGCTGCACGGGTCAGTTGATTCGACTGCTTTTGAGATTGGCTGGTTTAGGCGGGACCTTGGGCCGCCCAGCCGGAGTCTCTTTTGATTCCCGTTCCTTCATGGACTTCCTGAGCTTCTGAGCGCCGTCAATCATGCTCTTCATCGGCCCATATTGTTGCTCGCTCCACCCTGCATATCGCTCGGATGAGAAATTGGGAGGGACATGTTTTTCAGCCAGTCTGGGCCCAATTGGCGGGATCTCGGGGTTCTTCTTGTGGGCCAGGCGGCTCAACGACCTCAGAGCCCTGGCGACCACGAGCAGGTCGCGAGCGTCGTACAGATCCTCGGTTTCGAACAGCTCGTGGTCCGGCACGCCATATTTGGCGGCGGCCGATAAAAACATTGCGATGTTCTCCCGCTGCGTAAACGGCGGGAGCTGGGGCTTTTGGCTCGCGTGGCGGATCACAGACCCGGGAACAGACCCAGGCTGCAGCCGCTCAATCAGAGCACACAGCACCACTCCAGACCGCAGCTCCTCCACGTCTCTAACCTCAATCTCCGTAATTAACTGTACCCACTCGCACTCCTCGCTCATTTGGGGTTGGGACCGTTTTGGGCGCTGATAACTCAGCCGAGCCAAACTTTGTCGATTAGCAGCCTAATCAAACATATGGAGAGTCTTCCGCCCAATTTGACGGTAGAGGCACTGGCTCTGTCTCCAGCAGAGACCAAGACGTACCTGCGGTGGTACACGGATCTTCTCTTGCGGAAGCGGGGCGAGACGATTGCGGTGAACGATGCGATGGCGTTTGTGGACAACTTCGGCCTCAGTGAGCTGGACAAGAACCGCATTTTGAAGCTGTTTGGAGGCCAGATGGTGACGGTTGAGCCGGCTCAGTTCTATGCGTTTTTGAGACTGTGTGGACATGCAAAGCAGGGCCGCAGTTTGCGTAAGGAGCTTGCCTTCGTGTCGGCGCCCGTGCCGAAACCTCGCAGCATTTTGAGCAAGCGCAAGGCATCTGAGGGAGTCGACCGAAGCGATTCGCCTGATTCAGTCACATCGAATCCCTTTAGAAAAACTTCTGGCGGCGCTAAAGACATTGACACTTTTATGTCTCTGATGATCGGTAAGCCGGCCACCACCGGCTCGAGCAATGGCCACCGGAAGAAGCGAGTCACGTTCGACTCGGGACCGCCGCAAGTCGCTGAGGCTGCCCAAAGGTCTATGGAAGAGCTGCTACGCCAGCGTGGCGTTGAGTTACCGGTTGCTCCGTCTGCTCCCCCTCCTCCTATTTTGGAGAAACCTCAAGAAGACGAGCCTGACGTTGCAATCAACCCCAATTCCCATTTCGCTCAGGTCAATATAGATAGCGTCCTTGTTCATGGCACTTCCGTTGTCCCTCCGGCCCCGCCGCCCCGTCGGTTGACACCAAATATGACTGGCCCCACGCAAATGGTGCAAATTGGAGTTCTTGCCCCTGAAACCTCCTTATCGGCAGTGGCAAGCTCTGCTTTGCAACCAAACCACACTGGCCAGCTACCAGTTCCTGCATTCCCCAACGCCGCACGTCAGTCGTCCCCTCAGATTTTAGCTCCGCAGGCTGCAATGCTGTCTCAGCCGTATCCTGCGCCCAGCTACCAGAGCGTGCCCTCGCCTCAAAATCTGTCGCCTATGCCTACGGGGCTAGAGTTTTTGAACTCCGTTTCGCGATCCTCACCTCAGAACCTATCGCCGGCCAACACTGGTTATGCTCGTCCCACCGCAATGGCTGCGCCCGTCACACTAGGCAATGACTACGACATTGCACCACCACCGCCTTTTCGCCGTGCAGCCAATCCGTACGATACACAGGCGATGAGAAACCAGGTCAACAATTTATGGTGAAAAATACCACACACGAGGCTCTCCGCGACCGATCAAGGTTAGGGTGCAAAAGGTCCCTGCAGCGGCTTTGTTGACAAAACAGTCAGCCTAACACACCACCATCTCCCTTGAACATATGGACGTTTTCAAAGCAATGTGGCGCCCCAGAGGCAACATCTCGATACCTACGTATAAACAGGGAGACCAAGAAGATGGAGCAGACTTGCAGGTCAAGTCGTTGTTCTACATGTTTCGCCGGTTGCGCATTGCCAACAACACCTACATGCCTGGATCATCGCTGAAGCAGCTTGTGGAGCCAATTCCGGAGCTCTCTGACGAGGATCTCGCGAATTTGGATAAAATGTATAATTTGGCTGGATTTGAGCACGTGCTTTTGCATGACCCCCATCGTGTTCTCGTGGATTGGGTCAAGAATAGATTCCGTTGTCTCTTGCTACTTTCGCATATGCCTCAAATGGATCTCCCCAAGTTCCCTGACCAGGGATTCCGGTTTGCTGTGCTACCTCCGGACGCTAGCACCGACGAGTATATTCGCACTTTGACAGAGTCGGATATCTACCGTGAGCACCCTCTTACGCCGGCTGTTCGTCGATCTGTTGCTGAGAGTGTGCTCAAAAAGCATAACAAACGTGATTTGAACAGCCGAGCACAGATCATTCAGGAATACCTGTGGGGTCTGGGAGTCGAGATCCAGGTGGCGCGCTTGTACAAGGCATCACTGAAGGCGGCCGGCATTAGTTCCCCAATCGCATCACCCACCGCCTCGCCAACGGCTTCGCCGATGGGCTCTCCAACGTTGTCGTCGCTGTCGTTACCGCCTGGATCCCCTACTGCGGTGCCAAGATCGCCAGCTGCGCGATCGCCGTCTCCGATTCGAATCAAGGCGACACCCAAAGTAGCCCCGCCACTAAGCCCACGAGGACGAGCAGTGCCTGCCCCGTCATCTCCTATTCAACGGCTGCGGACGCCGTCGCCGTCCAAATCACCCACCCGCATTCGACTCTCCCCTACTCAGCCCTCTGCAGCGCCGGCATCACCCACACTGAGAGTGCGACAGTCGGTGAACAATCTGAAGTCTCCGCCAAAGCTCAGCAAGCCTGAAGGCGCAGTGGACTCTACGCATCGCCAGCAAATTCTCAAACAGGCTCGCCAAGCCGTGTTTGCCCGCATGGACAAAGAAAAGAGCGTTGTAGCATTGGAGTGCTCTTGTTAGCATGTATTTATATAGACAATTGTCAATTGATTTAGCTGAAAATTTGAATTTTGTTGTTTGAACTTTGTTATTTGAGCAGTGGTTTGTTGCGCCAGGGTTTATACACATTTGAAACAGTATATTTCGAAATCGGTTTTGTAGTGTAGTCGGTTATCACCTTGGATTCTGATTCCAATAACCCCGGTTCGAATCCGGGCAAGACCTTTAAAACCGTTTTTTTTGCACTGCGTTTTCAGACACACAAAACATTTGTGCACCATTTTTTTGGCCAAAACTTCGCCAGCCACGCTCATGCAAAAAGCGCTACATCTTCCATGTATCCAGCGACCCTGCAATTGACAAAGCCTTTTTAGTTTCTAACACAACCTTTTTTAGGGGCATAAAAAGGACCTCGCTGAGTAACCAGATCTTTCACCCTAAAGAAGAAAAAATGGACGCCAGCGGCGTATCGAAGTATGTGCCCGAGCACCGGCGTACAAACTACAAAAACCGAGGCCAGTTTCGTGCAGATGAGCTTCGGCGCCGTCGTGAGGAAGCTCAGGTCGAAATCCGCAAGATGAAGCGCGATGAGAACCTGGCCAAGCGTCGCAATGCCACTCACCTGGCGGCTGCATCTTCGGGCGACGGAGACGACAGCGACAGCGACGACGACGACGATAATGTGTCTCCGGTTGAGTCTCAGCTCATGGGTGAGCTGCCCGCCATGTTACAGAATGTTTTTGGTCCGTCGCTGGAGCAGCAGCTGGACGCAACCGTCAAGTTCCGCAAGCTGCTGAGTATTGATAAGAACCCACCCATCCAGAAAGTCATTGAGAGTGGCGTAGTACCTCGTTTTGTCGAGTTCCTCAAGTCTAGCAACCCCACGATGCAGTTTGAAGCTGCCTGGGTTCTCACCAACATTTCATCTGGTAATGCACAGCAGACCAGTGCGGTTGTTGAGGCAGGTGCTGTTCCTTTACTTGTCAGTCTCGTGGCTAATGCCGATACTGATGTCAAAGAGCAGGCTGTGTGGTGCTTGGGTAACATCGCTGGTGAGTCTCCGGCCTGTCGTGATCTTGTACTCAACGCCGGTATTTTGCCGCCGTTGCTGGAGCTGCTCGAAAAGTCAAAGAAGCTCGGATTGCTCCGCAATGCCACTTGGACTGTTTCTAACTTTTGCCGTGGCAAGTCGCCTCAGCCCAACTGGGATCAAATCCAGATTGTTTTGCCCACTCTTGCCCGACTCATCTACTCGAACGACGACGAGATCATGATTGATGCTTGCTGGGGTATCTCTTACCTTTCTGATGGGACCAACAACAAGATCCAGGCTGTGATCGATAATGGCATTCCGCGCCGCCTTGTTGAGCTGCTCGGCCACAGCAACCCCTCACTCCAGACACCGGCACTTCGGTCTATTGGCAACATTGTTACTGGTGACGACATTCAAACCCAAACCATTATCAACGCTGGAGCTCTTCCTAAGCTCCTCCAGCTGCTGTCTTCCACTAAGGAACCTCTGCGTCGTGAGGCCTGCTGGACCCTGTCCAACATCACCGCTGGCAACGTTGCTCAGATCCAGGCTGTCATCGACAACAATCTCATTCCTCCCCTCATCAATCTTATGTCGACCGCCGAGTTCAAGACTCGCCGCGAGGCTTGCTGGGCTATCTCCAATGCCACGTCTGGCGCGGCCAACCGCCCCGACATCATGCGGTACCTTGTTTCTCAAGGGTGCATCAAGCCGCTATGTGACTTACTTCAATCTGTCGACAACCGCGTCGTGCAAGTCGCGTTGGATGGTCTGGACAACATTCTGCGGGTTGGCGAAGCCGAAAAGGACCAGTCCAACTCCGGTGTCAACGAGTACGCCATTTACATCGAAGAGGCCGGTGGTTTAGATGCTATCAACGATGCCCAGCAAAATGCTAATGATCAGATCTATTCTCGTGCCTACACTATCATTACCAAGTACTTTTCTGACGACGGCACGGGTGAAGGAACCGGCATTGAGCCTCAGACTGCAGGTGACACCTTCGGCTTTGGCGGAGCTCCTCAGTCGAACCAGGGCTTTAATTTTTAACCTATTTAGGATGGTATAGTGAGTCTTTGTACTTTGTGTTCTCGTCCAAACACGTCTTTTGCTGATCTCAAGCTAGTGTAAGCTGCATGGAGATCGAACACGCGCTAAGCGTTTTTGGCGGTATCGAGCTACGTCCAACGCAGAGGCAGATCATAGAGGCGGTTTTGGACAAGCACGATGTACTGGTTTTTATGCCCACTGGGTCCGGGAAGTCGCTCACTTTCCAGCTGCCTGCCATCGCTGATTCAACCGGCTGCACGCTGGTGATTTCTCCACTTTTAGCATTGATGGACAACCAAATTCAGGGCCTTTTAGCCAAGGGCATCTATGCTGCTACTATCAATCACAGGACTGCCGATGAAACTCGTCAGAGTATCCAAAAAAGCTTGCTTAAAGGCCAGGGCCCGAAACTGCTCTATATCTCGCCTGAACTAGCCTGCAGCGACGGATTCAAGACAATTGTCGACCAGCTAGTTGAGTCTTCGTTTTTAAATCGAGTTGTGGTCGATGAAGCTCATTGTGCACTAGAGTGGGGCCGAGAGTTTAGGAAAGAGTATGCTCAGTTGGGATTTTTCAAAGCCAAGTATCCTGATTTACAGATGATGGCATTGACTGCAACTGCAACTGCAGATGCTCGAAAAAAAATTGCAAGCTCACTGAAACTCAAGAATCCTAAGGTCTTTAGCACCAGCGTCAACAGATCAAATACCCACTACGAGGTGAACTACGTTGAAGACCCCACTGAGAGATTAAGGAGCATAATACGGTTTCTGAAGACCTACAAAAAGCGAATTGAGTCTGTATATGGTCGAGAAAAGATGCCCTACCCAGGGTGCGGTTTGATCTATTGTCGTTCAAGAGCCACCACTGAACAGGTTGCTGAACAGCTGCGAGATTCGGGAATTGGTGCCTATGCGTATCACGCCAAGCTTGAAGCTAGCGAAAAAGAACGCGTAATGAACAGGTGGCTCGAAGGCGATCCGGATTACATGGTTGTAGTGGCCACTATTGCGTTTGGGATGGGCGTTGATAAACCAGACACTAGATTTGTTATTCATTTTGATATGCCGCAAAATATTGAGCAATTCAGTCAACAGACCGGTAGAGCAGGACGAGACGGTAAAGCGTGCTTGAGCATTCTGTATTATTCTCTTCAAGGCCGTAACATGGGTGTGAGGTTTGCTCGGACAGAACAGGAAATCGAGTCCTTGAAAGCACTCGCTCTATATGGAGAAACCATCACTAAATGCCGGCATTTGAGTCTAGCGTCGTATTTTGAACAGGTTCCAGATAAGCCACATGTGTGGTGCGAGTTTGCATGTGACATTTGTAAAAGCCAACGAAAAGTACAAAAGTCGTATGAGAGCTGGCAGGACAGTTTTTATTAGTGTTTATGTTTTTTTGATTATTTATTTGTGCAATTTACCGTCCTCAACAAGTGCTGATTTCAAAGTAGACTCATTGATCGCCCATTGCATGAAATAGTCGCTCTCAAGCTCGTGAATGCGGTTACCCAGAATAACAAGCGAATGCAAGGGCTCACCGCTATCGTATTCTGCCATTTCAGCAAGGGTTGCGGCGGCAAATTTCTGAGTAGGTGAGCCAAGGCGGCTGATGGCAATACAGGGTGTTTCTGGAGTATAGCACTTTTCTTCACGCTTCTCTTCGATTTCCAGCAGCTGCTCAGCAGCAGTCCGGATATCCATATAGCGAGGAGGCTCATAAATTAGACGACCACGGGCCATGTTTTCCAAGCTCTGTTCTTTGACTTTGATATCGAGAAGCAGCAGCGTGTGCAAGCCGAGACGGCGGTTCTCCATAATCTTGTCGTAGAAAGAATCAGGACGCCAGTTCTCAGTGAAGAAAACAAGGGAGACGGTCTGCCCGAAGTTGTAAAGCTGCACACCACAAGCACCAACTGCATTCATGACCGAGGCATTGTGAACGACATCAGTCTTGATTTCAAGCTCCCGGGCACGCAACATCAAGTCCGTATGAGTGGTTGCGCCAAATGGATCGCCAACAACAAGCATTACAATATCGTCCTTACCGGCGCCCTCTAGAATCTGGTCAGATCCCGATTCGACCAACTCGCGGTCGGCAACAATCACCTCTCGGCCGTAAAACTCTTCCAAACTCGACACATCAGCCGCCATAAGAATGCTGGTATACGCCTCCAAGTACACTCTCTTGGCACCCTTTACAACCTCAAGTCCGCGCACTGTGATGTCTTTAACATCCGATAAACCCAGGCCTACAAGATAGAGCATTACAAATATTTTTTCCCCACTGGAGACATCTAAATTGAAGATCAACCTAGACTCAATCGGGTGGGAAATTGTGTATTTGACTTGTTGATCGGAGCGATTTTTTACTGATTGAAGGTTGACTTAATTATGCCCGAGCCAGAACAACAAGCGCATGAATCTACGCCGCTACTGCGAGAAATAGAGGAGGATTTCCGGTCCATGCTTCGGGAGGAGGGCTCTAGTGAGAGTATTTGGCAGCTATTTAAAGACAAACCGGCCACAATGGTACTTATTTTGTCTCTATTTTCCTTGATCTTTCTTGCCGCCAAGAGTTTGGAGTCTTTTAGCCCAGCGCATTATGTGGACGCGGTCTCATACAAGCTGGTTTCAGCCAAAATACTTCAATTGGATGAGGATATTTCCATGGCAGTAAGCGCATGGACGAAAATGGACTATACGCTGGTGGATGGTCCCGCTGCATGGCCTGTTGAGGTCATGGCGGGATTTGTTGGGGATATATCCGCAGAAATTATTGGACCATTAGAGATTTCGGTGCAAAATGCATCCAAAACCTCTCATCTGGCATCCGTAGCGGTTCCAGGTCTCTTTGTTGTGGACGTGTCAAATCTTGCCGAGACGGAGATTGATATGACCTGCAGCATCTCAAATATCGGCAGGCCCGATTTGCTTCAAAAGCTTTCAATGGATTTGATGAGCGGCAAAGAGTTAATTTTTGTCATTAATGCTCTTGTGAGGATAAGGAAGTGGGGGTTTGTGTTTTCAGCTCCTGTGTCTGTTGACGTGCCTTTGCGATTCGACGAGGCGCATGGAGAACTTGGGCATCTTGCAGGCATTGAGGTCGGCAGAAATGCAGACAATAGTCTACAAGTTGACATGACTGCAGAAGTTGCGTTTGCAACCATTGTTGAAGCCGAGATCCCAAGCTTGGCCTGGTCCGTGAAGATGAATGGCTGCGACCACAAGCCAAAAGTTGCAATTGACAGAGCGACAACAGAGTGTGTCATGTTGCAGACCGATGAGCCGTCATTCAACGTCAGTATGAGCATGGCATTGAGCGAGCTGCCTGAGAATCTCACTAAACCATGTGACGGCAAAAAATCAGCGTTGGATGCATGGCTATCTAGATACCTGGCTGGAGAATCAAACGAGCTTTTTGTTGAGGGCTCCTCGGATATCCCCATCTTGAACTCATTGATCCACGGCTATAATCTGCCAGTAACTCTTTCTGGAAAGCCACTCGACGACAAGCTAATAAAGCAAATCGAGGTCAACAACTTTGAGATCACATATGGAAATGTGAACGAAGCACTCATCACAGCAAACGTTATTGTCCACATAAAGATGCCCGACATAATTCATCTCAAACGGGATATTTTGGTGGCAGTGAACTCTGTCAAGGGCCCTATTTATTTATTTGATGATGGTGTGCGAATGGGTCAGGTCTATATCGAAGAATGGACACCGACCGTAACGGTTCCTCAAGATGACGGGTTCAAGATCACTCTGTACCTAGACAGAGCGCCCTTTGAGGTAGAAAATGCCAGCCAGTTTGCAAAGTTCACACGCACTCTGCTGATAGTAGGGCATGCCCCAGTTGCATACCAAACACTCCTTGATTTATCTATTCAAAGCCCCATTGGAGACATGGCCTTGCAAGGGATGTATTTCCAAGGTAAGACTGAGGTTTATAAGTGAATGTGTGGATATGTAACTCATTTATTTTCCAAAACTAACCAGGGGGCAAATCACCGAGCTCCTCATGGATAATGTCCTCGGCAACATCGTCTTGGACACGGTCCAGAGGAGTGGTGGTCATGGCAGACATACCGGTACGGGCAATCTCCAGCACACCAAAAGGTTTCAGATGGTGCAGCAGCTTGGTGACCTCCTCGGGAGGAGCACAAAGCTCAACAACGCAGTTACGATCGGAGACGTCTGCGACCTTGCCGCCGTAGTGCTCCACTAGGCGCTTGATAGCACTGAGATGCTCATACTTGTGACGCAGCGCCTCCGAGTGAGCAATGTTATTAGGGTGGTAGTCCTTGATCTTGAAGTCATGATGGGCGAGCTTGTTTTGTTGGGCATGGCGATGGTGGCTCACCAGCTCCTCAAAATACTCGGGGCCCAACAAAGAGACCTTGGCCAAAAGAAGTTCGCGGGTGATCATAGGCGCACCGGTGTAGTCGAGGACGGCCCAGACAGGCACCAGGTCCTCAATTTGGCGACGAGCCTGCTCAATTACACCGGGCTGGCCCTTGAGGACCACCGTCATACGAGAAAGATCGGCCACCTCGGTGTTGGCAACCACCAAAGAATCAATATTAAAGCCACGGGCAGCCAGCGTGTTTGAGACCAGAGCAAGCACACCGGGCTCGTCCTGAACGAGACACTGGAAGACGTGCGATTGGCGAGTTTCACGGCGCGGCTCGGGTGTCTCGTACAGAATAGACGAAATGGCGGCATTCATTGTCCAGTCGGGCGACTCGATTTTGGGCAGGGGCGGACGCTTGGTGTTTTTGTGCAATGCTTTGTAGGCCAATGCTGCAATAGACGACTTGGAGCGGGCCCCGAGCGGAGCCAAAACTGCTTTACTACGCAAGCCAAGCATGACTATATGATGAAAAAAGCTCCTTATGAACGTGGGGCAAATTAGTCACCCGAGGATAGCCTCCGATAACGGCCGGCGGGGGGGATAAACGGCAAACCCATGGACAAAACTAGGCGGGGGGCTGCAATTTCAAGAGCATTGGCTTGTTTGCGAGCACAAACCCAGCTGTTTTGTCGCTGTCCAAATGTGCCTCGAAAATGCCACGGCCTGCCCTGTAAATCAGCCTTTTTCGCTGTTTCCCTAATTAATTTGTCAGACACGCGACAATGTCCGGAGAAAGAGCATATCTTGGTCTCTGTAAAAGCATCATTGAAAACGGCGAATTCCGCGAAGACAGAACGGGAACAGGAACATACAGCACTTTTGCTCCACCACAGCTTCGATTTTCTCTTAAGGACAATGCCTTCCCTCTTTTGACCACGAAACGCACGTTCTACCGCGGAGTTGTCGAGGAGCTATTGTGGTTTGTAGCCGGAAATACCAATGCGAAAGACCTCAGCGACAAAGACATTCACATCTGGGATGGCAATGGATCAAGAGAGTTTTTGGATAAACGCGGACTTCACGAGAACCGCGAGGGTGATCTGGGCCCGGTCTACGGATTCCAATGGCGTCATTTCGGTGCGGGTTATAATGGCTGTGACGAGAACTACGAAGGTAAAGGTGTTGATCAGCTGCGGCAGGTTATCGAGCAAATCAAAAGCAATCCCTTTGACCGTCGCATTCTTCTTACCGCCTGGAACCCTGCTGCAATCGACAAAATGGCTCTGCCGCCCTGCCATATTCTGTGCCAGTTCTATGTGTCCATGAGAGATGGCAAAAAGAGCCTGTCGTGTCAGATGTATCAGCGCAGCTGCGATATGGGACTGGGGGTTCCTTTCAACATTGCATCCTACTCACTTCTTACGATTATGATCGCCCACGTTTGCGGGATCGAGCCTGGCGAGTTCATTCAAGTGATGGGAGATGCCCACGTCTATTCGAACCATGTTGATGCGCTTAAACAGCAGATCGAGCGTACTCCTGGCGAGTTCCCGAAGCTGTTCATCAAGCGCAATGTCACCGATATCGATGACTTCAAGTTCGACGACTTTGATCTCCAAGGCTATCGACCTCAGGGGAAGATTGAGATGAAAATGGCGGTATAGACGGTGACGCGGAGATCGACCTCGAGGCTCTGTCCCGTGCTCTTTGTGTAGACTTGCGTAGATCCAGCTGCTCGCGGGACAGCCGGTTAGGAGGCGTCCACACCGTGGTGTCATCTCGTTCCATAACCAAATAAATATCTCGATGGGCCACACGCAAATAGCCCTCGAGTCGGTACATCATAGATCTGAATTGTTCGTGTGAGACGTTCAGGAATCTACTGCACACCTGGAACAGGGTGTGCATGAGATCGGGCAGCGACCAGTCTGGCTGTCCGACATTGTTGTATTGAGGATAGTTTGAGCCAGGAGGCGGGTGTCCTTTATTCACTGTTGATTGCGACGTCTCATGCAACGATGCCAGAAGCTCAGGCACAATTTCTTCGTAGTCTTTAGTGCCGAGAGCCTGTTGTTTGGGAATATCCTGTACCGGAAACATGTTCAGCATTCTGTTTTCAACAACCGATGGCTTGCGCATGAACGTGTCGCTTTGCACATACTTTTGGAACCACGTCAAATATCGGTTGGTCTTGTCTTGATCCCAATAAATAACCGACCGTTCGTCCGCATAGGTGAACTCGTCGTCTAGCAGCCACAGCTTTGTGACGTATTCTTGCCAAACTTCCCAGTCAAAGGCGTCGGCGGCTGCTGTACCTTGTGGCGCTGAGCGCTCGAGATTATCGAGTCCATAACACAATTTGACAGCAACGGCCGTCATGCACACGATCATGTTTTCAGGTGACTGGACCTTGACCCCTGTTTTATTGGCGCCAAGATCAAAGCGGGCCTTGACTATGCTTAACAGCCGAACAACAGTAGTGTGGATTTGCGGCGGAAGCAAAAGGTCCTGCACAACCTTGAAGATCAAGGGCCCCGGCATGACCTCTGGGAACTTGAAATTTTCATGCTGTTCCAAATACGTCGCGATGGCCCTAGCATTGTTGTAAAGCTTTTCGTATCCAGGTAAATGACGAGGGCGGACTCGATCCACAATATTGGGGGGCAGGGCGTTTTCTTCGTTTCCGAACAGACGGTCGTAGGCGTCGAAATAAGGCAGCTCATACCGATACACCAGACGCCAAAAATCAACCAGATAGAGAGGAATTCCGCACATGACACAGGCCAAATACAAAATGCTAACATTCTGGCTTGGTCCAATGCTCAGCTTCCCCGTAGATCCGCCTAGTTTGGTGCCCTTCAGAAACCCCAGCCAGATAGACTTTACAGCACCGGCATAGTCTTTGTGTTTTATATGATGGTTCGTCATAAACTTCAGCTGCAGCTTGAGCACTTTTTGGGTGCTTTTGGCCATAATTGACTCTGCATCTTTACCAAAAACATAATTTGTCTCCTTTTGTTTTTCCACAAAATCCTGCTTGGGGCGCTTGATCCGGCGTCCGTGAACGAAATCATCTTCGTCTTGGCCAATCTCGATACCCTCTCGAACATGGCCGTACTGGCAAACTTGGTTACCGCCAATACTTCGCCAGAACCGCGAGGGACAGTTATCCACTCCGCATCGCGGCCCTTTACTCCACATGACTAACTTGGTGCTGGACGAAGAAAAATAGAGAGTTTTAGAGTATTTAATAGATTAAGCGAGTTATTTGTCGTACACAAACATAGGTGGCGGCATATAACCCGGATAGAACCCGTAGGGAACTGTTGGCACGGCCATTGGCATAGCCATCACCGAAAATTGGTCCTTGTAGCTGGGGCCAGAATGCGAGTCCCAAGATGGCGGAGTGGTGAAGGGGCGGGCAGGCTCCTCATTCTTTGACTTGTAGTGGTCAAAGTACTCGAACGCACCATCAAGGGTTCTACGAGGTTTGGCAACAGGGGGCGTGGGAGAAGATTTGGGAATAGGGATCGATGTTCCTGGCGCAACTGGAGACAAGCTTGGCTGTTTGGCTGCACCCGAAATCGGCTTGAAAGACGACGCCTTTGCTGCCGAAGCAAAACTGAACGGCTTGGAAGACTTCTTTTTGGCCGGCGGGGAGGGCGAAATGGATGGCGGAGCCATGCCGGGTCCGGGCGAACCAACTATCGGAGGCGGGATTCCCACAGGCATCATCATTGGAGGGACCATGCCAGGTGGAATAGGACCAGGCTGGGGAGACCCACGAAGCTGATAGGCCTGGTTGAACTGAGCCAAATCGCTTTGCCTATCGGCACGTTCCCGGTCGTAGTACTGAGGGTTTGCCTCAGCCGCCCTGGCTTCCTTGCTTATGAAAGTGCCATTACCACGATCAACACCAGAGTACTTGTCTTCTTCATCGATGCCTGAATCGTCAACCTGTTGGTTGCGTTCCTCAGCAAGATGGACATTTGTGGTTTGGTCGTTCAGGATTTCCTTAGCCAGCCGTTCGGCCTTTCGGCGACGCTCCTCGTATTCCGGGTGGGAACTGTCGATTTCGGTAGTATAGTACCGTTCGTCGAAAGTCGACTCCACACCAAATCGCTGTTTGTTCACGGCGAATTGATCCCAGGGGCCCTCGTGGGACATTGTGTCCAACGAGCCCAGGGAGTCTGCCAAGCCATCGACATCGGTGTCTTCCCATTTTTGCAGTTTACGCTCGACAACGTTCCCTGCACCGGAAATAGCAGCGTCAGTACGAAACTTCCCCGCAGAAGCGGAGCCTGAGCTGGCGCCCGATGCGGGGCCAGTGGGAGGCGTTCCACGTAGAGAAGCAGCCGGTCCAGTGGGAGCCGAAGCAAGAGCAGACGAAGCAGGAGCAGGCGGAGGGGAGGTGAAGCTCAGGTACGCTGCCTCGTCAGCCGAAAACTTGCGAATGTTGCTGCGATTACCGTCGACAGCAAAGTCGAAAGCCAGCGGTCCCTCGGCATCATACGACACGATAACACCTTCAAGCGTACTGCCTGAGGGTAGGCCTACGACGGTTGGCTTGTCTTTGAGAGAAGCAATCAACTCAGACAACGCGCCAGCGTCGTTTGGAGGCAGCCCCGGTTCCGACGGTCCCCGAGACTGGGAAGAGGACCCAGAGTTCCGTCGTTGCTGCCACCGAGACCGTGTCGAAGCAGACGCCTCTCGCCCACGGCGTCCGCTCCGACCGTTGAAGCCCTGTCGGGCCTGACCCTTGGATCCCGAAGAGTTCATGGGAGGTTGGTTTGTCAGAAGTCGAATGATGTTCGCGGCTTAGTTGAGCGATTGATTCAGTGGTTGCGGGGAGGCGATTTTGTGTATTTCGGGCATTACGTCTATTTAGTGAGTCTACGAGGCCGCTGAGAATTTCTGGAGCTCGCTGGCCGGCGGCTCCGATCGTTATATGCTGCCCAACCAGGCAGGTTTAATTGCTGACATGTCTCAACCAGCCGCAGTGAGGCCAGAGGTGCCGGGCCATGTGGTGCGCAAGCTTATTCTGTTTTCGGTTGCGATGATTGTGTTACCGCTGACGGTGTTCTTCGTGTTCAACGGGATGGGCTTTTCCAGCATTTGGTCTGGCGGCGCCGCGGCATTGGCGGCAAACATCGTGCTGATTGGATACGTGATTGTGGCATTTACAGAGGATATGGGCGATAAAGAGCTGAAGGCTAAGAAGGATCAATAAATACCGGGGATAAGTCGATACGGCACTTTCTGTTTGTACTCGATCCAGGTCTTTTTGTACTTGGCGGCACATTTGGCCTCGTCGCGCGTTTCGCGGTGAATGAGGAGCGCAGCAAAATACACCATAAAGTAGTAAGGAATGATGGCACTGCCGCATGGCAGACAGTGTCCCCAGGAAGCGATCCAGTCGCCGGTGTAGTTGATGTGGCGTGCTGTCCCCCACCACCCCGAAACAAGCAGCTTCGAGCCGGTCTCGGAGGTGATGTATTTGAGGTGGGCAGTGGAAGGATCGCCGGCCTTGAAACGGTTCTTTTCGTTGTTGGAGAGGCGGAAAATAAGAATGCCGACAAAGTAGACGGCCAGGATCGCCAAACACTTCCACAGGCCCAAATACACAGGGTGGTCAGCCAGGTACCGCGTCTGCAGAGTGTAGGTGAACGGGACGAGGCTGATGTCGCCAAAGACCAGCATGAACCCCAAGCCGTCGATGGTGGTGTCCATCATCGAAACAAGGCCCTCCTCGTAGCAGGTTCCCTCAACAACGTAGTAGATCTGGAAGGCACACACCAGGATCATTGAATCGGAAACCGACCCAAACTTGAGGTACTGGTGGTGGGCCATTGCCAAATCAATGACCGCCCAGAGCAGCAGACCGGGTCGCATTTCCAAAAACAGCTTGATGTCGAGCGGCCCGATCCGTGGGTTGAGCTCGCGGCCAATGAACCAGTCGTAAATCGGCTGCCCAGAATTGCCACCTAACGCCAGTAGCTTGTTTGGAGCGAAACTCCATAGGTATAAAACCGTCGAGAACGCCAATGCCAGCAGAATTGTCACATTTGCAATCTCATGTAGGTGATCGTACACAAATACGAGCTCAGGCAGCTGTCCTCTGGTGGAGAACGTGCGGAACAGCAGGGTTGAAAAAAGCACTACCATCACCGCCTTGCCGTTAAACCGGTATTGGAGACGCTCGCCGGTACGTAAAACGGTTCCCTGCACTTTTTTGCCCGGCAAAACAAAGTCCAGCACCGTCAGGGCGCCCAGCCAAGCAAAATACGCTTTGGCAGCTGGCCACGAGATCCAGGTAGCGTTCTTTGCCTGGCTCAGCAGGGCAGAAACCGACCAAGCTGACGGACATCCCTCGGCGTTGCAGCCAAAATAAAGCAATTGAATAACAAAAATAAGCCCAACCGTGATCGTCAACGCACCTGGGGTGCCCATGAACTCGAGGTGCTCGGTCCTTGGGTTGATGATAGTCATGATACTTAATAAGATCAGGAACAACCAGTACTTGGGGAAGAAGATGGACTTGAGAGACCGGTGGGCACTAATCACTTGAGAGAGACTTGATAGTAGATGGTAGTGTTAGCTATATAAAATCAATCACCAATTTAGATAATATACAGAATACAGCCCGCGGACGTGCGGCTCAAAGCACCGTTCTTACTTAATATGGTCCAGGAGCTGTCGCTATATGGAGTAGTAGCTGAGCAGGAGCAGCCTATTTTTCTTAGTGCACTGACGTCGTGGTCGGGCATGAGGCCCCGCGAGTTTCAGGAACACATTCTGTGCTGGGAGCCCACGTACCCGTTCCGCCCGAAGCTGGCGGCCGGCCAAGTAAACCAGATCGAGCAGTACCGGATATTTGCACGGCAAAACGACCCGCTGTGTCGACCGTTTCAAGAGAACAAACAAGCGCTGTCGCAAGAAAAATGGGAGATTTCCGTCCACGAGGTGCCAGAGGCTGGCCAGGCCCTCAAGCTTATCTCGCAATCCGTGTTGACGACGCCCATCCACGAGGGCGATCCGTTCGACTTTCTCGCCACCCTGGGATACACCTACAAAGACGAATACTGGGTAAAAGGTTATGAGTTTGTTATTAAAAACGTTGTGCTTAGAATATTTCGGATTTTGACCTGCTCCGCGGACCAATTGAGCCTGGCTGATCCGTCGAAACAGTTTCTTGTAAAGGCCCACATCTCGTGCAAGTCGGTGACTGACCTCCCGGCGATCGAAGCCGCGACCGCGGAACTGCTGGGCTTCCAAAAGGACGTAAAGGGCCTCGTGAGCCTCGACCAGCCAGAACGCCAAGCGTTCGACACGCGGGTCAGGGCTTAGGCGAGCTTCTCCTTAAGCTTTTCCAGCTTGCGACGCTTGCTCCGCAGCTTGTCCTCGCGTGCCTGCTTCTTATCATTACCGTGCTGCATACGACCGTAGAGCTTCTTTTGTTTACTCGTCATCATCATCTTACGAAGCTCCTTCTCCTCGTCCTCCTTAGAGACCTTGGCGCTGCGTTTCTTGGGCTTGGACGGAGCATCAGAGTACTTGACGCCTGCTGCCTCGAGCTGCAGCTCCTGCTGCTCGTCGTCCTTTTCTCCGTCGTCTTCGTCTTCGTCCTCGACTTCGCTGTCCTCTTCTTCCTCCTCGACTTCGCTGTCAACTTCGTCGTCCGCAGCAGTCTCCGGATTATAGGTACCCCGGTCGCCCCAAGGACTCAAATGGGGAGGCAAGGTCTCACCAGGTGCATAGGGGCCGACCGGCAAAAGCTCACCTTTGTTGACGCTGTCGAAGATCCACTGGGGCTGGACATACACCCGACCAGGGACCTTATTGGCGACCGCTGGGCGATCGCAAATCTGGTGCGTGACTTTACTCAGGTCCACCTCGGAAACATCCACAGTGTTGCTCTGTTCTTCGTCTTCGTTGTCCACCATCTCGTCGAGAGCCGACTCGGAAATGATACGAGCGCCGAATGCAGCACCAAGGAACTCGATAATATCCAGAGGAACCTCACGCCCAACGTAGAATGTAAACTTGGAAAATAAATCACTGTTGCCTCGGGCCTTGGGCTGAACCAACGAGTCGCCATCTTCTGCTCCCGCTTCGAAAGTGTCAAACTCTTCGGTCTCTGCATCTTCCTCGGCGTCGTCCTCGTCGTCTGCTTCAGCGTCTGCCTTCTTGACCTTGTCAAGGGCAATTTTGACCTTCTGGACCTGCGTTTTACCGCTGGTCTCGACGTCAGGAAGAGCCCGACCCGAGTCCGTAGATTCGAGAATAAAAGACGACAGACCACCAACACCACTGGCGCGAGACTTGTTGATATGAGGGGGATAAACCAGGTTCTGGTCCGTATAAAGTCTGTAAAGGATAAAGTGCAGCAATGTAGTGTAGAATTCCAAAAAGGTCAACATGATGCGGAAATCGATATCGGAAGGCACATTTTGAGGGAACTTGAAGGGAACAAGCCACATAATGTCCTGGCCACGAACATTGGCTTGATAGTACACACCTTTAATGGACACAAACACCTTGCGCAATAAGCCCTCGCGAGCAATGAAGGCCATCCACTCAGTAGACAATCTCTCGGCCTCCTGAGTGATACGATAAGACACTTTGTCGGTAGCAGGCATGATAGCAAACAAAAAGAGCATGCTCAGAGCATCGTCTAAATCACCCAGCGCATCAACAAAGGTAGGGTACCGTTCCTTGATGATATGATCCAAAGTATAACGGGGACGGTTCACATCCAACCGCTGAGCATCTGTTACATCTCCACGGCCCAAAGCGCGAGAAAGCTTCTTGGCAAATATTTTATGCTCGCGGAACTTGGCAAGTAGAGGCTCATGCTGCAAATACTGGATATCTTTGCGGTAGTAGGCAGTAATTGGTTTGGTTGATCCCTTGGTCAACTTCTTTTTTGCCTTTCCAGAAACATCACGGGGGTAGACACCTTTCAGAATACAGAGGCGGCGGAAGTCGCCAAGTGAGACTTGCAAAGCCCGCACAGCTTGTGTGCGCGACAAAAATCCACCTCGTTTTTCTTTCTTGGTATTAGTTTTCACCATGAGGTTGAAAATTTCCTGATGACAAATATTTTTTTATATCCAGATTTTGGGTAAGCGAGGGCATGCATCAGAGTATAAGCGTTAGCGATGTAGTTTAGCAATGCGGTTTCGTTCGAGCTCGAAAAACATTACAGCTCTTCATAATTCGAATAATTGGCCGTATTTCAAAAGCCTCTTCAGCTCGATTACAAGGTTTTGGTGACCATCGTGGTGGTGATTTTTTGGGGCTCAATCTTGTCTACCTGCCTCTTGAAAACTGAAAATACGCTCGTAGACAAGTCCCAGAAATAGGTTTGGGTGGCTGAGGAGCCCTCAACTCCGGCACCATCGCTCACAAACTCGACCGCGGTGATGCCGCTCTCTGGGGCAGTGAGATCGACATGCGAGCTTTTGCGCAGATCAAAAACTGTGGCAAAGATTGGCGAGCTATCAACAATAACCAGTATTTTCTGCTTGCGGCGATTGAATAAAACTTCCTTGGGATAACGCCAGTAGATATTAGCCAACAGATCGCGGGCAAGTTTTCCGGCTGAAAGACTGTTAGTGACAGTTCCAACTAAAGAAGCGAGCTCGTCTTTTTTCAATGTCACTGCATCGTTCTCTAGAATGACATTAATACAGTAGAGGGCTGTAGGGATGAGCTGTTGTTGTTTTACAGCAACTGCCATGAGATCGTTAAATAGCCGAATGTCCGCCTTTGCAACGGCACAAATGAATGTGTCTGTGGTACACATATCTCTTGTCTCCTCAATTGCCTTAAAAGGAAAGCTACAGAGATCCAAGTCGGGGTGTTTGGTTAGCAACTGCAGGCCCAACAATTTGTCCTTACGGGAACCTTCAAACAACGCTCCAAGCTGCCGTCTCAGCCAATCAGCCACCGGAACTAGAGGATACACGGCATTCAAAAGCACCAACGCTCTTGTTCCTGCTGAATTCTCGAGCTCTGTAAGCCTCATCGGGCTCCACATCGCGGTGAGAATGCTAGCAGCCAGCCTCCCCATGCTTGCATCAATAGAGCTGATATGAACAACAAAATCCTCATAGTTTCCAATTGACGTATGCTCTCTAAGTCCTTCAACTGATTCAGCTATACTACCTCCTTGGTATGCCTTCACGGTATAAATAAGTGGTGCACTTTGCGCTGTGGGCTTGGTAGGCATGATAGCAACAGATATACCCTTGTAAAACGTAGAAATAACACCAAAGGTATTTTGCTCATCATCGAACGGTGCAACAGCTATAGGCTTCCATGTGCGGAAAGATTTGGGGTATATGACATCGGGCTGGCCCCCAGTGATTGTCATGCTAGTCTCGAGATCCCATTCCTGATCTCCTAAGGCATGGGCAACCCTCAAATGGTCAGCAAATGTGTATGCATACTTCACTCGCCTTCCTATCGGTATAATATGGAATAAATTCTTATCCCTTACCGATAGAGCACCTACCGTGTCACTTGACCAGGTGACTACCCATCTTTCACAAACCTGAATCCCAACAACTGGCGAATTGAGAAGACGTGTTACCTGAGAAACCTTCCAATCGGAATCAGAAACTTCAATTGTGGCAAGACTTCCATTTGTAAGACCAGCATAGCATGTTGTTTTGTCAATATTCAGGCAAGATATCTGGGACGGAAGTTCACAGACGGTTTCTTGAGTCTTTACAGATTTGATCAGCTTGGAGTCACTCATGTACCCCTCACTTGTAGCCCATTCTGAGTTTGTGATTGTTGTGAACGTCGACGGGCCCTTCCATTGGCCTGAATTATCCAACACGTAGTAAGAGAGATCGCGAAGAATGGCACAGCGGCCGATACCCAAAAAAGCTACACCGACAAGTGTACAGCGAGGCCACGTTGGATCAATAACTTGGACATTATTGTTTTCAATAAGGATCACCCGTTCGTCGTCACAAACAACCAGAATTCCTTCAGCGTCTGGAACGCAGTAATTGAAAGGACTCACAGCGGCAGATTCAAACTGGGAAACGAGTCTTGTGTCTTCTTTTTCATATAATGTCCAAACATGGCGTCTTATAATAACCCATTGACCGTTTGGCAAAATTGAGGCGCCAACAATGGGTTCCTCCACGCCTGATTTCCCGCCTTTAGGGGGTAGGGAGAATCCGTGTGAAAGTTCCCAAGTATCTTCGTTGATGTAGTCGATCTTGCCATCGCAGTATATGATGGCAAGACTTCCGTATTTTGTAACATGTACAGGCACAGCAGGGAGAGGAACTGCGTGTTCGATCTCTAGGGTTTTCCGATGGACAACGATCATCTGGGGGTCGTCCCCAATTAGCAAAATACTCGATTCAACCAACAAACAATCCCGCACTTCAAAGTCGAGCTTTACAGACACCTTCAAAGCGCCCGTATAGACATTGAACTTGGCAAATAGTCCCGAAGAGAACCCGACAAGCAGCGAATCACGGACGATTCTCATGAAGCAGACGGATTGATGGGGGTTGAGGATACTGCATAGCTGCTCGAACAAACTGAACACGCTTATTGAACCATCGTGATGTGCAATTGCCAAGAATTTCCGTTGTGAACTAGCAATGAGCTTGGCTCTAGGAACTCCCGACCCCGAGTGCACCAATGCTGATTGCATAATTGGAAGTTTGTCTTCGCAGCGTGAGCTTTTGAATACCTCCGGGGCATTTATTCAATAGTTAAAATCCCCAATTGGTGCGCTCAAAGACGCTTGAGTGCCGATACTCTTGACTAGGTGGGCGGCAGGCAACACGTGATGTCATATTGCTGTGGATGCTGACTTTAAAAGTAATTGAATTGGAACATCCATTTCCCGGTGAATTGAAGGAAATATTAGCTTTGTGGTAAAGAAACGCTAAGTAGCGTGCCGTTCACATCATATACGACGGCACAGTTGAGATTTGAACAAGGGCGGTTTGACCGAGTGGTTAAGGTGGTTCCCTGCTAAGGAATTGGGCTTTGCCCGCGCAGGTTCGAATCCTGCAGCCGTCGCCATTTGTTTTTTTGCTTGGGACTTGACTGGTTTCTTTTAAACACTCTCGATTTCAATCTAAATATTCTATTTTGGTTGTAGGTTCTGGTTCCTTTATACATCTGACGCTCCATTCCGTGATCTTGTCATCATGCCTTGGTTGTTGAAAGCAGAACCGGACTCGAGGATCGTAAAGGGTGTGGATGTCAAGTACACTATTGACGATTTAGAAGACGAACAAGTTGGTCACTGGGAAGGCATTCGGAATCACGAGGCTAGAAAGAATCTACTGGCAATGAAGGAAGGAGACAGGGCATTCTTTTACCGCTCCAATTGCAAACAGCCCGCAATTGTTGGTACTATGACCATTGATAAAGAAGCCTACGAAGACCACTTTGCCAAAGACCCCAAGCATCCGTACTATGATGCGAAACACACGGGGAAATGGGTTATGGTGGACGTTCGGTACCAATCACATTTGCAGCCAATTTTGCTATCTGAACTACGGGAGAATCCGAAACTTAAGGATATGGCTTTGTTAAAACGCTCTCGACTCTCAGTAACGCCGGTTACCGACGACGAATTTGATGAGATTCTAGCAATGGCTGGAGTCAACCCGGAGAAGCCCGACCAAGAGGCTTCAGAAGCTGAAAGTGGTGAGGAAACAAAATCTGAAAGCCCTGGGAACGGTACAAAGAAAGACTAGCCGCGTTCAACAAGCTCTTTGGGGGCTCTAGCACCCCATTCGGACCACGAGCCGTCGTACACTAGAGCAGGCTCTTTCAAAAAGGGATCGATAGCATCTTTTATCACACAGGCAGTAACACCTGAACCACACATAACAATAACAGGCTTCCCATCAAGAACCTCTAGTTTTTCGAGCTTGGCCTTGAGTTCGGCATCAGACTTGAATGCAGTTTCGCCCTGCTGAACAACCTCGCTGAACGGAAGCGATTTGGCACCAGGCACATGGCCCGAAGCGAGACCTGGACGGGGTTCGGGGACTTCACCTGTGAATCGACCGTTTGGACGAGCATCAAGCATATGGTATTCTCCCGGCTGCGTCTCAACAATTGACTTTAGGTCCTCATAAGATAACCAACGTAGAGGCTGTGTTGGCTGAGAGTATTGTGCTAGTTCGACCTTTTCGGGCTCACCGGACTCTAAGGGGCCCCCCAAGCGTTTGTATTCGGCATAATTGTCCAGCATAACCGCCTGGGGATGGCCGAAAACCTCCAGCATCCACCGAACTCTAGGCGACGAGAAAATAGACTGCTTGTCATAGACCACCACAAAGTCATTGGGCCGGATGCCCATTTCGCCAATTGCCTGCTCGAATTGCTCTTTGCTAGGCATCATATGGGGGTACGGCGACTCGGTCTTGACTCCATCCAGGTCAAAGAAGCGTGCCCCAGGCAATCGCTCAGACACGTACTCCTTTTTGGCATCCCGAGGAGAGTCCGGCATAAACCATGTAGCATCAACAGCTACAAACGGTTTAGTGCGTGCCAACAGCTCTTTCGCAGTTACAATTCGTCGCGCCAGCATGGATGGGGAAGGAGGAGCTGGCCCTAACCTTGGGTTGAATGAAATTGAGAAAGACACTTGAAAATAATTAGATGTATAAGAGCTCTATAAATATAATAAGAGAGATCAGCGATATGCAATGATACTCGCTCTGCTTGATTGCTCTGGTATTTGTGGGCGGGCAGCAGTGCTACCGCTATTCGACTTGGAGACAGCAGTGGCTCGGCTGCCGTTTGAAGCGTTTGAAGCGTTTGAGAGCACGCGAACAAGCGAAGGACTGTGGGCGTCAGGTGTGGCTGAGGGCGTCAGCCGGGTAGCCGCCTCGTCCCCGTTCGTTTGAGTGGCCACAGCTGCCTCCTCTGAACGCCGCTTGCGCTCTTTACGCTCAATCGGCGACCCCACCGCTAAACAGAGGAACCGGAAAAAGCGGTCGCCGTACTCAAACGCCGGTACTGCAGAGAGCTCGCTGCGTCTATGCACGAGCGATTTACAAAACGTTTCCACTCGTTTTCTGAATGAATACTCGGTGAGAAAGTCGATGATTCCCATGTAATAAAAGATGTCTCGCGGTTCGTTTTGGGGGTCTGTGCTCTGGAATCCGCCCGAATCCCGGTAGAATGCGAATTGCGAGCGGAATTGTTCATCGAACTGGAAGTCCGTCAATGCAGTGGGGTTTGCATCTTGAAGCTGCCGTTGCAAGCGAGAGAATTCGTCTTGCTCTTGCTGACGCCGGCGGACTCGTCGCGCAGGGTCGGTGCCGGTGTCGCTTCCAGGGCCAAATTGCTTGAACCTCGTCAACGCACTCAACGCCGAGTTGCCCTTGGACTTGTCGTGGATACCGATGAGCAGTGAATAATCCATGACGTTGGCTCTTTGCAGCATTTGTACATCAAGCTCTAGCTGTCTCATGAATAGAGCACGCTTCTCAGGTCCCAGCACAATACGTTCGTGGTTTTGGAGCCAGTCCAAGTCTTTCAAAACTACCATGTGTTTCTCATCCTCCCGATGATAAGCGCGGCCCAAGGTCGACCCTTTCAGGTCGTAGCGACGGTGGATTTCGTGGAGGGCAGGGAACACATTATTCATTACGACGAAATGGATTTTCCGTCCAAAAGGAAGACGAACTCTATGCAATCCATAAAACTGGGAGATAAGTGTGTTGGGATTGTCGCGAACGTGTTGGTAATAAATCTTGAGAATCCGGCGCAGCTGCTTGTGTTCAGAGTGCCGGATTGTTTTAATAATGAAACGGTAATCACGCGAATAGTAGAAAAACGATCCGCTCTTGCCTGGTGAGCCCAGCTCGCTCACAATGTACTTTGCTGTCATGGACATGAGATAGTCTGCAGGGTCCAGCCCGAACAGTTCCCGGAGGTGGCGGAACACCCAAGGAGCATAGTCCTTGAATCTAAACATATACTTTGACGACACGGTATCGCCCTGGCCGGACATGTCGAATGACATTTCAGTGGTGGTGGTGAAATCGGACTCCAGTAGGTCGCGTTTAATTTTAGCATTGCAGCGGGAAACTGCGTATCGGATGCCTGTGAGCATATTGTATGCTGTTACAAAATTTTCATGGCCTTCGGAGACTCTTGTGCCAACCAGGACGTCGTCTAAAGCTGACACTCGCTTGTGAGCAACCCCGCCGGCGATTTCTTCTTCTTCTTCCTCTTGTTCTATCTCCACGGTTACTTTGCCTTCTTCTTCGACCACTTTTTCTACCGCTTTTTCCTCAACTACCTCCTGGTGTACACTGGCATACACGGCACTAGTTGCCGGACTTGGAGCACCGCCGTCAGGTAGTTGGGGAGCGTCCGTGGTAGTGAGGGTGGGAGGGCCTGATGGGAACGACTCACAACTTGGAGTCGCAATCGCAGGATCAAGCGTCTCTGCATCCGAAGACGTGTTTGCAAGGTTTAAAGGTTCTGGAATAGCGTGCGGGCCCTTCTTGTAGGGCGAGTCCATGTCCTCGGCCGCACATGGAGGGGAGGTGGATGGCGTTGTGATGGACTGATCAGAGTGCGCGCTGGAAGTATCGTTGTCGTGAATAGCGCCCAAAGGCATGTGTATCGATATCATGCCTTCAGATGAGTGCCGAGTCTGCAACATCAGGTGTGTGAATACTCTGTGGGAAACCCCAACTGACTGTTTGCGTACGGAAAAGGTTCAGGAGTGCAGAACTGCGCTTTGTGCTCTCGGCTTAGTCTTTTAGGTTTATCGATAAAATCTCGACGTATGGCTCAACTGGTTACCGGTGTTTGTTTCCTGCTACGATTCACAAACAAAAAGCAATGTCTGAATGGGCGCTTGGTAAGTTACAGGATGCTGACCGGCTGACGACCTCCTTGTGTTTGTGCTTAATAAGCAGTGCTGCTCCGCTCTCGCTCGCTACTTGAATACCTTTAACCGGACAGCCATTGCATGTGCATCGCAGGCTACAGGACAAATGGTTTTTGAGACGAATTTTGTGGGCGTGGAAAAAAACTCAAAGTTGTCAAGTTCGTTATTTACATAAATAGGTATTTAAAGTCCGCTGATGGACGAAGTGCTGTCTATTACGACGAACTCGTTGCCGACAACTGCCACAACAAGTTGGATACCAGGCACGCGGGGGTGGGCCAGGGCAAGTCGAATTTGGCCCTCGACGGTGCCAAGCAATCGAATATCCTTGCCGGTGATCACTTGGACAAGTGGTGCCTTGTTGTTTGTTCCGGCCTCCATTTTGCGTACCTCGACGAGCTCGGGAGATACTGCAACGAGGTATGGGGCCTGGTAAGCCACCGATTGGGCTACACAGACAAAGGGCGTGATTGGGGTGTGGGCTGCAATTTCGCCAGTCGGCGTCACCACAAGACATCCCAGCTCGTAACAAGCCACCAGGGCGTTTGCAGAAATACGATAAATAGCCAACGGTTTGCCAAGACCCAGTGACTGGGCAGGGAAGCGCTGGGCTACCTTCACGTCCAAGCTGAGATACTGGAAGCCGTTGCTTGAGTTGTGAACGATCATGGAGAAATGGAAAGGCGTTACGCCGATCACGTCTCCCGAAATGTGCACACGGTCAACTTCTCTGAAACTCATGACGCAAGGAATGTTGTTCATCGTGCGACTTGTACTCCGCACAGGCTCAACGACTTTGAGAACAGAAGCGGCGAGTTCCTGTTGAACATAAACCACCACCAGTCGGTCTCTGAGGTATGCAATGGTAAAGTGATAAACTCGTTTTTTGCGATTCAGTCGCCTGCCGAGAGGAACATTTTTGTCTCCGGGCTTTGCGTTAAGCACAGATCCCAGATCGTACCACAAAAGAGCCTTGTCTGCTAATACTAGCAACAGGTTCATTTCTTCCACTACTCGGATACTCTGAACGTGTCTCAGGTCGAGAACTCTAAACCAAGCTGCATGGTTTCCACTGCCGCGGTAAACACCATACTCCAATCCCGCAAGGAATTCATTTCCTACTGCCTCGACAGAATTAACCCGTGATCGGGCGACTGCAAACGCAGGATCAGCATCGCCAATGCAACGATGAAGTACGGTGTTGGGCGTGGGAACAGCCAGTTTAGGTGCGTCACCCTCCACGTAGCGGAACTGGTCTGACAAAAGCTTTAATCGGAAGGGTTCAGAGTTTCGAGCAAATGCCGAAGATGAATGGGCCCGCTTGGCATCGACTATAGCGTCACGCCATCGCTCCCGTTCAATAGACGTTTTAGCGTAGAGAAAGTACTCGCCGCCGGCTCGGCCAATATGGGTAATCTGCAGCGGATAAAGTACATCTTTGGGCTGCTCAACATAAGTGACTTGCCCATCGGTTCCAGAGGTGGGTTTAGCTACAGGCACCCCACGAGTTAAAGTTAGTTTTGACCCAAACTTTACCTCGCCGTCAAGATCTGCCGACTCTAAAACAAGCAGATCCATCGGTATGGGCAGTTTTGTAACATAGAAGGCTTTCCCGTTTTGGCCCTCCCTGGTTTTTGACAACACCAGAAAGTTATCCAACAATAAGACATGCGATGTGATCCAGTCCACTTTAAAGCCACCTCGTCTCAGCAGCTCTCCTCGTTTAATCAGTTTTCGTCGACGATCTCCCAATTTGAGGTCTGCTGTAACATCTGCAGACTTGAATACAATGTGTGCTCTCAAATTGTCCACGTCTATTCCACGTTGAGCGGTAGCCACCTTGGCGTCGCATTGCGCTGAAAGCTCGTCTACTTTTTTCTGAGCTTCTAATAAGATTCCGTGCTCTGTAGACGATTCCGGGGTATACTTGAGAACTGCTCCCAGCAGCAATTTGTACCTCAATAATCGGGGAAGGACTCGGGAAAAGTAGAATGAATGAGGTACGCCAACAAGTCGAGGATCCCTGCCGCGCTCAGCCATCCATTCTCTTAGAGCGGGGCTGGCGGCGGTTTCTCTTCGCAATAAAACGTCACTGGCCAAGTAGTCGGAGGCATACGCATTATAAGCTTCGCCAGCCTCCTGAACCCACTGTACGACCAAATCACCGATCCCTCCCACAAAGGGTCCTTGCTGGTGTTGGCGGCCTTGAAGACGAGCCGAAAGCACGCTGTTGACTGAAATGATATCACGGATACGGGCAAACACCTGACGGCAGAACAGTGCCTGATCAGCCATCACCGACGGGTGGTTTTCAAGCTCACCGTAGACGTCAACATATACATTCAAGTCCCGCACATATGCAACTTCTGTCATTATAAGTTCGTGAATGGCGTACTGTAGCTTGAGAGCGGTAGCGTCAACTTCATCGGGCTTGATGCCCCAGAATCCAGCCCAGTCCATTTCGAGATCCGGCCGGCCTCTGGAGACGGATACTTGGCTCCGCATTCGGCGAGGTAGTTCGTCCAGAATTTCGGGCTCTAATGGTTTGTCGCGAATACATCTTGGCGCGTAGCAGCCGGGTCCTGGTTTCGGAGAATAGCACCCGTCTCCGCACAACGCAGTCAACACACCAGTCGGACGTAGACTGTGATCCAGTTGTAACGCGTCGTCAGGACCAGCGGTGCAAAAGCCTTGTTGACGAAGTGACTCCATGGCTTGACGAGCTAGAGCGTCGGCCACCACCCAGTTTATTGCGGGGCACCGAAACACCACAAGCTTTGCAAGGGCTGCCGTGACACTAGTAAGACTGAACTCAGCATCGATTGCAGACACAAGATAGTCGATCCACTGGGCAACACCAGACAGAGCCCATGGGGCAGTGCACTTTTCCAGCTCCGCGACCGTCAGCTGTTCAACGTCAAATGGCGGTCTAATAGCGCCCATAGGGGGCAACTGGGGCAGATCAAGTGGAACTGAAATCGCACCTGATTGATGGATATGTAGGCCTGGTAGATCAGGGAGTGTGTGAGCTGGAGCAGGCACAAGTTCTTCGGGTAAATCCTTGAAGGAAAGGCCCGACTTCCAACTGTCGAGTGCCGGCATTCGCGTGGGACTCGAAACTTCGTCGTCCGTCCAAATTGAATAAGAGTCTGGGTCTGGGAACGACAGCTGGGAAGATCTAGGTGTGTCTGGGGATCGTTCTATTCGATCACTCCGATCTGGAGACGGCATTCGTTCAAAGGCCTGATCCAGAGGGTAGGGCACTCCCGATTCTTTTGGCTCATAGGGTTTGTAAGGAGAGTCAACAACCGACGGCGCATAGCTAGAAGTCGTCGGAATACGGGCCAGCTCGCCAACCGGTTTGCGTCGCGGGGGGACGCGGCGGGGCACCGGGCGGGGACCTAGAGGACCAGACCCTCTGGATGTGCGACGACCGTCGGGTTTTTGCGGCAAAGGAGGGGCCTCTTCTATGTACCACTCCCGGGGCGGCTTGGCCGGGATTGGAGGCGGTGCCTTCCTTCGGTCCATAGGTAAACAAGCAAGCGAGGGTTGGGAGTCTGATGCAGGGAAAACGGTGCTGGCAGTGTCAGTTTCAGACTGTCGCAGAAGCTGCAGGTTATTAAAAGCAGGCTCAAAGTATATTATCAGCTATGCAGTAGATAGTGGTATGTTTGCACCACTGGATAAAATGCTTGCAAGTGCAGCAGAGCCCGTAACCTGGCAAGTGGGGGTTTAATCAGCTTACGCCTGTGCAGTAGGAAGGTCTCAGAGCGTGGAGGATGGTTACAGTAGACCAGATAGTGGACATTCTGGCCCAAACGGTGTGCTCGATCAAGGGCTCGTGTGGCCTGCTGCTGGCCACTGTCATGAACCGTGATTTCAGCAGGTTTCGCGGGCTCATGATCTTCTGGCTGGTCTGTGTAATTGTCGTACGGGCCGTGATCAAACTCAATCGCCGAATTGTCGACGACCCGGCATCGTGGAAGCCTCCGGTTGCTCAAGACGCTGTCGTGGTTACAGGTGCAGCCAGTGGCCTTGGTCTGCTCATCGCAGGGTTACTTAGTGAACGAGGTATCAAGGTAATTGCCCTGGACAAAGCGGCAATACCAATTGGAATTGCCAATTGCAAATCGTTTACCGTAGATATATCTGACGAGGAGGCGGTGAAGGCCATAGCCGGCACAGTGATGAAAGACACCGGTGCGCCCAAAGCGATAATTCACTGCGCAGGGATCGTTATCCCCGGCTACATAAAGGACCTGAGCTTCAATGCAATCGCCAGCATGATGAAGGTTAATTATTTGGGCAATCTATGGGTCACCAAGGCGTTTCTGGACCCAATGCTTGGCCGCCAGGACGGGGCAATGATCATTACGGTGGCTTCAAGTACAGCCCTGGCCGCCCCGGCTGGTGCTGGCATTTATGCTGGAACCAAGGCAGCTCTAAGACTAACATACGAAGCTTTCAGGTACGAGACCCAGGACAGTCAACTGCGATCGCTCGTCTACACTCCCGGGCAGTTGGATACGGCCATGTTTCAAAGCCTCGACAACCCGTCTCCTTGGTTCTCGCCAACTTTACGTGGAGTCGATGTTGCGGTTGATATCGTGGATGCACTCTACCGCGGTCGCACAGGCGAAATTCGCCGACCACTGTACGCGTTCACATTACCCGTTGCCTCGCTGCTGCCACAGTCGCTAGTCGACTATATGCGGCACAAGATCGGTATTGATCGTGCAATGGAGACGTTTTAAATATTCTACTCATTTTTGGCCTTGACGAGCTCGGCAAGAATAGGCTGGAGTTTGTGATGAGCCACCCGGCCACTAAAGTCGATAAACTCGTTGAACTGTAAAACCTTAGATACCTTTGCGCCTGACTTTGTCTCGCATTCAAGCTTGTAGGTTCCAGTATTCTTAGGAGCAGCCGATCGAAGGTACACTGTTTCCTCGCCAGCTGTGCCTATGTAAATGGCGCGACGCTCGACGAATTTTTGCCACACAAATGCCACAGAGAGCATAGAAAAGTAAAAAATAACCAACGCAGCAATCACCGGGTAGGCACCCTCCCATCCTTTCTTCTTCTCGATCCAAAATGTGAATCCCGCGGCCGCAACGGCAAGATAGCTGAACACCAGCCGGACAATTTCAAATGTGTAGTTCTGCTGGAACCCCAGCTTGTCCATTATGTACGGAACCGTCTCGTCCGCAACCGCTTTGAGGTCTGGCGTCGAATATAAGTTGAACATGTCAGCGGGAAACCCTCCAGTCAGCAGCGCGGGCGTGGTTTTAAGGCCGACCCTGATTTCTGCTGGCATGCCGCGAAAGTATGTGCCCATCACGGCATTGTTGGACGATTTCTCGTTAGACGAGGAGCCTGGTGGTTTGGGGGCTCCTAAAAGAGCGGATCTTGCCAAGGGCGGGACTCAAACGCCAAGAGCATCTCGCCACCGCCTCAAACGGCCAGAGCGTCGCCAATTGAGCTCGCAGCAATACATTAATATGACGTGCCGGTTTGTTCTGAAGCCAGGCACGGTTTTCCCGCTTCCGGACGAAGTCGTTGACTTTGAATCGGTGCTGAGAGCCGTCGCCGCTCCCGCAGGCTGTCCGATCTGTTTGGAAACTGCCGTTGTGCCTCGTATGTTGTCCTGTGGTCACATCATGTGTTTGCCATGCTTTTTCCGCTTTTTAAAGTACTCGGAGGAGCACGTTTGCCCGGTGTGTGGTGAGCCTACGCCGCGTGCGGTTACCAACGTGAGCTTCCTTCCGGCCGATCCACGATTCCTACCTCAGCTAGATCATGAGGTGGTCTTGAATTTGGTGTCTAAACCTCTTTCTGGGTTCCCGCGCCCAGTAGGTGAAGCTTTAAGCTCCGAGGTCGAGGACCAGTTACGGTATTCCCGGCTTGTTTACGGAACTGAGGCGTACTGTGCCAAAGAATCGACAAGAGAGATTCAAGAACTGGAGGATCTCATGTCTGAGAACGTTGAAGAGGGCTATGCTCAAGCGCTGGCAGCTTGTAAGGCAGATTTGGCGTCGGCCAGCAAAACCTCTAAACCCCCGGCTCCGCCGGCTGGCAAACCATCATACTTTTACTATCAGACGGCCTTTGAATCCCCAACTACCTACGTGTTGTCGCCCTTGGATATCACAGTCTTGAAAGCATGTTTTGGCGAGTACTCTGATTTCCCCTCATTGCTGATTGCCAAAGTGGACAACATTATCCACAAGACAGTCGATAACGACATCCGAAAGCGGATGAAGTTTCTAGGTCACATCCCCACTGATGCACCTCTTGTGTTGCTAGAGTGCGATTGGCGGGGCGTGCTGCCTGCGGAGGTTGTTTCAAAGTTCGGCAAGCAGCTTTCTGAGCGACGCAAACGCCGAAAAACTCGAGACCGCATTGACAACAAGCGCCGTCAGAAGGCTGAGCAGGAGAGTGATTCTCGCATGCGTGCCGAAGTGCTTGTCGAAACGAGTCCGCCCGAGCCGGCAAACATTAATCTCACTGAGCTGCCTAGTCTGGGGGCTCGCCCGGCTCCTCCTCCGCGAACAGCCAAGTGGGTAGACTCGCAGGCCGAGTTTGATGAAATGATGGCCAACGCGTACGTCACAAAACGGGGCAGACGCAAGATTGTCCTGTCTTCGAATCACTAAAAGCTACAACTTTTTTTATTTACTCTCTAAACGCTCGATACGGGCAACAAGGTCGTCGACGACTGCTGACAGCTTTTCGACGACTGCGTGGATGTCAGTAGACTCTGCTTGTTTTTTGTTTCTTGCCTTGATTTCTTCTAGCTTAGCTTTGGCTTTTGATGCTTTGTCGAGAACATCATTTGCCTCGGCGTCGAGATCAGCAAGCGCTTTAGCAGTGCCGTTTTCACTGGACTTGGGCTCAGACTCGGACTTGTCTTTGGGTTCCTCGGTGTCTTTGGGTTCCTCAGACTCAGGCTTGGCTTTGGCTTCCTCAGTGTCTTTGGGCTCTTTAACCTCTTTGGTGTCCGCCTTGGGCTCCTCGGGCTTGCTTTCTTCTTCGTCATCCCAAACGCTCTCCTCACGAGATGCAACTGTAGGTCTCTCGAGATCCTCTTCTCCAGCCTTGTCCAAAAATGTCTTTACTTCCTTTGACTGGAACACTTCATACGCGTCTTGCTTAGAAGCCTTGTCAAGGGCAGATACTTCTGTGGCCTCAAGCTCCTTGGTCTCCTCGGACTCCTTAGTCTTGGTTTCCTTGGTTTCCTTGGGCTCCTTGGCCTTGGTATCCTCGACCTTGGACTCTTCGGCCTTGGTCTCTTTGGGCTCCGCCTTGGTCTCTTTGGCCTTGGTCTCCTTGGCGGGCTCCTTGGCGGGCTCCTTGGCCGATGCCTTGGGATCAACCTTCTTGCCATCATAAATATCCTTCCACTCGCTCACAAGTGGCCGGCTCGTCTTGCCAGACGCCCAGGCATCAGCATCAAGAGCAGCAACGGCAGAGTGGCAGGTCTTGTAAATATCAGACAAAAATCCCTCGATTTTGCGGGGAACGCGGAAAGGTACAGGCTCAATTTGAGTCTCCCAAACTTTGTATACGCGCGCAACCTCATGGTCATGAATATCCAAAGCACGATCAGGAACAAACGCCAGTCCACGCTGAGGGGCAATGGACTGGTAAGAGAAAAGATCATAGAGCTTGTCATCAACAAACTCATAGTATACAATTGTTCCATCACCTCGGCCACCTAGGTACAACATAGAGGTGCCTGCATCAAAAAATGGCATAATAATACCCGAACTCTGGTCAAGGTTTTTGAAATCACCAATGGGACCCTTGTCGAGGTTTTCGGTATCCCAAATAGCCAATTGACGATCACTCAAGCGAGAAAAGCCTGTGGTAGCAACCCGATTGCGGTCGCCCAACCAAACAACGCGACTGGCTTTGGAACCAGGATGGCCCTGGCCCTCGGACAGCACCTTCTCTTTGCGAACGTCCCAAACCCGGATCTTCTTGTCACGGCAGGTTGACACAATCTGCGTACCATCGTAGTTCCATGCAAACGAGGTAATGACATCAGGATGCTCCAGGGTGAACAGAACATCACCAGACTCGACGCTCCAGATCTTGATCGTATGGTCCAAAGACGAGGACGCCAAAATATCCTTGGCAACCGGGTTGAAAAGAACATGACCAACCTTTTTGGAATGACCCGTCAAAAACTTGACTGCTTCCACGTCAGAAACACTATCAAGGTCCTCTGCCGGAGTCATGGGGTCAAAGCCGGCGGGTACTTTCCAAACGCCGATGCTGCCATCATCAGACGCGGAAACAACCATGTCGTCGTCAAAAGGGTTCCACTCGGTATCCAAAACAGCACCCTTGTGACCGCTGAACAACGGGAACCGATCAGGAAGCTTTCCTGGTTTAGTTACGGGAAGAACAGCAAACGCACCACCGCCAGAGGCATTCCAGCAAAGCGAAATGTACTTGCCGTTTGACTTGGCCAAATTGCTGTCGAACGCGTTTTTCGTCAGGCGGATATTATCGAAGCATTGGTCCTTTTTGACCGGCTGTCCGTAAACATGCCGGTATTTGGAAGCACGGACCATACTCATGGTTAGGATGAATGATGTACCGTCAGCAGCACAATGCTGCTAAATCACCGGGCCCCAGCAGGCATAAGTGCCGGTTTTTGGTTAATGGAGAGGCGCAGAGTGTCAAGGTATTTATAAGAAATCATTATGTACAAATGTTGTTTTGTTTTTTTCCTGTGCTTCTGCGGGCCTCCTGAAATGTACGCTCCAATGTACATGTCAATCATCGGTTACGTCACGCGCTTCACAACACCCCGCCAATTTATATCAACCGATGCGCGCGGCATTGGACGTTGACTAATGTTGACTACCATATCGCCTATAACGAATCAGCCGCTCATTGATACGCCCGAGGCCACTATCGAGACGGCAAAAGCTGCAATTGACGCGGCTGCGACGGCTCAAGTCAGTTGGGTCAAGCTCTCTCTTGGCGAGCGCAAGCAAAAGGTCGCTAAGCTTTTGGATGTCCTGGAGGCGGATGCGGATAGTCTGGGCAAGCAGATCACAGAGCAAATGGGCCGCCCTATTCAGTACACACCCGGCGAGGTCAAAACGGCCGCAATGAGGGGCAGAGTCATGCTCGGTTATGCCGACGAAGCGCTGGCTCGTCGAGATGTGGACTTGGACGCTCGCCCTGCCATCACCAAGTACCTCACTAAAGAGCCAATTGGGGTTGCTCTTATTATCTTCCCCTGGAATTACCCTTATTTGTGCTTGGTGAACGGATTGGTACCTGCTTTGCTTGCTGGCAACACTGTTATCATCAAGCCTTCTCCGCAGACTCCTCAAGTGGCTGAGGCAGTTGTGTCAGCTGCGGCAAAGGCAGGGATTCCTAATGCTGTGATTAGTGCTATTCACACTGGTGATAACAAACTCGTTGAACAGATCATTCAAAACAGATCCATTGGTGCCGTTGCCTTCACTGGGTCTGTAGCCGGCGGCCTGGCCGTGCAGAAAGCTGCAGCCGGTCGTACTATCCCCGTTGCCCTTGAACTGGGCGGTAACGACGCAGCCTATGTGCGGGCCGACGCCGATATTGATGCTACGGCGGAAAATGTTGTTGATGGAGCACTCTTCAATTCGGGCCAATCGTGCTGCTCAATTGAGCGGGTATATGTGGACGAGAAGATCTACGATAAATTTGTGGATGCTGCAGTTAAGGTTGTCAAGGGCTATAAAGTAGGAGATCCGCTGTCTGGAAAAGTCCAATTAGGTCCGATGGTATCTGCTGCATCTGCTGCTCGAGTCAGTAAAGACGTGGAGGAGGCAATCAAGTCTGGTGCCAAGGCACACATTACCCCAGGGCTAGATTTGGGACCGACCTATCTTTACCCGCAAGTCTTGACAGACTTGTCCCCCCAGGACCGGGTGCTGAAAACTGAGACGTTTGGACCAGTCTTACCGATTGTCAAGGTTTCGGGTGACGAGGAGGCTATCAAGCTAATGAACGACGACGATTTCGGATTAACTGCATCTGTATGGACATCGGACTGCACGCGGGGCGATGAGATCGCTTCGCAAATCGAGGCGGGCACGGTGTTTGTGAACCGCAGCGATTATCCAGACCCGCACTTGGCATGGACCGGGTACAAGCTGAGTGGCCGTGGCGTTTCACTATCGCCGTTTGGGTTTGATTTTTGGGTCAAAGTCAAAAGCCACCACGTGAAAACTGCCGCTTAAGTGAGCGGTGATGCCATCTTGGGTGGCTTTGACGCAAGATATATGCACCACGTAAGCGGCCGTCGACGCAGATATCAGCGGTAAATAGAGCGAAAAGAAAGCAAAGGAGAAAGCGAGGGCAGTGCAAAGTGCGGAATGTCAGGGATGGCAGGGGGATGGTCATTGTCGTGGGATTTTCTGGGCGATGGAACAGAAGCAGGCTTAATTTTTCGTTCCGCCTGCGCACCCTGCCAGACGCGCGCAAATGCGTTGGCACGTGATGTGACGAAAGCAAGCTTGCCACATGATACAGTACATAAACCCCAGGATAAGCCGAAAGGAACGATTTCTGGAACACTCTACAAAAATGTCATCTCCTTTGCGTCTTGGATCCAAGGCCCCTAACTTCCAGGCCGACACCTCGAACGGCCCCATCGACTTTTACGAGTTCCTTGGCGACTCGTGGGGTGTTTTGTTTTCGCACCCTGACGACTTCACTCCCGTGTGCACCACTGAGCTCGGTGCGTTTGCCAAACTCGAGCCCGAGTTCGCTAAGCGCAACGTCAAGTTGATTGGTTTGTCTGCCAATGGCACCGAGTCCCACAAGGCGTGGATCCAGGACATTGACGAGGTCACCGGATCCAAGCTGTCGTTCCCTATCATTGCCGACCCTGAGCGTAAGGTCGCTGCTGCGTACGACATGATCGACCACCAGGACGCCAGCAACGTCGACGACAAGGGTGTTGCATTCACCATCCGCTCTGTGTTTATTATTGACCCCAAGAAGAACGTCCGCCTGATCCTGGCCTACCCTGCCTCCACCGGCCGCAACACAGCCGAGGTCTTGCGCGTCATCGACTCGCTGCAGACCGGCGACAAGCACCGCGTCACCACTCCGATCAACTGGACTCCTGGCGACGACGTCATTGTGCACCCCTCCGTCACCAACGACGAGGCAAAGACTCTGTTCCCCAAGTTCCGTACCATCAAGCCCTATTTGCGTCTCACGCCCCTGGATGCCGACAAAAAGTAAGTAATGAGGCAATACTTGTTTATTAAAGACACTTAGAACTAACCAGATTCTCGGCAAGGCTCTAGGCCCGGCAGCTAAAGAGGTCGCCAAAACCGAGCGACCACGCTGTACATAAAAGTGCATTTTCGTTTGTTTTTTTCATAATTTCTATACCGTGCGGCTCACCGGTCGTTTTCTGCCAGATCAAAGCCCATATTGCCGCGGTTGCGTTTCTCAAAGTCCTGCTTGAGTTTCTCGTGGATGAGGTCAGTGATCTCCCGCGCCCTGCCATGAGCTTGCTCGCAGCATTCGATTATCTGCTGGCTGGAGAGCGGGATCTTGCCGGCCTTGGTGAATTGACAGATGTCGCGGTCCTTGTTGATGGTGATTGTCATGGACCCGATGCGCAGGTCCTGTTCGGCTTCGTCTGCGTCCACCACGATGATATCGTTGTCGAAAAACGACCAGGACACACAGATCGGAACATGCAGCACAGAAAGAGGCACCGGTGGGCGTTCGTCGAGAGTGTGTACGATGGTGCGAGACCCGTCGATGGAGGTGTCTGGCCGGCGGAAGTGCAGTAGGGCGGCAATGACGGCTATGCAGCTCGCGTCAATGAACCCGCCGTCGTATTCCAAGTAGTGAACGTCGGCGCGGACCATCCAGCAGGATTGGCCGGCTACAATACATAAGGACTCGAGATCAAGGGCATTCGACCGGCGAATAGCCTTCTCAATCAGCCGCGTGACCATCAGCTCGTCCACCGTTTGCCTGCCGTTTTCGAACCGTGGCGATGCCATAGAGCTGACGTCGGTTGTGATCAAAAACAGTCCCTCAAATGGCCGGTCGTCGCGGGGCTTGGCTACCTGCGAAGACACCTGAGCGACAAGCCTAGTGCGGCCCATTTTTACTTCCACGTGGCCGTAGCTGCCGCCGAACGCCAGCTCTAGTTTCCTTGCCTCGTTGAGTCGGCGTCCAGACACCCGCTTCTGGTCCTCCAGCAGGCTCTGGACAAAGGCCTGTTCAATAGAGCTCATGGTTGATTACCCAATTTTTTCCACTGGCAAAAACCCGCATGTATCGTATCACGTGATGAAAATATCAATTAGCACCGTGGGGCTTTTGCCTCTATGGTTTACGCGGACAAACCGCGCTGCTTTGGCTTCTAAAGCAACCCAGGTTATAGAATTAGTGTTGCTGAGTTCTCCTGTATCTTTTTCCCCGGTTTCGTCTTTTGAGGATTTGTGTGCTCGCACATTTCAACACGCCTCTTTTGACACAACAATTAACCATCTTCCCAACATGTCTGACGTGTATATTGTGTCTGTCGCCCGTACGCCTATTGGCAGTTTACTTGGCAATCTGAGTTCTTTGAACTACGTTGACCTTGGCTCCCATGCTGTCAAGGCGGCTCTGAGTCGTGCTCCTCAACTCAAGGCCGAGGACGTTGACGAGATCATCTTTGGCAACGTCTACTCTGCCAACGTTGGCCAGGCTCCTGCTCGTCAGGTCGCGCTCAAGTCTGGTCTGAGCACCCGCGTTGTGGCCACCACCATCAACAAGGTTTGCGCCTCGGGTCTCAAAGCCATCATGCTCGGTGCACAGGTTATCATGACCGGCGGCGCTGATGTTGTGGTTGCAGGTGGCGCCGAGAGCATGACCAACGTGCCTCACTACGTCCCCAACATGCGCACTGGCGTCAAATTCGGCGGTGCAGGCATTGTTGATGGTATTGAGCGCGATGGTCTCCACGACGCATACTCGGCTGAGCCCATGGGTGTAGCTGCCGAGGACACTGCTGCCGAGCACAATGTTTCTCGTGAACAGCAGGACGACTACGCTGTTGAGACGTATAAGCGTGCTCAGGCTGCCACCAAGGCCGGCAAGTTCACCGAGATCGCCCCCATTGAGATCCCTGGTGTTCGTGGCAAGCCCGGCAAGACCATCTCTGAGGACGAAGAGCAGTCCCGTCTCGACGAGGCTCGTTTACGCACCGCCCGCACTGTTTTCAAAAAGGACGGCACGGTTACTGCACCCAATGCCTCCCCCATCAACGACGGTGGTGCCGCTGTTATTCTGGTTTCCGCCGCCAAGGTCAAGGAGCTTGGCCTCAAGCCCTTGGCCCGCGTTGTTTCCTTTGCTGATGCCGCTCAGGAGCCCATCAAGTTCCCTACCACCCCTGCTCTTGCTACCAAAAAGGCCCTTGAGCGTGCCAAGCTGTCGGTCGACGACATTGACTACTTTGAGTTCAACGAGGCGTTCAGCGTGGTTGGTGTTGCCGTGAGCAAGCTCCTCAACGTGCCTGCCGAGAAGGTCAACGTTTACGGTGGTGCTGTTGCCCTCGGCCATCCTCTGGGCTGCTCGGGTGCTCGTATTGTCACCACCCTCACCTCGGTCCTTCGTCAGGAGGGCGGCCGCTACGGTGTTGCATCCATCTGCAACGGCGGTGGCGGTGCCTCTGCGATCGTCATCGAGAACTTGCTCCCTCAATCCCAGCTGTAAGTTTATGTATAGGGTCTAAATCTTATTTGGCTGTTTAGCTAACTCCAGCATCACGCTGGGGTACGCGTCCATGCGCGGACTGGTAGTCTGCCATTGACCACCATCAACGACAAGAACCTGGCCCGTAACATAGTGGGCGGCCGGGCTGAACAGATAGACGGTGCCGTCGGCGATTTCCTGAGTAGTACCGTAGCGGCCCAAGGGGATCATTTCGTAAGATCGTTGTCGGTTGTGTTCGGAGCCTTTGCCAAGACGAGACATGCCCTCGGTTCCTTCGATGGGACCCGGCGCCAAGGCGTTGCTGCGAATACCCAGAGGCCCGAACTCGACAGCAATTGTCTTCATTAGCGAGTCGACGCCAGCCTTGGCAGCCGCGGGATGGGCCTGGAACGGCAAGCCTCGGTAGTGCAGAGTTGCCGAAACAAACACAACGGAGCCCTTTGTTTTGAGCAATTCGGGAAGAGTGGCCTTAGCAGTGTTGAACGAGCCGTTCAAGTCGATGTCGATCACGGTCTTGAAGGCATTCGCAGACAGACCGGTGATAGGTGCCAGAAAGTTGCCAGCGGCCCCGGCAATCACATAGTCGATTCGGCCCAAACTCTCGACAGTTTGCTTCACGGCCTCCAAAATTGTGTTGATATCACGCACATCTACGGCAAAGGACAGCACCTTCGCTCCTGGCCTCAATTCGGCGACCTCTCTCGCTGCGGCGGCCGCTTTGTCGCCGTTTCGCCCCACAATCACTGCGTCGGCTCCAAGCAGAACCATGGCCTCTGTCTGGACCCGGCAAATCGATCCAGCACCGCCCGTAACAAATACGACTTTGCCGGCAAACAGGTCGTCTTTCCAGACACATGTGCGCTTATAGTCCTGAGACAATGTGTTTGGCATTGTTTCGATGTGCCTCCATGGTCAGGCGCCTGGCTTTTTCACCCTCTCCCAATGTCTGGGGTAAGGGTGGTCTGTGGAGGTTCAGTGGGGAAATTAGCCGAGCCGGATTGAGTGCACTATTAGCGGGGCAACCGAGGCTTGTCTATTTAGAGTTTATTGTCCTGAGAGCCTGTAGCGATAACCGAGTGCGGATAGTAGTTCATGGCCCCAGAAGTACTCTGCCACTCAGCACCGTCGACAACTAGAATCTGGCCAGTGACGTAGCTAGCGGCTGGAGAAAACAGGTAGACAGTAGCGTCGGCGATCTCGACTGTCTTGCCAAGTCGACCAAGCGGGATCAGCTCCAGGCTGCGCTGGCGAATGTCCTCAGGAACTAGGCGGTCGAATCCCTCAGTGCCCTCAATGGGGCCGGGCGCAATGCCGTTGCTTTGAATACCCATAGGCCCAAGCTCAACAGCAAGAGTCTTGGTAAGAGAGTCGATTCCGGCCTTGGCTGCTGCAGCGTGGGACTGGAAAGGAAGACCCTTATAGTGCAGGGTAGCCGACACAAATATGATATGGCCTTTGTGTTCACGGAGCTGGTCGTAGGTGGCCTTGGCGGTGTTGAAAGCGCCAATCAGATCGATTTCAGTGACTGTGCGGAAAGCATTGGACGAGAGAGAAGTAAACGGCGACAAGAAGTTGCCAGCAGCGCCGGCGATCACAAAGTCAATGTGACCAAGCTCCTTGACGGTTCTGTCTACGGCAGCAGTCAGGTTCTCGATGTTGCGGACGTCGCAATTGCCAATGCCCAGAACCTTTGCACCAGGACGCAGAGTGGCGATCTCCTTGGCGGCCTTCTCTGTCTTGGCCGGGTTGCGGCCCAAAATCACTGCGTTGGCACCCAGTAGGACCAGGGCCTCGGTCTGGACGCGGCAAATAGTGCCGGCGCCGCCAGTCACGAAAACCACTTTTCCGTCGAACAAATGCGGCTTCCACACGGAGTTCTTCAAGTAGTCGGGTCCGAGTGTGTTGGGCATTTGGGGATTTGGGGATTTGGTGAAAGAGGTTTCTTCCTGTGATTATATATAGCGGGGAGGCCGGGGGCATGTGACGGTCGGCAGGGCATACAGAGTTGGGCTCGTAGTGAACTGTCTTGAGCGATTGCGACAGTGGTTGCGGGCTGCACGCTGTGCTAGAACCCGTCAATGGCCAGGGCTCGCCCCCAAACCGGTCTCCTCTTTTCGGCCCAATATCCCTGCCCCAGCCGGCTTTGTAACCCCCCGCCCATTTAGTCGCCGCCGTCTGCTGTTCCCCACAGATTACTACGCCGAACCATGCCTGACCTGATCCAAGAGCTGTCGTTTTACCGCAAGTACCACTACAACAAGGTCAATGTATTTATTCACGTGTGCTGCATTCCGCTGATTTTGTTGACTGCAGTGTACAATCTGACTGCGTTGAGAATCCCCGAGGTGGTCCTGAACGCCGTCGACCTGGACGCCAAGTACTATCCGTACGCCAACTTTGCCACTGTGGTGAGTGTGTGCTATGGTGTTTATTACATTATGCTCGACCTTCCGATGGGCCTGCCTTGTGCGCTGATTCTCAATTACGCTTCAATGCAGTTCTGCAAGATGGCACCGGCGCTGGGGTCCGATGGCTATCGAAAGTCGTGGGCGATCCACACTGTGTGCTGGTTGCTTCAATTCATTGGCCACGGCGTGTTTGAGAAGCGGGCCCCGGCCCTGCTTGACAACCTGGTGCAGGCGTTGGTGCTCGCGCCCTTCTTTGCTGTTTTCGAGCTGTTCTACTTTTTGGGCTTCCGCCGCGATGTCATTGAGAACATTGACAAGAAGGTTGTTCCTGAAATCAAGGCGTTCCATGCTGCTCGTCTCGGCAAGTCTAGTTAGTTAGTTAGTTAGTTAGCTATTTAGTTATTTAGTTATTGGTTATTAAGTTAGTTGATTGGTTTATCAGCGAGGTGTGGCAAGGTGGCCCGGTGCAACTCCCCTCACCAAATCGTACTGGGGAGCGGTGCACTATTCTAGCCAGCCACTGCGGTTCTTGCCAATGCATACTGTTTCATAGCTCGAGTATAAACTCCTCCTTCGTTCCTTAGTCAGCCAGCCATGGAACAGTCGCTTGACGAAATCATCGCTGGAAAGCACAGCGAACAGACGGCAAACAAGGGACGCCGCGAGCGTAGAGCACGCGGGAGCCGTGGAGGCAGCGAACGGCGCCGTGGCCCTCGCCGCACGACCGACGACCGTCAGCGTGAGCCTCCTTGTGTCTTGATCAAGAACCTCCACAAGGACATCAACGAGGGAGAGCTCCGAGACCTGTTCCGCGAGGTCGGCCCGATTAGTCGCGTTTCTATCGACTACGACAAGCAAGACAAGCGCACTGGCCGTGCCTGGGTTCTCTACAACTACGGCGAGGACGCTGCTGTGGCCGCAGGTCGCTTCAACGGCCGCCGGGCCGTCGGACAGATTATCACCGTCAAGCAAGTCCGCAGCATTGGCGACCTCGACAAACCTTCTACTTCTTTACGCGACCGTATTGGCGGCTCTGCCAAGCCCGAAAAGCGTGGCGGACGCAAGGCCAAGACCGAACGCCCTCGCGGTCCCAAAACCCAAGAAGAGCTCGACGCAGAGCTCGACGCCTACATGAATGATTCCGCCCCGGCTGACCCCGCTCCGGCCGCTGCACCGGCCGCTCCCGCTGCTCCCGCTGCTCCTGAGGCTGCTCCCGATGCTGCTCCGGCCGCTCCGGCTCCTGAACCCGAAGATGTTATGATCGAGTAACTTAAAAAATCTAATAAATATAATCTAGGCTTCTCTTCACCCTTACCTAATGTACAAACTCTCCGGAACGTGGCAACGAGGCAGCGACGTTAAGGCGGTCAAGTTTTGCCGAGAAGGTGTGCTTGCTGCTGGAAGAGACGGCAATTTGATGCTGCACACAAAGTCCAACTCTCAGCTCGTCCACGAGGAGGGCCAGTACCTTAATTCCTTGGCTGTTGCGGATCGCACTGCGTATGTCGGCTCGCAAGACGGCACTATTGTGTCCATTGACATCGACACAAAGGAAATGGCCTACTTTCTAGGTCACACTGCCAATGTGTGTGCATTGGACGCCCACGGAGACGTGCTGGTTTCGGGATCGTGGGACAAAACTGCCCGCATCTGGCAGAGCCCCACAAGCTTTATTGAGCTCAATGGCCATTCAGAGGCCGTTTGGGCAGTCCTGATCGTCGACAACACGCATGTTTTGACTGCATCTGCCGACAAAACTATTATTTTATGGAAAAGCGGCGCAAAGAAGCGCACCTTTACTGGTCACACAGAGCCGGTTCGTGGCCTGTGTTTATTGGGCGACGATCGCTTTGCTAGCTGTTCTAATGACTCCACAATCAAAATCTGGTCTCTTGACGGAAGCTTGCTGCAGACTTTGCAGGGCCACACGTCTTTTGTTTATTCAATTGCTTTCCACAAGGGCCACTTGTTTTCCACTGGCGAGGACCGCACTTTGAGGCTGTGGCGCGATACATCACAAATCCAGACAATAGTGTTACCTGGTGTGTCGGTCTGGTCGGTTGCAGTTGATACGCATGGCGACGTTGCCGTCGGATCAAGCGACCATAATGTCAGATTGTTCTCCACCAAATCGTCGCATTGGCTCTCGGATGCTGAGCTTCAAGCCTTTGAAGACGAAGTTTCAAATACAAAGGTTGGTGAGGATCAAGTTCAGCTCGATGAAAGCCAAATCAAAGATGCTAGCATTCTACAAACAGATGGTCGCGAAGGCCAGGTGGTTATGGTGCGAGAGAACGGCATCGTCAACGCATATCAATTTTCAGGCAAATGGCTCAAAATTGGCCAAGTCGTGGGCAAGTCTCAAAAGAAAGAGTTCAATGGAAAGAGCTATGACTATGTGTTTGACGTCGACATTGCCGACGGAGTACCTCCCTTGAAATTACCTTTCAATAAGGGTGACAACGTATACGCCAGTGCAGAAGAGTTTGTTGAACGCAACGACTTGCCTGTCTCGTACGTGAACCAGGTCGTCAACTTTTTAATCACCAATACCCAGGCCTCGTCGACGTCGGTTTCTACTCCGGCATCTGCTCCACCGACTGTGCCCGCTACTCCAGCACCTACCCCATCTGCAGCCGTCCCGGCTGTTATTTCATCATACAAGCAACCACTGCCAATGACCAACTTCAATGGCCCATCTCTGGCCAAAGCATTCGCTGAAAAGGCCGCTGAGCAGGGATCAGAAGCAAATATACTACCGCTGCTCGAAGGCCTGCCCTCAAGCTCGAATGATCTGCTTCAGGTCGCTCAAGAAGCATTATCACACTGGAATCCCAGCGACTTTTTGCCCGTGTTGGACGCTATGAGACTGGCAGTGGTGGCGTCTGACCCCCCGGATATGCAGGTCATGATCTCCCTGTTGTCATGTGTTGACCCCGCAATGCCAAAATACTCGACCCTTGCTACACGTGGATTCGCAAATATTGCTGCTCGACCTGATGGGCCCACGTTGGTGCAAAAAGACCAGCAACTCTTTATTGAAGCAGTATCGCTGCTAAGCACTGCAGAACTCAAGGGCCCATTGGCACTCGCAGCAGCTACCCTTCTTTTGAATCTCTCTGTAGTAGGCACCAAAGTTTCATTGGCCGAGTATGCGGTCCAGTTCACCCAGGCCTTTGATGAGACTCCTGAAGCAAACTACCGGCTGGCCCTGGCAATCGGAGTCCAGGCGTTCAAGCATCCTTCTGATCGCGCGACTCTGTCAAACGCCACTAATTGGCTGGCTGCAAACCGCGAACCCCGTTTCATTGCTCTCGCTAAAGAAATTTTACCTCTTTTGTAGATACATAAAACCAAATCGTTTTCGCGATCCTGAATTCTTAGTCACCCGAAATGTCCAAACGACGGCAGAGCTCGCTTGGTTCAGCCAAACGAAGGCCAGATAACAAGTACATGGACATAGTCGAGAGGCTATTTGAGTACAAGCTAGCTGGGCGTCATATTGTTGTTGAGCTGTTTACCGAGGTGCCGAACCCGGAGCTCTATCCCGACTATGCAGAGGTCGTACAAGAACCGATCTCGATGAAAGAGATCTCTAAACGGGCGCGTCTTCAGGCATATGAAAACGAGGACGACTTTTTGAGCGATTTTGAGCTTATGGTTGAGAATGCAAAGACGTATAATGGCGAGGAGTCTCCGGTCGTGGATGACGCGATTGCGCTGCTGGATTTCGTGTTGGGTGAGCTGGGCCGCCCGCTCAGCGAGGTTACGCGACAAAAGCAGCAGCTCAAGATCCTGCACGAACTCTTAAACTACAAGTACAAAGGTCGTAAGCTGTCCGAAGTGTTTATTGTCGAGCCGAGCCGTGAGGACTATCCCGAGTACTATGAGGTCGTCAAGGAGCCCACATCGTTCACCACGGTCGAGTCACGGATTCAAGAGGTGGCTTGTGAAACGTGGGATCAGTTTTCTGATCTCGTAGAGCCTATTTTCAACAACGCAATGGTGTATAACCAGGAAGGATCCCAGATTTACTCCGATGCCTCTGCGCTCAAGAAACAATTGCACAATAAGGTGGCTCGCATGAGACCGGCACCGCCGCCTCGGCTCAAGATTCGACCACCAACGGCAGAGATCGGATCCAGTGACGAAGAGGAAGTGGGCGACGAGGACGACGAGGATGACGAGGACGAAATGGATATCGACGACGAAGAAGTCGATGACGAGCCAGTTGTCGAGCACCGGTTCGACGATGACGACGATGACGATTTCGAAGCAGACCCCGACGATTTCGACGACGAGGATATCGCTGATGAAGACGACGAGGAAGAGGATAAAGACTCGTCTGCAGCGCCCCCTAATGGGCCCTCAGGTATGCCCATGATGATGATGATGCCTCCCGAACAACAAACAGTTTTCCGGGACGAGATTGTTCATCGCGAGCTGGGGAAAACGGCCAGAGACGGTCTTATTCAGTTGGTCACGGTGGCCAGCGTCGCCCATCCCCAGTTTATGCGGAGCCAGGGTCACATGGGAGAAAAGCCTCAAATTTTACCGCCAATTGCCACTGATCTAGTTCATTTGCGTATCCCGGCCTCCAGGTCGCACGTCATGACCGCGTTTTCCACCACCCTGCCGGCGTACCACCACACCCTTGGGTTGAATGTATATTTACACGAACAGCTTCGCCAAATTCCTTTCGCACTTTCTGTGCTGCTAAACGGTCGCAAACTGCCCCCCATGAACCGTATGAGCGGCGTTATCCATGAAGATTTCCAACTACGACTCAGCCCGGGCCTCAATCAAGTGACCATATGCGTTATCCGCGCCGGCATGACAGGCACCGTGCGACCCTTTGGTGCTCCACCGATTGTCGGTACCGAGTCAGACGAAGAACGACTGGTTCTATGGCTCAATTTAATGCGCTAATTTGCCCTATCTAAATTATCTACGCTATATTACCTTCCCCCGGTCTTAGTCACCAGCCCGCGTCACATCACCCTCTCTACCAGTGTGGCATTTTCTTGGACACCGCAGACAATGTTCACGTTATGGAAGCACCCCGAGGCGTTCACAATCGCTAGTTCCAATGCAGCCATTCGCATTGATCGCTCGACTGCCGAAATTTCGAGCGCAAAGCCGCCCCCTTCCACTGGGCAATCCATTGCTGCCATCATCGGTATCATTCAGCTCCGAGTAACCAAGTACCTCATTGTGGCCAACACGGCGAAAGCTGTTTGTGACATTTTCGAGAGCAAGGTTTACAAGCTTAGTGGGTTCCAGTTGCTGCCCTTCAAGGCCCATTCTGCCCCGGCAACTATCGAGACAGAGTTCCTAGGGCTTATTCGGAAGCACCTGGCGTCTGCACCGATGTATTACAGTCCCACTTACGATATTTCTACTGCTCTGCAGCGTCAACAGCCCAATTCGGGTGAGAAGCCCTACGAAAGCGCCGACGAGCGCTTCTTTTGGAACTATGCTGTGTCTCAGCCCCTTGTCAGAGCGGCTGAAAAGGAGCCTGCCGTCAAGGAGTTTGTCTGTGTGACCATTTTTGGAGTTTACCATCTTGAGCACACTAAAATCAACGGTGTGCCTCTCAAGTTTGGTATTGTCAGCCGTCGCTCTCGTCACAGAGCCGGTACTCGGTATTTCCGCCGCGGTATCGACGACAATGGCAATGTTGCCAACTACAATGAGACCGAGCAGCTGTTATTCGTCAAAGACAGGGTGTATTCTTACGTACAGACCCGTGGTTCAGTCCCTGGCTACTGGGGTGAGATCAACAAGCTCACATACAGACCCAAAATGGCTATCGGTGGACCAGCAATTGAGGCAGCTAGCAAGCACTTTGACCAACAGAAAAAGCTGTACGGCGAGCAGTATCTTGTTAATCTTGTGAACCAGTCCGGCTATGAGAAAGCTGTTAAGGACTTGTACGAGAACGTTGTTGAGGGTCTCCACGACCCTGCTCTGCACTATGTCTACTTTGACTTCCACCATGAGTGCTCCAAGATGCGCTGGCATCGCGTGAACTTGCTTTTGGACGAGCTGGAGCGCATTGGTCTCGACAATCAAGGCTGGTGCCTGGTTGAGAACGGCCAAGTCAAGGCCAAGCAGTCGTCGGTCGTACGCACCAACTGTATGGACTGTTTGGATCGCACAAACGTCGTTCAGTCTTGCCTTGGTGGCTGGGTGCTCCAGCAGCAGCTGGAAGAATCAGGTGTTCTCTCCAATGGCCAGAAGTGGGAGCACGAAGCCAGGTTTGTCTCGCTGTTCCGCAACGTCTGGGCCGATAATGCCGACGGTGTTTCGCGAGCTTATTCGGGTACTCCTGCTTTGAAGACTGACTTTACTCGCACCGGCAAGCGGACCAAGATGGGTGCCATGCAGGATCTGCGTAATTCGATCACCCGCTATTATTTGAACAATCTGAACGACGGTCATCGTCAGGACGCCTTCAATCTATTTTTGGAAGACTATTCGCCATTCGAGCACGTAGAGTCTCCCTTCACCGACCGCCGCGACCTGTGGACTCGTTCCCTGCCATACTTTTTGGGCTTCTCGGTATTCCTTCTGGTTTTCTCTGTCATCTATCCGTCACCCAGGCACACTATCAAGTTCAATTTCGGTGTGAGCTGCTTTTTCTTTGCCATTTGCAGCATCGCGTTCAGAAAGGTGTTTTCCGATGGCCTGCAATATGTAGACTGGCCCAAGTTACTGCCTTTGGATTATGTTCGTGGCGTTAACAAGCCCTCTGGATTGAGATACGAGCTAACTTCACGGTCATCCTCCAAGCAGGATTAAAATAGATCTATTTACAAGTGTTTATTTGAAAAAGTATCCCGCATCTGCCGGCTCCTTGAACTCCGTAATCCAGGTATCCAAATCAGACATTTGCTGGCTTGGTGATCCCAGAGGAAGTGCCCTCATCATGCAGGCCTTTTCTAGCTCCAGCGGCGTCAATGTTTCTAGGGGGTCCCGCTGCAGCAATGCATTGTCCGCGTGCACAATTATCAAGTGGTCGATCAGCCGGTTGCGCACCCAGCTGATAGGCATGTATTTTTTGAGAAAGGGCGCATGCGGGAGCACGACATGAGCTAGAGCACGAGCCTGGTCATCCTTGAGCTGGTGCGTGCTACAGGAAAAGCCCGGCTTAAAGTCTTGCAGCTTCGCCTGCTCATGCCGGTACGCCGTGACGATTTTGTCTTGGAAATGCTTTGAATAACAAGTTGACGGCGATAACCGAGGAAATGCAAGCAGTAAAATAGGCATCAGTTCGAAAAACACCGCAAAAAGCACAGCAAATCCCGGTAATTTCGGCCAGTCTCGCTCGGTTCTCAGCACCGTCAACAGCTCCTCCCTCGTCACGGTAATAGGCTTTGCCGGAACCTTGTTGAGATTTTGTTGGATCCGGTACAGGTTGGATCGCTCCATCACGGATTTCGCCAGATCCAGCCCGGACGAAGCATGATACCGCCGGCGGATATCCGCGGCGACTTTTCTATTCCGCCAGACATTAAGGATTCCAGTTTTGTATACCATCACCAGCGCCTTTGCCCTCGAATAGACCCCTTCGCCACTCTCTACCGTAATAGGAAGTGTTTTGGGTGCATTGAGATTTCTCAAAAGGACACTGGGTCTCATGGTCGGAAGATCTCAAGCTGACACCACATGCCCAATATTGTGGTTGGATGTGTTGTTGCAATTGTTTCTAGTGCTCTTCAATCGACGGGCCTGACGCTTCAGAGAAAAGCGCACATTATAGAGAGCTTCCAGGATACGAACACTGCTCGCACCAATGCGCAAATCCTGTGGCGAGTGGGCGTTCTGCTGTTTGTCGCCTCCAATTTAGTGGGCTCGGGAATCCAGCTGGTTTCTCTGCCGCTGCTGATTCTGTGTCCACTACAGGCCGTAGGGCTTGTGTTCAACTCGCTTTTTGCCTCTATTTTATTGGGAGAATCCCTCACTTCGGTTTCGTTACTAGGCACAGGGTTGGTTGTTCTGGGCGCTGGGGTAGTGGCGGGATTCGGTGCTCTGCCCGAGCCGGACCGGTCCCTCGACGAGCTCATCAAGCAGCTAACCAGATCCTCGTTCTTGCTGTGGTTTTTATTCTCTCTTGCATTGGCTGCCGTGCTGGCTCTGGCGGCCGTCCGGAGAAAGTCCCACGAGTCCAAGGGCGTGTGCTACGGGATCCTGTGTGGCATTCTGTCGGCCCATTCTCTTCTTATGGCCAAATCTGCAGTCCAGTTGCTGCTCCATGCTGCCCACAAAGGGTTCAAGGACATTTTACGTATCCAATTTCTGTTTATTGTCGCATTGTTCGCACTGTTTGCGGTTCTCCAGCTGTACTTTGTGAACAATGGACTAAAGTACGCATCCACCTCCATTCTGTACCCGCTGGTGTTTTGCGTATTCAATCTAGTCTCAATGGTCAATGCCTTGCTGTACTATGAACAAGTCGATACCTTGAAAGGTTACAAGGTGTTTGCCGTGGTTCTGGGCACCGTCATGTTGCTGGCTGGCGTGTTTTGCTTATCTGGCCGGCTGGATACAGGGCCCTTCCAGGCAGAAGAACGAGTCCCACTCATCCAGAACATTGGCACGTCGGAGTACACGTCTTTGCATAACATTCACCCCGGCGTAGTAAACCCAGACGTTCCGGCGTCACGACTTACCCGAATGCGGTCTTATCGCAATCACAAAAGACGGGCGCTGTCCCGCGAGGAGTCCCAAATCCTGCACGAACTGGGCTCCTAAACTCTTTATGTTTTATTTATTTTTTGGACTTTGATATGACGTTACATGAGGAGAATGGCAGGCTCATTGATGTTGCTGTGCTCGTAAGACAGTGCACCCAAACCAGAGGTAGGAAGAACCATGGTGATGGGCTTGTGCAAATCCACATTGATCCAACGCATAGCAAACGCACGCAGGATATGGCCGTGGCCAAAAATAAGCACGTCGCCGTCGGTATTATCTTCCATGGCCTTGCGGTGGATTTCGCGGATTTCAGCAATTAACGAGTCCAATCGAGCGGTAATATCTTCTGGGGACTCGCCTCCGGGGCACCCCTGCTCCCAAATCCGGAACTCTCCCTGGATTCTATAGATCTCTTCGTTGGTTAGTCCCTCGTAGTCACCGTAATTCCATTCAGCAATGCGATCCTCGGTAACAAGACACTCGGGCTTGCAGAAGAAGCGGTGCTCGGCCATAAACAAGCTCATAGTCTGTTGAGCACGCAGGCGAGGTGAGCAGTACACTCGTGCGGTTTTCGCGGGGTCGATGGTCTTGCCCGGACCAAAAAGCACTCTGCCTCGCTCAGCAGCTACCTTAGCGCCAACGGGCAGGAGCGGGAGGTCCGTCACACTGGTGTGCTTTCCCATGCTGGACCACTGGGTTTCGCCATGGCGAACAAAATACACTTTGGGTACAACCATTACACAGCAATCGAGTCGACTTCTGACCCAATTGCGCTCCTGCAGGGCTTTATATATGGCCAGCCTTCACCGTCGGACTTAGGTAAACCCTGAAAAAGCCGCATTAGGAGTTGCTATTTAATATAGAGTTAGTTGAGGAAAGAATAAAGTACAGCAGATTTAAGTGGATTAGTTGTGGATACAATGTACAGCAATTAAATGGATGGGGGTATTTACTATTCTAGCGGATCACCAGATTATGCGAATACGCATGGTCGTTCCGTCGAATCTTTGATGTACTCTGATTTCCATCGATGCAACGATGAAAACGGAGCTAGGTTGTGATCCAAGGCATGTTTAGCCCGAATTGCGCTGGAAATGTCTTCGTACTGGATCACAAAGGCCTCGCCTTTTCTTGTAAACATAGGACGGACTAGTAGCACTCGTCCCATGCTTTCAAACATGGCCTTGAGTTCCCGAATGCAGATCTTGCTGGGGGTCAATCGTTGGGTGGGGCTGTGCACCCTTTGAGAAACAGTAAGAGTACGTCGAGCTCCGCCGAGTATTGCTTGCTCGAACTCTTCGTCTCGCATTTTGTCCTCGCTCCCTGAGATAGACAGGGAAACGTCCGTAGGGCAGCCGACCTTCAGTGCACGACCTCGTACAGTGAATTGGCCGCTTTTGGCATAGTAGTAGAAGCGCTGCGCGCATGCGCTATGCAGGAAATGGAGCTCAAGGTTGTTGTCGGCCAGGTTCACTTTTTCGAGTGGACCTCCGCATACCTGAGAAAGGACACAGTTAATCGACCAAGTTGGTTCGAATTGTACAATGACAAGACGAACTGAAGGAGCTAGCACTATTTGCTGAGCAATTGTCGATGCTCGCGTGCAGGTGCTAAACTCCAGCCTAGTCGCTGCTTGCTGCTTTGGCTTCAACGTCTCTTGCGGGGGCCGCTCGGGCATCACATTCGACGCCTGGCGGATCGCATGATCGCGAGGGAATATAGACTCTCGAATCGGCCTGGTCTTTGAAACTAACCATCGACGTAGCGAATCCTCAGCCTTCCCTTCACTGCTGAGCGCGGTGGACTCTGTGGCAACGCTAGCCTCCGAGCTCGAGCACAGCTCTTTGCTCATGTACCCCTCCGTGCTGGAGGAGTTTATGCTAGAAGAGCCATGCCATCCAATTTTCATGAATGTCCTCGATGACTCGGTGCTAACAACGTTGGTAGATGTCTGGCCCAACGGTCGGCGCTGCCCTTTGAAAATCCCTGCGCGACCCATAGTGTTGCAGTTGGTTTTTTGTTGGTTTTTTTTTCAAGTGAAGCTTGCAGAAGCTGAAGGGTCTCCAGGAACTAGCCCCACTTATCTACTTGATGTATTTTCTTCCTGTTGCCCTTTATAACCGTGCAGCTGGTATTTCACTAGCCCGATGCACGCTATATGCACAGGCAGTATGGGGCCCCTTGTCCGACCGTGTCCAATGCGGGCAAAACTAGTAAATCTTACCCAAACAAGTCATTTTCATGTATTTGTATCGCAGTTTTTTATCTCTTAAATATTTGATTGATTTGACTGCAGTTTCAAGAGAAAAACATCTGGCCGTGCCTCGAAGTGTCCGTCTTCATAGCTTCTCGCAGGGCCATGGTAGCGTACTCGGAGGTGCCCAACGTCATTTGCAAGATTACAGCATTACGCTCACCAGCAACTGTTTCGGCCAAACGGTTTTCTGGGGTGATAGGCTTGCCTAACTCGAGCAGTTCTAAATCAGTACGAACAAGCTGTTCGTCAGTCTCGGTATAAGTTTTATGCCACCAGGTCAAGTCACTAGGCCGCGACATCAACAAGCGATAGCTGCCTGATAAAGAAAACTCTGTGGTATTTCTGCGCATATTGTGACAGTCAATTCCGTCTTCATTCATGATGGTCTCATAAAAGTTGACCAGGTTCTCTGGGTACGTGACATCGAACCCAGGTGTAGGCAAAACAATGTCGAAAATCGTTTTGCTCTTCTGTTCAATTTCCTGTGCAGTGACCGGCCGCGCACGAGTAAATGTACTTTCAGCTTCATCCAGCACAAGGTCGCCAGGAACCACCTCTAGGCCCCTTCGCACTCGCTCGCTTGCAGCACAATTCCATACATAGCTTTGGTATGAGTGCACGTACATGAGACGCAAGTTATGAGGTACTCTCAAAAGAGCATTGATCGAGCTTGGGCTCTCTTTGAGCGCAGTCAAAATCTGATATTCGGCCATGCACTTGCGGGGCATGAGCTCTAGAGCTTTTGCTGCGTCCTTGGTATTTGCATAGATCTCCCGAGCTTCACGGCTTTCTGGAAGTGTCAATTCCTGTGGTTGTAAAATACTAGTCACTGCGGCATCGTAGTCTCCTTTAAGAATACTCTTACCTACTGTGTGGGTTGAGACAGAAAACGTACCAAAGCGCTGTAGTCCAAAATAATTGATAAAGCCATTGTCGCGCAGATTTTTTAGTGCCGCATCGACGTTCTCCACGTTGTCAATGTTGCGGACACTGATAACAAACTGGTTACCATTGAGGTCACCTAAACGAATGGGCTCAGACATGTACTGGAACGATCCAAGCTTGACCCCTCTCAGAGTTGAGTTTAAACTGCTGACCCGAGCAACATTCATTCTGCGAATAGAAAACTTTTGACAGGTAACTCCACGGCGATCTTTTGTGCCTGCAAAAGTAATAGCCTTGGGTTGAATACGCAGGAAACGGGCAATCAGTCCTGTGACTTCCATTGTCTCCTTGTTCTCTTTGTACACTGTGAATCTTAAAAATTCCAGCACATTCCCTGCTTCAGACTTGGGTACACGGGATCTGGTAGACCTTGTTTGCAGTCGAACAATCAGTCGTTTATCTGCAGTGGTAGATGTATCGAGTCTTCCCTGGAAAGCCTCGCCAAAGAGCTGATGAATTTGAGTGCGCAGAGCCTTGTCTTCAAAAGCCTGCTCGGTTTCATACTTTGTTCCTGTATGGAAAAGTTCTAGGCATTTATCAACAACTTCTGCACCGACCAATTCCTCGAGTTTAGATCGAAAATCGCCCAATTCAGGTGGAGGCTTCACTTCTCTTTCCTTTTCACGCTTTTCTCTGCGCCTATCTTTCTTGTCTTCAACCCCGAGATCAATCAAGTGCACAACGTTGCCGTCTTTTTCAATCTCATTAACCAAAAAGTCTGTGTATCTTTGTTTCAACGAGCCCTTGAACCCCGGAACTTCCGAGCAAACATAGCATGTGATCCCAACATCCAATTCACTGATTCCTCTCGGAGAACTCTCAAGTTTTATTCTTTTCGACTCCGATTCCTCCATTGTTTCGATTCCGTAATGGCAGGTTTCGCAGCGCTTTTTTTTTTTCTCTTTCTGGCAAGGATCGGCCCTAACCCTTATCGTGAGGGAGTACACGCGTAATCCACGCAAAGAGGGCTATCCGACCTTCACCATCCATTTATCTTTTTAGTGGGCACAGCAGGGTTGTTCAAGGAAACATAGACTGCATCGATGGCTGGGACTTCTTCCACAACAATTGTGGTCAACTTGACCAAAACTATTGTCGGCGCAGGAATGCTTGCTTTGCCGTTCGCCTACCGAGCGCAGGGTATCGTACTGGCGTCCACAACCATCATTCTAGCTGCAGTGGCAACGTTTGCCGGAGCCGCAGTGCAGGCATACAGCGTTGGTGTTGTTCCAAAAGGTGATGCGTCTTTCTTCACTATATCAAAGCTCACTTATCCGTCGCTGGCCATTCTGTTTGACCTAGCCATTGCAGTGAAATGCTTTGGTGTGGGGGTTTCGTACCTAGTTATCACGGGAAATCTTATGCCCTCTATTGCTGCCTATTTTGGCGCCGACGGGGACTCTATTTTCTTGTCTCGGGTGTTCTGGTTGGTTTTGGCAATGGCAGTCGTGGGGCCGCTATCCTACCTCAGGTCGCTGGAGTCTCTTCGCTATACGAGCATTGTTGGTTTGTTTTCCGTAACCTATCTTGTTGCCATGGTTGTGGGGCATTTCCTCGCCGGAGACACTATAGATCAGCGGGGACCCGTCTCGGTGTACAAGCCCGTGGGGGTTTACGAGGTTTTTCGATCTCTTCCCATCATTGTTTTTGCATACACGTGTGGCCACAATGTCTATTCAGCCTTGAATGAGGCGGCGTTTGACTCATTGTCCGTCTCTCTAAAAGTCATTGGCACATGTTTAGGTTTGGGCGGTGCCATCTATTTACTGGTTGGTCTTACAGGGTATTTATCGTTTGGTGTCAACGTTTCAGACAACATTATCTCCATGTACCCGCAATCTCCACTGTCTACGTTTGGACGGGTCGCAATTGTAGTGCTTGTCGTGCTGTCGTTCCCGCTGCTGAGCCATCCGTGCCGGGCATCTATCTGCTACATTCTAGAGTCAATTCGTCACGATCCGAATCGGGCCCCCCACGAAGAGTTAGCACTGCTGCACCCCACACAAGAACGTCCAATCACGCCGCTCGTGACCACAAAGGAGCATATTGTTGTAACTTCGCTCATTCTGATTGCAACATTCATTATTGCATGCAGTGTCGAGTCGCTTGAGCTAGTGCTAGCAATCGTAGGTGCTACTGGTGCTACTGCTATCTCGTTTATTTTGCCTGGCATATTCGCCTATGCCCTTGGCTCAAGCGACCTCGAGAACCGCCTAATCACCTTAACCCCATCGCAGAAGACTATGATGAAATACGGTGGTTTGGCCCTCACTATTTGGGGCATAACGGTGACTATAGTGTGCTTGGGGTCTACATTTGCAAGCCTGAACTAGCATATTGTTTTTTGTATTTTAGGTATTTTTTTTCTAAACCACAAACTATTGCAGTAATTTCAAACGCCGTGGAGGGTTTAATTTCTCCTCTCAAGATTACTTAAAAAACCTCCTTTTTTAAACCCAAAACCATGCGAGCCCACATCGGGGGGATCCAAGGTGCATTTTTCTAAGAGTTGGGTCATGAAACGACATGAAACCACGGGGGAGCCTCCGGCATGGATGCGTATGACGCTATGTATCGCCTTTGGTTCGCTCAATGCACAGCCCCACTATGAAACACGCCTAAGGCCCAATGTCTCTCCCCCTAACCCATACATTTATTAGTGCCTTTTCTACTTTACCTCTATCTCCTTACCAAAGCTTTTTTACCGTTTAAACTTCTGTTGTTGGAGATTTATTTACCTTGTTGGGGTTTGACATAACTATCCACCACACGGCGTATTATCCAGTACACCCTCACTCCACCAAAGACGAATTCTCGCTTGTACCAGTTCGCCTTCTCAATCCTTCCGCTCCTTTGATCTGGACAACCCTTGAAGCGCCGTAAATGAAGTTTGCGCTCACAAATCTCCTCGGTGATCCATTCTGGGTCATCACGCTCTCGATGTGTCTAGTAGGTTGGATTATTGCGTTGGTTGGCTCCGTACTAGACTACTCCACGAACGACAACTTCCCCATCTTCAGCTGGTGGGGTCTAGCTTTCCAGTTCCTGGTGATTGTGCTCGCAACATATGTGATCATCATCAATCGTATTATCATGTACCGCCAGGCTCTGCTGGCGATGCTGGCAGTAGCCACTGTGTACTCGACAAACTCAACCAATAATTTCGTTTGGCGCGATACCTCACAAGCTGCCGCGACGGCCGCGGGCCAGATTCTGCTGTCTGTGGTCAACATTATCTGGATCCTTTATTTTGGCACAAACGCAGACGAGCCGGTTCATTCCTTTGTGCTGTCATTCGCAGCCCAAAAACGACCCCCGGAGCCCGGGGCGCGCAGTCGCAGTAACCACCGCCAAGCCGACTACTATGAGGGGCGCAGAGCGATGCAATCGTTCCCACAACCACCGCTGTATTTTTCGGACCAGCTCCGAGGCTTTGAAGTCGTCGATACCGAGCCAGCCACCGAGGAGACCAACCCGCTGGATCCTTTCGGTACTGAACCAAGCCACCAAGGGGTCTCAACTGGCGTGAACTCTAATATTACCACCCAGGAGCGGCCAGCGTCTGTATATTCCGGCTATAGCGACCGATCGAACGGCTCTATGGCCCCCCACTACGTCTACAAGGCCCGGGCCCTGTTTGACTACACAGCGAATCCCGAAGACACGAATGAGCTGTCATTCCAACAAAACGAGATTCTAGAAATAAGCGATATCACCGGCCGCTGGTGGCAAGCTCGCCGTGCAAATGGAGAGGTAGGCATTGCCCCTAGCAACTACGTTGTTCTTTTGAATCTCTCGACTTGAGCGATGACCAGGAAAAAGTGATCGGATTTTCGCTTTTTTGATATTTAATATATGATACGCTGTAAATGATTAACCTCAACACCCTTGTGCTCTATAAATTGGAGGTGCAAACATCAATCTTCGTCGTCGCTACGGGAGTCTTCAGCAGAGCCTCCGCGGAGCATGTTGACGAGCACTCTGATGATCATGACAAGCCACATGACGGAAATTAGTTGGAGCATGATCATAAGCACGCCAAAGAGGTTATGTGAACTTTGGTCGAAGCAGAACTTGCGTCCGAATGAGTCGCTCTTGCAGTTGTTCTTGATGAGGTCGGTAGCGACATAGAATGCGTACCATAGCTGATACAGGTATATTCCGTGTCTGCAGACGACCCAACTTACCAAAAATGCTAGGAACGTGAGGTTGCATAGTGTTTCGAACCCAAGGTATCTGAACACCTTGGCCAGGGACAGAGTGAAATCTACAAAATCCATGATTATCATGACAACGACACCGATACGGGTGTAATAACTCATATAGCTTCCAATAATAAGCGCACAGGTAATAATATGGTGCGTTAACATTTGGTAGTGGTCTTTGCGGCGCTCTTCAACATGGAGAACGTACAGCTGGCTTATCCAGTACGCCAGGACCACCAGGTAAAAGCGCTTGACGTTGACATCAAGCTCGATGTGAGGGTAGTCTTTCCACATGAGCTCCAGGTTGTATCCAAAGCTTGAGTTGTGGAAGAGAGACATTCCAACCGCAAACGATGCGAAATAATAGACGAGACACCACGACTGCTCGGCAAACCGAATAATAGCTTTGGGTTTGTGGATGCCGCACCTGGGTGCAATTTTGGTGAAAAGATATAAAAATATGGCCCGCATTCCAATTTGGCCTGCGAGCGCTGATAAAACAAAGGACACGTCCAGCGAGCCTTCTCGAGCGGTGGAGCCATCTCCAATCCGGTGCTGAATGCTATAAAAGGGCGCTGCAAACGGCCTCAAGCTTTCAATCTGACTTGCAATGGCGAGAATACTGAAATATCCGGTGGTGAAAGCAAGCTGGCCCTGGTACAGCTCGATATTTTTCCGGATGATATCTGGCGGTTTTGTGGCATCGGGGACGCGTGGCTGTTGCGAACTCCCGCTTTTCTTGAGATTTTCCTCTTCTTTCTCCTGTGGTGCCATTCGCCGCCTTATGGTGGCATTTTTTTGCTCTACACTCATGGATTTGAGGCGAAATATTACAGGTCAAACCGTTGTTCGTGTTGTGACAAGGTCTAGAAAAAAGTAAGGCATATGCTGATTTTTTCTTCATCAGCGCTGACTAGGCAACCACGGAGCACAAATGTCCGGTTTGATATATGGCTAAATATAGAGCATTGATATCTATTCAATTAGTGACCAAACAGATGAGCTCGCTTTCTGTTTAATTTTGATTTCCATGAGGTCTCGTTGCGCTTTTTTTGGCCTGTGACGGGCTTGTAACATAGCGCGTATCGTTAAATCTAGGTGAAATTTCTTGGAGGGGCCTGCATATTAGTAGGCTCGTTGGGATTTTGGCTGAGGGCCTGACAAAAAATAGAGTGGACGAGTCAGGGATCGAACCAGAGACCTTAAGCATGCAAAGCCCACGCGCTACCACTGCGCCACACGCCCACGTTGTTGAATCTGATGATGATGTGTTACTCATATTGTTGGTTTTATGTTGATGCGGTCCAAGCGAGCAATTTTTTGGAACCGGTTTTGCGCATAGTTTTGGCGTAATGGCATTGCAAATGAGCTATCTACATACGAATTGAAGCTCTTCATCGACAAACTCTGGACAAACCAAGCTCCTCACTGCTTCAGAAGATGAGCCAACGGCAAATTGAGCCGATTTTTCATCGCCGTCTGAAAACCTTATACACACGGCCGTTGATTTGGGAACCATGGCGACTGCTTCTTGGATGCATGGAAGACTTGGGAAAAAACAGCCATGCGATGTCTTTGCACAAATAGTAAGCCCCTCCTGCGGCTCATAACAAAGTTCGGCTCTAGTTACTTTTGACTCTCCAGACGCAATTGCATAGGCCAGTACGCCCAACACTGCAACAATGATTGCCACGACAACCCTTTTCATAAATAGATTGCACAGAACGCGGGCAAGTCTAAAAGCGCAGAAAAGGCCGAGGTGCCTACCGGCATACAGATAAGAACCCCAGATCACGAGAAAGTCGGACCTGGAAAGATCCGGGGAAGGCCAGAATCTAGAATTGTGTTCAGGTTAGGGTTTCGTTCTAGGGAGGTCTTTACTATCTGTAATTTGGATTTGTTGAACAGTCATTGGGCATTCGGGCATGGCCGAACACATGCACTGAGCAAGTTGTCAAGTATTTTAGTAGATTATGTGCCGAATACAGTTAGTTTGCGTCCCAACCGAAATTTTCACCCTTTAAAAGCCACGAGCACGCTGGTCTTCGCCATTTTTCATCCACGTTGAGCTCTCCCCCACTTAGACGAGGCTATGCACCACCCTCTCCCGACGCAGGTGTTCTCCGTCAGCACACAGTGCCTGCATATTTATAAAAACCCTGGTTTGTTTGGTGGTTTAGCACGTCGTATAGTCTCGAAAATGAACCCTGCTCCCTACTCGACCTCCAATGGCTGCCCGGTGTTCAACCCGTATGCCTCGCAACAGATTGGCACTCCGGGGCCTCTTCTCCTTCAGGACCACCACCTGATTGACCTGCTCGCCCACTTTGATCGTGAGCGTATTCCCGAGCGAGTTGTCCACGCCAAGGGATCTGGTGCCTTTGGGTACTTTGAGGTCACTGACGATGTCTCCGACCTCACCAAGGCCGCTTTTCTCAATGGCGTCGGCAAGAAGACCCGTACTTTTACTCGTTTCTCCACCGTCGGTGGTGAGATGGGTTCCGCGGATGCTGCTCGTGATCCTCGTGGCTTTGCAACTAAGTTCTACACCGAGGAGGGCAATATCGACTGGGTCTACAACAACACCCCGATTTTCTTCATCCGCAACCCGTCCAAGTTCCCGCTTTTCATTCACACCCAGAAGCGCAACCCGCAAACCCACCTCAAGGACCCTGACATGTTCTGGGACTACCTTGTGCAGAATCAGGAGGCCGTCCACCAGCTGATGGTGCTGTTTTCAGACCGTGGCACTCCCGCTGACTTCCGCCACATGCACGGTTATTCCGGCCACACCTACAAATGGGTCAAGAAGGACGGCTCGTTCAACTATGTTCAGATTCACATGAAGGCTGACCAGGGCATCAAGACTCTGAACAATGAGGAGGCCACTAAAATGTCAGGTGAGAACCCTGACCACGCGCAGGAGGACCTTTTCCGAGCCATTGAGCGCGGCGAGTTCCCCTCGTGGACCTGCTACGTCCAGGTGATGAGCCCCCAGGAGGCTCGCCAGCAGAACTTCAGCGTCTTCGACCTGACCAAGACCTGGCCCCAGTCCAAGTTCCCTCTTCGTCGCTTTGGTCGTCTTGTTCTTGACCGCAACCCGGACAATTACTTTGCTGACGTCGAGCAGGCTGCTTTCTCGCCCTCCAACACCGTCCCTGGTGTCGAGCCCTCTGCTGACCCGGTTCTGCAGTCGCGTCTTTTCTCCTACCCCGATACTCACCGTCATCGCTTGGGTGCTAACTTTTACCAGATCCCGGTCAATCGTTGCCCTGTTGCGCACAATCCATTCATCCGCGACGGTCCTATGTCTGTTGACGGCAACAACGGTGCTGAGCCCAACTATCCCTCGTCGTTCGCTCCTATGCCCTATCGTCAGGACTTGAACCCGTCCAACACCCTCAGCGAGGAGTGGCACGGTGCCGCTACCTCTTTCCACTGGCAGGCCACCGACGCCGACTTTGAGCAGGCTGGCCAGCTGTGGGAGGTGTTTGGCCGCACCAACCAGCAGGATGCCCTTGTCCATAATCTGTCCGTCCACGTCCAGGGCGCCAAGCCCCATATCCAAGACCAGGTCTTTGCTATGTTCGCTCGCGTCAACCCTGAGTTGGGTCGCCGTCTGCGAGCTGCCACTTTGGCCCTGGCTCCTCGCAAGCAACCTAATATGTAAATTTTGCAATGCCAAAAATTTTAAGGTCATACATGTCAATAAAAAAATAAATAATCTCTCATCATGGCTTCTCGAGGCTCAGAGTTTTGAGTACTCGCAAATGGGTTTGTCGCTGGTCATAAGTCTCCCATCGGGCATAAAGACTGACAAGCTCCTGAACGCACTCTGCGATCTTTTCCAAGTCAATTGCACTCTTACCAAGGTACGAGGCGAGAACATCGATTCGGGCCTTGATTTTGTCTGGTGGTCGAGGCGGTCGAATCAGCTGGGGCCGTAGTACGAGGGTCATGTACAATGCAGATGTCGCTATAATGTGCGGAGCATACATCAAAGGAATATCGCTGGCGTAGCTGTCGTTGATGACTGCCCATATGCCTTGGAACTCTTCATTGCTTAAAACAAGCCACGGATGAGTATCTGCCATACTTTCACATAGAAAAGACAGGGATCGGTAAGGGTGGTGAACAATCAGGCATCCGTGGAGCTCTTCGATCATATAGAACTCGCACTCTGCGATTAGCGTGGCTTCGCTGGGCATGTAGTCAGTCCACAGCACCCGAGCCTCGTTGGAAATTGTGCGGATATGTTGGGGCTGTTCTTCAGTCTTTCCTGCAACGTAAACCGCAGTCGTGACCAACAAAAATATATTCATCTCATGAATACTGATTTTGGTGAAAATCCTCATCAAATAAACATGCGCGGTGCTGAGAACTCGGCGGCGACAGCCGAGTCGTTGACCCAACGTTTGAACCAGATTGTAGATGTATATTCTTATATGGTCGTCCCACGCCTGGCATGGATCATCAATACCGCTCTTGAGATCATTGTGCGACACTTCTTGGTGTAATTTCGACAGCTGTTCGGCGGTAAACTTCCATCGCTCTCTTTGCGTCGACCGCCAGTAGTCTGCAGACATGACAAACCAGCGTAGTGCGACGAGAGAAATAGGTGCAAAGAGTGGTGTTGATGCAATAGTTAAATAAATTAGCTTAATTCGTCGGCGATGATGTTCATTTCAGCCGGGTCTACCAACTGGTGTAAAATATCCAGCGCCCACATGGTTACTTGCTTGGGGTACTCTGGCGAATACGCAACTTGAGCACAGGCAACCACTAGCTCGTCAGTATTACCGGTGCGTGTCGTGCTGTCGAGGATCGACCAGAGGTACCAGACACATCTAGATATAAGGACAAGTTGTGACACGGTGACTGATGAATCCACTTGAGAAATGAAGATGTTTTCCACCTCGGTTCGGATCAGTTTGGACGGTGGCCGGCTAGCAGCAAGTAATATACCAGCAGCCCGTTGACTGAGGTAGGACTCCCGTACGACTTCTTCCATATCTACGTCCTTTGGCTGCACATTCAACGAAATGTACTCTTGGGAGTATTTGTGCTGTCCCATTGCGTGTACTTTATTGTCAAGTATGCCGCCGAATAAGAGCTCCAGTTTTGGTTCTGGTGGGGCGTCGAAAAACAGCCTGCGCTCTTCAACAACCACATTAGGACTCAATGAAAAAATCGCGAACCCTCGATCTATCACGGCCGGTATTTTCGAGGCAATTATGAGATCAAACAGCTCAGGGGTTGGCCCAGGATCTGGAAAGCAGGCCAGTACATCCAGTGAGTACAAAATAGTGGATAAGAGATTTGCATCCATGCTCTTGACTACAAACTCGCCAATAGCGTTTTCGATTGGTGGGAAAGGTTTGAGCACTCGAAGGCAATCCACTGTCAGTTGCTGGAGCTGAATGAGCGTTTCGTGTTCAGGAAAAACTCCAGTTTGACAAAATCCGTATACGAGGATCAAGAGCGCTTGTTTCACTTCGAGCGAATCCGTTTTGAAGATGGTTCTCATCGTCTCGTTCACCTGGCCCTCGGGGTTGTTCTCAGCAGCAATTGCCGCACCAATTGTTTTTCGCGGATCTTCAGGATGAGGGATTCCATATAAAAATTGTATAGTCACGATGTTTCCTTCATGGGGTAGACTGTTTATCGCTAAAAGTCCTGTAGCAGCATCTGGCCGAGCGGGTTCCGGGGTTCTTCCTTTGGATATTTTTGGTCGTTTCACCACAAACCCGTCAGCGAATCTGGGTGGCAACGAACGAGCTGGCGTGGCCTTCATGGTGAATGGCTCAGATTTCATGGCGGTGTCTACGGAGCGCATTCGCATCTCCTCTTTAGCGAATTGTAGCTCCGACTCGACGCTTTTCAGCTGACTTCGGAGCTTTTCAAGCTCGGAGGTGTGAGACTCGTTTATTCGCTGGTGCGATTTTATTAAATCGTTGATGGCGCCATTGTGTTTCGAAGCCTGAAGCGTGAGCTGCTGGCGTAATATCGCGTTTTCGCCGGCCTTTTCATATACTTGTTTTTTGAGTTCATCATTGTAATTACTCTGGGGCGTTCTTTGCGTTCTTATACTGCTCACATCTAGCTCATCGTCGCTATCCGATAGGAGCATACCGCTGTGATGACAGTCAAAAAATTTATAAGCCTGTTCGGATCTAACTAGACTCTTCTATTGATTGATCGGATATCTATTGCAGGAAGTACTCTGCTGATTTCTGTTTATTGTGACTATAATCGGACACTTGAGTTGACTCGGTTCGGGATCTTCGCGATCGAGAAGGCGGTTCGTGCTTTTCAACGCCTCTATCGCCATACTCTAGCACCCTAAAAGCTTGGTTTAATCCGATTGGACGTGAACGCTCTAATTGCAACTGCCAACCTTTTCTAGTTGCCCCGATCAGCCTCTATCCGCGTTTATCGTATCGTGCCTGGCATATGCATCACCTTTACTAATATATAATGAAATTATTTTTCCCATCTCACTTTAGGTAGGAAGCTTAGGTCTGGCAATTTTCGACCTTTTAATATTTAAATGACAGCCAAGGACGAACCTAACAATGTGCCCTCTGTGCCTAAGCCGCCTAAGCATTTGAGTTCAAAGGACAAAGATACCCAACGACTGGTTGTAGTATTATCGGGCGCCTGCTTGGAAACATATAAAATTTCATCATCAGGTGGTGACCGGTTTGCCCTTCTCAACTGTGACGATCACCAGGGTCTACTAAAAAAGCTTAACCGGGATATTTCAGACGTCCGTCCAGACATTACCCATCAGTGTCTTTTGACGCTGCTGGACTCTCCCATCAACAAGGCAGGGAAACTCCAGGTTTATATTCACACATCGCGGGGTGTTTTGATCGAGGTTAACCCTTCTGTTCGCATTCCTCGCACGTTCAAGCGATTCAGTGGACTTATGGTGCAGTTGTTGCATCAGCTTTCTATCCGATCTGTCAATAGCGAGGAGAAGCTATTGAAGGTGATCAAAAACCCAATCACAGACCACCTGCCGACAAATTGCCGAAAAGTGACGCTTTCTTTTGACGCACCAGTAAAGAGAGTCCAAGACTACGTCGAGACGCTGGACAAAAACCAAAGTCTTTGTGTTTTTGTCGGTGCAATTGCCCGCGGTAAGGACGACTTTGCTGATGCGTATGTTGATGAAAAAATCGGTGTGTCTTCGTACCCCCTATCGGCATCTGTGGCTTGTTCGAAGTTTTGCCATGGCTGCGAGGACGCATGGAACATTCTGTAGTTGTAAACGCTATGCTATTTGTATAAAATATCTCTCCCTCGAAACCTCGCACAATCCTCCGGAGATCTATGCACAACAGATTATGAAGCTGGGGTAAGAAAGTAGATTAAGGTGTACAAGAGGCGGCGTTTGCGAAAGTAGGCAGGAAAAAAAGTCGAAAAAATTACGACGACAAGAAAATACGCGCAAACTAACCTAGTCTATTAAATAAATCAACAACAATACGCCCGTCGCCGAGCACGGCGCCCGGGCCAAAGTATGACTAGAAGATTGCATAATGGTCGGACGACAGAGAGAATAAAAAACACTCATTTCCCGCGTAAATCAGAGCCAACCACCCCCTGAATTAAACAAAATAGACAGAAAATTCACCAGAACTGCAATAGTTTATTACGCGGACCAGTCGGGTTACCCGGATGCAATATGGGCTTGATTCGTCAGCCCGCCTGGCAACCATTTATCCCACTTAGCAACCGGAGCTCCTCCTCAACCACCAAACCCTTGGGACTTACTTCACTAGGCCCAGTTGCTCGCGAGCTATCGACTTTAGCCCGCCCACACACAACCGTTTACAGACGCCACGGAACTCGCACGAGAGCCAAGGTTAACTGAAACACACAAAAGAGCAAGTCTCAAACCAAAACTCCGCTTTTAACGTACTTTAGTACACCGACCATTGCCACGCCATCGTAGCTGATTGGTCAATAAATTCTTTGCCACCCTGTCACCTATACCCTAAACCAGGAAAAGTACAAAGGTTTTCCCCCTTTCATCCCAAAAAAAGAATGACTAGTGTTGTTACTCAGCAAAGAGCCTTTACTGCCCAAGGCAAGCACGCCATGAGCAGTGATGACGAATCTGACGGTCAGTCAGTTCTATTATGCGGCCAGCGAAAACGTCGGAGAACGTTCGTTCCTGCCGCCAAACCCCCCTCCCCCAAATACGACAGCAGCGATGATGACGAAGGAGAAGTTTCTAGCTCTGTCCTCTCCCGCAGTCTCTTACGCCGGCGTAAGAGCCACATGCTGCCCGAGTCAGACCGATGCTCAAGGCAGCGCTGCTTTGACTATCTGCTAAGTGCAATTGATGCCGTTTGGGCAGAGTACTGCGATAGCACGTCACATGCAGAGGAGCAGATGTACATGCCGTGCTCTCCTATTTCCGAAGACGACCTCGAGGTTTCATCTCGCAGGGAGTCCGTATCTGCGCAACCACAAAGCATGCGTTTGATGCGACTCAAGGCTCGTCTGTTGCATGCCAAGTATGTTATGACCGACCTAGTCAACAGCCTGGATCCGGACTCTTCGTCTCAGTTTTGGAAACGCTGGGATGCACTCAAGTATGCAGTGGTTGAAGCTGCAGAGGGCGAAGATGAGGACTGCGATACCATCATCGAGGACCTCGAGGCTGGACGATACTGGGTTTAAAGAACACTGCTCCTAAAAAATTCATATTTATACCTTTCATTTTTATCTACCAATTGGTAATTAAGCTCTGATTTAAATTACTTTTATTGCAAATTAAAAAAAAAGCTAAATAACCTGGAAATAAGAAAAATAAAAATACCTGAAAAAGTACATGAAATCACATAGTGCTATTATCATATTGAAGTGAATATATACCGGGTTGCTAAATGGAGGCGCGGGGCGTGCATAAGCGGCCGGGGGCGTGAACTATGAAATGATTATAACGGACCATAAACATGCGCCTAGACAATGTAAACACCGAAACAAACAAACTACTCGTTGTAATAGCGGCCGTCTTCAAGAATTCCAATCTGGGTCAAGATCTCCTCATTGTCCGACGTGCTCTCGTGTATGCGAATTATTCGGTCTTTGCTTTTGTCCCAGTAAGTCCAGAACGTATGGGCGCGCTTATATCGGCGAGAACCAGAAGCTACGTCGGTGACAGAGGCCAGATCCTTGAGCAGAGAGAGTTGTGACTTATCATTTTCCTGTTCCTTCGGAGTGCCTACTCTCTCTTTGAGCATAGCGATTGTTTCCTTAAGGTAGTCGTAGCATCTGCGCTGTGCTTCAACATCTGCTGCCGGAACATACCCGGCGCTGTAAGTGAGAAAATTGGCGAGCGGCATTATAGTGGCAATTCTACAAGATCATGAAACGAGAACAAGGCCTTTGTTAAAATACCTACCTTTTGGGACATTATGGCTTAGGCCCAGGGTTAGGTCATCCCTCCTCAGCCCGGATGGTTTAGCCATCCATCATTCGGTCGTCGGTCGGGCTGCGATCCTCTTCCTTTAATCTCCAACCCTTAACCTATATAATTCAAGGGTTTGTGGTTTCTGCATCAGCCTCAGTTAGCTGCAGTTTCAAGCAACTGGACCGCTAGTTGGGGCAGGCTAGAACAGAACCCCACCCACACAGCCAGGCGTAGACCACGCAGTCGAATTCTCTTTCACACAGCAAATTAACTCGCATCTAGATACGATTAAGCTCCAATACCGCTGATCATTGCCCAGCCCTTTCCCTGTATTCTTTGGCTAAGTAAGTACAACGCATTGGTTTCAACTTGACACACTATTTCCGCAAGAGGCTTCAAAACCACAAGCATAGAAACGTTTCTTTTCTGAGACCGCACCATCTTGACTTCAAGTCGAAGTTCCGAGCGCACGCGACAGGGGCACCAAAATCACTCACGATGGATGACTCTAAAAATACAACCGCCATCTTGGATCCGTCGGAAACACCAGCAGCGGCCTCCAATGCGAGCTTTTCGCTCTCCATAACATTCTCGAGCTCTCAAGCACAGCTCGCGACGGTCTCTGTGAGCCCAATCTCATCCGTGGTCACTGGCCTTGAACGGTGTACTAACCAGCAATTCTACCTGGCCACCCCAGAAAATTTCTTTGGCAACACGATGATGTTTGTTTCGTGCGACACAAACTCAACGGAAACAAACAAATTTATGGACGAATTGATTTCAGGCGGCGCCTCATGTGTCGTTTTCTACTCGCGGTACAGCAGCGGATGCACCTTTGACACTTCGAGCCCCGCAAAGTACCGAAAAATCCCTAACTTATTCACAATGCTTTCAACAGGAGCTTCGAGTCAAATATTGACACTGTTGAACTCGAAAAACATTGTTTCTGCCACGATTTCAACTGAGCAAACAAAAACAAGCTCAAACAACGCTCTGGTGGCAGTCTGCATTATCATGGTGATTATTGCCGTAACACTCTTCACTGTCGTCATGATTGGGGTTATTCGATTCCACAGAAACCCCCAAAGATATGGCATCCCAGATGCGCAAGCTCTTGGCTACCGCCCTCCCTATGCCACAAGGGCCCGAGGGTTGGCCAGAGCGGTGCTGGACTCCATCCCGCTTGTCCGGGTTGCGGAGCCAACTCGAGTCGACAACGAGGCCAGCCCTCAAAAGGAGACACCAGAAGAGCCGACAAGAAACTCGCAGGCCGGAGAGCAATTTTTCGAAACCACCAGCGTTTTTTCTAGCACGTCCACTGTCAACACAAAGAACAAGCCCATTGTCAAAGAACAGATGGAAGAAACAACCGTTCCTGTATTGCATCTCACTTTGCCAGAAAATGCTCCTCTTGATACCCAAGTTGCTGCCACATATGTCACGGAAGAGGAGGACCTGTGCCCCATCTGTTTCGAAAAGTTCTACCAAAACGAAATTCTGCGGGAGCTTCCTTGCAAGCACAGATTCCATGCAGACTGTATTGACCCGTGGTTTTTGAACGAGTCTTCAGAATGCCCATTGTGTCGTATCGACTTGGCCCTTATTCAGAATCCAGACCAGGACCCCAGTGAACCAACCACCAGCGCTCATTTGCGTGGTCGTCTCACTCAGCGCTGGCGGAAGCTCGTTCATTCACGCCGCCAGCGGTTTAATCGCCAGCATCGTGATTGACCTTTTTTTTAATTATTTATATACTAGGCATAAATATGAGTCTTTACACTTTCTTTTCATCTGTAGCAGCTCGCAATAGAGATTTTAATACTGGCTCACATCTGGTACAACGACAAACCGTTCGTCTATTTGGCCTAGTCTTGAAACAGTTTCTGGTTCCATGAGGGCAACATCCTCAATTGATGTGACGTTGGCGCCAGTGTACACATCCATAGCCGTATTCCCGATTAGAAGGGTCACTCTACCCGATTCGTGATACTGGAGGGTCCCGATCTGACCCTCGACGATGCCCTTTTCAGAGTCAGTCATTTCATCTGTATTTTCAATTTCGAGAGCGGGCAACTCAAAAAGGTACAGTTTGTCTTCTTCCAGCTCGGGGATTTTATCGAATTCGTCTTGTTCATCCTGCTCAGACCCAGAGACACTTTTTTGAGCTCGGATCGGGAAGAATGGCCGGTCGATTCCAGTACTTCCGACATCCAGCCCTCCATCCTCTAGTTCATAACTCAATGCAGCGTTAGAAGAGGTGGCTGCAGAGTAAGTTCTACTAGCGCTACCGCCTCCGCCGCCTGCTCCGCTGCCGCTGCGACCACTGCGTCGGGGATCTACCGTCGAAGGAGCAGCAAGCGGGCCAGCAGCCTCCGCTCGAGCGCCGTTATTACGAGGTTTACGACGCTGCTGTTGTTCCTGTTTTTTGACATCATTCTTGGGCTCCGGCTTAATTGCAGGTGCAGTGCTTTCTCGATCCTCCTTAGATCGACGACCAACCATGTTGGGGGTGAATCTTCCCCGAGACGGCCTTGACGATCCAGGGCCAGCAGATCCACGCCCACTCAGGCTCTCAAGACGGCCAGGCTTGGGCGAGTCATTAGGCTGATTGGACTCTTCGGCCATGGCTGAAAAAAAAAAAATACGGACTGTCCTAGCTTGACTAAGTCGAGGAGGACACTTTTGGTAACTGGTGTGCAATTACGGTGGAACCGAGTTCAAGAATACCGCCGAATCGACGAGCTACTAGGCACAGAAGCAGAGACCTGCGGCCGAATTTTCAGAAAAAAAATACCAGCTCCACCTGCTCGATTCAACCCCCCCCACTCATTGTCCAGCACCGGCATTTAATAACCCGTTAGTCAGCTGGGGAAGGTCTTCGTTGCGTTCGCTAGCCAGGTTTTTTTTTTTGGTCGTCCCCAGTTAGAACAACGTTTAGCAAACTTGGAAACAAGCACACGGAAAAGAACGCAGACTAATTGTGCAAAACAGGAATATAATGGGCCGAGGACGAGTAGCTGTGGACAGCGACACCCAGAACTGGACGTTCAGCCAGTGTTTTGGCGATAAAAGTGATATTGACAGTATTACGGAAAGCGATGTTATTAGTGCCGCCGAGTTTGATCATTCAGGCGACTACCTAGCCACGGGTGACCGCGGTGGGCGAGTAGTCCTGTTTGAGCGACAGGATGGTGGCAAGATGGCGAACTCAGAGTACCGGTTTTTGACTGAATTCCAAAGCCATGACCGAGAGTTCGACTACCTCAAGAGTCTTGAGATTGAGGAGAAAATCAACCAGATCAAGTGGCTGAGACGGCAGAATAATGCCCTGTTTCTTCTATCCACAAACGACAAAACCATAAAGCTATGGAAGGTGTTTCAGAAGAATTTGCGGGTGGTGGCGGAAAACAACGGCACTGACATCCTGCCTCCGGAGACCTTTCTAGATATGAAGCAGCTGCACCTGCCACGCATGAATTTACACGACACGATCATTGCCACGACCCCCCGTCGCATCTATGCCAATGCGCACACTTATCACATTAACTCGATCAGTCCTAATAGCGACAACGAAACGTTCTTGTCAAGTGACGATCTGCGGATTAATTTATGGAATCTGGAAGTTGCAAACCAAAGCTTCAACATTGTGGATACCCGGCCGGCCAGTATGGAGGAGCTGACCGAGGTCATCACGGCCACTGAATGCCACCCTACAAGTTGCAACTTGTTCATGTATTCAACCTGCAAGGGCAATGTCCGACTGGCAGACATGCGAGAAAGAGCACTGTGTGACAACTATGCCAAAGTATTTGAAGATACTTGGGACCCACTGCAGGACTCGTTCTTCACTGAAATCACCTCGTCAATCTCGGATATCAAATTCTCCCCCGATGGACGGTATATTATTGCTAGAGATTTCATGACAGTGAAGATTTGGGATATCAATATGGACCACCAACCGGTCAAAACAATTCGAGTTCATGAAAACATTCGCAACATGCTCTGTGCGACCTATGAATCAGACTCGATCTTTGACAAGTTCGAAGTGGTGTGTTCGGGTGATTCCAAGTCGATCATGACGGGATCCTATTCCAACAACTTCCAGATTTACAACAATGCTCTGTTACCAGACCACGAGGAGACTGTCGTGTCACTACAGGCAGATAAGAATGTGTTCCGGAGCAAGCGAAGCGGGTCACCCAAATCCAAGGGCCGGTCGCGTGTGAATATGATGCGACGTCCCCGCAAGCAGGTTGATTTCCGCAAGAACATTCTGCATTTGAGCTGGCACCCTTACGAGAACACCGTCGCCATTGCCGCGACCAACAACCTCTTCGTGTTCAATGCACCCTCCTGATGGCAAATTAGTCTCCACCCTGAGCCGCTGGCCGTTTCGAGGGTGCCCGGTAACTAACAGCAGAACCAAACAAAACAGCAAAAAAAACTACAAGCAGGATCAAAAGCCTCCTCCTCCTCCTGATCACCAGCCCTGCATATGGCCACTGGCCCGTGACAAGAGTATATATATGATGCGGGCAGCGATCGATTAAAGATAAAACTAAGACGAGTCAGTAAATAAAACTAGAAAGCTACGACTAGTTGTTCTTGTGGTGGTTGGCCCAGCTCCAGAACAGGGTCTTGTCACCGTCACCCCAGAAGAACTTACGGGAGCGGACGTTCTGGTACTCGAACTCAGTAGGCCATGCGTCGTCAGGCTGCTTGGATTGAACCTTGACGTGGGACAAATGGCTAGACTCACGACCGTAAACGTACCAAGCGCAGGCAGCCATCACGGGAACGCAAGCGAGGGAGATGTTGCGCCAGGTATTAGCAGAGTGTTTGCCGTGGTTGGTGGTCTGCTCATAGGTCTCCTTGAAAGCACGAGCACGCTCGGCGTTGGGCTGGTATACGAGACGGGAGTTGAAACGCTTGAATACAAGATTGCCGACGGCGGATCGACGATACATGGTTATAGTGTGTGTGGTTACAGAAAAAAGCTTGGGATTGGTTGGTCATATTAAATGTATGGGGTGATTAATCTGGACATCACGTGAACACTACCCTGCCGCGAGGGCCCTTTCCCCCCAGCAATAAAAACCGCAGCTGGGGGGTGTTAGAACAAAGTCCTCCCTCCCAGCTAGTCCCCCAAACTACGGACGAGGTTGTCCCAATGGCTGTCGCAAGCAGCTCGGGCAAGGGCATGCACTGAAAAATTCAAGGAGTGGGGTTTTACGCATGTTCAAAGGGCAAGACTGCCCGGAACGCAAAACTGATGAGCAGGGATAAATTGGCCAGGAAGCAGTCAATTGTGAAACCTCAAAAAAGCCTGCTATTTCGCGGCCCCGGCCGGAGCCAGGCGCCATTACTACGGCAACCCAACCCGGTTTGACCAATCGGCGGTGCGCGGATCTTACCCGGCAGTTTGGGAATGATGACCTATTATATTCGAGTATGCCCTAGCCTTTTTCACCCGTCTCGCAGACACATCTACAAAATGTTTAGATCCGCCATTCGCCAATCTACTCGTCGCGTGGGCGCAGTGGCTCTTGGTCGTGCCGCAGCTGTCCCCCGTGCTGCCCGTGGCTACGCCAAGGCCGCCCCCACCGAGATTTCGTCCATTCTTGAGGAGCGCATCCGCGGTGTCAACACCGAGGCCTCTCTTGATGAGACTGGCCGTGTCCTGTCTATCGGTGACGGTGTTGCCCGTGTTTTTGGTCTTAACAAGATCCAGGCCGAGGAGCTGGTTGAGTTCTCCTCTGGCGTCAAAGGTATGGCTCTGAACTTGGAGGCCGGCCAGGTCGGTATTGTGTTGTTCGGTTCCGATGCCTTGGTTAAGGAGGGTGAGACCGTCAAGCGCACTGGTGCTATTGTCGATGTTCCCGTTGGTCCTGAGTTGCTCGGCCGTGTTGTCGACGCCCTCGGTAACCCCATCGATGCTAAGGGCCCCATCAACGCCAAGGAACGTCGCCGTGCTCAGCTCAAGGCTCCTGGTATTTTGCCCCGCCGCTCCGTCCACGAGCCCATGCAGACTGGTCTCAAGGCCGTCGACGCCCTTGTGCCCATCGGCCGTGGCCAGCGTGAGTTGATTATTGGTGACCGTCAGACCGGTAAGACCGCCATTGCTCTCGACACCATCCTGAACCAGAAGCCCCTCAACGCCGGTAACGACGAGTCCAAGAAGCTTTACTGTGTTTACGTCGCCGTTGGTCAGAAGCGTTCCACCGTCGCTCAGCTTTCTCAGCTTCTCGAGGCTAACGATGCCCTGAAGTACACCATCATTGTCAGCGCTACCGCCTCTGAGGCCGCTCCTTTGCAGTACTTGGCTCCCTTCTCTGGCTGTGCCATGGGTGAGTGGTTCCGTGACAACGGCCGCCATGCTTTGATCATCTACGACGATCTTTCCAAGCAGGCCGTCGCCTACCGTCAGATGTCTCTGTTGCTGCGTCGTCCTCCTGGACGTGAGGCTTACCCCGGTGATGTCTTCTACCTGCACTCACGTCTTCTTGAGCGTGCCGCCAAGATGTCCGATACCTACGGTGCCGGCTCTTTGACCGCTCTTCCCGTCATTGAGACCCAGGGTGGTGATGTGTCTGCCTACATTCCTACCAACGTTATTTCCATTACCGATGGTCAGATCTTCTTGGAGGCTGAGTTGTTCTACAAGGGTATCCGTCCCGCCATTAACGTCGGTCTTTCCGTCTCTCGTGTCGGTTCCGCCGCCCAGGTCAAGGCCGTCAAGCAGGTTGCCGGTTCCTTGAAGCTGTTCTTGGCCCAGTACCGTGAGGTTGCTGCCTTCGCCCAGTTCGGTTCCGATTTGGATGCCTCTACCAAGCAGACTCTTACCCGTGGTGAGCGTCTTACCCAGTTGCTGATCCAGCCCCAGTACCACCCTCTGCCCGCCTCCGCTCAGGCTCCCGTCATTTTCGCTGGTGTTAACGGTTTCCTCGATAAGATCGAGGTCAGCGAGGTCCAGCGCTACGAGGCCGAGTTCCGTGAGTACTTGTCCGTCAACTACAAGGATATCATCGAGGCCATCAACAAGACTGGTGAGCTCACCAAGGAGAACCTTGATAAGTTGCGCAAGGCCACTGAGGAGTTCACTTCTTCTTTCAAATAGATAGCTGAGACGCTTTTTGTAGTAACCAGGTTATTACTTGTTGAATGAATCACAATTTTCTCTCCATTAATTTTCTTCGTTGCTCCAATACCACCACCAGCTTTACTGTGTAGCACTAGATATCTTTGAGCTTAAGTAATCGAGGACGTTGAGAGATCAGCATTCGACAAAAGGCAGTTGAAACCAGAAGCTACATTCTCTTTCGTTTCCTAAATTTTCGCTTGCGTGTCAAATTGAGTCGTACGTCGACAAATACACCAAGCTTTGGCATAGTATATCCACGTACCCAGGATTATTCAAAATTTCTCAAGACTGAGACTTTAACTGTCTGCTGATCTAGACTAGTTAGAGCAAACATACCTTAGATCAAACAATTTTATTACTCCAAGCGCGACCATAACATTGCAGGCTTCTATTTCCTTATTAAATCTCCGTATTTTAGCAGGCTAGATTTGTACTGGGATTTTGATTTGGGGTACGATTTTGACAGATAGATTTGTACCAGACTTCCAGCGAAGTTCAAAGCGTTGATAAATGCCTGTTCCTCAACACCGACACCGACACAACAAGATCCGTCGTAGATTTCCAAACAGATATAGTATATCCCAACAAATGTAATATGTGCGAAGCCATTCAAGTATTTTTACTTTGTTTTAATGTATTGCCTTCTCGGAAGCTTGCTTCAACTCCAAACATTCGCGAGAGGCGACTGAAATTGATCAAATAAAACATTGAACATGGGATAGCACTGTAACGGGTCATTCTACATGGTATCTAAGGTCAAAAGTGAAGGTCTTGTGATCGACCCCATTTTTAGGACTAGAAAAAATTTCTTGGTATCTACACCGTGACGATTCAAACCCGTCTACATCCATCTGGAGCCCTATCGTGTTAAAATCCGATGATTCACAGTTACACAAGTCGCTTCTGAAGCCCACTTAGACCACCAACAGCTGTTTAATCCCTTAGAAGCGCTAACTGAAACCAAGTGACTGTTAATAGTAGACTTTAGTGACATATCCCCTTTGCCCGCATAGTCAGATAAAATTCGAAAAAATTTCCGAGCTTTTGGGTGTACTCGGGAAGTTCGGAAATTCTTTAAATTAGATACATCGAGCAAGCGAGGCTTTGTGGCCTGTATCGATTACCTCTTCCATAACGGCTTTGAGTTGCTCTCGAATGGATTTATCTTGAGAGCAACAGGCGAAACCCATCAATCCATAACCGACAGGGAAAACATCAGTGTCAAATTAGGTGAAGAAAGTAATACTTCTACACTGCCTTACTTCTACACATCCACTGCATCAAATTATAAGGATCTGCACCTGTGAGGGGACACAGTTTGTGTGTGACGCACTACCTTTGCGTGGAATTCTAGAGCTGTGGCACAAGATGGTCTAAGCCAAGAATATTGGGACTGAAAACCGTTTGTAAGATGATACGTCGAAAATCTAAACTTTTCAGCGTATGAAGCTGGTGTGCAACTGATCATCATATAGAGCTCATCGATTGCTCATGCATTTTCGGAGTAGGGTTACGCAGATGTATGCGCCTGCATGCCACCTCAAACATGGTTTTGTCCTAATTGTCAAGTTAATTTCAGTTTTTGAGTATAGTTTCATGTTTTTACATGACCTGATTGATGTGGTACTGATCTCATAACGTTCTAGACGCGTCACCGGCGAATGAAGCCGGTGTCTAGCGTTTTACCAGTGAGATAACCAAGTCCTTACAACGCTTCTCACGGCTCTAACGCCCGATGTGGGACAATTTGACGATCAGGTTTGGTTGTACATGTTTAGGAGGAACAGCGTGATATATATTTAAATCAAATATGTTTTTTGTTATCCGCTTAGTTGGGTCGTATGAGAACTGGAGTCCAGCGGTAAGCGTCAACGACGTTGAACCTTGCAGGAAAGACTTGCATATTGTTTGTATACGCATGACCATCGCTTTGATTATGAAAAAGTCCCTCACCGTGATCCAGCGCCACTGAGACCAGGACTTTTGGAACACGCCAATTATTGGCACATGTGGAGCAAATGGATGGTGGTTTAGCAAAAGGGCTTCTATACACCAGGTTAAGCACTCCAAGTCGTACTTTGTGTTGGAGTCTCACACATCTTCCAAGCTCTAAAATCTATAGCTACTATATGTTATTTAGTTCCACCTTTGCAGCTCGGGGGGGAGGCGACTTCGAAGCGCGCCCTACATGCATATGCACAAGGCACATCACTTACGCAACCGAGTCGCTGTCCTCAAGTATAAATAGCATTGAAATCCCCTCTCCAAACCACTTGCATCTACTTGAGAAATGGTTGAGCGTACTATCAAAGGAAAAGTTGCTTTCATCACTGGCGGTGGTAAGAACCTCGGTGCTCTTATTGCCAAGGACTTTGCATCCAAGGGCGCGAAAGCCATTGTTGTTCACTATAACTCAGCTTCGTCCAAGACTGAGACAGAGAAGACCGTTGCTGAGCTTGAGAAACTTGGTACCAAGGCTGTTGCTCTGCATGGCGATCTGACCACTGCTGCTGCAATCACCAAGTTCTTTGAGGATGCTGAGAGAGCTGTTGGCAAGCCCGACATTGCCATTAACACAGTCGGAAAGGTGCTCAAGAAGCCCATTATCGACACCACTGAGGCTGAGTTTGACGAGATGTTTGCTGTCAACACCAAATGCGCCTATTTCTTTATCAAGGAGGCAGGCAAGCGCCTGAACGACGATGGCTGCCTTATCACCATCGTCACTTCGCTGCTAGGTGCTTTTACCCCGTTCTACTCCACCTATGCTGGCTCCAAGGCTGCGGTCGAGCACTTTACTCGTGCTGCGTCCAAGGAGTTTGGCGAACGCGGTATTTCGGTCAATGCTCTTGGCCCCGGCCCCATGGATACTCCGTTCTTCTACCCTCAGGAGTCTCCTGAGGCCCAAGCTTACCACAAGACTGCTGCCGCTCTGTCCTCCAAAACTCCTTCTGGTCTGACTCACATTGAGGATATTGTGCCTTTCGTTTCGTTCCTGGCTTCCGATGGCTGGTGGCAGACTGGCCAGACTGTCCTCATCAATGGTGGCTACACTACTAAATAATATCCTATCTCTATTGGGATGGTTATTGGCTCCAAAAATAAAACACGTAGGATTCCGTATATATATCAAGTTAGGTGATTGACATTTACCTCCTTCAGTATGGATAGCTGCTGTTGAGCGCCTCTGAAGCCTATCATTTTCAGGCTCAACTGGGCCCGTCTAGACTGGGTCCAACCGCATGCTACATGAAGTTGAAACACTTTCGAAGTTGTCTGATTTACGCATGATCTTTGATCTCTTAAATATAAATTCACCCAGTTTATGTATTGTCACTATCAAATCTGTAAAGAGCTTTCCGTCATCTTAGATGAAGCTCGAATAGTCAGGCACACATACTGAGAGCGCGCTCTATCGCTCTACCCCTCTATTGCGTATTTATGTTCTGTCTTGATCTCCTCCTTGGGCTCATGCAAATGAGAGCATACGAAGACCACTTGTGATGGCCAATCGACGCATATATTGAAACAAGGGTATCCTGAGCAGGCCAACGGCTACGGCACATTTGGATAGGTTAAAGCTTTGGACGATTTTTTGCAGCCTTATGATTTTGATGCATCTGTTATCTTCGACACAGAGTTCTCGCTTAACCAATTTATGTCAGTGTAAGAAACGAGGAGACTAACTGAAGCAAAACAAATTTAAAGGCATATATGCCCCAATATAATGTGGTAACAAGTACATAGCATTCAGAATTAATTAGTACCACTGCAAACATTTTGTCGGAAGAAACAATCTGTTCGAAACAGTTTGAAAATTTTTAAATGACAAAATAGATAGAGAAACACATATTTCTTGAAATATCCAAACAAAACACTCAGAAACTTGGGAAGTTCTATTACTGCGCGATCTAGTCAGCTGAAAAACGCCAAGTATGAAGCATGTGCATGAGTCAGTAAGTAGGTACGATCACAAAAGTTTGACTTCAATAATGCCAAAATGACCTTCATGAAAAGAAAATAAAAGCTTGAAAAAGCAAAAGATGAAATCGGAAACGGTCAGTCTGGTTTCTTTTCAAACGCAGCCTAGTTTGGTTGTGAAAAGAGTTGATTCGTTTAACGACGAAATCTCAAGCACAACCTTACAAAGGTGTTAACCTGAAGGGTCTTTACAAGCACTGCGCTATGTAAAGCACTGATGGGTTCTGTGGATTACTAGCCGATGGCAAGAATTTACAGGAAAACACTCGGGGGCATACTGCTACAGATAGCCGACATTGGTCGTGATTTGTAGACAGAAACCTCCTCTCAAGTTATTGATGCTAAGCTTTGCTTAGCGGACTATAACTGAGGAACTCAAAAAGGCAATTGGATGCAGTTGATGTGTTGGCAGTGTAACAACTGACAGTGCAGAGACTGGGTGGAAACACGAACTTTGAAAAACTATGTTTCTTCGGAAACTAGGCAGTCTCTTGACTGTTGAAGATAGTTATCTGGTTGATCCTGCCAGTAGTCATATGCTTGTCTCAAAGATTAAGCCATGCATGTCTAAGTATAAGCAATCTATACAGTGAAACTGCGAATGGCTCATTAAATCAGTTATCGTTTATTTGATAGTGCATTACTACATGGATAACCGTGGTAATTCTAGAGCTAATACATGCGTAAAATCCCGTTTGGGATGTATTTATTAGATAAAAAACCAATGTCTTCGGACTTTTTGGTGATTCATGATAACTTCTCGAAGCGCATTGCCTTTGTGCTGGCGCTGGTTCATTCAAATTTCTGCCCTATCAACTGTCGATGGTAGGATAGAGGCCTACCATGGTATCAACGGGTAACGGGGAATTAGGGTTCGATTCCGGAGAGGGAGCCTGAGAAACGGCTACCACATCCAAGGAAGGCAGCAGGCGCGCAAATTACCCAATCCTGACACGGGGAGGTAGTGACAATAAATAACGATACAGGGCCTTTGGTCTTGTAATTGGAATGAGAACAATTTAAACCACTTATCGAGGAACAATTGGAGGGCAAGTCTGGTGCCAGCAGCCGCGGTAATTCCAGCTCCAATAGCGTATATTAAAGTTGTTGCAGTTAAAAAGCTCGTAGTTGAAACTTGGGATTGGGAGTCTGGTCCACCTCACGGTGCGTACTGGAACTTTTGATTCTTTTTGCCTGGACGTCTGTTGCGTTTAATCGCGTGGCAGAAAGGTCAGGCCATTTACTGTGAGAAAATTAGAGTGTTCAAAGCAGGCGTTTCGCTCGAATATATTAGCATGGAATAATAGAATAGGACGTATGGTTCTATTTTGTTGGTTTCTAGGACCGTCGTAATGATTAATAGGGACAGTCGGGGGCATCAGTATTCAATAGTCAGAGGTGAAATTCTTGGATTTATTGAAGACTAACTATTGCGAAAGCATTTGCCAAGGATGTTTTCATTAATCAAGAACGAAAGTTAGGGGATCGAAGACGATTAGATACCGTCGTAGTCTTAACCGTAAACTATGCCGACTAGGGATCGGATGGGTAGTTATTTTAGCTCATTCGGCACCTCGTGAGAAATCAAAGTTTTTAGGTTCTGGGGGGAGTATGGTCGCAAGGCTGAAACTTAAAGGAATTGACGGAAGGGCACCACCAGGAGTGGAGCCTGCGGCTTAATTTGACTCAACACGGGGAAACTCACCAGGTCCAGACACAATAAGGATTGACAGATTGAGAGCTCTTTCTTGATTTTGTGGGTGGTGGTGCATGGCCGTTCTTAGTTGGTGGAGTGATTTGTCTGCTTAATTGCGATAACGAACGAGACCTTGACCTACTAAATAGCTGGGTCAACAATTTGTTGAGTATCAGCTTCTTAGAGGGACTATCGGAGACAATTCGATGGAAGTTCGAGGCAATAACAGGTCTGTGATGCCCTTAGACGTTCTGGGCCGCACGCGCGCTACACTGACGCAGCCAGCGAGTACATAACCTTGTCCGAGAGGATTGGGTAATCTTGTTAAACTGCGTCGTGCTGGGGATAGAGCTTTGCAATTTTTGCTCTTGAACGAGGAATTCCTAGTAAGCGCAAGTCATCAGCTTGCGTTGATTACGTCCCTGCCCTTTGTACACACCGCCCGTCGTTACTACCGATTGAATGGCTTAGTGAGGCCTCCGGATGCGAATTCACTTGTGGGCAACCGCAACGAAGTCGCAGAAGCTGGACAAACTTGGTCATTTAGAGGAAGTACAAGTCGTAACAAGGTTTCCGTAGGTGAACCTGCGGAAGGATCATTATTGAGATTCATATTACACCTGTGAAACAATTAAATTGCTTGGCCGAAAGGCCAATGTAACAAAAACTATTTTACCTATTATATCTGAAAAAACGAAATCAAAAGTTTCAACAACGGATCTCTTGGTTCTCGCATCGATGAAGAACGCAGCAAAGCGCGATAGTTAGTGTGAATTGCAGACGTGAATCATTGAGTTTTTGAACGCACATTGCACCTTCTGGTATTCCGGGAGGTATACTTGTGCGAGCGTCATTTCATCTTCATAAAGCGATTTATGTGTTGGGGCTGTAGCCAGC